TACAAGGGAGTAAGTGTATCTTCCTGACAACACAATCATACCCCTTTTATATACTCTTATATCAGTGAAACTGATTAGCTGTTCGACAAATCGAATTATATACGTTATTTCCATTTAAATATGAGCTTTGCTTTAACAAAATTGTATATATTAAGTGTACAACAGCCTTGAACAGTGGTATCTATCTTGAAAACAATGGCACTTGAATATGAAAAAAGGGGTTAAAGTGAGATGGGTAGCCCGTGGGTAACCCGTGGGTTACCCGCGGGTTACCCACGGGCTACCCATCTACCCACGAATAACCCATGAGTTCAACCAATTAGAATATATATCATAGATATAGTGGGTCATTTATTCGCAAGTTATCAAAAAAAGGGGGCTAAAGTCTCTAAGTCTATCAGTCGCAAAATTTACTATAGTAAGTACTTACTTCGTTATGTGATTAGGGGTAACTAGCCTGGTCTTGTTTCCCTTGCCATAATGTCTCAATTCTCCCAGTTCTCTGATGTGTATGCATCATCTTTATATAATACTGACAATCCAGATAACCTTCAGGTTATTCAACCCGACGACCTTACCTCTAACCCTTCGTTTAACCAACAAACATCACAATCAATCGCCAATTCGGATTTCATTTATCCATCCCGTGTGGCCCCTATACCTCCCTCCCTTGAACGTATCTGTCCTGACCGAACTTCGGCATACCTTGTTTATTCCAACATGACAAAAGACGATTTTGTGAATTGGTGGCTTCAGACAGACTTTGGACAAAAAAAGCCGATACGGTGGGATGCTCGACAGCAATCTGATGTGTGGAAGCACTTTGACCAGGTAGCAAAAGCGAGCGACGGAATGCCCAAGGTTATGTGTAAACGATGCAAGAAGGTGCTCGATCATCCACAACAACATGGGAATGGGACCACAGCGATGATCAAGCATTTGAAAGGGATTGGGTGTCGTGGCACAAATGGGCATAATATCAAACAATTTTTCCACGAGGTAATTTTATCTTATATTATGATATCTTTTTACTAATATCTTTCTAATATAGGCTACACCAGCTTCAGATAGTCTCAGTTTTACTCAAGAGGCTTGGGAAGCAAGTTTACTTCGTTTCATTACTGATTCCCGGCTACCATTCCAAATCCTCGAACACCCCGACTTTCATCAGTTGATTTACATGGCCTCCCGTGCCCCAATGCGTCCACAAATCCCATCTGCGAAAACAGTTCGACGTCGACTTCAAGGCACGATCACTGAGTACCAGAATACTATCCTCCAAAAGCTACCTAAAGATGGTAAGCTATCAATTGCCCTTGATTGCTGGACATCTCCATTCCAGCAAGCATTTATGGCAGTAACTGGTTATTTTCTTGATGAAGATTGGAACTATCGGGAGATACTGCTTGGCTTTGAACCACTTCATGGAACACACTCGGGTGTCAATCTAAGTGCTGTCCTTCTTGAACTTCTTCAAAAACACCAGATCACAGACAGAGTGCTTGCAATTACTACTGATAATGCATCAAATAATAGCACTATGATGTCGAGTATCCAGGATTCTATCCAGTCTCTTGAGATTAGCGATCATACTACGATCATCAAGGTTCCCTGTCTAGCCCACGTCATTCAACTTAGTCTGAAGCAGCTTCTTGGGCAAATGAAGGCAAATCCAAAGAACGATATAGCTGAAATGCAGTGGTCTGAAACCCAAGATCAATTGATCCGCTCAAGGCAACAAAAACGAGAGATTGTTGACACACTGAATAAGGTAAGTTTATCTCTTCAGATATAAAAACTATCAACTTATTTAATTATATATAGATACGAGGCTTAGCTGTTTTTATCAATGCTAGCCCTCAACGTCTCGAGCTGTTTTCTAAGCTTCAAACAACCTCAATACCTCTTGTGCCAATTCAAGATGTTCGAACACGCTGGAACTCGACCTTTCTTATGCTCCGACGTGCCAAGCGATTACAGTCTGTCTTTGACGAGTTCTGTACTAAATATGGACATTCGCATTTGAAGCTTGATCAAGAGCAATGGCGTCAGATCGACTACCTCCTTTATATCACTCAACCTTTCTTCCAATTCACGAATGCGCTTTCGAAAACAAAGGATGTTACCATACATCTGATCTTTGGTATCTATAATAAGCTTTTTGATCATCTTGAGAAGTCGATCAACCAGCTTAGATACAAAAAGGTACCTTGGAAGAAGATGATGCTAAATGCGCTTTATGTGGCGAAGACAAAGCTTTCCCAATATTATAGCAAGACAGATGGCGTTCCTGGAGACCTCTTTGCTATTGGAACAATGCTTGCACCGCAGAATAAGCTCCAGTTTTTTCTAGGAAAAGATTGGGGCGATGAGTGGCGTGATCGATATCGCCAAAGCTTTGTGGATTACTTTGAGTCTTATAAGCAACGTCTGTTACAGAACCAGACATTACTAGAGTCTCATATATCCACAACACAGACCTCGGAGTTTGATCTTGAACGGATGCTTAGAGAGTCTGAATCTCAGCAAACAAGCTTAACTGAGCGGGATGAGCTTTCAAGATATCTTGAATCTGGTCAGTATTATCTTGGTTTATTGTGTGTTTTATTAATAAATATTAGGTACTATCACTGGAGTAACCATTCGAGCGTTCTGGAAAGACCATCAACATGAATTTCCTGCTCTCGCAAGCCTTGCACGGGATATTCTTACAATTCCTGCTACAGGTGCAGGGGTTGAGCGTCTCTTTAACTCTGCTCGGGACATCTGTCATTACCGTCGAGGCTCTCTAAGATCTGAAACTATCCAGGAGCTCATGATGTATAGGTTCGCAACAAAATTTGAGCTTGAAGATGACAACCTTACTCTTAAGAAGGAGTATCTTACAAGTGGGGAGATTGAGACAGAGAGAGAAGAGAAAAGTCCTCAGTCACTACAGGATATTGATCCTATCAGTGATAATGAAGAGGAGGATATAGAGGTCATACAAGAGCCAGATACTACCCAGGGCCCTTCTCATGAAGCTTTATCTGACGATGAAGCTACAAATCCTCTCCCAGAGACTCAACAACGGATTTCAGGTAGAAGTCGGAAGCGGAGACGGGATGATGATCAGTTTATTGAGTATTAGCTATAGAATCAAATTGACCTTGTTTTAACCTCTTTAATACTGAGAAATCTCTTGAATCTTGACTGGTAGTTGTATATGAAATACTCAAAATTACAGCTCGAATATGCATAAAATATACAAGTCACGGGGTCCCACCTGTTTGTATTGTTTGACTACCCGCGGGTACCCAGAAAATACCCATGGGTATTAACCAGCTTCCCACTACCCGCACGCGGGTAGGCAAACCCTACCCATTACCCGCCAAGAAATGGGTAATGGGTACCCCGTTTGGGTAGACCCGCGGGTCGTGGCGAGGTCTAACCAAGACTATCTATAAGACTAGGATCTATCATAGATAGGCTACTAGTTATCAGCCGACTATCTATCTTTAGAGAGATAGAGAAGATCTTAAAACTTAGTATATCTCTCTATATTATAGTCTAAACAAGAGAAAAAAAAATTAGAGTATACTACTATATCGAGAGATACTTCCGAACCAAGATCCTCTACTAACAAAACCTGTTATAACAGATATAATAACAAATAATAAGATATAAACTATCTTCTAATCTAAGATCGAGAGAAATATATAAAGTTATAATATTTTTAAAGATAAAAATAGGGAGAAGAGGATCCTATATCTCCTAAAAGAAATTTAAAATTAGAACCAAAAAAAAAAAAAGGGAAAAGAGAAGAAAGATATAGAAAGTCGATCTATTCTTATTATACAATCATCAAATAGTTATATATTTATTCCTATCCAGCATCTTTGATCGGGAGGATCGAGAAGATCTCATTCTTCAAAGAAGAGATTTACCCGTGAGAAGATCGGGACCGAGACCATCATCCTGGTCGGGATGATAGAGATTGATCTAGATTGTAGATACAGGAGGGAATTAGGGTTACTCCCGAGATTTAAGAGAAGAGAAGAGGGAGAGAGAGAGAGAGAGAGAGCGAGAAAGAGAAGACCTGGAAGAGATTGCCATGTATAACAGACGGCGGAAGTATACACGGGCGGCCAATCAAGGACACGCAACAACTATTAGGCCCCCGATAGTTTGGCCACTAGGGTATAGGACAGTAGAGCGTACAATCTGCGCTGCGTTGGCTTCTTCGACTTCGGGTCTATTGTCTGCATCATCCGATCCGCTCGAGGTGGGATAAGTCCGTGACCGAGCCCTTGTTATCCTGCTCGTCGGCGTGTTACGCTCGAGCGCGATCGCGACGGCTACGAGAGTAAGAGCGGTGTTAGAAGCAGGAGCGATATCGAGTATCGTTATTTCGCTGTGGAGGATCCGCTCGGTCCTTGAAGGTATCCTTAACGTGTCGCAGGCGATGATGAATGCCTGTAGCGCGGAGAGTGGTCCTATTTCCATCAGATTCCTTTAGTGTTTTACCATGGGGACAGTCCTCGCGTTCAGCCTAAGCACAGTTCGAGTGATAGCTGTCACCGTTCTCGCGAGCGTAATCGCATCCACGACGGCGGTCACGCTCACGCTGGTTTGCAAGGCCAACGCGCGGCCATCGGGTAGAACTCACGCGAGTCCTTCGGTACGACGCGAACCATTAGCTTTTTCGGACGCTAACCTGCTTCGCGAATTCTGTGGTTGTTGCTTGTCCTGTCGGCGGTGTCAGCGTGAGTTGGAGGCTGGAGCTTAGCTTTAAGTTTTGCTACAATTGATGTGCTACAATTGATGTGTGATGGATTAAAATCTCTTAGTATTCTCTTAAAGTTAAGCTAATCTAAAGGTCAACCTAATCTGAAGAGCTAACGATGAGAGCTAACGATGAGAACTTCATGTAAGAGTTGCTTGTTTGTAGCCCATATGTATCACTTTCTAGGTTCTCTTGTCCCTCTCCCAAGATAAATTGCCATTTCTCCCGATATTTCTTATGGCTTAGGGCGTCTTGAGAATGGGATGTTTTCCTTAAGAGTAGATGAACGGTCCTCTTGTCGCTGCTCTTGCTTGAGATATTTGCGGCGATTTGTGCTTGTCACTTCTGAGATAAAGGTGACGCCGGGATACCCAGCAAGGTTCACGAACACCGTATATGCGCTCTGGAATATGAGGAGAGTCGAGGTTGTGGGATAGACCGCGTCGAGTTCTATTGTGTACCCAAGCGGGAGGGTCTCGATCCAAGTAAGGAACCTTTCAAGCTGTTCTCGGGTCATGTTTTCGACAATACGAACGGAAAAGACCGCACGTAGCGAAGGGGCAAGCGTGCTCGGATCTATCCGCATGACGCCAGTAAACCGGAAGCAGATAGATACCCCTAACTTCACTATATGTGTTGGCTTAACAACAGTGCTGTTCGCTCGAATAGTGGCCATTACGTCCGCAAGTATCACCGATTGATGACTGTCGTGTTTGCGCCGAGCAATCTCACCCCGCAGCTTTCCAGTTAAGGTATTCCGTGGTGGCGTAAGGGCGATGGGATTGCTATCATCGCACGCGGCAAGAATTTCGACCACGCGGGTTGTAGGATCATATGCCCGCGTTGCGACATGCGAATAACAGCAATCCAGGACGAAGACAGTGTCTGTGTCTCCAATGTCAAAGTCCTGGACATCCCCTGCCACCACGGAATCAATAAGCCTCTGGAGGTTTATGCGTCGGTTGGGTCGGCCCTCGACAGCAAAGAGCTGTCCCGATCTGACCTCCCCATGCCCAGCATAGTGAACAAAAACAATAGATTTGCCAGATGCCATTGTTGCGCGTTGGAACATACGCCGAATCTTATCTTGAAATGTCCACCCGGGCGTACCATCCTGTTCGCTCAGGACCATAACCTCAGCTTGGTCAAGATTGAGCGTGCTCAGGATCGCCTGAAAATTGTCGGTGTCCGTAGAAGCATCCGTGTTGTCTCGCTCCCACCGAACACTGAGTGCGAAAGAGGCGTTGTAAATTCGTTTGCGGTTGTTCACAGTGCGAGTGATGGCGTCTTCAAACTGTACGCGAGTTATTGCGTTCGTCGTTTGGCCTGCGCTGATGGCTGTCATAGTGGATGTATGGAGTGATCTTGTAAAAAGTGTTGAGCTTGGAGTAGGTGTAGAGGGAGTATGTGTAGAGAATTTGCATGAAGAGCGGGGCGTGGCTGTGTGGAAAGGAAGATACAGAGTGAGAGCAGTAGTACGCAGTATTTATGGAGAGGGCGCTACATTGGGTTTAGCAACAGTGCCAAACTAGGCTTAGTATAGTAGTTAATATCGGACCCACCTCATGTGACTCTCGCCTACGGCAGCGGCTGCGATAGTGGGGTACATTCTGCAGCCGCGACTCTATGCGACCCCCACCAGACCTAGAGCTAGCCGCACAGCGAGCGCAGATCGCCGACTTACGTGGAGCTTTCGCAGCACGATCAAAGCATGTATCTGATCATAATGCTGCGGCACCGCCATCCTCGTCAGCAATACTAGGGCACACAACTCATCGGCAGAACCGTCCCTATCATACAATGGGGGGCAAAAGTCTGTGTGCATACCGCTTCACCTACCCCATCAAATACCGATGTATATTCATGGTTACATATCCTACACCACCAACCCTTATGGGATCATGATAAAATGGAAAATACTGAAGGATCAGGTTCATATACAGAGTTATCTTGCTTAATATTTTAGTCGTTTCCAGACTAGTTCAATAGGATTAAGATCAGGCGAGTATACCAGCCAATCTTCAACATACATCCCGTGCTCTTTAAACCAAAGTTGCATATCTTTCGCTATATAGATCTTTTTTTATCTTGCTAGAATATAATTCCAGATTGATAGCGATCGATGCCATGGGGGAGGTGTAGGAGAAAGAATGAAAATGTGGGTGGTTATTAGGGTGATGGTAATGGGGCCGAGTGCACACAGACTTTTGACCGGGTGGTGTACTCACAGTAGTACACTTCGTAGCGATTGTAGGAGTTGTCCGCATTCTGGTAGTCCAGATTCGGGTCTACCAGCGAAGACGGCGATCGCTATCATGATCGACGTGAGCGCTTATATCATCAACGCGTTTCCCGTTCGCATTCGCGTTCCCGCTCACGAGATAAGCTCCGCGATCGAGACATTAGGTATTTCGAACCTGACGACACCCTGCCATTCGTAGAAGTATGTGATAAGGGTCTTTTTTATCATAATCTCCATAATTTTATTCGCGCAACGAAGCTGGCTGGAGCGAACATATACGCCTTTCATCCATAAAGCATCGTTTTGCGCAATGCTTCCTTGGTAAAGCAGTTCCATGGCATGAACAGAGCTTATCGGACGCCGACCGCGCTGCGTATACTTCCGTGACCACAATGGACGCATAGTACGATGCGCTTCGTGAAAGTTTCTTAGTGCCGGTGACAGAGGTGCGCGGGATTTATAGCAAGCTAGCTTGTACTCTTTTCGATATGTATGATCGCAAAGACCTAGACGAATTTTTGCAAAAGATCGTCGTCTACAGGCAAGAGGCATGCGGAGCTACGACAGAACAGGGGCAAGCCCAAACGGTATACAACAAGCTTGCGTCTAAGCTCTGGCTCAACTTAACGTTCCATCTATGGAACTGTATATTCTATTACGAGGTCCATCTCCCGTGCCCCTGATGAAGCCTTGCTCAAAGAGCGATCCTCGAAACGCCCCCCGGGCGATAATCAACACAAAACTAAGCCTGCCATAGTACACCAGTCCCAGTTCCAGCGTGTCGCCTGAACTACATCGTCCACATTCAACATGCCAATTTTACTCTCGACCAGAAACTGCCATAGCTTCATACGCAGACTCACAGGCCAGGAAGGGATACAGTACTTTCCTGAGACTTGGTAGGCCGAGTAAGTGTTCAACTGGGGGGGGTTCATCTTTTACATCCTACCAAATCTCAATTTATACTGATTCTACCCATAACTCCACCTTATATCTTCTGTTGCTATTGTTGGCGACCTGCAACTCAAATGGTGGCATGGCCGTAGACATGACACCATATAGGAACAATGCTCAGTTAGAAGGCAGGGTAACCCCGATGATCCCAGATTCGTTACTTCAGCGCTTGTATGGTTCGCGATGGAGTGCAAAACCGAAGCCAACCTCTATTCTTTCTACAAACCCTTCGTAGGGGAAGTCCTCCGGTTGGTCGACTTCGAACCTCTCGGGCTTGTAGGAATCTCTTCCCGTTATTTAGCTTCCTGGAGGTTTCGCATACTGCTGGAGGCAATTTTTCCCCCTGCTTGCAGATCTTGCAATTTAACAAACTGCTTCCGACCATCCACGTTCACCCCTGTTCAGGAGATTGGGTCACGAGATCGCTCGTCATGCTACCATCGATGATGCTCAGGAAAGATGGAAAGCCTTGAGCGATACACATCTGATCGAGCTGCTGTAGCCGGCTTCGGAATGGGATGCATCCGGCAAACAGGCTTTCGCCCACACCGATGTATTGCGTTCCCTGCCCAGTAAAGACGAATGCTATGGAAAGGGGGTGCCTATGGGAAATTGCTTGTGGGGATCTGCCCTTTTCAATGTAGCCCTGCAGCTTTTGGCGTAGATGAGGCACGCTGTCTATGGCAAAGCCAACACGGTATGTGTAATGGACACGGCGGGCAGTGGTGGTATACGCCAGGTCAGCCAGGCGAGTGTCCGGATTTTGATCAATCCATGCGAGTAGACTTTTGATATTATTGGCAAAAGAAGTCAGCGACTTTGCAGAGACAGTGACCACCGATGTCGTGACGGAAGTAACACTGTTATCATTGATTTTCACGACCGAGCGTTCAGGGGCGTCTTCTACCAACATGGCGGAGTTACCCCCTGCAGCACTGAAGTTATTTATAAAAGCCAATCGGCGTCTTCCTCTCCTTGGAAAAGAAGTCAACTGGGGAGCGATATGGACACCGCGAGCCTGCAGATCGTTCAGGAGTCCATAGTTGAGAACACCTTTGGAGCGACAATGGGGAGGTATCAGGTTCTTCTGGAACATCAGAATTACCTTTACCAAGGCTTAAACGCCGGAAACAGGCTCCCCGTAGCCTATGTTGGCCTTAGCAGACCATATATATAGTGGTTGCTGGCGGGTGCGTTGTTGTGGCCCATGAGGGGCAAATACATTAGTGACGGACTGAACTTCAATGCTGTCGCCCGCCTGGTTTCCTGTGCCATGCATTTCTACGTAGTCCACCTCGCACTGGTCGGCGCCGACATCATCCATGATCTTCTGGAACAGATACTCCTGAGTGTCAGCGTGCGGGTGCGTGATGGAAACGGCATCGGCACTGTGATTCGTGGCCGTCCCTCGGATAACGGCCAGGATGGGATCATTCTCAGCTATAGCATCCTCAACGCGCTTCAGGATAACTGTTACCACCCCATCCCCCCGGCAATAGCCATCAGCCTCGTTGTCATAGGTTCTGCAAGAACCCGTCTTAGACAGGAATTGCCCCTTGGAAAGACCGTCTGTATTGTGAGATTAAATTGTATCGAAAAGAGAGGCCATTCAAGACAAGCCCTGTTGTCCCGTCCACTCGCACATATAATGTGAGAGAGACGTGATAATAACACCCATACCTGGCAAACTATGCCGGAATGCCTCACAGCATTATTCCTTTTGATTCAGTCCATGCTCGTCCCCGCGCGGTACTCGCTGGCAGAGTCTGCCATGTTGTCCTTCAAGCTCGCTGCTTTCCAGCTATCAACCTGAGGACCGTAGCCTTTTAGCGGCCAAGAGAAGGCCTGGCCTCTGTTAGCTTAGGCCGCTGCTGCGATCTTGTTCCACTTGCTGAGTAAACTCAATGGCAGGGTGATGCCTACGGCCCCGATCGTAATTGCGAAAGTAACCTTGATACCTGCCATGTACGCATCAAGGACACCATGCAGGTCGTCTCCCGAAAATAAGTTGCGCAGCTTAGTAGCGCCGGCAGCCACCACTACCGCTGGATTCACGCCTGGGGCGGTGCTGGAAAGCTTGTTCAAAACCCGATTAACGAAGCCAGCTTGCGCGGCTCCGATGAGAGCTGCGCCGCCGATCGTTTGGAAGACTGCCGACGAAGATCAACTTTAGCTTGGAATAGAGACAGGGGATGAAGCAGATTGAACGGATTCCAGGAGTCGTGGGAAGATACAAATGAAAACTTACATAGAATGATCGCCGTCACAGAAGCCAAGTCGCTGGGGCCAGCAGTCCCTTGGCACACGATGATCGGGACTTGGAACGCCAGGCCGTACCCGAAGCCGGCAAGAATCTGATACCCAATCCATTTGCCCACTCCCGGTACCAATATCGAGGGTATACAGGAGACCCGCAGCGATCGTCGCGATTACAGAGCCGACTGGCAATAGTGGAGTTGCAATGCCCGTCTTCGAGATGCTACCGCCTGAAGCAACGGTGGCAATAGTGAACGCGATGATAAGTGGCAAGTTCCGCACACCCGAACCAATTGGAGTGATATTGCCGATGCTTTGGAAATAAATGGGCAGATAATATAGCGGAATAAAGTACGAGCCAGCGAAGAAGGCTCCATATACTCCGTTCAGCCAGACGTTTCTCTTGCGCATCAGGCGCGGTGTCAGCATGGCGCGTTCACCTTGAAGGAATTCCAGAATACCAAAGGCAATCAGCATGAGACCACAGCTGACGAGTAAGCCGATGACGGTGCTGGAATCCCACGGCTTCGTTGTACCCCCGTAATGAAGACCTGAAAGAAAGGAGATGACTGCACCCATCATGAGCGCGGTGCCAAGGGGGTCCATTTGTAGAAGCTTCTCTTTAAGCGAAGCCTCGACCGGTTTTGCGACTGGAGGCGTCCGGAAGAAGAGAAAAATAATACCCGCGGCCAAACCACCGATTGGGAGATTAATATAGAAGCACCTAGCGTTGTAGGGTCAGACCAGGTTGGGAAAGATCGAAGGAAAGTTTGGGGTGGAAACGGTCTTGATCTGCGAAAGGCAAACGAGCACGAGACGCTTGACTTACCACCGCCAGGAAACTGTATCCGCAAACGCCCCGCCGATGAGTGGTCCAATCACCGCCGCGAGACCATATAAGGCACCAATGACCCCAGTTAAAGTGGCTCTTTTCTTGGGCTCCGCAGCGAAGGCAATAATCGTGTACGATCCCGATCCGACACCCGCACCCCCGACACCAGCGATGGCACGTCCAACAATGAGGGCCGGTGAGTTTGGGGCGACACCACAGATCAGACTCCCCAGTTTGAAGATGAAAATGGCCATCAAGAAGCTGATCTTGAGGGGGAAATATTTGTACACTTTGCCCCACATTGACTGGAAGCCTCCAATCATCATGAAGTAAGCCGAACCGTACCATGAGATATCGTTGATGCTCTTGAACTTGTCGGTGATCTTTGGAATGGCGGTTGCAACAAATGGTCTGAGCCGGGAACTAGTATATCGCCGGTGAGAACCTCAAGGAGTGAAATCACCTGATCTAAAGAAAAGAGAAAAATACTGAGTACGAGTGCAACCACGATGAATGCGAGATTGACACCGGACGGGTAGTCTCCGGTATCCTGCGATGCAGATGCTTTATTCACAGCTTCTTCATCGGTAGCAATCCCGCCATTTTCGGTCGAAAGGTCCTTCTTCTCTGTCTCTGTTCCGACTGTTGAGGATGTCCGTGTGGACTGCTCGTTGACCGCGAAGTTCTGCTTGTCCTTTTCAGTTCTCAAGGATGGATGTTGTTTCTCGGCTTGCCTCCTGCTTGTCCGCCTCCGGCAATGGTGTTGACGGAGACATGATAATTGCTGTATAACTCCAATAATTCAGCCTAGGATGAGGCTCCGTCTGCTCGTAGAACGAGTCTCGAAATGCAACCAGTGTGGCTTGCTATGAAAGAATTCCAGAATGGCTGGTCAGGGAAAATTTTATTTCCGTCAAGGTGGCCGTTAAGGCTTTCATGGCCATTCATCAAGCCAAAAACGTTTGGGTCTCAGCCCGGGGTTTGCACCCTAAGTCCTTTACGTTGGCTGCTTAACTCCTTAACTCCGTGATCATTATCTGCTGGTTGGACCCTGCGGTTCGGACTGAGTCACACGCCATCTGTATGCATGTAACGTATCGGTATTATGCTTGTATCTTACCTCTCAACATACCTTGCGGAGTGGAGGTATGTATCTCGAGAAAGAACCGCCTTGACGAAATCTCGGCCATGTCTGGCCATTTCTTCAAGGCGCGAACTGCACTGGTCCCTAGTGAGGGCATCACCTATAGCAAATGTGACTCGTCAGCTAAGGCCACGGCGGACCAAGCTGGTGGTGAAGGTAATTGTCTGCTATGATGGAACTTTTACCAGACAGAGCTCGTGACAGGCTTTTCCCCAGAACCCAAACATCATGCCCCTTGCGCCAGCACTCAAGAGCAGCCAGTAAGCCCGCTACTCCCCCGCCAACAACCAAGTCGGAGATTCCAGTTCGTGGTGATCTCTCTGGCAGGGTGCCGGATGAGCCATTTGTGCGTGGCTGATCTGTGGCACAGTCGAATTTCATTTCGACTCCCACGATGGATCAGTTTCGCGATTTAGATCGGAATGAATGATTGAGAAGCGTGGTTAAAACCTTGACAATTGTCTAAGGGCTTGCCACCTGCTACCCTTAATCCTCAGAGACCAATGTTACTGTCGAGCCCACCAACATCTTAGAGTCAGATCGGTTCTGCCACCCTGTCACAATTCACCGCCGAGGAGCAATATCTTTGTTACACCGAGAGGTCTCAAGACTGCCGAAGAGGCGCTTCATCCTATTCGATGGTCAGTCTCTGCTTCTGAATGCTCGGCGCTGCAGGACTTCCGACGATTGTATGTCTTTCGTTTCGGAGCTTGGAGTCGGAGCTTAGAGTCAGAGCGATGTGGGTCGAGTCGGGAGATCAGCACCGATCCCGCTCGAGCCCTCCGGCCTCCGATGCGTCACCGAGCTTGTACAGTACCGTTCAGGGACAGAGTAAATACGAAGCTCAATCGTTACGGGGCATTGCAATCTATTGGACATCTTCCTGCACGAAAGTCTCCACGAACAGGAGACGGCCATCTTGAAGCACTCTTAAGATACTTCATTCCAAGAATTATGACTCGGAAGTGAAGTGGGTTCGTCTGCCTCGGTCCAAGCCTATCTGGGATAGCTTACCTACGTTCATCGTAAAAGGCTTCCTTGCATGAATTTCGGAGTCATTTTCATTCGACTGGCCGGAGAAAGAATAAGCAGAAGAGGCTGTAACGGGCCCATGCCCGTATGTGGCCACAAGAATGTGGACTTGCTTCCTGATTCGGCAATAAGTCAACATATGTCAACACGACTGCGCCCGTACCCTTCTTCGCTCCTCCAGATTGTTGTAAGCAGTTTCTGGTCCAGCTAGATTGAATCAAATGGTACTTATCTTAGACTAGAAAGTTAGCTAACGTAGCTCATCTTTCAATGAGCCCTGTAACCGCTCTGTTCGCCGTGATAATTCGCATGTCGGGGGTTCGGAGCAGTCGCTTTGCACCTCTTGCCGCCGCCGTGCGTACAATGCTGCACCTCGAGCGGCTGCGAAAGTTAAATCCCCTTTTGCATCATCTTTGACAGGCATGATACCAGTAGCAAGCTGTGGTAGCCCCACAAAAGCATCTTTCAATTCGGCGACGAAGCGGGGGTAGGTTGCATTCTCACCAGCCAAGATAAGGTGTGTTATCGTAGACCGCCAAGGTCGAGAAAGACCAGTCAGTTGGGAACGCAGTCTTGCCCATAATAACTCCGACGGCTCTGCTTGTAGAAGTCGATCTAACCCAACTTCGAAGTCCAATACGTTGTTCTCGTCCCGTGTAAAACGTGCCAGAGCTTGGCCGTGTATTGGCTCAATAATACTGGCATAGAGCGACTGTCGGCTGAAAGAAACGAAAAGAACAGCGGATGTATCAGTATAATCAAACTCATCCTCACATTCCCATAGATCATGGTAATTTTCACATAGTCCAAAGCCATTATTGGCATAGACAGCATCTGCCTCTACCAGGTGGTCGGGATAGAACTTGCTATCGCCCACCCAGGTCCGTAAGTCCGTTTGTTGGAGAGCAAAGTTCACTAGTCCTGGACTCAGAGCGTGTAAGTCAGGAGATGTAACAGCCACCCTATCAAGGGAGTGATGCAGTTTTCTCTCAGTGTCATGTTTTAGATCTCCGAGCATCTCAATCAGAATTTGGAGTTCGTGAGCTTCATCGACTTCCTCGTGTCGACTTGGGTTTCTCTTCATGTAGAGCCACTCGAAAAGAGATGTGAACGGATAGCTTAGAAAGCCCGGGTTTTGCACATATCCTTTTGGCCTCAGCTTTGCTGGTCGATACAGGGGGTGTTCAGCGCCGTTCGCAAGGCGTTTCATGAGTTCGAGGTATTCCGGTTTGCCCTGGATTTGGGCAACTTCGACAACGGTTCCATTATAATAATGTGCAGCTGACACCCTGATATGTAGCAAATTAGACACAGACTACAGATACACGCCCAGAACCATAGACCCACCCGTACGACGGGGTCAGATCAAACCCAATCCCAGGGGCGTCGTGGATTTTGACGGGTAGACATGTTTCACACCAAGAGCGGGGACAAGGGTAAAAGGCTTTGCCAATAACTGGAAAGCAGGCGATGAGGAGAGTTCGTAAAATCATATTCATCTGACTAATATTATTGCCTTCCGGGATTGGAAGCAGAGTCAAGTCAAGCACAGCTTTCCGAGTTGACAAGATCATAGCAGAAGTACAGTGGGGCGACGGAAGGCTGGATGTCCACTTTTGACCGCCCGTCAGTATGAGTAATGCCGAGGTATCTCGGTCGAAACCTAGAAGTTAGCGGAGCCATCTGTCGCGCCACTTTACTATTGGCACTCCAAGTTGGTATAACAATATTGTTAGCACAGTCCTAGTATATCGCACTGTCTGCTCTATAAGGTAGTACGTGCGCGCTTACTGCGGATAAAACAGAGATGATGTGTTATACTTCAATAGCTCGAATATTTTTGATTATGATTTTGAGTAGAAAAGTTTATATTTAACGATTTGGGACGTATATTTTTTTTAAAAAGCGGCCAGATTTATTACAGCACACCCTTTTTTTAGCTACAAACGTGCCTTGGGAGCTACAGAGGGAACTCGGAAGAGGCTCGGCGCCCCTATCATACACATTAGACCGATAAAAGGGATTCGCTAAACAAACCATGCAATATATAAAAACTAATCACGAAGAGAACCAGAAGTTAGCCTAAGCGATTAGTTTGGTTATCTTGCTACCATCAAGTCATTCCACTCCAAACTGATAGTAGTATTAGCCTCCTTCAATCGTATCCAATCCCCTAATCAAACCTATCGATAATAGACTTCATACTAGATTAAAGTCACATGGGAAACCTAATCACTTCTGGAACACAATAACAGTGGCGTTTCAATTTGGAATACTAAAGCTAAGGATGAAAAAAGAGCAGAAGGGGAAGGAGAAAATACCGCAGCAGATCTAATACCCAATTTCTACCACCCCTGCATCCCTTCTCGCCCATGTTCAGACGACTGTAGTTCGGACGATAATGCTATTTAGGGTGGTGGAGAGCGGCAGAATCGGCCAAAAACCGGCCAACAGCAGACAGAAGGAAAGAAAATGCACCAGGCCAATAAAAATGTGCCTGATGAGCCAATTGAAACAGTTCTTGGCAGAAATTTGGCTCATCCGCGCTGAGGCTTTCGAAGGGTTTTACAGCATGTGACAGGCGTGTAAATTAGTCCCGAAACGATGTCCCAATTTGAGAAAACTCTCGTGGAAATATGATACGTATTGTTCGAATCTTTTTCACGATTCAAAGAGATTGAATTACGTTCGCTACGTAGCATGTGTTGCCGTATGTAGATTATATTTGCTGTAGCTTGCTTGGGTGGAATAAAGACTCTAACCTTGGTGTCCAATCTGTGTAACTTTGCTGCTGTGAAGCCTATTATTCGATAGGCTCGGATCGAGGATAGGATACGACTGAAGGAGGCCGATATTACTACGAGCTGGGAGGGGAGTAACTCGATGGTAGCGAGATAACCAAACTAATCGCTTGTGAAACCTTCTGGTTCCCTTCGCGATAGCTTTTTATATATTGTGCGGTTTGTTTAGCGAGCCCACGAGTGGGTCTGATCTATACGACGTGCGTGCCGAGCCATCTCCGAGTTTTCTCCGCAGTCTCCGAGGCGCCTTCGTAGCTAAACAAAGCGTGTCGTGACATCATAGTCGCTCTTAGCTGCCTTTTGAGCCTGCTTGTTGCCATTGTATGCTAATTGGCAAGAACTATGGAGGCCGCAAAGTAAGTACTAAAGCACTATATATATTCGAAAAACGTTGACGGTGTCCGAGAAAGTATTCAAATGGCTCGTGAGCTAGTTGACCTAGAACCTGATTTGCTAAAGCGTACCGGACAAAACTCTATGTTTTCTTGAGAATAGCCAACCTCAAGTCTGATGCATATGCCAGTTAATTGTTTCCTGGAGTCCAACATCCAATGGCACCACAGGCGCCCAACCAAGCTTCGCCTTCGCTAACGTGATCTGCGGTTTCCGGGCGCAGGGATCGTCCACAAGCCGCGGCTGATAGACGATATTCACCTTTTTCTTGCCTGTAGAATTGGCGACCAGATCCACGATTCTCTCGGCTAATACCTGAATCGATGTCTCTACGTCATTGCCGATATTGACCGGCCCTTCACGGTAGTCACTATTCATAAGTATATATAAACCTTCGATACAGTCGGTGACAAATTGGAATGACCGAGTTGCAGTCCCATCACCCGTAATGCAAATATTTCTTCCAGCGAGGGCGGCAGAAATGAAACTTGATACCACGCGGCCATCGCCAGCACCCATGCGTGGCCCATAGGTGTTGAATATTCGAGCTATCCTGATGTCCACCCCGAATTGCTCACGGTATGCGTAGCATAAAGATTCGGCGACGCGTTTTCCTCGTCGTAGCATGCACGAGGTCCGAATGAATTCACATGGCCCCAATAGGTTTCGGGTTGTGGATGGACTTGGGGATCACCGTAAACCTCTATATTGATATATGATTCGAATTAGCCAAGCTCGATTCGTCTCGTTCCACTGCACAGTTACTACAGACCTGATGTACTGGCGTGTAAAATCCGAATACCCCTGGATTTTGCGATTTCCAATAGATTCTCTGTTCCAAGAAAGCAGGTTCGGAGCGTTTTCACTGGGATTTTCTGGTACTGTGGTGGACTAGCTGGACAAGCAAGATTGTAGATCTGATCGATTTCCTCTAGTCCTTGAAAGGGGTACTGAATGTCATGACTGAAAGCGAAGATCAGCAGAAACTTCAACACATGGGTTCGCAGTGCTCACTTGATCAGGGTGAATTGGGGATGATTCTCAAGGTGTTGTAGATTCTTGGGGGAACCAGTCTCAAAGCTATCCACCCCGATCACACGGTTGCCCTTTTGCAGAAGGAAGTCGATCAAGTGAGAGCCCAAAAACCCTGCACCCTACTCCTTGATCAGCGTTGGGGCAAAATTTCCAGAGAAGCAAGGCCAGAGACTTACTCCTGCGACAAGGATAGTTTTGGACCCGTTTGTGACATTCATGATCTGGAGGGGTTTTGTCGTGCTCTAGAAGAGCAACCTCTTGCAAATAAATGGCAAGACGAGGGGGAGGGATTGAGAAATCGAAGTGGGGTTAATGTGATCCACAAGTGACCTCAGTGCTACCAAGGCTGTGGCTGGCTGGAGTTAAGATCGTCTGCAAATTAGATTTCAAGCGAGATCTCAGAATAAATCTACGCACTGGCCACTTTTGTGAGTGAGGGGGGTCTAAGGTGGGGCAGTTGTAGGCACTTAGAACAAGATTGGGATGTTCGTCTGACGGGAATGTATAAGGTCGACTTTTTCAAAGTCGCATTGCATCTGTAGATATCTGAGACACCCGGCGGTGGCTGGCTGAAACCAACATAAGTTAGTTAGGTGAGAACCTTACCTGTCTATTCTTTGATTCCGCTCGGCAGCGTGGATTTCGGCTCGGACACTATCTCTTTTCAGGACCAGGCCATCATTCCGAGATAACTATTCGTCAAAAAGCCAAGAGAGGCAGGCATGTGAACCTAAACCCCGGGAATACCCTTGCGCCCTGGGTTGGCAACTAAGTCAACTATCTTGCTGATCTTCTCTGAGTCGGTGATCTTTGCCGAATTTGGTATAGAAGTAACTCTCAGCTGCATCGTCTGGCATGAAAACCCAATGATCGACTCTTTAGTCGATGGCATATAAAGAAATAGTTATTCTCAGTCCTACCCACTAGAACAAGAGAACTAGAAGACTATTGAGATCACCTTTCCAAAATGTCAGACAACGCCGATGGTGATTTTGAGGTCTTGGCGAAGAACCAGATATGGTTTAAAGAGTATAATAACGCCAACTACAAGCTAGTTGCACAAAGATATTTTGCTGACTGTGGCAATTTTGTGCATCCTCCATCTTCGGTAAGAACACTTTATGGTAGCGCTGAGGACCCCACAGCAGCGGTTGGCAACCCCATGTACGACGGTAGCACAGCTTCGGCAAACAAGGATAGCAACACTACCCTGTTCGGTATATGTTCTATTTAACTTCTATCGAAAGACGGCTCCATATAGGGTCAGTAGTTGGGGAAACGTGTTCTCCTCTCGAAGTCCGTTGACAGACTCAGCGTGAATAGTGGGCTACGTATATGAGTGACAATTATGCTACCGCAGCCATCCTGGCAGAGGTCCAAAACATCGACCAGGCCTATTATAATTGGCTTTATTATGATTCAAACGAGAAAGGCAAGAAACACAATTCCACGACCTTTAAAGGCCAAACATGGAAGGTAAAAAGACTCTTCAGATTGACATGGCACCTACTGATTTCTCGGCCTAGGTTTTGAGTGAGCTCGGACATGCCGATGAATGTACTGCTCTCTTTGAGATAAGTTTTGAGTGACAGGGGAGCCGGAGGGATATATTTTGTGTATGGAGGTGAATATCGTTGTTGTAGGCGCGGCCGTCAGCCCCATTTCGGATTATGTGAAGTAGATCGATAAAGAGGCCGTCATAATTACCCTTTCGCCTTGCATGGTAATTAGTGCAGCTTCCAAACCTATGCATCTGAACTCAGTGCATCTATCACACCCTGATCCATCATAAACTCATCATACACAAGATGGTACGATATGACATCAAACATTTTTGGGGAGAATGGTCTTGTAAATCAGCAAATTGCCTTCCCGCGCGCTGCCATGCGGCCTCTTTCGATCAATGCTTAGCGATAAGGGCTCTTGTAATCCTGAAGGCTTTAATCGTGATCTGTAACATATCTCGAAGGAATATAGCCATCTCACTGAGTAACAGGTAGATGATTATAGTGTGTGCTTCCAATCATTAAAAGGCGTCAGGGTTTGTTTCCGACCTACTCGGGCTTAAGGGGTATAAGCGCTTCTAGATTGTCACCATTTTCTGCGGGTATTGATGATTAGCCTGTTGTAGTCAGCCTGCTTAGCTATTTCAGATGTGGTGGAGGAGCGACTCTATCATATCACGTATAAGGACGAGCTTCACAGGGGAGTCTTGAACCCCTGTTGCCTTGAAGTTAATACCTGCTAAAACTGGGAAGACTTATAACTACGATATGATAAGGAGGGAAATGGTTGAGTGACGGAAGAGAAGGTGGACTATCGAGGTAGCATCCATATGTCGCTTTCGTGTGAAATACATTTCTTGCGGTCTGATAGCTTTATTATACGATGCAGCGACTGTTTTGTCGGAAAACGAATCCGCTATATGTGAGCTCTGATTAGACCAGGCATTTTATCCTCGTTTCCAATCAGAGCTCACATATAGCGGATCTATTTTCCGACAATAAAGTCGCAAGGGCGTGGAGGTACTGTATAACTGAGCCAGTAGCTGTGGTGTAGTGGTAGCACCCCGTGGCAGCCTGCAGGTCGACAGATTGGCCGCTCTTCGACCTGTGGGACAGGATTCGATTCCCAGCGCTAGGGGAAACATATCAACATCATGTCTTTGTGGTGAGACAACATAGTATAGTTACCCAGCCTTTTCACAAGTCAAAGTGGAGACAATCACGGGCCTTCGCCGGTGAGGATCAAAGTTCACTGTGGAAGTTTGGTAGAAGCACAGTTCAAATTTTGTATTTACAACACAACAGCGGTATGCTGCATATCTTTCGCGAAGTTGAGACAATCTTTTAAAGTACAAATGTATTAATTAATTCTAGTTATGTAGATATGCTATTCTCTAAGTAAGATCTGTTTGGCACATCCTCGAAAGTATGTAGAGGAACATGGAGTCTCTCCTCAAGTTCGGAGATATTAGAAATTCCGCTATTTACGAATTCATAGACCCTAATAAGTGTATACTCTCTACATAGCTCTGAAAAAAAATAATCTTAGCTAGATAAGTATTCAAGACCCTAGGAGAGAAAGAAGACATAAGGTCTCGGGTAGTCTTATTTACAGGAGAGGGGAAAGCAGAAAGAAAAGCACAGTCTGTACCTCAGCTTTGTCGTGTTCCGTTTCATATGAGTGTTGCTAGTAGCACCCAGTTGTTGCTGGCAAATCACTCAGCAGTTGTTGGCAGGGCATCCATCCCAATCACCTTGCACCCATCGAAAGGAGTTCTTATTCGCAGGAATTTGAACGCATTCCTCTGCAATGCCAAATCTTTCATCGTCAATACAATCGTTCTGGCATGGACAGCCATCATCATCAGAAACAATCAACACTCTAGGGCTGCCCGTGTCACCGCCTTTAGTATAGAAAGAGTTCCTGCCATTTTCTGAGAGACAGCCAGGGTTAGACATGTCAATCCATTCCCCACAGTCTTCATTGCAAGCAGTGTCGGTACAAAATCGGCCCCACTGTTCGAAGGTCAACGGTTTAATTGTCGTGTTGACTGCTGGAGTGTCATAGGATAAATTTGCTGTCTTAACGGCTGAAGTTGGAGAAGACAAATTGCTTTTGTCAACGACCGGGGTCGCATGGGATGATTTGGTCAAGGCAGCCAGCAAAACTGTCACAGAATAGATGAAAAAGTGCATTTTCAGCAGGAGGATTGATTCCGGTCCAGGTATTCCTGACAGAATTTCTTGAGCAAGATTAAACAGGTGGATATGATTCAAATCTGCCTCTTTTTAAGATAATGGCGGAATCTTTAGACTTAAATAGTTTAGGACTTTGTACGATGCATTTTCATTCTGACTAAATTCACGGTTCGTATATTAGGCATCCGACGGGCGATCAGGCCACCAGGCGCTCGGGCTTTAGGGACCTCTGGGGTTTGGGGGGCGTCCGGGGCTCTGGGGCCGCCCGATGAGGGACTGTAACGTAACTAGCGAGGCATTTTCATTCTGCTTAAAGTTATGATTCGTATATTAGGCGTTCTACGGCCGATAAGTTACCCTGATGAGGGGCTGTGATGATTGACCTCATCAGTTCTGGATGGGGCCGTAAAATACTCAAGACGTCCTCGTCATTATTGCTTCAATAGTTAAATGATGAATTTGCGATACTGTTAGAAACTTTTGCAGGAAGTTTCACAAGATTCATCGTCAATATAACATGCATATATACAGCTTAAGCTTAAGAATAGCGTATGTAGTAGTGTAGAAGCACTACCAGAATTCGGGATGCGTTGTAAAGTTGATTTTCGTGAACCCCTACAAGTCATATACATCTTGATACAGAGAAGTGGAATATGGCTATCTCAGTAGTACACACAAGGTTTAGGGAGTGATATACAGCTATTTCCTTGTGTCTCATTCCTCAGTATTCTCCATAGGGCACCTTGACTTATTTAATGATAATTGCGGAACAATATTATAGTGATATGGAGATTTAAAAGCTAATTATAGGTGGACTTGGGTATAGGGCTATGTTGTTGAGTCACTAAGAGCAGGTTATAGACAGGTTACTATTATATTGAGTAGAAAAGCAGAATACATCCTAGGTACAAACGAAACTTGAGACAAGAAAGAAAGTTGAAGACTCATGAATAGTTTACTCGAATAGGTTGAACGATTCTAAGAAATCCTATATAGTCTCTTGTGTATGTTGAAGTACACAATAATCAAACCTTACCTATCTCATCGAGACTATCGAGATTGTGCGGCAATTACTGGGCAACGGTAGAAGTCTCAACCTCTTCCTCTAGGCAGTACACTTTTGCATGCATCATAAATGCCAAGAGCCGCTGACGACGAAAGTAAATATTGGTCAAGTCAACACGTGCGCCGGCTTCAGCATCATTCTGACCAGTGATTAGGATCAACATGAAAAACGTCTCAATAATGCTGGGAGGCACGTTCGAGATCAACTGCCCAGTCAGACTCCAGCGCATGGCGCTAGATGCAACGAGGCAACCGATGGTCATTATGAAACCAGCAACGACCATGAGAAGATGGGAGCTAATAGCATCCATTTTCCGGGACACGCGACGGCTCAGAGATGGGGTCTTGGGGTTATCCACGGCAGGAATGGGCACAGACAGTTCAGCGAACAAGGTGGTGTCGAGTATCTCCACTTGGCGCACCTGAGACTTGGTATTCTGGTGCACTTTGCTCTGGACATTGCGGAGAACAAAACTGTCGAACAGACCAACCAGCCCAGCGTAGGTGCCTATAAGTAGCCACCAGGTATTGTTGAATTGGAAGACTGGGCCGACGGCTGCCCAAGTGACAATCACTGCAATGAGGAACAGGATTCCTACGAGTGTGCCGATGATATCGGCATAGTAGTAGATCATCTTTTGAAGATAATTCTCCTTGGGCGAGACATCGACTACAACAGGATTGGGCGTGTCATCTTCGCCGAGAAGACGAAGCTCACCCTCGAGAGTCGAGTCAAGCCGGAAGATCGCATCCAAACAAATATTGGTATAATCGGCGTAACACTCACGCAGGCATGCAAGGAAGGCGAAGACCAGGAGCATCAGAGCAGATGTTGCATCGTTGATGTATAATTGCCAGCGGTTCGACCAGTCGCACTTGGGGCCAAATCCGAGCCAAATGAAGATGCAGACCCAGTACATGCCAACAGTGATAATATGTCCGAATCCTTTCGCGGACAAGATTATGCAACGGGCAAACAGATTCTGAGTGTGTAAGCCATGATCCAGAGGGCGCAAAGGCTCCTCCCTGACACTTCTCTGAGACTTGTCGAATCCCCTCTGATCCAAGCTTGTTCTTGACCTTGGCAAGCATTCGACGGTGACTGTGGCAGCGTGACTGGATTTTAACCATAGCCTCACGCTGCTCTGTGTACTCCCGGAGAAGTTGGCGCATCAATAGGGAATCGAAGACATAACACAAGATAGCCTGGATATCGGAGATGGCAGCCACCCAGACATCCGAGTTACCAAAGCGAATGCCCGTCAGCGCCCAGGCCAAGAGACCACTGACAATGACCAGGAAGACAGGAGCTGACCCAGCAAATTGCACAAATTTATCGAGCCACCGGTCAACGAGGCGGGGACTTGCGCTCGCCCTGTATGCGACCTTTTCAGTCGCGTCAACGGTATAAGAGCCATTCTTTGCAGTTCGTACACTTGTCACTTGCTGCGTTTCCGCAGCTCCTTTCACCTCACACAGGAATACGGGCTTGAAGCTCTTCATTATGGTTCGCTGAATGATTTTCCGTAGGATTTTGGATCTGATGCGATGCAATTGGGCAGCGAGGATTGAGCTTCCGGCTTTGTTGATACGCGTGGCCAGTTAAGGGGGTCGAGTCTCGTCTGCAGGCACGCAAGAGATTCTCAGGGCAGCCAGGATGCCGGAGATAGAGCACGTAGCAGAGAAGGGAATGTTCATCGAGAGGGGATAAGTCATCCAGAGTCAATTGTAGAATTTGTGTGTTGCGAGAACGTCAAAGACGTTGGAAGAATTAAAGCAGGATTAAGGAAGATGAGGGAGACTAGGAATTTTGAGTTTTAAATAGAAAAGTTCACACGGGAGACGAGGAAAAAAGCGAGGAAAAAACCGAGGAAAAGCTTAGCCTCCACGTGTAGTAGAACATTAATTGCCTCACATGAAATCAATTAGGAAAGCCTGTTGTGGGGCCTTAGAACCCGGCCCATCTACGAAGAGTCGTATCCGCTATTTAATCTGAACTACAATATGCCATCTTGAATGTGCCCGACTTCGTATTTACAGTCAGGAATTGAATTTTAAATCAACTTGCATTGCAATAAAGCAAATGGATGAGGGGGAGCGCTGAGCAGTGAAGAAAAAAAGTTTTCTTGGACGCCGTGGGTGCCGAGTGGATGTCACGACTATAACGGGGCCAGGCAACCACAATTCGATGAACTTTGGCTGAGAGTCAGCCCTATCAGACACCGATGCCCAATGCTTGACTTTCTCCTTGAACTGAAGCTCCAGGCTTTCGAGACACGATTTTCGGCGTTCACCGCTGGTTCTAGAACATACTATCGTCCGCTGGAAAATGGACGCTCATGACTGTAATATCCGCCGTCTAAGCCCTGAACATCATGCCCACCCACGTTCTCGAACATAGACGAAATAAGGTTTGTTTCTTCCGTAGTGTTGATTGAAGAAGTATCAGCAAGTCCGTGACTTATCTGATTTGTTGCGGGCTTAGCCGTGCATATTTCAAAGCAGTGCCTGATTCGTTGAAGTGTATCAGGACTCCATCGTCCCCCAAGTAAAAGAAATCTGTCGAATTCGCACTTTCAAACAAAGAATTGTCTGAAGGAGAAGTACATGATGAGTTCAATTGTTGGACTAAAGTAGAATTCTTTTAAAAATAAAGCAAAGAAGGACTGGCCGAGAAAATTGCTAAAGGGATGGTATAGCCATAAACTTGTAATTCAGGGAAGTCAAGATACGGAAAATACTGTGCTATTCATAGACCTAGAGGGATGCGTCCACCGCGTGCTTTCCATTCCATACTCCCTCTTCCTTGCAGGACACACGTGAAATCCCACATATTAGGGATATGATTTCCTTTCCCCCTCTACACCCTAATTTTTTGATCATGAAACACAATAGCCCTCGTTCTGCTCTTCAAGGCGAGCTAACTGGCACGTCATTACTCGTCAAACAAAGGTAATTGGTAAATCAGAGGATGTCCCACTCATTGAAGTGTATATCCGTGATGTGATTAAATGACTCACCCAGGATATCTTTCTAGCCACTGAGTGGCCGGGAGATTAACCACAGGAGAATTTTCTGCCGAGGATGGGTATTGCCTAGACCTACAAGACCACGTGACTGCCATGGTCACAGCCGGAGAGAAGCCTGCCACGACTCAGGACTAAGTCTTGAAGAACTAAAATCTCGCCAACAACAGTATGCAGGACTGTGCCTTCGTGAACGACAAATGGAAAGCCCCCATGGACAACATAGACTCAAAGCTACTGAGTATTCCCTCTCCTCTTTCGACCCCCTCTGCCTAATGGCCAGTGTCCTAAGATCAAACACATAGGTCTAGGGACATTAGATCAGCTTCACCAGACCGCGTGCCTGGGACCAATTCATCCACCCCCTGGTCGTGCGACCACTCCAACCGTAAGGTCGCCAATTAGCGACCGCGATGATGATGATGATGATGATGATGATATATGCATCAGACATAGACGATATATTATTCTTTAGCCTGAATCTAAATATTTTTGTAGCTTGTATAGACCGTAGTCTGTAGATCTACGGCTGTCACGGCTACCTGACTGTATAAGACTCCAGTTAACAGAGTGAACGATGTGGTAGACTTGGAGCTGTTCCCGTACGTCCGAAGTGGATGCACGTCCACAAGGTCAGCCCTATATCATCATACCGCTGGACATCTTAGGCACTGCCGCATGACAAAGACGGCCCAGAATTCCTCCAAAGCTAAGCTAATAGCGCCTAAGCCATTTTGTATCTAAACGATTGATTCGGACGCTCAGACATACCAGTGGCCTAAAGCCCGATAATGTTACCTGTACTTCGAGCAGGGGCAATATGCCATGGAAACTAGATTGCTTTATACGAGGCATGATTTTCTGTCTGAACTAGCTGGTTACCTTTCCTTTCATTAGCTCTTTCCCTTATAGAGAGGGCGAAACCTGATGAAGACAAGAGCGATCATTTTAATTCCTTATCTGTAGCCGAGCTATATTTGACTGTGGAACTAGAAGAGGCCATGGCCTTAATAGGCTAGGAATTTTATTGAAGCATACTACCTTAGAATCTTCTAGATCAAAGACGGATGCATGCTTATAGTTTGTTTCCCCCAGTTCCCTTGGAGTGCTCCTGTCTCCTTCCCAGCCCTCCTTCCCAAAGAACGCAGTCCCCTTTGCCTTGAGTGTGCTCCTTATACCCCTTTGAGTAAGGCGAACTGGGTCTGTCGTCACTTTCAAGGATCCCAAACACTAACTTGTGTGATAGCGCTTAATTTTTGAAAGTTTGTGAAGCTGTATCCGTGAGGTAAGATCCTCCTGCGCGTCTCCTTCAATCAGACGTTCACCTGGGAGCACAATTGCCCGATCAAGCTTATAGGGCAACCCACGATGGCGTCCTCTAATCATCATCGCACAGACGATAAGCTTGCTGAATGTAGTGAATTCTCCAGACAAGGACGTATTCACAGTTGGGTATCCGAGGCTCAGGCCGACATTGGCACTACAAGTGTCAGCATATTTGATCTGGAGTCAAGGTTGGGACATTTGCAGAACTGGAGACTTACTAGGCTGATACTACCTCAAAGAGCACCGACCAAACAGAAAATGCCTAATCTTGGTCAGCGGTGGGTGCTAAGAAGTTCAATGAGGATTTATCAGCTTACAGGTATTGATGTATCGGCAATCTTCCCCGACTCGGCAATGGTGATACAAAAAACCCCAAAGAAGATATACCACAGGTCAAAGGTGAGTTGATTCCGGATATGAGTCAAGACGTATGAACGTCCGTCTCCCTCATCTATCTCGTCATCACCAGCGTATACTCCAAGACTCTTCTCTTCGTAGGTGTTCGACGCTCTCATGCTAATCGCGATAGGAAACACCGCAATGTACATCATGACGAACAAGCTGAACTGAACTGCAGGGTTCACGTCTGCCAAATTGAACGTGGCTGTTCCTGTGTGTCGTGAAGAAGCTGCTTGGAAGATGGCCGCCACGAGGCGAGTGCCCGCGGGGAGAATATTCACTGTAGGGTTATTAAGATCTAGCACGATGATAAGAATTATATCGATGAAGTTCATCACAAACAGGACCCCAAATAAGACCCATGTGGGTCGACTTGGGAAGAGTAAGGTGTAGCAACGGCGGGGGTGGTCAAGTAAAAAGCCTAGAGTCTCTTTCATCGACGACCCTTCTGGGGCGAATTTCCAGATGGTCCAAATAGCGAACCGGAGCAGACACGGATAGCAGGTATTGCCTGCGTACGCAAGGAAACTCATGACGATGAGTGGGAATTCTGCGTCTTGGAAGGAAATCATCGAGTCTGGAGTGAGGGTAAAGCCTAGGTTATTCACCATCGTCTGGGCGGAATAGAACCCCCTGAACGGCAGCTAAGTTAGAAGATGGTCTACCCAGGCATATCATCATAGAGGCTAGCGTGAAACCAACGAAAGGCCCAAGTCAACTTACCACCAGACACTGCCTTGTCCGCATTCCGCAAGATAATCTCGATACTTCGGGTCGGCACGCAAGATCCATGGGACAAGACAAATGGCCCCAAAGAGGTGGAGGCCAAAGAAATACGCAGTGACAATCTTAAGTAGAAGCTTCAAGCTACGGTATTCAATACCCCCCAGCCTTTCACGATCTTCGGTGGTCAAGTGATAGAACTGCGAATTTCGGCCTATGGTTGCTTGGGAGGAGATATTAGGCAGAGCGAGCTGCCTGTATGTGGGCTGTGACGGCCTTTGCGAGTGTCGGTCATAACTCGCTGATTCTCCCGGTCGAAACAGCATCGAGGCAACACGCTCCAGGGGTGCTGTGGCAGACAGAACGCTGCTCCCCGTCCTGCGGAAGGAAGGTTCCCCGGCGCAAGTCTTTGTTTCTGTTCGCGTCCCTTTGAGTGATTCTGGTCGCAAAATTGTTCATCAATATAAGCTAATCATTGAAAATTGTAGGGAAGAGGCGAGACCCTACCACACTCATCTCCTTCATCGTCAACCTCAAGAATCGGACTTCCTATTTTCCATTGTCAGCTTCCAGACACAAGGGGCATTCATGTGAGTGCGCACCTCTATCGCGCTTCCACGGCGGAGGAATGTAGAGTGCCTTCTCCGACTGTTCAGCCGGTTGACCTGAAAGGTCGTCTCCGAACTTGATCGTTCTGGACGGCAAGGTGGGAGTAGTGTTGGGGTCCTTGTGGGACGATCTCTGATCAAGTTTCTCAGAAGGCAGGCGCTGGAAAGTTTGCAGCGAGCTCACTTGGATGTCTGAATTTGAGTTCCCATTCACTGCATTGGTCCCAGGATTTCCATAATGACTTTGGCCACCTCGATTGTCTACGCTCGTAGATCGGGCACCTTCCACGTCACGAACCGAGGTTCCTCCGGAAGTTGATACAGAATTCAAAATGCCCGGAGCTGTCATATTCTCATGATTAGCCACCACCGAGCCATTTCCCGAGCTATTGAACCACAACCTTACCCACAGATCGGAGATACTTCTCGAACCAGTGAAGCCGCACGACAACGACGACAATGTTGATGAACCCCAAGTTTCCCAGAATTGGGATCACGTAAATATATACCTGCTGGTACGTTTTAAGGACTTTGACATCAATCCTGAACAAGTGGTTTGTGAGTGCGCAGACCCAATAGAGGACGGGTAAGTCAGCCAACGCACGTGTTGAGTCCCGACTCGGTGGAGGCACTCGCTCCAAAGAAGAAGGCGTCTACCGCTTTGAGGTTTCCATAAGGATAGATGATAACGAGGCTGAGGATGGCGAGCGTGAGGATCCATGTATCTAGGAGAGTATCAGGTGAGCCCAAAAGTGCCTCCGAAAAGACGGTGGGATCTCTTCCACGGGCTATTCTTCTCACGCACAATGTAAGGTTAAGAAGTTAACTGGCGGCGTCCACATGGCGGGGAGCCTCACGGGGGTTTTCCAGCCGAGTTCCGTGAAATAAAATCGCTCAGGAGAAAGTACGGGATGGTTTGCCGGAGAAGGTTTAATTGCACGAATCAACCTGCGGGAATTTTCCCTTGGTTGGGCCGTCATCTAAACTCAAATGGGTGAGGGCTGGACGACAGTCTCAGAGGGTGTTGCGGGTGCGCGATTATCCACACCCAATCACCATTGGCCTGTGCCGCCCCCAATGTCGCGCCACAAGAGAACAGAGAAACATCACACCCGTGGCAGACAGATAACCCATGACACACGGAATGATGAAATCAAAGCAGGAGACTCGAGGAAATACACAGAGAGACAAGAAGTTACATTGCTGAAGAGCGCCCGAAGTCCCGCTCCTGCCGTTCCTCATGGCGACTCCAGTTCACCTATTACTTTTCTTCATCCTCTAGCATTATCCACCCATTCTCTCAATTTCACTGGGCCGGTTCCATCTCAATCGCCACTGCATCCTCCTGCTAATGCCCTAGCTTGCAGAGATGGTGTGCGACATCGGGGCAGTTCGCTCTAGCTCTCCAACTTCAATATGGCACTCACCCTTCTTTACGGATCTCGATATCTCCTCATCCGATAGCGTGGAGGTCACGGGTCTGCGGCCTGGGGAGATACTATCTTCGAGTAGCTGCAACATCACGCCAAACATTTTCTCAGTTTGAGTAATCTTAGCGGGCTAGCCGGACCCAAAAATGTGGAAGGTACCTTGACCCTGCCAGTTGACAAGTTCGTAATGGTACAGCAAGATCCAAATAGTACCAATGATGGGTGTATCACTCCACGAGCTTTGGGGAAATACCCGTTTCGGGGCTTGCGGAGGCACGGAACACGGGGAGGAGCTGGATCGCAGTGGTAACTTCAAGCAACAGAAGACTGGGGTAGTGGTGTCTACGAGTTAAGTGGTACACGTACACTCCAATTACCGTCGCATAAGGTTGCGGCAAACGAACTTAGAAGTGAGACTTACTCTTTCACTGCCAAGGCTCTGGATCTCTAGAGGTGCTGTGGACTTTCCCCTCATACGATATAGATGCGAAGCAAGATATCATCTCTTCATTTCTTTTCCAGAATATACTGAGGTAGTCAACTAAAGGGGGCATCTTGTAATCGACCTCGTCAGGCGCTTTTGCACTTCGGGATGTTCGATTGGCTATCTTGACTCATGTACAAAGTGCCAGCGGAAAAACGAGCTGGGGATATACCAATGAAATAACTGGTCTTTTTTTTTAGGAATCTTTTGCCTTTTCGCTCTTCATTCTCATACTTTGAATGCTTATACTGAATGGAAAACCTGTTTATTTGAGATGCACCGCAGAAATAACAGGCAGTATGGACAGGGATAAGTGCTCTTATAATATATCCGTATTCAAAATAAGTCACAATAGCGATGCTTAAGCCGCTACGCAATTACTAAGAACCTTCCACCACAAAAATAGATGCTGTCGAGGACACCTACAAATGTGACAGTTACACAGTAGATATCGCCAAACCTGACGTCAAACAGTACTATATGAGGAAATTGTGCTGGTGAGGACATAACCATTGAGTCACGTATGGCCTTACGTCGGCGTCCAATTGCTGGCGGGTGCCAGCGAAGCTCCCGGCAGAGAGGACTTCCCTCACCCCCTATCCCGAAAGACGTGGATAGTATACTTGCCTGTGAATGGCAAAGCAACGACATAGCTGATTTGCTTTCCAACTCAATTCAATATAGTTTAGATTGAGGGGATGGTCTGGGCTAGATCCAACCTTTGCCACTATAATATGGAGAAATCCTTGAAGAGTAATAAGAGATGACCAATTTTGAGGTATCAGCTTATATAATCCCAACCCTGATAACTAACTAACTAGTCAACTATATAACTATTAAGTGACTACTGAATTGACGCAACTAGAAAATCTGGAATTCGCAAAACTGTGCGCGAACGATTCATTCAATCGAACTTGACGCGAACAATGTTTGACCAATATTCCCCGCGTGTAGCTTCGCTGAAATCTAAGAGGTGAGATTCGGTCACCTCTGTCAACGGCTTCTCCCACAAGGCATGCCATACCCCCTGTGCTTGGATATCATATTCATGTCCCGCTTCAAAGTTAAATACAGGGAGCTTGACTGTTTGATTGATGGTCTGACCCGCTTCTATTTCCACAAGATCTTGGCGGGTCGCTGGCAATTTTCTGGACAACTTGACTTTGTCGATGGGAATTATTTGAGAATCTTCAGAATTGCGAATCTCAAAGACACCTAGGACCCCAGCTTTAGAGTCCAGAGGGGTGTTCCATGTTAGAATTGTTACTGGGGTTGCCGCATCGTTGCGAATGAAGGTGGTGATGGAACCAGGAGGAGACAAAGCGTCTTGGAAATTTGATGGTTGAAAGGCCAGAATGACCTGCAGACTCGAAGCAGGGTACATTGTCCTTGCTTTTATCGATAGCAGGAATAAGAGGTGAGAACCGTTGAGAGACTGAAGCTTCCGAACTGGAACTTTATGACAAATGAAAAGAAAAAATCATCCAAGATTCAGTCAAAGTTGAGGGGAAGAATGAAGAAAGGGCAATCACCCACCCGCGCCTACCTAGTATCAGGTTGTTTATCATCACCAAACCCCGCCCTCCTCTCCCACGGACAGTTGACTATATGTCAGCATTAGTAAGAGATAAACAAGTCAAGAAACAAGTTTTCGGCCAGTCGTACGCTTCTGGTTTCTTCTTGTCCGTTCAGACACTCTTCATCATTAAGATGAACCGTGTACGTTGGTCTTGTGGCGCCCTCCAACTAAGTGACATGTAACCCTCCTTCAGTCCCATTTTGGCGGTCATCTTGTGATACTTTGGATCGTCCTCAAAATTACTCCAATAGGGGATAGTTGTCATGTGTCCAGGGAGCTACACATGAATGAAACATTCAGTGTGATTGCTGTAAGTCTACAAAAGCGATAGCTAAGCCCTCGGCCTTGCATGAAATAAGACTTAGGCTTATCTTGGGTTGTATCTTTGTTTCCTTGGCGTCGCGGACTCCGCGACGCCAAGGTACAGCTAAAGTTCTTGGCATCCAAAGAATGATCACCCCATCATATATCCTAGTTGCCCATCCGAAACACATACATTGGAGAGCTAAGCCATCTTGGAAATCCCGAATCTAATCAATCGAAGTGAGAAAGGTTAGCGTACTATGAAGTGCCACGGCAATAGCGGAGGCGCACGGTCCTGAGTGATCCACAACATCTACTACACACCTTCATTTCCTCCTACGAGCCATTGATCCCTTCTATTAAGTGGGGCTTACGGACAGCGGCTTAATTCTTCCCAGCCCAATCGCCGCACACGGTAAGCCCCCATCTTTATAGTCTATGCCCTTTTTAAACATCTAACTCGGCAGATACACTACCCGTTATGGTTTGATTTAGCCGGCGTCATTTGGCAGGAGCGGTTCTCCGCCGGGCCAAGAATACGGAAGCACTTCTCAATTCTCGTACAGGCCTGATCTCATTAATGCCAAGGTTCTGGAGATATTGGCAGCCAGTGATGTATGGTCCCTTCTTCTTCACAGACGGGAAGATGAGTCTCAACACCAGACGATCTTCAATGCACCTTTTACGACTTTCGGAGGCGGGGTAGCCAGTTACTATACGGTTCTGCCGTGACTAGTTTACTTGGTGGTGTGCCTTGAGTAGTTCCACGCGAAGCTCAATGTCCTGATGACAATCTGAATAACTCCCTCAGAGATCTATAAATTGAACGGCTCGGCCGCGCATATTTGATATGCAAACTCAAGGCCATTCCAATTCAAATATACCTTTCAAATTCCGCTTATCGCCAAGAATCTAAGATATCTTCACCATGCGATTTACCGTCTTGTCTGCGGGCTGCCTGGCCATCCTACAAAATGTGCATGCTTTCCCCACCCAGACTCATCAGTCATCCGCCTTGAATGTCACCTTGAGCTGGGCGGGCGATACACGCATCAAAGCTGTCGTGGAAAACACCAGCGGTGAGAGAGTCACCTTCGTGCACCTCAACTTCTTCGGTGACAGCGCTCCAGTCAAAAAGGTCACGGTCTACCAGAATAGTAAGACAAACGGATCTCGATCAATTTGCAGGGACCCACGGTAATTGACCATTCATGCAGATGAGGAAGTCGTTTTTGACGGGATAAAACGCCGCTTGCAGCTTCAAGGGCTAGGGTCAGCCTCCGTCACGGCTCTTGGAGCCGGAGAAACTTTGGAGGATGAATTTGATATTGCCGAGACCACTGACCTGTCTCTCGGAGGTGCCGTTACCCTACGCTCTGATGGTCTGGTGCCGGTGGTCAGCGAGGGAGTGGTGACTGGGTATTTGCCATACAGTTCGAATGACCTGGAAATTGACGTGGATGGATCCAAAGCGTCACGAGTACCCAAAGCGCTGAAGTTGCTTGAACGTCGCACCGAAGAGAGCTGCAGCAACCCCAGCCGTAAGTCGGCCCTGGAGACAGCTTTGACTAACACGGTTAAGCTCGCCAGTGCGGCCGCCACAGCGGCGAGGTCTGGGTCATCCTCCAAATTTAGGGAATACTTCCAAACCACCTCCAGCTCGACTCGCTCGGTCGTTACGGCCCGACTCACTGCCGTGGCCCAGGAGGCGAAATCAGTCAGGTCGGGGGCAACGACATATCACTGCAGTGATCCCTATGGATACTGCGACACAAATGTGCTGGCTTATACGCTGCCCTCGCGCAACGAAATTGCCAATTGCGATATTTTTTATTCCGTCCTACCAGCCCTAGCTAGGAACTGCCACGAGCAGGACCAGGCCACGACCGTCCTGCATGAATTAACCCATGCGCCCGGCGTGTATAGCCCCGGTACTGAGGATCTGGGATATGGCTACTCAGCCGCCACCTCTCTCAGTAGTTCCCAAGCTGTCCTAAATGCAGACTCGTATGCCTTGTACGCGAATGGTATGTTATTTGGCATATACCATTCCGCTTGTGAGAAATGTACCAAGCTGACCCAATGGCACAGCGATCAACCTTGGCTGCTGACCCATTCCAGTGGCTGGGCCCAAGCGGCCACCGACTGTATGGTTGCGAATATGATGGAGAATTCGGGGAGGAGGGTGCGGGTCAAGTCGGATATATATATAGATCCGTGTACCTGGAAGATCCTCACTAGAATGGAATTTATCCTTATCAAGTGTTTGATGATCACCGGTGGACTCTTTAGACCGCATTACTAACCTACAGTCGATGCAGGAGGTTGTGCCCGTAATGACAGGGTGATTGGGCGGGAACAAAGACTGGAGTGTGTGCATGGACGAGAACTGATGGCGTTCATCTTTCCACGTGGCGCGCGCCACGTGTTCGCGAGTTCGACGAACTAAAGTCGAAAGTATGAATGACATGAAACGAAACCTTGGAAAAGCCCTCCTGGTTTTCTAATGCGCTTGGAAACTACTGTTCCGAAGATAAACGGGTAATATGGTTGAGAAGTCCCATGCATCCATTTGAATCGTTCACTCCAGATGTAGACTCCAAACGACTTGATAGTTACCTTTCCCTGGAAACTCGCTTAGTCAGGGGATCAAGCTTAAACTAAGAATCCCAACGCGGTAACAAGATGGAGCTGAACGTGGTGCTTGCCTTTTAGCGATGCCATAATCATCCAAATGGGACCCTCGCATCGGCCCACTGAATTGCTTGAGTCCATGGGGGGGCCTTATGTGGCACTCTTATATTCTGCTAAATCGCGGTGCAAACTGCTGACGAGCTTCATGCTTTCGCTGTTCTCTATGGCCTGGCACAAGTGCTATGGGGTTGTCTGTTGGCACTGTTCTCTCTACGAAAGATCTGGACAAGACTGAAACGGGGATAAGGGATGAAAATGGCGCTGATGAGCTTCGAGCTGTTGGCTGGAGTCTCTGTCGCTGAAGCATTCATCGCGCATACCGATGGTTATCTTGCCACCCAGGTCTAGGCTGGCGTGGTTTTGATCGTGGGCGAGCTAGCCCTGTGCACATCGCATATCATCATCTCGGGTCCGAACATTCGAGCGGAACTATAATTATGGATTTAGAGGCTAATCAGAAAAATAGCTCCTTGTTAACATCAAGAAATATTCCTATATGATAAGCGGTCATCCCTAATTATGCAAAAAACCTGGGAGATGATCGTGATGGTTCATTCAGACTTTTTACGATCTCAAGTCGCAGTGATATGCAGCGTTCTGCATAATGTGCACTATCCCCCTTCCCAGAGCTGTCTCCATATGATACTGCTAATGACTCGTATCTTCTTTCGCGTCTACAGAAAGTAAGATAAGAAATGAAGTCATCCGGTTAGAACGCATTTTTGCTGCCAGGCTGCTCCGGCTCTGATCCTACTTTTTGGGACAATATTCTCAAAATGGCCATGATGCTATCGAACTTACGGTCACGGGCAAAGCGGGAATTTCTGAGACTCCTTCCATTTTCATAGTAACAAAAAACTAATATACGCGAATCCTCCACTCACAATCACTTTGTGGAAGGGTTAGGCATACCCGAAGTATAAGGCCATTTGCGGAACAGGTCGGCAAGGTGGTCAATCGGTGCGGTGAGAAGGCCAACCACCGTCTCGAACGGAGGCCTGTCTGGGGCACTCGGGTAGGGAGCGAGAGGGGACGAACATCTTTGTTCGTCCGAATGTTGTTGAGAGCTGCTCACTTTGCTCCTGCGGGAGCGCCGTCTCCAGTTTTGGTAGATCATCAGCTTCTTCTTCCTTGATGTGCTGTCGCAGATCTTGCATAAGAGCTTTAATCGTAGGAATGAATTCAGCATCGGACGGGTCCATGTTCTGGAATTTCTTCAGTTGTTCTTTGACCTTGTATGGCTGTCAGTGAGGTTTCAAGAGAAGGAAGAAAGGCGAACATACTGACTGGTGCTCTTGACGGTCCTTGTCGGCAAGCTCGCGGCCGTGAGGGACATGCTTTTCGAAAGCCGGGTAAACGACCAACTCCTCTCCAATTGAATGACGAGCCAGTTCCCAGGTGAATTGATTCTGGAACCGAATTTGCTCCGTCTTGTCGGTGGCGTCGAGGATCTGGTTGTAGTAAGACTCGATCTCTTGATGGTCCTTCTTGATCGTGTCGCTGATACGTGACGCCATGGCGAGAGAGGTGACCGAAAATGCACGTCTAGCTTCAAATACGGTTGCAGCGTTAGTTCTGCACGCTTTCGATCCACGAAGTAAAAAGCTCATCATGCAGATCTGGATTTTCATTCTGTTTAGGGGGGCCCCTTATTTTATACATAGAAGGCACGCGGGCACTGTAGTGCTTGACATCAGACTGACTCCGACTACGGTTGGCCAGGTGACACAGTGACGTATCAAAATGGGGTTCGAGCTTTGGGCTCCAGATTCCACCAAACAACGAAAGCCCCCAACCATGCAGTGAAAGTGGCAAGAACACGCTACAGTTGATTTCCACACCAAATCAAGGTTCGACTATTGCGATTCGCTGGTCGAATGCAGCGGGGAGATAAACCTGAGTCGCGCCCTTTGTTCGTTCTTGTAATGTGCATTGAACGCGGCCAGTCAGCAAGCATGACTGGTTAGAGCGGGGATGAAACGGATACCTGGCTCCTGAGATGGGCGAAATTGAGGCATTTTTAAGTGCATAGCACTGTATTTGCAAAAGGAAAAGAACCATTGGCTCGGGCTACTGGTTCACAGCCCTGCAGCGCCAAGGCACAGCGACAGGTTGGAATATCCGCACCATTCAGATTTGCTAGTGTGCCATTAGGGCAACTTTCGGCTTAGCCATCGAACTATTAACTTGATTTACCAGCCCGAGTAGACGCTCATTTCCGAGAATGTAAACAGATCGGTCATATCGCCGGATTTACTCATGGAAAGTAATCTGCCATCAAACCCACGCCTTGGGTTTCGATAGATTATAGCTTATTCTGTAAGCATACCAACCAAAATGACACGAGATCTCCGACTTCAAGATACTTACGGCGCAACGTGTCTGGTCCCGCCTGGTGCTGAGACGGATGATGTCACAACTTGTCATCCGCCACGACACGACCTCGGGAGCTAGTGTAGGTGAGGAAATCTATGCTAGAGCTAACGTATTACTGGCGGGAACTATTGTTAGCTGGACTGCTTGATATCTTCCGGCTCTCTTGAGTTCATCAGCCAGTGATGGGAATTACGGAGAACTTTTTGGGGTCATGTTTTTGAGTCCGATCTTATTGGCATAAAATGCATTGCATAGTTATACCTCTAGGCAGCGCTCAATATGGAAGGGCTATTCTTCTATGACCATTATGTCTTGCCTTGGAACAGCCATTGGCCATATTTGTGGAGTTAGCGAAATGCCTGGTGGGAACTTGGTACAGCCTCATTGCGCAGTATGCCCTCTTGTCTGGAGCTTTGAAGGCCCAATCATCTTGCCCGGTCTGGCGAGAGGTTCACCATGGAATTTATTGGTCAAGAGGAGCTTTACGAGGAAAGGGAACTACCGAGGAATGACTGCTTTCTGTCTTGATTGGCCGCTCAATGATTTGGATATTCAGGTGTTTGGGCGACTGATAGGGAGAGTCCCATAATTGTGTCCGTCAGCTCTTGGACGGCGGCTCCGAGTCTATCTCACACAGCATCCCATTTCAGCAATTTCCTTCACCCGACGAGGTGACTTGTGGGACCTCCACCTTTCTATTCCTTGAACTTGTCTATGATTTTTCATAAATTTTGGATCATAACACATTTCACTTATGCGTCGCGTCACTATGAACACCCATGACGTATACGACGTTCTCAAGTATTTTGGGCGTGACAAAAGCTATAACCATAATTTTAGAATGATCAAAGCTTTCAAAGGCCACCTAGCACGCCCCGTTGAAGCAAATGCCCGAGCCTGAATCTTGAAACCTGCCCGTTTATCTTGCTTGTATACTTTATGGATGTAGAAAAAAGTCATGATTCAAAGTCTAAGCCTTAAGCGTCATGATGCAGAAAGGAACATGAAGAGGAAACAAGACGAAGCGAATTCACTCTAAGCTTGGCTGTGTATCACAGGAATCACCTCCACTAATTGCTCGAACTGCGCGGCGGAGCTGGGGTGTTGGGCATGCGCGTCGGGCTCAAAGTGAAACCTCGCCCATAACGCTTTTTAAATTCAGCCGTGGTTTCTTCTCCCGGAACGCTAGCCCCCTGTGGTGTCGATACACCAGGCTTTTGGGGACTTGTATAGATCACAGAGAGATCTCGCGATAATTGTTGGATGGACTCATCGCTCATGTAGCCCCCAACTTGCCTGCTTCTCCACCCAAGGCCTTGATTCTTTCCATGGAGAACTTTTCCATTCGCAGAAACCATAAACTGTAAGGCATCTCCAGTCCCGTAGTTTTCGATGATGCTAACGTTTTCCTTGAGATTACTGTCCGCCCGTGAGCAGATATCCAAGCACTGCCGAGCCGCTTCCCATTCATCCCGCAACCTGGATAGATCTTGGACATCGTCGCGAGATGATCCAGCCTTTGATTTTGAGAGGAGCCGGTCCATAACTTCTCGCATGTGCTGTTCCAGCTTGGCGGCCGTAGCGGCCAAACTATTCTTACATTCTTGTAGGCCCTCGTTGGTAACGGACTCCGGGGAGTTATCAGAACCGCTTGGTCCCCGGGACGCACCTGCCTTTTTGGACATCAGCTGTATCTGATCAATATGACTCGACAGCTGCGCGCAAATTTGGAGACAATTTTCGGTGCTTAGACGCTCGTCCCTTAATGAGCGCAGCTCAGCCGAATCTGATCCAGATTGATCTTCATCCTTTCTTGCCAGATCCTCCAGCTTGCTATCAATGCTCTCCAGTCTCGCTCCCAGATCCTCTTTCGCCTCTTGGATAAGATTCTGGTACTCTTCCATATTTCCAACAGCCGCTGCTGAAAGACGTCTTTAAAAGAATTAGTTTCTAACGCAAAGAGAAGAATACATATACAGTTATCAGGTGATACTGCATCTCTATTATTCACTTACAGGTTTGTATCAGTTAAAGCAATATTGATCGTGGCTTTATAACTTGCCAGCGAGTTTCGAACGTCATCAATATTTTCACCCTTATACATCAACTTGGCCCAGTCACGAAAGCTTGTGTGGTTGCTGGTCGACCGTGCTGCGTACTTCATGAGCTCTTGCTGAAAGCCTTTGCAGATATCACCGCATCGTAATAACGGTAGATTCAGGAGTGACAGGTTAACATCGGGGTTCGATTGCACCAGCTCGACGAGGTGAGCCAACACCGCGCTCAATGCATCGAGCTCGATGAGAAGATCGCGCACGCGCTTAGGGTGTGAACGGAAGCTTTCCACGGTTTTGTACAGTGAGACGCTGGATTGAAATGCGAACGTTGCCAAAGCAACGATCCCAGAGGCCACTCCAATTGCTTCGGCCATTGTTGTGTATGTATTAAAAAGACAAGAAAAAAAAAGGAAGGAACACAAGCTTTCCAACGTGCAGGCTGGGTTTAAATAGTTGAGAACACAGCCAGCCTTCAGTTTGTGCCTTGATGGTCCTACAGAGGTCGGCGCTGTGGAAGTTGGGTGGGGTGGGGGTGGGGCAGCGGCTACTCGAACACGGCGGGAGGTGGCGGGGGTTTCGTCCACGCCTCGTACTGGATTATGAGAGTTAGGGATCTATGTTTTGAACCAGTTCTCATATGGATTTGCTTACCCTAATGGCCACTGCTGATAGACCTGAAACACACGAGACTAAATTTCCCAGGCGCGCGCATATATGCGGATTATCATTGGCAACCCAAACTGCAGTACCGCATCTATTTTCGACGTAGCGCCCTGTCATGTGATCTCGTGGTTCGGGGCGTACCCCACCAGGGCGGGTAACCGCCGGGCGCATATAAGCTGAGGCTCCTCTTCCCACGGTCTTCGAGAGACAATAGCTTTGTCGGGGGCTGGCTTTGTCTCTTAATTAGAGGATTCCTCATCTAAGTCTTTACCATGGCGGAGGCACTTGGCACCGCATCTGCCATTGCAACCTTTGCTACACTTGCTTTCCAATCTTCTGTCGCCCTTTATCAGACAATCCAGAGCCTCCATTCTCGAGACAAAGTGATCCGGGAGCTCCGCGAAGAACTTGAGTCACTTCAGAATGTACTACAGGCGCTAGGAGAATCCATGGCTAGCCTTGATACCGATCTTGCCTCCCTTGAACAACCTCTGAAGAGATGCAATCATGCCTGCGGAGAGTTCAATCTTCTGATTAAGCGATGTACGCCCCGTTCGACCGATGAAAAGGCTAGTAGAATCGACTGGCTCCGAATCCGGTATGTGGGGCAGGATATATCTGGTTTCAAAAATATGTTGGCGGGGTACAAATCCACCATTTCAATCGCCCTTGCCTATGCAAATTTGTGAGCATTCCACTTTGCGCCAGTCTCCATCTATAATAACACTTTTCAAGGCGCACAACCAAAACCACAAGACTCGTGCTTGAGGAATACAAAGAGCTCATCGAGAATACAAAATGTGATCTGGAGAACCACCTTGATGACATTCGAACCCGAATTCAGAACACCAGCCTGCAACATCATTCTGAAGTTCCCCTGGAGGACGCAGATCTCCGGGTGATGGAGGACGAAAAGAATAGCACGAAAAAGAGCCTAGAAATCTGTGACAAATTTCTTGTGCTCATTGATCAATCACGGCCTCAGCTGTTAGGTATGGACGAGCAATCTTCGCGAATGGGTGATTATACCCCATCACCGGCAGCTTTGGATCCACACATAGCTCGTAGCATGCCATTTTTGATTAATTCTGAAGGACTCTTCTCGACACAAAAAGAGCTGAGCAGTTGGAGATTGAAACTCTTGAAACATCTCATTGGCCTTGACGGGAATGTCCGAAGGCAGCAGCAGCGGTATCTTCCTAGTGCGGAAAGCGAACTACGGCCTGAAGAAGAAAGCTATCAGGAGGAGTTGAGTGGAACTGAAGCCCTTTTGGAGCTCTGCAAACAAGCAGAGGGCGAGGCAAACCGACAAGGAACTCACTTCTTTGAGGATGTGAGCACAGGGAACAACAGCCGGCAAGCTATTGTTACCACGCTAGATGATCTTATTTCGGCAAAGCGTATCAAGTCCGGCGACAGCTCATTCCAGGCGCTTGGTAACATGTCAAACGAGAGCATACAATGTTTTTTCCGGGACCCTGAGCTTCGTTCCAATTCGAACGGCGCGAACGGCGAGAACGGCCATACGCGGAGCTCGGCCACATCGACCAAAGAGCCTAGTGGCAATTTGTCCGAGTACAGCTCTCAATACATTCAGAAGGCCCTCTAGACAGGAAAAAATTGGCCCTATGACTGAGGTTTGCGCCAGCCTGTCGGGTCGACCTGTGAGTATGCCTTGATCAAAATGGCGCGATTTAGAAGGATTACGCCATCCAACGCTACTCTGGCATGATATACTCCTTGCGCGAACCTCACACTCTTGTCTACATGTGAATTCTTCAGCCAGGCGTTACTCTCTGGACCTTGGAGTACCACAGCTCTTCGAGAAAGCTTGATCATGCTAGGTCAGCCTTATTCAAGGGCCTCATGTGATGCGTCTATCTTCATATAACTAGTACCTATAAATCTGTTGACCGTCATCCGTCCTACATAGGCAGTCAAGCTGCTTGCCTATTACAGCTGGAAATAATAGACTAGCTCGGTAGAGCCACCTCTGCCAAACCTGGCCAAAGGAGATCGCGGGCTGGTTGAGCCCGCTTAGTAATGTCGCCTGATGCAGCCCTGGAGCCCTGGAGGCCAAGAAGGCCGGAAATCCGGGGTTGGGGTGGGGGCTTCGAACTAATTAATATCAAAAAATCCGTCTACCATTCGTGTCACTGGGCTCCTGGATGTTCAATGTGTGCGACCAGTCGTACTTTCCAGTTAGTCACATCGCAAGCCTCAAATCAAGCCGGCAAAAAATTAACGCACCGGGAGGGACGGCTGCAAGATGCGTGACGACCGGCTACCAGTCGGGATACCCTCGCCCAACGCTGAACCGTGATACCTGAATGAAAGTTGTAAGTACTTGTGCTTCTCATGCGGAAGCCTCATGTCCACATGGATTAGCCTAGAACTGCAACGTGTGGGGGATTCCCGGCGTGGCACGTGCTGGGTCTTGGCGAACCCCCCAGATCTCCGCAACCCCGCCCGGCCTCCCCCGCAAATCTCCTGCTGAATCCCTGCATTATGCCGTACGTTGTAACTTGCTAATATGGAGGAGAGGCGACGCCAACTCAGGTCTTGCGATCCGTGTCGCAAGGAAAAGAAGACTTGTAATGCACCGGTGCGTGTTTCTAAAACCCCCAACAATCACGAGTACTGACGGCATCCAGCGAAACCGGAAAGACAGTGCCTTTGGCTCGTGTACCAACTGTACAAAACAGAGGAAGACCTGTACCTTTGGTGCTTTTGCCACCTGGCGTACTGACTTGAAGAAAAAAACTCATGCGAGGCCACACGCGACGCAAACGTTCACTTCAAGTACTTCTCAGTTTCGCAGCAGATCATCCAACTTCAGCTATTATGATCCCAAGCCAGTCGAGAAGTCTGATGCTCACTGGGATAGCTCCAGCTCGAGTGCCTCTGCTGTGCCGTCCTATCTTCCTGGGTCTTTCCTCGACCCCTTGGAAAATCCATGCGTGGGACATTCCGAAACCTATGCACACAATTCCGTTGATCACGAGTCACAATGGACCGCACATTCTCCAGACTTCTGGCAGATTGGTCCCATGATGCAGCCCTCTGACTTGCCCCTCCGATTTTCTGGTGCGGGGGTGAGCATCTACGCGTCCTCGGCGGATTCTTGTCGGAGCTCATCTGAATCTACCGACCGAACGGATGATGGGTCAATCGCCTCTTCATCTTCGACGCAATTTACTTCGCCGCACGAAAGAGATTGGCAGAAGTATCTGTCGTCCAAGAATTATAGGAACACTGGCCAGTCTCGTTCCAAAACAGGTGACCTGTGTATTCCATCCGAAAGCACCGCACATCAATATGCTCGTGCGACAATGACACAAAACTTGATTCGTATCTATCATGACAGCATGGAGAACGCCCTCTCGTGCTGGCTGACAGAGCATAATTGTCCATATAGTGACTTCAAAAGAATCCTAGCCCCCTCTGGTCAGGGAAAGGCATGGGGACCCAGCTGGTCCAACCGGATATGCATTCGGGTTTGTCAACTCGACCGAGCGTCTTCTTCCATACGCAGTCGTGCTCTTAGTCCAGAAGAGGATAGGACAGCTGCTCAAGTGCTGCATATGTCGATAATCGCATTTGCTTCGCAGTGGACCCAACATGCACAAAAGGGCCCCGGGCTGCATGTCCCAGCACCAGTCGACCGAGACGAACGATCTATCCGCGAAATCGTCTGGAATAAAGCACGACACGCGCTGGAACGATCAAGCGAGATCCCCTCATTCCGCATCATTTTCGCCAATATCATATTCTCGTTGACTCAAAGCCCCTTAAGTGACCAGGAAAATAAACCTTTGGGTCAGCTTCTGGAAGTTGATCAGGCGCCAAGATTTCTAGAAGCCGCCAATCGCCAACTCTTCAGATTTCGATATACGATTTCTCGTCTTCAGAGACAAGCTTCGTCAAATCGCGACGGAATCTTAAGCCAACCCATACCGGACACCATCTACGAAATGTCAAACGCCCATGAGCTTTCACAAGCCGATCCTGCCTTTACAACCGAGGAACACTGCAATACGTTCAATCTCTTGTTTTGGCTGGGGGTCATGTTTGACACGCTGAGCTCTGCAATGTACCGACGCCCACTGGTCGTCTCCGATGAAGATAGTCAGATTACATCGGCGGCTCCACCGTCTCATCTCGATGTTGGCGAAAACGTCGACCTTGACGGATGGAATATGCTACGGGAGCCGGCTCCCAGAAAACCGGACATATGGGATGACTTCTTTCTTCGTCCTAATGAAAGAATACAAGCTGGTCAAGCTCAACTGAGATGGCCGTGCTCTTATGAAGAAGCCGCGTCAATCCTCTCCGAGGCGACCCCCGTTAAGGTATTACTATATCGTCGAGTCACGCAACTGCAAACGTTGGTCTACCGGGGTGCCAGTCGGGGATACTTGGAGAAGGTGATCCAAAAAACTATGTTGGTGTATGAGCATTGGAACCGTACCTATCAAATCTTCATGCTCGACTGCGTCGCTAATCATGACCTCCTCCCACCTCGTATCCAATCTTGGTACGTGATTCTCAACTGCCATTGGCATCTTGCCACCATGTTATTAGCAGACATGATAGAGAGCATTGATCAGGGACGGCTCGGATGTGATGCTGAACGCGAGGTTCGGCAAGCCACAGACCTAGTTACCACGTTAAGAACGGAAACTGCTTTTGCCGTTGGTGCGCTCGCTCGCTCTTCCCTTCAGGGTCAGGATTCGATTATGTCTCAACATTTTCACGATTCTCTGACTGAAGTGGCATTCCTGGTTGAGCCGTGGACTGTGGTTTTAATCCATGCCTTTGCCAAGGCGGGATATATTTCTCTCGAGCAACTGGATCTTCTCGAAGAGAGTAATTTGCTCGCTGAATGCTTCCGACAAAATTGTGAATTCTGTATTGCCGCGCTATACTATCTTGGAAGGAAGTCGGATATGGCCTCAATGGTGGCTCGAAGCATGTCAAAATCCCTCGAATCGAAGAGCTGCAAGGGATCCTGAGAATGTATAATATGTGGAATTAAGTTGAATTGTCACAGAGGATTCAGACTCCTGGTCACAAGTAGATTTGAGTGAGTCGGGCAACCCGACACCCTTAAGACTCGGACTCAAATAAGCTCGACCCATTTTCTGCGTTTCTACGTGCGAGTTCGTCACGAGAGCCTGGGCTCTCGCAATCGTAAGCGCCTTCCATCTCACTTCCAAGTTCAAGTTCAGAGGAGTTTCTTCTCCTGGGTTTGTAAGCATCCCACTAGACATAATGGGTATTCCGAGTTGTGGAATTGGTCCCGGCCCCTGCAGCGTTCCATGCCTGAGGCATCAAGTCACGGTCGCGAATTCCCTCGACTACAAACACGATGCGCCTACGAGTCGACGCTGGTTTTGCCTGCCGCATGATACATGATTAACCTTTCATCTGCCAGCTTGAGAGTTACATATGTACATTATATCCTGGCATCCACTGACGCAGGACGATTGCGTAGCCAACGATTTGCAGTCTTGAACATCTTCAGTCATGTCAACACCTGCTAAACGGAAGCGTGCAAAAAAGGCATGTATCCCTTGCCATCGGCGCAAGCGGAAATGTGACAACCAATATCCTTGTGGGATGTGCGCAACGTATGACTACGATTGTCGATACGATGACTCTACCGGTAGCGCAAGCGATGTGCATGCTTCACTTTCCAGTCCCAGGCGCATCAGCCCCGCGGGTGCTCAGACAAATCAAACTCATGTCCAGCAACCCCCCCGCTGCAGTTGAGGAATCGCTGGCGAGAAGCTCCACAGCTGTAGTGGGTGCGTCTACGGGTATCTTCGACGAACGCAAGGTAAGGTACGTCGGGGCATCAGCAGCCATGGCATTCCCACACGTCCTGGGCATGGCTCTTGGTTCGGGCAGCCCTCCCAAGATGCGATCGGTCGCGTACAACTTCGGTATCCGCCCTGAAGAGGTATCAGATGCCCATTGTGCGCTGGAGAAGCTTATTTCAGAGGAAGATCTTGCCTTCTTCTCGGACGTATATTTCTCGGTCATGGCCCCCATCGGTGACTTGCTAGACCCTGGGATTTACGCCCAGCGTTGTCACGATTATTATCATAAACCCAGCAATCGTGCGATGGCTTTCAGCGCGGCGGCCGCTGGCATAGCTGCTCTCGGGTCATTTCTATCTCCGAACAGACACCCGCGAGAACCGGAATTGGTGCAGTACGCCAAAGCTATTCTCGATGATCCAGTCTCCATGCGCATGCTCAGTGTTGACCATATTGTGGCATGGGGTATGAGGGTGTTGTACTTGCGGGCCACTACTCGTCCCAACAATGCCTGGGTCGCGTCGTGTACGGTTATGCATCTGTGCGAAACGGTGGGGTTACACATGGATGAGAACATAAAGAAAATGGCCGCGATGGCCGGCGCTGAGGCCCTTGGCCTGGATGAGGACCGGTTAAGGAGAATCTTCTGGATCTCCTGGGCGGGCCATGTCATGCTTTCCTATGAGCAGGACCGTTCCGCCGTTCAGTTTCGGGTGGTCACTTGCCAACCTATCCTTTCAGTGCCAGGGTCTGTTGCTGATCAATTCGTCCAACTGATCCAGATAATCCCATCTCAGAATTCCCCCTTTAGCCTTGGCTGCACTGCCTCTGATTCAGCTGGCGAGTTCTTTGGTCGTCTGAAGGAGTTAGCCAAGCTCCAGTCCGCCCATCCCTTCCTGGTGGTAACAAAGGCGGACATTGCGCTCTGCTTTTATCGTCGAGTATATCACCTGAAGACATACATACCGGATGACTTTATTGATATCGTAATCGATAGCGGAAGCGCCGCAATCACAGCGGCTGAACAGCTCGCCAGCCAGGGCCGTCTATTCTGGAACACCATAGGCAGTGTTTTTCAGTATGCCTGCGTCCTGTTGGCCATCGACACCCCGACTGCCTTCGTACACCTCCCGACTGCCTTCAAGGCCTTGGAAAATTTGGTCACGATTGCCGATACACTACTGACCCGTGAAGCCTTGTCTATAGCACGGCATTTGCTCAGCCTTAGTATGGCCCAAAAACGAAAGCATTTGGCTCAACTGGAAGCTGTCGAAGCGAGCTACCAGTTACCTCCCCTATCAGCCTCCCAGTCGACAAACCCTATACCAGACATGGGTTGGGAGTTAGATTGGGATCAGTTCTTCACTGACCCCTACTTGTCGATGCTTGGCCCTGATATCCAGCTGTAGCCATGTGCAGATCCTTATAGAGGCCGACATACAACTCCGTGACTAGGAAATATCAACCACGGCGGCTAATGCGGAGTGGGTCCCCTTATCACTGCACGAGGCTGGAACTCGCAATTTGTGGATGTCGGCGGGGATGGCTGGATCTGCGGCTGCGACTGCGGCTGCTGCGGCGGAAAGCGGAGTTAAGCTTCTGGCCTTACCCGCTACTAGGATCTACGAATACCTACAAGGCTCCCCACCAAAGGTATAAATTGAAAAGAATTTTCCGCTTCTGGAGCGCATATCCTGTTCAGTGAATACGCGCCGACAGATTTGAATCGGACCACAGTCACTGCCATTGACAGTCTTGCCCATCACGATGCTCAAGTACGCCAATACCCAAGCTGTGGGATTCAAAAATCGCGTCGAGCGAGTCGCCATTGTCGGAGTGAGTAAGACCCTCAGCTTCCTGCACGCGCGGCACTAATTCCTTCAGGCGGGAGGCACGCTTGGGTCGCACATTGCTACCGAACTCTTGAAGACCGGCAAACATACAGTTACAGCATTGTCACGCAAGGATAGCAGTAACAAACTCCCCAGTGGCGTGCTTGTAGCGCCAGTCGATTACAACGATGAGTCCACAATTGTTGCTGCCCTTGAGGGCCAGCAATTTTTGATCATCACCATGGCCCCCACTGCGCCTCGGGACTCCCAGAGCAAGCTTTTCCAGGCAGCCAGTAAGGCCGGTGTTCCCTACGTCATGCCTAATTGGTATGGTGGTGACATCGAAGATGTTAAACAGGGAGAGGATACATTGCTGGGGCCCGGCGGGAAGGCTAATAGGGATGAGATTGAGACCCTCGGCATGCAGTGGACGGCTATGTGTTGTGGGTTTTGGTACGATTATAGCTTAGCTGGCGGCGAGCAACGCTTTGGCTTCGACTTTGACAAGCGTTCCCTGACTATATATGACGATGGCAACACCAAGATCTCGACCTCGACCTTGTCCCAAGTCGGCCGCGCCGTGGCCAAGGTTTTGAGCCTGAAAGAGCTACCAGAGGACGAGAATGACCGAAGCCTTACTGTGTCGGCGTTCCTCCAAAGGGGTATTTACATCAAGAGCTTCGTCATCTGCCAAAACGACATATTCGAGAGCGTCAAACGTGTCACCGGCACCACCGACGCGGACTGGGCGGTTAGCCACGAGTCTACCCAGGAGCGATACGAGGATGGCCAAACACTAGTGAAATCTGGCAATATGGCAGGGTTTAGCAAGCAGCTGTATGCGAGGGGCTTCTTCCCCGATGACCCAAGTGACTTCTCAGCCAAGGCACAAAATGAGCTGCTCGGGCTGCCAGTTGAAAGCTTGGATGATTCCACTAAGGTTGGAATAGCATTAGTCAAGGAGCTGCAACTCCGTGTGGAGCGCATGGCTAGTTAGGCAGAGAAGTTGGAGTCGCTCCGTTTCATTTCCTATCATGAGATCTCAAGATAAGATTAAGCCAGTCAAGTCGACTACTGGTCGTTAATAATACGTACTAGTCACAGGTTATAACTATTCCCGTGCTGTATTCATCCTTCTTGTCAGAGATTCAAGGTGTTAATGTGAAAGAGGTCAACTTTCTATATACTATATGCATGATGAGTCGAATATTTTTGATGACAAATTAATGGTGGAAATAACCAGGCGGATCGAGTGTCCCCAAAGCATTAGATTCCAGGATTATGCATCACGTTCTAGGATGCTCTTGTTCCATACGTTTGCAACATGATCACTCACATCACCCGGTAGCTCAATTGGCCAGGTAATTGTCGTTAGCACAGCCTTGACATCTTTCCAGAGTCTTATTTTCGTGGTCATACTCCAGCCACGCGCACAATCACAAAGCCATTCATAGATTACTCCGATATGTGCCTTTGATGGAGACTCTATAGGCCGATCCGACCCAGGCTTCATCTGGCGAGCCATAAGGCTGTTTTGGCGCTTGCTCAAAGCCAAGAGCCCTATGAAGACTTTCCATAACCAAAGTGATTGGCGCCGGGTTCCATGGTTCCCCTCCATATCGTCGCGGGTGTTCCATATGTCCTCTTTAGTGATCAAAGCGACATGGTAGAGCAGTTGGAACTCAATTGGTTCGCCTCTATTGAGAATGTTGAGCACACTGTGCATATAAAGCTCCATGGTGGCAGTGATGCCGCTCCAAGACGACTCAAGAGAGTGCTCTGATGGTAGTTGTTGGGTCGGTTTCCACAAATTCACGTCATCCTTCGTAAACGACACAGCATGGGACGTAACTAGCTCCCGGAGAAGCTTTGTAGGACCGCCATTGTTCCATATAGCATCGAGGTTCTCTGCATTTGGTTCGGCGTGGAAGTGGTCAACGGCTTCAGTGAGCCCTCTCAGACGGTGAATTAATGGCGAAACATCAATCATCTGGGGCCGACTATGTATTGGAGGCGGGCTAAAGAAATAGGGGAACAATCGAAGGGCTTGGAGCCTGGTATACAGCCCCCCAGATTCTCGTTTATGCCACATTTTCATAAGTCTCAGGGCGTGGGCTGATGTATCGTCGTGGGCCGGGTCGATGCCTTGTGTTGCACGAAGGCTTTTAAAATCCTCGAGACGAACTTTCAGGATTAAAAGAAAGCAAGATGTGCTGCGCGGTTCAAGGTGATATATGTCAGCGGGCATCTCTCATCGTAGGTGAGGGACTTTCAGACGCACAGCATCAGATAACGGTTGGCAAGTTCAACTTGAATATTAAAAGCCTCCGAGGAATCATGCGATTGCCTGCGAGACTGAAAAAGTGCCATAATTCCGTTCAGATGAGTCTCCGCAGCGGGTATGTTTCCGAAGCAAGCCTACCAGATCAGTTTCTAAGCTTTCTATCTCATTCACATGCTGACAAGGTATCAGTACGCACCTCGGCCAAACATATCGTTAAGATTTGCCTCACGCAAAGAATGAATGTTTGCGAATCGGATGCCTCGAGCCACGAGTTGATAATACGTATACTCTCCACCTTGTGAAACAGGAATGCAGATTCATAGGCCTGTAGGCTACCGCTATTCCATGAGTAATGAATGGCGGCGATCAGAATCGTGCTTCGAAGTGCATGTTCATCTAGCGTTGCCAGAGCGATACTTTGAGGACTCTGTGTTAGCATATTTCAGTTCCCGCATGTGAATTCATCAGTTCTCACGAACCAATCGTCTTTTGGATCCGTTGGGGCTACTCCAAATGCTGCTCCACTGTGGTAGACTGCAAGACGTGAGCCGGTAATCTCCCCATGTGCCTGGGCGACGCGTACAATAGTAGTATAATTCCTGCGACTTAAACGGCATCTTCAAAGGCAGGCTGTCAAAAGCGTCGATTGTCGTGCTCGCCTTTAATCTAAGGTCGGTGATGCCAGAGCTCATCAAAGGCCACGGGGCTTGCTGCCCCGGCGGGAGTGCATTTCTTTGCAGGATCCTTCGGTCTCGAAGTGGGATGACAGGGGATGGATAGCTGCATAATCTTTTGCTGTCAATACATCTTTGACTATGATCAGCTGTCAGTACCATCTGGATCCGAGGCCACGCCAGCTGAATGCGGGTCCCCTGCCAAACCTGCCCGTGAAGCCTGGCCGGTTGCCCGACATCCTTCATATCGATGTACATACCAAGTCGGATGCTGCTCATCACATTGAAGGTGGCGTTTCCTGCATATGAGACATCCTGTCCTCCTACGTGTATTCCCTGGTGGCATTTTTCTATGTGCTTCAAGTCACAGCATCAGACACCCAGTTTGAGCTTAGTGAATGGGGGCCAGATGGTTCCGGCAATGCGGTGTCGATGGGATGTGAGCGGCGATCCCTTCCAGCACCTTGTACTTTGAATGTCAGAATGTTCGTTTTCACATAAAATGCCTCGTAGAAAGGTGTCCTGGTTCGAAGTCCTGTGAGGCTTGTCAGACGCCACAAATGCCGCAGATGGCTCAGGTGGATCCTAATACTATGGCCTTACCCGACTGGGACGAATAGTCGAGACTATTCCCGTTGAGGACGAATACCCGGCCCTCCCCAGTGGGACTGTCCGGCCTGATCTGTGCTATAAAACGGGCATTGATTGTCGTGAAATATGTAAAGCAGGCCTCCCAATTCCCTCCTCTTAGCCTTTCAAATATTCAGCCAGTTATTCGGTCATCATGCTTGATGAATATCCGCCCTTGGCGGCTCTTCCTCAATTAGCCCTACACTCAGCTGCAGAGCCCGGTCAGCTCAATGCAGCTGACATTGTCGACAAATGGCTATCCTCGTTGACCGAAAGCCTACGCAAGGCCTGTGCGAGTGACATTCACAGGCATTTTCTTGAAAAAGAATCGTGGTGGAGGGATTTTATCTCTCTGTCGTGGGACATTGCTTGTCACAATGGCGCCGACGCCATAGGAAAATATCTCGGCACCTCAACGACGGGATTTCAAGAGCTGCATGCAAGGCTCCCAGGTGCATTGCAGCCCCAAGTGGTGGATATGGGCGGCCTTCTGTTCATCCAATCCGGATTTACCTTCAAAACTAACTTCGGAGCTGGGAGAGGGATCCTCAGACTTGCCAACGTTGGGCCAGATGAATGGAAAGCCTGGACGGTATTTACGGTTCTCGAGGGATTTCATGAGTCAGAAGGCATGAAATCGCCATCTGCCATCCAAGAGGATGACCATCTGCAAGTTCTGGTAGTTGGTGCAGGCGAGTCGCCCTTTCCCGATGCATACCCACATGCTTCCGCTAATCTTTTGAATAGGTCAGGCTGGGCTTGCAATTGCCGCACATTTGCAAGAGCTAGGCATAAAATATCTTGTCGTGGACAAAACATCTCGGCCAGGAGAGTCATGGCGCGCGAGGTATGAATCGATCAGATCGCATACGCCTATTTACTCTGATCACTTCCCATTCCTGAAATTCCCGAGTAATTGGCCGCGTTACCTCGACCAGCCGCATATCGTTAGGTGGATCGAACACTACGGAGACAAAATGCGTCTTAACATCCAGCATGGCACGATCGCGAAGCGAATTGAGTACAGTGACTCGACGCAACGATATTCGGTGGACCTGCAGAATGACCAGGGAACCAAAACCATCCAACCAAAACACGTTGTCTTGGCCACTGGTCTTTTCAGTGATACCGCAGTGCGTCCCGATTTCCCTGATGAAGATTCATTCAAAGGAGAGATCTACCACACGTCTGCACATCGATCAGCGGCCCTGGTGCCGGGTATTCAAAGCAAGAAGATCACAATAATTGGGTCCGGAACCAGTGCGCACGACATCGCCAAAGACTTTGCCCACCACGGGGCAAAGACAGTGACAATGGTGCAACGCAACCCGATTTATGTCGCGTCTCTCGACTCATTGGAAACGTTCCAGCTGGCTCTTTGGAACACTCCAGGGGTGAGTACTGAGGATGCAGATCTTTTGGGGAACTCTTTTCCAACGCCTCTCGTTCGCACTCTCGGGGTAGGGGCATCTCAGATGATGTCAGCTAATGACAAGGCGTTGCTGGATGGGTTGGAAAATGCTGGTTTAGCAGTCAAGAGAGGAAATGGAGACAGTCTAGTCGACTACCAACTCATTAAAGGAGGCCACTTCTACATTGATCAAGGGGCATCCCAGATGATCATCGACGGTCGCATTCAGATCCGGAGATGTGAACAAGGCGTCCAGGGGTATTGCCCAGAAGGCGTAATCCTGCGCGATGGCACCAGAATCCAGTCTGACATTGTTGTTCTGGCGACTGGCTTCGAACGCGGCTCAAAGGTGATTGAGCGTCTCATGGGCAAATCTGTTATGGACAAGATAGGAGATGTGTTTGGCTTAGATGAGAGCCAGGAACGAATCGGAGTAGGTTGATAGCAGATACCCACTAGACTTGGAAGTTACTGACAGCCTTCTCAGATATGGAGGCCAACTGGATTGCCAGGCCTTTGGATCACAACAGGCAGTTTTATGTGGTCAAGACAATTTGCTCCTATCTTGGCTTTGCAGATTTCTGCCATCGAAAGGGGTTTGAACCACTACAAGACGGATTAGAGATGATACATGAAAGGGCAGCAGAATTAGACTACAGACATCCGATGTATCTTAACTCAGGGGGAGCTTATGGTTTTCGCTTCTGGTTCAATACAAATTACAATTCCTAACCAGCGGGTATTGAATGTTTCAGGCTGCGCACAATGAGATGTCGTCACAGTTGGTAGCCTTGCATACCAAGAGGTCCGCTCCCACTCAACTGCGCCTCCTCCATCTCTACTCGTTGGAGTTCGGCTTCTAACCAGGCTCGACGGGCCGCCAGATCGTGACGTCCACTTGGCTGCGGATTTACTGATGGATGATTTACCATTCCTAGTATAATTAGTCTTCATCAGACAAAGAAGGTCTTTCCTGGGAAGTATACCATTGCCAGGCCCATAACCCAGATTCTGAGGCATTGCGATAGGTGTATTGTTAAAGTCGAAGGCGCAGGTTCTTGAACTGGGCCTAACCGGGGATTGAGGTATGCTGGTTGAATCCTGTCCAATGGACGAGTCCGGCCTTGGATTCGCCCTGTTTATTCTACTCAAGGCAGGCTTCTTAGTGATGTTGGAAGTTGGAATGGGCGTGGTTGTCGATGGAACAAGGCCAGAGGCAGCAGCCGTCGCGCGGGCAGCATCGCGAGCAGCTATATACTGTCAGGAAAGAACGGCAGACGCTCGATAGGACGGTGTATGCTTGATACCTTTTTTCTCTGCGCGGATTATCTTCAGGGCTGCTTTGGCATTATATCCCCCGGCAGATGCTCCAGCTCTGCCGCTTTCTTTTGGGTGCAGTCCTATCGGGCCTTGTCCGCCAGGCACAAGTTCGTTGTACACTTTGATAATGCGGTCTCTAATGGAGACGTGTTAAAAAGGGAGGTCCATCGTGAACGAAAAATGGCACGCACCGAGGGTAGAAAATGCCGCGATTTTGTAAAAACTGTTGCAAAAGCTTTCGACCAAATCCTTGGATGGTTCCTTTCCTGTACTCTTCCAGCAGGATGACCCTTATCTCATCTTCCTGCTGTTTCCTTGCCGCTGGGTCGTCGGTGCGGAGCTTAATGCCTAATTTCCTCCGGAGATTGGAGAGTGTACGATCTGAGATCGGGGTTCCTTCAGAAGCTAGGGTTTCTTTGATTTTATGGGTTGGCAACCGCTGGTCATGCAGTTCCTTTACTCGCTGATGCAGAGCTTCATTGTCGCATCTATAGCATCATAGCCATTAGACCCATAGCCACTCTACGGGGTGTGGAGGTACATACGTTCTCACCCGAGGCGTACGGAGACCCCACTCTTCCAGCCGGTGTCGGAGCGTGCGATCTGAGATCGTAACGCCTCGGCCCTTGAGGAGAGCCTTGATTGTGTCTGTAGGGGTTCCATTCTGATAAAGGCGCGTAACCTCCTGCTCATGAGCATCGATATCAATTTTGCGTCGCATGATAGGCAGATTGACGTTTTTCAGTAGCGAAAGGTCGATCACGCGTACAGCGACCGATAGTGCCCTTGGAAGGCGGTACGTGCCATTGGCCATGTACTTACCGCTTTTGTTCCTAGTTTTGACCGCCTGTGGATATTGCCGGCTTTTGCGGCTATCAAGATCGGGACCATAGATAGGATCAGTATGCTTCGGGTGATATGAGCTAGATGGACAAATCTTGGACTCTGCTGCCTTCTATCGGCACAGGTGGTAGCAATGAAATTCTGGTGGAACAAATCATTGCCAATCGAAGTCCAAGCGGGGTACAGAATATGCTGAAGGGCAGTTATGCAAATAAAGTAAGACGTGATATATCCCATTATATTGTAGGGCTCATCTGACTAGTAAAGAAACAGTGTATTGCCACAAGTTACATTTAAGAGAGTTGGAAGCGCAATTTAGGGCCGTGGATGGCCTGATAAGACAGCCAAGGCGGCCAACTGGGACAGGAAGGATTGGGAAGGTGTAAGTTAGTCTATACAGCAATACGCCACATAAACTAGATTTCCTGGCTTTCGGAACGGCTGGCGCATGACTTCTAATCAGCTAACCCGTGAGTTCATTAATAATTATTAAATCAAATATTATGGCCAAAGCGGCTACATCATTAACTCAAAACAATAAAGCAACTATGGCCGATACAAGGTAGAGCAAGCTCCTTCGGGGCGGGCTCAGAGAAGGCGCCGCATTGAATCCCCGGGTGGCTGATGGGGAAATGCTCGCTGAACTTGATTGACTCCCGTCGCCTGTACCTGATACGGCAGCAGATGTTGTGCCTGCAACGTCGGCCGAAGTAGTTTTGGGGTCCTCAGTGCTTTTTCCTGGGCTCGCCCCACCTGTAGCTGCCTGGCTGTCAGTCACACCCAGTGTACTTGTCGTCCCACTCCCAATGACCATAGTTTCAGAAAGAACGGTGGTGGAGGTGGTAGAAAAGAACGAAGACACCGTGTGGGCCCTTGTAGTATCATGAGTCGTTGTCGAGCCTGTGACAGTCGTGGAAAGCCCTGCGGACGTGGTTGCGTTCTCAGTAGCCGTTCCACTTGATGTCGCAATCTCTGTGGGTTTTGCAGACGTTTCAGGCATGGTGGATGCCCCACTAGTGCTCTTGTCAGTGCTGGTCTTTCCAGTGCTCAGAGTGATGCTAGTGCTAGTTCCTGCCGTCTCCGTGGTCGTAGTTATTGTAGCAGTGGTGGTGGCCGTCGCTGATGTCGTAGTCGGTGTAGCAGCCGTTGATGTTGAGGACTTCCCATTACAGAAATCCAGCCACGGTGCAAAATTGGGTATCATGATCTGGGAGTATGAGTCTTCACCCCCATTGGACCAATGGTCAATACATGTGTGACAGCGGTCCAGAGCTTCCATGAACTTGGATTCAGCATCACAAAGCGAGTCGGACTTTCCTTCTCTCTGCCCATCCAATGCGACCGAAGCACAGTCATTATAGCAGTTACTTGGTACATTGTCAACTGGATCCCTCTTCTCTTTTTGCCCCGAGATGAAGTCCCAAAAAGATCTGGCACCACTCTGGGACTCGGAAGCAGCTCGCTTCTGGATAGTCTTGAGCGCTGGGTTTGAGCTATTGAATACAGTCGTATAGTTCAACTCGAAGATTGTCGGGTCCAGATTGAAGTATTGAGTCGACACATTATAAAGATTTAGCTGCTCAGCATGTACACTCCACACAGAGCCATTGTTGTTTTCGTATAAGGCCGGCGCAGGAATACATTCGTCGGGCGCGCACACATAGTCCTCCGGAGGAAGACTGACTTCCACGTTGCAGCCTTTACGGTCACCAGAGGTTCGAGAGGGTGAGCAAAGAAACCCGGGAGGACAGCCCCAAAGGTAGTTGTTTGGCAGGGAGAAGCAGGGGTATACGTTGGGTTAGCGCCGGTGATCGGGGGACAAAGTTTCAGAGTTGTGATCGTCGAAGTCTGTGTCTCCGTCGCACCATCGGTTGAACTGATTTCGGTCGCAGTTACGGACACTTTGTCAGTCACTAGGACGGGTTAGCCGGGGCAGAAAGCATTTAGCCCATCGTGATGGGTTTATATACCAGAGAGGGTGACTGTGTCAGTCAACGTTGTTGTTAGGAACACGGTCACAGATACCGTCTCAATCGACGTGGATCCAGCAATTGTCGTCTCCGGCCGAGTGATGATGGAGGTCACGGTTGACCCAGGCAGAACAGTTGTAGTCTCAGACTGTGTGACAGTGCTACCCGGCAGCGTCGTGACTGACGTTGTAGTTGACGGCGGCAAAGTCCTGGTCGAACCTGATTCTGTCACCGTAGTTGCTGGGATGGTTATTGTCAACGTACTGGTCGACGGAGGCAAGGTCGAAGTGGTTCCGGGAACTGTGACTGTAGTAGGAGGCTCTATTATGACTGATGTAATAGTAGAACCCGGTTCGGTCGAGACCACAGTGGTCGCTGAATCAGATCCTGACAGTGTCACGGTTGTAGGCGGCAACGTCAGAATCGATCCAGATATGATGACAGACCCCGATATGTAGTCTGTCGAGACCAATGTGATTGTTTCGTCGGGCTCCGACAGAGTGACTGTCGTTCCAGCCACGGTGGAAACTACAGTGGTTCCTACTGGCTCTGTAGGAGACAAAGTGACCGTCGTACCGCCGACAGTGGAAGTAATTGTAGTTGCCCCAACAGTTGAGATTACAGTCGCTGTCGTGCCAGCCCCAGGGATTGTGACTGTCGAGCCTCCCACGGTGGACGTTAGCGTGGCTGTCGTGCCAGCCCCAGGGACTGTGACTGTCGACCCACCCACGATAGACGTTACCGTCGCTGTCACAGTGTCCGTCACAGTACTTCCTGGCTGTGGCGTGGGCGAGACAGTCACTGTCGTTGCGCCTAGGGTGGCCGTTGTAGTCGAAACATCTGTGACTGTCGCGGTTGTCGTATCGTGAATGGTTTCAGTCACAGTTTCTTCACCCAGTCCAATCCAGACTGTAATTGCCACAGTCACAGAAATGGTCAACCCTTCGGGTCCCATCTGGCTTGTGCTGCCTAGCAATGCAGGTGGCGCAGTCGTGTATTGGTCTTTGGGACTCCGCTTGTCAAAAGCTGGAAATGGTGTGATTGACGCCGGGCTGCATTGCCAGACAGTCTGAGTCGAAGTCTACGCGAGGTGTTAGCAACCGAGATTGGCGCCTGTAACATTCGAAGCTCTATATCTACTTACCACTCCGGCCTTGGTCACTATCTCTGTCACTGTCTCAGTTTCTCTCCTCGCATGATCAGAGCCACTTGCACTGACAGGCCACGGAACTATCGCCAACAGCGACAGCCAAGCGCTGGAGAGCCTCATGATTTCTTGTGGTCGAGGGTCTTAAAGACCGTTGGCAATCACCACGAGGGGAGTGGGGGAAGCAAACAGAGCAAAAGGGACAGGGCCAGCAAAGAACCAGACCGGCAGCTTTAGTCTGCGTAGAGGGGGTTTTTAGTCCGGCATACGAAATGCTTCCAACGTCTCGATTATTCGGGAGGAGTTAGTGTCATGCACGGTTCCCCCCCCCTCCTCTTCCCAACCAGCCCACTCGGGGAGAGACAGGTCATCCATTGACTTTGGAGCTCCTTTGCGGCTGAATCCGAAGGGATATGACCTCCATTGCGGCCTGGAGTGCATCTGCCACCTTGTCAATGGACCCACGTAAGTCCCGTGTGTAGAGCGACGATGCGTGATTGGGAACTGTCCAGCCGGGTTGCTCTTCAGCGGCAGGGATATGGTTCCCAAAGGTCTCGATCGGCCAGCCATGTTCCCTTCTGGGCCTGGAAGAAAATGCAAATTTCTTCTTTCCCTCTTTTCTTTGTTTTGTTCGTCTGAAGCCGGGGCCCAGTCTGTCCGATCCGTTCGGGCATTGGGTGGCCCCACCACGGCACTTTAGTGGGTTTAGTGCTGCTAGTGATGCATTTCAGGGCTTTCAAGGCCCCCGTTCGTTGGGCGTCCAGCTGCCGTATCTCCCCGCCGGGCCCCAGTAGCCCCATGCAACCCGCCGATCCCTCGTCGGGTCGAATAAGTTCACTCGTCAAGCTCTGGAGTCAGATGCATCTAGGGTCACTTTGCTAAGGAAGCACGTACATGTGCAGCTCTGCAGAGGGAATGGCGGATGCTGCGATGCCTGATTCGGCCGTGGAGGTCCATTCAAGAGGTCAAAGTTGACCAGACAAAGCCGCATTAGCACAAAGCCCGGTGGCCCCGCTGCCCCCCGAGGCGGTTCCTGCCTTTTTTTCTCTTTGTGTCGAAGACTTTGTAAAATTAATCCGTGAACTAGCGTAGCCAAGACTTTGTTTTCCTCCTCCACAGATTGTTTCATAGGCCTAGGGGACGCCTCCGACTCGGAGACTTGACGATGAACATACGCTCGCAAGGACTATTATGGTGCGTCCAGCTGGTGCTCTGTATCGAGGGCGCCGCAGCAGCATGCAGCACCTTCACGCGTCAGATTAATGTGAGCATTTGTAATTGGCAAGAAGTGCGAGGTCAGGACCTTCGCCCCCCGACTTGGATACGGGCCATACTGAAGGTTCTCTAGCAAATGTGATACGCGACACAATTTATCTCGATGGGGGATATCTGTGGTATCAACAGTCGGTGTTGCAATCTCCCGGTTAATAAATCTACTTACCATTCTCTAGGGGATTCGACGACGGCTGTGTGACCTATAATAACGATGGTAAGCTGCTCAATCGAGGTGAACTATCATAGAAACTTGACCTAATGCGACACCAGATGGATCATCGGGGCTTTACTACAGTTTTAATCTCTCGACACCTTTTGATAACACATCTAACTTCACCTCGCTCATCAACAATGCCACCAAAGGGACCGGCTACGGGAATCTGTCTCCCAACTACGTCGACGGGGCAATGCTTGCCAACGACGACGAATTTTACATTTACGGGTTGGTTAGTCCCTGTATCATCCCAAAGATTTTTGAGCTCACAAGCACCGCAGAGGGTTCCTAGAAAGCACCACCGGTACCTCATCGCCCCCTGGAAACCTTGTAATGTCATATGCCGCGTACCAGTCCGGGCCGTATCGAGAGGATTTCAGTCCCAGTTGGAGCACGGAGACCCTCCCCGACAATGTCACCCGGTACATCACCAACGGTGCGGGGGCGTCAGCTCCTAGTGAGAACAAGGGCTTCTATTTCAGCGGAATGCGTGCGTCAGACTGGGGTGACTTTACCTATTACTACGATGCGCTATCCCTCGCCAACACTTTGATCAGCGTCGATATGTCCGATCTAGGCCAGGGGAAGTGGACTAACATGACCCTTCCGTCCTTTGTCCCGCCGCGGGCTAATGCAGAGCTTGTTTGGGTCCCTGTATCAGAGTCGGGGGTGTTGGTGGCCATTGGAGGGGTCGTCCAACCCGCACAGTTCTGGAGCGACGTGGGGCTGAACTCATCACAGAAAGAGCAAAGCCAGCGGATCAGTCCAACGTTCATGGAGACATTGTCCATCTACGACTTGCAATCTGGCGAATGGTACCTTCAAAACACAACCGGGGATATTCCACCGCAATTGACCGAGTTCTGCTCGGTCTTGGCGAGTGCTGAGGATGGTTCTTCTCATAACATTTACATCTACGGTGGATACAGCGGTCTCGATCAGACGGAAATCCCGTCCGACGACGTGTATATCCTGTCCCTTCCGTCGTTCATATGGTTCAAAGCATACAACGGGACTTCAACCCACGGCCGCAGTGGCCATCGGTGCCTCCAGGTTTACCCGGACCAAATGTTCGCAGTTGGCGGCTACCGGTCCGGCACGACACAGTGCTTGGAAGATGGTGTCATCGTCAACTTTAATCTCAATACCTTGGTTTTCGAGAGCCAATATGACCCCGCAGTCTACAGTCACTCCTACAAGGTGCCAAATCTTGTCACGAGAGAAATAGGGGGAAGGTGAGTTCATCCTCCTAGCAGGCACGGCAAATTACTTACTTGGGTTCTAGTGCCTCTGGTGGTGCGACTAGCACTGGCCCGGATAAATGGACCAATGCGTCTCTCAGTGGTATTTTGGGGACAAAATACTCAAAGACCATTTCGACCTATTATCCGTACAACACCAGCAGTACCGATACCCCGAAGTCCGGGGGAGGCAGCGGTGGATTTCCCACATGGGCAGCTGCGGTGATTGGAGTCCTCGGTGGGCTCCTGGTGATCGCGCTGCTCGTTGGCTTTTGGTTCCTCCGCCGGCGCCACCTCCGGCGCAAAGGCAAGGTAATGGAAGAAGCCAAGGAGCTCGAGGCCAATGAGCCTGATCGGGAGAACTTGATGTACGGAGGGGGTCCTACATCCCCGAGGCCGGGCCCTCAGTCGACCTCAACTGGTGTGGAAACAGGGGCGAATATCTCCTCTGGCCCTAACACCTCGACGATCGATGAGTCCCTTGGCACCGGTGTGACTCCTTTGTCCGTCGAATCCGGAGGGGGCGTGGTACATGAAATCCCAGGTCAGTTTGGTTCCCGGCTCCAGGGACTTGCGAGTGTTGCAGATTTTAATTGGAGTCAGATTCCTCCGCACCGGCTGAGCTTCCTACCGAATATAACGAGAATGTCGCGAAGACTGATGACTCTGCGCCCGGGAGCCCGTCAAACGAGTTTCCATCCCCGGTCTCTCCCCCAATCTCGCCTCAGAACACTACCGGTTCTGACTCTGGGTCCGTCCAAGGCCACTATCGGAGTACTTCGACGCGATCAACAGTTCCATCTCTATCCATCGATAATGTAGTCACCAGCAGGACCTCACATTTCCAGGAATCGTTTGATGGTCATATGCAACGCCCGCGCCATGACTCGGTGATCTCAGAGGGAAGTATGGGCTCGGAGGAACAAGGCCCCTATAGTGGCAGTGAGACGATTCATGAATAATTTACGAGATATTTATGACCTTTAACGATATACAAGCAGACCAGAAATATATCACGTACAGCCTGAGCCAACTCGAATCTTCCTAGTAGACCTAAATACTTGGGTTTCTTTTTGTTTCCTGTGATCGCTGTGATCAGACCTCATGCTGACAACTGCTTAGCGACGGGAAGCGAAGGATTCGTGGTAGGCGACCACGACGGCCTGCGGTTCCACTTGGAAATCTGACCGGAGACGAACCGTGTGCTCTGTTCATTCTTCTGTTGCAAGTCAATTCCAGGGCCCCAAGAGCGGCGATTCAATATTTCTGTCCCCAGGTCTATTAAACAGACACGCTCAGGAAGAGCCTGCCAGTACTCGGTAGTCGCGGGGCTAGTATGCTCTCCTTGACCAATTTTCTTGGTTTTCCGTGCACGAGGCACTTCAGTCGCAACGGTGTCATTCTCGCTCGCGGGGGATCTGATCAACGAAACCGCGCCCTATCTCATCGACGCAGTTTCTTACTTGGGTTTATCCTCTTCGCTCTGCTGAACCTGGCCATGCTCGTTCCCATCGACTTGTTCTATATCAGTGCTTATTACCGAACATCAACATAATCTCTAGTTCTACAAACCAACGATTCCACAGAAGCGGTGGTGCGGGAAGATCACAGGTCAATGGGGCTCGAAACAGGGACTGCTAAGACTAGAACTCAATTCGATTCCGTTTTCTCTACAAAATTGCTAGAAGTGTGGAGACCGTGGGGCGGAAATGCGGAGGCGTGAAAGTGGGGAGGAATGGGGGAACAAGTGGGTTTCGAGGGGAGCTCGGGAGCAGCTCGAGGGCAAGATCAACCCCAAAAGGCCTCTTATCTTGTTGCGTTCTTTTTCAGCTTCGCGCCAACTCCTCGCACAGTTCCTTCAAGGTCCAGCCGGCCCACTCAAAGTCACTCTCCTCGAGATACACTTGCCCGCTCAGGCGGACCCACCAGGAGCCCTGAAATGGAAAAACTGGCATGAACGTCTGGTACCGCTGGATCATGTTCTGCTGCATCCACTCGGTGACGGTGGTGTCGGCACCGTCCTTTCCCTTCACGAGGCTCTCACGCCCGGTGGTGGGCTTTGCGATCGGGAGAGCAATATTGACCATGAAGCAGTCCGATAACCGGTGAGACATGTTGTCCAGAATCCGAGTTCCCAGAATGTCTGCCACCCTTCGCCCTCCCCTCTGTGCAAGGCCAGTGCAGTACTCTCGGATCTTGCGCTCTCCCCCACAAACCTCCTGTCGCCATCGAATCGCATCCGCAACGGTCAAGAAGGCGCTATTGTCGGCGGTTCCCACAAACTCAAAATTGGTCACAAACTCAGACTTCCCCGTGGTTGCGCTCGGGGCGGGCCCTGATGGTAAGCGACCGACAAACCCATGACTTGTTGGGAGAGTGCTGCGCATCATGGCTTGGTTTCGCTCGGGGACGTAGAACAGGGCACATCCTCGAGGTGTAAACAACCACTTGTGGCAATTGCTCACAAAGAAATCCGGGTCCAGCGAGGTCAAGTCCAAGTCAATCTGACCCACCCCATGTGCCCCATCAATCAGGCTTAAGACCTTTTCCGACCGACAGACTGCAGCCAATTCCTCAAACGGTAACCGGAGTCCTGGATTAGAGCAGATCGTGTCGAAAATCGCAACTCGTGGACGAAAGCCCTCCGCTCGGGAGGTTGCGATTGCTCGCCGGAATGTCGAAACAAATTCGTCTTCTTCGACCGGGTAGTCGAAGCCAATGGTTCGGACGCGGACTTGATCCAGATTCAATTCGCAAATATAGTCGGTGGTCTTGCCACACGCCCGTAGATCACATCGAGTTGTAGAATCTCGTCTTTCCCATCGCTGCTCCACACCATATTCCGGAGCACCGTGTTGACTCCCGTAGTCGCATTGGGGACAAACACCACTGTCGACTCGGCGACCCCGAGAAATCGACTCATGGCTGCTCGCGACGCATCCAACAATTCGGGGAATCGATATTTGATAAACGGGCAAGGAGTTGCCTCGCACTCGTCTCGTAGCTCATTCGCCTTGTTGCGAATCGCGATCGGCGAGGTTCCAAAAGAGCCTGGAAGGGGTCATGCGGGTCAGTGATCTGGGGATATATACAGATTGGCTCGCTGGTTGGAGAGGACACGCTTTGACTCACCATGGTTCAGATTTCGATATCCTGGAGCAAAAGAGAACTGTTCGCGCATCGCGTGCCCCAGTGGGGTTGGCTCACACGGTGAGCGTGTTGGCATATTTGGCCTGTTGTGTTACAGGGAGTTGCAGATGGCGATGGCGATAAACGCTATGTTTTATCGCCGAACGGACCTTTCGATATGGGGAAATACTACCACCGAATGCGACTTTTGTGGAGCCTTGACCAGATCAGTACTTCCAGTCGCCAAGATATGGAGACCAAAGGAGTCGATAAGCAGCGGGCGTCAGCAGGCATGTTCCGACGCTAAATCTTCCTTCCTAGGAAGAAAATCGAGGCGCTAGAAGCCGCGCTTTATCTCCACAGAGTTAAATAAATTAAACCCCTACTTTTTTATACCCCACAGATACTTCATTACTCCGTTTACCTTTCGCGCTTATCGGGGCCCCGTGCACTTACCTCCTGTTCCTTCTTATATGACAACCCCCCTCCACCCCCGCAAATCGACCATGTAAAGTCAAGCTGGCCCATCATGTCAGTGCAGCCCGTTGCCCCTGCAGAAGGACTGGAGGAAGCACTCAAGGTTGATCCCGATCAGAGCCACCTTCCTCGGGAGGAGCTGGATAAGGAAGTATTCGAGAACAAAAATGTGGGGAATCTCCAAAGGCGTCTCAAGTCCCGTCATGTCCAGTTCCTGGCTTTGTCCGGGGCGATTGGGACGGGACTCTTTGTGGGAGCAGGTCAAGTGCTGTCCCTTGCCGGCCCTCTCTCTGCAGTTCTCGCCTATGCCATTACTGGATTCAACCTCTATGCGGTGATTAACAGTATGGGCGAGATGGCCACTTGGCTACCGCTTCCCGGTGCAGTCCCTGTGTATGCGTCGCGCTTCGTAGACGAGGCTCTGGGTTTCACTCTAGGATGGAATTACTGGTATCAGTTTTCAATAGGCGTGCCAATCGAAATCAGTGCCGCGGCCTTGGTGATCGACTATTGGCCTAACGGGGTCTCCTCGGCCGTCTGGATCACTATACTCTACATCACCATCTTCGTGACTAATATCTTGCCGGTGCGGATATATGGAGAGCTAGAGTTCTTCCTTGGATCCATCAAGCTAACAACAATCGTTGGGCTGATGATTCTGATGTTCATTATCACGCTGGGGGGAGATCCTGCGGGGGACCGCATTGGATTTCGCTATTGGAAGCACCCGGGCCCCATGAATGTCTATCTGGAAACGGGCTCCCTGGGCCGGTTTTTGGCCTTCTGGAAGGTCTTTATTCAAGCGACGTTCAGCTACGGTGGTAGTGAAATGGTGGTAGTTGCTGCCGGAGAGACAGAAAATCCCCGTCGAAACATCCCCAAAGCCGTGCGCCGTGTTTTCTGGCGCATCGCCATTTTCTACGTCGGGAGCATTTTCCTAGTGGGACTTTGTGTTTCATCCCGAGATCGCCGCCTACTCAATGCCATTAATTCAGGTGCTTCTGGTGCCGGGGCAAGCCCGTTCGTTATCGCCATCGAGAACGGCGGAATCAAGGTGCTACCCTCCATCATCAATGCTGTCATTCTGACTTCTGCTGTATCTGCCGGGAATTCGTTCTTTTACGCATCGACACGAGTTCTCTACGCAACGGCTCTGGATGGAAAAGCACCCCGGATACTCCGCTATGAAAAATTCGGCGTCCCTTATGCTTGTGTGGCGATTACCGCTGCATTGAGTCTGCTGGTTTATCTCAATGTGTCGGCGAGCTCTGCGGAGGTTTTCTTCTGGATCAGTAACCTGAGCTCTGTCAGTACTCTAGTCGTCTGGACCTCGATATCGGTAACGTATATTCGCTTCTACCGCGGACTCAAGTACCATGGGATTCCGCGATCCCAACTGCCTTTCAAATCCCCGTTCCAACCATACTTGGCCTACTTTGCTATCATATTTTCGTCCACGGTTGCTTTCTTCAACGGGTTTGATGCTTTCTTCCCGGGCCATTTCAGTGCCAAGTCTTTCATTCCACCGTATATCGACATTCCCATTTTTCTCTGTCTGTTCCTCGGCTACAAGCTTGTGAAGCGAACCAAGCTTGTTAAACTTGAAGACTTCGATCTTTGGTCCGGTAAGGAAGAGGCGGATCGGCTTGAAGCGGTTTGGGAAGAACCTAAACCACGAAATTTTCTTGGTAAGTTCTCCTACGTTGTGTAACTGAGCAGCTGCTAACGTGCATATGTAGAGAGGATCTGGTTCTGGATTGCTTAGGTCGATGCCTTGAGCGAATGAGCCCTTTTTAGGAGTCTAGATCTTCGTCCGAGTCATATTTATCACTAGTGCTCTCCCGGGAAATGCCTGCTCAGTAATGACATGTTTCCGTAAAGTTCTTTCTTCCAGTTTGATACCGTATGGAATAATCAATCATTCACGCTAATTAGTGAGTTACCCTTTATTCTTTCTTGCGTTGTTGGCAGGTCCGATAGGTCTTGGCTCTCCGTGGCTTGTCAACCATGGTTGGTTTAATGGTCTCCCCGCTCGTTAAGCCCCTTCTCCCTCACCTTGCTGCCAACAAGCACCCTTGCGCTGGACGCCGGTCCGTCCGGTTCCGTCTCTGCCTCGTAAGAAATAACGCATTTATGCTCATGCATTAGCAAACCAAGATCCCACCATAGTTTTGTACGTCCGCTAGAATCTCGGTTCACGCTCTGTGTGGCCGTATGAGACAGATACCTGAGAAGGCTGAGCTGAACTCTTGAAATCTTGAAAGCGACCTCAACGAGTCTTCATTAGATTCGAGATCTCTCCATCATGAACTTAACACAATGCATCCTACACTCTCTGATAACCATACATCGCTTCGATTTTGCTTAAGCCAAGAGCTGCAGTGATGATTATTGAGATTTGTCTCCTACACTCCCCGTCCACTGTATAGCTGCTACATACCCCATTTTATACAATTCGCCAGAGGCCCTTTCCATATTCAATAGGCGGCTTACACTATATTCATAAAAACCTCTCATCGCACATTTAATGACCGCCAACCCTGAACTCATCATGATTTTTTTTTTGGAAGCGAACGCCGGATCACCGGCGTGCTATCTTAATCTCCATGCTTCTCAGAGGGAGGTAGGAGCAGGCGGCAAATGCAAAGCCCAATTCAAACCCCACGTCTCCCCCAGCCGGCAGAGTTCCAACATATTTGGCGATGGGCCCTACATACCACGACTGGCTCATGCCCACCACCATTCCTGCAACCCCACAGCAGAACGCGAGCAGGGCAGCAATCCCCAACGGCAGGTTTTCCTGCGAGTCGTAATCCTCTGGTTGATATCCCGAGAATCCCCGCCGAAACACAAAATGCTCTGTGATCGCGACGCCTTCATAAATAGCAAGCCAGTAGCCGATGAAATGCATGAAATTCTCCAGCACACTTTCGAAATGAGCGTAGCCTGGTATGGCAATCGCAATATATAGTCCTGTCGCGATCACCGTCCAAAGAAAGCGAGGAACCCGCCGTGTCCATCGACCCATGACCATCAGGGTGAGGGATACGGAATAGATATGGGCAGTTATTTGCCACGATGGAAAGGGCCAAAATCACAACGCAGAACTTCCCAAATGTTCCGACATGCGGGAACAACAGCGCGCCTAAGAGACCGCCGATGCCTGCATCGGTGTAGCCTTGCTGGTACTCGTTGTGGCCTCCATTGATGCTCGTCGCCGTTATCAGCGCAGCGCCGAGGATCTGAGTAAATAGCAGAGTTGGGAAGATGCCCAGCCAGGTTGCAAGGAAGACATTGCGGCGAGGACGGTTACTTGGTTGGTAAACGGTATAGTCGGCGGCAAAGCTGGTGTACCCCGTGCCAAAGCCAAAGACAGTCGAGCCATAAGACAGAACCGCCCCGAGCTCTACCTGGCCCGATCTCATGGGCAGGTTCACAAAATCTCCAGAGCGGGCAAGGACACCAATCACCACCAAGAAAACCACGAATGTTGGGATCCAGCTCCAATATTCGTAGGCGTGGATGACTTGATAGCCGAAGAACACTACCAGGAGAGTGCAAAACGCAATAATCAAGATACCGGCGTATCCGGGGACGTTGGGGTTGACGGCATTGAGGAGTTGGGCGCCGACGATGATGTTGGCCGCTGCCCAGCCGATGCACGCCAGAAAATTGAACAGGGCGACTATGTCAGACCGTCAGGATTGAAGCTCCTTGGAATCAGGCAGATCGGATCATACTCAGCTTCACTCCCCACCAGCCGAACCAGTATCTGGACAACACCATCTGCCGCAGTCCAAATGCAGCCCCAAACGTCGAGAAGAAGCAGACAGTCAATACCCCGAGGAAGTTGAAAAACACGATCACCAAGACGCTGTCGACAAAGCCCATCTGGAACAACGGATTACCCAGCACACCAATCGTAAAAGATGGGACGACCATATTGGCAGCCAGCCACTGGGGTTCAGACTCGAATTAGAGGGTTCTGGACGGTCACACCAGAATATGGGGGCAAGATATACCATGGACGCTATATTCCAGTACGAGGTATCCGTCCGCTCGTCATCTGGCACGCGTTCGATTCCTCTTTGTTCAACCTTCAACAGACCCCCCAATCGCAGGAGCCTCGCATAGACAGAATCGCCGAGTTTAAAGCTTGTTGCCGGCACCGCGCTACCCTCATCCTCGGCCACGGGGGGTGGGTCGCTGGCTCCCACTTGCTTTTCAATATCATGGTCTTTCGGGTCGCTCATCATGATCGAGCTTGGAATGGAAAAAGGACCTCAAATGTTGAGTTCCCCGCATGGGCTCTTGAGCGTACGCGGCTTGCTCCCCATAGTTATGTAGCGGTCGCGATCACTTCCAAGGTTGAGCTCTCCGATCCACTTGTTCTCCGTGGAACCCTATTTCAACCCTCTTACGAGAATCATTCTCATAATGACTATGGTCCACGATACTTGTGTCTGGTGGATCCAATTCAGACGAATGCGGTGTCGATCAGATTCATGGCATACTTGGAGAAATGCGAGGAGTACGTGGGACACCCCACAATAATCGACTGCTCCATGAGTTTTGAATCCTTCATACATTATCGCAACCCCTGCTGCTCGACATCAATGCGCCTAGGATATACCTCCTTCACCGTCACCCAAACCGCGTGGTCCAGCCGAGTTGCCCCACAGGGCGTGTTCGCATTGGGTAGTCGGAGGCGCACGAAAAGGCGGGGGAGATAGAAAAAGTCCGGCCACGATGGGTACGGCAGCGGCCGAGTTGAACATCTGGTGCGTCCATCAGGGCAGTCGACGCTTCCTGGGGCTCTTTGTAGTTATGCGGGGTCCAATTGAGTAGATAACATAGTTGCCTTCTGATATCGGAAGTTTCCGGCGAGAAGAGAGATAGAGGGATTCCATAACCTACTAAAATTATACAACGGGTCTCGTGACGCCGTTGTGTATCAAAGTTATCAAAGTTATCGGCCCCTCGATTGGCCTCACGGTCGTACGGTGCGAGAGCTGCTTTTCCTTATTTTCCGCCACGGGGACATCACTCATTCTCTCGTTTGGCCCTGTCATCAGTTCTAAAGGCAAAGATCCCAACTACCGCTAGCATGGCGCACAATGTTCCGAATACCACCGGCCAAGTGGATCTTCCGATGATTGATCTCTCCCATCCGGACGGGGTAGGTAGTGGGAAAGCTTTGCTTGATGCAGCAGTGAAGTACGGGTTTCTCTACGTCGATAGCCGGACTTGTGCCTTTTCAGGCAGCGATATAGATCAGATGTTTGCTATCGTATGTTGCTTGATCCGCTGTTTGCTCCTGCTTTTTCTTTGGAGTTTACATATATTAATGATTCGCTTGCGCTGGTTTATTGCAGTCAGAGGAATTCTTCGGTCTATCTACCGCCGAAAAGCTGCCGTTCCGAAGAGGCGCAAATGTCCGTTCAAACAATTCCCAGGCTATGAAAATGCCAGTACTTTCTGACTCTCTTTCTGCCGTAGAACCGAGGCTGGGTGGGCATGCATGTAGAGACGCTCGATCCAGAGCATCATGAGGTATGCTATTGAAGAATATACCCCTGTATTGACCTTGAACCGTCCGGTGTTGATGGAACCTCTGCAGAAAGGAGATTTCAAAGAGTAAGCTGCCTTTCGACTGCCAGCGTACGAGGGTCTTAACTTCAATGACACACCAGAGCCCTCAATATCGGGGAACTCGAGAATGGCACGCTTCAACAACCGCTGCCCTCTTGTACGGCTGCACATGAGCGAACAATCGCCCGCTTTACGGAACTTTGCAATCAAACCTGCAGCCAGATTCTCCAATTCCTTGCTCACGGCCTCGAGGTAAAGGCTTCTGGTCCCAAAATCCCCCCTACCCATCTTCTTAGCACCAGATAAGCTTACAATTTCGGTTCAGATCCCTGGTGACTACTTCACTTCCCGTCACGATCCATCGCATGGTGCGACGGGGAATTCCTTGAGACTTCTATACTATCCCGCCAGCATCACGTCGTACAGATCGGGTAAAGATATCCGGGCAGGGGCCCATTCGGACTATGGGAGCATCACATTATTGTTCCAACGTCCGGGCCAGCCGGGGCTAGAGATCAAAACGGCGCCGGAGTCTGAATGGGCGCCCGTGCCAGTCTACCCCGACACGCCAACCGACTATCCGTTCCCGCCAATCCTGGTAAACATCGGCGATATGCTGAGTTATTGGACGGATGGATTGCTCAAGTCAACGATCCACCGGGTGGTCTTCCCCCATGAAGCCCAAAGAGAGGGCGCGAATGACCGTCAAGATCGATATAGTATTGCCTTTTTCTGCCAGCCCGTCGGAAGCACCGAGCTTACAACGGTCCCTAGCGCAGTGGTCGCAGCGCATAGAAAGGAACAGTCCCAGGTTCGAGGTTCGTCGGTTGGATATGGCGGTGGCGCGGTTTCCCTAGACGATCATCGGGCTACAGCTGCAGAGCATCTACAATCCCGATTTGCAGCGACCTACATCACAAAATGAAAGACGGGAATTGGCAGTAGTATTGCCTAGTTGAAACCGGATGGGACGAAATGCAATATGGTAACCACCAATATACTGATATATTCTTTTTTTTTCTCATCCTTGGTTGATAGATTCTGCAATCGTCCTTATTTTATAGAGCGCTCGACTTCCTTAGGGGCATTGCGCATTCACCTTGGGACCTTCTTTAATGAGGGTTGTCTTCGTTCTGTTCAAAGTGCTCGCGCGCCCATGGGCTTCGCAGGCGAATAGCCCTGCCCTTGTAGAAGAAGATGAATGGAATCGGGACCAACAGGATGGAAATGAATGCGAGCAGACTGGATGCCCATTCGTAATCCAGCGTTTGGTACATCTGGGTTGCGAACAAGGGAAACCCCGCTCCCACCACGTTGCGGACCAAGATGACGCCGGCGAGGGCCGAGGCTGAGTATGTCTGGTAGCTGTCCACGACGTAGTTGAGAATACTCAGAATGATGATGTAAATTCCTGCCCCGAAGAGAGATGAAGCTATAATCGGAACCACCCAATGTACGGACTTGTAACTGGTCCATCCAAACCAGAACAGACTAACGGGGATCATAATCGCCCCGGCGCGGGCCATCCACATGCGTGCTTCTGGGACTCCTTTGCCTTGGTTTTCGGCAACACGCCGCAGATAGTACCGTTCTTGAAGCGGGTAAAAACAGAAGGCGATCAGGGGGCCGATCGCCATCCCCAAGAATGCGAGCCCCTGTTCACCCCCGTTAAAGTCATGGCCTTTCGGTGGCCCGAAGACCAATGGAATCGCTTCGTTGAACAGATAGACCAGCCCGTACAAGAACCCGTTGTAGATGGCAGAAAATGTGGTGATGGGCTCTGAGAATAAAAAGCGAACGGGCCGAGTGAGGGTGATGGCAAACAGCTCGTGCAGCCCCTTCCGCTCGCTGGCATGAATGTCTGTCGTCGATGCAGCCGAGGCTAGGTTCTCCTTCTTCATCGCCTTGCACACGCGCTGGGTCTTCCGTTGCAAGATGATACTGTGTCGTGTTTCGGGGATGGTGAGGACTAGGAGCACCCAGACGCCGCCAGTGATAGCCATGAGAACCCAGAAAATCCACCTCCATCCGAGATTGAGGCCAATATATCCGGTGACAACGAGAGCCATGGGGGGTCTAGGCAGAATGAAGTCAATATAAGAGCAGTTCGACGATCCGCCCCGGGGGGTTAACCATACCCAAAGGTACTACTCAGTCCGTATACAGCCATGGGCCCACCGCTGTCGTTTCTATCCCACAAATCACTGATGCTGCCACCGGTGTTGGTGAGAGGTGCACCACCTGCGCAACCCGCGATGAACCGGCAAACCAGAATGGTGCCAATGTTGGGCGCCAATGCAAGAGGCAGCTGGAAAATGAAAAGCAGAAACCACGAAACGACGTAGACTGGCTGTCGACCAAAATATTCCGATAGAGGCGCGAGGAGCACAGGACCGATCGCATAGCCCAGAACATAGAGGGATAGGCAGAGAGTGGTGACCTCGCCACTCACGCCAAATTCATGCTGGATACCCGTCGCGCCAGAGGAGATTCCACCAGCACACCATGTTCTATAATTCGGTCAGTTAGCTGGGAATGCTCTCAAGCTCCTGAATCGAAGACTTACGTGACCACGTTCAGCAAGCTGACAAAGCAAGTAATATACCATTTGCGAGCCTTGGGCCAATTCCTGGGGTTGTCTCGGTCGTTAAAACCATAGGTGATCAGGATTGGGAGTGCCTCGTGGGGAGACTCCCGGGCTTTGGCAAGGGCCTGTTCGTCAGACAGCACCAGTGGCGAAGACTCGGCAAAGGACTCCTGCGTCTTTTCTGTCCCTTGAACCTCGTCTTGCCGTTCTTGGGAAGACATTTCGGAAGCCATTACAAAGACAGACCCTCACAATCACAGCAAAGGCTTCGTAGGTGGATATCACCACCGACCGTCGAGCTGATACGCGGAAGGACGAGCAAGCTTATATAGTTGATCTTTTCCTTTTGAATGCCGAAAGTGTGCGAGAATGGAAAACCTCCATGCGGCCAGCCAGGTCCCCCGGCTGATCCGCATTTTCCCACGGAGAGACTGGGTTTCTCCACACCAATACCATGCCACGGTGTGCATAACCGTGCCAGGGATGGGGTAAACTGGGCATTTTTAGGACTGATCCAGATGATTAAGATGACGCTGTTATTGGTCAGTGCGGTCGACATCGGTTCCCGTTGAGTGGGACCCAACAAAAAAGTTCAACGGTAGACATGCCGAGCACACGCAGCGGCCAAAATGCTTAGCTGACTGAAGTCTCCACTTGAGTAGGCCGAGCTGGCAGCCACGGCGTCCCAGCTTTGAAGGCTGAGATGATCGCGACTTGTGATAGAGCATGGACCTATTTTGGGCTACCAAAAAGAAATCAATCTCTGGGGGCCTTCGAGGCCGGGCAAAGGATTCAAGGCCTCGAAACCCCAAACCCTCGAAAAGATTCTGGACTGCAACATGAGAATGCCGAGTGTGCCGATTGGCCCACCTCGGCGAGAAGCCGGCAGTCTCTGCGCGGTCGGAATGGGGTTAGTTGCAGCTGAACTCTAGATGTTGAGAAAAAGATATTTATAAGCCACTTCATTGCGTGGAGAGAATTGATCCCATTTGTAGTATGCGGTTCTTCAATAAAGCGGAGAGCATTGGGGACTCTCGACTGCCCAGGTTGCATCTGTTCTTTATCATCCAGAGACTCGACATTTGACCCTGCAGCGTTTGCGGCGGTGCCGTGCAGTCGAACACATGACGCCAAGTGAAGAGCGCTGTCTTTGTTGGGACGGTCGCTGGTGGAGATCGCGGCGTGGTTCTCTCCACGGTGGACAGAATGGGTTGACCCGGGGAGGTGCCCCGCTGACTTGTTCTGCTGTCTCCAGGCCTTGGGTTTGTTTCGTCCAGATAAGTACGTAAGGCACTCAGATAATTCAATCCCGCATGGAGAATGGGGTACTCAACATAATGTGGTCTGTGAGGAATCTGGGTCAGACTAGCTGCGAAGTTGATGCTTAAAAAAAATATCGATCCTCTTTCTACTCTGTAGACATCCCAACCTTAAGAAACACATGTAGAGCTTCGTGGTTTCGCGATCATTGCCGTGGTGTATATAACACAAGTGCTCCGTGCCAAGGATATCGATTCGACTCAAAAGACTGCGATCGTTGTTTTTAAAAGAAGAAATTGTAAAGACAGATCGCAAAAAGGCAATTATCAATCATGTCTCCTAGTCTATTCTTTCCTGTCCGCACCGGGGTAAGTATACAGTCAGCGGCCGGCAGAAACCCGCCCCGACTCTCCCCACCGAACCCTCAAACGAACACCGCCTCCTTCAAGCGCGCCATGGAGGACTCAAGGCATAAGTCGGGCCCCTTTGAGCCCTTTGAATCCAAACAGCCTTTCCCTCCCTTGCTCGACGAGCTAGTGTCGCCGACCGAGACACACGCAAGCTACACCGACGACAGTGTCACTTCCCCTGGCTACGAGGAGATCGAAGTGGAAGACGACGCCGACTTCCAGTCCCATTACTCCCTCGACCCTCAGTCCCTGACCGATTCGGAATCTGACGATTCCCCCGACCAAATTGATCGAAACCATCCTTTTCGCCAGTCCTCCGGCTCGCTCCATGGCCCCAACGCCTTCGCGCCTCCATTCTACAACCGCCCACCGACGCCATTGCCCCCCTCGCCCTCGCTGACCTCTTTGCTTCGACCCCCTTTCTCGACCAACACATCCCGGCCGACCACTCCAGATAGCTCTGATGTAGAGACGCCCAACGACACCGAAGCCGCCGTCGCCAAGTCCGCCCGACGGGCGACCACCGTCCCGCGCGCCAGCCCCAAAGTGCCAACCTATGAATATTACGGCTTCGTCCTTTACCTGGCGTCATCGCTGGCATTCTGTGAGTGCCCGCTCGGGCCCGACTGGACGCCGCCTCTATTCCGCGACCCAATGCTGATACTTTTAGTGATCTATCTGCTCTGGTCCTACCTCCCGTCGCCATTTCTTCATCAATTGGGGATCTACTACTATCCCAATCGCTGGTGGTCCTTGGCCATTCCCTCATGGCTTGTGATGTCCATCATCTATATTTACGTGGCGCTTGCGTCGTACAACACGGGATATCTTACTCTGCCCATGAGCAGTATTGAAAACATCGTGGATGAGGTAGCTAATGTTGCGGTGATAGATGGGAAAGCGCGGCGCCGCCCAGGCGGAGCGACCAAGATGAAACCGGGCGCGACATCATTCCAAATCATGGGTCCTCAGAACCGCAAAGTCAATTGGGCGGAGATCTGGAGTGAGAGCACAGATGCAGTCATGGATATTCCAGTGGGAGGGGTGTGCGAAGTCTTATATGGGCTGGAACGCGACGAGGACCTATAGAACCGCGTCCAATGACGTGCGTTATCATCACGTGATTCCGCGTATCGCGACATGTGAGAGATCTTGCAACTCGCCCGACTGGATCTCGAAATCTCCCAAATCTTCCGCCCACGAGTACTTTATCTCCCACTCCCCCTTCGCCTCCTTCATTCAGACACTTTGGGCGCTGCAGGCTAAGGTTGCCTGCTTTCCAAAAATGCCTGAAGCACCTTCGACTCCACCGCGGCCCGGCGCCGGACCACGTCAACTCCCCCGCGGTCCTATAACGCCAGAACAGAAACGAAAAATTGTAAATCAAGATTCCCTCTCCCAATTCTGTGACATATATCTTACCTAGTCCTTTCTGCGACTAGGAAGAAAATCGAATCAGAGCCAAGGCACTCCGACAACAACGGGAGACTGAGCTCGCCCAACAAAAAAGCAGCGCACAGCCTAGCGCGCAGCCCGCCCAAGGAGTCAAACGAACATTCAACACAATGACAAGCCCCAACCCAGCGTCGATGCGAGACGCGCGCGCAGGCACGGGCTCCGATCGTCCTCTCGACAATATCAAGCCTGCCCGAAATTTCACGCGCTATGTCGACTATGACTTCAGCAAAATGACCGATACCAAGGGTGGCTTCCTAACACAGGAGGATGATCCTTTCAATAAAGCCCTCCATCAGTCCGAGGAGAAGGAGGCACAAAAGCCAGCTAACATGACCCAGAAGGAATGGGAGCGTCATCAGCTACTACAGTCCCTGCAACGGAATAAACAAGGACCCTTCGAACCCGGTTTAAGCGTTCTTGATGACAAGAGCACACAAAAGACGTGTCGAGAGTGTGGTAGTCTGGAGATTGACTGGAAGTGGGAAGAGATGCTTCGTTGCTGTATATGCCACGCATGCAAGGAGAAGTTCCCGGAGAAGTACAGTCTCCTAACCAAAACGGAGGTAAAGGACGACTATCTTCTGACTGACCGTGAGCAACCCTCTATACTAGTTGAAATGTTTCGTGACTAATTCTATAACCAGCCGAGCTGCGCGATGAGGAGCTTCTCCCCCGCCTCGAACGTCCCAATCCACACAAGTCGACCTGGAATAACATGATGCTATATCTTCGCTTCCAAGTGGAGGAGTATGCCTTCTCCGATAAGAAATGGGGCTCTGCTGAAGCGCTTGACGCCGAGTTCGAACGCCGTGAGGGTGACAAGAAGAGACGGCGGGAGGTCAAGTTCAAAAGCAAATTACAGGACTTAAAGAAGCGCACGCGAGTAGAGGCTTACCGCCGAAATCGACAAGGGGCCTCCGGAGGTGACTTTGGAGATGACCTCAGTACCAACCGCAAGCACATCCATGAATGGGGACGGCCGATCGATAATCCAGAGACTGGGATGCCGATCAAAACGTGTGTCGGTTGCGGGATGGAAGTCGAAGAACTAGAGATATAAGGCCTTTCAGTTCTAGTAGACCGTCTCTCCTGAGATAGCCAGGCGGGGCGATCACCTCCAGCAGCCACCATGCGGAGACTTATTATAGTAATTAATTCATGAGATCACGATTGAGCCCACTCGTATATTCTGCACAACCTGGCCAACTTACAATGATACCTACCTGCTAGTGAAAGCACTAGTACGTAAGTCAATGATCTTTCTAAAGACTTCCAATCTAATCTTGGGATGCCTTAGAATGTTGCTCTCGAGATTGGATTTGATCCCGTCCTAGTCGTACTATGGCCCGTACACTAGGAGTATTTTAAAGGCTACGATATACACGGTATCAATTTGTGCATTTCAAGACCAAAGGTCCTATCTTCATCATTCCACATATTACGCTGACAGCTCAAGTTTGCCATTTTTCGAAGTTCGGTTTTCCTACTTGCTGTGGACCCTCCGCGTTACATATATACCCAGCTTCGGAGGTACTAGCAGTGCGATTAGAAGTCCTCGTAGACGATGGAAGCAAAAAGCCACAGACAACATATTAATAAGAAGTCCGATAAACTTTTCGAATAGCACCCTTCTAAATACACCAAATCATGGACTCCCCTCGGCCACAAAATAGGAATATTCCATTGCTCACTCCGTAGTTTGTACCCCAGCTATTCCCGCATGGGAGCCAATAACGGCAGGCGGTGAGCAGTCACTGGTCCTGGCCCCCGAAAAGCCAGAACTCCCCCATAACAAACCAATCGCCTTGAACCCTCCTGCAGGACATTGATCTTATTTCCTCTTAGCTTGCCCTTCGCTCCCCCTGCAAATATCCCTGCCGGCACGGCGTGGAACGTGGTTCCCCCTGTCATTGTCGGGATTTCCGTGACACTTGCTCGCAAGTGGAATACCGGTCAGGAGAGAAAACAGAAGCTCCACCTTCCCCGTCACTTGGTCACTTGGGGAACTTGAACGCCGTGATCCTCGCTCATAGTCGCGCGCCTTCGAACCGACTCCTTTGAACCGACTCCGGAGCTTTGACTGACATTGCTCTTAGCTGTTCATGGCCTGGCAATCCCAATCGGCCATGGCTGGTATGGGAGGAATGCCTGTGGCCATGGGGGACGGGCCCTCAAACGGCGGACACCCCCAAGGAACCGAATATACGCTTCAAGGTAAAAAAAAAAATATCCCAGAAAACGGCCCATGGCCTCCGAGGCTGACTTTAGAAATCTAGGTGTGATGCGTTTCCTTCAAACAGAATGGCACCGGCACGAGCGCGATCGAAATGCTTGGGAGATTGAACGCGCCGAGATGAAATCCCGTATTGGTCGACTTGAGGGAGAACTACGAACTAGCAGACGCCTCCACGAGTCGCTTGGTAAACACGTGCGGCTGATGGAGACAGCGTTGAAGAAAGAGCGAGAGAAGTCCAAAGCTGCCAGCAAAGATGAGAAACCTGAAGGTCCCAGCCCGAAGGATGTGGCGCGTGAGAGCTTGAACTTCATCAAAGGTATGCTCCTCTTTCAATGCCCCCTCTCTGATCGGACTTACTGACACAGCCTAATCTCTAGCGCAACGATCAAGCACAGACCCAAATGCGAACCCTGAAGACCTTGAACCCAGTGAATTCCGGCAGGAAGACGAACGGGAAAAATCGCGAGTGTACTTATCCAAATGCGCACAGGAGATAGCCTACCATGTCATTCCTACATCCCATCCAGCTCCCGATCTAAACGACCCGGATCTCTCCAACCATCTATACATGAACCAACAACAGCTGTCGCAGCAGAATATGGATGAAGCAGCATACCTTCCACAGAGACAGAAAGCAAACCAATTGATGACACGAGACGTGGCTCTTCCCAACCACCAATCCATGAACTCCCAATACACCGAGAATACTTCCCTCGCCCGCTCTCAAAATAACCAATACAGCCATGTCCCTGCCCCTCGCGATGCCGCCGAGCGGCGGCAGCCCGAGCCGCAGCAGACACCTGTCACTGCAATTGATAGTCGCAAGCAAATATATGAGAACGACGTTGGCGATGAGCGAGGGTTAGGAGATACACAATCAGGATATGAGAGCTCAGGTCCTCAGGCTCCTCCTCAAGATGAGGCAGAATCGCAGAGGCCCAAAAACGAGCCGGCAGAGGACATGGATGGCTGGAATTTCGATGAACCCGCCGAGCAAGAGACCCCTAGCGAGCCGATGCCATCGCATCGCCCCGACACCGATGCCTTTCCCAATGCGAACTTCGCTGGAACAAAACCATCCGCACGTGGTGGATCCCTTTCTCATCGTCGGAAGAGCTCAGGATCTCGGCGCAAAAGTGAAGGTGGGACAGAATCTCGTGAGGCTGCCACCAGGCATACCCAACAGGATACCAATTTCAAGGTCCGATTTGCCCTGCGTGGACATTTAGATGTCATCCGATCTGTGATCTTTACTGGTGGTGGTAGTCCCTCCGAGCCGGAAATCTGCACTTGCAGTGACGATGGCACAATTAAAAGATGGATCATCCCGGCAACTTACGGTACATTTGGAGCACATGGACCCAGCTCAAGCAATGATTTAGATATCACGACCTATTTTACCCACCGGGGTCATGTGGGTGCTGTGACTTCTTTAGCCGCCTGTTCACCATCGCAAAATATCTCCAATGGGGGTCGTGTATTAGGCGATGGCTGGGTGTTCTCGGGCGGGCAGGATGCCACTGTGAAGGTATGGGAGCGAGGGAGAGTTGACCCCAAGGCAACTTTGGATGGTCATACGGATGCAGTATGGGGGCTCTGTGTGCTTCCGGGGACGGCTGGCTCTGTTTTCGGCGACTCTTCTAGTTCCTTTGGTGGCGCGGATCGTATCCTGTTGGCCTCCGGCGCTGCAGATGGCCGCATTTTGATCTGGGCGATTAGCCCCCCGCCACTGGTCTCGGCTCCCCAAGCTGGATCGCGACGCCAAGGTGGCAGTCGCCGCGCAAACTCGATCTCGTCGGGCTCAAATTTCCCGTCATCGCCGCAGCCTAGCGTTGCCACGAGTACACCTTTCCATTACACCCTCGTTCATCACATTGTGCGCACAGATTCTCCTTCTCCGACATGCATCAGTCCCCTGTCTTTGGCTGGTGTTAACTTTGTGGTCTCCTACTCGGATGCCTCGATTCTTGTCTATGACACACGGACTGGCGAAGAGATCGTTGGAATGGCCAGCCTCGAAACTTATGATGGGACTCCATCGACAGGTGTGAACTCAGTAGTTGCCACTACGATGGGATTTGACGGGTCCGCTCATTTGGACCCCAGCCGTACGATGGAAGACGAGGAAGTTGTCCACGGCGCCACTGGATCCAGTAGCGTAGAAGGTGTTATCATCAGTGGCTACGAAGATCGATACATCCGTTTCTTTGATGCCAATAGCGGTGAGTGAAATTCTCTTATCTGACCGTATCTCCCTCCTTAAACAGAATTCTAATATCTTCCCCGCACAGGCCAATGTACCTATACGATGCTTGCCCATCCGGCTGCGATTGCCTCGTTATCGTTGTCCCCTGACGGTCGAGAGCTCGTCTCAGCCGGGCATGATGCAAGTCTACGATTCTGGAACCTCGAGAAGCGCAGTTGCACGCAAGAGCTGACCAGCCATCGGTTGATGCGCGGGGAGGGTGTCTGTGCTGTTGTCTGGAGCCGTGACGGACGCTGGGTCGTCAGTGGTGGCGGGGATGGCGTGGTCAAAGTTTTCTCGCGATGAACCAAATGACGAGACGACCGCTTTGTATGATTTCTTCCCCCTTCTTTTCTCGAATTGACTTCTACTCCATGTGTATTTCTTCGGTCTTCTTGCGTCATATGGTCCCGTCCAGGGGATGAGCAATTAGTCGGATCGGTTTTTGAGCATTTGCAATGGTGTCTCCAAGCCCTCTCACATCTGGCACACTCTTCTTTCACATGTGTAATTTTGAGCCTCACGCTGATAATACATGTCTTGTTCGCAACGATTCCCAGGCGTATATTTCTGATCATGTTCATGTTTTCCCTCATCCTATTCCCTATTTCGATCGTTCAGACTTCCGCTCCCCAAATCCTCTTCACATATTGGAGCCAATACGGCCTGGGCGGTCATTGGCAGCATTTCTCTGCTTTGCCTCTATCATTATTGCACACTCATCTGAGGCAGGCCCTCTGTTTTTGATTTGCCGGTTGGCTTCGGTCTCTTGCTTGTATTTGACCCAAGCGGCCGATCTTGAGGAGATCCTTCTGTGTATTACAATGAGTTTGATATCCAACCACCTCTTGAATGAGAAATCAAATGCAGGGGCCTCTGCCTAATGGGTCATGTCAACTACGAGGGTGCTACAGGTTCGGAACAAAATAAAGACGAAGGGAAATAGCATGTGGGCATCATATTAAGGCGGGGTATATTTAATTCGAGGCCCAGGCATTTTTGAACAGCGAGCGTAATCGCTTTGCCTCCGCATTGTCCTTCAACTGCTGTTCCAAATAACTCTGCAGGCCGTTCCAGAATGATTCGTCGTGCAGTATCTGATCACTAGTTGAGCCCGCTACAGGCTGAGGTGCAGGGGCTTCGTGCGCTGATGCTGCAGATTCAGCGATTGGTGCGTCAACTGTCTTCGCCCCTCCAATGATCATGATCCCGAACTCGACCTCTTTGCCTCCAGATAACATCTCCGGTTCGTCCGCCAAGATCTCAGCAATGGTCTTGCCAGTACCGGACACTGGTTTTCGATGGTATAGAATCTTGATCTTGTCTTGTGGTACTGGGTTGCCCTGTGTATCGGCAACACGTTCCCGTACAGCATCTCTGAGATCTTGAACAGTGGTAGTGGAGAGCGGCGCGTTGGGGATCGAAAACTCAAGCACCGGGTTACGGGCCGACTTCACCTTGACGGTGATTGATTTCGAAGAGCCTGGAGCTTTGGTCTGCTTGGCTTTCTTTGGCATCTCTGGGTGCGGGGCGTGTAGGCGGGGGAGTGTGTACTTGTGAGAGAGGAACATTAGCATGCTGAATCCGTAGAAAGTGATATGCCATATGGATTCTATGCATAGTGTAGGTGAATCGAGAGGCTTACCGGCACTCGCAATCCCACTCGTTCCGGGTCGAAGACATGGTCAGCACGCAGCTTGATAGGACGGGAGTCCAGCGCGGCGAGGAATGACTTGGCGAAGGTAAGTTCTGACATGATGAGGATTCGAAGTCCAAAGATCAGGCAAGCTAGAGAATAATGTCTCGGCGGAGAGTAGCAAGGCCCATAAGGGAGTTGTTGGTTCTGCAGGTGTCGATCGCTTCCTTCCTGCGGGACTACAGACTGCTGCCTGAGAAACGAGGCACCTATGCAGTACCGCCAGCGGTGCCCACCTCACCGCCTTGGGAGTTGCTAGCTTTTTTTTTTCTCTTTTCTTTACCGCCGCAGAAAAAAAAAAGTTCGGTAATCTACAAGACGCCCGACAAAAACAACACCTCAATCATGGGGAAAGGACGTCGCATGAAGAAGCAGGGGCCCCCTGCGCCCTTGGATGAGTCAAAGATTACTACTGCCTTCAAGAAGCGCAAGGCTGGCGACTCCGAATCGGCTTCCAAAGTCACCGCCGTAAAGAAGCGCCGCAGATCTGATGCCGATGAGGAAGAAGCTGCGCCCAAGAAGTCCGCACTCAAGAAGAGCAAATCCAATGGCACGATTGCCAAATGGCTCTTCCGAGTCTGATCAACGCAAACCGAAAGCAGAGAAGAAGAAGCCGGTTCCCATGGATTCAGACTCGGAAGACGATATGGACGACGATGAATTTGATGACTTGGATGGAATCAGCGAAGGGTCAGTAGATAGCCAAGAAGGTATCGGACGACTTTCAGACCTTGAGGATGACGAGGATGAGGTGGACGACGATTCAGTCATGGACTCTGATGACGACGACCACCCCCGCGAAACCATGTTCTCCGACGACGAAGACCTGTCAGATGCTGAGGAGAAATTGACCGCTGCCAACATCGAAGGGTTATCGCGCAAGCTGGATGCTGAAAAGAAGCTGGAGGAGGAGGAAGCTGAGCAGGAAATGCAAGACGCAATGCAGACCAACATCGCTGGCGATCGCCCCGATGTGTTCGCTGACCAGACACAACCCGGGCTCGCCCCAGACCTTCAGCTTCTGCGCCAACGCATTACAGACACCATTCGGATATTGGGTGATCTCAAGGGCCTTGGCCAGCCAGGAAAGTCTCGTGCTGACTATGTTGACCTTGTCCTCGATGACATTTGCACATACTACGGCTATACTCGATACCTGGCCGAAAAGCTTTTCAACCTGTTCACACCCATGGAAGCATTTGCTTTCTTCGAAGCTAACGAAACCCCACGTCCTGTTGTCATTCGTACGAACACTCTGCGTACCAACCGTCGATCCCTCGCTCAGGCCCTCATCAACCGAGGTGTAGTGTTGGAGCCAGTCGGGAAATGGTCCAAGGTTGGCTTGCAAGTCTTCGAATCCGCTGTGCCACTTGGTGCGACGCCCGAGTACTTGGCCGGTCATTATATCTTGCAAGCTGCATCTTCTTTCCTCCCCGTGATGGCTCTGGCCCCTCAGCCAAATGAGCGTGTTCTTGACATGGCTGCTGCCCCTGGTGGTAAAACCACTTACATGTCCGCCTTGATGCGAAACACTGGCTGTGTGATTGCCAACGATGCTAGCAAACCTCGTGCAAAGGGTCTCATTGGTAATATCCACCGTCTTGGTTGCAAGAATACCATCGTGACCAACCTGGATGCTCGTACCGCTTTCCCAAAGGCTCTTGGTGGATTTGACCGGGTTTTGCTGGACGCTCCGTGCACCGGTACCGGCGTTATCTCCAAGGACGCTGGTGTTAAGACTTCCAAGAACGAGCGCGACTTTTTGGCAATTCCCCATATGCAACGTCAGCTGCTTCTGGCTGCTATTGACTCAGTCGATCACTCATCGAAGACCGGTGGCTACTTGGTGTATTCGACCTGCAGTGTTACGGTGGAAGAAAATGAGGCCGTGGTACAGTATGTGCTTCGGAAGCGTCCTAATGTCAAGATTGTGGACACAGGTCTGGGTGATTTTGGCAGCCCTGGATTTACTAGCTACATGGGCAAGAAGTTCGATGCTAAGATGGCCCTGACCCGTCGCTACTTCCCTCATCGTGAAAACGTCGATGGCTTCTATGTCTGCAAACTCAAGAAGACCGGACCCACGCCTGTGGCTAAGCCTAGCGACGATGATAAAACGTCGACTGGAAGCCGACCGGCTCGACGAGCCAGTGCTCAAGGTGCTACGACAGATGAAGAGATTGACAAGACTCCGATCTTGAATGAGGATGGCACTGCGCCTAATCTTGAAGGTGGCGCTTTTGGTCCCTTTGAAGAAGACGAGGATGCCGAGCGTATTGCCCGCGCCGAGCGTAACCGTCTTCGTCGTAAGGGTATTAATCCTAAGGGCGTCCTGAACAAGCCCAAGAAAGCCGCCAAGGGGCAAGCTCAGCTAAATGAGACCGCTGACTCCAACACTGCTCAAGAGAAGACCGAGGAAAAAGAAGAGAAGCCTGTGGCGGAAAAGACGGAGAAGAAGGAAAAGAAGGAAAAGAAAGAGAAGAAGGCTAAGAAGGCTGTCAAATAGAATGATCCTTGAGTCTTCTCTACTATGTACCTATTAGCTTTGGCGACCGGGTCTCAGGTTGGAAAAACGCATTCAGGTGTACGGCGTCTTGCAGTTATATTATGGTTACGCGAATTTATATATCGATCGAATCAAGCGCCAAGCGCGAACGTACCATTCAAATTCTAGATCTATGAAATTTGAGTAAAACGTTGAAAGGGGCAGGGATCTATATCGGGATCTATATCCAAAAATCCAGACAAGTAATGCCAGTGCATACCAACAAATCCAAAGTAACACCGTTGGGCAAAACAAAGAGGCCCTCTCCTTCCTGATATCTTGAAAAATAGGCGGTAAAATGCTTTCGCTAACTCTCAAAGAATGGCATCAATGCTTCGGGCACTGAAGTAAACAAAACCAAACCAAAAACAACAATGCAACATAACTCCATCATCTAAATGTAATCCAACCATGAATGCTGACTCGTCTAGAATGCGTCGGACTTGATTCAAGTCCGGTAGATCTTGATCACACTCTTGATAGACTTGCGGCAGATGGGACACAGATCGACCTGTTTAGCACATGTCACACATGAGCAGACATGCCCGCAATCGCAGAAGACGGCATCTTGCTCTTCTGAGTAGCAGATCTGACACAAGTCCATCTCATCGTCGACTACTTCCCAGTAGCTGATGCCTTTCCCGTGACGTTTGCCATCTTTATATCCGCCGACATATTTGTTCCCGGTCTTCTTTTCAATATAAGTACCTTGTCCGTGACGAACATCTTCCACCCAGTCACCATCATATACGTCACCCGTGGGGTATTCCATTTTCCTTGGCCATGGCGTTTTCCGAAGACGAAATCGCCCTCATAGACAGCGCCAGTGCCGGAAAGATGCTTGCCACGACCGTGGTAGTATCCCTTCAAGAATTCACCGCTATAAAAATCACTGGTGAAAGTCGCTTCGACAGTCTTGGTGCCAGTGAATCCTTGGATAGGGTGACTTCTTGATTCAGCCCAAAGGTATTGCACAAGACGATCAGGGCTGGAGAAAAGGCCAGAGATGCCAAGCTCAGTACGCCTGTGAAGCGAATTAGCCGTGGGAATTGAGACAAAAACTATTTATAGGAAGAAACATACTTGTCCTTGCTGAGCTTGTCGCCGACAATGAGGCAGGAACCGTGTGGCACCACCACATCCTTAAAGCTCTCGGCGGGAGACACTGTCGTAATGGTAGTCCCATCCACTCGCTTCCACATGAGAAAATCCCTGCGAATAGGCCACTGTAGGTGTCTACGTAGTGATGATTTGACATTCGCCTCGTGTTTGGAAAAGAAAGAACCGACTGTTTGCAGCTCCTGCTTATCCGCATCAAAGACTTGGATAAAGTAATAGGTGTGACCAACAGGTAATTTCACCTCCGGCTCGATGACCTCTGGCGAGGAGTTGTTCGAAGCCTGCGAGCTATCGTTGATAGCATCACTTTCGGGAGAAGCTGTCGCTAAAGGAGGGGAAGAGCTCTCAGTGGCTATTATATTCACTTCAGGGCGGTCAAACAGTCCATCACCTCTGGAAGTTACTGATGAACTTGCGACAGCATCTCCGTCAGTCATGGACAACGAAGCCTGGTTGGAACCTGAAATCGGTCGTTCCACAATGGACTCCTCAGTCTTATCCTCAATGGCTCTTGTGCATGGTGGGTCCGGAATAGCAAAAAACTTGGCATCATCTGCGGGAGGAAAGGGTTAGCCTGGAATACTGAGAGTAGTCAAAGGAGATTCGAACCTTCGGAAATAATTTCCATCCAGAACCTGGAAACTCCGGTGGAAGCGTTCAAGGGGACATTCAAGTCTGTAATCAAATCAAGGGCCAGAGTCGACCCACACTGCGTACGACTATTTCCGATATGCCACAGCCGAACTCGTTCAGCGCCAATGGTGTCATGTCCAACGGATTGCCAAAGAGCGACCTTTTTACGGAGATCCGTTAGGCGAGACGACTGTGGTAGCGTCATGTACATGACACTATTATCGGCCTTAGCGCGTGACATCAAGTCGTATGTATCAAAGAGGCTGCTGAGACTCTTGTGGTCCGAGAGAGAATATACTTCCACCTGGACATCCTCACTTGCGGACTTCGAAGCCACCGAATCAGCAGTGAAGACACCCGTCTCATAATACTGCTTCAGTGACCTTGGAATGTCCCACGGGCCTTGAGGGCCAGGCAATAGCTCGGATACCATGTCACTGCGAACATAGATTGCAACAACGGGAACGTCGTGGCCTTTCTTGTGATCGACAGGTTGAGAAGGATCCAAACCGAGATGGGGGCCGAGGGCGGTCTTTTCAGTCAAACTCTCGACACGATTATCGCTGCCGTCATCAAATGCGAGCCACCTGGTTCCTGGGCCTGCGGGACGAAGAATGCTGAAAAACTTGCCGGAAGTTCGACGGCCCCGGTGGACGATATATCCATAGAGGACATATTTACCATCTTGGCCGTCAACCACCCAAGGTGTCAGGTCCAGTCGCTCATCAAGATTCACTTTGTTAAACATCAGTTGCCACCGCATGCCTTTATCCAGAGTGTGGCGGCGAAGCTCGAGATGCATCACCGGTGGAAGAGTCCATCGGCCAGTCTTGGCCTTCAAGTATGCTTCCATGGCTTCTCCAGTAGATTGAAACTGGTCTGCTTGGATGCAGACGCGTGAATTGAACTCTGTCGGCAAAGTGTTGATGACTTCACCTGCAGTCGTGGAGAGGGAAGCTGGAGCCGGGCTGTCGAACAACTTTGCGAATTCTGCGCCGGCCTCGGTGCCTGCCAGCTCAATTTCCAAGGTACGCCGCAGACGTTCCCAGAATTCAGACACATCACTTGAGAATTCTCGCAGGTTCCGCAGCGTGGACGTGATACTATCGGTATCGACATACTGAAGGGACTGCGCGCGGCTGCGCAGGTGCCACAGTAACTTCTGCAAGGCATCCCATAGAGGCCTGGGCTTGACATCACAATTAGTGAGGTGCTCAAGGACATCTACACCTTGGATGATCTTGCAGAAGGGGGCGATATGAAGCCAAGAGGCTAGTCCCGCAACATCGGCACTATGATTAATCACTGAGTCCCCGAGAGGTCGGTATCCAGTCAAGGCAAGGCTATCCCACGTGGGCTCCGAGTCACTGGGGTGCCACCACAGGGACTTGGTGGGATCGTCAATCACCCCGAATGTATGCATCGAATGACAATGTATCATTGTTCAGCAACGCTCGATGCTGGCCCCTCCGACGAGTGTGAATCTGGTCCCAAGGGCCATGGAAGTAGGTCCATCCCCAATCCAAGTTATGGGGGTTGAACTGATGACAAGAGGATTGCATCCATCCGGTGCGGGGCTCCTCGGGGTTATAGACAATGACACCAATCTGGGCAGGAACTCGCCATTGAGCGGACCCGGAGTCCGCAGACCTGCTCGTCGTTGAGACAGCAGCTGGGTATTGAGACTTGAAGCTTTCCAACCAGGCAGCCGAATCTGTCGTAGCCGATGTTTTAATGCGCGCATCTGGCGCGCAGTCGTTCAGAACGACATCCGCATCGCCCCGACGAACAGTGAATTCGGTTTCGGGAATCTGATCATCTGGGGCCGGCATCGTGGGTGAACACTCAAGATATATACTCAACGAGCCCACATTGTTGCCACGAGGGTAGAACTTGATCCGCCACCAGTAGCCTCCAACATATGCGGGGGGAGACCGCATGATCTTGGCCCGATTAGGAGCATTGGGGGTGCCACGAACCCCCTTGATGGTCCAGGTGATGCGGGCTTTCTCCTTGGGAACGTACTCCGGATCCTCCAAGTCCCGGAAGAAATTATTCTCCCAGTACGTGTCTATAGATACGTTAGATCCTCTCCGCCGGGGATTGGGAATGGGACCACATACGGTCACAAGCACTATAATCGGCATCTGCGCCTTCAATCTCCTTCAATTCCTCTTCATCAGGAAGTGTAGTGTCCTCTTCGAACTCAGCCCAATAGGCATGTTCTGTGTCCGAGGCCGAGTTCGGGACGGGGGCCGAGGGAGGTTGTACGGCATCTTGAACGGCCTCACTGGTTTGGGTCTCGGGGGCATTGGTCGCACCAGGTACAGACACACCGGATAGAGTATTCGCGTCGTTTTCGGGCCCGACCTCGGAGGCAGACTGCGTATTAGGGCTAGAATCCCGCTCGGATTCCATCGTGCGGGCTTTCTTGCTCGGAAGGGAGCAATCGCCAGAGGCAGAGAACGAAATGCCACTTAGTGGAATATGGAGCCAAGTCCGGCAAGGCCCAGCAAGTACGAAAGACAAAAGCGAAACGAGGTATACCGCTCGAGGGTACGAAGGGTACGAAGGAGAAAAAAAAAATAAGAGAATCAGGAGAAAAGATAAGAAAAGTAAAGTCCGGGGGGGAGTGGGGTCGCTTTGCGCTCTTTTTCCGGGCCCCATTTTCTTCTCGAACCAACGGGCTTTGCCTTTCCTGCTTATCGGGGGAAGGTCTGGTCCCCTTGAGGCGTCCGACTCGACAGACTCCGCTTTTTTGTGCAGAGTTGTGACTGCCTGTCACTGCCTGAGTGGCTCCTGCACTGGACTCCACTATTGGCACTCTACAGTCTCGCAAGTCGCGGTGAAGCCCCTCTGGATCGGCAGTGGATCCGAAACTCCACTCCGACTCAGGGCAGCCAACCTTAATTTCCGCAGCCGATTTGTTCTGGTTCCCTTCTTACGGGCGAATTTGCCACCGGCCTTTTTTCGCATCTCGGATTCGCCACTGAGTGCCGGCTTTTCCCTGTCTAGCAAGTGGGTTCGGGGTGGCGCACGATCACGCGTCCAAGGGGGAAAAAGGAATACTGAGAACTACTACGGCTCGGGTTCTTATCTGCCAGCTCAAAAGTTCGAGCGATACCGGACGTTTGTTATATTATGTTGGAAATACATACTTCATGGCGCTGGTGGTGGATTGCCCCAGAGCTCTCACGTGGAGCGCACACGAGCGCTGCCCTACAGTATTGGAGAGGTGAATCTCTGAATCGCTTGCCCGGAACGCAAGGATTGTTCTGCCGTTGGGGGATTCGTCCACGGGTACACTTCCCGTACGAATGGAGAATCGTCTCGATCAGGAGGGGGGAGTGTTTCAGACCATCCCCGCTCCAAGTCGGTCAAAAGGGATGATCATTGGTAGCTGCGTCTGGAATGCTGACGGGACCCTGCATCCGTGACAGTCGTCACCTCGTTCAGTGCCCTGCTAGAGGCGCAGAGCGCGCAAACGAGGCTGCCACGATCAAAGGGAAGACGACCGTAGCTTCCGCATAGACCTTCACGGCTTGCGCATCCGCCTTTATCTTACCCCAGCTGACAGCCTCGTCCGGTCGGGCACCAGCATCACTACCGTCGAATTCCTGCGCCGTATTGATATATACGGCATGCTCTGCTCCGTTGCGCATCAGACATGCGTTAGCGATGTGGTGTTTAACCACTCCACCACCAAGAATGATCATGCCGGCCCGGGCGGCCCGCACAGCCATGGTGTTGATACGCCGCACATCATCTACAATGTCCACACGTAGCCGCTGGGGCGAGGATTTGAAAGTGTGGAAGTAGAGCATATCGCCAAGAGATCCGTCGGTTAGCGCAGGGCAGAAGACGGGGATATTGTTCCGGGCAGCCCAGTAAAGGACCGAGTCCTCGTTATCAATCTCCCGACCCAATCGCTCGGTAATGCGGCTTGGCGTCCAGTGCAATTCATCCTCCCCATCCCGGTCTCCCGAGCTTTATGCTTAGCTGCCTCTTGCTCCTCAGCATACGATCGAGAATGGGCACCACCCAATCTTCGAACGCACAGTAATTGTTATTGGGCACTAGTAGATTGCCAATGCGATTGAGACCTTTAGCCCGCAGTCCTGCACCCGGTGTCGCAAATGACCCAAGGTAGGTGGGAGCAAGGCACTTGATGATATCTTCTTCTACCCCGCCGGCAGTGGTGACAATTGCCGACACATGGTTGTGCTTAACAAGGTATCGTAATGTATCCCGCAAGCCCGACGAGATCAAATTGGACGTGTAACCGAGGAAGATGGTAGTCTTGTCGCCTGTTTCAGGGTGTCGAAAAGCACGCTAAAGAGGCCAAAATCACACAAAGGTCAGTCTCGAGACTAAAAATGCTGCAGAAGTGAAGGACAATACCATCTCGTTGATGATGCGGGCGGCCTCGGCAACCGCACTGCCCTGGAAGCCAGTGTGGGTTAAATTATCGACCAGCTCAGCTACTGTGATATCACGCCCTTGAAATTGATCGAAATCCACCCCGCGCACTTGGTGCGTCCCAGCAGGCATGGGCTCAGAAGCCAAGAGCACCGAGTTGGTAGCGGAGGTGGGGGGACCGGCAAATGGTTGGCTCATGTTGGATAAATTCGCCCGAGGCAGGCAGGTAGAACAAGGGAGAAATACAAGAGAAGAGAAGAAAACCGATGCAGTTAACAGTCAAGTTCCCTAGTTGGTGCAAATAGTAACAAGAAAGAAGTAACTATAACTAAAGTTTTTTCCTGTTGCGGGGCTCTTTGCCGCATGGGAAAAAAATATTTGATACCTTAGGCAGAAATTCCACCTGAGGCAGCCAGTTTCTGCCTAACATGCTTGATGGGGGCCTCTTAAAGAATACGGTTCAAATAGGGCCCGCGATCACTAGTATATTTGCTTTACCCAGAAAGATGCAGAAGGCACACAGAACCCTACGTATAAGCAAACATCACGTTCTGTGAAAGCTCCGATGGTTTCTGCTGATGCCCGCGAGGACATCTTCACGGTGATTGGTGGTGGAACCCCGTGGTCTCAGCTCCCACCTGCAGATCGTTGGTCTCATCAGGGGTTAGTGTAGCAGAACAAGAGAACAATGCTAGACACTTTGGGTAATATATACTAGTATTTCATCGGGAAGCCATCTCCCGCAAAGTAGATAAATATGCATATAACTGAAACACCCTCCATCCATGAACAGGGAAATTACTTGGGGCTTTCAACGGATTCGAGGCAGGTGGCGCTAATCCCGATATAGGCATTTCTTAATGGCCCGTGCGCGTCATCACGTGTACCCCCCCCGGTGGTTCTGGTGGTTCTGGATCGGGAGAGTCTGGTTCCTGCGATTCTCGCATTCCTCCCTCACCCTGTTCGCTCTCCAATCCAGGTCATCGCGGAGCATGACCTGGTAATGTCTCGTTTCCATCCACCGTCCGGGTTTAACTCCCGCGACCGTTCTCCCCCACAACGCTTTGGTGACCGACGACCTCCAGCTGGGCCACGAGGCTCAGACGATACCAGCCCTCCATTCGGCAGAGAACCTCCTCGTGGTCCACGCGCACTTGTTGATTCACCTCGCGGCTTTGGTGGCCGTGGCCGTGGATATGGTCGTGGGGAGTTTCGAGACCGCGATCGAGACCGCGACCCGCGAGACCGTGATCGTGAATTCCGTGACTCTCGCGACGGGCCTCCATTCCGTCGCGACATAGACCGAGATTGGAATCGACGAGATCGTGATTTTGACTCCCGTGATAATCGCATGGGGTTTGGCCGAGGCCGCTCTCGATCCCCCACTCGTGATTTCCGCGACATAAGAGACGCCCCGAGCCGCGATTTCGACCCTCGCATGCGACGCAACTCTCGTGACAGCATATTATCGGCTTCATCGGGTGGTCCAGATGGTCCGCCTTCGGCTGGTCCTCATCCACGAGGAGGTTCTATGCGCGGCCGTGGGCGTGGTGACTGGGAGGGTGGTCGAGGCCGAGGGCGTCCACCGTTCCTCGATGACCGAGATTCATTCCGACGACGCAGTCGATCTCGCGATGCATGGCGAGACCGAGGCAGAGATCGTGTACCGCTAGACCGGGACAGAGACCGGGACCGTGACATGGACCGAGATCGTCTGATGGATCGAGACCGTCCGTCAGACCGCGATCGAGATCGAGATATTTTACGGGATAGAGACCGGGAGCGTGACCTAGAACGCCGAGAGCGATTATTCGATCGACGGGACGACTGGGATTCTCGACGGACCGACCGAGAAGAGCGCGATCGTCCATTTGAGCCTTGGAAAAGAGATCACCCTCCGAACCGTGCCGACCCCCGTGGCCCTACGGGACCACCCTCGGCACCTTTCTCATCTACAAGCTCATCTGCCGTTGTCACCGATCGTCCATCTGACCAACCTGCCGCAGATCAGTCTCGGAAAGCGTCAACAATCTCAAATGCCATAGGCCCCGAAAGTCGACGAGATAGCGAACGATCAGAGCCTGCTTTCCTTCGACCCGAACCGCCAAAGGAATCGGGAATCACGAACCAGAACTCACCGCCCCCATCGGCTCCTCAAGTTCCTGCATTTGGCTCTGTTTCTGCTCCTATTCCGTCCCTGGCGCAAGTCAAAGAAGCGCAAGGGCCCCGCGCCTCAAGTGATGCACCCGCCCAAACTGACAAAGCTGCCCCCGAAAGGCCCTCGCAGCCCCATGTGCAGCCTCCGACAGGCCCCAAAGCAGACCGGTTGGAATCTGCACAGTCGTCTGACCTTCGTGCCAACAAATCGAATAGTCGAAGCCCTAAGGATGAAACACTACCAACCCTTCGTGCTCAGATCTCTGAACGATCCCCTCCGACTGCGCCCATCGCTATGATCAGGCGAGAGTCTACTGCTGGAGCAAACGATATAAACACGCCTGTTGCGAGGTCGACCTCTCTGAATGCGTCTCCTACCTTTTCTCGACCTCCACCCTCCGCCCCGCGCGCCCATTCACGGGAACCATCCATCTCGCCTCGGATGCAGCCCTCGAATGCCCCGGTCGGCTCACGTGCACCGCACCCACGATTAGGCTCATCGCCGCGTGGAACAAGTAGAGGTAACAAGCCCTGGACGCCGCCAAGTTTCAGTCGTGCTCCTTCTGTGTCGACCATTCCGGTCAAGAAGGAAAACGATGATCCTGAAGAACGCATTATGCCTAGCGAGAAAGTAGCGACAGAGAAGGAACATACGCCAATGGGGGCCTTAGATAGTGCAACGGATGCCCCGAATGTGTCTCCTGAACCACAAGAAGCTGCCGGTGTCACTAAGTCGCCCTTACCATCCTTGACGGACCTCCCGAGTCGCGCTTCTCCTCCTTCTCAACCTGTCCCTGCAGAGAAACCCATGGAACCTAGCCCAGAGACTCATGAAGACTCAAAACGCGCCCCACGCATTCTTGTGGATTTCGGATCGAGTGATGAGGAGGACGAAAATGAGGTCTTCACTCAGGAGTATCTGGAAAAGCGCAAGCTCAGCTTTGAAAAGGAAATGGAGCTTTTGCGATCTGAACTCCCGCCTTCTCCCCTGGAGGACCAGACTATTGTTGCCCTCCTCTTGAGAATCCAACTCCTGGGCAGGATCTCTCAGGTTGAGAAGCACCAGCCAGATCCAGCTCCTGTTCCTGCTGTTGAAGATACTGGCGCCACTGATGTGCCCGGCATCGACCGGGTGGTCACTTTCGCTACCGAAACAATCGACGCTCAACCAGAGCCGATTGCTCAAGGCGTCATCCCACCCGTTGCGGAGCATACTGAGATTACAGTCGAAAACTTGCCGTTCTTGAACTCGGGCCCTCCGACTCCAATTTCCGAAATGGACGTGTTCCATGAAAACATATCTACGCAAGAAAGCTTGAGGTCTGCTCTGTCGAGCGAACTCTCAAAGCGCCAGAAGGAGACTGCTGAGAAAAACTCACTCCTTCGCGAACGCTACATGTCGTACTACAAGCCATGGCGTTTAGCAGTCTGGGAACTAGATCGATCAAAGGACAAGCATATGACGCCCGGTCCGGCCTCTCCGCCGTCACCTGCCGCGCCTGTCGCCCCTGTGGTCTTGCCTGAATCCCGCGAAGGTCGCGAGGGACGCAGATACAAGGGGAACAGTGAGCTGGATTTCCTCAATGCGTTGAAAGCTTCCGAAATATCTGCTCAAGAGGAACTCGAGCGACGGAGGACCAAAATGGCGACCGCACGCCCAGACTTGTCGCGCGAAGCTGTTATCCCGGATATGCTTGAGCCACGGGATCAGAAGGCCTACATTTTCAAGGATGTCAACAATACTATCGCTTGCGAGGATGCAAAGGATGTATTCGGTTTCCTCCCACCACCCAACGATTTCACGAAGGAAGAGCACGAGATCTTCACGGATGCATTCATGACATATCCCAAGAGATGGGGTAAGATTGCCGAAGCGTTGCCCAACCGAGATTTCCGGCAGTGCATTCTTCATTATTATCTTACAAAGGAAGAGATCAAGTACAAGGCGAAGTTGAACAAGCGATGGAGCAAAGCGAAGAAATCCCAGCGATCTAGAACCACGCGGCCGAAATCCCATGCCCTTATTGCGGATCTGGGAGTGGTCAAGCCAGACGTGGACGGCGAGGACGACCCCGCGCCGGTCACTGACACAGGTCGTCCCCGCCGTGCTGCAGCACCCACCTTTGGTGACGGAGCCAACGAGACCGAGAGTCCTGCCAATAGTCGTCGTGGCCAGTCATCTCGAGATGTTGGTGAGTCCGTTGACAAAACTGCTGCTCGGCGCGGCGCTCGATCTGCGGGAACCCGTGGCGGCGCCCGTCGTGGCCGGGCTGCTCAACAGGATCCAAGATCGCAAGGGCAGCAGACTTCGCAGAGTAGCACCCCTATGCCGCAAGACCCGAAGACCGAAGTTGGTGCAGACTTAGGGGTTGACTCGGGATTACCCTCGGACAGAGAGAAGAGTGAGAAGGACTTGCAAACAACCCTTCCCCGATCAAGAACCGGGCGAAGCGGAAGGCCCAAGGATGCTAGCATGCAAGGCTACATTTTCGAATCCACTGAAGTTGATCCTCCTCTGGGGCTTAAGCAGACCGAATCTGGTTACGGTTCCCAGCAACCCACGAGTTACTGGTCTGTTCCAGAGCAACGAGACTTCCCTCGACTTCTAGCACATTTTGGCCGTGACTTTGAAGGAATATCTAATTTCATGAAGACGAAGACTACTGTCATGGTATGACTATCCCACCCCTCACTAGGCCCCACCCTTCCGCTTCCCTTCTTATTCTCCGTTTGCATTTCCATGCTCTTCTGCTTAGATATTGTTCCTTCTTACTGATTGCTGCAGGTGAAAAACTATTATCAACGCCGTATTGACTCCGGTCAGAAAGACTTCGAAGAAACAATGATGCTTGCTGAAGAGAAAAAAGCTAGAGGTGAAGCAACAGGGCCCCTTCCTGTCCCCAGCGTTGCACTCAAGCGTCGTTATGAGGCGACTCCATCCACCATCGTTCCTCGTCCCCTTGCACCTCATGCTGATTTACTAGGTGATGTGGACGAGGCACGGTTTTCATCAAAGAGCAAGGGAATGGCCATGTCTCCTCAGCCAATGCCTCTCTCTGGTCGGTCGCTCCTGGAGAATGACCGCAATGCCAGCCGCTATCCTCCGTTAGCACAGGCTTCGACTACCACAAGTGCAGGATCGGTCACCGCCCCTCTTGGTGAAGACGGCTCTCGAGGAATGCGAAATTCCGCGCCATCTCATCGGAGGTCAGGTCCTCCAATGGGCTTCTTCACTGATGAACGTCGGGATAGTCTGCTGCCGCATACGGCTGGGCGTACTCAAGATATTCCTCTATCTTCACGCCATCCCTCCCTGGCTCCTGAACTGGCACGAATGGATCCGTTCATGTCAATTCAACAGCCGCCGTCTCTTTTGCCCTCGTCTCATTCCCGGCATCCCAGCCTTGCCCAAGCCCCTGGTTCACCAAATCAAATGTCGAGGCCCGAGGTTGATATCTCATCAGTCCACCGGGATCCATTTAGTCAAAGAGGACAATACTATACGCTGCCTGGTCAAGCTGGCGGTCGCCCCCAGTCTCCTCGTCCGGTTCTATCACCTGTCAAAGATGCCCCGTCTCGTGCGAGTGCAACGCCTGCGCCTGAACCAACGCCTCGTCATGTTCCTGCTAAGCGGTCCAACATCATGAGTATTCTTAATGACGAGCCTGAAGAGCCTCAACCCCCTCGGAAGAAATATGCTAATGAAGCGGCGACTGCACTTGGCCCCAGTTCCATTACTGCATCACGCTCTGCTTATCAACCGGGAGGCACGGGTCGGATGGATGAAACTTCAATTCCCAGTGCCGTCAAATCCTCAGGTTATGGCCCGCAAAGCCAGTATCCAATGCAGTCTCGGGGTTACGCCGACTATACTAGCAGCTACGGTCCTCCCGGAGGTGCGAGTGCCCTGGAAACAACGATTGGATGGCTCGATTCGACCCTAGAGCGCAACAGACCGCCTCTCAATCACAGTCTCAGCAATCGCAATCATCACAACCAAGTACTCGCGCGGCCGCATCTGTCCAGAGCTCGTATCCATCGCACTACGGATCTGCAGTGTCTCAGCCTGGTCATTTGAACAACCTCTCTGTACCATCTCCTGCCCCCACTCCTCCGCCAGCATCCCAACGACCCTACTCGAACGTTTTCCCTCAGCCAGCCCCTGCTCAAGCTCCCGTGTCATCGAGTTCCCGCGACGTTTCGGCCCAACCCGCGACGTACCGGCCAGTATCTCCTCCCTCTCGGTCCGCCAGCGTTGCATTCGGCTCTCGACAGGAACCACCCACGCCCGCTCAGTCCTCGGCGAGTTTGTACGGTATCCCTCCCCGCCAGTCCAGTGCCCAGTCATTTTCGCCCGCTGCACCCTCCACTGCGGCGCCCGCACAACACAGTCAAAGCTACCAGCAGCATGTCCAAACACTGGTCAACGGATCCCATAATTCACATCGGTCGACCCCTGTCAGTTTGAGTGGTGGTCATGCTTCTTATGACCGTGGTACGCCCCCGCCTCAGACCGGGCGCTCAATGCCACCTCTTGCAACGATTGGACGTTCCTACACTCCGCCGTCTGCAATGCATCATTCGGTGGCCGGTGGAAGTATGGGATATGCACCGCCTCCTTCAGCACCACCAGGACCTATCCCGGGACCTCTTCATCGCCCCCCGGGAGCATTGGCCCTTGGTGATTCCGGCTCATCGCCCGCCCACCACCGGGTTTACAGCCAAGGCTCGTCGCAAGGCGGATTGCCGGGTTCGTTGCACCCGTCTTCCCAGGCACCTCGCTAGGCTGGGAACTCCGGTTGTCATGTCGATGGAGAGCTTTCGTATGTCCGATTTACGTGTACAATAGATGAATGAATTAATGTATGTTTATGTGTTCGAGGTTATTTTCTATGCTAGACTAGGAATGCGAGTGGGCGAAGCATGGATCAGGGGACGTGGACCTTTCGCGTAATATGGTGGAGTAAAAATATCTGGTATTCGAATACCTACGCGCACTTGTAAAGATCTGTAAGCGCTAACAGTTGATAATCAAACCACCGTGGCTTGTTAACTATATGCGTTTCATGGTGACTCCGTTAGTGAAAAGGCTAAAAGCAATCCTTCATGAGAGTTGATAACTCTCCGCCGTAATCGAACACCAGACTTCCGTTGGGCATCTGTTGCCAAGGCATATCCTCGGGCACAGCACCAGAGCCAAGTCCCACCCCTTGGTCATCTATGTTGCCGAAAGCTTCAAACCATTCCATAAGCTCATGCGTCATCTGTGCTCCGTCTAACGGGGTCTGACTATTCAGGCTTAGGCCTGCTGCCGCCAGAGACGATTCTTGGTTATCCGAGGGTCGCTCGTGTAGCTCGACGAGTGTGTTCTTGTCGCCGTCGGCGCACAGCTTCTGCAACCCAAGGCCGACTTGAGGCCCCAGTTTCCGGAGGCTCCGGATTGACTTCCAGAGTCGCTGTGAAATATAAGACTTCGTAGAAAACCCCTTGACTAACTCCAAAGCCCAGTAGAATTCCTCTTTGCAGGAGCCACTAAATTGAGACGGGGCTTGCGACGCTGCAAGAAACACCACAGCCAGCGCCGAAACTAGAAACCAATTGAAGGTCACTTGCTGCAGTTTGTATATGTCTGACGTCTCATTCAGCCGTGTGATGAACCGGATGGTGTCTTTCGCGATACTGACGACGGTTTCGGACTCGCCCGGGTACCGCATAATATGGCTCGCTGTGTGCAGAACGGGCCGATGGATGAGCATCCGAAGTTGATTTGCCCGGAGATAAAGCATTGCTCGAAGCCTACGCATGCTGCGCGGAACTTTGGCTGCAGCATCAAGCTCTGGGCTACTTAACGAGTCCGGGAGTGTTTGCGCCCACTGCAACACCTGCCAGTCCAGATAGTTCATCTCGTCCTTTTTGATCTCATTGGTGTTATTGAAGGCGGAGATAAATTTCCAGACCTTCGCAGCAATCCGACTATACCGGATCATCACGCGAAGGTAGGGGATTTCTTGCTCCGGTTCTGGGAGCCAGGGGTCAATATCTGCGTCTTCCAGCGCGAACGGCATGCCTGTTCCGAAACTCCAGCGCATATCGAGGACATATATGGACCAGAATAACCGCAGCACTCGTTCTTTACCTGCTGCAACTATCGCCGGCTGGCTCAGGGTCTCTCGACGATGAAGACCTTTCTCAAGGCACATACGCTCCACAATTCCGATGGTGCGCCATGCTAGGGTTTCTTCATCCATCTGGAAGTAGAGGATAGACTGTTCTCCAGAGTTAGTACCCAACATGCTTAGCGCCTTCATCGAAAACACATACCGCCAGAGTCAAGAAGATGATGCTTTTGATCTCGGGCCGACCCCAGACATAGTCATCTTGGACGTCTCGCACACTATCAAATAGCGCGATGGCCTTGTCGCTCCGGCCGCTAGCCTCGGCCGTTAATGCACATGCAAAGACTAGCCGAAGGATAAAGACATCTTCCTTTTCTAGAGAGTTGCGGCCCTTGGATGCCGTTGGAAGGCCCACGGGTCGGTCTCGGAAGTCATAGAGGAGATGGACCTGAGTTTGAAGCTCTTCGAGTTCAAGCACGGGGTACATGATACCCATTTCGAAGTGATAGACCTGGCAGAGTCGAAGCGCCTCCTCTTTAGACAATGCCCAAAGAGGATCGACAATTGGGTGCGCTTGGCAATCCTGATCATGGACGCATGAAGATGACGAAGGAGAGGGGACTTGAGTCAAATCACCATCGCCTTGCTCATGATGCTCCACTATCCCCCTTTGCTCCAGGCTAGATTTCGCTGAGACCGAAGCTAAATGCCGAGGTAGTCGGGCCTTGGAATGGCGTGTCCGCGGAAGTTGAGACCTGGCGGACGGTTCGCTGTTTCGATGGAAGGCCGTAGGTCGCTGTGGCAGAGCCCCCGAGGCTCCCCCGAGCCTCACTGGGTGGCGAGTCACTCTGCATGGAGCGTATCACTGCCGTTAACGAGGTGATTTGGTCCTGCATAGAACTCATTTGCTCGAATAGTCGCTCAAAGTTCCTGCAGTTCAATGCATCAGCGGTCGATTCACAGCGGGGCCAGTGGGATCTCATTACTCTTGTTCAGCGGCAGTTGAGTCGGTTCTGGCGTTCTCTACGTAGATACAATCGATCCGTTGCCGGCCGCAGCGATGGCAGGGCGTCTCACCATTGCATTTGATCTTGCGGCGCTTGCACTCGTTACTGATTCCAGGCGTATTAGCGTGTGTCTGCATCGGTCGGGCACGAGGGGACTCACCATGCTCTCGCGATATACTTCCGGCGCTTCTTCCGCGGTCGGTCATCGTGCATGTCGGATGACATTTCCCAGGGAAGAACTGAAGAAAGACTATCCTCCGTGGCTCTCAACTGCGGGGCAAAAGTCGAGGGAGATGGGAGTTTGAAGCGGGAAAGGCGGAAGACTGTTCCGCGTCTCTGCAGAGCGTTACCGACCCTGACGCGGTGAACATGGTCCCCGTAATTTGGCCCCGGGGGCCAATCTGGGGTTGAGGAGTACCCGTGGGGATACGGGGAAATCCTGGGGTCCAATGGAACGTGTCGTTTTCGAAAATCCGCACCCTCCGATCTACGCGATCTACCGTGGCTTGAGTGCGGGAGTTCGTGCCCAGCTTGGCGAGCGATACAGGAGTAACACGACCTGGTGTACCCATACTTGCGCTAAATGCAAGCCATCTCTTCCCCACTTCAGAAGGCCGGGCCTCCGGATACTGTGGAGTAAATTTCGTACCAGGGACAGAATCCACCAGCGCATGTACGATAGATCAAGCAGTGATGACGAATATGATGAATCACCGGTAGAAATACGTTGAAGGTCTCTACTAGCCAGTCAGACAAGACGCGCATCGCTTGGTCTCGCCTGTAAAGTTTGCCTTCAAGTTCAAGTTCGTACCCCTCACACGTCCATCCCCACGCTGCTGTTGATGTCCTCGGGGGACCAAACCTCCAACTCTGCAATCCCCCGCCGGCGTTTCCAATTCCGTTCCGTATTTGTGACATATTGCTCACTCCAGAGGCGACCGTAGAATGCCTGGGATTCATCTCGGGTGCGCACACGAAGGATATCGTAGGTACTGGCTCGAGTCAATGCGGCATCGCGCTCTTGACTCGTTCTGCCCTCGATAACCTGCACCTGGACACCCAATGCCCGAAGCTCAGCACCCCTGATCGAGTCCTCCGTCGGAGTCATGAAGATTTGGATCCGACTGGGAGTGACTGGGTACGCGAGGAGATACCGCAGAGCATCTGCATCCACGCCGCTGTGAAGAGGCCCCAGGACAAAGTTGTCACCTTCTATAACCGCCCTTTGAATCTGGGGGACATAGTGAGTGTGGAAATAGCTCTCGCCAGGACCCGTGTCTGTCGGGCCCGATATGAAAGCAACGCGAGGCTGCGCCGCCATGTGATCGCCTGTCATCGAATTGCTCGGTGGGGTTGGGAGCAGAAAAAGTGTGGATCGGAAGACGAGATCACCAGGGCTGCAGGGTCTGCGATGACTCAACAGGCCAAGGAGCCCCGTGGCAGAACTCCTGCGCCGCGTGGTGCCCCCACGGCACCTTGACCGATCACCACGGATCCTGTTTGAGTGATCTGATAAGATTTACGATAACGACCATATCGATAAGCGCGCTAATCGTGAAACGTGTGGCGCAGCCGCGACCTCTCGAGCAAACCCTCCGAGCTTGCAATCCAGGGAATCAAGCTTTTTAGCAAGCCAGGCCAGACTGAATCCGGCGGGTAGCTTCAATTTCATTCTTGAAGCTCGTCGGTCTGCGAAATGACGTCCCAGCCTTTCCTTCCGCTATCGTCTTCGCCGGCGTCTCCCACCCTGCAGCCAAGACGGCCCAGTCTGGATCCGGAGCGAGACATCCTCTCAACGCGCGGTCGCATTCATAATCTCTTGCCTAGTCACAATTCTAGCACTGCCCTGCAGGACTTGGAGGAGTTCGCTGTAACCCGCAAGTTTCTGCGTCGTGGATCTCTGCTCATTGGACACAAGAATGCGCGCTACGAGTGGTAAGACGGTAACCCTCTCCAGGTATCCGATCGGACTAATGTAATCTTCATAGGCAGCGCTATTATCGTTCTCCCGAGTCCTTGAAGGGGCTCCGGAAGCCAGTGTAAGTGTTTGGAGAGAATACAGCATCCCCCGGTCCCCCCTTCCTACGGCGGCTCGGCCTCCAGGCTCTAATGGATGAATCTAGGCGGAAATACTACGAACGTAACAATTGGCTCATTTCGCAGTATCTTTACATCGATCGCCTGCTAGACTCGTCCCTCCCACATAACCTGATCGATGACTACGATGATTGCCACCATCATAGCCCGCACGCCGATGGCTACGGCACAGCTCAAGATGATCCTGCGCCGACGGCCGCACGGCAATTTAAAGCGGCCAGGGTCAAGCGCACTCCTCATAACCTCTACCAGATCCCGGATGAGACAGCGCCTCTGCTGTCGTCATCGCAGGAAGAAGACCACTGCAGTCATCACTCGTTTCCCGATCCTGAGGCCCACAGCAGCCTGATGCCCGAGAAAGAAGAGCGCTTGATCAACCTCGCCATCCGGGTGAACTTCGCGGCGAACGTGGTGCTTTTGGCCTCCAAAATTGTAATCATGGTTCTGACCAGCTCCATGTCAGTCTTGGCGGGCCTCGTGGATGGAGTGCTGGACTTTTTGAGCACTCTGATTATTTGGGTTACGACAAAAATCATCCGCCAGCAAGACCGGAATCGGTACCCCATCACCCGACGCCGACTGGAACCCGTCAGCGTCCTGGTCTTCTCGGTCATTATGGTCACTTCATTTTTCCAAGTGGGACTGTCCTCCTTCAATCGCCTCACGAGTGAGGATCATGCGATAGTCGAATTATCGATGTCTTCTATTGGTCTGATGGCGGGTACGGTCCTCGTCAAGTTGCTGTGCTGGATATGGTGCCGCCTTATCCCCAGCCCTAGTGTACAGGTGCTTGCTCAAGACGCCATGACCGATGTTATCTTCAATACATTTAGCATTATCTTTCCGTTGAGTGAGTGTCCTCATTGTGGACTGAATTCTCCCCGCGCATGTCACCATATAGCTAACCAAGATTCTGTTCAACAGTTGGCGCATTCTTTCGCCTTTGGTACATGGATCCTCTCGGTGGCCTTTTCCTTTCCTGTTATATCATGTGGAACTGGGGACAAACCGCGGGGGATTATATCCGACGACTCACGGGCGCAGCCGCATCCGCCACCGATCATAATATCTTGTTATACATGACGATGCGATTCTCGCGCGTTGTCAGAAAGATTCAAGATCTGAAGGCGTATTATGCGGGGGATAAGCTTAACGTGGAAGTTGATTTGGTGGTGGACGAGGGGACCAGTCTCCGCGATGCACACGATGTGGGCGAATCGCTGCAATATATTCTCGAAAGTGTGCCGACGGTGGATCGTGCTTGGGTTCATCTTGATTACTCGGAGTTTAACCTCCCAAGTCATCTTAACCAACTGGATCGCTAGGGGACTGTATTGATCCTATCAGTATTCCACCGGCACGAAGGACACAATTACTTTCTGCCTCTACAGATTGGATCAACGGGATTGGGATCGGGTAGTCGGAAGAAAAGAGGTAGATAAATACGGGGCATGCATAGCAATTGACTTGAACATTTAAACGAACCAGTTGGGCAGTCTGAGATGATACGTGACTACCAGTGCAGGAGTCGGAAATCAAATAGTATTTGGGCATTCCCTTCACAAGGTGAGCGTGATCACAAGGGCACTCGTCACATCGGGCCAGCGGTGCAGGCCTCGCGCCCCACTGACAGCACAGGTGGAACTCCTTAACCTGGCCGATGATGAAGTATTGGAAGCCTGTTCAAATAGTGGCGCGTACCGGACCGTAGGAGAGGTCGCCCAATGACATAGTGCGAATCTGTATAAGTACCACTCCGTCAGACATGTCTCTCGAGTGAAATGCCACTTCTCAGAACCCCAAAACTCCCAGGAAAACATCCCCCCCTCCACTGATTCCTGAAAGTATGTGTGACCTCACTTCCAGGCAGCCTCGAAAACTCGAACTTCGACGGCGGATGTATCTTAATTCACACGAGCATCGTTACGTCCACGCTACCCCCCCCAGGCCCAAAGACATAGTTATGTAGCCCTTTGCTTATCTATGTCTGCACAGCCGGTACCCCCCTTGGGAATTGAAACAGGAATGGGACCTCCTCGCCCTCTACCGCACTGAAGGTGGACTAGGAAGGAGCGGCTATGCAATGCAATGCAGCCGCGCCCACACTACGGAGGAATAGGGGACATGGGGGATACGGGGACATTCGTCGACGCTATGGCGGAAGTTTTGGAGAGACAGGGGGTCGTTGGACCTCCTGGCCAAGGCACGGGCAGAGGATTTGGCCCCCATCTCATTACTGCGGATGTGGGCCAGGAAGATGACGCGGGTAAAAGCACAGCTGGAGATGCTTTTCTTGTATTCGATTGCGCCCGAGATATATATGTGGCCCTTATGCCCTATTTTCTCCCATCTGTTCGCAGTCAAATACCTTGGTCCCATTATACCACGTCTGGCAAACACGCGCCTCGAGTAACTTGTCAGGGTTCCATTTGCATGTCCAATATGACCATGTCTGCTTGCATTCCAGGCTGCAACTGACCGGTCCATCCTTCGCAAAAGCTCGCGAAGGCGGCGCCTGACGTGGCAGCACACACAGAGGTCGCTAAGGGCAATGCGAATTCCGGGTTGACCGTTGCTTGCATGGTGGGCTCAAGGGCAGATCGACGCGTGGTCGCATTGTACAGATTAGGAAGGGGTAAATGCTTCGCGGTGGGAGCATCGGTTCCAAACGCGAGAGGGGCGCCATTGTCTACAAAATCCCGATACGCGAACGCTCGCTTACAACGCTCATCGCCGATCAGCTGAGGCCAGGCTTCAAAGGTCGCGGGGTCGGAATGAACAGGCTGAACCGATGCGATGATCCCAATATCCCCAAGCCGCTTCGCGTCGGCACGAGTAGTGACTTCCAGATGTTCGATACGGGGTCGGCGTTCCCGGGCGTGAGGGATCTCCGCCAAGCAATCAATCGCTTCCTGGACAGTGCGGTCACCTATGGCATGAAGCGCACATTGCAGCCCGGATTGTGTGGCTCGCCGGATGGCTGATGCCAGGAAAGACTGGGGCCAAATGGGCTCGACCAGATCTGCTAACCCGCCGTAAGGTTGAAGCAGCGCGGCGGTGCATCCGTCAACGGTTCCGTCCAGAATCAACTTGATACCCAAAACCCGGATGGACCGTGAGTGTGCTGAGTTGAATTGGCTATGCAGAGCAGCCGCGCGGTCGATGGATCTCGTGATTTCCGACTCGTTATGAGAGAAGGGGACCAACCAATATGCAGCGATATGGAAGGGGGGTTCCCCATACTGCTTGCGGTACATATTCAAAGCCTCCCAGTTATTTTCATCCATCGCCATGTCCACCAGACCCGTATACCCTGCTTGCGTATGAGCCTGGAACGCAGTCTCCAAAGCGGCCAGCTTTTTCTCCATTGATGCGACCTTGTCGAGGAAGGGCCACACAATATTGAACTGGGCTGCCTCCTCGAGCAACCCGGAGGGACGCCCCAGGGCATCTCGATGAATTCTGCCCCCGGGGGGTTCTCCTATCGAGTTGACGCCCAACTCTTTCAGAGCAGCGAAATTGCACCAAGTAGAATGTAGATCCAAGGCTTCGATGTAGATTGGCCTGGGATCGAGATCGCTCTAACATTGTCGCGCGTGCTTGGCCTTCCGTCACCGATTGAATCCAACCTCTGCAGAGAATCCGAGGTTCCTGTGGGAATTCTTTCGCGTAGATGGTGATTTCATGCCGAATTTCATCCAGCGATCGGCACTTTAGCAGGTCCAGTTTCTGCAAAGACAGACCAAACTGGAGGATGTGGACGTGGCCGTCGATAAATCCAGGCAGGACCAGCTTTTGCTCAAGATCTATGCAGGATCCTGAAGCTTTAGCTTGGGTAACTCGTTCGTCGTCGTCGGCGAGCTCCCCCCACATAGGTGATCTGCTGCCCCGCAATGACCATGGCCGAAGCGAAGACGTCCTGAGGCGTATTCGAACAGAAAATGCGCCCATTCGTGAACACTGTCGAGGTACTCATCGTTCCGCAATAGGAAGGCCCAGCCTTCCATAGTATGGGGAAACTTCTCAAGAGGATTTGCTCTGTGGAATCAGTTGGCGGTAAATGCCGACCGCGTATCTCTCACTGAATAAGAAAAGAGGCTGGGGCCCGAGAGAGCATGAGACGCCCCATGTGGAGGGACACTGTCTTCGTGAATCCCCCCAAGATTCCTATAACCATACCGGCGATCAAGGTAAATATGTGGTGCCATTCGGCTCACTATCTGCTACGAAGCTGCGTAGAAAAGAAGTTCAAGCATAAAGGAACGAAACAAATTGGGTACCATGTACTATTTAGAGAAATAGCTACTAGCAGCGCTTATGAACTGGGGCGTGAATATGCCATCATAAATCCGGTATGGCCGGAGTTTCTCCTAATCCAATTACTAGGCGTATATCTGAAATCGTGTTTTGTTCAGGGTCCTTCTACTGCTCGTCCTAGAACAGATCCCCTGCCATACATTTTCAAGTTATTCGACACGCGCCAGCGGTGATGTTGGGCACGAGGGGAGTGGAAACGAGGGAAGTGGGGGGATGGGGTAGCGAATGCTCAGTGATTCCAAGCTGGGAACCTGGACGCCTTGGAAGGTGGGAAACGGATTTCTAATCGCTGGAAGTCTGCATGCTTCCTGAGCGACCACGAATTTGTCAGCTGCTTTTTCGGCATCCATGGATGAACTGCCGAACCCGACAAATTCGGCCGAGTAAGAGAAACTGAACTATTTCTTTTTCTTTTTTTCCTTGAACCTCTAGACCTAGACAAAAGTAATCTGCCCGTATCTCTTGCAATGGGCTCAACATCTCAATCGGCTCGGGGGATCAAAGCCCAGGGGGGTCCCTTATTATACCCCCGCCAACAGTGGCGGTGCTGCCTGCATCCGCAAGATCCAAACACGCCGACATTGTTTCGGCCCTTGAAAATCCGCGATGTGGTGCTGAAGAACCGCGTGATCGTGGCCCCGATGTGCATGTATTCCGCGGAACCCGATCCATCGTCTCCGGCCGTTGGAGCGCTGACCGATTACCACGTGGCTCATTTGGGCCATTTTGCCATCAAAGGCGCCGGCCTCATTATTATCGAAGCCACGGCCGTGCAACCAAACGGTAGAATCTCTCCTTATGATTCTGGCCTCTGGAAAGACGGGCATGAGTCCGAGCAATTCAAAGGGATCCAACGGGTAGCCAATTTCGTCCACAGCCAAGGCGCAAAGATTGGGATTCAATTAGCCCATGCTGGACGCAAGGCCAGCACGGTAGAGCCCTGGGTGGCCTCGTCGGGGTCGGGCACTGCCAAAGCGGACGAGAGCGTCTTTGGCTGGCCCGCGGATGTTGTCGGGCCCTCGGGGGGCGAAGAGCATATCTGGTCGCAAGGTGATAAATTCTGGCCGCCTCGCGAGCTTCGTACGGACGAAGTAGAAGAGATCGTGCGCGCCTTTGCGCGGAGCGCAAAGCTGGCGGTGGAGGCTGGCATTGATGTGATCGAAATCCATGCGGCCCATGGCTATCTCCTGCATCAGTTTCTCAGTCCGGTGACCAACCGCCGAACGGATAAATATGGAGGAAGCTTTGAGAATCGCATCCGCCTCGTGCACGAAGTTGCTTCCGCTGTCCGAGCAGCCATCCCGGTTGGGACCCCCTTGTTCCTTCGAATCAGTGCGACCGATTGGCTCGAGAACCAACCGGTGGCCGCCGAGACAGGTTCTTGGGATTTGGAATCCTCTTTCCAGTTGGCCAAGTTGCTACCGGGGCTTGGCGTGGACTTCCTGGATGTCAGCTCGGGGGGCAACCATGCGGCACAAAAGATTGAGCCACATACCAACTACCAGATCGACTTGGCAGGCCAGATCCGGAAGGAAATTCATGCAGCAGGTCAGACCACACTCGTAGGAGCTGTGGGGTTGATCACGGAGGCGGAATCGGCCCGCGAGATAACTCAAGGAGCAGATGAAGCCTCTGCTGCTGAGTCCATGATCTCCGGCCACAGCCCGAAGGCCGATGCGCTATTGATGGCGAGACAGTTTTTGCGCGAGCCAGAGTGGGTTTTGAAAGCTGCAAAGGCATTGAATGTACCTGTTTCAGTTCCTGTACAGTTTGGCCGAGCCATTGTCTGAACATATTACTCAAGCGATACATTTTTGTCTGATAGCAATTATGACTATGATAGAATATATGCACCAAGAGATTGTGGGGGAAAAGCTACTGGACGTGGGCCGCCATGGATCCACAGACCCGATCAGTTTAAGCCAGGGCCATCGTACTAGGTATCAGCTTGCGGGCCAGTGGCTGAAATAACGTACCGAGAATCGTGAAATAGATTTATGGTGTCTGCTAGTACTTGTACTCGGAAGGATCTGACTTTCATGGTAGCTCCCCGTCGATCGGGATGGCATCGCTTCTCGAGGGGTTCGTCAGTGTGACAAGGACTTTCAAAACTCTACTGCATTCATCCAACGCAGGTGAGTGTGACATTTCGCGAGGTATCGGCCCTGCTGCCGCCGTTCTCAAGCAGCGCAAAGGTGTATTCGCCCGACTCCACCGTCCACTTGTATGAACGATCCAAGATAACCAAATATCTAGAAACGTCCAGGTCCATGGCAACGGTGGTGGCCTGTCCAGCCGCAAGATAAACACGGGTGAAGGCTACCAGCTGCTTCACGGGGCGGACGATCGACGAGATGCGACCGAGAAGATAGACCTGTGGAACATAGCTTCCCGCAACAGCTCCTGTATTGGTGACGGTGACCGAGAATGTGATCAAAGAGTTAGCGTCGAAGCTATTAGGGGCAGAGCCTTGTGTCTGCTGTTTGGCTGAGGCTTGGAAGCCTTCCAGACTGAAATTCGAGTACGAAAGCCCGTACCCAAAGGGATACTTCCGGGGTAGATGGAGTTAGCATGAGGATTCAAGTCGGCTTCAAGTTGAGTCTTCCGAGCGAACGCACCAGAGGTTCAAATGGGGTATCCGTATACTCTCGTGGAACGGAAGGCTTGTAACTATTTTTTGCTCAGATGAGTGAATTCTTTCAAAATATGATAACGATCAGTCATACTTGTAGAAGGCGGGCAAAGTTCCAACACTGTATGGAACGCTAATGGGAACGCGTCCCCCTGGGTTTATTTTACCAAACAGGATATCCGCGATGGCGGCCCCGCCGGATTGGCCTGGGAAGAACTGTTCTCATTTAGTAGGTGTTCATAAGAAGCCATGGATGATCAGACTTCCAACGCACACTGTTGAGAACAGCCGCAGACTTATTATAAAGCTGAGGGATAGCAAATGGACGCCCTCCCTGCAGAACGAGAATGGTCGGTTTGCCCAGGTCTAAGATGGCGCTGGCAAGCGCAGCTAATGATGATTCAGAAGGTTAACTGAAAGGGGCATCAGACTGACGGCGTAGAGAACCCACTTTGATTGGGTGAGAGCTGGAGAGTTGCACGGTCACCAGACTCACCGTCACTATTCCAAGCGGCTCCAACTGCTAGGATGACAAGGTCGGAGGTTTGAGCGAGATCAACGGCCTGGATGTCTTAGTTATGTGATCGCGTGTTATAAATCGAATGCGAACCTGCTGTATAGGATTTTTCTGATCCACAAGATTCCAAAACAAGAGAACTTGTGCGTTCAAAGAGTTGGCATTTTGAAACTTTTGAACATAATTCCAAGCTTGATACTCCAGCCTGATCTTATGGGATGCAGCTTTCTCAAACCTGAATGGTGAAGAGCCTGGCGGAGGTGCTGTTCCGTTGACTGAGGTGTAGGAGAGACCGGGAATATTAGAAAGAATATTGCCTTCCGGTGTAGGCTCAGCATAAATATGCTGAACACCGTCTATAAAGAGTCTAGCTGAGGTGTTGGGATAGACTGCAACACCGAACCATCCATCAACTTCAGCGTCCACGGGGATCGCCACCCGCCCTTCCCAAACAACACTGAAATTGTTCGACGGAAGACCCTGGGGAGGGTAAAGGCCCCAGTCTAGGCTAGGGGTTTCCAGTTTCTGGTATCGAGCATCGGTGAAATTCGTGTCTGCATAATACGTGGCCAAAAGTCCTCCCGATGTCCCATTGTGTGAGAGTAGATAGGGCGGGATGTTATACTGGCCATTATAATCCCACGAATTGGCCCCCCAAGATGTGACCAAGTCGGTCTTGGGGAAATTCCGTGTCATCTCTTCGAGAATCGCTTGACGGATTGTGCTGGCGTCCTTGACCGGATATCCTCCGTACTGCCCTGAGTAATCCCCAAAATTGAATGTATCGCTGAACGGGCCTCCAAGGAATATCCTGCTGATATCGTGTGTATCAGGTCTAATTGGGAGAGTTGAATTCTTGTTCTCCAAGAGAACAATGCTCTTTTGGGCGGCTTCCAACGTGAGAGGAGCGTGCGCATCTGTGATGTCTTGAGAGTTGATATGCTCGGGGATATAAGGGTTGTCAAATAGTCCTAAGTCGTATTTAACACCGAGCACTCGCCTGACCAATGAGCGCAGAGTCGTAACACTCAAAGTGCCATTGGAAACGAGAGACGCGGTGGCCTTGTGACAGTCAATATGTGACCTATTGATACTATGCATAAGGGGGGATCCGTACATTAATGTACTGATCCAGGGGGAAGTCGTAATATTGAATCATCCCACCGGAGTTGTGCCACTGGGAAATTGTGTCAGCTACGGAGTCGGTGACCAGATGTGTGTTCAATAGCTCCGAAAGTCCTGCAACGGGGATCCTCTCGGTTAGCGACTTCTCACATCGACAGTAAGTATTATCATCCAAGACTCGCTTACCAGTATCGTCTGCAGTAACAAAGCCTGATTTCGGTCAGCAGGGAATCACGTAATGCTTGATCGTGAGACAAACCATCATATCCCCAAGCGGCCAACGCCTCATATAGCAAGGGGTTTACGGAGCAAGGTACGTCGTCAAACTCGCTATAAGCCCTGAGATATTTGTTAGATCAAGATGGCCCCAGGAAGGCCCCAGCAGAGTTTACATCATGACCCCTTTGACTCCTCCAAGCTCCACAGCAGCTTTGAATGGAATTAGCATCTCTTGAAGCACCTCGCGAGCTCCGTAACCCATGAACGGAGCTGCGTTATGGCCGCCTTGAGGGCTGCCGTGAGCTGCAAAATGCTATAAGAAGAGATACATCGAATCAGTATTTGCAGTGCTTGACATGTAATACATCAAGATAAATCGTACTTTCATTACAGGAACGACAGCATCCGAGTCGGACCAAGTGCTGTTTTTGGATAGACCTGACGCAAAAGCAACACCCAGGTGCGCTGTTAGGGTACTGTCTTCCCCCCAGTCCTCTAGATCAGTTCAGTAAGCATGCAATTTTATTGGATCTTTCCAAGACACAGACCCTGAGCTCGGCCCCAGCGAGGCTCTTTCGCGAGATCCAGAACGGGCGCAAAACACGCATGAATGCCAATGGAACGAGCCTCAGTGCCGATCGCTCTCCCAACTCGATAGATCAAATCTGTGTCAAAAGATGCAGCCATTCCTATCGGCGCCGGAAACATGGACTGTTTGAATGATCCCACGCCATGGAGGCACTCGCCTGTTTGCATGAAAGGTATGTTGATGTGAGATTTCGCTCTGTTCAGACGCTGGAGGTCGTTGTATTGTGATTTGTTCGTTGGATACCAGTCGTGGATGACGCCTATCGGGGACCCCGGCGCTGACTGCATGGCATAATCTATTTCCACATTAGAAGCAAAAATATCATAGTTCATGATCTAGAATACCATATAACGCATTATCAGAATTCGGTCCGATTATGTTATCTGCAAACATCAGATGCATCTGGAGAACTAAGCTGCATATCAGCATTGCAAATCTCTCATTGGGTTAGAACATAAGCTGACCCATGTCAGGGATGGTGAGGTTTGCCACTAGTGAGTCTATGAACGTTTGCTTCTCTGCAGACCACTGGCTTCGCGTATCCATATTCGAGTGCCAGGGGTCATCAGACCGAAAACCTGGAGGTGACCAAGCGTGGCATAGGAGGCTGAAAGCGTATATCAACACGAGCGAAAGCATATTTAAAATGTAGCTGGTTTTTTTTTACAATAAAGGCTTCAGTAGTATAACTGAACTATTCGAAGCGTGGCTGTGGTGAAGCTATGGATGAGCTAAAGGTCATGTGTGGTTTTGCTAATCAAACTATATCTAGCTCTAGCTCAGATTAGGCTAAATGGATAACCAATGGTTACAGATAGGCACACCGTCTCCATTCCAACGTAACCGTTGTATTTATTGTGGAAAGCCCCCACCAGAAGCTCGATATCCTCAAGTGAGCGGGGAAACGCGGGGTTGGGATCGAAGCTCCGGCTCCCTTGGGTCTCCAACTCCATGACAAGGGTTGTAGTGCGATTTACAGGGGCGACTTGCGAGTTTCCTCGTTAATTTATTCATCTATAATCAAGTAAAATGTGTCGAATAGGTTACCGCTGCTGTTCTGCTGAGCTCACTAGTCAACGTGAAAGTGATATTGACAGATATTAGGGACACTACGTACTAGCTAGTGCAGATATTACTCGTGATTCTAACAAAATGGGACTATTAATCTGCTGTACGAAATGCAAACCCACACCCCATGTCATTCAGCCTTCAAGGCTATCGGCATTAATAGTCTTCCCCTGCTAAAGCAACCAGCAAATGTGAGCGTAACAGCCGATAAGAGCGATAACGGCGACGACCCGGCGATAGCGACGATCATGCGCGAACAATGAGACGTCCCCGCCTTCTCCTCTCCCTGCGCTTGACATGGCCAGGCTATCGACAGCAAAATGGAGGACTAGGACTGGCTGCTTGCAATGTGAGTCAGTGCCCAGGTTCACCTATTGCCGTGCTCTAAAGGGAATTCACAGGTCGACGTCGAAGAAAGAAATGCGACGAAAGAACACCCCAATGCGGCGGTTGCACTCGTATCGGCCTGGTTTGTAATTGGCCCTCTGGCCAAGAGACAGACCGGCGCATACACCGCAATGGTCGCCTTCATAGAGAGGACAATTCATCACGAAGATCCGTAGTCGAAACCGAGCTCTACTTTCTGCAGCTCCCTCCCCCAGTGGCGATGCCTTCGCCTTTCCACCACGATCAGCATCGTTACCTCTTCAGATATTTTTCTTCCACCACCCTGCCACGCCTCATTCGGCAAAAGTCACTTGCCCGGTATACAGACCAGACGTACATGCTAAGACTAGCTCTAGAGTTTCCACCGTTGATGGGCGCTTTGATTTCGATCGCTGGAATGCAGATAGCCTCCTCCTCTGGTTGGTCTGTTCACTGCGCCGTGGAAAGCTATATCAAAACACTGAACTTCCTGCAAAGTACCCTCTGTAATAAGGCAGAGGCAACGTGTGATGATAGCTTGCTGGCAACTGTGGTTACCCTTGCTGTTTTCGAGGTTAGAAAGCCCCATCACTCCCATGGAAGCTTATTGACTTGCTGAGCATCAGAGCTGTCGAGTGGATGCTACCCCGAATATTGCACCGCACGTCATGGCATCGGGCACTCTCCTTACCCAAAGATGTCCAAGGTGGGCGGGGAGCGCTCAAGCTGCCGCTGTGTTTGACCGAATCTGTGTGGAATCGTTTGTCTATCACGCCTCGGTGATGATGGCTTTCGATCCATGTCTCGATGTTTTGTCTGATCCACAACGGCGCCTTGGGCTCTCGCGTTACTTCTCAGACCCAGTACATCTCCCCTCTACCAGCGGAGAACCCGAAGTTGTCAACCAGCCGATCCTCCATACTTCTTATGAGTTTTTCCTTCTGATAGCGGATACTACCAAGCTGGCCCGTATACCAGGCCCATTAAGCAATGCGGAATTGGCTATTCGGGAAGATCTAGAATCTCAATTGTCCCAGTTCGTCCCAGGCATAATGACAACCCGGAATCACGCAGAGATGTTGTATCTATACGCTCTACAGATCATGCTCATGAAAGGCTATCCAGGAATAGATTCCAAGGAAGCGGATAGAACGATCATCACGCATCTCCAAGGTGCCATGAACACACTCCTGATGGTTGACCCTGAACAATATTTCGCTAGCTTTTTGCTTTGGCCTCTAGCAATCTTCGGCGCTGTGATGGTACTGCAAGATGAGATTCAAGTCATACGGGATTATCTCACCATACTCCAAGAGATGCGTGCCGGTGGGCAAGCGAAATGGACATTGAAGAGATTGGAGGAGATTTGGAGAGGGCGCTACCACTTGGACACAGCGCCGGATCACTGCACGCGGCGATGGATAGGATTGCAGGCTTTCTTGGATGGTAACAACAGGGACTGATATATTGCCTAGCGAAGAGTAATTGTCACGACTCGGAATAACATGCAAAATCTACCATCAGACCCAGGCTATTATTGAGGAGGGGATATTGACAGGCCCACTATCCGTCTCTGGTGACGATGACTATGAAGGATTCCAACAATGACTTGGCGAAATAGCATCCTCGCCATGTGGCTTCTTCAAACATCTTAACAGCTGTCCAACATTTCCGAAAGGGCAGACTTCTCGTCGGCCGTGATGGTCAACTTGTATGTTGTCTTAACCTTGACCCACATCTCCGCATAGGTGCAGTAGAAGGATTCTGTTTTCCGTGTCAGCTACGGCCTCGAGTATCTGCTGCATTGGTTTTGGCGTACCTAATGGGGGCTTCCACTCCTCCGGGCCACGGTCTCCCTTGGACTCATTTACGCTGCTTGTGACCGGCAAAAGCTGGGGATTGTTCAGGTCATTCGCGAAATCCTGACGCTCCGCGGCGGTCCAACTAGATGCGCCGGACTATGCCCCCCGTTAGCGAGAAATCCATACAGGGCAGGAGTCATCCCTACCTTCCAAGCATTGGAAAGCGGAACAAGGTGGTCAATTTGGAGATCGCTGGCGTCAGTCCATTTGGCGCCGTCATATGGAGACACCCATGTGCCAGTAATCTTGCAATCGGCCCCCTCCTGAGTGCCGGTGCCGTCGCGCTTGAGGACCAGGTCGCGGGTGTCGCATTCACTTGGACAAATTTTAAAGATCGCACGCTTATGCCCAGATAAGGAGTTGACTTACTGTCCTTGGGCTATCCAGTGCTTGAATTTATCGCGGGAATACCCATCTGACGAGCCTTGGTCCGCCACGGTGAGAGATCCCAGCTCACTTTTTGCTGTGGAGGCACTGGGGATGTTAGGAGGCGTTGGTGCCGCGAGAACGGGCTGAATGGCCAGCAGGCCGAGACAGGCCGCTGTGAACCACGTCTGATGCATCTTGGGGTGATTTCCGTAGGCCAGGAAGGGGCAACCACCGACTGGCCGATCCCTTTAAACTATTCGCGTCGGCCTCGCATCACCGCTTGTCCGTCTGACTCCGGTCCCCATCGAGGGATTTGGCATGATAGAGTGTTTGTTGTGACGGTCCATTCTGCAGCCCAAGTGCAACATCAACAGCCCCTGGGCCTTGGCAGGGCCTTGGCGCCATCTTGGCGTTGCACGTTGATGTCCCCGTCGATCATGACTGGACGAGGCGATAAGCGTATTGTACTCTCTCCCGTTGTTAGTCTCGTATTGTCAACATGGAAATCACCTGGGAGGATGCTGATTTCTGATTGGCGGAGTAATTTCTCGCGGTGCAGTGGGCTGGGATCGCCAAGATCCAGATCCAGGAACACGATCAGATTAGATCTGAAGGCAATAGAGAGCTTTAGTTCCAATAAACTCCGTACAGGCTATAGCTAGCCCATGAGCCTTAATACTTTGAAGCCATTTGGGGGACAGGCAGAGTTAGTTCTGGGAGGGTTGATAATGTGGCCAAGTGCAGTGCGGCGACAGTGCCGCCACTTAGTTTACTATCGTGCCCCTCTCCAATCCTGCCCCGCCTTTCCTACGCTCCGTGTTTTCTTCTACGATACTCGCCATCGATTGGTCATATGATGTTTTTGAAAATGGGAAAGCGAAATTAAGCCCAATAATGGAAAACTTCAAGGGTAAGGAAGGTACTACGCTTCATTAGCTGGGTAATCACACGGTTACTCTCGTTATGATATTTTGTCGGTCAAACCTGCCATCTTCGGTTCTCAAGAAGCATAAACCCTTCAGTTCATAGCGACCGCAACAACGATGCATGTGCCAAAAGTTCGCGATCCTCATTACGAAGGGGATAGTGTCCTTGCTTTTGTGAAGGAGTACGTACCCGGGAAGCATCTTGATGATGTATGGGTGACTTAGACTCGCATCAGATAACTCTCTACTGCGGGCGAACTCGTTGCTATTCAGAGCAATTATGTGCTTTAAAAGGGCACTGTATTGGAACACGCAAATGCGGTAAAGCTATCAGTAGCCAGATCACTTCTGTCGAAGGTCGTCGATTTGATTCCGCGCAGCAATTCCATGAGTTGATTCTGTGGGTCTCGTCAGAGCTGCGCCAGGTATACTGCAGCATTAGGCCAAGATAACACTTTTCTGATCACCATCGGATCATGTTTACTCACTTTAATCTCACTCCTCGGAATATTCTCGTCAAAGGAGGTCGTATGACAGCTATTATTGACTGGGCATATGCAGGCTTGTAATCGGAACATCAGGACTATGTTCAAGCACGTCGAGAACTGAAGCCAATACCAGACTGGACTGAGTATCTGGCACGAGTTCTCCCTCTCCCGTTCGAAGGGAATATATAGGCATGCCATCCCTCGCTCGTCTGATGCGCCATTGAATCCTACGAGAATCTGGAGGTAGCCAAAGGTGAGATTCTAAGAGGTGTCGAAGAATGCATGGGAGGCAAAGAAATGGAACAAGGAAACGCAATCAACGTTGCCTTAATTGGTCCTCAAACAGCCCCATTTGATATTGTGTATTCATCAAAAACTTCACATCCTGGCAGTCGTGCGCGTAAAAACTTGTCAATCCATGTCTGATGCGTCTTTGGGTGATTTCTGTAGGCCAGGAAGGGGCAGCCATCGACGGGTCGATCGTTTTTCAAGAGGAGGAAGGAGAAGAAAGAGGAGGAAGGACTACGGCACCAACCAAACTGCCCTCTAGCGGCCCGCCATCGTAACTTCCCATGGTTCAGATGGATTACTCCTAATACTCGGGCAGTGGTACGCGGCAGAATCAAGTGACGGTGGCACCTATTTCCATACTCTCATCCTCTCTTCTCCATCTGTCCATCGTCTCATCGTCTCTTCATCAGAAACCAACGAAAGACCTACATCATGGCCATGCGAACCATTTACCTCGTCTCTTTTCGGTTTGCTTCTTTTCAACGAGCACACTTCTCAATATTTGTCCCCTCCCCAGCACGTCCTGATTATGGGACTCTGATTCATGCTGTCGGCGCGCCTATGATTGGCTACGAACTGCAGTTTAAACGAAATTACTGTCCAGAACAGACCAGATTCCCCCACGAAATTGTTGCCATTGGGCAAGTCCATTCTTCAAACATTTTCGACTCCACAGATACCGAGCCTAGTACAGACAAAACGCCCAGAGGAAGGATTGAGATTTTCGCTGCCCATGTCCCCACGCCAGGAATCAGCCAGAACTTCATGGCACCTGTCAATGAGGTAAGTTCCTCCCCGGATTGATTGTTTATATTGGCCATACTCATGATTTTCTGATTCAGACCACCAACAAATGCTGTCAAGAATGGACCATGGAATATGTTCGTTATTTGGTCGCCAAAGGTCTCATTGGCGAAGAGGCAATCCAGATTGTCCAGTCCAAACGTGATCCTCCGGCCTTCGGCATCGGTCTACGTCCTGTTAGGCAACATTGAGAGCCTTGGAAAACCATTAAGGAAATATCTACCAAGCTGTGGATGCTTTTGATGGAAGGACGCTGAGTTGATAGCGCTGTTCAGACTGTTAACATCACTTATTCTTATTGCCTGTCTGCTTACCCTACTACTAACTCTCGGGATACTAAGTAGGAGGATTTCGACTTTTATCCTTAACCTTAGTAAGATTTTTTAATTACCTATATACATATTCTACACATATGCACTTCAATCACTTTGTTCCTAGTACTAGGATATGATGATAATTCGAGATATATAGAGGCTATCAGCCTAGATAAAATTATAGCATTCAAAGACACGTTTCTCCGTCAAGCGTGAGATACCCAAATAAAACAACGTAATGATAATTCAGACAGACCCTATTGATAATATGTATTCTACAAAAACCTCAAGTTCTGGCAGTCGTGGACATAAAAATTTGTCAATCCATTCCCATCGCCATTCGTCCTCGGACCAGCATGTGTAGCGTGCTTTGCAATATTCCCAATAGCTTGGATACCACCCTGCTTGCTCCCAATCCACGATAGCAAGGATACGAGCAGGCTTGCTGGAAGAAACCATGATGTTACTTCGGTGGAGGTCTGCATGAGTAAATTTGATGTCTTCGTCGTCAGGTAAAGAATCCCTATATGGATCTTTGAATTTTTTCGACGGAGGAAGCCGTTGTTGTGGTAAAGAGGAAAACCAGTCATGGAACTCTTTAACAGTAGAGAAAGGGCCGGCTTCTGGATATGATTGAAAGACATAATCTTGAGCTTTCTGGTGGCTTATCGAACCTGGAAGATTGGTTAGATATAAGTCTCTAGCTTTGGAATATTCTGTTTGGTCTAGGATATACCAATATATTGCTGAAGAGGATCTTGTTCAAGTCGGCGTAAAGCTTTAATGATCTGAATAAGATCATTACGGAGCGAGTTTTGATCTAGATCAGTAAGTTCGTTCCAACGATCCAACAATGTTCGTCCTTGGATAAGCTCCATATAGATGAAAACATGGTTCTTCTCATCATCTACTCGCCACCCGAAAACTTCAGGAACTGGAACGTCGTCGCCAAAGACCCGTTTGATCATCCAAAGACACTGTGCTTCTGCGGTGGTAACACAAGGACCAAACTTGACAAAGAGATCGGAGTCTTTGAATATAATTGGCTTCGGGTGGGGGCTCGTATGAGCATCTTCCGATAAAGCTTTTACTTCCGAAGGGGTCGGGAGGCGTTTGCTTGGATCTTTGAAGAAGGAAGAGTCGTAGAAATTCATCTCTCGTAATGACCCATCAGGTAACTGGTCTGAGAAAGCAGACAATGTTGACATTATGGCGTGTGGGATTCCAGAGAACGTCCAAATGATGCGTAAGCGCTCTGTGGTGGGGGAAGGGAAGGATGGAGAATTAAAAAGGTTGAAGTCGACCAGCAAGGTTGGATCTTTTATGCTGGCGCGGCCAAAGGATAAGGTTACCCACGTGACATTGTATCTAGTTAGCACGCGCCACCGATATCGTTAGTCTGGCTGTTCCCACCCGCTCTAACTCTGAGTAAATGGGTCTGTGGTGTCCACACAGGCCTCAGCACCAAGATCACCTATTCAGCTGTTTACACCCCAGCATTTGGAACTCTGTTCTTGCTCCTACATGCCCAGCTCAGGCTTATTTTTGATTCATGACCTTTAGAAGCAGTTTAATCACTAGGATATAATCGTGGGCATCAGGAAAGAAAGGCCTGTCAAGCGTTTCCTACAAGATCGGACTTAATTCAGTATGACTGCACGTTCTATTTTCCAATATCAGGCCGGTGCACGTCATTCTTAGCCCTGCTCTGGGGTGGTCTCTCCCAACGGAAACAATACTGCCCCTTCTCCATCGCAGTGCGTCTGAACCGTGGGCCCGTTGTCCAAATTGGTTTTCCATCGGAAGTTTGGCCCATTTCATAAGGTACATCATAGTCCGGCGCTCTTGGCAGATCCGGCCATGTTAGCCGGCTGGGTGCATTGAGATATCGTTCCATGTCTCCGTCCAACTTTCGCGTGGCTACCCATTCATTCAAAAAGTTGCGGAACTTCGAGACGTCAGAGTCCAGCTCGCGATTGCAAGTCCACTCTGGCATACTTTGCACCATGTCTATGTTTCGATCCCAGTGGGGAATACTCGTGAGATGTGTATCGTTCGTGATGAGCTCGTATAGCGTAAATACAACACCATTTATGTCATCTCGACCCTCCATCAAGCGTCTCTTTCCGCATGCAGCGCGATCAAAGTCAAAGAGAAGAATCTTTTGTGTGTCGGGATCGATAAGCAGATTTCGGGGGGCAATATCTTGATGCATGATCCCCAGTTCCAGATTGAGGAAATCGACGAGTTGGGTGAGCTGCTGTAGCCACTCAAACCGGAAAGGCACTTTTGGATCCGCGAGATTTTCAGCTGGGATGTACTTCGTTGTGAATCCAATGACCCGAGACTCCACGTCTTCGAGAACAACGCGATCAAATGGTACTATATTGGGGTGTGGTGGCAGACGCTTAAAGAGGTTGAGTTCGTCCCAGGCCATTTGTAGTCTCAGAGGTTTTGCTAAAGGGTTGAATTTGAAAGCAACCTTTTGAGGGATCCCAAACTCGTCTTTGTATAATGAGAGATCAACGCCGGGTGAGAGTCGGTCAAGCTCGTGAAGTTTAGAGTACTGGATTGTCCGGCAATCGGTGAGTGACTCAAGACTTGAGAATGGAAGATATGCAACAAATAGAGTGTCATCCTCTTCCGGATCGGTCGAGACTCCAGCAAGGAGCCCGTCGTCGTCGACTGTGATTGCGCGGACATGCGGCGACAGGTAGTCAGCGAAATGCGCCGAAACCGGGATTTCCACATCCTCATCCGGTAGGAACAGCTTGGCGGTGCCTTTGACCTTAACCATCTGTAGGCGATCCCAGTCCCAGACGTTGCAATGGGTCTCGGTCAAGGGGTTTTCTCGCGGGCCGAAGTAGCCCTGGCCCTCCGAAAAGAATCTGTCTTCCGGATTTATCATAGTAGAATTGATACCGAGAAAAATTGGACTGGCTAATCTTGCTTTGGGGATAAACGAGAGACTGAAGGTGAAGGCAATATATCTGTGAGTCTAGATCACGTGAATTAGGTGGAAGCGGATAAAGGTGAAGCAAGAGCATATTGGCCAGACGAAGTGAATCCCGAAAAGAAGGCTACCCGAACAGTGTAACCGTTTTTTCGTAGCACACAGTGGATAAGCTCCTAGCAACACCCTCTGTCGACCCTAGATCATGTTGTTCACAGATAGAGCGAAGACTCAGATATGCCTCGTAGAATTAATCCTAGGGATGTTAGGTGGATCCGGCCCCCCGGCATATTTTTACAAGCGAGGCGATAACACTATAACTAAGAGCTGCGATGGCAAGGTTAATGGTGCAATCATACATATCTTGAAAACGTAAGGAAAGACTATGATTTAGAAGAGGAAGGTACTGGTTCTCGTCTTTTGTGCTTTATAGTAGTACATGTCAACTTAACATTTTACAATACATGCCCATGGTTGACCTTCGGAACTAAGCAAAGAGTAATAGAAAGGCAAATAGTACTTTCGGAGACTTGTATATCTTCACCTTACCTAAAAAAAATTGATGGTCATAGTACTGGCTAGTCTAATTATCTTTGTACAATGGCTCTACTCAATTAAACTCATGCGTTAGCTATGGTGAGTTTCATCTATAGTTACTTCGCGGTCCCAAAATTTAACTCATTAAATGCTTAACTGTTACTGTTGTGATAACATTCTGTCGTCCTCAAGCCCAGATTTTCGTGAACTATGAATGCCCCTTCGGTTCGCCATATAAGCTCCTTATCTAACTATAGTCCGTATCTAGCGGAATTGAATCTGTAGGGGCGATCGCGGTTATAGCAATTCTCAATGTATGGCTAATTTCAATCGATGAAACATTGATTCACTTTCGCAGCTTCTCGCTCATAAACTCGGAAACATTCTTGACAGCCAGATCAACATACTTGTCCTGATCATAGAAGTCCATGTGCGTCCCACCGGGGACGATCAGCTTCTTCGAAGCACCTCCGATCAACTTATCGAGCTTCTCGGTATGCCATAAGGAACCTGCCTTCTCACCGGCAATAAGCAGAGTCGGCTGGGTCAAGTAAAGATCCGCCAGGTGGAAAGCATCAAAGTTCAACACAAGCGGGAAGCTCCGAATCAACATTTTGTTGCAAGCACGGGGGTGTTGGGCTCGCGGAGTGAGGTAATAATCGTGCGCCTCCTTCATATCAGCAGGAGTCTTGTCGTCCAGCTGGGGAGGCACATAGGGTGCGGCTGCAGGCTCAGCTCCGTTGTTTTCGGCCGTGATTTGTTTGGCGGCCATGTCGAAGGCTGCAATTTTCTCTTTCGCATCTTCGTCGCCGTCCCAGCCCAGACGTGCTGAGTCGCCAATGTTGACCATGCTGATCGTGGCGAGGGCCTTGAGGCGGTGATCCATCTTGGCGGCAGCGGTCGCATAACCACCCCCTGCACAGACACCGACGACGGCGATCTTATCGGAGTCAACATACTCGAGTTTTTCGAGGTAATCAACGACACTCCAGACATCGCTGACCCGTTGAGAAGGGTCTTCGAGGAAGTGAGGCTCGCCACCGCTCTCGCCCTGGTGGGAAGCGTCGTAGCAGACAGTTACAAAGCCGTTCTGGGCAAGCTTCTTTGCGTAAAGTCCTGCAGTCTGCTCCTTGACGCCGCCTCCAGGGTGCACAATGACGAGAGCTGGGAGCTTAGAGCCAGATGTGGGCCTGTGGAGAAGGCCAACTAATTGAATGGGCCCCTTCTGGATAGTAATAGCAGACATGATGAATTATATGGCAAACGGAGTCTGTGAGCTTGGAATTAACCTTGGAATATCGAATCAATGCTTGGAATCAATGAAATGGCGAGGTGTTTGCCCAAGATATTTATACTCTTTACCCCACGCCCCGATCTTGACGTCAGTCCGAAGGTTATCGGCGAGGTGTTTGCCCAAGATATTTATACTCTTTACCCCACGCCCCGATCTTGACGTCAGTCCGAAGGTTATCGGCGAGGCCGAATATTTTCGGACTTCACGGTTTACCGCTCTTTTATTTCTCAGCAGACCAAGAAGAACGTGAGAATATGAGAACTACTCGATTGGCGTCGCATAAAATTACATGGTATCCAATTTTGCCCAATTGGGAAGCAGATTCTTTTCAATTCCAATACATTCCCACGGTAGTATGCCGCAGCTTCCCAGAACTTTGAACGCGCCTTGCAACCTTACTACATCGATATAGATTCCAGACTATCTCTTAAACCTTCAGTTAGTACAGCATATGGACTTCTCTTTGCATTTATGGCACCGATATTGACCGGGTTTAGATCACTGAAAACTTTAAAGTAGGTCTCCCTGGGCCAGCGGCTTGGTACTTGAGAAGTGAAACGAGCAAACTAACGATGCCCTTGTTAGTAGGAGAAGGGAAGGGAGGGAGCCAAGGTAGCAGTCTATGGGCACTACGTGTAATATACGGTACTTTACGTATTCCATCATTCTAGTCCACAGAGGTAGAAAAACGCGACTTTGGATCCAGTGACCTCCAGGGCTGCTCGGCCGTGGGTTACGTTATCGGATCAGCTTGAACCTTGGAAGTCCGAACGCGAATTCATCCCCGCCTTTCTACATCTTCGTCTCAATTTGCAGAATGCCTGTCTCGGTCGCTATCATTGCCGGTGCAGGCCCTGGAACCGGCGGCGCCATCGCTCGTCGATTCGCTCAAGCTTATCCGGTCGTGCTCCTCGCGCGGTCGCAAGCCTCGCTGGATCCCATTTCTCGCGATATCACGGCGAACGGCGGGTCTGCCCTCAGCATTCCGACCGATGTGACCAGCCCGACAAGCATGGGGTCCGTGATTGATCAGATCAAAGCTCGTTTCGGAGACGATGCGGACATCGCGGCGGCCATCTACAATGTCGCCAGCAAGTTCACTCGCAAGCCTTTCCTCGAAACGAGCGCAGATGAATTCATCAGTAGCCTCGAGCCCAGTGTCAAGGGCGCGTTCAACTTCGCCCAAGCGACTCTGCCCTTGATGCTGCATGGAGGAAAGGGCCAATACCCGCCGACTTTGATCTTCACTGGTAGGTAGAGCTTTCTTCGATGTGTTACCGACACTTGCTGAGAGGTTTTCCAGGTGCCACTGCTGCGTTGAAGGGAGGCTCGGGGCTCTCCTCGTTCGCCATGTCCAAATTTGGCATTCGTGCCATGTCGCAGTCGCTGGCCCGGGAGTTTGGTCCGCAAGGGGTTCATGTCTCCCATGCCATCATTGACGGCATCATCGACACTGAAAAGACCCGGGGAATCAATGATGATAAACCAGACGCGAAGATTGACCCAACCTGGGTGAGCCTACCTGGCTGATACGTCCGAGCCCGGGTCTCTAACCATTCATAGATTGCCGAGTCCTATTGGTTCTTGCACACGCAGCCAAGGACAACATTTACTCACGAGATTGACTTGCGGCCGTATTCCGAGACTTGGTAGATCCCCAAAGCAAAGGAAGATGGCCCGTGGTAGCATCAACGATTCTGGTTCAGAGTCAGCGGACCAATCCAGAGCTTAGCTCCCAGGGGCGTACCCCCCGGTAAGTGCCAAGTTTGATAGCTGGTAATTAGGAAGATTTCATATATGCGTCTTGCAACTCCCTATTCGAACTTCTCGAGACTATGAATTGCCAGTAGCCGGTCTTAGCTTGCCACGGGCTTCGCCATAGTATCATTTTGCACCTTGAAGCGGGCGGAAATCTTGTAAAATCCAATTAATGCTTCCGCTTATTTCTTTGCTCTGTACTTACAGGTCCACGCTGGCTTGAAGGATTGGAATACTGGATGAGTCGTTCGCGAGGGGAAAGCGATGCGGAGAAAGGCTCCACATGGAACGTTTCTCCAATTTCGTGATTGACCCCTCTTCAAGTTCAGATTCGTCTCTGAATTCTTGCTGCTTGCACATTTTGCTCCCGACTCAGAATGGCACCGTCCTACGATGGCACTGGTGTGCAATATTACGAATTGAAAGACTTTACTTTCCAAACCGGCGACACTCTCTCAGCCGTGCGAGTGGCGTACCGGGAATTCAACCCCACTGCCCAAAAGACGGCTCTCATACCAACGTGCTTCCTCGGAAGAATCAACAACACCCTCAACTTTACGCAGGGGGCGCTGAAAGACCATCGCGTAATCGTGGTGGCCACGCTTGGAAACGGTGAATCTGCTGCTCCATCCAACACCCCGAACTTCCCCGCATCGATCGATTACCGGGACAGTGTCCGCGCTCAGCATAAACTGGTGACGGAGCATTTGCAGATCCAGTCCCTGGATGTGGTGCTGGGCTTTTCGATGGGTGGGCAAACCGCCTATCATTGGGCCGCCATGTTCCCGGAGTTGGTCAAGAATGCTGTGATCATCTGCTCTGCAGCAAAAACAAGTCTGCACAACTACCAGTTCTTAGAAGGGCCCAAGGCCGCCATTCAACACTCTATAGATTATAACAGTGATGAGTTCCTGATCCAGCGCAAGCCTCCCATTCGAGGCCTGCACGCGTTTGCCATAGCATACTCTGCGTGGCTGACGAGCGCCGAATGGTTCGAGGAGCGACTATTCGAGAAGCAGGGCTTCAAGACGCTCGCCGACTGGGCGGATGCCGGTGCTCAGAGTTATGAAGACTGGCATCCCGATGACCTGCTGGCGATGCTGGGGATGTGGCAACGATCAGATCTCGGGCTTGTGACTGGGACAGACAACCAGAGCGTCCCTTGGAGCAAGCTCTGAGTGCGCTGAAGGCTCGTATCTTGCTGATGCCCGGTCGCACAGACCAGTACTTTAGATGGGAAGCGAACGAAAGGGAGGTTGCGCATCTGAAGAACGGGCGAGTAGAAGTCATCCCCTCGGTCTGGGGGCATCTTGCTGGAGGCGGGGCGAATCAAGAAGACAACGAGTGGATGGATCGAAAGATTTCGGAATTCTTGAGTCAGGACTAATTGAATCCTGGATGCCATTGGGTGTCATCTTTGTGGCTTCATAGCTTCGCAGTGTTTTCTCATCTCCACTGGTGTTGTCAAAGCACAATGATTCGTTCGCTTCTGCTGTGTTACATCGCAACGCATGCCATGCTTTGATACGAGTACATAGACCGTTGGGTGCAGTCCCATCTACCTCGGAACCCTCGGAATAGCATTTGCATCATATCAGGGGCCTGCAATTAGGATACTCGCGGGAGCTGCGCTTTCAGATTTGTCGTCTTCCAGACTATAGTGTACCCTCCTAGTAAAAGACCGTTTTGGTTTCCTGTTCTGCGCAATCTCCTCCGTACCCTGCTCTCCAGGGATGCTATTGAAAATTAGGCAGCACATAGAGCATTAAGCTTGCAGCGCTGGAGAAATGGAGAATCCTTGAATCCTTGGGGACGCGCTAGAGATGTCCCGATCCACGGACTACCGTATTTGTCAGGGCAAGAAACCGGACCTCAGGCATCATCAGTCTGATTGAATTCGTGTGATCCCGGCCCTCGCGCGCAGCACCAGTTGCAGACCAGGCAGCATCGTTGAATGCGCTGCCACCTTCCCAACGCGAAGCCTCGCATGGCGCCCCCTTGCATCCTGTTATCCTGTCATGTTGAAAACCTGACAGGTCCTCAGGACGCTGAACGGGCGAAGGCAGACCGCCGGACGAGGCAGCATACGGGAGCGTAGCAAAGGTAGGGTTAGCTCTGTATCCAGCAGAGTTCCACGTTCATGTGGCAAGGCCGCACCAGTTGACAGCTTCGGCTACGTATCACAGCCCCAGGGGAAAAAGAAACGGAATCGATCTCCGGGGATCAGCGTCTCCACCCAATAGTTTGATTTCTCGCGACCCGCATTTTTTCCCTTTTCCCCTGTTGGAGTATGCAAGGCTCAAAATGCTTTTTCTCAACTCCAGCCACACAGCCTATCGCTCCGGCCGTTACGTAGATTACCACGGGTCATGCAGCCGCAGAGGCAAGCTTGCATGTTCGCATGTTCGCGCCCGCGAGGGGCTGGAAAGGGAGTCGCGCGGAGCGGATTCGCGCACGAACGATGTGAGCGACGAACTATCGCGACTATTGGGTTCCCGAGGCTGTGGTGCTATGCGAGCGGCCTATCAGCACACGCGCTCACTGATGTCCATCTATGTCTATCAATGCGCGGGTGACAGGTCGAAAATTTAAGGGGAAAAAAAGTCCTGACAGGCGCGGCCCGTCACAATTTGGAAGAATTATGGGGCGTCTCGTGGCGTCCGAGCTAGTAGCCTTGTCAATTTAAATTATTTCATCTCCATCTTTCCCAGACCTGTAAGGGAGGGGAAACCTCTGGGCTTCCAAGAACCCAGCCATGTCAGGAATCACGGTAGGAAACCCACCGGGAGTCAATTCGTCCTCTCCACGGCTAAACCATTTTTCGTAGGATCCGAATAATGACCCCAATGTGGGATCCTCGCGCGGCGATGCTTCGTCCACGTCGGGCGACGTCGTCAGCGAGCTCACGGGCGACGGAGGCTCATCAGCCTCCGCCCTGATCATGACTCTCCTGCCAGCTTTAATCTACGCTGGATTTTTCGTTTTGATCTTTTTGATCTTCAGGCGGACGCAAAGGCGATGGTATGCGCCGAGATCGCATTTGCCAGATCTACTGGAGCACGAACGGAGCCCAGAGCTACCGTCGGGCTGGATTGATTGGATTACTCCATTCCTGAAGATTGAGGATAACCACGTCCTCCATCACTCGTCTCTGGATGGATATCTATTTCTACGGTTCCTTCGCGTCTTATGTGCCACCTGCTTGACCGGATGTCTCATCACTTGGCCGGTCTTATTCCCTATTCATGCCACCGGAGGCAATGGCAATGGCCAGCTAGATATCCTCAGCTTCAGCAATATAAAGAACCAAAACAAGTACTACGCCAACGTCATCATCGCTTGTGTGTACTTTAGTAAGTGTTTGCATCTCTAACGCGGGTTCGAAGGCTTCTCCATGCTGATAAAACCCCCTCAAGCGTTTGTCTTCTATGTCGTGACGCGCGAAAGCATCTACTACGCCAATCTACGCCAGGCCTACCTCAACTCCCCCGCCTATACCTCCCGGATCTCTTCGCGCACGGTCCTTTTCATGTCAGTACCTCCGGACTACAGGAATGAGAAAAAGCTGCGCCAGGTGTTCGGAAACTCTATCCAGCGTATATGGATCACCTCGGAGTGTGACCGGTTGTCCAAACTCGTAAATGAGAGAGACAAGCTCGCCTTCCAGCTGGAAACCACCGAAACCAAGTTTATCCGCCGGGCAAACAAGGCCCGCCAGGAGGCCATCAAAAAGGGCAAATCTTCCTCAGAAACGTGTCTGAGACTGCGAATCCAGCAACCCTGCCTGGTCGCACAAGGTTCAACGGCCCACTCACCGGCTCAAACTGTTCTTCGGTGAAAAGGTCGATTCCATTCACTGGTATCGGTCGGAGCTGGCGCGGGTCATAGAAGAAGTCGATGCGCTGCAGAGAAAACACCAGGAAGGAGATGCAAAGCAGCTCTCCGCCATATTCATCGAGTTCAACACCCAAAATGATGCCCAGATTGCCCTGCAGACTCTGTCCCATCACCAGCCCTTTCACATGACGCCTCGGTTCATTGGCATCGCGCCCCAGGAGGTGGTCTGGTCCGCGTTGAACTTGAGCTGGTGGCAGCGCATTGTACGGCGGTTCGCTGCACAAGGGTTCCTGGCAGCAATGGTGATCTTTTGGTCTTTTCCTGCCGCCATTGTCGGAACTATCTCCAACGTGGAATCCCTCGCCTCCCTTGTGCCATTCCTGAGCTTTATCTTGAAGCTTCCCAGCATCATCCTAGGAGCTATCGAGGGCTTGCTGCCATCTGCAGCTCTTGCGGCCTTGATGTCCCTGGTGCCGATTATCTGTCGAGGTATGGTTAAACACCATGCGGCCTGCTTGGAATACTTGGCTAACAATTGAGCTAGTCTGTGCCAGACGAGCCGGAGTCCCCTCCCCTAGCTCGAGTCGAGCTGTTTACCCAATCAGCTCATTTTGTTTTCCAGGTCGTACAGGTCTTTCTGGTCACGACCTTGACGTCCGCCGCATCGGCTGCCACCGCTCAGATCATCAAGAACCCCTTGTCGGCCAAGGACCTGTTGGCCCAGAATCTTCCCCAAAGCAACCAATTTCTACATATCGTATTTCTTGCTTCAAGGTCTCAGTTTGAGCTCCATGGCTCTCGTACAAATTGCCAGTGCCTTGGTATTCAAGTTTGTCACCACCTTCTTCGCCTATTCACCGCGTCGTCTCTTTCAGAAATGGGGACAGTTGGCCAGCCTGAGCTGGGGCAGTGTGTTTCCTGTCTTCACCAACATGGGAGTGATTGGTAGGTTGACTCCCCCAGAATAGCGCTCCTTAACCGGTTCTTGATCTAACCAAGGGGATAGCAATTACCTACTCTTGCATCGCACCTTTAATTCTCGGGTTTGCTTTCGTTGGCCTGTACCTCGTGTACCAGGCCTACCGATACAACTTTTTCTTCGTATACAACATCGACATCGACACGAAAGGACTAGTCTACCCGCGAGCCTTACAGCATCTCCTGACGGGCCTTTACCTGGCAGAGATCTGCCTGATCGGTCTCTGCGCAATCAAGGGAGCCATCGGCCCCGTCGTGATCATGGTGCTCTTTCTCATTTGCAATGTGCTCGCGCACATCTCTCTCAACGACGCACTAGCCCCCCTGAACACCTTCCTCCCGCGGTCCTTGGACGCGGAAGAAGAATATCTCCAGCAGAAAGAGGACGAAAGAAATGAGATCAACGAGATGCGCCGGTCGCGCAGGCTAGCGTTCTGGAGGTGGTTCCACCCGAACTTTCACAAGGATTATGCCAATCTGCGCCAGAAAGTGCGCCGCAACATTGCCACCGCCTCTTATACACCGGAAGAGTTGCGCACCGCGTACTTCGAGCCATGTGTGGTCTCGCCGACGCCCACGCTCTGGATCCCCCGGGATCCCTATGGTTTTAGCAGGCATGAGATTCTGGAAACCGATAATGCGATCAGTATCACGGATGAGGGTGCTCGACTGAACGAGAAGAACAAAATTGTGTGGGCAAAATATGATCCACTGCTTCCCGTCCGAGAGAAGAAGACTTTATACTAGTGAGGGGATATCCTTATCAAGGACCCGCGTGATTATATTTAAACGATATTGATGACATGATGATACACTTCGAGTTTCTGTATGTTGATGAATCAAGATTGCTCAAAGTACTTGTAATTTGGCGGGTTCCATCGATTACGTACTAATAGAGACTGTAAAGGACTATAAAATGCGACTGTAACTTGTGTGGAAGGACAATATGACGCATTGTTGTATAGCAGATCACTAGTACTACTGCCAATAGGAGGGAGGAGGGTTTCCTGAGTTTGTGGGGTTTGAATGCTAAATAGTGTAGCTCGTTATAGGTCTAGTAGATACAACGCTTTAAAGGCGGTACATGAGAGATGTGTTAGCCATCTTGGAAGCTCAGAAGTCAAAAACCGAGGATCGAGCTTCGGATCCAGAAGCTTCGAAATGAGCAATTATGTTCGTGAGATTCGTTCTTATCGTAGAGTATCGGTAGTAAGACCCAAAAGATAGCATGATCGTCAAACAATATGTTCTTCTCAAGAACTCCGTCATTTCACATCACAATGCAGTCTTTTGAATTCCGGTGATTAGAATTGTAGCGATCAGGATGTACCGGTCGGGGTGGTGGATCTGGATATGAACTTCTGGCAGTCCCATTTCCGTTGGGCATTCCACCAGGGGCTTCACCCCTCTGGTTCATGCTATGATATGGAGATTGTCTCTCAGGCGAGTGATACGGTGGGGTCCTCGCAGCTTGTTCATAGGGCGGGGGCGGGGCGTTAGGGTCATTGGGATCGGGGTCATGATGAGGCTGCCGCGACGGCCTCAACCCAACAGTCGGAGTTGGCAACCTCGTACTTGGTGTCCTCACATGCGGTGGGCTACTCATGATATGGGGAGGGCTTCGATTAGGGGAACCAAGAGGGGCCGAGGCACGTCGATTGCGATCTGAGGTGCTTGTTCTGGGGGATATTTGGCTTTGGACCCTAGTTGGCGGTTGAGATTGGTTCTGTTCGCGTTGCTCTTCTTCTTGGAATTGAAGCGAAAGAGCATATGCATAGTCTGCATCTGCCTGTTCTTGTGGAGATAATCTCCCGGTCGACGTCGCAGAGGCTGTCGAAAGAGTGTTATTTGCAGCTGTGCTTGAGGAGCGCGGTCCAGCCAGTTCGGTCGATCCATTCGATCTGGATTGCCCAGCAGTACCGGTAGGAGCCTGGCTGACAGGACGAAAGTCCCCAGAGAAAAACTCAGTATTATATCCTGTAACATCCACAAGGGACTCCCACACAACCTCAGCATGGTTTGCATAGCCTGCATCCGTGACTAAGGAGAAGAGCTGCTGCGACTGAGGATGCTTGTAGAGGGTAGAGAAATGATCATTGCGGAAGAATATTGAGACTGATCCCGGAGCTAGTCGGGTGGTTAATTGGGTCAACCCAAAGGGGCTGAGTTGTGTGGCATTTTCAACATCCACAAACTCTTGAATAGCATGGATATCTGCCATCGTCGACTCTTCGTCGGGTGATAATGACTCTCCGCGCATAACTCGATCCTCCAACTCCTGCTTTTTGAATGGTAACAATTGAATATCTTCGTGATACTGTGCAGTGCGCAACATTGCATGATGAGGTTGGCTAGTCCAGGACGCAAGCCAGCCGTGAATCAGAGGGACGCCAAATGTACTGTAAAGTTGTAGATCTGCAGTTTGGGCAAATGTACCGAGCGATTCCGTATCCTCCTGCTCAACATGAATTAGCATATTGTTGAAAAGACGGTTGTTTCTTTCATACCAATGTCAAGCGGGGATTGACATTCATGCCCGTATGAAGCATAGTCAAGAATTGCGACAGGGCTTCAATGTCCGGAAATTCGTCCTGAGGTCCCAGGCATGTAACCAACTCCTCGAATAATGCCTCGATGAGTAGACCCAAGGATATCTGTTCACGGGCTTGTAATGCCCTTACTATTGGCGGCTGGGAGGCTGGATCAGCACGTAATACCAACGCGTTGATGAGCGCGAGTAACGGGCAAGGCCCGTTCTTATTCTGGACTAGTATTGGGGACTGAAGCAGCCTTCCTGATTTATTCACCCAATTTATTTGCCGGATCGAGTATGTTTCGGATCGCTGCTCTTGCTGCCTGGCTTCCTCAGCGGCAGATAGCCTAATTCTCGGCCTTTCTGGCGCTGTTGATGGTACTGGTGCTGGCGTTGGTAAATAGTCCAGCAGGTGCTGCGATGAAACATGCTGCGACGATGGCACCGCGCCTCCTGAGCCCTGTACCCCGCCATCCGACGAATAAGCCGACGAGATATCCTGAGGAGTCCCAACGCCTCCCCCCAAAGGGCTGGCAGGAACATCTAGGTCGATCAGCTCATGAGATGTTGCCGATGTCGTGTTAGAGAATGCAGGTGAATAAGCGCCATTGTCAGAGCCAAGTCTCCCTTGTGAATAAGCCGACTGGTGATCAAATGGGTCTTCTGTAGGATCTGAAGGCTGCACGACTACAGCAGGGGTATATGAATTCGCTGCTTGCCCGTGCAAACTTGGCCCCTCAGGGGCCGGCGTATTAGCCGTGTGCTGTGAGCCTTGTTGTGATCCCCAGGGTAATTGATCTGGAGGGACACTGCCGGAGGCATTGCGCGGTTGTTCGGAGTGGCAATAGCCTTGGCCTGCATTGGGATATCCATTCTCTGAGGGCTCTAGCAATGATAAGCTAGCTGTCATGGGGATAAAACCATCCGCTAATGTGCTTTAGCAAAGTATACATCTGAAAGGAAATAGGAAGTCCCGTACATTGACTGAAGGGCTCATTTTCAGCCGCGGTATTTGGATTTCCTTCGCTCCACCCATTCTCGTCCACCTGACCTTGCTTGGGCGATACAGCTTTCCTCGAGATTGATGATCTAGCTTTCAGGAATGGGTTCTTAGATTGCAGCTGCGGGGCCTCCGATGCCTCGGTTTGGTTCCCTGGTGGCATCCGCCAAGCCTCTTGAGCAGGCTGTGAATGCCCTTCTAGATCATGATCAATCTGAGGGGGCGAAGGAGGCACTCGGAGACGAGATGGATTGTGGTAGTTGAGTCGTTCTTCATCGCTGTCCGCCCAGGAGCTCGGTGCATAGCCAACTGAGGAGTCTGCCGGGGATCTTTGGGTATTTTCTACTGACATCGTGTGAAATATTGGAGAGGTGTCGAGGTTGGGATAAATAAGTTCCGGGCAGAGCCGCAACGGTTGCAGAGGATCAGAGAGCGAGAGGTAAGGTTCTAGATGGACATTCCAAGTACTGTTATGATCTGTGAAGAAACATGGAACCGGCCTAGACACTGAAGTGACGACGCTATTCAGCATATCTAATGTCAGGTTTGAATCAATGGATCAGATGGATCTTCCATACCTCGGGACTGGGAATGGGAGCTACCGAAGGTAGGTCAGAGGCTCTCAACGGGCGTTAGGCTCTTCTCTTTCATCAGTAATAGCGTTGATTGTCTATGACATCAATGAATTTCGCACAGAAGTTATATCGAACGACAGGAAGTATATCGGGCGTAAGACGCCCAGAAGCCAAAGATTAGACAAGGTCGTGCTAATGAAGCTGCCTTGGGGGGGGCAAAGGAGAGCAACCGGTGGATTGGCAAGGATGTTGGAAGCTGGAGGAGCTAGGTCACTAGAATGCCTGGACCAGCTGTGCACTAGAGCTCATAAAAATAGAAGTATGTACTGTAGGCACCCGGATTCTGAGCCTGCCAGGAACCCTGATTCCCCGCTGATGCTGATCGAAGACGCGAAGCTAGTAACTCGATCAGGTTAAGTCCCCACGTTGAAGTGGGCGGGCAGGGCTGCGGGGCTCTGATTGGCGGCCACCAGAACTGCGCTCAAGGTCTCTTCCGCCCTCCCGAATATTTTTCGACTTTTGATCGACTCGCGGGGTGCTGGAACTCCGAAAACCCAGTGCCATGCATTCCTACATTCGGCCTCGCCAGTTCGTGGCGATACAACTGCCGTCAGACCAGATCCGGATCACTAAGATTGTTCCAAATACGTGCGTTCTTCCTGCCTTTCGTCCAGCGCTTCGCTAACCGTACATCAGCATAGTGCAGCTAGGGAAATACGGTAGTTTTGCCGCAAATCAAGTCCTCGGTCGGCCTTTCCACTTGACATTTGAACTTTTGGACGCTCCAGAACCGGACGGATATCGTTTACGCGTCGTCTCGGCAACCGAGCTTCATGCTGAAACCTTGATTGAAGAAGCAGAAGGCGAGGAGGGCGAAGCGGACGACGCACTGCCCACACGTACCAACCAGAACATCGTCGACGATGGGTCAGCGCAGAAATTGACGGTACAAGAAATTGAGGAGCTCAAGAAGGAAGCAGGTGGCGCGGGCAAGGAAATCATTGCGAGGATCTTAGAATCGCATTCGGGAATCGACCAGAAGACTGCTTTTTCACTTGCAAAATACACTCTCCGCAAGCGCAAGAAGTTCATTCGCAGATTCAGCATCGTCCCTCTGGACGTCAGTACTCTCGCGCATTACTTGATGACTGAGCGGGATGCCGCAAAGACTATGGAGCTACGAGATGAGCACATTGGTCTGTTAGGATGTTTAGCGAATGTGCATCACGGAGGCAATTTGCCTGTCAATGAATCAAACAAACCCAATGGCCGATATTTTGTGGTTGATGAAACAGGCGGCTTGGTGGTGGCTGCTATGGCCGAGCGAATGGGAATCCTGTATCCTCCCGATGAAGAGGACGAGGATCAGGACGAGGATCAGGACGAGCTTCCCATCGAAGAACCTTCTGGTACAGATCAGGATGGGCAGGCCAAGGCCAAACCCCAACCACGCCGTGCTTCCCCTCGCGCAATGTCGGCGACAGGGAATAGTATCACCGTGGTTCACGCCTACAGTCAGCCAAATTTGACATTACTCAAATACTTCGGGTACGATGTTTCAAATCCCGATGAATCGCACCCTCTTTTTACCCATTTGAAGACTGTCTCTTGGCTACAATTGGTCGACCCCCTGTCTGATCCAATCTACGCGAATAAGCCCGAGTCCCGTTCTGCTGAAGAGGTGGCTTCGCTGAAAACCAACAAGCGCACTATATACTATCACAAGATTGCTCGCTGGGAGCGTGTTAAGAGCGTCACTGACGAAGCCCGTGCGGGTGGATTTGATGGACTGGTTGTGGCTACGCTCCTGGAGCCTCCTGGAGTCTTGAAAACCCTTGTTCCACTTCTCGCCGGCTCGGCCTCAGTGTCTGTGTATTCACCATACATTGAGCCGCTGGTTGACCTTGTCGATCTTTACTCAACTGCACGCAGGACGTCTTTCATCTACCAAAAACGAGACATAGAGGCAGAAACACCCGAAGGGGAAGAACCTGACCTATCGGTGTTATTTGAGGAATTTAAGGTCGACCCAACTCTTCTCCTTCCTCCGAGCCTACAGACCACGCGTGTCCGAGCTTGGCAAGTCCTCCCGGGTCGGACTCACCCTCTCATGAGTGCACGGGGAGGTGCAGAGGGTTATCTCTTCCATGCCAGCCGCGTTATACCCACCAAGGAAAATATCCGGGCCGCCGGGACCTTCCGCAAGAAGCGCAAGTTGGAGTCAACATCTACCCCTAATAATGAACGTGATGTGGTGATGCGAACTTGAGGCGACCCGCACGTTCAATTGCATAGGTAGACCAAAAAGATGTACGAGTATCATGATTTCGAGACATAGCGCAAACTAACCGGTCATATCAATATCCATCTAATTCGTAAGTCAAGTAGTCGGAATATATGTGCATCGGGTGTCGGCCATTTTCGGATAAAGATCTGAACTATACACGCGCAATCCCCGGCGGCCCAGGGTTTATTTGTTCGCTATCAACCTCTCCCAGGCTGCAGCAGCCATGCAGCTAGGGTTGCTGCAACGTATCACAGCATACGCAATGACGCCACATATAGAAAGCTTTAAGTCCATACGCTGAATTTCATGAAACAAAAGTAAAATAGCTCGACTCTACAGGCTTTTTCCCATAAACTTCCTCTTGGTGAAGCTCAGCCAGAACTAGGCAAATAATCTTAGTGTCTGCCCATTGGAAGAAAACAATCGGGGACATACCTTAGACGGGCCTTCTCCACCGGGGTATAATCGTGCATGCAGTCGTATCGCAATTTCTTGTCGCACCTGGGAGATGTATCTAAAAGCAGGATTAGGAAATGAGAATTTGAACGCTCGAATCGGACATACGCTCGTAGGGTCTCCGCATCCTGGCGGTCGCGTGGGGCCTCGAAGGCCTGATTCAGTGGGAATGATACATCGCCGGGAATGGCAAAGTTCTCCAGGGAGGTATTGATCAAAGCCTAAGGTGAAATCGAAGTTGAGAGATCAGCACCAGGGACCAATTGGGTTTATGAGCAACGCATTGTGGCTGTGCATACCTTCTCTGCATCACGAGCACTCATTGTTGGCTTGACCTTTCCAAGGCACTCACTAATGAACAGAGTTCCATAGATAAGCATGCGGTCTGCGGGTCCGTTGATCTCAAAGTTGCGAAATAGCACATTGGCGCGGAAAAGTGACAGGATTTCGTCCACGCAGTCATAGGATTCGCTGTCTGGGGCCACGTCGATATCTGGGGTGTTGGGAGGAAGTCCGGGCAGGGTATAAGCTGGCCCGCGGGTACGAGTACGGAGTGGCAGGATTGGGAAGTTTCCTATAGATCAGAAGAAAGTCAATTCTGCGACATTCAAGGAATCAAGCACATCATTATTGGAGTGCGGTAGTTGGCGGGGGCATTGTACCTATCACGGGAACGTCCCGATCCTCCAAGAAGATCGAATGGTAAGCCTGGAAGGTTGTTAGTCGCAGCGCAATTCATACAGCTCTGGCTAAACGTACAGGCATTGTAGGAGAATGGCGGACAAGGAGGTATGAGGGGGAGGACGATGGGGGGTGTTTAGGCAGGATGTCATTGCTTCCGCGTGTGGGGCTCCCCAGCTCATTGGTCATGTGACCCTGCCACTCATTTACGCGCGGATACGCGTCGGCGGCCTTTCGCGACCTTCCAGCTACCATTTCTTGTCTTTCTGTTCAACGCCAAATTTCCAACCACCATGTCGGACTTTGGAGACGAAATGGAAGTGGATGCGCCCACGAACGATGTGCAATTCAGCTCTAAAAATGCCAATGGAAAGAAGAGGACGGCCGCCGATCTTCCTGTCGAAGCTCAGGACAATTTACCATGGTATGAAAGCCGATTTTACAACTTCGTAGCGATGATTTGAGATGGGCAATGCTAATTCCGCTTTTTAGGGTAGAAAAATACCGCCCCAATAGTCTGGACGATGTCTCCGGTCATCAAGACATTCTTGCAACAATCAATCGATTCGTCGAAGCCAACGTGAGATCCTACGGCAATCCCTTTTGGAAGGATAAGATTGACACAGACTAGCGATTACCCCATCTTCTTCTCTATGGGCCCCCGGGCACCGGAAAGACCTCCACGATTCTTGCTCTCGCACGGCGCATCTATGGCACCAAGAATATGAAGCAGATGGTGTTGGAGCTCAATGCGAGTGATGACCGTGGTATAGATGTCGTCCGAGAACAGATCAAAACCTTTGCTAGTACGTCGCACCATATACGCTTGATGACATTCTGCGACCATTTGCTCATGCAAAATTTACCGCAGGTACCAAACAAATATTTTCGATGGCTCCTCAATCCGCAGACAACGCATCTCTAGCCGGATTCAAATTGATTATTCTGGACGAGGCAGATGCCATGACAGCTACCGCACAAATGGCTCTTCGACGGATCATGGAACGCTATACGGCCAATACACGATTTTGTATCATTGCCAACTATACACACAAGCTCTCCCCGGCGCTCCTGTCCCGGTGTACTCGATTCCGATTTAGCCCTCTGAAGGAAGCGGACATCCGCGTGCTTGTCGACATGGTGATTGAGAAAGAAAAGGTTCGCATCCAGCCCGAGGCGGTGGAGAGCCTGGTTACTCTCAGCAAGGGTGACATGCGACGGGCGTTGAATGTCCTCCAGGCTTGTCATGCAAGCAGTATTCCTTTACCATTACGGAATGCGCCTGACGCACCGCTCGCCGAACCCGAAACCATCACCAACGCGACTATTTACGACTGTATTGCGGCCCCTCATCCCTCCGATATCCAAGAAATCATGACCACCATTCTATCCACCAGCGACGTTACCTCTTGTCTTAACACTGTCAACACCCTCAAATCCACCAAAGGTTTGGCGTTGGCAGATATTCTCTCCGCTTTGGCAGACCAATTGCAGCAATTAGAAGTCCCCGCTCAGACCCGGATTACATGGCTCGAAGGTCTCGCCGAAATCGAATGGCGATTGTCGGGAGGAGGCTCCGAGACAATGCAGACCGGCGGGATGGTGGGCGTTGTCCGCAATGGTTGTGAATTAATGGGAGATAAGGCGGTGGCGTTAACATAAGTATGGAAAAAGTGCAACCTTGGGAGTTTTCAAGAGTTTTAATTTGATGTCTGACTCTGTTTCTGGCGTACGGCAGCCATAGTCCCGCATGACACAGAAGCCAACCCTCCACTAAATGTTGAATTGTTTATGATATCCTCATATCGAAGCTATTGGTTAGATCGACTCTGTATTGCACATTCTATATTCCTTTCTTCGGTAGTTTCTGCCTTGGCAAGAGCGGGCATAGGCGAGATCGGCCGTGGTGCTAGCAAAAGCCCGCAGTCCCAATTGGGCGCCCCGATACGATACGATCAAGCATGCCCGAAGACGCAACTAGATCCTTCAGAAAGCGGGGCTTGCATTCCCTGATACTTATCGGGGGGCTTTTGAGGGGCATGCGATTCTTTCTACTAATAGTTATCGATTCACTCGTTTACTCGGAGGGGTCGGGAGAATTTAAGAAGGCCTGGAAGGTCCATCTGGGGTCTCCGCGGGGCTTCAGAAGCGGTATCGCAGTGGGAATTAGCTAATTGTCAACGCTTCCTGCTGCTTCCCCCTCTTTTGATTACCTTTTCCGCGGAATCTCGATTAGCTCCCTTGTCAGTCGAGTAGCCTTTATCGCTGCCAGAACTAGCTAGTCCCATCCTCGTTTCTCCGCCAATGCGGTTGAATGTCGGTCCTCGCCGCCTCCATTATTGCTTGGCCATGGATGCGGAGAAAGTGACACATCTCACCCGCGTCTTTTCTACCAATAAGCATTGTTTACTTTCACGAGACCATGGTGGGTTGGACTAGGCCCGGGTCTAATACGTTCCAGAGAGGTAATCCCTTCCAGGGTTACCCACGCAAAAGCAAACATAAAAACCAAAGCAATATAAGTAGCGGAGCTCCTCCCGGCGGGTGGGTTGCTTTCTGTTTCCGCTGCCCGGCCATCACGTATATCTTCTGGACTTGAGATAGCACCATGCGCTCTTCCATTCAGTCTGGCCTTCTCTTGGCCACCCTCGTGGCTCCTGTAGTGTCGGCGGAGCGAGTGCTGGGGGGCTTATATCTTCACCCGCCATGGTGATCGGACAGCCAAGATCCTCGGCAACACCCAGTTGACCGACCTGGGTTATCGTGAAGTCTTTGATGCCGGTTCGTTCTACCACAACCGATACGTGGACTCGGACTCGGACAAGCACATTGAGCGTCTGAACGACACTTATGCGATAGCCAAACAAATCAATGCCAGCGCCCCAGCTGATGCGGTACTGCAGAACTCGGCCACTGGTTTCCTCCAGGGTGTCTACCCCCCCCGTACCAAATGCTAGCCAGAAGCTGGGTAACGGGACTACCGTGACTACTCCTCTAGGGGGTTACCAATTGATTCAGCTCTCCAGCGTTGCCTCTGGAAAAAATAGCGAGGACTCGAGCTGGTTACAGGGCTCCAGCGGTTGCAACAAGGCGACACTTAGCAGCGATGCGTACTACGCATCCGACTCATACAATGACCTGCTGAAGTCAACCCAGGGTTTCTACCAGTCCTTGACCCCTATGCTTAACTCGACCTTCAGCTCATCTGATATCAGCTTCAAGAATGCCTACACCATATTCGACTACCTGAATGTGGGCTACATCCACAACTCCTCTGCCGAGTTCCCCCATGAGGCAGATTACACTGCTGAAGTGCGTCAGCAGTTGATCTCTCTCGCTGGCACGCATGAGTTCAACCTGGCTTACAATGAGTCAGACCCGGTGCGTGCCATTGACGGTGCAGTCTGGATCGGCCAGATGCTGTCTAGTTTCAACGAGATCATTGAATCCAAGGGCACCAAGTCTATGCTGAATGTGCAGTTTGGCTCGTATGGCACCTTCATGTCCTTTTGGGGCTTGACGCAGATGCCAGCTGCCTCTGTCAACTTCACTGGAATTCCGGATTACGCCTCTTCCATGTCCCTTGAGCTGGTGACCAACGCAACCGGTACCGATTTCCCTTCAGAGGATGAGATCAGTGTGCGCTTTATGTTCCACAATGGCACCATGACCGGCTCGGATGAACCCACCGTCTTCCCCATGTTTGGACAATCTGAGACTGTCCTTCCTTGGTCCGATTTCTCTTCCCAGGCTAGCAAGGTCGGCGTCACCTCAAACGGTCAATGGTGCGCCATGTGCGGCAACACTGATGGCAAGTGCGCTTCTTTCGCCTCCAGCTCGGGCTCTGGATCTGCGAGCGCTTCCCACACAGCCGGCTCGGGCGGTATGTCTCGTGCTGTGGCCGGTGTTATCGGAGCCATGGTGACTCTGGCGGTGGTCCTGGGCTTGGAGGCTCTGTTCTTCCTGGTCGGTGGATTCCGCATTGCCAAGCGTAACAAGGGTGGTCCTGGCATGGGCGCGGCTGCCGAGGTGGCGGACGACAAGTCATTAAATTGACACTACCCACCACGGGCGCGTGTAATGGGCATCGGCTGCATACTCCTGTGTAGACTGATGCCTCCCAAGTCTGAGACTGGCTTTCGGGTACGAAAACGTTGTAATGACTGAACGGGTAAACATGACGATAATGCTAGATTCCCCTTTAACGATAGTCGGTCCCGTAATAATTTGGCCCTCCAGGCCGTATCAATCTTATCAATCTCCATGGACGGAGAATATCGTCGTACTGAGTAGCACGTGAAGTACCGAGGCCACGCTGCGCGGCTGCTGCACGCCTATTGCCGGCGGCGGCGCCGCTAAGTATAGGTATCCTAGTCCCAACACTCCTTGGCGAATATGCACAACTTTTCTTATCGTAGATACCCAGAGGTTTTTTCGTTTTGGAACAGAGTTCCATATACTAAAAAAAATCCTCCAGCTACTAAGTAGGACACTAGTATATTTGGCCTTCTCTGCCTGGAAGGGGACTATTTTGCCCTCTCTTCCCAGATGTCAAAGGCCACCCCCCTCGTCTCCGAAAGAAGCTTAGTCTGTAAAGCTCTGAGAAGATATGATTGAGCGCTCATTCTCGTAGGTAGATTCTGTGTAAACATGTGGATTGGTACCAGCAGGATGGAGTTGACAAGAGCTTGAGCCACTTGGAGATGGCCAGATACCACCCACGAAACCATCATCTACACGTACCAGCTGGTAGACACTAGACTCTTTCGAGGGTGAGGGGTGGAAACATACGACTTCTCCTAGCGTCGTCAGGCCGGAAATTAAAGCGCATGGACCGCTCAAGTCTCCATCTCCCGCTTTCTCCGCTTCTCTTCCCTTGCAAACCTTCCGCCCAACAATGCCACGCCAGCAGATCAACCTCGAGCCTTATCGCGATGAGATCGTCACGCTGTTCCAGCACGGACTCAGCAGTGACTCGATCGGTCGCCTCCTGGAAAGTCGCTACAACATCCAAGTCAAGGAGCGCACCATCCAATCACGGCTTCGAAAGTGGGGTATCCGTAAACGACACCGCACCACCACCGCAGATGAGACCTTACACGCGCGGATCAGGATGCTGTTCATGCAAGATAGACTGACCGATAAGGCAATGCTCAAGTTGTTACGGCAAGACGGCTACGATATCTCCGAACGCACCCTCCGCCGCCTGCGGTTCCAGCTGGGACTCCATGCCCGGACATCTATGGACCAGCCACCGGGCCCTGTCTTGGTGGTCGCCAAGTAAGACCTTGATCCCCCATCTGGGCTTTTCCGGGCGGGGGGGGGTTGAGAAGCTGTTTAAACAAGGGGCCTGGGGGGGGTGCTGTATTCCGATGTATTTCTCCTTCATTTATTTTCCCAATGCGCCAAACCACACTCTCGCCGAGGAGCACTATCTTTCCCTATGCGACAACCTCAATCCTTATGCGACGAAACGAAGCCTTGAATCACCAAGCCCCTAATTCTTGCACCCTGACTCCTGCATGCCGTTGACCTGGAAGCGTGTTTTCTGACCGAAGCCAAAGTTCGACTGACCCTACGTCCGATTGGCAACACCACCCCCACCTGCTATCACTTTACCCTGTCATCGTGATTCCAAAACGACACCCCCAAAGCGAAACTTCATTGGGCAACCGGAGATCCCCAGCATTCAATACCGCTTGCGACCGCCAAAAGCAACGATTTGACCTTGCCATGACGCACCGACTATGAACGGACCTGTGTTGAAAATAGCCGCTCTGATTATATGCCAAACGCGACACTGTGATACCGATATCTTTGGAATCTACCCTAAGAAAGTACCTGTATGGATGTCCCATTGGGTTCGTAGACTCACCGCGGATGTAATATAAGACTGTCATGACCTGTTGGCATTTGCATAGCGATTCAATCACATGAATGTTACCTCGGCTTTCGTTGCATAACACCCATGCAAAGTATATTATGTAGGAGGTTTTGATATCCCGCCTATGATATCCCAAACTATGACGCGCTGGACACTGTACTACTATGAGGCGCGTGTGCATACGAAAGGCAGACGATATCCTTCATAATTGTCGTCCTTCCGGGCCCATGCTACCTTACGGCTCAGGCGCATGCCATAAGAATCGGAGCCTACTCTGGCGCATTCCAGGAGTCAGTCATTATGGATTGATCACTATGGGTGGTGGTATCATAATCAAATATTTGTTACAATCCAGCCCGGTTTCCATATCCATTCGCCCTATACGAAGAACATCAAAAACGCCGTAAACCACCGGGTGTATCATTTTACTACCTTCTTCCTTCTCTCATGCCTTCCGGCGCCGCTTGGCGCTCCCGCCGTCTTCCGGCGCATCCCCCGTTTTCTCCTCTAGGATGGTGGCGGGACTGGTCGCCTCGCTGTCGGTCAACTGCTCGACCACACGGCCGGAGCGGTTGTTTGGGGTCTCGACCTCTCCTCCATATCCCGAATTTTCATAGCCGTAGTTGTATGCCGCATTGTCCGACCCTTGATTGGAATTGAATAGGTCACCGTCATCAGGGATATGATCGAAGTCAAAGAGATTTTCGGTATCGTCATTGACTTGTGCATGGGGGTCGGGTGGGTAGGTTGAAGGATCATGACCCTGGGTAGAATATTTCTTGTCGTCATTGGGGTCGCCAAGATCGGTAAAGTATTCATCGTTAAAAATTTGATCCAGGTCCAGCGGCGGAGGCGGAACGTTGCCGTCTTGATCGAGGCCGGGAATAGCGCCAGTGGGACTCAGCGGCTGAAGCAGATTGGTAAGGTTTTGAACTGAGCGATCTTGCTCAGCTTGCATCTTCACCAGATTGTCGATCTCGTTCCGCGTGCTTGCCAGGCGACCGGAATAGTTCTGTGGCATTGGCGGCGGGTTGGGCGTGATAAGAGCATTGTTCGAGGAGTCCCCGTTCCCGGGGTCAGACGGATTGGTCTCATTTGCCATGAGCCGAAGCATATCCGCACGCTGGTTCGGGGTCAAAGGAACATTTCCACCGGATGTCTCAAGAGAAGAAAGCACGTTGGGAAACTCGGAGAAATTGGTAGGGATTCCATTGCGGGCATTCGAGTTTTGAATGACGGACATGATATCCTGCTGGAGGAAATTCTCGTCGTTCTGGTCCGGATTCTGGCCTTGGTTCTGACTTTGTTTCCGCGGGGAATGGCAGTGCTGTTATCAAATACCTCCTCCACGTGGCCCGGGTTATGCGTGCCTGGGGGACGGGTATGGCCCCGAGACCGTGTCTCGTAGGGCACCCCTCCGGCTGAAGGTGACAGGGTAGTGGCACGGGTCTCATCCGTCCTCGGGGGAGCTTTCAACAATAATGGCTGTTTCTTCATACCTCGCTGTCCTGTTGGACTGGAGAGGCCAGCCATGGAACTCAAAGAGAAATCATCGACATCAACAATGCCACCCTGGTCGCCTGAGATAGCACCAGCAAAAGAGTTGGCAATATTCTGGGGTCCTTCTTGTCCCTGCAAACTGCGATTGTAGACAGTTGCAAGGAAAGTCAGAATAGCATTGATTGAGTTTTCGTGGCGAGAGTGTTGCTCTTGGAAGTTGGCTGCTTGAGCATAGAGTTGCTCATGTTCCTTGCGCAGTCTCGTAATGGTTGTCGATATGACCTGCTGCTGCTGACGAATTGCCTGGAGCTCGCGATAGACTCCTGCCAGTTGGTCCTTTTGCATAGGCGTGTCTGCAGAGAGACTCAACTGCTGAGGGCGAGCTCGGGTCTCACGAGGCATGGTGGCGTTATCATCCCCGAAATCGTCCACTTCATTTTCCTCCGCGTCCTCGGTTTTAATTTCGAGGTCCGCTTTTGCTTCCTTTGCTCCCGTGGCCCGAGGCATTCTTCGGCTTTTGAATCAGCCAAAGCAGATCTGGGTGGCCTCGTTTGAAGAAGGGGTTGGTGTATTCGCTGGGACTCTTGTTCTTTCGCTCGCTCGCTCGCATGGAATTGTCTGAAAGCCCAACCTTCTTATGAAATCCATACATATTGAGTTGTCGAACGAATGACGCATAATTGTTGTGCTTAAAAAGCTCGGGGATCAAAGTTCTCGCGAACTCATCCTCGTCTAACACAATGAAGGAATTGCCATCATCGGACCATCTAATCAGATCGGTATTTTTCGATTCATCCAAGAAACTAATGAGATCAGTCAGTGTCGGCTAGAAAGATCATTGCGAGAGATGACCATACCTGCTCAGCTTCTGTACGAAGGGGGGGAATCTGCTTGCGCTTGGCCTGTGCGTCCTGCTTTGCAGCCATCGCCCGTTGATAAAGCTCCTCCAGACTTTCGCCCCAAACACCAGAGTCACCCGACCCGGCCGTATTATTTTGGTCTGGGTATGTCGCCGGTGGCTGCTCATATGCACGGTTCCGAGTGACCAATTGATTTGGTTGTTGACGTCGAGTCAACTGGGTAGACGGAGTACCTGACCCAGCCAGCTCCTGTGATGCTGCATATCCTGCCGGGTTGTAGGTAGAGGGGTCAGCATAGGAGGACGTATTGATGGCATTTGGAGAGGTGTTTTGGCCCCATTGCAAAAATTGGTCGTTGGATAGTTGGGAGCCGGGATTCGCGGCTCCGTAGTTCGGGGCGATATTATGGGCAGCAGGTGCTGTCCCTGGCGCGGAGCGTTTGCGCGTAGCTCCTTGGGAACTCATGATGAAATTGATGCCGCTCTAATTACTTGAGGGGGTAAGATCGCGGCGAAGGTGGGGTCGCTGAAATTGTGATACTGCCCGGGTAGCAGAACGCAGACGAAGCGACGAGGTTTGAGGGAGTGAAAATTCGAAGAGATAGGTGTGGAGGTTTCCGTGAGCGCCACAAGTTAACACATGCACTGAGAACAGTTCATGAATATCGTATGAGGCGTCGAGTCACGGCAATGATTTGGTCGTCGGGAATCTGGCAAATAGCCCGACCGATTGCGGTCAGGGACTTCGATCACTTGAATATTCGCCAGGGAGAGGTATCGCACGCAAAATATGACCAGAAGGAACAGATCCGACGCAAATCGCCAGGGGGGCGCAGCGAATAAAGAACGGGAGGGACGCTCGGTAGACACCCAGGCTTAATAGAGGCTGACTGAGACACCACATTCAGGAAGGCTCGGGGATCCAACAAAGGCTCCAAGGGCGAATACCCCTAGACAAGGCAATTGCGGATGGGAGCGATCGGGCGCGATCAGCAGAGATGGAGAGAAGCGCAAGAACAAGAAAACAGCCCACGGCTATCGTCGATGAGGTCAACTAACTCTCTTTGCAGGGGACCGGCGCTGTGATTGGCGGGATGTCAGAAGGCGGTCAGCACCGTAATTGATCCTTATACCATGTACTTGTTGATAGGCATTTTGCGGATGGGGTACCTTCTGGGATGGTACATCCTGATTACTTGGAAAATTAAAAGGTCTCTCTAGCGACAAGATTTCATGTTGGCCCATCGGCTTTAAGCCGCATCACCCACTAAGATTTGGAACTCGCGGCGTAAACTTTCCCATTCAGACGGCTCTGATTCCACAAAGCTTTTGATTTTTCCGGGGGCCTCAAGATCTTCAATCATACGCGATGAGTCCTTAGTACCATTCAACACCACTGTGTTACCTAGGCTCATAACCAGCATATAGAGAGCAGCCGCAGGGGTGATCTCAACACGACCCGCCAGGTGCTGGACAGGGGCTGATCGCGCCAGAGTTGGATTAGCCGTTAGTGTCCAGAAGCTTTGGTATATGATTTGATGGTCACGACAAAAGGCGCGGAGTGGAACGTCGAAAGCAGTTTCGCCGTAAAACCGGTTTTGAACAACTGCCGGCTTCACTTTGACTCGAGGCGAAGAACATAGCGCGCTCAACATGGGTAACGAGCAATTAGAGATGCCCAAATGACGAATTCGAGTGGGCACATAGGTCTCCAGTGTGTTCCAAGCGTCGATAGTTAGCTCAAGAGTACGTAGTGGCGAATGCAGGACCACTGTATCAATGTAGGATATGTCTACGCTCGAGGGGTCTACCGAACAGCGCAGATTAGTCAAGGAAGATCTGATTGACGCATGAACTTGCCCCGCCACTGATGCGTTTGGATCGTACGGCATGTTATCTGGATCCTGCGCAGACAGTGGGCTAAACTTAGTTTGCACCTGCGGCAGTCAGCGACTGGCCATATCGAGACCTGTCGGAATTGCACTCACATATAAGTCTTCTCGCCGCACAAGGTTGTCAGCAATAGCCTTACGGATGCCGTCGCCGACGGAGGGCTCTTGATAATGGCGTGGCTGGGCAGCAGTGTCGATGCCACGGAATCCAGCCCTGATTGCTGAATAGACAAGATGTGCAGTCCGCTCTTTCTTCCAAGCTGTGCCATAAAGGTAGACCGGGATGGAAGTGGGTGCTGAATCGAGGGTGAACCGCAGGGTTTGAGACTCCCAGATCTTGCTCATAGCTCGAGTCATAGTAGTAATGCTGGCCTCTCACTATTTTCTCGGATCGTATCTCGGTGGATTGTCCTCGTGGGCCTGGAAGCTGTTCTTGCAATTCGAACTTGAGTACAACGGTTGGAGTACAAACGCAGAGAGGCCCACTGGAAGTGGCGCTCCCGCCGAAACCCCCGACCTGACTAAGGGGATCAGTCCCCTTGGATTTTAGACATTCTACTCGAAATTGTCAGGTTGTTCAGATGTTTCGATTCAAGGTTTTGTCTTATATTTTCCTGGTACGTGGGGTTGCAAAGCCTTGAAGATCTCTTCCAACATTTTCAAGGACATTCTCGAATGTTCACCCTGAATATACGAAAGCCCCTGCCAGTGGTTATTGTTGTAGTCGGTCGCAACTAGCGGTCATACTACTATTACTACTGGTCATGTCAAGTTTGATTTTCGAATGTTGAGCTTAGCAGATGCCAGCTACTTCAACTTCATAGGCGAACCAAATAGACTCCGCCACTAGCAGAGCCGCCTAAAGAGCATAGCATACTCATTTGAGCCTGGAGGGGTCACGTCATCGCCACCGGCAATTGTAAGACACCACGCTCTTTCAGGAAATCGGCCTCCTAGTAGCGACTCCGAGGACGTTCACGGGTCGTAGTTGTATTGTACTTAGGCCATTGGCAATGGATTGTTTGCTTTGGATCATCCTAGGTAGACTTCTAGAAGTATGCTGACAGACATGTTGTATAGAAAGAAAAACATCAGGGTATCTATTCATAACAGGGCTTTATCCAATACGACACGTATATCAAATAAATGTACAAGGAAACCCAGATTATATTACTGCAGGATTATTTGTCGCGGGCGGATCCTCCGGTTTCGAAACGTCGTCAAAGGTCGTATCGCTAGTTGGATCGTTATCATCTGTGCCAGATCGCTGAGGGCCATTTTCTACGTCAGAACTGATAGGGGGTGGATTGCCGGAGGACCCGTCGAAATCCAAGTCATCCACTGGTTCACTGATATCAATTCCGTACAGATTCCAGTAACATAGCTCTTTCTCCGGACAACTTCATCTTCGTCAGTAGGTGTCAAAAGATGCGACCCGAAGGCATATGACTTACGAAATAGCGTCCTGTCCAAAGATGATATGCCACAAATACTCGAAAACACGACCGCTCGTTTCATCGTCAAGCTGGGTTTCCAGAAGCCAGCGATGGTACTGTTGGTAGTCACTCAGTGGCCGTGCATGCACTTGCTCTCTTGTGACGACGAACTGGGCACAGCACGGTGTACCAACTTCGTAAGGAATATCGGTGTTATTGAAGATTCCAATCCAAGCACCTGCAAATGCGATTTCTGTGGTGCGCCCTTCCAGTTGACGGAACGGTTGAACTTCATTTGGACACCCAGGACCCCAGTCGCAACGTAGGTTGGCATACCCCACTTTCTTGACATAGTCCAGTTGTAGTCGCTTAACCGACAAAGCATTATCTTGCTCTTCGAACTCCACGTGGTAGCTAAATTGATGGGCGTGCAGGAAGACCATGTACTGCGGAAGCTTGTCGTAGTTGTCGACGATATACTGTAGATAAACGTTGCTCTCCTTGCCTTTATTTTCTTGAACGGTCAGATCTGCGTTGGGATCATTGACCGTGTACACGGCATGCTGCCATCTGTCAAACCCAAGTCAGCTTGGTCTCAAGACCTTCACCGCACGACTGGCGAATGGAAGGTGGGATGTCGCAGAGGGAACCGAGGGGTGGCTTACTCTGGTAGCTCTTCATCCAGCCAGTCAGTGTCTTCCCAAGACATCTTTCCAAGAACCACGACACGATCAGTCATGGGTGACACCGTGGGCCTTGGCGGCTTTGTCCTTTGCTTCTCCTTCTTCTTCTTCTTCTCCTCTTCCTCTTCCTGCTGCGCCATCTCCAGTTCCAACTGGAGCTCCTCTAGATAATCATCCAAGTACCAATCGAACGGCTGGGGCTCCGGAACGTCGACGGGGATCTGCTGTGGAACAAAGTCGGGTTTCGGCAACGCCGGCTTTGTCGGTTCCAGCCAAGTTTTCGATGGCGCTGGCGTGGGATCATACCGCGCAGACGAAACACGACCCGAGACCAGCTCGATGTGTGCGCCGTCTTCATTCACGACATAATTAGCGACTTGCGCTTTGGCGGACTGCCATTGCTCGCCGATCGAGTTCAGGTGCTGCTTCAAGACGAAAATGGCGCCAACGAGCGCAATGGCGACGGCCACGCGAAATGGGATTCGCATTCTCGCGCCGGCGTCGTCTGAAAGAGGCGAAAGTCCAAAACTTCCGACCCACGAGGGACGTCGAGAACTTTAAAGCCAGAGCCGCCGGATCTTGGAGTTCTCTTTGGCCCCACAGTACTACGTTTACACTCCGTACACCGGAACGCCTCAGCCGCTCGTCATTGAGACCCACGAACCAGATAAGGTGAGATTCGAGGCTTGGCTTTTCCTCCGAGGCAGAACTTCAGCGCCAAGTTTGAAAGAGCGAGAACATACGAAAAGTTTTATAGAAAACCATGAGGGAAAAGGCTCTTGAGACCGGATGACCCCGAGACAACCCATTGCGGAAAGCGATAAGCTGGTGGGGCGCAATCTCGTCAGCCCATCTTACATGGCGGGCTGTAGCTCGTTTCAGGCCTTTACGCTGCCGTTGCAGGCTTCATTGGTTGGTCAACCCTCCAAACCGCCTGGAGGCCACTCTGGCATTTGCTGATCAGCGACAATGTCGTCAAGATCGCTGATTGCTTTGCAACCCCATGGGGCTAGATGTATAGGATTTAGCAGAACGCCCGACGGAAAGGTTGCAGAGAGTCTTCCTTTTGACCCCTGATCGGCATCGAAGTAACCCGGTTTTTTTCGTTCCCTCTACTAGTACGGAGTATACTGATGCCGTGTGAAATAGATTAAAAGACCGGCCCAAGTGGTGAACCCAAGGTCCGGTGGATTTAAGCTTCGATCTGCCCTGACAGAGTTCGTCATAGATTTTTATCGTCGTCGTTCGTTATCTAAGGGTAGAGGACGGCGAAATTCGAAAAGAATGCAGGGGAAATATATGTGGATGGTAGATCGCAGTCGGATTACAGCCCCGACGGGCTTCTTCAAGTGGCAAAGGCTTGGAATACTAGTAACTCCATGCGAGAGGCTCGGAGAATTCTGGAAACTTAGATCAATGTACACTCGTGGGAAAATATATCACGACATGGGCATCTGGACACTGCCCAAGAAGCAAAATACCAGTAGTCCGTCGTGGGTAGACATGCAAACCTTCAAATGCACTGGCATGAGGGAGTGCCTCAGATACGAGAGCAGTGGTAGGACCTTAGTTAATAGGCCTTAGTAAGTACGGAAAACGCTCGAGTATCCGAGCCTTTGAGACAACGGAACTATATTCCCCTGCAAAATCAGATGGCGGCAGAGCCATGCATGGACGAGTCAGGGTGTTAGGGCCACATATCCTGCATCTTTTTAGTTGCCGGGCTCTGACTCTTGCTACGAGATGGCCTGTGGTTGCCCTCCAACTGGTCAAGAGCGGCGTCCCGAGCCGGATGATGCAAGCTCCGTGAAACCATGATGCTGGTGACGGCTTGCGGCATTTGAGAATGCTGGGACTCTCTGGTGATAATAGAGTTATTGTGAGTACACAGGGCCGGTATAGATAGGAATTGGACCCCGAGTCAAATGAAACATAGCTCTAAGTTACAGTCTGGGATAGGATACAAGAGAGGATGCCCCTGGCTAAGTGTCCTGAACTCCTAACACCGGAACGGGATGATCATACGTATGGCTCGGGCCTGACCGGTCCGTGGTGGATTCGTAGCTTTCTTCAAGATCTGGATAGGAAGACATCCATTCTTCATCGGTACCGCCAAATGATCACGTATTTCACCAATAGCATGGCCGGAGTATGGCTGAGGCACGCCAGTTGATTCAAACCCTTACCTGTTCGAGTGTTTCCAAAAATTGGGACTGGTGTTCCTAGAGAAATTGGCTAGGCAGAGTTCGGAGCTCGGTTCTAAACCCTCTGTACGGAGAAAGAGCCGTGAAGGGAGGCAGTAGCTCGGCAATGAGAAATAGGGGGGGCCCCATTAGGAGATGGGCGAAAGATACGGAGTAGAGCGACGATGACCTCACGTGTATGACGGCGCTCCAGGGATTCTTGGGGCCCTTTCTGGATCAGGGGGCAAGCTCCGGAACTCGAAGCTCAAGATCCGCAGGTTACCTTCTCCTTGGTAAGTTCCACCAGTCGACCCGAACGCGCGATTAGTATTCCCCATTATTTTGAATTTGCGATAGCTGAACGCCGCTCCACCAACTACAGGACATGGGTATCCGACGTGCCCACATTACAGACCTTCTAACCTGCCTCTAGCGGATTCTAGTTGGTGCCTAGCCAGACCCAGTGACATTGGCAGAAGCCGCTAGGACCGGGGGAAGCGCGGATCGTGGAGTCTCGGCGTGAATTTCATTTCCGAGTGGGCCTGGCATTGCATAGCGTCATGCGCCGTCTATCACGTAGTTCCCAGGCGCCCGGGGTGAGGATCCCTAGGCCATCCCGTTAAGTTCAACGATTGGGTAGACGATGGGAAGCTGTTGGGCCATGGGGCCGAAAATAGGCAATGGCGAATGGACTCAGTGGCGAACCATTCGTGTTTCTAGATCGTGCGAGGAGAAAGATCCGCTCTGCACGCTAATCCCAAACGGAGTTCGAACACAGACGAAAGGAAAAGGGGGGGAGCTCGGGGAGCTCTGAAAAGAAAAAAGGGAGTGCTCATTTCCCCCAGGGCCTTTAGCTTGACTTTAGGCTACCGGTAGAGAGAAACATGGCAGCAGAGAGATGATATCACAGTCGTCATTTTACAGGGAGGATGGAAGGGGGAGGGGGGAAGCTATGGCCCAAGAAAAGGGCACCCCTCTGCAGGCAAAGATGACAGGCATAGCATAGCGGGCGCACGAGGCAACGGGCGCCCCGAAGAACTGGACGGATCAGGTGTCAAACGTAAACTTGAAACTGCTTGTGCGGGATCTACCGTGTAGCCCAAGCGTTATGCAGCAAAGGCTTTATTAGAGACGACCCATGGAAGATACAAGACCATTGACCGGGAGAAATAAGGGACGTCTCCGGCTGTTGCATGGCTCGGAAATCTGCCGCAGCGGAGACCTTCACAATTAATTGGGGATGCGGGCTAACGGTACGGAGTACGGAGTAAGGGTACCGGGAAGGAGTAGGAGCATCGAGTTATGCGAAGCTACGAGTTGGAGATCAGGTGTGCCGTGTGACCAAATACGTCGTAATGGTTTATCGACTGCGCCTCATACCTCGAGCTTGAATCATAGGACATCATTATTGGACACACGAGGCCAAGAAACACTGGTAAACCGGGGACAAGTACGGATAGTTTTTGGGAACGATCATGTCAGGCCCTCAAGGGGCTTCTCCAAAAATCTAGATTAATCTAGACTAAAGCTCTCCTCAGATGGTCGGACCGTCCCTGGAGAATTGCACGAGAGTTGGTCATTACACCAAAGAAAAGCTGACGATCCCTTCCGTGCGGTTCCTTCTTCTCTACGAGGATTGATTCCTCGGACTTGAATGTGTGGATGGTCTGTTGGCAGCGATTCTCAGGCCAAACACCCCTCGTAAGACTCCTCCCACGAGTCCAAGCCCTTATCCATCGTACTTCGGGCCCGAGATAGCTCCAGGCTAGTAGTTGGGATTAGCAGGGACAAATCGGGGAGATCATCGGGGCTTTCCAGGGGCAAAGAAGATCGAGAATCCCATTGGATGTCATCAGTCTTTTTTTGGGTTTCTATTCCTGTGCTTAATTTCTCTTTCATTACGCAGTACGGAATCCATCTGAAGTCAAACCCTGGTTTCTAAAGACGGCGGTCTGGATCCCTGCGCCTGTATGCAGCTCGAAGAGGAGTCGAAGTAGAATCGAGGCTCCCATTCCTGGACCGCTTTAGCTAAACTCTGTTCTACTTGAAAGACGCACAGGCAAGAAACTCTTCGCATACTTTCTTTTTCCCTCATTGCCTCGTATCAACCCGAACCAGCATCGGCACAGGCAAGGAACCAGACCTCCAGAAAGGCCACGAGAGGGTCCTGATGTCCAGTTCGCATAGAACGTAGACTGACGACCGCCAGTTGCTCCCTTACTCCGAAATCTACGTTTTTTTCTCTTGGCGGGAGTGGATCATCCCACATCCGCGTTTCCCATTTTCTCTTTTCCTCCCCCGCCTTCTTAGTGAATTCCTTTCTTCCACCAGTCTTCAATCCGATCGGGGCCCTTGTTTTTAAATTTTTTTTTTTTTATTTTCCCCCCTCCCCTCTGAAAAGAAAAAAAAAGTAAATAAAAAAAAGACCTTACCCGATACTCCTGTCACTGCCCCTCCCCACTGATTACCCTCTCCCCCTTTTCAACGTGCACGACCTTTGCATTTCCCCCCCCGTGAGCGATTTTGCTGTTTCATAAAAACCGGTCCACCGGTTTTCCTCCCCTTCTCTTCTCCCTCCATGTCCGAATAGCTTCGTGCGACCGGCCTTTTCGACCTACGTGTGTGCCTGTGGTGTGGATTTACAGCCTACATTCCTCGGCTTTTCGCCCAGGATTCCTCAAATGAGTTATCAACAACCGGACATGTATCACGATCCCTCGGCGCGTTCCCCTGGTTCCCAGCGTCACCAACAACCTCTCCACCGTCAACCTTCTCGTCAGTTTGATGCGTACGGTCCGATGCCTGTGAACCCCTACGAGGACCAGATGGCTCGCTACGAGTCCGCCCGTCTCGAGCGGTTAAACCCCTCTTTGCAGAATAACTCGTACGCTTACGACATCTCCGGCTCGCAGACCTGGAACCCCAATGGGTTTGCCAACGCTCAATCCCTCGGTGGTATTCGCTCCGCCTCTGCTAGCTTGAAGCCCGCTGCCCGGGGTCGTACGGGCCTTCCTACGGTATGTTGACTGTTTTGTCTGAACTTGTGGGCAGGGCCTTCCCGTCCACATTTCCCGCCGCCCCTCCCCTCTCTCCCTCCTCCCGACACCCTCAACACTGCTAACATAACCTTCATGCAGACCTGGCTCGATCAGCAACCCGGCATGCCTAATGCCTTTTCCAACTTGGGCCCGGGCCCCATCCAGAGTGCAGCCATGCGCCCGGAAGCCTCCGCTTCATCCGACGGCGATGACGAGCTGATTCCCACCGCCATCGTGATCAAGAATATCCCTTTTGCGGTGAAGAAGGAGCAGCTGGTGCAGTTGATGACCGAGTTAAACCTGCCTCTGCCCTATGCCTTCAACTACCATTTCGACAACGGCGTATTCTGGGGTTGGCCTTTGCCAACTTCACCTCTGCCGAGGAGACCGCGACCGTGATCGAGATGCTGAACCACTTTGAATTGCAGGGCCGAAAGTTGCGGGTCGAGTACAAGAAGATGCTGCCCCTGCAGGAGCGTGAGCGGATTGAACGAGAGAAGCGAGAGCGACGCGGCCAGCTGGAGGAGCAGCACCGCCCCATGGGCAACCCCCAGCTCCAGACCCAAAGTTCGATGTCTTCTCTGCACTCTGCCATCCCAGCTACTTCGCCCTCCCCAGTGTCCCAGCGAGGCCAGAAAATTGGTGAGTTTCGATTGTGCCCTTCCCTCTCGCGATACGCGAAAATAATCCAAGGGGCTAATCGTTGCTTGCTGTTCTTAATTTATAGATGTGGATTTGAACGATACCCAGACCTTATCTTACTACTCCCAGCTTCTTCTCTTCAAGGAGGATACCACGCGTGACTCGGTCATTTTCCCTCCCAACCTGACCCCTTCCCAGCGACGCACGGTTCACACTCTGGCTCACAACATGGGGTTGGGCCACGCCTCCCGTGGCAACGGTGATCAACGCCAGGTCCAAGTATACAAGGTTGCTCCCGGCACTAATGTGAGCCCGCCCTTGTCCTCTATTCCCCCGGCTGGTCCTTCCGATAGCTCTCGCCGCGGCCTCAACCGCGCGGCCACTATTGATTTTAGCGAGGCCCGCAACGAAGGTGGCCCAGGCGCTTTCAACACTCTGCGGGGCCAGAACTCCGGCTTCCTTGGTGTGATGGATTCGCCGGGCAACTTCGCCAACACCCAAAACCTGCGAGCCGCCAAATCATTCGCTGATTTGCGCTCGTACACGCCTTCCCCGGTCCCCTCTTCTGCCAGTTTCCCCGCCGCCCTCCAATCCAACGGAGCTCGTCTCCAGTATGAGGGTGCCCCGACCGGCAGCTCCAACACCCCGACTTTGACTTCCGCCCCGTCCGGCTCTTCGCTGGGTATCCAGCGTGACGATTTATTGGTCAACAGCCTGGGAGGCCTCTCGTTGGGCACCGGTATCGGTGGCCCCAACTCGAGCCCCCGGCGATTGCGTGGTATGTTTTCTTGGGAGCAGGACAGCCAGCCCTCGACCGCAGGTACCATTGGCAGCAATCGTGGAATGGGAATCGGGTTTGACACCGCGCAACAGGAGCGCATGCCGATTCGCCAGCCGCGTGGCCCGACTCCCGAGAAGGGCACCGGTTTCCGCCGTCAAAACGGCCACCAGGCCCGCGGTAGTGACGAGCTTCGCGCCAGCTCGGGCGTTGAGATCATCGTGGAGTAAACGAACCCCAAGAAAATCCCAAAAAACCGATGAAAAACGATGGCGAACCGACCTCCCTCTCCCACGCCTTCTCCTCCTCATACCCCCATGTTACTTCAATTTATTTTTCCTGCCAGCATCCGACTGCTTCGCCGCGAAACGAATACGACTTGTATCACGAGGCCTTGTTCTGCGACATTACCGGCTTACGATTCGATGAGGGATGACGAGATGACCAAAAAAGACCAGAAAATATTTACTGTTTCGCTGATCTAGCCAAGTTTAGACGTTTATTTTGGGGCAGCCCAGCAAATCCACGACCGTTGGAACGCTATTTGTCACCTGTTTCTTCGTTTTTTTTTTTACTTTTCGCTTTCTTTCATTTTTTTCTCCCCTGCATCAACTTTCTCGTGAGTTGCACTTTCAACTTAACCCGAGTCAACCATTGCAGCTTGTTTGTTCTTCTCTTTCTTTTTTTCTAACCTTCTTTCCTGGTTTTGTTTCACCCTGCGGGCGCTTGCAAATTTCAATGCCTTGTTTTGTGGACCTGACTGCAAACGCTGGAGCGGACCACGACCCCTGCCGCTTGGTGGACGTGGGAACGCATACGAAGAATGACCAAAAGACCCTGCCGCCCCGGCAGGAGATACGACCATATCAGCATTTGCATATTCTTGCCTGTTTTACTCGTTGTACATGGGGCATGTTGCATGTAATGTCTTGGCCCCTTTTTTCCCCTTTTTTTCCTTCTCTTGATTTCTGTGCCCCCTCTCGCCCCTAATTTTTCTGCACCAATATCTCTGTTGGCCCCGGGACGGCGGATATCTCTACCCTTTGTCATCTTTTGCTCGCTTCCATGCTTCAACGTCTGAACTAGAGGGTGGTCTGTCTGGCAACACGTGTGGCGTAATGATCACAATTTAAGGGCTCCTTTTTCATCTTATCCCGTGCCTACCGTGCCGTAGGCCAATCGGTCTCTCCTGGTGTGCTCCGATCTGACGCTAGCAGACAAGACAGCTCAATATCTAAATATATTTCCAATCAGGCGGTTCCTGCACCTCTTGAGGGATATGCTTGCTGTTTGCTATCTTGTACCGGGGGTCTTCTCCTCGACGTCCCGAGAATATGAAAGTCAATGTACCTTGTACTTTTTGACTTTTGATCTGCCGACAGAGGTCTCATGGTATTAGTAGGAAGGACCCTAGTGCCGTAGAAATCACTTGAGCTGGCACATCCAAGTTGTAGAAGCTCACCGCTGGTATAGTAAACGGTTGCTACACGTAACGCGCCGTCTTATCGCCCTTTTCCCTTCAAACTGTTAAGGCGAGGCAAATAGATTCTCCTTGTCGTCATTTGAATATGCCGACAGAACACAGGGAGCTATTCTCTCCAACACACGGGAGAAGGGACGGCATGACTCGACTTTCAGATCGGACCTCTTCAGCAGCCTCTCGAATTTACCCAAGTTTATATCGAGTACCTTTACCTAGGATTGACTTATCATTGACAACTGCGGACTGCTAAGCCTCCCGAACAGCCCCCTATCGATGGAGATTCAGCGACTGGAGAATGAGCTAGAACCGACAGGGGTCCCTCTCGATTTCACCTGCTCTGCGAAGTAATATTGTCGTTGACGCCGAATAGCATATCACATGCCTCGTTGATCTCCAACGGACTTGTACGCAGCCCCTTGAGTGGGATTCTCCCGCATGGTGAACAAATCCAGCAGTTGATTTGTTTGGAGATATGCGAATATGATGGAATCCGAAGAGGGCTTATACACTATCTCTCAATCGAAGAGCGAAGACTGGTTCCAGCTACGTTAACATGCATCGACGATGAACGATTGCAACCACATCTTGTCCAGGGCGTTGGACCAATCCTAAGAACGGGCACTCTCTGATATATAGGTATCGCGTTGGATGAGGGTCGTTTGGCCAATTGGATTTTCTACGTTGGCCCGTTGCAAGGGTGTCAAGAGAGGGGACGTGAGCTTGAGTGAACAGTCCATGGTGGTTCCATTGATATGCTCTCGAAAGTCTGACCTTTTGCTCGTGACTTAGATTGAGGGGTTTCTGCTTGTTTCTGGTGGTTCCCATGATAGGCTGCAGCGCGATCGGCGACGGTGGGAGCTTATGTATACGTTAGTGTGTAAGTGTAGAGTGGAAGGGAAATGCAACTAGACACAAACATTTGTGTGGTCGAAAGATACTTGCATTCCGGGCTGATGACAACATTTAGGGCCAAGACTAAGGATTAGCTAGCTAAATATGAATGGCATTCTCGGTGGCCCTTCGTTAAACATATTTCTGCATCAAGACCTGTATACATATATATCTGGACGACGTGTTGCGGGCGAGGCTTATCACTTTGAGAAAGGACTGACAACAAAGTTTGTGGTATTCTTGGTAAAGATGGGAACTTGACATTTCAATAGGGGACGTGACTGAGTTTCCATGTTTCAACACCAAACATGGGGCCCATAATAATCCATGGGGTACACGTTTCTACGTACTAGGACGACTCGAAATTATAAGCAACTTCGATTTGCTGTCTTCCAGTATCAGTGAACCGCCGTTGATCCATTGAATAGGCTTTGCCCATGTGCTGAGCACTGGAAGAAGCTGTCGAGGGATGAATCTATATACAGAGTGGTATCGAGGTCCCGAGTCATCTCGTCTCCTGACCAAAAGCAAGGAAACAGGGATCCGGTGTGATAATAGACTGAGCAGTGTCTGCGGACTGTGGAACCAGGTGTACCCAAGCATTGAATTTGGCGTCAATCACTGTCAGCTTATGGAGATAAAAAGAAGGAGGTAGAGTTTCCCGTCCCCGAGCGTAATTGATTTGAAGGAGCGCGGCAGTGGCGATTGCTTTAGTCGTTCGGTTTCGGCGCGTCATAGAAAGTTACCAAGCTGCCGCAATGTAATATGCACTTACTGACCGAGAAAAGAGGCCCCCTGTGAGAGCTCTTCTATTGCGAAGTTCCTTAATGGTAATCTAAGTGACATACTTCAGCTGGAAGTCCAGAATCTGTCCGAAACGGCTCCAAGAGCCAGTGAGTCTCAGAAAGATCGCTACCTTCATGAAAGGTATTAGTGCCTCGACTCTAGCGGTTGCTTGAGGCGCCCCCCGCGCCATTCAAGGTTGTGCAGTTCGGTCGCTAAACGGTAATAGAGGCATAGTTGCTGTCTTGGACGGTTAAATTCAATGTTAAAGACAACAACTACGTTCACGCTTCCATCCGCGTTCGGAATATATCATCCGCCGAAATGCAGTCCATGTTAGCTTGTCTGTGAATAGCGCGGCCTCGACCATGACATCGGGCATAGCATGCTCGCTTCTGTGCGGTCATCGTGCCAGCTCGAAGGTTTCCCCGTGGAAGGTATAGGAACACGCGCGCAAAAGGCGCTAAGCCTGATCGGATATGTCAAACTCTTTTGCGTAATCCTGACCGGAGACAACTCAGTAGGATCACTATGGTTTCGAAGACCACAGCGTCCTTTGGAGTAGGCTATCTTAAGCGCGCAATTGCAAATTATGTATCGTAACATAATCGAAATCTCCTGGTTGGCGGCGAACTCCTGTTTATTTTTTTTTAAGTTACTTCTGTGGTTATTAGGAATGCAGGGACTGAACCTCTATTATACCCGTCCACTGCTTTGGTTCGAATTTACTGACATCAAATTATTTCCTCCGCAGGCTCTGTCATGTCCCAGACCCATAGATAATGGGTAAAGACGCAACTTCTCTTGGAGAAATAACCTTATCCTGAGGTCACACACGAGGGCGCCAACATGTGAGTTGGACGCGACGCGCATTGCAGCGGGAGGAATGCGCCGGGAATGTCGCGCAGGATTTGGCCACAATATTGGGCGCGGGAGGGCCGGACTACGTGCTTTTCAGAAGAGGATCCGAGATGGAATCAAGTATAATATTTTCCCGCACTACCAGGATAGAACCCCCCCCCATTTTCCCATTACAGCGCCCAGAGAACTCGAAGTGATGGAATCAGACAGTAAGATAAGAACAAAAAGATAAGAAAAAAAGCCGGGGAATAAAGGCACAACACATAAGCAAAACACACGCCGGAAAGAAGTAAGCAAGCAATGACATGAGAGTTCGACCTGGGAGCGGGCGCGTCACGGCGGGAGCTGCCGGCTCAGGCTTCAGGGACCCATCACAGGCCGACTCGCGTGGTCTTCAGGAACATCCATTTCGATTTTCTTTTTCTTCCTCTTTTCCATTTTTCAATTTTCAAGGGTTTACAGATCAGGCTTGTTCTTCTTCTTCTGCTCCACCTTCAGGAGAAGAGCGCGGTTGATGCGGGGCAGAACACCACCGAAGGCAATGGTTGCGCGAATCAAGGTGTCCAGTTCTTCATCACCACGAATGGCGAGCTGGAGGTGGCGAGGAGTGATACGCTTGACCTTGAGATCCTTGGCAGCATTACCCGCCAACTCCAGAACTTCGGCGGTCAGGTACTCGAGGACGGCAGTCACGTAGACAGCAGCTGGGAGAAAGATCAGTAGCTGTGCAGAGGTAAGGGAAGGGGAGAGAGCATACCCTTGGCACCCACGCGCATCTTGTTTTGAGTGTTGTTCTTCAAGAAACGCTTGACACGACCGCAGGGGAACTAAGGGAAACGAAGCATGTGAGTATTTTGAACTGACTCAGAAAGACGCGCCGATACAGTCGTCGCGACCGGGCTAGCATGCGACCGGAATCGCCATCAGTGCGATGAGCCTCTCGGATGATTATGAAAGCTCTCCAACAGTGAGGGGGGAGGGGGAGGAGGGGCCGACGCGTCGCCCCATCTCCAATCATCAAAACATCACACTCCTGACGCATGACACCCGAATCGCGACTGACTGCACCACCTCGAAGGTCCAGCATGAAACTAACCTGCAGACCGGCCTTCGCGCTGTGGGACTTCTGCTTTCCGGAGGATGAGTCCTTCGCGCCACCCTTTCCTCCGATGGACTTGCCCTTTCCGCCAGGCATGATGGTTGGTTGGAAGTCGCAAAGGTGCAAATCACGCGTTTAAAATGGCGCCGAGTACTGTTGAGCAGAGTGTGGGATGGAGACGCGATTTGCAAGGGGGGAAGTTTTGGTAACGGGTGGTTGGAGAAAGTAAGAATTAGGAACAGGCGTAAACGCTACCGACCGCTTGAGGTGAGAATCCACGCTAGTCCGTTTTCGGATGCCCTGCCCACGTCCCCGATACTGGCGTTGCTGTCTCTGGCTGCATAGTTTCAAACGCTTGTATTAGTATGCCATATCGTGGGCCTATGCTCATGAGGTTGAGCGATAGCCCCTGGCGCATCAACATCTCATCTATAGACAAGCCATGGATAAGAGCAGGTGCTGGACGTTCGGGGAAGGCTGTGGCTCCCCACCACCAGATTACTTCGCTGCTGAAGGTGAAACTGTCGAAGGAAATCAGTAGACCTGGTCATTAGTATAAATCATGCTGCCAGTCTGGCCAGGAGACGCAAGTTGGGCGCGCATCTCTCTTTGCGTTACACCTTTGGAGGCCAACAGTTGATACAGCAGTCGATAAATCCATCATCATTCAGAGGCGGAGAATGATCACGTGCGTATCGGTCTAATTTTGATCCGCTTGGACGCCAGGTGGCCCGGGGACTAATTTCATCAAAGTGCGCGCTCTCTACTCAACTCCAAACCACTCCCGCCTGTTCGATTTGCTTAAGGGTCTCAACGTGTCAAAATGGTTTCTCCTCAGATGTGAGTCAACGGCGAGCCCTGTACACGATTGTCAGAGGAAAAGCTAATTTTCATTTTACAGTACCAACCTGGCCATCATCCTGGTGATGATGCAGCTGGCCAAGAAGATTCCCTTTGAGGACCCTCAGGTTCTTCTGCTGGTCCGCGGTCTGTACATCCTGTCCAACGTGATCATTGCAGGTATCTACCTGTATACGCAGGCTAAGATTAGCCAGAAGAAGGGTACGTGTCATGTTGCAGAGCACCGGGTTGGATCTCAAAAGGGGTCACATGTTCTTATCTATCGCGGCCAATGCTGACTGTTGATCTTCTTTAGATATGACGACCCTCAAGTACGTCGAGCCCGCCCCTCTGGGTACAGGTGAGGAGGCCAAGCCCGTCACCACCACCAACATGGACTATGACAAAGGTCAGCTGCGCCAGCTGTTCCGTAGCCAGATGATGGGTGTTGGCATGATGGCTTTCATGCATCTGTACATGAAGTACACCAATCCTCTGCTCATCCAGTCCATCCTCCCTCTGAAGGGTGCCTTCGAATCCAACCTGGTCAAGATCCACGTGTTCGGCCAGCCCGCCACTGGCGAACTCGCGCGTCCCTTCAAGGCCTCTGGTGGCTTCATGTCTCCGGGTCAGCCTAAGAGCGATAAGGCTTCGATCGAGGCCGCCGAGAAGAACTACCGTGGTGGTGTTAAGGAAGAGTAGATGGGGCCTCAGTGTTGAAGGATTAAAACCTGGCATTTGCCTAGTAACGATCCATTGATACCCTTATTTTCCATATTGGAATGACCTGCACAGAAGTAGATGATGGGTCGCGGTGCATTGCTTTTCTCCGTCTGTATTATCACTCCAATGGATTCTCTTCTGGCATTTCATAAAGCAGGAACCCTGCAGTAGATACCGTTCTTGTAAGCGCTGTCATGCTCTCTGTGGAAGCTATCCGATCTCGTATCAAATGCGCACGATGGATTCGCCTTCCGTGCGCTTCCATATAGTTCCGTACGGGCGCACCGCGTTCGCCACCACCTCTCCTCCAACTAGAGGACTGTCGACTGTGGCACGTCGACTCGCCTTTACCGGGTTAAGAGGCAGGATTTCTAATCTGGCGGCATATCATGCTATAGTTTAAATTGGCAACTGTAGGGATTGCATGGTCATGGTTTGCCTTATATCAGTCGACGATCAGGAGACGCTTTTTATCAAGTGTCATAGTCTCCAAACAATCAAACCATTTCAGAAAAAAAAAATGGAGCCAAAAAAATAACAGTCGACCTCGTGGCACTTTTCGGTGACTGGTTTTGGGACGCGGTGATAGACCGCAGTCTCTTTCGAGTTATGCGCCTACCGAGCCAGCCGCATGCGGCAATGTGGATAGAATAAGGAGGAATCTGCGCAAATAAGCACCCGCAGAAAACACAGAATTCGATATATTCGATGGGGTTACAATTTCGAATGGATCAATCAGTAGACAGAACCCTGCGATCGTACCTGGAGATGGGTTGACCCCAAATTGCCAAACGTGCCCCTCATTTCGGGGCCTCTAGTTGCTAACGTAACAGGTACTTTGCCCCTCAGTCGTGGCATCATCCATCTGCCCCTCCAAACCATCAAGGTACGGAATGGCCATAGCAAATAGTAAAATTATCGTAACCCCCCGAGATCGTCGGGCAAAACATTCTCGCGCCCGAGGTATAACATCGCAGAGGCCCCAATCTAAGGGCATAGCTGGCCGCTCATTGGCAGGCCGGCAGCTACCGAGGGGCAGGCCTGGGGGTAAATATCGTGAGGCTTCCTGCTTTGCCCGGTGTATGAAACCGGAAAGGGTTGCTGGGTAGCTGGGCAAGCGGCAACAGCCGGGAATTACGATTGGAGAGATTCTAGAGCTTTTCGCTCGGTGTCTTCGGTGTACAGTGTACAGTGTAGACTGACCGATTCGTTGCGTCAGTGGTTTCCATATTATTACCTCCCCTTTCCCCCCTCCTCCTTTCTTTCCTTCTCACACTCTTCCATCTTTCCAATTCCCAACTTTCCAAGGTACGTTGCCGGCATCTTCCATCCTCCATCTTCCTGATATCCTAGTTTCCTGCTTTCCCCTTCCTTCCTGTCTTGAAGCTCTCTCTACCTTGCCCCTCCCCCGTTTACCCCACTTCACCCCTCCAGAGCTAACATAGCTTGCAGCATCTCATCTATCGCCATCATGGTCCCCAAGGTTGGAATCAACGGTTTCGGTCGTATTGGCCGCATTGTAAGTTCCTGTCCTTTGCTTCAATGAGAAGAAGCGTCAGAATTGTCGATCCAAGCTTACCAAGCTTCTTCACAGGTCTTCCGCAATGCGTAAGTAGATTCTTTATCCCGCGATAGTCGCACGAGTCCCACTCTAACCGGTTTCACAGCATCAACGACGGCTCTGTCGACGTTGTCGCCGTCAACGACCCCTTCATTGAGGTCCACTATGCTGTAGGTAGCCCCGCTTCCTGTTATCTCCTTCGTTCTTGCATGCCACGGTCATTACCTTGGTGGCACGGGCGGCCTCGGCCTCACGCTCCAAGGCCCATTACTGTCTACCTGGAACCTTTCTCTAACTCAACATTAGGCCTACATGCTCCGCTATGACAGTACCCACGGCCAGTTCAAGGGCACCATCGAGGTCAACGGCACCGAGGGTCTGATCGTCAACGGCAAGAAGATCAGCTTCTTCGCCGAGCGTGACCCCTCTGCCATCCCTTGGGGTAAGGTTGGCGCTGACTACGTCGTCGAGTCCACCGGTGTCTTCACCACCACTGAGAAGGCCTCTGCCCACCTGAAGGGTGGCGCCAAGAAGGTTATTATCTCCGCTCCCTCCGCTGATGCCCCCATGTTCGTCATGGGTGTCAACAATGACTCCTACACCAAGGACGTCAACATTCTCTCCAACGCCTCTTGCACCACCAACTGTCTTGCTCCCCCTCGCCAAGGTCATCAACGACAAGTACGGTCTCGTTGAGGGTCTGATGACCACTGTCCACTCCTACACTGCGACCCAGAAGACCGTCGACGGCCCCTCTTCTAAGGACTGGCGTGGTGGCCGTACTGCGGCTCAGAACATCATCCCCTCCTCCACCGGTGCCGCCAAGGCTGTCGGCAAGGTCATTCCTTCCCTCAACGGCAAGCTCACCGGCATGTCCATGCGTGTCCCCACCGCCAACGTCTCCGTCGTTGACCTTACCTGCCGCATCGAGAAGGCTGCCACCTACGATGAGATCAAGGCCACCATCAAGGCTGCCTCCGAGAACGAGCTCAAGGGCATCCTCGGCTACACTGAGGACGACATCGTCTCCTCTGACTTGAACGGTGATGACCACTCCTCTATCTTCGATGCCAAGGCCGGTATCGCCCTGAACTCCAACTTCATCAAGCTCGTGTCCTGGTACGACAACGAGTGGGGTTACTCTCACCGTGTTGTCGACCTGATCGGTACGATTCCCGTCCTAGTCTGTAACATGTTGGTACATCAGCTAACTTGCCCACTTTTCTAGCCTACATTGCCAAGGTTGATGCTCAGTAGCAATTAAAACCCACTCCCGAGGCAAGGAGTCTTCTCTGAGATGTGAAAGTTGATCTGGAGCTGCCCGCCTACGGTCTTTGCGAAGGACTCTTGACCATCCTGCAGAAAAAACCAGCTGATAACGTCACTTTAATGAATCAAATACATTTCTTCTTATCTTGAACAATAGACGTTTGCATGGGAACATCGCTACGATTTCTAGTAAAATACATCAGATTTTGCCTATCCTCAAGCCTTCCCATGGGCACGGCAGACCTGAGCTAGAATCGATGGGCGCCTCCCCCGTAGATTCAGTCTCTTGATGGGGGTTTGACGAATCCCCTCTGTAGATGGTACGCCATGTGGGGCATTTCAACGCTAGCACTTATCTGATAAATGGTTCTTATCAGAAAGTAACTCCTAGTACGTATACCAGGACGCTCAGTGTCTGTAAGATCTAGTACCAGAGAAACATTAAGCTCAAATAGAATCTCATGAACTTTCGAGGCCATATTGCAGTACTCTCCGCATTTTTAGCCCCAATCCTCTCCAAGATTATCAAGCATGTAGATGGCCATATCCATATCTCGGGCAAGTCGCATCAGTTCCAGGAGCGGGAGCGGATGGCGCTTATCTATATAAGGAAGGCGGTCTAGTCCAATAGCGGTAGGCAGTATAGCCGGCAGTAATTTGCGCCGCGGGAGCATCCAGATGCTCCATCACAGTATCCTATCTCCCACTAACCCTGCGCAACTGCAGCGTTGTGGGTAGAACCCTTTCTTGTTCAGAACCAAGCAGAATTACTAACATATTCATAGTCGCACTTAATCATCCGTTTCACCTAGCATTATAATTGCACTATCCAGCTGCCGCACACCCTGGTCTTCCTTTGGAGAACATACAAAGGACGAGAATCTATAGCTTCTACCGTCTAGATTCCCGTGCTCCCAGCGCACAAGCAACGCTGTTGCTGCCGCCTTGTGTATTGAGCAACTTGGCTTCCCTGGGGATCCCTATATACTTACCTTTGACCTTCTCATATTTGTCTGAGAAGCTCTCAACCTAGTGGAAGAGCGCATGCCCCAAGTGCAATTGACCTGGGCTTACCATGCGATATTGAGCAGAAGAAGTTGTCCCGTCCATAAATTACGGGCCTCGGTTGGCAAATAAAAAGCGCGATTGCCCAGGCGCGGGTGAAAACCATGTCGCGCAAAATGGACGACGACGAGGACGTTGTAATGGGAGAGCCCAGAAAACTGTCGCTCCCCTCGCACAATAATTATCTTGCAGGTCTGACGACTCAGCAAACAGTGAATTCTCATGGGTCAGATCCCATTTTGACTCCATCCTTGCTCCCTTCTATTGTGAAATCTCCGTCCTCTGGCGACAATTCTGTTCATGGAGGCAAGGGCCTACCGGAAGGCGTGGTCAAATTGAGCGACTCAGAAAGTACTTCCGCTGAGCATTACCTTCCTAGCAACGACAGTGTCATAGAGCAAAACTCAGACTGGTCGGACGAAGAAGAGACTGATTCAGGTCTCCCTCTCGGCTCCATGGCAACCGGCCTCTGCTACGACGTGCGAATGCGCTATCATTGTGAGGTCCGTCCTCTCTCGGACTTGCACCCCGAAGACCCTCGCCGAATCTATTTCATCTACAAAGAGCTTTGCAAGGCAGGACTTGTTGATGATCCGGACTCGACTCGTCCCCTCGCTCCCCAGACCCTTCAGCGTATCCCGATCCGAAGTGCCACCCAGGAAGAAATTAGACTCATTCACTCGGAGCCTCACTGGGAGTTTATTGAGAGCACTCAAAGTATGCCAGAAAGATGCCCTATGGTGTTTCGTAACGATCTGACCTCTTCCAGGAATGTCCGACGACACGTTGGTGGAGTTGGAGCACAGCCGTGACTCCATCTACTTTAACCGACTCACATTCGACGCGTCTTTGCTGTCGACCGGCGGTGCCATTGAAACCTGTCTGGCCGTAGCTGAGCGCAAGGTCAAGAATGCCATCGCCGTGATTCGGCCACCAGGCCACCACGCGGAGGACGATGCTGCCATGGGATTTTGCATCTTCAACAACGTTTCAGTCGCAGCCCGTGTTTGCCAAAACAAGCTTGGAGATTCCTGCCGCAAAATCATGATCCTCGACTGGTATGTTTCGCAGAAATCTCCTATATCATTTCTTCATCATTCATGGATGGGGTCGCTAATGCGAAGTTAATAATTAGGGATGTTCACCATGGTATGTTACTCTGATAGAACATGTATGCATTTCCAAGTGCTGACATTACCGCAGGAATGGAATCCAGAAGGCATTTTATGAAGACCCGAACATACTCTACATCTCGATTCATGTCCACGCCGGGGGTAAATTCTACCCTGGCGGAGATGCTGGGAACTGGGATCATTGTGGCGCGGGGCCAGGTGTTGGCAGGTAGGCCGACTTTCCATCGATATATCTCTCTACAGAAAGTAGGAAGTTATGGTGCAGCTCAACTCACAGTCTTCGATAGGAACGTCAATATTCCGTGGCCAGACCACGGCATGGGTGATGGCGACTACATGTTTGCCTTCCAGACGGTCGTTATGCCAATTGCCCAAGAGTTTAATCCCGACTTGGTTATCAGTAAGTCCCCTTGTTGACCTGGGTATGCTATTGCTGACATTGAATCCAGTTGCGGCCGGATTCGATGCCGCCGCGGGTGATTTGCTCGGGGGCTGCTTCGTCACACCAGCATGCTATGCCCAAATGACTCATATGCTCATGGTTCTCGCCAACGGAAAGCTTGCAGTCTGCTTAGAGGTGAGATCTGACCTGACATTCAGCTCAATTGCCATCGGCCCTCGGACTAACGCTCGGCCATTATATTAGGGAGGATATAACTTCCGCTCCATCTCCAAATCCGCCCTGGCAGTTACCAAAACTCTCATGGGGGAACCTCCGGACCGTCTCCTTGCCTGCTCCCCTTCTGAAGCGGCTGTCGACACAGTCCGCCGAGTGAAGAGCATCCAGGCTCACCACTGGCATTGCATGTTTCCAAAGCCTTCCCAGCATCCTGCCTATGCAACCCAACTCCATGGTATGTTTGTATGATCAAGGATTGAAGCCAGGGCTAACTATTGCTGTAGATATGATACGTGACATCCAGGCCAAGCAGCTATACGATAAGTTTAAGCTCACTCCGCTCCACATCTATCGCACTGGCCTCTCCAAGTCCTTCACGAATATGGTCCTGGCTAGGTTGGTACCCAAGAAGTCTCTGAGAGTTATTTGAGAGCATTTGCTAATCTGAATGATCAGCCCCAACTTCCACGAAGATGTGCCAACAATCATAATTTTCCATGATCCGTATGTTTCGATGGCTCCTTCAATTCAGCGAGGAAAATACTGATGGTTCTCTTTAGCCCCGAAATTATTGGGATGCCTCATCCGGTGACTAGCAAAATTGAAGCTCACAACTGCTGGCTAGTAAGTAAACAGGTAGCCTTGGATACAGACAAGTCACTAACACCTGCAAGGCCGATGCATTGAAAGACTACATCCAGTGGGTTCTTGACCAAGGGTATGCGCTACTCGACGTAAACGTTCCAAAGCACATCACCAAAGACACGGAGTCGGCAGTGAGTTTCTAACGCTCTAATGAATTTGAGTATTTGCTGACCCGAGGTTTTAGCGTCCCCAGTATATCGAGGAAGATGAAGACCGCCCTCATGCCACCGAGGAACTCGCAGCATACCTGTGGGATAACTACATTGCGTAGGTCATAGTTGTTCAGTACCAGTGGGTTCCCGGCTAATATGCTTGCCATACATAGACCACGCAACGGAAAAGAGATTATCTTCATCGGTATTGGCAGCGCTTTCCATGGCGTGACCCAATTGCTTATGCAGAGAGGTATACTCCACCTTCTGAGGCTGTGTTCAAGGGGCAAGGAGCTAATAAAAACAGAAAATCTGTATCATCGGATCGACTCCCTCATTTCATTTGTTGCGCAAAACCCCGTGCGGGCCGTCTCATCCACCACTCAGACCTGGCTCTCCAAGTGGTACCACGATGTATGTGCACTTATATTAGGCCCATTATTCTGCAGCCACTGACTCTCGCTCAAATGACAGAACTCCTTGGTTTTCATCTCGCACAATCACGGGGTGTGGGACCGCAAGCCATCCAAGCGTTACGGAACTCTGCGCCAGTCCCCGAAAACCGATCTGAACGAAATGCTTGCCGATCACAAGGAGGAGGTGTTCCAGTACATCACTGATCGGATTCACGTGGAGACTGACGAGACTGAAGAAGAGGCGGAGGAGGCGGATACCGAGATGAACCAGTAAGGCTATGGCGCTCGGCCAAGGTTAGCGATTTTTTATTTCTGCTTCTGCGCGTTTGCACGCATTTCATGTTTCCGCCCCCATAATACGAGCCGATACGTGGGTAGATGGAACATTATCCTTTTAGGTCCAACATCTCCAAGCTTTCAAGTTTCTTTGCTCTCCTCTTATCATATGCCAATGTGTGGTGATGTGTCGTTCGGCTGTACGTAAGAAGTCATTTGGGTATTGATGGCAGAAGTGGGACCTCGATCTTTCACGCCTCCAAAGCTCGATAGATTTGAACTCTGCGGCATTTTGCTCTCGCCTGTTGCTGCTTGTTCTAGCAAATGTCTCATCCTCTTTTCTTGACAACAAACCCCCGATCTTCAAAGGTTGTTGATTTGCCGGTATTGGCCGAAATGAAACATCGCCAACCACAGCCCGCGCTACGTTCTAGCGGTGACAACAAGCGACAAATCGAGTACGAGTGGCTTGGTCGGCCTACAGAGCTCTCTGCGGAGTGAAGTAGCTTTCAAGCAACCTCTCGTGGCATGGGATGTAACACTGTCTCAGAAGGTCACCCCATAAATGCGGCGGGGGACAATCAGGGTCCTTTCCGCCAAACCTTCCCCACTCCCTTGGCATGCATCATTTGCTTGACACCGCAAGAACGCTGGAATTCCTACAGGATCGGCTAGATATATCCGAGACACCGTGATCTGAGGACCTTGATGAAGGAATTCTTGAGGCTGGGATATGGTCTCGATAGCCTGGGTTGGGCCCCTGATGCGGGGCGAATGTGGGTAATCGCCTTGCTGGCCCTATGATGACTGGGGAATAGAAGAGCGAGCAGCGTTGTGTTCGGTCATGGTTTGAGCCTTTGCCATCATGCTGCCTCGGTAATCCGCCAAGGTCAAATCCCCGATTCAACGATGGTGGGTCTATTTTTGGACGTGAAAGCTGGAGGAGGAAGCCAAGCGGAACTCGCAGGGACAATCGAGAAACTATAAGAGAAGCCCGGGATCCCATACATCGAGGGGCAACATCTCCAGCCTGACTATTACAGTTGATCACAGCCTATATTTTCTTTCTCGATCTCGCCATGCAATTCTCCACCGCTCTCATCGCCTCTGTGGCCGCTCTTGTGCCCATGGCCAGCGCCGTTGGCCACGCCGTGGTCAAGAACAACTGTGCCCACACGGTCTATCTATGGTCCGTCGGCGGCTCTGTTGGACCAATGCAGACTGTTGCGCCTGGCAAGTCATACTCGGAGGTTCTACACCACGACCCCCAGTCTGGTGGAATCTCCATCAAGATCACCAAGACTGCCAATGGTCTTTACGACGGCAGCGCGCAGACCGACTTCGCTACACTCTTGACGGCAGCCAAGTCTGGTACGATTTGTCTGATGTCTTTGGGGACGCTTTCTCTGGAAATTCCCTCTCTGTCAAGCCTTCTGTTTCTACCTGCCCGAGCATCTGCTGGGCTAATGGTGTTTCACCGAGCGGTAGCCAGGTCAAGGACTGCCAGTCCACCACTGACATTACCTTGAACCTCTGCGGTGCAAAGTGCTGAGCGCAGCTATTGATGATACGTGGATACGTGCACTTGCTTTGGAATACTATCGCGGGGCTTGCTGGATAGTAATGTGGGAAGGTGGACGGGTTCCATAATGTGAATAATTCCATTTTTATTATCTGAGCAGTCTGAATGATTATCCTGCTATAGGCCTCACTTTTTATTCGAAACTTGAATTACTTCTGACATAATAGTATGTATGAATGCCCAGGTGCCAGCCGAGGATGCTAGTCAGGGCTTACCGAGGAAGGTCCTACCAGCACTTGAGTGGATTGCAATTTGTCATACCCATGAGCTGGATGTAACGATTACTTCTTCAAGTACAAGTTCGGACAAATCCAATGTTGCCTAAGTATTTTGATTGTCAATACGAACCCGAACGTTGAAGGTTTCCAACATTGAAATGGAATTTGAAAACTACCTTTCCTGTACTATTGGGTACTTGAATATTGAGTTTCGCTTTACTCCACTCGCACTGGCAGCGGTCAAAAAACAGACCTCTGACAGTCGGTATGGATGGAACTACTAGGACGTAGTTTCCACCATCTTCCTATGGATCCGGGGCCCTGGTAGGTGCTGCAGAAGTCTAAAAAACGCACGTCGATTGACGCCGCATGTGGGGCCAATGAAGCAATAGACCGCCCACCCATCAGGCTAAGCGGTCGTGTAATGCCGGCACAACACGACCGCCCTTTCGGCTCTGCATGCCGCCCCTCCAGCGAAATCAGGCGTGATTACAATCGACCACTTGGACAAACTCTTTTCTCTTATCCTGAATCTTTTGTTTCCTGTAGTTCTGTCTCAATATTCGTCAATAGCGAACAAAGCATTTTGGTGGGGTGTGTATCCATTGGTTTGATTCCTGCAGAAATTCCTCTCCCCAAAGCAGCCCTCCCTTGATGCTCCCAAGGTCCTCCGCCTCTGCAGCTTCGTGGTTTAGTTACAAATTTACTGCCCGACCGGTTTCTCAATTTCGCAACCCCGTCACTCCTTCCGTGCGGGCTCAATTCTCCATTTCTTTGACTCCATCCCATTTCCTGGCCCGTTTCTCGGTTGCGCGTTTTCATTCAGCGCCGCCCACCAGAGCCTCCAACATGACTCCGATCGAACGTATCACGGAGGATTTGGAGAAGCCAGAGTTGGACGACCGCTCATACCGCGTCATTCGTCTCCCAAATAAGCTGGAGGCTCTCCTGGTACATGACCCTGACACTGATAAGGCGAGTGCTGCAGTCAACGTCAATGTGGGCAACTTCTCCGACCAAGATGATATGCCGGGCATGGCACACGCTGTAGAGCATCTTCTGTTCATGGGTACCAAGAAGGTATGTTCGAGACCACTCGTTCTGGTGGAGCATCATCCCCGTGGGGGCTTCTTCGTGGCCATGCTGACAGGGATGCTGGGTTGGGTTTAGTTTCCTGTCGAAAACGCCTACAACCAATACCTTGCCTCGCATTCGGGCTCATCAAACGCATATACGGCCGCCACCGAAACAAACTATTTCTTTGAAGTCTCGGCAACGGGCGACTCGAGCGAATCCGGATCAGATGGTAAAAGCACCCCAACCGATCGGACGAGTGCCTCAAACGGCACAGTCGCCACCGGAACGGAGGAGAGTAAATCACCCTTATATGGGGCCCTCGACCGATTCGCCCAATTTTTCATAGAGCCCCTCTTTTTGGAGTCGACTTTAGATAGGGAACTGCAGGCTGTCGACTCGGAAAACAAGAAAAACCTCCAGAGCGACCTGTGGCGACTAATGCAGCTGAACAAGTCCCTTTCCAACCCCGCGCATCCCTACCACCACTTTTCCACTGGTAACTTGCAGACCCTGAAGGAGGATCCCCAGAAGCGTGGCCTGGATATTCGGAGCGAATTCATTCGGTTCTATGAGAAGCACTACTCGGCCAACCGAACGAAGTTGGTAGTCCTGGGCCGGGAAAGTCTAGACACTTTGGAGCGATGGGTCGCTGAACTGTTTTCTGATGTAGAAAACAAGGATCTGCCCCAGAACCGCTGGGACCATGTGCAGCCCTTTTCGGAGGCCGACATGTGCACCCAAGTCTTTGCAAAGCCTGTCATGGAATCCCGATCGATGGACATGTACTTTCCGTTCTTGGATGAACAGGATCTGTATGATTCCCGTCCCAGCCGGTATATCAGCCACCTGATTGGCCATGAAGGTCCCGGGAGTGTACTCTCGTATCTGAAGGCCAAGGGCTGGGCCAATGGTCTCTCAGCGGGGGCTATGCCTATCTGCCCAGGATCTGCCTTCTTCACCATCTCCGTGCGTCTGACACCCGAGGGTCTCAAACAGTATCGAGAGGTTGCAAAGGTGATTTTCGAGTACATTGCTATGATCAAGGAGCGGGAACCAGAGCAGTGGATCTTCGATGAGATGAGGAATCTGTCTGAGGTGGATTTCCGTTTTATGCAGAAGATCCCTGCCAGTCGGTTCACCAGCAATCTGAGTAGTGTGATGCAGAAACCCTTGGACCGCAAATGGCTTATTAGCGGAGGGCTGCTTCGACGCTTCGACGCGGACCTGATTAAGCAAGCTCTATCGTACCTGCGTGCGGACAACTTCCGTCTTATCGTTGTGTCGCAAGACTTCCCTGGCGAATGGGATGAGAAGGAAAAATGGTATGGTACTGAGTACAAGGTGGAAAAAATCCCCAAGGACTTCCTTTCCGGGCTCGAAGCGGCTCTGAAATCGACGGATGCGACCCGCACTTCTAATGTGCACATGCCTCATAAGAATGAGTTTGTGCCGACTCGACTCACCGTCGAGAAGAAGGAGGTTGACGAACCTGCGAAGACGCCAAAGCTCATTCGACACGATGATCGTGTTCGGCTATGGTACAAGAAGGACGACCGCTTCTGGGTTCCAAAGGGAACAATCCATGTGACGCTGCGTAATCCACTCGTGTGGGCGACACCGGCAAACCTCATCAAAACCAGGCTCTACTGCGAGCTTGTTCGGGACGCTTTAGACGAATATTCCTACGACGCCGAACTCGCTGGATTGGATTATCACCTCTCTGCGAACATCTTGGGTCTCGACATTTCGGTCGGAGGCTATACTGACAAGATGTCCGTTCTCCTCGAGAAGGTGCTGACTACCATGCGCGACTTGACTATCAACCAAGACCGCTATGATATCATTACTGAGCGGCTTGCACGAGCCTTCCGTAATGCCGAATACCAGCAGCCTTTCTACCAGGTTGGTGACTACACACGGTATTTGCTGTCCGAGCGGAGCTGGATCAATGAGCAGTATATCGAGGAGTTGGAGCATGTCACATCTCACGATGTTATCAAGTTCTTTCCTCAGCTGTTGGAACAAACTCATATTGAAGTTTTGGCCCACGGTAATATCTACAAGGAAGACGCCTTGCGCATGACAGATTCTGTGGAAGCAATTCTTAAGGGGCGCCCTCTACCCCCCAGCTCAGTGGTACCTGCGGCGCAACATGATGTTTGCCCCTGGCAGCAACTATGTCTACCCGCACACGCTGAAAGACCCTGCCAACATCAACCACTGTATTGAGTACTATCTATATATCGGTCTCTTCTCAGACGCCGTCCTTCGATCAAAGCTTCAGCTGTTTGCCCAGATGACCGACGAGCCTGCATTTGACCAATTGCGGAGCAAGGAACAGCTGGGGTATGTGGTGTGGAGTGGCTCTCGCTACAGCGCAACAACCATGGGCTATCGGGTGATCATCCAAAGCGAGCGTAACGCGCCGTATCTGGAGTCTCGGATTGAATCCTTCCTTCGAGAGTTTGGAACCTCGCTTGAGAAAATGCCGGAAGATGAGTTTGACGGCCACAAGCGAAGTGTTATCAACAAGCGGTTAGAGAAGCTCAAGAACCTTGGCTCTGAGACAGGTCGATACTGGTCGCATATCGGATCGGAGTTCTTTGACTTCTTGCAGCATGAAAAGGATGCAGCCAATGTGCGCACTTTGACCAAGGCTGATTTGATCGAATTCTACCACCAATACATCGACCCGGATTCCCCCACCCGAGCCAAGCTCGCCATTCATCTGAATGCCCAGGGTGGTGTGAATGCCAAGGAAATCAGTGCGGGCCATAAACGCGCTAGTCTTGTCGAAGCCATCGAAAAGCAACTCGGAGTGGCCGGATATCCTGTAGACCCCCACCGGCTGGCTAGCGCGTTCGCTGAATTAGACATGGCCTTGGTTGATAATGCGCAAGTCCTGTTTATAATCAAGACTTTCCTCGCCACGGACTTGAGTCTTTCGCCGGAGCAGATCGCCCCCGTCGCCGAGAAGATGGAAAAGATCCTCGGAATGCAGCTTAAGGTCCTTGGGCTACTACCGCCCACTAAAGATGAACAAGCGGTGACTTCTAAGGATCTGTCTCCCACTGAAATACAAGCGGCTACGACGATTACTGACGTTTCTACATTCAAAGCCAGTCTTCCTGTCAGCGCAGGACCTGTCCCCGTGTCTGATCTCACGGAGTTCGAGGATTTTGACGCGAAGCTGTGAGAAAGTTCGTTTGGTTGAAGTAGGGTTAAGATTGGTGGCGGTGTTGTCCGGCGCATGGAATGAGTGAGTGGGAGTCGGTCGTAGAGCACACGATTTTCCTAGAGTTACGATTCGTTTTAATGCTATGCCTGTAGGAGTCTGCTCGATACTATCACATCTGTTTCTAAAATAGCTCATATTCCTGCCTCCTCTCGAGCGAGGTTGTTGGAAGCGCCTCCTGGAACCAACTGGTAGTCAAGAATCGTCAGTTTTCCCAAGTGATACTTGCTCTCCTGGTCAACCGGCGTGGTCTGAAACAATATACATCCGGTAGATACATTCGGTAGAAAGCCACTGTTCTGATTGATATATAGATACATTGCTAGTATCTCGTACATAGATCTCTGACAGTGCGCTGTATCATAAGGCGGTGTAAGTAATACTTGCAAGTATTAAAATGTAGCGGAGCTTTCCAACGTTCGATAAAGCTTGGCTGCACCATTGGTCGTTGTGAGCAGCCCTACAAGCTTTTGAGGCGACAGTCGCGATAAGACAAGCTCGCCCTTCCAAACGTTCGCGACAGCATCAGCCACGATGGCGGCCACCACTGCGACGACCACCCGGAGCAGTCGTCCGTATGTCCCCCACCCCTCCGGCCCCGAGAACGGGCATACAAGATACCCCTGCTCACTTTGAACGGTTCACAGACCGATCGTCCCCAAGGACTTCTCCGCGCAGCAACCCGAAACAATTCGCTTGTACCCTCTATCGAACTACACTTTCGGCACGAAGGAAACCCAGCCTGAAGAGGACCCTTCTGTTCTAGCGCGCTTGAAGAGACTTGAGGAACACTATGAAATCCATGGCATGCGACGTACCTGCGAAGGTGTTCTGGTGTGCCATGAACACAACCACCCACATGTGCTGATGCTGCAAATTGCCAATGCCTTTTTCAAGCTGTACGTTCTAAAATTCGAGTGTCGCCCGTCAGACCATGTTTGATCTGAAAATACTAATACTAACCTTGTTGCGATTAATGACAGCCCCGGCGACTATGTGCACCACGACGACGGCGAAATCGAAGGATTCAAGAAACGCCTGAATGAACGCTTAGCCCCCGTGGGATCGCAATTTTCTGGCGAGGGTGTTAACGAGGACTGGGATATTGGCGACACTTTGGCCCAATGGTGGCGGCCAAACTTTGAAACCTTCATGTATCCCTTCCTCCCCGGCCATGTCACCCGGCCCAAGGAGTGCAAGAAGCTCTACTTCATCCAGCTCCCCAAGAAGAGTGAGTGTCGTCTTCCCCGCATCCTCCTCCCCTCAATGATTGTTTTATCCTGATACTGACCAGGCATACTTCCAACTTGAATTAGAGGTTCTTTCAGTCCCAAAGAATATGAAGCTGCTTGCAGTGCCCCTCTTCGAGCTCTACGACAACACAGCCCGTTATGGCCCTCAGCTTTCCGCAATCCCTCACCTGCTCTCTCGGTACAACTTCGAATTTGTCGACGAGAATGACAACGTGGTGGCTGTTACGCCCGGGACACCTTTAGGCGAGAACCAAATCCCCCGCGTCAAAGTGCTCGCAGGCGAGGATGATGGGCAGGACACCGGAATGACGGACGTGGGTACGGATGGAGAGAAAGCACCTGAAATGCAGCAGTAGCAGTAAGTGGAGCAAATGATAAGGTCGAATTTAATGCTTTCCAGCCGTGCCAACCCGGCTAGTGTATGTTTCACGCCCCAATTCGCGCTTTCCCCCTGATCATGAACTCGTATTCTCCCGCTATTTCTGGTAACAAGGGCCAAATGCTAAAGAAGCCTTCATGGGGTATTATTCGGAGAGTAGGAGCGTTCTCATGCATGGTAAATAGCCGGAAATACCCCTCTCGGCTAGGACTTCATGTTATTATTCGTCAGCCACTCCCTCTAGGCATGCCAACCCCCGCACTGCAGAATACGGAGTTACATTCTTCACGGTGCGGTACCTGACCAAGACGTAGGAAAATAGGAGCCATGGTGGGTCGAGGTGGGTGTTGCTCCGGGGCGCTGGCCGTCTTAGCCCTGAAAGAGTTCAGCGGATTCACAAGGACGATCGAATCATCCAACAAGAGGAACCCTCGTGATCAAAAATCTCCCCTTCTGTTGGGGGCGCGCAACTAACCCCGTTCGTTCCTTTCGTAGAATTTGCTGATCTGTCAGAGGACCCACCTTCCACTGGCACGGCACTGTGCCTTTCAGGAAACGAGAAGCGAGCCTGACCTCCAAAAAGACTTTGACGGCGAATTGGGGAATTGGCCGTGTCTAGTTTAGGACAGGCGCCTGTATCGTGCCCGGTGGCTTCTATCCGGACCACCATCGGGGGCCGGACGGGGGCCGGATGAGGGCCTACAAATACAGGATGAGTAGCACCAGGGCAAGGGGGTTTCCTTTTCTTCCGTGGCGGGCATTTCTTCGCAAGCAACCTCGTTGGGTCTATCCACCGTGAAGATGCTCTCTTTTGCGTACTTGGGCGCATTAGTCGCCGTGGTTGCGCCAGTAATTGCTGCACCCACCAGCATTCTCATTCCTCGCGGTAAGTATAGAGACCGCCATAGACAGATGGTTGGGATATGTAGGTTAAATAACCCTCACTAGACATCTCGTCCGACGTGCTGAGTGAGTTGACTCTGTTCGCGGAGTACTCGGCTGCTGCGTACTGTACCAGCAACTTTGGCGGCAGTAACGGCGCCGATGTGACTTGCTCCGCGGGTAACTGCCCAGAGGTGCAATCGGCTGGGGCTACTCTTTTGTACGAGTTTGACCTGTAAGTTGATCTGTTACAACTCGAGGGAATTCCGGAAGTGCTGACAAGGACGATGCTTTAGGTCCAACGACTTTGGCGATACCACTGGCTATCTCGCTGTGGACAACACCAACCAGCTTATTGTGCTGGCATTCCGTGGCTCTTCTGACATCTCTAACTGGGTCGCAAACCTGGACTATGACCTGACCGATGTCGACCTGTGTGATGGCTGTCAGGCCCACAGCGGATGGTGGAGCGCGTGGGGATCTGGCGCGAACGATATCACGGCCCAGGTCCAATCTGCGCAAAGCACTTACCCTGGATACAAGCTCGTTGTCACTGGCCACAGTCTTGGCGGGGCCATTGCCGCTCTTGGAGGAAGTGCTCTGCGCAATGCTGGATACCAGCTCGACCTGGTAAGTGACTTCAAGATCCTTTCTATAACTATGCACTCATCGACTGACCACGCTCCCAACTAGTACACCTATGGCCAGCCCCGCGTAGGAAACAAGGCACTGGCTGAGTATTTGACTAACCAGGCTGACTACTGGCGTGTGACCCATGAGAACGACATCGTGCCCCGTTTGCCCCCCGAGTCCTTCGGCTTTTCTCACGCCAGCCCTGAATTCTGGATCACCAGCGACAACGGTGTCACCCCTACCACCTCCGATGTCCAGGAGATCGAGGGCATTGATTCCAATGCTGGAAACACTGGCGAGGCCATCCCCTCCATTGACGCCCACAAGTTCTATATTATCGCAATTTCTGCGTGCTCCTAGAGGGTGCGCCGCAACTAGCCCCCGGACGAACTGCCCTGAGCCATGAGGATATTAATCTACAGTAGCTGTAGTTAATTATTACCACTATTTTTATCTCATTTTTTTTATCAGATGAGAATGATTTTTCAAGTTTGTCGCTTCACCTTAAAGACTCATTGTGACGAATCCATGGATCCTTCATAGTCCAGTACGTAAGATCCAGAGCCTCGCTCGCGGGCGACTTGGCGCCTCATAAAATCACGCAGGCCGCTCTTCTTTGTCTCATGCGCACGAAGAGAGAAGAGCATAATCATGAATTGCAATTGGGATAGGTTTTGGAACCGAAGCATGCGAAATGCAACACGAGGAAACAAAGCAATATAATACTGCTAGTAATTTTACCCAAGCTCCGCGGGGTGAACCCACTATGAGCATAGCCAGGTAAGACTGTCACAGACTTACTACTCGCCTCAAAAATAGCGAGATGCACCTGCAGAAGAAAGCGATTTTCAACCTTAATGCCAGTAGCTCCTGCGTATTCTAGTAGGAACACCCCCATAGGCCACTGATGTATAACGGAGCCCCACCGATCGGCGTTGTGGCTCAAATGCCGTGGCGGGTTACCTTTTTTATGGAGACGATTCTCTCCGCTTTGGTCGGCCCCTTCGAAAGAGTCCACGCTGGAGCTTCAGTTGAGTTACCAGTACCACTCTCTCCCCGGGGTGAGCCTTGCGCAACCGCAAAACTCCCCCCCTCCGTCCTCCCCAAGTCGAACTGCACGATGCTTTGATTCCCTCCCAATGTTCCATGACAGCCACCGACCCTCACCATGCTGTTCGCTCCCAGTGGACCACAAAGTCCGCGTCGTCGAAATCGCATCAAAGCTATTCTATTAACGATCACCATCGTCCTTGCAATCTACTTCCTATTCTTCGCCGGCGATGAGGCCCGTGCTAAATCAGTCAGCAATGACGATAAGCCGACCTATGCGCAGCGCCATGGCGCCACCTCTAAACCCAAGACCTCGAAGGAACTGGCTCGTCCCATGACACATAAGCACAAGGAAATGGTGGTGGCGAGCATGAAAAGCGACGATACCTCCTGGGTGGCTGAGTACTTCCCCGACTGGTCGCGGAGCATCTACGTGGTGGACGACAAGCAGGCACCTCTGACTGTCGCACATAATAAAGGCCGCGAATCTATGGTGTATTTGACGTGAGAGCATATTCCCGTCCCTCGATCACCGAGGGTCTAGTGCGCTAAAGACGGTTCTCCAATTTTAGGTACATTATTGACCATTACGACGACCTCCCGGACCTGATGCTCTTCATACACTCCCAACGCTATCAATGGCACAATGATGACCCATACTATGATGGTGTTCCCATGCTCCGCAAGCTCCAACTCCCTTACCTTCAGAAGAAAGGATACGTCAATCTGCGCTGTACGTGGACGCTGGGGTGTCCCGTGGAGATCCACCCACTAAGCGATACACACCGCGATGACGTTCATGCTGGGGAATACTTCCTGTATGGATTCCAGGAGCTGTTCCCAGATTTGCCTGTTCCGCGAGAAGTGGGTGTGTCGTGTTGTGCCCAGTTTGGCGTCAGCCGCGACAAGGTCCTGGAGAGGCCAAAAAGTGACTATGAACATTTCCGCAAGTGGCTCGTGCACACAGACTTGTCGGATGATTTGAGTGGACGGATTATGGAGTACTCCTGGCACAGTAAGATATTCCTCCCCCTTTCGGTGCCGCCTGAATCATCTCGAGTTTTGCAGGACTAACCGGGACTTCTACCTCAGTCATTTTTGGGCAAGAACCGATCTTTTGTCCCACCGAGGAGGAATGTTACTGTAATGTGTTTGGCTTGTGCAATCTGGTCTGCTATGAAGGGGTCGCATGTGAGAATCGCTACGCTCTGCCACCATACTCTACACTACCCCAGGGTTGGCCATACATTGGATGGAAGGGGCAGGCCCAGGATCCCAGCTCTGGGCTGCCGGAGACATGAAAGGGTGACGATGAAAACAAATTAGATATCCAGAATATCTCCTACCGGGCTACTTCTGTCCCTTAGAATCCCACTTGAGTATGTGGGGGATTTTTATTACGGTCAATTTTGACGTCGAGCAAGATAACAAGTCAGTATCTCCCAATAAAATGGAGCTGTAAATACAAAGGAGACATGGGATAATTTCGAAGGAGTCCACCTGTGGCATCTGGGCCAGAATCCATCTGACCTGCCAGAGCGGGCCGAGGCAGAGCTCCCAAGCTCCCCGCAATCCAAGTTAATCGATCTAATCGAACCTTCCACCTTCAACTCCCCCACCATTCTCTGCCTCCGATCACCATGCTCATAATCGGACTCACAGGCTCGATTGCCACGGGTAAATCGACTGTCTCATCTATCCTGTCTAGTCCCCCCTACTCCTTACCGATCATCGACGCCGATCTTCTCGCCCGCAAGGTCGTTGAGCCTGGGACTGCTGGCTACAAAGCGATCGTCAACTACTTCGGCCCCAACACCCCTGATCTCCTTCTCGATGATCCCGCCACCGATACCCCACAAGGCCAACCACTGAATCGGCCGGCGCTCGGCCGGCGCGTCTTCGGCGACACCGATGATCGCAAACGAGACCGCCAAGTCCTGAACGGCATCATCCACCCTGCTATCCGGTGGGAGGTGTACAAGGCATTGATCTACCATTATCTCCGAGGCCAGTGGGCCGTCGTCCTCGACGTCCCACTGCTTTTCGAGGCCGGTATGGATCTCATCTGCGGCACGGTCATTGTGGTCGGCGTGCACGATCCAGCGGTGCAGATGGCGCGGCTCCGCGCCCGCGACTCACATCTGACTGCTGAGGATGCCGAGAATCGCGTGCGCAGCCAGGGTGATATCCGAGCGAAGGCGGCACAGGCGGAATTCCGGGGCACGACGACGAATCGCGGGGTGGTGGTGTGGAACGATTCCGACAAGACCGAGCTCGAGCGTGCAGTCAAGGGGGCAATGGCGAGCATCTCGGCATCAAGCCCATGGTGGTGGGCGTGGACGTTGTTAATTGCGCCACCCATTGGATTTGGCGTGGCAGCCTGGACATTGCTCGTGAACTTCGCAACGCAGAAAGGGTGGGAAAAGAAGAAGAGGGAAGAGAAAGCAAGACTGTGAGACTTTTGAATGGAATCTGTTTGGTCCTTTCGAGCCTTTTGTCCCAAATAGTTATATAACACTTTAGATACCTTGTCCCATTAGCCTAGATGTCGAATCTATACATGATTTTACGCAGAACACTTCTATTCTGAGATGTTGCTCTGTCATAAATTGACCCTGCGATACTCGTAATGCAGAGTATCTTTCACTTTGAATGCTTGAAACCGATGCGCCATATTTAAATGCTCCACCCAAACGCCAGCCGGGGTATGTATACTTTCTCAGAGGGGAGATTACCCTAGAAGTCAGTTACTCTTCCGCTTCTTCTTTTTCAGGAGATCTTGCGCCGACGCATTGCGACCGCCGCCACCACCGGAGGAGATGGAGGTCAGCTTAGAAACTTTCTTGTATGATTTAGCAGATTTGCGGTTGGCATTTTCCCCGCCTGTATCGTCGTCGCCATTGCCAGATTGTTGCTGCTTTTGAATAGTTAGTACATTAGTATATGATAAATAATTGTCATGAATAGTATGAAAAGGTGCGACAAAGTTATTATAGGAAGGGAGAACCAACCAAGGACTGTTTGCGCTTGAAGTTACCGAATGCTCGTCGCCCGCCTGACGCGCCATCGTGTTCAGTGTCTAGAGACTCCGCTGCCACCACTATGGGACGAGGGGCTGTCGGCGTCGCCGCAGGTATATCCAGCACCCATTCAGTCTCACCCGCCGCTGCAGCTTGTTGTGCAATGGCGCTGCGCCGCTTCTCTTCCTCTGCTGCGATGGCGGCGGCGATGGCGTCTAGATCAGATTGTGGAGTGGCTGGGCTGTTGGGCTCTGTTGACAGACGAGGTCGCTTAGGTGTATGCGGACCATCACTTGCTTCCGAGGCATTTTCTTCTCTGGTCGCAGACGACGCCGCAGCCCGCTGCATGAACTGTAGGCCCTAAGTCAGCTCTGTCGCAGCTGCAATCTATGGTTTTCGCATACCTTCATCGTTAACAGGCGGTTAGACATGGACTTTTCGGGCTTTGCAGCCACAGGCGATGATGGCGACATTTTGGCAAAAACAAGGCAGCCAGCTCAAAGCCTGGGAGGAAGGGAGAAAAAAATGTCGACGTCGAGAGATTCAAACGGGGCAGCTTCAGACAAAATTCCCCAGCAGCAAGGCGGCAGAAAAATGCTGCCCGCCAGTAGTGAACTCACCGCCCTCATATCCGTCCGTCCAACCACTCCTCGCGGATTACAGTTTGCTCCTCGAAGTATCCGTCCTTGTTCTTTACTCCTCACTACCGTTTTTGGGACTCAATCTGCCCGGCATGATGTCCTGCACTCGTCGCCTCACCGCTCTGGCGTCGGTTCGCCCTCGGTTTGCCGTTCGCACTTACTCTTCCACCGTCGCTCGCCTTTCCGAGAACCGCATCCCGGTCAATGATGCCACCCCGCCAGCTCCAGCTCCCACCACCAAGACTGAGCTGGCAGCGAAGGATACTGAGCCCAGCGGTGTCCCAATTGAGTCACTGGCGAACATGGAGAACCAGTACCAGGAGGATCCCATCGTGGCAGAAGCTATCCGTAGCCTACAGGCCCCGAACCGCGCCACCACCTGGGCGGCCAGCCAGCAGCCTCGCGCGCAAGCCATGACTGGACCTCGATTCGAGCAAACTATCATGGAGACTCAGGTAGGCAACAATTACCTAGAAGCATTGAAGACGGCCATTGGGCCGAAATCCAGAGCTGACTGTTTTGCTACAATAGCCCCGGCCTATGGCCGCCATTGAGCTCATCCATAAGCAACCAGTCCGCTGGTCCAAGAGCAGAATCGTCAGCTGTGACGGTGGTGGTGGTCCCCTTGGCCACCCCAAGATCTTCATCAACGTCGATAAGCCTGAGATTGCGACCTGTGGATACTGTGGCCTGCCCTTTGTACGTGGCCATGTTAGAGATTTATCCCCGGAAGCCCTTTGACTAACTTCATTTCTTTTTAAATAGGCCCACGAGCAGCACCGTGCATATCTCGAGTCTCTCCCCGCCACCAGCTACCCTCTCAAGCCCACTGACGATCCCGCTGAGGTGAATGAGACCCAACGCGTGACAGATGGCGGCCTGGAGCAGCGGTAAATTAACTAGCATCCGATTCCTTTTGTCGGCGTTGATTATTTTTTTCATGTGCGTGTTATATTACTATATCGTTTTGTTTTGGGCCTAAGGCCGTGTACAGAGATATCGAACAAAATGATATGCCGTTGGCCCGGTGCTAAATTCCTCCCCTTCTACTTTATTAAGAAGTGAATTCTGATGGATCAAAAAGAACCTTCTTTGCATGGATTCACTTGGAGCTGACTGCTCTGGTTTTGTTTTTGTAGCTGCGTCTTTCGCGGAGTCTCTTGGCCGAGGCTTTTTCTCACACAAATGTGTACTCTGGGCTTGTCTAGCAATGGGAAGTGCTCGTACTAGATTGTAGGGTTGAAATATTCCACCATCGCTACACAAGTCAATCGTAGTCTAGCTTGGCATCCCTCGATCATAGACGTTGTCGTGCCACCTCGCCCAGTCATGCTTTCTCGCCCTGAATAGTCGCGACAACTTTGCGCGTGTGTCTGGCACGACGGAACTCCAGAGCCCAGATGCCTTGCCATGTGCCAAGAGCGAGACGGCCATTAGAGATGGGGATGGTGACGGAGGCTCCAATGAGCGCGGATTTCACATGGGCCTAATCCGTAAGTAAACGATCAGCCAGCTGGCCGGTAGAGGGGGCAAGGTAGAAAGGGATACACACCGGCATGTCGTCCTCGCCTTCGGCCGAATGACGGTAAAGGTTGCCCGTGCGGTCGGCGGGCACAATGCGATCCAGAGCATCGCTCATGTCGGCCTGGACATCGTCGTCCCAGTTCTCGTTGAGTGACAGCGCACAGCTCGTATGCTGCACGAACAGGTTCAGAATGCCAACCTTGTAGTCGCGGATCTCGGGCACTTCTGAGAGGACATGATCGGTGATCAAGTATGAGCCACGGCTGCGCGACGGCAGTGTGAAGTTCTTCTGGAACCAAGACATTGTGCGGGTTCACGATATTGAAGAAAAAGAACTTGGAGTTGGGCGACGAGTGGGGAGAAATAAGACGGTTTCCATTGGGCGGGGCTGCTCTGATGTCACTGCACTGCGGGACAGACGACCACTGCTTGGCCTCGACATCATGAGAAAATCACAAGAGACTGGCATTGGACCGTTTATTATCGCGGTATATTAGCCCGCAAGACTCTGAGCTGTTTCTTGGTTGGAATGCGTGGGGCCTCGTATTGACTACATTCCCATGGAACTCTACTCCTGCGATCTTGTTAGGGCTGTGGTATCTATACGTAGCTAGATGCTTGGGTATGCTTATGCTAAGGCTCTAAGAGTACACTGGGTCCCCCTTCCCATCTAGTCGGCAATGAGCCTAGTCAAGGAAGGAAGGGCCAATCGCTTGATTATTTCCATTTTCAGCCAAAGATCGCCGGGTTGCTGGATGCCTCAGTGGAAGAGCTCGGTGAAAGCTCTCGTGCCGTGCGAGCCTTTAAAAAAGGTCTTCGTATCCCCGGAATACTTTTTACTTCTCGTTCAGAATCAGACTCGCTCATCCAAATTCTGCTCAAGTCTGCAACTTCTGCCTGCTCCCAAGATCATCTACCGAAGAGCCCTGGAAACACCTGAAGGCTAGTTTCACTCAGAATGCGCTTTCCTCAAGTCCCTCTCATTGCCTCCCTTGGCATTTTCAGCGCAGCCACTCCGCATGTGGACGTTGCCATCATCGGAGGAGGCCTCTCTGGTCTTGCTACAGCAAAGGATCTTGCGTCTGCTGGAAAGACCTTTGCAGTGCTTGAAGCCCGAGATCGTGTTGGAGGCCGGGTACTCAACCAAGATCTCCCTGGGGGAGGGGTGGAAGAGCTCGGGGCCCAGTTTGTTGGACCAAGCCAGTACCGCGCTCTCGCTCTCGCTTCTGAGTTGGGGCTGAAGACCTACAAGACCTACAACACTGGGAACTCGACGTTTCTACGAAATGGCACCATTTCCCACTACGCAGAAAATGATGAGCGCATCCCCCCTGTTGGAAAAGAGTCGCTGCTGGAACTTGCGAATTTCATTGGGGAATTCAACGAAATGGCCAGTAAAGTCAATGTCGAGTCACCATGGAAGTCACCTAATGCCACGGCGCTGGACTCTATCACACTCGGCAGCTACGTAAAGTCTGCTATCTCGACCGCTGATGCGCGGATGATCATCGAGAACGCAATTTCCGCGATCTTATCAACCGAGGTACAAGAACCTTCTCTGCTGTTCATGCTGTGGTACACTGCGGGGGCAGGTAACGGGACTCGCCCTGGAACTCTTCAAGATCTCGTTGGCACAACAGGCTTTGCTCAAGACAGTCGTATCTACGGAGGCACTCACCTCTTAGCTACTCGACTGGCAAAGAAGTTGGGAACGGAAAACATTCATCTCCAGGCCCCAGTGCACCAGGTCACATTTGAGAACGGTCTTTACACCGTGAAATCGGATGCTGTGACTGTGCGGGCCAAGCATGTCGTCGTGGCCATGTCTCCACCGTTGGCAAGCCGGATCTCTTTCAGTCCGTTGCTCCCTGCAGGGCGAGACCAGCTATCGCAGCGGATGCCTATGGGCGCTATCGGGAAGGCAATTGCTATCTTCCCAAAGCCGTGGTGGCGGGAGCAGGGTCTCAATGGACAAGCCTTGAGTGACACGGGGGTGATTCGAACGACTTTCGACAGCTCTCCTGCCAACTCATCCCATGGTGCCCTTATGGGATTCATCGAAGCGGACCAGATGCGCAAGCTCGATGCACTCACAGAAGATGAGGTCAAAGTTCAAGTTAAGGAAAGCTTGACAGCGTTGTTTGGGTCTCAGGTTGAGTCTCTCACAGATATTCTTATCCAGCGGTGGGACTTGGAAGAATTCTCGCGAGGCGGTCCCGTTGCTTATGGACCTCCTGGGCTCCTCACTCAATATGGACCTTATCTCCGTTCTCCTGTGGGCAACATTCACTTTGCGGGCACGGAAACAGCCCTTGGGTGGGCGGGATATATGGATGGGGCTATCAGTTCCGGGGAACGGACTGCGGCGGAAATCCTCAAAGACTTCTAGAACACGGAAGGTCCGAATGTGGTCTGGAAGAGGTTGTGGGAAAGTATATTACCTAGGTAGTAACCATGGCTCTGCTAAGGCCGGTCTGAAACCACAAAAAAGCGATCAGAGGGGTAAAAGCCGTTTTCGCGATCAACTGTAGCTGGTCTTTGAGTTCCCCGCCCCGATCTAAAGAATATCATGATACAGGGCAATAGGAAAACCCACGTCCACTGGAACTCATACAGAGTTGAATATAATGAGCGGTTCGTCTTCAAGTTGAGGTGCAGATTCAATTGGTACTACTCAGGTACAACTGTAGGACTTTCTTCTGTGCATGTGGCTGATGTAATTTATGTGGGGCTGAGCTTTTAATCTAGTCCACAAGTAGCTTAGTTCGCGCCTAATCAGGAATCGTTCGGAAGGCACGACCAATCGTCTTCATCACCACCATCACCTCCATCACCATACGCCTTCGCCAAGTCTTCTCCCACGTTTGTTATTGTCCCCGTGGACAACAGCCTGTATTATCCTTCAAAACATGGAGCCAGCCCAGATTCAGTTAGCTCGAACTATTCCATCCTTGTGCCTCAGTGGTGGGACTTCATATTTATCTATATACCCTGAATGTCTTGCCCTCACCTTTATGTCCGAATGGAATTCGTTCACGAGAGATGCCTTCCAGCTTTTTCAAGAAGCAAGGATCACCCATGATGTCCCGATCCATGATGAAAACGAGCTATACACCGTCGGAAATAAAATTGGTTTATTTGGCAGGTTCGTGCGAAATCTTTGCGAACCGGTCATGAAAGCCCTTGCGCCATTACCCGGTATGGCTGCGATTAGATTCGCAGATTACGAAGCGCTCTGTGCCCCAGATTCCAATATTCCAGACATATGTTGGGGGCTTACTGACTCGCTCCGCACACCGGACAATGTTTATTTGGTTGGAGAATTCAAAACACCATGGACCGTCCCAGATGCATTTCTTAATCTTCGTCGCCCTGATTTATCTCATAACCTGGAACCACTTATAGGTTTGACTTAATCGAGATTCTATCATTTTCATCAAATTAGCTGACTCTTGAACATTTGATTAGGACAGCTTGTTGCTCAAATGCGCTCAAGATCGCTTCGCTTTGGATTCTTATCCACCTACAACTCTACGGTTTTCGTCAAGAGAGCAGCAGAATGCTCTTTTCTCATTACGCTGCCCATCAAGCATGACGCAACAAAGCCTTCCCTTCGCCAGCTGTTTGCTGGTTTTTGTTTGATGGCCTTATCAGAGCCGAGATTTTTTGAAAGCCCGTCATTCCAGCCAAGACTTGTAAGTACTGATTTGGGCGACTCTGAGAGATATGGCTGAGCTGCTGATACATCGAGAAGCTACGCGGCCTTCCTCCTCTCCGACCCTCTGCTCGTCTAGGCCAAAATCCTGACAGACCCCCACCGTCGACGAACCAATTAGAGTCTATCACATCAAATAGTGTCATCATAAGCACTGACAGGTCCCCACCGACAGTAGTCGACTGTATTCGCCAGCTATCAGACTCATCATCAATGAAATCCAAAGCAACCTGGTTAGCTTCTATCAACGGCACTTTAGTGATTTTGAAGTACTGGGGGCTTGAGTATGATGAGTTGTGAGTTCGAGTAATTCATGACTTGTTGTTAGGCTTACTAACTAGGTACTTTCAGGTTTGATGCTGAAACAGTAGTCTATGACCGACTCTGGACTCGGCGGCCAGCCGGTCTGCATAATTTTGCGAATTGGATACTAAGAGGAGAAATCCTTTGCTCGAGTATTTTGCCTTCCGGATACGTGCTTGTGTTAGAGCGCAGAGAAGGAGTGCCGCTTCAGGAGCTATGGAATACTTCTCCTGAGGTTGAACGAGCCCACATTCAGGCGGAATGCCTCAATGCCATTCACGCACTTCGAGCAGTCAATGTGCGCATACGCGATGCAGGAATGTACAATGTCCTTTACAGCAGAGAGAGTGGTGTTTTGACTTTGCTTGATTTCGAGAGTGCCCAAGAGATTGAAAGCAATTCGGTGATCTCCACCTATTACGAGATGCAGTCTATCTTTCGCTCTAGTTTTCCGCTGGGACGTCCGTCTGGTGGCTAGTCCTGTGGTTATATCTGAGCTTATTACCTTAATTCCTGCATGGATTATGCTCTATTGTTCCAAACATTCCCTCCTTGTAGCTCAGTGCATTCGTACGAAGTTGCCACACAGACTTACCTGTTCTAGAGTGTATCGAGGGAACAGACGAAATTATCTGTCTATCACAATCATCTGGATGCACACCAAGCCCGACTGAAAAGAAATATGTTCAGCTGACTGAGGATGTTTTTGTCAGGCGTTATAGGCAAATGCGATTGGGGCCCAGTGAACCAACTCATCCGCGTGGCACGATTCAGGTGGATCAAATCAGGCGCGAGGAGAGAAGCAGATTCATATACCTCCCAGTAATGGATATTCCAGTCCCTGATGCGTCACGGCTAGGCCTTGGGAATAGTTGGGATAACGTGAAACGCGGGAAACGATGTGTTGAAATCCAACTTGCTGATCAAGGTGAGAGATTTGGATATTTTAGAGGGATAGTAGACCTCTGGGGAACTTCAAATGCGTTCGAGGCGATCGGGTATAGAGAATTCAAGTTCTAGAGCAAGACGGACGAGCTCCGCAAAGCAAGCCGGGCGGTGCGTGACGGCATAGACCAGTACGCAGGGAACTTCTGAAACATTAGAGGCTTCGGAGATGACTGCTGGATAGCAGACAGTGACCTGTATCGAAACTGTATTCGAGCATAATTTCAAAAGTACTAATAGAAAGCTGATACAAAGAGAGCAGAGATATTAAGAACGCATCAAATTTTGAGGAAACTCGAATGAAGTTGGACCAGCTTCATTCCAGTTCTATTGTTAGCGGCAAGGGGTACTGAAGTCAATCGGGTAATAACTACGCGGAAGCAGTTGACTAACCTTGTTAAGTTAGTTAGTTCATAAATTAAGTTATAGGTACCTGAGTCATCACATGAACCACTTCTCTCACCTTCATAGCTCTCTCTCTCTCTCTCTCTGTGTGTGTGTGTGTGTATCGAATCTATACATCTAGTTACTGCTTACAGTCTATTGTATTTCGAAAGGGGCTCTAATGCACCACCAGCCAAACGATATACCATGGCATCTACTTGCCTCGAATCTTCACTGGGCCCCGGGTGAGCTCGCACCGCAAATTCGCGCCCTAAATCTTCCTCAGCTCCCCGGCAAATTGAAGGACAAAAAGGGCTGCACATGTGGTGTCACTAACTTGCACCCAAATTCTCCTGCGCCCCAGTCTCCTGATCAAAATGAATTCGCTCGGGCTTTTGCACAGGCCGTGTCTGATGCTTCGAAACGCAAGCGAGCCCAGTACCCGGAGAAGTACAGTCCCCCCAGTCCCAGTGATATTCTCTTAGGGGATGAGCTCTTTGAAAAAGTCGATTCCCTTTTGTCCCAGGAGATAAAAGGTGGGCCTAGGCTTCCGTTTGAGCAAAGAACTGCTTCCGCATTCCTTCACCCGTGGGAGTGTGATGATCATTGCAATTGGCTGAGTTCAACCGAGATCGGATTTCTCAATCTAGAGGTAGTTAAGCTGCTGCTTATGCTAGGCGAAATGGGTCCAATTCTTCAGGCATGCGCCCACCCAGACGAAGGACTTTCAGGATGGTACTCTGCTGCCGCCTGTGATTGCAAGGTAAAGTCCAGTTCTGATTTGACTATTGCAGAAGTCATTACTGAAACTTATTGCAGGCAAGCCCCTATGACCTCGGGTGGGATATGGCCCTATTTAACGCTCTGGAAGCCTATATCGTACTTAACGTCGCCCTTTGTTTCCCGCAACTCTATGACCCAAGAGCGGGCCGAACTGATGAAACCGACTATCGTCATACAGCATTCTATCAGTCCATGCTGAGAAGTGTCACTGAGTCGTGTGATTCCGAAGCCACGTCCTATCCACACCAGAAGTTTTTTGGGATTCCCCGTGACCATTTTGAAGAACTATTTGACATTTCTGGGAAGATCGACCAGATGCACTGGCTCCATGGCACAGACATCATAAAACGGGCCGGTCACTATGGTCTACTCTCATTTGATGAGTTTCTCAACTTAGAAGGTTCATTGGATGATCAATTTCAGCCATCGGAATCTGACGTTGAATCCGTGAAAAAGGCACTTCTTTTCAAAGGCCTTCCCCTCGAGATTGTGTTTATGGTCATGGAGTTCGCTGATTATAACGCTAAGAGGGTCCTTGAGGTCCCGCATGATCCCCTCCACCCTGCTAACAGAGCTGCACTGGACCATTACCTTGATCAATGCTGGCAAATAATCATTGGCTGTAACATCATGAACGATGAACTTGGTGGGCAAAACTTGAACTGGCAAAGCCGAGTCCATAATCAAGTGATGGCCCTTTTTCACAGACCAGAAAGCTCCTTTTACCGCAATGGATCGATAACGGGAGAGAGATGTACTGGTATATAAACTTGATCATTATTTTGAAAAAAGGCCACTAGTTCTAGTGTCCCTCATGAATTTATTTACTACCATCTGCCAATGCTCGTCTATCCATGTTTTGTAGGCGAGAGAAAACAAAGTATTGTTATAACTCAGGCACAGGGTATCAATACGCAGTAGGAATTTAACTAGATAAATAATTATGAGGAAAGAAGGTTACCAGAGCGGTGTGAGGCAATTTGAACACACAGAGTACACAACCAAAGGTAGTAAGGAGCCCTAGCAACCGGGCTTCTATAGTGATAAGTATTATACCTGGGTTTCCTAGCATTTGCGTCCCATATATCTCTTTCAGATGGCCGAGGATTGGGGACCAGAAAAATAAGTTTCCTCCACATATGCAAGGTTTGAAGGTAGAAGAAGGAGAAAAGGGGTCGGGAAGGCGAGGCTGGGTCTTTTATGTGAGAGCAATGGAGGGAGAGGTTATATGAAGGCGTATTGAGGCGCTGATCCTGAAACCGCAAAACTCACCCGTTCCAGGAATTCACAGTGCCCGATATTACGAAAGAACTATAGACTATCTCTTCTGCAGTCCTAGATCATACGAGTCCATAGAAGTGAAGGTAGTACAGTATCTCTGACCAGACTGTCTTCTTAAATCATTCGATACTGAAGCGGACCGGGCCACTTTACTAGATCGAACTCGGGCTTCGATCGGTACAAGCCACGTGTAGTATGTCCATGTTGACAAATCACAATATGAGTTGAGTATACTAGGTCCTGTAAGACTTTATGTTGGTCTGGAGATGACTCTGGTGGCTTCCAAGGTATCTCATGACGGGGCCGCAACTAATGTTTGGAGAGGGCAAGAGAAGAGAGTCCACTAGGAACTCATGTTATTAGGGTGGCTTCTAAGGTTATTTTACTCAGCCACAATCATACTACCCCGTTTCCGTCTAATATCCACCAGGTTGCCTAGATGACCCCGCAATCCTTGATGTACTTTTGTGTCGAGGCCCACTTCTCGCGCTAGTCGCTCTATTATTCCCCTTCTCGGACTAGCGCGTTCCCGCGTTCTCACGATCGGAACAGTTGGGTCATCGCCACTTTCCATTGCTTCTGGGTTAATCTCCTGCACATTTCATTTTCTCAAGATGTATTGCGGGCTGAGAGACGGCCGACGAGCTAGCCATCGGTGCTTGTCCTGCAAGCAGGATCATCAAAAAGTACGTCTTGTGTTGTGTCAAGTCCCAGACAATTCATACTGACGGGGCTCAGTGCACGGGCGGGCGGCCATGCGTCAACTGCGTCAAAAAAGGATGCAAATGCGTCCAACCGACGAGTTTGCAAGAAATGCCAATCATTCAGTACAAATCAGCCATGCCAACTGCATCAACCCTGAAGCGACAGCCATCGAACCCATTTTTATATACTCAAATATTCTTTGAGCTGACAAGTACATCCGTCTTGCCGCTCATGAGAGCCTTCTCGACCGAATCCATTAATTCCATTCATCATAAAAACGCGCTTGTCCAAAGAGCAGTCGCACTCGTGGGCAAGGCTTATATGACCCAGAAAAACCGCCCATTAATTACCACCCGAGAATTGAAATCTGATCTGCGAGGAACCGTCGAAGAATTCCAGCAGGAACTCGTGAAAAGTGTCAGCCGATGCTCGTCGGGTGGCCCCGAGGCTATCCTTCTCCCAGCCTGTCTGATTAGTATTGTGGAGGTGCGTAGCATCGGAACGTTCCAGAGCGCATAAAGCATGGAGACTAACACCTGGGTAGCTTCTATTGTGCGACAAGGGAGCTTCATGGTGCTCCTCGGTTCACAGAATCCTTGCATTGGTACAACAAACCCATTACGATACTCGACAACCGACACGGCTGGAGCGTGATCTGAATCGATTTTTACGAGCCTGTGATGTCTTGATATCTATCCTCTTCCACCAAAATATCTTCGAGTCCCCCCTGGGCAACTTTTCAGCGATCGATATGGCCTGTCCTGATTGCTTAGATGCCCTTCCAGAAACGGAAGACGAGCGGTGGGATCTGTTACTCCAGCACTTGGGAGTATGGGGCCAGCTGCAGTATTGGTCAGTATCATATGATTCTGTGTTGTGCGCCCACGGGGATGTTTCTAACAGGAATGAGCCCAAAGGTCGCTTCTATGGATGGATAGTACCAGCAAACGGGAGAAGCGGGAAGCCCTCGAGCGCCAGTACCCAAACTTCGATCACACCACGCTCGGTATCGACCTGGTTAACTTCGGGGCTCGTCTACAGCGCACTATCATATCTTATATTCTGGCCTATTCCTCCGGCGAGTCAAGTCATTTGTCTTTGTCGCTCCTGCTCTATCATTACTGGGCCTTGACGGGAATATCTCAAATATTCCGGGGCTCTGAGTGGCAATCCCTGGGAGTGGCCCTGCCGACCATGAACGATGAAATGGCCCATGAGCAAGCCGTCCGGACCTTTGACCAGATTGAAAAAAGCCTCGGGAACCTTCGATTGGACGCGATTGTCTACGTTCCGCTTCTGGGAAAGATCGGAGCTGAGCTACGGACTATATATGAACGCCAGCGAATGGTCGAGGTTATTAGGTCCTTCCGGAACCAAGGCTTTGCGGTTGCCGACGAGGTGGAGCAAGATCTGCGCATTCGTTGGCTCGTACTAGACGCCCAGGGACATGTTCCTTTGAACTTCTCGTGGTAAAATCTGCGAGCCGTCATGGTCTGGGAATACTTGGGACTAGGAAATATAGGTAACACGGATGGATGGAGTCTCCGGAGGATGGCAGGATAGCGGTATATAATATTCTCAATACAATAACGAAGTGACGAAACACCAAATGGAGACCCTGATTGACTGATCTCGGGGATTGCGGATTTAACCGCGGCACTACCCGTATTACCCGAAGCTCGAGACCAAATAGGCCATTTTTCCACTCTGACACGTCTTTCCGATGCCTAGGAAGCGACGACAATACTCGAGCTGCGAGGCTTGTCGCAAGAGCCGCCTCGGGTGCGATGCGCAAAGAGCCGACGGGCCGTCATGCTCCAACTGCGCGCGTCGGGGGAAGCGTTGTGTAGTCAAGGTTCGTGTTCGATAGCATACCAGATTTGCCATCAACGCTAAGAAACTCGAAAGTGGGCGAAAGAAGGGCCCAAGAAAGCAGCAAGCACCAAGGGAGCGGTCGTAAAAACTCCCGCTTCTCCCGCTTCTCTCTTGTCGAATCCCATCCAACCGGCAAACCGCCACCAGGAGGGAAGGGTCCTCCACGGGCTTCTGTATCAGGTTTTCGTGAATGTGTATGAGGCGCGCATATCCGACTTTCTCGAGAGCCATACATCTCCCGCTCTCTCTACTGCATCGGTACGAGGCCCGTCATGCGTGTCTAGACATTCGGTTAATATTCTAGTAGCCTTCCGGAAAGTCAATATTAGCATTTATGGTGGGGCTGGATAATCCAGACATCGACTGCTCTAGAAAAGGGGTGGGATTCATTCACCAGACTACCAATGCTGCAATACGTGCATTCTCATTGAAATATCTCTTGGCCGACAAGACCCGTCCAGGCCAAGGGTGCCATTATACAACGATCCAGCAAGAGAGCTGCTTCAAATCGATTTGGGCCCAAGGCATCCAAGCTGCCCGGGACGCTATGGAAAGCCAAACATATCAATCGGCACTCACGCTCTATATTATCGGACTGGCATCCATGTCGAGGCCCACGTCACACAAACCTGCGAACTTCGAGCGCACGTGTTTTCGAGCTGCGTCGGACCATATCTCGAAACTGCGGCCCTATACAGAGCACGCGAATTTAGGCGACTATGGAAAACTGGGTCACAATGTGGCGTATTTATGTGCCGCGCTAAGCGATAATGCCTTCCAGTTTAGTCTGTCAAGGGGCTCCAGAGAGCCGACCCTTTTCCGCATGAATGAGCAAATCTGGACCAATGTGCGGGATCGTACGCATTTATTCCATCAGTCATTTGAAGTCATCCATGGCATGCATGATCCGATGTCGAAAAAGGTCCTCTCTACAGTCCTCCAGCATGCGACCATGTTCAAGTCCATGATGTGGTGGAACTTTCACCATACGGACCATGATCGAATCGACCTCATGATCCACGACGCCGTTCTTTTTAATCGAGTGTATGCGCCTTTACTGGATATGGTAGCTCGGGACTTCTTGCTGATCCACCCGAGAGAGCAGCTAAGCTTTGGTGAGTGTCAACACCTTGCCGTGCATTCGAGCGACGACTAAACGAAGTAAATCCTGGGTGACCAGTCCTTGTCACTACCCACTTTCACTGGGCCATTCTTCTCTTGCTTGAGGAGGTGAAAGAGCTAGGCATTGCGATGCCAGTTGGCCAGAGCTTGTCCGAGCTGGCGTCCGTTCGATCGATCGTGAACGCGCTTAATCTAGCGCAGCTCGTCAATCGCATCAACGCCGCCCATCCTGCGGTACTCCTCCTCGACCCTATGCCTGAAACCCTGACGGATATTATGTATACTACTGCAGGATCGCTCATTCGACTCTGTGGAGAAGGGCAACTATCACTTGGTGCTACCCAAACTATGCTTTCCGTCATTGTCTCAGCTCTAGAGGTCATACAGGGTGTCTCATTAAAAGCAAACGGGGCGCTCGAAAAGATACGGCGGGATATACGGAATTTGTCGATTTTCGTTCGAGAAGCAGCTCATTCAGGCCTCTACTGAGCCTTCGATAAAATAACATCGCAGAACGAAGTTGAAGCATGACCAAATTGATCTGCGACGAGCACAGATGGGACAAGCGAGCTCGGTCCTGTGGGTTGCAGGTCTGGAAGCCCCCGGAGCTTCTCCAAATGCAAGGGAAACTAACCCAAATACGGTTCAAGCGCGACGCGTGTAAAGCTCCTAAGGTCTAGAACGAATAAGCTCCGTGCGCTTACCATGCTTAACTTGCAGTGGAGAGCCAACCTTCTGCGGCCTCAAACGAGATTGGAACTACCACCACACTCCCCAGTGCTCTCTCCGTGGATTCCGTGGGCTTGGAAGATTCAGTGGTAGGTCGATCCCTAGATAGTGCGGTCTGCTACTGAATAGATGCAAAGCATCCGGAAGCTTGCAACCTTCAGGTGGGCTATATCTGGACACAACGGGGCGTGGGGGCAACCAGAATACTCTGGTACCAACTTGGAGATGTCAATTGCTCTTCGAAAACTCAAATAGCATGTTTGCTTCTGCAAAGTAATCCCCTTTCACGCTAAAATGTAAAGGTAAAGATTATTCCTGTCAGCTGAAAGATTAAAGTCTGCCGGACTTAATCGGATTTAGCACATTCGAGTTTGTCTCAGTCAATCGGACCCGATCACGGGCACGGAGGTTCAATATCATCCCTTGCGCACTTTTCGGAGGCGAATTACAAAATGCTGAAATGCCAGCTTCGTTGATTTATGCAGTATTGCGCTCGGAATTAGGGTTTTATCTGCGACGGCTACGATCACGGCAAAGCCGGAAGGAAGATGGCTATAAAGAGTGGAGAACCCCCCCGCCTTGATGGAATATAGAAAGCATCAACGCCATTTCAATTGTAAAGTCCACCGATCAAGCCAATATGTCGACTCCCTACAATTACGACAAACTCCGCGACAAGCATGTGCTCGTTTTCGGTGGCACGTCGGGCCTGGGCTACGCAGTAGCCAAGGCTGCCCTCGCCGCTTCGGCGCGAGTCAGCTTCTCAACTTCTTCGTCGGATCGGATCCAAAAGACAATCCAGCGACTAGTCGCAGAATTCCCCGGCACAGAGTCGAAGATCCAGGGCTATGTGTGTGATCTGTCGAAGGAGACAGCCGAACAAGAGATCGAAAGCCTCTTTAGCAAGGCCGGGCGTGTCGATCATATCGTCTATTCTGCCGCCGACCACCTGCCATTGATGCCTCTTCAAGAGATTACGCGCGAGAAGCTTGTCGCAGCTGGCCAATTACGATTCTTTGCACCGCTTCTGGTGGCGAAAGTCGGTGCTCGTTACCTCACGGCAGGACCGGAGTCGTCGCTGACTCTGACGAGTGGAACGATCCATGAACGTCCCACGGAGAACTGGACAGTCCTCGCGGGCTACATGGGAGGCGTAGTCAGTATGACGCGGAACCTGGCTGTGGAAATGAAGCCCGCGCGGGTGAATGTTGTCAGCCCCGGGCTGGTAGATACGGAGATGTGGGATGCGAGCTTTTCGCAAGAGGAGAAGCAAGGCTTTTTCAATCTGCTGGCTGGGAAACACCTGACTGGGCGGGTCGCCCGACCGGAAGAAGTTGCGGAGGCATATATTTACCTGATGAAAGACTCGAATGTGACTGGGCGAGTGATTAGCTCTGACTCGGGCAGTGGGATCGTCTAGGAGGCCCTTTTGGGGGGGCTGGCTGGGATGCTAATGTGTGCTACCCACGTGTATGAAAGACAAGATTAGGAATAGAAGTGTTAAATAGAAGGGTTACTGGTGTCCAGGGGATCTATACAAATCTAACTTCTGAGCATGAGTAGGTTTTTCATATTCGATTATTGAGTCGTAAAAGGCTGGCAAGATAGTAACTTGTTGGCGCATAGTGCTAGTAAGGAGTCCCGCCATTGAGCAAAACAGATACATTTCATGCTTTAAGACGCATCACAGACCCCAGCCTGCACCTTGGGAGGGTTGCTATCAGCACTGCCCCAGTCAGCAGAGCCGACAGCCTGTCCAGCAGCAGTCGTGTTGTCGGCAAGAATCTGGCTTGCGTTAGAAATGATCTGCGGGCACCAACAGGGATTGCATCGACATACATAGTACTGGGGATCAACATAGTACCACCAGTCGTCGCTGCGGAAAGCATTGTCCAGGGACTGACTGGCAGGGTCGTTGTAGCCGGTGTTCCGGTCGTCGAAGTGAGGGTGCTTGGACCAACCGACGTAGGCCTTGGGGTGGTCCTGATTCCGCACGCCATTGGGGTCTTTGGCATCACCCGCGTTCACCTGGTCCGTAGTTAGGGTATTCTGGATATCGCCCCAGGCGTAGCTGTTGTAGCCGCTGTGGGCGGAATACAGAGCGCGCGAGGGCGCCCACATGTTGTTATCGTCGCGGGAGTGGATGATGATGATACGCTCCCAGTCACTGCAAAATCCGTTAGAACTATACCTGCATTCTTCATCAAATCCCTTACTAGTCATGGCCAGTATTGACGAGATCGGCAACAATCGCCCCGTCCTTCTCGTAAAAAAGGTTGTAGACGACGCGCACCTCGGTGTCATTACACTTGCCGAAGGTGTAGTAGATGGGGAACGGCGGACCGGGGTTACCTATGTCGACCCCCGGGTTCCGGCAGTTACATCCGACGTTGGGATACTCGCACTGGGGCGCCGCGGGCGTCTTATGGGCGTCGTCATACTTGTCTGGGGTTGAGGGTGAGCCTCCAAACGCCCAGGTCGGATAGCACGGTGGCTGGTCCATGGCCTGGCCAAAGAACCAGATAGGGGCATAGCGATTGGCAAGATCCACACTGTTCGAGCTCAGCAGCGTGTTCATGTCATCGTCGCTGATCTGCGTGACGGCGGCGACAGGGGCGGCCAGCGCCGCCACCTTAAGCAGGGACGTCCACATCGCGATATAACTGAAGGGTTAGCAGGCTCGGCCCCTCAATGGGGACGGCTCCCTTTAAAGTAAGCATCTCTCTCCCAGATCTCTTAGAACGAGGGGTTGAAAGTAAACAAAAAAAAAAAAGGAACGAGTTTCCCAATCAGGAGATGAACTGCAAAAGGGTCACATCGGCCAAACGGGCTCGGGAGGGAGTCCGCGCAAAGTGGTTTAGCACCTAAAGCATTCTGAACTAGCAGGGCGCAATCTGCATTCGAAGATTGGTCCATAGCTGGATCAAACCGGAGAACAGACCGTTCAGGAACCGATCTGCTGTCAGCCCGGAGTCTCCGATGGGGAAGGCATTCTGCAGAGGCTCGCCAGCTTAGCCTTGGGGGCGATCCGGGCGGCAAATGTCCAATCCCATTCCAGACTGACCAACGTGCGCAGATCCACCGCACGAGGGGCTCGAGGTAGAAGGAATCGATAATCGATGCTGGATATTTTGCGATATCGTAAACTAATATACAAAGTGAAAGATCTGCAAAGGGCGCTGCGCCATAACTTCACCCATTGCTCTAGTGTTCATGACAATGGTCCCTCGTTGCATTATTTCGAATGGGATTCTTGCCCTCCATCATCTAGCAATGTACTCGAGTTGTCCATCCCGCTCCACTTGGGGAGTCCATCGGCGATATCCATGATGCGTTGCTCGTAGAAGATGTGGCATCTGGAGCATCACCGGTTAGCACCGAGCACCATAGGGGGATGTCGCCGTCAATGAAACTTACGTAGGCGTGAACACGTCTTTCTTGCGTTGCTGCTCTTCGGGGCCATTGACCTGGATCAACTCCGGCATCAATAAGACCATATTTCTCCCTTCGTCAAACAAGGGGCTGTGGCAGAACGCGCAATATACTTTGGTGGGCAGCTTGTATTCGGGCGACTTAGAGGAGGAGGAAAAGAAGGTCAAGTCCCCGCTTCCGGGGTGAAGGCCAAGTCTTCTTTGTGGAAAATCGCCGCCAGCTGGAAGGGCGCGCCATGCATGCGCTGGCAACTCTCACAGTGGCAGATCTTGACGTTCAATGGCTGGTCGCGTTTCACCAGATATGAGACCTTTCCGCACTGGCACTGCGCCCGCCACTTGACCGACCCGAATTCTTCGGGGGTCTTGGGATCGTAGGGTGGGCGATGTTTCCAGGCCTCAGTGAACAGGGTGTTTTCGGTGAAGTTGTTGGTGGCCGCTGGCGATGGCAAAGGGGGCTCAGTGCCCGCAGGCTCGACTCCCATTTCGGCCATCTTGGAAGAACGTGCAGGTTGCACCAAACTAGTCGGGGTCTACCATGGGGTTTTATTGTCACTACGAGATCTGGGGAAAAACTTGAAAAAGGGGATGATGTCAGTCTTGACGGATTTTAGCCTTTTTACCCGCTAAACCGTCGGATCTTATCTGCAAGTTCGGTTCTCATCTTGAAAAGTCCCAGCATCCCGGTATGCCTGGTCCAGGTACCTAGTAAGACCTCCACCAGGAGTGCATCGCCCCTTTTCACACGCAGGATCGAGTCTTTTTGCATCTCAATTGAATGACGACCTCCCGCAATGAACCCGAGCTGGTGCATGGGAATGTCGAGTGTGTCGAGGATGTCGAGAATGTCGAGTATGGCGTAGGGGTGATGTCATTCACTGGGAGCTTCCAAGTCCCCAAGTGTGAAAGGTCTAGACTACTTGAGTCGATTGCCTTCGAGAATCACGGCTCGATCTGCACATCTACAGGAGAAATGCCTTCGAAGCCGAAAGGACGGGCTCTTTTTTCTGCGGCCCATGCCTGCGATCCTTTTGTCTTCATGAGCGCGAAGGCCAGCGGGTGACGATTGCGCCTATCGGAGCGCGCGCCCTCCTGGAATCTTTCTCCAGGAGTTCTTCAGCGCGCTTTTGGGCAGGGTCTATCTGCAAGAGTCAATATATTTAGATCAAACAAGCGCGGGGCCCTCGCCAATCAGAGCGGCGATGAGCCAAATTGACACCCAAGCGCCTCCGACTGCGGTTTGATTGGGTGTTTCATCCCTGGACAAACCTGCGGGCCCCCGTATTAAGTGGCTTTCAGGTGGCTGTCAGGCGTCGGGGCATTTAAAGCTTCGTCGTCCCCTTTCTTTTACCCCCCTCCCTTTTACCATCAAACCCAAGGCATGGGCCTGCTGGATCGAATCCGCGCCCGTCCCCGGCGTAGTGCGGGGCGAGCGAGTCGGAGCTGTCATCTCCGCCCCGCTCGCCGGGCCACGATCTCACCAAACGCCTGCCACGCCCCGTGCTGGCGCACATCTTCGCCGCCGTCTGTCCCCATGCGACCGACTACTCGTACGTCACCTCGGAGGAGTCCATGAGCGATGGCTGCATGCTATGTGACATGCGCGACTTGGCCCACTGCGCCCTGGTGTGCAAGCGCTGGTTCCTAGAGGCACGCGCGCTGCTGTAAGAGCCCAGCCCACCGTGAGGGACAAAGGAAAATTAGGAAAAATAGGAAAATAAGGCTAAATCTCTGATCCTGGACCCCATCAGGTACGCCAATATCCGGATCGACCCGGTCCACTACTGCGAACTCGAATTCGAATTGGCCGCCAAGCGCAAACGCCGCTCCTTCTTTGACCGCAATGGCGACCCCATCGATGCTCCGCAGGTCCGACTCGAGCTTCTGATGCGGTCAGTCCGGGAGTCGCAAGGCCTGGCGAACATGGTCTTGTCGCTGCGGATGCCCTATATGACCCGGGAGGCGAACAAGGCCAACATCGCTCGCACGATCTCCGTGCTGCCCCATCTTCGCTATGTGGATCTGCCCTCCGGATTATTCGCCGACGAGTCGTCATGTCTCGCCTTGAAACAGGAACTCATGGTGCGGTGTCCAGATCTTCGGCGAATGAGCTACCATCACGGCGCTGAAGGCAGCTTTGCGCGCCTCCCGGGGTCTCAATTGTGGATGAATCTGGAAAAGCTGGAGCTGTCTGGCTTACACGTGGAGGGGGGGGACGCTGCGCAATGGTCTGGCCGCTTTCCCGCGGCTGCGCGACTTAACGCTCAGTGAAATCCCCTGGCTGGATGATACGGTCTTTGCCGTGGACTCCCCACTACCGCCGTTCCCCGCTGTGGCACAGCTCACTATTCAAGGTACCCCCAATGTGACGGCAAGCGGGCTTGCCGCGCTTTTAACTTCACCTTCGGTCCGCTCCACTCTCCGTTCTTTAACTCTCACTTCGACCGGGGTTCACCCGTCCACCCTTCACACTATCCTGGCCGTAGCTCCCCGGCTGCGGAGCCTCTCCATTGTCCAAGAGGTCTCACGCTCATTCCCGGCGGAAGCGGTTCCACCGTTAGCATCGAGCTCATTGCGTCTTCTTCACTATGAAATCACCTCGGGGACAGAAATGCCCGGGCTGCCACCCGCCGCTAAATCATACTACATCTACCTGATCTCATCCCTCATGTCGCGAGCCTTACCCGCGCTTCGTGACCTCTACGTCCGAGACGCGCAGTTCCCCGATACCCTGTTGCTCGCACCTCCGCCTCGTCTCTCGGGGCAGGGAAGACGGGCCTCAGATGGTGGCCGGGGGTCTCTCACAGCCGTTGAACGTGTATAGCAAGGGCTTAGACGAGCTGGAATGGAACTTCACGCCGTACGAACCCGAGGCCGCCCGGGGAGGGTCCAATGGCACCAAGACGCGGCCGGTCAGCTTCCAAGAAGCGCAGCTCGGCCGGTCTTGGGGCGGCGATGCCCGGAAAAGCGTGCTGGTGGGCAACGGCTTTGGTGGATTCCTCGCCGTCCCAGAAGATGAAGGTGGCAGACCCAAGAGCAGCAGTGGATATAAACGGGCGAGCCGGCAAGACCTCTGGCGCTGATTCTCCCCGAAAGGTCTACCCAGTGGTTTTTTTTTTTTTCGTAGTAGAGCGCCCTGCTGAACGGGAGTTGGGGGGGTGAAGGGCTTTTGTATATCCAGAACCATGGAGTCACGAATATGATAATGAGATCATACAGGGTATCTTTTGCAAGATTTTCCGATTTCCTATATGTCCTACCGGAGGCTTTGTTCTGTCTTCTAGCTTATTATATGCCATTTCGTCTAATGTACAAGAATCCCCCCCGATTCAAGACTGTTCTTCCGATTCGGGCCAGTTGGGTGGGAGCACCATGCCGCGCCAGACCCAATGATTCTGGAGCTCGATTGGCTCCATATCGCAATACCCGTAGGTCTCGCAGTAGCACGTCACTACATCCAGACACAGCTCGGCGGTTTTGCCGAACATAACTGCGGGAACTCATTAGCAACAACAATTCCCGAGACCGAGCACGGAAGCAAAACGGAGATCACATACTGTGCCAAGCGTATTCAAAGATCCGCCCGCTCGTGGCGTTGTCCAGATCGACATCGAGCAGCCACTGGCGGCATCGCTCGTAGTCCGCCTTCGGTCGTGCTCGCACGGCCTCGCGCGACACCGCGAACTGGCTGCAGCACGGCACCCCCACAACCTCCGGCAGCTCCTCGTCCGGGAAGAGCTCCAGAAAGCGATCCGGGTACTCCACGGCGGTGGGATGGGCCGGGTCGTCGGGTCTTTCGCGGAAATAGCGGCCTGGCTCGAGTTCGCTGGGGCAGCCGATGGCCCATACACAGCGCAGGTTCACGTAGCCTGTTCGCTTCACGTGGTCGATTTGCAGGTCTTTCAGCGTTACGACAGAGTCTGGAGGTTGGCACAGTGAGTATTTTCGCCCGTGATTCTATATTGAGACATGGGGTCTCGAGACAACTCACCATATAAAGGGTTGTCGTTGTGCCACTGATAGCGGCCGCCATGCATAAGCACCATCACTTCGGGCAGAGAATCGTAGCGGTCAATCAAATATCTGTAATGGAAAAAGAGTTAGCTTATCCCCGCTGAATTTCCTGCGTTCGAGAGAAAGGGGCTTCCCTACGTCAAGTATACCATCGCCTCATTTCCTTTATTCCGGGGGACCGTAAAATTGTATTCGCTCTTGTCCGCATCGGCGCGATAGATCGTCGTCGTCCAGTCGGGCACGTTCTCTGCGACCCACGCCATGTCGCTGTCGCGCATCGCAGCAACCACCAATTCCTTCTCGGGGGTCCTGGAGATCCGCCACTGGCAGCCGTCCCATTCAAGTGGGTGCCGTTCAAGCTTCCCACGGAGTATGTGGGCGGTTCCGCCACATCCTGCTTGGCGCCTCCAACCGATGTCTTCCCCCAGGGCGACACGGATTCCAGCGAGCCATGGTTTAATACAAGCTGATATGAAAGCAGAAGCGCAATGACGGCCAGCGCCAAATAAATGAAGATCCGGCTGCGCCCGGGCGACCCCTCGCGGGGCTGCAAGCGGAATAGGGAGAAGATGCTATTCATGCTACGAGCATTGTTTTGAGCGGGTTTCCGCAATAACAAGGTACTCGGGACAAATCAGGACGGGAATGGGGTAGCAGGAATTTGAAGGGGCGAAAAAGCAAAAGTCGAATGGGGAGTGTAGATACAGAAGACACAAGAGATACAGGAATACAGAAACAGGAAGACACAAAACACCTCCGGCTGGGCCCATGATTTAATCGAGTAAAAGATCGGGGGGGGGGGGGGAGACGGCTTCCTCTGCGTCTGAAGGGGACCGGCCATCGTGCCCGGGGCGGGTCTGCCTGGGCCTGACCCTGCCAGACCCTGCCGGTGGTGGACTGCCCAGCATCAGCACGAGCCGGATTGGCCGAGGATTGGTGGAGTGGGCGATCGTCTCCAGGCCATCGCTAACATACGTAAGCTGGCGCATCGTTCACCTGGAAACCTGCCAAACAAACCGGTGCCATTGGAGACGGAAATCAACCCCGAGTCCCTGGACGCAGCCCTACGGTATAAATACTGCCAGTGCTTGCGATAGTGCCATCGCCTTCGACGCCCTGGAGCTGGATCGGAAACAGAAGCAACTCGGACGCCTGAAACAGATCCGTGCGGAGGCGCCGGGGATGTGGACCCTGTCTAAGCCCACTGTGATGGGGATGTAGTAGATAGACCTGATAACGACAGTACAGAGATAACGATGACGAGAGGTTGAATCTTTCTGGCGTATCTGCTGTCGATCTTGTCGCTCATGTTGGTTTTTAGGGCACCCGTTGCACCACGTTCAAGTTTCCGTTATCGGTCCGCGCTTATCCAACGCTGCTCGGGGCCGTTGAAAGAAGATGAGGGGAATGAAAGAAATGAAAAAAAAAAAAATTAAGAATTGGCTGGGGCTAATTAATGTAGTACGGAAAGTGATCTCTCAATATTGAAAAATCAAAAATACCCTCCATTACGGAATTGCTATGGAATTTATGGTACTTGTCCTTGTAATCTGCCTATAACCTGCTATTTGATACGTACTCCATACGAGAGCCCTCGTTATCTCATGCAAACCTCTGCAAACAATGCTACACCTAGCATAGTAGTCTAAGCCAAGAAAGAAAAATTCGCGGACGATACTTGTGAAGCAGGACTGATCCAGCAATTGATATCCTCCCTCAGACATGGATACAGGAGCAGCAGCTCCTGGAAGTTGCCCAGGGCCGAAATGTCAAACATCGATTGACATGGATCGCCAGCAGTTGGCGGTCTTTGGCAATGCTCGAGAATGGCAGGGACGACGAAATGCTGTCTATAGTCAGGGATCTGTCCCAGGGAGTAACGCTCACCGTTACTGTCGCATCTCTTGGCAGAGTACGGAGAGCCGTAGACGCATCGAATGGCCCACATGACAACCTTGATGGGCGCACCGTGGAGAGCCTCTTGGAAGGCCTCCATGGCCTTGTGCTGAAGCTGATCCATTTGGAGCCAGCGAGCGACAAGAAACATGTCAAAATGGGCTCTGAGCAGCCGGCACCAGTTGTTGCAGCCGTCACAAAGACAGTTGTCGACGCTGAAGCGCAGAGGATACTGCAGGGCCTCATCGGCCGTGAAAGCGTAGGAGCCCGTCCAGAAAAAGTCAACGAGTTTGGCCAGCTGCCGGGGATATATCGGGCCGGGGATAAACTCATGGGTATAGTAATGAGGACACTATGGGAGAGTCAGTAGTCTGTGCAAAGCGATGGGAGGGAAACCACCGCACTCACTACTTCAAGATACCGACGAAAAGAAGGAACCTCTCGGAGAATGTCGACCTTGCGGACTTTATAGTATGCGCTTTGGCACATCAACCCAAAGTCGGACGGAAACCGCTCCATCAGCCTATCATCGCGAGTTAGTGGGGAGACTGATCTCGTGTGGAGTTGGAGTTGGAAGATTCAAATACCATTCACGCTGCTTGGCTATTTCGGCAGCAACATCCTCCTCGCGTGGGCTTTGAGATTGAATTTCTAACTGCTGGGTGAGCTCCGACAGATCTGAGGACAGCAGAAACTCTAAACTTGCATCACTGACAGGTTGCTGATCTTCCGAGTACTCGGGCGGAAAGAGATGTGAAATGGACGGTTTGCGCGATGATCCTGGAAACTGGACGCGCGCGTGAGTTCTACAGAAACAGCCAACGCCGTAAGGAGCTCCGTGAGTCATACTGTTGGATGGCAGTAGGCTTATTGGAACAGTCGAGGAAGAACCTATTTATAAGAGTGTAGTATCAGGCCTTGAAGCAAAGATTCTTTGTATTGCGGTCGGACTCTGGGATTATGACGCAAAGGGGCCTGGTGCATTTTATAGTGGTAGAGTTTCATATTGCCCTCGGAGGCCTAGAGGCGTTTACACAAAGCAAAGCCCTGAGACGGTTCTCGAACCATAGAAGGAACAATGCCACTACGCTATCTTAAAACATTGTCATCCCCATAATGGCATTCGAGGTTCAAGTTTACAAAGAAGAGACTATTACTGCCTCCATTCAACTTGGCGTCGCGGGACCCCCGAGAGCGGCAGAAACAAAGACTTGACAGCAGTTGATGGCGATGAATGCAAAAGATATGTCTAGCCCAGTCGGAGATTCCTTGTTTGACTGCCAAGGGATAATCGATAAAGTTCCAGTGAAACTCGAACATAGAACTCTCCAGACTCCCACCCTTGGTTCAAACTGCCACGGAAGCCGCTATCTCTTTCAGCATTCGCCCTTGACGACCAAAACAGACACATCGTGACTGCCCAGCGAGACACTGTGGCCTTTCTCAACACATCCCAAGTCGTCTCCAGACCAAGCATCAATAACTTGATACGAGTCAGAGCCATCCTTCAGCTCGGGAACTTCACTCCACGTGGCAGTGCGAGTAGCTGTATCATTGCCGGAGTTGAGCATCAAGATCAGGGTTCCCCCCATGGTTGACGATGGCCCTGACCAGTATTCGGCAGGGTGGGCCGGGTCAAACGTCCAGTCAGGGTTATATCCCCATTTGTACGGATAAGCTGGGCGTCCAATAACAGGGTCTTGGTGAAAGTCAACAAGATATTTGTTCTTGAGAACAGAGATCGTGTCGTTGCTAACCGCGTCAAGCTGTGGACCTTGTTAGATTATCATGCAGTCGTGAGACGGGCCCAGACACGTACCGCAGTGCCAATAATCAAGGGGGACTTCATCACGGCCCACAAGGCAAAATGAGCTCTATTCTCGGCGCTTGTGAGGTCACCGTTTCCAACCTCTATTCCCAGAGTTAGTCCGAGCACCCTCCAAAAATACCAGATAGATGGATTCGCAGGTTGGGACGCACCGAGCATGTCTGGATCGGGATGGCCCCAAAAGTCGACATAGTTCATTAGGAAGCTGTTCTCATTGGCAATCTGGGAGATCCGAGACCAGTCGGCTATTCAATCAATCTTCGTGAGCATCTTCCCATTCCTGATGGGAGGGGAGAAGGGGCTAACCGCTGATGTCTCCCGTGGTACGCCATGAGTTTCCAGTAGCGTTTCCCCACTCGTTCACGTCGGCGTTGCCCCAGTCGCAGAGAGAGTAGAGAATAGTTCTGTTCTGGTTGAGAAGGGCATCCCGCATTCGACGATAGCGAACGGAAGTGTTGGATCTGGTAGTAGTGTCAGTGCAGCACCAGGCATAACAGAGAGAAATGGAGCTCACTGGGTCCAATTGTATCCTTCTGGGGCAGGGTTGGCAAGGTCTGGACAAGTGCCGTTCGGGTTTTGCGAACTCGAACCATCCGGCACGCAGGCGTTGTACTTGTCCGTCCAGTTGCTGGGAACCCCACAATTGTCATACTTCAAGTCTAGATGTTGTTAGAGCTGCATTTCAAAAAAAAAAAATGACGACCACACATACAGTCAATGCCCCACTCGGCGAATGATTCTGCATCCACTTCTTCGTGACCTAGCGAGGCAGGATATCCTGCGCAGGTGGTCTCGCCAGCACCTTGTCTTTGATGAGCATATATTGACAGATCTACAATGCATAGAGCAGGTCCTTACTGCTGTAGATGCCGATCTTCAGGCCCAGGTCATGTACCTGCGAAGCAAGCCCAGAGATGCCATCGGGGAACTTGGTCGTATCAGGAATAATGCGGCCGGTGGTTGTGTCCCGAACGCCCTTGATGGACCAGCAATCATCGACTGAACAGTGTAAGCATGTATAAACCGTGAAGGATGTACAGATGTCCGTACTGTTTACATATTCGTAGCCCAAGTCTTTCAGCCCCAAGTTGACCATCTGGTTAGCTGCTGTCATGATCGCTGACGCATTGATGTCGCAGCCGAATGCATTCCATGAATTCCAGCCAAGGGCTGGTAGGCGGCCCTGTTGATGTTAGTGGTGACTTAGGAATCGTACGATGTTCTTAAGCTCATCGTTGGAGGACATACCACGCCGTCTTCCCCCACAAGTGCATGAGCCGCAGGGAGGGCTGCTAGAACAGCCAAAGGGATCAACATGGCCAGCGATAACTTAGAGGAGGGCTGATCCCCGTCAGATTAGAGACATCCAAAGCTTATGAATGTTTATTTGGGCGGGGAATGTCCCACGGAATCTGTACCTGGGGGGGGGCCACACATGCCGATCCCTTACGGATGCAATTGACGATCTCGTCCACATTCGTGCCCGGGGAAGGTCTCCGTAAGAGGCTCGGAGTTCTGGAAATCCGGCATAGAATTGGCTAGAATGTCTCATATTCGGCTATTCACAGGTTTTTAACCGGCTCCTGTGGGGTGACGAGCCCCAGGGTTACTAGGAAAAGTGCGGGGGTGAATGAGGATCGGCAGGGCGAGCGAAAAGTACTGCAGTCACAGTGCGACCAAATCTAACTCATGATACATTTCTATCGTGAAATCGTTACTCATACAATATACAGTAAGCCCCTGACAAAATCATCTGCGCCATCGCAATGCCGTGCTCAAAAGGTAGAAGCAAAATGCCTAATTTTTCGCGGTGCCTAGGATGAGGGCTCGAGCCTTTTGGGGTTCAGTGTCGAGGACCGTGATAAGGTAGTCGATACTACAATACAGTTAGCATGCAAGGCCTAAGGCGCCCAGGATTCACCCTCACTCACCTTGCTTCAGAAGCAAGTCGGCGCTTTTCGTCTTGGAATTCTTGCTGACAGACATCCCAGACTGCAGCTCGTTTCTGCGGTAGCACCGTCTTCACCCGAATCTTGAAGCTCGCACTGACAGGCCGATGGTCAGAGGCATAGACTTCATGCCGGCGATATTCAAGCTGCTTGATTCGGCCGAAGCCGCGATAGAGGATCCGATCACACCAAGCCGGGGAGCGCTTCTTCTCGCTGGAGTCGTACTCGTCACTCCCAACATCGTATTTGTAAGTGGGGGCAAACGTAATGGGCGCTTCAGTAAAGCTTCGGAGTCGGAACCCAGGGTTCTTACGTCGCGAAGCCAGCAATTGATCTCGCTCGAGCAATTTAGCAAGGTTGTTTTGGCGGATGGCATTGATAATGGTGGGACGCGGGATGGCGTCAATGCGATAGTTCAGATCTCCGTTGAGGATACAGATCTCGTGGTCCATAATCATGGATCCGTCGCCGCCACTCGCGTACTGATCAATTCGAGTCACCAGATTGGTCTCGTGGGGCAGGCATTCGGCTTCCAGGATCTGTGCAATGTCCGTGTTGCGGTGGGCAGTTTGGGTCTGGCCAGCCGCAAGGTGGCAGTTGACAAAGCACATCGAGCTGTCATCCAAAACGAACCGAAAGATGAGAGCACCCTAAAAACTATTAGCGGATATGCAGGACGTATACGGCCGTGCGCGCCACTAACCTTATTGCCATGCAGCCCTCCCATGCCTCGCTTGATTTCCGATGCGTTGATGCTCTTGATATTGTGGCGCTCTTTGTGCTTCACGAAAATGCAGGTGAAGAGACCGACCATGTTGGCGGAGTGCAGCAACACGTACGATTCATCGAGAGGCATACATTCGTGAAGGACTCGGGTCAGATAGTCGATCCACACTCGATATTGTCGGCTCGTGTGTTCTTTCTCCCCGGTTTCTTTCTTCTTGCCACTCATCAACAAGCTCTCTGTACATTGTGTTAGCAGGAGAAGCTTTCAAATGGATTGAAGGCTGTACTCACTGGCTGTGATCTTTTTGTTTTCAAGATCGACCAGCTCCTGGAATCCAAAGACGATGATCTCTGGCGGGTCTTCTGGGTGGATGGCATTTTTGAAGAAATCTGATGTTCTGAGACTCCCAGGTGTAGAAGCACCGGCATTCCATGTCACGACCGCAGCACGGATTTCTCGGAATTGGCAGAATTCAACATCTTTGCTGGACATTCGGGCATCTATACAAATTAGAAATATCCTAGGAGTTGACATTCGCTGGTCTGACTTACCAATCCAATCGTCTTCTAACATTCCATCCCAGAGACGAATGCAATTGTCTAAGCCCAGTGAGGTGACTTGAAGGCGGTTCATCGTCCAAACGCTGCTCGAGTCCAGCACGAAACCGCACACTGGACTTGAGTGAGCACGCCAGTCCTTCTTCACGGTCCAAGGGTTTGTCTTGACATCGTAGACGTATATCATGCCTGTTTTATAGGCCGCCCATAGATAATTCCCGACGAAACCGAGACAATTGATCTTATACACGCTGACATTCACCACTCCGAGGCATGAATAGTCCGTCGACGAGGATATCGTGACCTTGCCATCCGCATGCCCCAGGTAAACACGCCCACCGTCTTTTGTGGTATAAGCGCCTGATGTGACCTCAGACTGCATACTAATAGGGCGCTTCAAGACCTTGAATGAAACCTCGTCTTTCGCGTCGGGACGGTAAATATACACATCCTTACCGGCCGCAAGCCAGAGCGTGTCGTCAACAACCATGGAAAAGGTGTGGCCGCGCGCAACTCGCTCTGGAGGATTATGGTAGCTATATTGCAGATTCGGCGTTCCGGTCTCATCTGGCATCCATACAAGCAGTCGACCCTCGTCATCAAGTGTCCACATCTCTTTCTTGTGACGAAGGATCTTAATGACCTCTCGACGAGACGGATACGAGCGGCTGGAGCATATCATTTGCGACTTAATATCAACTTCATGGAGATCTCCGGCACTTGTCCCAAGCCAGAACCGCTGTCCTTCTTCCTCCAACGAGTTCCCGGGCTTGAAAGCAATGGAAAGGCTTTTGACGGTCTCTCCATGGCCGAGAGTCATGAGCAGCTCGCCTGTGGTCAGATCCCAGACTCGGGTCAAGTAACCCGTTGTGCAAACATATTTTCCACACACGTCCAGAACGCGAGTGTCGTAGCGAGTGGGTATCTCTTTCGGGCCTGTTTTGTAGAAAGGAGGTCGGCGGTTTGCCTGTGAGGCGTCCGGATAATCGGTTAACGGAACTGCGGGCTCATCAATCGGCGCTTCCTCTTCTTCCGTGTCGGTCCGCGCAATGCGACGCTCCGGGAATGGTGGAGGCTGTGACCCCAAGTTCGTGGTCTTATGACGCTGATACTGGGTGGATGTTTTCGGGGGTTCAGCGAACTGATGTGCGGGTGGCAAAGGCCGGTGTCCTGGTGTCCTTGGAGGTGGGAGGTTAATCAGCAGGGGGAAATTCGCGGACGGGGGGATTTTCCACTCCTTCGAGGGTGGGCTGAGCTTGGAGTCGGTCTAGGGGGTAGCCCAGGGCGGTCATGTGGGGTGTCGTTTCCAAACGGTCTCTGTATCGAGATGGGAGGGGCAGTAGAAGATTCTGGCAGAACTGGTGTTGAGGCAGGGATTTGCACCATCAATGGCTTCGTCGCCCGAGAAGGTTCGGGAAGTGGCCTACTACGAGGAGAACTATGATCCCTCAGATCTCGGGCCACATTCAGGGCTGCGGCTGAAGGTCGCTCCTCAAATGAACGTCGGGTGGGCGGTTCTGGGATTGGACGCGCGGGAAGCGGCCTCGGAGCAACCTTCTCAGTAGACATAGGCTTGGGCGGTCCCTTCTCCGGGCTGCTTGGAGGCGTACTAAATGGGGACACATGGTCTTCGAATGAGGCTCGCTCTTGTTGCGGGGCCAGAGTATTGCGCTCGGTCTGGGAGAGCGTTGGCGGCTTTACAGGTATTTTTGGTTTCGTTGCTCGATTAGCCGGTGGCGGGAGAGAAGTACTCTTCAGCTTTCGTTCCACGGACAGGCTATTCGCATCCACACTAGGTCCATTTGGAGAAAGGCGTGCGGGTTGAATGGAAGGTGTGGAAGGGCTTGGCTTCGGTGTCATCGGCCGAGGAGGGACGGATGTAGAGACGCTTGTAGAAGCAGATTGGCGCACATGGTGCGTCAGACCTCCCTGTATATGACCATCGCCGTTCCGAGACGAAGCTAAGCTGCGCTCCTGACTGCGTGGTGGTGACGGCGGGGAATGCACCGCGAATGTAGGCGGAAGCTGCGGTGTTTCCCTTTGGACGCTAGCCGACATAGGCCGACCTTGTCTGCTCCGGCCTGGCGATGCAGGAGCCCCCAGGAAATGGCCATTGGCGTTGTCGTTGAGTTGACGACCCTGCCGCTCTTCGGATGCTGGAGCCCATGGGGAGCGTGCTCGGGGTTGATCTAAAGAAGCACGAGTAGACGTTCGCAGATCCTCATTCCGTTCAGGGGTTCTTGCTGTACGATTGGAAGATCCGTGAGACGCTGTATTCTGAACTGACGGGGGCTGTTGATGGGAGAGGTTTTCAAAGTGCGACAATAGGGAGGAAACGGGCCTCTGTTGCTGGTATTTTGGTCAGCTTTATCACGCAACGCAAGTATGGAACTTCGCAGGCATACAACGTGAGCTTCGTCACCGTTCTCAGTATCCTTTCCCTCCATGGCTATAGCCGATAGTTCACCAGAACTAGCTTGACAGAGCGATCATAGGTGGAGGGGTTGCAGCCTGGACGCCTTGCGGGTTCAGTGGGGGGAGTTGTATTGTGGGCTGCCGGACAGAACGGGAAGTATGTGATGCTGCACGAGGATCGAAGGTGAAAGAACCAAGATATCACACAATTTTTCAGGCGGCGCAAAGGCCGAATGGAAAGACGAAAGACTTCAAGTCGGCGTCATGCGGCAAGGAGAGTGAAAGTGCCGGGCAGGTGGAGGAGCGGAATGGTAGATCAGCCGTTCCTGCGCGCCGGTCCCCCCCTCGGAGCCTCTTCTTCCTTGACTTCTACAGGTCAACGCACGCCCACCTCCACCCGGCCATGTGGTAAGACTCGGTCCCTCGCTTTCGTGCTGCGAGGCTTCTGCCTCGTGGTGACTATTCTACCTGGTATATACTGATGGCACATAGTAAACACATCCTCAACGCCCAAGTGGCTATCCGCTCTCCCTGCTGTACGTGCGACAGATAAAACAACAATCCTCTCTCAACAGTCAACTCACCTATGGCTATCCTTCCAGGCCGCAAATGGTTCGATTGTGCGGAGTGTCACCAAGAGCAAGAAGCTCACATGCTGCAAAAGTCGCAGGAAATGGTGCGGCCCCTCCACATCCCCGTTACGAGGATCCGGATTCTGGTCAGATAGCACAGTTTCTGACAATAGCCCCATAGGTTTTCGCCTGCAAAAAGTGCCGGAAGTGTTTCCGCAAAGACGCGGCCGAGTTTGAAGACAGGTATGTTACCCTCGTGTATGCATGCATACGATGGAGTCTTCAGAGCTAATCAGGTGGTGTTCTCTTGATTCAGTGACGAGTACTGCCCACACTGCGATAATCACTTCGTTATCGAAGCCGTGACACCAAAACCATCTCTTCATGTCGAAGGAGACGACGCACGCATGGATAATCGGTACGCCTACCAGGAGGACGGGTTGCTTAGGCTCAGGCTTGTTGACATATGCTAACCCCGCCATAGGATGCTCAAGGATGAACGTATTCGTGCGGATCAAGAGCGTTCCATCTTCAACTTCAAGGATATCTCTGATCGGCTGGGCTAGACTCAAAATCGCCCAGGAAACAAAAATAACGTTATAATATTGATGAAGTGACGCTGTAACTATCTACCCCTTCTTATCATTTCCCCACTGGCAGTCCGGAGAATGGTAGTCACCAAAATTTGCCTTATACCTACGAGCACATATATACCCTTTTTTGGGGAAGAATAAACTTTGTACCATACGATACTTACAATGCGAACAGAGATTTGTAGGAATATCGTGGTTTTGGAGTCTCATAAAAAAGGGACCAGCGCTACGGTAAATCGACGTAAGTAGAGGGTCCCATTCCGCATTTAGGAACCAGATGCCCTTATTATTCTTACTCCGCCGCCTCGCCACCACCGGGGCGGGTGAGGATAGCTGCCGTAGTGGTCCCTGCGCGGGACTTCTTCTTTGCTGCCTCTTCCTGCTTCTCCGTCTCGATGCTCTTCACGTAGGATTCGATTTGGTCATCCGGAAGCATCTCAACGCGCTTACCGGGGGCCATGATCGCGACCTCGATGTTCTTGGCACCGGTTTGCACGACTTCCAGCAATGACTTGATGGTCAGCTGGATAGTCTGCTCGCGGTCCATCTCATCCTGGTGGTTTCGCTCGAGGAATTCGCGAACGGTTTTGCTAGATCGGCCGATGGCATTGGCTTTCCTAAAACCAGGGAAAGGATGGAACGTTAGAAGAAATATCAAAAAGGACTAGCGGAGTCGCACGATACGTACCAAGCTGAGTAGATACCGGAGGGTTCGGTTTGGTACAGTCTAGGAGTGGCATCGTTCTTGTCGAATCCAACAACCAACGTACTAATACCAAATGGACGGACACCACCACTCTGTGTATATTTCTGTTGTACACTGGCGATGTGTTTGGTGATATATTCGATGGTGACGGGGTCTTCCACGGTCAGACGATGCGACTGGGCTTCTAACCGTGCCTTGTCGATCAGAATGCGGGCGTCGGCGTTCAAGCCAGCAAAAGCCAGGCATACGTGGTCATCCACTTGGGCAATCTTCGAGGGGGTAATGCGGGTATCTTGGAGTTTGAGAGCGGAGCGCTTCTCGCAACCGAGTACGACGATGTCCTTGCCTTTCACACCGACAGCACAAGTGCCTATATTGAATCAAACAATCAGTTCTCATTTGGGAATAGGATAATTCGAAGCCCGATATTCGGATGATGGCGCTCGATCATTGGGCTGGGGGGTTCGTTGGAGGGGTCGTACCTCGCTTCACAGCCTCCATGGCATACTCGACCTGGAAGACGTGTCCATCCGGACTGGGAAGAGGTTAGACGACTGCTTATAGAGCTGGAGAGCCGCTCGGAGGATGCATACCTGAAGACTAGGATGGGTTAGCTCTGTCTATGAGAGGCTGGCAACGGAGCAAAGGGAGCTGGTCCCATGAGAAGCTAGCTGACTTACCTGAAAGAGCTCGGTCGTAGCCGGACATTGTGACGCAAGATGGGTAATATGACGCGGGAAACAGAAATACTCGAGTGGAGGAGACCCTAGAGCAATTATCTCAGAGGGCGGAGGGGAGGTAGAGAGGAGGGCTGGTTAAGAAGAGGCACAGCAATGGAGTGCGGCAATGGCAGCAATCGGCGGGCTCTCGGGCGGTGGACGCGAAAGCGACGGCTGCCTTCCAGGTGGACGCTGCCGCGCGGTTAGACCAAAAAGCCCTGGAGAGCTCTCTGTTCACTGGGCGGGAAACCTCGAATAGCTTGAGATCCAATGCCATTTACGAATATTATTTTGGTTCCACGATGCGAGACTCCCTGCCTGCCAGATTCTCGGCCTTGCGCCGTACAGTCATATAGCACATTCAAGTTCACTCCGCATCCCCGCCTCCGACTTGGGGTTCTAAGACTCAGGACTTGAACCCTCCTCAATCATGAATGGTTCGGCCAAAGTTGAATTCTGTACTCAAATTGATCTAAAGGTACTTCGTCCCCAGGATCTAGGGATGGACTCTGGAAATCATAGTGTCTTGCAGTAGCATGTCTTGATGGATGCCCGAACGATTCTATATATAACTCAAAGTTCCCTTTTGTGCATCGTGGGAGCTGGATCTGAGACAAATATAACGAAGGAAAAAATGCAGTCGAAAGTTGTTGAACCAACAATATAGACAGGCCAATCTTCTTTTATAGCATTCACAGTGCCTTGGTAGTCAAAGCCACTAGAGAGAGTCTCGACAATGCCGGCGCAAGCGCAAAAGGAAAATCCCCCAACACCCCCAACGGAGTCCAAACCATTGTATTTCCCACCCATGAGATCAATCCATGAATTCTCCGACGCTTGCCATGACCCAACGCAGAAAGGGACCAAACTTCTAAAATGCAACGCAGGTCGAGTGCAAACCGAAGGCTCGCAATGCGTCCGTGTGTCCAGAAACCCGCAACAAGACGGCACCACAAATCCACGACCCCCCCTGATGAGACTTGGATGCCGTCATCCAAGATAAAACAATGAAACCAACCATGACCAAAGATAGACAGAGATGAAGAGGAAAATCAAAGGGGGAGTGGGACCCGCTGAATAATCACAAACAAGTGAGACCAGAAAAAAAAGGGATGATAAATAGACAATCACAACATAATCAACAGGCCGGCGAGGCGAGAGATAAATCCCGAACCCTCGACACACACGCGCTACCCGCCAGCTCCTTCCAACCCGATGCACCGGAACCGCAGAATCCCTTATACAAATGCGTATCAACGAATATATCAACCAACGCATATACCTGCCACAACGCAGGGTTGCAATATGGACATTGTAAGATGAGATCGCCCGCACGAGTTGGGCTTGAAAAAGGTAAAAGTTACCCGCTTCACGCGGGTGACTTGTTGGCGCCACCCCCATTTCGACGGGAGTGAGCATCGTCCGAAACGGTCAATCCACCGAGGCCAGTCGACAAGAAGGCAAATGGGTCGCTGGAGCTCTCGGAACCGTAGAAAGCACCGTTAGAGGCGCTAGTAGAGGGCACTCCATGGTCCGCGCCGGTGAATGCTGCCTGCGTGGCAGGGTTGGCAAAAGAGGCAGCCGAATGCGACGTGCCCGACGAGCCGTACCCCGAGTTGACCTGGCCCATGGGGGGGTAAGCAGCTGGAGTGTTACTCAAGCCTCCACTAGGGAGGGCATAGTTGTTGGGGGGGACCACCAAACTGCTGACCGAACCCGCCAAATCCACCCGTCGTAGAGGCAAATGGACCCGGAGCGGGAGTACTTGCCATAGAGTTAGGGCCCATGCCAAATCCTGCCGGAGGATCCATCGAAGACGGGAATGCCGAGTCGGCCACAACAGCAGCACCCGAGCGAGGAGCACCACAGCGAAGACAGTTGATGTTCTTCGCAAAGTTGTGGTAACCACATCCTTCGGAGCCACACTTCCAGTCACCAGCACGGAAAGGTACAACACCGCCGTTGCCGCCCATGCCACGGGAGTGACCGCCCATGCCATGACCATGGCCACCCATGTGAGGAGGCATCATGTTGGGTGGGCCGTAGCCGTAGCCGTAGCCCATTGGGTCAGGTGCCGCCGCCATGGCAGGGAACGAGCAACGGAAACAAGCCGTGCGGCGCTGGAAGTTGGAGAAGCCACAAGAAGGACAGGTCCAGTCTCCCGGGCGAGGACGGTTCTTAGAGGGCGGGAACGGAGTCAAGATCTCGGCGGCACGATCCAGGACCCGGCTGGAAGAGGGTGACACCTCGATAGCCTTCTCGTTCAGAGCCCGGCCATTCATGCAAAGGCTCTCGGCGGCCTGGGGGAAATGTTAGTGAATCCACTCTCGTTGAGGTCAGCCCTAACGGGAGCTCTGATTTGGGTTAGGACAAACCTCTTCATGGGACGAAAACACGGCGAAGCCGGTCCCAGTGGGCTTGTGCTGGTCCGGAGTTCGTAGGGTCCAAAAAGCGATGGGACGGCCGCCGAACTGCGTAAACCAGCTCTCCAGCTCCGACTGAGTAGTATCATGGGGAAGACCACTCAGGTGAAGGACCTTGCTCCGTTCGGCCAGGAAGGCCCGGACATCAGCATGCGCATCCATCGGCCGGGTGAGGATCTCGGGGTGCTCGTGAGGGGGCTGCGACTTGCGGATCAGACCTCGAAGCACGCGGGCCAAGGTAATCGACTCCTCCATGGCACGGCGAGGCGAGGCGGGGGCCAATGCTTGTAGATGGAAGGGCAGGTTGTGCTTGATGGGGGCTGACGACTGGACGGGCTCAACCTCGAGGGCCGCGCAGATGTTGGACAAAGAGCTGGGACCGAAAGGCAGCGACTCCGGGTGATGGGTTTGCCAACGTTGGTACTCGGTGCGTAAATCAAATGTCCGGGAGTGCTGCAAGTATGCGGGAAGCACCACGGCCTTGTCACGGGCCTCGCGGGGCAGCTGCACCCGCAGATCCCACGAATCTAGAGTGACGAAGGCAAATTCCAGTTGTTTGCTGGTGAGGTGTTCTTGGGCGAAAGCATCGAACCGGGATATGGCATCCCGGAAGGTACCTGCAGAGCGGACATGCTCCCATGTTAGAGTGGTCAAGCTCGCTGTGGCCGGTTTGGTTAGATCCAGTTCAATTATCGCAAGGCTTCGTTGTCCGAAACCCGCAGGGTAGAGCAGGGTTCTTACTGCATAGTGGAGTAATTGGCGTGTTGACGGGCTTGACAAGAACGCTTTCACGGTGCAACTAAAACGAGAAGAAGGGTGAGCGAAATTTGATTCGTCTTTGGGGGCGCGGGAAAAACGGGGCGATGGCGCGAAACTGTTTGGGGGGAAAGAGGGGAAGGGGATTGTGTGTACCTCCTCGCAGGTCTTGGTGTCTAACAGAATCCATCCCAATTCGATGACCTCGGCCGAATCCTTGGTGACGTAGACACCATGTTCATCGCAAGTGGTTGCAACGTGGATGACAATGTAGCGATCCAGCTTGGGGGTGGGCGCGGTAACGGCTGCCATCGCTGACTTGTCCGTAGGACCGGGGAAGGGAAGGAGGGGAGGAGGGGATTGCCTCTCTGCAAGGGAATGCAGGGGACAATTAAACACGACCGACCCGGGGGAAAGGGGGTCGCGAAGAAAAAGATGCCAGGGGGAGGGAAAAGAGAAAGGGGAAAAGGGAGGAAGAAGAGAACGAAGGTGGAGTTTGAAAAGTGTTCGACGGGCCCGGGATTACTAGGAAAAGCAACAATTATTGACTCTGGACTTTTGATCGGATGACATCGAAGTCATGGACTGCGGTAGTACAAATTTCGGACTTTTTGTTTTATTTTAATTCTGACAATTTCTTCTTTTATTTGTTTCTATTCGACTTTCCCTCCCCGAAGGAGGAGGCCTCTATGCATCGGCTGCAAATATGGCGCCAGTCATACGGTCCCGGTCGCTCCTTCCAGCAGTCGAGACCACCTGTCCTATTTTAATCCCTGGAAGTTCAAGACCGTCCAGATCGAGGCTCCTGCAGGTGCCTCCTGAGATGTACATTCGATGTACATAAAGAAAGAAACCCCCCAACTAACATGCCGCGGGTGGGTCCCTGTCAATTCCACGAGAATGGCCCATGCTTTCAAGTTCCTGATCCGCCTTTCGCCTTGTGTGGTTGGGCTCCAACATGTAGAGTAAACTATATTGATTTTCCCGGGAGAAGAGGAAGGGAGTGCCCGGCCAGTTATTCCACGTCACACAAGAAAATGTTGAATTTGAATGTTCCCAGGTTGGTGACATCTACTCTGGCGACCTGGTCTATGTCACGTGATATAATATGAATAAAGCACCATGGCCCATTGAATGATGTGTGGAAAAGTATGACACGGTCTAATGCCTCGGAGGCCACTCTGATTGAGCAGATTATCTACTGGAGGTGAGAAATGGGGATAGAATGGGGGAAGATCAGTGTTGGGAATTCTGGGAGAAATTGAAGAGTAACAGAGTTATGCTTCAGCCAGCCTACCAAGCATTACCGAGACAATTGGCTGCTAGTAGCCATTGCTAGAATTCTAGAATGTGAAGGTTTTCTCGGGCATTCGGATGTCGTCGTTGATGGACATGGACATGACCCGGCCCCCATCCACCGTGAGAAAGGCATTGTTGATATAGGCCCCAGCCGGAGAGGACAACGAAATCACTGGTCCAGCGATCTCTTCTGGTCGACCAGGGCGGCCGGCAGTTGTTCTCATCGCTGCTTTCTCGGCAGGAAGCCCAACCGCATATTGGTGCTTGCCTGTTGCGGCGCCCGTCATCTCAGACGGGAATATACCTGGACAGACCGTGTTTACTCGGATCTTCATGCTGGAGGATTGGATGTTAGTTCCCGTATCAAAACCCAGTGGAGAGAGGGGATTCGGATTTACTCACGGATGTAAACGGCCCGCCAAGAGTTTTGCGAGATGGTTGACTAGGACGATCACATTAGCAACCTTTAAAATTCACCTTGGAGAAGGTTCCATTACTGGCAGCTTTGGAGATAGCATAGGTCAATGGGCTCATGGTTCTGTCATTGCTTATTAGCTATGGGTGACCCTGAAATATATGTATCGTGGAATTGATTACCGTTGGTGGGCCAGAGAAGAGACGGACGATATAACGCAAACGTTGGGATCTTGTGCTTTGCGTAAGAGGGGAATGAAATTGGTGGTCATGAAATAAATGCCGTTGACGTTGATTTTGTTGGTATTTACAAAGTCCTCCCTGGTATGATTAGACCAAGTTTTTCTCGGAGTAATCACAGGTGCACTCACTCCTCGACACCATGAATCAACATGTTTTCCACTTGGTCGGCTATAACATGCTTAGGATTGAGTTTCGACTTATGTCAGGAATTCGGTTGCTTACCATCATTTGGGTCTTTGGCATAAGTGCGCCAAAACTTACTAATTCCAGCGCAGTTGACGAGAGTATCGACGTGAGTCTCCTGGGCCTTGACAGCCTCTGCAATCTTCACACAGCCCTCCTTCGTTGATACATCCCCCGGGATTCTAATTCAAAGCGGGTTAGACTCATATACAGCAAAAGCTCCATAGATTTTGCGACTAACGTGCGTATATCGCCACCAACTTCTTGAGCTGCACGCTCAAGGAGGTTCTCTCGCCTTCCAACAATGTAAATACGAGCGCCGTTGGCGGCAAAGCCCTCAGCTATGGCCTTTCCCAGCCCAGAGCCACCACCAGTGATGACGACCACTTTGTCTTTGACTGAGAAGAGATTCTCGACTTTGAAGGACATGATAAGTGACGGCGGTTGTTACTCGGTACAGCGTGGTGTCTTGAAGATATCGTTTCCCCATGCGATTTTCGAAAATAGGGTGTACTGAAAATAGAATGTCCTTAAAATTGGGAGAGGGCAATAAGTACCCAATGGATGCGTTGGCTGCCCTTTATACGGATTCCGACTCGACAGCTTGAAGGCATGCACATCCGAAGTATACGAAGTGGGTCGCAGTCTCCCGCGTACATACGAAGTGGGGGCTCGGGAGCTCTTCGTCTTCGAGGTTCGCGAAGCTTAGCTCTTGATTCGAGAATTCAAGGCTCTCACAGCTTAACGTATGCTGAGACGAAAGTTCATCCAAAGCATTGACATTTTCCCTAGATATACTCGTCGAGAGTCTCTCGCTCTGGTCCCGCGTACCTAGAAGGATGCGCTCCAGACTGGGCATTGAGCGAGGTTTACATAGATCTATGGTCTCGTGATGCACTGTCAGTAAATTCGAAATAAAAGGTATGCACATCCAGAGGATTCTAGGAAATACGACAATAAAGTGCGCCTATAGAGTGCGCCCTAGCTGCCCAGGTGGTCCCTGATAATCTTCGATTATCGCCGTTATCACTAATCCAGAGATGGGACGAGACCCGCGCGCCGCGTATCTCATACATATTGCTCTCTCTTATAATTCCGTAAGCGCCACATTTTCAAGGTTCATATAATCAAAAAGCCTTGACAGCGCTTGGAGCAGCATGCTAGAAGAATACAACACTACTCGTTGGCCGGCAAATGATCCACGCGTGTGCTCGGCAATTGAAGCGGTCGGCCTTGCCCCGATACGCGGGGCAAACCCCCACGTTCAAGTCTCCTACAAGTACTTGGACACAGCTCCAAACTTCTGCAATACTCCATCATAAAGCGCTTTCAGCCCAGGAGAGTCCTGACCGCATAATGGCAAAGCTCCTGTACCCGACTTCACTCCCCCTCGATGTCCAGAGCCTCGAGGGGTTCTCCGTTGCCTTACATCCATATGACGTGACGGTCCCCATCCCCGACGAACATACCGACGCCGAGTTCTTGGTGACCTGGGCCAATGCCGCGGGGAACCTCAAGGATGCCGCCCAGCGCCTGAAGAAGCTGCGCTGGATCCAGTCTCTCGCCGCGGGCCCCAACGACGTGCTGAACGCCGGCTTCGATACCTCCCGCATCATCGTGACCACCGGCTCCGGGCTGCACGATGGCCCCGTCGCAGAACATACTCTCGGTCTGCTACTAAACGCCGCTCGCCGGTTCAATGAGATGACGGAATATCAGCTCCGCGGCAAGTGGCCGGGCCACTTGGGGGGCTCCTTCCCCCGATCCGATTTCACCACTCTGCGCGGCTCGAACGTGCTCATCTGGGGCTACGGAAACATCGCCAAGGAGCTTACCTCTTTCCTCGTGCCTCTCGGTGCCAAGGTCCGTGGCATTGCCCGCACTGCCGGTGTCCGCAACGGGGTTGAAGTCCTGAGCGACGACAAGCTCCCTGAAGTGCTCCCAGAGACCGATGCCCTTGTCATGATTCTCCCGGGTCATCCCTCCACAAATGACGCATTGAATGCCGAGAAACTCAAGCTGCTCCCAAAGCACGCCTGGGTTGTCAACGTCGGCCGTGGTACCTCCGTTGACGAGGATGCCCTAGCCGATGCTTTGGAGAAGGGCGACATAGGCGGCGCCGCTCTTGATGTGTTCAAGACCGAGCCACTTCCCGAGTCAAGCCGACTGTGGAAGACACCTAACCTTATTATTTCGCCTCACGCAGCCGGAGGAAGGCCCGAGGGTTGCGAGGAATTGATCGCTCACAACCTCCGACGCATCTTAGCCTCGCAGCCATTGAAAAATGTAATCAACTAAAAAATAGAACATATATATGCTTTAGGAAGGCTATGACTATTGAAAGAAGATTTGACTATCCATTCGAGGCCCCCTATTCATATGATTCACAATACTTCGAGAGGCCCCGAGAGGGCTGCCCCAGAGCTACAAGGCCCCGACGTGCAGTAGGAAGGGCTCCCGAGATGCAGGGGGCTTGAACGCCCTTTAATGTATATATGGATGGTCAGATACGATGCGGGCCACATAAGATGCTACCCTTAAGCAAATGAAATCCAGGTAAAGTGCAGATAGTCACAACCGCTCAGGTGAAGGTACGCAACATGACGTCACGTTTTTGGCATAGTAGTAGTACGAAAGCTGTTCACGCAGCTGTCGAACCTCATAGAAGAATTTGAGATCTACTTCAGCGGATACGAACTCCATGTGTCCTCGCCATTAGGTGAGGAATGAGTTGGGAGGACAGCGGACCAACCCACTTAGTGCGTCACCTTAATCTGGAAGCAAGTCTCCAAGCCACAGGAAAGAAACCACCGACAGATCTATAGAAATGGGCTTCTGGCCGATGTTTTGCCAATATCCCATAAACCTGTAATGTTACGAGTTCGCCAATGATAGATCATTAGCGGGGACGTGAAGACCGGGCGACGTTCAAAAGGTGTGGATCTTCTGCAGCAAGTTGAGAATAATATGGAGAAAAAGTTAACACTGGCAGTATGAAGAACTCCTCCACACTTCAATCATCATGAACGAGAGTATACCGAAAAAAGCAGAGCAATGGACGGGTGGTTGGCCGTAGTTGGCTTGAGTCTTTGAAATTATCCGAAAAGGATATCCTAAATTTTAGGGATAATGAAATTCTCGTCCTGGAAAACATTAAGATAGCTCAAGCATCTCGGTCCGGTGCTAGTATATATTTATACAGTATGAGATTTACAGATTCCCATTAGGACTGGGCCTAGGAAAATGCACGTATGAAAAGGTCCGGTCATCGAGCAATTGGTATTCATGAAGATCAGAAAGATCGCAAAAGAAAAGGCCATTATCCATCATGTACAAGCAAAATTCCCCCATTGACCCCGGGAATCGAAAAACAACCAACGCCATACGACTCCCAATTCCAGGCAAAAGAAGACCCGTCATCACTCTTCGCCAACTTCAGATTTTATCACTGTGCCATGGCTAGTATCATGATCATCCTCTTCATCCTCTTCCATAATGCTAGGCTCAACAGAGACCATGCCACGGCCAGCGGCGATACCGGCAACAGGAGCCTGCAAGCTTATCTGACTAGCATCGGCTTCGTCCTCTTCCATGATGCTTGGTTCCACTGAGACATGGCGGCGTTGGACACCGGAAGGCTCGACGGAGCGGCGGACACTTGCCGACCGAACACTTCTGGCGTCACTCTCAATGTCCTCAGTGCCTGCTCGAGATCTCACTCCGGCAGCCCGAGCATCTTGGGCGACGGCAAGGATCTTCAGGACAGAGTTCTTGGTCTTGACCAAGGCATTGCGGCTTGATGCTTCTCCTGCCAAACCTTCCTCAATGGTTTGGTCCAGGAGCTCCTTCACTTCCTGGGCCAATTCTTGATTGGCTGCCGATACTTCGACTCCGGTGTTACTGCGAACGCTGGTGCGGAATTGCGAGTCGTCGCCGTCCGGTGCACGGGATCCCGAACGTGAGGGTGCTGTGGGAGCAGCAATGTAGAGCTTGCTTAAGAGGGAGAATAAAAGCTTGCGTTCTTCCTTCGAGCAGCGGTTAGGGCCAGCGCTGACACCCAGGACACGCTCCAGGATGTCCTTCACCAGAGCCAAGTGGACCCAGCCACAAGCAGTCGAGCTTGCAGTTCCACCGACGAGCACTCGCTCACCACCCAGGCCAACAACTCGGCGCTCGTCAGTCCACTCGGCAAGCATGCCCACAACGCCAGTCATAAGGGTCTTGATTTCTCTTTCTCCGATGCTTTCGTCAATCTCTCCATCACTATCTTCCTCAGCCTCAAGAGAATAATGTTCCTCGGCGGCGTTCATGACAGCCCGAATCACCGGTACTGCAATTCGGCGCATATGCTTTGTATTCTCTACCCGAGAGTGACAGTAGACAGGGAAGAAGTAAGCCAGGGATTGTCGAAGAGCAGGGTTTTCCTTTGTGCGTGGGTGGAAAAAGGCTACCACAAGAGCCTGAAGAAGCGTTTCTACTGCATTTTCGTTATATTCCTGAATTCCAGAGGGAACATTAGGCCCAGATGGGGTGAAAGTGTTGGTAAGCAGGAGCTTCGAAAGGGCGGTAGCAGCTACAGACTGCACACTAGGTGGTGAGTTTGCTTTTAACGCGCGGGAGAAGACCTTGAGGAGAGGCTAATATTACCGCCATGATCAGTTTCTGCTCGTCATTTGATATTTCTTGGGGAGGGGATGTACCTTTTGGATAGGGGGAGTAGTGACGGTTTCGCCATCAGACTGAGTGACTGGGGCAAGCAAAGAGGGATGAGTGGTGACCATGTCACAGATAATTTGAAGAGCAGTCACTTGAAGACCCTCGTGACCCTTGCTGTAGCAATGGATAAAAAGCGTCATGTTCTCTTCGGCAAGGTTCTAGATTGGGCAGATTAGTATTGATTTAGACATCGAACATAAGGATAGCGAACCTTGTCGAGTAAGCAGCAAAGCCCCAAGCACAACAAACCACGCTCACGAATGGGTGCTTCATGGCTTCGGACAGCGGGTACGACCAGGTTGTTCAGCATGGTGACAAGATTTATGTTCTGCTGCAGATGGCCCTCGACATTCTGGAGCATGCATTGAGCAATGTGGAGACATTTCATGTTCACGACGATTTCCTTGAGGATTTTGGCCTTAGCCTCCTCCTTGTTAAACGGAACATCTTCCTCATCTCCTGGCGTTTCAGATCGGTGGCGGCTGCTTGTGTCATCGCTGATCTCAGACTTAGCGGAGACGAAGCTGTCTTCCGTAACGATAGTGTCGTGTACTTCAGCAATAGCTTCAAGGACAACACTGCAGAACTCGCTCTCGCCGGCGCGATCTGGTCCACAGGCACACCGGAGGGTTTCCACTGCAAGTCTGGTGCATTCTTCGGGCAATTCAGGAACAGCCAAAGACTCACGCAGAAGACCGAACATCTTCCGCCGGCCAACTTCATCACTGTAGTCTAAAGTGATGGCAATATGTAGCAGCTGCTCAACAATGAATTCATGCTCAACAGCTTCTTCATCATTGGCATCTCCGGTTTCCTTGGCAGTCTTCTTTCGCTGCAACAGATCGGTTGTATATTTAGTGAGGTAATAAGCGAGGGCAGTAACTTCCGGCATCTTCTCATCTGCAAGGCCTTCATATTTGCCGTCATTTTCAACACGGCAGAAGTCATTGAAAGACCGCAAAAGGAAAGCCGATTCTGCGGTCAGAGACTCCCAGAAGGGTTCGTCAAAATTAACAGCTTCGCGATAATCAGCACGGCCTTCCCAGAAGCCTCGCATTGCTTCATGGGCAATGCCGTTCTCCATGCCAGAGTTCACCACGTCAATTCTCTCTAAGAGCTCCAAAAGAGCATTCATGTTGGGTGGAGACCGCTGATTAGCTGTAGGCTGGGGTTGACCATCCTCGGCTTGGTTATCGATCTTGTTCGTGCCAGCACAATCCTCGACCCAGCGATCATAAAAGAGCTTTGCGGTTGCCTTGCGAACACCCTCATCACGATCGCGCAAGCCCCAACGAAGCAGTCGCTCTCTCATGGTCAGTGACAGATGTCTGAAATCCTCCAATGTAGGCAAAAGACGAGAGTATAATGTGCGTCTAGTGGGCGCATCCAAATCGCGAGCTCGTTCGAGGAAATATGGGAGGGTAATAGCGGAAAGAGGAAGGTTTGCAAGAAGATTCTTGCGGACATCTGCGCTTGCGTCGTTTTGCATGATTTCGATCAGCTTCTCGAGCAACGCCGTGCTGTCCTCGCCGTCTTCACTTTCATCGTTTCCAGCCAATCGGCCAAGGCCCATTACGGCTTGGACTCGAACAGAGGACTCCTTGTCACGGATTCGTTTCAAGAGGCCTTGGCGGATCGTATGGTAGAGCTCGTCGTCGATTGATTCCAGGGTATTGACGATGTGGGCGATAATCTGAGTAGCGCGGAATCGGATCATCTTATCTTTTGCGGAGAGGAGGGGTATCATCAAGGCGACAATGGCGGAGGTCAAACGGGCGGTTGGTGTTTCTGGAGACGTATCCATATCATCGTCATCCTCCTTCGATGCGAATAACTCCTCATCCTTCTCGGATGCATGTGCAAGGAAACTTCCCATAAAGCGCAAAACGCGATCGCCGACCGGCTCTGACTTCTTGATTGGAAGAATCCGGAGCATGCACCGGCCAACTTCAACATTGAACTCTTTCTCTGGGAGGGTTTCTTCTTCTGGGAGCACAACTTCCTCCTGTTGCTCATTGTTTCCCTTCTTCTTGTTTTGAACGACCCCACAAGCGATCTCTTGCAGCTTGCGCAGTCGTACTACAAGCTTGCGATGGCCGGTAGTTGATCTTTGCGCATCGGCGAATATGGCGCATACATCGCGGCGGAGATTTGGCAGGGCTTCCGGAAGCGCAGGTTCCTCTGGGATTGTAAAGGCCGGGGTTACGGAGGGAGCACGACCCGTAGAGGGTTGCGCTGATGACCTGCGAGTGGTCGTGGAGGCTGAACGGGCAGCGACTCGGCCAGGCATGGTGGACGTCGATTGATCAAGGCGCAGTGAGGACAAGTCGCATTGCAGACGCGCATCCACTGATGAAGCAAGGAAGAAAGGAGGGACAAGTGCGGCGGTAAACAAACAGCCCAAACGGGGAAGGAACGATAATGGTCACGTGCAAAGGCATGACTTAGTCATTCCCCGCTATCGGACCTCGGTGCTCTGCCGACTGGCATTATAAATGCGCTTTGGTGCTCACAGTATCTCTGTCTGTTGCAAGCACAATGTTTCGTCAAAGCATACGTCGCTTTGGTACTACGGCCTTCCGCGCCGCTGCCGAGAGCTCGTATATATCGCGTGTTTCAACGGCTCAAGGTGTTGTACATGGACTCACTGAGGGTATGGCGTGATAGCTCTGGTGATATCTAATTGGAGCTAATTGAAACTTTGGAACAGCTATTGGGAATACCCCCTCATCCGACTGAAGCGCCTCTCCGAAGAGACCGGGTGCAATATCCTTGGCAAGGCCGAGTTCCAAAACCCAGGTGGGAGTGTTAAAGATCGTGCCGCCCTCTTCGTGGTAGAGGATGCTGAGAAGAAGGGACTCCTTCGACCAGGGGGCACTGTTGTAGAGGGTACTGCCGGAAACACCGGGATTGGGCTGGCTCATGTCTGCCGGTCCAAGGGCTACAAGCTCGTAATCTACATGCCCAATACTCAGTCGCAAGGAAAGATCGACCTCCTCCGCTTGCTGGGCGCTGAAGTATACCCAGTCCCCGCAGTGGCATTCGACAACCCCGACAACTACAACCACCAGGCACGGCGACATGCTGAATCCCTGGATAACGCCGTTTGGACCAACCAGTTCGACAACACTGCCAATCGTCAGGCGCATATTGAGACAACTGGACCCGAGTTATGGGCGCAAACCGGCGGCAAGCTCGACGCTTTCACCTGTGCTACTGGAACCGGTGGAACCCTGGCTGGCATTACTCGCTACTTGAAGACCGTCAGTGATGGGCGTGTTAAGAGTTTCCTGGCCGACCCTCCCGGTAGTGTTCTGCACAGCTACATTCAGAGTGGTGGAAACCTCATGGACCGCACTGGTGGAAGTATCACCGAAGGGATTGGGCAAGGTCGTGTGACAGACAACCTCAAGCCCGATATTGATCTACTGGATGCGTCTTTGCACATCAGTGATGAGAAGTCCATTGAAATGGTCTACCGCTGTCTCGACGAGGAAGGGTTGTACCTTGGTGCCAGTTCCGCTCTGAACGTAGTGGCAGCCAAGGAGGTCGCTGAGAAGCTTGGCAAAGGGAATACGGTTGTGACTGTTCTTTGTGATGGTGCTTACCGATATGCCGATCGCCTGTTCTCGGCTAAATGGCTCGAGACCAAGAATCTGCGTGGAGCTATTCCCAAGCATTTGGAAAAATATATTGTACTACCTTAGACAGCACTAATTTTTGCACATAAAAAATATACTCCGCAATTTATATATAGTCTTTATCCCATACTAGTGTCAAGCCCGAAAACGCGCTGAATCATCAGAAGGCTCCTTAATGTGAAAACAAGTTCCACGCTGAAGATCAACCTCTCATTTCAAGTTGTTGCTACGCCGGCTGAGATAAATCTCAAGGAACACGGCAAATCAAACAAGGCGTTTAATGCTGGAAGTGCTAAAAACTTGTATAAATGGAGAATCTCTTGGATTAGTGGTAGTGAGAGGTCTGCTCGGAAGAAACAATGTATTATACAGAAGGCACAGCTCGATATCGAAGCAGCGGTATCGGCGTACCCGGGCTGTCTCAGACCCCAGATGCAACTATGTGAACAATAAAGCCAATAGCACGCAAAATGTAAAGTATGTCAAGGCAAAGCAATCAAACGCCTTCTATGCCCCCCATCTGAACCGAATTCGCCAAAAGCCGAAGGAAATATACATAAGAGTTGAGGAGGACAGGCCCAGCGGCCGGGTAAATGCGATCATGAATGTCATGATGAGTCTAGTCGTCAGCCTCGGGCATCCTCATGTAGGCATCAATGGCAGCACTGAAAGCCGCAAAACCAGCACAACCAAAGGCGGCAGCCCCAGGCCCAGCCTTAGCACCCAAGATACCGCCGGTCAGACAACCAGCAGTGACACTGTTTGTGAGGTCGTTCTTGGCCCGGAGACCCTCGATACAGCACTCGGTACCAGAGTACAGGGCACCGACGATACCGAAATTCTTCGCGGAGGACCAGGAGCGCGAGCCCATATCTTTGAAACCGCGACGGACCTGTTCGCGCCAGGGGAGGTTTGCGATCGCTTGTCCTTGAGGGGTAAGAGTCGAATCATAGGACATCTGGTGAGAAAGAAACATTAGATGCGTCAATAGCGATTTCCTGTGAGCTGATTACTTACACTGGCCATGAAAAGACCGAAGATACCACCAAGACCGAAACCCATCGTACCTGAGATGACGGTCTTCACGGGGCAAGACTCCATACCGGCTTGCATCTGTCATTCAAAGTTAGAGGATGGACAGATTCACTAAGGGGTACGTCGACACACCATCTTGACCATGGCCTGTTCTTGTTCACTCATTCCGGCGGTTTGGTTTCCTCCTAACCCGCCCATTGGCGGCATACCAGGGGCATTCATCGCGAACGAGGGTTGATATTCTCAGTGGACGAAGATTCAAGGGGAGGATATTATAGCGAGCATAAATTCCCCTCTGGCGCAGATTCGAACCTTGGCAATCACCTTTTGCGCTTACTTGCTGTCACCCAATCTGCGGAGCGGCGAAGATAAATTTCGCGGCCGATATCGTCACGTGGCTTTCAAGCTTCAACGAACAGCACGTGATCCGTGATATCGCCACTCTACCAAGAGAACCAGAATGCACTGCGCTTTAGTTGCTCTCTTCTGGCATATAGATTTCCATTTCCACGGCTCTTTACGCTGGATCCCGAACCTTTCAAGAAATCTATAATGTAAATTGTTAAAAAGAAAATGTCGTTGCTCGTAGTTTTCGACTCGGCACGAACGAAGCTAAAGTAACCAATCCAAACGCTCCAAACATAAGCAATTAGAAACAACGCTGTCGTGGGCTGAGCAGTCGTAGGTCTGCATAATCCGTGGATGCTATGTCATGCCAGTCCGTCCAACGGAGACCCGCATTCTGGGCCGGAAGGGAACGGAGAAAGAGAAAACCGTATATACATATATACATGAAGAAAGGATTGCAGTTCTCGAGACATCTAGTCCTTTTTACTGCTTTTAGAAGAAGTCTTCCTCTCAGGTGATGGAGAGAGGCTGCGTTCCCATTCGGCCATGAGAGTAGACGCAGTTCGTTGAAGCTTCGACGGAGCGAGGTTGGGCATGGAGGGCCAAGGGATGCCTTCGGTGACGCTGGGATCGGGCGCGGTAGAAATGGGGTTCCACTCGCCAAAGCTAGGAACGAGGCGTCAGCGCATAACCAGATTGTCATAGATGAAATCAGAAAAAGTCGAAATGTACCTATCACTGGTTCGGGCACTACTGCCTTGAGTTGCGGGCGACTGGTCTTGCTTGGACTCAATGGTGGATCGGCTGGAGGAAGGCGTGTGTGTCGTTTTGTTGGGAGCCGGGGTATCCCACACATCCCAGTTGTCGACGGTATCATCTTCCTCCGCTTTGACTTGACTGGCGGAGCGGCGACCGGGGCGCTCGCGTTCGTCCTCGCCCCGAGGGGTCCTTGCGCCGTTGGGAGGGCTGGGGCGAGCGGTGGGAGACTTCTGCACTGGTGAATCAACGCCAAATTCATGCCAGAAAGAAGTGTCAATCTCGACCGGTTTGGAGTCTTTACCGGATGTTTGCTCCGCGGACCCCCTGCCTCGTGAGGATGAAGAAGTGGATCTGGACTTATTCCCGCGACAGAGAGTCGCTCTCGACTGGAGGACTTGGCGAGAGAATTACGCTTATGAGATTCCGGTGGTGCTAGTGAGCGGTTGGGTGACATTGTTCGGGTTGTTGTCCCATTCACGCCCTCTTCGCCAACAGTAGCTTGTCGGATGTCTTCGAAAAATGTCCACAGGCCTTCTCTCAAATCGGAGGCCATTTGCTTGCCGGTGCGCATGAAAGCCTCTCGCGACGGCGGTGGCATGTTCGACGACCATTGGGAAAGCAGCTGGCTGGGCACGGCGCTCTCATGGGCGGGCGACGCGAGGGGTTTCGATGATGTAACATTATGACTACGTTCGACGGAGGGCAATGTGGCTGAACGAGGAGTTCGGCCAACCCGATCAGCGTCTGTGAGAATGGGACCGGCGCTAGAATGACTCGGTGCGGTGGTTGTGGAGAGAAGAGACAATGCGCGAGTGTGAGAGCCTTGGAAGACACGTCGACCATTTGAGGAGATAGATGACCCTGGTGCCGCTGCTGCACGCGCCCCTGGGCGCCGATCCAGCTCTCGGCTGACTCGCTCGTGAGAAACAGCTGAGCTCCCAACAGAACTCATGCTTTGTTCCCGGCGATGCGAACCTGAGCCCGAGCTTGAAGCATCTGGCGGCACGCTTGTGTCAGGAGAGCGCAGAGGCAACATCTGCTCCGCATGATGGCTGATCTCGGTGCGTTTTCGGGACTTCTCAGCTATCGCCCATTGTTTCTTTAGGGTGGTCAAGTCCGTTTCCGCCCGCTGAAGCTCCTCCCGAAGCTCCAATACCCTGCGTTCCTGCGAAGCGATGGCACGGAGGAAATCATAGCCATCATCCTCGAGTTCTAAGGGTATTGAAGCCCCGGTAGGTAGTGCAGGGGATGGACGGGTTGAGGATTGTGTTATGGGTGTCATAGATGCCGGCGACGTAATAGTCGTATCTGGGGTCGAGATCGGGGACTGGTTCGTAGGGATATTGATCGGGAAGTTCAAGGTCAGTCGTTTGGCATGCCGGGCATTTGAGTTGGAACGGGGCGGCAGGGATGATCGTTTGCTCTGCACGAGGGACGGAGATCGAGCAAGACCAGACGTCTTTTCGTCGGAGACAGTTCCCGGTTGAACAGAGGAGTCAATATGCGAAGTCTGGGCCGGATCCGGACCATGGGCGAGAACCCCCGCTTCCGGACTCGATTTCTCCATGATGGACCAGCCAGGGAGAGAGCGCGGGTGCTATGATGGAGGGAGCATGGGCTTATGTACAAAGAAAGAGGGAAAGGGGCAAAAAAAAGAGCTGAGGGGAAGCTAGAGATTGGAAAGAGTCTGGAAGCAGTCCCCTGACGGGGGACCCGCTGTGGGCTCTTGACGCTTCGCCCGCGAGTGTTTCAGGGGGCCGTCAGGGCGTTTAGCGGCTCTGGCTTGGGGTACTATGGAGATGCAATCACAAAGAAATTAATCATGGATGATGCTCTGCATGTTGGCTTAGATCCGCTTCATTTTCAGCATCGCATACTCCCCTGAATCTTTGCCGCAGGCCCCTAATAACTCACACTAAGATGATGATCGGCGCATGTGGTGCGGAGAGCAGGAGGTGGATTACTATTTAAATTTCCGACTGGCATAGCATGTGCAATGGCCAGGAAATGGCATTAATAGCCTCTTCTAACGACTTTATCCTTGAAATTCTGAATTTCTGCCATGGAAGCCGATTGGCATATCTACATTGTCCATGTATGCAATGCAAGGATCGCCTATCGTGTATCGCGGAGGCCTTCAGATCTCACAAACAGGAAAAGTAGAGGAAATGCTTATCACTGGCCCACAAATACCAGTAGTCTCCTGTTTCTATGCGTAGATAACATGTACACTTGCCAGCGAGAGATAATACAGCTGACTGCCGTAAAGATTGGCTCGTAAATATACGCCGTCAAGACCCGTCCCGGTCCAGCCCCCCAAGCCCAGCGCCAGCACGCTTGAAGCTAGTCTGCTTGTTGAAGATGCTGGGAGACAAGCAAACACCAGGTTATCCTGGCTTATCAGCACAGGTATCCGAAAGGAAACAATCCTGCCTGGATCTTATCCTATAGTCCATTGGCACATCCTATGCTACTTGTACAGCGTCGGGCATTTGACATACCCCAGGTGGGTCGCCCGCAGCTGGGGCGACGGGGTACTCTACACTGATGACCACCTCATACATACAGATACTCCGGGAAAAAGACAACTTTATCGAGTCATAAAACCAATTCAGACTCCGCTCTCTCTGAGAGATCTCCATTCATATCGCACATCAAAGCCCCCTTGCAGACAGCACGTGCAGCAAGCAGAGGGACGCCAAAAAAAACCATAGACGTAAATGACAGGGGGGCAGAAACCTTTCTATCGAAAGACACGCTGGGGACCGGTACCAACATACCCGTATAGGATGCAACAACAGGGGTAATCACAGATTCCGTCCAAGGGATGGAGGCATAGACAAATTGAGAAAATTACATCAAATAACATAAGCTCTGGGACCTGACCAGAGAAGAATTGAAGTGTATCAAACGAAGGACACCGATGCAATGATAGTAGCAGACCCATCGAAATGACAATAGATAATATGGGCGCATAGGTTGTACAGACAGGTCAATAAACGCCGATTCGATCTATACAAACGAACGTTATACGACCTCTAAGCAGACGACTCAGACAAGAAGATGTATCCTCTCCGGAGAAAGTATTAGATGCCCCATCGGTTGCGGAGGCCCTCCGCCCACCGTTGGTAGAGGACATCAGAGAGCTCTTTGGTGTGTTCCATGCCAGTGACATTCTGACCAGGCAAATTCGAAAGAGCCGAAGCCGGTTGAGGCTGACATGGGGTGATGTCGGCAGTCGATTGACGGCGGCGGTGGCTTTTGAGATGAGGGTTGTTTTGCGCCAGCATCAAGCGTGGCCGCTGGGGGGAGTCCGGATGCGATGAAGTTGGGAGTAAGGCGGAGAGGCGAGAATCACTGGTCACTTGTTAACACGGCCAAAGAAATCATAATAAGAGAAAAACAACAAAAGAGAGGCAAACAAGGACTTACGCTTGAAGTTTCTCGTTCATAGTCCGGATAATGTGATATAAGCCCTCCGGGTCCACCATCTCCAGATCACTCCAAGCCTCGGCTAGTCGAGAGATAGCTTCACGCTTCTCTCCATCACCAGTGGTCGCAAGCACTTCTTGGCAAGACAGGCCAACGGCTCGACTGTAAGCTCGACGTCCCAACTGGGCCTCCTTATTTGCGGACTCGGCGGGGATGCTTTTGGGGCTCGCATTCTCAAACCCGGGCGGAGGCTTGACCTGAGTATTCTCATCGGGGACTCTGTCCGAGACACGACGGAATTGGCGTACAGTCGATGGGCTGTTTCCATAACTAAGATCGACCCCCAAAGGCTGCTTGATTCCGCTCGAGCGTCGCTTGGTGTTGGCACGACGAACCGAAGGTGACCGCTCGGCGCCCATAGCCCGGCGGACAGTTGAGTTGGCCTGGTGCTTAGGGGGCGCTGTGGGCTGCGAGATGTGCATATCTTCCATGAGCTGGGCTGGATCAGTCTCATTCCATTCTTCGTCCAAGGTGCTCCAATCCGTGCCCTTAGGCACCCACATGCTGGGCGCCTTCACGGTGTCGAACACCCAATCTTCATCATCATCTGTGGGCGGCTTTGTGATGGTATTCAAAGACTCGGCGTAATATTTGATGTCCTTGTTACTTCCCTTGCCTGCATCCCAGTCCTGCTTGCGGTGAATCAACTCCTGCAGGGCCTCGGTCTTGCCTGCGTTGCGTATGAACTTGTGACGGAGAAGCTCCTTCGCACTCGGGCGGCGATCGGGATCCTTCGTCAAACACTGAGCGATAAAGTCTTTGAATGTGTTACTGTACTCATTCCCCTCGAGCCGGGGGGCTGGGTTCTTCGGGATGAGAAAGAGGACCTTCATAGGGTGGGTACTGGCATGCGGGGGCTCGCCATTGATCATCTCGATCGCGGTAATACCCAATGACCAAATATCCGCCTTGAAATCGTATCCAGCCTGCTGGATGACCTCTGGCGCCATCCAGAAGGGAGTGCCCACGAATGTGTTGCGTTGAGATTTGATGTTGACTAGCTGTGCTGCCACCCCGAAGTCCGCCAGCTTCACCTTACCGGCGTTGGAAAGCAAAACATTGGCCGCTTTCACATCTCGGTGGATCTTGCCTTCGCTGTGGAGGTAATCGAGTCCTTGCAAGAGTTGCTGACACACGATCGCCACGTGAGCTTCGTTGAAGACTCCCGGTTTTAGCTGCGACTGGTTAGCAAACAAGCTTTTCCCCAGTAAAGGAACAGGGATCGCGCCACGTACAAGATCCAGGCAGGACCCGCCTCCCAGATATTCCATCACAATCCATAGTTTATGGCCTTTCAGGAAGCTCGCTTTGTACTGTGTAACAAACGCACTGGCGCAGGTAGCCAGAACGGAAATTTCCTGCTGTATTTCCTGGATGTCGTCCTCGCTCGACTCGAGATCGATCTGTACCGACAAACGGTGATTGTTAGCGCATTGGACGCGGCCCGGGGGTGTTGAACGCATACATGCTTAATTGCGACGATCTCACCGTTTGACTTGTCAATCGCCTTGTACACAGTTCCGAAACTGCCACCTGTAAAGAAAATGACCGGTCAGTATGCGCCCGTAGTGACTTGAGAGACAATCGTACTTCCTAGCTCCTCCAGCATCTGGTATTGACCCGCCATGTCCTCCATGGTTGCGCCGCAGCTCAGCCCGAACGAGTTCTAAATGGAGAGACCTGTAATCACAGAGCTCATCCAGCAATTGAACTTTGGGGAGAGCACTCGAGCCTGGAGACGTGGGCAGGAGGAAGAAACAAACCCGATCCCAGCTAACAGGGCCCCAAACAGCCAGCCGGTTGCTATGGCAATCATCTCCAGCCGCCCCCGCCAGTGCATGGGTCCCCACCGGACACTGATAACCCTTTATTCTTAGTGCCCAGCCTGCAAGGAGTGCCCAAAATATGCCTTCCATGGCCTTTTGGGTGCTGTCAAAATGAGAATGGGTATCTGTCCTTCGCCCAGCAGTTGTGAAAGTGTAATTAGATACGCTCCTGGAAAACATATTGGCCTGTCCCTAATGAATTAATAAATAGAACTTTTTGTTTTCTGCGGCTTTCAGATCTCCAATGCCGTTCGAGCGATCTGCCCCTCCCGTTTGTATAGTCTTGAGGTAGGGGATGGATGACAAGGGAGTGGGTCACTTTATATCCCAATCTCGTATCGCTACGAGGAAGAACAAGGAGCAATAATCTACCCACAATTTGTAGCTAACAAATAGGCTAGTAAGACTAGGGCGCCCCTCTAGACTTGTAGGTGACCCATCATTGGCGGATGATCTCTCGATTTTCTAGATGGTACTACTACTGTAAGAATCCACCAGACAAAAGGAACTATGTGCGATGCACATTATAGGTAGTACACAGGAATGGACTATTTTCAATTTACAATACTTAACGCATTCAATCTCTGCACAACCTGCTGCGTTGTATTGTGATCGGGACCAAGGGCCTTCTCGTAGCCTACCAGCGCTCGCTGGTACATCTGCTCTGCCTCTTTCAGTTTCCCCTGATATCTGTAAAGAAGACCAAGATTTTCGACTGTAGTAAGAGTCGATATATGGTCGGGACCGAGTGTCTTCTCCTTGCCCACCAGTGCTCGCTGGTACATCGCCTCGGCCTCTTTTAGCTTCCCCTGATCTCTATACAGAACCCCAAGGTTGTTGACTGTATCAAGAGTAGATGTATGGTCGAGACCTAATACCTTCTCATATCCGACCAGCGCTCGCTGGTACATCGCCTTGGCCTCTTTCAGCTTCCCCTGATCAGAGTAGAGAACCCCAAGGTTGTTGACTATAGTAAGAGTGGATGTATAGTCGAGACCTAATACCTTCTCATGTCCGACCAGCGCTCGCTGGTGCATTGCCTCGGCCTCTTTTAGTCTCCCCTGATCTCTATACAGAACCCCAAGGTTGTTGACTATAGAGAGAACAGACATATCATCAGGACCGAGGACCTTTTGATAGCCTACCAGTGCTCGCTGGTACATCTCCTCTGCCTCTTTCAGCTTCCCCTGGTCAGAGTAGAGAAGACCAAGGTTGTTGACGGTAGCGAGAGTGGATGTATGGTCGGGACCGAAAGCATTCTCCTTGCCTACCAATGAGTACTGGTATATCTCCTCTGCCTCCTTTAACTTCCCCTGATCATAATAGAGACTCCCTAACCTATTATATGCTTCCCATACCGCGTTATCAATGCTGCCACTTGACCAGACCTCACGACCTACATAGTTTGCGTGTGGAATAAGCCGTTGCTGCAACTCGGAAGAATTTCTGTCTCTTGAACTTGGTACACTGCATCCAACGGATATTAGTGCCAGTTCATGCAGCAGGGTCGAATTCGCATCTTTGTCTGTACTGGAAAGATAAATGCACCAGTCTTGTACCACCGGGTGTATTGTATAGCTTCCGACTTGTTCCTTCGTCTCAAGCAGAGAGAAGCCGATGAGATCCTTGACGCCGATTTTGAATGCGAGTCCGCTTGATATAGTATTTTCCAGCCAAACAGGAATATTTGAGCTATAGCGGCTGCTTTTTATTAACTCATACCAGATATCTCGATTATCGAAGTGAGCAAGTAGAAGAAGCAACTTCGCTGCGTGCGGGTTTCGCTTCTGGATCTCACGATATGAGATTATCCATGTTTGTAGTATATTACCCTGTTGATACTGACGGTGCGGATTTGACCGCAGCTGTAATTCGGACCAAGATTCTTGGTAGTACTGCAAGTACTCGGTGACGCTAGTTCCAGTCTCACGCATGAAGGACCCGGCAATAACAATCGCCAATGGAAGTCCGTCTAGACGAGTAGCCAGAGTAAGCGTATCTATTAATGTTAGTTCCATCACTGGGAGCGAAATAGTAGATCACTTAGTACCTGGGTTACCCTCGAGTCTGCCAAAGGTATCTCTAGCTGATAAACCGGTGCTTTGTAAGAGTAGTTGAATAGCATCCTTGGAGTCTAACTTGTTGAGCTGAAAAGATTTCCCGAGCTCAGTCAACCCTTGGAGCCGAGATGTAAGAAGAATGGAGCCATGATCGGCAGTAGGGAAGAATTCCGCGATATCATATGCATCGCCCGTAGCGCCATTAACGGGGAGGTACTGATCGACGTTGTCAAAGATGATCAGCCAGCGCGAGTTTCCCTCTAACGCTAGCCAACGTAATACATGCCTAGCTCGTTGCTCTACCTCCTCCTCATTGGCCGCCTCATCATTCTGAGACTGTCCTGGTAATCGGGGCAAGACGGAGCTCAAATGTTGCAAGAGTGTGCCTCGATCCTTGCCACTCAGCCAAAAAATGGCAGTAAAATCGTCTTTGTGTGAGCGCGCGAAACGAATAGCTAGCTGCGTCTTTCCTATTCCCCCAAGCCCATGGATAATCGCAACTTTTCGTGACTGGGGATTTTTTGGCTGTAAATACTGCCATAGCTGGTCTAACTCGTCTTGTCGTCCTAGAAAATTTTCAATCACTGGCACAGCAGTAAGATCTGACGGAACGTCAAAGCGATGAATTAAGTCTATAATGGACCATTCAGAATCAGATAAGGAGCAAAGTTGCTTAAGACTTAAGAGTCTCTTACCGGAGTCTGGTACAGCATGTGCCGTTGGGGTACTGTGGATATCGGGTGGGACAACTAAGAGAAGCTCCTTCGCATAGGCCGCCGCCACGGCTGCCGCATACCCTTGCCATTCTTTATTTTTGTGAGAGTCGGCGTAATCACAAATTCCCCCGAATCACCAGACATGGAAAGTCATTCATGAGTCCTGCCGCTTCCATCTCTACACAATAAATTCCTAGGTCCCTGGCCAGCTGATCTCGCTGCCTGCCATCTTTCAGGACTCGATTCGCGGAACCAATCAGTCCATAGTGTACAACTGGTTCTTGGTGGTCTCGTGGAGGTCTTGAAGACAATTTAGATCGATCGCAACCAAGACAGGTACTAGATCCGACATGATCATACTCCGCTTGAAACAGACAATCCTTTTCCGTTGGTCGTGCAAATGTTGTGGCCTTGCGAGGTAGCATTTTGGCTTGGATGCTGGAGACGAACTCAGATACTCGGCTTTCTTCTGTGAGATGATGGGCTTGGAGAGTAGCGAGAGCAGTTAGCAGAACTTTCGGAGGCCGGTTCAGCATTCCCGTTCGCGTGAATCGCCCATCACTTAATACTTTACCAAGATCGTACTGAACCACCCCTCCTGACGTGTCCGATGGCTGGCTCACTACGATATCCCCGAGGCGGATATCCGCGTAGTTGCTGGGCACACCTCCAGCAATGCCGACGACTAAACCAATACGAACGGCGCGAAAGCTAGACAGCAGCTGCATCCCAACTGATGTAGCTGAAGTGTTGCCATATGCTCCACTAGGTAAACCAGCAATAACAACATTGTGCTCCCCGACATTTCCCAGGATATATGTATTGTGATCGTTTGGCGGGCGCGGTAAACTCGGGTGTATTGCGTCCAGCATCAGCTTTGCAGCTGCCATCTCAAGAGGTAAGGCGCATATCCATCCAACGGTGTAATCTTCGTGAGAGAGAGGGATCCGGGCTTCCATGATAGGCTATGTCGCAACCGGATATCTACCCTGCGATAAACAGCCCATTGATTGAAACAATTGAAGGTGAAGGAGAGATATTGTGAAGCGCTGGAATGCTGCCGGATTGATAGGAGAAAGCGGGGTCAATGTGAGGCTGCACACGGACCCCAAGCTGCGAGATCAGAGTCCACGTGTCGTACACTCCGGTACCATACACCTAGAAAAATATTAGCGAGAGGATTGAGAGATTAGATGAATATTTAATCGCAGATTATGACTGGTGTGAACAGTTTATAGTTCTTGAATTCTTGGATTGGTAACGTCCGTAGACTTGAAATTAACGTACAACTTTTAATATCTTTGCCTCTGTGGTAGTCTGGGAGCCTATACTAGTTTGGGTGAGCAACTTCGAACACAAGCAACAAGTCGAAACTGCATTTTTTTGAGGGCGACACCATTGGTGCTGGATACCAGCATATGAAGACTTCTTCTTGCCTTGTCACTCTGACCTGAACTCTGCTATGACGATTTTTTGACCTTTCGCCATCATCGTATTGTATATTCTAAGTGGATGAAGATAGAACGTTCATCAGCTTGGCCAATGCTGCTTTGACACTATCAAGGTCTTGCAAAATCATCTGATGGCCACTTTTAGCGACGACCACCTCCGAAGGACCACTGATCTGAGCACTAATACTCTCTGATCTTCCTGGAGGACTGATTACATCCTTATCGCCGGCCACGAAGATGGTCGGACAAGTGATCTTTTGGTAGTCGGGGTTGACATGCTCGTCACTGGCGATGAGTTCTGCTGTAACAGCATACGTTTCTGCGGAGGTGGAAGACACCGCATCCCGGACCGTTTGTACATGCGCTTCATCGTTGTCTCGGTCTGCGGGGAAATTGGTGTTGACGGCGATTTCACTAACCACATCCATACCTTTCTCACGAGCTATGATTGAGAGGTCACGCATACGCTGCTGTGCTGGTGGTATGTGGGCCAGGGAGCCCCCCCGTGCCCAGTAACAGCAGGCTTCGCACTCTCCTAGTATATGGGCGGCGAAGTGCAAGCTGATGATGGCACCGAGCGAGTGGCCTATAAGTAAAACGCTGGAGTCGTTGTCATAGATATCATTGCTTGCGGTCTCAATTGCTGATGGGACGGTAGTCCAAGTAGGAGGCTTTTGGAGATAGGTGATCAGGTCGTGTAGGTCGGAGACATAACCGGCGAACGTCAGAGGTTTTCCTCGGTTTAGGGGTGTCTTCCCGAATCCTTCAAGGTCAACTGCGACGACGTGATAGTTCGAAGGTATGAATGGAACAAGAGGTCGAAAGGTCTCTGTAGAGCCACCCAATCCATGTAGACAAATAGCCAGAGGACCTTGCTGATTGCCATAAGAAATGTAGTGAATATCAGTGCCTTGCGATGTGGAATATCGGCCTGACGACCCTTCAAGCACGTTTAGTCTCATGACAGCAAATGATCTAAGTGCGAAGTAGCAGGTATCCAAGAGATGAGAATAAGAGAGCGTCTTTAAAGCAACGAATGGCGTTTTGCTAATATGCGAATACCTCCCAAGTACCCCAAGGCTTGGCCCGGCCAGCAGCCTTGGGAAAGTCAGTATCTTCGGCCGGGCCAAGCCGGCGAAGATACTACTAACTTCTGATGAGTGTTTATGATTCTACAAATGCCCTCGGCCGAAATGATAAGTATGGCTTGAGGCTAAGACTAGAAAAAGGCCGGCGAACTACATCTATTGGATCTCGGGATTAAGCCAAACGGTCGTTCTCAACTACATCCGACGTCTTCAACTAAAAAGAAAAATGGTCGTGGAAGCCCTTACAGAGGTCGTGGCGCCAGAGGGCGTCAAAGCCCGACTCGTCGCGACTAAAACAGCCGACATCACTTTACCGCATGCCGAGAGCACCAATGGCAGAGTCGTTCCTTTCCAACATCCTGAATCGTCGAAGGTTGACTTTGGAGCTGAGGTCTATGGTATCGACCTGAATAAGCTGACCGATGCGGATTTCGAACTCATCTCCGACGCTTTACACGAGTATAAAGTTCTAGTTTTCAAGGAACAACCGGAAATGCTGCGACCACAGCAACAGTACCTTCTGACAGCAAACTTCGATCCTGATGAGACCACCGGCGGCTTCGCCCACGGGGCCGATCCTTTCCTCACGTCTTACAACGAAGTTAATATCTACGGCATCCCCAGCCGACCTGCTATTCCTTGCCAGCCTCAAGTACACATTCTGGGACGCGGAGAAGTTCCTGAAGGTCATTATCAATTCCCTCCAGGCTTCAAGGTCAAGGGTATCGACCATCGCGACTTCCACTTGCCGCCTCATATTCCTCAAGCGGAACGTGAACAGGGCGCCAGCAGATTTTACCAATGGCACTGGGATGGAGCACTATACAATATACCACCCCCCAGAGTTGGCTGCTTACTAGCTGTCAAAACTCCCAAGGGGCCGGACGTTACCGTTCGCTGGGACGATGGCACCGGGACTGAGATGAAGATCCCACCAGGCTCGACTGCCTATATCGCAGGTTCGCGTGCTCTCGAAGTCCAGGACGAAGAAACAAAACAGATCCTTCTCCACAGTCGCATTGAGTATGCTCCCCATGCCTTCAAATGGATGTCGACCGCTCGTAGTGCCCGACTCGGCCACATTATTGAAACCGAAGGTCTGGAACTGCCGCGCGAGAAGCTGCCACCCATTGACGAGAAGAAGATCTGTATCTATCCAATGGTTTGGACCAATCCAAAAACCGGTGAGAAGTCTCTGCAAGTCCACGGACAAGGAGCAGTCAAGCTATATCTCAAGTCGTCACCTGATGGGGAGGAAACCATCATCGATGACCTCAAAGAAGTCCGCAATTTTATGCACAAGTAAGAAATACTCTACCTTTCCATCGTCAATTTTGGAATCTTACATGATGAACAGGATCATGCGGCCAGCAATCTCCCCTGAGAATATCTACGCACATCCTCATGAGGAACAGGATGTAGTCCTATGGTACAACCGTGCGCTGTGGCACAGCATTGTAAGTGGTCAAGTATAACTAAACCTTCGACATGGGGCTAATTGTTATGATCAGACTGAATTCCCCGAGTCATATGGCCCTAGAATCATGCATCAATGCAATATTGCCGCATCGGATCATCCTAGCTGTTGAAATAGCAGAATACTTAACTCTGTTTGATCGATGCCAGTGAATTGTTGGCGAAGCCTTTGATCACCAAAGATCAGAAGACATAAATTTGAGTTTTTTTTTTTGAAGAAGTCGAGTCTAATCAAATCAGAGAGAGATTAGAGCGATTGAACCATATTTACGTAGCAGATAAATCAATGCGCATTTTCTTTACATCGCTTATATCGGTTACAAGGATAAAATGCTGGAGGCTCTAATCGACAAGAGAAAGCAAGTTATCAAACGTCTGAGATGCATTCGCATCTGGAGGCATTTGCCAAATCCAATCCAACTCATTCGGGACCACAACTGACTCATACGCATCTGTCGGCTGTCGATGATGATTGCCTTCCCGAGATTCCGAAGCGTTTTCAGTTGCATTGGTCTCCTGCGTGGCCATTGTAGGATTCCATGGCGCGGGATCGCCTTCAGCGCCGTAGATTGTGCGGACGAATTCCTTAGCATCAAATCCTTTCGGCCGTTTCCTCTGACTTCCCTCAATTGGAGATTCATGTGATCGCTTTCGACTCTCAGTAGTATTCCTTATCTGTTTTCGCAAAGCTTCCAACACCAGGATACCTCGCGCGGCAATCGTACTTCGGTGTTGACACGACTGTAAATGGTAGAGGGTCTGATCTACAAGTTCAGAACATGTGTCGGCAGAATTTGGTGCTTCGTGAAGGATATTGAAAGAGATGACTATGCAAGCTGCGACTGAGAATGCTTGGTGCGTCCATAACATCGGTGTGCTTTGGTCCTGACAACTCGCAATATACTCTCTGAGGATCGTCTTTGCAGCCGCCAGACACGTTCGGTGACTGAAGGCGAACATTGGGCTGGCGAAACTGAGACTAAGAAACTTTCTTCGGAGAGGTCAATTCAAAGGGACGGGAAAGAAAAAGGCGGCCGTGATTACCCGGCTTCAGGGTCCTTACCTGTGAATCATGATGATCTTGTGAGCAGAGCTCATCGCAATTGCGCGACGTGCCCATGGAACGTAACGGGGCCACCGTTTGTCAAGATCGGTTTGCGTCAAAAAATGAGGTCTACCCGTCGCGATCGATCGCATTTTCTTGTCATGGATCCGTACAACTTCATATTTCGTATATAAGGTATTCGACACTGCCATGGCATCTTGTAGAGCAGGCATGATTACCGCAATCTTGTTCAAGAATCGGCCAAAACTAGTGACCGTCGGCTTTTCCTCTGGCAGAACGTCCATGGTATCTTCATCGTAGTTTTTGGGTGGAAGAGACGTCGAGTGGAGAGGAGTAATAATATATGATTCGGAAAAAGACGTGCTGAACCAGTCTTGGGTGCAGAGTTCCTGCCACACTCGTCGGCCTGTTTCGAGCTCCTCGTCTGGGCCCCGAGCATCTTCACCCAACCTGTGTAAGCCTAGGCTTTGTGCTATACGAATAGCTGCCGCGAGCATGATCGATTGGTTGTTTGAATGGCCTAACATATGGGCGGTGTGGGTCAACGTCGCAATTGCTTGCACGGCAAAGATCGAGAGGTTGTCAGTATAGTCCGCTGCAGTTAAGGCGACCGCAACAGCCCGATACCATTTCTGCGACAACAGCCTGGCCTCTCGTGCATCGAAACCCCATCGCTGGATCTCATGGTCCGGCGCACACGTAATAGCCCGGCAAGCACAGAAAATAATAAGGCCACCCATTGTAAGTCCACACCATTGGAGTCAATTTGGCCGGAGTGATCAGTGAAGAAGGAGTCTAGTTGTTTGGAGAACGACGAAGCCAAATATGAGCCATGGAACCAAAGGAGACACTCCGCATGATAGTCGGCTAGTCGATACAGCTGCCGTCGTGAAGGTAACAGTATTTGCAACCAGGCGAAGAGGGACTTCCCTGGCATCACAAGCGAATCAAGCTCCTCTCCCACCGGACTGGTGGCATCCTCATTTTCTTGTCCGCCAACTTTCAGAGTCCTCGGGGACAGCATTGCTTTGTCTGGGAGTTTTGCGCGGCCCCAAGCCAAGAACTCCAGGACAGTGACGGTGTCTTCGGTGTCTTCCGGGGGTGAGCCAACCGATGGAGAGGCTCGTTCCAGCTGGACCTGATCATCCGAAGGATCTCGTAGATCGATCGACGAAGCCGTACCTACATCATCCTCTTTCTGTTGTAAGGCAGCTTCGAGCTCGGCGACACGATCGCGGAGAGCTTGTACGGTTGCGGCGCCATCTGGTTGCGCGTGTCGCGCCAAGGGACCCATACCATCAGGTTCATCACGGTCGCATTCTGCTGCGATGCCTCTCTTGATACAATTGTCGCATGGGATAATCTTGTTACATTTGATCTTCTTCAAAGTGCAGATTCGACATGCCAGTCTCTTTCGATAGGCAGCCGACATAATCCGGTAGCAGACAGAAAAGATATACGAGGACCTGGTGGTAATATCCTTCACACCGTAGCCGCTGCAGAAGATGCAATCGCGCACATTGACTGATTCTACATTGGCACTGCCACTTAACTAAGGAGATTAAAACTGGGCAAGATGTGTGATGCTCTGGAACTGCGACTACGTATTCGTCCCGCCCGGAAGAACAAGCGATAAGATAATCTCTTTTTATTTGATCAACGATTCTAAATGCCCTATGCCCAGAGGAACCCCGCAAGAAGTGGCATGGCTCGATCAGCCACCACCAGTGGACAGAGATAAGGAAGTGTGGCGGTCTGTTTTAAATTTGCAAGGCACCTTATTGGGATGCTCACCCAATGGCGCACTGGGAACATTTTCGTCCAAACGGCCGAGGTAGGGTTTTACTGTCTCGCACCAAGAACCACTGATTTTAGCTACATTCTTTGGGCCACAACTGATTTCACGGATATGGATGTAATCGTAATTGGTAAACTCGAAGACCAGTCACTGAATACTCGGACCCCCCAGCCCCATCTTGAGATAAGGACCTCTCGCTTGTTGGACCCTCGGCCGGACCCACCAGGACCTCGAGGTAAAGGGATTCTCGCTTGTTGGACGCTCGGCCGAGCCTGTTGTGACGCCTGAGGATAAATCCTCGGGTTATATGCCCGTAACTTGGAGATCATGCACGAACGAGCATCGCGGTCTTACAACTACTAAAGCTGAAAATTATCTGGTGCGCGAGCCCTGACAGGCAATCTGAGATAATCGTTATACAATGGGCTTGGAGACTAATTCCGAGTAGTCAGAGTATCAATGTCCACTACGGCAGTTAACCCCGAACCCAGCTGGCGAGTGGAGCCGATTGTGAAGACCAAAGACCAGAAGTTCAACTTCGGTGCTTATGTCTCAGGTTTAGATCTAAGCGAGATATCGGGTATGAGTCTCTTTACCTACCATTCGATTTACTATCTTTTCTGACCGGCTGCAGATGACGACGTCCTGAAATTGAGAGAGGCTATCTGTAGGCACAAAGTGATCGTGGTCAGAGGTCAAAAGGATCTCTCACCTCAAAAACACTGGGAGCTAGTTACCCGTTTTGATCCAGAAGCGCCTATACTCCACAGTCACGGCAGCATCCAAAGCTTCAAACAAAAGGAGGAATTCTTTCCAAAGCTCGAGATGTTTACGGTATCCCTGGAGCTGAAAATGTACGATTGATCGGCAAGGGATATCAGGGGGAGGATCACTATGGGTTGAAGAACCTCAATGTTCGAGGTCTTTCAAACGACTTCCATGATAAGCCTTTGAACGAGGACGAATTTGCGCAGGGTATTACCCGATTTCAAAGATGGCATATTGACGCCCCATTATATGCCCGAGACCCGGCATGGTTTACCACCCTGCGAGCGATCAAGGTACCAACGGGGCCAGAAGTGACGATTAGATGGGACGACGGATCAGGTCTCGAAATGAAATGCCCGCCCGGGCTGACGGCCTTCTTCAGTACCTCTCAGCTATACGATATGCTCAACCCCGAAGAACAGCAACTTGTCGACCACAGCTGGGTCGAATACGCCCCCCATCCATACCTGTGGATTGAAAACTGCAAGTCGCGTCCAACTGGCCTTGGTCTATTGAGCCAGGGCAAAGAACACACCATGGAGGAGATTGGCGAATACAATGAAGAAGACGTTAAGCGGGTAAGTGTCAACTGGGTTTGAACTTTGACCACGACCTATTCCTGACAGGTGCATAGTATCCATGCGTCTGGGTCAATCCAGTTACCGGCGAGAAGGCCTTTCAAGTCCATGGTATCGCCGCTCGGAAGCTTTTCCTCCGATCATCTGTAGATGAAAAACCGAGAGTCATCGACGACGTTGTACACATTCGGGAGTTCCTGCATAATATCCAGTCGCGCATTCTGCGGCCCGGATTCATTTGGCTCCCGAGGTGGAAGAAGGCGATATTGTCATGTGGGACAATTATGGCCTCTTCCATACCGCAGTCGATTATCCACTTGAGAAATACGGTCCCCGGACTATGCATCAAGCGAACATTGGCGCCAGTAAAGGACCTGTTGGACCTGTACCGATTCCTTCTTTTGCGTGAAAATGAACAGTGCCCCTAGTATATCGAATTAGCTAGCTAGAGAGGGGGGGAGGTCATTATCTGATTTCAATGAGCTTTATTGAAATTTATGCCGTACTTGCTTCTTCAATCGTAGCCTAAGCTTGTTATACGACCATAGCCCAATATGATTTGCACGTGGCACTATCATGCAGGCTAACACCTTAGTATTGATATCAAACGCAATATTCCCAGCTCGTTCTCTGCTGAGTAGGTTGGTCAGCAACATCGTGTCAGTCTTGGAGGATCATAATATTTCTTTGCTCGTGGTAATATATATAGAGGTATGCTTTGTCTCTCCTTTACCTCCTTGCCTCAGCGCTAGAACGCTGGTTATCTTCTGCTCGCTGATAAGAGAAGATACTGCTCCTCCACAAAGGCTTCCACTGACACGGGAACATGTGGTTTTTTTTTGGGATAATTAGACCATATTTTCTCGAGGCGTATGGTGGTCTCTCCTCTAACACTGGAATAGTTAGTTGACATGACGCAATCGGCGTTGCCATTGTAGAAGAGCGGTATCGAATAACGGCCAGTTGCTGTATAGTTCAATACTCGATGTGTGTTTGACGTGTAGTGGTGATTCGTCTAACGTGCCATTAGATTTCCTAGATTGACTCCTAGATTGATCACGTAGGCACCTGGGATGGGTGGAATATCGAGGAATTCTCCAGTTTCTTCGTCTTGGACTTGTACTCCACCTAATTGACCTTGCAGAAGGATCGTGGTGCAGCCAAAATCTCCATGAGCACCACATCCCCGCTCTAGATCAGATAGATGTTTTTGGAGTAGGGGGCTGGGCTCGGCCGACGAGATAAAAGCCCGGACGTAATCACGCCAAGACTTTCTTATCACAGTAGTAGGTACATAGTTAACTACACGAAAAGCCACTGATAGTAAGTCTCTTAGCTTTGATATGTTTTGGCATACAATGTGTGGTGTACACTTTCAAGAATCAAAAGCCGTACTGTCAGATAAGAGGCATTGCCTCACACAATATCGGTATGACCTCAAATTTCTCGCTGGCTCCGGCCGACGCTTAGATTAGAGTCACACCAAGCCCGGTAATCGCGCGGCTAATCTGCCCCTAGTGAATCAGGGACAATATTCACTGGGAGATAAGACATAAGATTTTATGACTGACTCTGAAAACACATAATGTGGATCAGTTGCTGTCCATTTCTCGAAGCCAACAACAAAAGAATCTTTGAAACGCAATTATTCTCCACCGCGTTGAGACGGGTTTCCCCACTCAATATTAGGACAAGATGTATGGCAAATTCAAGAGATTGAAGCTCGCTTTCTCCAGCAGGGCACAACTCGTGAAATTCCTTGAGACTGCCCCAGACGCCTCTGGCAATCCGGATACAGCCCGCAACAAATGGCAGAACAAGGATCTTGACATTAGTCCGCCCAAAGACCGGACGTGGGCATGGTATGACTATGCTGCTTTCTGGTGGTCATACGGTTTCGCTCCTGGGTCATGGTACATCGCTGCTTCGCTACTGGCGGCGGGTTTGTCACCGGGCCACGCATTGGGCTCTATTTTCCTCGGTTACTTCTTCGGCGCAGTCGGAGTCGTCCTCCATTCGCGTGGCCCAGCCATGTACCACTTCGGTTTCCCTGTAGAGAGTCGTATCGTATGGGGCCTTCGAGGCGCATACTTTCCTGTGATCATTCGGGCAATGACCGCCCTGGTCTGGGCTGGAGTCACTATTGCCCAAGGTGGATACAATACTGCGGTCTTGCTGCGTTGTATTTTTGGGAACAGTTATTGGACCTTGAAAAACACCATCCCGGAGAGCTCAGATATCACCACAGTGCAACTGATAGGTTTGTGGAACACAGCCCCGATAACTTTTTATGCTGAGCGACTCGTGGAATTGACATCGTAATCTGTATAGCTATTCTTGTGTACTGGGTGCTGACATGTTGGCTGATTATCATCCCCATACCTAAGTTACGGCGACTGTTTGAGATCAAATCATTCATTCTCCCCCAGTGATGTTTGGTATAACCACCCCATAGGGAGATACGGGAGATACTACCGCTAACAAATGTGAAGGCCTATTCGGATACTGCATGGTGAAAGGCCGCGGATATCCTCATCGAGACATGTATGATATTGATCCTAAAAAAGAGGGTGGCATTATCGTGGGCCATGGTAAGCAAACATTTAGACTGCTAAGGAGGACCGGAGAACGCTAATCCGGAAATAGCTGTCAGGCATCAATGCTGGCTTGGGGAAAACAACCACGTTGATGGTTAACCAGCCAGACATTGCGCGATATGCTCGAAGCAAGATGGCACCCGTGTTATCCCAGCTCATCATGTTTCCTCTGGCTAGCACCTGTTGCTCAGCCATGGGTATCTACGCCACACAGAGCATCTACAATGTTTGGGGGAACTTGGATTGGAACCCGTGAGCTTGCGATTGACACGCTCGCATGCCCTTTGCAGTGACTAAACCTGATTAGATGGACTCTGAACCACGATATGTTGGATCACAATTTCAGCCATAGCTTCCGGGCAGGTATCGCCATCATGAACCTTGTCTTCCTCTATGCCAATGCCATTACGGAACAAGGGGCAAATGTCATTCCATTTGGGGCAGATTTTATGTCGCTTTTCCCCAGATGGCTCAACATCAGGAGGGCCATGTGGCTCTGTTATGTTCTTGCCATCTGTATTTGTCCGTGGTATATCCTTGCGTCGGCCTCGGGCTTCCTCCGGTTCTTGAACGGCTACAGTATCTTTCTGGGCCTTTCCTTGGAATGGCTCTCACAGACTATTTGGTAGTTCGGAAGGGTAACGTTTTCGTTCACGACTTGTTCAAAGAGAAAGGCCGCTACTGGTATTCCCACGGTGTGGCATGGAGGCCTTTTGTCACATATGTCTTGTCTGTGGCGTTTGTAGTATGTGTGCCCACAACCCCCAATCTTCCACTGAGTCCACTAACAGGAATTTAGCTTCCGGGATTTGTTGCTACTTTTGGCTATAGAATTGCTGGAGGTGCTGGCTGGACTCACTTGTATGATTTCAGTTGGTTCTATATCTGCGTTGTGAGCAGTGTCGTGTATTTTGTTTTGTCATATGTGGGTGACTATGCAAAAGAAGAAAAGGCGATGTCTTACGAGAGCTTGGCATCCATTGCTGAAGAATTATATGGCGAAGAGCAGCAGAGAACCACTGTATTGGAGGTGAACCTGCATGTTGAAGGAAAGGATCCGGCCAATGTTGTATAAGTTATTTGGTAGGGACAAGTTTAGATAGTGCCTGAAACTCAATAAACTCAATATAGACTTATTTTATCTCGTATGAGTGGGCAAACGAAATGTTTATACAGCAATTGAAGAACGATATTCGTTGAAAGTCCCTTCCAAAGTTTATCTCCACACAGCCACTCCCATCTATGCGTATAGTCGTAGAAATGACTAGCTGCGGTATCTGCTGCTGTAACAAGCTTGGGACACTTAGTGTATATAGGGTTCACTCATTAGGTTAACATATTCCAGGGCATTCTCAGTTCTACAAGTTAGAGAAGGTGAAGGGGTAGGCACTAAAATTGAATAGGAAAAATTGAAGAAAGTTCTGTTACGAAGGTAAGAGTGCCTAAGTGGTATCTCCGCTGTCGAGTGTACATGTACTCTAAAGATGCGCGAAACGAATGCCATTGCAAATAGTCAGCGTCTCCAGATATCGCTCCGAATTCTCATTCCCTGATCAATCTCGACGACGTGCAACCCATGCTTGTTCAACGTGGATTGTCTCCAATTCTATGGTGGGCATTAATCTCAGTTTCTTGATTATGCATATCAGAATATTACGAAGTAAGGATTGGTGCAAGGCTAGTCCCACGAGCCTACAGAGGCGAGTCCAATCAATATGGCAGGAATTCCTAATATTGATGACTATCCCTCAGGAACGTAGGGGGATGTGACGTCTAGCTGCCTATATAGGGGTTGACGCGTAGGCGCTGGGAATAATACCGGTAAAGAAAACTTCCCAGAATATAACCTCGGACCAGGGAGGGTGTTGAGTAGAGGAGATTGGAAGAGATGGGAGACTTGGAGGGACAGCGGCGTGCTCAGATCTACTCAAAGAAGCATAAAGCGGCACCCAGTGCGCCCAAAAGCGGAAAGAGGAAGCCAAGCTATGGCATAGAAAATCTGTTACTATTAGGTAGATATGAAAAACCATATATGACTCGGACCATGTCCACAGACATGTCCTACTAGCACTCAAGGGCCCTCGGCTCGGAGCTCCGAATGAGTGAGCAAAGACGGCTCGGCTGGTTTGAACCAGAAACCATTGGTGGTCTAGATACGCACATGCCCCAAGGAATTCCCTCCCTCCTTGCATACTATCCTCCGATTTCTCATAATGAGACCGTGGTCAAAGTCAGAGAATGGCACGACAGGCAACTCCCCTTACTCTGACGGTGAAGACCAACATTTAGCACTTGAGCTTTGGGTGGGGTTCGCCGCCCAAATCCTCTTGTAGGTGATAAGTCATTACAGGCGCTTTATAGAAGCAAAGAAATGCAATCTAGTGGTTGTTTTTTTCCCGGGTTCTCTAGTTCTTGGTCCGGGTCTCTTTCAGTATAGATGAGCACGAGCAGAAATCAGAGTCTTTAGGAAAAGTACCTTCAAGCTAGCCATTGCTAGCTCGCAGGAAACCCGGACGGTGCCATTGCTGCCCTTCCGTGGGCTACTAGTAGCCGTCAAAGCCCAAACCAAGAAAGTGGATTATGTTCCGAGGCTTGGTAGCTACTCCGCCTGCCGCCAACATCCAAATTCGAATAAGTGAGATGATGGGAGGTCGGACAGACAGTCTCCACCTGGATCATTGCAGCGGCATATGGCTAGACTGCCCAGTGATACTTCGTACGTAGAAATGGGATAATGGCCTCCGAAAAGCGGGGAAAGTCGTATCCATTTGCAACGATCTACACGATCCTTCAACCAGGCTTATATGGGCTCGGGGCATTCGGAGTATTATCAAACAAGTTAGATTTCTACCGTGGAGAAGGAGCATCGGCGAAGGAATGCCAGCACATTCCCGCGTCAAGCCACATGCAGGTGCTGAGGAGGGACGGAGGAATGATAAAAACTTGGTCATCCCCAGGATTTGGATCGAGTGAACAGTCACTCTTTGCGGGCCTCAAAAAATGAAGTACTTGTTTTCATACTCGGCCGTCACGGCTCTGCTGGAGGCCTCATTGGTCCTCCAGGCCGCGGCTGTTGCAATTCCCCTGAAATTGGAAGCGCGGGGCTTTCAATTCGAGAATGTCTTTGCCTTGTATGTTTGACGTCACGGTGCACGACGGATGTTCTCCATGCTAACTGCAGATCTTTCTTCTATAGCGGGGATTCTTACACTACAAATGGCTTCAACGACCACGGGCCCCAGCCAAAGGCGGAAAACGTTATCGGGAACCCTAATTTCCCTGGCGAAACTACAACCGGGGGTATCAATTGGCCTGAATTTCTGGTGACGGCCGTCAGGAACTCCCCAGCGCTTCTTTACGACCTTGCCGTTTCGGGAGCAACAGTTGACAACACCTTCGTCGCTGCGTCAACTGGAGTCTCCACATTCGTACAGCAGGCGGCTTCGTTCGTCTCGACATACGGACCAAATACCGCGGGAGCAGGCGTGTGGACCAGCGACAACTCGCTGTTCACCGTGTGGTTTGGCATCAACGACATCAACGCTGGCTATAAAAACTCGAATTACGAAACCCTAGTGCACACAGTCATTAAGAACTACTTTGACCAGGTGACGAATCTCTACAACTCTGGTGCAAGGCACTTCGTGTTCCTCGGCGTGCCTCCCATTCAGCGCACACCGCAATTCATCTCCCAGGGATCGGCGGCCCAAGATGCCGTGACCAACGCCATTGCTTATTACAACCAACTTGTCCAGGACGGAGCAAATGATTTCAAAAACGCCCACGCTGACGCTGCGGTCTCCTACCTCGACACAATTCCCGTTTTTGACCAGGCGTTGAACAATCCTACTGCTTATGGCTCCCCCGATGCAGTCTGCTACAACTCCGACGGAACGTCTTGTTTGTGGTGGAACAACTTCCACCCTGGCCAAGCCATTGATAAGCTGGTAGCAGAGGCGGTCGCTGATCTCATTAAGGGTTAATTGAAGGCTATAGCAGTGCTAACAGTCAATTGGTAGATATGTACCTATGTATGGAAGGAAAACGCTAAGATCTGCAGGTGTCAAACTACAATAATCGATTGACTCCAGAGTTACAGTGTGCATGTACTTGTCTTGAGCTAAGCTATTTTCTTCCAGAAATTCAACGGCGGAAATTTCCTAATCCTAGTTAGGCCACAGTTTTTGGTTAAGGATCTAGCTTAAGATGATTGTTCCAATCTCGAGGGACCTAGAGGATGAGATCATATAATACCGCAATTCTTGCGATAGACTACAACCTCATTAGGTTTCGGGTGAAGGGAAGAAAAGTGATCAGCAGACGAGCGGGACAAGCTGCATTAGCTTAAGGCTGCATGTGAGGTCTATGTGGGGGCTGCAGTCAGGACCAAGGTAAGCCCACCAATGCCAATAACAACATTAATTAGCCACCGTCAAATCGGTCAAATAAATTCCGCGCCGTCATCTTAAAGGTTCGTTAAGCCGTAGCTTTCTAGTGATTGGTGGAATGGGGGCGCAATGTCAGGAGAGGTCTATCCGAACTAGACCGCATGATGAAAGGAAGAGCGGAAGTCTAAGGCCGGAGTCACTACGTGCGAGATCCTTATCCCATGGCCTATTTTTATGTGCTTATCGTCTTTTATACTGTCTGTTTGTGACATAAGGCCGACTCACATTCTGGTTGATGTCCGGTATTTAGACCTATCTAGACCAAGTCACATAAAGTCGACAAATGGCTTGTACCGTGATCGTACATCGAATTATTAGCCTTGATTTCGGTAGATTTACCATGCATTCATTCAAACGTGCGATTCACAGCCTTGTTCGTACAATGTTGTGTCAGCCTACTATTCTACCCATCGAGGACGGAAGCGGCCTACTTAATGTCGGAAGAAAACTTGTCACCACGGATTCAGAGTAATGCTACATGACTTGAGATCGAATTGAGTATTTTGTCGCTGGTATAGTTTTTGTGTTTGATACAGAAAACACTCATACACCTAGATGTATTTGTATGGGTTCATGATGCCATTCTGGAAGAACTAAGTTAGCAAGAAATAGAATATCAAAAGGACCGAAATCCTGGGAAGTCACTCACCGGATCATAGAGCCCCTTAAGCTGCTTCATCAAGTTCACCATGGTCTCGTTCTGGCTGTATCCAATGTACTGCCGCTTGGCAATACCCAACCCATGTTCGGCACTGATACTACCGTTCCGCTTCTGGATCCACTCATACACCCAAGGCTCGATAGCCTTCTCGACTTCTTTGTTATACTGGCGCACGGAAACATTCAAGTGGAGGTTAGAGTCACCCATGTGGCCGTAGCCAACGACCGCACGCACGGGGAAGGAGTCGTCATCGCCCACAAAGCCCATCTCAGTAAGGCGCGAATTGCAGTCCTCCACCAGCTGGTACAGCTCTGCAAGGGGAATAGAGACATCGTACTTGTAAGTACCGCCCAGATGGCTGAGGGACTCAGTGATACCCTCCCGCCAGCGCCAGAGGGCCTGGAACTGAGTCTCGTCCTGAGCCAAGACGCCGTCGGCAACGATGCCTTCGCCCATGACATGCTCGAGGAAGGCCTCCAGCTTGGCCATATCATGCTCAGCGTTCGAACCGCTGGTCTCAATCAGACAATAGAAGGGGTATTCGCCCTCCAGTGGATACTTGTTCCCAGTAGAAGTGTGGACAAGGCCCTGGCTGCGGCCGTCCATCAGCTCAAAGGCTGACAGAATCTCCGACAACTGGTTCTTAGCCTCGAGGTATGCCTTTTGCACGTGCTCGAAGCTCTCCAGACCAAAGTAGGCGACATTCACCGCCCTAGGTCGTGGCGGGCACAAAATGGAAACTGCAGTGACCAAGCCAATGGTGCCCTCGGAGCCAATGAAGAGCTGCTTGAGATCGTAACCCGTGTTGTTCTTGCGTAGGGTAGAAAGGGAGTCGACAATGGTCCCGTCCGGCAGGACCGCTTCAAGGCCAAGCACCGTACCATGCAAACTACCGTAACGAAGCAAACGCAGACCACCCGCGTTGGTAGAGACATTACCACCAATGTGGCATGAGCCCTTAGCTCCCAGATCGAGGGGGAAAAGGTGGCCGCGCTCAGCGAGGTACGAGTCAGCGGTTTCAAGAATGACCCCGGCATCCGCGACTAAGACGCCCGAAGCCTGGTCGAAGGAGCGGATCTGGTTCATGCGCGAGGTGTTGACCACGATCTCGTCGAAGACCGGGACCGAACCGCCGACCAACCCCGTGTTACCACCCTGGGGGACGACAGCCAGTTTGCGCTCGTTGCAGTATTTAAGCACCTTGCTGACCTCCTCGGTGGACTGAGGCTTCAAGACAAGGCGGGTATGGCCCCGGTATTTGCGCATCCAGTCGCTGTTGAAAGGTTCGATGTCGTCTGTTGCGTCGGCAGTGACACCATCCACGACGGCGGACTCGGAGCCGAGAAGGCTCTTAAAGAAAGCCACATCGTCGGCGGTGACCTCGGCGAACTTTGGGTCACGCTGGATGTTGTACGCTTCGCTGGTATATTTGATCTCCTTGGTGCTGGCACGCAGCGGTGTTGAGCTAAAGCTCCGAAGGGCGGTCGCATGGGTTAAAGGCGATTGAGGAAGGACCGGTCGGAGGTGGACCCGAGGGCGAGGTAAACGAGCCCTTCGTAGGGCATTGGAAATGTTCCGAGCACCAGACATGGTGTATCCTGGAGGGGAACGAAGAGGATGGAGCGGCCGATCTTCACGAGAAACTTGGAGGGCGGAGAAAATCCCGGTGATTTTCGGTCTTTTGCGCCGAGGCCATTTCGGGCCAGTTTGAGTAGGCCAGAATTGAGGTTGCGAGTTCCCAGCGAATCGAATTCGATCCTTTTTTTTTTCCCCCTCTGCTATTTTCTCTTATACTACCTGATCTACTCATGTTTCGAGCTTTTCGACATGGTAGCAAAAATGTTTTAGCCGTCTACTGGACCCGGCGATACTGGTAATGCGAGGACCGTCAAGTTCTAACTCGGAGCTATAGTAGTTTTAGCAACCATTGAATTGATCTATATTTCCATTGAATTCGCTAGGTGTTTGTTTCTAGAAACCAATTAGGGTGGGTCGAACAGATTTCCATGCCCAGTTTGCTGCTGGTCACTCTGCAGGGAACCGGCCAGCCCTAATGAAGATAATTTAGCCATTGCTCATCCTCAAACCACGGAGCCTAATAGATAGAACTGCCCTGAGCCCTGGGATTGAATATAAATGTAGCTACCAGCCAAATAAACAACATTCTGAGCCCTAATGCGACGTGAAGAGCAGGCGAGCTACAAGTCAGTTACGTCATGGTAGGGCCCCGCACGGATTCTGGTTATTTCCCGGCCTTTCCTTGAACTCGTGTTTTGTACCTCAATTCACGATGACTTCCACGGTATTAATCACAGGCGCCAGTGGCCTACTTGGACGTCAGGTGTTCAATATCTTCCAGCACTCAGGCGTGCTGGTGGTCGGCCAGGGCTTCACGCGCGCTGCCCCGCCAACGATCCTGAAAGCAGACTTGGAGAAAGCTGAGGATATCAAGTATCTGTTTGAGGAAGTGAAGTAAGTTGTTTTGATGAAACCACAGTTTTCAACTCTCGAGGTCCGTGAGACTGACATGATTGCTTGGCCAGGCCCCAGATCGTTATCCACTGTAAGCTATCCTGTGAATTTTCGAGACGTGTGCTCCTGTCTTACACTGCTCAGGTGCCGCAAACCGTTCGCCGGATCTGTGCGACAAGGATCCCGAACAAGCACGCAAGGTGAACGTCGAAGCTACGCGCATTCTTGCCGAAGAATGTTCCGCCCGCGGAGCCTTCCTGATCTACATTTCGACCGACTACGTCTTCCCCGGGAAGGAAGGAGATGCACCGTACGAGACCGATGCCGAAACCTGCCCCCCCAAACTTGTACGGTGAGCTGAAGCGCGATGGAGAGGTGGCTGTACTCGAGGCGACTCGGGAGACTGGCCTGGGTGTGATCCTGCGAGTGCCAGTGCTTTACGGCAATGCCAAAGACAACTCGGAGAGCGCCGTGAACACCCTGGTAGAGGCAGTTAAGAAGGCGCAGGACCCCAACGCGGGGGTGAAGATGGATGACTGGGCCCAGCGCTACCCAACTAACACCGAGGATGTGGCCCGCGTGTGCCGTGACATCGTGATTAAGTATCTGCGGGAGAAACAGAAGATAAAGGAGCTGCCACACATTCTCCACTTCAGCTCCGAGGATCGCATGACCAAGTATGAGATTTGTGAGAAGCTGGCCCAGATCCAGGGCGTTGAGATTCCTGGCATGATCCGGAACAAGCAGGGCAATGATCCCAATGGCGGCGTGCAGCGTCCTTATGACACTCACCTGTCCACCAAGGCCCTCAAGGATTTGGGGATTGATCTACAGACCATCAACTTTGAGGATTGGTGGTAAGTCACGAAAAATGATCCACATTGAAGACTACTTATTGACCGAATTTGATAGGCGCAAAGCTCTGGTGGCCCAGAAATAAGGTTGAGGGGCCTCCCCCACTTACGCAGGTTCTACAAAACAAATAAAAAACTTCGCCTCTGGCTCGAGAATAGACAAACCATGATATCTCCCTGGATCTTGAGACACCGTAACAGCTGTAGATCCTTTAGGGGCCTTCTGCGACACACCTCGTATGCGCTAGCGCTAGCGCCGCCACTTCAGGCGGAAATGCAATCCGTGTCTGTGGCGCATTTCATCCGTAATCCCCTTGTCTTCACCCTGCGCTTCCCCACTAATCGTATGGTGAATTGGAGATGTCTCGGTCTCTGCAAGAGGGTCGTCCGTGAGAGATCTTGGTCATTTGAGTCTTTTCCGTGGCAGCCACGGCCATGTGGAAGGTCGTTAGAAGCCCGATACGAGGACCATGACCCTGGCAAGCCCCTGCAAACTCCCCAGGCGCCTCGACTGGTCGGTCACACCGCGCTGGAGAGATGGAGAGACCCGCAGGTGGACCAGAATAGACGGGTCGCCCCGGTGGATCAGGGCCAGGAACACAATGCTGATCACACCATCTTGCGTAAAGATAGTCAGGGTCTGATGGGTTACTGCAGACGGAGGAAGTACAGTAGTTCTGGAGGTTGGGCTTCACATTCCACCGAAACCGATAATCTCCAAGCCGGAAGCGTGAACCGCGACCAGAACCCACGGGGACTGCGTCATTGGCTCTGGGCGCTTATGGGCCTTCATTTCCCTAACCTTGATCTGGCCCGTAAGATTGCCATCTCGCTCCAATTTCGTAGCGGCCCAAGTTGCTTCTCTTTGCGAAAAGAAGAAATCAAATCGCATACACCGAGCCGGGATCAACCTTGCCAACCTGGTCAACCTTGTCAACTTTGTCAACCTTGTCTCAGCCCCCTGATTATCTCGCCCTTGCGCCGACTGTTTGATCGTGTCGTTTCGTTTCCATGCACTGACCCCCAAAGCACGCGGGTGACTCGCTCGTTTCAAAGGAAACAAAAAAAACTTGGAATCGACCTTTTAGACTCTTTCTCTCCCACGCGGTTGACGCCCTTGCGCGTCGCGCTTCCCCATACGCCATCATGAATCAACCTTCCGGTTCAATGGCCAAACCTTCCCGTTATCGCCAGGCCCGCGAGGACTCTACGACAGTCGACGACATGAACCGCCCAGCCACCTCCAGCACGGCAAGCGATACTAACCCCACCATCGCCAGGAGCATGTCGCGCTATCGACGCAGAAGGCCTGGTGCTGAGAGCAGCCCCGCGATCCCCGGGGCTGCGCTAGCAACTTCTCGCGTCGCGGTTCCAGCCTCCCGTCACGCGAGACACCAGTCGGACGCGGAGGAAGAGCACCTGCGAGAGAAACACCGCCTGGACGCTATGGACCAACTGACCGGCGGAAACCCAAAATCTCGCCCGTCGACGCGACCGCCGTCGATCGAGAAGAGCGCCAGAAGGTCACTCACCACAGAAAACGGGACGTCAACGGTGCAAAGTCGCGAAACTACCCAAGAATGCCGAGCCAAGCCAGATCCTTCAACCGACCCGGCGGACCGCAAATCCTTCTTTCAAAAAGTTGGCTTAGGAAAGCCCAAGGGCGCGTCAGCCAAAGACCAGGCTAGTCCCCGCTATATTGGGGTTGGCGGCGGTGGCATTGTTCCAGGCACAGATGCGCCTGTGTCGGCCGTTAACGCCGGCAAACGTCACGTTCTAGTGCAGTACGGCAATGTGTCACTATGGTTTCCCTTTACTCCCTCTACCCGGGCCTCCGACATCCTTCGCTCGGCGTCCAAGACTCTGTCTTCTGAGATAAACCCTGACACTTTCATCCTGGTCGAAACTTTCCGCCAGATCGGCCTGGATCGACCTCTGCGCCGCTATGAACACATCCGTGAGATCATGAACTCCTGGTCTCAGGATGCCGATGGCAATCGCCTTACAGTCATTCCTCCGTCCAGCATGGACATCTATGCCCGTCTGGATGCGCAGCATGTGCCTTTAGAAAGGCCTGGCGAGACTACCGTATTAATGTACTACTCTCATCGGCCCCGAAGATGGGACAAACGTTTCGTGACCCTCCGGACGGACGGACAGGTCACCATGGCCAAGAAGGAAACCTCAAAAGACTCTACCAACATTTGCCACCTATCAGACTACGATATCTATACCCCCAGTGCCCGAGCAGCCGCCAAAGACATTAAACCACCGAAGCGATTCTGCTTGGCAATCAAAAGTCAGCAGAAATCTACTATGTTCCTATCCACCGACAACTTCGTGCATTTTTTCAGTACAAGTGACCGAGCGGTTGCTGACGAATGGCACCACGCTGTACAGCAATGGCGGAGCTGGTACCTGATCAACGAACTTGGAGCCATCCTACCAACGGAAGAAACGGCCTCTCCCAAAGGGACATCCACGCAGAGACGGGGCGCTCAACGGCCGACCTATGAATCGCCCCTGGTGGATCAAATACCTGGAGATGGGTCACCCCCTCTGCGAACGGCAGGGATATCACAATCAACAAGCGCCCAAGACCTGTTCTCTCGCAAGAAATCCACCCGAGAACACCCAGCGCCGCCGACAAAGCCTTTCCACGAGACAATCGCCATCAATACCCGGGTAGATAAACATCCAGGGCCCGCGCCGCCGCTCCCGGGAATGAGCCCCGAGGAGGAACCAGAGACGTTCTCTCCCACTGGGCTCTTAGGACGCACTTACACACAGCGCCGAGCCGCTATGCAGGAACGAGAAGAGCGCGAAAAGCGGGAAAAGCAAGATCCCTGGCTCTACCCCTCCGGCGCCATGATACCAGAGATGCCCTCACATCCAAACGGCGCGCCCACAGCTAAAGGGCCCCGCGGCCGATCGGAATCAATCGGCCAATCGAACAGACCCCTCGTCGACCTCACGCCTGTCTTCCGCGAACCCCCTCAACACACGCGCAAAGGCCGCGGTGTCACCATCGAAGCAGGCCGGCAACTCATCGAAGGAGCAACAGGCCCCGATCTCACCCCGGGCGCGATGCCCATTCCCTCCGCGCAGGCATGGCGGCGGCCCCCAGCGCCCCCGATCCCAACCGACTCCTCGGCGATGCCGATGCGCTCCAACACAGTCCGCAGTACACGATACGGCTCACAGCCCAAGCGGACGGACACTAGCTCCGCGGATGCAAGTCCGGTTACGCCAGGGGGGCCTTTCATTCCGAACACTCTGCTCGCGCCGTCTAAGCAACGGGCCGCTAGCTACGACCAGACGCCGAAGAGCCGGCGGGGTATGCAAGATATCGCGCTTGAAAACCCTTTTGCCGATGGGGGGCTGTTGCACCAGGCGTAAGCTCAAAGGTAAGAGTTCTTCTGTTTATGGATTTAATGAAGAAACGATATGGCGGTGGGACATGTGTGATATTTACCCCTCGATTTCGGCTTTTGTCTCTGGTTCTTTTTGGTGCGGTTGATGCACAGGTATAGTTTAGAATCCTCACTATGATTATTTCTCAATGGACATTGAGTCGTCTTTTGGTGGCTGCGACCACCGTCTCTGTATTGTTTTTCCTGCGTTTCACTCGTAGAGCGAGAGTAGGAGTATTCGTTAGCGTCAAGTTCTCGGAGAGAGATTATAGGTCAGAAGCAAGTTGTCGTCCGAGTTACTCTGCCAGAGGTCTCAGAAAGGAGGGGCTGACTGATTCACGGTGCTGCAACGGTATCTGGAGCTTCTGGTAGAATGCGAGACTACTCCTGTAGGATAGCACTAGCGTCTTCCTGTGCTGATGTATTCTCGTATATATCATAAATTCAAAGTAATATTCCAGTACACGCTTGTATATGCTTCTATTCACACATGCAATGCTTAAATATCCACAGCGCCCGGGCTGACCAAGATAGGGACAGTAAGAAACTCCCAAAAGAACGCCAAGGCTCTCAAAATGTACAAAAAGATCACTCCCGGAAGATGGCAAGAAATAGGAAGAGGTAAGGAACACTCGTTAACGCCCCGACGCATTCGAAAAGACCGTCCCGGATCGCTGGGAGCGAGCGGTACCGGTACGGTTCACCATCGAATCGCCGTTGAGGGGCTGGTGCTGGAAATCACGACTCTCAAACGCAGACGAACGGCCCGCATCGCCGTGGGCCTGGGAGAGAGTCCGAGATGCAGCCCAGCCCATCGAGGCGCCGCCACTCAGGTTCGAGGGGCGCCGGCGCATCCGACGCTCGATGGTCTCTGCTTCGTGGCGATGGAGGGCGTCACTGGGTAAAAGGACGGCACGGTCCAGAGCGACGGGCAGACCACGGTGGCGGCCACGGATTTGCATGGCGATGATGACCAGCTTGGAAATGACGTTAAATTGGCCGGAAAAAGAGGTATTGCTGTTCGGATAGCCGAAGGAGAGACCGACAGTACCGTAGGCCGAAACGACCTCGAACAGGACGGTGAAGATTTGAAAGTTATAGTCGGTGGAGTCTTGGATGCGGCTCCCTTCTGCGATGGCAATGATGAAGAGTCCCAGGAACACGTACCACAAATCGAAACTCAGCTGGCGGCGCAAGTGAGTGCCGATGTAAGTGGGGGCTGTCTGGTTATCGTCGTCGTCTTCGTCGTCATAGGCGTAGATTCCCAGACTCTTTTCTTCGTAAACGTTCGTACGACGCATGGAAATGGCGATGGGGAACACGGAGATATACATCATGATCAGATAGGAGACCTGGATCGCAGGGTGAAGGTCTGATAGACTGACGACACCGAAGCCCGCGGTGCGAGTAGACGAAGCTTGGAAAAAGCCATCGAGAACCCGGATTCCAGGGGAGTATTTGGTAACAGCCGAGTCATTCAACTGCGGGGAAAAGGTTAGTATTGTACCCAGCGCGACCGGATATCAAAAAAGCTAACTCACGTCCAGAATAATGAAGAAGATCACATCGATGCCATTCAACAAGACCAGGATCGCGAAGAGCCACCAAGTGGCATTGCGAGGGAAGAGAAGGGTAAAGCAACGACGCGGATGATCCAGGAGGAACTTCAGCTCTTCCCAGAGACCAGTCCCTTGCCGGACGAGTTTCGACAACAACCAAATTGCGAAACGAAGGGCGCATGGAAAGCCCGTATTTCCAATGATGATAGTGATCGCAAAGAACAGTAATGGGAAGACAGCTGTTGCAAAGGATTCCATTGAATCCGGCGTAAGTGTGAAGCCAACATCGTTGAATGCAGACCCAGCGGTGAAGATGGCCCACCAGGGTCGACCAACTCCATCTGCTTCGACGATCTTGCCCCACCGAGGCACCGTCATAATCCATCCAATCATCGCCATGGCGCTAATGAGATGAATACCGACGTAGTAGGCTGCGATGACCACAGCCAGAGTCTTGAGAGCGCGATACTCAATGCCGCCAAGCTCATCCCGCTGCTCCTCCGTGAGATCCACAAAATTCGAATTTCTAGCCACAGTGGCATTCCAACTGAGATACGGCTGGGTCGGACGTTCTCTTTCCTGGGTGAAAGACCTCCATATTCCCCGAAATGTCTGCCTCGTGTTAGAGGGACCCAATCCGTTGTCGTGTTCAGCTTCGTCGCCGTTCAAATCCTTTGTGAACGTATCGCGCATGGTTGGTCGTGTGTCGAGACGGGGAATGGTAGCTGATCGAGTGCGGGTTCGATGGAAGTCGGGTTCGTTTATAGTGATGTGCGGTCCTTCCAGAGGACCGACTTCATCGTCCTCCGAAGGTGCGGAACTCGGTTGGCGACTAGGGCTGGGGCTTTTGGGCTCCGGGTCATGATCATTGTTATCTTCATCCACCTCCTCAAGCGCCTCGGGCACACCGCCACGGTCGTATTCTCGAGGACTGGGAATGCGCAGGGCACCTTTGCTGTTCCGCTGGCTCTCCACGAACGCGATATGGGTTTCGGGGTTCAGCTGGGTCGGGACCCGCAAGCTTCCCAGGCCAAATTGGCTCGCTGGGGCGGTACTATCGGTCTCATCCGAACCGGACTGTTCATTAGAGCCCTTCCCGCTGGCCGAATCGGGCTCAGCAGACGAATCATCCGCGGCATTGGCGACGGGGTTTGGGAGTCGGTTCCCCCGTGCATCACCGGCGTTATTCCGTAGTACGACAATCGACCGTCCGCCAACTCCGCGTTCCGCCCGACTGGTGTCATCGCCGGTCCTGTCCTTACTCACCGTGCTCATACGCGAGCGAGTGGCGCGCAGCGCACGTGCATCCCGGACGACGTTCTGGAATCTGCGCTCGAACCAATATAGTCGGACCAGCGTCAGGGTTCCGTGGATAAAAATCGGGGTTGTGAACATTGAGACCCAATATAAGAAGACTTGTTGGTAAGTCCACAACTCGTTCAGATTGCGCGTGTTCAACCCGCTCTGGGTCGCTGCGCCCGCCGACATGAACAGGGCATCAATGTATGCGATGCCTCCCCCGACGTAGACAACGACCGAGCTGAGCAGGACCCAACTGATAATGTAGGTGTAATGCACGAAAATGAAATTTATATGCAGCCTGTTCAAGAGCGGGACGCGCTTCTTGACGGCCGATGCCCGGCGAATCACTGGGCCAAACATGGCCAGCGACCGTCGTGATCCGACGAGCAGCGCCCTGGCGGCTTGTATAGAGATAGGAAGGACGTGGAGGGAAGAAGGGGTTTCCAGAGGGGAGTTTTGCCGTGCTGCTATTTCGCTTTGGTGGTTAGCCACTCAGGGATCGGACTCAGGCCAAGGTGCGCCATTTTTCGTACCGATCAACAGTCAATCACAACGTGCGCAAGCAGCACGAGCAGCGCGGGGTTAGCCGCTGTGTATTGAGCGGGGGATGCGCACAATAGTCGAAGGCATACTGTAGCCAGCCTCGAGAGCTTTAAAGAGGAGAGAACCGCAGACGGAGGCAAACCCCGAGAACGTTTTTTTTGGAAAAATTACCAAATCACGCCGGAAGGACCATCAAAACGGGGGCGGTGTCCTTCGCTTCCCAATTCGGTCGTGACAAAAGGAGATCCGAAAATAAATTCTAACATGCAATTGCAATTGATTCATCCCCAGTCTTTCTTACATTTCTGACACGTCAACGCTTCTTTGTTTCGGCGGGAAACATCGGGCACTAGAGATATGACCAACTGGCCATGGCCCATTGCCGTATTCGAACACCATCCAGACATGGGTCCCATGTTGAGATCCCAACTGCGTCTAGCTGCAGCTATTAGTGGCGCAGGCTGAGACTACGTCCTTAAGGGGCTGGTTCTTCACAAAGCACCGAATCAATTGCTAATCCAAAACCCCGGATCGGGCGTTACACCATGTTTCAAAAAGGTAGATCGTGTGTTATTAGTGATCCTTTTCGACCTCGGAAAGTGCTTGTTCCAGATGAAGTCTTGCGCTGCGCTGAGCAGGCCCTTCTCGAACCGCGGCCTGCATGGGTTCCTACATCTTTCACAGGATTACAGGGCCAAGGGCCAAGAGCCAAGGGCCGAAGGGGGATAGGAACAAGAAACATGCCACTCGAGTTCGGCCCTACAAGTTGGATTGGGCACATAGTGCCCCCAGGGACACCTACAATCGGCTTATCGGTAGGGTCTGATTGGCGTGTTATTGCCGCGGCGATGACGTCCTGTATCGTCTTCTAATGGTAACAACAAGGTCAATATAGATAATTGAGGATCGTCATGTTGTGATGAATAGAATCTCTCCTGTGGCGCCTTCAGCTCGCCTGCAATTGTATATTTCGTTGTCCGCGTTCTTCTGTGGTCAGGGGTTCATGGGAGTCGCAAATCCACAGTGGTGAAGGAGTTATGCTTGGAAAGTGGCCCAAGTGTTCCGGGACTGCCGTCAACGAGCACGAATGTATGTGCTAGTAACTTCGATTACTCCCATCTTATCTTAAACTCCTATTTATACCGTAGGTGGCTTGCTGAATATTAATGAGTACTAATTAAGATATGGGCGTCGTGGACTACTGACAATGTCCAGGACCTATCACCCGGAGGTCAACAGGATCTATGAGAGACACTGACATCCGCGAGTTCCAGATGGGCCTCCTGGTCCCATGGCAAAGGACAATCAGGGAGTTACGGTGGGGCTTCGCTCTCTATTATGCTGTACTGTAAACCTTATACAGGACCTGGAAGGAGGGCACACTCTATTTTTCCACATTTGCCCCTAGACTCGCGCACTAGCTAGGGCTTGCCTTGGGACCTCTGGTCGTAAGAAAACTTTTGAGAGAAATAAAGAAATCAGTCCAGAAACAGCACTTTTGCTCCACCCGTTCCTCGCGATAGGAAAACACCATAAACAAAATTTGGTGCAAGGCCTCTCTAGTCGTCCTAGCAAATTTTGGCTAACAGCCTGAGAGAACGATCCTGAAAGTCTCGATATCAAAGCTCGTAGGTGGTGATAACCTCCCCATCAGAGATTGATCCCTGGCTGACCAACACATTATTCTGAACCATGTCCAAGGGAGCAGCATCGGCTACACCGACTTTTTGGCCACCAACAAAGGCGTAGTTGTTGGTAAACACCACCGATCCGTAATTCGCAAATGGCTGGAGTTGGCGCCCGTAGACCCCGTCGAGCGTAGCATCCTCGGTGATCCATTCTGCCGTCTTCTCACAAAGTGCGGTGTCCATCCCTGCCCAGATGTGTGCTGCGCTTGCCCCCGTGCTGAGGTTCTCTATCAGAGCGTTCCCACTTGTGCTGTCGGTTGCATTCACCGTCACCCGGATTTCATCCCCCGCTGCCACTTCAAAATCCTCAAAAACTACTTCACTTGGCTCATCTGGCACCCACTCCTGCCAGGCGTAGAAGGTAGGTTCTTCATCTTGGCGCACACACCACTGCACCCCAGCTTGCATAAGTGCCCCGGAGCAGACAGCGCCATCCCCGTCAACCCCGACCCATGAGGTTCCGCAATATTGGGTTAATGGGTCCGCATCTGCTGGAGGGATTGGGTCAGGTACGACAAATGTCCCGGTGACCCCGGTGACCCCAGTCCCTGTCAATACCGCGCCCGACCAGTTTTCTGATGTTGCTGGGCTGTCCTCGGGCGATTGCGTGGTATCGAGGTGATGAATATAATCCGCAGTCGGACTAGTCCTTGCTAGGGAGTCTTCCGTGGTGTTGAGATGATGAATATAATCCGCGATCGAACCAGTCCGTGCTGGAGCACGGTCGTCAAAGCTGGAGGGACGGACGCGCCGAGGGACACTCCAATGAAGACAGACGTAACTATGCACGTAGAAGCAATCATATTGAAGGCAAATGTGATGTTGGTATCTGAAAAGAAGATCACAGAAGGTTTTTTTTGTGTCTTGCAAACGTACGCTCTACAAGAAGGGCTACTTGGGTGTTCTTCATCCCATCTGGAAATACCTAGGGAAAATTTTCCTGACTGTAAATGTGAGGACATTCCACTCGTAGTGTACAAAGTAACATCTGTTCATTCCGATAATCTCTGGTTTATGACATGGGAATGTGGCGTCAACGTAAGCTAAGATGGGGATAGCTCACGATCAACGAGGGTAATAGACATTATTAGGTGTAGCACGGGCTGCCGAGAATGCCCCGGCTGCTGTTGTCCGAAGACCGCGTCGGGTGGATCTCGGAATGTCCCACGGGTTGGGAAATTCTAAAGCGATAAGCTATTAGTGTGTGAATCAAATTACCACCCAAAAGTGAGCGCTAGGCCTGTAGTTGATGCTCGGAGCAAGCGAGAAACCAGTCCTAAAGACTAGAAACCCCATCACCAAAAAAGCGGGTTCGCAAATCAAGTTCGGAAATGATGATAGATCACATCAGAAGGAAAGAGCTCTTTATAGGTTTCGGACTTGTTAACCTTATTACGACAAATATCCACGACATTAGACAAATACCTGAGAGAACTTCTGACACCCTTACAAACAGTGGCAAATTGATGTTCGTAATCCGTTTATGAAGGCCAGCAGCTATACAGAATATGTCACATCAGAAAACGTGGGAAGAATCTTAGTCACACTAAGCTCAGGGAATGCTAAGAATGCTACGACATAATTTTAAATTTTGATGTGAATTTCCTATATATAAGAATCGTACCCATATGGTAGATAGATCTGCAAATGCTTGGTTGAATAAAAGGCCGTTTTTAGTGTAATGTGCGGCAGGGAAGTATCTAGGGGCTAAATAACCGGCTAGGTTGCTTAGGAAGAGGCGCCGGATGTATTAAGGCAGGAAGACACGGTTATATCCTAGGAGGGGGTAAGCGACAGGTAGAACTGTGCCTGGCTTTTGCTACTCTTTGTGATGTTGTCTGTCACACGGGACTAAGGAGGACGGGCGTGGTCATGACATGCGATGTGTGTGTGTGTGTGTGTGTGTGTGTGTGTGTGTGTGTGGAGGGATAGGGGTACCGCGCGTCACCAAGGGCTCCCAATTTTAGCTGTCTCGGCATAAACAGACTTTGTTAAGTAGGGAAACTGATCGATTAGAATTGAGGAACGAATGCGATAGGTCAAGAATCCAATAGCCAAGGATACCAACACACAAAGATTGGATGTAGTTGAACCTACGGCTGTTCAATCTTTCGGAAGCTAAGCCTAGCTGTAAAGTATTGCCGTTGTGCCAGGAATGGTAAAAGGTTGGTTAACGACCTATATTAAACGTTCTTCTGCCTTCTCCGAATCAACGGAGTTATCGGATCTGGTGTTTCCCGAGTGATCCCTCGTTCAAGAATGGCATTCCGAATGTCTTCACAAGGGGATTTGAGCGCGCGTTGAAAGAGAGACATCTTCGAGCCACTGACGTATTTGCTCGCACCATGCTCAAGCAGCGGCCGAAACTCTGCTGGCTTTTCAAGATTGACTGCGACGGATAGAGCCAACTAGCCTGATAAACACTTGCGCCAAATTCAAGGAGCAATTTGACCAGAGACAAGCTGTTGTCCTACTTTATGGCATGATAAAGTGGAAGTACTAACCGAGATATACTATCACACATGGTCCATGTTGATAGTGATGTGCTAATGTTCGGGTCAGCATCTATTTCGAGGATTAGTTTTACGACCTCTAGAGAGGGCGCTAAGACTACTGTACTAGAAAGAGGAGTCGAACAATTGAACTCAGAAAAAGACAAACCAAGAAGAGAATCAGTAATTATCATAACAAAATATTCAGAATAAAACTTATCTTGAATTTGAAATTGGCATCCGTGCCTATACTAACAAGATATTTAGTTCGGCTCAGGTCGCCTCTGCTTGCCGTATATAAAAGCATCCTTTGAATTTCAGATTGGATAGTCGACGTGAGATAGAAGTAGCGATATTATTTCAGCTCCTCAAGTAGATAGTCTGCGATATCATTATAGCCCTCAAAAGCTAAGTGTATAATAGAACGTTGATCCTGTCTATTATACGATAGTTGATATACACCCATCGATACAAGTAGGTTAACCAGTAAAAAATACCTGTTGAGAGCTGCTAGTACCAAAGAGCTTCAGCCACAGCAGTCTCTAAAATTTATATCAACTCCTTCTTATAGCAGAATTCGCACAACCTTGATATACCTATTACTCGCTGCATAAGATATAGGATACTCTCGCAGACAGGCTACTAGTTTTTACGATATAGCGCACGCCTGTTCCACGGCTTTGCAAGCACCCAATAATCGGACTTCCAGCGAACATCTGCTCCAGCATAGAGAAGGTTCTTTCAGAACCATGTTTTGCAGCCCAGAAAAGAGCAGAAGAGTCAGCGTATTGCACGTTGCAATAGTAAAGGTAGTCGTTGAGGGTATGTTAAGTCGAAGGGTGAATTTGTAGAAATCTGTTGAGATCCCTGCATTCGAGTTGTTGTGCAATGAGCATCAGCAGGTCAGATGGAAGCCAAAGAATTCACATGATAGTGGTGGTGGTTTTACGATCCAAGCGAGCAATGGCGGGCCCCATGAAACGTTGGCCGCTCAACCTTAGCATCCAGGGCTATCCGACATGGGAGGTCACAATCTATGGCTGACGAACAGCTATTGGAGCGGAGAGCGGTCCGTGATGCTTATGCTCATGATGTACCCCTGCCAAGAAATCCAAAGAACGACTTAAAATCCCGAACCCCACCTGGACTTGCGATTAGCGGAGAAGTGTCCGCCATGTCGACAAGTGGGGGGGTTTCTGGACGGCATTGCCCAGATGGCTTATCGGAGGGTTTCCCCTCAGAATTGCGCTCCACATTCCTCCGGTGTTCACTATATTACAGCCACGCTCGCCTCGTGCAAAGGCCCAGTGTCTTGTTCTTCATCGAGATTCACTCCCATTCTATCTCTGGACTCCTAAGATTGAACATGGGCTCAGCGATAAATCCCGAGGGGCCAACGACCTCTGGGTTCACCAGTGGCCGGTTTATCCCCTTTAAAAGCAGAAGAAGTGTAGTCCACAGCACCAATGGCATGGTGGCATGTACGCAACCCCTCGCCGCAGAAGCAGGCCAGAAGATTCTCCGCATGGGGGGGCAACGCAGCGGTACGTTCTGATTCTGGGGGATTAGCTTCCTCTCTTCGGGACTTGAAGCTCACACTCTAGATAGGATGCAGCCGTCGCCATCGGTAAGTCTTTTTAAAAGCCGGTTCCATGACGAATGTTGTCTAACAACGCCCCGCCAAAGCTGCCGCGCTCAACATTACAGAGCCGTCGAGTACTGGCATTGGAGGAGATGCTTTCTGTTTATTCTTCGATGCCAAAACGAAGAAGGTGCATGCCTTGAATGGATCGGGTCGCTCGGCCAAGAATTCGACTCTTGCGCAGGTACATGAGCAGTTGGGCTTGGATTCTTCGGCCACAGGGAGAATCCCGTTCGGAAGTGCCCTGAGTGTGACTGTTCCGGGTGCTGCTGCAGCGTGGGTGGACACGTACGAGAAGTTCGGCAGTGGAAAGTTGTCACTAGAAGATGTCTTGATGCCTGCTATTGCGCTTGGAGAAGAAGGGTTTCCCGTTAGCGAGCTCAGCTCAAGTTTTGTAAGAAGATTGAATATCATACTGGAAGAGAAGAGTCTGACAGCTGTCGCAACAGTGGCAAAATGGGGAGCAAGAGCTTCGCAATGCATCCCCGAACTATCGTGAGATGTTGAAAGAAGACCCATCTGCCCCGGATGGGGTCCGAGCCCCGCGACCAGGAGAAATCATGCGGAATCCGAACCTGGCGAAGACATTCCGTGCGTTGGCGACGGAAGGGAAAAAGGGATTCTATACCGGCAGAATTGCCGAGGCGATTGTGGATGTCCTCAAGCGTCAACATGCGTTTCTGGAGCTTTCAGATCTGGAAGACCATCTGCATACTGGAACAGAAGAGACAGAGGCAATCTCACTCAAACTGGATTTGAAGGATGTTAAGGCCCAAGATGTGAATGCACTTACTGCGGTTGAGAGCTGCGTCGAATTATGGGAACATCCGCCCAACGGCCAGGGTATCGTCGCATTGATGGCGCTGGGGATGTTCGAAGAACTTGCACGTCAGGGCAAAATCCCCAAGTTCTCGCCAAATGACCATAATTCCCTTCCTTATCTTCATGCGGTCATCGAAGTGTTGAAAATCGCTTTCGCGGACGGCATGTGGTGGGTCACCGACCCTACCTTCAGCAAGGTCTCCCCAAGCGAAATGGTCTCCAGACCGTACCTCGCAGCTCGGGCTGAACTCTTCGACAGTGCCTTGGCGAAAGACCATACATATGGCACTCCGGGACCAAGCCCAGCACATAATCACAGTGACACGGTTTACTTCTGCGTGACCGATCGCCATGGAAATGGGATGAGCTTCATCAACAGCAACTATGAAGGATTTGGGTCGGGAATTATCCCAGCAGGCTGTGGCTTTACTCTCCAGAACCGGGGTGCGAACTTCCAAGTCGGCCCTCCGCATCATCCAAACGTCTATGAACCTGCAAAGCGACCCTATCACACCATCATCCCCGGTCTGATAACCAACGGGAAAAACGGCGACGAGCGTGAGTTGCACAGTGTGTTCGGGGTCATGGGCGGATTTATGCAGCCCCAGGGTCATCTTCAGGTGCTTTTAAATATGGAGCTTTTTGGCATGAACCCCCAGGAAGCCCTTGATGCACCTCGGATCTGCATCAGCGCAAATAGCAGCGGCGAGAAAGCTATGTTCGGGCCGACGATCTCTATCGAAGATGGTATTGAAGAAACCGTAGTCCAGGGCCTGAAAGCCTTGGGGCATAATGTCGAGTGTCTGTCCGAACATGACCGGAAGAAATTTGGCAGAGGCCAGATTATTCGACGCTATGTGGACCCAGTGACCAAAACCCGAGTATGGAGTGGCGGGACTGATCTTCGCGGTGATGGGTGTGCCATGCCCGCGAATTGAGAGAGCACTTCTAGCTATAATTTGGCAATTTGACAATCCATTTCACATGAATCGTTCACATATATACGTCTAAAGAGCTGTAAAAACGAGGCCGATAATGTTACCTATTACCCTTCGAGAACGAGGAAAGGCCGAGAGCCAAGCTGTTTGACAAGTCTAATATGCCAGTTGTCGCCTGAGTTTGCATCAGGACTCGGAGATGCAGTGGAGCCTTTTGGGCGGGGAAAGAAGAGCTGTAGAATTGGCTGCAGTTAAGCTTCAAATCTTGTCGTTTTGTATTCAAATTTCAGCATCCTGAAACATATGTAGAATCTTGACAAATTTATTTGACAACCCCCAACACTGGGCCTTTTCCAGCAGCCCTTGAGTTCGTCGACAAACAGTGGCCGCTAGTTCGGACGAATGAATGTCGCTGACTCCGCTAAGGCTTGCAGGGCCTCCATGTTTGATCCACACTTCGACTAGTCCGGCTTGGGTATTTGTCGGGTCTAGTCGGTCCAGGAAGACCATGGGGCGATCGCTAGCTGAGCCCTCATCGGATGCAGCAAGCTTGGGGCAGTACTTCGAGAAAGCCAGGAGCAATATCGCGCCCATGAATACTCGCAATATCTCACACGGGGCAGACACCACGTATTCATTAGCGACGGCATGTATCTGTGCAGCATGCCATACCAGCTTGCGAGTCTTGCTGGGATCGTTGGCAAATTTCATATTCAACTGGTGTTTTGCGGCAGTCATTGTTCGGTGTTCGGAGGGGTGCTGCGTAGTGGGTAGATGGCGGACAATGTATAAGATCAACTCCATGACATTATCGACGCTGAAAAGGTTGCAGTAGTGCACGATCAATCGAGCGATGCTGTTTACAAAATAGTCAACCGGAGAATGCATTTGAGAACAAGCGCCGTAGGGGGGAGCGTTAGATGCAAGTGCTAGAAGAAATACTTACTTATAATCAATAACCTCGACCGGGCTAGTCGGGAGTTTAATCTCGTTGGAGATATTGTCGAATCCTTTTAAAAGCCCATTCTTCGCTTGCTCCTGTACTAATGAGAGCGATGGCTGACGGAGTACTCGGGTCAGAGATATAACCTCGAGCTGCTTGAGGTCCCATAGAAGCCGACCAATGACCTGGCAGCATAGTCTCTTTCCCCATGAAGAAAGGCCACTAGGCAAAGCCTTCGACCCTGACATGATCGGTTCCAACGTTGCGGTAACAGGAATGCCAAAAGCAGATGGGCCCAGATGTGATGCCAGCGATCTCCAAGTTTGCCCCGAGGGTGCACGCCATAGATCCTCAGCGCACGGGAGAGCTCTAGGTAACTCAGCCAAGTCGACCGCGGCCCGACATCCGGTGAGGGTAGACAGGCTGCAGTCATATTCAAATGAAGCCCATACCACCCGCCTCTCTTGTTCTTGATCTCGCCATCGAAGCCACTCATTTTCGACTTCCAGAGGGTCGCTATGAGGATTCAGTTTGAATGGCGCACTCTCCGGATCAATTGATATCTGGGATTTGAGGAGCCCCATCCCACGCAAACCGCCAATCAGAGTGCCTCGAGATCGATCAGCATCTTGATACAATTGTCGGTTGCCAGACCCCAGAGAGTATATCTGGTATAAACAACAAGACATGAGATAAGTCAGGTTGGAGTAGTTTCTACTATCAGAGCCGCCCTGTTCATCTGTTAGTGCTTTGCATCATGGTGATATCTCGTAGGCAGATCGCAGCTTACGAGCCAGAGAATCATGCGAGAACAAAGATCACAGAGTGCCGTAGCGTCAGCTTGTGCGTCCGCACTTTGCAGATGCATTGCGCCAATGCACGCCATGCTTGCGAGAAGAACAGTGGAGCAGTCTCTTATACTAAATGTGGGGACATGTATTATCGCAAGGATGTCATGAAACTGAGAGAAGTAACAATCGATGATCCTTTGCAATAGATGCATTCCTAGAAAGATTTCTGGATCTTGAGCCGATGTATCCGGGATTCGAGGCTTGGACAGAATCTCAATCAATGCCTCTATCGGAGTCTTGCTCTTTGTGTGAGAGTTAGTGGAGCTCCCTCGTAAAACCTCTTCCAGGGGAGGCAGTTTATATCTAGAAGGGGGCTGCTCTGGGACATGGTCTTTGCTTTGAGCAAAAGGCCACGACTGAATCGAGTGTCCAGGGAACTCGGTCTTCAGAGGAAGCATGTCAACAGCGTTCGGGGACGATGTCGAAGTTAAAGGCCCATGGGAGAGGATAGGAGTATAAAAGTTATTAACTACCCCAGAGTTAGGAGCAGCCATCTCACTAGGGATAGGATGAGGATGAGGATGCTCTACCTGGGCTGGATTGATCATGGGCTCCTGCAGCTGGAAATCGAGCCAATCCAACCCACCATATCCCAGTGCGAGAGCGCCCATGCTCAAGACACCTTGACTGAAACTTGCATCGGATATTGGTATGTTCGCATCTGTGTTCATGTGCAGCCCGAGGGGGGTCGATGGATTGTTCTGCATCGCCGAAGCCGATCAAACTAGAAGCATCGCCCAGCAGCGGACCGCCGGGGTATGAGAGGGCGCTCTGCCCAGTTGGCATCATTGGTATGCTTTGCGGAGGGCATATTGAGCCTTCAAGGGGATTTCCTTGCAAAGGGCTTTGGGCTGCCTGGCTAGACGGCTGCAAATCAACAGCTAGAGGTGGCTGTGGCTGTATTTCCGCAGCCGGTGACTCCTTGGTGGAATCATCCATAGCCAGGACATTACCTTCGACTGGATACAAACTCGGGACTTTGTACTCGCAGACGCTCTTTGAGATCGAACAGGACTCGCACGGCTGCTTGCGATCGCATTTCAGCTTCTTCTGCACACATTTCAAACAAGAGCGTCGGGCACTGGGTTTCTTCGTCCGTTGGACCGAATGAACGCCTCTCAGATGCCGAAGCAGGACATCGTGTCGCGCAAACGTCTTCTCGCAGCGTGGACAGCCAAAATTGCGCTCCGCCTCTGGCTGATGCGACACTGCATGGCGAGCCAGGTGGCTCGGCCTGGCGAAGTTGATGCTACATTCGCTACATCGATATGGCTTTGGTGTCTCCTTTTACCGTTAGAGACACGAGGATTGACTAGGGACAGGGGCTTACCTTTGTACGTCTGATGCCGCTATTGACTCCAGCCATGCGGTCCACAATATTTTCTGAAAGTAGAGGCGTGGATGACACTGAAAAAGGGATCGCAGATCGTTTCCGCAACGCTGCAGGCGAGGGGGATCCGAGCGGGGTCCGGGTTTCTTGACACTTCGAGGCTCGTACACGACTATTTCACTGCGTGGGAGGGGACTGTGTTTGGAAGTTCAAGAGGATCTCATGAGTCTAGAACTACCAGCCCCCAAATCTGCTATACAACCTTGGCTCTCCGGAATGCAAGCCAGTTTACGGACCTTCGAAATTCCCTCCGACCTACGTACATAACAACATAACCGCATAACTAACTATCCAATAGTACTTATATCATCCGGAAGCTGCAGGCGCCGGGAAACTATAGAAGCGATGGTTTCAAAATGCTTTTTCAATTGGAGTATGCGAAATCTGCCGGTGCTCCTAGACATAGACCTGGTACGTTGCGATAGCACTGGGCTTTGGAATCAGACACACCGCCCACCATCGACCTAAACAGAGTTAGCGTCGGTTTGTATTCATCATTGAGGGAAACTGACCTCAAGGTTCACGCCAGTTATGAATCTAGCTTCGTCGCTAGCAAGGTAGCTGCAGGCATTGGCCACATCTGCCGGGGTCGACGCTCGCCCAAGTGGCACAGTCGAGACAAAGCCCGCTCGGTTCTCTTCTGTGTCTGGTTTACCGAGAAACAGGTGCGTCCTGCGATCCGGTTAGCATTCGACTATCTTCATGGGAATTGGTGCTACAGACATTCCAGTACTCCCGACAACGGGTGCAACGCAATTGAAGCGGATCTGATGTGGCCCGTACTCCACCGCCATGGTCTTAGTCGCATTCATCACTGCTGCTTTGGACGCATTATACCAGGTGAGTCCAGGGCGTGGGCGAGTGGCTGCTGTGGATCCAATCTGGATGAAAACGCCCGGGCGCTGATTCTCCAAGAAATAGGGTAGACAGGCAGTAGCAGACATGTAGATTGACTTGACGTTCACATTCATCACCAAGTCGAAGTCCTTCTCGGTCACAGTCTCGGTGGGTTTGTTGACATACGTTACGCCGGCATTGTTGACCACGATGTCTAAACCGCCGAATTCTGCGCCGGCCTTCTCCAGGAGTGCTTTCCAGTGTTCGAGGTTCGTGACGTCTGCTACGGCAAAGCTACATCCCAGCTCATCCGCAACCTTCTGGCCACCCTCAGCGTTCAGATCGGCAATGAGGACCTTACAGCCTTCTTGGACGAACTTGGTCGCTATGCCGGTACCAAAGCCGGATGCAGCCCCTGTCACGATGGCTACTTTGTTGGCCAATTTTTGAGACATGGTGAAATGGAGCACGATTTGAGTTTTGAGCTTATTGCATTTAAGGGAATATTAGGATGGGAAAACGTGGATGACAGCTGCCGCGGGGCTGGGGGGGGCTTGGTGGGCTTGGTGTCCACCCGGAGTGTGCCACAGCTTTCTGAAAGGGATAAAGATCTGCTAGTGCCAGTACAAGGAGTAATCGAAAAGGGGGATCGGGGTTCACCTTACTAAAACAGTACCAGGCCTCGGTAGATGGATGTTTGTCCCAGCATCTTAAGCTGCTCAGGTAGGAAGAGAACTATGCTGGTATTTGGCATTGGGAATTGCCTGAGCCTTCAACGAACGAAAGCGCCAGTCGGCTAATGGGTATTTTCACACCGGGACTGAGTTCGATCATATGCCAGTATCCTAAGTACTGGTTTTGATCTTAATCAATCGCTTCAAGTTACAATATTCAGTATAATCCGTAAGTGCGAAGCTGACTTGTGTACATTCAAATAGCTCCTCTATTCGTCCAGAAAATTAACGCCAGGCTATTTCTATCAATGCACATCATGAAGGAGGCTTTGATAGGGATGCAAGGAAGCAAAGAGCAAGACCGCTTCTGTACAGCAAGGAAGAAAACCTCGCAAGCGGCCGCAAACTATATGTGAAAAGATATTATATGTAAAAGGTCTGTGTCCGAATACTCAATATTGCACCAAGAAGCGAAAGTGGGCGCTGATCAAGACTGAGGCTCGTCAGCCTGGCTCTGCTGATTTCCACGCTCTGCGTTTTCGGTGGCGTCGGCGGGTGCAGCGGTAACTTTTGCCTGTACAATCTCTAGTAATCTTTTGCTGAGATCATCAGCTCCCTGGATTTTTCCTAGTTTGCTTTGCAAGTATTCAATGTCCGCCTCCATCCTAATTGGGATGAATTAGTAAGAGTCTCTGATCAAGCGTTATGCGGGAAGGATTACCTCTTCTTTCCAGCCTCGGTACTCACGTTGGCCTCCTCGAACGCCCTCGTCCATTGCTCTCGGTAGCGGGTAAAAACAGGAATCATGATCATGTCAACTGTCATGTCGGGCAGATGTTTACTGAGAACACGGTGTAAGGTGCCCGTTTCCTTCGCGAGGATCTCCATGTAGGGGTTGACAGCGGGGCCTTCAGCATCCCAATCAATACGTTTCATGGCATTGACGCGGACATTGGAGAGTGAAACCATTATGTCAACTAGCTTTTCATGAATACCGTTTTGGTGCTCTTGACACAGTCGTTTAACTTTGTCAAACTCGCCCATGATTTGGTTACCCTGGCCGTGGCGGCGGACAAATTCGCGAACGTAAGGGACCAATGCCACAACGAAACTCAATGCTTGCGACGATAAGGCAAGATGCTTGGTAGTGATATTCTTCAATCCAGCACTGCGAGTAGCGCCGGCGCCGAGAATCAACTGAGAGGACCGTGAGTTAAAGAGCTTCAGTATCTCAAGCAGCTGCGGTGCAATATCCTGAATCATGTTCGGGATACTCGCCATGAGGAACTCGAATTCTTCGATGCTGCGCATGATTACAAGCGCAGAGTCCGGTAGAATATACTTTTGCTCATCAATGACAGCGCTGCGAACTTTCTCTTTGCCGGAGCCATTGGCAGCAGGACTCTGATCGGACGGCCCGGGCTTGTTCTCTTCAGGGGTCATCCAAATCTTGGATGCATCAACCCATGCATCGACGTCCTTCGTACTAGCATCTAAGATACGAGTCATGATCGTGACTTCTGGTTCTCCGAAGTCGCGGGCATCCCATTTATCCGCGTCCATCACCTCCACGATTCGGTGTCTTTGAGACTCGCTAAACCGGGAAATGAACTCACGAATCTGGCTGCCCACAATGGTTCGGAGCGCAGTGCCACCACGCCCTGAAATCGCCTCGCATTCGTCGGCGAACAGACGGTTCAGTGTGAAGTATTTGAGAAAATCTTCTTTGGGCAGCTGCGCCGTTTGCTCGGAGCGGACCTTGAGTACCTTCGTGATTTGCGACTGGGCAATGTCGACAGCCTGTCCAAGGAGGCTCGACATATCCAAAACCTGCAGGATCTCGTCTTGGGCCATGGCGGACGCAGAAGACTCAGTATTTGCTCTATTCGACTCTTGGATTTGGGGATTGGGGCTACGAGACACGACTGCTGGGTTTTCAAGCCCGCTAGCGATATCCAGAAGGATTTTCACCTGAGTACTCAATCGGCGAAGACACTCACTAATGCCAGTGTAAACTGCCACAAGCATGGAATAAGCATCTTCCGGATCGAGAGCCCGAAGATTGCGCGCAAGGATAGAAGATTTCTCTTGCTGGCTACGCTGGCGCCCACCATGCGTGGAGACAGAGACCATTGACTCGTTATCATCGTCACTTGAGCTAGGCAGATATTTCCGAATGAGGGCCTTCATTTCGCGCAAGACCGCGGTTTTGAATGAGGTTGCGGCGGGGGTTGTATAGTGCGCTTTCGCGAGCCCGGTGAGTTGGGCATGTAAGCGCGTTCGTAAATCTTTATCAATGTTCATATACGCAGGGGAGACCATAGACACCGGGCGTTGACCGCCACGTTGCCGCAAAAACGATGCTCCCCAACGTTGTAAAGTCGTGGCTGATGACACATTTTCAACATGCTCGCGTAGATCCCCGAGCAGATCATTCAAGAACCGAGTTTCGTAGCCCAATCCGATGCGCTGCCTCAAATGAGATAGATCTTCTGCTGCGCCATCAAGGGCCTTCAGCTTCCGCAGATCAATTGCCTGACGGGGGCGGTCATCGCTATCCTGACCGGGTTGATCAGACAACTTTTCTCCTGCCATCAACCTTTCCACTTCCTCGAGTTCATCAGAAGCTACTTCGATTTCACCCTGCTCAACCAACTCTTCACAGCGTGAAACGGATTCCACAACATCGCGCAGCTGGCCCACAGCTGCAGCCAACATTCGCACGTTCTCCCTTCTTCGGCGCAGATTGACAATTTTCAGGCCACCCAGAGCCATTTCTTTATCAATCTTTTGTAGATCACGACGCAAGACCTGGATTCGTTCCACTGAGTCGGCAGCCTCTGCATGTAACTCTCGCAGGGAACCCAATGCCGTGAAAAACGACTTGGAAGCGGTCGAGATCGAGGAGATCAGATGGATCTCCACGGTATCCATGTACCATGACAGCTTTTCTTGTAGGATTGCATTCGTCGCTAGCGCCTTTCGTCCAGTATGGGCAGGCTCTGCCGCTCCGCCATTACTTGGCTTATCGTCTTTGGATTGTGGCTTTGGTGGGCGAACCACCTCTGATTTCTCTGATATTACATCGAAGGTTCTCGGGTTTTCTAGATGAAAATCTTCTTCAAAATAGACGGGCGGGATGGTCGATAATGGAGTCACTGCAGGCGCACGACCCCGCGAGTTAGAGCGACGGCGGCCTCGAGGATCATAGGGCGATGCGGGGCGTGAGGTTATTGAAACATTGGAGGACCTTCGCTCAGAACTCCATGGCATCAAAGATCCCACATCTTCCGGCTTGGGTGATTTGACCCCGGGGGGGGGCTTGGCTTTCTTCCACAGCATTTCCTTTTGCTTGTTGAAACACTTCGTACATCGAGCCCACCTGGGAGAAGTAGGGCTGAAAAGCCTTGGAATCCACATGTGTGATATTGGTCAACGTTACAGGGGGGATATCGCGAGATGATGGGGGCTTGTATCCGGTTGTAGACACTGCCGTATGGGGTGTCAGGCCGGTGCGCACAATTGGGGGCTGGAGGAGCGTTGAGATAGCTACAATTTCATGATCGAATCAGTCACCCTCTCTGTCATTCGCAATGTGTTTAAAGTGAGCGCATACCATTCTGCCCGGACTCTGTGATGGTGCCGTGGTGCTGAGAAGTGTCCAATATTCCTCCAATGCTAACAATGGAGCTCGCCGTTGATCCCCTCCTCAGGGGGTATCGTTGAGGTGGCACTCGCGGCGACTCCAAGTGGGTCGTAGCATAATGTGAAATGGAGGGTGTCGATGTAGCAGATGCCAAACTATCGATTGATTTGCGCGGACTGTTGGGCGCTGCCATCTTGTCCTGGTGGATGCGACAGCCACCGGTCGATCAGTTGGGGAAGCTCGGAGTTATCTGATCATGACACGTTCGAGCTCGAGGCTCAGAATGATCCGCATACGCTGTTTGGGATTGGTTGTTCGGGATACTGGCAGTGTCAGACAATCTGCGCAATCATCAGATGTGACTTATTTTTGTGCGCCGTCTGCGAGGCTTTGTATTCTGCCGACACCACCTGCGTACTTATCTCTAGATGATCCATGGATAGTCCGAGTCCCCGGATGATCACGTGCGTTTATTGCCTTAGCCCCCTGGCAGAACCACTTAACGCGTCAACGCGTCGCGTGTCTGAGCGGGTCGTGTTCCAACCGCTCACTCAAAATTCGTGTCTCCTTGCCTTCCTCTGTTCCACACCCATCCATCTGCCCGCCATGGATAAAAGAGCACCCTACTCCCTGAGCGTTTATGGCCCTAGTGAAAGTGGCGCAGAAGACTCAAAGACCACTATTCAGAATCGCCTCCGAGATTTTGTGTTGGAATTCCAGCTGGACAATGTATTCATCTACCGGTATGAGATCGATCTCTATCGTGGAATATTTTTACGGGGAACGGAAACTGACAGATTTGGGGGGAAAATTAGAGATCAATTACGGCAGAATGTGCTTGTGAAGCAATTCTACTGCGATATCGATGTCGCCCATCTCATTTCCTATAATGATGTATTGGGGCACAAGGTCGCGACTGATCCTGCCGAAATCATTCCTTTGGTAGGAGTCCACTCACATTCTCTCTCCGGGATGGTTCTGACAAGAAGTAGTTTGAGCTTGCTCTGCAAGATTGCACTCGCCGAATCGTCTACCCCGGCCAGCGTGATATCTCACTCCCTTCCCATCAATTGCTTTTGCACTCCTCCGCCGCACACCTTTCCATTCGAGAGCTCAATGCCTCAAATATCTCCCACCTTGTCCGAATTCCCGGTATTGTGATTGGCGCTTCCACTATTTCATCAAAGGCCACTACAGTCCACATTCGCTGCAAGAACTGCGACCATAGCGAAAATATTCATGTGGACGGCGGGTTTGCTGGTTTGACACTCCCTGAGACAGTGTGGCCGCAGGAAGGAACCCGGCGATCAGCCTGGTGACCAGTGTCCTCTCGACCCCTATGTTATTCACCATGAGAAATGTCGCTTCGTTGACCAACAAGTCCTCAAGCTCCAAGAAGCCCCTGACCAGGTACCAGTTGGTGAATTGCCTCGACATGTCTTAATTTCCGCAGATCGATACTTGGCCAACCGCGTTGTTCCCGGTTCTCGCTGCACCGTGATGGGCATCTTTTCCATCTACCAGGCCAAGGGCGGTAAGAAGGAGGCAGCAGTGGCGATCAGAAATCCATATTTGCGTGCGGTGGGCATCAACACCGACCTCGACCAAACGGCGAAGGGTAGCGCGATCTTCACCGAAGAGGAGGAGCAAGAGTTTTTAGAGCTGAGTCGACGACCTGACCTGTACGATGCCCTCGCCCGGAGTATTGCTCCTTCCATCTACGGAAATATGGATATCAAGAAGGCCATTGTCTGCCTCTTGATGGGTGGTTCGAAGAAGATTCTGCCTGATGGAATGAAGTTGCGTGGTGATATCAACGTGCTTATGCTGGGTGACCCTGGTACGGCCAAGTCTCAGCTGTTGAAATTCGTCGAGAAGGCTGCCCCTATCGCTATCTACACTTCGGGAAAGGGGTCTTCTGCGGCCGGTTTGACTGCATCAGTTCAGCGAGACCATAACACTCGGGAGTTCTACCTCGAGGGTGGTGCCATGGTTCTTGCCGATGGCGGTGTCGTGTGTATTGATGAGTTCGATAAAATGCGTGACGAAGATCGTGTTGCTATTCACGAAGCTATGGAGCAGCAGACAATCTCTATCGCCAAGGCTGGTATCACAACTGTCCTCAATTCTCGAACCTCTGTGTTGGCTGCTGCAAATCCCGTTTTCGGTCGCTACGATGACCTGAAGACTCCTGGTGAGAACATTGACTTCCAAACTACTATCTTATCCCGTTTCGATATGATTTTCATTGTTCGTGATGATCACGAACGCGGCCGTGATGAGAGAATTGCCCGTCACGTTATGGGTGTTCACATGGGAGGACACGGTGTGGAAGAGCAAGTGGAGGCCGAGATTCCAGTTGAACAGATGAAGCGCTACATCAGTTACTGCCGAAGGTAAGCTTCATCAATCAAGACGCGGATGGAAGTCAACTAATAACCTGTCTCTAGCCGATGTGCTCCTCGGCTCTCACCCGAAGCTGCCGAAAAGCTCTCCTCCCACTTCGTTTCTATCCGTAAACAAGTCCGCCGCACCGAAGTCGAGTCCGATGCCCGGTCATCAATCCCCATTACCGTTCGTCAGCTGGAGGCTATTGTTCGTATTACTGAGTCTTTGGCCAAACTTCAGCTGTCGCCCATTGCTACTGAGGCTCACGTCGATGAGGCCATCCGTCTCTTCTTGGCCTCTACGATGGATGCTATTACTCAAGGAGAGGGCTCAGGTAATAAGGACCTCATGCAGGAGGCTTCGAAGATCGAGGACGAGCTCAAGCGCCGATTGCCGGTTGGCTGGAGCACTAGCTTGGCAACATTGCGCCGAGACTTTGTTGATGCCAAGGGCTACAATGAGCAGGCATTAAATCGGGCGCTGATTGTCCTGCAGAGGAGAGAAACCATCCAGATTCGGTCGGGTGGCTCCCAGATATACCGCAACAGGCCTTAATAATGTGTCAAGACTATGAGCTGTTACATCAGATACACCTAGTATGCGTCACGGTTTACGGGATCTTTATGTTCTATTATTCGCATTTATTTGTATCCTCTGGGGTTGGGCGTTCAGCGGGATTGGGCATGCGTGATGTTTATTCCGGAGGATGCGCGAGATAACCCGATCTGAATGGAAATTTTACATAACTCTTTCTTTTCAGTCTTGTTCACACCAGTGGATTCTCTTATCTTTGACTCTACTTGTAACCTGAAATGATCATATAGAAAGACCAGGCACCAATATTCGAATATGGCGCCATATATCCACTTTAGGTACTTTCAACCAGCGGTCTTCCCAACCCGACTGCCAAGCGCTCGCCAGTAACCTCATCAACGTCTGTAAAACACCAGAGAGTGCCAAGCGCCAAGCGAACTCGCTAGGCATCTGTGTTTCCTCATTTCCCCCTCATGCAAAGATCCTTGACCAGTCAGTCCATCAGCAGCCCCGGTGTACAATGCATCCGCCCGTGTTAGTAGGACCGGGCAAGTAAGATCTGATTAGTTGACGAACTTCTCCCTGGCCCATCAATGCTATAAAGACTCGGGGATATCTTTCAACCAGCCTTCATCAGCCTCGCTCCCCATCGAAGCATTACCAGTATTTTATCTACCGTGTGACTCCTGCCATTTGGAGCGACAATAGCAACATGAGTTTCCACGTTTCTGCTGTTGAGTACGAGCTCGAGGATGGCCACATTCTGAAGGCCGTTCTTACGGATGATGAAGGGAATGAGAAGACATCTCAGCTGGATCTGAACACTATCATTGACAACGACAATGGTCCGCTACGCCATTACTACCAATACCTTTCTCCGAAGCTGACATGTTGATCCCGCTAGGCTCCTTCGCATGGAAGGACTCCAAATATTCCGATAGCGCAAACGATGTCAAGCTCTCGAAAGAAGGAGACGATGAGGTTCCTGTGCTGAGAGCCCGGCTGCTAAACGTTGATGGCGAGGAAGTCGATGCGGACATCAACCTGGCGGAGCGAATCACGAATGATAATGGGGTTCTCAGGTTCAACTAGACAGTTACACGCTATATATATCAGAGGCTGGACCCAGTTTTACGAATTGACACATGCCTATGAAAGGTAACACCCAGTAGCAGAAATTCTCACCGGACCTATGAAGAGAGCCCCCGGGCACTAGGCCCTGCTTCTTAACTTTTCACTGCTTCTTCTTTTACCCTCTTTATCTCCCCTCCCATGCAGCTTCTCCTCGTACACAGCCTACAACTTAAGAGCCGAGCTAAGCGCCATTGCATTGAAGCTTAGTTCCCTGCACAACAGGATTATTGTTGGCATGTAGTATTTACCCAACCTTAGTTTGAAATCCGATGGAATTGTGTTCTACAGTCACATAAAAGGGGAATTCGTCGTAATCGTGATATTGGCATCGTGATGCTCTATGCTACCCTGAATGATATCCACAAAACTCCACTAACCAGCGCATATTGTACAAGATATAATGCGTAGCCGTGCCACGCCGACTCAATCGGGTGTAATCTCAACGATGATGGCTTTGGTAGGATGTCTCAAGATCGATTCAATCGAACTTAGTTTCCGGGGAGGGAGCCCAGGCCCTTTTTCTCGCCGAGAGACTTGGGCTCGTGACCGCCCTTTCCACTGCCCGAGTTGTTGGGGTTGGTGTTGGCAAGACCGCCAAAGACCTCGGGGTTAGATTCGGTATATTCAGGCATAGGGGCGACCTTCTTGGTGTGCTCGAGAGGGGCGTCCTGGAATCGAAATGTTAAGACAGTGATCATCGTCGTGAGGAAACAGAATGTAAACTCACAGAGTTGCCAACACCGTGGGCCTTGGTCTCACCGGCCTCAATGGGGTTGTCGCTCTGGGGAATACCGTTGTCGTACTCGGCGCCGCGAACCATTGTGTATGATGTAAAGGAGAGAAGACTTGAAAAGTTCTGAATCACTTATTAGCACGCTTCCCTCGTCTTTCTCGTGTGTCCAAACACGAACACAAGACAAGTCAAACTTGGACCTACCTTTGAAGGGTAAATTGAATCTGAAGCTTCTCAATTGGTGCGCAGAAAGACCAGTATTTAACACCTTTCCCCAGAGCTCCTAAACTTGTCTGTGACAGCATCATGAGCTCATGGCCCCACCATGACTTCATGCGGCAAATGCACCCGATCGCAGGTAGATCTAGGAAACGGCGCTTAAACAAGGGGTCTCGGTGGAGACGAACGGGAGTGCCATGACCTCTTTTGCTTGGTCTGCTTCTAGAAACAAGATTAAATGTTGAGACAATTTGCACACTGTTTGCAATGAGGTACGTGCGGGGCTACTGACTATTTGCGGGTAGGAAGAGCTCTCGGGACCTCAAGCCAACTCCGCCTTGGAAGATATGCTCCCCTCGCCCACACTTTCCAACAGCATAATGAGAGAAAGGCGAAGGCAATCTACTATGCGTGCATTTCGGGCTTACGTGAAAGAATCAGGCCACCCTTGGCTTGACGTTCCCGCGTACTAGTAACTACGCATCAGATCAATCTCCATGTGCTTCTTACAGGTCTTTCATTAGAACTACATTGGGAAGCTTCAATTGCATAGGGGGGTTTCTCTAACTCATTATGAATTAAGCTCGCTAAAAAAAAGACCCCTGAAAACAAAGCTAAATCTCCAAGACCCTTGGTGAGGGCAATGACGTCCTCTCGCCGACCGCTCTGACCAGCGAGAGCGCGCGCTCTCCGAGCTCCTCACAAGTGAGGGGCGACACGAAGCTGGCAGAGCTCCCACTCTGCGCTAATGACGACGTCGTCTCAAGTGACGTCTTTGAGCTAAGGGGGGAGTTACGCCTCAGCAGAGTCGACATAGAGTCGGTCGAGGTGTTCCCAGTGCTTTCCCGGAGCAGATCGTCCATATACGTGCAACGGTCTACCCGAGATATCAACGACGATTCCTCGAAGGAGATATCCTGGGCTCCGATCTCGGGGGACTCGGCACCCCTAGCCATGCCGAATTTCTCCCATATCTCCTCGAAGCTGATCGCAAGTTGCGAAAACCGGATGCTCTCGTGCCGGGGAGTGATGGTCGACCACGACTCGGACGACCATCTGAAGTCACTGGATGTTGCCGACGCAGTGTCATTGTCCAGTTCCCCCTCAGGGCCGCTGCTCTCCTGGACGTGAGCACTCTCCGCATCGACGTCCCCGGCCACCGCTTCCAGGCGCGGAATGGCCTCGTCCTCAAACGCAACGTAGAAACGTGGTCGCAGCCCGAATCCGCTGGGTGTCTTCCAGCGGTCCACCAGGATATGCTGGCGGATTGGCTGCGCTGTGACGTTAACCGTCTCCTCAACTCTCCCCTTGGGCTGAGGAAGCGGACGATCATCAAAGCAGATAAAGTCTGGGTACAGCGGGAACTCGTACCGCGGGGTTGTCGGCTTCCAAGTACGACGCTCTTTGTGCTCCCGGTAGCGACGCTTGATTACGTTGGCGGTCTTTCGCGCCGGCGACAGAAGGGCCTTGACAGCCTCTCCAAGAGACTTCTTGGCAACATCGTCAAATGTCATCTTCAAAGATAAACCCATGTTTGCAGGTTGGGTCGTGAAAACTTGAAGCTCGGGGGTATCAGAATACGGGACACAATATGTAAAGGCAAAGGGAATTGGCTTACAGGGGTTGAGACGCGAGATGGCAAATGCGCAAAGATGGTAAATGCGCGAAGATGGGTTGCAACAATGTATGCTGCAGGAAGTTGCGGGGCAAGCGAAGTTGAGCCGCGATATGGCAAATCGCATGAAGATGGGTTGCGGAAATCGCTACTTCAAGAAGTGACTGAGCAAGAGGTTGAGTCGCAAGTGGTGGAACCTCAAAGATCAACTTGCGAGAAAGCGGCCTGCAAGAAGGAGAATTCGCCGTGTAGGAATGAGGTTCAAGTGTGGCAGGATTGGTTGCAAGAAGCTGAGACGCAAGACACCGAGCCACGAGGAGTCAGCTTCCGAGTTGAAGTATGAAAGCTCAGTCGTGGTGAATGAGACGTGCGAAGCTCATAACCAAAAGTTGAGGAAAGGAAAGGAAGATCTCAATATCGAAGGAGAGCTTGGGGGCTCTATGGACGACTGGCGGGCTCGATATTATTCACTACGATGCCCACTCACTAGCTTAGCTTTAAGGTATTTCCTATGCGAATCCGTTTGATGCCATTTACTTGATTGGCTACGTTATCCTAGCTCCACCAAAAAAGGAAAATAGGGTATCTTGCAAAAATTCGCGATTTTCTCACGACGAGCAGCGTCCAAATACTACCATAAGGGGACAGCTTGAGTCGTTGGCAGCCAGCAGCTCTATATCTGCTGGGGTCTCATTAGTATCTACTTATAGAAGAGCGGGGAGTCCTGATATTTCAGGCACGTATATTCAAGCTTTCTACTACTAGCCATAGTAAGGTAAGCCATCTCCGGTTGGTCAGTCGCTTGCGACATGCTAGTACCATGCTGCTTGTAAAGCGGCCCTGGAAAAGCATGACGGGCTACGGGGTATGCAGGGCACTCCGTGCGCTCGATGAAGCTATACATGTTGATTTCTAATTCAGAGCCTGTTCCTAGTAATCGCGGCTCGAATAATCTACGGACGAACGTCTTTGGCTACATACACCAGCTCTAGTTGCGGGCTCAAATCCAGCCAAAGTATATTGTGGAGTGGCTGCAGATACGTTCCAGTACTTGGGCCAGTCGGCGCCCTGAACTACGGCTGGGGTGGGCCCATATGATGTCACGCAGAGCTCTGCTTCCCCAGATGTGACCTTCACACCCGTCAAGCCTACTGGCGGCTTCCGGGGACAGCGACACCGACACCATAAGATACAGGATCGACGCCGCCTCGGGCTCCCAATGGGCCAACCTTGCAGGGGTCGCAGTTCTGGTCCCCATTCCCGGCTTCATATTACCTGGCAGGGTAGTGCGACATGAGATTAAAAATTCCCCAGCTTAGAACTTGAGAAAGTTTTTGACCGGCAGCTTGTTCGGGTGTCTTAAATTAGGCCGACGGTACAGTCGTTGCACGGTGTTTCATCGGGCCAGGGCCAGCTGCTCGATCGGTTGGCGCTAGACCGTGGTTCGCTCGGGCAGAGCCTTCCACCGGATGGGGAAAGGGTGACCTTGAATACTTGGATCTATAACTTATAATCCTAAGATATTAGGGATTAGTAGGAAGAAAGGTCGAGGGCCTGGAGACAGCTTGCAGGTGGCAATGCCCCGTGACAAGCGCACGGAGTTCCTGTGAACGTGGGGACGCGAAAGCTCTAAAAGTGGAGGCGTGGAGGCGTGGAGGCGAAGGCTGGGGGAAGGAAAAGCTGGTATTCAAGTTTCCAGATTTCACCCCCCGCGCTCGGACCCGGAGCTGCTCAATCCTCCCAAAAGCTCTTCCCCCCTCTTTCGTTCTTTTCTCTTTACCTCCTCCTGTCTGAAAATCGCCGCAATGGCCGACGAGAATGGTTCTGAGCCGATCAAGCGCGATGTGCGCAACCACATGCTCTTCGAGGTGGCCACCGAGGTAGCTAACCGCGTTGGCGGTATCTACTCGGTGCTCAAGTCCAAAGCTCCAGTCACCACGGCCGAATATGGAGAACGCTACACTTTGATCGGCCCCCTGAACAAGGCTTCAGCCGCCGTTGAGGTAGAAGAACTCACCCCGGCCAGCCCGGCTATGCGCGAAACCATCGCCTCCATGACCGAGCGTGGAATTGAAATTGTCTACGGGCGCTGGCTGATTGAAGGCGCCCCGCGCGTTTTGCTCATCAACACTGGTACTGGGTACCGTTGGTTGGATGAATGGAAGGGCGACCTGTGGAACATTTCGGCGATCCCATCCCCCGACGCTGATCATGAGACCAATGAGGCAATCGTCTTTGGTTATCTCGTGGCGTGGTTCTTGGGTGAGGTATGTGACTGGATACCAGCAACCTCTTCGGACCCTCTTTTTGGGTGGCTGGAATACTCCTAGGCAGTTGGGTTGAGAAAAAAAAAAGGACAAGGATTTACTGACTCTCTTCCTGCAATAGTACATTGCTCATGAACGCCGCCGGGCCGTTGTGGCCCACTTCCATGAATGGCTGGCAGGCGTTGCTCTACCGTTGACTAAGAAGCGTCATATGGACTTGACGACTATTTTCACCACACACGCCACTCTGCTGGGCCGATACCTCTGTGCTGGCTCGGTCGACTTTTACAACAACCTCCAACACTTCGACGTCGATGCAGAGGCCGGGAAGCGTGGCATTTACCACAGGTACTGCATTGAGCGCGCTGCGGCACACAGCTGTGATGTCTTTACAACTGTGTCGCACATCACCGCGTTCGAGAGTGAGCATCTGCTCAAGCGTAAGCCTGACGGTGTTCTGCCCAATGGGCTGAACGTGAAGAAGTTCTCTGCTATGCACGAGTTCCAGAACCTGCACTCGCAGGCGAAGGAGAAAATCAATGACTTTGTTCGGGGTCATTTCTATGGCCACAACGACTTTGATCTCAATAACACCATTTACATGTTTACTGCTGGTCGGTACGAGTTCCGTAATAAGGGCGTCGACATGTTCATTGAGGGACTGGCTCGCCTCAACCATCGGTTAAAGAGTAGCGGATCGGAGACAACTGTCGTTGCATTCATCATCATGCCCGCCCAGACCTCCTCCTTGACTGTCGAGGCACTCAAGGGCCAAGCGGTTGTCAAGTCTCTTCGGGATACAATCGAGAACATTGAGAAGGGAATTGGAAAGCGGATGTACGAGCGGTGTCTTTCTTGGAAGGAAGGAGACAACATGCCCGACGAGAAGGACCTTATCACGAGTCAGGATCGTGTCCTGCTTCGTCGTCGCTTGTTCGCGATGAAGCGGCACGGCCTGCCTCCTATCGTCACCCACAACATGGTCAACGACCATGAAGACCCCATCTTGAACCAGCTGCGCCGCGTGGAGATGTTCAACAGAGAGTCCGACCGTGTCAAGATCGTTTTCCACCCGGAGTTCCTCAACTCCTCCAACCCAGTGCTTCCATTGGATTACGACGACTTTGTCCGCGGAACTCACCTGGGTGTGTTCCCATCTTACTACGAGCCCTGGGGCTACACCCCCGCCGAATGTACCGTCATGGGCGTTCCCAGCATCACTACTAATCTGTCCGGATTTGGATGCTATATGGAGGAGCTGATTGAGAACTCCTCGGACTACGGCATCTACATCGTTGACCGTCGCCTGAAGGGTGTGGACGACTCGGTCAACCAGCTGACTGACTTCATGTACAATTTCACCCTCAAGAGCAGACGTCAAAGAATCAACCAGCGTAACCGCACGGAACGCCTGAGCGATCTCTTGGATTGGAAGCGTATGGGTCTGGAATACGTCAAGGCTCGCCAGCTCGCATTGCGCAGAGGTAGGTTCCCTGTTCGCATTGGCGTCCTGAGATGCACGACTAACATAGACACACTAGCTTATCCTTCCTCATTTGATGGAGCGGAGGACTACTTTGACATTATTGGTGGCACAGAGCAGAAGATCTCCCGCCCTCTGTCGGTGCCCGGCTCCCCACGCGATCGCTCTGGGATGATGACCCCAGGTGACTTTGCCTCGCTACAGGAGGGCCGTGAGGGGCTAAGCACCGAGGATTACATTGCCTGGAAGCTTCCGTAAGTTTTGCTCTTGTCCAATGCTCCGGACTGGACGCTAATTGGACGAATAGTGAGGAGGAGGAACCGGACGAGCCCTTTTTCCCGCTTACCCTTCGAACTCGCAAGTCTGCTGATCGCCCCCAGTCGCCCTTGGACCGCATCCCTGTCAATGGGGGAAGCCATTCGCCGAAACATGAGTAGGCAAAGTTCAAGTTTTGGTGGCGGGGTTTGGTGAATCGGCCGAGCCCCGCATGGGCTAATCGCATTTGGTGTTCATGTTTCTTTTCCCTTCCCGTTCTACCAAAGTACTACTTGACGTCACTGTGTAATTGATCTCCCATGCATCCTGGAAGCCTTCATACGTTTTTTTGTTTTCTTTCTATTTTGCTTATTTTGGATATTCTACATCAATATATTTTGACCATTTGGATTCACGTTTTGCTCCAGATCCTACTCTTGCCCTCGCAGGGTTACTCTAAAAAGAGTGGTCATAACATGGTATGATCTTCCGCAATCTTGGCGCAGAAGGTAACTCGGGACTTCTGGTCTCCACGAGCGGTTGAACTCGGGAGACTGTGGATTCATGCACCAACTTACGCATGACCCCAATTGGGGGGGTGGAGAGCTCCATGGGGCTCTTTGATAGGCACGGAGGACTGTGTTCCAAGGACTCTCTTCCCGGTGAACCTTTTCTTTCGTGATGCAGCTATGATCTATGAACGGGACCAAGCTGGCAATTGATCCCCACCTTGACCAACCTATTTAACAGCTCTGCCCCTCATCCTCAATTCTGGTTTTCTTTTCGCAATCACTTGATTATTTTTTTCCCCTTGATTCAATTCGACTTCCAAGACACAGTCTACCACCGGTACGACTCTCTACAATGGAGCCGCGCAGGTCTTAGCCAACCCCGCCGTGGGGTATCCCCACAGGTTGTTTTCGCTGAAAGATCGTCAGGGTCAAGGTATTGTACATGGTATAACAGTCACTGCAAACGCATGACAGGTGTTCGGCCGAGTCGATTGCTAGGATCCTATGTTCCTGGTGATTGACTGGTCGTTCTGAGATTATACTGTCAAAACTTGATCTAGATAATACTAGCGAAAGGACATGCGTGACTTTTGATTGTTCCCCCTACTCTTTGCTGTTATGTGCATCTGTGTCTGTTCTGTGCTGCTAAATTGCTGATTCAGGGTTTAGCAGCTCATGCCAGGCATGGATGCATATTATGTTGGCATACTAACTCGATCTAAGTTTCTGAACAGCTCTCGTCACCATGGCCACTGACAAGATCACCTTTTTGACCAACTGGTATGCTAACAGCCCACTGGAGCAAAGCTTTCAATATCTCGATTGTGGAATTTTTGTTTTAGAGCGAAGGCTAAGTTTATTGAAGGCACGCCACCCCGTACCACGCCCCCCCTCTATCTCGCCCAGTCTCGCGGCTACTTCAAGGATGAGGGACTCAAGGTCGCCCTTCTGGAGCCCAACGACCCGTCCGATGTCACCGAGATCATTGGTAGTGGTAAGGTCGACATGGGTTTCAAAGCGATGATCCACACGCTGGCTGTATGTAACCTTCTGTACAAACATATACGAGAGCAGATGTTTACACCACGACCATTAGGCGAAAGCTCGCAACTTCCCGGTGACCTCAATCGGCTCGCTCCTCGATGAGCCCTTCACCGGTGTCGTCTCACCTGAAGTCTAGCGGCATCACCCCGGACTTCCGCTCCCTGAAGGGCAAGCGCATCGGCTACGTCGGCGAGTTCGGCAAGATCCAGATCGACGAGCTGACCAAATACTACGGCATGACCGCGGACGACTACACCGCCGTTCGCTGTGGCATGAATGTCACCAAAGCGATCATCCGCGGCGACATCGACGCGGGTATCGGTCTCGAGAACGTGCAAATGGTCGAATTGGCCGAATGGCTTGCTGAGCAGGGTCGCCCCCGCTCTGACGTTCAGATGCTGCGCATTGACCAGCTCGCCGAGCTAGGCTGCTGCTGCTTCTGCTCGATCCTGTACATCGCCAACGACGCATTTATCGCCGCCAATCCGGAGAAGGTGGCCAAGTTCATGAAGGCTGTTAAGCGGGCCACTGACGATGTGCTTGCCAACCCCGCCGCTGCGTATGAGGAGTACATTGATGTCAAGCCCATCATGGGCACCCCTGTCAACCGCAAGATCTTCGAGCGCTCGTACGCGTACTTCAGCCGGGACCTGAAGAACGTTCAGCGTGACTGGCAGAAGGTCACCAACTACGGCAAGCGTCTGGGTATCTTGGACGAGGATTTCGTCTCCAACTATACCAACCAGTTCCTTTCTTGGACTTTGGACGCGGACTCGACTGACCCCACGGGTGACCAGAAGCGCATGGCGCAGCTGCAGGAGAAGGTCGCCGAGGAGGGCGGCTTCAAGCGCCTCGAGGTTAGCTCTGCTGCTTAAGGAGATAGCGTTTTAAGAGTCACGCAGGCCTAGCGGATTGATAACTCGTCCGACTTTCACTCTTTTATCTGGCCTAATGTCACCTTAACAGATCAAAGCCTAAGAGAAGAGCATCTCTGATGGTCAAATTTTCTTTTCGTGGGACACTAGTGTGTAATCATCGTAGTATGGCAGATTGTAATTGGCCTGCCAGGTCACATCCATTGGTATCTCAGGCTGTATCAGTTCGTCAAATGGTTACGACGTAGGACAAAGCTAGACCATCCGCAAATCTTCCAGTCTCTCTCCCTATTGCATTCTAAACAGATCCATCAAAATCCCGATCAGCAGCAAGCGGCTTGACCAGGTGACCAGTCTGCTGCTGACATTAAATGATCATAGCGAGACGAACCGTGTCACACACTCAAAACACCTCGGGACTGGCCCAGTCGATTAAGACACGCCGAGAAGAGGCTATTGAAGATGGCTTTTCTGTGAGTTGACTATTGAAGCATTATCCCAACATGCAAAGTGATTCCTGCAGATGTTAAGTCCTTGGTAGGAGCAAGAACCTACTATACGAAGCTTATTCTCCATGGTAGAGCATGTCCCAGGATAAACAATCGCGCAATGAACTAAGCTTGTCACTGATCATTTAGCCATGGATCCTGAAGTAGCTCCTTCGCTGACTTTCTATCTTCAGGTCGCCACTGGAGCATCCCTTTCATGAAATCTATAAACATCTCCTTATTTTTCCCCTCGAGGAACCCTTCCGATTGCTCCAGACTGACCCCCGTCGGGATCTCTATGTCCTGTTTCCACTTCCCTGTAGGTTATCTCCGTAAGTTATTGCCAAGCACACTGGGAGAGAAATTAACGCTTACCGTCACTTGTGAAGAATTCATGGCTACGTTTCCCACGTTGAAGCATATCTAAAGGAGGTGGCCCGAGAAGCCCCATAACTTCTGCAAGGTGTGCCCGGGTTGAATACCCTTTGCCATCAGGGTCATTTCCGTAGAAGAGATGTCTGCCCTCAAACAAATCCCACACCTGTGATTCATAGACGGTTAATAATGACCATGAGAGAGAGGAGTGATAGGCAGAGCATACCATGGCACCAACATTCCATATATCAACTGGGTAACTCCAATCAGTCTTCAGCATTACTTCCGGTGATCTGTAAACATTTGGCTGTGCATCGTGATTCCTCTTCTCATCCCCTTGTACAGCTGATCCGAAATCACTCAGTACTGCTCGGCCAAACACCTTTGGTAAGTCAAAACGTCGCGACGCGTAGATCGGTAAACCATTGACGATTTTCCGGGGTGAAGGGTTCTCCAGTTCAGCTTGACAAAAATTCTCAAGGATAGACATGTCTTCTATTTCCTGGAGGATATTATCGCTTTTGATATCTATAAAAATGTAGTTAGGGTAATGCGTTTCCCCTAAGGCCTCATAGATATGTATTACCTATATGGACGAGTTTGCACTCAGTGTGTAGATAGTCAAGTGCAAGGAATATTTGCATAAGACCGGATTTGAGGAGATCTTCAGTAAATCGATGCTGAGGATTACGGTAAAGGAGGTCCCGGAAGCTCTCCCACATCGGCACCTGAACAAGACACTGATGGTTACCCCTCGGAGAGGGAACCGTGAAGATATCTACTGCTTTCCGCACATGAGCATGACCAGGGTGCCATGAACTCCCTTGGTTCAGTAGCTTGTATATCTGAGGCTCCTCATGATTGTCTTTGTCGAGGGTGTAAAGTTTGAGCGTTACATATCGACGACCCCTGCTTGTTTTAGTATGTCAGTGTTTAGTTTGATCGGTACTTTCCAAGGGCGATTTGCCATGGCTTACGCAAGGTCTCGAGCCAGCCACACGGTCGAAGTTGTCCCAAACCCTAATTTGCCAATGATCTGGTATTTGGAGATAAGTATTTCGCCGACAGTGGCAGGATAATATTGTCTCCGATGAAATTGTTCAAATCGCTCCTCCTCAAGTACCTCCGAGGGAGGAACGGTCTTGTAACCGCCGGTGGGAAATATCAAGGGAGGGGAGGGAGGCTTTCGAAGCACCTTTGTGGCCCATCTCATAATATTTGCCATGCTGAAAATACAGAGGAGAACATCCTTTTCTGAACGAGGTTATGGAAACGCGCAATACCTGCGATCGGAGTCTGACAAGTTGACTACGGATGAGATTGATGTCGACACAGGGGGCACTTGTCCCGGCGGTATCGTATGTTAATAACGCCCAGCTGACACTATGCTCCGTGACATTTTGGCCGCAGGATAAACATGAAGTACATTTTAGACATCTGATCGTTCGAATACGTCGAAGTTGAAGAATCGGATTCTGAATCCCGGCCCGTCATTACCCTGCGCGCTACTCGAGGATTGGGAACGATACCTACACGCCCTTCAACCACGTTGAATGGCGCTATTCCCGACATGGAAAGGGTGGGGCGATTTGCTATGTACAATTCATTCGCTTCGTACAGTCTGATGCTCATGCTTATATTACTTCTTTATTTGACTGGCCCGAGGTCGTGTCTAGTAATCATAACACATCACAAAGGGTCTCGCTATTAAGGCTATGTCCAGTGCCCTGCCCCATATCTATTTGGTTCGCTTGTAGATCTTGGCCAGGAAGGACTCAAAGACCTCCTTCTTCAGGCCGCTGGCCTCGTCAACGGCAGCGATCTTGGCGCGCAGATCAGTGACCACGTTCTCCTCGTACTCCTTGTAGAGCTGATCGAGCTTGAGTTCGTTGAAGACAGCCTTGACCTTGGCTTCCTGCTCCTTGTCCTTGCGGCCGTAGGATGCATCGAGGATAGCACGCTGCTCAGGAGTGGCGAGTTTGATAGCTTGATTGACTAACCACGAGCACTTGTTGTCCTGAATATCGGTGCCAATCTTGCCAATCACCTCGGGGTCGCCGAAGTTGTCCAAGTAGTCGTCCTGGATCTGGAAGTACTGACCCAGCGGGATCAGGATATCATGAGCCTGCTTGAGGTTCTCCTCGCTGGCCAGCTGCAGATAGTGCAGAGCGAGGGCGACAGGCAAGTAGAAACTGTAGTAGGCAGTCTTGTAAGTGACAATGAACATGTACTTGTCCAGGGAGAAGTTGTCGAGGTTCACATTGTCCTCGGGAGCAGTGATCAGGTCACAGAGCTGACCCAACTCGGTCTGCCAGGTGGTCTCGTGGAAGAGCTCGACAAGATCAATGTAGGCGGGGTGAGAGCGGAAGCGCTGCTTGAGGATGAGGTAAATAGCACTCTCCAGCATGAAGGCATCGTTGATGGCAATGAGGCCAACACCCTCCTGGCGGTACCAGCAAGGTTGCCCGCGACGAGTGATTGAGCTGTCCATAATGTCATCGCTGACCAGGAAGAAAGCCTGGAGAAGCTCAGTGAGCCAACCCAAAATGCTCAGGTGCTGGAATTGTTCATCGGTCAGGGGCTTCTTGAGGAGGGCGAGACCAGTGTCAGGAACGGAAAGACCGCGGTTCAGTTTGCCACCAGGGGTATTGACATTGAGAGACTATATTTCCGAGGAGAAAGGTCAATTAGTCGAACTTGGACATGTGATAAGTGAGGGTCAATGGTCTGGAGAGGGGCATAATCTACCTTTTCGAACCATTCCTGAGCATTGTCGGGGAGGTTGTATTTCTTAGCATGAGACAGAATATCTTGAACCAGTGAGGGCCAGACGGCCTCGAAGTCCGCACGCTTGGTGGTGGCAGCCATGATCAATGGATTGAAACGAAAGATTATCAGGGGAGTTGCAAACTAAATGTTTGGCCCCGCGGAGGGGGCTTAGTGTGTTTGATCTGTTTGCATGTTTATGCGCTTTCTCGAGCTGCGCAGATGCTCCGTCTGTTCCTCGCCTGATACTTTCAAGCCATTCGTTCGCTGCAGAGGGCATGAAAAGGCACCGAAGCTATCCTTGTCATTCTATTTTTGCCTGTCCTTGCTCCGCTTCCGCGGGTCTCTATCACAGCAACCGCTGCGCCAACGTACTACGACTCGATAGCTCCGATCGATAGCTCCGCGGTCACCAATTGTTGAGCCGCAGACAGACGCCGCCTCGAAAAGAGCATAACATGCGATCGAAGACCACCTGGGTCAGGCGAATCTAAAAGATCAGCCTACTCCTTTCCTTTCGACGATTTGAGCTCCAACAGCGCGCGCTGTAGCGCAGATAATCAACAATCATGGATATTACACATGTCACACCAGACGCGATTCAAAATCTGAAGTTTCAGCTTGAAAGTGCAGCAGTGAAATGCTCAGAGCGATGTCTCTATCAATCAGCGAAATGGTATATTGACAAAAGAAATTTGCGCTGGATCTTAGTAAACTGACGACTTCATAATGTGCAGGGCCGCAGAGATGCTAGACGCCCTTGCGCCGACCGACGAGGAAGACACCGACCCAGAGTCCCCCATGGATATGACAGAGCCGGCGCATCTGCCAGTAAACCCTTATCTACGCGAGCAAGACCCCGTCGAAGCAGCCCTGGAGGCTCAAGAATCCTACAAATACCTTCTCGCGAAGTCATTCTTTGACACCCGCGAATTCGATCGTTGCGCCGCGGTGTTTCTCCCCGCGGCAACTTCGCCTGTGCCACTCTCGGTCATCTCGCCGAACTCGAAACCCAAGCAAGGACGAACATCCCTGAAGGGCAAGGAGAAATCATCAAACAGCAAGACTAACATCCGCAGAAACCCGTACCCGAAACTCAGTCAAAAGTCCCTCTTTCTTGCCCTGTATGCTAAGTATATGGCGGGAGAGAAACGGAAGGACGAAGACACAGAGATGGTACTGGGCCCAGCGGACGGTGGCACGGCAGTGAACCGAGAACTACCAGATCTGGCACGCGGCTTGGAGGGGTGGCTGATGGAGCGTAGTGCGCAAGGACTGGAAGACCAGAGCCAGGGCTGGCTTGAATATCTATACGCTCTTGTTCTGTTGAAGGGCCGAAACGAAGAAGCGGCGAAAAAGTGGCTCATCCGCAGCGTGCATCAGAACCCATTTCACTGGGGCGCATGGCATGAGCTGAGTGATTTGTTAGCCAATAATGAGGATGTTCGTTTCTTTCAATCCTCAGCAAAACAACAGGACTAGGCTGACTTATTCTTCCACAGCTTAAACAAATCGTTGGACAGCTGCCACAGAATATCATGACTTTGGTCTTTCATGTGTATTGCAACCAGGAGCTGTACCAGATTACCGAAGAGACGTGGAAAGCCGTAGCAGAACTTGAACAGCTTTTCCCCGGCAGCGCTTTTCTGAAGACTCAAGAGGCACTGTTGCACTATCATTCCAAAGGTAACTCTCCGCTCTCCCATACGCCCTTGTTTCACATTGCTCATTCGCCATCATTAGACTTTGAACGAGCATCCGAGATTTTCAATGAGATTCTCTCAACTTCGCCGCATCGTCTGGACAGTCTCGACCACTACTCCAATATTCTATACGTCATGGGTGCCAGGCCCCAACTCGCCTTTGTGGCCCAAATCGCAACCGCTACCGATAAATTTCGCCCCGAGACGTGTTGTGTTGTAGGCAATTACTACTCTCTGAAGTCAGAGCATGAAAAAGCCGTGATGTATTTCCGGCGGGCTCTGACTCTTGATCGCAATTTCTTATCTGCATGGACACTCATGGGCCATGAATACATCGAGATGAAGAACACCCATACTGCCATTGAATCCTATCGCCGGGCTGTCGATGTCAATCGCAAAGACTACCGCGCTTGGTACGGCCTAGGTCAAGCTTACGAGGTCCTGGACATGTCATTCTACGCTCTGTTCTACTACCAGCGCGCAGCAGCCCTTCAACCATACGACCCGAAGATGTGGCAAGCCGTTGGATCGTGTTATGCAAAGATGGGCCGTATCGAATCCAGTATTCAGGCCCTGAAGCGAGCGCTGGTTGCAGGTTCATATTACACCGAAGCTGCGCCGGCACCAGGTGGAAGCCCTGGCGGAGGCGCTCGCAAAATTCTCGACACCGAAACGCTGCACCAAATCGCCACGCTCTATGAGCGCCTTGGCGATGAAGATGAAGCCGCTGCATACATGGAGCTCACCCTTCAGCAAGAATCCGGGGGTGCTCCTGTGGACGCAAGCCTTTCCGACGAGGATCTTTCTTCTCCTTCGGAAGCCGCTGCACACAGTGACGGTGGATCTGACAGCTCCGACGAAGACAACGATGCGTCACAGAAACAGCCTGGGCGCCGGCATCGCCGAACACGCCCTCGTACATCTTCCTTCAGTATGCAGAATGATGACTCTATGAATAGCGAGACATATCATGGCACAGGCCCTACGGCTACGACGTCCCGGGCTCGTCTGTGGCTAGCCCAATATGCAATACGGCAGGGAGACTTGGATCGCGCAGACCAACTCGCCGGGGAGTTATGTCAGGATGGAATGGAAGTAGAGGAGGCAAGGGCGCTAATGAGTGATATCCGCGCCAGAAGAGAGGGTGGCGACTAGCGGGCCTGTCGGACGGAAAATGTTATGACATTGACATGATAGCGCGGCGTTCCATTCCTTCTTTCCGATGGTAGCTGCGAGATTCCAGTATTTTAGAGCCAAAGGAATCCATCGCTTCATCGCTTCATCATCCCGTTGATTAATCTAAAAACGAATTCTCTGGTATCAAAGTGTCCTAACGGATTGTAGGACATGTATCCGCCAATTCCAAAATGTGACTTGGTTCAAAGCTCACTGATATCCCAGGTTTCCCGCGGTGGCTGTCCAGCTCAGAGTGCAAGACACCTCGTGGCCCTGAGAAGTCCCATCGAACACACGCATAGTAAAGCTCGCGTCCAATACGAGGCCACTCTGTGCGCAGGCAAAAGTCAGAACTCTCAGGGCAAGCCCTCTGTTCATAAAGTATTTGATCCAAGAAGAATATAGCTCCTCGACAGGGTAAGCAAGATTGACTTTTCTTCATAAGATTGTGAACAGCTTTAGCTATCTCGTGGATCTTTGGACCCAGTGAGACTTCAGCTGGGTTGATGAGAATGATTCCGAAGGCCGTCCCTGTTGAGGCTGCTTGTGGGTGAAATTGCTGAACGAGAGGCATTGATTCCTTGGGAGCTAAGGATTCAAGGAATTCCAAAGTGGAGGTTTGGGAGCTTGGACTGTACGTGGGAATTGCCACTAATGGGGACTTGATGAAGAGTCCTTTCTCGAGTGGGGGGATTGGAGCGACTAGGTTAGTGACGGAGGCACATCCAAGCATTTCGATGTATGCTGAGGGTTCTTTTGAAGTTGCAACATCGTCTGGATTATGCGGGGAACTATTGGTCAATTGGACAGGTTTTGTGGATGCCCCATTCAGAACCTCTCTTCTTGGCTGCTTATTTGACTGAGAGAGGTTTCCAATTTCCGTCAAAGCAGTGCTGCGATTTGAAATGCCTCCGGAACTCGCAGGAAGACCCGGGTCATCGATGTATATAGTAGGGGGCATTTTCCGCTTCCGGTCATTGTGGATGTTTCTGGGCTCTTGATGAACTTCGTGGCCGGTGGGGATCGAATCCAAGCAGTCGTCACTCTCCTCATAACTGGCTGTTGCGTTTGAGTCTTTCGAGCTTGGGCTTCCACCCGACTCTGAGCTTGAACCGCGAGGTGGTGTCTCTGATCTGATGTACAGGTCATAGCCACTACCAACCCTCAATCGGTTGCGCCAATGCTCTTGTTCTTCGAGTTGATCCTGCTTGGGGACAGATCGGGCCTCGTCGGCTAGATTCTGCAGTTCCTGAAAAGATGCTGAATCTTCAAAACTCCGATCTGTATGGATCTTGAGGATCCGAGGGAACCGAAGAGTGTAATATCGGGCACCGGACGGTTTCTCGAATCCTGCACCCATGAGTTCGACCGGGAAGGTCTTTTTGAAGATCACGGATGCCGCAGGAGTGTTGGCATGCCCGTATTCAATGGCGAATTGAACAAAATCCCCCGGGTCTTGTGCTTGAAATTCACCATGCTGATTCAAGAGCTGCATGAAATTTCGGTGCATGGAGTGATGATTGAGTACGTCAATAACTCGAAAGCGAGGTCTGTCACCAGAATGCATTACTTCCTTCTTGTTCAGAAGACACCCCACCAGAAAATGTGTCCATTTCAATGGTTTCTGAGGTGAAACAAGATGAGCATGTCGCGAATCGTAATATGCACCGATGATATTAAGATCGACTGTATCGCCCAGACCAGGGATATAGTCTTTCTTAAGTTTAATCCATCCACCAAACTTTCTTTCTATACCGGAGGAATGAATGGGAAAGTAAGGCTCATCACAGGCTTTCAGGACCAGCCCCTCCCATCGCTGAGCGATAGCCCTGGAAAACGCAAGATCCAGCCTTTCATACCGATCAACTCGATCGAACCTCATAACCTCTTGCTCTGCAAGAGCAGCTCGGCCGGCGACAGGGTCTATTAAGCGCTGCAGCAAGAGACGCCTTTCACGGTGGGGCTTTCGGAGACAGACGTCGTCATCAAGAAGGAGCACGTCGAAGAAAACTAGCATCAGATGTTCGTACGGTTGAGGCCTACACAGTTAGCACCAATTAACCAGCGGATACCATCGGGCTCACTAACGGAGAATCATTGTCCACGCCTATGAGTGTCCCGGAGCGACAGATAAACTTCCGAAGCTTGTGGAAGCCTGCAATGCCACCTCGTTTGTCGCTCCAGACAACAAGCTCTGCTTCGAGGATACATTTCCGAGTAAACTTGCGCTCGGTGTGATTGAGATGAAGAGTTTCTTCTAGAATTGGAGCGATGCCGGCTCGATCTGCTGTTGAGTCTTTGCCACTTTTGGAAAAGACTTGGATGGGATGGGATTGGGTAAGATCAATGTGGATTTGACAATATTCCCCATCGTACTTTCGTTCAACACTCATCCGACGACCTTCGACCAGCTGCAGACAATGTTTGATACTTCGAGCCTTGAAATAGTCCGGCCGCCCAACTTTGATCCCAGTCCGGGGATATAGATTCTCGCACGCAACTTCAGATAGCCGGGCAGCTGTTCGGCCGTCTGGGTTCGGTGGAAATCTGTTCATAGGCTCAGAAGACAACATCTCCAGGGCGCCTTCAAATGTGTTCTGGAACTGGAGCAAGGGTGGCAGCAAAAAGTGAATTCTTCCCAGGGTATACTTCAACGGCAATGTCAGAGGATAGCCTCTTAATATCAAGCGAGTTAGCCACTTTGCATCTCGACTACTCAGTCGGCGATACAGGGGCGACAAGGTCTTGTCCACATTGACTGCTGTATGCTGCCGACGGACATCCGGCCCTGAGAAACGACATCGCGAAGCGATCATGTTCAAAGCCGTGTCTATTTCTTCTACCGTGACACCTCGACCAGGGGGAACGTAGTTCTCAGCTTGTGACATTACATTCTCGACACATTTGCCCAGGTCTGGGCCGCCGGGCTTCTTCCATTGACCCAGTTCTGTCAGCCGGGAGGACCCAAGCCTTAAGCAACGGCCAATGACTCGGGCCAACGAGGTTGCTTGCAACCAATATACACGGTCCGGTCGTTGATCTGGGAACATACACGATAGAAGAGCAAGCCTATCCGTTTCTATGTCATTGATGCAAGAGTCATGCTGGGCACACCATCGGTTGATTATCTGGATGGCAGAAGTATCCCGTTTGGTTGGCAATACCTTGGAAAAATGGTCATCTTCCAGAGCCGATAGAAGGTCACACAGAAAAGCAAATTGAAACCCCATAAGGTGGCCACTTGAAACCTCACATCAATGCCTAGATCTGCTCCAGCGTGAATATTTGACGCGTTCAGCATTTCGCGGCTCACGCGTCTTGAGTGGACACGAAAGCACGTGATAGGGCAAGCTTGCATCATCGTCACAAATACGCCCTGCAGCAGTGCTATTAACGGATACTACTGTTTCCATGGAAGGTAATGGATTCCCTTGACGCTGGACGCTTAGATTGATTACCATCATTCGAGCTCATGCTATTAGTACATCGTCCCAGAAAAGAGGGAAAAATGAAAGAAGCGACCTTGAAAAAATTGATTGGTCCCGATAGTGAGATGTTCTCCGTTCGCCAAACTCCGAGCTTTTGTACTGCACGATCCATAGTAACCTTTAATCGAAAAGTCTCGCTTACAGAATTCCCTGCTTGACGAGGCTGATTGAAGGGGATTTTTGTTAGAGAAGGTTAATAATAACGCATGATGGGATAGGGTGACGTACTCGTTGTAGATCCTTTCCGGCATGACATTACCATCAGCATCCTCCATCTGCACGATATTTTCCCGAAGCTCACGCTCTTGCTTGCGTTCAGCCTCCAGTTTCTCCCACAGGCTCACGGCCTCGTCGATGCGGTTAATCTCGCGGAAGAGGCTAGTGTTCGACGTGATACCCAGACACTTGAGGCCATAAAGATGGCGGGCTTCGGAGAAGTGCCTGTCGTACGCGCGACGGCCCATGTAAATGTAGTTTCCACAGATCTCGCACGGGTATTCGACACCAAGGCCGTGCAGCTTGTAGAGCCAAAATGGGATGGGCTTTCCATCCCACCCTAGTGGTACGTTAAGGGGGTTGTCGAACCTCTCATCGCCATCTTCGTCAGAATTCTCGCCATCATGGGTCTCGCGCTGCTGCTCCGATCCAGCCATAAGCGCCTCATATTCCATCTGGCGCTCATGCTCGGTCATTCCTTGACGGCGTTCTACATTAGTGCGCGTCTTTTTACGCTCTTCCTGGAGCTCATTAGTCAGGCAACGGATACGGTGCTCACGCTCCGCAACGGCACGCTCTTTCAAACCACGTGCCAGGGAAGATGGCCCATCGCCTGCAGGCGCACTGGGCTTCTCCCCGGAGGCACCAGCGGCCTTACGGGCCTCTGCGGCTCGAATGTGCTTCTTTTGGGTCAAGTGGCTCCGGTAGACATTAGGGTTCGTGAACTGTTTTTCGCAGTCCGGGCACCATAGGTCGTCTCCTGACTCTCCTCCCTTTCCGTTGTCCTCATCCGTCCAGCCTGGAATTTCCTTAGCGGCCCATTTCTTGTCGAAATCCTGCAGGAAAGCAGCAAATGTCGCATCCAAATCCTGCAGTGGGCGTGCACGCTTGATAAAGCTTTCCAGGTAGCTAGCGAGCTCGTTGACATAGCGGAAATATTTGTCGGAGAGCTTATCCTTGCGCTTGATGTTGAGGGTTGGTGGGACGAAGATGTCGAAAACATCGAGATACTGAATGTATGGCAGGCGCTTCACCGAAGGAAGGTTCAGATACTGCTCGTGCAGTCCGATCAAGTCGAGAAATTGGCCAAATGCTTCTTCGCCAGAAAACATGTTGTCCGCTTCCAAGCCGGAGGCTTCGATCTCTGCCGGTGCCCTGCGCTTGTAGGCTTTCTCCAGATTTTCGACTGGTTGATTCGGATAGCGTTTGTGAAATTCCTTAATGGGGTCAAGTTGCTTGTAAAATTCTTCATACTGGTCGCCGGTTGAAAGTGACTGCGATTCCATCTTCCGCACACCATCCGCATCTTCGTAAATGTCCATCAGTCGCTTGGATTGCTCCTGGATCCGGTTCAAAAATTTGGCGAGCTCATGGTCGCGAGACAGGCGTTCACGAATCTGCCACATATAAAATATCAGCTGGGAGTCTCCTTATGTGGTGTGCGCGCTATGGAAAACAAAAACGCGCGAGAACTCACATTACGGGGCTCTTGAGCTGCGCGGTCAGCGACAGCTAGCTCCAGATGATCAAGGTCCTCATGTAAGAAGCGCTGATCTTCGAACCGCATCTTGAGGGTGACACGGATGTTGGGTGCAGGTAGCTTGACAGTGTTCTTAGATTTGAAGATTGGAGGTGGAGAAGAGACACCGATGTTGTCACGTGATTGTTCCTCCGCTCCGATTTTGTCTCTACGCTTCTTCTTGCTTTGCGACATCAGACTCCACCCATTCGGCCCTCAGTCAAAACTTGGGTATTATCATTATGGCGGACGGGATTGACAGACGCGCAGATGGTATGAGCACTCCCCTTCCTATTCCGATCCATCACTAACAAAAGATTCGGATTCCAGAGCGGATGGAGTTCAACACCTCCAAGGAGGTGACGGTGGCGCCGACCTTCGAGGACATGCACCTGAAGGAGAGCTTACTTCGCGGAATCTACGCCTACGGTTATGAGTCCCCATCGGCGGTTCAGTCGCGTGCCATTGTTCAGATCTGCAAAGGTCGCGATACTATTGCTCAAGCCCAGTCCGGTACTGGTAAAACTGCGACTTTCGCGATCAGTACCCTCCAAGTCATTGACACGGTAGTCCGTGAGACTCAAGGTTAGCAGGGATTCTTGGGTTTTCCCCTCTATTTCCTTTCCATCATCCTGACTTTTTAACAGCCTTGGTCCTTTCCCCCACTCGCGAACTCGCAACCCAGATCCAGTCAGTGATTATGGCACTCGGCGACTACATGAATGTACAATGTCACGCATGCATTGGCGGTACCAATATCGGAGAAGATATTCGCAAGCTCGACTATGGGCAGCATGTCGTTTCAGGAACACCCGGCCGTGTCGCAGATATGATCCGCCGACGCAACCTCCGCACTCGTCACATCAAGATGCTCATTCTCGATGAAGCAGATGAGCTTCTGAACCGCGGTTTCCGTGAGCAGATCTATGACGTTTATCGCTATCTTCCTCCCGCGACACAGGTTGTTGTGGTTTCCGCGACTCTCCCTTACGATGTGTTGGACATGACGACCAAATTTATGACAGATCCTGTGCGGGTCCTAGTCAAGCGTGACGAGTTGACGCTTGAGGGAATCAAGCAGTACTTCATCGCTGTGGAGAAGGAGGAATGGAAATTCGACACGCTTTGCGATCTTTACGACACCCTTACCATCACCCAAGCTGTTATTTTCTGCAACACCCGTCGCAAGGTCGACTGGCTTACCGACAAGATGCGTGAGGCCAACTTCACCGTCTCCAGCATGCACGGAGAGATGCCTCAGAAGGAGCGGGACAGTATCATGCAGGACTTCCGACAGGGCAATTCGCGCGTTTTGATTTCCACCGACGTCTGGGCCCGTGGTATTGATGTCCAACAAGTTTCACTCGTCATTAACTATGATCTCCCTACGAATCGTGAAAACTACATCCACCGAATTGGTCGAAGTGGTCGTTTTGGCCGCAAGGGTGTCGCCATCAACTTTGTGACTAGTGATGACGTCCGTATCCTACGCGACATTGAACTTTACTATTCTACGCAGATCGAAGAAATGCCCATGAATGGTAAGATGATGATTCCCTTGTGCACTTCTCTTATTTTACTAATCACCATTTTTCACAGTTGCGGATCTCCTTACCTAGTCGAACCACCCTTTACGATCATTTACCTATATGTTTGAACGACCAAGGTTGGCTTCCAAGGTGGCTCCTAGTTTGACTTTCGGATCTACAATATTTGCTTGCGTTGATAGTCTCATCGAAAGTCTCATTTCCGGTCCCGAGAAAGTAATATAACTTTGCAAGGCGGTCTTTGCGTGGAGGAAAGGAAAACAAGATGTTAATGTAAGGCCTGTTTTCTCAATGCTCAGTATGTCAGCTATTAATGTCGATATGATCCAGACCTAAATTGCCACAAATATTTCACGATGGAAGCTGGGCGCAATATCACTTTTGAACTTCAAATTTTGGGGGCTTGTGGCGTCTCACCATTGCCTGGCCTCACACTCGGTTCGGATGTTAAGGAGTTAGTCACGAATTACGGAGTTATTTGAATGAAAAGTTCCATCTGCTCGCTCCAATGCACCTCGTAATAGTAGATATTTTAAACACTTACGGCAGAGCTAAGTTCATCATTCAAGTTTGATTTGCCATACATACTACACACAATGAGCACAATGAGACAGTAACAGGAACATCACCTCGAATCGAGGAAAGGAGAAGAGAAGGGGAAACGCCTTGGCAACTTGAAATAGCACGCGCAAAGACACTGGACAACAAGACAAGTCAAATTTGAGAATCATATCGCCTCGCCGTCGACCGAAAATAAAGAACAGCTTCAGGGCTGAAAATTGCAATTGCGCCTTTCCTGTATTGACTGGGATGCTTTAAGGAATATCAACTTCAGATGAAAGCCTCGAGACGTGGAGTTAGGGAATTTGGATAGGGTGGTTCAAGGGGTATGGAGAAGAAAGCAGAATAGGGCTATATGTATGCTGAGAGGGATCAAGTTTGCAAGCAAAAACATAGTGAATGGGGACAGCGAGCGAAGAATAGATTCAAGTACAGTCAGTCAAGTTTATTGGTCTTTCAATTCAAAGTTCCTGATGGTGTTTCCCTTATCCCATTGTACACAAGTTGGTATGACGAAGAAGCACGACGCATCTTCGCTCCGACGGTCCACGAGACCAGCTGCAAGATTAGAACGCAGACGTGGTCCTCAAGGCGCTTGTGAGGGGAAATCCATTTGACGATACCCCACGACTGCTGCGACTAGGCCCCACTGCAAAGCGAGAGCGGTCGCGCTCTCGTGACCAGCTAAGAGATTGTTAACCATCGCGGCTTTTGCAATTAGCCAGGAACGGATTGATGCTTACATGCGCACTACCCGGTCATCACCAGCCGAGGCAAACATGGTTGGATCAGCTGGATTCCAGGAGACGAAGTTCACACAGCCTTTGGTATGACCTTCTAGCGCCTCTACCAATTCGGTATTCTCTTTGTGCCAGATGTAAACCTTGGAATCTGATAGGGGGAATTAGCGTTCAAGTCTAATGACCTGGAGGGATAATTCGAAGCAACACACCATCGCTACCGCTCACAACGAAGTTTTCGTTGGCGCCGCCAAACGTGCTTCGTAGGACATATTCGCCTTGCTTGTGACCCTTGAATGTTCGTACCACTGCTGTTGTATCCAAGTCGATCAACTGAATCTCGCCATGGGTAGCTCCCTTGAGGCTAACAAGCATATACTTGGAGTCCCGGCTGATAGTCACCGATGTTGGGTTACTATCAAGAGACAGGCAATAATCCTCCTCGTAGGTACGGAAATCGAACACATGGATCTTTGCTTCAGTGTCGGCAGCGACAAGTCTGCGGCCATCAGGACTAATTGCACAGTCTTGTACGCGAAAGTTGCTCTTCCACATGTGGATAGATGACCCTCGAATACTCCAGTGGCAAATTTGCGATTGATGGTCAAAAGATGATGTCACGAAAGACTCGCCGTCAGGCGCCCAGCCTGCAGCTGTGACCGGCTGGGAATGATGGTCAATTGTAAGAAGACGGTGGCCGGTCTGATCTCCTGTTAGAAAGGCCGTTGTAAATCGTGCATAGAGAACCTCACCTCTACATTCCATAGTCGGGCCTTCTTGTCTTGCGAGCAGGTGATCAATTTCGTGTCATCGGGACTCCAGCTAACGAATGCCACGCCACTATCATGATCCATTAACCTATGGATTACTGTAAAATCTGTCGTATCATAAATGAGCACCATGCGGTCGCTGCCCGCAGTCACGAGCTTTGAGCCGTCGTGCGAAAACCCGCAGTACCAGACCTCGTCGGTATGTTCTGTCAGATTGACACTGACTTCCAAGGGGAAATCGCTTCGGTCGCAATGATGATCTGAATATAATGACGGAGATTCTGCTGTGTTGTGATATTTGCACTTTTCGATCTGACCTTGTTTGACGTAGTCCAACAAGATCGCCAGTCTGTGCTGGGGAATCATGACCGAGGGCGAGATGGATCCTTTGAAAATTAGTTCTAATGATCTGGTATGGAGATATATATTGCCTACTTGACAAATCGGCAAGAAGCCGTTCTCGAGAAGAGCTGATAGGCCCCTCCCATCCCGCTTGCTCGTGTAATTGATCAGCCGGGCACATGAGAAGGCTGCAGAAAAGAGCCAATCAGTAAGATATAACTTTCAATCGTCACTCCAGTGAGCATACCTGGTCAGAGCATGTAGTCGATCGACATCGTAGCCAAGAGGTGTCAGTTCTTGCCGAAGGACGAGCAGTGCAGCAGCCAAGTCGCGGTTCTCAAGGAGCTCCAAGAACTTTTGTTGCCGGAGGTAGAACAGCATCTCACTCCTATCCGCTCCCTCCGCCAGGACGAGAGTTCTCTCTGGAGTAGCCTTTTGCCCATTTTGCGAGTTCCCCTCCTTGAAAGACCTCACCAGTATTTGCTCTGCATCCGCCCAGCGTCCATCTAGAACTGCATTCCGAAAAGTCGCGACCCCGGCGGTTTCAAGCTGATAACCGCTCTCCGCACTTAACGCGGACGCGGATCCACTGTAGCCTAGCTCATACAGACTCTGGATCAAGATCCGAGTGACCTCCTCACGGTTGTGCCCGTAATACGTCGAGCTCGCAAGTGCCTTCCCAGAGCCATTTGCATGAGCGTCGCCGTTGGCGGAAGCAGACTGGCCATTTAGACCGGCTTTCCTCTGGGTGGAGCCGTTGGGCACCGGGGAGAAGCCATTCGCACTTGAAAGAGAATCGGGTCGCATGGTGTGCAGGCGCCTGCGCTTGCGGGAGGGAGAACGGCTGTTGGCTCGACCGGGTGAGTAGGAGTCGTGAGCACCTTCACGAACCTCTTCAAGCTGTGGCAACCGCGGGGATGCAGTCGGAACAGCACGATTCCGGGAATTTCCAGGTTGGAGTCGTCGCCGAAGGGAATTTATATTGGGAAGAGGAGTTATGTGGGCTGGAAGTTGGGGATGTGCGGAGACGAGCTGGGCGGAGGTTGAGGATCTGGCGCGAGAGGGAGGAACTTGCTCTGGAGATGGCTCAAGGGGGGAAGGAGGATCAGGGTCGTCGGTGGCGGAGGGATTAGAGGAGGGAAGGTTGTCTGCCAGGTCGGTAATAGAGATCTGCCCGGTCCCTGGCTCTTCGGGAAGAACCAGGTGAGCAGATCAGTCGACGAGAAAGATCAAGAGCTCAAGCTATGCACGTCAGCCAGGAGGTTTGAGTGTTTGAGTGCGGATGAATGTGAAGTGGGAGAACGCACTAGAGCCAAACAAGAGGTCTTCGAGGCCTTGACAGGTAGATCAGGTAGCGAGTGTCCCCCTGCTGGGTTTGGGGTTTGAAGTTGGGCGGAGATGGCTTATCGGAAATCGCATTCGAGTGGAATTCGGGTCACAAGAAGATGGGCCCCCGCGTCACAGGGCACGCGATATTTCACCGTCTCACGCCTGTCAGGGAATCTCGAGATGAGAAGGTAAAGAAGAAGTGGACTTCTAGGGTCGGCTGACACTGGTTGTCGCAGTTTCGTTTGTTTCTTACTTTGTGTATGCAGGAACCAGCATTGTTACAAGTTTGCCCTATTTGCCATACTAGGAAGCATACTTAAGACGCGATTCACACGGGGCATGACTGTAGGACAATATTCAGTCAGAATACTATAGAGAATCACCGCGAAGGGCTCCTTATTGTCCAAGCAAATCTACAGAAAGCATGATATTGCATCCAATAGGACTCCATGATCTGACCCGAAGGACCTACCTCTTCAACCTAATGACCCATCCTCGTTCGGAACTCCAGGGCTCCCTTGCCGCTCAAGCCAGGGCTTGTCCATATTGCTATCTTCCCCTCACTACGCAGTAGTAACTACATTTACTAATCTCCTGCTGAACTGATCCGATAGGAGCGGGCGGGTTAGACTCTACCATGACCAGCATATCAAAAAGAGTGGTTAATGATCACCACTGACGCCATCATGATGCTGGCCTGTCCTACAGCGGCGAGTGGCAGGTATAAGAACCCTCGTGAGGACCTTGGAAACCGTAAACCTCATCTATTACTCGGTATATATTCAAACCACTTCTTTATCCTCTATCTTCAAATTACCAACTTTGGAATCGAATCACCATGGGCTGTGGCTGTGGATCCAACTGTAACTGCACCGGCTCCCATGCCTGCACTTGCACCAGTGGCAGCTGTAATTGCCAGGGATGCGGAGTATGTGATCTAAACCTTTTTCACCTGCAAAGTGGATGCTGCAGACAGACATGTGCTGACTATTGGCTATAGAAATAAGTCTTGTCGGCCCTAAGCGACCGCTACAAGCCCAGAAGCTGGCACATATTATGGGGAAATGACGGCGAAATGGAGTTTAGTTAACTACTACCAGTATGTAATTGATTCTCTACGCACGATGCCGTCTGAGACAGGCCAGACTGTACCTCTTGTGCCAGAATATTACCATTCACTCTTTTTTTCCTATCCTTGTGTGATCCCCCTCATTCTTAACGTCATCCATGACGGCATATCTCGGAAGGGGTATTAAACCTATATCCGCCCCTTTAGGCCTAGGTAGCCAGCTCAAATTACAATTCTTTATGAAGATAATCGAGAATCCATAGCTTCCTCTGGTATTCCCATGACTCAGACAAATTCAATAACTAGCTTCCAAGTGGGACGAAAACAGTCTGTGACAGCTACCGCTTAGGCCCAATCCCCGTTAAGGTATATTTCGCCTTCAAACCACCCGAATTACCGCAGTGCGGAAGTATCGGGCTATATATCCTGATACGGACAGCACCTATGTTAACTAGGCTGTACTTTAGAGCTCTGACATCTGATGAATCAAGGTCACAAATGTGTATCGCCAGCAGATACCACTATTAGACACAGTAGACACAGTAAGTTACATTACGAGTTAGTAACATCAGTTGCAAGTTTGGACCACCCTGTTTCTCGAGGTATTCTAGTAATACCAATGTTTCTTCATCATTCAATTTTCCAGTGCGCGCTTAAACCGAGATATGAGCTACTATCATAGAGCAATTTCCATAGGCTTGCTACAGAACCTTGATGTAACCTGATTGCACGAATTCATGGAGGCTTCGGTATGCCTGATTGCATGATTCACATGTTTGACTATACAGTGGTCACAGGACAGGATGAGAGCACCAACAAGAAGTCGCTATTCCGAGGTTCATACCAATATGTCTTTTTGATTGAAATATGAACTGGGCTTGAGCTCTCATCCAACTGCAATCTTGGAATTGGATGGCTCTTGCTCTTTGGTTTTCGCTACTGCCAGCCCTGCTTACTAGTATGCTCCAATCTTCACCAAGAACCCAAACTGTGAAGACGGATCCACAGTAAGACCAACATCAAAAGCTGAGCAGCCATGTTGATGCGGTGAACAATTGACTGGGGCGCCAATCTCCGGAAGGCAGACGATCGAGGATTGGGTGAAGAGTAAACGCGGGTCTCCACGATTAGACTGGGACCACCATACCATAGCCAGCCACCATAAAGGTAGATCGGTCTTGCAATGATCGACTCTCCAACTCATCTATTAATTGACAGCGAATGTTGGGCCTGGGAGAGACCTCTTTTGAAGAGCCGGCCATCTCTGCTGGAACTTATTCGCCGCCCAGAACGAGAGCTCCGTCCAAGGACACCAACGACGCCCACGAGACAGCCTCCACCGCCCGAGCTGCCACTGCCACCGCTTCCAGACTCGCCCTCGCCCGCTTCAACCAGCTCGTCCATCTCCTCCCCCCTCCCTCCACTGCACGCACCTCCACCATGTCTTCGCAAGCTGAGGATGGAAAGATCTTCTCGGTCTCCGGACCCGTTGTTGTGGCCGAGCAGATGATCGGTTGTGCCATGTACGAGCTGGTAAGCTATCCCCCCCTCCTCGAGCTCCACGGAGCGGGACTGATACCGCATCGTCTCTAGTGTCGTGTCGGCCACGATATGCTCGTCGGTGAGGTCATTCGAATTGATGGCGATAAAGCTACTATTCAGGTTTACGAAGAAACTGGTATGGCATCCATTCCCGATAAGCCACCTAATACCCGGGAATCCGTCTTCCCAGATGGGAGTCCAAGTTGCTGATTTATTGCTTGCGAATATAGCTGGTCTTACTGTCGGCGACCCCGTCAAGCCTACCGGCAAGCCTCTCTCCGTCGAACTGGGGCCCGGGTTGATGGAGACCATTTACGATGGTATTCAACGACCCCTCAAGGCCATCTCCGATTCGTCTAAGAGTATCTACATTCCACGTGGAATTTCCGTGAATGCGCTCGACCGTGAGAAGAAGTGGGAGTACAAGCCTGCCAACTTCAAGGTTGGCGACCACATTACCGGGGGTGATATCTGGGGTATCGTTTTCGAGAACAGCTTATTGAATGAGCACAAAATCTTGCTGCCCCCGCGTGCACGGGGTACCATCACCCGCATAGCTCCTGCGGGCAGCTACACCGTCGACGAGAAGCTCTTGGAGATTGAATTCGATGGCAAGAAGACCGAGCATGGTATGATGCAGACTTGGCCCGTTCGTGTGCCTCGTCCCGTTACCGACAAGCTTCCTGCCGATGCGCCCTTCATTGTCGGCCAACGTGTGCTGGATGCCCTCTTCCCTAGTGTGCAGGGTGGTACAGTGTGCATCCCTGGCGCCTTCGGCTGTGGCAAGACTGTCATTTCTCAAAGTGTCTCCAAATTCTCCAACAGTGATATCATTGTTTATGTTGGTTGTGGTGAGCGTGGTAATGAGATGGCCGAAGTATTGATGGATTTCCCTGAGGTGAGTTTCGCAACATCAGGAGTAGCTGGATACATACTGAACTTTGATTTGGTAAAAAGCTTTCTATCAACATCGACGGCCGCAAGGAACCTATTATGAAGCGTACTTGCTTAATTGCGAACACCTCCAACATGCCCGTCGCTGCTCGTGAGGCCTCTATCTACACCGGTATCACGATCGCCGAATATTTCCGTGACCAGGGCAAGAACGTTGCTATGATGGCCGACTCAAGTTCTCGATGGGCCGAGGCTTTGCGTGAGATTTCCGGTCGTCTGGGTGAGATGCCTGCTGATCAGGGTTTTCCCGCCTACTTGGGTGCCAAACTGGCGTCTTTCTACGAGCGAGCTGGTAAGACCAGTGCTCTTGGCAGCCCCGAGCGTGTAGGCAGTGTCAGCATTGTTGGCGCTGTCAGCCCGCCCGGCGGTGACTTCTCGGACCCTGTCACTACCAGTACCCTGGGTATTGTCCAGGTCTTCTGGGGTCTTGATAAGAAGCTGGCCCAGCGCAAGCACTTCCCCTCCATCAACACCTCAATCTCCTACAGCAAATACAACGCCGTCCTGGACAAGTACTATGAAAAGAATAACCCGGATTTCCCTCGCCTTCGTGATCAGATCCGTGAGCTTCTTTCCAAGTCTGAGGAGTTAGACCAGGTTGTGCAGCTGGTCGGTAAGGCCGCTCTGGGTGACTCTGACAAGATCACCTTGGATGTGGCTAGCATGATCAAGGAGGACTTCCTCCAGCAGAATGGTTACAGTGACTACGATCAGTTCTGCCCATTGTGGAAGACCGAGTATATGATGAAGGCATTCATGAGCTTCCACGACGAGGCTCAAAAGGCTATTTCCCAGGGTCAGAGCTGGAGCAAGGTTCGTGAGGCCACCAGTGACCTCCAGTCTTCCCTCCGAAGTATGAAGTTCGAGGTTCCCGACGATGAACAAGCGATTTCCAGCAAATACGAGAAGGTCCTGCAGTCCATGACTGATCGATTTGCTTCCGTCTCTGACGAGTAAATGGTGGCGGTTGGCCACTTGTGCATTTTATCTGTCTTTCCTGCGAGGCCTTTCACGTTATCTAGCACCTTACATTACCCTGTAGCTATGTTCCAACCAAATTTTTTTGGTCCTGTCCAAACGATAAACTGTTCCTTTTGATAGAATCTCAAGCCAACCCTTATTCCAGGCAGCATTATTGTATTGTGAAAAGAATGGTAGTCACCCGGAGATAACAGCTGACACCTAACTTCACTGCCTGTTGTGGCTTTTTTGGGCCCGGCCGCCCGCCACTTTGCATCACCGCCTTCAGGTCCAACAAACAGTCTTCCGCTTCCATCTCCACAAGGTACCTTACCCTCTAACTCCTTGCGCCTGTCTTTCTCTCTTTAAGCTCTTCAGGGAAATAACCGAAACCTCCATTCTTTGCAGAAGCTTCCCTCACAGTCGCCAGCCATGGCAAGCCCAACTTCTGGCTACTCGTGCGCTCCCCCTGGTCCTCAGTCCCCCTCTATGCGGCCCCGTTCTAACTCATGCGCCAGGATTAATGTGAACGATCCTACCTTGATCTCACTTGTCAACAAGCTCCAGGATGTGTTCTCAACAGTTGGGGTGAGCTTATATCCCATAATGTGTGATGTCGTTGCCATGTGTGCCTGCTAACAGTGGCTTCTACTTAGGTCCACAACCCTATCGATTTGCCCCAGATCGTTGTTGTCGGTTCACAGTCAAGCGGAAAGAGTTCAGTGCTAGAGAACATTGTTGGTCGCGATTTGTATGTGTCACTTTGCCTTTTGGGTGCTTTGCTGCCAGCGTTCACTCTGCTGCCGGCGATGGCGGGCCCCTCCTGCTCGTGTGTCGTCAGCCATTGCTAACTGTTCATGCTCTCTGAAATAGCTTGCCTCGAGGATCAGGAATTGTTACTCGACGACCCCTCATTCTGCAACTGATCAACAAGCCTGCGAGCCCCGAGACGAACGGCGACAAGAAGGTCGAAACTACCGACAGCGAGTCCAACGTGGATGAATATGGTGAATTCTTGCATATCCCCAACCAGAAGTTCTACGATTTCAACAAGATCCGAGAGGAGATTGTTCGAGAGACAGAGACCAAGGTTGGCAAGAACGCCGGCATCTCGCCTGCTCCTATTAACTTGCGCATTTACTCGCCCAATGTCCTTACCCTTACCCTCGTGGATCTTCCTGGCTTGACCAGAGTACCTGTCGGTGACCAGCCCAAAGATATCGAGAAGCAGATTACGGACATGGTCCTAAAGCACATCAGCAAGCCCAATGCTATCATTCTGGCTGTCACGTCTGCCAACCAGGATTTGGCCAACTCTGATGGTCTGAAGCTGGCTCGACAGGTTGACCCTGAAGGTCAGCGCACTATCGGTGTGCTGAGTAAGATCGATCTGATGGACGAGGGCACCGACGTGGTGGATATTCTCGCTGGACGGATTATTCCCTTGCGCCTGGGCTATGTGCCTGTGGTCAACCGTGGCCAGCGTGACATTGAGAACAAGCGTCCTATTGCCTACGCATTGGAGGCCGAGAAGGCTTTCTTTGAAAACCACAAGGCCTACCGCAACAAGGCTTCATACTGCGGTACCCCCTACCTTGCCCGCAAGCTCAACCTGGTATGTATTGTTTCCAGCTACGTGGGAAAGGCATTGCGCATACTGATACAGGATTTGGTTTAGATCCTTATGATGCACATCAAGCAAACCCTGCCCGATATCAAAGCCCGTATTTCCTCTTCTCTCCAGAAATATACTTCGGAGCTGTCCCAGCTAGGCGATTCGCTGCTGGGCAACAGCACCAGTATTATCATGAATATGATCACTGAATTCAGCAACGAATACCGTACCGTTCTGGAGGGTAAGAGCCCTGAACTTTCGAGCGTTGAGTTGTCCGGCGGTGCTCGTATCAGCTTCGTCTTCCACGAACTCTACTCAAACGGCGTCAAGGCCGTTGATCCTTTTGATCAAGTGAAGGATGTTGATATTCGCACCTTCCTATACAACTCTTCCGGTTCTTCCCCAGCCTTGTTTGTTGGTACGACCACCTTCGAGATCATCGTCAAGCAGCAAATCAAGCGGTTGGAAGATCCTAGTGTGAAGTGCATCTCACTGGTCTATGATGAGTTGACGCGCATCCTCGGCCAGTTGTTGAACAAGCAGATGTTCCGTCGATATCCCATGCTTAAGGAAAAGTTCCATGCGGTTGTGATTGCTTTCTTCAAGAAGTGCATGGACCCCACCAACAAGCTCGTCAAGGACCTTATCGCCATGGAGACCACATATATCAATACTGGTCACCCTGACTTCCTTAACGGACACCGCGTAAGTCATCCAGAAAGCTCAACAATCTTCGTCTGATCCATGCTAAACTTTCTCAGGCCATGACTATCGTGAACGAACGCCAGCAGGCCTCAAAGCCTACTCAGGTCGACCCGAAGACTGGCAAGCCTTTGCCGCCGCGCTCCCAGAGCCCCTCTTTGGATACGACGGGCGAGGCCGCTAATGGAAGCTCCTTCTTTGGCAGCTTCTGGGCCTCCAAGAACAAGAAGAAGATGGCTGCAATGGAGGCTCCACCGCCAACTCTCAAGGCTTCTGCCAGTCTTTCCGAGCGTGAAGCCACTGAAGTCGAGGTTATTAGTAAGTTGGCAGCATTATGAACGCATTTTGCAGGATTTTAACCTTGCTACAGAGCTTCTCATCACCTCCTACTTCAATATTGTTAAACGCACCATGATCGATATGGTTCCCAAGGCCATCATGTATACCTTGGTGCAGTACGTTATAATTCTGCAAAATTCAGTCGGCGACTCGCTAACCCCGCTCTCAGGTTCACCAAGGATTCCATGCAAGCCGAGCTGATTGAGAACATGTACCGCCAAGCCGACCTCGATGACCTGCTCAAGGAGAGTGACTACACCATCCGGCGACGGAAGGAGTGCCAGCAGATGGTTGAGAGCCTGTCTCGTGCCAGCGAGATTGTCAGCCAGGTCCAGTAGAGGAGGAGGATACGGATTCACCGGAAGGAAACGACTAGTCCTCGACTGTATGATTGAACTTAAACGTTTGTTAGCGGCGTTGGACCGCGCGTTCTTTTTCATTTGTGATTTGCAACGAACAAATTCTTTGACTATACATCGTACTCCAGTGCCGGCCCTGGCCTTTTGGCCCTTTTCTTAGATGGTCCTCGTCTTCGTCTAGCGGGTTTGGGGGAGATGATATTCTGTGCACATCAGCCTGGGAGGAGTTGTTGAGGCTCTGGACTTATGGATTTCCTTTGCGTCTTGCTGCCAATTTGAGAGCCCTATACCGTTTTGTCTTTAGTCTGTTTTGCGAGGTCTTTTCCCCCCCTTGTTGGTTCTTTCCTAGATGATGACTGCGTCGCCCTATGAATTTCAACTGTGCCCAATGACCTTGCCATGAATCTGACTTGTTTTTTGCTGCTTAACCAAAGATCGCTTGTAGACTGTAAGCTACATATGAATGTATATTAGCTCTCCCCAGTTTGTAGACAAACAGCCCTTTGGGGTTTCCCCGCGTCTGGTGGATCCATTCACGGTTCGGAGACTTTCCGAGGTGCATTAGCATGCTTTTCGAGCTTCTCCACATAAAAAGCCCCAGGCCCCCCATTCCCCTACTGGCATATCCAAGTGCCATATTTCCCAAATACTGTGCTCGAAACCAAATGGAGGTCCCCAGCATTGATCGATTTGATCCCGCTGTCGCCGAATCCTTGGGTTATCTAAATAGGACCCCATGTTTCACCTCTCGAAGCAGTCCTTTCTCCTACTTTCTCTATGTCCCTCCTAATTATCACGATCTCGAACGTCTCAACCTGATGGTCTTGATCCATCAGAGCTCTCGAAATGCCTCCGAGATCCGCGATGAAGGCTTCACCTTCTTCGCAAGAAAACACTCATATATCATCCTTGCCCCGCTGTTTCCGATTGAACCCGACGATCCACAAGACAGGAATGGTTACAAGCAGCTTGTATCGGGAGATACGAGATATGACAAGATTGTTCTCGCCATGGTAGAAGAAGTCAAAGCCCGCTACAACCGTGTCGACATCGACCGGTTCCTTCTCTGGGGGTTTAGTGGTGGCGGGCAATACGTTCATCGCTTTGCATACCTGTACCCGGAGCGCTTGAAGGCAATAGCAATCGGTGCTCCCGGATCGCAGACTTTGCCAGATACCAGCAAGCCGTACCCAAACGGTGTGAGTGACCTGGAAAGTGTATTTGGTTTGGCGATCCAGTGGGAGAGGCTATGTCCTATTCCGGCTATGTTTATTGTGGGTGACTGCGACACTGATACTTTCTATGCAACTGCACGTGGTCGACCACTCAGTCCTTCAGTTGAGAACGGGCGTTATGGGGGAGTAGTTCGATTAGAAGAGAATTGGCGCCACAATGGGGCAAAGTGTCATCTTCAAGTTGTACCTGGAGCGACTCACGAAGAGGATAAGATGGTACCGTACGTGGTGGAGTTTTTTGAAAAATGCCTTCAAGGTTCTATTTAAATGTCTATGGCAGTATATATATGAGCAAATGAATTCAATGTATTCTGTTCAACCCACAGATCGAAGAGTACCTTGGTAACTATCATAACGGACCTGAAACAGTCTGTAGGGCCCGATATGAAATCCATAGAAAAGAAGTGCGTCCTAACCCACCCAAACCACTGCAGCCTTCAAAATCCCAGACCTACCGTAGTCAGACCCGTCACTGGCTCCGTGAACCAGAACAGCTGGATGAGTGACCATAAGGACAGTTGCCCCATCCAATGCAGTCGCATCGTCACCCAATGCCACATTATGCATCCTGTGTGGCTGAAGAATATCCACACCGTTGTTGAACGTTCGGGGGAGGTCCTTCATACCCCTGAACTCGAGGTAGCTCTTTCGTTGCCATAACTTGTAGGATAATTCGGCGGCATTGATGAAGATTTCACGCAAGGAGGCTTCTGTCTCTGGTTGCAAAGATCGATAACAAATCAAGTGATGGGCAGTGCTCCTTACGAAGACGTTCATCGTTTCTTGAGCAGCTTCTTTACGAGCCTCTGCAGTTCTGATCTTAGTGTCATTCAATCGTTGCATTTCGCTTTCGTCGCCTCGGGGCTTGGGATCGAGAAGTCTAAGCCACTGCGACCTCCATGCATGGCCACCCTCCATATCTCCTGATAACGTGAAAGAAAACCTCAGCCACTGTATTATGGGACGCTATGACGAGTATTGCTCACCTGCAATCAACTCTTCCAAAACATTCACCATAGATGTAGATAGCTCCTTTCTCAAAGCTGTAGAAGCTTCGTTCACGTCCTGGTCCTCTCCGCCACCCAATGGGTTCATCCTCCATGGCAGGAAAAAAAGTGGATTGGTGAGGATTTTTTTCGCAAATGATGTGCATAAGCATAGCTTCCAGAAGAAGCTGTGGCAGGACTTTTGCGTTAGTCGAAAAGGCCGTCTCATCGTAGCGTGTCCATGTTTTCCATTCCGCAGGCCAGTTGTCCACTTGAAGGCGCTCATGGAAAAGCTCCTCATCAGCGTGGTTCTTACACCACATACGAGCACCTGAATAGATTCGGTCAAGTTCCCGGGAGATTTCCCCGTGTGACTCTGGAGCCCACTTTTGGTCATCCTGGAATTGGAATGCCATCTCCTGGACGTTGCGGAGGGATTCTTCCGCCTTGATTTTAGCTTGCCTCATCATACTAAGCTCTTGCTCAGTGACTACCATCTTTTCTTGAAGCTTTTTGTGGTGACCATTGAGTACACGAAACTTCTGCGCAAGTATTTCATGTTCAAGGCTAGCGTATCGGCTGTCAATGTTTTTCACTAGATCCGAGAGTTCAATCATCTGAGCCCGAAGCTCTTTTTGCTGTTGCATCATCGAATCCATGCTGCGGTCTTGCTGATAAATCTGTCGGTCTGTGGTTTGGAGCCGTTTTCTTATCTCGAAATGTCGCCCGCCTTGTCTCTTTGGAATATATGCTAACGTGGGTTGGTGTAAATTTGTAGAATGATTGAGTTGGTTGGGTAAGTGCAAGAGGAAGAGAAAAGAAAAGGGAAAGAGCGACCAGTGGGTTCATCTTCAGGGCAGTTTCCAGCAAACACCCTTATCGGGCTCTTTCTATGATTCAACGCTTTGGTTTGCTTCCCATTCAAGCATCAAATTTCCAGCTTCCAGATCTATCAACTTTCCCATCATCGACGGGCTTATTGAATCTCTTTCCTCACCTCAGATCAACCCTGGATATCTTCCTCTCCATCAGTGCAGGCTAGTTTTCTAACTGAATACAATCAGTCTACCCTCACGATGAGCTCCATACGGGGTCACAAGATCATTGTGGGCGTGGACTATGGTACTACGTTCACCGGTAGGGATAGTCTCCAGCTTCAAGTCAACCGCAGCACAGCATTAGCTCACAATATGGTAGGGGTAAGCTTTGTGAACTCATCACAAGGCGCGGAAAATATCCATGTGATTCGTACCTGGCCTGGCCCTGCGCGAGTACAAGACGAAACGTGGAAGACTCCCTCCCGGATTGCCTACAAACGTGAAAATCTTTCACTTGGTGAGCAGGATGTGGCATGGGGCTATCAGGTGACTCCTAGAATGAAGTCCTACACATGGACAAAACTCCTTCTGGACAACCAGAAAAAGCATATCCTTAGCATCGAGGATCTTGATATCATCCAGGGACATGGCTTACTAGCAGTTCCATCGTTCAAGCGCCAACCTCGTGAAGTATGTGCAGATTACCTAGCGGAAATCTACACATACATTATTTCGTATCTCGAGAGGCGTCTGACACATGAAATCCTTGGTGAGACTTCCTTGGTATTTTATTTCACGATTCCGGCAATCTGGTCAGACAAGGCAAAGCAAGATACCTGGGATGCTGCGAGAGTCGCTGGATTTGGATCTCGACCCAAGGACGACATCAACATGATCACGGAACCCGAGGCCGCCGCTTTGGCTACGTTTAGTTCATTCTCAAATAATCTAGCTCATGTTATGAAGGCCGGGGAAAGTGTCCTTATCTGTGACTGCGGTGGCGGTACAGTAGACATTGTCACCTATCTGATTACCCAAGTCCAACCAGTCTTTAAGTTTGAAGAGGTTTTGATTGGAACTGGAGGCAAATGTGGCTCCAGCTACATTGATCGAAACTTCCATCGGTGGATGTCTGAAACATTCGGTTCGGCATTTGATACTCTGCGATTCGAAAAGAAGGGCCCCGGAAGTGTTTTCATGAAATCATTCGAGGCTGAAAAGAGGGACTTCGGGGCCTCTCAGACACTAAACAAGACCTTTGAGATTGATCTCGTTATGCAAGGCGTGTCCAGCTCGACCAACTATAATGCTGAAGACGGGCTTGTCGTATTCACTAGGTCTATATTCCCGAGAGGTTGAGTTCAAGAAGTCTCCTTATGCTGATGATATAATAGCACAGAAATGGAGTCTTTCTTTCGGCCTGTGGGAGATCAAATTGAAGCCCTTTTACAAGACCAGGAGAATAAAATGGGTCACGAGTCATCCAAAAAGTTGAAGGCAAGGAGATAAATTTGCACTGCACATAATAATTGACCGAGCTGACCTTTCGTTAGACGGTCGTACTTGTGGGCGGCTTCGGAGATTCTCCATGGCTTTTCGGTATCCTCAACAGATGGTGCTTAAAAAGATCAATCACTCTTGTCTGCCCAGAAGACCCGTAAGTACCTATCCTGGATCATTTACCCACATTTCTCTAACGGTAGACAGTCAAGCAAGTGTAGTGAAGGGGGCGGCTCTTCAAGGCTTAAACAACATGCGTCCCCAAAAGCGTAAAGCGCGAGTTCACTACGGCTTCAGTCTGCGCATGGATTTTCGTGAAGGGATAGATCCTGAAAGCGAATCTTACATATCTCCTTGGGACGGAGCAAAGCTCTGCAGTAATCGGATAAGTTGGGTCATTGAAAAGGTATCTTACCATCCCACATGTACCACTAGATAATGGTGATTGACAAAGACTAGGGGACAGCTATAGGTCAAGGCGATGATTTGCCATACCACTGGTTGGAGCGAGTGCACAAAGGAACCGATGGCTCACTGGAGTCTTCAATTCAACTTTATACGTGCTATGCTGACTCTGCTCCTGATTGGTATGATATCTTAAGTGGGTATTCCATATTCAAATTTGATGCAACATAGTCCACTGACATGACATAGCCTACCACAACATCGGGGTGATCAACTATAAATTTGAAGTAGCAGATCTTCCAAAACTGCGAAGGAAGAGTACTGCTGACGGCGGGAGTATGTGGCTTCTGGAATTCAGAATCACCATTGATTTGCTGGCGACAAAAGGGATTCTCGAGTTCAAGGTTTTAGGCCTTGACAATAAGAAGATAGGAGAAGCCAGTATTGAGTACATCTGATTTTCGCTTGGCTGGGCTTTGACTTTCACTAAATTGTCTTTCCTGATTTTCCTATTTACGCTGCACTGAACTGCGTTATGAGACTGAAATTTCCATTTGGTTGAATTTTGCTCTATTCCTTGAATTTAAAACTCACCTGGGCATCTTAGTAGAGCGTTATGACTACTATTAGCTCCAACAGAGTCAGGGCCACTTTCTTCCAGTGCTAGTATAGATTTGAGCTACACACAATGACGGTACACTTGTTAACAGTATAAATGACTTCAAACCTTATCATAATATCAGTAGTACACCCAGTGATCTGACGCGGTTTAGGTCTCCCATAGGAGATAGGACAGGTTGATTTCTTGGGGGGGGCTTTTTGACCCGGGTGTCAGGTATATCACTTTCTTCTGGCCTTTGGGGATGGTATTTCGAATGTCGAGATCGCATCTGGCCGAGTTTTTTATGAAATAGAAACGCACCATATCATAGACGCATCTATCTATTGGCTCCCTGCTAGACAGAAGGGCATCAACTTGAAAAGGTACCCAAATAGCTTGGGAGACAGGTATTGAGACTATGTTTAAATCGACAAGCGTTGATAATGTGCTCGTACGTTAGGGTTTGCCGCGCCCAGGGCCTCCTAGTCCTGATGGTCACCTCATTGGCTGCGGGCCAGTCGGATCCAGCACAAAAAAGGGTCGTGAGACTAGATCAAACCAGTTCCACGCTCGACAATATCATTCAATATTCTTCAAAACCGCCTACTAACGACTACTCTCGGGGTATATGCCGTCATATTCAGAAATAAGTCAAACCTTCAAGCCTTTGTACGAGACCGTCTACGAAATGACCATCGTCCACTGGCTTGCCAAGCACCCGAAGGACTTGCTGGCTGCTGGCCACCGCCATCATAGTTATCTCCCAGGTACTTTTACTCAGTCGAGAAAAGGATACTTGGGACCCATCTTCGTCCGCTGTGATCCCTGGGGGCTTTGGCCGGGTGTCAGCATCACTCAACTTCACCCCGCCCTTCCACACTCAGGGTCGCTTTATCCGGGATGCCAACGACGTTCCTGTGAAACTCGCCAGTATCAACTGGTATGGCGCCAGCGACATATATTTTGTGCCCGGTGGACTCGATGTGCGGCACCGAGATGACATCGCACAGCTGATCCTCGACCTAGGGTTCAACAGCGTCCGCCTGCCCTACGCAGACGAGATCGTTCTGCGGAACCCGCAAGTCAATACAAGCCTGATCGCAGCAAACCAAGACCTCTTCCAAGAGTCTACGCCGACTGCACTGGATGTTTACCACGCTGTTATCGACAGCCTAACCGCAGCAGGTCTGCTAGTCATCCCGAACAACCACATCACAACTGCGACATGGTGTTGCGGGGCCAACCCATGCGATCTTAGCTGGACGAACAGCTACTGGGGAGGGCAGTTATTCTGCCCTGTGCCACTGACGGAGGAGGGATGGATACGGAACTGGGAGACGGTGATGCGACCGCTAGTGCAGAACCCGTTTGTGATAGGAGCGGATCTGCGAAACGAAGTGCGAGGTCTCTGGGGCACGATGTACTGGAGCGACTGGGCAAAAGCAGCGGAGAGAGCATCTGAGCGGCTACTGGCCATAAACCCTGACTGGTTGATGATCGTCGAAGGCATTTCGTCAGCGAACGATGTTTCTGGAGCAAAGAAAAGGCCTATCCAACTCAGTATCCCGGGGCGAGTGGTATACTCAGCTCATGTATATCCCTGGTCTGGCTGGGGAAGCCTGGCACCATTTTCTGGGAGAAGGTATGAGGATTTTGCTTCAGAGATGTGGAAGAACTGGGGGTACCTCCTGGCAGAAGACATTGCACCCGTGTGGGTGGGAGAGATCGGCATCACGTCCTATGAACCTACCGACGGGGATCGCAATTACTGGCGGAACCTTGTACGGTTCCTGAAAGAAACAGATGCCAGTTGGGGCTATTGGGCGCTCAATGCACGTAAGGCCTCGGGAGAAATAGAATGGTATGGCTTATTAGGAGACGAATGGGACTGGGAAAGTGTACGATGGGACTACCGCTTGGAGGCCTTGAAGGCCCTCGGTTTAGAGGGTCCCAAGTCATAACCAGATAGAGGCGCCCGGGGTCACACGTCCAACAGTCTCGTGAATTTCTCATTGCACATGAATTTAATATTCTACCTTCGCATCTACCACGCCGCGCTGGAGTCGAAAGTGATTGGTGAAGATGGGCAGGTGAGCAGTGGAGCGGTCCATGCCCCAAAATGGGATTGGGGACCAATCAATGCGGCACGCACGGCTAAGCTTTTGTAAATCGCTTCCACAATATGATTTGATTGATCGAAATCAACCTCGATAGCAGAAGCGAGCTAAAATTTAAAAGCACGGCATGACATGAAGATCGCAGTCCTTATTAAGTAGAACTACACCCTTGGGGTCCATAGTGTATTTCATTGCTGCCTACGCATCCACCAACCGTTGGGCGCCATTCACCCCGTGCTTCTGCAGCCAACCCTACGACATCCTTAGCTCGCTGGTTTGCGGACTTTTATTTTGGTGAAGGCCAACAAAAACACGAGGCTACATGGGAGGTACTCGAAAATGGAGATAGTGAGGGGCTCGATGGCTCATACCGAGTCCTATTCGTAGAAATTCCGTAGCGATCACCACCCAACGGCCGAGGGCTCAAGGCCCCTGGGAGGTAGCGAAGCCGTATTAAGTTATTTGGCCTCCCAAGGGTTCGCTCCTAGCTGGCTAACTAACCTAGATTTGTTCAGCTGTGATCTTATATGGGGAGTTCACTTGCCGCTGTATAAATTATTCGCAAACAACATTATGGAATGGGTGACCCGCTGTCTGCCAGGGTTTAGTATCATCGGCTTGGGCCTACTCCTCGCTTCGGCATTTTCAGACCTGCTAAGATGGCAGATTTGGGCTGGTGCTGTCCCTCTATGGTTGAACCAGCCTTTCCGTGGCGGATGGTGGAGTGGATTAAACCTCGCGCAAAGCATTTTCGTTGTATACGCGATTCTCATCCATCTCGAGATGTTCGGATTCACCTGCCGGCTCGGATGGGCGATATTTCGTGTTACCGGTAAAGTAAAGGAGGCTCTTTTGAGGCGCCCAAAGCCGTCTGCTCCCATTTCCCCAAGTTCATGCGTTTCGGACGAGGGTTACGCAAGCCAGCAGTTGTCGCCCATGTCGTTACCGTCACCGAGCCCATTCAACGAAAATATCAACCTCATGACGCTCGATGAAACAAGCGAACCTGACGAGGAAGAGGTTATACATGCCATCATCCTTCCCAATTATTGTGAGGACTTGCACACACTCGAGACAACACTTAAGGTGCTGGAATGTCATCCGCGCGCCCAGTCGCAATACGAGGTATGGTGGATTTGCCCCGGGCATGATGTGCGGGACTGACTTCAAACAGGTTTATCTCGCAATGGAGCAGAAGGAGGCCGCTTCTCTTGACAAGGCTGCCCAGTTGGTAACTATGTTTGAGACGTCGTTCCGACACATTCGCCCTACCTTTCACCCTGCCGGCACTGAAGGGGAGATCGCTGGGAAAAGCTCGAACGTCGCATTCACCGCACAACGTGTGGTAGATATCCACCAGGCCGAGCTTAGAACCGAAAACTGCAAGGTGGTGATCACCGTCATGGATGGTGAGTCAGACAAAGCAGCCTTGTCCCCGTGCACAAAGCAGGGCAAGATCCTCCTAACGTATCTGTAGCCGACACCCATCTCTCGCGCGACTACTTCACGGAAATCCGTCGCTTGCACTATGAGCACCGTGACGACTCAGACCGCGCCGTCTACTGCTGCCCTATCATCTTCGACCGTAACTCACACGAAACGAATGTTATCGTTCGCAGCGCCGATCTGCTCTGGTCCTTCGCTGGCATGTCCACTATGTTCCCAGGAACTATGATATCAATCCCAACCTCCGTATACTCCCTCCCTCTATCTCTCGCCCAGAGGGTCGGCGGATGGGATAGTGGCCCTTCCGCCATTGGCGAAGACATGCATATGATGTTGAAGTGCTACTTCGAAACAGCCGGAAACGTGGTGTCGCGCGTGGTTTATGTCCCTGCCAGCCAATGCAACATCTCTAGTGATAGCGGTAGCGGCTGGCGCCACGCGTTAGACACCTGCATCGCGCGATATGGACAGGCTCTGCGACACATGTGGGGATCTTTGGATTCGGGCTTTGCTGTTCGACGCACTCTGGGTTACTTGAACCACAGAAACCGCAAGGCATTCTTCCATCCGCGTCATTTCGTTTTGCTGAACCTGCTCTGGGAAGCCCATTTCCTGCCGTGTCATTTGGTCATTATTTTGCTCTTTTCCGTCCTCTATACAGCACTCGTGCCTGCAGGGCAGATTCACCCAACGCTGAAATGGGCCTTCGCCATCAATGACGTTTTCCGCACTTCATCGTTCATCGGCATGAATATCTGCCTAGCTCTCAATGAGCGTTTACATGCGATCTGCTTAGCCGCGCGGATGCAGGACATGCGCGAGGCAAACATTCCGGACACCGGCTGCGCCGAACGGGTCTGGTATAAACCACAATTCCTCCTCGAGAGGATCTGCTTCCCCATCGCTGGAACGCTGTATGGGGCGATTCCGGCTTTGCATGCGATCATCTTCCATTTCTGGACGGACCGGTTGGTCTATCGAGTAAGTAAGAAGCCGACCTTCGTGGTGGACGCGGCAGCTCTGGCGTGATCTAGTTGGTCATCGCGCCCACATGGTATGGGTTATGGAATTCTGAAAGTCCGTCTCCCGCGTGTTATTTTTCTTCTATTCTTTGTTTGGATATGATCACCCGATATACTGTACTGGCTCTGGATGGGGGCCCCTCAATCTGAGGGCCACATCGCGAGATCGCCAGTTTAATTAATGTAATGAGAATCGACGATAAGGACGGGCTTTGGGAGAGTTTGATTTTCAATGCGCCGATTCGCTGCGGCGGCCGCGAGTCCACTTTTTTTGCTTCTCCAACTTCTCCGTTGGGGTCACGAGGCGTAGTATCAGACTCGGGGTATAATATATTATCTTCAGACTTTCCTCCCTCATTCCTGGTACAAATCAAACATTGACATTTAACTATCTTCATGATGGCAGATACTCACCGCGTCGCGATCATTCAATGGCATATCAAGGTGTGTGGCTGACCTGCATGACGTCTAGTCAAACGTTTGCTATCGATGACGCAGATAAGATCATATTAACCACGATCTCTCCAGGCCCTTGAGATCGAGTATAACCACGCTACAGCATGCGATTATATTCGCAAAGCTGCTGCACAAGGTGCTGAGCTCGCTGTGTTGCCTGAGTACGTATACCGCCAAACCGACTCAATCTGTGCGCTGACCCAGACCCAAGATACCATCTGAGTGCTTGGGCCCCGGAAGATCCACGATGGGCTCAGCAGGCGGGCGAATCCGCCAAATACCTGGCCAACTACCAAGCGCTAGCCAAAGAGCTGAACATATGTATTGTACCAGGTACTATCATTGAGAAGGAGGCCGATCGGTTGTATAACACGGCATATTTCATCTCGAACACTGGCGATGTGCTCGGGAACTACCGCAAGAAGAATATCTGGCACCCGGAACGTCCCACCTTGACGTCTTCCGCACACGAGAGACATGTCGCCTTTGACACGCCTATCGGTCGCGTTGGTATGCTGATCTGCTGGGATTTGGCCTTCCCAGAAGCCTTCCGTGAATTGATCGCCGCCGGGGCAGAGATTGTGATTATTCCCACATTCTGTAAGTAGAACCGTGACCGGGACTATCTATATGTAGTCACTGATGGTCACTCATAGGGACACCTCACGATGCCTCTCCCGAGGTAAGGAGTTACAATCCAAATGCTGAACGACTGTTCTTGGAGTCAACCCTCACGGCACGCACCTTTGAAAACACCTGTGCGATCATATTTGCCAATGCAGCCGGGCCTTCGGAGGACTTTTTGGGTCTATCGCAGGTCACACTCCCCCTGGTGGGCCCGGTGGCCAAGATGGGATGTGAAGAAGGAATGCAGGTGGTCGACATGGACATGAGCGTGCTACAGGTTGCGGAGAGGAACTACAAGGTGCGCCAGGATCTCCAAAAAGAGGACTGGCACTATGTATATCGGCACACTACTGCGTGATGATATTAATGTAACTGTATCCGATGGGTGTTTAAACTGCTTTTCAGTCGAAAGGGCATTCTTCAAGTGGACTCGGCAAATCTGGTGGGAGTGGGCAGAACTTCCATTGAGGAATGCAATGTGAAGTCCATGATCAAGACTGTGGACTCGGATACCATCTATGCAAGTGGTGAAAAGGGTACGTGTAGGAATTAGAACACCTTGAAAGTTACCAATGTTCAAAGCACTGGATGACCGAAGATCAGGAAACGGACCCCAAAAAAACGCCACAGTCAGCTTCCCCGCCGCAAGACTGCGCTAATTGGAAATTGCTTGATGCTGATCAACTGGCTGTTTTGCAAGGCAAGAGGGTATATATGCGTGGGGCACTCATATCATGGCGCAAGAAACCAGCCAAAAGGAAGTGAAATCGCTGGGAAATGACCGAGTTGAACTTGTCCCATTCGAGGTGAGCCGGAGGTCCCGCTGTCTTCCAATGTTGACCAAGATCGGTATGAGATAACACCAGCAGCCTCATGTCCATTTGAAACCCTTCATGGAACTTATCACGAGGCACGCCGATATTCTTGCATATGTCAATTTCCCCGACGTCAAGACCGATGAAGAGTTCATGCGTGACTTCTACGATAAAAACATCGCATCTGGCGGAACAATTCTATTTGCCATTCTGGATAAACCTCCTTTCTTGAGGGAAGGAGAGACAGGCGAATCGAACTTTGCCGGCGTTGCGTCAGTACCTCGCGTCGAAGCTGGAAGCTTTGCCTCAGAGATAGGCATTATGATATCTCCGAGGTTCCATCGCACTCATGTTGCTTCCAACGCCATCGGACTTTTATTACTCGATGCACTAGATCCTCCATCTGCAGGAGGGAAGGGCCTACGCCGGGTAGAGTGGCTGTGTCATGCGGATAACACTGCATCACGGAGGACCGCTGCACGAATGGGATTCGAGTTTGAAGGAATTTTGAGATGGAAAACAGCCCTGCCCCGTAGCCGGGTCGGGGTTCCTGTTGATGCGCTTGAGAAGAGAAATGGCACCAATAACGAGTTTCTGGGGAGGCATACGGCTATCTTTTCTATCGTTTGGGAGGAGTGGGATCAGAAAAGGCCAGCAGTGATTGCCCAGATGCAGCGCAGGCAATAAGTACGCACCAAAGCCTAGGTCGCCAAATTTCGGGATTTCAAAACCTCATTCTCATGGTGAATGGATATATGGCCGGATATACTCCCGCTCTAGATGAGGTCTTGGGTCATATTTTGCACATGCTATTCTAGTTCGTGTCCAATTCCGGATTGGCGAAGACCTCGTACGCATACACCGTGTTTTCTACGGTGGGGTCGAAGGAACCATTATACCACAATCCATGGATGTGGCTATTTCAAAATTGTGCCGCCTAATTTCCAAGCGAGGTGTCGCTCAAGCGACTTGAAGCTTAAGAAGTAATTGTATGGCAAGTACACGCTAACCCTATAGTAGACTAGTCCCGTCCGGATACGTCAGAGAGTAGCCCGCCGGGACAAGCATTATCGTGGAGCAAGTCAAGAATAGAAACCACCTTGGAAATAAACACATTCTTGCATTCTTAGGGTGAAGATAAGGCAACATCCTCTTGCTTCCTCAGCCAATTCCCCCGATCCCCAAGCACAGAGCTACAACCATGGCCCCCCTCGTCCGAGTGATCGGCTCCCTCAACGCCGACATGGTCTCCGTCACCCCGCGTGTGCCCGGCCCCGGTGAAACCATCACCTCGACCTCCTTCTTCACCAGCGCAGGTGGTAAAGGCGCAAACCAGGCCGTGGCCTGTGGCCGCATGTCCCGATCACAACCTACCTCGGAGGGTTTCAATGACAAAAGCGACGTGCAGGTCGAGATGGTCGGCGCCGTGGGAGCTCTCGGCGGGCACTTCAACGCGCTGCTGAAACCCTCGCTGGAGAAATCCGGCGTGGATACGTCGCGCGTGCGCATACTCGAGGATCAATACACCGGCGTTGCAGTGATCGTGGTCGACTCGTCTGCTGGCGGTGAGAACCGCATCATGTTCAACCCCGGCGCCAATTACACGGGCATGCAGCCCACGGCGGAGGTCCTAGGCAGCGCACTCGCGGCGCCGGTACCCGACGTGATCGTGATGCAGGGAGAAATACCCACCGAGACGACAATCGGAGTTCTGCGGGAGATCAGCAAGGCCAAAAAGGCCAGCCGGGCTGCCGGGAAACGAGGCATCTCGAGCGGGCCGGACGTTATGCTGAACCCTGCGCCTGCGCCGCCGGGCGGGCTTCCAGAGGACGTGTACGAGGCGGTGGATCATTTAGTCCTCAATGAAACCGAGGCAGAGTTGATGTCGCCGCCGGAAGAGCAGCTTCTACGTGTTGTTCCGGACGCGGCGGGGCTGGACAGCAAGGAGCAGGTGGCGCGGTACTTCCACAAACTCGGGGTGAGCTATGTGCTCATCACGCTGGGAGCGAAGGGTGTCTGGTACAGTGCTACAGATGGCGGATCATCAGGGCCCAGTGATGGAGTGAAACGCTTCACGAACGAGGTGCCCGCGGCACCTGCGTCTCGCGTGCTGGATACCACGGCGGCAGGTGATACATTTGTCGGTGCTTATGCGGTTACAGTGGCTCGATGGCGCGAGCAGCGGCGCCTGGATGGCAAGGCAGGAGATGATATCACGGATGTGGAGAAACCTCAGCGCTATAAGGCATTCATGGACGACGCGATGCGCACTGCTGCAAAGGCATCCGCCCGCACGGTGGAACGACAGGGCGCTATGGATTCCATACCGTTTGAGAATGAAGTATAGACGTTGCAAAAATTATGACATGTTAATGTGGAACGAATACAAGATAGACCATTATGCCAGGTTACATTGGGCTTCTAGGCTTGACGAGATAATACTCCGATTTGTAGGATGCAAATGCACTTCACGGGGGTGTCTCGATCGAATGCATCGGGACCCATAGTTCGCGTTAGTATTAATATGGTGAAGCATGATTGCAGGGGGGGAACATTGCAATGTAAAGTTCCACGATCCTTAAGTCCAATGGTTTACAATGAAGGCCATTCGGTAGTAGAAGATCACCCTTGAGATTGCCCCTTGGAGGCAATCGAGCATGCTGCGAGGGCTCCGTGCGGCGACAGAAGACTGAATGAATGGCTCTGAGCCAAGGACGATATTAATAACCTTGGCCGGCATGCAGGTGCGGAGGGGCGGTGGCGTCCCTTCACGAGCCTGATCGTTCGATTCCTTTCAGCAGGGCTTGCGTCGAGTATGTACGGAGGCTGTCCATGCTTCACGAGGGGAAATACCCCGAGGTGAATACTCGGGGGGGCTTCTCCCAGCCTTTTGCCGCCATTCATGCATTTCTGCGACGTTGTCCACAGATCTTGGAGCGAGTCAGTCATGCCGCATGATGCCATGGATGGTTCACTGGGGAGGAGTTCCAGTGAGCCGCAGTGTGTCGAGTCTGAGTGGCCAGTAGCTAGAAGACCTCGTTCTAACCACTGCATCTGCACCTCACGTTTCAAGCCGACTCAGCCGTGATGAGTTGGCAATACGGTTTCTGATACCGACGTGAGGGGGGGGGGAACCGCGAAGCGTGTAGAAGCGTGTAGCGTGTCGACGCGACGCGGAAAAAGACCCCATTCACCTCGATCCACCATTTTAAAAGAAACACTTCATTTTGAAGACAAGTAATTGTTCGTCACTGAGCTATTACTATGGGGTCTAGAGAACAGCTTGAGGCTGCTATTCAAGAAAGAAACCCGTGTTCCATAGATCGCAGGGTTCCCGATGGAAGGGGGACCCCACCTGAGAATGGGAGGGCGGCATTTCCTGCATGAACGCGCGACACGCTCGTTCGGTATGGTTACTGCAGTACGGAGTTACAAGGACGTGATCTCCAAATACAAGTAGTTCTTCGTGTCCCTCATGCCCTCCTTACTCGACATTTATGGGGGTGTCTCTTAAAAGCCATTTATCCTATCGTGCCAATCCACCTCCCTTAAGACAGCAGCCTTCGTCCTTCCTTCGTAGTGCCTCCTCAAGTCCACCTCACGCCTCTCCTTCACAATCCACATTCCGACCGTTACCTTGCCACCCTAAAGTGTCTATAAAATCCTCCCAACTTCCATATCTTATTCCTCACACACAATCCTATCTTAAGCCGGGGCGTTTGGTGCTTGGGCGATTCGGTCTTCCCATACTGTCATAGCTCAACATCCCCACTTAGCGTGTCAAAACAAACCCAAGCCGCCCCCTTCACCATGACTGCTCTCGCCTTACCTGCACGCCAGCCGTTTGCCAGTCTGGACACTCCAACGATGCAACCTCTCATGCGATCCAGACTCAGCCGGCAAAATGTGCAAAATGGTACGTTGAGTCGTCTAAAGCCTGCGGCGTCCGAACTATCACTGACATCCCCGCAGGCATTGCTCTTTCCGCAAAGAACTCGATCTTCATGGACGAAGACTCCGAGAACATCGATCCTTCCTCAAAAAGCTTCTCCGCCAAGCGCAAGCGCGCTCTCGATGATGACGAGATCTCCAAGGGCTCCCCGAAGCCCCTGAAGACTTCTCGTATTGCCCTGACCACCCGCGATCCCAAAGCTTCTGTCCGAAGTCTGTCGACGTCAACCCCAGTGAAGACGCTTCCCTCCACACCCAAATCCGCTCCCGTGCCCAGGCCAGCTGGCCGCACCCCTCCCAGAACCAGCAAGACCCTCGGTCGCCGGTCCGCCATTGCCAAGCTCCGACCAGAGTCTGCTAAGCGCAGCGTTGCCCGTCCTTTTCTCCCTTGCAGCCGCCTTAGCACCGCCTCCAAAGCCCCAACCCAAGGCCAAGGCCTCGTGGTTCTTTGATATCTACGTCGATTCCGAACAAGAAGAAATGACCAATCTGCTCCAACACTCCACCGGCGTCCTGGATATCAGTGACGATGAGGGTAAAGGTTCCCCAGCTGACAGCCGCGGAAAGGAGAACGTGCCTCCTGCCGAGCTAGGGATTGATCTTCCCCACTCTGCCCAAGCTACCTCCCTCGCTGCGCCTGTTGTGGCTCGCAAGGCCCCGAAGATGGAAGAGGATCGTGCGCCGCTTGGCGAACTCGATGCCGCGGACTACTATCCGGAAGGCTGCAATGCCTTCTCGGTTGCCCTTGTCCATGAAGATGAGCATGAGAGTGTCCCCTTCAAGAAGGCCTCCGGTCTTACCCCTTTTTCCGCTTCTACCTTTGTCCCTCCCGCCATCACTACTTCCATTGCTTCTATGCTGGAGGCTTCTATGACTCCCAAGTCCCCTGAGGAGCCATCCTCCAAAGAATCCACCTCCGACGCCATGGAAGCTTCTGAGGAAGCCCTTGATTCCAAGTTCAACTAGGATTTCTCCTCTGGCTTCTCAATTGCATATGCATCAGTATGGCGTCTCAGTGGTTCTCAGTCGGTGCTCGGTATGTCCTCGGGTCTGTATGGCGTTATGATTACGACTTATGGTATATGACATTTAATATTTGTTGGCGTTTCGTGTTTTGGTGCGGTGTCGGCTTGCTCATCTCAATACCCTTTTCATTTGGGTCGGAAAGTCTTTGCGTCTTGTCTGTTTGATCCAATTACTTGGCTTTTCGAATTTTCAGATCGGTATCCAGAGTAGCTTAGTTTGATAGTAACAAATGATCAATCTTCTATATCAAAGTCTACCTACGCAGTATAGCCAAATAAGAAGCTGGGATGATGATCCATATCTGCTTCCTAGGTCTAGGGATGACGCGAGAGCGTTTAAGCCGTAATCTCATTTTATTAGATATCAAAATGCGACTTGTATTCGCAGAATAGGCCTAATAGTAGAGCCTGAGTGGATCAATTGTCCAGTTCAAACCATATCGTCATCATCATCTGAATCCTCATCCTCCTCGTCATCCTCATCTTCATTATCGTTATAATCACCCTCGACTTCAGACTGAGGCCCGGCCGCCGCTTCGGCCGCGTCCCTCGCAGCCATCGCCGCAGCGACCTGGTCCTCAAGCATCTCGGCCCTCTCGATCTCCTCTTCCTCGCCTTCACTTTGCTCCACATCGAGCTCCTGGTCCTTCTCCCCTTCCGTCGGCTCTCCCGCGCCTTCTCCCTCGCCCTCTCGCTGTTTCTTTCCCTCGTCCTACCATTGATTGTTTTCTCCGCTCTTTCCCCACCGTCCTGGGGCTTCTTCCACTTTGGCGCCGATTTTGCCGCAGCCCGCACATCAGTCGCCATAGCAATAACCTTCGGCGAGCACTCCTCCATGTTAACCTGAAAAAGCCTCGTAATCTCCTCTTCCGTATCCGCCCGATCCGGCAGTGCAGCAATCTTCTCGAAATCCGCATCATCCATCTCATACCCGTCAAGTAGCGCCTGGATCTTGTTCCGCATAATGACCTTGACTTTCGCCGTCGTGCCATTCCCAAACCACCCATCGCCAGACGCCTCGCATTCCTCTCGTACGTGCGGGCGCTTCTCAGGGCCACGGGTGAATTCATCGGGAGGGTAGAGAATGTTTTTCACGACAGGATCCTCAATGTCGCAGACCATCCAGATCCGGCCATCGCGGTGTAGAGGCAGTTTCCCCGTGAAAACGTAGGACGTCGCTGTCTCGAATCCTTCGCCCGTGCTGATATCCACGCGTGGGGCTTGGTATCGACGTCCTGTGCCGCCGTCGCGGGAGAGCGTTAAGTCTGATTCTTGGGGCATGAAGCGGAACATGAAGGTCTGATAGTGCCGCCACTCCGGAGACGTGCGGGGATCGTGCCCTAGTTTGATGATGGCGTCGCGCCAGGGCCCAGAGCGGAAGATATAGCCCACGTAGGGGATAGCATGGCGGAGCATGTAGCGCTGGTCGTCGTTTTCGAGGAAGGGCCGTAAAGCGCGGCGGGTCCAGGCGGGGCGCTCTTCGAACAGTTGCTTGAGGTTTTCGATAGTGGTGCGGAGAACGGTAGGGAGTTTTTCGATCGGTGGGAGCGTGTCTTTTGGTTTGGATGGGACTTCTTTCACGTCGTAGGAGACTAGGTGGCTTCGGACTGGAGCGGCGGCTTGGGTGTTGAATGTGACCAGTTCGCCGTACTCGCCCATTTTTTGTTTGATACCAGGATTTTGGTGGTACCTAGATGCTATCAGCTATTTCCCCGGGCTACGATTGACAGATGTGAAGACTCACATGTAAATAAATGGGACGGTTTCATGGGTGAACGAAGGTGGTGGGATGAGGTCGGCGTTCTTGGAGGCACCTTTGCTCAGACTGATATCGAATTGCTTCATTTTTTCCACTGCCAACTTAGCATGAGAGTGTACCATTCGATGATTAGTATACTCACAGTTGTAGGGCATGATCTTTTCGCGGAACCTTTGTGTGAACTCGCTGTTAGTGCTCGAGAATACGTAGTCTGGCATGCCCCGGAACATATGAGTACGCTGAACCTTCCCTACTGGTTCAACCGTATATCGATTTGGGTTGTCCTGGAGCATGCGGAGAATATCCTGGGAGGTGCGTCTCCAGGGTCTCTCTTCTCCGGTGTCCTCGGGCGAAGGATCTCTGAACGGCTCATCTGTGCCCCGCTTGCGCTTCCGGCCTGTTCGTTTGGGCACAGTGACTTTCAGAAGCACGTTGTTAGAAGCAACGCTAGATGACACCAAAGGCCGGCACATGAAATCCTCTGGGCGCAACACCAGATTTGCTGGAGTATCTGGTTTGGGGGGGATTCATAATCTTTAACGAAGTCAGTTAATGTGAAGATGAAACGGTGTAATGAGATGAATAGTTACGAACCCTCTTCATACCCGTATCTCCTTGCAGAGTGTCAATCGCTTTGTCGAGGTTGCGAATCACTGCTGGATGCTCCACACTGACAAGGCGACGCGGTGGAATATGATGGAAAGGCGCCGTCCTGGCCTCACGGTTACCATCCATGATGGGCCGGGTTATGTGGTCCGAGTCTCAAGAGCAGGTTCAGTCTGGGCCACGTAAATATATCGCCTCCTCTGTACCCAACGGCTGTGAGCAAGGCGAATAAGGACGGCGGGGATCAAGGGTGCTCCGTTCTGCTTTTAGGGCTGTAGCACTTGATTCAGCGACCTGGAAGGCTGATCAAGCGCGTCATATGTTACATTCAATCACAGAATATGCATTGAGTGTCGAGTTTGCCGCCTAGATGTTCCGTGCCTCCATTTGACTCCGAGATGCTGCGAATCGGTATATGATGACTAAGCAACATTCCAAAGGCCCTGGGGAGCCCTGGAACCCGGAGCTTCCACCTTCACCATGGAAGAGAAACGAGCTCTTTCCAACACAGAGCCCGATTCTTATTTACAATGACAAAGTCTGATATTTCTTTCACGCGACATTGCAAGGGACTAGCTACCAACAAGCGCCAGGTACCTGTAGCCAAATTTGACAGCTGATTAAGAATTAAGATATTTGCAGTTGTTGCATTAGTTTCCCCTCATGAACTACCTACTATGTATACCTTGCCTCAAGAGCTGCTCTTATTGAACGGCTTGACAGCCTAGTCCTTCGTTTAATTTCGTGCCTTCTCCACAAACCTTCACCCCACATGCGGATAAGGTGGCGCGCTTGCCACTACAGCCCGCCACAACTCAGCGTACTCGTTGCAATAGGGAAAAAGATGTGGGTTCAAGAAACTCCAGCTGAAGACATGATAGTGGGTTGTGCAAATGGGAAGTTTGAATGAGGAATAAATAACCAAAATCGAAAACAAAAAACCAAAATCGTATCTTTCTGCTGCACGGACGCTCTATGCCCCCTAGCTCTGCAGGCTTACAAGTTTGAGGTCACGCTCTCATCGACTTTGAGAACGTATTCAAACTTAGTAGAAGCCTGTCATTCTTTATTCTGATACTAAATTTGTTTTCCCTTTAAAGTCACTCGTAGCATTCTCAAACCTTAGGACCTGTGTATTGCGAAATGCGATGATCTTCGCCAGTGAAGCTTGGACTTGAAGACAATATGCTGTCACTGGGACCGCTCATAGACGATGCTTATGTAGATATATTTACCTGCTCCGGAGCTAGAGTCATGGGGTCCGAGTCGGCCACCGTGCTCATTCCCGGGCAGGTTGAATTTGGATAACCCAAGGGAGGAGGAACAACTTAATTACTTAAGACTCACTAACGTATTGGAGTGCTAGAAAAATCAAGAACTCGAGATTTCCCCAGGCCGGGCATAACATAGCCAATGTTGGGCCTTGGGAGCTTCTGGCTCATGGGAAACGACACGTGACAATATGACATAATATTTTGTACCTTTGCCCAGGTTAGTTAACTACCTAGGTAGGTGGGAAATGCATACAAAATAACAGCGTGAGTTTGGGCGGACTGTCGATGTCACCATAATAGTTAGGTCACTGTGTAAATTTTCCCTAGAAATAGAAATGCTACAGCCCGTTCATGCTAAGAATTAAGTGCAAATAATATTTCTGACAATAGGCGATAGCAATATTATTGGACAAATCCGCTTCCCACTCCAAATCGCTATCACAGCCAGGAGAGGAACATTTCCCTTTACCATCACCTTCTCACCTCCCCCTCCACGAAACCTGCTGTCAACACCACTGATCGCCACCCACGCCCTGTTATTGTCTTATTCAAGACAACAATCTCTTGACCCCGACTTTAATGGTGGGTTACAATCGAGTGGCCCTGACGCTTTCGAAACCCCCCGCTCCTGACCTGCCACTAAGCGACACGGCGATCCCGGACGAAACCCCATCTCATACCAACACCTGCGCTGTCCAAACGATATCTTTCCACGCAGCAACACCAATTGTTTCATAGTGTGTCACAGTGGTATGTACCAGCCCTCTTAGTTCGCCTTGGACATTCCTCGTTCCTTTCTCCAATTCTCTCACTCCATCACTTGAGATGTCCGCCCCGTGCGCGTCCTGCGACATGGCCCGTTCGGGGCTTTCACCGGTGGCAGCATTGCGTCTCGGTCTTCCTAGCAAGAGCGGGACCAATCTAAATCCTTCGGTTTTCTGTTCAACTCTATGCTTCTCACTACCTGCATGCACTTGTGACATTGGTTTGCTCATCATTCTTCTATTAGGTCGATTCCGCAAGCTCGACCCCCTCGTGGCCCCATCCGAGTCGCCCTGGCTAGAGTGTAGCGATTAGCTGCGCTGGTACCGAGGAACCCAGTGGAGTGCTTGTGGCTGTCTGTACAGGCGCGAAAATGAAGGGATTTAGACAGAGAGTGGTGAGTACTTGGTATCGTGTTGTGTTCACCGCACGCCCAACTCTCCTCTGACCCCCGCCGCCACCACAAAGGCGACCATGACCATCCCTTGCTCATAGACATACTGACGATCTTCTCTTTTCTCAATTTAATAGCATGAGCAGTTGTCGCGGGCTAAGGATGGCAACAAGTCATCGAAGAAGAAGGATTCCACCTCCGCATCCCAAAGCCAGTCTTCCCTTGGCATCCATCAAACACAACAGTCCACCTCCCCGAACCAGGGCACCCCGACATCGTCAACGACTTCTTTGAACGACCCTCGGAACAAATCGCCTGACAATGCCTCACCGGCTGGTACCCCTTCAGCGGGCGGAAGTGGTGCACCAGTCCAACACTACATACCCCAAGGCGCTGGTCAGCCTGCCAGCAATGGCCCGGGAACCCCGACGCGACAGGGCCAACCGGTCGCTCCTAGTGTGATCATCAGCCCCAGCGCTCCCGTAAGTTCATACCGTAGTACCGGTCGTTCCCATCCTGACATCTGCTAATGCCGCGGTCACTATAGCACGTCCCTCCCCCTGGTGCCGCCGAAACCATGCCTGGAGACCTCGCGCCTCCCAGGAAATCTCATGTTTTCGACCGCCTTCAAACCACCCCGAAAGATATGTCGGAAGGAATTAGGACTCCAAAGCGTCAACACTCGTCGCGATTTGATATCTCCGACCAACGCCAGAGAGAGCTGGAAAAATTGGCAGGCTTCCATGAAGTGGCTCCCAACCGACGCCAGGATCTTTTCATGCAGAAGATCGACCAGTGCAACATTATTTTTGACTTCAATGATCCCACGGCTGATATGAAGTCAAAAGAGATCAAACGACTTGCTCTGCATGAGCTTCTAGATTACGTTGCCAATAACCGGTCCGTCATCACCGAGCCCATGTACCCCCGTGTCGTCGAGATGTTTGCGAAGAACCTTTTCCGTCCAATTCCCCCTCCCATGACTCCTCAAGGGGAGGCGTTTGATCCCGAAGAGGATGAACCTGTTCTGGAGGTGGCCTGGCCACATATCCAGGTCGTTTATGAGTTTTTCTTGCGTTTCATCGAGAGCCAGGACTTTAACACAAACATTGCGAAGGCTTATATTGACCATCAATTTGTGCTTCAGGTAACTTTCACCATTCAGTTTTGGTTTATAACTGTAGCAGACGTTAGCTGACCTCGTTTCTTAGCTGCTTGATCTGTTCGACTCAGAAGACCCCCGGGAGCGGGATTTCCTCAAGACAACGCTGCACCGAATCTACGGTAAATTCCTCAACCTGCGTTCATATATCCGTCGATCCATCAACAACGTTTTCTTCCAATTCATGTACGAAACGGAACGGCACAATGGTATTGCTGAGCTGCTGGAGATTCTGGGGTCCATCATTAATGGTTTTGCACTCCCACTCAAGGAAGAGCACAAGCTCTTCCTGACGCGAGTTCTCCTTCCTATGCACAAAGTGAAAAGTCTCAGTATGTACCACCCCCAATTGGCATACTGCATTGTGCAATTTTTGGAAAAGGATTCTACTTTGACTGAGGATGTAAGTCTCTCAAAAGCCAACGCAATTTTAAGGTTAGATCCCTCAAATGCTGACACATTAAGGTTGTGCTTGGGTTGCTGCGGTACTGGCCCAAGACAAACAGTACCAAGGAAGTCATGTACTTGAACGAGGTTGAGGATATCTTCGAAGTCATGGACCCTGCCGAGTTCGCCAAGGTTCAGGAGCCTCTGTTCCACCAGCTGGCGAAGTCGGTCGCCAGTCCCCACTTCCAGGTGCGTTTAGTGCATTTCAAAACTTGGAGAACCCCGCCTAATGAGCTAATTGTGTAGGTTGCCGAGCGTGCTCTGTATTTCTGGAACAATGAATACTTTTGCAATCTCGTTAGTGATAATGTTGAGACTATCCTTCCGATAATGTTTGCACCGCTCTACGAGAATTCTAAGGGCCATTGGAATAGGTATGCCTGGAAATGAGCATTATTGGTCATCGAGCACAAGCTTACAATTTCGACAGAACTATTCACAGCATGGTGTATAATGCCATGAAGATGTTCATGGAAATCAATCCTCAGCTGTTCGATGAATGCTCCCATGACTACACTGAGCACCAGAACGGCGCAGAGCAGCGTGAGCAGAGTCGTAAGGAACGCTGGGAAGTGATTGAACTCCAGGCTAAGAAACAAAATGGCGCTCCTCCCCACCTGCTCCCAATCTCAACGTGCCTGAGCCCATCGATGAGGTCGAGGCATTGACCAACGAAAACCAGAAACGGCTGAACACCTTGAAGATCCAGGAGGAAGCCGAAGTTTCCAAGGATCGGCCAGCTCGGGAGGGAACCCCCAACTCGGTGAGTCCCAACCACCTCTGATTTCATCACATGCTATCCATTATGTACCCTTCCCCTTTCACCTCGTACATTTTGCGCCTCTCCTCTCCCTGATCTGGCAACTTGACTTCCTTCTGCCCTTGATATTTGTCTTTTGCTAAGAGACCACGTTTCCCCGTGTACAGCCAGCGTGATTCTAATGTGGGAACGTCCGTTTTGGTCCAGACACGACGCCGTGGTTCCATCCGTGGTACTCGGAGACGACGAAGCGGCAGCGGCAGCGAAATTCGGCCACGACGTCGCTCGGTGGGCGGTACAAGTGCGACCAATGTTCAGATCTTGCATCGCAGCAATTCCACTAAATGAACCTTTTTTTCTTGACACTTCGGAAGTGTGGCTCTCGAGGTAGGCGATGGATATGAGTCTTCCGTTTTATTTTCTGCAACATGGCATAGCGAATACGGGCTGCAACTGTTTCTTTGTGTGATTTTGCTCCTGCCCGGGATTTGATGCCCTGTGCCTTCCCCCTTTGTCCAATTCTTTTTTGATCATTTGTTTTCCTCTATTTTGTGTACATGGATTTCCTGATATTTCCCCTTCCATGATCAACCTGCGCAATAGGTCGTCATCATGGAGTGGACCTCTTCAGTTGGACCACGTCTTAGAACCATGTTCGGGTATGGAAAATGGGTGCGAATGGCGTTTCCATCTGCTGGCCCAACGGGTCGGTGGCTTTTCTATGTGTTGCCAGTTTTTGTTTAGACCAATAATGGGGAGATAACATCGCCTTGGTCCGTATGGTTTTGTGTATAGATTCGTAACAAGAACCCAGTAATTAGGGTTTATTGCAAATTCTAGAAGCTACTGGCATTGTAAGCCTCAAGCTAGATGATATAGCTCCAGTCAATTTTCTTCAAGTATCAATCTATAATGGGAAGATATCCAATGGACACTAGGCGGATCTAGATACACACCCTTTCCTAATCTGTAGTGATAAGACCACGTGATACGGACCGGAAAAAGTTAGGGCCGGGAAATTCGGCAGGCGCGACTCCCCAGCTTTGCTGCTTTCTAGGCTCTATAGGTTTGTCGCTCCCACCATCCATTCAATTCCTCCCCCCACCTCTCTCACTCTGGGGATTCTTTGTTTTTGCTTGCGCATGCCGTTCAATCATTCCTTTTTCTGAATCTGGCACTCACTTTCTTCGCGCAATTAAATGACTTAACGATCCTCTCACTCACCATCCATTTCCCGTCTCCGATCAATTTGGGGAAAGCACTAGTCCGCAAAGCTTCGACCACCCCGACCTTGCACATGTTACCCCGACTTTGAACAGAGAATACTGCGCACATTGAGAAAGCTCTCAGCCGGCCACTGGGCCTGGCCGCGACTGAATTCTTCATTCGCTTGACTGGCCCTTTCGAGGTGCCTGTTCACAGCCACCATGGAACGCAATATCGACATTTACGCCAGCAAGCTGGGTGATGAGAAGCTGGGTATGTCTTCGCCTCACATAAAAAAAGCTCTCACTCTCTCGCGACATACCTGACGTTGTTCCCTACTGCAGACATAAAATTGCGAGCAAATGTTGCGACTGAACTACGAGACAGCATCGAGCCGCTATGCTCAGGCGCAAACTACCCTATTTTCCTTTCGAAACTATGGCCGGTCTTCAAAACAATCCTGAAAGGCGATCCTGTCTTTCTCAATAATTCCTTTGAGCAGGTGAGTTTGGGAATGCTCCGCGGCAGCTACGTTCGAAGGTGCACCGTGCGAGCGTCCTCTTTTCTTTTTCGCACCCAAGAAATAACGCGTCTTAGAAACTTCGCAATTGTATCCTCGAGACTCTTCACCGATTGCCCACCGCCTCACCCGAAGTCGAAGCCTATGCTGCTGATATGGTCGACCTACTTATGGACCTTGCACGCATTGAGAATGAGGACAATGCGGTTCTGTGTATGAAGACCATCATGGACCTGGAGCGGAATCAGGCGAAGGTGACTGCAACACGCGTACAGGCTTTCTTGGAATTGATCCAGGAAATGTTCCAGACCATGGAGCAGGTAGTCAGAGATACTTTCGACACCCCGAGCCAAGCGACCCCATCCGGCATGCCCTCGACACCCAACACCGGTGGCCAGAACTTCCAGTCCCCCCGTCCAAGCTCGCCTGCGACCTCTGTATCCGACCTCGGCCCAGAGCAACAAGGAAGTAACGTGATTTTGAAGGGCATGCAGTCGTTCAAAGTACTCGCGGAGTGTCCTATCATCGTGGTTTCAATCTTCCAGACCCACCGTGCTTCAGTGGCAGCAAACGTCAAGCTGTTCGTGCCTCTTATCAAGACAATCCTGCTTCTACAGGCGAAGCCCCAAGAAAAAGCCCACGCGGATGCTGCTGCGCAAGGCACGGTGTTCACTGGAGTTTGCAAGGAGATCAAGAACCGGGCAGCTTTTGGAGAATTCATTACGGCTCAAGTTAAGACGATGAGTTTCTTGGCGTATCTCCTCCGTCTGTATGCCCATCAGCTGCAAGATTTCCTTCCTACTCTGCCATCTGTGGTGGTACGTCTCCTTCAAGACTGCCCACGAGAGAAGTCCGGAGCAAGAAAGGAGTTGCTTGTTGCGATCCGGCACATCATCAACTTCAACTACCGCAAAATCTTTCTCGAAAAGATTGACGAATTGCTTGACGAACGTACGCTCATTGGGGATGGCCTCACCGTTTATGAGACTATGCGTCCATTGGCATATAGCATGCTCGCGGACCTTATCCACCATGTTCGTGATCATCTGAGTCGCGACCAGATTCGTCGTACTGTCCAGGTCTACACCAAAAATCTTCATGACGATTTCCCCGGAACCAGCTTCCAGACTATGAGCGCAAAGCTTTTGTTAAACATGGCAGAGCGCATCTCAAAACTAGAAGACAAGCGTGAGGCTCGGTACTTTCTTATCATGATTTTGGACGCAATCGGTGACAAATTTGCCTCGATGAACCACTCTTTCAATAATGCCGTCAAGGTCTCAAAGACATACAAGGAATCTCGCAAGGATACCGAGCCGTCGCCTGAGAACTATCTTGCAGATAAAGATCAGCCTCCAGACTGGGACGATATCGATATCTTCTCTGCTTCTCCAATCAAGACTTCCAGTCCTCGTGACCGAGGCGGAGACCCGGTATCTGACAACTTGTTCTTATTCAGGAACCTTATCAGCGGACTGAAGAACATCTTCCACCAGTTGAAGAACTGCAACCCAGAGAATATTCAAATCGACCCCAATAGCGTTCCAATCAACTGGTCCGAGGTATCCTACGGATACAATGCCGAGGAAGTGCGCGTTATCAAGAAGCTCTTCCATGAGGGCGCTAGGGTCTTCCGCTACTATGGTGTAGACCAAGCGCCCCCTGAAGTGAGCTACTCGTCTCCATTCGATTTCCTCGCCAGCCAGTACACTGCACCTATGCTCCGCGAAGAGAAGGATCTTCTAGAGAGTTTTGGCACAGTGTTCCACTGCATCGACACGGCTACATTCCACGAAGTCTTCCATTCAGAGATCCCCTATCTCCACGAGCTCATGTTTGAGCATGGTGCATTGGTTCATCTACCGCAGTTCTTTCTCGCCAGTGAAGCTACCTCGCCCGCATTTTCGGGAATGGTTCTCCAGTACTTGATGGAGCGCATTGATGAAGTGGGAACTTCAGACATGACAAAGGCTAAGATCCTTTTGCGCATGTTCAAGCTCTCCTTCATGGCCGTCACGCTCTTCTCAGCACAAAATGAACAGGTGCTCCACCCACATGTGACAAAGATCGTGACCCAGTGTATCGAGTTATCGGTCACTGCAGAGGAGCCGATGAACTATTTCCTGCTGTTGCGATCTCTCTTTCGAAGCATTGGCGGGGGACGCTTTGAGCTTCTGTACAAGGAAATCCTTCCCCTACTTGAGATGCTTCTTGAGACGTTCAATAATCTTCTGCTTGCTGCTCGGAAGCCTCAAGAGCGAGACCTCTATGTGGAGCTCACATTGACAGTTCCAGCCAGGCTGAGCCATCTCCTGCCTCATTTGAGCTATCTTATGCGCCCAATCGTGGTTGCACTTCGTGCAGACTCTGAACTTGTCGGCCAAGGACTGCGAACCCTCGAGCTTTGTGTGGACAATCTGACCGCCGATTATCTTGACCCGATCATGGCTCCTATCATGGATGAACTCATGACTGCTCTCTGGGACCACCTGCGACCTCATCCTTACAACCACTTCCATGCTCACACTACCATGCGCATTCTTGGTAAACTGGGTGGTCGCAATAGGAAGTTCCTCAACCACCCTCCCGAGATCACTTTCCAGCAATACTCCGACGACAACCCAAGCTTTGATGTCCGTCTGATCGGTCCAAGTGATAAGCGTCCGTTCCCCATTGACATTGGCATCGACCTTGCCATCGGCAAGCTTATGGAGATCCCTAAGACGGATTCCGCGAAAGCATCAGACGGCTACTACAAGCAGCAGGCGTATCGTATGCTTAGCTCCCACCTCAAACTTCAGATCGGATTCGAGAATCTTCCAGACGATTTGGCCTCGTTGATCCGCTTGCACGCAAATGATCTCTTTGAAGGCAAGGCCAACGCTATGAGTGATATCTTGGAAAAATCAGAGCGATCCGCTTCGATTCCGAAGAAGGTGGCGCAGGAGACTATCGTAAAGAAGCTCCTCAAGGCTTGCATCTTTGCTGTGACAATCCCGGATCTCGAGCAAACAGCAACTTCTTTCGTTACGGATGTTTGCAAGCACTTCGCAATTGTTGAGGTCGGCCGGGCTCTTGCTCAAGCTCGTCACAGTCGCAAAACATTCGATGTGGCCCACGGTGAAGGCCCCGTGTACATGGACTCCCGTGTCCTGGCCGATGCAATCGTTGAGAGCCTTGCCTCAGACAACATTCATGTTCGCCAAGCAGCCGAGCAAGCTATGCAAGTTGTGAAGGATTCTGCTATTGTGATGTTCGGAGCTCCGGAGAGGGCATCCAAACTTCCATTTTTCCAACATCTTGGGCGAGTATTCTGCCACAGCTGCCACAGTGAGGAATGGTTTTCCAAAGCGGGTGGAAGCTTGGGAATCAACATTCTCGCGACCAAGATGGACCTTGGGGACTCATGGCTGTACGAGCGCCATGTTGAGTTCATTCGGGCTCTAATGTATATCATCAAAGACACTCCTGCGGACCTCCCAGCTGCCACACGAGTTCAGGCTCAAGACACAATGACTATTATTCTCCAGCAGTGTGGCAAGCTCATTCCGAAGGATGACCTGAAAAACGAGAAGAGTCGTCTATTTGCTCTTTGCGGCTACTTGGTCTTTGAGCTCGGTCATATGAACAAGCATGTTCGGGAGACTGCTCGCCGATGCTTCTCCACGTTGAAAGACGAGCTTGGCTGCGAGGTGCACGAACTCATTTCCCCAGTGCGAGACCGTCTGCTCCAATCGATTTTCAACAAGCCACTGCGCGCTTTGCCTTTCCCAACACAAATAGGATTCATAGATGCCATCACTTACTGCCTGAGCCTCCACAATGACATCGTCACTTTCAATGAACCATTGAACCGGCTGATGCTGGAGTCTCTGGCTCTTGCTGACGCTGATGATGAGTCTCTTGCATCCAAGCCGAATGAGTTCAAGAATGCCGAGATGATTGTGAACCTGCGTGTCGCGTGCCTGCGTCTTCTGTCGATGGCAATGAACTTTGCCGAATTCGCTAATACCCCACAAAACACCAGTCGGGCACGCATCATCTCAGTCTTTTTCAAGTCCCTGTACTCACGATCTCCTGAAGTGATCGAAGCTGCAAACGCTGGACTGAAAGACGTTCTCACTCAGACCAACAAACTGCCCAAGGACCTGCTGCAGAATGGCCTTCGGCCGATCCTCATGAACCTGCAAGATCCTAAGCGATTGAGCGTTGCAGGTCTTGACGGGCTTGCTCGGCTCTTGACCTTGCTAACTAACTATTTCAAGGTTGAGATTGGCGCTCGGTTGTTAGACCACATGAAGATAATCGCCGATGACTCAATCTTGCAGAAGGTATCCTTCAGCCTCGTGGAGCAGCACCCAGCGATGAAGATCGTAGCAGCTATCTTCAATATCTTCCATCTTCTCCCTGCGGCCGCAACATCGTTCATGGAACATCTCGTGAACAAAGTACTTGACCTCGAACAAAAGCTTCGCCGCACATCACATAGCCCCTTCAGAAAGCCTCTTGTCAAGTACCTCAATCGGTATCCAAAGGAAAGCTTGACATTTTTCTTGGCTCGGTTCCAGGACGAACGCTTCGGACGATTCTTCGGACAAATTTTGGCGGACCCCGAGAGTGAGACGATACGCAAGGCCGTGACAGAAGACACCGATAACTACTTGTCCATCGCGTTCGGGCAGAATTCATCAGAAGGCAGCCACACCGCTGCCATCAACGGGATTTACGTTGCCCACTCCGTATCTTCATTCGCCTCAACCAAGAAATGGCTGGTTTCTCACCCGGAGTTGAGGGCGAAGCTCCTGTCATCAGGACGGGAATTAGAACGGCAGCTGCGGGCTGATAGCCTGCCACCAGATGAGCGCCTTCGGGTCGAGCAGGCCGAGGATCAGCTCATGGATATCTTCACAGCATACCTTGGTGAAGCAGCGCATGACCTTGATTTCTTGTTTGAAGTCATCGATGGCCTCTCGGCGGATGAACTGAAGCGCACGCTTGCTCTCCCTAAATTCATTTACGGCCACATAATCACGAATGAATCCATTGACTACCGCCGCTCTGTCATTATGCGATGTCTCGATCTTTACGGCCAGCGGGCTTGCTCACAGAAGACAAAGACATATGCTTTCCGCAACCTGGTCAATCCAATCTTCGCAATGGATGTCCAGACGACCTGGAACAGCTCTCCCAATACCCCCAAGCTTATGGATAAGAGTATGACCGAGTCTATCCAGAGTCGTCTGTGGAAACCCCAACTGGTTGATCTGAGCGAGGAATCTAATCAAGCCGGAGTTGATCACTCACGCATGGAGTTGCTGCAGCTGTCAGCCCTTCTGATCAAGTACCACCATCAGACTGTTCAGGACTCCCGCAAGGACATCATCAAATTTGCTTGGAACTACATTCGGCTTGAAGACATCATCAACAAGTATGGTGCCTATGTTCTCATCAGTTACTTCATTGCGCACTACGAGACGCCCTTCAAGATTGTGATTCAAGTATACGTCGCATTGCTGAGAGCCCACCAGAACGAGGGCAGGGCTCTCGTGACGCAGGCCCTGGATGTTTTAGCTCCCGTTCTCCCCAGTAGGACTGCAGGAAACCAAGGGGCTGAAGCACGGTACCCCATATGGGCCAAGTGGCCTCGCCGTATTCTGGCCGAGGAGACTGCCAATCTCCAACAAGTCATGAGCATTTTCCAATTCTTAGTTCGACAGCCGGAGCTTTTCTACGAGTCTCGTGAGCATTACGTGCCTCTGATCGTTCCATCGCTGATCAAAATTGCCGGACCTCCCAATAATACCTCTAATGATAGCAAAAAGCTGGCCCTGAATCTCATTGGACTCGTTTGGCGCTGGGAAGAACGGAGGGCTCAGTCTAACGATGCTACTCCTTTGGAGTCTCCGAATGCCAGGAAGCGCAAATTGGATGAAACTGAATCTTCGGCGTCACCTGCCCTTGCACCTCCCCCGAGCCGAGGTGGTTCCGACTATACTGTACCGTCAGAGCTTCGTGCTGCTCTAATCAAGTACCTTATCACCTTCATCACCTCGAATTCTGAGCGCTTTCCTGTCCCGGCTGCGCAGATTCGTCTGGCTGCTTCAAAGCAATCGCCAGCTCCCTCCACAGACATGATTACCAAGGCTGTGACTTTGCTTCGAAATTTGCTCTCCCTGAGTATTGGGGTGACTTGGATATTGACCTGTACCAGAAGGTTACAGAGCCTATTTTGACAGGCGAGAAAGCGGACAAACCAGAAGAGAAACAGATCACGCCAATGGTCAATGCCATCCAAGTCGTACGGGTCCTCATTGCGGCCAAGCCCAATGAATGGATCACCGCCCGTCTACCTACCATCCAGAAGCTTCTCGAGAAGCCATTGAAGGTTGATAACCCTGAAATCCAGGATTGTCTCCACGGCTTGGAGGATGAGATGGACATTTCCCCAAAGCTGCCACCACCTGTTCGTCGTGTGCTGGAAGCTATCCCTGACGATCAGCCTGATGAGGAAGATGCAATGGACACTGAAAGCTCGCCGTCAGAATTCGCCACTTATCTCTCCGCGATTGCCACGGAAACTCTCTCAGCCAGCAATTATGTGTCCAGCTTGAACACCCTTTGGACTCTGTCTAAGATCAAGCCTGCCGAGATAGACCCTCATATCCCCGCTGTTATGAAGGCCTTCTCACAGAAGCTTGCGAAGGAGCATGTAGCAGCATCCTCTACCCAAAATGGCGCCCCGCTTCAACAGGGTACCAAGCCTGCCGAGGGTGCTCCAGACCAACAAGAGTTCCAGATCGGAGTGGATCTCATCTTCAAGACGATCGAGTTGATCTCCGTGCGCATGTCCCATCTTGGTGACCAGCGTCGTCCTTTCCTTAGCGTCCTGGCTTCAATTGTCGAACGATCGCAAGACCTCAAGCTGTGTACTAAGGTCCTGGATATGGCGGAGTCTTGGATATTCCATTCCACCGAGTCATGGCCAACCTTGAAGGAGAAGACGGCTGTTCTGCATAAGATGCTGCTCTTCGAATCACGGCCCAACCCGACGATGCTGAAGAAGTTTCTTGACCTTGTCATCCGCATTTACGAGGACACAAAGATCACTCGCACTGAGCTGACCGTCAGGCTAGAGCATGCCTTCTTGATTGGAACACGAGCGCAGGACGTGGAGATGCGTAACCGCTTTATGACCATCTTTGATCGCAGTCTGACTCGCCTCGCAAGTTCTCGATTGAGTTATGTGCTCACTTGCCAGAATTGGGATACACTGGCGGACTCGTTCTGGCTCGCCCAGGCATCGCATCTGGTTCTCGGTTCTATTGACATGAGTACTTCTGCTCGCCTAAACCCTTCTGATTTCACCATGTACCCACTCTCGTTCCTCTTCTCTGCTGGAGAGAAGGACTCCCGAAAGGCGGATATTATGATTGACAACCAATTAGAGAGCTTTGTCGCCGAGCGTAGGCGCTTTATGTCGGAGATTGGCGATGTCAGAGTCCGTGACTTGCTAGAGCCCCTCTGTCAGCTCCAGCATACCGATGCATCCGTGTCCTACAAGCTTTGGACGACACTGTTCCCACTTTTCTGGTCTACATTGTCGAAGGATGATCGCATTGACCTCGAGAAAGGTATGGTGACGCTACTCACTCGTGAGTATCACCAGCGACAAGTGGACAAGCGACCGAACGTTATACAAGCCTTGCTTGAAGGCGCCGTACGCGCCACTCCTCGGTTTAAGGTCCCTCCGCATGTGATGAAATTCCTGAGCCGCACCTACGATGCTTGGTATACTGCGGCAACTTATCTCGAGGAGAGTGCGATCCATCCAATTATCGACACTGCCGTTGTTCGGGAAAGCAATCTCGATGCACTAGTCGAAGTTTATGCTGGCATACAAGAGGACGACATGTTCTACGGCACATGGCGGCGCCGCTGCAAGTTTGTTGAGACCAACGCCGCTCTCTCTTACGAACAGCAGGGAATGTGGGACAAGGCTCAGCAGCTGTATGAGAACGCCCAAATAAAAGCTCGTTCGGGAGCAATGCCCTTCTCGCAAGGCGAATACTTTGTTTGGGAGGATCACTGGCTCATTTGTGCACAAAAGCTTCAACAATGGGAGATTTTAAGCGACTTCGCGAAGCATGAGAATTTGAACGACTTGCTGCTGGAAGCCGCTTGGAGAAACATCGAAAATTGGCAGAGCGAGGGCAACCGAGAACAACTGGAATCTCTGATCAAGTCGGTCTCGGATGCGCCTACACCGCGGCGCACTTTCTTCCAGGCCTTTATGGCCTTGCTCCAGTACCATGTCAAGAAGGAAAACATGCAAGAATTCAATACCGTCTGCGATGATTCCATTCAGCTTGCTATTCGGAAGTGGCTCCAACTGCCCAAGCGCATCACCAATGCTCATATTCCAATTTTGCAGCATTTCCAATTACTTGTTGAGCTTCACGATGCTAGCCATATCTGCGGTAGCCTGGCTCAGACCAACGAAAGGAATCTGGATACCAAGTCAGCTGAGTTGAAGCTACTCTTAGGGACCTGGCGGGACCGGCTCCCGAATCTTTGGGACGACATCAACGCTTGGCAAGATCTTGTTACCTGGCGCCAGCATATTTTCCAGCTCATTAACGGTACATATTTGAGCCTTCTTCCCCGCAGACCAACAACGTCGCCAGCAACTCATACGCCTATCGTGGCTATCACGAGACTGCCTGGATTATCAATCGTTTCGCACATGTCGCTCGCAAGCATCAAATGCCGGAGGTGTGCATTAACCAGCTCAGTCGCATCTACACGCTGCCCAACATCGAAATCCAAGAGGCTTTCCTCAAGTTGCGAGAGCAGGCGAAGTGTCACTACCAGAACCCGAAGGAGCTGAACAGTGGGTTAGACGTAATCAATAACACCAATTTCAATTACTTTGGGCCCCAACAGAAGGCCGAATTTTACACTCTCAAGGGTATGTTCTTGGCCAAACTTGACCATACCAACGAGGCCAACGAGGCATTTGGTGTTGCTCTCTACTACGACCTTCGCCTTGCGAAGGCTTGGTCTGAATGGGGACAATACAGCGATCAACGCTTCAAGAACGACCCCACGGATTACGAACTGGCAAGCAACGCAGTCAGCTGCTACCTTGAGGCGGCCGGTCTCTACAAGAGTGCTAAGTCTCGGAAGCTTCTTAGTCGCATCCTTTGGCTCCTTAGTCTGGATAACGACCAGGGCAAGATTGCAAGCGCGTTCGAAAGTTTCAAGGGTGATACTCCGGTCTGGTACTGGATCACTTTCATTCCACAACTGCTCACCAGCTTGTCTCACCGCGAGGCACGACTGTGCAAGGCCGTGCTCGTGAAAATCGCCAAACTGTACCCGCAGGCTCTATTTTTCCTCCTTCGTACTAACAGGGAAGATATGTTGGCCATCAAGAAGCAACATGACCAGAAGCAGGAGAAACTTAACCGCGCTCGCCAGCAGCAACAGCAACAGCAGCAGCAGCAAAACTCCTCCCCAAGTGGTAAACCCACAACGAATGGCGAGGCGTCGCCGGCCCAGAAGCCCCCGACTAGTGTGCCCGGTCCCAGCGCTTCGCCTGCCAACCAGGCCGCCAATCTGCCGACAAATCAGTCACCCGCCCAGAATCAGCAAGGCCAATCTCCTGCTCAACCTCCAAATCAGGTGCAAGCGTCACCACGCCCTGGGCCGAGCCAAAGCCCCAGTCAAGCCGCGAATCAAACACCACAACAAGCTCATTTGCAAGGTCCAACTCAGAGCGGAACTCCACAGCAGCCGAACCAAGAATCTTCGACCGCAGAGCCCGAGAAGGAAGCTCTTAAGAAGCCTTGGGAGTATTCGGACGAGATCATGTCTGGCCTCAAGACCGCGTTCCCACTTCTTGCGCTGTCCATGGAGACAATGGTTGACCAAATCCACAAGAACTTCAAGTGCCCTCCTGATGAGGATGCCTACCGCCTCATCGTGGCTCTCTTGAACGATGGACTGGCCTATGTGGGCCGTATGCCCGGCTCATATGCCCAAGATTTCAAACTGCCGCCTGCTACTGAAGCCAACATCACTCGGTTTGCGGAAACAATTCTTCCAGCGCATATTCGCAAGTCATTCGAGGCGGATGTCGTTACCAAGAAGCCCACTATGCACGAGTACATTCAGAAGCTGCGTCGCTGGCGCGACAAGTTTGAGGAAAAGCTGGATCGTCGTCCCCAGTCAGGATTCTTGGAAAGCTACTCGCCACATCTTAGCGAATTCCGCTTCCTCAAGTTTGATGAAGTTGAAGTTCCCGGGCAATATCTTCTCCACAAGGACAAGAACCAAGACTTCGTCCGCATCGACCGATTCCTTCCTGATGTGGACCTTGTCCGCGGCATTGGTGTTTGCCATCGTCGTCTCAAGATTCGTGGTCACGACGGTAGTATTCATGCCTTTGCTGTTCAGCACCCTGCTGCACGTCATTGCCGTCGCGAAGAGCGTATTCTTCAGCTCTTCCGAATTTTCAACGGCTTGTTGGCGAAGCGTAAGGAGAGCCGGCGTCGCAACCTCTACTTCCACCTTCCTCTGATGGTTCCCCTTGCGCCGCACATCCGTTTGGTTCGAGACGACTCCTCATACATCTCTATGCAAGGCATCTACGAGGACTACTGTCGACGTGTTGGTTTCAACAAGGATGATCCTGTACTCTTCACAATGGATCGTATGCGCTCCTTAGCCGAGACAAAGCAAAATGTGAGTTGTCAGTCAGTTTCCTTTCCAGGAGCACAAATAGCTAACCTTGCTCAGCGCACGCCTGATCAGCAACAGATCCTTCGTACGGAGATCTTGACAGCAATCCAAGAGAAATGGGTTCCGAACACCGTGGTTCAGCAATACTTCCAGCAGACTTATCCCAACTTCGCCGACTTCTGGTTATTCCGTCGGCAGTTTGCCTATCAATATGCAGCAGTTGCTTTCATGACCTATGTGATGCACATTGGCAACCGCTATCCCAATAAGATCTTGATTTCCCGCTCGACGGGCGATATCTGGGGTGCGGAGCTGATTCCAACCATCAACCCCACCAAGGCAGTCTTCTTCAACCCCGAGCAAGTGCCGTTCCGATTCACGCCGAACATTCAAGTCCTGCTCGGACCTCTCGCTACGGAAGGTCTGTTTGCCTGTGCACTGATGGCAATCTCTCGCTGCTTGACGGAACCGCGCCACGAGTTGGAGCAGCAACTCAGTATCTTCGTCCGCGACGAGATGATGTTCTGGGCCACTGCCCAGCATCGTAGTCCCTTGCCTGTCCCACAGCTACGCGACTTGGTTAATAATAATAGCGACATTATTGTCAACCGGGCCGTCAGCCTTGCCAGCCCCCCCCGAGGGCAACCTGCCTGCCAACCAGACAACGATCGATTTGATCTCCAAGGCTGTCAATCCTCAGCACCTGGCTTCGTGCGACGCATTGTGGATGCCTTACCTTTAAGGCGGGGCTGAATTTCTGGGTTTCTTTCTTTGCTTCTGCGGTCCGGTGGTGACGGTGGTTTTTTCTTTCTTATGCATGGCAGAACTGGGGCCGTTCTGAGTTGATTTCTCATTTACGAGCGTGGCGCATGGCTTGGGATATGGTTCTTTGACCTCCGAGGGGATTTTTGATACCGATTTCTTTTTATTGTATTAGTTTTTTCTCTTTCCCCCCATTCTGATATCGTTTTATTTCTGGGTAATAGCTCTCTAATTTACTCGTTTAAATTGTTTTAGAGCGTACCGAAGTACCTGTAGAATAATGTAGACCTCGTGAACGCTAACTTCCTCCAAGCGACCTTCTCGAGTACCTCTAGACGGCTAGTACTGATAGTTGTATAACCTGAGCTACGGTTATCAATAACTATGATGGTGCTACTCAAATGATTACTATTATTACTTCCGAAATAAACCCATTCGTATCCCGAGATCTCAGGCCTATTTTCAGGTTTCTAGTAAACAGGGTTTAGACGTGCGGTACCTATAAATCAAACATTCTAGTACCTGATAGGCAATGCAAGTATTGAGGGTAAAAGGAACTCGCGGCATTTGGTCACATAGCGCATTCATTCTTTGCATTAATTCATTTATCAAGACGCCAGCGTCAGGGTGGTTGAACACAGACTAAACTAATGATGGCTTCTTCTTGATCCCCAAACTTGTGACACCAGCCTTCTTTGGCTTCTTAACCCTAGCAAATGATGTAGTTGAAGGTGGGGGCATCGCAATACTCGCTGGCTTCGAAGCCTCCGGCTGAGGCGCTGAAAGCGGCTCCTCCTCCTCCTCCACCACAAGGCGCTTCACCCGCTCCCCAGAAGCAGTCAAGAACGCCTTGCGCGCAGCCTCCTCATCTTCTTCTCCTGAGCCAGCCGTGCCGAGTCCTGCTCATCACGCACAAAATCCAGCGCCACCTCCTCGCCCTTGGACTCGTTGCGCTGGATGCGCGCGTTCCGGGTCCGAATCTCATCAAGCGCATCCGCAATGGCCATTTCTCGCTTCGAGTCTTGCATTTTCTCCTCCAGTTCTGCCATCTTGTCGCGTTCCAGCTGCTCCGCCTCCTCATTTTCCTCGCGTTCCAGTCGGTCGAGGGTTTCTTCTTGGGTCTCGTTGTATTTCTCGTCCTTGGCGTCTCGCCACGGCTCAAAGTTTCGCTTTGCGCCCTTTTCACACTCGTAGTCCATGTTCTTCGGGTCTGTGCGGAACGTGATCTCGCCGCTGCATCGCGTGCATCGGATGAAAAAACGGTATATCGGGATCGAGAGATACTTCTCCTCGAGATTTTGTTTGCGGGCGTTGAACTTGCGTCCTTTGTAGATGTATTCGCCTGGTACATTGTCAGTATGGGACATCGTACAAGAAATCTCAGTGTCTGGAAAAGTAACGTACCGCAGTTGGTACATTTCATGGAGAACGGGGCCATCAAGCGAACAGTGATGACCTTGGGACCCTTCTGGCGTAGGTGCTTCGGGGTGCGCCCGATCGCCGAAGGGTCGAAATCGGGAGGGTAGTACTTCGTGAGGACCTTTCGCTCAGACATACTGGCAGTATTCGCAAGTTGCGGCTAGAGAGGTGAGTAAGTGAAGTTGCGATGTTGCTCGTCCAGAGTTGAACGAGCGACTAATGGAATGTTCGATGGTCACGTGTAAGATAAGGCGATAAGGCGATAATAAGGAAATAAGGCTGTCCCCCAAATCGATTATCCCCCTTAGTACGTTTATAGGTCACAAGTAGAGGCTTTGTTTCCGTCAATATTGAAATGCTGCGGTTAAAATTGCTCTGACGGGGTCAATATTTTTGCTCCACTCTAATTAATTTTGTGGCTGGGATTGGACGCCTAATCAGGGTTCCTCTAAGAGATGCTTTACGATGATTTCTGGGAAAGGCTAAGTGTGGCCCTATGGGGCTATGAATGATCGTTAGAGGAACTTTATATTTCCCCTTTGAATCTCAAATAGATAAAGGAGAGCCCGTGGGTTGTCTGTTGATGCTGATCAAAGCTGGGCGAGGTTACTATACACGCCTCGAGCTCGGGGGGTTAACCATGACATCGATCCATAACGCCGGGACCAGCTGCGGCTTTGCGGGCCTATTGAATCCTCAGGCGGAGTTTATCTGTCTTCGTCAAAACTGGCGAGATGGGTGGGGTCGTCATGCAGACTAGGCACGGAACACCCCTAAGCTAAGGGGCCAAAGTCATCCCAAGCTTACGCTATAAGAAGTCGCTGCCCACAAATTGGACCTGTTTCCCTTTGGCAGACACAAGATGGATGCGCCTTATAATGTGGCCGAGGAGACGTCCTGGTGGCCTCTGGATGCTGCTGCGGTCATCAAGCTGCTTGTTGCTTTGTGCGGCCCGCCTTTCGTCTTCACGGTGACTTCGAAGTACTCAACTATACGCTATGCGGCTGCCCCGTTCATGATGTGGCTTCATTGGGATATCTTCAGCCATCACTATCCCAGCAAGACTGATGCTCTGGAGTTTTGTGCTTGGATGTTAGTCGCCAGAAGAAAAACAAACAAACAAAAAAAAATCCCAAAGTTTGAAGCTAATTATACCCAGCAATGGCGACGACGCCGTTCAATTGGCTGCGATTACTCATAATCACACCTGTCGACATGAATGACCTCGCAATAATGTTCAAAGCTCCTGCCGAAACATTGCTACAAAAATTATATATCTTATACAAGGTGACGAGCACCCCCCGATGGATCAACACGCCTTGGGAGACAAAAAATACTCCTCCTTTCCCTAAGTACTATACGCGTCGCCATATGAAGCTTCCCTCTCGTGGAAGCTTCCTTCTGCGTCAATCGTGTATTCTCTTTTGGCAGCTGTTGATTCTCAACCTGGCGGAATGTGCAGGCAATCTTCAAGCTTCCCAAGTGGAGAACCTGGGCGAGCCCAAGAAATTTTCCTGGAATCATTCAACGGAGAAATGGATTGAACTCATAATCTCCAATGTCATCGCGTGGCTTCTCTGTGCTCGCTGCTTGATTGTATGTTCTCGTCCTTGCATTCAAGTGAGATCAAGCTTCTGTCATCGCCTGCTAATGCGCTTACTGAGTCACTAGGATAGCCACTATCGGGCTCTATCTGTCCTGCATGTTGGAATTCTAGGTGACGACGTTGCGGATTGGCCTCCGCTTTTCGGAACCATGCTGGATAGTTACACGCTGAGAAACTTCTGGGGGTGAGTCCACCGAATACGATTGACCTGTCGCTTGTCACCAACCGATCTAACATTGCGTAGTAAATTCTGGCACCAGAGCCTACGCAGCTCCTTCACTGCGGTCAGTAACCGATTCTGCCGGGAGCTTCTTCGTCTTCCTCGCCCATCAGTGCTAGAGCGATACACGAACGTGTTCATCGTCTTCTTATTGTCAGGTACCCTGCATTTAGCTCTAGACTATGGAAGTGGCCTACCAACAGAAGTTTCTGGGGCTCTCTTCTTCTTCACGGCCTTCACTTTTGGTTATATGGTTGAGGATGGAGTGCAGGCCTTATGGAAGCGCATGTTTCCTCTCCACGAATCCACGCATGGCAACAAGGAAACAGGGACGCCACGCTGGCAGAAGATTGTTGGTGCTATCTGGGTTATGCTGTGGCTGGGCGTCACCTCAGGCCCTTATCTGGCCCCGACGATGGATCTACCCCCTGCTATCCTGGGCCCTATCCCCGCGAATATTGAGGTTGGCTTTGGCCCCTTGATTGGATTCATATTAGTCGTTGGGGCCTTGATAGCATACGTTTTCGAGGGCGAGCCTTGAGCTTACCGTTCCTAGCTGGTGAGGTACTGCATTAAAATAGGAATTTGAATCCTGCAAATTAGCTGGTTCTAGTAGTAGGCAAGGCAGCTCAATAGTAGTGCCTCTGATGGTTTTCAGCGCCCGTTGTTCAATGAGACGGCATGGAGAAACCTTAATTGTCCAAACCCTTTCTTGCCCACATCATCTCGGACTTCTGAAGAACTTGAATAGCTATCTACTTGTACAGCCAAAGTGGAAGGAATGAAAACATCTCATGCGACCTGGGAATGGAGGATAGCGGGCTTGATCTTGAAGTGCATTAAGGTTGCCATTGAAGTGTGCTTTGAGCAAGACATGACTACAGCTATATCTGAGTTGTATCAGACATGCTAATTATTTTGCTTACCCCTAGTAATAAAAAGACTAGCCGTGCAAGCCACATAGCTACTATTCTTCTACTGCACTAAGGCGACGCACGTTTCTAATTTAATATGCTATGCTCTACGACGGGATCCATACATATTGCATGTGAACAAATTCCCACGGTTTTCAAGTATACCATTTATTACCATTTTACCGCATATCGTCCCTATTCTACTCCTACCAGCAAGGGAACCAATTTTTCTGTACTAATAATCTCTTGTTCATCGGATACTCACTAACTATGAAGATGAAGACCTTGGCAAAAGAACCACAGGAGCATTCGTCTCTCCAGCCTGGGCTGATTTGCTGGAAATTCAATGAGACAGACTCGGATAGACGATATAACCTATTCCAATCTCCTGGTGGCCCAGTTGCGATAGCTTCATACTGACATTGCACAGCAGACCAGGAGCGGGGCAGTCATTGGCCAATCAGCTTGCGGACGAGCGCGGGTCACTGGGTTCTCCGCGTCGCGAAACATCAACTTTATAAACGCGCTTGGTTTCTTGAACTTCTCGACTCTCTAGCTTCGCCTCTCTTGTGCATTCGTGGGGAAATTTTCATCCTCCAGGCCGCGATGGAGCAATATCTCCGGTCCTGGCGACAGGACGCCTTCAATCGCGGTCAGCATGAGTGCGCCATCTACATCGGCGACAAAGTCCTCGCCCTGACAGGTCTGCTCTCTCTTGTGTTCACCTGTAGCGATATCCTAACCGCAACCTGTCTTGACAGACAGCGACGCCGATGCGTTCTGGTTGGCCCAGGTCCATTTCTCGAACAACAATTTTTCGCGCGCCCTTGCCCTTCTATCTCGCGGCGATCTTGTCTCACGAAACCCCGCCTGCCAATACCTCGCGGCCTACTGCTACATCAAACAAGACCAATTTGACCAAGCATTGTCCATATTGGGTGAACATAACCCGACAGATCTTATCCGGGATAATCACAGCCGACGAAAGATCCAACACCTGGGTGGCCAGAGCCATGTCACCTTGCGCAATGGAAAGTCTACCACATCACGCGACGATAAAGAGAGGGATGAATCTAGTGATGTGAAATTTGAGGCTTCGATGTGCTACCTCCGTGGCCTCTGTTTTGCAAAACAGAATGCTTTCGATCGCGCTCGCGACTGCTACAAGGACGCCGTGCGCATCGACGTCCAGTGTTTTGAAGCCTTTGATCAGTTAATGAAAAATTCGCTCATGTCTCCCAAAGAAGAGCTAGATTTCCTTGAATCCCTGGACTTTGATGCCGTACAGTCTCCCGATCCTTCGGTTTCTCAGGAAGCTGCGGACTTCACGAAAATGCTGTACACGACCCGCCTATCTAAGTACTCTTCCCCAACGATCTTGTCCAACGCGACCGAGACCCTCTCAACCCATTACAACCTAGCATCCAACCCCGATATCATCCTCTCACGTGCCGAGACATTGTTCACCCAATGTCGGTTTGCTGAAGCTCTGGAATTGACGTCATCAGTTCTTTCTACTGCCCAGTCAACCGAGCTGCATGCACCGACCAGCTCTGGCTCTAGTGCCCTCTCTCTCCATCAGCTGGGGCACACACCCGCCCTGTATCCTATTCATCTGGCATGTCTCTATCAGACCGGAGCCACCAATGCCTTGTTTCTGCTAGCGCATCTGCTCGCGGATCATGCGCCAGACGAGCCTTACACATACTTGGCTATCGGCATTTACTACCTCGCGGTATCGAAAATCGCGGAGGCTCGTCGGTTTTTCTCAAAGGCCTCGCTCCTAGACCCTCACTCCCCGCATGCGTGGATCGGATTCGCCCACACTTTTGCTGCCGAGGGGGAACATGACCAGGCCATCGCAGCATACAGCACCGCTGCACGTCTCTTTCAGGGCAGCCATCTCCCACAGCTGTACCTTGGAATGCAACACCTCGCGCTAAGCAACTTGACTCTAGCATACGACTATCTCAAGTCTGCATACGAAATGTCTACGGGCTCTGTGCTTGATGATGAATCATCTGCACCGCCCTTGGCGGAGACCCACTTGTGCTCAACGAGCTTGGAGTGGTTCTTTACAATCAAGACAACCTTGCCAAGGCGGTGGTACACTTTCGTCAGGCATTGGCTCTCGCGGAATCTTTGAATAGCGAGCCGGGCGCGTGGGTCGCAACACGGTCTAACCTTGGACATGCCCTGCGCCGCATGGGCCATGCTGCCGAAGCTCTCGAACAATTTGATGAATGTCTCCGAATTAGCGCCAGCGGCAAGAGCCTGGGATACAGCCCCTTTCTAGGAGGTGGTCCGCGCAATCCACCTGTTATGTCGGCCACCGGGGTCGGCGGCACAGAAGGACGAGGCCTCACAGGAGTGCTGTACACATCAAAGGGCTTTATCCTGCTGGAGCTTGGGCGTACCTCCGAAGCCGTGACAGCTTTGCATGAGGCTGTACGCATACTTGGTGCAAGCGGTGGCGGTGACGCAGCGGGGAGCTCAGGCGTTGCTGGAACGCTCCTTACACGTGCCCTGGAGATCTGGGCAATTGAAGGAAACGAGCAAGATGAACGAAGTCTGAGAGCTATGGAGGAAGAGAGCCAGGCATCCCAGGGTCCACCATCCCGTGGCGGGCGCTCTTCTCGCCAACGCGGTACTCGACACAAGGAACGTTCTACCACTGGAAACTCGCGTCGACACCCCCGGACCCCAGCGTTCAATGAAGGGTGGACGGACGAAGTTACCCATACCGCATCTGTCGAGGAGGAAGAAGAAGAAGAGGAAGGGGTGAGGGAAACTATGGAAGGGCGCGTGGAGATGGAACTTGACCAGGAAGCTGATGGTCTTCTCCACCGGGCTCTGGGACGCGTTCGCCAACGACGCCTCCCTGCGCAAACCCACCAGACTCCAGTGTCTGGACGAGGAACGCGCCATACCAGAACTCATTCCCGCCAATGAGGTGGATTCATGATCATGTTTCAAATTTTTTTTACCCCCTTTTGCATCCATGGGCGTTAGGGATGGCCATTCCAGAAGACTAAAAGGTCTAGCTCCTTTTTAGTATGGTGCTTTGCATGACCGTAGTTGTGCTTTCGTCAACTAGTATGAAATTATATGTTTTATTAAAAACGGGATTGCTGGATGTAGAGAAGTATATAGATGCGTTTTGATCTGTAGAAAGTACGGGTTGTGTTCTATTGGTTGCTTTTGTATGTAGTCTATATTAGGGTAGTTTCGGTACGGTCCGGAAAATACAGTCCGCGACAAAATTCTCCTATTATTAGGAGTACTATTTCATTTACAGCACAATGCCCTACAATAAGGCAATAAGCTCAATCTTATAATGTCAATAGTCTGCATTTCAAGCCACTGGGCATACCTTCATTTCCAGCTGACTTTCGAGATGGTTCATTTCCTTTTCAGTTTACTCCCGGAATTTGACGAGCTTATATAGAAAAGAGGGGCGCGCGCAACGTCAACACTTGAAGATCAAGGAAACATACAGAAGCAATTAAAAATCCTTGAGCAAGACCTGCTGGCCAGCCTTACGATACGCTTATTCTCCTCATTTAGGTAAAGAATTCTCTATAAGGTCTAATAGTAGTTTAGGTAAACCCGGTAGATACATATCACACTTTAGTATATTTTTCGTGTATCCTGCTTTGCAGTATATACTAGTACGAGGACGCCTATACGCAGAACGAGAATGGTAATTGGCAGTAGAATACCACGGTGCCATAATATTAGTAAATTACTTGGCAACCAACTAGCCAGGGAAACCTAGTAACGGTGCATATTTTTTTTTGGCTCCTTGGATCCTTGCAATCTATCTTTTAATTTCGAAAGGAACAAGTTGATAGGATAAGCAGGAGTTGTGACGATCCACTGATCTCACCTTTTAAGGCACACAAGGCTTGAACCAAGGGCCCGGAGGGAAAGGGTTACCAGCCTGTAAGAAATAGACTGGCCTGTACGACCAGCAAGGAAGATATTTTCCTACCCACAGATACAGTAGTAGAATAGTTCGTCTTGAATCGAGAGGTGTAACGACCAGGAAGGCAGCCATTTACTGAAAGATGTTCCTGGAAATAGAGCGAGTTCTACATATAGGGAAGCAAAATCCTCAAAGGTCATTTGACCGAAAAGTTTGCATTTCCTAAAGAGGCTTCTGCTTGTTTAGATTTCATATTTATTGTTCTCAGCTCTCTTCACGTCATCTCTCCTTCTTCCTGCCCATGGCTACGCGCCTTTTCTTCAACCGCATCCCCGACTTCCTTTCAATAAATCAGTTCTATCTTGCATACCTGTCATCCAAACCACGATCCACCATGGAGTCTGAGGACCATTGCCTCCAGGCCATGCTCGTTGAGGTCACATCCTCCCTGAGTGTCCCGGGTAATCCCCGAGAGCAGAAGACCGCAGCTGAGGTCACCCTTGGAGGCCCAGCCGAGGATGTCGACGAGGTCAAGGAGGATGTCCAGGGAAAGGTGCCTGTTCTTTTAGTAAGCTCTCAGATTATTTCCCAAGACATGTTTTTTTTCGCCTCTAATGCTTGAGATAGTGGGCTTTAATCGTCCTGACGATTGTATCGTCAATCTTCCTGTTTTCGATGGATAACACCATCGTCGCTGATATCCAGTCGCCGATTGTGAACAAGTTCGGCGAGGTCGGCAAACTATCCTGGATGGGTGTCGCCTTCGTTCTCTCAAGTGCATCAACTATGACGACCTGGTAAGTATACACGCCCCAAAGTCACGGTGGCACGTCGTTCGCTCAGTATTTCCCATAGGGGAAAGCTCTACGACATATTTAGTGCCAAAATTCTCTACATCCTCGGCGTCGTTATTTTTGAGGCTGGTTCTGCTCTCTGTGGCGCTGCACCCAACATGAATGCTTTGATTGTCGGCCGTGCAATCGCAGGTCTCGGGGGTTCAGGATTGTACTTGGGTTGTCTCACCCTTATCGAAGTGACTACTTCTGTTCGACAACGCCCAATGTATATGGGCTTCACGGGTATCAGTTAGTGATGTCTTTCATGCAGCCCATTCTTGGCTCTAATGCTGATGCGAGGTAGCTTGGGGGCTTGGGACTGTTCTTGGGCCACTGTAAGGGGAGCATCTCCAAGAACTGGGGTACATCTATTAATTGCTACAGGATCGGTGGAGCGTTCGCGGAGAACCGTCACACAACCTGGCGCTGGGCGTTCTACATTAACCTCGTTATTGGAGGCTTGTTCGCGCCAATCTATCTTTTTTTCCTTCCCATGGCCGATCCTCAGAAAGGCGTTGCCCTCAAGGACAAGCTCCGACAAGTGGATTTTGTCGGCCTGGTCTTGAATGCAGGCTTTCTTGTCTGCTTGACTATGGCAACCAACCTAGGGAACATTCTCTTCCCATGGGGTTCCGCGAAGGAGATCTCCCTCTGGGTTGTTGGCGGGATTCTACTCGTGGTCTTTATTGTACAACAGGCTACGGCTTTCACGACCACGAAGGCCAACCGCATCTTCCCTGGTGACTTTTTGCGCAAGCCAATCATGTGGATACTGTTCATCGCCATGGCCTGCGCGTCGACGGCAGTCTTCGTTCGTTTTAAACTCGCCAGATGTCCTGGATATGAAGTTAACTAGCCTTTCTCTAGGTCCCCGTCTATTACATCCCTCTGTACTTCCAGTTCGTCTTGGGAGACTCACCTCTTACTGCTGCAGTGCGGCTCCTTCCATTCGTCTTCTTGAGTGTATTTTGTGGCCTCCTGAACGGCGGCACCATGAGTCTTTTGGGATACTACCAGCCTTGGTACCTAGTAGGCGGGATGTTCACAGCAATTGGAGGGGGATTGATGAGTATGTATCCTTTACCTATTACGAACACTAACGGGGAGATCTTACCACTGATTTATTAGGCACTATCGATGAACACTCCTCGCGCTCAAGCATCTACGGCTACTCGGTATTGATTGGACTTGGCTCGGGACTCTTCATCCAGGCCAGCTTTGCAGTTGCACAAGCCAAGGTCCCTCGTGCTCGAGCATCGGATGCTACAGCTTTCATTGCTTTGGCACAGACCATCGGAATTGTGCTTTCCCTCGCGATCTCGGGCTCGGTGTGGCAAAATCAGTCAGTCGCGGCTCTGCAAGAGCTGCTGCCGCAGCTTCCTCGTGAGCAGTTGCGTGGTATGCTCTCTGGTGCTAGTGATAGTGCAAACTGGAGCCATATCCCCGATAAAATGCGCGCGAAGGTTATCCACGCCATTGTGCACGCGATGTCTCACACTTATTACCTGGTAGTCACGGCCGGGGTGGTGACTGTGGTTGCTGCTCTCCTCATGAAGGTACGTGCTTGCCCCAGACTGGAATTTCCAAGCTCGATTATGAAAACTAACAAACCTTCTAGCCAGAGCGTATTTTCATGCAGCCCGGTGCAATGGCTTAAATGGCCATTATATGATATCAACACACCATGTGTCATGATCTTTCTAATTTGATCACTTCTTCACTCCGTCTCGAAATGGCTTCATACATGCCCTGACTGTTTCTATCAAGGACTAGGTTCCAGAAATTCTATGGTCGACTCTATTTCAAGAGCTTTGGCTCGTTTGCTCTGTAGAGAAAACTTGAAGACATCTACTAGGAAATGTGTAACAATTTGAACAAATAAGCAGATTCTTCGAAGCCCACATCGGCGATGAGTTAACTACCTGACCGTAAGGGCACATTGGAAACATTCGAAGATAAATATGCTGTCGTGGCAGCCCGTCGGAAAATTAAGGAGCACTAATTCAACCTATTGGGTAACAAGATTCCTGCCTTCAAATGCCGGTCCTCAAATGTCGGTCGACTTGTTCGAAAGCAGATTGGCAGCCAGGTTGATTCCGTAGAAAACTGTCGAAACCATGGAGATGGCATTCAAATGAATAGCCGCAGCATGGACGCGAGAGAAGCCACGGTTAGCTCGCTTGGTTCGCTCCTCATCCACTGGCGCTTTGGCGTTCTCATTGTTGTCTGTGCCGCGACAAAATCGTCATTAGGAGCCTATTCCGGGGAGGATCGCAAGGAACTAGGAAGCTCTGGGTATCATACCGTGGACATGGCGGCGCACAAAAGCAGTGGTAGTAGTCTTTGGGCCAAAGATGTAGTAGTTCAAGGCCCCCGTGCCAGCAACCACAGCAAGGGAAATGAGGCCAGGCGTGTCTTTGATCAGAGACAGGATGCTGAAGGGCGGATGCGTGGCTGCGGTGAGGAGGGCCAGTCCGATTTGGCTGCCGAAGTAGACAGGGAAGAGCTTCTTCTGGAGCAGAAGGAACTCGCGCTTTGAGAGCGCCAGGTAGCATATCTTCGTGTTGATGAAGCTCTACAGGGCATCTCTATATTAGCACACCACAGAAGGGTCTCGTTCATACCCGATCGCGCAAACAGCATGGACTCATCGCGTTTTTCTGACCTGGAACAGCTGGCTTCCCAGAAGGGTGCCGTAGGACAGCAGATGGTAAGGGAGCAGGCTCCCCATGACGCTGATCATCGCAGCCATGACGACAGATAAAGAGGCGGCAACGAGATGGGAACGATTAGATGCGCGTGGAGATGAAAGAGGTGGAAGAAGTCCGATGCTTGGGGAAGTGAAAAAGACGAGAAGATCCAAGGTCACACGCGCGACCGGTCTGTGAGGGCATTATTTGGAAGGTGCAAACGGGCTGCCTTGTTTTGGTGGCTCGTGACTTAATGACTCTAGCTTAATTCTTATTCATCCAAAGCGCACATCTTCTCTACTTCCTAGCTTGACTTCCTCTGCCGTCGTGCAATTATAGAGTGCCGGATTAGCGAATGGAAGGACCGACAGTATGGGACATTTGGTCTCCAACTTACAGCTGACCAATGCTCATATTCAAGGCCTTGCTCTAGGAGAACTTCAGGTCACCGTGGGATGACTGCATTATGAGAGGTTTGCGATGTTTACCTAGGTACCTGGTTATTGGACCCGCTCGCGCCGATGCAAACGCCGAGCTGGAAAAGCGTCTTAACCCCGAGACGCGAGCCGTGGATGGCTGTTGTTTAGTAATGCAGAAATTGTTCTCGGGGGCGGTTTGCTATAAATACACTGAGCTCACTCACCTTTTCAGAAGGTGACACCAGGTAGTGGTCTATTTGGGCTATGGTTTCATCATGAGGTGAGACGGCTGTTCCACCTGGGGCCTAACATCTCACAGTCCTGTCGCTGCAACGAATGAACAGTCCTTCAACTAGGATTCAGTCCACATGGCATTTCTCAACCATGTCTTCGCCGGGGGTTCTTGCTCAAACTTCCGTCAAACGAGTGCACGCGGGAATTGAAGATACTTTGCAGAGACTTGGAAAGCAGCATGGCATCCCGTTTCCCGCCAGTATCGGATACCTCGCGACTGATTTCAAGTCCATTGCCAGTATATAAATAATCTTGGAATTGTAGGTCAACCTAAATGGATGCTCCGGTGGATATCGAGCTATTTTGCAACGGCCAACTCTGAGCATGCTCTGATGAAGAATTGGGAGGGCACCAACTCAACATGAACCCCGATTTTTGGACCAAAGGTTCTGGACCGGAGTCTCTTTACTATGTGTTATGATGAGAGATAATAAGAGCCATTTGAGGCTTACTGTTGTCAACTAGAATTGACTTGATTCTTTCTGGTCATCCTGCATATGGCACGTAGCCCTAGGCCAACAAGGAAATTATCTCCAATGAGTTCCGCCTATCTCATGGCGTCGAAATAAGCAGAGATGTTATCTGTTCGCACCCCCAAGCAACCCTGGAATACTATCACAAGGTTACACAGCTCTCTCCATGCCAGGTGGCTCCAGATGCGCGATATAAACTAAGAGTTGCTTAGTGCCTTGACAATGCCATGTGCAACGGCACATCCCCAAACGTCGGGAATCGGAGATCCAGGGCGTCCACTCATGACAGCCAATTTCATTTGGCCAAGGGGAATTCTCATCGACTCTCACCAAAATTATTGGGCTGCTGGAAACAACCTTCGGCATAGAACTTATTGCACTAGGGAACCATGCTGATCTACTTGTGGGGGCGAAAGATCCGCGGTAGGGAAGTTTAGAGAACATACGAGGGCAGAGGCCAGAAGGCCATAGATCGCCAGCGGCTGACCAACTTCTTGTCCGGGGAAATCCGTTGCACAGGTGCGTGTGACAGTGAGATTGAGGGGCGATCTACATAAGTTTATAAAGAGACCCGATTGGTAACATCGGCACTTGCACTCTCAAGACCTCGGACGCGGTCGAACTGGTCCATTTCTATTCGCGAATCCAACCCTGTCCACGTATGCGATCGAAGAGCATGAAAATGGGGGCCAGAGGACATTCTGAGTCTCCCTCGGAGACTCAGTCACTAGCCGCCACGCAAGATCCTTTGGAGCGCCGACGACTCCAGAATCGTCTTTCACAGAGAAACCATCGTAACAATCCCTTATCCCCAGATTAGAAATGATGAAAAATGAGGCTAATAGGGACGTAGGCCGCAAGATCAGGGATCGCATTGCCAAACTCCAAGAGCGAGTCATAGCCAACGAGCTACGAGCAACGGCTGCCTTTCACGGTTGGGATCACTCATACACACCAACTCATCTGCAGTCCTCCAAGGCTGACGTGTGGCAATCCTCCCCATACGAGCATACAATAAGCCCCCGAGATTTGTCTGCGATGAGTACTGTCCCGTCAACTTCCTACCTGACGCCGTACATGCTCTCTGCTCCCCAAACAGGGTCCACAACTTCCACGAGTCCGCAGTCAATTCTCCCAGTAAATTCTTCCGGCTTCCTTGATACTTGGGGTCTGCATTCAGTCCCTTTGAGCTCTCCATTGTTTTCTATAGCCCCATCCTCTGGACCACCGCTGCCCGTAGTCAGCAGTCCAGACATGGAGCCGCTTAGGGATGCATGGGCGGGCTCAGATGTCGCATTACCCTCTGAGAGCATGGCTGATAGTCCAACTAGCCAGCCGACTTATTATGTCGCTACAGGTCATTTACCCCTTTTTTATAATTAGAACATTCCAGACTAGTACTGACAAGAGAACTTGATCAGAAGCTGCCTTGCCTCATATTATTCAGGCGCTCCAATCCAATGCGGTTTCGTCAAAGATCGTCGTCATCGCCCCAACCGACTCAATAAGCCCTTGGGCAAATGGAGCCAATAATTTGATCTCGCTCACTCATACCGGTGATGATGGGGCATCAGGAACGCCACGAAACGGGTTAAGCATGCCCTGTCAGTGCCAAACGGTGGTTGAAAATTCCCCAGGCGCGCAGTTTAGCTCTCAGGACTGGGTTCTGCCCAGTTCTGATGGGTTATTTCCCCAGCGCAAGATCTCGGGGCCCTTCGACACGAACTACGCTACAATGTGAACGGGTACATGATAGTTTCGAAAACCACCAATACGATATGATAGATCATAGGCAGATGATGTCTTGTTTTGCGATACAGATGGGCCAGGATGATAGACCAATGTTTAGTAAACGAAGATTATTCAGATCAAGGAAGCGCCGGAAGCATCAAGGAGGCCTAATGTTCATAGTATGAGCTGGGATTTTATTAGTGAACCGCGGTGATCGATTGATTGAGCCGAGGGTCAGACAGGTGAGGCGCATAGGATGATATTCCCAATGACTTGCGAACTATATGTGCCGTCTTCCCTACACCAAAATTGCCATTCACGTCTTGTCCGTGATCAGTCTCTGGGGGGACCCTTTTTTACCTTCTCCTCATCCCATTCCCTCCCTTATCCTGCTGGGCTGCTAGGAAGGTTGCTAGGAAGGTTGCTTCTAAGAATCTGCTAAGCCTAAACGGATTAGACTCTAAATGTGTCTACCAACACTCCATCCCTAGTATAATCACCTGCTATAAGGAGAAGATCGGCTTGCTACTATTTCACCTCAATACACTGTGTTATAAAATCAATTTCAAGTTTAAATAGAGTAGCCCCCGCCTTCATTCAGCGGACCGCGGCCATGTGATCATGATCATGGTAACTTGTCTTTTCGAGGAATTCTAACCCAACACTAGCTTATACACTATTTTTCTTAGCTGAATTATCCCGGGGGGGTGTCTTACTTCCCCAAGCCGCGCAGCTGGGTCCTTTTACTAGCGAAGGGGCCACATGGCAGTGAAGCGGTAAGGATTGCGGACTGCCAAGTGCCAATCTTCGAGAAACTCGTCACAAATTTGATTTCCTAACAAAGCGACTATGACAAACAATACGTGATAACATAACAAGCTCATCAATTGACATGACAAATATCTCTAATCGAAATGAATGCGCCACAATTCTCGATCACACTCACTCACATAGCCGGTGCGAGTATGCAGCATGGCTGTGTTATCATTGATCAACAAATCCCCTTTCTCCCACTCGAAACGCAGGCAAACGCGATAATCATAAATCATTTGGTCTATCACTTGGATGAGACTGGAGTCCTCATTCTCCACCGTAACGTCGCAGGTGGAAAACTTGGTCTTTGTTGAATCCCACGGCTGATGCCAGCGCAGACACGGCAGGCCAGAGACAGGATGCGTCACCGTCAGCGGGAGATGTTTTAACTTTGCATCCCAGAAACCATCGTTGTCCATGGCCCAGGTCGTTTTCTGAAGCCGCGCCGGTGTCCATGGCAGTGGCAGATACCTGAAGAACAGACGAGAGCTGGCGAACAAAGTATATCCACTTCCCTTGGGCGCGGTAGCAGGACAGGTGAAGAACTGGTAGCCCGGTGGGCGCTGGACCTTCTTCTTTTCCCCGGTCACTGGATCAGTGACATCTTCGAACTTGAACATGCCGTCAAAGTGCATCGGCATTGCCTCATTAGAGGTGACATTGTTGCCCATCTTGTCGTTGCGACCAGCATCGCGCACTTTCTGAATAATGCCGAAGCTCCAAGGCATGATTTTACCCAGACCCTCGCCGCCTTAAGATATAACTCTTCCTCAAGTGTGTCTGCAAAACCGCGCAGGATGACAGGGGACATCCCGTTTGAGATGCGACGGACCTTGTGCATGGGAATGTCGCGAATAGATGGGCGGCTTTGCAAGTCATCTGCGGGGCGAATAATTACGCCGCATGGGTAAAGATGCTCGAACTCGACCGAGAGACCATCTGCCTTCCAGTCAAAGATCTCCGACTTCTCGCGATAATAATATGGTTGTCCGTTCTTATAGATCAGCTCGTGGGTGTCGCGAACATCTTCAGCGTGGGCCGTGCGATATACTCCGTCAGCTCCGATGGCAACGGACGCATGCCACGGAGTGAAACCAAGGGCCCCCCCGAGCCTGGGGGGATCAGGGAGACCGAAAGCTTCTTCTCCCCAGCGGACTCGTGAATGGATAAGCGAACATAATCCTTTCGATTCGCCCGAATGGCGGCCGCGAACGCCTTGCCGCGAATGATCATCTGGCGGGCCGTCTGGCCAATATGGGCGTTTCTTGACCGTTTTGATTGCTGCGATCCTAACTCTTGATGGGCCAGATCCTTTGTCAAAAATTTGATATACCCGCGGTAGGTCAAGCAAGTATCATTATCGGTCTTTATAGCTTCGTCGGCGTTGAACGTCGGGTCGCCGAATATGAGCATCAGTTCGCGCCGGAGGCAGCTTGCATGTGCGAGATAGAAAGCTTTGGCAGTCTCGGGGCTGTTCATTTGGAACCATGGATGGTCGAGGAGCTCGAAGAGTCGAATGAATTTCACGTGGTGCAGACCCTTTTCAACCGCCATGCGCCGGAGCGCCTCGCCATAGTCCCACACGACCTCGTCAGGAACCCCCAAGATATCTGGAAGAGTTAGTACAATATTGATCGGGCAATTCTCCAGAACAAGGCACCTACCATTGTATACCAGCCCATCCGAACTAATGTATACATCCGCGCCGGGTGTATATACCTGGCCGATGTTCTCACAGAGGCCGTTCAAATGCGCCAGAGCCAACTCATCACCAAAGTCAGGAAGTGTCCCGAGGACTTTGTCGCGCGAGTTTGGCGACTTAAAGGGGAATGCGGGCAAGATCATGCGAATCGGTTCCTGCTTCTCCACCCGGTCGAGCACGGTGGGGATGAAGGACTCTAGCCCCTTCCAGCCACCACCGTTCTTCTCATAGTCGATCCCGTAGCTTTCAATGATCTTGAGAATTTCGAACGCCATTCTGAGCTCATTTGAGGGAGTTTCGGGAGTCATAGTGGATAACTGCCCATCATAAGAGCCGTTTTGTTGTTGTATAGAGCGCATTCCGTTTGCGGAAAGTATCGGGGGCGCAGCGCTGTCAAGCGGTGGCGTGGCGACCAAATCGACCGCATCGATCTTGATTGGGGCTTGATCGGAATCATCGGCTTCATTGGAATGGCCAATGCCATTCGTGACAGGCTTCTGTGTGTATTGGACAGGCACCGTGTCCGCAATAGGCGCTAGGGCAACCATCGTGACTGGGTGGATTTCAATGTTGTACCAATTGTCTTGCTCCTTTGGATCACGCCTGGGGGGAAAGAACAATAGAAACCTTGGAAAGAGCCGAGTAGTATCCGATCGATCCTTTTATTTGGCTTTTATATGGGGGGCTTGGGCGATCTGGGTTCGCCCTTCCAACTTTGTCCGGATGAGTCTGCGTGGTTTATTCCAGGTCCCCGGCGGAGACGCACATGGCAATCTATATATCCGGTGTTTCCACCAGGGGATTTCTTTCCTGTTTCTTTTCTTTTCTTTTCTTTTTTTTTTCGGGGAGGCAAGTACAGCGCCAGATGACTGTGCCATGGGGCTGCGGACTCAGACATCGGGCATGAAGCTGAACTTAGTCCTCGCGCGAAAAGACCTAAAAAAAAAATCAAGGAGAGCCTGTACTCGTTGGTTCTGTACCACACGACACGGGCAGTTCTGGCTCCGCAACTTGGACCAATATCTAATTGTCGACGAGGTCGAATCGCCCTGGATTCACGCGGCAGGGTACAAGGCTAGCCTCAATTGGAAAATGGCCGCTGTCTTGCTTGAAACTCGGACTGGGAGAGCGAACACGAGGCAACGATGACGAAGTAAAAAGCAGTATCGATCCACGTCAGCAGGAAGCGCGATGGGTGAATGTAGCTGGCTCGACGGTCGGCGGCGAGTAAATACGCTCCTCGACGATACCATATTCAGATGACGAGATCTGCATGGGTGTGCTACGATGGAGGGCCATCAGCAATAGGATCTCGTTTCCACCGTCGCTCGCCACCCTGGACGCCTCGTGGGATCGGCTCGTGAACTTTGTTCGCAGAGTTTGTCAAACTAAATGCAACGGGCAGGTGGTACTTCAGATACCATCTCAATGGTGACACCAAGTCGCGGAGCATTTGTGCTTTGGTACATGATCGCCGCCCTGCGAGTCGGCCAGGAATCGCCCACCTCGTGCAAAACCCTGGAACACGAAGCCCGAAAACGCGAGGATGGCTTCTCAAAGTACAACAAACAAGTTCCGTGTTCCAGATCTAAAGCGCAGCGCGTCAGCTCCCATCTGGTTACCCTCTCACAGTTTCATGATCAGAAGTGGCTGTATACGAATTGTGGGGAGGACAGCATGTTTCGCATACTGGTAGGACTCGAGCTGGACGTCTACCCTCGAGAATATTGGAATAACACCCGGGCATAGTCTTGGACGCTTATTCAGGACTTAGTTCATTTGCACTAGAAGAAAGGCTGACTATCTCCACTGCCCAAAATTCAACCCCAGCGAAAAGTGGACCGCCATAGCGCTTGACTCAGATCCGTTTAGCTCTTGAACGCGACCCAATCATACTCCATGACGCGTGACACAAACCCAGCCATCTCGGGACTTGCCAGTTCTCGAACAAGATGGAAAGTTGCATCCAGGCCTGAGCTTATCCCTCCGGCCGTAATGAGGCGAACAGCACCACCGCAGATAGGGCCAGAATCAACGTAGCGCTTATACACTGCGATTGTTTGGGGCGCGCCCTCGGCGTTGAACCGGCAACAAACTTCACGAAGGAGGTCTACTGCTCGGTGATGCGTCGTTACAGTAGCCCCGCTCAAGATCCCAGCTGCCCCGAGCAGCAGGGCGCCAGTGCAGACCGAAAACAAGACCCGGGGTTTCTCTGAAGTTGGAGCTGAGAGGCGGGCAAATTGGCGAATGAGGTCTATCTCGGCGGTTCCTGACTCAACCATGGGTTGGATCACGGACGGAGGAGCCCCGGGGACAATAAGCATATCATAGTCCGCAAGGGTGTTGACTGCCTCCGCCAGAGTCGTGTCCACGCTTATTGTCAGTGCGCTGTTGGCACGAACAGTCGGCGCTTTAGCAATGGTCTCAGTCACAAACATGCGATCAGGATCATCGGGGTTCTGATTATGGGAGACGTGGGATAACACCTCCATTGGACCGGTGAAATCGAGAATGTCAGCTCGTGGAAAGAGTAACACCCCGACCTTGTAGTATTGATTCGCCGATGCAGACATCTTTTCCAGAGGCCTAGCCCGATGCTATGCTGAAAGTCTTCTTTCCAAGGGACAGGCGAAAGCTTCAAAGATGAGCTACAGGAAAGAGAAAAATAGGATGCCTTTCAGCAGTCTGAGATGATAAACGTCAGTATAAGCATTGATGTCGGCAGTCTTCATTGGGTAGTAAGCCTCAGGCTATAGAAAGGGGAATTGCAGTCGCGGTGAATATTCCATAGCTGAAGGGGACGAGCGGTAATGCCCGAAGTTGTATCGCGGCCATACTTGGCAGATATGGGCTGAGATGACATTTGAAACCGGGAGGCTCAGAGACAAGGATTGGGGCCAGTTCCATGCAGCGGTGATTACTTTGAAATCTGCCGGGAAAGGAGTGTATTCCAGGGTTTTCCATCTCCCCACGAGTCGATTGACTAAGATGGGAGGCGAAAAGGTCCGTCCCATTGCGCTTTGTCAGGTGGATTCATCTCGGTAATTGTGCTACTACTCAGCAGGTTGTGATGAAGCACAGATTTCGGGGATGTTCGAATGTGCGGATCTTGCTCAGGACGCATTGTCTACCTGGAGTTTTCAAGAGCTCCGCGAGTCAGTGTAGTAAAGGGGTATCTGCATCCTGCATTGAGGCCCAAGGTGCGTAGGAAATGCAAGAGTTGAGTTTGCAAAGGGAAATCAGTGCAATCATTCTTCTTACGCTGGAATCTTCACCCCGACGCAAACTTCAGTTATCTAATCTTTTTGGTGGACTCCCCATGCCTACCAAAATCGGTCTTCGGGAACGCAACCCTAAACGAGTTGACCGCATTACCCAAAGTCACCCAGCATAATAGCAGGTCAATCTGGGCGGAAGCTGACTCCTCGTAGACTTCTCCTGCAGTCCATCTGTATGCAATGGCAGTCGGGTTTCTGGGTGAAGATGCCCGTGTCACCGGGTCTATTCCAATTCCCATCCACACATATAACGGGCTCCTCAGCGCCATAGTTCGGGAATGCCTATTGTTCGCCCGAAAGGCCATGTCTCCGATCTCCCAATTCCTGCTGAGAGCCAGCGTCATATAGTCGTTAGCCCTTGGCCAAAAAGGGACTGGGAGACGGAGATTAAAGTCATCATTGGCCGAGAGCCCTCCGCCAGGGCTAAGCAGGCAAGAAGGATGCAGGTGAAGTGATCATCGGAATGGTCCTGAATAATTCGAGTGGTATGTCTTGATTCTCCCTATCACTTTGCATCGGCTGTGAGAGGTCGCTGACCCGGCCAAGCGCGTGATATCCAACGGAAATGGTGCCGCTCGGGCCGCTGAAGAGTAAGGCACTCGGGACGAGCATCTCGCCTTGGATTGTCACACTCGATGCATTGGAGCCGTGGAAGGTCCTGGGCACTATACCAGAGGCCGTGCTAGCAGGTCACTCGGAATAGTGGCAAACTCCAGTTACACAATCGAATTCGCGGAGCTTATCGCTGGAGATTTTAATCAGCACGAGGAGCAGGTCCAAGTTTGAACACCCTTGTTGAAGCGGGCGCCAGACGGCCGCATATCTCCCACATTCCGGGGGAGACTTCCTGGTGGCATCTGGGCACTGGGACCTTCAGCGGAACCGAAGCCGATCGCCCCAGATGCTTAGTATGGCTCATCAACAGCGGGAACGAGAACTTGACTTTGGCTAACGGATCGAAGCGTTCCCACTTGCAGGACGGTGACGTGGTCCGTAAGACTGGTGTTGCAGGACGCGCAGCTTCTGGGGTTGGGTTTGACGAATGTATTGGAGAAGCTACAGCTAGCACTGCAACCGTAGATTAGCAATTGGACTGAAGGACACGATTGACCTAGCTACATTATATGGATCGGCGTCTTCTCTCCATCATTACATGAACAGTTTCGAACAAAGGATTACGTCGGGTATAATTCCGCCCTAGTGCACGAGACTTCCACACCGATATATCTTGGTTGCGAACACTAGCCAGTTCCACAGAATAACGCCCAAACCCCAAAAATGCTCACGCACGTGTCCATATGCACACTTCTTAGCTCCACAGTGGCGGGTGAATGTACTCAGCCGCACGATCCATAATATTTTGTAATGACCAGTCGCCACTGCCTGAGCTTTCGGGTGTAGGTGGAGGAAGAGATCCTGGATTGGGAGTCATGGCAGCTGATCCGGGAGCAACAAAGGCCCCAAAGGAGGCTGCGGGGACTGGAGGATTAGGTTGAGGTTGGTAGGCAGGATCCAAGTGACCATTTCCAGACCGCGTTTTCGGGGTTGCTGAATACCACAAGAAGCTTTTGCAATGCGCGGTGGGTTTTCGCTAAAGATTTGGCCCATTGAGTTTGAGATTCGGCGCCAGGTCCCGCAGAAGAGGTAGCATCGATAGTGGGTGGGACAGCCCCCGCGGGTTGGTCGCACCTGTAACCGGATCGTAGGAAGCCATGCCTTGATCTGAAGACGTGATGTTGCTAGTTGCGACATCGCCGTTGTCATAAGCTCTCTCCGAACTGGCGCGTTGAGCAATGATGCCTTCTAATCGCCGCAATGCAGTCAAAACATGGGAGTCAGACTTGGCCTCTTCGACAACAGCAAGCAGGAATGCGGAACTGATTGCACGTTGTAGCGCAATCCATGACCGTGCCGCATGATAGCTGATGTTATGCAATTCAATGTAGGCATCCACAGTGGTCACCAGATTCGACACACAATCTTTGCGCATGGCGACAGTGTTCGCATCTGCGCGGCCCGCTGACGGTTTGAGAGAGGGACGGCAAAGCTCAGAGCAAAAGTATGATGAGTGAAGCTTCAGCACCACCCGCTCTAGATGCTCCGTGGAGGATGAGCAATACTGGGGATCTCGCAGGTATGGCTTTGCTTCGATCATGATCTGCCGAATGCGCTCCTGGTACTCTTGGAAACTTGAAAAAGTAATATGGGCATTCGGGCTAAGCATGCGAATACGAACAACCTCCAATGCAAGGGAAATCACTTTGCACAGAGTTTCGAAATATGAAAAGTCACCGGGCTGGGAGCCTTCTCGGTAGGCAATATTTGGCTGGCTGACTGCCGTAGTTGAAGGACGATCGTAAGAGAGTGAAAAATGGCTATCTTGCCATGCCATGGACCACCTAGGAACGTTAGCTCATCGTCCTCCGAGACCTGGCAGAATGTTCGTGTTTTCTCACCATGTGTGCCGCCTTCGATACCGCTCTTCTACTGAGAATCGGCTCGACTCTACATGCAGTCCCAGCGCGAGTCCCATTCGAAGAGTCATGCCCAGCAGGACGTAAGATATTCCTGGATTCATATTGTATGAAAGAACATTTCCGATCACCAAGAGCGTTTGTATTGCTTCAATTGTTGGCTGCGACAGGAAGTTTGTCATGCGGAGACATTGATAGGAGCAGCACACTGGATCGTCAGTTAACTTGAACAATATTATACCGATCATTTTTTTTTGGTGACATACCATATACTTGGGATGTTAGTTCTCGCTCTTTACTCCCAAGATCAGACGACTGACAACCCGATGCTAAGACGGCATAGAGAAGACCGAGGTATGCAATACTCGTACCAAATGGCGTTTGGGCTTGGTCTCCATCTTCTCGATAGACTCCCCCAGCCTCGAGACGTTTTGCGAGTAAAAGCTCAAGGTCGTTTTCAAATTTTGTGATGTCTTCAATTACAGGATAAATTGCACCGGAGATATCTCGGTAGTAGTAAAAGAACCTGTGCCAGCGAGGGTTAGTTTTGCAGGGTTTGAAGGGTTCACAAAGGTACTGACTGTCTGCACTGGCCATCTGCCGGTAAAGCACTGCAGACCGCGCTGATATCAAAACTCGACATATCGGACGACCATAGGTCCACGAACGGGTATGTCGCGGATTCATTATCGAGACCCAATTTAGGCAATATACCACCCTCCAAAAGAGCCTGCAGCTGGTCAGAGCCAGATTTGTTATTCAAGATATACGCCATAACTGAGCGCGACCCCAAGTGTACAGTGCCTTTGCCGAACGTGTTCGCCGCGTGAATACCTTCACGCTCCGGAGAGTTGCCCTTGGAACGCGAGGCCCCCTCGGCGCTCTGCACACTCCCCGAATCCGGGCCCACAGCCGGGCTCTCTTCCGCCCGCTCGAGTCCCATACGAAGCGACGAGATTGTGGTTTCCATCTCTTTCAACCGGCTGCGCACATTGTCCCATTCGTCTCGCGCAATAGACACTCTGCCGCCTACCCCCAAATGGTCCGGACCGGGATGTGTATTTTCAGGTTTGACGCGCGATGGTATATCATCGTAGCTGTAGTATTCTGTTGGTTCTGCTGCAGACGACGTTGAGGCGCCGGCGGGGCTCTCAAAGGCTTGGGCTCGTTTCTTGGAAGGTCTTTCGTAAGAGCAGAGGTCTGCATGGTCGCGCTTAACACAGCCGTCGCAAGGCAAGTTCCGATCACATTTCACCTTACGTGCATGGCACGGGTAGCATGCTTTAGGCTCGCGCGCTTTGCGCTTCGTGCGTATAATGGCGTCTATCTGAGCCTGCGGGAGGTCGGTCGGCTTTTTGGCCCCGGCGGCCATGTCGGAGGGCGAAATTGATGTTGACGGCGGATATGGCGATGTCATTTTGTCCTCGAAAGCTCTATCGGCTCGCTGATAATGCTCCGGAGCTGCCCAATACCCGCGCGTCTTCAGGATAACCTCCCGCGGGCTGGACCACGAGTGGGTCGGATTAAAACTTCAAAGATGAGGGATCTAGAGACAAATTTTTAAACAACACTCATTCGCCCATGGTTCTGAGGTGAAGACTGAGTGGGTAGGCAATTGCAGTTGTTCGGAGACAGCGCAGAGAGCCGAGAAGCCTCATGCTCGCTCTTATCGACATCCACTGCGCGCACGTGATAATCCCAATGCGGGAGAGGCAAGGTGGGCGACGTCAGTGACCTTGGTTCCACTGCGACACTTATGTGGGTTTTGGGTCTTCGGAAATGACAGTTATTAACATTCATTCAGTGATTCATTTTGTAAACTGCGCATAGTAGTATTGAGGTGCTCTTCGAATCCTCGATTCCGCATTATCGATATTTATGTCCAATTGATATTTCCGGATCGTCCCGAATCCACGTGGAAAGGGTCGCAGTTATGATCCCCTGCGCATCCCCTGCACACCCTATTACTGTGTATAAACCTGCAGATCTCGAGTATTCTTTCCGAGCAATCAAGCTTTGATACCCTGCTCCTCATCATCACTGAAAGCATATTTAGAGAACCGGCGAATTGCCCTCTCCCTTAAAATAGAAGACATATGGAATAGCACAGCAGGCCAAAGCTATGAAAGCCAGGAGGGAGCTCGCCCACTGATATCCTAACCTCTTGTACATCTGTTCTGTGAACAGCACGGTAGAGGCACCCCATATAGAACGTAGAAAAGTCTTTGCTGCCAGCGCTGAGGCAGCTTGATGCTGATACGTATCGACTTAACGGCTGTTAGTGTCGCGAGTTTCACTTGGGGAATATATCCATACCGAGATAGTTATTTGCTGAGTTGTACAGAAAGATAAAACCAAATCCAACCGGGAATCCTCCTATAGCCGGTCCAATCCAGTGTACATCAGGGTAAGAAGTCCATGCGAAGATAAAGAGACCGATGGGAATAAACCAGCAAGAGTACATCATTGGAATCAGACGCTTTTCAGCTGGAGGCTTGCCATTGTACTGGTGTGAGATCTTGAGGTAACTCTTGTTCACAAATGGAGAGCATGCGGCACTGCCTAGAACACCGATCGCCAGTGGGATAAACATCAGACCAGTCATCGATGCACTCCAGCCTTTGCCGAACTGGTAAACGATCGGGTATGCCACGAAAAACATGTACAGGAGGCCGTAAAGAACGGACATGTAGATGGCGATGAAAAGAACAATGGGTTCAAGCAGAAGTAGCTGGAATGGACGAATAAGAATCATCCGCAACTTCTGTCCCAGAGGGCGAGAGTCGAGTTCTGTCTCGGTGGTGTACGTTGGATCATTCTCTGTCTTGCGCAGCTTCGCAGCTCTTCGCTTCAGCAGCGTTGGAGTGTATGTCTCGGGGACAGTGAATGTGACAAGCGTCCAAGAAACGAAGGACAAAATCAACTGCAGCCAGTAAAGCCACCTCCAGCCGCAGTTGTCGCCAAGAAACCCACCCACGAGAGGGCCAATGGAAGGGCCAATAAAGGGTGCAGCGCTGAATGCTGCCATTGGAACGCCTCTTTCTTCATTCTTCCACAGATCCGATAGAGTACCTCCAACCAATGTCATTGGGGCACTGAATGCGATTCCATCGATCAAGCGGCAGACGATGAGAGTCCCAATGTTTTAGGCCACGGCGCAGGGAATAACGAAGATGACAGCAATTCCGAGGGTAATAGCATATACAGGTCGCCGTCCGAACATTTCGGACAGAGGAGCAAAAGCCATTGGCCCTATAGTTCTGGTAAGCATCTTATTATAAGCTTGGGCATCAAGTAACTTACCCACACCAAATCCAATAACGAATACAGTAACCACCAAAAGACTAACCTCCTCGGAAACGCCAAAAGATTTTCGGGGCCCTGGGATATCTGCTGTAATAATACTACTGCATAGCGCCACGACAAAACATGTAAATGCGACGACCATTGTGCAGTACCATTTGTATGCCTTCGACCAATTCTTGGGGTTCTCGGGGTCGTCGACTGTGAAGGTGACCAGTTTCCAGTTCTCTATCTTTCCGGTTGCATTTGACTGGGCCGGCTTGATGAGTGCGCCTTCTCGTGTTTCCGTTGCGTATTCTCGTAGGTCAGCGCCATTGTTGACTTCGCGAACCGGAAAATCAAGATAGGAAACCTGTTCTTCGGCAGCGGACTCGACACATGCAGTTTGGCTGGTGTAGTTCGCCCCAGATCCCGGAGATTGGGGGGCATCCATATCAATCCGAATACCAGTAAATGTTCAATGTCATGATAGTTGTGCGGAGTACGTAGCAAGAGACTTTGGTTTTAGGATACGGTATCATGATAGTAGCCAAACCTACTACGATGAGAATGTTATGATGACATCGTAATTTTTGAAATACTATGACAATGCCTATTTATTCTAATTACTCTCCTTTTCACGAAAGTTTTTGATCTTTTCAACCCTTGTTACAGCGGGCTAGATGTGGAGTACGCGACAGGAATGATACTGTGGGTTCGTGTTCTGGAATCACACGGAGGCACCTCGTCACCCCCGGAAGGCCGGGAGAAACGGAAGAAACAGACGAAACCATTACGAGTTAATTACAAGTCGTTGTCAAAGTTTGACGATATACTGATAACATTATGAAGTGGATATACAAAAGAGTATGCTACAGTGATGATCTCCCCGACGAAGAAAGAGGTAGGCCTAGACAGGTATCAGTATCTGTTTCCTTAGAATCAAGGTCATAAATATAAATTGCTATGTTGAGTGATTCTCGGCATTTTTTATCTTCTTTCCTGTGAGATGACTACTAGGAGGACATCGACCTTATAAGCTCTCTTGTGCACTAAGAGTATCATATCAGTACCTTTATAAGACGAAAGGGCCTGTTGAAAAGATATACTACAGCCAGCAGTAGGTAAGAGAACTTACAGAGGTTGCAAACTGTGAGTTTTCATTACCGTGGAGACCGATCGCGGAATGTCATATATAATTGACTGTGTGCACCTCTCGAGGGCCAAAGGCGTGAACGTCACATTTATTAGACTGCTCTGTGTGTGACTGTGTGCCCATGATCTGACACTAACCACCCCCTGACGATATCAAGGCGATGTACAGCATAAGTCGATTGAACACAATAGCTTTTTTGCCATTTAATTATTCTACTTTTGCTTTTCTTATTTATCAAAGTAGATCATGTCATTCCAACTTCTGTATGCCTTATACAGTCTTTACGAGTTCTGTGGCTGCTTCGGGTATTGATCTTGTTGATTATCGCGCGGAGTGCTTAAATTTAAACGATCTAGATCACTGAAGGTACGAACGACTCTTCATTGCGAAGGCAAGTTGAAAATTCCCATTCGGAGGGCAGCTTGGTTCCGACCGCCTCGTCAAATCATGGGAACAAGTGATAAGTCCAAGCATTCGCGATTCTCGCGGGAAAGTGGACCTTCGCTGGAGTTTAATTGAGTCTTTTCGTAAAACAGTCTACCGCGACCCATCAGGTCTCATTTTATTGGATAAAACTTATCTCTAATCACGTGATGATAAGATCCCGAAAGAGGCTAGCGCGGGGCTGCTGCTCAGTTTTTCCTAAAAGTTGAAGAGTCACCCACCGCGGGGAGTCTTGAATTCCTTACTCAAGCCAAACTTGAGAGGCAGTCCTCCTCCTTTTTCCCGAGGAGGATTTTTTTAAGTTCAATCAATTTCGGGAGAAAAATTTTTCGAGCATGTCCTCTACAGATTCCTATGTTGCCATCCCCGGCTCGGTGGCGTTCTCCCGGTCGCGCGGGCATGCTATTGCTGCAAGCCTAGGAGTCCAGGACGTTCGAGCCCAGTGGGTTCATTATGTCCACCTTTCCCGACCCCTTAACGATTCTCAGCGCGCCGCTCTCGAGCAGCTGTTGCAATACGGAGATATCACCGACATTCCGCCCACCTTCAATTCCAGCGACGGCCACTTCGATACCTTCTACATCTTTCCCCGAACCGGAACTATCTCGCCATGGAGCTCTCAGGCAACCGGAATTTCACACGTGTGTGGCCTTCGTCAAGTTGTGAAGCGCATTGAGCGTGGTATGAAAGTATCCTGTCTGCGCAATGGGGAGCAGGACTACAAGTCTGGATACAAGGATGTGCTCCACGACCGCATGACCCAGATTATCAGCAACGAAGAGCCAGACCTTACTGCCATGTTTTCGGAGCACGCCCCTCTGCCTTTGAAGACAATTCCCGTACACAGCAGTGACAAGTCCCCCAAGGAGGTTCTACAGGAGGCCAACAAAGAATTAGGCCTGGCGTTGGATGATTCGGAGATCGACTATTTGGCGGAAGCGTACGGCCCCAATGGTGCGATTGCTCGGGACCCTACGGACGTCGAGCTTTTCATGTTTGCTCAGGTCAACTCCGAGCACTGCCGTCACAAGCAATTCAACGCCTCTTGGGTTATCGATGGCCAGCCCATGCCCAACAGCCTCTTCGCTATGATTCGCAACACGCACAAGAAACACCCCGAATTCACAGTCAGTGCATACAGCGACAACTCTGCTGTTTTGGAAGGCTCTGAGGCTGCTTTCTGGGCACCAAACCCCACCACCGGAGAGTGGAACCATACCAAGGAAGTTGTGCACTTCTTGGCCAAGGTTGAAACACATAACCACCCAACCGCTGTCTCACCATACCCTGGTGCTGCGACTGGCTCTGGGGGTGAAATTCGAGATGAAGGTGCTACTGGACGTGGTTCCCGTCCCAAGGCTGGTCTTTCAGGCTACTGTGTGTCTGACCTTTTGATTCCCGGTCTGAGGCAGCCTTGGGAACTGGATGTCGGCAAGCCACAGCACATTGCCAGCAGTCTCGACATTATGCTGGAGGCTCCCATTGGTAGCGCTGCTTATAATAACGAGTTTGGCCGCCCTGTCACTGCCGGTTACTTCCGAACTCTCCTCACCGAACTTGACATTGGCAACGGACAGAAGGAGCTCCGTGGTTACCACAAGCCCATTATGATCGCTGGCGGTGTTGGTACTGTCCGACCTCAGCATGCGCTTAAAAACCCAGACATTGTCAAGACTGGTTCTTACCTTGTCGTTCTTGGCGGTCCTGCGATGCTTATTGGTCTTGGAGGCGGTGCGGCTTCTAGTATCACATCTGGGGAAGGCTCAGCAGACCTCGATTTTGCTAGTGTCCAGAGAGGCAATGCCGAAGTGCAGCGAAGAGCCCAAGAGGTCATTAACGCGTGTGTTGCTATGGGAGATAATAACCCCATTAAGTTCATCCACGATGTTGGGGCTGGTGGTCTGTCGAACGCCCTTCCTGAATTGATCCATGACTCCGGTCTGGGTGCCACCTTTGAACTCCGAGAAATCGACAGCGCGGACAAGGGTATGAGCCCCATGCAAATTTGGTGCTGCGAGGCCCAGGAACGATACGTTCTCGCCGTTGGTGAAGAGAGCATGAACAAGTTCACTGCTATTGCCCAACGTGAGCGCTGCGGTTTCTCTGTTGTTGGCCGGGGAGGTGGTACATCTGAGGAAGAGAAACGACTCATTCTATTGGACCGGGAGTCTAAGGAGTACCCATCCCCGATTGATCTCCCATTGTCCGTCCTCTTCGGCAAGCCACCACGTATGACAAGAATTGTCGACTCGCGCAAGTTGACCTTGCCCGCTATCGATTCAAGCCTTACAAAATACCTGCCCTCGCTTTCAAACAAGGTCGAAATTGTCAGTGAAGCTGTCAACAGAGTTTTGTCTTTGCCAGCCGTCGGTTCAAAATCATTCTTGATTACGATCGGTGACCGAACTGTGGGTGGTCTTACTGCTCGTGACCAGATGGTCGGCCCATGGCAGACACCCGTCGCCGATGTTTCGGTTACTGCCACATCGCTGCTTCAGGGTGTTAAGACTGGTGAGGCTATGGCTATGGGAGAGAAGCCTACTCTGGCTCTCATCTCCTCTGCTGCCTCCGCTCGTATGGCTGTCGCCGAGTCCCTCATGAACTTGGCCGCGGCCGATTTGGTGGAGCGTCTCACCCATGTCAAGCTCTCCGCCAATTGGATGTCAGCTAGCAGCCACCCAGGTGAAGGTGCGGCTATCTACGAAGCTGTTGAGGCTATCGGACTAGAGCTGTGCCCCAAGTTAGGTATCAGTATTCCCGTCGGCAAGGACTCGATGTCTATGAAGATGAAGTGGAAAGATGAGCAATCGAAGGAAGCTAAGGAGGTTACCGCTCCCATGTCTCTTGTCGTATCGTCTTTTGCCCCTGTCGGTGACTTCCGTAAAACCTGGACTCCAGCTCTTCGCAGCTTTGAGGAGGTTGGCGAGACTGTTCTCATGTTTGTTGATCTTGCCTTCGGCCGTAAGGCTCTCGGTGGCTCTGCTCTCGGTCAAGTGTTCAACGAGGTTGGCAACGAGAGCCCTGATGTTCGCGACGTTGATATCTTCCGAGACTTCTTCGATGCTACTCAATCTCTTCAGGACGCCGGCATTGTTCTAGCCTATCACGACCGCTCCGACGGTGGTCTTATAACAACGCTCGCGGAGATGATGTTTGCTGGCCGATGTGGCACTGAGATCATGCTCGACCAAATCTGTTCCTCGTTCAACACCAAGGACGTCATCGAATGTCTTTTCAACGAGGAATTGGGAGCTGTCTTCCAAGTTCGCAAGGAGCATGAGATTCAATTCCGATCTTGCTTCGCTACTTGCGGGCCGCCCCCGGGTCTAATTTCAAAGATTGGTCGCGTTTCTGAGAAGAAGAAGCAGAACCTTGTCATCTACCACAAGGCATCTCTCATTTACCGCAATACCCGTGCTGACCTTCAGCGAACCTGGGCCAAGACATCTTATCACATGCAGAAGATTCGTGATAACGCCGAATGTGCGGAGCAAGAATACGAGAACATCCTCGATGACTCCAACCCTGGTCTGTCATGGCGACCAACATTTGACCCCAAGGACCGTGGACTGCCTATCATGACCAGTTTGTCCCAGTACTCCCCCTTCAGCAACAAGCCGCGCGTTGCGATTCTGCGTGAGCAGGGTGTCAACAGCCAGGCGGAGATGGCCTTTGCCTTCAACACGGCTGGCTTCTCCGCAGTCGATGTGCACATGACTGACATCATCTCTGGCCGTGTCTCCCTTTCCACCTTTGCTGGTCTCGCTGCTTGTGGTGGTTTCTCCTATGGTGACGTTCTCGGGGCCGGCCAAGGCTGGGCCAAATCGGTTCTCCTGCATGAGAACACTCGCAATGAGTTCGAGGCATTCTTCAAGCGCCCCGATACCTTCGCTCTGGGTGTTTGCAATGGCTGTCAGTTCTTGTCCCGTGTCAAGGCTCTTATTCCCGGTGCCGCCCATTGGCCCAGCTTCGAGCGCAACACTAGCGAGCAATACGAAGGTCGTGTCTGCATGGTCCGCATCTCCGACCCCGATCCTTCTCGCCCCAGCGTCTTCTTCCACGGCATGGACCGCAGCGCCCTGCCAATTGCCGTCGCCCACGGCGAGGGTCGTGCATCCTTCGCTCCCACCACCTCTGTTGCCAACTTTGTGCGCGAGGGTCTTGCCCCTGTTCGTTACGTTGACAACGCTACTCTCAAGCCTACCACTCGCTACCCATTTAACCCCAATGGCAGTCCAGAGGGTATCGCTGGTGTGCGCAACGAGGATGGCCGCGTACTCGCCATCATGCCTCACCCAGAGCGTACCGTCATGAACGGTATTGCTAGCTATCTGCCCGCGGACGCTGAAGCATGGGGCGACATTGGGCCCTGGGGCCGCATCTTCTTCAGTGCTAGACGCTGGGTTGGTTAGGTTAGATTGATGTTATGTTATATGATGCTATCACGTGCAGCGCTGGCTGCTTTCTGCTCTTTCTGTCAATATTCATGTTTATATTTCAAGGACACTATGGGAGTGAAAATGGATTACGTGGAGGAGTATAAGATAAAGAACAATTTATATTTGAATGAACTCAATCTCCTCTTTTGGAGTTAGGGTAGAAGTACTTGCAGAAATTGGGCAGTATTGCATCCGACGTGTGTGACGCCAATAGTTGCAGTATTACTAGCTTATAGAAACTAGTATATTCGTGGACCGAACAAGCAATTCATTATTTGGGTATCAAATCTACTAGTAGCTAAAAAGCAAGTTCATCAGGGTTATCTGCGTAACCACAGCCATTAATATCATAGCAGCCCTCTCCGGGAACCTGATCAGAATTTCACCAAAGCTTTTCTCCACTCCAGCCTCTCTGCCAAAATATTCCAGCTAGGCAATCCATCTGCTCGAGCAATTCCCTTCAGCCCATCAGCAACGAAACTGATCAGATGGTCAAATCTAACTTTCACATTCCTCATTCGCAATTCGTAGGGATCGTCACGGAAGGATATGGTAAGGGTATGCTCCTGATCCAGAGGATCATCGTCTTCATCTGAATCAGAATCTTCGTTTTGCCCTCGCCGGGACGTTCGAGATATGAAGCGAGAGTCGGATATTCCGTCTTCGGGGGCTGCTGCTTCGAAGGCGTGTGCGGCTTGCAAGTCTGCAAAGTGGATGCAAAGATCCAAGATATTGATTACTGCCTCGTGAATTGGTGACAGACCTGGTGATAGGAGGAGTTGGTCCTCTAGCGAGGCTAGATAAGACTCGTGAGCTGCAATCATAGCATCAACATCCTCGGCCTGGGAGAGTGACAAGCGGAAAGCCTGTCTCTCTGGTCGAAATAACTAAGTGGGTGAAGTGCCCGTAGATAGAATCGATAAACCATAGTAAATTGTGGTGGAGAGCGTGAACAAAGTTGCTCTGAGTCCCAGATTGGAGGGTTCGGAAATCTCGCAAACGCTGTCGCACAAGGGCGTATTTTGCGCGGCGGATTTGCATTAAGAATTTCGAGATGCGTTGATATGACTGGGTTGCGCTCTTAGGGAAAATATTTGCAACAGGCCAGGGGAGAACATAGTCGATTGATGTTGATTCGAGGGTGCGCACAGATCTGCTTGGAGGCTCCGTACTGCTTGATAGGCCATCTGTTCGTACAACCAGTCTTGACTGGTCGAAGGATGCTATGACACTGAACGTGGATCTGAGTAATTCTGTCAGGAGGAATTTGTCATCCCAGTCTCGCCCACGGTCCATGAGTTCAAAGATCTTAGAGTCAATCAATCCAAGGATGCTCGAATCTCTGCCAAGGTAAACATACTCCAAGGCGTCGATTGAATTCCAAAGACCGCATTGCTCGTCGAGTTCGGTTCGCAGCCTGCGAGCGCTGACGGCGTGGTTCGCGTCGATCAGCTTCTCTAAAGACGATTCGACTAGCGCGGAGAAGGGAAGAGGAATAGATGACAGTGTTTCGGGATGGGAAACATTTCGGAATATCGTCTCCGAATTCTCGGAAGGCCCAGGGCCGTCTGGAAGAGCATTCAAGTGATGCAGGAAAACCATGCTCTTGCCTGTGGTAAAGATTCTGTTGACAACGGGCTCAAGGAAGCGAGGTATGTTTTGGTGTTGGACCCCTTCATAAAGAGCGTACCAGTCATGCCAAAGAGTACGCAGGTCCCCACTACCTTGCAATTTGTGCACAAAGAAGGCACTGTCGAGAGGATCAACATGACCATTTTCCATCCAAAGTTGGATAGATCGAGCGTATGTTTTGAAGCAAGAGAAGAAAAGAGCGGCAAAGACCTCAAATCCGCTCGTGTCCCCCAGAGCTTCCAACATACAAACGAAGTCATAGAGTAGATCGAGACACCGCATTGGTTTACCGTCCTGCCCCAGGAAGAGACCAGGTCGGCCACCTGAACGAGATGTCTGGACTGCTCACGCACATCGTCGAAAAGACGAAGGACACTGACAGTTGATCCAGGAGAAAGGTAGGAGCATTCATTTTGAGAAAGCATGCCGTCAAATGCTCGCAAACGCTCTTCGAGACCCCAACGAAACGTCTGCATGTAAGGTATTGTTTGAGGAGACGCCGTGAATTGACGGACCGTGTCAACTTTGGCGCCGATCTCCGTAAATGAAGACAGAAGTGCAGAGATTGCTTCTGTAGAGGAGTGCGCAATGGTGAAACGATGATCAACTTCGATTCTTTGATCCAGGCGCCAGAAAATCGAAGTTGGCAAGCCGCGGAGCATGAAAATTGTTTCTCTAGCCAGTTGTAGCTCTGAAATGACCCGAGACGCAACCTCGTTTCCTTTAGCGTGTGGTGCCTTGGCGTAATTCTCAGCTTTCCAGAATTGCGCTTGCTCAATGGATGCAATCAGCTGCTCATCAGTCTCCGGGATGAAGACGTCTGCCGGTATCTCATAGTCCTCTTCTCGAGTTTTCGGTGTACGTGGTGATATTTTCGGAAGAGACTCATCAGTTCGAACAGAAGCGATTTCTTCGTCAGATGAACCGGCACCAAAATCGATTTCTTCCCAGATATCTTCATCGCTATATGCAGCTCCATGGGAATCTAGATCAGTCCAAGTCAGTTTCCCTGCCTCGACTGTCTTAGTGGATACCTTTGGCGGTTCAATCTTCGCAAACTGAGCCGGGCGATCGGACAGTTGCAGGAGTAAGCTCAGCAACTCTGGGGTCCATGGGTTGCGACAGCCGTCTAGCTCGCCAAGCCGATCCCTGAAAGCCTCAGCTAAATCGTCTCGGTTGAGGACCTGGAACTTCTCCTGCAGGCCATCAATCTGACGAGAGACTTCGAACTGATTTGTGCGCACGTGAGCACCAGGTCGTAAAGATCCCTCCACGCGACGTTTCAAGCCTTTGACGCGAGTAGATTCCTGAAAACCAAGTGAGCGTAAGTTCAGAGAACGCGCGGGATGCGATATCTTACATTCTGGCTGGGGGGAACCCTTGCTACAGTGGTGACCAACTGATCAGCGAGCAATGCTATGGCCGCAGGCGCCATTGCAGAAAGAATCGATGGTGTCGATGAAGAGGAGGTGCCTTTCTTCCATGCGGGAAACGCGAATCCCGGCGCCCCCCCCTTCCGCTCTGTGGTTGGCCAGTCACTGTGGGTTTTGTTAGGTAAGCAGCGTATACTCTCACCTGATTGGACGAATCAAGGCCATCTGGAAGAGTAACTTATGCTAGGCAGTTGAGGTCGTGTGGCTATTTCAACAGCCATGCTGACTGGACGATCTTTGTTACTGCGAAATACTCATCTCAGAAATTTCCTTTTGCCACCAAGACCGAGACCCTACGATTCCGCTCATATTCCTGACATGGCTGGATCGACAGCTGCAAGGTCCAACCGTCAATGGAAAGGACCGTTGAAGTGGGGAATCATTCGAAGTACATTCATTCCCACGAGGCCGAAAGAACCGGAGTAATCCTACACAGAAGACTATCTGGAATACCCTTACCTGAGACACTTCAAACATCCAAAGAATTGGGTGGCTTCTATTCTCAATGGCAGAGAAAATGTCCTTTCCAGTTCCACTGCCTTTACGTCAGGATGCCGGTGCTTTTCATGAGCCTGGAAAGGTTCCGGGCTATTGTATGTGGGGGAGCAAATGGAAATTTTGTACCTGATCATTGGACTGGCATGTTCCTTCTATTTGTGCTTCTGGCGTGCGTGTCACTTTTCTCATACCGGGGGCGCCTATTACACTAAGTGGCTAGGAGTTTCGCGACGGTTGTTGCGACGTAGTTTAGCACACTTCTATTTGGTACACCTGTAATCAAAGAGCTCTATCAGTCCAAGATTTTTCTCATTTCTCCTTCAGCGACGTATCATGTAGTCTCCGCGACGATTGCTTCTCAGCGGTCTCTGTGGCATTGAGGGCGTTACCTTGAAGCTTCAAGGCCGGTACTGTTGAGGCCCCGTAGTCCAGGTCTGCTTTGCGCCACATAGCGACGACATCTTCTTGACAGTTTGCCTCGTGTTCAAGAGCTGTATCATGTGATCCGCGACATGGCTGAATGATATGAGGAAGTACCACAATGCTGCCTGGGCCAGGGCGGATGACCCCGAACTGACGGTTCCGATTCTCCCTTTGACGAGTTGGCCGAACCCAAGTCCCGAGGATGAAAAAATGTGAGCGGGCAAGCCACGACAGCAGGATGTTGTTAGAAAGTCCGAAGAGCAGGAGAGCTGGGGTCCAGCGACCCAATACAACTCCACTTACAAACCAAATTACAGCCATTAGCTATTGTCCCTACAATTCTACTCGAAAAGTTTATAATTGTAGTATTTGACACTACAGTTGTTTTATGACGGTGGTAGCATCAGACATTTTTGGCGTTTCTACTCGCATTTTTCCCCCATATTGGGTTGGGCTTGGGCGTCGTCTGTTGCGCCTTTTGCGCTGCCGGAGCCCAAATATCCGCTATTGAAGGCCCAGCACCGGACCTCAGAGAAAGGAATTGATGGCAGCTTCCCTTCGATTTATGACATGCAAAACAATATCAAAGGTAAATTCTACCCGGAAAAGGTTCGCAATAGACAATAGTTCAATCTTAAGCCACCGAAGGCAACAAACTCCTGATTATACATGATATCCGAGACATGGCCTAGAAAAATTCAGCAAGAAATAAAATCCACAAAACGCCACGCCAGACAAGCAAGTTGCGCATATCGCAAGGACCACCAAACTTCGGAAAACAACAAATAGCCCCGCCGAATAACAGCCGTCTGTGAGCGACGGCGAAAACAAAGGTAAATACATTACTAAATTAAATAAATCAAGCTTTATTAGACCCTTTCTTCCCGAACCGCAATCCCATGAATCCGCGTGCAATGGTCGCCGAGCTATTGTGACGTCCATGGCGCAGCTGGCTCGGCTTCCGCCCGAAGTCCGAGTCGTAGGACGACTGGCTCATCTTCTGGCTATAGAAGGTAGTCCCGGGAGCAGGGGCTTGCAGGTTTATCTCTGAGCGAACGCTGGCCAGAGAGTGGACGCTGGATGCGGCGGAGTGCTTCCGTCCTGATCGTCGCAGCACCTGTGGTCGTGGCGGGAGCGAGTGGGAACTATGTCCTGGTTGCCAGTCCCGGGTCGAAGAGAGGGTATACGTAGATGAAGGAGGAGAGGAGGCGATGGAGACGGGGCTCGCGGTGCGGGATATCCCCGCCTCGCTGTAGCACTCGGGCATATAGCCTTGACGGAGGGTATCGATGTAGGGTGATCCGGAGAGGCTGGGGGCAGGGGAGTGGGAGTGGGAGAGGACGCTGGTATTACTATTGGTGCGCACCGCAGAGGGACGGACTGTTTCGGTGATGTGTCTGGCACGAGTCTGGACTAACTGTGATGGGAGTGGCTGATCTAGATCTGCTGTCCTGGGTCGAGGCTGGTATATCGATTGTGGCCTTGCCCGTGGTGACGCGGGACGATATGGTGCCGTTTGTGCATTAATGGGACCTCCTTCTTCGGGTACGGTTAACATGTCCGGCGCGGAGGTCGTAGAGCTCTTGCGGTCTGTTCCGCTGGATACGGACGCGGGTGGTGTTGGAGGCTTCATATCAATGACTCGAGGGAAGTCGAACCCGGTTTCCAACCTGCCGTCAAACACGCGGGACTCACGATTGCGAGCATTGCCCCGTGAGCGAGCATTGGTGGGTCTGGGCTTGGAGCTCTTTGATCGAGAGCCCAACGCATTAATAAAAACCAAAGTCGGACGAGTCGGCGGTTGCAACAAGGTGATTTGCTGGGCAACCTGGATCTCAGCCGATTCCATGGAGAAAATCGACGATGGAGAGGCCGAGCGGGCTCGCTGGGTCGAAGAATGGGTCGCACTAGGAGTGTAGACCGACCGTGGAAGGAACAGACTCGATGATAAACCGGGCGATGATTCGGGAGACGGCAGCTCGAGAATCATTTCTTTCTCCGGGTCAAAGACGTGGGTGTTGTCCTGGAACGTCACATCACTCCGTCTTTTTATCGTATCCATTGAAACGGGCCGAGGGCGCTTTGAGGAATACGAAGAGAACAATGGTTCTTCTTGCTCCTCACCGTCCGAGTCGAGGTCCATGTGCGAGTTCTCATCTGCACTGAGATCGGAATCCAGAGTATCAGCCCGCTGCGAGCCCACCAGAGACGGGACCAGATCGGGGCCTCCATCGGACTCGGACGCATCTTCCTCGTCTGATTCGTAGTGTTTCTGGAGGTTCTGCCGACTCAGGCGATGTAAATCCAGCGAGGCGATTGACTCGTACATCTTGGTCGTTTGAAGATAGTGTATCTGGAACAAAGCATCAATTGTGTTTCACCCAGATCGATCTAAATCCGTCCCAGACAGAACGAGTGGAGAAGAAAGCACGGCAGGAAACAAGAGTGGGAAGCCAGTTCACAGAGAATGGAGGGTCTAGGGAACAAGTCAATGTCCCCAGAAGGATACAAAAGGCGTCAGAGGTGTATAGGGCCTCGTCGAATCCACCAGAAATTCCAGTCCCAGTTTAGGGTGAGGGAAGGTCTTTAAACGGGATTCTTAGTGCCACGAAGCCGGGAAGCGCCTTTGACCAGATCCAATGTTGACAGGAATAGGATCCTAGTATGGCAAAGGAGTATCCACCTGGGAATTGATCCACAGGAGGGGCGGGAGGGCTTTTTTAGGACTGGGAAGCGCCATCTGCAGGAGGGGAGGGGAGCAGTAATTCAATCCCTGTCCACGTGTGGTGGAAAATGCTGTACCTGGCTACGAAAGTTCTGTTATCTAGTTTCTTTCTTTCTGTATTTTATTTTTAATTTTCCGCCAGCTCACCAAGCAGCGTGGGGTCCTGGACGGGGCCAACTACAGGCAATTGAGGCGTTATGGTTCGGTGGAGGGAAACGCCCCCCGGGGCTGATGATTGGCAGTGGGGGGGATGGGAAGGACCTCACCCTTGCATCGCGCGACCAAGGCGACTAGAGGGGGTGCACAGGCTTGACCGTTTCAGCGGTGAAACGACGCGCCCTCCGCATCGTGGGAAACCTTCAATTCCAGGGGCTTGTATCGTCTGTGACGCCGGAAACTCGATAGATCAACGTGAGAGATGGGACGCTTGGAACGCGCTCAGGTACCACCGCTCATCATTGGTTTCGTCTACCGCAGGATGGACACTAAGCTATCCAATGCAAGACATTCAAGCCGGGTCTGCTTCAAGAGGTACAAGAGTGGGACCCGTATGATCGGCTGCTACCATGGGTTCTTTCCAGGCGGTTGATATCATTTGGTGGAAGGGTTCATCACAGTGGGGCGTGCGAATGGAATCACCGCCCTTCAACATTGCCAAGTTAGCCGCCGCTCCAGCGCAGTGGGGCCGTGTATAACTCAAACACACTACGAACTCGAAAGCTCGCGCCATAGGATTATGCACCGCAAGAATCTGCACCTGGTCCATGCCAGGGGCACTTGACGTACTCTGATACGTGTGAGAGGCCAGTTCTATGCGGAACTAGGGCCCTCCTTCTCCTCCCCCTAAAGGGCTAACAGGAACCAACCTTGGTAAGGTCATACCACCCCGGCTTTCAGGGGCATCAGGGGCAGTCTTGTGTTGCAGTAGTCCCTCTTTAGAAAGGATCAAAAAGGATGCAAACCCTGGGTATGCTGACCGCAGGAGAATTCCACCTTGAACAGGGTGGCCTTTTCCTAGCCCGCGAGGGCGTGTCATTCACATGGACTACGGGCTCGGAAAACTACGGAGGGCCGCGGATGTAGAAAAACCCAAAGATCCAACATCAGCCTATGCAAACCCAATTGATAAAATTATTGTGCAGCAGAAGCATCGAACCGAAATACTGGTCGGAGTCTCACAGACCACGCTCTTGTGAGGCAGGACGCTCCTTGCGTACCATAAATGTCGGCGATTTCTCTCCACAAAGTCTGAGCTTCCGGGCGCTATCGTTTCGAATATTTATAGCGTTTTATTTATGCAAAAGGATGACGACAACCTTCAAGTTGATGCCTTCCCCTGCGAACATTCTTATCATCTTCATCTTCTATCGCTTACTCCCAGGCTCTGATGTTCGCAATCGTCCCATTCATGGCCAATAGATAACATTGAGACGCTCGGGCACGGCCCCCAAAGAGGAGGAAACGCTTGGGTGGCCTGGCTTACCAAATATCAGAAGCAGTGTTATCTGTAATAGAGAATAGAACCAATTCAGGAACTATCCGACTTTGCTGACCATGTTCTTGCACCAACTACGCGAACCAGTCGTACCAGATTTCCGTACTACACCAGATAAAGCAGTTCCGGCCCATTCCCATGTGATTTTAACTCCCGTCTGGATTAGAACACAATTAGGCTTCTCATCAGGAGGGACATGCTGAAAGCGACAGTTTCCAACCCCAACCGGTCCCCTTTTAGATTAAATGGCATGCGCCGGCGCCACGGCGGGATGGAAGCGACCCTGACAAGTTTGACCCCGGGCTTGGTTCTTTGTCATTTTAGTTCCAATCTGCCAGAAGCTCCCTTTGAATTCTGCGTCTCCAGCCTTCAAAGACCTCTCCGACATCAGCACATATCGAGGCATGCCGCTAGTGGAATATCAAATCTTTTGCTGGGACGCAAGGCACGCCCACGTCTTCCAACCTCCCAGTTGACAGCTGGACCCGCTCGGCCCATGAGCAAACAGCGTTTGGCGCTATTGAAAATCTCCCGGCCACGCTACGGCTGCGGCGGGGTCCATTCGCAAATAATCCGATCCATCATCTGTCACTGCATCATGCATTGTGCTGCATATCTCCTTGCCATGGTCTATTGGTTTTCGGGGTGGGAGAAAAGGCTATTGTTCTGCATGGCCCACTTAGCACTTAGGTATGCCACTGGGTATGCAAGCCTATCATTGGGCCCCGGAGTTCAACTTTTGACATTGGAAGGAGGCTGGTGATTCTCCGTGCCTCGAGACCCTTCCCAGCTGAATTATTGAGGTCGAGTACAACTTCGAAAATCCGAAGGCTTGTACGTTTTTACCTAGCGTCAAGCAAGTATTGGCAGTCCAGGATGATTTGTTCCCTGCATCATGACGTTGGTCACGCGAATGGACCTGTCAAGTCCTCGGGCATGTTTGCTCGTCGCACAAGCCACCTGCAACAATCGACACCCCGGTCAGTACCTGCATAAGGAGGGACTCGGCGATGTGACGCTGCACATTAGACTTCGAACGAGCCCTTCAAAGTTTGCTGTTTCCATATCAACACGTTTGTTTGCTGTTGATGGTTTTGATGAGACTAGTGGGCTTGATTCCACCTCAATTGTTTGAGGGATTTAACCAGACAGCAGAATATCATTTTATTTGGTCTTTTGTCCCATGCGGGCTCTCCAAGGCTCCCACTTACCCAGGTGGCTACCAAATGCCACATGCAAGTGATGCATGGCTAATAACGGCTTGGGCTCCGGGTGGCCCTGCCTTGCCTGCTTGCCTGTCTCCTTCGAATTCCGGCCGCCGAGTGGGATTGCCACTGGGGGCCTATAATCTTAATGGCTTCAGGGGGCTTGCTAAGCGGTGGGTGGCGCATGATGAAATCATTTATTGTTTCTCGATTTTCTCGGACGAACTGATCGAAATACAGGCTTTCGTCCTCCCTTTCAACTTAAATAGGACACTAGACCAAAGCCTACAAAAAGAAAAAGAGAAATTGGCATGAATGATTACATTTAGCATATATGGGCCTAATCTATAATACTAACAAGAAGGGGGGGAAGATGCACTCGAAGAAGAGATCTGCCACCAGCAAATCAGGGTACAAACGACAAACATGAACCAAACATGAACATGATATAGAATACAACCAAGGCAAGACTGCTCCAGAGTCTGCTTGGATGGAAGGGAAAAAAGAAATGCATCAACCCAGGGACTTCCACCGCCCCTCCTCAAAATGCTCCAACTGGGCATACGATTCTTCCCACTGGTCCGTACCACGTAGAACACCAGACCGCTTGTCTGACATCGTGAAAGGTCATTCATTAAAAGGAAATATAAGATGATCACCACAAAGCAGCTTTTCTCCTTTCGCACTCGCTCGGGACATTAAAGCTGTAATGACATGGGAAGAATTTTGACACCCAAGATAATTGATCAGAAGGTAGTTCAACACTTCTTTAGTGACCGGGTGCTCGTCTCGGTCTCTCACACCTCCCCTCCCCAAAGAGGTTTGAGTAGAAAACTCAATAATTCTTGGCATTGTTTACGCCTTGCGAGAGCGGGTGACAGGGCCGTTGGAGCGGCCAGTTGAGGCAGCACCATTGGAGCCCTTGGACTTGGGAGTGACGGGGATCGCTGGAGAAGGAATCTCGAAGTTGCGCATCTCGATGAGTGACTTCTGGCCGGTGTTGCGGCGAGGACGGCCAACCTTGGCCTCCTTCTTGTAGGTTGCGATGTAAAAACCAATGAACAAGAACAGGTATGAGGTGATGATGGCAATACCAGCCAGGGCAGCGAATTCCTCACCCGCGCACTTGCCCATGTTGGGGGCCCATGGGAAGTAAACGGAGGAGAAATAGGTGTACGAGGCGAAGTAGATGAAACCGACATCAATGACGAACTGAACGATCTGCAGGATGGTGATGTACCGCTTCCACCAGATACGGATACCGCGGGCACTCTGGAAGTAGTACCAGTACATGACCACGTGGACCAACAGGTTGATGGTGATGGGCACCCATTGGACGGCAGTCAGACCAATAAGCTGAGTGTAGCAGAGAAGAGCCGTGGCACCGTGGTGATAGGTGTGAAGGAAGGTCAAAGGCTTCTTCTTGAGGACGAGGAACAGGGTGTCCATGAACTCCCAGTACTTGTTGACATAGTTGAGCTGTGGGGTCGAGGTTAGCGCGCGTGGTTGAGCTGTTAATTATTGGATGACTCACGTAGTAAAGAACGATGAGAGGCTGAGTCCATCCACCACGGTGGTCACAGATGGTGTAGAAGACACCGTTGCGCCAGAGAGTGGGGATCAACTGTTCCATAAACAGGACCAACAGGACACCACTGATGATAGTGAGGATCAGGTTGTGGAGCATGAAAAGAGTGTTGAGCTTGAAAGCAGGGAAATTCTTCATCACCTCGCGACCACCAAAGATCACGACATAGTAGGTAACGAGGATTGCCGCGGTTTCTTTGAAGGTGGAAAGTGCGGTTACACCCTCCTCGAACTTGAACTCGCTGGCAGGGTATCCTTTCACCATCTCAAAGGCCTTATCAAAGATCGGCCAGAGGTGAACGCCGAACGGCCGGTCGAGCGTTGGCACGGGAAGCTTTTCGAGGATTTCGGCCATGGTGAAGTATTCGAGTGGACACGATCGCAATTAAAAGGGGGTTCGGGAGTAGGTTCAAACGAATTACACGCAAACTCGATTGGAATTTCTCTCTGAGAACCGCGTGGAATATGATCCCCTTGCAGAAGCAGCCCCGTATGGAAAAGAATCCAAAAAGGAAAAGGAAAGAAAGGAAAGGATGGAATAGAAGGAAGCAGGAACGAACAACAGAAGTCCTACTTTTTCTGCCGACGCGTCCGTCCCGCTTAGGTAAGTTGCAATCAGGGGCGGCTGTGGGACCCGTAGCCTTCCGCATCGGGTACTCCGTACAGGGGAAATCTACTGTGCCAGATCTCGCGCTTTGCGAAGGATTCCAAGATTGAGGTGGTTACAGTCATGTGCTTGTGAAATGACGTTTTGTATTCCTATCTTCATGGCGATTGGCCTGTTAGTAGACTCATGTCTCGTTTGAATCCGTGGTTGACAGGGCTGTCACATGCTGTTCCCCAGACTGGGTTTGGGAGTTGAGCCCAATCGCTGACTAGTGCCAATAAGTCGATTCTTCCTTCTTGGGGCCCATTTTGTCATTGACATAGGGCCCTGATCCTGCAATTTCCTCTTCTCGAATCGACAGTCGATCGGCGATCCATGATCCTCCTTTTTCTGGGGTTGCAATCATCGTAGCGTATCATCAACCAAGATTTCGATCCCGCTAAATCAAGCCGGGTTGTACCACCCTGACTCATATCGCTCCTTAATGTTCGAAATCGGCTCGAAGATCCATGTTCACCACATCCTAGGCAGAACTTCCTTGTACGCATAAGCCTCTAGATTTATCAAAACACGGCACATGCATGACCTTCAAGCATCCTCGGTCATCTGACCTCGGTTGCCTCGTGTAGTACCAGAAGCCAAATTTCCCTGGCGATTTCCCGCAATGTTTCCTCGGCCTCACAGAACTGAAAGGAGCCAAACACACGATCGGAGTGTGGGATATTTCTTGCCACTACTAGTACTAGCCGCCAGAGGAGATCGACTATTGAAACTATCATCATATACTCCGTGCTCCCACTAGTAGCCATGTCATCTCCCGTTGTACTAGTAATATTTATTTGTGTAGCCTCTGTGTCACTCGATGATATACTCTCAACAGTGTGCGATAAATTCAATGCTTCAGTCTGAGCTTTGGACCATTCCATCTTCTCCACGGTCCGAACTTGAAATGTTCGGTTCATTTGAAGAGCACCACTTTGATGGTGGAGTTTAGAGCTTCGGAAAAATATCTACCGCGATCCTCGGCTTTGCGATGGGAGCGGGCTTGAAAACAATCAAAACAGCAATTGAGAGAATCTGCTACCAGTATACCCGAATCCAAACCCTGGTAAATATCTTTCCATCACACTTCAGGTCTTTCGAAGCAAATTGTCTTCAAGTCTGCACAGGAGTAAGGGTAATATGGAGGAGGTGCTGCGCATACGGGCGTCGAGGATGATTTTCCACGGATACGATTAGCGCATTTCCCATTGGACAATATCTTCTTATCATCTTCCTATCGAATCTGCGAAGAGGAACGTGGAGCTCAGCATTCGTTCCTCCCGGGGCAAGCCTTTGCCCCCAGAATCAACAAAGTGATTGACGCCCATTGCCAGTAGTTAGTGACCTCCATGAGAAATGACGAATTTAATGCAACTGGGCATGAATTGGCCAATCAGAGGCGACCAGATTCGCCGCCCGGGCAGACCCGGCGGGACCACGTGACTTTGATGCGCTGATGGTGCCTCAGGACACAACACCACACCACTCGCGGGCCGAAATTGACTACGACTTCACCTGCTCACTCTCCCCGACCACTCCTCTCCATCACCTCACCTAATTGGCACCGGCCTAATACCCACATCCGAGATGTCGTCTTTCTCTATCTTCCGTGCTGCGACGCGCGCCGTTCGCCCTACCAGCTTTGTCCGAGCTCCACTGGTCCAGCCCCGACTGCAGACCCCAGTGACCCTGGCCGCTCGCACCCAGAACTTTGGCACTACCTCCAAGCTTCTCTCTGGCCACGAAGATGAGACATACGAGCAGTTTTCCTCCCGGTAAGATCTCCTTGGATGCCATTGAAGGCGTCGGCCGACGCAAGAGGGGGGGCAGAAATTCAGGCTCTGCGTTATCGGGTGACCGGAAGGCCGATTGATAACTCCGCACGTTCTCCAAGTGTTCTCGACACTGACAGTGGATGTGAATTTTAGATTCGAGAAGGAATTCGAGGGTGTGCAGGATGTCTTCGAGCTTCAGGTAAGCACCACCCCGTATGCGACACGGGTCGCCGATCTTGCCCGACCATCAGCTTCGGTCAGACGATTATGCTGGGTGGGATGGACAGCCTCATACTCATCGTTCTTCTCCAATTGTAGCGCAACCTGAACAACTGCTTCGCCTACGATCTTGTTCCCTCCGTCGAGGTCCTCACCGCTGCCTTGAAGGCCGCCCGCCGTGTCAACGACTTCCCTACTGCCGTCCGTGTCTTCGAGGGTATGTCTCCGTGTTCCTCCTGAAGGCTCTGCTTCTATACTACTAGAGTCGACATCGGAATGTCCCGCTAATTACACATCCCCCAACAGGCATCAAGGCCAAGGTCGAGAACCCCGAGCAGTACAAGCAATACCTCGAGGCCCTCGAAGGTCTGCGCCAGGAGCTTGGCGTTGCTCTTCGGGAGGAGCTCTACCCCCAGGAGCAGTAAGCTAGTGCCTTGCTCGTCCCGTTTGTCCCACTATTCCCGTCAATTTTCTCTCATCGAGTACCCTCGCACACAAATTCCAATGTCCATGATGTCGCTGGTTGCCGAACATGCATTTCGCTGTCATTGTTGACAGGCACGCAGACTGGGTAGACGAGAGAAAACTGTATACATACTTAGAGATCTCCTGTGTTCTTAGTGCTTTTCGCCTGGAAAAGAGGGCCTGTGCACCTTTCGCGGTGCCTAATCTATTTTCCCATTGTTCAGCGTGAATCCAAGTTGTCAATCACCTTATGGGGCAGAGTAGAGCAATGAACGATCATCTGTTGTGGCAGCTCGAGAATGTTCCTCAGGATGGCAGGGTAAGATCTTGTAGACCAGGATGTCATCCCACATGCAAACTTTAAAACAGTCGTAAGTTTTTGGTGCAGCCGCCATTCCGTTACTAGTAGATCTCCCCACGTGTGGACTGCTGTGAGTCCTTCAATCTTTACCGACGGTGACCATACCGAAAGGCTACTAAGTTTGCCATGCTACAGAAGACTCCAAGTGCTCTTTGGATTGCCAATTGAGAAACTTGAAAACAATGAAATAGAAGTCTATTCTCCATCCTCTTACCTAGAATCCTTCAAGAGTAATAGTATATCCATGTTTCTCATACGCAGTGGACAGCAAACATGCGGAAGATGTCATAGCTGAAGAAATATCCCAGAGAAATGGCAATGTCCGGTCAATATAAGTACAAAGAAGGCCAGGCCCGCTGGATCTCCGTGCTGGAAGCACCGGCGCCCGGAAAGTAGTTCACGAGAAAAGGGCACATAATCATTATTGTCCGCTCAGAACGCCATGTACCCAACCCCAACGTGCTCGGGAATATACTCATCGGGTATGCGAAGATGCAAAACTTATCATGTCATGAAATGACAGGCCTCTAACATGAGTAGATCACTGTCAAGATCTAGCCCCCCTCCCTTAATGCGTTCCGACGTACTTGAAATAGGTCGGGCGGCAGTCCTCCTTGGCCAAGAAGTCGGCACCGTCGAAGAACTTTCCGGGGGTGCAGCCGGAGCACTTGGGCGAGTTGGGGCAGTTCAGGTAGGGGATGTGGTTGTAACCGATGTCGCGGAACCTAGAAGTGGAAGAGCCATTAGTGCTCTTGATCTTGCTCGAGACAGACGCAAAAATGAATAGGGAAAAAGACGAAACGGGGGAACGTACCAATGCACGTTGTTGGCATCCGCGAAAAGACCAATACCGAGGGAGTGGACTGGCGCATCGCCCCAGCGCTCGTAAAAGAAACCGCCTGCGCGGTCCAGGTGCTGAAAGTAAGCCTCATACTTGTCCCCTCGGAAGAAGTCCATGTCACCAATCTCAAAGTTGGACCAGAAGTGACAGGTCGAGTAACCGTTGGCAGCCTCGGTATGGTCAGGGCGGGCCTGGTCATCCGTAATCCACTCCAGCATGTTATTCTCGCTGATGAACGTCGGGTTCGCAGCCAGGAATTTCTTGGTCTCGGGCCAGAGGGACGGGATGGTCTGCGGCGCATCGTAAAGGTTGATCGTGAATCCGTAGGTCTTGTTCCGGTCCTCCATGTAGCGGAAGACATCATAATCGACGTTACAAAAGAACTTGACGTTGGGCTCGATACGCCAGTAGTAGCGGTACTTCTCGAGGGCGGGGTGCTTGTAGAACATGCCGCTGTTCCAGCGGCACATCTGGTGGTAGGAGATCTTGGAGGCGTATTGGATATTCTGTTCTTCTAGCAGTTGCGCGGACTCCTGGAAAAGATCCATGCTAATCCAGCTGGGAACCTCCCAGTGCTCCTTGGGGACAAGTTCTGAAGACAAAGAAAAAAAGATATTAGCGCGAGGACGGACAAGCTGCAAGTTGGAAAAGGTCACTGTACCATAGTGACACTTGGCCTTGGTAAGGGCCTGGGTCTGGCGCTTGAATTCTTCCGTGAAGGGAACGTCGTTGAAGAAGATGTAGGGGTAGTTGAACTTGTTGTTCCAGGTGCGCTCGAGGTCACGCATGGTCTGGACTAGTTGGCCCAACTCCTCGTTGCGCACCAACGAGATGAGAGCTGCATTGGTGCGAGCGGAATTTTCGCTATCGGGGGAGTAATCGTGTTCTTCCGCTCTCCATAATTCGCCTTCGGGTTCTCCGGTTGCTGCACAAGTTGTCAGTTGTGGCGGGTCAATCATCCGGGGGAGCGGACGCACGATCTAAAAGGGGATCACGGGTCATGCCATGAACCAATTTCGAGGAGGAGCCCGAGTATCCAGAGCGCAGTTGAAACACGAGGAATAAAGTTAGTAGGACGGCGGCGGCGCCCAGCATGCGAATCGGTCGTGCGATCGCCATGTTTGATGGAATCCAGGAAGTGAACTTTGTTAAGGGGCAGAATCAAAGTCCAGAGTGGCCCCGAAGGCTTGGCGGTCTCGCTGCGTGTCTCTCCCGTGTCCGCCTTAACCGGGGATGTACTCTTGGAGATACAGCAGGTTCTCATGCCTTTGTGTTCTGGATTGATCCCAGAAAGCCTCGGATAAGGAAGCCCCCGATCCTCTTTCCTTTACTATTACTTACCATAGAGCATCAATATTTAGCATCTCGCCCGATGTAAATCATCCCGAGATCAACCCAGCTCTGTGTACACCCTTGGTAAGACGCATCTTTTACTCTGTTAGCTGTCCCAGTAGCTGGAACAAGGATTTTACAGGAGACTCAAGCTAGTAATATGGACAATCGGTTATCGTGGAATAGTTCTCAATCGACTGGATCCCCGGGTTAGTACTCCGTACCTGGCTATGCCATGCTGTGCGGGCCCCGGGGCCCCGCTCCGGGCCCACGACGCGTAGTTTACTAAGCAGATTTCGGGCAGCCCTGGAGCTCTGGAGCCTTTGAAGGACTCCAAGTTAGTTACTTCCCGCGATTCTCTTAAGCTTAATGTGAGGCCCGCTAGGTGGCCAATGCAGTGACCTTCAGGTCTGAGGATGTCACAACACAGTCCCTGCCCCAATGTAAATCTCTGCTTGCAAGTAGACTAGCTAGCAGCTGGTCTAGAAGACTGATGATCGATATATTTCATCTGTACTACTTTGCTTGACCGTACTTTCCTGTTCCTGGTACCTCGCATCCTAGCATCCACTCCCTTTGGTCTTATTACAAGCCACCGGATTATCTGTCGGGCTTGGCAGCCTCACAAGGCCTTGAAGCTGATTCTCTCTTATCCCTCTTGGAATCCCAAGGCTCTGGCACTATCTCGTCTAATATTAAGTTTTACCTGAGGAATGTCCAGGTGTATTGGAAGTTCACTCTACGACTAGACTGGTCCAGGCCCCAAATAAGTTCCGAGGTCATTCCAAGGGATAGGTGCGGCAATTGAGCTCAAGAACGACGATCATGTATCGTAGCTAGGACTTGTGTGTGGTTGCCTACCCTGGCCCTGACTACTAATGAATTAGGCTTGACTGTGGGTTGAATATGCCTGGGTACGCACGAGGGGCTTTATTCTGAATAACCTGTTGCCGGATTCACAAGAGGTTCTAATAAAGGTCTCGCCCCCATTGAGTTCAACGTTGGAGACCCCGGTAACTAGTATATCACAGGCCCAGCTCCGCCCACGCGCGGATGTGGTGAGGTCACTGTTGGACTCGAAGATCACATTTGCCGAAGTTTCCCCGCCTTTCTCCGAACCATTAACCGGAATTTATTGGCCTCATCATCGTTTCTCAAGATTGAGGGCTCTTTTTTGAAATGCGTTTCGGAACTCCACTGAGTCATTTTGTCGTATTGCTGATGCCGCTCACTAGTTGGCCCTGGGTGGTTATGGCGCTCTACGGACCGAGGTACCTATTCAATCTAGACCCGAATAAGAGTCTATCAATCACTTTGTGGTAGATCAATACCTGGAAAGGCTCCTTCTCTGAGCCAAGATTGATCCTTCAGTCTCCCAAGAATATGAAACTCGAGCCTGGAAAGACCCTGAAGTCAGGCCTACTTCCGAGCCTGTCTATGCGGCAAACCGTACACACAGGAAGACTATACAGGAAAATCTTCCGCTTGTCCAAACTGCCGCAAGCGAGATGCCTCCTGGTGGTGTCACCAATGGTCCCCGCAAGCGATGTTTCCTCCTGCAGGGTCCGGTTTTAGGGTACCGGGCGAACTTCCCGAATTGGGCTGAAGACCCAAAATTGAGTTCCGAGACGCATCTATCCCCACTGAGTGAGTGACGAGTTTCAGGACTCAGCATCGTCTCTATCTGAATATATCTCAATTTTTAGACTGATCAGTTTTTACAAGTCGGGAATTGTATGAAGTTGAAGAGCAGTGGAACCAAGCAAATCCCCATTTCCCGAGACACTCGTGAAGACCTTAAACTCTAATCTACATACTTAACTTAGCCCAAAAATAACCCCCGCTGGCGCCACGTGCTCTTTCTGAGTTTAAAGAAACCCACTTAGCTCTTACTTGGTATGGAAGGGTTTATGCTTAATGGATGTAGTGATATCCATTTACCCGGGAGGATCAGCATCCTAGTCTACCGTCCCCCCGGGCCGGGCTCCATGAAACAGAACCCATCGTTTCATCTACTATTAAAATTACACGAGAATAACAAGGCTGGGACGGATTTTGAACCAAATTCGGATTCCAGTCCGTAGAAGATCATAGAGAAAATCTATAAAGAAAATCTATAAAGAAGAGACATGTTCACCTTCCAGAGAACCCAAAAAAAAACCTATCTCACGACTGTCTCTCGTTTGCTTCCAATACTAGAGCTGGTCTCTTCATTCCTGATCTGTGATCTCATTTACGTTCGTTATTTATATTTCCCCGAAACCATGAAAGCTGCCGTTATCTCTCTCTCATCGGGTCCAGCCTTGCTGCTCCTACGCCCACCATTGAAACCCGCCAGCTGGGCGGCGCGGGAACCAGCGATGGCCTCGGTGCTTTGAGCTCGCTCATTCCTGGCCTTGGCTCGGGGGCTAGCGGCTTTGGCGGACTAGGCAGCGGTAGTGGGTTCAGCCTTCCAAGTGGACTCCCTGGCCTCGGAGGTTCCGGCCTCGGAGGATTTGGTGGAATCAAGCGTCAGCTGGGTGGCTCGATCCAGAATGGAGTTACTGACAACAATGGCTGCAAAGAGTTGACCCTGATCTTTGCCCGTGGAACGGGCGAGCTGGGCAACATGGGAACAGTCGTTGGACCACCCCTCGCATCCAAGCTGGCCTCTTTGACCGATAACCAGGTCACTGTCCAGGGTGTGAACTACGATGCATCTGCCGCGGTATGCCTTCCCCCCCCTTCTCCCAGACTATAGTCAATCACGGGCTTCATATGCTGATTACCCTATGATTTGATAGGGCGATGCCACCTTGGGCGTTGACGGGTCCGCGGATATGGCGTCTCTCGTTAAGCAGGCACTCAAGCAGTGCCCTAAGACTAAGGTTGTTCTGGCTGGATACTCCGAGGGTGCGATGGTTGTCCACAAGGCGTCGAACCTTCTCTCTGCGGGCCAGGTCTCCGCTGCCGTTCTTTTCGGTGACCCATTGAAGATGCAGAGCGTCGACAAGCTCGACAGCAGCAAGGTGAAGGAGTTTTGCGCCCTTGGAGACCCTGTCTGTGAGAACGGTGCCAATGTCATGGCTCACCTTACTTACGGAGCTGATACTCCCGCGGCTGCGCAGTTCCTAGTCCAAGCTGCTGGCCTGTCTAGCAGCTCTTAGACGATGCTCATTCTTGTGGCTTCAGAGTAGCCGATAGGGAATTTGGGTATTGGGGATAGCAAAACACTGTTCAACACTGTGTGAGATGAGGGATATGTTCTTAGAGTCGACTCGGGGTGGGAGAGCAAAGCTGCAGAGATTTTACCTAGGACTTGAACACGAGCATCATGATGTCAAAAGAAACATGACGTAGAACGAGACTTGAGGATGACTGCCAAAAAGAAAATAACAATATGTCGAGCTCAATCAAGGAACTTCTCTTTAATATTATGGATAATATGGTAAGTTCTGTAAAGAGAGGGAAGTTGGGATAAGAATAGTTGATTGCTAATTCGTAACTACTACCTGCTTATGAAATTGGAGTGTCACTCGCCGTCCAAACATGCATCTCGCCCTCTACATCATTTTGAAATACCTCCGCAATTTCTCCCGCTCTTCCAGCCTCTCCCGTTCCAGCTCATATCATTAAACCGCCCTCACCCCCTTCTCTCGGGAACGACTCACATCACATCCTCTGCGCAATTTCGGTTCACCCCTTTGCAATTTTCCTTACTTTCTTCTGCCCATTGTCTCCAGCTCGTCTCATCAAACTGTGTTCAGTCTTTTCACAAAAAAAATCACTTTCACTAGGGGGCGATGCTCCACTTCAGCTTCATCGTACTCTCGGTCCTCACATCCACTTCACTCATGTTCTTTGTGCTCACCCTGTGAACTACCTTCGCCATCACTTGTCTTCTCAGTGCCCCTCTGGACTCCTGAACAAAACCCAATCCCCCCTTAACATAGGCTGCATGGTTCGAAACATCATCCTGCTTCCAATCCTGCCCGATCTTCTGCATCAGACGCTTCAGAGCAATCAGATCTTTTTCATCATGGTCGCTCATGTCCTCCTGAGGAACCTGAGGAGGCACCAGAGTCCAACAATACTTACTCTGCATGATAAGGTAGCGGTCATCGAAGAGCCCGAACAGGAACTTAGGGGGAGGAATGGGGGGACCGTCCTTGTCCGCAGCAAAAACAGGGCCACGCTCACCCGGGGCACGCACGCGATCACTGCCGAATTGGAAACGGTGAGGTTGAGCTCTCGCTCGAAACGATAGAAGAGGTCATTCCAGCGGGTTACGTAGATCAGCGTGTTCAAATTGTTGATTTGGGGGGGTGACCTCGTTGTTACGCCCCAATTCGAGGTCTGCATCATGACAGTCGACCATTTGGTGGATGATTGCGCAGTCGATGAGCTTGAGGGAGCGGAGGGTGAGCTTGCTTGCGAAGATCCAACCGTGCATGGACGAGTCGTTATTAATGCCGAAACCGCGGAGCTCCAGGGATTCGAGAGCGGGGAAGAAGCTTGTGTGGATGTTACGATCCACACCACGACTGGGAGTACGAAGCTTCTGATAGAACCCCCAGCTGGTGAGTGAGATGTGGCGCAGGGTATTGCGTGAGGACCAAGGGGAGATTGGGGGTCCCTTGATGATCTTCTCGACAGGGATGGGGAGTTCTGGCTCCTGGGAGCTAGTCAGTGCTTGAGGACTGGCATTGGGATCTTCATCTGATCCTACACGTGGACTCGGTGCCCACACATCGTTGGCTACCAGGCCAATCTTGAAGGCCTGGAGGCGCTGTTTCGCAAGAATCACATTGGTGTCGTGTTCAGGATGGCTGTACGAGCGGTTTGAGTTGGGGAAACGAGCATAAATAGGGAGACCTTGGATAGAAAGTTCGCGGATATCAGATCGCTCGAGCAGGATCTTGCTGATGGCATCAATCAAGAAGGTGTGGGCGAGCAATTTGTCCTTTTGCGTGTAGCGGAATGGACCCAAACTCTCCCGCGGAGGCCGGAAATGCACTGTCAAATATCGCAGCTCAGGGATTCTGGGAACGGTTTCGAGGACATATTTCTTGAAGCTGTGGTATCGGGCTCTGCCGTAGCCGGTGCTATGTTTTCCTCGACCACCGTTGACCTCCAGAAGAAAGATCAGCACCAGTGGAAGTGTATCCAAGAAATAACGTACATTCAGGCATGGATGGTTAGGAAAGATAATCATAAGACTCCGAATCATGCTGCCTTGGGTTGGGCCTGCGAGCATTTGAGAAAGGCTATCGCGGGTGGGATCGGTCCAATCAATAGAGACGTGAACTTTCCGGAGAACCAATTTGGCGGCATTGTGCCACGCGTGGTTGACGAGAGAAAGGTTGAAGAGCGCTTTGGGGTCATTAACGTGCTCGGCGACCATGAGCGCCAGCTCGAAGGGAAGTACAAAAACCATGGCTTAAGAGATTATCAGAACCAGATTCAGGGACTAGATCGAGCAGAGGAACGAAGACGATGATGAAAATAAATCGAAGATGATGGCAAAAGATTAAAGGGAGCGAAAAAAGGCCAAGGACGTGGAAGGACACGAAAAACCGATGGGGAAACAACAAGGTCGGTAGAAGAGGAAAGAAATGGCGGCGGCAGACAGAAAGACTGGCGGAGAGGATAAACTGCCTGCGGAATAAACCAAAGGGGGAATCCTTCTATCTGTCTGATGCATATTCACTGATATCGACTTCATTCATTAGACCTGGTACACATGGCGATTGGCCGGATTCATACTACTTGTAAGATTACCTCGTTGGGCTTATGGTTGAAGCCGGTCAACCAGTGGAGATCCAATCTCCCACATGGGAGATGTCCTTGGGAATCCACAATATTCACTAGCAGCTAGCACTTCATGTTTGTCCTCGATCAGCGACATATAGGACGAGTGAGAAAGTGATAGGGTGCGGAAGTCCCCAATCTCATGGTACTGGTAGACCCGCAAATCGAGAGTCTGAGCTAGAGGATGTCTATTCACAGATGACACTCACATGTTCAAGTAGTTCCTTGCTCTATAGCACTATTCATCCGCATCGCTGAGGTGGACCAAAAGCCACAACTGTGGAAGGAATACCTGACGCCTGAAATATGCGAATAGCAAAATAAGCATGAGACGTAGAGTTAGCTCGTACCGTAGGCTCCATGTTTATAGCGAGTTCTGAAGGAGTTCCTGTGACCTTTATCATTTAGATAACATACTGCACCATGAAAAGGGCCATAGTCTGATATTGACAGCAGAGGAAGAATTCCAAGAAGCAGAAGATTTACCCCAAGGGCCTACAGTAACGCGCCGTGTTTCTGTTTAATCAAATATTGGATTTTATTCGCTAAACCTGCCGAATGCGGCCTACTTGCGGGATTCAAGGGCCGATTTGATAGCTGGGAAGGAGAAGGTTAGGATTTTATTCTCAAGCAAAGCAAGGGAGACTCACCATCGCAGGAAGTCTTTGCATCACCGAAGAGCATTTTAGTCCCGGGCATGTAGAACATCGGGTTGGGAACGTCGGCTGTTGGATATTAGCGCCTGCCCACGTGGAAGTACAGAGGCCGACTTACCGTATCCGCTGGACATTCCTCGCTTCATCACGATAACTTCCTTGCTCTTCCATGCTTGCAGAACAGGCATTCCCGAGATAGCAGAGTCAGGCTCCAGAGCAATTGGGTTGACGGTGTCGTTCGCGCCAATGACGAGGGTAACATCAGTATCAGCAAAATCGTCGTTGATCTCATCCATCTCTAAGACAACTTTAGGCTGTCAGTAAATGCATCATGAAAACGGGGATAAATGGTCTTACTGTCATAGGGCACAGAAGCCTCGGCAAGAAGAACGTTGCACTGTCCTGGCATGCGACCGGCTACGGGGTGGATAGCGAAACGCACAGTGACGCCCTTCGCGCGCAGGAGGCGAACAATCTCCGAAAGAGCATATTGAGCTTTTGCGACAGCCATCCCGTAGCCAACAACTATGATAACACTCTCAGCGCTCGAGAGGGACTCGACAGTGTCATCAATGCTTGTTTGGGTGACCTCTCCCTCAATCTTCTTCTGCTGAACGGGTGCAGAAAGCCCACCGAAAAGCACATTTGTAAGAGAGCGGTTCATCGCGACACACATGATATAAGAGAGAATAGAGCCACTGACCCCAATGAGGGATCCCACACTTGTCAGAAGTGGATTGTCAAGCATTAGCCCTTCCGCGACAAGAGCAAATCCGGAGTAGGCGTTAAGGACGGTGATAACAACTGGCATATCGGCTCCACCTATAGCAGCTGTGGTGGTATAGCCTTTGAGGAAACTCAGAATTGTGTTTGCTCCAAGCGCCGCAGCCGCTATGCCCGGGTTCCCAGGGGCCATTGAGACAAATGCCCCCATCGTTGCAATGTTACTCCCTAGCAAAGTGGAATTGATGACATGCCGACCTGGGAGGATCTTGGGACTAGACGACATTTTGCCAGCCAGTTTCATGAAGGCCACAATCGACCCAGTAAACGTCACACCTCCGATCAGCACGCCCATGTAGGCTGTTACCATGTGAAGGGTTGAAATATCAGAAACATCAGCCATGACGCTCCCAATACTAGTCAGCACCGCTGCAAGACCGACAACAGAGTGCAACGCGGCTACAGTTTGAGGAAGACCAGTCGGAGTGATGCGGCGACCAATCAATCCTCCGACTAGTGCACCAGCACCCGCGACACCAGCAAATTGCGTAAGAGTTTCGGGAGAGAATCCAACTGCCGCGAGAGATGCAAGAATACCGCTAGCGACGCCTAGAATACCAAGCAAGTTCCCACGGCGGGCAGTGGTCTGAGACGCCAAGCTGGAGATAGATGTCATGCACAAAATAGTACTGACCAAATATCCAGCCTGGACGAGACCAGCCATACCAGTGCTGGCAGCAGCTATGAAACCGCCTCCGAAGAGGAGAGCCGGAATGCTATACAACCATGGATACTCAGGAGGATCAGTTGGTCGCTTGAACATGTCCAGCATGCGCTTTGTCACCACGAATCCTCCCGAGACATTGACGAAGGCAAGCAGCACAGATGCAGCACCAAGATATTCAGGGAGAGTGGTCGGCACATAGCCACCACCCATAATGAATAAACCACCGATTCCTACCATACCAGAGATAGCATTCGTGACACTCATCAAAGGAGAGTGGAGAGCAGGAGCAACACCCCATACTGCACGATAACCGACCAGACCCGCGAGCCCAAAGGTCATCATGTTTCCCATGAAGACAGGTCCAGTTGCCTTGCCGAGGGCAAGGGTGGCGCCCATAGCACTCGTAACAGCTGTAACATCTCGGGTTGCCTTTTGCCATGGTGTCAAAGCTACAGCTTCTTCCTTCTTAGCAGCAGCAACCTCTTCTGGTTTTGGAGCAGGTGGAGGGGCGGGAGGTGCTGCCGGAGGGATCACTTCACCATTGCGAGTAACGATTGATCCACGAACAACCTCATCGTTGAAATCAATACCAAAGGACTTCTCGCTAGGGGCTATCGAGAGGAGGAACTTGGTAATGTTGTTGGAGTACAAGGTTGATGATTGCGTTGGCAGGCGGGAAGGCAGATCGGTGTATCCAATGATTGTCACGTCCTTATAGCTGGAGAGCTGACCAGGTACAGTTGCTTCGCAATTTCCACCCGCCTCCGCTGCAAGATCTACAATAACAGACCCAGGCTTCATGGCAGCCACCATCTCTTTCGTGATCAATTTCGGTGCGGGCTTTCCGGGGATTAAAGCGGTCGTAATGATTATGTCGACTTCTTTGGCTTGCTCCATAAACAGCTTCATCTCTGCTTCAATGAACTCCTTTGACATTTCTTTAGCGTAGCCACCTTGTCCGGCACCGTCCTCCTGGATGTCGACTTCGATGAATTCAGCGCCTAGAGATTGGACCTGCTCACGAACAGCGGGGCGGGTGTCAAAGCCTCGAACAATGGCACCCATTCGACGAGCAGATGCAATTGCACTCAGGCCAGCCACACCCGCCCCAATAACGAGGACTTTGCTTGGGGGAATCTTTCCAGCAGCCGTGACCTGACCAGTCAAAAAGCGACCAAAGTGATTGGAAGCTTCCAATACTGCCTTATATCCGGCAATATTAGCCATGGAACTCAGGGCGTCAAAAACCTGAGCGCGCGAAATCCGGGGAATACGGTCCATAGCGAAGGCAGTGACACCGCGAGCAGCAAGGGCATCAACCAGCTCCTTGTTTTGAGCCGGATAAAGAAAAGAGATTATGGTAGAGCCCTTGCGAAGTGCCTCCACCTCATTGAAACCATCCGTCTTGGGGCTTCGGACTTTCAGTACGATGTCGCTTTCTGCCCAGATTTGATCACGGTCAACAAGCGTTGCGCCTTTGCTGACATACGCATCATCAAGAAGTTGAGCGCCTTCCCCGGCGCCACGTTCAATTAGAACCCGTGAGAAGCCCTTCTTGAGAAGAATTGCCACATTCTGAGGCGTGATTGCGACGCGTCGTTCATTCTCGTGGGTTTCACGAGGTACGCCAACCGTCAGCTCAGAGTACGGTGTCGTTGGGATGACCTCGGCCGTAGTACTCGCGTGCCGGGTCGAAACGCGGGACCAAACTGATGGAAGTAAAGAACGTTTGTGCTCTGACGAGGTGAGGCACGACGCACGACGCGTTTGAGAGGCAGGCTGTTGAAGGCATAATGTGTGGGTTTGACTGGGCAGCGAAAGAGCCGGAAGAACGCCGGTTGCAAGGAATGGTCTCCCCCGCGCGAGCAATGGGGGCTGCAAAGCACCGCAGGTGCGGGGGCAGTCCCATGGCGATCGGATCTGTGGTCAGAATCACGTAGAAACAGGGCGCATCGGGGGGATGTGTTGAGGATCTAGCAAGGGAGGAAAGGGCGGGGGAACGGGAGAAAAGAGGGTAAAGAGGAGAAGGCAGAAACCCCTCCTACCTTGCGATGGAACGGCCAAGTTGTGCTTGTGCATAGTCCTTCGAACTCCCTCCCCCGGATAAACGCCACAGCCTTAATTCCTTTGGTACTTCCCCGCAAGTGGGTGCGTGGGGTGATCCGCTTTCGGCGGAGCTGGGGAAATCTTGGGCTAGAAATTGACCCAGGCCATTATCATTGATAAGACGTTAGAATTCAGCCACCAGGGCCCTCAAGAGCCACCACAGGAAACTACCAAGGAACCTATATTTTTTCCATACACATCCCAGGGGTCATCTCCGGTTTATCCGACAGTAACCTTGGTGACCCCCGCAATCTTGCGATAGCCGAACTGCCGCAGGGCGCAGGTCCTCCTAAGCCACAAAGCCAAGCAGTACCAAGTAGCAAAAATTTCCACAAAACTCAGGTAGCCAAACAATAAGATCGGGTTATATTCTCGTACGAACTAAAAAGCCTCATTTAGCCATGTCAATGGGTTTCCGTCATATCAGCAGACGTCAAGATATGGGTTGCTGGCAAGCATGCAACCATGATCCGTGGTACAATGGTCGGAGTGTATCCGACTAGCTTGGACCTTCAATTCATCTGAGGCCTCAATAATTAGAAACGGCCCCTATACTCTCGCCGGAATAATTGGTAGTCGTAGGTAGTTGTCATAATGAGGCCCAAAGTGGATGGCGTTGATACCTCGAAAAGTCTCCGGAGGCCTACTATCTCGTTAGTATCGACGCAAAATTTAACAGATCATGTGGTGCCCAAGAAGGCGAGAGACTTACCGGTCAAAGGGATCATCGTGGCAGAAGTGTCCGGAGCCAGCAAGCTCCTTGGACCCAGCATCAATAGCCAAACGCGCACCCTTCTCCACCACAACATTCGTCGGCCAAACCTCGATATCTACTCCATAGACCTCACCTGAGACTACAGGAAGGACATCTGTGGAGTAATAGTCCCGATGTGGGAGCCACGGGCGATGGCGTGGGTGATCGGGATTTGCCTTCCTGCAACTCATTCTCAAGAAGCCCTTGGCTACTGGGGCAGCTTCGCCTGTTGTCCCTGTATAGAATATTTCTTCTCCAGACGCTGAGATATGGCGGAGAGACAGGAATACGTCAAGGTCAGAGGGGACAGTGCCGTACTGCTCCCGCTGCGTCGAAATATTCAGATGAACGACAATGTGGCCCGTTATCTCTGTTTCGGATTCAAAAGGCGCGGACACAAATGACACCGAGGTAGGAGACCCATCCGGGGGGGAAAGCCTTGTACTCCACCTTCTGAGGTAAATCACCGAGTGGTTTAGCCCATCCAAGGCTCTGGTCGGGGTTGAGATGGAGGTCTGTATATTGCGTTCTTGCGATTGGCCATTCGTTCTCTTGTCGTCGTAAGAAAGTAGCTTCTGCTTTGGGGTCGTTGTATCCGACATTGCCCTTTCGCAAAATCAGATCAACTGGTGCTACCGCACCTTTTCGAGACCATCCAGTAGTATCATGGTCTTTGAGGAAAGCATCCAGAAAGCTTCTTTGGATCTCCACCTCTTTGGGATAATAAAACGGAAGATCGTGACGCCCCACAATGAAACGAAGGTACTTGAGCTCGGAGCCTGCATGAATGTACCCTTGTACATTACCTCTCAGGTGAAGGAGAATGCCGCCCCAGTTGGCCACGCTCAGCAACGGTACCTGGATGTCCTCCAGGTTGAAGTTGACTCCTGCAGAGCCGGGATTATCGCGAAACTTGTTTATCCTACCCACCTCCACCATTCCTGGAATGGAATTGGCGCTCAGCTCCGGGACCGTCAGAGATCCTTCGATAGTATCATCCCCCCAATTCCTTGCTGCTCTGCCCGGCAGGCCGTACTGGTTCGAAGCAATCTGCTGTTTCCAAATCAAGTCTATACCTGCGCTGCCTTGGATCCCGCCATGCCTGGTAGCATCTCGATAGACGTCCGAGAAACCCTCCCAAGGAATGATTGCAGCTAGGCCTTTAGGCCTTCGGGCTGCGACTTGCCACTGGGTCGCGGCGAAATAGCTGATGCCGAGCAAGCCCACTCTACCGGTAGACCACTCTTGCGCAGCGGCCCATTCGATGAAATCATAGAATGCGTCAATCGTGGTGGCTGAAAGTGGATTCAGATATCCCGGAGACTGTCCACTTCCAATCTCATCCCCGCGAACGACAATGTATCCTTTCTCGGTCCAATACTTAGGTGAGGGTGTTTCCCAGGATGAATGGTCGGTCGTCTGGTCTGGATTGACCTCAGCAAAACTTGCTGGTCTGAAGCTGTAGTGGTAACCAATCAGTAATACTCTCAACCTGTGGGATTTTTCACGCACTACTTGTAATGTACATCTTTCCCGTAGGGGCCATAAGTGGCGATCACAGGAAATTTTTCCCCGCGGTCAGAGCTTTTTGGACGATAAACATTGCACCGTATTGCAGCCCCGTTTTTGAGAGGAACTGTAACATTCTTCTCAAAAATGTAGGAGTAATTTGTGCTGTCCTTAGTCGCAGCGTTCAGGATGGATGGGGCTTTAGTCGAAGCAGACATCTCATAAGTCGTCGAAAAAAAGAGGCTGGATTCACTAGTATTCTGTCTAGAATAAAATCAAATTCAAAGCAGGATGCAGCGAATTTATACCATTTCGATGCTTTGTTTGTATCACCTCGAAAACCTTGGGCAGCTCTCCGAATCCAATAATATGATTTACCGTCCGCCCCGCACTGCCATTTCCCGCATATCCCAGGTTTGTCGCCAATTATGCGAATCAGATAGCCTCGGAGAAATCGAGTGTAACAGATTCTGGCTATTTTTTTTGTATGAAACTAGGGGTGACTGTGGAACAAGTAAGACTATCACAAACTTATGTATTTTAAGGTCCATTCAGATCTCATAACATAACTACTAGAAGATGCTCGGAAAGTCCATAGTGTCGGGCAGGAATTCCTGGCCTGTGTCAAATACAGAGCCACCAAGCTGTGACAGTAGATCAAAGTATTCATCTGAAGAAGCCATAATTCCGGAGTCGGAGAAAAGCTCATGAATGTCCAAGCTCTCCATATAGCTAGCGTGAGGGGTTTCAAAGGCACCCAATCCTGCTTGCTCAGCAAGAACCTCCGCCCCGGCCGCAGCTTGGCCACTATCATTGGAGCTCACTTGATCATCATCAAAATCCAAACTCAATTTACCAGTTTCACGGAGACTAGGCTGTCTTGACACACAGCCAATAATCCTGTTATAGCCAAGAATTGAGGTCCTCACTTTCACTCGCTTCCCCTGGTGTCTGTCCAGGTCGACTTCGTCGAGCGTGCGAGGCTCGTCTCGGAGAGAATATCTCAACTCTTTGTGGTATTTGTAGAGCGCAGGGACATACTCGACCTTTCGTGTATTCAATATTAGCAAGTTGTCTTTCTCTTGCGCAGACCAAATTTACCAGAATAGCAACAAGTTTCCAGTGCCTCCCAATAGCGTGCATCCTGTCTAGGTTGACAATGATATTCGAGTGTGCATTTTGCTGGATATGATCCTTTTCACACCACAGAAACGGCATTTGGACGGCCATGGAGCAGTACGCCGCATACCCCATAAAGCCGGTCGCGTGATTCCTGCTCCACATTTTCGCCTGAATGAACATCTCGGATATTTGTCGAGCGTGGTATAAAGCTGTCTGCGCGGACACCGATTTGAAAAAGCCGTAGTTTTTCTCTTGGGGGTAAAAGGAGAAGAGTGGGATGATGGACGAGTGCAATGTGCACATTGCTTGATTGTAGACGAGGTGTAATTGCAGGGCATTAGCCTCTGGCCGGGTGGATCCCGTAGTGAGCGGAGTGAAAGAGAAAGCAGTCGGCAGTCCTTCCTTCCATTCCTTGAGCTCGGCGTCCAGCTTCTGAAGTGACATTAATTTTTGGTCCATAGGCAATTTGTCATTGTGAGCCAGACGGCAAACACATGGCCTGTTGCCGGTCAGTATACCACACGCAGTCACTTGAAAGGATAATCATGTACCAAAGCCTGGTAACCCGAATCATCTCTGCGAAAAAGCCATCGTTCCCTCGGTCGTGTAAGAAAGAAGGTGGACTCTGAAGGTCGCCGTTGATATCCCCCAACTCAAACTCGAGGTCATTGCATGGCATGGGAATACCGTCAAAGTGCTCAATATTCATGGCTCCAGAGTCGAGCCAGTTGCAAAATTGGCTAATAATGAAACTCGCCCACAGTCGCCGTCTGCTCAACTCGGCTCTCAAGGACCTGCTGCTCCCTCGTCCGCTGGCGGGAAATCCCAAAGCCCTGAATGTGCCAGCTAGCGCCCCTGAATGTATTTCAAGGCGCTTCCAGTCATTTTGGCTACTCCAAAATAGCCCGAGTGTGAGGAACGTGACGAGGTTCTCCTCGCTAGGATTCTCAATATCGGCAAATACAAGCTTTGCTGCCTCAGCCGCCCATTCGACCGCTTGTTGTAGTAAACCGTTATCGTCGTCGTTATCCTCTTGAGGATAGAAGCTGTTCATTAGTTAGCTTCATTTGAGGAATTCTCTCAGGCGCCATACCATGAAGCCATTGCACAAACGCTCAAAACGACAAACTTTTTAGCCGACCCATCGACAATACTCTGGACGAATGATGGCCGATGAAACAGCAAAGACGCATTATAAACATGGGAAAAGTATAATTCTAAAAGCCTATCGAGAAGGACTTGGGCTATGCCGTATGGTTCACCCGGGTTGTCTGGGAGGCCCTTTGACAAAAGATTACTGGGGAGAATATGCTGGCTGTGGGCAAGAGGTTTGCTATTCTTGGGCCAGGTACATGGGCGGAGAAGCCTCCTACATCGGAAACATGAAGGCTTTTCCCCGTACAGCGAATCTAGGTGGCTTATATTAGCCATCTCTAGTCGTTGGAAGCCTAGGCGAAAAGATGCTATGGTCGCGCAGATATACCTTGAGAGAGCTGCATTGGTGACAAGCTGTCTTGGGCCTTCCTGCCGATTTTGCCATTGTCGTGGCCTGCACTTTCTTCGAAGCTGGCGTCATACTTCTGATTCATGAAGGTGAAAGGCAGAATTGATAGATGTCTACCCCTTTCCCTCACGGTCCTGAGATGAGCATGTGGGGCTGCCAGTCAGCTGAGTTATCCGCTGGGGGGCCGAAACATCGTACTTTTACGAGAGCAAACTCTCCTTTCCCCAGTGAGTTTATGAGACTCATAAACTCACTGGCTTCTTAAGATCATGAACTTAGGGTCAGATTCCGTAGTGAAACCTTCTGTCAAATTGCTTGTGCATATCTTCCGACTCGGAGCTGGGAAGTTGGATTGTCTTCTAGTAAGGAGGAGAAAAATCCAAAATCTGCTCAAGTTTTATATTGCAGGACTCGAATGTTTTCCATCCAAATTGATTCAATACCTTATCCAGGAGGCTGGACGAGGCCGTTAGATCCAGAATCATTTTCTCAGGGTCCAACTTATGTTGCGAATTTGAGACAGTTGCACATGCCAATCCGGCCTGTGGATACAGATATGTAACGAATACTACCTAGCTAACAATATTTCAGACGGTACAGATAATTATGCGCCGTGCGACTTTTTTAAAGGGTATCTTGCTCAACCTTCCAACTTCACCTTGCGCCGTCCCACATCTTTGTGATGAGCCGAAGCAGAAAGCAGTAGCCTTGGTGGACGAAGCTCATGCTTCGATTCTGGGGTGGCTCGGCTTGAATTGATTTTCAGGGACGCCGAGTCATTGACCCCAAGCCCAAGGGTACTCAAGCAGTAAGATGGTTACGTTCATTCATCTCTCGGCTAATTCGAACTCGGAGGTCACATCAAGCCATGTGCTTATTGCACAATCAAGGTTAAAGCTTTCATGTTATATGGAATGAACTTTCGTTTCGAGTCCCACCTGAAATATGACAGGAAATTGAAGGATCGAAGCTTCATGAGAGGCTTTGGTTGTATCGTAAGCTTGCTGGCGCAGTCCAAGTACATCATGATCAAGATGGCAAAGTAAACCTTGCAGGTCTATGGATTGAGTGCCAGGATCTATAAATTAAGCAGCTCGCTCACTAGAAATATGAATCCTAATCAAGACCTTCATCAAGAAGCTGAAATTCCATAGAAAGCCGGAAAAAATCCTTTATATCACTCATCAAAATGATTTGCGAACTCGCCATTTCCATCGGTCTGCTCTGTGTTGGTGTCCACGCCCAACAGGCTCAAAATTGCGTGTATCAGTCATTAAAGTGCGGCTCAGTCTTGCTAGCTACTCCCTACAGTATGTTCATCAAGATCCTAAGTCCATCTGAAGGAAGTCTCGGTTCTCTTATCGCATGATCCTCTTAGGATATACTGCTGCTCAGCTCCAGGCAGCTGTGAATGACACAGCCTCCATCCCGCCACTCGGCACAGCCGAGCTGTCCAGGACTCTTTACCACTGCACTGATATCTTGGGAACAATCACCGGAAACTCCTACTGCTTCGCTGGTTGTGACACCAAGCCAGGTCTCCGCAATGACCAATGCATCTTGTAGAGAGCGCTATTCATGATGAGCCAGTGCCTTTACATTTTGGAAAACGTTAAATCAATGTCACATGGCGAATCTGTACTGATTTTTGCAAAGATATGGGGGGCTGGTGTTTTCAACAAGTATTCTTGGGGGTCTAGCGAGCACACCCTCTCAGCTGTTCCCGCGACCACTACGCCTTTGTTTGATTACGTTCGACTTGGTCTTGTTGAAAGATTCCATTCCTTGCTAACGATATTTTGGTACTCTACTTCTCCAAAATGCTGTGGCCATCGCAGTAAATGTCACTTAGTCACTGGATCCTCGAATTCCTTCGCCTTGAATGGTAGAATCATGTCTGTCCCACTGCTGACTTAGAACTGTGAATTGAATCACTGAACTTGAGCACTATGAGAGTCTAGTTACATGAGTTGCCCAGGAGCTCAAAAACAATGATTCTTAGATTTCTTTTTCGGAGTCCACGCCGTCAATACTCTACGCAATAAAGTGGGTTGAACCTGCATTCGCCTAATACGGATGTGGAAATACCGGGATGGTTCAGTTATTATCCCTACTAGTGCTAGCAGGAAGACCAATGCGCATGCAAATATTAAGTGCTCCCTGGTTGATCTGAATAATTCTTGCCCATTCAACGATACTTCGTAGTACTCACAGCCACGTCGGAGTAGCAGATACTGCAGTTGTCGGAAGCTGCGTATTTGTGAAATTTCCATCCAAGCACCATGTCAGGCATTTCACAAAGCATTTAGGAGAGGGCGCAACTGTAACTGTAGTGGTTACTGTAGTTGGACAGCCGTTGCCTAGTATTTGGCACTGATCATTTGACAAGAGACTCATAGCGGCTAGGCAGCCATTAACGCAGAATACGTTCCCTGTGATATTTCCGAGAATATCCTGACAGTGAAAGACGACTTGCGGTAGTTGATCTGCTGAAACAGGCGGGATGGATGGAGTTTGATTGACAGCAGCAGCGAGCTCACTTGGAGTGTACCCTAATATTGATCAGCCATTTGTTCTTGTTTTTCGCCGTCCATGTATTCGTTACCATATATGTTCATCAAAGTGAAGCCGCATTTCTCAGACTGGTAAATACATGGCTTGTTGAAAGCCTTAGCACCTAGAAGGAAAATCGGAGAAAGCACAAGCATTCCGGGAGCGTTGATTTGACGCATTTTGCATGATAGTGAAACCAATGACTATGATATCTCTCGTAACGTGCTATGACGACCGATTGGAGTGTAGCGATGATGTATAGCTACGTCGAATTGGATGTCCACGGGAGAGATCTGGTTCTTAGCTATACGACTATGACAATTCTCATAACTTCTGCAACCGTGTCTTTTTCACGGGGCGATTGCTGGAGATACAGTGCCTCACTCTGGATATGCAACCCTCTCGAGATTTAATTCGGTTGCGCTGGTGTCATTGTAACCCTGGTCTTCCGCATAAACGTATCAGCAGGGCATTGGCACTCTCACCTGGGCACATGGCAGATGCATTATACCAGAGACCCTAGGCTTTCAAAGTCCCTTCGCCCTCATTTCGCCCGCAGGGGCCCCTGAGATTGCCACCGCCGGCCTCGGTCAGAATCTAGCACCTAAAAGACCCTGTGGAGGAATTAGTCGTTGAGGAAAATTGGCAGCACAAATAGCATCCACCCTGACGCTAGTCGGAACAGCCAACCGAGCACAGCTAGGCTCATCGATGGTTTTATTAAGCGAACATGGATCCTCGCCTGGTTGTGAGCCGAGTTGATCATCGTCTAGGACTGATTTGGCCTAGTTTGTGAGTGGCTGTGGAGGCGGTCGTGAGCAAGGTGAAAGGCCATGGAACCATAGTGGCCGGGAGCTTTGAGGGAGATCGAATAAACAGCACAGGAATATAGCAAGACGCATGATCTTCGACTGTCCGTCGCAACGTCCTGATATTGCAAGGGTGGAGCTTTAACGCGGGGAATTCAGGGTTCGCAGCCTAACGCCTAAGGCCGCCAAATACGATTTTTCTGCACGATAGTGAGGCTGATGCCCAAGGCTAAAAGCTGTGTGACATGAGATGAGCTCTGATCTTTCGATCTAGGCTGAAAAGGTAAAGGGAAGCGATATTTGCGTCCAACCAGGCTTCCATTACATGGTCCGAAAGGGACGGGCTGAACTCAAGCGGCCCCAGGCCCAGCCCGCTTATCCAATTTGTTGTTTCTCTTTTTCCCATGCAATCTTTCCCATCACACAACTTTCGCCACGCGACCCCCTCCAGAGTTGACCCCATCTTCTCTCCAATTCTACTCACTGTCGATTTTCGCTCTGGAGATCCTTTTCTCCCCCTCCATTCTCACCCCCCTGCGGGCCTTCTCCCTCCCCGCGCTGAACGCCCCCGCCACATCTCCGCGGTTCCCCCCTCCACCCCCTTACACCGATCCTCCTTGCGGTCTTATTTCGGAGCACAAAGTCAAGATGTCTCTCGCGCGCGCTATCACCGAGAAGCAGCCGGTCCCGGAGATCGACTTCACATTACATCAGATGGAAGATGGGACACAAGTGTCCACCATGGAACGGGTAGTCAAGGGTAAAGTCATAGCCTTCCATGCGGCGGGCGATCCGACAACTGACAATTTTTCTATGGATTAGAGGTCCAAGCGCCAGCCTTGAGCACTCCGTCTGATGAGTCCTTCTGGTCCTCCGAAGACCCGTCGAAGCCCGATCTTCAGTTTCTCAAGCAACATCTGTATCGCGAAGGCCGCTTGACTGAGGACCAGGCGCTATGGATCATCCACGCCGGTACCGAAGTTTTGCGATCGGAGCCCAATCTCCTCGAAATGGACGCCCCAATCACCGTCTGCGGCGATGTTCACGGACAGTATTACGATCTGATGAAATTATTCGAGGTTGGCGGTGACCCGTCCGAGACACGATATCTATTTTTGGGCGATTATGTCGACCGTGGGTACTTCAGTATCGAGGTGCGTTGTTTGTCATTCCCCTCCAGGGGTTACATGGGCATTTTCGTCCGCGATGCTAATTGTTGCTTCTCCGCAGTGTGTTTTGTATCTCTGGGCATTGAAGATTTGGTATCCGGACTCGCTTTGGCTGTTGCGGGGTAACCATGAGTGTCGCCACCTGACAGACTACTTCACATTCAAGTTGGAGTGCAAACACAAGTACAGCGAGCGAATTTATGAGGCCTGTCTTGAGTCATTCTGTTCTCTGCCGCTGGCGGCTGTGATGAACAAGCAGTTCCTTTGCATTCACGGTGGTCTCAGTCCGGAGCTGCATACTCTGGAGGACATTAAAGCTGTCAGTCACCTTTCATCGCAATTCGTCTTCTGCCGTAACAAGCTAACATTTGGACAGATCGATCGCTTCCGAGAGCCCCCAACGCACGGGCTGATGTGCGACATTCTCTGGGCCGATCCACTGGAGGAGTTCGGGCAAGAAAAGTCGGGCGACTTCTTCGTTCACAATAGCGTCCGTGGTTGTTCGTACTTCTTTTCGTATCCCGCAGCATGCGCCTTCCTGGAAAAGAACAACCTGCTCTCGATTATTCGCGCGCACGAAGCACAGGATGCCGGATACCGCATGTACCGAAAGACACGAACAACCGGATTCCCTAGTGTGATGACCATTTTCAGCGCTCCCAACTATCTCGACGTATACAACAATAAGGCGGCTGTTCTCAAATATGAAAACAATGTCATGAACATCCGCCAATTCAACTGCACCCCGCACCCATACTGGCTGCCAAACTTCATGGACGTTTTTACCTGGTCTCTTCCATTCGTTGGTGAGAAGATTACCGATATGATGATCGCCATTCTCAACACCTGCTCTAAGGAGGAATTGGATGAAGAGACCCCTACTGACGAGACTCCATCTGGCCCTGCCTCACCCCCAATGCCTATGGACACCGAGAGCACCGAGTTCAAGCGCCGTGCTATCAAGAACAAGATCCTTGCTATTGGACGTCTTTCCCGTGTCTTCCAGGTTCTTCGTGAGCAGTCCGAGAGTGTGACCGAATTGAAGACTGCGGCTGGAGGCCGTCTCCCTGCAGGTACCCTCATGCTTGGCGCCGAGGGCATCAAGCAAGCTATCCACAACTTCGAGGATGCCCGTATGGTTGATATCCAAAATGAGCGCTTGCCCCCCACCCAGGAGGAGGTGATCAAGAGTACCGAAGAAAACCGCCGGGCGGCTATGGAGCGTGCGGAGCATGAAGCCGCCAACGATAAGGAGCTGGCAGGCGTTGCTCGACGAATCAGCATGTAAGTTTGCGTAATATCCGCCTCGGAATGGACCTTGAACAACTGCTAATATTATCACACAGGTCAAGTGGCTCTCGCAGACCTCGCAGCCGTGATTCCGGGCCTCGAGAAGCTTAAAATGGTTGGTATTCTGGCGAAATCGAATTTTATGACACGAAATATGCATCCCCCTCTTCCTCCAGTGCACCCTCTTCTTCTACTTTACGATCGACATGATACCTTGTCTATCTGCTTGATCCCATCTAGTGCCAGACGATGGAGATGTGGATTTTGCAGCGGCCAGAAAACTGGCCCTGATTCACTACATATGCGACACTTCCCCGGGGACCTTGTAGATCACCGCCGTAAGCAGGCGGGCCATTGGCGTAGGGGACTTCAGGCAAGAAAAAGAATATCATGTAATGACGAGTTGATTCTATTACAATCAAGTTTTATGCAGCTCAACATTGCTTCCAGAATGGTGGAACCATTTATTGGCTGAGATCGATGTATACCACAGGTGCTCAGTAATATCTGGTAGTGTTTGAGCTCTGCAATACACAATGCATATCTTCCCTGTGGATCGATTCGTGGTGCCGCAGCTCTAAGTTTCTCCCACTCGGGCCAAGACGTAAACAAGTGGATCCAATGCCAAGCCCGCTGCCCGCGATCGCTCGGCGGTCTTTGATTCTATCTTCACCTCTCTCGCATCCCAGAGGACGCACGATTCCTCCCCTCACACACGCCCCAATGCCTGTGAGACTGCGGAGTACGCTCCAGCGGAGCCTCTCACGGCCCCTGGGTAAACCCGTCTTCTATTGCCCGTCTTGCGCAACCTGGAGACGGTCCCTTTCGACGCGTATCGCCAGTACCGACAAGAGCAAGAGCACCCCCGCGCATTCTAATACCCGTGTCTTCGAATCGGTCGCCTCGCATACGGCTCGGTCTTATTCTTCTGCGTCAACGTCTGCGATTCGTGCGAGGGGGAGATGTGCCTGCGCGGTTCAAGGAACTGCACCACGCCCTGTCCGGGATCCAGAATGCTGCGATTGAGCAGGTCAATGTGAGCCGATTACAGCTTGCGCTCCGAGGACTGGAGTCGGAGACCCCTGTCATTCGAGTGGCTGGTGAGTTCTCAATGGCCCTATATCATGATGGGTTGCCGGATATGACGTTCTGCTGTCCTGTCCGTGCTCTATCTCGCGAAGGCGTCCTGCTAATTCTTGAAACAGTTCTTGGCCTAGACACTACCGAATCTGCGCGCAGACTAGTGCGCTTGCTGCTTGCAGATCCCTTGGGAGATCGCGAAGAGTGGGAGGAGGTCCTCGAAGACTACAGGTCTGATTCTACCGAAGGGCTTTTGATTCGGTATGGAACACATAGTCTGCAATCCTGATACCCAAATGCTAATATCGACTTTGCCCGATAGTTACGGTGAAGTTTCTGAGTTCGTGTCTAATGATCTCCTTCCTACGATAACCGTGCGATCTCCAATCTTGAAAAACGCCAACCTGGAAATCCTGGTCAGCTCGCTTGGGTCTAGCACAGATTCTACGGGTGCTACATTCTCTGCCGACACATTCCTCGTTCCTACAGTCACAATCCCAACATCACATACGGGCCAACATAATTTCGTCCGATACCCGGTGCACCGCAGTATCGTATGTGGCAGTGGGGTCGATGGGCTCTTGGCCTTTAGCACTCTACTGGCTCGATCTGACCTAAAGAATGAGATCGATTCAGTACGAGGCGCTATTGAGCTTTCTGTCTCAGACAAGCGCAGTAGTGACCGACTCTCGTTTGTTGACGTCGAGCGTGCCAGCACAGCTTTAGACAAGATTCGCCAATCTGTCCAAAATGCCACCGAATATGAACGCGGCTGGAGCGGCAGCGGAGTGCAACCTTTAATTGATTGGTTTGCCTCAATGGCGTACACAGACTCCCAAGAGGGCCTTAACCCTGCCCTAGTTCCCCTGATCGAGTCTTTGCTCGATTCCGCCGACGAAGGTATCGCCGCCCGGAACTCACATGCTCTCCAAGCCCAAGAGGCCGGTCTCGTCCCGGCCCTCGTCCGCTCTAAACTCGATGAAGGAGTTGCGACCTGGGCCGAAAGAGCACACTCGGAACTCCGCAGCGCCCTTGAGGAAGGGTTTGCGAGTCCCCGGTGGCGAGGGCTGGCTTGGTGGAAGCTCTTCTGGCGTGTCGACGATGTGAGCATGATCACGTCCGAGATCCTGGAGAAGCGCTTCCTCCAGCGCGCAGAGCGGGAAACCATATGGTCATCAGGCCAATACCAGCAGGCAGGCCTGCTGGAGGAGCCTAGTGGTTCCGCTGAATCAACATCAGACTCAAAGAAACAACCTACCCCACCACCCTGGCCTACCCAAATCCCTGATACGAGGACCAAACTACTCCGCACCACCATCCCTTCTCTCCAAGCCCTCGCTCAGAGCCTGGTGCTCTTCAGCGTCTCCACTACTACCTTGACATCTGCCCTGTCCGCTCTCACCTACTTCTCTGTCCCATCCGCCTCTGTGTACGAGTCCGGCACCCTCGTTGCAGTCGGCTTGATATACTCGCTCCGCCGTCAGCAGAAGCGGTGGGATGCAGCTCGCGGCTTCTGGGAAGAAGAGGTACTTGACGAAGGCCGGAATGCCCTGCGCGAAACCGAGGAGCTAATGCGGAAAATCGTCCGCGAGGGTGGCAAGATCGCCGAGGATCTGACCGACTACCAATCCCAGGAAGCGGTTGACCGTGCCCGGAAGGCGCTAGCACGGGTCATGGCTTGATGTGTATTCCTGCGACACGCTCTGTATATGTACCATTTTTTCAAAATAGACGATGCTTTAAGATGTATAATCAACTTTATCATGTACTAGCTTTAGTCGCTTCGCAGGTCAAGTTCCAGTACTCGTAGCGAAAGCCGTATAAGAGTGTTAGTGCCTTTGCGCTAGATGCCAGCCACCCGTGCGACTCAATTTCAAGTTCGCATGGTCGCGCTTCACACTCCACTTTCTGTTTCAGTTGTGCCGGGCACCACCCACTCTATTATAGGTTTGTCACTTGCGAAGCCCTCCATGGACTTGAAACAGCAGACGACCAGACTGCGGGGCCCGGTCGTTTGAGTCGGAGCCAGGATTATTTGCGGCCTTCAATTGTGATGTCGCGGACATAGGAATATCCTCATGTATCTCTTCTGGTCCTGAAAAGTTCAAACTTGTTGCTCCCTCCGCGTATACGAGGTTACGAGCCATGCTCAAAAGAATTGTAGTAAAAGTAGCATGATTAACAGGCATACTCTCCTCGTAATAGTACTGGCCGGGAATCTCAGAATTTTTACCTAGTAGTTCCTACTTGATTATCACACGGGAGACGACTGCGCAGTGGTTATCTGTAGATATATCTCTAGGAAGCATAAAACTCATAACTAATGTTTGCGATAATCCCAACAAAATCCACGATAACCCGAGCTAATCGATTAGCTTAGGCTAGCATCGCCATCTAAAAATGAGCACCTCCACAAACGTGGGCTCCAGCGATGGGAGTTTCACGATACGCGCAACCAACCAATCCCGGGCCGCAGCGTGGGGGCACCTGAGACGAGCAACCCCATCGAGGACCACCCGGCGAATCAGAGACTGCAGCTGAACTACAATCAAACAGCTCGCTTCATCCAAGAGTGTAATCGGTGGGTTCCAACGTGATTCCACTTCGTCCCGGAGCCAGTGACGAGCTGCTTTCCCGGTCCGCGTCAGATCTTGAGACGGTTCACCTCCGGCACTTGGGTGGACTTTCATTTAATTTCGTTGCACGAACATAGGGCTCGGACTCAGTCTGCCCACTTGTGATGGGGAGTTGGCGGGGTGGGGAGGAATGTTCATATCTCCCGGGCAAGGGGGATTGGACCGGTTACCAAGACTGGGGGGGTTTGGAGATGAAGGATGTCCCTGGGTTGTTTCTACAGGTTTGGACCCCGTGCACTGCTAATGAGATTGGGTGTATCTTGTGTAGTTTAGAAACCTCTTTCCGCCCTCCTTTCTCTCTCCTCTCCTTCGCGTCCTGTCTACTCCTCGGCTGCTCAGACTCACCCTGTCCACGGGTTTCCTTTCTTTCGCAGCCCAGGCGGCACTTGTTCACTCCTTCATTTTTGATCAAACCTTCCATTCGCTTGATTGAGACAGCTTTTAAGTCCCTGTTGCTATTATCGAAGAGGTTTGTGGATCGGCTGATTTGCGGCGGAGCGATGTCTAACCAGACCTCCCCAGTATAAAACTGATAAGCTTCATTGGCAAGATCGTGTTTATTTGTTTATACGGCAGACGCGGGTGGAGACCAAACGGTAAGCTACATACTTCTAGTGCTTCGATTCGCCTCTACCCCTCCGGTACCTTGTATTAGCCCTAGACAAGGGTACCAGGATGCACGCAAGGGGCCATTCCTCGCCAAAAGGGAGCCACCACTGTAGATCCTATGAGCCCTCGAATAGGATCCTGCGATGGGCCTGATGGGAATATCTGGAATCCCTATCTGCGTCATTTCAATCCCCGTTGAAGCACGTTGTCACTTAAGCGGCCACACCTGGGACTAACATTTATCTTCCAGCGACACCCTTCGGCATCACCCGAGCAAATCCACCACACAATACACGACGCCTAGCCGATTGAGTCGGTGCTCCTGGCGAGTCGTGGCTGTCATTCCACTCGTTGAATCTGTCACTCTTTGTAACCCATTAAGCCCCTTGACGCGGCTCTATACCCAGCGAGATGCAGGACATATCTCTTAAAACGACCTTTTTGGCGTGTCTGTCTTTACTGCCTGCGCTTACTGACGCATTCTGGCGTCTGCCTTGCCGTGGCCGAAATGCCATTGGCCGGCTCGATCCAATCATTGACCCTGGCCAGATTTCATCGCATGTGCATACTGTGCATGGAGGTGGAAGTAAGTACGCGCCTGCAAGCGTCTCACTGAAATGGCTCTGACAAATCTTTTTCTCAGGCTTCAGTATAGATGCGACTCCCGAGTCCTTGGCAGCATCGAGCTGTACCTCATGCGGTGTCCTGCAGGATAAGTCTGCATACTGGACGCCCGCGCTCTACTTCATGCATACGAACGGGTCTGCGGAACTTGTCGATGAAGTTGGAGGCATGCTTGCGTGAGTCTTTGAGCCTTGTCTAGATGTTATGACGAGTAGCACTTACACTTTTGGTATAGCTACTACCTTCTCTATGGTGAAAATGTCACCGCATTCCCTAACGGCTTCCGAATGGTAGCGGGTGACCCCTTCCAACGGAACTTCACTTGGCCAATCCCGGACCCTCCCAAGTCTTCTTGGACGGGAGCCCAGATATCGCAGGCTGCACTCCGACAGAAAGCCGTGGGTTTCAACTGTTTGAATTATGCCGCGCCCCCTGAAGGATCTCTCCAGCGACACTTCCTTCCGAACAAGGCGTATCTCGACGAACACTGCACGGATGGGATTCGCATGGAACTCATGTTTCCATCTTGCTGGAATGGAAAGGACGTGGATTCGGAAGACCACAAATCCCACGTCGCGTATCCGGATCTAGTGATGACCGGTACCTGCCCGGAGGGGTACGAGACACAACTGGTATCACTCTTCTATGAGACAATCTGGGACACATATGCGTTCAAGGACGCCGACGGCTACTTCGCGCTCTCGAATGGCGATCCGACCGGCTTTGGGTACCATGGAGATTTCATGTTCGGCTGGGAAGATGGGATTCTACAGCAAGCCGTCGACACTTGCACAAGTCCCACGGGCATCGTCAATGACTGCGAAATTTTTAACGTGCAGAGCGAGTGGGATCAGAATCAGTGCTTCTCTGAATTGCCAGCTCAGATTCGGCATGAGAATGTCGAGATGCATCCAGATGGATTGCCGGGTGGTATGCCGATTAGCTGGGGCCCGGCGTATGCGAAGGGGGCCCATGGCGGTGGCTCGTCGCCACCGGCTGCTTCTTTGTCACTTGTCCCCAGTCTCAGTATTCCTAGCATCAGTATCCCCGGTATTACTCTTCCCACCCTGTCTATGGGTCTCGGCATTGACATGGGAGACATTGGTGCAACCGGTAACGCTAAAGCCGCTTTTGCGAACCCTGATAAGACTGAGACAACTCTGGCCACGATGACCTCTACCAGTACAAGTACATCGAGCCTGAATCCCACCCCGGCCACCACGACCAGGGTAGAGGTTGACCCCATTACTGAAGACCTCGTTATATGGGAGGCGGATGTTGTTGTCAGTGTGGATGCGGATGGTGTTCCATTCGCCACCACAACTGGAGCTGCGCGAATCATCTCCACGTCTACTATGGAAGCTACTGAAACAACAACCGTTGTTTCGACCATCGAACAGGAGCCATCGGCACCTGAGAAGCGCGATGACTTTGCGGGACATATGCGCCGCCATATCCACCACCATGGACGTCTCCATAAACGAGGCGTGTACTAAAATGGGCCGGCTGCAGATTCCAGCTTCCAAGAGTACACGCTTTGCGTATTTCTTTTTCGAAGGCTGATTGATCTATTCACATGTTGCGTATTTTGAGAATTACGTCGACTACTCTGTCCTTTTGGGAGCTAGTATTCCTTGGCCAGGGGTTTTCATTCATGTATATGATTTGTTCACCGCAAAGCTGAGTACATATCGGGACTTTTTATCGATAACAATATTGCTTTCAAGTTGCTTGTTACCAAAAGAAAGATTGGGCCAAAACCCCCAGGAATACCCTGCCCATGCGCAAACAAATGATAAATGTCCGATTCATCTTCGTGAGCATATGTGTAATCTTGAAAATCGCAGTATTCGCCGTAATCCTTTTACGAATCCACGGGCTTGAAAAGGGTTAAACAACAGAAGTTGTCTAGACCCGACTTGGAATAGACGCCATTGCTATACTATTGTGTAGGTCAAAGAGGTCTATCATGTCACAGCTTGCCTAGGATTTCTCGGCTGCACTTGTCTCAGACCTCAATGATGGCCGTCGAGCTGGGCCTGGCTATTTCAGTTGTACAACCTCCCAGCGCGACAAAGGAGACACAGCACTGACCCGATAGATGCGGTGGAAGAGCCACCAGCAGTCAATTTGGATCAAGCGGGCTCGTCTCGACCTCTTTGATATCTCCAACCGCGAGCCAGAAAAGACAAATGGCCGTACGTGCCTTGTTGTGGTCTGGAACACACATCCAGGCTGGTAACACACGCCTGCGCCAGCTGTCACAACTTCTCCTCTACCAATGCTAGGGTTGTTGGGCCTGGGCTTAGATCAGAATGTAACATTTGAGCAGGGATAACGCGGGAATACCCATGTCGCAGATTCCGTCCAAAGATCTCGACCCCAGATCCCTGCGCACCAGATGATTGGACTGCTACCGTCTCGTTAAGGCTAATTTTGTCAGAGACAGGCCATCAGTCCATTCACTTCTCGATGTGCGGTGTTTTCCAACCTCCGCGGGAAGTATATCTCCTGTCGACGGTGGCGTGTTGACTTGCAGCAACGCCACAGCTACCAGGGAGTAAATCCCAAATTCTAGGTTTGCGATTGAAATGGTCATCGGCAATGAAGCTTATCATGGAGGTCTCAATAAGGTTATATAAAGACACGGGGGATCAGCCCACGCAGCATCCAACACTGGCAGCTCGTGTGTATTCGAATCAGCCTGAGAGACCGTTTGTAAAGGCAAATCCCTAACTTCAGCAGTATTTATATCTGGGAAGCTCAGAACCATGGCCCGTCTATCTTCTTCCTTTATTGTGTCATTCATCTTCTTCATCTATGCGCATGCTTTCCCCCGCGAGACCGGTGTCGCAAGCTTGACTCAGACTCAGCCAACAGCATCAGTCACGGAGGCTGTTGCACCTGCTGTTACTGAAGAAGCTCGACTCAGATGCTCCGATGGCTCAACTATCTTACACACGACAGACTGCACCATGGGCACCCCGGTATCCTTCTGCCATAAGCCAGAGGCCCCGATCAAGTGTGGCCATGGGTACTTCCCATCCGTATGGCACGCCGACCACTGCATGGAGCAGTCGACCTGCTTCCCGCTCGATGCGGCGTGGCTGACGACGGAATGCCAACACGGAGCAATTCCATATACAACAAATACCATGTACGACGGGACCCTTGCAGGAGGTCTTTCGACAGTGATCAGTGGTGAGTCTATTCATTATGACAAACTAGAATAGAAAACGAGTTTGGTGGACTTATTCAGCTTGTTCATTCTAGCTGTCTCGTGCTCTTGCGCGCCCGATCAATGGTACAGCATGACGTGGCTGGGTGGAAGCTCCGACCTGGAGACCTTCTGCATGCCATACAGCTACTGTCCGCCAGGCATGACAACATCTATCAGCTTCAACGCTTACTGTGCTACGGCCACAGAAGTAGCCTGTGATGGGGTGCCAACTGAGACGCCATTCTGCCAGTGTGCGGATGCAAAGCAGACTCCTATTTACCCGGATGTGCCTGGCGCTGTAGCCATTGGATGCGAATAAACTCGTACGCATCCGCAGATGGAGGATGAACCTCGAATACGAACCGCTTAGAATGAGAATTGACAGGTACTAGTCTTGGAAGGGCCAGGTAATTGGACAACTTGGACAAGATAACCTACGTCCTTTGCCAGTGGGCTCGGGGCCTTGCCAGGATATTTCCAATTGGACCTCTTGAATGATTTTGGATCGGTCTTTACTTCGGGAATCTGGGCTTCATGTTCACTCAGAATGTCATCCACAGGTCTAGGTCTTGGCTACAATTAATGTTTAATGGAACGATATCTGCTTACAAATGCATTGATGAAACCGCGCTAATACAAGCCTAAAATACTCCACGCCGAACTAAATGGAACGGCTATATGACGTGCGTCTCAGTAGAATAAGCTTTCAGATCTGATTCCACGGTTCCAATCCTCCGCCAAACGAGCCATCAAAGTCCCGGTGGGCAAAAAACAGGGGCTTGCACTCGGGCAACATTGGGACTACATTCCCAAATCTGCTTGTCAAAGCCATAGCGCAATAGCTTCAGGAGAGCCGGAGCCCCATAACCAGCCGAGCAGCCCAACGGAGGGTCGCCTCTTAAGGGGGCCCCCGCCGGGTCCCCCGACTCGCTCGTTCGGGGGGTCCCAAAACAGGGAAAACAGGGGCGTCTCCTCCCGCCATTTCGACCCCGCATGGCCTGGCTGTCGAAGCCGTTGGCTCTTTTATTGAATTAGAGCTACCCCCTCCCTTGAGCTTTCCCTCCACCAATTTGCCCCTCGAAATGTCGGACCTCCCAGAAATGCAATATCGCCACCTCGGCAAGACCGGCCTCAAGGTCTCCGTGATCTCGCTGGGTAGCTGGCTCACCTACGGCGGCCACGTTGGCAACGGTAAGCTCTCCGCGCACACACTGACACTCCAGAGTGCACAGCTGACCGTCCCCCAGAAATCGCATTCGACTGCATGAAGGCCGCCTACGATGCGGGCATCAACTTCTTCGACACGGCCGAGGTATACTCCGCCGGCCAAGCGGAAGTCGTCCTGGGCGAAGCCATCAAAAAGTTCGGCTGGAAGCAAAACGACCTGGTCATCTCCACCAAGCTGTACTGGGGCCGCGGCAACACCGACAAGAGCGACAATCTGCTCAACAACAAGGGCCTGTCGCGCAAGCATATCATCGAAGGCATGGACGCGTCGCTCAAGCGTCTGGACCTCCCCTACGTGGACATCGTGTATGCCCACCGTCCCGACCGGGACACCCCCCATGGAGGAAATCGTCCGCGCCTTCAACTACCTGATCGACCACGGCAAGGCGTTCTACTGGGGAACTTCGATGTGGAGCGCGGACGAGATCGCGGATGCGTGGCGGATTGCCGACAGGCTGGGCCTTGTCGGGCCGGTGGTCGAGCAGCCCAAGTACAGCCTTTTGACGCGCGAGCGAGTCGAGAAAGAGTACCGCTGGCTGTATGAGGCGCACCACGGTCTGGGACTGACTATCTTCTCGCCGCTGGAAGGTGGTGTTCTGACCGGCAAGTATAACGACAGCGAGACGCTGCCCGAGGGATCGCGACTGGCATTGTCGGAGGATCGACGCAAAGCGGTGGTGGAGAATGAGAACTGGAAAGCACAGCTGAAGAAGGTCGCGGCTCTGAAGCCTATTGCACAGGAGCTGGGCATCTCGACTGCGCAGCTGGCGTTGGCGTGGGTGGTTAAAAACCCTAATATTTCGTCTCTGATCATTGGTGCCTCGCGCCCGGAGCAGGTGCTTGAGAACGTTCGAGCGCTGGCTGCGGTTGAGAAGTTGACGCCTGAGGTGTTGAAGAAGATTGAGGCGGCCGTGGAGACCCAGCCCGAGATCGAGCCTCGACGGTTCTAGGGGTGGGGGTTTTAAATGAGACAGATTATCTTAGATATAAATACAACTATGCGCAGTGGTTCAAGCGGGGAATGTCAATTTCAGCCAGTGTGTAGCTCACAACGATAAGGTTACCACGAGACCTACGGGTGTCTCTGCAGCGGGCCTCGGGTGGTTGACAATACCTATGATGGTTTGAGTGTTCCAGAATGAACCTTCAAAAGAGACAAGGCAGTATGCCGGGCTTGCCGATATACGATGCATACGGCAGGTTGATCTAGATACACTTTCCACCGTCGACGACCATTTCCGTGCCGTTGATGAACCGTCCCTCCTCACTAGCCAGGTAGAGAACCATGTTCGCGATATCATCCGCCTCAGTGAGACGACCAAGGGGAACATTGCCGATGAACTTTTGTCGGTTCTCGGGGGTGTCTTCCATTCCCGTGAACATCGAGAAAAGCCCGGTTCCCGAAAGCAGCGGAGCTACACTGTTCACTCGAATGTTGTGAGGACCGTATTCTGCTGCGAGACCCTTGGTGGCCTATCATGGAACATTAGATGACGAGAACATTTTGGGCGTCAAATTGGACCACTTACATTTGTCACTGCACCCTTAGACGCGTTATACCATACCAGGCCGGGTCGTGGACGAGCTGCGCCCGTCGAGGAGATGTTGATCACCGAGCCACCTTGGCCCTGCTCAATCAGACGAGGGATGACAACCTTGCCGGCCAGGTAGATACTCTTGATGTTGACCTTGAATACACGCTCCCATTCGTCGTCGGTCACTTCCACAGTGGGCTGTGCGGCAAATTAGCCATTTGCCTGACAAAGGCTGCGGGGGGATCTGATGGTCTGACCTTGTTTCGATAAGACGTTCCTGCATTGTTGACAAGAATATCGAGCCTTCCAAACTTGGAAAACGCGAGATCGGCAACGCTCTTCCATTCGTCTTCGTTGGTGACGTCTTGACGCTGGAAGACCAGATTGCTCGGGTTCAAGGCAGCGACTTTCTCACCACCTTCTGTATTGATATCGGTGATCACGACTTTGGCGCCCTCTTCGCCAAATCTACGGGCAATTGCAGCTCCAAATCCAGAGCCGCCTCCTGTAGGGAAGTGGAAGTCAACCGCCGTTAGCCCGTGCTACATGCATACCTGAGGGGCACGATGGGATCATACCGGTCACGATGGCAACCTTGCCCTCGAGTCTTGAACCTTGTGCCATGATGAAAGAGTCACCGTGATAATGTCTAGATCATCCGGATAGAAAGAAAAGACAGAGTTAAGGGATGTGGTACACTCGTAAAAAGGAGAGGGTCGCCAGCCCCGCACCAAACCCCCACTCCGTGCGGAGGCGGTCCAGACAGCACGGCAACCAAGTAAACAATGCGTTGGATGGGAGTGCATTCTCTAGACGGTGTGAACGTGACCTTTCAATGCAGAGAAGAAACGTCGACTAAGCTACGCCACAGGACGATCCGCGCCTTATCTTTGCTTTATCGTCGAGACATTAAGGAAACCCAAATGAGGTCACGCGGCATTAGCGCCAGGTACAACTTGGAATCTACTGTATACCTTCTGTACATCCAGTTATGTTTCCCCCTGGTCCATTGAGTTTGAGGCGCAAGTTAGCGTCGTGGCTATTGGGAGATGAAACAATGGAAGCATGAGTTCATGAATTCGGATCGAAGGAGAAGATGTGAGAAAGAAGGGCCCTTTTCCGAATGAAGCCGTGTCGATCACTTGTATTCCCCATCGGCACTCTGCATGCCCCTTTCATTCTAAGGGCAATTAGAGACGCTTCTTGATGACATGATCTCTTTTAGGGGACCTTTTTCCCTGTGGACCGTTCCGTCTTGGTTTATTCTGAACCATCATATTCGAAACCCCCTGTGGTAGGACCTAGCTTTTCTTATTAAGATCGTCGATCGTCATGCCTCTAGTTGCCTTGACTGGAAGGCTAATGTGTCAGCCCCACCACCCTAAACTGCCGTAGAATACCAGTTTTAGCCTCCCTTCCCTACGACTGGGATGGGAAGTTCGTCGATGTATAAAAATTAGCTGGATGATGTACGCAAGATAATGCATAAGAGTCCGAGCCCCCATGATCTAATAGTTTGCAAGCTGAGCTTCCTAAATTTTGATCGTCGCCGTGAGGCTGCATAGTTTCATCTCTTTTTCTAGTTCAAGGGCTTACGGCCGCGGGAATCCCCCGCTAGGGCTAGTCAATGCAGCCTCACGCTACGGCTTGGCCCTACCTTCCTTGTCATTGCCACGATCCGGTGGTCTGCAGGTCTTTCGAGCACCCAAAACCCTCTCGATGAGATCGGATCCTCACCTGATATTAAATCGACGATGCCCTGCATACTCCTAACAGGGCACCTACGGATTCTAACCAGCCTGCGATTCGCCCCGCCGTGATAGCCTCTAGCCCCGTCGACAATAGTCGGCGCTAGCAATGCGGATCGGTGTACGGAGTAGAGCTGTATATGTGCACGCGGCCACCAGTTTCAAGCTGACACCTCCCCTGGTCAGCCAAAGGAGATCCCGAGCGGCTGCAGTCCCAGCTGTCCAGATCGAGAAAGCTGTGGCTTTTGCTTAATCGGTCGTCAAGGAGGTTCCAGATGGTTCTGACATCCAGGGCTCGAGCGAATGCCATGAGGGTATTTCAAATCCACTTTGTCATTGTGGCCTGGAAGGGAAACTACTCCCGAATAGCTTGATCCTCATGGCCGGTAAAATTCTCTACACGAGACATGCATGCACGAACCTCCTCCACTCGAGCAAGGCCAAACATCGTTGGCGATGACGAAAGATGGGGTTTGGCAGGGGTTGTGAAACAGAAGAGCCAGGTCCCTTTTCTTCGTGTTCTCCAGGATGATACACCTCGGTGTCGATGGAGGCGAACCTGGGCGAGCGCGCTTTCGGGAGCCTGGGCTGTAAACAAGCACAAAACACCCCCGGGCAATGCGTAATTCCAAATTTGTCGGGCTCTAATCGCCTAGGGGCTCAGCACTGGCCACCAGGTTCATCTAGGAGATAGCTGCTGACCCTTAGGCTCGCTTTGATTTGACTACCCTCCTGCTAGTCGCAGAATTAGGCAAGCTCTAACGGGGATCGGCGTTTGAGTGCTCGAGGCAAAGTCCGGTGTTTTGAGCGAAGCCTGCAGTTGGCTGAAATAGGCTGGCTGCTCATTGCCCGCGGCAAGCGCAGGTAATCATCATTCTCCGTTCGGAGTAGTTCGATGCATGGCGTAGTCCTGCGTAGATCTGCTAATCTCCCCCATCTTCCGAAGATTCGATGGTGGCCTCTAAGTGGAGATGATCGACTCCAACACGACCCCAAACCCGAAGCGCCTTTTCCGCACCGTGAGTTCTCGTCTTGGCGCCGAAATTCCTCCACTCTGATCTAGTCTCGATTTGGGTTCCCCGTACTTAACAATGCGCTGAGATCCGACTCTTTAACGTGCATTTCATGTACGACGTGCTGCGACCTCCATGGAGATTCGAGCGGACGGCGCTTCGACGTCCGTGACGTCTGAATCGTCCCAGTCCCCCGAGTCACATCCGCCGCGGAACGCGACCAAGAAGCGAGTGCGGCGCTGGCACCACCGTGGGTTCACCGGCTGTTCGACCTGCCGCCGCCGTCATGTCCGCTGCGACGAAGCCTCTCCTGTCTGCCACAACTGCACGCGTCTCTCCCTCGAATGTGACGGCACCCAGGGTCGCATGACCTTCAAGGCCTACGGCCCGCAGGGCCAGGAACCGCCGAAGGCCACGAAGAAGCGGACCAAGAATAGCTCGCGGGCAGACGATGCGCTGCCGGGGACAGCAACATTCGTTTTACCCACTGGCAATGCAAAACATGACGGCTTCGAAAACCTCGTCGTATCGCCGACCACCCTCGGCCATCAAGCTCCCAAATTCCGCTTCGCAGACCCCGCCTCCTCCATCGACCTCATGCACGCTGCGATCGAGTCCTCCGATGAGATCTACTATACCCATTTCATTGACCAGGTCTCTACTCTCCTGATCATCTACGACAACTCCATCAACGCCAACCCTTACCGCAGCTACTTCCCCGAGTTTGCCCGCTCCTCCCCGTCGATGGTGGGTGCCATGCAGGCATTGGGTGCTTTACACCGAGCCAATACATCAACCGGGCCTGAACGGAATAAGCATTTCCAACAGGCCATGGGCAAATATGGCGAGGTAGTACAGTTGTTCCGATCTCGGTACGCTCGGCCCAGCCAGCAACTAGGAATGACCGACTTTGCGACCTGTCTATTATTATGTCTATTCGAGGTGGGTCACCGCAGATCTACGGAAAAATGAAGTTTGGCAGTCATATTCACAAAATTTGCACAGATGATGGACTCACAGAATCAGAACTGGGCAGTCCACCTCCAAGGGGCACGCGAGATCTACAATCTTCTCTTCTATCCGCACACGGGGACAAACCCCACCCGAGAAATTCAGCGGGTGGCAGAGAGCAACCACCCTCTCCGCTCATTTCTCGTTTCTTTGCTCTCTTACCTCGATGTGGCCGGGGCCTGTGCATCCCCGGCGGAACAGTCGTCGAGGGCACCTACTGGAAGACTTTGGGAGGAGGGTGGGAATACAATCTCGGAACCCCGAGTCTTTCCTCCCCCACGATGCCGGATGACCCTCGGTTAGTGGAGCTCCGGCAAGCGTGGTCCGGCATGATGGAAGTGCAGGCCCAGATCAGCGTCTTTGGCCGCGACAAGTCATGGATGAGCCCCGAGGTCCAGGACGCGGTCTATAAGGATATCTTCAACCAACTGGTTGTCTGGCGTGCCAGCACGCCTATAAGCCTCCGGTTACTCGGCGACATGGAGCTAGATGACGAAAGTTTACGCCTGTTCCCCTTCCCGGACGTCCTTGAATATGTCGGGTGCATCGAGGCTTACGAGAAAGCCACTTTTGTCCATTTGCATCAAGTCGGTGGTGCAGGGCGGCCGGGCTGGGTGACGGACCGCACCTACCTGGACATGCTTCTGACTCGAATCCTCACCCTAATTCGGAAATTGTCCAAGGGCGTTGGGCAACTCGCCTGCCTATGGCCGCTTTTTATTGCGGGCCAGGAAACTCGCAACGAATCCGAACAAGACTACGTTCGTCAAACCATGCAGGATCTCAGACGGTTTGGCTTCAAGAACGTTGACAAGGGCCTTGAGCACCTTGAACGCGTATGGTTCAAACGCCGTGCTTTCCCCCGAAGGATGGACGGAGACTCTGGATGAAATCCAGTCGAATATCCTTCTTCCGTGATAACGGGGATATCTGACCGTACTTTGTTCTTTTCCTCTTTTTTCCTCCTTTTTTTAACACCTCCACTTTTTAAGCCGCCTTCTTGGATATACTTTTTTAACGCCTGTCATGAGTCTATACCTTATTGCTCCACATGCATGACGTTTTAATAGAAGCTTCACATGTGTCTCTAACTCGGGAATCTTTCTCTTTTCCTTTTCATACCCACCATTTCCATAGTCGATCATAAGTTTGCGGTTCCAGCCAAGCCTGCGTTAAGCACCAGAGACAGGTTCTCGAACGTGACTCGCATGCCGCCCTGTTCCCCAACCCCACCTCAGCCTACAAGGCCCCGCCCATCCCAACCGGTTTACTGTGGGTAAAAACACGAATCAGATCGACTGTATGACAACTTGCTTTTTCCTTCAAATTGCGAGTCCCTAAAGATGAGCAGAAGAGGCCCGCGAAACCCACCATTTTCATGCGCGAGCTCTGGATCCTAAGGTGCACTCCGAGCACTGGACTGTCCCAGCAAACTGATGATGGGTGAACCACCCCTGGATTATCGGATCCGTCGGGCACCTCCACTTCCCCCTTGAAAGGTCCACAGGGGCTTAGGCGCGGCGAAACTCTAAGAAAAAAAAAAGAAAAAAAAAATTTGGCGTACGGATCATTCCCCCTCCGCGAAAACCAGGTGGTCGGAGATCGGAATCTCCAGGTTTACAGGAGTGGCTATCGATTCGGAGTTATTCGAAACTACTCTTTGTTTTTCCTTTCTTCCCGTTCTCTTTCCTGTCCACGTCTGAGTGTCCACGTCTGAGCGTTGATCGATCGTTGAGATCATCTTGATTATCTCGATCTGTCTAATCCGACATCGGCGTTGCCTATTCTCCAAATCCACCCCAAACAGGAAAAGTAAAGAGCTTACTATAGAGAGCCCCAGAACTATTTGTCTTAGACCAAGCTTTAAGAGCTGGCTCGCCTATTTTTTCCGTCCAGTGGAGCCGCGCGAGTCCCTGGTGCGATCCGGGCGTTTTATGACGGCGGGGGCCAAAAAAAACCCCAATAGGCAAAAAAACCTGATCAGCAAATAGAGAACCTGCGAAGCATCTGCGCCTGTGCAGGAGTATCCGCCTTTGCTTTACGGCTGCGAGTGGCGCAAATTCTTGCTCGATCTTTGTTTTGTTCAACCATCGGTCCAAATTGGGATTAAAGATCGATTGTTGATCAACAAGCTTCAGGATGGTGGCGCAGGATCAGGATCTCGCCGGTCGCGATCAGCATGGCGACGATGCAGAACTTGATCGGAGTCAAGAGGAGGTCAAGGATGACGCGGCGTTGCTGGTGAGTGATCGCCTGGGTGCGACGGAGTATGATTGGTGAACGGTGCTAATGTCGGGATAGCAAACGATGGGCTACAAGCCGGTATGTGTCGGCTGAAGCGACATGATGTTGTCGCAAATTACTGATCCGGATGGCCATAGGTGCTTCATCGAACATACACGCTCTTTGAAAACTTTGCGACCACTTTTGGTAGGTTCTGCTGCGCGATACGCAAGGAAAGCTTCGACTAATGCTAGATAGCTGCCCTGTACTTCGTTGGTGGCGTCCGAGTTACCTACAGCACTGGAATCGCCGCCGGTGGAAACCTGGCCTACTGGACCAGCTACCTGGTAACCCTGGTTTTCACTTTCATCACGGCGGCTGTGATCGCAGAGGTCTGCTCGGCCTCGCCTTCTGCTGGCTCCATCTACCTCTGGGCTGCCGAAGCAGGCGGCCCGCGATTTGGGCGGCTGTTAGGATTCACCGTTGCGTGGTGGAGTACGACTGCGTGGACTACTTTCTGTGCTAGTAACACCCAGTCTGCTGTCAATTACATGCTCGCGGTACGTCGTACGTGGCTTTGGTTGTCCAGCTGCACCTACTAATAGGGGTACAGGAATTGACTGTCTTCAACGTGGACTTCCCTAGCGACACCGACAGTGTCAAGTTCCGGGCTGTCCAGTGGATTTGCACCGAGGTGCTGTTGGCCCTGGCTGCGCTTCTGAACTTCCTGCCTCGTAAGTTGGATGAACTTTGATGGTTTATAAATTCTCCAGATCAGCACTGACTATCTTCTAGCCCGGCACTTCAAAAATGTCTTCCGCATCTCTGCAGCTTTTGTGATGTTGGACTTTTTCTTGAACCTGATCTGGCTGCCCATTGGAACGGCCAACACATGGGGATTCCGCTCCGCCCATGAGGCTTTCATGACGACTTACAACGGCACCGGTGCGCCCGCCGGCTGGAACTGGTGTCTGTCTTACCTAGCCACCGCTGGAATTCTTATTGGATTTGATGCCTCTGGCCACGTCGCGGAAGAGACTAAGAACGCCTCGATCACTGCGGCTCGTGGAATCTTCTGGAGTACCGTTGCCAGTGGTATCGGAGGCTTGGCTACCATTATTCTGTTCTTGTTCTGCGCGGTCAGTATCAACTTATTTCTGGGTGGCCGTGTCCAACATACTGACTTCCATCCCAGCCTACCGCGGATAAGCTTATGGAATTTGGATCTGTGCAGCCATTTGTCCCTCTCTATGCGGTCGTACTGGGCCGAGGAGGCCATGTTTTCATGAACGTCATCTGTATCGTTGCTCTGTGGCTGGTAAGACTATTTTGAGGAACAGCCCCCCCTCTTATTCACGGTGTGACTAACAAACCAAAAATCAGAACACTGCTATTGCTATCATCGCCGCATCCCGTCTAGTCTTTGCGGTCGCCCGTGACGGCGTCCTCCCATTCTCAGGCTGGGTCTCCAAAGTCTACAACGGCCAACCCCGCAATGCGGTGATTGTTGTCTGGGCCGTTGGGGCTATTGTCACCTGTACGATCCTCCCATCCAGCGTTGCGTTCACCTCTCTGGTCTCCGCAGCCGGTGTGCCCAGCGCTGCAGCCTACGGCCTCATCTGCCTGGGACGTCTGTTATGTACGCCCAAGCGATTCCCCAAGCCTGCGTGGAGCCTCGGTCGATGGAGCAAGCCATTCCAGTTCATCGGTGTGTTCTGGAACGGATGGGTTGTTGCCGTCTTATTCTCGCCTTACGAGTGGCCTGTGACCGGCGCAAACCTGAACTGTGAGTCGAACCACCTCCTCCCCCGGGGTTGCCTCGGACAGATAACAAAAAGCTAACCCTCCTTCTCCAGACGCACCTATCATCATGGCCGGCGTGACTATCCTTGCGTTGATCTCTTACTTCATCATGCCGGAGAGTGCTTGGCTTCCTCGTGACCGAATCACCCACTTCATTGATTCAAAGGGGGCTACCGCGAACGTGGAGGAAGTCGATCAACCTACCGAGGCTGGACCCAGCCAGCGCAGTTGATGTCAGCTGGCGAGACATTACAAAATCCCCGTAGTGGTGCACGTGTAAACCGAGAATCCCTGTCTTAGCGATATCATAAAACCATAGCATGAATTAGCTGTACCATGTATAATAATACGCCCATATTGCTAACGCCCATCCATGCGTGTGCCGCACCCTTTTTGTTGTCGTTCCGCCGACAATACCAATATACACAGCAATTTAAATTGCGCAAATAAACCTCCAGGGGGTATCAAAGGACCTTCAAGGATCAAGCTCGACCTTGATTACAGGCTCATGTTCGATGCTTGGTTCCGGTACCGGCTTTCTCGCCCAGACCCGTCGACTAGAAGAAAACCAACCCCCTATCAATAAAGACGCCTCCCATCAACATAGAAGGGTTGGACCAATGCCTTACCTGCGTTGATAGATATGATATCTCATATCCATAAGCTCCTGCCTCATTTGTGCAATATAGACCAGAACCTCCTCCTTCGCCCAAGGCGAGGGGTCCCCCGAAATGCGTCAGGAGCCACATGCCGTATCCCTCCATGCCACCCATCCAATGTTGATGGTTGACTTCCCCGACCTCCTTGAGCTGCTTATCTCGTGGCCACGGCCCAATGGGCAGCTTATAGTCCTTCACGTGGATATCTGTGAAGCCGGCATTGGCTATTGAGTCGCGCATGGTGTGCATGGCACCGAGCGGCCTGCCGGCTTTCTGGGCGGCTTGGGCAAGGCGCGGGCCCCAGCTGCGCAAGACACTATGCCCCGGGAGACTGTCATCGTCGCATTCGATGAAGTAGCTTACTTCAAGTTGTTCGATCCAGCCGCCCGGTTTAATATTGCTATGGGCCGCGGATTTAGCGCGTTTTCGGCCAGTGAGAGTTTTCCAGGGAGGGGGGAAGGGTCGATGTACTTACTCGTAGCATTGCTTATAGAGGGACTCTTGTTCTTGGGCGTTAAAGGAGCCGTCGAGATTTTTTATGTGGACGAGATCGAATGGATCTTTCCAGGTCCAGCTTCGGAGGATATCATCGACTTCTAGAATGCAATTTGGTGGTATCCAGCTTAAGGGTGGTGGAAAGAGATCCACGCCACGAACCGTCGCTAATGGATGGGTTAGAAAGAAACGATCTTTAGTGAGTTTTCAGTTTTCCTCAGGAAGCTGTACCACTTGGGAACATGTCCGCAACGTCTCTGGGAGATTGTTAGGATAAGTTCCAAGACAGGGTATTAGGTGTTTTACTCACATTGCCCATGATCCTTTCCCAGTTCCAATATCCAGGATATGCTTGGTTCGTTAAATGCTGCTCCAGTCACCCATACGACGAGTCACGGTCTTACCTTGGGCAATTTGCCTGTCGGGGCATGATACAGAGGGTTCTCGAGATCAGAGTCGCAGATAATCATTAACAGATGGCTAGCATCGTTAGTGGTGGCTTTTACCTCACTTTCATCTGCTATCCCACCTGTTCTCATACGTCTCGAACATTTGATCATCTGACGGGACACTTCGAAAATCAGTCTGGACCCTGGGAGGAGGGTTGCAACCATACGGATTATGGGTCACAAATGCGTACTGGATTTTGTTCTCCCGGAGGGTCTGATATCTGTGTATCTCTTTAGCGTACCGTCACCTGTGGAACGTGAGGCTCCTACATTCTGCCATTCTCTAAAACGCCTTGGCGAATATCGGATTCCAGCGACGTCGTTTCTCTGTAGGACATGTCAGGTAATTGGACGCTGGACAAAGCCGATGGATTACGTACGAGCGCCAGTCACTCGGTGCACTGATATCTGCCGGGAGATACACATGGGAATCCTGAGGGAGTCAATCACTGGCCCGGTCCAAGGGTATCGTTCTGCTCACCGCTGCGATGACAATGTCGTTCTGCATCCGGGCGTGGGGATCCTATGACCTGCTGAGAGAGGTAGTCAAGAAGGCAACTTGGGAGTGGATTGGAGTCTCCGCGGAGGAGCCAGCAAACTGCCGATCTCAGGGCCTAAAGGCAATCCTCCAGATAAAGAAGCAGATTTCTGGGTCCTTGCCAGGGCAATTTATCGCGATTCGATCCTCCGATAGTGGGCTTTCCCCACAGCGCCCCCCTCCTAATTGACAAATAGCCGTTGCGCTCGGAGGGTGTATCTGCGCCAGCCAAATCAAATCCCCAAGCTTCTTGGTGGCGTGAAGACTGAGGGAACGCAGGATGCCCAGAGCAGGATAGAGCAGCAATAGATATATAACTCGCCCACTACCAGGCCCAGTTTTGGTGGCTCGGGCTGGAAGATCCGACTAATCATTCTGGATTTTTGTCTTTTTTTTTTTTCGCTTCTTTAGGGTGGCCGCAATGTACGAACGAAGCCACCCTTGACAGCCGACCGTGGTGATCCACTGAGGCACCCGAAGCCGGCGCCACGTCAGGATCGCCAACGGTCTCTGCGTATTGGCCGGGAATTAAAACAGCTAATGACAATGACACTCTGGAAAACCGTTAGAGCGGCAACTACCGAACCCATGAAACCCCCACTATCCGGCTAATCAACGTGGCGTTGGTCGGGATGTTAAAGAGGCATCCGGTAAAGTCGCGCATGGGGCGGAGATGGCCCCACGATTAACCTCCACGCCGTGAGCTTCTCTCCTTAGCTATCTTCCACCACGATGTACGACAATTATCGTATGCTCCCCCCCTCCCCGGAGATCACCTCCTGCTCTCTATCTAACTCATGCTAGGTCCCCACGCTTTCCTGGCCCAGGTGCCGCTCACTGTCTCACCGTTTATCCACCTCCCTGCCTCCGTCACATTACCCTACACTTACAAATCGGTTCCCTCGACGCTCCCTCCTTCCGTGACAGTCGATCCAACAAACCCGGATGCCAAGGCCCGATACGTCGTCTCCTCCAGCGGCGAGCACGTTGCGCACCCTGATGAGATCCTCAGCTCATGCCAAACCCTCGAGCAGCACCTAAAGAGGTCTCGAGCGGACGCCGAGAACGCCATCAAAGCATGGGAAGAATCAATTCAGCAACGCGAGCTAGCGGAAAAACGGCGAGTAGCGCCCGGCTGGCTAGACCGCGACGAGAAGCTCTTACAGCCTAGGCGGGCCACCGCATCTCCTGAAACCAAAGCCGCGGAAAGCAGCCTGCTAGATAGCTCATCCGCCGATCAGAGCGCGTCGAGTATGCCGCCGATGATACCCCGAAATGAAGGCGAGGAGCTGGACCGCGCCTTTGGGGGTCTCGCTCTGAAAGAAGCCTAAAAGAAGCCCGCCACTACGCCCATACAAGGCTTCCGAATGTTCGGCGACCGTGTCGCCGGCGAGTTTTGCCTTTCTGGGAAAGGTTCCAGATGATCAAGCCTTTAGCTCTTTTTAGGCCGATGGGACCCTTCTCCTGTCAGACGGGCTCGGTGGCATGGCCCGCTATTTCCTCCAGGATGATGCGTATCTTGACCTGGAGTCCCCTAGAGTCAAATCCTTATTGGCACAGGCTCCTGCTTGCCGTGCGCTCGATAACCACAAGCTACTCTTGTGACAGGTTGGAGATGCCCCTTTTCTGCCTAAATTGAGGTGGGGGTGTTTAAGTACCGCCCCGCAAAGTTCTATCAAATCTGCTCAGCTCTCTGGTGTAGTTGAGTGCTTGCTAATGATTATGAGCACTTGACTATGATTACAAGGCGTTCATCGCGTGCTACAGGGGTGACAGGTGGATTGCCATTCCTTCGTTCCAATGACATACCAGCACCGGCAAGTCACTTAAATTGGCCGAATGGAATCAGTGCGAAATCAGCCTCTTACATGTGAATATTGTAGACAGAAATAAACAGCTTATGAGAATGTCTGTCAATACGACTACTAGGTCTCCTCTGATTCTTAAGTCAAAAGCACGATTCGTGCTCTGCAAGTACTAGTACTACAGTACCACTGCTGTCAATAGTAGCCATTATGCACTCGGTTATGCACTCGGTATACTACTAGACCTCACCTACTAGTGAATTGGAACCTCGGAATTGGAAGGTTTGGCCGTGATAGTGAATTTCAAGCTTACAATGTGCTACTGCAGGGGCTGTAGATTGATTGAGACATACCAGGAGATAAATAGAAGATTAAGCAATACCAAAGGTCAAGGTCACATGTGGAAGTTCTTTTTCTCTCTATTAGGGATATAACCCTATGCCTGATGTACCTTTCCTGTCTTGTCTGGTCAGCCCAGCTTTATCATGTCACCGCCTTCAGACCCCACAGATTCACCGCCTAGGTATATTCTGGCAGGACCCCACCGCTCAGCCTTGTAGTTGTGGTTTTGCCGACAGTTCGGACGTGGAAGCTGCAATTGCTTCAGCAGACTCAACTCTTCGGTCCCGGCAATTGCTGAAAAAATGGAACCTCTCAGCGGACGCCCAGCTGTTTCAGACTACGTGACTCTTGCGGAACACCAGTCGCGCACACCAGTTCTCCTTTCACGAAGGACCGCCAATTCTCCACTACCACGGCGAGAAATGCAAGCTCGTAACCTTGAAACGCGATCTGAACGCAGAGCCTCTTTTGAATGCGTTGCGCCGTGAAATATGGATGCAGAGTGAAGAGTCTTCTGAGGATGACGAAACAGAGGTTGTAATTGACGATCTTGATGTGTGGGTTGCAAGCGAGTGAGTAGACCCGTGGCCACCCCTCCCCGCGGGAGGACGGCTTTCGCATATATCGCAAATCCACGCTTGGTTCCCAACAAGACTAATACACTGCACAGCAAGTTCAAACTTTACGCGCCCAACGCAGCGACCGGCCTTTCCGTCCCCTACCCATTCATCTCGCTACACGCGCTCATGCGTCTGCGCGTCCCAGGAGCTTCCGACGAGGTCCAAGGATTATTTATGCAGATCAATCAGCCCGAATATTCCGCCGGTGACCAGGAGGAGTCGTTTGTCGAATTGAAGATTGTCCCAGGAGACCATACTGACACGACAGAAACCAACGGCGACAGCAGCGAAGACCAGGAATCAGAGTCGGAAGCACAGCAGCTGTACAATGCGGTCTCAGCGTGCTCGGAGCTGAACCCCGATGAAGATGCTTCGGATGATGGGGCAGATGATGATGCAGATGCGACACACCAGAACGGGAGCGTCATGGCTGGTCTTCCAGGCCCTGCTAGTGGGAGCTCGGGGTGGATTACTGCAGAGAATATGCACGAATTCGTTGATGAGGAGGGTAACTGGCTTGGCGAAGGGCAGGCGCCTGCTTTCCCGAGCTTCCCAGGAGCACCACTCGGAGCTGGGGCTGGTAATGTTCGCGGTCGTGAGGAAGATGGGGATGCAATGAATGAGGAGGACGACGGCACCAAGTGGCAACGTACTGAATGATCTGGAAGTAATCCGCAAGTAATCTAAAAAAAATAATTCAGAGTTTAATCAAACCTCATTCATCATTTCCTCTGCATATGGGACTCATTTAAATGCCCTACCATAACGACTCTCTCCCTCTAGCTACCTTATTTCAAGCGGAAAAGTATCCCTATCTCAACTTTTCAAGCTGTTACTAATCCTGCTGGAGGTCTGAGGGTTGGCGGTCGGCCAAGTCATCAAGCTCCACTTGGCTTCCTTCCCGATATATATAGTATGCCAACGATATATAATTGCCAAGATACCATCCGCAGCGAGCGTACGTGACAGCTTCCACAATGAATACACCTCGCGGAGGCCAAATGATACCTCAGCGCTCAGTCTGGATTATAATTATTCCGCATATGGGACATGAGGAACATGAGAAACGGGCACAAAATTTCATATAAGATTATCCATTTCTAATTGCGGCTACCTAGGCTGGTATATCAAGACACAAATGCACATCACACATGAACAAGGCTTGAAGGAGAAGAAGTCAAAATAGAAGGACGAGAGAATTGAAAAAAGAAAAATAAATAAAAAAATAATAAGAGAAACAAATGCTCCAGGCGAAAAGGTATAAAGCTTTTCAGAAAAGATGAGAAAAATCATGAGCACAGCACGAACACATCGTCAAGAATAACTCAGGAGGTCATAAACCAAACCAAATTATTCTCTCAAGAACCCATCACCGTCGTATAAGCTGGCAGGTGTCCCAGTCACTCCGACACCTATCCCAAGGCCTTTTCCAGTTGGAGTCATCATGCCGCGGCGACCAGAGGTCGGTGTGGGTGGAACCCCACGAGGTCGATGTGACGGCGAAGAGAAGGGAGCCTTGGGAAGTGAGCGAGGCGTACTACTCTGCGAAGAGGGTGAGTTCTTTTCCGGCCACAAATACGCTCCCACGACATGGGTAGCCGGCGGCTTGGGCGGGGACCCGCTGCGATTAGCATCTTCCCAGATAGTCACGCGGTCTTTCACGGAACCCTTCCGGGTGTACTTTGGCGAAGGGCCTTTTACGCTGGCCACGGAGGCATGTGAGTCGCGAGATCGGCGATGTGATCGATCTGGACTGCCGTTCTTGGAAGGAGAGTCCATCGACTTTCGCCAGTCGCTACCCTGGGTGCCAGTGATGAGAGGGAGACTGCCGGGGGAGCCGAGCCCCATAAGTTGTTCCCTGGGATTCGGCGGCGAGCGGGTCGAGTTGGTGAGAACATTGCGTTCAGGCTGTTTGCGGGGCCCTTTGACACCTCGTCGAGGGCTGCCGTTGGCCGATGGGAGTTGGAGTTCGTGGATGGGAGATGGAAGCTCGGGGATTGACCACATTGGTGCATTCTCACCTGAAGGGGATTCGACGGGCCTGAGGTTCTCGGTGGGTGACTGCGAAGTGAAAACATCAGATAGCTTTGACTCCTTCTTAGGAGTCTCGGTTTCGTTTGGCTTCTTTGCAACACCCGTGCCTGCCGTGTTTTGAGGCTCTTCGGCTAGAACACCAAGTGTACTTGGCGGCGGCTTATTGCGCCTGCTTGTTCGCTTGGAGAGCGGTGATGGCGAGGTGGTGCTAGAGGGTACAGAAGGTGGTCGCGAAGGGGTGTTGACGCTGCTCTCCCGTAGATCAACTTCTTCCATTTCATCCAGGTCCTCTGGCTCCTCTTCGACCGTCGGAGAGCACGCAGAACCGCCGAATGACATAGGAGGATAGATGGATATACGCACACAGTTTTGGCGTCTGTGGCCCTTTCGTCGCTGTGACTTTGTGTTCGAGCTTTTCATTGCGGAGGGCGGGTGAGGTGCACCTCGGAGTGAGAGATTCGACCGTTGCATAGGGCTAGGAGGGGCGGATCCGGTAGCCTGGCGAGGAGAGCACATTGTGAATTGGGCCCCATTCAATTGCGGCGAGTCTCCTGTGAAAGGATCGTCCTCTGAAGGCCCTTCTTGCGAGCTGTGGACTTGCTTGAATTGGCTGAGTTCTGGAACAAACCCCATGTGTGACCCAGAGTTCCGCCAGCTGATCCGGCCTGACTTTTGCGGTGCTTTTCCAGATCCAGAAGTTCCGCTTCTCACGGATGGATACCTGCCGACTGTACTCGAAGAAACAGAGTCAGTTCGTTGAGGTGCTCCAATAATGCTCAGGCGAGAGCTAGCATTGCTGACATTGCGGGACATGGTGGTGGTATTACTGCGGCGAGGAGAAGGAGGTTCGACCGATGATTTCCTTTGGCCCTCTGTGGTAGACGAAGAACGAATGGGAAAGTTGTGCAGAGGTGGCATGGATGTGTTGATAAAGCTTCTTCGACCGTTCCATACTCCAACGTCATTTGCACTGTATGGTACATATGAGCCTCCTGAAGGGGGGTATATGGAGGAAGACAAGTCGGTGGTATCAGCGTATCTGTGTCTGCCATCATCCAGGATCGAGCTATTTGTGGTATCAAGGCTCATTGATGAAAGGCGCATAACAGAGTCATTCCGAAAATAGCTGAATCTGTCCGATGGAAAAGCAGTCGGTGGTGGAGGAGGAGGGACTGGTTGCTCTGGCACGATTCCTGCAGTCTGGCTCGTGATACTTGCTCCTCGGAGTCGCCGGGGGGATTCATCGAAGACGCGGGGGCCCGGGTCAAACAAGTCCTTCGAAGCACAACTGTCAGACGCTGGAAACCCGGCACGATCTCCCTGGTGGGGCAGTGGCCAACTGGGCGAGACTGGCCGCATACCCAGCACAAACCCAGGCTCTTCTTGCGCAATCTCCGGTGTATGCTGAGGCGTTCGTTCTGCTGGCAGCTCGAGCACGCCCTCCACGGCAGACAATGGTACCTCATCTTTCGATACTGACGGTCTCGGAGGACTGGGAAGTATTTGAGTTGCAGCTTCGCTCAACGTGGCCATGGAACTCATGCGACTGGGCTCCTTGAAGGAGGATCGAGACCATCTTCGCGAACGTGGCCTGGATATGGACATAGACCGCCGAATAGATCTGGCTTTCTGAAGTATCGGGAACGAAGAATCCGAGGATGTTTTCGATTGCAGGATACTTTCCCGCGATGCTAATTGACCCCATTCGTTGGGCTTTCCATATGGAAGCTGTCCGTGGGCTCGAAGGACGCTGCCTTCTGCGCGGCTAAGTTCTGTCACTGTATCACCTGTAAAGCCCAGGAGACTTCGAGTATACGGCCCATTTCGAAGGCCGAGCAGTCGCAGAGCATGACGTTCTTTCCGAACTCGCACCCACACAACGACACAGACGACTCCGATCACGATGAAGAAGGCCGCAGCCGAGGCGGCGATGGCGACTACCGCGCTGAACGCCAGCATAGCCGCCTCGTTGACGATCTACCTGCCACGCTGCACTGGAATTGTGGATGTTGAACTTCGTTTTTGGCTTGTAGGTGAGTTTATTGTTGTTTAATCGGAGACTTCGCCTCTCACTCGCGCGCGTTGATCAGAACGACCGTATGTGAGGCTGCGAATAATTTGCACAGCAGGTCATCGAACCAAAGGGAAAGGAAGTTCCCAAGGAAAGAAACAAACATGAGGGTCTCCCACTACTGACATTCTCGCCAGGGATCCAGTTTGTTATGGGAACCACCACCATGGACAGGGAATGCGACCGCATCACCACCCGTGCGGCCAGGAATGTTCGCCCACACTGATTCCCCACCTTGCACGGACAGGAAGCAAACTCTGCCAATTACATGCTATTTTTTTCTTCCACTGAGCGCCATTTTTGATTACTTTGCAGATGACAGGAATGGATCATACTGACCATCCTCCTTTGTCAGCCTGATCGACGCGATAACGACATCAGTAAATGGCCTACTCTCTGTGCTCAACCCTCCTCCAAGGCGTTGCGGTACATACAAAGTATTGGTTACGAAGAACTTTTAGAACAGCTACTGTAGAGGATATTGCCAGAACAATCATGGGAGACCCTGGTCCTCGTGCCTACTCTGACCAGGGAATTGCCCCAATATGGGAGACTGTTGTTGATGACCGAGAAGATAAGAACGAACTGGTCTGAATTAGATCGCGGTATAGATCTATTAAAATTTATGAAGCAAATGAAACACTGATGCCTCTCCCGTTCAGTCCGAAGATGAACTTGATTGTAACAGAGAGGATGTGGTCTCTCCCTAGCAATCTGCACATTCCTCGGCGAGGCCCTAGCTTCTATAGATCACGCACATCGAAAAATCTCCCAAGGTCAGCTGTTGAATTATCAGTCTGCCCTTATATGAGCGACACCTACACTTCACTTTATCTGTTTGGTTGAACATTCCCACGGTTCAATTCCAATAGGCATGAAAGACGCTCAGGCTTGAAAAACATTCCGCTTGTAATTCGATAGGGCTGATTTGATAAGAAAACTAGTATGTCAGAGCAATACGAGTCCATGAGGGCTATTCCACAGTTTACTACGAGATAATAGAGTATGGCAGCTTAACGAAGCCCTCTTGGCCATGTGGTCTCCGTAGTATTCGACCGTGGTGACTTGTACTAGGAGACTTGGAGCAGACCTGCCCCCACTGTGGCAGTTGCACCAGGCCGGGAAACAATCATGGAACACTTATTATCACGGATCTAAGAGCATCATTCTCCTTCTGGATGACCGAGGTAAGTCGTTATTCATTTGGTTACTTCTTGTCCTTCCAGCCGGTAGTGAGTCCCACGACGCAAGAAGGCCCCGGTGACCCGATCATTCCCCGCGCCGAAACACGGATGACCGAGGACGCTCAGATCCAACAATGTCAGTTGATCGCGATAACCCGGGAAACAGCGGTCAGCTTGAGATTTATTATTTGAGGGTGTCCCAGTTATCATTTCCGGAGGCTTTTCTTTACTTTGATCTCTGTCGCGTCATCTCCACATTTCGAGAGCTTTGTTCCAGGCTCATTCTGAACCCTCCTACAATAGGTGATCAAAGGCCTTTGGAAGCAGTGAATGCAGTTGGTCTATTCTCGGAGGTAGCATCTATTCCATGGACCTTTTGATTAACCTCGCTCATTTGAAGGGCCCATTCACTGTCGCATTCTTGTTCCTCACTTCTTTTTTAAGACCATGTGCCGCTCTGTATCTACAAGCTTCCCAAGACATCCAACTTGAACACAAACAATCTTCGAATCAGTACTTCAATTCTATCTTATGAGTGTCAGCAATATGACGACTACCACTCTGGTATCAGGCCTTCGCGGCCCCTCACTTATCTCTGACTCTCAACCAAAGCATTGGGAGGACGCTGAGAAGGCGTCTATTGTATGTAAAATTGAAGATTCCTGGCCGGCATATCCAGCTCAAGCTAAGAGAAAGTTCTACAGCTAGAAGCCTTTGAAGAGGCAATGAGCTGCCACAAATGCACCATCAAAGTGACCGAAGCAACAATGGCGATAGACATCGAGCGTGGCTCATATCTTACGACCAGCTACCCGCCGCTCTTTCCCAACAACCACAAACGAGATGAAGACATCTCTCCCTTAGATATCTCCAGCCCAAACCTGGAGCAATCTTTCTGGGGACTAATCAACGTCGCCCAACGACAACACTACTACGATATCGTCGAGCAAAAGCTAGATCAGAGACTCCTTGACGACCCGACAGTGGACGAAAACATAGCTGCTCTGTTCGCCCATTACCAAGTTGACTTTCACATCAACCAACACTACCTTTCCCGCAGAGGAGTCCTCACTCTCTGCCGCGATGCGAGTGACATGGGCGCACTCCGTAAATGGCAGTGGGAGATGCACGAGCTCCAAGCCATCATGGACGGGGTGAACGTGATACCAACGACGAAGAAGCGAATGGGGTGGCCCAATGACGGCAACCTAGAAATGTTCCACCAAATACGCATGTGGAAGGGAGCGTGGCAAACACGCGAGAAGCATCTCCGAGAGGTGCGCGCTCGATGGGCGATTATCATGGAAGAGCGGCGCCGGCAGAGAGAGGAACTGCTGGCACGCTCCGGCAAGGCTCCGATGGGGAAGCTGAGTCCCACGGTTACCGTCAGGCTTTATTATCGTGGGCAGCTCCGGGATGTACGGGAGCTTGAAAGAATCATGCCGGTTGAGGCTGGGGTACGGCTGGGGCAAACGACGCAGAGTTCTGGGTTTTGATCGGCGCCAAGCGTACTAGGGGCTATTCCGGGTGGAAGAGCTGGTCTCTTCCATCTCATTTGCATTGGGAGGGAGTTTGTCATAATGAGCCTTGGAATATTATTGAGACTTAAACAATCACACGCGTAGGTATCTCAGAGGCCTGAGAGACAAGCAACATGTACGTGTATTCGAGATGTTTATCCGTGAGAGCCCTAAACAAGCTCCGATCGATGGCATGTGTGTCCTAGTAAGATGCTCGATCGAGGCTTTATGAAATAGCACATACTAGTACAAACAGACCGCGCTAGTGATGCGTGTAGACCCGATAAGTCGCTATGGTCTGTTATTTAATACCAGTTAGTCACGATGACAGTATACGATGGGATATCAATGATACGTTGATTGTGAGGGAAGGAGATAGTTAGCGCTCACGACCTCATTGGCTCGGCTCGATCCTTGTGAATCAAAGGGTTTAGAGTAACATCGGCGGAATTATCGACAAATGACAGGTCATGTTTCTACAGGCCTGATCTGACCTACCATCGGGACGGGAGCGGTCATTATCCCGCAATCAAGTGACACCTGCCTCATTTCAACGTAGCAGCAGGTTGGGCTGGATGATCGACCAGATCAGGACTAGACGTCGGGTGAACCTTAGCCCCTCAGCGCAACTCATTGCGGGGGAACTGCATGGGGATGCTGCTGCACATGCACTCCGTGGCTCATCCACGAGGGGGATTCCGGGATCGTCGCGCGCACCTGCTGCATACGGACGGCTTTATAGGCTTTACCGAGTAATCCCCCCACCCTGCAAGAGTTGGGGGGAAGCCGAATCCGATTGTAGCCGGGGATTAAGTACTTTCATGTGGGAGCAGCCATGGCTGACTGGGTTCTATTGAACAAAGGCGTATTGATCATAAATGCTGTCCAGGTGGTTCAAGACGGCAGTTTCGCGCCAGGCACCGATCTCCCGTGCCAGGGCGGTTGTGGCGGGGATGGCCTACAGCACAGACCAAAAAGCTTTCATTTTCATCAACCCATGTGGACACGACAGCACATCGGGCCTATAAGGATCAAGATGACAGGCGACTCAAAGTCCTCAAAGAAAATCCCCAGGCCATGGGCCGCTACATGGCCTTTTCTCTCCTAATTGGCGACCAAACCGAGGGAATGAGGAGGAAGGTCCAGTTATTGAGACATAGATCCCGCCAATGAGCGGGAGAGGGCAAAATGTGACTAATCTGACTGGTTTTCTTGCATCCAATTTCGTCACAGCGATGAAACTTGATGAGTGGACCAAGGCTTTGGTGCCGATCTTGTGAGATCGACTGGAGACAGGAGGTAAGGAATGAGGAATGTCGCGGTGCGGGAATATCCAGAAGCATCAGAAGATTTTCTTGAAGGCAGGAGGACAGTGGCCCGATCACTTGCGCTAGTATGAGTGAGGTGAGTTCGGTGCTCAAAAGCTGCAGATACTAAGGCCCAACTGGTCGAACACGGGCCCTCCTGAAAAAGGTTATCCGGGCATGAGGTACCGCAAACATCATTATTACTGCATCCCCACGACAGCCCTGCCCAGTTGCCCAGTAGAGGGGGAATATCTGATGTGGTAACAAACGGTACCTCCTTGGTAATCCTGGGTGTCTCCTGCCGTATTGAGGCGCATAGCTGCGTATCAAGACCGGGAAACCGTACAAATGACGTAAGGGGGCCCCCCGACCGGCCCGTACTTGTACAAGAGGCAAAATGTCCTCGTCAGGCTTGATACTCTTTTGCTCGTAAGATCAGTAGATGTAGTTTAGTCGAAGTCAGACGATCAGGTAGCACTACGACTCAAAACCCCCTTAGGAAAAGCGATCAGGAGACAAATGTCCTAAAGAATGACGTTTGTGCGACCCGATCGACTGGCTGAGCAGGAAAAAAATCCTCCCCTCAAACGAGGGGAACTCACATCCACCGACCCACCAATGTCCACGGATGGAGGAGTGGATTCAACTTTGGGGCTCTCTCAGCGCCTTATAATACCATTGCCAACGCCCGATTCCTGCTCCTTTCCCTTTTCTTCCCCTCCTTCACTTTCCCTGCCCCACCAACGGCTGCTTAGGAACCCCCCCTTTCTATACCACTGCCTATAACACCCGCCAACATGTCCAAAACCAATGTTCTGTTGGTCGGCGCCGCGGGTGAAACCGGAGGATCGATTGCTAACGGCCTGCTTGAAGATGGCAGCTTTGTACGTTTTTACCCACGTCCTGCGGCCAGTCTAGCAACAAAACCCAATCCAAATGGACAGCGGCTAACGAGGGACCGTGTTCTCGGGCTCACAGGAAATCTTCGCATTGGTTCGACCCATTTCAGTCCTCAAGCCCGCAATCGTCCGGCTGCAAGAGCGAGGTGTCAATGTTCGCAAGTGCGACCTGAAGGCGCCAGAGGAACAGCTCATTGAAGCTCTGGCGGATATCGATGTGGTCATTAGCTGTGTCGGACCAGCTGAGCAGCAGGACCAGATCCCATTGGCCAAGGCCGCGAAGAAGACCGGCGTCAAGCGATTCATTCCATGTGGTTTCATCACCGTCGCCCCTCCCGGTGGTGTGATGTGGCTCCGTGACGAGGTAAGCTAAATTCGCAGATGGGGACCTTGTTACATGCGTTCGGCAGAGCTAATCATGCTCGCCACCCGATACAGAAAGAGGTCGTCTACAACCAGATTCGCCAGTTATGGCTTCCTTACACAATCGTCGATGTCGGTTGGTGGTACCAGCTGTCCTACCCCCGACTGCCGTCGGGCCGAGTCGACTATGCCATGACCTCCGGTAACGATGAGATCATCGGCGACGGAACTATGCCCACTGCTCTCACTGACCTCCGCGACATCGGTCGCTTCATGGCCTTGATCATCAAAGACCCCCGTACTTTGAACAAGAAAGTCCTCGCATACAGCCTGGTTTCCACCCAAAACGAAATCTACAGCCTCATGGAGGAAATCGGTGAGGAGACTATTGACCGAAACTACGTAAGGCCGCCCCCTTTCCGTGAAGTGGTGCAATGCGCATGAAACGAGCCTCGTGACTGACCCGTGCGGAACACAGGTCTCCGAAGAGACGATCTGCAGCCGGGTTCTGGCAGCCCGTCAAGCAAGTGAAACATACCCCTTCGACCCAATCAAATTCATCCCCCGTTACCTGGCGGAATACCAATACTCGTGGGGAATTCGTGGCGATAACAACCCTGAGTACGCTCGTTATCTCGGTTACTACCTGACCACCGAGTTGTATCCCGAGTTCAAGGCTAGTGACTTCCGCGAGTACCTCGAGTCTGTGATCCGCGGTACCGCCAAGGGTGTCTACCAGGACCGTGTGGTTTCGCGCAAGCACCAGCGACACTTCCCCCGCACAGAGTCCAGCGATTCGCTGTACACTCGCATCTTTCCTCGGACGGAGTCGAGCGACTCCCTCATGTCGCGATAATTGGAACGATCTTAACGTAAACGATTTCCTTTTCTTCCCTCATGAAGAGCGACCGTGTTGCCGGTGACGCCAGCCGCTCTCAGCCTCCCAATTTTCCCAACCTTGCGATGCTGTGCTCTTGAACCAAATTTGCCATCTCTCCTCTTTCCCCCACCGAGTGGGGCTTTGCTGCTACATTTTGGGCGTCTTGTCAACTTCAGGCGTTTTTGATCATACGGCTTATGGGGGGAACAATAGACGTGGGCCGCTCCTGCCATTATCGATCAGATCGTCCGGACGATAAGACACGTACTGGCATGCCCGTAGAGACCTATTTTTGCTGTTTCCCCTTCTCTGTTTCATGGGTTTCCTTATTGAGTACCACCGTCCTCCACGGAGGCGGCTCCCGTTGCATATAGAAGAAATTATATCCAAAGGCTTCGGTGACGTCTTTCCATCGCTCCTTCGCTCTTTCCCAGACCCGCACTTTCCATAAACTGCCCCCATACTACTTGCACCGTACATACGATGTGGACATAGACCCACTTTCTCTTCCTCCAACTTCCTGCTAACTAGTTCGATGACAACTGGGATGGATGCACCCGAGCAGCCCCGACGCAGGCAGTGGTCTTCGAACAATGGCTCGCAACCGAGTCTCGCTCCTCCGGCGACTGGCTCCCCGTGGAGTCAATCGATGGTGACTGCTCTCGAGGGCCAAGTTAGGCCGACGACCTCGCGAACGCTGCGAATACAGGTCGCAGAGCCGGTGGCATTGGGGAAACAGGGCGGTATAGCGAAAGGGTTCACTGCAATTTTTGAATCTTTATCACCTCGCCAAATTGGCACTATCAGTTCGTTTTTGAGAATCCCACTAGTTGTTGCGAGACCAACTAACCTTATGGCAGCGGTGGGTTCAGCCATTGGCACTGGATTGATGATTGGAACTGCGAGGGCATTATCATTGTAAGTATTTGGAGACCTCGCTGGCATGGCAAGCTGGACTGACTTGAAACAGGAGTGGTGTAAGCCATCCTTTGTGTTACTCACGGAAATCAATTGACACTGTACAGCCTGCCGCCATGATGATCTCGTTCTCCTTCGTGGGCTTGACCATTTACCTTGTGTTACTAGCCCTCGGAGAAGTTGCGGCATGGTCGCCAAAACCGTCCACATTAGCCGACCAAGCGAATCGCTACTGTGATCCGGCTCTGGGGTTTAGTCTTGCTTGGATGTAGGTGAACTCAACCAGATGCCTTCATAGTGGTCACATTTCCTGACGGCTGCCATTAGTTACTGGTTGAAATATGCCATCGTTACTCCAAACCAGTTGACCGCTGCCACTTTGCTCATCGGATTTTGGGTGGACGCCGAGAGGATCAATCCAGGTGTTTGGATAACAGTCTTCCTTGCAGTCATCACAGGAATCAACTTCCTCCATCAAGCACTGCCAGGCCGACTCGAGTTCTATATCGCCTCTTTCAAGCTCCTTGTCATGTCTGCTTTGATGATCTTGTCTATAGTGATTGCTCTGGGAGGAGGGCCAGACCATGACCGGCGTGGATTCCGATACTGGCAATCACCATATGACGCATTTGGGACGTTCGGTGCTGGGAATGATAAGCTGGTCGATCGGTTCTTTGTCGTCTGCAACACGATGTCATCTGCCACATTCGCATTCGTGGGGAGCGAGCGCTCAGGTATCTTGATCCGGGCCCCAGATGTGCGGAAGGCTATGTCTCGCGCGATCAAACACACCTTCTATCGGGTGCTGGTATCTCACCTTCTTGCTATTACACTTCTGGGCATGCTCATACCGCCGTACTCTGAACACTTGGCTTTCAACAGCCACTCCGAGAAACGAGCAGCAGCGTCACCATTCGTCGCCGCGATTTATCTATCCGGGATAAAAGTTGTCCCGCACATCTTGAATGCATGCATCTTAGTATTCGTGCTGTCCATCGGAAACTTCGATCTCTTCCTGGCCACCAAGGCATTATGTGATCTGGCGCTCAAGCACCGCGCCCCTGCGGTCTTGGCCCGAACGAACAGCCGCGGGATCCCTATATATTCCCTGCTCCTCTGTGTTTTGATATCGATGCTGGCTTATATCAACGTGAGCAAGAATTCGACCGTGGTGTTTGGCTACTTCGTGAACCTAGTGACCATGCTCGGTCTCCTGACCTGGGTCTCTGTCCTGGTCACACACATGGCGTTTGTGCGAGCACGGAGAGCCCAAGGTGTGCCCGATAAGTCTCTTGTATTTCGAGCACGGTTCGGCCTTTGGGGGGACGGGTTTCGCTTTGCTTCTTTGCCTTTTTATTACTGCGACCATGACACTCGCCTCTTTTCATTTTGAGGGTGACCATATCAGATTTGACCCCTTGGCAATTGTTTCTTCCTATATCGCGGTGCCCCTTTATCTTGTCCTTATCATTGGTTACAAGTTTGCTGTCAGATGCAAGGGAGTGGATCCGATGCGGGCGGATCTTTGGACGGACCGATTGGATATCAACGTTGCAGTGTCTGTTGAGAACCGGGCGGAATAGGCGTTACCAGGACTGCTGTGATTCGCTTTCGAGAATAGATGTTATTGATATACCCCTAGCAAATGCTCATCCATTAATTCGCGACTTTAGATTGTCCCTTGATGTATTTCTTGATGTTTCAGATAAAGGCTACGAGTACAATAGCTGTGGTCTAGATAAGCGACGAGGATACCAAACATAGTCTTTCATGCAGGTGTCATCACACGTCGTGGCGGGAATATCAAGCTGAGGGGATTGGGCTGGGTGGGGGCCATCCGAGTTCTATTTGTCCAGGAACCGCCCAGAAGTTTGTTTTTTGCGTCGTTGGTGTTGAGACATCGGGCGTTGGTTCTGAACAATTGGGACTTTGCTTTTGCTCGTATTTCTGTCCTTGTTCCTCTCGGGCTGGTATGCATTACGAGATCGCCCCTCCTGATTCTGGCTCCTATTTTGAGTCTTCCCCCTTTTCGGCCACCTGGATGACCTTCTCTTGGGAGTATCAATGAAGCACTTAGCCTGAGCGTAACGTCCGAAGAGAATTCCGGATCTTTGTATCGATCATGTCTCCGGGACAGGCCGTTACCAGGAGCTGGGGGCCAGAGACCCCGCCAGAGACGCCGCGGCGGTCCAGTGAACTCCGAGAATACGTCAAAACATTGAACGAGGCTTACGGTTTGAACATACCAAACTCCGAGTATATCAACTTTTCCCCAAGGTCACTCAGGCAACAAGTGCGGATAGAATGGAGAGTGCTGAAGCGGATACGACGGCTGTTTTGGAGTGCCCAGTACCGCTCGGAGTTGTACAACATGATGGACAGCCTGAAAGAATGGGTGGAGGGCAACGAAAGTTCGACTCGAGGCGAACGACTTGAATACCTTTGGGGTTTAATGGAAGACGAGTATTGGATTCGAAATAATGGGGAGAAGGGAGAGTCAAATGGGAGCCCGGAAGATTACAAGGTTGAATCGCCGAAGAGAAAAAGAACCTCCGAAGTCGAAGACGACGACGGCGACGATGACGACGACAAAGGATTTCGCACCGCTCCTAGTTCGCCCATAAAGAGCACCTCAGCTGGTCGTCCCTTTGAACTCGACTTCGATCTCGAGGGGATTGAGTTCACCCCTGAAGACTCTGCGGATGAGTCCCATGAGCCCGAGAAGCCCAAACCAAGCATGCTCCAGAGGCTTACAGCCGCAAAGGAGCAGGCAGAAGCGAATCCAAATCCTAGGATGGCAAACACCAGCTTCCCAGCTCCAAAACTGCCTCCTGATCGGTCTACTGCATCACTGTTTGGCGGCTCTTCCTTCCACCTTCCTCCCAATGGCGCAACAAGCTCCAGAATGGATGATAGCTTTGTTTCCAATGCGTCCACGGTATTCACGACTAATAACGATTCACGGAATCAGTCGTTCATCACCGATGCGACGGAAGTAGAAGCGGATGCGTACGACACACAAGAGTCACAGTATGCAGCAGAGTCCGTGGTTGAGCAATGGATTCAAGAAGACGGATCAACCGAGACTGTCAAGCAAAGGATCATCAACGCCCTTCTGGACAATGGCCCATTCTCACTGGAGCAGCCCCTACCGAGGAGCATCTCATTACGGTGTCGCCACGAGCTCGAAAGAGTTGGACGGCATTGGGGCGTTCCCTTAAGAGACATGCTCCGAGGAGATGCCGAGCCAAACATGGACTATGATGCCTTTTGGTCATGGATAAAAGTCCATAGTATGCGCGGCAAAAAAGAGCTGCCGGAGAAGCCTAGCCGCAAGGCGTGGGAGTCTGCAACTAATTTGTTCAATACGGACAGTCACTCCGAAGTGGTTGTTCTCTCAGGAATCTTAGATTGGACAACTAAATCGGCTGACGAGCATGGGTTTTTTGATTTGAAGCTGAATGCTTTCAAAACAGAGAGGTCGTGTCGGTTTCGCAGGCGGTTTGGCTCAGACAGATTCCTCAGTCTTCTGATGCCGCCTGTAGCTAAACCTCCTGTGCATCTTGGAGCTCCGTCTTCGCCCGCGCTCCTCCGAGATAGTATCAGCACCTGGCTCACTCGCAACGAGCACCAATGCCTCGGGCGCACATGGCGAGCCATGTTCATCGAAGACGTGCAGAGGAAAGGAAAGGAAGCGCTGCAACGAGTGCATTTATTTGCCGTTGACGGGGTGGACTTCTGCCCGCCTCTATCAAGTCACCCTTTGGCTGTATCTCCTCCGAAGGAAGCCAGTTCTGCTCATACCAAAATGACCATTGACGCACTCATTGAGTGGCATATGCCCAGGAAGTTCAACTCCCATCAAAGTAACACCAAGCTGTTCCAGCGGTTCTCACTCGGGTTTTCGAAGACGTATGCTTCTGTGCCGTTAAGGCCCTATCAAATCGTACCCGTTCCAGATCATCGTAACGGGGAGACGGTGATGAATGATGGATGCGCTTTGATGTCGAGAACCCTAGCCAACAAAATCTGCCACCATCTCGGAATTTCCGGCAACACGCCCAGTGCCTTTCAAGGGCGTATCGCAGGAGCGAAAGGGCTTTGGATGGTTGACAGACATCAATCAAAGTACCAGGCCTTCGCAGAGGAAGGCGAGGACATTTGGTTGGAAATCACCGACTCTCAATTGAAAATCCACCCGCACCCTGTGCACTGGAAGGATCCGTACGACGAAGAAAAGTTGACTTTCGAAGTGTGCAAATGGTCAAAGCCACTACATTCGGTGGATCTCAACATCCAAATCCTTTCCATTCTGGACTACGGCAGTAACTCTAGATCAAGAGGTTATCTGGCTGAACTGACAAGGAAAGGGATCGACCAGCTTGCCGAGGACTTTGAAGATGTCCTCAGATCAGATAACCCGGTGGCTTGCCGCCGTCTCGTGCAAAAGTTTAAACCTCAAGGCGATGCCCAATACCGTCAGCTGGATCAATGGACCATTAAAGATTCAGAGTTCATCATTCGGCTCTCGGAGGCTGGTTTCTCCCCTCAAAGCTTTTCCCCTCTGCGAAGGAAGCTGGAACAGTACTTTTCGTGGATCATGGACCGGCGTATCCAGGATATCCGTATTGAGGTGCCTCTTTCTACATACGCGTTCTGTATTGCTGATCCGTATGGAGTCCTCGAGCCACACGAGGTATACCTTGGATTCTCAGCAGCATGGCGTGGCCACGAGACGTTCCAAAGCTCAATAGTCGAGGGGGACGTCCTGGTCGCTCGAACACCTGCTCACCTCCCATCTGATATCCAACGCCGGAAAGCCGTCTTCAAGAGTGAACTCCGTCATTTCACGGATGTAATTGTGTTCTCTACGAAGGGACAGATTCCGCTGGCTCATATGCTTTCGGGTGGGGACTACGACGGGGATGCTCCATGGATTTGCTGGGATCCAGAACTCGTGGATCATTTCAAGAATTCTGGTCTGCCAGAGGAGCTGGCCCTGAAAGCTAGTCATTTTGGCTTAACCGAACACTCAATCCCCATGTCCAAGATCACGTCCACAGAGGAATTCCTGCACAAAACCTTCCTCTTCAACCTCACTCTGTCCAACCTTGGACGTTGTACACGCGAGCATGAAAAGATTCAATATGAGCTCGGCCTGAACCATCCATCGGCACGTGAGGTTGGTTCTCTCCTTGGTCACCTTGTCGACAGCCGTAAAGGCGGCGTCCTCCTAACAGATGAGGCGTGGAAGCTGATACTCAAGAGGGTTAGCCCCAGAGAGCGTCTATGGCCAGCATATATCCCGTATGATAAGAAGGTAGAGAGGCGGCATCATGAACCGAAACGCGAGAACATAGTGGATTATCTCAAGTTCTTCGTCGCAGATAAGCAAGGGATAGCCGTCCGCACGAGAATCAACGAGAACTTCCCAGAAATATCCTCGTTTTCTTCCAGAGACCAAGACCTCCGTCAACCATGGATTCAAGCCCAGAAAGCCATCAAAGACGACGACACTGGCAGCGTGGAAGAGGTCCTCACGGCAGCCAAACTAGCGATCGACGAGGCAAGAGAAAATTGGAACTCCCAGGCATCCGAAGCTCGGAGCGCCCAATCCGCTTCGGAATTCATCAGTGAGATTCCCGCGCCACATTCATCACGCCCGCAGTTGCATCCACTGGTGCACACCTGGCAGAACAGCCCCTACGAATGGCGGCGTGTACTCGCCTCGTGTCTCTACTGGGACCAGCCAAACGCCAAATTCACATGGTACGCCTACGGGGACACATTGTGTGATATCAAGGCCGAGACGTTCTCGTCCCGCAGGATTGTCAACGATATCGCTTCGATCTATCGAGTAAACCCGAAAGCCGTAGCGCGCTTTGCGCCGGTCGAGATGGAAGCCAACGAGGATGAATTCGGAGGTGGGGAGGAACTCGAGGCGATGCTACTGGGCATGGAAAAGTTTATCGGTCTGGAGAAGCGGTCGCCGATCGAATGAACGTGACAGCTGCATCTGCATCCTGCGTACCCCATTGGGGACACCTCATTGGTGACAGGCTCTAGAGTCTATACTGCGTAGCTACTGTAGGGGGGGGGGCGCATTTGTGCCTTCCGGGAGAATGAGAATTATGCCTAGATATGCCCAACAATTTGCAAAAATTAGATTCTTGGTTTAGGGGAACACCCTTATCCACCAATTATGGTTGTTGATCGTCTTGATCTGACAGTTGATTAGCGCAAGGCGAGTCGGCCCTAGTGATGACGGAGGATCACATGCGGCTCGGACTTAAAATCCAGCCCCACCAAATTCAAAGACTCGACTACTGCGTAAAAAGTACGGATACCGCGTAAAGTCGTTTGGGACTGATTGTGCGAATCGATATTTCCACGGGGCGCCCGCTCTTAGACGCTATCGACTAAATTATGCAGCTGAAAGGGTATTGAGTCATAAACAGGCCATTTGGTTCGGCAAGATGGCGAGCATGTATACATCCTAACATGTGATCGGGTCCAGCGTCTTCCGGCTAAACTATGAAACATTGTCTCGTAATCGTGCACTTTTGCCGTTGAGGCAAGAGCTTGGGCTCAGGCATATGGGTCTGGTCACCGAATAGCATAAGCATGACAAATTATGGGCCTTCTGGAGGAAGGGCTCGAACCGTTCCTGGAGGGGAATATAAGGAATAGGCAGGGATTGGCACCGCATGAGCAGCGCCAGCCTCTATACGTCCAGCGGTGACATCCGGAGGAGTTGGCAGGACTAAAGCAACGCAGTAAGATATTCGGTTGATCATAAAATGTTGGGGCCACATGTGAAAGAAAGAGACTGACCAATGCGTGGCCCTGGAAGTCTACGTTGGCCCCTTAGGTAATACGTCCCGGGCGAAACCTTCCGTGGGCCTTCATGTGAGAGCTCCATTCTCTGCCATGAACGATCTATCGGTTGCCACTTCGGCTTCTTCTTCTGATCCGCCTAATAACCATGCCCCGCCCGTGATGGATCTTGACCACGATCGAACTCGCCAGGCGAGTGTACTCTCGATGGATGACCTGGAGGCCGCTCAAGCGCTGGAAGGGCTGCGTGCAGGTGAGTTCGATTTCATACTCCGCTATCTCGTTACCTGGACTCCGAAGTCGGGCACTGCTGGGCCACGCTTTTTGCCCACTCTTTATCAAGACGAGACCACCACCGAACCCGTCTAATTCCTATCGCAGATTACGGTCAATCCCCTCGACTGTCGCGAACCAACCCGCCTGTTTCCCCCGATCCCCAACAGCCAGAGCCTTTACTTTCGCTTCTGACCTCCTCACACCCTTTCATATCCTCAGCCATTAACGGCTCTGTCTCTGCGTATACTACTTCCAAGTCCTACTCTGCCCGCTTCAAGTCCGGCGCTGAGTTCATAGAGCGTAACATTGGATCACCTGTCGCAAATACGGTCGGAAGCGTGGGCCGGAAGACCGGTGTTGAGAGCGGTTTGCGTTGGGCCCTGCAGCGACGAGACTCGAATTCGCAGGAGGCAAACTCTGCCAACAAGCGCCGCAAAGTGGACCAGGCCGAACAACCGATGACAGACCTCGAACAAGGGCCGGAGGAGCCCGTATCTCACCCAAGGCCGCGAAGCTCCTCCGATCTATCAATGGAGGAAACTTTGCCCCCGTACGATGACTTGCGCTCACCGCGCTATGAGGAGAAGCCCAGGCGACAAACCCCAGGAACATGGCAGAGCCGGCTGGTTATTTCGACCTCGGGTCTTGGAGTCGCAATGAGTGAGGAATCGCTCCGCAGTCTCCAGTACTGTCTGACCTGGCTACGCTGGGCAAACAGCCGACTCGGAAAGTCCATTGTCGCACTCCAGCGCGCAATGACAGAATGGGAGAGCCAAAGGAAGAGCCAAGCCGAAGGCGGCGCGAGTACGTCGCTCTTGACACAGCGGATTCAGGCAGTCCGAGAAGATGTGCTGTCCACTCTGAAGCAAGTGGTCGATGTCGTGTCTAAATACGCCGGCGGCGCCCTCCCGGAGAACGCACGCCACCTTGTGCGGCGGCATCTTACGTCGCTACCGCACCGATTTCAGATGGCCAGTACCTCCCAGCCGCCTCCCGATTCTCCTTCTGCGTCCTCCGACGCCACACTTGGTGCGCACCGAATCTTAGTGCTTGCCAATGAAGGCTTGGATATTTTGGGCCAAGTCAGTGGTGTTGTGAATGACACCCTTGTGAGCGCCGAACACTGGTGCGAGCGACTTGGGCGTAAGCGCCCAGAGAGTCAATCCGCGCCGGATGCGGAGAAGCAAGGCCCAGTCCATCCCGCCTCGGACGCTCAGCCCTACGGTATGGATATCAAGGAACCAATTGCGACAGAGACTGCTGCCCAGGCGGATGTGCAGATGGCTGGAACTGAAAGGGTGTAGATACCCTAGGGGAGTGTCCTGGCGAACCCTCATGTTAATTTTTTCTCCTCTTGCGGTACCTCTCATTGGCCTTTTTTTATTACCTCCATGATTCTTCCTATATTATGATTGATATCCACTACTTGTTCAAATTACTCCAGTTTTTTAGGCTTCTATGTCAAGATCCATCACCTCCAAAAATCAGTTCTCTTTGCCTGTCTCTACATGGCTGAACTATCTATCAATTCGATCTTGAACAGCTTTAACTGAATCATCGATATAGCGTAAAATTGGCATAGCTTGTTTGCAAGTGTCAGTGGACGACCTTCGCTATGACGGGATATGGATACGATGAGACCCCTCTCTAAACGATGGCGGCATACTATCTCACTCGGCATGCGACAGGCAGGTTAAACGGTTCTCACGCCTTCCATAGCGACATTGGCCGATAACCACAGTATCTCTTTCAGGTACGTGGTCACTGTTGAACAGCTTAATCGTTGCAAATAAAACGGCGCCCTATCATTCGAGCTTGAGACTGCTACGGATCTTTTATTTATGCTTCAAAGAAATCAAGCAAAGAGTCCGAATTGAAATTAGACACCAATGATTTGATCACATCCGGGACTTCACTTCTCCGTTTGAGATAACCATACTCCTAGCTCAACCCCTAATTTCCCTTCTTGGTCATACATGACCAGATGACCAGCGCCTTCAATCTCAGCGACGTCACCTGGAGAAATGTTTAGCTTTTCAGCCAGTCGATAAGCCCCTTCCACAGGAAGCCATTTGTCTTCCTTTCCCCAGATAATACGTATGGATATCCTCCGTCCAATTTCAGGGTACCGGCTCTCGATTTCGTCAGTATTGCGACTATTAGCCTGCGCCATCTGCCTAACGAATCCTTTTCTCCCCTGTTCTGTGTTGATCCAAGGGGCTTTCAACATATGCATAGTCTCTTTCCCAATCTCGGTATGGGCGGCATCACGAATATAAGACTCCACAACTCCTTCAAAAACAGGTCCCGTGAAGGCGTGGAAGATGTTCTCATTCTCAGCAACCAGCTTGAAAAGCGGCTTTCCAAAAGGACCTATGGCAACCACATCGATCAAGCACAGACTTGCATAGACACAGTCGTGCAGGAGGAAGGCACGCAAGCTCATCAGCCCACCATGGTCATGAGCAACAACATGCGCTCTCTGCCCGTCCTTCCAATCCCTTTCCCAGAATTTGTAAAGAGCGGCAAAGACCTCTGACTGCTGCGCGAGGTCCGCGTCTAGCGCTATGTCCTCGGTGATCAAGTGCTGTTTCTCTGGCAAGGGCTGGCCAAGCGGGCTTTCTCCGAAACCGGGGTTGTCGAACAAGTAGACGCGGAAGTATTTTGCAAAGGCTTCTGCATAGGTATACCACACTTTTGAAGACCATGGAGTGCCGTGGATGAAGATTAAAGGAGGGTTGGAGGAATGGCCCAGGACAGTCCAGCGGACTCGATAACTATGAGTTGCACTGGGATATTCGAAAGATCGATCAAGAGTAATCGATGGATTGGATGGCGTGCTCATTTTGAGTAGGAGGCTCCTCGCTCAATTTTTTGAATGTGAATATTATAAGGATGGTAATCTGGACGAAAGCGAAATGGACGCGAGCACCTTTCTTATACCCCATTAGACACCATCTTGTACTTGAATTGACCAATCAGAATCGAGCTCAATTTGTTCGACAAACAGGCATGACCTGGAATTGTAGGCCCGGTCGGTAGTGCCAGATCTTCCTAAACGTCAATAATTCCGGCTACTTGGAACTTAGAGGTGAAGAATACTAGGGTTAATGACGAGAGCAGGATGGAATTAAGCTTCATTCAAGTTTCTACATGCAGAACTTTTAATTACCGTTAACCCTAAAACGACACCATAGACTCCCTACATATTCTAAGATCTACCACCCTGCCCCTTTATTCCTTCCAGTGAGCATTCTTATCTAACTCATTCCGAAAGGCCAATCTGAATTATTCTCATATTCAAGTTCGCCATGTATCGGGCAGCGGCTAATATTGAGATTCTCGAGTCCAAAGGTATCATACGAAGAGGGGCTTCGGTTAGTCCAGATCCCCTTTCGTAGAAATGTATTTGTTAGACCCGCGATCTCCAGTTTCATCCTCATAGCCGAAGTCTAAAGAACAGATTGAACCATCAAAGCAAGGATTATTGATTTGCGAAGCTGTATGTGATAGCTGTATGAAAGAGAGAATTGGAATTGCATTGGGAAGCAGAAGCTCAGCTAGGGACTCAATCGAAGCCCCGAGCTTTCCTTGGGGACGGAGAGGGAGACTGCTCACCAGGACTGGGTATACCAAGACTAGGAGAGCCGGACAAGGAAACCGATGAGCAACTGTCACTTGAACTCCTAGAGAACAAGGAACTTCTGGCAGAAGAAAGCTCGCTACTCGATCCTGTTAGCCGTGGCGAAGAGCGCGAAACCGTGTTCTTTTTGGGCGTCAGAAATTTTGACGGCGGTCTCGATGAAAGCATGCCATCCAGTAACTTGTCCCATTCTCCGCCTTTCTCGTAACGGAACTGTTCGTCGTATAGATCTGGGTTGGTGAAAAACAAAGCCCATTTATCGAGCCTGTCCTTTACCGTTGCTAGATCAATCTCGACCCACTCCTTATGCCTTGTCTTCCCGTCTACCGAGTTTGATTCACAGACGGAGCACCCTTCTTTAAGGGAACGCTCCGCAGGCTTGAACTCGGCTAGTAGCGTTTGTTCCAGTCGACGGGCATAATAAAACCGTCTGTAATCGAGCAATTCGAAGCCTGGGTAACAGTGCATATGGTGATACTTCCGCTCTTCCCAGTTGCCATCTGCGCAGGTCCCGATTTTGAGCATCCCTGGTGCCCTATGATATGAAATAACATAGATGTACCCGGTTTTCCGATCCGATACCCTAAGCGTTGAACAGAGCTTATCTCTGACCTTCTCATCCAGCTGGTCTTCGGACTTAAACGTTGTTTTCGCGGGTTTGAATTCCAGGGGCTCTTTCTCCAATCGACCAAGTTCAGCGAGGATCTTTAGCTTTTCATGCTGGATCTCGTCAATCCACGCACCATGAGCAACATGGTCGTAAAGAAATTTGTGTCTGGCGTGTTTTCCACACAACACGGATTGCGTGAGCTGCAAAGCAAGCTTAGAAAGCTTAAACTTGGAAGGATTCTCTTTCTTGTACATGTTTTCCCGAAGAGCTGAGAGCATATCTTTGAATATTCTGTCCGCGTGACCCACATCCTCCTGGCTCATCAATGTCTGACAGGCTCCCATATGACCTTGGATTGCTGCACACTTGAGCTTGAGGGTACCGGACGTCACTTCGCACAACACGGCGGAAAGTGATTTAACACCAGGCTCATGGGTCTCTTCGGGCGGAGGCAAATCTTCGCTCGTCGTGGTCGGTTTGTTCGTCTGCGGAGTTCGGTCTTCTTCGCAGGGAACTTCTTTGGCAACGAAGGCATGGTGCAGCCAGATAGAACCATGGTAAAGTTGAATAAAAATATAAGCAATGTATTGAACCAAGCTCGCGGCCATTGTTCCGACTCAAGGATGTAGAAGATGATCCACAAAGGGCATGCCTCTCGAGACAAGTACCTGCCGTCTTAAAGTACTCGACACTTGAGCGAGCTCCCAGCCACAGCACTGCTGCGCCGAAACAGGATTCCCACCCATGTCTGTAATTCTGGCGAGTCTCCAGCACCCAGGGGGCCAAAGTTCGCCGATAGACAGGGATCGCAAAGCCCCATACCGATTAAATACGGCTTGTCATGCATAGAGTCAGAAGCTAATGCAGGAGACACATACTCCTGAAGGTCGTCGCTTAGAGGGTCGTATTCCAGTCCGCGAATCCCCGGGACGAGCCGCGTTCATTGGGCCATACCACGTGTTGGGGCCGCGAACGACCCAGCGCGCGCAAGCTAGCGCTATCGTTGACAGGGATCTCAGCCCCAAAGCCCCAAATACGTTTCAGATTGTGCCGGGTACCAAGGCGTATTTTTCCAGCCAGGCGGTTCATCCTCATAATTGGGAGGTTGGAATGTGCGTTCACCAGCTGATCGTCCTTAGCGGGAGCCGTGAATAGAGATATACCCGTGGGGGGGTGCCAATCATCGACGTCGGCGAATGGAACAATCGCTCACCAGCTAAGCTGGGCTCTCAGCAAAGTCAATCTGTCGGGACTCGATCCAGGTGTCATGGAAGCATAGCCCGGGTGTTCGCTGTGTTTGCTGGTCGCAAGAGTCGAACTGCATAGCATCAGCCCCAGGCATTTTGAAATGGCGCAGTTTTGACCACGTGCAGCTGTGGATCGCCCGAAATCGCGATAAGCAAAGCTTCTCATCCCAATTCTACCTAGTCTAGTAATCAGCGAGTCGCCTTATTTATGGACCTTCCTAGTTGAACTCCCGGGATTGCACAAGATATGCATAAGATGTACAACAGCACAGCATTACCGGCATAGCGGCATTGTACGGTTGTGGTTTATTGCTTCAGGGCGAACATGATGGGCGGTTGATCGCTCGCTTCTTAGACCGTGAAATGCCTCTGGGGTGCATCGCTTGCTTGAATCTGAACTGGACATAATCGGACCGCTTGCTGAATCTGGACTAACATTGCCCGATTCCACGCAGGCTTGTTAGCATGGAAGTCAAGCTTTATATTCATTGCCCTCGCCCCGAAAACTTATACGCAAATCCAATTCAAGGGAGAATCGCGCAGGCGCTCCCACTCAGGTAGCGTAGATATCCTCTCAGGTATACTGATTCTTTTTCAAATCTTTGTTCTTTGGCGGATTGCTAGTTCACACGAAATGGGCAAGAATTAATCCTCCTAAGCGCCTGATACCCTTCCCATTCCTGTTTGAGAAGAGTGCCCGGAGCACCCCACGTTCATCCAGTGCCATGGTTGTTTCGAAATCCTGGCGTGAAGAGACGGCTGGATTGGAGGTTGGTCTTCTCCCATAAGGTTTATGGCGGAGAATTTATGGCATCGACACCTGCCGCGGCGGAGATTTTCCAAACGACCCACAACATGCCCAGAGGTGACTTGGCATCTGCCCTGCAGGGGTCACGAGGCAATGGCCGCCACCACGCCCTGCGACATACATGCAGACACCTTACGCGAATAACGAGCCCACCAGAACCAGGCCGTTCATATACATTTAGACTCTTGTGGTCAGATCCACGGCTGAAGCGGGGACTAACGGAAGATTCCACCGGGCTTAGACTCTGAGCCCTCGTTCAAGCTCTTTCCCCCAATGTGCGACCCCACATCGTGACAAAAGGTCCCTAACTCTCCGACGAACTTCACCCCTACAACGTTCTCATTGCAGTGGAACTACCTGCATATGACGAGTATGCCAACATGCAAGCGAACTACCAAAAAAAAAATATATATCGTCGTGGCCATATCCACATATGACCACAGATGACTCAAGGGCCAGATTGGGACCCCGCCAGACTTGGTTCTGTCGACGCCTGCCGATCCTTCTGGATCCCACGAAGGCCCAGTGGGCGTCCGGGGTTTAACCGGCCATTGGCGGCCTGTGGCTTGCATGGTTGCAACGGACGCATCTGAGAGTCCGACTGTCGCTCGGCTCTCGGTTCCGGTGCTTTTACTCATCACCGCCAGTTCTTCTGTAGAGCTTCTGGCCTTTTTCATCCGTTGATCCTTTGCCAAGAGATTGTCTCCCGCGCAAAAAGTGGATTGATGTGGAGCGTAGGAAGCAATCAGATGGGAGTGTTGCACGGATTTATCGGACATCAGATGCGAAGAAAAGCTCCAAAGGATGTAGCTTGCATTTGTCAGACTTTGATTCTCAATTCCAGATTTCTTTACTTTCCCTGCTTGCCCCGGCCGTTTGATCTTTGAGCGTCACCTTTCATCGGCTGCTGAATCCCAACCCCGAATCCTCAAGGGTGGTTCCGTCCGTAAAGCAACGGTGGATCCGGTGGAGACCACGCGGGGAACAAAAAGGGTAAAAAAAAAATTGTTCCTGATCCAGGGTCTCACTGACAATGCCGTCTACTTTTGATGCGGTCGACGAAAAGTCGCCTACTCATCAGGGCAGCATCCATTCCGACTCGACATCGATGGCCAGCGACTACGAAAAACAGCGGGAAGACCTGCGCAACGCCAACCCGCAGGGCATGACCTCGGTCCAGACCGGCGTGGATGTGGAGAAAGCCGAGCAGGACTTTGCTGAACTAAACAGGCAGCTTTCCAGCATCTCCCACACAGCTCGCCAAGTATCGCGGCTGGAGTCACGCCCCTCGAAGCGTTCCGTGGCGATTCATGATGTGGAAAGAAGGGGGAAGTTCGGTCGATTCGGACGATTCGTGGGACCTGGAGACCACCCTCCGTGGGAATCGTGCGGCGGAGAATGAAGCCGGCATCAAAAACAAGCATATTGGAGTGATATGGGATGACCTCACGGTTCGAGGCATTGGTGGTGTAAAAAACATACATCAAGACTTTCCCTAATGCCATTATTGACTTTTTCAATGTCCCGAAAACGATAATGAACATCTTGGGCTGGGGCAATAAGGCGAATGAGTACAAGATCCTGGACGGTTTCCGGGGTGTCGTTCGCCCCGGCGAAATGGTCCTGGTCCTGGGCCGGCCAGGCTCAGGCTGCACCACCTTCCTGAAAACCATTGCCAACCAGCGTGTTGGATACTCGGGAGTGGATGGAGAAGTTCTATATGGCCCATTCGATTCAGATACCTTTGTGAAGAGATTCCGAGGCGAGGCCGCTTACAACCAGGAAGATGATGTGCATTACCCGACCTTGACAGTGACCCAGACCTTGGGATTTGCATTGGACACGAAAACCCCCGGGAAGAGGCCACACGGTATCAGCAAGGCTGAATTCAAAGAGAGGGTGATCAAGATGCTCTTGAGAATGTTTAATATCGAGCATACAGCGAACACCATCATTGGAAACCAGTTTATTCGTGGAGGTGAGCGCGCCAAAGTGACATTCAACAATAGCGACACTAAAGTTTTCGGTAGTGAGTGGTGGTGAGCGAAGACGCGTGAGTATCGCTGAAATGATGATCACCAGTGCGACAGTGCATGCTTGGGATGTGAGTAGGCCCGCTGGACAATCGACATGAGCAGGAAATACTAACGGATGATGGGGCCCTAGAACAGTACTCGTGGTCTCGATGCATCCACGGCCCTCGACTTTGCGAAATCCCTCCGAATCCTGACCAACATCTACAAAACTACAACCTTTGTGTCGCTGTACCAAGCCTCCGAGTCTATCTACAAACAGTTCGACAAAGTGCTCGTAATTGACAGTGGGCGGTCGGTCTTCTTTGGACCTGCCAATGAAGCACGATCCTACTTCGAAGGCCTTGGGTTCCGAGAAAAGCCGCGACAGACCACTCCCGACTACCTGACTGGCTGCACTGACCCTTTTGAGAGGGAGTTCAAGGATGGCCGAAGTTCCGAGGATGTCCCAACGACCCCTGAGGCTCTTGCAGAGGCCTTCAATTCATCAGTCCACAACGAAAAGCTTGTGCAAGATATGGACGCCTACCGAGCGCAGATCGAACACGACAAGCAGGTCTACGAAGATTTCGAAATCGCAAACCGCGAGGCCAAGCGGAAATTCACTTCTCCTTCTTCAGTTTACTCCATTCCATTCTATCTTCAGGTCTGGGCGTTGATGCAGCGCCAATTCTTGATCAAATGGCAGGACAAGTTTGTCCTGATTGTTTCATGGGTGACGTCTACGGGCATCGCTATCATTCTCGGAACCGTGTGGCTTAAGTTGCCCAAAACCAGCGCCGGCGCATTTACTAGAGGAGGTCTTCTTTTTACCAGTATGCTCTTCAACGGGTTTCAAGCGTTCTCAGAACTGGCGTCGACTATGATGGGGCGCTCTGTGATCAATAAACATCGCCAATTCACATTCTACCGACCAAGCGCCCTGTTCTTAGCACAGATCTTTGTCGACACGACCTTTGCAATGTTCAGGATCGTTATCTTTGCCATTATCGTCTACTTCATGTGTGGTTTGGCACTCGATGCCGGCGCTTTTTTCATCTTCGTTCTCATATTGCTGACCGGCTACGTCTGCATGACGGTTTTCTTCAGAACCATCGGGTGTATTAGCCCGGACTTTGACTACGCTATGAAGTTTGCGGCCGTTCTGATCACCTTGTTTGTGCTCACTTCCGGTTATCTTATTCAGTGGTCGGCTGGTCAAGTTTGGCTTCGGTGGATTTACTACGTGAATCCATTCGGTCTTGGATTTGCGTCTTTGATGGTGAATGAGTTTGACCGCCTAACGATGACTTGCACATCGGACTCTTTGGTGCCTCACGGCCCTGGTTACAATGACATTGCCAACCAAGCCTGCACGCTGGCCGGTGGAGATCCGGGATCGGCGATTATTCCCGGTTACAGATACCTCGAGGAAACATTTAGCTATTACAAAGGAAACCTTTGGCGGAACTTTGGCATTATGCTTGGTAAGTGGCTACTCACAGTTACAAGAATACCCACTCTGACCCATTCTCTAGCTCTCATCGTCCTCTTTCTGTCTAGCAATCTTTATCTTGGCGAGAAGGTCCAATTCGATGCAGGTGGCAAAACTATCACTTTCTTTCAGAAGGAAAACAAGGAGCGCAAGAAACTGAACGAAGCCTTGGCGGCGAAGAGAGCCAAGCGACAAACCAAGACTGTGAATACCGGAGAGAATCTCAAGATCAGCTCTACGGCTGTTTTCACTTGGGAAGACGTCTGCTACGAAGTTCCTGTCCCATCCGGAACTCGGCAGCTCCTCGATCATGTGTACGGGTATGTCCAGCCAGGGAAACTGACGGCCCTCATGGGAGCGTCTGGTGCAGGAAAGACCACTTTACTGGATGTGCTTGCCGCACGAAAGAATATTGGCGTGGTGACTGGCTCTATTTTGGTCGATGGAAAACCGCCCGGCACCTCTTTCCAGCGAGGAACGTCTTACGCGGAGCAGCTCGACACTCACGAGGCTATGCAAACCGTGCGAGAAGCGCTACGGTTCTCTGCCAATCTCCGCCAGCCATTCGAGACCCCGACTGCAGAGAAGTACGCCTATGTTGAAGAGATCATCAGTCTTCTTGAACTCGAAAATCTGGCCGATGCGATTATCGGAACGCCGGAGACCGGTCTTTCTGTGGAAGAAAGAAAGCGGGTCACGATTGGTGTTGAACTGGCTGCCAAGCCAGAACTTCTGCTTTTCCTGGACGAACCGACATCCGGCCTTGACAGCCAGTCGGCGTTTAATATCGTGCGATTCTTGAAGAAATTAGCAGCAGCTGGCCAAGCTATTCTCTGCACCATCCACCAACCGAACTCAGCACTCTTTGAGAACTTCGACCGGCTTTTACTGCTCCAAAGGGGCGGCGAATGTGTATATTTTGGGGAAATTGGCCATGACTCTACCGTTCTCCTGGATTATTTCCGTCGCAATGGTGCAGAATGCCCACCTGATGCCAACCCCGCCGAATGGATGCTCGATGCCATTGGTGCAGGCCAATCACGAAGACTTGGCAATGTTGAATGGGGCGAGGCATGGCGTAGCTCTCCTGAGCTGGCGCAACTGAAGCAAGATATCATTCAAATCAAAGAAGAACGAGCTCAAATTACTCGAGACCAGGCCAATCTTACTCGACCAGAGGTGGAGAGGGAATATGCGTCACCTTTGTGGCATCAGATCAACGTCGTTGCTCGCAGAACTTTCCGTTCTTTCTGGCGGTCCCGGAACTACGGCTTCACTCGGCTCTTCACCCACGTAGCTCTTTCCTTGATCACTGGACTCGCGTTCTTGAATCTCGACGATTCCCGCTCTTCGTTGCAGTACCGAGTTTTTGTGATTTTCAACGTCACCGTCCTCCCCGCCATCATTCTGCAACAGGTTGAACCACGATTCGACGGAGCCCGGCTGATTTTCTATCGTGAATCCGCCTCCAAGACATACAGTCAATTCGCTTTTGCTCTCTCCATGATAATCGCGGAGATCCCGTACAGCACTATCTGTGCCGTTGCCTTCTTCCTGCCGCTGTACTATATTCCGGGCTTCCAAACCGAGTCGAGCCGAGCGGGGTACCAGTTCTTCATGGTCCTCATCACCGAGTTCTTCGCCGTGACACTCGGCCAGATGATCTCATCCCTGACGCCGAATAGCTTCATTGCTGCGCAACTGAACCCGCCTTGCACGATCATATTCTCGCTGTTCTGCGGCGTGACCATTCCCAAGCTCTCGATGCCCAAGTTTTGGCGCGTTTGGCTCTACCAGCTTGACCCTTTCACTCGGCTAATCAGTGGCATGACCGTCACCGAGCTCCATGGTCGCAAGGTGGTCTGCAATCCGAACGAGTACAACCGCTTCCCTGCGCCTGGAAACCAGACCTGCGGTGAATACATGCAGCCTTTCTTCGAGCGGGGTGGGAATGGCTATTTGCTGGATAATGCGACTCAGTCATGCCAATATTGTGCATACAAGGTTGGGGATCAGTTCTACGCTGGTTTCGAGATGCACTTCGATAACAGATGGCGTGATTTGGGGATCTTCATTGCTTTCGTAGGGTCTAATATGATTATTCTCTTCTTAGCGGTAAGTTGGACCCGTGAAGCTTGTTGGCAGCATGACCTAACTGAACAATCTAGTCTCGTTTCTTGAACTACAACAGACGGTAGATATCAAGCATTTTTGCCTCCAGAGTCCGAACTTGGGAGACATGCGGCTGGGAGTACACGGGTTACGAGAGAGATACGGCGCAAATAGAATGCCGTAAGGGGCAACGCATACGACACAAAAGTACTTTATTGGTCATTTGAGCGAAAATTCATAAATAATGAATCCAAAATCTGTCGCGTCACTTCTGGATTGATCATACTCGCAATACTGTTAAGCCATTTGATGAGGCTATAGTTAATTCGAAGGGTACGGGCATCCTAAATATACGGAGGTTGCACAGGAGCACCATTTTTACATTTCTCCAAAAAGTCGAGACGAAATGGAGTCCTATAATACCCATTCCAATCGATTGAGAGGCCGATGCGCTCCAAGCCATTCCGCTACTTACATATGAGTGTAATCTATCTCGTCAGGAGTGGATGCGAAAAGCATTCCAGACGCGCAGCTCGAGCCACCAGAAGAGCTCCTCCATTGTCCAAAGGGACTTTCGACTCGAGAACGAGAAGATGTGATCCGAAACACCGTGATACACACCAAGGGGAACTTATGAGCTGTGTGGTCATTGTTAAGACCCAATGATGCAATTAGATGGGCAATACATAACCGTGAGTCCCTGGCCGGAGAGAAGCGATGAACGGCCTTGTCATCGTAGAGGTCACTGAGCACCCAAACGAGACCCCACCCGACCATGGGAACTATTTACTGAAATTACCTGATTGCCTCTCTAGACTCTCCACCGGCGCAGCGTATCGAGAAGTCACTCGGGGAGAGCGGGTAAAAGCCCACCAATTGGTGGATGCCAGTTTGGGGGAGATAATCAGGACAGTCGTTCGGATTCGCTGTTTGCGGTTCCAGAACCAGGATCATAGAGAACCCCTCTATCATCGCAAGTCTTCTCAAGAAGATGAACCTCGGTCGTTACTTCTCAGAATTGATTCCGCCCATGAGGATGCGTGATTCCACGGCAAGATCACCGAGGGTCGGGCATGCTCCGACAGTCATCCTGACTTCGAAGTGGCAAATAGCTTCGACTAAGGCTGGGGGTGTCTCTGGCATGATCACGAGCTTTCAAGAAAGGAAGCACGGGGGGGAAGTCCGGCCTGGTAATCCTCTGCCAAGAATGACCCTCCTCCCCATCGCCCATCCGCTTGTAAATACGAACGCTCGGGCTGGCGTGGGGGCAAACTGGGGCTTCCCCGCATTTGCAGTATAATTCCCCGGGATTTGATCGCTCAAGCTTTCGTGTGTGGGGGGGAATTCCTTGCCGGTTTGGGGATAATCGACAGCCACAGGCTGGCATGGACATGATTGCTCAGAGGATCTTTCGGTGCTTTAACTTGCATGGGCTCCCCCGTGTTGATAGAACCCTAAAGTTCCAATACTCCGACCTCTCCTGTCCTGAATCCCCCCCCCCCCCTTTTTTCTTTCTATTTATTTTTCTTCGGTGCATTTTTTTGCAGTCCCTTGGGGTGGCAGTCTGCCAGTCATGGCAAACGCCATTGTCGAAGAGCCACAAGCTGGCTCCAAGGCGGATATCACGAATCAACCCACCGTTGTGCACGCTGAGGCGGGCGAGGCCCCGCTCAAGTGGAAGGCACTCGACTCCAAAGATCGCGATGTTGCTATGACACTATTCGATGACCCGGAAGAGCTGCACGAAGAGATCGATCCCGCCGAGGCTCGACGGATTCTATGGAAGATCGATTTTATGATCCTACCGTACCTAGCCGTTTGCTATGCTTTCTTTTACATTGACAAGGTCGGTAAGGTATGCAATTTGTTCTGGAACCTCGAGATACTAATGATCATATGCAGACGACACTTAGCTATGCGGCTATCTTTGGTATCAAGGAAGATCTGAACCTTCATGGGACCCAGTACAGTTGGCTGAGCAGCATCTTCTATTTTGGCTTCTTAGTTTGGGCATTCCCAACGAACTTTCTCATGCAACGGCTCCCCATTGGTGACTATCCCTGCAAGCAGTATCTGTGCAGGCCAGAACTAATGCCATTCGACTTGCAGGAAAATACCTGGGTGCCAATATCTTCATGTGGTGAGTCTTGATTTGCAGCGCTGAAAGGCAAAAAGCTTATTCCCTTTCTCTGTTAGGGGCGTCTTCCTTATGATCCAAGCTGCATGCAATAGCTTCGAGACATTGGCCGTTCTGCGAGCCCTTGGCGGCGCCGCTGAAGCCTGCTCCGACCCTTCCTTCATGCTTATTACCAGCATGTGGGATACTCGACGAGAGCAGCCCGTGCGAATCGGAATTTGGTACACGGCCAATGGATTTGGAATTGCCCTTGGAGGCTTGCTCGGCTACGGAATTGGCCAAATTCGAGGAGCGCTTCCCTCGTGGAAAATACGAATTCATCGTTATGTACGTACAAGTGTGACGCGAATTTTCGGGACGAATGCGCTGACATCTTTCGCAGAGGTGCCCTATGCGCGAGTTGGGGTATCATTATGTTCATCTTCCTACCTGACTCCCCTGTCACAGCCAAAGGCCTCACGAAGCGAGAAAAGCGCATCGCCGTGGATCGTATTCGAGAGAATCAAACTGGAATCGAGAACAAACACCTGAAGCCTTACCAGATTCTGGAGGCGTTTATGGACTACAAGCTCTACCTGTTTTTCCTTCTTGGTGTTGTCTGTATGTGGTGCAAAGCCCTGTCTGTGCTGAACCCCCAAGGCTAAATTGAAACCCCCAGGCAATGTCCCCAATGGCGGGATATCGAACTTTGGAACTCTGATCATAAAGGGCTTCGGGTTCTCCACCTTGGTCACAACGCTGATGCAGGTACGTTTTGCCGACGAAAACCTTGAAAACGCACATGTTCACTAGGAACTGTAGATCCCCTATGGTGTCATCATTGCCTTATCGATCATGTTAAGCATCTATCTGAATGACAAGTTTGAGAACCGGCGCTGCGTTTTCATTCTTCTCTTCTTGATGCCGAACATCGCGGGTGCTTTTGGGCTGAGATTTGTGGCGCAAGAGCACCGTGTAGGCCGGCTCATCTGCTACTACCTAACGGGCCCCTACAATGCAGCTTTTGCACTCGTGCTGAGTATGCAAATTGCGAACACGGCCGGTAAGCCGATCCGTACCCACGCAAAAATCGAGGCTAATCAACGCTCGCCAGGACATACCAAGAAGGTGGTCACGAATGCGGTGCTTTTCCTCGGATACTGCACCGGCAACATTGCAGGTCCTTTTTTCTATAAGACCGAGCAAGCGTAAGTCACGTGCCCTTGACCCTGCATCGCACGCGTGCTCACCGATCTAGGCCCACCTACGCTCTTGGAATCTGGTCTATGATTGTCTCGCACTTGATCGAAGTGTGTCTGATCAGTATCCTTGGTCTTCTTCTGCGGTGGGAAAACCAGAAACGTGATCGGATCCAGTCCCAGATGGAGGGTGGTCTGGAGGGTAGAGATCTAGACTCGACTGCATTCCTGGATTTGACCGATCGGGAGAACCTCAAGTAAGTTCTTTATGTGCCTTTCAGCCTTACAATATCCCTGGAAGCTAATGCAGTGGTCGGATCAAGTTTCCGCTATATTTATTGAATGGTTGGAAGGCAGGGTCATGCCATTGCAATGATAACCAACTAGCTTTGCGAATTAAGATAACAAGTACCATCTTCTGTGCCCATAGATAAAGGCTCCAGGGAACCAATCCGATGTTTAATTTGAGACGCAACCAGTGCTTATTTCCTTGCATATTAGGTAGAATCTCACGGTCAGAAGGATGTCGGGGCTAGTAAGCGGGATCTTGCCGATAGAATATACCAAATAAACCTAGAAACCCTAGCCACCTTAGCCGCAAAGCCGCACAGAACAGTTCTCTGCAAAATACTGATAGCTTGGCCTTTTTTTCCTTTTTTTCTAATCTAGCCTGTCTGTATGCAACCACCTCTTGTGACCAACATCCTCTTCCAAGTAGAGACTGAATACGCCATCCTGGTACTTCATAGAAGAACGCAGCATCAGGCAACCAAAGACGCTGAATAGACTGACGATCCTAGCGGGATCGGGAAAGTGACATCCCGGAAAATTCTCCCAGCGTTAAATGCATGCACAACCAACTATAATTGACGATCATTGGTCGTTTTTTAGGGCAAAGTCCACATGTCTGCTGCAGGTTGCATCTCGAATGCCGGAGTCTGTTGAATCAATGAACTCGGAATCCAAACTTCCGACGAATTGCTTACATTGTTCCACTCTAGAGCCCCGCCTCTTAACGAGATTCAATGCCCAATAGCTAAGCGAAAGCTTATCCGTGCAATCGATCAGGATCTCACGTTCGATCCAGGCTATTGGGCGCTGAGAGACGTTCAGTACCGTGAGCGCTGAGGTCTTCTTTTACTCGAAAGGGATGTTTGGGATGCTGATCTTGTGGTATGTGGCCCACTCGCCCTGTCAGCTTGCCAGTGAGCGCTCTACCTCGCCAGAAAAGGCGTATTCCAGCGCGCGTAGGGCCCCCAGCAGCCTTGATAAGCGGACGACACATGAGGGGCGAGGCTGAAGGGCCGAGGAAACCTGCATGGTGATTCCTGTGGGCCATCAATTTAGTGCGCTGTTGAAGCCATTCATCTAAATATTTAAATCACGCAATCTTCCCCCTTAATGTAGTCATTTTCGCGCACGCTTATTGCTTGATTTCCACTTAAGCTTAACCGCTCCGTGCCCTATTATCGGTTGATCTGATATTGACAGATCTATAACAACAATTAGCACTATAATCATTCAGCCATGGCAATCGACAACACCGTGCCGGCAACCCTGCCTAATCCCCCCAAACGCCTTCTGCTAGTCAGCGTCCCCAGAACCGCCTCCAACCTACTCTCCAAGATGCTCAATATCGAAGGCCAGCCCAATGTTCACACCAACGCCAAAGCGGGCTATTTCTTCTACAATGCCTTCACAGCCATAGCCAACGGCGGCTATCTCAGCAAACCATGCTCCCAATGGACCGAGAGCGAGAAAACCGAGGTCCGCGCCTTGTTCCAAACCTGCTTCAACGAGCTGGAAGACTACTGCACCGAAGCCGAAGCCACAAACAAAATCATGTTCGCGAAAGAACACTCCTTCTGGTTCTCCAACCCCGCCGCCCTCCAGCCCGGCGTCTACGACACCGAGTTCGCCAAGGCTCTCCACGTCGACATCCCCGCCAGATACGGCGAGCAGACCTACTCCGCCAACAACCAGACCGTGATCTCGGACGAGTACCTCCGCACCTGGCAGCTAGCGTTCATCATCCGCCACCCAGCGCTCGCGTGGCCGTCTCTCTACCGCGCGATGCTCAAGATGCAGGCGATCGGGTTCATGGACGAGGACGGCCTGAAGGGGGCCAGCGCGACGAACATGACCATGCGCTGGAGCCGGAGGCTGTATGACTGGGCGGCGGAGCAGCCCGATATCGCTGTTGCGCCGCCGATTATCGATGCGCACGATCTGATCCATACCCCGCAGATTGTGCAGAAGCTGTGTGCGCAGACGGGCTTAGATCCTGCGAGCGTGCAGTTTGAGTGGGGGAGTGCGGATATCAAGAAGGCGGAGCTCTGGGCTCCGGGCGCCGAATGTGATGCGGAGCAGCAGAAGCATATCAAAGCTGCGAACATTATGTTGTCGACGCTGCAGAGCTCGTCGACCCCGAACAAGGCGCTGGCGCCGGAGACGATTGACATTGCGGCTGAGGCTGTTAAGTGGAGGGCGGAATTTGGGGATGAGATTGCGGGTGTTATTGAGAAGGCCGTTCATGATTCTATGGACGACTACGAGTATCTGAAGGCCAGGAAACTCTGCCTGTAAATGGGACGAGGTGCTGTAGAGGTGGCCGATGGTGACCTCTACACGTGAACACCGGGGCAATGCCCTGGAAGGACTACAGGGGATGATGATATTGTAAATTGAGCATTTCCGTACATAATTTTCATAGAATCTTGCAATCACGCTTCTGGGTACCGCATTCCGGCGTGGTCCACAATGTATCTAGAGTCAGCTTCATGTTATTCGACTCACTGAAGAAGCTACTCCCAAATAACACCGTCCAGGTATCAAGTACATAAGCAAAGTCTGAGAAAGGAAAATACGGTAACATGTAGGGGGTAAGGCGGGAGGAGAGAAGGGCTATGGACAACATGTGTGACAGTGAAAGTGTGCTAGACCTCCCGTATACTGGGTGACTGGCTGCTTGAGGACTCCTGCGACGCTGAGTTGCGTCCCCGCAGGCTGAGATTGCCGATGCGCTGGACCAGATTACTTCCAACGGCATCTACAGCACCCTTCGGAGCGAGCAGAGTCGGGCCCTGCGCCGCAGCTTCTTGAACCTTGAAAAGCCGGATCGCAGTGCCGTTCCACACACCGACCGTGCCAGGTGTACCACCCGCAGCAGATCCAACCACCATCTCACTGGAGAAGATGAAGCCCCAGAGAAGTGACTCGTACCAGCCCATAGAAAGCGCGGTCCATTCAAAAGACTGCGCACGAATTGGGGTGGGCTCTGAGATGATGTTCTTGATCTGGGGTTCTTCCGTGAAAGATGGAAGGTTAGCGACTAACGTGCGAGCTTCAGGGCTAGATGTAGTCTGCAGAGCTGAATCGGGGATGTGGGGTGCAATGGCTGAAATGATGGTGATAATCGTATGCAGCGGGAGCTCTGGTAGCCAGGATTCAAGCTAGAGACAATTAGTGTTGGCAAAAGGGAGATGACAATCCATGGAAACGAACCCAAGGGACAGTGGGCGTAAAGCCAGTTGACGGAGATGTAAAAAGCGCCGATAAGCTAGTTTGGCTAGTCATGCTGTTCTGCCGAGAGAACGATGGCCTACCAGCAGGCATCTTACCACGTGCCTTCTCGGACATTCCTCGAAGCTGTTGGAGGCCATTTTCGTCGTTGGTTGATGCATTTGAAGGCCTGCGAGAATTCTGACCGGATGGGGATGACCGGGACGGGGTGTGCTGTCCCTCGTCATCGGAGTCATCGTCTCCAATCACGAATGCGCCGTTCTCCTCCGGGATCCGCGTCAGAGGTGAACGAGCGCCCGAGGGCATGTGCAAGTCCTCTTCGGAATGCGACAGCGATGGGCTAGTAGGAACTTCACCTGGGGTGTCCGCAGCCTTGCGCTTTTCGGTTTGACGCTCAATCTCCTGCTGGCCACTTTCAATAGTAAACGCTCGGATGGCCTCAAACCTTTGCTTGTACTTCAAAATCGCATAAACGAGGTATGGGTTTTCTGTGAAGCGGTTAGAAAGGTTAGGAGCCGTACAGAATCGAGAGAACAAACCCGCGAAATTGTACTCCAAAATTGCGTTGATGAAGTCAAGAAAGGAAGCAAGGAGCGTGTGGTTCGTCTCATTGGCGAGCAGGAAGCTTGGCGATGACATGGACGAGAATAATTGGATGACCTTGGAACAGGCGGTTGAAGACATGTTTTGCACATAGGGGGCAATATTGGTCAAGATAATGAGAAGCGCAGGATAGACGGTGTCGAGATTTCCCTTGCTGGTGGTCATTAGGGCGTGAACTGACTGAAGGCGAGGTTAATATCTTAATATTTGCATATCACAATCACAACTTCTCTTCTTGGAGCATACCATGATGAGGTAGTCAGCGTATGATCCTCGGAATTTCAGGAATCGAATTGACTGGGGTAAGGTTTCTTGGCCCTCAAACTTCATATTGAGGCTCTTTCCAAAGGTGGGTTCTGCGCTCATCGTCTGGAGGATAAAAATGCACATCCGGACCACACCTTGTTTGGAAGGATCCGCTCGATATTCCATTGCATAAAAGATGCAAAGAATCAAGAAATCGTGTGATCGGTTGGAGTCAATTATGAAAGATCTGAATCGTCTGTTGCATTGTAGAGTCTCCCAGAAAAGAATGAGGATCTCAGGTGCCCATTTTACTGCCCTTTGGCTTCCAGGGAAGTAGGAGCTGGTTGCTTGCATCTTTGACATATGGTTGATTAGTTGTCATATTGCCGGGCCTAGGGATGGATTTGAGACTTACTGGCTGGTTTAGAACTCTTGTCATACCATCGACTAGAAATTGAAAATCCTGGGGTCTGTGGAGACGCCCAAAGTAGTGACGATAATAATTCTTGGGCGCCACGCCTCGTCCTTCTTCTGGGATAGGGTAGATTAGAAGAACAAGGAGAAGCTGCAAGCAGTATATTACCAGCATCTGCTTGGGATCTTTCCACACAACGTGGTCGTATGGCACTCTCCATGATGCGGGATTGTACTTCATGGCCTATTCAAGGTTCAGAAATGTGCTGATACTGGGATTAAATCACGTAGGTGCATACCGTGTTGAGCAGAGAGCAGAGTAGAGTCAGGACGGACTGTTTATCCTGGCAAGTAGTAATGTAGGTGATTGCCTTGACACCTTGTACAGGCAATGTGTCTAGCAACGGCCGTTAGATTCCCTTAAGCCCCATCGATCAATGACAGAGCTATACTTACTTGAAGGCATGTACATAGCCTTGCCAGTGATTGTAAGCAGAAGACGAAGGATCTCGCATCGATTGCTCTCGAAAGCTTTGCTGGTGCCCATAGCCGTATTACACCCCACGCCACTTTGCCAAATCGAATAAGATATCTTGCTCTTTGCTGTTGGAAGAACAGGGATTGTGAAGTCGGAAAAGAAGAGCAGGTCCAACAGAGTGTCTATCAGCTCTTCCGCGAGAGGCTTGACCTCTTCATACTCCTCTTCGCCGGGACCCAGTCCTTGTTGCTCTTCTGGCTGCGCCTCATCGAATAGCACCTCCCCAGAAATCTGCGCCTTTCTCGTCTTCCTCCTGCGTCGTGCCCAGAAGAACTTATCTTCCCAATCCTCCAGGTGTTCTGCTTCGTAGACATAAGGAAGGAGGCGGGCTAGGACTCGGATACAATTGAGCGCATCGCGTTCGGGGGCGAGGTCAGGATTCGGGAAAGAAGGATGGTTTTTCAGAACGATCAGTCGTGATGAGACCGATAGCAGTAGCGTTTCGAAGTTGGATAAGGCATGGTCCCGCGTTCGCCGAATGTCAGCTGGCGTGAACAAGCTGAAGACGTCCTCGGTGGATTCAGGGAGTTCCCAGAACTGCTTGCTATGTGAGCATTTGCTTTCATCACCGATATCATCTCGTGGGGTTCTAAAGTCCCGCCGTCGCGACGTACTCTTGTCCAGTATGGGTCGTCTGCGGGGATCTCCTTCTCCTCCGAGAGACGGAAGATGCCCTGCTTGAAGACAAGCTTAGACTCCGAGGCCCCCATTTTCGAAAATATGAGTCGCTCACAGTGCGAGCGTCATGTAGGAGGTCGCGCGCAAGATCTGAGGTGTAGCACGGGCAGAGATGGTGGAGCTAGAGTTCGTCTCTCGTTGCCTGTCTTGGCCCCCAGTGGATCTGCCAAGCCACAAACAAATCACGGGGAAACCGAAGGACTAAAAAGAAAGATTACAACTACCACCACTTCAGCCTAAGATATATGCACGGTCTTTTCCATGTTGGCATTAAAATTCGCTAAGACACCATATGACCGTAGCCTAATAACTCCCGCACTCCCCCAGATGTTAAATATTAAGCGCAAAAGACAAGAAAGACAAAACATATGGTAACGATCTAGAGCGCTCCGTTACTAGTGGAAAGCCGTCGGGATCGCTCGTAAAGCCACTTGTTACTCAATCCCAAGCTTGTTCGCTTGCCTTTGCCGCTCAGCGGAGAAGGAGTGCTAGGCCCAATGCTAGACTCGCCAAACGAGTTGCTGCGGGCCAGAGGAGAGGTCGATCCAATGCTCTGTCGACGGCCACTCTCTCTTCCTGGTTCTCTGCCTCCACCATTTGCTACTGCTTTATGGAGTAAAGGACTAGTCAAGGGGGAAAACGTAGGCCCTGAAGAGACGCGACGATCGGAAAAGGAAGGGGTCGAGTTCAGGGGAGAACTTGAGCGACTCGCGGGGCTGGCTTTGCGTGAAGTCGACGCGCGATATCGCGGTGGAGTAACATAGGAGCTGGACGGTGTAAGAGGCGGTGTCGTGTTGGGGTCTAATCCCAAGAGCGCCCGCTGCGTAGGAGTGAGAGGGATATCGGCGAGATCGTCCTTTCGTCGCAGCAGGGGATAGAACGCCACGAAGATGTTGGACAAGAAGAAAAGTTGTAGGAGCAGTAATGAGAACTCGGAGTACAGGGGTGTGCTCCCCAGTAGTTTCCGGGAGCTTTTCAATTTTTCTTGTCAGTCCCTATCGCCGTGAGAGCAACCATCGCGTGCTCGAAACTCACTAGGCCTTTAAGGTGCTCCCGAAGAACCAGGATAGTACTAAAGCGGACGCGTTCCACACAGCCTTGCGCAGGTCTTTGTCACCAAAGGTGGCCGCATTCTGACGTCGGACAACTTCGCTCAATTGAGGGTGTCGCCATTTGCCAGGAGTGTCAGACCCCGCGGAGGGGGCAGCCGCAGGCGTCGCTTTAGGAGTCGAAGGAAGAGATGTCGCCATTGATCGCGTAGACGAAGAGGAAGGGAAATAGTTGAAGTTCGAGGTACAATGCTCGGCACAGAGGCTATCAAGCTGAGTTCAGTCCATTAAGCTCCCAAGTCTTTGATTAAAAGCAGAAGAGGGAGAAGACATACCTGAATGACAATCACAAATTGACTTACCTTGAGACTCGAGAACTGCACTATGAATATCGCATGGGAGTCTGCCTTACCTTAGAGAAGACTCAAAGCCGAGGGAGGAGGGTTTCTCTCGAAGGGAGTTTGTCGTGGTTGGGAAAGTCGAGGCCTGCAGAAACACCAAATCGCGCCCGAACGGCGCAAAGGTTGACCCGGACCGCCCAATCAGCTTGCGTTCGTTCTGGCCCCTCAACGTCACCAGAAGCTGGGGAATAGAGGTGTCAACAACTCGCCTTCGCATTATTGTCGTCTGTTACTCAACCATCATGGCAGACCAGTCTATTCTGGAGCAACTGGATACAGTTGTGCTCTAATGTTCTGGCAGACTGGAACATTTACACCACTGCTATTGCCAGCCTCGTAGCTCTATTTGCGGCTTACTCGATCTTCTCGTCCAAAGACCCCGATGTACACCCTTACCTTCTGGCTCGTCAGTCAACTCCCTCGCCTATTCGAAAGTCCGGTCAATCCGCAACATACCGCAGCTTAGAAACACCTTACGGTTTCCCTCTTCGTTCTGGGCTGAATGTGAAAGACTCCGGTGCTCCCGAAGTGGACTGCAGGCAGACGAGGTGATCTGCGGGATATTTGGAAAGCTGCAGTCCGTGGCGCTCTCAAGGAAGATGGCACACCCTCAAACCAACAAGGCAAAATCTACACTGTGCTCGGTAGGAAGGCGATCGAAAGCTCGCTATCGCAGATCACCCAAGAAATCAACGTGATCGGCCATCACTTTCAAGATACCAAGGTGAAAACCGTAGCTATCAGTCTGACTGATTCGGTCGAGCTTCTGGCAGCTATCTTTGGTATGAATGAATAAAAGACTTTGGCAGAATTCAACACTAACACGATGGTCTAGCTGGTGCATTCTACGGTTTCAAGACGGTCCTCGTGCCCCACAATCTCCCCGCTGAAACTCTAGCAGCACACCTGCAGACAGCTCAGGCCGATGCTCTCATTGCAAGAGGCAGGCTCCCTCGATCTCTCGGCAGCAACAAAGGGAAACAAGAAGCTGACACAGGTTTTGTGGGTCGCAAAATATGGCAACCGCCACATGGATTGGCATGAAGTCCCAGATGAGTTAAAAGGTGGCATGGAAGTTGAGGTCTGGCATGAGCTTGTAGAAAGCAAAAAGGATCTTGCTGGGCTTGATATTCCTGAGTATGATGCCAGCCAACCAACCCCCGGCCTCAGCACCGTTTGGCCTTCTGAGACGCAGTCTGGCAAGTTCATTGATTTCGAACCGGAGGTCAGTAATACATTTCTTTTTCACCATTTCTGGGAGGGGGTCATTCTAACATCAGACTCAGAATATCATCGCCGGTATCAGTTCTCTAGGCTCTGTGCTGCCTCGAAGCCAACGCTTCAACCCGTCGGACCTTGTGCTGTCGATCGACTCCCTTTCGCGCTCGTACCCGCTCTGCCAGATCATGAGTGCCTTATTCTCTAACGCCTCAATTGCATTGAACTCAGTCGCGGGAGAAGACGTGGATTTTGCCTTGGCTACGGTTGGAGTGTCGCCCACCGTCATCATCGCGTCTTCTCGCACTATGTCCAAATACCATGAGAAGATTATGGCGCCACAGGCTGGTCTTTTTTCATCGCTTGGCCGCTGGGTGCAGTCCAGATCTTTAGACTCTGGAAATATGCCTTCGAAGGGATTTTTCAGTCAGCTTGCCAAAATTGGGCCAACTGCGGAGTTGTCCCTGGACAACCTGCGCTTGCTTTGCATTTCTCACAGGATTGATGACGATTCTAGCGTCCGTCTATCTTCCCAGCAGCTGAATGATCTTCGTATCTTCACTAATGCCCGTATTGTCTATGCTCTGACTGGGCCCGGAGTTGCGGGTGCGATTGCGCAGACGAATGTCTTCGACTACAGACTGCTCGACGGCCCCAGTCACTTTGGTTCTCCTCTCAGCAGCACCGAAGCCACCTTGGTCGATGTTCCCGAAAGCAAAGCGTCCGACACTCCCGAGGGCAAGGTGAGTTACACAACCCTATGGTAAACAGATTTCGTACGTTACTAACTTTTGTTTAGCTTGTTGTGGAAGGCCCTGCTGTGGTTGGTGAGAAGACTATGATTCCGGTCCAGGTTCGCTTCGGGCTAGACAACACTCTGGAACTGCGGTCTTCAGAATAAGTTGAATCACTTTTGACTTTTAACGTCTTTATTGCATTTCCATTAGGCAAACCAAATTATGACAGCGCTAGGGATTGGTTGGTCTTTCCTCGCGTAGAAGAATGTGACTAGCGAGCTCGGGGAGCCTTCCACGAAGACACGGTTGAAATTGGACCCTAATCTCCATTTTAGCTCGTCAAAAGCATCTGCGGTACAGTCCCAACGTTGTCCAACCGTCCCCTCCTCATGATAAATCCAGAGTCTTGTGTTTTTCCACAACATGGACGTGCCATTTATTAGACGCCTCCCAGGGGAGAGAAATCTACCGGCGGAGAAAGACACCCTCAGACACGTGCGTAGCTTCTTCGTCATTGTAACATCAACTAATAAACCGGAAGCGGGGTACAAGGGCGTAAGCTCAAGTTCGGCTTCATGAAATAACATAGCAGCATATTGGATATCAGAAGTGATACGGGCTAGGAATGAGCGATGAGCTACTGAATAGAACGGCTGGGTACGACGTGTATCCCCAAATATCATGCGCTTGATAGTGGGTGCTCTAAACGAGAGGCCAGCTGCAATTATGGGTCCAAGTGTAAGGTAACGCTTTCAAGTTGGTCATCGCTCTTGTTACGTACCGTATTTAGGAATCGATACCTTCTCATAGCGAGTTAGGAGGTATCCCACGTTCAAGGATGACGGCGGGCGGGTCTTATTCCGGAGGGCTGTCATGGGCATCCGGCATCTCTCCAAACTCCTTCCTCGACCTTGCAGTTCAAGACAAGATACAGCAACTCGTCTCATAGAAGATGCCAGCGACAAAGTCATGTCCCTCGTTCGATTGGCCACTATCAAGTCGATCGACTGGCGTGTGTACTAGTACTCGTAGTAGCTCTGTACTAGGCGTGATTATTGGGCTGTGGTGAGTCCCTCTATCAGGCACATCATTGAACTGTACCAAATATATTCAACGTCCACAATGCATTCTTTCTTCTTCATTCCCTACCGCCCTTTCCCTTCATAAATTCACAATTGACTATTTAACCCATCATCTCCTGAGGCATCCCAGAGGTCTGAAGTCTCGGACCGAGAGTTTGACTTTTGTACACTGTACTCGGAACGTTAGGTCGAGAGAAACCTAGTGCTAGACAAATCCGGAACTTAGGCCTCATTGTCGAAGACCTTGATAGCTAAGAATACTCTTCTAGTTATACGTATGAATAATTACATATAATCACTCATCTTGCATTGCATCTGAAAACATAATATCTGTTTCTCTCATGCTAACTTGTCTTTCCGACAAAATTCCAATCGAAATAAAACCAATACCAGCAGGCGCGGTGGTAACAGATATTTAGAATTGACGATTGATCTGTATAATGACAATTTAGTACTCCATGATCTAGATAGATGATGAAAATTAAACTCTGAGACGTAATTCCTGTCCGGTGTATTCACTTGTTGGCTTTACATACAACCCTGCGGAGCACTTTCTAAGTTGTTATCCTTGGCTTTCATTAGGGGGGCCCCAGACTCTTATTCTCTTCGGCCCAGACTCAAGCCATCATATAGAATCATAAGGCTTGTCTCTTTCAACGCCATGTTTTTCCTCCAGGTCGTCCCACTCCTCATCATCCAGAAGAGCCTTTGCAGCCTCAATCTTACATTGGAATTCCTGTAATTGTGTCTCCGATAACAATTCATCAGAAATAGATAGCCCTCCATAAATATAGCCCCCGGAACCGTCCTTTTATTTGACGCGGAATCTGATAGAGAGAATTGGTAGGTCCGAAATCACACCCTCGGTACCTCTCGAACTCGTCAATTTTATCGAGGTGGTACGCAGTCAACATTTTGCTTGAGGCATATATCATCATCTGCATTATCAGCATTTCGGGAATTCAGCGTAGGATTATTAGCTCCAAGCTAATTCCATCCTTCACGTAGCCATGACTAGCCACATGAGTACCACGACGAAGCTGGTCTTCATCTTTGTAGCAGAGGGTCACAGGGTCTCCTAGAGGGACTTTCTGTCGTTGGCCATTAATACTAGTAGTATCGTGAACTTCAGACCTACAAATCAATTAGCCGTGAACAAGTGCTCCACGATCCATAGCATAATGAGGCAGCGCGATTGTAAATTACGAAAGAATAAAGTGTACCTGCTAAATACCGCCTTGGGTAGGTCTTTCGATCCCTGGCAGACTGATAGGCTAAGGCAATAGTTTGCGCAGTCGTTCCTCGCTGTTTGGGTACATGTTCTTGTGAAAATAATATTTAACAATCTTAGGCGCCCGCTCTCGGCAGAACGTTTCACCCCCGACCACGTCAACGCTCGCCTCCTGGACCTTCACAACAGGAGCGTTCTTCTACATGTTAGACGGTTAAGGCTAACGTTTTTGGCCATGTACTCAGCGCTAACTTCTTTCCGAAATAACAAGGCCTTGTTTGCACAAGAAAACCATGAGAAAATCATGCATCTTGCTCGCTAGGCCCTTGCTCTCGCCCGGATTTTTTTCCTCGTGGTCTCTTCTCAAAGAAGGCAAACCCGCTATATCTTCACGGTCGAAGCTCTCGTGCATTTTCTCTTGCTACGTTCAAATCTGTTATACCAACAATGGACTCGACTCGTGTCTTGTACGAGCCTATTGAAGATGTGGAAAGAATGGAATATTACCAGGCTGGGGGCTATCACCCAGTAACAATCGGGGATCGTCTCAACGATCGCTATCGGGTCATCCATAAGCTTGGTCATGGTACATACTCGACGATTTGGCTGGCCCGAGATGAGAGATCACACATATACGTTGCAGTGAAAGTCTGTACGGCAGATTCGAAACCACCCGAAATTGACGTCCTATCCAAACTGTCGAAACCTCACTTGTCATCAGACATAGGCAGAGCTATGATTCCCTCAATCTTGGACAGCTTCAGCATTCAAGGCCCAAATGGCGACCACGTCTGTTTGGTGACTAGGCCGGCAAGGATGAGCCTTTCTGATGCAAAGAACGGATCATGGATCAGCCTTTTCCAGCTTGAAGTGGCCCGAGTCTTAGCGGCGCAGCTTGTGATTGCTGTTCATTATATGCATTCACGAGGCTTCGTCCATGGTGATCTTCATCGCGGAAATATCCTCCTTCAACTGCCCCGTGAATTTGATCAGTTATCAACAGAAAAGCTGTACGAGCAGTACGGGGAGCCGGTACTCGAGCCAGTCAAGCGTTTCGATGGCCAAAAGCTTCCACCAGGCGTCCCAAAATATGGTATATTACCTATCTGGCTTGGGAAACCAAGTGAAAATATTACACTTCCCGAAGCTAGGATTATTCTTTCAGACTTTGGTGAAGCATTCTCACCAGCGCGAGAAATGAAATACGAGTCTCATACACCTCTTCTGACCCGCCCTCCAGAGGCTCGATTTGAGCCAACCAAATCTCTTACTTTCTCATCCGATATCTGGACTCTAGCTTGCACCATCTGGGACATCATTTCCCAAAGATCTCTTTTCGAAGGCTTTCTTACCAACGATGACGATATGACTTGCCAGCAGATTGATGCACTTGGCCTGTTGCCAACTGAATGGTGGGGAAAGTGGAATGCCCGTCGAGACGGATTCCCGAAGCATGGAGAGCCGATAAATTTATCCCGATCTCCATGTCAAACATTGGAGGGTCGTTTTGAATCGAACGTGCAGCGACCACGGATAGAAGAGGGAATGCCACCCTTTGAATCAAGCGAACGAGATTCACTTTACTCAATGTTGCGCTCGATGCTTTCCTTTAGGCCAGAGAATCGTCCTTCTGCTCAACAGGTTCTTGAGTCTGAGTGGATGGTGAAATGGGCTCTGCCTGAGTACGAAAAGATACGCAGCACTTATGACTAGGTTTGCAGGCCTGAATACTTTACTAAAAAACACGACTTGATGTTGGCGAGACCTCTCTATTAGCCAACATAATCTAGTAATTGACTCCTCATTCGGTTTCCCAAAGGGGACGAAAGGGAATACTGTTGCATCTGATCCGACAAAGCACATTCAACATGACTTGGTACTATCTAATCTCTGAAATTATTCCTCAAAAGAGACGTATAAGCACCTGGACTACAACGGTCGCCTGGGGCTTCACGCCATCTATAGTCGTATATTTGGTTGGACATAATGTAATGGTTGCTTTACTGACCCATTTACAACAAAATTCAGGGCGATTGCCGCGTCGAGCCGCGTCGAATGTCCCATCAGGGTGTTGGATGTATTCGTCGACTTCAACCACTTCTTATCACCCAGTGCTCCCTTCCTCTTCCTCCCCTGGAATCTTTCTCATCGTCATATATTGTCTTGTGTTAGAACTACTTTGTCCTTCAGTTGATAAGGTACTTACAGACTACCGGGAGGGCCATGACAGACTTTGCCCAGAAACTATTCTCCGGATGTCTACGCAACTCTTGAAACCGTCAGGCTTATGCACAACGCGGGCATTTACCACAGAGGTATGGCTACTTCTCCTTTAATTTGTTATGGACTATTGCCGTTTTACTTATATCGTCTTAGATATCAGTGGCCGAAATATCACATTTACTTGTTCTTATTTATGGAAACAAACCGAGGAACAGCTTTTTAATGTTCTCGGATTACCAGAAATTGAGCCACTCACCCGTGTCGATGACGCACCTCTAGCTGAAGGATTACCGACCCAGCTAGTCAAGGCAGCAGATTGGGAAGATTGAATTGATGAGGATGATGAAGATATCAAAATATTTGATTTTGCAGAGAGCTTCTTCCAAGGACAGGAGTCTGCAAAACTTGCCCAGCCGGGTTCACTAAGGATACCAGAGACGATTTTCACGGACAAGCTTGATTATCGGGTCGACTTGTGGCGCACTGGTTGCATGGTATGTCAACGTATTCTTCCGCTGAAGCAAAAGTCCTGATGAAGGTATGATCTAAAGATTTATTCTTTCTTATTCACGACATAGCCGTTCTGGTATTTCGGCGAAGGTGATGTTTACATTTCCCAAATGATTGGGTTTGTGGAGATATTGCCAGCTGAATGGGAGTCCAAATGGAGGTTGATGATGATGAGATCTACTCATGATTTTCAGGTAGAAGAAGGTAAACCAAACATTGTTACACGCAAAAAGGAGCACTTGCTAACCACGCTCATAGATTACGGAACATCGAAGCTCGAACGACAATTTGCTGAGCTGGCCAGCAAATCAGATCTTGAACCTCTTCTTCTTGTGACTCAAGGGATGATGCGTTTCCTACCGTCCAATCGCTTGACTGCAGAGAACGCACTTAATATGCTGGCCAACGTTGAGAATTAATGTCGCGGTTATGCTCCACAGTGGAAACCCTGACCATGTCCGCAAAGGAAACACGATTTTCGGGGTTACGCCTGGTGCTCAATGCCTTAGGACCAAAGGCAAGCCTGCTGGGCAGGCTCGCCCTCCACCTGAGCTATGACAGTTAAAGACGCCAGGTAGTGCCGGGTGGATTAGCAGAGCAATCATAACGAGAACACGATATTTTCAAACAACGCAGGACAGACGCCCCTGCTAACGAATTAGATATATGTACTGCCATTGGTAACTTATTGATTATTCGAACCTGAATTTGAAGTCGTAACTTGCATGCTAGGAAGAAAAGCATTGGGTGTGTCGCGCCTATCTGAACAAGCACGCGTAAACATTTTAGGTTTGTAGAACAAGTACGTTCAGTCTGTACGGCAAGTATTCCCCCTAAGGACGAGATTCGATGGATTATCAGACAGGATGCTAGAAAACAGTAATATACAAGTAGCAGAAGATGCTTGGTTGTCACGCGTAGCTTGAACCAGTCTGCTTATTTCGAGACCAAGTTTTTGGCAAGCTCAAGATCAAGCTTGCCGTTATAATTGAGCTTCTGCTCCAGCAATTCATTCTTCAGCTGCTGAGAAAGTGCATTCTTTGTCTTTGTCAGATGACTCTTCACTCGGGATTGTAATTCCTTATCAAGAGAAAGGTCTTGAATTGAGAGGCTCAGCTTGAGGCCATTGTGGATTGAGACAGTTCGGCCAATCCACTGGTTCATGTCGGCCTCGGGCGAAGGTTTCAAGTCGACCAAGTCCCAGTTTGCCAGCAGCTTTCGCACATACTTCAAAGCCTCACCATCTTGGTCCTTTCCGCCAAACTCGTCAATTGCACGAGCAGCACTGAGTTCTAAAAGTGTCGCAATCACGAAAGGCTGAGATGCAGGCAGTGTGCTCAGCTTGTTCGAAGTCGCCTCCAAGTTCTGAATGCCGTAAAACTCAATTAAGTCGACCGTTTGGCGGGCCATGTGAAGGGCCTTTGTCACTTGTTCGCCCTTGAAATCGGCTTTGGCGGCCATGCGGTGGAATTGATAAAAGAGGCTCTCCAGAACGCCGATCTGCTGGAGATCTAAGCCAATCTCGCTTTGTCGTCGTGCGCATCCAAGCAAAATGTGGAGTTGATCAGCGGCACCGATCTTTCGAATAAGTTTCTCCCATCTACTCGAACTGATTCGTAGACCAGCATTGTGCATCCCACGTACAAAAGCACCGAAATTTTGGAAGTCGTTGGCTTCGATCATCATATCAAGAACTTGGTTAACCTTGTTCTTTTGGCGAACCTCCCAGAGGGAGATTGGTCGCAAGGTATATTCCTCCGTCTCGCTAATGTTAAACGATATAGGATCGTCTAGCAAGCGCTTGCGGTGCTTCTCTTGAAAAACGGTTTGCTTTTGGCGCTTGGGGAGGCTGAATGGGATGAAGAGGTTCTGGCGGTAATAATCGAGGGCCTGGTCCAACTCAGGAGATTGAGTAGGCTTGAAATGTGGGACTGTCGCGATTCAAGAAAAATCTCTGGTCAGCAAAAAAACATGGCCTGTGAGAGCTGCTGGGTGACGATGTACCAGTTGAAGCGCAACGGACTTGGGAAAATATCATGGCCGACTGGTGGGCAGCGCGCGGCCAGCGGGACAGTGTACCGGCCATAGAGAGGGCCATCTTGGACGGATATCGGCAGCAAAAAAAATTTCTGTCCGCAATTGGAAGTGCCCAAGCTATTGAGGCTCTCGGTCGAACAAACAGGGCTTTGGGAAAAGCACGCAAAGGCAGGAAAGCGGAGAGAAATTCGGGTCTTGGCAAGAAATTCTGCCGGCGCCGGCCAAAACTCGACGCGGACTTTGTCCTTCGCCCACCATTCACAATACAATGGCTTCGCTACCCACAATGCGGCCGCTGGGCTGTTTGAGGTCACTTCTTAGGACCAGAGAGGCTATGCAGCCGAACCTGAATTGCCGATGGATCTCGACCGCATACTCGAAGAGACCGGAGCGTGTGCCTCTTCCCCAAACCTCCCCGAACAATTCATTTCTCAGATTCCCAAGCGATTCCAACCGGAAAATGGTAAGTAAACATATAGTTCCTTGATGCAAATTTCGTGTTTCGAAAGAAACTCTACTAATCAATTGGTCTGTAGCCCCGAAGCCAGTGAAGATCTACCCTGCTCCCCCCTCCGCTAGAAAGGCATGCAAAGACCCCATCGCAAAGGTCACCGAATCGCAATTACAGGTCCTTGACCCCAAGGGCGAGCGGAAAGCTCTCTTTGATTACCGACGCAACCCTCGTTCCGTCAAACCCGGCGACATCATCCGCGTCACATTCAAGAACGGCGACCCATTTAACGGCGTTGTCTTGAGCATCCGACTCCGTGGCATTGATACCTCGGTTTTACTCCGAAATGAATTGACTCGTGTGGCAGTGGAGATGTCCGTGAAGGTGTTCAGTCCCAATGTGCAAGGCGTTGAGATTGTCGAGCGTGCGAAGCGCAAGCCTCGTCGCGCCAGATTGTATTACATGCGGTATGTCTGGCATCCCTCGAAAAAATTTTCGAGTATACTAACGAAATCTTCTCTAGCTCTCGCAAACACGATCGCCGCAGTGTCGAGAATGTTGTGGCTGCTTACGTCCGCCAGAAGAAGGCTTTCATGAGTGGCAGAAGGCAATAAGCCAAAGATGTACAATTTTCCAATTAGCATATATCAGCATGTATTATTATACTTCAATATTCGATGTGGTCCTATCAGTCTTGCTTTCTCCCTCGCCGTTAAGGATACCCCGTAAATCGCACTCGGCAGACATGCAAATCATAGCACAAGTCGTTAATTAATTCAAGTGGAAGAATATGACGGCATTCTATCATTGTTATTACTTTGCGAAGATAGAATAAAACGCTGGAAACATCGTTGTAGATTGCATAGTATACACCCTGCGAGTAGGCCGTATAGCAGGAGGTTGCTGGACCACGTGCAATTGCAGTTTATGCCCGCCTTCCGCGTCATTGCTTCTTGGACTTTTTCACTCTCCATCGGAGACCGCCGGGATCAAATAAATATTCAGCGAAGTCAAACCCCTTAAGTGATGATTTCCTCGCTGGCTGTAATGGCAGCTGTCGGCCTGGCTCTTGCGGGCCAGACTCCCGCCATTGGTTCGATGACCTCAAGCCTGCAAAGTATCCTGATGAACACCCACGGGAGCAAGGACTATGAATACCCAACGGACATAACGCGAGATATCTTACCGGTAAGTTACCTAATTTCTCTCTTTTACTTCCTTTATATATTCCGCTTTCTTTAAAAATGATTTCGATATTTGTTTTTGCGTTTCTCTGACATTGAGCATAGATTCCTGTCCATTCCCACAAGTAGGTTGCCCTTGGGCGTGGCCATCGACCACTTGTGACGTTGAGTTGAAGCTAATGCTACTTCTGAAAGTGATTACTGGAGAAATGAGCCTTTCTGGACCGGTAATTCTTATTTTTCATGGTTTCTTTCTACTTTTGTTGACTCATTGTTGTTACCAGGTCTATCAAAAGGCTGTACATCAACTGAAGCCGACGTCTGGTTGTATAATGGCACTCTTTACGTGCGTTAACACTCATCAATGTTCTGAAATATGTCTTATTGACACTGTGGCTTCTCAGGTTGGGCATGATCAATCTGCTTTAACTTCTAGTCGCACCCTTGAAAGCCTCTACATCAATCCGATCCTCGAAGTCCTGGATCGCCAAAATCCCAAGAGCCCCTTTGTTCCGGCTCCAACCAAGAAGTAAGCAAGACTTCCGATCATCGGAGCTGCACACATCTGATTTCATATAGTGGCGTTTGGGATACAGACACCACACAAACCCTCTACTTTTTCATTGACGTGAAGACGTCCGGGCCGGAGACTTTCAAAGCAGTCATCGAAGCCCTTGAGCCCCTTCGAGCGAAGGGATATCTCACTTCAGTCAAGGATGGCAAGACTCTCAACGGCCCTGTGACTATCATCGGCACTGGCGAAACTCCATTGGAGATGATCACTTCTGTAGCCGATCGAGACTACTTCTTTGATGCGCCTCTCGCGAAATTGAAGGATCCCCAGTATTCTGAGATAAACGGCCTTGTCGCACCCATCGCTTCAACTGATTTCCAAGCTGTGGTTGGCAAGGTGACCCTCGATACCGACCCTGTGCTCAATGAAGGCCAACTCCAAGTTCTTCGCCAACAGATTGCCGATGCAAATGAGCGAGGCATTGGTGCTCGATACTGGAACACACCTCACTTCCCTATCCGTACGCGCAATCTTGTCTGGAGGACCCTTCTCCGAGAAGGGGTGGCTCTTCTGAATGCTGATGACTTGGATGCTGTTGCGGCGTATTTCTAGGAGCCATTTCAAGATGATCAAGGCCGCTCATAAGCCACGATCAGATTCATAATATTATATGAAGCTGTATAAGATAGACTTTCTAGAAATAATACCCATGGCCAACCCATATTAATCTGAGGCTGTTTGGCATACCCCTCATAACAAATCGTCTTGTTCGCACGTTGAGTATTCCCACTTAATTCGCCTAGACCCTGGAAAAAATCCATCTCAATCTTTCAAGCCTGACTTTACCCGTTACTTCCAATTCAAGAGCTCCAGGTCAGAGCAGCTTCATCCGCGGTTCCTGGCACGTGACCTTCATCGGTGCGAAGACAGGGCGAAAAACACAGGAGATACATCTCCGCTCTGCTTTTCCCTTCAACATACCCTAGACTCATTTTTAATGGTCGATCCGGACACAATGGCATTGGATGGTGATCTGGGAGATCTGATATCCAAGGGACTCCCCACCGGAGCCGAGCTGACAGTCCGACACATCTCCTCCACTCCAGCCCCGTCTGCGGCGCTCTTTGCCGCAGCGCCAGGACATGAGCCAGAGCCGACGTTTTGTGAAAGCCACTTCTTGTCGCTCTCAATTGACTCTGATCAGCATGATGGGGCTGAGGTCATCGTCTTTGGGATGGAGGTGTTGGTCTACAACTCGGCTCACCTGACCACCATCTTCGTCTCCAAAGCGGACTCGACCGGCTTTCTACACTTGCTCAAGCTCCCGAAAAGGGTATCTATTCTACGATTTATTTCTCACACATTCTTATCTTACCTCGTACGTACACATCAACGGCCGGGTGTTCGCTTAGTTGTGTCTCTCTTTGCCCGGGCTCAGGACCAGTACCTTTTCCCGGGCAGCATTGAAAATTCTGAGAAACACGTCCTTGATGACCGCGGCCTAATCAAATGGTGGTGCAGAGCCATTGATCCAATTCTGCGGGAATACGAACCGGAGTCCGCCTCGCAGGATTCGAAGGCTCCTGATAAAGCCGTCGAAGCTGCCCAGGCATCCGCCACGGCTTATTTAATTGTGCCTGGCAGCGACCGTTTCGAGACGCGCAACTTCTCTTTCCGCAGACGGCTAAGACAGATCCGCAAGGTCATCCGCGGTGGCTTGCAAGTTATCCCCTGCATCAAATGTGCCATGATCCGTCGGCTCCGCCGCGGTGCTTGGTTCCCCGGCTGCCGGATGATCCCAAGACGCGTTTCCTGATTGATCTAGACGATGAGCTTCCTGAAAACAATGAGAACGAGGCCCGTGGATCTGGAAATGGCCAATGGCGGAGTGTCAAAACCTTGGACCAATTCTGGGAGATGATGTCGTTTCGGCAAGAATGCTCTGCTGGGCGCCTAGTTGGGTTCCTATGGCTTGTCATAAACCCGCCTGGGCTAATGAGCTCGACTACCATGGCTTCTCAAACTCGTGGTCAGCACAAATCCGTCGCAGACCTGAACAATGAGCAGCTGTCCAAGATTTCCACAGATACGAAGCCTAGTATAGAGGCCAGTGAGCAGGCAGAGAGCAATGAGGTCTCTCCTGGTACACCGGAACCCGGCAAAGCAGCTTCAGATGCGCCAAAAACCTTTGATAGGCCATCTACAAGCTCCGGAGATCAAGTTCAATCCCCTCTCCAGGCTGTCAATCCGTTCTTCTGGCCTGAGGCGGGCCGAGGCCATGTGGTGCTCAGTCAAGAGAACTATAAGGAAATGATGGATGGCGTTTTAGACCATTTCTACGATAAGAATGAAATTGTCGCCAGTACCAAAAATTTTGTCGACCAGGTTACGTGTCTTGCTGATCAATTGACTTGGGGGCAGAAAGTGACTGGGACTTATATTGCTAATACCCATCCTACCGACTTGTCATCTACCGCAAACACTCTCGACGGCGGTTTGGTACGCAAGCGGAAGCCCCAAGATGAAAATAGCGGGGGCAGCACCGTCGATAAGGGAGCTACTGAAAACTCAAATGGGCATGAGCACAGCATATCGACCCCTTCTCAGTCCGCCCCAGTGACGATGCTCAATTCAAACCTGGTTCGAAAGAAGAAGAAAACCTGACCTTGTTCTTAAATGGTGTGTTCTTTATTCTACTTTTTTCTAATTCTTGTTTAGTTTTTGCCATTTTGCCTATGCAAGGTCAGGAGTTCACCTGAAGGGTCGTGGGACCAATTTTTACAGAAAGCATTGCCGTGGAGCAAGGTGGCAGTGGACGAGCTGCGTAGGATTACGAACGCGATTGCATTACATTAAATAGACCTCAGTATGCAGGATCTCTATATGAGGTCATTAATACACATTGTTTCCAGCTACTAGCATTCGAGTTGATTATGACTCTTGAATATCTGCATCTACTCCACAATACGACTCGGAAACTTCAGTAAAACCATGTAAACGGCACGAGCTAACCAGAGCCAGCACGAGCGTCTATCGCCGATAAGCACACGTAGACATAAAACATCTTCAAGCCCACACAAAAAGGGCGCTACCAGGGCCAATTACGCGCCTAATGTTGAATCTTGATTATCTACCTTCCCAGGGACCAGAGGGGCCAAAGCCACCTATAAATTGGATCCTGCCGAGATGGAAATTGGGCAAAAGCAACCTTGGAACTTCCGCCAGATCCGAGCTCTGCAACACAACACTCCACACCCACTTCTTCCAAAACACTTCCCTTCACCAGGCTGGGTCTCCCCCCCCCTTAGCATGTTCCGCTCGTTTATGCGATTCCGCTCACGCCTTGTTCCATGCTAGACTCGACCTCACGTTTCGCCGAGTATTCACTCGTCGGCAATGGTGACATACCTGTATCCGTCGCGGCGGGCTGGATCGGACTGATCTGGTACTGCGTGGTGCTTCTTGTATGCGCGCTGGGGTATTTCCAAATGTACGTGTGATCCTCCTCTCTCTCAATTGCGCTCGGAGCTGCTTCCGGAATGGCTTAACTAGCTTCGCCGGGCGGGCTAGCGCACAAAGTGGCGCACAGTTATTGAATATCGCTAATTGTGGATTACAGCTGGAGGTACTTTTTGCGCCAGCCAGAGCAGTCGCCATTAGCGAATTCTCCAGATGCTCCCCATGTGACTGCCATTCGCCCCGTCAAAGGCCTCGAGCCCCATCTCTACGATTGTCTCGCGGCCACTTTTCGACAGGACTACCCTCGCGATAAGCTGTCGATATGTCTCTGTGTGTCTACACGCGACGACCCCGCTTACCCGGTCTTGTGCCAGCTTGTGGAGGATTTCCCTGAGGCTGATGCGCGCGTATACGTGGAAGAGGAGGACCCGTTGCTGCAGCAGTACGGTCGCGATGCTGACTCCCTTGGGCCGAACCCGAAAATTCGAAACATGAGCCGAGCGTACAGGGAAGCCAAGGGCGATCTTATTTGGACAATTGACTGCAATGTTTGGGTCAGCAAGGGCGTATGTGGCCGTATGGTCAATAAGCTATGCGGTACTGCGCCATCGTCTACGCGGAAGTACAAATTTGTCCACCATTTGCCTGTCGCCGTGGATGTGACAGGGGAGGCCATTCTACATCAAGAACGGCAGATACTAATGAATACCTCCCGGGAGGATTCTGTTCCCAGTCATGCGCTCTCTGTCGACCGTCCGGAGGACTCGCTTGCAAGCACGATTGCTACGGGGGGCGGTCGCTTGGAGGAGCTTTTCCTTTCCTCTGCACATGCAAAAATGTATACTGCAATCAACACGGTGCTCGTTGCACCATGTATTGTTGGTAAATCAAACATGTTCCGCCGCTCGCATCTGAGACTATCTTACTGCGCCATCTTCGACAAACCCGCATCCTCGACACCCCGGAATTGACTTCTTCTCCGATAATATTTGTGAAGACCATCTGATTGGAGACCTTCTGTGGCGTAAAAAGGTGCGCGAGGAGGAAGAGCTCGGGGAACGCTGGGGTAAACACGCTATGGTCTTTGGAGACTTGGCTATCCAGCCCGTGGCGAACATGCAGCTGCGCGCATACATCGCTCGCCGAGTGCGGTGGTTGCGTGTTCGCAAGTTCACTGTCCTTCTGGCGACGCTTGTTGAACCTGGAACCGAGTCGTTTGTCTGCTCTATTTACGGTGCGTATGGCGTAACAACGGCATTGGCACCGTACCGAGAGCACAAGGGATTCAGCTTCGCGTCGAGTCTCCAGTCTTGGACAGCATTTTTCTCATTGTTTGCGCTCAGCATTGCGCTCTGGATTTTGGTTGATTGGACATTATACATTATCCTCCATTCCGGCAGAGCGATCGAGGTTGACAAAGACACTCCTCCTTTCGCGAGGCTCACGCGCACTGATCCTTCTCATATCACTCGCAGGCCATTTGTGCAGTGGCTCTCTGCATGGCTGGGACGCGAATTGCTCGCACTTCCCATTTGGCTCTCGGCTGTCTACGGCGGCGTAACGGTCGTGTGGCGAGACCGGCAATTCAAAGTTGGTTTCGATGCCAAAGTTCGGGAAATCAACCCCGATGGTTCTGTGCCTTCAGGAGGATCTTACTCAACTGGCTCTGTCGTCGACTGGTTTCCCCTGTCGCCAAAATCCAGCGAGGATAAACACAGCAAACCCCGCCGTGATTAATTATATCCCCGATGATCACGCTACCATGTTCACTACGACTCCATGACTAACCTTGTACAGTATCCTATGCGAGAACTTTAGACGGGTCTCAACGTCTCATTTCGGGTTGAAAATGGGGTTTTATTAAGCGCCTCATACATTTCATGAAAATCATAGGTTAGATAGATTCAGAAGTGCCCAATCGCATTGTCTATGTCCGATAACTTTTTGTTTCATTAAATTCCCAGCATCCATCCATATATATCATTCACGATGATCATGCAGATTCCTCACCCTCGTTTGCACCGCGTTCCAAAGCAGCCGCCTTCTCCGAGCTCAACAGCCACTCAACCACCTGTCTGCCTGCAGACATCTCTCCGGGATTCGAAGCAGCCTTGTCCTCGCCCTCGCTCTCCCCAATGGTCATTTCGATCTCTTGGGTCTGGCTGTCGTTCTCGGTGTCGCCCTCCGCAGCTGCATCCCATGCGGCCCGCTCGGCGAGGAACACGGCATCGTGCCCCGCGTCATTCTTGATAGTCACATCGGCTCCGGCCTCGACGAGCGCTTTCACACATTCTAGGTGTGTGTTCAGGGCAGCCCAGTGCAGAGATGTGTTACCGGAGTGATTGCGGTGATTCACGAATGCTGAGCGTTGAGCCGCATCGGCAGCAGAGAGCCTTTGCAGCAGAGCATTGAGAATCTCTATACAAAAAATCAGCAACGCAATTATAAATAGGGGCTAATCTTCTGATATCGAAGATCAATGGAGTACGTATGAAGTCTCCCCCCGAAGTAAACTTACCGGTGTTTCCATTTGCAGAAGGGAAGTGCAGCACACAGGATCCTGTGCCGCCTTCACTCTCATCCTCCTGGTCGATGGCCGACGCGACGATTTGCCATTCTGGGCAGCTGTGCTGCGAGGCCAAGGTGGCGATGTCTGCCGTCAAAGCCTCGAGGTCGCCTGCACGGGCATCGTAGATCAGGTCATCAATTGCCTCAGATGAGAGTGCAACGGGCACTGAGGGCTTCGGCTTTTGCGCTGAGGCCATATTCTCTATTCGCGATTTTTACTGCCACTTCCAAATTGGTTGAACCCGGCGTTTCCCAGGGCCGATCTTCAGGATCTATAATCATGTTAATATATCATCCATATAGTTCAGTAAGTAGTTCATCAAGCCCGGCCACGATCAGAGGGCTATTCATAACAAGAGCAGATGAGACGAAATTTGCTGTATCCTTTCCATTGAACATGGCTGAAATTGTAGCATTGAGGTTTGCATCGACATGCTGATAAGCAGATGGATCGCAGCTTCAAACCACCACAACTCAACTAGAGCAGGATTTCGGGGCCGGGGGTGGAATTAAGCTGTTCTCAGGATACAACAAACATTTTGCTTACCTCGAAGTCCTTTTTCTTTCTCCAGCACGAGATTTTTGGGCAACAGTTCTTCGTCGGCAGAAACTTTGCTAATCGACCCCCACCTGTCATGTGACCCCGCAGTGTAGAGCTCTGATGGAAGAATGCCTTTCATATTCATAATCATATGATGATTTTGATTCGTTAATAATTATACAAATGCTTATTGAGCTGCAAAGGCAGTCAATATTTTAGCTTCGTCTAGAAAAATGTCAGGAAATACAGCTTTGGAAATCCCCGGAAAGCACCACCACCAACGCCTGAAAAACAAAAGACAAGAGAGAAGGAGAAAAAGAACAATCCAGGAAAAAGCAGACAACCCCGATTATGCGATGTGGAGCAGGAATACCACCAGTCCCTATTCCCAGAGGGCAATCAATCCAAAAGCCAAGCGCGGCGCTTCTCCTCTTTCTTCTCCCGACGCTTCTCTTTGAAAGCTTTCAGCTCTTTCTTGCTCAGTCTCTTGTTGCTGCGCTCAGCCCGGAGGCTGCGCCCATCGTGACTGTTTGCTGCCGCATCGACATCAAAGAAAGCATTCATCTGTCGCCGCGCCTTGTTCTCGTCATTGTGGTTGTCGGGGTTGATCGACGAGGCCTGCCAGCGGCCAGTGAACCGGTTAAATGTACCGACCGCCTCATAAGCAGCAGCCGGGTCGACAGCAGGACGGTTTTGGTCTTCGTAGTCTTCGTAGGACTGGGCATAATCAGCGGTCGGATCGTAGTCGCCGTGGATGGCGGGGTTGTAACCACCCGCCACGGGCTTTTTAGCGGGTTCGTGGTTGTGTATGTTCGCGTTGACCGTCCCGGGAGCTGTCGCTGTGGGGACGCGCGGGTTTTCCCATTGAGAGGCCTGAGTGAAGCGGTTGTAGAAATAGTATGCTTGTGTATTTGGCTCCCACACCGGCTCCCACCCATCGTCATCGGGGTTTTCCGGCGGTGCTTCGTCGGGGAGAGGTGGAGGGGCTTCGTCTGGTAAGGGCGGCGCCGTTTCTTCCACTTGTTCGGTTTCGCCATCGTGGTTCGGTGTTCCTCCTCCGTTCTCATTTCCAGGTTGGGGATCTTGGTGTTGTTCATCGGCTTGCGGCGAGGTCTCGAGCTTTGCTATCTTTCCTGGCGATGCGGGGGCAGACGTGGTTTTGTCGCCCGAGTCAGCTCGGGCATGCGCACCCTCTGAGTCGGACATTTCCATAGCTGATCGAGCTCCTATCGAGCTTAGCGCAAGTGCTGACGAAGGAGATGCGCATTGAAATGCCGGGGGCAATCGAGCCGCGGCCGATCCACTCCGCTCACCGCCCACAAGACCAGCTCTCTGGGCTATGACCATCTACGTAATGAAGGAATTCCTAGGTAGGTCTATCGTTTAAAAATCTACGGGGGACAGTTTTTGGCACAGCGAGCCTTGGCGCATGACTACACACAATGGGAAAAACAAGTACTTCGGCTCAAGAAAACAAGGGTGCAGGAGCTGGCTGAACAGCTCTCAAATGTGAAATCTCAGAGTGGGCATATTGCGCAATATGTCAGGAGTGCCGCAGCTTCAAAAGCGAAGACGATGCGGTCAGGTCAATCCGTTACGGGATCAAACAACTCCTTCAGGAGGAACTATTGTCAGCTAAACTGTCCGAAGGCACAGAGTGCGAAGGTATAGAATTGGGAATTGCCTTTGCTTACCCAGACTTTTTCTGTCTGACATTTGATCAACAAGGGGAGTTTGCGAAGTTTCTTGCGAGTGAGGGCTCGGCAGCTCACATGTTCAACTTCTTGTTGGAACAATCTCGTTGGATCAGTGAATGCCAGGCCATATATAATGGTGAGATAAGCCCACTGTCTTCTGTAGACATGTCTCTGACATCGAAAAGATTATAAAAGCGGCCGTTTGCCTCTGTTGCCGTCCGACATGAGGACAGTATATGATAACACAAGAAGGGCTCCAACCAACGAAAGATCAGCCAAACGCCAACGGCAAAACAAGGATGCCTCCAGTATAAGTAGTTCTTTGCGGGAGCTTTATCCGAACCAGTCTTTCAACCCCATCCAAAGGTCCCCAGCGGCATATTCTCAAATTCCCGGCTGTTCTTCAGTTCATCGACCTCTGACGCTAACAGCCGAACCGCATCGAAACTTTTTTGACTATGCTGAAGCCCCTCATAGTCAGACAGCCATTGGTGCATGTAGTTCCGCTTTCGTATCTGACAACAGCGCACGTCCCCGACCATCTATTCAGCATTGTGATCTACCGAACGAGCAGCAGGTGTTGTCTTCTGACAACTCAGTCACCGCACCAAACAAAGAAATCGAAGCGGCCCACCGCGGAACGGGGATAACGTCGCAAGAGAATTCAGCTTTTGTGCAGAATTCCAGCCGTTTGCCCGAACAACTGAACCTCGGGTTTGACAGCCTGCACTGCCATGATACATCATGCCTGCCTATGCCCTTCAACCCTCCCTTAGTCGGCTTCTCGGACTGGGGAACCGTTGACTGGGATCTGCAAGGATTCCAGGACTTCTGCTTTCAGCCGACCTCGGACAGCTCTTGACAAATGGTGCCTGGGAAGTATATACATCATGCATGAAACTTTGTACAGTGAAGAGGTATTGAAACATGAAGGCCAGTCTCATCCTATGTCGGACACAATTAATGCAACCAGTTTCCCTCCTCTCGAGACCTCTACCACACACTCAGTCAAGATCTTATAGCAGTGATCCGTATCCACGAACATCTCGCCAAGTTTGACATCGCCAATAACTTGTAGGGGTATCAGCATTGTGAAGGTTTGTCCTGTGGTAGTTCTCCCGGGGAAGACGACGTGTCCTCCAGTCTTCATCCTTAATGGTTGTCTGAGTGGTATGGATTCCACCGTCGATATCTAGATGGAACATCATATTAGTTTTCTCCCCATAGTGCTTGGAACAGACACATTACCTCTTGCCTCGCCTCGTTCAGGACCTCCTTGATCAGGACGTTGCACTCATCAGTAGTGAAGAACCTTGCAACTGAATGGTCCCTAGGCTTTGGAAGCGATTCAGCCACGGGCTTCGCTTCCGCCCACGCCTTTGCTGCCTGTGCCTTGACATTGGCAGATGAGAATGGCACAATTCCCGCAGCCATCGAATGCACGGTGTCCGGCTTGAGAAGGATGCTCGAATACGTTCTGTGAATGTGACAGATTCGCTATAGACCCGCCTTGGACCTCCTTGTCATTCCTGTGTCGAGAATGAATTACCTAGAGTCCAACACTAGTTGGCTAGAGCAAAAGCTTGGAGGGGTAAAAAAGCCTTCGAATTATTCGGTCTGCCTTATGACACCGCTTACCTTTTTTTAATATTATCATTGATGCCCAACATTCTGTTAGCTTAGCCTTCAAGCATACATGTCTGCGCACTCTCCGTAATGATGCTTGGTAGTCACTTCTACTCTTTTACCAAATATGTGAAAGGGCGCTTTTCACTGGATCATGACTCTCGACATAGCCGTGGGCAATAGTTCCAATTCCATTGTGACGTCGGTCTTTGAACCGACAATGCGACGCTTCACTGGTGGACTTCCAAATAATCTACAATAACGAAACTTTGCTCGCCGTAAGTTGGTTACTAGATATATTCGATAAGACGTGGTGCCGCAATTCTGGAGGCTGTTTCTTAGAGTAGTGGATAAAAGACAGGAACGGCCGATCCTTGGGCACGCTGAAGGACACAGTAGACCCCCGCTTCGCGTGACACCTCCGTCCAGCGCGCTGAAGTCGTCCCTTTCCCGAGAACAGTATATCCGTGGGTAGCAAAAGTAATCTTGAATGGTGCGCCGTAGGAACCACAAGGACCTATTGGAGTGTAGTTGTGATCCAGATCCTGATCGAGCTGTGCATGTCAACATGTATCGAGGGCGTGGCTCTGCGCAGGCATTTGCCAAGACTCCCAAGACCTCTTTAGGCTCCAAATACCCATTAACCTTAGTGTTCCGCCTCTGTATTTCCTCCTTATTTACCGCTCCAAATTGGCAGTTCTTCAATACTCATACTTGGGTTGCTCGTCTCGGGGCGATCGAGCTAGCCCAAAACTACTTCCTACATGGCGCGGGAAGAATCCGTCATGTGCTAACGATGGACTGGGGTGGCAAGACTACGAGTATATGAAGGATTCCCTGGGCTAATGTTCCAACAGCTGAGCCAAAAGACCACCATATACGCACCTCATGTGCGGATATGCCCAGGCACGCCTTATATAGTACACCCTCTAGCTGGAATCCGTGACAGGGCGATATAACCCTAAATAAGAATGTCCAACGGGCGATTACGCAGTCAGTAAAGGAGATCGACGTCTGGCAAACATCTTGTGGAATACTGAGCTGCGCCCTCATAAATAGGGGGCAAAAGTCTGTGTGCATACCGCTTCTGCCACCTACCCCATCGAATACCTATGTATATTCATGGTTACATACTGCCCTTTGCAATCGGCAGCCTTTGTAGATAAGGTGTGGTTATATACATGATATTCCTTACCATGTTAAATGAAGAGAATGTACTAGTTATAAATACTATATATCGTAATGCGATTCTCAATTTGCTTCTTAAGAAGTTCAATCCCACATTATGAACTTCCACAATTCCATCTCCGTCTGACTTGTATTGAATAGGTACGACTTTACCCTCTCTCATACTTCTGTAACAGTGCGAGGACTCAATTCATCCCAGGTGACATAGAAGGGCGGCATGCCCGTCTTGTGATCTACAATCTGGTAAATATCCCCTTCAGAGGAAGTCCAGCCAGTACGTGAAAAATGAAGGCAGGGCTCCGGAAAGAAACAGAAGTACTTATACTCCTGTAGGTATCTATAGAGTCCTAGGCCTGACGATTGAGTGGAAGCTCCAACGGCGAACTCAAGAGCGGAGACCACATGTTAAAAATGACAAGGGGATATGAGCACCAGTGGGTTTTCTTTCGGGTCGTCCAATCAGTATAGTGAGACCAGGGTCTTGGAGCAGCCAAGGGCCGAAGAATGTAGCTATCTAAGCCCGAGCCCGCTAGTTTGCGCGACCGCCGGGTGACCCTCGCCCCGTTGCGCGACCTCAGGCGGCACTGCTAGAACTAGAGGGCAGGCGTTGAGATGCTCGTCAATTTTTTCTCGATAGGGAGAGGAGATCGCTTCAGGCAATGTGAATTCCATTGGCCTCATGCAAAGTTGATTTTCCATTATGCAAGTTGGCGTCTTTAGTTATTTTGGACCCCGTGACTAATGAACAGAGAGATCAGCCGGGCAGTTCATGCATTTGCTAAGCACGTTAGAACAGAGCTGAACCCTCATAGAACGCCTAGCTTTATTCTACATTTGGACTGCCGCTAATTTCATTTGTTGTATATACTCGATTTATTCTAATCATAGCGCCAGCGTTCTTGAATTGAAATTTTGGAACTTCGAGTTTTGGGTATCTGGATTTTTGCATCTCTCCGAATATATATTGAACATCTGTACGTGCACTCGTTGCTCCGTCCCAACTTCTGCTGTGTCACGACAGGAGCCATAATGTGTTAAAACTGAGATCGAACCATTAATTCAAATGTTATTCATCAAGGTACTGCAACTGGTACGAACAAAATTCGCTCAGGTTGTTTTCACGAGTATTGAAGCCCTAAGACTCGGACTCGGAGGTCCTCCGAACATAATTGATATAATGACTACTCCGCAGATAAATCCTAATTTGAGCATCGAGCTCAAGTTCGAGCTTGCGTATAAGACCCTGGGACGCAGAGTATAGCGTACTGGTGATGTTTCTCCAAGTTCGCAGAGTTGGGTGATTTAAAGTTGCGGGGCCCTTCAAGCTCGGCATCCATCAGAAATTACGGTCCCCAATGAACCTCGGATCAATTGAGATTTCCGCTTGTCGAAATCAGCATCGGGTGTCTTCATACTGAGAGCACTCGTATTAGTCCCATTTAGTATGCTGGAACTTGAAAGCATAGCATTAAGTGCTCTCTAGTAGTACGTATGTTTAGACTTGAACACCGGGATAGTCACTTATAACTTGAAATTGAAGGCAAAGACTACTGGTATTCCTATAAACAACGCACCTGAATTATCAAGGTGAGCTGAATTCACATCTTGAACGTGTTTCCTCGAACTTCTTGAAATCTGAGGCGTCATACCCGGAGAGTCGCAGAGGTCAACACCGGAATTCCGGATTCGTAACGAGTTGAGGACATTGACAAATCATATCACATAGCTCGTGCGGACATCAGGACAGCCAAACATGAGGAAAGGCAGTTATAGGTAAGTCGTAATCTTATTTCTTTCATTCCAAAGGAGGGAATTGAGAAGGCCTTCAAGTGGCATGGCTATCACTAGTTCCCAAGAGAGCAAAAGCCTGGCAACAGGGATAGATGATCAAAGGGATTGATTGGGCCCAGCATTTCCCAGTCTTGGGGCAGTAGTCTAATAAAAACTAAACAAGAGGGATACCTGGAAGTGGACAGGCCCCCCCGGGCCCAGGGCCTAGCGTTGCAATCAGGGGCGGGTTGGGGCAAGCATGCACCTACGCCATTTTTCAGCGGATGGAAATTAGCATGGCGCGCGGAGATTTCCCGTACTTTGTTAATGTTACGATTCCTCAATTCCTTCCCGTGGGCCAAGGACTGAAAACAATGAAGGGAGGGTCAATAGGCTCGCGGAGGGTAAGTAGTACCCCTTGTTTTGGGACTCGCCATGCGCGAAGCTCCACAGTGCTGTGTTCAGCCTTCCCGTCCAATTCGTGCCTGCTGGGCTGTTACTGAGTGGGCTTGAGGGCCGGCTACATGCGTTAGTGCCCGCAAAAGCATAAGGTCCAGAAAAGTGAAGGGAGACATGGACCATGCTAGTTTGTTAATTGTGGGGCGAATCTTGTGAATCTGTCCGTAAACAATGTCCCCGGAAAGCAGTGAGCATCTTCGAAATCTCAATAAGCTTTAAACTTTACTTAGCATATGGGAATTTGACTAATTTCGTGACTCCAACCATCCCGTAGGACGTCATCACGCATAGCTATACTCAGATAGGTAACCTACAGGTTGATTCTTCGTAGATTTGACCACGAGCAGCAGCTCATCTGAGCTAATCAGCAGACTGCGCGCGCGCCAAATTGCGGAGACTGGGAGCTAGACCTAGCGAGTCCCAAGGAATGTCAAAGCAGCAGGGTTTAGGATAGAAAGCCATGCCCTAGGCTGCGTAGATCCATACCAGGCGACTCCAAAGGGGCTCATTGTTTGGCTCGCAGTCCCCGAAGAGTGGAGTGTTTTTCTCCTCCCTGTGCTTCTCAGTCGCATTCCAAGTCGAGGGAGGGAGATGTTTGGGTGGAAAACAAACAGAATACTAGTTTAGAGTGAGTGATCCAGGGTACTCACAGACCGCTACCGAAGGTGTATAAAGGAGTGTCCATTCAGCGCCGTACTCATCTTCTCTTCATCATCGATCACTCTCTTTTAAGTCTTCTTTCGAAGTTCAGTCTTTTCACTCCAGAAAACACATAAACTCCGAGATTCTCTCGTTCAAATCCAAACCCACAGACACAATGCAGTTCACTCTTACCGCTGTCCTCGCCCTCGCTGGCGCCGCTGTTGCCCTCCCCCCCGCCCCTGCCCCCGCCGCTGGTGGCATTGGCAACGCCAACGGTGTTAACAACAAGGGCAACACCAATGTCAAGTTCCCTGTCCCTGACAACCTCACTGTCAAGCAGGCTCAGGCCAAGTGTGGTGACCAGGCTCAGCTCTCTTGCTGCAACAAGGCTACCTACGCCGGTGACACCACCGATGTCAACTCTGGCATGCTCGGCGGTGCTCTCTCCAACCTGATCGGTGCTGGCTCTGGCGCCGACGGTCTGGGTCTTTTCGACCAGTGCTCCAAGCTGGACCTCCAGAGTAAGCTTCCCTACATGACACTTGGAACACGAACCATATCTAACATATCACAGTTCCCCTCCTCATTGCTGTGCCCATCCAGGACCTGGTCAACCAGAAGTGCAAACAGAACATTGCCTGCTGCCAGAACTCCCCCTCCAGCGCCGTGAGTAACCCTGAATGCTTTGACGATCATGCAGTAGCTAACATCATCACAGAACTCCGACCTCATTGGTGTTGGTCTTCCTTGCGTTGCTCTTGGCTCCATCCTCTAAATGCAATTCTATGTTTTTCGGCATTATGCAAGAAGCATTGGTTGCGTTGCCAGGCTTCGGGGCACTGGCTCAGTCGTCCTCGGCAGCGCTACTAGAGTGGACCAGATTTTCGGGATGGAAAGCAGGTTGTTTTGGCTTTCCCTAATTAGTTAGGCGACCTGTACCTTCGCTGTCCTTGTACTATTACTTGTGTCATGTGGCACCTCGGAGAAAGAAGACTGCTTTTGTTTCCTTTTTTGATCTGCTTTTGCTTTTGCTTCTGCATTGTGCATCGGAACCGCAGGATAGCTGCTGTCTACCTCGGTATACTTTCGCATACATATGTTCTAATTGATTAGAGTTTTGTTTCCTGCCCTGCATCCATCTATTTCTTTGTAGACCAGCTCCTGCCAGCTTGATATACATTATGTCTGAAGTAACGCAGAACCTTCTCCTGTGAGGTTGCTTTTCGGGGTTCCCTGAAGTCCCTGCAAGTTTTCAGGGTTTCTCCTCTTCCTGCATGGATTTTACAAACGGTCTTCCCCATCTCCCGTACCATGCTAGCCTCGGAGCTCCAACTACATCTTTGTGCATTATATTTTAGCTTAGTAGTAAACCAGATTTCTTTTTCATATTTTTCATCCAACTTGCATTTTTGTTTTGTCTTTTTGTTTAATCACTTCGTAACTCATATCACAGTCATTTTAGGTCTCACTATGTACACCAGCATAGATCAGACCAATCAACAGTACCGTCGCGCCATTACTTGATTCCCCCAAAACTCAAACGCCCGCCCTGTATACGGATCACTCAGCCCATTTACTTCCAACCACTTCAGCTCGGTCTGTTCCTTCCCCAGGCTATCGTTATCACTATCCGACTCCAGCCATTTTTGCGACGACCCGCTCCTCAATGTCTTAAGCGACGAGCAGGAGCGCGGGTTCTGAGCAGAAGAGTTTCTCCGCAGGAACTCGGATACCCCATTCATCGATCTTCGAATCTTCGATCTCGGGTTCTCATTTATCCCGCTCATATCCGACTTCCTCTTGTCACTGCGACTCATCATAGACATCCGCCGCCCAGCTCTCTCTCTGACACCCCAATTCTCCTTTGTCTCGATTGGATCTTGAAGACGCTTCTTCGGGCTGCCCGTTGGCGATTTTGATGTATCGAGTCTGTAGACCGGGTATTCAGGCGGCATCGACAAGGCCTTCATAGCACGGCTATTCGGGTCTAGGGTTTCGGCATTGTCAAACAGACTCTGTAGATTTAAATCTGCAGGTGAAAGAGGTGCCCGGCGAGAAGGCGATTCCGCTGGAAATATACTCTCTGTCTCCTTCTGCTGAACGATGGTCGGTGAGGGGGGCCTAGCGGGCTCCCCCGTCAGGGAGCCCGCGTTCGAGGGGATTTTGATCAAGTCGTTCGAGTCCTCATATCTTTGTCTCGGTTTCGATGTGGAAAGTTTGCGAGAAAGCTTGTTGTTCCGCATTGACTGCGTGATAGAACGGATGAGACCCATCTTGAAAGGATCCCCGCTCAGAGAGCTCCTGTAGTGGTCTAGACTGGTGATATAGAGGGGGAGCTCGAATGAAGGAGCTAATCACTAGACGGGAGGAGGGGGAGGGCATAGGAGGCTGATAAACTATTTCTGGGCCAGATACGGGGGCAAGGGGGGGCTGATTGAAAAAATACTGCATTGTATGGGATTAAAGAGAGCTAGTACGAATGATACCGCTGCGATGAAGATCGCGATGGGTTCTAACCAGGGTGAGTACCGCTGTGAAACTGTCGATCGCTTCAGATTTCCAGGGCGAGCAGTAGGAACATTGGCTCCGTTGGGACAGGCCCCAGCACACCTGCGATGACAAGTCTACACGGGTCTTGTGTGCGCCTGTTGAAACTCGACGGGACACGTGAAGTCTCTAGATGGGACAAATGCATGGATTACGAGACGTACTCGGTATCGAAACAGCCCTGGAGCGATCAAGAGCTCCGAACCCATGCACGAAGCTCTGATGTGCTTGTGCAGCGTGATGAAAAACAAGGCCAATACGGTGGCTGGCACCTCGCATTCTCTGGCCGATCCTCAAGGGGAGCAAAAGCAAGGATGCCCCCACCCCCTTGAGCTCCTCGTGCGAATGTCCAGCCCTTTTCGAACGTGTAATTTGGCGGAGGTTGGCTGTAACTACCTACAGTATGTGTGCGGTGTCGGTAGGCCAAGAGGTATGCAGTCGAGCGGTCTCGCCGATTCCAAATGCTCTGAGGTTGGAAAGTTAGTGGAGAGAGGAATGTCTGGATCGACGCCGGTCGATCTTCGGGCGAAACTCAAAAAGAACAGGAATGCGGGTCGAGGCTTTGGGAATGCGCATTGACCTCTCGTCTCACCGTTACTGAGGTGAAAGTTGTGTTGGAGAGCGCCTATGGTACATCTGGAGAGCTATTACGCGATGGCTGTTTCGGGGTATCGCTGGATTTCATAGAATAGAGCTCATCTATACGACGTAAATCTCGATTGAACTATTCATGATAACGGTGGGGGTAACACGTGGTAATAGCATCTCAAAGAAGCGGCCCACCAGGAACGCTCTTCATCCTTGTGCTATCATCTTTGAATCTACAGGAGGCATCTAGTCGTCGCTGCACTGATCACAGCTTGCTGGTGGGAGCATCGCTATACAGCCCGCGCGTCCGGTTCATCGCCTCCAAGGCCTCTTTCTCGATCCGAACCAGGAGATCAGCACACGTTGGGATGTCGTGAATCAAGCCAATAACCTGGCCAGCAGTCCAGACCTAGACAATTGGTTAAAACATGGCGTTGTCATAATGAGAGGCTGGAGAAACTTACACCATAGTCCACATCACCGTTGATGAAGACCTGGCGACCGCGCTGGCCACTCACATAAGGACCGATCTCGCTGAAGTCGCCGGTTGTGCTCTCACGCTCAATTTTCAATGCATCCTGAGTAACTTTGTTGGCGAACAGGCGAGAAGTGTTCTTCCAGCGACGGAGCACGAGTGCCGTATCAGTCTCCTGAGCGTTGACAATCGCCTCCTTGACCTTCTGGTGAATAGGTGCCTCGACGGTGCTCATGAAGCGAGTACCCATGTTGATACCCTCGGCACCGAGCGCGAGCGCTGCCGCCAGGCCGTAACCATCAGCGAAACCGCCCGAGGCAATGAAGGGAACTCCCAGATCCTGGCGCGCACGGCTCAAGAGGATGAAGTTGGTGATGTCGTGCTCGCCGACATGGCCGGCGCACTCAAAGCCATCGATAGACAGGAAATCAACGCCCAGCTTCACAGCGGACTTAGCATGGCGGATTGTCGTACACTTGTGCAGGATGATGATGCCGGCCTTCTTCAGCTGTGTGATGACAGGGCCGGGGTTGTTGCCGGCAGTCTCGACAATCTTGACACCCTCATCGATAATCACCTGAGCGTAGGCGCCATAGTCTGGGGGAATCAGGGCGGGGAGGAGGGTCAGATTGACGCCGAAGGGGTACTTGGTCATCGTGCGACATCGTCGAATCTCCTTGCGTAGGTCTTCGGGGGTGGGTTGGGTGAGCGCAGTCAGCTGTCCAAGGTCAACGCTAGTTAGCTATATCCCGTACCTGGCGCAGTAAGGGTTCTCCAAAGACAGACATACGATACCCAGACCACCGGCGTTACTGACAGCCGAGGCCAGCTCGGCGTATCCCACCCACTGCATGCCACCTTGGACCACGGGGACTATAAATGACAAGTCAGTTTCCGATCAGAGTAGGCTACACACGGATTTTAGGTGCATACCGCGGATTCCCAGCTTGCGGGTCAGAGCAGTGTTGAAAGGCATCTTGGAGAACGACTTGGGCGAACTCTTGCGAAAGTGGCTTTAGAACAGCTGAATTAGTCCTACTTCTGGGCAAAGAAAAGAAAAAGAAGCGAGAGAAGTCTGGGACTTTCAGATTTGCGTCCAGTCTATAAATGAATTGTAACCCAGGCGCGGTGGGATTGAATGGCGGAGCGTGAGTCCTATATAGCATAAGCCGCGGACAGAGGTCCACGGGCTGTGGGGAAGCATAATTTGCCGAGGTCCGGGGCGTTGCAGCATTGAACAAAGTAACTAGGAGCCGTCGCAGAGGCGGCACCACTATATTAGATTCATCCAATGGTTGTTTGATCCTGAAGACTGGGTGACCTGGGTCAGCTAACCCTGTACTGGGTACTGTGTATGACTTCGAATTGGCCCGTCCAGCGGGGCATGACATCCCCTCTTATGCCATGTAAAGAAGGGTAAATGGCATGTGACAATATTGGAGAAGGCACAAGCTGCGGTCCATGGTAGCCCTTCGTCACTCAGCACCAAGCCTCATGGTAATTCGTACTAGCTAGGAGACCTCTGGATGCTGTATAGAGCTAGCAAAGCATTAATTTTAGCTCGTGACTTGGATGCCAGTCAACTGTAGCAAGCATTATAATTATACACAGCACGACCCATTGTGTGCCTTCAATGCAAGACTCGGACTAGAAATGCTCTCATGAACCCAGCAGGCACAAAGCAGCCGTTCACCCGACACTCACTCGGCTATTCTACGATATTTACTCGGTTGGTGGTATGTAGCCCTGATATGAAACCCATCCCACTCATTGAGAGAGTAAAATGGGCGATTAACGACGGGATCTCCTTCTCCGAGCCTCGAGGTCCCTAAAAAATCGCGACAGAATGCCGAAACCAAAGGGTGCCAACACATCAACTTCATTCCACTTGGTACATGGACGTGGGCAGAGGCTCATGAAGAAAGGAAAGCGTCGGGCGCGGGAAGAACTTTTTGTCAAGCGAGAACCGGAAGTTCCTTCTTCCGCGATGTAATTGAGGGCGATGTGATTGGTTGGCAGCGGCAAATCCCGTGACGACCGCAAACCCGAGGTTGTCCGCTCCGTTCATTCGCGATAGCCGTCTTCCCTTCACACGTTGTGAGAGTACCGCCAGCAGCCCACATCATGTTCTCTCAGAAGGTTGCCCAGCAGTCGCTGCGACGGCGTAAGTGCCTCTGTGGTCTCTCCAGGCCCAAGATACCGCCATATATCGTCCCGCTGACCTTTCGTCCCGAATCACAGTTGCCGTCCAACAGCCGACCCTTATGCAGTCAGCGATGATGCGCGCTTCGCCCGCCGCCATTGCTATCGGCAACACCCAGAAGAGGTCAGTTCGATTGTATTATGTGGCCACTCTATGGCACAAATTGCCGTCCCTCGACATCAATCCATGTCCCCCCGCATTGATACGTCATCTACCAATATCCCCAGAAATCGTCAGCTAACTCGGTTACCCCGGTAGACTCGCGACCTCTTCCCCCAACACGGAGGACCCTAACCAGATCCTGGCCAAGCAGCGCCTGAACCGACCTGTGTCTCCCCACCTGGGCATCTACCGCCCCCAGGTCGGCTGGATTATGTCCTCCCTGCACCGTATTAGCGGTATCTCTCTCTCTGGCCCTCTTTACCTTTGGGCCACTGCCTACCTCGCCTCGCCCCTCTTCGGCTGGCATCTGGAGTCCGCTTCCATGGTTGCAGCCTTTGGAGCTCTCCCTGTCGCCGCGAAAATCCTGATCAAGACCATCTTGGCCCTCCCCTTCACCTACCACAGCATGAACGGCATTCGCCATCTGACCTGGGATCTGGGTATTGGCTTCACTAACCCTACCATCATCAAAACTGGCTGGACCGTTGTTGGCCTGAGCGTGACTAGCGCTCTTGCTCTTGCTTTCATGTAATCTCATTCCATACCGCCTTGAATTTTCTTGTGTTATTAAAGTGATTTCATCGACCAATCCATGAAATTTCGGCCTCGGCGTGAGCTTGACGAGGCGCTGTGCTTTTTTCCCCCGACTATATTTCATTTCTCCCGTTTTCTAGACGCTTACTCTGCTGGGCATAGGCCCCTTCTATATTCTATGAGTGAGGTGTCAATCTCATGGAAAGGTGATTGATGTCGTCATGAACCAAATACACATTCTGAATGTTTTCGTACACCAATATTCACGGTTCCCTGAACTCCGCCAATAATGTCCGTGTCCCAATTTCGTTCCACAAGCCCAGCAAGTAGAGCTTTTCAAGCTCCATCCTGCTATATACCCAGCAAAACCCAAAGAAACAAACAAAAAAAAAAAAATCCCGTGCGAAAGGATTATCTTATCTCTCCCTGAGCAATAGCAAATGCGGTATCGTAACCATAGCTTTGATAGCTCTCTCATGATGGCTTTTTTTTTTTTGCAGACCACCGTCATGCTCGAAATTAAAGTCTAGAACGTCAGCCAACATAGAAATCAATATGTTACGGTACCAAGCATACCTATTTACTTTGCCTTTCCAAAACGCCTAGAAATGTAGCCCACGCCAGAGAACGCTCAAGCTGGACTTGGGGGTGGGTTGGAAGGAAATGGTCGTGGTGAAGGAGGGTCTTGCACAGAATGCTCACAAGACGGCATTACTCCCGGAGCAGACCGATGTTTGAAGGCTGACGGACGAAGACCAGCCATGATGAAGTAGGCCGAGGCTACTGGAGTAAAGAAATTAAAGAGAATGTACAGGACGCTGCCAAAGCTGGTCAAATTAGGCGTGAGGTTTTTCGATCCCACGCAGAGAAACGATGGCAGTGGCAAATATTGAAGGAAAGGAAAAGTATAGTTCAATCCTATTAAAAGATGCAGCGCACATTGCGGGTGAATCTTTCCCATTTAATAGTTCTCCACGCCCAGAACAATCGGGGCTTTTCGGAGACGCCATGCCTCTCCAAGTCGTACACCGCCATCCTACGCGTCTCCAAGGTGTAGGCAAGCTATCTGAATGGGCGAATACTTTCCCGGCTGCAACCTCTACCGAGCTTGGGCCTAGATCTCTAGCCGCTAACATCTAGAAGCCTTCGGTAGAGCCTGCAAGGGCCCGACGGAAATAACTCGATGTATAAACCGTTGGACGGAGCCGTCACACCCGCGGTCTCGGATGAGGTTGTGCTTTGATCGTACACGGAGCAAACGAAAGTCCTGTACCCTCGTACCTCAAGGCGACTTGTCCAGATAAACCAGCAGCCCAGCGGGCAGCGAATCCTTCCGACTGAGTCAAGACAGCAAATCACAAGTACTCACAGGGTCCATCTGCTCTGCGCCCTGGTCAGGCTTTTCTTGCATGGCTGGTGATCCTTTCCCAAGGCCTTCCCGGGGCTGCAAGTTCCAGTGGAGTGACACCAGCGGTCTGAGCCGTCGGTTTCCGGCTTCTTGCAGCCATCATCTTCGTGGAGGGCGCTGTAGCTCCCCCCATTTGCCTCCCATGGAATGACTTCTTCCATCAACGGCAGTTACTATCCGTGTTTCGTGTTTCCGGGTTTGACAGATCGACTTGAACTGAACAATGTCGATCGTGTATGATACCGTGTACCGGCTAATACAGGCTAAGTGGCGAAGAGGTCTCGTCATTGCTCTCTAGGCGTGGCAACTTACAATGCTATTCATAAACAGTTGCTTCCTCTCCCCACATTCATATAGCTTGAACCTTGCCACCGTGCCTTGATTTATTCAAGAGCTCTCATATGGCATGCAGCCAAGTTATTGAAAATTTGGTAGTACTAGTACTTGCAAGCTAAGTCGGACAGGTCGAGCACAGATGACCCTAAGTGCATTCAAGTTTCAAAAACTTGAATAGCTTGAAAGATCAAGAGAACAGTGCACGATCCCCCACACACACGACAGGCTCTCAGCACACGTGGAATATCAGTACATCCCGCACTGACATAGAGTAAAATGTCTGGCAGGTTTAGTACTGGGACGCTGAAGACCCCAGAAGTACGATGACACAGCAGGCTTTTTTCTGCAGTCCGTCCGCAGCGAAGTCAAGAAGAAAACCCGATCCAACCATCGTACCATAGAAGGGCTCTGCGGCTGCCAATAACCGTTGGCGACATCAAGCAGTCTCAAAGCCGACCGTGCTTCGATCTTGTTAAACCTCAGTGGCTTGGCCGAAGCCTTGGGCCTGTACACAACTTTCCCCATTCCCCCCGCTTCCCCCAGAAGGTCGCGGAATATTCCCCTAGGCTCCACAAGTGATCTAGGGTTTCCCTGGTTTTTAACATCCAGTGTGTTTCTAGGCGGCTGCGGGCTGGTCTGAACGGTTGGCTGGTTGGCTGGACCGCGCTTAGGTCTTGTCACGATTCTTACTCTTTGTACGGGTAAATCCAGTCATGAGGCAGGGGCTTTGTTACCTAGCAGACTGCTCGAGCCTACTTTGATTCGATCGAATATGGAGATGGGCAGCGAGAGTCAAAGTTCGGGTAGGGTTATGAAAGCAATCAAATCCCTTAGGACCGTTGCAGATAATAAAGCGTACAGGAGTCTCAGATACACCGACAGGTGCGACTAGCAAAAAGCTCCTAGACTTGGAGTCCCCAGGCGGAGCTATGATGAAATGATAAGCCTCGCTTGACACCGAGTAGACCGCCAGGGTTTTATGTCTGGTGTGGGCTGTATCAAGCAATGGGAGCGATGGTAGTCAGACAAAGCATAAAGCATGCGGAGTCCTGGAATATATGCGGGCTGTCTCCCCGACCAATTGGTCTCCGCGGGGTCTTTCAAGACCGACTGTCACCGGGGGGCGAGAGACGGCCTCCACATCAGCGGTGAGAGACAATGGAGCTCTTCCCAGGGTCAACTCGCACGTCAAACTGAGCAATCAAATGCATGGGACTTTTGATACGACGTATGCATGGAACTCGGAGCATTCTACAACATGTTGGGAAGATTCTATCGGGTGGCCCCAAACAGAGCATTCTCATTCATGGGCACAGCCGCAAACATGTGTATCTATGTCGTAAGTGGTCAGTAGAGTGCAGATGGACTTCGTAGATTGCTCTAGTATAGTACTAAGGCAGGCGGATCGAGCCAATTGGATGTTTGCGGCAGAACCACACCGCCCGCCGACGAGGCCGAATTCTTTCGCATCGCCAACTCGACCGTGCACCCCGTCGATCAACCGCCCCTTATGGCCTCACCACTGTCTGTTCGAGCGGTCAAGGCCGCCTGCATCGTGTCAAATGTTGCCCCCCGGCCATTGTCGACGTTAATCTCCCGGAGGCCGTTCTCTACCTCCCCCAAATCCGGCTCAACCGCGGAGCAATCTTCGGAGCAGGATATCGCGATCGAAGAAGCGAAACGCCCACGATGGTCATATACCCCTCCTGCTGCCAAAGCTCCCTTCAGTCTCCGTGCTCGGAAGCACCCTGAATACCGTGTCAATGAAGACCCGGCGGTGTTGGACCAGTTCTACGTTCGCCTGCTGGGCGACGGAGGTGAGAAGGTACTGCAGGATGAATTGAAGTGGCTGGCAGTCACGCATAAGAGCTTCGACCAGGGGCGTCGTGGATTCAACGATCGATTGGCTTTCCTTGGTATGGCATGAATGGAGCCCGATTCCGGGGAGATGAGGCTGACGTGGTTTAGGGAAAAACATCGTGCAATTGCAGGCATCTCTAGCTCTGGTGCAAAACGGCGAGGCTGTTAGCCAAATTGACAAATACGGGCGAACGCCTTTCACTCACCCCGCGACCCAGGGACTACGCAATCTCTCCTCCGACACCAAGAGCTTTTTGACCGATCGAACAAAGTTGGCCGATCTGGCCATGCAGAGGTACAACATGGAGAAAGTGATTCGATGGAACCCACGAGACGTATGTGGACCGCCTTGTAAAGATGGTGATCTTTGCTGACCTTTATTTTCCCCCAAATAGCCTACCAACCTTGAAGGCTCTGGTCTTGAGCTGGTTCTGGCGCACTCCCTCTACGCCGTCGTTGGAGCAGTCGCAATGGAGAAGGGAGGACAATATGCCAACGAGGTGGCTAAGGAGCGTATTCTTGCGCCATTGGGGGTGAAGGTGGCATGAACGATCATTCGCAGCATTTCACCGGCGTTTTGATTTGGATGTTGTTGGATAGGAGACCTGCTCGCCCTCTCGACAGGATGTACATGTACTTTTAGATCTATATTTTGTATTCTCCTGGCCCTCTTGTGCAAAATACCATGAATTCGTTTAACCTGGTTGCAAGCGCTAGACAATAGATGAAGCTCTTATTAAACTGTATGTCCGGCTCCTCTGACACCGCCCGCGTAACAGAGCACAATACACGGCCAGCTCTTATGGAACCCTCGAAATCGATGCATAGTCTCCGCAACTCTGTATCGCAAGTCCAGTAATTGAAACTGATGGATATCAGACAGAATGCCTGATATCCCCAGAAAGCCACAGGGCTTTGTACTGCCTTGCACTGTCTAGTGAGAGCGTTGGAGAAAAGAAGAAAAGAAGCGCGCGGCGAAGAGATTTTGTACTGCCCACACTAACCCCCTTTGGGACGGGGGATCCACTCCGCGGGCATCGAGACGGTGTTTCGACTCTCCTTCCCAAAGACCACAGACCCTCCCCCAGATCTAAACATCATCGCAAATTGCTACGCCTGTGAACAATGCCGCAGTAGAGTGCTGCGGCTTTGTGATCTTCCCGACCCTGACCCCTTTCCTACCTAATTCCCATTGCCGCTCCGAAATTACCACGTTGCGAACTGGATCCTGAACCACGAGTCCCCCCCATTGACACCATGGCATCAGCGCTGTTCTTCCTGGACCTGAAGGGCAAGGTGAGTTCAACAGAATCTATAAGAGAGTTCCATACTTTCCGTCTCATTCTCCGGATGGCCGACCAATGCGCAATGCCCGAGATCTGACTTGTTCTAAATAGACCCTTCTGGCCCGCAACTATCGCGGGGACATCCCTATGTCCGCTGTCGAGAAATTCCCCATCCTGCTCAGCGATGCTGAAGAAGAGAGCTCGGCCGTAGCTCCGTGCTTCTCGCACGAGGGCGTTAACGTATGTTTTCCCGGCCTCGAAACCCCTTCGCGTGCTCACAAATGCCTCCCCTCCTACTCCTTTACTCCTTTTGTGCGGACTTTCCACGAACAACCTACTGACGGATAACGCGACCTATTTTAGTATCTCTACATCCGCCACAGTAACTTATACATCCTCGCCTTGACAAAAAGCAATTCAAATGCCACCGAGATCCTTCTTTTCCTCCACAAGCTTGTGGAGGTGTTCACAGAATATTTCAAGGTTCTGGAGGAGGAGAGTATTCGGGATAACTTTGTTGTCATTTACGAATTACTGGATGAGATGATGGACTTTGGATATCCCCAGACCACTGAGAGCAAGATCTTGCAAGAGTAAGCCCTAGCCTCAAGCCCGGAAGTTGTCTCCCACCAGCCGGGGAACAGACTGCTGACATGCGGTTCCCAACAGATACATCACCCAAGAATCACACAAACTGGAAGTCCAAGCACAGCCACGGCCGCCAATTGCCGTAACAAATGCTGTGTCCTGGCGTAGCGAAGGTATTCGCTATCGCAAAAACGAGGTGTTCCTGGATGTGGTCGAGTCGCTCAACCTGCTGGTCTCGGCGAGCGGAAATGTCCTGCGATCCGAAATTCTAGGTGCTGTTAAGATGAAGTGTTACTTGAGTGGAATGCCTGAACTGCGGTTGGGTTTGAATGATAAGGCGATGTTCGAGTCCACGGGCCGAGCTACGCGAGGAAAGGCTGTCGAGATGGAGGATGTGAAGTTCCACCAGTGCGTGCGACTTTCGCGCTTCGAGAATGACCGAACGATCAGCTTCATCCCGCCTGATGGTGAATTCGAGCTTATGAGCTACCGGCTGAACACGCAGGTGAAGCCGTTGATCTGGGTGGAGTGTTTAGTGGAGTCGCACTCCGGATCGCGGATTGAGTACATGCTCAAGGTCAGTCTTGCACGCCTGAGGCTTGGGAAAGAAAAGATAGAACAACTAACCGAGTTATACACTACAGGCTAGGGCACAATTCAAGCGCCGCAGCACAGCCAACAACGTCGAGATCCTCGTCCCCGTCCCTGAGGACGCGGACTCGCCTCGATTCCGCACGAATATCGGCACCGTGCACTATGCACCGGAGAAGTCCGCTATTATCTGGAAGATCAAGCAGTTTGGTGGTGGCAAAGAGTTCCTCATGCGGGCGGAGCTTGGTCTGCCATCCGTGAAGGGCGATGACGAGCGCGGCGGTGGTATGACCGGTGGCTTCGGCGGAAGCATGGGCGGTGCCGGCGCACTGGGCAAGGCCAAGCGGCCCATCAACGTCAAGTTCGAGATCCCCTACTTCACCACCAGTGGTATCCAAGTGCGATACTTGAAGATCACCGAGCCGAAGGTAAGCGCTTCCCCTCCCCGTCTTCGTCTGTTCTACGAAGTCTCCGGTCTCTTTTGTCAGATCGGTCTAACTAAATCGACTCAAATAGCTCCAATATCCTTCTCTCCCCTGGGTGCGCTATATCACACAATCAGGCGATATCGCTGTACGCATGCCCGAGATACAATAAGCACAAGAACTTCGACCCTCCCGCTTGCTTCAGCATGAGTGATTTGTACAGCCACGCCCCTGTTTATTTTAACGCTATCTTTCCCCCCCTTTTTCCACTATGCTTCCACTATGCCTCTTGCATTTACTCAAGTTGAGGCCGGCCGGTCCGATAGATAATCCAAACCCGACATTTCTTTCTTCTCCTCTAGCTTTTTGGGACAGGGCGGACATCTCGAATAGCTTAGGGGGTTCGCAAAAATAAACCTATAGATCGGTAATGGACATCTCGTGGTTCTGATTTATAGCTGGGACTATGGTAGATAGCAGGAAATACATGGCGTAAGGACATCCAACCTCTCACCACAATTGTTCGGGAGAATGAGGGAGAAAGAAAAAGAAAAGGACAAAGAGAGGGTATCCCAATCCTCAAACCCAATAATCAGACAAGAAAATCGAACTTCAACTTGAATAAATGCATCATCATACCGCAACGCCATGTCATATCAGCGCCCGTCAACTTTTAGATAAACCCCATATGGCAGCTGTACATACGCCCGAATATCGCTTCAACGCAATGTCGGACCGAAAGAGAAGAAGGGGTTTGGAAACCCGAAGAAGCGCGCACAAGAGGATCCCGCCAATGCAAATCAGCCCTAGTTAGTTGCTGAGAAAAGTCCTCGAGAGATCAGAAATTGTTTATCATGAGCCGTTACTGGTATCAAGCAGCCACCGCACCGTCTTCTTGGTTATCTTGCGGCGGGAGCGGAAAGCCATCAGTGCGGCCTGCCGCAGCGGATTTGGAGAAGCCCTCTCTCGCGAGCATGGTATTCAGCACGGCGCAGTTATACGCCGCTTCGCCGGGCGGCACGACGACAAAGATATACGTGTTATCGGTGAACCTGCCAAGGAAGATATTGAACTGGGGGGTCTTGGTATGCATGACGACGAAGCCGGCCGAGGCAGGCGTGGTCAAGGTATTGCGCGCGGCGCAGTGCTTAAACGCCTTCATGATATTCGACAAGCGCTCATGGCGGTCGTAGATGGGGTTGAGCTCGCCGACCTCAGACGTCACCGAGGTCACGGTTAAGAACGTCGAGCGCTCGAACAGGATGACCTCCTCTGCATCGATCTTCTTGGCGAAGGCGGAGAGGAAGCGCTCGATGACGGTCAAATTTGGGATAAGCTTGTGCACGATGCCGGCCCAGGCTTTGTACAGCGACTGGTCCCAGATGCTGCTGCCGAAGGTGTCGACACGGAAGTGCTCGGAGCGGCTGCGGATTAGGGCAGAGCGTTCTTCGTAGATGCGCTGGCGGTGCTCGGCCTGGATGAGGTCCATTTTGTGGACGAGGCAGAAGACATAGGCGTTCGGGCTGTTCTCGCGCAGCGCTTCGATGATCGCGTTGTACGTATCTAGATCCCGGTCGACTTCACGGGATTCAATGTCGAAGACGTAGATCATGACTGCCACGTCGGAGAAGATGTTGCCGCGTTGCGAGGCAAGATAGGTTTCCATGAAGGCATCTTGGCTATAAGCACAGACTGATGTTAAAGAGTGATTCCTCTTCAATATGGGAAATTTCCAAGCTGACTTACCCCCCGCAGTCCCAAAGGTTCAGTGTGAGGTTGCCCATGAACTTGACATGGCTATGTTCAACGTCAATTGTAGCGCCCAGGCGTCGCACATCTTTGGCCACATAGTTGCTGAAAATGATGGAGCGCATGGAGGACTTCCCCGAGCCACTTTTACCCATCAAAAGGACCTTCCTCTTCTTCTTTCGGGCGTCCATGCTGTATGCTGAGTCCGGGTGCCCCGCAGAGCGGGATGCGGTATAAAACGGGGTTTCCGAAGCACCCTTCCGATCTGTGCAGAATTCAAAAGCCGAAGAAGCTGCAGAGGGCACCGACGAGTGCAGGGCCAGACAGGTATGCTTATCAGGGTGTATGGAAGGAATTGGAGATAAGAAGAGGCAGCTTTGCTCAAAGATGCGGAGAGGCGGATCAACTCGTTTCCGAGTCACGTGAACGGGTCTTCGGGGCTTGCTGGGTTACACTTCCCACGTCAGGGATGTCTGGGTCCAATATGGCGCCAACTGATTGAAACCGTAGGTCATAGGGAGTCTTTCTAGTCGAGGGTAGTTTCTTGAAATTGGTTACACTGCCAATTACCGCGGCTAAGCGTGCAATGGCGGTTGCTTAACTTACCAACGGAGCTGACGGAATGACGACATCGCCAGATTGACGTCCAAGTGGAGCATATCAGGAACAATAAAACAGACGGGACTCCTACATGCGATCAAGGTAGTACTTCTCAGTTTCTTTTCTTCAAGAATCCAAAGTAAACGCAGTTAAAACTAGGTATAACGGTAATCACGAATATTCCACCAAAGACCTGATACACAGCCCCTGTCAAATGCGTATATCATAAGTATAGATAAGACGACATATCGGTAAGGATGATTAAAAACACAAGCGAATGTCGCGAAGAAAAGTATTCAGAAATGAAGAGGTGCACAACAGCACCCTATGCAAGGGGTCTCCAGACCAGTCATGACCGTTCAAAACCTAATATTGTATCGAAGAGCAAAAGGCCGGCGGGGGAATCAACAAAGATCATCATCAGTAGTTCATAAGAGCCCGCGCCACTGTGTTTCCTGACAGAGGTCGAAGATACGCAGGACTGGCGCAGATCAGTATCCCATTATCTATTAAGCTCATGCATTCGAGAGGAAGGGGGGGGGCACTAGAAGACTGTGCCATCGGAGCGGATCATAATTGGCGGTTCTTTGGTGTTGGGCCTTGAGACCTCGGCGATTTCTCGGCCACCCTGCAAAACATGTTGGACAATGAAACTCGTTGACATACAGGAGAAGGGGGGGGGGAAGGAACGTACCTTCCAAGTACCAGCTTCCAGCATCTGGGCAAGTGATAATGGTTCCTCGGTTCCCGATAGGCCCAGCTGGTTATTCACCTCATCCAGAAGCTCGTCCAAGAAGCCGACAGTAACAGCCCGCCACTCCACGATCACGTCGTCATCCGTTGAGAAAAGCGGCACGACTTCCACATTCGGCTGCCCTTTGATCTGCGCATTCTCTCGGTAGGCATTGATACCACGCTCGAGGTCATGCGGCTTCAGAGTCAAGAGCCCCATATCGATTAAGAGGCCGCCGTTGCGGTACTCCGGAAGACCGGTCAATAAGTCGGTCCCGGCGAAATGGATATGCATGAGTCTCAGACATGGGTACCATCAATGAGTAGCACAGCCATTGGGTCAACTTGTGGAAAGGCATGATGGACTCCCAGGGCGCGGCCGGTGGAGACGGCGGTAGAACGGAGCACACCCATGCGTCTCCGATGGCGACGTTGTCGATTTGAGTTCGCGAGGGAGGCCAGATGGAGGCGAGCCCGTCCATTAAGACCGACCAGAGCGTTGTGACCGGAACTATAGGGACGGAAGAAGCTAGTGTAGAAGGGTGGCCTAGAAGGTAGTCTTGCAGGTGACAGAATCCCGTTAGCGACCCGACAATCAGAAAATGTCCTCTTACAGGTCCAAATTGCAAAGCTGCTTACCGAGCATATTTCCAGGACGAGCATCGACACCGAACAGTTCCTGGTTATTCAGAGCTTCCGAAAGGCGCACCAGCAGTCCCGCGCGACCTTCGATCCCGGCCAATTGGTTCTGCTCCGAATGTTGCATGCCTCTGGCCAGTTTCTCCACTGTGATATTCTTCAAGGCTGCGCCATCCACTTGACAGGGCTCGGTAGGGTCGCTGCTAAACAAACCGGACTTGAACATCTCCAGACTGGCCACGGCGAGGCCCTCACTGCGCGAGTAGACCTTGCCGGACTCCTTGGAGCGATAAGACCATTTATTGCCGGAACCAGCGTCCAATAGCACGGAAACCACAAAAAGATCGATTAGGCGGCGAGTGCGCTCCTGCGCGTCGATGGAGGTTGGCCAGGATTGCAAGAGCTGGTTGATTCGAGGGCCGCCCCCCACGTCGAAGTGCTGCCAGCGGCCGTGGGGGGGAATGTCTTGATAGTCTGGTGCATAGTCTCGCTTGACGTATGTCAGTTTTCCTTGTTCTTTTCTTCTTTCTTTCTTTTCTTTTCTTTTCTTTTTTTTTTTTGGTTCCCTTGGGTGGTTTATGGCTTATGCAGAAAAGCGATGTTTACCTTAATGATAGATACAATATACGAGGCTGTTGCCTTGAACTTGGACATGTCCACGTCGAAATGCTGCAGACGATTACCCTTGGCCCTGGTCATAACCAAATTGGCTCGCTGGCGAACTGCATGGATGCTTCGGAGGTACGCCGCGGGGTCTAAAGCTGGATCGGGGGGACTGGCGATAGGCATTTCGGGGATCGAGGCGGGATGGTTGCCACCTTTGTAACCGGGTGACTTGAGGGAGGTTTTGGAGGTGCGAGCGCTATTGACCGAGACGACGGACTCATCGCCATCCTTATCGCTCTGCACAGAGTGTCGCGAATCTTTACGCTTGAAGAGGCCCATGATTGCAACTCCCCGGAGGTTAGGAGAAGAGGAGGATTCGGCGCTCGGGTTGCATTAGCTTTGGGGACGGTGTTTGGGCGATTTGAGTTTGGTGACCACGTTGGAAAAGGTCAAAGTGAGCGAGGTCCTTTTTTTTTCTCCCTTCTTCCGATTTCCGAATTATAGGTTGCTCGATTTTACAGGGCCCTAACTCTCTAGAGCTGACAAAGGATCTAAAAGTCCTAAATGGACCGTGGCGGGTCAATAATCCAAACTAATGGGCAATTTCCGCGGTATACAGGCAAATCTAGGTCGTATAAGCCCCTTGCAGGCTTCAAAGTGGGGGGACAAGGCGGCCGAAGCCGAGGAAGGAAGGATGACGTGTGAACTAAATTGATTCGTGGGGAATTCAAGGCGAGCAGTGGGCGAAGAGAAAAAAAAAATAACCAAAAAGGATTAAAGAGGGAAATCAAAGGACAGGGGGGAGGAGAACAAGTCTACGAAGACTAAAAGAGGTGGACAGAGGGCGAATTAGGAATCAAGAGAGCTAAACAGAAGCTTCTCCGCACCCCTGGGCCGGCTCCTCCGAAACTTTTCCATGATTGCGATTGGGAGCTTTAGTACAAGAGGATTGTGTCATGTTCCTACGGCTGAAAAAAGCTTTCCAATCGTTTCTCAAGGGCGCTCTGTTCTTCAAAAAACAAACATCGCGTTCCGTAGTTCATCTCTTCCCAAAATAGGGGAAGCGCCTCTCTTGGACTAAAAATTAGCTGCCGGAGCACTTTCCATGCACGGGCTGTCGTGCGGTCCGCTCGCCGCGTAAATCAAAAACGTGGAAGGGCCCATTCGCGTTCTAAGCGACTTCTATTCGGAACTCGGGGATCCTGGTGACTCGCGGTGTTTCATTGCAGCGGTTATATAGGCCTGAAGGGAAGTGGTCCCAATGTAATACGCAGTACACAGAAGGTTGCCTTCAACTTGACACTAGCCCCCTCAATAGAAGAGAAAGCTGGATAGGCAATCTCGCTTTCCGCTTTTCAAGCGGATATTCCTGTCAATCCCGACTGGGTCTAGCGCCTCAGAATCGTGCATTTGGCGTGGGCGTTCGCGATGTGGGCTGACGTCGAGGGTATGCTCCTGGCATCCTGGCATCCTGGCATCCCGGCATCCCGGCTGGAGCCCTGGGAAAAGACGAGGCGTCATATTCCTGCGGTCTAGATGGTGCGCGCAACAAAGGTCATTCAGGTCATGTAACTGGAAGTCCGTGAAATGGGGCGCACCACAGGCCAATCACTGACGCATCCGAGTTGCCCTGGCTTGCCCTCGTCCTACCCTTGTGCCCCCGGGGCTGCAACCCACTTGACCCAAGCACGGGCTTCTGTTCTTAGTTTCAGGTAAAAGGCCCTGAACTAGCCGCCGGGCTCATGTGCCTCCGACCTATCATTTCCACGCGAACTCGAGGCTTCCAAAATGACATTCGGTTCAGGGGCAGCTCCACCCGAGCTTGAGAGCGGAGAACTGAGTTTTCTCGTCTGCCGCTCGAAAAAGCATGAAATCCCAACCCCCCATTTGTCTATTGAATATTCCCCTGGGCGAAGAGGGGGCAGCGGCATGCACGCCGTCCGGGAGGCCTGAACCCGCCATTCAGGGGTAATTCGCCCAGATATTCCCTGCTGAGGTTGCAACATGGAGGCCATCTCGTACTCATGGCATACGACGTGTGGATGGGTGTGTGGGTCGTGCATAGGACTTGGTCCGTGGGCTTCGAGAGGAATTAGGACCTGATTGTTTATGACAGCCACAAGCGAAACTAGTCTTGAGCTTCCCAAGCCAATCGCAGAGAAGTAGCATTTAGCACCGGGAGAGCCGACGGCGCTCCCGTCGCTGTGTATACCTGGAAGTTGTAAGCCCGCTTTGCATCCTGGGTTGGACGCCAGTTTCGAAAGCAGCCAGGCGGCACACGGTCGCCATATTTTCGTGACCAGGCATTCAACAAGAAAAAGATAAGACGCCCGCTAGCTTGTTTTCGTCGCTCCGGAATCTGGGCGGATGGCCGACCGACGTATTTCTCATGTTGATCGTCTGTACGGAGTAGTTTCTGCACGCTACGGTAATTAGAGCAGGCGGGGTTCGGCCATAATCAAGTCTCCTTGATGTTGGAGGGGGCCATTTTCTCCCCTCCATGGACAGAACCTGATCATGGCCAATAGTTCACCGAGTGAACCGTGCTAGTTTTCTGCATGTGTTCTAGCCGGATCCTTCGCCGATCTTGGATTCCATGGGTATGTGCTCGTCCCTGAAACATTAGGCTAATCTCTGTTCTGCCGACGCTTTTTTTCCACCCCAGAGACAGGATTTGATGTCCGTGAAGTGGCGGTCCTTTTTTTTTTTTTGCTTGGATTTCATATCTTAATGGATCCGTCAAGCGCTATTACTGCAACTGCCGCCTCGCTTGGCTGCTCCGGCTTTGAGACACTGAGGCCTTGAGTGGAACTTAGCTTGCCGATAGGCCAAAATAAAGCAAACCCAAGATTGAGTCAACCGCGCAAGGCTCCAAACTTGAAATCTGCCGTATCCCAACACGGCATTTACGGGGCAAGGATATGTTGACCTCATGTAATTGGCCTCGGGGTGCAATCACTTCAGCCATTCTTCTACGCGTGGCCCACAGGGTCCTACCAGTAGTACTTTCAGAAGATGTTCCTGGTACTAGTAATTGATTTCATCTTCTCCTTTCGAAATCCTACTAGTGGGCACTAGTACAGCAAGCGCTTCTCTCTGTCCTTCGCGGATGCAGCACCCATAATTCCATATCATCAACACAAGGAGGCTAGGTTCAAACAAAAAGGCACACAGTGACCGGAATCCATGGGTATGACACAGTGTCTCCTACCAGTAGTACTAGTAGATAGATTGCACGCTAGAGTCATCTATGGCTCTTGACGCGTTCTAGGAGAAAGGATGGAACTGGAGGCCAAACGTTTCTGATAGGTAGCTGCACAGTTCGAGAAGCCATTCACGTAAGTATCAAGATCCCCAAACACAGACTCTCCGTGCCATTCAGATTACTCAACACGCGGTACTCTGTACAGCCTCCATCAATAGCTTAGGCAGCTCCCGTCGCTCAGCTGGTCTCATTGCTTGCCAGAACCATCGCGACCTTGGCGATATCGGCCGGTTTGCCTGGTCCATTAAGGAGATGTTTCCTCACCAGGTCTGCAACTGAAGTTCCCCTTTCTGTCATTTCCCTGTAGAAGGCTGTTTGGGTATCTGGGAATGTTTCCCACGGAAGGGTGCGGCGTTGATAGGGCCCGTGATTTGCTCCGGCTCTATTCAAGCAGCTTTGTCTGTGACTATAGTAAACTACGTTTCAGCCAGATGTCTATGAGGTTTTGCTTGCTATATACTAAGGTGGATATATGACACTACTCGGCGATTTTCAGATTAGTACTCGATCAGTCAGTGTGATCTTCCGGGTGCACTGGTATATTTTGAAGAGCAGATCTCACGGATCCACAAATGCACTTGAGAGTGGGAAAGGCAAAATATAGGCTCCAAATATGGAGAGTCGGAAGCATCCGTGCTGCCTTTATTCGTCAGTAGTTCATCCGACTATGTTCAGGGCCACGATGCATGTCTATCGTGCAGTAGGTCTGCTTATTGGGAAGGACTGTTCTTATTTTGTGCTGCATCTCCTTGAGTAAATCGGAGGTAGGTAATAAGCTGCTATGCGAAAGGAAGTACAGATCTCTATTAAGAACGAGACAGAGCAAGAGGCTTTATTTTTGAGCTGGAGGTATTCATCGATGTCTCTCATCCGGACGAGCCTAGTCCAATTGGGAATGCATCCAGGGAGAAGCTCACTTCATCACCCCACAGAGGTAAAACCCCAATCAGCCCCCCCGCTCAGGAATTCCCATATATGATGAATATTGTGGCCCCTCTCAGCAGGAGGGTCACATTGCGTTGTGCTATATCTGCATCTGAGAACTTTATTGTTTATCTTGGGATCACACGAGTCTCTAATCTCGAGTTCGAACACAGGAGAAATCAATGACGGAGTAGCAGCTAAGTATCTTGTGGGGACATCGCATCTTCCTTTTGATAGTAACCAAATATGCTCAATTATAGCTCTATCTATAGCTATTCCCGAAAGTTCCAAGCCCTATTCTTAAAGAGGCACAACCGAAACAGCCTCCGCCCATGGTGAGCATAAGTCGTACCACGTCTCATTCCCCTTTGGGAAAAGGTGGTGCAACAAGGCTCATCTGTCCAACCTGCCATCGCTATTCTGGTCATGGCCTACGGAGACATCTCACATACGACATCAAGAAGTCACCCCACTAGAAGACGACGATTACGTAGTCCTTTGGACTCCAGGAGGTCGGTCCTTATCGTAAACAGTTGAAGTTCAATTTCGTTCAATTAATGTCACAAAAATACAGCTATTGATGGAAAGATGGGCAACACGGAAGGCTTTCTTCGCCAACCCGCCCGATGCAGCGGAGGAAAGCTACTTCTCCTTTCTCTCCGAGATGTCAACGTAGACATGTCCCAGAGGGCCAGCCTCTGGGCTCCATCCCCCATACTCGATTCTATACTTGTCACTACTGTCCAACAACTCGACCAAATTGGGATATTCCCCGCCACGATTCTCCCAATGAATCTCACAAATCTTATTATTGTCATGAAAAAGATCCAGGCGACCCTCGCTGCCACGGCGGCTACGAGCCGTGATCTCACCGACGCCATAGGACGGGATGGTCATCTCATCGACCTCGTCTTCACTCAGAGATCGACGGCGGTTGGTAGGGTGTTCAAACTCGCCGCTGCGGGATATTAGTAGAAGGATGACGAGCATGGGGGCCCGACGGCATACCCTTCGATGACGGTGTTCTGGATCAGGACCTGGCCATCCTTCAGATGGTCACGAATGTGGAAGGAAACCCATTGGGAGTTGTATTTGTCCAGCAGTTCTTGCGCATCCATGATGGCGGGAGATGATATTGTGCTTAGTATGGATGAGAAGGTTAAGAGCAAAGTAGCCTGGTCCCTCAGATTCAGGGAGACAAGGAAGGTTATATACTACGAGAAACCCCGCCCTGTCTGTAGAATGCGGGGGTTGTGCAGGGTGATGACTCGTATACATGGTCCGCGTGGCCATTTACCAAATGCTGTGGTCATAACGGAGACGATCGTTGTGCCGCCATTGGCCGCCAGCGTCCTGGACCACGGAACCATGCTCTTTTGGGCCTCTCAAAACTCACGACTGTCGTGAGATCGCTGCTAGTTGCATGCTTGCCAAATAAATAGGACACCACCCGCGTGACCCTTTTGCCCAGCGCCACCCAACTCACTCGAGAATGTAGATCGTACGATTGGTGGTACGACGAGGCCGCTCTCAAAGCCCATCCCACAACTCAGGGTCGTCATGCTGCCCCTTTCCAATTCGGAATCCTGGTTGGATGCCGTGGATTTGGCATTTGCAACGGAATTCGCACCCAACCAAAGCGTACGACAAAGTACATCTTCGCGCAAGGAGGTCTTCTACGCTTCTGCTGATGACGTGCCCTCTGGACTAAAAGTGGGCACTACCCCGGATTTCCTTTTGTTCAGCTCTCACATGACCTACAGGGCGGTCTGGAATTGGCCAATGAACGCAGGGGCCTAAGCGGACCCTTATCGCCCGCCATGAATTTCGCGGGACGACGCGACGTCAACCGCGCGACTCGACGATCCCCTGAACTCCGTAACTCGCATCCAAAAGCATCACCCGCACCACCCTCCTCTATCCACAATGTCTGCCTTCCGGTCCCTGTACTCCTCCCTGCGCCTGGCGCCCACCGCCAACACCGCCGCTCGTGGCTTCAGCACCTCCGCCTCCCGCAATGCCGCTCGTATGATCCTCACCGGCCGCCTCGGTGCTGAGCCAGAGCTGCATGCCACCTCCACCGGCCAAGAAATCATCCGCTACACCATCGGCACCACGACCGGCCGTGGCGAGAACAAGTCCACTAGCTGGTTCAAAGTGGCCAGCTTCGCGGATGGCAGTCAGCGGGACTTCCTGCTCAGCCTCCCCAAGGGGTAAATATCACCGAGACATCACTGGTGGCTCAGAACAATGTTGAATGAAGTTGATGCTAATGGACTTTCAATTGTAGCACCCTCGTCTACGTGGAGGGCGATGCTAGCATGCGTACCTGGGAGAACGCCGAAGGCCAGAAGCAATCCACCCTCAACCTTGTCCAGCGTACGCTATCATCTTGTATCATTTGACCATTCCGTTATCCTGACTAATTTTTTTCCTTTTTCTCTCCCATAGGCAACCTGGAAATTCTCAGCCGGCCCCAGAACTCCAACGCCGAGCAGCAGTAGATCATTCCGGCTGGAGGAAACAGCTAATTAGCTCCGGCTTGGAAAGCCTCTGGTGGGTTTTGATTTGCTCTGGTGTTCACCTGGTACGTGATGGGATATAGACGGTTTAGGTGTCGGTTCTGTGCTTGTCATCGCTGTTCGGCGCTGACGGGCTGTGTTGGATATGTGATTTAATGTACTTGTATACCCGAATACACCCCATTCTACTGGAAACGAAGAAACTCGTTGGCTAGCACTTCTACGAGTGTTGAGTCTTACAGGAGAGACACTACGAAAATACTGTTTTATTACCATGACCGGACACGGCTATGTCAGTTACATAACTTCCGCGGACTCATGCGAGACATCGTCGCAGATGACTATTCAGTAGTTGCAGTTTGCATCTCACACTGCTGGCTGATGACCTGCCGCACATGAATAGACGAATCCTTCATCGCCACAACCCTAGGGGAGTCAAGCGCGCTGCCATCCTGAGAACGACGGCTGCTGTCCGCCCATGCACTTGTCGCAACCGTCTGAACCGGGACGGTCAAGTTTCGAATCAAGAATCCCCGTTCAGGACGCACAACCTTAGGACGACGAAACAGAACCCTTAGCCATGCAAACTTTGATTCTTTCGCGGCCGAAGCACCAGGAGCAGTGCCCTTCTCGAGATCCGCGTCTGAGCACATACGCCACTTGAAAATCTGCCTCACCCGGTCCCGCGTACTGCCAACCAGGGTCGTGCCACCCGCGGTGGTGGGAGCACTATGAGAGGCCTGGGAGTCCAGGGGGTGAACCAAAGTGGGGAAACAGTATCCCAAGCCCAATCGCCTGAGACCCGCGCGATAAAAGTTCACAGCGTCGCGGCCGAAGCCACAGAAAGCGAAGATGATGAATCCCATGGCAACTGGTGTCCAGCGATCAAAGAAGACTGAGCCGCGGGTCTTTACCCGAGGGATGCTCTTCCAGTTGAGCTCGTCTCCGCCGTGCCATGAATAAGGATGCCAGGGCAGAGAGAGCTTGATATCCATGTAAAAGACATAAATTTGCAACGGGGTGATCGCGACGAGCATGGTAAAAGCGGCCAAGAACAGACGCAAGAATCGCGATTTACTCATTGACGAATTGGCCGAGTGGAGGATGAGCTCGAAGTCGTGCCTGTACTTGCGGATACGAGCAATAACCAGGCCTGTATCAGAGTAAATTAGCAAAACCGTATCTCGGAAAGACGAGTCGTGCAGACTGACAGCAATAATAAGCAGCGATGAAGCAGACCATGGGGGGCCAGATCCATTCGAGCACCAGACTAATCCAACTTTCATCAAAATTGTTGACACATCCGGAGATTGCGAACAGCATGTATCGGTCCTTCTGCCAGAAGATGTGGGCGACCATCGCGAGCACCGGGACGATTGCGCAGAAGAGGACTTCTGTGAATCGGTTTCGCCATCGCTGTGCTCGGCTCGGGACCAGGAACGCGTTGCTTGTGTCGAGCACATTGGCGAGGCTGCGGAAGATACACAGAAGTGCCCCGGGCACAGCAACGTACCCAGCCGCCATGATCTTGACTTCAATATCACAGAGGCCAGTGCCATCCCACCATGAATTGACATCATCGGACGGCCACAAGAAAGCATTGAGGATATTGAACCAGTTCAAGATCAGACACCAGAAAATCAGCACTGCTGCTGGAAAGTTGCGATTCTTTGCATTCAATATCAAAGGCGGGATGGCGAGGATAGAAGACATAATAGAGAGCAAGGGAAGTATCACTGCTAGAGGGTAGACCTTTGTATCGCTCCCACCCAGCGGGCCTTCGGATGACACTGTCATGTTCGTCCATGACAGTGCTTGAGTTGTCGGGGGGTCCATGTTACGTTGGAGGCTTTGTGTCGGCATCTGGAAGTTCATCCCGAGAGAAAGAAAGAAACTAGTATAGAAATCACGTAGGGCCCGGCAGAGACCTAATATAGGGAAGTCGAGGGCCCTTCGAAAGTGAATACATCTAGCCCCCCGAGGTTGGCATCTATAGGATCTAGCCGTCCAGAGTGAAGAGGATGAAAGTCAGGGATAGAACACATTCACCGAGCGCTGAGGCAAACACGGTCTTCCAAGCCACTTCAGAATGAGATCTCGAGAGGCAAAGGATGACTTCAGCCGATTGAGACCTACTTGGGGCATTATTCGTATCTGAACGGGCCGAATGAGGTAATACCGTCAGGTTTCACCCCGCCACTATTTGAAACTCGAATATCTCTATGAAGCTAGGTCTGACTTTGATGAAAATAGTTGCGACTGTCAATGAACAATTCAATAATATACCCATGTGTTAAAAGGCGTGCCGTCTATGTTGACGGATTACGGTATGAAATCGTCGCCTTATGCTCAGAATGACAAGGGGCATAGGATTGGACGTTGAATCATCTCTAGACCGACTATATACCCTTCTCGTTTTGTCCTAATATTCCATTTTGTCCGTAGTGGGACGAAGAGGCGTTGGGTCCAGGCTTGGTGTACGACAGATCTACTAACGAAGCCCCTATAAAGAGTAAGCCATCTTACCAGGCTAAAAGGGCACGTTTTAGACCCTGCTTGCCCGAAGCACGATTGTGAAAGCCTTCAGTGAATACTATCTTCTCCCCTGATTATCATGTATTGTTTCTCGTTGTACCAATGCCCATATTATTCCAATCGGGCTTAAATACGCGAGTGTGGAGGCTCTGTCATCATATGAATACCATGAGTTTTAACCTACTCTTTCATACTTTTATGGGCCAGTGGAAATTACGAAAACACTGGCCAGGGCTAGAATAGCCAATCTGTCGTCACTACTTCTTATTCGTACATGACCTGTTCCATAACAATCTCGGGTATAGAGGTCTATCAAAACTGTGCCAAGTGAGCTTGCGTAGTGCATGAGCGATAGAACCTAGCCATTGAATGCTCATCTGAGTAGGCATCTTGGAAAATCCAGATTAGCCGATGTGAGTCCCAAGTCTCAAAAGCTGAGCCCTGGTGACTGAGGAAACGAAGACGAGTGCCGTTTTGGGGGCTCAATAGAACCCTATAGAGACCCCGATTGGGAAATAAACGGGGTCAGGGGGTGTTGGGAATATCAGAGCGATAAAACATGTTGGATCGTGGCTGAGGAGGTGATTTTGGTCTCCGGCGAATACATCCAGGTCTTTCGCACACCTCTAGAGAATTCCATCGATGAAGTTAAGCTTAAGAGTATAAGCTTGACATGGCTTGCCCGGTGACGTCGGCGGGCCCACAGCCTTGGGCGCTTCGAGTGAACAACCTCGGCTGCAGTGCGGCGATTGTGGCACGAACGCCTCCACTCACCAGCAGGAACTGGTTTCAGACATGCGTAGCTTCTGTCTTGCACCTCAAGTCAAACCTTTCCATCATGGCCGATCCTCCATCGCCATCTCGATCTCCGCTCCCGCCCCGCAATCCTGCTAGTGCGACCCTCCGGCGCCGTGGGTTTGTGTCGCGTGCTTCACTCGAGCCCGAGTTGCCCCAGCGTCGCAATTCGACGCTGTCAGATACCTTATCAGAGGCCCGTAACTCGATCCGCTCGTCCACCGATGACCTGTTCCTTCCAAAGGTCGCCAGGGGCAGTGAGCCGACAGATGACCCCGGGTCGCATTGGCACTCGGCGCCGCTGGTTCTGGCCCTCCTCCCGGCCATCGCAGGCGTCCTGTTCAAGAATGGAAGCGTGTTCGTCACCGACGTCACTTTGATAGTTCTTGCTGCCATCTTCCTCAATTGGTCTGTACGACTGCCATGGTAAGTTCAGTTCTTTCCTAATGATCAACACCAGGTTGCATCCTAACTCTCTCTCTCCAGGGACTGGTACCGCTCCGCTCAGGCCATCCAGCGGGAGCCATCCGTGTACGCAGCAGCCTCCACTGAGCCAGTCGAGTCCGAAGGAGAAGGTAACGACGAAACGGCGGGTCTAAGCGAAAGCACACAGAAGCCCTCCCTCCTGCAAGCATCCGTGGAAGCAAACGCCGTCAAAGAGCTCCAAGTCCACGAGCTAGCTGCCCTCGCCTCATGTTTCGTCTTCCCAGTAATTGGCACATGGCTTCTGCACGGCATCCGCTCCAGTCTCTCGCGCCCCTCCGAGGGTCTTGTCTCAAACTACAATTTGACCATCTTCCTCCTCGCTTCCGAGATCCGGCCCGTCGCCCATCTCCTCAAACTAGTGCAGGCGCGAACACTGCACCTCCAGCGCATCGTTTCTACCGCCGACGACTCCCACGTCGACCCGGACAAGGTGCAAGACCTAAGCAAACGCCTCGAGGAACTCGAAGCACACGTCGCAGAGACGGCAGCTGCGCGCCTCGCCAAAGGCGCGCCGCAATCACCCAACGAGCAACCGGATGCACCATCCCTCGTGGCCCAGGCTGTCCTCGAAGCCCGCCACGCGATCCAGCCGGACATCGAAGCACTTAACCGCGCGGTCCGCCGCTACGAGAAACGCACCGCCTTCATAGCCCTACAGTCTGACGAGCGATTCCAAAATCTGGCAACTCAATCGTCGACCGCCCTCTCCCTCGCAGCTGCTGCCCAGCGCTCTGTTGACTCCCGCCATGCGTCGTATGCATTCACCCTCGTAGACTGGGTCTGCGCCTGCATCGTCATTCCCACACAGCTAGCCTTCGCCATGCTGAATCTGCCCATCAAGGCTGTCAATCGCGGTGTCGCGTACGTGCAACAGATGCTGGGCATTTCCAGGGCTGTCAAGCCCCGGTACAAGGCTAAGGGCAAGGCAGTGGGGACACCAAAGATTCAATCAGAGTCGCCACCGCCGATGAAGACCAGGCTCCAGCCTCAGGGGGACATAGCACCCTTCACGTCGCAACATAAGCAGCCTGTGAGTAGGAGTCGGGGAGCTGCAGGTTAAGTTGACGGTTCTATGTCATTCATTCACATTTCTTTCTGTACATTCCGGGTTTCATTTTCTTTCGTTCGTGTTCTTTGCTTTTTGGCTACTTGGATATTTGCATCAGGATGGATCATGAAACACAGATCAGGGCTTGGGGCAGATTTGGGGTTATCATCATGATGGGTTGGGAATTGCACAGGTGGGATTGGGTGACGGACAAGGCAAGAGTTACGAGGTTCGGAATTTCGGTGTATAGATCCTTTGATCATTTTCATGTTTTGATCCATAGATTGGGCCAAGTTTCAGACTCGGAAGGACCAGTAAGCACACGAGCTGGACCTATTCGACCGGATGTCTCTTCTAGGACACTGCGCGGAGTTTGTCCAGATCATGGTGGGCCCCGACCACAACGTAAAAAGAGCAGCGTCTATTGAAGAACCCCGAAAGCACTTGCTGTAGCTATCATATCGGACCAAGCATTAATTGCGTATTCTAAATTTGAACTAAATACGTTGAACCACCAAAATCAAAGTCCAATACACCTCGTCAGCGCCCAGACGGAATCCTCTATATGCCGCCACGATGAAGTAGAGAATCACTCCAGCTCTAAGAAACACGTGATATACATTGTAATTCACCATTAAGTGCGACCGCCGGAGGGTCCTTGCTCATCCACACCAATCATTTTCAAGAATGGCTCAATAATGCACTTCTTGCGTTCATCTGACGCGCGGCGCTCCTTCTCTTTTGCCGGCGCGGGTGCAGAGGGTGAAATGAGGACCTTCGCAAAAATACTTGCGAAGTCCGACTCAACGGCTTGTCTGCGTGCAACGGCGGGCTGTTGCTCGGGGTTGGGATTGCTGGTAGCTACACTTGGGGATCGCTGTTTGCGACGGAAGCCGCCGCCAGATATGAATGCGGCAGCGGAGGCAGGAGGGGGGGATTTGACTCTGAGACGGAGGAGGGTTTCCTTCTTCAGGCTCTTTCGAATCGGAGGATTGTTTTTTGGGGTCCGAGGTCGAGGAGCGCGCAGGGCTTGGCGGTGCGACGGATGGTACAGGTGCCACCTCGTTAGCGATCCGGACGAGCATGAATGTTACAAACGTGAAGGAGACACTGTGCGCGGGGGAGTAGGCGAGGTGCTCCAGAACCCAGGCTTGGAGCTCGTCCCAGGACCGTGGTGGCGCTTTTGACTTTTCGCGGGCGATCAATTGCTTTTCCATTTCTTGCCATACTGGGGCAGTGACGATGCCATCACTGAGGGAGGTAAGGAACGTCAAGAGGGTTTCCGCGAGGATCTCGAGACGATGAAGAGGAGGGACTTCCGGGCCAAAGACAGATCCAATAGACTCGTTCGTATCGAGGGCTTCGCGAACAGCCACACAAAGAGGTGCGCGCGCTTGCTGCTCTTTCAGGGTCCATGTATCTGGCGCGAAGGGCCACGCAGTGCCCCCAGGGTCTCTGGTCCACGGCGCCTGCTCAGATTCGCCCCGTGTCATGTCCCACTCGGCTACTGCTCGTTCTGTGAGATCTGAGATTGCCTCGGTCAATCGAAAGAGTTCACGAGGAGCAGAGAGTCGGACATCATTCTCTTGTTTAAATGGCGACTTTCCATTCGTTGAGAGACTTCTAGCGCCAGCCTCGGGCATTCGAGTCAGCTCATCCACGCTGCAGCCGAAGCAAGTTGGAAGCCAATGGCCTGAGACGGAAATAAAATGGTCTCGCCCACTGTCTACATGAAGAACAAGAACTTCTTCAAGCTTGACTTTCTTGAGATTAAGCAAGCGAACATCTTCGATTTTGCGAACATGGGCAGTAACATCAACATTGGCTACCTCGCCTGGGTGTAATGTATGACTTGAACTAGCTCCAGGGTTAGCAGAAGTCTGCTCCTTTTCTTCTGAAGCTCGCTCGATATGGATCTCAAGCCAGGATGGGGTCTCCGAACTGCTCTCATCCCCATGACTGGGTTTCTCAGCAAAGGAGAAAGTGGCCGGAGCACCACTCGTGTTTGCTATCGTTAAGGAGCGGTGAATAGGAACGTCGAAGGGAACATCCCCGAAGTCCACGGCATTCGGGTCATCCGTCGATCTCTGGCCATCATGATGAGTGTCTACCACGACGGTCAAGCCAGGCCGAGATTCGTTTTCGGCTTTATCCAATTCCCGAGCCACCTCCTGGTGGACCTTGGCCTTAAGTTTAGGATGCACCGCATCATAATTCAATGTAAATATAGCCTCCAAGGGCTTGTGGTCTGAGGAAAGAATGCCTTGGTGTGAGACGTAATGCGCCAGATGGACGGCTTCTCCCGATGATGCATGGGATGCAACAGACGAGACATCGGACCGATCGTTATCTGAAACGGACTCTTCTACGTTGCCGCTATCATCTGCCCCATCCATATCAGGATCATAGTCGAAGAGCACATTATCGTCAGCGACAGCTTTATCAAGCCCCTGAGCTTCCATTTCTTTGTCTCGCTTTCGAGCCTCTTCGGCTTCTCGATCAAGCCGCTCATGCTTCAGCTTATTCTGACGGGTGCGGAAAAGGATCCGATCACACCAGCTGGGGCCACGCTGTTTCTCGCTTGTATCGAACATGGCTACGCTTCCGATATCGTATTTGTATGTGGGCAAGAACGTGATTTGACCCTCTTGCCATCCTACATGGAATGCTGTTCCCTTCTGCTGTTGAACGCGCAATTGGTCGTGAACAATCAAGGAGGATATAGTAGTCTGGAGGGAGGCAGGATCATTATGAGGATCAATTTCGTCGTCGGTCACGGGCTCCAGCCATCCATCTTCTTCGGAAACTGAAATTTCCGACAGTGATTGTTTCGGATGATCTTCCGGATCAACCTGAGAGTCAGCTGAACTGGTCTTTTTCTTGTTTTCTTGACGGGCATTATCGTATGCATTGTCGGTGTGTCGAGATAATACTTGTCGTACGTCGTCGCCCGGGATGTCGTCCAAGCGGTAGTTCAAGTCGCCAAACCAGAAAGTGAAATCTTCATCACCGATACGTTCAGAGACGTCTTCCTGAGTATCTTGGCCCTTTTCCACTGGTTCGAACTTTGCGCGTGCTATAATTTGCGAAGCATCCCAGTTCCGGCGTTCCAAACTGCCTTTATCGGATCCTGCTGCAAGGTGACTGTTGACGAACACGAGCTTGGTCGTTTCGCCGAGCACCAGCCGAGTAGCCACAGCACCTTTGTTTCCCATATACCCCATCAGCCCAGTCCCGACCGATGTGGTGCTGATAGACGACACACTGTCTAGAATTGCAGGCGAGGCGTAGATCAAAAGTAGAAGGCCGATCAACTGCCCCTCCGAGACCAGCTGATATCCAGAAGGAAGAGCCTTATGAACCGCTTCTTTCCACCTATTCGATGGTCCGGTATCAGTATACGGTCTCAGTGCCTCCGCAGGTGACGAGACATCTACAATCTCTTGCAGGCCGAGAACATAGAGATCGACCTCCTCGGGCCTCGTTTTGAACGACTTTTTCTTCGAGTCATCTTCCGTTCCACTCGAAGAAGGCTCGTCCGTAGTTTCTGTGTGCTCCAGCCACTCGCCCTTCACACCAGAAAACCTCTCACACACTCCCTGGCCTTCGATGAACCACTTCCCGATATCCTTCTCGGTGCCGGGAATGGCCGCTACGTTCCATGTCCCAATCTTCACTCGGATCGTTCTCCGGCGGGTGTATTCAGCCTTCCGGGCCTTGAGGGCACTCGACAAAGATGATAGATCCAATCCGGGGCCCTGAATGTCCTCCACATGGTCTTCTGTTTGCTTCGAGTTTGATGGCGGAGCCGACCCCGCATGTGGGTCCTTAGAGCTCATACTGGATGGAAGGAGTGGTGTTATCTCAGATCAAGGAATCGCTCGGGGCTCTTCGCATGACTTAAGGAGAGCTTTTTATTGTGAACGCGATTGGGTCCTTTTCTTGTGCGTAGCGGGGAGAGAGCGTGTGTTCACTGGCAGGACGCCGTTCCCAATTCCGGCTGGGAGGGGCGTAATGCAGGCGAGTTTCGCGGTATAGTATGGGAGTTGAGCTTGATGAAGCTAGACTAGCAGATTCAATTGAGGAATGCGATCAATGGCTGATAATCCGACTGCGGAGTCAAGTACGCCTAAGATCGGAGGGCACTTGCTGGCATGGTGAGAGTATACTAAGGCCAATAAGGCAGTGGTATCGAAATCGGAAGGCAGCGGGCCCAATGAACTGAAGGGCAGAACCCAAGAATTGGAAGCAGCAGGAAGAACCAGAAGCCAACGCCAAGCGTTGTATGGAAAAGGCAAGGTTGAAGAGACGAGGAGACTTGAGGGCGGCGATGACGATATGGGGAATTTCGTGGACCCGCCCGCACTCCTGCTGGGCCATCATCGCCCCAGGGCTGCATCAAACACGAACTGCGCAAACGAGTCGCAACTGCCCAGCATGGCCTCCAAAAAAGCTCGCCGTAACAACAATCACTCCAACAACCACAACCACACCGACTACGAGTCTGACACAGCGTACATCTCGGACATGCCAACACAGCCCGCGCCCAAGTTGCGGTCCAATGAAGAGCTCAACCTCTCGGTTCTGCGCCGCCACAACCCCTCGATTACCAACGTCCTCTCGCTCGCGAACTATGCCGTGATCTATATCTTTAGCCCCAGCACGCGCTCCTGGGAGAAAACGGGAATCGAGGGCTCATTGTTCGTGTGCGCGCTGGAACCCGGCAGTCTTGGCGAAGAAAGATACTCAGCTTTCGTGCTGAACCGCCGCGGGCTCGAAAACTTCGACCTGCAGCTCTTAGACCGCGAGAACGTGGAACTGACCGAGGAATATGTCATCCTGAAAGACGACGACAGTGCGAACCAAGGGAGTACGCCAGCAAACCCAGGCAGCACTCGCATCTACGGTATCTGGATTTACTCGGAGCCGCCGCCCAACTCCACCGCCGAAATGCGTACCATCAACGCCAACCTCATTCTCGAATGCGCCACCCGCGCGGGAGAAAGTGCGAAGCTCGCAAAGCAACATGCCGAAGCTATGGGCCAGTCGAGTCTGCATTCTGCGGCCACCGCTGCAGATACACAAGCGCCACCGGAAGAGGTGCAATCGAGCGTTCCGATGGGTCGAACGATATCATTGAAGGATCTTTTCGGGCAGCAGCGGGCTCAGGATGATGGGTTTACCGTGCACGCGCACAATGAACCCCCACAGCAGCCACCACCTCCGCCCCAACCGCATATCCAGCCCCAGGTGCAACATCAACAGGGCTCAGACGTGCTCGGCGATTTATTCCGCCGCGCAGGCCTCTTCCCTGGACAGCAGCAGTAAATGGCGTTCGGTATGATTCCAACATTTGATCTTTGCGAAGACTTCATGGGCGGCGTATGACTTATGGTCTTGATTTGTACGGCATTTACTTATTCACCCCTAATGAAGTGCATGGAATGGGTGGCATGAGTCGCTTGCGATACCCGTTGAACTTGGTGCATCAACCCATCGTCTCATTCTTATACGGTAGCTTCTATACTCTAGATTATTTCTTTAACACAACGGTAACCAATGCAATGCATACGCCAGGCCTCAATTCGGGCCTATATCCCGTATCATCTGGGCAACCTTTCTCGCCATCACCTCATTATGCCCTGTACGCAATTAGTCTCAACGCCAGCCCATTTTGATCGAAAAAAGAACTTACTTAGACAAAACGCATGGGGCAGTCCTTCTTCGCAAACGAACATCTTCGGCCCTAGCCCCTCACGCCCTCGAAGCTCGATAATCTCGTCCCTTGTCTTTTCAGCAACCCAATGGTCGTTCCGCCCAAAATAGAAGAACATCTTTTGGATGGGTTCCCGGGCAGCTCCAATGCCCCAGACATCATCGGCCCATTTGTCAGATGTAATAGTGCGCATTTCATCAGCAGCCATATATCTTTACAGATTGTTAGTACTGCCCCCCCATGATAAAGGAGGACAAAACCTACAAAGCTTGTCTCACGCCGCCGGGCTTTTGCAAGAAATCAAACGTGGCATTCAACGCATGTGGCGGGGGGTTCTTCATCACGAGCCGAATAACAGACTTCAGAACAGACGAAGGCAGAAGGAACGTAAGCACACGCGCGAGAAAGCTAACCACAAGGGTGAATTGCGGTATGAGAAATAGCAGCGCCTGCAAGCGTTAGACTCTCGAACACAAACCTCGCTTGAAGTCCACCAAGATAGCGCTTACCGTTAGTTTCCGCCCAGAGGGAGAATGAGCGATATCCTTCACCGTCGGGAATAGCATCACAGCACCAATAATATCATAATCCCCTGCACCGGCGATATCCTTGGTTCCAGGTATCCCGTCACGGTGTCTCCTCAGGACCTCCATAGCAATATACGTGCCGACAGAGTGACCCATGAGAATAACCCTCTGTTTGCCTTGTCCAGCAGTTTTAGAAATGACAGTTGCAAGTCGCTCATGCACGAACCGAATCTGGTCTTCTACATCATACAAAGCATGCTTTAGCCCAGACTTTCTCGGATCCTCATCCACTTCGAATCCTGCAAGACTGCAACCGTAGATCTGGAAAGAGGGTTGGGTGGCATTGAGCTCGGGGTCACCTTGGCCAGCAAGGTTACGGGCCAGGAGAGACAAGAATGGATGGTAGTAGCTGATCAACCCTGGGTTTCCCGTTACAAAGAAGATGGTCGTCTGTGTCTGGTCTTCCGGGCCTGTATAGGTGCAGAAGGTGTCTTTGGTGAGTTGGGGGTCCATAGCTGCCAGTTCAGACGGCCCAGCACTGTGAAGGAATTCTGTGCTATTCGGGAAATTGATTCAATGCAGCCTGGTATCCCCGTGCCTCCCAAGGGGTGATAGCCAATATGCTATTGGAGGGATGGGGCCGCGGTCGAGAACAGGGAAGGCCCACGGCAGGTCACGGTTCCTCGGGTGGATCCCTCAAAAGATCTACGGCCTTACAAACTACACAATCTAAGTATATTTACTCTGGGAAAGATCACCGAAGAATACCACCATAGAATTCAATGGTATTGAAGTAGGTCCTGACTCCACCTCTCCGCTCCCTAGAATTCCCACGAAGACAAGAAATAGAAAAGCCCTGAGGACAGACGCCGTAGAGCGCAATGTACATACACCATCTCATACTCCGCCTCCACGGAAAATAAACACAGGCAAGCAAAGAGTCAAAGCCGCAGCAAGAGACTCGAAGGAAATGAGACAATGGAGGATCGCGAAAGAACAGCAGGCTGAATTGAGTCACAGGAAAGAAAGCAAGGCAGATGCGACAGCTTGCGTTTGGTATCTCGCTCATCAAAATAAGAAAATGAGAATGGGGAAAGGGGGCAGAGCGGGAGGGAGGGAGATGATTGCCGATTGGGGAGATGGTCTCAGCTGGGTCGAATTCACGCCTCATCCTCGCCTTCGTTGCCCTCGCGGTTCTCCTTCTCATTGCTCTCTTCAGGGTTGGGTGTGATAGTAGCGCAGGAGTCATTATCTGTCGTATGTTTGTTGGCCGGCCCCAGGTTGATGGCAATCCTTTTAGGGGCTGTGCCAGCCGTGACACTACCCAATATACTTGCACCCTTTTCTCCCGAGCCAACAGGTCCAATAGACAGGGGTTTCTTCCGGTTCAGAAGACCAGAGCCCTGGGTACTGCTCACCGAGTTTCTACGCTTAGGCCCAGTGGTCAGTTTGGCCAACTCGTCATCATCGTCGTCTTCCTCACGACGACGCTTCTCGCTGAGTCGCTCCAATGGTGGTGTCTGCGCAGTTTGTGTAGGTGGGGTTTTCGGGTTCTCCGCAGATGATTCATCAGTCTGTTTCTCTTCAGATTCATCATCCTCGGGTTTGATATCCATGGCATCTTCGTCATCGTCGTCGTCGGGATAGTCAACAAGCGGCTTGCTCAGAGCACTGGATCCGTTAGGAGCGCCAGCCGCGAGCACTGTGCGGTTTTCTTGGGTCCAGTCATCCTCCTCGTCGGATCCATTGAAGTAGTCCTCCTCGCTGGGGTCGATGTCTTTCACACCCTGCCAGCGTTGGCCATTAAGCGGCATTCTGCGTGGCGTGCTGTCATCTTGACTGAACAGAACCGAGTCTGCCTCTGCTCCATATCCCTGCATTTGTTCGTACCGAATGATCAAGTTCTGGAAGGTGTCGACATAGGTAATATTCTCAAGCTTCTCCCGATATTTCTCTACTATATGCAGAATGAATGGCTTGATGTTTTCCCGTTTGATGAATTCGAAGAGTTCAAGGCAGGCGGAGTTGAGGAGATTGTCACGTGGCATAGTGTCATACACAATGTCAAGCAGTAAGCCAAAGGTGTTGTTGTGGGTCATAAGAGCTTGGTAAAAGGTGTCTTGGAGGCTGGTCAATGTACGAAAGAATTTCAGAGCAACTGGTGAAATGTTAGTCTCCAGCCTGCCCAAGTACTCAGCAGTGATCAATTTACCTAGCTTCAAATGTTTTTGAGGGGCAGTTAGGAGCTGAGCGACCCGGGGAGCAAGAGATTCGCTGTGGATCGCGTTGCGTGTACGGAAGAGATGTTGTCGGACAAAAAAGGTAAGTATATCCACAAGATGTGAGTGCAACGTGACTTCTTGGAACGTCAGGTCATTAACTACAGCAACTGTTAGCGGTCATATAAAAGAACCCCTCGTTAAGACGAATAACTAACGGGTAGCGCGGTTAGCGAGGTGTTTCAGCGGTTGAAAGAGCCGCTTAGAAGATTCATCAAAGTGTTGCTGAACGAATGCATCAGAAAGAAGGTTTGAAGAACGGATTTTGAAGTAGTCGGGGCCAGCCCGAGCAAGAGGATCCTGCAGAGGAATTTGAGGATCAAGCAAGATCTTGATAGCATCAGCAAGCTGTGTTTTGACACCAAGATCGGTCTCTGCGTGGAGCAGATCGATTAAGGTATCTGTAAGAGGTGTCTTTTTCTCGTTGACAGCCTTGAGCATATACCCCCGCATCATCACCGGGTCATGATCAAGCAGAGCCACCAGGATATCAATACCAGTGGTGCGCATAGCCGGGTTTGGGTGCTTGACCGCGAAAGCGATGACTGCGAACAGCCCATGACTGATGAAATTGGCGAAGAGCTGCGCCCGCGAGGGTGCTTGCAAATTCTTCGCAATTGCGGCGCACTGCTGCAAAAATTGTACCGCATCATCCTTGCGCTTTGCATCGGCGTTTCTTGGGTCGAAGACGGAGAAGAGTTCTCGGAGGAATTGAGCGTTTGATTGGATGTGATTGACGATTTCCATCTGGTTGAAGAAGATAAGGGAGTTGAGCACGGAAAATGTCGGATCGTCCAGGATTCGAGCGAGGACCACGTCCTTGAGGTACTGCAGGCGCCATGTGCTTCGGATCTTCCTGCGGATCAGGGGATCTTTAATCGGTACGACTTCTTTGTAGCGTGTTTGGTCTGCAAGGTACTGCCGGTGGTTTGCCTTGTGGGTGGGGAACTCAGGGTCATCTGGAACATTGTAAGCGAGCAGGCCAGCGGTACGACGGAGGTCTTATATTACATTCCAAAGCTCCAACCACCCCCAGAATGATCTGATCAGCAACAACAGTCTCGATGATGGTGTTGTCATTGAGCAGGATCAGCGATTTCATGATGTTGCAAAGACAATGGAGGTCAGCAAGGCTCTCCAGGTCCTCGGCCGTCTCTACCAACGGTACCAGTTTGGCGATGTACTCGTCACGAATGATGAACTTGGAGAGCGCATCGCGACCGGCCTGGGTCATACTCGCGGCTCGTACAATCTGTTCGATCTCCCCCAAATTTGCAAGGTTGGGTGCCGGTAAAACGATGGATTGATAGCTTTCGAGATCGTCGGAGAGAGCATCATCTGCCACGTCACGGGGAAGACACCCCACTGGTTAGGTACACGCGGGGATCATCCTACAGCAGAAGTCATAAGGGACTTACCGGCTGGGGCTAAACTGAGTAATTGTTGCTGGGCAGAATTGACGAAATCCCTGTGGAACGACGATGATCAGCGTCTGGCCACGCGCGCACGCGAGAAAAGAGATAAAATCCGCCTCACCATATCACCGCGCAGCCATCTGCCTCTTGAAAACTCAGCGCCATATCAGTCCCATTCCGTTCGGTCCAGACGATCAGGGTTTCTAAGGGCCACAAGTCAGTAAATGAGACATGACCTCGGTGATACGACTGGGTAGCGATTGTGGGACAGAACCTTGTTGTTTTTGATAGCCATCGTCCTTGGAGATCTGCGTCTTCAGCAATACGCGATTAGGTTCGTCTTCGGATTGGACGTATATTTGGGGGCCCTCCTAAATGAAGCGAAAAAACACGAGTTAATTTTGTGATTCATTTGGCTGTCGGAGAACCCGTTGGGGGGGGGGGCATGCGGAAGTGATGATATGCGCCCGACAACGTCTAAGCGCCCATCGCGGCATTGCGCGAAGGCCAGCGCGACCATCCGGTAGCGCGAAATATCGCGAAAATAGGAAGAGGAGGAGGAGGAGCTTACATCGAGCATCTGGCCGGTACAGAAGCCGGTACCGCGATCGAACCAGTCATTATCCCTCAGCTCGTAGACCTTGACTCGTTTGGAACTGTCGGGGGGCTGTAGATCCAGCGCCATGGTCTGGCGAGAGGTTACACGTCACTCCAGCCTCCAGGGTGAACGCGCGCCGATGGTGATACCCAGGAAATGGTGAGGTCGGAGGTTGGGGGCAGGAGAGGTAAGGAAGGTGGAGATGGGAAGACTCTGAGCGGAGGGATGACGATCCAAGGGTCAAACTCTGGACGGGATGGGCTGGAGGAGCCCCACCTGACGCCTCGACCAGGATAATCTACTTCGGAGAGTTCGGTAGCTACTACGGAGTATCCGATTTAGATTTCTGCTCAAGTATTGAGGCTGGAAATTGGAGAGAAAGCGGGGGGGTCTTCAGGTTCTTCAGGTTCGCTCTGGTCAGGCGGCAAGACAGGTGGGTTTATTTCTCCGCGGTCGCGTGTGCCAGTGGCCTTCCGGGCCTTCCAGAACGCTGCTGCATGTACGGAGTACCTCATCTGCATTCTTCCATCATTGGAAGGGGGAGGGGAACTTGCCCTCTGGGTATTTGCATACACCTTACTTTGTCACGTCTTTGGCCCGGAATACATGAGATCAACCTTTAAGTTACCTGAGATTACCGCTGCGTTAGACATCGTCCCTGGTCGGGTACCTTGAAAATACACGATATGCTCCTCAGGTACGGAATACGGTTCCGTACCGTGAATTTTAACTCCCGCGTCGAAAGCTTCTAAGCTTCCAAGCTTCTTCTACGCTTCGATGATGCGCGGGCCATGCGCTTGATTGAACTTTGTTTTTTGTCTATTTTTCCCTCTGGTGGGTTGCGTTGTTTGCCTTGTGTGAGTCAACCCTGTCTCTCCCTTTGACGGGCGTTGCGCGCCCCGTTTCAATCCCACATTACTGTGTACACCTCCTGGAGCTAGAACGAGTAAAGCGGCTCTACCGTATTTGTGCCGCATCGACATCCTTGCATGTTTGTTCCTTTGCAGGTAGATGATATCTAACAAGAGCTGTATATATTCCATATCATAGTTTACATCCGAAGATCTCATCTCGCTCCACCATGATTGAATTCCGGCAAACCGCCGGCAAACCGCCCATAGGGTCATTTCATAGAGCGCATTAGAGTTGCCTCGCTTCTAGGTTAGTCCTGCGTGCCACATACCAACATAATCTTCATGCACTCGGCCAACCTTCCTTAGCCCTAGATACTGATCCCTTGGTCATTTGCGCCAGCGCTCGAACAAACTTTCCCAGAAAACCACCGCTAAGGCTGATTCAAGGCCGAGAAGTCATTCCGGCATCAGGCCCTATGCAGCAGGAACCCGGGGCCCCGCTACTTCTGTAGTACACCCCCTGCAACTTGAACTTTTCGTGCCTGAAGGAACCTTTCTCCACCATAAACTCAATACAATAGATCTGACGGAATTAAGCCGAGCCCACCCAAGGACCCATGGATTGTGTGATAGACCAGCGCTCTCATGCGCGTGCAGCGGCTCCTCCATGTCCATCGAGTCTCCACCGGCTTCTCTCACGTTTCTTCTCACAGCACGAAACCAGAGCTCCCAAGGCCAAATGCATAATCGCAACCTTCAGTATGCCAGGACCAGGGGAGGGCGTACAATGTCCGCTCTCACTGCAACTTACCAGTCCGGCGGCCGGGCCTGTAATGATCAGAACCCAGCGCACCACGTCCACAGAATATCAACCTCGAAACTCCAGACAACGCGGTTCGTGCCGCCCGCACAGGCCCGCGTGGTCGACTAATGCCATGCAGCAGCCCACCAATTACCGCGGGGCATCTGGCCATCTTGATCCACGGATGGAGTCCAACGGGAAATTTTGCCTTATCGCTTCTAGGCGTTGCCAAATCAGGAATGGTCCGATCCAGGCCTCAGCGCCGGTTATTTTTTCTTTTCTTCAAGCGATGTTTTTCGTGGTTCTTCCTGCTTTGCTTTTCCTCGGGTCCTGCGCAGTAACACGGGCGACTTCTGGGAGTTTTGCGCTCGTTGGTGTTCTATAAAGCTCCCCTTTTTTGCTCTTTAGGCGTGGGTTTTAGGACCCTCGACCGCAACCGGTACCGATCAGCGACGCATCCACTGCAGCTTTGGAACCCCGCTTCTTGTCTTTTGCTTTTGTCGACCACTATGTCTGACCTGAGAGACCTTCCAGGCCACCAGAATGGCTCTGGCGACAATATCGAATCGACGCAGCGAAAGAACGGGATTGTGGAGGTAGTGCAGAATCCGGGCGATGCTGAGAGCCAGGCGCAGGCGCCGGCGGACGAGGTCGATAATGAAAAGAAGGGATTCTTTGCTTTCTTCAAGACCAAGGAGTTTTGGATTATTCTATTCCTGGGGTAGGGACATATCGATCCTCTGATCTGATCTGATGCTAATTCCTCTCAGACAATTCCTTGCCATCGCCAATACCTCGACTAGTACTCTGACAACCCTCCTTACAAACCACAATTGGTCCATCCCAACCTTCCAGACGATTCTGAACTACGCTCTTCTGAACCTCATCTTCACTCCATACACCATCTATTGTTATGGCTTCAAGGGCTGGCTTAAGATGATGCTGCGCGATGGCTGGAAATGTATGGCGTCCTACCAAACGAAAAAAAAAAAAGCACAATTAACGATTTCCAGACATAATCCTTGCATTCTGTGACGTTGAAGGAAACTACTTCATCGTCCTGGCCTACGAGTACACCACCATGCTAAGCGCCCAACTGATTAACTTCTGGGCGATCGTAGTCGTCGTGGTAATCTCCTTCCTCTTCCTCAAGGTCCGCTACCACATCACCCAAATCATCGGCATCATCATCTGCATTGGCGGTATGGGCGTGCTCATCGCCTCGGACCATATCACCGGCACCAACGGCGGGGACGTAAGCAGCGGCAACCAGCTAAAAGGCGACCTCTTCGCGCTCCTCGGCGCCTCCTTCTACGGCCTTACCAATACCGCCGAAGAATATTTCGTCAGCACTCGGCCCGTCTACGAGGTACTGGGCCAGTTATCTTTCTGGGGCATGATCATCGACGGCGTGCAGTCCGCCATCTTCGAGCGCAGCAAATACCACACCTCGACCTGGGACGGGCAGGTGGGCGGGTACCTGGTCGGCTTTACGCTGTGCCTCAGTCTATTCTACTGTCTTGCGCCGCTGCTGTTCCGGCTGTCGAGTGCAGCGTTCTTTAATATCTCCCTGTTGACGATGAATTTCTGGGGCGTGTGTATTGGGGTGACAGTGTTCCACTACCATATACATTGGATGTACCCGATTGCTTTTGTGCTGATTATCATCGGGCAGTTGATCTATTATCTTGGTCGGCGGGCATTGGCTGAGGCGCGGAAGCCGTGGCTGGGGGTCAATCAGGAGCGCGGTGTTGCGGGTATTGCGACGGCGAGGCGCCGCATCGAGCATGTTGTGCCCCATGCAACGGAGGAGCGTGCTGCAAACTCAACGGGTAATAGCACATATATCAGTGCTGGTTCAGATAGAGTGTAGTTTGTGGGTGTATCTACGTTCCGTTGAATTCTGTTGAGGCTGGACTAGGGTTCGATTTTGCGACTGCTGTGTTACACATGTATGGATGGCCTGGCTATTGCTTTAATATGGCGTTGTACGGGTTCAGGGATAGCTGATCTCTACATTCTAAGCGCTACCTTAATGAGAATACGATCATCGCTGTGCATCTATTCAATCTATATCGAGCATTTCGGAAGAACACTTCATAGCCGTACTCAGCCCGTAGCGAATCAGATTATCTTCTATAGTTCCAAATCATATCACAGCCTGGGGCGATTTCTGATCGTGAGACGAATACTAAAGAACAATAGCAGTCACATCAAGAGCTACCAAAGATGAAAAACGACATGAATTCGCCATCCCTAAAATAGACAAGTCAAGTAGACACCGGAGGTGCGAAGATAAGGTGACAAGGATCGAGGTCCAATTCCAAATGTGCAAACCTTGCCCGACCTGCGTAAGTCCGAATAGAGACAGACAAAAAAAATAACAAGAAACAAAGACACCGAGAAATGAGAGTCCCTTCGCACCCTCCAGCAGAAAGCGCCATATTTCCAACCATCCAGGCACCAGATGTTAAAGATGGACACCAGAACAGCCAATATAACCAAGAATAGACAAGAACCAGAGCAACCCCATCATAAAGGATCAAGGACACCGTTAGCCTCCACGGAGGCAATTTTAGATTCCGATCCGGTCCAGACACCAGCGCGACTCCGCGAACCCTAAAAACCCACTGACACCAGCTCGTGAAGCCCACAGGCAGACAAAGCTCGCAAGCAGTAGCCACGGAAACGCAAATATAAGTGAGAGAAAAAGGAAAAAGAACAGATAAGGAAGACAATCCAAGTATCAACCGAAGAAAGACCCACATAAGAAAGCAGGCCCCTGCGCAATCAAGCCATGTATGTACCAAGTCCCGAATATCGCCGCAAAGCCCGATCCTAGCAAACGCCATTGAATAGTCAAATAGGTAGTGAAAAGGGAGTGGGAAAGGAAGAACCCCCTACGAATGCATGCGCCTCTCCGACAACCCCTTTAATGCGGTGAGAAAAACCATCCTGTTCTAGCCCCATACCGAGGCCTGGACACCGAGTCCGCTCTTGGAGCCCCAGACACCGCTGCCGTTGCTCCAGCCTAGACCCACACCAGATGAAGCTTCCTTGGGACCGGCGGCAGCAGCAGCAGTGACGGCTGGGTTAGAGGAAGCGGAAGTGGAGCGTTCATTCGCGACCGCTGCGGCTTCACTGGGCGTGAAACCGAACCCTAGGGGGCGAGGGTAGGGGAGTGGTAGAGCGCTTGTTCAAGGACGGGTTGGCGGCTGGAGCTGAGGTCTGGCCTGGAACTGGGCGAGAGCCAATGGGACCGACAGAGTTCGCGACAGAGCCAGAGCCGATGGGGCCCCCCGTCGACTTTACAGAAGGCTGGCGAGAAGCCGAGTCGGCGGCGGTGGGCGACGAGGTCGAAGGAACGGGCTGCTCGGGGAAACCGGCGTTAATCGCGGAACTAGGCGAAGAGGTGCTGTTTGCACGAGATGGGGACTGCAAGCCAGATGCACCATCCACAGATGCGCCAGGCTGAGCTAGACCGAAGAGGTCCACGCCTCGCGGAGAGGCTCCGCGGACACCGGCAGAAGATGGAGTCCCGCCAGCCTGGCTTTCGGGTCGCGAGTTGTCGTCTGGCAGAGGGCCTGGAGGGAAGAAAGCAGGACTCTCGTTGCCGTATAGGGCTCGGTGTTGGCGAGCCAGTAAGTCTCGGCGGCTTTCTTCACTCACAGCCGCCGGGCTGACAGAGCGGTCGGACTTGCTTGCGGACATTTCGGCGAGGAGGCCTTTGGAGAGAGAAATCACGTATTAAAAAATGTGCACGTTTTGGAGACAAAAGACGATGCCAAACCGATATAATATACAAGGCCGATGGATACATAGATGCAGAGAAAGGAGAAGAGGGAAAAAAAGGTCGAGGGGGAATATATGACAGGGAATTGAGGACGAGAAGTGAGAAAGGAAAAAAGCACAACGCTACCACGTACTTCGGTTGTACTGCTGCTCTTGATGATAGTTGCGCAGCTCCCGTTCACGCTGAGCTGCCATCCGACGCTTCGCCTGCATCATCTGCTCTACTTCATTCGGGCGACCCTGGGGTCCCGGAGGCCCCTGGGATCCCTGATGGCCCTGGTGGCCCTGGTACCGCTGGGAGGCATAGAAGCCCTGCACGTTGCCGCCGGACGGGTGCATCCGTGAGCCTTCGAACTCGCTGATCGAATGGTGTCGCTGGGGGCCGCCACCCGCCATGCGAGGATCTGCCGCGAATTCGAGTTAGGAGCGCGGACGCCGCATGGACCGAGGGTTTGCCCACGTACCATAGTCGGGGTAGGGCCGACCCATCATCATGGGCATCGAGTCCCGGCGAGGAGCATTCCAAAGCTTCCCGCTCTTGACCAGATTATCAATCGCACGATCAACCTCTGTTATATGTAATCAGCAACCACTCGGTTCAACGATTTATCGAATAGGTTCGAGAAAGAAGGCCATCATTGAGCGGTCCTCGTCCCGGGCATTGTTGAAAGCCACCAGCATTATCCTGAAACATGGGATTCCATTCGGAGGTTGGCTCTGGACGAGGCGAACCGGAACAAATCCGACGAAAGTGGGTGCATACCGTCAAATTGGGAGGAAAAGGCCGGGCTATCCTCGCGCTGGGAGACCGAGCTGGAGCCTGTAGAGACGGAGCGTGAGTATATAGAGATATAAAGTTTTGTTCCATTCTGGGCCGAGTCCACAAAATCCATACCTGATCGAGACGGCGGAACGGGTTGTTCCCAAGAGACCTGGCGCGAGGCAGGAGCCTGCCAACTCTGCGGTTCGTAGTATTGAGACATGGCCGGTTGGGAGGAGAAAAACTTCGTCGAGGGCTGAACGGCGAACGATTCAGGGGGTGGGAACGGCGAAGGAGTTGATCCGTCCGGTAGAGGCGATCTGGTTTGAGATAGAAAAATCGGAGATGAGCCTCAATACCATAACACAGCAGCGCAAGACGTTGGGAACAATCGGCAAAGAGACAAACCCCGCCAAATTCGAGTTATCACAGCCGGTGTCCGTAGGCCAGACTCGAGGAGATACCAGGTGTACACTAGGGAAACGAAGAAAATGGCCGTGGGACCCGCTGTGCCGCACCGCGGGATCGGGGCGGTTTTTTTTTTTGGCGGGTATTTTTTTTTCGCCCACGAGCGAATACCCGAGGGAGCTAAAATGCCAAACAGACACTTACAGGAAAAAGCCTCTAGATGGGAGAAGAGAGAGACTACCACGAGTGAACGAGGCAGGGGATGGATGGAGGTGAGAAGAGAGGGGGAAGGTGAAATTGGAAAAGGAGAGAGGGTCCGTTGGGGGCGTGTGGATTCTGGATTACCTGAGGGTCTCTCCGAGTACAAAAGTAACGAGGGGAAATACTTCCTTTTTCTTCCCAAGCTTATAGAGTAGGACAATCACGGTGATGCGGACTATGGCTTTGGACTATTTTTCTTTTGTCTCTCATATTCGATTTCGGTTATCCCGTCTTCCAGAGAGTCCTTCATAGTCTACCCGACGTGGGGATTGAAAATGTTTACTTTTGTACACATGATTCTCGACTATGGGCGAGAGCGCCGTGCGATGAATTCACGTTGCAGTATTGTACTGTACGCATCCTTAGTACCTTGTAGCGCGGCAATTCCCGGCTAGAGTCAGAACTGGCCTGAACTGGCCTGGCTTGGCCTGACCTGGGCTAACTCTAGGCTGGGTCACCGGAGATTGGACGGGGGCACGGGGCGTGTGCCTAAGCGTCCCCCAAGCTTCAACGTCTGTCTCTGGTGTACTGTTCAGGGCTGGGGTCACGTTCCCTGCTTTTTTATTTATTACTTCTCTTGGCCGCTACAGCCGGGCTGACAAACCTGTTCCCCTCTCCACCGGCCCTAAGGGACTGGAGTGGTGCTCGGATGTAGTCCATGTACGATGATGGCAATGGCAAATGCGTGCATGCAGCCCAAGGTCCACCCTAGATGCACCGATGATATTTTGCCAAAAAGGGCGCCACGCAGCCTCCATCATTCTGGAATATTACAATAGCCTTCGCAGTCCACTCCCCATACAGTGCCATGGTGGTCAAGTCCGAGTCCAATACCGTATGATGTACCGGCTCGCAGACACGCGTAGCGACTAACGCTCAAGATCAGAAGTGGGAACTCGTAAGTGTCGCATAAGCTTACTGCAGAGCACTGCAGGTGCCTTTTCCTGCAGTGCCCCTCATAGAGAACTTGAACGTGAGGGTTGGGGAGGGTGGGGAGAGAAGATGGCTCGGACTGCGACTCTTGATTTCGAGTATGAACACTTGAAGTACCCACTCTGTAGCCCTCGAGGTCGTAACATGCAATAGACAATAGACTCCTTTGGCCTGTGCTTATGGCCAACGCATCGGTCAGTTCAGGAGTGCCAAGTGGATCCGGCGGCCACTCTATTTTATATTCTTCCGCAAGGTCCGCAACCCCTCTCGCCTGGGAGGCCTTTTCATACCCTGGCCCCCGCTGCATCCTGCATGGAAGGGAAAGTACTACGAAAGAACCCAAGTGGCAAGATGGAAGCCTTCGAAGTAGATTACATCCGGAGTAGACTAGTACTGGACTGGTATGGGAACCTTGTGGACCCTCGGGGCAATTGAAGGTGGATGCCACCACCGAGAGGTATAAAGTGAGGCGATTAACTTCCAAGCTTGATCGACTATCTATAGGAGGTCTACATGGGGGTAGTCCTAACCTACTCTCATCGAGCGGTTTTGTCTTAGTCCGTACTTAGTCGATCTTGCAGCTAAATTCAGTTACAGATAGCCCTCACCAACAGCAAGCCGCACCACCCGACACTGCGCTGCTCCTCCAAACCCTCCGTGTATCACAACTGTTATTCCGGAATTTCAACGCCCGCGTTACCCTGGAGGCCTCGATGTTGACCAAGGCTATTCGTGATACACGGCTGGTATGGGGCGGGCCAATCGCCGCCTAAGAATTTGGAAACTCTTGATCGCTAGACAGGTCCAAAGAAAAACTTACTAGATATTGGCCCGGTAAGATGTTCCAGTTCAACAACCAGGGAAATGCGACCATATCTCCAATCGTAAGATCTCGCAAAATTCACCGGACTCATGGTCTAGACCAGTAACAAAGGAGGTGGCTCAAGCTCTTTTCTCCTTTAAGCGATTCATGGGGATTCTTTAGGCCTTAAAGCCCAAGAGTGGTAGGCCCAATGGGGAAAGTGTTCTCGGGGTTCCGAACGACTATAACAAAGCGCGTTCCAAAAAGACAGCTCGACCCAGGGCTGGAAGGCAAATACGAGAAGAAGGGGGGCTACCTTTGGTAAGAATGAAAGATCCTTTTGGATAAGCCATGACATGTCACGGATCATAGAAACGTGCCCAGGTGTTCTTCAATGCTTGATTGGGTTATAGTGCATCTCGCACGTGTAAGAACGGGTACCGCGGGGGGGTTGCAGAAATGACGATCAATAAGGGGGTGGTCGACCTCCTATCGCTATCAATATCTCCGGGATCGATACTTGTACCTGCATGCCCTGAGATTGTGCTGCACGCTGGGAAAATAAAAAGGGGGGTTCAAGGGTAAACGGGGACGTGTGAGATAGATTGTGCTAGCATACTTTTCCCCAATGCAAGTGATGCACCAATCCCATGGCTCATTGGGTGTGAGAGGATCAGGGACAAAGGAATCGGCCGCATTGACTCGTGACAGACCAGGAGGCTTTGAACAAGGACGGGCAAAAGAGGAGAGGAAAGAGGTTGAAATAGGCCGGTATACAGTTTCCAAAGGATGTGGATAGCAAGAAGAGTGGCGCTGCAATTGTAGAAGGCGATGAGTCGCACACCACAGAAGGACCAAAAGGAAAGCAGGAAAGTAGTTCAAGTCCTCCGCGCTGAAACCTGCTGGAGAATGTCTTAGAGGGATCGAGGACCATGATCACCAACGGAGGGTGGCTTGCGGTCGGCTGTGTCTTTACCGCCGACAGGGGCTGCACCTCTTCCTTCGAAAACCTCCCCGATCAACTGGACTGGGCGCTGTCCGTGACATTACTTTCAATCGGAGCCCCGGCTGGTTCCTCTCACTTTCGCGTGCGTTGCCTGAACTTTCCCATCTCCAATTTCCCTTCTAATCTCTCCACAGAAACATCCTCGGGAAATCCCACATCATCCTGGTGACGCTCTGCTCTTTTTTTTCCCGTTCTCTTTGCTCCTGGTCGAGACACGCTTTTTTCTTTCCAATTTCGTTCTTTTCTCGAAACAGCTTGACGAATATTCCTGATCCTTTATGCGCGTGTCAGGGGAACACAATCCCCTGCCAATCCTCGATTTCACCATCAGTGCGAACCCACCTTTAAACCTCCCGGACCGTTTGCCCCCCTCTCACCCCGACCCTCGAAAGACGCGATCAACGGATCCTGGCCGTACCTGTCCAAAGTGAGCCATTCAACGGATCGGAGACAGAGACGCAGCTACCTTCTCGATTCCCCTCGTGGGGGAACAGCCCCCCACGATGGCATGGGCGCCGCCGTCTCGCGACGCCGAGATCCCAGCTCGGCCACAATTGAACTCACAACAGTCCAGCTCCCTCCCCTCGACCCCCTATCAACATGCGCGCAACCTTTCCTTCCACTCCCGGACGCCGTCCCCCGCCCGTGGCAGCTCTCCTCGTTCCACCCACTCCGAATCCGCCCACTTCAGCCCTCAAAAAGTGCTGGGCGGCTGTAAGTATGAGACTGCGATGACATACTATCGCCGACGCATACCATACAGCCTAGGGTCGGATCTTTTGCCGGAGGAGAAGGAGGGGTTGAAAGAAAAACTCGATGCAGAGGAAGACTCACGAATCACGGCCGATATCATGAACTTGTACGACCAGCTATTACCATCTGCCGAAAGTGACGACCGCCGCCGACAGCTGGTTCAGAAACTTGAAAGATTGTTCAACGAGCAGTGGCCCGGCCATAACATCAAGGCGAATGTGTTTGGTTCTTCGGGGAATAAACTCTGCTCGAGCGACTCAGACGGTATGTTTGGCGGGTTTGCGAGACTTAGTCTCAACGATTCACCCGGAATCCCAGAAACCCCAGGCTTACAAGAGACAGTGGATATCTGCATCACAACAGATTTCAGGGATCTGGAGCAGGTCTGTCTTCTGGCAGATGTTTTAGCAAAACGTAAGAGCGGCCTCCCCTTCCTCCCTATGGCCTGTCCAGTATCTTTTTCATTTTCTCTTTTTGGAAATTCGAACTAACCTTCGGTTTGCAGATGGTATGGAACGCGTTGTATGTGTGTCTCACGCAAAGGTTCCTATTGTTAAAATCTGGGATCCGGAACTGAAGTTGGCATGCGATATGAATGTTAACAATACCCTGGCGCTGGAGAATACTCGTATGATCCGGACGTATGTGGAGGCCGATGAGCGTGTCAGACCATTGGCAATGAGCGTGAAGCACTGGACAAAAAGACGTGTTCTCAACGATGCAGGCTCTGGTGGTACCTTGAGCTCATACACGTGGATATGTCTGATTATTAACTTTCTGCAAACTCGAGATCCCCCCATCCTCCCGAGTCTTCAAGCTCGTCCTCATCGGGAGCGAATTATCAGTGGCCTTGAGTGTGGCTTTGATGACGATCCAAAGTCATTTGCTGGGTTTGGTCGCAGGAACAAACAGTCTGTGGGCGAACTGCTCTTTGAGTTCTTTCGATACTATGGCCATGAGATCAACTATGAAAAGAGCGTGGTTTCTGTGAGGGAGGGCCGTTTGATTTCCAAGGTGGATAAGAAATGGCACTTGGCAACCAACAACCGTTTGTGTGTGGAGGAACCGTTCAATACGGAGAGAAACCTGGGTAACACGGCCGACGACACATCCTTCAAAGGTCTTCACCTGGAATTACGCCGATCTTTCAAATATATCGCCCAAGCAGACCTGTCTGGCGCCTGTGAGCAATTCGTATTCCCCCAATCAACGGAGCGTCCCCCCGAACGCCCACCACCTCAGCCACGTCATGTCATCACTCCCATCATGCCAACCCGTGGAGGCCGCGCAGGAGGGGGCAATGGCAATCGTGCAGGAGGGCGATACAACAACCAGTATCCAATTCGTGGAGGGTTCAATGGAGGCCGTCGGGCATCCAACACGGGAAGCACTAAGGGCGGAAACGGTGCGCCTGGGTCTCGGCCACTCCAGCAGAATCCCAATATGCCAGAGCTTTCTATGCAGGCACAGCAGCAAGCTCAGAGTATGCTTGCCGACCAACTGTTTGCGCAGATCCAAGTGCTGCAGGCTCAGGAGCAAGAATTGCGGTTGCATCTGCAGCAACAGGCAATGGCTGCTGGCCGCCGTCCCCCATTGATTCTACGAACTAACCCTTTCCTCAATTGGAATGCACCTCAGCGTCCGGATTATGTGGGAGAAGAGTTCTTACGCTCACAGCCAAGCGTGGTTCCATCTCTTGCGCCAGGTGTTCTACATAATAACCAGTACCTTCCGACCTATGCCTCTGTCAGTGCTATTGGCACACAGGGCAGCAGCAGTAGTACAAATCCTTCTTCACCCTCTGTTACTGCCCAGGATTTCCGTCCGGAGCCCCGACGTGGCTCTGCTGCCAATGGCTCTTCATCAAACTCCTCTCTTCGGGCACAGTCACAGCCCGCTCGAGCTCAACATTCACCATCTTCCCAGCAGTACTCCCAGCTTTATCAAGCCCCTCGGCCTTTTGACACGTCTTTTGCTCCGAGCCAGGGGCTCGGACTTGAGTCAGAGGGTGGAGATGGCAGTGGGGACGAAAGCTCGCCTCACAGGATTGATCCTTTTGATGGTGGTAGATCGCAGGATTACCTTGGCTACCTTTCTCCATCGCAGGAGCAGCTGCAGCAGCACCTCTCCATGCTGTCTCTTGGCGCAGTTCCGCCTAATGGCTATGCCTCAAGTTATCTCCCGATGCAGCATGACTATCAGTCTAACTTGCTTCCGTCAGATCCCCAGTCTGGTATTATTTCGTCGGAAGCTCAAAGTACCCGTTCGGAACAAACCCCCACTGGAAGTTCTCGATCCCCAGCACCGCCGCAGCGGTCCACGTCGCGCCCTGCTGCTCCTGCGGACCGGGGCCCTTTGATCGTGGACGGGTCTGTTCCCCCGGGTGAGAACCGGGTGTCATATGTGCCTGACTTGACCGACTCCTACACCGCGATGACGAACTTCACCTCGAACTCGGATGACCAGACCATTAACACGCCGGCTAGCTTCTCAGACTCCTTGTCTCAGGATTTCCAGGACCCTGCGCCGTTCGAGATGGATCAACCTGGTTTCAGCCGTCTGCCGAATCTTGACACGCATAATCATGACATGCATAATCATACCCCCAAACTTGCCGACTCTCAACTCGACGGAGGCGCCGGCTCGACCCAGCTCCTTGCTAGCCGACTGCAAAACTTACATTTGTCGAATGCCGAAAGACTCGCTCAATCGCAGAGCCAGGCGAACCAGGCAAAGTCCACCAACAAAGGCAGCCAGTCGCAGCAGGGGGCCAAGGAATCTGCTCCAGCCAAGAGCTCTTCCAACGAGAAAGCTGCACACAACCAGGCAAACGACGGGCGCCAGCAGACGTCAAACAAGCGTCGCCCAAACGGTGGAGAAGCGGACAAGCAGAACGGTGTCAACCACCACGGTCACGGCCATGGCCACAAGCCGAAGGCCAAGGGCCGCAATGATCATGCTGCGTCCGATGCGAAAGAACGACAGGCCGAGAATTCTTCACGTAAGGCCAATGGCTTAACCAACGGCCCGGAGGCGAATCATGGCAGTGGCTGGCAAACCACCAAGAAAAAGAACCGGCGCAGCAAGGTCTCTGCTGACTCGCGCAATGGAGGAAGCGCCAACACCGAGCCTCCTCCTGTCGACGAGTCGCAACGCAAGGGCGGGTAAATGCAAGCCCCTCAACATTTCGATCGAGATCTATCATAGTATCCTGAGTGCAATACGCCACATAAGGCAATTCGGTAAAAGAAAAAAAAAGGGGAACGGGAAGAAAGAGAGGAACATAACGCACCCTATGATAGGAAAAATTCTCGAGATCTGATCAATTTTTTTTTTTTAAAAAAAAAAAAAAATCTTGTTCCTGATATCCCTAAAATTACTCACCCTTAACGCTTCCAATCCCCCAGACTCGTTGGATGCACAACTCCTCTCGCCTCGAGACCGCCTGGGGCTTCACAGCAGGGCACTTCCCAAGCCTGCCGCCCTGTGTTCGATACCCGACGATGCCCTGAATTTTGTCGTACCACATACCCCAAATAACCCCCCAATGAAAGGCAACTGTACCAACTTGAAGATCTGAGAAACCATCATCCCTGCATCCCGTTTTCTTTCTCCCCTCGGCGATTTGTTCTTATCATTGCATGTCCATTATCATTTTCGGAGTCGGCAGGGAGGGGCATATGCACATTGAAGCGGAGACATGCACAGCCTTTGTATTGACGATTTCCACATTCGAGAAGCCTGGTTTTCTGGATTTTTCATGATGTTCCTGTGTTTCTTTTTCCCCCTCTTGTTTTGCAATGGTACCCATTTCGGTCCTGTACAAAAGAAATTAACGCTGCTGTCAATGAGAAAAGACAAAATGTTCAAAGAGTTTAACGAGTTTCTGACGTGGTTCTAGGAGTAACTTCAACTTTCGAGTCAGATGTAATGAGTACTGGTATTATAGGATACTAGTAGTGGTGCTGGTTCACTGTTGCTTTGCTATGAAGGGAGGGATAAATGTACCAGCGTCAGGGATTAATAAAGAATAAAGCAGAATCCTCGATCTAAACTTTGGTAACGGGCTGAGGGTTTCCAGGGTCCAGTTGGGAGGGCTTGGATGGTAGAAAGGATTTTCTTTGTGGGCGATTGCCTTGGGCCCCTACAGGCTCAGTTTGAGATAAGCAGACGTAGTCGTCTAACCCGGAGAGGCGGCCAGCATTTGTACCTAAGAGGTGCTCCTGCCTCTTCTATTGCGCCATTGATACCACGGCTGCCGTGATGAATGGTCGCACAGGAATTTGGGAGGGATGGTATCTTGCATTCTCGGTGACTGCAGGCACTACAGTTGGACAGGGTCGAGGGGAGAAAAAAAAGATAAGACGAAATATGTAACAGTTACGCTCGAGCCTTTTTTTATTCTTGGTTGTTATCTTGGTTGGAAGCTCTTTACTCAAGATAGGCAGGGGAAAAGTCGCACAAAGCCCTGCTGCCTTGCATCTGGGGTTTAGCTCGAGGAAATATTTGCAACTTTTGGCACATGGCAGATTAGGGGATGTAAAGGGTGCGTTCAGTATTAACACGCAGAGATGGGAATAGACAATATGTTCATAACGATGCATCAGGTATATGGATCTGGCTCAGACACATCAACTCGTGAGCTCAGCGTAGAGGAAAGGCAGGATGACGACGCAGGCTTTCCAGAACACTTGAATGGAATTGATCGGGAACATGTAGAGTTGGGACCAAGGGGTGGCGGAGAGTTGGACCCGGATGGAGAGGAAGGCGACGGTGAAGAAGTGGGAGATGAGGACGGAGGGCTGCTTCAAAAGACCCGCGAGCATGAGCACGGGCTCGTCGGTGCATTTAGGACCGTTCTGGAAGTAGCGGAAGCACCCGCGCTGAAGAGCATAGAGAGAATCATCTAGCGGACTAGGTTAGCCGATAGTTTCGGGGGAGAGAAGGAGAGAGGGGGAGAGAGAGAAATATTCAGCGGAACCTACCATTGGCAGCAAAAAGCAAGTACAGAGCTTGCGCCAGGATATTAATGACCATTGAGGACTTCTTTCTGAGCCAGTGGAACTCCTGGAGTTGCTTCAATACCAGCCGTGTGTCTTTGAGAGAAGGCACCTTCTCGGGCGAAAGGACGTCACGAATAATGACCACGTCAGTCAGAGCGACAGTCATTCCACCGCCGGTAAGCGGATGTCGCATGTTAAGGGCATCGCCCAATAACATTAAGCCAGGGGTCTTATTCACCGAGGCCGGCAAGAAAGAGTTGGGCATGGAGCGCATCTTGCCTCATCCAAGGCCGCCTCGAAAGCCGGCCGGGTCTCCTCTGGAAGCCTCGGCAGGATCTGATTTCGCATGTAGCCTTTCACACCGCCGTTCTGTACAGATGCAGCGGGGAAGTTATCCGGAATATCGATCAGGATGCGGGTTTCATGGGTTCCGATCTGGTACATCAAAATGGGAGGGTTATCGCTTAACAGGACATGGCCGTAATGAGGCTCGGGGAGTTTGGCATCGATCATCTCAAGGCCCCAAAATTTGGAGCGGCGAGTCGGAGCATGTGCGTGGTGTCCCTTGCGGAATTTCGAGTCGTAGCCATCGGCAATCACTGTCAGCTGGGCGAGATAGCAATCTTTCAGGTCCTTGGTGACACATTCGACCCCAACAACCTGATCCGTCTCCGAGGAAGTTATCAGGCCTGTGGCCTTGGTCTCAACCACAGTCACGTTGGGGGTAGCGAGCACCGCCTCTCGTAACTTCGACACGAATCTGCCATGGTGGAAAGCGCGGCCTTCGGGTTCGGCGACGCTGGACCGGGGGGGAGTCTCTGGGGTAATCGAGACGAACGGGGTCGCGGAAGTATTCGATGTGGTATCCTTTGACGGGGAGGGCATCGATCCCCTCGAGGCACTCACTCAGACCAAGCTTCCCTAGGGCCTCGACACCTCCAGGCTGAAGCAATTCGCCGACAATGCGATCAGGCTCTTTCCATGAAGCCTCCAACAAGATCACGCTTCGGCCTTGCTTCCCCAGCGTGACGGCAAGGGCGCAACCGAGAACGCCCGCGCCGATGATAACGACGTCTGCTTCGTGTTGCTCTTTGCGTCCTTCGGCGTGACCATTGGCGTGGCCATTGGCGTGGCCATTGGCGTGACCGTTCGCATGTCCGTTGGAGCCATTGATATGGCCGTTAGGGGGAGGCCATGGTGAGCGAGGGGGGAAATTAAGGGCGGGATTGAAATCACAAGGACAAAGCGGCCGTTGCCGCCAGGGGCATCCTTGACAATTATAAAGGGCAGGAGATTAAAGGGAAATCAGAAGCAAAGGCTTTTGGGGAAAAAAAGTTCTAGAGTTATGGGCTGATCCCCAGGGTGGCATGACATGTGAATGGCCCAACGGGCTCTCCGCCTTTCTCGTGACTCCTTATCTTTTATCGCAGTCTCTATCCAACATACCTTACTGTATGTCAATCGTGGGCAAATGGATTCACCTCACCTGTCAAACATGCTAGGAAGTACTAGTGATTACTCTCCTACGACAAAAGTACTCAAATCCCCCAAATCCCCAAATCCCCGTATCTCCTTCGCCTTGGAAGCCTCAGGGGCGCAGCAGAATTCGAGCTCTGGTACTTCCGATGACTGATTCTACCATGTACAGCTCATACTAAGGGCTCCACAACTCTAAACGGCCCTGAATGCTACTAAACGCAGTAAACACCCTAAACGCAACTGAAGAGATCGCTGCTTCATCTGGCATTCTCCGACCCGGTCTCTCTCAATTGGCTTTGCCTGAGCGTTGAAGGATCCGTTTCAAAGGGGGTGGGAAAGGAGCTTCTTCCCGGTAGTTGATTTCCCGGGGCTAATGCATGCGCTGCTTCCCCATCTAACTTAGTTGGGATTCCAGCCCTTCATCCCTAGGGAACCTTGCGCCAGTCCATCTATACGAAGAGGTTGCCCCTTATTCTTGTCCATGTAGTGGCGATTTGATTTGCTCGGGCACCTATCGGATTTATTGTCCGGATGGTACCACTTCAACTATATTCGTACCTCCTGATCCCAACAGAAACCTTGGAATGGGCCCCGGGGTAGGGTTAGTTAGTTAGTTAACTAGTTAACTACCAGGGGCGGCTTAGTAACCCCCTTCTAAGACTGACCGGGCATCGAATCTATCCTGGGATATGTTGACAGGTATGACGCGGTGTCTCGGAAAGATAACTTGATACTGGGCCCTAGTTCATAGAGAAAGGAGGATCCGTGCTGCTGCTGATTTGAAATACCTCGTGCTAGATCGAGATCTTCCAATAACGTGGGGAGTTTGACCACAATCGGGTGTGGGTCGTCCTGATACACGTCCTGCGCAGGCGCAGAACACATGGATCTCGGTTGCAGGATATTCACAAGATAGAATTGTCGCCACCGGTGAGTCTAAGTAAGATGATAGGCGTAACGATAAGGGAGACTGCGATTATGAAGAACGAGGACCGCTTCCACTACTCGGACTAGTAGGTAGTCACATTCCCAAGAACTTGATGTCACAGAATCAATTTCATCCATGGATCGATCTCTATATCCACAGACTACTCAGATCTAGATCGTGATTGCTTAGTGAAAGGGTACCTTTGCTCACCATTCCCAACGTCCAGATCGAGAAGCAGGCCAACGCTGGAAGCCCCCACCTTCTCTGCATGATCCTCCGCTCATTTAAGGTTATACTTTGGCCCACCGGCGCAAGCATGGGCATCGACCATCATTCAAGAAGAGTTTGTGATCGAAGATCGCTCCAAAATTTCGGTTCTAAGATACAATGAGAGTCTATGTTTCTGTTATACAGGTATTTTACACACGCGGCCTGGAAGGATCCTTCGACGGATAGAGCGGATGCTCAGGCTGCCTCCGAGTCAAGAAAGCAGCCCGATCCTCTCGCCACCAGTACACCAAATCCTCCGGACTAAATTGAGCCCTGCCAATAAGGCGATCGAACTCTAATTCCTCATCAAACTGCTTCACTACGTGATCAAGCGGCCAGTCCATTTCAACCGTCCCGGCCGAAGGGGAGGTTAACTCGCTCCGAGTGGCAAGCCTCTCCCGGTGAGACCGATGCGTATTCGACCATTGCTGGGCACCGTCGCGTTTTTGCTGCAGAGCATCGTGGACATGGTCGATGGCGTTCAGAGCGGAAGAATCGAAAAATTCCTCCATATATGACATGAGATTCTTCACCTCGGCGAGGAAATAGCGGTTTGGTCGCTCCCGGCGACACAGGACGGCGACCATGCACCACCACACACCGCGAGCATTCCTGCTCAGTGCAAAAGCTCGCATGAGCATCTTGAGCGGCACCTGGCCGAAGCCATACATCTTGCGCCACTTGGAGAGGTATATAGCAGTGAGGACCAAGACTGCGGGCTGGCTGCGGCCGGATTCAATCAAGCGGCGAGCAGCAGTCATCGCGGCGTGATGTTTCACCGTGAGGCCGTCTGTGTGGGCGCAGATTTCGTAGAAGTCGAATAAAGCCATCTTGATCAGATCGCTGTCGCTCATGTAGGCGTCTTCCACCTGCATCAGCCGCTGGAACATGAGCGGCATGACGATCGGGAAGCGCGGTGTTTTGCGAGGCGAGGGCAGGTTGACCCATGTTGGCCATTGAGACTTAATGATATGGCGGGCCTCCGCAAGACCCTCGTTGCCCTTATCGAGGAGGGTGGCGATGACAGCAAGCTGCATCTGGATAGGCTTGATAGCGTAGCCCTTGTCAACAGCTTGCCAGAAACAATGTGTGGCTTCGGAGAAATGTCCTGAGTGAATGAAGTGTTCCAAGCGCTTGTTGAGAGGAATGAAAAGATTGATCGGAGTCTTAGCCACTAGAGTCTTCATGGTGTTGCCGTAGGTCTCTCGTGCGGGGTGATTGATCAGTGCCATCTCGGTTTGCGTTGGCGTCGACACGGCATCAAAGCCGGCACCAAGGATACGCCGAGAGCTAGCCACCAGTCGAGCTTGCTTCTTGGCTGCTTGCATCATGTTCCAAGTACTCATCGGCGAGTCTCTCATAGCGAGTCGTCGTTCTAGGATGATTTCTGCCACTCTATCTTGGCCGAATGTGTTCCATTGTTGCTCCTCGGCCATTTGCTGGATGGTAGATAGAGCAGAATCGTCTCCTCGCTCCACCAGCGCCTCGATGATATGCTGGTGGAGAACCCGGTCGGGGACGATTTCGAATTCGGTGAGAGAGCTCATAAGAAAATCGAGAATTTGAGGCCCCCCAGTGACTAGGATAAAACTCCAGGAAAATACGATCATAAGCTGCGATGAATGACGGTTGCTGAGAAAATCCCAGCTTGTGCATCTCCCGTAACATTGAGAATACACCCTCCCAGTCAGACTCCAGAGCTCGAGTAAGAGCCAAAAGGCCCAGGCTGCGGCAATCGGGCTGAACGCCTAATTTCTCAGACATTTCCGTCACCAAGAGCCTGGCCTCTTCATGTTTGCCAGAGTTGACATAGGCTTTGATCAGGGGGTTGATTACCTTAGCAGTTGGCTGTCGCCCAGCCCGTCTAAGGCCCTCTCAGGAGTTTCCCAAATTCACGGCCGATCAACTCAACATTTCGCGTCTTCTTCCAAATCCCATCGAGATAGGCTCCGCACAGGCCGCCTCCCACATCATGGTGAAGGCGAGTCAAAAGAAGCCATTTCGCTGTATGTAATCGCTGTGACTCAATACAGCACCGAATGACAACCTCTAGCAGATACGGAGGAAGTGAAAACTTGGTACGATATTTATCGAACACCACAGCCGCAGATTCGACATGGCCATCCCGAGCCAACAAATGAATGAGCCCAGTCCACATATCCTCATCGACAAGGGAGACCTCTTCAATGCGCTGGAACATTGAGCGAGCAATGAACGTGTTACCATTGAGACAGTTCATGGCAAAAATATCACAAGCAATCTTCCGCCTCTCAAAAGAGATCACTCTTCCTTCTCCTTCCCGCGGTGTTACATGCCGCAGGAACGTGTTGGCAGCCTTGATTGCTTCTTTGCTGCGCAGCAAGGCGATGAGAACTTCATCGAGAGGCTTTCGGCCCTCGGCTTTCAGATTCTCCCCTTGCTGAATCTCGTACGCCCTGGCTATCTGATCCACCCGGTAACTTCTTTCTCGAGGATAAGGCGGGCGATTAAAAGCCGGGTTCCGGTGCTGGCCGAAGTGCGACGCCGATTGCAAGTTGGGCGCAGGCGGTGCGGCCTCTTGTTTAGGGACAGCTTGTGCAGAGCTTTCTCCACGATCTACCTCTCCCACATCCTGCTGTGATTTTAGGGAGGCAGAGCCCATGAACTCGCCAGCTTCGGCAGCTTCCCTCATGCGAGTGATGCGGCGGGCGGAGGCGGTCGCATCGTAATTGGGAGCGGAGGTTCGGAGGGTTCGTTTGTTCTCGATGATCTGCTCGGCGATGCGTGTCCGACGATGGATATCATAGGACACAGCCGCGAAGGTACAGAAGCTGCCGACCGTACCGCCGGTGAGGGCCAGCTGCCGTAGTACACGCAAGGCATTGCGTGACGGGACGGTCGGCGTCGTGTTCATGGCTTTCGAGAACATGGACAGAGCAGGCCGCGGAAGTGCGCTGGCGTTACCAGCAGACTCCAGCGACCCAGCAAGGTAGGAAAACCAAGATTATCAATGATAGTCAGAACATAGACATACGTAGAGTAATCAATTGATGATTTTCCCGAGCTCGTTGGCGCGAAGAAACACAATTGAAGATGCTGGAAGTCGAGGTGACCCCATATTTTTCCCAATTTGAGAAAATTTGACGCTTTAGGTCTTTCCCGCCAGCCGGAGAATCATCTGATGTTTTGTGCTCGCCCGATCGTCTCCGATAGACGATAAAGCAATAACAAAGTACAGTCGTCGAATTTGAATTTACTGGGGAAAAGCGGGCATGATGGCCTTTCTAATTTGTACTTCTTTTATCCTACCGTAGTGCTTTCTCATAATTCTTATGAAATGAAAGTTATCTCAATAATTGATCCTCCTCATCTTCTCCATCTTCGTTTGCCTCCGCTGGCATGTCTGGCTCATCCCCGTCATCTTCCAAGCTGACTGTAGACAGATTAGCATTACTCAAAGTCCAGGCTGTTTGATAAGGATTAGGCATACCATAAGGTCGAACAAATAAACTTAGGATAAGGACCACACCAAACACAGATCCAAGGGCAATGAAGACCGTCTGGGGAGGGTTCTAACGGTGAAGCTGTAGAGAAGGTTTAGAATGGCAGGAGCAACGACACGAGACAGGGCGTGCAAAAGGCCTAAAGCTCCAAGCATACGCCCAACGCTTTCTTTCGGCACATGCTTGGTGATCGAGGACTGCACTGTTGGTGACCCTAGGCCACCGAGACAGTTGATAGCACCCGAAATAATCCAAGCACGGCCTGTCTTGGATAGCGAATAGCCCGTGAAGCCAATGATCTCAAAACAAACTGAAACTCGCATGACGACAACATCCAGCATATCACATCCGTGAATATGTCCGTCGTCTTTGACTGGTGTTCGAAACAGCTTGGAAAGAAGAGGCAGAACTCCAAACAAGTTGACAACCCGCACACTATTGACGATGGCCACGTAAAGACTCGTTTCAACGTCTCCCCAGCCAAACATTCTCTCGGAGTACAGAACAATCACCTGTGAGACACCCATGGTGACTCCAAACAGAGCCGTGTCCATCGATGCCAGGACGATAATGTTTCGGCGCACGCCAGCGTTAGCGCCTACAATACCTGGGAACAGTTCACTGGGCCGACCAACCGCCGGAACTAGAACGCGAAGTGGGGCGAAGAGCTTCAATGGGTTTAAGTTCTTGGGTGAGAACCAGTGAGAAGCCTCGGGGTCTTTAGGTCTGGCATGGTGTCTAGCACGTGCAGCAAGCTGCCGCTCTTTGGAGAGAGACTCAGGTACAACAAGGAGAAGGGCCAATGTAAAGCTTGCAAATAGGGCAAATCCGATATAAAAGACCACCTTGGAAGATCCGAGGTGTGCAATGAGGAACGCTGCGCTCATAGGCCCCAACGCGATTCCTAGAAATAACGAGCCATGAAACAGGCCAAATGCAGCGCTTCGACGCTCCGGCGGAGTGCAATCGGATGCGTAGGAGTTGACTAGCGCTTGCGTGCCGGTAAACGAACTGCACAGTCCGTCTATAGCGGCCCCCAAAAGGAACCAGTACACTGACATCGTGGCGGGCCATGTTGCTAACAGGGCGCAGATAAACTCGGTACAAGCAGCGCCGAATCCACACACAACCAGTAGCCTGGTTCGGCCGTATCGATCTGACAGGTGGCCGAGCTGAGGACTGATCAAGGCGGAGAGAATACCAGCAATCAGGTTGACTGCAAGCTGAAAGCGAGATACCCGAGCTTGAATTTCGGGAATGTGACACTGAGGGTTGTTTCTCCCAGGGATCAGCGGAGGATTGATAAAGCCGGGATTCAGCTTTGCTTGTTCGGCGAAATAGTCGCGACACACGAGAGACATCATCAAGTTGACCTTAGGTACAGCGACACCGCCGAGGGCCAACGTATACATTAAGCCGAACGGGAGCAACCACCAGATCTATAGGAGGACCAGATTCATTAGACCTAATAACGACACTATTTCCGATCAAATGCTCACACTTGGTTTCCTCCACGCCGGTCTGGTATCTACCTCTCGCTCCTGCTGCACATCGCGCGTCCATTCGTGGTCGGAGTCGTCGGCAAGTAGAGGCTCATTGTGGACTTGCAAGGAGTCTGTTGTGTCACCGGTGTTCCTGAACAGAGTCTGCTGAGCGATTAGAGCAGCTTCGCCCGCGAACAACTCTTCATTCTCTAACGGCTCCATCTTTTGCAGTGTCGCGCGTTGATGATGCCTGCGGGCCAAGTAAGCTTTAAGCTGAAATGGTGAAGTGCAGGACGCCTCAGCCTGACTCGACCTGCAGGGATGAGTTGGCGAGGGGTCGGAAGGATTCCAGCTCCGAGCGCGATATTGGCATGAATGGGAAACAAATGGACCCGCCAATTAGAGTGACTCGGAGGAACCCGAAGCTAACTCGATACAGTACGCAGAGCGAATATACAAACTGGACACAGTCTGGATGCCAGGATGATCTAGCAGGTCCAAGCCGCGTAGATGCGTCAACCGGTATGTTGCGCTTTCTTATCTTGCCGGTTTCCAGGTATCTCCTCAGCAGACTGCGATTGCGCCCCCAATTGAGCTGCAAGCCAAGGTGGGGGCCTGTTTTTATCATCCAATCGAAATGGGGAATCTGACTATGCAGAATCTCCGGCTTGTCTAAACTAAGACAACCGTTGACCGCATGGGGCGTCATCGCCGTGAAGGGCCGCGGCTCTAGATAAAGTTCGCCTGGGCGACTTCTAGATCTCGTGGATCTTCGCTCCATCCCGACACATTTCTCCAAATTCTCCATCTAGTTCCAGAAGATTTAGCCTAGTTTTCGCTGGAGAATTGTGAATATTTATTCTTATTCAAAAGATGGTCTGATTCGCTCAGTGTAATTAGACATTCTTCAAGTCCACTTGTTATCTTCTCTCTCGGTTGCCCAAGAGCCATGAATCAAAGCAATATTTTGCCGGCCTGAAACTCCTATTGAGACTACAAGATACTAGTAATAGTAAGATACGATGTACATAATACAGATGTGAAAGTGGAGATGAACGCTAGAACCTAGAACCAGCGAACGAATCACTGGACAAGATGAGAGCGCTCTCCAGCGAAAAACTTCTTTTGCTCCAAGCATCGTTCACTTCGGCAGCCCTGGCATCGGAGAGTCATCTGCGCCGAACAAGATTCCCCTTCCTGTAGATGCTCGTGAGCAATGTCTGCAAGAGCCCGAATGAAAGTCGGATTGCCGTTCAGACTCTCGGCACGTTTGACGCCGGGGCTGTTCGCCTCGTGCATTACCTCGAGATCCAACTCATATAGAGTTTCGATATGGTCGCTTGTGAATGCGATTGGCACAAGAACAAGATCGGTGTGACCACGGTTGACATAGTTCATAACTGTATCACTGGTCTGTGCACCGAGCCATGCAGATGGGCCAACCTGAGACTGCCAGCACAAGCGGTATGGGTTGCTGAAGTTGAGGCGCTTCATGACGGCGTGGACAGTTGCAGCCACTTCGGCAGGGTAAGGGTCACCGCGGTTCACAACACTCATGGGGAGACTGTGGGCAGAGAACAGCAGCACCACTGAATCACGCTTGTCCTCCGGGTATGTCTTTAACTGAGCCTCGATGTTCTGCGCAAAAGCCTCGACAAGGCCGGCGTGTGTAGGCCATCGGTCGATCACGCTCCACTTAATGGCACCAGCAGCGTCTACCTCCCCATCAGCGTTTTTGCCTTCTAAGCGGTTGCGCCACTTCCATAATTCATTAAGAGAACTGCCGGTTGTTGAGCAGGAGTATTGCGGGTATTGCGTAAAGGCCACGGCACGACCTCCTTTGCCGTTTCCAAATCCATCTTTGAGGAGCTGAGCATACATGGTCTCTGTCAGCGGGGCCGCATAGCGAAAGGCAACATAAGGTTTGTGCGGCGCAGTCTCGGGGGAAATCTGGTCAAGGATCTTGCACATCTCTTCACATTGATATTCGGACCATTTTCGAATTGGCGATCCACCACCAATGTCGGAGTATTGCTGCTGGATCTTGGGGGTTCGCCGGCGGGCAATGAGAGGGCCCATGTAGGACTGCAGACGACCTAGTGGAATCAGATCGCCATCTGACTGGAAGAATGAATCAGCTTGTTGTCTGAGACGTAACTGGGGACACTTATTGACATACAAACAATCTGCTTAGGAAATCGTGCACCTCATTTGTGGTTGAAGGACCGCCCATGTTCATGAAAACCATGGCAGTCGGGCCCTTAGCACCCGTTGCATCCTGGGTCACTGGTGGCACGACAGTGGCTAAGCCGCAGGAACGGGGTGTATTCAACCTCCAAGAACTCGAGGCTGACCGTAGCACCGAGGTGCTGTTTCCCCATAGTCGTCGCGAGGCGATTGGGTTGAAAGACATCCTTTTTTTTTTCGATTGCAAGTCTAACTTGGGTTGTAATTGACACAACTAACAAGAAGGAGAACGGAAATTGAGAAAGGAAATGGTGTCGTTTTCACCAGAGTTCCTGATTTCCCGGGCCCCGGATAAAGGATAGCGATTACATAGCGGTCCAGTCGAGACCTAAACTGAACTAGGCCAAACACGGGCTGCTTACACGATCTGCCCGATCGGCGATTGGCCAGATCGGGAACGTTCTCTACGCCGCCTTTCCCACCGCCCAGGTGATTTCGTGTTTCTGCCGGCCCCACGTCATTGCTGCCTTGAGACCCGTGGACGCGCCTGTGGCCTACAGAGAAACTACCCTTTGTCCTTTTCCTGCTATCTACAACCCCGCAAAGATGGCAGATGAAGGCTACAATCATGAGGATGAGACGTATGATGAGGAAGAGGTCGACGAGACTGTAGGTTCAAATTGTGAATTCCTCTCCCAAAACTGATATTCTTACGAACCAGAGCTTCCGAGCAGTGAAAGATGCCATTCTTTTTGCTATTGACGTGAGCAGCTCAATGCTCGAGCCGCGGCCATCTGAAAACCCCAAGAAGCCGGGTGGGGTATCGCCCGCTTCGGCTGCTCTCAAGTGTGCATATCATTTGATGCAACAAAGAATCATATCAAATCCCAGAGACATGATTGGCGTCCTTCTGTACGGCACGGAGGCTTCCAAATTCTACGACGAGGATGGAGACCTTGTTTCCTATCCTCATTGCTATCTCTTTACTGACCTGGATATCCCTTCTGCCCAAGAAGTGAAGGAACTTCGCGGGTTAGCCGAGGATGAAGAAGAAGCCAGAAAAATACTCCAGCCCTCTAAGGAGCCTGTTTCAATGGCCAACGTGTTGTTCTGCGCCAATCAGATATTCACATCAAAAGCCCCCAATTTCCTATCGCGGCGCCTCTTCATTGTCACTGATGAGGATAACCCGCACGCAGATAACAAGTCCCTTCGTTCCGCAGCTACAGTCCGCGCGAGAGATTTGTATGATCTTGGGGTCAATATCGAGCTTTTTCCGATCTCACGGCCTGGCCATGAATTCGATACATCCAAGTTCTATGATGTAAGTCCTATGGATATGGTCGGTCGATAGGAGCAATAACTGATTAGTATCAAACAAAAAGGACATTATCTACAAAACTTCGCCGACGGACGGAGAAGCACCTGCATACCTCCAGCCAGATACCAACGAACCAACAGCCAAAGGAGATGGCATCTCCTTGCTCAACTCGCTTTTGTCAAGTATCAACTCTAGGTCCGTACCCCGACGAACACTGTTCTCAAATGTACCACTAGAGATTGGCCCGGGCTTTAAAATTTCCGTGAACGGCTATCTCCTCCTCAAGCGCCAGGAACCCGCCAGGAGCTGCTATGTCTGGCTCGGTGGAGAGACTCCACAGATCGCCAAGGGTGTGACCACCCAAATGGCAGACGACACGGCGCAGACAGTCGAGAAGGGCGACATTCGCAAAGCCTACAAGTTCGGCGGCGAGCAGGTCTCGTTTACCACCGAGGAGCAGCAAGCACTCAGGAGTTTCGGAGACCCGGTGATCCGCATCATTGGCTTCAAGCCCCTGTCAGCGCTGCCATTCTGGGCCAATCTGAAGCACCCTTCTTTCATCTACCCTTCAGAGGAAGACTACATTGGCTCCACGCGGGTCTTCTCAGCTCTGCAGCAAAAGCTTCTGAAGTCCCAGAAATTAGCCCTTGTCTGGTTTATTCCTCGCAAGAACGCCTCTCCAGTTCTGGCAGCCATGATCGCTGGCGAGGAAAAGGTCGATGAAAATGGCGTCCAAAAAATACCGCCCGGAATGTGGATTATCCCTCTGCCTTTCGCAGACGACGTGCGACAAAACCCCGAAACTAACCGGATCGAAGCACCGGATTCCTTAATCGACCTGATGCGCCAAGTGGTCCAGCAGCTCCAACTTCCGAAGGCTGTATATGATCCTCAAAAATATCCCAATCCTTGTGAGTCTGCCTCTGAACATCCTCGAAGCCCTTGCTAATCCCAGGAGCACTCCAATGGCATTATCGCATCTTACAAGCCCTTGCCTTGGATGAAGACCATCCCGGCGAACCGGAGGATAAAACGATCCCCAAGTACCGCCAAATTGACAAGGTAAGGCTGCCAGAAGCTTGAGACAAGTGTGCTTGTTATATTGACGTGTCAGCGTGCGGGTGAATATGTCCTCGCATGGGCCGAAGAACTCGACACCCAAATTAAGAAGCTAGGCCTGACGGCAGCTACGAAAACAACCCTTGTCAAGAGGGGTCCTAAAGAGAGCTCTGAGACTGCTGGTTCTCCTCCTTCAAAACGCGTCAAGGTTGAATCTGGTAATATCGATAGCGAGGTGAAGAAAAGCTTCGAGAAAGGAACTGTTGCGAAGGTGGGCGCTTTATTTCTTCTTTTTTTCCCCCTTATTCTGTCTACGAAGTATTTGAGCTATGCTAACTGTACGCACAGCTGACGATGCCGACACTGAAAGAATTCCTGCATGCACATGGACGTTCTTCGGCTGGCAAGAAAGCTGATCTCGTTGATCGGGTGGAGCAATTCTTTGAGCAGAAACTTTGAGCGTATCTCTGGTAGATCTGGTAGATCTCTCTAGCTAAGTAACGAATGCCTTTTAGCAAATGATTTATGACCAATATCAACATTCAAACCACTACATACACTTGTGCGCAAATCATTTGTCCTCGAAAAGGTCTTTTCTGGAGATGGATTTCTTGTCTCCAATATTTGGTAATTCCATTTTAGGCACGCAGTGCTCTATTTAAAATTATTAAGCTTAAAAAAAGCAAGTCCCAAGCAGTCTAGATCCGACGCCCGAAAGCATACTCGCAACGAAACCAACCGTTCAACTCCAAGCCTTCAAGGGAGCGCATTCCCGAGGCATGCGCAAGAAAAGCAACAATGCGCGAGGGTATCAAAATGGCAATATGTACTTGGCGAGCAACTCATGACTGCGTATGTACAACGCACACAACTCCGAAATGCAGCACTGAACGAAACGCCAGGCCGCCGGTACTCAGCATTTCCCATAAACCTGGCAGTAACAGAGTTCCTCCTCGGGACAGCTAGAGAAGCGTTAGTAACGTTTGGGCAACATTATACCCAGCCAGGACATGGAAACTTACTACACGGCCTCCATGCCGAAGATAACATGCCACATGAACTCCATAACCCGTCCGGAACTAGCGTCGTTCATCGAGGTGTCGACCAGCCACTGGCGGAACTTGACATAGTCGTCACGAGGTCGGCGGTGGACCTGCGATCTGGACACGGCGAATTGGGCACAACAGGCAGCGCCGATCAGATCAGGCTTCCGGAGTAAACGCTGTGCGCCTTTCTGGGAGACCTGGTAAGGGTCGGAGGTATTCATTGGGGGGGGTGGAAGTTCCAGAGAACATGTCCCACCAGACCTGGTCGGTGACGTGGGCGTTGACGCGGTGGGACTCCTTGCAGCCGGGGTTCCAGTTGCAGCGGAGGTTGACATAGCCGTTTTGCTGAATGAAAGGCAGGTTGAGGCTTTTCATGGCAATCACGTTGTCGTGCATGGGGGGCATCGACGTGCCAGGCCAGGAAGAAACCAGAGCGGTGGGCGTGCAGGAAGACGATGGTCGAGGGGAGTTTGTCGTAGTAGTCAATTACGTAGGTAAGATAGGCCATAGCTTCATGGCCCTTGTTGAAGGGGGTTGTAAGGATTTCGTCGTTGGATCGTGTTTCGGAGGAAGGGTTGACGACGTAGATTGCTCGCTGCCAGCTACAAAGGGGGTTAGCGTCTGTTCAAGACGATGGGTCGAGTGCCGCGTCTTTGGGGGGTCCAGGGGATGGAACGTACTCCGGAGCTCTTCTTCGACCCAGCCGGTGTATTCTTCCTCCAGTTTCGCCATAACAATGACTTTATCCCCAGGAGGGAGAGGTGGGACCCTGATTGCGTCGGGTTGTGGCGAGGCCTCCCAATCGAGCTGTTGCAGCAAGTATGCACCTGTGCGATATTGGCTACAGACATCCTGGAGATGTGATCCTAGCATGTATAACCCAATTAGCAGGAGCGCTGAAGCGCACACTGCGAGTCGCGTTCCCCATTTTAACATGATGAAAGGGCAAAGGTTTTCTTCCAGGCAGGCCCTTGATGGGAGCTCCGCGTATACCAACTTCGAGTACAAGCACTAGAGAGCCATTGATTGTATATGTGGCGGTTCGAAGGAGAGGGACTGTCGACTGCCTTATAGGAACGAGAAAAGCGGTAGGGAAAGAGCCGAGGGTGGCACGACTTAGTAGAAAGGAGAGAAGGGGGCCGAATGTGGGGCCAAGGAGGGACTTTAAAGCCAACAGGCTAAACGTTATAGAGGTCAAGGAGCGACAAGAATTTAAGGAGCAGTGGAGGATGGCGATCACCAGAGGAAACAGTTTGAAGAGAAAAAGCGAAAGGCTGAGCCGCGTCATTGGTGAAATGGGGCGAAGAAGGGGGCGCTGCTAGTGTGAGGCAGTCCTGGATTGGCCTGAAACTGCAATGGGGCCAGGGTCCACCCGCTGATTGGTCTGTTGCCTCGTCTTTTCCCTGGAAGAGCAAAAGCTTGGCAATGGAGCGAGAAGTCCAACTTCCAAGGCCGATGACCTTCTTGCCTTCGCGTGTGTAAACGGGGAACCCTCGAATACCCTCGAATACCTCGTATATGGCGGATCATGAGAGGGTTTGAAGGCCGGTCGAACAAGCCGCCTCGGATCTGGGGCCGCTGCCTGGTAAGGCACAGGAAGATCCATGGGTCTCCCGTGGCAAAGCCCAGGAAAATGCAGGAACTGAACCTTGAACGCCGGCCGAAGCCATCTGTCCCCCGCTCCATAGCGCCATTCAATTCCGTCTGGTCCAAGTGCTCTTTACGGAGTAGTAGTGCGGTTTCGAGTAATCAGATTGACCCCTGAGTCCCGAGTCGCTGGAAAGCGGGTCCGAATGCACGCACCTCCAGATACGTACATATACAGCGCGCTCTGGCTTCTACAGTTTTGTTTCCGAAGAGACATGTTTGCCTCGAGAACCTGCACAGCCTAAGGCGTACCCCGGGACCAAGCCCCGATTTTCAGGCTCACCATCGCCGCCATGAGGACTCGCCCCACCCCCCACTCCAGAGTCAACTGGTAACTACTATATGGCTGCCTTGTCATCATATGTACAGATGAGTTGTTGGTACCACTTAGCACAATATGATAAAGTGGTACGGAACTATTTGGAGAATCAGGGTAACCCACGACTACCTGTTATCCTCGGAAATGAACAGACCAATGACAATGTCCCGAATTCCTCAATTTCCGCAAATATGCAGTTATATATCGTGGAGCTGCCCGCCTAAAAAGTACCCGCACGAGGCTCGGTGACTGTCCACAGCAGTTTCCCCGCAAGAGGAACCCGCAGAGCGCGTAGGCAGCCGCGCGTCCCCCTATGACTCGTGGTTTGGGATAACGTAGATATATAGATAGGCTTAAACATTTGGTCTATTTGTGGTTATTCCAAGGCTACGATCTAGGTGTGGCGTCATTGCATGAGGGGTAACTAATGATAACCGCCCGGAACCAACTTCGCGGCGGACCCCAGCGGGGCTGTGCTGTCAATATTCCATTCCAATACGGAGTAGTTGCTTTGCCGGTCTGCGCTCCGCCGTAAGAAGCATGTGCTAAAATAAGACTGTGCGTCAGGTTTCGAGAGGCTTGCAGCTGAGACGCCGTGTGATTGCTTGACTCGGACTGGATGCAGATATATGCTTGTACACCTTGGTAACTAGTACCTCAGCAGCCCCAGGGCGACTGTGCGCAAGCAGATATGGGAAGGCTTGGAATGCTTGTCGGATGGATGTAACATCTGAAAGTTCCGATGGCATCATGATACCATGCTCGGCCTGCTTATCCTGAGTTGGCTACATATCTTAGCAGGGCTAACCGGCAACAAATGAGACGGATTTTGAAAGGTTCAAGGACTTTTCTTTTTCCTTATCTACATTATTTGCTAATGTACATGATATGGCCATGTGGAATATGCCAAAAATAACAGCGTTTATTCTCCGAGGGCAGTCCGGCTGCCGCTCACTGCATTGAGGCTCAGGCGAAGAATCTACTCAGCTTCTTCCTCCTCACTCACTTCTTCCCCTTCCTCGATCGCCTTCTCTCGCTTCTTCCGGGCACGCTCTCGCTTTTTGTCTAGTAACACATTGAGCTTCTTCGCGACATTGAAAACACCCCCCCGTGCCCGCCCCGCATGCCTCACAACTTGGATCCTTCCGGTACCGTTTCAGAGCACAGGACTCGCAAAAGTAGTGTCCGCATTTCGTAACAATAGGGGTTTGGTAGGGCTTTCGACAGATGAGGCAAGCAAATGGTATATTATCCAGAGCATCCTCATCCTCGTCTTCTTCGTCCTCCGTCTTTTTCAGACCGCCTCTTTGCGCTACCATCTTCCCGCCCGGTTTCTTGCCCTTTGTCACATCCTCCCATTCCTTATCCAGTTGCCAGCCCTGAGCGTATACTTCACGCGAATGTAAAAACTTGCAGCTGTCACCGAAGCCCTGTATAGAGATGTCAGTACATTACTCGTAAGAGGGAACCATTGGAGTGAAAACTTACACAAAATCCCGTCTGCTTCCAGTCCTTACACACATCGGGCGCAAAGTCCATTGTAGTCACCGTCCGCACGTTGGTAGAAGCCTTGACTGGTCCAAACTTTTTCGGCGCATCTGGGTTTTTTTGAATGAAAGATGTGTAGTTGGCGGCACCCTTGTACGTGCCATCCGGACCTGATGTAGAACCCTGCGGCTTGTTCCGCGTTGATCCTAGCAGGTTCTTTGCGCTCAAGTCTTCCTCATCGTACCAGTTGGATTGTTTCGTCGCATCGTTACTGGAGGTCAAGGGAAGCGGACCGCTGGATTCTGGGACGGCTGGGGCTTTTCTTGTGGTATTCGCGGCGGACGAGGCTGTGACAGCTACATTGGGGCGTCGGCGCTTAATGCGCCGTCCGTCATTATCTTCATCGGAAGAGAAGTCGCTCCCCGAGTCGGAGGCAGGTGGTGGTGTGGCGGGTTTCTTGCGGAAGTTGCCCTTGGGCTTGGAGCGCTTTTTGAAGCCGAACTGGGGAACTGCATCGACAGATTCCGTCTCTCCTGGCATGTTGGCGGACTAGAAGAGAATCCAGAGTGTGAAATGGTCAAGAGCCAAAATATATTCGAGGTTGACCAGAAATTAACGAAGGTCCTAGAAAGCCTAGCGATGATGTAGACCTGGATTGAAAATCAGGATGACTAAGGAGCCCGGGCTCAACCATGGGTCCGACAATGCAAAATGTGCAAACACGCACCAAAATAGAAAACCATAACAGACAATAATCGCACGAGGAACCTTGGAAAGAGCGTCGCCCCTGCAAGTATAAACGGTGCATGGCACAACCCCAGATAAGAATTCTAGAACCCCCCCCCGCAAGGTACGGAGTAGATCATTAGACGTAACTAGGGGAAACGCTTCCCTGTCGTGCTTGCATCTGCGAGGGCCTCCGTAGTTTTTGCCAATTGGCACCGGTGTATCAGGGTACCAAGAGCCCCCCCCTCAGTCTTCTCCTTCTCTTGGGCTCTCCCATCTCCTACTCGCCAACTCAACCCGACGTTCCCTACCAACACGTTTGTATTTTCCTTGTAATTTATCACCAGTCTTCCTTTCCTGTTTCTGTGTCTGTTTCTTTTGTCTCATTTTCGAAGGTGCAGAGGGTGTCAGGCCCCGGAACCCGTTTGTTGTGCTTGGACTGCATCACTCACGCGCGTCTGGCCAGTCAGCTTGTCGGGACGGGGAACCCAGACTGATTGGGTGACTGTTTGTTTTCTGATTCCCCTCTTCCCACCTTCGCATCCCGCGACGGTTCTTCTATTCCCTGTCCCTTCTTTCCTATTGTCGCATCTCCTGTTGCGCGATTTGTGGTCGCTGGTCGGCTCGGTCTTGCTCTCGGTGCAGACCCTTCTATGATTATCTTCCCCTCTTCGAGGCCCGCCAAATAATGCCCGTGAATTACCCCTGCTAATCAACAACACTCACGCGCCAAAACTCCAAGTCTCCACGGCGACTGTTTCCTCCGATCTTGGGGATCCAGACGTCGCGTGAGACCACCTCGCCTCCGGGAGGATGACCGCCCCCCAACCACGGAGCCGACAATTCCCTCACCTCCATGATGGAGGATCCATTCGTTTCTAATTCTGTGCAGCCCGCTGCCGCCCGCGAATCTCACCGATACTCCTCGTTCGACACTCAACTATTCAGTCTCAATGCCTCGTCCCCGGCCCAGGCCAAGCGAGCCCTCGAGGCCCACCTGGCTGAGACCGAGCGCCGGCTAGAGGAGGCTTCCAAATTGGGGACCGCCCTGATCGATCAACAACGCGAACTCTCAGAACAACTCAAAGAAGTTGAACGGCAACAGGATGAGGGGGAGATGGGTCCAGAGCTGCGCCAAAAACTCGCTGATTTGGAGCGCGAGTACACTGAAATTGGCCGGGAGACGGCGCGCGCATTCCTTGCGCCGAAGCGCCAAGCAGGCTCAGAGGACCAATTCGGGACTCCTGGATTTGATCAAAAGGTATTGTGACCATCTCACCATTTTGCACTTTGCTAGCGTTCTAACTTCTTCCAGTCCCCGCTGAGCCCCGCCTTGTTCGCTGGGCAAGCGACCAACTCTCCCAGTAAAGTCAGCGTCCCATCTCGTAAGCAGCGCAACCAACCCTCGAGCCGTGTGCACGACATCGAATTCGCAACCGAGATTTCGACTTCTCTCTTGGCTCAAGTTCGACAGCTACAGAATCTCCTTGCCGAACGTGAAGAAACTCTCAAGTCGGTAAACTTGGAGAAGGCGCGATTGGAGCTGGAAGCGGAAGGATATGCCCAAAGGATCCGTGCTCTTGATGACAGTGAACAGCGGTATAAGGACGAGAATTGGGCCTTGGAAACCCAGACTCATGAGTTGAACGCCGCTATCAAAGAGGCAGCAGAACGTGAGAATAGACTCAACACCATTCTGAGTGCATCTACCGCGGAAAAGAACGCCGTGGAGCGGGAATTGGAGGAACTCAAGCAGACCAACTCGAAGCTGCTTGAGGAGCAAGCCATTGTTAAGAAAGCAAATGACTCTGAGATCCATCTTTTGCGTCGCAACCTTAATGCTGGTGACCTCGAGAAATCGGCTCTCCTCAAAAAACTCGAAGAGATGACAGCCCAAAATCAAGAGCTGGCCAAGGCTGTTGCGATGCGGATTCGACAGCACGAGTCACAAGGCCATCAAGACCAATCCAACGATAATGACGAGGAAGAGCCTGAACATATCACTCCTGAAAGCTCTCCTCCGCAGTCCCCCAACAAGTTTACCCCTCGCCATGGCCACCTAGAGTCGGAAACTCTGAAGAGCTCACTCGGTCATGCTCATCGCATGATCCAAAACCTCAAGAGCACCATTCATCGAGAGAAGACCGAAAAGATTGAGCTCAAGCGCATGCTGCAAGAGGCTCGGGATGAGGTGGAGCAGCGCCGTCGTGACTCTGCCGCGCCTAACGGTGCGGCAAAGAAGAGTCTCAAGAAGAAGGAAGAGTCCTTCCGTAAGCCTGCCCGACCGGATCTGCTGGGCGCTGGTCGCAAGGAAAAGTCTACGGTTGAGTTGCATGACACTGACTGGGAAGATAACGCTGGTCAAATCAGCCCGACCCGCGTAGCATTGTCAAGTTCATCTCAGAGCCGCCCCGCCTTCGAGTCCGATTCTACGGATGTGCCCGCTGACATGTACCAAACTGCTACGGAAGCTGAGGATGGATTCGAGACAGCCAATGAACGTGCAACTGCTACCGAAAGCGAGGCTTTCCAGACTGGTTTGGAGAGTATGGCAGATGACAGCAGTGACTCTGCAGACCTTACCGAAACTGAACGCACTATTCAGAGCACTCCGCGCCAGCGTGTTAGCTCGTCTCTGGTGATGAACAAGAACCGTGGTAACAATGCCTATCACAGCTCTGCCTCTACATCAGACAGTGAAACCGACCAAGATGGGGGATATTCTCCTAGCCAGATCCATATTTCCCGCCGCGTGCGTTCCAAACGAAGCATTCTCAGACGCATCCGCCCGTCCGGCGAGGCTCCAATGGCGTCCAACAGCCGTCCTTCGAGCGCACGTAACTCTCCAGCTCCAAGCTTCGAGCAAGCACCTGCGCAAGAAGGTCAGAGCTTATTTGCGGAGCTTGCCGAACTTGAAGGTGGTGAGGAAGGGGAAGAAGGGGGAAGAAGAAGAGGCTGCAGCTACCTCCCAATCCTCTACTCCTCGTATGCTGCCTGTGTCTGATTCCCGCAGGCCTTCGGAAGTATCATTGGAAGCTACTCCTAAGCCTGTGATGGTCGACTCCGGTATGATGACTGAGCCATGGGAGCCAACTACAGTCAGCGAAGCAGCTGTATCAGGTGCTGCTGGAGTCGTCGCAGGAGCCGCAGGGGCTGCAGTTGTGGCCGACACTCCCGCAACGCCACAGAAAACCGCAGAGCGTGAGATTTCAAAAGAGCAGGGCATTCCCGGGCTGGTCAGCTCAGGAACGCAGTGGACGCCCAAGTCTCCTGTAGACCATGAGCATTTGGCGAACGTCCCTACACCACCTAAAATGGCATGGGATGACCACTCTGCGCAAGTCCAGACTCAGAGTCAGCCTGTGGAGGCAGGCACGCAATCAGATACCCCTGTGCTTCCTGACTTGACCCTAGCCGAAATCATTTCTGAAGAGACTCTGCCCTCAGCGCCCAAGTGGCCAGGGCTGAGCATCGGCTACATTTCTGGACCGGTCACTGAGCCTGTCAAACAATTAGTTCCTGTTCCTGATGTTCCGGAAGTGCGCGTGTCTTCGATCGAGTCACAATTTACGGAGCCTGTGTTGGCCGTTCTCCCGAACCAGAGGTTGTTCGTGTTGAGGTCCCCGTGGAGGTGCCTGTGGAGGTCCCAGTTGAAGTACCCGTTGAAGTCCCTCGGGAACTCCCTGAGCTGAGCTTGTCAAATCTTTTCACAAACTCCACTGAGCCTGTTAAGCCCCAGCTTCCTGAGCCTGAGCCTGAGCCTGAGCCCGAGCCCGTCCCCGCTTCCGTTCCTGTTATCGAGAAAGAGACCCCTAGCTATGAGTTGGGACTCTCAACGCTCTCCGTGCAGCACACGGAACCGGTCGAATATAAACTGCCTGAGCCCGCCCCAGCACCGGAGCCCATTGTCATTACGGCCCCTGCCCCCTGAGCCAGTTTACCCAGAACTTTCGCTCTCTTGGCTGTCTCCCTCGTTCACAGAGCCTGTCCTCCCTAAGGTTATTGAGCACGTTCAGCCGGCTTCGTCTCTCTCAGCATTAAATTCCGTGGAGACTCTTCCAGTCATCCCTTCGCCACGTGTGATTCCTGCCATGTCAGATTTTGCAATTCAGACCGATCCAGTCGAGGAGCCCAAAGCTGCTGCCGTGCCGATCTACGAGGACAAGCCTACCGAGACGATTCAAAACGGGACCAGCGCCGACACCGACCGCCGGGCAAGCACAGGGTTGGCTCTTAATGATATCTCTGGCAATGCTCTGCCCCTTTCACCCAGGTCCCTTTCCAGCTCTGTTAGCATGGACCAAGGCTCTCAAACCATCCTTTCTTCTAAGCAAATTGACCGAATCTTAATGGAACGTGACCCTATTCGGCCTCTCTCTTCCCGTGATAGCAAACAATCGAGGGACTTGGCAACTGCGGCCGCCCAGACCGCCGTTGCAAGCTCACCATTTGCTACCCCCAAGCCCCCGTCTCGACAACAATCGTCGACCAAGTCAGCTGGATCGACGCCTCTCCGACCAGATACCGCCGCAAGCCACGCTTCTAGCCTCCATCCACCATTGCCGGCCGACCATCGGGAGGCAATCCTAGCTGCAGAGAAACGGTCAATGGACATGCCCGCACCAGAGCCATCTCCTTCAATCATGGGCCCTCCTTTGGCCCCTGCATCTGCTTATCGGATGAACGCGCAGACAGCCCCACGAACCCCCCGGAGAGTCCGCTCCTCGGGCGCCATCCACTCGCACCGCTTCTACACATGCACGCATGAGGAGAGGAAGTCTGAGTCAAATGTCCCGACGGTCGTCAGTTTCCTCGTTCGCTTCGGAGATTGATGAGAGGTTTAACATGAGCAACCCTCACGCTGGCCCCATGCCACACGGGTACGGAGCCAACACTGATCCACGCATGATCCAGGCAATCACTCAGACAATGATCGGCGAGTTCCTCTGGAAGTATACTCGAAAGACTGGGTCTGCAGACATGTCCACAACACGACACCGACGGTACTTCTGGGTTCATCCGTACACCCGTACGCTGTACTGGAGTACCCACGACCCCCAAACTGCCGGAAAGAGTGAACTCAAAACAAAGAGTGTGCCTATTGAAGCAGTTCGCGTTGTTGCGGATGACAATCCTTATCCTCCTGGCTTGCACCACCGTAGCTTGGAAGTGATCAGCCCTGGCCGGAAGGTCCGATTCACGGCATCTACTAGCCAGAGACATGAGACTTGGTTCAATGCTCTATCATATCTTCTCTTGAGAGAGACCGACGAGAACCCTGCCGATCAGGATAATGTGACATTGGATGACATCGACGAGTTTAATCCGGGTTTCCGATCTGCATCTCGCACCGCTGCTAGGATGTCGATCTCTTCACAGAAGAGCCGCGGAGCCCGACACGCGTCAAAGGTCCCACCTCGAGCCGCCTCGGCTATGTCTTTCCGATCCGTTGCTACCTCTGGACGTGCCTCGCCAGCTTTGAGTTCCCCGGGACACACCTCTTTGCAAGTTCCCGACGAACGACAACGCTCTTCATCCCGGTTCAGTACCATGCTTAATGCGTCAATCCGCGGATCGATCACTAGTCTGAAGGGTCGCCATGGCCAGTCCTCCAGCATTAACGATGAGAGCCTTCAGGGGCAGGAGAGCGTCGAGAGTTTTCCACATGCACACCATGTGCATGACGATGATGATAAACTTGAGAACGTCCGTGCCTGCTGCGACGGAAAGCACGATGTGGGCTCGCTCTCCCGCACCAGCAAATTCAGCCCGCGGGTGAACCGCATCCATTCCCACCACTAAAAAAAACACGTTGCTTTGGTCATGGTTTGATCGAGTTTGCGGGCAGGTCCTCAAACCAGACGGTTTGCGTCTACTTTGTAATTGCCACGAGTCTCTTTGTTTTCTCCCTCGTCCCAGCATTTCCTCCCATTCCAACAGATAGAAGGTATATCTGTCTTATTTTGTGTTGCCAGACATTTTTTTTCGGCTTAACCTGCATTGGCTACACTACCACCTACTACATTACACAATTGTCAATCATTGTTTTTCTTTTTCCCTTGTCACTCCTCTCCTCAGAGCCATCATCTCTTGTCCAGTCCCTCTTTTGTTCCTTCTAGTGCTGTATTCTATCAGTCACTGTTCGGTCTGGTCAGACCATCACTACATTTCCCTTTTCTGTTGATAATTCCGTGTGATCCTGTTCGAGTCTTGTTTTGACAGATGCACCAGAACGTGAGTTCATACCAAAATCTAGGTCTTGCATTTACTCAACCTTGACCCGTCGTAGCCAGACGGAAGTGTACCGAACGAGTCCCGTGAGTCGTTTCAATCGGCATCAGACCAGACGATCTATGGATACTTGATAAGACCACGTGACCAACACGCCCCACATATAACCGTAGATTCGGGAGTAGGAAAGGATCGCTTTCTACTTCTTCTATTCGTCCTGAAATGAATCCTGCCGCTCCCGATTCTTTTATAGAGAGGTTTAAAGGCCTGCTGGAGCCTTCGGCTCTGATGTGGTGGGCAGCAACTCGTTAGTCCACCCTGACAGTCCTGCTTTCCCCTGCCATATTTCATAGACCTACCAATTGAAATCAATCACCGAACTCGGTGATTGGAATCGGCGATGATATTCCTACGAGTGGTACTCCAGCTTGGGCCTGACTTCAACGCTCAAGAATACCATATAGCTTACTTTCATTGAAACTTTTCATTAATTATCATTCGAATCCAATGTACTAACGACGGCGCTCAGATTACTATCGCGTCTGCTCCGAAGCTGTCTTCCAGAAGGGCCAGGTTCTCGCACCAATTTTCCAAACTTCCAAACTTCGTGATGAAGCCTTTGGGCGATTCTGGATTGAATTCTCCAGTAAGTCCAAACCCCCTTCCCAACGAACGTCCATTGAAAATGCCCAAGAAAAACGGAGATTACACCTAATCAAACAAACCCCGAATACATACGAATCAAAACCAAACGAAACCTTTATACTGACTGACTCTCAGGACCGAGAGAGGAAGCTGCCGAGCCAGTCGGCTCCTCAGCCCTAATACCACCGCTTCTCAAGACCTCCAAAGGAGTAGTTCTCGACATCGGCCCGGGAACAGGAACCCAAATGCCGCTTCTCAAAGGCAGCGCCATCACCACCATCTACGGCGCCGAGCCCTGCACCGGCCTGCACAGCGAGCTGCGCCGCAAAGCCGCCTCCGAAGGCCTGGGCTCCAAGTACCACGTCCTCCCTTGCGGGGTAGCCGCCGAGGAACTGCTCCCCGCGCTGGGGACAGACTCGCCCTCTGCCCTGGCCGCGTACGATGTAGACCCCGCAGCGGGCGTCTTCGATACAATTCTCTGTGTCCGGGTGCTCTGCTCCGTTCCCGCGATGGAGAAGACGACGCGGGAGCTGTACTCGCTGCTGAAGCCGGGTGGCCGGCTGCTTGTTGTGGAGCATGTGGTGAACCCGTGGCGGACGGCGAAGGGGTCCTTTGCAGCGAGAGTTGCGCAGGCGGTTTATATGTTTTTAGGGTGGAGGTTCTATATCGGGGATTGCTGTCTGGATCGAGATACGGAGGGCGCATTGAGGCAAGCGGCCGCGGTGGATGGAGGGTGGGAGAGTGTGGAGCTGGAGAGGCATTTCGAGTGGTCTGCTATGCCGTATATATCGGGAGTTTTGACGAAGAAGAGTCTGTAGTAGTGTTGAATGCGCGTAGTAACTAGTATTTTGGGAAATTTGAGGTTCTTCTTCTTGTTCTATTCCTAGAGGAGTGGATGGGTCTGGATGACAGGACTCGACTTGTCCCCAGTTGATAAAAAGAAACTGATCTGCCCGCTCCTGTGCCGTACCTTCGCAATTTCCATTCTATAACCGGACTATAAGCAGTGACAACTCTGCAGCTTGATAAGCTCCTGCTAATTCCACCGTTGGGAGAGGCAAGGGGTTCATCGTACAGTTCCACCTAGGGTCACCCGAATTCCCAGTACGGTTTCTCAGCTATTACCCAATGTGGATATCCCGCTGGGACTGAGGTCTTCATAAAGTGGATTACGCAATTCACGGGCATCATATCGCTCCTCTGTGAGTGGGTATCATAGTCTAAGTACCGTATGGAACGTATGTACATCAAGCCTGCGCTTGCTCTCGGGTATCAAATAAAGCAAAACAATCAACAAACCCACCCATATCGACAAAGATCAAGGATCAATTTGAACTTGGCTTCGGCCGACCTGGTGGCCAGAAATCAAAAAGATCCAGTGCCTCAGAAGTCCAAGGGCCCTCCTCGTGCCCCTCAGCCTCTTCTGGTACGGCACTCATTGCACTCCGCATGAGGGTAGGCCTTGTTTGGACCGTGGGTCTGGTTAGTGCAGAAGGATCGGAGAGTGATTTTTGAAGCGACGCCTCATGCCTTCTGGATTGATTTCTAGGAGCAGACGAAGCCCGGCGAGTGGCGGGATCCTGGCTGGAAGGGGCGTTTTCCAAGTCCGAGCCCGAGCCTTCGGCCAACTCCTCAAGTATAACTTGTGTCGCTTTTGATGGTGCGTATTCCACGCTCAGATTTGGATTAGTGGGTGCTTTGGCTTTGGCGAGCTTCCTCGGCTTCTCAGTCTTGCTATTTGGAAGTAGTGCGGTATGTATGAGTTTCTTGCGTGGAGGTTGCATAAAAATTGGCATGGAGTCAACGGGAACATCGAGAACCATATCATCTGGAGCAACCAGGGAGAGAGTAGTTTCCTCTCTGCCCGTGGGCTCTGCTGTCTCCATGCCCATTTTTGGAGCAGACCCACGAGACGCGGCTGTTCGATAACTTTCTTGGGTATCCCTCATGGCTGGTTTCTCTTTTGGAGGCTGTTGACCCTTCGATGAAGCACTGAAACTATTTACTTTAGCAGGGACTCGGCTTGGTTTTCCTGCGGAGGGGGCATGGGTGATTTCAAACTATTTTGAGGCAGAGGCTGGACCGGTGCATTTCCAGTGGTGGTATGGGGCTCATCATCAAGTTCCGTCAAATCCACCACCTCGGATGAACGTTTTCTTTTGGTACCAACTGAGGTCGGTATGTCCGGTGGTCTTGGCCCAAGAGGTTTGATAGGTGGTGGCCGAGCGGTGATACTGGTAGCTGGTGGCCTCTGAGGCATTACGTCCTCCCTGCTAGGTGGAGTAGTACATGCCGAGATCGCTACCTTTTGCCGCTTCTGAGCTGGTTCATTCGATCCTTGAATGTTTGCTTGAGGCTGAGGTCGTTCGCCATGAGGGTGTGCCGGGGGTTGGTTCTTCTTGATCCCCAGCAGATCGTTCAATGAACGAAATGTTTGTGATGTGCCTGAGGAACGGCTTGGAGGTGGGTTCGTACGTGTGGGGGCAGGTGTAGGTGCGGTCGATATTCGCGGAGCTTGAGACTGAAGGGGGTTCTGATTACCCCTGGCGGGGGAGGCCTGGCTGGATTTCTTCTTATCGAACAGGTTCGTAATATCGGTCTGGGTGGTGCTGAGCCGCTCGCCCACTTCAATCAACACGCCCTTATCTAACTCGAGTTCATCACCGTCTTGAACTTCCTCAGCAGAGCGCCAGTGGTGATCGCCGACGAAGGTTCCACTGTCATCATAAACCATCACACGCTTATTGAAGGAGTGAAACTTGAGATACCCATCTTGCCAGCGCTTCGATTTGCGACGTAGGTCATGAGTGTACAGGCATTGGAATTTGATGACAGACGCGGTCACTTGGGGCGTGACGGCAGATCGTGCAGTTGAGGATGGCGTGGACATTTTGGAGAAGAGCAAACATCCCGGGCTCTAGAGCCCCGGTGAAGCTCGGACTGAGGCAATGCACGGCCGTAGTGTATAATCGAAAACGAGTCTGGCAACCTTAGAACCTTGGAAGGCGACGCGTCGCTTATCGATAAGGCTCAAGCCGAGAAGGCTGCAAGGCATCCAGGCCCCCCACAGGCCCCCTCAGGCCCCTCCAGGTCAAAGCTCATCGGGAAAAAACAACCAAAACCGTTTTAAGTTCCCATTTCAACGGAATCAGGAGAAAGTGGGCCACTCCGCAAGTCCCAGGCACTCGTTGCCACTGGCGATCGTAACTATGATGCTTCAGAGGAGAAGGCCAGCGTGCCCCTCGTTCCCGGCTCATAAATTCGTTAAGAGCCGCTAATGAAGTCTAAGCTGCAGGTCTGGGGGCCCAGGCGCAGGCTACCATGAATTAAATCCAGCCTTGATTTGCCAGTTACGAAGGTGGAGTGGGAAACAGCTCCATTCGACAAATTACTTAGTCAACTCGGTCCTGGCCCCCATGCACGTGAAGTGATCCCAATTGATTCCACCAATAAGATGGCCTTTCTCAAGCTAAAAATGGTGGTGGTGAGGTGGGTGAGGGGCGCCCCCGACTATCAGAGCCGCAGTGTGAGGCTGAAACAGCCTGGAAATTGATTTCGCCTATTCTCTCTGAGATGTCACGGCGCTAATAGACGCACGACGTGGCACGGCGCATTTCGCATTTCCATTTGTGTGTTCCTTTTGACATCCTTGTTTTCCCCTGGGCGACCCTCGCTTTCTCTTCCAACCGCTGTGAAACACCACACGCCATGCAGAGCATGCAGAGGAAGTTTGGTCGCTTGACCACGAAGCGAACCGCAGATGACAGTCAGGTCTCTGTCCTTCTCAAGGACTTCGAAGATGCCGATTTACTACTGGGCAAGGTGAGTTGATAGCTTTACACGCTGACAACCTTGACCGACCGCTAAATCGACGCAGATTGTCGAATCCACCAAAGCTTGGAAAGATGCCTGGGTATCTATTGCGACTCTCCAGAGTCGCATGGTCGACGAATTCGATGGTCTCTATGCCCCTATCCTCGGCTCCTCTGAGCCGACTTCCGCGCGCCAGCCCGTCGAAACAGATCCTCTCCTCCTGGCTCGCACGAACAGAATGCGGAAGGAATTTGATGAATTGCGAGATGACATAACCGAGGAGCTCAGTGTAGTGGACGACCGCATGATCCGACCTGCAGTATCCGCAAAAGACTTTATAGCACCTCTGAAGAAGACGATCAAAAAACGGAATGATAAAAAGGTATGTGTCCCAGTCGCTAAACCACGCGCGATTTTTGCGATTTTTAACCAAGTATCTTTCGGGTAGACGGACTTTGAGCGCTGCCAAAGCCGCGTTGATGGCCTCAATCAGAAACTCAAACGCAATGATCGTGATAACGCGGCTCTTGTCAAAGCAGAGGCGGAGCTGGCGACTACAAAAGATGTATGACGAATGAAGCCCTGTCCATTCTATTTAGAGCTAATGAGATTCCAGGTCTATCGAGCTGCTGACGACGATCTACGAAACCGCCTCCCAACTCTGATTTCGCTTGTCTTCTCACTAGCTCCCTTCATTCTGCACGCACAGATTGAAATCCAAAACCGGATGCTCGCCCACTACTACACAGTGCTACACACATACTGCGAGGAGGAAGGTTTCCCGTCCCCGCCACCCTCAATGGATCAAATCGTCTATGACTGGGAGATTGCGCACCAGCCGATCAGTGACAGGATCGAAAGCATGGGCTGCCTTACCCAAGGAAAAGCGATTCGCCAAGTGCAGCAGAACCAACAGAAGCCCAAGCGTCCCTCTCTCGGTGAACGCAGCAATACCATCGCTTCTACTCCTTCCAATGTCCGGACGGCGCCGCCACCATTCGGCATGCCAAAGCCTCCGTTCGCCGCCGATACACGCCCTGCATCACCATCATCTTCGTATTTGACTCCCAGAGGATCTATATCGGTCGCTAGCTCAGCCAGTAGCTCCCATCTTCCGTACGGAGGTGACTTTTATACGCCCCCTCCGGAAGTTACCCCAAGGGTCGGCTCGGAACCCGAGCAGCCAGCTTCTAAGCCGCTCAGGCCGACGGGACTCACGACATTCGCACCGGCGGGCCCTAATGTAGACCATTTCCGGCTCACCCATCAGCACTCCGCGCCAGTCGTGCCGACTGTTGATCCGTTGTTTGCGGCAGCAGTGAGCAAACCGCGTCCACCTCCGCCTCCACCTCCACGGCCAGCCACTGTCCAGTACGTTACGGCCCTCTATGACTTTGATGGCCAAAACCAGGGCGATCTGGTGTTCAGGGAGGGCGATCGCATCAAGGTCCTCACGAAGACTGATAGCACCGATGATTGGTGGGATGGAGAGCTGAGAGGTGTAAAGGGCGCATTCCCAGCGAACTATGTAGAGTGAGAGCATATGGAAGAATATCTCCAGACTTCACAGCTCGACTTTGGACTCTGGCTGCGTAGTCAGAAACTAATTTTGGCATTGTGCCCAGCTGATTGATTTGCGATGGATTTTACACATATTTTCTCCTTTGTTCATTTCCTGCTAGCGTTTATTTTTGACAGTATGTAGTCAGGCCCACCGCCCCCTTAATGACATATCCTTTCTCGAGGTCTATGTACGTATTCATGGCAAGATGGAACTAGATTTGAGGATCAGAAATAGTTGAGCGGATGCTGGAATCGACGATCCTATACCCAAAGCGATGAAGATCTGATTCAAGGAGCACAAAATGGACTTTCCTTACATCAACCAACCCCAAGTGGTCGAGTGGAACTCGGCTAACATCTTCCTTGGTCTAGTGGTGATGATTTCCGCTTGTCAATCTGATAAGCGCGGGAGACCGGGGTTCGATTCCCCGAGGGAGAGATTTCTTTTTTGCTTTTTTTGTCTACCTTTTTCTTGGCTTCGCCCTGGCCCGCCAAATTTCTTTCTCACGATATCAAGCATCTGATTCCACGCACCTTTTCTCTGCTAAATTTCCAAGACAGTGCGTGAAAACTCGACCGGCCAGGAGCCATGGGGCGCCTTGCTATTTATAACACGTAGACAGTATCCCGAAGCGGCTTAGCGCAATCAGCTGATCTTCCCCTGGAAAGATATTCATATCAAAGTATCAAGAGAATGAGTTCGAGGGTAAAAAGGGTCGAAGAGGAACGAAATACAAGTCAAAAACCCCTGCCGAGCGAGTGGTCGGCCTCGGATTCAGTGCCTGGGCGTGCAATTGCAGGTCCTTCCAGGTGAAACCCAGCATTCTACCTTTATATCATTCTTTCATTCTTATCATCCTTATTATCGCCCCCTTTTCAGTGCCTCGTACACTATGGGTGCGCAGAATGGCAGCAAGGAGGGCATACTTCCCATTTCTGAGCGTCAATCAAAACGAGATGACGATAAGCCGGATTCTAGCGGAAGCTTGTCCGACAGGATCTCGAACAATGCGACTCTTGCGGTGCTCGCGTACTGTCTGTCCTCTATCAGTATGACCCTCGTGAACAAGTACGTCGTCTCGGGCTCCAGCTGGAACCTGAGTTTCCTATACCTTGCCATCCAGGTTCGTATCCCTCAAGGACGCCCTCGAATATGCAAACCCTAATATAGCAAAGTCTTTCATTGGCACCGTAGCAATCGTCCTCTGCAAAAAGACGGGCCTCATCCCCAACGCGGCCCTCTTTGACTTCAAAAAGGCCCAAACATGTATGAACTCAGCTTGAAATCCCTCCCCAACTATCCACTAATCCACACCCAGGGCTTCCCGTCTCCATTCTGCTCGTCGGAATGATCTACACGGGCAACAAGGCTCTCCAATTCCTCTCTGTGCCCGTATACACTATCTTCAAAAACCTGACTATCATCGTCATTGCCTATGGCGAGGTCCTTTTCCTGAGGCGGCAGTGTCAAGCCTCTGGCCCTGCTCTCGTTCGGCCTGATGGTCCTCAGTTCCGTCGTCGCCGCTTGGGCTGATATCAAGCACGTCACAACCGCCACTGCAGGCGGCGACTCAACCGCGGCCGCATTATCGGTTTTAAACGCGGGCTATGCCTGGATGGGCATGAATGTCATCTTCTCCGCCTCGTACACCCTCGGTATCCGCAAAGTGATCAAGAAGACCAATTTCGACAACTGGGATGGTAACCGTTAACCCCCCCTCTCTTTACACCCCCGCATGTGATATTGTACTAATGAGTCCCGTAGTCATGTTCTACAACAACCTGCTCAGCGTCCCCATCTTAATGGCTGCGTCCGTGCTGACGGAGGACTGGTCCTCGGAGAACTTGCTGCGGAATTTCCCCGTCGAGACGCGCCAGAGCCTGATGATCGGCATCGTCTACTCCGGCGTCGCGGCGATTGGAATCTCGTACTGTACTGCGTGGTGTATCCGTGCGACCTCGTCGACGACGTATGCTATGGTGGGCGCTTTGAACAAGCTCCCGCTTGCCGTGGCGGGAATTGTCTTCTTCGATGCCCCGGTGACGTTCGGGGGCGTGTCTGCGATCCTCCTTGGGTTTATCAGCGGTCTTGTGTTTAACAGGGCTAAGAGCACTGGCTCATAGCCGTACTAGGATTGGGGTTATGCGTATGGGTCCAGCGGTCCACGTGCTGGGACAAGCTCGATATGAAGAGAATATATGATGCGAGGCAACGGCTGTTCAGTTTTGGGTATTGTTGTTGCACACTGTTTGGTGCTAACGTCAGGCTTTTGCGGAGTCAAGAGTAGGTGTGCCCAATCTGGTGGATTTGATTTGGTTCCGTGGACATAGAATACATACATAGAGGTAGACTGGTTTTTTTGGGTTCCGGGATGGGGTTTACTGCATTCTTTAGGGATACGGCAGTTCGTGAATGATAGCTAATAATAATTTGCATGACGAGATGCTTTCGCAATAGCACTCAACGCGGTATCTAGCATGGTATCTGATAGGATATAGCCGAGGCCAACCCTTCATTTATAGTAAAATCTGGTGCTGCCACCACTCGAACCCGACTCCGATTCGATGCTGCTAGGACTTTTTGGACTACAACACCGAACGGTCAATGGATATTGTCTAAAGATGTATGTATTTCAAGCGACATAATTATACCTACTAGAAACTGAGCCGAGGCACCGGGAAGGATAGCCAACCGGTTGGGACCAACCGAATAAACAAGCGCAAGTCTGACGAAAACGCCAAATTTCACTCGAACTACATAAACGCCTCTCCAGTCACTGTGCTCTCCCCATCGGAGTTCTCCGCCAACCCCATCTGGCGCCGGCGACTATCCAGGAACATCTCCACCATCTGCTTGCTCGACATCGTGCCTGGGCCTTCTTGCATCGCGTGGTACTCATCCATCATGTCATCGTGCTCATGGTTTCGCGCATTCTCGTTGTTGTATCGGGACTCCCGAGCCGTGCGCAATGATCGGAATTGAGCAGGCTTGGCTTTTACTGTCGGGCGCCGAGCCGAATATCGACGATACTGGTCTTGGGTCCATATCCGCTTTATCGAGGGATTGCAAGCCCTTGGAGGAGGAGTTGGAGACTCGGGTATTCGGGGCGTATTGCTATACCGGAGACGCATGGGTGATAAGGTCCTGTCGCTAGCCGATATACTTCGGATGGGCATGGATATTGTTGAGAGATCCTCAGTTTGTCCTTCGTTTTCAGATACCTTGATTTCGCCTTTTGTCTGTACTTTCTGGGCCGACTGAATGGTTCGGGTACTCGATGAGCGGCTGAAAGGGCGAGAGAAATTGCTTTGCGGCACAGCCTTGAGCGAGGGTTGACGTGTAGAAACTGTACACTCCTCAGTATGTTCAGGCAGTGGAGCTGGCCCTCGGCCAGAGTCTGCTGCTTGCCGGAGTATCTGTGTGATTTCTTCCTCGTCATCCTGCATCTGGGCTTCTTCTCGAACATGTCCACGTGTAGGATAAGTCATCTCGATTTTATCGATCTCCGAGCTGAACCACTTCTGCCAGTCGGCGCTTGGCTGAAGGTTTGACTTAGCCTCGCAGGGACGAGTTGGAGACGCATAAGCGCTGCGTTCAGACGAAATAATAGTGACTGTGCCTACATCTCGCTTCAACGAGACTGTGGAAGCAAGTGGTGTTTTACCACTGGTTGTTCGAGAGTAGAGACTAGTGGGCGACACTGACTCGGGTCTTGGTGACAGGCGAGCGACCACACTTTCTGTGTCTTCATCCGAGTCTTGAACGATAAACGCAGACTGTGGTGATACTGGTTCCACGACGGCACTGGACGGGCCGGTTTTCTCGTTGTTTGGTACGTAGAGAGACTGGGGCGTATATCGAGCGGCATGCTGCAGTTTAGTAGGCGAGGAAGAGTCCACCCGGGCAGTTGCAAAGGAACGAGGCGAGGCCGATGATTCAGTGCTGGGAACTCGGCGGACTGTGCGAACCGTACGCCTGCTCCGTTGAGAATAGACAGAGGAAGCGCGCTCAGGTATAGCCCTGTGCTCCGGGACATTTCCATATACAATCTCTTCGTTAGCACATTGCGCTGCGCGCTCAAGCTGACGACGGACCAGAGCTGTATATAAATCATGAGTGTTAATCAAGCCATCGAAGATTAGACGAGCAGGTTGGTCACAAGGGGCCAGAGTGGCTTCCCCAGAAGCAACAAGTTGTGTGTTCAAGTCTCCATGCCCTTCAACCAGAGGAAAGGACTGACTATACTGCTCAGCAGCAATTGGGTTGACGGCAGTCGATGCCCGACTCGTGGTGCGTATACCCTGCATAGAGCGGGAGGGATCCGACCTGATTGCCGTCACACGGAGCGGACTCGGTTCGCTGCTGCTGTACCCATATTCCGTCTCAGCAGTAAGCTTCCGAACGTATATTGGTCGAGCAGGAACTGCTGGACTTTCCGAATGAGCAGCGGGCTCAATCTTTTCCACCGACGAGACTTTCTCAGGCTGTTCCACAGTCTTTGACAGGCCAAGAACACGCCGTAAACCATTCTTGATCGTCGCGGAAAATGTACGTGACCGGCGATGGAAAGATTTGAAGCTGGCCTTTCGCGACAGCTTGCCGGTTCCACTACTCTCACTTGTGGCTCGGAAAGTCTTGCGAAAAGGCTTGTGTTCTTTTTGATGGTGCGTAAAGAACGAAGGCTGTAGATTACCCGTCTTCTCCGCCTCTTCGACGAAGCTTTCTCGAGCCAATTCAATTGCCGCATCGTGGCTCTTCGCATGATGAAGTTTCCTGCCGGGGCGTCCCCGTGCAAAAGATGTAGAATGCCTGAGCGTGCGGGGGAACGAAAACCCGGAACCGTGATCGAGGTCATAGCCACTTTGCGGCGAAATGGACGGCGTGCCATATGAGCTCTGTGGGAAACGCTGCCGGGTCGAGAACATCGACTTGGCTTTGCGCAGTCGACGGTATGATGAAGGTACCGAGCTGTCCCGTCCATCGAGTCCTTTCGGCTCAATTATAGGAGATAAGATAGCGGATTCCACCTGAATGTGAGCTCTTTCGGACACGGTTGGAGCTCTGTCATCTTTTGAAGAGGCCAGAGATTCACACGCAGAGCTAGAATCAGTCCGGAGGCGCGAAGTCGGCCGTCTACTAGGCACAGCGACATTGTTTGGCCCGCCGAGTCGATCATACGAGGTTCTGGATTCTACCGACGACCTTTGGCTTGATCGCATAGCTCGAGAGGCAGCAGCTGCTGCTTGGGAGCGAGCGATGTCTGGATCAATGGACGGTTGTCTGGGAATGTTGCTCCTGCGTATGGAGTGAGAAGACATAGATCGACGCAATCGGTCTCGAGTGCTAAAGGTGGAAATCATATTGAGGAAGTCTGCACACTATACGTGGTATGTTATGAAGATGCTTGGAGACAGAAGATTCAGGGCTCTGTTGCTGGGTACAGTTGCTGTACGCCGCGCACATTGCCAGAAAGAGCGTCCCACGTCTCTGTAGAGGAAGGCACGATCTGGGTACAGCATCGGCCCGCTCCCAAAAGGAAATTATTGTTCTTTCTATGCTTTCCATGTGGAAAGGAATGAATTCAACCGTAGCAGTTTGTGACTTTGCAACCTGCAAGTGCTCTTTTGCATGTCAAGAAAGCATGAGTAACGATATAAGTCAGATGGATCACCTTCCATGAGTGGCCGTCTTTGGGCGTCTACCAATAAGGGCAGCAGCCTGAGCGCTAGCCTGGTTTATACTGCCCATCGATATCATACCGCTACCCCTACAGCTCAGGTGAACGAAGTTATTCCAGTCGCCCCAGCCCGCACTGTGACTCAGGATGTGCCAGACCTGCGCCATCTTGACTCATATCATCCGCCCATACCCTTCCTCCATCTAAGGCCCCCCCTTCATCAGGCAAATATATTCCCTTTGAACAGCACCATTTAAGAGCAAAGACTTTTCTGAATTATGAGTATCAACGAAAAGCGCGAGCCTAAAAATGGCGGACCCAACTAAAGATTCCCGCCCAGACCCACAACCACGCCAACACCCACGCCCCATCGAACTAGATGGCTGTACTCTCCAGGGAGGCGGCCAACTGGTTCGCATTGCAATGGCTCTAGCAGCCTTAACAGGTCGACCAATCACTATCAAGAATATCAGAGCTGGTCGCCCACGTGGTGGGGGTATCAAACCTGCCCTTGCAGCAGGGATCGATCTTTTGGCTTCGATCAGTGGTAGCACAGTGGTGAGCGGGCATGTAGGAGCAACAAACATGACTTTCCAACCACCACCACCACCAGCCAGCATAAGTCCGACAGAGGGTTCCCTGGAAATTGTCTCTTTATCCAATTTACAAGTCGATCCCGAATACCATGTCTGCTTATCGACGCCCGGCTCGACGCTGCTTGTGTTCCAAATTCTGTATCCATACTTGATGCATGTGGCCACGCAGTCGCCGACGGGTTATGTCAACTTGAGAGTCACCGGAAGCACCAACGCGGTAGCTGCCCCATCTTACGATTATGCCGCTCAAGTGATGGTACCTAACTTTGCCCGCCTGGGCCTCCCCAAGCTGTCCATCACCCTACACAAGCGTGGCTGGGCTTCACCTCCCATCGAGATGGGCGAAATGGGCTTCTCAATCCATCCTGTGAGCTCACTGGGACGCGGAAACCAGACATCATCCAAGACAAACCCCTTTCCATCGATCCATATCATGGATCATGAGCGCGGGAAGGTCACCCAAATCGATATTACCGTCCTGGCGCCAGATGTCATACTCCCTGGGCTACGGATGACGGTTCGCAAGTACATTGAGGATGACATGAAGAGGGCATGCCAAGTACTTGAGACTGAAAATCCGTCATTGTTCGAGCCTGCGGCCGACCCAGACAACCCAGCTAGCCCCCGTCGTGAGTCGGTTCAGATCCATACTTCCGAGACGACTCAAAACAACCGCATCTATCTCTTACTTGTGGCTCACACTTCGACGGGCTTCAGGCTAGGCTTTGATGCCCAGCTTGAACGTCGTCAGATCGACAAGGGTAAAATCATTGATATCATGGCAAGTTGCGTCGAGGGATTCCTGCATGAGATCTCGGATGATCCCAAGCTGGAGGATCAGCTGGATGCTGATCTGGGGCCCGTTCGGCGATCATGCCTGGATTCCTACATGCGGGATCAGATAGTGATCTTCGAGGCTCTGGGAAAAATCGGCCAGGCTGGTCCTCCGGATTCGCGCAAGCGGGAGGACACACGATACTTGTCGAGCCACACCAAAACGGCGCAGTGGGTTTGCAAGGAGATACTCGGTACATCGGAAACATAATCTTGAATCTAAAAGGCTAGAGCGATGGAGCAATCTCGAATTTCGTTTTTTCCTTTTTCCTTTTCCTTTTACGATAATCAGATACCCCAGAGTCTGTTTAAATGAAACCAATTCTTCATCATTCCAAAAATAATCCTCGAAGTCTGGGCTCTTTGACCCGAGGACCAAAATTTAGGGATCGTGATGACAGGGGGCGGTTTCACCTCGAGCCGGGCCCATGGCCACGGCAAACCAGTGAAAAGGACGAGAGAAAACGTCACAAATCTGGATCTCCAAAACGAGATATTCCAGATATTCTATCTGATGCGCTCCACCACGCTCCACCACCCTCGATCGTAAGCCTCGAAGCCGGCCCTTACCGACTGGCCGACTTCCGCGCGGGAAACACCATAAGAAAAGCACGGTGCAGTCCTTTCCCCCTCAGCCGTAGATTAAGTGGAAAGGGCCTCGCGGCAGAAAAAATTAAAGAAAAAAACTTAATTAATGAATAAAAATAAAACCCACAATCCTGCCGTCCTGCATCTAAACGCCCGCACTACTGCACAACAGAGTGCATGGGGAAGAGTTCATGCAGACGCCCCAGGAGGAATTAGATGTGCGTGCTGCGCTGGCAAGACCTCGGGACGCTCTCCCGCCGTTCCTTAGCCTTCGAATCAGCCTTACGCCAGAGAAAAAAAAAGTCGGTGTGTCTAACTCAGAGCGGTAATTGCCTCGAAGGGTTCCCGAAAATACAAGTGGAGCCTGGCGGCCATGACGGTAAAAGAATCAGAACGACGCCGTCAACACAAGTGTCGGGCTTCATTCGAACCTAGGGCTGGCTCGACGTATGATATCGCGAGAGCGCGACACCAAGCCACACCGTCATCCACCGTGCCACGCGAGGCGAAGATCCGGTCAGTGACTGGCTGCCCACGGTCCCCTGAAGAAGAAGCTGTGGAGCCTGGTGGAGTTGGATTATCCCCACATCCCATTCTGAAACCGCGATGGAGCTGTGGCTAAGCCGTCCGAAGGGGAAAAAGGGGGTTGAGAACGGTCCCCTATTCGTAGAGGAAGGAAATCGGAAGGGGGAAGTTCCTCGTCCATAGACCTTTGCAGTACCTCGTAAGTGCAACATGCAGTGCTACTGGGTAGTGGTTACTAGGATACAGAGTCGACCACATCCAACCTTGGCGTCGTCGAATTTTGAACTGTGGGGATGTTGGAGGATCCCTTTTTTTTTGGGCGAACTGTGCTCCAACATGTTCTCAGGCAGCAGATCGGGTTCCATGTTCCCCACTCAGCATTGCTGTCTTAGGTATATTGAAGGACAAACTTCATTGCCTCGGCAGAGAAACCAATAGCGATATTCGATCTTCGAGGGCGAGAGCCAATAGGAAGTTGGCCTCTGTACTTTCTGGGCCGTAGCAGCCTAGTTGGAATCGCTAACTTTGCCACTTTCACATTTCGCACTTTCGCACTCTGCACAAAGCAAAATGACGGTGAGGCCAGAGAGACCAGGGAATGATGTAAAGGGGCCCAAGAAGCCTACTGGGATTTAAAAGATTCACAGCACAGCCACGCCCATTGTCACCGGTGGAACCAGCTCGCCGGCACGATCGAGTATCCCGTTGGCGTTTGCACCGGCTCCATGCACAGCGGGGCTAATCCACCCGCCCCCCCATTGCCCGAATCTTAGGGGTATTGAGGGATCCAGTGGAGAGAGGTCTTGCTGTCAGATGGAGATGACTCAAATTGATGTCCGACCTAGTAATCGGAGGGGTGTAAATTACGCACAGTTCCGGAAAGATTACTCCCCTCAAACACCCATTGATTACGTCGCAACTTTTTACCGTTTAGTCTCTAGCGAGCCGCGCATAGATTAAACGGCTTCTAGAAACCAAGCGCGCTGGGCGAAACAGACCTGACACAATCGGTCCGCGGGCTGCGGCTCAGCCGGGGCGTTTACGCAATATATGGCAGGATGTAAATAGCCTGAAAGGAATGACCAGCATAGAACCCCGGTCTAGAACCACGTTACGGGCAGCAAAGCCCCAAACACCGGGGCCATCGGGTTTGAGATAGAGATAAAAAGTACCGCCCCGTAAGGAGTGGAAGGACCCCCGACGTACAGCTTTGGGCCTGGCTGACTCCAGCTAAGGGGAACTTTGCGTCCTGAGCCCCAACGTCCGTTTCCCACAAATTGTTCTCCTGGGGCCTGCTGGGAAGAACCCGGCATTTGGGTACGAAAGCCCCGGGGAGGTTGCACACGTGGACGGCCTCCTTATCAGAATATTGCGATTTGGTCGGATAGTGTCTGGGCGTTCGGTGACGCTGACTCGAGAAGAGGCGTCTCACCGTTGGCAGCCTGACTCTGCTATTGGGGCTAAGAGGAGGCTAGGTTCTTCTGTGGGGACGACATCCATGCTCATGCTTGAGATTGGAGGGATCTCCAAGTCACATGGCGAATTCAAACTACTGCTTTCTGGACAGCTTACTGGCAGGTGTCACGAGAAGAAGAATCATAAATCAATGCGAGGAGGTATCTAACTTAGGCCAGCTATCGCTATGGGCAGAAAAGCACGAAGAACAAGCATTAAAACATAAAGACATAAAAGTCAAGGAATAGGGGTATGGGATCATGCAAAGGCTAGCGAAAATGAAAAAAGGACGAGGGGTATGCAAAGAAAACGACATCAGAAAGAAAGAACGAGAGGTCGATCACCTGATCGCGAGCCATGCGCCACAGCCCAGAGGGATCCATGCAAGGTTCTAATGGACACTTGCGCCAGCGAAAGTGAGTGGTATCGTAACACAGAAAGTCGAACGAGAGAGAGCCGCCATGAGAATGGAGAAACGCCTTGGCGATGCATTAAGACGGAAAGTGGAAAAGAAAAGCGATCACGTCCTTGGATTCAGTTCCAGCCTGCAAGGATCATAACCTGCTTGGCGCACGTATGACCATTCTCCGTGGAGTTTTCAAGAGTCGCATTACATGGCTTTCTCTGGGAGACCGAGGGTTGAGTCGCCGAGGCGCTCTGATGGTAGCTGGCGCTTAAAAATGTGGGGTTGAGCGAATGGAGAAGCAGTTCCCGGACGACGTAGGTTGAGTTGCTGTATAGGTCAGTTTCTTGTACAGGCGCGGCTGGGGGAGCTAGAAGATTCGATCCGGGATCTCGCGTCATATCCGGAGTTTAGGGAATAGCTTCACATACTCTGCAGTCGGAACATTTGGTACCCTCTCGATTGGTACGCCCTCGGCAGCCACGAGGGTAGTTTGCGCAGGAGTACATGCTGGAGAATGCGGATCGCGGGGAAAGCGCGGAGAAATACGTCGAAGTGCGCAGAGGGCTCCCTTTTAAAGGAAAGCCTTGGGAATAGTAGAGGAGCTTGGAAAAGTCGTTGACGTCGTATTGAAGACGTTAAAGTGGATTGCTCGGGCACACCAGTATTTGTGACGGTTGTTCTAGCGTGGAGAGGGAAACTTCGGAAGAAGATGGGTGGCCAAGGGGGGTTTATATCCAGAGGCTCAATGAATAAAACAGTTAAATACGTGTAGAAAATTAGGGACCGTTTTAATAAATATTGGTTTTTTTTTTTGTTTTTTTTTTTCCATCATTTTTTTAGGGTGCCATCACAATGGGACCCGGGTGTGCTCTAGGGGTTTTAGTTAATTTAATTAAATACCCAGAAAGGAAAACCTCGTTTTACGGATTTGATTTTTTGGGGTTTTAATTTTACTTTTCCTTCTCTCCGCCTTTCCTCCTATCACAGCACCTTTGATTGCGTGCAGGGGGTGTTGGCCAGCAATTGGACCAATTCCTCCCAAAAGATGGAAAATTGAGAAGCCTGGGTTAATTGGCCGCCTTGACTTGGCCCTCCAACGTTTGTTCACGTAATACCTCGTCGGGCTAGGCGGGCTTAGCAACGCTTCAAGTTGACAATCGTAGACGAATCCCGACCCGTACTTGCAAGTTACCTCCAGGGCTGGATTTGGAAAACATCGCAAACTCCATTCTGACTTGACGTCGATCGGACGATCCTGGAACCCGGAGATGCACTGATCGACCTTCCTTTCCAGCGCTGCAGGACAAGCCCAATCACCCAATGGGTTGTGGCCCAGCAGAAAGAATGCGCGACGGTCCAGTGCATTCGGATCGCCCTGGAATGACTTGCAGCCTCTCTACGGCGTCCGCGGCATTGACGCCTTTTACTTTCTTTTTCACTTCCCGGTGGAGAAACGCCATGGCTTTCCGGTACCGAAGTTTCAACTTGCTCAAAGGCCCCTAGCCTTGTTTTCCAGGAAGTGTTGCGATCTTTCTAGAAGGTTGGAAGAGTGCTGGTTGGCTTTTGAGCCCTTAAATCCTGGAACATCCCACCCCTTTTGGGGGGAGATGGCCCAGGCCAAAGCTGTCACACTTTTTTTCCCTGGTTCCCTCGTTTCGTGTTGAGGCTTTGAGCCCCATTCTGGCCGCTAGGCTGCTTCTTTTCCCAAAAGCGCGCCCGAAGGATCGGGGGCTAGACCTCGGAGCCTCCGGCTAGCTGCTGTTTTTTTCCAGAATTTCTTCTGGAATGATAACCCTTGGGATCTTCTGTTTGTACATGCACGGCCCGATCTCCCACGCCGTTTTGTTTTCCCGTGCGCCCACCCAATCAGCTTTTGCACTTATTCCGAGGTCTCTGCGGAAGAAACTAGTAAAAGGCCTTTACCCCCTTTCCGGGTATTGACTTCAGCCCTGCTCAGTGTCATCGTTCTCGTCTCAAAAATTTCTCCACATCCTCCAAGGGTTCTAAACCCTGGACCATCTGTGTGGCAAACGGAATGTGTCCCCTCCTAGAGTCGAGACCCGTCTGGGCCCTCCTCTTCTTGTCAATGGGATCTATCGCTCTCACATGATCCTAGGTAGCTCGCACCCAGGTGGAGTCTTCATCCAGTCCTGCGTCATAATCACAGGTTGGAAGGAACAAAAGCCCCATCAATCGGCACCCATTTCCACATCCAAGACTTTTGCAAGAACATACGCAGTAAAGCCACAGGGCTCCGCCCGTACGTCGCCGATCTAGAAAAGCGGCCTTTGGATAGAACGAGATGTTAGCAAAAGCAAAAAAAGAGAAATCTGCCCACATAACATGCCAGCGCACTCTCTCACTCGGGGTCATGACATTTCAGCCCTATGCGTCGCACAAGGCGAGGAAGAAATTAAGCTCCAGTCGGGTCATTTGACAGGCTCAGGTGGACTCCGCGATGCATCGGAGAGAAATCAACCCTAGGCGGAATGACGGCATCGTGTAAGCAGCTCCCCAGTTGCCCAGGTGTGCAGACCTTCCCATTCTGCCCATCCCGCTGTGGAGTGGCATCAAGGATGATACTCCTCAAGGGCAACCGCAGGAATGTTGTGATCCGAAAGAACGTGTGGGCCGATAAAACAAGCCAATTAATCGTGGGACTTGGGCACATCCCATCCTTTGGGAGCCTAGGGTCTAGAAGGGATTCGAAGCCGGAGAAACGGGTACAAAGCTTTGGATCTTGCCTGCCTCATCCAGAGCCATTTGCTGCCAAGAGCCGTATGACCGAGGCTGAAGAAGGAAAAGCAGCTACAGAGCTTCTCTCACACCGCCTGTATGCCGCCTGAAGGGCCTGCGAAGCTCCCACCCGACACGTTCGACTGGTGCGCGAGTGGAGGTGAGCAGTACCCCGCCGTCAATGGCGTTGCGACCCCGCTACTCGATCCGTGCCTCCTGCATCTGGATTCTTTGGGAGGGTCATCAGGTGATCACTCGCAACCCTGTCAAAACTTGGAATAAACTTGTTTTCTATGCCCCTCTTCTCTCGCCCCGCCGCGTTCCGTGGGTTATCTGATGGTTTGATAGGACGGACGGTCCCTACAGTATTTGTGGCGGTGGCTGAGGCCATCCTGGAAAAGGTAAAAGGAGAGAGTAAAAGCCAGGGCAAAAAAAAAAAAAACAAAAAGGAAAGAAATAAATATTACAGTGCCACGAATCTAGTACGGGAAACCAAGTGCCCAAAGGCAATGCCGACCAGCACCCTTGTCTGACAGAAGTCCACAAAATCCATAGTTACCTTGTAATTGTCATCAACCTGGCTCGCAATGCACGCCATTAGTTGCTGTGTGTTGTAGCAGCCCCTCAACCGAGCCACAGCGATCTCAGCACCACCCATGCGCCGACAATCCCCAGCGTCGATGCAAGCACCAGTCCATTACCCTCCCTTGTCAGGCCCAAGTACGCCAGAATACCCACAACTAGCTCTTTCCGTCGAGCCGCGTCCCGGCGAGACCGCCAGCTCGGATCAATTGCAAATGGAGCCACCACCGTCTCAGGCCCTGAGGGGGTATCTGTAGATCGTAAAGGAACAGACACCGCTAGCGCAACGGGACGGTGATCTGAATGCGGGAAGAGAGGCAGGGCGTCGTATGCACGGGGTTTAACCCAGCTGTCCCCGCTCTGCGAGGCGCGGTCCAGGTACAGGATGCGGTCACACCAGCTTGGCCACCGATGACTCGACCATATCCACTCGGTCTCTGAGCGCCCGTTGGCAAGACTCACACGCGCAGCCTCGCTCGCCGCGCTGGAGTACTTGTATGTAGGCGGGAAGTGGATTGGGGCTTCGGAGAGCCCGTGGAAGGTTCTGCCTTCCCGCATCTCGCGGGCCAGCTGGTCGTGCTTGAGGAGGTGGGAGAAGTGGGTTGCATCCTCGGGGCTGGCATCACGGCGAGGGAAGCGAGTGACATCGTCTTGAGAGGGACTGGTGTCAGATGTGCGGTAATTCAAGTCTCCCGCCAGGAAGAGGTAGGAGTTTGGTGCAAAGAGGTGGCTCGAGCTGCTTTCTGCATTGTCCGCCTGCTGGTCCTGGTCCCCTAATAGAGCTGTGCTTTCGTCAGAGCCCGCCTGCTTGCCAGGGGGGATCTCTGGGGTTGTGTCTGCATTGGTGAAAACAAGTCCCTCGACAATAGTCTGCCAGTCCCGGTTGCGTTGGGCGAGGGCTTCTTCCATAGGAGCCAGATGCGCTGCCACGAAGGTCAAGCTGACGGTCTCGGATGAGTGGTCTGCAGTCGCATAGCAAAGACGCGCTCCAACAGCTCCCTTGTTACCGAGCCCGTTGAATCCGCAGCTTACATGGCCAGTCTTCACCTGGGAGATCTTGTTGGCAGCATCGGGCTTGGCAAACACCATCAAGCCAGTCATTCCGGTATTTTCCTGGACCACGTTCACGTAAGACTCGTTCCATCGTTTCACGGTCGCACTCTTCACTGCCCTGACAAACGCGTCGAAATAAGGTGCCAGATATGTGCCGCCTATAAATGAATAGGCGATGGGTGCTATCTCTTGTAGGGAGAGCACTATCAAGTCTGGGGCAAGCGCATCTGGTCCCAGTGGGTCGAAAATATGGGCTCCGAACGCATCATCCACTAATGAGCGGGCGCAGTTTGAGGTTAATATGTATAGATTAAGCTCCCCCATATTTTGCCAATGCGAATAGCGAGAAGAGCCCCAGGTCGAGCTCCTGGTCGAGCTCTAGGTCCAGAGCTAAGCGTGGGGTAGTGTGGTGACGTAGGGAGCTCACGATTCACCACGTGATCGTGTGAACGATCTATCTCCAATCATGGATTTTACAGTACGATAGAATATAGCGGAACGCGCTCAACTTTAGGTTTCATACTAGTATGCAGTTCCTTCGCTTGTGGTGTAGCACTACAGATGGAGGATACGGGCAGCTATAGCTTTTGATTGCGGTATAGATTGTCATGACCGGCTTGTGAAAATATATACGCTAGGGGCGACCCGTGGCCTACAAACACGGCAAGAAAGTCCTGGCCCAGGTCAGCAAGACTTAAGGGCACTACGAAGGCCACCAAGCCAATAGCGTCACCAAGAATGCCACGGGAATCAACGCCACGGGCATCGAGAGGCCTGCCAAGAGAAAATACGCGAAGAACCCTTACGCTGCAAGCAAACAATCGATCCAGAAGAACGCAACCCGAACGACCCTAAAAGCTGGTATAACTATAGTGCGGCTGTTCGAGCTACCTCCTAGGGAAAGGTTGTTATCTCGTAGGAAATCGTGGTTCCCAGGGGAACTTGGCTTCCCAGGAAGCAGGTTATTCGGAAGTCCGGGAAGGTGGCAGATGAGATATGCTGTCACATTATTGCTGAAATGGCAGTATGATGCCTCTCTTCCAATTGATGGTAGCCAATGGACACGTAACTTGGTGCACAGTAATTACCGTACTTTACATCCACGTCGTCATCACAACACGACCAAGGCTACTAGTAGGAACAGCAACAATCTAATGCGTAGGATATATGTGCCTTAAAACAGCATGTATACTGCAGTTAAAATACCCGGGTCATTGAAGTCTGTTATCATGAAAAGCTAATGGTTCCAAATTACCCACGACTCTTTAGACACCTGGCCGATATACCATCTTCGCACGCCAGAGGTACGAGCCCAAGTCGTGCATAGTCTCCAAGAAATTTAGGATGCTAAGTGGGGTATAAAGTGGAAAATAGAGTTTCTTACATCAATTCGGGCTTATGGTCTAGGGGTATGACGCTTCATTTGCAAACGCATAGTTTGAAGAGGTCCGGGGTTCAATTCCCTGTGAGTCCAATTCTTTTTTCTTATTCAAATTTCTTTTTTTCCCTCTCCCTCCCGTCTCTCCCCCACTCTCCAAACAGTCAACTTGCCAAATCATTTTCCGATTCCTTTCCCTTCTGTTTCTTTCAGCCCACTCTTTCAATCGCGCCCCGCTACGGCACTATTTAAGAAAGAAATGGTATCTCTCAACACAGTGTATGCTTCGCGTATTGATGAGCACCTATCAACTCAGCGACATTCTTAGTAGCCAAATATTACCAAATCCACGAGTAGGCTTTCAGGGGTTTGTCTTCAATTGTATGGAGTCAACAGGGGATTGGACGCGCACAAAGATACGATCGCTAAGCGCGCGATGTACTCGCTACGGTCGGTCGGGTGATAGTGGGTACCTTTATACGCGCAAGAAGACACCTCGTAGAGCTGAATTTAGAATGGATTACTAGGCTATATACGTCTGCGGGATACCCCGTGAAGCTCCCTCGGGACAGGGAAACGACTTGGCAAATGAGAACCCAAGCGGTCAAAGAGACAATTCTTATCCAACCCTATAATTTCCCTCGAATAGGCTCCTGTAATTCGACCAACAGCATTCCCTCAGAGACATCTTCTTCTTCGTCCTCCATTTCGTAGGCCCATTTGATCTTCCCAGCACGAGGACTCCGCACTTCAAGCTCCATCTTCATTTGCTTCACGAATGCCAGGACTTGATTCTCGGCTACGTCTTCTCCGCTCGATACGAGCACTTCGATCAATTTCCCTGACAGAGGAAGAACGATATGGCTCGGGTTATTCCGGTCGCCGCGCCGATGTGAAGATACAAGGGCGCTGGCTGTTGTTGAAGTGGCGTCTATCTGAACCCGGAAAGGCAAAGGGGCCTTTGAGTTAGGTGTTGTATATTCAATTTCTGCTGCAAGAGTTGATGGGAATTCGTTACGCAAGACTCGAGATAGTCGGAGATGATGAGAGACTTGCTGTCCTTGCGCCTTCGCTTGCTGGAGGGGCTGGAGTGTGATGGACCAGGCATCACCTTTGCGGAATAGAAGACTTGAAGACGGCACTGCTGCCGGTGCTGATGAGCTTTGTGATACCCCGAGAGATGAGACTTTGCCTGCCGCTTGCTTGGTGACCTGTTCTCCGAGCTTATAGGCTTCCTGTAATTGCTTTCCTAACCACTGAGTATCAATGCTACCGGCCAGAAAGTCGGCGTGAGCAACGATCCCTCGGAGGAGGACCAGATTCGTGTTCACCCCAGAAATATTTGTATCTGAAAGCACTCGCTGAGCCTTTCTGACAGCAGCTTTCCAAGTAGAAGCAGTGACAACAATCTTGGCGAGAAGATTATCGAAATCCGAGCCTACGACGAGTGGCGCTAAGTTGGAAATGTGGGTGTCAATCCGTATCCCATTTCCGGTGGGAATGTGAAATGTTGTGATTTTCCCAATACTAAGAGCGAAATCTTGGCTGGCATCCTCGGCACAAATGCGGAGTTGAATCAGAATAAGCGCCAGGCGGAGGCGACTCTGGATTCACTTTCGATCCCAGGCCAAGATCGGCGAACGTGTGTCCCTGAGCCAATAGCAACTGGGTCTGCACCAGGTCGATTCCGCTGATGGCCTCTGTGATGGTGTGCTCAACCTGAAGCCTGGGGTTGATCTCCAAGAAGAAGAACTCTCCAGTTTGTTCACTGACTAGGAATTCAAAAGTTCCCAGAGAGTGATACTGGATATGACTAGCCATCCTCAGCGCCGAGTCAATGACTCGCGAAATGAGGTCGCGATCTCCTATCAAGGCAGGGCGACCTCAACAATCTTCTGAAAACGCCTCTGCACACTGCAGTCCCGCTCCCACAAATGCCGTACATTCCCCGTCCCATCCCCAAGGACCTGGATCTCGACGTGATGAAACCCATCCACAGCAGCCTTTTCAAGAAAGACTGTCTTGGAAGGGGACTCCCCGATCGCGCGCTGTAAACTATTCTCCAACTCCGAATCCTCACGCACCAACCGAATTCCTCGACCACCGCCTCCATCCACAGCCTTGACCATCACGGGAAAGCCAATCTTCCTCGCGAAAGCCCGCGCCTCGTCCACATCAGCGGTTGGCCGGGCCATAGCCTCAAGCACAGGAACTCCACATGTCTGCGCAAGTGCCTTGGCCTTGAGCTTGTCGCCTGTCTGTGCAAGGTTCTCGGGGCCGGGGCCGATCACAATTGCATTAGCTTCCTCCCACATGCGCTGAGCGAATTCTGCGCTTTCGCTGAGGAAGCCGTAGCCTGGGTGGATGGTGTCGATTGAATGTTTCTTGACAATCTCGACCAACGTGGTAATATCCAAGTAGGATGTAGGCGAAGCAATCTGGATTGCGTGGTCTGGATGACCTAGATCACAATGGGATCGATCGCCCGCCGTGTAGAGAGCGAATGTCTCGACCGGATCAGGCAGCTCACGCGCAGCATTAAGGATTCGAACTGCTATTTCACCTCTAACATAGCAGTTAGATTCGTTATTATGTATAATGGGGCCCAGGGAGCTTACCTATTGGCTATCAACAACTTGTTGATTGCCCGCGGCTGAAGCAGCGAAGATGATGACATTGCCGGAGGTGTGCAGTCCAAGGCCCCTTTAGATTTGGCTTAGGATAGACTGCTGACACAAAGATGAGATCCAGCCTCGAGATATCAGAGATCAGATGTATGTCACATGGCAGTTCGTTCGGGCCATCGCATCTCAGTATTTCCTCGGTAATTGGGGGGCCTCGGCGCGTCGGGAAGAGGGGAACATCGCAAATCAAACCTCCGTGGCGACGACGCTCCTCTAAAACACCAACCCCATCAAAATGGCAAGGGATAACGAAACCAAACACCAAGAAAATAATAGCAATGGAAAAGCTAATGAGCGACTGAATCAAGTCTCCGGGCACATCGCGGCCCCATCAAAAAAGCCCAAGGCTCCAACCTCCCGCCTCCCCGCCGACCACTCTGATGTCCTGGGCCAAATAGAAACCCTCCGCTCCATCGCCCGAAAACCAGATCCCAAAAGTAGGGGTTACATCCGCCAAAAGCAAGCGGGCAAACTGTGGGTCCGAGAAAGAATTGACCAACTTCTTGACCCCGACTCTTTCCAAGAAATCGGCTCTGTGTCAGGCACTGTGAGCTGGAAGAAAACCGGGCCGTTGCGCGAGACGCCCGCCTCGTTCGTACCGAGCAATAACGTTCAAGGCGCAGGTACTCTGCGCGGCCGTAAGATTCTGCTCACGGCGGATGACTTCAGTATCCGCAGCGGCCATGCCGATGGAGCAAGCTGGGAGAGGACGGTGTATGTTGAGAAGCTCGCTGTGGCGCTCCGAATCCCTGTCGTTAAGCTTGTTGATGGGAGTTCGGGGGTGGGAGTGTGACTACTATCCGCAAAGAAGGATGGAGTTATCTTCCGTATGTGAGGCCCTTTAAGCCGGTTATGCAGCAGCTGAATATGGGTATACCCAACTTGGGAGCCGTTGTTGGTCCTGCTGTAAGTGTTTCGCTACTTTGCCCATGTCCCTATCTAGTTGTGATCGAGAAGGATAACTGATGCGTTGTAGATTGGCCTTGGCGCGGCGCGAGTTGTCTCATGCCATTTCTCAGTCATGGCAGCTGATATCGGCGCTCTGTTCAATGCAGGCCCAAAGGTAGTAGAGGGCGCTACATTTGAAGAGGATCTCGGGTTCCAGGATCTCGGAGGTCCCATGGTGCATTGCACGAATGGGACCATCGATAACCTTGCTGCCAACGAAGCTGAATGCTTCGAGCAAATACGTACGGTCTTGGGATATTTACCGAATTCCGGAAGTGAAGCACCCCCCAGTCGTTGCGTGCGAGGATCCCGAAGACCGCGAGGACATAGCTTTACGGAGCATCATCCCACGCAGACAAGCACGCATGTATAACTCGCGGACAATAATCACCTCTGTTGTTGATCAAGGCTCATGGTTTGAGATCGGAGGGCTCTGGGGCCGGACAGCGATCGGGGGACTCGCTCGACTTGGTGGCCATCCGATCGGAGTGATAAGCCTAGACTGCGAGGTTAACGGGGGAGCTTTAGATGCTGCCGGCTCTCAGAAACTCACGCGGCTGCTAAAATTGTGCGATGTGATGAATATCCCCATTGTGCAATTCATTGATGTACCTGGGTACGCAATTGGAACTGTGGCTGAGCGTACGGCTACCATGCGATGGGGTGTGGAGCTGGCAAAGACATACTTCTCTACGACAACGCCCATTTTCAATGTCATCACACGAAGGGCATTCGGTGTTGCAGGAGGTGTCATGCTTGGCGCACGCGACCCAGTGATGCAAGTCGCTTGGCCGTCAGGTCAATGGGGGTCGCTTCCACTGGACGGAGGCATTGAAGTTGCCCATCGGCACGAACTTCGAGAGGCTGAGAAAGCGGGCAAGAAAGAAGAGAGGTATAGGGAGCTTGAAGAGGAATACCTGCGCAAGATGAGCCCGGTCCGCACAGCCAATGCATTTGGAGTGGAAGAAATCATTGACCCTAAGGATACAAGAAAGGTCTGTTGCGAGTGGACGGGGCATGTCTACCGAGTGTTAATGCGGGATCGACTATCCGATCGGGCATGTGGGAAGATCGCTCCTTCATTTGCCTAATCTGCACGTGTCTTTAATTAATGTACTGCAAAAAAAAAAAAAATAAGAGCCGATTCCCAGCATATGTGACGATCCTCAGTAGCCAATCTGTAGCGGGAACACCCACTTCCAGGTCCACGGGCCCGCCTGGAAAGCACGTATTATGTAACGCTGCAAATCGTGCGAAGTTCCCATCGATTCAACACGCTACCGCGAATTGATTACAAGATGGCCCCAATCAGCATCTTGGATGGCGGCCTTGGGACGTCTCTACAAGACCAGTACGGTGTGCAATTCGACAGCACCAACACTCCACTCTGGTCCTCGCACCCTTTAATCTCAGACCCGGCTGTTCTAGAGTCCTGCCAGCGCGATTTCATTAATGCAGGAATCCACGTTCTCTTGACAGCGACATACCAAGTATCAGTGGAGGGCTTCGGTCGCACAAAGACGGCAGAGTATCCCGATGGAATCCCCCGCCATGCTATTGGCCCCTTCTTAAAGAGGGCTCTAGATATCGCCGAGAACGCCCGCGGCGAAAAAGATGTCAAAGTGGCTTTGAGCCTCGGTCCATATGGGGCGTGTATGATCCCAGGACAAGAATATAGTGGTGCATATGATGATGCGCATAATAGCGAGGAGTCGTTGTACCGCTGGCATTTGGATCGTTTACGGCTTTTTATGGACGCAGATGATAATCTACGCCAGCGGATCCAATACGTTTCTTTTGAGACCCTGCCTCGTTTGGACGAGGTCAAGGCCGTGAGACGGGCCATCCGCGATGCGAAGCTCGATGTCCCATTCTGGATAGCTTGTGTCTTCCCCCGAGAAGATAGCCTCTTGCCTGATGGAAGTCTCGTGAAGGACGTTGTCAATGCCGCTGCCTCTAAAGACGAGGAGGGCTTTGTTCCGTGGGGCATCGGAATTAACTGCACTAAAGTGCATAAACTCCCTGGGTTGATTCAGGAGTTTAGCAAAGCAGCTACCGGTTTGCCTGATCAGCAATTATCCCTCGTTCTGTACCCAGATGGAACCAATGGCGAGGTCTACAACCCAGCCACTCAGACGTGGGACAAGCCAAGTGGCGTTGGCGGACAAGCGCTCACAGTAAGTGAAATCATTTACACCACTCCACATCCTGATAACACGGCTAACATACTACCGTAGTCACCCTGGGAAACCCAGCTAGCGGACATAGTCAACGGAGCCACCGAAAACAGCCCATTCAAGTCATACCTTGTAGGTGGATGCTGCAAGGCATCGCACCATGATATCAAGAAACTCAGAGACCAGTTCTATAAATGAAAAATTGCACTGCATGCTCTGAGTGGAATGCCGAACAAAAACCGCTTCTATTCTATGAATATATTGATGATGCTGATATGCAATTTGTACGCGCCAATATCGCTTAAAAAATCCAGTCAACAAAGCGGTTCCATAATGTATTGGGCTTTTCCTCCTGTAGTGGAATCTCTCCATCTTGGAGTCGGCCTGACCACAAATCGATCGTGGCAGCACGTTGGATCTGTTCATGATCTGTTAGCTTACTGGTCCTGGTAGCTTGAAGATAGATGCCTACCTTCGTCTTATGCCATAACTTCCAGATGACAATTGGCACAATGAAGATGGGAATGCCAACATAGGATGCGACAAAGTCCGAGGTATTCCAATGACCCTTTAAGAAGACTTCGAAGCCGGCAACCAAGGTAATGATTATAGAGCCAATAAAGCCAAACCAAGCCGCGTATGGCTGCAGTGGTGCTTTCCAAGGCAACGTATCACGCGAAACACGCTGTGCTTTCATAGCTGCATAGAATCGAATATAACAGAATGATAGGGTTGCCCAAGCAATGAGTCCAGCGATGGTACTCAAGTTCAGTAGCCAAGTGAAGGCCTGCGAGGCACCTCCACTTCCGAGGCCTAATTCATGTCAGTTAATAATGCCCACAGCTATCCCTGAGGAGACTTACTCAGATAGGCCAACGGCCCAAATAGCCAAGCCACTACCACCGCGACATAAGGAACGCCCTTCTTATTCACCCGGCCAAAGTATTGCGGGAGCTGATGATCGGTGGTCATGGCCAAAATCATACGTGATCCAACCCAGCAGTAGGAGTTACCCGCAGACCAAGCCGCGATGAGAATGCAAGCGTTCACAATGGATGGAAGAACGTTAATACCAGCCTCCTTGATGGCAATCACGAAAGGAGAGCTATTCGCATTGTTATCCCCCGAAGTCAGACCACTGTTCCTGGGGTCCACAATAATGCCAATCAAGAGAGCACCGAGAATGTAGAAGAACGCAATGCGATATGTGACGCGGCGAGCAGCCTTCGGAATCGCTCGATGAGGATCAACCGACTCTGCAGCTGTAATCACGACAGTCTCGACACCAATGAAACTGAACGAGGCGTTAACGAAGGATGACAAAAAGCCCAGGAAATGGCCTGTCGGTCCCTTGATGCCATCGAAATCAGTCCAAGGCCCAGGATTGTGCCAGTAGCGGAAACCGATAGTCTGGCCGTTTGGACTTCCTCCAGCTGTGATGACGAGCGACACAATGACCAAGCCCAAGAAGCAAAGGATCTTGATGGCGCCTCCAACCACTTCCGACTCGCCATAGAATCGAACACTCATCAGATTGATACCTAAGATGAGGACCAAGCTCACACTGATCACCACAGCCGGCGTGATGTCAGTCCAATATGATACGATCACCGCCGCTGCAGAGGTCTCCGAGGCGATCGCAATCGTATAGCAGTAACCATAGGATATCGCCAACGAGAAGCCAACCGCGGGATCAATGAAGCGAGTAGCCCAGTGCGGGAAAGAACCTGCCAGAAGTCAACAACTTTTTGTCCGAAGAAGGTCGATCGTACATACCAGCAGTGGGGAAAAAGCGTAGCTAGCTCCGCAATACTCTGCATAACAGCCCACAGCACCATGCCGACAATAATATAGGCCAAGAGAAGCCCAGCAGGACCAGCCTTGGCGTACGCAGACCCTGTCCCCACAAACAAGCCAGTCCCAATTCCACCACAGAACCCGATCATGGTAACCTGGTAATTTCGTAGACGGCGCTGAGTCGCACCGCGACCGCCGACATTGAGCTCCATCTCTCCTTTGATGTCATTTTCATATTCCGGCCTGTCGGTGTCTGGCTGAATAGCATCTTGGTCTCGCTTGGCCTTCGACATGGCTCCAGAGTCCGGGGGCCTTCTAGCCTACTACGAGCAAGATATGTTTCCAGGAAGTCGAGGAAATCCGTCATTTTTACAGATCCGCTCTTACCTAAAATTTGAACGCGTCGAGCACGACATCTTCTTAGCTTGGGGCATGGAGACCCACTGGATCAGCCTTCATTGGGTCAATTGGGTCCAGGTCCCAAATTTCGCACATTGAAAAATCGACTGCGGGTTGTGTACATATTGTTTAGGTCATATTGCTGGTTGCATCGAATAGCCCAAGAATAGACGCTGAACTCGAGAATAATCATGCACGATAAGGTGATGCTAGAGCCGTGACGAGCCTGTTAAAACCCTGTGGGCCGCGGTTTGGCCCCGAAAATCCTGCGAGAGTCGGTCCGACAAAAGGCTCATCCTCATTTCTACTTTGGGACTGAGCCAAGGGAAAAAAAAAAGAAAAAAAAGGAAAAATCAAAAAAATCCCTCGTGAGTTAAGGCAATTGTGCGCGTTACCGCCAAGCTTTATTCCTAGTGTTGGTTGACAACCTTGGAGGGTACTCGTAGTCGATTGTAGGCTGCCTGCTTTGGAGGCCAACATTTCAAACAGGACCACCCACTCGCCTACAATCTCTGGATGCCTCTGCCAGTCGATATTAATGGATCAGATAACTCAAGGGTCCAGATAGCCCAGTCTAGATTTGAGGGGGAAAGACAGCCGCTAGAACTAGGGTAGGCTAACTCCCCTAAGCGTCGTCCCCCGTGCGATACGCAAGGCCCACATTTCGCAGTGGCCAATGAATCTATAGAATGAGGAAGTAGGTTTACACATATAGTGCGGGGCAGCGCAGATCAAGCCAAGACGATAGCACTTTAACGCGAGCCGATGCGGAAAGAAGGTCACATTGGCGCGTCTGGGCAGCCCTGGAGGGATTTTTTATTATCTTACCTCAGCCGCCCTTTGGCCCCCAGGCCCTTCAAGGTGGAACGAAGGTCTATCCTGACTTACCCCCTTAGCACCCCTCTCGAAAGCAGATCTTCGGACTACCAGAGTGGCCGTCACCGAGTTCTGGACCAGAGTGACGGTCATGTCTGCTCAAGAAAATGGTGCGCCAGCGTCGGCACCAGCTGCACCCTCGGCCGCGGCCAAACCAAAGTCGCAATGGAAGCTTCCTTCACTGCTGAATCACTTCAATGCAGCCGATCTGAAGACTCTTTTTCGTTGTTCCGTCGCAGCATGGGTTGCGACGCTGATGATCTTCATTCATCCCGCGCTGAACACCATTGGGATTGCGAGCTTCTTCGCGACAATGGTGCTATTCATGGTACCGCCGAACAGCATGGTCTTTGTTTACATTCTGGCCTCTTTTACGCTGATTTTTGGAATGGCGCTCGGATGGGGTTGGGGCGTGATCACCATGCTTGCTGCACAAGCGGCAAGGCCAGTAGCTGAAAAACAGGCGAAGCTCCAAGCGATGGGCCAACAAGCTTATCAGCAGGCTAACGCGACTGGAGTCCCTGTTGCCAATGTCGCGCAGGTACTCCTCTATGATGGATGGATGCTGGATGCTCGTGTCTCGGCGATTTCTTTTGCATGATATGTCTGATGATATACTGCCTGGTAAGCTGCCTCAATCCTCTACTTCGAGAGTAATCGGCTGAGATGGAGAACCTAGGCTCGTCTTCGAGCAAGCAACCCGAAGTTTGTTCTGTGCCAGATCTTTGGTACCATTGTTATGGATGTTTATTTGACGCTTGGCCCACTGCTACCTTCGTTCAACGGGACCATCCCGAAGGTCTTCCTTATCCCTTCCGCGATCGGCATTGGTCTAGGGTTGGTGTGTCAGATCGTATTCTTCCCGACGTCGACTTCTCACGTTGTCCTCGTAGGATATGAAGATCTTGTACGCTTGTTGAAAGCTCCTCTGGATGTGACAATTGCCAGTTTATGCCATGGAAAGGTCGCTGAAATGTCCGATCTGCAGAAATTGAAGCTGGGAACTCTCGGTTTGTACAGAAAAATACAGCCGGCCCTCGGGTTCTTGCCGTTGGACTTTTCGGTTGGTCGGTGGAATGCTCATGATGTTAAGAGCCTGAACGAACCTTTGCGACAGGCTACAATGAGAACTTTGTTACTGCTGGAGTCGCACATTGCCCACGTTGGAGGACAGGCAAAGGCGGAGAAGCTCCGCACTCTGACTTTCGACGCCGATACTTTCTCGGAGATGCTTGACGAGAAGAAGAAACCCCGCAAAGCTGGATTGCGCCAATTGATTCAGAGTGCTAGTATGGTCCATGCCATACAAAGCCCTGAGCACGAAGGGTTCCGAAAAGAAATGCATGAGGCTCTTCAAGAGCCCAGCAGCAGGATCCTACCGATTTGCACGGATGCGACTACCATCACTGCTGATAGCATTAAAGCTGTTAATTCGGCGCGATGGTTCAATCGGCCAACTCAGCAGAGGTTCAACGAGCTGGAGGAGAATGCCCAGACGATTTTGGAGAACCTCAGGGCAGAACGGATGGCTTTCACCAATGATACTACGGAGCGACTTCTTCAAGTCAACGCGGATCTGTTTGACGCGGATGGGGCCCTGAAAGATCTCGGTAGGGGTCGTATTTACAGATTGCGAGCGATAGCATTGGCGATGGTGATCGAAGAGCAGATCATCGCTGTTGCCAGATCTTGGGAACGGATCCTCGAGCACCTATTAGCTTTGATGAAAGAACGTAAATCGACTCGGCTTTGGCTCCCCGAGGACTGGGTTATGCGTTCAACTGGGTGTTTCGTAAGAGCGCCGTGGCTCCCGTCCAAGCGGCAGAGAACACAGTTGTTGATCCAGAGGAACAGGAGCGGAAGACCAAGGCAGCACAGGAGAGCCTTCGCATGAGTCGCGGATACCGTGCCCGACAACGGGGTGGCATCGGGCGCGTCATCCTGGCAATTTACCATTGGCTTATTAACAGCGAGGGTATGTACGCTCTGCGTATGGTCTGTGTGACTATCGCTCTTGGAATTCCGGCTGTAATCCCGTCTTCTGCAAGCTTTTATTACCGCGAGAAAGGTCTCTGGGCGCTGATTATGGGTCAGACCACGGTACTGGTTTACATGTCTGACTTCACATTATCACTTGTCTCTCGTTTCGCCGGAAGTGTTATCGGTGGTGTCGTCGGCCTGGTAGCCTGGTACATTGGTTCTGGTAATGGCAATGGGAATTCGTACGGCCTAGCGGCAGTCATGGCTGTGGTCGTTCCAATGTTAATGTGGCTACGGATTTTCTCTCCCCCTGTCCTTCTACAGTCTGTTATGATGGGCTGTGCAACCTGTCTTCTCGTTGTCGGATACAGTTTTGACTACCATTATTACCCCCAATATGGCAACCCGGGAGCTGGCTATAGCGTTTTCTGGCGGCGGTTGCTACTGGTCCTTATTGGGTCTGCGGCGGCTGCAATCTTGCAGCTTCTCCCAAGACCACCCTCCGCCACCCGACATGTCTGCAGCTCTCTTTCCGGTGCTGTCCGATCCCTCACTGACCACTATGCGCTTCTTCTATCGTGCTGGGGAAAACCTGACCGTGAGGAAGGCTTGGTCGCCGAAGACCTCGCATTCCATCTTGCGGAGAGCCTATCCGCTCTTGACGGACCAGTCGCCATGCTCAAGTTAGAATTCTCCAGCTCTCCCTTCGACAGTGAACACCTCGCCCAAATCAAAGCGCTCTGTCAAGATCTCAACCACCACCTGGCCCGTCTTCTCTTCCTTTCCGCGTCTTTGCCCGAGCATTTTCAGTCTCGTCTTGCGCAGCATGGGGGCCTTTTAGATCACCGTGGAATCGGCGACATCATGGCAGTTCTTAATGCCATTGATCAGACGCTTAAAACAGGAGACCCCGTCCCCGAAGTCCTGCCAACCCCATTGCTCAAGCGATGCCTTGACTTTTGGTCTACCCATCATGCAGATGTTACAATGAGTCGAGAGTTGATCCGTGACGAGGACTACCGCCGCTTCTGCGTGGCGGTCAGCGCTTACCTCAAATTCCTCGGGACTGTGGACGACTTGGTGCTTGTGATCAAGGGAGCTGTTGGTGAATCGCATATAGTCAGCCGAGCGCTGATGCATGATCTCGTTGTTTGAAAGCGCCAGCATGGAGAACCTGTCGTTGTATGGACCGGAAGGTGTTATTCGCCGGTTCCTCGAACTCCCGTGAAGCCGTATGTCCCTTGTGTATACCACGCGGAGCAGGCAAATGAGATCTGAGGAAGTAGGTGTGCTGTCCACATACTCGCTCAGCAGGGCGTATCGCGGCCCAGCTATTGAAGCATCTCGCCGTCACGCATCCCGGTTGTCAGGGCGATTACTGTGTCCAGACATTGCAGGAATCGATCATGAGGGGAATTTCCGCCTTCTTCAGCAATGGCTTTCGGCTGCTCTGTTATCTTCAGGAGTTTCTTCGCATGCGCTCGTTGTTCAAAATCATCGGTTGATGGTCGAAGTTTGGTCGACCCACGGGGACAACCCCTTTTTCTTCTTTCCACCCACGGCGGCCATCGCGAAGGTGGAAGGAAGGCAAAGTTGGGATCAACGCATTCGCCTTATTTTAAGGGACAGAATGAGTCAGTCGCGGAACGCCAAACCTTCTGGTTCTGCAGTTCGCGTTTCGCAAAACGTTTTTGGTCATCGGGGAACTTTGATTTGAGACTTTTGGTCTATAACGCCTTCCGTAGAAAACTGATTGTGGAGACTTTCCCTAAACAAGCGTCTCCACTTCTGCCCCTCGCCAGCATGTTACCCAAGGACTGTTTGCCCCTCATCGACTTGACGAAAACGCAGAACCCAGTTACCATCTTGGAGGTACAACATGCAATTCTCAAGTATGGCGCTTTTCGCCTATGGGCCCCTGAACTGAAGAGGGTTTTTGCTCGATGTGTACCGCGGAATGTAAGTTTTTCCGCGTTTAAAGCACTACTCAACGTCAAATCTGACTTTCAAAGGCACAGAACTTCTTCCAACTCCCAACGGACCTGAAAAGAAGTACCAGGGGATACCACGCCTTCGGTACGGAGCTCATTCGTGGAAAAGCAGCGGCCAAGGAAAGCCTATATATCTTTCGCAAAGGTGACGAAGAGAAAAGTCACATTTCGCCCCCTTCAGATCTTTATCGATCCATCAAAGCGATACATGATGTATGAGCTCCCTGTCCTACTTTGGTACCCATCACTGTTGCTCACCGAGGTGATGGATTTGAATGCAGGAGTGGAAGCGTTTGCGAGGCCCTCTCCTCGATACACTGTCTAATAAAATACTCAGACCGGATGTAACATTGACAGGTACCCCCCCTTCTTGACTATGAGTCGGTGGGTCTGCACCACTATGTCTGTCAAGAGGAAATTATTGGAGAGGGCGATTACTGTCCTCCGCATATGGATGGTGGCACATTGACAGTATTGATCAGGGAAGATGGGGAATGTGATGGCTTAGAAATTGCCGATCTCCAATCCACAGAGAAGTTGGATAGCGAGGGAATAGGTCTGGAAGCTTCCCTTTTGCCCGTTCCCGCAGCCACTGATGAAGTCGTTATATTTGTCGGAACCCGGATGCAGCGTCTCTTTGGGAAAGCTACGGCTCGCGCTTGTGTGCATCGTGTCCGCGCACCTACGCAGCCAAAAAGCTCCGGCGCAGAAAGATTCAGCTTGGCAATATTCTGTGCACCTCCTAAAAGTTTTGGCAGGCAGCAATCTCTCCAGTGACATTTCGATTGGAACTGGAGATTCCAGAAAGGCACTAAAGATCGCTTTACAGTTGCGATTTTAGTTGCGAGAAGAGGTCAACCCTTGCGGTCTCATGAAGAGACGGTCAAAAAGCACACGCCAAACGACTAAAGTCTACAGCGGGTTTTTTTTTGACTGGTATCGAGAGTGGGATCAGGCATCTTTATCCTCTGGGACTGGCTCACAGTGACATCAATCCAAGTAACATTATGGTTGATGGTGATAACCCAATCATAGATTTTGGTTCTTGTCGGCTGCTTGGAGAGAGTTTAGAAGGGGTTGGTCGTATTACGAGTGGTATGACGAGAAAGTGCGACAGTCAGTCCCAGACAATGACCTCTATGCATTAAAGGAGATACGCATCTGGCTTGGCGATGATTCACAGGAATTTCAGTTTGATGAATAGTAGTACTTGTTCGGATATGCTCTTTATTGAAATTAGTTTCACTATTTTTTCTTTCATGTTACTCGAACAGTTTCTCAAAATTCCGCAAGTCTACTCATTCTCTTACGGATGCAACATGTGAAGTCAACCGCATGATACTGTACTGTACTGTATACGCCGCAAGGTACGTACTCTTGAACCCGGTCAACTGGAGAAGTGCCGTCCAAGGGCAAACAGAGTTCGCGATAGAGTCATTTCGGAGGAACACAACGCATTGATTAGAGCTGATTTGTCAATACTTCGTTTAACACTATTTTCGAGGACACTAAGTAATGTCTGCTTTGAAGTAAGTTCGCTCTGCATGTTAGAATCCAGCTGAAAAGCAGATATAAATCAACTTATTTGAACTTCAAAGGATCGCAGTCGACCTCGAGGACAGACTATATATAGATGCTAGTAAATAATATGTTTGTCATCTTTGTTCCCAATACCTAGGTACATTCCGTCCTACCCGTAGGCTGTCGCGGCTGACTCTCCAATGATGTAAAAGCCTCCAAATCCCTGGGCCGCGGCTGGCGGTTTCCATTACTCATTGAATGTCCCGATTGGGCGACTCCAACAACCCTGAATTCCAAGTTTCTCCGCACCCCGCACCCTAAGCCGCTTTGCGTTAGATTCCGGATTTTCCTTGAATCTCCTTCATGTCTTTTCCTTCGCTGTAGATCTTCCCCTTCCATATAACCTCCAGACGAATTGTTCAATGTCGCAATCTCGACTGAGTCGTCTCCCTAAGGGAATCTCTTACTGGCTCGGCTACCGATCTGAACCTCCAAAGCCGCTAAATAAATATCATGTCGCCGCATGGTCCTTTATAGCCGCGTTCGGCGGCCTTTGTGTGCTCCAATCCATATTCAACTATTCTCACTATTTCAAAGCACGCCATGTGCCCGGTATAATTGCTTCTTATGTAGGTGGAGGTGTCTTCCCAACTCCGCCACTCGCAGCTAAACTTCGACCTAGGGAGCATCTGCCGTCCTTTGTTTCGGCGCTATTGAAAGCCCTCTCGCTCAGCCGCGGGCCCTTATATTCGGGCATTTCTTTAGCGCATTGACGGGACTCTGTATCACCAAACTATTCAGTCTGATCCATGATCAGGCCCAATTTGAGTCTGTGCGCTGGGTCGCCGCCTCACTGTCTACCGCAATTGCCATTGTGGTGATGCAACTCACTGGCACGGTGCACCCTCCGGCTGGTGCGACGGCCTTGCTTCCGGCAACGAACGAGGAAATTTGGGAATTATCGTGGTACTATTTACCAATCGTGTTGCTTTCCTCGTCCATACTCGTTGCCTGCGCTACCTTATTCAATAATATTCAGCGTCGGTACCCTGTTTTCTGGATTTCGCCTCCCTCACCACCGAAGCCGGCGCCGCCAAAGCCCGAGGCACCTCCCGAGGAAGAAAACACTGCAGAGCCCTGACAATTTTCGGGAAAATTCACATAAAGAATCCGTCTGAGCTTCTCTAAATACGTGATATCACCGAGAGCTACCTCACAGATACGAGTTCTGCATAACTTGCATGTTGTCGCCCAAAAACCAGCTATATACCGACCATATCTGAGTTGCTTACGACACAGTGTACATAAAACAACTAATAACCTGCATTCAACTAATGTACAAAATCAAACCGCTTCAAAAACACCTTCCATGGATATGATACATGTGCAGACATCCCTCAAGATTAAACATGAAGATCAGACATGAGCCCAGCCATAAACATCTAGGACCTGCATCTCATTAATAATGCAAATTCTCCCGGGTTCCCGGTTCGAAGGGCTCAAAGCAGCCCACTCGTCTATGCGCCGCTGTACAATCCACTCTTTCAACCACGCCGTCGACGTCCACCGCCGAATCCTGTTTATCCACAAGCCTTGCAGGATAGACCGTGCCGAAAGCCAATTAGTTGCAGGGTTCACAGCCCCCCATGAGTCGCCGTTATATCCGACTCGGACTAAAGGATTCATGTAAACGCCCTTCCTTGACGATAAAGGGTTGTCCGTATGGATTAAGCAACACTCTGAGCCTTCGAGGTGCAATGCGGCGAGGGAGTCCGGGATCCCGCGGAATCGCAGGGGCCGGATGGTAAGGAAAGGGCCAGCGGGCATGGCAACTAAAGTCCGTCAGCCTTGAATGAGGCTAGGGCAGGGGCTCAGTGGGCATTTACCCATTCCATTCCAACAGCTTTGCACCGGAACCGGCTCTAGATATTTCATGGCTCCTCTCGAGACAGAGCTGCGGAAGTACGGCCATGTCTGCATTACAGTCTCGTGGCCGCCTGCGTCCCGGAGGGCGAACGTGTCGTAGTATTTGGGCGGCTTCGAGAAGTCCATTGAACACGCTGCGGCATACTCACCATCGTTCGTATCCAGCAATTCGAAGACGTCGCTTGCCTGCGCTATACATGAGCACCGGGGAAGAACACCGTGGGATATGCTCGACCAACCGTAAACACCACATCATTCAGAAAAAGGATCTTGTCAAAGGTAATGCCTTGCTCTGCTAGATCGTGAAGGGGCTTCAAGCTAAGGTTTCGAATACGAGAAAGATACGGAATGCGACGCGGGAGCTCGCCCTTCGGCGTCGAGATCCAGCCATCCCCCGGCGTCGAGTTGATCTCATCTTCATGCGTGACGGGCGACAAGATGATAGAACGAGGTATTTGCAGTCGCTGCAGCTCGGCATCAAGCTCCATCAACGCGCCCTTTGTGTTGTCATAGCTGCCGCTCTCATAGATACTCACGAACACATTGTCAGCACCAAGTCTCGTGGTGAGGTCGACAAGCGCATGATTCCAGCTCGTCCGGAGCACGAGCTCATTATTCCAGTTCACGCTGGCGATGAAGATCCTTTCTTGACGACGCGGCTTGTTGTGGTGGACGGCGTCGGCTTCGGCGACTCGGTTGAGGATCCACTGTAGCTCGAGAAGGTTGAACACGAAGAAAGCGAGTAAGAGGGTTCGGATGACACGAGTTCGAGCCAATGCACGCCGAATTGTGTAATAATAGGGGATGGAGTACGGCATGGCTATAGATGGCAGGCGATGGCGCCTGGGATGGTTGGGAGTTACAGATTTGGCCGGGGCAGAAGTTGGAAATACATGGCGCGTGGCTTCGTGAGATTGGGAAGGGAGGAAGCACTTGATAGCTAGGGGTGGAGGGGTATCTTTCGATAGAAGATGGAGCTCAATCAAGGGGCATAGACGGTGCAAAGGCTGAGCCCTTCATACTTCCCATTAGGGAAAGGAAAACGATGATCACCATTTGAAATCTTAACTGATCTTGGGAATTTTTGTAGGATTCTGAGTTTTCAGGGCTATAGATTGGCGATTGACCCTAAATCTATGAGAAACCAGTCGATCACTTGCACCCCGAAACTTTTCAAAGTAACTTCCTTTTATGCACAGGCATTTGTGCCTATAAGTTACTATACGATGAGATGTAAATTTGCCGTCCCCTTGAATTATTCATATTCTAGTCCATGTACTGATCCATTAGGAGTTTATAACTGTCTTTACTAGTATACGCTCATGGTAATCTTTTGTGGGGTCCTCTACGTAATGAATTGGTCCCCCTTGTGAAGCCTATTCTAAGATAAGCTCAAATATAGGATAAAATACGACCGAGAGAGGCCAATACTACTATGAGTTCGGTTATGCGACGATTACAATATTCGAGCACCGAGTACTTCAAGCGCCTTCCGCAATTCGGAAGGCGTCTTCGTAACTGGAACAAGGCGCGTGGTGATATCCTTGGTTATACTATATCCAATGTAAGTGCCATGTACTTCATACTATGTAGGTATTTTGTAGATAGTGTCTACACCACTGCACGGCTGAATTACAATCTTTGGTAGCACAGTCTACTACTAGACATTCATGGTCGCAGTACAATTCCGCTATACCCGTCATGCCCCATGCCCCCACATTTTAAATTTCCCCGCATGATTGCCAGCCATGGTGCCTAGGGCCTGAGTCCTCTCTCACTCTAAAATAGTCCAACATGGCAAGCGAATGGATCTGTCCTTTATGCTTGGCAACTTACAGTCGCTCGGAGCATCTCAAACGACATACCGCTTCCTCCCGTATGTTGTGGCTGGAAACTCAAGAGCAACCGTTAACAAGCCGCAGACAGCCCCCACCCGGCCGTATACATGCTCTGTATGCCGCACTAGTTTCAAACGGAAGTAAGTAGACAGTAAAGACGGATGGTCGTTGGAAAATTGCTAACTAAAAAAGAGATGTCCTTCGAAGGCACCAAAAAACCTGCACAATCCGGCGTAAAACAGACGAGAGTTGACGCAGCAGCTCTGTCCCAGGGAACTCGTGGGATAGCCAAAACCCAAAGGAGCCACTATCAATGCATCCCACTGTCTTTGGGAATCCCTTCCAAGAGAACCAGCTGAGTGTTGATGCGTTGAACAATGGGTATTCACATCTCGAGAGCGACACATTTTAGCATACTTATCCAAAACCCATGGAGATTATGCCTCTGTACCTGATTTCAAGGCAGAAGAGTCTACAGATACGGAAGCACAAGGCAACTTTGAGATGCTGAACAATTACTCAATCGACGTCTCTGAGCTGGATTTCCTTATTATGCGCGCGTGTCCACTTTCGACATCCTGATTGCAGCGAGGATGGGCCATATGCTCTATTTCACGAGCATAGGAGGCATAGCGAGATTTACAGACCAAAGTTCTTTTGAGAGAGAGCAGAAAATGGCTTTCGAGGCCTATGAAGCCGTATCTGATACGCTGGATGATGCCCTGTTAACAGCAAAGTCGACTGAGTTGCTATCGGGTATACGGGAAATTATTGACCGTAAGAAACATGAAAATATTGTCAAACAAAAAGTGTCATCAACAGTGCATGAAGCCAGCGCCCCTTTATTTTCGCCGGGTAATATCCGTCGTTTCTTGGTTGGATTCTGGTCTTTATGGTACCCTCATTGTCCAATAGTGCATTGTCCACTCTTTCAGGCATCGTCGGCATTCGCACCCCTGCTCTGTGTCATGGCTATCGGTGCATGTCTATCTCCCAAGTAGGTAGAGAGGGATATAGCGAAACAATTTCTAGGCGTTGTCGAAGAATTTGTGTTCAACCAGAAATATTTCGATCTGTACGGTCCTTCTTCACATGCACGTAAAGACACGAGAAAGGAGAGAACACAGTGCCTGCAGGCATCCTACCTTGCTTGTTCCCTGCTAAAACGAGAAGCTCAGCCGATATCCAGGCTAGAGTAAGGAGGCACAGGCATGCATCAATGGTCGCGGTATGGTGAAAGTCCTTGTTTGGAAGCTTATTTCTAACTGCTTGAAGCTTGCAAGGAATATTGGATCGATGAAAGCATCACATCGACATATGCAGCTTGAGGAGCCTTCGAAATTCTGGTGGAAACAATTTGCAGAGGAGGAACTGACAAGATGTGTTGAAAAGACTCAGCCATGCAACAGGTCACTGATACTATTCGAGAACTAGTTATGATATTCATATTACTCATTGATGCAGCTTTGACCATACTCCATAACTCACCTCCGAGAACTCTCATTCCAGAATTAAGAATGGACGTTGTGTGTCCTGAGGCTTGTTTCCAAGCACAGTCGGCTGCAGAGTGTTTTAGCGCGCTGCGTCTATGGACAGTAACGCGTTTTTGGAGGAATCATCTATCGATTGTCTCAGTCCACGGGTTGTTCGACAGATATGACAAAGCCCAATAGACGATTCTCTGGCTCAAGAGTTATCACAGCTTGGCACGTTAAATCTTTTCACAATATTGCAAGGTATGTGAGCAGATTGACACTAGTAGCTTCCTATGGCCGTTGCCAAAATTCTATACTCACCATCAAACTTAGCAATCCATTCCATGTTATTTCATTTGCGCAGCTCCCTCATCTTTGAGTCGACACTTTCCCCTGTCCAGACGGGCTCGGAGAATTGGAAACGGATTGGGAGTCAGCGAGTCCCAGAAAATCAAGGAATCCCTGAACCTGCAGAAAACCTATGGAGGCAAGCAGGGTCCCTTCGTTACGCTCCTGAGTTTTGGCATTTAGCTCGCATGATGGTGGACAAGATCATGTTCAATAGTCATGACTGATGGATTTGAGGAAAACGCAAAGATTTATCGATATGATAACGGCGGTGTGGAGCAGTGAATGGGCACATTTTGGAGTTCGGAGGATGAATCTGGACGTGAGGGTCTGTAGCTGAGAAGAACTACTAAATGGGGCGACTGTTCTGCTTATGGGCTGCTGCAAAAGGCTAGATGACCGGGATATGGCGTGCTTGTTCGATTAGGGCGATTAGCTGCACCTTAATAAAGTTGAGCTCTACCAGAATAAGTTATTGAGAGGCTCAAGTGGGACAAGAGTCAGTGTTTATCGGGGCTGGGACTGATGAATCACGCTCGCGTCTTGCGGTCTTTGGTTTTGAGGTGGACGCGTCGAAGAGGTACGAATATTTCCTTCGTTTACATACTTCCTTCGTTCGTTCCCTCGACACTATTCGTTCCCCTCCCACAGTCTTCCAAACTTCAGACATTATCCTATCAGAACTTCGAACACAACGAATTAGCTAGTCGTGATCGAAAGACCCCGCAACTATGAGTACTACACCTATGAGTACGATCACTGTCTTCGGCGGCTTCCCTGAGGATGGACAGTATGTCTGGTCGCCCTTTGTTACCAAGCTCGAGGCGCGTCTTCGCTTCGCAGCTATTCCTTACCGCGTTCAAGCCGGGTCTATTCCCAACGTCCTTCAAGGCAAGATTCCATATGTGACGATTGAGACGGCCTCCGGCAAGGAGACTTTCGCCGATTCAGATCTCGCCATCAAGGAGCTCATCTGCAGTGGCCGTATGAACTATCTGAATGGCGATCTTACCGGCACAGAAAAGCTTCAGGATCTCTCGCTGCAGGCCTTGCTGGAAGATAAGCTCTACACCTTCCAGGTATATAAAGGGAGCTGCGTTAATTTGCAGACCCGGGTCCCAAATCGCTCCAAGTAACTAATGCACTGTAGGGATATGAGCGTTGGGTTGCCAACTACACTGTCATGCGTGACAAAACCTTCGAATCGGTCCCTTTGTTGATGCGCATCATTCTCGGCAAGGTCATGTACAAAAAGCAAATGCGTACTCTCAAGGGCCAGGGCATGGGCAAATTTACTCCTGATGAAAATCTGGAGATCCGCCGTGAGATTTGGGATATGCTCGCTCAGACCATTGAGGCTTCCTATGTCATGTGCCGCGGCGAGGAGCCGTTCTGGGTCTGGGGTGGTGATGAGCCCACGGAGGCCGATGCTGTCGTCTTCGGGTTTATTATTTCTGGCCTAATCTGCAAGGCGTAGGTTGCGTGGTATTTCAGACCTCGCAGGATAAGGCTAATAAGAACCAGTGCTCCCCAGACCATGGCGTACATCAAGAACCGCCCCGTCCTTGTTCAATATGCCCGCCGCATTCACGACGCTTACTTTCCCGACTATGAGCTCTGGGATTAGAGGAAGGAAGAACTATCTTTGACCGTGATACCCGAGTACTTTCATTTTGAGCTATTTGCTTTGAGATATGGATGGGTGTGATGATTGCACGATTTGATTAGGTCCAGGCCTACAATTGTTTTACTGCTTAGCAATTCGATCAGGCCCAAGTTTTGGATGTTCCTGAAATCTAACTAGTCGAGGCCTGTGGCGTTTTCGATGGCTACTTAATGTGCTCCAGGTTTTGGCTGATGACAAGATAGTAGCAGAGTCCAACAAAAGGAATAAGTCTCTAAAGAAGAACGTCGTTCCTTGTTGTGATCATAAATCAAAGTAGTGAATTCTAGTAGTTAACTTAAATAGAATCCTCACCGATAGCGTCTCATCACTCATTGGAGATAATGCCTTGAAGACTCATCGTTCTTTTCTCTTCCTCCAAATCAACGATTGCACAGCCATTGCAAAGGTGGCAAGACATCATCGCGACAAAGTTTGCCCCTCATTCACTCTACAAGACTCATCAATACTTGGGTGAAGATATGAGGATCACTGCTTAGCCGCTGCATAATGATCATCTCGTACAGTATAGACCAGTGCGTTCATACAATCCAAGTACCAAAGTTTACCTCTATCAGATATTACTTACCGAGTACAGCATTTAAGTACCACCAGGGTTAATAGAGCTTCAAGTGATCGATACTGGTCTCTCCTTGGAAACTGCTCGCATGTCTGTTCTAGGATAGACTCCCGTCGCTTACAAACCTATTCAATAAGTCTCTCTTACGCGTTGGTTGCTGCTTATTTCTGAAACGAGATTCCTAGGCTTGGCGGCAAGATGGGTCATGCTATATATAGCATCTCACATTAAATATTGGTCGCGAGCTCCTGAGGATTTTACTAAAATACTAGTAGGATAGAGTGGGACCGGTGCAAACCTCAGCCTACAAGGAGTACGCACGGCAGAGGCGTAAATCGACTAAACGGTAGGCTAGAATTGCTGCTGAGGGGCCCAAGGGGGAATTGTTCTATTGAGTGTATCGGCTGCAGCCAATTAGGGCATGCGCCACGCAGGTGCTCACGTCACCTTCTCCACCTGCCCCATCAGCGGATCAACTGGATCGCCCTTTTATCTCCCCTCAAATATCTTACTCCCTCCGCTTCCTCCATCAACTGCGTCCACTCTTTCATCTTTCACGTTCAAAATGCTTACTCGGTCCATCCTCTTGGGTGGCATGGCCGCCATGAGCGCCCATGCTCTCCTCGTCATACCCGAGATGAACCCTGAATTCGTGGAGGCCCCTCCAATCGATGATGCACCCATGAGCATTCAACCAGTGCCTTCCGAAGATGTCACCTTCGGGGTGGTTCTTCCTTGCACTGATTGCCCGTTCCGTGAGGTCGATGCAGAGGGTGTCGTCAGCTGGACTGATGGCAAACCATCCAGCCTGGTAAGCCAAACCCCCTATGCAACTACCCTGCGCGGGGCGCCTGACATCGCTGACACAAACATACAGCTTCTTGAATTCTCCCTCGAAGATAACCATTTGCTGGCTAACAACCACCAAATATTCCCTCCTGTCCCCCCTCTTCCCATCAGTGCTGTTCAATATGCCGCGGATGGCCAAAAGTCGGAGCCCGTGCTCGTAGGCTACGCCCTGGAGATTACGCCACTCCAAGCCCCTTCCGATGCGCCAGGCACCGACCTACTTGATGTCCGTTTCACTATCTTGGACCTGGAAGCCCACCCAGTGCCTGTCGACACCGTCACTATTACCCTGATCCAGACACCTTCGGGAGGTGTACTTATCGCCGACACTAACATCGAGGAGACCGCACCCCCTCCCGAGAAGTTGTCCTGGAAAAAGTGCAATGGGAAGGCCAAGTGCCTGCAAGATCTTGTCTTCCATCGCATCCAGGGTCTGCTGCGATCCGCCAAGGACCGCATTATTGGCATGGGGAAGGCTGGCCGCAAGGGCTGCCATGGAAAGAACCAGGGCGTCAAGGGTATGGGCGGCCACCACAAGCACGACGATGATGAAGGTCCTATGGGTCATCATCCTCACCATGGAGAACATGGAGAAAAATTGCACCCCGATTACGACGAGGGCCGTCACCACCACCCTCACCACATGCACCACCCCCATGGCGCTTTAGCCCGTACCTTCTCCCGCATTGTTCGCTTCATCATTGTTCCTGGCCTCATCGGTGGTCTCGCTGGTTTTGCTGCCAGTGTTATCGGTATGCTCGTCGGCAAAGCTATTGTATTCGTCTGGCAGCGCTACCGTGGCCGTAAGTCCCAAGAGCACAAGGCTGCTTGGGAAGACGGAAACACCTCTGAGAAGCAGGGTCTGATGACTGATTCTTCTGAGGAGGACCTCCCTGCGTATGTAGAGGGTGCAGAGGTCCGCCACTCAGAAGACCACTAAATTGCGGCACCTCTCCAAGTGCTTGGGGAACCAACCGTCTTGACTCCAGGCATTTGATTTGATAGAAACATCAAGAACTTCTGAAGCTTGCTGGTGGATCATCGGACTGTTGCCATTTAAGAAACGGGAAATTGGAACAAACATTCTCAATTGGCGGAGGGATTAGTATTTTGATGGCTTGATATTCTTATGCTCTGTAGATCGATATATGGTCCTCATGACCATATGATTTTTCACGGCCGACTCCTCAGCGGAATTTCCTATAATGAAGATTGTGTTCATATTTTGATACCCGAAGACCAATTCCACATAAGTCTACTTTAATTCCCCATTATAATTTGTGTTGTCTGCATTAAAACGACCCTATACTCAGCCCAAGATAGCGTGGCAGCGTAGCAAGGCTGGCCACGTGATTGTGATGGGGCGGAAGATGGGGAGGAAGCCTGCAAACCCCCTCTTATCAAAACACTCCTTTCCCCACGTTTTCCTGCACCGCAGGCCCAGGGTTTGGCCAAAGAGCGATCGATGCTGTAAAATGACATTCGGGATTTCGCTTGAGCCAAGAACGGGCAAATTCACATCCTCTCTGCCCGGATTAGCTTGCTGTTCCAAGTTGCAGCTATAGCTCCCGTCCCGCCCCTCGACATCACCGGATTCGCAATACCTGCCGACCTGGGAGTGGTTCCGACCTGCACCATGCTTCCATCCGGTTGGTCTTCCTTCGTCCAGAAGGCTCAATCCCTGGTGGACCAAGCCAACTTCAATATTCCTTCTCTTACCTCGTCGACCGACAATCCCTCGAAAGCCTCCCTCTTCCGTCAGCAATTCCGCCTCCCCGACTCACAGAACCCCTTGCAAGAGATTACCGCCGAGCTTGTTCTGCCACTCCCAACCACCTCGAGCTCGACCGAGGGCTCTCGCAGGATCGACCACCATGGCAATCGCTATACGGGCCGTCTTCACCTTAGCGAACGATTCATCTGTTTTTCCACTCAACCTACCAGCTTCACACCCTCCTCTACTCTCAGCGCCTCGACTAGCTGGGCTGGCCAGACCCACGGTACTGGTCCATCTGGGAATGGATTTACTCTACCACTTTCGTGCATTCGGCGAGTAGAGCGACTGCATAGCGCCAAGGATGTGTTTTCTCTCGCATTGACGACATGGAATGGGCTTTTGAACAAACAGCAAGAGCCGAATTTTGCGCCTCAACGTCTGATCTTGCAGCTGGTTGGTAGCAGGCAGGCCTGCGAACGATTCTGTGATACTCTGAAGAAGGGACTCCGCGAAGGCATGAAGGAGGTGGATAACCTGAGACTTGTTGTTACAGACTGTTATTCTGAATACCTTCTTTCTGGCGCCGCGGCCAAGGCCAAGGCGCAAGACGGGAAAGAAGGCAAAGAAGGCGGCGATCCAGATGCACGACAGCCCCCTGATGCTGGGCTTGGCATGCTGTTTCGATATCCAGGTGATGCTCGCAAGCTCCGTGACCGCAGCAAGATGCGATTGTGGAGCGAATACTTTCGTGGTATGCTCCAACTATGCACACACCTCTGCCAACTCGTCCATCTAACAAGAATATAGAAAATGGGCGCAATGCCACTCTTGTTCGACAGCCGACCTTCCACAAACTCATCCGTGTTGGTTTGCCTAACCGCCTCCGAGGCGAGATCTGGGAGCTCACTTCCGGATCCCTGTTCCTTCGCATTCGTTCACCAAAGCTATACCAAGAGACATTGGCTAAGTTCGAGGGCCAAGAATCTCTCGCCATTGATGAGATTGAAAAGGACTTGAACCGAAGTCTACCAGAGTATCCTGGATTCCAGAGTGAAGAAGGCATTGGGCGTCTGAGAAGAGTCCTTACGGCATATAGTTGGACAAATGCAGAGATTGGCTACTGTCAAGCGATGAATATCGTCGTCGCTGCTCTGTTAATGTTCGTGCACCTGATGGCTAGCCCCTCCCCAAGCTCTGAGCAGATGGCTAACACTCACTAGTTATATGTCCGAGTCGCAAGCGTTCTTCCTCCTGTCTGTTCTCTGCGATCGCCTTCTTCCTGGGTACTATTCGACCACCATGTACGGGACATTACTTGACCAGAAGGTTTTCGAATCTCTCGTGGAAAAGACAATGCCCGTTCTTTGGGAGCACCTCTGCAAATCCGATGTACAGCTTTCTGTTGTCTCCCTCCCGTGGTTTCTTTCTCTTTATATCAACTCTATGCCCCTTGTATTTGCATTCCGCGTCCTGGATGTCTTCTTCCTGGAAGGACCTAAAGTGCTCTTCCAAGTTGGTCTTGCCATTCTTCGCATCAATGGCGAGGAACTTCTTGACATTCAAGACGATGGCTCTTTCATTTCAATTCTCAAGTCATACTTCTCTCGGCTAGATGAATCGGCCCACCCACGATCCGAGAATCCCAAGCTGCGCGCCATCACGAGGTTCCAGGAGCTGATGGTGGTGGCTTTCAAAGAGTTCTCCAGCATCACACACAGTACAATCACCGAAACCCGTGCAAAGCACAAGGATGCTGTTTTGGAGAATATTGAGAACTTTGCGAAGCGAACGTCTATTCGTAACCTCGGCCCAGAAAGCAAGCGTCTCAGTGTGGACGACCTTGGCACAATCTACGATCGTTTCTACGAGACATTATACCATTGGCAGCAACACCAGAAGATCTTGGAGGAAGAGCGGAGGAAGCAGGAGAAGAAGAAGTCCGAACGGATATCCATCCTTGGCCCCCCTGCAGATACGGAGGTTGGACGCGTTGGTCTCGGGCCGAGTCCCACGCACATGGACTATGATGCTTTCCGGGAATTCTTAGCTGCCACTTCGAAGTGGGCTGTTTCAGACTCTCCAGGGCCGCGAAAAGACTCGCAGGGCTATAATAGCATGCGTGGCAACGGCAAGTCGCTTCTATGGGCCAACCGCCGACAACCTGCAGACCATGAGTTCATGCAGCGTCTGTATCGGAAGTGGTCTACGGAGCCGGAGGAGGGTTTGAACCTCCAAAATGTGGTCAACGGTCTTGCGCGTCTCAAGGGTTCCCCTGACATTATGAACAACATCAATTACTTCTTCAACCTCTACGATGATAGTGGAAATGGCCGGGTCGACCGTGAAGGCATTCTCAAAATTTCGGAAGCTCTCCTTTTCTTATCCCGGAGAGGATTCGAGGGCAATGTGGTCGCGACGGAATCTACCGAAGATTTGAGCAACCCTCACCACGCCGAGTCCATCCAACTCACCACCGAAGAGAAGTTCTTGGGCAGTGTCAGTGCGTTCATCCGCAGGTGCTTTGAATACGCCGACCCCAGCCATCCCGAAAACCAGAAGGCTGCTCAAGCCGATCCGACAACCGAAGCCACTGAAAAGCTAGACTCTTTCGTTATCGGCGGCGACGACGAAGAGGACTTGATTGACATGGAAGGAGAGTCGAAACCCAAGTCCGTCGCTGCGAACAGCGAGCATCGACCAAGATCCGAATCCGCCAACCCAGCCCTAGACCCGAACAGACCCCTTCACATCACCCTGCCCACGTTCCGAATGGTCGTCCTAGCCGACGAGCTCCTGGAACAGTTCTTCGAATCTTACTTCCCTCAGTCCTTCCACCTATCCGACCATCCTCACCCGGCCGCGCTCGCCGCTTCCTCCTCCGCATCATCCAACCTTACAACCTTCTCCAAACTCGGCAGCGCGCGTCATTCTCCAGTCTCCGCCAGCGCTAGCGTCCCTGTCGCCGGAGCCTCTGGCGGGATCGTTCCACCCGGCAAAGGCCTGCGCGGGGTCCTCGACAACATCGTCACTGATGGCATTCGTATGGCCGCTGAAGTCAAGAAGCGGATGGACGAGGCCCAGCGCGAGATCGAGCGTAACGCACTCGGTCGCGACGAAGATGATGAAGAGGACGACGAAGAGGACTACCCCCGCCGCTCCAGCGCCTCTGCCTCTGCCATGGCCGGCGGTATCTCCAGCTGGGGTGCCGGAGCGTACGGCGCCGACCCTGAGCGTAGGGGCGTCCGTGACACAGACCGCGATCTTCTGGAAGGTGCCGAAGTCGAGGCATCCTCTCTGCTTGATAACGGGGTCGATAGCGAAGGCCCAAGCAAGAAAGACCATGCTGTCTCTGGCGCAGGAGAGGCCGAGATCGTTAGTAAGGTCGTGGAGTTTGAGTCATGATAATACCCCCGACTGTCTCTTCTATGTTACGAGGATGGCTCTCTCTGTCTCTGTGTGTCTGTCTTTTTTTCTCTCTCATTATATGCTCTCTTCCCAGCTATCTCCTGTGCAATTATAAACCTGTTAGAAGTGGCATTTTCCAGTGACGAGTGTAAATAGCGGTTTTGATTAGGGGTTCTCTGCAGCTGCACATGTAATGGAGCCTAGGGACCTTCAAGGTATTAACGAGATTCTATCCTGTCCAAGTTCTCCTAGTCAAGTCCCTGTAAACTAGGCTGGAGGTGCTGCCAGTGTAGGACAAACTCGAATCCCTACTTGAACATTCTTGGAGAAGAGCACTGAGTTCTGCCTCTACCACTGCTGACGGGCAGTACTATACCAGTGAGTAGATTAACCCTTGGAATAACTTGCCGCTGCAGCCTTGGCGTGGAAAGTTTTCAGCTGTTAGCACTTTGAATCCTTTGAGCGAAGATCTTCCTAGCGCGTGCAATATACAATCCGCCAAAAGAATGACTTTAGACCAAGCATAGATAATCACCCGAGCTGGAACCGTCCCCGGTAGTCTTGAGCAAGCCACGGTCCTTTGTTGGATAAACACTATTGTGAAACATGCGATCTTATTTATTGCAACGTATATAGATAGATGGGGTACCCCAGCTTTGAGAATATTTGCACGAGAGATATGACATTTGGCTTCTTACCATACAAATCAGGGGATTCCTGTTCTCATCGTAACACCAACTCGAAGCCTTGCAGATGGACCATGGCAACAGACGTTAGAGATTCCGAGCCCGAAAGGATCAAAATGAATGTCTTCATAGGATGGACCGTTTGGCTTGACGAGCAACTGACCGAAGCATCAAACGAGTTGTACGAAAGACCACGGGGTCGAAGGAACTTCCGTCCCACCAAACATACCATGCCAAGCGAATCCAAACGGTCTTGCCCTATACGGAACATTCTATCGCAGCGAAGAGATATACCACCAAGTCTTCTGAGTATGTTGTCTTCGAAAAAGTAAACAGATCCACGTCTGATAATTCTTTCCCCCCCCCACAAGTATTAGGAAGACTTCTTAATCTGCCGCATCTAATATTCTGGACCGCCACACTGTGAAGTGCTCGTTATCCCCGGCGGAGAGACGCCATGTGGTGGCATTACACCCACCCCTCTCGGGCAAGTTTGTCGGAAACGATCATCGGTCCCTAGAGCGTTGAATATATATAGCTTGGATGATCGGTTTGAGTATGTGGGTGGAATCAGTGGCGAAGCAATCTTCATACAACAAATGCGACCAACATCATCGGTATCTTCCATCCCATGAGAACGTGCGACATCCCAAACAACCGTAAGAAACCTAATCCCTCTTCGCCCTCCGCGCCAAAGCACCCTTCTCCAACCACACCCCTACCGCCAACAGCGACAACGCGCCTGCGCAGACATAGAGCTGCGGCGCTCCGGTCCCAAACTCCGGGTCCACCGCCAAACTGCCAGGGTAGAAGAAGGCGGATAGCTGCGTCACCCAGTACAGCGCCCCGACCCAGGCGACCACATCCAGGTCATGGCTGCGCAGCTCGGGCGAGCGGGCAGGACGGAAGGTGTAGAATGCAGTGATGAGGCCGAGCAGGGCGCCCATGGACATGGTCTGCCCATTGTGGAACTTGGCGTGTGGGGGCCAGCGGTCGTTGTAGATGTGGGTTTCGTTCCAGTCGGCGAGGAAGCAGCCGACAGAGGTGGCGAGGCTGGTGATAGTGAGGAGGGTCTTGCTGAGGATTGTCATGGTGATTTATTTGAGTCGTTTCAATGTGATTGTTTTCGTGCAGAGTCCAGCAGGGTAAATAGCTTGGGGGGAATTCGTTGCAGAAGGTTATTTATCTGGTGGCGGCGATAAAAATGATGAAATTCGCAGATCATAAGCCCGAAATACCGGACGAACGGCCGAGACCGAGCGGATTACATGCCACTGGAATGTGGAGATCTATACACCTAAAGAACGATAGGTAGGGGAGAACATATTAAAGGGCAGTAAATTCGTTAGAGTCATGATATGGCGGCACTCCCGATGTTACTATGTACAACCATTCCGTCAACGCTTGATGCCTCTGCCCAACCAATTATAAGATAGATGGAACCCAAATCATGAGAAAAGGCAATGGCCAAACAGGGGATGAGAACTGCGAAAGGGTATAGATTGAAGGCGCGCAAAATGGTACAATGTTCAAAGGGATTGTATTGCCATCAAGAAAAAAAAAGAAAAAAAAGACAAAAAGAAAGGGAGAAACAGATCCGAAAAAACGAGAACCAGTCTAACAGGCAAGACACCTAGTCCTTCTGGCCTTCGTTCTCAACCAATTCGAGCACAAGTTGTGTGCGCTCGTAATCGGGATGTTGCATGCAGATCTTCACGGTGTGGTTTGGACTATCCAGGTATCCATTGGAGCCGGAGCTCTTCGCATTGGCCTGGCCAAAGGAGCCTGGCAACTTGGTCCCGTCGTCGAGCCGAACGACGTTGTGGCCCGGAATGACCTGTCTCAAGCGTCCATTCATCGCATTGCGCACCTCCACGAAATCTTCATTGAAAAGAATCAAGAATTTACCATGAAGACAAGCGGTATGCGCACTACCAACAAATTCCATGACCACACTTCGCGAGACGTCGCCGTGCTTGTTGACGTATACAGCGCACTCTTGGTAAGCGACCAGGAACTCCGAGTCGCTGAGTCGGAACATGCCAGGGGACGGAGGTCCTTGATGCGATGGGCAATGCTTTGTAGGGTGTCGGATGCATCGGGGGTGGTGTCGGACCGGAAGTCGGGGACCGACCAGGATTGCTTCTTGTCCAGGGTGAGAACTTCAATGCCGCGGTGGGTGGCGATGGCAATGGAAGAGTGGAACATGTTGATGCTGTAACTTTCAGCAGGGATGTAGAATTCGTCGTATTCACGGAAGAACTCGGTCTGTGACCTGCGGGACTGGAAGAAGCGGCTTTTGCTCGATGTAGACTTTTGGAGAACTGGCTCGAGGACCTGATTCGAGGGTTAGTGATATCCCAAAGCAATAAGAAAACGTCAGGTTTCGCACCTTGAAAGTGGACGAAAGTCCATCTCGTTTCTTGTACAGGACCAGGTACCGATCCTTCATCCGCCCAGCGGCGAAGAACCCGACTTCACGGTTGCCCGAAAGCTTCTGTGGCGCTTTGCGGGCAGAGTCCTGGGATTGGGATGGAACACCGCTTGCAGGGCAGATCACATCAAGATGGTACGCAATCAGGGAGCGGTCTGAAATCAGAAGAAAGAGGTTGAATTCCTCAAAAACCGCAATCTGCGTTACTCGCATGATTTGAATTGCCTAGACACGGGTTAGCAAACAAAAATTAGGCATCTGCACAGAGGCTGTTCGATTGACACATACGCGATACCAGCCGCGAGGGTTACTGAGATCCGACATGTAGACACCGTAGTCTGTGCCAATAGCGCACATCATCCTGCCTGGTGGTTGCTGAAAGACAGTGGCACAATTGACAGAAGTTCTACAGACAGGCGCGGGACGAGGACCGGATCCTTCATACTGCTTCTCAACTTCCTTAATGGCGCGATGTAATGGGGTGCCCTTGATAGTGACACTCTTGGAGCTGGTACTTTGATCCGAAGTAGCGAATGCAGTATCAGCAAGAACACGGAGGCGGAACGGCTCTGCGTTTTGCGAGAAGAGGGCCGCAGCATGCTTGGTCTTCGCCTTGATGATCTTCTGGCACCACTCACTGCGACTCTGCGAAGAAAAGGCGTAGAGGGTGTAGGTGCCGTTCTTACCGAGATGTTTGATCTTGAATGGATATAGGATCTTATCATCCTTGGACTCGAGGGTTGCTACGGCACCGTTCGTGGTTGTGCCACCAGGGTTGGCCGCGCCCTGCGCAGGTGTCACAGTGGTCACGCCTCTGACAGAGGACTTCACCACTGGATCTTCGTTGGTACTTTCTAGAACAAGAAGGTCCATGGGAATTGGCAGCTTCGAGACGTCATAGCGTTCGTACTTGACTGCCCTCGACTGTTCCCGAGCAGTGCTCAATTTGGCAAGCACAAAATAGTGATCGAATAGAATGGCATGGGTATCGACAAGGAATCGAGTCCTGGTACCGGGCCTTTGGAGGTCTCCCCTGTGGATGATCTCACGGCCCAAGTGTTCCAGGTTAAGCTCGACCTCTTTCTTCATCTCGGGCCGCAATTGCAGCTTGGTAGCAAGCTCCATCAAGTCTGCCTTCTTATTCATCTCGCCAACTTTGTTGTCACACTCTAGAGCCACCACCTTGATCTCTTCAATAGCTTGTGCGACATTGGCTTTTTCGTCCGAATCTTTAACCATATTTTTGTGCACCGTGGCGAGCAAAAGGGTGTACCGCTGGATTCGTGTGATTGGAGCTTTCAGGAAAGTGTCCCAGCTAAGTCGACTCGATGACTTGTGCTCACGAACCTGGTTGAGGAACTGCTTGAACTGCACATTGCGCTCAGCTTCCTTGCGCACGTAGTAATTCGCGGTCGGGAACGTAGCGGCGTAGTCAATGTAGATATTCTTGGCCTTGCGAATCCACTCTCGGAAGATATCACTGAATCCCACGATAAATGGACCCTGCTCCTTCTGACGGTACTTCAGCTGGGCCAGCAGGAAATCCTCGTTGACCTTCTTCACGGCGTCAACCTTGCCAAAGACCTCATGCAAGAATTTACCCAGGCGCTTGGGCGGGATGATGGGTGGATTCATGGAGGCCAATTGGTCACGGTACAGCTCTCGGAGCACATCCAACTGGCCGATATAAGCGTCCTCCGTAGTGACAATCTCGTGCAAGTTATTTTGGCGATCGATCTCCTTCTTGGGGTATGTTTCCCAGATCTCCTTCGGAACTTTGTAAAAGGTAACCCAGTCCTCCATTTTCCTCTGCGGAGCCATCATTTGCGTCTTGAGGTTGACCTTTCGCAGGGTCCGCATACAATGGTGGGAGTAGCAGCGTCCGTAGGAATCTGTATCTTGAATATGCATCTCCGACTCGTGAAGCTTGGAGGAGTAACAGCCGGTGCCGGTGATTTGGTACAAGACACCCGAAAGTTTGCCGTTGCTGAATTTGACCCATTCTTCTTCCTTGACCAGTGCCTCCGCCCGGAGCATGTTGGCCACAACACGAGAAGCCAATGTCTCGGCATCAGCGATGTTCATTGTGGGCACTTTGTGCGTGAACAGAGCCACGATTGCATCCGTAATGGCCTGCTCCTTAAGATCTGTCTCCTCCTCGCTAAGATCACGAACCCACGCCAGGATGGAGCTGAGAGCCCAGGGCTCCCTACACTTCTTGAACTGTTCAGATGACAGCTTCGCAGGGTTGAACCTCTTGCGACGTCCTGTGGGGATCGTAGGCAGATCGAGAGCCATAGTAGCAGCTGCCTCGGCGGGATCCACCTCAGGAAGATCCTTGTTCTGAAGCTGCCACAAGAAGTCTTGCTGTTGCTTGTAGCGGGCTCGGTCCGCATCCGTCTTCGATCTGATGGGTGCATCTGTACGAGGCCCGATTGGAGTAGACAGAGATGATGAGCGGGGAACTTGGGATGGACTGAGAATTTCCTCATATGCATCCCCGGGGCCTGACGTGGGGTGTTGGTACTGTGAATGATCCTGGGTGTCTTGTTCCGGTGGCCTGTATGTACCAGCGGGCATCAAATGCGAGTGAAGGTCGGTGAAGTTGTTGTCTGCAGGCTCAACAGGCGCTGGGGGCAATGGACGCATCCCTGGATGGAAGAATAGGTCCTCATGGGCTGCGCGATAAGGGCTTTCTTCTCCAGAGTGGTCTCCGTCATGCTGATCGAAGGCGCTCCCTGTCTCTTCGCCATAATCCCAGCTCATCCGGCGATCCATATTTCCAGGAGTCGAGAGACCGCCGGTGCCACCAGCATCAACTCTCGCATCCGGTGGATAGTGGTGCAAGAGGTTTGCGAATTCGTAGGCGATTGGCGGATGCTCATAGTCGTCATACCCGTCACCGCGGTCATTGCCTGAGAAATTGCTTCTGAAAGAGCTCGATCTGCCCGTCATACCATCCGCAGAAGTATCCAGGTGCTGGTCCTCGGGACTGTATGTTGCGCCCGCACCATAATGCATAGTGCCCGGGTAACCTCCGCCATAGAGTGCCAGATCGTGGCCAATGAGCTCATCATCTTCGAGAGTATCAGACTGCGGGGAATGACGAGGAGAGGGGCCTCTGTTAGATGCATATGACCTATGCGAATGGGAGCTTATGATTGAAGTATTCGTATTCCGGCGGGCGTGTCCATGCAGACGTTCACGCTCGCGCTCCTGTCGTGCCCTTTCTTCCTCTTCTGCCATCTGTAGCATAGCAAGTCCTGCTTCAGCCTCTGCCTCACTATCGTCACTATACGCATCGTAGTTGACAATATGCCCGGTACCAGTAGCCACGTTTCCATTATTGGTATGTGTATGTGGTTCATCCGGTGACAGTCGCACGCGAGACCCGGACCCGTTGTGCGAGGAACGAGAACCATGTGCTCGGGAGAAGCTCGCCTGGGTATCCATGACAGCGGTCTCGAGCTCTTGAATTAGGTCATCACTGCCGTGAGTGTCTGGCTCTGTGTCAATCGGCGGCCCTGGCAGTGGGCGCGCCTGAGGATGTCTCGTCAATGTGTCGGTCCTTCGAGGTGGCAGGATTGGTAAATCTTGCTGCAAGGTCGTTGAGGGCAGAGGCCGCCGAGGCTGGGAGAAACTCGGACGCTTGCTCAATGCGCCATTGCTCTGTGGTTGGTGAACTGGTGGCGTGGGAGGTTGGTCTTCCAAGGTGCTACTGATGGGCGGGATAGTATGAGAGGGGTATGGGGAATCGGATCCGAAACCATGCGATGCTGGGAAGTAAGAGTGAGACGACGAATGGGGTATATAGCCTGTGGATGGAGAGTTCGATGTTGCATAATTTGATGTAGATAGCGGTGAAAAGGTCTGATAGGCCGAGGGCGAGGTCGAAGTGGAATGGCCGATTGAGGCGACAGGAGATGTTCCGTAAGACGAACGTCCACCGTAAGGATGGTCTGGGGCACGCGGGGGAGGAACAGGCGGCTGCTGAGCATAGCCATATGTTGATGGTGTCGGCGGCGCCGGGGAGAAGGGCGAAATCTCACTTGGCCGTCGTGCGATTGTGGGAGATCCCAGTCCGGAGATCGCAGCAGGCTGATACGCGGCAGGATTGTATGGCTGGTGGCCAGTTGAGTTCGAATGGGAGGTATTTATTGAGGGGGTATAGGATAGCGGAGTATAGCTCAGATTCGGTTGCGTCTGCGATTGAGGAATTGCGTATTGCTGAGGATTGTAGGTAGGTTGGCCGGAGGACTGGCGGTACTGGGGTTGGTAGCTGGGCATGGCCACAGATTGAGAAGAGGCACGAGTAGGCGACATGCGCGACAAGTCTGGTGACGGCCGCGCAAAGACCGCATCTCTACCGTCGCCATTCCCTGCTTGCGCCGGGTGATAGGTTCCCTGGTCAAACGAATACTGCGCGTTTGTTGCAGCTCCCACGTTGTGTGCGCGGCTAGCGTTGAAGAGCAAACTGTCGTCTCCGGCATTGAAACTGGGCATTCGCCTAGGAAGATGCGGGCTCTGAGTCGAGTTGCGATAGTGATTTGAGGCTGGCTGAGAGGTCGGATTGCTAGGCTGGCCATAGTAAGACTGTTGACCGTTGGGGTAGGCCATCGCTGCGGCGCCCGCGCCAAAAGGGGGAAGAGAATGAAAATTAGAGGAGAATTGGAGGGACCCTAGATCACCCTCGGTTACGTGCTGGGCCCGGAGGCAAAAGCGGCGGAGAGAGGAATCACTCGCCCACAAAGACGAATGGTGTGGTTGGTTTCATCAAGATGAAGGCGGGGGGGAAAGCGGGCAGGGGACGGACGGCTCCCGAACATGGGCATCCCCAAGAATGAGGAGGTAAACAGGGCGAGCACGAGACCGAGAGGTCAGGTCAAGACCAGACCGCAGAGCAGAACAATCACGGAGCTTGGCAGAAGTGGAAGTCTAGTCTGGGTTTCGGTTTGCCTGTGGGTTTCTGGGTTTCAACTTCCTGGAGGCGTCCCGCAGTCGAGTCAGCAGTGTGGAACTCGGGGAATAATCCAGAGACCCTGGATTACACACTAGTACTAGTCGACTCCAGTGGACAGTAGGAATTTCCTTAGGATCCCCCGGTCTGTCGTGCTCGAGCCTGCGCTTGGAGCCTCACTGACTAATGACGCTAAAGCACATTAGGTAGACATAATAACATTTCCTGTTGATCGCAGCGAGAGCTGCACGCCGCACCTCTATGAAGATTACATGTCCTTGTACCGTCGTGGATTAGGCCCCCGCTCCTCGGCTCACTAGGTACTACGAGAAATACCTAATTCCATATGTTCTTGTCAAATATCGTTATCATCCACCCTTTGCGACCTGACCCATCTTGGGCATGGAAAGTTGGGGGCGGGATTGCCGCAGGGCTGAGCCAACAGGACCAGATGCACGCTCCCATGCTTAAATTAGTAGCCGTTGATATGCTGGGTATGAGTCTTTAGATAAGGGATGAAAAAATCTCAATTCCAGTTCTAAAACTGCTTGGATACCAGTCATATTATGTGACATTCATGGATGTTCGTGAGGCTGTGTCCCTACCAGTAACACTCGGGGGTTTCGAAGCGCTGTTGGGGTTATTTTTCCATATAAGTAGCATAGGTAGTACCATGGCATCCATGTATCCTCAACAATTTCCCAAGTTCACTAGTACAAGTACCAATATTATAAGCTGTGTCTTTATCCTCTACAATTGCTCACCAATGGTTCAATACCATACCGGGACTGGGAGGCATCTGAGGCACAAAGCCGACGCTAGAATATCATAACCACATGGATCTAATGCTGTGAATAAGAATCAACAGCTGAATCCAAGGTCAGAATGATCTTAGAGATAAAGGCAATCGTAATGAGATAGCTAGTGAATGGGCCATTGTGCCCAATCACTATGTGAGATATTTTTGAAAAATAATAAATACAGCATAGCAAGTGCAAGGGAAAAACAGGAAAACAGGAAAACAAGAAAACAAGGAAACAAGAAAACAGAAAAGATAAAATAAAAACAAGCAAACACCCCCTATCCCACGAGCCCCCGGCTCAGGACCTCTTGTCGAGCCCAGAGATATTTGCCGAGTCCTCATGGAACTCGCGGATGTGGGACTCGACATCGAAGTCCTGCCCAGCGCGCTCCCCTGGCGCGAGCATGTCGGGGATGACATGGCGCGTTGTCACCGCAAAACGCAGTCTCCCCACGGGAACAACCTGGTGCTCGCAGTACTTCTGCAGAGCCTTCTCGTGCATGATAACACTGTCCCCATGGTTGAGAAACATGCTGAACAGGACAGGGGGCTTGCGGGCACCCCTGCCTGGTGGCAGCGTCTTCTCGTCCTGGGGTTCCTGGCTGAACCCGTGGAGCTTTTCCCGCGCTTTACGGTACGCCTCCGAAGCCATCCCCTCAGGATACATCGCCTTCAATTGGCGACGCTCCTGCTCATGCTCGCAGCCCGGAGGTACAATCGGATCATCCGGAATGATCGTGCCAGAAGGCGTATAGCCGAAGTAGTACTTGGCCTTCAGTCGGATGTTCATTCGTGCCCCCGAGCCCAGGGAGAGAGTCCGAATCTCATCTCCCAGCTCCTTTTCGCCATCATCATGGTACTTGAAGCTAAATTAGTAGGTACTTTCTTTTCAAAAGTCAAAGTGCTTCTTACGCCGATCTGCATCGTCTCCATGTACCCAAGAATCAAGCATTCATTGGGTTTTTCCGGCACTGTGCCACACGCCTTCTCTGTGCCTTCATGCACGCGTAGACACCGCCCAATTTCATTGAGACGGGCGACTGCATGTAATACGCATGCTGGGGCCTCTGAAAAAGGCGTGGTATTCACCCTTGCGATGAACTTATATGGAAGGCCCTGAAAGAAAATCGGTTAGCACATTCCATAGAGTCAATTATCTGATAACTTACGAAGTTTGCCGCAAAGTGCCGTGTCAGCTCTCCTCGGACTGCGTTTCTTGTGAGTAACGTTTGCATAACCAAATTGTTTGAATCAATCATGTCAATTGCACTTACCAACAGAGCTCACTAGAGGAAGCCGCTGGAGCTTGAGCTCCCCTTGTTGGAAACGGCTGAACAGTTCATCGGGTCCATGTGGCCGCTTGTTGATCTCACTGTTGGATCGAATATGCGTGACAGAGCCGATATTGTCGAGGACCCACTTGGAATACTGGAAACCCTGCTTTCCAGGGCCGTCATACCATCGCAAGCGTGGTTCAAGGTTCAACTTGAGTTTTATGCTGCTCTCACTTCGGCGTGTGGCCCGAAGGATATCTTGGAGCCGTATTCTTTCTAGCTGCAGCTCAACGTGAAAGCCGCATTCCTCACTGCATTTCAAGCTGTCCCACAAGCTCCGAGGGTTGCATCTGCCGCAGCGAGGGCATACAAATCCCTTCCAATTCCAGCAATTCAGCTCTTTACGTGGACCTGAGATCTCTGATTCGGAAACGTAATATCCTTTCGTTTCATTTCGAAACTTCCTCGCACTCCCTTGCGTAATCCGGAGAGCGCGGAGGGCAGACGGAGGCATCTGCGGAGCCCAGATAACATTCTGGTCTGGGTCGGGCAAAATAGCGCACGGGATAAACGGGCGTTTCTTTGGGTCAACGCGAGCTTTCAGAAAGTCGGGGTTATACTCAAGGTCCTCAGCTGCATATTTATCATCTGAATTTTTCCAGAATTTGGTGCATGCTTCATTGAGGCAAAGCCATTCGATTGTAAAGATCTGCTTGCTCGTCTTGTTGCATGTGCCGCAAGTCTTCACTGCAGGCTGAACGCTGGTGTCAATGATGCTGGGCGTCTTAGGAAGCCACCAGCTAGGCTCGTCAAGCTTCAGCTTCTCGAATCGGATTTTGTATGTCACAAATCCGTGTGACCTCTCTGGCCAGATATCAGTGACTCTGAAGTGGTCCATGACGTTGTATCGTTTCGCTTTAGGATGGTACTGGATTGCAGGATGACGGTTTCCTATTTTGAGTTAGATATGGTGTCCAATCGGAAAGTGCTTCATGGCTCACCGATTATTGGTATAACCACCATATTATGATCAATAGTATTCTGGTACCATGAAGGGGGCCCTTTTACGATCGATTGACTTTCGTTTGGGACCATAAATCCATCTTCGCCTATGCAGGATCCACCACTATTTGGGTTAGAAACGTGATGGACCAAAGGGTTTCTAACTCACGTCCGACTAATGATAACCTGATCATCAACGAGGTCATGCTTCATCCCATGGCCATCAAGCAAAAGGCTGAATATAAGCTTTTCGTGGTGGTAGGTGCCGCCTTGGTGGCTCTTGAAATAGGGTAGAGCGGCGCAAAGATCAGGGCGAGACTAGGAAAGAGAATTATCAGCAACTGAAGCCCAGTAGAACAGAGAAAGGCATACATACGTCAGCCCAAGCTAGAGGTGCTGGATAGTTGAAGTGCGGGGTCCTAATCTTATTTTCTTCAAGCAAATGCCAGAGTGCATTCTTGCACTTAGTCTGCTGCGGAGCTTCGAGCTCTGCTTCCTTACATTAGCATTGAACAAAACTTCGATGAACAGTGAAAAAGATTGAGTGGTACCGTTCTTTGTAACGATCTGGTCTCCTTCTTCAAGGCCCTCGAGAAGAGTGTGTTCAATACCTTTGGGAGATTCAAGCTCTGCTTCCCCGTATTAGCATTCTACAACGGCGAAATCCGTGGAAGCAGTCAGTAGAACTGAAAGATACCTTGTTTAATTATTGTCTGGTTGTCTTGAACCTTTCTGGCCTTAGCAGCATTTAGTAATTCAGACGACGTTGGAGAGCACAGGTTGGTGGACTCGTTCAGTTCTTCATAGAAGTGGGATTGCTGCAGTCCATCCTGCATGCAGGAGTGCTTGCGTTTCCCTGCAGAAAAAGCCATTTGGTGAATGTGAAATTTGAATCGAAGGATTGGATAGTTGCACGATGCAGATCAGAGTGTAAAGGCAGGTGGGAGTGTAATAGGAGGTTGTTGAAAAGTGAGAGAAGGAAAGAACAGGAACCAGCCGAGCTGTGCGAGGGCCTTCGTTTAAAGAAGAGAGAATAAGTGAGAAAAGAGAACGAACTCGCAGAAATGGTGCGAAATCGAAGACTGGAAAATTGATCTTACCGCCGTCCCTCACACTGTCATATTGCCTCCCACGGAACCAGTCCAACCTCCGTACCAAATCGACGCCCTCCGTTCAAGCTTCGAAACGCCCTTCGTTTCATCTACAATGCTCATCGATTGCACGATACAGACTACTCGAAAGAATTTTCCCATCACATCATACCTTCCAAGCCCTAACACCTGGCTGTATGCTCCATCCCTCTAGCATGGAAGATCACGAGATGATAACTCGGCGCAATTTATAGACTTCGCGATTCCGTAACTTGTCCCATCAACTGGGGGGGCCCTGATCTATTACTATTCCAAGTCTCAAATGCTCATCACGTGTCGATTCCCAGGAGAATTCTATCCAAAGCCGTTCTTCATACTCGAGATACCTTACGGACTCCTCCCTATGTTCTGCCCACCCCACGCGGTGAACAATGACTTCCCCAAGGGCTAGAACGAATGAAATGGAATATATCGTTGGCTACAGACAAGGCTCTGCTGGCAAGGGTGCTTGATGGTTCGATCCAACGTTTGGTACACATAAACTATAACACCTGGTTGAAAAACCGGGACGAACTACTGCCAATCTCTTTTGGGCCAAGAAAAGGGGGACAAACAGAATAACTTCAAATAGGGGGGAGCATTAGGAAAGTTCAAGCTACACATGCTATACTCAATTCTCTAGCTTTGACCATCACACAAGTCGAAGTCGCGAACCAGGCGATCGAATTGGTGTGGGAAACTGGCCTGGGCGGTATGTAGAGACCCACCCCCGGCCAAGAAGGGTCAGCAAGTTTTTGGGCCCCGTTCAACTGGAACCGCACTGAAGTCCGCACTGGAGTCCGCACTGGAGTTGTGGAGGTCTCGTGGCCGCAGGCGCGGTGAGATGAACTCGGAAGCCAACAAATCCGGGCCCCTTGAAAGTGACGAAAATGGACTTCAAGGCACTTAATGATTAGTAGTTGCCCCACGGTATGTAATCATCGGAGACGCGGCCCCGACCTCGGGATCTTTCCTCGGATCTGGAAGTAAACATCGATTGAGTGATCTCTACGCGTTCCTGGGAGCTCATTCGTTTGCTTGCGCTGTAGGCTACATCCTTAATACATCTGAACGGTCAAGATCTCGTACTGCAAGCAACCAGTAGCAAGAGGAAGTCAGCTACATTGGTGGGACCGGACATAATGTTAACCCACAAGCGGAGTCCACGGTGACTGGGCGAGGGGGAATAGTGGAGTATGGAACCCCCGCACAAGGCTAGATGGGCTGGCCATCCCCGGTTATAAACGCATTAACGCTGGTTAAACTAATCTTTTCCTCTTCTTATTTAACCTGACTCCCATAGTCCTAAAACCTTCGACTTCTTCTGTCTCGATCGTCCCAATAATTTCGATTGCCCCAGCAAAGCATTCTACAATGGTATTCTTACCTGATCCAAAATTCGGCCGTTTGGGCCACATCCCAGACAACATCCCCATCAGCGAATTTATGTTGAATGAAGAGTATGGCCGTCTACCTCATAGTCAATCACGAGACCCATATACATGCGGCCTCACGGGGAAAACATACTCCTCAAGGCAGGTAGCCGACCGGGTCGACCACATTGCGCGAGGGTTGGCAAAAGAATTCAATTGGTCTCCAAATAAGGGCACCGAATGGGACAAGACTATCGCGGTCTTTACTTTGAATACGGTACGCCCCTAAACGCCCATTTGCGTACACGGATGAAATCTAAATATGTGTCTTGTAGATTGATTCTTTGCCATTATTCTGGGCGGTACATCGATTGGCAGGCTTGGTGTCTCCAGCTAATGCGGCATATTCTGCGGAAGAGCTGAAACACCAGCTTTTGGACTCCAACGCAAAAGCTCTCTTTACTTGCGCTCCTCTGCTCCCCGTTGCATTGGACGCAGCGGCTCTGGCGAAATTTCCCGAAGACCGCATATATCTCCTCGATGTTCCCCGCAAATTCTTGCTGGGGAGAAACCCCCCACTGGCTATAGGGCTTTGGCTCAGATCGCTGAAGATGGCAAGCAGCTTCCAGCTTTAGAGCCATTGAACTGGGGCCCAGGGAAGGAGCTCGCCGGGTTGCATTCCTGTGCTATTCTAGTGGAACGTCTGGCCTTCCTGTAAGAAGCCCCATGATTTCTCACATGACCTCAACTGATAAGTGGTGATTTCTAGAAAGGAGTCAAGATTGCGCACCGTAACGTCATTGCAAATGTTCTGCAAGATGCGGTATATGAGAAGAGCTACCGTGATCAGCTTGCTAAGGCTAATGGCCAGCCAAATTACACCGAGGTGGCCTTGGGCCTTCTACCCCAAAGTCATATATATGGGTTGGTGGTGATTTGCCATGCGGGAGCATACCGTGGAGATCAAACAATTGTCCTTCCGAAGTTCGAGTTGAAGACTTTTCTAGCTGCGATCCAGAACTTCAAGATAAACACGTTGTTCCTCGTAAGTATAATAAGCTTCTCCAGACTACCCTACGGCCTAACATCTTCAAAGGTTCCACCAATCATTATCAACATGCTTCGAAGCCGAGACGTCTGTTCCAAGTATGACCTGAGCTCCGCTACTAGTATATTTACGGGGGCGGCTCCATTAGGCGCAGAAACAGCTGCAGACTTCCGAAAGACATACCCCAACATCATTGTTCGACAAGCATATGGTAAATAAAGCCCCAAGGGTTTTTCATACGCGTCACATGGCAATGGCAGCTTACCTTTATCAGGGCTCACGGAAACATCTACTCTCGCCTGTGCTACCCACCCCCACGACATCATGCTTGGCTCCTCTGGCTGTCTTATCCCGGGCTACGAGGCTCGCCTCTTGTCTCCAGAAGGACAAGAAATTACTAGCTACGATACGCCGGGGGAATTGGTACTCCGCTCCCCAAGTGTCGTACTCGGCTACCTTAACAATGAGAAAGCAACAAAAGAAACATTTGAAGACGGATGGATGCGGACCGGCGATGAAGCAGAAGTCCGCGTCGGACCCAAGGGAACCGAGCACATTTTTATTGTGGATCGTATCAAAGAGCTGATTAAGGTCAAGGTACGTACTACTAGGTCAACAAAGCCCCGGATGGAATTAACTCAGATAATGCAGGGACTGCAAGTGGCACCAGCTGAGCTCGAAGCTCACCTTCTTACCCACGACGCTGTCGCGGACTGTGCTGTAATTGCCATTCCAGATGACTCTGCCGGCGAAGTTCCCAAGGCTATTGTAGTCAAGACAGGGTCTGCCGGCACTGATGATGAGGCGAGCAAGGCTATCATCAAGTATGTCCAAGATCACAAGGCACGTCACAAGTGGCTTAAGGGCGGCGTGAGATTTGTAGACGCCATTCCTAAAAGCCCGAGTGGGAAGATTTTACGGCGTATGCTTCGGGACCAAGAGAAGGAATTGCGGAGAAAGGCGAGCGCTAAGCTTTAAACCTATATATATCCATTCCATGTCATCTTATCAGCACATATTGAAGGAATTCATGCAAGAATTTCCGATGTCAACTGATAATCTATGCATCTGTTTGCAGTGTTTGATCAGCGGGCCGCGGGGTGGATTTCTAAGCGGGCGATTAAAGAAAAAAAAAAGTATGAACTGTAGTCAGGTGCATTTCTCTCCCAGCATTTACAAGCTTTAATTTCTACAAAAATGTCCTCTCAAGATCCGCAAAGACAAGGCGAAGAGGATGCCTACGTTGAGGCTGACGAAGCTGAGGAGATCTTCCAGCGCGACGAGGATCATCCCATGGAGTCGGATGGCGAAGACGAAGACCAGCCCATGACCTACGACGAACAGATCACCTTCCAAAACGATTCCTCAGCGCACTTCGACTCCCACAATGACTCGGTATTTTGTGTTGCACAGCACCCAGTACATAACAACATCGTTATCACTGGCGCCGGCGACGACACAGCCTACATCTTCGACTCGACCCCCGCCGAAAAACCCCTCCTCCCCGCAAGCTACGAATCCAACCCCCAACCCCGCGAGCGAGACTCTCTGAAAGCTATCGCTAAGCTCGATGGACACTCTGACACCGTTAATGGAGTCATTTTCACAGAACCCGCCGGCGACTATGCCGTGACTGCTGGCCTGGACGGCAAGCTGCGGGCATACCGGGACTCGACACCCGACAAGACCGCGTTCGCATGGGAGTTTGTGGCCGAGGCTCAAGAAGTAGAGGAGATCAACTGGATTGCAGTGTGCCCCTTTACACAGGGCAACGAAGAGAAGCGCAATGTATTTGCTATCGGAGCCAACGATGGCAGCGCTTGGGTATTTCGCGTTGACCACACGGACTCTGCACAACCAATTTCAATCATCCAGTCTTTCTTCCAGCACACGGAGTCTTGTACCGCGGGCGCTTGGACCCCGGACGGAAATTTGCTTGCCACCGTCTCGGAGGATGGGAGTTTCTATGTGTACGATGTCTTCGGCGCGGCTGCCGCCGCCGGCATTGCCGGCTCGCCCGGTACTAATGCCGTGGTTGGGTTGACCGCGGAAGACCAGCGATTCGCTGTTGACGGAGGTCTTTACTCCGTTGCTGTGTCACCTGGTGGCGGGATTGCGGCTGTTGGAGGCGCCGAGGGCCATATCAAGATCGTCGGTTTGCCCAGACTCGGTGGTGCTCCCCAGGCTGGAAAGGGCAAGGGTGCCCCGGCTTCCACTGCTTCTGCTGCGGGGACCATTCTCGCTGCGCTCCAGGCTCAGTCCGATGGCATTGAGACTCTGTCGTTCTCTCAGCCCCCTTTGACCCTTCTTGCGGCGGGTTCAGTGGATGGATCAATTGCATTATATGATGCTGCCCACCGATTTGCTGTTCGTCGGCACATCAAAGAAGCCCACGAGGGTAACGCTGTTGTTAAAGTGGAGTTCTTGCAGAGCAAAACTGCTGCTCCCGCTAGGCCGGGCCCCGCTGCTGCTTCGGCACCTGGCCAGGGACGCTCATGGCTATTGACATCCGTCGGCTTGGACGGTGTTGTTCGCCGATGGGATGCTCGCGGTGGCACCACAGCCGCAGCTCAGGGATTGCTTAAGGAGTGGAAGGGACATATGGGTGCCACTGAAAATGAGGACGGTGAGCAGGCCGGTGGTATTATGGGCTTCGTTCAAGGGCTCGATGGAAAGCGCATTGTCACAGCCGGTGATGATGGTATTTCATTAGTCTTCGAGGAGTAAATCGGTTACCCTAAAACTTATATAGACATCTGGCCTGCGGGCTTTGTGATCAATGATACCACGTTATGCCATACGACCAAACTTGTTCCATTTACTCGAAGCTGCTGTCTACAAAGTATCGAATAGAGCCATTGCTATAGTTGACAGAGACATACGACCCTTGAAGACGCAATCCATGAACAGATGAAAGAAACAGTTCTTTAGTAGTGAAACATAGGCTATGTACATTGACAAATCGGCATGAAGCCGGCTTATAAAAGATCCTTCCACTCCAATCTCAAATGCGAAATCGAGCATCCGGCCTAGTGGGTACCAAACCGGTGGTTTTGGGGGAGATCGGACCGGACGAGGGTAAAACTGATGATCTTATGCCTCCCAGTAGATACCCGTGAGACACCCACCACACTCTAAACATTGATGTCCACCTTCAATTGACCACATAGCACGTATAAAGTCGCATCCGGCCCAAGATTTTTAAGGCATCAGTGGTGGCCCTCGCCGTGGTGGGCATCACCGTGGTGGTGGTCGTCCTTGAGGAAGAAGTGCTCGTAGGTGCAGTAGGCAGTGAAAGCCACAGTAGCGATACCAAGGCCGGGGAATAAACCCTTAAAGCGGTTCCATCGGGTGAATGGGCCTGTGTAGCGCCATGTTTCGCTGAGGGGGTGTTAGCACAATTCACGAACCGGAAGCGATCTCACGACAGCCACGTACTTGCGCGCCCAAGGATCACGCTTGGCGAATGGGGAAGAAGGAGAGGCCGCAGCCTTGAAAGCCTTGACGTCGAAACCGGTGGGGTTGTGGCCTGACATTGTGCGAAAGGGGAGTACAAGTGGTCCAAGAACGAAAGAAGGTTGAACGATCATCCTGAGGTTGGAGTTGCCGGGCGGTGGGCGCCGCACTAAGCCGTTTTGGTAACCAACCTTGCAGCTTGGCTTGGTCCCGCCTTTGGATACGAAGCACGACTTTGCAAGAATCACAGCCCTCGAGATTCTCCCCCAACCCCCACCATGCCACCTCCGGTCGGCAGATACGGGCCTTCAGGTCTTGGTGCCCCTTATAACTTACAACAAGCTCACCTTCAGTCCCAACATCCCCACGCTCAATCTGCCAACTCAGCTCTCCCACCCCCTTCAGTTGGTGGCCACCCTGGTTTCAGCGGAAACCCAAACACCAACATCAATCCCTTTGCATTGTCTGGCGCCGGCGTTGCGAACGGGATGTCAGTGTCGGGCTTCGGTGGAGCTGACGGCGGCGGAACAGGCCTCGCCAGTCATGCTGCGCAAATGGGCTTTGCGCGAGGCGCCCAAATGCAACAGCAGCAGCAGCTACATCAAGCACACGACGGGCGATTAACACTGGATTCGAAAGCCGGAGCAGTAAAATCACGAATTCGCGATGTGTGGAAGCACAACCTGGCGCACGAAATGGCAGTTTTGCGGTCCCTAGTGGACAAATACCCATACATCAGCATGGTACGGGATGGACTAATCATACATCTGTTGCATATGCTGATCAACTTTTAGGATACCGAATTTCCCGGAATCGTCGCGCGACCGATTGGCACTTTTTCGAATAAAGCGGACTACCATTACCAAACCCTTCGCTGCAACGTCGACCTCCTAAAGATGATCCAACTCGGCATTACGCTGTTCAATGAAGCTGGTCAAGTGCCCCGGCGCAATCGGCGGACGCGAGTGGTCAACCGTACGGCAACGCCATGGCTCCGGCTCCCTGCACATGGCAGTTCAACTTCCGCTTCTCCCTCGAGGGTGACATGTACGCACAAGAATCGACGACCATGCTCGCCAAATCCGGTATCGATTTCAACATGCACGAAAAAAATGGCATTGACCCCTTTGAGTTTGGCTCTCTGCTTATCAGCTCTGGATTGGTCCTTCTTGATGACGCGCACTGGGTGTCTTTCCACTCAGGTTACGACTTTGGCTACCTGATGAAGATCATGCTTTGCGCGCCTCTTCCAGAAAGCGAAGAGGAGTTCCACCGATTGCTGAACATCTTCTTCCCGTCTCTCTACGATATCAAGTATCTTATGAAGCACGCCGGACGCAATCAAGCTGTTAACGATTCTCCCCTCACCCATACCGCCGCGCAAATCCTGAACAACCTGGGCCAGAAGTCCGGCCTCCAGGACATCGCTGATGAGCTCGGTGTGAAGCGCCTCGGGATCGCTCATCAGGCTGGATCTGATTCTTTGATGACCGGGGAGATCTTTTGGAAGATGCGCCAGATGATCTTTGATGGCAAAATCGATGAAAGCAAGTATTCCGGCCAGATCTGGGGACTCAATGGCCAGATCCCCGCCATCAACTACCTGGCCCAGCAGACCCCGAACCTAAATGGCGCCACCATTTTTCTGCCAATGGCACCCCCAGCACACCTAACACCGGTCATATCATGAGTGGATCCATCACCCCGCAGCACCATGGCTCCGGATATCAGACTCCAGGTGGTGTCACTGGCAAGTCATAGGACCACGGAGGCCCAAATGACACGATATGATGCATGTACATAAGCACATGAGGTTGTGCTAGTTTCCCTGTCTTCGCTCTTCGGCATTGTCTTGCCTTGTTGCATTGTGGTCGGCTCGGCCGCGGTTCCTGAGTCTGGTGACGGTGTTATGGGCGGGTTCTCGGTGTTTGTCTTGATATGTCAATTTATCTTGAGGCGTTCCGTCCTTTGGGTGCCGCCTTTACCTATTTCTACTATGCTTTTGCTGTTCTTAAGTCGATCCCGGAAGTTATATCTTATAGGTAGAATTGGTCGAGGGGTTACTTATGTACAGTGAAGTTCTTACTCTCAAGGCCGTGTTCTTTTGCAGTATCAATAGGCTCAATGATTCTACGAATTTAATGGTCGAGAATATTCTGATTCCGGTCGTCGTATATTTGCTCTTGCAATAGGAACTTCGACCTGAACGTCAAATCACGACGGGATAGGCAGTTAGATGAGGAGTTTAATGTTAGACTGCACTTCATTATACTCGCTATTCACCAAAAATTAGCATGTCTAATTACTCACGACCCGGAGGGCTGCAGTCGAAAGGCAACGCCTTCCTTATCGAGTAGGAGGATGCGAACGATTTTCCCCGTCGAACCCGCCAATCGCCAATCGGATGCGACAATCGCCTGCTAAACCGCATCGAGGCAACGGATCCGTCCCCCACACTCTATCTAATCGCTGCTGTATCAGATGTGGGTGGCTGGTGGTCGCTGGCGGCTCATGTGTATTTAAAAGGCAGAGTGCCGCTCATCGATGTGGTGTAACAATATCCAGTTTTCTCGAGGTCTGTTCACAACTGCCGGCCTTGTCCTGACCTCGAACCTCCGAGTCTCTGACCCCGACAGTACATATACTCCAGGAGATAAAGCCACCGGCATGGTTCTCGATCGACTCCAGCAGTTGACCTACCAAGTCCACGGCACATCTGCCCCGCCACACCCATTTGATCCTCTCTCAACGAAAGAGATTGAGGCCGTGGTTGCGATTGTGCGAAAGGAACATGGCAAACTTAACTTCAATGCAGTGACCTTGTATGAGCCGCGAAAGGCGGAGATGCTGGCGTGGCTCGCCAATCCTGACGGAGCTCCTCGGCCAGCCCGTGCAGCTGATGTTGTTGCGATTTCGCCAGGAGGTAAATTGTACGACGGGGTGGTCAACTTGGACCAGAATAAGATCGTTGAATGGAAGCACACTCCCAATGCGCAGCCTCTTATCACCATGGAGGATTTGCAGGAAGTGGAGCATGTTGTGCGCAAGGACCCTAAAGTCATTGAACAATGCACCATCATTGGAATTCCTCCTGATGAGATGCACAAAGTCTACTGCGATCGTGAGTGGTTCTTATTGCCCCTTTTGGTTGATCTATGCTCACTTCCTCCCAGCATGGACCATCGGATATGACGAGCGCTTTGGGAATCAAGTGCGGTTGCAACAAGCTCTGATGTACTACCGACCCCATCCGGATGACTCCCAGTATACATTCCCTCTGGATTTCTGCCCTATCTTCAACTCCGAGACTAAAGAGATTATCCACATTGATGTGCCTCCTATCCGACGACCGGTCAATAAGGCACCTCCCAACAACTACCACGTCGCGGCGATCGAGAAAGAAGGCGGATACCGTAAGGACATCAAGCCTCTTCATATCACTCAGCCCGAGGGCGTGTCTTTCACAGTGAAAGACCGCATTATCGAGTGGCAGAATTGGAGCGTCCATGTAGGTTTTAACTACCGTGAAGGAATCGTCCTGAACAACATCACTTTCAACGACAAGGGCAATGTTCGCCCAGTCTTCTACCGGCTTTCTCTGGCTGAGATGGTTGTTCCATACGGCAATCCTGAGCACCCACATCAGCGAAAGCACGCTTTTGATCTGGGTGAATACGGTGGCGGTTACATGACCAACAGCCTGTCGCTGGGATGTGACTGCAAGGGAGCTATCCACTACATGGATGCTGCATTTGTCAACCGCGCGGGTGCCGCCAACATTATCAAGAATGCTATCTGTATCCACGAAGAAGATGCCGGCATCCTTTTCAAGCACACGGATTTCCGCGACGATTCAACAATCGTCACCCGCGGTCGTAAGCTGATCATTTCGCATATCTTCACCGCCGCGAATTATGAGTACTGTGTCTACTGGATCTTCCACCAAGATGGTACAATCCAATTGGAGATTAAGCTCACCGGGATCTTGAACACCTACTCGCTCAATCCTGGTGAAGACACCAAGGGCTGGGGAACTGAGGTCTATCCCGGTGTCAATGCCCACAACCACCAGCATCTGTTCTGTCTTCGAGTCGACCCTAACATTGATGGACCGAACAACACAGTCTTCCAAGTCGATGCCGTTCAGGGCCCTGGAGAAGTTGGAAGCGCCGAGAACAAGTACGGGAATGCTTTCTACGCAAAGAAGACCAAGTTTACCACTCCCGTTGAAGCCATGTCCGACTACGATGGATCTACCTCTCGTACTTGGGAGATGGCCAATACAAACAAGCTCAACCCATACAGCAAGAAACCCGTTTGCTACAAGCTTGTCAGCCGCGACGTCCCTCCTCTCCTTCCCAAAGCGGGCGGTCTGGTGTGGAAGCGTGCAGGGTTCGCGCGCCACGCAGTACACGTCACTAAATGTAAACGAGCCCACTTCTATACCATTTCACCCCGAATACTAATAATTTTGAACAGACGACGACAACCAAATTCATCCGGCCGGCCGCCACGTCCCCCAAACCTCTGGTGAACCCTCGCAGGGCTTACCGGACTGGATCGAAGCTGCTGGGCCCGATAGCTCAATTGATAACACTGATATTGTCCTTTGGCACACTTTCGGCCTTACTCATTTCCCATCACCTGAAGACTACCCCGTCATGCCCGCCGAGCCTATGACTCTTCTGCTGCGTCCTCGACACTTTTTTGACAGAAACCCTGTTCTTGATGTGCCGCCGAGCTTCGCTCGCACGCCGACCCAGGTGGCATCTGGATCGAACAACTGCGCATGCCGCAAGAATGATGGATCGAGTGTGCAGGTTTGAAACCTGACGTGGTCTTCAAATTATGGAATTCGATGTATATATGATTTAATCTGGTACTGTTCTCATGTGACAAGTTGAGCCCTTTCGCTTTCTCTTCTAGATCTACTCCTTAAACAATGGACTTTATTTGAAACTGCTCTTGTTCAGTCATAGCAAACTGGAAGTTCTGCATCAGCCCCTGTAAAGGAATACTCCATGTTCCGGTAGCATCATGGCTGAAGATGCCCCGGGTATAATAACGATACCGTACTAGAAGGACAAGACCTATATATGGCGGTCACACTTCTTTTTGCCCATGGCGTTGCGGAAACGATATTGGCGAGTCAAGTATTCTGTCATGTCCAATTGGAACGCGATATCATTTAGCCCCCCCCCCCCCGAATATTTCTGTTGTACAAGAACTCTTCCACTTTTAGGCCAATGCCTTCATCTAGCATCGAATGGCCACAGGAGGTTTGCTTTTTCCACTGTCAGGCCTTCGCCATGCGAGTCAGACTCCCTGGCTGTTTGTATCCATTCGTCATAAGCTGCCCGGTGGGCGTCTTTGGTGGCAACCCAAACATCGTTTGGGACCCAGCCATCGGAATTTGTGTGCAGAGAGCGTTTGAGCCACACCTTTAACCTTTGGACGGTCTCGAAATCCTCATAGTCTCGAGCATGCTTCTCCATCTCCTGCTTGGTTGGAGAGTAAGGGCAAGAGCCCTGCAAGCCCAATTCTGACCAGTGGGCTGACAGTTCACATAATTCTTGGCGGACCGCCGGAGCACTATCTCTCCATGTTGTGTGGCAGTAATGGAACAGTCGAAATAGAGACGGTCCAAGTAACCTTGCCGGACGTAATTTGGGAGCCAGTCCCTTCAGGCACACATCGTACGTCTGATAACAGATTGCTGCATCTTTCCGAGCTCGCTCGTTGTTACTTGAATTGTTCACTTCACTTTGGCTGTCCGCGGACATGGTATCGTCCACATCCACGGCAGGTGTAGCGAAGTCGGGCGTCTCATTCGCATAGATAAATGCTGGTTCAATACTTGCTGACTGCCAATCTATTAAGCCAGTAATGATAGTTGGATCCTCAGCAGACACAAATATGTTTCCCATGTGGAAATCCGAATGCAGAAGAGTGGGAGTAGCAGCGTTCTGGATACGCTGATCTTTGATCAGCAGCTGCAACACTTCTCGGGTAGCATTTATTAAATGGATATGATCTTCAATTGATCCCTGATGAGGAGCAAGCTCTTGGGTAATGGCGCCGTGCCTTGGTAAACGGGAAAAGGCAGTCTCTACCAAGCCTGAGCAATAATCCTGGAGTGTCTTCCCTGGTGTCACATTTGATCAGAGCAATCATCAATCAAGTTGGCAGGTGGCCTGAAGCTTACATGGCCCGCAATTAGGACTTGGCGCCCCATAAAGTTCAGCTTCACCCGGATTCCGGTTCCAAAAAATCGGACTGCAATGTGGTCCAATACAGAAGCCCTGCTCGATTGGGGCCTTCAAGCTCGCGTCTATTGGTACATTCGAGAAGTATAGACTGCCATACGCCGGAAAGTCCAAGGACGCCATCTCTTTTAATGCCAATGAAAGGGCTTTGGTACATAGCATATGCTGTTCCGAATTCATGGTAGGCCACGCTTGGGGTAACTGTGTACCAACTGCATGCTCCTCTATAATATACTCTGCTCCAACTGGATTTGATGGATCATCGCTCCAATCCAAGACTTTCGGTATCGGAAGTGAAATCTTGGTCCGTACTGTGCAATATATGAGTGAGAACTGCCGTCGCATGTCGCATGCCGTATTTGCAAAGTTCGAGGATGCCCAGCTTACAATATGTCATGGTTGCGACCTCAGAATTAGTCGTCAACTTCGGTGGGCCGGCGATACCTGTTGGTAACCTTGCTACAAGGCAAGAATTATTATCCATTGTGAATGAAAAGACTCTGTTGAATCCTCCATCCTTCTTCTCGAAATCAACGATCTTCTTTGCTCCTGGACACACACGAACGACTTGGTCGCAAAGTACAGTAAAGTCAAAGCGAAGGTAGCGAGAGTTTCGTTCGAGCTCGTCCCGATTCAGCCATCTTCCACTTGTGTAAGCATAAGGATCATGATCTAGGGGGGAAACTGAGTGTCAAATGCATGCATGAATTATTGTGCGCAAAGATGATGCTACGAACGTATGCTCGGCTTTCCCAAACGTGATCCTTCTGACAGGCTTTTCGTGGAGGATAGCTGCGAATGAGAGTTCGGCGCTCTTGACATGGCGGGGATATTTGGTTTATCAAAGCGAGAGAACCGGCGATGCCATGGTGCTGATGAGAATAGTCTTAACTGTCGCACTACTTGACCCATGATGCCTATGGCCAGCTGGAAAGGGAAGTGAATGTGTTGATAGATGATCGACCCCTTTCCCTACATGAAGTCTAGTATTTTGCCGCCTATTATCCCGACCGCCCTTACTCCCGCTGAGGCGCGTCGGTCTATTTCAGGAATATTAGGGCTCCAGATGTCGAACGTTCCCTCTAGACTAGCTGCGTTTCATCGGCAGTCACACCGCGCAAAGAGCCACTTGGGTGAAGCCCATTTGATCTCGCCGAGTAGATATGCACCCTCCTGGTTTCATAAGTACATTATACTCTGATAAAAGAGGGATCTCCTCGAATTATGTATAAATTTAACAGCAATACAATTTTTTAACTAAAAGCACTCCTTTATTAAAATATATTCGTTACCTTGATACCTAGGAACTAGTAGATAGCGAGTACAAAGAAATAGCGCTAGCAACATCCCTCCACATTGACCGATCTCTCCATCAGCCCGCATTTAGCGGTGGGATACCATGGTTCAATTTGTCATTTTCTACTCAGCTCTATATAACTTTGCGCCAAGTCATCTGATGATAGAGCAGAACACAGACGGGTCTCGCCCGCTAGTACTGCAGTACAGATAGCCTTAGCGAGTACCTTCGAGTGATGTCCAGGATCTCCATCTTTTGAGCCTCGCACACCAAGAAGATCCAGCAGAGATGCTTGCGGTTTCAAAGTAGTGCCACCATATACTGTCCCGGCTTCGATACAGGGCATGGTTACCGAAACTATCAAGTCGTCCTCGGCCCTAGAGCTGGTCAGAATCTGAAAGCCGCTCCATTTGGACAAGCACTCACTGCTCCATTATAAGGAGGGCGCTGACTGCTTTCAGCGTTTTGTGCCACGTCCTGGCCGGTTGCAAGAAACACTGCCGAGACCGTGTTGCTCGCGTGGGCATTGGAACATCCCAGGGCCCCTGCCACGGCACTTCCGACGTGATTTTGATAGACAGTCCTAGAAGACCTTAACTCCCCAGCCAACACTCACTGCTCTAGATAGGATAAAAAAAAGGCATGCACAAAAATAAACCAATCCACAAAGAACAATTAAGCCGTAGTAGTTATCCAATCCTCCATTTGGTGGTCGAACTTTCAAAAGTTCGCCGGCAATTGGAATGGCAAGAAGGGTGCCCAAACTGACCAGAAAATACGTTGTACCATAGCGTCTGCCAAATTCTTCCGTTTTGGAGATTTGCGCCACACAAACAGGAGCAAGGCTGATTGCAGAGCCACTCCAAAATCCAAAAATTACGGCGTAGGCCAATATGGCCGCGTGATTGGACCGCGAAGGAAGCCAGAGACCGAAAGTAATCACAGAGCAGGCAAATGTTGTAATGATCATCACATTGAAGCGGCCAAACCGGTCAGCAAGATAACCAGGGACGATCCGTCCAAAAATCGAGGCTGCGTTCAAAATGGACGATAGGTTGTATGCGAGAGAATCGCCCAGGCCGTGCGACTGAGCGTAGGAGGGCAAATAAGTCACGGGAATCAGGAGAGCGAAATCGATCAAAACGATGGCAGCCGTCAACAACGCGAAGCGGAGCTCACCCAATGAATGGATATCAATCTTTCCTTTCTGTACCGGGCTCAGCAAAGATGCTCTTGTTCTCAGAAGCGCTACAGAGAGCGCACAGAACACAGCACTTATAAAGCCAATGACTCGCATGGCCCATGGGAAGCCTAATCGTCCGGCGAGATTAGAGACTAGAACCGGAAAGATAATGCCTCCAATTCCGCCAGCAGTCGCTGCTACTCCTGTAGCCAAAGCACGACGCCGAAGGAACCAATGAGCGATGCAACCTAGGCTAGGGGTGAAGACCATGGACGACGAAATACCGCCAAGAACGCTGAACCCCAGCATGAATTGATAATATTCCCCCCCCCCAAAAAAGGATCAGACTCGAAGAAGAAATCTCAATTTCTTTTTTCTTTTGGACGGACTCACCTTCTGCCACGCTGAAGACCATCAACGATCCGACTAGTCCAACGCATCCCGGAATCAGTAAAGGCTTCAATCCATGGGAGTCAAAAATAGGCCCTGTCAAATGTTAATTAGGAAAAAGAGCGAAAATATGTATGCCAAAGCTCTGACCAACTTGAATACTTCCAAAATAAAGGAGAAATACATAAAGACTGAAGATCCAGCCGATGGAAGCTTTCGAATGGTCTTGTAACTGATGATCTGCCAGCCAAGCTTCAAACACACCAATCGTGTTCATCAGCCCAAAAGACGGCACCATCGCACACCAGGAGCCAAAAACAACGCCCCATGCACGCCAGCCGCCGTCTGGGAAACCCAGATGACCTTCTTGCTCTTCTTCGTTCAAGGAGGTCCTCGAAGAGCCGAGGTTGGAGTTCGTCAATGGCGGTGGAGGTGATAAGTCACTGCGGTTGTTTGCCTCCATTGAAATGTCACGATTTTTTGAGAAGCAAAACGCGCTGATTATACCACCTGTACCAATCAAAAATATACATTTATACTTTATCCCTTCACAAAAGAATCGTTGGACGTATCCACCAGCTAAACGATTTTGGGAAGCCGACATGCACAGGCATTACCGCTCGGATGTACACCCCCCGGTTAAAAGTCTGTGTGCACTCGGCCCCATTACCATCACCCGAATAACCACCCACATTTTTATTCTTTCTCCTACGCCTCCCCCATGGCATCGATCGCTATCAATCTGGAATCATATTCTAGCAAGATAAAAAAAGATCTATATAGCGAAAGATATGCAGGTTTGGTTTAAAGAGCACAGGATGGATGTTGAAGATTGGCTGGTATACTCGCCTGATCTTAATCCTATTAAACTAGTCTGGAAACGACTAAAATATTAAATTTTTTTATATATTATAAGATATTATATAGACAGAAAGATCTGGAGAGGACTGGGCTTACTTTAAAGAGTATATTAATACTATATAGGATATATTAGACTAGACAAAGATTGATATGTTAATATTGAGTATAGGAAGAAGGATGGATAGATTGTATACAAACCAAGATTATTATATAAAATATTAAGCAATACAACTCTGTATATGAACCTGTTCATTCAGTATTTTGAATTTTATTATGATCCTATAAGGGTTGGTAGTATAGGATAAGTAACCATGAATATATATCAGTATTTGATGGGGTAGGTGAAGCGGTATGCACACAGACTTTTGCCCCCCATTGTACATTTACTGATTGCGTATCGTTCTTATATTGAGGTAGATTCTCATGGTACGAGCTGCTTTGACAACACAATTGCAACGTCAGGAACAACGGTGCTCGATGACTGGCTGACCATGCACAATAAAAGCCGCCTGAGTTCACTTTCAAAGCGCAAGGACAAACACCAAGAATATGACAAAACCACACATATTCAAGACAGATGATAAACCATCGAATGATGTGGCACCATTGAAAGCGGGGATAAAAGCGGGAGTCGACGGAGTCGACACTGACGGAGTAGCAGTACTCTGAACACTTGTCTGCCTAGCGGTTCTCCAGAGAGACGACGAGCTGGCATGAGAAAGCTGACCACCCCCTATGCCCGCACCTGAACCAGAAGGGGCTGTGATCTGAGGAAGTAGAGTTCCAGTCTTGATAAAAGTCACTGCGACAGTGACAACACTGTCGTAATTGCTGCAGCTGTTTCCACCACAAGACTCGAGGGTAACTGTTTTGGTCTCGCCGGCATTGCTCCACGCACTACCACCCACGTCACTGATGGAAGTAGGCTTGGCATTCACCCCTGTCGCAGGAGAGCCTGAGACCGAAGAAGTGATCACATCGACCAAGGTCTCGGTTGTGGTGTAGGTAGTCTTGGATCTCACAGGACAATTCGTGACCGACTCAGGACAAGCAGTGACCGTGACAGTCCGGGTAATGAAGTCAGTGGACACCCATTCGCCTTCGTCGCCGTTACCGCCAATAGATACGCCAGGAGCAAATGGAGCAGAATTTCTCAGGGTGGTGGTGGCAGCCACAGTCATAGGGCAGACTGTGGTAGACAACACAATTGTCTCAGTGGTCACGTACGTCTCCCGAGCACTGGCAGGGCATTTAATGACTGTGGTAGGACAGGCTGTGATTGTAGCAGTACGAGTTGTGAAGACTGTTCGAGTCGTCTGCTTCAAAGGAAGAGAACTAGAAAGGAATTCTCCAAAAGACTGGGTGGTTCCAGTTTGGGTGGGAGGTGCAATTTCAGTCCGAGACTGTTTAGCATCAGAGGGGTAAACACCAGACGGAGCAATTGTGGCCTTGCTGGAGTGCAAAGCTGAGTTGGAAGTGGCCACTTTGGTCGGGGCCGTGGCCGGCTTCGAGGAGATCGAGGACGAGCGCTTCGCGCAGCGTTTGCGACTAGGATGGGGATTCGGGGTGTAAGTCCAGTGGTGGTGATGACCAGGGTGATGACTATGAATCACACTCGAGGTTGGCGTCGGAGTTCCAATATCAGTTGGAAGCTCAACAGTAATGGTTAAAGCAGAGATACATTGTAAAAAGAACGCGATAGTAACCCATCTTCGGAAGAATTGGGCCATTGTGGTAACGAAAGGCTTCGTGGAAACTAAAAAGAGTGTTGATTCCACCAAAAATTGGGCCTGTCACAGTATAAGGAATGTGACTGATGGGACAAGGAAAAAAAAATAAAAGAAAACTAAGAAAAGAGAGACTCGAGTCGGAGATGCTGAGATCGAGGGGAGTATGGCCGTGATGTTAAAAGTACAGTATATTAGTAGTTCGGCTGTTTACCGTCGCTTACATTCTCCTACAACCCTGAACCGGAGATTACCATCCAAAAAGTCCAAGCCACTTCAGGGAAAGCCAGGAACAACGTGCGAAATTTATCTCCATTTACGCGAACTATTGACGCCTCGCGGGTGTGGAGCCGTAGGGGCTCAAGAAACATCGACGAAATAGCCGGCGAAGCGCCCATCTTCGATCCCCGGGATAAACAAAAAAGTATATTTAGTGCGTACGCGACCTCGCGATTTCTGAAATCAACTCGGTCATTCCTGAGTCTTTAATTAGCATTGCTCGCTCCTTCATAATCTTTCTTTTGTGCAGGCGTCATGTTGATTACCCGCTTGATCGTAGCCGGGGCTCTGCTCTGTCAGGCATCGGCCTTCAGAGCAGTCAGCTCACAAAATTCTGGAATTGCAAGCCAAAGACATGAGTCTACGATGACATGCCGAACAGAATTGGCCACGACATCTGTGAAATCGGTACCCACTACCACCCTCACCACAACTATCCATGGCAAGCATACAGTGGTCGTGTACTCGACGGCCCGCGACACTGTGATCTACACTCCTGTGTCGACCGAGACAGCTACTGACTATACTACCACTACTTTGACGTCGACTGCCGATGCAGTCACCGACACCTTCTCGACGACTTCCACTGTGTTCGATACTGCTACCCTGACGGTGACTGCTGATCCCACTACAATCACGTTTGTGTCAACCACTTCCACCGTGTCCACCAGGACATACACCATTGCTGCTGCTGGAGGATTCACTCCAATTGTCGACACGCTTACTGCTCCCACGCTTCTCAAGCGGGCCTTGCTAGAAGAAGAGGACACTTGCTCTCCGTGGATAGATGACTACAAGTACCCCAAAGCAGTGGAGTGCCACGAAAAGCTTATAATCAAGCCCACAACCACCTCTGTCATCACCGCTACTCCTTTCACTGCTACCGCTACGACCTCAACCACCACTGTGACTGTTACAAGCACCGTTACCACCAGCTCTATCGTCTTGCCATCCGATGTGTCCACCACTCTGAGCTTCAGCACCACTTCGACCATCACAGAGACGACCTCCGTCCCTGGTGAAACTTCTGCAGCTACTATTACTGCCACTGTTCTCGGCACCGTCAGCGCCACTTCTGTCTACGCCGCCTGCGCTACCCCCAACATCGCGTCCGCTCCTCTCGGTGCCGAGTTTGGCTCTAATGCAGGGCAGAGGATCTCTCAGATGGTGCTTAGCAACATTCCAGGCCAGCAACTCCGCGTTGGCAACTCCGCGTCTGCGTATGACTGCTGCGCCTCTTGCATGGCAGATGCTGCCTGTGCAATGGGGTGGACGAGTGAGGAAGGCACTTCCTCCAAGTATTGCTATTTCATGGAAACTCGTTTGTGTTCTCAATCTGAGACCTTTGCCCACGCGTATCTGTCGTCAACTTCTCCCGTCGGTTTCCAGGCTTTTAATGGAAACTGTGGGAAAGTTATTCTCTAATTGTATAATACTAGGGCTTTTTCATAGAAAACAGAGATTACTTCCAGGTTGCTTTTGATTTACTATATTATGGTATTAGGATGCCGTTGAATAACCACCGTAATTGACGTCCTGCTCTCGTAACATAGCTTTTGTCCTACAGCTCTACGCCCAAGCTTAGGAGGCGATGCTAGCCTTTGTTCAGATTTATAGGTGATAGGGGAAAGTGTTGTTGGAAGCTTGTTTAGATTGTGCCCCTGTGCGGGCGCTCGTAGGGTGTTGATAGGCCATAAGTACTAGGTCCATACATACAGCAGAGGGTAATAGGAAAAAACAAAACAAAACCAAAAAAAAAAAAACCATACATAGCCATAAGGATTCTTTGCTAGACGCCGCATGGAAGCTCTATGCCAAATCACAGAGAGGCTCTATAGAGCTCTACAGGGAAATAGAATCGACCATTCGATATCCAATCATGATCACATTGAGATTTACATTAATTAATATTAGAGATCGGCGCTCGCTATAAATCAGATGGACGTAACTCATGCAGCATCTTCACAAAAGACAGGAAAATGTCCAGAAATGAATGATGCAGATCGTAGGCGTAAATGTAATGCAGGTTCATCAAGTCCTTCCACAGTGCAAGCTCTAAATGAACTTGCGCTTGACCTGGACCTTGACACAGCTTGGGTTCTGAGGCTTTGCCTTGGCATCTCCCAGAACCCAGTTCAGAGTGCTGTACTGGTAACCACTGTAGTTGGTTTCACAGACATACCAGTTCCTCAAGACGGAGACCTTATCATCAGAAGGCGGGGTGACAGTGTCGTCATAATAGCGGTAGATACCCAGCAGGTTATCAGAGCCGAAAGTAACCTGCTGCTCACTATAGGACGGCATGAACAGGGGCATAGCAACATTGGTAGACGGGTCAACGGAGAAGCTCATTGGCTCGGACACAGGAGTAGGCTCTGTGAAGAGTTAGCTATGATATTCTCGACTGTCATTGGCAGAATCCATACCATTCCCGATCGGAAGATTCCAAACCAAAGTACCGGGGAGTCCCGAGCCTTTGATCGGCGCTTCCTCGCCTTTTGTGGTGTTGAGATAGAAATGGGTGCCGCTGTTACCCGCGAGGCACAGCGATTCAATGGCAGCTCCGGTATGACAAGCACTCAGTTGCTGGCCATTGTAGCTTTTCTTGGCAGATTCAATAATCAACTCGAATGGCTTAGATTGAACCTCCTGCGCAGTAGCAGCGCCCAGGAGCAGCAGAGAAGACACAACAGCGAACGACTTCATTGGGAAAGATGCAGTGGTGATTCTAGCAGCGGTAATTGAGTCAATGTTGATGCCGAGGACGAGCGGTCGGGAGGGGGGGGGGGGATTGAAATATGCAATGGATGATGAGTAGGACCTGAAGGTCCCCGGGGTCTTATTTATAGCAGAGAATGCTCGGTTTGAATGTTCCCCTCAAGATTGTGGACCTGGTGCCACTAGCATCAAAGCGGATAGGGCCGGTGCTGATCGACGAGCCCCCGCTCGCTGGCAAACTACATTCCTCCATTACATCACTCCGGTGGTTTCCCAATTAATTTTCGTCTTATTTCGCGACGGCCTACAATAATGGATCCAGAATCTTTTCAGTTCTACGAGGTACAGGCATAGTAAGTTGCCAAATTCCAGTGAAGAAACAACAACCTCGATGTTCAGCTCATGGGGGTTGCCGGGTAACCCCGAGTATCCGCGATGGGCCCTGAGATTTGGGCCACCTGACTGCGCTGGACTTTGCAGGCGAGAGAAGTAAAACCAGCCCAATCGCCTCGGCTGCAAACTCCTGCAAAAACCTAAGGCTTACCCATGGCTCTACCAATTGATGATACTAAATATAATCGTATACTTTGCTCAGCCCGGAGGGCTTCTCGTTAAGCCAAAAACCTGCTAGCACCCTCAAAGATTCGCTGGTCATGCGGTCGCTTTGCACGGGTCTGAATGCCGTTTTGTCAACCACCGGCTTCCCCGCGCTTCTCTCCCTGCTATTCTTAGGGCATAGTCCTGATCTTGCATCCCTAGAGCAAGACATTGGGCATTTAGACGAGATGCTTATGGCTTACGGATTTCTGGCCAAAAGCATCAGCCTCAATCCAGTGGCGAATTTCGCCAGTCGGCCTTAACGCGGAAGATGCCGACAGCCGTGTCTAGTGTATGACGGAGCGGGCTTCTCTTGCTGAGACTGGAGAAACTCAGAACTGCGGAAATGTATATGGGGATTCCTGCCTCACAGAGATAATACTTGCTTTCTCATGTTGATAGATATCCTCTATTTATGTTTTTATGGATGCCAGTAAATATTTGAACCCTAAATGTCAACACTTCGATTATATTCTCTGACTCCGGAAAGAAATCAAAATAGTCTATTGGTCCCGGTACACAGATTGTGCTATGGATCTTGGAGCCCTGGAGAATCACAAACTGCGCTGTCATGATTTAGGCAAGCTTTGGATCAACGTGAAAAAGCACAGGCTCCAACAGCTTGGCCAGCTATTGATCGTACCTCGAGCACCTGACCGCCTTTGGTCGCACGGGTAGCGCCCCGCGCCCGATGTAAGCAGTAACGTGGTCCACAAGTGAGTTCCGCACACAAGTGAGTTCCGCAGGCCCCTACCCGAATTAAGAGAAAAACTCAAATTTCATATTATTAACCACGCAAAATTTAATTCTACTGCCTATTAGGGCATCTATTACACGTATGCCCAACTACTCCATATATTGAACAAGTCGGAGGCCTTCGTTTAGTAGGCTGTGGAGGCAAATTTTGCTCCGAATTCGAGGTCTCTCCTCCCTCTTCCGATGCCTTTAAACGCACTTCTAGCAACGCTAAGGCCTCTGTACCAGTTATCCCTTCATTCTATGTGTTACGGACCTACTTTAGTTGAAGGAAATAAGTCGACTACGACCAACCAATCTGTCAAGACTGACGCATACGTGACAAGGGGGCCAGATACAACAGCTAACCAACCGGCACAAAGGATACTAATTGTGAAGGGCTAAAGTAAGACTTGATTCAATCTATACTAGGCCACGAACTGTGTTCGATAAACTTAAGGAAAGGAGTTCGATACGCTGGTCCTCCGCTATTAGTACGCCAAGGTCACGTGTCCTACGTGATCAACACCGGGCCCTGGCCCGTGACAAAACCAACCTTGGATAAAAACTTTCTCTTTTATAATAATATCAGGTAGAAGTGCCTATCTAGTGTTACGCTCACTCGATTCTGCCTCCTGTCACTGCCTGGATGCTGGACCAAGGGACCGTCCGAACTACAAAGTGGGCATAGATGGGATGAAGGTTCGCGTAGGAGTAGATAGGTCGCTACGGTAGCTCCTCCCTCTTTCCCTTCTCCTTCCCCCTCTAGTTCTAGTATCTCGAATGCGAGCGCCGTTGCTGGTTCTTCCTGTTCCCAACGTAGGCCACCATTGACATCTAGCGGCAGAAATTATCTTGATTATAATAACCTATTCACAAATTCCAGACTGTAAAACCTTTTTTTTTCTATAATATCTAACTCGAGTAACAACTTTACTAGTTACTACAATTCCGATCATGAAACCTATTTTATCAAAGTTATAGATATCTTGATTAGTGATATCATAGTCACAAATCACATAATTAACCAAATCAAACTATTCTTTGATAATTCTAGGATCCTTGTTTTAAGCCCTTTGATAATCATATTATCAAGATGTAGTAACTTGGAGTTCTGGATAGTGTTTCACAAAATTTGAGACCCAATTTATCCCGACTGTTGATATTATCGTAGATTTACGCTCTTTGAGCAATAAATTTGCTATTTCTCAAATTTAAGCAAGTCGGAGAGAGGCTCCACAGAGATCTAGATCAAGGATCCATTTTTTTAACAATTCCTCTTCAAGAAGCGTTAATTTGCAACTTTTTGGACGTATTCACTCCGAGGTTTGACTCCACGTAGTCGATTACGAATCATAGACTTGTCGACCTCGTAAACACGGGCAGCTTGACGTATAGAGGGAATTTGTTTATTGCGAATAGCGTTGACAGCGAGGGCAAGTTTACCCTCTAAATTTTACCCTCTGAATTTGATTGAATTTGGGCGCGTTTTGGAGGCATGGTGGTGGGTTGAAGGAGGAAAAAACGCGACGCGTCGGAAGGCTGCGGAAGTCACTTGTGTGCGGAACTCACTTGTGGACCACGTTAAACAATGGATTGAGTCTACCATCTTGCGTACACGATGTCAGGCACGGACGAAAGACCTAAGAACCGCTCCATTCAAGCGGTTCTGGCAGCGTATGGCCTTGCGCTTGCCCCGCACGGCTACTATGTGGTCAAGACGATGGCGCACGATCCTGGCGTGACAAGTAACATCCTGTAGGTTCAGATCATCATGCCCTTCTTGAAAGATCTGTGAAAACTAATGAGTAAGTCCACGAGACAACCTAAGCGCCTTGAAAGGCAAAATCCCCGCCGGAGTATGGGACAAACTGGCTCGGGCGCGCGGCGCCCATATGAACGCTATGGAGGGATTCCCCTTCTTTGCTGCTGCAACAGTAAGTTTCTTCCAATGGATTGCCTGTAAATATACCAGTAAGCCTCCAGCTTCAGTGAATCTGACCATGGCTACAGCTGGTGGGAAATGTCACCAAGATGCCAGTCAGCGACCTGAATACCCTTGCGCTGAACTATCTCGGAGCGCGCGTGCTGTACACTGCGCTCTATATGGGGGTCCGCTCAGAAAGGATGGCCTATTTGCGCACCGCAGCTTGGGCCTGGAGTATCTCTGTCCCAGTCTATATCTTCTACAGAGCTGGGAATACCGCTTTGACCATGAGGGACGACTAATCGTGCCCAAGAACGCAAGTCCAAGACACAGGATAAACCTGAATGACTAGCTCGATGTTGACCTGAGAGTCTCTGGAGCCATATTGCTGATACATGCTGCAAACAACGGGGATAAGCTATATCGACTTCCTTCGGTACACTGAAACTTAGGCATGAGGTGTATAGGCTCTAATTATGTTTATAGGCTCGAAGGGCTAGATGTCAACTCCTTGGCTGGGTAGCAGAAGGAATGGGCTTGCTTCGACCGAATCGATATGAACCAGATAGTGAGATTGGCACCCCCAAGTGCAGTAACCGGGGAGGCACTGAATTAAACTATGTGACTTGAAGAGATATATCCTCAGGGATCCATGTCGGAGTACAAGTACTTCACTGCCCTGATCTCCCTTGCCAATGGAAGGGACCGGATAAGACCAGGCCATCGAAGCAGAATATGTGAAAACCCAAAGACAAAGATACCAATATTGATGTAAAGAAATCAACCGTAGAAGTTATTGTCACATCCGGTTCATGTAGAACCGGGAATGGAACCGTACAAGCAAATGCGCCGATCAACGCCAAAGCAGTGAGGGAATCATGAACTAGCATAAAGTGACCGCGACCACCATGCAGAAGGAACACAGGATATAGCACGTCAGAGACCGTGAAACATGATCATCCTTATCGTCCCACATTCTATGATCGTTGCAGCACAGCATCCACATCTGCCAGCAGAGCTATCAGCTCCTTTCCGCCTTCTGACTCGCGGCCCTCAATCTCCAGGCCCTTCGTCAGGAAATTCTTCGCCTCGTCATACCGACTCATCTCGGCCAGACATTTGCCGACACGCCACCACGCCTTGACGTTGCCCGTCGGTTTTGAGTCGATGCTGCATTTTGCATCGACGAGGCCCTCGGGCCAGGCCTGTTGGGCCATTTGTGCCTGGGCACGGTTTCCGTACAGACCAGCGAGCTCTTCACGGGCGAGAGCAACGGGCTCCCAGCCGGGTCGCGAGATGGCCATGTCAATGGCGAAGGTGTACAGGCGGACGGCGTCGGGGTATTGTGATTTGCGGAAGGCCGTATTGGCGCTATCGCGGAGCTTGGTGATCTGAGCGCTGCGCTTGGGGTTGATGGGGAGAGGTGGAGGGGGGATGTTTGGGGGGTCGAGGGCGACCACTGCGCGGTGTAGAGCGTTGAGTTCCTGGAGCTCTGCGTTGACGGCTTCTTTTTGGGCAGCAGAATTGGCTGATGATTCGGGTAAAGATATGAGCTTGGTCGAGGGGGTCCATATGCAATGGGTACTGGTGGAAGATATCTATTTCGCTCGCCATGGTGGGCGTAATAATGTTTTGCGGTGTTTGGAGTTGATTTGGCTGTATAACTGTTAATATGAGGGCTCGATTTGGAATTGTGAAGGAGACAGTGTGATATGTCTCATAAGATAAGGTTTTTTAAGGCCAGACCATACCTTGATCCTTGAGATCCCAAGATAGTTCAGTTACCAATGCCCTTTTGTATATTGAAGCAATCGGCGGAAAGCAAGCTGTCCAGATCTACAAAGCAGGCGGTGGGATCAATACCGTTGGCACAAAGTGTTCAAAGTGGCAGAATGTCGATGACTAATTGTTCCCTGTCGGGGACCAGTAAGATATCAACACAAAATTATTCGCACAACGGGATGAGATCTTCCAGATAATGTTATTGGATGCGAGAAATAGCTCCGGTTGCAATTTTTGATGCGAAGCAGCTTAAATATTGGAGTTCTGATGGGGTCCTCTTAAAGTGGGAGGGCAAAAAAATAAAATCCGGCAAAAAGTTGATCGCCGCAGGGATCGAACCTGCAATCTCTTGAGCCGAAATCAAGCGCCTTGCCATTAGGCCAGACGACCGTGCATTACGACATTTGTACCGAGCTGGCTAATTCCGCTACTGATCACATTACCCGTGCCATGCAACCTACCTAGTGTTTTGGTTAATTACTTTGTAACCTCTACCTTGCTCGCCCGTACATAAAAGACCCGAACGGGACAATCAAAGTAGCGCAAGTATGCCCATTCATTGGCCCCCTCAGTTTTGAGATTTGATCAAGTGCGTCGCCTCGTTACAATAAGGTCCATACACGAAGGTCCACTATTGAGCGATGACAGCAAGTCCTCCTGATCAAGAGATTAATCTTTGAGCTTCAAGACTGCTCTGTGTTCTTGCTTACCTTGGACATAAAATCTTGGAGTTATTCCTTCCAGCCGAAGATTCGTTCGCCGAGTGTCATTGACGCTTGCCTCATTTCCAGTATTCTCACAAACTTGTTTCGAACAGCTTCGTCTTCAATATGTCGAGTGAGTTGGGTTACGTACTTACCATAAGCTCGACTATCAGCAAAAGCCTCGAGCACGACTTCTTTCTCTAGTTCGGAGGTGTTGAAGGCAACATCGGCTGTCAAGAATATCCAGCCGCTGCCTATGCCGAACTCTGAGCAAGATGCCCTAACAACGCTCACGGTATCTTTTCAAAGATCGACGCTTGAAAACAAACCTTCAACTATCTTTGTCGACATTTGTGTAGGGGTAGCCGACTTGGTACAAATTCTAGACAATCTGCCGGCAAAACCACCGTCGTGTATATCGACCTCGAGGGAGTCTATCTTTCTCGTCATGGCACAATCTCGATTATGCAAATTTTTGTTCTTCCAGAGAAGCTCACTTTCTTGATTGATGTCTACACTCTGAAAGACAAGGCATTCTCTTATCTTACGAAATCTTCAACAAACGTCCGCTCTTGGGAGAAATGGTGCGATATTGTGGAAGTCACCACAACCAGGACATCCAAGAGTCAGAACCAAACTATGAGGAAAACGACGGCTAAGAACCCCACAATGAAACGGACAACCAAGGGCACCCCTCCCGTTCTTCTTCCTCCTCCGACACCGATCATGGCCTCGGTACCGCTGCAGAGGCCCCCGAGAAGGGATGCGGTGATCGGGGGAGCTGTGATGGCGGCTTAGATTCCTGACTCGAAGTAGTCGACCAGGTGGCCCTTGTGTTCGTAAACCCAATGCTATGTTGAGGAGTGTGCCTTGCACAGCATGACCGTTCGTCTCGGTGGCTCAATAAGCTAAAAAAAGAAAAGAAAAGAAAAGAAGAAAAAAAACTCACGGCTGCCACAGACAAAAGGGAACAGTTGACCGAACAAACGCAGTAGAAGCAATTCCAGCCCCAGGAAATGGAACACCGCCTCTCAGGTTGTTGTATACAGCATGGCGACCGAGAAGGATAGGGTGTAACAAGCCAGGCAACATTTCTCGCAGTGCCTTGCATTTACCCAGAAGGACCCAGAAAAAAGAAGAAGAGAAACAAACAACCCCGGAAGCAGACACCCGTCAATCCTGAAACTCTTTCCACTTGATCATCCTCTCCTGCAAATCCAAAACCTCCCCATCAACCACAAAGGTCCCATCGCCGCGATGATGGAACGTCCTTCCGCGGTCCTTCAACGCAGGATTCAACCACACCCGCACCACCTCGAGTACCCACAAATTGTACTTGGACACCATTTTCCGGTCGACAACGACACACTCGAGATTGGCAATGACGCTCGGTCCGCCCACAAGTGGCGCCTGCACCACCTCCGCGGGGACCGCGGGGAGTCCAAAAGTCGTCCACTTGTCGACGTCATCGCCAGAGCAGTTTCCGATATCGACGACTGTCTCGGCGATGCGGACGTCCGGAATGGCAAGCACGCATTCCCGTGCTTTTTCAGCGCGGTGAAGCTTGTGTCCCACGGCCAATGCATGCGCCGATCAGGGCGGGCGACTCATGTTGCAGCATCATGTGGAAGCCGATGGTCATAATATTGTGCGTTGATAATGCTAATGATCCAGTCGAGACGAGGAGAACAGGGCCTGGTTCGATCAGTCGGTAGGCTTTAGATGCTGGGTAGGGCTCGAAAGAGTTGGTCTTCATGTCAAGGCTGGAGACCTCTGGCTTGGCTTTGTTTGATGTAGAAGCTTCTTCTGTGGCAGCATCTTCTCGCTCGGGGTCTGGGGAAGGAGTTGGCGCTTTGCTTTTACGCGGCATTGTGCCTGCTATCGAGCTGGGGTAGCTGCGTTGCGAGGGTATCTTATTCTATATCTTCCTATGGCGAAACGGTGCGGGATGAAGCAGGTGGTAGAATTGTTGCGCAAGAATGCTAGACACAGCACTGTTGTCAAATAGAATGAGTTGACAGGTTTTAGCAATGACGTCAGTTGGGAAACAGTAGGTAGTTATGAAGATGAGGAGGATCGTGGGTTCCAGCTTAGCGGCCCCAAAATTCCTTTAGACACGGTCGGCCTCATCATATGACTTAACTATATATATGGTTTATGTTCCCTATAACTTAAAAAACGCCAAGTTGAACCCCCGAAATCTATACAACTTCATACAATCGCGTCAAAAATCCTGTATCATCTAAATTTAACCCTCTTTAGACTAGTTTTACTCGACTTTGACACTCTTCTTTATATACTATCTACCGAAAGTAATTATACGAGATCTCAAATAGTATTATTTATATGGATAAAGTGAAGATATATTTACTATACAATGGCTATCTTTTCTAAATTTACTTATTTCTATCTTCTACAACCAGTATCGAACTCCATTTTTTCCAGGTCCTTTCGACTTGTACACCTTCCATCTACCGTTATCACTACTCCAAAATGTCCCAAATGAGTTTGCACCCCGGCTTCGGACCTACCGGGCTCAGTTTGAGCAACCGGAGGTCCAACAAGCCGTTAACCCGGACCCTCTAGTGGGATACGCGCATGGTAAGTCAGCTTGTCACCTATCCAGAGCATACGTTAAGTATATATAGGGCCGATCCCAAACAACAACCTGGACTGAAGCCGCAGGCTTTCTACAACGCTATGGATCGAGGCGAGCGGAACTATGACATCAAGGCGCAGGATATCCAATGCGACTCGGGGACCGCCAACGGGCCTTCTAAAAGTTATAGTCCGTCTCAACAAAGAGAACAACTTAGTCTACGATGCGGTGGTAGACGTGATCACTATGTATGGTCTGACGTTTGAGGACCAACCGCCTTTCCGCCGCCATCTGTATAATATACACTCTAATACGAGTCAGTTTACCTTTTCTTCGCCTTATACAGGAGATATACTAAACATATACAGTTGCCTGACCAACGCCAGAGAACTCAGCTAGGAATGGTCCTTAGGCACAAAACCATCAAGAAATGGGCGTTGGAAAAAGGCTGGCGCGACGCTGTCTATTTGCACGAGCCGGGGCGTGGCCCGATGGCCAGTCTAGTCGGCTTCTATTGCGATGCTTTAGAGCGTATGGCGTGAGTATCTTGGATCGGCCTTGTCGGATATATACTGTCTTAGATCTAGTTCGGAGGACGCGGGTTTCAGGGCTCGTCGGGGGACTCGTGTCAATCGATATCTGGTCCCCCCGAGTGGTCACTCTCCTGGTCGTTGTCGCCGTGCGTCATCGAAGTACTAAGACCTGAATAGTTGCTTTTGAAGGAGCTGCTTTAAAGGAGCTAAGAACACTCATCACTCAGGCCATCCTCTGCACGAGTTGGTATTGCAAGAATCGATCTATAGATCGTGGATATCAGCCGCACGATGCCGCGCGGCCCAGACGCGCTGGACATCCTTCTATTCACCATAACACTTGAGGGAGCTATCTCTCACCATAGAAAGTCCGATAAAAGTAAAGGTCCCGTGCCGCAGGTGTACGCATTCAGCCCAATGACCAGGAACCCGATCCACTGCCAATATATCATTACGGAATATATTGAGAGCGTCCGGTTGTACGATATCTGGTTCGGCCATCGCATCAATGGTGACAGCCCGGAACTCGTACATGAGCGCCGTCTGCCGCGCTTAAGGCGATTTCGACGGCGATGATGGAATTAGGGAAATTCAGGCATCACAAGATGGGGCGGCAATGGGATATGAGCTTGCGGATGGTATGCCTGGTACGCTCGCAATGGCCGTGGGAAACACAATGGGTCCGGAGCTGATGGATCACCCAAGAGAGGGATTCCAGGCTCTCTTGAAAAAAGATGCTCGGTGATGGATGTCAAACGTCTAGATAGAATATTCTATGGTATTTGCACACAGTATGAAAATAATTCAGCTTATCAAGGTCTCTTAAACAGGTACGGCCCTATCTCATGATCCCCATTAGATTAGGATCAAGAGCTATTTCGACCTTCAAGTATATTTGAATGCAATATATTGGCCATTCGTAAATTGTTACAAAAAAATCAAGGCAAAGTAAGGCGCTGTCCAAGGAAACAGAAACTCAAAAACTATGCGCCCACTAACACCATCCGTGATCATGCCCACATCACAATAATAAAGCACCGTAGCACAGTGAATCAGGGGTATTCATGGCTTGCACACCTTCACATTTTCCATACACATCTATCCACAGTTTCAACGCTCACGTCCAAACATCGTAGAGCCGTAATCCGACGGCGTATACTGCTCTGATGGCGGCACGTAGTGCTGTCCATGAGCACCGCCGTAGCCTGTACTGTTATAGTCGTGCATCACACTGCCCCCGGACTCGGTGGGGTCGTAAGCACCATGCAACGCGGACCGGCCGGCATGGCTGCCCATATCGTCTGCCTCACTTTGTTGGAGCAGGGCGTAGTCCTCATCGCGGTCGTTAATGGAGGAGCCCATACCAGCGCGGCCAGAGCGGAAGTCCTCCTCGTCTTCTTCAAAGTCGTGAGCTGGGTTTGAGGAGAAGGCGGCCTTGCTTGGGCGGCGAAGGTTGGGTCGGAGACAGCATCGGGGAGGGTGCCTGTGCGGCGGAAGTGCATCACGTTGCGGAAGGACATCCAAGCAGTGGCGACGAAGAGGAGGCTGTTGATGATTAGTGGGCGCAAGGTTTATGGGTTGAGCGGAGACCTTACAAGATGATAACGCCGATGATGGTAGTAGCTGTGCTGAGTTTGCACTTAGTAGAGTCACCATAGTGCCAGTTATCGCAGCCAGATGGAGGGCTGCTGGTAGTGCTCTGGGCGGCTCGGATGGTTTTGTCCGCGCTGCGAGAGGTTTTCGTGGAGGATTTGTCTGAGTCCTTGGAGTCGGTGGTCGACTTTCCAAGAGACTTGCCTTGGGCCACGTATGAAGCCAGACAGACCCAGGCCGAAAACCAGAAAATAGCGTAAAGGATATCAACGGTAGCGAAGGCATAAACGTTTCCGAAACGGCGAGCTCGAGGCCACATGGGCACTGCGGTGAGGTAGATCAACCCTGGAACACTAATCCAGCACTGCGGGACTCGTTAGTCACAATACCTCTTTGATTGTCCAAGTAGTATGCTGGCGAAATAGTAGACGCAGCTCCCAGGAGCGCTTACCAGAACCCAGTAGAATACTGTCCGTCCATCGACGCCGCCGCCCTTAGTCCATATGGCGATCGTCAAAGCCCATGCAATAAAGATGATAAAGGCTTGCGAGAAGTGAATAATATTCTTCGTCCTCCCCAGATTACCACCTGATAACCTTGGCAACGGCATGTTTGAAATGTTCGCTGGACTGCAAGGGTGGGATCACCACTTCGGAAGGTCACGGAAGAAAAGGGTACTGTCGCCAGGAATGTATGACGGACGGGGACTTTCAGTCGGTCGCGGAGAGTAGGTGGAGGTAACGAAGGCCGGACTCGACAGCGAGGATTGGAGACGCACTTTTTCTTGGCTGCGCCGTTAGCCTCCGGTGTGGAAGATGGCCTAAACAATAACAGGGCTAATAGTCGGAGGTAAACAATGTGTGGTCTGGCACGAGATGAATGCAGACTAGGACCAGCGTCCGGGGTGAAATGCAGAAGGTGATTCAATCCGCACTTCGACTGTACAAGAGAGGAGGACCGAAATGGTATTGTATTCTTTGTGATTCCAGGCGATCGCCCAGGCGACAGCCCGTGTGGTTCTATTTTGGGCGCATCAGCCACGACGAGAGTGGAGCCACCGAGCCACAACCGGTGTCAACGAAGACTCCGCCATATCGAGCGTGGTGTACGGCTACCAATCATCATTGATCGATGATATCACCTACGTTATCAGCCCTTGGATATGCAGGCAATGTACGTAGCAGGTGCATATCCTAATGTTAGGAGCGCAATACCAAGAAACGCTGTATATATTATAGCTCGAGGATTCGCTCCCTGATGATCATACGTAAAGGGCATAGACTCTTTCTCTTTTTCTTGCTCCGCTATTTTACGCTAAGATCATTAGATACATGTGGAACCCCCGAAATCCTTAATCGTAAACTCGTAATTCATGAGGGTTCGTTAATTGTGACACCCTGCCGCCAGACCAGCCCCTCGTACTTGCTTCATGAGCGTCCAGATCTCGCGCAATGGCTGGTAAACATGCACATGCCACCACCACGGAAGAGGGTCTGAAAAGGAGAACTGTGCGTCTTTCCAGAAGAGAAAGGGGTAAAACTCCTTCTCCACAAGGGCGCCAACTCGCTTTACAGGGCCCAGGGATAGGAATCGTGAGATGCAACGGCCAATAATCTCACGACTGGCGATTGTTGGTCTGGACTGGGGGCTCGGAGCCAACGTCGCTGTGACTTTCCAAGAGATGGGTGATGCTTCAGAGGGCAAAACCGTAAGATAGCCACTGATCGGGCTCTCTGCATCTCGCAAAAGGGTTTCCACAGCCACCGCACCGGGAATGCAGTCAGCAATGTGAATAGAGTGCCGCACAGAAGATGAATCGAACTCCTCGTCGACTAACAAGCGAACAGACAAATGGCCCGTCATCTGGGGCCCGCCCTTCTCAGCGAATGCTTGCATAAGTCGATGGATGGCCGTAGCCATTGCCTCATCGAGTCGCGACGCGCCCCAGTGCGGCAAGCGAGCCTCGGAGAGACGGACTTTGATAGCGTGGACATGACCTCTAACAAACAAGATATCGGCAAAGAACTCTCCAAGCCGAGCCTGCTGCTGAAGAATCCACGGGAAGTCTTTGGAGATTTGGATCTCGCTCACCTCAGAGTATGTCTTGCTCGGAGTCCGCTTAGGTAAAATCACCGGCACATCATTCACGCTGGAGCCGGGCCTACAGCGAAGCATGCGATAAGATTTTGTCGGCGACCGATTCAAGATCTTGTGAATGGAGTCACGGGATTGGACTTGATGAGACTCCACCACCGGGAGGCTTTTCTGTGTCAAGTACTCCCGGAACGAGACCGGGTCCTCGAAGCACGCGGTGAGTTCTCTTTCAAACGCTATACAGCGGCAGCTTGTCCGACTCTCGATGACCTGTCGAGCAAGGCCATCTTCGATCGCAGTTGCTTTAGGCGAACAAGGGATCCAGATGTCGATCTTCTCGCGCTGGACAATATCCAGGATTCTGGAGATGTAGTGATCCTTGGGCACTCTATAAAATGCAACGAGAGTGTTTGACATGCTTCCGCCCGATCTGATGGGAATGTCCAGGTCGGCTACATCCGCGCCTACCACTCGGTGGCCCTCAGCGGCCCACGCTCGTGCCAATGCAAGAGCATGCGGGGCGCCGATTCCCGTGATCAACACCGTCTTGGGGTAGAAGTGCACATCTCGAAAAGTTGCTGCTTGGCGCCGATAATTTCTCGATCGTAGTCGAGTGATCAATAATGCCCCCAGCAGAATAGTGCTGTCCGCAAAAAGCAGGGCAAATGCAGCTGTAATCCGGAAGAGGTGCCAGAATATCCTGGACAGAGCTTCAGCCGAGGTCCATGCCCGTAGACTCTCCATCGGAACGCTGAACCGATTCCACGCCTGGACCGTCATCAAGAGTGGGCAGATGAAGAGCTTCCCGACCGGAGAGACCAGGAGGACCAGACCTGGAGAACTGGGAAGACGTTGGCAGGAAGCAAGGGAGATGGAAGGTGTAATCCAGCCCAGTTGGGCCCCACCTGCCGATCGCGATTGCCTCGACTTGTGATACGATCTAAGCCCGAGCACGAAGCTGCAGGCGGAATCACTCTGTCCTTGCGCTTCCGGTAACTCTTTATCTGATCTCATCGGTGGTATTGCAGGGCATCGGGGTTGATTTCCTGAATGCACCAAGTTTCGGCCTTCCATCCCCCTTGAGTGCCAATCACGATACCTGCATCGCCTGGTGCTCGGCTTTGTTAACCACGCCAGTGCAATTCCAAGTGTATTATCTCCGAGTGCTGCCTTGCGTATGTTTGACCCGTCCAATTTGTGCTACATAACTAGAACGCAATCCTCCTTTCTCACATCCTTCGCGTCGTCTCTGCCGCTTATCGTAAAACCAATTAACAACATGTCTGCCCCTCCTGCTGAGCCACCTAGCCGTCACGCCCGTCCCGGGGAACCTTCAGTGAGTTCACTGCTAATGACAAGTGCTCCAAATAAAGTTAAGCTAATGAATCCAATAGCACGAAGATGATCGCACAAAGAGGCTACTCAAATGGATTCTCAGCCTCGACAATCTCGACGAGATTCGGGGCCATCCCCAGAAGGTCATCGACCTTATTGATGAATTCAGCAAAGACGAGCGAATGATGACCGTCGGCGTCGAAAAAAGGGAAGATAGTCACTGAGTTGATCGACGAATTGAAGCCCCAGACGATGATTGAATTGGGCTGCTTTGTGGGCTACTCGGCGATCTTGTTTGGCGATGCCGTTCGCCGTAACGGAGGCAAGCGGTACTTGAGCCTCGAATTGAATGCCGAATGGGCCAATATTGCCCAGCAGCTCCTCGATCTCGCGGGCTTGGGAGATTTCGTGCATATCCTGATTGGCCGAAGTGACACGACTCTTAACAAGCTCTATGAAACAGGAGACGTCAAATCGATCGAACTTCTGTTTATCGACCATTATAAGCCTGCCTATCTGACTGATTTGAAGCAGTTGGAGCACCACGGCTTAATCGTGCCGGGCTCTGTGTTGGCTGCGGACAATGTCCTCTATCCCGGCAATCCTCCGTACTTGGAGTATGTCCGCAGCACCGTGGAACAGAAGCGCGAGGCGGCGAAAAAAGGCCCTACGAAAGGATACAGTACTGAAGGTATGCGAGAGCGCACTGTGCAGTCATTCATGCCGGAGGGAGACATGCCATTCCTTGAGACTGTCGGCAACCCCAATCTCGTGTACAAGAGCGAGCTTCGCCAGCCAGAAGGCCACAAGGTGAGTCATTCGAAAAGAGAGTCCATTCACCAATCCAATCATTGGCTAACACCTTTTCAGGATGCTATTGAGGTAACCCGGTGCGTGGGAGTACAAACGGAGTAAATAGTGGGCACTGTGACTGTCATGGGCTTGGCAAGCCTTGACATGAATCTTGGAAGGTTGAACCCTGCTTAGAAAAACCAATAGGATCTCAAGTTCGCAAGATGCATGAATATAGACGGGTTTTGCAATATCGGAAATGTACGCCACTTTGGTCCAAAACGGCAATTCAACAACCCCACTTACGGCAATTTGCCCCGCCATGTCCATGGTTCCGAAGGTTGTTGTCGCTAGGACCTTCTGTCGACCGCAGAGAGGCAATTCCTTAGCTATAAATCACGGGGTTCCCCCTCAAAATTTGTAGTAACTGCCCATTCCTTTACTACACCCCATTTCACTTATGGCTGCGAAGGTCTACAACGTTGGCGTTGTCGGCTACGGCTTCAGCGCGAAGATCTTCCACATCCCCTTCGTTGAGGAGGTTCCCGAGCTTAAGCTGCATGCCGTGGTGCAGCGCACTCCCAAGCCTGACGATGATGCCGAAAAGGACCACCCCGGTATCAAGTCTTACCGTACCGCCCAGGAGCTTGTCCAGGACACAGCCGTTGACATTGTCATCATCACCACTGCTCCGGACTCTCACTTCGAGCTCAGCAAGCTAGCGTTGGAAGCTGGCAAGCATGGTAAGCCAGGAAGCGCTAGTGTATCTGACTATACTAAAAGTCTCCAGTTGTCTGTGAGAAACCCTTTACTCCCACCTCGAAAGAGGCAAATGACCTCGTTGCCATTGCCGAAAAGAATAAGAAGATCCTTGCCGTCTACCAGAGTGAGTATTGAGTCGCATTATATCCATGCAATGATTTCAAGTCAATGATCTAACTTCGTATGTCAACAGACCGTCGCTGGGACGCCGACTTCGTTACCCTGTCCAAACTAGTCAAGAACGGCTCCCTCGGCCGCATCTCGGAATTCGAATCACACTTCGACCGTCACCGTCCCGAAGAGCCCTCAGCCGATGCCCACAAATGGAAGAACAAGCCCATTCCCGGTGGGGCTGCCATCTTCGATCTCGGCAGTCACCTATTAGACCAGGCTGTGCAGTTGCTCGGAGTTCCTCAGCGCGTGACTGGTTTCACTGGGTCTGCCCGCGGCGGCAACAGCTCCGGATATGAGGACTCGTTCACTGTTCTTTTCCACTATGCCAACGGCGTTCTGGCTACTGCCAAGGCCACCGTCGTTAGCCCCGAAGAGGAGCAGCTTCGCTTCTGGGTTCGTGGTGACAAGGGTAGCTTCAAGAAGGTGAGTCCTCCAGTCCTGGTCAATTGAGTGAGAATATCACTCTGATGAATCTCAGTACCACCTTGATATCCAAGAAGACCAGCTTAAGGGTGGGATCCGTCCTGGAGACAGTGCATATGGCCGTGAGCCCAAGGAGCGTTATGGTATGTGACGTGCAAGCACAATATTTGAATGGACGTGTTACTAATAACTCCCCTTAGGTACCTTGACCACCTTCAAGGATGGCAAGCCTGTCAAGGAAATCGTTCCTACCGTGGAACCCCCAACCTACACCGAGTACTACCGCAAGCTTGTGCGAGCTCTCAGCGGTGAGGGCGAGGTACCCGCTAGCGGCGCAGAGGCTGCCAAGGTCATCCGCATCATCGAGTTGGCCATTGAGAGCTCCAAAACCGGCCGCACCTTGGACGTCCAACTCTAAGCTGTACACGAAAAACAAGAGAATTCCTTAGCGAGAATGTTAATAGAAACGAGTATTTCGTATCATGCTTGGCCATTGATCTAGCCCGATTTGGTGGGTGTGCGCTGCGCATCGTCCCCTTCCTCCGGTCAATTCGAGGAGCTCGAGCGTCAAAGAGCCGTTTCCCACGAGGCATGTCAAGCGCTGGTTCAACTCGGCGCCACAGGAGTTCGTAAGAAGCACCAATCGGATTTTATGGGTCTGTGCTACTGATTGGACCCCAGAAGCCTGGGTCCCAAATCCTATCTCGAATAAAGCAAGATGTGCACATCATCGAACCGTGAGCTAAGGCTGCATCTTCTCCGTTGGTTCTCTGTAAATTAGTGCGTTTCAGCGGCAAGTAGATCTGGTTGAGAGTTCTTTCTGGTTCAGATACGAATTACGCCAGGTTTTCATAGCACATAGGGACACATGCACAACCCACATCCGAGCGTCCGAGGGTCCAAAGCTTGTTTCCGAGACCATGTGGCGTCTCGTGAAGGCGTCATTCTAAAGCTCCGTCCTGAAACACAGTCCCTGTAGATTTTCACATGCATAAAGCTGCCCCCAGGTTTGATTCCATTTCCAGAGCCTCACATGCTAAATAATTATCTTCAAAAGATAATGCGCGTGAATTCTACGCTATTTGACCCGCGGATCGGTTAGCTAAATGGGGGCCGCAAGGCGTTCTTCGCTGTCTCAATCCCAACAAAAAGTACGATGCGGACGTAAAAAAAGGTTGCGAGACCCATCACCGGGCAGTTTGGCAACGCACTAATCCGCGTCGGTCCTCCTGGGACAAGCGGCCCCCATCCCCTTCCGAGGGCGAGTCCGTGACTGGCGGACTTTCTGCTGAGCTGGGACGCACGGGCATTCTGAAAACGTGGCCCAGCACACCTGCTTGATAGCTTACATCTCAAACACGATGGATGCAGGAGGCAGGCCCGAGCTTGTGTCAGGCAACCTTGGCTCTTGGCGATCGTGGGCCGACTGGGCTAGTAGACCGCTAGGGCCACGAGCCGCAAATTACACGGCTTATATACCCCAGCTCTGGAGCGCACCACGTTTGTCTCACTTCCGTTTTCCTTTTAGGGATTTCGTACGAGCCTAAGGTGTAGATGCTTAACCATGAACACCCAATCATTCCCGGACTTTAAGATCTTGCCCTACAAGTCAAAGACTGCACCAGACGAAAAGCCTCCATGGTCGCTAAACCATCCGATTAGCCTCAAACAGCCGTCATCCTGGACATACTGCGGTCCACTCTTAGAATTGGACCTCAAACAGCCGTCATCTTTCCAAAAATGGCATGATGCTACTATCAACGGCTCCCTCATCCAGCCACTCGTTTCGTTCCTGGGCTACGCCCACGAGATATTAACCTCAAACAACATTTCGCATTACTGGCTCACCATTCGGGCCTCAACAGGCTCGTCCGAGTTTGACATTCCCCGATGGCACACAGATGAACTATTCTTCGCCCCCCAGCCCTCAAAGAGACCAACCCACCGGCGCAGCTCTTCAATAAGAGATGCAATCAGCCGAGCCCAGCGACTAACAGCCACGCACGCCGGGAAAAGGAGCAGAGCTATCCTATTCGACGAAGATCTCCCTCTCTCCCAAGCCCAAATAGCAACTTCCAGCCCAAGTCCAACAAACTGGAAGCTTACAACTACCCTCCTGGGCCCAGGAACCCTCTTCATCGGCCCCGAAACCGGGGCCGTCGCCCGCAAAGTCCAGCAGAAGGTCAAACAAACAATCCGCGAAGAACACCCCAACCATCCATGCTCGTCAATCCGCTGTGTCGGCTGCGCTACAGCCTCGGAAGCTGTCAGGGCTCGACTGGCCTTTGCCCTTTCGCCGCATGGGATCGTGCAGGCGCGGCGCGGGGAATGCGTCTTCTTCTTAGGGGGGGGGAGGAAGAGGGGGCCGTCCATTCAGAACCCAGCTCACATGGAGATCGAATATTCGTCAATTTGGTTCCTGGGACGGAGGCGGATTTGCGAAGTCTAATGGCGAAGTGGGGGATGGAGTATCCCAGGGCCTGGTCTGTTGGGTTGCCTTTTCAGGTTGGGGAGATGTGTGATCGCAATGTTGGGAAGTTCTAAGTATGCTGTTATATCTGTTATTATAGAGAGGCTAGCCTTGTCAGCTTATGTTGTCAACTTCAATGGACCGTTTCCCTACGAGACGCTACACATGGCTTGGAAACACCTCATATATGTAGTAGTACTAGTAGTCTTGTTTCTCGCCAGACCGTATCCCCGTACTCATTGGAAAGGAGACAGAATAGTATTTTGATATCGACCCCAGTGATAAAATACCACAGACCAGACTCAGAAGCGGCAAAGAGGAGATGGAAAAAAACAAGAATCAAGAGGCAACACGTTGTAGGCAATCTTCGGCTCATCCTACTCCTTCGCGTCCTCTCTATCCCCGGCCTACATACAGACAAGATTAGCATGGGCTTTCACAAGTCCAAATACTTCACTGACCTTGGCCTTATTGGCTTTACGGGAAGCTGGCTTGACGCACGCCTCGTCCAAGTGCAAGGGTTTCGCGTCAGGGTCAAATCCCCGGGCCTTAGCACGGCTGCAGATGTCACTGATTGTCCTCACCGGCATTTTCATTCGCTCTCCAATCTCCTTGTATGCCATGCCGCCGGTATGAAGGCCGATGATGAACGCATAAGTGGTGGCGGACTTTTGCCCAGTCATGGTGGTCCACGGTTAAGCAGTTATGCACCTTTCAGGATAGATGGCACAGAAGGGTGCAGTGAGATGTAGCAGATTCCGCAGTAGATTGAGTAGCATAAATGTGGAGAAGCAGGAGAAACAAAGTGTCGTTGGGTGCAAACGGCGGGGGACTATACCTTGAGCTAACGGTCAGGCAAACGACTCTGGACGGAGCTTGCTGATATGAAAAGGGACAAAGATCACGACCAACCAAGATAACCCGAGGTGTCTTCATTTGGATGATGAATGGTCTTTAGTGGATTGCCCCCTGCTAGTATGCCCACTTTCAAGTTTGACTTCTCTTGGTGGAGTTGTAGAAACTGCAGAACAAGTTGGAGACCTGGAACCGGAATCTAATGGGCGCAAGTGATACTATATTATCCCGCGGTCTTCACGTTTGTTCTACGACCTGAAGATCAACCTTGCTTTGCTTGTTACGGTAGTCGAAATAGAACATATAGCACAAGAAGTACGAGCGAGCTGCAAGCCGCAGGTGATAAATTGAAAGATTATGAAAAAATGATGCCGAATACGTCAGCTCCCTAGTATGTTGCGAGGGGTAGAAGCGAAGACCACACATTCTCACTGGGGGGGAGGATCCATGCTCACACAGTCTCCTCATCGGAGTACACTGGGCCATCGTCGCGAGGGCGTGTCTTGCCTTTGCCAGCGGAAGGGCTTTCGACCTCTGGGGAGTCTTCGTGCTTGAGGGGCTGGACGACCTTTGTATCGCGGTCCTTGACAACGGAAGGGGACTTGGCGGTCTGTATCCTGATATCAGCCATGTATCTCTCTAATAGTACTGGATTTGCAATGGACCTTCTTGGTGCGGCGAGGGGAAGTGATATTGTCAGAAATGATGGCGTCGAGCACTGAGGCATCCTTAATGAGGTTGATGCCATCAATCTCAAACCCTTCTTCCATGGCGCATCTGAAGTGTGCTTTGACCGAGGAAGTGGAAACCCCGGTGAGAGCTGCAACTCGGGCAGTGGACAGGCCAGCGAGTTTCAGACCGAGAACAAAGGCTCGGGTAGGACCCTCGAATTTCTTCCTTTCCTTGACCATGATGGGAGTCTTGAAGATTCGAGTAAGGATCTGATTGTTTCTGTGATGAGACTTGGTGGAAAGAATATGGAGCAAGAAAGGCTGCGAGATTGAAATAATGGCTCGGTAGAAAGAATGTCTAAAAAGAAACTGCTGGCCTGACCAACCGCCTGCCTTGCCGCTTCTCAGCTTGAAGGTAATTCCCGGTAGTTCTTTTGGATCATTTCTCAATATAAGCATGCAACATTGTGGCCGTGTATCTCCCCCGGGAAACCTTTTTTTCCATTCCGTTCTTATGGCCGGGCAATAAAAAATATGAAGCTTCCTTGTTGTGTCCTTAGCGCCTCTAGCTCAGGCTATTCGCCATAATTAAATAGGCCGGTATGTAAGAAAATACAGACTCCTGAGTTGCGAGACAAGCCCAGTTTTCTTCGGGGTCAAGTTATTATCAAGCAAAGCTACATAGTAAGGTATCAAAGCTACATACACATAACTGCAGCCTCCATTTCGATTCTGGAATGTCAAAATCATAAACTAGGGATCTATATCAATCCAGCATAGCTGCGTAGATGCTTTTTGATTTTATGCCATGATATCACGTGAGGGTTGCGCTAGCTGGAAGCGGTTTCCATTAGCAAACCCAAATACTCTGATTGGAAGGCCTCCAGTGCAAGTGCTGGAGTAACGGAGCAAGCGCGTGGGAACGTTTTAAGTAGAAAGAGCTCTGCTGCACCGTGAACCGAAGGCTCCGCGGAGAAAGAGTGGAGGTTGGCGCAATACCCATACCAGTCTGTGACTCCCACAACCGGCGGACTTGCTATGTCGCGACATACCACCCGTCTTAGGGCTCTGTTCCTGAGAAGTGAACAGTCGACCGCGTTGTGCACCCCCAAATTATAGTACTTCTTGTTCTGATCCAGTGCAAGCCTAAATGATGGCTCAGTCCAGAGGAGGACCCGGGTGGTTTGTTCGGGCTAGAACTTGGGATGTTGATATTGACCGATTCCTCAACCCAGTCATACCAGCTCCACGATGGCACCTCGTCCCTACACCAATAGCGCATTTTCTAGGTCATAGGAGTGAGCCGTCCAAGACACTTGGAAACATCTTCGTCGCTTTCTGGTCATTAGTGGGGGCATTTTGCGGTGTAGCTTTGGTGTCTTCTATTTCGCAACAGGTTCCCTCATTCAAGGTCCGAGATGCTCCGCCCATCATCGGCAGTTTTGTGAGTAAAATGCATGTTGTAGCAATTTCCGAAGTGTATACTAACCAGCCCCTTCGTAGGGCGCTGCCGCTGTCCTCGAATTCGGTACAATCGAGTCACCTCTGGCACAGCCTCGGAATGCCTTCTTTGGTCAAATGATTGCTTGCTTAATCGGAGTCGGTGTCACAAAGCTTTTCGCTCTCGATCACAACGCAGAAAACTATACATCGTTAGGAGGAGCGCTAGCATGTGGCGTCACGACAGCGCTCATGCTCATTACCAAGACCGTACACCCCCCTGCTGGAGCCACAGCATTGCTTGCGGTGACAAACCCGGAAGTCAAGAAGCTAGGCTGGTTTCTTTTCCCCGTGATGCTTTTGGGGATTACTCTGATGCAGGCGGCTGCCTTGATCATCAACAATATCCAGCGCCGCTTCCCACTGTACTGGTGGACATCTCAGCCGTTGTCTCGGTCACGATTACACGATGAGGAAAGGCCTGAAAAAGAAATTCCCAGTGTTCCTAGCCACTATGATAGTGATTCTGAGCCTTCGCGCCGGCTAGTCATAGAGCGTGGGGATTTTGTTGTTCCCGATGGTATGTTCCTCTCTGAACAAGAGCGATTAACGCTCCGACGGATCAGCCAGCGATTATGAAGAAGGCATGAAACGTCGTGGGAATACGAGAGGAGGTCAAGGGGCGATAAGATAGCTTGTACTGTATAGACCCAATCATAACCAAGCGATTTATCCTTCGTTATCTTGATCAGCCTTATGCTGCCTCAGGCAGATAAGGTGTCTATAATTTGCCACTTCGATGCGGTGACGTCGGTCTCCAATGAGCATTCACTCCGGCTCCACCACTGTGTGGTTTTTTCAACCCACGTCCTTACTGTGTTCGTGCCCGAGCATATGAGAATTTCTTCAGGCCCTCTTTCTTTTTCTTTCCTCCAGGCCCGTCTTCTCATCTCGAGTCCAAGTGTGAAGGGTTTTCTCTGAACTTGGATTGCTCACAACCCCACCTCGTCGAGCGCCCCTCTATCCGCCCCGCTACCCTACGCCCCACTCAATCTTTTTTTGCTTCAAACTCTTCTTCGTTTGTTGCGGGTCCTGTCCCTTCTACTTTCCTTCCATCCCCTCTTCCCCTCCCCTATCCGATTCAATACCATCTTCATAGTCACAATGGTTTCTGCTTCCAAGGCGGCTCGTCTGGCCAAGCGTGCCGAGACTGGCGAGAAGAAGGCCGCTAAGAAGGGCAAGAAGGATGACCCTGAAGGTGAGGAGCCTGCCGATGAGCAGCCCGCCACCACCACCGAGAAGATGAAGGAAGTCGAGAAACTCACCGCACAGATGGACAAGCACGGTCTTTCTGACCGTGTTACCACCGGTGTGCTTTCATCTCTGCCCGCCTCTCGCGACGTTAAGGTCACCTCTGCCTCCCTTGTGTTCCACGGAAAGGTCCTCATCACCGATTCCACTCTCGAGCTCAACTTCGGTCGTCGCTACGGTCTCCTCGGTGAGAACGGTTGTGGAAAGTCTACCCTTCTCAAGTCTATTGCGACTCGCGAATTCCCTATCCCGGACCACATCGATATTTACCTGCTCAATGAGGGCGCCCCTCCTACTGAGTTCGGTGCCCTCGAGTGGGTCGTTCGAGAGGCCCAGGCCCAGCTTGAAAGCATGGAGAAGAAGGCCGAGGAGATTCTGGAGCAGGAGGGCCCCGAGAGCCCTATCCTTGAGGATCTTTACGATGTTAGTCCCATCATCTATCCCCCTTATCATCGTCTTTCGGTAAAACTAACATTCATTACAGCGTATGGACAAGATGGATCCCTCAACTTTCCACACTCGTGCCTCTCTCATCTTGACCGGTCTTGGTTTTAATAAGGTTACCATTAACAAGAAGACTAAGGATATGTCTGGTGGCTGGCGTATGCGTGTCGCTCTTGCCAAGGCCCTCTTCGTCAAGCCCTCCCTGCTGCTTCTTGATGACCCCACTGCCCATTTGGATCTTGAAGCCTGTGTGTGGTTGGAAGAGTACATGAAGAAGTGGGACAAGACTCTGATCCTTGTCTCTCACTCCATGGATTTCTTGAACGGTGTCTGCACCAACATGATTGACATGCGCGGTAAACAGCTCCTCTACTACGGTGGTAACTACGACTCCTACCACAAGACTCGCTCCGAGCAGGAGACCAACCAGATGAAGGCCTACACCAAGCAACAAGAAGAAATTCAGCACATCAAGAAGTTCATTGCTTCTGCTGGTACATACGCTAACTTGGTGCGCCAAGCCAAGTCTCGCCAAAAGATTCTCGACAAGATGGAGGCCGATGGTTTCATCCAGCCCGTTATTCCCGACCGTGTCTTCTCCTTCCGCTTTGCCGATGTCGAGAAGCTTCCTCCTCCTGTCCTGTCGTTCGACGATGTCAGCTTCTCGTACTCCGGTGAATGGAGTGACACTCTGTACGAGCACCTGGACTTCGGTGTTGACATGGACTCCCGTACTGCTCTGGTCGGCCCCAACGGTGTTGGAAAGTCAACCCTTCTGCGTCTCATGACCGGCAAGCTGAGCCCCATCGGTGGCCGCGTTTCTCGTCACACCCACTTGAAGCTCGGCATTTACTCCCAGCACTCGGCTGAACAGCTCGACCTGACTAAGTCTGCCCTCGAGTTCGTTCGTGACCGCTTCCCCGAGAAGTCCCAGGACTACCAGTACTGGCGCCAACAGCTCGGCAAGTATGGTCTTTCCGGTGAGTCCCAGACCGCAATCATGGGTACTCTTTCCGAGGGCCAGAAGAGCCGTATTGTGTTCGCTCTGCTCGCCATCGAGTCTCCCAACATGATCCTGCTGGACGAGCCTACCAACGGTCTCGATATCCCCACCATCGACTCCTTGGCTGATGCCATCAACGCTTTCCATGGTGGCGTGGTGGTTGTGTCCCACGATTTCCGGCTGTTAGACAAGATCGCCAAGGACATCATGGTCTGTGAGCACAAGACTGTCCGTCGCTGGGACGGCAGCATTGGCTCATACAAGAAGTACCTCCGTGACAAGATGGTTTCTGCTGGTGCTGTCTAAGCTCGGAGCGTCGCTACGCCGCTTCTTGTTCTATTTTTTTTTATATCCCGATGACGACGCAATGCTAGACGAGAATTGAAGGAATCATGCCTTGTGCATAAAAGTTCAGAATTACATGACCATGGAGTTTGCACCGGAAAACACATCTGACACGCGTCCATAGGTCCTGGTTCTTGATGTCTTTATTATTCCCTTTGTCCATAGATCGGTGGTCCCTGACCTCAGTCTCTAGAATTGGGGTATCAGAGGGTGGTGGCCGGTCGGTCTTATTGTGTTTGGCTGGACGTTCATGATGCTCCATTCCCGGCGCCGGCAGGAGAACTGCCGTTGACTTTTCTTGCATATTGTTTCATAGAATTTCTAGTCGGGTCCGCATCGAACGGATCATGCTCGGTCTTGTTCCTGCTGTTACTTGTCGATGTATCTACGGATCTTCGTTTTAATTTGACAGAATCGCTAAGCTATGTTGTTCATTGTAAAAAGCCCATCAGTATTATGGTGCATTAAGTAGCAATCGACCTCAAGGTCATGACCATGTCACTCCGTAGTAATCACAGTGATTGCCATCCTGCACACCCATCTCGTCAGTCCCGTCTACCGAGCTCATTCTCAGACTGGGCTTGCATACCGTTAGCTGCAGCCCATAACATAGTGGGTGGCTGGTTAAGTGACTTCGTCAACTGGGAACTTTGGCGTTACATCCACATGACCTGCAACACCCACCCAAGTGGTCATTGGTGGAAACGCTGACAACAACATCTTTGAACGACAATCAGGCAAGACAAGGCCTACAAGTGGAAGGGCTATGTGAGTCCGTGCTTTATGTCCTTGATATCTTCGAGAATGAAGTTCAATTACTGGACGGACAGCTTGATCGGATATATTTTGGAGGGATAAGCCAAGAAATGGCAGTTGTCTTGTCGGCGTTCTTTGGTGGAATTGCCACTGGTCGAATCCATGGGCCTCTGGGAGGGTTGCCGGGGGTTTGTGGCTGGTTGCCGTTTGCCCAGCAGCTGAAGGACTTGCTTGTAAAGCAGAATAGTTTGGAGTCGATTCAAGTAGGGCGGGTGCTCTCCGGTTTCTTCTTTGAAAGGATGGCGATGCGTATAGTAGATCCGCATAAGACGCCTATCAATCTGACCATCCTATCTAAGCCGGTATTGTTTGGCCATGGGACGGACAATATCTGGGTTCCAGTCAGAAATGGACAGCAGCCAACACGGGTATTCCGCCAAGTAATGACGTGCTCCTCAGTTGATTGGGCAGAATTTACTGGTGCAGAAGGGGAGGGACACTGGATTAAAGAGCCCGAGGGGTTCGATTACATCTTTTGCTTTCTTAAGAACTGGAATCATGGTGATACTTGGACCTCAGACTACCAGGATATCATTTCAGAATATCGCCACGCCTCAAATCAAAGTTTATGACGCGAGTATATCACCAGTTGGGAGGCCATTATGACCGGTCGTGGAATTATTGTTTGGTACGTTCAGTGACCAGTTCTGGTCCAAAAATATCCTGAGAACTACGGGCCTTCTCGGCCTCTAATTTGCGCTTTTTCGCAAGCCGCTCTGTTTCGCTCTCAGAGGCAGGGGCTGGCGATGCCTCCGTCCCAGCAGGGGTACGTTTTGGAGCCAGCTTCTTCTCAGGATTCAAGCAATGATGGTGTTTCTTTGCTATCCGCTGAAGATCTGCCATCTGGCCTGGGTCAGAAGAGAGAGGCTGGTACGCCTGCAGAAGAGCGGAGCAGTCTGTGAGGACTCTCAGAAGTTTTGTGCGGAGATCATATAAAGGATTCTGAAGATCAGATGGGTCGGGTTTAATGTCTGTGGATGTGAGAGGGCCGCCCAATTTGGTATCAAGGTAAAACTCCGCCAGGGGGCGGTCGGCGAGAAGGAGGGCTGAGAGCCATATTTGTGACGGTGTGTAGAGGAAATAAGCGTCTGTCATTTGCGCCGCTGTTTTGAGGATTTCTCGAGTCGTACCATGGGCCCGCCCAATGCGATCTGATATCGAGGATGCGCGAACAGGACCGGGAGAAATCGCGAGAAGCTTCTGTTGAAGCTGTTGCGGGGTCTGGTGGGTAAGATGAGGCCCTGGCTGCCCTTGGCCCTCTGCAATGGCTTGTAGTTCCATGATTCCTCCTTCGAGGCCGCGGAATGGATGTCGGACGTCAAAAGTGAACCGAAGACCTTGCATTAGCAAGAACTCTGGACCAATGACCTCCTCCTGCGTTGTAGGCTTTTTGCCTGGGATACCTTCCGCGAACTGCCTGAGAGACATGTAATAGTTGTCTGTCTTGGTTGCAAGGAATAATGCGCAGGCCATGATGGACTTCGGGTGGTATGTCATCGGAGAGTTCGTCAGATAAAATCGTTTGAGATATTGTATTGCGGTAGCCTGCGAAAGCAATTTGTTAGGGTGAACAGAAGGGGAGAGATGTGAAAAAAAAAACTTACTCGAACCATCGTAGGCAACGCCGGTTTATAGGTTTCGCCAAGCTCGAGAGTCTTCTCGCAATAAAATCGCACAAACGCTAGCTCTTCCTCTGGTGTCAAACAGTCGATCTCCTTGTCATCCATCTTTTTCCCCTCGCCATCGCTCCCTGTTTGGGGTGTTCCATTCGCTGAGGTGGTTGACTGGTGCGCTTCCTTAGCGCGGCGCAATGCGGCCCTCACGCGTTCACTTGCAATGGCATTAGTCTTTTCTCGGAGGGATCGAAGAGACGCCTCGGTATACGACCATAATCGAAATTGGGAGGAAGTCCGGTAGATGTCATCCTCAATCATGTTGGCAATCAAAGGGTCAGGCCCACCAACTCTAGGAAACCCCACGGGCAAGACAAAGCAAAGGTGACCTTGGCTTTCAAAGAAATCCAGGTATGTTGGCCCAGTACGATGGTTCGTCGGCTTGCTGCACCTTTCCCCTGCAGAGGACTAGCTGGTGTTCGCGGGATGAGATGCCAGGAAGATCGCTGCGGAGTCAAGTTTGGGATTCCTTATCGATCCCGATAAGATATCTCGATCACGCATCGCGATGCACTTGTCAAAGAGAAGCCTACGTATCTGCACGTCAAAATATGCTGACGCGGTTTTGAAGCCTATTTCAGAATATGCGAATGATCTTTCGGACTCTAGCAATCAACAATTGCCTTAGAATGCAACAACACTAGTTACTCCCCGAGCAAACAACCAGTGACATCACCCATCTGCCCTGCGGTCAATTCATAGTCCTGGCCACCGTTTCGATCAATATTAACTTGGCGAAATGCACTGACAACCTGTTCCACACCAAATCCCATGCTGCCGAACCGATCAACCAGATCCTTGTTGTATCCGTCGTACCTGGAATTGTTCAGGTTAGGAAAAGGGTTTAAAACCATAGATTTGAGGGCCTCGGAAGCAACAGTAACGTACTTGGCTAGCGGGCCTGGTCCAGTTGAATCACCGCTGTTAGTCGAACCATCAGATGGAGCGCCTGCATATGTCACAGCCCATTGGCGCGCAACACGGTCAAACTCCCGAGGTTGTTGCAACATCATGTTGGCAACTTCTGCATCCTGAGGATCTTTTGGCTCAGGCGTGCTGAGCAAAGATTGCAGAGATAGAAGAGATGATTTTATAGTGAGAACAGGAGACCAAGCACTGGAAAGTGTATCAAGGCAAATTGCCCCCTGGTGAACGAGTTGGTATTTCCTTCCGGAGACTCCGCAGAGAGAAGACATACCGTTTGGCTGCTGACGTTCGGATGCCAGACTTTAGTCTCAAACTTCATGACAGGAGGGCGGAAGGGATAGTCGGTTGGGATCTTGATATCGACATAATAAGTACCACCCTCGTACGGGGTTCCTGGGGGGCCTGGGAAGGAGCCACGCAGGTGGGTGATATCTTCCTGTTCGTTCACGGGGACAGCAGAAATACCAGACTTGCTATCGGCATGGATGTCAGCCAGTTCCTTGCCAATACGGCGCATTCGGTTGCTCGCCATGATGCAAGTTGCTCAATAATGAAAGCCAAATGTATTGCGGTGCGGTAGAATTTGTCGTACGTGGATAATGTGGGGAGCAGCCGCGGTCAATGTGAAGAGTTCTAAGCTAGCGGAGGCTCTGCCCTCGGTCAGTGAATGATGAGAATCCAGAAATAACGAGGCTCGAGTAATTCAACAAGTTTAGCTCAAAGTATGAAATTCAATAGAGACCATAAGTGAAACAGGCAATAAACGCAGGCGGGGGTTGTTTCTAACAAGCTTACCAAAAGGAACTATGTGCTTTATAGCCGCCGTCGATCCAAATACTACAATGTACTAACAAAATAGAAGACAAAGAAGCTGACAGGGCCGATCGTCCGGAAATAGCACTCCTTGGACTTATAGTACAAAATGCTTTGGTGGTAGCCTCGACCTGGTTCATTGATGACGCATGGGTCTTTATGCGCCTTAGGCATATAATTATCACGTGACTAAACGTAGCGGAAGAGCTCCAGGGTTACCGGCGCAGCTGATCAAGCTGTCCCAACCAACAACACCTCCCCCGTTCCCTCATTTCACGCTTCCATCTCCATCCATTCATCTGGAGTTGAGACCAACCTTCATTGGCATCTGTCGTTCTTCTTCCTGATCAAGCATTTGACAGCGAACCCATCGCTGGCTTACAAACATGGTTCGTCATCTCTCGATTTCGCCTCCAGCTCGGCATACTGACATTTCATCGAACAGGGTAACCAGCAGTCTAACATGGGCGGCGGCCCCGGTGGTGATGGACGTGATGATAAAGACAAGAAGGTTTGAATCCATCATTCTCTGGTAAGCGGCCCAGCTCTAACAAATAACGGATACAGAAGGACAAACCCAGATACGAACCTCCCCCTCCCCCTACCACTCGTATTGGTCGCAAGAAGCGTAAGGCCGCCGGCCCAAGTACCGCTTCGAAGCTCCCGGATATCTATCCAACCTCGCGATGCAAGCTACGATATCTTCGAATGCAACGCGTTCACGACCACCTACTGCTAGAGGAGGAATACGTTGAGAATATGGAGCGCATGCGCAAATCCAAGGCCCTAGTCACCCAAAGCTCCGCTGCCCAGAGCGATCTGGACGTGACAGATCGGAATGCGGATGAGCGAAGTCGAGTGGACGACATGCGAGGCAGCCCGATGGGCGTTGGTAATCTCGAGGAGCTGATTGACGACGACCATGCGATCGTATCCAGTGCTACTGGCCCTGAATACTACGTCTCCATCATGTCATTTGTCGACAAGGATCTCCTGGAGCCTGGTGCTAGCATTCTGCTTCACCACAAGTCAGTGTCAGTTGTTGGTGTCCTCACGAGGAGTCTGATCCCTTGGTATCAGTGATGAAACTGGATAAGGCCCCAACGGAGTCATATGCGGATATCGGTGGTCTGGAGCAGCAGATTCAAGAGGTTCGCGAATCTGTAGAGCTGCCTTTACTACACCCTGAACTGTATGAGGAGATGGGTATCAAGCCGCCCAAGGGTGTCATCCTTTACGGTGCTCCGGGTACTGGAAAGACTCTTCTTGCGAAAGCTGTTGCAAACCAGACCAGTGCCACTTTTCTCCGTATTGTTGGAAGTGAGTTGATTCAGAAGTATTTGGGTGATGGTCCCCGTTTGGTCCGCCAGATTTTTACTGTCGCCGCTGAGCATGCCCCATCTATCGTGTTCATTGATGAGATCGATGCCATCGGTACTAAGCGTTATGAATCTCAATCCGGCGGTGAGCGTGAAATTCAGCGAACTATGCTGGAGTTGCTCAACCAGCTCGATGGTTTTGATGACCGTGGTGACGTGAAGGTCATCATGGCCACAAACAAGATCGAGACTCTCGACCCTGCCTTAATTCGTCCTGGTCGTATCGACCGTAAGATTCTCTTCGAGAACCCAGACCGTATGTGTCCCTCAATACCCACATACTTATCTATTTGACCGATATTGACATTCGCTACAGAAACGACCAAGAAAAAGATCTTCACTCTTCATACATCCAAGATGTCCCTCGGAGATGACGTGGACCTGGATGAGTTTATCAACCAGAAAGACGATCTCTCCGGTGCTGATATCCGTGCCATCTGTACCGAGGCCGGTCTGATGGCCTTGCGTGAGCGTCGTATGAGAGTCCAGATGGACGACTTCCGTGCTGCCCGTGAGCGTATCATGAAGACCAAGCAGGATGGCGGCCCTGTGGAAGGATTGTACCTGTAATCGCTGGTCAATGTCCAGTTGTGCCTACTAGGAATAGCTAGGAGCTGCATTTGGTCTGGCCTGTGTATTCTATTTCATTGATGATGGATTTACAAGAATGGCATGCATTCATATAACTCAAATTATCATTTGTATTAGTAAAATCTATGTTTGTCGCCCTGGAGCTTTTGTATGTATCTCTGGCTACGCGACGAAAAGCGCACTCCCGCATTATCTCTTATCGGAAGATCGGCGGGAGGCAAACAGTGCAAACATTACTGATAAATGCCGTGGAGAGCTCTGCGACATTCGCTCTTGTAATTCGTTAACTCAGACCTTCAACTGAAAGATGGACGACTTTGACGAGGAAGCGTTCAAGAAGTTTTTTCCTTCTAGCTTCGGGAAGCAAGAAAAGAAGTTCGATGCCGAGAGTCAGGTCAACCGGACCAAACGTGCGGAGGTCTCTGTGCCGGCTCCAGAAGCTGAGGCGCGAAACCTAACCCCAGCTAGTCCAGCCGAGGGAAAGCAACCTCAGGAGCCCAATGATAACGATAACGACGATTCAAATGACTCGGACGACGATGACTCGGACGATGACGATGAAGACGAATTTCCAGTCTCCCACGAGATGGTCTTACACACTCATGAGCGCGCAGTGACGACAGTCACCTTGGATCTTTCAGGCGCGCGAATGATTACAGGCTCAAGGGACTGTACTCTGAAGCTCCACGACTTCGCTTCCATGACACCATCAACGATCCGTGCGTTCAAATCGGTCGATCCATCCTTCAAAAAGACATCAGCCGCCCAAGACACCCATGCCGTTCACTATGCCGCATTCAATCCTCTTTCGCCGAGCCATGTCCTGGTCGTGACCGCCACTCCCCAGCCTCGGATTCTTGACCGAGATGGTGAAACAGTGACAGAATTTGCGAAGGGCGACATGTACTTGCGAGACTTGAATAATACGAAAGGTCATATCGCTGAAGCAACCGGTGGTGTCTGGTGTCCTTCGGACTACAACCTTTGCGCTACTGCTGGCTCGGATAGTACAGTCCGCATATGGGATGCAAACGTTGGTATGTCGCAAAAGCATGTGATCATGCACAAGTCCAAGGTTGCTGGGTCTGCTGGGCGGACTAAGATGACCGCTGTTACATGGGGCTCCCCAAAGCAGGGTGGATCGAATGTCTTGGTGACTGCTGCTCTGGATGGCAGCTTAACTATGTACAGTGGAAATGGGCCTTTCCATCGACCCAGTGCTGAAGTACGTGACGCTCATACCAGAGACACTTGGACCAGTGGGCTGGATATCAGCGCCGATGGACGACTTGTTATTTCTCGCGGCGGCGATGATACCATCAAGCTTTGGGATACGCGCAAATTCAAGTCCCCTGTGACTACGGTCCAGCATAAATCGACATCGGAGCGCTACCCTACCTCGAACATTCAATTCTCTCCTTCATCAGCCAATGTACTCGTGGGCTCAGAGACTGGCCATCTTCATATCCTGAACCCAGCAACGCTGAAACCCGAACTCGTCACCCCTGTGACTCCAGGGTCTCCCTTGATTTCTGTCTTATGGCACGAGAAACTAAACCAAATCATCACCGGCTCTGCAAATGCTGAAACTCATGTTCTCTACAATCCTACCAGCTCTACCAAGGGTGCATCACTTGTCATGTCCCGGGCTCCCAAACGCCGTCATGTCGATGATAATTCCGCTTTCACAACTGATACTTCAGGGGCCCTCTCTGGAGACTCGGTTGTGGTTGGCAGCAACGGTGTGCCTCAGTACAGCTCGGCAACATTTTCTTCCCGTCACCCCAATGTTGGCTTGACAGCCTCTGGACGCTCCCGCGATCCTCGCCGTCCACATATCCCAGCCGTCACACCTTTTGCTAAGTCTACGCCCGATGAGAAACATGTGCGCGAGCATATTCCTCTCAGTTCTATGCGCGATGAAGATCCTCGTGAAGCGCTGTTGAAATATGCCGAAAAGGCCGAAAAGGACCCTATCTTTACTCGAGCGTATCAAGAAACTCAGCCCAAGCCAATTTACGCAGAACTGAGTGATGAAGAAGAAAAGCCAGAAAAGAAAAAGGCTCGACGTTGAGAGCTGAGCTTCATGGGCATTTTGTAAACTAGTCATTAAACATGGTCATTTTCCGGTTGGAGCCAAAAAACATACAATCTAATATAGAGGCCAATGCAGCGTCTAGTCTTGATCTGTATCCATGTAAGAGGAGCTAGAGACAGGCACACAATAGGGCCAAAAAGGACCAACCACTTGCAAGCTCTGGAATGCGCGCCCCTCTTCTTATTCCGCATTATGACGTCCTCCAAGCCCGCATGATCGCCCGGACCCTTGCTAACGCACGAGAACTACACACAGAGAGCTTTGACTCTACGAAATGCAGGCTGAGACGCAAACTGAAACGGCGGTAGGCGCGGACTGTGGGCAGGAGTAAGGAGGGCCAGGCGTCTTCTAAACTTTGGCAGGTTTAGTCCCAGTGGAAACAGACTGCTGACATAGCACTCCCTCCGCTTTATCACCAGCAGTCAGCCGCAAACTTCCACCAGCAAACGCGACTGGAGGCAAGCAAACCAGACCGTCAACTTCGGGCTTGGCTCATGCAGAATGCTGCCCTTCGCAACGTGATATGCTCAATATTTTCTCACTGGACTTCAGTCGTTGGTAAGCTGTGACAGCTTTCAGGCTGCTACAGGAGTTCGGACCGTCCGGCTTTGCCTGTCCCCGCAAGCTGCGATCGGAGAGAACACAGCCGGTGCGCCCTCGACGGAACCGTTTTCGATCCCTATCAGCCAAATGGATTCTTTTCAGAGGCCCGTGATGGCGGACCTGGTCTCCTCTTTCGTTGCAACGACTATCACTCCATCCGCGACCCGCTCTTCGGTGTATGGATCTACGGCTCTCGGTACCCTGACCTCGACCTCCGTGCCCCATAATGGATCTGGCAACAGCCACGAGAAACTGCAAAAATGGTCTTCGCTCATCGGTATCATCACGGCTTTGGTCGGAAATGTGCTGATCTCTCTCGCACTTAACATGCAACGCTACGCTCACATCCGGATCGCCCGCGAATACGAGCTTGATAAGCTTTCAAAAGACCCTGACTCGCCAGAAGGACAGTTGAGGACGAACTCATATGGAACACCCAACGCGGATCATGCTCGGAAGAATGGCCGGGGTAGAACACCAACACATGATCGCCGCCGCGAACGACGCAACTTCGCCCCGTACCGCGATGAGGCAGAAGACGAGGACTTCTTCGAGGTTCGGAATGGACGGTCCCGACGGAATACTAGGAGGAACTCATTCAGTTCCGACCGGACAGCTCGCCCCGGTGGTGAAGAGGGTCAGGGCAACAAGAAGTCCTATCTGAAGTCTCCGTATTGGTGGGTTGGCATTATACTGATGACTCTTGGAGAAACGGGTAACTTCCTGGCCTATGGATTTGCACCTGCGTCCATCGTGTCGCCTCTGGGTGTTGTTGCATTGATCTCTAACTGTATCATCGCACCTTGCTTGCTGAAAGAGAAGTTCCGATCGCGGGACTTCTGGGGCGTGCTGGTTGCTATTGCGGGTGCTGTTGTCGTGGTTCTCAGTGCGAAATCCTCGGAGGAGAAGATTGGGCCAGGTGAAATTTGGGACATGATCACGACTTGGGAATTCGAGCTCTACCTAGGATTGACTTGTGCATTGATAGTCGGTCTCATGTGGGCAAGCTATCAATATGGCCGACGATCGCTCCTCATTGATGTTGGGCTCGTGGCTCTGTTCGGTGAGTTCTTTTCAATTCTTTCGGTCACTGCTCTGATGATGCTAACGGGAATATAGGTGGCTACACTGCTTTATCAACCAAGGGCGTCTCATCGCTACTGACCTTCACATTTTGGCATGTGATTACGTACCCGGTCTTCTATCTGCTCGTCTTCATCCTCGTATCCAGTGCTCTCATGCAAATACGATACATTAACCGCGCGTTGCAGCGTTTCGACTCAACGCAGGTGATCCCTACACAGTTTGTCCTGTTCACTCTGTCGGTTATTATCGGCAGTGCTATCCTTTATCGCGATTTTGAATCTATGGATATCGCTCGTGCCGCAAAATTCATCGGAGGGTGTCTCCTGACATTCCTTGGCGTGTACTTCATTACAAGCGGTCGCGTGCGTGGAGATGACGAGTCAACCTTCTCAACTGACGAAGAAGATGCATTCGGGTTATTGGATGGCGAAAGATACCGCGACAGCGTGGACATGTCTCCGCCAGCCCCGGTATTGCGTACATCAAACGCTGTATTGGCCCCCGAGGCCTCCCAGGATATGCCCCAGTCTCCCTCGGGGTCCCTCGCAAGTCGCGGTATCGACGGTGTGAATGAAGACGAGCTCACACCGCGAGGAGCCCTGTCCCCAGTATCGTCTTCACCAACTGTCTCTTTGGTCGGGGATTCTGCACTTTCAGGCAGGTCTCTCGAGCACCCTTCGCCATTGCGACCTCCATCGCAGATGTCAAACCCTTGGGCAGACTCGCAAGACGAAATCTCACCTTCCAAGTCAGATCTTGAAATTTCCCGCCCTGCGATACCTCCGGCAGAGGATGAGTCGAGCGGTATGGAATCGACAGTTCTTTTGCAATTTCCTCCTGCACCCGGGATCGATGATAGTGCAGCTGGCATCCGTCGAGCCTCGACTCCCACTGCGAATGATGAGCCTCAGCTTTCGGATAGAGCACGTGCTAGCCTTGAAACCCCTAGGCGCTCAACGCGTCACACCCCTTTAAATCGGTACTCCCCTGGTCCTTTTCTCCCGACTCTTTCCGGAGGTATCAGTGCCGTTGTTGTCGAATCGCTTCGCCGCGGTGAACATAGCCCTTTGAAGGATCGAAGCAGACGCAAAGGCAGTCGCCGGAAGCAGCTGGATGGAGCCTTTGGCGATAACCCGGTCCGTTACCAAGATGGCGATCTAGAACCCGACGACGGACACCAAAGCTCCTTGACTGTTGCCAATGAGCGGCTTCAGTCTGCTACTGATAACAGCGTTGCAGCCGAGGAAGCTGGTCGGTCTACGCCTGCTCTTGCCACAGAGCTTTATACAACCCAGACGAAGAAATCCGATGAAGAGGGCACTCGTCTGCGCAGCTTCAGCGATTCGTGGAATGGCGGCCTCGCCTGGCTGGGCGGGGCATTGCGAAGAAACTCAGTTCCCCGCAATGCTCAGAACACCGTCACAGAAGACACAATCCAGAGAGGGCACTTAAACACGCAGGTTGATTCCGAATCTCACAACCATCAATAGCCAATCCTTTTTCTTCGTGGTCTTAGGCTCAGTGTATATTTCGAGTGCTGGGTCACTCAACTCATACATAACCACTTAGCGCATTTCTTTTCTCTTTTTCTTTTTCTTTTTCTTCTTTTTTTTGGCGCCTATTCATATTTCTGTCTTTGATAGTTCATCTTATTTCGGCAGGGCTGCTGGATCCTAATACATATCGCATTTTGCGGGGTATCTTCTACGTGTGGGATATGTTTGTTTATTCTCATTCAGGGTGAATGGGCCGGATATCTAGCGCGGTCCTTCTGCCTCGTCAAAGTCTTCTATTTATCCAATCTACTAGAGTGCACAATCTGCTTCGTATCTCGAAATCCGTTGCCACACGGCTAGGTATTTTCATTCGTAACTTTCTGCATTGCACGAATGAAAATTTTTTTACACGGGCTTGGAACCTCTAGGTCCGAGTCAGCACCGGCCGTTGTCGAATTCTCTACAGGACTTTGATCTGCGCGGCTGAAGATCAACTACGCCGTCAAATCCCGGATCTATTCTACTGTTATAGTTATCGATACGCATGGACGCTCTTAGTGTACTTTTCTAAGAATAAACATAGGCAGGGTGATGGGCTACACTTGAGCTTTCCCATTTGAATGCATAATGTCCCGGCAATGATCGAGCTACCCCTGGTAGGCTTGAAAATGGACTCGGAACCTATCGTGGCATTTGATTGGGAGGGAATAGTGCCGTTGCGGCTTAAAGAGGCGCTTGACATGAGAAAGGCATTCTGGGTGATAGATGTGCTGGTAGTGGTAAAATCGAGAAAGAGAAACGTTCAAGATATTCAAGAGTATTTCAAGACTTGCAGGAGATTCTGATGATATGATTGGCCTCGTGAAAGTTAATCCAGCCGCAAGATCGCTAGCCGGATGATATCAAAACGCGCTTATCGCTGGACCGTCCGCCGATAAGGGGCCTGGTGTCTGGTATAGTGGCAGAGATAGGCTCCAATTCTGGAGGGCGGCTTTGAAGTTGTACGGACTCTGCAAGGGCTAACGAACGTGAAGATACGCAAAGTGGTAAGAAAAAGATAATTTGGAGCCGGAAGATAATGCATTCCTACCAGCAGCATTTGATGCACATAGAATTTCACAGAGAGACAGCGTAATTGAACCCACAAGCTTAACATGAAAACTTTGCTGAGGGACGAAAAGACCAGCATATTATTTTGGTGTACTTCCCATTTTCATAATACTGTCGGTGCAGATTTCAGACGTGGTCCAAGTGCTGGCCCGCGGAATATTCGGAATAGAATTCAACTCATTCCAGCGACGACGAACACCAGATATCTGAGAAGTAGCCAGAAGGAATTTTATTTGATTATCTGAGTAATATTAAGAAGGAATCGCTATTTACTACATGAAAGGGAACCCTGGTGTGTTAAAACTAAATACGACGGAATCTCAAAAAGTCTAACTTGCGGTCCCTCCATCCAGGTCTCCTGATTCCGGGCCCCCTTCTTCCCTCTTGAACGCACCACCTCACGAAATTCAGCCTTGTTGAGTGGAACTCTTAAACCTTCACGAAGTGTTAGCGCGCTTTCCTGCGGAGCTTTGCGATGGCGCAGGCTTCAGGCCACGAAGGTTCTAGTTACGTAATTCTTTGACCCTAACTAACTAGTTACTGCCCAGGTGCCCAAGTGGCCAGGTGCCCCGATGGAGCATGCTGACTATGACAGACTGATTCTCACTCATATTGGGTTTAGACGACGCGTCCTATACCAGATTGCTGGGCTGATGGATTGCTTGAACGCCTTGCCAACCCGGGTATTCACATCACCGCGTCTGTCAAAACAGGGCATGAAGTTCCGTGGATACAAAACTAATGCAAGGGCAGTACGAAAGAGCCAGACCGCTGGAGTAAACCCCGGGGCCTTTGATTGACGTATTAGTCACCCAGCACCACGAATTGGAAGATCCTACGCATCTCGGAGACAGGATCCCCAGCTGCAGGTCTCAGCATTATGGAAGCAAATTACTCAATTTCATCAGCCTTGGAATGAGCGGCCCACTTGCGTGCATAAAGAATCGAACTTGCCAGAATGAAGGGTTCCAGACGCCTCTGGAGTCCGCATAAGGCGAGATACGGGCCAAGCAATTGGCCGTTTTAGCCTCAAAACATGGCCCGCTTTGCAGCGAATCTATCACGGCAGCCACGCCTTGCACCATCCAGGGGAGCAGTTGGTCTGCGTGCATTATACGTCACACCGATTCGCCACTGCTTATGCATTAGGCACGTTTGGGCGTTGCCGGGCCATGAAGCTGGGCCATTTCTTTAGGAAATTTTCACAGCAACAAAATGTGGCTTCGGAGGAATTATTTACTGGCTGGGATATTTGAGGTAGAGACGGACGCTGAAGATGCCGTTTATGACCAAGACCAAGGAAAGTTATCCATTTCATCCATGGTCCCGCTTTGGGGTATCTTTCACATCTCACAGGCGAACCATGGGAACCTTGGGAACATGAAACTCGTGGCCGACCGAATTGCATGTCCTGGACCACGGTTGATCATCACCCAAAACAATGATAATTGGATGTGTGCTGGGAACTTTAATCTTGTGGATCCAAAGTGCCTTGGACCTGAATGGTTGGTCTGAGTACGCCCGGCTTCCGATAACTTGGCTATTCCGCTGAACTTGGAAGGCCGTTATTTCCAACTGGAAAACTCGGATGCTGAGACATCGTAAGTTGGGGAAAATCCAGTGCGGTGAATTTTTCTCGTTGAACATATCGCGGATCCAGTGGAGCCTTGGGGTTCTTCAGCGCTAACTTAGTGTAGATGGGCGTGGCCGATTCGGCTGGCCGAGGGATGGTTGATACTCCACTTCTACATATGCACCGGGTTTCGATGCAAGAGGCGGCTAAGTCAAAACAAGGCAATGAACGTGGTGATCCCTCGGCCTGTCGGCTTGTGGGCCTAGCGCTTGTTTTGCTTCTGTACAGGGCGAAATCAATATTCGATCCCATAGGCTGGATTAATCCACGTGGAATACCCGTGACTGAAATTTGGGTATTCTGTCAGCGGCCTCACCCAAACCTTGGAAACTGTGGAAGACAGTTGGGGTCGTGCTAGGCACCAGGGATCTTTTTGGTAAGTCATATATTGTTGAAAGCATGTTCGAGGCATAGCGTTGGTCCTTCAAGAGACCTTGCGGTGTGAAAATCCTTCTGGCGATCTGATCTCGAGTCGACGGAGAGGCCCGTACTAGTAGCGCATCTGCCGCACATAGATTCGCAGGGTTCCGCCTTATGCCGTTGAAATGACGATGAGTCCATCTACTTCATAACTTTCCCGTGGGGCTCTTTCTACCATGCAGCGCCACGGCGTACGCTAAAAAGAGAAGATACCCGACTATGCCGCCGCTAACCCTACTTCAGCTCCACGGACTCTAGATACTCGGATCATTTCGCATCTACAAGAACAGTTCTCAATTTCTATTTTTATTTTATTTTTTATTTTTATTTTTTTTGGAAAGAAAAAAAAGAGAAGAGTCTTGTACCTGTATTCAGCGTATTGTGTATGCGCTACCAAATTTATCTCTAGTACTCCGTAGTCTTCCAATCATTGAGAGGACCCTCCGCAGAGTGTCCTTGGACGAGCAAGTGAACTTCTTCATTCGTCCAAGGGCGAGTATAGGACAAATAAGAAAAATCATACTAGTTCAGCCCCGTCCGGATCAAGTCAGAGTCTAGATGTAGAAAATCTCGATCGATTATGGCCCACTATACCAGGCTGAACCTCTCGGCCTAGTCTAAACCATGCAAGTGCCAGAATATCGCATTGGGCTACTCTCAATAATGCAGCGCATGCTACCTATTTATTTCTGCGGTGCAAAACCGCGCCATCCGTTCCTTTGTTTATTTATTAGCTCGATTCCCGAGTTGCGAGGTGCCCTCCGAGGGCAATTATAGGTACACCATGGTGGAGGACGTACAGATCCCGAAGCCTTTGCTGGCAGCAAAGTTCAGCTCCCCAGTGGAAATGGCGACATGGGAGAAATCTCTTCCCAAAAATGAACGTGTGCCATATGAGTTTATTACCCCCCAGAGACAAAAAGAAGATGGGGGTCTCAGTCGCTGTGCGAGTCTTCAGTATACCCAGCTCCAAAGGCCTGCAACTGCTCGACGACCGCGCACTAACCCTCCGGAGCTCACTCGTACGTCAAGGAATAAGCACAAATAATGTCTCCATACTCATTTTTTTTTATTAGAATGGGAGCGTCTCACCAAAGCTCAAAGCTGGACCCCGACCAATTCTGAAAAAGAGAAGGAAGCCCTCGCATGGGCGGAAAAAGCACCGATCACACCAATCACTCCTCTGGCAGAAACAACCATGACCAGTCCTGTCCCCTTGAGTAGCCCAACGTTGAACGAAACTCAGCATGCGATGCACGACGTTTACGAAAAAGCAAAACTCCGAGGCGCTGCGCTTCAGCGAAAGAAATGGGTTCGCGTCTCGTTCGAAATCAGCGCCTATACGCTTTTAATCCTGATTATTTACTTCGTTCTGGTCGGTATACCTCTATGGAAGGGGGCCGTTTGGTGGTTATATTGGGTCGTCAGCCACGAGTTCGTGATCCAAGGTGGCTGGGCGATCCTCATTGGCTTAGCCTTCTTGTATGAGCACCCTGGTCTACCCGCGAAGAAATCAATGTGCGATGTGCTAACTTCTCTCTACAGATATGCATTCTGCCCTCTTCTGATTCTCTTCGAAAAAGATCCCCCGCCCGCAGATACAATTGGCAATGACATTGACGTCGAGCAGAATCTCTCCAAAGCGAAAACTACAGCCTTGATTATCCCATGTTATAAGTCGGCCCAGATCATCGGTCCGACCTTGGAAGCCGCTTTGAAGATCTTCCCAGCAGAGAACATCTTTGTCATCGCCAATGGCAACTCAGAAACACCTTTGGATAACACCGAAGAGGTCTGTCGTCCGTTCGGAGTCAACCATTTGTGGGTGCCGATCGGTTCTAAGATCGTCGCCCAGTTTGCGGGGTCATATGCTGCCGATGGCTTCGAGAATGTGCTGCTGATTGACGATGACTGCGCATTGCCTGCCAACTTCCCTATTGTCAGCGACCGCCTGAAGGGCAAAGTCAAGTGCATTGGATACACCATCAAGAGTGTTGGTCCGAATTCTACCCCTGGCACTTGGTGTCAGCAAGCGCAAGATATGGAGTATAAAATGTCCGGGATTCAAAGAACATTCTTTGGAATGCTCGGGAGTGCTACCTTCCCCCACGGTGCCATCTCTCTATGGAAAACGGAGTTTCTCAAGGCTACCTTTAATGAGCATCCTGGGTACTCTGTCTCAGAAGACTGGTTCTTCGGAGATGCGTGTCGGCGTCTCGGCGGACGCATTACCATGTGCTCTTCTGTTTTTGTGGAAACCAAGACCCCATCATCGGTGTTCTTCAGCGGGAGCGGCCGTCGAGGTGGCTTTGGCGAAATGACTGTTTTCAAGCAAAGATTCAAGCGATGGAACTTTTTCTTCGTGATTGGTATGTATTATGATATGAAATACATTTTATCAAGCTGGAAGCTCCACGGGTGGGAGTTTGGTGCTAAGCTGGCTGTGTGGCAAGAGGTACGTCGCCAAGTGATTCCTTGGATATGGGCCGGACCACATGCTAACTTTAAATTCAAGGTTTATGAAACTCTAATTTACCTCCTCGCGCCATTCATGCTTCCTATCTCCTTCATTGTTAGACCAGGGTTCAGCGGCATTCTCCTCGGCGCGACCATTGGAATGTACGTCATCAACGTATTCATATTCAACGAGATCCATCTCCGACGAAAAAAAGAGCGCGTCAGCTGGGTGGTCCTCTTGTTCTACTACACCGGCTATAAATTCGCTTTAACGGCTATCAACGTCTTCAGCTGCTACTGGTCGCTCTATAAATACGGCCGATATTTCTCCAAGCGGCACCTGAAGGTTGTTGAAGACCGACAGGCCATCGAGGTGGTCATGAGTCTTGAGAAAGAAACTGGATCCGCCTCGACTAGCGAAGTTCAGCTCGCTATTCCGGAGAACATCACCATACCCGAGGAAGCACCACTATCAGTGGAGCCACCACTGCCTGGCCCTTCGGTGACCCGGAAGAAGTCATATAAGAAGGTGACCCTCACAAAAGTCGAGGGCCCAAGTCTCCTCAGTGCTGACTCGCCGGAATCTGATAATGAAAGCCTGTACATACCGAGCAGGCCGGCGAGTTTTCATTCACAGTCATCTGCCCTGTCTATCAGTTCATGGCTCTAATGAGATTTATTGTGCATAGTGATTAACGAATATAGACATTGTATTTCTGAATTTGACGACATCACGCCACCTCTTATTGAATAGTCTTCCTCCCGATATTAATCGAAATCCCAGGAATTCGCCCTCACGTATGATACACAGTTTCCGAGCCACCCAACGCAGACAGCTGGACTTGCACACCTTGCCTCCTTCCAGATTTCTACATTTCTTTTTTCTTTTAGCTTATGCAGTATTTGCTGTAAGCATTACCAGCGCTTGACAGAAAATATCTCACTGAATCGATTAAACAAAGATTATCAATCATTGAAACTATATCAGTCGTGTCCGAGGACACGGAAGCCGAGCATCTCATAACGATTCATTCTCTCCAACTGGAATTGCAAATCTTGAAAGGCTGGGCACGGCGCCTCGAGGACAGCGGCCCTCCTGAGTAAACGGTTAAATGTCTCATTCTTTCGTCTTGTTTTCATGCCAAATCCACCGAGTGGTCGATGACATTGCAGCCCTAGAAGCAGACTTCAGGCCGCGAGGATGTCTATGTCGGTTATTGTTGGGTGAAGGAGAGACTGGTCGATCATCTTTCCCGGCTGTACTATGGCCACGCGGATGGTATTGGGTTGCCCCATTTTGACGGGTTCAAGCATGCTGGAGATTGAAATCTGTTGTGGGATGAACTTTGAGTCTTTCTGATGTATCAGGCAGAGGAGACGGGATATGACTTGCTTTTTACACCACCCGCGCAAAGGTCTCTGTGCATTCGGCCCCATTTCCATCACCCTAACAACCACCCGCATTGTTATTTTTTCTCCTCCACCTCCCCCATGGCATCGATCGCTATCAACCCGGAATGATATTTTAGCAAGATAACACAAAGAATTATATACCGAAAAATACACAGGTTTAGTTTAAAGAGCACGGGACGTACGTTGAAAATTGGCCTGTATACTCGCCTGATCTTAGCCTATTAACCCGGCCTGGAATATACTAAAGTGTTAAATTTTTTTTTATATTTGAAGACTCATGTAGATGGGAAGATCTGAAGAGGATCGGGCCTGTTTAAAGAGTATATTAACGGTGTATGGGATGCGTTAGACCAGACGAAGATTGATATATTAATATCGAGTGTGGGAAGAAGGATGGATAAATTATATGCAAACCAGGGCTATTATACGAAATATTAAGCAAAGGAACTCTGTATATAAACTTGATTATTCAGTATATCGAATTTTAGTATGATCCAGTAAGGGTGGGTGATGTAGGATATGTAACCGTGAATCTAAAGAAGTATTTGATGGAGTAGATAAAAGAGGTATGCACACGGACTTTTTGCCCCCTATTGTATATAGCAGCTTGAATCGGCAAGGTGTAGAACAACTACAGCTACCGGATAGATAGACGGATGGACGGCTATTGACATGGCTGCTACAACCGGAAAGTCTCTAATATTCTGTTTTCCATATTGGTATGGCTGGTGCATGACGGACATATAGCTAAATAGCAACACAGTTGCCAAATTTGCGATGTTTAAAGCTCGGACGGATAGCTTAAGGGAGGGGCATTTGAGACCCCGTGATCTCTCTCGAACCTTTCCCAACTTCCTCACCCCCGAAGCGTCCCTCAACTCACTGAACAGCAGCAAACCTCTTGCGACCTACTTAGCCTGCGCGTCGATGAATCTTCCATCATGGAGGCCGCTCCACTGACGTTGGTCAGTCCCATGCCCCCCTCCCGCTTGGGCCGGAGATAACCTGAGCTAACCTGACCCAAGGCCCACACCCATGCTAGAAATGCGGTTCTTGAGACCCGCAAGTCCAACCCGGTGGCCGCCAGTGAGGAACATGACTTGGCTGCGGGTGAGTTCGCCGCAGCAAGTCAGAAATGCACCGATCACGAGGTACTTTCCTATTCGAAACCCCAAGCTTGGGTATAAATGGAAGCTAAACGGGAGATGCATACTAGGCCCTTCGGACCCTACAGCTGCTTGAAAGCCACCACAAAAAACTCGCCGAGATCTTGAGATTTCAACATGAACACCCAGAGGCATCTACTGCCGCCCTAAGCCCGACTTCAGCTTCCGCCTTTGATACCCCAACCGCGAGGGGGAGCGCCGCCGTCCAGGAGGCACATGGGCAGCCACCACGGCTTCCAGGGCACCCTCGGATCCCAAGTCGAGAATCCTCTTCGATCGCGAGCAACCTAGCAACAGCTCGAGGGATCCCCGCTCAACCTCGCCGCGGATCGCCTGTCTCACCCGCACTCTCTGTACAGCAAGCCGGGGCAAAGATGTCGGACAACAAGACTAGGACTGGAGAGTCAAAACTTAGGGAGGTCCCGAGAAGTAACCGCACCAGGGCTCGTCAGCCTTGGACACCTCCATTGCCGAGTCCAAGCGAAGTTACATCTCAGGAAGTAGCACCTCCCCAGATGACCACCAACGCCAGAGCATCCGTCGCGGATGAGCCGTTCCAGCGGTTCTATTCGACCTTTGAAGGACTTGTGTCTAAAATTACCGCTCCGCTGGCCTTTGCAGGTCTTCCGCTTGGAACAGACGATGGCGCAAAATCTGGACCTGCAGCCGCCAAGTCTGCGGCCGAGACTAAGGTCGATCGCAACCATGCGACTTCAGACCGGACTAGTGCCGAGCCAGACGTGAACAAAATATTCTCCAAGGCAGCTTTAAGATCTCTCCGCGACTCTCAAGGTGCTGGACCTGCCAACCCGGCAGAGTCTTTCTGCATTGTGTCCACAACGGGCGGGACCATGTCTTACGCTGAGATCTTGAAGAGAGCAGAGAAGGAAGCTCGAAGGGGTAGTTTCGATGAAGATGACGATTTTGTAGACGCCCGAGAAACGCCCTCCCAGTCACCTGAAATACGCCAGAGCGCAAGCAACATCAGAGCTCGGGCATGGCGCGGCACTGGCGACAAGCAAATGAGCCTGCGACTAGAAGAGCTCGAAACCGAGAATAAAATGTTGAAGCAAGCATCGGATACACTTTCTAAGCGTCTTCATATGTGGGAAGTGAATGCCCAATCGTCTTCTATGGCTCTACACCAATCCATACGCGTCATTCAACACCAACGCCCGGGATCCCCTGAACAAAACTTCCGTGGTCTCTCGGTTAATAATACATCGCCTGTCACAACGATGAATCCACCTCCATCCCACCCACCAGAGGTAGATCTGAGGATCAAGGAGCTTGAAGAGCAGGTTCGACTTAGCAAAGAGAAATTGAACCTTGCTGGCGCTGAGAATGAGAAATTGAAGAAGACTCTTGGCAGATATCAAGACCGATGGCACCAGTTGAAAGAGGGCGCTAAGACCCGTCGAGCTGAAGGTCGATTCAGCGATGGGCAAAGTGGTGCAAGCTCCAAGACTCCGGAGCTTCCCACGACTCCCCAACCTGACACGGATTCTTCTGACAAATCCACGCACCGTGCAGGGAAAGTCCCAGAGAATTAAGAAATGAGTATTAGCCTCACAAATATTTTTGTTATAAACATTCTCACTCTCGTTGACTGATGTGACAAATAAGTAAACACGGCTTTATGATCAAGGGTAGAAAGGCATCAAACGTATCTTGAGGGTTCTATAATGCCGGCTCCATAGCAGCAGCCTTGGTAGGAACCATTTCGCCAACCTGGGAAGCTGACGTAGCAGGGTTCAGCAAAGAGGCACCGGAGACAGAAGCCGACGAAGTCATGGTAATTGAAGAGCTCGTAGCAGTTAGAGGACTCCCTGAAAGGCCATTCCCATAGCCGCTACTGTTACCTCTGTTCGACCCATTCTTGTCCCTGATATTGAACGCGCCCGAGAACGGGAAGACATTGATACCCTTCACGTACACCATCATGTACGCGGCCTTGATATAGAAATTGTTAGTGTTTGGCATATCGTCGCTAAGATCCCATTTATACTTGTCATCGTTGACTGCCACCTTGCCATGATAAGTTACCTCTGCGATTCCACCAATGGTCTTCATGGGAGTGATGTTTTTGACCACCTGGTTGGAGGTAAATGTCCCCCAAACACTCAACTCGATAATTGCGGCAAGAGACTGTGTTTCAACGTATACGAGCATTCTATGGTGTCTTGCATACATTCTTAGGGATCAAGCTATGGTTGTATAGATGTCGGCAATGCTGCGTCACGTGGTGCATCTGGGGTACGGATGCGGTATACGCATTTGCTCATAGTACTTTGTCCGCTCTAACGCAATAACACGACTTTTGATTTGAACCTTCTGAGTGCTCAAAGATCGAAACTCTCCAGGGGCCAATCACTTCCTCGTTCGAGGCTCCAAGCCAAGAACATTGACGCTGCGTGGAACGCGGTCCAGATCTCCGGGCCACCTGACTAAGTAGCCCCCGTCCAAGCTGTCCAACCCCCCCCTCGATCCTTTGGACACTTGTGATTTGGCGACTTGAGCAGGAACCCATTTGCTCCATTGCCTCATGGAGATATCCAATCTGATCAAGCTTATGCTGTGATTGTTTACCTCTTTCATTGCTCATTTGTTCTACGGTAAACCCCCCTCGTGTGCCATGGCGGACTCTGAGTCCTCCAGCCTCAAGGGCGGAAGGTCACGACGCGCGTGGACTCTGTCTGCAGAGTCCGAATCAATGGAGGCATCTAGTCGGAGCAATGGCAGATCTTCAAATGACTCCGAACGCCCCAGGACCCAGGCCGGGGAGGCTCCTGAAACCGCAAAGGCTAGCCCGAGCGGTTTCTCCAAGCTCCTCAAGTCGCGTGGTCGACGACGGAAAAAGGATCAGAGCCAAGAAGACATTCCACCTGTCCCTGACCTTGTCATAGATCAGGATCTGGAGCAGTTTCCTTCGCATGAGTCCGGGGCCGGGTCAGCTATACCTTCATCGAACAACAGCTCCGCTCCGCCTGAGGCTGAGACCACCAACTTGCTGACCGACGACTCGGAACCGGAGAAGTGCGTCCAAAGAAATAACAGGCCCCATATAGACTATAGGCTAACCCTTGGCCCTCTACAGAACACCACCTTTAATCTCCCGTGACTCCCATACCGGTTTCTACACATCCTCTTCCCCGCTTATCAAGACCACATCGGTGGACTCGCACGGTCGTGAAAAAGACAATGCCGAAGATGGATCAGCAGTTAGCGCTAGCAGCGTAACCGCGTCGTCAGAGTCAAATGGCGAACCTCCCAAACTGCAATCGCAACCTAGCCTGAACTTGGATGTTCCAGTAGAGACCAGTGGAAAGCGTCGAGGTGTTTCTCCCGGGCGGCGACGACTGAAGGATGCATTCAGCTCATCTGAAAAGAAAGGCGCGGGTGACGATGCTGATGCAGCATCGTCCAAGTCGGGGGGCAGCAGGAGAGCAAGTATATTCAGCAGCCGTCGAAGCAGCTTGTCCGCCAAACGAGCCCAGGCGGCCCCAGAAGCACCCCCGCCATTACCCGCACCGATACAAACAGATATACCAAAAGACGAGCCGAAACCGCGAACTTTGGAGGAAAGCCCCATCCCGAATACGCCCCCCTCGACGGCCATTCCAGTTACAGCCCCAGCCACTACAGTGACTCCTCCAACCCCTACGGAACACAAGCCATTCCAAGCTGGGATAGTGGGTGGAAACATCACGGACTCGCCAGAGAGCATCAAGCCGCGAAGCTCCATGTCTTCGACGGGAATTACAACTGTCAGCCCCTCAGGTAACATGATCTCACATCGGAGGGTGCGATCAGCTTCTGCAGCGCACGGACCGAGCAAGTTATCATCTTCAATATCATCTCTTGGCCCAGTACACGAATTGGCAAAGCCGCCGAAAAGTGCCTCAAGCCAGCAGACAGGCTTCTTTTCGTCCATGTTTTCCGCCGCGCAGAATGCTGCTTCTTCCATAACCAGCAGTCTCAATGTACAGCAAAGAAACCGAACCGATGCGCAACCGTCGCCCAGTGATCTCGATCCACCTACTTTGGAAGGCGACTCGGAAGACTCAGTGCATCCCTCAAACACATCGGGTGAAGCTAGTAAGCCTTCTACCGTTGAGACGATGGGCTCTGGCGATCTCAACTTCAGTCATCTGGATCTCGATGTCCCATCGGGCGAAGTACTGTCCAGCAACGATAGGGCTGTCGTTACCGATCCAGAGACTCCTGACAGGCGCCGGAATAATGCAGTACGTCGACGAGACGAAGAGGCTGCAAAGCTAGAGGATGTACACGCGGTACGGGCAGTTAATATGGCCTATGAGAAAGCATCCGAGAAGGGTGCGCTTGGTTCACCGGGCGACGAAGTTTTTGAAAATCAATCCTTTGCATCGCTCCCAAGAGACGGTGTCTTGACGGGTGACCATACTCCTCCCACCGGCAGTGTCATTGACAGTGACGTGGGTAGCGGTACTAGGCGCACTGGAAGTGTGCGGAGTCGACTTTCTCGCCGACACCGGGGCATATCAGGCGCAACAACTTCGACCATCGGTGCCATTGGTGCAAACGCCCTCGCTGTTGGTGGTCCCACAGGGATCAATTCTAGTGTACCGCGGCTTACTGGGTTCGCTGTTGCAAGCAAAAAGCGCAATCGCGATTTCCATTCACTTTTCCGAAGCGTTCCTGAGGACGACTACCTCATTGAGGATTATAGTAGTGCCCTCCAACGTGAAATCATCCTTGCTGGTCGCCTCTACATCTCTGAAGGTCACATCTGTTTCTCCAGCAATATTCTTGGATGGGTTACTACTCTGGTTATTAGCTTTGATGAGGTGGTTGCCATTGAAAAGGAAAACACCGCCATGGTTTTCCCAAATGCCATCGGAATCCAAACGCTGCACGCCCGCCACACATTCAGAAGTTTGCTTAGCCGTGAATCTACGTATGACCTGATGGTCAACATCTGGAAGATCAATCACCCCTCTCTCAAGAGCTCCGTCAATGGAACGAGAGTGACGAGCGGCACTGGGGATAAGACTGAGAAGGTCGGTGACGGCGAGGAAGAATCTGCCACCGATGTCTCTGATGAAGATGAGATCTACGATGAAGATGAAGAGGGAGACAATGCCGATAGCTTCTTCGATGCCGGCGCTAGTGCCAACGCTAGCGATCGATCCTTGCCGGGAAGGGCTGGCTTAACTCGGCAACCATCGGGCCTATCCGGGACAGGCACTGTAGCAGCTGGGCAAGCCTCCGGTAATGACGCTAAGAATGGCAATAAGAAGGGCGCAGGTGAAGAGGATTTCCCGGGTCCATCTACCCACGCACCGTCCGAGTACACAGACCCTGATGGGCAATACGAAAAGGTCATAAAAGACGAAGTCATTCCTGCACCCCTTGGAAAGGTCTATTCTTTCGTTTTCGGCCCGGCCTCCGGCGAGTTCATGACCAAATTCTTGGTGGACAACCAAAAATCGGGAGAATTGCAGTTCGAGGGGACGACTAAGGGACTTACCACAGAGAGCCCAACTCGCAAATACTCCTACATCAAGCCTCTGCCAGGCTCAATTGGCCCAAGGCAGACCAAATGTATCAGCACAGAAAACTTGGATTTCTTGGACTTGGAGAAAGCGGTTCTCGTGACCCTTACTACTCAAACCCCCGATGTGCCGAGTGGAAACGTATTCTGTGTCAAAACAAAGTATCTTTTCACATGGGCTACCAACAACCAAACTCGCTTCTTGATGACCTGTTCGATCGAATGGAGTGGCAAGAGTTGGTTGAAAGGCCCCATTGAAAAAGGTGCTATTGATGGTCAAGGAACTTTCGGTACTGACCTCGTCAAAGCCTTGAAGGCAGGCGTCACCCCGCGTGAACGTGCCACTGGTGGTGGAGGCGGTCGCAGCAAGGGGCGTCGCAAGAAGGGCGATGCGGAGATTCGTGAGCCCTCAAACGATGCGGCTAACAAGGGAGCTGCAGAGGCTAGCACAGCCAATGCTGAGTCCTGGGGTCTGTTCGAGCCCGTCCGGCCTATTTTGGAACCTGTCACGAGCATGGTCAAACCCTTTTGGAGCAATAACATCGCCGTCTTGATTGTTGGCTTGCTCCTATACTTGACTTTCTTCCGGTCGCCATCCACTCCAACCATGCTACCGTCCGACGTCGGCTGTTCCAGCTTAAGTCTCCCTCAACGCCTAGCTGCCTACGAGGAAATGTGGAGACTTGAGGAGAACGAACTCTGGAACTGGCTGGAAGAACGAACCGGTATGGATGGCATGGTCTTCCCTTCCCTCCACCAAAGGACAGCACAACAGCATCGTCAATCTTCGCGGGTCAACGCTGCTGACCAACGCGATTTCGTTGCGAGACTCCGCGAGGAAAAGGTGTCCGATCGTGAAATGAGTCACGCTATTCGGACCACCCGACAGCGACTTGATATCCTCGAAGAGATGATGAACGGTCGCCGAGTGGATGATGCTCCCGACGAGCCTGCTCGTTCTGAGCTTTGATTAATACCACTGTCTCCGACGACAGTTCACATCCAAACCATTTTCCAAGACACCCCTATCACCTTTTTCCTCCATGAGATTCTCGTTCCTCTATGGGCATTCACCTGGCCCTACTTTTTTCATCGAACTTTCTTCTCTCTACTAGACTTTCTTCTCTTTATTGGTCCTTTTTTGTGTTCACTTGCAGGTTCAGCATTAGCAAGGCGTCTATCTCTCGACTGACGGACGTGTCAGCGCAATCCTTCACTCTCATTTCCTCATACCACTGGCATTACGCCATGTTTGGTACTTCACTCCTTCCTTCTGTTCTGCATGGAACAACTTTTGATTTGTACATGAACGCCAACTATTTTGCCTATACCGGATCAGCGGGCCTATTCCTTTCCTTTCTCTGTTGTGTTGTCTGAGCGTGCTTTTTTTTTTTTTGGGTTGGTGGTTGAGATTGCCTTCCCTTAAGCGTCAGCTTCTTTCTTTTTTTTTTGTTTGTCTAGCCTGGCGTTGGACTTGCCAAAGCGCGTGTACATAGCAGCCCACTTTTCAAATAAGAACTTCCTTCAAAAAATGGCGTATCGCCCTAAGCTACGTTGAATAACAAGCGGCGCACGTAAGCTTTCGGGAGCATTGAAATCCAAATTGGTATTAAGCGGATCAATATGTATAAAGTAAGTATGTGCATTGTGCATCTTCCGAGAATCACAAACCGCTTGGGATCGAAAATCAGAAAATAAAGCCTAGTATAGCTGCCTTCATTCCTGCAGCTCTTGGCTCCTCGAGCGGACCATCTGTCGATTGCCCGTCATCGACGTCTGCCATGGCTTGATACGCGAAGACCAAAGCTCGTCGATCTGCTCCAACGTAAGACAGCCAGTTTCAGGCACAAGGAAGAAAATCAAGACCGCGATAACAACAGTCACCCCCGCATAGAAGTAGCCAACATTAGGCCCCATATTCCCATGATCCGCGTCCAGCATATAAGGCGTCCAAAAGGTGGCGCCAAAAGAAAAAATGCCATAAAATATAGTCGTATTAGCCTGTCCATAGGTACGGAGAGATACGCTGTGCATTTCAACAGATGCCAGGCCGGCAGTGGGTGCAATAGTGCCCCCAAAGATGAACGCCCAGATGCCCAAGAGGACGACGATGACAATCTTCGACGTTTCATCCTGGCCTAAGGCGGTGCTCACAGACGAGAGGATAAGCATGCAGACTGCCATCGCGGTATACCCTCCTAGAATAGAGAGTCGACGCCCGCCATATTCCACAATCCAAGGCCCAAGGCATGAGCCCCCCCAGAATGCAGACGCCAATGATCACATTCACCAGGTACGGGTCACTCAACCCGACTCCTCGGAGGAAGGTCGTTGCGTAGGGCTGCACGAACTGAATCCCGGTGATGGAAAGCCCGACCATGATCAACGCCGATGCCAATGTGCGGCGTAGTTGGCTTTTGTGGTAGATCTGATACCACGAGGTCGAGCGCAGCGTTGCTTGCTCGGTTTTGATATGGGCCTTCACATTCTCAATCTGGGCCGTGATGGCCGGCGAGTAGGGATCCATGTGATACAGGGCCGCGAACGCCTTCCGAGCTTCTCCTTCTTTATTAGGATTATTGCCCAAGATCCAACGCGGAGACTCGGGGAACATGAGGATGCCGGTTCCAAGTATGAAGCCCAAGGGGATCTGACACAAGATTGGTGTTTTCCACTGCCAGTTATTCCCCGGTTCAAGTCGTGCTGAGCCTGCACAAACCGCGGACGAAGCAACGTTTCCCAATGCCAGCCCTAAATTATAGACACCCAGCGAGAATCCTCGCTTCTGCGCCACGATGCACTCAGCTCCATATGTAACAGCTGATGCGACCAGGAGCCCGATTCCGGCAGCGCTTATACACCGACAGACCATGTAGTGCACGAAGCTGCCAGCTCCACGGCCACCTGTGCCCAGCATCCCGGCTGCTCCGATGATAGCGAGAACACATCCTATTTGTATAGAGCCGCGACGGCCGAAGAATCGGCCTGTCACACCGGAGAGGCCCCCTCCTATGCCAATGAAGAGGTAGTTCAAGCTGATCATGGACTGCTGGAGAGCAGTGAGAAAGCACTGCTCGACTACCAGACCTGTTTTAGGTTCCATGAGGTTGCTGCAAGAGCCGAATGCCTTTTTATAGGACGGCATGATAATAACCGTGCCGGTGTATCCGTTATCGAAGTTCGCTATCCAAGCTGCGAAGGCGATCCATATTGACAGGCGCAGCATGGCCGCTGTTGAACCTGGCGTCTTGTGCAGGTCTGTAAGGCTTACGTTGGGGATTGTCGGGTTTTTCGGACAGCGCTTCAGGGAGACAGTGTCATCCGCCTCGAAGCTCTCGTCGAACGACCGCATTTTGAACGTGCTGGCTATGGAGGTATTGAGGATGAAAACTTCACAAAGCCAGGTTTATATCGCCTCCAAGCATCATACCCTTATCTTGTGATGATATAGGCCATTCCGAGCCGCGCAACCTGCCCGCATTCCACCGAATTTCTTCCAGTCGTACTGGGTCATTGGGAATGCTAGGTCTCTTCATGGGCCAATGGCGTTGGAATGCATGATCCTGTGTGTGATGTGGTTCCCTGATCCAAGAAAGCTTGCCAGGAACCCCGGTGGCCTATTGGTGGAAATTACGCTCACGAAACCAGGCCTGTGGGTTTTAAGGTAAGCTAAGCTATTCGAAATTGTTTCATAGTCATCGATGCCAGATGACTCGAAGCATCTGATGCCAATTTGCGTGTAGACCCTTGCCAGCTAAAGCCTTAATGATGATGAAGACATATGAGTAGCATTTTTAGGGTTTTCTACCACCACACTGGCGATGCTTAAGCTTCCGGCATAAACCACAGTGGATTCGGCTGCCAGAAGGCAATTTTAAGCCTGAGGTCCACTAATTTAACCACGACATCAGCTGCTCTCGAGAAATGAGTCTCTGCAAACAGCACAAAAAGATGAGGATAAATGCAATAATAACATACATTAATCTACCGATGCGTAATGTTAGGAAGTGCCTGCGTTGAGGTAGTTCAGCTGTCATACATATAGGGTTGATCACGTGCAACGAGCTCCGTGTTATCGCCGTGACTCCGCATTACCGTCGACGGACATCCCACAATGGAGTTGCGAACAATCGCCATCTTGGCCGTGCTGTTCATCGGTAGGCGTGCCCCTGGCCATGTTCCTCTGGCCGTGAGCTGGATTGAATGAGCAGAGCAACTCACATGAACAGCTTACCGCATCTACCAATTCCGCAAAGAAGCCTCTACGCCCATGATGTCGCACGGAAAGGTGATCAATGTTGACAAGTAAGGAAAACCTTGGACACTACCCAATGGCGGTGTACTGCTTTGTTTTATCTATGCGAAATACTAATCCTCGCGCGTCTGGAAAACAGCGATGTCATTTTCAAGGCTCTCGTCTCCAGTGGCCCTGCCGTGATCGATTTCTATGCCACATGGTGCGGCCCCTGCAAGGCTGTTGCGCCTAAGGTCGGCGAGCTCAGCGAGAAATACCAGAATGTGCGCTTCATCCAGGTCGACGTGGATAAGATGCGGGGTGTCGCGCAGCAGTTCGGCGTGACTGCCATGCCTACCTTTGTGTTCTTGAAGGATGGGCAAGAGGTGGCCGACAAGCGGGTCCGTGGTGCTGACGTCCGAGCTCTGGAGGTTGGAATCCAAGCCATCTCCAACTAAATATCCCATGCAAGGATAACAAAATGTGGCGCTGTTAGTCCAGCAAAGTTCTTGAATGAAAGCATTCCATATTTCACACTGGATGTACCCGGCTGAGTAAACTGACACCCACCACCGTGGACATGACCTTGTTTAGCCCGATGCGTTGTTTGAGGACCGGAGGTCACTAAATACTTTTTGCTGTCATGTTACTATAAAGGAAATGATTGGAATGACTACCAATAACCTGCGCGGCACAGAGGGGGTAAGTTTAGCAAGCGCTATGCGCCAGGATACCGTATTCATCGACGAGAACGGTGGGTATTGTCAGCCTGGCCCCAATGACATCGACAAAATGATTACGTGCTTCGATGCATAGGACATTAGTTACACGGTCCATATGTGGGACTGGCAGGTGAACAGCAGTCATCCAAATTGAGCGTTACTCATGTAACCAGCACGAGGCGTAGAGAACGAAAGGTATGTATTAGGTGGAGACGCTCTATCTCGATCTAAACCAAGACACTTTGACCACAGAACAGACAAAAGAAATAACAGATGAAGGTATAGCACCAGACTCCTCCAACTATCAGCCCCCCTTTTGAATCGCCAGAACGACCCGCTTACAGGATGGAGCCAAGGGCAACGCAAGGAAGACCAGCGCCAACAAGGTCGTTGCTCTGGGAAGAAGGTTAACATAGCTCAGCCATGACCATGTTGGGGAACAACTTACGGCAGTGGAAGGAGAGTTCGCACAGCAGGCGATGTTCTGCTTGCACCTCTGGTTGATGAGGTCCTGAACAGGGACAGCGATGAGCAAAGCGACTGTGATAGTGTGAGCAGCGATTTCGAAACCAACGTCCGGCGACACTTACCCTGCACATCGAGCTTGGAGCACTGGTCGAAGATACCAGCACCGTCGGCACCAGAGCCAGTGCCGATCAGGTTGGAGAGAAGGCCACCAGCAAGGCCCGAGTTGACATCGGTGGTGTCACCGGCGTAGACGGCCTTGTTGCAGCAAGAGAGCTGGGCCTGGTCACCACACTTGGCCTGGGCCTCCTTGACAGTCATTCCCTCGGGAACGGGCCACTTGATGCCTCCGTGGCCCTGGGCGTTGAGGTCGCGCTTGGTGGCGTCGACGGTCATGTCGCCAGTGAGGTTGTCACTGAGGGGGGGCGGCAGCAGCCAGGGTGGAGAGGGCAAGGACAACGGCGCTCAGAGAGAACTGCATTTTGGAATGTATTAAAGATTATAGGTCTTTAAAAGAAAAGATAGGGTTTTAGAGCTGTTTTGGGAAGAAGGTAGAGAGAGAATGGAAGAGAAGCGTGTGATGGAGAAGGTAGAGAACGATTCAAAGCTCGCCTTTTATCTTCGACGGCGCGATTGTTTGGGCTCCCGTCGAGCCTCTAGCTTGCTCGTAGAAATAACACAACAAGCGTCCCATTTCTGACTTTGGAATGTATACGCAAGGGTGTGGCGTCCAGATAGACGTTGAGCTTAGCACTCGATGTCCCTCGATTGGCGGGTTTGGTCGCTGAGGAATTTCGGCGCCGACAAGCTCAAGCCCCTTCGCTCCTACAACTCCCACGAACCCTACATTCCAAGAACCAGTGGCATCCATGAAAGCTACCCTACAGCCGCTCTCTATCTCGGGCTTTGAGCCTAACGAAGGGATCATTTTTGTTCCGGGGCAGAAACAAGCTTGCTAGTGATGGCACTCGTGATTAGTCGCCATTATTATCGAATACCTTCTATCTTTCTAGAACTATGTATCCCTCGGCCTTTCTGTGGTGATTCCTTGTTCCAGAGCCATTGCCTGAGTCACTCAAATGCTTCAGTGGGGTCGGGGTAACTGATCACTGTTGGAATAGTAGCTACTTGACCCATTAGGTCTCGACATCCTTGACTTTCTTTAGGGGAGCCGAGTTTCGAAATCCTCGGCACTTGTTTCTTATTCACAGCAAGATAACTTGATCGCAAGTGTATACCATAACATCCATGATAGATTATTGTGGAGAACCATAAGTTGGTTTCCTTTTTTTTTTCCCCGACTCGATCCAAGGCTGGATCGATTAATCGCCACAATCAGATATCACCCCTGACGATCTTATTTTCTCTCCTCTAAAGGTCCGATCTTTGTGGAGTTCACCTCACGTTACGATGGGCAACCAAATGGATCTGCACCGATTCTTCTCCCCAGCACCCAGTGCTCACAGGGGAAGAATGCATTCTCGATGTCCTTGACACGTAGATCAGGCCTTGGTGAACGCATACCCAATGCGGCCCTCCGCAGGACTTGAACAAGTGAAGCTTTACACTGAAGCCCTTGATCTCTGCGAATTCAGCTTCTCATTTGATGCAGTAGGTATGCACTGGGCACAAACCCAGGTCCGAAATCTGATTAGTACAGCTATTACGGGCTGGGGGTGATTTCATCCCTTGTTTCTCGTGACCAACTTTCAGCCTTGGATTTTGAACTGGACTATACTCCTGGCCGACTGTAGTTACCGATGAGTCTGTCACGGCTTAATTCTGTGGTATAAGCCCATATTGTTCTAAAGAAAAGAAAAGAAAAGAAAAGAAAAAAGAAAAAGAAAATCTCTTTCCCTACTCGTAGCCCTGGCAGGGCTTGCATCACCTATGGGATAACCCATGCTTATCAGAAGACATTTGCCAGTTAGTCTGAAGAGACACTAAGGACTTTGAGCTGTGCTCTTTTTGCAGCAGACGACCATCGTATTTGGGTTGGGTCACCTGAGCTTCTTTGGTGAGCTTCATACGAATGGTAGTAATTCAGCTACTCCATTCCGCCCGCGGCGGGCTATGGAACCTGGACACTTTGCCTAGGTGACTGTCAACTTGCCAGCCCTGGTAGTAATGCATGAAAGCTTGACGCTTGATTCGAGTTCAGCATGTTGGCCACCTGGGTCTAATATCGAATTTGGTAGTAATATATGATTTTGGATTTCGGATTCCTTAGGATCACTGTATACAACGGGAAACTATATATTCCGACACAACGATGAGCGCTGCTGGGGTGATTCGCACGTACATCAAGTTCAACTTCAAGCGCATAATTTTCACTGCTACTAGTAGCATTGGCCATATTATAGCAATAAATTCTCGAAGGAGCCTTCAATCGAATTTAAAAAGGAAAATCTCGTTCCGACACTTGCAGGTCGAATTGGTCGGAGCAAAATCGCCCCGACCGCGCTAACCCCGCATTGGCGCCGCAGCTAATTGTATACAAGGATCAACATCGGATACGGGGTGACTCCAAAGCTTCAGAGTCAAGAGTTCACCCGACGGTTTGGACATGCATTTTCGCGATGGATATAAGAAAAGCAATGACACCAGCTGCGGTTTCCGATGCGAGCAAACCAATCCGAGATTGAGAACCAACATATCAAACCAATTCTTCCAATCCTTGAATAATACCGTCTGATCTACCCAACCAACAAGGTACTATAACATCAAAAAAAAAAAAGACTGCAATTGCATTCTTCGGTCCAACTGGCGGCTGCGTCAACGCTTGCCTGGCCTACACCCTCCTAAACGGCTACAAAGCGATTGCTCTCGCCCGCACGCCCGCCAAGCTCACAGCCCAACTCCTCCAGCAACCAGGCCTCACACCCGAGACCCTTGAACAGCAGCTCAGAATCGTCCCAGGCGACGTCACAGACGTGGAAGCGGTCATGAAGACCCTTATCGTCCGGGACTCGGCCACGGGCCCCATCGAACTAGTCTCGAGCGTCATCTCTGGCATCGGCGGCACAGGCGTCATGCACTACACGCGGGAAGCCCCCTGCGACCGGGTTAAGATGCGGCTTCCATCGCTGCCGCACATCGAGATTCCAGACGCGCACATCACAGAGAAAAGCACGGCGGCGCAGCTGGAAGCGCTGCGCCGCATTGCGCACGAGAAGTTCCCGTCGTACGAGGCCTTATGCGGCTGTTGCGCCGCGCGTGACTGTGATTTCGGGGACGGGGATCAAGAAGGGGATCAAGCGGGATGTGCCGCTTCTATTTAAGGCGATGTATGATATTCTGCTTCCCATCCCGCATGCCGATAAGGAGCGGATGGAGAAGTCGTTGGCTGCGGAGGAGGGAAAGCTCGATAGTGTTCTCTGTGGGGGGGGGGTTGATTATTGTGCGGCCCAGTCTCTTGAGTGGGGATCATCTTATTGCTGCTGGGGAAGATTCGGGGTATAGTTAGTTGCGGGTGGGGACTGAGAAGGAGTCTGCGCTTGGGTACACGGTGCCCCGAGCTTCGATTGGCGAGTGGATCTATCGGGAGATCGTGCAGACGGGTGGGGATCGCGGGGGGTGGGAGGAGAAGGGGTGGTTCTTACCGAGTAGCGGGAGTGTTTCAAGGTGAAGATTTGGATCTCTGAGATTTACTAGTATGGAAGTTAGGCGTTCTTTTTTCCCTTTTTGTTCCCTGTAAGAATGGATTGGCAAAAGGCAATAAACCACTTTAGATTCTTCAAACTCTCAATTACAAAGCTGAAGGAAAATGCATAGACGAGCCATTGTATAGAAAGACAACAAACAGCTGGAAAACAGGAAAAGCACGAGATCTAGAATACTCCGTAATCGAAGGGGACGCCGTTGCTTTGTGTATGTCGTCGCTAATACGAAGGGAAGGTCGAAATGGTCAGATAAATGTACAGAGCGGCGCAACAGACTGAAGAGCCATATTAGTAGTAAGTGCAGGTCGTGGAAATCGTGAAAAAGCTAGACAAATCGGCTAAGTGCCAGGGAAAGGTTCTGGGCGCTCAATCTGCGTGCTGAGTCGCTCTTCCTTGGCCTTGCGCTTCTTCATCTTTTTCATAGCTTCCGCAGTCAGTTCCTGCCTGAATAGTCGCTCGACAATATCCTTCTTGCGCGTCATGTGGTCGCCGATCATGATCAAAACACCACCGGTGATGTTACACGTGATGGAACAACACAGAATGACAGTCGTCAACGCAAATGGCCGGTACTTCGGTGGCTCCATACTCCATGTGCAGGCACCCAGGGCCATCTGGAGGATGGAATGGAAATCCAAGATGACAACGATGGCAACAAGCATGCGGAGAGGGAACGCGTAGTGCGTCATGGTCTCATGCGGCTTGTAGAAGGTGTGAGACTTGGCGAACTTCGTCTGGTGATGGATCAATTTGAGCTGCTGCTCTGGGTTCAGCACGGAGTACTCTTGATCCTCCAAGGTATTCTCCTCCAGTTCGGCTTCCTTCTGCCGTTTCTCTGGAAGGTCATTCTTGTCCTTGAGGCCGGGAAGCTTCCGCTTCTTGCGAATATTCCATGTAAGGTGGGTGTAGTGCGCAATGTAGATCATATGGTATGTGTCCACGGCTCGGAAGGGGGCAAGACCGTCACCCATGATAGCGAACAGAGCAACCAGGACGTTGTCGATGATGTTGATCAGATAAGATTGTTTACCGTGAACATTGATCCACCCTGGTAAGTGAGAGGAGTTAGCAGGCTGGATCTCAAGGAGGAGCAGGCTAAATCCCAGGTAGGAACAGATAAGACATACCAATCAAGAAAAGCACCCAAGCGAGACCGAAAAGGGTGATTAGAGTTGCATAGAGTGTCACAAGAAAACCCAAGGCTGTCATGTACTTATTAGCTTCCGGTGTACCACACTTCAAGTGCATGGCGTGGCAACTCACGTTTCGAGACATATTTACCAAAGCCCTTCATGGCACGTTTGAATTTCGACCGACGAGAGTGCAACATGTGACGGACGTGGTCGTTCAGTTCAGCAAAGTCCTCGCTGGTCCAACCTTCCAGTTCCTGTCCTTCTGGCATAACTGCATATCGTGGGCCCACCAGCACGGAAGACATGCTGGAGAAGGGGCGCAGATGCTCCAACGTTGGTCGATCCTTCCCCCTGTTATCGTCAGACAGTTCCGAGTCAGCCTCATCATTCGTCACCTCCTCTGTCAACTCGCCCAGCTCTGCGTCCTTCTCTGCGTCCTTCGGGGCCCGTGATATTGTGTATGTAGGCATTCGATTGACCCAGCCTCCCAGGTTCGGAATGAACAAGGAGTTCTGGACATTGGTCAGAGTCGATAATGCTGAAACCTCCGGGTCTGGAATTAATTAGTATATCGTTCCGAGCGGCGGAAAGTCACGGATGATAACTCACCGATCACATCCAACACGTCCACAAGATGAGACCCGTATTCCCCTTCTGCCCTTTCCTCTATGGGGTCGTTGGAGGGAGCACCACTAATGGTGGAAGCCCGGTTCCCACCGCTAATAGTGGAAGCCCGGTTCCCGCCGCTAATAGTGGAAGCTCGGTTCCGGGTGAACGGCCGCATTGCAGCCTGGCTGGTGCGACGTAACCGGCTTCGACTGGCAGGCCGTTGGAGTGTAGCGGGAGGCACATCGAGAGCTTCAGCCTGGCGGTTATTGGCACTGAGATAATCCGGGGCTTCCTCACCATCCTGTGGCTGCGGGCTGCGCACAGCAAGGCCCTGGTGAGAAGAGCCTTCATGTACCGTCGACATCGGCATCGGGGTATTCGCCCGCGACAAAACATCCGGCGAAGTAGCCCATCGCCCCGGTCGCGGTTCAGAGCTACTGCGTCGACGGCCGGCCACCGGGGACTCATCTTCCTCGGCAACTGGAGACCTCACAGAGACCTCCCGTGAGAGTGCAGGCAGCGGTGTAGGGGCCCTGGATGCCGATTGTTGCCCATCGACCGTTTCGAAGGAGGATGAGGAACTTATTCGTTGCAAGCGGATACTAGGCCGTCGAGCGCGGTTGGAACGTGCACGATTTGGTGGCACCTGGGTTTGCAAGACTGACAAAGTCGGTCTCGATGACGAACCCTCATTTTCCGATGCAGAAGATGCCCCATGGGCATTGGAGTCCCCGGCAGGTTCGATCGGATCCATCCGGGGGGAGTCTGGTGGGTGATACTCGACTGGAGAGGTGGCTGGAGAAGGCGTAAGTGGATCAGACGCCAGTATTCCGTCAAGAGGAAGGGAATGTGATGACAGCTGAACACCCCCCTTCAGATCTCTGAGAGAAAACTGATGAACCGCCACAACATGAGGTTTTTCGCGTTGGGACTGGAATGGAAAGCCGATCTAATTCCGGGTCTCCCACGGTTGCAAGGTTGGTCTTGGCACGCTGAGTCAGCGCGGTAAATCTTGTTTCCAGGCATTTGCTGAGTGACGAGTGTGGTGGAGTAAGGGGGCAAGTCTGTGCCAATGTTTGAGGAGCAAAGATAAGTACTTGTCGATCCCTTTGATCCTCTTAGCAAGAGCCGATCATTTCGTAATGGGCTGCATGACGGGGTGTCACAGCACTGAAAGCTCCTCACCTGTTAGTTACGCAACCATCAGAACTTCATTAAGATCCCCTTTAATGATAACCCCCAGAGGTCGATTTAGCGCCACCCCCCTCATCCCCCCGAAACGATTAAGCATGCTAAGCGTGGCTACACCATAAGATGCAATTTAGCAGCCGATTGATCTGATTCGAAGCCTGTGCTTATATACAGCATCCCTTTAATAAGGGTTCATTCCATATCATTCTTCTAGGATGGAGTGTCGTGCAGTAAAACCTACGGAAATGATATGATGATGTTACTAGGATGCTGCTTGGTCAGAAATTACAAGCCTCCGGGAAAGAATCGGTAAACATGATTCTGCTGCCCAGCATAGTTTCATAAACTGTGCCACGGGTTGTTTAGTCCATGTTTCCCGTTCGTACATAGTATGGCTGCCATCTCCTGGATTTTACCACAGTTCGATTATCTTTGAGATAATGCAAAAACTATTGGGGTCTGAGCCGCAAATACAGTTCAAGCTCTGCATGTCTGCATGCCTCCTAGCAAGAGCATTCATGCCCCTCTAGCATAAAAGCAGAATGAATTAATAAAATTACTATATAGTTATAGTGCGACTGGCCGCCCTGTGGTAGAATTCTAACGATCCCAAGCGTCTCTTAGCGACTTGTCCAGTTCTTCTATAGGAGATTATCGGCTCAGATTACGAACTTAAACCTCCTCGGAGAGTCAACCCAGGCCAAGGTGGAGAGGGAGGCCATAAGAAACCAACAACGTTTCCTGTGACGGCTTCTTAAAGAGATACGAGATACAATCTGGACGAGAAAGTGATCTGTGCGAACTGGTCAGTAGACCTGCGTGCACCTACCTTGGACCCATCCACTTCAGAATGATGATCCTTCCGCTCAAAGTGCCAAGAAGAGCGGCAGATTCCCGACCAACCACTGCGTCGAAAAAGCGAAAGCGCCCCAGGCTGGACTGCGATGAGGAGCTACCGCCTGCGAAGCGACCTCGCAGAGCGCCTTATCCTATAGAGCGCAATCACGGCTCCAGACTTGCATCTTCAGGAAAAGCTCACGAATCCAGCCTGCATCAGAGGAACAGACGATCGCATACCCGGATACCGTGTCGTATTGACCGCTGGGGCTCAGTCATACCCATTTATAAATGGATCCCAGGAGTTCATGAGCTCAGGCAGGAGCTGGAGCTAACAGACGCAGTTTCGGATTCTCAATTGGAATATATGTTAGCAACAGGATTTTTCCAAGATGATCCAGATGAACGGGAGGTTCAGTTTTCAGGAGGGAATGGGGCCATCGAATTGTCAAAGCCAAAGGTATATACTGGAGGCGGAGGGTCAAACGTCTAGCTCGCCAAAATGCTAGCAGAGGGATATTTCAGTGATAGGTAATTTGGTCAGATTGTCATGTGGGAATAGATGTTTGCTTCCTAATTTGAACGGTATTGGATAGCTCCAGAACCTGAGTATTGTAAAGCCTGTAGCGTGATCAGAACCGCCCGCCAGGGCTGTGGCGGTGTCGTGGCGGCGACAAGAGCTGACAGGCATTTTGACTCGTGGGGCTGCGAGACATATGGCTGGATCTCTCTCATGCAATTCGGTGGATGTCTTTTGCTTTTTCTCTCCTGCGGCCAAACGCATGCTGCAGGTTGTCGCACTGGAATTTTCATGTAACTAGTGTTTGCGCCGGGATTGTCCACACCGTATATGGCCGAGGGCCGCGTGGAGACCTGGGAGGCAAAGTGGGGAGGGCCACAATGACTCGGAACGATTGATCCTAATGTGGATCATGGTGAGCTGGACAAGGTGTACTCTCCGTAGTGAGAGCCCAGTCGCGGATGAGACTTGAAGGTTCAATCAGTGGTGATTCATGTCAGTCAATAGTCAACAGAAGGACCTCAAGAAATCGTACGCTAGGAGTGCAAGATAAAGCAATGATCTGCGCAGGGGAGCTTTGTGCGCACTCCATAGGTGGGTGGCGGGAAGTCTCCAGCATGACATCAAGCATGAACCCAAGCGTGTCGAGGCACCCGATTTGGGGACACTAGCGGGCCTCCCGGGAGGGCAACGACCAACGAACGGCACAGACTCGAGCCCCCCCAGAACCAACAGGGCTGCCCAAGAAGCCCCCCCAGAAGCGCGCAGTCACCCAGCAACAGCCACAGCCAGAACAGGGTCCCAAACACGGCTAGCGCACACCGCCTCCTCCTTTCCTCGAAACCGACCTCCCTCTCTCTTTCCCTTCCTCCAAGAGTCAACAACTGCCTTGAATTCCGTGAACCCATCTCTTCCACCCCCTCCCCCCCCCCTTAAATCGGTATCTAGGGCACCAAGCTACCCTGCTCCTTCCCTCACCTCCCGTCAAGTATCCTCGGCGACAAACAACCACCCCCCTCATTGTTTGTTCGACACAACCTTAACTTTTCAATTCCCCGTTTGTGTCATCTCGATCAAAATGTCTGCCGACGCCGTCACTGAGCAGCTGGCCACCGCCACCATCAACGATGCCCCCACCAATGGCACTCCCGCTGCCACCCAGGCCGCGGACGCTGCAGCTGCCAGTGCTGACGAGGGCCGCCGTTTGTACATTGGAAACCTCGCGTATGCCACCACTGAGGAGGAACTCAAGGAGTTTTTCAAGTCTTACACCATGTAAGTTTCTGTATCTCTACTGCAAGGATGGCAAAAGTGTTTGATTCCTAGCATCCAGCTGGTGTTTCATTCCCACACCTGTCACATTCTGGAGATCACCCACCTGGAAAGCAGATCAAGCTTGTTGGCAATAAGCTAACGTAACACCTCCCCCAAAGCGAGAGTACCTCGATCCCGGTGAACCCCCGCACCAACCGGCCCGTTGGATACGCTTTTGTGGATTTGGCCACCGCTGCCGAAGCTACAACTGCCATCTCCGAGCTCTCTGGCAAGGAGATTCTCTCGCGTAAAGTTTCGGTCCAGCTGGCACGCAAGCCAGAGCCTGCGGAAGCCAAAGAAGGTGCTGCAAGCGGTGGTGAGGGTGCCAGCGGCAACGAGGGGCGTAAGCGCGCCGGTGGCCGAGGCCGCGGACGTGGTCGCGCTCGCGGTCGTGGTGGCCGTGCTGCTCGTGGCCGCAATGTAAGTTTCCCAGCTCCGTCAGCTGTGTGGAGTTATTGAATGCGATCCTAACTCACGTATTTCTAGGGTCAGGATGGCCAAGAAATCCCCGAGGCCAAGGCCGACACTGAGGCCAAGGAGGAACCCGCTACCAATGAGAACGAGCCTGTGAGCACCGAGGCTACCAAGCAGGCTAAGCCCCGCGCTGCTGCTCGTGCCCAGAAGCAGCGCGGTCCTCCGGAGGATGGTATTCCTTCGAAGACCAAGGTCATGGTTGCCAACCTCCCCTACGACCTGACTGAGGACAAGGTAAGGGTTTCATCCGTGTGATTCGTTTTCTTCGGCAATCAAAAAGCTAACAATCTCCATAGCTCAAAGAAATCTTCGCTGAATACACCCCCGTTTCCGCCAAGGTCGCTCTCCGTCCTATCCCCCGTTTCATGATCAAGAAGCTTCAGGCTCGCAACGAGCGCCGCAAGACCCGCGGTTTCGGTTTCGTCAGCCTTCCTTCCGAGGAGCTTCAGGCCAAGGCCGTTGCCGAGATGAACGGAAAAGAAATCGACGGACGCACCATTGCCGTCAAGGTTGCCATTGACAGCCCTGGCAAGGAGGACGACGTCAACGAGGCCGCCGACAACTACGAGGCCACCGAGACCTCCGCAGCTAAGGAGAAGACTGAGGAGGCCGCGCCCACTGAAGCTGCGCCCGCTGAAGCTTAAATCCATAACGAAATTTCCGACCGCAGATAGCTCGTCAATTTGATTTGGAGGGTATGTCAAACTGGGAATTTCTGAAGACCGCCGTATGGATATGGTCATAACTGTTCCGTTTGGTCTTTGCTTTTTACCCAGGATTGGCTATAGTTATCTTAGCTTCCTCGACAAGCGGATTGGGAGGTGAATCTGTGAAGGCGCGGGTGTGATGATGACTTTCCTTTTTCTTTTTTAACGGATTTCATGGAACGTGGACGTCCATGCTGGAGGAGCGTCCTTGCTGATGCCTCCATCCCTAACGACTATTTTTGCCTTCTATCCTGTATCTTAGCACCCATTTGACTCCGTGATGACGATCTGGCATCTCTATGACCTTTTGAGTAGACCGTAGAACTTGGCGGCTGAAGCTTGTTAAGTGTTCCAAACACTTGGCGCGATGACGCTACCGAGACGACCCTTGCCGATCCCAGCGGACAAAAACATACACTCTGTCACCTCCCCAATTCACCAAAGTTAAACGGTCGCACGATCAATGCAAGCTTAGCGTTCATCGGGTCCCGCCGCCTTTTGATTTTTCCGCATTGCTGTCGGCATTTGTCCGAAATAGGGGTCAGGCATCAAAACAGCAGAATCGCCTCGGACAACCGTCCCAAGTCCAACCTCTCCGCTCCGCCTCTCTAGAGCGCAAACCCCTCCCAATTGTCCTGACCACACCGCCACTGTATAGAGCATAGTATCCCACCATGTCTCGCATGTGGGAAGTTGATCCAGAGACAAGGACAAAGGTGCGCCCGCACGCCTAGCGCTCGATAACCACCGACAGCGAAGGACCAGTCTACTAACACCGCCACGCGCCACCACAGCTCGTCCAGATCTCCAAAACCAACGGAAATGACAGATGCTGCGACTGTGGTGCCCCATCACCACAATGGGTAAGCCATGCTTCTCCTTCTCTTTCCCGCCTCCGTCATGCTCGCACAGCCTCGATGAAGACCGAAAACCTTCCTCCCCGGCGCAAAAACAAGAACTAACCATGTCCCTAGGCATCCCCTAAATTCGGCACCTTCATCTGCCTCAATTGCGCAGGCACGCACCGCGGGCTCGGTGTACACATCTCCTTCGTCCGCTCGATTACCATGGACGCCTTCAAGCACGGCGAGATCCAGCGGATGGAGCTCGGTGGTAACGACCCATGGAAAGAGTTCTACGACACGCACACTGTTACCGTCTCCGAAGGCCGGACATTCGAAGACTCAACGATCAAGGAGCGCTATGAAGGTGACGCCGGTGAGGAATGGAAAGAGCGGCTGACCTGCAAGGTTGAAGGGAAGGAATATGTACCTGGCCAGGAGAAGAAGAATAGCAATGCCTCACGCTCAAGCACACCGATGAGCGTGGGCAGCGGAGTTGGCAGTCTTAGTGGTGTGCGGAATGGATCGCCGGCGCCATCGTCCATTAAGCGGACTGATAGTTTGAGGTCGGGAGTGCCGACCAAGAAGGAACAGAATGAGGCATACTTTGCGAGGATGGGGTCTGAGAATGCAAACCGCTCGGAAGCGCTGCCGCCGTCGCAGGCGGGAAGTTCACGGGCTTTGGGGGTGGATTACCACCTAGTGCTGACGATCGTCGTTCGTCGGGGTTTGGGGGCTTTGGCGGGTTTGGAGGCGGCAACCCAGCGTTTGATGATTTCCAGAAGGATCCTGTCGCTTCTATTACGAAGGGATTTGGATGGTTTGCGTCCGCTGTTGGGAAACATGCCAAGACTGTCAACGAGTCGTATCTTCAGCCCACGGCGAAGCAGGTATGTGATTTGATAATCTATGGGCTGAGGTCTATCCGATGTTCATTAGCACATTCATCTAACTATAACTAGCTCGCGGAATCCGAATTCGCAGCCCAAGCGCGTCTTCATGCTGCAACTTTGGGCCAGAACTTACAAACCGGTGCTCGAACCGCTACAGACCAGTTCACCCGGTTTGTCGAGGGCGAGGAATCTAGCCGAGGGCAGTACTCCCGCGTCGAGCCTGAGCGCAAAGATTTCTGGGACGACTTCTCGTCTCTGGGGAACCAAGACCAAGCCGCCGGTGGTCACCGCCGCAGTGGCTCTCGGTCAGATCTGATTGGAACAACTGCCATGCGAAAGGGCCCAGCTTCAAGCTTACTGCAGAATTCATCGACTGCTGCTTCGGGAGAGACTGCTCCGACGGGCTTAGACAGCGCAGAGGGCGCTGCATCATCTTCCGGTAAAAACAAGGACGATTGGGACGACGACTGGTAGTATATATAAATAAACATCGAATGAGGTTTCATATGGTTTGCGTGGCGAATCGTCCATGTATGGTGCCATAATTTGGTCTACAATGCCTTCATTTTATTTTGTTGATTGCCTATCTCATACCTATACCTTGCTCGTGGAATGAATATCGTCCTATATTCCGACTGGGTCCCCGAAGTGCCAGTGCTCTAATTGAGTCCTTTCTGTCACGAATTGAAGAAGTGGGAAGTCTGGATGTATCATTTGACCCAAAATAAAGGGACCAGGAGAATAGAATACACGATGGTTTTACAAAGATAACTATAGTACAGAGTAGCCGAGAAAGGATGAGACCTAAAATCCACCGCGCAGCTCAGACAGAACTGCCTTCTGTCTCGGCGCAGACATGTTCTCGAATCGATCGACACTCATGACGAAAGTTCCGCGGCCGGCAGTCAAGCTGCGCAGATGCTTCAGATACCCAACCATCTCCTTGAGAGGGACCTTAGCAGTGATGGTGCGGGGAGTTGAAGCGGATGCAGGTATATCAGCTCCGACAGAGGCCGACTCAAATGGGTCCGGAGGAGCATATACCCGCTTAGGGTCAATGGGAGGCAAAGGTTCTTCCACTAAATCGGAGCCTACCGCATCTGTCGCAGAAATGGGGATCTCCTCATCCAACGAAAGGATATGACCACCGCGAGACGAAGAGATATCATGAACAACAGAACCCAAGCTCGCCTCGTCAACGCTGATAATCACATTCATGACGGGCTCCATCATCGCTGTTCCAGGGCCAGAGAGAAGGTCTTGGAGTGCCGCAGCTGTAGCTTGGCGAGCAGCCGAAGACAGAGCAGATGGGGTAGTATCACCGCCGAAGAGATGTTCTGCTGGATTCAGAGTAAGTCTGACGCGGGTGTTATGCATAGGGAACGTGAACTGAGGACCACGAGCGAGTGCCGCTAAAGCACCATTTTGCAAAGCAGTGCGGAATGTTGTTACATCCATGTTGGGTGGTAATATGTGGCCTGATTCGTCGTCCTGGGCGGCGCTTTCGACTTGCAATCCTGGCGCACGGATGATGATCTGGTTGCCGTCGATGGTTTCTGCTAAGATGGTGTGTTCATCCGCTAGATCCGTAACATCTTTGCCATCTGCAGGCTCGACTGATGCGGTACAACCGGCTTTGCCTCGCCGTCCTGCAATTTCATTATCGAAGATTTTGGTGATTGCGTTGGATGCACCAAGTCCAGATTCTCTATAGCCGATCTCGATGCGACCCATAGAGGCCTTCGCTTTCAAGTCATTGATGAGGCGATCACGTGCGATTTCAAGATGAAGCTCTCCCATGCCGCTCAGAAGAGTTTGGCCGGATTCCTCGTCCACGCTTACATGCAAGCTAGGGTCCTCTCGTAAAAGGAAAGAAAGAGATTCTTGCATTCGCTTTTCTTCACTCAGGCTATCCGGCTCGACGCTTGTGAAGAAGACGGGAGGAGGAACATCGATCGGGCGCAGCTGTAGACTGGTGAGAGGCTCTGGAGGAGTTGCTTTGTTTCCTGCGTAAGACACGAGGGTATCGCCAGTACGAGCATGTTTCAGACCCACTACTACACCGATGTGGCCTGCAGGAATCGAGTCAACTTCCACCGCATCATTGGCATACATCTTCAACAGGCGGGGGGCGCGCTCTGACAAGTGTAGGTTTGTATTGAAAAGCAGGCTATTGCGGTCAAGCGAGCCAGAGTAGACGCGCACGTATACCAAGACACCACGCTTGGCATCGTTGACCACTTTGAATGCCAGTGCGCAACTTTGCAGCTTGGCGATGGCTTCCTTCGGGTCAGACAGAGAAGCGGACTTCCTCTTTTTCTTGCCCTTGGCAGGTGAGGAAACCTTCTCACTTTGTTCGACTATAAGGTCTCCGGAGAGCAATCCACGGAGACCACCTTTGACTCCCCCAATACTAACCTCAGGATCTGGCGCCTCAGGGGGACTTGGTAGAAGGTTAACCACAGCATCGAGCAGGGGTTGGACACCCATATTCCGAAAACTAGCCCCAGCAAAGACAGGAACGATTCTGGTGGACGGATTAAGAACACATCGTCGAAGACTGTCGACGATGTCTGCTGGAGAAACAGCCAGGTGGTCTTCGTCACATTCGAAGAATCTCTCCACAATAGACTCGTCCTGCTCACTCAGTAATTCAACCAGAGCGATGCGCGCTCGACGCACTTCTTCTGCGAGGGCCGGTTCCTCAGATTGTAGCTGCTCCAAGTTCATCATCTTCACTGCACGGCCATCGTCCCCTTCCCTTCCATCGAAGGCCCTGAAGGTTGACAGCATCTGCTACGCCAACGAAGGGCCCGTCGCCGCCTTGAAACCAAGGGATTTGGCAAACAGCTGGATAAACGGCTAGTCGAGAGCTGACTTCGCGAACAGTCCGGCCAAATGCAGCCCCATCACGATCTAGTTTATTCACGTAAATGACACGAGGAATTTGATACGTGCTGGCTTGGTGCCAGACTTTCTCGGTCTGTGCTTCGACACCAGCGACTCCATCCAAGATACAAACGGCACCATCCAGGATACGAAGGGACCGCATGACCTCGAATGTGAAGTCTGCATGCCCGGGCGTGTCAATGAGATTGATTGTATGAGAATTAGCAGATCGCGGTAGAGATGAGCCTTGGGGATTCTGGTGCACTTCAGTCCCCTCAGGCGGCCAATGAAACGTGATCGCCGCCGATTGAATGGTGATCCCACGAGCTCGCTCAGCAGGGAGGAAGTCCGTTACGGTAGATCCCTCATCGACGTCTCCAATGCGTCGAGTGAACCCGCTATAGAATAGCATGCGCTCCGTCGTTGTGGTTTTGCCTGCATCGATATGAGCGATGATCCCAATGTTACGTGTCCTGTCCAAGAGTTCCCGTTGGGGCTTGGACAGCGTAGCTGAATATGGTCGAGCCTGGCTCAGCTTGGACTGCAGGCTTGAATTGTCAACATTATGCTTGATAGGACGGGCAGGAGTCCTATACAGATGGCCCAAGCAACGCGCTCCCGGTAGGGGAATACGTAACATTGGAGCCATGACCATTGCTCAGATGGATGACCATCCAGTCGAGATAAACGATAAAATTATGTAGTCGTAGATGGCCCCATTAGGAGCTTATGGTATGTTCACGGTTCGACTTCGAGAAGGAAAAACCACCGGGGCCGGGGCGGGCTTGGCATTTTCTGTTCCATACGTAAACCTGCTTCACACTTCTAACCCAGTCGAACCCTCCATTCCTCTACTGATACGCGTTCTCTTCCACCTCTAGCCTGACTTGATTGCCATGAAATTCTAGCGCTACTCCTAGTGCTCTACCGACGCTGTGCCGAGGTGCTTCACTGTGAGTTGGAGCTATCTGGCCGCAACTGTGGGGGTGATCCTCAGTATTACCGACGCCTGCTAACGACTAGCAGCTTCCCGCCCCTTCGATTGAACACCCTCCTTGCATCCAATCCCGATAACCATGGACTACTCGGCCATTTCCCACGATCCAGACCACCCTGCGGACGCTGACCCCTGGGGATCTCCCCGCCCCGACCGAACCACGTTCCCCACCTCCGTCAATAGCGACATACCATCGTCGCCATTGTCTGGCAGCGAGCACCCAGCCGGGGGCGCAGACGGAAACAATGCAGTGCCCCAGTCCCCAGACTTGTCTGCACAGCTACAGAATGCACAACTAAACGATCCCAATCAGCCCGCTGCGACGGCACAGCAATCGCCCTCGGTGGAACAGCAGCGCTCCCAGGTGCCTGCACGCTACCAGACCGGACTCAGGCAGGCGCAACCACAGCAGCAACCTCGCCCAGCTTATAAACTCCAGGCCAAGATCACTGGGCTCGAGAGGACTGGCAAGAAGGACCCTATCCTTCGCTTTGACGTTCATGTGGGAAGCTCCAGGCGAGGACGCGCGCTTAGCAAACCCCAGAAGACATCCTGATGCTGATGATTTTCTCAACTAGACCAATATTCCCAAGTTCCGCACAACTCAATACCGCGATGTCCGCCGAACCCATTCTGAATTCATGAAATTTGCCGACCACTTGATCTCGGCCAACCCCGAAGCTCTTGTGCCCGCCGTCCCGCCGCCAGTCACCCCGGCTGGTGCTGGGACCGACGAAGATGAGGTTCGCGTCAAGTCCTCGATGCAACGTTGGCTGAACATCGTGTTCGGCAATGAGGCTCTTATTCATGATCCCGAGATAGTCTTGTTTGTGGAGAGCGATTTTGGCTACAGCCCCGTCGTTCGCTTGAAGCAGCCAGCTACTGGTGTGCGACGTAAGATGCTGAAGCAGTTTGCGCCTCCTCCTGATGACACCCCGGAGCTGCAGGCTGCCCGTCCCACAGTCAAGATGTTCTATTTGGGAGCAATGGATGCTAGTCATAAAGTAGATCGAGTTGTCAAAGGCCGACGAGGTACGCGCTCCAATTTATGGATGGCTTGGATTGATTGCTAATGGTTGATAGGTCTTGGACTTGCTGAATCCGATTTCGGTGTCAAGATAGGCCAAATGCACGTGCAAGAAACCCATCCTGGCTTGAGCCTGGCATACCGCAAACTGGGTAAGATTATCCAGACGGTTGGTGACTATCACGCTATTCAAGCCACAGCCGAAGCTACAACACTCGGAGAACCTTTGAGCTATCATTCTGCAGACGCGTTCATCGTAAAGGAGACATTAACCAATCGTCACATCCTGCTTCGAGAACTTATCCAGGCCCAGCAGAACGCCCAAAGCAAGCGTGCCGCGGCAGACCGTTTGAAAGTGAGCTCCTCAGTTCGACCTGAAAAGGTCGATGAGGCTATTAATGCTCTCGAGGAGGCACAGAGCCAAGAGGATTACTTGACCAAGCGCACCCAGCGTGTCACAAACAACTTACTGCAAGAGAAGCGTCGCTGGTTCGACCGAACTACTACAGACGTGCTTTTTAGTCTCCGCGAATATACCTTGCGCCAAATCGAAGCTGAGCGACGAACCTTGGCGACTCTTGAGAGCGTGCGTCCGGATATTCGTGCCATCGATGCCTCCGGCGGGCTGAGTCGCCTGGGCCGCGAGGCACACCCCGCCGTGCGCCGCCATAACCTTTCGTCAAGCCAAGGACCCAAAGGTGATTCCTGGAGCGGTGTCCCTCGTCGTGTTGACACTGCAAGCCGTAGCTTGAGTGGTAGCTTTACAAGCCCCGTGGAGGATGAAGTGGCCGAGAATGATCAAGAGTCTGCCACCGGGCGTAATCGTTCCACTAGCCAGGCGGACTCGATTGCTGAAGATGACGATGACCGCTTGGACGCGCGCAATGCTGCAAGCCGACTGGCTACGAGCACTTTCTAAGCCAGCAGTCCTTCTATCGAATCTGTACATGTAGCCTGAGCATGATGCTGTGATTCCCCTTTCTTGCCGTGGTAATGCATTTCCTATGTTTTCATATTTTTTGAGTCATTCAGCCGAATCTTACGACCTTTCGAAAACACTTGACGTTTGTATGCACATCACGTATACAAATGCTAGCTCTAGCAAAAGTTCAATGTGGAACTTCGTCGAACCTTGTTCCTTGTGATTCTAGAAAACATCTTGTATTCTCAAGTTGAGATTGAAGTACCCACGCCCTCTGCTTCGACTCTTGACTTGTTTTCATGTGATGTCGTATAATCCGCGATGAGTGGCGTAGTGTGCACACCGCGGGTCTTACTCGTCAGGTTGTGTAATACTACTCATTGAGGTTTTTAGTAGAGGATACTCAGGTAAACCTTATTAGTATAACTAGCCCTGTGGAGTCAGACGTCACGGCATCGGATAACCACATTAAGTGCGACCACAGACTCAACTCGAGTTAATTAACTTCGTATTTAGTCTCTTTATTTTATAAAATCCAACACAGCACATACATTAAACACATCGTATAATGTTCGACTCATCAGGTCCTTGGCGTGGACGAATTACTAAACGGCCAGCGAGGTAACTAACTATGAAGTAAGAAGTCTCCGAGCTTGCCCCACCTCAAGACATTCTCCCGATTTCTGTACCCCAACTTGGTGCAAGTTGTCATTGGAGTACGTCGTGATTTATAAGTGATGCTTCGATGTCGTAATAGCCTTTTTACCTTTTACCCAACTTCATCTTCCCTGCGTTCGACACAATATCTTTTTTTCTTACTACGACATAACTCAAAATGGCCCCCAAAGCTTTCATGTAGGTGCTCCCTGCATCCCCGGCCAGCTTATTTGAGCTTATCTGATTGTTCGGACAGTACTGGCGCGACAGGCTACATCGGTGGTGATGGTCTCTATGCTATTGCTACAGCCCACCCCGATTGGGAATTCTCTGCTTTGGTTCGCAACAAGGAGAAAGCTTCTCAACTCACAAGCAAGTATCCACAAGTGCGGGTAGTACATGGAGACCTCGACTCGGCCGATGTCATCGAAAACGAGGTTAAGAATGCCGACATTGTCTTCAGTATGGACTCCCTCTTTTCAGGAGGTTTTCCTTTTTATTGGACCATGCTAATTATTTTACTAGACTTTGCTGATTGTGACCATGTTGCTGCTGCCCAAGCCATCGCGAAGGGCGCTCAACACCACACTCCCGAACGTCCAGTATGGATAATCCACACCTCGGGAACAGGTATTCTGACTGTGGAGGACGGGCGAGCTAAAACATGCGGCATTGAGCGGCCCAAGGAATACAATGATTGGGAGGGCGTGAGCGAGCTTATCAACCTCCCCGCTGACGCGTTCCACCGCAATGTGGATGAGATTATCATTAACGCTGGTAAAGAAAACCCGTCAAGCGTTCGGACTGCAATCGTCTGTCCACCTTGCATCTACGGTCCCGGCCGGGGAACAGGCAAGACCAAGAGTTTTCAAGTCTATTTGTTGAGCGCGGCGGTCATCCAGCGTGGAAAGGGGTTCCTAGTCGGCAAGGGAGAGAACGTGTGGCACCAAGTTCATGTCCAGGATTTGAGCAACGTGTACCTGGCACTCGGCAACGCTGCTGCAGAAGGCGGAGGCAAGGCTACCTGGAACGATGAAGGTTATTACTTCGCAGAGAACGGCCCTTTCGTATGGGGCGACATCCAGCGAGCAGTGGCTCAGGCGGCCTTCGACCAGAAGTATATTTCTTCTCCTGAGGTTGAGTCTCTCAATGGCGATCAGACTACCGAGATCTTAGAAGTGGGTACATATGCTTGGGGTTCGAACTCGAGGGGTCATGCCATTCGGGCTCGCAAGTTATTTGGGTGGGAACCTAAACAGCCCAAGTTGATTGATCTTGTTCCAGAGATCGTCGCGCTTGAAGCCAAGGCCCTTGGAAAATAATCCAAACAAAGTGATTAGTCCAGTTTCTCACTCGAGAAGTGAACCGGATATGAGATTTAGGGATGCAACATAATAAATGAAAGTGAGCCATTTATGAAATAAGATTCGCTTGGTGATTGCTCTTCTGAGAATAGTTACTAGTAGATTTACTGTTTTCGACCGCTCAAGCGGGCTGCTTGGATACAGCGGCGCACTTGATGTTTTAATATGCGAGGTGAATGAAGGATTTCTCGCTACTGGGTATTTTGGCCACTGGCACGGATGCTAGTCCATCAATGTCTCAATAGTCGTTTGGCGTTCTCGATGAGGTTTTTATTAGGCTACCTAGGGGCCAAACCATAATCCCATGCCTGATGCTTACTGCTTCCAAATGACATACTCATACACAATGAGCAGGCTTTTTATATAAAAAAAATAGAAAATAGAAATAAAGCGAACTTAAATTGACAGAGAGCTACAAAACGCGGCTCCCCAAGGACCTTTGGAAGGTCTCCAGTCGGAATGACTAGTTTGTCTCGACTGCGTCGACTTGCTGGAATTGCATGTATCCAAAGCTGTAACATATTGGGGAAGCTTCATGAACAGCATTATCTGCCTCAATATTTGGCAATAGCCACAGAAGAGCGTGCTGGTTCACATGACATTTGACGACTTAATATAGTCCGGATATTCACGAGTGGGTCCAGATTCACAAGTGGGGCCCATTCACTGCCTGAGGCGGTAAAGAGTTGTCCTCCGAAGCTTCACTACCCTCCGCCTTCTTTTCATTTACTACCGCGTTAGTGTTTCCCTGCGCTTGGGTGAAGTGCCTTGCTGGTAGGTATTTATTCCCTCTCTATCCCCAACATCTTCTCCTCTTCCCTTCTTCTCCAGCTCTGTCGCGCCCCACGCAATTGCAAAGCTTACTCTACTGGCCCGCAACAGAACTAAATCAGCAAACCGCATCACCAAACCTCTCTCTCTCGTCTCCTCGTCTGGCCCCGCCATTCAAAAGCCATGGCGCACGGGCAGGGTGGCAAGAGGAAGCGCGGTGAGCGTTCGTCCTGGTCTGGCGACCCGGCGAATGTCGAGTCGCGCCCCTCTCCCCATCGCCCTGGTGCTTTGCACATGGCTGCGCATGGTGGGCACCAGTCGAGCCCTCCCCGAGAGCGTCGAGGCAACCGTAATGCCGGGGACCGCAATCCTCGCCGTGGCTCTTACGAGAACGCCATCTCCCCCTCTCACCCGCAAGAGGCCTCTGAAGCTACGCGTTCGAATGGTGAACCAGCACCTTCGCAGCCAAGTACTTCAATGGCACTCCCCCCCCCGCTCCGACCGCGACTCCTACTCCTACCAATACCACTGTGGAGGCCCAGTCACAGCCTCCAGCGAATCCCGAACCTGTTCGCCCTTCCCGTGGTCCGCCTCCTCCCTACGCCTACCGTTATCTGACGGAGGAGGTGGCTGGGTCTTGGTCGACTACGGGAAAGCAGAGCCTTGTGGAACAGGGACGTGCAGCCTGCTCGGAGCAGGATTTCATTGTTCTGTCCGCAATCTACCAAGAGCTCATTCACGCTGCTACCTGGGGTCGCCTTGCACCTGGCGAAGCAGGCAATGCAGTGAAAGAAATCATTGGAGAATACTCCGACGTCGATATGGAAGGCTCGGAGAGCATGCGTCCGCCTGAAGGCTTTGACCCACGTACTTGCTTCCTCGACACCCTTTCCATCATTGCAGAGACCGACCCAGCCAACCCCGCTCTCAAACCGTTTGTGTTTGCTACTGGCATATCAGCACGACTAATGCGACTTCTGCTCGAGGCTCCGCTGCTACAGGCACTTGGATTGGTGCGCGAGACGTTCACACGCATGGGAATCCGGAAACAGACGAATTTGCTCTACCGCCAATCGAATTATAACCTTCTGCGTGAAGAATCTGAAGGATACTCGAAGCTCTTGACTGAACTCTTTACAACCAGCAACAATAATCCACCAACTGGAGTTGCCGTACAAGAGACATTTGAAAGAGTGAAGGCCATGATCGGTGCATTTGACATGGATGTCGGTCGAGTTCTTGATGTGACTCTCGATGTTTTCGCTACTGTTCTTGTCAAGCAATACCGTTTCTTCGTTAAGCTGCTCCGCACTAGCTCCTGGTGGCCCAAGGAGGAAACCAGCGTCGTTGACTGGCAGCGACGTGCCTCTGGGCTACCCAGTTGGGCACTTCCTGGATCAGCTGGCTGGACAACCACCCCAGAGGAACGGGCAGCTGCTACCCATACAAATGAAGAGCACGATCGTCAGTTCTGGGACCGAGTGCGACAGGTTGGCATTCAGGCCTGGTTCGAATTAGGGCGCAAGCCGCTATCTGAAGAAGAAAAGGCCAAGTTTGCCCCCGAGGAAGGTCTTCTCCCCCAAGAAGAAGAAGCAACATGGGCATGGATCCAAGAGACCGGAACACTGCCGCCGAGTGGCAACCGCGTCGCTGCACAGCTGCTAGGTTTCAAGCTTCGATTCTATTCCTCACCTGCCCGTTCAAAGTCTGATTCTCTTCCGGATAATCTCATTTATCTTGCTGCTCTACTTATCAAAGTGGGCTTCATCTCTCTTCGTGATCTCTATGCTCATCTCTGGCGACCTGATGACTCCATGAATGTCTTGAAGGACCAGAAAATGGCCGAAAAGGCTGAAAAAGAACGAGCTTCTCGACCTGGTGGTGGTGTCAATGCTCTCATGCTGGCTGGTGCGTTGTCTGATGATACCGTTCCACCAGTGCCTCGTGTTCGTGAACAAGAGCCTCGAGTGGCTACTCCAAAGGATCAAGACACCGATAAACAGACCCCTGCCAAAAGTGAAGAAGATTTGCCAGAGCCCTCAGATCAAAAAGTTCTGCTACTGAAGAGTCTTCTGGCTATTGGTGCTATCCCAGAAGCGTTGTTCATTATCAGTAAATTCCCGTGGCTGATGGATGTCTACCCTGAGCTTCCCGATTTCATTCACAGAATCCTCCACCACTCTTTGAGCAAAGTCTACGAACCCCTACGTCCTCTCTATCGCAAAGGTGGCAGCTCCATGGAAAGGCCAGTGATTGCTGCGGAGCAAAGCCATATGCCCAAGGGACACATTCAACTTACCTGGGCTCCCGCGAGACGAGTTCTTCGCTGGGCCCAGCTGGACAAGGAGGACAACGATGGCACACACTATCGCTTCTACTGGGAAGACTGGTCTGACACCATTCCTGTCTGTCAATCTGTCGATGACGTGTTCGCACTCTGCTCTTCATTTCTCAACCTCTCAGGCCATAAGATCGGACAGGACTCCCTCTTGCTCACAAAGATTGTCCGAATTGGCAAACACAGTCTATCTACAGACGCTTCTGCGGAGAACAAAACCCGCTGGCGAGAGCTTTGCAAACGTCTGCTGCTGCCTTCTGTGAGTTTGACAAAGGCAAATCCAGGCGTCGTCAATGAGGTATTCGACCTTATCAGCTGCTTCCCACGTGACGTCCGATACAACCTGTATGCTGAATGGTATTCTGGCCAAACGTCCCGATTGCCAGATATCAAGTCTGCCTTCGATCGAGCCAGGGCAGAGACAAAAGATGTCTTGAAACGTCTCAGCACGACCAATGTCAAGCCCAAGGCTCGATCTCTTGCAAAGATTGCATATGCCAACCCTGGAGTTGTGATCAACGTCGCGATCAGCCAAATCGAATCGTATGACAACCTCATTGAAGTTGTTGTCGAGTGTGCGCGTTATTTTACCCCTCTTGGTTATGATATTCTGACCTGGTCTCTCATCAACTCTCTTGGCCAGAAGGGAAGAAGTCGTGTCCAGGAGGGTGGTCTTCATACCAGTCGATGGCTGAATGCCCTTTCTACCTTTGCAGGTCGAGCGTTCAAACGTTACTCGATCATGGACCCAGCACCCGTGCTGCAGTACGTCGCTGAGCAGCTTCGTCGCAATAACTCCACCGATCTTATTGTTCTGGAGCAAATTGTCAGCTCGATGGCTGGAATCATAACCGACAATACTTTCAATGATAACCAGCTTAAAGCGATGGCAGGTGGACAGCTCCTGCAATCGCAAACACTCTTGCAGCTGCTTGATAAGCGACATGAATCGGGAATCAGCGCGAAACGTCTTGTCAAGTCTTTGACGCAGACTCAAATGGCTGGGCAACTGCTGATTGCCATTGCTCAAGAGCGACGGACTTGTGTTTTCAAGGAAACGTCGTCAGAATTGAAGTTACTTGGAAACATCTTTGATGAAATCCATCGCATTCTGACCCAATACCTTGATCTTCTTCGCAGCAGCCTCACCGTGGACGAGTTTGACTATTTCGTGCCTAATTTTACATCGCTCGTGCGAGAGTTCGGCCTTGAACCCGAAATTGCCTTCTGGATCCGTCGAGCGAGCATTTCCCACAAACTTGTAGATGCTGAGAAATCAAAAGAAGGATCCCCCTCAGCATCAACCAAGAAGCAGATCGAGAACGGGACCCACGCACCGCAGGCTGAGCACGACATGAAAATGGAAGACGTCGATAATGAGACCACTGCCAAGCCAGAAGAACAGATAGTGGAATCCGCTATGGAGGTCGATAAGGATGAACCTTCACCTGCCACTCCGGCGACTCCCACAACTCTTGACCCTCATTCTACAAACCCTGTGATGCAGGATTTGATTGACAACGTCAAGAATGCGTTGCCTACTGAGACCTGGGAGGTGGTAGGTGCGCATTTCTATGCTACTTTTTGGCAACTCTCACTCTACGATGTTCACATCCCTGGAAAGTCGTATGAGGAGGAGATTGACCGACTGAAGCGACGTATCACCGCAATCAACAACGATCGCTCCGATCTCAGCATGGCCGGTACCCAACGGAAAGAGCGCGAAAAGAAGCAGAACACTCAACTGCAAGAGCGTCTTCTTCAGGAAAACAAAACCCACTTGACTGACTACGCCCGGACTCGCAAGAGATTGCAGAAGGAGAAGGATCAGTGGTTTGCGAGTATGCGCCGTAACTACGATGCGCTGAACACTTCGTTGTTGGAACAATGTTTCATTCCTCGAATTATGTTGTCCCCTATTGATGCCTTTTTCTCATTCAAAATGTTGAAGGTTCTTCATAACTCTGGGACCCCCAACTTCCGGACTATGGGCCTGATTGATCAGCTGTTTCGTGAACAGAGACTCTCTGCTCTCATCTTCCTTTGCACCTCGAAGGAAGCTGACAACCTCGGTCGGTTCTTGTGTGAGCTCCTTCGTGATCTCGGGAGATGGCACGCCGACAAAGATGTTTACGAAAAGGAGGCATTCGGTGCCAAGAGGGACCTTCCTGGTTTCGCAAAGAGCGTGGACCCTGAGGGTGTACCGACCAATTTCTTAGAATTTGAAGATTTCCGTCGGCTTCTCTACAAATGGCACCGACTTTTTGGCAATGCATTAAAGGCATGCCTCAGCGGTGGCGAATACATGCACATTCGCAACGCTATTAGCATTCTGAAAGCTGTTGTCGAGCACTTCCCCGCGGTGAACTGGATTGGCCGCGACATGCTGAATTGTGTCAACTACCTCGCCATAAATGATGAAAGAGATGATGTCAAAATTCCTGCTGCATCTCTTATCGGCTCCCTGAACAGACGTGAAAAGAAGTGGATGCTTCCGCAAGCATTCAACCTGGTTAAAGTCCAAAACGATGCCGGCCAGCCCAAGTCTGGCTCGCAAGCCCCGGGGACACCTCAACCGCAGTCTTCATCCCCTACATCTCTTAACGCTAAGGCGACTGAATTCAAACCGTCTAATCAAGAGTAAGCTCATACCCGAAAGGTATTTACTATCTCATCGAAGCTAATATGTTCTTCCTAGCACCTTGGCTGCTTCCAACCCTGATGGGGATTCGAAAATGGAAGTCGAGGATGGTGAAATCGAAGATGCCAAGATCAACGAATCGCATGAGACGAAGGCAACAGATAATTCGACCACCTCCAATGAGCATCCCTCTGAATCAGCAAACGCATCTGCTGCTATCGACACAGGCGCCGATGCAATGATGGCTGATCGTCCGGCGTCTGAACGTAATTTAGACCCGTCGTCCCGACCCAGACCGGTCTCTCAAACTCGGGAGCCTGGGCGTGGAAATGATGCCCCCAAGCGGCGTCAAGAGGAACGGCCAAATCCACGAGCGCAAGCCAAACGTCCGCGTCTTAGCGAAGGAAACAGACTTCCACCAAGGCCCGAGCTGATGGACACACGGCATGACAATCTTCCTGACTTCAACCCTCGTACTCGTCACAGCAACCTTGATCATACCCGCTCTTTCGATGGCCCACTGGGCAATGATTCTCGTGGTCGTGGGAGAGGAGGCGATCGCGACCGTGACTTTGCCATGCGGCCTTTGCCAGATGACCCCATGCACAGTTCTTATCATGAGAACCGACCACCACGAGACCAGGACTGGTCGATGGATCGACCAGGACGCAACCGCTCTTCGGAATCTTTCCACGGCCGGGATGTAACTGGGCGTAACGAGCTTATGCCCGATTTTGCCGACAGGTCTGCTGATGGTCCTCGCCGTGGAGAATCCATGCGCTCAGAGAAAGACGATCGTCGAAGCTTCACTCGCATGTCACCTCCCCGTGCCGACCTTCCGAATCGCCCAGAACGGTTCCCTAGTGACCGAAGGCTGGGCAACTCATCACAACAATCTCGCCCTGACGATTTCCCTCGAGGCCCTCGCAATCCAGGCGGTGACTCTAGAGACTCCGCAGCAGCGCCTGATATGGAGCATGGCCGCTTACGCCCCCCTGATACACTCGACATCCCAATTGGCCCCCGTAACCGAAATACCAACCGTGGCGGACGCAATGCCCCCAATGCCCCCGTTGCCCCAGGGTCCAGCAACGCTACCAGACTTCCTAGCCCGGATCGCCAGATGCCAACAGGCTCTGCTCGAAAGGATGGCCGCGGAGATCGTGATCCCTCTCCTACCCAAGCTCCTGCCAGTCCAGAACCCGCTGGAATCCACCCCGACAGACTCAAACACATCATTACCGACTCCCCTGCTTCAAAACAGGCAGGGACTGCCATGACACCCCCCTCCGGTCCTCGCAGCAGACCGGGTAACCAACAAAACCCCCGTGGGTCCCGTGGTGACCGAAACCGTGGCGGCGGCGGCGGCGGCGGCGGCGGCGGTGGGGGTAGCGACAAGCGCTTCTCCGCGCTTACGGGTATGCTTCAGCAAAACTCCGAATCACCAGCTGCTACCACTCCGCCTACTCGAGGCCGAGGATCTGGTAGACAATCCGCCAATGCCCCAGATGCCTCACCGGGTGCTCCTCATCTTCCCCCCTGGGCCCAGTGGTTCTCAAGATGATTATCCACCGCGGAACCGAGGCAATCCTCGTTCTGGGGATCTGATAGATGACGCTGGCCCCAACGACAACCGCCGTGGAGGCCGCAATGACGACCGAGGGCGGGACCGCGATCGTGAGCGTCGGGGCGACGACCCTCCCAACAACGGAAACAACCGTCGTGAAGATCGACGAGAGCGAGACCGGAACCGTCGCAGCGATGTTGGTGGTGGCAATGGGCCTCGGGAAGACAATCGAGAGCGCCAGGCCGAGTCTCGTGAGAGCCAGCGCCGGAACCCAGGCTCGCGCGAGGAGATGCGACGCCGAGACCGGCGCGATCGAGACGACGGACCACCAGAGAGTGGTGCTACTCCTGCCAGCGTAAGCAATGAGAGCGATGGTCGGAACCGACCATCTTCATCAATGGGCGCTCCTCCCCCGCCCCCTCCCCCTCCCCCCTCCAAACCCTCCTCCAATGCTCAACGAAAATGCTCGCCGGTGGAGCTCTGGTGGAGACCGAAACAACCGATCTGAAAACCGAGATCGTGAACGAGACCGACGCGGTGATCGGGGCCGGGACCGTGACCACCACCGTGACGGCAACCGGTCTGGTCATCGCAAACGAGGGCCTCCTAACCAGGATGACGGTACTGGTGATGGGCCCTCACGTGGACAGCGCACGGGAGGCGAGAACAAACGCCCGCGTCGAGGACAGTGAGGTGTGTGCAAATTTGCTTGTGTTTGCTGTTTTTCTGTTTTGGTTTTTTTGGTTCTCTACCATGACTCGGAGATTCCCCGGCCTTTCTTTGTTTTGTATTATTATCTTAGTGTTTATTCATATCCAATCAAGAAGTATTCTTATAATTATTGTGGGTTGATGCAATCTCTCAAGACAAATCGACACATTGTCGGAAGCAGAGTGGCCAACCTGTGAACTGCCAGTGGTATGTTGGGTACTATTAGATGCGACATGACGTTAAACAGTAAGGATGGGAACTTGAATAGGGCCTTTCGAGGTTGTGCCTGTCCGGATTGGATTCGCGATGGTCAGAGCAAAGAACAATGAATGAATTACTGGTTGTCCTGGAGCCGAACCATTGTTATGGAAGAGAAAACAAGGCGTGGAATGTCAATGAAAGAGTAGTAATCTCTGTCTATTTGAGAGTGACCCTAAGTATCGAGGAATTACGATTGTCAAATTGAGAACATATTCAGATGTTGAGAAACGAAGTTGTGTCTACAGACAATGCTTTGTTTACCGTCCGGATTCCCTTTCGTCCATTGCATCTAATCAACAACCATACATAGAATGGCACAGAAAGCTCCGAGTCGACTTGCATGTATGGAGAGAATGTCAAAGTGGGAAAACAAAGCGGTTCTTTTATTCTGACAGACTAGGCTATTGGTCCGAGTCTTTTTTACTCGACTAACCTAACTGTTTGGCATCATCACCAGGTCTCTTGCTTATACCGCCCAACCTTTTCCATCCCAATCAGGTACTCCTCAGCTTGCGTCCGTGTATAGGGCTTTCCAGTGAGAGGAGCACCGCCGTACTGGAAAGCCTCGATCAAAGCTTCTCGTACAGCCTGGGGCATGCGACCTGACGAACCGCAAATATACACTGAGCCCTGTAGGTCATGCAGCGTCTGGAAAAAGAGCGCAAAATTCTGGCGAAGGACATCTTGGACGTACAACTTTGACTTTTGGTCTCTTGAGAAGGCTGTGAGGACTTGCAGAGGAATGAGAGTATTCAGTTGGTCCCACTCTTCCTCGAAAAAGAAATCTGCGGATCTGTTGCGGCCACCGTAGAGCAAGACTGTCTTCCCGACTGGCACATCGGCGCCAGGGTTTTGCTCCCGATAAGCTTGAACCAACGCAGCTTTTTCCCACAGCATAGATCTGAGCGGTGCGATGCCAGTCCCTGGTCCAATAAGAACAGTGGGTCCCGTTAGTTGCTGGATTGACGAATTCAGGCCTCCGCGCTGTAGTTGGATGCGCAGAGTGCTGCCAACCTCGAGCGTAGAGAGATACTTCGTGCAGACGCCCTCGCGAATTCTTTTGATCACCGTCTGGTACTTGACAATTGCAATGAGGAGTTCGAATTGAGTCTTGCCATCAGCAGTCTTCTTTTTTGAGCCACCACTGGCAATACTGAACTGTCGAGCACGGATCACGGGGAAGACAGAAAGAGCATGTTGCCAGGGGATTTTCACTGTGTCGAACTCATGCAACACTTCCAGGATACTTCTGCGTGGGCGGGATGTGTAGTCCCACAGCTCGTCCAAATATTCCGGGTTTGTAAACTCCAAAAGACGCTCCTTATGCAACTCGTCAGTTGTGTAGTGGGAAATTGTAGCGAAGAAAGATCTCCGCGGGATAGCCTTGAGATCCAGGTAATCGGTGAGGAGAGAGCGGAGGGTAAGATTAGGATATGAGTCAAGGCAAGGAATAGGAGGAAGTGAGGCATTGTTCCCTACTGGGTAGAGTGAGATCGGTGAATCCGCAACATCGTTCCAATCCATCAAGTCGAGCAGTATCTGTACATCTGTGGGTGATGTCTTGGGTGTAATGGCAATCATATCACCCGGTACGTAGGAAACGGACTCATCAATAGTGAAAGAGATCCGCCGGACGTCTTGCCAATGGCTCATGGGAGTAATGCGTCTATTGTCTGTCAACGTCCCCAGGAATGTATCAGGCAGTGGCCGGATGTCGCGGTCAAGATTCGTCAAGCCGGGTTGTCCATTTGATGGAGCTGTTGAGGCAATACTTTCTAGCTTTATAGGGCTCTCATTGCCTCCTTTGATTCCTAGAACCCACTTCGGTGGTAGTTGTACATCGTCCGGGATTGGGTGTTTTCTCCGGGGACAGGGGATGTCGATCTAATAGGCTTTTGCGGAAATTTGTCATCCATGGTATGAAAGTGCCTTCAAGCCTAAAAGGGGAGTTGCGTTAAGGCGCTTCATTGGCAAGGACAGAATTCAACATAGGGAGCTTACCCTTCTGGATGCTGCTGGTCTGCTTCACCGGTCGGATAAATCTCGTTGCCACCCAGCTGAATTAATCGTTTGTGAAGCTTCCGCACCGCCCAGTTGAATCTGCAGAGGTTAGCAACATTGGTAGGGCTATCAGAGCCGGAACCGGGCACATACTTGGGATAGGAACTATCGCCAAGGCCAAATGCTGCAAAGTTGATCCCGGCTAGGTATGTCGGTGGCAGCTTCTTGAGAAGGAGTGCTTTCCAGAACTTTCGCGCATTGGCTGGCAGATCGCCTTGTCCGGTCGTCGATACCACGAAGATGGTCAATGTATACGAAGAAAGCGCATTCTAATGGCATACAATTCAGTAAGATGTCCGCCAGAGTCAAGCTGGGAACTCGATCAACTGGACTCACAGGCTCCGACTGGTTCAATTCTGCAACATGCGTCGCAAAGCGCATTCTCTCGGTTAAAACCCCCAATTCCTCCGCGACCTCCTGGGCGTTGCCAGTCTCCGAGCCATACAGAATAAGGGCCGATCGGGCAGGGCCCGAGCTCTGAGCGCTCATGGTCAAGGTGTGTGTGTATTGTGTATTGGCGATCAAATCCAAATTCATGGGGAACTTTTGGCGGGGGCCGATGTCGGTCACGTCATCCAACGGCTGGGCGATTTTAAAGATAAAGTCTTATCTGATCTGATCTAACTTTCTACAACCAGGTTAAATGGATTTGTCTTCAATCGCAAAGATTTATCTCTGCGCTTGGCACAGATATTCGTATCGAAATGAAATATGTCTGCTTCGATGCTCCAAAGATGGGAATGGGAGCATTAGAACACGGAGGAATAAAAGGTTTTAAAAGCAAAATAGAAAGGGTATCTCAGAGCAGCGCCTCAGTAAGTATCCTCTTCACCACCACCGCCATCGTCGTCTCCAAAGTCCTCGTCGCCGCCGTCGAAGTATTGTTCGGCATTATAATCTCCACCCATGTCGTCTTCGTCATCTTCAAAATCGTCATCCACAACCTCCTCCTCTTCCTGCTCCTCATCATCCAGCAGCTCGCCGGCTTCCTCGTCCTCAGGGCCCGAGTCCTCCTCACCCTCCCCTTCCTTGCGTTGCTTTGTCGCGCTCTCAACCGCCTGTTCTTCGTCGTCTTCAAACCCGCGCTTGCCGGCTCGCGATGACTGTGGCTTATAGCCACCAGCGTCGGGGCGGAAATCGGGCTGGATGATACTCCACGAGTCGCGTGGGAAGTAGCGCATAACTGCAGGCAGGTATTAGTCTCGAAGCCCGATCATTCCAACGATAGTATCAGCCATAGCTTCAAACTCACCCCACTCGCGCTCATTGGGATCGATTAATGGGACAGTCCGGCGCTTCTTCTGGTACCGGCTGGAGAAAGAGGGCATGCCGTTGAACGGATCGAAGTTTGCGCGTGCTGCGGTGCCCTTCCTGGCCGAGGTAGAGGTCACGTCGAGGACAGAGAAGAAAGGGCCTTCGCGAAGACGCTCGCGGAGGTGTCGCCCCCAGTCGACCTCGCTTTGTTCTTGGGCGCTAAGCTTGCGGGCGAACGGTACCACATAGGCCTGGGTACGAGTAAGAAGGGTGTGATTTTGCATGATGATGACGGTATGGTTGAATGATCAAGGACAAGAGGCATGGGAAGAAAAGGGCAAGAGCAGAGGGAAGGAAGGACTCAAGTGCTAGGACGATTAAAGAACTCACTGGATAGAGGGGAGTAGGTGCGCCATCAGCTTCACCACCACCACCACCTTCGGTATCCCAGGACATATCTTGTCCAGGGAACCCCTGCTTCTTCCTGAATCGCGACATTGTAGCGCTAAGATAAGTCTGCAATGCAAGTAAAAACTATAACCTCTTTTATTACAGATGATTCATTGCGCCATAGTAGTTGAAGCCGGCAAAAAATCGAGTCACGGCGCGAACCTCGAAAAATCCGCGCTGACCGCCTTGGCCCCGACAATCTGCCCTCTTCCCCGCGCTAAGATAAGGCTGCCGATCATTTGATGCCTCTATGAGTCGACAAAGGTAAACTGGTCTTGCTATTTTCCATCCCGCTGTCTGAAGTTCGATTCTATTAAGTGATATCACAGTCCAATGGCCTCTACTTGAGCTGCTCCTTGTTGCACTGGCCCCAGAGGCCCTTCATTCACCCGCTGTCGCAATGTCCGCAGGATATCTTCAAATCCGTCCATCTGGTTGCCGTTCTCTCGAAGCTTATTGTACAAAGCCACGAGGACATCGTGTTTTGCGGTCGCAACCTTCCAAACAGCGTTTTGAGAATCCCCTGCGCCACCGCCCACAAACTCATTATAAGAGCGAGGTGGCTTGAAGAGATAAGGCAGAAGCGTAGTGAGCGCCGGTGGGGTGAGGATAGCCCAAGCGCCTGTCAAAGGGAGGAGGCCACTACTAGCAGGTGATAGCCGCCCCAAATTTTCTTCAAAAGGCAGCTGGAATCGGGACGAGCCGGAGACATGCGACGCAGGAGGAAGGGGCTGCCAATTCGCAGTCACAATGGCGTCCATAAAATTGATCGCAGCTAGCGCAGCATCCTTCATGACAAGGATGTCAGCTGCGGCAACGATGTCGGACCAGAAGGTAGGATTGTGGTTGAGGTAGATAAAGTACAACATGCGCGCTGCGGCAGCTTCATGATGCCAGTCTGTCGGTGTTTGACCGGAGGTGTTGAGATTCATAGAATCGGATAAATATGCATGTCCTGGTCCTTTGAATATCCTTCCAAGGACCCCAAAGGCCTCCTCATTCGGTGGGTGGGTAGGAATCGAGAGCATGGGGTTTCCGCCATGTTTGCCAGCTTCCACTAAAAGTACCCGGGGAAGGGCAGCCAAGACAGCCAAGTGACCGGTAGGAACTTCCCCATGGGCCCATTGAGTTGAAGGGATCGCGAGAGCTCGGGATATGCGCGAGGTTATTCCGTCCAACAATGTGGAAGGATTTTCCAGGAGATGGTTTGGGTATGAACCCGCATATCTCGCAACGTAGGCCATGGTCGGGCCCGCGAGGTAGATCGAGTCCACTGGATCAAGCTTTGAATCATCGAGATAATATTCTAGTATTTTGGAATGGATGTTTTGGGAAATCAGGAAATCCAATGCGGGCGAGGAAAATGTTGATGCAGATGCCACAAATCCTCGTGCAGCAAGACCCGGGGCATCAATTTCAATCAGCTCGCGGTAGAAGTTGAGAAGCGTCATATGCATCAGAACATCACTAGTATCAACCATGATAGAAGCTGCAAAATGCAGAATACTATCGCTGCCATACTTCTTCTCAACATCGTACACTTGCGACTTCGATATGATATCCCAGCGTCGACTACCGGCCTTGACAAGGAAGCCTGCTAGTCTCCCTTGGGCAACCGTACGTGCGCGTTTAGAGAGGTCACCAGGCGCATCCTTTTGTAGACTGCAAAGTCCAAACAGAAGACCATACACATCCTTATCAGTGAATACCCTGCGCCACATCAGGCCCTGGCCTCCGTGTGTCTCCTTTCCAGTGTCATATTCTCCTTTCTCAAGAGGGCTGGCCAGGTCAACCTCCAGCAGAGCCCATAACGTATCAAAAGCTGCTTGGGCAACTGACGTCGATGATGTAGATAGCCAAAGCTCCACCAGGGAGGCCACCAGGCCAGAGTCCCCCGCGACTATTGCTGCATCACTTGACGTTTCCCCAGCCTTGGCCAGTAAAGACAGGGCCAAAAGGTTGATTGGTGGTGACGGTGCCTTGAAGCCAGCAACTAGATCGAGAGAAGGCCCAAGCGATCGAAGGTCAGCGAAGCTGAAGTTTGCGGTCGCTTTGGTGGCAAGGGTGGTGAGGGGGAGTTGGATCTTCTTGGAGCACAGGTAAAAGTGCCGATATCTGCGATAAGAGCGTCGCGGGGACTACCGGAGCTGTGTCTTCGACGAGTTGGAGCTTTAATCGATCGACCAGGGTCAAGTCTAGTGCAGTTGAAGGGTCGTCTTGTATCTTGGCCAAGTGCGCTTTCAGCACTTCGAATGAGGATGGGATAGCCATGGTGGTGGACGTGTAGCTAAGGAAAATTAAGATCGCATGGCGGGGGAAGCTATCAACTACCAAAGCCTCAGGCCGATCCGCAGTAACAAACAGGCCAAACACCCGCATCTTCTCAACATCTACTCGATCCATCTTCTCCAACTTAACTTCCCCAACCTGGGAATCAAGATGGATTCCCCTCGGTCTCTTGTATCCCAGAAGTCTTCGGACTCTGGGCTGACTGTCCAGCTCCATCCTCTCGTTCTCCTCTCGATCTCCGACCATATCACTCGACACGCCGCCCGCCAGCAGCAAGGCCCCATTGTTGGTGCCCTTCTAGGACAACAAAATGGCCGGCAAGTCACGTTGGAGCAGGTCTTCGAGTGTCCCGTGACCGAGACCGATGGAGAGGTTTCTGTTCCTCCAGTATGGTTTGAAGAGCGAGTGCAGCAATGTTAGTATCATATCTCCCATCCCCGCAGTGAGGTCGATTTGCTTTGCCATACCCGCGACTAACACTTATCAGTCAAGGATGTTCACAAAGACCCGCCTCTTGACATTGTTGGATGGTGGTCAACTGCGCCTCCCACCGGCCCTACTCCCTCCCACCTCCCCCTTCATCGACAGATCCTCCAGGACTACAATGATTCAGCTGTATTCTTGGCATTCCATCCTTCACAGCTCCAATCGGCCGAATCGCGCGCCGCGAAACTCCCATTGACGATCTACGAGAGTGTCCTCGAAGGTGATAATGCTGGGGATACGTCAAAGGACATGCAGATTGACGGCGAGGAGTTAACATCAAGCATTCGCTTCCGCGAGCTGCCGTACACCGTGGAAACCGGTGAAGCCGAGATGATTGGGGTAGATACGATCGCCAAGAACTCCCACGCAGCTTCTTGGGTTGCGCCTATCCCCAAGGGCCAGAGCGAGGGCCAAGGATCTGACGACCCGTCAAAGCCACAAGCAAGCCAGCCAGCCCAACTAACCCAGGAAGAAGAAGAACGTACGTGTGCTGGCCATTCTACTCGACTTGTTCTAACGTCAAAATCAGTGATCGGAAATCTCAACACACGCATAAATGCCATCCGCATGTTCCAATCGCGCATTTCCCTTATCAAGGACTACATTCTCAGCATCTCTGGGCCAGATGCTGGAGCAAACTCTAATACCGCAGTTTCACACCCTATTCTCCGCGACATCAATGCCCTTGTTTCAAACCTCTCTCTCCTTACGCCGCCTGAAGATTCCGAATTCTCTGCAGAGGTTGCCTCGCAAACTAACGATGTACTCCTCGCCTCTCTTCTGGGTCAAATGGGTGAAAATGTGAGGGCGATACGCGAACTAGGCCGGGCATCTGCTATCATCCAGGGCGCGCGTCAAACAACCGCCTCTCGCAAGAATCCCAATGCCATGAACACCCGGTTCGAAGATGAGCTGTTCTCCGAACACTTGATGCAAGGAGATGGGCAATACAGCATGTATTCTTGAATGCACAGTAAAAGCTGCAGAAGACGATCCTACAGTATCCTGCAGCTGCTACTTGATGAACTCCAATGATATCCATAGGCCTGAGGGGAAAGGCGCGCTTGAATTCTTGGTTTGGCTTTGCTTTGATCGCATTTTCAGATTATCTGCCAACCCCAAAGCCCCAACGAAATTACGAACTAAAACAAATATGTGTTTCCGCTACTCAATCTTGGACTTGTATCAAGGTAATCCGAATTCTTCAATCGTTAGATGCTACTGTACAGTACACGCCACCAGATGTTTTAAAAATAAAGCACAATGGGATAAAAAGGCCCGGGTCGTCCTCCAAGAGACATTGCACCATTGCACCGGAAGAAGTAGGAAAGGACATGCCAACATATGGCGGGTATTCATATCCATAATCAAAACAGAAGCAGCTCATGGGTAGCGTGGAAGAAATTAAAAAAAAAAAGGCAAAAAGGGACGAAGCTTCAGCCACCCGGAGTTCAGAATCAATAAGGGCATGGTACCATGGGAGACTGAATCAAAATGAACCAACATTATACGCAAATAGTCATAATGATCATGGACGATGGAAACTTTCAGGATACGGCGGTGGGGGTTGGTAAGGATCCGGCACCGGCATTGACGGCTCAGGAATAGGCATGGGGACCTGCTCCGTGAGCGGGCCTGTCGGATAAGGGTTGTGAATGGCATCGTGGGGTTCATAAGGTGTGATGTGCGGCGGCGTAGGGTCGTAGTACGAGGGCTGGCTGTGCGGCGGATAATAGCGACCACCGCCATGGAGATAGTCGTCTTCCTCTCCGTAGGGCGAGGTACCCAGGTGCGAGGCTTCAGGATTGGACTGGGCGTTTGCCAATAGTATCGCATCCTCCTCGTCTGGGGCCATGCCGTAACGGCCTCCACTCATAGAGCCCGCAGGGCCCTGGTAGGCCGTGCCGTCGACTCCGGAGGTCTGGAGGCCGATTGTCTCGTTGTGTTGCCGGTAGCTGATGTCTTCGGTGCGGCGCTTACGACCGACGAAGACCCAGCGAACACTGCGTCCAATGGCCTTGAATAGGTCCAGAGGGTTCATTGCATCAACTAGCGCCCTGACGCCCCATTTGCCGCCTTCGTAAGAACTCTTGCCAGCGCCGTAGAAGTCGGTTACCTCGCTTTCCGAGCTCGAAATGACATATGGCCTCCAGGGGAAAGCCCAGAGGTGCATGATGGAGAAGATGAACATTTCGATATTGAGCAGGAGCTCTCCAATGCCGTATTTAAGATCATTCATGGCCATTTTATCTGTTGCTTTGATAGCACCACCTGAGACCAGAAGACTGATCAATGTCTAAAAAGGGTCATTAGTTAACTGGAGAGGTAAGGCAGGATATTGGACCTTACAGTTTGCCAGAATGACAAGAAAATGACAAGCTTGATAGACAAAACCTTCATGAAAGGTCTGTGCTCTGCGATGTCGTCCTTGATCTGGATGTAGAATTGAATCAAACAGTACATGGCTACCGTGACACTGGCAGATTCAATGGCAAGGACCTACTGTAGGGTTAGTCAAATCCTATACAACTCCAAGAGCTATGAGGAACCTACCCAGATATGCGCAAAGGCAGGGCTCAGCGACTCTTCACAGTATCTTCCAGTTGCTTGGGTAGCGACCGCAACAATGGTCATCAGAACACGCATCGCGCAGTACTGGAAAATTCCAGCCCAAACGACCTATTAAAACACCCACCCATTAGCTGATGCTCAAACCCACTGTATTCAACCGATGCAATTCTCACATTGAACCACGTCAAGCCGCTGCGCGGGTTCCGCCAGGCTCCACGATGTCCGAAACAGCATTTCCACTTCTGAAACCAAGGCAGCGGCCAAACCCAAGACTTGGGCGTCACTCCGCGGAAATAATCCTTCTGGCTATGCAAGTCCGGGGCGATGTACGAGCACATGAGGGAGAAAAAAGAGGCGATCGCGAACGCTTCGTAACAGTCCCCGAGGACCTCGAAGTAGACGGCGTCGTGGTAGAAGAGGATACTGAGCCATGCGACAACGGAGTAAATGGGTACCATCCAGAGAATGCGAATTATACTATCGCGGAGAGACGCGGGCAATTAGTCAAGCGGTCGGGTCGGCACGCGCGGGAGCCTCGAAGAGCCAGGAATGGGAACGTACTGCCGTTGCTGGACTGGTTTGCTGTAATGCGTTGCATGACCGACGATCAGGAACAGTGAGACGGCGCAGGCAAGCACGCCACATACGCCGCCCACGATAAGGGCCATCTCATGGAAGGTGATGCCGCCATCCCAAAGGTCGGCCTCGGAGACTACAACGGTTAGCTTGCTATAGACGGATCTCGATCAACAGACATACTCTTTTCCTTCTCTTCGGTGGTATTACACACTGTCCAGACCATCCTAGCTGGGTTGTGACAAGACGCGACAAAAGGAGTGAGAGGTGAAAGGGGGAAGAAGGCGGCGGGTCGTCTGTTTTTTCTGCCGCTCTTTTGTTGATGGTGATCAACAGGATCAACAGGGGACAAGCGCGGCAATATGAAGGAAGAAGATCGGAATCAGGTTAAGCCTTGATGCCGTGTGGCTTATAGAAGTCTCCATCAAAGCCACTAGCCACGTTCTGTGAGCCGGGGGGAGCCTGGACACCCCAGGCTTTGCGCTTTTTTTTTTTCCCCCTTTCGTGATTGGACTGTCAGCTGTTTGAGTATTGAGCCTGGTTATTTTTGGCAACACCCAACTTACTTTTTGGTGCAATCGGTCTTGTCCGCCATCCAGTAAATGAACCAAACAGGAACCGGTGGCTCCGTGCCTGACTATGATAGACCTGGCGAGGAGAGGGGCATAAAAAAAGTTAAAGATTTCTCCGATAGGAGGGCCCAAATTCCTTTTTCCCTAATGGGGTTACTGGGAATGAAGCATTCTGTGCCACTAGATCTTATCCATTGAAAATATTTTCATTAATACGTTGCCTAGTCATACACAGCTGCCTGGTCTATAGTACAGTTCTGCCACGTTCCTACGCAGGGAGCAGAATTCCCTGGTCTTCACTGATCATCAATTTGTGAGGGGCTTAATACCCGCGACCATAGTAGCCTCGGCCGCCTCGTCCGCCCCGTCCGCCTCTTCCGGTACGCATATTTGGACGTGATCCAGGCCCATACTCAGGTCCAAGATCGACAAAGTAGTCATCATCCTCAAAGGTGATACGGCGCATCTCGTTTCCTCCTCGGCGTGGAACTGGACCCTTTTTGAGCAACTCGTCGAACTGGTCTAGACGCTTGTCGGCGACGGATCGAGGGACTCTCTTATAGTAGAGCTTGGGCTTTGTAGTGGTTGAGTCGAACAGCTCATCCAGGGGCTTAAAGCCCTGTCCGGAGTGTGAGGAATGTTTGGGGTCTACTGGAGCTTGGGTAAGGCTGCCACGAGGGCCCAGGGGCGGTGTTCGGTTGAAGCCAGGTTCGCGCGATCGCGACGCACCAGGTCGAGTACTTCCCACCTCAGAAAGAACAGCCGTGACTCCGTCGTCCCCGTCGCGCTCATATTGAATCTCCCAACGGACAGGTGGGCCGGCTCGGCTTCGCGATGATTCTTCAGTACGGATCCACTCTTCAACTTTGTCGTCGGGGATGAAATCGACCCGTAGAGTCTTGCGGTTACGCTCGTTGGGCCAAATCATTCCATGGAGACTTGCACGGACACGACTCGCAGAAGCGATATCGCGGAACTTGACAAAACAGTGCGTTTTGATGGCATCGAGAAAGAACTCCTGTATAACATCAGGGGCCGGCTCGGTATCGATAGGAGCCGCAAGAGCGACTAGGTGTTTCTGGAGGGCAGCGGGCTGCAGTGGACGCATGAGGCCATCAATGTAGAGTGCAGAGGTTGCTGGGTGCACAGCGGGCTCCACATCCATATCAGGCATGGCGATATCCTCCTGCATGGGAGTAGGTGCAGTAGGAGCCACAAGATCTCGAAAACGCGCATCTTTGGCAGGTGCCGGTCCGTCCTTCTGAGGCAGTGATCTGACAGTCTCATCTTTGGAGAGTTCGTTGTCGTCCTTCGCGGGGCCGATAGATTGATCCTCTTCCGCCCGCGACTTTTTTTTCGCAATTGCCTCTGCTGTGGGAACAGGGCTTTGGCTGCGGCGCTTGCGCTTGCGCTTGTCTTCTAAGGCTTCTTCCACTGGGACAGGTGTTGACAACCTTGTATTGGCTTCGGATGTCTGGAGTGCAGGGACATCCCCAGGTTTTGCTGAACCAGCGCTCTCCTCATTAGCATTTTCCCCTCCTTGATCCACCAGCTCAGCCTCAGCCTCAGTTGAAGCTGGGTTTTCAACGACATCCTGGTTCTTTGTAGCCACTTGGTCATTGCCTTCTTTTGACCCATTCGCGGGCTCAATTGGTTCATTAGCTTGATCCCCTTTCGCCGGCTCACTATTTTCGGTGTGGGCGGGGGGCGAGGGCTGTTCTTCATTTTCTTCGGAGGCGTTCTGTTGAGGTTCTTCGGCGGGCTCTGCAGATTTCTGTTCTGACGTTTGGGTGGTATCCTGCTCGATTGTTTCGGGTCCATTATCCTTGGTAGGTTCAGGCTCAGGCTGGGGCTCGAGCTGGGTTTCGGTGTTGGATGGAGCTGTTGAATCTTCAGATCGGGCGACCGCGTCTTGTTCGTTCAGTTTGTCGATGAATTGTTGCTTCAGGCGCAGGCCAGTTTGGGGAATGCCGCGCCTCTTGAGCTCAGCCTTCAGGTCTGCGACCTTCCAAGAAGAGAAGTCGGTCATTCTGGCGGTTCATGCAGGTGGGAGGTCGGTGAGGGTGAAACGAAGAAAGCAAGAAACGAATCTGGGGACGCGCCGGAATGCGGCCGATGATGGTTCCGCTAACCTAATGTAGGCTAGCGTGACCCCACATTGATTTCTGACGATTTCCAATTTCGTTTACTTGGCGTATTTATGGTGTATAAATTTTGAAGATTGACTATATCTCTTCTGTTGCCGCTTTCTTGAATATTCATGGGCCAATTTAGCTTCCCTTAATTCAGTAAGCGGTATGATAGCTCTTTGATAACCTTGCTTAGCAGGATTACCCGTGTGTCGCTAGCGACAAATAATGATATATACTAATTGAGTGGCTTTATATGTAGGATGGATATGGAACTGTCCGGGAATTGGACATTTCTAGCTCTTTTAGTAAAGAATTATCTGGAGTTGCACTGGAAGTGAGTTGCAGTGAAAGTATGTTAATGGTACTACTGTCTACCAGTGGCCAAATCTTGTAACCGCGACCTGGACTCCATGTTGTCATCTATTCGGCTAAAGGCGAAGCAAATGTGATGAACTTCAATTTGAAGCTGAGTTTAGTTTGCAAAAAATACTCTCCAGAATTGGTGCCAACATCATATATTGTAATTGCCTGGTTTGGGAGCTCCCCACTGAAAGGGGCATCGAAAGTATGAGGCATCGAAAGTATAGGTCATACCTAATCAACAACCCCGCGGGGAAGGAAAGAGATGTAATCAAGCGGTGCTGGTTCGACTCCATTAGGTGACCCGACGACCTTCAAGACGTCGCCTTTTCTGATCTCCACGTCTTGGAACTTGATACGTGTGGCTGAGTGACCATCAAGATAAACTGAAGGTGTATGGCTCAAATAGTCTTCATTGTTGCCCACCCATTCGCCAACGCTTTGATCATTCAAAGATACCTTCCAATGTGATCTTCCCCCATACAGATCATAATAATTGACAGCCAAGTCGTAGGTTCCTGACTCAAAGTCAAGGGTCGTAGTAGCCACCCCCGCGGTATCATTGGAAGCCGTGACAATAGCGACTGCCCCAGACGCAGTTTCAAATGGACTTACATCATAGGTTTTGTAGCCATCCAGGTCCATATCCTCTGCTTCAATCCGCCAGGGATGGTTGCCAACACGTTTTCTTGCGTCCGGAATGCCCGAGAGATTGTAGTAGAAACCATTGATAGCATCTCTCCAGATAATAGAATGGCCTGCCTGATACTCAAGTCGCCGCCGAATGTGCGAAAATCGCTCGCTGTCAACTTTCCCCTTCAGCGAGTTCCATTGGTCGAGAAAGTCTTGAGCGCTTTCTGCTCCGTCATAATGTGCGTCGTAGAAATGTTGAATCACGGTCTTCCCAGAATGTAGACGGTGCGTATAGTTGACGTGGTGGAACCATAACAGAAGATGGTCTGGGGTGGTCTCAACATTTTCATATTTCGCTGCTATCTCATCAGGGTATTGGCTCGTGTAACCTGTGCCGTTTGAGACCGTGCGATCCATGCCGATAGTGAGATGGTCGGCACGGGTCCACTGGCCCCAACCGTTGTTGTCTTGGGAGGCTGGATTGGGCCCATAGTGGGTATAAAGGATATCTGTAAGAGTCTGAATCCCCAAATTGCCGCTGTAGTTCTCGTAGGCCGGCCAGGATTCCATGGAAATCTTGATGACCGTCTCAAGTACTGATTGATCCATACCGAATGTGAGTCGGACCCAATCTTGAAGTATGTCTTGCGGGTCGTCGGCCGGATTCCAGGCTAAGCGACCATAGGCGTAGAAATTTGACATCGACAGATGGCTTCCGAGCCATGTCATGTTCGTTCCAACATTGACAACGGCGGCATATCCACCGAGAGGGCGGTTGAAGCGGTCGCCGCTGATGATGTCGCTGACAACAGACGGCTGATGATCAATCCGTAGGTCAAAGTCCAAGACGGTCTTCCACAAAGGAGGGAGATAAACCACATGAGACTGCTGTCCCAGATACTCCTGGGTCACTTCCAGCTCAATAGCAGTGCTGGTGTTGAAAAGATTTGCAAACAGTGGAGACGTCGGCTCGCGTACCTGGAAATCAATAGGCCCGTACTTAATCTGCACCACAACGTTGTCGTCAAACTTTCCGTCCAAAGGCTTGAAAAAGTTAACAGCCGCCTTGGCTCTATCTGCATCCCAGTTCGATTCATTGAGCTGGTTGTAAACAAAAGCACGAAACATGACTACGCCGCCATACGGCTGCACTGCCCTGGCAAACACATTGGCACCCTGTGCTAGCGTTCGATTATATGACTGAGGGCCAGGCTCTCCCTCCGAGTCCGCCTTGATGAGATATCCAGCCAGATCAGGTACATGCTGGTATACTTGGTCGGTCATATTGGACCACCATCGTTCGACAGATGGATCCAGAGGGTCGAAAGTATCGAGCCCCCCCGAGCGTCTGAGGAGAGGCAAAGTTGAGGGAGATCCCGATCTGAACTCCGTACGGTCGAAAGACATCCGCGATTCTTCCTAGCCCCTTGATATTTTCCGAGGTCAGAAGGGTAGCATTTGCGTTGACATTGTTGACAACTATCGCATTGAGTTTGATGGATGACAGGAGACGAGCATACTGGCGGACGCGTGTCAAATTACTCACAACTCTACCATTTTTGAAGAAGATAGAGGAGCCCCCCATATCCCCGCTCAATGCTCCCATCCATGTTGTCCCACTGGTTCACCCAGCGAATCGGAGCAGCCGGATTGCTTGCATAGGCCACTTCGGACATGTTGCCGTGAGCAAGGAGTGATAAGTACTCATATGCTCCATACAGAGCACCCCTTTCGTTTTGACCCAATATTTTGACTTGGTGGCCCTCTGTACTGAGCCAAAAGCCATCAGGGATGAGGTCAGGTAGACCATTTAGTGACCCATAGGCATTCTGGTACTGCTCCAGCGTTCCAACAATGATAGACGAAGAATTGCCTCCACCGCGTACTATCCGGATACTTTTACCATATATGCTTTTCAGTCCGTTTTGTAGCTCCTCCCCAGCAGTGCGTACGGGACTGCTTGCGGTTGAATTGAGAATGGAAACAGTCGACGGTAGCTTGGACTGACAGTCCTGAGAACAAGGCAACGGCGCATATCGCAACCAGCCATCTAGGCCGGTCTCCGCCGAGGCCGCCGCCACAAGCACTGATAAGACGGCAGCTTTCATCTTGGGACCGTGGCGTAATGATCTGATAACTCTGGGAAGCCACTCCCCGACTCATTTATAAGAGCGTACAAGGACACATTCCCTCGGCAGATTCTCGGAGACTGATGCTAAATTCCCCCATGGGGGGGACATTCAGGCTAAACATGTCTAGCCTGAAATCAGACTTCAGGCTATAATCAGCGGCGATCGTCTGTTCAGATCTGTCGAAGGATAATTGCGGGCGTCGGTGGATCCTTGGCATTCCCCGCCAATTATCCATTTGAGAACGTGGGGGTTGGCGGCACTCAGACGTCGGTACAATGAAACCCGAACTCCAAGGGAAGTTGAAGTCCTGGTCGCTTAGTGGTACTCATGTTTGAAGATGGGTGCTCGCAGCTCAAATTGCGACTACGAAAATAAGTCAAGATCTAAATGGAACGTGGTTTGGGGGTTTCCCGTAAAATATACACCAACCATAGCAGTAGAAATTTGCCGATTTGAAGAGCTTGATTTCCGAATTGTATTCCATTAGGACTTAGAGATTTAAAAGGGGGATGTATCGTGGGAGCCCATGAACAGAAAAGCAGAAGAGTTGCCTACGGGCAGCAAATGTCAAATGACCTTGGTAAATAATGTCACTGACGATAGAAGTAGAAACAGATACAACTGGGGTATCATAAATCATCTGAACGCCTTTGCCCAGCCATGAACTCCGATGATTAAAAAAAAAAGCGCGAAAGTAGCTTAGTGTATCGTTGTCGTGTATCGTTGTCTCATAATGATAGGAGAACCTTCCCGCGCCATACTGAACACGTCTTTGGGAAGACACTATGGCCTATCAAAGTTTGGATATTTTGAGATGAGGCAAGGGCGCGGGTGCAGGCTCAGGCTCGGACGCATCAGGAGCAGGAGATTCAATGATATCCGAATCACCGGGGTCCATAACGACGAGCACAGAGCAGGGAAATAATTTCCCGCAGGCCGTGCCAAGATCAATCTATGATGAACATCAGCGTGTGAGCTCTCCGGGATCCTGAATAGAAATCCCATCGCTGAGCAACCTCACCCTCCGGAGTCGCAAGCCGACCTCATGGAAGAGTGGCGCAGCTGGCTCCTGGGGGCACCCGTGAGGGTATTGGGTGAAGTGGGGCCGACGTACATTCGTTCCGCTGTAATGGTGGACCGCGGTGCGCGAAACCATGGCAAGATACTCGAGTTCGGCGCGCTGAAGAGGGGGGCAATTGCGTGCGAACACGACGATCTTTGCATGTCCTGCACGAATGGCTTTCCGGGAAGCTTTCGTGCCCATGAACACTAAGACTCGTTACTGTTTGTTGATGGAGCATCCTGGTCCTGCAGAATCGTTTCAGGACTGCTTACGTTTTCCCGATTTCATCACCAGGTTGAGGCGGGATGCCAAGTTATCGACACGAGTCTTTTTCTTGCTCATCTTGGCTTTGGGAATTGGAAAGCTGTAGAGAAATGACACGAGAACGCAAGACGGAGGCGACGCGACTTGGTAGAAGAAGAGAACAAGGATGAAATTCTGCCAATGACGTGGGTCTAAAGAACACTCCGCCTATGTACGATTCACCGCCCGAGTACTGATTGGATGTATGCCCCCGCGGGGTCCCTGACTCACTTAGTGGGGCCGTAGAATAAATTGGAATATTTCTGCAGTTCGGATCCCTCTTTCATTCAACCTTGTCCACATTGATTGTTCCATTCCACGCCATTACAATGGCTTCCGAAACGAGCGGTGCTGCTCCTGGAAAACTTCGTCAGTTTCCCCCTCCCATTGCAATTCCTCCTTTGGCAATGAACGGCTACTAAATCCCGTAGAGAGAGTCGATTCCCAGCCAGAAAACCCCTACGCCAGGTTGATTGAGGACCAATCCATCGCAGTGGTACCTTCATTCACCCTCGAGTCTGGCGTCACACTATATAACGTCCCTGTTGCATATACCACCCGCGGTGTCTTGTCGCCGAAGGGCGACAATGCGTTGGTCATTTGTCATGCCTTGAGTGGGAGCGCCGATGTCGCCGATTGGTGGGGCCCACTCCTAGGAGGCCCCGGGCAGGCATTCGATGTATCGCGGTTCTTCATTGTCTGTTTAAACAGTCTGGGGAGTCCATATGGAAGTGCAAGTGCCGTGACATATAAACATGGTAAGCCTGAGAATGGCTACTATGGTCCGGAGTTCCCTCTCACTACCGTCCGGGACGACGTCAAGTAAGCACCCATGACATGAAGACTTACGAGAAGCGTCTCTCTTCAAAAAACTGACCGTACTTTTTAGCATCCACAAAATCGTTTTAGACGACCTCGGTGTCAAGCAGATCGCGGCTGTTGTTGGAGGGTCCATGGGAGGAATGCTCACCCTAGAGTACGCTTTCTTCGGCAAGGACTATGTCCGCGCTATTGTCCCCATCGCTACCTCTGCGCGCCATTCTGCATGGTGCATCAGTTGGGGTGAAGCTCAACGACAGAGCATTTACTCTGATCCCAAATACGACGATGGCTATTACCCATTCGATGATCCACCAGCTACTGGTCTCGGTGCTGCGCGCATGTCGGCGCTTCTCACCTACCGCAGCAGAAACTCATTCGAGTCTCGCTTTGGCCGCAATGTACCTGACCCATCCAAGCGGCAGAACATTAATGGAGTTGAGAGGAACCCTTCACCTCCAAATGAGCACTGGGCTATTCACAACGATGGTCACCGGGGCGGCGCAACTTCTCGGTCCGAGAGCAGACAAGACTCGCCTGCTCCTCAAACTGAAGTCCAATACATGGACCCCCAGTTCTCTGGCACCAAGACATTCTCTGTGCCTACGCCGCAACCTAAGACTGACGCAGCCGGTCGCTCTCGCCCCCCGACCTATTTCTCAGCTCAGTCCTACCTGCGCTACCAAGGCGACAAGTTCATCAAGCGATTTGATGCCAACTGCTACATTGCAATGACCCGCAAACTTGATACCCATGATGTGTCGCGCCAGCGTGCTGATCAGAACTCGGACAATCCGGTCTACGATGCTCTTTCACAGATCCAGCAGCCGGCTCTTGTCCTGGGCATTGAGTCAGACGGTCTCTTCACATTCTCAGAGCAGCAAGAGCTTGCGGCGGGAATCCACAACTCACGACTAAAGCGTATCGAAAGTCCCGAGGGCCATGATGCCTTCCTCCTGCAGTTCGAGCAAGTGAACCGTCACATTGTCGAATTCTTCCACGAGGTCCTGCCGGACCTGATGGCCCACACCAGCGCTGAAGGCGCCGCAGCCCTCGCCAGTGTCAACAAGCTCACCAAGAGTAGCACCTTTGGCGAGGCCGAAGTGGAGGACATGACCGCGTGGTAATCCACCATAGCAAGTAGAACCGCGCCGGCGCAGTGCATGCTGCAGCCCCCCCATGCCCCAGTCCCAGGCATGAACTCTCGCCCTGACTCAACCCCGGGATGAGGAGTTCATTTATTCCTTGGGCCGGCGAGGCATGGCGCACCAGGGGAAGTAGAGGTTGCCGTTCTTTTTCCGTTCCGCTAGTCAGGGAGATGAGCATCCAACTGCCTCTCTCGAATTTCGCTTGGCCTGATCCATGACCGAGATGACTGCACAAGAAGCATCCAACTGCTCTCCATCAGACCCGCCCTCTGGGTCAATTTCTCCAACAAAATTTCACTCCAGGGGTTGATGGGTCAATTTCAATCTCGACGCCCGTTGTGGCGAACTTGTGTGACTCGGTCACATCCTTTTTTTTGGGGTACTAGTACATATCATGATACAATGAAGCATACATTTCATGGTCTGTCTCTAAAGTCTCCACCACGTAACATTGCGTAACAGCGACTGTAGCATTCAAGATTAAAGGTACAGGGTTAGCCCGGGGGAGGGGAGGGTAGAATATGAGTAGCGACCGTGCAAGCCCACGCTTTCCCCGAATCCCTGCATGGCCCTCCCACAAGGTTGGCCTGAAAGAATTCGAAACCAATGGGCGCGTCGAATTCCCAATTCACGGCGATTGTCTGAGCCCTGCTGCATAGAGAGCAAATGGGCCCACGTCACTGCTCGCCAGGGAAGCGAGGCCATGGGAACTGCACGCGACGTGCCCCCGACTGCATCGCTGGCGGGATCTACGCTGCAACGGGAAAGGAAAATGATTTGCGCTGCATCGTGTAGACAAATGTTCATGTGGCTTTGTTGATCCTCGGCCGACTGACCGATGACGCGTGTGGCAGATCCGTGCCCATAAGGCCGCATTATGATTAGTTCCGTCGTGCATGGCCTGTGCAGGTCGGGCAAGTTGCCATTGGGGCGGGATGACAGGTGTATCTTCTATGTGCGTATCTACGGAGCTGAGCGTAAGGGGAGAGAAAAGAGAGAGATCGAAGGCGATAAGCCCCGGTCGGCCTCGGATCTGATCGAGGATGCTCTTAGGCAGCTGAATGCACCCGCTAGAGCGTTCGCAGCTCCAAAGCTAGAGTGTTAGCGTGCTGGGGCCGGCGAGTCCTGTTTTTGTGTTGATAAACGAATGCAACTGGGGGGCGCCGGGTCTAGATCCAGTTTCCCGATGTCTTCACTAGCTTGCATTGGATTACCGAAAAAAAGAAAAAAGGGGAAAAAACAAAAACAAAAGATTAGAGCCGACACCGTAGCCCTCCACGGGCGTTCTCCGTCTCTTCGTTTTCTTTCTGCAGCGAAGATTCTCCGACATTGGCAGAAGGTGGCGTCTCCTAATCCTGGGTTTGTCCCTCGCTTGAATCAATGAAACCACGTCTCAACGGCTCTTGCAAGGAGTCTCTCCACCGGGTCCCACCTTATCGGACGGGCTTGAGGGGGAATTGAAACAGTCTTGGAATCAGGAGCCGCCTCTTTGGTGGAGCCGCGACCCATCGGCTGTGAGAGGCGTGAATAGCGTCCACGATGACATGGATGCTCCAATTATCCCGGAGAAATTACTCGACGCTGTTATGCGGGTGGCTAGCACTAAGGAAATACAGACCGAAACAGAAAAAGAGCCGAGGTGAAGTACACAGTGGGGGGTATGAATTATAAAGTATGACCTAACTATGGAGTATGAAGTCCAAGCATGGAAATAAGCATGAGGTGTATATATACTACAGTGAGCAGAGCGCAGTTCAGGGATCGATGGTGTAGTTGCATATGGAACTCCATTCTGAACTGTTCAGCAGACGTTGCAAAGTTGGGCCCCAGCCACAAAAAAAAAGGGGGCCCGTTGAGCCGATCAGTCGACTAGTCGAGGCTACAGACGCGTCTCGACTGTTGCTTGACGGACGATCCTAACCGGCGTGGGACGCCTATCACATTGACCAGGTTGATCAGCCCATGGGAAAGAGCAAAAAGAGCGGAAGGGGAAATCCGAAAATTCCCCAATAAAAATTAGGTGGCCCCTTGGGCCCAGCCCATGATCCCTGGTCCTTGATTGGGGTCCCGGAGCCTTATATCCTTGCTCTCCACTGGCTGAAGACCCCATCTCCACTAGGGCCCATGATGTGCCTGCCCAATCCCCAACTCGCTTTCTTTATCGTTGATGCCTCAAAAAGTACCCTCCCCCCCTCCTTATCGAGGATAACACTGCGTTCTGCTTTTTCAGCCGTGGCTTCTTAAAACCCTCTTTCCCTCTCCTCTTTCCCCTGCCTTTGTAGGTCCCATGCACGTTCCGGTGCATCCCTCGATTGGGGCTCCCCGCATACCAGACTGTCGCACCGGGAAACGCTCTCAGTTATTTCGGATGTAAACATCGTGAAATCGCCATCTGCGGTGCTTTGCAAGTAAACTTTGCCACCTTATCTGTGGCGCTGTCCTCGACCGCTTGGTTCTCCACCACGCCATATTAATCGTGATACTCTTGCGTCTGCAATCAATTGCTGATCGGTCGCTGTCGACTCAAATCCCACTTATCTACAACCACCTCACACTTCTCCTTTACCTTCCACTGCCACCACGAATCCGATGGAGCGCAAGCTCTCTCAGAAAGCCGCGCAAATGCGCCAACGCTTCACCCTCAAGACTCGACCCTCCCAAACCCGAGAGCGTGCCTCAACAATGACCACCTCACGCCCAGCCTCAAGCGCCAGTCACCGCTCCCGCTCGGCCACAACCCCCGTGTCGCCAGCAGGGACGACGTGGGACAACGTAGACCCAACCCGATACTACGATTTCACAGACGAGCCGGGATACTTTCGCCCGGCCTCGCCACTCCTCGAGCGCCAGGATATCGCAGAGCAAGTAGAGGACGACGTGAAACACGCTTGCGCACTCCTCGTCCACAGCATCGACCGCGGGCTCCCTATGTGGCCGTCGCTGGAAGCAGAGACTGCTTGCCGTCCCGACCCCGCTGGCTTGGTCAATCCCTCGCCGCCGGAACCACCATGCACATCCCAGGACCATCCAGGCTACCAGCAATGGGATAAACAGGGCCCTCTCCCCAAAGACCAACATGATTCTGGCGTGGGAATGAGCTTCCAGTCGCCGGGAAAGAGTAATCGGGCCGCACCAAATAGCTTCTCCGCGTCCGCGGGGACAGGCCGTTTCTATGGAAAACGCAACTCCATGTCCCCGCCCGCTAAAGAGTCGGAGCGTGGGCGTGCGCGCGGCAGAAGTTTTGCGACACATTCGACTTCCGAATCGAGGTCCCGCTCCCGCTCGTCCAGCCCGGCCTTCTTTCCCTACAGTCCTCCGCAAATGGACTTCTGCTGGGGCTTTACCCAGGAACCACGGTCCGTCGCAGTGGCGACTGGCGAGCCGCTCCCACAATCCGCTCTGCTCGGTGCACAGGGTATGGCCTGGCTCAAGGCCAGCTTCGACAGGTCCGGCAGTGATGACTCGCAAACCCTCCAGCCCCAGAGCAACGACCATGCAGGCATGGTCTCGGCTCCAGGAACAGCTGCCGGACCACCTGACGCCGCCCCATGTCGATTCTACAGCACGCGCAGGCTACCCTCCGAGTCACGCTTGAAATCGCATGAATGGGCGGGCTTTGGCACCTGCGAGAGCCGCGACTCCATTATCCACACTAGTCTTTCGATGCAGAGCATCACCGGCCGTGACGAGGAGAAGCGGGCTCAGAACCATGCCTATCCTATTTGGGATGACCAGGAGTCGAACTCAGGGTCGGAGGAGTTTGGTAATCACCAGGGCTTCTACTCTCTGTGCGTGCCGGGCCAAGAGCAAGAGCCTATCCCCCAGCGTCGACGTAAAGCTTCGGACCTCCTTAAAAAGTTGACGGGGTTGGGGGCTCGGCGCAAAGATGGCGATGCGGTCGAGAAGAGGTTCGGGCGTGCTGTTGCTGTTTAATGATCACGATCGCTTGGTTTTGCGTTACGCTGTATATGTTGTCCTCGCATATAGAAGGTTGGATGTTTGGATGTATATACCCCCCTTAGCCTTGTTCATTTGTCCTGGAATGATAATATTTTACACTTCAAATTTCTATCCGGACTAACGGTCTCTATGGATATTGGTAAACTCACTTGTAGTAAATAGTGGACGCTGCTGCCTTAACGGAGGTTCAGTGTGCCGTCTCTAGTACCGCACCTCAAACTTTTTGTGTCCAAAGTGGTACCGAGCATCGTATGGAATTACACTCATCGCAAGAGAGGGGAGATCAGGGCTGGAGTACGTTCAATTCAAAATTGGTCTTTCAATCTACAGCGTAATAGTGCATTTACCTTTCAAGGTTGCTGATATACAGGATATTTCGGCTCCTCTTCCACCGAAGGCAGTATCAATAGCATAAGCCGCAATTTGCACACCGTCGACATTGTCTTGGCCAACATCCATTGTGGTATCGACCGGTTTTCCAAGGTGGACTTGCCCCGTCCTCTTCGGCCACGAAGCGAATCAAGTGTGCGGAGAGAATAAAAGAAACAACAGGGGTAACATGTGGAAAATTGGCGGCATTGCTCCAGGAATAGCCAGCCTCATTGTCCGGTTATGGAACCAATCTCACACTCAACCTCGGTACACCCTACTTTGTAGTGTGGGGCTATGATGAACGGGGTACAGAATATCCGCGCTTCGTCTCCACGATCATCCGGATACTGAGCATATTTTCCAGGCGCTTGATGCAGTCGTCCAGCCCTGGTCTACGGACAGAATTATCCCGCTCCACCCCCTCCCCCACATAAATTGGCCCACATTTCTTAGTTCCAGGCAAATGAGACTCACTATTCCGTGAATTACCTTTCGGCCTTGAAAGCGTCAAAGCGTATCGAGATCTATAAGAGCCTCGATCGATCTGATGATTACTGGCATCAGTCATTTGATCGTGGCAACACATCTTCTTCGAGTCCCTCTATAGTCACCTTGCGAGATAAAAAATATCATTTGATGCAGGTAAGTTCACAAACAGAAGCAATCATTTCCCGTTGAAAATTGCACTAAAGGACCATATTGAAATAAAGATCTTGACCCGAAGATCAGCTCAAAAATCCCGCTGGCAGGTCAGGACCCCAAACTGCAAGAGACTCGTCTCCCGCAGGCCCATATGCAATCGGTGTCTCTCTGTTTACAAGATCGCCATCGGCATAATGCTCAATCATATTCCCCGTCGTGTCCCACCAATAGTCAAAGATCTGGGAGCCCAGAATGTGGCGACCAACACCCCAGACAGACTGATAACCCTTCTTGGCAAGCCACTGATGGCCGATCTTCTGCGTGTCAAAGTCATGGACCTCGAAAGATGCATGGTGCACATGGGTGGTGTCATTCATGCTAATGAAGAAGCAGTGATGATCGACCATGGTCTCGCCGCGGTCAATGTGAGCAAATACAGCCACATTCTTCTTTTTGGCCCCCATGCCAGCATAAAGAAAGTCACTTGGCACTATGTTGAAAGTTCTGGTGTAGAAATCGACAAGCTCCTCAAATTTCTGACTACAGACGCCGTAGTGTCCAAGCTAATCGTGGTTTAGTCTTACTGCTGCATTGCATGGAACCCAGAACAAACCTTGTAGACAGCTGCAGGGCCAACTTGGAATCGTTGGAATTTCCGCACACGCGGCTTCTCGGACTCATAATTGTAGACGAGCTTCTCCATCTTCCCCTCGGGACGCTCTGATTTTGCGCCATACAAGAGATTGACTGGAAGCCCTTCAGGGTCAGTGACCGTGACCAACAAACCTCCGCCTGGAGCATCCTTAAGTTCCTGGATCTCGCTAGCAGTCGGTAGTCTCGATGCTCTGCACCATTGGTTAGTATTTTGTTTAAGAAAAAAGAATTTTACAATACGAAAGACTCACTTCTCCAGATCATCGTAGCTCTCGACCTCATAAGTCCCTCCTAGAAACTTCTTTGGCCCCTTCAGAGCATAGTACACATACGGATCTGGCCCATATCCACGGAACCAGGCTTCGGTTTCGGTCCTTTTCTCGACTTCCATGCCGAAGTCTAAAGACGGATAGACCATAATCAGTTATCTCCTCTTGAGGATTTAGGAAGAAATTCCCATTCTTTACCTAGGAGGAAAGTGGTAATTTCATCAAGATCAGGATGTTGGTATCGCATATGGGCAAGCTTCACCAGGCGTATCTGTTGGTCGACCTTGATCCCGTGGCGCTCCTGCCAAGCATCGATACTCTCTATCTCGGGCCCAAGGGCCTCGATATCTGGGATAGACGCCCCCACACTGGCTGGCATTGTTCTTCTTCTGTTGTCTCGGAATTGGTCTGAAAGTGTTGTGCTGTCCCCTTGGCTCCTGATCTCTTTTTCTATATTAGATAGGAGGAACATGTGAAGAACGTCACACGGCCATTTCGTCAGTCCCACCTTGCTTCCCCACATTCAACGTTGCTCATGTACGCGTACGAGCCCCACATCCACCGAACCCTAAGTTTGAGATCGTATATCCATATTTCCAGCGCCTTACTTGATAAAGACCATGAACCCAAATTTGAGGTCATCGGGGGGGAATTCCCCCCACTTCGCTTCCTCGTCCCGCTCACTCCGGCCGAGACCTGCGGGACTCATTCATCTCTTCCGTCTCCAGGTACACGACCTGTGTAGTTTTACTCGCCTTGTACTAGGGTCCTTTATCAGGCCTCTCTGATTCGCGAAACGGCCCCTCTTAGGAGACTACGAATGTCGTGATATGAGGGTGTGGACCAAAAGGCGCCCTTTCAGCGTACATAGCTCGGCTATCCATCCGCCACGTTGTTCTTGAGCTAAGGCAAGGAATTCCCACAGATCTACGAGAATTCGCTCTCGAAGAAGATAGAATCCGATGTCCTCAAAGCGTGGGCTTGTACTAAAAGTTCGTACAGACATTGGAACAAGTTTATTTCTCCTAATTCTTTGAGGTTCCTACCAATCCCTGCAGTTCACTGTCCGTCAACGACAACTTGGCTCTTTTCTCCAGGTCTTTCTGGGTCCGCGTAACGAATCCTGGATACTTAAACATCGCGGTGAATGCCGCTCGGGTGTACTTTAGTTTGGCGGATGCGTCAATATGCTGGCCCATGCTGGCTGTAGCTCTTGCGGATTCCTGGGGTGTCTCTGGTTGATAACCCTTGTCCTCTGCGTCTTTTTCGGGCTCTGGTTGTTGTACGGGCGTCCTCCCAGAAGCTGGTTGTTCTTCCAACCTTCTGATGTAGCCAGATCTGAAATTGTCGGAAGAGTGGGAAACCTCGGTTAGGAGGTTTGTTTGAGTCCCTGTCTAATAGTGGGAATCTCTAGGAGCTATAGGTTAGCTGTTGTAGATACCGGGTCTTGAGGATCTGTAGGATCTTACTCTTTTTGCTCAGGATTCACCAGATTGTCTGTTTCTTGCTGTCTATAAGATAAGAGTGACTCGTGATGTTGAGAATCCTGCCATCTCCTCACTCCTGAACTCTTCAGTTAGTCGTCTGACTCTTGGATCCCACCGGAAACCCAGTAGTTAGTGTCTGAAGATTCTATTGTGAGAGGGTTGAGGTGAATTGGAGATGAGGAGGTAAGGAAGTATGTGAGAACTGAGAGGGAAGGAGCGTCTTATTTAGGCTGGACTGGAGACGGAGGAGTAGTGATCTGTCTGTTGGATCAAGAAAGTCGATGTAAAAGTAAAGGAGCTAGAGGGTGAGTAAATGTCTAAATGACTAAAAACTTTGACCATGCTCTAAGAAAAGCTATCATGAAATAAGGCTCGAGCAGGTCAGGAACCGGGCAGCGGCACCAGAACTGATTCCCTCTGTACAAAGAATCAAGTTGGTTGGACTTTGGTATTGTTACTCTATAAATACTCCTGTTTATTTACGCTAGACGAAGCCACTGTATTGTGTCTTAGCAAATACATTCCAAAAATTGGCGTACATGTGTTCTTTATCTCAGCCTTCATGAGGCCCGCTCATACCTCTAAATCTCTCACCCGTAGCCCCCCCCCCCCCCGGCCCAACTTAAATTAGTCTTGGGTTCTGCTCCAGCTGACCACGGTATAAAGAACAGCGAGGCCACCTGCGTAGGCACCTATTTTTCTCCTATTCGTTCTTCTCATTCTTTTCATCCTGACGTAACATCTGTGCAATTCATACCAAGGGACTTTGTGCATTATTCCCAACGCTCTGAATGGCGTCTCCTGGCAGGATTGCCAGCTTTCCATCGCCAGGTACTGAGCATGGGGAGCGGATCTTCCCCTCGATAATCGAGCAGCGTGCCCAAGGCACCAATGATCACTGGATATCCGTCCCGATAGGCAACTCGAACCTTTCCTTGGCTACAAGGGTCTTTCATGTTGGCAACTGAACGAGGCGGCCAACCACGCCGCGCATGGCTGAACGAAAGCATACTCCCCGGCAAGGAATTTCAACGCTTTGGATTCGGTGGCTCAAAAGACCTTTGAGATCCCATTCTAGCTGTAGCTGTTGCGGCAGCGAAGACACAGCGAGTGGTAAGGGGGAGACTAGGATACTTAAATGAACAGGATGTTGACTGGATGCGTAGATGGTGCTCCCCTCGCCTTTGATCACTCCGCAGGCTCAGATGCAGATATTGGAGAAGGCAGACTGTACGGTGTACCTGAGGCCGGGAGAAGCAGCTGAAGATGTAGGAGAGATCCCCAAGGGCGCTCCGCATATCTGGGCTATCACTTTCCCACCCTTGGGATGTTTCTTGAACGAAACAGAGGCCAGCCCGATCAACTATCCGACGTCATGGGCTGAAGGCAAAAATGATCCTTGGCTGGTCTTTCACTCTGGAACAACTGGTACGGTCCCAATGGAGCATATAGCGAGCGGGCCATTGGAATGATCATGAGGGTGAAATAAGGAAACCCCAAAACAACTACATATTATTCGCACCTCATGATGGCCTGGGCAGAAACGGTGGCCTCTCTCACCGGATGGGAAATAGAAGAGACGCCCAACGAAGATGGGGTTCACCCTTACCGTCCTTGCACGTAGGTTGTCCTCTTGCAGTTATGGACTAGACACTACTGCAACCAGTTTGTGGGGATGCTCATGACGCTCTCAATGACAACATTTGTGCACATGGTAGCTGTTATTGGGCCCCCGGGCCCTCCATCTCCAGACGCCATCAAGCAAGTCCTACTTCAGAGCACCCTGGAAGGAGCCCTTCCTCCAGTCTTGATCGATGCCATTAGCCGATCTCCCGACGGCCTTCGCGCCTTGCGAAATCTAAAGTACACACACTTTGCCGGCGCCCCTCTACCTTCGACGACTGTACAGCTCCTCCATATGTACAGGTAGTGCCATGCGTCGGAAGTACTGAAGCCGGGAGCTATTTTACCACTGCCCATGGCAACCCTGATACATGAGACTACCTCGCGTTCCAGAAGCACACAGGAGCGACCTTCGAGCACCGGCAGGGCGATCTGGATGGGCTCGTACTTATCCACGACCTGCACTGTATGCAGTAGGTGTTTATGGTCTATCCTGACCGCCACCGCTTTGAGACGAACAATCTATGGGTTTCGACTGAAAAAGGGCTTATGGAAGATTATTGGTCGGAGCGATGACTATGTTGATTTCATTCATGGAGAGAGACTGTTTGCATCTATGTTGGAGCCTAAGATCCTAGCCCATCCTGGCGTTGACAAGGCGCTTATTGGAGGACACGGAAGACCGTCGCCTGTGCTCTTGGTCGAACTTGTCGAGAACGCAGAGGGCGGGCCTCGAGACGAGCTACTGCAGAGTCTGCTGCCAAATATTGGGAAGCTGAACGCACGTTGTCACGTATCTATTCAGGTTCCGTCAGAGAAGGTGATCTTTGCTTCCAAGGAGAAGCCATTCATCACGACTATCAAGGGAAGTGTGGCCAAAATGGCTAATTCAGCTTATATGAGGATGAGATTGCTGCGCTATTCAATTAGAAGATATGATGAACTAGTTTCGAAAGTTCCTTGCTTTTGCCAATCCTTTGCCGTGAACTCGTATCTAAAGGTCTTTCAAGCTATCGCCGAGAAGCACCCGGGACTAGCATGTGAGAGGTTTGCAGATTCAAGTGCTAAGCGCAACTCATTATCCTTATACCATAGAACAATTCCGCAGTAGCTCCTGGGCAGGCTGTATCAAGATCACCGGAGGCGAACTTCTAATCACGGCCCTCAGAGGGTGATTCGTTGGGGGTTTAACCTCGGCTGCAGCGATCAGTTCACTAGGCTATACTCGGGCCGCATCGGCGATTTCTGAGTCGGGATTCTTGGCGCTCCGTCACCGCACTCCTCCCCTCTCGAACTTGAGCTTCTCCAGTTCTCCAGCTCATCCCAAACACAATGGCTAGTGGACTACGGATATTAGTGCCCGTCAAGCGGGTGATCGACTACGCGGTTCGTACTCCCTCCACAAGAGCACCACCCCCCAGAACACCGGCCGGTGACCGGAGCACGAAACACCAGCACCTCCAATTCTCACCAAACCTTCGTCCAATCGCAGCTAAACTAACAATCCCACCTACTGCCTCTCTAGATCAAACCCCGCATCAACAAATCTCAAACCGGTGTCGAAACCGCTGGCGTCAAGCACTCCCTCAACCCATTCGACGAGCTCTCCGTCGAAGAAGCCGTCCGCCTCCGCGAGCGCAAGGGTCCCCTCCAGGTCGAGAACATCCTTGCCCTCTCCGCCGGCGGCCCCAAAGCCCCTGATGTCCTGCGCACGGCGATGGCCATGGGCGCCGACCGGGCCTTCCACATCGACGTTCCCGATGCCGAGGGCTCGCCCGAGCCTCTGACCATCGCGAAGATGCTGAAGGGCGTCGTGGAGAAGGAGAATATCAACCTCGTGCTGCTGGGCAAGCAGGCGATCGACGGCGACCAAGGGCAGACGGGCCAGATGCTCGCGGGACTGCTGGGATGGCCGCAGGCGACGCAGGCGAGCAAGATCGATATCAAGGATGCGGAGGGCACCGTGGAGATTACGCATGAGGTTGACGGCGGTGTGGAGACGCTGAAGGCGAAGCTGCCGCTGGTTATCACGACGGATCTGCGGTTGAATGAGCCGCGGTATGCTAGCTTGCCGAATATCATGAAGGCAAAAAAGAAGCCGCTGGAGAAGAAGACGCTCGCCGATTTCGGGGTCGAGGATACCCGTCGCTTGAAGACTATTAAGGTTACCGGTATGTTTTGCTCTCCGGATTGTGGACCGGTTTCCTGCTCGTGCGGGCTATCTAGTGAAGGGGTGCTAATGTTTCACAGAGCCTCCGCCACGCAAGGGTGGCGGCAAGGTGGAGGATGTCGATGGTCTGGTTGCCAAGCTGAAGGAGCTGGGTGCCCTCTAAGCGTATCTTTGGAGTGTCAAGGTGGTTACTGTTTAAATCCCGCATATGTTTCTATACCATCTGTTATCCTAGACCTGAAACTGCTCACGGCACGGCCTTGGTGTATTGCGATATGTTCCAATTATACCGAAATCGATAACAAAATACAAAACTGTCAATGCTACACGGCGAGATCGGTTTTTCTGGAAATCATTCGCGGTATGCGCGACTTCAAGGTTGATAGATCACATAGAGCCAGCAAGGGAACCCTGCGCACTCTCCAAGTAACGAGGCAGCTGGTGTTTCGAGCTACCAGCGGACTATGTAATGATTCCTTCGACAAGTGATCGACTCGTAATTCACAGCCCTGCTGCAGTCTGATACGCCCCATGGGTTTCCAGCGGTTATAGGTACCACCCAAAGTGCAACTTCAATCTCGACAGAGGTTAGAAATATGATCTTGTATGATCTTGCCATCCCACTGGCCATATACCTCGCCATGCACTGCTGCAATCAAATAGCCCAATATTCAAGTCTGGGGGTGGCATCCGATAGATCGCGCAGTGGCACAGCAACCACTAGCGTTTTCTCCCGGCATATCGTGCACGAACAATACGGCCGCAGAATCACTAAATCCTGGGGCATTTGGGGATATAATTCATCTATTACTTATGACCAAGGATTGACATCAACGTCCTACGAAGCGCTCGCAAAGAACCCACGACCACTCACGCAATGCCCTACGCCCGGCAAAGACGTTCCACGCCCGGTGAAAACTTTAACCTCAAGCTGTCGGCCATTCTTCAGGGATCCCCAGCTTAGCGAGCCTTTGGCCGAGGAGTGTGATTGGTTGAGCGATCTATAGCTGAGCATGTAACTTGGGATCAAAAATTATTGCCCCAATGCCGTGGTTCATTAGAACCGGGGGCTAGTAGCTGCAGGTGGCTATGCGGAAGATGTTTTCACCGGAGCCTGGAGCGGACAATGGCAGCCTATAAGATGCTCAATGGCGACAAATGGAAAACTCCGTCTTGCCCCAGCCTGTGCGGAGAACTTTAAAATGAGAGAATTAAACATTCAACCTTGGGCGCTCAGGAACGATGCCCCGTCGGTCTAGACTCCGAACATAGAGCAGCTTGACGAGGGGCTCATCACCAAGTGGGGCATTGTGATCTATCGGCGAGATCGGCTCCAACATCAAGGCGAATCCGTCGAGCAGTAGGATTTCCACAGCGGAAGGATGGGAGCAATCCTGCCGTAAGAGCTGCATAAACTTCAAGGAATCTGATGTAGAAGATAAAAGGCCAGGCCGAATCAGCGCCCAAGAGGGGTTCGGCCACGAATCGATGACGTCCTTCCGGGGTTTTCCATGGAACTCGTGATTCGAGCTTTTCTCACGGGCGCCACTCTATGCCTTCCGTCTCACCCGGTAAACCGGAAATACTATTCATATAGAAGCCTGTTCCGGGCAATTTGCTGGTCTGCGACGTTTCTTTTCTGGATTTCCCCCCCATTTGCACCGTAGCTCCTGCGCTCTACTGCGAAAAGTCGTCGATCTTCCACTGGCAGTTCCGCATCTTTGGCTCTGCAGCCGGTAAGCTTTGCCCCTCGGCTGTTTTGGGCATTCCAGACATTTCGTTTGCCTTGCCACGGGTTTAAAAAGTTGGGCGAGGACCCGAAGGCTTGGGGAGTCTTTTGAAACGAGACACTTTCTCTAGCAAGTCTGCAATGTTGCTACGGAGCTGTCAGTAACCTTTCCAGATTGGTGCATCTATATATCGAACCCTCTCATCGACACATTCCTCCCCGCACGCATTCCACAGTGGCGAACCTGCCGATCACGGCATATTCCACCAGCCAATCTACCTCGCCCCGGTCGCTGGGCATTCTTCGTCGTTTTTGAGAAGCATTCCATAGTTTCATGGGTGCTGTTTGCAGCGTGCTTATCGCGCTTCAGAGATTGTGTTTACCTATAGATCACGCACCTTGCATTGCCATCGCTCTCTGACAGCGCTCTTCCTTTGCATTTCATCCTTCGTCATCGCCAAGAGGGCCCTGCCGCCATGCCCGAATCTGCTTGGGATAAGACCAAGCGTTTCTCTAAGAAGGGATTCGATAAAACATGGGCTGCCGTCGACAAGCTCGGCGCTCCGGTCAACCGGCTGTCCAACAAGCTCGGCGCGGAAGCGTTCTGGCCTATGGAACTGGGTAAAGAAAGCGACAAAGCCGCCCGTATTTTACGCAGTTTCTGTAAAGATGGCTTCTATGCGCCCGACACGGACCCCGGGACCGATGAGAATGGGAAGATCAATCGACCCAAGGGCAAACAGAGAGTTATCAAGAAGATCCCGGAGGCAGTTGTCAAGAACGCCAAGGGTCTAGCTATCTTCACCACCATGCGCACTGGGCTTTGGGTCAGTGGCTCTGGAGGTAGCGGGATTCTTCTCGGGCGAATCCCAGAGACTGGCGAATGGAGCCCACCGTCCGGTATCTTGTTACACACGGCGGGCATTGGCTTCCTCGCTGGAGTCGACATATACGACTGCGTGGTCGTTATCAACACCTACGAAGCCCTCGAAGCATTCAAGAAAGTGCGTTGCACCCTCGGCGGCGAAGTCAGCGTGGCCGCCGGCCCCGTCGGCATGGGCGGCGTCCTCGACTCCGAAGTCCACAAGCGCCAGGCCCCGATCTGGACCTACATGAAGAGCAAAGGACTGTACGCCGGCGTCGCAGTCGATGGCACCATCATTATCGAGCGCACCGACGAAAACGAGCGCTTCTATGGCGAGCGGATCTCCGTCCACGATATCCTAGCCGGCAAAGCCCGCCACCCGCCACAGTCCATCAACACCCTAATCCAAACCGTCAAAGCCGCCCAGGGCGACCGCGACGTGGATGAAAGCGCTGTCATCTCCCCGGCGAAACCCCTGGCGACCTCGAACTCCCCACCGAAGGCACTGCGTTCGGCATCCCCGCAGCCGACGACCCGGATCCCTACGGAGTGAAGGCATTGGAGCAAGAAGGGTTGTACATCCGGGAGGCAGGCACGAAGGTGAGGCCAAGTCATGATGTTTTCGAGTTCCGGCCCAACCCGAGCAGCCCGATCTTCGCGACGTTCGCGCGGCAGAGTCTCGACGGTAGCTCGCCGCGGAATAGCTGGCGGGCGAGCCGGACGAGTGTGCAGAGCTATGTCAGCGTGGATCGTGGCGTGCAGACCGATGAGCCCCCGCTAACTAGTGCGCCTGCTTCAGTGAGCCGAGCGTCGTCGCGGCAGAGCGGAGTGAGGACGGGGGCGATCAGTCCGTGGGCGGAGGAGGAGCAGGGGGGATGGGAGTCGATGCCGACCAGGGGTGGGCGAGGATTTGAGGAAGAGAAGGAGTTGGAGAGTGCGGATGATGAGAACCATGCTGTGGGATTCGATGACGATGTCGAGGTCCACGAGGTCAACAATGCCAAGGTCACTAAGCAGGAGGTTTCTACTCCTATTGAAGAGCAGGGGCCTGGCGACTCGCCGCGTCATTCACCCACCTTCACGCGTGCGCGGTTGGTGACTATTCCCAAACGTCCGACGCCGCCCCTTCTTCCGCCACGCCATCCTCGACACACTTGGGGAGGATCAGGCTCGAGTCGGGAGTCTGTGTCGCCGACTGCTCTGTCCCATACCAGTCGCAGCACGGAACAAACGGAGGCTATTGAGGTCTCTGAGCTCACTGAACCGCTCTCCGAGCCTGCCGATAGCCTTCCTACCAACGTGAAAATGCTACACACCAGCACTATTCTTCCTACCGTTGTTGACGAGGACGATCCGCTTTCCGACTACGGCGAGCAGCCTTCTGTGGACAAGGATGAATTCCATTCTATCAATGGAGATGAAAGCGAGGAGACAGAAGGTCGCACCGTGACCGAAGAACCCGCTCCAGCGTATGCCGATGTTGCCGGAAAGGTCCAAGAGCCTGAGCTGCACAAATCTACCCCTCTTACGACAGAGACTGCGGCTGAGACCGCGAAAGAAGAAGCCGACGTCAAGGAGAAGACAGAGAGGGTTGTGGAGGACTGGATTAAGCCGGAGGACATTTCCGCCGAGCCTACCTCCAAAGTGAGTGACGCTGAAAAGCGTCTTTCTACATCGGAAGTCGACATGGAAAGCAAGGAGAAGCACAGCACCGCATCTCCTGTTCAAACGGCTTAAACCTTCTCATTCTCTTCTTTTACGTTCCTCTTGGGGTCGGTCACGATTTCTCTTTCGTCGATGTACAAATTTTCACGATCTCCGTTGATACCACTGGCTTGCAAGGAGTTGATATTTCATGGTTTTGGTTCTCATTTTCGTGCGCGCTTCATCACTTGATTTTTAGTTCTGCTTCCTGTTGCATTTTGGCACTTTACACGTCAGCGAAGCGATTTGGACTTGAAGATATTTTTCTAGGGTTCTGGATATCTACACTCATATTCCAATCGTGCATAAGATAGAAACCTCATAGGTGACATTTTTGAATAGTGATTTGGTATGATACATTCTGTCTTCCCTAGGATCCTTAGTTGGCCTTCAGTTGGTCCTCAGTCAGTCTTCTTCCCCGAATAGCCCCCATGCAGTCTCGGGTGGGGGTGATGGGGTCGAGAGTCAGACTTGAACTCCGGCCATTTGGCAGAAAAGCTTTTTTGCCCTTGGCTGGTTAATTTAGTATTGTATTATTCCTGGCATGTTCACTGGGCTTGCACTAGTAGCTTAAACAATCAAGAGCTATTGTGACAAGGGAAAGAAGAGTGGAGAAGTAGCCACACCCTCGTTGGTCAATAAAGACGCTTGATGTGTCCATGGAGATTCGAGGCGATCATGCGATTGCTATATAATTACTCGTATCTTATTTATAGTAAGTTTCGAGTTGGCTATAAGTCAAGCCTCGATCACTGCACGGCATCTCCACTCTGAGTACATGACCGAGTATTCTCCAATCTTAGAATGATACTGTGGTTCAGCTGACGATGATTGGCCCAGACCAGCCTCGCATCCCAATGGGGTAATTTTGTCGCCAAGCTTTGGAGTTCGTTCTAGAGCCAGGTATGATAGTAGGGGGTTTGGGGGCCACTTTCTTTGTTCGGTCGAGCCAGCCGTCTCTTCGTAAGCGACACAAACATTTTATGCTCCTCATCTACATTTCGCCCCATTCACAACTCCGACTCTGTGATTCGATGCAGATGCAAGAGTCATCACGAACACATTGTTGGGAGTGTCGCCGGCAGCAATTAGTCTGCGACTTCTCACGTCCCGGATGTAACCGATGCGCCCGGGCCGGGGTCGACTGTCCTGGTTATAGCCACACGCCCCCTTTAAAAGTCAGACAGTTCGAGCCATCGAAGCCCAGGAACCAGCAACGAACCGCCAAACGCAGAAGATTCAAGGAGAGACAGATAGGGGAAGACAAGTGCAGTAATTGTCAGAATATGCGACTGTCCCAGTGTGGCTTGAAAACCCACGTCCATGCCATACTGGACTCCATCAATTACTGTACGTCATTAAAAAACGAACAAGAAAAGGGCCCGGGGAAATATAGGTGGCTGACTTCTTGAGAAGACAATGACTGCATTTATCCTGATTTAAGAAAAATCAGAGAGTCGAGTTATAATAATAATGTCTTCCCCATGTCACCCAGGTTTGTTCAGATCATTTTAGGCTTTCCGAGTTACATGGGATTAAGCTTGGTATGCATGGCTTTAAGCCACAGAATGAGCCATTCACCGAGCCATTCAGAGTCAAAAGAGTTACAAGTCAAACTCTTCCAATACAGGGGGTTGGTTATCAACTCGCTCAACGACGAAATAAAAGACAATAGCCATAAAAAAACCCTTGTCTTGGCTGGGATCCTTGGTCTTCTTCACGTGGATGTAAGTCTTCGTCGAAGGGGCAGTAGCAAAGTCAGGGAGCTCACTCAAATTCTGCAGATTCAACAAGGTCTTTGGTCAAGTTTCCGGGTTCATCTTGAGGGCGCGCGCGATGTTATTATAGCATGTGGTGGAATGCGCTCCCTCATGGAGTCCCCTGGCATGGCCCCGCTGGTTCTTGACTTTATCTTGTGAGTAATCTGGGTCTCGATGATGATCATGGAGCTCATTTGGCTGCAGCCTCGTAATCACCGGCGATACATCGTCGCTCGCATCGAAACTTCTGGTGGAAACCCTCCCCGTTGAAGAACTCGAGTTTCTCATTTTGAAGCACGGCGGAGTCGGCCTAGCCTTCCGAATGTGTCCTCCACCCTTACTGGTAGAAGTTCTCAGAATCAATCACTTGAGAAGCCGAGCATCGCGCAGTACTCCTGACGCCACCGAAAGCCTTCAGACCGAGGCATTTGCAATTCTGGGTCGACTAGATGGGTTTTCGGCCGACGAATGGGTCGAGAGCCATGATACTCTGGACGGAGAGTTCAAGAACGTGGCACATATGTACCAAGCAGCAATTTCTCTTTACGGAATATCCTCTCTTCAAGATTGTGGCATCCTGCAGGCGTCTTGCCCGCCGGAGGAAAATTGTTTAGCGCTCCGAGGTCTCACTTACGAGCTTGCTTGCAAGGTGCTCGTGAGTTTCGGGATTGCTGGAGCTGGGTCCTTGGTTTGGCCGCTGATGGTGCTTGGAGTGCATGCAGCGGGTCAAGGGTGTATAGAGATTCGCCAATTCATCCGCAACTGTCTTACTGACCAGGGTCTCGATAGTGGCACCTATATACCACTTGCTTTGCGAGAAATCCTGGAGGTATATTGGGCATCTGGGAAGACGGGTTGGAGCGCGTGCTTTAATCAACCAGCGATATTTTCGGCAGTACTCATGGTGAACTGCGGTGGTATACTTTCTTGATGCACGAATATGGATTTCAGACTCGAATTTCCACCTGCCAAATTTGTTGTGCCCCATGGGCATATGGGGCATGCAGAGCATAGATTGCCGGGAGTGGCACTCTAACCCGGTGAGACCCGGGGAAAGGATTCCAGTGCAGAGCGAAGGGACTTATACGGAATAGATAGACCGCCATGCAACAGACAAAGGGTGTGGCAAAGTTGAGAGTCAGAATGCCGGGCTATGCCCTTTAACTGGAGTATATTCACTCATTTGTATTAGCTTTCATCGTCATATGGTGTAATAACTATGTTCCGGAAACCTGCCCCTGGCATGGTACCTAGGTAACCTACGAGTCTCTTACATCATTCTTCTACAAACCTCGCGTTTTCAACGATCCATCCACCTTTCAACATGTCTGAACCCAAGCCCAACTCGTCTGAATCTGAGCCTGTGCTCCATTCCGCCAATCTTCCCCCTTTCTATATCCAGCCTGCAAGAAGAATCGAAAGCCTGAAACGTTGTCTCGAAACCGAACTGGGCCAGATACAACGCGTGAACATAGAAGCTCTCATCAAGATGTATGAGAGTGGTGAAACTTGACCCGCGTGGACCCAGAGATCCTCCTATTTATCTTGTTGATGGAAGACGGGTTGACAAGGACACTTACCTGGATGAAACTATGCAAGTGCCCTCAGGTGGGCTGAATTATGATTTCGATCCTCTACTAAATAATCCTTACGGTGACTTACATTTGTGTGTCTTTAGCAAGTGTTCTGGCAGGCTGATAGGGCCAGACCTCGGCTAGGATACACAAAAAATTCTTGATGCTACAGTCTAAGGTTAATTGTACGCCGCTCTTAGGTTTCCTATGACTCCTTAGCCGAACACAGATTCTTTGGACAAATCTAGGAAAGCTCTGTAGGGAAAGCCCAGGCGAATCAAGAAACAGGTTTTCATCTTCATCAATATCTTTCCTTATAGGTGTTCTTACTCTTGTTTACTTAGAATGACAAATTAATGACCCCCATGTGGATCGTCCACACCCTGGCGAGTACTTCCACGATTCCTGAATGTAAAATGATCATCACTCTGTCAAATTTGAAGCTATTTACACCTGAAAAACACCACACGAACCGCCAGTATCTAAATTGATAGGTGAAGGGGCCAATTTCTGCGTTTTTTTTCTTTTAGTGTTCTTGCTACCTTCTTCCGCTTGTCATCGCCCTAGGATGGTAAGCAACCCCAGAGACAGGGGATGGCATGATATGGAGCTGAGCTTTGAGCCAGATGATCCTATTATTATGGCAAAAGCCCAGAAGAACTATGAAACTTACGGCGATCAGCGCCTGAAGATTATCACCCAGAACGAGAAAGTGTGATTGAGTGAGATAGAAGTGGGAGAGTCCATGAACAGCGCACTAATTCCAACTAACCGGCAGTGGCTGGTCTCACACTTAGGCCCCCCTGTTCCGAGTCACATAACTACGAAGTCCCGAGTCGGGCGAGTTCAGCATACAAATTGTGACCACGCCAATTCAGGGGGCGATCAGCGAGGGAAAAAAAGGAAAAAAAAAACTTCCACACGGCACTCTAATTGTCGAATTAAAAAGCGCAGCATCCAATGCCGTCGCGTATAATCCGGCTTGTGAGCCAATGAACGAGGAGCCGCAAGGCAAACCCCGTTATCTCCGACAGGATACTAGCTTCTTCCCGTGACCAAAGCTTCAGACTCCCTCAGGCCTCCCATTGATATTTTGACATCAACACGAATGTGAGATTGCCTACCATGCCCTCCGAGAAGAGCATCGCCACGGGACTGAAGCTCATCGAGAGCGACAAGTCCAAGATCCTGAACTTGAAAGTGGGTAGCCACGAAAATGTTGAGCCTGGACAATATATTCCTCGCGCAGGTGAGATGGGATAACGAAGCTCAATATCCAGCCCCTGTGTGGACACTCATTTCTCGTGCAGATGCTCAGCAGCCTCCCCAGATCACCTACTCTGGAGCTTCACCCGATAAGACCTACCTTATCGTGACACTCGACATCGATGCGCCATTTCCATCTTTTGGTGTCCTTGGCCCTATTCTTCACTGGATTCAGCCGGACGTAAAGGCCTCTGAGCTTGTTTTGAAAACCGATGCTCCTTTCATTGCAAACTACATTGGGCCTGCCCCTCCCCCTGGTAGTGGGCCTCACCGCTATGTCTTCTTCTTGTTCGAGCAGCCAGCTGGGTTCGATGCGAAGAAGTATGCCCCAGCTAATGGCAAAACCTTGAGCAACTGGCACCGCATGCGGTATAATCTCGACGCCTGGTCTAAGGAGATTGGTCTTGGGGACATCCTGGCTCTAAACTATTTCAAGAGTAACTAGTCTGTTGCCGGACTCGAGATTCTTTATGGAAGATATGGTTGAGGGGTGTCCAGATTGTGCTTACAACCGCTCTGGGTCGTATACTTTTGTTTCCAGTCCTTCCATCTTCTATCGTTTTACTGATCTTCGAGAATAATCATAATATGCAGTATTGTATGAACCGACGACGATTACAGCCTCGTGAACTATCATTACCTAGTACTTATTACCTCTATGGCAGGATAGGGAGTTTGTCAGATCAACCGCCGGGTGATTGCCTCGGTATGGTGACATAATATACGAATTCCACTCTTGACTTATGCTCTCAGGCTGCTACACCATGATGGAGAAACCCAGGAATTTAGTTTGCTAGGTATTATTTGAAAAGTGCCATAACTTGAAGGCCTTCTTCAGCTTTGACCATTTCTCATCTGTCTCCATCAGCTATCTCAAAAAGATGATCTCTGATATCTTCTGGCAGAGATCTACGATCAGAGTGTGGACAGCCGAACGCTGGGAGCTCTTTGGGGTCACTGATCACGAAATACTAATCCCAGGAGATTAAAATACGCTCGAAGTAGCCTATGAATTAGTCACGCAGGCATCTTCAGCGAGAATGCTCCAGAGGCGTTCTCGAACAATTTGCCAAAGCTGGGTCTAGCTAACATCACTTCAGGTGTACTCCCCTGGGGACTGAAACACGTTTGTATACCATAAAGGTCTCGAGCTAACCTTTGAGCAGCGCATCCAATTCATCTATCCTCCAACAAGTGCAATGCATTGGCTGAGTACTTTCGCGGTGACTTGGCCCCTAGCAACACAACTAAGGGAATTTACTTCGCTGACCTAGCAACATTTTCTATGAAATGCCGCTAAGAAATTACTACAGGAGACAATACTGCTCTCATACTTCTCTGTGAGATATAGGTCGGCTACGATATCGACAAGGAGAATTTCCGGACCAGCAGCACCGAAATTAGCTCTGACACAAATCACATCGCGTACCACTTGGCCACGAGATCTAGGAAATAGTGGGATGTAGGTGCAATCCATTGGGATTTAACGAGGCTAAATATTCCGGGCTACAAAACCTATTTGAACAGGCACTGGGCTATGTGAAGATACGACGAGGACTACGTTCCGCAATATGGCACAAATCCATCTTCGATATCTCTTTCGGATTCATGTTAGATGATTTAGAGGCAGCACCAGAAGTCAAGAATTGTTGCGACAACTGGGAAATTCATGTTGAAAAGTTTGGTTCTAATTTGGAAAAGTAATATAATCTGTGATGCCTCAACCATGGGAATCCTTGGTTTTGATAATAACGATGGGCTTATCTACCTTGCTTTATGAACTTGGTTTTATCAATAAAATTTAATAAATGACTTAGTAACCTATGAGTATTGAACCTGTCGTCATATTGATATCCAAAGTGGATCTCGTCCAACTTATTCTTTGCGTTTTTGCATTCATGACAAATTTATACTAACCAAGCCCAGATTCCACAAGTTATTCTTTCGTCAACTTATCTCTCTTATTCAAAATTGCTAAGAGATCTGACCGAGCTATTATCTTCCCTTTGAGGGTTATTCAGGGGGAGAACTCAGTTCCCTGTTGTTTCTTCGTCTCTAGGTGGGCTTAAGACTCCGCTGGATTGCTCGTGAAACTACGATTTCGAAATTCTGATATTCACCCCCCATATTGCTACCGGGCGACTGCTTTCCTTTTCTCTTCATCATGTCTACCATTCCAGTCACAAGCACTTCATCGAAAGTCATAGACCTATCAGCCGTGACGAATCTCGCCAACGCCCCTCTGAGTGAGAAAAGTTCCGATTTTCTCCAGGGGGTCGTGATTGCAGTGACTCACGAGCTGATTCGCGAGATGCCTCCTGGAGGGTTCTGTGAGTCTTACAATGCATAATGTCTTGTATATCATCTTGCTCACAAAACAAATCAACAAATAGCCTGGGTTCAGGAGGTGACTGAAAGGCACGGGGGCAAGTTCGCTGGCTTTAACCAAGCTGGTTGCACGCATCTCATCTCAGCTAAAGAATATTCTGGACGTCTGTTCCACCATACCAGGACAGGTAAGTCGCAACTCCTAATTGCTTGTATCGGAGTGTTGATTCCACGTATTGCAGGTTGGACATCCGCCAAGAAGAAGACTTACCAATGTGTTGATTTGACCTGGCTTTCAACTGCTTTGGCTGATTTGAGCTTGAGCGAAGGACAGGTTTCTCCACCAACGAGTTTGAAAGACACTGATAGTTCCCCCATGCAACCAAATTCCTCCAAGCGAAAACTGGAGGACATCCCTGAGCCTTGCAGGAAAAGGCAGAAGGATGCCATTCGATCAAAGCCTTTTCTGACTGCCATTGTGGATGAGTGTTGCCAAGGGCGAGGTGAGTACCCATCCCTGTTAATTATCATGCCACACCGACAGGAAGTGGAGGAGCTAATTCCTTACCTCTAAATAGGCTACTCAGTCTTTATGGATGACGATGCAGTCTACGAGGCAACGCTTGTATGCTATGACGAATATGGCCCTCATATCGACCTATGCCACATGCAAGTTCTCTGGAAAGGTGATACGGATCAATACGGACTCTGGACTGGAACAGAGGTTGTCGCCCCTTACAACAAGTACCAAAGAGTCACCAATAGGAGCGCATCTGGTCATATAAAGCAGCATTTCTGGAAAAGAAGTGGCAAAAAGGAAACGGTCGTCGCCAGGTTCAGAAGGTTATTCAAGGAATACACAGGTCTTATATGGGAAGATCGACACAAGCCACCCAAAAAGAACAAATGGCTTCTGATCAAACCTCAGTACGAAGATATCGAAGCTGAACTATCCGCTCGAGTAACAAAGACCAGCCTGGAGCCAGGGATTCGAGAAGTCTTCGAGGCTATTTCTGAACAGCTAACCCATCAATTTGTGACAAGGCTGATTGAAACAGTCTCTGAGGGAAGGTTCAAGGAGTTCGCCACTGAAAGACACCAGCATTACCTACGTACGGGGATTCATGCGTTGAGGATGTTATCAGGCCTTTCCGAAAACGACAGTCTTGTCAAAGACCTGGCTCAAGTTTATGAGTTTCTTGTTTGGCCAGATCTAACCTTTATGGGCTTCGGTTTACCGCTTCTTTCATCTCCAGGAATGATACAAAGCGAGCTGAAGAATTTGATGTTTTTGCAGAATCTGAAATTCATGCAAGCGCTCGTGAGCCAGCCCTCCCTGCAAGGACCTGCACAGATCGCTCCACAATTACACCGCATCTTGGGTCTGAAGGGCATCAAAAGAGGTATATGTGAACCTGATATATTGATACCCGATCTAAGTACTGACCTCCATAAATAGTTGACTTTGAGGAGTTTCAACGTATTAAGAGCTACTTCGTACAATCCTCAGTCGGCACTGTGAAGGACAAGCAGGTTCTAGGAATATATCGTATCGAACGTCAATCCGAAGCCGATCACCTCAAAAATTTCCGAAAGTCCCACCCAGATAAGGCTGGCAGGTCCCTCCTTCTTTGGCACGGCTCCATTCTGAGAAATTTCCTAGGGATACTTGGCCAAGGTCTGCGGCGGGATGTCCTATCACACATTACTGACTCCTCTGTTGGCACCAAATGGCGATCCGGCATATTTTTTGCCGATCTCGCTCGCAAGTCGATGTACTATTGCAAGAGAAAAAACACTCGCACCGCAATCATTCTTCTATGTGAGGTCGAGGTTGGGAAAAAGGTGAACTCGATTTTTACATTCCATAAGCATGCGGAAAAAGAAATGGCCGGAAAAGGCGAAATATCTGTCCACCTGAATCGCGGGAACAACGAACCTATATGGTGGCTGGATGCCGGCACTAAATTCCAAAGCCAAGGCCTACGGGGCATTCGGCTGCTTGATCTTGACAATATGAGCCACAAAGCGCTCAGAGGTCATGCGCACGAGCATATTGTTTATGATGAATCGCAGATCAGAATGCGTTATATGATTCATTTTCAGACGGGGTAATATCGCAAGGAGGCATTTAGCTGGCGGTTCTGACCATGCTCACGGGATTTATTAGTTAGTAGACGAGTCTTTTATATGGTAATCTCAATCGAAAGTCCGTCGTGTCTTACAATACCAGCCACTGGAATCTGATTATCTTTCATACTGCATACCCAAACTCACAAGTCTATCAGTATATACTCCACGGCAGCTGGACAGGGAACATCGTCACATGAGCGTGAATGTGCCGAGGCGTAAAGCGGATGTGGGGATAAATTGATAATGATATATCAGACTGCTGATGAAAGCCTTTCCCTTGCTAGAGGCGGGAGCCAGTGGAATGACTTGGACATGAAATTCAGGGCAAGAGGTCCTTGAGAACTTGGATGGGCTACTTTTGTAGGGCTTTTATCGCAGGTCTTATCGCTCCGCCCCCACTGGTGATCCCACGCCGATCGCGGGAGCAGTGACGTTTTCTCCTACATCTCTCTAGTGATGGTTGGTCTTGCGAGGCTCGTAGTCGCCTTTCTGGCAGGTACTGCCTTAGGCCAGTACTTTCCGCCGACTCCGGAAGGCTTGACTGTGATTCATTCCAAGCAGGAGGAGGGCGTCAAGATCTCCTATAAAGAGGTAAGAATGCGGTGTGGCTAGGACCTTTCCACAAAATACTGAATCCCCACAGCCTCAAATCTGCGAAACCACTCCTGGTGTCAGATCGTTCTCCGGCTATGTTCATCTGCCGCCTGGCACGCTAGATGATGAACAGGTTTCTCAGCAGTACCCGATCAACACCTTCTTTTGGTTCTTCGAATCACGCCATAACCCGAAGAATGCTCCCTTGTCCATCTGGATGAACGGAGGACCGGGCAGTTCGTCTATGATCGGATTGCTACAGGAGAATGGCCCATGCATTGTCAATGCTGATTCCAACTCAACGGAGACTAACCCGTGGTCCTGGAATAATTATGTGAACATGCTGTATATCGACCAGCCCAACCAAGTTGGATTCAGTTATGATGTTCTGACCAACGGAACTTATGACCAGATCACATCTGCCTGGAATGTGTCCAAATGGGCCGACGAGGTGCCTACACAGAACAACACCTTCTATGTCGGGACTACTGCCAGCCAGGAGGCCAGCTCAGCGGCGAACACCACCGAAAATGCCGCGCGGTCGCTATGGCACTTTGCACAGACTTGGTTTACCGAGTTCCCTCACTACAAGCCACACGACGACCGCGTCAGCATCTGGACCGAATCATACGGCGGGCGCTATGGCCCCTCTTTCACGGCTTTCTTTCAGCAGCAGAACGAGAAGATTGCCAATGGTTCCCTCACTGCTGCGGCGGCGGCGCCACACTATATCCACCTAGACACGCTGGGGATCATCAATGCTTGCATTGACCTCCTTGTCCAGGCTCCGACATATCCTAAAATGGCGTATAACAACACCTACAATCTTGAGACCATCAACAAGACCGTTTACAACCGAGCCATGGATTCGTGGAGCCGAGCCGGAGGGTGCAAGGATCTCATCCAGAATTGTCGCACCCTTGCAGCAGAAGGCGACCCACAGATGTACGGCAATAATGAAACAGTCAATAAAGCTTGCAACAAGGCAAACGATATTTGCAGCAATCAAGTGGAGGGGGGCTTACGTGAATTACGCGGGACGAGGCTACTATGACATTACACACACCGACCCCGATCCGTTCCCACCCAACTATTTCCTGGGGTATCTCAGTCAGAACTGGGTCCAGGGGGCGCTTGGAGTTCCGGTTAACTTCACCCAGTCAAGTGACGGCGTCTACAACGGATTTTCTGCCACTGGTGACTACCCACGTGCCGATGTCCATGGCTACCTCGAGGATATTGCCTATGTACCAGACGCAGGCATCAAGGTCGCACTCGTGTATGGAGACCGCGACTATGCGTGCAATTGGATCGGCGGTGAGGACGTAAGTCTGGCAGTGGAACATGCCGCAGCGTCTGCCTTCCGCGCTGCAGGCTATGCGCCCGTCCGTACCAACTCTACCTACGTTGGCGGCCAGGTTCGCCAGCACGGCAACTTCTCTTTTACACGTGTCTATCAAGCTGGGCACGAAGTCCCCGCTTATCAGCCTGACACCGCGTACGAGATTTTTCATCGCGCTCTCTTCAACCGCGATATCGCCACCGGCAAGGTTGACACTGCACGCAATAGTTCGTACTCGACGCAGGGTCCGGCGTCCACGTGGCACATTAAGAACCACGTGGGTGACAATCCAGAGCCAGTGTGCTATATCTTGGCTTTGGAGGCGAGCTGCACCGACGAACAAATTGCCCGGGTGCGCAACAACACAGCAATCGTTAAAGATTACATCGTGGTAGGATAAGAAGCATTAGTGGGTCTGGTAGCAGGCTGTGTCGCGTAATACCCTTCCCAGATCATAATCAGCGCCGGGCTGTATTTAGAACTCGAAACATGGATATTCCCTCCCATCATGTTTGGTATAGAAGGTACTCCGTACCTGGGCAGCGACTGCCTGACGGGCCATGTGGGGCCCAATGACGCTATAGATCGGAGCACCGGGGGCTCCCGCTGTGAGGATTCGAGAACAGAATGGATTCATTCGAGAAGTAAACGCAAGATAAAAGCCGATTCGTAGAAATATTCATGTGTATTTAGCTCCCTGGCGCGATTGTTCATTCGCTGCGTTGATAAGTACAAAGGGCGTGGAAGGTTCGAGAAGCTTCCATCTCGTCCCACGTCACACGTCACTATGCTCAAGCATGACCCTGTGAACAGGTGCAGAGCCCGGTTTCGCGGGATGCGCCTTTTTTACCCCCTCATTCGTCGCAAATCTCTTTCGATTCTTTCTTTCTCTACACCTATCACGCTTGAGCTTGTCTTTGTGGCTTTTGTCTCAGACCGCTCCTCCCAAGCCTATCCGAAGCTTCTACGTCATTCGAGAGTAGCCACCTGCCTTCTCTGGGGATTTGTATCCCAAGACCCCCAACATTTAAACTTGTCATCATTCCAACGCCCGCGTCACTCGTGGGATCATACTTCAAAACTCAATTCTCACCCCGCATATCATGGTGGCGGAAACGAAACTTTACGACGCGCTGAGCGTCAAGCCTGATGCTACTCAGGATGAAATCAAGAAGGCCTACCGCAAGGCCGCCCTGAAGCATCACCCCGATAAGAACAAGGATAATCCTCAAGCAGCAGAGAAATTCAAAGGTTTGTATTTCCCTAAGATATGGCTCGACTCCGCTAGCCCCTCTTTGGCCATCATACTAACGTAAAACAGATGTCTCTCAAGCATACGAAGTCCTATCTGACCCTGAAAAGCGCAAGGTCTACGACCAATTTGGTCTAGAATATCTTCTACGTGGAGGACCTGCACCTTCACCTGGAGGAGGTGGCGGTGGAGGCGGCCCCGGCGGCATGCCTGAAGGATTCAGCTTCGGCGGTATGCCCGGCGGAGCCCGCTCGTTCCACTTCTCTACCGGGCCCGGAGGCACCAGTGGGTTCCAATTTAGCAATGCCGATGATATCTTCCGCGAGTTCGCCAAAGGCGGCGGCGGTGGTATGGGTGGCATGGGCGGCATGGGAATGGATGATGACCTTTTTTCCATGCTGAATGGCGGCTTCTCTCGCGGCCGCCCAAGCTCTGGCCGAGGGCCTACCTTCCAACAGAAGGCCCGTCGAGCTCCTACGCCCGAACCGACCGTCGTTGAGAAAGATCTGAATTTGACTCTGGAAGAGATCTATAAGGGCACCACCAAGAAGGTTAAGACAAAGAGCAAGGCGTTCGATCCCTCTGGAAAGCGCACAGTCGACGAGGTCACACTGGAGGCTACCATCAAGCCTGGTCTCCGTGCTGGATCTAAGATCAAGTATAAGAATGTCGGTGACCAAGAAGAGGGTGGACGCCAAGACGTGCATTTGATCGTCAAAGAGGTATGTGACATCGAATCCCGGAACCCGTACTAGGCATACCATTCAGATTGCTAACTTCCATTATAGCTAGAACATCCCGACTTCAAGCGGGTCGGTGATAACCTGGTTACCACTGTTGACCTTACCCTCAAAGAGGCTCTTACTGGCTGGGAACGCATTGTACGCACAATCGACGGCAAATCCATTCGTGTTGCGAAACCTGGCCCTACGCAACCAGGTCATGAAGAGCGCTTCCCTGGCCTGGGCATGGTGATATCCAAGAAGCCCAGTGAGCGCGGAGATCTTGTGGTTCGTGTCAACGTGAAGTTCCCAACATCCTTGACGGCGGACCAGAAGTCGCTGCTGAAAGACATTTTGCCTTGATTCCCGTGTGATTTTTTTTTATAGCATAGAAACGGCGTTGGTGTGAGCGATTCCCATTGAGATGGTTTAATAACGAATTCATGGATTTCAATACCAATAGTGTCAGAGCCCCCCAAAAAATACAAGCCTAGAAATTCCATCCTTCTTTGCTACCTGTAATGCTACCTGTAGTTAATCTTGAGTGTAAAAGTGACATAAAGCAATATGATCTGATGCCGCGTCTGAATCGCCCTAGACCCGATCGGGAAATGCGGAGATGGGAAGCTCCTTGATGGATCGTTGGAGTAACCCCCTCCTCGTCATCTTTGCTCGCACTCTTTGATCATGAAGCGAAGAACCACCTTTGTTCAGCGCGAGGACGCGCAGTTTGAAGATGACCAGGTTGTTCTCAGCTCGAAATCCCTTACAGTTAAGGGTCTCAGACGCGTTACGCGAAGAGCGCATCACATTCGACATTGGCGATCTCCCAAAGAGTGTAAGCAGCAAGAGCACGCTCGTCTAGGAGGTCACAAGTCCTAATTATGGCTTCTGTCTCTTGTAGCTTCAATACGTTTTCGATGAGTCCCTCTCTCTCCGTCTCCGCTGGGCCACCGAAAGACCCTACCGTACCATCCCGCCATTCACCAGCAGGGTATCACCTGGCCTACATGTATATCATACTCCACGACAAGAGGCTCAAGAAACGTGAGCCACCATCAAAAACCGGATAATTTTGTGGGTATGTATGGACATAGGCTGATACAATCCCAGGGAGACATTGTGTTCGAAGTTACACCTAGTCTTCGGAGGAGAGCAGGCAGACGTGCACTGTAGCTCGGTTCAGGTGAGTTACTTCGGATTCGCTTCGAGATACCTCATTCTAGGGCCTTTGTCAATATTTTGAAATTGTCGCTCATCTAAAGGCCGTATTCACAGGAGTCCTTCATAACACCCCCGCCGGAAGCGACCGATTCGGCCTCAACAGCTCAGCAGTACTACACTCAGCTCCCTTCATTAGAATCATTTGTCACTGTCATCCAACGGATTATCTGCAGTCGTCTCAAAGATAGAGATGCCGAGTGCCAGCGCCATGCCTCATCACTCCTCTCTGCCGATTCCTTTGATCTCGATTATGATAGCACCACGCAATCCATTACTTTCTCAGCTCTTTGGGCCAGCTCACCCCACGGTGGCTGGGATGAAGAGGTCCACGGACCAAGCTCCAAGTCGGATAAGGTTGAGTTCGGTCTCCTCAGTGCTGAGCCAGCGCCAGATCCAGAAGATATCAAAATAGGTGGCCTATTGGCAGTTGTTGGAACCGACAAGAAGCTTAGTACGTACCATGTCCGGCATAACCCACGACTACACTCGGGTTAAGTAAAGCCAAGCTAACGAGGACACAGAGCCAACGATGTTCCATTTCCCATCGCGCCATCACTACCTCCACGAGTCCGCTAGCTATACCGTGTCTTTCTCCAAACCAACCGGCCTCCACCCAACCCTATCTATAACCCTACCCCAATCAGCCCTCGCAAGACCCCCTGCTCCGGAGCGCCAAGAGTGCGGTCTAAACACCTACCTCACCCTCCCCTCGGCTGTCTTCGGCGACCAATACCAACTCGCAACGACAGACTCTCTCTTCCTCACCTCCCACAACCTCGCTAGGCTCCGCGCCTACGCCGGCGAAACAGACCTCGAGGCCCCAGACTGGGCAGTGCAACGCTGGGGCTCGACCTGGCTTTTCGAGCTCGCCACACCCGAATCCCTCGACCAGGGATCGAATTGGACTGCTACAATCCCGCTTCATCTGCGGTACCTGGATCCGTCAGAGTCAGGGTACAGGGCTGTAAATGTGCCGTGGCCTGTCGTCTTCTGGGCTTGCAGCTCCGACGACGAGACGCCCTTGGGTGTGAACCCGTTCGACCGTACAAGCCTGGGCTGGGACAGTCTCTTCGGTCCACGGACGCTGTTCTACCAGCTTAGCCCTAACGGGGAGCGCCTTGTTGAAGAGATCGATGTTCCCGTGCTCCAGAAGAAGCCAGGAGAGGGTTTCTTCCAAACGCGCAACATCGAGATCGTGACGTCTGCCGTGATTCTCCTAGGCTTCCTGTGGGTGCTCTGGCGGCTGGTGGCAGTGGCTTGGTTCTCTGGGATCAGAACTACCAAACCGGCCAAAGCGAGCGACCAGAAGAAGAAAGAGTAACCTCTTCTATCGGTAACTCTGGTTGCACTATTCACTAGCCGTAGCGTTGCGATTTCCACAGCCCCTGGTCAATTTTAACGCATCTCTCATATTCAGGCGTTCCAGTCATTACATCACGGGCAGGGTTAGTCCCATATCATACAATCCAATCATTATCCCTCCGGCTTCACACAGCTTGAACGTAAATCTAGAGCCCCATCTCAGGTAACGGCCACGGTACATCAGTCATAAGAAACTGATCAAGATCAAAGTTCTGCAAACTAGGCATATCAATAACCAGATCCCCGAGCCACGAAAGCTCCAGATTAGGAACAGGCGCATTACCCATCGGCAGAGAAGGCTGTTGCTGCTGCGGTTGCTGCTGTTCCTGCCGTCCCTGTTCTTCCCCAACCAACCCCCCATGCCGCAACCCCTTCTGCTCCGCGGCCCCTGCATTCGCCCTCAGCACATCACCCAATGCCCGCGTGTCATCCTCCTTCCGCCGCTGATGCAGCGCGATGAGCAGGTACGCTGTCGAGTACGCCTCGCGCATCGCATCCGTCTCATATGCCGCGAAGACCTCGCGCAGCGTCTGCATGGCGTCAGGGAGCAGAGCCAGCGCGGCTCTATTGTCGATCGCCAGCAGCGTGCAGACCACCTGGAATGGCACGTTGGCAACCTGATGCCACGGGCAGGTGGAGGCGGCCATGCCACGGGCTGCGCGGAGGCCGCGGGCCGCGAGGGCGAGGACGCGGTCCAACAATTTGCTTGAGAGCGGTGGGTGGGCATTCAGGGCGCGGATGCGCCGGTAGATGCAGAGCATCAGGTTGCATTGCACTAGGATTAGAGATTGCTCTGTGTAGAGGATGTCGAGGACGGAGGTGAGCGCTGCCTCGAGCTCCGGGAGGTCTTGCAGGGTTGGACCAGTTGGGTCAAGGTTTTCCGAGAGAGGGAGAAGGTGGAAGAGGTCTGGGCGAGAACCAAGGGTGGAGTGTGGATTAAGAGGCCAGGCCCGTGTTGGGGCGCCATGGAGGATCACGCGCGAGCGGCCTAGGTCGTAGGATATCCATGTGTTGAGGTGGCGAGCCATGCCGTAGAGGCGGCGGCGGCTGTCGGGGGTGTTGAGGGGTTTGGTGAGGTCTGTGTCGTTTTGCGGGCTGGGGTTTGGTGGGTTGGATGGGCCGTGGATGAGGCCTGTGGATTCTGGATCGGTGGATTCGAGATGAATGCCTGCTGCTTCAACCATGTGCATTAGGGTGCAGCTCGCCATCCAAGCGGCGTGTGGTGATGCTGTCATGCGTAGATATGCGGCGCGGAGCACCCAGCCGGCAACTGTGTCAATTGAGGGTGTCTCAGCACAGAGGATACTCTTTTCTAGAAGGAGGCGTGCGGCCTCGACTAGATGGCGTTCTGTATCCACGATGTCGCGCCGTGAGAATAGAAACCCGAAGGCTGCAACGCCGTATAAGACTGCATCGAATTCGTTTTCGATGTCATCGGGTGTTGATACATTCCATCTGTGGGCAATGCGTTGGAATATGCTTTTGCGATCGAGAAATGGATAGCATGTGTCAACTTTCTCGAAATAGACAGTAGCCAGCCGTCGCATTTCCTCCTGAGAAAGCATGCTTGTAATTGGCTTCTTGACCGTGGTAGCCGAAGAAAACGTCGGCGACAATCGCCGCTGGCCAACGTTCCAGGCGAATAGGTTCAAGCGTGGTGCATTGGCAGGGTCAATCCGTAAACCAAGCTTGCGAACAAATGCGGCTCCGGAGTTCACCTCGAGCGACTGGCTCGCATGATGGGGTTGCTCTGATCGAGTATGCGAGGCTGGAGAAGCAGTGCTGCCTGCAGCACTGCTCTCCTTGGGTGCGATAGCTGAACTTCGGCCATCCAGGGGTTGTGGGAACTGTTGCAGCATTCGCAAGCCCTCATTGAACGTGGTGCCAGTTCTCTGCTGCTTCCGGCGCGATGTGGAGCTATACTGACAATCGACGCCAGCGTGAATGCATGTTACGCATGGTTTTTCGCCAGAGCACTTACGCTTGCGCGCCTGACATGACAAACATGCAGCACGAGAGCGCTTGCGGGGCGCGGAATCGGCCATGATGTAGGAGGTTAGGTTTGCGCAGATGTCCCGGGGATTTGGTCCAAAGGAGGGGAGTGGGATCAGGCCATTAGACTGAACCAGCAGGTGTTTTCTAGATTTCCCGGTAACAAAGTGTAGGAGGAATAAACCTCTGGGGCTGTAATATTTCGCAAGGTTTCCGCCCTTCCTTCTCACGTTTCAGGTCCTAATGCGTTGTATTCGTCCTGTGAGACTCTGAACTCGACAAAGAGTTTACCCGCAACAGCGGCCGAGGTTCTTTTCCCGCGTAGGACATCAGAGCTCAGTCCTTGGGCATCAAAAAATAACGTCTTTTTCGTTATACTGTGGACTGGAGAGGTCCAACTTCTAATAGAAAACACTATAGCCATGCTCAAACTATACTTTTTGGTCCTGGAATAATTCCCATCGGTGGACGAGCCAGTGAGCGAGGGTCTTGTAAAGCCTCATTGGCCGGGGGGGATTTCTCCACTGACTCGAAGCCTTATTTTCCATCCAAATGCAAAATCTATGAGCAATTGCATGCTATGGCGTAGACGATTACACTGAGCTGATGGTTATTACTTGATAAGCTATGGTATATCCTCCTGTGAGCCAACATCGTCATGCATGACTGCCCGAGCGCCTCGGGTCGTACCGTTGGTCGGAGTCTAGAATGCTGCGCGCTTATTATGGCGTCCGCGCTAACTGATTCCTTGTATCTGACGTGGAGTCGATCTTCTTTCCGCTAAATCGTTAATCGTCAGCTTTGGTGCGATCGTATAATGGTGGTGGAGTTGCAATTGTCTCATTCCAGCCTTTCCTCCCCTCATTAACAGGGCAGAATGGAACAGCCAATGCCAAAGCTGGGTCTTATCAACCAAACAAAGATCACCAATAGTCGTGTATCTAGGGCTCCAAGCCCCTCTGCTCTTTGCACGTACAACCCAACAATGAGAGCAATGTCAGAAGCGCAGGGGTAGGGAAATAAAGTTACGTAAATAGATAATCCTCGTAGCCTTGAAGGTGTTCTGCAAGCCCCACAGTCGCCTATCTTCAAATTCTCCATCTTCGATCCCTGGAGAGACCATTCGCTCCAATAAGCGGTGTGTCATTACGTTCATCGAGAGATAAACGCATCCTCAACTTCCGACGCTACGATTGGCCTACAAGAGCTGCCGATACCGGCCCCGCCGCCGCTCATTGGCCCTGATGGAGTCGGTGAGGCACGTGCCCCACTGACTCAGTCTGAAAAACCTCTTTCCATTTCTCTCTCCCTTCCCTCTTCCTTTCCCCAGTTCCCAACCACTTCGACTCCACTCCCCATGCCGTGCTAAATACAACCCTTTTCTCTTCCACCTTTTACCTGACTGGTACATACCTAGTCGCGCTTATGTGTTTGGCACCCTCAATCTTCACCTCCCAGGACTACATCTCGGGTATGAAACTTACTCCTCCCCCCACGTAGTCTCCCCAATGCCTCGGATTATTAACAGGTTCGTCTTCAGATCACCTTTGGAAAGCTTCCAAGAACTAGGTTGACCCTATCGACACCCCGTTCCCTCATCCTTTCGCCTTGTATAATCTCAAAATGTTCATGAACATTTTCAAGACCATGCCCACTCGGGCCATGGCTTTCAACTCCATGAAGAACTCTGCTCAGTCCCGCTTCATGGCCACTGTTCGCCAGCGGCCTGCTCTGGAGCCTGCTACTTTCACCATCCGTGACGGTCCCATGTTTACCGGAAAGTCTTTCGGTGCGCGCTCCAACATCTCCGGAGAGGCCGTCTTCACCACTTCCTTGGTCGGATATCCCGAGTCCTTGACCGATCCTTCCTACCGTGGCCAGATTCTCGTCTTCACCCAGCCTTTGATTGGTAACTACGGTGTGCCCTCCGCCGAGAAGGACAACAATGGCCTGCTGAAGTACTTCGAGTCCCCCCAACCTCCAGGCCGCCGGTGTCGTCGTTGCCGATGTCGCCGAGCAGTACAGCCACTGGACCGCCGTCGAGAGTCTGGGCGAGTGGTGTGCCCGCGAGGGTGTCCCTGCCATCTCCGGCGTTGACACTCGCGCCATTGTCACCTACCTCCGTGAACAGGGTTCTTCTTTGGCCCGTATCACCGTGGGTGAGGAGTACGATGCCAACGAGGACGAGGCTTTCACCGACCCTGAGCAAATCCACCTGGTGCGTCAGGTCAGCACCAAGCAGCCCTTCCATGTCAGCGCTGCTGATCCTCAGTGCCACGTTGCCGTCCTTGACTGTGGTGTCAAGGAAAACATCCTGCGCAGTCTAGTGGGTCGCGGTGCTAGTGTTACTGTCTTCCCATTCGACTTCCCTATCCACAAGGTCGCTCACCACTTCGATGGAGTCTTTATCTCCAACGGCCCAGGTGACCCTACTCACTGCCAGGATACCGTTTTTCACCTGCAGCGCCTGATGGAGAGCTCTCAGATCCCCATCTTCGGTATTTGCCTCGGTCACCAGCTTCTGGCCTTGGCTGCTGGTGCCCGCACCATCAAGCTCAAGTACGGAAATCGTGCTCACAACATTCCTGCGCTGGATCTGAGCACTGGTCGCTGCCACATCACTAGCCAGAACCACGGTTATGCCGTCGATGCTGACACCTTGCCTTCTGACTGGAAGCCCTACTTCATCAACTTGAACGACTCCAGCAACGAGGGCATGATCCACAAGTCCCGCCCCATTTTCAGCACCCAGTTCCACCCCGAGGCCAAGGGCGGTCCTTTGGACTCCTCCTACCTCTTCGATATCTACTTGGACAGTGTGCTGAAGTATAAGACCAGCCAGGCCGGTCTGTACCCCCAGCGTGACAGTCGCCCCAGCCCTTTGCTGGTGGACCTTCTTCCTAAGGAGCGTGTTGATGTGCAGCCCACCGTTGGCATGCAGAATGTCGCTGCCGCTGCTGCTGCCGCCGTCGCCGCATAAGTGGGCACGTCCCTGGGGTATGGATTTTGGGGTGATTCATCGGTTTCAACAATATGTCATCGTTTTTTAGACTTGTTTATAGGTCATTTCCATCATATGTTTTCAATTCATCTGTGATTAACTTTTTACCCTCGGTCCATTCGTAATTCAGTATTCTATTTCGCAACGATCGATACGACATCCTCGTCTGCAACCGCATGTCCCAGCCCCACGCGCTGCGGCACATGACGTGCGCTTGCACCCCATACTAAGGCATACTTGAACGTCTCTTTGAGTGTACGATGGATTTGGTCGCAAACATCCTCGATGGTTGAATCGCGACGCACGATGAGAGCTTCGCTGAAGTCGGGATCCTCTCCCTTTCTGCAAGCACAAGTCACGTTAGCTTAGCATGATCTACAGAGAGCTCGGGCCTTGCGTACCGCTTAGTGTAGAGGCGCATCAACCGCAATTCTTTCCAAATGCGATCTACTACTTCCCGCACACCCAAATCAAGTTCGCAACTCATGACGGCTGTGTAAGGTTCGCGGGCAAGCTGGTCCAGGAATTCGAGGCTGACGCTGTCGATTTTGTTATAGACGTAAAGGCTGCATCCGTGTTAGCAGTGTAAATAAATCTGATTTCTTTTCCAGCCCAGGTTTGAAACATACCAGCGAATATACTTGCGGTGATCTTTCATGACAACATCAATAAAGTCATCGACGGTAGCTAGAACCAGTTAGCAGTCAACCAGGTACCTATACCAGATCAATACATACCATTTTCGTCCCGCACTAGCACCTCACCATTGAGAATCTTGTAGTCACGCAGGACATGGTAAATCATCTTTTCGTCAAGATTCTTCGGCGGGTTCTGGAAAGTGATCTTCAGACCGCCCGCCTTCTTAGGCTTGAAATAAATGTTTCTGTTCAGTGAATCAGCCCATGCTCATCTCAAGGATACTCTTTTACTTCACATACGGCGGCTCCTTGTTCAGTCGAATACCCACAGCATCTAATTCAGCCTCCAGTAATGCCCGTTGCTCAGCACGCTTGGTGGCATCCAGAACCATCAGAATCAGATCACTGGTCTTAGCTGCCGAAATGACTTGACGACCACGCCCCTTACCTTCGGACGCACCCTCAATAATACCAGGCAAATCGAGAATTTGAATCTCGGCACCCCCATACTCTAGCACACCAGGGATGGCTGTGAGGGTGGTGAAAGAGTAAGCTGCAGCCTCACTCTTGGTCTTTGTGATCTTGGACAAGAAGGTCGATTTTCCGACGGAGGGAAAACCGACCAGGGCAACACGCGCATCGCCACTCTTGCTCACATCGAAGCCAGAGCCGCCGCCGCCTCCAGCACCGGCTGCTGGTTCCAGAAGCTGGGCGCGCAGACGCGCGAGTTTACTGCGGGGTTGTTAGTCCAAGTCTTCTCCGTATGACGGACGGATGGATGGCACAGAAGAATTTACCCTTTCAATAAACCCAAATGGTATTCTTTGTCTCCATGTTAGTACAACGCCATTCGATGTTCGCAAGCGATGGCATAGCCTACCTGTGGCCTTGTTCTCTGCGGGGCAATGTTAGCGGGGTGGTAACTGAGGTTTTGAGGCCAAGGCTACCTACTCTGCGTCCGGCGCATCTCATCCTCAATCCTAGAGGTCGATGGTCAATAAGCAGGTACGATGATATATGTTGGGGCCTTTTTCTACGTCTTAAGACATACTCCTTGATCTTTTCCGTGATGTTCACCATGGTGCCGGTTCTCAGGCTTTGCCCGAGCAGTCACGCTTTCTGATCGGAACTGGTGTCCTGCTGGGTGATGTCTGAGACACAAATTATGTCTCTGTCTGATCCTCAGATATCCCTCCCACACTGCTGGGTCTCGATTATCTGAAGAGAAGAGCTCGTGTGTTCGTTGAGAAATCCGCACATGCCAAGACCTTATGTAATCACGCCTAGGCAGGCCCCGGGGTCACGGCATCTTTCAATAACATTATATTAGTATTGTCATCCACTTGAGGTCTATTGGGTTTTAACATAAATGGCGTAGCTTCAGTGTGATACAGAATGGAGCCTACTGTATCATGTACCTCCAGTCGACTTCAGCGGTTCGGGGTTACAGCTTATTTGGTCTAAAGTAAGCCAATAGATAGTTTAGCCGCATACTGATTAGATTTACAATCAGCTTGAATCAAATTCAAGGTAGTAGTCCCTATACAGTTAAATACATGCATGTGAGCTAAAATCGTAGTTAAATGCATGTTTATCATTTCCCTAAGGTTAATCTCCCAATCATAAGACTTTTAGTACTGATTTTCTATGCATGTACTATGCGCGGAATCCCGCCGCGCTTTAAAAAAAAAAAAAGACCAGCCCCCTTTGCAGTGGTCCAGTAGCAAAGAAGGTACTCAATTGGCATGGCATGCTTGGATCACTATTGAGCTAATTTTGCAGCCCTTGTAAATTTTCAATAGCAAATGGTCGTGGTAGCGAATTGCTTATTTATATCTCTTGAGGGGACGGGTAAACCCCGCACGGGCATTTCCCTTCAACTACCATTTCCTGGAGCTGTCAATGAGATCCCAGCTTCCCCACCTGGCCACAGCCGCAACTTCATTCTCCAGCTATACCAGATCTATTTATCGTAAAAATGGAAGCTCTCGTTGCTCAGGCTATCAAAGATACCACAAGCTTGAGGAAAACCTCGGTTTCTTGGAAAGCCGATGAGCCTGTTCCACAATCTTACTATGCATTCGACCTCCAAACGTCTTCATGGAACGCCAATTCTCCATCCACACATGGAGCCCCGAGCGCGAAGAGTTCCGAAGTGACAAGCATAGCCGTCTATTCCTGGAACATTGACTTCATGTTACCCTTTGACGAAGCTCGCATGAAACCCGCCTTAGCCCACTTGCATTACTTGATAAACGCAAAGAGCTCTCCAACCACAGCTCCGGTCGTCTTTCTCCAAGAGTGCAAGCCAGAGGACCTGAAAACAATCGCAATGACTCCCTGGGTCCGAGACCACTTCTATCTCACGGACATTGACCACACGAACTGGGCTACGAAACACTACGGAACGACAATACTAATCGACTCGCGTCTCTCTGTCGTGAGTGTATTCCGAGTGCATTATTCAAAGACACGCATGGATCGCGATGCGCTCTTCGTAGACGTCTTGTTTGGGTCTGATGACAAGAAGATCCGCCTTTGCAACACCCATCTTGAGTCTATGGCCTTTGAGCCACCGTTTCGACCATTCCAGATGCAAGTCGTGGCACGTTATCTGCACGAGGACTCCTTGCATGCTGGGCTCGTTGCTGGAGATTTTAATGCTATCCAACCGTTTGATCGGACGCTGCATGTGGATCATCACAATGGTCTAAAAGATGCGTTCCTTGAACTAGGTGGCGAGGAGGATACAGAAGAGGGTTTCACTTGGGGTCAGCAGGCAGCAACAAAATTACGGGATCAATTTGGGTGCTCGAGAATGGATAAGGTTTATTTCTGCGGTCGTGTCAAGTTGACCAGGTTTGAGCGGTTTGGGCAAGATGTATTTGTGGACGGCGAAGAAGAGCGCAGGGCGATTGTGGAACTGGGCTTTGAGAAGCCATGGGTCACGGATCACTTGGGTGTTATGGCTGAGCTAGAAGCTCAGCCATTGCTTGAGAAAGCGCAAATATGAGCGGAAGAAACTGAGTTCTTGAAACTCCTCGCCTCCATTCAAGACGCCGTTCAATTTTGAGGGGGTATTATCCAGCGGGAGTCACCCCGGAAGCCATACAACGAAGTTGGTCAAGCTCGTTCGGACGCATGTAATATCTTCAGTCTTCTCCAGTTCAATGAGTGGAACAGCGCGGTTGCCACAGAAGCTACTGTCTAAGCCCAGTCACTCGCGCGATCAGCGAGATCGTGCAGAATTCCTCCTAGTATAAATTCAACGAGTCCAGACCTCGATTTGACGGGCTCTAAGGCACACAGCGTCGCAAGGCAATCCAGAAATACCATACATAAATAATCTTTCCTTCTGCCGTGCCTACCTACGACGTGGTAATTGTTAGCGTCAGTTGAGGACCATTTAGTAGCAGCCGAGCCGGAACCCGATAAGACTTCGACTGCTTGAAGATGATGATGTGGCAGGAGCGTCCACACATACTAGAGACGACCAATGGAGATCCCTTGCATCTGTACCATTTCAATTTCAGTTCCTTGATCTTGGAAAAAATATCCTAGAACAATTTATTGTAATTTCTAAAGACTGCGAGTCCTGTTTCTTGGCTTAATCCTAATAAAAAGTCTTATTTTGACCGCTATTGTCGTGGGTCGCATTGGGGACGTCAATAGTACCAGCCTATAGTAGCGGTCTGCAAGGCCTAAGGTCTCTTCTAACATGTTTGCTATTTGAGCTATGTCTCCGCAGATGCATGAGTTGCAGACTGCCCAGACAGCCTTTGCATGCATGCCTAACCTGGCCAAAAAAAAATTCCTGAGGGGTCTGAGGCCAGCACAGATTCCCCACTATTGGGCATTCCGTGTTCGTTGTACCCTGTTGTTTGGTTTGGCACGATATGGCAGATCTCTTTGTTTATCAGAGCCTTTAAAGAATGACCGAGAGTTCATGAAATAATCCTAGTGAGAATTAAGCTACATTACAAGGGAGATCCTTTCCCGACGTCATCTGAGCCCTGTGTGATCGTGCTCCACTGCTACCGATAATCGATAAGAAACGGCCATATCTGACCGCCTATTTGAACGAGGGGAATAGCGCGACAAATTCCTCGACTTGACGTATCTCTCATTGTACCTCCTTTCAGCTTTATGTTGTGCAACACACCCCGGATGTAGGGCGACTTCGCGCCATAGCCCGCGATGTCTCCCAAACAGAGGAAGAAAACTCCCCGCAAGGAAAGGCAAAAGCAAACTTCTTCAGACTCTTCCTTGGCATCCCCCATAGCAGCTACAACCACCAACTACCGTGAAATCCACCTCAACGAGGTGGAAGCTCTTCAGTCCATCTATGGCGATGATTTTGAGAATATCGAGACTGCCCCGTCAGCATGGCATGTAAGTACCAATTGTGAATTTGTTCACTAATTTTGTTTCGCGTTTGGCCATGCAGTGACTAACCGCTGCAAACATCAGCAATCCTCCGACGTTGCCTTCAAGCTTGCTATACGCGCCCCTTCGAATCCAAACATCTTCCTTGTTCTGCGTGTAGAACTACCTGCCACATATCCCAAGACAATTCCCAATCTATCTCTTGAGAACCTCGTCGATTTTCGAGAGGGCGCCCAATCCCAGCTCCAGGAAATCGTGCGCAAGAAACCGAGCACTTTACTAGGAAGTGAGATGATTTATGAGCTTGCTCTAGCTATCCAGGATGTTTTAGAGGATGTTGCGCAAGCTCGCGAACATAACAAAGATCTGCCCAGCCTCGAGGATGAGCGCAAGGAACAAGAAGAGACAGCCATCTTGAAAGCCGAGCTTAAAGAGCAAGAGGAATTGCGCAAACAACAGGCCGCGAACGAGGCGGAAGAACGAGCTTTGCAGGATTTACTTCAAGAAAAGGCCCGCCAACGCTCAAAGGCGGCTCGTCTTCTCCGGCGCAAGAGTCGGAACAACGGGGTCGAGTTGGGCATGGACAATCCTGAGGAGACCACCCCTGGAGCAATTTCGTTTGATCCACCATTGGGAGCTACGGATTCAGAAGGGCAGCTACTGATTTTCCGTGCTGTGCATGGGAAGACTTTGTTGAAGTCTCATCACTCCAAGAAAACTTTCACCGTACGACCCGTTGTCCCCGAGGGCAGATGCCATGTGCCCTTGTTTGTATTGAAGGAGATTTTTTTAGACGAGAAGGGTTTAGAGCCCTTTGCCTTCCGTGAGAAAATGCGGGCCATTGAAGATCGATTGGAAAACCTGAAAAAGCTCCGGCATCCCAATCTGGTGGAGTTCGTGGGATTCAAGATTCTTCGTCCCGTCATAGACTTCAATACCCCAGATCAAACGTGGGTTGTTTTCTCCGTCTTCGAATTCGCCAACAAGGGCTCCTTGTCCGAGCTTCTTGATATCGTGGGGACTGTCGCCGTTGATACTCTGCGAGGTTGGATGATACAGCTCCTCGAAGCATTGGAGTTCTATCATCGAAATGGGTTTGTTCATGGGAATATCCATTGCGGCCAAATCATGCTGTACAGAAATCCATCGGGGAACACTATTGTCAAGCTGCAATCAAGTGTGGAGGAGGCGCTGCCGGATTCTCCGGGCTCAAAGCGATCTCTGACTACATCACAGTCGCCGTTGTGGCTACCTCCAGAGCTAACTCAAGGCACGCCATCTACTACCATGAAGACTGATGTATGGGATCTGGGTATCGTTTTGCTTCAAATGGGCTTTGGAAAAGACATTCTTCTGAGGTATACATCAGCCAACCAATTGATGGTATCACTTGGAGTCTCCCCGCCGCTGCAAGATTTGCTGAAGGAGTTCTTCCGACCGGATCCAAAGAAGCGGCCGACAGCTTTCCAACTCCAGCCATCTGAGTTTTTCCGGGTAGATGCCCCTTTGGTCACTCGGGATAGATCTTCCAACTCGGTGTCTCTACAGAGGAGGCCGAGATTGGACTCCTTTGGGGCTGCTTCCGCGCTATCTCGTTATCATCAAGATTTCGACGAAGCAGGTCATCTTGGACGTGGTGGATTCGGACAGGTTGTCAAAGCTAGAAACAAGCTCGATGGTCGCTTTTACGCGGTCAAGAAGATATCTCAATCCTCTGCGGCGGCATTGAAGGATACTCTGTCAGAAATCATGCTTCTTTCCCGACTGAACCATCCTTATGTGGTCAGGTACTACACGGCCTGGTTGGAAGAGGATTTGACTCATATTGAGGAAGACGCGATCTCGTCTACAGAAGGTGATCCCTTTGCAAGCCGAGACGCTCGTGAATTTAGCACCGGCGGACTTGACTTCATCAGCTCTAGTGGTTACCCTAAGATCGAATTCGCTGGCTCAGACAGCGATGATGATCAAGAGGGAACCATTTCAGATAAAGGCAAAACCAACAGTCCAGATGGTTGGGAGGATGGCGAGAGCGAGCCTGCTGAAGAAATCAGTCAATCACGAACCGGCTCGTATGGTAGACCCCTTCTGACTACACTCTACATCCAGATGGAGTATTGTGAGAAGCATACCCTTCGTGATCTAATCAAGAACGGGTTGTACGATGACACCGATCGATCCTGGCGCCTTTTCCGACAAATTCTTGACGGCCTCAGCCATATCCATAGCCACGGAATCATCCATCGAGATCTGAAGCCAGACAACATTTTCATCGATGTCGCCAATAATCCTCGTATTGGTGACTTTGGACTTGCCACCAGCGGCCAATTTACGACTGCTGTTCGATCTTCTGCTGCAGCGGATTTCGAAGGGAACTTCACCCGAAGCCTGGGAACCACGTACTACGTGGCACCTGAAATGAAGTCAGGATTTTTGGGCCACTACAATGAGAAAGTCGACATGTACTCACTTGGCGTCATATTCTTCGAGATGAACCACCCCCTCCCGACCAACATGGAGCGGGATCACACGCTGAGATCGATCCGAGAAGAAAGCCATTTGCTTCCAGAGGCTTTCTCTCAATTTGACAAAGTTGTCCAAGGTCAAATCATCGAGTCTCTCCTCAACCACAAACCAGCTGAACGCCCGACCGCCGCAGAGCTTCTTTCTAGCGGCAAGATTCCTCTACAGGTTGAAGAGGAGACCTTCCGACGCGCCATCGTGCATTTGCTCTCCGACCCAAACTCGCCAGATTACAAGAAAATTCTTTCAGCCATATTTTCTCAGTCTCCAAAGAAGGTGGAAGACATGGCATGGGACATGGAATCGCACGGGACACCAGCCGCCAACGAACTGCTTGTCCAGGGCCTTGTGAGGGAAAAGTTGAGCGTTATCTTCCGGCGTCATGGATCGGTGGAAGCGGCGCGCCAAATGCTCTTCCCACGGTCCCATCATTACGGAAACAACGCCGTACGTCTATTGGATTCCTCTGGCAATCTTCTCCAGCTTCCGTTCGATCTTACTGTCCCGAACGCCCGGGCAATTCCGAGACAAGATACCTCCCTCGAGAAGACTTTCGCTTTTGGTACAGTGTACCGAGAATCTACTCATGGTAGTGAACCCCGGAGCCACCGAGAAGTAGACTTCGACATCATGTCCTACAATACGCTGGATCTAGCGTTGAAAGAAGCCGAGGTGATCAAAGTGCTTGATGAGATTATCGAAGAATTCCCACCTCTGCGAAACGGATCCATGTGTTTCCTTGTCAACCATTCTGACCTCCTCCAACTCATTATGGAGTTCTGTCGTATCTCGTCGGCTCAGATTCCCATGGTGAAAGATGCCCTGAGCAAGCTTCATGTCGGGAACCAGACAATGCAGAAGACCCGTAGCGAGCTCCGCTCCCCAGCGATCGGCGTAGCTTCTACCTCTTTGGACGATTTAGCACAATTTGATTTCCGGGATTCTCTTGTCGAGACGCAGCGGAAGATACAGACTATTATGGAGGGAACTGAATTCGTTGACCGTATCCCGCCGATCTTTGCTCGGTTGAACATCCTCATGAACTACCTGCAAAGTTTCGGAGTGAAGCGCAAGGTCTACATCAATCCCCTTAGCAGCGTGCATGATAAATTCTACCGTGGAAGTATCCTATTCCAATGCATCTTCGACAGGAAGCGACGGGACGTATTTGCCGCGGGGGGCCGCTACGACCGACTGATACAAGAATTCTCGCCCAAGGTTCTGTCGAGCAGGCCTCAGGCACATGCAGTTGGATTCAACCTGAGTTGGGACCGACTTAGCTCGGCCATGTCCGAGTATCTCCAGTCCAAAGTGCCGTCAAAGGACTCAGAGACATGCTCTGAGGTTTATTGGACAACACGCAGGGTATGTCTGATACATCCGTGTCATCACTTTGCAACAATACTGACAAATATAGTGTGACGTTCTTGTGGCTAGTTTCGATGCAACTGTCTTACGAACACTGGGGATCAAAATCATCGAAGACCTTTGGGCAAATGGAATTAGCGCCGAGCTTGCGGTCGATACAGACTCAATGGAGGAGCTTCTGGTTAGGTACAGGGAGCATAACCACCGCTGGATTGTCATCGTGAAGCAAGACAGCAAAGAGCGAGGCTTCAAAGTCCGCAACCTTATCCGTCGTGAAGATTACGATATCCGCAGCTCGGAACTCGTGACATGGCTCCGGGCAGAAGTCTTAGCTCGCCAGCAGCGCGAGGGAACAGTCGAGATTCGCCAGTCTCGACAGCCTAGTCAGCAAGATATCTTGCAGTCTAATGAGAAAGCCAACGACGTCCGTATTCTGATCCCGCAGCACCGCAGCAAGAAGACGAACCGCCGAAACATTGTCGAGTCCGGTAAGTGCTCTCATATGCCTAGAAGTTTTCATGCAAGCATAATATGCTAACCACCATGCGCATCTAGCGCTGATGCGTTCCCGCGAGACGATTGACAGTGCCCGTAGCGGACCTATCGCTGCTATTGATACACGTGATGAGGTTCTCGAGTCCATACGCGACACGCGCCTGTCCGATCCAGAGAGCTGGCGTTATGCCATCCAAAACGCACCATTGAATGAACGAAAATACCTCGGCCAGGTTTACGAGCTCCTCAGGGACCTAGCATCAGAGAGCCGAGATGGTGGTGAAAAGTACACCAATGCTTTCATCTACAACTACCGCACCGGTTCTTGTGTATACTATGACCTTGGTCGCACGACGAGATGAATTATGCCTTATGTGAGAGGGTGAATAGAGGAGCTGATGGGGGCCTAAGATGAAGAGGCTATTTGTTACCAATTATCATGTTGCATATCAAGGGGTAGGCATGTTTTTACCATTCATAATTTTCTATTTCTTTCTTTTTCTTCGCCCTCTTTGATCTTCTTTCAATGTTAATTAACGAGTGGATAATACGATACCCCGTAATGAGTAGTCCTCTCAATGCCAGCGCTTGTTAAAGTGGATGATCAGATGAAGCAAAATATATCCAATGTTGTCTCCAGCCTCTACTGTGGATGTGGCAAGCTGCCTTATTGCCTTGACTAGTTACTGAATGCTTCTAAGAAGATCTACAAAAGCGGTGTGATTATCAGATAATGAGATAAAGGTGTATCGATAAGAATGTCTTCCCCACATCTCCGTTCGCATCCTTGTTAGGAAGGGCTAGGGACCGGATGTTCTCGTATATTCGACCGGATGATTGGTTGAATGGAATGACTTACCCAATTGAAATGACTCGAGTGACCTGAATCCAGTTGGAGATCCATTGCTGCGTAGACTTTCTCGATTCGTCCGACTGACCAGACAGTCCATGACCGACGCGTTCGGCGTTTCGAGCACCCTGCGGCCCCTTTGATTGGCGGAGATCACCGAGATCCAATCGTCTCAACGTATCAGCGCGGGGGCCCAAGGTCGAGCTCCAAAGCTCCTTCGCCGATAAGAACATCTCTATAAATCCCCCACCCCGCATACATTTTTTTTTCTCTTCAATTGTGTCTTGATCAGATTGGGATTCAATACAATGGCATCTGTTCTTCGCTGCAGCTCTAAGCTGCGCTTTGCGGCTCGTATCCCCGTAGCCCGGGCTCTCTCGACCACGGCTGCCCTGCGAACGTCTGAGAAGTCCTTCTTCTCCAATGAGCCTTCTGGTCCCTCAGTCTCGACCGCCATTCCTGGCCCCAAGAACCAGGCCGCTGCCGCTGAGCTCAACCAGGTGTTCGACGTTCGCAGCTTGAACATGCTCACTGACTACTCTCAGTCCGTTGGTAACTAGTATGTCACACCCGCCACAATCCGAAGTATCTCCGACTAACACTATCTCGTTAGCATCGCTGATCTTGACGGCAACATCCTTCTTGATGTGTAAGTCTCTCAATTGATGCATTGGAGAACAAAAATTCCTCTTCCAAGGCGATGGGTCCTAACAGCGCAACAGCTATGCTCAGATCGCGTCCATCCCCGTTGGCTACAACAACCCTCACCTGCAGCAGGTCGCCGCCTCACCTGAGATGACCAGAGCTTTGATCAACCGTCCAGCTCTGGGTAACTTTCCTTCTGCCGATTGGGCGCAGATTCTGAAGACCGGTGTCCTCAAGGCCGCCCCCAAGGGTCTGGACCAGGTCTTCACTGCCATGGCCGGCTCTGATGCCAACGAGACTGCCTACAAGGCTGCGTTCATGTATTACCGCCAGCAGCAGCGTGGTGGCCACGATGTCGAGTTCACTGAGGAGGAGCTCCAGACCACTATGGCCAACCAGTCACCTGGCTCGCCTCAGTTGTCTATCCTGTCATTCAGATCTGCTTTCCACGGTCGGCTGTTCGGCTCTCTGTCCACCACTCGCAGCAAGGCCATTCACAAGCTAGATATCCCTGCCTTCGACTGGCCCCAGGCCACCTTCCCCAAGCTCAAGTACCCTCTTGAGGACCATGTCCAGGAGAACGCCCAGGAGGAGCAGCGCTGCCTCCAGGAGGTTGAGCGCTTAATCAAGGAGTACCACAACCCCGTGGCTGCTGTCGTGGTCGAGCCCATTCAGTCCGAGGGTGGTGACAACCACGCTTCGCCTGCCTTCTTCCAGGGCCTGCGTGACATCACCAAGCGCAATAATGTCCTCTTCATCGTCGACGAGGTTCAGACCGGTGTCGGTGCCACCGGCAAATTCTGGGCCCACGACCACTGGAACCTTACCACTCCTCCCGACATGGTCACCTTCTCTAAGAAGGCCCAGACCGCTGGCTACTACTACGGTAACCCAGCTCTGCGCCCCAACAAGCCTTACCGCCAGTTCAACACTTGGATGGGTGACCCCGCCCGTGCTCTGATCTTCCGCGGTATCATCGAAGAGATTGAGCGTCTTGACCTCGTTGAGAACACCCGTATCACTGGTGACTACCTGTACGCTGGTCTCGAGCGTCTCGCCCAGAAGTACCCTGAGCACTTCCAGAACCTGCGTGGTAAGGGCCAGGGTACCTTCATTGCCTGGGACACCCCCAAGCGTGACCAGTTCGTTGCCAAGGCCAAGAGCGTTGGTGTCAACATCGGTGGCAGTGGTGTCAGCGCCGTCCGTCTGCGTCCCATGCTGATCTTCCAGCAGCACCACGCTGACATCCTCTTGGAGAGAATCGAGCAGCTCCTCAAGCTCATCTAGAGTTCTGAACTCCTGATTTACTTGAACAGGTCTTGCCTCATGATTGGATTAATTTAGCGTATTTCTTATTGTTATGCCAGGCTTGGCTTCTTTACCACCTTTTTTTTGCCTACGATTGATGTCACCCCAAGCTGGACTGTACATTCATAGACATGTTTGATGTCCTCAAAAATTCGATTCCATATCACATTCATTTCGAGTACCTCTTTAGAAGTAGTCAACGCCTCCTGCGACCGGTAACCTGTATCCTCTCTGATACTAAAAGACACAAAACATAGAAAAGAAGCAACGCAATGCTCCCAAGCCGAAACACCAGAACAAGCAGATAGCGTAAAGAAGCAAGATTTATTTCGGAGAGCGCCGGAGATCGGGGTTGGAGATCGGAGTTCGTCCGATATATGGGATGGGTATTCGAGGCTTATCGGCCATTGACTAGGAACAGAGATGGGCAATTCGTGGGTGGAGATTCATACCTCCTCTTCGCCGGTACTTCCATCGCGCCTAGAAAAGACTTGTTAGTGGCTTTCGCGGAGGATCAGGCAGGGGCTTTCAGCCCATCGGGGTACACACGGGACATATTTAACGCCGGAATCCTCCAAAGAGCCGATAATATCTTCGGAGAGCTGTAGAAAAGGTAGAAATGGCATGTTAGATCACAGGAAATGCTCAGTATGCTGAGAGTCAGAGCCAAGACAGCTCTGCTAGGAGACCTTACCGATCCTGACACCTTTGTAGCGTAGGTCCCCGGGACGTAGTTATCTAGACGCTGCCAGCGGGCAACCCAGCTAGCGGAAGGATCGCGAATTGAGATCAAGCCCTCAAACACCTGCGATGTGCACTCTTGGATCGCATCGTTGTTCCCCGGAGCTGGAGAATGGTCTCGCAGTTGGGACAGCCGTCGCGGGTGAATTTCTAGGGCGTGTTAGCAACGAGCTCGGCCGGGTCGCAAAGACCACACTCACAGTATGAGTCTGGACGATTGAGCACACCATGCAGGCGCGCAGATGGCGCTGCTGGTTCGGTGCAGCGAAAAAAGAGCCCGACATGGTTGGAAGCGGAGAAGAGGAAAGCGGGAGTTTGTGAGGCTGGAAATGGTGCCAAGGCCCATTGGTTCGGAGAAAAAAAGAACGTCAGGAACCGCTTTCTTCGCCTTTCCATCTTTTCTGCCCGAGGGGCTCTCATTCACTACCTCTGGGTTTGCGCTCTGCTTCCTGGACTTTCCATCTGCTCTTGGTGCTCTTTTGATTCTCCCCACTCCTCAAACTCCGCCTCTCTCCGAGCCCTCGATCGTCTCGCGTGCCCCTCCCCCAATCCTGCTCCATGGCTTCAGATCAAGAGGCGGCCAACGCCCTGAAGCTGCAGGGCAACAAGGCCTTCGCGAACCACGACTGGCCCACTGCCGTCGACTTCTATAACCAGGCTATCGAGAAATACGACAAGGAGCCGTCCTTCTTTTGTAACCGTGCACAGGTAAGCACCGCGGTCCCACCCTCTCGATCTCCCACTCCCAAATCAGTAGACTGACAGGTGGATTGTCTTGGCAGGCCCAAATCAAACTCGAAGCATTTGGCTTTGCTGTTGCGGATGCTACCGCGGCTTTGGAATTGGACCCGAACTACGTCAAGGTCAGTTGCAATGGCAAAAAGGGAGAAAAGGAGATAGAAAGAAACACCCTCTGAAGGCAACGCGGAGCGCTCGGGGTGTGCGTGATGCTTTGATACAACGCTGGATAATAAGAGGGGGCTATGCAGGCTGACACGCAAATTGTTTTCTACAGGCTCTATGGAGACGTGCACTGGCCAACACTGCAATCTTGAATTACAAGGCTGCGCTCAAGGACTTCAAGGCGGTTGTTAAGCGGGAGCCTGGTAACCAGAGCGCCAAGCTGAAGCTTGCGGAATGCGAGAAGCTTGTACGTCGAATCGAGTTCGAGAAGGCTATTGAGGTCTCAGATCCTCCTTCCGCGTTTGAAGGACTGGACATCGAGGCCATCAAGGTCGATGATAAATATGATGGAGTGCGGTTGGAGGGAGAGATGACTCAGGAATTTATTGACGACATGATTCAACGATTTAAAGATGGAAAGACTATTCACCGCAAGTACGTGTTCCAGATAATCAAGGCTGTGAGGGACCTCGTCTACAACGAGCCTACTATGGTGGAGATTGGTGTCGACTCAGGCAAGAAGTTGACCGTCTGTGGTGATACCCACGGTATGTTGGATGCGATTCATGTCGACGTGGGCATGGCTAACTAAGCGTTACAGGCCAGTACTTTGACCTCCTGGAGATCTTCCGTCGCAACGGCTCTCCTTCTGATACGCATGCTTATCTTTTCAATGGTGACTTTGTGGACCGCGGCTCTTGGTCTTGTGAGATCGCTCTTCTTCTTTACGCATACAAGTGGCTCCGACCAAATGGACTATTCTTGAACCGCGGAAACCACGAAACAGACGATATGAACAAAGTCTACGGTTTCGAGGGTGAGTGCAAGGCTAAATACAACGAGCGGGTCTTCAAGGTATTCTCAGAGTCATTCTCCGCGCTGCCTTTGGCGACCTTGATCGGCGAGAAGTACTTGGTTCTGCACGGAGGTCTGTTCTCTGACGATAAGACCACATTGGACGACATTCGCAAACTCAACCGCCATACCCAGCGACAACCCGGCCAGCAGGGCCTGATGATGGAGATGCTCTGGACTGACCCCCAGCCCCAGTTGGGTCGTGGACCCAGCAAGCGCGGCGTTGGCCTGCAATTCGGCCCTGACGTCACCAAGCGCTTCTGCGAGAAGAACGGTCTGGAGGCGATCATCCGATCTCACGAGGTTCGCATGGAGGGTTATGAAGTTGAGCACGATGGCCGGTGTATCACCGTGTTCTCCGCTCCCAAGTACTGCGACTCAACAGAGAACAAGGGCGCATATATCAACATTGGACCCGAGCTCAAGCTCGAATATGAGGTGTTCGATGCTGTTCCACACCCGGACATCAAGCCTATGGTAAGTTCCTCCCTTGTTACGTAGAGAGCGATTTCAAACTGACCGCTCCTCCAGGCCTATGCCCAGAACTCCATCCTTTCTAGCATGTGATGAATCTGATGACTTGCAAAACGGTGGCGTTGATTTAAAAGAAATAGAGATCTTCTACGATATAACTATATTCACGTTTATTTGCCCTTTTTCGATCTTTTGTACTTCCAGTTTGTATAGTTGGAGTAGACCTGACCGCCTTCCATCTGCCCCGCGCTCCCCTCTTCACGTCATAGTGTTCTCCCCACCCTTACAGATTCACGCTCAACAAGATGGAATTCGATCCTAAGACCCGTGAGTGCTTGAGCGATGGTCAATTTGCTGGCGATTCCTGTGGCTAACCTGGCCTAGCTCAATTCCTCACTTCAGACCCGTCGAGCTTCGCCTCAGTCTCGGCGGACGACCGATGGCCGGTGATTATTGTTAGTATTCTCCCAGCCGCAGAAATAGGACGCAATTGCTAAATTTTGTCAAGACCGGTGCTATCGATGACCTGCACCGCACATCTGCCGAAGTTAGTGATGCAGAGAAGCAAAAGGAAGCCAAGGCTATCATCGAGAAGCTCGCCAAATTGAAATACGAGCTGCAGCACAACCGGCAACTGACGTGTGTACCGCTCTTCTGCGGATTATTTTTAAGAAGCCGATGCTGACCGGCATTATATACTAGGCCCTTGGATGATGACGGCGAATCGGATATTGCTAGCTACAACCAAGAGTTAGAGCAGCGTGGGAACCCTGTCTGGCACGACGCGCCCTGGCTTTATGCCGAATGCTACCTTTGTAGGCTCCACGCATCGCATCGCCTTCGTCAAATACATGCGCAGGAGCTGACTTTCTGAACACAACAGACCGTCGCATTGAGACTTTCTTCGCGCTTTCCACCCACTGGAAGGGCTACGATGTGTTTGCTCGACAGAAGATGTCGACGTTCAAGTCGTCGCGCCCCGCTGTCCTCGAACTTGCAGCTCGATACCGCGAGCTCGCACTCGAGGCTGAATCAGGCAAAAGCTCGGAGGGCAAATCTCCCGAAGAGATCGAAGAGGCTGAAAAGCTTCTCTTCTCGGAGATGTGCGAGATCTGCCTTTGGGGCAACGCTACCGATCTGTCACTCTTGACCTCTCTCACATACGAAGATATCCAGAAGCTGCAGGGCTCACAAGCTCGGAAGGCCTCGCAGAGCAACATTCTTGTCAACGACATCGATGCTGCTTTCGCGACCTTGCAGAAGGCTCGCCGGGAGAAGAAGGACGGCGAGCGCCGTGTCGATATCATCCTCGACAACTCTGGCTTTGAGCTTTTTGTCGACCTGATCCTGGCGGGCTACCTCCTGTCCACCGGCTTGGCTACCAGCATCATCCTTCACCCGAAACGTCTCCCCTGGTTCGTCTCTGATGTCACTCCAAAAGACTTCTCCGACCTTCTCAACAGCATGGTCGACCCGCAGGCCTTCTACACTGCTGCGGACGACACGGGCAAGACTTATCCCAAGCTTTCAGAGAAGGAAGTCGAAGACGTCCGATTCCTTTTTGAACAGTGGAGCGGTTTCCACCAAGACGGCAAGTTGATCGTGCGCCCGCACCACTTCTGGACTACCCAGGGTTGCTACTGGCGTCTGCCGCACCAGGCACCCGAACTCTTCGAAGACCTGAAAGAGAGCGAGCTGGTCCTGCTCAAGGGCGATCTCAACTACCGCAAACTGACCAATGATGTAAGACCCCCGTTCGAATGTATCGTGGAATAAACTAGAGACCATGCTAAATCCTCTTCAGGCTCAATGGGACCCCACCACCCCCTTCACAACAGCTATTGGCCCTCTGGGTCCAAAGTCTGGAGTCCGTATCCTGGCTTTCCGTACCTGCAAGGCTGATACTGTGGTCGGCCTCCCGCCAGGCACAGACGAGAAGCTCCGCCAGCAGCCCGATGGAGGCGGCGACCAGGGTCGCAAGTGGGCTTGGAGCGGCAAATGGGCTGTTGTTTCGTTTTCCGACGGCAAGGCCTAGATTGGGGTAGGAAGTGGATAGAGATGTATCGGTTCAATAAACATACACGTAAATGGAGGACGGCAATATCCTGTCACCTCAACTTCAAACGGAGATCTTATGACAATTGGGGAGTTTGCCCCCGGGCTCGGCTTATATAGTTTAGATAGTTTGTCTTGATATCAGAGAAAGTCAGTTCCACAGAGATAGAGGGTGGGACCTTGGATATACTACATAGAATGTATGACTGTCCATTCAACCGCATAAATGGCTCCTACCACTCGTATAGGCCTTGGACACTAACTACCACTCCTAGCAAGATTCACAAATGATTGTGATAATAACAATAAACCGGTATCTGAATTCAACCCGAAGAAAAGCTACCGACTCGGGACTCCTGAAATTCCAACGCAGTGCTCGCTATACAACTGACAGAATACTCTTCCTCGCACGAAAAAGAGATATAAATTCAACAACCTAGATCCGAACTCAGATCTGGGCCAAGTTCTCCTTCCCAGAGGCGCGGCTCTTCAACTTCCGAGCCTCATTCTTCATCTTAAGCCGTGCCCGCGCTGCAGCAACTCGATCCGGCGTGAGCTCTTTCCCTCTCAGATCAGCGAGGCCAGCTCGAGTTTTACTCGATCGATCCCCCGCGATGGTATACCCGCGCGGGCCTGTGATCGAGTCCAATGTGGACTTGATGTGGGCGCGAGGGCGGTGCGTATTCGCCGGGCGGTGCTTGCGTCCGTATCCCGGTGAATCGGGCGGTAGCGCAGGACATCGATCTCATCATCTCGGTTCGCATGTCGTGGGTATCCGGGGTTCAGGGCCTTCATGGGAGACACGGAGATATTGGGGGGTGATGAAGGGGGTATGATGTCTTTGTCTCGGTGGGTTGCACTTCTGGGCAGGATCTCGTTCAGGTAGTGCGTGACTTCGTCATCGTCCGCGGCGATTTCACGAGAGGTGCGCTTCATATCCAGGGCGCCTGTTGTAGCGTTGCGGTATTGTCGGAGGTCGCGGCCCTTGGAGCGAGGGCTAGGGCTTGGAGGTGCGTCCATGTCATCTGTTGTTTCGATGTCGACAGTGGGGTCTTCTGCGAAGTCGTGTATTTGGATGCCTGTGTATGCCTTTCGAGGGCTCAAGGAAGTTCGTTGCTGGGGTCGGAGGATGGGGCCCTGTTCGACTGCTATGACTCGTGTCTTGAGCTGGTCGATTTGGGATTGCATGCGCCGGCGCTCTGCTTCGAATTCCTTGCGGAGGGCTTCTTCCGACTGTCGGTGCTCCTGGTTGGTGGCTTTGAGACGAGCACGGTACTCTTGGACGCGGGCTTCAAGTTTTATCTCTCTTTGCTTGAGTCTGGCCTCTTTTTCCTTGCGCCGGCCTTCGTATTGTGACATCTCCTGTTTCACACGCGCCAGGGTCAGTTTGAGAGATGTGTTCTCTTTTTCTAGCTCTTGGGCTTTCTTTTCAGAGCTCTGAGCTAGATTTTGGAGCTTGCTGAGATCCGGGTTCTTTTGCTCCAATTCTTCAAGCTTGGAATTAGCTTGCTTTAATTCTTGTTGGATATTACGCAGTTCATCTGGGGTCTGCGCCAACGAGGTCTCATCTTTTCTCTCCTTTGAGTCAGCTCCGGATGATCCAGATCCCTCGAATACACCTTGCTTTTCTAGTGTGGCGCGCAAAGACGTGACCTGTTGTTTGTACTGCAAAGCCAATGCGGTTTGCTTGGTCAAATCTTTGATCAACTGCTCCTTGTCACTTTTCGAATCCTCTCCCAAAACACTCGCAGCAAGATGCGTCACCTGTCGCTCCATCTCCGCGACCCTTTCTTCCTCCTCCTTGAGCTTCTGCATCAGGCGAAGCGCTTCATCGTCTTTTTTGCGCGCATACGACTTCGAGACCGACCGGTAGTGTACCAACTTCTTAATCTCGCGATTGGTGCGCATGCGGTAATTATCGAATTCCGTTTTCCAGTATTTCCCTGACTCCGAGCGCGGCTCGTCCAAGTTGAGCGTGATGTCCTCTGCCCCAGCTTCGTCTTCCGAGCGCGTCGCAGAGCTGGGATTCGGCGACGGGTCAGGAGGTGTCGTGAGGGTAGGCTTGGTGGACGTGTTTTCCCGAGCATCAATGAGTGACTGCGTAAGTTTGCTGCGCTTGCCATCTGCAGATCCAGACATCCATTGCACACTCAGGCTACCAGATGGCTGGGGCGTTCTCGATTTGCTCGGCGACTCTCGCTTGCCTTCATTATCGACGACGCCCTCGCCGAAGGAAACCGTTTTGCGCCGGTTGGAAATGGTGCTGGGGTCACGAGGATACTCTTGGTCGGGGACCCTGAGAGATTGCCCGTCGCGTCGTCCGAGTCTGGTTTGAGCTCGGGTGCCTCGATCGGCTCGGGTTTAAAAGGCTCGCTCTTGCTGCGCTGGTGAGGTTCTTGTCTTGGTTTGGCCGGTCGCGGGGTTTTCTCGTCATCCTCAGCACCGGGGGTGCCAAAGATAGCACTTTTGAAGGCGCGCAGAGCGAACACGGGCGCCGGGGTTTCGGGAGGCTCTAGCACCTTCGAGGTGTCTTCACCAGCATTCATGGTCAGCGGAGCCTTGGTCTGGAGAGTAGTGAACATACCGGCATCAGCGCCTTCCCCCTTCATCCAGTCCAGCATGGTGGGAATGGTATGAGGTGTGAAGGCGGAACGGGATGTGATGGGGTAAACAAAAGGAAACGCGTTTCGGCGCTTATCGATAGCGGAACTCAAAAGGCACCACGTTTTCCTTGGAAGGAAATCAGTCTAGCATCTGCACCATGCGAGATGAGAAGACCTCAGGGGCTCTCGAGGTTATTGACAGGATTGGACTCGGAGCTGTGATGGGATTGATCCCCTCGCATACTCACACCGCCTTAACAAAGTACTGGACTGCTGCTATGCGCATCCCCAAAATAGCAGCACTTTTGAATTACACCTAACTTTACGCAATAGAACAAGAAAGCTATTGAAGAAAAATAACAGTATTCAGAGATGCATGCGAAAAAGGTAGTTCAAAGTCTAAAAGGATTGAATAAGTCCACTGCTGTGTTTTCTAAGTTTGTTCAAACGCCATAACTCTCATGCTGTCAAAAGGCCCACGCAGATGCAATTTGGTCTCGCTAGATCGAAGTCAAAAAACAATTTTAACTGCCACTCGGCACGAGCAATCCAGGCCCGTGACTGTTGATTTTACACTCTCATGGCACCTACACCGACGACGATTTGGTCAGTGATGAAAGCTTTCCGATGAGAGTTGAGGCGGCAGAATGAGGTGGAGCCGGGTTGGCGACGACCTTCGCCCTCAGTGCAGCGCGGATATCCTCGACGGTACGGTCCTCCCAGTCGCCGAATCCATCCTGGCTGAGAGGGAAGAGCACCAGGTTATCGGGGCGCGTCATGAAGTCATCCACGTTGGGCGCAGGCGTGGAAGTAATGATGTCCAGCTCGACCGCGATCTGGCGGCAGTAGGTGTCCAACGGAAGATCATTCACATCCTGGCCGAAGGGGTTCTCGATTTCGCTGCCAATAGTGGCCAGTCCGATGATGATGTAGGCGGCAACTTTGGCACCGATTAGCAAGGCTCAACCGGGAAAAAAAAAATAGGAAAGAAAAAAATTCACGATCTTACCAATGGAGGCGGGGATGGTGATCCACTTTAGAAACTGGCACAGCTGGAACGGCAGGACAAGGACGTAGATCCAGGAGATCTGTGCGATAGCGATTGTGTACGCGGTCGGCATGGGGGTGTCCAGCACCCGCTCAGTCCCTGTAAGAACCTCGTTGAGGGAGGCAATCATGCTAACTAGTCACTTTGTCAGCGCTGCTCGAAGTACGGCTCAGTGTTTCTCGTTACTTACTCAGCTGACCCTGGTGCAGAGTGGAGGACAGGGTTTCATTCTTCACACATGAGTCAACGTATGCCGACAGATGGTTCAGAATCTCCAGGGGGAGGTGGCCAAGGGGCTTCTTGGATCGCTTGATGGCCTTGCGCGGGTTCGATTCGGCAAAGGAAACACCGAGGTATTCTCCAGTAGATTTCCAGAGAGACTTCTTCTTAGGCTTCAGAGCGTCAGGGTCGTGGGCCTCTCGGGCGTATGTATCCAGATGGCCCGCAAGTCCAGCCAGGTCCTCGTAAGCGATATCGGGCTCGAAACGAAGCTTGTGCTTCAAGGAGACCGCAAAGGCCAAGAGAAGGTTCATGGCAGACCTGGTGGACCCATGTCAGTTCAGGGTAAAGTCAAGGAGCAATCGGGGTATACACCTACAGCTTCCTCAAAAGATCCTGCTTTCCAGCCTCGCCAGGACGCTCCGACGTGTTAACCCAGATGGTGCGAGCAAAGTTGCGGGAGGTCTGGATGAGCTGGGCCCAGTATTTGCGACCATCGGCCCATCTATGGGTGGATTAGTAGGAGATCACAATTCGACGATAGGAAGGAATTACCGTTCGTAAGCAGTGGAGCTGCGGAATGAGAGCGCCAAACCCACCACGAAACCCAGCACGGTGAGCAGGATATCATTTACACCAACTATTCATGACAGTCAGTTAACGAAGTTACCCGGGTTGTCGATATACCACTCACTATCATAGACAAGCATGTAGACGGCAGTGATAACAGTAGACTCGCATGCGACCAGCAACATGGGCAAAATCATCTTCGGGGTAATACTCCCGTGCATACGCATGATGATTGGCCATTTGGAATGCTTTTCCATGTCTCGGGGGCCATGCTGTCAAGACGATTAAGCTGTTAGTCAACCATGGTTGAGGCTCCGAGAGTTTCCCGTTAGGGTTTGTGCGACTCCACATACAAAATACCGGTCCAGCTCAGTCGAGTCTCGCCGATCCAAATGGAATTGCATATCCCGGCTGCTGGCTAAATGCTCCATGAAGGTCGGTCGAGGGGTCAAACGGCCTGGAGCTTTTCTTCCCTCACGGGCGGCAGGTTATGCTCGTTATGCGAGACGTCATGGTGAACAGCGCTCGGAACGGGCGCAGGCGCATTGTCGCTGGTCACAGCTGTGGACGCGTCGGTCGGGTTTGGTGGTGCAGCATCGCCGTCGGTCATGTTGAATGTATTTGAAAAGAGGGTCTGAAAGAAAGAAGAATTGTAAACGAAAACCGAAAAAAGAAAAAGAAAAGAAAAGGAATGTCGACAAGAACCAGGGGGTAAAAGAGTGACGTGAATGGGGTTAGGGGGAAGAAAATTGAAACGTGGAGAAGAAAGTCGGAGAAATAGAGCCTGAGGAGGACCTGAAACAGGGCGTTACCATAGCCCAGTGCAAGTGTTTCATGGCGCGGCGAATGGCGCACGAAAAGATGCTCTAGACCACCGCAGAGCTCGTTCTTCAGCACGAAAGTGGAGAATGGGCCATTTGACAGCCACGGAGGAATTAAAATTAGACGGCCTCAGGAGAAGTCTGATTACACTGCCACACTCCCCGCCTTGGATTTCACATTCAGCGAATGGTCAAATCCACCTCGACGTGCCCTTCCATGCCAGGGCAGATCAGATCGTACAAAGTAGATCTCCAAGCAAGAAAGTTAAAGGCGGGTATATTCTCGTAAGAACCTTTTAGCCAGCCGCCTCACGTCAGACGCGGCCCAACACTAATTCTAACATTACTCCTTAATTGCCGCTCTATTACTGCAGGTCCACCGGGAATCTATCCCTGATGCGCTGGCCGTACCGCGAGAAAAGAATGGGCACCGGCACAAAAGCCAAGGACACAAATCCTAATAAAGAATTGCCCCAGCCAATGCCCAGATTGGCAAATAACTTGGGCCCCGCCAGCGGCAGCAGAGCTCCCACTAGTGATCGCGACATGGTCAGGGTCGCGTTGGCTGACGCAGCGTACTCGGGATAATTGTCGATCACGTAGGTCTGAATGGGCAGATACAGACCCATGAACCCGAAGCCAAATGGAGCCATCCCGATGATCGGCACAATCCAGAAAACGTGCTTGTCGGCTGTCCAGCCATACCAGAAGAAGCTGATGGGAACAAAGACGGAAAAGAAGATCATAACGGGGAGCCGCATCTCGGGCTCGAACTTGCCGCCATTCTTGGCCGTCATCCTCATGACGATTCGATCACTGGTCAGTCCATTGCAAGCAGCCCCGAGAAGGAAGCCAATGCCAATCCCAAGATACGCAAGACCAGAGACTCCGCTGGACCAGCCATACTCTTCTCCAAAGACGCCAGAGATGGTTGTGAAGAACAAGTACAGAAGCCCGTACATTACAGCCATATAAAATGCCAGCGCCGCCACAATAGGGGACTTGGAGAATAGGAGCACAGGTCGCCGGAGTCCAACTTTCAGGGAGTTGGCGATCGAAACCTTTTCGCCATCAGGGGTATATGCGCTACGGAGGTCGCTGCGACCCAGTTCTTTCGCCAGCCCTGCGGTCTTCCAGCGGATCAGCACATTGGCGTAGGTCTCCCGGTTCAAGAGCTCGATTCCAAGCGCGACGACCCCTCCCACAATCAAGAGCACCCAGAAAATCCATCTCCACCCAATAGTCTCTCCCATGAATCCTCCCGCTAAGGGTCCAATGGTCGGGCCAACCAGGGGTCCCAAACTCCAGATGGCTGTTGCAAGTCCCCGCTGCTCTACTGGGAAAAGGTCGGCGATCACGCCTGCGCCGAGCGTGAGGCAGCCTGACCCACCCATTCCAGCTAAGAGCCGGAAGATGATCAGGGAGGCGATATTCGGGGACAGTGCACATCCAATCTGCCAGATCACCAGGAACCAATTGGCGCAGCTAAGCACAATCCGGCGTCCATAGATCTCGCTCAGTGGGGCGAGTAGGAGAGGGCCGAACTGGTTCGACGCACTGCGTCAGATCGAATCGTGGCATATTGACGGCTAATACAACTTACAGCATATCCGAGAAGGTAGATGCTCACGCTGAAGGAAAGCAGTGTCTCGTTATCCACGTCCAGGTCCTTCTGCACGTAGCTCACCGCGGGTGCAAACATGCTGGAAGCCAGGGGTGAAATGAACGTGATGGCACTCATCACCATCAACAAACCCCATTTCTGGCCCGGTCGGAAATTCTGTGGATTCTGGGGGATCATCCTGCCCTTCCCACCCACGAGCCCCCGATCGAGATCTTGCTCGGGATACTTGATTTCAACCGGCAATTGCTCCTCCGGGCTCCTCTGGTTCGTAGAGGTAATCACTACATCCTTGGGGTCATCCGCAACCTTGGACTCCCTCTCCAATGAGACGCGGTCGGCTCCACACATGTCTGGGAAGGGAGGGGTTGGAGGAGATTCTGAGAAGCTTTGTGATCGAAAGGCAGCAGCTGGCTTGTCTATTTACCCCAGCTGTGGATGAGGGCAAGACCTCCCTATAAAGGGCGGGCCCAGCGGTTCATTAGGACTGCGTATTTTAGACACAAAGATGCAGTCAGGATAACCCAGCAACCAGTCGCCCCACGCTTCGCGGGTTCCCCCAGCCGCTGATAGGGCATTTGCAGGGATCTGCGCATCATTCAGGCGAGCTACAGATAGTTCGGCGATTGACAGAAGTACGGTGTACCAAAAAAAAAAACCTCGATTTATCACCCCCAAAGGCCATTGATTGGTTTCCAGTATCCCCAGCGAGCTCCATTTAGTTGCGTTAGCTTAGCTCCTGTGCCATAATTCTACTCCTATACGACATTGTTTCTTTTGCTGGGGGGGTTCCCATATCTGGAGTAAGGGCTTGGGCCATGGCCTGAGAGGAGGGGGTATGGAATCGGCTTTGTGCGCCGGCCGTTTTGATCAGGGCGTGTCTTCGGTGCGTATTGAGATGGTTGTACCACAGGCAACGTTGATCTATAGATCGAGGGGCTTCGATTGATCAGGCTTTCAGCGCATCCTAGCCTACGAAGTTGTAGTCACATCTCTTCCATTGGTATTCGCGGGTCATGCTACTAGTGGGGGTATCTCAAGTATTGGCCTCAGTCTTTATAAAGCCGTATCTAAGGATTTACTATGTACAAGGACGCCTATTATGTCAAGTTATGCAGACGGCATAAACTGGTAGCAGCCTGAGTACAATCAAGGGATATGTAGCACATTCTAATGAAACACAAGGCTATACAAAAGTACCTCAATTTCACGTTCAAGTCGTTTGATTGGCTTCCACCTCCGGCAGGACGAATGTCTGCATCAATGCTCTGATGTATCAAATTTCCCAGTCTATATCGAAGATATAATTCCGTTCAATAAGACAATCCTTCAGACCCGGAAAAAACGATTCTACTTAAGGATCTCCCCTGCGTCATTAAGATTTGTCTTTGAACAAATAATAATGAACTATGTTATATTCCAATCTGGGTTCTTAAGTAACAGCTTATTAAACAAGAATGATTGATCGCAAAGAACTAAATATATGCTAAAACAAGTGTCTTTATATATCCAGTCCTTCTTATCACTAATATGTCCAGGATATATCGCTAATACGTTCCGCATATCATTGATGTGCAGTGCTTATCACCCGATGAGCCGTAGTGGCCTTGTTGTCTTAAGCAGCCGCCTCTAGCTTCCCGCTAACCGTTAAATTGAGTAGTGCAGTATCCTTAGACCTCGCCATGGAACTTCCACGGGTAGGGATTTTGGTTCCAGTTCCGTGGGACGGGTAGGCAAGTCCTACCCATTACCCATCCCCGTCTACCCAGTGTAGACCATGGGGTACCCGCGGGTTACCCACGAATTACCCAAAAATGCATAATTACCCCTTTTTGGACATGCCAAGCTGTATAAAATCGCTTACTCACCCAAGTAAATTACAGTTTTTAACAGCTGTTCTGGTTAGCCTCTAGTTTATGAAGCGATACAACCACATTGACTACGTAAATTAAGTATTGAAGTTGAAAAGCGTTATTAGTAGCTCTGGTAATAGTGGTTTGTATCTATATTTAATAGATTAAACCTTATGGTAGATGGTTGTAGGTAGTATTGTGGATTATATATTGTCAACTGTTGAAAATATATATTTACACTACAAGGGAGTAAGTGTATCTTCCTGACAACACAATCATACCCCTTTTATATACTCTTATATCAGTGAAACTGATTAGCTGTTCGACAAATCGAATTATATACGTTATTTCCATTTAAATATGAGCTTTGCTTTAACAAAATTGTATATATTAAGTGTACAACAGCCTTGAACAGTGGTATCTATCTTGAAAACAATGGCACTTGAATATGAAAAAAGGGGTTAAAGTGAGATGGGTAGCCCGTGGGTAACCCGTGGGTTACCCGCGGGTTACCCACGGGCTACCCATCTACCCACGAATAACCCATGAGTTCAACCAATTAGAATATATATCATAGATATAGTGGGTCATTTATTCGCAAGTTATCAAAAAAAGGGGGCTAAAGTCTCTAAGTCTATCAGTCGCAAAATTTACTATAGTAAGTACTTACTTCGTTATGTGATTAGGGGTAACTAGCCTGGTCTTGTTTCCCTTGCCATAATGTCTCAATTCTCCCAGTTCTCTGATGTGTATGCATCATCTTTATATAATACTGACAATCCAGATAACCTTCAGGTTATTCAACCCGACGACCTTACCTCTAACCCTTCGTTTAACCAACAAACATCACAATCAATCGCCAATTCGGATTTCATTTATCCATCCCGTGTGGCCCCTATACCTCCCTCCCTTGAACGTATCTGTCCTGACCGAACTTCGGCATACCTTGTTTATTCCAACATGACAAAAGACGATTTTGTGAATTGGTGGCTTCAGACAGACTTTGGACAAAAAAAGCCGATACGGTGGGATGCTCGACAGCAATCTGATGTGTGGAAGCACTTTGACCAGGTAGCAAAAGCGAGCGACGGAATGCCCAAGGTTATGTGTAAACGATGCAAGAAGGTGCTCGATCATCCACAACAACATGGGAATGGGACCACAGCGATGATCAAGCATTTGAAAGGGATTGGGTGTCGTGGCACAAATGGGCATAATATCAAACAATTTTTCCACGAGGTAATTTTATCTTATATTATGATATCTTTTTACTAATATCTTTCTAATATAGGCTACACCAGCTTCAGATAGTCTCAGTTTTACTCAAGAGGCTTGGGAAGCAAGTTTACTTCGTTTCATTACTGATTCCCGGCTACCATTCCAAATCCTCGAACACCCCGACTTTCATCAGTTGATTTACATGGCCTCCCGTGCCCCAATGCGTCCACAAATCCCATCTGCGAAAACAGTTCGACGTCGACTTCAAGGCACGATCACTGAGTACCAGAATACTATCCTCCAAAAGCTACCTAAAGATGGTAAGCTATCAATTGCCCTTGATTGCTGGACATCTCCATTCCAGCAAGCATTTATGGCAGTAACTGGTTATTTTCTTGATGAAGATTGGAACTATCGGGAGATACTGCTTGGCTTTGAACCACTTCATGGAACACACTCGGGTGTCAATCTAAGTGCTGTCCTTCTTGAACTTCTTCAAAAACACCAGATCACAGACAGAGTGCTTGCAATTACTACTGATAATGCATCAAATAATAGCACTATGATGTCGAGTATCCAGGATTCTATCCAGTCTCTTGAGATTAGCGATCATACTACGATCATCAAGGTTCCCTGTCTAGCCCACGTCATTCAACTTAGTCTGAAGCAGCTTCTTGGGCAAATGAAGGCAAATCCAAAGAACGATATAGCTGAAATGCAGTGGTCTGAAACCCAAGATCAATTGATCCGCTCAAGGCAACAAAAACGAGAGATTGTTGACACACTGAATAAGGTAAGTTTATCTCTTCAGATATAAAAACTATCAACTTATTTAATTATATATAGATACGAGGCTTAGCTGTTTTTATCAATGCTAGCCCTCAACGTCTCGAGCTGTTTTCTAAGCTTCAAACAACCTCAATACCTCTTGTGCCAATTCAAGATGTTCGAACACGCTGGAACTCGACCTTTCTTATGCTCCGACGTGCCAAGCGATTACAGTCTGTCTTTGACGAGTTCTGTACTAAATATGGACATTCGCATTTGAAGCTTGATCAAGAGCAATGGCGTCAGATCGACTACCTCCTTTATATCACTCAACCTTTCTTCCAATTCACGAATGCGCTTTCGAAAACAAAGGATGTTACCATACATCTGATCTTTGGTATCTATAATAAGCTTTTTGATCATCTTGAGAAGTCGATCAACCAGCTTAGATACAAAAAGGTACCTTGGAAGAAGATGATGCTAAATGCGCTTTATGTGGCGAAGACAAAGCTTTCCCAATATTATAGCAAGACAGATGGCGTTCCTGGAGACCTCTTTGCTATTGGAACAATGCTTGCACCGCAGAATAAGCTCCAGTTTTTTTCTAGGAAAAGATTGGGGCGATGAGTGGCGTGATCGATATCGCCAAAGCTTTGTGGATTACTTTGAGTCTTATAAGCAACGTCTGTTACAGAACCAGACATTACTAGAGTCTCATATATCCACAACACAGACCTCGGAGTTTGATCTTGAACGGATGCTTAGAGAGTCTGAATCTCAGCAAACAAGCTTAACTGAGCGGGATGAGCTTTCAAGATATCTTGAATCTGGTCAGTATTATCTTGGTTTATTGTGTGTTTTATTAATAAATATTAGGTACTATCACTGGAGTAACCATTCGAGCGTTCTGGAAAGACCATCAACATGAATTTCCTGCTCTCGCAAGCCTTGCACGGGATATTCTTACAATTCCTGCTACAGGTGCAGGGGTTGAGCGTCTCTTTAACTCTGCTCGGGACATCTGTCATTACCGTCGAGGCTCTCTAAGATCTGAAACTATCCAGGAGCTCATGATGTATAGGTTCGCAACAAAATTTGAGCTTGAAGATGACAACCTTACTCTTAAGAAGGAGTATCTTACAAGTGGGGAGATTGAGACAGAGAGAGAAGAGAAAAGTCCTCAGTCACTACAGGATATTGATCCTATCAGTGATAATGAAGAGGAGGATATAGAGGTCATACAAGAGCCAGATACTACCCAGGGCCCTTCTCATGAAGCTTTATCTGACGATGAAGCTACAAATCCTCTCCCAGAGACTCAACAACGGATTTCAGGTAGAAGTCGGAAGCGGAGACGGGATGATGATCAGTTTATTGAGTATTAGCTATAGAATCAAATTGACCTTGTTTTAACCTCTTTAATACTGAGAAATCTCTTGAATCTTGACTGGTAGTTGTATATGAAATACTCAAAATTACAGCTCGAATATGCATAAAATATACAAGTCACGGGGTCCCACCTGTTTGTATTGTTTGACTACCCGCGGGTACCCAGAAAATACCCATGGGTATTAACCAGCTTCCCACTACCCGCACGCGGGTAGGCAAACCCTACCCATTACCCGCCAAGAAATGGGTAATGGGTACCCCGTTTGGGTAGACCCGCGGGTCGTGGCGAGGTCTAAGTATCCTTTTGTGCCGGTTAGTCGACTGCCGTATCTGGCCCCTTTATCACGTGTGTATCAACCTTGACAGATCGGTTGGTCGTAGTTGACTTATTCCCTTTAACTGAAGTGGGTCTGTAACAGCTAAGTCATTAGCTAGGGTTTGTTAGTAAAGCTTAGCGTAATATGATTATAACATACACCAGTAGCAGGACATTTATATAACATTATCGTCCCTGTCGGTATACTAGCTTATAGGAGATCATGTATAGCCTTAATGCAGATAAAGCGTTCTCTAAGGCTGTGACTCAGATAAGCCACTAAATTGATCGGCGGCAGCCATAATATCTGAGCGATATCGATCGGGAATCAGTAGAGAAAGACCCTGAACTACTATCGGCTATACACTAGCAACTCGAGTTAGAGACCCAGTGCGGTGGCTGCCCTCATGACCTAGCGTCGCAGGTGATGCTGAAGGACTAGAGACATTAAGTCCAAAATTTGCACCGCTATCTGCAGGACAAACAGCGGAAGGAAATACACTATGATTTCAGTCGGTAACAGGCGGTGATTGATATTAAAAGACAGCTGACCGGTAGGGCTGTCAGTAATAAGCCTGTGCGCAAGGTATTACAGAAGGAGTTTACAATACTATCGGAGCAGATCCTTCTCGTGGAGACATTCTTTACTTGGCCTACCACCAATTTATTAGAGGATGAGTGGATGTAGCGCAATAAAGCTGTTACTACTAGAATACAATATTACAGCTTTCAGGAGGGTGGTCCTCTTCAAGGGCGACGGAAGCGCTCTGCGCCGTCCGATAGTAAGGACGTTATTTCCTCTCCGCCAGCTAGAAAGATCAATACTGGTACGCCGATGACTATATCAGGGAGGATTAGACTTATCTCTGACAGGAAGCTTATCCCGAATACAGAGTAAACCTTCGCATACTTTCAATGTCCTAAGGTATATACAGACTATAATAGAGTGAGAAGGCATTTTAGAGACTTATACTTGATAGACCGAAGATACAATTTTTACGATCTATCCGTCTTATACAAGATATACTTACAAAACCATGTTTCTGAGGCCTATGATCTTCGAACGTGAGCATTAGAGTCTCTTTTCCGCTCTTTAAGGCCTTTGGGCCATTTCTTTATCTTTCTATTTAGACACAATTAGCAGAGCTATGGTCGGGTCCCTGACTATTTTATTAAAGTGTCTCTTATTAAACCTAACAAGACACAACTCTAGCGTAGCTTTTTCGACTCTATAATTGATAGATAATATAGATTTAAGTGTCTTTCTCTTTTACTTATCTCTGTATATCTATTTACTTTTCGTTCTTTTAAGCAAACATGCTAATGACTAACATGGAGTTATATAGCGAGATTAATAACAAAATCAGTCTTTCGTAGCTATTTACGTGGCTACAGGAGGTCCTAGTTCTAATTGGCTCCTGATGCGAAATGAAGGAGCACCAAAGTATAATTTATATGTAGACAGGGTTATTAGAACCCTTCAAATATCAAGTTGTATCTTGTGGCTGGACCAGGAAAAACCAAGATTTTATCCCTGTCGTTCGTTATTAACTTGAAGAAGTTACATCCTCCAGTAGCACAATGATAGAAAATTGACCACGGAATTCCAGTGCTCCCACCATCTGCGCCTAAAACCACACGTCTACTAAACTGCATACCGTCATTGCAGAAATATGTAGGGTTTTCCGCTAATATGCCTCGTATATCTCCAAAACAGGAGAATTTACCACAATTGAAACAAGTGTAGTATGGTTGATAACTATTGCCTTTGCCATTCCACTAAATTACTTCATGTTTCCTGGTGATTAAGCCACATCTTAGGCAGTGAGGTAGGGCTCGAATTGCGATATGAGACTGTTCAGGATTGGCGAAATCCAAGGCTTGGTGGTTCATCCTCAGTACTTGTATACTATTAAGTAAAAGTTGAATTTAAGGATAGGAGTTTATTGATGCAATGAGAGAGATGGAAATAGACTGCTCGAGAATATTGATAGATTAGTTTCTCCCAGACTTAAATACATGGGGGATATGCATGGGAAGGGAAGGGGCTGCCCAAAGGCGGGGTAGTCATACAAAAGTGATGTGCACTCGGGTGATTAGTGTAATAAGTAGCATCTTGTATAGAATCCCATGTTGTCTTTCCTCCCTGCCTCTTTACGAGTGGTGTTACATGGTGAAATCTGCCAAGCCTCGATACAGTTATTGAGGTTGAATCTACTCCAATATGGAGAAAGAAGTAGATGAAGCTGACCAATGAAAAAATAATGCTGTCAACCGATCAGATCATCGGCGATACACTATAAGAAAAGTAGGTTACCACAGCCGGAAGCCCTTCGAATAATCTCATGAGGTTCTTATTATCTCTAAAGATGCTTCATCCTCTGCTGAATACATACTTGTATTAGGTTCCTGAAGCGTGTTCGCACTTGTGGCCGAGCGGTAAATCTGAAAATTATGAATATCACGTGCTACGCGGGTAGAGAGGACCGCTCGCGATTATATAGTACTGTTGCAGGTTGAAAATCACATGACCCCCCCCCCCCCCCCCTCTTCCCCCCTCCATCCCATCCCCGGCGCTAATTGCAATCACTCTTTTCAGCCCTCAACTTACCCCTCCTAAGGTGATTCACCTTTTCAGTTAACTAGACAGCTTGATAACAGCTACGCCGCTGTTCCTCTATCTACTAGGTTCTGTCGATGTCGATCGGAATCAGCTTCTGTGATAAGCAGATCAGAAGAGGCCTCGCTCATGATGGCAGATCCTTTGAGCATAACTGCCTCACTACTAGCGGTCATCACAGCTGCTGTTCAGTCAACAAAAGCGCTCCGCGAAACTATCATACGATTCAAAGGTCGCGACAAAACATTGGCCAGACTACAGTATGAGCTATACGATCTCATCACAATACTAGACTCGTTGAAGCAAGTGATTGGGACCGAGCAGAGATGTTGGCGCTTCTCAAAGGTCCTATTGAGAGATGTGCCCAAGTATGCCACGATTTTGAAAAGTGTATACAGGCTTTCGGAAGCAAATCGAAGACAACAATCAAAGACTGGACAAAGATGGAATTTATGAGAGGTGATATTAATGAATTTATCGATACTATATCTGGCTACAAATCCACAATATCGGTCGGCTTGGGCACCTTGACCATGTTTGTTAACCCCTTCTTTTGCTTTTTCTTTTTCTTTTTTTTCTTAAGAAACCCGACTAACACAGTTTCAGCCATAATGCCAAAGTATCTCAGAAAGTTCTCGAAGATTATAACGAAATGATCAAGGACACAATGTATTCCTTGGAAGTTCACTTACAACGAGTTGACGAGAAGATGGGGCAGCTCTCCATCGACAACACGATCACTCCAAGCTCAAGTCTCGATCTCAATGACGAAAAGGAAGTCACTAAACAATGCCTTCGCATTTGTGAAAATGCGTGTCATTACATCGCATCCTTAGCCGGTCAAGAATCGTCTCTTTTACAAGGGTCACGAGATGGAGGGGGGGAGGATCGTCTTTTTGAGGCCCAAAGAATCACCCGACAGGCTCTGGACGAAAATCAAGATAGTTTCGACACGATTATCCGTGGGCTCCGGGCCCGTTTGGAAATCCTTGTATCGAATAATGACCCTGGCGACGAGAACGAGAGGACACGCTTAATAAAGGACATCGATGCTTCCAAGCAATGCCTTGAGATCTGCAAGGTAGCGAGCGAAGTGTCGAATCGGAAAGAATACAGAGTGGGAGAGGTCGTTGCAGATGGCGAGAGCGACCAAGTTGTTGTGAATACCCTAGCGGATCTTTTCGATGTGAAGAAAGCGTTATCGCTGGGGAATTCAGCCCAACTTGTAGGCTCTATGACAGAAGAAGCACTTCGGCATTTGACGGACAAACGATATACGAGTCGGTTTGGAGCTTTATCTTATGCTTCTAGTAACACTGATGATCGAGTCACGGGGCAGATTCTAGCTAGGGGGGACTGAGCAATCCGGGCAATCTTACCCAAATATGAACAAGCCTGAGCGGGAGCAAATGAGGTCTATACCAAGGCAGAGCCCGTCTTCCAATGAAGTGAGAAAGCGTTCGACGCGTGATGAAAATGAATCAGGTGAATACGAATGAAGGAGGTCAATAAAGAATCAATAGCATCTGTCTATATATCATCGTTCTTTCTGAATGACCCGTGCTGGATTCCTTCAAAGCGCTTTTTAGTTTTCAAATTGCTTAGTAGGTTGTGTGACTGAGTAGTTGCAGCACATGCTAAAGATGTGCCGCTTTTCACCGCACAGAAAATCGACCTTTGCAACCCGATCCTATGTAACTTGATCAGAACAGCCTTCCAACAAGTCACTCTTAGTTTTATTGAATTGCTTTTGTTCGCCTTCCTGGTTCCGGAACGGATAAGCCCCACGTGGTCTGTACCGTCATCGGTCATCGGTCTATGGTTCAGTCACAATGATTCATCACGTGCTTACCTCGTATTCCCTCTCGAAGATTTTACTTTGACCTTGTTACATGACATCCTCGAACCATGAAGATGGAGAACTTGTATCAACATCCCGGCATGAAAGTAGACGAACGCTATAATCTTTGGGCAGGGAAAGGCAACGAACGGCGCAATGTCTTCGAGGATATTGTCGCAGAGGAGCATGCCTTCCAATTTATTGGCTCCACAAACTCCAATCTCACAAATGCACGATCTATTACAGCCAAAAAGTATGCGCGTCAGTGCTTGGGCAACGCGTCTGATACTACAATACAGCAGGCTTCCAGAAGCCATGGTGAAGTCTCATGGAAGGAAGAGCTTCTTCCTCACTGGCAACAGCCAAAAGGTTCCCAGATGCTCGATCTCCCTCTTCACTAAGAGGTAATCTGTTTGCTTCTCTGATTTCATGGGTCCTTGCTAAACAGGCTAAAAATAGATCGGAAAACCCTGAGTTCTTAGCAGCTGTTGAACTCTGATGTGACGCGTTCTTCTTGTTTCGGAATTTAGTCTTCTCTGCCTTGTTGGAGGAAGCTTTGTCGGATTGAACCCTAGTTTATACGTCTACTGAACGGCTTGTCGCTGCCTTTTTACTATAGGTACGATGTTCCTTCTACTGCTCCGGACATAATCAGTGTTTAGTTGATGGCTATTGTCAAGGCCTTTTCAATCTTTTTGGGAGGTAGAAGAGGTTACGTGCATGTTTTTCAATGTACCAAATGAATATGGGAAGCACTAGTCTGTTGTTTTTAGTAAAATAGTAGCCTACCTTCAGTGGAGATGAGACCTCAAATCGAATGTGCTTCTGGAGCTTCCTGAGGCTTCACAAAGCTGCTTGAATAATTATTCTTATGTCAGAAACAAAGGGAAACTTTGAAATCGTGCGATAGCTTCTACACGGATATACTCTGTAACTTCATAGATCGGACTTCTGTTGCCGAACGCAGTTACAGCTGTCCGAACTTTGATTTGACACGATGGAACCATATCTCACTTGAAAATGTGGCTGAAATTCACAGAAAGGATCGATAAAAGTGAGAGAAAGAAATAAATCGAATACAGAAATACAGTTCACTTGGGTAGAATTTTACCTTTCCCGTACTGCTTGACGAATTCAGTCCCAGGGTGGCAAGAATCCGGATTATCAGCGGCAACAGAGGTGCTCTTTCCGGCAGAAGACTCCTTTCGCTCAAGGTGTCCGGTATTCATCAGAGCAAAATCCTTCGATATCTGCTGGACACTCTGGTCATTGACATGTCCTGTGAGAAAACGTGACCTCCACCCTAACGCCTTATTGCTCCCGTGAATGGTCTTTCCATTGGTGGAAACCGTGAAGAGGACGGCGTCTCCCGTGGAATAGTTGTTGATAGTACTGAAGCTTCCTTTCGCATGTGAGCCAGGAAACGCGGTAGGCTGGTCGGCTTCTGGCACCTTGCCATTTTCTTCTGTTTTGACTTGAATCAGATCAATAGAATCAGAAGAATAGGCACATATTTCAAGGCATTTTTCGATGCCCAGCCGCTGTTCTTCCAGTTGTTTCATTTCATGCGGGCATATCCCATAGTTAAGATTCTCAAGAAAGTCTTCGATGTCAGACTTGGCATGTTTGATACGTATTTCATGACTTTCGAGGCTTTTGACATCAACGAAGCTTTGCAATCGGCTGAAACGCGCAAAAAGAGTAATCAGTAATGTATGCAAGCCGTTGTGAAACAAGGGCCAAGACGCCATGCCACTTACAGGTGCGTGGACTCGACGGTCACTTCAAAAGCTGATAGATACAGCAATAGCAGACGCCTGAAAGTGTCGACGTTGCCACCCATATATTGTAGTTTAGTCCAGCATCGACGGTCGACGCTCCCGTCGTCCGGGTAAGGCAGGCATTTTTCGACCACTTCCTTAAAATCCTTACAAGCGACCCCACATCTTACCAAAATGAATCGGAGGTTTAGCGTTTCAGTGTCAGTGAATAGGTCGCGCATGCCACCCAATCCGCCTAAAGCTTCCATCAGAACGTGGAGATCCCGTGAAAGCTCTCGAATAGGTCTTGGTGTCGACTGAAAGCTATCCACGATACAGTAAAGAGTACGGCTGGCATTTGAGGCAAAAACTGCCAAACTTGACAGGTCGGAGTCCAAGCTTGGTATATTTTCCATTATTGTCGTTTGCCTACTAGAAAGGTATAGGAGGTGATATCGATTTAATCGTTGCACGATGAGTTAGCATCTAGTGACTGTGGGCTAGGCTTCACCGGACGGGCGGGGTCGACGTGCGCACGTGACCGCCCCACAACTCTGCCAGTAGATGGCCTGCTGCAAAGAAACATAACTCGAGGACAATTTACGCCTCCTATTGATCTAAGAAGTCTAGAAAATATCGGGACTAAAGACAGTGCCAGGATCCTCGGACTTAGGCGCTTTCCAACGCCCGTTGATACATCGCTACCGCCTCTTCATATTGCCCTTGCTCGAACAACACTAAGCCAAGTTGAATGACACTTTTGCGCATAGAGAGATGCTCGTGTCCAAACACCTTCTCATGTCCTTCCAACGCGCGTCGATGCATCGCTTCCGCCTCTTCATAGTTCCCTTGCAGGGAGAGTACTGAGCCAAGGCTACTGACGCTGGTGAGCGTGTCGGGAGCTCACATCCAAGCACCTTTTCACTACCTTCCAACGCCCGTCGGTGCATCGCTTCCACCTCTTCATATTTCCCTTGGTCGGAAAGCAATAAGCCAAGGTTACTGACACTGGCGAGCGTGGAGGGATGCTCGCGTCCCAGCGCCTTTTCACTCCCTTCCAACGCCCGTCGGTGCATCGCGAAAGCTAGGGGCGAACTGCTTTCGAAGTCGGAGGAGAAGCGCAAGGCTGAGCAGGAGATTCAAGCATGGAATATGAAAGATTACTGTGCAGTTTTAGATCTATAGATTTCTCCCCACACTCATATCATTCTCTGCGAGTAATACCTCAAGATGTACCTAAAAGTATCTAAGCTATGATTACGTCATTTTACTATCGCTGAAGCCAATTATTGAAAGCCTTTGCAAAAATCCCTGGTAAATAGGCTGATTGTAAGTGTGCCCTGAAGATCAAGCAGCACTGTGTTCGTGTGTGTGAAGCCCGAACGTTAATAGGCTCGGAGTATTATGGGATACGACTGAGGGAGGCCGATACTACTACGAGTTCGTGAGAGAGGGGACTCGCTTGTAGCAAGATAATCAAACTAATCGTTGGAGAACCCTTCGGTTCCTCCCACGATTATCCTATATATTGCGAGATTTAACTAGCGAGCCCCCTTTATGGGTCTCGAGTCATGCCATAATGGCGCCAGGCCTTCCGAGCCTTCCTTCGAGTTCCTCCGCGGCTCCTTTGTGATTAGTCGGGTGTCTCGTGACAGCGACTCCTTTGTAGTCGATTAATCGGAGCGTGTCGTGACAGTGTGAGGCTGAGTTCTCGCAGACTCTCAGAAGACTGACCACAGCCCCACCATTCATCAATAATCATTGTCAAGAACATATCTTCCCGATTTATTTCTTAGTAGTCAGCATCATTTTTGTTTCTATAATCCCAAATCTGGACCTGAAGAATATTAATATGTGTAGAGACCTGTTTATTACTTGTAAGGGAACTGCCAGATTTGGGTGGCACCAGTTGACCAGGCGAGATAATGATATTCGATGGGATCCCACTGTAGGGTTCCGGTCTGAACAAAGACTAAAGCTTACTCTTTCTTCTAAACAAACAGCCCCTTTTATATGGGGATTCGCCAGGGGTTTGGCCCCAGCTCAGGTTCCAACCCTAATCCAACCAATAGGAATGCAGGAGGGTCCAGACGACCCCGCTTATCGACATCGAATGACATGACTTTGGCTCAAAGGGCCTCGATATAGCTTCAAAGGTGCTTTCAACGCCGATTCGACGGCAAAGAGCCGTCGAATCCCATTGTTCCGTGACATTAAGAAAGTGTGGAATATAAAGGAGGTAGGGGTACTCTCTAACTTGTCTATGAGCCATGCCATCAGCTACTCCGGGTACATTCATCCAGAAGGGGGGGTCCCGCGTTATGGTGTCGTAAACAGAGCCAATCAATCAGTCCCCTTGCCGAACGAATATTGAAAGATACGATGGGGTAGGAGTCCGATGGCCCCTCCAGATCGCCACCTGTGTGGAGTTGACGGAATACGGTGTAGAGGCCGGCCTCACTTGGGTCAGTCAGGCCCCCCTAGACCCTACGGATATTTATGCAAACTCTTCAACTCGGTATGAAAGGATGAAGATGGGGTCAGCTCGCAAACTTGCGTCATTGACCACGGGTCATGTCATGAACGTCGAGGCGGCCATGCGAACGTGCCAATGCAACCTGCTCTTCTCAAAGATGTACCCTGCAGCAAATGTCGTGTTTCTCCCAAAGAGCTCTATTATTAGAGGTAGTCCGATAAGCGATTCTATTTATGCTTTCGATCTGCACAAATTCAGTCGGGAGGAGGGGGCCTGGCCCCGACCCCCCGTGGTGGACAAACAAGTCACAACTCTGCAATGGAAGAATCTTCTATCGAGCGCGCTATTATACTCACAATGGAGTATATACAGATCCGACCCAAACTCTGGATCGTCTTATGCCCTCGGAAGATGAATTCACACTGTCTCAAGTGGTCCCACCCAGGAAGGCTGGGAGATAAAGAAATTTGACAGGCGGGGATATGTTTTTCGCCCCTATCAAACTTCATACCACGTTTTTTGAGGTGTCACCATACAGAAATCCCCTGCATAATCTCCCTAGCCGTATCAGTTGCAGTAAGATCACAGATCCTTCAAAGAGCCGAGAGGCCCGTGACCGATATAGTGCATCGGCTCAGCTCTGGAGGGGCGGGAAAACGGAGCTCGATGGGGCCAAAACGTGGAGTGAATCCTGTACGGACGGAGCATTTGGGGAAAGACTACTGTCAGATTACTGGCACGTGGTGCTAGCCCAATTCCCGCATCTTTTATCGGGTTGGAATCGTCTGTCATCCAAACCCCCGACGGTTTGAGACCCTGGCTATGTGCTAGAAGCTCAGCTGCTGCTCTGCTAGACTTCATTCCATTCCCTTGTGTACCCGAATCGTAATTCATATGAGAAATCTAAACCTCAATGGCCTAATGGCCTTTGCAATCTCATATTGGTTTACAGTACGACGGCCCCCGGGCTCAGCCCCTCCATAAACACCCATTGGACCCCATCCTTAGCAGAGCATCGGCTGCTGGGATAATTCATGTCCAAAGACACCAATGGCCCGCTCCGGCCAATTCTCTCCTTCGCCTCTAAAAGCCGATGCATCAAATCACTGTGTATGGGGCCGCAGAGGAACTGCGGACCTTTAGATCGGCCCATGGCAGCCATCATTTCCCTGCCGTCCCTGCTAGCCTCAAGACACGTCTTCTGCATTTGAGATAGTGTTTGGAAACAGTACAAATCCTCAAACTTGAAAGGATGCAAATACCGTACAATTCCGTGGGATGATCCGCGATCGACGCTCTTGTCGTCAGTTCGCATTGAACCATGGGGCTCTCTTCCACCTTCCGTGATATTTCCCGAATGGTCTTCTGGCTGACCCCCATGTTCAGGTCTTTCTTATCTCTTACCTATTCCCCGTTCCCTCGCAGCTCGTCCCCGCCTGTCATCGGATCTTTCGCTGTCCATCCTCCATTCATGACCTTTGGCTCCGATGTGTCGGCCTTGAAACCATTGTACCTTCGATCCAACGGATGGATAGCCTGAACATAGCAAGATCCAGTCCTTATATTCAGTGAAATCTTATGAGCAGTTCTCGCGACCCACAATATTTCTTGCCAAACCTCATATCAAAATGAAGCTCTCTTCACGGGCCTCGGCGACCGGAATGCCTATACCAAACTATATCGATCCTGTTACTCGTGGGCACGGGGTCATGATTGTGAATGCTATTTTCATGTCACTGGCAGTCATAGTAGTAGCACTGCGTTTATACACGCGGCTCTACATCACAGCGACTCCCGGGCTGGATGATATTCTGATCGTACTAGGTCTGGTTTTTGGCATTTCTATGGCCGTGGTAACTTCGATTATGACAGAGGATTGGGGCCACAATCGACATCTTTGGGATGTTCCTCTTGCATGGTTCTCTGGCAGTAAGAAATTGAGCATAGCATTCCAAATCACCTTTGCCTGGTCGGCTGGTTTTGCCAAGACCTCATTGTTATGGTTCTGCCGACGTCTTCTTGGACAGTCGAAGGGAATGTTCCAAATCTACAAGTACGCTTTTCTTGGAGCGATCGCCATTGTCGCAACATCGACCATAGCGTTCACTTTTGCGACCGTTTTCCAGTGCTCGTGAGTATCGCCGCTCCAACGCCCTGTGCAATATTGCAATATTCACATTCGATACAGACCTGCCAAGGCATTCTGGACACTCCGTCCTACGTTCCATTACACCTGTTTCGATGACAATGCCATGGTCTTCGGGGAAGTGTTGTCAACATTGTCACTGACTTCATAGCCACAACACTGCCCATGCCATTGATCTGGAGCCTCAAGCTTCCCAGCCGCCAACGAATTGCTGTCATCTCGATCTTCGGCCTAGGAGTTATCGTGAATGTAGCTGGCTCCGTCCGTACGGTCACTTATGGAAGAGCAATCATGCCAAAGACGTCACCTGGTTAGCATGGCCCGTCCAAGTGGCCGCCGGGATTGAGATATCCTTGGGATTGGTAGGTTTCCCTCACTTCAACCTCAGAAGAGTCTCCCTTTTCACGTATCGTTGTCGCCTAATATGGCAATCCTCAGATCTGTTCCTCAGCACCAGCTCTCCGACCCCTGCTCATGGAGTTCATGCCGCGTCTCCTCGCCTCCCGCAGGAACAGCCAGTACCCCTACCGCAGCCCCCGGATCCCAGAAAACAAACTCTGGTCCTCCTCCGGCACCGGCAGCCGCTCATATAACTCTCGGTCGCAGCACCCAGCTATTCCTCGCGACCTGGCCCAACCACTTGGCTATGAGAGCGATCGGTTCGAGATCATGCGCACTGTCGAGATGGAGACTTGGCCCGATTCGAAAATCGTGCAGCACGCTGAGGAGGGCCTTGCTTATCCTCGGCTCGCTGCTACCCGTGTGTCTGAAATCAGTGCCGATTCACCCGTGAGTCCAATGGAGAGTGAAGAGCCGACTCGATTCAGCCATGCGAGGAGTAGTGTGTCTTCTAGATCGTTTCCACGCGAAATCTAGTCTAAATTCGCTCCATTTGATCTGTATATACATGTTTGATACCACTATTACGAAACAATTTTGCTCATAATTTTCACTTTTGCCAGAAGGTTGAAGGGGAGCCTGGCTGTAGGGTGTTTAGAAAATCTGGTAACAAAATCTGGTAACAAGATTTTGCAGAAAATGAACCGAAAGGCATCTCATATGGCTCTCAACTCTGTAATTTCGAGCATGGCTCCATGGCTCCATACTAGTGTGCAGCTAAATGCTCGTACACGTAACTACCAGTTTCGATGGAGCCATGCGCGTTAACTCTTAGTACATCTCTGGTGAGAGATGACACCTCGTACTTCGACAGGTAACAAGTCCGCTCACGAGAAAATCACTGGACCAGATTCCGACGCATAAAATAGCGCCATACTTTTTCACCTAAACTCCAAACACTAGTGAGGCTCGTCGTCGGCCATTGTTGAGTTGTCAGATATGGTTGTAAATTCGTTTTATCGTGGTGGTAGAGGGAGCTAGAGTAAGAGACTTCAGGGGCTCGAGAAACGAAGCGCGGGGTCATGAATGCGAACGCATGGTACTTCGACTTCAAGCGCAAGTGGTGATGATCTTTTCTGTACTTAGAATGTGGCTTTAAGAACCCTCGAAGCGACCTAGCCTAGGCTGGGCGCCGGAAGACGGAAGGCTCTGGGACCCGCTTCCCATTTAACCAAGCAGAATCCGCCCCAGCCGGATGATCGCTAAGAGCATGCTTCAGGAACCCAATGCAAGTACGCATTCAGTGGAGGGTGAAGCACCCTTAGAGATGATTGGAACGATCTCATGTGAGAGTGTGTTGATATTTGCGGAGAAGTAACACGGATCTTAGCAGGTGGTAGTGCTTCACTAGCAGCGTTCATTCCGCTTGAGAATCATAAAAGGATATTAGGCAGAGAACGTGTAAGAGAAACCTAAACTCGCGGTTCCTAAGAAAAGACCTTGAGTTTCGATGGCTCTTTTCGTGCTAGTATCGACATGACTACGTGATATTGGCTGCTGAAGCTGAAACCTTTGTTGTTTTAAAATAACCTAAATTTACAGGGTGAGTGGGAACACTACCTAAGCGCCCAAATGTTTTCCCTAAAATTAGGGTCTCGGTAGCGCCGATAGACTCCACCTTGCCGAGCCAAGTGGGCGGCCCTCTTGACTTGTCCGCTTTGACACCAGTACGACTCGACTCTAAGACCTTTAGCGGCGGGTTAAGTTGAAAGACGAAGAACTTGGAAATTCGAAACAAGGAAAGTGCAAGTAAGATACTGTTCGACATTTCGGCGCGTAAATGCCAGCCAATGAGATCCAATATACATCTATCCATCTTCTTCGATGGTCAGCAGGTGAAAAGACTGGGCTTCTGCCTAATGAGTATTTGTGATCGCCGAGCGCGCCAGGGCCCTAACGTCTGAGAACCACCGGAGACTGTTCATATCAATGGGACCGCGCGCGACTTGCGGCATTCCATGTTGGTTTCACATCTACAGCGCTTTAGATGGGATTCAAAATTCATAGGTTTGTGAGTGAAAGTATAAGATAATAATAGCAAGGAGAGCGTGCTGAGGCATCCGGTCGAGAATATAAGTATTCAGTTGAGAGATGAAAAAAAGGAGTTCAAGTTTATTCTAAGTAGCGAAGGGCACGGCTATTTCCGAGCTTCCAATCACAGCACCCACTTATCATGTGACATCTCAGAGCCTATGAATAGGAGGGCTATCACATTCTCTCCAATGCCTACGTCTTGAACGTCAACTTATCCACCGACCGACGTTGAGCAACAATGACGACACCCTTTGAAATTCCGTTCTATGCATCTCACTTGCCATGTCCTCTTCCCACGAACGCCGAAATCGAGAATGCTCTAGATATCACTCTGGCATATGACGGGCGAAGAGTTGTTGGTGTGGGCCAGCACTTCGTTGTGAAATTTGGGGTATACGTCAACCTCATGGAGGGAGAAAATATGTTGTTTGTTCGAGAGAATACAAATATCCCTGTACCTCGGGTTTTCGCTCTCTATTCGCACCCAAGCACTGGCAAAAACTACATTGTCATGGAGCGCATTATCGGTCAATCGCTTCTTTCAGCATGGCCGCAAATTACAACATCGGATAAAGAGCGCGCTCTGAGCGAACTGCGGAGATATTTTGACGAGTTGCGCCACCTTCCATCCCCAGGCTACTTTGGCAGTTTCGGTAGTAGACCGCTTCTGGATGACATATTTTGGACCAAAGACCCAGATCCGTTGGTGAATGGCCCATTTAACTCTGAAAAAGATCTCAATGAGGCCATGATACGGAAGTACATCTACAACAATAACCCTCCTATCAGAGCGGAATATCTCCGGAAATGTTTGCCTTTCGTTTTCAAGGACCACGAAGCAGTGTTCACTCACGGTGACCTGCAACGTAAAAATATCATGATCCGCGAGAAAGATAATCAAAGCAACGAAGCAGCAAGCTTGGTCATAATTGATTGGGAAAAATCTGGGTGGTATCCTCAGTACTGGGAATATTGCCTGGCTGTTTGCGCTTTGCGATTCGATGACGACTGGCCCCTTTGCATTGACAGTTTTCTAACGCCTTTCATCTCAGAGTCTGCATGGATACAATCATTGCGCTTGGAATTATGGTCATAGACGTTGAATATACAACAAATAGACTTGTTGACCAAGTAGATCTCTCAGCCGATTACTTACATTAATCCACATGTTACGCACTCACAGCTAGTCTGAGTGGCTCCTCAAAGGTGACACTTCTCTTGTACATTCGTCACCCCAAGTGTGTCTCGTCACTCTATTGCATGTCCACCGATCACACACCAGGACAGGCCTTAGATGCTCAAGGCCTTGGAGGTCTTGCTTTAGTAAAGATTTAGCTGCTGAGGGCGCCGACGAGGTCAGGTTCTTACGGATCTCCCCTTCGTCGTTAGGTTTGAATTCAGATCGAGCAAAACAATGAACAAAACAATGAACCGTTGTCGTATTCCAATCTTGTGGCCCTAAGTAATAATGATGTAGGATCAAGAAGATTGATCGCGAAGAATTAGATATATGGAGCCAAATGAGTGTCCTTATATATTCAGGCCTTCCTGTCAATGGCCAGGCTCGGGTCCTGTCACTTAAAAGGTTCCGCCTGTCAACCAATTGTATATCCTGTCGGGTGACATGATGGTGCCTCGTTGCCCGAAGCAGCCATATACGGCTTCCCGCTAAATGTCATATGGATAGCGCGGTATCCTTTGCGCTGGCTGATCGGCCGCTGTATGTGGCCTCCTTGTCACGTGTGTGTGTGTGTGTGTGTGTCAATCTTGACAGATCGTTTGTTCGTAGTTGACTTATTTCCTTCAACTGGTCCATAGCAGTTGAATCCATGGTGCCAATCTAAAAGCCCAACCGTCCCCTGGTCACTCGTAGTTCGAATTGATAATTTGGAAAAAAAAAAAGGATTACGCTGAAAACCTACCAGTCTATGCCCGGCAGTATTGCGCTTATCTCAGTATAACTCGATTTTTCCACCACTGATATTGGATAAACCAAAAAAAAGTTGGACTCGCGGGGAATCGAACCCCGGACCACTCCCATGCTAAGGGAGTATTATACCACTAAACCACAAGCCCAGTTGTTGAACACAATGTGGGATTAGGGTTTCTTGAGCGGGAGGCGAAATATGTGCGGGTCCGACCCACTTAGCCAAGCGCCCCGGACACCGCTGACATGGACCCATGGCGGAGCGGAGCATATGCAGATGTTAGAAACTGGTTAGGAAGGCCCAGGATCTCAATGGATTTGGCCCAAAGTGCTTGATCCAACGCGAGTATTTAGAGTGCGACAGGGAGGAATTAGCAGCTTACACGCTGCGCTTTGTGGCCAGAGCCTGCACAGGTCGAATGTCAGTGCTCACTACGGTATAGTTGATGTATACTGAGATTGCTGTTGGATCTAACCATGCTCTTGAGGGGCTATTTCGGGATGAGAGGAGTGCATGCGTCGTGGCTGGCTCCGACTACATACCACTAATAACAAAACCTTATATTCGCAGAACTTGTTGACGCGTCGCGCGGTTGGATAACACTGCCCGATCTTCTTAGAAACCCCAGAGACCCCACGAACGAGTTCAAATGCAACGACTTCATGCAAGGAGCCTTATCAACTCATTATATAGGCACAGTTAGCCTTACTAAGGATTTTGAAACTGAAAATCTCAAGGGAGAAGCCATAGAGGTAGCACTTGATGAGCACCCGCTTTCGCCATACGAAGAATTGAAAGGTGGAGGAAGCGCGTCTGTCATGGGACATATATTCCCGATGTGCAGAAAACAGCCCCGCCTTCTTCTTATAAAAGATTTCAATCCATTTACTTCTTCCTCCCACCTTTATCCATCAATCCACCCACCCATCAATCTATCAATCTCCATCGTATTTTCCATCGACCAAAACGTTCTGGCAGTGAATTATTGAGCTCAGTAGCGTTAGCTACTGAGTCCAAAGTATTTGAACAGGTTCAAGGCCGTTGGGTGCGCGTTCAGGGGGGCTAAACATCCCAGCGAGGTTCCTAAGCATCGCAGTCCGCTTAAAACGCGTATCGAATCATCTATTCCCACATATCGACCATCATGGAGTCTGATGATGCTCGTTCCCCAACCGACACGGAAATGGGTTCTGACTCGGAGTCTATTCCTGGATCTGATGATAACAGCTGTCATGACACTCGCCGAGCACCAACCCAAATGGAGATTGAGCGGGGGTTGCTTGCACGATACCCTCCCGAGCCAGATGATGCGGAGCTTCCTCCCTCTGACGACTCGATTTCCGATGAAGGTCTTCGAGACTGGGAAGAGGGCATGAATGAGAAAGAAATCCATAAGGAAAAGCAGAACAAGCTGAAACAAATGGACCGGTCCGAAAGAAGGGAGCGGAACAAGCAGAAGAGGGAGAAAGAAACGGAGAACCGAGCACGTTACGACAAACGCCGGAGGGAGCAAGGCACTAAAACTGCCCCAACCCAAGCCAGCACCTCACAACCCGGAGAAGCCTCTTCACCAGCTCATCCCCTAACATGTTCCATCCTTGCTCGACCAACCTTGCCTCCACGTCAACCTCCTCGGTCTGGACGTGTTGACCGTTTCGTACCCAGGCAAGCTTTCGCAACATCTCGAGCACCCCTTGCTTTACAACAACGCGGTGAAAGATCTCAACACACTCCCTCAAAGAGGAAGAAAGTAGGAAGCCCCGTGGCCCCTGCAAAAGACAGCGGCGTAATCATGCTGAATTTAACCGAGCAGCTCCGACAAATACAACCACCCCATTGCGAGCAGCGAGAGCACCTGTGTTGAGGGACACGACCTCTCCGCTGCGTGCAAATAGAAACGTGCAGATACCGACGATCTCAATTCCCCCCCGCCGATCATATGCCATGGCTCCATCTAATGATTCGCCTCGGCCTCGATTCTATCGGTCTGCCCCACGCGATACATCTTCCTACGGAGTTTCTCAAGGTGAGTATGCTGAAAGGTTCAACACCACGCGGCCTTCACCTTACTATGAAAACCCTGCCGGCCCACCTCAAGGGTTCAGCTACCGTTCTCACTATGCTCCCATGAGTCCTCCGGTTCGAGAAGCAAATACCTTTGCACGCCCATTCTATGAAATACCCGATTATTACCACCCAGACGCTAGTGCTAACTTCCAACGAGCCAGCGCGTTTTCGACTGGGCATTACTATGGGGAGCCCAGTTTCCACAAGGAAGAGGCTGGTGATAACCCGTTCCAACATGCTCGCACGTCCTCGAACCCATTCTACGCACAGCCCGATTATTACCACCCAGCGGCTACTGCTAACCTCCGACAAGCTAGCGCATTTTCGACTGACAATTACTATGGACAACCCAGTTTTTACTACCAAGGGGCCAATGCTAACCCGTTCCAACAAAATAACGTCACTTCGAACCCATCATATGGACGTCCCATTCTCCACCACCGCGAAGATAATGATCAGCGTCAAGGAGGAAGTCAACTGATCAGAAGGTTCCCTCAGGCGTCGAATGCTAATTCTTGGGAACAAGACAGGAAGGGTGGAGGCCATACAGCAGCACACCAGATAAGAAGCCAGTCCGAGCTCCCTCGGAAGAAGCCGAGCCTACTCTCAATCAACAGACCAGTACCACTCCGCCCCACGAAGCCGGTTCTGGTCCAATTCACGGCCCAGTTCAAGCTCATCCTGGACACACAGAGCCCTGCTCGTCGACATGGCCGGGTCCTGAGAATGACCGACACGCAGATGAGGCGGACTGCATCTCCGTAGTGTCGACACCGCCACTGAATCCGACGCCATTGCCAGAATCTTACGATCCAGGCAAAGCTGAGGAGTAGTCGGAGGATACCAAGTGATGCGATGTCCCACGTACTGCATCTGTGTTTCGCTGGCTATTTACCTTACATTTAGGGAGATTCAGGCAGATTAACAATGATTTTGAACCACGTTCCCATCGCTGTGGCGAATATGATAGGACTTGCGTAGAACAGTTTAAAAGCGTTTGTAAGTTGGCACCCTGATTTCCTTTGCTGCTGCCCCCCCCCCCCCAACCTCTCCTTTCCTTTTCTCTCTAAAACCCGGTGCATGAGGCGGGGTATGTGGTGATGTAGCCTCTCGCTCGCTCACCCCCAAGGCACTGGAAGGGCATATTCGAAACACGGCCTTGAATTGAATTTCAAGTCAGGATCTCTCATCTTGTTGGTTTTAAAACCGTCAAACGCACTTAGGGTCTTCAGTTATGGCCATTAAAAAGCCGAATATTACCCTGGGGCATCTAAAATTTGCAATGTCGAAACATATCTCCCGGGCCATCTTTGTATCCCTCGCATTTGTGTAGACGATCCCACTCCAATGGCAACAAAATATTAACCATACCATCCGCACCTTCAAGGTTCAAAAATCAAGAGCAACCTCCAGCTACCGCGAATTCAATGGCATTGATTTAAGATTCAGTTTTTTAATATGCTCACTTTATTTGAAAGCTGTAAGTGAGAGGTATTAGATATCACGCGAGTAGCGTGCCGATATTCACGAACTTGAAGAAGACCTCGACTTTTTGTTTTCTGCCACCCCACACTCGAGGAAGACATGCAGCAACAGGGCGGTATGTCACTCGGTGAGAGGGCCGGTCAACAGTAATGCCGGCACATTAAAGCACGTGCTCGAAGCCCCGCGGCTGACAAATGTGTCTCGCGGGGGATTGAGATTGGAAACGCTTAGAGATTGGAGCTTCGAAAGATACTTGACTATTATTGTGAGCAGGATATTGCCCCATAATTGACAAGAAATCCTCTTCTGCTACCACCTACCGGCGTGCGCAAGCTCCCAAGAGCCATGACTGAATCAATCTATGCCAATTACCCACCAAGCCTGTCTCCGACACAGCAGGAATTTCTGGTCACTACCATTAAAGATTGGGCAATCCAGAATGGCTTAGCTGTAAGACCGCCACCGACATATGTGCCGGAAGGCACAGACCCAAATCGAGTCCTGGCGACAACTGCTCCCGTTACTCTGTTTCCCAGTCCATTCCCTCGATCTTGCTTCCAGGAAGCCGAGGCGCTACAAACCGCGTACAACCGGCTCTATGCCACCATTACAAATGACGAAAAATGGCTCGGAAAGATCATTGAAGAGTAAGGGAGACTAATACGCTCTGTGGAGTTCATAGACTGATCATTCCATTTGAAATAGCCTGATAGATGTCGATGACTTTGTCGCCAATTTATGGAAAACGCACCTGGCTGTCAAAGAAGAAGGATACGTGCAGGACTTGTCTCTGGGACTGTTCAGATCTGACTACATGGCCCATGAAACCGCCAACAACGCACCGGAGTTGAAGCAAGTGGAGTTTAATACTATTTCCTCATCATTTGGCGGCCTGTCAGCGCTTGTGAGGTCTTTACATTACGACCTTCTCACCTCTCCTCCCGGGTTTTCATTGAGCTATCCACCGCACCCTCTCTTCGAATCTAATGTCCCACCCGAGAACACAGCAGTCGAGACCCTCTCTGGGGGATTGGCGGCAGCACACATAGCGTATGGGCCATCCAAGTCCTCTCCAAAGCTTCCCTTGGCAATTCTCTTCATAGTTCAGGATGGAGAGCGAAACGTCTTTGACCAGCTAGCCTTGCTCAAGCGACTGACCGACTTCCACAAGATTCCTGTCTTCCGCGTGATAAGTAGCAAGATTCTCGACCAGACATCCATCCCTGCCTCGGATCCTTCTCGACCTCTTGTCTACACTCCACCCCACTCCCCAACGACTCCATTCGAAGTAACAACGGTCTACCTACGTGCATACTACTCTCCTGATGAATACAAAAGCAGCCGTGATTGGGAGGCGCGGACGCATCTGGAGCGCTCGGCCGCAATCAAATGTCCCACCGTGTTAAACCAGCTCTCTGGTTGCAAAAAGATCCAGCAAGTCTTGGCAGAGCCCTCTGGACCGGATCATTTGTCAAGCTTCCTCAAGGGGACAGATTCTTCCCTGATCGAGAGACTTCGAAAAACCTTCGCTCCGCAATATGATCTTTCTGAATCGGGACAAGGGCGGGATCTGGCCCTTAACCCAGAATCTGCGCTGAAGCACGTACTTAAGCCGCAACGAGAAGGTGGTGGAAACAATGTTTACAAATCGGAAATTCCAGGCTTCCTGAAGTCAATTCCCGAAGCTGACTGGAAGGGCTGGGTTCTGATGGAATTGATTAACCCTGCAGCCAATGCCGAGAATGTTGCTCTGAGAAACGACGGCGAAGTCTTACGTGGGAATGTCATTTCAGAACTTGGTGTTTACGGTACCATTCTTTGGGACAACAAAGGCAATGTGCTACATAACGACCAAGGTGGCTGGCTCCTGAGAACGAAAGGTAAGGAGGTGAACGAAGGCGGCGTTGCCGCAGGATTCTCCAGCTTGGACAGTGTTCTCCTCTTCTAGACCAATTAGACAATTAGCGCATCGATAATCAATTTGCAGCGATACTGTGTCATAGTCCATATGGACTTTCTCTGCCATTCTCCGACTTCTTGCATCATACAGAGGCTTCAGATTGACAGCGGGTAGTACTTAGGAATGTGCTTTACTTTGCGTAGCTACTTAATTCAAGTCCCTCATTGGATGACACGAGAACCTTGGATAGGTTGCACGAGGCAAAGTGGGCTGACGTCTGACTAGGAATATATCTTGGCAGGCTGAAAGCATGCAGTGAGAGTCAAAGTGCATTTTGCGCTGGAGAAAAGGGTATAGTTCGCATGATTCTTACCGCCAGTGGAATAGAACGCAATAAGCTAGTGGAACAAAGACGCTGTTTTTTTTTTTTCATTTCCTCTTACTATCTACTACTAGTAGTACAATAAGTATCGACTCAGAAATAACAGTTTACCGCTCGACGAGTCTTCTAACGGGAAGATCCAACATTTGGTATTGGGTTCAATCAAAACTGGATAAGAGGTGACTCCCGCTATCTTCACGGCGTATGCCGTTCTTTCAAATCGCACAGCTTTTATGTTGCTCGCAACTTCTTGTTCATCTTCTTGCTCATCTTCTTTCTGTTTGCTACACTTTCAGCCACTCATATTTTTCTTCCCCCACAAGTTTTCCTGCTTCCCCTGTTCGAGCTACATACTCCCCACTGGTCGATCCCCATCTAAAACTTCATCATAGCACACAAATATTCTGGCTGGAAGAGCGAGATCTCCAGCGAAAAGCAGGATGTCGCCACGTAACTGGTCTTCCACGTGAGCGAACCAGCACACGAAGCCCGGGCGACGCGAGTTTCACTAACAAGTTGCTCCCATTTAAGGACGGGCACAGATACTACTGGAGAGTAAGAATTTGAGTAATGGGTCCTCACATATGCCGTTGCTCACCTGTCACAGGATCAAAAATCCTCTAGAAGGAATCCCATACGACGAGTTGATGAGCGAAGTCACTGCCTATGCCAAAGAAGAAGGCCTTGAGGATATTGTCTTACTGTTAAAGAAGGGTGCTCTCGTTGGCCAGGACAAGGACTCCCCTCAAGCCTCCACCGCGTTGACCGAAGATGACCGAGATATTCTGCGTACGGAGGTGACTAGCCGTTGGAAACACCCGAAGATCCTCTATTTCACGATCATTCTGAACTCCATCGCTGCGGCCATCCAAGGCTGGGACCAGACAGGTGAGCCGGATGTAGAGTCTTTTAGATTTCATAAGGAAACTGATCTTAGGTGACAAGGTTCGAATGGTGCCAACCTGACCTTCGATGTGGCTTTCGGTATCCCAAACAACTCCCCTGCTTGTGGTGACAGCGCTACCTGTAACAAGAACCAATGGATCGTGGGACTCATCAATGCGATACCTTACATCACTATCTGGCTCTTGTAAGTTGTACCCTTGTATTGTGGACAAAACTTTACTTATTCTCTCTTTCATTTCAGTGCTGGCTGGTTATCTGATCCCCTTAACAACTTGCTTGGCCGCAAAGGTACCATCTTCTTTGCCGCAATTTTCAGTTTGCTCGCACCAATCGGCGCCGCTTTCACTCAGACCTGGGGCCAGCTGGTGGCTTGCCGTGTTATGTTGGGCATCGGGATGGGCCTGAAGGAAGTGACAGTCCCCGTGTACTCTGCTGAGAATGCACCAACCAACATTCGCGGTGGCCTTGTTATGTCCTGGCAAGTATGGACAGCCTTTGGAATCTTCCTGGGGACATGTGCCAACCTGGCCGTTGCCAACACCGGGCGTATCTCGTGGCGCTTGCAGTTAGGATCCGCCTTCATTCCTGCGGTTCCTCTGGTACTCGGTATCTGGTTCTGCCCTGAGTCTCCTCGCTGGCTTATTATCAAGGGACGGCATCGAGATGCGTACAATTCTCTCCTGCGTCTTCGAAACTCCAATCTCCAGGCAGCTCGGGATCTGTATATGATCCACTCGCAGCTTGTCGTGGAAAAGAAGGCACTCATAGAATCCGGCTTTGCGAAGAACAACAATATGTTTGCGCGATTCATCGAGCTCTTTACCGTCCCACGACTGCGTCGTGCAACCCAGGCTTCGGGAATTGTCATGATCGCGCAGCAGATGTGTGGAAGTAAGTATTTTTCCCTCACAGACTAATACAGTTGATTGCGATTTACAAACCCGTGCTTCAAGTCAACATCATCTCTTTCTATTCCTCGACGGTCTTCTCGGTGAGTCAAAGACGAGTCCCAGAGACTGAGAGTTTGAATATACTATTTTGAAAGAAGCCCACTGACGCAAAGATCTAGCTCGCTGGCGCAAATGACATGCACGCACTGCTTGCATCTTTTGGATTCGGACTGATTAACTTCATTTTCGCGTGGCCTGCAGTCTGGACCATTGACAGCTTTGGCCGCCGAGGCTTACTGCTTTTCACTTTTCCTCAAATGTTCTGGACTCTTCTGGCCGCTGGTCTGTGTTTCTATATCCCGCAGAGCAGCACCGCACATCTCGGCATGGTCGCGTTCTTCATTTACCTCTTCGACGCGTTCTATTCCCCAGGAGAAGGCCCTGTTCCGTTCACATACTCCGCCGAAGTGTTCCTCTCTCCCATCGTGAAATCGGAATGGCCTGGGCTGTCGCGACCAACAATTTCTGGGCTTCCATCCTGTCCCTGACATTCCCCAAGATGTTGCGTGCTTTGACTCCCCAGGGTGCCTTTGGATTCTATGCAGGGCTCAACGTCATTGCTTTGGTGATTATCTTCCTTTTTCTGCCCGAGACGAAGCAGCGTTCCCTGGAAGAACTCGATTATGTGTTCGCGGTGCCCACCCGTACCCACGCCAAGTACCAGCTTACCCAGGTTCTTCCTTGGTGGATCAAGCGCTACATTTTCAGGCGTAAGGATTCAACTTGTCCAGAGCTCTACCGGATCAAGGAGCGACTTGCGGAGCGTGTTATTCCGGACAACGGCGACGAGGCGGGGAAGAAAATGTGCACTGAGCAGACAGAGGCTGTCTAACCTCACCTACTTCTCCAGCCCGCTCATTTGAGTTGATTCGGCCACAAAGGAGTGCCATATGCAGTTTACTCGCTTTGAATGTTCAGAGAATTTTCAGCATAATTTTTGAATAATTCGCCACAAAACCTCGTCCATATCATATTAGACTGCCCATAGTCCCGTATCGTAACGTCTTCATGAGCTGCAAGTCCCGTGACGTCAACTCCGCTTTTTTCAACTGCCGCGCAGAATTATCGACGCGTTAAACATCGCAGAATGGGAGACACCCAAAACACAAAAATGCCCGGCGCAGAGAAACTCACAGGCTCATCTAAGCGCAAGGCATCCGACCCACAAAACTCAGGGATCCAATTCACCTCTCGCAACCCCCCATGGACGTATCTCAGACTCCAGCTGCACGTGACCCGAGATCCCCAGTATAGGCAACGCGCTAACAGTTGAACAGTGTTCCTCAGCTGGATAATGCCTTGTCGCAGCCATTAGATGCGCTGTCTGCAAGGACATATCTTTCTTCTGCATTTTCACAGTACCTAGGACTGACAGGGACGTCTATCTCAGTCGACATTCTCAAGGTCGAGCACAACAGCTCCTCGCAGCCTGGGCCCAAGGGGGACTATGTATGGATCCGCATTCCATGCGGTGATGCGGCAGCTGTGGTCGCAGCGCTCAGCTCCTGGGTTGGGGGGAGCAATGGGTTGAATTATGCGTGGAGGGTCTGCGCTAAGGGAAATTACCTTAGCGCGCTGGCTGCTGGGTCTGGCGCTGATCTTTTTGTGCCGTGACGAGATCATTTTGAAGGCTGTGCTCTTTTATTTTGCACTGGGTTGGCGTATTTTATGTTATGTGAATTTGTTTTTGTTATATCTGCTCTAAATACCCTTGGCTTACAGGCTGGTTCTCTGGGCGGTCATTTTGGAAATCACGATAAATTTGGTTTTCTGATCTAAGATTATTATGCTTATTCTTCCAAGCCATCGGAGTCGTGTTCAACGTCTTATCTGCGTACGCGATCCTTTTAGCTACTGTGCTGCTTACCCGGGGATTCCTCTGGATCAATATCAACCAAGCAATGCCCGAGTGGCACGTCCGGTCTCGCTGACGAGCACGCTGCCAGATGCGGCGGGGTTATTCTCCCATGTAGGAAGGGCACTAGGGCCCCTGGGATATTGCATATGGCAAGCATAGGTGATTATTGGCACCGCAGACAATTGGTGCCGGTCTTGTCTTGGTTTTGTCTTCATTAAAAAGGGGATACTGGTACGATAGGACCAGTTTTCGTGGACTCAGGCCGGGGACTAGTAAATACTGGTAAAAATGCGGGGGATGACCATAGTCGGAACAGACGCAGCCACAAGGTCTTCTGTTTCACCATGTCGCAATCCAAGACCTTGTGCATTAGAATGTCATCTTTATGTGAAATAGACTTTTAATGGACTGCGAGATTTCTCAACAGGCAAGAAATACACCGTCACAGCAGATATAACATGAATTCAAGTCAAGCTGAGTTTCCATCCACCAAGTATTGACATAGCATGCTCCCATGGAAACCGAGGCTCATGGCCTGTTTCTCTTTCCTCGCTTGTAGACAACGCTTGTTTACCTTTCCGCTCATCTTGTGCTGAGAGATCCTTCTGTCGCCAAACCATCTGAACGACTTCCATCGCAGGCGTTATGTTCTGAAGAAAGTTAGTCAGACGCAAATTTCAATACCACGGTGAGAAAACGAAAAAAAGTAAAGCTTACTCCGAATCGGCGTATACCCTCAAGCTCTTCGAAAATTTGCAGAACAGCGAGTCGTTGATCTTCGGTAGACGAGCAACACCCCGCCAAAAAGAGAGGCCACAGCGGTAAAACAGCGGTCCGCATCATGTTGGCTTTCTTTGATATGATAAGACCCAAAATGAGATCCACATAAGTGTCTTTTGCTCTAGAATCTAGAATTGGAAGGCCTTGGCCTTTGGACCCTGGCCTTGGGGAGCATGTTTCGTGGAGAAGAATCAAGGCGCCCAGGCGATTTGCTTCAGCAATTGCCATGCACTCGGTATCTGGGTCCATGAACTCAGCAGGGACACTTTGCTCCAGATTTTCAAGCTCTTCTCTTAACCGGAGCACATCTTGCGGATCCGGATTGCTCTTTGTTTCTGTTTCCGTCCATGCTAGCTCAGTAGTTCTGTGAATCAAACTGAGGAGAGAATGGCTGAAGCCCATATACGGATCGATGACGTGTGGCGAACCCAGCACGTTCTCTGAGACGAAAGTCTTGCTTGATGTTGATGTTGAATTGTCGACTCGAAAGGCCGTCCGAGCCAAGACCAAGTGGAACATAAAATATCTGTTGAAGAAACTGGCCAGCTCTTGGCTGTGGATCGAGCGCCCCGGTCGTTCTCGTCGGGTATTGATGAGATCTTGGAACCCACTCAGGTGCGTCACCCATGACGGTCGGCTATAATCTGATATCTTCAACAAATTAGTGGAGCCCTCATCCGAAGGGGCCTTCAGCACACGACTTACATCGAACCAGCATAACATGAGGACTAATCCAAGCATCTCATCTAGTTCTTTCTCATCCCACCTCTCGCGAGTCAACAGCATCCGAAGGTATGTTAAAGCATGATTGTGATGCTCCAATGCCGGTAATCGATATCGCGAATTAGATAATCTGAGAGTATTTGCGGCGATGGCCAAGGTGGCATGGTACAGTCCCTCAGACTCCAAGGCCATCGGAAGAATCAGATAGCGATAGGGATTGTAATGCGCATTATCGACAAGGGTCGAGCTGCTGCATATTGTATGCTCAAAATAAGTCATGAGGGTTGGGTCGTACTCCAATCTTTGATTGTGCACAGGTATTGAACTAAGCCCTCGAACCAGACAGGTAGTTCTGCGGGGGTAATGTGGGCTTGTGGTCCCTTGCGCTGAGCCATAGTAGTACACGTGAATATCGCTTGCTGTGGTATTGAGAAACATCCAACGTCGATTCCTCTGTCTGAGTAACCCATTCCGGCCTTTCAATTGGCCTCCTTTTTGTCGATGGGTATCGTCCTCGTCTCTTTCGGGGTCTTGCTTCTTGGACCACACACCTGCACGTCCATGACAAACGCCTCGGGCGATGGATTCTTCATGCCAAATGAGTCGGATTCCATAATCGCAAGTGCTGTTATTGCGCGCGCATCGGCGACATACCGGATGAGCTTCTGCCGGAAGATGAGTCGTGATCTAGGAGGTCTAGGATTGGGAAATTACCATCGCATTTGACACGGCGCGCCCGGCATGTCCAGCAGCCCGTTCGTGCCCTCGATATCGCCGGCATGACGACTTGCAGGGGAAAACCAAGACAAAGGGGCAGCTGGACGGTTATTAAAGCCGAAGAAGATAAGCGGGAGAAATTTGGTTTGCGGGGAAGATAACGTTGCTCCACTTGGGCTGCATGGGCCTTGCATTCTACTCGTTTTTAAGTATTTGTGGGTACAAGAAGCTGAAACGCTCAAGGGTGGACCCTGAAAGTATTGGTTGAACCACTCCCAAACATTTCATAGCTAATCTGTCATGGGGAGCTCAACTCTATAGCTTTGACATGCTACTCCTCTCCCGGTCTTGTCGGCCCTTCCAGCCTGTCAAGTCTGACAGCTCTAGCTCGGGGTCCATATGAGCTAAATTACTTGACTCGACATGCTGCCCTGCACGCCAGCACCACTTCTGCATGATGTCTGCCTCAAGTTTTCCTTCCAATAAGTCGGCGACATACTTTCCGACCACAGGAAGAAACTTGAATCCGTGGGCCGATCCCCCAGTGGCCAAGAATAGCCGACGATGGTTCGGATGCGGGGTGACTAGAAAGTGTCTATCAGCGGTATCCGCATCCCAGCAAAGGCGTGTGTAGCAAAACGGCCGATCTGCCAACTCCGGCAGGACTCGGCGGAGATTTCGACGCATGGTTGCCTCAATTTCTAGCGGCAGCCCATCCGACGGGGTTTGTACAAAAGTGTGCGGAATGGAGGTGGTGATTTGCGAATTCGAGTCAGTCTTGCGGTTGGTGATAAACTGACTATGGGCCAGTTTGAAGACGCCGTCCGCCTGTGGAGGGAAATAGTAGCCCAACTCAAGATTGTCCATGATGGGCATCGACGAATAATGCTCGGTTTCTTCCGGCGTGAGCTGGATATGAGCAACACCATGCCCTTTGGCCGTCAACTGCTCTTGCAGGTCGAGCAACGATGGCGCCCACGCTCCAGCCGCAATGACCACGATATCTGCCTCGTGTCGTACTCCGTCGGCTGTGAGCACCCCCTTGCACTCTCCGTTCTCCTCCAGGACTAATTTCCTCACATAGCCCCTTGTCTCGCCCGATATGTATTCTACACCATTATCCTGGGCTGCTCTTGCCATGCGCTCCATGGCCTTGTCGGCAGCAGCCCAGCCAGCAGTTGGATTCCAGACATTGATATTCCATCCATCCAGGAGACCCTTGACAACAGGATACCGCGAGCGAATCGTGTCGACCGTTAGCCGCTCAAGCCCTTTAACCCCGAGGCGCGTACAGGTCTCAATCGATCCTTCGACAAAGGGAACAGACAAGTTAGCTGCGCTCAAGATCCACCCCGGGACATGATAGAGCCCCTGGAACATAGGCCATGTGCGCCACGCCTCAATCGACTCCAGTCCCAAGCGCGCATACAGCGGCTCATTATAGTCGCTCCGGATGACCTTCGAGATATCGGTCGAGGCTGCCTCGCACGAAGGGGGCGGGTATCGGTCGAGAACGCGAATGGAAGTATACCCGCGCTGCGAGAGGTGATAAGCCGTAGACGTGCCGAAACAACCGGCACCGACGATAAGGATCCTTGTCTCCTTGTCCATGGTCCTATCTCGATATGAATCTGTTTCCTGCGTCAGCTGGAGAGGTAGTCTGACGGTATATTTATCGCGGCGGCTCGATCCATCGTTCGTTATCGTACGACTTGGTGTTCGTTTCGAGCTTCCGTGGGCACATCACGCGATGGGGCTTTCTTGATCCATTTTGTTAGCGTAGAATTGACACTTCGTTCTGACCTTCCCGGAATGATACGCTGCAGATAAGATCTCGGCGACTTGCCGAAGCGCATTCGGTGGATTTAGTGGATCTCGCTCCGACCTTCTGGATGTGGTTTTGTGCTTCCCCGCATTTCGAGGCTCGTTTATCGCGCATCCTGGCTGTCTCGTATCACGCCTTACGCTCACGGGGGATGTAAAGCTTATCGCTAAAACGGCTAAGCCTTATATAGCATAAACTGATAGCAATCTTGATTGGCCCAACAGGGATAATTTATAGAGCTAATACGTGTATCTAAACGATTTCTTCTCTTTATCTGTCAGATCCGAGAATGCCGTTGCCTCAGACGCATCTGCGTTGGAATGATGTCCGTGGAGCTTATCGCGCTGCTGGTTCTCCCACCGACAGAGAAACCCGTAAGCGACGATTGCGCCGATAGCAACCACTAGACAAGCCAGGAGCCCCTCGTATCCCTTGGAGTAAGACGGGCATCATTGGAGCGGAAGCACTGGGGCCCAATGATGTTTCCAATGCAGTAGCAAATGAAAAATATAGCGTTCATAGTCAGCTTTTTCGAGTGGCCGCTGGTGTTGGCCATCGGAAGTGAAGTAGACAATACGTATGGAGCCCAATACGTGTAAAAGACGTAGTATGCTGCCAAAAGGCCATGCTGGTTGTCGCGGGGGAGCTTCCACATGAGGATAGCACAGACCATGGGTACCAGGTTGGAGATGGCGATGGTGGCACAGCGAGAGTTTGGGACCCTGCTGGTGAAAAAGCCAAGCAAGATTTGCCACACCGTAGCAAGAACACCTGTGGGAATACCGAGGACGGTGGTGATCAGACGTGTATATCCCAGTCCAGACACAATGACGGCAGAGAATGTCACGAGGCCTCCGTTGGGGATATTCTGGGCCACGGCAAATAGAGCCAAGAGCCACGTCTTGGGATCAAGAAGACATTCTCGAACTTGATACCACTTGATCGTCTTGTCTTCTATGCCGGTATTGTTGTCCTTGACTCGCTCGAGGCAAACAAACTTCTCGCGGTCGGTAAAATACCAGCATTGAACTGGCGAGTCTGGCAAGAATACGAATAAGACGCCGGCCCAGAGGAGTGTAAATGCGCCCAGAACGATAAAAAGTAATCTCCAGGGGGCCACGGAGGTGTCTGTTTGACCGATCCCGTAGCTCACGATCCCAGAAAACACCGAAGAGAGCTGGTTGAACCAGAACGCAACACGCAGAGGCTGCTCACTGGTTTTCCACCACATGACCGTGAGGATGCTCGAGATAGGGAAGAGCGAGGCCTCTGTCATTCCCATCAAGAATCGCACGGTCGCAAGACCTCCGAAGTTTTGCGTCGCCGCGGTACACAGGAGGAGTACAGCCCAGCCACAAACCATTCCCACCATCAGCTTGGCTACGGGCAGCCGCTGGATGAGTAGCGCTGCAGGGTACTCGAATGCCAGGTATCCAAAGTAGAAAATAGAGCCCACCCAGGAGTACTCGCCCCCAGTCAAATGAGTGTCCTTTTCCATGCCATAGATTGCGGCATTGGATATGATAACTTTATCCACGGCAGCCAGGACACACGATACCATGATGAGTGGAATCAAAATGAGGTCGATTTTCCACAAGACACGTCGCGCCTCTGCCTCGGAGATGGGCTCTGCTGCGATGGCAGGGTCGAGCTCGGCGAGGAATTGTGCAGCAACATCTTTGTCTCGCGGTCGGCCCTGGGACTCGACAATATCACCATCCTGAGACTTTTCATGGTCCAGGGGAACTGAAAGCTCGGGGGTCGCGGGCTCTTTGTCATTGAAGGTCATGTCTGCGCAATCTTGCAACAAGCGCTCTCCTACAGTCAAATGGGACGTTTGAAGGGAATGAAATGACGCAAAAGCCAGTGACCGGGGTCAATATTCATTTATTATCATATCACCATTGATACGAAGTCATCCTGTTCACTTATCTCGAGATATTAGGGTTTGCGCGGTGGGAAGGTCAGAACGAGATAAGCGGCTGTCTCCGCATTTCCCCTCTCACGCCATGAAGCCAATCAGCTTGCATTGGGACATGGTCCGTTTAAGCCGACAGGGATCTGAGCTGCTGATGACTGTGATGCTGAGCAAGAAAGACAGCGTAGTCGCCATAAAAGACCTGCTTTGTCCCCTTAGTCTCCCGACGAGCAGCGAAACCCAATTCCATCATGTCTCCCGATGAGCTGGATGGCCCACGCATCAGGATCGCCATCGGTAAGTCCAAGTTCATTGCCCATGGCTTACCCTGATATTGGTACATTTGCTCATAGTTGATAGATCGTGGTGGTACATTCACCGATTGCCTCGGCATCATCGATGGGCGCGAGGAGATCGTAGTCAAACTACTTTCCCAGGATCCTGCCAACTATGCTGATGCACCAATTGAGGGCATTCGTCGCATCCTCGAACAGGCCACAGGCAAGCAGTTTTCTCGGGACCAGCCGCTGACAACTGCGGATTTCTCTGAAGTTAGTATCCGTATGGGCACGACTGTGGCCACAAATGCCCTTCTTGAACGCAAAGGAGAGCGCCATGCTCTCTTAATCACAAAGGGGTTCAAGGATGCGCTCCGCATCGGTAACCAGTCTCGCCCACAGCTGTTCGCGTTGAACATCCAACGGCCAGATGTGCTGTATGAGGATGTCGTGGAGGTGGATGAGCGGGTCACTATCGAAGATTATCAGCAAAACCCTACCCCGGACAGGGAAAGTCTGCAAAACTCGTTAAAGGCGGACGCAAAATTGACTCGAGGTGTTAGCGGCGAAGTCGTTCGCATCTTGGAGCCACTCGATGAGTCCAGCACAAGGGCAAGCCTCCAGGGATTATATGAGAGGGGGTATCGGACAATCGCCGTCTGCCTCGTACATTCGTATACATTCCAAGAGCATGAGTTGGCCATCGAGAAGATGGCTAAGGATATCGGGTTTACTCAAATATCCTTGTCTAGTCAGCTTTTGCCGATGATCAAGATGACTTCGCGTGGCGCTTCGGCTACCGCAGATGCCTATCTGACCCCCGTCATCCAGCGGTATATCGAGGGTTTCCGTTCTGGATTTAAGGATGGCCTGCGCTCGAGCGATACCCGTTGCGAGTTTATGCAGAGTGATGGTGGATTGGCTAATTTTGAAAAGTACGTGACGATAATTCCAGCGATACCAACAACTCTGACAATCACAGGTTCACTGGCCTCCGTGCAATTCTGTCAGGCCCTGCCGGTGGAGTTGTGGGCTATGCGGGAACTTCGTATGACGAGAATGACAGAAAGCCTGTCATCGGGTGAGCGTTGCCTCCAATGATAAGAAAATATCTTCAGAATGATTTTATGGCTAAGATTGCTTCAGATTTGACATGGGCGGCACCAGTACCGACGTCTCTCGCTACGATGGCAAACTCGAACACACTTTTGAGAACACCATCTCTGGAGTCCCAGTCATGGCCCCCCAGCTAGATATCAATACTGTGGCTGCCGGTGGCGGCAGTATTCTCTTCTGGCGCCATGGACTATTCGTGGTCGGTCCCGAGTCTGCAGGGGCGCATCCTGGACCAGCATGCTATCGCAAAGGAGGCCCCTTGACTGTCACTGATGCGAACTTATTCCTCGGTCGTCTTTTGCCAGACTACTTCCCCAAGATATTTGGCCCCCATGAGGATGAGGCCCTGGATGTCGAAGTGACCAGTCGGAAGTTCACAGAACTGGCAGACCAAATCAACCAAGAAACCGGCCAAAACAAGAGCCCGGAAGAAATCGCTTTGGGATTCATCCAGGTGGCCAACGAGTCTATGGCTAAGCCTATTCGTGCTCTGACAGAGGCCCGTGGATATGATACTTCCGCACATAACCTGGCATGCTTTGGTGGCGCCGGAGGACAACATGCGTGCGCGATCGCTTCTTCACTCTCCATCGGCACGGTGATTATTCACCAATACTCGTCAATTCTGTCGGCCTACGGGATGGCCCTTGCGGATGTCGTCCAAGAAGCTCAAGAACCAGCTTCTGGTGTCTTAGATGAGAAGGCAATGAATAACATCACCGCTCGCATCGCCGCCCTCAAGTCCAAGGTGACTGCTGCGTTAGGCAGTGACGGCATCGGGGCTGCTCATGTGGAACATGAGGTCTACTTGAATCTGCGATACCAAGGCACTGATAACCTTCTGATGGTCTTAGAGCCAGACGACGGTGATTTTGCCGCTGAGTTCATCAAGCAGCATAAGCGTGAATTCTCCTTCACTTTCCCCGGCCGCAATATCCTCGTCGAAGACATCCGTGTTCGTGGCGTTGGAAAGGCAACTTCTGCAACGCCCGAGGCTCCCCAGAAAGAAATGAAGTCCATGACAGTCACCAGTATTGGGGCCGACAAGCAGAACGATTCCTCGAGCGTATATTTTGCCGGAGTTGGTCAAGTCACCACTCCCGTGTTTTTCCTCAACAACCTGAAGCCAGGGGACTTCATCCAAGGACCGGCTATGATCATCGATAAAACACAGACGATTGTCGTTGAGCCCAATGCAACTGCAACGATTCTCTCCAGGCACGTTATTCTGAATGTGAAATCATCGAAGAACCAGACAGATGACACGACTGTCGTCGATCCTATTAAGCTGTCCATCTTTGGTCATCGCTTCATGTCGGTGGCCGACCAGATGAGCCGCATGTTCCAGAAGACATCCGTCTCTACCAATATTAAGGAACGTCTTGATTTTTCATGTGCGGTCTTCTCACCAGATGGAAAACTGGTCGCGAATGCTCCTAACGTCCCGGTTCATCTAGGAAGTGAGTGACCAACCTGTTGATTTGGCCTGATATGAAAGAGTAAGGAATACTAACTGGGAGAATAAAGGTATGGAATATGCAGTTCGGTATCAGCATGAGCAGTATGGAGGTAATCTCAAACCGGGAGACCATATTCTCACCAACCATCCTCTGGCTGGAGGCACACATCTCCCCGACATCACCATCATTACTCCTGTTTGGGATGAGAAAGGCCAGAATGTTATTTTCTATGTCGCGTCTCGAGGTCATCACGGTAAGAACCCCCAGTCATAGACTACTATATAGGTCCCTATGCTAATAAAGAGCAGCTGAGATCGGCGGGATTGCCCCTGGATCTATGCCCTCCAACAGTAAAATGCTTTATGAAGAGGGAGCCATGACAATGGGCTTCAAAGTCGTTTCAGAAGGCCATTTTGACGAGGAGCTTGTCCGCAAATTCCTATACGATGACCCAGCCTCATACCCGGCGTGCAGCGGCACGCGCACGTATAATGACAATGTCTCGGATCTCAAGGCAGCAATTGCTGCTAACCACAAGGGTGCAACACTCCTTGAAGGGCTAGTTGCGGAGAATAGCCTGGAAGCAGTGCACTTCTACATGGATGCCATCAAGCGAAATGCCGAGGTTGCCGTGCGGGAGCTCCTCAAGTCCATCGGCCGCAAGAATCCTGGGCAAGCGCTTCGCTTCTCAGATTTCATGGACGATGGAACGGAAATCACGTTAGAGATCCGTATTGATCCAGAGACTGGGTCTGCGGATTTCGATTTCACCGGCACGGGCCGCGAAACCTTCAATTGTTTGAATGCCCCAAAGGCCATTGCCCACTCGGCAATTATCTACGTCCTCCGTGCGCTTATAAATGTTGATATTCCACTTAACGAGGGCTGTCTCGCTCCTGTTAAGGTCATTATTTCCCTCTGGTACCTTGCTCAACCCGTCAGGATACGCCGCTGTCTGTGCCGGAAACCCGATCACCTCCCAGCGCATCACAGATGTTGTTCTAGGAGCCTTTGGTGCATGTGCCGCATCACAAGGCTGCTGCAACATTATATCGTTCGGTATGGGTGGTGTTGATCCTAATACCGGCGTCGAGATCCCCGGTTTTGGTGTGGGCGAGACCATCTGCGGTGGCTCTGGTGCAGGGCCGACTTGGAACGGCACATCGGGGGGTGCATGTTCATATGACCAACACGAGGATTACAGACGCGGAGGTCTACGAGCTCCGTTACCCTGTCATTCTGCGCCAATTCTCCATTCGTGCAGGATCTGGCGGCGAAGGTCGTTTCCGCGGTGGAGACGGTGTAATCCGTGAGCTTGAGTTCCGCATGCCGCTTTCTGTGTCAATGCTTAGCGAACGACGGGTCTATCGTCCGTACGGTCTTGCTGGCGGCGGGTTTGGTCAGGCTGGCTTGAATCTTTATGTGAAGAAGGAGCGTGACGGAACTGATCGCGTGATTAACATCGGTGGAAAGATGGAGCTCGAAGTCCAGCCCGGCGAGCGTATTCTGATTCACACGTAAGTGCTTCTCTAGGGCTGAGGATATGATTTGATATCTGGACTAACTTTTGTCCCTCCATTAGACCCGGTGGCGGTGGCTGGGGTGCAGTATCTGCGGATATTGAACCAAACATTCCGAAGCAATCTGGCAACCACTCTACGTTCCAGCCACGAGGAAGCGTCCATGCGTTTACTGCCATGGCAGAGACAGCGCAATAAGGGCTTAGATTGCAAAGAAAGAAGAGTAATGAAATGTTTTCTTTTGCTTTCCCTGAGCACCCTGAGGATGATCTCAAGTCGACGCCTGATGTGAGTAGTACGCATCCAGTTAGATATCGAACCCCAATTATGACACATGGATTTCAATTCAGAGGATTTTTTTTTCTGAGCACTTGATTGTGCAATCAAAGCCAGCCGTGACGAGGCTGCGATCTCCAGCTTCAAATTGGCCGCATAGATGAAACACCCCTACGCTGTCTGTGTCATGGACAAGCCGATGACCTGGAGATTCAAGAGAGCAATATCTACCCGTGTAATGATGATAACAATCACGAGCAGCGGGTACATGGTTTTTCGCCCTGCGCTTATCGTGTGTTGGATATATTCAAGTAGTATTCACGCTCATGGCGGAGAAAAGAGGCGTGACTAAGATTGGGTGATCGAAGAAATATATGCTATTTATACAATCCAGAAATAAGTTTGAGATCTTTCTTGAGAGCCAAGAATATCAGAGCCAGAGGTATCGATGCGAAGTATGAACAAAAAAAAAAAAGCAACGGTGACACTACTCTTGGACTAAGCAAGGAGGCTTTCCAAGTCAGCGATCCGAGTGGCACGATCCTCGGCCTTCTTCTTGCCTGTCTCGCGGAAGGCCGCGTTCATGAGATCGCGTTTTCTCTTTTGAATATCAAGCACACGCTCCTCGATGCTGTCCTCCACAACTAATCTCCATACAGTGGTCTCACGCTTCTGTCCCAGACGATACACACGGTCCACAGCTTGATCCTCAATAGCAGGCGCCCACCAGCTGTCAGCAAGGATGGCCTGATTGGCGGCAACAAGGTTGAGGCCGACACTGCAGACGCTCAAGCTGGCAAGCAGAACAGTGCAACTAGGGTCTTTTGTGAAAACAGTGAGTGAATTGTCGCGTTGGATAGAGTTCATTTTACCGTCGATGCGCACGTAGTTGATGCCGCGGGCTTCAAGGTGAGGCTCCACAAGGTCAAGGAAGGACGTCCACTGGCTGAACACCACGGTTTTGGTGTCCGGAGCCTGGCCTTGTGCTGTGAGAACTTTCATCAAGGCTTCAATCTTGCTGCTAGGGCTCTGTGGGTCGGCAGTGGCAGTATCAGCATCCTCGCCCAGATTAGTCGCGGGTGCAACCAGTGTGGAGTTATCCTTAATATCAGCACGGCAGAGAGGACATTTGTGCTGTCGTGAGATGACCTGTTCGATACAGGCACGGCAAAAGGTATGGGCACAGGCAGTAATCACAGGCTGGTCCAGGTTGTCAAGACAAACCGCGCACATCTCTTGACTCTCGATCTGTAATTGCAGCATCTCTTGAAGAGCTTTCATGTTCTCTGGAGTGAGTGGCACCACTTTATGCTTCTCCAGCAATTCCATGAGGCCTTCTACACGCCTCTTACAAAGCGCCCAGTGATTGCAAACCTGTCGGAGGCGTAAGAGAACTTCGAGCAGATGGGAATAGCTTGATTGGCCCTGCTTATCTTTGAGGTTGAGCAGAGCACCCTTTGCTTCGGATCTATAGAAAGAAAGCATATGAATTAGTATGATTTTCAGTAAGAAGGCTTTAGAGGAACGTACTGGAATGCGCTGTATCTCTCTCGCTCATAGTCATTGAACTTGACTCGAAGAATCCGAGAAGTCATTGGAGGTAAGCGTAAGTTGATGAAGTTCATATCCTTTCGTCGTCTGAGACAAATGGTACCCATTAGTGCTTCCAGAAGCAAGCGAGCATCGGGGCTGCCACATGTCAGAGGACGGATCAAGATGGTATTGAACATGGGCTCCTCCTCTAGGCCGCCGGTAAGCTTCAAGAATCGGACTTGGGAGTATAGGTCTCTGAGGGTATTGATGATTGGCGTCCCTGTGAGTGTCCAGCGAGAATCGGCACGCAGAGAACAGGCTGCGAGGGATCCTTTTGATTGTGGATTTCGAATTTGGTGGCCTTCATCCAGCACAATTCGACGCCAGTGAACAGAGAATATTCCCTTGAGCGGACTTTTCGCCTCTGGGTTGTATTCTTGTACCAGCGCTCCGTAACTCGTGATCACCACATCGTATTCCGTTAGATCTTTCACCTCCTTTTTGGCAGTGCCATGGTAAATCAACACACGGGGCGTTGATTCTGCTCGGGTGTGGTCATGTATTTGATTCCTCCAGTTGCTCATCACGCCAACGGGGGCGATAATCAGAGTGGACTTGCTCGAGGCTGAGGTGCGAGGAGCAGAATTGGCCAGGATCAACGAAATAATTTGGATCGTCTTTCCTAAGCCCATATCATCCGCCAGAATACCTCCACTTGCAAGCGGCGGTTCATTCGGAGTTGTGAAGTTAGTTGCTATGTTGTTGTATTGCTTTCCGCTGCGCTTCCACAACTGTACGACACCGTCGGAACCTGGAGGTGGAAAAGCGGGAGATTCACGATCAATTAACCACGCCAATCCTTGCCTCTGATACGGAAGCAATTGGGTCGATAGAGCTGCTGGAGTATCTGCCATGGGCATGTTTTCAAGATCCCTTTCTTTCTGCCCGAAATTCTCTACTACTTGGCCAATATCTCGAGGGTTAAACTGACTGCTTTGACTGAGAAGCTCTTCGATGGATTCAGGTCCCCGGCAAGGCCGGTCGGTGAAGAAAGGTTTGCAAACATGGCATTTTCGTTACTCTGCCACGATGTAGCAGCTTTTCCAAGGGCCAAAGCACGGGCTTGCTTCGCGGCTGCTTTTGCGGCTGCTTCCGCTTCCTTCCTACGTTGAGTTTCAGCCCTCTTGGCCTCTTGAAACTCCTTCAGAGGAAGCCTGTCTGCTTGCATTCGTTGCTTGAGTCCCTCTCTATCGTCAACGTTTGCAGTGCCATATAGCGGTAGGGCCACGGGGCAATCAAACGTTCCAATCTGGCCGGTGAGAATGCCCTCGACTTGGAGGTCACCAGAATCCTGCGGAATACGTTACTATCGTTGGTTTAAGCTCTGATTTATGTGCGGACATACCATGTATGGTGCTAGCCTCGCAGCGACGTGGCGTCCAATGTGGCCGATCTGGTCACCCATTACATTAGTCACTCGGATTGCGTTCTTATCATATTGGTTCTCCGGCTCTCGTTTCAGAATAACGTGCTCGCCAACGTTCGCAAAGCCTCTGTAGTAGCGGACTCCAACAATTTTGGTTTCAAGAACTCCTAGAAGAACATATCAGAAGGACTAGAAAATGTGCGTACAGGATGAACTAGATACCGTAAAGCATTCTTTCTGACACCGACTCCGGCTGCCGCTCGCCACCATGAGTCTCAGAGACCACATTTGCGGCTTCATCGTCAGCTTCATCGGCTCCCGCGACCTGAGATAGCTGGGTCAAGGGAAGCAATTCTGAGGCTTCGCTGGATTGTTCCTCGCGTCGTTGCTCGGATATGCCGCGTCTGGACTTGGCTGAGGATTCCTCGGCAAGAGTATCTGCCTCATCGGCCTTGCGCTTCTGCGGACGTTTGGCCATGGTAACAGCCTGTTGGGATCGAAAGCGCAACGAAGATGAAAGGAGAAGAACCGTATCACAGATGGACGTGTCAAGCCGACACTACGCCGAATCGGGCAACCACGCGCAAACGCACGCGTAATCACGTGCGGATGACAGCACCTGGGATCTTATGAGGCGGTTCTTTTATCGGTCGATATTCTCATGTTTGACATGCTCGTATTTTGCTTTTGGTCTTTCGAAATTGGCTATAGATTGCTATGCATTAAATGGAGTGGCCAGAGACTCTTTGGATCTTCCATTGTCTTTCGATTATCGCCTTTCGTTACCCTTTGAAGAACCTTGTCAAGATCAAGATTTCCGACGGCCTCTTATCTTCTTAGCGCCCGCGGTGCCGAATGGCTGATCACCATATTGGGGTCTCCAGGCTTCTTGTTCAAAAGAATGAACTCGTGCTTGAGCTTTTCATACAACAGGGGATATTCAAGCCGATATTTATTTTTCAGATCGTCTTCTTCAATCTCTTACCCCTGGTCGGCCTGGTCTTACCACGTCATGGGGTCACAAAATATATTCGGCCGGCGGTCTTTGTGGCATGCCTTGCATTTGCAATTGAGATTCTCAGCAGTCGTCGGGCTCATTTGGGTGCGAACGGCTATATGGTTGGCTTGATGACTGCTTGGTGGCTGGTCTGGACCGCCACTTTATATATTTTCGCAGACGTCGAGAAAGACTACCGACGGATCGAAAGAGACGATGGGCCAGATCTGTCCAAGGACCATGGAAACTCCAGCAAGGCAGCTAAGTACCACTGGCAGTCTTATCCACCGAAATTTATGCATCGTCTGGAGTGGTGTGCGGGTCTCATCTTCAACCTTCGCGGTCCGGAATGGAACTGGCGAGCGCCTCGTCTCGGCCCCCTGCCGCGAAGTGTTTACGCGCAGCTCCAGTCAGGATTTATTTCTAAAGAAATGCAGCAGGAAAACGATGAGGATTATGTTACACCCAAACAGCGCGTCCAGCAAGGATTTCGAAGTTTCCTGATTGGCTATCTATCCCTGGATATTTTGAAAGCTGTCATGATGCGAGATCCATACTTCCGGGGTGATCTTTCAAACGCTGGACGGCCATTTCCAATCTCCTACCTGGAAAATGTTCCTCTTGCTATACGTTCCTACCATGTTTTCACCAGCGCTGTAGGTGTCTACACAGCCTTGAGCTTTGTTACCGCCTTGAACCCCATTTTTTTCCTCGGCTTGTCTTCGATATTTCCCAATGCATCTCGCAGGCTGACGGGTGCGCCACTGGACGCATCTTGGCTATATGCAGACACATTTGGGCCTTTCTTCTCTCCACTCCTCGAAGATGGTCTTGCTGGTTTATGGGGGCAGTGGTGGCATCAACTCTTCCGACATGGCTTTACATCTACTGCACGATGGATTCTGTCATTAATGCCACGAAAGTGGCGTACCAACCCGAGAGTCAAGAGAGTAACGTTTCTCGTGGTTGCGTTTTCACTCAGCGGACTTATACACGCCAGTGGCAGCTACACGCAATTCACAAAGACACGCCCGCTTACAGGGCCATTTCTATTTTTTGCGATGCAAAGCATTGCTGTGATTGTCGAGAGTATTTTCAAGAATGTGCTTCTTCCCAAGACCCCTCTTGCCAGTGCTCCCCGTTGGTTCTGTCGCGCTGCGAATGTAATATGGGTCTTTTTTTGGTTGCTCTTTTCCGGGCCATTTATCACGGACGACTTCGCGACCGGCGGCATCTGGTTAGTGGAGCCAATCCCATTCAGTCCCCTACGTGGGCTTGGCCTGGCGGTTGGGCAGGGTTGGTGGTGTTGGCAAGGACCTTGGTTCCGTCACTGGAGCGATGGTACATACTGGGGTAGTGGAATACGGATGGTATAGAGTGAACTGGTCATTGATAGAATAGAAAAAGGAGACTCTTCAGATGGTATATACTCGAGTGGACAAACTCATCAGCAATCATCCTTCCATTTGTACATCGTCGTCCTCTTCGTCATCATCCGTGTCCGGATCGAGATTAAGAGTAGGCAGCTCGTCATCACTGTCATCCTCGGGCATTGATGCCTCCGGGGCCGCAGAGGCTTGAGGTTTGGCCTGAGTCTGCTGCGAAACCGGTGCAGGATGAGGGGTGGAAGCGATAGCTGCAACGGGAGCCGGATGATGCACCGACTCCTCAATTCGTGCTTTCTTAGGCCGCTCCAATTGGTTCTCTGACGGCTCAGGCATGGCTTTTAAAGTAGGTTCTTCAATGTAAGTACGGAACCGCTTGTTTGTGGCCTCGACAGGCTCCGATTTTGCGGGGACCACATTAGATGTGGAGAATTTGAGAAACGACGCGGTCTCTGAAACAGGTTCATGTTCTGCAACTTCCATCTCTTCGTCCTCATCCTCTTCTTCGGCAAGTGCCTGGGCGTCAAGTTCGGGTGCAGTCATTATCACCGGCATCCGTGGACGGATCAAGGATTCGACTTCGACTGTATCCGAATAGCCGCGAGCCAAGAAAGGAATGATACTGGCGCCGGCACCCTTGCCTTTTATGGCCGGAACAGGGTTCAGGACACTGGCCAACATCGCGTCCTTATCAGATATCAGAATGATCGTCCGATCTATTTCGGCCCGCATAGAGGCGGCCAGAAGTTCAGACGGAGCAGAAAGCAGAACACTCTGTAGAAGAGCCGAAGCGGCTTGGCCAAGAGCTGAGGATTTGGAAGCTTGTTGGTTTCGGCCCTTCTGCAGATCCGGGTTTAAGAAAGAGTCGGCATTGGCAGTGCCTTGAGCCTTGGACTTCGTCTTGGAGTCGCCCTGTGTGTTGGCCGGGGTAGTAGACTCAGTGGAGGTAGGCAAGAGATCTTGGCAACAAGAGCGAATTACACTCGTGATCGGAGCCATACTTTGCTTTGTCATGGCAGGTCCATTCAGAGAGATCAGGCTTGCAAGCAAATCATAGGAAGCAGTTCGCACATCACGACTGAATTTCTCATTTCGAAACACCCAAGAAACTTGTTCTAGCATGGTCTGAGCAAGAGGGATAGCACTGGTTCCCAGTACATTGACGACATGAGCAAGCAGGTCCATGCAAGCAATATGGATACGAGGAAGTTCGGCCCATAGCAGTTCTCGTTCCTCACGGCCAATTTGAGGGTTTGCTTGCGCACCAGATTGGGACGTACCCTCTAGTGGGACCGTGACGGTAGTCAATCGAGATGTCAGGTCCAGGATAGAGCCTAATGGCAGGGCAACGGCGGAAACCGAAGGCATGGCAATGAAGTCGGACAGAATCCGCAACAGGGTGAGGATTCTGTCGGATCCAGCATGAATACCCTTCCAGGCTGGGAGGCCCAGCGCATCAGGTGCAGGATCAGCCAGCTCTTCGTTATAGTTTTGGCGGGTAGCGACCAGAGTAGTATCCACCGACTCCCACTGCTCAACCACGGCTCGGTATACAAAGTCGGTTGCCCGGTGAATTGAGAGAATGGTTGATCTACAATCCTCGTTCCACCCAGAACCCGACTTGTCTTTCGGGGCGCATTTATGCAGCGAAGCAAACACTTGCTCAGCGGCATCAATTACAGGCCCCCGGAAGTATACATCCTGCGAGCCCAATATCTCCGCCGACAAGGATCGCAGTTGAGAACCGAAGGGACGGAAAATGGTCGGATGGCGCGGGATCAATTCCAAAAGAGCTAATAGCACAGTTTCCATAAACGGAGTGTTCGGTTTTGCTTTACGAGCCGACCCGGAGGGGAGCTTGACGAGAGTCGAGACCAAATTGAGGGCAGCCGTAATAAAACCTGGAAGATGTGGCGTTGTAATTTCTCGCACCAATGTTGGGTACTGGTAAGTGAGGTGGAAAATGCGCGTGAGAGTAATGATGCACATTTTTCTCGTGGATACCGGGTCAGGTTTCTGCGTGGATCGTTAGCCACAGGCATTTGGCATCAAGCATGGGTTTATTTGCCCCGTACCGCCAAAATTCCAATCAGACTGCGAACAATGGGCTCATAACCCCGCAACACCTCCCATTGACCAGCCTCAACCATGGCCTTGGCCAGCACCACAGCGGTCCATCGGCCCTCAACGCTGCGGTCCTGCAGCAAGCTGGACAGCCGGGTCTTCAATTTGTGGACTTGGATAGCATTCTCCGAGTCGGATTTGCCCGGTTTCTGGGTTTGCGGAGCGGATAGAAGATCAGCGCAATCGCTCAACGAGGTTGCGAGAAACGAAGCAATCGATGGCAATTGCTCGACGGGGGTGGTCGTTAAGCGGTGCGCGACCGCGCGCAAAGTCGTCGAGGCCATAGCGCGCACGAAATTTCACAGGAATCCGAGTGTTATGCCGAGGGACAGAGGAATGTGCCAAAGACCCAGCAATGGCAGAGAAAAGACTGCCGAAGCTTGTTCGGTAATTTTTTTCCCTTTTGGCGTAACGCTCGGGCCACATGCTGCGGCGCCCATCTGAATGCTGGTGGATTCTGCCGGGGCTGTTCTGCGGGCCCTGGGGGTCTTTTGCTTCTGGTTTTCCTGCTTGGAGCCTCGGGTGTAAATTACCGTAATCTCCGTACATGCTCAAGGCACACCCCTAGACGATCATCCTCCGTCGCGTTGAGCTACAACAGGTCTCTCTCCTGCATCTCTTCCTCTCCCCTGCTCCCCACCATCTGAAACACCATGGCGGTGAGTTCTACAGCTTCTTGTCCCCGTTAGGAGTCGATCTCCTCCGAGCCTATACTGATCCTCGTCTGCTTAAGGGAGGCAATGCTGAGAAGGGACACCGGTACAGCGTGGCGCTGGATCAAGCGCGGGCGCAAGGCAAATGGGAGGAAGTTCCTGAGTTGATTCGCAAAGTCACTAAACACTCGCCGCAAAGAATCTGTACGTGCGAAATTGACCAGGTACCTCCGCCGGTGGCTTGCGCGCTAACGGAGTGGTCTTCCGCTCGAATCTAGGCATTATCCAGACCGCTACCGCTGAAAGTCGAGTCATTGCATATCAACAACAAAAAACAACCGAAGAGTCATCGTCTACCCCCAATCTCCATGAGCTAATCCCTGCGCTGTTGACAACAATTGAGAACAATGATGGCTCCCAGCAGGAGATACTTCAGGCTAGTGTTTGCTTGGGATGGATCCATTGGACCCTCAATGAGCCCGCGCTAGCTGCCAGTCGCCTGCCGAAGGATTTCAGGGCCCTAGTGGACAGTATATTACATGAAGATCATGAACTTTCGGCCTGGACCGAGGTCTGTTTAGTAAAGGGATGTTACATTAAAGGTATACATGCACGTGGGATGTCTACGACGAACATGATAGGCTTACTTTACAACGCAGGATCGGCACAATCGGCAGTAACGGATATTGATGAAACGCTGGAAACTTTTTCTTCGCTATTAGCGTGGCTGAGCAGTGGAAAACTCACGACGAATGCCAACTCCCAATTCTTGAGTTGGGCGGAGACCCTCCTTGGTAAGGGTGCGTTACTGGCAAGCGAAGAAGCCATCACCGCAGGCCAGAACGCCAATCCCCGTCATGTCGAGATCGCACTTAGATTATTCCGACTGTGGGCTCTGCATCCCTCCGTGAAGCAGAGCTTGGCTTCAAACACCTCACAGCCTTCCACCCCTGGGCCCTCGCGATCAACAGTATGGAGGGCATATTACGGACTCTTGACGACGATCCTTCAAGAACAGCTAGACTATACACCACAGCTTGAGGGGCCAGAAAGACCGCAATTGGCTAGTGAGATACGCTTGGTAGAGTCAATTTGCGAAAGCAATCTCCTTCGTGAGGTGAAATTCCCTACTGCTAATGCAGGCAATTCTCCCGTTGAGGCATGGGTGGAACAAGTCATTGGCAACTGGCAAATTCTTTGCGGACCCTATTGGCATGATCAAGACCTGGGTGAAGGAGGTCAAAATGCTGTTGGACGTAACGTCCTGGATGTGAGTACAGACTAGTTGTTTCCCTTGTATTCATCTTGCTAACGTGTCATCAGATTCTGTATCGTGCGGCGACTAAAACCTATCATTCACATCTCATCCTTAGACGTCTATTTCATGTCCACGCGGCGTTGTCAGAATTCGATCTTGCCATCAAGGCACTTGACTCTTACATCGAAATCGTCACCTCTGCCAAAGAGCGTGCTGCGAAGTCCGCCAATTATGGAGAGTTGGAGTCAGATGATACCTTGCTCCAGACGCTGTCAGAGGGCGTCACATTATTGAGTTGCCTTGGGTCCTTTGAAGAAGCCGAGAAAGCCAAGGATATGACAGACATGATGCAAACTTACATCGACCAAAAAGCTTCGACCAAATTGGATACCGAAAACCTTGCACTTAATTACAATGCCAACTCTAACGCCCCATCTGAAATATCTCCATCGGTTTTAGCGCAGGCTTATCGAGCCATTGGAGTCGGACTGGCGAACTGGGCGACCTATACTCCCTTGAACGAGGCCCGGGATGAAATCCGTGCTGAGGCTATCGATTATCTAGAGCGAAGCGTTGCGCCTGAATTAGGAAACGAGTCGAACTTTTCGTCCCTCTATGCCCTTTCTCTAACACTAGCTCAAAACCGAGATCTGGACGCGGCAATGGATTGTGTTAAATCTGCGCTATCCTCTCATGATCCCTCTTCTGCTTCGGATGATCTTTCCAAAGAGCGGGACCTCGTCTCGCTATGGCATCTGCTTGCATTGTTGCTCAGTGCCAAACAGGAGTTTGATATTGCAGAGCGCTCCTGTGAAGCGGCGTTTGAGCAGTTTCCATCAGAGATCTTTCCCAAAAGCAGTCGCGAGAGGAGGGCATCCAGGCAATCCCACAATGGCCCAGCTACTTTAAAGCGCACAATTCTTGGCCGTTTACAAAATCGTGAGAAAGAGCGCATTCTTGAGATTCGCATGACCCAACTTGCCTTTGTGGAAGTCTTGGAAGGCCCCGAAGCCGCTGTCAACAAGACCGAGCAGTTGCTCAGTCTTTTTGGCATCTTGTTCCAGGATCTCAATCTAGAGACTGAAGGGAACCGCAATTCAAAGTGCAAAGAGCACTTGGTGCCTCCGAAGAGCTCTGCAGGAACTGCAAAGAGCTTCCGATCTAGTCTCTTCAGTCGGAACAGAGCATCGCAGCTACCGGATCGCCGTGCTCCAAGCGTGAACTCCGAAACTCCTCCTGTCCCCGCGGTGCCCAGTGGTGGGGGAGATGCGCCGTCTATCCAAGTCACTGATGATGATCATGAGCGCCATCCGCGTACAGCTGGTTCTGATTCCAAGAAGGCCGATACCCGCAGTAGCAGTACACCCCGGCCTGAGAGATCCCCCATTCGATCACCGGTATCAAACGGGTCTGATTCCCCAGCATTGGTTGGAATCGCTGTATCGGGCAATACATCTCCCGTGTCAGAGCGTCGTCCTGCAAGCGGGAGACAGCCTTTACCGCCCATTCCGCACAATATGTCCCATCTGCAGCAACCTTACCCAGGGCGCCACGAGCATCAGCCGCCAGTTCAAGACGTCCGACTCCCCAGTGGGCACCGTTATGACTCCCCTACCATCGCCGTCACGAAATTCACCACGATTCAGTCTAAGAAACATGCCCTCGCTTTACTGGTAAAGATCTGGCTTGTCATTGCTGGTCTGTACCGCCGTGCATCTCTTTTCGATGATGCTCGCGAGGCATGTGAGGAAGCTTTGAAGCAAGCAAGCCGGATGGAAGCCCTGACCTCGGCTGAAGATTCTTCAGCACGCAACTTCACCAAGCGTGGTTGGACTGCAGCTAAAAGCTCAGAGGAGCTTTGGGCAGACGTCTACGCCGAGCAAGGTCTTCTAGCCCAAGCTCATTCGAACCCCCATGAAGCCATGAAGTTGTTCGAAGATGCGTTGCTGCGCGATCCTGAGCACCCTACCGCCACAATCGGCCTTGCAAACCTCCTTCTCGATATCTGGGACCAGACTCTGGTCATGGATTCGGCAAATGCAGATGTGGATTGTAACAGAACCCGTCAGTCACTGCTGTCCGATACCGCCAAGCTCACGTCGGCTAGGGCTGTATCAATTGATCAGCTGAAGGCGCCCGAGGCTACCAAGGTTCCAGGCCCAGTATCGGTATCAAACTCTCCGCATGAGGCTGACCCCAAGTATCTCCACCGCCTGGCAGCACGGGACCGCGCCTATGCTCTTCTTTCATCGTTGACCAAGCTTGGAAGCTCGTGGGATAACTCGGAGGCTTGGTATGCTCTTTCGCGCGCCTATGAAGCCGGGGAACAAGTAGAAAAGCTCAAGGAGGTTCTCTGGTGGTGCATTGAGCTGGAGGATCGTCGACCTATTCGGCATTGGTCGAATATCGGATCAGGACTATATGTTCTGTGAAAATCTTCCAGGTTGAAAAAAAAAATCATGGGTGTGACTTGACATCTTCATGTGTCTACTTGGATTTTCTCCTGCAGGTTTGCCCCTTCTTCATTTATCATTTCTTTTATACCTGAGATACCATGCCAATCATTGCGGAACTGGGGACTACAGCATGGGTAGGCCTGTTTCATTTGAGCCGTTTATTGGGAAATGGAAAATTAAATTCTTTTTTTTTTTTCGCGGATTTTGAATTGGAATCTCGTATAAAACAGTACCACAACTTTATGTACATCTCATAAGCCCGAAGGTGCTTGAAGAGTTAAGAAAAAACAAAAGCCGTCAAAGGTCGCAAGTTGGATTCATCCTGCTAGCTTCAAAGCCACGGGTTTACCGGGGAGCGGCAACTGGAATCCAGGCAGAATACTTAGGGCGGGTGCTGGAGCAATGTTAGCTTGACGAGCACCCAAGGTATCATTTGGGTGAGACTAACGTGGAGTAAGTCCTGAAAGCACCACGCGTCTGGGTGAGGTTGGGACGGTGCTCAGGGAGCTCCCAGGCGCGGTGTCCGGTCTGCATAAGCTTATCGGTGGTGGGAGGAGCATCAACCATGTAGGAGATCCAGGCGTGCCTTTGGTCAAGTCGTTAGCCACGGCCCAATGGTCTCAGGCATTTAGCCATTCAGATAGAAGCAAGAAGAGCTTACCAGCCGGGCTCAATCTGAGAAGCATCCCACTCGGGCCAGTTCGTCTTGTAGTCAACCCAACGGGTTCGGACTGAAAGACACTTAATTAATACACCTATTCCCCCGCGAAGTGATTGGTGTCTTGTTCCTTACGGGGCAGCTCCTCTTCCATGTTCTCGAAGTACTTGTTACCGTAGCGGTCGATGCCGATCAGGGTTCCGGCTTTGGTATCACCTGTAATCGATTCGGATTAGCAAGCCACACCCCACCGCTTGTTTTACCCAAATTGGGACGGACATACCGATGTTCTATTCGAAGAAGAGATTGAGAGTCCAATGTTAGTCTTTCAACCGGCCTATCCCTCGTATTTTGGAGCATCCGCGGGCGAGATCGTACCTGCATCTGGTGGGCATAATCCTGTAGGGGGTCAGCGTTTGCACCGGGCTAGAGCGATAGAGAAATGTGGAACAAACCTTGATACCAATGCGGCGCAGGTTGCGCAGCGTCCGCAGAATAGTCGACATATTGGCGGTGCAATTGTACGTAGAATCGCGAAGGGACCAAGCCGGTCGTGAATGGCGAAGTTGAGGCAGAAGGAGCCCGGGCCAGTTTGCAGCGTTTGCATCTGTCCCTTCCCGATTCAGAAATATTTCCAATCGACTTGCTTCGCGACCACGACAGCTCCAACTCGCCATGTTTGGTCGCATTGGGGGTCAAAGGCTTCGGGGCGCTGCCTGTCGACCAGCTGCTCGTCGCAAGGTTTGTGGCCGCAAGTTCTCCGCATCCCCTGTCTCCCAAGCTGCTACGTCTGCTCCGTCACCTCTCGGGGGTATCACGGTCGAGCTAGATCGCATTGCTCCCCGATTCGAGATCAATGCCTCGCAAGTGGATATTCTGAATTCTCCGGCCAGCTTCTATTCCACTCTGAAGGTAACCATTCGATTTCCAGACGGAAGAATTGGGCTAGGCTAACTACGAGGTGCACAGAACAAAATTCGCAGTGCTCGAAAGCGCATCTACCTCTCAACCTTATATATCGGCAAAACGGAATACGAATTGATTGATACAATCTCCCAATCCCTGCGCGATAATCCCGAGTTAAAAGTCTCAATCCTGACTGATTGTCTTCGCGGAACTCGTGAAACCCCGAACCCGTCTTCTGCTTCGCTTCTATGTTCATTGGTGGCAGAATTTGGACCTGAAAGAGTTGATATTCGCATGTTCCATACTCCTAATCTCACGGGACTGAAAAAGAAATGGATTCCCCGAAGGATCAACGAAGGCTGGGGATTGCAGCACATGAAGCTTTATGGCATTGATGACGAAATAATTCTATCTGGGTAGGTAGATTATGCAATTCATGTATCTGACATGCACTAACATAACTTCAAGAGCTAATCTCTCCGAAGACTACTTCACCAACCGTCTTGATCGATATCATTTATTCAGTTCCAAATTGCTTGCCGATTACTATGCCCGCATTCACCACGCCGTCTGCAGTTTGAGCTTCAAGGTCCTGCCAGATGCCCACAGCGAGTCAGGATATCTCTTAGATTGGCCCACCGCCAATGGAGCGCAGTCTCCACTGGACGACCCTGAAAGCTTCGTCGCCTGTGCGTCAACGGTGTTAACACCTCTCATCAAAGCCTCCAACAACAAGCCCGCCTTTCCCGAGTCACCCAGTCAGACTTTCGTCTATCCAGTCGCTCAGTTTACACCCCTCCTCAAGCCAGATTCCTCGACTGAATTCCCTGCCGTATCACACATCCTGCGGCTTTTGTCCGAATCAAGCGCATTCGCAGGTGCCCGGTGGCTTTTTACTGCCGGCTACTTCAACATCCATCCCGTCCTCTCTTCTTTGCTCATCCGCAGCACATCTGCTGCATCTGAAACCCCATCAACCACCCAAGGCACTGTATTAACCGCCTCTCCATGGGCGAACGGGTTCTACGGGTCGTCGGGTGTATCGGGAATGCTGCCAGCAGCCTATACCCACCTTTCCGCGCGATTCCTCGACCGGGTCGCCGCAGCTCAGAGTACAAACTCTATTCAACTGAAAGAATGGCGCCGTGGTACAGTTGGCACACCAGGAGGCTGGACGTACCATGCCAAGGGTCTTTGGGTGACACTACCCCGTGAAGAAAACCCAAGTCTGACATTCGTCGGGAGCAGCAACTACACGAAGAGAAGCTACAGCCTTGACATTGAAGTGGGTGCTCTGCTGGTAACGAGCGACCAGCAACTCAAACAGAAACTCGGCGAAGAGGCAAAGCGGTTACAAGAAAACGCCAAGCCAGTTTCACGCGAAGATTTAATGCGTACCGAGCGGCGCGTTGGCTGGAATGTGCGACTAGCGATGTGGATTGTCGAGAAAGTTGGCGGTGCGCTCTAGACTTCATGAAAAACTGAAGCTCTTGTATATTTCACCCGGGAATGTGGTCCCACTTGTACTAATATGCCCAATCATCTCCACATTATCACGCCATCACGAAGTCCACTCTGACTCATTTACATAATCAACTTCTGTAGTTAACTAACTACAATGGCCAAATGGATTTCAATTACAACTTGGGATCTAAATATCTACATTGCGTGTCTCTCATCAATAATAAGATAAATCCTTGCCGGTGGAAACATGCCTCCTGAGTCTAAGCTCCAATCGATCCTCCTCGCCAAACACTGGTTTGGCTTTGATCTAGACGACACACTCCATGAATTTCGAAAGGCATCCTCGCAAGCGTCCCAAGCTGTCTTTGATGCGATCCACTCGAGCCGCCCTGAGATATTCTCTGAAGATCTTCAAGCCACGTATCAAGGTATTCTGCGCAGCGCCACAGCGAATGCTTTCATCGATGGCCGAACATCAACAGACTACCGCCGCGAAAGATTTAGCCAATTATTGCAGGCATATGATGTGAATCCCGAGTCAGACCCAGGGGTAAACGGCGAGATCAGTTCTTTGCTAGACACATACAAATCAGTTCTGAAATCGAACCTAGCCACAAAGTCAGGCGTCATAGACTTGATGCAGGAGTTGCGACGACTCGGCAAGAAGATCATTATTATCACGGAGGGACCGGCAGATGCTCAAGAGTGGACGGTCAAAGAGTTAGGCCTGCAGCGTTATGTTGATATCTTGGTCACTACTAATGAAGTTGGGAGGTCTAAACTGGATGGGTTACTTGGCGTTATTCTGCAGAAATACGGTATTTGTGCGGATGATATTGTCTACTTTGGGGATAATCCTGTTCGTGACATAGAACCTGCTCAAAGAGAAGGCATCTTGGCTATACTTTATAGCGAGAAGCAGGAAAAGCGTCTGGAAGATCTTCGCTCGTTGAGGATCGATTCTTGGGAAACTCTACGGGGTATAGTCACTCTTGTGTGATGGAAGTCTGAGCCAGTGTACTGGAATTTCATGCCTGCCATCTGGAAACGCCATGTATACACTTTTCTCGTACTTCATGTTCAAGAGCTTTAAAGTATTGCCGTGAAAGGCACAAAAGTTGAAAGCAAAAAAAGTTTTTTGATCTCATCATCAGCCACGTCCTCATAAAGATGCATAAATAGGATATTGTAGATCACATAAAGAGAAAAACGCCGGTTCATGAAGAGGTGCCATGCATGGGTCATATCATACTGCAGCGCAGTGTATCCATCTAAACCTTTCCAGAGACACCACTGGATCTACTAGAGAAGCGAGCGGGCCCCAGGCCAGAACGAATCTCATCGAGCATGCGAATGCCAATAGCCTCATTGCCATGCTTACCGCGCTTGTTCTTAGCTCCCTTTCGCTTTGTCTGGGCGCTGGTGTGATCGTCCCAACCGGACAAAAAGTCATCCATGACATTATTGAAACCGCTACGGGAGAAGCTTTCATTGTTGGCGTCAACAAGACTCGGCGCTTGAGATGAGGCAGTCGACATGCCCGTCATGCCAGTTGCACCGGTCATGCCACTAATCATGGACATGTTGTCATCATACTCTTCGCCCTCGTCCACAGAGTACAGAGCCTCTATCCGGTCGAATCGGTCATCAAGTAATCTGTGGCCTTCCGTACGAGCTAAGGCAGACGAAGTCATCGAATAGGCAGAAGGATTTGTCAAGGCACCCTTACGCTTCTTCTTGCGAATAGGCGTTCCGCCAACAGTAAAGGCAGTGGAAGCAGCGGTCTGCTGCTCAGAGGGGGCGATTGTGGGAGCTGCTGGCACGGGAGCTTTGCCCGATTTCGCGTCTTTCTTGAATTTTGCGAACTCTTGCATCCAGTCTTGGTCTGTAGGTCGCATATCTGGAGCAGGTTGGTCATGCTCAGGTAATTCACCAGGAGCAACAACATCGGTCTGAGGGCCGTCTGGAACATCGTTTACTCCATCAGTATGATCTGCCCGCACCGGTGCCTTTTCGGTAGCATCGGACTCCCATCCTTCATCCTCTTCCTCATGGTCAAAGAGTGTATCTTCCCAATCACCAGCCTCCATCTCCTCCGCTTGCTTTGTCAATTCACCGAACAAGTCATCATCATCATCGTCCACGTATTCATCATCCTCCAAGGCCTCCAAAGCCTCCCGTAGACGCGGGTCCATATCAGGCTGGAACCCACTAATAGCATCCGGCACATTCTGCTGATCCTGGTACGTAGGCTTTCGTGAATATGATGTGGTGGTTGAGCGGAAATCGCCATACTCAGAGCCATACACACTTGGACCCCCGTGGGCACTCTTGGAGTCCCCATCCAGAGAGATTTGGCGGATCGCATCTTCCAGCTTCATACCCTTCTTGGCCTTTCCCTTCTCTTGCTTGGCCTCGACAAAGTGTGAGTCTCCGCCGCCGGTTCCCAGCTCACGCAAATGTTGCATGTAGTCATAGCTTGAATCATCGAAATACACGCCATAGTTTGCGGCCTCGCCTTCATTGCGGCGGATGGCATCATCGTTGAACTCGTTCTTGAGATCTGAGAGGTTACGGAAGGGCTTTTGAGAAGTCGATGATGACGAAGACGACACCGGGGCAGCGGGACCGGAAACTTGGTGCAGGACTCGGTCGTCTGCCTCTGAGTCGTGGATTAACGGGTCATGTTGGGATCGATGGAAGAGCTGGAAAGTGCTCGCATTCTTCTTATCACTGGCGATTGTCAGGACATGCTACTGTCGTAAATCCCTTGGGGGAAAAAATAAAATAAAAACTTACATCCACTGCTTTCGGGGCGGCATCCTGGGTGATCGTTTCAACAACTTTGGAATCAACCTTGGTGGATCAAAAAAAAGACGAAAAAAGTGGGATAGATAAAGTCACGTGCTCTTATCGGTGCCCGATGGAAAAGTTATACAAAAACTGCAAAACAGGACTCGGAGAGCAAACTTCTAAGTACATACTTTATATGAATCCAAGGCGTACTTTGGCCTCTACTGTATTGTATAATCTACGACTTGTGTAAGTACATGCAGAATAAGATCCAATAGTGGCAAAATGAGAGTCGGGAAAAAATCCCGTGACCCCGCCTGAGTCAGCGTTATCTTATCCGCGTCTGAATAATCCAAAAGATTTCGGGTGATTTTCAAGCGGGGTTTGTTCTTCGTTCTCTCTCATTCAGACTTCCTAATCCAAGAAAAAGCCTTTCATCATGGTGTTGGCTAAGTCCAAGAACTCCGTGGGGCTGGGTAACAGCCTCATGAATGATCGGTTTGGCAAAGGAAAAGCATCCAAGGCGAAAAAGGCCTCGCACAACAACGCCATCGCACGCCAGGGTATCAATGGCGAAACTTATATCACCAACGAAGCCAAGGAGGCATCCTGGGTGAAGATGCGGTCAATCACCGAGCAAGCCGCTCTCGACGAGTTCCTGAGTACTGCTGAACTGGCCGGCACAGACTTTACCGCAGAGAAAATCAATAACGTCAAGATTATCCACTCCGATCAGAAGAACCCCTACCTCCTCTCTGCATCCGAGGAGAAGAACGCCCACAAGAAGCACCAGAAGAACCGGGGCCGCTTGACCGTCCCTAGACGACCGAAATGGGATTCTACTACGACGCCACAACAGCTGGAGATGATGGAACGTCAGAGTCTGCTAGACTGGCGTTGGGGGCTTGCGGAACTCCAGGAAAACAACGATCTGCTGATGACCCCCTTTGAGCGTAACTTGGAAGTTTGGCGCCAGCTGTGGCGTGTCATCGAGCGCTCTGATTTGGTTGTGCAGATTGTCGATGCACGAAATCCTCTTCAATTCCGTTCAGAAGATTTGGAAAACTACGTCAAGGAGATTGATCCCAAGAAGAAGAACTTACTATTGGTCAACAAGGCCGATATGTTGACTCTCAAACAGCGAGAGGCTTGGGCTGATTATTTCGAGACGCACAACATCAATTTCCGTTTCTTCTCGGCTCATCTTGCTAAGGAAAAGCTCGAGGCTGAGCTCCTGAGGGAGTCCACTTCTGATAGTGAAGATGAACAGCTGGCTGAAGCGGCCGAAAAGTTGGATGTCAGCGCTGACGAAGAACACAGCGCCGACGTGAAGGAGACATCTGATGTAAATGAAGCTGAGGGTGATGTCGATGCTATTGCAAAATACGCAGACCCAGAAGCATCAATCGGTCCACACATTTTGGATGTGGATGAGCTAGAAGAATTATTCTTGGCGAACTCACCAGAGACGCTTCCTCAAGAAGATGGCTCCGAACGCAAGCAAAAGCAAAAGACTACCATTGGTCTCGTTGGATACCCCAACGTCGGTAAATCTAGCACGATCAACGCTCTCCTCGGTGCCAAGAAAGTGTCTGTCTCTGCCACCCCCGGTAAGACAAAGCACTTCCAGACACTTTATCTGTCTCCAGAAATTATGCTTTGCGATTGTCCTGGTTTGGTGTTCCCCAATTTCGCTACAACCAAGGCTGACTTGGTCGTCAACGGTGTTCTGCCGATCGACCAACAGCGTGAGTTCACAGGGCCCGCTGGCCTGGTCGCCCAACGTATCCCTAAGCATTTCTTGGAGAACGTGTACGGTGTGAAAATCAACACCCGCCCCATCGAAGAGGGCGGTACTGGCATACCGACTGCCAGTGAGGTCCTACGTGCCTATGCGCGAGCTCGCGGGTTTTCTACCCAAGGTCTAGGACAGCCCGACGAGTCCCGCGCGGCCCGATATGTCCTCAAAGACTATGTGAACGGAAAGCTTCTCTTCTGTCATCCTCCTCCTACAGCTGAGGGCGAGCCAGCTATCGATCCACACCAGTTCAACGAGGATCTCTATGATCTCGCCCATTTGCCCGCCAGACGTCAAGCAGCGCTTGCGAAGACCATTGTAGACGTCGATGACCTTGACTCCGACATCGCCTCCTTCGTCTCATCCTCCAAGGATCTACAGCCTGAAGCTCCCGGCCAACGGTCCCGCAACATTGACAGCGGCTTCTTCGGAACTGCAACTGGGCCCTCAGCTGGCCGTATGACTCTACCTTTCCAGAGTCAATACACGTCGCAAGGTCAACAGATTCGGAAGAACCCCACAGGCCGCAAAGAGCGTATGATGATTGCCATCGAGCGAGGCATTGATGTTTCCGACGTTAGGGGCGGCAGTTCCAAGAAGCACTTCAAAGGCAACAAGAAACAAGCTAAGAAGAAGCGTAACAACGGCGATGCCGATGACGACTACTAAAAGTGATTTTCTTTTCTCTCTCATATTTCCCTTGCATATGGCCGATGGATCTCTTATGATTTGATTCCCCTTTTGACGCGACCAGTTCTTACTGTCATTTATGTACGTATGGTTTCTGCAGGAGGATTAGAGGCGGTTGACTGTCTCATACGGGGTGTGCATGTTGTCGACTTTTGAATTTCAGACATTTGCAGGCGTTCGGCATGTCATCGAAATGAGTTAATTTACTCAAACTGTTATTACTCCACCCTCGAAGTTCTATGGTAGCCCCTGCGAGGGAACGAGAAACCCGGAAACCCAAGACAGACCGAAAGACGATATTACAAGAAGGCAGTGCCATACAACCGCGAGGTAACGGATGCACTCTGCACAGACGCAGATAGAACAACAATCGAGAAATTCATCACCAATGAGATTACTAGATAGCGCGAAGAGCTTAGCCATAGACGCCCTTCCCAAGTATACAGATATGGTATTCACCGATGGACGAAACCAACTGCACACGGACTTTTGCTCCCTACTGTATGGAGGGACTGGGCGCAATCCTGAGTTTGAATTGAAAAGGCCTTGTGGTGCATAGGGCTTCACCTACCCCATCAAATACTGATGTATATTCATGGTTACATATCCTACACCACCGATCCTTATTGAATCATACTGAAATTCAAAATACTGGATAATCAGGTTTATATACAGAGTTATCTTGCTTAATATCTCGGTATAATAACCCTGGTTCGCATATAATTTATCCATCCTTCTTCCCATATATATTAATCTTCGTCTGGTCTAACACATCCCATACAGCATCTAAAAGCCGGTGAAGGAATATACATAGCAAGCTAAACCAATCTTGGATTTTTTTTCTATGGCGCTAAAGCATCGACCTGCAGGGATCGTGCACACCGCTTGCAGGTACATTTTGCATTGAATGCTAGGGCAGCCATATCAAATAGCTTCTTTGTTATAGAAAGCTACAACGTCGAGCTCCATAACCTCAAATATAAAGACTGTTCCACTGGGCCAATATACCGAGTACACCCCTTATCTATAGAATCCGTGTACAAAAAAAAACCTAGAAGCCCCAGCGGTGAAAAGGGCGGTGACCCCAGCTTGTTCAACGGTTGAGATGCCACGCTCCACTTTCCCACCGACTTATTGTTTGAACTATTCTCTTCCCAGTCATCTCAAGCTAACTCTTTGCCCAAAACCCTCCGTCTTTTACAATTCACTGTACCGAAAATCCCACCCGCCTTTTGCCTTACCCGGCCAACCCCTTGAACCCGGCCCCCGCGATCGAGATCGCGACTGGTGTCGCAAGCCCCGACGATGGGCACGTCATAACCACATCCACTCAGGTGTAAGCAACAAAGTCGCACATTTCGCAAAGGCTGGAACAGCCCGCAGAGCAGGCCATGGCAGGCTCAAGGACCTTTCGGTCCAGGAGACAGCTTGCTGCTGCTATCTTTGCACTCGCTGGCTGCGTGGCCGGGCAGCAGACTGCACCAGAATCACTGGCTCAGCCTGCTCGTGGGACAGTGCCAGAGACATGTCCAGCGAAAAGTATCTGGGTGATAGAAGCGGAAATATTCCAGTATCCTGTATGTCTGGATATTAGGCTACATCCGAGCGCAGGCTTTCGGCCTGTAGGCGCCCCAGCTGGCCCTGGCGGGTGGAGTAGCTCGTTTGGAGGAGATTCGGCGGCCTCTTCGGTGGCGGCCGTGGACGCGGCGACAAAGAAAGCCTCGGAGGAAGAGCAGGAGCAGGATACGGACTCACTGCTGGATAGCGAGAGTTTTCTCTCTTTCGAGGATTGGAAGAAGCAGAATTTGGCTAAGGTTGGCCAATCTGCGGAGAATGTCGGAGGCAGCAGACGCGCGGCTGCAGCTGGGAAGGAGGGCCGGCAGCAGCCTGGGATCCAGAATGCATTGGATTCGCTGGGTGATGACGCGGAAATTGAACTGGATTTCGGGGGGTTTGGTGGAGAGACTCCTGAGGCTAGTCCTGCGGCCTGGGCATCGCCGATCTCCGCGCAGTATTCGGGTAGCTTGGATGAAGATGTGAATGCGGGCGGTGATGTCCAGGTTGGCCGCGCGCAGTCTGATGTTTCGCGGCGCAAGGATGCGGGAACTACGTGCAAAGAACGATTTAATTACGCATCCTTTGATTGCGCGGCTACTGTCCTCAAGACAAATCCTGAGTGTACCGGCTCGTCTGCCGTCTTGGTGGAGCATAAGGATAGCTATATGCTGAACGAGTGTCGAGCAGACAACAAGTTCTTGATTCTAGAGCTCTGTGATGACATACTTGTTGACACCGTGGTTCTGGCGAATTATGAGTTCTTCAGCTCCATCTTCCATACATTTCGGGTCAGTGTCTCGGATAGGTACCCAGCGAAACCGGACCAGTGGAAAGAGCTGGGCGTCTACCAGGCTCGAAATACCCGCGAGGTTCAAGCATTTGCTGTGGAAAACTCCCTTATCTGGGCGCGTTATCTTCGCATCGAGTTCCTGACACATTACGGCACTGAATTCTACTGCCCGCTCAGTCTCATTCGTGTTCACGGTACAACAATGTTGGAGGAATACAAGCACGACGAAAGCGCTAGCCAGGCCGACAGTGAAATCGAAGAGCCCGTTGCGGCCCCGGAGGTCCCTCAAATTTCCGAGTCGGTAGGCGAGCCAGCGGAGACTTTGGCTGAAGAAAGCACCGACCTGGGGGCTCCTGCTGTATGTGCGAAGCCACTCAGCCAAATTGAAGTCTTTTTCCACAAAACAGAGTCCGAGTTCCTTGATATATGTGATCCTCAAGACCAACCGGCAATAGAAACTAAAACAGAACACCCAGAGGCTGTGGCTCAATCAAATCCCGAGATCCAAGCCAACGCAACCAGTATAACTGGTGACCAGATCCCAGCAACACAACCAGGCTCGATTTCACAATCCAAACTTACGGATGAAGTCCGCAGACAAGGGGATTCTTCTAAGCCGCTAGTCGCAGCACCTGATACATCAGAAGCGGCAACAGAGCCAAATCATCAAAACTCTTCTGTCGAAAGCACAGGAAAGTCAACCACCAAACCGAAAGAAGAGCAGCCAAGTGCGCCCCCAGAGACGATCAGAGCTACATCTACCCAGCCGCCATCTTCGAACCCTACTACACAGGAGTCGTTCTTCAAATCAGTGCATAAGCGACTGCAAATGCTGGAGTCGAACTCCACGCTTTCCCTTCTCTATATCGAGGAACAATCTCGAATCCTGCGAGATGCGTTCAACAAGGTTGAGAAGCGCCAGCTGGCCAAGACCTCGACATTCCTGGAGAATCTCAATGTGACTGTTCTCAATGAGCTGAAAGAGTTCCGAGAGCAGTATGATCACGTCTGGAAGTCAGTCGCCTTTGAATTCGAACATCGGATGCGATATCACGAAGAAGTCCAGTCGCTCAGTGCTCAGCTAGGTATTCTGGCCGATGAGATTGTCTTCCAAAAACGGGTGACTGTCATCCAAAGTATCATGGTCTTGTGTTGTTTTGCGTTCGTGCTCTTCTCAAGGGGTTCTGTCAGCAATTACATGGAGTTCCCGCGTGTCCAGAGAATGGTTGCCCGCTCTTATAGTCTACGCCCTGGATCACCTATCTACAGTCCTACTTCTCCGTCTGGGAGCCCTGGGTCCACGCGACCTACATCTTCTCGTCGCGAGGATATGGGGCACAGGCGAAACCTGTCGGATAGTTCGTCGCCAGATGAAGCAGCCAGTCCTGGACCAGCATATGTCCCACCAACACCTACCTCTGAAGTCTCTAGAGAGTTAGGCGACCTGAAGGTCGACGTACCACGGTCGCCCGATTCAATTTCTGAACCTACCCCCGGCACGCCACACCTGCGCTCGCACAGCACACCTCCTGTTCTGACCGGTCACATATCTGACTTGGATAGACAGGAGGAGGCTGAGACATATTCGCCCGACTCGGACGTTTCAATATCAATCCGGTCAGATGAGTCAACGCGTCTTTCATGAGACCCACCTGGACTCGATCCTTGAGAATCCCCCAAGTCTCCAAAACCATGGAATCTATGGGCTGGTTCCCTTCCTACTTGGTTTCCCTCCCCCTTCAATTTTGCATCGGTACCTGTACCATAGCGTTCGTCTTTACTGCGTCTGTATCGTTTGGTGCTATTTTTCATCTTATTTTCTTATATACTTCGGCTTCATTTGGCGTTTGGTTGCATGGGACTTGTACCTCCATCAAGTGTATGGCACCCGACGACGATCTCCGTGACAAGGACTGTACGATGCATGCTCGGTTAATTAATACCCTTGAATAATACAGACTCAATTTCCACAATCAAGTTTAGTATACCTTGTCCGCAGTAGTCCATCAATAAACAGTAGCAAGAATGGCCCCACACCCCGTCATAGTCACCGTCGTTGAAGGGCGTTGCCTGGCCAACAATCAAACAGCATTTTCTTCGCCCACCTGCACCGACAACACGTTCTTCTCTCTTATCATCGATCTGAATTTCTCCAGACTCCCTCTGATCTCTACTCTTTCATCCGAACTATCTGATTCCACCGCAATCTCTCCCATCCTCCTCTACCCCTTCCACAGCACACAGTATGGACGCCACACAAGTGCAGCCTCTGGCCGACCGCTCCACCAACACACACCTCGCCAATGCGAACGTCGACAAGTCAGACCTCAAGGCTGCCGACCTCTCCTCCATGGAGAACCACCGCCAGATGCTTCAAGGCAAGCTCGAGAGCGAAGAGAAGTGAGTACCCACCGATCTGTTCTCGATGTGGGAGCGAAGTCAGCGACCCAATGCTAATATTATCGCCTGCAGACAGCCCACTTCCTACGTTTCTCCGTCGGACGATATCATGAGCCCCTGCACCAAGAAGCTGAGTGACATCAAGGGCAAGCGCTTCAAGAAGTATGTTCTTTACCCGTGACCGCGGCTTACAAATCTGGTCTGACACGGGCTATTCTCTACTTTAGTGCCGGCAAGCCCCAGTCACTCTTCGCAAAGCTAGGCAAGAAGAGCTATGAGCAGTCATCAGCCGAACAGGCTCAAACCACAGAATAGATCGGATTGCCCAGTGTGCTATTCTGTGGCCTTGCATGTCTGGCCCCCTTTGTTTTGAACGGCCGTGCACGGTTGTTTGGGCTGTTGGGCCGAGCCCTCGGTTCCTGCGATCCCTTGCCCTTGGTTACCCTGGTTTCTGGTCTGCGCTGGTCGTGTTTCAGAGATCCTTTCTAAGGGCGCTGGGCTAGGTCTTTGCGCAGGTTGATGCCTTTATTATTTTTTTTTTCCTTTTGTGATGACCCGCGATGCCTGTGTCTTGTGTGTAATATCCTTGTCTTTTTTTTTGGTCTGCTTGGGTTAGAGGTGCTGGGTTGGTTCTGTTTGGTAATTGCTCTTGATAGGGATCTGAAATAAAGCAATTGCATAGTTGTCAATACTGCAACTGTCATCTCAACTTGAATGGCTACTGGAACCTTGGAGCTATCCTACTGCATTTATACGACTTCGCGAAGTAAGTTTCCTTCAGCGCTTTGCAGATTGCCGTGAAGTCTGCTCCTAGTGTCTTTCTCCTCCGAGGGACTAGCTTTCTGCAGACACAGTCTCTTATAGAGCATTAGGAGATTGCTGCAATGATCTGATGTTCTCGAACTCGAAGGTCCTCTATAGATCGGTAATTCTGGCCGAGGTACTGGCCCGGCTATTCACCCACGAAGGACCCTCCATGTGCGGAACCAAAAATTCCAGTACGTAGCTTACCAGCAAATCTACGGCTACATATGTATAGAAAGTCGTTTCTCCATTGGTCGAACAGCCCACAAATTCCCAATGGCCTGACCCAGATACCCCCCCCCGTGGTGCCATAGACCGCTGGGCCGAGGCAAAACCGACTACGCTCGGCTTTCCCCGCTACTCCGCAGGTTCAGCCCCCCCCAACTTATAATTTACGGTCCCCCGTTCTCTTGTCCTTCCCCAGCCTGCCCAACATGTCTGCTTCATCTCGTATCCCTGTTATTGCTCAGCCCTTTGTCAGCGATCGAGCTAAGAAGACCCTCGACTTAGTACGTACTCGCCCCGCCTTTCAATGGACTTGCCCGTGGGATAAGCTATTGCTTGCTTACGCAGCCTGCATGAGGTCGCGTAAACCTGTCACCGTTGCTTGCTAACATTGTCTTTGTCCTAGATCGAGGAGTTCGTCGAGAAGGAATGTATCCCTGCTGAGGGCGTTTTCTCCGCTCAACTTGGTGAGGGTGAGAAGCGATGGAAGACCAACCCACCGGTCGTGGAGAGTCTGAAGGAGAAGGCCAAGAAGCTAGGGCTATGGAACTTGTTCCTGGCCAAGGCCCATTACAGTCAAGGTGCTGGCTTTACAAACCTAGAGTACGGCCTGATGGCCGAGATCCTTGGGAAGAGCAAGCTTGGCCCAGAGGTATGATTCAAGCCCTCCTTATACGACAGTCTAGATCGGAAGCTCTAACATCCTCTGTCTTCTATAGGCAACCAACACTGCGGCCCCCGATACCGGTAACATGGAAGTCCTGGCCAAGTATGGCAATGATGCCCAGCAGCGCGAATGGCTCACCCCTCTGCTTGAGGGCAAGATCCGGTCTGCATTCCTAATGACCGAGCCCGATATTGCCTCCAGCGATGCTACGAATATCGCGCTGAGCATTCGCCGTGAAGGCAACGAATATGTCCTGAACGGATCCGTATGTAACCACCTTCCTCCATTCCACAACTCTCCACCGAAAGCTAACAAATCCCAGAAATGGTGGGCCTCCGGCGCTGGCGATCCCCGCTGCAGCATCTACATCGTCATGGGCAAGACCGACCCCACAAACAGTGACCCCTACAAGCAGCAGTCCGTGGTGCTCGTCCCCGCCGGCCTCCCTGGCATCACCGTGCACCGCATGATGCATGTCTACGGGTACGACGACGCCCCGCACGGCCACGGCCACATCAGCTTCAAGAACGTGCGGGTCCCGGTCGCAAACATCGTGCTCGGCGAAGGCCGCGGCTTTGAGATCATCCAGGGCCGACTCGGCCCCGGCCGCATCCACCACTGCATGCGCAGCATCGGCGCCGCCGAGAAGGCTCTGGAGTGGCTGATCGCGCGCATCAACGACGAGAACAAGAAGACCTTCGGCCAGCCGCTCGCCTCGCACGGCGTGATCCTCGAGTGGATCGCAAAGAGCCGCATCGAGGTCGATGCCGCGCGCTTGGTGGTCCTGAACGCTGCGATCAAGATCGACCAGGGCGATGCCCGCGCTGCGCTGCGCGAGATCGCGGAGGCGAAGGTGCTCGTTCCGCAGACGGTGCTGACCATTATTGACCGTGCGGTGCAGGCCTATGGGGCTGCGGGTGTTTGCCAGGATACGCCACTGGCGTATTTGTGGGCGGGCATCCGGACGTTGCGCATTGCGGATGGGCCGGACGAGGTGCATCTGCAGCAGCTGGGACGTAGGGAGAATAAGTCACGTAAGGATGCTGTGGCTGCGAAGCTGAAGTTCCAGATTGAGGAGACGGATCGCTTGCTTACTGCCGCGGGTTTCAAGGCTAAGGCCCATTTGTAAAAGGGGGAGGAAAAAAACAAAGTAGTTATGACTAGGGTCATATATTGATCTAGGTGGAATCACTTCAGAATGAAACCACGACTCGAATATGATGCTTCAAATGAGGCTATGATCTACCAGTAGAGTATAGGAGATTGTAGACTTAAAAAGCTGGGGACCGCTCTGTTCCCGACGGACGAGAGTACCTTAATACACCACCCGCGCAAAAGATCGGAAGAGGACTGGGCTTATTTTAAAGAGTGTATTAATGCTATATAGGATATGTTAGACTAGATAAAGATTAATATATTCATATTAAGTACAGGAAGAAGGATAGATAGATTCCATACAAACTAAGATTATTATACAAAATATTAAACAAGATAACTCTGTATATAAACCTGATTATTCAGTATTTTGAATTTTAGTATGATCTAATAAGGATCGGTGGTGTAGGATATGCGACCATGAATATACATCAGTATTTGATGGGGTGGGTGAAGCGCTATGCACACAGACTTTTGCCTCCTATTTGTACACACTAGACCTCAAACGCGAATGGAAAAAGTCAAGGGACATGAGGGGTTACTCAGATTGGATACTACTTTAATATTTCTCGAAAAAGGATATTTACCACGGAAAGTGATCGATTTTCGCTTCAAAGGATCCAGATAGCTAGTTACAGTACATCATCGGGTCCAATGGAGGAAACGGCCATGTTTATTCAACCAGTAGCAGTGGAAGCAAGAACGTAGTTGCTCCCAGGCCATCATCCAATCCACCGTCAACCTGCCTTTTCAACTTCAGTAGCTTTTGTCCATAATGCATAGAAAAAAGAAATAAAAATAAAAGGAAATCCTCCCTCGACATGTGGAAATCATACCCCCACCTTCTAATCATTTTGGTGCATGATGTCCCTGCTGACACTCTGCTGCCCATGGCCAGATATTGTACAGAAGGTAAGAGAAAGGAACAGAAAAGTAAGAATGGCCACGGGACAGTGTTGCAATATCAGGGGAAGAGATATCCACAACAGGTTGAAGGTAGCACGGGACACCAGCAAACAAGCCAAAAGAAGAAGACAAGCAGAAAAGCAAGAAGCAGGATCATTAATTTATCGTTGGTAAGGTTTTTTTTGAACTTTTTCCCAACAGAAAGAGATATTGCACTGTGGACGAAAAGGGCGCCGATTATAAAAGGACAAGCTGGGAAGTGGTGAATGAATGACCACAACATATGCTATAGGTGAAGATCATGCCACCCACCCACGAGGTCGAGGTCATCGTCGATCGTGGTATCGTACGAGGGCTTGGCTGGAGACAGCTTGGGAACCTCCTCATCATGGCGGCGCCAGTCTTTCTCGAGGAACAGGCGGCGACGGCGATCGGACTGGGGGGGACTCGCGCTGCGGCTGCTTGGAGCGATATCCATGGTCAAAGCCGGAAGACCCAAGTCCCCAATCACGTCGCCAATTGTTGGCAGTGCGCTGGGGACTGAAGAGATCACGGGTCTTGAACTTGCGGCGCTTATCCCCAAGATCGGCCCATTTATCGATATTGGACTTCTTCGGCGAAAGCTGGTGGATCGGACGAGGGGTGCTGCTGGAAGTACCGGTATCCCCGGTATCGCTGTCTACTTCCAGAGAGTGAACTTTGGCGGTGTGGGGGGCGGTGGCATGAGTGACCGGAGTAATGGAGCGGTCGGTGGGAGAAGCGGAGGCCTGCTCGCGCAATCCCAATGGGGTAACGTCCTGGCTCTCTTGGCTCCAGCTACGAGAGTTCTGCTCACGGCGTTGCTGGAAGGCAAGGTCCTCGTTCTCAGATTCCTCCTCATCCCAAAGATCACTCCAGCTCTTGGAAATTTGATCAGTCGTATTCTTGCCAAAGACCATCGACAAAGATGGAAGAGGCTTGTGGGCGTGACTTGGAAGGGATCCAGTGATGGGGACAGGGTCGGATCGAGGAAGCATCGGACGCTGGCGGGGAAGGTGAAGCGATTTCAGAGATTCGCTCATGGCTGAGTCCACCAGAGATGCCATCGAGGGAGCATTCTGGGTCGAAAACCACGAGGTTGCACCGGCTTCGGAGGCAGGGAATAGATCCTCCGTATAGCTCTCATTGTCGGGGATGATAGAAAGCTGTCGCATGGCCAAGGGCGGGCTGGTCTGAAGAGCCTTGGCCCATGGGAAGGAGTCGCTGTTGTTGACGTGAGGGCTCTGGATGGACGGAGTACGCAGAGGCTCACGGTTGGCAGTGGCGGTAACAACCTCGTTATCCTCGACACAGAAATCATCCAGGGTCTCATCATCAGTGGTAAACGAAATAGCCCGCATGATAGAATCGCGAACACAGGCAAGAGAACGCTTCTTGGGATCGAAAGCCAAAGCATGAGTCAGAATTTCGAAAGTGTCTTGAGACATGTTGGGGAATATATCGAACAGCGACTGGCGGTCACGAACGAAGTCGCTGAACAGCTTATCGGATTCGGTGGGCGATACGAATGGGTTACGGGCAAACAAGATGTTCAACAGACAGATACCCACAGACCAAATATCGGCCTTTGCAGGCGAATAGCCTGTGGTGCCTGGTTCATACTGTTCAGGGGCCATGTACCGATCACTCCCAACACAGGCCTCATAGCACCAGGACTCACGCGTCGCGAGGCCAAAATCACCCAGTTTCATAGAGCCATCTTGAGTGAGGAAGATGTTCTCTGGCTTGATATCGCGGTGATAAAGGCCCTTTGAGTGGATAAAGTCCAACGCGTCAACTAACTGAAGCATAAACTCGCGTACGTGTTCAGTTTCCAGAGGCCCTCTGTTAACACGAATGGCTTCATAGAGGTCACCATTGGCACAGAACTCCAGAACCAAGAACATATGCGCATCAGTCTCAAAGTGATGAATCAAATTAACCAGGTTGGGATGTCGACCGAAACGCTTGTGACACTCAAGCTCTTCAAACCTGCCGTCACATGTAGGGGCGTTTGACGCGTCAGGCGAGATCTTAGTTAAGCACTTGATCGCGACGTCTTCGTTCGTTTCAAGATCTTTCGCGAGGAACACCTGTCCGAAAGAACCTTGATTGAGGGGTCGAATAGTTTCGAAACGGCCATCTAGGATCCGACCCTCAACGAATTCACCTCGTAGACACTCCATGGTTGACAGGGTGATTTTGCTGTGAACGGGATGGTCTCAAAAAGTTTGATGCTGGGAAAGGATGCAACGACGCGTCGATATAAGGAGGACGTAGATAAATAGCTTCGAATCACACTGAAGCCTTGAGCTGGATCTCCCCAAAGAACAAAAAAAGAGAGAAAAAAATTCACGCCACTAAAAACAGCAACCAGGCTAGTGGAAGGATTAAAGTGCAAGAAGTGAAGAATGGCGAAGCCTAATCGTCCAAGGTTGATAGGCAAAAAAAAGACCCCGACAATGAGGCAGAGATATCCGAGGAATGAAGAAAGAGGTCGTAAAAATATATCAAGACGACAAGGTGATTGACAAGGGAAAAATGGAAATGGTAGTCGGCGCAACGGCGCAGCTGATGGACCCAGAGAAGGGGTATGGACGCTCAAGGAAAAATGGTAAAGACCGTTATGTGCTCATTTGTATATCGTTTTCGTTGTAATTGGGAGGCAGGGTGCCTTGGGAAGGAATGTGAAGATGTTCAAGTATGAAAGTCGTCGGTCGGGACGGATGACGAATTCCAAGTTGAGTCGAAAGTTGAGGTGAGATAGCGCTGCGTAATATCGTGATATAAATTGGAAAGGCGACAAGGAAAGGGTAGAATAAACAAGAAGCCCGTGAACACCAGGTTCAAGAGTTGAAGGCCGTGACTCAGTATAGAAGTTGCGATTAATGAGTCATATCAGGTTCAATTGGCAGGAAGTGATTTCGAAGCTGGATTTTCGACTCGCAAGGAGAGCAAGCCGAGCTTGAAAGAGGTTCTCGTGGATGAGAGCCCCGGACCAAAGGGCAGAAGTTTGGAGACAAATGGGATCCTGGATGAACACCTTCAAATCCAAGAATAGGAAGCGTCAGTGTGCTCGAGACCAGGTCCCCAAAATTCCAAACTCCAGATCACAAGGTGTCACCAGGCAAATGAAAAAGAAGGTATCCGAAGGCTCGTCTTGGCTATTCAGAGATGAATACCAAGACGGGACGGATATGAGTCAGGAGCTGTAGTAGCCGAGGCACCCAGATATTCTCTGAGAGGCGGGACGGAAACAACAGTGTGGGATTGCTAGGGCTTGTCGGTGCAAGAGGAACAAGGGGAAACCGACGGTAGCAAGTAGTAACGTCGACGGCAACTGGGAATCGATAGGAAGCGGATGTCGCGGCGTACTAATTGGCAGCGAAGAGAAGTAGAGAGGTGGGAAGAAGAGGGAGAGGCGAGGCGAGCGAAGAGAGATGAGGAGGTCGGAAGGTGATGAAAGAGTAACGCGAAAGAGAAGGGGAAGGAACGATGGAAGGGAGATATGGATGAGTTGTAGGAGTTGGGGCAGGGGGGGAGGTACAGGAGTCACAGAGATGATCGTTGTTAGTCACGCAACTGCTGCCCGTTACAGTACAAGCTGTACTGACCCATGTGGGGATCCCTGGTAAATTGAGGTCGGCGAGCCAATGCCCGTCGATCACCACGGTACAGTCTGGTACAGGCTTGGTTACGAGGACGGTACTAAAACATGTCACGAAACGTTCCCTCGTGCGATCAGCGGGTGTCGTTCTCCACGGCTGCCGGCGTGGAAGGCAACGACTTCCGTTCCCGTGCAAGTTCCATACCGAAACATGTAATGACGTGACGACACCCAATCTTATCGAGTGTGATAAACCGCTGATAAAGTACGGTACTGCAGCGACCACGAGTACAGTAATCTTCCTGAATCTTCCAGACACTCCATCCATTCCATTGCCCTTGAGTCAAGGAATCCGAGGACCAAACTGACACCCGGCTAAAACTACCACGATCTTTGCAACATCTTCGATCTATACTCAAATTCCACCATCGCAATGCTATCATCTAGTGTTAATGCTATACCACTAGTCCGTGCTGTATACTACGGCGTTCTCCTGTAGATCTGCAGAAGCCCGAGCGTACATACGGGACCCAATTTGGCTCAACTAGCTCCCAGGGTTCTACTTTCGTAAACACAAAAAAGGGAGGGGGGAAAGCAGCCATCTCCAAGTCTGGGACCTGCAGTCCAGAATGGTCTCTCAGACCAAGTCAAAACGCAACCCAGTCAGAAGAATGGGGGACTTAGCTCACAGGGACCAAGGCTGTGTTTCGACTCGCGGCCGAGGGCGGATCAAGGTGGCGCGCTAGACTCCATCCGTCGCAATGTGCAGCGGAGTCTGGGGCAACCGCGAATCACAGCAGCTGCATGCTGCACTATTTCCAGCTTGCATGACGCCATGGATTGCGATGGGGATTGGGATGGCGTGATGGAACCGTCATTGGGCGAGCCAATGTTGGTCGTTAGTGCCTGCTGGTTTACTACTGCAGGCCCGGAGTCTCTTTGCCGGACCATGCATCATACATGGCTCAGGGAGCGGGTCGAGAGGTCGAGAGGCCCAGCGAGGGCCCCTTCGCCAGGTACCTGATGTACCTCACTGCCTAACAATGTACGCAAAGCTACCCCAGGGCCCGTACTGGGTACCTTATGCAATGTCAATTATACTTCTTCCGCGATACGTCCCAGGGGCCCGTTGCTTCCGAGGCTAGGTTTCTGGCCCCCCTATGATATCCTCTACTCGAGTCTAGTCCCCCTCTTCCATGCAGCTCTCTACGCGCCCGACCTTTGGGCCTTGGGACACCTCGACGTGTAAACTCGACGATCTGCGTGCTCTCCCACGCCCCAGCCCCACGTCCACGTCCACGTCGACGTGCACGTTTGAAACGCATTTTGGCGCGCGGCATTTACGGGACACTTAGTGTTCCAAATTGGGAGGGGGGGATGACTTGGAAAGATCTTTTGCGGGGGGAAGGGTCAGGGGGGTCATGCTGATCCTCGATCCGGTGGAGCGCCCTTGCGCCCAAAAGTAACACCTAATCAGGGGTGGAGTTTGGACCGGCTCACTCAGACTAGGATCACAAGTTATTCCAGGGCAAATTTCTAAAAGAAAAAGACTAGGGCAATGCAAAAGGGTCTTAGACACTTCACCCACGCAGGCGGGTTTCTGTCCCGAATCCAGCGGTGAGGGTGGCTGAGACTGACCGCCTCCTGCAAAGGACAAACCTTGCAGCGGCCAGTGGTGACATTGTTTATGACGTGGTTTCACATCACGCGATGGATTTCTTCATGGTGTTGTGATGTTGCAATTCGAAATTCTTTTGTTGGTTGACGGTCTGGGACTTTCTTATTGTATACAATACCGTAGATGAAGGTATACGCTATATGTTGGCAGGGAGAAACAGATGCATGGCTTCGTATCTCCCCTCCAACTCATGGGTGACCGTTGACTCTCTCTCCTTCGCTACACGTGTTGGAACTCGTCATGTTCAGACCAGCATCCAATGTGCGGCCTGCAGGAGGACCAGCGAAGACCTGGACACACCTGATCCCTATGCGCCGAGAAATGCTGGAGCTCGCGACTGGCAGTGATACACTCCCGTCCTCCCAGTCCCAAGGTTTCTTAAATTCTCTTAACCCATATTTCTTGTGTTGATCACTCGAGATAGTAAACATGGTACGAAACTCGGACCTCTTTGGTCCATGCTAGCCTTATCGGTTAGGGTTCAACCTTCCTGTTATCTACGGTACTCCAAGAACTCTCAGTCTACAGTGTACCAAGGTTGGAGTAACGACTCCGATAAGCCGCTATTGCCAGATAGGCCGAAGATAGGGGGCGTGGCCCTGATCGCCCTTCCTCATTTTCCCTATATTCCGTTTCTCATTTTCGTGCCTCTTACCCCGCACGGATCGTCATTCCGACCTCATCATCGGTCGAGGTTGACAGTCGATCGAGGGGGGAAGAGGGTGCGCGTACGTACGTATAACGGAAGTCTGTTTAGCCCCCGAAGCGCCCATCCGCATCAGATTGTTTGGGGGCCATGCTGATTGGCATAAGAACGTAGCTTGACATAGGATGACCGCACTAGTCAGATCGTTAATGCTGGCTAAGATAAAAGGTGATATCACCTTTATCAGCATCAAATTCTCCGCGCCCCCTGTCATGTCTCGATACAAGGGAAGGTGGGCCATTGGTCAATCTCCTCCGTAACCAGTCCTAGATGGACCAACTACATAGACAATGACTATCGGAGAACATACATCAGCATCATAGCAGATCCGGCTGGACCCGCCGACTGGGATAGACTTCCCCGGATTCTGGTCCGAACGACAAATGGGGACCAACTGCGCGGCTTGCAGCCTGGGCAACTCATGGAACTCGGTGCAAGATTTGGGATTTGGCATATTTCTAACTTTCATGAAAGAAAGCGGCTTGGCACTATTGGATGCCCTCCCACCCAATTAGCATCTCGCTTTGGCTGGCAATGACCCTACCAGGGCTGAATGCGTGCCCCCATTCTTGCGTTGCCGGGGTCTGACTTCTGTTGGCGCCAATCTATTGCCTAGTTGAACATCGTCGGTAAATGTTGTCCCTCGATACTCCGTCTTCCAAGCACGTCAAGACGTCCTCCATAGCCTTCTCCAAAGAAGCCCCCCAACCCCCCCTGGGAGAGGTCAAATTGGCCCCGCCTATCGTGCATGTTGCAGAATGTTGGGAATCAGGCTGAGACAAATCAGCGGCCCTGACCTTCATTCTCCCATCGACGGTGTGAAAAAATAGAAGTGAGACAGCAAGGGAAAGAAAAAAAAAATGATGATCGAGGAACTGCAGGTGAGGGCAGGGAGCGCCCTGGCGGGGTCCTCCGAAGTTTGCTTGCATGTTTCTTTGTGCTGCAGTGGGCGATCCGCAGGGTACAGCGTCAAATGCAAGTCGGTTGTACGCTGTATGCCATGAGCCCAGCTTCTCGTAGGGCCAGTATTCTCCGCCGTAACACGGCCCTACGGAAATGCAGCCTGGATGGGAATCTGCATCAGAAGTGCAGGGGCCGTTGCCTGAGGCATAGTAAATCTGATAGGTCCCGTCGAGGTGGGTGCAGCTTGAAGGTGCCCCAGTTACAGCGCAGACACCAGATACTCATAGTGTAAGTTCCGCTATGTCTTTCTTTATTGAGGTGCCAATATATAACTTGAAGCTCAATTCAATTGAAAATCACAAGGCTGGAGCTGTATCCCGGGTAGAGTGGCAGTTAGCTCATGCTGCTAGTATATATATATACCCGTCCGCAGCGTTTACAGATATACATCGACCCCCAAAATCATAATACTCGTCATATATTGTAGGAGAGACAATAAGAAATATTCAGACCGTTCCAAGGTTCCACGGTTGTCTCAGCCCAATTTATGCATAAACTTTTATCAATTTCCACCTGAAGTTGAGGAATTGCCCAAGTGGTGATGACCCTGGGGCTATCAGTGCTCCCGGGTGAGTTCCACACGTAACCCATTCAATCGGTCGTTTGTACATCTAACATCACCCATGCTTCAAGTTTGATTGATAGCCTGTAGTTTTCAGCATCTTCAGGGCTCTCATTAGCTTTCAAGCTGAAGGCGGACATGTTCCCGGTCACGATGTACGGCAGAGATATGAAAAGCCCTGTGAACAACTTAGTCTCTATGATCTCCGTGACATGACAATTTCACGGTTGGAGAGCGTACTAGTAGTATGGTATTCCATCCAACTGCCCCGGTGTAGATAAGATAGACATGATGCAATAACTTGCTCAACACTACCCCCAAAACGATACCCTCCATTGACTAGGACTAGAATAACCTCGACCTCGGCCGTAACCACAACCGCGCACCAAATGCATCTGCCTGCTAATGGAGGGCACCCCACATCACATCAGACAAGTGTCCTCACCCCAACAAACTCCAATCGCGGAAGCAAAAGATGAAAGTAAAGTCACGCGCCAGCTCCACCAAGCCTCGGCCATTACGAAGCGACACTAGAAATAGAAGCGCAGCAGCTTTCGATTGGCGCCGGTCCCACCGCTCCCTCCCCTTGGGCGAGAGTACGATAACTGGCGCCCCCCACCGATGTTTCGGGCGGCCCCTATAGAGCATCTCCGACCACGTAATATCGGAGCATCGTCGAAAGCTATCATGAAGTCATTGGAGTTGCAACCCCCCGTATGGTCCTTATGGGGATCTGTTTCTAAGTATAACGTGGTAAGACTACCAGTACGGTAACGGGAACACTTGGGACGAAGCTCCACCAGTCACCATCAGGATATGGACAAACGACAGCAAGCGCGGTCTTACAAAGGCCCAATTTTGAAGTTTGAAGTCCAGAATGACGTTGTCGGGGTGAAGCAATGTGGCAGGAGTATGTGGCAAATATTCCCGGTGCCGGACGCGGTTGTCCTCCCCTTCAGGTAATACCAGGGCAGCGGTATGAACGTATGATGTGCAGCACAACGTATGTCTGTGCTACATCTACAATCGCCTAGGAGAATGTAGCAGGATGCGGAATACGAAGGTCCGTCATCGCTTGAAAAAACCATCTTACCGTAACTAAGGTGGATTTGGGGCTGGACGATCCCCCGGCAAAATTGGCGATTGGCAGCTTGTTGTACAGGGTGCCCCCGTAGAGTGTTTGTTTAGCTGTTGTTATCCAGGTCGATGTATCACATCTTGCTTCCTTGCGTTTGCTACGCGACTTTCGGGGAAGCTATAACTAGTTAGCTCTGAGTCTATAGCTTAGGCCCTCAGGCCTCCACTAGACCGGTCTCGTAGAAAGTAAAGGAAATTCTAAGATTATCTCCGTTCATCCTCAACATTTCCAGAATATCTCGAGGATACATCATGGCTCGCTGAATATCGCGACTAGAGTCGCCTACCAAAGACCACCAGCCCCCAGATCCGGACAGACCAACTACCAGCCCAAGCTTTCCTCTCCAGTACGATGGCCTCGTCAAACAGCATGCAGTACCAGTTCTCAATCGAGATCTTCGGCCACGGCGAAGACCCAAACCACCGCTCGCACTGGGGCTTCGTAATCCACCGCCCACCAAACACCCACGGCGACCTCCTCCACGTCCGGCCGATCGACCTGAAGAGGCTATGGTACGAGTTTGAGCCTCAATACGGGACAGAGCTGAACGTCATGCAGGCATTAGGCCTGTGCAAGATCTCGACGCTGGACTCGGAGCAGAGGCGACAGGCAATTACGATTATCGGGGCTGAGCCGGCGCCTAGAGATGGTGTGCGCAGGTGCCAGGATTGGGTGTTCAGTACTTTGATTGCACTCGAGGTTGAGGAGTTGGTTCCGCCTGGGGCGTCGGAGTTCTGGAAGGGGTTGATTGGAAAGACGGCGAGGGAGGTTCAAAGTGCTGTTGGGGGGAATTGGAGCCCTATATGAGAAGTAGACCTGAAGAACGGAACGGGAGGTGAAGATGATACCTGTGCGAAGCGGGGGCCGATTATGTAGGTTTATAGGGAGCTTGATTGGAGGGGATGAGGCTGAGATTGCAGGGCAGCTTGGAGGTATCTCGAAATGAATAGTAGACAGGATTTCCCAGGCCGTAACAAGCGGTATGAAGCCAATGAATAGAAATCCAGGTCTCACTACAAGCTCATCAATATGTACACAGGGTATATCAGGACGCAGACGGTGGATATCAATCCACTACAAGGCCCACTCGTCTTCCGTGTCAGTTGCTAAAATAAAGGGCTTGTCAATCTGCTTAATGGCGTGATCACCGCAAAGAATACTTGGGATACCGTTAGCTTCTGCCCAGAATCGTCGACATACATTGATGGTATGACTTACCAAGCCTCGGCAACTAACCCGTCCAGCTCCTTCACAATCTCTTCTCGGCGGGCGGATGGAAGATCCCCTTTGCTTAGGAGCGCCTGCAAGTCTCGAATATACTTCTTCTTTCCTCCAGCCCCCTCCAGCACCTCTTTACCCAGACAATCACTGTGGAAGGCATGCTGACACGGGAAGACAAAGAACTGGCGACTCAGCAGAGGAAGCGCACAGATCCAGCATTTCTCACCCGGTTCCACAATCGCATAGCGAGCATCTAGGCCGGCAATTTCATTGCGGATCTGGCCAGCTGTGAGCGCGGAATTATCCATTTCCTGGCGCAACTCGTCGATGCGTCGCGAGTAGTCCTCCAACGCGGCGCAGATTTCATCTTTGAAGTCATCGATGACCACGAAGTCAGGAAAGAAGGGAATAAGGTCTTCAATGCGCAGGAGCTCACAACGGCGCAGGAACTCCATCGCTTCTTTGATCCCCGTACCCGGCTGACGGATCTTTTTTTCCGCGACCAGAAGCCAGAGTTTCTTCCTGAGCTTGTCGTTGCCTTCGGGGCGATCTGCGACGATGGCGGCTAGTTCGATGTCATCATGTTCCAGAGCGAGTTCAACTGCCTGCTGGTACTGGCCCATGGCACTGTATATGTGGATGCATGATTGCACTCGGTCGTGTTGAATGCAGAGCCGAAGAGCAAAGTCTGCATCGTATGGAGGTGGAGAGGAGGGTTGAGATTGGAGATAGGTGAGAAGGCCTGCTTCAGATGTTGACGAGCTAGAGGCGTGGAGAGAGATGAGTGTGTTATGAACGGCTGCAGATGGGTTGGGGTGATTGACGATTATAAAGTTCAAGTAACGAACGGCTTGGTTCTGGTTCAAAGATACACTGGCCGTCTCGTTATAATTCAAGAGGGGCCGGGATGAGCTTCTCGGGATCAAGATTGGTTTGACGCATCAATATCTCAACCAAGCCTGTTGCAGCATGAGTCATCAGAACGCTGCTGTACTTGTAAAAGACTTCTGGCTCGGTTTGGCGCTGAAGGACATTCAAAGCTTCGGTCCACTTTTCTCGCTGGACCCAATATGACAGGACGTAATTGTAGTCATTGGTGGCTGTTGCAAAGAACAGAAGTTCAGCCTCGCGGCCGTGGCTGCTGATAATATCGTAAACAAGCTTTTTGTCAAGGTCGGCCTTGTACATGGTTACGAATTCCCGGAACTCATCCTGAATTGTACCAAGTTCACCCTTGATATCACCAGTTGTCGCGCCTTCAGCCAACTCTGCTTTAGTAGCGAGATTATCATCCAAGGAGTTGAGCTTTGACATGAACAGTTCGACGACCCAGCTGGTGACCATAAGCCGTTGCATGATAGAGGACTTTTTGTATGTCGATAACTGGGAAAGGAGGTATTTTCGTAGCGCATCGTACTCCTTGTTATCAATCATAGTCAAGCAGACTTCTTCGAATCCTTTGCTGCTCTTACCCCATACCTTTGCTGCCTCGAGAAAACGTCCCTCTTTGGCGAGGGAGTCGCCGGAGGCAGTCAAAACGGCGTCCCGTTGAGCATGGCCACGAGCATACCGAAGTGCTTCTTCGAATTTCTGCTCTCGGAGAAACACCTTCCAAACGTCCCGATCCTCATCATTTGCACTGACTTCGAAAATCTCATTGCTCGTGAAAATCCAGTAGGTGCCTTGTGTCACATCTGTTAAAAAGCCCAATGTGGGTTGCCTGGGTTCCATAACAGTCTGTTCATGAACGAATTCGCCATTCAACCGATTGACAGCAACTACTCGGCCTTCCACTAGCGCGAGGACATGCCATTGAGACAAGGTCATTGCAGTAATAGGGTCCTGGATCATTTTTCTCCCGCCACGAGCAGACTCGGTCGCAGGGAACTTCGATCGCGGGACCAACTTTGCATCTTCGAATGGTGTATCCGACGTGAGCTGGCCATGGTAGATTCCTTCCGAGCTAAGCCACGCGAAGTCCCTCTCCGAGGAACCTTCACTAGGGATAACTCTAACATTAGAAGGTGAGACAGCTAGCGATGATGGCGCAGTAGCAGATGGATTTGATGCCTCATGGACCGAGGGTGTCTCTCGCTGGAAAAGATCCGCATATATAGAACCCCCACCCTCTCTGCCCTGCCTGACAGGGCCGGCGTGACCGATAAAATGAAGCAACCTCCCGTATGTCGCCACAAGCACCCTCCTCTGGTCAGACCTAGAGGCGATTGGCTGTACACAGATGCCAGTAACAGGCGATGCGTCTGGTACTCTGTAGACTGCTGACACGAACTTCTCTTCCCGGCGATAGAATTCGGTGGAGGGCTCGATGTAGGTTTCGTAGATATTTCCATCTGTTGTACCTATGAGGATCTCACGCGTCGAGGCCGTTGGCATAGAAGGGTTCCAGGCAATGCTTTCGATAGAGACGCTTTTTAAGCGAGACAGGGCCTTAGGTTGTCGCGATTGGGTGTGAAGATAGTAGTTCTCTCCAAGGGTTGTACTGATAATCAAATGCGATGCGGAAGGGTCAAGAAACATTTTTCGGATCAGTCCAATCTCTGAGGACTTCTTGGGAAGCTCGATATCTGGGGTAAACAAACGTTAGGCTTCCGCTGAACCGATCGGCGCCGCAAGCAGAAGGCGGCGAGGGAACTCACCATCGATATCCTGAGGGGTATCTAAATCGATGCGGAGAATGCGATTCGTAGAGAGGGCCAGCACCAGAACATTATTGGCGACCTGCGCAGCTACAAAGTCGGCCGCGATGGGAAAATGAAGCGGCACCTGCTGCACATCGAAGATGGGCAAGGAGTCTGAAGGCTCCATGAGGTTTGTTGGAGCCACATAACGGCTGGATGGATCCAGCACTAGCGCCATGGCTTGCAAACAGCTATATCATGCCGCTTGTCCGACCGGCGCGGTGCTGAGAAGCTGAGTTGGTGTAGTTAGCTCGTTCGGGAGGTAGAGGAGCTGATGCAATGCGGAGGGCGGATGGCTTTAGCCTGAGGATTCAGGCCACTAACGCCACTCCAACTGCCTAACTAGAAATACAACGGGCTGTCTACATTCCTGAATGTGTACAGAGGACATCGAAGGGGTATCACGTGTATTAGCTTCCCTAACACACAAATAAAATGCTCTCATGCCTAATGCTTTGGGTATCATCCGTTGTGGGAACATTGTGAACAAACTAGGCAAAGCAGCCAGCCTATGTTCGGCGATGTGATGACCGGGAGAGCCCTCCCCTGTTCATATCACTATATCACTATGCATTCCCGCTCCAATTTCCTGTTCTTCTCCTTCGAGTTCTCTTTGTCCTTTCCCTTTGATCGACGATCTTTGGTACGTCCGCGAGGGCTCTTCTCCTTGGCTTCACTTGAGGAAAAAGGCCGTAATTTAGTATCGTCGGCTTCGTCTACCTCGATGGCAGACTCGTCACTCTCACCATCACCATCGAGGGTGAACTTGTCCTTGCTCAGCCGCTGAGAGAAGGTAAAACGAGTAAAACCAGCACTAACCCTTTGCTCCCCAGACTGGCTGTTTGCACGACTCGCCGAACTGCTTTTAGTTACACGAGAGCCACGACGGCCAAAAGGAAACCCCCTGCCAGTTTCTTCATCTGAAATCGCCATAATCTTCGGCGAAGATGCTGGTACCGATCGAGGCGGCGGTACATGTACGGTTTTCATTCCAGAAAAAGTGACACTCGCGCGGCGGCCGTGGTCTTGGAACGGGGGTTCTGAGTTACCATCCGGATTGGTGATTTCAAAGCTAGGACGAGCTGAGCCACCGTTTTCAGTAGAGCTTCTCTCAGCTGCCTCCCCAACAGTCAAATTTATGAGCTTCCGAGAGATATCCATTAGGTCGCCTTCTAAGGTGGCAGTCGAGGCTCCTGATGAACACGTTTTGGCGAGATCAGTCATGGCAGGGTCTTCTCCAATAGGAAGGATTTGATAGAATAAGAGATAGGGCAATTCTCTCTCACTTTTCAAAGCTTTATCTATGTCAATCAGAGTAACCCGCTGGTCTCTAGCAAGGTCATCGAAACGCATCCAGTGCTTTGGCGTATCCACGGGCGGATGGCCGGATACTTCACTGAAGCTTGAAGGTACATTGGGACTGGTACCTCGAACAACAGAGATATAGTGCCCTGAGTCAACCGAGTGTCCGCTGTGACAGACCATTGCTTGCAGGGACAGCTTGAAATTCCCATAAATGGGGGCATTCGCATCCATATTATCGTCCTGGATGAAGTGCGGGAGTCCAATTTCCGTGGGAATATCGACGTAGGTGTTGAGCCGAATGGCGTTTCCATTTGGAAGGAAGGAATACCGCTTCAAAGACATGCCCAGGATGGGTCGTTTAGAAGAAAAATGGGCTGCGACTTGTGCATCGTTCGTGGGCGTATTATCTGTGTACCATGGCAGGAGGCGGAAAAACTGCCATGCAGGCATCATGACTTCTTTTATGTATGTCCCCCGACGAGAAATACTCTTCCCTGAGGTTGGTGTGCTCTGGCCACTTTTGCTTTTTTGGTCATATGGGTCTGGGACGAACCGCTCACGAACGATGCTATCTCGACGACAGATTGGGCGGGAAGACGTAGTCTCCACCGGTTGGCTCGACGGATGAACATCACCAAGCCTCTCGATAGAATGGTCAGATTTCACCGGGGATAGAGTGGGAGTGATGTCGATTTCCTCGACATGACTAACAACTCCCGCTTTTAGCGATTCCATTGAGCGATTGGATGTCAAAGTACTTTGCCTTTCTTTGTACCTCTTCACTTCGATTATATTATTGAAGTAGGCTTCCAAGCAATCTTCAAGTGTGAGAACCGTCCCGTCCGTAGGCGCCGGAGGAAGTGCGACTTCAAGTAAGCGTTCATTGACGAATTTGTGGTCGTCAGATACATCCTCTTTTCCAGGGTGGAAGATGTCCATTTTGAGGGTGAGAAGTGGTAGATCCAGCTTCTCGGTAATGAAGGTAAAGGCCTCTGAAGAGTCCTGTTGCTTGAGCTTGCCTGCGTCTTCCCAGCCACACTCGGCAAGGGCATCCTGCAAGTGTTTCGTCTGAATACGACGTGTTAGCCGGATTTATATAGCGTAAAAGGTATAGACATACGATGTCTGCTTTGATCAATTTTCCAGATCTAAGCAAATTGACCCAAAAGCGAAGCAAAGTCACAAGTTTCTGGCGCGGTTCGTCATCGAACGATGTGTACAGGATAGGCTCGAAGCAGTCCAAACGGGCGAACATGGCAAATAGAAGGGCATCCAAGTAGCAGGTAACACCTCCGCGGTTTTCTGCGCCGAGTAATTTGATGCTCGGGGTGTACTCTCGAACAACGCCTTCAATAGAATCTTTCAGTATGAGAAGTAATTCGAAGGCTTCATCTTTATCTTCCGCAGTAGATCGTAACGCATAAATCACGTTGGATTCTTCTAGTGTCGTTATGCGAAGGTCTCTAATTTTTTTCTCGATGGCTTTGACCTGGATGTAACATCAAGTGTTAGAGAAGTGATGTAGCCGAGGGGCTGTTGGGGGGGATACCTTGTCCTGAAATTCTTGTGTCTCTTCAAGCTTCTTCTGAGCTGAGAAGAACCCTTTGAATATAGGCTGTGAAAGGGGGAGTCCATTCTGCAGTCATTACTTTATTAGCATACACCTTCCATGCGCTTGTGCTTGCTGGGCATGGTCCCCAAACACAGCTAGCATTATGAAGGCAGCGACCAACCTCTGTTCTGCCTTGACGCGATCGATTCCGGCGATCGCGACCTTTTGCTAGAAGACGCTGGAACCCTTCCATTGTGACGGTAGGTAGGCCCTTGGAACGCACCGAGGAGCTAGATAGATCCAGGGCGATCTCAAGATCTAAAGTCGGAGAGCAACATGCGGGGATGAATAATGAAGAGCCTGAGGCAGAATGGAGAAGGAAGTGAAGTCAAGGCTGCAAGATTTCCATAGAATAAACAATGGGTACATCAGGTGATATGCTTCTGATGAGTGCACGGGGCAAAAAATGATCTCGGAGAGGATGCTGACACGACCATGCAAAGTGATTCGAGAGAGTGAGATCAGTGAGATCGCGGGACGATCCAATGAAGCTAGGGACGTGCTGATCACCTCCGCGGGGCAAAAAGCTGGTCGACACCTTGCATTCGACACCTGACCCGCAAGGCCGCAGTACATACCACGTGATCATCGTCGGAGCGCAAACAATTTTCCGCGATGCTTTACAGTAAGAAAAGCTCTTCAAGTCCCATCATATCCGCAACCTCACAAACCAAAAATGGCTGCCAGGGAGCCATCTAGATACCTGGCAAGGGCTGTGCCTAGGGTATTACCGCCATCATCTCGCCCACACGCGTTTCTAGGTCGCCGCAATGCTTCCGACAAGGCCCCCGAGAGACGTTTGTCCAGCGAACTGAACGAGCTAGAGTCCGAATCCTCGCTGGCCACACGCGTCGATGAGAAGATGGCCAAGTCATTTGACCCAGCCGCCCGGGCCAAAGCACGCAAGACCCAACTCCCACGCGGTCGGTACGTGACTACTCAGCATTTACTCCGTATAGTCGTGTGACTTGGAGAAACTTCCCCAGCCAGTTAAAATACCTAACACTCTACTCTTAGATACCAATTCCGCTCACCAAAATACTATCGGGGCCCTCTCCACCCTAATCAACCACCGCCTCCCTCAGACCCATCCTCTCGTCTCTACGTCCCAGGTCCCTTCTCTCTCCCCCGTGCCAAGCAGACGTATGACTCGACCATAGCCTCGGACATCCTGACCCTGTGCTACGTGCACAACCCCCCAGGCTTCAAGCCACCTCCCAAGGCTCCCCGTCTGCGCGAGTGGGATGACTCCTCACCGTACCACAAGAACCGTCCCCTCCGTGGCCCTCGCGGCGGTGACGTCTTGCGCTTACTTCGTAAGCCCATTGCCTTCAATAACATCCCGGAGATCAAGCGTATCACAATCCACAGCTACGTGAAGGACGCCGCAGGAGGCAATTCGTCATGGCTGCACGTCGCCGGTATGGCTGTTCAGGCCATCTCCAACGTGCGCGTCGAGACCTTCCGAAGCAAGGCCAGTGTTTCCGGCTGGGGTCTTGTCCCTGGCCGTGACGCCGTTGCGGTCAAGGCTGAGCTACAGGGCGAGACTATGTACCATTTTCTGAGCAAGCTGGTTGATGTGGTTCTCCCCCGTATCAAGGACTGGCCTGGTGTCAAGGGAAGCAGTGGTGACAGCAGCGGTAACATTACCTTCGGTCTGGACCCGGAGTATGTTGCTTTGTTCCCTGAAATTGAGGTGAACTATGATATGTAAGTTTTTCAGCCGCTGATGAAATTGTCGATTTCGGTCGTTACGGTTCTAACCCAACCCAGGTACCCTCCCAAGATGATCCCCGGTTGCCATATTACTCTTCACACCAGCGCCACTGCGGACAAGGACGCTCGTCTCTTGCTGAGCGCCACGGGTATTCCTTTTTACGGAAAGATTGTGCATTAAACTGCCAATTGTGGCGAATTGGGGTTGACAATGCTGCCATCCCCCTTGCCGGAAGACGTGTTTGTTCCTATATAACTTGTAACTTTAGAGCCTTTGCTGGCCACTGTGATTCACCCCGACTTTGTATTATTTCATTTACATCATCTCCATAACAAGCGGAATCGACTTTTGGAATCAAAGATCACGATCAAGATCAATAGACGAAAAAATGTTACGATGAACTGCTCAATAATTCATATCTTTAAAGATAAGAGCCAGCACAGCTGCCCTGTTTACTAATAGTCCAAACCACACCCGAGAAGGCAACAAAGTTATCAAGACACCATTTCATACCCTACCATGCATATATCGTTGTACAAGAGAGAAGGTAAAGCCCAGCGTTTCTCAGCATCACATATTTGGCATAGCCAAGAACTTGCACTTAAGCAGTTCCTCCGCCGTCGGTCGTTTCTCATGGTCAATCTGGAAGGTCATATCGAGGAACTCCTTAGCCTCGGGACTGACATGTTCGGGTGCAGGTGGGCGCGCCTGGTTGCTGCCAATCGCAAAGATAGCTTGCAGCTGACTCGAATCGGGGAAAGGGTGGGCACCACTGAACATCTCCACGACCAGACAGCCCAGACTCCAGATATCAGCTTTCTTTGTGTGAGCGGTCTGCCGCACAACCTCGGGAGCCATCCAGTAAACACTGCCCTGTAGCGATGGTCTGGCGAGACCGCCGCCGGTGCCAGCAGAACCGCTTGCGCGGGCCCCGAGGAGGTGGGTTGCTTCGACACGCTTGGAGATACCGAAATCGGAGATCTTCACGCCACCCTTGTTGTCGACGAGGATGTTGGCACCCTTGATGTCGCGGTGGATAATGCCCTCGCTGTGCAGGTAGGCCAGACCAGCCAAGATCTGACGCACGAAGTTCTTGACGAGTGGTTCTTGGAATGTGTTGTACTGTTTGAGCATGGTAGCGATCGAGCCTCCAGGGACGTACTCCAAGAAAATGTTGAGGTGTTGGTCGTCTGCGGCAGTTCCGAGGTACTGCACAATGTTTGGATGGTGCATGCCTTGTAAGAGCTCGATCTCGTGCTTCAGGGCAGTCACCATGCTGTTTTTGCGCTGGTCGAATTCCGTGCCCTTGGTGGCAGAGGGAATCTCGACCTGCTTTACGGCCATCAGCTCTCCAGTGATGGCATGCAGGGCTAGGAACACACTGCCGAAGGAACCCTCGCCGATCAGGGATCCCTTCATCCAATTCTTCGGCGCAAAATTGTTACCGGCTAAGAAATCTTCCAAGCCGGGATCATCTTCGTCCTCTTCGTAGAGTTCGTCTTCGGCCACTGCCATGCTTGCTCGATCGTTGAAAAGCTCTGATTCACCGTCTGTAGCTGCAACGCTCATAGTATCATCCAGCATGCTCTGACGTGAGGTATTGGGGTCATCTGAACTACTTTCGATTGACATAAATGACTTTCGGCTCGGAGTTGTCGGGGACTCCTCTTGCAATGGCTGGAGAGAGCTTGATGCAATTGAGTCACGGTATGAAGCTTGAGGCAAGTTGAACCTGGAGATAGATTGTGGTCGCGGAGCCTGCGCAGCCTGTATTCCTCCCGCATGCTGAAGCCAGGCATCGGCGATATTGGGCATTGGAGGGATAGGGGGAATGGAGGGCAAAGGAGGCATTGGAGGCGCATCCTTCATGCTCGAGGCAACACTGAAGTTGCTGACAACACTGAGACGGCTAGCAGCACGACTGAGGCGCTGGGATCGGCGCATCGTCTTCGCAATATCATCCCGATCATGACTCGGGAAGAAAGAGGGGAGCTCATGGATAATCATCTCACTAGGAGGTCGCTGGCCGAAGAAGGAGCGCAACTTGGACACGTGGTTCCGCTCGGCGGTGTATGGTGAGTCTGGGTCTCCGCTGTTGGAAGGCGTCGTGCGGTGGCGTGCACCGACGGGCGAAACTGGCTGCTTCGTGTTGATAACCTGCCATGATTCCCCCGTAAGCTGCTGGATCTTGTTCTTCTGGCGGGGATTCGATTTGTCCAAAGCGATACGATGCGTGACTGAACTTTCATCAACAGCAAGTTGAGATGCCCGCCGAAGTTCATCGCCATCGGGTTCGCCGGCGTGGATTTTTCGTAAGATTAAACGGCCTCGTTCGGATCTATTGACTCCTTCGCAGATTTCCATAAGCTCGGCTTCTGTAAGTCTCCTCACATTTGACATGTCAGGATCTAAGCCATCGAGAACATAGAAGCAGTAATTCCTATACTGGTGCTCTGGAAGCTGTAACTTTTTGAGTACACCGACCATCACCTCGTCTGGAGTTTTGCAATGCCGGATGTCCAGAACCTTTGTCTGCCCACCTGTATAAATGACACGGATAACTGGTGAATTTTGGGGAAGAGGACCCATTGTCAGACCATCGAGACTGGGATTTCGAGGGTGGCTATTGGTGCTACGCCCAAGGTAATCCTTCCGCAATGCCTCTGCTGGTGGGGATGTGGGCTGTGATGATTTTCCGCCGTGGACGTTGTTCAAATTGGGGAAGCCGGAGAATCGTGAGGGTTCGATGTTTCCCATTGCTGCCTCCATGGAAGCCAATCTGCTCTTTTCATACAGTTAGGTGTGGGGAAAAAATTGTATGTGTTTACCGAAATACATACCATATTCTTTTGTCTCGGATTGACCATGGTTTTATTTCGGAGTTGCTTGATCGCGACGAAGATGCGTACTCGGTCACCAACCTTTTTGATGCCCATCTCCTGCAGGATCTTTTGATCACAGTCGATCAGATTGTCTCCATTGAACCCATTCTCTGCTTTGCATTAATATCATCGAATTCTCTTAAAACTCGAAAAAAGCTCACCTCGAAAGAGCGACTCGTACTGCCCACACTTGATACTATGTAGCCAGGCGGCAACTTTATCTTCATCCCACATCCTATAAGACAGTTTGGATGAGAAATGACCTTGCCATAATATAGTGAAGCGACTCACCGAACAGACGTCCCGTCTTCTTGGCCATCGGAAAGCTCTGACTTGGTGGGGCTTAAGAAGCCAGATCCGTCCACCTTCGTAGCTGTCATGGGTCGCGGTGTGTTCGCATAATAGGCCGACGAGGGTGTTTGGGCCGACGATCCCGTTGTCGCATACTGAGGCTTCGAAGCCAGCATCGCGGGGTGTTTATCTTCGTTATTCGGATGGTACCTCGTGTGCCGTCGCGCCCCTCACTCTGCAGGCAAAGGCTTTTTATGCGCTGATTATATTAAGGAGCCGTGGAAAGGTATCAAGGCCGGCGAAACATAGTCCTGGACTTTAATGATATGGTCAGCTTTTCGATGCGAATGAGACCTGACAAAACAGAGGGCTATGAGATCAGATGGCCACTCCTTGACGTGGAAGGCGGCATTTTAACAATGAAGCCACCCGGTAAAGAGAGGACTAACCTTGCTTGCACGCTGAATACAATGAAGCCTTGATCGCGCGCCCAGGCTGGATTGGAATGAGGAGCGAAATGGCTGGAAGGCCTGGGGTTTTTGGGGTGAGATCGGGCGGAACCACTATTAGCGCAGTTCTGGATCGGGCGTTTATCGAAGACGGATACTCCACCGAGGACCAGCACAATAGGGTATACAAACAGAATCCAGAGGAGTGAAGGGAACACAGACCGTGCATCCGGTGTATCCGTGTCAAGGGGCTTTTCCGAGCCTCGCACGCGTTTTGAAAAGTCCTCAGGAAGGTACCACTAGCGAGCGGTCATGTCTCACCACCCCCTTGCTCCTCCTTATCGTGAGCTTAATCTACGCAACTATACACCGGGCCCCCTTCTTTCTTAAATTGAGAGTTTCAGTAATAGAGCAAGGCCGTGGCTAGAGCTATTGGGCCACTTTCCCATCTAGCTGAACTATTGAGACTTTTGAGTAAGTCTGGTTTCTTATGTGCTGTCCACCAGCGGCGAGAAGCGGGTTTTAGTGAAACGGCGGCTCTGAGCCCTGAAACGAGGCTATCCGAGTCGAGCCGGTCTCTGCTAATGAATGCGTCGGCTCCCAATTTAAGGGTGGCAGAATACGGAGTACCAGTATATTAGAAAGTAGACCCCGCTTATTTGGAATCTGCATGATGGCTTAATCGGCTCGAATTGACCTTCATTGTTGGTGCAATCCAATTATCGAAACAATCGTGGGTACGTTGGCGTCCGCTGTTCACTGCTGCCAAGAACGCGGTCCCTGCCGAACACTGATCATAAGGGAATGCATCTTCGAACAGATGGTATAGATAAATACTGAGACGAGACTTGGGACCTAAAACGGAACTCCTAGAAGTAGCTAGTTAGCCCGATGTGAGACCTGGAGGACGCGTACTTGACAAACTAAGGTATCTGCTGGTAGTACTAGTAGTCGCCTCCAGCTCAAGCTGGCCACGTCACGGTGGATGCGATGTGTGAAAGACTTGAGTCATTCAGATTTGCAATTGTTGTCTCGGCTTACTCTCGATATGGTGGTACTAGTGGAAAAAGGCCAATACACAACGACGCGCTGCTGTTTGGGCCTAGATAGAGCCAGAGAGACTAGCCCGCTAGAATAAAGTATAGAGGTTTGCTAGTAATAGTAGCTAAACTTGCGTTGATCATCATGTCGATTCGCCATCTGCTAGTGGATGCTTCAACCTTATGTAGTATCCTCCTAGGGTTGCTTTCAAGTCCTCATTGCTGCTTCCTAAGCTTGTACTTCAAAACACTGTAGGGCCCATCCTTGGACGTTCGAAAAGCTCAGCCAGCGGCTCTCTGTTTCTAATCACTGATAGCCGGAATGAGCATACATCGATAGTCAGAGTGATTTAATGAGCTTGAAATCAAGCTTCAAAAACAGTTTCGAGAATAGGATTGTGGATGCTACAGTGGAAAATATACGAATGCCCGAAGTTCGCCCATGACGGACAACATCTCATGGAGAATATCGAATCAGATATCGTGGGCACCGTCTTCTTCCCCTCAAACCATCCCATGGAATAGAAAAGGAGGGGAGAAAGTCCGAAAGCCACTCTACTTCCCAGTAAAGTCATAAAGTCCGGCTTTGTTGGGCCTCTCCGCACTGGTGGGGACGATCGTGCATATGCTCGTTCTGGGGCCCGTCTTTGGGCTCAACCAGGCCTTTCATGCAGGACTGCTTTGTGCTTCTTCCCATCTCCAACTCTGCTGCGAATCAATGGCAGTCGATGACTTTCGACTGACTGGAGAATCGCAGCATCGAGCCCACGTGACGGGTAAACCCCCTCACCCGGAAGCGTAAAACCCCCACAGTTCAATTTTCCCCGCTTAGTTTCCCTGAGGGCCACAAATTCTTCCCCTCTCTTAGCCCCATTCAGCTGGAACCCCAACTCCCCCTCAAATATGGATGACGATAAAGCGGCCAAACTCAAGAAGAAGGCCACCGCTCACCGAAAGTCTCTCGAATGCGAGTACTGCAGTAGAACCTTCGCTCGCTTGGAGCATCTCCAACGCCATCTCCGCACCCGTTGAGTAACCCCGACTCGTGTCTAATGGCCCCTACTAATGTAGGACAACAGATACAAAGGAGAAGCCCTTTTCGTGTGACATCTGCTCCAAGTCTTTCGCCCGAAGGTAATTGCTGAATCGTTGAAGTGCCGCCTGCTGCAATTGTTCCTCCCGAACGATCGCTAACATCATGTAACCGCAGTGACCTTTTAGTGCGACATGAACGTTTGGTCCACCCCGCCGAGAGCGCTGCCAGTCGCGAAAACCGCACCCATAATGGCAACGACAACAGTCAGCATGGAATTCCACTCCAGTCGACGATAATTCAGCCTTCCCATCATGAGTCGCGCATGCTTGAGTTAGCCGATGCGATCCCCGTCCACACTCAAGTTCCTCCGCCGGCTCCCGAGGTACAGGTCCAACCACCGTCAATTGTCGACACCCCGCATTTCAATCCGTCCTGGGGATATGATCTGAATTTATTGTCTCATGCAGCGAGCCATGTTGCCCTAGAAGGTCAACAAGAGAGTCTCGAATCGATTCGGAAGGCGCCCCATTCCATCGGCACACCTTCCCAATCACTTCCTGCACCAGAGAGAGCAATCACCGACAACTATGGTGTGGAGCCCTCGTTCTTGGATCTAACAGACTTGGGTGACCCAGTTCAAGATTTCACGGTCTTCTTAGAAAGTGTAGGCCTTTCGTCGGATTGGGATTCTGGGGTATTTTCGTCCGTAGAGGATCCGATGTTACCGCCGGGCATGCCGGCCATGGAAACTAAACCTCAAATAAGAGACACGCCTGTATCCGCAAGATTAGGGGGGGATCTTCTGGGTGATCCACGTGGCGCGCCAGATGAACCGCCATCGTTTTCCAATTTCGGGTCTCGGCTACCCTCTCTGCAACCCGAGTCGCATGAGATCGAGGATCGCATTGGGTTATCTGATGAAGGTACGCGACCAGCGTGGGACATCACTAACACCGATCGACAAATATTCGTTTCGAAATTGGAGGAATTCTCTTTTGTTCTCCCAAAGGGATTCGTTCCGCCGTCGCGACATGCCCTGTCTCGTTTCTTTGCCGGTTATATTAATGGCTTGAACGAGCATCTGCCTTTTGTCCACGTTCCTACATTATCTATAGCCAGATGTTCCCCAGAGCTTACTCTGGCAACTGCGGCTGCTGGATCTCACTATCGCTTTGAAAATGGCCGAGGAATCGAGCTGTTTCATGCCGCAAAGGCTGTCTTATTGGAACGCCTCCGCCGAAGAGACAGCCGCCAAGTGGCTCAACCTTCATGGAATCATATCTCTCCTCCATCAGCAGGGCAACACAATTCCCGAAGTTCTTCCATGATATCTGCTGGTAGCCCCTTTCAATCACACCATATGCCCAATCCTCCAGTTAATCCATCTATTTACACACCAGATGACTCAGATGCTCACATGGAGGTCATTCAGACTTTCTTACTTTTGACCGTGTTTGCCTCCTGGGAGAGACACCCGGAGCTATTGCGGGAAATTCTCTCACTACAAAGCACTTTGGCAAGACTCGTGCGAGAACATGGCTTGACTGAAGTGCCCCAAAACCCAGAGCACATGACATGGGAAGAATGGGTTCGCCGAGAGGGGAACCGGAGAATCAAGATGATTGTTTACTGTTTCTTCAATCTTCATTCAATCATGTACAACATCCCGCCGTTAATTCTCAACGGAGAGCTGAAATTGAACATGCCCTGCTCTCATGATCTCTGGAAAGCAAGCAACGCTGCCCAATGGCGACGAATATATCGCAATCGTCAAGGATTCGACGTGTCTTTCCAAGAAGCCTTTGCTCGACTATTCCTGAAATCCTCTACCTCTCTCCCGTCCGCCCCAATCTCTCCGCTTGGAAATTACATCTTAATCCACGCCATCATCCAGCAGATATTCTTCGCTAGGCAACTATGCCTGTCAGCGCCCAATTTACAGGGTACTAGTTTGCGACAAGAAGACCTTAATGCTCTAGACAACTCGCTGAGTGCCTGGAAAGCGTTGTGGAAACGCACCCCCGAATCCAGTATCGATCCTCAGAACCCAGCAGGCCCTATCGCATTCACGTCGACTGCCCTATTAGGTCTTGCGTATATCCGTCTGCACGTCGACTTGGGCCCTTGTCGGCATCTCATAACCCAGGACCCAACGCAGATCGCAGGGGCACTGGCCGAATCACCGCCTATCGTCCGTAGCCCGCGGCTGATCATGGCTTTACTGCATTCAGCGCACGCTCTCTCGATCCCGGTACGTCTAGGAATCGATTTCGTGGCCCGCACCCATTCTTTCTTCTGGAGTATCCAGCACTCGCTTTGCAGTTTGGAGTGTGCATTCCTGCTCAGTCGCTGGTTACTTGCTATACCTGCAACGCAGCCAGAGCAGCGCCTGTCAGATCATGAGCGAAAGCTCTTATTATGGATCAAGAGCATGATGGATGAGACCGAAATGGCTGTTGATCCACCCGGAGCACCCGATATGGATTTCATAGCGAATCCATTCAAGGTGCGTCAGCTCAGTGTGGCTATCGTCCGTGTATGGGCTAGGACGTTCAAAGGCAACACAAGCTGGGCCATTGTGGATCTGGTCGGGTCAAGCTTGGACGCCTATGCAGACCTCCTGGAAGGTTGATTGCTTTTCAGGGCTGTTCGCATTATACCCGTTTCTTATTCCTTTTATATCTCGTTTTCTTTTCTTGTTGGTGAAAATTCATATTGGAAAATGGATCCAGGTTCTATGGTTGGAAGGGGGTTTTGGAAACGCAATATTGCAGCCTTGCAACTTCACTGAGGGCCTTGACTGAGTGATGATCTTTCTTGTTAGGAGCCTTGTTCGCACTTACTTTCTACGGTGCTGGTTTTGAGCGGAGTTCTGCATATGCTGGGTGGGATTATTTTGAAGGAGATCTAAGACCTCAAGGCCTTTTAGTATATATTATGACTCGTCACTTGTGATTGCTGTCTATACCCGATGCTGCGTTCACCGAGATGTTCGAGTTTCGGTTGATACCCTAGCATCTGTTCAATGAATTGAAACGATTGAAACAGTCTTTGCAGAATTGCAATTCCTGGTCCTCATAAAAGAATCCTCGATTACGAGGATCTCAATTGCCAACTTCAACCGGAGAAATCGTCCAAGTGCACAGTTACAGGATACATGGCCGACCTCGGGAAGGCTGTATATCTGACATTTAATTACTCTTTGAGATACTATCTAGTCGATCTTGCTCTAGTTCTATCTACTCCCCATGTGCTAACTTTCTTAGAACTGCCACTATCGAAAGTCACCAAGACCCTACACTATTTTTCACCTACCGTATATTATTATGAATACCGTAATACTACCACCCCTAATGAGATCTATGCTGTACATTGCCTTTTCTTACCAACTGGCAACCAATGGCTCTAACAAGGTACCAGGCCTTGAAGAGGTCTGATCTCAAGAAGCAGGTTTTGGAGAAGAAGTATAAGGGCATGAAGTCAAGGGATCGGGCAAGGGCGCTGGAGAGACGGCGCAAGAAGATTGCGTCCAACGCTCCAGAACTTGCTTCTTGACATCAGACCTGCAACTTGACGCGGGCATAAAGCCTTGTAGTCCTTAATGCCCTTCAATAGATATTCTAGTATCGCTGATCGTTACGGTGTCCTTTCATAATCTCATGAAGGCCTTGGAGGCGCTTTTATCTTGTTCCTTGTGACACTAGCAGGCACGAATCGGAGAGCCGACATAGATTTCTCTAGGCCGTCTATATCCATATCGTCTGGGTCATCTTTATTTGTCTGTGGCATGGGACTTTGACCCATTGCCAGGGGGAAAGAGTGTTGAGACACCGAGATTCGCCGCCGTGCTCCTCCATCTTGAATTGATGATATAGAAGCAGCAGAGATACGACGGCGGCGTTTATCACTATCCATTGATCTGAGTAAGGAAGTCTGCTTATCAATTCCATCATTAACGATATAAAAGTTGTATGACTAAAGAGTCAGTAATTTCATTAGTCAAGGGCTTGAAGATTAGTTCATACCCGAGGAAACAGGTGCCTGTCGATCAGGTGCAGCCTTCGTTTCTGAGGCGTCGAGCATTTCTTCTCACATGTCTCGACAAAACAGCTATACTGATATATATGTAAGCGTGATTGAATTCACTAGATTATGTAGTCGTCATAGCGTCTGGGTACTTACGGTCTTCTCTCCACGCTCTTTTAGTGCTGCCACAAGAGGGTCGTGGTTTTCTTCGATATGTAAATTGAGAAAATGGCCCGTGGGGAAGTTCCTGCCACACTGGGAACAGCGATTGACATGGACCTGGAGATAATGGACCTCGTAGGCGTCGTAAGACGCAAACGAAAGTAATTCATGAGGTGGAAGGGAGCATTGCATCACCGGTGAGACCGGCAGGTTATCCCGTAGGATCTTGGTCCGGTCTGGGGGTGGAGTCGTGAGCTCGGAAGAGGACCTTGATCGCTGGTCAGACTCAGGAAGGGTAGCTGAGTTGCTCCGAAAACGTTTAGACATGTTGCGGTTGTTGGGCGCTCGTCGTGATGTGATCGATCCACTTGGCGGGGGTTCGTGCAGTAGGGCACCAAGGGAAGAGGGTGAAACTACCCACCAATCAAACATGGGGGGGTATGTGGATATGCCGACATGAAGTTCATGGAGGGAAAGAGGCAAGAAACATTGTGTAGCCGGATATAAACCTGTACACCTTCCAGTTGAGGAAGCCACAAGGGAACAGAAAGAAGGCGCAGCTGAGTATGTAATTTTGTGCTTTTATGAAAGGCCCCACCCACATCCACCAATAGACGCCGTCCCAGGGGCGAGATTCCGCGCTTTACTCCATTTTCTTGATATCGATTCCCTCCTCCACCACGCACTTACCACCGGACTGATGGCTTGCCCGTCTTCGCTCGACCTCTCGCTTGCTGTCTGCTAATCAGGGCGAGCTCGGGTCTACGGGCTCATCCCCATGATGGCGGCCTCGTTCCAGGATGCCTGGCAGTGAGTTCATTCAAAGGAACACACGAGACTGATCTAATGCCCCTCGCAGGAGAGCGCTGAATATCGAACGCGAACTCACGCGCTGCCTCAACGATAAGGAACCAACCTTCGCAGAGATCTCGCACTTCTTGAATGAGTTTGTCTCCCCATATTCCGTGCGCCGAAGGCTGGCGCTAACCTTGACTTTCTTCCGACAATAGGTATCGGTCCGTATGCCAAAGTGCTATCCTCCTCGATTTTGATGCCGCCCGGGAAACTGACGTGGAGGGCCGATTATGGGATGCCCATTTGAAGCTCAACATTCGGTTTCGCAAGCAGCTTTCTCGCGTGAGTCCCGTTCGCTCCCGGGAACGTCTGTGTCCCGGTGACTGACCTGTTGGAATTGCGATAGTACCGCGAAGAAAATGCGAAAAGAAAACCGGTCGAGAAACGAAAGCTAGAACGGCACTATCTGGATTTTATCAAAACGAGCCAACGCTTTTACCGCGGCTATATCCAGCACCTATCGTCCCACTTTGGAGGGATTGTGGAACTGGAGAAAGTCGCGCGCAAATTCAGCTTCGAGAGTGAGTGCCGATCGACTATTCGATAATTCCGGATTTGGCGATGAAAACTGACTTATATTTTTTTTTTCTCAAGATCTGGCCGCGCAGCCCTCCACGACTCCATCACCGGATCTACGCAAGCGAATTCTCCTATCATGCCACTCAACTCTGATCCGACTGGGCGATCTCTCCCGTTACCGCGAAACAGAGCTAGTCATCAAAGATCGCAATTGGGGGCCTGCTATTGGATACTATGATTTGGCGGCTGTGATATACCCGGCGTCTGGTGCATCGCATAATCAACAAGCGGTTATCGCCCTTGCTGATGGGAACCATTTCCGGGCTACGTACCACCTCTATCGCGCTTTATCTGCGCAGGAGCCCCATCCCTCAGCCAAGGGAAACTTGGAAATTGAATTTCGCAAAGTCATGAGCGCATGGGCCAAACGGGAGCTGATTCGTCCCGAAGATGCTGGGATCCCTGGGAGAGCTCTGGCTCCGTGGTTTGTCTACCTCCACGCGCAATGTTACAAGGGCAATGATTTCCCCGAGCACGATGAGCTGGAAAGTGAGGTCATGAGTCAACTTGCCGTTGATATCAGAGAAAGATCTCTGGAAGGCATGCTCACAAAGTTTTGCCTCGTCAATGTCGCTGCGGAAGCCTTCGCTCGAGTCCGTTCAGCCAAGGAGTCGGTCTCCAATGCATGCGTCTTCTTCCAGCGTATCAATGTCAAAACCTTCTTCACCCTGCTGCAAATCCTTTTGGTTGAACTGGAGCGCTTCGCCGGAGAGGATCCGAATAACAAAGACGCCAACGGGTATCCGGACAAGGTGACGGTCGTCGCTCGTCGAATTCTGCCTGCTCTTCGTCATTACAGCTCCTGGCTGCTGACTACCAGCGGCCTGTTAGTTGCAGAGAAAGAAGAGAAAGACTCGGCTCTCGCTATTCAAATTCAGGAATTCTGGAAGATATACGCGGGTACTTTGACGCTTCTAGCCTCGACTTTCGATATTTTGCATCTTCCGGAAGTCGATTATCTTCTTGAAGAAGACGAGGAAAGTTTGGGATTTGCACCTCTTGATCAAGAGGCAACCGTTCGGCGATACTTCTCTTCTGACGAGAAGCTGAAGCCTCGCATGGATGATCCTGAGGTGGAACGGAATCACCCAAACATGGAGATGCTCTATCGAATCCGCGAGTTTGTGATTGATGGCCTTGATCTGGTCGTCAGCAACAAGATTCCCGTTGTACTTGTGGATGATGAAGACAAAAAGATATTCATCTATCAAGAGGACGGGCTGCCGACTCAGATCTTCTCCAGTCCTCATATCCGACAGGACACGCTCTCAGTCGCAAATATCGGAAGGGAAGACTTCCCGCCAGTGAGCCAAGAACCGGCTTCGACTGGTGAAAATTGCAGTGTCTTTGATGGCTCCCAGTCTGCATCTGCGTCCATGTCCGCAAATATGAATCGCATTGTGGAAGGTGTTGAGCGGCTGGTCGAATCGGATACATACGAAAATCCACCCAGCATCCCCGACCAATTCGCGTTCCTGAATGACACCGGCGATATACCCACACCTTCTGCCCAGATTCGGCGGAGCCCTCAGGATTATTCCTACCCTGAAGAGAGCATCAACCCGCGTAGTACTCCCGTGGCTCCCCCTGGGCTGGGACCGCCCTCCATGGCCGCGGCAGAATCATTGCGCATGACGCTTTCCCAATCATACAGCCCAATGCCAACTCTGCCCAGCATCCCCAACATCCCCAACATCCCCAACATCTGGAATACCTCTTCGCCTAATCCATTGAGGGATATTACCTCACCCAGAACCCCACCCGGTCTGGGTCCCAAGCCTCCATTGCCCTCCACGAGCGGTGTCAATCTGCGTGGGCCTGATCTATCTCCATCCCAAGGACAGATTCCTAACGAGCCCATACGGCATAGCTTGATGGGCCAGACTCCTCTCGCGAACTCGTTTGATCCAAATGTCACCCCTCCCCCTTGGATGTACTCTTCGAACTCGTCTGCCATGCAGCCTCCACCTGCTCACTCATGGGATCGTGATCAGCTCAATCGATTTAGTTACACTTCTCACGAGGCCTCTGGCCAACCGATGTCGAGTGCTGTGCCAAACCAAACATGGGCCAACGATGCTTTCATTGCAAGCAGCGTGGCATCGGGTGTGGCAAAGCACCCCCCTGGACTTGGACCTCGCAAGGCTTCTCACCTTGGCGCAATTGGACAGACGCCCCCTTGTGGACAAGGCGGTTGATATTCCTTCCACTGGCTTGGGTTTGCACGTATGATCTGCATAATGTGGGGTTCCATACGTCCGGTCCTTTATTTGCTGAACGGGATTCTGTGATAGCCCCCCCCCGAGAACCCGGCTTCTCTCCGCTTTCAGGATTTGGCGAGCTATCTCGCCCTGGGCAATGATCTTGTCAATTCTGTATCCTGGAAGAGCCCTGGCGGTTTCCTTGGTTCGTCCAGCCTCAGATACTTGCCTCAAGGCATCATTTGTATCTTGTATAGAATTTGAACCTCAGATCCTCTTGCCTGGATGGGGAGTTCCCATGAGAATAAAGATAGCAGATAGACTTGAGTCTACTCTCGTCGTCTCACCCCCGATCGCTTTGAACATCCCCCCTTTCCCCCTGTGGCATACCTCTCCTCGTTCTTGCCCTGTCGTGTGGCGGTCATAGGCGGGTACGCACGCTCCACTTCAACCGCAGAAAAAGGAGGTGGACTATGTAGAAGCCTTGGCTCTGCCCGTATGGGCGTCTACATTGTTTTTGTCTTTCTTGTGCTTTCATTCATTCCCCCTTTGAATTTCCTGCGTTTTCATGCGAAATGAACTTTGTCTATGATCAAAATGCCCTGAAAATCCCCAGTCGTATGGATTTCTTTCCCAGATGTTTAGGTGAAGGACCGGTTGAGATCATTTCTTTACTAGAAGACTTGATCATTATGTGCTGGATTCCGGCATGCAGATGATATGGAAATTCCATTCTCTACGCCCTGGTTTATTCGCAGTGCCCGGCTGTCTGGATTCGAAATGATCGACCAGCCTGAACTAGACCTAGCCTTTGAAAAATTGTCGGCATACTACCAGTCGAACGTACTTAAGTAAACACAACCTGAATCGTCCTTGCCCAGAGGCACTGAAGCCTCCCCTGTCCAAGACTTGAACTGAGGCCAATTAGGAACTAGGTAACAGAGTCGACATGTATAGATCAATGGTCGTGATTATGCCTACGCACATTTGGAACTACTTTAGAGATATATATAACCTTCCAGACTGGACAGAAGCCATAATGAGTCGACCGTGTTCGGATGAGGCAGTGCTCATCGGGTTTTCAAGAATGACTTGTTTAGATTTCTGACGCTCATCCTCCGACACCCCCCTATCTTTTCAGTTTGCCGCTGGATGGCAGAATAGAGCTGCGAAGTACTAGAGGCTAGATGTGCATCAAGAGGGGGTCATCATGCGGTCACCATGCAAGGTGATGAAGCATGTAAATGCTCCATTCAGGTATTTTTAACCGCGGCGCTCAGGTAGATTCAAGCACTTCTGAACGCTCCGCCTCATGCGCCTCTGCCAAGCCTGGCTTAGTATCTTAAGCCTCAAGCAGCCACTCGGTTTCTCCAGCATTGACCTTGAAGCTGTTTCGCTTAAGCAACTGGTTGCTGAACTTTGAATGTTCTGTGAGTCATGTACTAGTCATATTCCTGAATGGATATAAACCGCGCTGCTGCCTGGGGCTATCACATCTCCCGCAACACAACAGCCCATAATCTGCGCAGAGCCGCCCGGGCGTTCACCTTGATTTTGAGTCAGCCCTTCAAATAAGCAAATCAGTCTCTCCCTTCTCAGTGACCAAGACTATTCTCGCTCCCCGTCGAAACCTAAGCAAAAAACTGGAACTCTCGTCAAAGGAACGCCAAATTTCGAAATGGTAAACTTGCAACTAGATACCAGCAACCCGGTCTACTTCTGGAAGCCAGCAGAAGAAAACGGGCATTTCGGACAGTGGTGGCCTTCCTCGTTCTCGTGGGAACACGAGGGGCAGACATTCACATATGCAAATGCAGAACAGTACATAGGCCCCAATTTTCTTTCCTGGTCTTCATGTTCCCTCGAACTAAACTGACGGCTTGGAAAGATACATGATGCATCGCAAAGCACTACTTTTCGCTGGGCCCGACCATCCCATCACCGAGGAGTTGCGCACGGGGTGGAAAACCCATCCGAGGACTCTTCGCAGCCTAGGCCGGAAGATTCCCAACTTCACGGACGAGGGATGGGAGGAACATCGGTTCGCGATTGTTGTTGAGGCCAGCTATCTCAAATTCTCACAGAATGAGGACCTGAGGCAGAAGATCCTGGCAACGGGGAAGCGGGAACTGGTCGAAGCCAGTCCCAGAGACCGCATATGGGGCGTGGGGTTTGCGGCCAAGGATGCCGGTGCCCAAAGACACAGGTGGGGATTGAATCTTCTAGGGAAAGCGCTCATGGAGGCTAGGGATAGACTAGCCAGGGAGATCTCGGGTGAGAATTGAAGATGATCAGCAGCGATGCTGGCTTATTCCATTTCCACTTATGTACAAGTTGAATTGCCATGCTTGGGGATGATAACGAAAGGATGACACCTGCTAAGCAAGCAGACTTCTATAATGCCCTCAAGCAGACCAAGATTGCGCATTTCACCGCCACGAATTCTGAATAACTTCGGAACTCTTTATTTTCCTTGCGAAACGCATGCTATTCAGCTGTTAGCTGCACGAGAACATCAAAAAACACACTCCATTACCTGGGAGGGCAGCAGAGGATCTTTTGAAAGATCGCATTGATTATCGTGCTGATATACTGAGTATGAGTTGTAAGCGAGATAAATGACCAGGTCGAGTACCCCACGGCAGTGAACTGATATGGATGCAGCTTTTTGAACTTTTTGTGGGCCAGCCACCATTTGATCCTTTCTTGCTAACGCCTCCCATTCTCATCAAGCAGATGTGCGAGGCGGCAAGAGAAGACCTACCTAAAAGATGGCAAGAGGCTCTGGATAAGACGAAAGAAGGGTCAAGAGACGAAGATATACAGGAATGTCTGGAAGTGTACTTCGGAGGCCCGCACAACCCTGACCTGACAAGAGATGCTACATCAGGGCTAGGACTAATCGCTGGGAAGCTATTGTATCTTGAGCCATCAGCAAGAGCAGCAGTGGGACAAATCCTGGAGGACCCTTCGTTTCAAGAGCAAACAGTTTGAGAAACTTGGTTGATCATGTCAAGCTATATTGAACTACTCCTCAATTGAGCCCGTACCTAGAATTCTGCGAATTTGTCGATCTTGAATTTGAGCGTACATGCCGAAAGTGGCCTTCCACGCTTTCTTCCTTCGCACCAACAATGTTTATACCGATGTAGGCAAGATATCGAACCCTTGATCTGGATCCGCAAAGTATCTTCGATTGCGTTTGAAAGAAGCTTTTAGCCCAGCAGAGCGTTCCCCAGTCGGATTCAAGTTTTGGAATATGATGTTTCTGAGACTAGTCTGTCGTCGCACATCTGCGAGACCTCTTCCAAACGATAAATAGAAGCATCATCCATGATTCAAGCGGACTTAGGGCCCGGTTACTTTCCACAGTGCTGAAGTAGCTGGGCTAAAAAAATTCTTCAGCTATAATAGCGTCTGTTGTACTGCGGAACGGAGGTAAAGCACCGCCCTAAATGTACACTGGTGGAACGTCGCCCGCCCAGTGACGACCAGCCCCAACCCCAACTCTCTTATCACATTCCAGACTCATTGACATGAAGCAGGTGATATCATGGAGGCCTGATAGATTATGTAGATACAGTTTTCGCAAACCAGCTCTTCGGTCTTTAGCACATGAAGCGGAAGCACAAGCCCTTGCTGCCCACTGTGAGCATGTTCAGGGTAAGGTTTCTGCTTTCAAAGCCAGAGAATCCCCCTATCTGAAACCAACGAAACAATCTTAGCCCACGCGGAGGATTTACTAGGAGAGGAACCTACAAGTTAACTCCTTGGCCTGCAGTCATTACCTAATACACTTCGCTGACGCCCGGGCGCGACCCCGAGCGCGTTAGGACGTAAAGTCCGTTCCCGGTCATGCCCTACCTCCGTGCTACTTCTTTCTCGCGATGAAGCTATGGCTAAACGTCTGTTTGGAGCACCTCCCCATACTCTCTCTTCACGCACATTCATCCCCTGGATAGAACTGATACTTGCTCGTCCTGTTTCGACATTCCAGAAATCGCTTGAGCCTTGTGATTTATTCGAGTACACGTCTGGACGATGGATGTACGTTGCAGGCTTAGACAAGCCACCCATGTTCAACTGCTCTGCTGATATGATGACAGCTATAATGAGAATCTGAGGCATCGCGAGAGAAGACGAGTTTTCAACATCTCTGAACTTAAGCGCCTTGCTGCCCTAGCTGTTCAGCAGAAAGCAGCGGATGTGATCGAATTCAAGAAACTCGCCGAAGGAGGCTTCAATCGAAGTTTCCTGATCACCATGAGAGATGGCTCGCAACTTGTTGCGCGGATTCCGTATCCAGCTACCGAGCCCAAATTCCTATTGGTCGCGAGTGAAGTCGCAACTTTGGATTTTCTTCGTCTTCATGGGATCCCAGTACCGAAGGTTTTTGACTACTCTGCCGTTGCGGATAATAGTGCGGGTACAGAGTACATCTTCATGGAGTATGTGCAAGGAAAAAACTTAGCGGATGTGTGGTATACCTTGTCTGAACGGGAAAGAAGAGAATTAGTCGCAAATATCGTGCAGCTAGAGTCTCGTTTATTCAGCTTGCGGTTTCCTGCAAGTGGGAGTCTCTATTACTGCAATTATCTGCCAGATAAGTACTCCCGTGTCACTGTTCCAAGCCCAGGATCCTCCCATCGCTTCTGTGTCGGTCCTGATACTTCGCTGCGGTCGTGGTATGGCAAAAGACTTAACTTGTCGGTTGAGCGTGGACCTTGTAAGCGAACTTCTGGAAGATGAACGAGACATTGAAATGCTTGGGTAACTAACCCTCTGAAGACCGAGATCTTTTAGCAGTTCTTACTGCCGGTGCCAAAAAAGAGATTGCCTACCTGGAGCAATTCGGGCGCCCTCTCCAGCCATTCCAGCGTCTTCGCCGAGAGGTATACAACTACCAGCCTCAGTCGCACCAGGAACATGCTGCAGCTCTAGAGAAATATCTTCAGATTGCACCTTACCTTATACCACAGGATTGTCGGGCCCTTCATCGCCCAGCCATACGGCATCCCGATCTTCAACCTAACAACATATTCATCACTGATGATCTGAAAGTCAAGGGATTAATTGATTGGCAGCACAGTACGGTTCTGCCATTATTTTTGCAGTGCGGTATTCCAGAGAGTCTACAGAATTATGGCGACGAGATCTCGGAGTCGCTGCAATTACCAACTTTGCCGACCGATTTCGATGAACTCGAAGAAATAGAGCAATTCCAGCAAGCGGAACTCCTGCGCAGGCGTCAGATACACTACTTTTATGTCAAACTGACAGCAGAAAGGAATCCCGAGCATTACGAGGCCCTGACCCTCCAATTCAGTACCTTAAGACAGCGGCTTTTCCATCATGCAAGTGATCCTTGGGAGGGCGACAATACGACGTTGACAGCCGACTTGATTACATTGTCTAAGAAGTGGGCAGGCTTTGCTCAAGATGCGAGAAAGCCTTGTCCAATTTCTTTTTCAGACGACGAGGCGATGGAATATCTACGGCTAGAACGCGCACAGTCAGAAGCAGACGAGCAATTCCAGGCTTGTCGGGAAGCGATTGGGGTTGGCCATGAGGGCTGGGTTTCCCTAGAAAACTACGATGAGGCAAAAAAAAGCGAAAGAAAGCTGAAAGCAGACGCTCTCGATGCTGCCGAAACAGAAGAGGAAAAAGCAAGAATCCAAGAAAACTGGATTTTCGATGACTTTTGCGAGGAAGAATACTTGTGAAATCTCCGGCTGGGTCGCTGTTTATGTGGATCAAGGGGGATTTTTGCATTCTCCTTATGCGTATTATTCGGCGCGATGTCGAATATCGGAAGCTCCAAATGGCTGGATGAGAAGCAGCAGCTGGTGAGATCAAGTACGCAAACCCGACTTGTCAGGAGGGTAGGGAACTCTTATTCTAGTAGACATGGTTGTATGACTCAGAGTTGTCCTACCATATTTGGAAATGACATATAAGCCGTTTTAGGCCTGAGATACTCCTATTTATAGATAAGCCTAATTCTAGCCGCCAAGGACGCTAAACGCTCGTTGACAAAATTAGCAACCCATTCTTGACGTCATTCAATTGTAGGACTCGATTAAAACACTGGGGGCTAATTTTGGCTCGAGTGAGTGTCAGTGATAAAGCGAACAAGTCCACGCATCCGATACTGGAGGTCCGAAGCATTCCAAGAAAGCTACTCACGGTGCCTTTGGCTGTTCAGTAACTTCTAGAATGCAACGTACTTTTAAACAAAAGCTATTTTTCTGGCTAGTCTTTCAGCTTCTTTTGCCTCTGTCATTTGAGGTAAAGCAAGACATGCCTCCTATCGTTGACACCTACGCCCATCATCATCTTTCTGCATGTCCAGGTGATCCCGCAGAATTGACACACAACCTGAGCCGACTGTTCGAACTCGGAAGTCACCAACATACAGAAGAGCATTCGAGAGTTTCTACTAGCAGTTGTAAAGATCCGGGGATTATTGAGGTCTAATGCCAATAGACTTACTTTTCTCGCAACAACCATGAGGTTCTTACAGTCAAATGATTTACCGTTCCGTCGGCAAGATGTTTTCAAATCTTTACAGATGAGTCCATGATCTACAACGGGTCTCCTTCCTAAGCAATATACGGAAATTTTGTCGTGCAGGACTGAGTGCCTGTTCTCTCATTTCTTAACGTCATGTCAGCGACCTAGAGCTAGCTATGAAATAGTCACGTTGAAAAAGAAAATTGGGTATAGAGGGTTGAATCATCCACAGTTTTGGCGATGCACGTTCAGTCTTTCAAAGAAGACATGCATCAATCTTCCACGTAGGAAGTGATCGTGTTGAAAATTATATCATTTCTATTTTTTGGTCGTCATTCAGGAGCGAGAGTAGGTCTGCTTGGGTAGGGGTAACTAGAGAATGATCAGTTAGCATTACAGGAATGTATTTCTACCGTTCTTCTACCCGTCTTGGTAGGAACTTACGAAGGTCCAAGCTCCTGGATGCTCCTGCTGGCGAGCCACTGGCCCTTGTCAATGGAGTCCTCCAGGGAGTCGCCAGAGACGAGACCGGCAAGGAAACCACCGGCGAAGGCATCACTACAGATGATGGAGTAAGCAATTTGGTTTTGAACCTAGAGATCAAAGCAATGACTACTTACCCAGCACCATTGGTGTCGGTGATGGCATCCTTGGAGATCTCACGGACAGGGAATTGCTTCACCACAACGCCGCTGTCCTTGTCGGCAATGGCAACGATGGTGGGCTCAGTACCCTGGGTGATGATGGCAACACGAGAACGCTGGGTGTTCTTCTTAGGGAGAAGAGCGAGCTTCTTGGCGATCTCAACGATGTCCTCGGTGCCCCACTCATGGCTCTGAGCGTAGGCAATAGCCTCAGTCTCGTTACCAATGACGTAGTCAGTGAGGGGAGAATACTGTCCAGCTGCTCCTTGAAGAACTGAGGGATGAAAGGAGCAGAGAGGGAGAGCACGAAAGGCTTGTTCTTGGCAGCGGCCTCCTCGCCCAGGGCGTTAATAGCAGGAACGCAGACAGTCAAGTGGAATCCACCGACGAAGAAAAACTTGGCCTTCTCAACAAGGTCCCAGATGTGGGGCTGCTTCAGGTGTTCAAGCTTGTAGTTGTTGGCGGCAGCCAGGTGGGTGCAGAGACTACGGTTGTGTCCAGTAATGACAACGCCACACTTGCCAGTGGGCTCGGTCTCATCAACAAGGTACTCTGTCTTGACACCGGCCTGCTCACAGGTAGATTTGAGGATATCGGCGTACTTGTCCTTGCCAACGCAACCAATGTAGACAACGGAGTTGTCGGGAAGCATGTACTAGAGAGAGGTCAATTCCTGGTGATAGCAACGGAAATATCCAACGAACTTACCTGAGCACCACGGGCAGAGTTCTGGGCAGCACCACCGGGAATCAGCTTCGCGTCACGGCCCATGAGCTCCTCATAGAGACCCATGTGCTTCTCCTCGGCAAGAATGGCATCATTGTCCTTCAGCCCGTACTTCTCTAGCAGAGCAGCATCACTGTGATAAAAACTGTCAGCCATTGTGGCCTTTCCAACTCTTCATGTTCGAGAATCGCCATACCCACGAGCCTGAATATCTAGAAACAGATAAATAAGATCAGCAATCTATCCAGTATATCCTTATCAATCGATCGAGCGGCCTTACCGAGAAGAGGGTTCTCCAGGAGCAAAAGAGGGTAACCTTGAGTAGCAGCCATTGTGAATAATCGACTATAAGACGAGAGAAGAAGAAGAAAGAGGGAAAAAAGAAGGAATTGGGGCGAGAAGCAGAAGAAGTGGGAGGATGGAGGGGTTTGGCAAAAAAGCGCCGGGGCGGAAACTCACGCTCCACCGGGAGGGAATCTCGACAAATCACATCCGCAGTTGTTCTACTGCGGTGGACTTCCTCCTTGCTTGCCCATCAGTCTGCAACACCTCGAGACCTTTCACATCAGCCCCCATCACCATGACCGACCCCATCCTCGAGGTCGCCGAGACCATTCAAACCGCTTCAATCAACCAGAACCCATCGGCGGCCCATGATGTGAACCCTTCCACCTCCGCCTCGGAGAAGATTCCGGTTGTCGCACCGGCGTCGGACGCCGGGAGTCTGGATACAGACATTGTGGACGAAGACCGGCAGATTCGCCCTGTACGCCGGCGCCAAACCCTGCCTGCGCTTCCCGACCTGCGCTTCGAGCAGAGCTACCTGGCCAGTCTGAAGGATGCTGACACTTGGGGGCGAGTGGCGTGGATTACCGTGAGAGACCAGGTACGCGGCTGACATCATATTCCACCAACGGACGATCATATATTCGTTCCAGTGGTGAAGCCCTGGAGACCCGATGGATGGTTAATTAACCAATAACTCTTATTAGATGCTCCTTCCGCTCTTCCAAGGCACTCTGTGGACCCTTGCACTTGCCGGCTGGCGGCATTGGAACCGCAACGCTTCGTTGAGCGGCCAGACACTCGGAAGTCGGCTTCGCAGATGGTGGTATGGAGTCAACAACTGGGAGTTGCCGCCCAAGTGGACCTCAAGTCCTAAGCTGACGCAGCAGGTTGAAGATGTGAGTCGCAATTTGATATTGGATTTAGCAGTTTTGTCTGGTAAAACCAGCGCCGCTAACGCTACTGGAGTTTCTGCAGTTCTACCAAAATCAGTTCTCCAATGCGGGCTCCGACTAAGCAACTTTGGTTAGCCCGCGGGTTTAATGCTGACTTATTGGGCTATAAAAGCGCTGTCGTGCCCACTGCACCATTGCATATTTGGCGTTTGATCTGAGGCGTTTTCACTTGGAGTACTGTTTTATATCCCAAAATTTCGACTTCTCCTCACAAGGACATCTGGACCCTTCATATAATCGTATCCATTAACATATTAGCCACTCCGAATTAAACTTAGAAAGCCACGCAGTTATACAGCAATTGGCACTCGTTCCGTACAACCCTCTGACCTCTTGTTTGGACCCATTGCGCCTTAAATTGATACATGTAGTAAACCTAGTAACTCCCCCTAGAGCAAGTCATTGGAAACCCCATCTTAGAAAATATAGAACACGCACATCCGAAAAGAGCCTCTGGAATGCTACCCGTGACTAGGCGGAGGCTGGGATTGAGGCAGTTCGACACTTGATCCATTTCCAACGTCCGTGGCATGGCCGGTCCAGCCATTTGCTGGTTGATCAGGCTTTGGGTCTTCCGAGGCGGTAGGAAAAGCCGTCAAAGGGGCCGAGGGTGTCGGGTACGCCGCCGTCGTCCGCGGAACAGCATCTTGTTGGCTAAGAAGCTGTGACACTGGCGCTGAGGAGAAATGAGAAGAGGTAGTGTTTGAGTCGGGCCGATTTAGCTGCGTGAGGTTCCCAGCCGGGAGAGAAGCAGACGCTGACTGGGAGGGGATTGGCAGGGTCGGAGCAGACGTATTTGTTGGAACCTCTGTCTGACTGACTTCCTTCATAGGGGCATCTTGAGCAGGCGGGGGCTCATCACTAGGTGGCTTTGGAGCATTGGACTCATTTCCCTTGCCGTAGCGAAGCTGGATCACGAGGCTTTGGGGCTCACCATGGATGATGGATTCATCCCCGCTGGCATTGTCGCCCTCGTCATCTCCTTCAAAATCGTTATCCTCTTCGTCACCGCTGTTCCAATCATTGCCACTGTCATTGCCACTGGAGCGGGCTTCAGATTCGTCTTCCAAGTCATCATCCCCATATCCAGAATATCCGTTAGCATTGACAGAAGTCCTAGCTCTCTGGGGTCTTTCGTCATCACCATAGGCCTCTTCTGAATCCTCTCTTTGGCCACTGAGCAATGCCTCTCCGTAGAGTCCACCCGCGCGAGACCGAACTTGACGCCCACTCGCCGTAAACTGAGTTCTCGGGGCTTCCGCTGGCGCATTCCCTGCGTTGCGCGTTGAGCGTCGGGATGGCTGATCATCCCGGTCAGAAAAAATGTCTTCGTCATCCGAGTAGGTATACTTCAGCTTTTTCCCACGAGTACGGCCCTCGTACATTGAAAAGCCCGGTTCGGGTCGAGCAAATGCAGCCTTCCGTGCGAGGCGATAATCACGGCGCTTCCGTTTCTACCAAAAGTCAGTATCAATGCCAAAAAGAGAGCGCACAAGAAAGCTTACTTCTTCAGAGGCCTCGAACCGGGGAATAGCATGCCGGATTCTTTCACAGAGTTTCTTCGAATTGGTACCTTTCTCTTCCTGAAGCTTATCCGCGATATTCTGCATTTCCGGTATGCTCCCAGCAACACTCCGCCACGTTACGTTCTTGAGAGCGGGGTTGCTCTCCCGATACAGCCTGAAATGTGTGTCGTCTTGGCCTTCGATAAGCCAGTATCGCCGTTTCAGACTGTCGCGGCCCCACGGCTGAACCGAAAGCGGCTGGTTCAGGTCATCGTCATGGCGCGATTGCTTGTACGATTCCTTTATCTTGGCCTGAATTGCGTCGGAAGAGGAGAAGACCAAAGGATAAGAGATCGGAGTAATTCGAGCTGTATAGCACAGTCGCGGTGTCAGATTCAATCACATTTCAATGATGGAGTTAAAGCAGAGCTTACGCGTTCTTCAGGTGACATTGTCGCGAAAGTGCGACCCCCGTGGAGAGGGTTCTTGCCTTCCCATGCCTTAGGCCACTGTGTTTGGTGGGTAGAAATAGCTTCTTCCAGCGGTCTGGTGTAGTGATTACGTCTGGAAAATGCAACAAGATCAATTAGCGATGATCTCTATTATCAATTGGCGAATAGCGAGCAAAAGCGCGCGCTTCTGCCTGGGGGCGACTTGCCGGCGTTAGGGGTGGCGAACATACTCAACTTCTTTCTTGCGGTTCAAGACCAGACCTAATAATGCGCATAGCAACCGCTCGACATATTCACCAGGAGGAGACTCTTGGACCCCTATTTCGACATCCTGTGGTCCAAGGTGTGGAACGCTGCGAGGGAAGGATTCGGCGAAACGCGCGCGGAACATCACGATGAACTAGAAACATTGCAACAGCTTAGCATTCGTGTCCACATAAACCCAGACGCGTCGTGAACGTGTCCGTTTGTTATGTCTTTGGAGAAATTTTGTTTTCGATCGAGACAAAAACTCACTGCGATGTTGGGGTTATCGGCCAAAACGTATTCATGCGGCGGAGATGGCTCTCGCTTTGGCGGCGGAGTCTCGGACTCCTTCTTGAAGTACTTCGCAATACCGACAGGCTCGGGCTCATCGAGCGCCATGGCTTCGTCATCTGTTGGAGGTGCTGAAGATAGCGACGATAAATCTGAGTCTGAGGGCGCCATGTTGTGTTTGCTGGAGGAGAGATGTGAGAGATAGAGTTGGATCGCGCGCGCGCAGGAAGAAGCGTCACGTCGGGCCCGCAGACCTGATTATTTAATGGATTCCTAGCTCGACCAGCATTTCTTGCTCAGGCGCCTTCTACATTCATTTGCTTCGAAAGTTCATTAGAAAGATTCTTAAAATCCAGTAGACACTGAGATACATTGTCGTCTGCATATCAACAGGTAATACAGCTAGAGTCCGCCTATCTACCAATTCCCTCTTATCATATCGAGAAAACGCACATGATCAAGGACTCCGAGACTCTTATTACGCAAAAGTAAGGAATGCACCCACTAATTGATGGGATAGATGGAGATTTGCGAGTTCTTCATACTCATCTACCTATACCATGACTTTATTGCTTGGCAGCCATCATTTGAATCGATGCGCACACCAGACTTCTCAATTCCCAATCTATTATCGGGCAGTAGAAATCTTGAATCCACGGTGAGGAGCGGATCTTCGCATGGAGGCACGGGCACGTTCGCTGGTCCAAGGGGACGTAAGTGGATGATGGCCACCTCAGGGCTGTTTTACGAAAGTCATGTGATTCCCCACATAGATGACGGATGAATATGTAGAGAGAGACTTGTTCATCATAAGAGTCAGACAGTAGACTCAAGTGCTATGCAATGCCAATAGTACTATGGAATAGCTTCTGGCAATTCCTATTGTCTAAAGATCAAGAGAACTCCTAAATGAACGTCGGAGCGCCCTACGTCAATTCTAGAGTGGTGAGGGCATGATATTATTATGTCAGCTGGTTTTCGGCTAAACCGAATCCGGTTTGGTTAGCGACCGCACCCTAAAGCCCACACAGTTCGGTCTCCGACATTTCTCATCTCTCCACGACAAGCCCTTCAATTCGAGGTACGACTTTTCCCACCACCCCTTGTGCGCTTTTGGCACTACGCCTTTCGACTCTATAAGATACTAACTACAGGTTTCTTTATACAGACAAGCCGCCATGGGTCGTGTCATCCGCAACCAGAGAAAGGGCCGTGGCTCCATTTTCAGTGAGTGCGATCGCAACAATCCTTCCATCCTGGATTCGATTTTCCTTTGGGTCGGCACAGTGTCTACGGGTAGCACGGAGGATTCAAGGATAAAAGAACAGGATGGAAATTCACCAGGTGGACTAGATTGCTGATATCGATTTTTTTTTCCCCTTCACAGCGGCTCACACCCGTTTGAACAAGGCCCCCGCCCAGTTCCGTACCCTCGACTACGCTGAGCGTCATGGATACACCCGCGGTGTCGTGAAGGAGATCATCCACGATCCCGGCCGTGGTGCTCCCCTCGCCAAGGTCCAGTTCCGCCACCCCTACAAGTTCAAGATGGTCACCGAGACCTTCATCGCCAACGAGGGCATGTACACCGGCCAGTTCATCTACGCCGGTAAGAACGCCCAGCTGACCGTCGGCAACGTCCTTCCCTCGCCTCCATGCCCGAGGGTACCGTCATCTCCAACGTCGAGGAGAAGGCCGGTGACCGTGGTGCGCTCGGCCGTACCTCCGGTAACTACGTGACCGTCATTGGTCACAACCCCGACGAGGGCAAGACCCGTATCAAGCTGCCCTCCGGTGCCAAGAAGGTTGTCAAGGACACTTCCCGTGGTATGGTTGGTATCGTCGCCGGTGGTGGCCGTACCGACAAGCCCCTTCTCAAGGCTTCTCGTGCCAAGCACAAGTTCGCTGTCAAGCGTAACTCCTGGCCTAAGACTCGTGGTGTTGCCATGAACCCCGTCGATCACGTAAGTTTCGCTTGATTTGACCTTTATCGAACTGATGAACCTGACGATTTCTTTTATAGCCTCACGGTGGTGGTAACCACCAGCACATTGGTAAGGCCTCTACCATCTCCCGCTACGCCGCCCAGGGTCAAAAGGCCGGTCTCATTGCTGCCCGCCGTACCGGTCTGCTCCGTGGTACCCAGAAGACCAAGGACTAAGGGTTTTAATCTTCGGAGTTTTTCTTGTGACGGGTTGAAAATGGACTTCTGCTACGAGACATATGTACTTAGGCGAATGCGGATAAGCGTCCCATGCGCCCTTAGCGAATTAAGGTTGTGGCCACCATCCTTCTTTTTCCTTTGTTGAAGTTCAGAAAAAAAGGGGTGATGGAATGGGGTCCGGGTAGGCCTCATGTTAAGGGCAGGACTGAAAATCGAAAAAGGCCCTAGGGGCTTGGAAATGATACACCTTTTAACTTCATTTGTTCTGCTACCACCTAGCAGCTGTCGTAGAGCTATGGTCGGATGCCGAGGAGTAGCCAATTCTTGGTTTCTCAAAAGGCCCCGTGGGTTACTTGTACTATGGGACTCTTGGTAGAGCATGTTGAACGGTAGTTTAATCCAAAGATCGCCAGTGGTAGTGTTGTATGTTCGTGTTCAAAATTTCTTGATTCCAAGTCTGATATATTGAACTTATTCTATCGATGTATTTGGGATCGACATCTCCGCTATTGTGACGAATACAATGCCAAGGCATATCATAGTACGCAGTCTGGCTGGCAGTTTCCCAATGCATATTCACAGAAATTTCGCGACAATACTACTCCAACATCGTGACTGCCCCTGTCAGGTTGCTACCGCTGCCATTGGCTCAAGTTCATGATGGACGGCACTCCTACGGCGCATGTTCGTGACAACCGCTAGCCAGTATTTAAAGCACAGTCCGCGCCAAAAATTAGGCATCAAATTTACCGAATATAGACGAAGCCTTTTCGAGTTGGTTTTAGATCGCCTGCTGTTGTCTTTGATCTTTAGTAGTGGCTATAAGGTTCTAACTTTATCCCTACTGGTGGGTCGGCTTTTTGCTGGTATTCTCTCTATATATAATCGACCGACCACAAGATTTGGACACTTCTGCCCTCAATTTCCGAATCCTAGTACATACAAATATTTAATGTTCCAAAAGCCTTTAGCCTGCTAATTACAGACCCACCCTACATACTCTTCCCATATGGTACTGAGGATTGGCGTACAATCTAGCATCTATAGGCTTTTGTCTATGAGTCGACCTGCCGAGTACCGACCATTGCTCTCAAATTGACCAATCAGAGCCCACGAGCACCAAGTGGAAAACTAGTCATTTCCATCACATGGATGGCCTTCGCTGATCTTGTATCTTTCAGAGAGCCTTTATTTGTGACTACCACTACGAAGTGTCTACACCTTAGCCTGAATCCAACCGCGATATTTGAGGCTGCAGGATGGCAAGTGTAGCAGAGACAGCACCCCAAAAGCTGCCCCGCCTCCACCGATCGGGCGACGCCCTCACCTCCGCTGAGAGGTGGCAAGCCATCACAAAACGAGATACATCGGTTAATAGCTTCGTCTACGGGGTCCTGACCACCAAGATATACTGCCGCCCTTCCTGTTCAGCCCGGTTGGCCCGACGCGCGAACGTTGAGTTCTATGACGAACCCTCACAAGCCGAGAGAGCTGGCTTTCGTCCCTGTAAGCGCTGTCGCCCTCAAACCGGAGGTACGGCGGCTCAGAACAACCCCCAAGCCGCGGTGATCGAGAAGACCTGTCAAGCTATTCGAGAAGAGGTGGCCGCAGGCCGGAAGCCGCGGCTTCTGGATCTGGCGGCTGGCGCCGGGTTGACACCTAGTCATTTGCATCGGGTGTTCAAGAAGCTAGTAGGCGTCACGCCTGGGCAGTACGCTAGCAGCATTGCGGATTACGGCGCTTGTCCCTCGCCGGACTCACTGAGTCCAAATAATTTCCTAACTCCCGAGGCTATGCTCGATCTTGAAACACCAGTACCTTTTCCCCGGGAGTTCGTGGGGACGGACGATCTCAAATTAGATACCGGGAGAGGAGGGGTGGCTTCAGCGATTGAAGGGCCGGCGGCAACATGGGAGGACTACGTGTTTGAAAACATGACTCCTGTCATTGTGGACCAAACCTGGAATGATTTCGATGCTCTATTCGCCGAATCATGGCCCCTGGATTCGTACGTTAACCCGCGGCTTATCACGGAGCCTGAATAATGAGGCGTTCGAACCCCTGAAGCACTGCCCCGATGGTGTGATGAATACTCCGTACAGATGATAAGATGTTGAATTAGGTTTATAATGTATAATACATTCAATGACAGTGACTGCATGATCGCGGGGCCTCTTACCCTTTTGATGTAGGGTTACTGCTGATCGATTGCCCCGTTGGTTGTTACCTCAATTAAGCAGCGCCCCAACCACGTCCGCAAGCATGCTGCTGGGGAAGATCTGCCTATCCTTGACCTTTGCGGCCACATGTCCACGGTACTTACCATCGCGCACCGATCCACAAGTACAGTCGCCACTTGGTCCCGGCAAGGGGGTGAAACACAAATGGGGTCTTGCGAGAACGTCGCAGCCTGTAGCAGCACGAACCAATACTTAGGGACTGGAGTCGCTGGCGTACGTACTAGGCCACGCCACAAAAGCCCCCAGTGTAATGCCACCGACCGAGACTCGCTTGAGCGGCAGCAACAGGCGCCTTGCATTCTGGTCTGCACCCCCCTGACCCCATCCCCAAGTGACAAGGCGATACTTCTTGTCCTGGACGGGTTAAATTTAGCCATGGCGATCCGGAACGGCCTCTTCGACCTTCCAATTGAATTCCATTGTGTCTTGTAACTCAACCGCTAGGGCCAATTGGATCGAGCTGTGATCCACCGCCGCTCCGCCAACGCGTGTCACTGCCAAGCCCCGTCGAAGACCTGGCCATCTGAAACCCTCGAACCTCCCCATTTGTCTCGGAGTCTTGTCTGCCCGCCGGAGCACATAATCTAGATTGTTGTCGATAGGCCCCGCGGCAAGTCCTCTAAGTATTAGTTACTTCCCGTATCCCCCAACAATCAAAGCAAGATCAAATCAATTCCCCTTTGGTAGCGCATTCCCCACCGATCGACACCACATTTGTTAACTCTGCATGCAGCGAAACGCTTTGAGGGGCGATTCCAGAAAACAGTAAATCAAAGCATTGGATACGCCGGGGATTTTTTTTTTTTCTTTTTATTTTTTACTCCTGGTGGCGCATCCCACCATTGACCTGGGTCAACTGAGGTGGAATCACGGTGAACAATTTATTGTAGAGCTCGTCCGCCCTTGTGTGTCCGAATTCTGCCTTCTTTTTCCCCAACCTCCCTTTTCCCTATCCCACCGCCACCCCCCTCCCCCTTGTTGTCCCTCTTTTAGCTGGTCCCTGGAGTTCTGTCTGTCTGGATCTACACAATCGTTTGCAACTTCACATTCGCATCCGCATCCGCATCCATCCGCATTCATCCTCAATCTCACAACAACAATTCCCTCGATCTCATATCCTTCGATTTGTCTCTAGGTGCTCCAGATCGCCATCTGAACCATTATGAATGTCAACAAAAGAATCGGCCGCTTTAAGCAATGGGCCGGCGAGCGTATGGGCGGCGAGGTCAAAACATGCCAGTCCGACGACTTCAAGGCCATGGAAACGGAGATGGGCGTTCGCCACGAAGGAATCGACCGCATCCACAAGGCTATGACCGGCTATGTGAAGGCTATTTCTAAGCGCAATGAGGGCGACGACAAGGAAAGGACTCTGCCCATCGCCCACCTGGGTAGCAGTATGGTTGCCCATGGAGAGGACTTCGATGGAAATTCTGAGTACGGGCAATGCCTCATTAGTAAGTAAAAGGAAAGCTACTTGTGCTCAGAGCTTATGTCTGACGCAAATTTCCAGTGTTTGGACGAACGGAGGAGCGCATCGCACGTATCCAGGAGGGCTATATCACACAGGCGACTTCGAGCTGGCTTGAATCCCTGGAACGGTCAATGACCCAGATGAAGGAATACCAGGTACGTCATATACGAAGCCCCTGTTTAAGCAAATTTAGCTAACAGCCTTGCAGCAAGCTCGCAAGAAGCTAGACAGCCGTCGATTGGCATACGACACCTCACTGGCCAAGATGGAGAAGGCGAAGAAAGAAGACTTCCGCGTCGAAGAAGAGCTGCGCTCTCAGAAATTTAAGTACGAGGAAGCCAATGAGGATGTTTTCCGTCGCATGGATGATATCAAGGCGGGAGAGGTCGACAGTGTCATGGATCTGGGCTCCTTTCTGGAAGCCCAGCTGGAATATCATGACCGTTGCCGCGAAGTTCTGCTTCAATTGAAGAACGAGTGGCCCGTTGGGTGAGTTTTGACACACGAGGGGGGGGGGGGTTTTTGGTGCGTATTGAGGTACTAATTTCGTAGCAGATCTGGCCCAGGACCGACACCGCCACGAATTACGGGACGCTCTCGGTCCAACACCGCCCAGTCCCATCTGGAACGATTTCAACCCCTGCAAGAGGAGCTAGCCAGTGTCACCGAAGCACCTCCACGACCAACCATCCGTTCTACTCGGACCGTCGCTGATCCTTATACACGGGAGTCCTTCCCGACAGTCACGGGTGGTTATGCTCGGCCTGTTTTGAACCGGACGTCTACATTCGAAAGCCCAACTCAGCTTCGCCAGGAACAACAGACTCCGACTTCCTCACCATGGATCCAACGAACAGCTAGCGAGACTCTCGCCAACCGTTGCAACAGTACTCAATTGCTTAACCGCCCACCCGTCGATCCATATGCCGACTCCGAAGTCAGCTCCTACGGGTCGTATGGACGCTCTAGCCCAGAGCGTATGAATGGAGGTCGCTCACTCTCTCCTGCCACATCCCACGGTAGCGCTGCATCTCGACGGCCAAGTGCAGCAGCCCTGAACTCTTCAGCGACTGGACTCGCAAAGAAAGCCCCCCCCACCACCTCCACCGTCTCGCGCAAAGAAGCCTCCGCCTCCGCCTCCTCCGATGAAACGAAGCCTTGCTACAGACGCATAACTGTCATATGTGACTTGTCTTTACCTTTTTCTTCTTTCGGAGCATGGGGATTTGAGGAGTTCTGAATAGTTCATGATCATTGGCGAAAATGGATTTGCGTTATTTTTACGAAGGGTTTTCACCGTATTCCGGTGAGGCTGCTTTGCTATTGTCCGAATACGCTTTGTTTCTTTCGTTTGTTTACTGTCCCATGCCAGACCTGTCTGTAGTTTGGATGTATATACTATGGCTTTACGCAAGAGGCTGGCAGTTTAGCTAGAATGAGGCCCCGTTCAGCGTGAATTTCGAGCGCCAATTTTCTCCAACTCGGAAACCGTAAAAGTAGCCAGAACTAGTAGATCTATGCTAGTATAGTGAATGTGGAGTATCCGGCACCAGACAAGATAAGAAAGATAAGAGACGGAGTGAGGACCGACGCACGGGCCAACTAGATGGTCTCTATTTTACGCTGCGATCCCGAACCCTGCGTTTTCCCCAGCACCCTGAGTCAGCACACGTGATACCAGCTGAAATCTCCTCTCGCCGCCTCCTGTTGTTAGTCGCCAACTCCAAGGAGCACCAGGTTTCCCGAACGAGTCGCGCGAACTCGGTCCCCTCCATCTCCATTTCCATCCACCCCGGCCACGCGCCATCCCACACGATTGCATCGTCCCAGTTCGGGACTTCCTTCCCGTCCCGCGCACTCCCTTGCCCTCCCAAATCCCATTTCTTTATTCGCGAGGGTACCCGCCCCCCCCCGGGCCATCGATCGCATCGCGGAATCTCCGACCACGCGCCTAGAGTTCGCGCTATCTATCGCCAAGTCGCTTGTTTGGACCACACCAGGTCTTTTCTACCCTCCCAACCCCAGAGCTACATCGCCTTACCGCCCTTCTGATCGCGTTCCTCTCAACCCCTTCCTTTTCCAAACGCGACTTGGGAGGTCAAGTGGAGCCCATCACCCTCGGCTTGACACGCTTCTGATATTCCACCGCGCAACGCTCTCCCCTTTCCACAAACATCTCTCTATGAATTAAGCAACATTGAATAAACCATGGCTTCCACTCAGTCGGTGCCAAACATGGCTCCGGCCAATGGCGCCGCCCCAGCCCAGGGCACCAATAACCTGCACAACATGAATGGTGATCAGGTCAAGGAAATATTAACTGTAAGCTAAATCAACCTGTCCCAAAGCCTTGACAAATAGTGTTCTTGTTTGATCTCCCCCCTTTCACGAAACCTCTTTTTTCGTCCACGTCTAATACCCTCACAGCAACTCAGACAAATGAAGGCCCATATGGACACGAACCGTCTAAAGGTCGATGATCTGCCCAACGACAAGAAGGAGAAGTACAAGTACTGCCTCTCTATCTATCTGCAGGTCATGGCATACCAGCAGAAGAAGCAGAATGCTGCGGCCAATGGCGGCCAAGGTAAATTGCTCAACCCCCCCCCCCCCCAACGTCAACCTTTTAATTCGAGACTGACTCCAAAATAAAAGCCAACAACACCCCCAACCAGCCCAATGCTGGCACGCCCGCCGGCCAGCAGCAAGTGGCGGGGCAAAAGGGAGCTACTCCTACCAGTGGGCCCTGGTCCAAGCCCCAGTATGAGTTGTTCCGTCACCAGCAACTTCTGCACGAGAAGGCCAAGAACAACCAGCCAATCACTCCAGCTGAGATGAAGACACTCAAAGATCTCACCAACGCAGTAACACCGTCTCGCGCCAAGGCTGTCGCTGCCGCAGAGAAGGTCGTCGAAAAGGCCGAGAAGGGATCTGTTGAGCCAGGTGCAGTGAATGGTGATAATGACACTCCCGAAAAGGAATGGTATGAGAGCTTGGAAACCCCTGCTGTTCTGAAACAACAAATTGGCTACGGAAAGTACCGTGTCCAGAAAAACCGGTCGGTTATCCCGGCTGTGTGGCCTTATGGCATCGACCGACAAGGCATTATTGAACGCCGCAAGGCAGCTTTGATTGATGCAATGAGCCGTCGACGAGAGGAGCTCGCTCAGCAGTCAGCATCGATCGGTGTTTGGGACACTGGAAAGTCCGACGAGCCTACTCGCGATGATTCCTTGAAGATCAAAGTTTACAACGAGCTTGCTGCGATTGACAAGTGGAGCAAGCAGCAGCGTCTTCGTGAGGCCGTTTCCCGTGAGATGCTTCAATATAGCAATGGCATGACTGCGAACCGATCTCTCCACCGTCGTGTGAAGAAGCCTTCTTTACGCGAGGCACGTGTCACCGAGACCCTAGAGAAACAGCAACGGGATGCTCGTGAGACTCGGGAGAAGAAGAAGCAGTATGATCAGCTACAGGCAATTCTTTCGCATCGCCAAGAGCTTGTGAATGCTGCAGCCTTCCACCGTACTCGTTCTCAGAAGCTTGGTCGCGCCATGATTACTCACCAGCAACACATGGAGCGTGAAGAGCAGAAGCGTGTTGAGCGTAATGCCAAGCAACGTCTGCAGGCCCTGAAGGCCAACGATGAGGAGACTTACCTGAAGCTGCTTGGTCAAGCTAAGGACTCTCGTATCTCGCACCTCCTCAACCAGACCGACAAGTTCCTGAAAGAGCTAGCTGCTTCCGTCCGGAAACAACAGCGTAACCAAGCAGAGCGGTACGGCGAAGATGAAGATCTCGAAGAAGAAGACGAAGAGATCGCCGACAGTGATGAAGAAGATGGGGGAGACGCCACGCCTGGAAAGAAGAAGATTGACTACTACGCCGTCGCTCATCGTATTCGTGAGCAGGTCACTGAGCAGCCCAGTATTCTCGTCGGTGGTACACTGAAGGAGTACCAGATGAAGGGTCTGCAGTGGATGATTTCTCTGTACAACAACAACCTCAATGGTATTCTTGCCGACGAGATGGGTCTTGGAAAGACCATTCAAACCATCTCATTGATTACCTACATCATTGAGCGGAAGCAAAACAATGGACCCTTCCTGGTCATCGTTCCTCTCAGTACTCTGACCAACTGGAATGTGGAGTTCGACAAGTGGGCGCCCTCTGTTTCTAAGGTTGTCTACAAGGGCCCTCCGAATGCCCGAAAGCAGCAACAACAGCAAATCCGCTGGGGCAACTTCCAGGTGCTTCTGACCACCTACGAATACATCATCAAGGATCGTCCAATTCTCAGCAAGATCAAGTGGACTCACATGATCGTCGATGAGGGTCATCGTATGAAGAACGCCAACTCCAAGCTTAGCAGCACACTTTCGACATATTATGTCAGTCGCTACCGTCTGATTTTGACCGGTACCCCTTTGCAGAACAACTTGCCCGAACTTTGGGCTCTTCTTAACTTCGTTCTACCCAACATCTTCAAGTCTGTCAAGTCGTTCGATGAGTGGTTCAACACCCCGTTCGCCAATACGGGTGGCCAAGATCGTATGGACCTGAGTGAAGAAGAGCAGCTGCTTGTGATTCGTCGTCTGCACAAGGTGCTTCGTCCCTTCCTTCTGCGTCGTCTGAAGAAGGATGTCGAGAAGGACCTGCCCGACAAGCAGGAGCGTGTGATCAAGTGTCGCTTCTCTGCTTTGCAAACCAAATTGTATAAGCAACTCGTCACTCACAACAGATTGGCTGTTAGCGATGGGAAAGGTGGAAAGACCGGCATGCGTGGTCTCAGTAACATGCTGATGCAGCTGCGAAAGCTCTGCAACCACCCCTTCGTCTTCGAGCCCGTGGAAGACCAAATGAACCCTACCCGCATGACCAACGACCTTCTTTGGCGGACTGCAGGAAAGTTCGAACTGCTTGACCGTATTCTCCCCAAGTTCAGAGCTACCGGCCACCGTGTCCTGATGTTCTTCCAAATGACTCAGATCATGAACATCATGGAGGATTTCCTTCGCATGCGAGGTCTCAAATACCTTCGATTGGATGGTTCGACCAAGTCGGATGATCGTTCAGATCTTTTGAAGATCTTCAATGCACCGGACTCGGAGTATTTCTGTTTCTTGCTTTCCACCCGTGCTGGTGGTCTTGGTCTTAATCTGCAGACCGCTGATACCGTCATCATCTACGATTCTGACTGGAATCCTCACCAGGATTTGCAAGCCCAGGACCGTGCTCACCGTATTGGTCAGAAGAATGAGGTTCGCATTCTGCGTCTGATCAGCTCCAACTCTGTTGAAGAGAAGATTTTGGAGCGTGCCCAATTCAAGCTGGACATGGATGGCAAGGTCATCCAGGCCGGTAAATTCGATAACAAGTCAACCAACGAGGAACGAGATGCCCTTCTCCGCACTTTGATGGAGACTGCAGAGGCTGCAGATCAAATTGGCGATCAAGATGAGATGGATGATGATGACTTGAACGAAATCATGGCTCGATCCGAAGATGAAATTATCAAGTTCCAAGAAATTGACAGGGAGCGGCTTATGACGGACAAGTACGGCCCTGGCAAACGTTATCCTCGACTTATGTGTGAGGAGGAGCTACCAGACATCTACTTGCAAGAGGACAACCCGGCGACTGAAGATGTCGTGACTGAAGTCTACGGCCGTGGCGCTCGTGAACGCAAGTCTACACGGTACGATGACGGTCTGTCTGAACAGCAGTTCTTGGATGCCATGGAGGGTCTTGAAGATGGCAACGGTCTTTCCTTGGAAGAAGTCATCGAGAACAATGAGCGTCGTGCGGCTGAGCGTGCTGCCCGCAAGGAGAAGAAGAACAAGAGGGCTTCCGGTGTTGCTGAATCCTCACCAGACCCATCTGTGGACATTGACGATGTTGACGAAACTCCCCAACGGAAACGTCGCCGTGGCCCTCCCCCGAAGCGCAAGGCAGAGGAGGTCATTGAGGAAAATCCTCAGCCCAAGCGCAAGCGCGGCCGGCAGCCGAAGATCCCTGACACGCTCAGCAGTGCTGATCGCGCCACTTTGAACAGCATTTTGAACAGCGTGGTCACCTCTTTGAAGGAAATGGAGGCCGAAATGCCCGTTGAAGGATCAGACGCGGAAGACGAAGAGCCAATCATGCGTGCTATCATTGAACCATTCCTCAAGCCTCCGCCCAAGTCGCAATACCCTGATTACTACATGATCATCAAGCATCCCATTGCCATGGACACCATTGAGAAGAAGATGAAGCGAGATGATTACCAGAGCTTGAAGGAGTTCCGTGACGATATTCATCTGCTGTGCCAGAATGCTCGCACTTACAATGAGGACGGCAGTCTCCTGTTCCAAGATGCGAATGACATCGAGGTAAGTTTCCTATAACCAGCCTAGCTGTCTGTTATGTTCACTTTCATACTAACGCCTTCGATAGAACAAGTGCTTAAGTGAATTGAGGCGACTCACTGAGGGCCATCCCCAGCTTGCCAACTTCGATGATCCTGGCTCCACCTTTGGAGACGGCCAATCAACCGGCCTTGCCTCTGGACCTGATACCCCCTTGACCGCTGGTACTCCTGGAGCGCAACCGAAATTGAAGCTCACTTTCAGCAACCCCAACTCGAGTGCCATGAATGGCGGTGACTTTGATGCCGACGACGAGTAATTTTCCCACTACAATCACCATCACGCCAACTTTTCGTCATACATAACTTTAACTTACCCTTCATCGCTGTTCTTTTACTCTTCAAACTGGAGTTGGAAAAACCCCGTTGATTTCTGGTTCTCCCTTTCTATTTCGTTTCCGTGCTCTGTCGGATGGCGTTTGCTGTACTTTGAATTTGGAGCTCGGGGTGGTCGGTGCTTTTCTTTTTTTGTTGGATTAAACGATCGATTTACGAGGTGTGGTCCCCGTACCACTGGATGATCCAGATCAGTTATTCCTCTCTACACGCTTTCTGTACTGTTAGTTTCGCCTCCAACAATATTTGAATTCATGGGTCGGAAACCGTGAACTTGGGCTCTGATGAAAACGTAGCTTGTATGGCTAACCCATCCATATGTACCCATAAGATACAGTGGTGCTAATCAGTATTTGCCCCTTCCCATGTCTCTTTAGTCTCCAGTACATGTCTTCCTTTACGCCCGTGGATACCGTGAATGTGTACCTATAATAGAACCCAGGAGTCTATCGGTCGCGAACCCGGCCGGATTCAGCTGTCCCTTTCCCCCAGCCTTGCGGATGCTACTAGTTTTAAGCACCTTGTAGAGAACGTATTGGAATATATTCCGCCCCGCTTGATAAGTGAGTCTTTACATAACCTACTTTTCGTATAGTTATGCTGCGAAGCAAGAATGATCTTCAGCTGCGCAATACCAGGAACTCGGATTCGCCAGTATTCCACTCACGGGCCATCCGCCAGTCTCTCTGCGGGGGTTTACTCTGATGTTCTGATGGTACCTGGACGCGAGGTTTAATCGGTTTCTCTCGAATAATTCAAGTTCCCTCATGTAGCTACAGCAATAGTTAACTAACGACTTGGCTGGAATAAAACTGTTGAATCAGCAATATAGACCCGGGGGGGCGCCTGGGGCTGGTCCATTCCACGTGATGTCCATCGTGGCGGTGCACCCTCTTCTACTGCCAGAGAGGTTGCGAGTCTTGGATTTTTGCGACCAGAAACACTACGCTGTTACCAAGTTGTCTTGGTATGGTGCAATTGGCAAATAACCCCATACAAAGTTGTCAAGTCAAATGTCTTCGGAGAGCTTCTCAGGTCACACGCCTTCTGTCGAACTATCGTCAGAGCCGGGCAGTGCTCGGCAATTCCAAACAGTATTCCGCATATCGCCAGGTAAACGACAGACTCACATTTACCATTCAAGGCGACCCCATTCCAAGTCGCGGAGTGGCTGCCTGACGTGCAAGAAGAGGCGTGTTAAGGTATCGCAGCGCTGGAGAATGCACTTTAAGCAGCTGACACTTACTGAGTATAGTGCGACGAGCAACGTCCGAAATGTGTGAGGTGCACAAAGAAAGGCGTCGAATGCTCTTATGATTTCGAGCTGCAGGTCTCCTGTCAGAAGACGGACTATGTGGTATCCCCCGATTCCACTTTGTTTTCTCTTTCGCTCGAGACTCTGGCCCAGAGAATCATGCATACGTTGGACATGACGTCCCCCATCGGACAACAGATGGCCCCTAGGCAGTCACTCATTCTGACCGCATTTCAGCAATTTGTCAATGGATCAACTGAGACTATTCCGATCCGTGCCCTTCGAGAGAAGATGGAGACTGATATGATACGCATCTCGTTTGATGTGAGTTCCATTTTGGATCATCCGAACTAGCTACCCCAAAAATAACATCGGTCATCCCCAAGAATCCACACCTCATGTATACGGTGCTGGCCGTGGGCATGCTGCATCTTAATAGGTTCAACCCCAGCAAGGAGAGATCGCTTGCAGAGACGTATTTCTGGCAAAAAGCAATCAACCTTTACCAGCGAGAACTGTCATCAAATGTGACGCAAGAGAACGTGGACGCTCTGCTCTCTTCTTGCATGTTCATGGGCGTAGCAACGGTGTGTCCGGAAAATTTCAAAACCGAAGAATCATGGGTCCTCACAAACCGACCCGAAGCCATGAACTGGCTCTGTCTTCAAAGCGGTCTCCAGTGCATCCTAGCCCTTTCCAAACCTTACATATCCAACAGTATCTGGGCATCTGCCTTTGAAGAAGTCAGCCAAGACGAGGGTGGCATCTTCGATCTGGGGGGCATACAAGGGCGGGAGGGAATTGACCCGGATATTGCAGCTTTCTGCTGCTTTGACGATGAGACCACGAAAGACAATAATGTCTATTATACGCCGGCACGGTATCTGACTAGCTTGATGCTGCTAGAGCGTAACAAGCGCAATGCCTGGAGGTGTGCATCGTTCATGGGGCGACTGGATTGCCGCTTTCTTGATCTTGCGAGGATACGAGACCCGGCGGCTCTGATCCTCCTGTCGCATTGGATGGGGCTCATGTGTTTATTATCGGAATGGCAGCCATGGGTTGAAGGGCGCTTAAGGAAAGAGTGTGTGGCGATTTGCATGTTTTTGGAAAATAGCCCTGATCCAAGAGTCCTACGACTGTTGCAATTCCCTGCCGTCTCATGTGGGTATAGATCATTGGGTTCACAAGCGAGTCTACTTGGGTCTTGACAGCCCCCATCGCTCCTTTGCCAGGCATATCCTTCAAAGATTTGTCGAAGCCAGTTTCGTCTCGGGTGGGCGCGCGAGCCTGGTGATGGTTTTAATTGGGGTGCACTTGCTCGGGCGTGCTTGTACTGGAGAAATGCGCTTATTGGTTTTCTCGATGGGCCAGCTCGTTGAGCGCGATTACTTTGTTTGAGGCTGAAAAGTTCGATTGCGGAACATGTTCCTCTTATGATCTCGGTTGAGGATGATGAAGCTCGTGCTTTGGATACGGCGCGGTTCCGGACGCTGAGAGGTTGCCAGGCCTACGATGGCGACGATTCGAGGAAGCGAAAACTGAAGAAGCAACGTCTACGATATGGATTAAATTGTGCGTATTACTAGTGTGAGCCAATAAAACCAATGGAGATTGTTCAGTCAGTATCTAGAATGATATCAGGGAGCATAGAGACTGGTTTTTGTATTTATTTCTAGACTATTGTCAAAATATTACAGCAGCAGTCTCGTCATCTTTAATGAAATATAGATGGTCGCTGATTTAGTATCGCAGCTGCTCAATCATCTCGGGGGGAGTTGAGAAAAGCACATCTCTCATTCAGCTTCTGGTCTTTGATGACGGGGTGCGCTTTGTCTCCATCGAAGGCAGATAGACCTTCATGGGGGCCGCCGATCACGAACACGTGCGTCTCATTGTCCCCGGGGAAAGCAATGTCAAACCCTTGGAAAGTGTCTCTCCCATGGAGCCCCGGCTTCCCCGTGGAGGCGAATGTTGACCATGATCGAGATCCACGGTCTCGGAGGGCATAGTCTTCCCGAGTCGGGTGGAATGGGTAGCCATTGGTGTCGTAGTGTGATAAATTCCCAAAGATGTACGCGAATTCCGACGTGTGGATGACACCATAGCCAGTTTGATTTTTAACTACAGCCAAGACGGGCTCTAGTATGGTCTGGTTCCAGTCGTATAGGTACACGGTGTTACCCGCAGCGGCGATATGCTCGGCATACCATGTCGGTTGACATGTCATGATAATATCTCGGAATATTCTAGCTGAGCGGTAGAATTCACTTGAAAGGCCTGCTTTTTCGTTCGGTGAGAAATCAGATACTGGATAAAGTGACAGCAGCTGCTTAATGTTCTCTTCCGAGACATGGTCGACATAGGAAGATATGAACTTGTAGGTGTCCTCCGGTGTCTTGATCGTTGTGTCGGTAAAGAAGGAAACGTCGTCCTGGCACCATCCGATCATGGTGGTGACGTTGGCAAACCGATGCTCCTTGATTAGATCCGATGGTGCAGCAGGAAGAAAATCTCCATCGACAGCCGGAAGCCAGATATCGCCAATGTTGACATTGTCGGTGTATGTTTCGAGAGAGGCATTGAGGACTTTCTGCATGTCGAAGTCTCGCAAGCACTTCACGGTTTCTTTGGAATGCACGCTTGATGTGTTGCATCCCACATAGTCAACCACCCTCTGCATAGCATTAATGGTAAATTCACCAGTGATGCCGGGCTCCAGGGCTTGGCTCTCGCAAATACCCTGGTGAAAGGGAGCTGGCTTGCTCCCACCGTATGCCATGATTTGCATGCCCACGGATAAACCTACTTTGGCGTCAATAACACTGGCAGAATTGTCAATTGAGAATTCAAACATACCTCCAGATGACTGGCCAAATATGGTGACCTTCTTGGGGTCGCCTCCAAAGTATCCGATATTTTCCTGTATCCACTCAAGGGCGAGGCGCTGGTCCCGCAATCCCGCATTCTCGGAGCCTTCCTCCTTTAGAGCATCCGATTGAGCGAACCCAAAAACTGTAGAATGTTAGTGACTGAATTCCTTTTCAGGGCACAGCTGGACAAAACACGAGTCTTACATCCCAAACGATAATTCATAGCCACATGAAGCACAGGCAAAGCATTCTGCACCGACTCCAGAATCAAGCCGTCGGGGCGGATGGTGATCTCCTCATTTGACCCTGTCCAGAAGCTACCGCCATGGAGGTAAGCCATGACCGGCAGCTTGTCGTAGGAGGTCGTCCCCTTTGGCCGCGCCACATTGAGATTGAGACAGTCCTCGGAGATGTTAGTAATATTTCCAAGTGAGATTGGAAGAGTCCATTCTCCCAGCTGCTGAGGACATGCTGGTCCGTATGACTGGGCATGAATAGTGCTCCCAGGCTTTGCGACATATGGTCGTGGAGGCTTAAAGCGATTTGTGCCACCGGTATCGAGGCCATAGGGGATGTTGAGGAACACCTCGATGTCATTGCGATCGAGGCCTTTATAAGTAATCTCCCGCTGTGGGTCTACCACTACCGGAGTGGCAGTGGTCTCAACAGCCCAGGCTGCGACAGCCACGCTTAGCAATGAAAACAACATGGCCAGTCCAAGTTGTATCGGGTGGACCCTGAAGAAACGAATTGTTTGGACAAACTCCGGGGAAGATCTCGTTAGTCAGCGGGTCGCAGATCGTGGCACAGGAACCTGACCCGCTGTTTGTTTCCGTTTAAGCCCATAATGGGGCGCAATTACCCCAGGCAGATTCTCCCCTGGTTGCTCATCCTTCCAATGTCCACTCATTTTCATTCCCTGTCCCACTTCCCTTCATGCTCGGACCCTCAACCCTCTTACTCCCAACCAAATAAACACACCACAATGAGGATAAAGCCTTCCGCTGGTCGAGGGTAACCAGCATGGAGGGGAGCATAATTGCCAAGGAATAAAAGAATTCGATGGCGAAACGCCATCGGATTGATGTTGAAACCCATCTGATGTGATGCTGAATCCCTTTGATTCAAAGTCGGATCCGTTAAGAGTAGTGGTGCAAGATACTCATGCCCACCCTCGAAAGACCATACTTAACCCCTCCCCGCTTCTATGAAAATGAGTTCTCTCACAGTCATCACGCCGACCTCCACACTAATAGCATCGACGTTTGATTGTATAGGGGCGAGTCGCACGACATGCAGCCCTGACTCCGACCTTTGCGCCAGGATGACCGTATCATCCGCCAGTGTCCTCTCGTCTGCAACGGCGAAAATGCGATTGCTGATGATGTCGCCCATTGGATTTGGAAGCAGGAAATCCTCGATTCATCGGAGGGTCCAAGTCGGAAATGCGCTTTTGATTGTGCCTTTGATTGGTGGGTATGACGCCAGATTTGACCTGTTCATGCAACTTCTACTGGGATCGGCGATGAGGACCAGGTTGGGGAAGCCGCCAAGCTGGATTGACTCTGCATAGGCTGTGTCCAGGATGCGAGAGAGTTTCTATAACAGGTTAGATCATGCGCTGCAGGTATGGACAGGGGGGGGTATTGTTTCTGACCAGTCCTGGTATATGGTACAAAATAAAACTGATTAACGGCCTTCTAAAGTTTCTTGGGGAAGGGTAAGTCCAAAAGGACTTGGAGCGGACGCAAATCTTCATTTTTATTATTCAATGTAAGGGGTTCCTGTTGGTTTCAAGGCGCCCCACTGCATAACGTCCTTGTCCGCTGGTTGTATTCGCGAGTGAATTTCTGTCTCCCGGCATCCTGGTTTTTAATCGGGGCGCAGCAGAATAGCACAATGTATCTGCCTTAAAATAGTACACTTTGCTGCATATCGAAAAAGTGCAACAAGCACTCTTGAAAAGAATCCTAAAGAGGCTAAAAAAAATTGAACGCTGATCGTATCTGCCGAGGGTACAAAATGGGGTATGGAAGGACGATAAGAACAAGGCACGGGTACGCGCTTAGAACGAGTTGAAAAAATCAGGTTTTGTAGTCACGGCGTAGCGCCCGCTGGCTCGTTTGGTAAGGCCTGATAATGCCTGGGTAGTGAGCTGTTTGAGGCGTGCGTGGAGACCGAAGGCCGGCCTTCCAGCTTCAAAGAAGAGTCGGGCGCATCTAGGGTTGGGACGGTGGTGCCGCTGTAAGTCTCGAGAGCATCAAATACGTGCCCAAAAACCTGGCTATCAACGTCTGAAGCCCATAGAAAGTCGAGGTGTTCGTATGTGGGGATAGGTTTGGCCACTGTTCCCCGCGGCAAGCCTTGAAGCATCACATTAATATCAACCAGACTGTCACTGTCGCCGTACAAAAGGATGATAGGAGTCTTGATATTACGGGTCGGGTACTTGACGGGTTTGTAGAATCGCTCGTTGGTTGCAATGCTGAAAGGGGAATGCAGTTCATCGTCGAAGAACTGGAAGTTCCCATTGCGGATGATCTGGAACCAATGAACAACCGACTTGGTGCTCGTGAACGAATAGAGATGCATGTAAGCAGCCAGTTTCTGGACGCGAGTGATATTGCGACAACGCCAATTGAACAGAACCGACAGCGCAGTGTCGATGATCCGGACGTAGATCGGCGGGTAAAGAATCATTTGCCACATGGTCGTCGACGAAAGAATGCTGCGTCGGCCGAAGAGCAGGAACAAGAAGTCTGGAGAGGCCTTCATGAGGGAATCGACAATGCGATTTCGCAGGCCAGATGGCGCCATGGCAGGCGCCAAGGCGACGAAAACATCGATCTTCGAGTTGAGCACCGGGTGAATAGAAAGGGTCGCAAAGGCTTGCGCGGTACCCTGGGAGAAGCCGATGTACGAAAGAGAAGGTTGGCCTGTCACTTCGAGAATGTATTCGATGCTGTTCGGGATGTCATGAAAAGCGAATTCGTCGATCGAGAAGTCCCAGAACTCGTTGGATCCCGGCGAAAATTGGATGGACTTTTTCGCATACTTGTTACCGCGGTTGTTACCGAGCCATACATCGTAGCCTTTCTCTACCAGCTGGAAAGGGAGACACCGTTGCTCATTGGTCAAGGCCACCCAAACTTCACTCGACATGAGAAGGCCATGGTGCAGATAGACGACCTTCTTGCGGATTGTGCCAGGGCCTTGGTTAGTTCGGATATTCTCTTCTCCCTTTCGGTGGGGAAGTCGGTGTAAGCCAAGAAGATATCCATCTCTTGTCTGTACGATGTGTTCCTCGGCCTCATACCCGAAGAGCGAGCAAATCTCAGTGAAATCCGATGCAGCAGCAATGGAGGAAGCAAGGATTTCCTCTTTCGATCGTTTCTCATATGCTTCGTTCTGACTGACAACATTGAAGATTGATTTCGATTGCTCATAGCAGAATCGAATGATCGGCGATGCTTTAAGCTGGTCAGCGCACCCAGTCTGTAAAGCCCAATCGGTCGACTTACGAAGGCAAAAAGTGATCAAATGGATGACAGCCTCTAGTGCCACCAATACCAGTGACCCGAAGAGGGCCAGATACTCATACCTGGAGAATGGACGTTAGCTGCCACTTATCTTTCCAAGGTGTCGCGAACTATGGAGATGCCAAGGTACATACCAGAACAGCCTCCCGATCAGAGGAACTCTCGCCATGATGTATCCCAACTAGCAGTATGCCATGCATATGTTTCGTAGAAAGGCTGCGGATATGTAGATGAGCACAGAATAAACATGAAGATGTAAAAGAAGTCACTAGCGCGACGTCATTCCAAATAAAGGGAGTGACATGTGAAAGCTGCTGACTCATCCGGGGTTACCCAGTCCGGAGTCGACCAATCAGCGCCCACTCAAATGATCGCCCAAAGTTTTGCCGCTCTACAAAACACGACGAGCAACGCGGGATTTGGGCAATCTCCAGAACCAGCCATGCCTAGCTCATGCAATGACATAAGTAAGTCCTTCAGCCGGACGAGGAGTCCGAAATGATAAGCTGCCTGCGCCGGTAGCTCTCCAGTCTGCAGATGACCTGACCACAAGCTACAGGAGAAGCGCTGGCTCAATGCCTACAGGAGTCGGACTGCATTATGGTCCAGCGACACACCCCGCGAGAGTGCCTGGCCTCTCCACTGGCCGAGCAACTCCCTACAAAATGCCAGCAACTATCGAAAGGATTCCGCGATTGCAGGTTAGTGCTGCCTTCTCTCATGCGGGCCCGTCAGATGGGGACGGGTGGAAAGAAAGACGATGGCTGATGTTTTACGATCCATGCAGGCGCGGAATGATCGATATGCGCAAGCGATTCCGAGGAAATCATCCTATGCAGAACTCTAAAGAACTAGCTGATAAGCAGGCAAAGTCGGAGGGGCAGTTGTATGCCGGGAAGCCAGCGTACCAGTCTGTCAAGGAACTAAACGGCGACGAGGTGCAGATGGACCCAGAGAAGACTCGTGGTCTTTGAGGCCTTCTCATCAGACACATTATGAATCGGGTAACTTGTGGAAGCAAGGCCTCGGGTTACTCGGATTATTTGTACCATCAACGTGCGGAGGATATTCTGCTTCATGCTGGCATGACCCGGAGTTATTTTATTGGTTCACTTTTTAGATTTACTTGGTCGCAAATCAAAGACACTCTCAACTACTTTACGCAGGGTACCTTGTCCTGCCTACATTCCATGGTTTACAAGACACTTGGTCGATTGGATGTGAAGGATATATTATCACAAGAATGGGGGCGTCATAATACTTGCACATGATCATCGACGGCACAAGGAATAAGAGATCTACTGTGTCTTCTTGGCATTGTCGGCGATGGGTGCCGAGTACAGCCAGACAACAACAAAGGCCAAGAAGCCTCCGATGACCGACCACAGGCCGGCGATCCAAACCCATCCACCGCTAATCGCCCAGCTGCGAGGATACTCGTCGTGCGCAAAGTGACGCACGGTGACCTCGTGTTTCTCCTCGATGTTGGTGAGGAAAGGCCGCTTGTAGTTGACACGGAAAGAGAAGATACCGTGCTGATCCGGCGTCACAAACTGGGTGCTGTACACAGTACTAGTCTCGGTGCGGGATGTGGGCTGAAGGGCCAGACGATGGAAAGGAGACAGCATAGTGAATTCGAGCTGCAGCTCGTCGCCAGTGGGAAGCTCGAAGGGGACCCATTTGTCATAAACGTACTCCGAGACCTCAATGCTGAAGAACTATGGTTGCGGGGAATGCGGTCAGTAAGAGTGATCATAGTACACGAGCCAGTTTGGACGTACAGTCTCATTCTTGATACGGTAGATCTTGGGGTTCAGATCCTCAGCAGCCACTTCGCCATCGGTGGCCAAATGGTGTTCAATCTTGCCAACCTTCAGGACACCAGTCTCCTTGAAGGTCCAACCGGTCAACTGCTTGGCGAACTCGCGGTTAGCAGTGGAGACCTTCTTTCCATTGGGAGCCTTCACAGACGCCGTGAACCATTGGTTCTCGAGTGACTCGACAGATCCGAGGACTGTGAAGCGAGCAGAGTTGCGAGATTGCAAAGCTGAAATAATATTCAATTGAGAGCCAGTGGCCTCGATATCCTCGGGAGCTGGAGTCTCTTCCTTAGGGTTGTAGGCATAGGCGGTCGCGGGGGCTTTCAGGATTGGCATGAGGAGGGGAGAGTCGCTGCCGAGAGTCTGGGGAGCAACATTGGGGAAGGCGACAACGCCCTCACCATCGAAGAATGCCTTGACGTCAGAACGCAAAGCATCGGGCCGTTTGAGCAGAAGAACGTTATGTTTCTCGGAGGCCGACAGGGTATCGTAATTGAAGTGGTCGACAACAACGGCGGAACGGTCATTCGAAAGGTGCACATCAACTTCGAGAAGGAGGGAGCTGATGGAGCTGGAGGTGGCGGACTTTCCAGTTAGAGCGAGGATAACGTTACCGTCCTTGTCCAGGAAATCAATGATGTGCTTTGGAGTCAATGCCGGACCGAGGCCTTTCAGACTAATGCGTCAATAAATGCGTAGCAAGGTTCAAAGAAAGAAGCCTTACCTTTGGATTTTGGTGGGAGAATCAGAAGGTGATCGTAAGCTCTTTCGCCATGTGCGAAGAGGGACAGCTTGTCACTCTTGGGGGATTCGAAGGTCAGGTCATACCCTCGACCTGCAATTGAGGTTAGAAGGTTCCTATTAAGAGGTCTGCTAGCTCCACTGACCTTCTAAATCAGACCAAAGTGTTGAAAAACTGCTCTTTTCTGTAGATTCGTCCAAAACGACAAGCAGGCGGCTGCCGGAGCTACTAAGAGCACTGACCGTAGCCAAGAAACAGACCAGAAGAAAGGCAAGGCACCACCGCATCTTGGAAAGAAGTCCGCACAGCGGAGCGGGACACCAAAAGAGAGAAGGAGGGAGCGAGGTGGTGGGGGTGAAGGAGGAACCTTGTGAATTGCGTGTATAGATAGAAAGGGCGACGTGTTAATCGGCGGGCGCCAAGACTTCGAATCTCCGTCGCACCTCACGTCCTCCCCACGGCCTCCCGAATTTGAACCCATCCTGCTTCCCAACAGCTTCGCGTTCCCGATTTGCAAGTCAAATTACCACTGTGTGGCCATTTGTACAACCCGGATTCATTTCACTGGGCAATTGTCGTTTTTAGGCCTCCGCAAACCGCCGTCGCGCCCGTCGAAAACCTCTCCCAAGACCTTCCCGTCGAAAGCCGACCCTATTCAACCACCATGTCTACCCCTCACTTCTGGTCAACTCCCCTGCGCTACCTGCGCTGGGCCTCCCACGAGAAGCCCGCCATCCTCTTCTCTCTTATCATCGGTACCACCGGCCCTATCGCCCTGGTCAGCCTGCCCGCCATTCGCCGTGCGTTCGGTGACGTTGATCCCAACCCCATTCCTCTTTCATACCCTGGTGAGTAGTCCTGAGTCCTCGAATTTTAAGATCCTTGATTACAGAGGGGCTTTGCCGCCGGAGAACTCGAGGCTAATTATTGGTATCCAACAGTCCCAACCGGCCCTCGGGTGAAGCCGCAGGGCTTCGAAGATGAATAAATGGGTACGGAAAGCTAGCGATGACAGACTGACATACGGAGTCTGAAGTCCTGGTCTTGATTTAAGGAAGCATTGGTTGAAATTGAAGGACAAGCTACCGGGCAAAAATCGCTATCCGTCAAAAGCGATCTCATTTTCAGTCATCTTCTGCTAGAAGGCGTTTTGATACCAATATCTTGCGTGTATTGGCCTCAGGCAGTAGGTCCCGAGGTCTCTATCCTGCTGTGTATGTACTATGTTTTGAGAGTGATCATATAGTCGACATCCGAGTCGTTTCCTCTGTTTCGTTCACAAATTGCGATATGAGCCATCCTACGAGCCACGCTAGATGGCTTACAAGCTCGTAGAAACTGTAGCGTTGAGAAGGTCAATCGTACTAATGGTAGTAAATGTCATTTTAGTAGGCATCTCATGCCTATCTAGGCTAGGTCGCGGTATACTTCTAATTGAACATAGAGCGAGCAGACAGAGGCGACTGCGATACTTGAATGGTACCGTTCAGCCGATCGGATCGATCATGCTCACGCCACCCGCAGCGTAAGACGTAATGACCCTAGTTCCACAAGTTGGTATTGCAACTCAGATCAAGACCAAGCTCGACGAGGAACCATAGCCCATGCACGTCCGGGATGACGGGCAAGACGTTGGGCACGCGGGATTGCTGCGAACGGGCCCTGGTCGAAGCCAACCACAGCACGATATAATTAGTTCGGGTTGAATGAATTTTCTTGTGGGAGGAGTTGACCAAGCCATTGTAGCCTTGTAAGCATCCATAAATAAGATTCCATTGACTAGAAGGCATAGTCCTGCTGTTCATCTAGGCGGTTCCGAGTTCTTGGGATATATATGACCAGTGCTGGTGAATTCGAGGCGGTACGACGTGAAGCATTCTGACATCTGAAGGGAAATATTGTCTTTTAGGAATAAGGCCAAGCTTTCAGTAGCAGTAATAGCTAAAAACTCGCTCTAAGCCGGTAGACATACTAGGTTGTTGTCGCTCAGTTCTCTCATACGAACACAAGTGCTAACCGCGGCTGTTGAACAGCCAACTCAAACCCCAGTGTTAGGGTCTAACTGTCTAACTTGCATGCTCATGATGTCTACTTCGCTGGATGAAGCAACTACTTGAAGCAGTAGCAATGCGGCCTTGAATGATTCGATTTGAGATTGAGACATGGCATTGGGGAATAAAGAGCTTGCCGCCATTTGAATCTACATACAGACTACATCGCAAAACAGACGTTTACAGGTTCAATGTGAAAGGTTTAGCTCTCAAGGAAGGTCCAATTTCTCTTGTAGAACCAATCAAAGCGTCACTCACAGAACGGTTAACGCCGGATATGCTCATATCTACATGTTCATCAGCAACGCTATATCAAAGCAATCTCTCCGACAGCCGAGGTCCACAAAAAGCAAAAATGACACTGGCTGTATGCCCCTCCAAAACAACCCACAGAACAGTATAAAAATTGCGAGAAAACATCCTGTACACCGTCAAGAGCCAAAAACCAAATCAATACCATGGGAAATCAATCAACGCAGAACCCCGATTGGCGAACATCTGGAAAGCCAATATTGCGAGAGGACCATTAAGGGAACTCGAAATCAGAAGAGCCACCGAGTTTCAAGAAAATCGATCAACATATCATGCTCCTAATCCTAACCGGCCAGCTGCACAATAATGCAGGGTAATTAGATGAGGAAAGCAGCCTTCCAGGGAACAAACTCAGGTTGAACAAGAGTGGAGAGAATGATGTCCAGGAAGGGAGATAGGTAGAGAGAGAGAACCAGGGAAGCTGCGTGTCCAACGGATCATGAAGAGAAGAACCTCACGGAATGAGACGTTCTGGGTCGTGTCACAGAAGAGCTCTTCTCGGGTCCAACGAAGTAGCAGTCGACGAGCGGCACAAAGTGGAAAGGATATCCGGGTATATAGATTGCAAAGGAAAATAAACACACATTTTTAGGTGGTCGTCGAAGTCGTCACAGTCCCGGAAATCCCAGCACCAGTCCAGGGCGGAAAATCAACAAAGAATTCCATCCAGAGGGCCTCAATAGGAATGGGAGTGGTATGCAATCATCATGCAATGCACGAGACATTGGAAAAAGGTCTCGACACCAGCTTTAGGTTCTCAGACTCTATCGTCGGCGGTGAGGGTCCCGGTCTCCTCTGGTTGCCTGCGGTCTACTGCGCTCGAACTCCGGAGTGTATCTTGGTTCCATTCCTATCCGGGGGTCTGGGGCAGTTGTAGAAGGGTATCCCATCCCGGTAGTCTGGGGAGGATAATCCGATTCGGTATCATAACCGGGGCCAGTGTATCTAGGGGCATTTCGACCACCACCTTCGTAGCCACCATAGCCGGAAGCTGTGTAGGTGTATGAAGGGTGGATATCAGCCTGGGTAACAATGGGCTGGGAAGAGCCCGCATAAGTGACCTGGGGTGGAGGGTAAGGAGCCTGGCCAGATCCATAGGGCGAGTGAGTTGAGCTGTAAGAAGCAGGAGGATTGCTGTATGGAGCACTTTGGGATCCAGAAAAGGGGCTCTGAGAGTAGGAGTGGGAGTGGTCCATGTATGGTTGCTGCGCAGGAGCAGCAGTGAAAGGAGTAGGGGAAGGCCCCTGTTGTTGGCGAACCTCATGGATGGCCGAAGCGGCATAGTTCGCTGAACCAGGGTTAGGGGTATGGTGTGACATGTTTACATCTTGGATGTAACTACCTCTCGGATAGCCTAGGTCAGCCCGACGGGCGACGTCTGCCTCCCAGCGAGCAGAATCCGCCTTCAAATCAGCAATCATCTCCTGTTAATCCAGAAGGTCCTTGGTCAGATGATGTTCCCTTGTTTCCCCGGCTGGGCTTATAGGTTGGTCGATTCAAGAAGTCTTTACTTACGGATGTGAGATTCCGATAGGCTCGGATGAAAAATCCTTGGCGACCCTGCGGTGCGCGTTAGTTGTGATGTTCCAAAAAGGGAAGAAAAAGAGAAATAGGATGACGGACACTGTGGTTTCCAGGTCGAACGAGTGCATCATTTCCAAGATAACGACAAATATCTGCTTGGATCACTTCGCGGGTGATTCCATCCCCTGGGATAAAGTATTCATTCTGACGGCCTGTCATAATGTGTCCTGGGGCAAAGAGAAATCCGGGCGAGTTCAAGGGAGCTCGTATCCAAGGGGTCTCAGAGAAGAAAGAAAATCCGGGAGATAAGAAGATCCTTGGAGAGTGTTGATAAATTTGGTTTTGGTGTGTCCTTGGCAGTAAGGAGAATATACAGTTCTTTCTTTTCTTTGTTTGTTTTCTATAGAGCGACCGGCAAAACAAAGATCCAGGGTCGAACAGTCACCACGTTATTGACTGCGAAGATTATGAAACCCGGGTAGGAATCAAGTTCAGGAAAAGTCCAAGGGGAAGATGGCCACGGAATGAATCGGATCCTTGTTTTCTTGTTTTTGTTCAGGTCGACGGAGACAAGAGAGTCAAATATGGTGTCCTTCCAGTGGGAAAATGTCCAGTATGTCCTTTGGGAGGGGTGTCCGTGCTGGTTGTCCTGGCAAAATCAAGAGTCCTTGAGGGGGAAAAGGAGTATCGAGAAAAGAGGTTCCTTGGGAGAGCCGTGAGACTAAATCAAGTCTGTGAGGCTGGGAGGAGAAGGGAAGCGGGATGGTCCTGGAGATAGATGTTGCGGCCTAACGTGAATCGATCCAGGAGTTTTACTTCCGTGGTATCAAAGAGGTCCAGGAGGAGAGAGGAAGAGGTTGGGAAGATGTGAAGAGAAGAGGGAAAGAAAGGAAGAGGGGAGGGGGGCGAACTAAAGTGGGTAAGGCGGTTGGGCCGTCCTCTTGGGCTGGTGCCACGACTCCCACGACTTCCCCCCACTATCAGAAGAAAAGCATGCACGGTCCAAAATGGCTTAGGGCCTTTTTAGTACACCCTGTCTAACTTCCTGCCTGTTGCCGAAGGTGAAAATCCAGACTCGCGCTGGTAAATCCCTTAGTCCCCTGGTCAGGTACCAAAGCCCGCGCAGACATCCTGGTCCTCTGTGTTTATTACTGATGGTCAGCCCCATACTCCCCGTCCGCAGGGAGTGCGAGGCAGTCTGTGCCAGGGTGACACCCCACTTCTCATTTTCCCCCCTATGGACCTTTTGGGACATGAGGCTACCCGGCTGTACATAGCTACCTAACGGAGTACAAGATTACACAGTGGCGAGGGTTGTTTCGGGGACTCATCCCGTGCAGGGCGAGAACGGTCAGACAAATGGGGATAGAAGGATTCGCATGGAGGGGGGAAGAGGTGTGGGTGATCCCACCATAGCTGTCTTTGTTGCAGAGAAAATGAAGCGACCAGAGCCAATCCGCATGGGAAGAGCCACTGTTGCCACCGAACCCGTAACAGGCGTTGGGCACGAATGCCTGAGCTTGGGCACTCGCAGAAGCCCCGTGGGCCACTCAGGGATCGGCTCTGTCAGACCGATCGAAGATCGTCCTTGCTTTCTTGGTTCTTATTTCTTTTTCGTTTCTTAATCTCACCGTCAGCCTTGATATTAATTATGTCATGAAATTGGTGGTGTTGTTGATATTTTGCAAAGCATACAATAAACCCCCCAGTACCTGGTTCGGCTGGATGTCACCATTTCAATCTGAACTGCATGGGGAGGGCTGACGGCTACGTGCCCGCACAGCGTAGATTGTAATCTTTGATGATGTCCGTCAAACTCAAACATCCCCAGGAGGCTTCTGGAGGAGATGTGATCCCGAGGCGTTCCAGGGCTGCTGTGATCCGGGATGGTTTGGGTTCTGGTGGGATCCACCCTGAAACTCTGTGTGGGAAACCTGAGGCTCTATTTCACGTGCCTACGCTAGACCCAATTCGGCGATTCCAGGGTCGCGCTTGCCTGATGGTTCCAGTTGCAGCTCCCTGATCTGGATTCCAGGAGCCTCAGCGAAACGTCCCATGTGCTCCAGCTATCACACGCCATGACGCAGCCTCAAGCATGTCATCTGCAGACCCACCGTCCCCGGAAGCCGTGAAAACATCCCGCTATACCCATCGCCATTTACATTTGTTGCGCCAGGGCTCGACGGCGACACCTTTGCGTACTATTGCTCATATCGACCTCGATGCTTTCTACGCACAGTGTGAGATGGTCCGTCTGGGCACGCCCCGGGACACTCCGCTCGCAGTGGTCCAATGGGGATCCCTAATTGCAGTAAACTATGCTGCGCGACCTTCGGGAATCACCCGCATGGTCTCTGCCTCCGAAGCCCGCTCGCTATGCCCCAATATCGTGCTGCAACATGTGGCAACCTTTCGCGAAGGTGAGGGTGGTCGATGGGCGTACCGTGATGGGTCGGCTAGGGATGTTAAGACAGAGAAAGTTTCTCTTGACCCATACCGCGCTGAGTCCCGCAAAATCCTGCGAACCATGGAATCTGAGCTGCAAAGATGGCGCACAGATGAGTCAGAAGGGGACTTATACCGACTAACTCAGGGTCTATCGGCTGGCCTGGAAAAGGCCAGCATTGATGAAGTCTTCATTGATCTGTCTCCGTTGGTCTATTGTGTCTTGCTACGGAGATATCCTGAGCTCCGGGTCAATGCGCTGGTTGAGAAGAGAGATGAGGCTCTCCCGCCTCCACCAACAACTGCGTTGGAATGGCACCCCGAAGAATGCTTGATTGATTTGGATACCCAAGAAAGCGAGGAAGATAACCCTGACTGGGATGATCTTGTCATGTTAACAGCGGGAGAAATCGTTCGATCCGTCCGGAAAGCCGTATGGGACAACCTCCAGTATACTTGCTCGGCTGGCATTGGCCGCAATAAGATGATCGCCAAGCTCGGAAGTGCCTGTAATAAGCCCAACAAGCAGACCTTGGTGCGAAATCGAGCCGTGCGGTCCTTTCTAAGCAGCTACAAGTTTACCCAGATCCGTATGCTGGGAGGAAAGCTAGGAGATCAAATAAAGTCCTACTTCGGAACAGACCAGGTGAGCGATCTTCTCAACGTGTCTCTTGAGCAGTTCCGAGCGAAGCTCGACGATCACACTGCAACGTGGCTGTATGGAATCATTCGCGGGGAGGATCGCAGTGAAGTGAATCCTCGAACGGAGATTAAGTCAATGTTGTCGGCAAAGTCGTTTCGCCCAAGCATCAACTCGGTCGAGCAAGCCGAGAAATGGCTTCGTATCTTCGCAGCAGATATTTATGGCCGACTTGTGCAGGATGGCATACTTGAAACCAGGCGCTTGCCTCGGGTTATAACTCTATACCATCGAGTCACCGTAATGCGTTCCCGGCAACTTCCCATTCCAGGATCCAGCTCAATTGACGAGGATACGATTTTTTCGCTCGCACAACAATTGCTACAGCAAGTTGTTGCTGATGGACAAGCATGGCCCTGTTCGAACTTATCACTAAGCGTAAGCAGCTTTCATGATGGCATCACCAAGAATAAGGCAATTGAGGATTTTTTGGTCCGTGGTGACCAAGCCAAGTCTTTGAGTCATTCATCTAGACCCCGCGAGCCTGACTCTCCGGATGAGCAAGCGTCGGGACAAAAGAAACAGAGAGTCGACAACGGCGGAATCAAGCGCTTCTTCAACCAACAAACCTCGTCTGAACATATGGCTGTGGCCGGTGAGGGCATTCCTGGTCAAATAGAGTCAGACCCAGGCCATGCAGATTCAGGCCCTGCACTTCCTAATACACCTGAGCCTCCGCAAGATTCGCTAGAAATACCGCATTTCTTCTGCGAGAGATGCTCGCAATCTATTTCAGAAATTGAGAGGGAAGAGCACGATGATTGGCATTTTGCTAAGGACCTACAAATGCAAGATCGGCAAGAAGCAAGGTCTTCTCAACCACTACCTCGACCTGCTGCTAGCTCGAAGCCATCAAATCCCCGGGGCCGGGGTGGTCGGGGAAGACGGAGAAAGGCCAAATGCGGCTGGCATTCTAGTTAAGAACCATCTATCCTATTTCATTATGACCATATTCTCCTGGTATACATTAAATGAAGACTATTAGCGATCATCAGGAGTTTTATTGCCACTTTGGAAAGGGATGGCCAGTGGATCCGAAGAGGTTAATCCAGTGCAACCTCTTGAAGATAATCTCTCGGGCTATACCTGCATACCTGCATACACACAGAGGCTGCAGCCTCGTCAACGACTCCTTTGCAGGCAATCCCCCATATTTCACGGTCTCATTTTCACCCATTTACTGCTGCCAGAGCACTAGCGGAATCATTCCACTTACTGTCTGCGAAGTGGTTCCAGATGCTATAATCCAATTTGGCACCCTTGATTGCCAAAGGTGGCTGCACAATTCATTGTACATGTCGATGAAGGCCAGCCTAGCTTCTCTGGGATAAGGGGGAGCTGTATGGTCGGTGACGAAAAAACGGTATTGAGGGTGTTTTTGCCACCGCCGTACAGTGGCACCTCAAAAGTATTTAAACCATAGTACTTAGCTCCACTATATTACATAATTTTCTGCCTGTCCAAAACTTCCACCCCTTAATATTTCTCGCTAATATTTTGTATATCACCCATCGTCCTCAATAACAACCTTTACACAGTGTGGCATGGTTTCAGCTAGATTGGTAGACACGCATTTTGTGCTGTAGCAAGCAATTATTCCTTAGTTTTATTATAGCGCGACTTTACGTGAAGTAGGCGGTATGCGATATAGGTAGGCGGTATACAAGGGCGGTGTGGGCCGAAAGTACTATGGTTCAAATACTTTTGAGGTGCCACTGTAGAAGTCCATTGTCACATCTTACATTCGCTAATTATTACTAAAGATCATCTTGTAGAATGACCTTTCGCGATTTCTGTCAAGTTGACGGTAGTGGTCTGCATGCTAGTGGATCGTTTTTGCTAGCAGTGTCAAAGCCCTGTAACTCCGTCTAAATAATCCCCTAAATTACTGAGACATAACGGTCTGGTACATAGAAAGACAGATAACATAAAATAGTTCGAGCTTACCACTTGTGGCAAATGATCCATTCCATCACATGGTTGTTGCCTCTCCTAACGTCATGCCCCAGCCTTGGCTTCTGGAATGGTTCGACCCAAACCTGTGCCTGACGTTGAACCATGGAAACAAACTCAACCTACTATATGTTGTAAACAAACATTTATGCTCAGCACACCTGGGAGCTGCTGCGATGATAACTTGAAACCATGGTCTTGTAGCCACCTGGTCATCACAATGTGATGTAGCGTGGGCAGTGACATCAGTGGCCAGCGGGGTCATCAGACATTGCGTTTCAGGGTGTCAGTTTGACAATTCCATCCTTCAGGTCCTCCCAGAGATCCCCACGATATTCCCTTACACGTAGCCAAATTGCACAACTGCCATAAACTCATTCCTGATATCTGGCGTGAGCAAAGAAAGCAAACCATTGGAATTCGGATCGAGCCGCGCCAGGCGATAAGGCCCAACCCCGCCGGGAAGCCCAGCGACGAACGCTGCCGTCAGGCTAAGACCCAGAACACCCACGAAGATTAACACCCGCGCGATTATCATCCTTCGATACCATTATAAGATCAATGACGTAACTGTCTGCCACAAGCAACGGGGATAATAGCAGCTTTGCTCTCGAGAATCCCCCTGTCTGACCCCACACCATGTCCCGCCGGCCACCCCGTCTTCGGAATACTTCGATGAGGAAGCGTATTCGATGGAACATGAGCCCTACGCGCGCTCTCGCCGACGAGAACGAGAATTCGAAGACGATGTCGATTACCGCCGCCGCCGCCGCTCAATGCCTCCAGAGGAGGAAATGGAGCGCCTGCACATCTCCTCCCAGCGTCCCCCGCCTATCCCGCGGGAGTATGTCCGCGATTCATATGCTATGCCTGCGGCACCTGTACCGCCGAGTCCACCAGGGCCCAGCACGAGGATGAGGAAGTCCAGGGAGGAGGCGGATAGCTATCTGGCAGGCCCAGATCGGGAGGATCCATACACTCGACCTGAGACGCCGCAGGCCTCCTCGAACACGTGAGATCGAAGAAGACACCTTCGTGGAGGAGCGTGAGGTTCGAGGCGGGGAGACGGCACCGCGTGCCGAGAGATATAGAAGAGGACGAGCTTGTGGTGGAAGAGCGGGAGAGGAGGGGAAGCCGAAGGCCTCGTTTTGAAGAAGAGGACGTGCCCCCTCGAAGGCGAGAGCGGGGTTCACATCGCGGTTATGATAGCGAGCTCGAAAGACGAGGAAGCAGGCTGGAGGATGATCGCGACGAGATGGTTTCACGATCCTCTAAGCGTGGTCACAGACCTCGTCGGAGAGAACCAGAGCTTGAAGAGCTGCTTGACGATGACCCGGCCCCCGAGCTAAGATCCGTCGATCCTATAACGAAGCAACGTATCATGCAATGGCAAGATCAACCCGGCCCCGATGAGATAGAGGAGGAGGTGCGTCTAGAGCGTCGAAGCCGCCGGAGTCCGCCAGAAGTAAAGCCAGGACGGCCTCCCCCACCGGGCGCCTTCCCCAGCGGGCAGGAAGAATTCATCGATGAGGAAGTTGCTCCTCGACCTCGTATACGCCCGGGTTCTCTCCCAGAGGCTATTGAAGATGAGGAGATCATGATTCGGCGAGATGAACGCAGCAAGCGTAGAGGGAGTTCCGAACGAGATGAAGCTGTCGCAAGAAGAAGCAAACGCAATTCACCGCAAGAAAGAATGCGAACCCCTGAGGTCGTCATGCCTCCGGTTCATGAGGACTTCCCGCATCCTGAAGGTGAGAGCGACGGGTGACACGCATTATGACGAAGCGCTAACTAGCCTCTAGAGTATGAACCGAGTCGATTACCTCGAGCGCCTAGTCCAGGAGTCCCGCCAACGATCACAAGCTTCGAAGAAGTTGATGTTCGACGCCAGTAAGTCTTTTGTCGCTAAAATTTGCCCGGCCTTTAATTGACATTCAAAAGGAGTTCAAGAAGGGGCCGCAAGGCGGAAGAAGATATAGCCCTGGCGCGGGAAGAAGATGACGAGTCTATTTCGCCTACCAGTGGCCCAGTTGAATTTCACAATCCCTTCCCTCACGGAGATCGACCCCGTCGTCGTAAGCCCCGATCTCGCCGTGAGAGCGAATCGATGGCAGCCGGCAGTTCGCGAATTAGGGGCGCACGAGATGTTCCGCGCGAACTTGATGAACAGGAGCTAGACAGAGTGGTGAACGAGGATATTGTTCGAGCCCGATCTCACGTCGAGCATGATCCGCGCGATAGCGCATCACTGGTCGTTAAGAGTCGTAGTCGAAGAACACGAGACATGCCCGGAGGCTTCGAAGAGGACGATGAAGAGGAAGATGACGAAGAAGAGGAAGTAGAAATCCATGAAAGAAGCTCTCGAACTAGACCTAGAGGTAATGGTCATGTCCGCGATAGTTTGGATGAGTGGTCTGTTGTCCGAGCACCTTCAAAAGAGGATGCTGCCGAGATGTCAGGTGGTCTTGACATTGTCGAGGTTGCCCCCAGGGGTGCTTCCTCAGCCGACTCTCACTCTGAGGGTGATGATGAAGAGACTGAGCAGAGTGAACATACAGGAACTCAAGTCTCTAAGGACAGAGACGACGAGCGCTGGACTGAGATCACAAAAGACCTGGTCGTACGCGAGGCGATCGAGCGTCTGGGCTATGAATTCGAAGAAACTCGAAGATCATACTACATATTCTCGTTTCTCGAATCGGTATGCGGTCAACCCAAGAAAATTCATCCCATTGCACGAGGTACTGATTGGTCTGCTGTTAGCATGATATTGATGAGCTTGTCGAACTGTCCGATGTGATTCGAAAGGCCCGTCGTCGCCGAATCCGCGAAATGCAGCGTGAGAGGGCAATGCCCATTCCTCCAAGGCCAGCATCCCTGGTAGATCCTCGGATTCCTCTCCGTCCACGTTATGGAGGCGAACGTAGAATAAGAGAGCGAGAGTGGATAGTACCGCCATATCACTGAGACTTTTCCAAGCTCGAGGAGTGCTATAGGCCAAGGCGGGCAGGATTGCGGTAAATGCCGAGAAGTATATTATTCTACGAGGATTTGGTTTTCTGTATGCCAATCGCGATTTTCTTCTAAGGTTCTTCAGCGGCAAGCACACTTCCACTTGTTCTGTGGCGGCGCTATCTATAATCCCCAGAATAGATACCAAATGCCTGCGCATCGGCCTTTATTCTTCAAGTCTCCGAGCTCTTGCACAAGTACAAACAACTTCCTGCTCTTGCCTTGATTTTTTGGATCACATCCCACTGGCACGTACCAGAAAAAATGCCGTCTTCAGACACCGAGGTGGAGCGCGGCACACGAGGTAGTCTACGAAGCCAATTTCCTTGACTTAACTTACTTACCCTTCTATCTAGGTTCGATCCAGGAAGATCAAGGCACCACCGAAGGGGCCAGCGCTATTATTCCCGGGCGGCGCTCGCGGAGCTTTAGCAGATTCCACGAAGAACACTTCAACATTCGAGACCCAAAGCGTATTCAGTTGATCGACGCCATCAGCGATATCCGAAGACACGAGCTTGTGCCTTCGATCTTCTGGGCTCTTCTCAACATCTGCGATCTTCGTAAGCTCAAGAAAATCCGATCAGCTTGCGAATCCACCGGCAATGACTCTGTCGACTTTTGCTCCTATGCATGGGAGTGCGATGGCTTCTGCGCTACATGGGGCCCTTCCGAAACGATTCCCGAAACGAGACCTGAGAAAGACCATGGATTTATGTCTCAAGCTACGCGAAATGCAGCCTGCCTTCGAGACCGCCATCGGTGCGCTTTAACCGGCAAAAGAAACTTCCGCCTCGCCTGTATTGTTCCCTCCTGGGCACATGGCATTGTCCTTGATGAAATGCGGTGGTCAGGCGAGAGAACCGTCTGGAACACAATCTACGAATACTGGGACAGGGAAACCGCGGATCGCTGGTTCAAGGCTGCGTTCACCAGTCATCGGATGGGCGTGCTCCCTGTGGACAATTCGTCCAACCTCATCTGCTTGAACACCGAGCTTGCTCTGGCGTGGGAACTGGGTGTAGCTGCTTTCCGTCCGCTATTGATTTCAAACGAAAGGTCCAAACTGGTGATCGAGTTTCACTGGCTGGCCGTTGAGGATGTTAACTCTGGGGACTTCCTCGACGCAGAAACCGATATGCGCAAGGTACCAACGCCTACAAAGGGGTTGAGTAGCTACGAAGGATTATGTGCGAGACACCGGTATAGCAAGGGGAGAGCCCTCATCAAGACCGGTGATCGATTCTACCTCACCACCGATGACCCGGTGTTGCGACCGCTGCCCAGTTTCGATCTACTGGAGCTGTCATTCTACATGCGCCGCCTTATCGCTCTTTCCAACTGCAAACGCTCGTACCCTCATTGGCCAGCTGCAGACCAGGACTGGGTCATGAAGATGAAAAATGACCGACTCATAACAAAGGCCGGTATAAAGGGTGCTTGGCCGATTCAATGGTTTGGCTTTTCGGAAATCAAAGCAGGAGACGGCCCTGAGTGGCCTGCTGCTCGCCCAGAGAAATACCGGACTCCATCTCCTCCTCCCCTCCTCCTCCTCATGTGGACCAAGGGTCCGAATCCGGCTCCCCATATTATCTTTCGTGGACGGGATGGAAGAGAGCGACGGCGAAAACCCATCCCGACCAGGTTCCTCTGGGGATGGCTCACATGGTTGTCAACCAGACCTCAACTCCCCCTCGGGGTCTCTTCAACCAGCTTCTCCCTCCGAGCCAGCGTAAATGAAGGCATGTGCACGAATGTTGACGATCATGCATAATACCCGTGTCTCCCTGGTGATTTCAGAATCCGAGTAGCGATGTACAGGAGTGGAAGACCATATTGAGGCATCGTTTTTCGTTAGTAGGAAGTTGAATCTTGACCCGGAGCATTGAACGCTGTCACTTGTAGTGGTGTCCAGGACGGAGTACGCAGCGCAGTACTTCTAGTATATCCGCAGCATCCGTAGAATCCAAGGCTATCCAAGTTTCGATTCCGCATCCACCCATGAAGTTCGCCACCCGGGGGTCCAGATCTGCATGGCCGGAGTCCTTTTCCGACAGGACAAATCACATTACTGCGATTGCTCCGTTTCCAAGCTAGTTTCAAGCCACCCAACGCCCCAGGGATGGAGTGGGCACTTGAGTCAAATGTAAAGCAAGCCTAGACCACATCTAACCACTGACAATAGAAATCATACCACAGCCGACAGGACGAGTCCAATGCTAAGCCCCCCCTACGCACAGAGGAATCAGAAATACAGATGTCGATGCATCTGGCCCCTGGGCAATGCAGGCCGCAGGATTACATATTACCCCTGCAGCTGCCCGCAATACATTGCGGGCGTGTTTCAGGCACCTTAATCGCGGTGCAGGAACACCTTGAATCTCCGTGTCCCTGTTGACGTAGACATTTGTTGATATTGTGCTCGCCCATATCTGGATCTCTGGGGCTGTGTGGAGGGGCGGGGCCCAGGGGTTGTTTCGGAGTTCAGGGACCAGGAACGAGGTGCCTCTGAGTGGCCGATGAAAAATCTGTTACGACTGCGACAATTGGCTTTGCGCCGGAAGAATGATTTTGCTGTGGGTAATTGACGTAGTGGCTTTGCGATTTGGCGATCGGACATCGCATCGGTCTTGTTGGGTATTTGCACATGTATGATCGTCGTGAATTGCAAATTTGGAACATCCGGGTCCAACAGGGGAGGTGTTACGAATGATGAATACGTTGGTCGGTGAGAGTTCTAGAAGCATTCTGGTAGGACATAACAAGCCTAGTCCTACCACCAGAAAGCTCTCCAGAGGTCGCTCCACGGACGTTCTGGTCAAATTACGCTTGTGTCAAATTACCCTTGTGTGGAGGAGGTCCAATCTGACTTCATCAGATCCCGCAGGATCTCATTTGGTCAACGGAAGGGGAAGAGAAAAAAAGAAAAAAGAAAGAAAGAAAGAAAGGGGCAGGAGTATATCTCCCGAATTAAGTAGGCTGTGATTGGAGAATCGGAATAAGATGAAGAAACCAGGATAGGGTTTTACAAGCCTCAGGCTAAAGAGGATCGTCGTTGAACAACAATGCGCTCGGGGGCTATGAGCTAGCAGGAGGACGCGTGGGCTGCTACTCCGTATCCGTACAAGGAATACCGATCACTTCAAGACCATTTCGAGTCTAAGAGCAGAAAGTCAGCGGCAGCCCCTCGTCACAAATCGAGGAAACATGATCATCGGCTCTGGCGTTTAATGGACCGGGATCGGAGCAATCAGCATCCGCATGGCTATCTGCGGGAAGTGGACTGGCCAATAGGTGGTGGCTACGGTTGGCAGGCAAATTAGTTCCCACTCAGACCCGAGCTAGAGCTCGACATTTCCTTGATCGAGAAGGGGAGGGGCCGGCGGATCCTGGCTATGTCCAATGATGCACGACGCTGGGTTGACACATGAAAGTCTATCGAACGATCGAACTGCCCCGAGATGAGGAGGCCGGGCGGGCATGGGGGGGAAGGGTAGATCGTTTTGGGTCTTCATGGGAGATAGAAAGCCGTAACACCCGTTTTCTGGTAGTTGCGTAGTTAGCACCAAGTGGCATCCATAAAGCCCTCGAGTCTATAGATAGCAGACAAGGGATTCAAGGGTCCCTTTGTTATGGATGTGGCTTGCTCCAGTGTGGCTTCTGAGACACACCACCGACCGCTGCAGATCCACACATTACGTATGTCGTGCTTTGGCTTCCTTGTCACACAGAGTGCGACCCCCTAACCCAGGCGAGACGTAAATTGCCAGGGGATGAGCAAAGGTCGCCTAAAAGAGCTTCAAGGAGATGGGAATGCTGGTTTTTGAGGTCGTCCCCACTGCAAACCTTGGATCCGTGGAATCTGAAGGGTTTGGTTCCTGAGAGCTTCTGCTTCGATCCGCCATTACGGCCAATCTGAAGGTCCCCGGTGGAGTCGCATACCAATCTGGTATTTGGTTTACGCTGGGCCGCTTCGAAGCGTCAGGGGGGTTTGGGAGCACACAACCACGCTGGATGAAAGAACCTTAGACAGAACACGTAGAACAAAATAGTCCCGTAACGAACCCCAGGTAGGCCAACAAAGACACTTTAAGCCATCAGGTCGCACTGAGGCCAAGGACGTGTGCATAAAGTCTCCACTGCATGTTATGACCGTAATGCCGGGATGTTGAGCCCCGTGTCTCCCCCGTGACTTTCGTTTATCCTTTCTCCTCCCCTCTCTTCCCTATCTCTTCCCCTCTCCACCCCATTTGCATTGGAGGGAGGCGATGCTATCGCGACCTTGAAAACTTGGTTATTGTCACTCCGGGATTTCGTCTCTTCCTCCTCCCATTAACACTTCCCGTCCCCCCTCTTTGCGGACGTTGTCGTTAAGATTTCTTCTCGCCTCGGTGAAACGCGAGGTCAACCTACACCCGTTCGATCGTTTTTTTTTCTTCTTCCTTTCCGACCTGGCCAATCGCTCAAGAGTGAGGAGCTCACAGGATCTTAGTCTGCCGACGGCATCCGTTCAGTCCATCAACTATGCGTGTCTCTCTGTGTGTCTCTCTGTTGGCCGGGGTGATCGCCCTCGTCAACCAGCCTTTGGTATCCGCCGTCCAACTATATTGTGCCTCATCGAATACTGGAGCCAGCTATGATGCGGGTAAGTAAAAACAAGTGTACTTACTATTTCTTTTGCTCACTAGATCACATGCAGTCTCCAATATTTACCAATCCAACGGTGCTTGCATGAAGACCTGTGGAAACTACGCCTTCGGAATTCTCCAGGAAAGAAATGTTGGTGTTCAAACGTGGCCCCATCAAAGACTGACCAGGTCGATGTATCCAAGTGCAATTCAGCGTGCGCTGGTTACCCGAGTGACCTCTGTGGTAACACTGTGGAGAACTTATTTGGATATGTGGATGCTGGGAACAGCCCAACCAGCACTGCCGGTGGATCGAGCACGACTTCCTCGGTAAGCCTCTTCCTTTCTTTTCTTTATGCTTCCCCCCTCGCTTTAAACCGCCTTTTGTGTTCAAATGGTCCGTTGCCTTTGGATGAGTTCATTGTGGTCGATCATGTTCGAGTTTATTCTCAATCATGCGGAACTGGTTTTAATACCCGGGACAGGAGACCACAAAATCATCGTCGGTGACTACGAGCTCATCATCGTCAACAACTGTATCGTCGGAATCATCCCCGAGTACCCGACCCCTTACTAATCTCCCGTTACAGTCCGAGTCAACCAGCACCACTAGCCAAGTCGCCCTCACGACCTCTTCGGATGGCGAAGTGAAAACAATCACTGTAGCGGACCCAGGACCAACCTCGGGCTCGGACGGCAAGTCACTCAGCGCAACTCAAGACGACAAAGGCTCTTCCCTGAGTGGTGGCAGCATCGCCGGGATTGTCATCGGGGTGATTGCAGGTCTGGCGCTGATAGGCGCGCTGGTCTTCCTTGTCTTCTTCTATCGCAAGCGTGCGCGCTCCGCAAGCCCCAGCCCCAGCCAAGACATGGGCCAGCGTGAAAGTCGTGCTTCTAGCTTCTTCGGCGGAGGTGGCTTCCCCGGGGGAAGTCTGCAGCGTAATCCCACCTTCACTGATAACCGCTTGCGAACCGACCAGGTTCTCTATCCCAATGGCCCGAGAGATAGCAGTGTTTCTCTTCAAGACGACCAGGACTATTCTCGGCCTGTTCTTCGAGTAAGTCACCACCAGCCGAGACTAATTTCTATGTACGCTAACCAAGCCGAAAAGCTTGCCAACCCCGACGAATAAAATGGATCAGATTTGGCATCGTGCCCCGTCCATGCTTCTCGAATAAATGGCCGATAACGCACTAGTTTATTGTCGCCCACCTCCACTTCCCTTGACCATTAATTCTGCGCGATCTCGCCAAAAGCAGTTCTATTATGATACCCACTTGTCACTTGACTTCTTTTTTTCTCTTCTCAAGGTGGCGACTAGACGAACACCGAGCAGGAGATCTTCGAAGCCTGTTCTTTGAACTCAGTGACCCGCTCCGCCGAAAGCTTGGATTCCCAAGCATAGGCGCACCACAACACCAAGAACGCGATCCTTTACAAACACAATGAGTTCACGAGCAACATTACATACCTTTGCATACATCCCATGGATCACGGCACACTCACACCGAATGACTCCAACGTACATACATCCTCACATCGCGACATTTTGATCCTTTTTTTTTTTTCTCTAGCTCATTTCGACAATTGTACTATTCAGCCAGCTCGTGCTCAACATTAATTCACCTGTTTCCTGCCTGCATCTGGCTCCAAGGTACCGAAGACCTTGTTGTATTGTTAGATTACAATTACAATATTATTGAACCTCCTCCGGGAGTATTAGTATATCTTATTGAAGAGTTCATCATCTTGTCTGCTTTTTCCTCGATTGGTCTGGTATTTACTCTGACGCGCCCTTGTCAATGGGACCGCGGCAATATTGGGTGTTTCCAACCAGTGTAGTCGGCCCAATCGCCCAACTAGCTATGATTGCAATCCTAGGCTGCTTCGGAACAAAACGCGTCGCCCAGTTCTATTAGACATGTCTTTGACAGACGGTAGGTCATGGCTTGTAGTCACTGGTCGCGGGTTCCGAACCACCGCATGGAGGTTGGGCACAAGTCAATGCATTCTGTTCGTCGAGGTGGCAATAAGCACGTCCAGTTCTCGTCGTGTCTGCCCGTTCCGAACTCGAAAATTTGGAGAACTTCGAAGTAGATGTAGTGCCAATGACACTCACAAGGTCCGAGGCGGTATACTTCCAGTCTGCTAGAGTTTGGACTATTTTTGTACTAGAAGTACATAATGAATGCTCTGGGCTAAATCGGTGAATATGAGGGATTGTTTTGTGTTGTGTACAATGGTGGTGGTTATTACATATAGTTTTCCGAATCTAAGCAGATGCTGCTTGACGAAGGAACCAAACTTCATACAGGATCTTGATACACTCATCCTTTGCTCCCAGAGCTCCAAAATACCCTTAGGACTACTCGTGCTGCTATTCCTATCCCTGTAGTTGCTGTCGGCATAAACATGGACACCCTCATCCATCCGCATCTCGCAATCATCGCACGACGCTGCTGTACAGACTAAGACAAATGCCCCCTCGCAAAATCTAGAATGTTGACCTAGGTACGCGCTCTAATCAAATTATACGCTGCATCCTTATCAGCAACAGACCGCAACCAAAGCACCGTATACTCACCGTGATATCTCTCGGAAAGACCCGCACCGGCCTCCATTAACGGCACAATACGCACGGGCTATGCTGCATGGCTAAAATTGGGTGGAATCACCGCATTCTTGTTGGCGGCATTTTCACTGATAGAGGGCAGAGAGAGCACCTGCCTGAAGACCCTATGGTCAGGTCTCTCGATGGCCGCCTGCCAGACGGTTGAGCTTGCTCGGGTAATTCGACGGCTTTCTTCGTCCGCTCGATCTTCTCAGGCTTCGTGCGTGAACAAGCGACCCGGACGGTATTGAGACTGCCTCCGAGGACAACAGGGCACATGATATCGCCATTGGTCATAATCGTCCCCCCTCTAAATGGAAGAATTGGCCATAGCCGCCATCGCAATACCAGAGGACATGCGGAGAGGACTTTCGGTATCTAGGAAGCCTTCATGTAATGTGCCGATAGCAGACTTATGATCTCGGGACATTCGGGCTGTACGGCGAGACTGAGACTGAGCATCCATCTCTCCGAGGTCGCCAACAAGCCTGTTTGCAGAGGCCGCTCATAGTCTGTTCGGTGGACCGGGACTACCTCACTCTGCTACAGTTGCAGGGCCCCGTGCGGTAGTACGAATTCGGGCTCATGCCGAGACCGACAAAGTGCTGGACGGGTAGTAGCTTTGCCGTTAAGTATGCATTATGCAAACAGCTCTCACAAGAGGCTGCCAAGTAGTAGAAGTGGTTTCCTGATTCGCATAAGCCGGCAAATTCCTGGGAACCTGGTCTTGTGCAACGGTGGGACAGAATTGCTGCCGGCTCATCAAGATAGTTGGTGTCACCCAAGGGCCCATGCGATTTTAGCTATTCGAAATAGGTACTACAGACTTCGAAGATGTTGAATAGTTTCGAGTTAGGAAGGGATAAGGCTTGGGTTTCCTTGCTTTGCTATCTGGACAAGGAACGCATAAAGAGATAATGATACCTCTGAGTATAATATAATCATCCCCGACTACAGATCTCTTTGTGTAGGCTGTCTATTGTCAGCGAAAATGGACAATGGAGCGAGTAAACGCTTGGAATTGTTCGAAGATGCTGTTCAAAGTTGTTGCTCAGCGTATAGTCATTCAGAAAGCTGTCAGACAAGCGATCTCGACCTGTGCGGGCCTTGCGGGCTCTCGCCTAGTAATCAGACAGACTACAGACTACTAGTCTGATGGTGGCGATTGATCATCTATGTACCGGTACTGGTAGATGTCATAGTCGGTATCACGCATTTGCCCGCGTGGCCATGAATCAGGTCTGTCACCTGGGGGGGTTAGCTAGGAATTATTAGGACTTTCTGGATGGTTGTTCCTTACCCAAATTAGTAACTTTGGCCCCGGGTTGATAAGTCCGATCATGGTGCGCTAGCAGAGGACTCGGGGGATAAAACCAGTAAGGCTGGACCCGTCGTGTGCACTAGAACGAATTTCTTCGACCAAGCGTCAATGTCCAGCGCTGGATTCTCCTAGCGGGTATTACTTGATGTAATGCGGCTCAGTACTGTTTCGGCAGGTATAGCAGTACCGATATCGCTGTTTCGACAAAGCCGGGAGAGCCAAACCGATATAAGGAGATGAGTGGATTAGTGGCGCTTTGCATGGTCGCACCGAGGTTCGCTGCTCATTCTCAGACGGACCCTGGCTATTTGACTGTTTAATAAATTATATTAGCCTAAAGAATATATCAGCTATTCACGCGCGCGATGACTATAACTTGACCGAGGGAAAGGATCCAAGTTACTCTACACTCTACATCTGTGCCATGAGTACATCTGTGGATATTTGCGAAATTTATCTCTAGCCGAAGGAGACCGGAACACATTCCGAATAGCGCGTGTCTTGGTGGACTGCGGGGACTGAAAAGATTTCCGCTCAATTTGATGCCAACAATGTTCAAGTGGAACTCGGCACAACTTCGGCAGACCAGAACTTTGAGGTCTGAGAGTTTCGTCGCTTATGACCCATGCTAACTAATCGATCATACGTTGTCCGCATCTCCGGACTTTCCCCCAGATTCGCCAAAGAATGCTTCACCGGGAAGCTCGAACAGGCTAGTTGGCGAGTTGACTCCAGGTTTCAAGCCCCATGGGCCACCCCAGCGGGCCCTGCGTCCAACTCGGTTCCCCGGGTTTAAGCCTCTGGACCGAGCACACGATGCCGATAGTGAGTCTCGCGTGGTTTTCAGCTTCAAAACGGTCCACGTAGGCCGAGAACCGGCCAATCGGCGTGGCCCAGCGGCGCGCTGTCTCCCGCCTGGCCTCGTGGCGTGTGGGGGAAAAGGAGTCCGAGAACCCAGAAATGCTACAGTTCCCATGCGTCTGCTGGCCGCAATGCCGTACGAGCCCAAAACAGACAATCCTGAAAGCGGATTTGTCCGGTACCTAGAAGATTCTACCTTCAGCTATTGGGCCTAAGCTTTTGTCTTTCGTATGGCCCCACGCTTCCTCCCCCCAAATCCCTGTGGTGAATCAGCCTATGCCCGAACGGGAGACGCACGCGGGGAACCCCAGGCTCTCTGCCCCTTCTGTGGAGGTGGCCACAGAATTGTCAGCTGATTGATGCGGTCTCTCTGTGTCTCACGAGCTGATCGGGTCTTCTTTGGACTGGAATCGCCCGCATCTACAAACCGTCGACCCACTCGGAAGAAGCCGTGGGATCTCCCAAGACTCTTGTCTCTCCCCTGATGGTTTGCATGCATGATCTCTTACTGGGGAGATTCTGACTGTAGTGGGGCCAAGGAACTGAGTTGCATTTTTTTTTTTCTGCAGCGCTAGAGGGCCTCCGTCAGCACTAAGGACTAAGCACGAGAACCCCGGAAAAGGAGGACCCTTGCGCACACTGGGGTTGAGCGGGCCACGCTGAGAGAGACTTGACAGAAAGCCACATTTGCCCCCCCCTCCCCTCCCCCCTCCAATCGCATCGAAAGGCAAGTTGTCTCGGCGTCGGGGCTTGTTCGTTCCTAAGTTTGGCGGGGGTCGCCGACACAGCGGCAAGGCGTGCTACGCCAGTGCTTCTTTTTCGGCTACAAAGATTTGGTGGCGTCCATTAGCCTGTGCGTTGAAGCTGTTGGCCGTAATATTCCATTTCCGACTTCTGGTTCTTCCCCGAGCCTGAGACTGCTTTCTCTCTTAGCGTCTCATTAGCTTTGATGAAGACCTGGAACGTGTGATCTGGAGGGCCTATAGGGTCCTAGCTCCCGGTGATGCCAGGATTAGGGTTGCAGTGTCGTATAGAGTAAATGGCCGGGACCATTGGCCTACTGCTCAAGCCCAAACCACAAATGTAAACTTCGGAGGGAAAAAAAAGTGAGACTAGTGGAAAATGGTAAGCTTGTCTATTTAATCCAAGTGGTCTGCCTCTCACTTCTGAGAAGTCCTTTCCGGTTGACTCTTCCCTCATCTCCTTCTTTTCAACTTTCTCATCACCCCTCTTTTTCTCGGCTCTTTATTCTTCCCTCTTGGAATATTGAACTACCATCCACCATGGCGGTCAGTCAGTCGGTGGTTGGCCGTGCCAACGCGGAGAAGGCCCATGGTCTGATGGGTATGCTGAAGAACCCGTATGTCTTCCTGACCTGCTGCTTCGCCTCCCTTGGCTGTATCATGTACGGCTATGACCAGGGAGTCATGGGTCCTATCTTGGTCATGGAAAACTTCCAAAATCACTTCCCCTACTTCGAAGGCTCGACCATTCAAGGCTGGCTCGTGTCGGCCCTGGAGCTCGGTGCTTGGCTCGGTGCTCTGATCAACGGTATCCTGGCGGATCGCATTTCCAGAAAGTATGCCATGATGGTTGCCGTCGTCATCTTCACTCTCGGTACTGGTTTACAGGCGGGTGCGCAGAATCCAGCCTACTTCTTCGCCGGGCGCATCATCGGTGGTGTGGGCATTGGTATGTTCAGTATGGTCATCCCGCTGTACCAGGCCGAGATTGCTCCTCCTGAACTGCGTGGATCGCTGGTCTCTTTGCAGCAGCTCTCCATCACCATCGGAACGGCGATTTCCTTCTGGCTCGACTACGGTATGCAGTATGTGGGCGGGGTGCACTGCAACCCAGAAGGAATTGACAACCCTTTCCTCAAGAGCGGAACCTACAATGCCGCCCAGAACCACGGCCACACCTGTCTCGGTCAGAAGACGATCGCCTGGCGTCTCCCGCTGGCCCTTCAGATCATCCCAGCCTGGATCCTTTTCTTCGGCATGTTCTGGTTCCCGTTCTCTCCTCGTTGGCTGATGATGAAGCACCGCGATGAGGAAGCCCTCGCTACCCTTTCCAAGCTGCGCCGCCTGCCCGCCGCCGATCCCCTCATCCGAGCCGAGTTCCTCGAAATCAAGGCGGCTGTCATGTTTGATGAAGAGACCGAGCGTGACCTCGTTGGTTCTGGCGGTGCCTTCGCCCCCTGGAAGGCCCTGTTTGCCCCGAACATGCTGCGCCGTTTGCTGCTTGGTTGCGGTATGATGGTGTTCCAACAGTTCACTGGTATCAACGCCGTGCTGTACTATGCTCCTCAGATTTTCTCCAGCTTCGGGTTCTCGTCTACCACCCAGACCCTTCTGGCTACTGGTGTGACTGGTATCTTGCAGATCATCTTCACCCTGCCGTCTGTCCTGTTCTTGGATAAATTTGGACGCAAGACCTTCCTCATTGTGGGAGCCATTGGCATGTTCTGTTGCCACGTGGTCGTCGCTACCGTGGAGGGTATCTACAAGCCGCAGTGGGATCTCAACGAAGGTCTGGCCAAGACGCAAGGATGGGTTGCTATCGCGTTCATTTGGCTCTTTGCCGTGAACTTTGCTTACTCCTGGGTATGTCTCGCGCTCGCTGCGACTCTTGTCAGGAAAAACCTAACTAACTTCGATGCTTCTAGGTCCCGTTGCCTGGGTCTTGGCCCAAGAGATCTTCCCCAACAGCCAGCGTTCGCGCGGTGTCGCCCTCGTCGCATCCACCAACTGGCTCTTCAACTTCATCATTGGACTGACCACCAAGGACATGCTCGACTCGATGAAATACGGAACCTACATCTTCTTCGCCATCTTCTCCGGTCTGGGTGGCCTTTTCATTTGGTACTTCTCGCCCGAGACCAAGGACAAGACTCTGGAAGAGCTGGATGTCTTCTTCGGCGGCTCTGAGGAGAGCATTGCCGAGGCCGATCGCCAGCGCATGCAGCGCATCAACGAGTCCCTAGGCCTTGCTGGTGTTGAGAATGTCGAGGATCTTAAGACGGCTGTCACTTCCGAGCAGGTTGAGTTTGAGTCTACTACGAAGGCCTAGAGCCCGGAGTAAGATCCACTTTGGAGACTCTGCAATGAAATAACGCAGGATATGTTCCATACTAATTTAATGATTCTTCAAGTAATCAATGTACACAGTATATGAGAAACTTATGCTCGATACCATACCCGGTTTCCAATGCCTCCAAACAGTATCCCGTGATTGACATGGATGTAGGGGAGGACCTCCAGCATGATGCCAGGACTGGGTCATTCCAAGTTAGATGGGAGAGTCCACCTTCGAAAGCCGAGCGGTCAAGATTCCAAGAGGATGTTGCCTTCGAGCTTGCTATGACCATGTGCCTTTGGTTTGCACAGAGAGAACTTGCACGCGCTTTCCCTCGTCCTTGGAACGCAATTGATCGCAGACATGTACATCATCGGACACGAAAAGTGGAGTCTAGACCGACCGGGGGTGGATGACAGGATGGAAAAATGGGTCCTTCAGTCTTGGTCCTCTTCCGGGCGGAGATCGTGGTACGCGAACCCGCAAATGAGCAGCCGTACAGATCAAAGACGATTAGCTCAATTTTTAAGACAGGGTCTCGCTGTGGCGAAAAGAGCCCCGTTTTTGCCGGCACGGGCGAGGTTAAACGTTCGCAATGTGGGGAATTCCGCCTCCAGCCCCAGTTTTATCGGCGAGACTCAGCCAGCATCGTAAGGCGGCATATATGCATAGACGGTTGCGTTGGCCACTGTTACGCTTCTGCCTGCGGTCTTGGTGCCTTTGCATGAAGCAGCTTACGATTCCGTGGCCAAAAGACCGTCGCCCAAAGTACCAGTACTTATTTTGGTCGTCCCTTGTTCGGCTAAACGGATCCATGCCACATGGAGGCAGCCGAAAAGGTGTGGATCCTATGATGGAACTAGCGGCTGAAGGTAGCATATGTCAGGGGCAAACATGATCCATTGCGGCATTTGTGAGATGAGATGGCGAGGATTGGGGTTAGCAAGAGATGGTGAGCAAAGCGCTGCGGTTCTGATTGGCGGGCCCTCTTGCTTGACAATAGAGCAGTCAAGTCGCCAATTTCATCATTGACGGTGGGAATAGATTGCGACCCGTGGACCGCTACTCCCCGCATCGGTTCGTGAGACCAGCCAATCACCGGCTGCGGTGGCCGCTTAGGCTTCGTGGCTATGTTTATGCATATCTGCACTCATGTCACCTTGTATCGATTCATTTGGCGGATATACCAAGGGGATTCGAAATAATATGGCACTTGGAATATCCTGTAACTGTTGAGAACGTCCCAAACGCCGGAGCTCTCAAATCCCCAATTAGGCTGTTTGGCGGGAAAGCCACCCCCGTCGATCCTTGCCCTGTCTCTGTGGGGCGCGCTCTGACTCAGCAATCCGCGATTGTGAATGGGCCAAATCAAGCTACACGGGGCTTGTCTACGTCATGCGCCAGTCATAGGACCATGCGATTTGACTTGGATGGATATACTAAAAAGGCAGCGGGACGCAAACTGTGCGGGGTTTTTGGATAAGACTTGAACCCATCCGGCGCTCGAAGACAAATCCGTTTTGCATCGGTAAACAATGTCCACGACTACGCAAACACAACCAATAAACAGCGTTCATGTCACGCCTGGAAACCCCAAAGTCTTGGGCCGGATGAGAGGACGACGCAAGGCGGGCGAAAGCGACGCCGGGAGACAGTTGCTTGAAGATGGCAGGCAGGGCGCGAAGCCCCCCACCATCGGGTTCATGAAACAATGCGAAGTGCCCTCCAATATGCCCAGTTACCCGGGCCTCGACCGATGGCGCCTGCTGGAAAAGCTGGGAGACGGTGCATTCAGCAGTGTTTACCGTGCGAGCGATACCAAATCCCAGCATCGCGATGTCGCGATCAAGGTTATGAGGAAATACGAAATGAACGATAGACAGGTATGTATTATATGAACTGTTTGGACCGCTCAATCGGCACCCTCTTGTGGGTTCGGAAGCACCGGGAATTGTGAAGATCGTCTTCTGACAATCGCCAGAAAACCAATTTACAAGAAGAGGTCAACATCTCACGGAAGCTGGACCATGATAACGTGGTTCGCCTCATCGATTCTTTCGAATCACGCCAATATTACTACATGATCCTGGAGCTTTGCCCTGGCGGTGAGCTCTATGATCAGATTGTCAGCCTGACATCGTTGAGTGAGCAAATGAGCCGGCATGTAATCACCCAAGTTGCCCATGCCGTGGAATACCTGCATGATACGATGGGAGTGGTTCACCGGTAAGTCATGCCACAGGATAACCCGGGAATCCCCAATCAGCGACTCATACATAAGCATCAGTGACATTAAACCCGAGAACATCCTGTTATGCCCATCTTCAGCGACGCCTGCAGTGACGCCGATGGAAGGTAGGAAACCCCAGACACCGGGAATTGATAAGGATCGCGAAGAAGCCGTCTCGATTGCGAAGGCAGGGGCAGATGACATCGGAGTGGTGAAGATCGCGGATTTTGGGTTGTCCAAGATAATCTGCGGATTCCCCACCATGACACCATGTGGGACTGTGGGTGGGCTGCGCCCGAGTTGCTCAAGGAGCACAACTATACCACCAGCGTGGACATGTGGGGCATCGGCTGTCTCCTGTTCACCATGCTATCTGGCTTCCCACCGTTCTACGATGAGGATCTGAAAGTGATGACCCGCAAAGTCATGAAAGGAGAATACTCGTTCTCCTCTCCAAACTGGGAGTCTGTGTCACCGGAGGCCAAGGACCTCGTTTCCAAGCTTCTTACCATCAACCCAGAAGACCGGTTGAACATCAAGGAGTTTCTAGCCCATCCATGGGTATGGGGTGACGAGGATACCACCCCATCCAACGAGACTACTGCTCCGACGTTGGACGATCCGAAGTCTGAACTCCAGGACTCGCACCGCCTGGCCATGAAGAGCTCGGCGGCTTTCCGAGAGAACGAGACAAACCACTATCACGCCGAGACTCCGAGCATCAAGGAAGTTCTCAACGTCAGCTTCTCCGTGCAACAGCAGCACCATGAACGCCAAATGCAAGACATGGCGAGTCACGCAGGACGTGACTCGTCTCATCATTTCCATAGGCGAGCCCGGGTTCAATCGGGACCGTCTCAACATTGGAAATAGTAACCTGCTCAAGAGGAGGGGGCCAAAATGATCAGATAACTGATAAGATTGCTGGAACATGGCCGGGACATTCTAGCTTGTATAATAGTTGTACTTGTACGATGATGAATAACGACCTTCTGAAGACTAACATTTCCGAATGTATTTTTTTCATTTGACTCGGCACCTTGATAAGTTTAGCGCAATGCTACAACCGCTTCCCGGTTGGCTATCCCAACCCCATTCTCGGACACTTAAGATCATTTTCTCTTCGCCCCCACATGTGGGCCTAACATCATCCAGGTGCAAATGCTCACCTGGCGCCCAGGTGGGCATCTCGATGATTTGTAATCGCGCATGGCGCTGGGCCCCCCCCAGCTATTGAGGGGCAATGCGCACAACGCCCAAAAACAGCTGAAAATCGTTTATTCGAAGCAATTATCCCGTGGGATCTGAACGAGCATATTGCCTCACATGTCTGCATCTCAGAAGACCTTCATTGCAACAGGCACCTCCTCGGGCTTAGTATGACATCACACATGCCCCCCTTCACACCAGTGCTTGGATATCTGACCAAAAAAGGCAGGGGTTCGAGGTGGTGAAGCAGCTTCTCGAGGGTGAACAGGCGTATAACTTTATCCTTGGTGCTCGAAACACCGAAAAGGCTGAGGCTGCCTTTGAGGACTTGAAATACGATACCACAAAGCACACTGTCACTGTACTTCCATTGGACCTGCAGAGCCTGCGAAGCGTGCAGGTGTTCACTCAACAGGCGCTCGCAACCCTGGGTCGCAACAAGCTGGATTACCTGTTCCTGGCTGCCGGAACCATCGATAATGGCGAAGGCCCCGGGCCCCACGGATCTCAGTGGTGCACCGGATATGTGGTAAACCATCTTTGTAAGCTATGAGAACCCACCGGACTTTGTAAGACACATGTGCTGATAAGAGATTATGAAAAGCTCAACATTATCTGCTTCATTTGCTTCGCGAAACACTGGTTGGCTCACAATCGCGCATCGTCTTCGTCTCTTCTGGTTCAGTCCGCAACGTGCGGAACAGTGACCCTAGTGCGTTCTTCTAATACCCGTCTTCCAGGCAATCAATTAACCAGATCCTCAGAAACACTGGATGCCGACTTGAAGGCGAACTCCCCTGCTGGTGCCTATTCGATCTACAGCGCTTCGAAATTCGCCGGGCTATTGGGGGCGCACCACTGGCGCCGCAACCTTCCCCAGTGCACCATCGTAGCCGTCTCTCCGGGCCTGGTTCCTGGCACCGGCCTTGCCTCGAATATGGGTCTGACTATGGACATGCCTGATGCGAAGACCGTCCCTGAAGGTGAGAATCTGCCCCTCTGTTTGCGAGATCTACAACATACTCAGAAAGACTCCAGGTGCCCAAAATCTCCTCCGTGCATTCACCATTCAAGATTTCCCTGTCGACCCTGAGCAGATCTTCCTGACTAGCTGGGGTGAATGGTGGCCCAAGGACGTCATTGGTCTGAGTCTAGACAAGCAACTGCAGGATAAGTGGTGCCCGAGCCTCGAGGAGATTGAGAAGAGCGAGGGGCTCTCAGCATAGGAGGAGTGCTTGGTGTCTAATAATCGGTTTCCTTTTCCCCCTTGGCCTAAGTTGGAGATGGATTTGCCCTTGCTTCGGCTTTCCAGTTCGTAGGTCAGAAAAGTCAACAGCAACATGAGCGTGCTTTATTCTCCGGCCGAAATGTTTATATCATGGTGAAAAATGTTTATATAGTGATGAAACTCTGGCTACCAAAACTTGGTGCCAAATTCTGCAAATATGAGTTGAATCAGCTTTCCGCTGGGTTCTTCTTAGATTGGACTTCTCATTGTGAATGCATCTAGAATACTTTGTCGCTACCATTCTAGTATAAATGGTAAGTGAACTTGGTAGACGTAGAGCCTCCCTTTGAAGTAGTTCTCATGAACGACCGCCAGACAGAGAATGGTCCCCCCTAGCGTCTCCCTTATAAAAAATTCCTATGATAGTCTACAAGTGACGTTCATGGTGGTCTAGTAGTACTGCCAAGCGGCTGGACATTTTTACCCTTTCGGGTAAGGGGATCTGCGGTCTTCCTTATCGGTACATCCAGTCCAGATGCTCTTATCTGTCCATCTTGTACTACTGCCCACCTTGAGGTTTCAATGATGCCTCTTGCTGGATGGAAAATTGTATGGCATCGACAAAGGTAGCTCGGATTCTTCAGGGTTCTTGGGGCTGGCCAAGGACGAGGCCAGTTTTATCGGATATGCTCTAATGACTAGAACTAGACTGAAGTAGTCCTGGTATCTACGTGGTTAACGCGATAAGAAACCCTGAAAAGATACAAAACAGAGTACTTCAGTCGTCATCGTAGGGCCAACCCGGCGAACTCTCGCCAAACATGGCAATCTTAGTCGATCCAAGCACAGGCACGAACCAAAGAAGATATGCGATGCGTGTATGATACTTCTTGAGGAGCTTCCCCGCTTCTTCGATCCGGTCCCAAGTGCAACAATACCGTCCAACCTCGGATACATCGATAAACTGGGAGTATTTATTGGCTAGAATGGCTCCTTTTATGATCAAAATCTAGCGATATACAAACCTGGTTCATATAACAAGGAGCCTATTGGTGCATGGCACAATCCCTGGCACAACGATGGACCTACTCCCCAACAGCCCCGAAAGCATCTGGAAGCTCGGAATCGTCTTAATAATTGCCATAGGCGCCTACCTGACCACTTCTCGATCCTCCATCCCAGTCTTGCGCAGACTCTCCCTACGCGGCCGCAGAGACTCTACAGCCAAAACGCCCCCGCGATCGTTATCGCCAGATAATAAGCGCAGCACATCGCCTCCCGAAAGCTACAGCCATGTCCTCCCACCCCATCGTAGAGAGTCGCTCCTCCAGCTCCAAGCACACTGTTTCCGCTGGCGCAATGTCACCGAAGCAGAAGTGCGCCAGAACATCTTGCCCATGACCGCAGACTATATGACCAGCCCAGGCAACCTGTACACTCCCACTGGATTTACGGTAGAGCAAGTGAAAACCCTTGGAGACTTCCCAGACTATGCAACCTTATGCGGAGTCCCGCTCCCCAATCCATATCCCGAACATAACATCGAGAAGGCGCTGCCTCGCCCATTCAGGCCATTCCGCTGGACGTATCATCAGACCATGTGTACGATACCGCTCCCCATCCACCAAGTGGTCCCACCGAACTAATGCCCGTGGCAGCACTGACCAAACTCGAAACCGACTGGTGGATTGAGCTGGAAAATACCTACAAAAGCCGCATTGCGCAGCGGAAGGCCCTCTACGCCAAACACGGCAAAGCGGTTCTCGATGCCCTGCCGGGCTCTGAACTCGCCTGCAAGGAGCTCATGGAGATGGTGCTCCAGTTTGTCTGCGCTCGATACCCGCAATATTTCTCCGTGGTGGACAAGCGGATTCTACAGAACCGCATTCTCGAAACAGAGCAGGATATCCGATCCAAGCCTCCCCTGGAGATCCTCATTGACAACATCCCCGAAGACTTTGCCATAATGCTCCGCGACGATCAAACGGGGTATTACTTCATGCGGGCGGGCGTGATATGCTCGGCATTGGGATGGAACGTGGGATCCAAAATTGGGAAGCAATTACACGAGATCCACGCGCCGATTCCTGACTATAAAGAGAAGATGCAGTTCTCTATGGATCGGTGCGTAATGTTCCTGTTGGGGAGGATGACATTACAATGTAAGGCTGACTCTATGGAACAGGTTTTTCACGAAGATGCCGACGGACAAGCCCATCCAACGGGGCTCGTGGGGTCTCGAGGTCGGGGAGCCTCTGTATATGCCGCCAGGAGACCCCCACGAGGCTCTTCGGCTCACGCAAGATCCCAACCTGACACTGAGACGAGTGCAACTTGCGCGTCGACTGGCAGACTCTGCGTCGTCTCCCTATCTCTGCGGGCGTTGTGTTCAATTTCAAGGCCCTCTTCACGCCTGTCTCCGAGTTCCGGGATGAACCCGGCGTTCCTGCTTTGATTGCTAAGGTCTTGAAAGAGGGAAAGGAGAGCCTGATGCGGTATAAGGGCACTTGGCACGTTCAGCATGTTATACTTCCGAAGTTGGAGGAATGGACGAAGGAGCAGGAAGATCTGGGTATCATGCCGAAGGGGTGGGAGGTGACTACTCTGGATGAAAGTCCTTGGTTCCGGAATTGGGAAGAGAAATGGCATCGTCAGCAAGGTTTTTGAAGAGGCCATGTCGTCTTAGTATATTAATAAAATGCGTACATTGTCCCGTCCACGTTCTATTCTTTCATCCCTCCTCTCTGCTACTAGTAATATTCACTTCGAATTCTGACATGGATGATTTGGCTTCAATGTTGAAGAGTTACTCAGAGAGATATACCACCGAAGTCATTGAAGGCGCTGGGTTGTATCTAGTAAATAACTTTAAGAATCTCGTTACTGCATAATGAAGCCTTGATCAACAGTAGAACTGAGGAGAAACTGAGGAGAATACGTCTACTTCTACTAAGGCCTATAGGACTAGCTTATGACTTCCAGGGTGCCACCGGTCCGCAGGGGCCATGCCATGGGGGCAACAGATGCTGGCCTTCAAAGCTGTCATTTTTGGCTTCTTTTTCAGAGGACCTTACACAATAGTTGTAATTTGGTTTATTTGCTGAAATGGTAGCTCTGGGGTATATTAAATCTATTTCGATGAATGCAACCAGGTTTGGCTATTAGAGGCAACGGATTGTTGAGCGGTTGGATGCGGCCAAGATCCAAGAAAGCAGAAGAAGCCATGGGTTTCGCAGCTTATCATTCGCCTCTCTTCTTTTCGCTCCTGTTTCTGGTTACGAGTTCCCTGAGAATCCGCTCTTTGCCGGGTTGAGTATCTGCGAAAATTCCTCTGGTTCAAAATAGCTGACCGGCGGGAATCGGTTGAGGTTCGACACCGCAAAGATCAAGCCATGGGCCCGACAATTATGCAGTAGTGGCGGGGCGGGACTCGCGGAGCATGGCGTGAGTGTGTGCCAAAGATTTGGCAAGACAGTTCACAATGTGGATGTTCAGCTGTCCGCATCGGCAGATTTCGGCTCTGAGGCCCAACCGTCACTATGGCCGCTCTCTGAATGTTTCTCGTCTTCACTCTCTCGATCCAGCTCCTCCAACTCATCTGCCAAAGGACTGATCCGCTCATCCAGCAGATCCAAGTCCTCCAATTGTGAGCGAGGAGGTAGCTTCCACAAGCTCGTTCCGCAGACACGGTCCTTGGTCAGAAGATCGTCGATAAATTGGTCCATGTAGGTAAGGGTAAAAGAATCGCGGATTCGGCGTTTCAGTTTGCGATAGTCGAGCAGGAGCGGCTCAAGCGTCTTGTAAACATCCACCGCATCAAAGGTAAGCCGTACATAGAAGGCAGCAAGTGCCCGTAGATATTTGAAATCGCCACGGGCTTGCAGCACCTCTCTCTCCACCTGCTCTTCGTCCTCGACGTCACTACCTGGGTCGCTGTAGTTGAGGTACTCGAGGATCACGTCTCGTTCCGGGTGGAGCTGCAAGAGCTTGAAGGCTAGGCAGATAAATGGCGAAGGCTTCTCCGATACACCATAGGTACCACCGACGAATGTGAGTTCAACTGCGCGGTCGCACAGAGTTGCCGCGTTCAAACCGAAACATTGTTCCTTCCAGTAGTATGAATCGGTGATTCGGTCGCGGACTGCGGTCTCGAAAAGCGTAATCGGGTTGACGCCTCGGACCAGAGGCCCAGTATACCCGCGATTGTCTAAGAAGGCGCTGGCGTCAGCACGGTGCGTCATGGCGAGGAGAATAGCAGATGGCGTAGAATTGGGCAATCAGTGGTCGAGCTAAGATCGATACAAAGCGGCAAAAAAAACCCGGACCGCCCACATGCCCTGACCGCCTGACCGCCTACTATCGATAGTCGCACGGCCAACGGCAGTAAACAGTAAACAACAAGGCACTAGCGTGATGTCATGAAACAAGTGACGGATCTAGAACCGTGCAGAGATACCGTGGGCTATTATTAACTCGAGGCTGTCTGGGATCGGATGTTGTGACTGATTCAGATTCTGTCAACCCCTCCCTTTCTCCAGTCCAAATGTTTGGCACATCCACATCATGGTGCTTCTCAATTCATCCACAGTCTCGACCTTCTTGTCGATGGGGGTGGTGTGCATCTGCACTCTGATGCTCTTTTTTGCAGGATATGTGTTGCAGCAACAATCAGTTAAGAACATTCAGCATGCCTTGCGGCCACCACAAGCACATCCCGCAGGCCAAGGATCTACATTCCAGAGTTCAGAGCATCAGCGTGTATTATCAGAGCTGAACTCCAGATTAGCGGCTGATCTTGATCAGCCCCGAGTGGAGCAGAGATCTCTTGCGGGTTCGAAGGGGAACTACGCTTACCTGCAGCTGCTCTCAAGGCCTGATCCATCAGACATCTGCTCGGCCGTCCTCTTCTTCAAGACGCTTGCCAAGAATGAGAGCGCCATTGAAGACCGACTGTTTATGTACCCCCAGGAGTGGGACCGGATGTCTTCCAAGCAGCTTGGGGAGGATGCGTCCACAGCCATGGCCATATTGCGAGCTGCGAGCATCAAGTACGGGATCTGGCTACTCCCAATCGACATGACTGCTGCAAAAGGATATTCAATTACAAATACCAAATTGCTTCGACTCGGTCAGATTCAATTCATGCAATATGACAGTGTGCTCTATGTTCAAACCCCTGGCCTGATCCTCGACACAGGCAAGCTGGATCAGGTCCTTCTGTCTCAGCCATTACCGCTGGTCCATGACAAAAATCGCCCGGACTCCTACGATAATAAGGCCTGGACACCTTCAGCGCTTCGTCCAGAACGAGACGCAGATCTTCCACCGGTCTATTTGGTGACCGTAAACAATGTCGGCTTCAGGAATGTCCAGGCTCGGACTCATGTTCCCAACACCTCTCTTCCTGGATTTGGCAATTTGATTACAGGGCCGAGCGGCGTTGATTGGGATAATGAGTCTGAAGGCTCGGAGCTGCCAGGCTATGTCTATTTCGAAAATGATCGTGATGGCCGGGTCAAGTGGGCAGGAAACCCACTGTTTGGGACCTGGAGAGCGCAGCAAAACGAAGTCTGCGAGGGCCTAGTTTTTGACGATATGTGATGGTTTCATTGGGCATCTATTGCTGGAGTTACGGAAGCCTACTTTTAAGGGACGGGTTGGCGTTGGTAAATAATTTGCTAGGATTTGTACACACGATTTATGGCAGGTTCATGATTTACGGTGCATAGGATTTGCATAATGCAGAGTGCAAAATGGATGAACTTCGATTTTTTTTTCTTGTTTCTCGGCTTGGTCCTCACTAGTTGACGGCTTGCTTTTCGCAGCCACTACCATGCCCCTGTCCCATCATGCATTCATTAAGTTCAGGTTATCTCAGGCATAAATTGATGGCCTCCAATCTCAGTTATTGTGGAACCCCAATTTCATAACCCAGTAGTACTTCAGTAGAGTTTCCTTCCCAGCCACGGTTTCCACTAGTTGAGATCATGAACCTGCACGCATTATCGATGTAAAGTTGGGAGATGGTTCCAGTACGATGGCCTGGAATGATGAGGAACGGAGTAGTAGAGTGTCGACTCGCAGGTGCTTGGTCGTGTTGCAAATCATATAAACGTAGAATATCATACGAGGCACTAGAAAAAGTTGTCAGTCAAGCTACTCGACTTTCTCGGCTCAGAGGGACGAGCTTACCAGACTAGATGACGGCCATTAGGCATTGCTTGAAGTGCTGTCACGGGGCCACTGCCTTGGGGGGAACTTGAATGTTCTTTGCGCCTCACGGAGGCCCTTGTGTAAACTGAATTCTTCCACAACCCCATTACGACGACCAGCGTAGATGAAGTTGCCGTCCGGAGACCAACATGCATTCATACACCATGGAGGAACATTGCGGGGAGAGATTCGAGCTATAGGGTCAGGTTGCCGCCGGTCCCACACCCTGATAGTACCGTCCATGGAGGCCGCCAAAAACGTTGTATCAGCTCCAGTGCTTTGTTGATTGGTGGGCAATGCTGACTGGAAGTCCGTTACTTGTTTTGAAGGCTCAAAATCCTCTGTCTTGGGAAGTCCATTGACAGCTGGCTGTGCCGTCTCATGCGAAGCATCAGCATCTGGCATCTGGGTATTTGATTCTTGATGAGCCTCGCCATTGGTGTCAGGTTGCGCGGCCACATGGTCAGTCCCTGCTCCGGTAAGATAATCCTGGATATCATTCTCAACTTCCCCCGGTGCATCGGCGTCCGCAAGACCATTCGGAATCGCCCGTCCAAATTCGTCATCTTCATCAACACCAAAGACCCCACCAGATGGCTCTCCTCCATCTGCTGCACCACCGTCCGCATCGCCAAATAATGAATCTGCGCCGCCGAAGAGAGAATCCGCAGGAGATCCCGCCTGCGGGTTCTCAGCTGCACCTGTGTCGCCTGCGTCCGCTGATGTATCCATTGCGTTCGAACTTCCCGTACCCGCAGCAGAGTAATTGTTCGAGTATGTGCCATTAGGCTGGAAAGTGTCAATGGTATCGCTTGGGACCCTCAAACTGGAATCGGGTCGAAGCTGCACGGCGGATATTTGGCCTGCGCTCCCCCGAAAGCACGACCGAAAGCACGACGAGCTTGTCCTGTATTCAGATCCCAATCAAGCACACGTTTATCCCAACTACCAGACAGTAAAGAGTGCTCATCGGAGGTCAAGGTTAACGATGATACTGCCGACGTATGCTGACGCAATTGTATGATTTCTCTCCCTTCGTCGTGCCGTAAGGTCTGCAAGCGGATAGCTCCCGACTCCAGGCCGGAAAGCAACCATAGCCCCTCGCTCTGGCAGGCCAATGAATAGACCGGAGATAAGCTATTCCCATCTAAATTTTCCCAGTATGTCATCAGCACTCCAGCTTTCACGACGCTGTCAACGAACGGGTGTCTTTGCGCGACGGTCAGCATAAGCTTGCTATTGATAGATTCCGCCCAATTAAATTTCCGGACATATCCGTCAGATCCACCGCTAAATACCCAGCGCATATCAGCTGTAGACGTCACGGCATTGATCGACGTGCTATGTGGCGCCGCTGTTGTCGGAGCAATGTCGTAGGTCTCAGCTGTGAGGCACTCGGGGCGAACTGGGGGGTGGTAGATCGAGAATTCGGAGAATGAACTGCCTGTGTTTTCATTCGAATCCCTAGCTCCATTCTCACGATTTTGTTGGGAAGCTGAACCAGGGCCATCCGAGGTCTGGCTTGCATTGGAAGGGCTGTCGGGGTCTTGATCCCCATCGCCGTCGCCATCCCCATCGCCGTCGCCATCGCCATCGCCATCCTGTTCATTGTCGCCATCGGCGTCACCGTCACCGTCATTTTCCTCTTCGTTATCGCCGTCGTCGGCATCACGCATTGGGTCGTCGAGCTCGTTCTCATTGTCGGAGCTGCCATCCTGGGATCCTGCACATAGTAAAACGTAAGCCGCGCGGCCATGAGGAGGGGTTCTTCAGAGGGAATTGGGGCATACCCGCAAGATCGCGGTCATCATCGTCCTCGAGAGGAGCCATAGCCCTGGCGAACGTGCGATTGAAACGCGACAGAGATCGCCGTAAAATTATAGCTGCTTGACCGCGGCAGGGCGGTTCGGCATGCGCGAGCCACGTCTTGGCGGGATCAGGGCTGCACAAGTTTTAGGGGGACGGCTTGACTGGAGTCGTTTCTCTCAAGCTGAAGAACGTCTTTCGCAAAGTTGCGCGAGCCCAAAGTCTCAGCAGGTCGAGAACGACCAACGAGGGAATGCGCGCAAGTTGCTGTGGGCCCCCCCTTGCCAAGAACACCCCGCCCTCAGCCAATCAAATTTCTCTATTGTATATGGAAAGCTAAGCGTTTATTGCATCCGGATCTATGTGGTCCTCGTTTGATGATACGTCAGATATGAAGATCCTATGAGTGAAGGTCATTGAAGGATTTCTGGACCATGTCGTCTAGGCAATGAGACCATCAGAGGGATTCGAGATAGGTTACTACTGTCGAGATTCAAGTCGATATGCAGGCCACCCTTCGATATATTTCTATGGACGTACTCCTACTACTGGTAACATCCCTCGTGAAACACATCCATTGAAACTCAACCTTGCAGATGTCAGCCTTAGAGTCCGAGGGTTCCATTTCAGATCAAGATCCAACAAAGTTCCAAAGTTGAAGTCCTACTTGTCATATCAGGCAAAGCGTGGACTGCCCAACTTGAACCTTAGAAGCTACACAGACCTTGACTTCAAGCCGGAAGTTAAACTTTCCAATTTTGCCGTCTATTCGCCTTCTTTGCATGATTGTTTTTCTCAATTTCTGATCACTCGAGGCACCACGGCTCTCCTCCTCTTTCCGCATCTCTTTTCGCTCGCTATTCTCTCGAATATTTTCTCACAACAATCCGAAGTCTTGCCTATTAATATTTCTGCAAAGCAGAAATAGTGCCACAGAGGATCCTAGGATCTCAAGATGGCCAACTCCATACGATTCACGGGGCAGCAATCTGCTCAACAAAAAAGAAATACACAGCCCGCAAATCAATCGATCCGAGATTACTTTGAGACTACAGAAAAAGATGAAGGTACAACAACTGAGACATGGCTCTCGAGACCTGAATACCCAACAGCGGCCGAAATAATGGAGTCTGATAGCCAGGGTGAGATCCCTCTGGAGCCAAATAAAATCCACGGGCCATGGGAATCGGCTGGACAATATCTACGGACCCACTACAATCTACTTCGAGAGGATGTGATTGCCCCTCTTAGGATCGGTGTTGCCCAGTTACGGGAGAATTGCGATATGAACGACAGCAAGGAGGCTTACATCTATGAGAAGGTTTGTTAATGGAAACTGCAAGCTATTCAAATTCACACCAAGTTAGACACTCATAAAATCAACAGGTCCATGTTGTTCGCGTGACGATGGCCCAAAAAGGGCTCGCATTCCGCATTAGGTTCTCAACAAAGCGGTCCGGCAAGAAAATAGTCTGGAAATATTCATCTCGGTTGACCACCGGATCTGTCGTGGCCTTGTCTCCTGTGAATGATCGCTTCTCAAGTATTTGCTCCCTTGCTGTTGTGGCATCTCGATCGATCGACAATGTCCAAAAAAGCCCACCGGAGGTCGACATATGCTTCGCGGACCAGGGGGACCTTGACTTCGACCCTCAGCAAGAATGGGTCATGGTCGAAGCACGGACTGGGTACTACGAGGCACATCGACATGTACTGATGGCACTCCAGAAGCTTTCGAAAGAAGAGTAAGTTTCTTTGTGCTCTGGAGGGAGAGGGGTTTCCGGGTTAATACTTGAGTAGATTCAACTTTAAAGACCATATCTGCAGTCTCAACACCGCTGTCGACCCTCCAGACTATATAAAAGTCAACCCGGTATTGAACTTCAAATCATTGCTCCGGCCAGCTAGCCAGAGTGCCTACCAGATAGCCGGAGTTGACGAACCGACTCGATTCAATGTGCTCGATATCTTCCCTACTACCCCTATGGGCGGCCTGAATAACAATCAACAAGCAGCCTTGAAGCAGATCCTTACTAAGAAACTCGCAATTATCCAGGGGCCACCAGGCACCGGGAAGACATTTGTCTCAGTTGCGGCATTGAAGATCCTCCTGTCGGAGATGGTGGGGGGAGCTCCTCCGATCATTATTGCAACCCAAACGAACCATGCTCTGGACCAGCTGATTTGCCATATTTCTAAATTCGAGAGCAATTTCATTCGTCTGGGTGGGCGCAGCAACATCGAGGCGATTCGAAAGCGTACCCTTTATGAGATACGGCACACCCACCAACCGATCGACATACAAGAGGGGATGATGCACCCAGCAAAAATTGAGATGCAGGCTCTGTCGAATAGGCTTGCCGAGCTTCTCAAGCCGTTCGACGCAGAGCGAAAGGGTCAGCCGCTTACAAGTGACCTGCTTCTTGAGAATGGCCTCATTTCTCCGGAGCAGCACCAGTCACTGCAAGCGCATGAAAATGACAGTGAATGGGTAGATTCATCAGTGATTGAAAGCTCCACTGACCCTTTTGATACCTGGCTCAAGGGACAATGCTGTCGCTACGAGGTCGATTACTCCGAGGGAGATCATGAGTTTGCCGAAGACGATATCGAAAGAAACTATGAGCAGTTGCGAGAGCTGGAAGCAGAGCAATCTTCAGAGAAAGACGAATGGGAAAATCTGTGGGGGAAATCCATAGATTTGCAAATATCTATGCGTGGCAAAAGCCCTCGTCTTTTGCGCCCTGGATCGATCTCTCGTGAAGCTATGGATGAATATCTGCTCAGACCTAACCTTTGGTCGATTCCGACTGCGTACCGAGGCATAATTTACAACATCCTCCGGCGGCGACTGTTGGAAATTGTCCGTGAAAGAGTCCGCAGACTTGCTGGACCTTATATGGAGGCGTGCAAGAAGATGCATATTGGAAAATGGGAACGTGACCACGAGTTCATAAAGAAGGCTAAGATTTTAGCAATGACAACAACAGGCCTCAACAAGTACCGACCCCTCATCAATAGCATCCAACCCCGAATTGTCATGGTGGAGGAAGCTGCCGAGGTGACCGAAGCGCCGCTGGCAGCTGCATGCTTCGAATCGCTACAGCATTTGATCTTGGTCGGAGATCACCAGCAGCTCAAGGGCCACACAAGTACACATCAGCTAAGCGGTGACCCTTTCTACCTGGACGTCTCCTTGTTTGAGCGTCTTATCAAGAATGGATTCCCTTATGCCGTTCTTCGAGAACAACGCCGAATGGTCCCTGAGATACGTGAACTCCTTCATCCAATTTATGGGCAACTGACTGATCATGTCTCTGTCCATGGTCACGAAAGAGTTCCAGGCATGGGAAATGTTCGCTCATTCTTTTTCAACCATAAGTTTCCTGAAAGTGGTGATAGCTTCTCATCGAAGATCAATGGGTTTGAAGCTTCTATGATAGTGGAGTTCGTTCTCTATCTCCTATGGAACGGCGTCTCTTCAGACCAAATCACGATTCTGACCTTCTACAACGGTCAAAAGAAGCTCATTTCTAGAGACCTGAAGACTCATAAGTATCTGATGGATCAGCCAGTCAAGGTTGTGACAGTAGATTCCTACCAGGGCGAAGAAAACGATATTGTAATCTTGTCCCTGGTGCGAAGCAACAATACCGGGACCATCGGGTTTCTGTCGGTGGACAACCGAGTCTGCGTTGCGCTCTCTCGCGCAAAGAAGGGATTATACATCGTCGGAAACGCTGACTGCATCAAGTATAGCAGTCCACTCTGGTCTAGCGTCATCGACATTATGTACCATCGGAATAACGGGTCAGACATTGGCGACTCTCTTCCATTAACATGCCAGAAACATGGAAACCGGACTATGATTAAAAGTCAGCATCTGAAAAGCATAAGTTCAGGCAGGATATTTCCACTATAAATGCTAACCTTTCAGTAGACCGAGCCGACTGGGAGAAAATCACAGGCGGCTGCACTCTTGCCATGCGGTGACATCCTGGGGTGCGGACATGTCTGCCCCGTTATGTGTCACGGGTCAGTTGCACGGAGCACGCATACTATTCCATACAATGCTGATCTGTTGAAAATAGATTTGATCATTCCTGGGTTGTCTGCAAAAGCCCATGTCTGCATATCCGCCCCTGCTGTGGCGCTCGCTGCCCCCAAACCTGTGGAGAACCTCATAGCCACCAATGCCGATGTCTAGACGAGGACATGAAGAATCTATCTCTTCGTGCCGATGGACAGTTTAGCAAACAGAGTCGACGGCAACAATTCAATGTCAAATACAAGCTAACTACCCAGGATACTACCACTAGAAGTCCTAACGCTAAGTCTCCGTCCCCGAAGCCCCAGATTCCAAAGTCGTCGAACGCTGAAAATCTTCCCCAAACCCATCGAGAAGAGTACTCTATGCTACCCGGTGAGGAACTTGAACAGCGGAAACAGAGAGAAAATGATGCCCGGACAAATTGGAACAAATTCGCAGGCGGCGGCGCTAGACAGCTTGACAAATTTCTACACACCTTGGCACGTTCCAAAGACCTCAATTCGATCGAAGTACAGCAAGCCCGTGCAAATGTTGATGAGAGCCTCATTCCCGAGAGCTTTAGGGCAGACAAATCTCCCCAGGGTACCAACAAAAGTGTTGCTAAGGAAATGTGCCTGATTGACCTAGACTCTGAGTGAGAAGGGCATCTGGTATGCCGAGGATCAGAGGAGAAAATGAGACTCTTCTAAAATTGTCTAGACTTGTTTCTAATTTGAAGTGCGTTTCCGAGTCAGGGGGAGGAACCTGGATCAGAGCAAGTTTGGAAGCCCTTTTAAAGGGGGTTTGGTGCTTTCACATTCGAATCTAGAGGCCGCCACTGCCTATGGGCTACCAGTGCGTGTGACGGAACGAGTCTTCTACCAAGTGGGCTCTAGTCCTTTGACTTGCGTTGAGTTCATTTTCGCATACGAGAGAATTTCAAAGATATCGCTGAATCCAGGTTAGATTAGTAACATATGCGCTGCTTTAATGTATCTATTGGTAGGCATAAATGCGTCATAATCATGACAAGCCTCAAGGAGTCCCTATCCAAGAACATTATGGTCGAATCATGGTTCTGTACAGCTCTAAACTTTCTCCCAAGGTATTTATAAACGGCCACTGGGTATTCCGCCGGAAAAGTCGGGCCCAAAGACGCAGCACTGCCATCCCAAGAGCAGCCGGCTCTAGGTTCTGCGGTGCCTCTGATTCATCCTCCAAATCAATGGATGAATAGGCCTCTTCAACAATACACTGAGTCCAGCGAAGGATGCGGCTTTCATTATCTGTCAGGACAAGGATATTAGTAAGTCGAATAGATCATAATACACGTAAGCCAAACTTACCACTTAGTGCCTGGTCTGGAGCCGCTTCCGCAAGAGTGAAAAGCCACTTGCTAAGCAGAACCGCACATTCAAGACTGGCAAGCGAGTGGCGAACACTCCAGAAGAAAGCCTGGCTCCGAGCGATATGGTCGATTCCGAGCCGGACTGGAATACTGAGCGCATGAGCCGCATATATCAAAGCAGGTATGAGACGGTAGCTTCTCTCCGGCTTTGGAGATCGGCATAAGGCCGAGGCTATCGTAGCAGGATCTCGAGTTTCGAGACGCCGATAGGGCCCGAGATTCAATGAAAGCCGCACGTAGGCTAGCCCGAGTAAAGCACTCGATGTGAATGGAATAGGGCCGTTGGCGTTATTTGGGTCGAGGCTTGATTCCGGAGTTTGTTGCCAAACTGAAGTCCATGATCGCAATGCACGCCTAGTGAAAAGAGAGAGAAAAAAAAGGAATTAAAAGCTGGCCCTTTGAATTTTCTGAGGGAAAAGTGGGTTTCAAACTTACTCAATCTTATTAAGCTCTTCTGTTGGAAGACTTGTCGAATGATTCCCATTGGGTAGGGATAATTCGCTGACAATATGAATCCGCTGAAGTAGACCATGGAGAAGCATATAATTGCCCAGAGGAGCAGGGAGAGGATCGAGGGGAACAGCCGACCGTGATTTCTGGAGTAAGAGCGTTAAAGCATCCTGGAAAAAAAGCTGTTGCGGACCTCGTTCGCGTTGAGCAACTTCCCATTCCGCAGCATTCTTTGCAGTCCACTCCTTCGTAGAGCACGGAAGCCGCATATGAATTTCGCTGCTGCGTAGTGATGGGTAGGCATTATAAGCAACGCTGTGGATATGTATAAAGCAGAAGGAGATAAGTTTCGTGCGGCGAATAGACTCTTGGTAAGCCCATTCATACCAATCCGTTGGTGGATTGTTCGGGTCAGGCTGAGGCTCCATCAAACCGACGTCACGGAGCATCTGAACTAGATGGCCTTGAAGTTGGAAAGCTTCTTGAACGAGTCCTGCTCGTTCCCAGGTCGCATAGCTCATCAAGACTAGAAGACAACGAATCACTTCTATTTGCCTAGGTTCACTAGAGGCCCCCATGGTGCTGACCTGGTTTTCGGAGTATCCAGCGCCTCCGAGAGAAACTGCGTAGCTTCCCTGAGCTGCTATTTGAGCTCTGGACATGCGCTCATAGAGAATAGTCTTGGAGACATTGAATATTTTCTCAGCATTATTGTGCTCAAATCGATATTGGGCTCCTATAGTCATAATCGCCAAGGCCAGTTCAGGAGAACATTCGTTGAATCGGAAGGTCGGAATATGAATGAACGGGATATGTGGATGAAAGCCCTCAAAGTACGACTTCAGATAACGAGTCAAGGTGTGACGCGAGGGAAGGGTGAAGTCAGGGATGACATCGCGAAATTCTTCAAGAGATGCAGCCAGTCGGAAGCGTTGTTCTTCTGACACATTGTACTTGGAAGATTGAGTAATTTGTGGCGGTTCTGAGGAGCGTTAGACTTCAAAAATCACAACAAATGATAGGGAGAAGGACGAACCGGAGTCTGAAACAGATGTTAGGCTCTGATCACCACGAGGTACCGAGGGAAGCCATGATCGGAATGGCGAGTCACCACGTGCCTCATCCCTCTGGTTACGTCGGGGCCTGGGCTGCTCCTGAGGTGGCTGAACATCTTTTTGAACATCTTCAAGTCCGATTTCTTGGATCTGTATTGGCTCGCCCTCGTTGGGCAACCATTCTGCCGGTAGACCAATTGAGTCCAAGAAATGGGTAAATTCCTGGAAGTGATTCAAATCCTCAGGCAAGTACGGAGCTAGGGCTAGCCAAGCGTCAGTAGGAAAGAATTCAAACATAGAAGTGGCGGGCTAAGACACTGACCAGGGGCTTGGAAATCGCCAGGGATCAGTAGCTGAGCAGCCTGGAGCATAGCAGGGTCATGCATGCCTGGATGTCCATCTGCCGTGGGGTTAGTGGGAGCGGCAGTTAAGATAGGGCCTGGCTGAGCCTGTTGCATATACGCTGCATGTTCAGGTTGGGGCACAGGCCACTGCTGTATGGGAGGCAGCCCCGGTATTGAGCCACCTGGGCGACTCGTCGCATCATACCGCTGTCGCAGGGGCGCAGGTGCGCGCTGGGAAGCTGGAATGTCACTCTTCGGCGCTGACCTCGGCTGTGAATCAGGCGAGCCTTCCTGGTGAGCAATGCGATTATGACGCTTGAGCAGATCCCGTCTAGTAAATGCAGCCCCACAGAAGCAAATAAACGGCTTCTCTTTAGTATCTACGCAGCGTGATCAGTATTCCGAATTCAAGTGATGGGCTAGACCCCAACGGGCGCAGGTTTTCTTACGGGTTCGAACATGACGCTCTAGGTGTTCGGTCCGTCGAAAGCCCCGGCCACAATGGACACAGATCCGTGCTTTTGCGCCACGCCCCCTTACCTGGGGGGGTTGGCGATGGGGACATGGTGTGTCGGAGTACTTGGAGAAAGGAGGGTCGGTGGACTCAGGGAGGGCCCACGAGGGAGCGGCATCGCTGCTCCAACCTTGAAGGCGGTGACTCCAACTGTTGATATTTAGTCACCTTATCATCTGACCGCCCGGCAGTTCCCCGGCACCAAGTGCCCATGATAAGCAGAAGAAGCAGCCTTGCAACAAGCATTCCAGATATCAAACTTCTCGTTCTCCTAATGCTAGGTAAAGGACTGTTCCCTGGTGTGGCAGTGGTTACTGGTGCTGGTGGCACGGGTGAGTTTGATATTCCTCCTTTTCGCACTGTGGCATATCTAAGGCTACCACTTGAATCTATAACCCCAAGGATACTCGGGGTAGCTACTCCTTACTACGATTACTCGATCTCTGACCCTCTCTCCAATCGCAGGCATTGGCGCTGCCGTGGCGCGTGCGTTCGCGGTATTTGGATGCGAAAGAATTGCCATCACGGACTTGAATGAGGAGACTCTTGACCATACCAGAAAGTCCATCTCAAAATCACATCCCCAAGCCGAGGTTCTCGTTTATCCAGGCAATGTGGCGGACGATCAATTTGCAGAATCATTCATCTCCAAGGTAGCAAAAACCTTTAGCCGTGTTGACTATGCTGTGAACTGTGCCGGCGTGCTGGGCAAACCAATGCGGTCTGGGGAGACCAGCATCGCTGAATTTGACCGCGTGAACAATATCAACTATCGTGGGTGTTGGTTGTCATCCAGAGCCCAGCTGAAGCAGATGACTCAACAAAGCCCATTGCCTAGCCACGACCCTAGCCGCCCTGCACAACGGGGAGCAATCGTGAATATTGCAAGCCAGCTTGGTATTGTTAGTCGCCCAAATGCTCGTAAGTCCTGGATCTCCTTTGCTGCTGGTAACTATCTAAAAGGAAACTCTTTATAGCGGGATATTGTGCCTCAAAATCGGCTATTATCGGTCTAACTCGAGCGGACGCAATTGATTACTCCCAAGATCTGATCCGAGTCAACTGTGTCTGCCCGGGTGTCATTGAGACACCACTGATCATGGAAAAGCCAGAGATTCGAGAAGCTATCACTCCTGCAGCCCAGATCGCTCCGATGAAGCGAATGGGCAAGCCGTTGGAGGTGGCAGATGCAGCTTTGTTCCTCTGCTCGACGCAAGCATCATTTATCCAAGGACATGCTCTGGTGGTAGATGGAGGATACGTTACGTTATAGTTTGATATTGGAAGACTCAATGAATGGCTTTCTGCTGATTGGAGTGTGAAACAAATTATGGTAGCAAGTATACTAGTTCCTATCGGTGGCCAACCGCATTTTCTTCCAATCAAAGTGCGATTCCCATGCATGACCCGCTTGCAGGATCTTACTCTCTTGCCACAGACCACCAACGATCTGCATGCCCACTGGAAGCATGACCCCGGGATCTTCCTTGGCGGGTGCAAACCCAACTGGGATAGTGACTGCCGGGTGCCCTGTCACATCAAAGATGGCTGTATTGACGGTTAAACCCATGCTAGGCTTGAGTGACTCTAAAGGAAGCCCTCGTTTCCCGTGTTTAGGAGCCACGACTGGCGTTGTAGGCATCAAAATGACGTCAAACTTCTTGAAAAGCTCTTCATACTTATCGCTCACTTGTCGGCCGATATTCACAGTCTTCCCGTAGAGACCTGGGAATTTTGACTGGAGATACAGACCATTGATAAGAACATTCTTCGTTGACGGGAACGCCCTTTGGAAGCCCTGATTGGTCCAAGGTAACCTGGCTTGCTCCATCTCAGTCATGTACAGACCTCTTCTTCCCGTGTTTTGGCCTAGTAGGGTATGTGTGCCGGCAATTCTTTGCTGGATTGTCCAGAGAGCTGGACCACGGAAGTGCTCTGGAAGGGATACCTCTTCAATGGAAGCGCCTAGATCCTCGAACTTCTTGGCAGCAGTTAAAACAGCATGCTTGACTGTCGGCATCACAGAATCATGATCAAATCCTTCTTTCAGCAGTCCGATCTTGAATCCATCAAGTCTTGCAGTGTCTTTAAGTAAAGCAGCGAAATTGGTAGAGCCGGGCTTTGGACTTCCCACCGATCTGTCGTCGATGCCGTCATACCCACTAATGACATCCAGGCATGCCGCGACGTCAAGCGTATTCCGAGCCAGGGGACCAACGTGGTCGTCAATAGCATCACCACTAGATACTCCAGTGAAGGGGACTCGTCCGTAAGTAGGCTTTAAGCCGACGCCTGGAGGTTAAGTTAGAATTTCTTCTATAAAGCGGCTGAACGTAATGGTCTTACATCCGCAAAATGCTGCCGGAACACGAATACTTCCACCTTGATCGCCTCCAATGGTGATATCCACCAAGTTCGCTGCGACCAATGCAGCTCCTCCAGAGGTACTGCCGCCGGCAGAATATCCACTTGCATGAGGGTTTTCCACAGTGCCCTGAGCACTGGTATAAGAAGATGTCGAATGACACTGGTTTTCACAGGTCGAAGTCCCATGGATATCGGCGCCAGCATCGAGCAGCCTAGTCACAACTGTTGCATCGGTACTTGGGGTCCAGGATGGAATTATATCGCTTCCCAGCAATTGGGGCACTCCAGCAACGGCTATGACATCCTTTAGACTGACCGACTTCCCACTGAGAACGCCTCCCTGGCTCCCTTTAATCAGAAACCGATTGGCCCAGGCGTGTCCCAGGACCTGTTCGTCCTTAGATGGTCGACGGACATTCTCACGGGGATATTTGGTCTGATCAGCGACAGGTTGGTAATCTGGCAATGCGGAGATATCTTCTGCGCAGTCGTGGACAGCCGCCAAAAGGGTCTGGAAATCTTTCGCCTCTGACGGATCTATAGTAATTCCAAACGGCTCAACGAGGGATTCGACATCTCCAGGCTTGACGGGATTGTCTCTGAGGAATAGACGGTTAGGATCGGACATTTATCCGAACTCGATAGAGGAAGTTATGCTGGCTCGGACTTACTTTGAAATGCTGGTAAATAGAACAGACATGGCGGGCAAACTACAAATCAGATAATCGTACACTCGGGCTCGAAAGTTGGATTCAGGAGGGTCACTGCAACTCTTTTTTTTTATTATTAACACTAAAATTGCAGCGGCGAAGTAAGCCCCCTCATCATTGTCGGATTCCTCCGATACCCCAATGACCGGTTTTACCCTCGACCAGTCTGACTCCAAATCGACCCCAAGGTGCCAGACCCACCTCATACCTCTGGCTTGCTTATCTTTATTGGTAAGAGATAAAAGGCATATCGGGATAGATAGTACGAAACTGAAACCGGTAAAATCAACAAATTGCCTCCTGGAAAATGGGGTCGCTAAACATCGTGGTTGGTCGATGCAAAATATGGACCCGACCCCCTCTTCTTCAGACCTTAATTCTCCCCAAACTCCATTTCACATCCAGGTCTCCAGGTCTTACCAACTCCCACCGGTACTTATCAACGTGCCGAATCACAATGGCTCCAAAAAGAGTCCTCATTACCTACGGCGTCGATGTTGACGCTGTAGCCGGTTGGCTTGGGTCATACGGAGGCGAAGATTCCACCAATGACATCAGCCGAGGTAAGACTGCACCAGCCCTAGATCATAGAATGCATGCTCAGCCTGCGAACAGGAGTGTGGGCCGGCACAGTCGGTACCAGAAGGCTTTTGAAGCTGTTTGATAAGTATCAAATCAAGACGACGTGGTTTATTCCGGGCCATTCGCTCGAGACTTTCCCAGAGGATATGGCTGCAGTTCGCGATGCCGGTCACGAGATAGGGCTTCACGGATACTCCCACGAAAACCCGACTGACATGAGCATCGAGCAACAGCGTGATGTCCTAGACAAGACCTATAAGATGCTGACTGAATTTGCGGGCAAGCCCCCCCCGTGGTAGTGTGGCACCCTGGTAAGATTCCACTCACCAAACCCGCATATTTAAATCTGATCCTTGAGCCCTAGGTGGGAAACAAGCCAAGAAGGCGCCCAGCTACTACTTGACTACGGAATTGAATATGACCATAGTATGAGCCATGAGGACTGCCAGGCTTATTATCTGCGAACTGGTGACAGCTGGACCAAAATTGACTACAGCAAAAAAGCTGAGGATTGGATGAAGCCCCTGGAACGTGGCACGCAGACTGGCCTAGTGGAGATTCCTTCAAATTGGTACATTGACGATCTGCCCCCCATGATGTTCATCAAGAAAGCTCCCAATAGCCATGGCTTTGTCAATGCACGTGATGTTGAGGATATATGGCGAGACCACTTTGACTACTTCTATCGGGAGTACGATGAGTTCATTTTCCCAATCACTATCCATCCAGATGTCTCGGGTCGACCGCACGTTATTTTGATGCATGAAAGGTGTGTTCAGTTGAGGTTCTCTTCGGATTTCAGTTCTCTTTCAAAAGGCTTGTGAAATCATATGCTAACATGGACTAGGCTTATTGAACATTTCAAGAAGCATGATGGAGTTGAGTTTGTGACTATGGAGCAAGTCTGTGATGAGTTCAAGAAGAAGAACCAAGCGCCACCTGGAGCCCTGATGCCAAAATCTGTGAAAAGACCCTAGTACCTAGTTGGATGCGTTCATGGAAGTAGAAGACTCGAATCGTGACTTAAGGCGGCGTGCAGGGTATTTTGGTTTGTTATTTCTTCCAATGTAATGATGTTTTCTCTATCTAAAATCAAGTACGAGTGCTTCATCGAAGCTTGTATAATTTCTCGTAGATAATGATAAATCCCAGGAATAGGTTTATATGCCACAATTCAGGATGAAGGAAGCGTGATACCATATCAATTTGTACTGCTTGAAGCCCCAAGTGAAGAATGGGATATGCTCACACTGAAATGAGAATACTGCATGGCTTGAACCCACCGCCGTGCCAATGGCGGTGTTCAATGGCGATATCCGGAACTATGAAGACAGGGACCTGTTTTCATCACAGGCGGAGAGACCATTCACCACGCGTCGCTTTGAATTTCTTCCACAATACTATTCATTTCATATCCCCAGTCTTCGTGTCAGCCCATCATAATTGATTCGAAGCCTATCTTTTCCATTGTCCATACACAAAGGATATTATTGATCGCCCGCGCCGTACCTTTCCAGCAACGACATTGAACGCGTTATTTGCCGTGCAAATCAGCTCCTTCTTTGAGAATAATAGAGCATCGGGGCTCTATCGTTCAACTTTCCATATCGCCTGTAGCAGTAGCCCTTGCAAAAAGGTGAGCACTTTCGTTTGACAGCCTTTGACATCGAAGTCACAAATATTAACGTGTCTTCATCACTGGAGCAGTTGCACTGGAGCACTTGCGCAATGTCGGACAGTGAAACTTCAGATCACCTTGAATTTGAAGCTTTTGAAGCTCTGGAAGCCATGCGGGATATGGTATTGCCCGACGACGGGTATATCACACGAGGAGCCCAGATGATGGAATGGATCCGCAACCCAAACGATCCTACTTGTCCAGGCAGTATCAGCATGTTGACTTGGGAGGAGATCTTTGAAAGTGCAGATGAAGTCGACAGAAGCGTCAATTTTACGCCCCTTGCAAGCCTCGAGCGGGATATCGTCCTCCCATCCCAAACGGATTTCCCTCGCCAGGAGACGGATTACCTGCACTGGACCCTTACTTATGACAGTGCGACAAATTACTCAGTTGGTCACTGGGAGGGCCTCACAGTCAAAGGGGCAATTGTCCATTGGGGCGTGGCACGCAGTGTCAACGGCAATGAGGTTGGTATCCCTTTCATGTCGCAAGTTTCCCTTGCGCTCTATGAACGGCACCATGGCAGTACAGAGGACTTGAGATATGTCTTCTTTTGTTCGGTTATCAATAGCCAGACTGGCCGATTCGTGCGGGGGTTGTACTCGGGGTGGGACCAGGACAACCCACCTCAGAGGCAACTCCACGCCTGGCCCAGCGGTTCTAGGGAATACCTAGGGATCATGGGCACCCGAATCGGCAGGATGATGGGGTTCATAATGCTGGGAGCGTTTGAGAGGGGAACGCACGGAATCGAGTGCATCAACACTTACCGGCATGGGAATTCTGTCTGTCTCCGCTTCGACATTGCCGAACTCAGCCAGGAGTAATGGATGGTGTTTGTGGGGTTGGCTTTTGATCCCGGAAAGGTTGCAAAATCATAAGAATGGAAAAAGATAGAATCTCAAAAGTGAGAGCATCAATACCCAGTCCAGCATGTATGAGTTGACTTTCTTGTTCCCCTCAGTTCCTTGTAATTTGCCAGTCACCTCCCAAGGCATTACCCAGCATCAGCATCATAATCTTGGATTCCTCAGTCCATACGGCATCTACTAAGCCCTCACCTAAAGCTCAAGTCTGATCGTATTCTAATTTCTGGATGGCCTTACTCAAGTTGATTACATCTTGTTTAATGGCATCGTGATAACATATGGATTCCTCCTACCCCAAATTCCAATGGGGTAGGTATCTAGATCTCCGGTATTACCCCAACAAGATACACCAGGGTACCCCAATAACCCCAAAAATACTCGGAGTTCCCCCTATCAGCCTCCACTGCTGGTATCGAACAGCTCGAATTCGCGGGGAAGCAAAGTGGACCACGACCATACAGAAGCTAAATGGTTATCGTTTGGCTAGCAGAGCCCCGGATCACTGGAATTTAATCCCCTTTGCTCAGCCCTTGGGCGGGAAATGACCGTCTGGTGAGTGGGAAAAAATCGGACGGCCAGATAAGGGAGCCTCTCTTGCTCTCGGCCCTATATACGCCCTCAGATCCCCTGGGAATGCCATGCTTGTTCATTCCCAAGGACGCTAGACTGTTGTTCCCCAAGTCCAACTAGTCGCTTCCCGTCCGCCATGTCGTCAACCGACATTGACATTAAGGAGGCCCATAGCACCTCGAACGACCATGACACCCAAAAGGCTGAGCTCCACGAGCAACATGAAGTCTTCAAACGCGGCGAAGGCCAGGTCGACTTCCGCACCGTCAGCTGGATTCGTGCCGGTGTCATTTTTGTCAAAAGTAAGTAGCTGCGCAAGTATCACCTGGCTACGACTAACAGCCAGCGCTCTTCAGTCATTTTTGCTACTGGTGTCCTCTCCATCCCGTCACTAATGTATGAGCTGGGTGCTTTCCCTGGTGCCGTCAATGTGATCGGCTGGACTCTTCTCAATACCTATTGTGCCATTGTCCAGGGCAATTTCCGTAATGCCTACCCCGGGTGCCATTCAATTGCCGATATGGCTCAGGTCGTTGGCGGGCCTATTCTAAAGGAGGTGGTCGGGGTCTTGTTCACCATCAGCTATGTGATCGTCGCTGCATCTGGCATCATCGGCGTATCAACGGCACTCAACGCATTGTCTCATCACGCAATCTGCACAGTCTGGTTCACCTTCATTGCGACTATTGTCATCGCCGGCTGTGCGAGTGTCCGCAAGTTTTCCCATATCGGCTGGCTAACCTGGCTCGGGTTTGCCAGCGTATATATCGCTGTATTTATAATTGTGTACGTATCATCCCTCCCATTCTCCTTCTTCTCCCCGGAAAATACATGTTCTAACGAAGCCTAGAATTGCCGTGACCACTAGGGACCGTCCCGCCGCCGCCCCTCAGACAGGAGACTTTGACCTTGGGTACAGAGTCATCGGAAATCCTGACTTCGCGACCGGCATCACCGCCGCGGCTACCATCTTCGTCTCCAGCGCTGCTACGTCCGCTTTCCTGCCCGTCATCTCCGAGATGCGCAGGCCCAAGGACTACCCCAAGGCTGTGTATCTGAGCATGAGCGTGGTGACGGCCTCCTATCTGACCTTCAGCCTAGTGATCTACGCTTGGTGCGGTAAATGGATTGCGTCCCCATCTCTTGGCAGTGCCGGTACCACCGTGAAGAAGGTTGCCTATGGCATTGCCCTGCCGGGCTTGATCGTCAGCGGTTGTCTCTACGTGCACGTCGCGGCCAAGTATCTATTCGTTCGAATTCTGCGTAACTCGCGGCATCTTCAAGCCAACACGGCTGTCCACTGGGGCACCTGGCTCGGCTGCGTCTTCGCGATGGCTTCGATTTCTTTCGTGTTGGCGTGCGCGATTCCGATCTTCAATTATGTCCTCGCGCTCGTGGGTGCCTTGTGCTTTGCTCCATTGGCAATCACACTCCCTGGCTGGTTGTGGCTGTATAGTCACGCCAATTATTGGAAAGGGAGCATCGTGCGGAAGACTGTGTATGTTTTCCACGTGTTTTTACTATTCCTTGGAATATTCTTGGCGGTTGGTGGTACCTACGGGGTTATTGTTCAGATTAACGCGGCGTATCGAGATGGGCAGATATCTTCTGCGTTTTCTTGTGCTGATAATAGCGGGTCGTCATAAAGGCGGATCTATGTGTATTTTATTAGTTTTGCTATAATGTGTGTATTTAGTTTTCTCCTTAATCCAAAGCGGACTTGGACATATTCATTTCAGTCTGATCACCAACTTGAGAAGCTGGGATTTTAAATCGCATAGAAAACATGAGAGCTTCTTTAGGCTTCCAAAGGATGAGCAATCTGCTGAATCATCTCGTACAAATTCCAGTCATAGCGCTAAGATGCAAGTATGGTAAATAGTGAAGCTGTTCCAAGGCTGTTCAACTTGGGGATCTAAGGTGACTTCAAATTTGGAAGATGAGGATGTACTATTATTGAATCATGTCCTCGTCTATCAAGCTCCGTAGTGTCAATGCTACGAACTATTGAAGGAGTCTAATCAGAAAGCAGAAGATCGGGAAATGATAAAGAAGTAAAGGGGTAGGACATGAACTGCATGGGGAGGAAATCAGTGCCCAAACGCCGGAGTAATGAGTCAAAGGGTCATCTAGATATGACGACAGTAATAACAGAAAGCCACCCAGAGAAATGAGATGTCGATAGATACGAGTCTTTTTGGTAAACTTCACACATGGTGCGAGAGAGGTTTTGTGAGAAACGTAAGTATCAGCGAAAAACATAGTATGTACGCAAAGTCAAAATCAATAACGGAGGTATATAATACGCCTAGGAGTCATCAACAAGGTGAGACTGGGCCCAAGCACGTTTGGAACCCTCGAGAAGGGTATCCATGTTGCCGCTGTTCTCGCACATGCTACGGAACAGACCATTCTCAAGATTAATGAGGACCCAAGGATGGTCGAACTCGATTACACGGCCATGATCAAGGACCAAGACCTTGTCGTAATCGATGATGGTCTGCAAACGATGGGCGATGGTTATTATCGTGCTATCACTCAATTCACGCAGGGTTTCTTGAATCTTTGCGTCAGTGGCGTAGTCGATAGAAGCGGTGGCTTCATCCATCATCAAAACACGAGGTTTCTTCAAAAGGGCGCGAGCAAGACACAGCAGCTGTCGCTGGCCTTGGGACAAATTCGATCCAGACTCGGAGACCAAGCTCTCAAGGTTGTGGAAGACATTTTTGTTGTCAGCAAGAGTAGCAACACTTCCGTTCATGCCATTGGCATCTGTGATCGGGGTTGTGGACCCCGAGCTACTGGGTCCGATGAGATGCACACGGCGGAGAGCAGTGAAGATCTCTTCATCTGTGAATAGGCTGAATGGATCAAGATTGCTCCGGATTGTACCCGTGAAAAGGGTTGGGTCTTGGGGAACGATTGTAATAGCTTCCCGGAGATCGCGCAAACCAATAGAACCAATGTCGACGCCATCAATCGAGATACTGCCTTTCTCGGCCTCCAATCCTCGGAACAGTGCCAATGCGAGAGAACTCTTTCCTGCACCTGTACGACCAACAATGCCCACTTTCTCGCCGGGCTTGACAGAGAAAGAGACCTCCTTCAACACTGGGTCTAAGTCAGGGCGGTAACGTGTAGTATAGCCGGTAAACTCAACAGCCCCTTCGGTCGGCCAGCCTTTAACTGGGCGGGACTCGGGAATTATAGACGCAGCTTCCTGGTCAATCTCCAAGTACTCTTTGACACGTTCAACGGAGTTCATGTTCTGCTGCACTTCTGAATACAGACGAACAAGCCAAAGAACATTCTCGGTGAAAGTAACTGCGTAGGTCAGGGAGAGACCAGCAGCACCGGCGTCGATCTTTCCAACATTTATTAAGACGAATGTTGCGGAAAAGAACGACACCAAAGCACCGGTCCAGTCAACACGCAATGCAAGCCAGCGGTTACTAGCCCGAAGGTAGATGTGAGGGCGGTTGTAAGAGTTGATTCGACGATGGTTGTCAACAATGAAGCGGGGGCCATCACCGTAGGCACGGATCGTAACAATACCATTGAGAGTCTCCCCAAACTGCTGGTAAAGTGGACTGCGCTGGACAGACTCCAGTCTCTTGAGATCCCGCGACGAGTTCAAGTAGACAGCACCTAGGGCAGTGTAGACTAAGGTGATGAAAATACCGGCGATAAGAAATCCGGGGGTAATTACGGAGATCAGAATAACAATCATGATGACCGAGGCCAGACTGTGAAGCATACCAATTGCGACAGGCGCAACCTCCTGGTCAACAGACTCAACATCTTTGGAGAAGCGGTTCATCAGTTGACCAAGAGGTGTAGAATCGAAGAATCGGAATTTGGCATGCATCACAGCCTTCAAGAGCCGATCATGGATCTTCCATGATGCATGAAGAGAGCCCCAGAAAAGCACTGCCTCTCGCGTCAGAGAAATTGCGATATATGCAAGTCCAAGAAGTGCGTAAACCGTCAGGTAATACATCACATTTACTTGGCCATCAGGAGTAGTAGGGCCTGACTTGGAAGAAAGCTGCGGTGGGGCCCAGGAGCTGACTTTGGAGACACTGCCGACATTGAAGCTAGGAGGTTTGAGGTGGGCAGCTGCGGCATAATTTCCAACGTCATTGTCAATACCAACACTTTCAGTGTTGTAAGCATTAGCCCATTGGCGAATCCAAATATTGGTGGAAACGGAGCCCAGTTGCTGAAGGATGAATACACCGGCAGCAGCGATCCAGTAATACCATGGGCCCATGGCGCTCAGATACATGCTGATGGTAGACCACTTGACACCTCCGGTTGCTTTGCCTTCTTTGAGTCTATGTTTCTCGTCCTCCTGTTTCTTGTCTCTCGCAGCAGTGGCTGTTCCATTGGCCCCAGTTGTTTGGTTGGCAGTTTCTTCTTCGGTCTCAGTATCGGATTGGGCGCGCGACAAATGAGCAGAGCTAGCTCGAGAGCCAGGGCGGGATTTTAAGAGATCATCGCCCAACGCGCCCGTCGCGGCAACGTCACCGGGCTTTCCTTGGGCGCTGACCTTTCCGTTGTCGAGAACCACCACATAGTCGGATTGAGGGACAGTCAGAGCGACGTTGTGAGTAACCAAGATACATGTACGGTTCAACATCAAAGGTCCCGTCAATGCTTGGCGGAAGATATGTTTGGCGGTGTGGGAGTCGACAGCTGAGAGACAATCGTCCAAGAGCAAGTGGCGTGCACTACTGTATACAGCTCTGGCAAGGGAAATGCGCTGCTTCTGTCCACCTGACAGACTAATTCCTTTCTCACCAACCAAAGTCTGGTCACCGGCATCAAGAATCTCAATATCCCGCTCCAGAGCACATGCCTTGAGGACGGCGCGATAACGCTTCTCGTCATATGGAGAGGCAAAGATAATATTCTCTTTCACGTTATCGTTGACCAGCCACGCCTCTTGGGCACAGTAGGCGATACTATCAATCAAGCCTGTTTGAGGGTCCACTGGAAGGTCAGAGCGGTTAGATATTCCACCAGGCAGATGAACACGACCTTCGATGAGTCTCATTTCACCAAGCAGAGCCATCAGCAAAGATGTTTTCCCTGACCCAGTGGGGCCCGCAATAATACTGAGACGTTTGATGGGGAATTTGACATCAATGTTAATCAGGCGGAATCCATCGGCTCCAACCTCAGCAGCCGAAGTCTGGGTTTGAGGCATGCTTGTGCCCCACGTAAGTGTCGCTTTCTCCAATCCAATAACGGGCTCCTCATCAGGGACGGAGCTTTCACGCAGTTGATCGTATTTCTCGGTCTCGTCCTCGTTAAGGTACGTGTCAACACGGTCCAAGGATACCTTCGATTCCTGAACATGGGCCACCATGTCGGCTAACTGATCAAGTGGGATCCGAAGGAGCGAGAACATTGAGAGGGCAGGGAAAGCAATAGAGGGAGTCAATTGCTTCTTTTCCACGATAGTGAACAAGAAGAATGACAGGAAAGTAATCAAAATCGGAGTGCCATACCAAACTGTAGCAGCACAGGACCAAAGGATGTAACGAGCGCGGAGCGACTTCAGTTCGGTTTTGCGCTTCTCGTTGACAACATCCTGGAATCGTCTCTCCCAAGCGAAGTACTTGATGATCCGGATATTTTGCAGAACCTCGTTGGTAGCATGAATACGAGCATCGGTGCCCTTGAGAATATCGTTCTGGACTCTGTTGAACTGACGCGCAATGAAGAGGTTGACGGGCAGCATGAGAACCATCAAGGCGATACCTGCAAAAGAGCTGAACCCTAAAATCTTGTAGAGAAGAGTGATGGCCATAATGATTTGCACAGGTACACTAGCCCAGAGGAAATGTAGGTAGGCGCCGACCTCGCTAACTTTGAAGGAGTCAATGGCCATAAGATTAATAATGGTACCGATGTTAGCCTGGGAAGCGGCCTCTTTATCATCAGGCTTAGGCCCTGTCTCTGTATCAGTCCCGTTGACAGCTTTCTTTTTCCGGCCGAAAGAGAAAAGGCCCTTCTTCTTTTTGGTATCCTTTGGAGCCTGCTCGGTCTCTGCCGCCTTTCGAGCAGCATCGGTAGCGGCACCAGCTTTACGTCGGAGCGCTTTGGCATAGATCTCTCCGATGATAATGGCGCGAATCTTTACACCCATCTTACGCCCCATCCAGAGAGCCTGGCCATCAGCAACACCCTGCACAATGGCAGAAGAGAATAGGAGGATTGCGTACAGCCAAGCAGCGTTGGGGGTCGTTGAGCGGGGGTCTTCCACGTATTCTAGAATAGCCTTGAGTAGGAGACTAGGCACGAAAGTGAACAAATTGGCAAATATGGTCCATAAACCTTGTTTCAAAATCGTCCCTGCAAAGTATCGGATGAGCTTCCAGGCCAAAGAGCCTTTCATCTGGCGCTTTCGAAAGTCTGACAAAACATGGGCTGCTTTTTGCGAAGGGGTCAGGTTCCATACGTCTTGCAGCTCTAACGGTTGGCGGTATCCTTTCCACACCAATGGATCTAGCCAGGAGTATGTGGCCAGTGATAAGAGACTGGCCATAGGATGGCGCGGTGGCTCTAATCCATCTTCTCGTTCCACAAGGACTGGCTTGTTGCCCCGACGAGTAGTCAATGCGACAATCAAAAGGATCGAATTCAGCGCAAATCCAACGCTGCTGAGGATAAGAGCGTGCTTAGAAATCGGGTGGATGACTGTGGAGCGGAAGACCATGATGTTGAAAATCCATTGCAAACCGTACAGAGCAGCGGTATGGTTCCATAATCGCGGTGCTGAAGAGAGGTCTAGGGTGGATAGGAGCAAGCGCACCATAACCAAGAACAGAACATATCCCCACGAAACAAGACCTGCGATCGCCGGAAGAATTCCATAGCGACCCCAAGCCCGCGTCCATAAAATCACAATATAGACTGCAACTTGGCCAATAAGCGCAGCGATCTCCAATGCGACAAAGGTCACCTCTCCGCGAGGGCGATCAACCTCAAGCTCCAACTGTTCGCTCTGTACTGCTTGGTTAAGTATGGGATCCGTCTCATCTTCGGCAGCGTTGAAGACTTCAGGTTCTGGGCCGTCGTTGGACAAGATCTTATAGGCGACATCTTTATTGGAAGAGAAGTAGCGATAAATCAGGCGCACGAGGATAAGTAGCAAGGAGAGACCGGACGCTGCGAGTGGCAGAATGACTTGCAGAACACTAATGACGATCAGCACCGGTCGCAGCACAGCTACTCAAGGTGGAACAGAACATGCGGGTCCAAAATCCTTCAGGGACACTCACTTGTGCTGGAAGCATGGCGACAGGTCATCGATAGCCCAGATAGGGCCTTGACATTGCGGGAGCATGGCTTTGCGGGGAGCGCAAAAGAAGCAAGCTTCCCGGAAAGCCGTAGAGGCGTATTTTGAGAGAAGACGACTGGTGAATGAGTGCCGGTCACCCTAGTCTTTTTTTTAAGAGGAAAACTAATCAAAGAGGGCACCCTCTCCTCCTCTGTTCCTCCGACAGGATCAAGAACAATCCACGACTCGCAATGACGGTCAGGCTAAAGGCAGCATGGCAACTTGCGTGAAACCGGAAAACGAACTTCGGGGCGACAAAAGTCCGGAGCCGAGGGCCGTTGGCGTGAACGTTAACGGCGTCAGGCAGGCGGCACAAAAATTATCTCAGGCACAGAGGAAAGTCGATAGAAGGCAGGGTTCGCGAGGACGAAGAAAGTTTTTGACCGTCTGAACCTCAATTCGGCGGTGGAACTGGTTCCCGGTAAGGTGACATCCTCCGCCACTCATCCGCGCAGTGGGCCCAGGTACCAGTTAGGGTCCTCACGCCTCATTCTGAATTCTCTGGAGCGCCCTTTACAGGCACTGCATGGCACCCTCAGAAAGGCTATATGTGTCTGGGCTATAGAAGCCTCCTCCGGTTTCAAACTACTCGGCTCCATGTGTTTTAGACAGTTTGCCCTGGTTCCTGATACAAAGACATTGTCTCTCTACTCTAGAAATCCCCCGCTTCCGTCTCCGGCTATCGCCCGGACGCCCAATGGGAGGATTATGAAATCAAGGCTGGGGGCTAAAACGGCTACCGCTCGTGCATTTCGAGCTTGGAGCGGATGACTCGCTGCAGCGCCGATCGCTTCTTATCGCGTCTGACTCCCCACTTGTTATCGATTGTCCGACTCTGGGTTATCCGAACCACCCTGATCAGATACGAATCACGAGGTCTAGCGCCGATTTTCAGTGTCAAACGGTCGAAACTCACAAAACCTAGTATACTTCACTCATTCGAGCTCGGTTGAATCTGCCGGTTCCACCGATGCCAACCTCGCGTCTTCGACTTGTCTCTGTTCATTCTTCCGCTTCTTGCGTATCGTGCCTTTGCGTCATCGCGTCTTTGCCTCCAAATGTGGGCCATTTTCGCTGCATGATTGAAAGGGCTCTCGAAACTTCGCAATCATGGCTAGGTCGACTCACAGATGGACTCCATAGTCTGTCAGATGAGAATGGGCCAAAGTCGCAGTGTGTATAACCTCCTCCCTCTGGACGCAAAGGGTCCCCAGCCTTGGCCTCAATGACTCGCATCCTGGCACAAGATTCTTATACTTGCACGTCGACGATACCTACCATCGGGACTTCGCGCTCATCGTGCTTAGTAGGAGCTCTATGTACTACGATGCCTATCTCAAAGCAAGCATGGCCTTCCTCTAGTGCTATCCGTAGTTTCCACCGCGTAACTTCAACGCCTCATTCTTGTGGCGGAATCATAGAAAGCGAGATGGATAGGAAATCCGACGAATTCTCGACAAAGGAATAACCCTCCTTCTCCCCCAACAATCCCAGGCAAGGCTACTTCAGATAAAGAAAACGAGAAGGAGGCGAAGGAGAAGGATCGTTTTGGCGCTAGTGATCGCGATAGCGATCCAGGCATCAGGTAGTTTAGTGTGAGCGGCGGCGGTGGTCAGAACGAAGAAGAGACAGACCAGGAGTGCGTCGAGGGGAAAGATAATGGAGGGAAAGATAATGGAGGGCAAGATAATGGAGGGCAATGCTAAGCTATAAGTAGGAAAGCCAACTACATATTCAGCGAGCAAGGCGTATTCAAACACGGAAGTCTTCTTCCTTCTTATTGTGGCATTTTAACCTCCTACAGGTTGGATTTTTTTTTTTTTTAGAAAAATACTTTTGGAGTTCGGACGTTCTTGATACGCTGAAGAACTTGAATATTATGGATGAAAGAAATTGGGTTCTCACTTTTTGAAGGGTTTCGCGTATCCGGATGTTGAATCTTTGATTTATCCGATCGAATATTTAAGCTTCTACTACTCGTATCATGTACTACTAGTAGTTCTTCGGTAGAGTTTGCTTACCCCATGCCCTCGAGGTTCTACATGTACGACTCATGCGTGCTCCGCATGTCGGCACAAGAAATCCTGCCAGTGGGCAGCAACTTGTACCACCCAAAGCCAAGGATTCTTCAAGCGAAATGAACCCTGCGGCAGATATAGCCTAGCCAGGAAAGGGCATGTACTTTGATTATCAACATTATCACTACTAGTACCACTGCCGGTGGCAGTCAGGAGATCTCCAAGTTGAGAGGACACGCTCGGAAATAAATCATCTGAACTTGCAACATTTGGAGGTGTAGGTGACACAAGCTCTTCTACTAGTACCAAACTCAAATATGATCATCTCCTAGTTCAAAATTCCAAGTATTTCATGACAGACAAACAGAATTACCAAGCCCAACATAGGTTATATTGAATGGCAAGTCCTGATAGCATCAGAAAATGCTAAACGCATTCTAGATCATGGCGGAATGTATACATAGTTGGATCAAACGTATACTACGGGTAATGATAAAGGCAAGTGGAGAGCGACATTCGGCTAGGGACCGGACCCGTGGTGTTGGGCCATCCAAAGGGGAAAGCAAGAAACAAGATAAACCAAATGAAATGTGATCTGCGCCATTGTTAATCCATCCATCCAAATGCTCGTCTTGAGACCTGTCACAGACAGGTATCCATCAACAGTCTAATCTAGACGACAACAGCATCGTGGATCTCGCTGTAGATAGCACCCAGCTCCTTGTGGAGAAGCTTCTCAGCATCGCCGACGATCTTGCGAACACGGTCCTCAACCTTGGCCTCACCGGCCTTGTAACCACCCTGGGCAATAATCTCGGTGTAGTTGGATGAACCACCACCGTTCCAAGCGAGCAGCTAGAAACAAAAATCAGCATGTGGGGAGCTTTTTTTGGGATCACGAAGGAGAAGACTTACGTTAGGGGTGTCAGAAGGAATGTCGGTGAGGGTATCCTGGGTGGCAATGGTGATCAAAGCTTCCTTAAGCTTCTTAGGAGTGATACCCTCGACCGCGTAAGCAGAGTCAGAGGCAGGCTGGAGAGAAACGTAGTAGGCCAGAAGACCAGCGATGTGGGGCGAGGCCATGGAAGTACCAGAAATGATGTTCACGGCGTGCTTGCTGCCGGTCCAGGTGGACTTAATGTTCAGGCCAGGGGCGAAGATGTCAGTGCACTTTCCGTAGTTGGAGAAGTAAGCACGCGAGTCCTCCAAGGTGGAGGCACCAACGGTGACAGCTTTCTCAGCAGCAGCGGGAGAATAGTTGCAAGCATCGGCGTTGTCGTTACCAGCTGCAACAGCAAAGTGGATACCAGCATCGACAGCAGCGTTGACAGCGCGATCGAGAGTGACCGAGCTACCGCCACCCAGACTCATGTTAGCAACGCTGCCTTTGAAACCCTTGACCTTGCCAGCCTTAGAGTCCTTGGTTTTCTTGATGTGAGCCTCGGCAGCCCACTCAACACCCTTGACGACATCGGACATAGAACCCGAGCCATTAGAGCGGAGCACCTTGACAGCGTAAACGTTGGCCTTCTTAGCGACACCGTACTTGGCGCCAGCGATAGTACCGGAGCAGTGAGTTCCGTGGCCGTTTCCATCCTCATCTTCGTCACCAACGGGGATGGTCTTACCCCAGGTGGCACGGCCCTCAAAATCAACGTGCTCGATGTTGGTACCAGTGTCAATCACGTAGGCATCAACGCCCTCACCGCCTTCAGCAGCATACAGGTACTTGTTAAAGGTACCGAAAGAGAGGCTATCACGGTGCGAGATACGAGCCAGACCCCAAGGGGCGTCTTTTTCCACTTTGGCATTCATTGTGCGGACTTCAGAGTCCTTCTCGATGTACTCAACCTACGAAACATGATGATTAGCAAGAGCTCTCTTTAATGGACTGGAAGCGACTGTTGTTGCCGTTATTACTCACATCCGGGTGGCGGCGGACCTGTTCGATCACATCTTCGTGGAAGTGACCGGAATATCCCATGAGTGAATCAGCTACGTGGAAGGTGTGCTTGAGGCCCAGATATGCCTCAGAATCGAAGCCAAAAAGCGAACGCTTCTTCAGCTCCTGGCGGCTGTTGCTTGCGTGGATGTCCTGCACCCAGCTGTGATGAGCAGAAGCGGCCGAGGGGTCGACATGCTTCTTGAACACGACAATATAGCTGTCTGGGATCTCCTCTGCATGTGTAGATGAAAGGATAGGGGCAGCTCCGTTGTGGATAGACTCTGCGGAGAAGCTAGGCGCCGCAGCTGCGAGCAGCGGGAGCACGGTCAAGCCGAGGAAGCCTTTCATGATGCTGAGACTCAAATAACGGAAATAGGGAATGAACGGGAAAGATAAAACAGTATTTGTGGATGAGCAGGTCTTGAAGAAAGGATGGGAAAGATGGGGGAGAGGAGGTGAGGAGATGAGGAGACGGAAGCTGAAGGAGGCCGGAGTCACCTTATCTAGGGTGACCAAACGGCAGGCGGAGCAGCGATGATGCAAGCAGGAGCTTTACAGTACCGTAACAGGGATCCATGGGGGGCGGGTGACCTGGCGGTGGGTCTTCCAGGCAATTGATTGGCGCTGGCTGTCGATCATTGGGTGGGGAGGGGCGACCGGGGGAAGCTGAGTCAGTTTCGTATGGTAACGGAGCTCCAGCAGGCGCTAATTTGGGCACACGAGCAGGGCGGACTCCATTAGATTACAATGAGGAGGCGGAGTATCGACACCATTCTTACACGGAAATCGGAGGAGTCATAGATAGGCGCTTATCGGGAAAATGGAGACAGTGTATGATGTGCTGGAGCTTCTCGATACGCAAATACCGCCGATGAGGAGATCCGCATGGAGGCCTACAGAGAAAGATACCGCAGATACCGGTGGCGTTACTTGACTCGGTTATTCACGAACCGTGGAATTGCCATTTCAGCCAGCTTAATCCAACTCTAAACTTTGGAAGCGAATATACGTGACCACTTTGTACGAATGGAACACGATTTGTCCGTACATGAAGGCTACCCGGGTACTCCGTACCTGGCAGCCTCTCATACCATCGCACGGACTGTCTTGCGTGACGGATACAGGCAACTGGGCCTCCGAAAGTCGCGTGCTTAACTACAGAGTTCCGCCTGACGGCATTATTCATCCTCTCCATCATCGGGTTCTTGGAATGAACCCTTGAAACATTATCACACGGGTGTCCTGGGTGCTACAAGGAAGAAGCGCTTTTGCAGGGTACCATGACATGGATCACAAGGGACGATATTCCCCACAGGCGTTACTCCATAGGGTGATCTCTACTATCAAGGTCTAGCCCAGCCGTCTATCTCGCCTATCTTTTATCGCTCTTATCGGTAGACTTGCCCCAACGGGGGCTGCACAGCCCTGCTCTCCTATACTGCGTAATGTACACACATAGCAGCCCCAAGGTCACCTGACATACTAGACTCCCCGCGGGTGGTTGTAGAGCCTCGTCGATCTCAAAGAGGTCTGTAACGAAAACAGCACTAGGTCCCGGCGCCTACTCGTCCCTTCTCCGGATGGCATGCTCTAGTGGCTAATCCGAAACTCGTCCCCCACTTCCGCCGCTCATACCAATGCAGACCGCCTCAATCGCCACGCCAAACGCGCATTCACGATCTCTGGTGGTCACTCGCCATCAGCCCGGTCGTGGATAAGATTTGGAGATGTCTCCGCCTCTCCACCCTCCCTCGCCTTCGGGATCGACGGAGCGATTGGCGGAAGAGCTTACACCCGCCCTCGACCAGCTAAAATCCCTCAATTCTACCGATGCCATAAGCCTCTCCGACGCCCTCACAGCTACTGAGCCTCTCTTACGCCTACGACATACCTTTATTGATACCCCGCGCCCACGAGTCGCCAAGGATGCGTTCCGTCACTTGCAAGGCTTCCAGACATTCCTGGCTCTGGCGGACCAGCTTGAAGGGCTATACGATACGAATAGCTTGACACAAGAGGAAAGAAAGAGCACGCTAGTTCTGTTCAAGGATGTACTGGGGGGTCCTGGCAGAGGCGTTGAAGGAACATTCTGGGAACAAACGATATTTCGCCCGCAAAGTCCCGGGAGGAGGGACACTGGCTTTGGAACGGACGCTTGAGCGTCTTGTTTTGAAGATAGGCCAAGCTGAGGGCGAGTCTAAACAGTTATACGGTGCAATTCTCGCGGCAGCACTTTGTGCAGAGATCGCAGCAGACCTGTTCCTATCGCTGGAATCAAAGCTGCCCGAACAGAGCTCGGTAACTCCCGCAGACGTTCGAAGTGCCGTGGACCAATTGCTGGGTTCTACAGAGACCGTCGAGGTTCCAGAGCTCCTAGGTCCTTTCATTCGAGTGTGGTTAAACCAATCGATGTCTCAAAGCGAGAGTATACTTTGTCTAGCTATTCCTGCATGCCTATGCCAGCTAGCCTCGCAGTCCCACAGAAACGTTGTAGCTCTGCATGCCACAGGCATGTTGACTTCAATACTTCCACTCTTGTTCGAAGAGAGCCGGCCTGAGGCTGAGAGGGCACTCTATCAAGACCTCGCTCGATTTCTCAGCTCCCAGGGCATGAATAGCTTGGAAGATGCTTTGGGACTATATCGCCAGGCCCACGAAAATCCAAAAGTCTTGAAGTTCTTATTATCTGCGCTCAAAGGCTCCAAAGAGCCACCTTTTATTCAGTTCGACATGTCTCTCCACGGCTTCTGCTCAGTGGAGTTTGCGACCCTAGGTCGGGCCTTCCCTCCAAACCTTTCGGCTGGGTACACTCTGGCAACCTGGGTAAGGTTCGATGAATTTGATATCAATACCCACACCACTATATTTGGGGCTTTCGACACCACCCAGACATGTTTTGTTCTCGCATACGTGGAGAAGGATACCCGGAACTTCATTCTTCAAACTTCAATCCGTGGGCCTCGTCCAAGTGTTCGCTTCAAATCTGCCAAGTTCCAGCCTGGTCGCTGGTACCATATCACCTTGGTTCATATGAAGCCGAAACCCACTACATCTTCCAGAGCTTCCTTATTCATAAACGGAGAGTTTGTTGAACAGCTGAAGATCAACTATCCTTCAGTCCCAGCGAGTAGTAATCCAATCAGGCCTCCTCGGATTCAAGCGTTCTTTGGCACGCCTCAAGACCTGGCAATGCGTCTTGGAAAAGGTGTATCAACTTCCAGATGGTCGCTTGCTAATGGCATGTTATTTGATGAAGCTTACAGTGATGATATGGTGGCAGTCTTTTTCAACCTTGGACCACGCTATTACGGAAACTTTCAAGACTGTTTGGGATCCTTTCAGACGTATAAAGCTTCTGCAAACCTCAACCTGCGCAACGAACACCTGCATCCCGGAAAAGAAGAATCCTCTGATATTGTCACTGCAATCCGGAGACGAGCAGGCACCCTGGTCCGTGAAAGCTCAATCTTGATTAACGTCTCCCCTGTCGCTGTTCTCGATGACGATGACAACAACAATGTAGATGAGTCACAATTGATTACGTGCCTCTCGAAACAGGCAGCGAGGAGCTTGCAGCAACTCACTAAGGCCGGTGGTAATACTGTTGCCGTCAATGGAGCTACTCCCGCAATCAATGATGCCTTGACCCAGCCACAGGGAGTTGGGATACTCGCTGGAGATCCTGTGGTATCGGTTCCTTGGTCATTAGATGATGTCAGTTGGTGCCTGGGCGGTTGTGCTGCTGTTCACCTCAGCATGATTCAGGCATCCGAAACAAGCGAAAGCCTCTGCTTGGCCGTTGAGGCTCTTTACGAGGCCGTGCAAGATAATTGGAGGAACAGTGAAGCAATGGAGCGAGAAAATGGCTACGGCATCATGGCAGCTCTTCTGCGGGAGAAATTGGGGTTTCAACCCAGCAACGTCCCAGGAGTGAAGGGTGCAATTACGAGTCTCGGTGCTGACGGGAACGGCCTCTTACTCTTGAACCTGCTGCGCTTAACACTTGGGTTCGTCGGTTATGACTGTGATCAACCAAACCGATCTATCATCACCAATCCGCTGGCTTATCGCGTCTTGCTGGTAGATTTGGACATATGGCGGCACGGCGAAAGCTGCGTACATGAATTGTACTTCTCACAGTTCCGGACCTTTGCTACTGAGAGCGACTATCGACGATTCAATGCAAAGCGACTCGGAAGAATGCGCGTCAGTAAAAGATTACTAGAGACGTTAAAAGATGGCGAGGTCACGCAGGAAACCTTAAAGCCATGCCTCTCTGCCTTCTGCTCCCTGATCGAGAGTAGCATGTCGCCAGATCTACTCAGATCGCTAGCTCTTTCTATCACTTATACTTTGCACATGCCGAAGCCAACCTCTAGCCTGCAAAAGAAAAAGAGCTTACGCTACCTAGGAAGTCCCTCCCGGCCAGGGTCGGCAAAGTCTCAAATCCAGAAGCATGTCCCCGCCACCACAATGGGAATCGAAATGCTTCGTTTATACACTGCTGTATTGTGCAATCCACTCGACCAAGCGCCATTGAAAAAGTTCGCTAAAGCAGTAACAAACAAGGTTTGTCGGGCCGCTAAACACATCGCTCCATATTCTAACGTTTGTTACACAGTGGCTTCTGTACCTTTCATGCGAGGATGAGCCGGAAGTTGTCGTCCTCGCCACCAAGATCTTGTCCAGGCTATTGGTCATCCATGGAAATGGCTACAGTAAGAAATTCTCCCAAAAAGAATGGAGGCTACATCATTCTTGGGAACCATCTCAAACGATGGTGGAATATCCCGGCTCTGTGGTCTATATGTTTTGCTCTTCTTTTCGGCCGGGACATTGCCCTACTAGACCTCGATAGATCTTTTGATGTTGGGGGACTTTTGAAGGTCTTTCTACAGGATGGTGATATTCGGATAGTCACCCAGAGATGCTTCCAGCAATTACTGGGATGTTGGGCAGTGCGCTCAGGAGTAAAATGTTGTCTGGGGATCTAGACCACCATTCTACCACTCCCGAGAGCCTCAAGATGTCTCAGGTCAGCTTAAATGGTACGTACAATGGAGGCCTAGTATTGGTTGGGGGGGTTGGAGATGTTATCTTATTGACATTATCTTTTCTGCAGATGTCCCGTTGTCAGACCGCCCATCACATGCATTCCACTTGATTTCCTCTATCATCGAATTCTTTCAAGAAGCACGGCGCATTTCACGGACTTTCAAAGAGTTTACCTTGACATCAAACTACGTCCAAGAGCTTTTAGCTGTGCTCTACCCGATTGTTGTAACCGTGGATGCCATTAGTCCCAGAACAGAACTGAATACTTCCCAGGGTGGTCTTTTATTTGATGAGAGTAACATTGCCCTCAGACCACGCTCAAGTGCTGCAAATGTTCCCTCTGCTCTTCAGACTTCGACTGTTGAATTTTCGAGCAGTCCTGATGAAGCCCCAGAATATGGACGCCGTGGATCGTTCATTCTAGTTTCTCCTGATAAGTCGAAGCGTCAGCCCTCTTCAGCGCGCCTTCGCAAAGTGGCAAATCCCACCTTCACAGGAGACGATTCGAGCAAAAAGAGCCCCATCGTGAAATTGATATTTGGGCTTGTACTCACAGTATTCGAAGACCAACTGCTAGAACGCAAGGACTTCTCTGGGCTCGGACTATACCATAAAAACCCGCCCGGGTTCTTGGAGCATCAGGCTTATTTCAGTTCCTGGATTTTAACCAGCCTCTTGTCTACGGTGAAGGACCTGCCAAACTCGAAACCTAACATCCTCCACGAGACTCGTACACTTACCAACATCGGCCGTTTTGCATCTCACATCGCCGAGTCAATATACGAGGGTTGGTTCATGGATGGCGCAAGCGCTGCTTTGGAAGCCCTCGGCTCGATCATGGAATACCTTCAACGCCCTGACATATCGTCCCTCAAAAGTATCCGACTTTGCAGCCAATCAGTTGATGCAATCCATTCTACATTATATAGGATAGTCTTGTTCCAGCTGTCTGAAGCCGATGAACCTGACTCCCTTGCCGTGCTGAAACGGCTCAGCTACTGGCAAGTGGTACTCTTAGCTCCTTTGGAGTCCCAGACAAAAAACCTTCAGTTACTTAGTTATCTCCTTTACACTAAGCTTATCAGCACAAACGAGGAGATTCGCCTGGCAGCAGTTGGTCTTTGGCGAACAATCCTAGTCCAAAAGCCGGACGAGATAACAGAATTGTTAAGCCACGGTCCACCGACCCTGCAGCGACGTCTGGCTGACGGCTTTGAGGTCTTGTCTGGAATGGAGGACGAGGCATTTCTCAACTGGATCGACGAGCAGCGTGATGACCTCGATGCCCTTTTCTTTGGCATTATGTCTCGTTCATGGGATAACTTTGTACAGGAGGAAAATTCCAAGATTCAAGAGTCTGCCAAAAATCGAATTACCAAGCGCAAGGACCGACTCAGACAATGGGCCCAATTGGAGAAATTTGATGAGGATGTCATGCGAAAGCACGAAGCGACCCTGCCCCATTGGATCTCGAACATTTCTGCATCGGAATTCCTCAAGTCCCGAAGATTTGTACAGGATCTTCAGGATAACTCTTCTTTCATGTGGTCCGCATTCTCAAGCCTTCTGTTGGACCTCCGACGACCGGGCGGCCTTCTCGCAGAAGACAAGGACAGAAAGTGGAGACTCGATCAGACAGAAGGACGTAGTCGCATGCGGATACGGCTTGTACCAGACGATTCAGGTGAACATCAGGACTATCAGCCCAAGCGAAAGGCTTCCGAACCTCCAGCTGTGAAGATCGACACCCGGGTTCGCGCATTGTCAGACGGCCAAGACGGCCTATCAACACCCATCACCGAAGAGTCCGAATCAATGGAGTCGGAGCGACAGGATGCTGATACGGACGGTCAAAGTATTCTAGAAGAGAACTTTGAGATGATTGACGACCCAAAACTGGAGATGGAAGAATACGAAGACAAAAATCGCAGAGTAATGCGATCTCTCCAGAGAGGCGATCAAGTCCAAAGCGTATGCAACATGTCCCGAATCATCGGCTTAGAGGCTGTTGAAGGCCTCTTAATCCTTGGTAAAAACTGCATCTACATCCTTGACAGCTTCTTCCAGCGTGCAGATGGGGAAATTGTGAATGTCTGGCAAGCACCCCCTGATGAGCGAGACCCTTACGTCCGGATGATCGCCGGACGAGAATCCAGCGACCGCCGGTTCCATGAGCATGAAACCCGCAGTTGGAAATGGTCCGATCTAGTGAGCGTCTCTAAACGGCGATTCTTATTCCGTGATGTTGCGCTCGAGATCTTTTTCACAGATGGCACAAGCTATCTGCTCACTTTTTTCTCCGCTCGTGTGCGAGATGAGCTTTCTGCACAACTTGGTACCATGGCTCCCCAGGTCACTGGTAGCGCTGGACATTCTCGGCCCGAAGATATCTGGCGTTATGAGACTTTGCGTAGTCAAGAGGACGAACCCAGATCCCTCGGATCGAAGTTTGCTAGTGTCTTTGGGCATCTTCCCTCGAATCCCGCTACCCGCAAGTGGGTTCGTGGAGAGATCTCCAACTTCCATTATCTCATGCTGATCAACACGCTGGCCGGGAGGACATTCAATGACTTGACCCAATACCCAGTCTTCCCATGGGTACTCGCTGACTATACAAGCGAAGAACTTGATTTGAATGACCCCAAGGCTTTCCGAGATCTGTCAAAACCCATGGGCTGCCAAACGCCTGAACGAGAAGCAGGGTTCCGGGAGCGATACAATGCCTTTGCTGAGATGGGTGATGACAATTCGCCTCCTTTTCACTATGGAACTCATTACTCCTCTGCCATGATCGTGAGCTCGTATCTGATCCGCTTGCAGCCGTTCGTTAAGTCATATCTTCTCCTCCAAGGTGGGACTTTTGACCACGCGGACCGCCTCTTCTATTCCATCAGGAAAGCCTGGGAATCGGCTTCACGGGGCAACATGACAGACGTGCGCGAGTTGACCCCCGAATTTTTCTATCTTCCCGAATTCCTCGTCAACTCCAACAAGTATGACTTTGGACTGCTCCAAAACATGACCACGGCAATTGACTCAGTGGAGCTACCACCATGGGCCAAAGGCGACCCTAAGATCTTCATTCAGAAACATCGTGAGGCTCTTGAGAGTCCTTACGTCTCAGAAAATCTGCACCACTGGATCGACCTTGTATTTGGTAGCAAGCAAAAGGGCGAGGCAGCAATTGAAGCGGTCAACGTTTTCCATCATCTATCCTACAAGGGCGCCAAGGATTTGGACGCCATCGACGATCCAATGGAACGGCTAGCAACTATTGGCATTATCCATAATTTTGGACAGACGCCACATCAGGTCTTCCAGAAACCCCATCCACCACGAGAAGATCAGCGTCACCGCGTGCCGAGGTTGGACACACTTGCGGAATCTCTAACCCAAATGCCGTTATCTCTGCTTGGTATGATATAAAGTGACGCCCACTAGCCGAATGTGTATACTCTTGCTGACACAGTATTTCCAGACATCGAACAGCGAGTCGCCACTCTGTCCATGAAGCAGGATCGATTGCTTTGTACTGCTGCACTTCGGATCAACGTCCCACCCACCTATGATCATTACATGGAATGGGGATTTTCCGATGGAAGTGTCCGATTTTACGCGACTGACAGTCGCAAGGTATGTTGCCGATTAAGTATAGATAACTACCTTGGTGCTAATATTCCTAGCTCCTTGGCCATTTCGAACATCTCCACGTTGGCCAGCTATCTTATACTAGCTTCGCGGACTCTCGCACCCTCATTACCTGTGGCACCGACTGTACAATCTCCTTTTGGACAGTGACCGCAACCTCTAGGGCAGTAGACCTACAACCCATTGGGTCACTCTTTGGTCACCGCACACCAGTCAAAGTCCTCGCAGTCTCTCGATCGTTCAGTACTCTACTTTCCGCTTCGAACGATGGCCAGATCATGCTGTGGGATCTCAACCGACACTGCTTCGTGCGATCTTTGCCGGCCGATGGCACTGTTGACGTGAGTACCTATCACATTTACAACCTGGCTCCTATATTAACTCATGGCCTGCAGTGCGCCCGTATCAACGACGTCACGGGCGACATCGTTGTCTGCCGAGGCAACCGCATTACCCTGTTCACGTTGAACGGCGATGTCTTGGTGGATCAGCCCATTTGTGAACCCGGCGAAGACCACGTCTTGTCCTGCGTGTTCTACGAGGGAGTTCAAAACGAATGGCTGGAACGCGAACTTGTGCTCACCGGCCACAGCCGCGGCGTAGTGAACATCTGGAGCAAGACCATCCGAGGCAGCCAATTCGAGCTGGAACTCATCCGACAATTGCACCATACAGACAGCAATCGCGACAACGGCGCCAATATTGCCGTGGGTATCAGCTGTATCTTAGCTCTGCCCCTGGTGGTATATACCGGTGACGAGGCTGGACGAGTGGTTAGTCGTCCCCTGTTGAAATGCTTCCCTCCCTCCCAGTGCGATCCTGAATTTGGGATCAGTGTTTGTTGCCGGGCCCCCACTAACCGAATCCTAGTATGAGTGGAACTGTATCCAGCGGCACTGAAGTGGCAATGATGGGCTCCCGACAGCAAAACCCGTGCGGCTAAGGACTGGATCTTCAAAACCAGAGTCACTTCCCAGCGGCCTTCCCGTTACACTACTCCATGCGGATCTTTTTCTTTCCTGGTGAACTGCAAGGCCCATTCGCGCAACTCTTTACACGTCTTGAACTGTATGGGATCGTACGAACTCGACTTAAAAAAATGAAAGTTTGAAAATTATAGAGTACGGCGTTCGTCGGATAGTTACTTTGAGGGGTGGGGTTACTTTTTGTCTTTCTTGCTTTTCTATTCTTGCATGTTTTAAAGCCGCATGACGCATTTTCCCTTGACCCCGGGGTTGGGTTAGCGCTGCATATGAATTGAACAGGGCCACACGGATCCCTTGATTTGCGGAGAAGATCGCGATATTTAACCGGGTCTCGGTGAGTGTAGTTGCAGCGCGCTGCAGTAGTGGACGGGGTGGACCGTTGGCCGGTCGACCATGCTCCGGCTCGATCGGAGCACACTGGGCCGCCTCTAAAGGCCCCAGCTGTGGTGGTAAGGAGTGATATTTGGGGATATGAGAAGATTGCTTTCATTTTTCTAGAGAACTACTACAATTGGGTCCTGGCAGAGGACGATTGATGATTGGGGGAGCATGAATTCAATATGATGTGTCGAGCATGGAGGGGTAGAAAACGTGAGAAACAAGTGACTTCACCGTGCAGCGTCATAGGCCCCACCTTCATCCCACCTGGAGGTTCAGCAGGTTAGACTCACCGGTACTTGGCTTAACTATGGCAAATGGCGGCGAGGGGCAAGTACCTCCGTAGTTCTAAGGTCGCTGTTCCAACGGATTCTGGTCTATGGCTCCCCGCCTTCAAATACCCTGCCAGCGCCACCTATCTTCTTCACCCCAACTCATCTCTACAATCCTCTCTCCAGAATCACAATGACTTCTTCTCTTGAGCAACTGAAGGCCACTGGCACCGTCGTGGTCTGCGACTCTGGTAAGCCCCACCGATCGCCAATCTGCATGTCGAACCCCTCACTAACTCTCGTGGAATAGGTGACTTTGCTAGTATGTATCTCTTCTGAGCCCAGATCGCCACTCGAATGGCGACAACTTCCCCCGGGCGTGTTATACATGAAAAGAATTGAGACTAACTAATCCGTAGCCATCGGCAAGTACAAGCCGCAGGATGCTACCACCAACCCCTCCCTGATCTTGGCTGCTTCCAAGAAGCCCGAATATGCGGCGCTGATCGACGCCGCTGTCGCCTACGGCAAGAAGAGCGGCGGCTCCATCGATGAGCAGGTTGAGGCTACCCTTGACCGTCTCCTTGTTGAGTTTGGCCGCAAGATTCTTGAGATCATCCCCGGCAAGGTCTCCACCGAGGTCGACGCCAAGCTGTCTTTCAACACCCAGGCCTCCGTCGACAAGGCTCTCAAGATCATCAAGGTATGATCCAATCCTATGCTAGCTTCGTGCCTGCATCGAAATATGCAGATATGAAGAAGGGATTTCCCCAAAGCGCTGGAACAAGGGATGCTGACAACGCACTAGCTGTACGAAGAGAACGGTGTCTCCAAGGACCGTGTCCTTATCAAGATCGCCTCCACCTACGAGGGTATCAAGGCCGCCCACATTCTGCAGACCAAGCACGGCATCAACTGCAACCTGACCCTGCTCTTCTCCCCCGTCCAGGCCATCGCCGCCGCCGAGGCCGGTGCCTTCCTGATTTCCCCCTTCGTCGGTCGTATCCTCGACTGGTACAAGGCCGCCCACAAGCGCGACTACGCCGCCACCGAGGACCCTGGCGTCAAGTCGGTGCAGACCATCTACAACTACTACAAGAAGCATGGCTACAAGACCATTGTCATGGGTGCCTCCTTCCGTAACACCGGCGAGATCACCGAGCTTGCTGGCTGTGACTACCTGACCATCTCTCCCAACCTTCTGGAGGAACTGTACAACTCCACCACCCCCGTCCCCAAGAAGCTGGATGCTGCGTCCGCCGCCAATCTGGATATTCCCAAGAAGGAGTACCTCCACAACGAGGCTGACTTCCGCTTCGACTTCAACGAGGAGGCCATGGCTGTGGAGAAGCTGCGTGAGGGTATCTCCAAGTTCGCCGCCGATGCCATCACCCTCAAGAACCTTCTCGCTGAGAAGGTTAAGGCTTAGGCTGCCTGGTTCTTGTTGCGCATTCCCTTTGTTTCCCGATATCCTCTCTTCCCGGCAATAGGCCCTATGATTTGTAAATTGGCGATCCCTGAGAAAAATCTTGGAATCGGTAGATATGAATTGATGAAATATTATTCCTGTTCAATCTGAAATTCGCAACTGTAACTGTCCTAGCCACTGCATTCTGGAAAAAGTAGATCGATACAGAACCAGCTGGAAGGCATTCTAGCTCTTGATGAGCCACCCAAATGCTGGACAATATAAATCAGCCCTACTAGAGTGGCACCTCGGAAAGTATTTGAACCATATATGTGGAGGGCCAGCGCTGTCACGGTAAGGCATGCTTGGTTTCTAATAAGAATGGCTTGTACCGGGCCATCCGAGGCGTTGAGCTCCTAAAGCCGGAATCTGGCCAGGTCGGCTTATTCAGAGTCCGCACCTGTGCGACCCCGCAGCAACAGCGTCACCCTGTGTTACCCATCAGGGTCCAGAGACTCAAGAAACTCCGAAATGGACTATAGCAGCCAGATTCCAATTGCACCTTAGGATAACAACTGTAAGCATTATGATTCTGATCTATAGAATACTGCGTACATAAGGAGCGACATCGGGGTTGGGGAACTCACGTCATTTCCCCTCGCCGTATTTCCCGCCCGCTTAGGCAGGTGGGGGTGTCTTGGTGTGGTAATAGATGTACCAAGTACCTCTGGTGGCACCCAAACTGCGGAAAATTACACACTAAAGGAAGTAGTTACAGGTACTGGGTACCGCAGAGCTATGAGAAACTGCTTGTTCCGGTATGGGCGTATAAGTCACGTCAACATCATCCGCCTATATGAGGGCCCGCCCACCTCTTGCCTCTTTTTTCTCCCCAGATTACCCCTCCTTACAGGATCATACATTCGATTTAAATCACCGTCAAAATGGTTAAGGCTGGTAAGTGCATCTGGTCAGAAGTATCTATAGATCTGATTCCGTGCTCCGACCTCATTGGGCCCCCTCTACCCCACGGACTGTGGCGAAAGGACCTTGGGGTGAGCACATTTGAGCACCTTGGGGAAGACAATGGGCCTATCGGCTCTGCTTCCTGACTCAGATTGCTCTCCACCCTTTGTGCGTACCCCGGGTACTCAGGGCCGTTGCATTGCTGTCGATGGCAATTCAGAGCTCCCTGGGGCTGCAGGGGTGAGAAGCTCTGATCGGCCCGTGCCTCTGGGACGAGCCTTCCGGCTATGGCATGGCGATCGGGGCTTGACCAATGAACCGCACGCGAAGAAGATGATCTATAGGCTAGATCAATACCTCCAAGCAAATGAGAAGCAGAAGAAGAATGATGTACTGACATCCTTCAGTTGCTGTCATTCGCGGAGACTCCAAGATCTCCGGCACCGTCACTTTTGAGCAGGCAGACGAGAACGCCCCCACCAGCGTCTCCTGGAACATCACCGGCCACGACGCCAACGCTGAGCGAGGTTTCCACATCCACCAGTTCGGTGACAACACCAACGGCTGCACCTCCGCTGGTCCTCACTGTAAGTGCCAGCACAATATCGGATGCAAGCATCGGGCTAATCATTCGTCAAGTCAACCCCCACGGCAAGACCCACGGTGCTCCCCAGGATGCTGACCGTCACGTTGGTGACCTGGGCAACTTCAAGACCGATGCTGAGGGCAACTCCGTTGGCTCTGTCCAGGACAAGTTGATCAAGCTTATCGGCGCCGAGAGCGTTCTTGGCGTAAGTGAAACTCAAATAATGTGCTTACACAAAGACTAGAGCTAATATGATTCCAGCGCACCCTGGTTGTTCACGCTGGCACTGACGACCTTGGCAAGGGTGGTAACGAGGAGTCCAAGAAGACTGGCAACGCTGGTGCCCGCCCTGCTTGCGGTAAGTGCAATATAACCTTCAAATCGAAAGAAGATCAACGCTAATTGTAACAGGTGTCATCGGCATTGCTGCTTAAATGATGGATCGAATTATCAAGATCTAAAAGTTCAGGATAGCACCTGGCTAGGAAGAGATGAATTGAATGTGACACTTTTTACCGTCTCCTGTATAAAGCATGTAGACATGGCAGATAAGCTCGCTATCTTAGAAGAGTAAGACCTCATCCTGGCGTGTGCCTTCCAGAGCAGAGTGGAGTATCCGATCTTCCATTTGCCCATCTGCCGGCCAGACCGCTTTCCCCCACAGCAACGAGCCACGTTTCGCCTCCGTGAACAACTCCTTTACTTCCCCCAGCTTCTTTTTTTTTTTGTTTTTCTTTGTTTTTCTTTTCCTTTACCCCTTCCTATCTGCTACCTCCGTAGCTGATAGTCCCCCCGCCATGTCACTCGAAGCTCGAGTGAAGTCTGTCCTGTCGGGCGATACCGTCGTCCTGGCACATGTCCAGAACCCAGGACAAGAACGCGTCCTGAGCTTGGCCTATGTCTCAGCGCCGCGCTTACGGCGTGAGGGTGATGAGGTAAATAGCACCAATTGATTCCTCTCTCCACGGATCACATATTCTCATTTCGATTTTTCCGTCCCAATGACAAATATCGTCGAATCGTCCCCGATGCAAGCTTTCATATTGAAACTGACATTACGCTCTTCTGTTTTAGGCATACGGCTTCCAGGCTCGGGAATTCCTGCGTGAGCTTTTAGTCGGTAAGGTGATCAAGTTCGACGTTGTCTACTCGATTCCAACTGGCGCCAAGCGTGAGTACGGAATCATCAAACTTCCCGGCTTCGATGCGCAGCTGCCCGATATCAGTGTGCAAGAGGGATGGTGCAAGGTCCGTGAGGAGGCTGGAAAACGCAGTGATGAATCGGAAGAGACTGCGGCTTTCCTTGCGCGGCTGCGCGCTCTGGAATCGCTCGCCCAGGATGCGGGTAAGGGGGGTGGGCCGGCGGCGATCAAGGACACATCGAGACCAGCTACGAATTGACCGATGGTGCGGCCTTGGTGCAGAGATTCAAGGGCCAACAGCTGGAAGGTATTATCGAGAGAATCCTGAATGGAGACCGGCTTGTGCTGCGTCTGTTGTTGTCCCCCAAGGAGCATGTGCAGACCATTGTGGCTATTGCTGGAATCCGCTGCCCAGCTGCCAAACGCACCACCGCCGACGGCAAAGAACAGGCTGGAGAGCCATTTGGTGATGAGGCATATCAGTTCGTGGAATCTCGACTGCAGCAGCGGAAGGTCAAGGTCTCTCTCCTCGGTGTGACCCCTCAGGGTCAATTGATCGCTACTGTCCTGCATCCCAACGGCAACATTGCCCGTTTCTTGCTGGAGCAGGGTTTGGCCCGTTGCCACGACCACCACTCAACCTTGCTAGGCGGTGATATGGCTGGTCTTCGCCAGGCCGAGCGCAGTGCCAAGGACGCCCGCAAGGGTATCTTCACCAATCTAGCCGTCCCCAGGGCGACCGGTGCTGCCGCAGCCGACTATACTGTCACCCGCGTCCTCAATGCTGATACTATCTTCATCCGAAACAAGGCCGGCCAAGAGAAGAAGATCAGCATCACGAGCATTCGTCAACCCAAGCCTTCTGACCCCAAGCAATCTCCATTCTCTGCAGATGCTAAGGAGTTCCTGCGCAAGCGTATTATCGGTAAGCACGTCAAGGTTACCGTCAATGGAAAGAAGCCTGCCACCGAGGGCTTCGAGGAGCGTGAAGTTGCTACCGTTGTCCAGGGCAACACTGATGTTGGTCTGGCATTGGTCGAGGCCGGTTATGCTTCTGTGATTCGCCACCGTGCGGACGACGATGACCGCTCCCCCGACTACGATTCACTCTTGGTTGCTGAAGCTGAGGCCCAGAAGGAAGGCCGCGGGATGTGGAACCCCAAGCCCCCCAAGGCTAAGCAGCTGGTAGATTACTCGGAGAATGTCCAGAAAGCTAAGCTCGAAGTCGGCGTCTTGCAGCGATCAAAGCGTATCCCAGCTGTGGTCGACTTTGTCAAGTCCGGCTCCCGTTTCACTGTCCTGGTTCCCCGCGAGAACGCTAAGCTTACTCTGGTCCTGTCTGGTATTCGTGCCCCTCGATCTGCCCGCGGGCCGGGTGAGGCTGGCGAGCCATTCGGTCAAGAAGCCCATGACCTTGCTAACCGCCGTTGCTTGCAACGCGACGTTGAGATTGATGTTGAGACCATCGACAAGGTCGGTGGGTTCATCGGTACTCTGTACGTAAACAAGGAGAACTTCACCAAGATTTTGCTCGAGGAAGGTCTTGCCACTGTCCACGCATACTCCGCCGAGCAATCCGGCCACGCCAACGAGTACTTCGCAGCAGAAGAGCGCGCCAAGGATGCTCGCAAGGGTCTCTGGCACGACTACGATCCCAACAAGGAAGCGGCTGAGGCCGAGGCCGCCGAGGCAACTCACTCCAACGGTGGAGCTGATACCGAAGACGCCTCCGCTCGACGCAAGGACTACCGCGACGTGACCATCACCCACGTTGACCCCGCCACCGGTCGCCTAAAGCTTCAGCAAATCGGCCAAGGCACCAGTGCCCTGACGGAGCTAATGTCGTCCTTCCGCGCCTTCCACCTCGACAAGGCCAATGCCAAGCCCCTCGAAGGTGCGCCCAAGGCAGGCGACTGGGTCTCTGCCCAGTTCAGTGAAGATGGCAACTGGTACCGTGCCAAGGTGCGCCGCAATGACCGCGAGAACAAGACGGCGGAGGTCGTCTATATCGATTTCGGTAACTCCGAATCTCTGCCATGGTCCAGCCTCCGCCCTCTGGGCCAACAGTTCAGCGGCCAGAAGCTGCGTCCTCAAGCCGTTGACGCTGTCTTCTCTTTTATCCAATTTCCCTACCTCCGCTGATTATATGGCGGATGCCGTTTCTTTCATTGGTGAACAGACCTTCGACCGCGAGCTGGCCGCTAACGTCGATTATATCGACGCCGAAGGCACCCTATATATTACTCTCTTAGACGGCAACTCTGAGAGCCTTGAACAAAGCATCAATGCTGATATTATTCGCGAGGGCCTGGCCCTGGTACCCCGCAAGCTAAAGGCGTGGGAGCGTGCCGCCTCCAAAACTATCGAGAACCTCCGTGAGCTTCAGGCCGAGGCCCAAGCTGAGCGTCGGGGCATCTGGGAGTACGGTGACCTGACCGAGGACTAAATTTTTGTATCTAAGGAAAAGAAAAATAAATTCTCGAGTAGCGCGTTCTGTATAAATTCCGCGGGGAGCGGACCTGGGAGAAAAAGCTTACGAAGGAGGATACCACATGCGAAGATGCATGATCTTGTAACTTTGCTTATTTGACGATGTTAGCCAAACGTTGCTTTCTTTTCAACATCTGCTTCGTGCTGTTGCACAGCAAAATTCATAAATGCCTTTTTTTTTCTTTAGGATCTTGACCAACTGCACCCTTGAATGCCGATCTTTCTCGTATAGTTCCCGATTTGGTGGGTCACCAGCCGATCTCTGCGAGTCTACCTGGAGGGGGAACTCGTATCAGATCGGAAGGCCGATCACCAGATATGAAAGTGACGGCTAAGCTGATAAACCAGTTCGAAGTATAAACCTCAAAGTGCTGACTCCAGAGATCTTGATCCGTATGATCCGGCGCAATGGGGCTCCACCAGAGACCCCCGGAAGCGCGTGGTAGCGCGTGGTTCCTGGGAACGGAGAACCATCACCTCCGCAAAAATTATTGCTGACCGCCCCTTTTCTCCGCGACACTCGCTCATTCCACCTCCCCTTCAACCTCCATAAGGGTCTAACGGCTCGTCGATCGTACCCCTTCTTCTTCAAGATGCAGATGCTTTGGCGCTCCAAGCCTTCCAAGGAAGCCAAAGAAGCCAAGGAAGCCTCTGAACAGGACACCTCCATCACCCGCACTACCTCTACCACCTCCGCCTCGTATAATGACCCAGCTGCCTCCGCCGACCAGGCAGCTGGCACTGCTTGGCTGGCTGGTCACTTGCACCATTTAACCCCCGAACAAGAGAAGAAGCTGGTCGAGTTCAAGAAAGTCAGTGCTGAGCGTGGGTATTATACCCCCGCTGTGGAGCAGGCAGAGGGTGTGGAGGCAAAAGATGCGAGCCACGACGACGCGACTATGCTGTATGCTTCCCTCATTTCCTCTCTTTATATTTGCTCTTCGTTTCTTGTACTGGACTGGCTATGTCCAACTGGAGCCGTCAGGAATTATAAGCCGGTGCTAACGAAAGTTTACTAGGCGCTTTTTGCGCGCGCGGAGGTTCGACGTCGAAGGCGCTTGGGGACAATTCAAAGATACCGAGGATTGGCGCAAAGAGAACAAGATCGAGTCGCTCTATGCGAACATTGGCATCGATTCATACGAGGCCGCACGCAGAATGGTATGCATTACGCGCTGGCGTTGAGCAGCTTAATTGGCCTGCTTTGTGGCAGTTCATCAGTGGACCAAGTACTGATCACTTCTGTCCGAGTATAGTATCCCCAGTGGACTGGCCGCCGCGACCGCCGCGGTATCCCTGTCTATGTCTTCGAGATCCGGCATCTTAACTCCAAGGAAATGGCTGCTTACAACTCGACCGTGAGCCATAGCGCCCCCGAGACTCACAAGTCTTCAACTGTGCCCGCTCGTCTCTTGAACCTGTTCGCCTTATATGAGAATCTCCTGCGATTTGTTATGCCTCTCTGCTCATCTCTGTCACGTCCCAACCCCGAGACCCCAATTGTCACCTCCACCAACATCGTCGATGTAAGCGGCGTGGGACTTAAGCAGTTCTGGAATCTAAAGGGCCACATGCAAGATGCCAGTGTCCTGGCAACAGCACACTACCCCGAGACGCTAGATCGCATCTTTGTACGTGATTCATGTCTTTTTTCAGTCCCATACCTGAACTATCTCCTGTGCATATTCTCTAACTCTCACAGATTGTCGGAGCCCCCTCGTTCTTCCCTACCGTCTGGGGGTGGGTCAAGCGCTGGTTTGACCCTGTGACCACATCCAAAATCTTCATCCTGTCCGCCGCAGAAGTCAACCCGACCCTCACATCCTTCATGGAACCTACCAGCATCCCCAAGCAATACGGTGGCGATCTGGAGTGGCAATGGGGCGACATGCCCAACCTAGACTCCGAAGCCGAAGAGAAACTTGCCGGCGTAGCACGCGGCGAGAAGAAGGAGCTTCTCAAGGGCCCCATGGTTTTCAATGGCGACAACATCGAGGTGCTGGGCACCGAGAACGGCAAGGAGCGCCGCGAGACTGTCCCCGTCCCTCAGGCAGGAAAGACGGCGCAGCAATTGGAGAAGGATGAAAACAAGCTTGCGGAAGCCACGGAGACTGCTACTAATGGCGATGCTCTTGCGGACGAAAAGGTCCCGGTGAATGTCAATCCGGTGAGCGACGAGGCGCCGACTACCACTACCACGGCATAGATCCAATAGACAGAGCTGGATTTGCGATTTGTAGGGCTTACATATTGGGCGCCCCTGGAGAATGGGATAGATGACGGGCTCTGGTCGGCTATGTTTGCATTGGGCCTGCCCGGGCTAAAGTTTGATTAATACATATCTTCGGGCCATTTCACTGCATGTTGGTGCGTTAGACGGGATAATGTGCTGGCTTTCATTGTTTCTTTTCGGTTTCTTCCAGTTCACTTGTTCAAGACAGACTACTTTCCCTGCTGTTTAGATGCGTGACTCACTATTGCCCCAAAGTCTACGTAGGGATATCAAAAATACATAGAAATATCGCTATCTTCAAGTTCCAGTCTTACAACCTCTCACAGGCAGTACCTCGAATGAAGGTCTGCTAATTGGCAGGCCATGTATCAATTGCTGGCAATCTGGGGAAAGACTCCTAGGATGAGCAAGAGAAAATCGTGATTTGTACTTTAAGTATTCATACTAATATACCTTCAACGCTACATCAAGTGAGTACACATCAGAACTTAGCCTTGAATTACATCAGTCTTAGTATTCTGGCTCCGAGGCCGGCACTGCTCAGAAAGTTGATGAAGCGACTGGGCCGGTTCTGGTTCGGGGGGGGGCCGGTGGGGCCGCAAAGATGATGAATTAATTCAATCAATGTGAAGACAAGACCCAGCTGGCATAGGAGAGATTTCGCAGTCTACTACTATATTTAGGAATGCGTCACCCAGCATCGTGCTGTATTCCCAGAGTGCCAGTGCTAACTACAGAAATTCCCCAGCCTTATTTCCATCGTCATGTCTACAACTTCTCCCAAAGAAGAGCACCAGAGCAGCTGGCCTCTTGTTCCGCGTCAAACATCTCCGGAGATAATCGGGGAAATGGAGGCTGCCTGCGAGGTAGGCGACTTTGCGAGATTCAAGTCAACTTTCGACACCTGGACTTCTCTTAAGCTGGATATACATGAACTTGACTCCGTGATGATCCAGGCTGTCAGATGGGATCGGAAGGATGTTGTCGCTGAATTTTTGCAACATGGGTTGCCAGTGAGCCAAGACTACGCTCTAGAAGCGATAGGACATGGATCAAAGGAGGTTCTTAACACCCTGCTGCAACGTGGATGGGATATTAATCAACCCACGAGCGAATTGAGGCCTCCTGCGCTCGGGTAAGTCATTACATAGCTTCTCCAAACCTCACTACTTACGGTATTATCCTAGTTATGCCGTTGACGACGAGGATATGACTCTGTGGCTTCTTGATCACGGAGCCGACCCAAATAAGCAGTGTTCCATTGATCTTACACCATTGTCCTACGCGGTAGAACAAGCCTCCCTGTCCATCGTCAAACTGCTTCTGGATCGTGGAGGAGATGTTCACAAAGGGCAACTTCTTCACCATGCTGTTGAACGTCAAACGGATATCATCGAGGTGCTGGGTATACTGCTCGAGAGAGGAGCTCCTTTGAATTCAAAGATGTACGAAAATCACTATCCTTCATGGAGACTATACTACTTTATGGGCTTGGGAACCGCTTTACATAAAGCGGCGGAGCTGGGAAAGGCGGATGTTGTGCGCTATCTAGTCGACCAAGGCGCGGACGTTGGTATCAAAGACGCCACGAACCGGAGTGCGATGGACTGGGCTGCATTGAACAACCATCAAGAGATCGTGGAGCTGCTTCAGTCAGTGGAGAGAAGACACCATCTATGATCAACGCTGTCGATGATGGCTGGATGCCGGAGAAGGAGTTTAAACGTGTTTCAACATAGTGTTTTCGCTTCTGCAGTAAGAATCAGTGATGGACATTTGTATCAGCGCAATGTTCCTTGTAGCTGTTTGCCTCTGTGTTTCTTCTGATAGGAACCAGGAACCTGGTGCGTGGCCAAATTGGAGTTGTTATGCGCACGGCGGCTGAGTCAGCGCATGGGCCGGGACGGCCGTTTTTGGCGTCATTTGGGGCCGAAAAAGGCACCGTCTGCCCAAATCGAAATCCTTAAATCGCAGTAAATTCGATTTTTGTCAGTAATTGTGCTTTAGCCATGGTCAGAGCTGCTGCAATCATTAGCCTCTTTACCTTTAAAAAGCAGGATGGAACGACTCCCACTTCCGTAACACAGACGTAGGACTGTGCTGGGAGAATTTTGGAGTATGACTGCCCACACTACTCATAGCTTCACTCATACCACTAGATCAATCAGGCGAGAGGGCAGAGAACGACAATGGCTGCCTGGCTCGGGCAGAGGTTATCCCCGTCTTCAGTCTTGATTATACAATATCAGCGCTCTTAGGTCGTATGATATTGATGTATCTAAGCAACGTTATAACTATCTAGGTACACAGTGCGTAGATCAGATAAGCCGAGGCCACGCGGCACTGTGCAGCGACTAGCAGGGTCGACACCGATTCACACATGCGATCCCTCCAAGTTCAAGTCATCTATGTGGATGACAGACGTGTGCCCCAGCAGATTCGCTTGCGAGCAATCTTTGCCGCGCCTGATTCTGATATAGTTCCAAATATAAACCAAAGGGTAGGCAGGTACATTCCGGCGAATCTCGAAACGTTTCGGAAATCACAGGTGGTTATCTTCTCCGAGCATCTCATGACTGTCAAAGAGAGGACACCGATATCCATGAACCATATGTCGTATGATTTTGAGTCTCAAATTGGGCATCAATCTTCGCGGAACGATCACATGAACGATGTGAGCACCCCCAGCCCGTCCTCTAGATGCATCGGACACCTATTGAACACTTTGACTCACATGGAAATGAACTGTTCGACCAGGCTCCAGCATTGGAAGCTGGAGATATCTATAGACCATGTTCATATGCACTGGGACGTATGCGGTATGCAGGACGTGCAGAGGACGAGACCGACTGGTTTTAAGAGTGGCGTCAAGCGCAAGGGCCCTGGCCAATCAGGGCAACCCAGACAATGCGCACGTGACAGGATCAGGGGCACGCCTTGCCGAATTTGGAATAAACGCTCCGTTCGAAGGTTCGCGGCGATTATCTGTGCTACAGGGTACAACCTCGAGACGATCTACTGGGATTGACATCATAACTGAGGTATGTAATTCTTACATTTGCAAACGCTCGGTGGAATTTGATAGCCAAGCTCGTAGTGGGTTTTAGACTAGGATTTGGCACAATGTAGGCTTACCTGAGGAGAGACCAAGGGCCCTGGAGCCCTAAAATTCGGCTCACGTTCCTGATCCACTAAGAACAGCCGGAACCCCGCGACACCCTCGAGTCCATGATTCGTATGGGCCCAGCGGGGGGGATCTGAAAATGTTGGGGACGATCGACGTCAGTCCGAGGCTCAAAGTGTGAAGTGGATGTTCACATGCGCCAATAAGTCCTGGAAAACTGGATCCAAATTCTGAAGGATCGACATTGCCCACGCTTTAAATGCCACTGGGTTCCCCGCGGACAGAGACTTAGCGCCAAACGTTGGAACACCCTCATCAACCCTCGACACAGACGCAATTCCACTGTTGGGCCAAACGCCAAACATGGCTGACCGTAACCCTAAGGACTCCATGAAGTCCACCTGGCGCACCCAGGCGCGCTCGGAGTGGACGCTCTTCCACTGGTTCTTCGAAGTGCTCAACATCCACCCCGAGAAACTCGACACCGAAGTCCCCGTTTTCCAAAAAGAGGACCCGATTCCCTACGTGCCCGATTGGTCGATGCACCGCTGGGTACTCAGTCACGCGATTATTCCCATCCTCCTACACCACGCCTACGTCCTCTGGACCGGACACAATCTGAGTCCGATTGCCGCCTTCTTCCTGTATAGCTTGTCCTTCAACGCCATCGGAATCCATGAACTCCATGTCCTCCGCCGCCTGGGCCACATCCACGGCTTCCTGGACGGCGACAAGCATCCGCGTGACGGAGTGCCCGATGTAGGTGTGGCCAAGGTGGTGCGATCGCTCGTCTCCACAGCGACCGCGCGGCCCATGTTCAGCGTGATGCTCGCCTACCGCACTTCCCAGCCCCCTTCAAGCATCAATCTCCCCTGGTTAGTGCTGGAGATGGGCTTGTACGGGATCATCCTCGACTTCTGGTTCTACTGGTACCACCGCCTGATGCACGACGTGACCTTCCTGTGGAAGTACCACCGCACCCACCATCTGACCAAGCACCCCAACCCACTGCTCACCCTCTATGCGGACCTGGAGCAGGAGTTCTTCGATATCGCGGGGATTCCGCTGATGACCTATTTCTCCATGAAGGCTATGGGTATGCCCATGGGCTTCTACGAGTGGTGGATCTGCCACCAGTACGTGGTCTATGCTGAGCTGGCCGGCCACAGTGGATTGCGGGTCCATGCGTCGCCACCCAATGTCTTCACCTTCGTGCTGCGGTGGTTCAATGCGGAACTTGTCATCGAGGACCACGATATGCACCACCGCAAGGGCTGGAAGAGCAGTTATAACTATGGCAAGCAGACTCGTCTCTGGGATCGGATTTTCGGCACCTGCTGTGATCGGGTCGAGTCTGTGCCGCAAAATATCGATTATGAGAATACGTCGGTTATGCATTTTTACTAAAGGCTGGTGACTTGCTAAGACCTGCCACTTGGGCGGGGTCGACTATATAACTCAAATGATTCTTTAGCGTTCTGTCCAACATCCCTAAAATGCGGACGGAGTGAGACGATATGATGTCGCTTTTTGCTTTCTTTTTTTTTTGTTTTGATACCAGGCTGAGCAGGCTAGATTTCAGCTGTGAATATTCATGAAGTCCCCCCTAATGTATTGCTAAGTTATGTAGATACAACATACAAATAGTATAGTATTGTAGCCCAGATCGCAGCCATTCATTATCCGTATGCACCGGTGCTAAGGTACTACATATATTCCATATATACCTGCTCATCCTGTTGCCACATAGCGCTAGTACACATTCTCGATCTCCTAACAGCACCCTTCGGTCCAGGGCTGGGGTCAATCCTGTGACAAAAGGATGAGCAGTGGGGAGCTAGTCCATTAGCACCTGGTGGATAATAACGATTTACACCGTATACATGTAGACCTATCCTGCACATTCTACTAGCGTAAATGCAGTGCCGCCAACATTGAAGCCGATAATACTAGGAGCTGATCCTGCCTATCCGCCTTACCTCTCCCGACGGAAGCATCAAAAGGGAACTGTGACGAGCAGCACCATATTGACTGTATGATAGCCCACGGCGGAATCTAAAATGTGAAAAAAGAGAACTGGATAGAGAGGTTTCATGGATAGTGGGATTCTTTAATAACGATTGTCGCGGCCCCCCATAAACCCTGCGTTGGGATGGCTGGCAAAGTGCGACTCCATTGGAGATATGATGAGGGTCCATAAGGCGCAACGAAACTTCGCTGGCGGCTTGCAGAGGCCGTCTTGATGCGCCTAATGGGACTAGGATGATAGAAATGTGGTTTGGTGATAAGGCCGGATGTTTGCGAAACCGGCTATATTTGAAATAGAATGCGCAGTCGACTATGCGCAGTCATCCTCTCTCAGGATGGGGCTTGAGGGAAGATCAATGGCAAAATCATAGATTACACTCTTTAAGAAATAGGTATATGCATTTCCGGGTACATGATTACCAGACTTAGGCCTTCCACAATGCATTAACTTGCTTTTTACGGACCTGGGAATCCAAGGTTAGCAAATGTACGGAGACATCATCTATGCACAGGAACAAAAGGGCTTACCATGGGGGGCCAAAAACCCAACCCCAAACGCGAGTGCCACTACGGTGAGCACAAGCTGCAGTTTGGAGAAGTTTTTGCCGAGAATATCAAATGCTTGGCTGGGCGTAGCACGGGTGCCGAAGATATCGCCGCCAAAAGCGAAAATCAGGCTCGTACTCTCGAGCAGAGTAGGCTCCGACAATACAGTCTGGATTCCAGCTACATCGCGAGCATGGGTCAAGAACCATTTTCCATCAAATTCCAGGAATGGACTATAGCGGAAGAGTCCCTCCTCGGCCTCCGCCGAGGTTGGGTCCCGATCGACGGGCCGGCGAGGATCCAAAACAGGGCGTGGGATCGCAACGATCGACTGCGTTGATGGGAGGGTGCAGATAAGTTGGCGAGTAGTGATACCTTGTCGGGTCTGGGTCACAGCCATGTGGGAGATAGGCTCGTTGATAATGAAAGCCTGTGAAATGACGTGTGGCACGGGGAGGAGTTGTCCGCTGTTACTATGAAGACTGGAGTAATTGCCAGCTGCATCCAATGGGCCGCGGTCGTTTACCACAGGGGACTCATAGAGCTCCGAGACGACGAGTTGGTAACCCTTGGCTGACGACTCGGTAACGGCATCACCGAAGAAAGAGTAGGCGAACCAGTTCTCGGAGATCGCAGAGGTAATAGGCTGGGCAGAGTCCACGCCAGCTTGTGTGGTGGAATACAGAACCTTGCCAGACACACCATCCAACAAGTAGAAGCTGGCGGTATGCTTCTTTTCATCAACGGCGGTTACCAGGGCAAGGTTCGGATTGAGATACTTGTACAGAACAGAGCGATCACCAAGGACCTTACCAATCGACGCGACTGGGTCATGCACAGGGCGGCCAATAGCCTGGATAACCTTTTCGCCGGCGGGAGGCACAAACTCCCAAGCGGGGGTTTTGTTATCTTGAGCCGTCCAACCCAGGATACGGCCGTCAGAACTGGTGGTCACTAGAAATCCAGGAACATCAAAAGTAGAGGCAGGGGAGCCGTCTTCCTGGATGCCGAGGACATCATTAGACTCCAGGACGGTAAAGGTCTGGAATTTGCGGTTCTGGCCGTCGAAGCGTCCGGTGACAGTACCACTAGTGGTGTTGACGGTCACAGAGCTGCCATCGCTAGCATAGATAATAGCCTTTCCAGGCCGAATCACAATTCCCTTTACATCCCAGGGAGCAGTCTCCGATGCCTGGACATGCCATTCCACTGCACCTTGCTTGCCGGTGTTCAAAGCGTAGAGACGGCCGCTTTTGGTAGCGACAACGACCGTTTTGGAAACTCCAAAGCTATCAAGATTGGTCACCTCATCAGAAAGAACACTGCCCACGACACGGCGAGGCAGTTCTTTCACCCATTCAGGGAAACCCTCGAGGTCGCAAAGGTGGCGCTTCACACGATGGATGTAGGCGCCCAGCAAGCTTTCGTGGCTCTCGACTTCCAATTCGTGTGCAAGATGCTGTTGATCACCATGGTCCACCCAATCAGCAGCAACTGCATCAATAAGTTCCTCGTGTCTCACCCACGCGGACTCGCCATTCCGAATCAATTCCCAGACGCCATGTTCCCGTAGGACGGCAGCACGTACAGCAACGCTCTTGCCCTTGGGAATGACTTCCGCTACGGCATGGATCGGCTCGTCATAGGCCCATCCATCAGCACGCGAGACGCTGACAGCCTCACTAGATGCAGATGACCAGACTCCAGTGTTCAGCTCGGAGATGCGCGTGAAGTACACATTGGCATGGACATTGCTTGTAGCAAACACAGCTTGCCCTGCGGCGAATTCCAGCTCATACGCCTTCTTCGCAGTTGAGGTCTTCAGATCGACGTGGTAAACCTCGGCCCAGGAACCCTTTGCCGTCTTGTAGTGAACGAGGAAATGCGGAAGAGATGTGAGCTTCTGAGGAGCATGAACAGAAATCTTCTTAATTTCCAATGCAGCAGGGTCGGTCTTTTGCAGCTCCCGAGTAGACTGGGATGTGCTCTCGATATTCAGGGTCATGACAGGCTTGGTCCCGATGATGTTGACCTTCAGAGCCTTCTGGGCCTTATCGCTCCACACAATCAAGGGCGAGGCGATGTTAGACCCAACATGAAGAACAGACTCAGGGCCCGTGATCTCGTTTTCCGAACTCAACACAGTTTGGCGAGTTTGGCGACCGGTAACCGGGTCCAATGCGGTAACCTTGATCTTGTAGCCTTTCAACAGGGCCGACTGAAGCGAAATATAGAAGACTTCGGTGGGCGAAGAGGACACTTGGAAGGGGAGGTCGCCACTAAAAACCCGATATATTAGCCATGACCATGTGAAACCAGCTTCCTGGATCTCTAGAATGTCCTCACCTGTCATCCTTGTATTCCCACTTTGTCGCGCCAGAATCACCGTCCAACAGTCTCAAAACAGCAGCGCCTTCACCACCACTGAGCACAAGCGCATCTTTCGCAGCCGACTTCGAAGCAGGGTCCTCAAGCTCCAGGATCTCAAGATCAGCTGCCAAGCCGGGGAGCTGTTTGTTCCAGATCAATTTGCCGTCCTGGGCACTCCAGGATGAGACAGATTGGCCCGCAGCGCTGACCACAGCATTACTTCCATCAGAGCCACGCATGAAGCCGGCCGAGCCAGCTCCAGCTCCGAAACGGGTCAGGTTCTGGCGCCAGATAACAGCACCATCGCGGGGATTCACCGCACCGAGGATCGATCTATCGGAGATAGTGTAGAGGAGGGAGGCGTTGGAGGCGGCGGAGGGTCTGAGGAAGAATGTCGAGTCGGGCGAGGGAGCGCCTAGGAGCGCATGGTGGAAGTCAATATGATTGACCTCATCGGAGAAGATAGCAGCCGCAGGCGATATGCACGCAGCGACAAGAAGCGCCGATTGGAGCCACATGTTGCTGACGAGCTGAGCCGGATGGAGCTGAGGTGGTGTTTGGCGCAGCTTTTGGGCGGCGCGGGCGGTGATGGGCCGCTCTATGTGGGACATTCCATCTACAAGTAAATTCATTGGAAGTGACGATTGATTGATGGTATGAACCATTTGCTTGAATACATTGTCTGTCCTTGGACCATCCTTACAAATAGGTCATTCTTAGGCAGTCTGGAAATTGAAAAAGAACAGCCTCGCAGCTCAATAACCACCCTAATGTATATCCGACCATCTCATCAACATCAAGCATATCCGTTCTTCAATCGTCCGCAATCGCATCAACTTCAATTTCCACTAGCATTTCATCATCGACGAATCCATTCACAACAATCATCGTGGCAGTCGTTCCAATTCTGCCGGTACCGTCCTGGCCCAATATTTCCTTGAAACCTGCTGCTACTGCTGAAGTGTCTTCCTTGCGCCTCACGTACATCTTGCACCGGACCACATCCTCAGCTCCCTTGCCACCAACGGCCTGAATCGCTTGGATGATCTCCTGGAGGATCAAAATTGTCTGCCGGCGAGCGTCACCGGGAAATCGTACTTTTGGAGCTTCCGGTGGAGATGTTGGGTCTGTTGCAGTTGACCCGGCCACGAATATTAGATTGCCACGACGTATAGCACGATAATAGCCGATTGAAACTTCCCAAGGGGAGCTAGTGCTGAATAATTGCTTGCTCTGGGCCTTTGAAGCCATGACTCGTTTCTTGGAAAAGTGAAAATGAAGACATAGTACGGGTCTTAGCTTCGGAAGAAAACTACTAGTATGAGTCAAACGCGGGGCTGGCAGCGGCACCTCAAGTTGACCTATATGAAACAAAAGTCAGTATGGTCGAAATGCACTATACCAGATGGGACTGTACGCCGACTGTAAATCAATGGACCTCAATACTAGTAACTTCTTCTGAACAATTCCGATATTGATACATCCAAGAGCACTATCGTAAGCTAAGACATCGCTTATGGAACCGTCGTGAGACTTCTGGGTAGCTCAAGCCACCATGCAAAACACCCCAAAACCGTTGAAAATGCATACTAAAACCGACCCATAAGGAAAAAGATATTTGCATCTGGATTTCGGACCTGTCATATGAGACCATAACTGGAGAATGGCTGCGTTTCACCGCGGATGGGGCTCTATGTAGAAGATCGAGTTCGCTTCAGCGTCACTTTCGACGATAACCTCAGTAGATAGCCAGATGCCGTGATTGTCGGCATTGAGGTTTTCACCACTCGCCCCCGCTTCCGGGTCCTTTACACGATACTTGGTGCTTTTTTTAGATCCTCCACTGCGAACCGTCAGCTTTAAGTCGGATCCTGATTGCAGCCGCGACGTGTTCCGAGCCGAAGAGCTCTTGGCTCCCGTGATGATTTTGCGGAAAAACGGGCGCAAAGTTGGGGCGCAGGCAGCGATAATGACCACATTGGACTCGGTACTAGAATAGACGTTAGATGGGAGATTTGGGCATTGGAGGAGGCCTTGACGTACAGTCCTAATAGGATTAATGGGATGACATTCCATACTGTTATAGTCCAGTCAGTATATTTTTCCAAGCTCAATCCAGCAACGAAGAGCGGAGAGTTCTCACATGGATCGCTGTGGTCGATGAAAAGCTTCAAATATGCAGTCTTAACGGCAGTGAGGACAGCAGAAAGCAAGGTTAATCCCATCATGATGCTGACGGAAATCTTCGTCGAGCGTCTCATCTGCAAGTTCCAGAATGAGGCAATAGGAACAACGGCGAGAACAATATCGGTGACGGCCGTGTATCCTCCGACGGCATAGCTGAAGTTCAAAAAGATTGCTGGATTCCAACATGTACCAGCGACCCGCGAATCCCATAGAAGCGAAGTCGGGTTACATTGAAAAAACACGAGGAAAACGGAGATCAAGGCGAATATGACCTGGAAAATCACCATCCCGTATAGCCAACGAGCGCGAGTTGGATTTGGTTCAAGGAGATGGTCGATAAGGATTGCGATGGAGATGTTTGGGAAACTATATGATCCTGCAGAATTGTTGGCATGCGTCGCACGAAGCCTCACTTCAAAAGGAATCTACAAGACATACCAATATTGAAAGGATATCCGATTTGTTGCCAGAACAATGCCTTGCTCAGGGCATCCATACCATATTCAGAAACAACGGCGGCGGTATGTCGCCCCAGCCTTAAGGATGCAGAATACGTCGTCAATGCCGAGCCAATGATACTGATTGCCTACAGAGTTTAGATTAGCCACGATCAAAGGAAATTCAGAGAAAAGCTCTACCATCGACCAGAAGATGAAGAAGTCGTCCCATCCTGCCAACTTCTTGTCGAGGCGACTGTACAACTTCAACCCGACCGCCACAGTCGCTGCCCCTGTGAGGACCCATGCCACACTATTGAGCTCAGCCGTTCGACTGTCGCTATAGTCGACGTTGGTATCATAATTGACCATGATGGGATCGTCAATCCATTGACGCGACACAACCCATAAGACAGCCTGAAGAGAAATCCGCCGGCATAGTCAGGCCCTTCTTCATATACGAGGGGGCCCAGATGCTAGGAAAGAGGGGTGAAGATACAGCATTACCCACGATCGCACGGGTCCACCATAAAAGACCGGAATTTTAATTCTTCTCTCGGAGTAGATCCGTTTCGTAATGTGGCATACGTAGATATCCAGCCTCTGGACCAATAATTGTTGGTTGTTACGGAAAGTTGTATCTAAGTTTCAAGGATGGAAGCGGAGTTGTTTAGCGTCCTCGTTCTCGGTGCACCGTTTCGGCCCCTGACCAGCAGCAAATGCAAGCGGGGTCGATCTACTCCGTACAGCTGGGAACAAGTTGCACGAGCGACGGTTGATCAGGAACGGGCTTTTCCTTTTCTGGCAATCTTCACAGCCAGGCTAGGCCCGACAGGCGCAGGAACAATGGTGAAGAGCGACACGTGCAGCTTACTCGATGACCGGGGACCCGCTCACACCTGGACGGTTCCACAGACTATCGCTGAACTCGGGCATAGATCTTCGAGCTTCGGTGATAAGGCTCCTACTTTGCGCTTACCCGGGTCGATTGCGGCACAAAAGGCAGATGCCGCGGTATGAGAAGGGCGCTATGATGCATGGATGATCTGATCCTTCATCCGCGCTTCCCGTGGCGAGTCATGTCCCTGCTTGACAGCCTGCTTGACAGCCTGCTTGACAGGTTTCGAGGAAAAGGAGCAGTCTGCTTGATCGGCCCACCCAGTTTCTTGGCCAGTTGGGTATTTCCTGCCGAGCCGACTCGTCTCAAACAAAGGACGCTAAGTCGAATGGATCTATCGCATCCGGCTTTCGCGTAATGATACAACACGAGGGCTGCGACGGATGGGTACCCAAATATTTCTCGTCTGGTCTGCGAGAGGCTTGTTGCGCGTAAGAGGGGGAGACTAGAGTTTAAGTCTGCCCATGCAGCAGCACTGGTGGTCTTTAACGTTCAGGTGTGGATTCAGCACGAATGCATGGAGATCAAAGCGCCGAATTGACATGCGAGACTCAAAAATTGGGATTCGGCGTTAAATCTAGGACACTACAGGCGACAGGCGAATTTGGGGCTTCTCATTGCGCTCCTACTCATAATATACGTCACCAGGAGCCTGGAGTCACTGCAGAGCCTGAACAGAACGACCAGTAAACAATGATTGAACAGCCTAATCCTGGGCAGACAAATCTCATAGGCACTGCGAAAGGTATCTCATAAAATGCAATCATATTACTCCTACCTTTCAATAGATACGGACCCCAAGGTTCAAACCTTCTAAATGTTAAGTGCTTTGGCGTGGGGAACTGGTCATCCTTAGAAACGGCACACTCCGCACTCCACATACCGACGTCAGAACGACAATTGAGACGACCGGTGTGGCGGGTTTCGCGGGGGGAAAGCGGTCTCTCCATCTACGAATTATAATAGGCCGAGGATTCGTCGGAGACGCTCTAAATTCGAAGATATTTATTGTAACTAGTCGATTAACACGCAAAGCCGGAAGAAAAGTAAGAGTGACAGGTACAGCCGCACACAAGAGTATATGCAATGGGACAAAAGATATGCAGAGATCGGTTGGAGCCACCGAGAGCCTGCTCTTAACCCCTCGTCACAATCGAGCAAGTGCCAAGACTTCATGTACCTACGGACATAAACGTAGAGAGCGTGCACAATGTCGAGAATTCAGAGATGATAGGCCCTGAGCGGAAGAGTGAGCTCGCTAGTATGGATTGATCCCTGACTAGCCCACGAGCGCAAAGAATCCTTGCACAAAATTTTACGCATCAATCAAGTTGTTACTTTGCTGTGCGGTGGTATTCTGCTGCTCGCCAGAGTTGTCACGGGTATCCTTGCTGGGAAGCTTGCGAGCCGAACGGGCATAGAATTCGTCGAGAGTACGCTTAGGGATACGGTTGAGGAGTTCCTTGGGGTAAATCCGGAGCAAGTTCCAGGCAATGTCCAGAGACTCGAAGATGGTGCGAGCCTCATAGGCAGATTGGCTGATGAATGTGCGCTCGAACTTGTCAAGGAACTCCAGAGAAAGCTTGTCTTCAGCAGACAGAGCTTCTTCGCCAACGACTGCCTTCATGGCAGCTACAAGGAAAATTTGTTAGGAAGATGATCGACGCAGATATAAGACAAGAACGTACCGGCATCACGACCAATGGCGTATTTGGCATACAGCTGGTTAGACACATCTGAGTGGTCTTTGCGAGTGTGACCTTCACCGATAGCAGACTTCATGAGACGAGAAAGCGAAGGCAGGACGTTAATTGGTGGGTAGACACCCTTGTTATCGAGCTGACGGTCAATGAAGATTTGGCCCTCCTGTGGAAAAATGTCAGACGGATAACTCTATGAAAGATCAATAGACGCGACGCACAGTGATGTAACCAGTGAGATCAGGAATGGGGTGAGTGATATCTAATTTCGAGAAGATTAGCCCCCAGGGTCATACAAAGGCAGGAGAAACCTGGAGATAGTACATACCGTCGTTAGGCATGGTCAAAATAGGAATCTGGGTGATGGAACCGTTACGACCCTCGACACGCCCAGCGCGCTCATAGATAGTCGATAAATCAGTATACATGTAACCGGGGTAGCCACGACGACCCGGAACTTCTTCACGAGCAGCAGAGACCTCACGCAAAGCATCACAGTATGCTGAAAGATCAGTCATAATGACGAGAACGTGCTTCTCAAGTTGATAAGCGTAGTATTCCGCAGTTGTCAACGCAAGACGAGGAGTAATGATACGTTCGATGGTTGGGTCATTGGCCAAGTTGAGGAAGAGAGTAGTACGCTCCATACTGCCATTCTCCTCGAACTCGCGAGTGAAGAAACGAGCAGTTTCCATGTTCACACCCATGGCAGCAAAGACAATAGAGAAGTTGTCATCGTGGTCGTCATGAACGCCCTTGGTTGGCTTAACCAAACTAGCTTGACGAGCGATACTCGCTGCGATCTCGTTGTGGGGAAGACCAGCTGCGGAGAAGATGGGGATCTTCTGGCCACGGGCGATCGAGTTCATGGTGTCGATAGCGGAGATACCAGTGGAGATCATCTCCTCGGGGTAGACCTGGAACAGATGTCAGCTCAAATGCTATGACTTGCATTTCCACGATACTATACCCGAGAGTAGGGATTGATAGGCTGGCCGTTGATATCCAGGTAGTCCTCCGCAAGCACCTTGGGACCCTTGTCGATAGCACGTCCTGAGCCATCAAAGACACGACCCAGCATGTCCTCCGATACACCAAGCTTCAAGCTGTGGCCGGTGAATTCGACTTTAGTCTGATATTCATGTCAGGGATCCTGAGTGTGTGAAACGTCTTGCACTTGATGTTACCTTCTTGACATCGATGCCCGGAGTACCCTCGAACACCTAGCAACCCGTTATTGTTAACAATCGTTCGGAAGAGAAGATCGAATCTGCATCTTTCGCAAGCCGTACCTGCACAACAGCCCTGTTGCCTGTTTTGAGCACATATTAAAATACAATTCATGCAGAGCTAATAGCTCTATATTGCGTATCGGATTGGAGAACTCACCTCGGGCCTCCAGCACTTGACCGGAGCGCTCAGTGCCGTCGGGTAATGTCAGGGACACAATCTCATTAAAACTAGGGAATTTGACCTATTTGGAACCAGCCCATGTTAGCTTGTTGTACTATTTGCGGTATCCAGCTCTCGGAGGTCTCACATTGTCCAGGACGACCAGCGGTCCGTTAATGCCTCCGATAGTGTTGTAGCGGATGCGGGGCTTGATGCTGGACATCCGGGGATCGACGAAATCGGCCATGGTGGGCGAGTCAGATCCTCCACGAGCACAGAGCGAAAGCAAATAGGCAGATGAAGGTCAAGCAAGGTGGGATGGACCGGGGGAGGTGGCTAAGCTGTCCGCTGGAGCTCGGGCGGTGACGCAGCACGTGATGAACTTGACCGTGGCCAATGGATGCCCAGGTGGAACTAGATGAGCTTATGTAATATGTAGCCACCGGGGGTGGACTGAGAGAAGTACAATTGAGCAAGATGGTTTGATTGCATACCCAAGTGTATTAAGTATAATCAGATAATCCCATCCGGCATATCCTGCTTCAGTGAGCGCTTCTTGGCCCGAAAAAAGTCTCGCTGCTAGTTGGCGCAGTAAGACCATTGGCCTGGTTTCCGAGGCATAGATATTTATCTATCACTCGTCGAAGAGCTGACGGCATAAAAGGACTGCTTTCTCCCAACTCACCTTTGACTCCATACCCTCTTCGGATGTCTTACAGTTCCTCAACAGCCACAGAAACTAAGGAGTGAAGGGAAAGAGTCTGCGATCAACGTTGCCCAGGGTGACAAATTAAAAACATTATCCTTTTGACCTGGCGGTACTAGCTAGATGATCCTTGTTGGATTGCCCCCTGACTGTACTATCTAGGGAGGAATTTGATCGACGGGTCATCCTTTTCCCTATAGCCCCGTCCAGTTCCAGCTTCAGGCCCCTACCAGGAACATTCAGAACTAACTAATCATGCATAATGCTCCTTTCCTTTCAGCACTCTCACTTAAAACTTTCAGGACTCGCAGTACTACAATCCTATGTTGCTAGATCGTGTCATGCTACGCTCAAACTCAATCATTTCCCCCAAGGCAGACATGAATAACTCGCCATCAGACTCTTTCAATGGAAGCAACGGCTTTCGAGGAGCAATACTATAGCCGTGCAATCTGTTCAACGCATACTCTGTGAAACATCAGTGACAAGCAAAGGAAAAATACTCTGGGGCCAAACTCACTCATAGCACGGATGCCACCCGGAACTGCCGCCACATCAGCCCGCGACAAAATGCCTTGTATCCTCGCGGCTTCAGCGCTCTCTTCCTCTGACGGAGAAGGCAGGCTCAGCAAGTGCCAGAGCCTCATCGAGGCAACAGGAGCAAAGTTGGGGATCCCGCTCACAGTCCCATGGCCTCCACATTTCATCCAAGGAGTGAGGTCCGCGATCAAGCCATCAAGCAAGAGAAAGGGGAATTTGCGTGTGCTGTTGATTGTCCGATCCTCCGAAATTGTCGCGCAAAGACGAACCAACTTCGCAACGCTACCTCCACACCTATCTCCAAAATCAGAAAAGCACTCTTCACGAGTTTTGAAACAGAACTCACGTGAGTTTGACACCACACAGGTTGGGGGCCTGTTTGATGATCGAGCAGATGATTTCCGAGGACATATCTTGGCCGCCCGCATTGGCAGGGAAATTGTAAAGGAGGATCGGAATCTGGAGTTGGACCAAAATGTTACTCCTGGCCTCCAGACTCGAATATATGACTTACCGGTGACCCTTCACATATGTCTACATAATATTGAATAACTTGGCTAGAATCGGCATTCAGGCTCGCAGCATAATATGCCGGGAGGATGACCATGCCCGCATCTCTGTCCTCATGTCAGCTAAGATGACTAGAGGATATCACCTGGAAGAGGAGAACTCACGCTCCCGCTTCTGCAGCGGCTTTTGAGAGCTTAATAGTCTCTCTGGTACTTGAACCCCCCCACTCCAGCAACGATTGGGGTTAACTGGAGCCCTGCGTCATCCAAGGTAGCTCGAATAAATCGAATAAGAGTTTGTCGCTCCTCAAAGTCCTATCGAGTGTCAGTGTTTGTCAGTCCCCGTACGTGAGATATCTCATACCAAATGAACAGCTTCACCCAAAGATCCGGCACACACTGGGACTATACGTTTCTTTCATTTTAGCAAAGCCCTGTATATCCCGGGTGGGGGATTGGTGGCATACCCATCCCTCTAGTGGCCAAGTCTACGACAGTGGGATTAGCTCAATTATATCAGATTCGGGAGCTGGATATCGTACTGAGAAGATGCTTCTTATAGCATTCATAATCAATTTCTTGCTCGTCGTTGAAAAAGGTCGGGGAGGGCGCATAAACTCCCGGTCGAAGCGCGCGTCTGTTCGGGGCAGCCATCATACGAGGAAATGACCTACGAGACCGAATTACTCTCACTCGAAGCCTCCGGAACAAAGTCAACATGCAATACTTTCAAATGCGCTTAAAAGAGCCATCTGGTGTATCGGCGATGTCGGGGCCCACCCGACCTGCGCCAGTTGATAAGGAGAAACGCGGGAAGTGACCGACCACCCGCGACGCGCCCTTATCTTCGTTATCACGATCGTGTGAAGATGGAGGGCGGGAATAATCTACTGGCCAGGGCCCAAGGCTTGGCCCCAAGGGTTTATATCGTGCTCTCCCTTCCGGAATTTCCCAAGCTAGCTTTGGCCAACCTCTTGGGAACATCAATACAGTCGTCAATATGGCTTACGAGGTAAGATGACCCATCCTTGTGAAGAGACTTGGTGACAAAGTTCCTAACCTGATGAATATGCAGCTAAAGAAAGAACCCGCTATCGCTGCCAGCGAAGAGCCTGTTTCCACGGGGTCTATCGAAGACAGCAATAACCATGGACTACAGCGGAGGTTGAAGGTAATCAGAGCCGCCCTTGCTGTATATCCCAAGCTAACTCTGAACAGCCTCGCCATCTGTAAGTTGAGATGGAGATAGGATCACAGCCCTTTCATTAACCAGGAGACAGTCAAATGATCGCAATCGGGGGCGTGATTGTACGTGAACTTTTGACAAAAACTTGCGAGTGTTGGGCGAAACAACTAACGCCCGCTTACCAGGGTACTGGTCTTTTTCTAGGTACTGGCAGTGACTTGCAGCATGGTGGACCGGCAGGACTGCTTCTGGGCTATTGTATCATGGCCGCTCTTCTCTACTCTGTGATGGTGAGTATCTCGGACTTTGGAATGCCATTCACCCCTACTAATACTGGATAGGTTGCACTCGGTGAAATGGCCTCCCAGTTCCCGCTTCCTGGAGGGCAATTCGCCTTGGCTGGTCGTTTCAATTCACCCGAACTTGGTTTCGCAATGGGGGTGCTATTTTGGTACAAGTGAGTGTTCGCCAATGACCCCATGACCCCTTGATGTGCATTTCCACTGACGCGCCCTAGCTACATTGGTACGGCAGACCCGTGTCAAAGAAAAAAGTTCAAGGCTAACGCAACGAAGTGGTTCTCCCCGCCGAGATATCTGCAGCCGCCGTTCTCATAAGTTATTGGACTCCGGCTGGGCAACCGGACTCTACATGCACTTCTGGAATATGCAACAACGCAATGTGGGTGGGGCTCTTGCTCATCGTTGTGGTAAGTATAGCTATGACGTTTTGCTACCAGGGAAATGAAAGGATGATCACTGACCATATAAAGTACTTGATTAACTTTGCCGGAACTCGAGTATTTGGAGAGATGGAGTTTTGGTTCTGCTCCATAAAGGTAAAATTGTTTCAAGCTCGATAAACTACCAAGCTCACAAGACAAAGGTTCTTACCATTATCGGGCTGATTATCACCGGTATAATTATTAGTGCCGGCGGAGGCCCTAACGGCGAGCCTATTGGTTTCAAGTACTGGAATGAGACCGGGGGGATTTATGCAATATGAGGGGATCGGTAAGATCGGTTCATGTCTTCCATGTTATTCAGCTAATTCATTTTCTTTAGCTGGCGCCAAGGGAAGATTCCTCGGGTTCTTCAGTGGTATGTTTCCCGATCCAACTCTCGAACTGGAACAGTGAGCTGACAATATTTGCAGTCCTCATTAATGCTGCTTTCGCCTTTATTGGTACGGAAATCACTGCCATTGCAGCTGCGGAGACCGCCAACGTAAGCTGATTGTTATCCCACTCCCTTCAAAAGTCTATTCAGCTAATAGGCCCTCGTAGCCTCGGAAAAATGTCCCCGTGGCTATCAAGAGTGTTTGGATCCGTCTTGTGCTGTGTAAGTATAAGGGAATCAACCCAATTTATGTCGCTCCCAAAACTAACAGAATGTAGTCTATCTTTGCAGCGCTTTCTTGGTAGGACATTGTTCTCGATTCCCCATGACTGCAATACTTATTCGTCCAGATCGGTCTGCTTGTATCTCCATCAGATCCTTCCCTTGATCTTGGATCAACAGCTGCTAAGAGTCCCTTTGTGATTGCGATCAAGGTAAGCGATCGTCTCATGTCTAGTTGCTTCATGTCTGACTATCGTAGAACGCGGGCATCCCTGTCCTCCCGTCAATCATCAATGCCGCTCTCTTGACAAGTGCCTGGTCAGCCGGCACCGCGGATCTCTTCGTTTCCACTCGAACCCTGTACGGCCTCGCCGCTCGAGGACACGCCCCAAAGATATTTCTGAGGACCCGAAAGGATGGCTTCCCATGGGTGTGCTGTCTATTCTGTGGTGCATTCTCTTTACTGTCCTTCATGGCTGCTTCGCACGGTGAAGCTGGGACTGTCTTCGGCTACTGTAAGTATCATCATTCAAAGCTGATGAGGAGACAGCAATCTAATCCTTGCCAGTCTCGAATATGACCGCTATTTGTGGCATGATATCCTGGGCCTGTATCCTCTGGACCTTTCTTCGGTGGCACAAGGGCCTCCAAAAGCAGGGCATCGACCGAAAGACGCTTCCATACACAGCACCTTTCCAGCCCTATCTCTCATATTGTAAGTATCCCGACGGTGGAGTGCTCGGGGGCGTCAAGTTTTGTTAACATGGTTTGTGATGTAGTCGGAATGTCAATCAGCCTCATGGTCATCATCTTCGGTGGCTTCAGCTCTTTCAGTAAGGCCCTCAGAACCTTGACCGCAGAGAATGAGCGGGATTAACCGATTTGCTTGCAGTTCATACTTTCGACGTCTCCACTTTCATCACAACCTACTTCCCTATTGTGCTATTCGCAGTTTTGTACGTGGGTTATAAGCTTTGGAATAAGTCGCACATGGTCGATTACTCAGAAATGGACTTTTCCACCGGATCCTCGATTGAGGTACCCGCCACTGTGAGTTAGAAGCTCTACTAACCCCTATACCTTCAGCAAGAGGCTGACTCTAATCGACTCAGGAGGCTCCGCAGAGTTTATGGAAGAAAATTTCAGAGCGAATCTAAGAGCACGAGGCTATCGGGGTATCACCATAATCCAATCAGATGTAGTGGTAGGAGCTTGGCATAGTTATGTCTTCTAGTTATGTCATTTTCTTTGCAATCTAATTGGGCAATGATTGTCAAACGTTCCCAAGGTTAAACGACCTAAACCTACAGGCCCCCATATTTCTCCACCAGTAAGCGGCCCCACCCTTATCAGCACGACATCAGGACACAGCAAATGTCTGATAAGAAGATAAGGAACGTAAGCTTGAAGCCACGCCGGGGGTGGCTTTTGATTTAGGAGCAGTGCCCCTGTGTATGGAGATTGTACACTCAAGATGGCTGATGAAGGACCGGCGAATGGCTTCAAGACACGCCGGATCACCCGCGCATGTCTGCAAGTGAGGAATCTCTAGCAACCTCCGAGCTTCATGCTCTTTGATTGTTGACCAAATGTAGTGTCGAGCAAGAAAACAGCGGTGCTTGCTCCCTCCCGAGGCTCCTAATGCGCCATGTAGGAGGTGCTCCAAATTGAGTCTCCGGTGCTCATTTGAGGATGAGGCGCCAGTGCCCGATATCGTCCGAAGTCCCTCAGGGTTGGCGCAACTGGTCGTTGACCTGCATCGTCGGTACGGCATCGATTAAGATTATTCTTGAGGCCTGAGCACTAACGGTGTGTAGGGTAAATCAGCACGAGTCAAAAATTCATGAGCTTGAAGCTCGTATACGAAACCCTGCAGCGCAAAATGGTCCGCTTGACATGACCGATTCCCATTTACCAATGTCAAATTTACCAACGGCCTCACCAAGTGACCGGGGCGATGCGAAATCACATATGGACGGAATTGATCTGGGTCCTCCGATCGCCACCCTCCGATCGCTCGGCGCACTTGCGAAAGATGGGCCCATGGCTTATACAAGTAGCAATAAACCCCCAAGGAAAGGTCGCGATCTATTTAACCCAGTGATACGGGGCATTTTGAATCCCGAAGATGCGCAGTACGCGATAGACATGTAAACTCTCCCTTGGGCTGGCTACTAGATTCAGGTCCTCGAGTTCTAACTTCCGTATCCAGATTTTTCACCTATTGCCATAACTCGGCTCCAGTGTTGAGCGAGAGTACCCGATATTCATGGACCAAGCCGCTTTTGCATTCTCCCATGCTAGTTCTGGCAATATGCTCAATTGGTGCACGGTTCTGGGATCGACTCCACGATGCCGTGCATTCTCGTTCCGACGAACTCGTCAGCTTACTTGACAAGGCCGTATCGAGTCTACTTCTTCGGCCAACTCCATCGGACGTGACGCTTGATTCAATCCGAGTACTTCTCCTCTATGCACAATGGATGCCATATTCAAAGGAGGAGGAGAAGAGTTGACCGCATCTGCGCCTCGGACGCTCAGAAGCCGGTACAACGAGATCAGCGCTGGTGCGGTCCTCGGACTTGCTATGCGGTATGCACTTCTGATGGGGTTGGATCGGCACGCGTTAGTCCCTTTTCTGAATTCAAGCGCAGATCCATCAGAAGAGGATTTGAACAGGCTACGTGTTTGGTATAATCTGATAACTTGCAACTTTAACCTTATGCTTACGTCCGGCCTTCCTGCTTCCACAAATCCCATCTTGTCCGCACAAGTGGCTCGGAGATTCAGCTCCCATGAGAGAGCTCAGCTACCCGGCGACCTTCGAGTGACAGGGCTTGTGGAGCTCCTTGCAATCGTCCACCGCACATGTGGAGATATTTCTGGTCGCCAAATCCACACGGAACACTTGAAGAGCTTGAATAAGGAATTAGACGAATGGGAAAGGTGAAATCGACTCCCCCCCCCCCCAAACAGCATGGTACTCTTGACTGACAGCTCTATATAAAAGGTTATGGTGGAGCCATCTACGTAAGACCCTAGATATGCATTTGAATTATCGGATGACGGCGTTAACATCTGTACAGAAGGCACTCAATCGAGCCACAACCAGCTACCATTCAATTCAGTGAGAGTGAGTTTTGCGTGAAGACCTTGGAAATTTTCCAAAATTGAGATGTTTGAGTTGTCTGACAACATCTGTAGTGGTATCGGCTTTCGTTGAATAGCGCCTCACTTACGCCGCTGCTCTCATCACAAGAACCGGACGACTCCGTCCGGGAATCTCTATTCCAGCCACTCAACGTAAGTTTGAGTGCAGCCGCCCAGATATTGATTTCCTTGTCCACCTTCGGATCGGAATATGTATGGCAAGTCGATTCGGAAATTTCGTCCACATTTCCAGCCGGTACCTTGCATGCCGATCCATTTGCAATCGAGAAGCTGTACTACGGTGTTGACTCGACATGGATCTCTCATACTTTCGCTGTCACGTTTCTCGTCATATGCTACATCAGAGGAATTATCGATGGTAAGTGATCGGCATGGTGCGAAAATTCGAATAACGTCTTTCTAATCGGATTCTGGCTCTTTAGAGAATCTCCAGATCCAAGGCAGCTCCAGCTCATCTCACAAGATTATCAGACCATCCCCTCAGTCATTACTAACAAGGCTACTGAACCTTGCCGTCGACATATTCGACAGCGTATGCCCGAGATCGACGTTCCACATCGCTCGTGATTTCCAGGGCATTGTTCACTATGCTGTATCTCTGGTACTTGACTCAGAGGAGGAGCCCGGTCAAGAAACGGAACAAATGAATGACTATGCATTTCATAATTTACTGGAGATCATGAATGATTCAGGCGTGGACTGGGCCGGCAACCTTCTCAGCGGTCCTTCGGAGTGGAATATGGACATGTTCGAGATGTGACCACTCAAAGCTTTGCAGAGATATTGGACCTGAATTGACGAATCCTTCATTCATATTAGCCATTGCTTCGATCGACCACTCATCTTCAACCTACGTAGCTTCGTCGGCCATCTGAAACGCTACGTCCTGCGCCCCAGACCATAGTACCAGCTCCCCCAGAGCATGCAAGTTCTCTCGTCCCTCGGTGATAGTCAAAAAGTGATTCGCGGCCAATGGCCCCATCTTGCTCGCAAAAGAAACTCCTCCGTAGCAGAATAGAAACTCGGTCTCTGAAAACCCCCCGGGATACAATAGGATCTGGCCTGCTGCCGGATGTGCCGTATGATTTTCGAAAGGTACGCCGAAGTTGGTTTCCCCCAGGGGAATCCACATCCCCTCTCCGCTCCACCGGACGTGAATAATCTTCTGTTTGTATGGCAGGAGGCTGCGGAAGAGCTGGACGGTTTTGGGCGCGGCGGACTCAAGCACACCGAGGAATTGATATGGACCGGCTGTGATCAGGACTGTTTCGGAAGCCATCATTGCTAGATTCTAAATGAGCAAAACAACCCAAAGCATCGCAATGGAACAATGGAAATGTTACTGCATATCGCCTTCTCAAGCTCACGATCCTCTTATCGCCTGTCGGTATCGTCGGGTGCGGTCCGATCGGCTCGATGCCGCGAGAAACGTATCGCTACAAGACATCAATTCGCGATAAGACTTATATACGACGCAATCCACACGAGGGTGTATCAAACTCGCTCCCAAAATGGCGTTAGATCATATGAAGATTCGTGTCTACGAAAACACATGCCCCCGGGGCCCAATGTCGTGGCGCCGATTCAAGAAGGCTCATTAACAATCCGCCCGATACTTGTATCTGATAGTGGCTCGTTTGGCGCCGAGGTTTCTGGGGTAGACTGGGAAAACCCAATCTCACCTGAAACTCTGGCTCAGGTACTTTAAAGTTTCCTATCTGCTGCCTGCGGTGGGCGTCTACTAACATCCGACCAGCTTCTTCCCCTGCAGGATAAATATGCAGTCATAGTGTTCAGAAAAACAGGGTTAGATAACGCACGCCACATTGCTTTTTCGCAGCAACTTGGAGAAAAATTGGAGATAAACCCTTTTTTCTACGGACGAGAGAATGACCGACTTGGCGAGCCACTGCTGTTCGATGTCGGAAAGTGAGTCGCATGTCTTCAAAGCGGTGGCCAGAACTAACAAGATCGATATTGTAGCATCCAGCGAGACGGATCATTGGTTCAGCCCAGCAGCCGAAGATGGCAACACAGTCTTGGAAACGCACTCTGGCATACGGTAAGAACAGACCACATCCCCTGGACGAAACATGCAGATTAACCCACTGGCATACAGGACTCGACATATCATCAACACCGAGCAAAATACTCTCTGCTCCTGTCGCACGGAAATCCCGTGGAAGGAGGATCGTGGACTCACTTTGCAGACACTCGTTCAGCATATGCTGACCTTCCTCAGTCCAAGAAAGATGAACTCGAGGACCTGATCGTTGAGCATGAGTGAGTGCCGAGTCTCGATTACTGTCGCAGACACTATTAACACGATGAAGCCTTTGGCATTCTCGGAAATTGGCCTCGCCCGCATTTTTCGGCAATCCTCTGCCCCATGAACTGGCAGCAAAGCCACCGGCATATCACAAACTAGTTCAGGTGGCTCCAGATGGGCGGAAGACATTGTATCTTGCTGCTCATGCCAAGCAAATTCTCGGAAAGACTTTCGAGGAGAGCCAGGCGCTGATTTGGGAGTTGATCGGGCATTGCACCCAACCTCAGGTAAGGAAACTGTTTTATATGAAGAGAGCAGGGCTAATGATTCCTGTAGTATGTGTTTAGTATGGAATGGCTGTCAGGAGGGGATATGGTGTGGTGGGATAACCGGTGAGTATCTTTACATCTTGGAAAGGGCCGATATTGACCAGCTCTTAGGCAATCGATGCATCGTGCGAATCCGTACAAGGAAGGCATGACTGCTAGAGATGTTCGCAGATCTACTGTCTTTGACGATGGCCCTTTTGCTCACGGCGTCGTAGATGAAAAGCTTACCCCCTAAATCTGATTAGACGGACCGGGTGGAACCAACAGGCCGATTGTAACCAGTCAGCGCATACCAGAGGCTTCAATACTTTCCTGTTCGAGTCTGAGAGTACACAAAGCTACTATCACTGCATATACAAAGTGTAAATACTACGTAGGATTCAGGAACGATACTAGCGGACTTTTACCATGAACTCTTTTTCTCTTGACGCACTATGTCTCCTGCTACTCGTTTAGCCGTTTTTGAGTATTTGCTCCATGAATAAACGAGATGAGTCAGAACCATCTAGTAAATGCCAAATACCAAAAGGGAAGCGGCCGTTTATCCGCCTAGGGCCTTGTAGAGCTCCTCGACATCATGACCCATCATCCACTCAAGTTCTTCAATTTGGCGCTCATAGAATCTCAGGTCACCACCCTCCTCGGCCACCATAGTAGGACCGACGGCCTCGAGATACTCATCCTTCGAGATGGCAACTGCAAGAATTAGCGAAATTGCAAAAAGCCAGCAACAATGCCCAACACTTACCATGAGCATTGACAACAGCACGTTTGGCACTCCACATAGCATGATAAGCATTGGTGCTCCCATCGCTGTTAGCATCGCCAACAGCGTAAATACCACCCACACTGGTCTCCATGTTATCCTGGACCTTGATAGACTTTCCAGCCATCTGCAAGTGCAGCTGCTTGTAAAGATTAGAGGTCTGTTCAGTGCGGGCACTGATCAAGATGCCGTTGGTATTAATAGTACTAGGCCAACCGGTCAGAGTCAGCTTGTACTGGTCATCCTTGGGCTCATTTCCCGAGGCAGTTCTTTCGATCTTGGTCACATCCACTTCGTGAATCTTGATGTTGTAGGTTTTCTTGATGACGTTCTCCCAGCCAGGCCATCTCTCCTCAGCTTCCTTCTTCGCCTCTTCGGTGGGTTTGCCGCCCACGATGATTTGAATATCTTTTGTCAGCTTGCGCATGTTGAGCGCCGCGCCAATGGCACTGGCGAGCTTGTCGGGGGTGCCCAGGATTACCATAGCTCGGTTTCTGTAATCAAAGCCATCACACCAAGGGCACCAGAACAGACCCCGGCCAAAGGCCTCTTTGAATCCAGGCTTGTCGGGCAAGACATCCGTGATTCCCGTGGCGAGGATGACTTTTCGAGCAGTAATTTTCCCACCTTGCTCATCGTAGACCCGGAAGCCTTTGGCCAGTGGCTGGACAGCGGTCACTTTGACACCGCTAGTAGCGCGCTTGGCATACTCGCTGTAGTACATATCAATCTGGCCGCGTACGGCAATACGGAATTTCAACGGGATCTCGCCTGGATAGACTTCGTTAGCGGCATCCTCGGAACGGAGATTCATGGACTAGTACCATCTTGACCCAAGACATCATGCATGTACCGAGTTTGAATATTGCGGTACTGCCCCGAGTCATACATGAGAGATGTTCGGCCGACTCGGCCCAGCGACATCGAAGCCGCCAGACCAGCAGGGCCACCGCCAACGATCACAACATCGTAATCCCACTGCTGGGGATCAAAGTTCTCGCATGATCGAGTGTCAGAGGTTCCAATTGCGACCGTGGAGATCTCACTCGCATTCAAGAAGGCTTCCTCATTGACCAGATCGGTAGATCCGACTTGCTCCCCCAGAACCTGCTGAGGAACAGTCAAGGCCGTGGCTAGTGGAAGAGCTACAAGACAAGAGCGCGCTAGCAGCGCAGTGAACCGGACCATGACTTCCCAGCCCTACTCGTATTGTGAAAAAGGTAAGAAGATGTCTAGAGAGCTTTCAGCGTCCGGGGGCCACGGCGTGCTATTTATGCCATTGGCCGCTCTCCAAACCCGCGACGCTCCTAATTCCCACCCTTTGAGCCTTTCCAGTTCGTAACACAAACCGATATTCGGGGTTTTTCCAAAAGTCATTCGTCACTGCGGGCCCAGCAGGTCCACAGATTGAGCTCTGCAAAAGGGAAAGTCTCGTTACACAGCATGGCAGCGGTTCATGGGATGTCCGGATCGGCAGACCGTGCATGCGAGTTCTCGCAGCATTATGGACATAAGGGAGGGGCCATCACTGCCAACAAAGTAATACCTCAGACGGCCCCTCCCGTAAAGCTCTCACGTCCGGCGTCAAGACTGGAGATCAACAATCCATTTCTTCTGCAGTCGAGACCCAGGCGGGCGGAAAGCGGGGGGGTTCATCCGGTGAAAGGGCTGGGGATGCGTGAAGATCGACGTCGATCTGTAGATGTGGGGCGTTCGTGTAGCTGAGATCCCATCGCTCAGCTCGCCACTGCTGTGATGACATTGACACGGCTGGTTGGAGCTGCGTTGTTTTATGCACGTAGACGTAATTGACTTTAGAGCTGTGACAGGAGACGTCGGCCCCCCCCGCATCGATGAGTGTGCAGAAACCCATGGAGATCAAAATGGGGGGTCTGGTCGATTCCCAAATATCTCTAGGATATTCCGCCACGATCAGTTGGCCTTTCATCACCGAAAAGATGGTCTAGCAGCTCGATTCATATCCCATTATTGAATTGACCAAATTCCCTGTTGGGACTTGATACTTTCCGAACACAATGCAATGCCCTACTGGCACGAACACGAAGATCTTCCCGCCACAAGGGATCGATCTCCACTTTGCAGAAAGCCGGAGCTCAGACGCATGCTTGCCCACAGGTGTTCTCTGCCGCTTTCTATGATGTTGGGGTCACCAGCTCGTTGGCAATAGCTCTGAGATGAAACAAAATTATTGAGAAGCCTCTGGTATTAAAGGCAATCGAATTTTGAATAAATTTGTACGGGGAAGAGGAGATGCTGCCTAGTCGAAAGCCATGAAATGATAGCGGAGAAAAAAAACAATGAATATCAAAACTCCAACGCCTGGAATGTAGGCCGCGGAAAGGCCCAAATATCGATGGTGCACAAAAGCAAGGAAACAAGACATAAAAAAACAAGTCTAGTAGGCCGTAGACAAAAGAAAGGTCGATCATACTGTCATACAAGCAAGATTGGACAATAGATATGGAGGCACCCTGTTCCTCTAGTAAATTGTCGGGTCGTAGAACATAGCAAGATTTGCTCAATGCGAAGCGATAAAGAAGGTGTTTGTAATCAAGCAGACGACCATGACAAGAGCGCCATAACAAGCCAAGGCCAAGCTGAGTGGACGGAGTAACGATTTGTGCCAGTGGCGGCCACTGCGTCGCAGAAGACCACTTTCTGACAAGGAACGAGCTAGAGAGCCCTCGCCGTCACCGGCATGATCGTCATCATCCGACACGTCACTGACTTCGTCGTCCTCTTTCAACAGACCACGGTGAGCGGGCGAATCGGGTGATGAGATCTTGTAGTAGAAGAGGCCAGGTAAAATGAAACTGATGCTCGTGCTCCCAGTGCTGCCGACATAGGCCAGAACCGCTTCAAGCGAAGAAACTGTCATAGCAACGATGTAGCTCAGAATAAGAATCGTAGTGGTGATAATTGAGAATCGAAGATCGCTCATGGGCTCTGGAGTACGGTTTCCGCGCGGTCCAAGCAAGGGATGCCGATTCGGAGAACCTTCGTGACCTGCGTTCTGAGACATGGGGCGCCATTTGAGAACAGCATCGACCGATGCGCGGCAAGGGTGGCATTGCAGCGGGTATGAGAAGACGACCAGCATGACAATTGCTGCGCGACCAATTGTGGCAGATACCCCAGGGGGGGTACATCCCCACAATATTTCCTCCCACGCTATTGCCAAAAGAAAGATAACCAGTAATGGCAACGAGAATATATGTGGCAGCGGCACTGCCGATACTGGCGAGGACAACACTCGTCGTGCGAAAGTGGCTGTTGTTCGCAATTTCATTCAGGATCGAGAACATCTATGAAAGTATTAGAAAGGTTGCGCCTTCTGACATCCGTCGTTGAGACTTACATTTTGATGGCAGGTGAATGCAAAAACGATCACCGGGAAGCTGCTCAAAGTTGGAATGGGACCGGCCCAATGGCCCACCCGAATGGGCCCACGGTCTTGAGTGGTATCGCCTATAACAAAGTGATAAACCACCAGGATGACGAGGTATGCCATAGAAAACAACGCCGCAACACTAGTGTACTTCAGAGAGTCTAGTCGGCGTAGGTAGGAAAGAGGGATCACAATCAACCTATCAAGGCCGTTCTGATTAGCAAGAGAGAAAGCAAAGGACCTATTTGCAGATCAACTTACATGAAAGCAGTCACCCAAAAATGACGGTCCACGAGCACGTCGTTGGCCGGGTCGCCGCCCACGAAGCCCTGGACAACGCCTGGCATGAGATCGCCGATGATAATCAAATAGCTGACCCCAACGCCAAAACACTTGATCGCAATCGCCGCGTCAAATACCACGGCGGCATTCGGGTACGTAAGTTGCGACAGAGCGAAGAACGAAGCGTTTCCTCGATCCAGATATTGTGCACACCGCGACTGGAGGTATAGACCGAAACCGGCGGTGCAGCCAGACCACAGGATGACGAAGACTCCTAACACGATCCCAAAGTGTGAGATAGCCAGTGGCATGGCCAATACGCCCGCTCCGATGACTGCAGGTACACGAACACAACCCATTAGCTATCTTGCATGTCGCGCGCGCTCAAAACGCCTGGCCCACATACTGGTATTGACTAAGTTGATCACGCTGCTGGCCCAGCTGGCTTGCCCAGCAAAACCACCCATTCGCTTTCCTCGAGAGGAATGCCTGGATAGAAGGTTCTTATCAGCATAGGTCTCAGAGAGCTTCGTGCCTAACTCACCGGCGGAGGCCCTGGGATGGCCCTGAGGCGCCCACCCCGACATGTGCCTCTTCTTCCATTGTATCGTCGCTATTAGGAGTCGATTAATTAGACGAGAGAGGCCCAGCAGCGCCACAGCCAGTGCGACAGCAACCGCGACCGCAAGGCCGTTAGATTATGCGTGGAGATATGCGGAACGGAAGAGAAATCGGCGCGGGTGGCCTCTTATCAGGCGGCCCCCTGGTCTGATCCACTTTTGACTGGTCGCCCTCTCCGCACTTTTCAGCCTTCTACGCCATGGAATCTACTCTGGAATTCTAGGCTGCTACTAGCATGGTCTTCACTATATTGTGCTGCTGACCCTGACTAACGAATCCATTACAGTTTCGATCGTCCCTCATCCGAAACTCTCAGGCTGAACGGCGCCAAGATCGGACGCCGGCCTACTAAGGCTGTCCCCTGCCCTCGTTGTGAAACTGCTTGACAATCCCAACCGCCTTTCGAAACCTCAAGAATCGTACCACTCTTGCTAGCAACTGGGGCTCTTGACCAGACTGATCTCCAATAGCCTCGCCCACATGGTCCGACTGCACCAAGGCTAGTATGACCGTCGTTACTTCTTCCGGAGTCACCCATTCATCCGCCCCATCCGTTCCCATTATTAGTTTTTTCTGGGTAATCGATCCATAAAGGGGGCTTGGTGACACTTGGCACAACTACTGCGACACGAATGCCGAGCCTCTCAAGCTTGGCGAGAGAGTGGGTCTAGCCCGTTAATCGACTGCGTCATGGCAACGTGAATAGTCGCCGCAAAAGCCTCATTCTGGACCGCAAAACTGGTGATGTGCACAATCTGCTTCAGCCCTCCATTGCGCAGGAATTGTCGAAGCTGGGCGATCGCAAGCTGTGTGGTGCAGATTGGATGTGTAATGCTGAGATCGAGGAGCACATACCGACCACCAGCTGACGAGTCTTTGCTTGGCAGGGACCCAGGAGGGCGCCAGAAGTTGCTCCGATGCGGTCTTGTAATATCCTGTTAGTGAAGAATTCTTGCACCTTTTGCGTGTAGAGGAAGGCAGCCAGTGGTGGTCTATTCGGCTTTCTTATACATACCTGTTCGTAGACAAGTCCAGACTACCACTTTTAAGAGGCGGTGGCTTCCGCCATCGCCAAAGAAATTTCTTATTGATGAGACAGGAAAGGCTGCCATTGCCTACCGCTTTGGCGGCGCAAGGGGGCTTCTTTACGATCTGGGGAGCTAATTGTTCAGGTAATAAAAGCATTCATGGTCACAAAGTCTGATCTTTCTTCATTGTGGCAAGAACATTTGTCAAAGATAAGATTCTGTCTCTATAGTTGGCGAGCTGAACAGAGGGATCAACACATGCGCCGGTAATGAGCCCACCTATTCTTTTCATGGATCATCAACGAGCAAACCTTCTGCAGGCCAGCCAGGTCTGCGAAACGCTTTCAGCTCCAATTTCATGTCTTTCAAAGGCCCCCAGTCCAGACTCGGTCGACGCTCAGTCATAAAACAACAACGTATCATCTTCGCGGGCAGACGTAGGTATGAAAACCCTCTGAGTCGAGGGCACTGTATGTCGTTGAGTAATTCATGCTCCACGGGTCCACCATAATAGTCAGGCTTCACCATAATTACCGTACTATCGAGAGCAGATTGTGGATCGATCCAGATTTGGGCTTCTGGCGGAGGGTAGTCCGTCATTGCGCTCTTGAAAACGACGTTCCAAATGTCCATGATCGTGCCTGTACCACGAATTTCGTTGACCTCGTCCCACGGCTTGAACAGGAAATCGATATTTCTGGCGGCAATGACATAGAATCGCTCCCCCTCGGGATTTGAGCGAGCAAGATAAGCGTCTTCGAGATAACTTAGTGAGGTGCTCACTATCTCGTCCCTAAGCCAATGCTTCTCTTCCTCGGTCAATTTATTCGCAAGGGAGAATACTTCCAAAGCACCTGGCTCACAGTGATTAATCTGTAAGATGGGGTACCAGATTGTCTCTCTCGGCTTCTGTACCCCTTCCTTCAGATCAATGAAAGGAGGGTATCTACTACTCGGACGTCGGCCAGGCTTGCTGACGACAACTCGGCCTAGATCTGTCATGGACCTGCAGATGCTATGTAGTGATAGCTCGGCGACGAAAGCGAGATTGCCCCTGGAACCAAAATGGGTTATAGCACTAAAGCATTCTCCCTCGATGTCCTCAGTGGGTCGCGGCAAAAGCAACAGGGGAAGCGTGGGGGTATTTGACAGATCGACACCGAATTGAGGATCCCAAACGTTGCACGTCTCCCAGAAGGCCGCAAAATCTCGCCGCGACCGACAGCGATGTTGCTCGAGTGGAATCACCTCCGCCGTAAACTTGAATGGAACATCTTCATCAAACATTAGGCGTAGTTCCATGTCGTAATCCACACTCTCATTTACTCTATTTGGGTAGAGGGTTGGCAAGACACGAGAAACGGCTGCCTGGGTTTCCTCTACCTCTTTCGCGGAGGCACTATAGCAGAGCAGAATGATCAGATTGGTTCGGCTGGGACGGCGTTTCCATAACTGCGCTCGCCCAGGCGCAGTTCTGATATCAGAAATGACCATATGCACTAGCTCCGGAGGAAGGCGGCCACAGAGGCTGGCATTCACGGCAGCCAGGTATTTTTCCCAACCGAGGACAACTTCGGTATTCTCGAAAGGGGGCCGATCAATGTCATGCAGCATCATACCCTTCTCTCGCGGAATGTCTTCTATAAAATTATGCTCCCACAAAGGCCCGTATGGGGAACCATAGATGCGGTCCCACAAAAGGGCATAAGGAGAGTGATGCACTGAGTCCCGGCCGTAGGGATCATCATTATGTGACAAAACTGGAATGTTATATTGGAATGATCCGTGTTCATCCGAGACGGTGCGTCTTGCAAAAACAGATAGGCTACGCGGAGAGCTTGGATGCTGTCGAGTCGTAATGACAATGACTGGGATTGGAATGAATAGATAATCCTCATCTTCATGGTCTTTGTCGGTATGAGAGACACTCAGCTGAGTATTTTCAGCTGCTAATTTGTCGATGACAATGATATCTGGTCGGCCACATCGATATGCGAGGACGGCCAGAGCATGAAGGACCGACCATTTATCGCTCTCTTTTGTAATAGAATTGAGCAGACGGTGGGATGGTGACCACATCTCAAACTCATATTTAAACTTCTGGAGGTCCTCGTACGTAGACATCCGATGCCCATCGTAAGTCCTCCGCAGGATCTCTCGTAAAATCCGCACGAGTGTTGTTCTCCCAGGCTCGGATAGCTCGGCCAAAAAGACGAGGGGCAACACCTTGGTGTCGCTGTTGGGGAACTCCTGCCCCATTGTGCGAGGAAAGAGGTCCGTATATCCGCAGGCAGGATATAGGGTCGATAGCCCTGAGGCTTCAGACAAGAGGAGAGCACAACGGACCCTGTTTAGAAATAGCTACCTATTGGATTTACAAGGACCCATCGCTTTTTAGGGACACCCCGCTTTGCTGACCATAGCTCCACCTACCTAAAGCGGTAGAGCAGATACAGCGTTGAAACTACTAGTATACTCAAGCCTTGATATGCCAGGGATTTCAACTGCAGCTGCTCGTCGGAGCAAAGCTAACCGCTACAACCTTTGATGTCGGGTTCCATAGCCGCAAAGGTTGGAATGGCGTGGTTGATCACCAATGTCAGACGCATTATTGCATGGCACATACCACCGGGCATCTGGATCCCGAGGCTTTTCAGTTGGACAGATATTAAATTTACTGTATATTTAGTCTTTGAAGCATGCAATGGTCAAATAAGCTTTGCATGAAGAAAGAATATCACAACAAACCCGAGTTTGAAAGAGCTACACATGGATCAAAGAAAAAGGAATGAATCCCATGCAAGTTCTGCAACGCATAGCTTGCATAGCTTGGACAGAGCCCACCTATGCTGCATTAAGACAATATTCGGAGGGCAATCCAAGTCAGTGTCACCGCGAGCCCAAGCTTAGTTGTTGTTCTGGTTGTTCAGAATGCGCAGGATAGACAAAAACAGGTTGAGCACATCCAGGTAAAGCGAAATGGACGCAGCAATCTCCTCCTCGACATGGTAGTGACGCATGACCATCTGAGTGTCCACGAGAATGTATCCCGAGAAAACGAGTGCGCCAACAACACCATAGACCATTTCCAGACCGCTGTTGAAGGGGAGAAACATGGCCACGAAGCCGAACAGGATCATAAACCAAAGCGCGCCTGCCAGGTACGGCATCCAGTTGGTAAAATCATACTTTGTCTGGCACGCGAACAGGGTCAGCGCCACGAAAATGCCCAAAGTGAGGACAAGCGCTTGCACGACGACTCGGCTATCGTAGAACGAGGTGACCACGCTGATCGAATAGGCTTCGAGAAGGGTGAAGGCGGAAAGGAAAAGCAAGTTGGCGGGGTAGGACTTGCGCTTCCAGAAAGTCGCAAGCATGAACCCCAGGGCGCCAAAGACTGAGAGAATCAGCAGCCATGGGTTACCCTTGATCCAGTCGCGGTAGGAAGTGCTGAAAAAGGAGACAGAGCTCATGATAGTCGTCAGGAGGATTTGCGCAGTCCTACGACACGTAGATTGTTAGCTATTTTCTCTCTATAGTCTAACATGACCGGGGGCTTCTTGGGAGGTCGTTGACTTACAGGATCGAATAAACCTTGCGAACGAACTGCATGCGGATGTCGATGGTCGCTTCTGCGACCTTACCACCAAACTATATCACCTGTTGTTAGCTCACGCTTCTCGTTGGCTAATCTGAGCAACATACCCTGAAGTCATCGGGAAGGTTGTCGTACTCGGTACGTGGTGCAGATTCAGCAGTAGCCTGGTAAGACGGGGGAGCTTGGGTGTATTGATGGTCCTCGAAGGAGTCCCGTTGCGGAGCAGGCTCATATCGGGTATTGGCTGCCATTTTGTATAGCTCTCGCTCAACCACCCTTCTAAATCTCAGTTCGACAGGTGACTTGAAAGATGAAGGATCTAAGCGGATGCCTTGAGGGGCGCAGCTAGCCAGGTGACGCTATAGTCACGTGGTCTTATCTGGGCCGTTGAGCCGATAAGAGTGGATTTGGAGATTTACAACGCGGGGGAGATGTAGGGGATCTTATCGTTCGTATGAAGGGAAAGCGACTGCAAGAATACACAAATCAATTCAGAATAGAGCGAAATCTCATCTTCCCAGGAAATAATTCTGTCTCTAAAGTCTGTATGCAACAACCGAACATCGCACATATAGTATGAATCACGATTCGACCCGTTTCTTCTAGTTTCCAAGCCCTCGATTTGGCACTTTCTGTGCTAGATAACAGCTGGGCAGGAAATAGCTACGGAGGGCTCGAAGTGCAGTTGTCAGAGCCACTGATGAACGTCCCATCGGAGTCCTCACAACCGCATTCTCCAGTGTTTGGGTCTTTGATACACTTAATAGCTAAAGAGGGGTCAAAATAGCTAAAGGCGTGTCAAAATAGCCAAGGGGGTCGATATAACATGGCCCTATATGAAAGACCTTCAATCTGCAGTGCCCAACTGATTTGCGCTGCCTCGGTACGGATGCTGGGCATCGCAGCCCTGTGCGTAGCTACTTCAGCAACACAAGGAGGCAGCGGTAAGATATTCGCGAGCAACGCTAAGGTTCTTTTTATCGGTTTCGACGATGGATTGGATAACCTCGTCTAGGGATTTTGTAGTATCAACCCACCAGAGACCTTTAAGTCGAGTCGAGCCTTCTAATGCACGGCGGTAAAGGGCATAACGCAGGGGAAACACGCACTCTAGGGCTGCCGTTACCGTGCATTACCATTGTTAGAATAGTATCCAATAGATCATCATTACTTCACCCAGCTACGGCTACAGCTGTGATTGTACAAAAGCCCCATCAGCGCTCCATCCAAATATAGCAAACCACAATTCAATGTTCAGTTACAGATAGGCTACGATTAGACGTCGGATAGAAGCTTCAACGTCAAGACAAAGCCCTCAAGGCAGAATAGATTAGTTGGATTGTATACGTTCTCTTTGTGGGGGGATATTTGGAGACTCGGAGAAGGTTCTGGTTGGAAACTGGCGTGTTCTTTGCGTTTATTTCTACGTGTTTGATACTCCCATTCTTATTAGGAGAAAATTTCCACAGTGGCCAGCAAATACACTTCGAAAGCGCAACAGAAGAAATGAGAGGTGAAGCATAATCCTCTTTTATTATGTTTGCCAGTAGCAAAGTAAATGCAAGTCTATTTATTCCACAATCCGCTGCATCGGCGAGCGTCCCGCTTCAGCCCGTGCATCCTCGCCCCCATTAACCGTCAGCCCCAGATCCTCATCTGTTGATACCTCCACAGCATCATCGTCCTCGTCCGAGGAATCCTCTGAGCTATCACGACGTCCTTCGTCCAATCGGTCAGACCTGTGAGAATACGATCTCGGCAAGCGCCGCCTCTCAAAGTCCTGCGCGTGGGCCTCCGCAAAGATCGCCCCGACGCGAGCCACACTGGCAGAGGGCCGTCGGTTCCTGTGCCGCAGACTAGGCGTGGATGGAGCGGCTTGCTCGGGATCGTCCGGTGCGATAAACGGCGTTTGTTGTTCCTGGAGCATCACGTCGTCTTCGCCAGGCCCGTCGAGGCCCGGTGTTGCGGGACGGATGTCGTAGGGCAGGGGCACGTCCCGTGAAGCACGGAACAGGGTCACGTTTGTGCAGTGCTCGTTTTCGACACGGAAGATGGTCCAGATGCCGCGGCGAGAGACTTCGGTCAAGCCCACAATGAAGCTAAGGATGGCGGAGTGTTGGATGTCGTGAACGAAGATCGCGTAGAAGATCCAGTTGAATCGAATGACGACGTTGATAACCATGGCGACGTAGTAGACCCAGGCTCTCCGGAAGGCTAAGTTTTCGCGAAGAAAAGGGTGTGCGGCGAAGGCGTTGCCCAGACTCCAGTCCATTATCAGGTCCCAGACTGATGTGTATACCGCGTTCAGAAGTGCGAATGTGATGAAAACTGCCTGGAAACGGGGGTGTCGATCGATACGGTACATGCTGAGCGTGGCGTAGTACAAGACTCCAAATATGTACTTCCCCAAATTCAGCAGATGGGGGAAGGCGTTCCGGGTGTCAACATAACGGCGAATACATTGAAAGGCTCGGAGCACCGAGGGGAAACAGGTGAAGAACCCGAGAAGCCGAGAATGGGATGAGTTACAATGGCTCGGCTGGTTCCACATTGAGGCGTAGAGGCAAAAGAACAGTGCAATGTTCTGATACAGGTTAGTCAAATGTCAATCTAAGAAAGTTGGGCAGAACTCACCCCCATAGCGTATGTTTGGGAACAATACATGTCGCCCAGAAAGAAGTCCCGGAATTCAACCGGATACAGGCCGGCAAGTAAAAGACGCCACTATATTTGTTAGAGAGGGGCTCCAACCCAGGAACACAAATGACTTACATTCGACACGCCAAACCACTTTCGAGTCCGGTGGTACAGAACCGGATATGGGAAGCAAAGAATTATGAGTGTGGCACCCATGAGAACCACAGGCCAATATATATACATGGCGTTGAACCAAGAGAAATTAAGCCACATGAAGAGACCGAGAAGAAACATGAAGAATGAAGTTACCTATGGATTGATTAGACAATTGAAGTTTAGGGAAACACTTCAATAGGTGAAAAAGACACACCTCTAGCAACTGGCGCCACTCGAGAGCGTGCCTGGTATCATATTCAAAAACAAATGCATAATTGATCTTTGACTTCGTCCAGATCATGGAATCCAAACTGAATAGGAAGACGTGGTAGACGATTAGAAAATAGCCACCGTAGATCTGTCGGAGGTTAGCAAAAGCAGTCCCACAAAACCCTTGCAAGGAAGCTCACCTGTAGGAGGTAGCTTGTTTGGGTCTTTTTCCACGCCTCCGCCGAATGTAAATGCTGGTTGGCATACACAAGCGCCTGGATAGCGAAGAGTATACCTGCCATCATGAACAACCCCGCCAGGAAAGTATTCCCAGAGAAGTCACCCGAGGTTTTTGTCGAATGACGAAGCTTGGAGAGGGCAATCTTCCGGTTGTTACGCGCGAAGTACCGGGTGTACAGATCCTCCACAGCCACCATCAACTTTTCAATCTCGCCACTTTTGACAAAATCCGCTTTGTCGACTCTCTCTTCCATGAATCGCATCATCGGCCGAGCATTCACAGCCTTGTCATATTTTTTGTTCATTTTGCGGAAGGCTTGGCGGTTCAGCACGGCGTAGTCCTTCAGCAGTTCCATCCCTCGATGGAGCTCCTGCAAGGCATATTTTAGTTTATGCTTGGCGGTCCGATATGACACATCATTGGCAAGGGGTTGCTCATGACGAGAAAAATCACGCCGCCCATTGACACCTTGATCTTGTGCAGGCATCCTCGGTGTGGCCATCTCCGTCAAAGCCCGTGTGTTCTTACCGAAACGGTACTTCCCGGTGATGGTGTTTTTGAGACGAGATCCGTTGAGCTTCCCCAGCCCAGAATTCTGGTGCGCGAGTTCAGCGGCATCTTTTTTCGCCGTGCGCCCGTGTTCCATGACCTCCAGAACCCGCTGGTCTCGCATGATGTGCAGCTGGTCGCGCAAGATCTTTAATCGTTCCGTCGCCTCCTTTTCCTTCTTCAGATAGAAGTCGTTGATCTTCTCCAGCTCCGATTCCATGAATTCGAAGAACTCATCTTGGCGCTTATCCACCTCATTGGCCGGGTTGGCGGATGTCCTTTTTGGCGCCGACTCGCTGTCAGTCAGTGAGCGTAGAGTTTTGAGGATCTTCGAGTGAGACTTCGTCAGTTCTGCACCTGGCAGGTTCTGCAGACTACTGAAGGATGGCTTGCGAGGCAGGGAAGAATTAGGTCTATCTGCTGGGCTGTCGCCTGCATTCTGATTCGACGGAGTTGCCACGGTAGCGCGCCGTTCCAATGCAGGAGAAGGCAATGAAACCCGCTTACGGCGGGGGCTCGTCTCTCTGCCCGGGGACGTTAACCCTCCCTCGGGATCCAGCGCAGGATCCGGCAGCTCAAAGGACGCCCTATCCGAACCGTGCATAGGTGGCGTCGCGATAATACTACCATAACTGACGAGTGTGTCCGAGGGCCGCAATCCGGGCGTCCGTAGTGGCTGTCGCTCAGCCCTTGGGCTTGTTGCTGGGTTCCGGAGGGAGTCCGAGCCATAGTCGGCTGAGTTCAAAACCGTCGAATCATCTTGATCCGCTTCATTGAATCGTCGGCCCGATGTGGAGGGAGTGAAAGGTGGCCGAGCCGCGCTACGGGGTGTGGACTGTCGAAAAGACGGAGCGTGAGGGCTTCGGCTTGATTTTTGGATGGCTCGCTTGATTGCTTTGATCTTCTTCTTGCCGGCCTAGAAACATGTGAGCGGACGAGATCTGTGAAACACTGAGCTGCGGGGAGATATTCAATTTACCTTGTAGTCGAGATACTTGGCCCTCCATTCGGGAACGAGATCACGCTCCAAATCTCTTTCGGGCCATTCGTGTCAGTCATTGGAATGTCCCTGTCGGGGTCGCCGAGAAGGTTACTCACTTTGCGAACTTCATCCTCCGCACACGTCCCTCATCGCATGTCTCAGGGGTTGGAATTGTGCGCAATCTAGGAGGGAAATACTGTGAAAAGAACCCGAGAAGAGGGGTAGATGAGACCGAGATGGAATCGAAGAACCAACCCAGTAGAAAAAGGTTAAAGATTCCAGCGTGCGCCTGTGGCGTAATGGCGGTAACAATTGGGCACAGATGAGCTCCGATAAGCATTGGCACCAAGAAAAAAGCAAGCAGATCCCCTGAATCCCTCAGCGAAGATCCGGGAACTGGATTCATAGCATTTCATGCATGGAATTTCACCTCTCTTGATTTGTCTTCGTCTACTTTTCCATTCTCTAGATCTACAACATGCACATCGCGACAATCAGGGAGCTCTACACGGGCACGTGCTGCGACGCGATGAAATCATTAGCCGTTAGATTCCACGTTCCTCAGGCATACATGAAATAGCTCGACCGTGATTGGCCAGCGGCCTCTCTAGCTCTCCCTGGCAGTTGGCCCACCGTCAACCAAATTCCATGAGCGGCGGGAGCCCTCGTTCCAGTGGGTTACCGGAGCTTAAGCTATGAATTTGTGCGCTGCAGCTCGTGGGCACCTCAATTGACTTGGGAATTGCCCCGCTAAACCTCCTTAGCCGCGTCAGTGCTGGACTACGCATGGTGAGGCATTCAGAAGCTCTCCTCTGTCTACTATTACGAAAAGGATCAGCTATGCGCGGAATGCTTGACCCGGAATGTGCTCGGGGACTTCTACGGCTGGTATGGGGGAGAAGCTCTCAGCCCGTTGATTTTGCACGAGCTAGGGGGGATTGGGTTGGAGATAATCTCCTTGGTACATTGGCGTACAAGGCAGGGTTGCGCTTATCCACTTGACTACGCAGAACTTTTTGCAAGAGACAAGGTCCCAATGCCTATCAGAGCTATGCAGCTATGAAGCTACCCTGGAAATGGGAAGCTAGGAAATGCGCGAAGTCACCGACTCCAAAAGAGCGGGCTTTGCTGTGGAGCCAGCCATGGAAGATGGAAAAAAACAAAAGAAAGGGAATTTCAGCAATCCTCAGTATGTCATTGCTTGTCGTTATGTACAGCTATGCGCTTGCAAAACGACTCGGGATATCTCGTATAGAAAGGTCATGTATTCATCCAGGCCCGACCAGTCCGCATTTACCAGCGGCCGGGGCGCTCGTAGCTCTCGTGGGGTGCATAGTTGGGGTTCCATTCCTCCTGAGCACCGTGGCCACGGACGTAGTGCTCATCGTACATGTGCTCGGCGTTCTTCTTCGCGTGCTCGCGGGCGCGGATTTTGTCGACCTCGTCCATGCCCTTGGTCTCAGCGAGTTTGTCAATCTCGGCGCCGACAAAGCCGAGGAGGGCCTCCTTAGCGAAGGCGTGCTTGACAACCTTGCCTATCAAGAGCAGATGCATGATTAGAATGTTTCTGATAAGGAAATCGTCATGATATTTGACTTACCTTCTTTGCGCTGGTGATCCTCCCAGGCCTTCATGCCAGCAAAGGAAGCGGCACCGGCAATGAGCTCATGAGAGAACTTAGCCTCGTGCGCCTGCTGGCCGTACACCTGACGGTGAGCCTCATCGGATTCTTCTGTTTGTATGTTAGCTTAAGCTCATGCCCAGAGGTGCTGTCGGAAGGACAGGAATGTGATAGGCATGTGAAATGACATGCGGGGGTGAACAAGTGCTCAGGCTTATTGTAGCCCGTGTAAAAGGAAAGGAAAGAGGACTTACCCCAGCCCCAAGCCATTGTGAATTGATTGTATGGATATGTGGTAGTTGCTAGACTGATAGAGAGTGTGTGTGTGTGGATGGAAGAGAAGAAATAACAGGGGGAAAGTGAGGGGCTCTTATACCCCACGACACAAGCTGACAGAAACCTCCTGAAACCTACGAGTTTGCGTTTCGGGTCGCGAGATTTACCACATAGGCGCCGCTACTCCATTGCACTTTGGTCTCAGCTGGCGCTGCCCCACTCCGACATCGTGGCTGAGGCGGCTTCAAATGTGGACTATATTGGGAGAGATGGAGCCGCGGCCCCTCTCAAATACGGTTTTCTCATTGGGACTATCTTTCCCTCCGCCCCGTTGTCCTGTGGATTTACAGCCTCCATGGCCATGTTCCGTCCACGCACTAGGAAGCCCCGGGATTTTGGAGGGGTAATGGGGGGGCTATCTCGATCCAGTGAGATTTCAGACAAGCGTCCGTGGCCGCGGTCCTATCGGAGTTTCAATTGAATAGTCCATGCCAAGACATGGACTGCCTATCACGATCTCCCATGCAGCGGTCACTCAAAGTCCCATGTCACGTACTGCAATCTACCCAATAGTCGACAGCAGGCGACATTGGCCTCTTAAAATAGCATCATATACGCATAAACAGGACAAATGGCGAACAATACGTTCAAACATGCAGGTAGTTTCGTGCGATATCGCCAAGATCCCATAACCAAAAGTGAAGGGGAGGTACGAGTACGTGTCCACTGGACCAAACGCTGAAACGCTGATCAGGAGGGGCATGGGGTCCATTCAGCCCTACTTGGGCACTTTGTGAGTGGCTGTCGGCTTGGAACTTTACGAAATCGGAATACCAGTACCACAGGACCGACTCGTGCTTCTCCGGCCAAGCCTCTTGTCCGAGGCTTGACCCTTCGCCTTACAAGGTGAGGACTTGGCAGCGCCACAAGGCCCAGTTGCTATACATGCTACGTATTTCCGTACTGGGGTGCTCGGTTACACATCTGAAAAACAGCTCTGGAGCCTAGATTGTGACATCGATTCTTCATAGGCCGGGCATAGCGGAACCCCTGTTTCTATTTTCTGTTTGTTTTGGAGACTCGTCCATGGTTCCGTTACGTGCTTGCACCGCCCCATGTGGCGCAGACCAGCATCCGCTCTTGCCGGTGCTCTCAAGTGCCCCCCAGTGACTCTGGAAGTAGTTCCCTAGGTGACTGTGTTTTGTAACTTGACCCCCTTTGCGCTAGCATAATTAAACTGCTTATTGTAGTAGTAATTGGATGCTGTACGAAGAATAATCAACTGTAGATAATAATTGTTAGTACATTCGATCCATGTCCCCGTTCTATATCCGAAGACATGGCCGTCAGCGGTGCTATTCACTCCTTGGTAATAAGTTACAGGGTCGAAGGTCACATAAACCACCTGAAAAGAGCAAGTAGTCGATCACCAAGAAAAGATGCCCTGCATGATTTCATCAAGGTCCATTCGACTCCCCATGACATGAGACCAAACAATTGCTCTTCAGGTCGTCAGACGGCCGTCCACTCCGAGAAGTCTTGGCGGCGGGGACCGCCAGGCAACGACGATACCGCTGTAAACGCTTGCAACCAATACAGCCCCGCACAATTCCCCGATTGATCGGAATCAGACCACCGGGGACTGCTAAGGTCTCAGTCAGCCACAGGCGTATAAAGGAAAACGCAATACGGAGTACAGCTCAGCCACTCGTCCAGCCACACCCTTCCAGAATCCAATTGGAGCCGCGTTTAGCTTTCCAAAGCTCCGAGCTCTGCAGCCACGCCGAGAAGCCCAATTCCCGACTCCCAATAGCTTGTTTCTTCTACCAGCTTCGACGCTCATTACCTGAACAATCCCACTCGTACCGCTACAGGCACTTTTCTGAGGCAGAATGCCGACCAAAACCCCCACCCAAGCCGACTTCCCGTCGACCGTCACCGCAATCATCACCACCCCCCCACAAGCCCGCAGCGGCCCCGCCCCAAACATCCTCCTCCTCCTGCATGGCCTCGGCGACAGCGCCACCGGCTTCTCAGCCTTCGGCCGCGCGCTGAACCTCCCCGAGACAACCGTCGTCACGATCCAAGGCCCCGCCCCGGTCCCCTTCGACCTGGGGGGCTTCCACTGGGGCGACGACGTGAGCTTCGACTCCTCGACAGGCGGCCTGGACATGGACGCGGGCTTTAACAAGAGCACGCGGCTCCTGCGCGAGGTGATCCGCGACGTCCTGATGACGAAATGCGGGTACCGGGCACGCGAGATCCTCGTCCTGGGGTTTGGCCAGGGCGGGATGGCGGGGTTGATGATCGGGCGGGAGTTCGGAGGAGGAAGCGAGGCCGAGGCGTTGGCGGGGGTGGTGTCTATCGGGGCAGCGTTCCCGCTGTCGGGGAGCGCAGCAGGGGCGAAGAGTAGGGCGCCTGTTCTGCTTCTTGCGGGGCGGGACTCGGTGGTTGTTTCTGATTCGGCGGTGAAGAGGACAAAGGGGGTTTTCGAGTTTGTGGAGGTTAGTCGGTATGCCCGGAAGGGGGATACGATGCCTTCGTGTCGGGAGGAGGTTGTGCCGCTGATGCAATTCTTTGCGAGGCGGTTGAGGAGTAGGCAGGGTGTGCCGGAGGGGAGTATTGAGCTTTCATGAGGGTGTGCTGGAAATGGATGGATCGAGGGTCGCATGTAAGATAAGAGTATACGAATTTATGATACCCGGGGTTGATGTACGCCGATACTAGTTAGGTAGGGAACCTGGGAAGTCAATGCCCTCAAAGGGTGGCTCGATGCGTAGTATCTCTATGCTATATTACAGACATGCATATTTATACAGCTGTCTCGTCCGCACGTGGCGAACGCTCTCTGATGCTGTTTACAGAGAAAGGACGAGCTCCTTCAGCTTCTGGAAGTTGGGTGTACCAAGGCCAGTGACGGGGTCCCAGCCCACAGTCGCGTTCCAGTGTGCTCCCGGGATGACCAGGGCACCAGGAACCTCCTGGTCGCTCTGAGGGTCAATGCCGCCGCAGCCGTAGGAGCCGCCCTCGACAATGTCGTTCAGAGCCTTGTAGCCAAGAGAGTACAGGAAAGGGTTGAGGTAGCCCAAGACAGGCTTGCCAGCGCGCAGACGAGCATCATTCAGAAGACCAATGATACCGGCAACAGTAGGCGCAGCGGCGGAAGTACCACCGGACCCAGCCTTCTTGCCGACGTAGATAACCTCGTAGCTGGGGGAGTTGTTATTATACAGTATTTGATCAATAGGGGATAGCAAACTTACGCGGGGTACAAGCTGTGGGCGGAGACATCAGGGAATCCACGGCCACCGAAATCGGTATACTTCCCGTAGTATTCCTTGGTCTCGGTGCTGATACCAGCGAGGTAGGCGGGGATAGCACCCTCCTGGAACCAGGCACGAGGGAAGATACTAGAGAAACCACCAGACGAGGCATTCCACGCAACTTCAGGGCTGACAGCGGAGGTACCACCAACGGCAGTGACGTAGGGGCAAGTGGCTGGGAAGATGGGGTTGAACTGAGGGGTCTTGCCATCGCGAGACTGACAGGCTGATCCGACGCCTACAATGGATTGTTAGACTGGGAATTTGGCGAGGGTGGATGAAAAGCATACCCTCGTCACCAGAAGAGTGGATGATAGTACGCCCACGGACAGTGTTCAGACCAATCAAGTTACAAACAAGCTTAGCGTACTTGATGGGAACGGTCTGGGATGATCAGCGTGGGTTCCTAAACGGGGTCGTAAAATAGTCCTACCTGCTCGTCATCACCGTAAGAGTTGGAGATGACCTGGGGGATCTCGGCGTTCGTCTTGGAGAGCAAGTAAGAGTAGTAAGGAAGATAAGGCTCATTCTCATCATCTGCTTGTGTGGGCTCATCGGCATTGGGGATAAAGGGACTGTTCATAGTTAGCGATAGGGGAATTTTTTTTTTCTGGGGTCTTCAAAATTTGATCACATACGCAACACCACCAACGACGAATTCGTGGATAGGAAGCGGGTGCGAAACTCCGAGAATGAGCTGCACGTCCAGGTCGGCCTCCGTAAGATCTGACTCAGGAGCGTTCTGGTTGTCCACGCCTCCAAACAGAGTCTCAACTGTAAAGCTTTGCTCGGGGATGTTGAACAAAGCAGCAAACTCCTTGAGGTCAGACTGCGAAGCAGACTGGTTCAGGAAACTGCCAAAAGCAATACGGCTGCCGGCCTCCACCTTGGGGGTGTAGTTGCCCACGTTGTACATCTCCTTCACACACTGGGGAGTGATGGCCGAGGCACACGCAGGCGAGACGCCGGTGTTGGAAGCCCTGCGAATCTGCTTGGTCTTAGCGACCTTGGGCACAGCACCACGGGACTTGCCGAAGTAGACGGTGGGGGAGATCAGGTCAATGTGATCAGCCAGATCATCCGGAATGGAGTACTGGGTAGTGCGCAGCTTCACGGAGTCGCCGTTCTGGTAGTAGGCGAACTGGGTGTCCAGCAGTTTGTTGACCTTCTCCACGCTGCCGGTGAAGTTCAGCAGGGCACCATCGCGGGCGAAGCTCGTGATTCCAGCCTCCTTCAACCAACTCACAACGGGAGCGTCGTCGACAACGGGGAATTGAGAATCCACATCATCCTTATCAAGCCATTGACCGTACTTGGGATGGCCAGGAGTCGACACCTCACGCAAGACGGTCTCCAATTGGTCGAGGTTCTTCCGGCTCAAGGCAATGGAAAGCCCAATGGACGAGTCGCCCGACGGAGTGTTGACATGAGACCAGGTCGCAGGGACGCCCGCAGGCAGACTCTCCCAGACCGCACCCAGTGCCGGGGCAGCTAAGGCGCAAAGGAGCCCAGTGTATACAGTCGCGTGCATGATGGCCTACAGGAACCTTGCCAGAGCTCCTTGAGTGGGAAAACACGGGGGAAGAATAACAAAAAGGCAAGAGGCAGGGATCGGCAGGACTACTTATTTCCCTCGTGCCCCTTGCAATGCATCTTCGCCTCCGGAGATCCGTCGTGAACTACGGGTAAACTTTTAATTAGGTCCCGCTCAGACTGTCCAGCGAGGCACGCTAGTCTCCTATCGCGAGATACATACAGTGGCGGATCCTCTTTTCCTCGAGTCAGAGACCACGGACAGGGCGCAGGTTACATCCTGTGGGGAGATCGTTATCAGCTACTCCGTACGTGATTGACGTACGCGTGTGGGGCGAGATTGCGTTCATCAGGGGTAAAGTCTCTCGGTCCAGGCCGATAGACATTGAAGCCAATTGTGATGCGGACCTTTTTCTGGGAAGTTTCTAGTATAGAATTTGGTCGAGGCCATCCGAGCTTCAACAATACTCAGCATCGCATCTGAGCTTGAGCGGGTACACAGGATATTCTTGAAGAATGTGGCTTGGGTGGCCCCCCCCGGAGTCCGCCGGGCTGTTGGCGATTGGGCTGCAAAGCTTATCCGTTCTAAGCTTCCGTCGATTGAACGCGTCTCCTCGGCGATTCTGTGTTGGGGCCAATGGAGACAACGAGATTGTAATTTCCCCCAGAGCCATGAAGAGATTGCTTTGCTTAAATGCCGCGAATCGGAGTAAAGCACGTTTTTTCAGAGGGGTCGCCTTGTGTGGGGAGAGCGGGCCACCCTGTCTTCAATCCAATGCACTGACCATGACGAACAGAGCTGCCCCAATCTCAATAGGTTTTTTTTTTTTTGGTAACCATGTGATATATGCCTTTTTCACGTTTCAGAGGCTACGAAGTTGGATCCAATATATTGTATTATGACATACATATTCGGCAACCCTGGAACTAAGCGTGTGCAGCTGAGCCAGCTGTGTAGCAGGAAACCCATAGTATATGCGGTTAATTACAACTTAGTATGGCGACGATGAATTGATCAGAGAACTTTTCCTCGGGCATAATGCTATCCACACCATTCCTACCTGCTTGAAGGTGTTTAAGGATTATCATACATTGCGTAAGGACTCATTACCGAAGATAAATGGATTGTGGTCTGGATTTGTAGGGGAACTGCCAGATTAGGGTGGTACCCATTTACCAGGCGAGAAGATAGTGTTCAACAAAGGCCTCCACAATAGTGGCCCGGAAAACAAGACTAGCGCATGCTTTTAAATATACCGGGCTTCGCTAGGAGATCCGTCGTATATCCAGTCTAGACATTGCTCGTCTTCACACTACCACAATCAGCCGGAAAGGAGGAACAGGGGGTAGGATGAAAGGGACTACTGGGATCAAACAGATATGTTTCATGCCCCCCAGGCATTCTAACTGATTGCCGCACTCTGAGTTGTTCGAGAGGACACTATTATAGTTCAACTGCACTGCAACAATCATAAAGTTCCATTCCCTAAATGAGGTTTGAAGGGACGAACTCGCTCATTCCCAATGTTGAAGAGATCATTTAATCCATCCGCCGCCCATGGAGGTCTGCGCAACTTTACGCCAGAATCCTCCTTCGCCCTTCGAAGCCTGATCCATCTCCGCCTTCAATACCGGGTTGATCCCTTTCTTGCGCATCTTTTCTTGTTTTTCTAGAGGGATCTGGTGGACAGGATGATCAGGTCCTGGCTTCCGGTTGGGGTCGTGTGGCTCAGCAGAGATACCCCATTTCATCGCAGGATCAGCGGGGGCGTTTGAGTTGTCTTTGGATTGCTCTGGCGAGCCAGAGGGGCTTTTATGGGACATTATCGGTTATGGAGTTTGTTTATAGAAGAGGGAATGATGGATCTTGTCGGTTTGGCCAAGACAAGTGCCTCCCACTGCTAACCTTTCTGGCTTGATCAGAGCGGTGTTTGCCGCGTGAGTTGGATATTCCGAAGAATCAGAATAAATGTTGGAATAATATAGGATCATCATATTTCCCATCGACGGATTCAGGTCCCGGGGTGACGGGCTGTTAAATAATTAGTTTTCTTGCGGGGAAATGGAGTATAGTACAGCCACGCCGCTGCGCCTGGCGATGATGTCATGGCACATTCCACATGTACGATTAGGCGACCATTTCTGCGGCTTTACATTATGATGGAACTTGGCGTCTATAGCACGACTGCTGGCTTCATAGATAGTTGGGCAATATAGGTAGGCGGACTAAATTGGTGCAAATACCTTTGAGGTGCCGTTGAAAACAGGTGGGTTGGTGAAGAACCATGTGATCCCCATGTCACTGTCCACGGGTAATAAAATACTTCATTTTTCCACGACACGCAGTTGGCTTGCATCACTCTTGACCCCGTCTTTTCAAAAATCCATTCACCTTCCAACTGGATGCAGAAGGTGTCCCATTCAAGATTGACTCTGACTTCCAACTGTCAGGGCCCATATATCAGTCGAAACCATTCAGACGAGTCGATAGATCAAGAAGTGGTTGTGCCTCGGCCTGCTTGGACTATGCTCAGAGCCGCATGGCTAAGCATTTATCACACAGCCTTTTGACGCGCCCCTTGCTTGCCCGTATAATGCACTTGAAAGTGCTTAGCATGAATTGATGGAGATTGCTCAGTCCTTAAATTTATGCATTCAAATTGGTGCTCTTTCAACAGACATGCATCATCTCGAGTTCTCGCATTTCAGTATCGATCAAACGAGAGCCACACAGCGGTCCTCAGTGTAGATCAACGCCAAGTATCACTAAGGGTAACCGCAGTCGTGCAAGCAGCAGGAACAGTATACGCCAGATTAGGATCGCTCTCCCACTCAATAGAACCATCACTCTCTACCCGGATATACTTATACTGGAAGACCTGACCTGCAGGAAGGTTTACAATAGCATACCAAAGGGGGGTCGACGAAGTATACTTAGAAGCGCTCAGTGCAACCGCACTGCTCGGGTCCCAGTTACCAAGCGCCGGAATTGAACCCGTCAATCTGACGTTCTCGCCGTAGGTTGTTGTCGCAAGAAGGTCGAAGGTTACCGCCACAGAGGTTGGGGTCGTGCAGGTGGTGCTTGTTGTAGTCGACTTACTCGTAGTTGTGGTGGTGGTGGTTCCGCCAGTCCCACTTGTCAGTGCGCTCGGCCATTTTGTATTCGTTGCTGTACTATATGTCCCAGACGCAGAGGTAGCGACACAAGTAGCTGGGACACTACTGGCAGAGGCCTCGCCCCACGCGGGAGGAACAACGGAATTCCGACGCATGTTCGCTGTAAGGAGGGCAGCGTAGGACCAAGTTAGGTCGCGCGCAGACGTGGGGATGCCATTAGATTTGTCGAATTGTTCGGATAAAGAACCGTTAGAATACGCGTATTGTTCCTGGACCTATTAGAGCTGGATGTTATATCCAAACAGGCGTTTACTTACCGTAATGCTCATATATCCATCTGCATACGTCTTCACAGCACTGACGATGGAAGAATACGTCGCACTCGAAGAAGAATAGGTTCCAGGGGTCGCAGAACTGTACAAATCAGTGAAGAAACCGAGCGAGGTGGCGCTGATTGTCAATGACCCAGCCTTGTTCCATTGGTACAGTGCGTCATAGAGTAGCTCAGCAGCTGCCATCGTGCAGAGATACCAGGGATTGCCATTATAGTAGGAGTCCTCAGGATACCGACCGACGGCAACAGCTTGGCCAGCAGTTTTTCCCGAGTTGACAGTGTAGATCCCGCGGAACGAGTCAGTCACGACCTTGTGGTTGGCCAGAGCACGAGATGAGCATGGCTGGAACGTGGAGTCATCGCAGCCTGCCTCTGGGTCAAAGGTGTGAATACTGCCGAGTAGGGTATTGGCGTCCTTGCCGCTACGACTGCTACCGAAGTTGGCTAAGGTGTAGGAGCCTGTCCAGTAGGATTGCAGAAAACAGAGGACTTGAGGGGCCTGGGAATCGCAATACGAGCAGGACGATCCGACCTGGCTGGCAAATTTGCTACCTTCAACCAGAGCACGGTGCTGGACGGCTGTTGTGAAAAAGGATTCACCGTTGACTTCTTCCCAGAGGTCTATACTAATCAGTATGCCGCATAGCTAAAACGAGGGGACCATGTGATATTACCATAGCCAGAGCTGTTCCAGTGCTGTGCGACGTAGGACAGATCGTTGCGCACAATGGGCCAGACAATATCTGTTGCCGTGGTGGTGTAGCCGTTCTCCTTCCCACGAGTCAGTAGGTAAGCCACTGTACTCATCCAGTATACTCACAATCAACCACTGTCCAAATGCAATCATAGCACTAGCACGCAAAGCAGGGCCGTCGCGCTGGGGACGACCCCAAGAGCCAGTGAACGCCGTCTCGTCTACATTGAACTTGGGCTCACCCTAATCCACCGCTGGACAGATCTCCCGATGGGTTGGAGACCGTTTGAATGTGTGCCTGGGCGTTGATATACTCTTCGATGATCGAGAGCAGGTCGGAGTCCCCGTTCTTAAAAAGATCCACGAGGGTCTTCATAACCAACGCAGAATCACGGGTCCACGTGTAGTAGTCTGCTGGTCAGCGGCTTCTGCAAGAATGCTCGACTTCTTACTTACAGTCTGGATTGTCCGTACTCGGACTGGCAATCACGATCCCGGACTTGGCGCTCTTCGCATACGCGCCATTAGAGCCGATATTATCAAGAATACCCGTTCTCGCTACAGTCGTCTCCTTGGCTAGCCAGCCATCCAGGCTGGCTGTCGCACGGGGCGCGATCTGTCGTGCCGCGAGAACAGCATGACCGAGTGAGAAGGCGCACAGCGCAGTCCAGAAACGAGGAGGCATGAGGAAAACAATTTATTTCGATATTCTTCGACAGTGATGGGTACTGCTTTGCTTTTTATGTCTCCCTTGTGCCGTCTCGCTTCGGTTTTAATGTCCCCCTCCTCCCTGGACCATGACGACGCCTCTGGATAGTTGAAGTAGACTGTGACGAGCGGAGATCGGGCGGCAGCTAGGGACGCTCGACGCAGCTAAATTGGCTTTTGCGCCACCGGGCGCAGATGTAATTGCAGGCATTCTACCCCGCTGCGTGTCCTGCACGTTCCCCGCCACGAGGCAGCATTGCATTCTCGACTGCAGGGATTGGCGGAGCGCAGTGGTGATCATCATCTGGGTCATCACTATTGAATTGGGCAAATTCATATCTATCTGATCGATTGGCCCGCAGTTGCACCGTCAGCTGGCAATGGGAGTTCGCCATGGCTTTCGAAACTCGCTTCCATGATCTTAAGTTTACCCTGAAGCTTGCATCTCTGGTCTCCCCGCCAAGCGTGGCGTTACACCCCGCAGATTCTCCGTACCCTGTCTAGTTAGCTCCTGTTTACTATCACCAATCAACACCAAATAGTCAATCTCACTCCGTCCCTGGTGCCATCGGTCTCATCTGCGCCGAAGAACTTGTGAAGCATTCTGCATGTGCTGAGCCTATGACATGCATTCCCGGGCCACAACTCTCCACCTTCTGCCCTGGAAACGCGGAGGAGTGCAGGGCCTCCGATCCACTCTCCTCGGCGGATCGACTGATTAAGACTGGCCGCGCGCACTAGCGTCTACCTGCATACATAAAGACTATTAACCGACCGGAGTAATGGCAGACTTGGAATCTTGATGTCGAGATCAGGCAACTCGCTACCAATTTCCGGGAATTGATCCTCTATCGGTGATTTGAAGCGGTTTCGCGCCGACAAGAGTGTTTCTCAGAAGGGCGGATTAGGTTTAGACTGGCACAGGAAAATATTTAACATCTTAATCCTGGTGCTGCTGCATTCGTCGATGGGTCGTGTCGGCCTTTTCGTAAAAAGATCGGGTTCCATCAATTTACTGGTGAGGTCTCGCTTGCGGCATCTAAGCCGTTCCTTCTCTGTCCGTAAGCTCTGAAAGGCTTGTTAGGCGAATATCTCGAGCTTCTGCTTCTCTTATTTTCTCTGATTGTGGGTCAGGGCCGCTGCGACGTTCTGCCTGTGCGAGCGCTCCGAGCGAGTGTGGTAGGCATTCACTGCGAAAGAGCGTTGCGATATTGAACAGCATCGACGTAGACTAGTGTCGGAATTCAAATGAGTTTTCCGGCATAAGAGATGTCTATGACTTCAGTTATAGCCATAGTGACTGCTAATAGTACTATCCAATCTCGGGAAGACGATAAAGTAAGGACTAGCATGCGACTTCAGCGCTAGTAGGACGTAAGAGCTAATAAAACATCATTGATATTCAGCGGAAGACAAATAGTACCAGTAGGAAATGCTCGTCAAATCATCATGGTCATAGATTAGCAACGCAGGATTGCAGCAAACACGCTCAATCATGGCTAAAAGCATGGCTACACCCTTTCAGCTTCGATGATACTGCTTCCATCACCGGGAGGAGACCAAATCTTCACCAATTTGAACCCCGTGGAGGACAGTAGTCTATTCCACTGCTCGATGTTACGCTCCATGCTGTTACAGAAAACAAGCATCTGCAGGTCCCAAAGTGCCGATAGAAATCCTGCATTCTTATCCGGCATAATGAACTCTTCGAGTATCAGCTTCGAGTATCCCTTCTTCATAGCATTTCGAATCTGCTCCAGTATAGCCCGGGAATGTGTATCAGACCAATCATGCAGCACGTATTTCATATAGTATGCGCGTGCGCCTGAGAAGTTAGCTTGGCTCTCCGACGGATCATTCCCCTTTTTTTTTCATAGAACCTACCTTGGATAGGCTGCTCTTTGAACAGATCAATCGGCACCTTCTCTATCTTCGCACTTACCTGGGCCTCCTCTAATACATGAGGCTGATCTTCAAGGACGAGTCGCCCCGGTGCATTGGGGTATTTAGCCTGGAAGGATTTCAGGTCGTGGCCACGACCGCCAGCAACATCAACGAAAAGAACATCGTTCTCGCCACCCTGGAACCCCTCGATGACCCGTTCTTGCACGGGGAACCAGTCAACCCAATCGGGTCGATCGCCACGGTCTCCCTCCATAAATGAGTTGAAACTCTCATTCAGATCGGGTCGGCTGGCAATCCATTCCCAAACGGGCATCTCCATCTGTTCACCGTATTGCAACACGCCCTTTCTAAGGTCGGTTGTTGGGTTGCGGAAATTTGTTTGGCGGAGGTATTCGGGCATCTTTGCTAGGCTTACGGCACCGCCATCAAAGCTGAGAGGACAACTATTGTCAGCGATCCATGTGAGGAATCCGAAGGCTGGCTAAAGGATGACTTACATCCACTTCATCGCCCCAATGCTGCCTTTGTCGGTGAGCTGGTGGGTCATGGCGGTGGCAGCGTAAGTCCTCACACCGACTTCGTCAACGTAGCCGATTGCCGTGAGAAGACGCAAGATCCGTTCTGGACGCACCCACGTTAGCAAAAGAGCTTTTAACTTGAAAGTTTGTTGACATACCCATTAACTCCATATCGGCCCCTTTGACCGCCGCTAGCTCTTCCAATGTGAGCGGGCCGCTTTCCTTGGAGAGAGTGGTGAATACGTCCATATCCATCGCGATCCGAACACAGGTGACCTGGACCGACTGAGGCAAGATTATTAACCCACTTCATCTTGGACACACGATAGGCATCGGATATCTTACCGAGAAAGCCATCTTGATCACAGCATCCCGGGGCTTCTCCAGAGACTGTGTCAGCCGATGCGCAGCAGCGAGCGCCGCTACACGATCAGCCTCACTCAAGTTATCCCTCGTATTGTCGGCAATCTTCTGCACCTGCCCCACCAAGGAGGCGAACTGCTTTGAATTTGAAATATCGACAGTCATGGTTGCATCCACTGATAGCATAGAAAAGACCTTTCGAGAGCTGGATCGTGAGAACTCTTCAGGAGGGACTGGGGGCTACGGCATGGTCTAAATACGAATCCTGAGAGCCACTTTGCCACGGGCCACAACGGGGTCATCCTCAATTTTGCGTTGCGATCCCAACTTCACTTTCTCCAGAATGAACTCTATTTCGATGCGGATGGCCGGGTTAGCCCGTAAGTTTGCACCGAGGGCGCATACCTCGGGTGATCAGGTTATAGTTCTTGCAGATGTCTTCGTAGATTGCGGGGGCAGAAGGAGCCGGGTCCGATCTATTGGCTCTGTGCTCTGGAGCCGGCGTGCTGAGAAAGCTGGTGACTACGGAGCATTCGGCGGGTGGGTCGAGGGGGGGAAAAAGCAAGCATACGCCAATCGTGGAATGACTATTTCCGGGCGCACGATCGACGATGGTCATGATTCGAAAGCCGAGAGATTATGGAGACTGGGACAAGATAAAAACTGGGAAGGATCGGGGGTCAGGCTCAAGGCGTCCATCGTGGTTGATATGGACCTTTGGTACCTGATTGGTTCGCCACTGCAGCAAGATCTACTAGAAATCAGCCAATAGGACTTGTTGTTGGGACGAATATTCCCACTAGCTCCAACGTTCCTAAGCGTCCTGGATATCCCGGCAAAAGAAACCTTGGAACCTGCCAGAGCGCTGCGTCATCTCCGGCTTCGAGAAAATTCAGGGAGACCTGGAGGCCGCTTGTTCCTATTCGATGATCATTTACCTTCTTTCAGCCCCCAGCTGCCGGACGGAGATACAGGATAAGCAGCCATGATCATCAGGACCCACCTTATGTTGGATCACTGCAGGGGTGATCCCGGCTTGCATGAATCTCCGACCTGCTAGCTTGTTGCTGACAGGATATCTGAGCCGACCCCAATCCACGCGAAGCTTCGGACTGCATACTTCGGGAAACTAGGACCAGGACCACAGCGCGGCTTAAACCCCCATCTTGCACGGGAGCGATGCTGACGGAATGTTGGAGTGACAACCCAATAGAGGTCGCAATGTTGGTTTCTTTCATTTGATTGGGAGTGGCTTCCCGGGCACATTTCCCTATCAGCCACAGATCGGCCCTGAAGTAGCGCCCGCTAGAAAGTGAGGCGTGTCAGCCAAGAAGGGGATTATGATGTTACATTATATACCCTAGGATATTGAATGGCCCTTTTGCTTCCTCCTCTTCTCCTTCTTCGTATTTGTCCCTGCTCTTTTCTGCTCACCCCTTCAGTGTTCTTGGCAACTAGTTCAGGGAATTGGTAGTTGGTAGTCCTTTGGTACTCGTTGGTAGTCTCTGCAGTGGTAATATGAAAATCTATTTTACGAGCATCTACATTACACGTGCCTCCCGGATGCAACCCACACTGAATCGAAGGCCGCTAGTTTATGCAAGTCGTGAGTACATCATTGTGTGCTAGCCAACACTTCTTTCTCTACGCCTATTTTTTCAAACCAATCACGGCCAGATTCCGGGGGCTCTCCCCATAGCCAAACACCGGCTCGACCCAGCACTCCTTGACCGAGTCATGCTCGCGCAGGAACTGCCAACGGTCCACGACAATGGCGGCCTCCACGAGCTGGGAGCTGAACGCCATCAGACTCCATGTGATGCTGAGGTTTTTCCTCGCTTGGCTGAATTCCGTCTCGTAGCGTCGGATTTCCTCATCCGTCATAACAGCGATTTTCGCCTCGACCTGACTTGCAAATGTCGGGTCTCGGCGAAGCTTGTCCGTTGCCGCACGGATATAATTGGGGAACGACTCGAAGGCGGCTTTGCGGAGGGACCCAAGGATCACAGGCTTGGGGGTATCCTCGGGATTTGACTCTTCGTACAGGTCTTTGGGAATAGTCGGTCGATCTATGACCCCCTTGTCAAGGAGGATACGCTGGAAAAGGCTGCGGTAGAAGTTCCGGGTAAAGAACGTCTCGGTGCCGCTGACATCCCAGTTGTAGGGGGGCTTGGCATGCCATGGAGCGGGCGGTGATGTTGAGCCGAATGCCCTGTATGACCTCTGTGCGGTAGTTCTCGTACAATTTGGACATTGGGAACCCGTGCGGGTCGTAGGAGGTGCCCGTTTCGTACAGCCGGGGGTGAATGGACCGAAGCACAGGCAGTTTGTATGTAGCAGGGCCAAGACGCTCGGTCAGCAAGTTGTAGCAGCAGCCTATCATGGCTACGGCTACAACTGAGGGGTTGAGTACAAGGGATCGCACACCGTGGTGGACAAGGTTTCCACATGAATGCAGAGATACTACCATGACCCGGGCGTCATCTGAGGCCTTTCCGCCAGACTGGGCTGGAGCAGCTAACTCGTTGGGGCAGGTTGCTGCTTGGCCGTCTTTCTCGCCTTGGTTTTCATCTGGGAGTGTCGATTGAGGAGGATTCACCACATGTCTGATGATTGGTTCCAGATAGCCATCCTCGATTTCATGCTCAATGTAGCTGATCAGCCCCGGGTTCTCAACAACCGGCGCCTCTTTGGTCTTCTTCCCTTGCTTCTGCGCGCTGGATGAGGTATCTTGCATTGAGCTAATATCACCCAGCATTTTGAACGAAGTGACATCTTCAACCGTTTCGTTGAATTCTTGAGCTTCATCGTCCTCGGCGCCGTGTCCCCGATCTGTAGCCTCGGGCTGCACACCATTGGTATCAGGAAGTGCCTCGGCTGACTTTTGCAGTCTGTCCTTCTTCTTCTTCCTCGGATTCATGACGTGAATCTCGGTTTTCTTCAACTTGGCGTCCATTCCCTTTGCGCCACTGATGTACTGATGCTTCCGTTCAATGGCAATAATATGTTTGTTATACGGCGGAGCCGCAAGCGTCCGACCCAGATAGTTTTGCCCAGATCCAAAATCGACAATGTGCGACACAGGTTCCCCGCGCCGCTCCTCCACTGTATCCGACAGCTCCGCCACCCATCGAGAGAAATGTTCCACTTCGTGCAGCTTCTTCTGGTTCATGCCCATGGCTATGTGAAAAGGCAGCTTCCGCCTCGGCTCGGCAGGCACAAAGTCCCGTCGGAGAGCGAATCGCTTGATATTGTGAATATACTCCAGTAAAGTCTGTGGAGGGAATGCGCCACCATTCCAGGTGCGCGTGCTAGCCGAGTCTTCCTTGGCTTCGTAGTAGCGTTTCAAGGCCGCAATGTCTTCCTTAAGTAGCAATCGCAATATGTCTTGGACTTCATGTGCTTCAAAGAAAGTTCTCCAGTCCTCGGGAAGTAAAGTTGTATACAAATCGGGTTCGCGTGTAAGGAAGTCCAGCATATGCACCCCGCCACATAAATTGATGAAGAGCGTCGAGGTGGTCATGAATGACAGGAGGCCCTCAATGTAGGAGTCTGCATCCTCCCACTCTTCGGAGAGCGGGAGGGGGCATCGAGGGGCCATGGCTGCGATGTAGGGGAATTGGCGCAAAAATTATCGCTCGATCGTGGGGGAAATCCTTATCGTATTTTTATCTTATCGACAGATCGCTGAGTCATCTAACGGGGTTCAGCCAAAGGAGACGGAAGTAAACAAACTCGATCTTGCCATGCGACAATAGATTGATGATATCTTTCGGAAACACTGGGGCCAAGTCACTATAGGCAGCTTGAGAAGGATACAAACCCACCGAGGAGAACGCAAGATGAAAAAACCTGATTGTCATTGCCTCGTCATTCATAGAGCAGTCCCGAAGGCTCCCTTAACCACATGCCTGTGCAAGTTCACTCACACCCACTTGAAATACAAATCATCATATCAGCCAAATGAGGCGCCTTACTGCTATATCCCTTGGTTTACTCGGCCCAGCCATGGTAGCAGTCAACCCGCTTCCACAGGCCGAGAAGGTCAGATATACACCGTCTCAAATAGCGCGCGCCGAGCTGACAATTTCAAAAACTTCAATTGAAATCCCTGGCCGAAATTTGTACCATGCGAGACATTCCCTAGCTTTTAAATTCCTCAAATTCTAACCTCCCTTAACCAGATACGCATCCTCTCCGAAATAGATCTAAATAGAACGCCCCCCTCTATACTAAGCCCATGTGGACCCCACGTGATCCGCCCCCGGAAGCTACGATGTACCAAAGCAACATCAAGCTGCCCCCATTTACCTCCCCAGAACCCAATACCCTCAACAATGGCACACGCTGACCCATTCCTCCAAGTCCAAGCGTAGGCTCCCCTTTCCGAGCCCTTCTTTCCTCTCTCCTTTTATCACCTGATCTAACCTCGCAACCAGGGACGTCCTCTCCACCATCCAATCTAGCCGCCCATTATTCTCCTCGTACCTCCGCATCCGCTCCACAGCCAAAAGCCCCAACAACCCGGAACTCAGCCAAGCGCGCTCCGAACTCGAAACGACCCTCACCGACCTCAGCGCCGACCTAGATGACCTCATCGAAAGCGTGCGCGCCATCGAAAGCGATCCGTACCGCTTCGGCCTCGAACTCTCCGAGGTCCAGCGGCGGCGCAAACTAGTCGACGATGTCGGCTCCGAGGTCGAGGCCATGCGGCAGGAGCTGCTGAAGACGGTGTCGGCGAACCCGGAGCCGGATCCGGCGGCGCTGCCGAATCCCACGGAGTTCGATGCGGCGCTGGAGGAGGAGGAGGGAGGGAGGGGGCGCGGGGATTTCTACGCTTCGATGGAGCTGCAGAGGCAGTCGGAGCTTATGCATGAGCAGGACGAGCAGCTGGATGGGGTGTTTCGGACGGTGGGGAATCTGAGGCAGCAGGCGAGTGATATGGGGAGAGAGTTGGAGGATCAGGCGGTCATGATTGATGAAGTTGATACGTTGGCCGATCGGGTTGGGGGGAAGTTGACGAATGGGATGGCCAGGATAAGGCATATTGTGAGGAAGAATGAAGGTGAGTTCCTATGTCTTCCTTCCTATGTCTTCCTTTTTTTTTTTTTCTTCTTTTTTTTTGGTGGTATGGTTGGGATACGAGGAAAATGTGGAAGATCAAACTAACTTTTTGGATTCATAAACTAGATACATGGTCCTCCTTCTGCATCGCGGCGCTGATATTTGCGCTCGTTATTTTATTAATTCTCGTTATCGTCCTGTGATTTTACATCAAAGAGGGGCCTCCGATAACCAGCATCACAAGCAAAGGGCGTTAAAAGGCGGACATTCATTCAAGCTTCAAAACAGAGTCAATCATTTTTTTGTTTTCTTTCAGTTCAGTTGCGGGCCTTCTTGCGGGGTCGCGATTCCTCACCCTCGCCTTCGGCTTCATCTTCGTCTTCATCCATCTGGTCCTCGAGATTCTCGAGGGCCTCGAGGTCCTCAATGTCGAGATCGTCAAGGTCATCACCCATCTCGAAAGATTGAACTGGCAAGGGTCAGCACAATCCGTCTTCCACATAACGCCCGTTACATCAACATACCATAGTACTGCATAGCATCGGCATACAGGTCCTCGGCGAGGGCAATGGCGAGGTCCTGACCATCCTCGAAGACCTCAGCATCCTCCAGGTCATCGATGTAGTCCTCATCATCTTCATCATCGTCGTCATTCTCGTCACCATCGACCTTCTCGCCCTTCAGGATCTTCTCGAATCGCTCATTGTCCTCCTTGGTAGCCTTCGCGGACTCCTCAGCCGAGACATCACGGCCGCGGTAGCCGAACCAGTTCCAGAAGCTCACGCCAACTGGGCTGGAAGGGTCAGCATCCTCGTCGTCCTCATCCTCTTCAGGCTCGTTGTCAAGAGCCTCAGCCTCAACCTCCTGGATCTTCTTCACCAGAGTCTCGTACTGGGGCAGCTCAGCCCGCTTCTTGCCGGCAGCCTTCTTCTCCGCCTCGAACAGGTCCACGGTAGCATCCAGAAGGCCCTTGGTGACATCCTTGCCCTCCTTCCAGTTAATGCGCACAGGGTCGGACACGAGACCCTCCCAGGTGCGGCTCTTCCCAGACTCGGTCTTGACGATCTGGGTGCGCCAGTAGAAGTCCTTGACGAGCTGGGTGTTGGTGAACCAGTCGTTCTCCTTGAAATCGAAGATGAAGCGCAGAGAGCGGGGCTCGCCCTCGCCCTTGTCGTTGAGCTCGAACCGCTCGACCTTCATGTTCTGCAGGGCATCACCCAGCACCTGGGCATCGACGGGCAGGATGTACTCGTCGATCTCGGCGGGGGGAGCTCGCGAACACGCGGACCCAGAAGTCGGGGGCTTGGGCGATGATCTGCTCGTCGCGCTTCTTGTACAGAGGGGCGAGGAGGGGGAATGTTGTGGCGCACTGCGAGAGTATGAGCGTTGTTTCATTCCAAGCGGTTTTCTGCGTGCATGGGGAAGGAGATAAGAGATCAATTGCAACCCGTTACCCGGTATTTTCTTCTCCCGATAAGAGATAGTAGAATTGGGGGGGAAACAAGAGGTAGGTGGAAAAGAAGGATAAACATACTCTGTTCAACCTCAGCACGAGCAAACTCCTCGCCCAGGTGGGCGATCTTCCTCTGAGCATCCACGGGGATGGAGGGAACCTCAATACGCTCCTCGAGAGCTTGGTCGGCAGACATTATGGCAGGGGTAGAATAGAATAGATGTAGTTTGTTAAAAGAAAAGACGGCTTTTTTTAAAGCGACTCAAGCCCAACTTTTGTGATGAATACGAAATCCCGGTAGATGGGGAGGGGTATCAGGAATGGTAGAAAGAGGAAAGAAAAAAAAAGTTAGGCAGGGAGGGGCATAAAAAAAAAGAAAATTCCACCAGGGCAAAAAAAAATGCGATCGGCGCAAAGCTCTGGACTTCAGGCGGAGAGCTGCGGTGTACCCGGGGCAACAAGAGCAGTACTTGGTTACAGTGGGGTTTTCGGTGGCAAATGATGTACTAAGAGGTTACTGGGAGTATCGCCCAAAACGGACGCAACTACGAGGCGGTGAGTCCTGATAAGTCGCCGCCTGGGGGGTGAGGTGTCGAAGGTGAAAATTCGAGTTTTCGAACGAATCGACGGGCAGCGCGTGCTGGGAGAAAGACATGGGTGTGTCGGGCGCGGCGATTGGTTCCCCTTGCAACGTGCTCGATCCCCGGGATGGCGTGAGGGAGATCACACGGGATATGAGGAGAATTGAAAAAAAAAGGAAAAAGAAAAGTAAAATACTTTCGAAATTGCTATAAGATTCGCGTTGTAATGGAGTCTATTGACCACAGCTACATAGATCCAATGGCGGGGATAGCCATACGCTGCATTAATCCGTGTAGGACCTGGCAGCCTATAAGTCCGGTCCCGAAGGGCTAGGACGCCCCCAAGCGACCCTTCCCCCCCCCACAAGGCTCTTAGGACAAGTACGGAGTACAGACGACTATGTACAACCAATCTCGGACATCCACTGAGCAAAAGCGCAAGAAGCCTCAGATCGCCGATTACCCCGCGGAACCAAACCGACCTCCCGCAGCGATAAACCCAGCCGATCCATCCAAACAGAACCCTCGGCGCCTCATATTGCTTTTTCCCGGCCCTCCATCGAACCTAAAACGCACGGCGGAGCGGGTCCCTGAAGAAAGGTACAAGAAAAAAAAAACAAGACACTTTAATTCAACGCCATGTCAACGATTTCGATTTTTCCTCGATCCCTCCGGAAATCCCCTCGCGGCCCATGCCCCGTCCAGGATAAGCTAGAGGGGGTTAGCTCGTGCCGCACTGCTCGGGCAACTCAGGGTTCTGGGGGAGACAGAGGCTAAGTAAAAAACCGGGGACTAAGTTGGGGCCCCGGTGAACCCCGGGTTCAGGCTACAAATACCGCAAACGGGGTTTACGTTGACGTGGTAAAGAGGCGGTCTGTGCAGGGAGTGCAGGGGAATGCAGAGAGCAGATAAGACGCAGCCAATCGCTGGGCTTGTCCATGTTGGAAAGCCCGAGAAAATTCGGGTCAGTAAGGGGGCTACAAGGTATGGTATCTAAGAGATGATAAGTAATTGAGTTGGGAGACCCGGGGGAAATTCGTAACGTCTTGAATTTGGCTTTTTTTTTTCGTCTTGTGGGATGGTTGAGCCAACCCCCGATAACCCGACAGATAGCAAAAACTTTTTTGGGTTGGAAGAAAACCCCCCAATTCTTGAGTCCAGCCCGGACGGCGTCCAATTAAGAACTGCAATAAAGGAAAGAATTATGTCCCATATAATTCCCATGCCCATTCGCCTGAAATGCAAAAATATTAAACCAGAACATAAAAGAGGGGAGAACCGAGGCCTTGAACGGCTTGACATGCACAGGCATCATCACTATGCATGTCCGGGGAGAATAGAGCAGTCATTAAGGGAGGAAAGAAGAAAAAAGAAAAAAGAGATAGGAAAGAAAAAAAGAAAAAAAAAAGCAAAGGGGAATGAGGCAGGATCAAAGGAGAGCAAATGAGAAGGGGGCAGAAATAACTCAAGACCGGACAACAAGCCATCAACCGCATCGGCAGAAACCTTATCAGAGCACGCAGAACTGGTCTCTGCAAAAGCAAAGATAAGGCTGCAGACAAAAGGTATTTTGGAGCAAACTCTTGACGTAATCCTTTTTTTTCTCGTTTTCCCTTTTTTTTTTCGTGTAATTTTTTGGGAGAACCTTTTCGGCATGAATGTAGATAAGATGTTCACAGCATCCAATCTAATCCATTGGCCTCTTCCTCCACAGGGAACACTTCGGAGGCATACTCTTCCATGTCTCGCCATCCCTGCCACAGGTGACGTGCCTCGTCTGTGACAGGGAGCGAAATGACCCCACCAGGTCCTTGCATCATCCCCTCGCCAGCTCCTTTACCACCAGCAGGTCCGAGGCCCTTGGGTGAGCCGGCGGCGGTCCGTGAGAACTCCGGTTGGGGGAAATAGGGCGCATTGAGCTGCCCGAAGAGGATTTCGAGGGCTTCCAGTTGCTCACGGTAGCCTGGCGGCACTTTGACCTTGATTTCAATCTTGGGGACGCGCACGTAGCGAACCGGGCGGCCGAGGGCGCGCTCAAAAGCAGCGCAGACTTGAACTGGCGAGAGCGTTTCAAAGGTGAGTGCGATACTAGAGATAGAAATGCTGTCAGCTGTGATCCAATTATATGCGGCGTGTGTCTTTGTTTTTTGCTGTTTTTTTTGGGTTTCTTGGCTCTTATCGTGCATACTTTGTGGAACCATGTTCAAGGGTGAAATACGAGGGTGAGAAAAGAAATGCGGGGAAACTTACCGGTGACCATGCCACTTCTTCGGCCCATCTTTGAAGATCTGGAGCAGCGCAGGACCGACATCGTGCTCCGCGTCCAGCCAGGGAAGCGGAGTCTCCGGGTCGAAGGGTGCGCGCCATTCAAAGGTCCCGTCCTCCAGCAGCTCCATTTGGAAGAGCGGGTAAGGGAGACTGGTGAAATTGTTGTTATAGATACCTGCGTAGACAAAGGTAGAGGGCAGGCCGAGCTGGCGAATGTAGTTCTCGACGGTGAACTTGGGCGCCCATTCCGGGACGGCGGGCCATGGACCATACACTGAATGGTCCGGCATACTGCTGTAGATATAGTGTGTGATGCTACCAGCCCTCTTGGCGGCGTCCGCTAAAGCGCGGCCGATGGCCACCTCATCGCCGGCCTGGGAAGTAGTGTTGATGAAGGCCAGGGAAGCGCCCTGGAACAGCGCATCCATGAGCTGGACATTACCGAGTAATGGGCCGTGGAAGAGGGTGACATTGGGCAAGGACTGGAGCTCCTGCGCAACGATGCCTTTGAGAGAATGGATCTGCGCGCGTACACTGTATCCTACAGCCGACGCGACCCGAACGAGGGAGGCAGCTTGCCGGCCAGTCGCATTGACGACGGCAATCGTTTTCTGTGGTTGTGTCATCCGGCTTCGGAGCCCCCCGGGGCTCTAGGTGGGAGATAGATGGGGGAGTAGAGTTATATCACGGAAGGAGGGAGAAGAGAGGAAATCAGAGAAAGTTGCGGGGGAGCAGGAAGAGGTTTCCAAGCCACTGATTAAAAGAAAATCCGGAGTAAGAAAAAGGCCTTGGCGACGACAGAAAAGGGTGTCGCGATAGTGGGGTACCTTGGAAGTTGGGAGGGCCCAGAGCCAGAAAATTGTATGTAACAAGAATCGCGATCAGACGGCGGGGATGATCCAGCTCCACTGAGGGATTATGTGATGGAAACAGTCATTCGAGTGCGATCTGCAAAGGAAAAGATGCCAGATTCCCTTTTTTTTTGGTGCTTCTCTGCCTGCTGGAAAACCCGAGGGGGGGGGGGCTCAAGGTTTGGTTCCGAAAACGAAAAAACGCGGAGAGGATAAGATAATCGATAAGAGATGCACACGGAGCAAGTAGGAGTATATGAACTCCTCGACCCCTGCACTTTGCACTTTCCTTCTTTCAGCTCCCCTGCAGGATACGATGGTGCATGAAACCTGGACCTTGGATATTTGTACTTTTCTGCTGTACGTCTATACCCAAAATGCCAAGACACCACTTATGCTCCCACTACTCCATACTGCCTCTCTTTACTCCGTATACGAGGCTATACCAGAATCATGCTATTTTATCCTATAATTGCCTCATTCGAAAAACGGGCCTTTACGATGACACCATTGCCTCTGGTTTTTTTTGTCTTTTAGCCCTAACTATTCTTTGGTTTGAAATTTTCATTTTTTATTTTTCTCTTTTGAGGTATTTCTTTACGTAAATCGGCAGCCAGTCGGCACCAACAAGTGACGGGAAGATCCTGAACCGGCCACACATCGGGACCCAGAGTCGGCGCCCCCATTGGAAGATTTTTCATGGTAATTATAGACCTCTTTTTTTTACCCTTTTTTTTTTTTCTTTTTTGGATCCGTGATTCGTGAGATGATCCGCCTGAGATCAGTAGATAAATCAGAAGGTCCCCCCAAGAAGCCCCAAGAACCCTCTCGAAAGCCCCCCCTTCCAGGAAACCACCCGTGGTACCGCAGATTCTGCCAAACCAACGCCTAAGAGCCAGGGGCACGCTCACGTGGTGCAATAGGGTGGATTCCTTCCCCTTGTGACCCCGATTGGAGTATGGACATCCTCGGGCGCCATCTTTTCAAGCCAGAAGTCCCTCGTCCCGCGAGAAATGGGTCGTGAATCTCTGCCAAAGCCCCCGAATCACAGGCAAGCGTGTCGCATGTGACTTAGAACTGGTCAAGCTATGGTACCTGAACGATTCGGTTTGGCGCAGCCCGTAGAAAGTGCCTAAACAGAAGCGGGCAAGAAACCCGCAAGCCAAACCCCGCAAAAGTCACAAACGTCACGGCTGCATTTGCGATCCTGCAACCCTGAAGGGGGTTCCGAGACGGAAAATAAAATCTCGATTTTTTGGCCTCGTACAGCCCAGAAAAAAAAAGCCTGAGAAGATAAAGTCCCCAACCCGACAGCGGCGAGCGTCTGATTGGAAGTGAAGTAAGAGATGCAATACATGTTACATAAGACCCATGGAAAGGGCCCCGGGGTTTGGAGAACGTTGATGCAAGATCCAGCTATAACGTCATCTCGCGGAAAACGCTGCCTTCTATACCTGCCCCGAAAAAAGAGCGAACAAGCGAACTGCAATCCCCCACGGCTCGCTACAAATCCCTGTGGTTTTTGGGGGATGCCTTGGAATCCACAGTCCTAGACCGTCTAGACTACGTTAGAAAAAGAGGCAGACAAAAATGCGGTGACCCCAGAGATTCGGTCTTTTAGGTCCTTATCTTCCCCACTTAGTCGCCTTGACCCCCTCCAGCGGCAGCCCCCGATCTCCGCGGAGCAGGAACCCCCCAAGACCCAATCGCTTTATGGCAATCTGGCGTGATCATTGCGCTTAGAAGCAACTTGTGTTACCGCGATGTGACCTACGCAATTTCCATGTGAGCGGACATACAATCATTATGCGAGGATCGTGGTTGTTCTATTCCCTTGCCCCCCCACCTCTTCTCCCACGTCCGGTCATGGGGCAGATCCAGCCATCATCCACCGACTGCGGTCACCACTGCTCTCATTCTCCTCAAGCTCCCGCTGACTGTTTTCGCACGGGTCGATCCCGGCCAGGCCCCAAACCCCAGGTTTTCGGCGGGCCAGAAGCTCTGCGGCGGGGAGCTCATCCGAGTGCAAGTGGGCGCCAGATTTGCGGAGCAGGAGCACATGATCTGACAGGCCAGCATTGGCCGCCAGGAACAATGGCGTGCGGCCATTGCGATTCCGCAGGTGCACCGACCCTCCGTGTGAGAGCAGGAAGTGGAGGATCGAGATGGACGGCGAGGTCGCCGCTAGGTGCTACAGAGCGATCGCATCAGATTAGCCATAGAAACTTCACAAGTCGGAGAGTGTGATAGCGGAGCACTTACGATGGGGGTATTGCCGGAGTAGTCGGCATCATTGAGTAGCCAGTGGCGTTCCACATTGAGGATCGTTTTGACTCGTTCGAGATCGCCTTGCGCAATAGCATACCCCATTGCGGTGAGGGTCTGCACGCGTTCAGGGAGAGCCCCGTCCGGATGACGGAAGACGGGCTGCGAGGATTCGGTCAGTTCGCCGCGGAGGGAGATCGACATGTCCTTGGCGACGGACTCAGGGGTGGCGTCTGGAAAGGCCAGGAGATAGGCAAGCTTGGTTAGGGCTGCCTCAGTAGTCATGTCGAGGCCGGCTACTACGCCCGCCCGGGAGAGACTCATGCCTGTCGCGTAGACGGGGCTGACACTTCCTGTAAGACCTGAATATCGGGTATTAATATGCTCCATTAATTTTGAAGGGGATTGGGGTTGGAGTCAATATTGGTGGGGTTGGGAGGGTGCAGCAAGACTTACATTGGGTAATGTTGACTATAACGATTCCTCGTTGAATAGCACTGGCCAGGACGTTAATCATGGCATTATCCTGGCCCGAGGGCGCATTGCCAGCACCAAAGGTCTCCAGGATGAGGCCACGCAGCCCATTCAGCTTCAGCACAGCATCGACCATTTCAGGCTTAATTCCGGGGAAGATACGTAGGCACGCGACATGGGTCGTGTCAAGATTGGTGTGGATACGGAAATGATCGAGGCTGGTAGGCCGGTGCACCATGTCCCAGTTCACATTGGTCCGCATCGACGTCGTAATCGCTAAGGGAGGACAGTTGGGAGCATCGAAAGCGGCAAAATCACTGGCAGCCACCTTGGTCGACCGATTCCCCGGAAGAGCCGGTTGTTGAAGTACAGACACACTTCGGGAATCATGAAGTGGCCCGCTACGACCAGCGAACCAAGCAGGTTGTCAGTCGCGTCATTTTGCAGCTCCAGCATGGGCGCTTGGGACCCTGTGAGCACAACCGGCTTGCCCAGATTCTGGAGCATAAAACTGAGAGCGGAACATGTGTATGCCAGGCTGTCGGTGCCGTGGAGAATTACAAATCCATCGAATAGAGTGTAATTCTGGAATACGGTCTGGGCAATCTCCGCCCAGCCCTTTGCATCAATCGAACTACTGTCCAGCAGCTCCTCAAACTCATAGACGGTGTAGCGCACGCGGCGGCCGTATGCGGTCACGGGAGTCCGTAAGCTCTGATGCTCCTTGACGGTCCCTGCGGCAGTAGTTACCACATCCATCGATAAGGGCTCAGAGCCATCGTTGAATGAGGGCACCCGGGCCATACACTTGTCTTGGAAGCCTCGGGCAGGTACAAAGCCCGATGGAGATTGCTGCATGCATATAGTTCCGCCAGTCATGATGATCAACACGCGGGATTCCAGGATCGCCTCTCGGGGCTTGTCTCCCAAAATGGGGAGGGTATTTTCTGGGGAAGCCATTGGGGCTCGACTGTTGGGATACGCAGGTCCCAATGGGTGGATGAGCGACTGCTTCTAATAGTCGAGCGCCCGCAGACAATATTCACTTGGGATTTTGGAGGCTATCGCATGAACCCCAATTTGTGCCTCTTGGCGATAAATTAGGATTAGCGGGCGGACTGCGGGGTGTGGCGGGCGACCAGAAAATTCTTTCCTTGCTTTTCGAAAATCGCATGAAACCAGGCGAGGCCACAGGGCGTGCCTACGGCAGGTCAGGTCGATCAGAGCTGCCTAGGTGAGCGGATGCTGAACGAGGACCCCAAGGTGGGCTCCGATTTCATTACGTACGGACATGGTGGCGGCTTTTCTTTTTTTTTTTTTTTTTTTTGGTTGGAGGCGGTTATCCAACTCTAACTTTGGAATTCTCCTCCACCGTGGCCCAGCTGCCCCTGCACTCGGCCACTAGAGTCTTGCACTAGTAGCCTTGGCCATTCTAGATGCATCGTATCACGACGGTAAACAGGCTTATTGGGAGAAACCGCTGGGGCCTTCAAGCAAAGAAGTCGCCGGGGTTCGCCCACGTGGACTCTCATTGCTTTTTCGGCCCTGCGAGTTCCGTTCAATGTTCTCCTCGTCCAATTCGTTCAAATATACTAAATATCTGTTTACTTCAGGCACTAGTCATCCAGGGGATTCTTAAATGCGATATGCTCTTGATCTTATGCCTGAAGAGCCTCGATCACATGACAAGGTCGATTGCTGCTACGCTCGAATAACATTGGATCACCAACCTTCAGAGTATGTACTCTGTCTAGAAGAATTTGACATTTTTCTGGCGGAAGCAATTCCAGATGGACATGAGTTGTCAGAGGCTCTGACGAGACTGGGCGCTCAGAGTCTGCTAGGCAATAGATCTACTAACCCATTGGTATTTTCAGTTCTGTAGCAGACTCGAGGATCTCGAGAGCTTGGACGAGAGGGGCTCGGCAATCTCCGCCTCCAGGTGACTGCAGTTGCGCTCCAGACTCGGAAGGCTATAGTCTGTGGTCCTTTGAGAACCTTACGTTGACAATTTTCTAGGAATCGATTGCTAACAAGATCCCTTCTCCCAAACCATCTCATCTTTCAGTCGAACGTAATGCATAATTTTGGAAATTTATGAATAAGCAGCCCGGATGGTCTAGTCGTATGATTCTTCGTTTGGGTAATTCCAACTTCGAAGAGGTCCCGCGTTCAAATCGCGGTTCGGGCCTGTACTTTGTTTTTCTTCTCCCCTTTTTGCCGTTGAGCTTCTTCATTTTGTCTCTATTCCCGCTTCATCTGTTATATTATAATATAATGTATGAGTGAAGCGTGGAAATCCAGAAGTAGCATTCAGTTCGACTGACCGCAGGTTTGGTCTGTCAGAAGCTTTTGCTACATACTCATATCAGCTCATTTTTATCTCGATAATTTAGCGCCAGTTATTAGGTAGCCCACGCTTTGTCGGTAATAACAGGACAAGTAGTCTATTTTGGAGCAAGCCCTAAAAAAAGCTTTTCATTGTACCATGATAACGCCATTCTTATTTCTCCGATACGATACAAATTTCGTAAAACCCCATCAGTGGTAGTAGAGGAAGGGCCATGAAATGTATCAGTTGAGAGAGGGAAATTGATATTGCGGAGGTTCAATTGAATTGGGAAAAAAAAAGAGAGAAAACAAAAAAAGCAAAGTATAGGCCCGAACCGCGATTTGAACGCGGGACCTCTTCGAAGTTGGAATTACCCAAACGAAGAATCATACGACTAGACCATCCGGGCTACAAGATGATAATAACCGAAGATCTTTGCAATATAGGAGATCGGGGTATGTTCAGGCTTCCTTACAGATACTCAATTGTCTAGTATGGCCCCCGGGGCCTTAAGACCGCTGCTTAGTAGTCTCGATAAAGGTGAATCTGTTACTGGGAGTGGGAGAAGTACTAGACTGGGCTATGGCCTCTAATTTATACCTCATAATTAAGTCACTCAGCCAATGCAACCTGTTTCATTCCAACAGTCCTCATTGAATTCGTTCATCACCATCTTGAAGGTGCTAGACTCATGACGCTAATTGAACATTTCGGAGTGAGAACATACATTGCCAGGCTCGCATATTCGCGAACATCCTGGCTGCACCGACACAAGTCTTATTCTCCTCGAACTCGCAACGCCCCGCGCACCGTCCATTGGCAAACGGCCCCAAAGGCCTAGTGACTCATGGTGAAGCGTGAAGGTAATCATCCGTGGTCTACCCCTTCGAATAGTGTGCTCTCCGAAGGTTACTACTCGTAGCGTGTACGTTGAATCATAGCCAGGACAGATAAACTTTATTGACATGTAACGAGGCATATCGTCAATTCTAGCTATGTGTCATAATGGTAAGGAAAGGATGGAAGAGGACCTAAAGAAAAGCAGTATTCGGCGTGTCTGCAGACCTTCCTTTTGAACCCCCCCAACAGCGTTAGTTCTTGCGCCGGATGGCACTCATCTGCCCATTCTTAGACTGAATAGTCTTACTGCCCACCACAGCTGCAGCAGTACCGCTCACCTGGTAAGTTCTCTGGCCGGAGGAGGAACTGTTAGATCGACCACTGGATTTGGGGGTAGGGCTGGTTAGAGGAGCCGGAATTTGCATAGTAGCCTCCTTGCTGGGGGTAGCCTTCCTGCTTGATGTATTGTCCATGCTCAGGGAAGAAGCCTTGCGCATTATTCATGTGACCATTGTGATCTTGCTGAATGTTCGGATTATCTGCTACGGGACCGGACCCAAAATATCTCGGGTCGGAGTTACTATTGCTAGAGCTACCAGAGTTGTAGTAGTACGGCATCTTCTGGAGTCCAGGAGAAGGTCGGTGGGTTGTGGTGTGATAGACGGCTAGCTGATGCTTCGGCCTGGAGCCTTGGGGCCTTGATTTTTCTTAAGTTGAAATGTTGTGTTTTGGAGATTGAAGGGTAGATGCGTGAGTTTATAGTTTAGGTTAGAGAATCGAAAGCTTGAATTAGTCACTTAATGAAGACTTACTATCTTATTGATACTAGTATTGAAGAGAGAAAGCTTTCGATAATAACAATGCAGTTTGATAAAGAAAGTCTAATCGTCGCTTTCTTTTTCACCCAGTCAAAGACTGTATAAGTAGCTAGATCTTTCAACAAAGCCCTGGAGAGGCTTTGAAATATCACGTAAAACATCTAGTATCCGACTGGACAAATTAAAGAGTCCAGCTGACTGTCTCGGAGTATGAGATTTATTGGTAATAGGAGAAAGGCTCTCATACCATTCTAGATGGTTTGAAACATCTCTACGAGAGGTCATTGTGCTTCATACAAGCGCAAGGCATCAAAGCAACCTAAATTTGAAGGAGTGGGGACATTATTCATTTCAAGGTTCAAACAAAAGATACAATCGTGACTGATACACATTAGGAATAATACAATGATGGCCCCAGAATTGTTATACATTCCCATCAAGGGTTAGGATTGAACTGGAACACGTCCTCTTCCATCAGACCCCACATGTACTGATTTCCCGAAAACCAATTGCCAAGCTGCATAGCTGGCGACATTTCAGCTCCCGGTATCGACTCTTGGGCATCAGCATGAGGCCGAGAAGCCGAGAAGGCTACATTCAAACTCTGCGTAGGATTATTTTTGGGGGTATATGCATAGGAGCCATGTCTGGCTGGAGAAAGGATTGGTTGCTAGCCATGACATTGCTAGGCGCTAGACCAAGAGCACTGAGATAGGCGTCAAACTCTTGACCAACTGAGACAAGCTCTTTGTCTTCGTCGGTCTTTCCCCGGGCCTTTGTTTCGACGTATAAGCGCGCAACAGTACCGAGTACCGAGCAGATGTTGTGGAGCCGGTCAATGGCTCGGGAGAATGCGCGGAGAGGAACAAGGGATGCGACGAACTCTTCCAGGAGGATGAGGTCGTTATCATCAGAGCTTGTAATGACGTGACAGAAGATCACGATGAAGGGAACGAAGGGAGATACGAGGATTGCGCTGTGGACCTTCGATTAGATTGGAAATGTTTCATTAAGTCCTAAGGGGTACGCACGAATGCATATACGAGCATCGGATGGTCTCGCTTGAATCTTTCAAAGCCGTAACGCAATCCTGGTGCTCCTCTAGAGCGCTTCGGGCAGTCTCAACACATTCGTGTGTGAATGTGCTGGATGCTGCGTCTTTTGGTGTATCAGGGATCGCGCGATAAATCAAAGTCATGATCGCGAGTCGCATGATTCTGTCCGCCTTGAGATAAATTTTATCCCCTTCTGGAATATCAGGGGTGCAAGATACTATGCTCTGCGCAAGTTAGCAAATACCCTCGCTTTAATTGAGCGCCTTGACTTGCCTCGAACGGTTCGATAACATGCTTGATCATCTCCGCAGCTAACGCCCGAGCACGGGCAACTCGTTCACTTTCAGGTTGGTTCAGAGCCGCAGGGCTATACAAGAGGGTAAATATCTTGTTTTGGATGATTGCTTGTCTGGTCCAAAGGGAATACAGCTCTTCCCAGAGACCCAGTTGATCAAAGCTTTCGGAGGGAGGTGGAAGGCTGATTTCGAACTCCTGGATGACACTCGCGCGCCCTAGTCGGAGCGACATTAAATTTAGAGTTGAGTATGCAGACCAGAACAGGATTTGCTTCCTCTTTTGAACGTCAATTGGATCTGTTTCCATCGAAGACAAACGATGATATCCCAATGTCTGGCACATATGGATAGCAGTAGAGGCCAGAGTCCAGCCCAGTGAGGGCTTGGAGATGTCGATCCCGTGAAGCGCCTGTTCAACTTGTTAACCCTCTTTCATACCTAACGCATGAATCAAGCTTACTCCAAGTATGAGAGCCACGATAGATTCCATAGTAGCTGACATAAGGATATTCAGATTTGCCAAAGCCACTTCAAGATTATCTTTGCACATCTTTGTATATCGATTATGCTCTTCTCTTAGAGCGGGATCGGTCTCGTAGAATCCAAGTTCTAAAAAGACCCCAAAGAGACCATAGTTTGTGATAATGAATGCTGCATCAGTATAGTCCTCGGTGCAAAAGTACACTTCTCGGCATTTCTCGATGAAATAATCAACTGAAAAAAAAGGTATATATCCACTAAATAGAAGTGTCGATTTCTCTAGATGCTCGTCATCAGCCTGGATCAACGGTGGACGCAAAGACAAAACAAACCTTTAAGGTTTCTCAATACCGACAATACTAGTGGCAAAGGGGGCAGCTCTAGATCGCGAACATCCCGTCGCATTGACCCGTGATTCAGAAATTGAACCACTTGAGGAGCAGTTTCTCGACGTTTATTCTGAAGTTCAACCATCTTCCTCAGTGATGAGAGCGCTTCGCTCATCCTAGGATTTGAGAAAACATCAGGAGTACTGCGCGAAACGGCAGTTTCTAAGAACTCTTGCGCATAAGCCGAGTGAGAAGCAAGCGAAGACGGATCTTCATATTCATAAATTGGATCGAGCTGGTCGAGGGGCTTTTCCGGAGTGTACTCGGAATTTTTCAAAGAGTGAGCCTGCCCTGATGCCGTGAAAGGCATGCCCCCTTGGGGCAAAGGCGACGTCTGCGACGAAGAAAAGGATTTGCTCAGATTCGATCCATGAAACCTTGAGGAAAGAACGAGCTCCCGAAGTGCTTTCTCAATGCCCCCAAGACGCTCCTCGATGGAGTCGATCTTTTTCTCACTGTGACCATGTTAGTGATTGCATATTCGGCAGTTTCGCAGGAAATGCGACACACTATTGACTAGATATGAGGACCCTCCGTCGCGGCTCATGCGGTCTCTGGCCTTCGCCTGTCGAGCGACAAGCTATATTGGCGTTGCGGCAATTGGAGCAGGGAGCCCGCTTATCGCAACGAATCTGTGCCAGGATCAGCCTTGCTGGTCAAAAATATAGATCAAGGAGCAGTTTGCTTTTCTAAGCCGACATTGGTCGCACTAAACAAGGGTGATATAGTCAGCCATACAAGACCCAAACGATCCATCTGATGCGGTTCCATCTCATGGAGGTTATACAAGCTGGAGTACATACAGCACGCCGAGCCAAATTGCCCAGGTCTCGATCATCGTGATCGGAGCCATCAGGTTCCATGGCCCAGATTGAATAACAAGTCGCTGTTACGCGTCCAGAGTGCCACACACTCGATACTCTCTCAAAGAGCCTGTCGGGGAGAAGGCTGCCTGGGGTCTCTATTGCAACGGGTTGGTCACGTGCAGGAGTCGGCGCTTCCGATCAAAGAAAAATGAAACTTCGGTACTGAAACTATCATACAAAGCGATTGTTTGAAGCTAATGGCTGCAGATATTGAACGTAGGTTTACGGAGTGTTGATTGTGATGCGCCTGTCGAGTCGTTAAGTGACGTTGAAGCGCCCGTAGAATACCCCGGGGTAGAAGGGCGCCCAGCACACCTATATACTTGTATGGTCTATCCAGCAAAACTGAAGCAATGGGGGTACTAAAGCAATATACACAAACAAAAAAAATTCCCCAAAGGATCCTCATTCATCTGAGGCTAAAGGGGGGTCTCCAATCTCCGTTGCTTTGCCAAACGCCAGCGGGGCTGTAATTTCCTGCATCTACCCCCCTTAAGAAAGCAAACCTGAAGAAAAGATCCTCTGGTTCGTCAGCATCATCACCATCACCAAGTAGGAGAGAGTTAGTGCCTAAAGCAGAGTCATCAATTCCCCGTCTTCTGAGAACAGGCGACTGCTGAAGTTCGAGGCCATCATGGCCGTGCCGGTGCCACGTGAACTCGCCCCGCTCATCTTCGTCCAAGTAGCTGCGCCAACGCTCAACATCATTCAGCAGGACTGAGATTCCGTCCACGGAAAGACTTTTCATTCGCTCATGTTCCCATAGGGAAAAGGTGATGTTACCATTGCCGCGGTAGGTTGCATTGGATCCCACATCAGGCAGCTCAATTCGGATGGAAGAGGCTGTGATATTGGGATACGTAGATCCCCACCAGTCACCACCGCCACTTCGTCCAGGCGCTAGCTCTCCCAAAGAAGCAGGAGTCTCGATAATGGAAGCAAATCCCCACCTGGCAATCCCGTTTATGAATAAACCAAGTAACAAGCCTTGATACACTAGAGACGGACGGGTGGGGAAAGCCGTACCTGGCATGAGCAAGATTGCCAGGATGTAGTGATGGATGCGGAGTCGCAGGCCAGGTAAGGGGGCAAGGACTATGATGAAAAGAGCCATGGTCCCATAAATCTTCAAGTACCGTGGCATGAGCCCACCTTGGCGAATTTGCCATGCTTGGCTGAGGACAACGGTGAGAACAGTTGGCAGTACGATTGCCAGTGCCAACTTGGCCCCGGGTTGTTGCTGGATGTCCATTGGGGTAAGACGTTTCAGAGGAATCCATCGTGCAAAAGTATAGTTGTTCAAGGTTCCAATGAAAAGAGGGGGTAAGAACAACAGCATCTTCTCCAGTTGGTAAGAAGGAGAAGAAAGTGGCTTCAGCACAGGTAAGGAACAGAATTTGAATAATACATATACAACGAATGTTGCAGGCAAGAGTCGAGACAAGAGGGTTGAGACAAGTTCCGTCAAGTAAGGATACGATGGAGGATCCGCGACCAACCCCGTATGCGAGAACATCATGAAGAAGGTACTGAAGAACAGCACCGCTGGCGATGTACAGAACAGCCACAGGAGACCAACAGCAGTGGCAGTGACCCCAAGCAGGGACCATCGCGGGTCAGCCGGGCAATTGCTTTGCGAAGAGGACAACTCCAAAAAGCTGAAAGACTTGGGGAATGTGGACGGAAAGGCTATCGACTTGATCTTGTTTCGGTCTACCGAGGGAACGAGTGTGCAGCGCCCTCGAGTTGAACAACACCGCAGCCACCGTCAACGTTCGAGATGGCACCGGAGTGGATTGCAGCTTGGCAGATGAAGCTGTCCGCCCGGTATATAGCCGGATCGGACGAATGCAACTTTGGCCCTCCGATCACAAGCCCCTGGTAGTTGAGAGTCTGGTTTCCAACCACATGGGGTTCCGTCAAGATGGTGTCGCGACAATTCGCCGGGCATCGGAAGGCGATCTTCGAGGAGGAGAAAGGCCGGCAATCGTTTCCATTCATACCACACCCGTTATCGAATTCCCTACACACAAACGGTCAGTTGTGGGTTCCCACACGCGGCTCGTAGTAATTCACATACCAAAAATTGGAGGAGCATGAGAGGGTCTGCAGCTGGCCGTAGCCCTCTATGTACCCTGCAGAGCGAGAGTGAAGGAGAACCAGGAACCATGGCAAGAACCAGGACAAATATAATAGTAACAAAAGAACGATCTTATGTCTGCGCTTCGGAAGAAGGCGATCTAGATACTTGACAGGAAGTTCTTGCAAGCGGGGAAACAACGGTTTCAAGAGAAGGGTATGTGGCGGATCAGGTCCCCTGACCCAATTTGCAGTCGCGCGCCCGGCTTTTCGTAAGGGGAGAGGGACCCAAGTCCATCGATACGATTTGGATGATTCCTGCAGCCATATGGGTAGAGGGCTGCCGGCTTCGACATCCGGTGGCGGGAAATCCTCGGAGTCTTCGGGATTGGCGTTGGCGAAATACTCCTCGTCTTCGAGTAGCGGGGTCGAGTAGTGCCGAAGGCCGTCACGACGACTCTCTCCGGTCATGGCACCGAGTCTATAGCAAAAGAAATGAACGACAGTATAGTATATGTTGAGCTGAGGATATGGCAAACGAGCGTTGGGGCTATGATGTCGATGCCGGAGCGGTCGGGCGCTAACGCCGGAGTGGAGATTTCTCCGAACAGTGGGTTCTTCTCCAACTAGGGGGATGTCGCAAAGAGCCTCAGGAACCTCAGCTCGAAGTTTGGTTTCGGGATAAAGAGTGGCCGTGAGGTAGATATATATGGTTGGTGGAAGAGGAGAAATAGAGGGAGAACTGACGTTGCGGCAAAAGGTGTGGCAGCCACTTGGCAGCCAATGAGTAGCCAATCATGGGCCGTGCTGCCAAAGGGGCCGGAATCGCCTGCATTCCAACCTTCAAAGAACTTGAACTCTTAGAACACCTTCTTAAGCCGATCAGATATAGGCTCGTGTGTGGAGTTCGTCAGGGGAGAAAATCTACCGAAAATTTAAACAGCTTTAGTCCTGCAGTACGACGCAGGGGATGACGGCGCCTTATGGCCTTGACTCGGCTTGCCTTGTCCCACGTCTGATACCTCAACACCGATAGCTCATCATATGATGTTCTGGCGGAAGCCGTGGCCGTTGGAGTTGTATCTATTCTGATCTTGTAGCCATTAATTCTACTAGCATCTGAGAAATGGACAGCCGTCGATCACTCGCTCTTCGGGCCCCACGTGATTACATGGAGCCCATCGACTGGGTGCGCGTTGTATGTCGTTCCAAGGTGATAATTACCCCGGGGATACATTGGGGCTTCCCCTACCTTTGGAATCCTCCGAGTCTCTCAGCTTCGTGCCTTTAGACCATGGTCGGGCAACGAGTAAAAAAGAGGATTGTCATTATCGGATTGCGACTCTTCGCTATATCTGCCCTGCTGTATACGGCCACACGTATCGTCATATTTGCACAGCTCTTCGGCAAATTTAAAGACCATTCCGGAATTCGTTTGACACAAGAGGAGATATTCGAGGCGCATAATTTGTCTGATATACGCACCCCTGTGGTGCCGAAAATCATCCACCAAGTGTTCCATAACTGGCATGATGCCACTGACAAACCCCTCCCCGCCAAGTGGGAGTCTACGCGACAAAGCTGCATTGACTTGAACCCTGGTTGGGAATACAAGGTGAGCACATAAAAGTCTCATGTTGTAATCGGAAGTCCATGTATAAGTTAACCAGATATCCCAAAGCTGTGGACATCTCAGGATTCTCGAACGCTGATCCAGCTCTATTTCCCTTCTTTTCTCAGGACATACGACGGCTACAAATACCCCATTCAAAGAGTGGACGTCGTTAAATATTTTGCATTGCGCAAATATGGTGGAATCTACATTGATCTAGACAATGTAAGCGATTTCATCCGGGTATCTGTACGCCGGATGTTCCGTGCTAATTTCTTACTGGTTACAACCAGGGATGCTCGGCAAATCTCGAGCCTCTTACTTATTATCCAGCTTTCACTATCGACGGTGGGCAAGGCGCCTTGAGCAATAACATCGTCGGTGGACAGCCCCATCACCCATTCTTCGTCCTCCTCACAGACAATCTTGGCCCTTGGAATTGGAACTATCTGCTACCCTACGTCACGGTAATGTTTGCCAGTGGGCAGTGGTATTTGACGGCCATATGGGAAAAGTATCATTCACTACTAAGAGATGATGGATCGGTGGAGGGTTTCAAAGGTGATTCGTGGGGGATCTTGTATCGGGTGCTGAACGACCTACGGCCAGGAGCTGATCGCTTAATCTTCTTTACGCAAGCAGTAGGGGAGTCTTGGGCAGATTGGGATTACCGGCTACTCAAGACTATTGGAGACTACATCTTATTGGTTGTCTTGAGTGCCTGGTTAGCCGCGGGTGGGGTTATTTGGTTCTATATACGAAGGAAGGCTCGACGAAGGCCCGATTTTCAATACGAGCCCATGATGGCTTGAATCCAAGAGGACTGATTAATAATTAACTAACTAATGGCTGTGATTATTAGTTAAGTTAAAAGAGTCCTGTCAAATGTCAATTTCAGGTTTCGGAACCATCTGGATCTCCACCAACTAATCCTTTCTGGGGTCGAGCGACATGGGGTCGATATTCCGCAATCGTGTCTGTTGGACCAGACCTCCTCAGGGTACTGCGTAAGGTGGCTACCGAGTCTGGAAAAGAGGCGCGCCCTAAGATAGGCCGGACTGCCTAGACTCTATCGCCCAATCAATCGATCCTATCAGGAGCGGCGACTTAATCTATCAAGGCTCGGGGCTCGGATCCCAACGGTTATTGCTTATCAAAGCATCGCCTGGGATTGTGCGGGGATTCAGGGTAAGACAGGAAGATCTCCTAGATCCTTTTTTTTTTTTCCATTTCTTCAATCGCTCTTTCATCTTCCCTCGCCAGCTCTTTGCTGCCAGAACCTTTCGACTCCTCCAGTGTGGGCCATCTGCAAGGCCGTTGAACCTGCAGCCGATCAATATGTCAGCTGCGCCGCTCGACCTATCACACCACTTCTCCTTTGTGAGCAAGAACCGACATCTCAGCGATGTCAAGGACTTCTATAAATACTATTTGATTCCAGGGATCGCAAATTTCGCGGGGGGTGAGTATTGACTTTCGATGTAACGTGACCCATCTAATTAATGTCATATAATTGTAGGCATGCCACATCCGTCCTACTTCCCTTATGATAGTCTCGAGGCCTCTGTCGCTCGGCCACAGCGCCTGCAGCCAGCTAATAGTGGAGACGCGAGTCCAGAAAAGTTGATTATTCCCAAGGATCCGCAGACTACCGACCCGAACCTGCGCATTGACTTGAGTTCTGCGCTCCAGTATGGCACCGCCGGCGGTTACCCAGCATTGCTCTCGTTTCTGCGCCAGTTCACGCGGGATCATCTCCATCCCAATATTCCGTATGCCGGGGGCCCTGACGTGATCATTAGCTGTGGCAATACCGATGGCTTGGCGAAAACCATTGAGCTTTTCACCAATACCTGGAATGCCGACCGCGATTGGATTCGACAAAGAGAGGGCATGCTATGCGAAAAGTTCACATACATGAATGCGGTCCAAACCGCTCGCCCACGAGGCCTCAATATAGTCAGCGTAGCCATGGACGGAGAAGGCATGCTCGCAGCTGGCAAAGGAGGCCTAGCCGACGTGCTAGAGAACTGGGATTTTCGACGTGGCCGACGACCCCATCTTATGTACACCGTGACGTGAGAACCCCTATTACGGCCAAGCATCGGAGACTCCAATGACTTGATACTTACTTGCAACAGAATTGGCCAAAACCCGACCGGTGGCGTCTTATCCATTGAGCGGAAAAAGCAAATATACGCACTATGCCAGAAATACGACATCATCATCATTGAAGACGAACCCTATTGGAATCTGCAATACCCTTCTGCTTACGAAATGGAAGCGCGATGTCGGGGCTTGGCTTGCCCACCTCCGCCAAACTTTAATGCGAACAAGAAGTCCTCTGGCTATTCCTTTTTGGATTCCCTAGCGCCCTCGTATCTGTCCATTGACACGGAGGGGCGCGTGGTGAGACTCGATACCTTTTCCAAAACCATTGCACCCGGGAGCCGCTGTGGCTGGATAACGGCGCAGCCCGCTGTGATCGAGCGCATCACTCGCATCACCGAGGTGACAACGCAGCAGCCCTCTGGCTTTGTGCAATCCGTCATAGCAGAAACCATTCTAGGGCAACAAGGCAGCAAGGATGCAGTTCGGTCATCTAAACTGCAGCCGGCTCACGCGTGGCAGCTCGATGGCTGGGTACGATGGCTAGAAGGTCTACGCGGCGGTTACGAGAGACGCATGAAATCCATGTGCACCTTGTTAGAAGATAACAAGTTCTTATTCTCCGAGACTTCAGCAAACTCAAGAAACCCCCTCGATTTTTCTGCCGATGAATGGGAAGTAGTCGACCGAGTCCAGATGTTTGATTTTGTCTGGCCTAAAGCGGGCATGTTCACGTGGATAGAAATGCATTTCGAGACGCACCCGTTGCGGTCGCAATACAGCCAGGAGGTTCTTTCCAAGGCCCTCTGGGTTCACCTTACGAAGGCACCAGCAAAATGTTTGGTAGGACCTGGAAGTATGTTTGCACCCACGCCAGAGTCGGCTGTACATGCGCAAAGATTCCTTCGCCTGGCATTTGCGCCGATGGATCCTGAAGATGTTACATCTTATACCCAGAGATTTATTGAAGGAGTCAAGACGTTTTGGCAACGCAAAGATCTCGATGGTCTAGATGATAAGCCCATGGCCATGCTTTCAGTCAAGGAAAATCCAGCTATTAACTTCCTTGGTCTTGGCTGCTAAGACAATCCGTCAGGTGCTGGGGTGGGAATCGAGAATTTCATATAGACGCAAACGCTCTAAATGTTCTCACGGGTTCAAGTTGGGCGTGAGAAGATGGGATCCTGAGTATTTATGATGTGAAAAACTCATTATATGTCAATTAAGATTTCAAGTCGGAATTCTATTGAGCTTCAAGACCCTATACTCCCGGTACCAGTAGCCATCATGATGGTTCCATTCCATGTTGTCAGCAATTCGAAGTTTGGCCGCAGTAGATCCGAGTTTCAGGCTTGCGAACAAGAATAGGTACCAGATTACTCTAAGAACTGGACTGGATCGAAGGTGAAATAAAAAAAAAAAAGGTATGTACTCATACTCAGTTCTGAATATCAGACCTGGAGTCTCGATATCGTTCTCGGAAGGTCTAACATACATAATCGTCCCAGGTATTATAGGATATATTAAGTACTCCAAAAGTCTCGATAGGGTATATCCCAGAAAGCCGATGTTCAATTATAGACTCGAGCTAGATGATTTAATAACAGGTAGGTTATGAATAGAAATATTGAATGTGCGTTGTACGACCAGAGCAATCCAGTGCCCACCGGTCAACATTGATGCCTGAGGTCGATTATAAACGTTCTGCGGGGAAATCGAATTTCCCGAAATCTTCTCCGCAGCTCGTCTGACCCCCAAAGCCATGCCCAATAATGTCGCAGCTCGATGACCTGACCAATCGAGAGTTGGCCGAAGAGATTGAAGCCATCAATGCCATCTACGAGCCCGAGACAATCAAAGTAGAGAGCAGCGCGCCCGCGCCCACGCCCGCTTCAACCGCCGACCCTAAGGCCCCTCTATCCGATACCGCACAAACAACAGTCACTCTCCAGATTCCCGGACAGCCGCATCTCTCATTTATCCCAGGGTTCGGAGCAACATACCCGGAAACACGACCTTCAATTCTCGGAACCGCATCGACAGCAGCGCGCGGCGAGGGCAAAATTGCCGTGGATATACTGGAAGATATAGTACAGCGTACCTGGCAACCTGGCGCCGTCTGCCTATTCGACGTGATCAGCGAAGCGGTTGAAGTCTTCCCAGAGCTCAGCATTGGAGGGGCCAAGGATGCAGTGGAAAGCGCGGACGCCACTGCGCACGGCCAGTCGTCAAACCAACCATCCGATACAGAAGCGGTAGCCAGGACCGCAGAGGATCTCGCCAGGATATCACTACGGGATGCGTTCGGACTTGAGGACCCGCCGGTGTGGGTTCTCTCTGATGTGATTTCCGAGAAGAAATCTGTGTTTTTAGGACGAGCCGTGCGCGTCGCCAATGTGGCGCAGGCGCAGGCTTGCTTGGAGCATCTCACCGCGACGGACAAGAAAGCTGCAATGGCAACACACAATATTAGCGCATGGCGTATCAAGCAGAAGAAGGATGGGGGGAAAGATGCGGCAGAGACGCAAATACAGGATTACGATGATGATGGTGAGACGGCCGCCGGCGGCCGCTTGTTACATGTGATGCAGTTGATGGATGTTTGGAACGTGCTTGTTGTGGTCTCGCGCTGGTACGGTGGTATTCAGCTGGGACCGGCACGCTTTCGACTCATCAACGATGCTGGCCGTGATGCCCTGGTCAAAGGCCGCTTTATCGAGGAAGCATCGGCGAGCTCGGAGAAAGGCAAGAAGAAGGGCAAAAAATGAACACTGACCATGATCAGCTTTAGACATCTAGCCGCAGTACATGCATGATGCATGACCACTTGAAGATCTTTCAAAAGCAATGTCCTGTGCTCGAGGGTTCCGGGAGAGCAGTGGGCAACTAGTCCAACTGCGCTGGGCTTGCAGAGCCCGACGGGAAATTTTCAATGTCTCCATTGCCACCCTATTTTGCTTTTGCTTGGCTGGGACCCTTAGAACGCTGCGGCGTACCATGGTGCTGGTGTAAGTTAGTAAGTGATTGAATGAACCTGGGCTAAAATCTCAAAGTGGAATTCCTGAGGTCTTCGCAGCATCTAATAGACCCTGACTCTAAACCAACCATTCCTAATTACCAGAAGAGAGTGTTCCCGTATCAAACAAAACAGTACATTGGTTGAGGGATATAGATAGATATGGCAGCGGTAGTGTGTGATATTCCCATGCTACGCTGGGCCAAGTCCGTTCTCCAAGCTCAAAGTTTGTCAAAAAAAGAAGGGATGTTACCCCTGCTCTGTTTGAATGGATTCCTCATGCCATACGGTTTCGAGGCAAGTCTGGCCCGAAGAGCCGGCGAGAATCTGCTGTTACTGCAGCAATGGGGCCGACTACGTTACCTCCCACTTGTATACCGTAGCAATTGTGGAAATCAAGGGTTAATCCCCTGCGTAGAGCCCCAGCGACCATTGCAAGCGAAGCCGAACATCTCCGCTTGTATGCGAAGTTGTCGACTTTTCATTTTTGCCAAGGTATTTCCACATATCCACACGCGTGGGCCAAAACATCATGTCCCCGCGAGAATAAGGCAATTAGACGAGTAGCTATTCGGTCCTTTGATTGCTGTGGACACAGCTGAAATTTAGCATGTCAAGCCATCCTCGCGTAGACGATTCAACTTCCCGGAATTTGCCTGCTGCATAAGTAGTGTGTTTAGATTGGCATCGGTGATCGAACTAGCAGTGTACCATGACACGAGTAGATTAATGCACGAGTTGAGGCAATTCTGGAAAGGCAAAGCGATCGAGTTCGAGCAGCTCATCCGCATCCCAAACTCTAGTGAACCCACTTGGTTCTGGTAGTATGAGCGGTGACTGTGGATCTCTGGGATGGCGCGCTAAAAATTCCAGGTTCTTTCAGTTCGGAGCTCGCACTGCACTGTTGGGAAAGTAGTTCAGGACGCACGCTATCAACCTGAAACGGCTCTAGCCATATACGACTTCAGACACCATGCGATCGATGGTTCGCGTGCGGAGAGCCTAGAAGCATGGTAGATTAAGTCGGGTGGCACCGATTTCCGTGACGTTTTTAATTGCGAAGGGGTTTAGAGAAGGTCACAAAAGAAGAATAAGGGACTGCTCTAGATCACCTGTCTAGTCCACTTTCGGGCCGGGAAGCTACCACATAGGACGACATGACGTCTGTTAGCCCTGGGACCCGTGTAGTGGAGTAGCGGAGGTCGATGACCCATATCGAAGTACAGAGCAGAGCAAGGGGGATCCACTAAGATCTTCGCTGCCTACGCTGAACCATAGTGAGCACCCACCGCCAACACTCCTGTCATACAAGAGTTGTATGTGAGACCCCCATTGAACCGGTCCGCGGGCTTAAGGCAACGCGTTGGTCAGAATGGGTTACATGGCCCCGGGCGGCAGGTGCAATACTATTTGTCGTGAATACGGAATTCTTTGCTAGAAGATAGAAGTGTGTCACGATCATTGTAGGAAATACGAGGGAGAGGCTCTCAAGCCATCGCTTCCCCGCGACTTGGAACGTCATCACACCGATATGTCTCGCGGGAGGTTTCTACCAGTCGCAAGGGCGCACCTCGTTGACGATGCATGTACATGCCGATTCAGGGAGGTCGTGACCAACCAGAAGGGACCGTGAGCCATGAGGCAGGCTGCTAGTGGAGCTATCATCAGGGGGATGTACTGAAACGCGAAGGACCCTGGGCCATTGTAACGCTTCGTTTCAATTTTGTTGTGGCATCTAGTGTGGGTGATTAGTGCCCCGACCCGCAATCAGGAAACGTTGGCGCCAAGGACGTTGACACCCCGCAGCTGAGGGACCAGTCAGGAGGTCCGTAAAGCTGGAAAATGGTTATGAAGATTGGGATGAGGCCTATCGGGGGAAAGCAAAAAGATACCAAAAAGGGGGAGTGAAAGGTTTGGCTGTGTCCAATGCCCTTGCGACTGGTCTGTGCCTGTGGTTGGTTCCTTCATCAGCCGCCGGCTCTGCGCTCGCAGAGGGCGGGAGTCCATTGGCGCCCGTTGACTGGTACAGCGGGCTGCAGATCACCCCCTGGAGAGCCGGAGTGAGGCGCTGTGACTGGTTGGGGCCTAGTTGTCTTCTTCAGCCACTCAGCTTGCAATCTCGATGCGCTTCAACTGTCGTATACTCAACTCTGAAACATCCCAGCTTTCTCGAAATCCACTCCCCACTAGCGTTCAGTCCTCAGATCAGTCAAATGCGGGCCATAGTGATGCATTGCCCTGGTTGGTGTATGTCAAAGCAGATCAAACTCTTGCTGTGTCCGATTGATTGACGTCCCCATCTGGAGACTCTACGCGTGGGCCTAATGCTTAGTTGCCCTGCAGGGACGGGTCGGACAAGACGGAGCTGAATATAAAACCCTCCAGGCGCCTATCTACATTCCTTTTTTCTTGTGCATCTTCTTTTTCATTCACGGTTCGACACCTCACAGGCTAGTCCTGTTTACTTTCTTTCCTCTCCTACGTTTGGTAGTCGCCTGTGGCAGACACCGACACTCCTTTCCAGGCTTTCAGAGAAATCATCGCTTCACGCAACCAACATATCTTAGCAGATCCTGTTTGTAACAGTCTGCTACCAATCTTTGATTAAAGGTATTGTCCTTGCGAGTGTGCCTTTGTTTCCCGTTGTTCGCCGAGGGTTACCCTTAGACAGTGAAGTGAATGATTAAGGCTATGGACTTTTCTCTTTCCTGAAACAATGGGAACCATACTTCAGGGAATTTCCATGTGCCTTTCTACCGAGATATGTGAATTTCAGCCCATTCACGATTTTCATTCACGATTATCTCCTTTACAATGCTCCCCATCGACTACTTCGACTATATCATGGCGAGCTTTTCCATGCATCTGCTAACTCAGTTGGTCTAGGAAGCAACAGCCTTGTCCGTACGACTACCAACATCCACTCCTTTTTTTTGTGTGATCCCATTCGTCTGGCACGAGTTGGATCTACTTGCCCAATTTTCAGTCGAATCAAATATCGAAAAAAAGACCTCTTGCAACATGCTCGCCAAATCCATGCTTGTGGCCATGCTGGGCGCCTCTATGGCCCAAGCCCATATGATCATGACCAACCCTGTTCCCTACGGCAAGGACTCTCTCACCAACGCCCCTCTCGCTGCGGATGGCAGTGACTTTCCCTGCAAGCTGCGCTCCGGTGCTTTCACTGTCAGCAAGGAGAATGTTATGACTATCGGCGAGAGCCAGAACATGACTTTCCAGGGCAGTGCTACTCACGGCGGTGGTTCGTGCCAGATCAGTCTGACCAGTGACCGCGAGCCTACTAAGGACAGCACATGGAAGGTCATCAAGTCTTTTGAGGGAGGCTGTCCCGCCAATGTTGATGGTAACATGTCCGGTGGCTCCACCATGGCCGACCCATTTGAATTCGAGTTCTCTATTCCCGATGGGATCGCGCCTGGCAAGTACACTCTTGCCTGGACTTGGCTCAACCGCATTGGCAACCGGGAGTTCTACATGAACTGCGCTCCTCTTACCGTCCAGGGAGGTTCCTCCAAGCGATCCGAGATCGAAGAGCAGGAGTTCGAGAAGCGCTCCAGCAACTTCCCTCCTATGTTTGTTGCCAACATCAACGGTTGCACCACCAAGGAGGGTGTCGATATCCGTTTCCCCAACCCCGGTGACGATGTTCAGTACCTCGGGCAACCCGCCAACCTTGCTCCTGAGGGCTCCCCTGCTTGCACTGGTACTCCAACTTTCGCTGGTGCCGGTAACACCCCTGGTGGGTCTAGCTCTGGCTCTGGCTCTGGCTCTGGCTCTGGCTCTGGCTCTGGCTCTGGCTCTGGCTCTGGCTCTAGCCCTTCATCTGTTGCCCCAGCCGCCACCTCTAGCGTTGCCCCTGTTCCAGTGACAAGCAGCGCTCCTGCCCCTGCCGAGACCACCGCTCCTGCTCCTGCTGCTCCCCAGCCTGCCACGACCTCTGCCCCTGCTTCGCCCTCATTTACCGGCTCCTCCGCCGCCGGTGCCATGAGCGGCCCCTGCAGTGACGAAGGTGCTTGGAACTGCGTCAGCGGTTCTTCTTTCCAGCGCTGTGCCAGCGGCCAGTGGACTAGCCCCCAGCAGATGGCTTCCGGCACCATTTGTACCGCTGGTCAGAGCTCTGAGCTGTCTGTCAAAGCAGCCGTTGGTGCTCGCGCTGCCTCTGAGATGCGTTTCCGCAAGCGCATCATTGGTGGCTCCCACCACGCATAAGCAATCTCCGCTGGCTCGGGGCTTGTTGCACTCATTGTCCTTCTCTTCGTCGCATTTCGGTGCTGTTCTTGAATTTTGGAATTTCTTCATTTCTTTTCCGTGCTCAGGCCTTTTTGCAAGGTGGCTCTTTCTTTTTTCCATTTCCATTGCACCTTTTCCCTGGCCTTGTACATTACTCAGGACTGAGGTGTCGATGTATGTGCATGATGAGTCTTGATCGAATCGTACCAGCTACCGCGGAGTACACAATTCCTATGTAGCCGGCGCCATATTCTCAAGTGTGGCTTAGAGAACATAAAAAAGCAAACTTCTACAAACTCCTTGTGTTACAATGCCGAGCCTGCGTTGGCTTTAGAGAAGTCCAAGTAGATCGCTTAATTGGTGGTATATTGTATTGGATTTTGAAGGGGCGTAGCCTTTATTAGTCCTACTACAGTCTACCCAGATCCGCTAAGACACATTCCTTCTTGAAAACTTACGCCTGAAGCTTGTATTACTCACCAGGATCAGTAAGCACACTTCCTCTGATAAATCAGTGCTATTTGGACCATAGGTTACTGGTCCTGTAAGAAAGAACAGACGAATTAACTGATGTTGCCTTTCTCTCTTTTAACAGTAGGAACACAGCTCTATGCACTAAGTGGGGTTCCAAAACCCCGGGCCCGCCTGAAATTATTACATAATCGAATGACGGCGCGGGTGTTGTCACCTCAGGCCACAGAGACTAATCCTCTCTGGGAACGGAAGGGCTTAGGGCTTTGCCGCGCACCACAATTCTGAGCGAAAAAATCCATCCAAACCCGACAGGGAAACTTTGATCTTCATCCTCACTCACGACACCGACAACAATGGCCTCCCGCCCTACCGTTTCGATCGCCACTGCTGAGGGCAAGGCCTCCGGGGCCACCCAGCCCCTGCCTACCGTTTTCAATGCGCCCATCCGTTCGGACATTGTCCAGTACGAATCCTCGACAAATGGAGCTGTGGGAATAGGATCGCTAACGGTTTCACTATAGGCAGGTGCACGCCGGTATGGCCAAGAACAAGCGTCAGCCCTACGCTGTGAGCGAGAAGGCTGGCGAGCAGACCTCTGCTGAGTCCTGGGGTACTGGTACGTGAGATGCAATTGAAATTTCGAGATGGGGCAGAATATGGAGATTGGCGAATTTGGCGGGGGAGGAAAAAGAAGATTGGAATTGTGCCTTGGGGAGAGAGAGGGATTTTCTGCATCGCAGAGGGAGACAAAAAGGCTAACAATCATTCTCTTCTCCAGGCCGTGCTGTCGCTCGTATTCCTCGTGTCTCTGGTGGTGGTACTCACCGTGCTGGTCAGGCTGCCTTCGGTAACCAGTGCCGTTCCGGTCGTATGTTCGCTCCCACCAAGGTCTGGCGCAAGTGGCACCAGAAGATCAACGTCAACCAGAAGCGTTTCGCTACCGCCTCTGCTCTGGCTGCTTCTTCCGTTCCTGCCCTTCTCTTCGCCCGTGGCCACCGTGTCGCCAAGGTTCCCGAGGTTCCCCTCGTCGTTGAGTCCAAGACCTTCTCCGGTGCTGCCTTGACCAAGACCAAGGCTGCTGTCGCCCTTCTCCAGGCCGTCGGTGCCGGCGATGAGCTCGTCAAGGTCTCCAAGTCCCGCAAGATGCGCGCCGGTAAGGGTAAGCTGCGTAACCGCCGCTTCCGCCAGCGCCGTGGTCCTCTCGTGGTCTACAACCCCGAGACCGACGGCAAGGAACTTGTCCGTGCTTTCCGCAACATCCCTGGTGTCGAGACTTCCTCCGTCTTCGCCCTCAACCTCCTCCAGCTCGCCCCCGGCGGTCACCTCGGCCGCTTCATTGTCTGGACCTCCTCCGCCTTCGAGGCCCTTGACCAGGTCTACGGTACCACCACCACCCCCTCCGCCCTCAAGAAGGACTACCTCCTTCCCTCCAACCTGGTTGCCAACGCCGATCTTGCCCGTCTCATCAACTCTTCTGAAATCCAGTCCGTTGTCCGCGCCCCCAAGGGTGAGGCTCGTACCAAGCGTGCCCACGTCCAGAAGAAGAACCCTCTCCGCAACAAGCAGGTTCTGCTCCGCCTTAACCCCTACGCTGCCGCCTACTCCAAGCAGAAGATCGGCCAGCAGGGTGTTGACGGTGGCAAGCCTGTCCGCGCTAGCGAGCACTTCCACAAGACTCTCAACGAGGACTAAGAATCTTCTTTCTTCTTTGTTGACATGTTGAATGCTCGAAAAAAATAGTAGTCCCAGAGCAAAAATGAATCAATGCCCTTTTTTGCAATACCCACTGAATGGATTCGGAGTATAATATGATCGGTTATGTTTTCCTTCATCCTTTCTGCGTAGCCTCATGTTCAAATGGTAAGTGGACGTAATGTTGTAGTAAAGGTCCGGTGCTCATCTTCTGAGATATCTATCATCATGTTGTCTTCATATACCTGAGACCGCCCATGCCGGCTCTATCTACAATGATACTTCAAGCTTGTGACAAGTGGGCTGGATAGTCCAAGTTGCACCTCCCAAGAAGTTCACAGCTACAGCATTACCAGTCCTGCAAACGTCTTTGCACTTCTTCCGATTGGAACCCCAGCCAGCCATTCGCTGAGGACAATCTCTACAAAGTTTGATTGCAAGCTGCCTTGAGAAATTCTTCTATTTTTCCTGCTCCCTCCGAGGATCTTTTAGTTACCACTTGCAGATCGCTTAGACGATGAACAGGCAAGGTTTGGTCGAATCGTGCAGCTCTACCTAGCGGTGAGAATTGCTTATGTTGGTCGTCGCTTGAATTTAAATCAGACATGACTAAAGCACGCGTGAAGATTCCATCGCGACTCGAATGGATGTCTTCTGTACCGCTCACGGGGAAATTACAGATTAGAAGGCAAGTACCTCACCTCCTTTCCACTTAGATTGGCATCCTGCGTTCCGTGAAGCCGACAATCTGTGCTACTAGTGCGAGTACCCCTGCTAGTGATAGTTCAAATACTAGATTTCCTCGACATAAAAACTGAAACACCCCCCTGCTCATCACACGTATGGTAAATTCCAAGCTCATAGGCTAACTACTATTACTCTGCCCAGCCACTCACTTCGAGTTACACTAATTTCGAGTCACTACTAGTAAAACTTAGAGAATCATACACTGGCTGTGCTAGTTATTCCCGACTATCATTATCTCTCTCGGGGTTCTAATCCTAGGATGCGAAAATTGTCCAGTTCGCCCCCCCGTCAAGTTCGATATTCCTTTAACCTCGAGTGAGACTCGATTGTCGAGCCTGTTCATGGTTCAACCAAATACCTCACAAATCAGGGTCCTTAACGCCGAGGCGGTTGATATAGATATCCACTCTTATTTTCCGTAGCACTCCATCCAACTAATGCAACCCAACCCCATACCTAATGCACAGCAGTGGACATGATCCAGCACCGGCACTAGTAATTCAAAATCCCAAAACTGCCGAGGCTAGCAGGAACGGACGAGACACCATCCAGCCAAGGAAGGCTATGCAAGCATAGAACCAGCCCTGGAGGACCCAACCCAAGCTTCCGTGACAGTCTTGAACTTTGGGCCGAACCTTATATCGGCGCCTTAAAGCCAAAAAAGGTATCTTATGGGTCCCCCTGAAAGCGTTACAATCCAGACCCGAGAATTCCTATCGACAACGCACCGCCCTCAGCCGCCCCGCAATAGTGCCGATAATACTCCGTAGCCTGGGATTTGATATAACGGTGTACTAGTCATCGACTCCAGCGGCCCATGCCGAAACTTTCGCAAAAGTATCCGATCGATAGGCAGTTGGCCCTGCTACGCAAGCCTGCCCCCCCGGGGGGTTCTTCCCGCCACAAACACCGGCGTACTCCGGGCTCTCCGCACCGCAAGGCGTTGGCGTTCGGCTAGTGAAGTTTAGGTCCGATGCGCAGCCACAGGCCCCCACATGTGCACTGCGCTATCTCCTAGGCCACTATGCAAGTGGATTTATGCGTGAAAGGGCTTGCTTTGGAGGTCAAAAAAGGAAAAAAAAAAACCAACCCTTGCAGCGGAGTAAGCCGAACGTCTCGGGAAAACTGGACCCGCCTGAAAGTGGAAAATATGGAGACTATGGAGACTATGGAATTGTTCAGGCTTCCATGTTTGAGTTCGAGTTTCGGGGTTTGAGGTCGAAACAAAGGTACGAACATTAGCCCGCCTTTCCGGGGAAACAGGGCCGGGGCCGAAATTAGTAACTAGTCAGATTTATCTCTATCACATGCGTTCTTGACTCTGGTGCAGCCTAGGCAATCTGGATTGCGCGCCAAGAAACGACTTACACATGCAAAATTTTTGCAGGTGGCAGCCGTTGAGGATCCGGCCGTCATGCTCGATGGGGCTAAGGGGGAAGAAGGGAGGGCGTTGCGTTGATAGATCCACAGAGATATGGGCAGTAAGTGCCAGTGTGTGCGAACAGACGTCAGCCATCATCACTCAAAATTGAGGCTGAAGGGGGGAGCTATTGAATGCTTGTAGTTAGGACAGGCCAGTATGATCCTCAATCTGAAACTCTAGGGAGGACGCGCCAAAGTAGGAAGGAGCGGAGTTTGGACCCTTGAAAACGGGGACGCTTTGGGGACAACGACTCCGTACATGTGACGCCGTTCTCTGTTCTAGAAGATGAAGATCATTAATTTTTGGCCGATGAATCCCCGTTCCCTGTAAACTCTTGCTCCCTACCCGTTTGGTGTATCTAGATACTAGTGCAAAAGAATACTAAGACGCAAACTCAAAAGTCCGCCACAGGAGTCGAAAAGAGCCTAGTCTGACGGGAATCATTTCGGATGAAGATCATGCAACCGTCTGCACTGTCAAGCTGGAAATGTAAATTACAACGTTCACGATCGCTGAATCCTTCCAGATCACGCATTTCAACGGCGCTTGGGCTCGGCAGGTGGCCCGAACAGAGTCGAAGCAAATTTTACCGCATGGGGATACCATATGGAGCAATGGGGCAGAACCGAGATCTCACGGCCGTGCGCAAAGATGCGCGCCAGGGTCTGGTGGCTGATGGGAACTAAAATGAGAGGAGGGCCTAAGGGCGTTAGGGGGCGCTGATTTGTGCGCAGTGGGAGCTGAGGACTTGTACGTCATTGTCCCAGCGGTGTGGGCGGCCCCGAACCAGTGGGAAACTCTGTACTCCGTAAAAAGGAAATGGTTGGACGTCGGGAAATGAGATTGCAGAGCCGAACCCCGAGATCGAAAGTCTATATTGAGGTCGGGGACCTTTCCAGCTCTTTGGTTTGGCCCAGACGGGTCTGGCTGGGACACTGAAATTTGGAGAGGTTTGAAGGGGTTTGGCAGGAGTTCTACTACTGGGACTGGCAGACACTGGTCATGGTGGAATCACCTATTACTGTATTGGTTATGGTGGGCCCCATATTTTTCTTTTTTTTTTTTTTTTTTTCTTTAAGCTGGTATGCGCAGCTCGGTACGAGGTGTACAGTAATGAGAAGCTCTTGGAGCACGGGTGCAACGGGCGCGATTCGCTAGTCAATACCCACAGAGCTAACATTGTGGCTCAAGAAGGCTGCGATCCACGGATCAGATGCAACACTCCAAATAACTGTAACCGAGCTGCTGGAAGTTTGATTAGGGGTGAAGAGGTCCGTGAGAAACCAATGTATAGAATGCATTAGCGAATGAAAATCAGAATTCGTCGAGATGGTTATAGTCACAGTAGAGCCAGAGCTGGCTAGGGCCCGGAGTAACGGGGCAAACGGGGTATCCGGAGTACATGCCCCTTCTAAGCAACATTAGCCCTGCAGAAAAGCAGCCGTTCCTTTCTGATGTGAGGATAGTCTGGCGCCAACAGAGTCAGAGCTCCACCCAGCACCATTCCCAGATAGTTCATTCTGCCCGTCAAAACTTCATCCCAGAGTGGCTCTTCTCGTCTGAATGCAGGAAACGGAACGATCGTCCTTTCGACCGCCCGGAGGTGCTGTTACCGGCGCCAATACCTGCGAGTACTAGTGTATTCTATTCCATGCTCGGAGGGCCCGACTGGCGCCCAATGCAAGCCGCCACGCTCAAGGTAAGCATAATTGCGGTCAGACGTTGATAGAGGGAGCAACGGCTTTCCCGGCAGGATCAGCCGATCTCCGGCGGTTAGGAGAAAATAGCAACCAATCGAGTTAGTCCCTCTCTAAGTAGGTTTAGATGGCGATTCAATTCCCGCATTACCCCAGAGGGAGAGGCTCACAGCCGTGCTTGACAACAAATCTCGGAACTGGAGTCCAGACTGACACTGGCACTTTCGCATCCGAGTCCGCTTTGGGGCAACGCGATGGCTAAGCTTGTGTCTATCTATAGAATGAATGTCCTACACTGGCCCCCAGGAGCAAACATGAGGGCACAGGGAGGCAGAGAGGTGTTGCGACCAGGACGGAGATCATGGAGTCCGGGACGCAAAACATAAATTGGGCTTCAATGAGCCATGCAGTACGGAGTAGTAGGGTCGTAGTACAGGATGGCGTCATGGGTCAGGAACCGGGCGTTAGGGCCACGCTGGGTTTTCCTGCGGTGTACGAATTAATTCCCGGTCGTTCCCCACTCGGGCTTTAATATCAATTGACGGAGGATGGGCCCTAGTGGTCGGCTGCATGAAATGGCGTGTCCTTTTCGTATTTGTGCCTTAGTGCGAGGATCAGACGAATCCTTAATTCTTTGATTCCTGATTCCCTGGTCGTGCCAAGGAAAATCCCCGGCCGAAAAGCTAAAAGCGCCAGCCGTTCGAAATGATTGGGCTAGGGGAGGGGGGGAGAGGGGGAAGCTCAACCGAACTGCTAACCCCATTACCAGGTTCAGCGTCGTAGCCGGGCGTTATTTGGAGTCAATTGGAGGCCCACTTGGGAAGGGGCGCCGCTTAGGGGGATCCTGTCAAGACTAGCCTTCGATTGAATTGCCGACCTCCGATTGGGGCTGATTTTGTGATGGGAGGCATATCCAGTACGCGGTCACGGCTCTAGTCTCTTTTTGTAGTAAACTTTCGCGAACACGAGTTGCACGAGTTGCCTATCAGTCGTCAGAAAAGGGCACGAGCGAGAAGGCAAGATAGGGCGGCGATCTCCAGAGTACGTCATGCGGATCGGGGTTGCCGCTCTTCGCACACCATACGTGGTCAATTGATTGCACTGCAGTTGGCATTGCTTAGTGCTGAAAGTGGGCTTGTGCTCGTATAGTTTAAGAACGATTGGACCATGTTAACGCTTCGGCAACGCGACCAGGCTTTCCCCGGGGGAGCGTCGAGCGTACGGACGCGATCCTCCCCTAGCTGCGCTTCACTGCTTTCGAAGTCAGATTTTGATAGATCGCATTTTCAGCCAAGGGGGAGGGCCTCCTATTGGTCGGTTCGAAAGTGATCATCCAGAAATCTACGGAACCCCCAGAGAAAGATCTGTGCTTCGAGGCCTTTCAACTAGCCACGCTTTTGAAAACAAGATGCACCCAGTCAGGAGATTCACCGAGCGTATCGGAAGACTCAATATTGCGATTGTGTCAAACAACAACCTTAAAATGCCCGTCGGACAGAAACGCTCGGACTCGACGCTGGATTCGGATAAATGGCCAGGCAGTGTAGCACTACGGATCAACATCTATGCAAGGCTAATCGGCCGTTGAAAGGGAAAAAGGCAAGGCGACAGAAAAAAAGGCAACCACGGGAGACAAAATCAAAAGTAAAAAAAGAGATAAAAAAAGAAAGAAAAAAAGAAGAGAAAAAGAAAAAAAAAGAAAAAAAAGACAAAAAGACAAAAAGACAAAAAGACGAAAAGAGGAAAAGCAATTTCCCAGGAGAGAAAAAGCAAAACAGCAAAAAAAAAAAAACACAAGTATGGAGACACCCGAGTTCCTCCAACCGAGGGTCTCGTAAAAGTTGGACCTGAGCCCACCCGCTCCACCTGCACGGCCACACCCCAGCGATCTTCGAAATAACAGAGATTGAAGTTGGCCCTTCTTTAGGGGACTTGCCTAGTCTGGCACACAGTCGCACGCGCCACCCAGAAAGACGAGAAAGGATGAATTTGGACCACATTAACCGGCCTTTATTTCCTCCTGGTTCGCATTCTCTCCCAGAGGCATCGCTTGATTCTCTGCCTTCTTCAGAGGAAGACAGGTTGGCGCTTCGAATATGCAAGATGCTTGCTTTCCTGCATGGCCTACGAAATGCTCAAGCCACTTCCAGCAGAAACGTCCCAAAACTGGGGCCTAAAAGACGATCGCTCCTGGAGAACATGAACCAAATCAAATTGGACTCCACTACCTCGGAATTAAAGAGTCAAGCCGACCAGGAGTCTCCCGGCCCTTCGTCCCGCAGTCTTCCATCCTTTTGTCAGTTGAAGCATGGTGGAGAATAACGAAGCCCGGGTGAGCAGCTGCGGAATAGGCAAAAGCCGAGGGGCTTCGTCTGGTTTATTCTTGTCCCACCTTTCAGTAAATCGCAAGCTCTCCCCACCGGTGTCTCTCAGCCAGTCTCAGGTCCGGGATGCGAAGGATGAGCCGGGTCCGCTCTTCCCTGGAAGAATCCACGGCACTGTAACTCAAGTGCCGGCCAGGAACCAGGATGACGCTCGCTATGCCTCTGGTCTCCTGTTCTTGCCGATATGTCAAGAGTTCGAACGTCAGCAGGAGGAACCATGGTGGCTAATTTTGATCGGACTGGGCACGGTGGCTCCACATGGAATAAAGTGGGAGTAAGCCTGAGGGCCTTTCGATCCCACTTATGCCCCGATTTCTCGTGACAAATTCCCAGTTTGACAGCTCCGTAAGCTAGAGGACTCAGTCTTGCTCTGGCACATGGCGTTCCTCTCGGGCTCTGGCCGGTGGCGTCCTCTTAGAGAGCCGCCTGCAGGCCGGCTGAACAGCAAACGAGGGGGGCCAGTCGTGTCTCATTTGCACTTAATTTATTTCTCTGGTTCTTTTTAATTTTTTTAAAAAAATTTTCTCTTTTTTTTTTTTTTCCCTTTTTTTCCCCCCTTTTTTCCCCTTTCCCACTTTTTGAAAAGTACTGTTGAATCTCCGACTTTCCGTTTGGGATTGTAATTTCTGATAGAATTCAAAATATTCATACTCCATATTCACGGACGCAGCAGCCCAGAAGAGTATAGGTCGATCCCCCCTCCTTCGTCGATCCTATGGCTGAGCACCCGGTCCTTCTTGAGCTAAATTTAAAAATGGTCAAAAAACAAACGGGAAAAAACCGCCGAAAAAGACTGTCCATGCAACCTGCTGGTCGTATTCCAAGTACTTTTGGTAATTATCATGTACCCAGAATACATACAGTGGCCCAGGTGGCCCTTTTCTGAAGCTTCGAGGTTGAACCCCTCCCTTTTCCATTCATTTGCCTGTTTGGGGTTCTTCTTTTCTTTTCTTCTTTTCCCTAATCTCCCCCTCCCTGATCCTCTACATCTCCCCCTCTCTCTAGTAGCACCGCCAGCGTCTCTGGTATCTGGTTCTCTTCCTGGACATCGTAGGGCCTTCGGAATCGAACAGGACACGCCATTCCGCGGAGTTCCCGTTATCATATCCTGCAATCTGCTGCGGGGGACACCACTATTCTAGGTTCCTAACCTTTCCAGGCTCCTTGCACTGGTGGTGGCAACTGAGCCACCCCCCGCCAGCTCATTCCCCTGTATAGCAAGCCTTTTCCCCACGCTGCCGGGTTCACTGGTGCCATCCGTCAGTCTACTCGGCTACGATTTCGCGACTGGGGCTGCCCAATTCATCTTCACAGTAACTGCTTGGCGCGTTCCGGGCCACTATCGATTCTGCGACCTTGAGCATTGGATCTCAAATCGATCACATTATCCTATATGTTGCCCATATGGTGAAGACCGCCTTTCGTGATATACTCTGATCCGCAGATCCTTCCAGCTTCTTGAACGTCGGCCCAAGATCACTCCACGCCCTGGAGGTATCAAGATCTGATATCACCATTGGCATTGCTTTCTGCAGTCTGGATTCTACCGTTGTCCCTTAATGAAGATGAAAAGAGGCCGTTGAAACTTCAGGGATGCTTCGGAATTGCTGGCCGCATGGACTCGTCTTAAATTCGATTCTATACATCTCGTCTCACTCGCAACTAAGTGAATGCGTGGATCCTTCTACCGAGCCGAGTTTCTTTTCCAATCCAAAAAGGATTACCTGAGAAACATCTCCGGCGTTTGAATTTCGACGATTTGAACCATTGGCCAAGTTGCGACCAGAAATCCATGTGGTGCTGTCCTTACCGTTCGATTCACTCCATTCCACACCTGCTTTTGATTTAAATCAAAAAGGAAAAAGAAAATCCTCTTCTGCATTTTTTTTTGAAATCAGACAAAGTATTTGTGAGTGTACGTCCATGTTTATGAGTCGTTGAAGTTCGCTGAGATATTCATATGATACAGGCTTCAACCATTCGGTATTGTTTGATTCCTATTTCAGGACAACAATTGAACCACGAAGTCTCAACAGTCGTTCTCGAAATATAACCGCTTTGTCTTCCGATCTTCGACTCGAACTTTTGCCTTGTACGGTAATCGAGGCCGCCCAGAGCGTTTCATCTTTGACTCGCGGTGGCACAATCCCGTCCCATCGAAGACTCGCATCCACGCTTCTTGGTATTTGATTACCGGCCATGTCAAACCACTATGCTGGACCATTCGGTCGTATGTTGCCCAGCGTCGACATTTTGTCACTTTCACAAGCGACGGGGCATCTAGCTAACCGATTAGAACCGGGAGATACTCCTTACCAGCTTCCGCCACCACGCGCGCCGGCGAACTTCACTGATCAATATGCACGACCTCGACAGACGGGAGACATGACCGATGCAGGAAGTATCTCAGCACCAGTTGTTCCTCCTACTGCAAATCCTCCAAGGAACGAGCAACTCCCTTCAGTCCGAGACCTGTTGACACCGACGGTCGCCCCTACTTCTCCTAATGCCTATCAACCGCCATTCGCAGCTCCTCCATCAAATTCCGAGCCCCGTGAACTCTCTTACCCATTTCGCCCTCATGAACAAGCTCTTTCACCGGTCGCAGCGCAGGAACGGATCAAGACTCGCTCAGAATCCTTCTCTCAACAACAGACGAGCACTCTTCCACCCCTCTCGCAAGTAGGTATGCATAATCAGCCACACGCCAAGCATCATATTGCCAGCCGAAGTGATCCAGTGTCCACATATGCCCATTCTCAACCAGGTTATAGCGGTGCACCGTACTACGAACGAGCTTTGAGTGGAGAGGGCTCGTCTCCTGAGGTAGCTGGTGGAACGAAAGCAAACACAGCGTTACCGCAAGTGGTAGATGAGCGATACGTTGATGGCGAGGGGCTTTGCTACGTTTATGCAGACGGAACACATGTCCCCAAACTAATCGACGGCGTGCCAGTCAATGCCCATTGGGGCATCACCAAAGCAGGCAAGCCCAGGAAGCGGCTGGCGCAAGCTTGTCTCACCTGCCGGGAGAAAAAGATCAAATGCCAACCAAATCTGCCCAAATGTGATCAATGTCAGAAATCAGGCCGAGAGTGCAGGTTTGAGAGCGCGTAAGTGATTTGGAACAAATCATGAACTTGAGGATACCCAGAACTGACAATCCCAAGTCCTCGTGGAAGCCGTTTCTCAATGCGAGCGTCTTCAGGAGCAGGACCGTCGCCGAAGTACGATTCCAGAGATGCCTTTCCACCAGCACCGATTACAGCCTCAGAAACCTCTCCTCCGATGTACCACGTCCTACGGGCCTCGACCAGCACTAATTCACTTCCTGGAAACAGTGGACAGTCACCGACATCCGAAGGCCGACGACTGACTTCGTCTCCTATCGAACGGTCGTACGAAACCACTGAACGAATGTACACAGCACACGCTGTCAGAGACCCACGCCGATTTGCCGCAGCGAACGACAACTTGACAACCCCAGTAGATCCCCCTGCGCATCGTCTTGCTGAGTATCTGGGCATTCTCGAAGACTTGAACGAGACTGGCCCCGAAGCACCGCTTGCGAGCTCCTGGGCCATCGATCCTTTCCAAGAAGACCCCGAAGCGACAATATACTTTGTCGAATCGTACTTCTCGTCTGTCAATGATGGCATGTACCACATATTTCCGCGTGCACGGTTCATTTGGTGGCTCAGATCTTGCCGGACGAAGTCTGCTGAGGACAGAATGCTACTGTATTCGATGATGGCATTGGGTGCTTTGTTCTCAGATCGGCCTAATCGGATGATGACATTGCGAAAATGCTCTCGTATCGCTCGCTTTGCCTCGCAGAAAAACCAGCATGCCTTTTGCTTGCAACTTGCTCAAACCCACCTTATCCTGAGTCTTTTGTACTACGGTACAGGCTCATTGGTTGCGTGCTGGGACTCTCTCGGTGCTGCAGGGCGCGTGGTCAGTGCCTTGCGATATAACCTTGAGTCTGGCGGAGTTACTACAAACCAAAATCAGGTTTGCGACTATGGATTGCACCCACATGCCTTGGTTGAGTGCCGTCGGCGGACATTCTGGGTCACGTACATCCTAGACGTAGGTATTCCAGCCATACCACTTTCAAGCCAATATTTAACATGGATGTAGCGCTTTTCGAGTTTCTTCTCGGCATCGTCTACCTTTATCTCCCCCGAAAGTGCCCTGCTGCGACTCCCCTGTCGCGAAGACATCTACGAAGCTCAACAAAACGCAACAGCCCCCTACTTCCAATCAGTCTTCAACCAGGCATCCGCCCCGGCCGACAACGACCGAGCAGCGCTCAGCCCAATGGCTTTCTTGATCCAGATCATATCCATCTGGGGCGACGTGTCACTGAATGTGTTTCGGCTGGCTCATACGCCCTCAGACGGATACGCTCGATCAGCCGAAGAGTTCCATATGATGATCACCCGCCGCACGGATGATTGGTTCAAGGGTCTGCCAGATCACCTGCTGTTCTCAGCATTCAATCTTGAGCGCGCCAGTTTAGCAAACAAGGCAGATGCCTTCGTCTCAATCCACATGTTTCACCACGCTACCCTGATGAAGCTATACCGACACGCACGGTACTCAAGTCTTCGGCCGGACGTGCTCATTCAGTACGTCCACCGCGCTCGATACCACGCCGTCGAGACATTGAGGATAGCTATGGCTGTCATGCAATACACTAACGAAGGGCCCCGCACAGCCCTCCTGAGCCCCTTCCTAGGCTACGTGATCCTATCCGCGGTCGATGTCCTAAGCACCGCCGGCCTGGTGAATGAGTTACCCGACTGCATCTCTCTCATCCGAAGCGCTTTCGGCGTAATCCAGCTCATGAGTCGGTATTGGGGTAGCTCACTGGACTTGGCGAATGCTGTTCAGAAACGCCTGGCTTCGATGATTGACTGTCTGAACGACAGAGCGCGGATCCAGGACAAGGTTGGCTTTGCTGTCGACGGCCCATCACTCGAAATGAAGGTCCGTACTAATGCTTCGCCCTCGTATTCCGGCCCCGTCGACGAGGACATGTTCAACGGGTCCATGCACAAGGGCATGCTGGTGCGTGCAATGCGCGCGGAAGACGTTATGGTTCCTGAGAGTAGCATTGTCATTCTGCGGGATCATTGAGATTATACCCCATCACCCTTCGCACCCACCGTTTGCACCCATTCGCATCCATTTTTCCCCCGAGCGCTTTTTCTTCTTTGGGGAGATCAGCATATGCTATTCCTTACCAAGTGCTGGAAGGCAGCTTCAGTTGAGCGATTTAAAACCTTTGTTCTTTTGCTCTGCATTATTCATTGCGGCGCCTCGGGAGCTCCTAGACAGGGCCTCGAGACTTGATTATTGACTTCTTGCTTATGTGTTCCTAATGACTTGATGGCTTGACTGACGGCTCAAATGATTCACCGCACAGAACCTGGTCGAGATAAACTCGCCCTTCGTGTTGCATCGGAAGTATCAGACTTCTCTACTGTATTATAGATCGATCGTGTAATTATGGGAAGGATGCTTAGTCTCCCAAAGGACCAAGAAATGGAAAAATCCAGACAATTCCAACGAATAATGAACGCTTCAGAATTTACATCTTCGGAAACATTTCTCATATCGACCCCGCAGGATATTTTCTCAGCCACGCCACCTTCCCTGATGCGGGTCGAGCACCGTCGCAAAATGGGTGGCTTCGTTCAGGACGGGGTACGTGGAGAGCCATTCTCTCACCTCCATGTCAGTGACTACCGCATGCTTTTCTTCCCATGAAAGCTGTCCTTGCTCCTTCGTCCGCTTATCATCCCACTCTGCTCGCCTTTTCCGGAGCGTCATAGAAGACCGAGAAGATCTCTGATCCCGGGGTGGTTCAGCGGCAGGCTGTTGGTGACGCACTGCATTGTCCCATCTTTCTTGCACGCATCTTTGTCTTTCGTGACTTTCCGCAATCAAGTCGCCTACATCCTGTGCTTCGCCGGAGACGAGACTCAGGCCAAAATGGCTGCCACCTTTGTTCCGTTTGGAAGGCCGGTTGTTTTCCTGGTCATGATTCGCCACGGTGATAAATGAAGACGACGAGCGTACAACTGCAGTCTTGTAGTCCTTCTCCATCGTCACCGTTTTACGGCCATCGCAAAACACCAGATAGGCCGCCGTCGTCCGGAGACTAGGTATTTTCGCAAGAATCTCATCAAGAGTCGAATAGACAGGGTTCGTAGACTCCGAGTCAGACGGCAGAATACACTGCCGCAGCGTGGACGAAATCGACCGACGAAGCCCAAGCAGAACGAGGAGATGATTCGAGTAAAACGCAAAATCGCGGGAGGTGTCATGCACAGCGCGGAAATTGAGCGAGACACTCATCTCCTTCCGCACACCGGTGAGGACGCCCACGAAGCCCGCATACGTGATACTGGTAGCAAGTACCTCCTCCGCGTCGGAGTCACGCACAAAATCCAGTTGCACGATTAAGTCCCGAAGCGCGTCCATGTCCCAATCCAAGGTCCTGAAATGGAGCATTCGCGGCTTCTGGTTTCCAGACGTGTTGCCTGAGACCCGCACACCTCCGCTGGTGCATCCCATAAGCAGGTCGAGGATGGAATTGAAGCATACCAGGAGGTACATGTCGATGCCCGTGGCCCGGCTGATACCTCGGAGTTCCTCCGTTTCTTCTCGACTGTACAGTCGGGTCAAAGATAGCCGGGCGATACGGTGGACCCATTGAACAGGGATCTTGGGCGATATCATCATGATGATCTCGTCGAATAGGCCGCACAGAGCCCGCATCCTTTCGCGGTAGATGGTTGCCAGTTCGACATATCGCTCGGCTGGTGGGAGCGACAGGTTGATCTTGAACACGGGAGGGATTTCATCGAAATGATCGCTCGCTGGAGACTCCGCCATGATCTCCTTTGTTATCAGTAGACAGTGGAGCAGTCTGCAACCAACTTGCAGGTTGAGGCTCGGTTTGAATCGTGGGGGCCTCCGGGGCTGCTGCCTGAAATCATTCTGATTTTGACTCCGGGCTTTCCCCCATTAAACTGGCAGGCCTGATATCCTTGCTATCCTTGCAAAAAAAATTGCGTTTGATCTGATCTCGTTAGGTCTGTTCGTTTATACTTGAATAGCATACTAGTAATTCTCTACAGCAGTATCTATTTCGTTTTTAGCTCGTAGAATGTTTTTTTTTTGTTGCTACAGTACAACAGCTACATGAAGCAATGTAGTGTAATCTAGCATAATCCTGAGTTGCGACTTCTTTCTACATAGAAAGTAGAAAAGATACGTGCATCCCATATAATCGTACGATGTTGACCAAGAATGTACTCCTTGTGGAGCCCGGAGCGGAGACACCTTCCCGAGAAAATTCCCGCGCTCCAGTCGAGTCCAGATCGACACCTTGAATCTCACTGCCAAAGCTGGTGGCCGGGACTGCCGCAGCTAGGACAATTCGGCTTGGCAGGAGCGCCAGAAAAGAACAGACGCAATGGCCTCCTTCGATCTCAACCCGACAGGGATCGCTCAAGGCATCCCCACCGGCCCCGAGCTGGACGACAACCTTGATACAGACCACTTGAACGCGGTCGATGACTACCCCGATGAAGCAGACTACTACTCTCTACTAGGGCTTTCCTCTAAGCCTCCACCTACCGACTCTCAGATCCGTTCCGCATACCACAACCTGTCCCTTAGCTTCCACCCCGACAAGCAGCCGGCGCACCGGCGCGAAGCTGCTGAGCGCCAATTTAATCGCATCCAAGAGGCATACTATGTTCTGATCGATCCGAAAAAGCGCGTTGTGTATGACATGATGGGATCAGAGGGTGTGAAGCGCGAATGGAGTGGCGGGGGCCTCATGGGTAAAATGGGGAAGCGCGCGAGGTTGGGGTGAAGTCGATGAACCCGGACGAATTCCGACGATGGTTCTCCAAGATGATGAAAAAGCGGGAGAGGAAGTTCGTACATAGCTTAGTCGCATCGCGGGTCAGTCTTTGCTGGGTTCATACGGCCATTTGGATCGTGCTGACTGTGGAATTTAGGGGCACTATTTCCGTGGGGATCAACGCGGCTGAGGCCATCAGGGTGGATGAGGATGATGGCAACGTGACATTGGAGCTGCATAAGATGGGCATGCCCAAGGTTCAGTCGCTGGCTTGCAGGTATCAGTTTAAGACGCCGTTGTTATTGCCTGGATTCGACTCCGAGTCTGAAAAAGAGGAGGACGATACCACCGCGGAAAGTAAGCCGGCGGAACTTGCAGATGCTGATGAGCAGGAACCGCCCGCAGAAGTGATATTCAGCATGGGAGCTGCTGGTGTTCTTGGGCGGACCAAGCAGAAATACATTGTTGAATATGAAGGAGGATCCGAGGAAGAGATTGAGGTTAGTCTGCTCGAACAAAAACCATGCTCAAGATCGCTAATCAGGGTCTTCAGGTTGCTGGGCCGCCTATAATGGTCGGTAATAGCCTCCACCTGGGCGCCACTATTGTCCCCAATTTCCAAACAATTGCTGGAATGAAAGGCATTTGGCACAAACGGCCGCTCTCCTTTATCCGTGATTCCAACTTACGGATAGAGGCTACTGCACTCCCGGATCAAGCCCTGAAGGCGACCATCGCTCGCAATTTTCAGCCGATCCCTGGCGTCACCCCGTTCCAAGTCACGGCGAGCAGCACTATCAAGCGCTCGCTCTGGCAGGCTCCGCCTTCATTCGATATCCAGGCAACAAAGCTCATTGCCCGGGAGAAATTAGGCTTCTGCTCCTGGTCTAGCGGAGCTTTCACTTGGCCAGACTTCTTGTTCGAACGATTCAATTCAATTGGACCAACCGAGCAATCGCTTTTCGAGATTGAAAGCGAGCCCAGTAATTTCCAAATTGGACTTATTGCGCTTCCGCCGAATCCCAAGAAGGTCATTGAGATCGAAGAAGACGCTGATGCTGATGGCGAGGAGGAGGCGCACGGAAAGGTTGCCGATGCTAAGACGGATAACACCGCCGTCTCGTGGCGTACGTTCATGACAGTTTCTCCAGGTGGCGCTGCGCTCGTGCTGAGCTACAGCCGGAATATCTTCTCTGGGATAGCTGCCAATGACCCGGTTCGGTCAGAGTGGAGTTCCGAAGGATACTATCCCATGCCAAAGATGGAGGGCCCAAGAGCCCTTCGGCTTGAGGTCTCTGGCGTTCTTGGAATGGATGCTTCTCTCACTTGGTCAGTCAAGGCTACTCGACGAGTCAGCGAGTTCACGAAGGTGGGACTTGGTGTAGGCCTAGCGGGCAACGGCGTGGTTATGACCGTGCACTGGAATCGACTTGGGCAGAATCTCACTTTGCCGATCACTGTCTGCTCGCCCAAAGAGGCCAACCATGACGCTGCACTGCTCGCAGGTCTCATCCCCATGGCTCTTTACGGCATTATTGAGTTTGTATACATTCGACCACGCGACCGAAGAAAGCGCCGAGAGCAACTGGCTCGCCGCCACAATGCTCTGAAGAAACTGATCCCCAAGAAGCGAGAAGAAAGCCTGCAAGATATTGAGCTCTTGAGAGATCAAGTCCTAAGGCGGCAAGCTCGAGAGGAAAGTCAGAACGGCTTAGTTATTCGGAAGGCCGAATACGGATACATTCCTCCCAAGAAGAGCAAGACTCTGAAGCCGCAGCTCGCGGAGCCTCGAGTGATTGATGTGACTATACCGGTCGCCAATCTAGTTGACCATGGCCAGCTTAATATCCGAGCCAACACTGTCAAGGTAAGGTAGCCTTATGAGGTTTTTTTTTTCGTGTCGATGCTGATGTGAAACCACCGCAGTTCAATATTCTTGGGTTTTATGACCCAGCACCTCTCCTGCCCAAGCGATTGAAGATTTGGTACACCTATCAAGGCCGGGAGCATTTTGTCGACGCTGGTGAGAAAGAGGATATCGCATGCCCTTTGCGTGCGCACATTCAGCATACTTGAGCATTTAATACCCCTGTAACAATATGGACTTGCAAAAATACCCATTCTACTCTTGACGCTTATACCATATGCGTCTCCATAATACATTACCAGTAGACTTGGAGGATCTGTAGATACAAGAAGACTGCTGACCTGTGTATATTCCCGATAGTACCTCCAGACCTATTGCGCCATAATGTTCAGACCTGTAGTCGCAATCCGAGTCCATCAATTTGAGGTTGAAGGTGCTGGATGAGCAGGGTACATTGCAAATGACTCTTGACTTGTTTAATATGCGACAAGCTTGGCGATTAAACCCAGCTAGGGTAATAATAGGGTGCTGCTAGTAGGTGTACGATGTTTTCCCAAACTAATCGAGGAAATTTAGTATATTTCAATTACCAAAGGATCGCTATATAGTTGATAGCCCCCCTGCTATAGACGGGGTTACGGCGGAGCACGTGCACCAATGACGAACTGCCGCAAAAGCCTAAGCGGTCGACTCCAGATTCGCCTTTCGGCTCTCATCCAACAACCCAATCACGATACCTCTTTCTTGCGCTGAGACTTACAATGACGGACCTTGCGTCGGGACTCTTCAAGTCTCTTCCCAAGCCAAAGTACTCTGGCGAAGAGGAGGAAATCCCCAAGCATGCGCAACCCCGTGGCCCACGCGTCGTCGGCGCCGGCCAGCTCGACGAGACTCAAGTCGTTCTACGGGTGAGTGATTTGCACCGAGTGCTTACCCCCCTGCCAGTACTAATCCATTCTTTCAACCAACTAGAAATCTGGACCCCCACCTTACGGCAACCGCACAGGATGGCGACCCCGAGCAGCAGAAGATTTTGGCGACGGCGGCAGTTTCCCAGAAATCTTAGTTGCCCAATACCCTCTCGACATGGGCCGTAAGGGAACCTCGTCAACCTCCAACGCACTTGCGGTCCAGGTTGATGCAGAAGGGAAGGTCAAGTACGACGCTATTGCACGCCGCGGCCAGGGTGATAACAAAATCATTCATGCATCCTTCAAAGATCTTATTCCGCTCCGGCAGCGAGTGAACATGGGCGAGGTCTCCCTCGACCGGCCCTCGGAGGAAGAAGTTGCCATGCAGATGGAGAAGACTAAGGCCGCTCTGGCCGGTTTAGTTGAAGGAGCTGTCAAAGCCCAGAAGCCCAAAAACGTGAAGGGCGGCCGCCGGGCGGAACCAACATTTGTTCGATACACACCAGCGAACCAGATGGGCGACCAGAGCAGCAAGAACGACCGAATCATGAAGATTGTGGACCGCCAGCAAGATCCCATGGAGCCACCCAAGTTCAAGCACAAGAAGATTCCTCGCGGCCCACCCTCACCCCCAGCCCCAATTATGCACTCGCCTCCTCGAAAGCTTACCGCCGAAGACCAAGAAGCCTGGAAGATTCCCCCTCCCGTGTCGAACTGGAAGAATCCCAAGGGTTACACTGTCCCTCTGGACAAACGTCTGGCTGCCGATGGACGTGGATTACAGGATGTGACTATTAATGATAAGTTTGCGCAATTCGCCGAAGCCCTTTTCACTGCCGATCGCCACGCTCGCGAGGAAGTCCAGCTCCGTTCCCAGATGCAGCAAAAGCTAGCCGAGAAAGAGAAAGCTCAGAAAGAAGAAAACCTGCGCGCCCTGGCTCAGAAAGCACGCGCAGACCGTGCCGCCCTCGCCGCCGCGACTCCGATTCCCGCGCCCGTTCTCGCAGCGCAAGCCGCAGCGGCTCCCCTACTCTTCTCGGTCCGCGTCCCCCAGCGAAGATGAAGAAGCAGCCCGTGAGCGCGAGAGGGAGCGTCGTGAACGACGACAGGAGAACGAACGCCAGCTGCGCCAGTCCCGCATGGGTACTGAGCGTCGTATCCAAGCAATGGCCCGTGAACAGAACCGTGATATCTCTGAGAAGGTCGCTCTTGGCCTTGCGAAGCCTACGCAGAGCTCAGAGTCTATGTGGGACTCGCGCCTGTTTAATCAGACCAGCGGCATGAACTCTGGTTTCAACGAGGACAACCCGTACGACAAGCCGCTATTCGCTGCGCAGGACGCCATTAATAGCATTTACCGCCCTCGTGCGCAGGTTGATGACGTCGATGATGGAACCGAAGAGATGAGCAAGATCCAGAAGGCGGATCGTTTCGAGGTTCTTGGCCGGGCAAAGGAGGGATTCCGTGGCGCTGCTGATGCCGAGGAGCGACAGGGCCCTGTTCAGTTTGAGAAGGATGCGGCGGACCCCTTTGGCATTGAAAGCATGATTGCGGATGTGTCTACTGGATCGAAGCGCTACGGTATCCAAGAAGCTGAGCAGGACGACCGCGGTGCGAAGCGTGCTCGTGTCGACGACGATGAGTAAGGTCTTTAGCATTTTTATATCAATCCTTTCCTTTTCTTTCTTTCTTTGTGGAATGCGGCTTTTATCCTGGAAAATTCATGGGGCCTGTGAGCGTTACGGGCGTTAGGTACGATGGGGCATACCAAAATTCAAAGAACTTCGATTTCTCGTCACGTTTTCCTACTCATCGGTATGGTCTGTATTAATTGATCGGTCTATCTCAGCCCGGTGACACTGCCATATACTGGAAAAGATATCCCTGAAAATTCCTAAACCCTACTCAAAATTTACTAGGACAAGCTACCATGGCAGCTCCGACGAAATAAAGAAGAACTGACAACATCAATTGAAGGACCAAGACTTGGAAAATCTCACGTTTCATGTAGACGGTGAGTCGAAAGCGACGGACCCAACTCCAATATACAAATTAGCACAAAACCGTCATTCAGGCACACACTCTAGTTCTTTACCTCCGAGGCATTAGGAGAGAGCAGATCTTCCAACCATTTATACGAAACAGGCAAGCTGTTAGGGTATCCCATATGCAGCATGCCCTCGAAGAAGCGGCCTTCCTTAGGACCACCATGGTTGAACAAGATCAGCGAGTCCTCAATAGGCACCACGCCGTCATCAACGCCCTAGTGAATACCGTTAGCAAATCCCAAACCCCGTTGAACGACAGATCCAAGAAAACACATACATTCAGCAACAACAACCGACAATTCGGCTGGTCCACTACCCCTGTCTCGACAAGCGAGAACTTCTTCTGCGAATCCCGAATAAACTCCTCCGTCGTCTCATACCCATATTTCTCCGCCCAGCTATCCGTGATCCTGTCACACAATTAGCCTCAGTCCGATCGACTCCATCCTCCCAGGGAACCCTGGGGTTGCATAACTCACGTAAAGGGATACTCATGGTCATTGACCTTACTCAACCATTCCGGACTCAAAAAATGATGCGAACCAGCCCCATGCGCCATCGCCCCAATCAACCTCTTCCGATGCGTACACGCCGCCCGAATCGCATAAAAGCCGCCCGCGCTTAGCCCCCAAACCGCCACCCGCGCGTCATCCAGCTCTGGCCGCTGCGCGATGAAATCCAGCACGCTGGACCAGAGTCTGTCCGCGGATTCCGGATCCGCCGGGTCGGCGGGCGAGTCCGCGGTGCCGGGGATCTCGGCGATGACAGCCGCCCAGCCGCGGTTGGTGATCTCGTGCGTGCGCTGGCTGTTGTCGGGGCGGTAGCCGTCCAGGCCTGTCATGAGGAAGACGACCGGGACGGGGTTGGAGGCGGATGCTTCGACGGGGAGGCGGATATAGAGCGGGATACTCGGGCCGTCGTTGCTGGCGCGATGGGTGTGGGGGATCACTTCTTCCTTGAGCACCGGGGTCCAGAGGGCGGAGGCCTTGAGGTACAGGTCTTTCTGGCGGTTGAAGGCGGCGCGTTTGGCTTGGTTGGAGGGCCGCGTCGTTGGGCTGACGTAGGGGAAGCGCGAGATGCGGAGGACGACGGCGGCGCGGCGGTAGAGGTCCGAAGCGCGGCCGGCCTGGTTGGACGCGAGCGCTGCGTCGGCCTCCTTTTCCAGGGCATCGACGACCGGGGTGAAGGCTGATGTGTAGGCGTCTGTGAAGGGGTCGTTGATGTTTTCCTGGGTGGGTTAAAGAGTTTTAGATAGGGAGGCATGAGGAATTTGCGGGGGAGGTACGATCCGGTATATGGGGCGCTTACAGCGATCAGCTTCTCAAAAATGGGCTCAAAGTCCTCGAAAGCGCCATCGTGGAATGGGTAGATCGATTTGGAGCTCTGGGGCGGGAAATTAGGGTTAGTTGCGGTCCGTCTCAAAGTGGTGGGGGATTGTTCACGTACGCAGAATTTCCACTTAGTCTCCCAAAGGGCTTTGATAGAGCCCTTGTGGGGGTAGACGGAGTTGAAACGCTCTTCTCCAAGGATCCAGGGAGGCATTTTGTATGAAGTGTTAGTCTTGATTTCCGGATGAAATGTTGGGAAGAACTACTAGTAGAGGATTTGTACAATTTATGGAAGCAAAATCCAGTCCCCGCAGGAGAGTTTGGAAGGTAGCATGCATGACGATTGACAATGCCTAACAATTACTTTGAAAGGATGCAATTTGCCGGAATCAGCGATTTTGTGATCGGTTTGCATTCGGAGCGTAAGTAGCAGCCGGAGATCTGGGGCAGTGGAGGAGATCTCCCCAGTAGTCTCGACCAATAGTAGGATTTATGAGAGATCTGTTCCAAGAAAATGCGACTTTCGAGTCCTGATTTCTGTCATTGCGGAGATGTTGGCGGCGCATCGCTAAATGCGGAAGCTCTGGGGTTCGGGAATTCAGGTACGCGCATGATGTTCCAGTCTACCTAAGCTGCAACGAGTCTAACTTGAAGGGCAGACCAAGCCGTATACATACCCTCAAACTCTCATTTAATAATATAGTCTCATAGCTTCATGTTCACGGCAGGATAATAGAGCCTAGGGCTTCATTTCATGGGTGGGCGTGGAGAGAATGGAATGTGGTATTGGAATGTTTACCGCATGCGGCACGAATCCAGAGCGTGAACAATTTGCCTCGCACATCGTCCTCTTCGCCTTGGCATGGCCTGCTAATTTTTAGACTCATTGTTTCTAGAAGTTGGTATGCAATTTCATTAAAATGAATAGGATTAAGGTAGCCTTGCGTCTTCGCGGCATGAGAGATACGAAGCTTATATACAAGCTCCTAGGCAAGCATCATCTAGTTCGTGTACTTTTCCCAGTATTCATAGCCTTTGGGCAGGTGGCTAGGACTAGGAATGATTAGCAAAGTGAGCATATAATGATGGAGGCTGGGACTTACCCATTGTCTTCGGCAGGCTTGATCGAGTGACCATCTTCCTCAACATACTGGTCATTGGTGTGAGCGTTAGGCCAAGGTCCCTTGTTGTCGTCGGTGTGAGCAACAACGGGTTTTCCATCCGGGCCATCAGGAACTTGGGCGTGGGAGTGGTCGGTGTGCGGGTTGGGCCAAGGACCCCTACCGACTATCAGCATTGTGGGTCGTTTTTTCACTATTTTAAGGCGCTTACTTGGTGTCCTCCGAATGAGCGGTAGTTGGAGGGCGTCCATCAGAGCCATCGCCAGTTTGAGCATGATCACTATCGGTGTGAGGCTTAGGCCATAGGCCCCTGTTAAACTTTAGTATCATATACTGAGATATCTCATAAGAAAAAAAGCTTACTTGGACTCTTGCTCTTGAGCAGTAATTGGCTCGTCTTGGGGAGGTGTCTGGGAGGCATAGTACTCGGGCGCAACTTCGTAGTAGGCAGGCTGATCTTCGGGGCCTGGTTCCTGGCCCTCCGGAACAGAGTACCCAGGCGCAAGCTCTTCAGGCTCAGACTCGGGAGCAGGAACCTCTGGCTGTGTCTGAGTTTGGGGTTGAGGTTGGGGTTCGACAGGAACCTCAGGAACTGCAGGAACTGGGGCGATATCATGATAGGGCAGAGCAGAGTAGTCGGGCTGAGGATACTGGGTATAGTTAGGGGGCTTTCCGTGGCCAGTGGGCTTTGGACCAGGGGTAGTCTCTGGCTGAGGTTGAGAGTAGGGCGGCGGGGTCTCCTGATGAGGTGGCGGACTCTGCTGCTGCTGCGGAGGCGGTGTCTGCACCTCAGGGCCAGGGGCAGTGCTTGTCGAAGATGGAGCCGGTGCTGGGAATGGGGCCTCTGATTCTGGTGGATACATGGCACCGTGATTGCTAGTTGGGACCTTAACATTGGCCCCCGACAAATCGGTTCCGGCCTTTCCAGCTGCATTTCCGCGGTGAGGCTGAGGATAAGCAGCGCATGAATCATAGTGACTCTGAGGGGGGAGCTTCGTCTGATCCAGGGAAGGTCTCAGGAGCCTCGATAATCGTCGAAACGAGGCCTGCCTCCACGTGCCATTCAATATGACAATGCAGCAGCCAGACGCGTGAAATTAAGTTAGTGTGTCGATTCGTGATGGCTGGGGGGGTAAGAGGGACTTATCTGGATTATCAGCGCGGAAACGGATGACCACATGGCCATGGTTCTGGACCATGATAGTGTCACGGCGAATGGGAGTCTTGGAGATGTTCTGGAAGTAAGCGCCAGTGAAATAGCCGCCATTAATCTCAGATCTCTGCAGAACTTGGAATTGATGGCCGTGCAAGTGCCATGGGTGAAGGTTGTTGTGGTGGTTGTTGATGACGATTTCGACGATCTCGCCGTGCTGGACCACGAAAGGGTTGACCTGCCCGTATACGGCAGGGTCGGACGCATACTCCTTTCCAACGGTGTTTGCGGTGTAAAGAGTGGGAACCTTGGGAGGGATGTAAGTCTGGTTATTGATGGTGAAACGAGGGACGCCATCAATTTCGGTGGAGAACGTATCGATAATGATCTGACGGTGCATAGGTTGCAAGAGCGCTTCCTTATCCTGAGGGATGAAAGTCAGATCGTCCACGAATTCGAATTCGGTCAAAACAGGTGGCGGTGGAAGGGGCTTGGCCTCATCGTAGACAAACCAAGCCGTGACATTAGGATTGTAGTTCGCCGGAACCTCGCGACCTTCATACACGAACATCATGTTGACGTCCATGGTATCCCAAATCGCGAAGTTCTTGCTAGTATCGGGCTTGGCCTTGATGAGAACGCTTGTCCGCTGGGCAGGTGCGAGTCGTAGCATCTTGGAGCCAACCGCATACGGCTCAGTATAGACACCATCAACTTCAACCACAGTCATCTCGTGCCCATCGAAAACCCAGGTATGGCCGGGCCAGTTGCTGAGACAAATAATGTGTACGAGATAGGTCTTGTTCGGCAGGACCTTGATCTTAGAGTTGTTGGAGTCGTTGATCAATGCCGAGTTTGGGACCGGCTCACGGCCACCGAAAGCAGCCTCGTTCTCTGCTGATTCGTACTGAGCCAACAGATCTGGCATCTGGTCATGGTACCAGTCACTCAGGGTAATCGTTATCTCCTCGTCAAATTGGAAGGGTGGATTGGGGTCATGCACGATGAGAGCGCCTCGGAAGCCATCAGGGTACTGCCCCATGTTATGCGAATGGTACCAGTAAGTTCCGGTTTGATTGACCTGCTTGTGTTAGCACTTTGCTCATGGCTCAATCCGATGGGCCGTAGTCACCTCAAAGTGATATTGCATATGTTCTCCAGGGGGAATGGGGCATTGGGTGACACCACTAGCCCCATCCATCACCCCCGTGGCATACTGGTGGATTCCGTGCCAGTGAACGCCAGTTGACTGGTTTCCGAGCCCATTGTGGACATCCACAATCAGTCTGTCGCCCAGGTCGACGTCGATCTGAGGGCAAGGCCACTGGCCATTGATCCCAATGACAGGTCGTTCAAACCCATCTGGAGCAGCATTCACCCACGTCACGTTCCAATTCAAGTAGACATCCTTTGCTGCTGCCAACGTCGCGGCGCCGGCCAAAAGAAGGAAAGTGAGCTTTGCCATAGTCGGCTATATAACGAATGACAATCGACTCTTCTGCCACAGATAACCAAATCCTCTGATGGACAGAGGCGAGTCGATGGAATAGCTGGAGCCGACGCAGAAAATTAACAATTACAATCTGTCGAAAAAAGAAAGTCGAGCGCTTGTGCAGCCGCGTTTGTTGATGGACGACCATACCGCGGTCTGGGAATCCTGGGGTTTTACATTGATGAAGTCGATCGGCACTAGGGGCACCGTTTTCGTTCCTGAGCCCTTCTTCATCGTAGCTTGCTATGCTAGGCCGGAGCGCCGTCATTCAAGGGCCCCCCGATCGAGCACCCAGGAATTGCTGTGTTCGGGCTTTTTCTTAGGCCTTGGTACCGGGCGCTTCTCGAACCAAGCATTCCCGCCGTGGGCTTGATATTGTGGTATGTCGATACGCGCCAAATCTGGCATTCAAGCCAAACACCCATGCAAGGGGTACATGCTTGTGCCGGCAGCCACTGTCAACAGTCGACATAGTACTCGCCAAATAGGGCTCGTCCCGGCCTGATTACTTCTGCCCATGCAAGCATGGCTCAATTGGTACTTTTGGCGGTATCAGACTGAGCGTGCTGCATGCGGATGGCCACGGCTTTGGTCGAAAGCGCTCCAAGTGGCACCGGTAAATCAACCCTAAGACTTTTGCCGCAGTGGTCTCCAGTTCCAAGGTTGTTTCTGCATTGATGACCTCAGCCATGTGTGCAGATAAAGGATGCGGGGATGCCACGTAGGGGAAGCAGTCCCGCGGAACGCGCGACCTCAGAAGCCACGATGCCACGCAGTGACGCAGCCATGGGTCTTATCGGCAGATCGCCGTTTGGACCACATACTATCGGGGTCCGCGCCCACTCTCTGGCGCCCAAAGAGTCAAAGAGTGGGGAGTGGCGAGCAACCCACAAGGTGGAAAAGCCCAATGGGCGGCTGGCCGCGGAGTAGATTCACCAAGATTGACCGGGTGTGCAGGGTCAGCTACAACTCGGACATGGACAAGTAGGCACTAGGCCGCTATCACGTAGTCAAGCGACAGAGATGTCCCCTGTCCAGGGGTCTTCAGGTACAAGCAGTTCTCTCCACAAATGCACGACATCCGAGGGCAACCGAGAACGGCGCCAAGCGCGGGGCTTTGGGTAAAAGATAGCAGATAAGCAGTGGGGAAAAGCAAGATAAAGATTTGCATGAACACATTTGGTAAGACCACCAGATAGCAAGCTGAAAAAAAAAAGGTTGCAAACTCGAATACGCGGGGTCATCTCCCTGATGGCATTTATTGGTTTCCGGTTTCCCTTGTTCCTTCGTCATCTTTGCTTTTCCCAATTTTCTGGGGACGTCTCCACTTCGCCGCATTTGACTCCCCTACCTCGTGCTCTCCATCTCAATTGACGCAAGGCTGTTCTTCGTCTATGGCGTAATCCTTGGAGCTCGCCATGCAATCCCGAGCTCGTCGTGCCCAAGCAGAATCGGCTTCGTCCTCCTAGAGCTCACACTCGAGCTGCACATATGGACTCGTTAACTTTGATCGATGCCCAGGTTCAGCTGGTGGTTGGTGGGCCATTCAATCGTTGATCAGGATCCATGCTGATTCGCATCTTAGGAAGAACGCCTGGCCCTGGTACATATCCCGCTGGAGCTTTACCCATACTTCTTCAAGTCCGTCTTGGGAATTGTTTTCGATGAAATCGCACCACTGGGAAACGTATCCCAGAACGAGGAGACCGTGCTGTCCGACCTAGACGACGGCTCGGAGGGGTCCGAATATCGTGCCCCAGCCTTTCTCAATGTGTCCATCACGCCCGTTGAAGTGTCGGTGATCTGCCCTGAGACGCCTGGTCGAGAAACACTTTCACCCGGTAATCAGCACCCTCGGGCAGCTCGATGACCAGCTTCGATCTCGCCTGGCTGTGAGCGACTACGACTACATTGCTATGCAGGTCATTGGCCAAGGTCTAGAGGCCGGCAAGCGTGTCCTCGAGCTAACCAGTCCGCTCGCACTGGCGGGGATGTATGTGAATATCTGCAAAAGACAAAGCCCCATCACACCCTGAACTAACCTGGCAGCTCAATCTTCTTCATTTCAACCTATTTCTCGGACTACATCCTCGTTCCACTGCACAGCAAGGCGGCTGTTGTCTCTGCCCTCGAATCCAGAGGCTTCCAGTTCGAGAACAGCACCGCCGCCTTCTCCATGAACCCATTCAGCAGCCCAACCTCGCCACGCATTGAGAAATCCTTTAATGAACTCATGCCGCCCGTGACTCCTCCTCCCTCCACCCTTGCCGAGCTGCAAACCCGCACCTTCGCCAACCTGCGCAAGAACCAGATTGTGCCCTTCGTCGACGACACGCTCCGCCTCGTCCAATGCGCCGCCCACCATCAGTACAACGACGACGGCAGCTCCATGTCCATCCTCCGCAATGCGCTGACAACGGTCCTTCTTGTGGATGCTCCCCGCTTCCTCTCGCTCACCCTCGCAGCACTAGACCCAGCCGCCTCTCTCCTCCTCGAAGAGCGTCTGCTGCCCCGCTTTGCGCGTGCCTCCGGCTCGCACCAGGAGTATGAGGACGGCTCAGGCCTCCTCCTCGGGTTCGAAGGAGGACTACCTAGTCCCCATAATGCTAGACCTACGGGATCTCCCTCTCGAAGCTTCCGGTATTGTCTGCGGTGTAGCAGGCCGACTCGCCGAAACAAAGGAGACCTCGGCACGCCCGAGCAGCGGCGACACGAGCCTCGTGGGCAGCAACGAAAGCAGTGTGGTCGGTTCCGTGCCCGCTTTGTTCGATACTTTCGGCACCCGGCTTGCGCTGGGCGAAAAGAAACACAATCTCGACCCGCTGCCGCCGACCTCAATGCACCATCTCAAACCGGACGTGGATCCGGCCGCGGACGCTGTAGAGATCAGTTTTCTGAGCACGGCGCGCTGTGGCACGATCATCGTCGGCGAACACGAGCTGAGAAGAGCTATTGATGCTCTGGATGCAGAAACGAAGCAGGAATCGTCCGAAGAGGCGGATGGTGGCGTTTCTCTTGATGGTTGAGGGGCTATCTTACGACTCCTTACGAGTGCAACGAATACTGAAAATTACGCGGTTTTTGATGGAGGAGAGTAAGGATAAAAGTTTGTTCTCTTCATTTGCTGTTTTTTCAAGCCCATGTCTGTATGAATACCTAATGATTCACGTCTGTCCCATTGGTCCATTCTATGGGCCGGGATCAGAGCTTAGTTTCGTTACTACAGAATGTGACAGGTTACGCATTACGATGGACAAAATGAAATTTGAGGCAAATAATTGCCAGAATTGGAGTGGAAAAGTTTCGCAGGTAAAACTCAATTATTCTCGAGAGTACGGATAGCAATTCTGAGACTGAGTGGTACTATAATTGCAAAGTCGGGTAGTTGGCGGAGAGGAAATAGAAATACAGGGAGGAATTTTGACAGAGGCCGAGGGAGGGAAGAGGAACTTCAGAGCTGATTGATTTTGGGTCTCTAGATTGTATATACTCGTATTGATCGGGAGGCCTCTACGAAAAGTTCTGGTATCTCAGTCTCTCCAGTGGCCAATACCGGATTCACTAGTACAAGGATCGCAATTCTTTTTTGCGGCAATCCATTGCAGACAAATTTAACATTCCCGGGGGGCTGTAGATTCCCGCAAACTTGAATAGGTGTTTGGTTTTGAGCTCGACGTATATTCTTGCTATTCTCTATGTGATCACGCCCTAAAGAATAGCTTCGCTTTAGGAGAAGGTTCGAGGTTCATTGAGTGCCAAACGCCACACTTTGAGGCTGCATGCGATACTGGTAGCTCATGATCGCGGGGAAAGACCTCATTCGGACGAACAGTGGTTAACGTTGGCAGCAAGCATACCTGTTGGCATTGCAGGTAGCATCGCCGCATATGCAAGCTTCATACTGACATGCAATGGAAATCTCTGCGACCCCAAAAAGTAGATATCCCAGTGGAGCTGACATTAGATCTTTGCCACTTGATTAGCGAAAAGATTCACGGCGACCGGGCTCAATAGGCTGGGAGGTTTGCAAAAAGTCTGGAGATAATGTTCGGATACAGGACATACTACTTAGCATCCTGAGAACGTAAGGCCATATAGTGTGGGACGTTGTGCAGCGGAGATCAGCCGTTCGCTCAGCCAAATACCCGCACAGTTCCTGGACGCTACGTTAGCGACTTCTAACAAGCAAGAATCAAACAAGCTTACCATCCGAACATCCACCAGCCCAGAACCCCTGCTCGTTCCAAGCTACACAGCTCACCACTTTCACCCCCTCACCCATCGGTACTGTCGCAACGACTTCTTCCTTCACAATATCCCACGCAAAGACCGCTGCGCCCGCGGGCCCCTCGCCGCCCTTGGCAGCTTCGCTACCGCTAAGAACGACCGCCTCGCCTTGCGCGAATACAGAGCGGACCCGTAATTCAGTATTTCGATAGATATGGCGAGGCCCCTTGCTCAAACCGCCCGGCAATGATTGCTCTCCTCTCTTTTCTGGGCCGCCGAATGCCGCGAGGAGTTTCCCGTTTATGCGATCCAGCAGCCGGACATAGCTATCCAGCGTCGAAACGAGCAGCCCATTGCCATCTGCCGAGCAGCGGACACTAGTCACCGGATGCACCAGCACATCATCTGTCATTTTCCCCATGCGTACATCGTAGACTCGCACATGGCCATCGTAACTACCCGCAGCGATCGAGTAAGAAGGCATATGGACGTGGAGACAGGAGACAGTATCGGTTGCTTCGGACAGGGACTGAATAGGCTTGTAATCTTTAGAACGTGTGTCCCACAGATTGACCATTGTATCGGCGCTTCCTGCACGCGCGAGATTCGTCAGCACTGTAAAGAAAGAAAGAAAGAAAGAAAGAAAAAGAAAAAAAAAAGCACGAAGGAAGCTGGGTACAGGCATACCAGAAACAACCACCGAGTCCCCTTCGCCCGCAAACTGCACAGCCTCGACGCGGCTTGAATGTCCATCCCATCGCCTAGTCGTGACACCCTGCTCGACATCCCATAGAAAGACCTGCCGATCGCCGCCTACACTGGCGAACCGCGCATTGTCGGCCGCAACCGCGACGTCGAGGACCGAATAACCGTGTGCTTCGTACCGTTGGATTGGCGAGACGGTTTCGACTGCACGTGCAGAGTTTTCTGCATTACTCGGGACCGCGCGCGATAAGTGGACTGCGCGGTCTGAGGAGCCTGTGAGCACATAGGTACCTGGATAGCTGGAGAACGTCACGGCGTTGACGGGTGCTGGAGACCACAAGTGGAGCTATTAGCGTCGTTTCTTGGCAGTCGCTATATTCTGGCTTGGTAACTTGCCATTATGTGTCTTGAGTGTGTGCAAATGCCTTGTGGGAAACGGTTTCGCGTGCATTGTGTCGATGCGACTCAGACGAGTCGAAGATTGGAGTTCGGGGAACTTTAATGCGGCACATTAAAGCTGCCGGAATTGGGGTCGTTTTCCTCGATTTCCGTAATTACATCAACTCAAGGAAATAGGTTAGCAACTTAAAAGGTAATAAATTACAAAACCTGAAGGACGCGATAGTATTGATAGTTCATGGTTGCGATTCTCATTCCATATTCGACACGCAAAACATGCCATCTTAGTAGTGATTCCGTGATTCTGTGATATTGCTGTTTAGATATATAGCTGCTCCAACACCGAAAACTCCCCAAAAATTAAAAGCTCCCCATAAAACAAAGTTTTTGTCATAAGATGGCCTTGTTCTTCCCGCAATATTGCCTCCCGATGTTAAGAAGAAATACCCAAGCTCCTTAACTCCTAGGACCCGCTCGGCCATTGCTTCTGCTGTTGCTGCTGTAGACATTCCTCGAGACTCAATCGTACTTTGGCTGCCGCCGCGTATAGCTCCTGGGTGACTCTGTATTCGCCTGCCAGTACTGCTGAGCGAGATTTTCGTCTGCCTCGATTGCAGCTTTTCTGCGAGAAGCCTTGGGCTTGGATGCTCTTGTCCTGAACCGGGGAGGGGGATAAAACCACCACCACCGACCCAGGTCGCAGAACCACCGATCTAGCCAATAATCGCAGTCTTCTTCGTAGTTGTCCGGCGCGACAAGCTCGCCCGAGTTGAATTTGGCCCTATTTCCATAAGAATCTATTGATATCGAGGGATTGGAGATTTAGCAGTACCTTGTCATGTCTGCTATTGTGGCTCGCTGCACCACATAGTACAGTAGTGCGATCCAAATCGTACCAAGAAAGAGCATCCAAAGGGGAGGCGGCGCTAGGCCATCGCCTACAGAGAAAGATATGATGCTCATTGTGCTGGGAGAGGGGCAATGTCTCCCCAATGCATGTTTGTTTTGGTTAAGGACGGACCCGCGCGCGGTCTACCCGCTGCTACTGGGCGGATCCCACTCTTTAGTATACATAGGAGGCCTCCGACAAGTGGACAATATGACCGAATGCTCAATCCCATTATACCACCTAAACGAGCTCGACAACAAATAGCGCGCTCCTATAACATGGTATCCCCACCAGAGCTGCGCAGCTGGCTTATCAAAATACGTTACCTGTCGGCTATACTGTACTGCCCTTTCCATTAGGCTCTATACATACTAGCAACAAGCGTATATTTTCGATGTTCAAAGTGGAGATGCAGTCCGTGTATATGCACCCCGTTATAGGGATCTTCGAAAACCAAACAAAGGATCAACAGGGAGACGCCGGTCCATGCGTGATACATCAGCCGCCGCGACATGCAGGCACGACTCGTACCGAGTACCATAGAGTTTACTTGTGGACAAATTATTTCACTCCAATTTGTGCATTGGTACAGGCGCAAAAATTAACACTATATTTTCCGCGCTACAGAAAACAGGAGGGGTTATTATCAAGGATGTAGACACCATCGCTAGCTACCAGCGGTAAATGGATATAACAAAACGAAACGAGAAAGCCCTTTGAGGCGAAGGTGCGCCCTCCCAAGCGCATGAGCGGCAGGACGTAGGGTACTCAAGAGAAGAAACTAAACGAGACAGCAGACATACTACTCCCTTTTTGAAAAACCCAGACTGGTTCTCGGCCCAGGATCTTAACGACGACCGTGGCTGCGGGTGCTGCCTCCCTGCAGACTCTCGATCTCCTGCTCGAGTGCTTTGATTCTGGTAGTATGTTAGCTGGAAAATATTCTGGCTGAGGATACAATCTGAGTAAAATATGCACATACGCAGCGTGGGTGGCTTCGAGGTCCTTGTTGAGTCGATCGCGCTCGGAGATGAGCTTTTGCTCCCACTGGCGGAAACGCTGCTCCTCGACCTTGACTTGCTCGGTGAACCGCTTGCGCAGATTCTCTTCCTCTTCCTTGAACTTGGGGTTGTCCAACTTGCGTGGTCTGGCCTCGCCGAACTTGCGGGTCTCCATTTGCTGGGCACGATAGGCCTCGTAGTGAGACTCCTCAGTGGTGTGAATCAGGTCGAGCATGTGGGTACGGATCAAGATAGAGCGGAGCTTCTTGAAGTCACAGTGGTCCTCGTTCTCCACTTCGGCAACACCCCAAGAGTACTGACGACCCTTAACAACACGGCCGTCGTTGGCCTTGACATCCTTCTCGGAACCGATGACGGCAAAAGGCATAGCAGCCATCAGGCTGCGGGCGTGGGTGGCAGCGTGCTCATCGTCCTCCTCAACGGGTGGGGTGTAGATCTTAATGCCCTGAGCCTCGATAACGGCGCGGATCTAGAATTATATTAGAGCGTGTTATATAGAAAGAGAATTCCCGGTTCGAGACAAGCGCAAACTTACTCGGTTCTTGTAGCGGATCAGATCAGCCTGGCTGAGAGTGTCGGCCTTGGCAACAACGGGGATCAGGTTAACGCGAGAGCTCAGACGCTTCATGACTTCGATATCGAGAGGCTTGAGGGTGTGACCGGTAGGGCGGATGAAGTACAGGCAGGCGTGCACACGCATGTCGATCTTCTCAGTTCGGCGGGGCTGTTGCTCCTGGAGCATGTAAGACTCGTGCTGGTCATCCAGGAACTCGATAATTGGCTGCCAAGAGTCGCGGTTGTTGACATAGTCGCCGAAGCCGGGAGTGTCGATGACGGTCAAGCGAACTGAAGGGGCCTACCGTTAGCCCGAGGCCCTTGGAAGGGAGCCCTCCGCTGGTATGGGAACTGCAAACCTTTGAAGAACTTCTCCTCCAGCTCAGCCTTGGTGATTTCGATTTCAACGGTGCGGTCCACCTGCTTCTGGTGGCGGCGCTTGTGGTCCGCATAGTTCTTAATGGTGGTGGAGAACAGAGTGTTGATGAAGGTCGTCTTTCCCAATCCCGACTCTCCAGCGACCTGTTGACCATCTCATATTAACAATGGGATGTCCATGCTGACGTGTTTCCAATTCCCACATACCATAATGGTGAAGGCCGCACCCCGCTTCGCAACAATCTTGTGTCTGAACAATGTTTATGAGAAGGGATTCTTGAAAACTTGGAGCAATCCCTGTTGTTATACGTACCGCTGGTTGGGGAGCTACAGAAAACACAGTGGTTAGCTATGATTAGATGTCAGGACACGGGAACGGAATTGACGTACATTGGCAATGCCAATAGGCGAAGCAGTCTCGGTTGTCGACATTGTGTGATGAGGGGAATATAGGGGGAATGGGACAATGAAATTAGTGGTAGAAAGAGACGACCCCTCGGGATGAGAACCGATACAGGGAAGAATATGAAAAGATGACCTTCCGTTGGCTTTTGGGTGGGAAAAGGAGAAGTCGACTGCAGCTCAAATGCTGCTTCCCCCCTGAATCTCCTTTCGTTCTCTGGAGTAGAGCTGGCCCTTTCCTATCCGGGTTTAGTGTACACACTATACCTTGTTGGGACCGGAAAGCGGGCCCAAGATGATCCGGGCTTATCGCTGCGTTTTTGGATTTGTCGATCTTCAGGAATTTTTGACGGAGCAGTGAGCTGTCGCAGGGAACCATGAAGACCGATTTCAAGGTGTGTGCTGGATAGGATCATAGCGCTACAGCGAAAAAGAACAATCGGCTAACAATTTATTTGCACCCTTTTTAGTTCTCCAACCTTTTGGGGACGGTCTACCGTCAGGGCAACTTGCTCTTTACTCCGGATGGAAATTGCTTGCTTTCGCCGGTGGGCAATCGAGTCTCTGTATTTGATCTAGTACAGTAAGTATTTGCTATGACCAGAATCAACACTCTGAAGATTTCCACCCGACACACAATCAATTGCTTATATTTTGGATTTACAGGAACACATCGTATACCCTTCCATTTGCGCATCGGACGAACATCGATCGCTTGGCTCTAGCACCCCGGGGCAATTTACTGCTAACGGTTGATCAAACCGGTCGTGCTATTCTGACCAATTTCCATCGCCGTATCGCAATTCACCACTTCTCCTTCAAGGGCCGCGTGACTGCCCTCAGCTTCTCTCCATCGGGTCGGCATTTCGCGGTGGGTGTGGGCAGACGCCTGCAAATCTGGCAAACCCCCTCGACTCCCGGCACTGAAACCAATGGCGAGATTGAATTCGCACCATTTGTTCTGCATCGCGACCTCGCAGCACACTTCGACAGTGTACAGAATATCGAATGGTCGAGCGACTCTCGATTCTTGCTCACAGCCTCCCGAGATCTGACTGCGCGCGTTTGGAGCTTGGACCCAGAAGAGGGCTTTGAACCCACAACTCTGGCTGGCCACCGTCAGGGCGTCGTCGCAGCTTATTTCAGTGCTGATCAAGAACTGGTAAGCCATATAAAAACTCCTTTATACTCCTGTCTGCTTCTTTCTAATAGTGTTCAATAGATCTACACTGTTAGCCAAGACGGTGCTCTATTCCGCTGGGAGTATATTTCCAAAAAAGACCCCGAAACTGACGAAGACATCGATGAGCCGCGATGGAGAATTGTGAAGAAAGACTTTTTCATGCAAAACGACGCCAAGGTCAATTGCGCTGCATTCCATGCAGCTTCTAATCTTCTGGTTGTAGGCTTTTCAAATGGTCTATTTGGGCTGTACGACTTGCCAGAGTTTAACACGATCCATCAATTAAGGTATGGATGCTGGTAATACATGGGACTATATTCAGCCTTCACTGACTTGGATACTTTTGTAGTATATCTCAGAGCAATATTGATGTCGTCACTATCAACAAGTCAGGAGAATGGCTAGCCTTTGGGTCCTCCAAACACGGCCAGCTTCTAGTGTGGGAATGGCAGTCGGAATCATACATTCTCAAACAGCAAGGGCATCTCGATTCTATGAATGCACTTGTTTACTCCCCGGACGCCCAAAGGATTGTGACAACTGCCGATGATGGTAAGGTCAAGGTGTGGGACGTCAAGTCAGGCTTTTGTATTGTGACATTTACGGAGCACAGCAGTGCCGTAACTGCATGTCAATTCGCCAAGAAAGGCAATGTCCTTTTCACCGCTTCGCTGGACGGTTCAATTCGAGCCTGGGATTTGGTGCGCTACCGTAACTTCCGGACGTTTACCGCACCATCGCGCCTTTCATTCTCATCTCTGGCCGTCGACCCTAGTGGAGAAGTGGTTTGTGCTGGATCTCCCGATTCTTTTGACATTCACATTTGGTCCGTGCAGACCGGTCAGTTGCTTGACCAGCTGTCCGGCCACGAAGGGCCAGTATCTTGCCTCGGCTTCGCTGCGGATGGCAACCACCTTGTCAGTGGCAGTTGGGACCATACCGTTCGAATTTGGAGCATTTTTGGTCGAACACAAACCAGTGAACCTTTGCAACTGATGTCAGATGTCCTCAGCGTTGCTTTCCGGCCTGATGGTAAACAGATTGCAGCCTCGAGCCTCGACGGCCAGTTATCGTTCTGGTCTGTCGAAGATGCCGTTCAACAGGGCGTAGTGGATGGTCGTCGGGATGTTTCAGGTGGTCGCAAGATCACCGACCGCACTACCGCTGCCAATGCTGCAGGTACAAAGGCTTTCAACCGCATCACTTACAGCGCAGACGGCAGCTGTGTCCTTGCAGGCGGTAACAGCAAATTTATCTGTCTGTATGACGTGGGGATGGGGGCTCTGATCAAGAAGTTTACTGTCTCCGTGAACACCTCTCTGGATGGCACTCAGGAATACCTGAACAGCCGCGACCTTACCGAGGCTGGTCCTCGTGCTCTCATTGACGAGACCGGAGAGGCTTCTGACCGCGAAGATCGTATTGACCGCACTCTGCCGGGCGCAAAACGTGGCGTTGATGCTGGCGCACGGAAAACGCGCCCAGAAGTACGGGTGACATCCGTTGATTTTGCTCCAACTGGACGCGCCTTCTGCGCAGCATCCACCGAGGGACTTCTCATCTACAGTCTAGACACTGAATTTGTATTCGATCCATTTGATCTGGATATCTCAATCACCCCCTCAACTATTCTGGCCACTCTTGAGGCTGCTCAAAAAGCAGCCGCTTCAAATACGGCCGATGACGACAATACTTTCCTCAAGGCCCTCATCATGGCTTTCCGTTTGAACGAATCAAAGCTCATTCGCGCCGTCTACGAAGCCATTCCTCCTTCGGATATCCCGCATGTGGTCAAGTCCGTTCCTACAGTCTATCTGCCCCGACTGCTACGCTTTGTTGCGCACGCGGCAGAAGAGACGCCCCACCTGGAGTTCAACTTGTTGTGGATCCAAGCGCTTTTCAGTGCTCACGGCCGATACTTCAAAGACAACTCGGGGACATTTGCCACAGAGTTGCGGGCTGTTCAGCGTGCCGTGGAGGACATCAGCGAAAATCTAAAGCGGTTGACAGATAAGAACCTCCATAATCTGAACTATCTTCTCTCCAAGCCAGTCCTTGCAGAGAGAAAGCCAGCAAGTGCTTTGCTGGCTGTCGCTGCAGGGGACGAGGAAGAGGCTGATGATCAGATGGTGGATGCCGACGATGATGACGAAGGCGGATGGATCGGGCTGGAGTGAGTATGGACGCTTTGATTTTCTCAATGTATGTCTATCTATACGTCTAATTTTGCATCTGCGCTCGGCGTTTGTATATATAAGAGCGGAGAAGAGATTACCCAAAAAGAAAGTGTGTCTTGGTATTAAATGAAAAGGCCTTCCTTTTGTTGAAGAGAACATGTCGAACTTATGCGACTAGTATCACCGGCTGCACAATTCGATGGCCTCAATTTGTCGGTCATCGGAAGGATATGGCTCATTCTAACCCTCTTTCTGTCCATCATGAATTTTCTTGCAGTGGATGATGGGTTTAGCGGAGTACGAGCGGAGTTTTGACCCCGAGCTGCCGGTGCATCACATCCCCATACTGATGAGTTTGGCTGTGGCGCATACGAGCTCCATAGTAATGTGCCACACACTCTATGAGTAGGACGCCAGATAGCTAGTTGCGGGAGTCACAGCGATTCGGGCTACCTGGACAACGTGAGCATCGTGCGCTCTGTTCCTTACATTGGGTTTTTACTTCCCCAAACAGCAACGTCCTGCTTATAATAATAACCACCCAATCCGGGCATTGACGTTACCCGATGGACTGTATTGCCTCCAGGCACACACATCTGTTCTCCCTCTAGTCCTATCAGCAAGGATCCAACTTTCGTACCAAATCTACATACATTCGATGGAGTTCGCTAGAATCGCGATATGAGCGACCGTATTGCATTACCTTTAGCCAGCTCGAACATGATAAATGGAAAACGGGGGGCAATTGCTGAAGCAATCGAAGGGGTACCAACTTTGTAGACATCAGCGCAGCAATCATGTATTTCGGGGCAGCAGACAGGCCTGTCAGGTCGGTTCTTTGTTATAAATATTATCAAGGTGGTCTTCAGTAGTATTGATATGGGATACAACTCGAACCTGGAAGACTAGCATACTGGTCCCAATTCGGCGGCTGAAAGAGCACATCCTGCCTAACCTGACCAAGCCGGTGCTGTTTACAAAATAAGGCTGTTAGATTGGAACAGTATACAACTAGACCGGTTTGACTACGTGGATGTTTAGTTTTGCATACTTCCATCATAGGACATGTCGGGGATTTAAAGAAAAAAACAATTTCATGGGAGAGAAACTGTATTTGTGGTATCAAATGGGCGTAGTCGTCCGTAGGGCAGCAAACGATAGATGACCTCCGTATGTATCCGCGGCCGCTCAACACCCCCAGAAAACTCTATTACATACATGATGAAGATTTCATCTTCAATATTGAAAACCATGGTTGGTTACTCAGAAGGAATCACAGTTGCTGCACAGCAGGCTGTCCACGGCCACGACCTCGACCACGATTTGCGCGGCCTCGACCACGTCCACGGCCTCGGTCCAAACCTTGGGGAGGAGGGGCATTCTGGTAGTTGACTGGGTGGAAATTCGGGTTGTTATCAATGACTCCCTCGTGAGGATCGCCGTTGTCAATTTGGACGTAGCCACCGCGGCCGCCCCGGCCACCTCGAGGTGCGTTCGTGCCACCACGGCCACGGGGCCCGCGTGGAGGACCACCGTTACGGAAGGGGAGGTTCTGGGTCTGGTCTTGAGCATAACCTCCACGGCCACCACGTCGAGCACCCTGGCCAGAGGCAGCTCCAGAGAACGACCCACGCAAAGGTGGGGGTGCGGCGGCTTCTCTCAGCTGTCCCTCTCCATTGGGGGCACCGTAGCCAGCGACCGTCAAAGTACTTGGCTGAGGTGGTGGGTTGTGGCTCGCTGCCGCACGAGAGCTGGTGACTAGCTGGCGATAGGAGATGTTGAGGACAGAAGTGCTAAGAACAGTCTGGCCCCGGAAGGGAGAGCAGCGGCCGCCCAGGGTGGTACCACTCATGAAAGAGGCGTCAAAGACGACATCCAAGAGGAGTGCTCGTGGGGTTCTAGTAAGACCAACAACAGTACCACGGGTGGCGATAGGCACCTTTCCGGAGTCCTGAGCGTAGACAATACGGTCACCGAGCATGAACTTCTGGTTTCCCAAGCGCTGCTCTGCATCAGCAGGCCGAAGAAGGGCGCTACGGGGAACTCCCCGGACCTTCTTTGGCTGCATTGGGCCTTGGGCTTGGGATACGACATCCGCATCATGCTCGATTAATTGAACAATATCAGAATCCAGCTGCTCAGCGTCGAGGGGAACCTTCTCAAAGTTCTTGGCCTCCACCTCCTTTAGCCAGTCGCGGATCTCCTTCATCTTCACAAGGGCGATGTCCGGCGGATAAAAGTCCGTTGGGGTATAACGATCATTCTGCGGGTTGCGTTGGATTCCCGCAATGAAATCAGGAAAGGCAATCATGTACTGTTGAATGAGATCGATAGCCTTCTGACTGAATTCCCAACCAGATTCGCCGCGACGGGAGTATCCAAGAACCTTCAGCTTACGAGCCTCGAACTTGAGGTTAAGACCCAAGTTCACACGACTGCCCTCGACATCAACAGAGAACGCCGATGTGATCTTAGCGAGTACCAGGGGGTTCAGCTTTAGGCTGCGCGCAATGGCGAAGGAAGGAGTGTACGGGCAAAGACGCTCAGCTTGGCTGACACGTTGTTTTCCAAACTCCGGCTCCTTGCCCTTGACGGATGCAATCAAGCCATCCACCTTACCTTCAGAGTGACCGGTAATATGAACAGGTCGGCCATAGTTGAAGTCACCCAAAAAGAAAGCCCGAGAGTTTACTGGGAACTCCTGGTCAATTGGAAGAGCCTCCCGTTCAATGAAACGTTGGTCCGGGTTGACTACATCATCAACTACAACCTGGAGAGCGTAATCGGTTTCTTGCCCAGGAATATCAGCAAATTCCTTGATCGTGGAGCCATCGTCGGTCTTGATCATTCCTTTCAAAGGCTGGATATGAACAATTGACTCGACCTCTCCAATAATCATACCAAGCCGCTTGCTGTAGGTGCTTTCAATCTTCTGAGCCTTTTTCTTCCATTGTTCAATCTGCTGAGGAGTGTGCGGGATTGGAACCGGGTGCTGTTCTTCCAAAGGAGAATATAGTCAAACAGTTCGTCTGACACACGAATCACCAATGCCTCTTGCAAGTTCGGGTAACCAACGTGGACTCGTTGACCAAGCTTTGTCTTCGCCAGCTCAATGCTGGAGCGAGTAGACGGCTCGAGGAGGGTGATAACCTGGCTCTCATGTCGGCTTTCCTGTTGGAAAACCTGCACTCCGTGGAAGCCTAGTTGTCCGACATGAGGAAGGGTCTTGAGAGTAGGGAAACCAGCCAAAGCAGCCTGGCCCAAGAAGACGCCTTCCATGAGTCCGTGAAACGGCTCCAACCCGTCCATAACAGGCAAATCAAAGATGTTCTCAATGCAGTGGCAGCTCGGGATATCAGGGAAAACACCCGGCATCGAGGACAGGTAGGTGTAACTCACATCTGGAGAGTAGGTAAACTTCAGGCTTGCGCCGAAGTCGTTACGAGCCTTCTCCTGAGGACTTAGGAGGTTCTCCTTTGTCTTCAGGGCATCCAAGAGCCTCTTTTCGTCGATGAAGGGGATCTTGACAACGGCCTCCCATTCCATCTTCTTGCCGTTCATGTCGAGATCAAAGTCACGAGGGTAGAAGTCAATTATAGGAGACTCAGGAGAAGTCATCAGGTCCCAATAAGCAGTAGGGACAATCTTCTTACTACGATCTGGCAAGACACCCATCAACTGCTCGAATGGCCGGAAGGGCCGACCCAGCTGGAACTGCATGTCCGCACCCAGGCCTTTGATCACATCTGTAGTTATTGTCAGGACACGAAAGCTAAGATCAGAATGCGCCAAGCGACTTACCAGAAATCATGGGAGCATAGTGGTACCGGAAGAACCATGGCCATGATGCGATACCACGATAGTAGTAGAATAAGACCCATTGCAAACCCTGCACGTAATTCTCGGCCAACTTCTTCAATTCCTCTTGGTTATCCAGGCCCCATCCAAACTTGGATCGATAGTAATTATCTTTCCACTCTTGGAATTTTTCCTGGTATTTCTTCTCGGCTGCCTGTTGGGCTTCTTCAGCACTCACGTCTTGGACCTTAGCTTTCTCATATTTACGAATGACTCGCTGGATCGCCAAGGTAGCTTCCTCATCGTCATCGTCTTCTTCATCACTCTGATCTTCTGGAGAAGGAGGGAACTCCACTCTCATAAACCGATCACCATTCTCATTATCCGTGGTGGACCAAGGAAGTCGAAGGTCATCCGCGAGCTTTTCTACAAAGCTGCGGTCGCGAGCCGGCAGAGTGGGAGGAAAATCTAGAGGTTTCGTTTCAGAGCCCTTGCCTGGTCTATTCAGCACATACTTCTTGACTTTCTTGAGAATTTCTTTCTCGGATGAGGTAATAGTCATTTCCTTTGGTTTGTTCTGGGACTCCAGCGAGCCATCCTTATTCTTCGATTTAATCCATTGAGCATCCGAGTATTCAGATTCAAAGAACCGTTCTTCGAATCCACTCATCGCGTCCACGAGGATTCCCAAGCGTGGGAGGTTAATTTGGCCTCCGTCGTTGATATAGCCACCCATCTTTGGTAGTACATCCTTGTAGAGTTGGAACATTTTGGCTAGTGCGCCCTCGTTGATATGCAAATTGGGTAAATTGGGCAAGAAATCGTTTCCAACAAAGAACGCCATGAGGATGAAATCATCAATCACACGCTCCATGTCGAAAGGAAAGCTCAGAGCTCCTTCAAATTCCAATTCTTGGAATTCCAGTTCCAAGTACTCTCGAACCATACTCAAGTGCAGGAGGTAAAAGTTTTGGTGTTCAAGTTCCTTGGGCTTCTTTGACACTTGACGACCAAAAGTCACCTCCTCTCGGAGAAGACAGAAATGGGGGTCATGACTGAGGAGACCCAGCATGATAAGGTCAGCGTCAAGGCCGTAGAGACAGTGGCGCATATTAGGATGGTAGTCAGGCTGCGCTTTCGCGTGCCGGATGTATTCCATGATTTTGTGCTCACCTTCTCCCGGGACCTCGTGGCCCGAGAGAACGATCTCCACGCCTTGCCAGTCGGCATCCTCCGAAATTTTCTTGTTGACAAAATATTTGAGTTGTTTGGTCAACTTCTCCATGAACTCTGTGCTGGGGTAATGCAGTTGCTGTCGAAGGCATCCTCCTTTGGCATTTCCATACCTTGAGCGATAGCCTTTTCTTTAGCTTTCTCCGCGTCGAGAGCTGTTCTGAAACGACGAGCACGTTGCTGGTTCATCTTCGCACGAGGCGCGACACCATCGACAGCCATGAAGAATAACTTTTGGGGCTTAATTTTCCCAAATAAATGCTCAATGTAGTTGAAGATTGCAATAAACATCTGGTCTTCAGTCATGCGGAAAGTCGGGGAGTCGCTGTCACTGTGCGTGCAGTTATGAATAATGCCGTTCATATCGAGATACAAGCTGTCAAACTCCGGGATGCGGCTCTCCTTGATGAGCTGTGAGATGGCCGGATACCGCTCACTGAGCCATCGAAAAAACTTTGGAACACCCATTCTGAATCGATCGTAATACAAAGAGAACCAGCGGAAGGAAAGTCGTGTACGGGTTCGTCAGAGCTGGTGGGGGAGGTTGGAGATGATATAAAGATCGTTGATGGGAGAGTAGGCGCGAAAAAGGGCGCAAGTAATAGACGAAACCCCGGCGCAAATGCCAAATCTACACCCGAAAAGACCGAGCACAAAAAGAAAGAGAAGGGAAGAGGTAGAGGGAAGATGTCGAGGACAATAGAGCGCGAGAGAAGTGACGGCTCGAGTCACTGCCAAGCCTTCCGCTTCCATTTTAGGCCTAGCGCACCGCGGGAGCCCATTAACGCGGTCTTGCGCGATGCCCTTTCGCATCAACTACAGGTGCTACTTTTTTTACCCAACCCGCGACAGCTTTTGTTTCTCTTGTCGCATACGCCCCGTGCTGTAGAATTGAGAGCACTATGGACTCCTACGATGACGAGAACCGTGAGCAGTCTTAATGACCCGAAGTATCGGGAATTCCTAGCTAACAATCCCCAGCCGCCGTGGACGAGCAGGACCAAGACCAGGATCACAAGACCGAGAAGACTATCAATGAAGGTGGGGTGGACCGCGATAAATCCTCACATTTACCAAGGACCCTTCGGCTAACACCCATCCGCGGGGCAGAATACAAGACCTGGAAGAAGAATGCGCCGTTTCTTTACGACATGATCCTGAGTACAGCTCTGGAATGGCCTACACTCACTACCCAGTGGCTACCAGACAAGCAAGAGTGAGTACCGTGACTGGTCTTTTCCCTACCGTATGAACAGGGTTCTGACTTCAATCTCTTCAGAGTCCCAGACAAGCCCTACTCTACCCATCGCCTGCTCATTGGCACACACACCGCCGGTGACGCTCAGAATTACCTGCAGATTGCTCATGTGCAGCTTCCAAACCCCAATTCTCCTAATCCAGATGACTATGACGATGAGCGGGGTGAAATTGGCGGCTATGGCGGTGGGCCTAAGAAGCAGCCGATGGACATCAAGTTCGAGATCGTCCAGAAGATTGATCATAAAGGCGAGGTGAACAAGGCTCGCTACCAACCTCAGAACCCTAACATCATTGCGACGATGTGCACTGATGGCCGGGTTATGATTTGGGACCGCTCAAAGCATCCCAGCCAACCCACCGGGACGGTCAACCCGCAGATGGAGCTGTTGGGTCATGAAGCAGAGGGCTTTGGCTTGAGTTGGAGCCCACATGAAGCCGGTCATCTTGCCACTGGCAGCGAGGATAAGACAGTTCGTCTCTGGTAAAGTCACTATACTCACTCCACCCTCATCTTCCGGTGCTGACAGGTCCTCAATAGGGATATCACTACCTACACCAAGGGTAACAAGGCCGTCAAGTCCCACCGTACCTACACTCATCACTCTTCGATCGTGAATGACGTCCAACACCACCCTCTCCATTCGTCCCTCATCGGGACCGTCTCCGATGACATTACCCTCCAGATCCTCGATATCCGTTCAGCGGATACAACCAAGGCTGCAGCTTCAGCTGACGGTCAGCACCGGGACGCAATTAACTCGATCGCATTCAACCCGGCTGCCGAGACCATTCTGGCCACCGGCTCTGCAGATAAAACGATCGGGATATGGGATCTGCGAAACTTGAGAACGAAGCTCCACTCACTGGAAGGTCACACCGATTCTGTGCAGTCAATCTCTTGGCATCCGTTCGAAGAATCTGTCCTAGCCAGCTCTAGCTATGATCGTAAGATTATGTTCTGGGACCTCAGCCGCGCTGGTGAGGAACAAACACCCGAGGATGCGCAAGATGGCCCTCCCGAACTGTAAGTCATCTCTTGAGTCTCGTATATCTTTGAATCTGACTAATGTGGTCTTGAATTCAGGCTTTTCATGCACGGTGGTCATACAAACCGAATTTCTGACTTCAGCTGGAACCTCAGCAACCCCTGGGTCCTCTGCTCCGCGGCCGAGGACAACTTGCTGCAGGTGTGGAAGGTGGCGGACACCATTGTGGGCAAGGACTTGGAGGACGTTCCTAATGAGGAGCTCGAGGCGTAATTTCAGCTTCATTAATGATGCTAATTTCTCTTACTCTCTTTCATTTTATGCTCAGATACAATTCCCAGGTGAAAAGAGAATCGATCATAATAAGACATTATTCCAAATCACCTCTCTAGTACCATGTGACACCCCGGGCCAACCCAGTCTATCGCCTACTAGTGAGCAGCGCCAGTATGGAGGGAGTTTCTGAACCGCTACCAGCAATATCCGATAGGCAGTAAGCTTAAGACCTTGAAGTTCCAAATGTTGCAAGGCTATTATTGATCCTTCATCTGCTGGGGAATCTAGCCTGGATTTTCGGCCCCAATAAATACGGGGCTCTCGCAAGTCACTACGCCTAGGCTAGACTATATATTTTCGGGCTATAGTTGGACGCTTCAATTATTTTGCGATAATTGGGGATGACTCGGTGTACGTACAATTACGCAAACTGAAGTACGTAAGACAAGTACCTTTATCATCGAATAAATTTTATTCCAACTCCAAAAGAGAAGAAGGATCCCATGAACCAAAGAGGCATGCAAGTCCACTGCACAGCGGCCCCGAGCCCCTCCGACTTTAAAAGCCGCGCCCGCGGACAATCGCCGCGCAATCGCTGGTTGGTGGACACTGCAGGCGGTGTCGGAAAAGATGAGGGGGCCGGACACTAAACAGGCTTAGCGTGCATTTAGAGCGCCGTTGCGTCAAAAAAAAAGTAGTCAGTGATGCCGCTGACTTCAGACCAATATTTCCCCCAAGTTTCCTCTTGATCTCCTATCGCTTTGCTCAGGCGAAGTGAAATTACCATAGTATTCACATCTATCATCATGGGTGCTGGATCCTCACCGCCAGGGAACAAACCCTCCGCAATTCCCTCTCATATGTTGAACGGCAGTTCGCCCCTCCAGTCCTCCACAAGCCCTGGCAAGACCAGCCGAGCCAGGGATGCTCGTGAACGGGAGAGCCTCAATTCCTCAATCCGCTCTTCGTTTGCTCCCCGTGTTCCTTTGGGCTTTGAATCCTTGGAGGACTCCGAGTCTGCCGCCCCCACGGATGATGCCACTCGCCGTGAGGAAGTGGGGGTATCTCACAATACTCTGGCTATTCGGTATTAATTCCCTCCAATTTACTCTTATAGGATTTATGAGAATTCTAATGCATCTTCAGAGGCCGTCCCAGCTTGAATGACCCTCCCCGTGACCCCCGAGACGAAGCCGGCTCGTTGACCCCTCCAAATACTTCCAGTCGCCCCGCTAGTCCTTATACATTGAACCCCCCCCGTCGATTTCGACGGACTGAGCTGGCCCTGTAAGTGCCCACCCTGCACCTCACAGCTTTGCTCCCTGATGAGCCTGCCCTATGTGTTCCTATATTCTAACATGTATATGATGCCCAGGCCCTGGAACACGGAAGCGCTTGGAAGCTAGTCCTGAGGAGCAGGCTGAGCGACTTCAAAAACTTTCAGGTGCCGTCCGAACAATTCTGGAATGTGTTGGAGAAGACCCCGAACGCGAAGGTCTTAGAGAGACTCCCGAGAGGTACGCTAAAGCTATGTTGTATTTCACTAAGGGTTACGAAGAGAATGTACGAGACCTTGTGAACGGGGCTGTCTTCCACGAAGACCATGATGAGCTGGTTATCGTCAAGGATATTGATGTATTTTCCCTGTGTGAGCACCACATGGTGCCATTCACCGGCAAGGTAAGCACTATGCAGCTGGCGATAATTTTGGCGAATGATACTAATAAATGTGGGGCAGATGCATATCGGCTATATCCCGGATCGCCGAGTCCTAGGCTTATCCAAGTTGGCCCGCCTGGCGGAAATGTTCTCTCGCCGCCTTCAAGTCCAAGAGCGTCTGACAAAGCAGGTTGCCTTGGCAATCTCGGAAGTCCTTAAGCCGCGTGGCGTCGGTGTTGTCATGGAATCTTCCCACCTCTGTATGGTTATGCGCGGTGTGCAAAAGGTCGGCAGCACGACGACCACCAGCTGTATGCTTGGCTGCATGCGTTCCAGCGCCAAGACTAGAGAGGAGTTCTTGACCCTTTTGAACCGCCGGTAGTTGAGCCGTTTTGTCATTTCCGTGCATTTCTTCCATCATTTATCCTATCTCTAGGGGTTTCTCACTTGCAAGTTGGAGTTCGAGGAGTGGCCTTTCAACAGGTTCCATTACTTTCTTTGGTTGCTTTCTTTTTAACAATAAGGTTCTAGCGTGAGACTGGGGGTTTCCCATCCATCATATTATTTCTTTCTGGTACATTGCATATATGTTGACTCTTGTCTATTCTCATGGTCCAGCAGCGTGGACTCGATGTGTTCATCTTATTGATGGTTATTCACTCTCATGAAGTCTCAAAAATTAGAATATGGTGGACAAGTCTCTTTGGTTTGTCTTTTGGGGTTCTAGAAGAGGAAAATCCTCCTGGCGTGCGGGTTTTTCAACACTCGATGTCTCGTCACATCACATTGTACTCAACTTTGATAATAGGGTGAGAACGTGATCTGAGGGCTATTTGTATATCCCTGGAATACTAGTACCTTATCTGTACAAGAATTCTTTCATAAAATGGACTTGCTTCCTATCCATCCACCCCTCTACCGATTACATACTTCTTGAAAGCACGTTGGGTATCAGCACTTTCTCCTAGTAGCGAGGATGACGGAATCAAGAAGGAAGCAGCAGCATGTACGGGGCAGGGGAGGAAATATGCCAGTTGGGATTAGAGGTTCACTATCGAATATCAGGAGGAAGGGTCGCTTGCGGGCTGTAAAGAAAAATTATATACTATTACTGTGTATCATTTGTCGACTGCTTCCGGTCTCGAGGCTAATTCGTTGGAAAATTCCTGAAAGACCATCAGTAACATGCAGATCTCCAAACTCTAAGTGTGATCCAAGAGCTTGAATCTGCAGTAGTATTACCATGTACTCCTTATGCACTGCCCAAGCCCCGCTGCTCTCCAGGCGCGCTCGTAGGGAAGATCACATAATATCACGTGACTAGACCGCCGCAACCTCAGCCAGCCATGACATGCACCTTTCTACGTCCCACTTGCTCGGCAAGCATGGCGTATCCCCAGGCCACTCCTTAGATGCCATCACTGCTGCTTGGTATTACATATCTCCCTTGATTTCTCTCGTCGACTGTGTCTAGATTTGCGCCCGTGGCGATTTAGTCCATCATGACATTCTGTCCCGCCCGTCCCGGATGACGGGGCTTTGTCGGTGGGCACATATACCCCAGAGTGGTCTCCTCATAAACTCTCCCAGCTCCTTCTGGATTATTCCGTCCGTTTTCTTTTTCTTCTTTCGCGGCAGGCCCAAACTAGGAAGCGATACAGATGTCCAGCTCCCTCGCGCGCATTCCCTAAGCGCTATCGCTATTATCCCATCTGAATTCCGCAGCTCGCAGGTACGATCTGAGTGCAGGCAATCTCGCGCTTCCGATGCCCGGAGCCTTTGCAAAATGCCCTATGTCCACTTGTGCGCTTTTCTCCATGACCCGGATCCTTGTATAGTGGGATGCAAGTGTGGATAAGGACTTAGGGGACTCGGTTGTTATGAACCCACTTATACTGCTGGCTAAGATCTGATCTGAGTATTTGTTGTGGAATGCGCTCAGCCGGCTTGGTTTCAAGAGGTGATCCTCTTTCGCTTTATCGGACTGACATGGATTTTGTGTCTGCTGTAAACACCACCCTTGCCTTACAACTATCGCCAGCGGCAAGGCCCCTCAGGAGTGCACACAGCTTGGGCTATACCTGGGACAATCTACCTGTGAAGGAAGGAAGAAGAGAAGAGCGTGGCTCAGTCGACATTACCCAGCATGGGCGGATTACAATGCCCTTTAATATTACAACGGCCTCCCCAACCAGGAGCGGAGTCCCTTCGGCAGCCATGACCCGCGGAAGCTTCAATGGCTGCAAGTGAATCTACAACGGGCTGATGTCATTGGTCTGGCTTTTATGCAGAACGTAGATAGTGTGATCAGCCATCCGTGGGGTGTCTCCATGTGGTCTTGCTTTACGAAAGGCAGCGCATCAAGGCAAGAGAACGAGAAAACAAACCACGACAAACAATCCGCAGGCTGAGGAGCTAACAGCAGTCTTTCCCTCAGCTTCTTACTCAAAAGGTGCCATTTTTATCTATCGCGGGGTACCAGGCTCCCAGACTATTATGTTTCGAAGCCCATGGTAAGAGGGCTGGAAGAAGAAATCGAGCAGGAGAAAGGGAATATTCCAAACTGGACAGCAGCAACCCGACTAGCGGTTGAGCAATTCGTTGCTCCAATTCCAGTTGTAGAGCCGCACGCCATCTTCAGCCTCACCGCCTTCAGATCGCGTTGATTGCAAAAAAGGCACCATAGTAGATCATATTGGGCATTCCTGAGATGAAGACCTGAGAAAAATTCTCGGTTCTCATTTCCTTGACCGCTTCAGGCTGTGTTACAGGGCATAGGAACGCCTCATCTCCGGGGCGAATCCCCTTGCTCAGACTCGACTTCGACTACCCGGAAAAACCAGACTTCCGAGCTAACCCCCCAGCCGAAAGAACTTCCGCTTGACGCGGTCACGATTCATTGACTCCACTTCCTGTTCTGAAACGCCTGGCTTCGCTCTTCCATCACCCTCTTTTCTTCAACTTTGGCTAGCCGGAGCCAAATGCGGCTGGCGACCTTCACATGGCTGGGTCCCGCAGGAGTTCGGTGGTGAGAGACCAGTGGAGTGCCGACCTAGACCGCGATCCCCGTCCTATGGACAGTCGAAGAGGTCGAGGATCTCATCGAGGAGATCGTGGTAGAGGTCGTCACCGTGAGCGAGGCCGCTCACGGGGTCCCAATAGTCGTCCTTTTGATCATTCGGGACGCTCGCCACCGGGCCACGCATCTCGTTTCGGCCCTGATCCATCATATCCCCCAGGCGACACTGCACCAGATCGATCACCACCTCATGGCTCTCCTGGTTATTCTCCAGGATTCAACGACAACCGAAGATTCAATAATTCGCGGCTTGGCCCTCACGGAGATAGAGTCAGCTACTCTCCTGGACCTATGGACAGAGAGAACCACGGATTACGGCGGGATGATTCACCACTTGGGCCTCCCTCTAAACGCAAGAGAACTCGAAGTCCTTCGCCTAGAGGCCCCCGTGGCTCGTTTCCCCTGCGCCGAGGCTCATTCGCCAAACAAGGAGAAAGACGCGACCGTAGCCCTCCACACAAGAACAGAGGGCGTTTTCCTGGCCGCGGGGGCCACAGACGAAGATCACCTCGTCGAGGACGTGATCGCGGTCGAGGAAAAGACCGCCGTCGCTCCGATCTTCCCCCAACTGGCAGATCATGGTCTCCTGGGCGTGGTCGAGGATATCGGAATTCCCCCAATCGACGTTCTCGATCGCCCAGTGGCGACGTTTATAGTGACAGAGACTCTCGCTACAGATCCCGTTCTGCCTCCCGCCACTCCATGCGGTCAACCGCCTCAAAAGCTTCTGTGTACTCGTCTTACTCTAGAGGGGATGAACCATCGAAGCCTCATAAACATCCCTATACACGCTTGGATGACCGGTCTATATCGCCTCATCCAAACCAAATCCATGATGAGAGTCGTATGGATCGCTCCGATGAAGGGCTAGATCATATGCGGGACAACTTCGCGAATCATGGGAAACGAGGATCAAAATTGCCTAATAAGCAAGGTCGACGGCATCCCCCATTTCAGCACGACTCGAGACCATATCCTACATCACCGCGCTTTACGCCAAACTCACACCCGGGGTCTCCTCCCAAATCACCCCATTCCGGTGGCCGAGGCGAACGGCACAGAAACCCGGATAGCGGCCCTGGGTATGATGCGCTCACTTTCCAGTTTATCTCGAGGAGGTTTTCGACTGACATTCTTTCATGTAGGCCATCATCTCCTTACCAACAGGATAACCAATATTCGCACAAAACCTATTCAGGTCAACCCTACAAGATGAGGGGAGAACGGTATGGCGACCTTGCGAACCGTCATCCTCCATCCAAGCTTGATGAACAGACTTACCGCGGTGGACACCCGGGCCACCGAGGAAATCACACAGCCAACGGCCAAGGTCGACGGTTTTCTGTATCGAGTCGCTCTCAGAACAACGGCTCCCCACAACGTGGTGGAAGAGGTCATTTCAACAGCGCCCAGTGGACAACGTCAAGATCTGACGGTCCAAGTGGCCGACAAAGTTCTCGACCGAGTTCGCCCTACGAGAATCAAACAACACTCAATCACCCATCAAACTTCGTTGACCCGGGATCGCCACATGGATCAGAAAAGATCAAACGGTTGCGAAATCCAGATAGGGATGATCATGAAGATGATCGGAGCAGCATCCTCTCAGGAGGAGTCGACCAAGCAAAACCAGAGCAAGCGGCCTCTGCGACACGCGAGTCTGATAACACAATTCCAGCGGATAAAAAAGGGCGATTTAGCTTTGCCTTCAAGACGAAAACCCCACAAGCTCCAGCCCCAAAGCCTGTGCCTGACTTGGCACAGCGCATGCAGATCCGTGATCCACCGCCTCGTGCCCCTGCACCTGATCCACCGACGCCTCGAAACAGATTGACTAATGGCCCTATGCCAAAATTCAAGCCTGATCCACCATCACGTTTTGACCGCCGTGAACGAGACCGAGGAAGAGACCGTGATCGAAGAGATGACCGCCGCCATCCTCGCGACTCCCGCGATAATCGAGATGCTCGAGACTTCAGGGACTCCAGAGACAAAAGAGACGACCGTCGATTTGACCAGCGGCGTGATCGGAGAGGACGCGGTGACAGGAGGCCTGATTTCAATCCAAGAGATATGTCACCAATTGAGTCACTACGCGAGCAATTCCGCGAACCACGAGAAATACCACCACCCACACCACCCAAACGCACGAAGGTTTTGACTCGATACAAGCCACGTCCTGTTATACCGCAAGAGTTCGCGCAAGCGGATTCAGTATACTACCGGAAGCCTGGCAACGAATCCGTCATCGGCGCAGGTACGTACGGCAAGGTTTTCAAGGGAATTCATGTCTTCACCCAGCGCAAGGTGGCTCTGAAGAAGATCCGCATGGAAGGCGAAAAGGATGGATTTCCTGTCACTGCTGTGCGAGAAGTTAAGCTCCTTCAACATCTCCGGAACCACAACGTGGTCAGTCTGTTGGAGGTCATGGTAGAACATAACGAATGTTTCATGGTCTTTGAATATCTTTCGCATGACTTGACTGGACTAATCAACCATCCGAACTTCAATCTTACGCTTGCACACAAGAAAAACCTGGCTCAACAAATGTTTGAGGGCTTGAGTTATCTCCATCATCGTGGTGTTCTTCATCGCGACATCAAAGCTGCCAACATTCTCATCAGCAACCAAGGCCTGTTGAAATTTGCAGACTTTGGATTAGCTCGCTTCTTCTCCAAGAGCCGCCCCCTTGATTATACCAATCGTGTTATTACAATTTGGTACCGCCCCCGGAGCTTCTCCTTGGCGAGACCCGTTATGGTCCTGCCGTTGATGTGTGGAGTGCAGCATGTGTCTGCATGGAGATGTTTACAAAAAAAGCTGTCTTTCCCGGTGAGGGTGGTGAGCTTAGCCAGCTTGATAAGCTCTTTAATTGTCTAGGCACGCCAGCGAAATCCGAATGGCCTGATTTCGTGGAAATGCCGTGGTTCCAGCTGATGCGCCCGACAGAACGCAAAAAACGGATTTTCGAGGAGGTATACCGAGAAGTTCTGACGCCACAAGCTCTGGATATGATTTCAACGGTATTCCAGTATGACCCTGCCAAGCGACCAACTGCAGAGGAAGTGCTTCAGCATCCCTACTTTGTGGCTGAAGAGCCTCTGCCCCAGCAACCCACTGAGTACAGTTCACCCCCTTTCCCATGAAAGTGCGTCTGCTAACTTGATCTTCTAGGCTGGAACACATGGAGGGCGATTGGCATGAATTTGAGTCAAAAGCACTTCGCAAGGAGGCTCGACGGGCAGAGCAGCAAACACAGAAAGATCGGGAGAAGCGCAAGGCCGGGCCACCAACCGATCGAGATCCTAAACGGTCACGCCAAGGAGGTTCAGAGCATAGCTAGCGGCGAGACGCTTGTCTTACTGTCTGTGGCTTTCGGGATCCGTTTCTTTTCTTTTTTGTATGGCATTGGAAAAGGCTGGAGCATTTACGTTCAGGAAGGGAAATCATCAACAACCAGGGGTATCTCAAGGGCTTCTTTTGTCATATAGCGCCCATCGTCATCTAAGAACTTTAAGATGCAATTATAATGTAACCTGCTGGCCCTTGTATGGATTCCGGTTTGGACCAACAGAAATTCTTGTGGATAAGAACGATTGACGATGACGATAATAGAATGTAGAGGGGATTTGCAATAAAAGCTACCTATTAACATACTGTAATGGATCAAAGATTTGGACGTGTCTGAGAATGCCCATTGTTAGTCCATGAACAATCCGAATATGAAGAACAAAAAAAGTGCGACACCGGGACTCCTATCAGATTTGCCAATTTTACCCTCACGCCCGACCAGCCCAGCAGGCGGTTGAGGCCTCGGATTACCAAATAGCTCTTTTGGAGGTCATCATTTCAGAGTACCCAAAAACGAAAGCGAAACAAAAGCGAAACGAAAGAGAAGAGAGTGTAAGAGTAAAAATTCATTGCAACTATGGAACGTACTGATACTAAGGGAAAGCCAAGGTCAAGGAATGTCTCGTCAGTCAGGTCATCAACGCATCCTGGGAAGCTGTAAAGCCCTCGTGATGATGGTTTTAGATGCGACTTTTTGATCTCGACCTACACATCGGAAATGCCGGGGCAGTGGGAAAGAAAAAACTCCGGCATTGATTTGAGTCGGTGGTCTGAAGGTTGAAGAAAGAAAAAAGAAAAAAGAAAGGAAAAAACGGCGCAGCAGAAAAGGCGCGGGCGGGAAAAAAGACGGTGCGGGCGGCAGCCGAGGTGGCCGCTGATTGGAGGAGATGGAGCTTCCTGTTCTCCAGGTCGAGTCTACCAAACCCGATTTCATTATTCCACTTCCCATCTCCAATCCCACCTTTTACTCCCACGTTGCCCCCTCCACCTCCACCACCAGCTTTTCCCTTCTTCTTCTATCCTCGAATCTTCCGAATCTCGCATCTTCCCCCACCTCGGCCCTTACCTACTCCCCGCCACCTTGCAACTTCCCGCCTTCAAGAACCCACTTGGCCTTTTTCTTCCTACAATACTCTCAGACACTTGATATTGCCCGATACAGCCTCTAAATACCCCTGGAACGTGCTCCCTCACTGCAGCCTCCTCCGCGCTTCCTGTTCTCCCGGATGACCGCTCGTGTCCCGGGCAGTCTCAACCCGCCGTGATGGATAATGCCAATCTGTGGACCCGCCGGGCAAAGTAAGCGGAACCCTATATACTTCCCCCGGAAGCCTGCTAGAAAGCGTCGAGAACTCACCAGGGGATTGTGTTACTGTCAGCTCTTCGAAATTGTCTTTGTCCATGTCCGGCACAGACAGCAAGGACGGTGCCCGCGTCGACCTGCCCCGCTCATCCAAACGGTTTGGCCCCGACAGCTCCCACGGCCGCTCGAATCCTTTCAACGCGATGTCCCCAATGTCCACTGGCATGGCCTCCCCCTCCACCAATGCGTCATCTGCGTTTGGCCTGGGTTCAGGTGCATTCGCCTCGTTCGGAGCCCCCAAGACCCCCGGCGGATCGACTGACATTAAGACCCCCGGTGAGAAGCGCGACCTCTCAGACCTGGATGACGCTGTGACTGCCAAGGATTTCACCAGTTCTACCGGGGAGCACCCGCTCAAATCGACATGGATTGTCTGGTACCGGCCACCTACCCCCAAATACTCCGATTACGAAAAATCGACGGTCCCGCTCGCTGCTATCTCGTCAGTAGAGAGTCTCTGGGCTGTATATACCCATCTCAAGCGCCCATCTTTGCTTCCGACGGTCTCCGACTATCATATTTTCAAGAAAGGCATTCGACCAGTGTGGGAAGACGAGGCTAATAGGCGAGGAGGCAAGTGGATTGTGCGGTTGAAGAAGGGGGTAGCAGATCGGTACTGGGAGGATTTGTTGCTCGCGATGGCGGGAGACCAGTTCGCCGAAGCGAGTGATGAGGTCTGTGGTGCGGTATTGAGCGTGCGGGGTGGCGAAGATGTCTTGAGTGTGTGGACGCGGATCGACGGAGGACGTAATATCAAGATAAGGTATGTTCTACGATGGCGGCTTTCTATCTTCTTCACAGATTTATAAGTCGCCGCGGATATCCCGGTCGAAGGGTAGGGGACCGAAATGCTAACCTAGTGCGCAGAGAAACGATTAAGCGTCTACTTGCATTCCCCGCAGACACCAATATCGTCTGGAAGAGCCACGATGATAGTATTGCCCAACGCTCGGCGATCGACCTCGCTCGCCAGGAGAAGGCTGCGGCTGCAGCTGCCAATCCTGGAGCTCACCTTGGCACCGAGCGCCGACGCGCCGGCCACGACGATTCTGACAAGGGCAAGGGAGTGTAAAACCCCCACGCTCTTCTCCTCATTGCGGCCTTGAGCCCTGTATAGTAACAGCCGACCAACCAAAACAAAAAAATCTCATTTTTCATGCACTAACTCATTGGGACGCGTTTGGGTCTGGGGGGATGGTGGGGCATTGAGGCGAACTCAGCGGTTTGATTTGTTTTATGTCTTGAGTGAAACTCATTTATGTCTGGTTCCGTTCCGATTATTTTGTGCCTTGCTTATGTCTGATGCTCTTTTCTTTTTGATTCTCCATATCCTGATGCTTTCTTGATGCGAAGATGCAGGCTGTAGCCTGCAAAGGCGTGTGTACCTGGGGGCTGTTCTGCCAGTCTACTTATACCTTAGGGTAGTGTGTTCACTAGTATTTGTGGGCGGCTTTGAATCAAACCAATTCCGCGACAGCATAAGGCTACTTGTATGGCATGGCACGAGCCGTGTATGCTGCACATTCTGATTGGTTATATCATTAGCTGTCCCGGCTGTCGTCATATCATCTTGGCTGTAAGTATTGAATGCCTGACCAATGAGGCACCTACCCTGACCGCCCTGCGATATTGAAGGGAAACATTTTTGATAATGAATGATAGCAAACCATCATGGGAGCATAGCTCGCGCGGCTTGTTTTGAGCGAGGCGGTGGTCCGGATGTCTTTCTTTGGGACCATATCGGACTTGTTTGGCTTATCCCCGCGTCGCCAACGTCCTAATCGACCCCAACACTCTCCTCCCAAATCACCTACGAACCTCGATCATTCCCTCTCCGCACGACACTCTAGTTCCCCACACCAGCCTCTCGGCGCCTTAAGTCCCGTACTAAGTCGCGGGACGTGTTTTCTTTGAGCTTCCATTCCGATCCTGGAGATCTCTCTTCTCCGAACCAGCCGCAGCCCGCGAGTCTTATCGTATCTCCTCCGCAGGTGAGTAGCTTCCCTTGAAGCTCTGCATGTCCCCGCTTGATCGCGTACCATTTTTTTTTCTTCCGCACCAAACCCACGCTTCAATTGTCTATTCTTGAATTGGATTCTTCATCCTCCCCTTTCTCTGCCTTTGCCATCCAGTCTTATCTCTCGTTTCTGTCCCTACGCGGGGGTGCCGGCCTTTGCGGTAACTATGGTTCGCGATGATTTTTGTGTTTATCATATGCCTGAGCTGAGACTGATGTATTATAATAGGCCTCCCAGAGTTATGACAACAACAAAATTCTTACCTCTGGAACTGCATCCCGTGGGGAACCGCGGTCTTCCATTTTATCCCCCACACTCTCTTCCACCCGGTACGGACGCCTAGCCCCGCCGCATACACACACCTCTATTGACTCCATGCGCGATTGCAGGTCGGGGTACATTCCACAGATGTCGGGTCGGACCAGGAAGCGATCGGATGTTGAAGATGAGGCACGGCTTTTCGGAGGGACTTACAAGTAAGTTGTTGCAACGCTCCCTCATTCTGGATGTGGAAGTTGGTTAGAAGTACTTACATCCTTATAGCGACCCGAATATGACCCAGATAAGACCGGGCCAGTACAAACCAAAGAAGAAGAACCCTGTTGTAAGTCTTTCCTCGTTGTGGGTTCGACCGACCCTAATCATCGAGTGTTCCAGGCAATCGGTTCTTTCAAACCTGTCGATAGAATTACTTCTCGCCGTGAAAGTGGTCCTGTACATGCACAAGGCGCAACAGGGAAACCACAGGATCGTCCAAATCATTCCAATCTCACCGGCTTTGAAGAATCGAGTCGTCCAAACAAACGCCCTCGCCAAGATGACGGAAGTGGCAGCTTGCATGGTAGACTGGATCGCCCCACTGAACTCTCGCCCTCCACAGACCCTGCTTGCTCGCCGGTACCCAGCCTCAACCCCCAGATCACAGAATCATGTATGGGCCCATGACGAATTCCGCGAAGTAGAAGGACTCGTCAGCCTCGGAAACAGGCCCGGCCAACACCAGCGCCGTCGATCGGCCACCTCCGAGGATGAACGCTTCATGGCTCGTGCTACTCGCCAGCGCCAGCGCCAGTTGCGTGAGACAAATCCAGTCTCATCTCAAAATCACCAAGCACTCTATGTGGAGATACCGAACGTCGATACCAAGGTCTCTACAATTGCTGCAAACATACCGAAGTCCTCGCGTTTCCCCGTGGACGACAAGAATACCTCGCGGGATGGTAGAGGAAGAGAGAGCCCGGATGAGCTACAGGGGGCCGTGACGACCGATCCACTACCCAAAACTTTACCTCGAAAAATCAAACCAACTCGCACTCAGGAAGTGCAAGAAGTGCCCCGCTCTCCGTCGCGCAAACGCTCTCCGTCTGATATCCAACAGACGGACTTTGCTGGCTCACCTCGACAAGGACCCAAAAAAGCGAAACTCGATCACAAGCGCTCGAAAGACTCCTCACTTGAAGTGGCTCTATTTCGTTTCGGGCCTGTCGAGAGAACCGACGCCAATAGTCATATTGGTCTCGAAATGGACGACAAGGCACTCGAATTAAAGGATGCTGGTCATGGAGAAGAGCCTGTGAAAATTCTGGTTCGACATGTAGATAAAGTCATCCAGGGGAGACAATGCTTGAAGCTCAGGATGATGCTGAAGCGCCACGACTCATCAATTGCGAACCGTGTTGACATTGAGTTCAAAACGGTCAAGTCAAGGGATCGAGTCGTACAAATCTGCCAAAAAGCGGGCGTCAAAATCGCTACTAAGGATGCGTAAGTTCATACTAGGGTATCACTATGTATGGATACAGACTGACTCTTGAACAGATCAGATATGCAAAGGCTTTTTCTTGTAAACAAGAAGATCATAAGCCAGCTTCCTAGCCCCGTGAAGCGAAAACTCCCTGAACCCGAAGAAACCCCACCAGTACCAGCGGTACGCCGAAAGATTGCATCATCCACCCCGGAATCAAATAGTGAGCCTGCGCAGAAGCGAAGTCAGACCGAAGAAAATACTGGTGGTCGGCGTGGTAGCTTGGAAGGTGTTGCGCAATCTGTTCCGACCACACACACCAACACCGAGGCTTCTCCTAGTGGTGAATTTCCTGTTGAGCCCCAACAAGCCCAAGTTAATAACCCCGGGCCTGAGAGACGATCAACTCGGCGAAATACGCATCAGCCACCTAGTCCTGAAACTCACACTCCTGCTTGTCCGTTACTCTCCACGGACGAGTTTAAGAAAAACTGGAAGAAACCTCTTGTGTATCCTCCAACTGGCAAAAAAGAGCCGAAGTCGATGTCGATGACCGAGATCGCCTTCGGGAAGACGAATTCCTGAATGATAATCTGATCGCGTTTTATATGCGATTCTTACAAGATCATCTGGAGCGCACAAACCCTGAGGTCGCCAAGAAGGTGTATTTTTTCAACACTTATTTCTTCGAGGCCCTCACCAAGTCCCCAAAGAATGAACGTGGCATCAACTACAATGCCGTTGCGAAATGGACGCGTGGTGTAGATTTGTTCAGCTATGATTACGTTGTCGTCCCGATTAACCAGAATGCGCACTGGTACATTGCCATAATCTGCAACTTGCCGAGCTTGGTGCTCGATTCTGGGGACGGAGAAGAAGGAGAGAGGGGAGAGGTAGCCGAGTCTCCGGTCACAGAGACGGTGCCTCATACGAATTTGGCCGAGTCCTTCAAGAGTGGACCTCAGCCTGCAGGAACGCCTATACGATATGGCAAGAAGAAAGCTCGCGGTATACGTTACGACCCCAAACAACCCATTATCGTGACATTCGACTCCTTGGATCTTGGCCGCTCTCCAACAGTCAAGATCTTGCGCGACTACATCTGCGAAGAGGCAGCAGCAAAGCGCAAGTCAAAGGTCAACGACAAAGATATCAAGGGAATGCGAGCTCAAAACATCCCGTTGCAGCCAAATTGGTCTGACTGCGGGCTGTATCTTCTTGCCTATGTCGAGAAGTTCACCCAGGACCCAGAGGCCTTCATCCTCAAAGTCCTCCAAAAGGACATGGCTCTAGAAGAGGATTGGCCTCCCTTAGGTTCTGGGATGTTGCGTCGGCGGCTGAGGGATTTCTTGGACGCGCTTTACCGAGAGCAGCAGGCCCGGGAAAGAGGTGAGGATATCAAACATGCCCTGGCGGACCGAACGCCGGTGTCTTTCTTGCTGGGGTCGTTACCCCCCAGTAAACAGGATGGAGAGGCTCCTGATTGTCCTTCGGACGGCAATCCCGTCTCTTCGCCTGGCACGGGCGCTACAACCAACGAAGCTGTAGAAGTTCCGGATAGCCAGGAGCGAGCGAAGCCCGTGTCCTTCGCCCGCCAGTCATCCTCTCCAGATCGGAGAAGAACGAGGGCCGAGAAGAGGAGGGCGCGGCCGGCGACCTCCCCTGCCGACGTGGAGGTAGTGGAAGTGGAGGACTCTCAGCCAGGTCAGGCTACTGCGGTTGATGTGCAGGTCAGAGCAACCCCGCCACCGTTTTGGCCGCCTGGTTGAGATGACCTCGTAAACCTCCTGTTTATAGTTTATATTGTTAAAATTAAATATTATTAGATTTACAAAAAAGCCGAATATTAGATGGCTATATTGTGTACCTGATCCTAGCGATGGAAAACAGGACTAGTATACTACACAACCCTGTGCAATTTTATGCTACTTCTCTAAGTAGTACGTATGCCACTGCGCGTCCAAAGTTAAGGTTGGCTGGGACTCGGAGTTGAGGATATTGCAGTCCCTCCTCGCTTGACAGCTCACTGAGCTGAGTGTCATGAGTCCATGTTTCTGCCCTCTCAATCTCTCAGTTGGCCATTGGAGGTCAACTGACGAATGATAATTTGGGATCTTCTTGACTATCTTGTATCTATTAAGCTAGAACCCCCCCTTTTCAATCAAGTTCTTATCCCGGATATGTATTGACCATCATTGCTAAAGTCCATAGACGGTGGTAGGGTATTCAGTGTTCCTAACGATTTATTTTCGGTGCATGTTGACGCTCATAAACTTACAGCATGGTACCCTGCACTCTGAGCAACCTTCTGGTTCCATCCTCACAACCCCTAGTATGATGCTTTGACCGGATCAGCAACCTCCCATCGAATTCTTAGACAAGACTGACTTTTTCACTAATCGCTTGAAATTTTCGAATGGTATCGGGAGGTATAACGAACAAAATGCTTCGTACTATGATGTATGACAGGAAATGCAGTCCTGGCCTGACCTTCAAAAACTAGGGAAAGATAAATGACAACTAACTTATAAGTCACTACCGAGTGATGGAACTCAAGCTCTAGCTATTTATTGGCCCTGTATCTGCTATCTAAGGTCCCCTCTAGATTACATAGCCAGGAATCGATCTAAGCATTCAACCTTAATCCAGCACACACCTGAATCTACCACTCGCTTTCATCGACATTAGCCCACCACGACAACTTATCCCGTTTGAACGTCTCAAAGTCCCACTCCACTTGCTCTAGATTCTCGACATCACTAATCCATACATAAGCCACAGCATCGACCAACTTCGGGCAGGCATCAGCTAAAGTTTGTGCCCCAGAAGCTTCCAATGCGCTTTTGAGATCCGTGGTCTCCTTGGCAGTATCTCCATCAGACGTAGCTCCCTGATCCAATGTCTGTACTTTCACCCTCTCATGCGCGTACTCGCTTCCTTCGAACCGATCAAGCCTGTATACATCTCCGTCTGTAAGTCCGGAGACGAGTATGCCCAGTACTTTGGAGCCCCGCGATGCCACAATAGCTGGGTAATCTGCGCCACGCACCCGGTGCCGCCGATAGCCCTGCAGCTCGGCGGGCTGGAAGCGCAATGTGGCTTTTTGCCAGGGTTCTGGGTCCGAGCGGCCATGGATTACTCGGTGTAGTACTTGGGGGGGCCATCAGTGTGCCTGCAGTATCACTAAGTGAGTCATTGGTCTGTTGATAAGGTCGCTGAAGGATAATAATATCAGACGTACCATAGAAAAAGAGAACGTGGTCGCCCATTGCAAACAAAAGTCTTTGTGTTTATGTGCCGGACAGGATTTTATCTCAAAAATCAACTTACTAAAGGTCTTGATCCCGGCACCTTAGGAGAGATGAAAGGCTGGTTTCAAGTGCGGAGGGCACTATAAACTAAATTGCGGAGCTTATCGATAAGCATCGAGGCCTCCAGCTGGCTTCATCTGTTTTCCTTTCCGTACACAACACAACCACCATGCATTCCGCGCTCAACCGTGTGCAGGCCGTCTTTGGCTTCTTCACCACCGTCGCCCTGGTGGTGGCTGCCGCGGCAGCATTGTCCACCCTGCTCTTCCCTACGGCCGACACCACCGCGTCGGTGCAGCTGAAGAATGTCCAAGTGTGAGTGACCACCTGTCTCCAAACTATCCAGAGCCCAGTCAGCCACATTTGCAGCGTGGTACCTGGTATTGCACCTTTACAGGCGCAGTCCCCGAGTATACCCCTGCGTATCTCCCAGCAATCCTATCTCAACCGACCCACGCAGTTGCTAACCCTAACCAGCGTGAAAGGCCGCCCACACTACTACTCAACTAAGCGCGAAGAATACGCCCAATTCCGCTTCGACCTCGACGCAGACCTAACGCCCCTCTTCAACTGGAACACGAAGCAGGTCTTCGTCTACGTCTACGCAACCTATTCCTCCTCCGACAATCCCAATACGCGGCTCCGCGATTCCGAAGCCATAATCTGGGACACCATCATCCAAGCGACCCCCTCCCCCCTACACCTTCGCTAACCTGCAAGAGAAATTCTTCGACGCGCTCCCCTCTCTCTGACCGAGAAGATCTCGCCCACGGCCGCGAAGCGCGTCGCGAAGAACAACCGGGCGAAGGCTAGGGCCAAGAAGACCGGCAAGAAGGAGGCCAAGAAGGCGCCGGAACCTGCACCCGGGGTCCTCAGGCTGCGCGGCCAAAAGGCGAAGTATCAGATTGGAGACGTGACGGGTGTCTTGGCGGAGCGCCATAATGTGTCGCTGGCTGTGGGGTGGAATGTGCAGCCTTGGGTTGGGGCGTTGTGGTGGAGTCCTGGATCGGGGGCGGTGCCGCGGACTGAGGGGACGGTGCTGAGGAGTGCCGCGTTCGATCTTCCTGAACTAAAGGGGAAGAAGCCTGAGGGCCAACAGGTGTAAAGGGGAATTCTTTCTCCCGGGACAGATTGGATGACTGTTGGGCAATATCTTGGGACTTTTCAAGATTTACGATGAATTGATCTCCTGTTTTATTTTTGGGTGAGGTCTATTGGTAGATCTCCTCGTCACAGATGTTGAACAAGATTAATCCTTTCAGCATGGGCGAATCCGGATGCTAAGAAAATACTATAGCACTCAAGTCTGGCATTGAACTTTCAACAGTCATCCTCGACAAACCGTCATAAGCGTAATTTGAATTCGCAATACTAGCATCAAAAAATAATTCAGGCGTCAGACAGAAAGAAAGCATCCAGAAAAAGAAAGTCGTAAGCCATGAAAGCGCATCAAAACGTCGAAAAGCCACAAGCGACCTTGGAAACTCGGGATAGTCCCACACTCGAAAGCCGCACCGTGTACCTGCGGAGCTAATCAAACAGTTCCATAGTTCCGGTTCGGGTGGCCTCCATTTTGAATGCGATCTGAGTAGACGCCTGGAGCGCGGCGTTCAGTGGCATGAGCCATGGGATCTAGCTTCTTGCGCTGATAATAGACGTATTCTAGGTAGAAGGCGTGCACATGGCCGGGGAGATATCTACATGAAAGTAATGATTAGCCACGAGTCCGCCGTCTCTTTTGGAGGCTTTTGGTGTGGGGGTGCGGGGTTTTAGCTGGGTGCAACCTGTCACTTACCCCAGGATCGTTAGGCAGACGTTGATCCAGAAATCGACGCCGCAGCCGGAGATAAGGAAGACGCCGAGTGGGGGGAACTAGATAGCAGAGCTGTCAGAGATCTTCCTTTTTCCTCTCTCGGAGTCGCAATAAGCTGCTGCCTGATGAGAGCTCTCAGGAGCAGAATGCGAACATAGACACGACAACAAGCTTGTAAAATACACGCTCAAGTGCACAGCAGAGAAAGCTTACTGAAAAGAGTGACGATGATCAGACACAGCGTCGAACAAGTGCCAGCCATGATGGATTCAGTGTCTGGGACGAGGATAGCGCTTGATATCGGCGGTAGCCACGTAGCTGAGGAGAAGAATGGTGAAGAGTAACACAAAGATATAAACGGGGACGTTGTCGTCTTTTGGGGAGTTCAGTCGTTTCATGATCGGCAAAGACGTCAGAGAGGCTCCAGGTGGGCTCAGAGCAGCCTTATTTCCCGGAACGGACCCCCACAAGTTATTAGTAGGGCTGAGCTGAGCTCGGACTTCGTGGGTGCCTGGAGGCAGTCTTGTCCTGCGCTAATATTCTGGGCGCTTTTTGACCTGGCTTACTGCGTACATTGGGGCAATGACGTTCTTCATTGGCCAAGAGCTGTCCATGAGCCCTGTTAACACTGACGTCATTCCTGGGTACGGGCACATCTATATACGCAATATTACATGCTCAGGAACTAGAAACCTTGTATGGAGGTAGATTGATTTGGAACCTGTAGTATACGTAGCTCGTACGATGGTGAGTGGCGCTCCTTCGTTTCACTGGTCAAACCCTTTTCATATATAGCACCGGGATAGACGGGCGTAAATAAGATCTGTGCCAAGCGCCCGCAGTTTGGGCATCAGGCACCCATAGCATAAATCATTAAGGATACAGCGAACAAAACTAAATGCAACAGAGACAGCACCCCCTTACACAGCATCGATCGCCGCACGGCTGGTGACCTGCTCGTTCTTGTTGCCGAGCTTAGAAATCTGCAGAAACGCATCGACGCCATATCCTTCCAGGCTATGCATTTCCAGACTACCTGCCCAGTACTCGGCATATACTCGGCTCATGGGCAGACCCATGCCCAGTCGAAGGTTCGGATGCCGGGATGTGAGGGTATCAAGAGACGATTCGCGGTAACCTCCTTGGTCCGTCTTGCGCTCTGTGCGCTCGGAAACTTTCAGTTCCTGCATGGTCGCAGCCATGGCGGGGACTTGCTCGAGATTTTCGAGCCGTGATTGGGTGCGGGGGCCCTTGCTGAAAGACCACAGCGACGGGAGAAGCTCTCGCGGGAGGCCACCGCCTTGATCTGAGATGCGCATGATGACATGCTGGGGGGTTTCGCAAATCAGCACTTGGATAGGAGGGGGTGGCTGTGTGGAATCTTTGTATTTTTCCATAACTGCCTGCACGGAGTTCCGCATCAGCTCACCCACAATATACTCGAGGTGGCTCAGGATATATGGGAATGTGGCGGTAAGGTGGCCCTGGACAGTAATGGCGGGGATCTGAGCCGACTGGGATGTTTTCCGCATCAGCTCTTGCGCAACCTTTCCGCAATGCTCGACCACTTCTTTTGCGTTGCACTTGAGGAATACCTCGCCCACAAAATCGGAATTCATATCGGTGCGTTCCTGGGAGTCGGGGAAATGCCACGGGGAGTTGAATGTTTCTGTTAGAGCAAGGTGCTGCTCTGCAATGACTCGGCGAGAGATCCGCTGATTATGAGTTAGCCCAGGGGGCTCAGCTTGATAAAATCTCCTTGATTTGTCCATACCGCTCGAAGAAGAGTGTTCATGAATCGATCCATTTCGTCGGCAGGAACGAGTTCACGGCACTTCAACACCCCCATAGCGAGGTTTGGAATAACAACGAGGTGCTCCTTGAGGGCCTCCCGAAGTATATCACAGAATCGGTCGTTGTCTTCGAGGCTGCGAATTTCAGGGACCACCCGAAACCGTTCAAAGGCTTTGTAGTAGAGTTCGTAGACCAGAGAGAGATGGGGATTGGAGACGACCACATAAGGGAGCTGTTGAATATCACGCAGACGGTGTGCAAGACTGGCTCATGCTCATCTTAGAGAACTGGAAGAATGAATTGGAGTTCAATCCGATCACGTACCGAGTAGGTAGCTCTGTCCGCACATAGTTTGCCGAGCTAATTAAACGCGGCTCGGTCAAGGTGCGACCAAAGAATGTCAGTTGTCGCAAGCTGATCGGGCGGATCGGGCGTTCAACCCATCTGTCTTGAGTCAGCGCTGGAGTCTTGAGCTCTCGAGTTCGAGCTTCACATACTGATCCACGGCGGAGCCCGGGCGCCATGGAGGAGGCTGTCCTGAGTAATATCGAGGCCTCACCAGGCGAGCAAACCGCAGGATTTGCTGGCACCTTGGACCCGACTGCATTGTTCCCCATGCAGATGCGTAGAGCCCGACAGCTCACACAAACTTGGAGAAGCTGTGACTACATAAAGGCGGGCGGTGAAAGAAGTGGCATGTGACATGTTGCTGTTTTGCCTGATCGACGAGGAAGTGGATTCGCAGTTGCAGAGATTCATCGCATCTTATTCTAGGAGACTCTATAGATTCATCTCAATCCTCAGTTAAGGTTTATTCGACGAACCATTGTAATCTGGACTCGCTGGGATCTCATTTTGAACTTCATATGGGATAATGGCGGGGAAGCCTCGTCCACGTAATGGCCCACCGTCGGTTTAGTTGGTCGCAATTGGTCGAGAAAAAGCAATGCAACCCGTCTACCATTTGAGCCTGCTCGTGCAAAGGGCTTTAGATCCGTACTAGTAGGTATCCTATGGCCAAAGGTAGATCCCAGTAATGATCACTATCAAGAGGATGTGTGCATCTAGCATATTTTACTTGGCCAGACTCTTTTAGACCTGGTGCCAGATTCCAAACACTTCCTGTGTCAGCACAGGCCAGTGGTTGTGTGGCCTGAGATAAAGGAGGGTACCCGCACCAGAAGCTTCTTTCATCTTAAAATCCTGCGCTTTGCGCCCTACGCATGTTAGTGGAAAGGTAAAAAAGGTGAAAGGAAAGCAACACATAACCAACGTGGGTCCCGACAGGGTTCAACAAGGCAAGGAACGTTGCTGCCGAGCCTTCGAGGGCTCCGCCACCGCTAGCTCCGGGACCCAATTCTGCGGGTTCAACAAGAAATTCACCTCTTCAACGACTCTCGCCAGCTTTACCTCCCCTTTCCTCTTTTCTTTCCTTCCTGTCCTCGTATACCGCCTCGCCAAGTTCCCTCCGAAAGGACGGGAGGGCGCCGTTCGCCATGGAAAACGTGAGTTGCCGACCGTGCCCCTCTGTGTCGTCATTGTAGATCTAACCACCCTGCACCCTCCAGCTCTCGGAGAACGATATGGTTCTCGACGACTATGACCAGTACCCCAACGAGAAGGCTGACGATGTTGTTGTATCTCGCTCTGGCTCTGATGAGCCCGATGCTCGACCCTTGGCTACCGACCGTACGTCTTGTTCCCCTCGCTTCCGGCAGATATGCGGACATGGATTTGAAGAGCAATATTTGTTTCGGAGATTGACGGACTGCCGCGAGGTTGACTCCCGGAGTTCCTATATTCCTGCAGACGTAATATTGCGTCCATTCAATCTTTGTTCTTGTCTTCTTGGGTCCAGATCTGACTAACGGATACTCTGATTGTTAGATGAGGCGATGCTAGCACATGTCTTGCCCACGAAACCCGATCTCGAAACCGAGGATGAAGCATACAACACATGGCATATCAAAGAATGGAGAAAGCTGGACCGCAAGTGCCATGGCCCTATATTCAAATGTGGTGGATTCCCATGGTGAGTTGTTCTTCATTACCGATGCAAAATCCCGGAGAGCAGCGATTGACCGATGATACAGGCGTATTCTTTTCTTCCCCTATGGAAACAACGTTGATCATGCATCTCTTTACCTAGAGCATGCCTGGGAAGGTGAACCGCCAGAGAATTGGTATGCTTGCGTGCAATTTGCTCTGGTGTTGTCCAACCCGAAGGATCCTTCCATCTACGTAACCCACGGTCAGTACCCTTCCAGCGGGGAAGCCATCAATAATGAATCAAGCTGACTCGTTACTAGTGGCATCACATCGATTCACCGGGGATGAAGGGGATTGGGGATTCACTCGATTCTATGAACTCCGACAACTGTTTACCGAACCTTGGGAAGACAAAGGTGTGCCTATTGTACAGGATGAGGAGGCCAACATCACAGCCTACGTGCGAGTTGTGAAAGACCCTACTGGTGTACTTTGGCACAACTTTCAAAAGTAAGCTTTTGGTCATTCCCCATTCGGGTATTAGCCGTCGTGCTCATGTGTCCTCGCAGCTATGACTCAAAGAAAGAGACGGGCATGGTTGGCCTTCGAAACCAAGGTGCAACATGTTACTTGAATTCGCTTCTACAGTCACTGTACTTCACCAATGCGTTCCGCAAGGTAAGACCGTATCTCCCGGTTTCTGGACGAATCGTGCTAAACTTCTCGACCTAGGCCGTTTATCAAATCCCAACGGAGGAGGAAGCCACCCGAGAGAATAGTGCTTGGACTCTCCAAAGATTATTCTACAACCTGCAGACAAGTGATAGCGCAGTATCCACGACCGAACTCACGACATCCTTCGGGTGGGATTCGCGCCAAGCCTTTGAACAGCAAGATGTCCAGGAACTTTCCCGAAAACTGATGGAAAGGCTGGAAGAGAAGATGAAGGGCACTGTTGCCGAGAAAGCCCTGCCTGACTTGTTCGTTGGCAAAACCAAGACCTACATTTCGTGTATCAATGTCGACTACGAGTCATCGCGAGTGGAAGACTTCTGGGACATCCAGCTCAACGTTCGGGGTAACAATACCCTGGACGACAGTTTCCGAGACTACATCCAAGTTGAAACTCTGGAGGGAGAGAACAAGTATGACGCTGGTCCTCCATACGGCCTACAAGACGCCAAGAAAGGTGTCATCTTCGAGAGCTTCCCTCCCGTGCTTCACCTCCACCTTAAGCGTTTCGAATATGACCTGAATCTGCTCACCATGATGAAAGTCAATGACCGTCACGTGTTCCCCATGGAATTCGATGCTGCTCCGTACCTCTCCGAAAGCGCCGACAAGTCTGAACCTTGGGAGTATGAACTGCATGGTGTGCTTGTCCACAGCGGTGGCTTAGATGCCGGCCACTACTACGCATTCCTGAAGCCTACTAAAGACGGACATTGGTACCGATTCGATGATGACCGAGTCAATCGGGTCACTGAGAGAGAGGTTCTGGAGGAGAACTATGGTGGTGAATACGAGCTTGCAAATGGCGCCCCAGGTGTCCGGCAACCATACACACGAACTCTATCGACCAAGAGATCCATGAATGCTTACATGTTGGTGTACATTAGAAAGAGCCGGACTGATGACGTTCTCCCCCCATCACCAAAGACGACGTTCCCGATCACATCGGTATGTTTGAATCCTAATCCCACCGAGCATGAGGCCAAACTAACCATACTGCAGAACGCCGCCTGGCCGAAGAACGTGCAGAGCTCTTGCGCCGCAAGAAGGAGCGAGAGGAAGCTCATCTGTATACTAACATCGGTGTGTTATCCGAGAAGTCATTTCAGTCACACCATGGATTCGACCTCACCAGCAACGACCTTCCTGTGGATGACCCTGCTCTTCCCACTCAGTATCGTGTTCTCCGCGCAAAGAAGGTCCGTGAATTTGCGAAAGAGATCGCCGAAGAGAGAGGCCTTAAAGCCGAAGGAATTCGCTTCTGGGTCATGGTCAATCGTCAAAACAAGACTGCTCGTCCCGACCAGCTGATCACCGATCCAGAGATCTCTGTAGATGAGGCTTACCAGCGATTTGCATCGAAAGGGAATCTTTTCCGCCTGTGGATGGAGTACTCTCCCGATGGTCAGTGGCCGGATGCACCGGATTCCATATTGATCTTCCTGAAGAACTTCGATGTGGTGAACCAGACTTTGACGGGGGTTGGGTCCGTATATGTTCGAAAGACACAGAGGGTTTCCGAGCTGGCACCGACGATTCTCGAAAAGATGAACTGGCCCGCTGGCACCGATTTCACCCTGTATGAGGAGATCAAGCACAGCATGATCGATCTCATGAAGCCAAAGCAGACTTTCCAGCAATCAGAGATTCAGAATGGCGATATAATCACATTTCAGCGACAAGTCAAGGAGGCCGATCTTCCACCAACATCAATCTACACCGACGCTCGACAGTTCTACGACTATCTTTTGAGCCGCATGGATGTCCGATTTGCACCCATTGGGGCTTCCGAGGGTGAAGACTTCACTCTAACCCTTAGCCGCAAGATGACATATGACCAGTTCTCGAAGAAGGTCGCCGAGCACTTAAATGTCGAGCCAACTCATATTCGTTTTGCTCCGGTTGTCCAGAGCACTGCCAAGCCGAAGGCCTTCTTAAAGCGAAATACCAATATTACTCTCGCCTCGATTTTGAGTGGCCAATATGGTTCGTACGGAGGCTACAACGCAATCCGACCGGATGCCTTGTATTACGAGGTATTGGATATGAGTCTGAGTGATTTTGAGAGCAAGAAGTCGATCCGAGTGACATTGCTTCCAGAGGGTATTTCCAAAGAGGTAAGGCTTGTCCAGTTTATCCTGCTACGTTCACCCGATTAACACTATCATAGGAGCCCGTGGAGGTCTTGGTTGCTCGAACTGGCACCGTCAGTGAGCTTTTGAGTGCTTTGCAAACGAAAGCGAAACTGGACGATGATACCATCAAGGTGACCAGGCTGTACGAAGCCTTGAACGGAAAGTTCTCGAAGGAGCTGCGTCCTGAAGATCCCATCACCTCCGTCACCGACTACGGCTCAATCTATGCCGAGAAGATTCCCACCGAAGAGCTTAACATGGATGCTGAAGAACGAGTGATTAGCGCTTACAGTTTCGAGAAGGAGCCTGCTCGGCCCCACGGAATCCCATTCAAATTCGTCGTCAAACCTGTAAGTTGCCATGCTGAGTATTGGGCTATTATTTCCATATTGACACTGGAGCAGGGAGAAATCTTTAAAGAAACCAAGGAGCGCCTGTCAAAGCGGACAGGTATTAAGGGCAAGCCTTTCGAGAAGATCAAGTTTGCCGTTGTTGCTCGCAAACCCTCCTTTGCTACCCCTAAGTATCTTGAGGATGGTGAATTCCCCCAAACCCCCCCCCCTGTTCAACCCTTTAACATTACTGATGATGATCCAGGTGACATTCTTTCTGACGAGGCTGGTCCAGACGACTATCTTGGCCTTGACCACGCAAGCAAGAGGAGTGGTTTCTGGGCAAGAGCGAGAGCTTCTTCATTCGATAAATTCATTCTGGGGGAGGCGCTGTGGGGGGTTTTGCGGGGCGGGAGACACTGCAATCCGATACATGAGTAGTTGGTGTCTGGCACTGTCCCCTGTTTTGTGCTTTGTTTCTTCTCATCTTTGTTTTTCCTTCTTCTTTCCCTCTTCCTCTTCTTCCTTTTCTTTCCCTTTTTCCCTTTTCACATTTCCTCCATTCTCTGTTTCTCCTGCCCTCGATCCGTGATCCGTTTCATAGTGCTATAGTGGGGTAGAGGCAATACAAATGCCACGAAGCGACGATTTTGTTTAGGAACAAGGTTCAAAAGTTGAAATAAGTAACACATTACACACGACCTTGAAAGTTTTAGTACATGCTTAACTGGAAAGGGAGGAGAGGGTCGTCCTTGAGGAAGCTGGTCGTAGGTTGCGAAGGCGGTAATTTGTTTGGATGCAAACAGTGTAAACTCCGCTTCGCCCCAGCTGGCCAGAACGTTCAACCAACCGACCTCCTGACGCGCATCCTCTCGATTGGCACTCAATTATCGGGCATTATGCGGTTTGCTCTCCTTGCTGGCCTGGCTTCTTTGGCCTCTACTGTCACTGCGACCGCTTTGACCTATCGCCTCGAAGCCAACGAGAAGGCATGCTTCTACACTGAAGTTGACCAGGTCAACGCTAAAGTGGCCTTCTACTTTGCTGTCAGTGCAGCCCCCAACCCTTCGCACAATGGAATGCATCTTCCCTGCGGCCTTGATTTCTGACAATAGCGATTGTGTAGGTCCAATCCGGTGGCTCTTTCGATATCGACTATGTCGTGACCGCACCGGGGGACAAGATCGTCCTTGCCGGCGAGAAGGAAAGACAGGGCGACTTCGTCTTCACAGCCCAGAGCCGCGGAGAATACAAGTTCTGCTTCAACAACGAGATGTCCACCTTTGCCGAGAAGATGGTTGATTTCGAGATCGCCGTACGTTGGATATTCCTGTACCCCTCAAACAAAGCACGGCCCTGGGTTGTCCATCCTCGATACGACGGGGTTACCTGCATATCGAATGGTTTAAGCAAATCTTCTGACACTTCATATTCTTGTTAGGTTGAAAACGAGCAGCGCGCCCAGCTTCCCTCCCGCCAGGGTGCTTCTCCCGAACAAACCACCACGCTCGAAGAGTCCATCTATAAACTGTCGGCACAGTTGTCGACCATCTCGCGAAACCAGAAGTACTTCCGTACTCGTGAGAACCGAAACTTTAGCACCGTCCGCAGCACTGAACGCCGGATCTTCAACTTCAGCGTGATTGAGGGCCTGATGATGGTCTCGATGGCTGGGCTGCAAGTATTTGTTGTGCGCTTCTTTTTCCAGGGCGCCAGAAAGGGTATGTACTTTCCCCTCTGAAATTGCTTTCGATCGCATCGAGTGCAGCAAGAACGGCCCGTTGAATGAATATCGGGCTAATTCGTCTCCACTAGGTTACGTTTGATGAGAATGAAGTGAATAATATGATGCATATCTTTCTTCCTAAATGTTTTCGATTTACGAAACCGGCGTGATGGCTTAGTCTATTTCCCCCTTGCCATAGCCTCCTAGAATCATCCTCCCAAGACTTGGGGGTCATAAAATCAGGTTATAATGCTCGATGACATCGCCCCTGCACCATTCTTTCGCCGTCTTCCCTTAGCACCATGCTAGCTTCACGCATAATTGGCCGGGGACCGTACCAGGGATCGTACCGGGGGGGTGTACAACACCTCAGGAGCGTAGAATCCGGTTTGAGCAGGTTTGGCTCAGAGCGTTCGGGAATGGACCGATGTGATCGAGACTGACGTCGAATGGCGAACAGGATCCAAGTTGAGATGACCGTCGATCTTCGTAGGGAGGACAACTGATCTAGCTGGCGAGAACGAGAGTGAGGGGAATCTTGTGTTTGATCGGGGCTGGAATCGCTCTCGATGAGGCCGAGCGGACCTCGCTGCTGGATTACTCCTGGAATCGCTTCAGAGTGTGTGCAGGACACGAATATCTGGCCTCCTATACGGCAGCTTTCCTGGGAATCCGGGGTCAGTCATCCGGGATCTGATGAACAGACTCGAGTCGCCCATCTTCCCCCATTCACTGATTGGGTCGAATACGCTGGTGTGTTGCGGTTCATGATCCACATCCTCACCGCGGGTGCATAACTATCAGCGCGGAGACACCCTGGTCAAAACAGGTTTCCTGGGATGATGCATTTGTTCCCCTTGAACTGAAGTTGCCAGGTGAACCAGACTGGAGAAGACGCTCTCTGGACGAAACCAGTCGGAGAAGACGGGGTTATGATGCAACAGGGGCTCAGCTCGAATGACCGTGATCAAGAAACAAGGCACACAGGGGCAGCTGAGTCTAGAATCAACTCGCTATTGATCTCAACAGTGATTTTTCTCAATTAATTCGGATAACATGACGATGATAACATGGTCCTACCTGGCCTTTGTCGTGCAGTCCTTTGCAGTAGAGAAGGCGAGTGATATCATCCCAGGGCCAGTGAGCGTCATGGCAGGAACAATTGCCATCTCCGTGGCCAAACCCGCCTCCAACATTCAGACCGGAGTGAAAAAAGTGAATCTATTGAAAACTCGACTACCGGGGTCATGAATTTGCTGAATGGGACCAAACACAAAAATGAGGGCATTTTGGTCCGTACGAGATTGCCCTCTCGCGTGGGGTCTGATAACCTCCTTCCGAGATGTCATATCTGCGCCACGACCAAAGGGGTCACGGATTATCGAATGGGCATGGACCCCTTGTCATGCTGCGGCTACGACACTTCCAAGTCAATTGGAAGGCTCCACTCAGGCCAATGGGCTGTCTAGCTTTCCGGGGGGGGTCGGAATGATGTATAGATATCCACTGTGCTCATGGTCCTAGTGCGACGCTATTACATTTCTCACGTAGCTGTATCCCTGTCGTAGCAGGCTTGGTCCACAATTTTCTGCTGATTTACGACATTGTGCATTGGCACTGGATGGGTATACAACCTCGCTAGAGACAACTTACCTCCGTCGTGGGTGCGGATGCATCTCTCATGTGCCGCGTATCCCGTCTCGACGAGTCTTTGACCTGCAGCTCCATACTGTACGATATGCAAAGGATGTTCTTTAGACAGGCCGGTAAATGGCTGCTTGTTGGAATAACTGATCTCGCAAAACCTCTCCAAAGTCAGCTTCTTGTAAAGGGCAGCTATGACCATGCCACGTACGGCTGCATGGTTTTCGCCAGGGGCAGAAAGATATCATCTGTGAGGATCTTCACCGCATGGGGTCAGAGGCGTCAGTGTTCGGAGAAGAAAACCGAGGAATCGAATTGACCAGTTTTCCCAATTCCACTCCCAAGGATCCCCAGTGGAGCATGAGGCAGCGTGCCTCCATATCGGTACCGTCGTGGTCTTTTCGCCTCCCCCGCCCGAGTATGGCAAAGACCCCGGAGTGAACCGACGTGTCATTGGACTGCGCCTCCTTTGCTATCTCCGTTGGACGCCCCAATGGTTCTTGAGACACGGTGGAGCCAGCCAAAGTCCGAATTTGGTTTCGGATCCTTGTCTTCCCCACGCCTGGTGCTCACGTTTTGCATATGCAATTCTCGCGAGCCTCAGATTTAGTCCTCGGCTCTGTTTCATTGCATATTGCTTATCCTTGTCTCTCGTTACATCATGAGGTATATCGGTTTGTGGGACATACACTAGTGTACAATTGAATCGCGAAAAGCCGTTCGACAATAACAGCCCGGTTTACCATGACGTCGATTTGTCTACTATTCAGTATAGTATACAGCCTCGTTTAGAGGATTTGAGCTGGCCGGACATTCTAGTAATAGTAGGAGTGATAGGTCTTCGATGTCAGTGCGTGTATCATAGGAAATATGCCGTGTCTTGGAGCAAACATCACGCTCGATATCGAAGCCCTAACTGATAATGATAATGGCATGACACAGAGGAGCGACTATAATGATAACCGGGGGAAACTACTAAAAACACTAAATCCCCACTTAGGCCCACAAATTTGCCACTGGCGCGTTTTAGTCCGTCGACGATCGCACTCGAGATGATCGGGGGGATATTGAAGACAACCCCCCCTACAGCACAGAAACCCTTTTCGGTACCCACGAGATGATCCAGAAGAGTGCAATTGAAACTATCAACGAAGCATAGCGTTAGTAGTCCCTGGGCATGCAATATTCCCATGATACCAACTCGACTGGTCGAGGTTTCGATCGCTGGAACAAGGGACCGGCGACGTCATAGGCTTGATCCACTTTTCCGAGCCTCAGTCCTCGACGCTCACTCGAAACACAGGAGCTCCGCTCGCGCCTATTGGCGATGGGGGCATCCCGTGCAGGCAGATAGACGCAGTAGAATGGAGAGGATGGCCGTGGAAAGACAAAAGCTTCGCATCTGCACAACCCACAGGGGCCATGACGACGGATCCAGCCATGATGTACAAATTCGCGAATAGCGTCGAGCATCACTCCCAGCGGGGAATATCCACACTGCGTTCCGCTGACCGCATCTACCCTATCTCAGCACGCTCGCAGATGCCAGATGGGCCCGGACGTTCAATGTCTTTGGCCACCGCGAGTGTGATTTGACCAGTAGACGTCAGGCGCAGATCTGCAGGGGATCGATTTGGTATCCTTCCGCTGATCCTTGGACGGCCTTTTTCGCTCTAGGCCACTCGTGCATTCCCTTGTGACCTCATCGGGAAACACTGGGGTTCCCTATTCTGCCTCCGGTGGGCCGACTCATGCTACCAAACGGCATCCCCCAGATCACTAGTTGACAGCGCAGGGGTGGAGCAGGGTGAGTTCATGATGATAGCCCCCCCCCTTTGTCGACACAGTAAGCACGTCGCTGAGTGGGAACTCCCTAACTCTGAGGTGGAGAGGGGGGGGGATCCGTTGTGATGATGTCGCTAGACCAGCCTCTCTCATCCTTCTTCTCGTCCACCCCCCACCCCCTTCAGCCAATGATGTCACCTGGGGATCGCGTTGATCGGGCCGTTCATTTTTTGGGACAATGGGCCTCTCCAGGGCCTTCTGGTATAGACTAAGCCCCACGCCAGTAGACCTATCAGCAACGATTGCTTCGTGGAGCCCGCTGTTTGCCGCCAGATCAGCTGTGATTTCATATGGAAGAGAGTCGCCCTTTCCCCCGCCCATCATGTAATCTTATATATTGGACGGTTTCCGATTTGAAACGAACTCCTTTATTGTATTGTCCCTTAATTTTCCATATTGCCCTAAGTCCCTGCGAGCTTCATCTGCCCTAGACTCCTGGCCATCTTGCCAGCAGAATCGCCTACATAAGATCCCCACCATTTGGTTACGCTGGTTGTACCTGCTTCCGTGCTTCTTAGTTGAACTAGATCTCTTTGTTCGAATGTGAGTTTGGATCCTAGTACTTCGCCCCAGCCCCACCGATATCGCTGGTCCACTATGTCGGGTATTATCGCCGTCATGCCCGTTGGCCATAATAATCCCTTGCCCCCGCGCACTTCTCTTCCTGCGTTTCACCCAACTGACATCCAAAAGCCAAAGACACTATCCGCCATGACTGAAAGATCGCAAATTCAGCAGCAAACGGATGTATTTCACTCTCAAGACTCTGGAGCCGGTCCTCCATTGAGTGGTGTCCACAACTCTCGGTCAGATCCTCATAATTCGATCGAGGGCTACAACCGTACCATGTTGGAGTACACCCAGCGTCAAATGTCTTCCTTTGTCGACCTTGACGAAGCGAATGCCAACGGCGGTGGCGCGAGCAGTCGCAGCAGTCAAAGCAGCGGTAACAGTGGCACCTCAGGCAGTGGTGTCTTGGCCGGTTCCGCTAACGGCCCTTCAACCACAGCCCCTGCATCAGCCGACGCTCGCCAGGCTCAGCAGATGTCCTCTCGTGAGTCCAACGGGAGATCCTTCTAGACGACAGATCACGAACCAGGTATGTCCTATTTGTGATGGGTTGTCCTGAACATATAACTGATCCTCGATTAAGCGGCCTGTCTCCAATACACGCTTGACATGACCGTTGGTGCGTAGACGGCGTTATATTGACAAGATCCATTCCGTCTTGCGTCAATATTGGAGGTGGGAGTTCCGTGGAGTTCAGTGCATGTCTATTCCTGCTCGGTTTCAGCGATGCAGCATTTTCAAGCCTTATTTGAGTTTCTTTGTGTTCCCGACGCGAGTCGAGTCACTGTGGAAACTGGTCACTCCCTTTTTTCCACACACCACTCCCCCCTTATATTTGCTCTTTGACACCTCGCATGATGCACTTTCCACAACTTCGATCGGTTTTAATCGCGTCGCTGCTGATCCAACATGTCCACCCAGCGCCACTTATGCCTCTCTTTCTCCTCATGAGCATGAGTGAATGACATCCTATGTTGGATACCATGCGGCTATCGCAGACCTATCGACCGTTGCAAGATGCAGCATTTTATCAAAAGAAAACCTCTTCAAAAAAAAAAACGGTAGGATCTGACAAGATCTTTACTTGTCTCCCCCCCCCCCCTTCGACAGCTTTGTCGACATCCCCCCCGCAAATCCCCTTGGTTTCTTATGTGACTGTTTCGGCGTGCGTTCTCAATAAGAACAAATCATGATCAGTCTACATCAATTTCCATCCACATTCCAACATGCCACCATCCATGTCCCGTGTATTATTACTCACCTGTCCTTGCCCGTCGTGGCAAAGATGCCACCTTTGCTGGTATGCCAGCTTGTACGATATCCTGTCCGTTTCCAGCGAGCGAGCGATTTGTTTTCTCTGGGTGCTTTGATTGATGAACGTTGCGAAATGACCCCATGTCTACCCCAAGGCAAAAACACGCATGTCCCTGGAGGAGATGTTTTCTTGACGACTTGATGTATTACTACTATCAGTTTGCCCTGGTTGGCGCCACCTGTACAAAATTATGACGCGATTCTACTGCGCCCTTGACTTTCATTCCTGTAATTGCTTTCTGTACGGGGGTGCAATAGTTCGATAGTTCCCAGAGTTCGTAGCGTAAGTCACAAACGGACCGGACCATCTCTTTAACCGTAAATTGTCGCGTGCCATTTCCCCGGCTGCCTATCTGCGAGCCTTTGTAGTCTTGAAGGGCGGAGTTTTTGGTTTTTGCAAGTTGCATCCTAGTAGGATCGTTATGAGTTGTACGCGTGCCAAGACAAAGTTACTCGTGTTCTGTTCAATTGCAGTTCCCAACCCCACAAATTGGATTCATCCGGGCGCTGGCGAGTAGGAATTGCATGTCTCGAACCACATATACGGCTCAGTGTATTGAAGCTCATCTGAGTCGCTTTGGCTTGGACCGGTAGTTTCCCCGAGACGACATATCGTCCTGTGGTGCCTTGATAATTTCCACCGAGCCTTGGGCTATTTCACATGACGAGATCCCACCGTGGCGTGAGCAATATCGGTAAGTAGGTATCAAAGGCCGCGACGGCTAACCAGATCATAGTCGACTTGAAGAATGTTATCACCTAACCACGTTAGGCCTGCTGGGTAATGTGCATTGTTGCTAGGGTGGCGGTACCTGCATGCCAGTCGACCCCCTTGCATCCCCGTGAACAAGATGGAGAAAAAGCGCCCGATATTCCACACCCAAATTGCTACAATAAAAGATTACAAGAGGACCTGATTTTGGAACGTGTTGGGCATGTCCAGGTGGTGTATCAGAAGAGACTCGGCCGCTCATCTTCGAACCTCCTTCCGCTGCTACTGGGAGCTACACAATGTTGACTTTGTAGTCTGCTAAGCAGCGAATAATGATCCACTTTAGTCCAATAAACTCACATAGAATACCACGTCAGATTCTTGATGAGCTAATCTGTCCACCTTCCCCTGAAGGAGTCATCTCCTGGACTACTCCGGTCCTCCATAGGCCCTTGGAATGCCACGAACCATCTTTGGAGCCAATGGCACGCCAAAGGAGACTGAAGGAGGAGACTGCGAAACAAGGATATGCAAAATAACCAAAGTACTCCGGGATCTTGATGCCCAGTGGGGCTCCTGGCACGGTTTCGAGCAATCGACCATACCCTAGAGCGTCGTCTGCCATCCTCTCCTTCGCCCAACCCGATTGCGCCGGTTTTTGTCGACAATCTGCGCCGACTAAGACGCCGTTTCGCGCATAATACTGTCCAGCCCTTGTCGTTCATTTCCCTATCTGCATTAATTGCAGCCATCACGCTCCTTTGGATACAAAACAGCCCTTTAGACGAATCCCACTTGCAATAATATCAGACCTAGCGACTTGCTCGGAGACCACGACCTACCTTTCTCTTGTGCACTTGCCTCGTCGTTCTCTCAAACCTCGCAATCCCAGCTTCTAAGGCAGTGCTTTCTAGCTCATCGGGGGAAAGACCGACAAAATGCGTCTCATCTACCTTTTGGCCCCTGTTGCCACGATCTGCACCTTCGGTGCTGCAATCCCTCTTGCCAGCAGCCAAGGAAAATCACCAACCCCGACACCCACACCAACCAAAGCCTTAGCCTCTGCTTCCACGCCGCGCACGAACCCTGCCATGCCATCTCAAAGTATGGTCGGGGCGTACCAGTGCCCCCAAAACCAATTCAAGAGGTGCTGCCAGTCGCTACAAGAAACATCGAAGGAGATCATGAAGGGTTTGGGAGACCTTGTTCCAATTGTGGGAGGCATTCAGATTAGTTCAAAGATTTCTTTTCAATGTACGTTTATAGGGAGACGGACAACCTATGTGGAGTCGTTTTTCAAAATGCTAACCCCATTTTTAACTGCAGGCGATGCGATGTCAGACGCAACAGCGCCGGATGACTGCCAGGGCCATGGCTTTATCCCCATGTGCTGCTCAAATGACACAAGTGTATGTTGAAGCCACACATACCCCGTTTAATCAGTGAAATGCTAACATTCCTTTACAGAATGGCGTCGGTTCGTGCAAGCCGTTCGAGATAGCTAAGGAAGATTACTACCGCTCGTTCGGGTATAACGAGCAAGAAGAGAGCCCTGTTGACACGATCAATGATGTTATGTATTGAGATCCGGGTGGGGGTGTGACGTGGGCTAGATGTCGACTGTGTGTGCGCGGCGGAGGAGGATGAGGGCAATGATGTTCAGGCGCTGGGCCTGATATACCTCTGGCATCTTGCATCTGATATTGTTTTACCTTTTGTGTACTATGGTTCTATTGTGACATTTAATTTATCGGATTCGATTCGCCAATTACTACATTCTATTTGGGCGGAGCAGGGGTATGGTTGATTCCAAGGGGCATACTCTGCTCCGACTCATATGTCTTCGACTATCTCAAGTTCCATATTTAGTACCATCTATACAACTACACTGCTCTTGGGAGGACTTACGTGAGCGCGGTGTGTTTGTAACAATAGTAGTAGTACATATCGATGAACTTCAACTTAGCTTAGAGCAGCAGTTACTCATATCCTGCTGAACCGCGTAGCATTCGCATGCCATTGGCCTTCATTCTCCCTGGTAAAATATCATTAAGCTCTCTTTCCTAACATTAGCAGTACTAGCACTAGTATGACACCGAACTATCAACAATTTCTACCACTTCTGAGCGAAGCCTGACAATCAAATTCAATGTGATACAGGAGAGCTACCGCTTCGATCCCTGATTCTTAGATGGCCAAAACACGAGCGGAAGCCGGAGAGGGTCAGACTTCCCTGAAAATAACCCTCTGGATCTATCGGTGTCACCTAGTAATGATGTTAGTACAATGCCCCTACGGCCAGAATTACTTGCTTGGGGTGAGCGTCCTAGAGAACATCTGTACTTGAGCAGCAGTCTCATCCATCGGAGGAATCTTAAAGAACTCCGGCTGGGAGGCTCCCGCCCATGAGCTCGAATATGGCTGACAACACAACTTTGAAAGACTCACCTCTATGCCTGGTCTTGGTCCGATATGGGCCCTGTCTCCTTTTATTCCTATTTCCCTTGCCCATTGATACTGCTTGATCGGAGGTAGACCTGGCCGACTTCCTATGAGAATGGCCAGGGGATATCCTAAGTGATTCAAATTCCTCGCATGCGCATGCACCTGGCCGACACTGGTGGTGGGCAGATTGCTCTTCTCTGCGGACATCCCATCGATAGCGACTGGAATATCGAAGCTCACTGATGTCAAATCCTGAAGGAGACGGGTGCCGGGGACCATGATCCGGTTCTTTCGGAATTCGTGCCAGGAAGTGCGGCTGGGGAGAGGAGAAGTCAGCTCTCGCTCTCAGATCGGTGTTCTTGTTGAAGAAAACGTAATTGGGATGCGCGATTGGATGAGCAGGACGAGATTGCATGGACCGGCTCGTTGAGCAGAAAATACACGCAGAGCTTTCGCAGGGCAGTCTTTCACATTCCCCGGAAGCTGCCTCTTCTTCGCCGAGGATCCAGCCGTGGAACAAGATATCGAGGTTGGGCGCGATGTCAAGTTGCGTGTAAAAGGCGCCTAGCTCTTTGTCTAAATGGCCCTCGGATCGATCGAACCACGTCTCGAACGGCTGTGCGGGAGGACGCTCCAGGTCTTCTGCGCGGCCGACATGCAAGTCATGTATATAATAGAGTATGTTTTCGGTGATGTATTTGCAGACGAAACACCCACAGGATAAATCGCAACGGGCTGTCACTTCCCAGAACTGTGATATTACCCCGTTCCATTTTAGCTTGTCATTGAAGGGCCCCAGCCCCTGCTGCATGAACATTGCCTCCATGCCTACGAATTGAGCCGCGATCAAATCGCTTTCGCCATGGCCACGCAAGGTGAGCCGCCCAATTGCCAAAGCGAGGATCGTGGCGAGAGCCGCAGCAGTCATGTTTATACCCGTGGCGTCTATAGTCTGATGTGCCTCTATGCCTCTCACAAATTCCGTTACTAACATGTAGAGGTCTCTGCACCTGTTTCTAAAACATGAGCTCGTTTCAGGGCCCGCGGCAGATGGAAATCGGAGAATGGCCCGTGATGCGTCTTTCAGCACACTCATGGCATATCGTATGTCTCCAACTTTAGGGAAATGACCAAGTAAAATGCCAACAAGCGCGGCTCGCTGTTTTTTGAAGATCGCCTCTGTGAGCTGCTTTGGATGAAAATTTATCGTAGACGGGTGATCGCCGGATATTTTGGAGTTGGGTTTACCAGGCTCGAAATAGGATAAAATAGACTGGAGGATATCTTGGGGGTCAGGGGATGATACTTGGCTACTACCTCGAAGATCCGAAGTGGGCGAAACGCCCCTAGAGACATCTGCTCCGGGACCAGAACCGGAAGCTGGATTACCTGTGGAAAAGTATGCGTGTCGTTGAGGAACAGGAATACTAAGTATATCGCTGCCTGAGACAGGGTCCTGACACGATAAACGCGAAGATGCGGAGCTGTGAGGCACGGGAGTCGTCGGCGCGGGAGATGTCGAGCTGTAAAAGGTAGGAGATTGAGCTCTCTCGATTCTCGAGCTCCCGTCCAAGTAGAAAGAGGTAGGAGAAGTATGACCAAGCCCAAGTCTGAAAGAAGCCGGGTCGTCCACTGTATCATCCGGAGCGTCATCAAAGAAAGACTGCAGAGCGGTCTGCCTGAAGGCCGGATTGCTTGCATGAGGCTTGGGCGTCGAAAGACCGGGACTATGATCACTAGAAGGAGAATGAAGGAAGGAGCCACGCAACTGAACGTCTGAATTGTTATGTTTGGGGGATTCAAGAAATGTTTGTGTTGAATGCTCAGAGTCCGTAAAAGGTCCCCTGTACTCTGTAGGGCGAGTCTGACTCGACTGTGTAAAGTGTTGAAGACTTTCCATGGCGATCTCCAGGATCAAAAGGCAAAAGAAATTGCAGGCCTTGGTCGGTTTGGAAATAAGAGTCCCTCAGTGAAAGCAGTTGTGCTACATGTACTAGCAGCTGAGGCAAAACGTTTTATACAGACAAGCGTTGTGACCAGCGCGTGTTGCCTTTGGCATCGTAACAACAATAAAGATGACACGAGACAAGTGGCACCCATGTTGTCTTTGATAATATCTGAAGCCCGAATGTTCCCCCTCTGAGTATCCCAGAGTCAAAGGGATAACGCGACATACGAATAAAGAAGATAAAGATACGAAATCCTCAACGATAATCATACATTTCGCTATTAATACACCACGTGAAAGAGTTCATCACCAATTGCGCCCATTGCGTCCCCACGGATTGCTATTGCCATGATTCCCAGGGTGGGGAGGTGGGAAGTGCTGTTGCCCCGGTGGAAGTGGCTGCTGAGCACCATGTGGGAAATTATCATACGAAGAAGGAGGAAAGGCGGAGGGGTGCATGCCAGGCCCAGGTGGGAAGGGACCTCCTGGAAATGGGCCTGGAGGCGGGGGAGGAGGAGGCCAGGACCCAGAGTAGTTGGAAGGGGGTGGGGGAGGGTAGGGAAGAGAAGAGGAAGGGCTATGGCCCAGGGGGTAGTGTTGAGGTGGGTAGGCAGGTTGGGTTGGAGAGTAAGCAGGAGGGTATTGTACCTGGTGATGAGGTGGCTGGTGTTGTTGGTGTGGGGGTGGGAACCGGGGAGGTGACGGTTCCTTCGGGCTGTATGGACTCTCACGACTGTCGGACCGCCGACTCCTCGAACGTGGCCGCGAGCTTTGGTGGTTCCCGCGTTTCTGAGGTCGCGATCGACTGATCGATCGGGAGTCGGATGGAACAGTGTAATCACTCGCAGAATCTTCACTGTGGCGCCGTTTACGGCCGATTCTTTCCTCGCTGACACTGCGATGTCGACCACGGAAACCATCGGATCTCTTCTTCATTTTCTGAGCGAAAGAACGAGACCATGCGTAATAATTCTCGCTTGCAGTCGCGTCTCGGATAATTCTTTGTCCTAAGATATCCACCCCAACAGTTTTGTCTTCTTTGACGAGGGGCTCGGTGCCAGGAATCTCATCCGCTTCTTTGAGAAATCTTTTCAAGTCTTCGACCAACATCTCATCTGCAGGGCCAGCCTTGAACTGCAATGGCTTAAGGTCTGCAGGTCGTAATCGAATGGTGGCGTTGGGAATGAGATGCTGGAGCCAATTGCCCACAGGCAGGTCATAGTAAGGCATGGAAACATCTCCATGGGTTGGTGGAATGACGAACGGAACATCCTTTTTCGCTGCACCGGTGCTTGGCAATTCTTCGACTGGAGCGGCGGAAGGAGTCTTAACAACCTCCCGTAAACGATGGATCAGACTATCGCTCAAGTAGCCTTTCTCAGACCAATGATCGAGGAGGTTACGAAGCCGACGATGATGCACAGGGTATGTCTCTGGGCTGTAAGCTGAGACGTGGGCAAACAGTTTGAGGATGTGCTGCGGTTGAGACTCGCAGAGAGCGGGGAGCGCGGCATGGGGATCCTGTTGAGATTTGAAGTGGTGAAGCAAATCATTCAGCAGATACAGGATATGAATTTGTCGACGCTGCGGCGATGGCTTTGAGCGAGGGGCTGAGGGCACCGCAAAGGATCGTGCCAGCTCCGCTAGATATTTTGCAAGATACTCGACGCGATTCGTAGAGTAAGCAACGTGTTGAAGCAGCCATTCTTTACACTTCTGTACCAGGTGACGATGCTTAGCAAAGCTCCAGTTTGGGAGCAAGGGAAAGATAACGCGTTTCAGACCTGGATATTGTCGTGGGAGCACCGGGCGATGGCCGTGTCGAGTAAAGCATGAAAGACCTCAATCTCCTCGCGCTTGACGGTTGTAGGATCTTGCCGCAGAAGAGCGGCGTAGAGTGCTGTTTTCGCGATGACGAGTTCCCGGGAGTTCGGAGACGTCATCGTTGCGACGAAGCGTTGCGACGAAGCGGAGTTGGAGTTGGAAGGTTGAGTTCAATCCAGTCCAAAAGCTGTTCAACATCTTGGGCAGCTCTCCGCTTTATCGCCACGTGACCATATCCTGCAAGTCTGTACCGCTTTAGTTACTACATTGGAAACACAGATTACATTCACTAACTCGTACTGCAACGCATTTCAATTGGAACATAGACGTGCGGTTAGGCAGATATACTTGACGGGGTAAACAAGCATAGCTCTGGTCGTGATGGCAACTAAGAGCTTCCTACAAATCGATAGACAAGTCTGGCCAGCTCGTGTCTCCCGTCTTCCGTCCAGACAGCAACTCGACGGGTAGAGTATTGCTCATTACAGAGGACATCAACCCCCCAGGTCTATCACGGAGCTGTCAGTCTAGAAAGCAATATAGTAGAGTGCCGAGTCATACTTGCTCTGCTGTCCAGCCAGCAGATGAATCCAACAGATGAATTGTGGCTTACGGTATATACCCAAAGGATTTAACTATGAAGAGACGATATCTACCTCTTTATTTGCAGCCAGCAGGTTCCCACTCCCGAAGACATTTTTCGGATCCATGATCTGTTTCACACGCGCATTGAAGGCTGACGTAGTATCCGGAATCTCGACAGGGTAGACCCTTTACGAAGCTTGCCCAGACCATTGCGAGGAGACAATGAGCCTCCGCAACTGAAAATTTCTTCTCTCGCAGCCTCTTCAAACTCCGTGTACACAGAGACCGGGTCCTCCACCCCTGCCAGAAAGAGTGTCATACTGAAGTACAAGGAGACTCCATTCTGGTACACTTGACTAATCCGACAGACAATAAGAGGTTTCCCAGGCAGTCGTCGTCGATGGTGTTCTCGTAACACGCGAGCTTTCACCCTTTCACTTAAAACGGAAGCTTTGTCCCATGCACAGGTTGCTTCGATGGCGTCGGAAATGACACTGTAGGCCATGAGGCAGTCCCGTATGTAGGAAATGGCAGACGTCATTTCGTATCCCCGTCTTCCATTTTCTGGGCCAGTCTCGAACCCATTGAATTTCTTAGCGATTTGACGAATGTTGCGCCGTTGCCGTCGAACATCGATTATTCTTCCTTCGAAAGTCATGACGCATGCGGCTATCTTGTCGAATTGGAAGCCTTTAATTGTCTCCAGGTATCGGAGTTTGGCTTTCCTCTTCAATCTGCTTGCGCGACCCGGAACCGGCTTGAGGGCTTCACTTAGCTGCACTTGCATGTTATCGACAAGTCTGATACCCGCAGGCTGAAGTGTCTCTTTCGAGACTTGGTTTATAAACTTCATCCCTTTATCAAAGGTCGGGAATATGAACGAGTCGTAGCACTTCTTAGCCGGAAAAGGCCGGACCTTGACAATTGCTGCTGTGATCAAACAAAGCTCCCCCTCCGAGCCAAACATGAAAGACTTGGGATCAAGACCAGCCGAGTGCCTTGGGTCAATGTGGGGCGCGAAGCTCAAGATGCCCATCGGGGTGACGGCCTCCACATCCAGCGTTATGTCTTCAATATCTCCATAGCGATTCTGCTTTCCGCCGCTAGCTCGCGTGGCGATCCAGCCACCCAGAGTAGAGAATTCCATATCCTCAGCCTGATGGCCTAAGCAAAGTCCAATCCGACCAAGCGACATCTCGATATGATAACCAGTAGCTCCGGCTTCAATACACGCCACGCGATTCTCCCGATCCACCCACCGAATCCGATTCATCCGGCTCATATCAACCGAGATAATCATCCGAGGCTCCGCCTCGGAGCATTTGAGTGCTTGGCTCGCATTTGTACCTCCCCCGTACGGAATCAAGCATGTGCCAGACCTGGCAGCGGCGTCAACAAGCTTTTTGACTTGTTCAACCCGTTCAGGAAAGATCACCATGTCCGGAATCCGACCCACGCCCGCGCCGCTTTTGCCGACGCGCACATTGTACACTTCCTTGCGAGTATTCCCATGACCATGGCGGAATCGCTGCTGAGCATCGTAAACCATCTGACTGGAATGGAAGATATCCTCCGCGGCTTCGAGGAATGCGTCGTTGAGAATCGGAGGGGGTATGGGCGGCGAGTGGGACGAGATAAGGGGAGTGCGGAGGCGTAGATCAAACCCTAGGACAGATGCTGCCCAGGGGAGAAGCAATGGCAGCTCTTGACCACGGGGGCGATCAGGCGATTCTGTTGTTTCCACGATACCATTCTTGTTGATATGGTACCTCGTGTGCGGAAGCTCCCAGATTGAGGGATTTGACTTCTCCTTACGAGCAAGATTGCTTTGCTGCGATTTAGTCCGCTGGCTCGGTTGGAGCCTTGGACAGGCCAAAATGTTGATGCTTGCCATGGATGAAACGTATGATTCCCTTCAAAACGAGTCGCCTTGGATGTTTATTTGGGCCGTCCGCTAGCTTTCAAGGAGGCTGGGCCTCGACAGCATCATCTTATGGGCTTGAACAATTATCTGGCCTAATTCCCGGTGATGTAAACATAACCTTGGTTGCCCGGTGCAAAGTGATCTGCCAGCTCAGATTTTGCTGGCCAACCTTCAGTTCGGTACTTACACGTGGAGATACGAGGTCTGAAAGACGCAAGGGACGGAAGCGTATAGGCTTCCGATTGGTTTGGAAAATTTGATAATGATACTATTGGTGTGCCCAGAAAGGTAAGGAGATCAATGGACCCGCAAATCCAGGTATTGACAAGGCCAGGGACAACGTACCATCGCAATAAATGGTGCCCGGAGTTTCTGCAGGCAGGAGGCCGTGCTTCGAATTGCCAAAAGAAGAAACCCTTGCAGGGTGTCTCTCGTCTATACTTATTTGGAGTGGCTCTCGGGATACTCCAAGTACAAATGAAGTCTTATTAATAGATTCTTCGTTAGTCCACTACTAGTATCATCTTCAAGGTTATACCTGGGTGCCTCCTCCACTACTCAACCCTCTCCGCTACTACCTTATCCACTACCTATATAATTCCAGCAACCCGCAGACTATGTACCTATGTACAAGATATAAGCTTGGAATTTATGCACACTGGCAATTTTTGACACTTACGTTGCTACGCCTTGCTGTACCCCGTATGGAAGCTCGCATGCAGTGCCACGAAACTTAGGGCTACCCAACATGTGCAAGGACCGCTGGCCATGGTATTGGGCCCATCCCAACGTCAGAGACTTGAGGTTTAGCTTATTGGACTGTGATATTGTTGCAGACAAGTACTATACTAGTACCACCTGGAAGCTTCAGCTGCGGAAAGTGTCAATTCCGAGACCCACTTCCCGCGCTGAAGATCATGCACGGTCGCCAAAATTACAGCACTTGGTTGAATCTGGGCATATGAACGAGCTTTCCGACAAGACCTCCTATCATCCAGTCCATGAACCAGTAGATCCTTGGAAGACGCTCGAGCAGGGAAAGCTGCTGTACTTTGGGATCAGAAGGGGACGATCGGCATTCGGACGATCGTCGTTGTCGCGTAGAGCGGTCGAAGGGAGGATTTGCGAGGCGTTTATGCCGCACAGCCGAAAATATGGGAAGGAGGGTAGGCTTGTGGGGTGGCAGTTGAGTTGCATCAGTGCCACATCTTATCTCGGATCTCCGCTCCCAGCACATCATCGGATCTTTTTCTGGGTCGGAAGTCTGGCTTTCCGATCACTCCATGCTTTCCAGTGAGAAGCCTCTGGGGGCTGCCTATTCTCTACTGAAAAGGCTGAAGGTGGCGCCTATTGAGGCCCCACAGATTCGGCCGCAGGCTCATCATTTGCTCCGCTATGGCGTGAGTTCTGGCGTGAGTTCTGGCGCGAGTTCTGACTTGCCCTTTGTGCCGACAGCCCGAAGTTGAATGACCCTTAGGCTGTTCTGCCGCTGTTTATCTTGTAGGTCATAATTGCCAATGTCTGATCATCCGGGTAATGCTGGCCCCCCCTGGGAGCATCAGACCATCTGGTAAATACGGCCCCCGCAGCTGCCCCCACTTCGACTCATACTTCTATAAATGCCTGGGGCCCCTTTTGAGCTCTGGAGGTTACTACTTACTGTCCCTAAGTTCGTTTCGTCTGAATGTCCCCGGCTAGCACGTGCTTATAATTATCTATTTCTTCCCCCGCGTGTTTTCGCGTTTCCAGCCAGCTTCCTACCTCTCCCCAGTGGCCTCGTTCTCCGATCCAACGTCACAAAACAATCAAAATACGAACCAGTACCAACACCACCGAAATGATTTCCATTTCTGCTATCGCGCGACCCTGTGTCCGCCACTTTTCTGCCCAGCGACCCCGTCCATCCAGCCGTACCGAACGCGCTGTTGTTACAGCCTGCCTGGTCAGCGGCGTTGTGCTCCCATTTGTGCCCCCCGCCATGGCGAGCTCACGCCAGCGGAAGTCTGGCAATCCCAGCAGCAAAGGGTAAAGCTATAGTCATCCAGCACATTCACTGATCGATTTTGAATGCTATGGTCATATATTGGTACTGACAAGTTCGTTCTAGCTACCCTCCCCTCTGCTTCCACGCGCGTTAAGCCGCATAACTACCAAACTATGCAACACACGGGGGTATTCTTTATTTCAGCTAGCTGTGGCACTATGATTATTTCAGTTTTTTCACGGAATTCCCTGGCAGAGTTCCAATGATGCATGGGTTTTGGAGGGGCTGGCGTTCTGGCCGGATTTTCTTTTCTGTTCTTTTTTTAAAGCAGCCGCGGGAGCTCACAGCAAGTACGCCAAGTGACCGTGAGGTTCACAGCAGATGAGGCATGACATGCGATATCCTTTTATTCAACTCAGTGGAGTAGAAATAACATCAAGATTACTAAACATGTAGCCGTGCGTAGATTGTTGGTTTTGGAACATAGTGGTTTAAAGTATTGATCCAAAGCGCGCCAACTAAGTGGTAATAACCGTGTGGTGTACAAGTTTTGGTCGATCGAATGATGGATATACGAATTCTCTTGTATAGCTTCAAGGCGAGAGTTTCGCTATGATATTGTACAGGGGAAGAAATGTAAGAGATATTGCGCTCAGCTGAATCTGTTCCCGCGCGGAGGCCTGAATGGCTCTGCCGCCTCATATTTCCCCTTCTCGAGGACTCGGTCTTTGTCTGTGAGAGGCTCATGACGAGTCGGGGCTGGGTCATGAGAATCCTCTGTGCTGGGAGAGGCGACATCGTCCGCGGAATTCTGGCCTCTGGCCGCGTTCGCACGCTTCAAGCTGGCATCATCGGTCGGGACCGGTGTTGTGAGGTTTAACGAAGCTTGGCGTCGGTGCTCTTCTTCCATTGCCTTCATCTGGGCCTTGCGCTTGAGATCGGCCTCGAATCTGTTCTGTCGGTCGGCATTGATGGACTGTTTAGCAAAGTAGTAGGCCCCGCCGCCAGCTATAATTAAAAATAAAATTATTAGTACAATAATTTACGTTTCCACGTAACAGCTGACACCCCTGACAGCTTGTCAGGGGTACATACCAACACAGAGGGCGCCCCAGCCAATCCTGTTCAGACATCATGCCACCCTCATTAGCTTCCGAGTCCAAATTGCGCAATGAACTTATGCCTTGAGAGGATTATTGCTCACCAGGTGGATCTGATCTTGGGGACATTGTTAGAATTTTGGAAAGATAACCGACATTATGCAGGGGACTTACTGTGTTCATGACGATAAAGTGACTGAATGTAGAGAGGAAAAGTAATGGAGCGTCGGGTCCGACTAAACTCCTACGTCAGCCGAAGCTCCCGAGCGGTGGCTGCCTGTTCTGCCTGAGGCGGCAACACTTTATCAAAGCATCGTCTCTCCGAACCTTGATTCTTGTTGCTCTCGCCTCCAACGCCACACGCCATTCTTCGACGTCGTGTTCGTCGGTTGCCCATCCAAAATTCCTCATTTGAAGCCTGGGATCTAGGGCAGCTGCCTATTTCCTGCTCGGCGGTCTCCTAGACCGGCGCACGCCGCATCTCATTGCGGCTTGTATCTGCTGGTGGCATGCGGGCGTGAATCCCATTTCAACCAGGCGACACGCGCCAACACAGTCTTGAGTTTTGCCGACGGCGTCTGGAGTACCGCCGTCCCTTATAAGCCGGTAGTTATTTCGAGCTCCCAGTATGCCTCCCGCTAAGAGAAAGGCTACTGACAGTGAGTCGCGCGAGACCCCACGGAGAAGACAAATGACTGACTTTAATGCTAGGCGGCCGAGCTGGTGCCTCTAAGCGAGCAACCCCCGTACCCGATCCAACCGAAATATCCAGCAGCGATGAATACTCAGATGATGGGGAGTGGAGGATAATGACCTGAAAGGTATAATGCGCTGGCCGAGTTCACACCCAGCGGGATAGAGATGTTAACATCCAGCCACGAAGGTGTCGTCGAAAAGTTTTCTCTTGAGTCCTTCAGCAAACGGTCGCAACTCGATAAATTAGACCAACGATTCGGTTACAAGGATCTCTCTTACCTCCCGCTCAAGCGCGATCACTACAATCGTCCCTTGTGGATCGAGCCGGTGAAAGGCACGATCACACTCGAGAGTTTTTCGCCTTTGGCACCACAAGCGCAGGATTTTCTGACGACTGTCGCTGAACCGCTCTCCCGCCCTACACATCTCCATGAATATCGCCTCACGGGTCATAGTTTGTATGCGGCAGTTTCGGTGGGCTTGAAGCCGCAAGATATCGTGGACTTTTTGGACCGTCTTTCCAAGACCCCGCTGCCAGAAAGTATCCGTGCTTTCATCATCGAATTTACGAAATCGTACGGTAAGATTAAAATGGTCTTGAAGCATAATCGGTACTACGTGGAAACTCCCGACCCTCAGATGTTGCAACGACTGTTGCAGGATGAGGTGATCGGCCCTCAGAGAATCCACTCCGATGAAGGAATCATTAAACGGGCGGCCCCGAAAATGGGGGGGTTGGTGATTCCCGGTACCAAGGATGCTGCTGGTGTACGAGAGACTGGCACCCAGCAAAATCCATCGAAGACAACCCAAAATGAGACCCAAGAGGAGGTGGTGGACTACGGTATCAATGATATTGGTGAAGAGGATACGGAAGAATCTCTTGCCTACAGTTTCGAAATTCCCGCTGAGGGTGTCGAAGTGGTCAAGGCTCGTTGTCAGGCAATCGGATGTCCTGCCTTGGAAGAATACGATTTCCAACAGGATAACGTCAATCCTAATCTGGACATTGACATGAAGCCCGCGGCTTTGATCCGCCCATACCAAGAACAGAGTCTGAGTAAGATGTTCGGCAACGGGCGTGCAAAGAGTGGTATTATCGTCCTTCCTTGTGGTGCAGGAAAGACGCTCGTGGGCATCACTGCAGCTGTGACCATCAAGAAGGGGACCATAGTTCTCTGTACTAGTTCCATGTCCGTTGTCCAGTGGCGGAATGAATTCTTGCGGTGGACTACGATCGATCCTAGTGATATTGCGATCTTTACGTCTGACCACAAGGAGAAATTCAAGAGATCAACAGGAATCATTGTCTCGACATACTCCATGGTGTCGCAGACCCGAGCTCGCTCCTACGACGCTCAAAAGATGATGGACTGGCTCCAGTCCCGTGAATGGGGTATGATGATTCTCGACGAGGTGCACGTCGTGCCAGCGTCTATGTTCCGCAAGGTCACATCTGCCATTGCCGCACAGAGCAAACTGGGTCTCACTGCGACCTTGTTGCGAGAAGATGACAAAATCAAGGATTTGAACTTCTTGATTGGGCCCAAATTATACGAAGCGAACTGGATGGAGCTTTCAGCTAAGGGCTACATTGCTAAGGTCCAGTGCGCGGAGGTCTGGTGCCCCATGACCACAGAGTTTTATTCAGAGTATCTGCGGGAGAGCTCACGCAAGCAAGCCCTCCTCTACATCATGAACCCACGTAAGTTCCAAGCGTGTCAGTTCTTGATTGACTTCCATGAGAAGCGAGGAGACAAGATCATTGTCTTTTCCGACAACGTCTATGCTTTGGAGCGATACGCGCTGAAGCTCAACAAAGCATACATTTACGGTGGAACTCCCCAGAACGAGCGTATGCGTATCCTGGAGAACTTCCAGCATAATGAGCAGGTGAACACCATCTTTTTGTCGAAGATTGGTGACACGTCCCTCGACTTACCAGAAGCGACCTGTCTCATTCAAATCTCATCGCACTACGGTTCTCGTCGTCAGGAGGCGCAACGACTGGGCCGTATTCTGCGAGCCAAGCGGCGGAACGACGAGGGCTTCAACGCGTTTTTCTACTCGCTCGTATCCAAAGATACGCACGAAATGAATTACTCGAGCAAACGCCAGGCCTTCTTGATCGACCAGGGCTACGCTTTCAAAATTATTACCCATCTTCAAGGCATCGACGATTTCGAGGGCCTCTCGTACGCGACCCCCGCTGAGCGCCGCGAGCTGCTCCAAGAAGTCATGCTGCAGAACGAATCATCTGCTGACGTAGAAATGGTACAAGATGACCTGTTCTCGAGTCGGGGAGCGAAGCGGGTCGGTGGCAAAAAACCTACCGCGAAGCGCACTGCAGCGACCCTCAGCGGCCTTGCCGGCGGTGATGACATGGCATACATCGAGTACAACAAGAGCAAGAACAAGCAACTGAAGGAAAAGAAGGACCACCACCCTCTGTTCAAGAAGCTGGAGCGGGAGCGCCAAAAGCGTAAAAAGGAGCGCGAGGCAATGCTGCAATGAGCCAGAACAGGTTTGGACACGAAAACAATGTGGCACGTGTGTGTAGTTATAAATTGCAGAGCGCGTAGATCTTGTGCATGTTTCGCCAGACCCCAAAATTGATATCTCTTGGAAGATTGTAACTTAGTTCCAATATTCGCATGATTCTGGCAAGCTTTTCCAATCAAGATCGAGTCCAGATCGTCCCATTACTCATCCTCATGTCTCCGCCCGGGCGCTCGTGGGCGGGCACCCAACTTGGCACTCTGGGCGCACCAGTGATGTAACAGAGTCATCCTGAGATTTGTAATTTCCTTAGCTAAACCCTGGTTTTCAAGTCAGGAATTCGAGTCCAGGCCAGCTTCAGGTTCAACGAACATGTGTTCTGGTCCGTCGGGGTGGCCTCCAGGCGGAACCCCGAACAGCCGAGGCGTCCGACTATTTTTAGGGAGAATAATCCATGCTATCTGATAGGTGTATTGGTCTGAAGAATGGAAATCTGGGGTTAGACGCGGAGGAGGGGCTCCCTGTTCCAAAGTTCTGGATTTTTTGGTCTTCATTGTGACATAGCCAACCCGGCACATATAAATGACTCCATGTGTCACTTCGTCTGTCACTCCGACAGCTTCAAGCAGCAGCACTTTTTGTTTCTTCGACGATCATCTGCGCCTCGACGAGATTATTATTCATAACCTCACATTCTAATAGCTTACGTGCTTTATCCGCGAGTATGGCATCAGTTACCAAGATTGTTTTGGACCATACCAAGGACGTCGGCGTCTTTAGTGTGGGAATTTCGGAATCCTCAGCTCGCGCTGCTAGCGAGGTATTGCAAGATGATCTGGAGACCCATCATATCTTCTTCAATGACTCCGGGTTCCATGGTATGTGCTAGTATTCTGCTCGTCTAGTACACTATCCCTGCCAGAATAAGATGGACAGTAGAAATACGTGTATACATTCTGCTACGAACTTGGAGCATCACCAATGCAACTCTTTTGCTGACAGGAAATATGTACAGACCATATTGTTCACCACATCTTGACCATCTACGCCCTCGGAGGTAGCCCCGATGACATCCGGGCTGCATACAATAACAACAAGACATATCAACTTCCTGCCATGGCTACCAACTCGCTCCTGGTTCAGGATCTCAGCGACAATGCTACTTTCATGGCCCACTTAGGGGAGAAGGATCAGTATTCCAACTACCTGTCCTTTTTCCAGAACGAGATCAAGGCCAAGGGAGTTGAACGCACCATCCAAGAGCATATTTTTGCGGGCACGGAGCTCGCTAATAACATGCTCGGAAGACTATATGGCGGTATGTGTCTATGAGCCTTGAACATGTGAAACTGTAACTAACGAGAGCCGATAGGGCTTATCCACCCTCTCATTCACCTTGGGTTTGCGCTGGAATTCAATCAACCCGCCATAGTCGCGCAGGCACTTGCCGAAACTGCTGTCCATGAGGATGAACTCGGCCGCATGTTCTTCTGGCCAGCGGATGAAAAGGCCAAGAAGAACACGAAGACGAGCTACAGGCCATTTTTGCAGCTGGTCAATGAGGTCAAAGAGGACAGCGTCATTCGATCAGCTGTCAAGAAGACTGATGAAAGAAAGATCCTCGCTCTGCTCACTCGTGCTCCTGAGCGCGTCCTCGATCTTGTGGCGGGATATGTCGTGCCCGAGGACAAGTTGGAGGAGGCGACAGCCGATATGACCAATGCAGTTTGTAGGTTCCACCACTTGAATTGAAACTTTGAAAGTGTGAGTATTTGACTAACGGTGGCTTGCCCCCTTACCAGCATACTTCACCGGCGCTGCCCAACGCCCAAAGAAGGCAGTCAAGCTAGACTTCTTCCTGCTCCATTCGGTGACTTGCTCTCTGTTCTTTTCAAAGTTCATCAGCCTCCCTTGGCTGGACCGAGCTACGAAGGCTCGAATGCTGGAATGGAAGGGCCGCTTTGATCTTCTGTCCTACGCATCCCGGGGCTCTCCAGATCTTCTTTTGGACGAAGTCAGTGCGTACCCGGTGACGAACGACTGGCGGGCTGTTTTTTCTCGAAGTTGTAGTCACCCCGGGGACGATGGGCACTTGCCAAAGCTTGTTCGAGCTCTTGCGCACGGAGAGCAAGTATGTCGAACGTTCGAGCACAAGGGAGTTCAGGACATGCCGATTCGGGGGGGATATGTGGCTTCGGATCGGAAATATGGGTGAGTTCTTCACTGACTCCGGATGATTACTTGCGGTTGTAGAACTGACATCACTAGCAATTGACTCGACTGAAGGAAAGAGTATGTTTTCGGATCACGCGGCAGAGAAAATGTGGTTGGCTGAGTCTGGGTTTGAGGAGTCTTGGGAAGAGATTCCTCCCCGTGTTCGTCTTTGATTGCGCTGTTTAGCTACCAAAGTGAGTTCCTGGAGATTTGTAGCTGTAAGTAAAGCGCGGCAACTGTGTTCTATTCGTCAAATTCAGACTGCCTGTGCCTTTCCAATACCGAATAGTCTCTGCCATTATGCCCATTCAGTCTTGCCTCTCTGAAGGGACAGATAAGTTCAACTCTTGTAACACCGATACACAAAATAAATGTGAAAACTATGGGAAGTGTACAAAATACGTGTATATCAATATCAATACCCTGCAAAGCATTTGCATGTGCCAAACAACAGTGCGTAGTTGGGCCAGGCCGGTGCCGAGAGCAGGTGAAATTCAGATGAAAGCAAAAGAACCAGCTGTTCCGGAGATCATGAGGTTCGAAGCCAGATGTCCAAATTGCTTCATAGGGCCAGTTGCAGCTGGTAAACAGCAGTTCTGATCGTAAGATCTCGAGGCCAACGGGTCCAGATATGACGCCAAGTGGGTCGCAAACTTGGAAGTGGGGCACCCCAACAGCTTTAAGACCTGAAGATTCTCCTCTTCCCTCTTGACTACGTTGGTTCTTTAATCTCCTGCAATATGTCTGATAAAGACGACAGAGACACCGATCGCGCGCAACGATCGCCCATGCGTGACCAACGAAACGATAAGACGGAAACGAACCCATTCGACGCTTTCCGCCGCTTCGCCGATGAGCAGGTCTCGTCGGTGCTACAATCAATCACTGGTCTCCCATCATCCATAGCCCCGCCGAACCCAGACCGTTGGACCATATTCACCGACGACCATAGCTACAAAAGTATGGCGTATCGCCATCGCCAGGGCGCCAATGACAAGCCGCCTGAAAGCGACTCCTCCGACCGAAGCGCCGAGAACCCACGCGATGGGGCTGGCAGGGGCCCATCCCCGGGCGCCAACGATCCGCAAGCCTCCTCCTCATCCCCTAATCCCAAGCAGCTAGATGAGACCAACTACCCTCACTCCTCCCAGTCTCTTCACCGGCTTAACGACCACGCCTTCTTCAGCCATCCGTTCTTACACGCGCAAGCCAGCCCTTCCTTTCTTTCTATCCCCGGCTTTTTAACCATGTTCGATGAAGACAGTAGCCCATTATGGCCCCTGCCTTACTTGATAACGAGCCCATACTCGCCCCTTCATTTAGAGCGCAAGGCTCAGAATTCCTCTCGCTTTACTCCGCGCCAGCTATTACCTCGTTATCCGCCTCAGGAAGCAGACTTCCGCGAACCCCAGTGGCGCGAAGCTTTCGAAGACCTTCTTCGCCTCGAGAATGGAGAGCCTATGCTGGATCGCGATCATTCCTTAGTGGCGGCCACCAAGAACACTGAAAATGGAGCTCGAGAGTGGCTCCAAGGCCTTGCGAAGCGGGGAAGTCTGGGGAAGGACTGGATGGAGGGTGGCAGGATGAGGTTGACACTGCAACCCGCAAGGCCATGGCTGAGCATAGGAGCTCCTCATGACCATGCGGAGGAAGAAAACCAAGAGGCAGAGACTGAGCTGGATCTGTATGACCGCTTCTTGAATGATCTCCAGTCTCTCGATCGGCAGCTATCAAAGGAATTTGCATCAAGTCCGATTCTTCGATTTCTACTAGGGACCGGGGTACAGCCTGAGCAGCCGCATGAGCTATCTCGCTCCCAGCACGGGTCGAATCGAGGCTATGACCAAGGCACCGACGACACTGAGAGCTGGCTCGATCTCGTTTCTGGTGGAAATCGCAAATCGGTGCCAGAGAATCCCCCACCCGGTGAAATGTCTCGGCCCAACGACACGGATGCGGCCTCGAGGGGGGCTCATGATCTAATTGCCACCAGGACCCATACGGAACAAATCATGCAGCCCGATGGATCCATTCAAACCAAGAAAGTGGTAACCAGGCGCTATGCGGATGGAAAGGAAGAGACACATTCTTCAGTCGAGGTGTCTCATGTTGATCCCAAGTCTCGTGAGGCTTGGTCCGACGCAGCCCAAGAACAACCAAAGCGTGGATGGTTCTGGAGAGACTGAATTCTCTCTATGTTGGAGGGGACAGCTACGTGACCTATGAATATGTTTAAGTTAGTCTGAATTAGCCTGTTTGCGTTTATAGTCATGGCAAGTACATAGTCAAACACCAAATGCCAGTGCATTTATTTATACAAACAAAGCATAAATAAGGTAATAGTAGACATAAAAATGCCATGAACATGCAGCAAACAACAAAAGCTCATACTGAACCGCACTTTTTCTCCAAAAAATTGGACAACCGACGTCGCCCACATTCCGGAATCGGCCTAGCTGGAGCTACACGCCTGAGGGGAAGAAGCTGTTACTTCACACTCTCCTAACATCCATCCCCTTTGCTTCTTAGGAGTTCTTAGGAGATTAGTGTTTTTTTAAGAGGTGCAGTGGAACTTCCCTCCCAAGTGAACCGCGATTATGGGCCATCTTGTGACATTGGCAACATGGTACGTCTTTGGCAATGCTGATGGCAACTCCCGCTAATTCCGCTAGCTCTCTCAACCAATGGGCCTTGGATTTTGAGGGCAATGCAACTCGCATCATTGAGAGTATCCGCCTGGCCAAGGAAGCTGGGGCTACTTTACGAGTCGGCCCAGAGCTCGAGATTACCGGTGAGTGCCGCTGAGTTCTTCCTACGTGGTGCTTACTGAATTGGAGATAGGATATGGAGTCCTTGATGGCTTTTTGGAAGGCGATACCTTCCTGCATTCCTGGGAGATGCTGGCGCGTATAATCGAGCATCCGGACTGCCAAGACATCGTCGTTGATGTTGGCATGCCTGTACGTCACCGTAACGTGCGATACAACTGTCGGTAAGTTGATAAGAGTCTGGGATATGCCGGAAGCTACTGAGGTATGCTTGTATTGACTGAAATAACAGGGTCATCTTCTACAACAAGAAAATCGTCATGATCCGACCAAAGATGTGGCTTGCAAATGGTGAGTTTGCCTTGATTTCCCTCATACCTTGGCTCGTGACTCATAGCTCTGGTGTCTCTAGACGGCAACTACAGAGAACACAGACATTTCACCCCATGGCAGCGACCTCAAGAGGTAGAGGACTACTACCTGGAGCAGATTGTGGGAAACATCACCGGTCAATACAAAGTGCCATTTGGCGACGCTGTTATCAGCACACGCGACACCTGTCTTGGCTTGGAGACATGCGAAGAACTCTTTACGCCCAATTGGTATGCAAAACACCACAAACTCTACAATTTCAGACTGCTAACATTGGGTATAGACCACATATTCCATATGGCCTTGCTGGTATGTCCCATCACCCATGTAATGAGATTAGGCTCTGATAAGCTAGGTGTTGAAATAATCTCAAACTCGTCCGGAAGCCACCATGAACTGAAGAAGCTTGACACTAGAGTGAACCTGATCACACAAGCGACCAAGCTGGTAAGTGCGTTCTAAAGAGAACTCTCTGGGGACTACTGCTTACATCATACAGAGTGGCGGTATCTACCTCTATGCCAACCAGCAAGGCTGCGATGGAGACCGCCTATACTATGATGGCTGTGCAATGATTGTAGTGAACGGCGACATCGTAGCTCAAGGCTCTCAATTTTCCTTGAACGATGTTGAAGTCGTAACAGCAACTGTTGATATTGAAGACGTTCGAACTTACAGATCCAGTGCCAGCCGTGGAATGCAGGCAAGCAAGCAGACTCCTTTTGTTCGTCTTGATTTAGACGTACGGCTCTCTCGCCGAGGGGAAGAGGCTGATCCAGGTCTCACTGTTTCTGAACCGCTCAAACCTCGTTTCCATCCACCCGAGGAGGAGATCGCCCTTGGTCCGGCTTGCTGGTTATGGGACTACCTGCGCCGATGTGGAGCTGCAGGATTCTTCCTTCCTCTTAGTGGAGGAATTGATAGCTGTGCTACGTCAGTCATTGTGCATTCAATGTGTCGCGAAGTGCTTAAAGCTGTGAAAGAAGGCAATGAGCAAGTGATCAAGGATGTGCGACGTCTTTGCGGACAGCCGCCCACCTCCGAATGGTTACCCCAGACTAGCCAAGAGATATGCAAATGCATTTTTCACACAAGCTACATGGGCACTCAGAATTCAGGGACCGAGACTCGAGATCGTGCTAAAAGACTAGCTGCGGATATTGGATCATATCATATCGATTTTAACTTTGATACAGTGGTCACTGCTCTCATGGCTCTTTTCACGACTGTGACAAACTTCCAACCCCGCTTCAAGGTCCATGGAGGAAGCCCACCGGAGAATGCGGCTTTGCAAAATGTCCAGGCTCGGCTCAGAATGGTTCTTTCGTACCTGTTTGCCTCTTTGTTGCCGACTATCCGTCAGCGCCCAGGTGGTGGAGGCCTTTTGGTGCTTGCATCTTCGAATGTTGATGGTAAGAGAAACACTCCCTGTTGGAGACATAATCTAACAATTGGACAGAGTGGTATGTATGGCAGGGCCTGAACACATCAAAACTCACCACCTCTTGCTTGGTACTAATGATACTAATGATTATCAGTTTACGCGGCTACTTAACAAAATACGATGCTAGCTCGGCTGATCTCAACCCCATTGGCTCAATCAGCAAAGTCGATCTGAAAAGGTTCATTGGTTGGGCGGCCCACAGCTTTGATCTTCCGATCCTGGAAGAATTCATACATGCGACACCAACTGCAGAGCTTGAGCCCAGGACAGCAACATACATACAATCTGATGAGGCTGATATGGGTGTTACATATGCAGAACTTGGAACATTTGGTATGTACTCGGGAAACTTTCTTGCAAGTCGATTTTTTCTTATCGAGGAACAGGTTACCTGCGCAAAAGGTATTGAAGCTTGGTCCTTGGTCGATGTATGAGAAGTTATTGGTAAGTACCAGACGATATAGAAGCTCTTTCAGCCATGCTAAGCTCATAATGTAGCACCTGTGGGGAAATGACCTAAGCCCACGCGAAATCTACCAAAAGACTCGCCACTTCTTCTACCATTATTCCATCAACCGCCACAAGATGACTGTCCTTACCCCGAGCTACCATGCGGAGCAATACTCACCGGAAGACAATCGGCATGATTTACGCCAGTTCCTGTGTACGTATAACCCCACAATTGACATTCAGTCCACTAACTCTTAGACAGATCCCTCGTTTTCCTGGGCATACAAGAAAATGGAGGACAGTGTTCAATTCTGGGAGTCGCAGGGTTGGATAACAGGAAAATCGCAGAAGAAGAGTGTCAAGGCCGACTAATGGCCTCTGCGTATGTGCTATTGGTGGCTCAGAGCGAACAAAGGACATAGAATGCAAGGTTCCTGCGTAGGAAATTAGTGTATGAATAAAAGCCGCGATTCATACTTCTACTCATTGGAGTCACGTGTGTGGGGATCGCCTCCTGTCTCCTCGTACTGGTAATTTCAGTAATTTGCCCCTCATAACGGTAATCCCCCTAGAATCGGCGCATATCCGACGAAACTACCCGTAACGGGGTAATTATACTCCGCCCGACCCACAGCGCTGATTAATGGGTTATCGTCTGTCGCAATCGGATTTCTGAGCGAACTTCCGTGTTCTAAACCTGAACGTATTTGCATTCTTGTGCCTGTTTATATATCAGAATGAGCGCGACCTCTCAAATCCCGATCCCCGCTCACACGCTTGCGGAATCCATGTTGTCTCGGCGCTTCGGCCGAGAGACCGCAAACTACTTCTCCAGTATGAATTGCCGAGGGGACGAAAAGCAGACAGAAGATGAACCTTTAAAACAAGAATCCCAATACTGAATCGATCCAATAGGCTCCCCCCCTAAACCGTCTCTCCTTTTTGCGCGGTGATCACTCGTTCCTCTCGAGCGCGCTGAAGCATCCGAGTACTCGGTTCCTCTTGCTGAACAACCTCACCCCGCTAACTCGCTCTCCTGCCGAGCTATACTACGCTAAGTATGAAGAGATCCGCAAGATGCTCCCATCAGACGTCTTCGACCAATCCGAAGAGGACATGATCAAGAACTTTGACTCGCGCAAGACAAACCCCATCCTGGTTTTCCTCGGTCTGGACGAGAGTCGCAAGGAAAACGGTCTCACCCATAAGATCTACACCGGAGCGCCAACCTTCGCCCTCGATATCACCCCCAAGGGCTCCGAGTCCCAGCAAACCGCCGCCAAGGACGTCATCAGCGAGCTGGAAGCGAAGGGTCTCTCCTTCTTCCAAACCCGGGTCGTGACCACCTTCACCCCAGACGACGGTATGTCCTGTGGTATCAGATAAAAAAAAGCAGCCACACGAGCCACGAAATCACTAACATATTTTACCTTCTAGCCGCCGCATACGCCCAAGCCCGCGCGTACGTCGACTGGAATTCGCGCAACACCTTCTGCGGCACCTGCGGGCACCCCACCCTGTCCGTCAACGGTGGCACGAAGAAGACCTGCCCGCCCACCGACGCGGCGCTTCCCAACCCCGAGCGGCCGGCCTGCTCGACGCGGACGACGCTGTCAAACCTGAACTTCCCGCGCACAGACCCGACCATCATCGTGGCTGTTGTCTCACATGATGGCAAGCGGCTGCTGCTGGGCCGGTCGAAGCGGTTCCCGCCGAACTGGTACTCGACGCTGGCGGGCTTCATTGAGCCAGCGGAGTCGATTGAGGATGCTGTGCGGCGGGAGGTATGGGAGGAGGCTGGAGTGACGCTTTCGCGAGTTGTGATCCACTCGTCGCAACCGTGGCCCTACCCGGCGAATTTGATGATTGGGGCTATCGCGCAGGTGAGTGATCCTGCTCATGAGGAGATTAATTTGGAGCATGATCCGGAGTTGGCCGATGCGAAGTGGTTCCCTGTTGAGGAGGTTGAGGAGGCGCTGCGGATTGGGACGAGTGATCTTGGTGCTGCGGCTGGGCCTGAGTATAAGGGTGGGCTGAGGTTGCCACCTGCGACGGCCATTGCACATCAGTTGATTAAGTCCGCTATAGCTGCGGACTATTTCCAAGCCGACTCTGGGGAGAAGACGGCTAGGATTTGAAGAGCTTCTAGATTATACAGTTCTATAGGGAGAAATATAGATTCTATAGGGAGGCATAGATTCTAAGCGAATGAACTTGAGGATCAAAGAAATTTCGACTTCTTACGCGAGTGAGTCTAACTAGTTTCATCTTGCTAGATCGTTTATGTGAGTAGACCGACTACGTCACAAATTTGCGTAGAGTGTCCCGTCGCGCAGCTCATGAATGCTTTCTTTTGCACTCGGAGAGCCAACTTCGGTATATCGCCGACCATGTCGAAGTTCGTGGATCGTAATGCGTCGATGATTTCTGTTACTTCTGCGGCGGCGTGAGTCCCGAGGTGAGCGTTTCTGACCCTCTTGCTGACTCTCGTGGGATATCGACTCGATGCTTCCAGAATCACTGAACACCACGCTTCCCGGCGTAGCAGGCGAGCCGGGTGACGCGTGTCTCTTCAAATAATCCAGGGAATCCTCGTGGATAGAAGATTGAAGCTCATAATCGGCTATCATAGCAGCTCCGGATTCAAGGTACCATTTTCGCAAATCGGCTGCATACGCACATTCCTCGGTTCCGTATTCAACTGGGGGACCTTCTATCTGTGGATCGTGGCCGGAGCCATTGAAAACAGCCCATGAGCTGGTCTCGACGCTTACAAGCATGATGGAATGGTCGTAGCTTCGCACTTTGAAGTCTCGGAGCAACACTGCGTCTCCCTCGGCCAAAGCAGGAATGGCGCCAGGGTGGCGACGGAAGATCTGAGCTTGAAGAATCGTCCCAGCCATGGAGCGATCAGTCAGCTGAAGAGTGGAATAGTAGTCCTTGGGACTAGATGTTGCTTGAGCAATGGGAGACACCTCACGGACAATAGAGATGGTGTCCACCAATGCGTTGTAGTGGTCGACGAGGCTAGCCAGAGGAGCATAGTAAGAGACCTTACTTCGCAACCCATGAGCATTACGGTCAGGGACTGGAAGTGGGCTTATGACGACTTCTGGCATTTTGAGAGGTTGTACATTAGATGTCTCGGTTGAGTCCACGAGGAGTCGCATGGGTGCATTGATCGTTGGAACAAGGTCCACAATGGCCGCATCGACATTTGAATTGTCTTCAGCCCCGGTTTCTTCGTGCATTTTCTGATCCTCCAGATCATCCAGCAACCCTACATCATGTTTCTCAGAGGCTAATTCATCAGTATCGTCGGGGGCTTCGGGCTGGTCGGATGCCAGGTTCAATGGTGGCTCTTCGCTATTCTCCTGTTCGGATGTGTTCGAACCCTCGTCTGGTTTTCGGATTCGAGAATCAAAGGCGTTCTCAAGATCTTGCGTTGGACCAGGAATGGGAAGCTGCTGCCTCGGCTCGGACGAGTCCATAGGAAGATCTTGCTCATTGTCCGCGTCTTCCAGGTGTGTGCCAGGCTTGCCTTGGTGTTCAGTATCAACGGCGTCCTCGCTAACAAACTCGTCAACAAGCTCCTCATGGACAGAATCCTCGTCAGCAAACTCCTCTTCGCAAACATCGGCAGCACCGTCGTAATGGAGAGACTGTCGACTTTCTCCGCGACGAGGCATATCGTCAGCTGATTGTTCTTGGCTTTCTTCGTCGGAGTCTAGCACAATGATGGCGTGGCTGTTTGATGCCGATTCATTAATATTCACATTGCCGTGGTTGTCTGGTTCGGACTTTTCATCTTCTGAGTCCATCTCTTGATTGGCCGATTGTTCAGCTGGCGAGCTTTGTGACCAGAAAGACTCGGCGTAATGATCCCGAGCCAGCACATCGACAGACGATTCGTCGTCTTTGTCACTATCATGAAGGTCATCGGCAAATGTTTCGGCATTATCATCTTCTGATTCTGCAGGCTCGGACTCTTCTTCGCTCTCCAGGTACTCATCTTCGTTTTGATCTTGGTGGTGCAGGTTCATCCCGGGGTCTCTGGATGCAGCCAGGGCATTTGATGCAAGTTCGTCCTCGCTGTCACTATCCAGGCATATCACTTCGGTTTGTGCGGGAGGATGCCGGGGCAGCTCTGCTGTTTCCGAAACAGCTTCGTTCTCTGATTGAGATTCGTCACCCCGGCCATCATCATGTTCGGCTTCAGATGATTCCACACCATCCTCATCAATGTAGTCTTGCCCTAGTTCAAAGCTCGCGGCCTCTTCGGGTTCCATTTCACTAGAAACATCATCTGGAGACCGGGTTGAATGCTCCAATGTAGCAATTCCATGTGGAAAGGTCTCATAGTATTCATCTTCTTGTTCCTTATGTCGTGGAGCCTCTTCAGACTGCATAGTCTGAATGCCCACATCAGGCTGAGGCTGATCGGGATGAGCAGGACCCACAAGATCTTGACTTGTTTGCGTAGCTTCACTGCCTGAAGACTGGTCTTCTGGAGAAGGAACATCAAGGTCTGCATGGCGTGGGGCGTCACCCATATCAACATTTTCGATATTTGGGATATTCATATGCGTTTCGGAAGGGAAACTGGGCAGGTCATGGCCAACGCTCGTTTGGAAATGTGAATGAACTGGTTCTTCAAAGCCAGCTTGTAGGAAGTCAAGATTTCCATTCAACGAATATTCGGCTACGTCCGGATACGGCACCTCGGTTGCTGAAAGAGGAGACGAGTGATGAGTGACTGGACCCTCGGCGTTTGTTTGAAGTTGGTCATCCAATTCCTCGTTATCTGCATTCTCGAGTCCTGTAGAGTTTTCACGAGGCGAGAAACGTGTTTGTCTATCCGTGGGGCCTAGGTGCGCAGCGTTCCCTAAAGAATCGGCTGAAGAGGAGTCGAGGGTTTGAGCTCGGTTGACCGAATCAAATGGTGAGAAATAGCCATGGTTGCTGTGTTGGCTAGACACTATTGGCGAGGGAATGGGAAGACCCGGTGATGGGATAGGCTTAAGCTTAGGCGTGTCTGTGGGCAAACTCTTTGTCGCAATGAGACGGTCTTCGAAGCTCGTCGCAGTAGAACCTGCGTGGATTTCGGTTGGAGCGGCCTGAGCTCCAGGCAAATGTGTTGTAGCATTGAGAGAAGGTTTGATGAAGGTTGGGGCATCCTCCCCGGGTGATATTTCCGTATCAGAGTGGGCTGCGACCCCAAGAAGATCGACGTGAGAGCTGGCATCTGGGGCATCCGCAGACTCCTCCATTTCCTGATCAGAGAACTGATCTGCATCTGCCAACCAGTCAGGAGCCGGCTCAGGGCTGCAAGGCTCGTCAGAGAGATGCCAATCGGATCTCTGGAAGCTGTATCTAGCTCGTTTTCTACCCTTTCCGGGTATGGAGCCATCTTCTTCAAGCGGGGAGAAGATGGTGGGATCAAATGGAGCGATATGGTTATATGAGGCGCGGCGGATGAAGACTGGCGACTCCCAAGTCTGATTTTCAGGTATGACGGTATCAGAATCCGTCGTTAGAACGCGGGGGGTCGATGGCGGCAACTGTTCGCGTTGAGCTGACATCTGCTCATTTTGTGTGATAAGAACAACTGTAAGAGAAGATTGCGAAGGTCGGTGAGTCTGTTGCTTTCCATTAGTACTAAAGAAAGAGCCTAAGATGTGAGGGGGGCCCATACCTCGAGGTTCACGGTATTGGAAATGTGAACATCCCACGCAATATTTTGGAACGAAGTATCGCCGGGGGCATACTCCACACCCTTCAAACTGAGCCTCACATTATCCCCAATACCAATATGCGCCCTGCGACCTGTTCTGCGACGCGTCCATGAAAAACCACCTTCACCCGTCCGTGTGCCCGCCACAGAAGGGCATCTGGCTCTCCGAGGAGGAGGCTGAAAGAGCCTGACGACGACGAGTAGGGCCATACAAGACAAACCGTGCCTTCAATGGATTTTTCGTCGGCAGCTTCGAGCGTTGGAGATAACTGTGCGATTGGGACCTTGGGGCAGCGCGACAGCGCAGATGCCGCAGGCTGCTCGGTCGGGTCCATTATTGCGCCCGCTTCTTCATAAGATCTGTAAACATGTCGTGGTAGGTCGCATAGTTGGTCTAAAGATATTAAGAAGGTGTGCTCGGACGCTAACGAAGGAGACTGAGAGAATAGGCTGGATAGGAAGGAAGTTGGAAGAAGCGCAAAGCTTCCACAAGAGCAAGAGCAAGAGCAGGAGCGGCCACGGCTCAGTGGTAAGCTCGGTGTAATGACAGCTCTCTCATGAGCCTCCCCCGTGTATTTGAATACGAAAATTACAGTGAAAGGAAGAGTAGTGAATGCGAATGCAAACAAAATCCTTTCTCGGTTCCAGATTTACGTCTTCATTCTTATTGAAAGAATAACTGAATAGCTCAAGCCCTTTCAAAACTCTCCAAAATATAATTTTTTTTTTTTCATTTAGAGCATCACGCGTGGCATTGTTGGGCACGATCTATCGGCGATCCGGGATCCACGCTCCACTATGGCGACACTCGGCGGTAAAGCCCTCTAAATCAACCCCTCGCGAAACAGACTATCGCCTCTCAACGCCGGGCGCTAATGGCATTATGACGCTGACGCATCCAGTTCGCCGAGTGGCTATCATTGGGGCAGGTCCATGTGGACTGGCGGCTGCCAAGTGCGTGTTTACTCATAGCCCTTCAGACTGCATGGACTAATGAGCAGAGCAGGTACCTCATGGCTGAGAAGTACTTTGAACAAATTGATGTGTTCGAGCAGAGGAACACTATTGGTGGGATATGGAACTATACCCCATGTTTCATTAAAGCCGAAGAGTCTTCAACTACGACAGTGCCGAACGTAGATGCGCAGGAGCCAGCAGAAAGGCCTACATGGACTACATCACCCCATGGTAATACTGAGCCTATATTCGTGTCACCAATATATGCTCACCTCGAAACAAACAATCCTAAGGAGCTTTTGAGGTTTTCTGAGAAGGCCTTACCTGCAGATGCTCAGCTTTTCCCGAAGCATGCAGTCATCAGGCAGTACTTGGAATCCTACGGGGAAGAGGTGAAGGATCTCGTTCAATTTGAGACTCAAGTACAAAACCTCAAAGTCAAGGATCCCCAGAATAATACATGGGAACTGACAGCTACGAATCTTCGCACTGGGGCTGTCATCACCTCCACTTATGATGCTGTAGTAGCAGCAAATGGCCATTACGTTGTCCCTTATATCCCCGATATCCTTGGCGTCTCGGCCTGGAACAAGGCTTATCCGAATTCGATATCGCATTCCAAGTTCTATGACTCTCCTGAGGTCTTCCGTGGGAAGAAGGTCGTCATCATAGGAGGTGCTGCTTCAGGGTTGGATATCGGTGCCCAGATTGGTGCTGTGACCAAGGGGAAGATCATTGTCTCACAGCGATCAGAGTCCTACCTGGCGGTATCCGCACCTTCGGATAGAACCATTCGCCCTCAGATTGCTGAGTTCCTTCCGCCAGCCAGTCACGATCGAGAAATTCGATTCTCAGATGGGCATGTTGAAGACCAAGTTGATGCCGTCTTGTTCTGCACGGGCTACTTCTACTCGTTCCCCTTCTTGCAAACTTTGGAACCACCTGTTGTGACTGATGGATCCCGAACAAGGAATGTCTACAAGCAAATATTCTATATAGAACACCCTACTCTTGCGTTCCCTGTGCTGGCGCAGAAAGTGACCCCTTTCCCTATGGCGGAAAATCAAGCCGCAGTTTTTGCTCGCGTATGGTCGGGACGCCTGCCTCTTCCATCCAAAGAAGACATGAAAGCTTCCGAGGATGCGGAGATTGCACTGCGAGGAGATGGGAAAGCTTTCCATGTCTACGAATACCCTGTTGATTGTGACTATATGAATGAGATGTACAGCTGGGCGGGAAAAGCACAACCTCGGTCCGGCCTCGATAATGACGGCCATGGAAAACCCAGCGCATTCTGGGGAGAAAAAGAACGCTGGCTACGATCAAAATTCCCGGATATTAGAAGAGCCTTTGTCAATCAAGGAGAGAAACGCAGCGAGATCAAAAGTATTGTTGATCTTGGGTTCGAATTCGGCGCATGGAAGCGGCGGCAACAGGGTGCCCCTAAATTATAGCCGCGGCACCTTAGACCTACACTTAGACCATGAAGCACACAAAAAGATCTGTATAAATCACAATGCGTCCAACGTTGTACCTTCAACATGGTCTCTGCATATTTCCAAATCTAACACCGCGTTCAAAGACGGTTAAGTATGTGGAATAGCACTAGTCCCAAAAGGGCAGAATCAAGCTTATCGATAAAATCACGTGCCCGGTGTTCGTTCGGGCTTCAGTCGCGGTTTCCCCTTCCACTCTTGTATATACGAGATCTCTAATACTCTTCGCCAACCCAGACCTTGTCAAATGTAAGTGAATGTTTGGACCGGAGTTATTCTCTAGTCCTGACCACCGATCCATTCAATTTGTGTCCTACACTCTCCACATACTTGTCCCTAAAGCTTCCAACCCCAACATTGGTCTCGCTCTTGCCGCCATGGCTCTCTCTCTTTCACTTCAGTCTTTCCCCCACTAGCTCATGTATCAATTTAAGTCTGAGCTAACTCGGAGTATTAGTGCGTCTTTTTGAATTCCCTGGCCTTATTGTTTTGAGGAATTCGGCGTAAGATATTCTTCAACGGGCTACCCAGCAGTATAAGATCGCTGAATCCTTATCACTGCTGGTTGAATATCGGGCATTGCGTACTGATCACGAGCTATATGCTGTGATAATATTATCTCGAGATTAACTTCCTTTTTCTGGAGCCCACCCAAAGTTTCATTTCGATTCTTTTTTCTCCTTGGGGCATCTCCATTCTACTCTTGGCCAAACTCTGTGGCTCCTTTCATACACTGGAAAAAGAGCCGCTCCCTTTTCTCACAGCCCCTGCCACTATCGTCTTGACACTCATAGGCTGGCACTATGGATGACAAGCAGTTCCACCTGGGCCCGTCTGTGCCTGCCATGAGTGCCAGTCAGACCCCGTCGTCAGCGGGGGACGTGGACGCTGCAGGGCCCACCTCCTTGCCAGAATCCGCAGAGCCACTCAGTAGACGACCAGATGCTCACGACGATATGGCACATTCGCATACTGAAGTTCGCCACGAGCATCCTGACCCATTTCTCCACCCTTCCCATCTTGCTCATGAATCCGCCGAAATGCCAACAATTCAGCCATATGCATTAACGGCAACTAACCTTGAAGAAAACACCCCAGGATCTATTCGGCTCGGCCCAGGCGAGTTCGCAGTGACTCTTCCCATGGATTCTCGAATCAAGGACGATTACGAGCGAGTGTTGATGAAGGCGAACCCGACCATTCGAGACTTCCTCGCGACATTTAACGTCCCCTCAGACGATCCCGATCACGAGGTACGTTGTGCGCATCTTTTATTTACTCTATATATCTGACTTCCCTATAGCGAGCCTCTCTCCAGTCAAAGGTACAAGACATCATATCCCGGTTAAACAACGTATCGACTCATCCGGATCTAAACACCTCTCCTCACATGGCATCTGTCATTCCAGAGTTTGAAAAAGAGGCTTCGTGGGCTGAATACTCGAGCACGAAATTCTTCTTCCTCGGCCACTTGATTGATATTGCTAGCACACGTGACCTCCACCTTGTTATTGCCGCTCAAAATGAGAGGAAGCAGAATATCGTTGAGCGATATTTGCTTGGCAAAGGATTTGCCTACACCCGTCCACGAGAAGAGATGGGCGGAGCTGTAGAAGTGTCTCTTGTGAAGGACAATTTGAGCTTCGGGGTGCATTCCACGGACAGTGTTCGCGATCTTTACAAAGCTCCGTCCGCAATCTTGGTTCTCGACTCTACTTTCAACCCCAAAGCACCCTCTGTTGAGTACATCAGAACCACTTACACACGTAACGGAGGCCTTTTGCCAGTGATATGGCTTCTGATCTCTAATGCTTGCGAGCATATTCAGCGCTGCCTACCTGATACCTCTGAACCTGAGCAGCTGCGGTTCCTTTTGCACTACACGGCTCGCCTTCATCACGACGTAGGTGATCTTCAAGATGATGCGCTTGGCATCCACGAGAGTGCTGAAGAGATTCTGAGTTACCTTGTTGATCCCCTGGTCGTTGCTTGGCCTTTGCCTATGATTGAGCCTTTGCATGGAGGGTTTGATATGGAAGACTCGACACCTCCATCGTCAGAAGAATCTCACCTTGCTGCACCAAAACGCTCATTGGTATGTATAGAATGAACATGTTTGAGCAATCCACTAACATCTTTCTAGCCGGAGGATGACGAAGACGATCCGACAGCGAAACGTGCTCGCCTTCAAACCCAAGGATCCCTTAGATCGCCAAAAAAATTCACCCCTCGCTCCCTCCCGGAGGGCCTGGACCCAAATCAACTAATGCAATTGAGAAGTGCTGCGGCCGAGGCGGAAAAGCTCAAAGCACAGATGCAGGCCATGGAGAAAGCCTTGGGTATTCTTCAGCACCGCTATGAAACCCGAACAAGTGTTTTGCACCAAATCCGACGAGAACGAGATAATTTGATCGAGAGCAAAGCCAGCAACGAACAGCGAGTTGAAAAATTCAAAGAAGATAATGCAAAACTCAAGGCCGACCGGGCTCGGCTAGAGACTGAACTTTCACAAGCTCGAGAGGAGATCAAGCATGGAGGGGGAACCCTAGCCCAGCTAGAAGCTGCCAGAGAAGAAATCCGACGTCTCGAAAAAGGACAATGAGGGCCTAAAGCGCAAAGCAGAAGTCGAGGCCAACCGCGCCGAATACACCCGTGAACAATATCAAACAGCATCCACTGTCGCCGCCCAATCAGGAAACGAAGCGCGACAACTTCGTGATGAGAACGAGGACTTAAAGCGGCGAGTGGCTACAAACCTCGCGGAGCTCAAGAAAGTGAACAACAATGCTGCCTTGGCCATGCATACCGCCCGCATCGAAGAGCTAGAGTTGATTCTTGCTTCACGGGATGACCTTTTACGCAGGAAAGAAGAGGAGATCCGGGACCTTCGCAGAAACCGCCCATCAACCCGTTCAACAAGTACGCAGCCTCGAAGTCCCAAGTGGGGTGCTAATAGCCGGCCTACCAGCCCCGGGATTAACAACGGGAATGGAAATGGAATGGTGGCCTCGCGGGCCGAGGGAGTGCATTGCGTTTTAGCTCAGATGTTTAAGACATTACTATGAGGAGCTCGTTCTATCTTATTCCATTCTTCCTTTTCTTGAGCGGTTGGCGCTAGGCTCCCTCTTGAGTATTAACGATTTTAGATAGATATTGGCCCGACTTTGCTTCAGATCAAATGCAATCAATCTATGACGCTTACAACAGTCCCCTTCCGCCATACTAGGCATCAGCTGCACGCAATGCAACATTACCTTAAATTTTTACTACGAAATGATCCAATTCCATGGCTCTAACTAGCCTCGAAATGCGACCGCGTATGGAATTTTCAGGTTGAGAATAGTGATATTTAATTATTTGGTACTAGACAAAAAGCATACAGATGAGGAAATACCAGAAATGAAATGAAACCAAATCGCCCTGTTCCGAACTCCTTAGGTAGTCCAAGGTTTGAGACGCAGAAAAAAAATTAGAGATGGAAAGAAAATGCCATATAAAATATACAAGCTCTAGACAGAAGCCATCGCTCCGGCCATGAAAGCGGCGAGCTCCTTGGCCTTCTCACCACGGGTCATAGTGAAGTGGTTAGCCTCCTCCATGACACTGATACCCCCGATATTCTTGGCTCCAACAAGAGTATCCCATCCATTAGGCCCCAGGTCAGTGCGGTTGTTGAGAAGCCAAAGCATCTCGCGGGGATCAGGGCTTCCGTCCTCGGCAGGGGCTGGACGGGGGTCGTTAGGCTTGTTGCAGACGCCATCCTTGGCCCAGACCATGAAAGTCTTGGGAAGCTTCTCAGCCAACACTGGGTCATCGTATGGGAATGGTGAGGCCTTATACGCATCCAAGGAGTCAATGAAAGCCAAGAAGTGCGGCAGCAACCACTTGGGTGGAGGAGCCTTGCCTTCGCCGAACAGACCGATCGAATCAAAGAATCGGTAGAGACGGCGAGGAAGCTTCTCTAAACCGATAGGGAAGGGTGAGTCGAGAAGGAGGAGACGTTCGACGCGCTCCCCTTCTTCGAAAATGAGATGGCGCGCTGCGTCGTAGGCACAGATACCTCCAGCAGACCAGCCTCCGAAGTTGTATGGGCCAGTTGGCTGACGGCGCCGAATTTCGGCCACGTAGGGTAGAGTCAACTCATCCAAGCTGTACTTCAGGTTCTCGGGGGTCCGCATGTAGGGGCAGTTAAGTCCGTACACACAGACATCGGGCGAGATACCAGGGATAGTGGCATATGAGGTAGCAGATCCGGAGCCGTCAGGGAACAAGAAAAGCTTCTGGGTCGCTGTCTTGGGATTACCTTGCAGCAGAATGGATGTTGCGGGTGGATGCTGGATAGCGGTTCGAGTAACAGCCTTAGGGGCCTCCTCGGGGATTTGATGGGGTATTTTGATCGGTGCAGCAGGTGCAGGTGGTGTAGATCGGGGCTTCAAATCCAAGGCAGTCTCGATCGCTGCGACAGTGGGATTCTCAACGAAGAATTCACCAGCCAGATCCATGTTCAATGTCTCACGGATCTTGCCCAGAACAGTCAGAGACATGAGAGAATCAAGGCCCATCTCAGCCAGGTCAATATCGCCTTGGAGCTCCTGGGGCTCAACCCCAATCTCCTCAGCCAAGATCTCACAAATTTGCTTCATCTTATCATTCTGCTCAAATGTCATACTCTTTTCGTTTGCTGGAGTAGGAAGACCGCTCGAGTTGGGAGTCGAGATATCTGTGGAAGAGGCTGCAGAAGACAGGTCAGCCTCGCTGGAAGTTCCATCACTGTGACTTTCCGCTGAGCTTGTTGAGGCTAAGAATTGCTTGAAGTCTTTGATGGTCGGTTGATCCATGAAGATAGTTGAATCAAGGTCAAGACCCAACTCTTCTCGGTAACGACCAGTGACTGTTAAGGAGAGGAGTGAATCAACACCGTAGTCGGCGAAGTTCATATCGTCTGTCATTTCTGCTGCAGAGAGACCAACTTCTTCTGCCAGAATTGCCAGAGCGCGTCCAGAAACACTGGGGGTTGAAGACTTTGGAGTCTCAGCGCGGGTGGCCTTCTTAGCAGGAGTGGAGGCGTTGGCCTTTTCGGTGTTTATAGGAGCAGGCTTAGCTTTCATGCTGGGCTTGGCTGCCCCCGCAGGTGGAAGTGCGACATCCAGGATCTTCCTTGCGAGAGCTTGGAACTGTGGTAAGCTGTATTAGTGTCGTGTTTTCTTCCTCAACTCAAGAGTGGGTTCGAATGACATACCTTCACTCCTCCGTAAACAGCAACGATTTCGTCGCCTTCGAATAAGTAAACGTCACCGGCATAGATCGAATCTTTCCATGGTTGCATACGCACGTAGGTGCGGTATGTGACGCTTGGGTCGAACTTCTTCAAACATCGCATGGAATCCCAGCCGTGGTTGACAAAGACTTGGTTCTTGGAGTCCGTCGCATCGCTAGCATTCATGATAAAGCCAGAAAGATGGCCAATGCTGTCGATCCAGAAGGGGTTGCGATGGAAGTTACCAGGAGGGGCCTGGAACTTGACTAAAGCAGTAGCCTCATTATTCTCACTATCAAGAATGACTTCCTGAATGGACTTGTAGTTCTCATCGTACTCGACCAACGCACTGAAGAGTTTGTACACCATGCCGCGCTTCATACGGTGGGCTTCTCCAGTCTCCGTGCTCTCTTGGAGATGCTGAATGCTTCGCTTGATCAAGTAAGCCGAACGCTTCCAGTCCATCTGCGCAGCAGCAGTATCGAAGAACTTCACCATGCATGTTGCGTGATCGAGGATCTTCTTCCCTTCTGGAGTGACAGACCATACCTTCAGCTGGGCACTTTCATCGGCCCAAGTGGCAGTGGCTGATACCCGGAACAGTTGCTTGCCTCCTTTTGCGATCAATGGCTTGGGTACGACGACATTGCAAACGTCGTAGCCACGCTCCTTCCACTCTGGCTTGTACTTCTCAACAAGGAACTCGGCTAGAGTTTGAGCAATATCCGCATAGAGTGACTAGAATAATGTCAGTAAACTATCTCCACCATATTTTACTGGGTCAAATGAACTTACCGAGGGACAGAGAGCAGCTCCGTTGACTTTGTGGCCCTGGATAACACGATTCAAGTCAGGGTCGCTAATGTCATTCTCAATAGTCACGGTGGCCGTTGTGCTGTCACCACTGGTCTCCAAGATCTTCTGTGCTGCTGTGCTAATATAGGTGGTGACTGGGGCGGCGTCCACTGCAGGAGTGGAAGTAGCGCCCTTTAACAGACAGAAGTTGTTTGTGTAGGGAATCCAGTAGTTCTTGAGGTCCCATTTGTATGCAGGGAGCTTGAGGACCTGGTGCGCAGTGCTGAAGTCCTGGTGATACTCCTTCCAGCGAAGTTCAATACCTGCCAAATAGAGGGAAGCAAGACTGTTAGACAATACCTTCCATGCGTCTTCCTGACGACGAAGGGATGCCACAGTGAGCGCCTGAGGTCCGAATGTGGACTTAACCATTCCAGAGCAAACGGGGTGCGAGCCTATCTCGACCCAGACAGTCTTTTCATTCATCAGCTTGGTGTGACGAGTGGCTTCCAAGGCTGCAAGGAAGTTGACAGATTCGCGGCAGTGACGTGTCAAGTAGCTGGGGCCCAGAGCATCTGGGTTAGAATCTTTGATAACGTCTCCCAGCAAAGCGGATATGAATGGTACAGAGGGCTCGTGGAAAACGATACCCTTGGCGACATCCGCCAGGCTTTCGAGAATAGGCTCAACCTGGGCTGAGTGGAACGCGAATGGAACCTTGAGCTTGGTGGCCTTGAAACCTTCATTGGCCAGCTTCTCTGCAACAATGTCAATCTTCTCACTTGCGCCACTGATGACAGTCTCGCTTGGTGCATTAATACAAGCCACCTCAACTTCGTTACCTTCGAGATGCTGCTTGACTTGTGCGACCGACGACTTGACAGCAAGCATCGCATGGGTTCCCATCTGACACTTCTCAGTAAGAAGCTGGGCGCGTCGACCGGCGAGATAAATGGTATCGCTAATCGTCAAAACACCCGCAGCATTCAGAGCCGCATACTCGCCAAGGCTGTGGCCGAGAACAAAAGCAGGCGTGACGCCAAGAGAGATCCAAAATTTGGTCAAAGCCATTTGAATGCAAGTGGTGCCCAGTTGGGTCACGACCGGGCTCAACTCTTCGACTGCAACGCTTCCGTCAATGAGGGGGACGATAGAAGGGAAGCCGAAGCTTTGGACAATACGGTCCAGATGTTCGATATTTGCTCGGAATTGAGAGTTGTGCTCGAAGAGTTGGCTGCCCATTCCAGTGTACTGAGCGCCTTGGCCAGTGTATATGAAGCCGACCCCAGGAGCATTAGCGGGAACGGGCGTGATGCTGTCACGTCCAGCGCCCGCTGTCAAGCCAGCACGGATCTCTTCCAAAGTAGCGCCAGTGGCAGCCACTCGGAAAGGATGATGAATACGTCTAGCGGTCGTGGTGTATGCCAGATCACCAATAAAGCTTGACTCTTTGACATTGAACAGGTTTTTGTTGAGATCAATGTACTGGACCAGAGCTGCAACGTTGTTCTTCAATGCAGACTGCGAGCGAGCAGACACTGTGACTGTGTGCACAGATCGTGCATCTGTACCGCTGTACTCTTGCAGTGGGCCGTCTTCAACAAGGAGGGCAGTGTTTCCGCCAGCAGCGGAGAAGTTGTTGACGAAAGTTCTCCGCTTGCCTCCGGCAGGGCGGTTCCACGGTGTAGGCTCACGGGCGATGTGGACATTCCGTTGCTGGAAGTCTGTGGGGAAGTTATGATTGATCTTGGTCTTAATTCCACAGTGCGGGGGGGATCATGTTCTTCTGCATCATTACCAGCACTTTCAGAAGCGCGCAAACCCCGGAGGCGGACTCGCCGTGGCCAATGTTAGATTTCGCAGAACCAAGGTGGAGTGATTGATTCGGGCCACGGCGATAATCTGGAGCAAACACATCCAAGACAGATTGCATCTCTACGGCATCACCAGCCTGGGTTCCAGTGCCGTGCATCTCGATATAGCTCACCTCCTTCGGGTCAACGTCAGCCTCATTCAAGAGCTTGTCGAAGATGAAAGACTGTGCCCCAACATGGGGACGAGTAATCGATACAGCCTCGGCAGAATGGTTGGTATAAGCACCACAGATAACACCATAGATGGGGTCATTATCTGCTTGAGCATCTTCGAGACGCTTCAGAACAATTGATCCAATTCCATCGGCACGGCAGTAACCATCCGCTCCATCGTCGAAAGTGTTACAGTTTCCAGTGCGAGAGAGGAAGTGTCCCGGTCCAGACCGGCATGGTTGTCAGGATTTGTGAGGATATTGACGCCACCAGCAACCGCAGAATCACAGTCATTTCGCCAAAGAGAGTTGCAAGCAACGTGGATAGCAGCGAGACTGGAAGAGCATGCAGTATCGACGCTGACACTAGGACCACTGAACTTGAAATAGTAGTTGATTCGCCCAGGGGTGAATGCGCGGTTACCACCGGGGATGAAGTACGTGTCGATATCCTGACCACTGTTGACCTCACGGTAGTCGTCACTGGTCATTCCATAGAAGACACCAACCCGGTTCTTTTGCGTAGACGGTGTGCTGTCGGGGATGAAGCCAGCCATTTCGAAGGCCTCATAAGCAGTCAGGAGAGCCAGTCTCTGAGCAGGATCCGCTTGCAGTGCTTCGCGCGGAGACATGTTGAAGAAGCGCGGATCAAAAAGGCCCGGCTCTTTGATCCAGCACCCGTACTGAACTTTGCTTGTGTTTCGGGTGTTTCCTTCCATATCGACGTGGGCCTTCACGTCCCATCGCTCGGGTGGGACTTCGCGATGGACATCAAGTCCCTTGTATAAAAGATCCCAGAAGGCTTCCGTGTCTTGTGCTTCCGGGAAACGCCCAGAGAGACCAATGATAGCGATTTTCGATTGCTCCGCACGTCCAGTCTGGTTGTCACGTTCGGTATCTTTCTGGACGTCACCAATCTTGTGGTTGACCTCAACTTGGGGAATTCCCATCTTTTTCAACGAAGAATAAAGGCTTTGAGATGCATTGCAGGATACTGGTATTAGAACGGTCTTGCCATTCACTGAGTGTAAGAGAGAGGCACATGTGTCAGTAACCTTATCCCAGCAAAGCTGCTTCAGAAGTATTTCGTTGAGGGAGATAGCGAGAAGCTCCTTCAATGACTTGGCATCGACGATCTTCCCAGTCTCACTTGAGATGACGGGAATCCTTGGTACATAAGTCTCAAAGGTTTCACTTGGCCAGGATCCAAGGATACGTGCCACATCTCTGGTGTCATAGAGATGCGATGCGTGATATGGCCCATGGATTGGCATACGAACAGGCTTAAAGCCTTTTGCCAATGACCTCTCTACAAAGGGCTCTAAAGTGGTGGGAGGGCCACTGATGGTCACACCACTGGCGCTAACAGCACTGATATAAGGCGCTGACACGCGAGGAATCGCCTAACAAAATTTAGCATATCTTGCCAGTGTCCAATGATTGCTGCAGCGGGCCTCACTTACGTTATTGGAGCCAAATTGCTCAATCATTTTCTGAGCTTCTTTCTCAGGAATCCCCGATACGAACACAGACCAGCTGGCAGGCGGAGATCCGTTTCCCTCGACAAGCTCACGAAGCTTGGCAACACACATTCCAAGTCTGAGCGCAAGAACAACTGTCTCCACACCAGCCGGGAACAACTCTCCGACCGTTTGAGAAGAGCTCACAGCAGCCGAAGCAAGCTGACCAGTGCAAAGGCCAATGATGAAACTGTTAGTCTTCGCTGGGTAAACGTGTCCAAGATCACCATAGTAGCTAGGGTTTTTGTCAGTATTTCATCGTCTGCGCGGTTTGATTCCTCATATTCTTACTGAATGAAACATCCCAACTGGTAGATGGTGGTTAGAGTGCTCTCCAGCACCACATTTGCACCATGCTCTTTATATCTCGCCAACAGGTCGACAATGCTCGTAAATCGAGGGAACATCTGTCGTTCGGATGGCGGAAGCTTGCTAATTTCTTGCCGCACTGCATGGTAACACTTTTGGAAGAATGCAATCACGAGGGAATCATTCTTAGTTTGCAGTAGACGGCGAAGACCCGACTCGAAATCAGCAGTCTGATCTCCGAAGAGATAGACTTGATTGAGATCCGCCATACTCGTCCCCAGAATTTTTTTTTCAGGGGTGCAAAACTCTAGAAAGGAAAAGGGGATGAGAGTCCAGGGTCCGGCCGAACTTTATGGGGTCGTACTCTTATACATGATAGTAATGGTACGTTGGTTGTTTTCTCCGATGTGGATCAATACAATTAATGGGCATCATCCATCTATAGAACGTCTTGGCACATGGGCAAAACCTGAAATTTCCTCTCGTGCTATGCCTAGATCTGGAAGTCTGTTAAAGAAACGACATGAACCAAGAAACCGCCCGCGATCTCGAACAAAATCCTGGATCGTAGACCCGTTTAGGGGCATTTGACAGATTTAGAAAATGCAAGATGGAACCGTTACTATGAGTAACATCCATTGGCCACGGAAAATTTGGTATTTTACCTTTTCGTCCAGATCTTTCACGTTTTCAAAACAGGGTTTATGAATTCCATACGCTTAAGGTAGGACGCTGAAACCTAATTTGGGCATATGTAGATCATCTTTCCAAGAATATATTGCTGGTCGCGGGGGTGCTGCTTGCGGATGTACCCGGTCCTATGATCAGCCAATCAAAGCAAATAGAGTGCTACCTCATTGGATACGTATGACATAGGACCCAGCTCGTACACTGCCCGCGGGGACTCCGAAAGAATTTCATTCGGTGCAACGATAGCGCAGCGTGGCCGCTTTCGGAAAGGTTGCAGTTCGTGGCTCTCCTAGGTCACGTGAAAAGGATGCCCTACCTGCGTACTCCCCGTCGCATGCGCATAAAGATTTTCCGGAGAGAAAACTTGACACAAACGAAATAAAATTGAGTGAGTAATTAGTATTGAACCTTATCTAAGTTATATGTTATATGGAAAAGAAGAGTGCAATTTTTGGTGAGATATTTTGTCGGGAAGCCGATTCGAATCGGCATGTAACGATGCGCCTGATTCCGTAGAACTAATGCAGATCAGCGCAGACCTGATTAATTTGGGCTAGGGGTTTTCGTTGAATCATGCGTTGGTAATATTTTTTACGTCATGACTGACACCCAGACTCCACAACTTGCGAGAACTGTCACAGACGGTGCAAAACATTGGATTCGGATGTCACTAAAATGTCACTAAAGTATCATAAAACTGGGGGTTGATTATGGTTGATGTCAAATGTGGGAGACTTTGAATTTAAGTAAAGTTTCTTTCAATAGTCTTCATCTTTTGTCCTTAAGTTTATTTATTGAAATTGAGTTCAGAGGGGAGTTCGTAGGGCTAAAAACATAAGCGATAGTGAATGCTCAGACCTGAACGGAAGGAACTGACCTAAATTCTCAAGTATGCCACAAATTCTACAGGCGAAGAATAAGAAAAGGCAAAAAAAAAAACGAAGGAAGAAAAATCCCCACGCACCGACTAGTTAACTAGTAGGATTTGTCATAGCGCCATCCACAATCGACAGCGATCGAAGATCCAGTGGGTCCCGCGCAACGGACCGCGATCTCTGCGGGTCGAGGTGTAACCAAAGCCCACCTCGGCTCCGACGAAGTACAAATTCGAGTGCCCATGGTGTTTTTTTGGTTCATTGAAGATGGTACTTTTTATCTGTATGAGTCGTCAACTTGAAGGATGGCGTAGCAGGTGCTCAGTCAAAAGTACTTTATCGTAGGCCAAGTGTACTTTTGTTTTCTCCGGGAGAGCTGACTAGACCTTCCATCCGGACCTAGGTTGGGGAATAATAGTTTCAGTACACTAATGATGCCTTGCCTGAAATCTTGTAGATTACTATTAATTATGGTATGTCTATCCCCGGCCGGACCCTCGTCCGATCGACACACAATTGCAAAACTTCGTGAGAAGTATCTTCCAAAAAACAGATAACTAGGTGATCTCAAAGAAGCTCTCCCGTAACTGACCTGAAGATATTTAATCAAAGCGTTCAAGAAATTATTGCACTACTTTGTCTGCATCGCATGCTCTTCTTCGACATTCCTCTGGAAAGGAAGGAAATCCTTCAGGAGCTCTTTGTGCTTCCGTAGCCAGGATGGCGAGGGAGGCTCGGCATATAATGTGGAATACCCCGAAGGAGTGGGCTGAGTAGGAGGAGAGGCGGTAGAGGAGTATGGGGGAACATAAACAGGTCTAGAGGTAGGTGCAGAAGGGTAAACTGGTCGTGTCGAGGAAGCTGGCTGGGATGGATATGCGGGCGAGCTGGAGAGGGTGGGGGGACGAGAAGAAGAGGCTGGGGGAGAAGTCGGCGGCAAGGAATATGGCGGTGGGCCGCTGGGAGGAGTGCTTTGACTCGGAATAGGGCTCAAGGCTGCCCCTGGACTTTGATCCTCCCCTGCAGGAACGGTCGGCCATTGGTCAATTCCATCGAGCAAAGCAACAGACATCCCATTTGCCATGTGGGTTTCAATATGACAATGAAACAGGAAGGGGCCCGGGTTCACGACTTGATAGCGGATAATCATCCAAGTGGGGCCAGTAGGTCCATTTGTGACAAATGTATCTCGCTTCTGAGGGTTGTCCAGGTGAAAGAGGTCTGGTTGCTCAGCAATTGCTTCTGCTGTGCTTGTCCAATTGAAAAAGCCTTCACCTACACCAAGGATGTATGCCTTGTTAGAATGTTTATGCATAACATGGGGAGCCTGGATATGAGGAGTATTTGGCAAGTCACCCAACTGCAGAAGTAAGTCGACCCATGTGCCATTCTTTGTTTGAATAGTAACTTGAGGGTCAAGGTCGTTTCTTGCGTTCAAGTCATAAAGAATTGGATCATCCCAGTTAGCCATCATATCATATAATGGGCCCCCCGACGTAGTCCAGGTGAATGACGAGCCAGAACGGCCAATTGTCAAGTTGACCAGCTGATCAGCAGCAGTGGGGATGGTCTCAGCAGGGTAGGGTCTGATGGCCTTATTGTCAAGAGCAGTGACAGATGCAGAGGTATTCCTGCCACCATAATCGATATAGGGCAAAGAAGGATCTGTGTTGGAGGAGCCCTTGTAGCGCATTGTAGCGAAACCGGAGATAACCTGGTCCCCTTGAGTGTCGGGAATACGGATTGTGTAATCTTTCCAAGGCTTGTCGAGCTTGACCATAGCTGCATAACGCTCACCATTGTAGATACTTGCACTTTCAGCCAGTATAGGCTCCACGTAGCTTCCATCGACTTCATAAATGTACATTGGGTGCTCGTCAATGGAGAACATTAGAGCCTTGAGTGATGCGGCACTAATAAACTTGAAACTGACCCAGCCAACGTTAGGATCAACTTCAATGATTTCGTGATATCCATTAGTAGGGCTGCAGCCAGCGTTCAGTCCGCCAGGGATCTTGCTCTCATCGGTTGGGGGGAAGTCACCCTGAGTCTCATATATATTGGGCAGACACCTAAGAAACAATTCAGTCAGTAAGGAATCATAGCGGAAGAGACTTCGAAACTTACCCCTTATCTGTCAGAGGTTGGTTATCGATAGCAGTCTTGAGATAAGAGAGCTCGACACTCGAAATGTTCTTTGTTCCAGGGCAGTAGACGGCTCCCCGACCATTGATCAGGACACTGTCCATACAGCTTCTTGGAGTTAGCCGTTGCCTCGAACAACACATAGCGAATGACGTACAATATATTCAACCGACTGTCTTCCTGAGCCTTTTGGTATTGCTCTGATGTGAGATGGTCCCAGTCGGAAAGCATTACAAGCTGAGGATTCTTCTCTGCTTGTTCCATTGCAGCAATATCCGCAGCATCATTTGAAATCAACGAAAATGGCAGAGGAGTTTCAGGGGCCGGGCTATGGTCCATCAGTATTGTGGTCATTTTTGACATTTCCGAACTCGGATTTCTTACTTGATCCAGATTGGACCGTACAGTCCATCGGTCATTTCTGCGCGGGCGTGAGAGTGGTACCAGTAGGTTCCGTACTGAGTGGCTTTCCATCGGTAAGTCCAGCTCTGTCCTGGCTGGATTGGCTTCTGTGTTAGGCCGACAACACCATCTGACCATGGTGTGTTGTGTTGCTCAATCCCATGAAAATGCACCGAGGTATTCATGGGAAGATTGTTATGCACCACAAACTGTTGGATGTTAGAGCGACTTGTTTGCCGATATTGGGAGTAAAGATCGCACCTCGACATCGTCACCCTGGTCTAGCCGCAATTCGGGCCCAGGAAATTGATCGTTCATGAAGATCATCTCTCGAGCATTTCCATCTGGCGCACCCATTTGCCAGGTAACATTCAGTTCAAAATGTACAAGCTTAGCCCAGGTCGAGGATAATACCCCGGAGCTGGCCAAAGCCATTAAGGTTCTGAGAGGCGCCATTGTAGCCAGCGTCTGGTTGGGAATTTTCCAACCACTTTTAGACCCAAGCTCACAACCAAATAACTTGAAGCCAAGAAGGACAAAACCAAAGTCGAACCGTCCAAGGTGGCTCTTAAAATGAGGCATGTTTCTAATATTTGGACTCCGTTCCTTGTGGAATGCTATGGAGCGGACCTTGCTTGGCTCCATCTTCCATCGATAATGTCAACCACCCCTCGTAGATGTTTGCATATTTGATAAATCTGTACGGGGTGAGCCTCTGGACTCCACTGTCTGTCTGGTTTGTCACCTAAAAGGCCAGTATATGCTTTGCAAGAAGGGTGGAATGTTGATGGGGCTGGGGAAGGGGAAGCTACAACCTCAATCCAACGTTCCCGTCCTCGTCGACGAATGGTTCAATTCTAAGAGCTTCACAACTAGAGAAGCGAACTAAAACAACAGTAGGTTCGCAATGGCATATCCTGTCTGTGTGAAAAAAATAGGCATCATGAGAGCATCTATTTCAGTCTTCATGAGCCATTTGTAGGGTGGTCATTCCGGGAGCTCGCTTGGAATGTGGTCGAACCCGAGTAGGTATCTGCTATTGTTGTTCCACTATACCACAGTATGGCCGGTCCAGAATTCTTAATGGGCTTCCATCACGGACCCGATGACTCCAAAATAACTCTTTCGTAGGTTTGAGTTGGTAATAGCCAACGCAATGGGAGACGGGGAAAAGGCGAATATTGGCTTCGCAAGGAATAACTAATTTAGCAGCTGCTTATTCACTGTCAAGAGCGGGTTTCCTCACGATTCTGCTTCATGCATATTGTTTCAAGCCCAACCATTGCTGTAGTAACCCTAGGGATGCAATGGGATCTTCAGGGTGCGCTACCACCCTGTCAGTGCCGCCAATCACAGGGGATCATTCTACAGCACTGAACAGCTAGGTACTGAGTCAGCCCTCCGCTAGACCTAAGTCCACTGAGAATGAGGTGTGATGGGAGTCTGACAAGGCTGGTTGGTAGAGCGGGGAAAGCGGGTTGTTGCCAGGGGCAAGGGTTCGCGGCTAACATGGATCGAGGCTCGGCGGAAAGGGCCCAAACATGGCACAACCAGAGCGTATATTGCCCTTCGACTTTCAGATTAATAAACCATCTCGGAGATTATCTGACATTCCAGGTCAGCTCATCCCTTATAGGCCTTATATCCGCTTTAAACCTCCTAACTAAGGCCCTACGCGTCCACGAGCCATCGAGAGTGTCTGGTCTCATGCATTAAGCTTATCGATAAGGCCATCGTCCGCCCGCTAAGCCCGATCAGGATAACACGTAAACAATCAACCCGATTCAAGCTCGGGCCTCACCGTCCCTCACCGTCCTTCTATTCACCCTCCCCATCCCTGGTTTCACTCCATTTGCGGGTTGTTGCTCTTCAATTTGATAATATCTCGAGTCTCGGCGTTCCATTCTGCATTATGTTTCTGGGTTGAAACTTTTGCGACTCGTGCGATCTTGTGTACCCCAGATAAACCTCTACGCGCCTGCTGCAGCACCAGCGCCTCCACCCAAGCTTCTGACATTCCTCCCGATTCCACTGAACGAGCCTGCGCCTACATTGTGCCTGCCAGCTGGTAACTTTTAAAGACTCAGCAACCACAGGCGTCCGGCCATCGGCCCTTGCGACTTTTGACAGATCATCTATATCGTCATGTCCCAGCTCCCATCGAAGTTCCCATGTTGGTGTCGAGCAGTGTACTCCTGGGGTGGAGAAACAACACGAGACTTGGGGTTTGTGGAAGGAGATTTAATAGAATGCTTAAATGCAGGAGATGGGCAGTGGTGGATGGGCCGTCTGCGCCGTGATAGAAGAGCGGTTGGCTTGTTTCCATCTAATTTTGTGGAACTGATGAGTGAGGACTTTGTCCCAATCAGTCGAGATACGAGTCCATTGGTCCAGACTGGCTCTTCACCCATAAATAACCCTACGTCAGCCCCTAAAAAGCAAAAGACCGTCTTCCGCAAGCCTTTCCAGGCTCACAAACATGCGCTGTCTCCAGGTTCTGACTTGGCACGAAGCATGTCCAACGCCCCAGCTACGGCGCCGTCGATCCCTCAGACACCACCCCGAGATGGTAGCACTCCGCGTAGTGTGAAGCCTTTGCGTACTCACGCCAGTGCTGTGAAAACGCAGGCACGATTACGTCTCGTCCTTCATCTGTGTCGTCCAGACATTCACCTTCAGTCTCTTCTCGACATTCTCCCTCGGTCTCTTCTCGACATTCTCCCTCGGTCTCTTCTCGACATTCTCCCTCGGTCTCTTCTCGACACTCTCCCTCGGTTTCCTCCAGACACTCTCCCTCCGTCTCCTCGAGGCATTCACCCCGTGGAATCTCACCCAGAGCTTCCATCGAGACGCCTCGCGCTTCTGTTGAGACGCCTCGCGCTTCCATGGAGCCTGAGCGGTCGCCATCTACGATGATGCCGCGCAATAGTGTGTCTTCGTCGCGCCCTGTTTCTCGAGAGATTTCTCCTATGTACCTGCAGGAGCGCGAAGAGTCACCTCCACCTCCCCCCTCCACCTCCGCATCGAGTAGCAATTAGTCGACCCCCGTCTCGATCCCCTCAACCGTCTCCGTCTCCTCAGCCGCCCTCACACCAACCACAGCAGTACCCGCAGCGCCTTCTACACTCTCCGCAGCCCCCAGCACACTCGTCGCGACCGTCTCGGTCGCCTACGCCTTTGAACATGAACGATCGATATGTGATTTTTGCTCGGACCCCGTCGCCTGGTGCGCAGTCCACACATTCGGCGCAATCAGATGCGCATGGAAACACGCCCTCTCCGCTGAGAGACGCCATGGAAGATGTTATGACCTCTCTAGAAGACATGGGGCTGCAACGGGAACCATCGCCAGTGCCGCGTCATATTCCCTCCCCTTCGCCTCGTCACGCTCCTTCACCCCCCCCCGCCGACTTTCAATAATCCCTGGTCAGCCGATGCATATGATGAAATGAACGACAGAACACCACCTGGCAACAAACCCCGCCCTCTAACGTCCCTTGGAATCAACGGCTACAAGGAGCCACCGCGTGGAGAGCTTGCACATCGGAACAGTGTCTACTCGCACGATCACTACGCGGATGGCCCTCCCCAACTGAACAACTACGTCCAGAGAATGGAGAGTCGTCTCCGGCAGCTCGAAGATCAAAACCGTCTCGAGGATGAAAATGGGTTTGATGACGACGACGCGCCCCCGCCTCCACCCAAACATGCTTCTTATCACCCTCGCAATAACTCTACGCCTGGGCCATATACTCACCTTAAGCATGATAACAAGGTATATGGAGATGACCGGTTGAACAGATCTTTCACTACGAAATCAACTGCCACTACTTCCACTGGCGTGCAAAGCGTGGGGACGAACTTGACCAGCAGTACCGATAAGACAAGCCAGAGCCTTATGAGCGGATATTCTGCCGGTGGGTTCAGTGCTACTAGCGCAGGGAGCTATGCTCGAAGGAATGGTATGCACGAGCGGCCAAATACTGCAATGGAAACTCTGCGCTCTCGAGGCTTCAGTGATGCTGGGAACCCAAATAGGCCAGAATCACCGATGACTGGAATCTCGTATCATTCTAGTCATAACACCTCTCGTCAAGGTGCTTCGTCTGCTATCCCCTGGTCATCTACGGACCATGACGTTGGAGATTCTGGCGGGGTTTTCGGTGGTCTCTCTACTCCGAAGACGAAGAAGCAAGGATTCTTCAAAAAGATCCTGGAGTCAGCCAAGACCGGAGCTGCGAGTGCCCGGAGCAGCATTTCTGTAGGTCATGGCGGAGGTTCGCAGTCTCCCACCAAGGGACACAGGGCGTTCGACGTGGTCTCCCCACACTTCTTGTCTCATTCCTCCCAGTCCAACCGTGAAAATGCTCGTGATGCGGCACCTGCCCCCAACGCTATTGACTGGGTCCATGTTCGCCGGGATGTCAATCGCGCTTCGTCGCCTAGCCGAAACGAGAGAATTGAGAGAGCCAAACGATGCCAGATGATGGATCATCCGGTGATTTATGCGGTGGAGGAACTTTACGATACCGCAGAAGGGGACGAGAGTATTGACGGCTTGCCTATCAGCGAGCCTACAAATTTTGTTGCTGGAAATCTGAACCTTGTCGATAAGAGTGCGCGCTTCATTAGCAGTTTGCCTCCTTTGACAAACCCTATGAGCCTGGCCCAAGGCTACATTTGTCGCCCCTACAAAAGCGATGTCCAGCGTCTTCGCGCTATTTTCACATGGGTTAGTGAGAAGATTGCATGGGAGGAACCTGTGGATGGACTTGAAGTAGACATGAAACGTGTCCTTCATGCCAAACGGGCAAGTCCACAGGAAATTGCCATCTTGGTCAATGATATGTGCGCCGCTGTAGGTCTCCATACTGAAGTCATTCATGGTTTCCTGAAGTGTCCTGGTGACGCTCTGGATTTGGACAGCCTGTCGCGTCCTAACCATTGGTGGAACACAGTCCTAGTCGAGGGCGAATGGCGCATTATGGATTGCGCGCTTGCAAACCCGACAAATCCTATGCGGAACCGATTTGTGACCAATAACTCTTCTGTGGCCGAGAGCTGGTACTTCCTTACACGTCCAATGGATATTTGCTACACCCATGTCCCCCTCTATCCAGAAGAGCAGCACATCTGCCCACCTATTTCACCTGATGTTTTGCTGGCTCTACCCGCGGTGTGCCCCCAATACTTCAAGATGGGCGTCCAGTTCCCCGACTACGACACCAGCGTCATTCGCCTTGAAGGCCTAGAATGCTTACAGATCTGTCTCACGGTACCACCTGATGTTGAATGTGCTGCTGAGGTGGAAGCCCCTGCCTTCGCACGAGACGCTGACGGCGACTTCTTTGAGAGCGGTGATATCGTTCGCAAGCGAGCGCCAGTTCAACCAGACTGGTTTCGCGGCCAAAAGCGCATCACGGTCAAGGCCGTCTTACCAGGTGACGAAGGACAAGGCGTGGTGAAGATCTACGCTGGGGAAGAAGGGCCTCATGCATTCGAGCCGCGATATCCCTCACCCAATGGCTCTCGCTCTCCCAATCATCCATACCGGAGAGAACCCGCCCTATGATTTTGTCCTCCGACATCCGACTCCACACGCTCAGCGCCATGATCTGTACATCATGCAGCCCCAGTGCTCGCGATTGGCGGTCAACAATACCTTCGTTTTCGCTGTTCGCCAGCACCCCCTCCTCACCCCAATCTGCCCCAAAGGATGACATGCCTATCAACGGCCGTGCTTCTCCTTCTGTCTTCAACCGACCCTCTAGTGCACTGAGTATGGTGTCTAGTACCGCAGGCGGTTCAACCATATCGAGCAACTCGAACGAGTTCTCAGCGTCGACTTCTGCGATCTCCTCAACACGGTCTGTCGGTGGCCGCGAGAAGCCTGCTAAACTCGCCATCCAAACCCCATCTGGCAAGATCATGCGTCTCACCCGGAAGGCTGACCATATGATGCCCGTAGACCCCTCCAGCGGTACTGTCACCGATGCTATCGCGGACGGGAGCGTATGGGAGACAGTGATCAAGATTGGCGAGCGAGGTCTTTGGCGGGGATTGGTCCTAGCAGACCGCTCGGCTCGGTGGTGTGTATTCTGCGAATGGGAATGTGTCTAGCAATTTTTGCACCATTTTTTTTTTCTTTTTTGGAGTTGATAGAATTATGGGACGGATGTTTGATTCCTTTTTTTTGATGTTATTTCCTTCTATTCCTGCATGTCTGCTTGTGTTGCGGTTTTGTCTGCCTTCCCCATACCGGCATTTGCATCAAGTAGGCCTGGAGCGTTGCATATACACTGGATAGCTCATGGAATTCTGGTTCTTTTCTTACTCCTTGTGTTTGCGTACTTTCCGTCAGAATGTAGGCCATTGTCCTCCGTAAATTGGAAACTTTCGAGTCTTGCTACGCTCTTGTATGCGGCAAGGCACAGCGCCATCAGTGTCAATGGTGCATGCTGGTATTATTATTATTGATCGGATTACAAGGCCGTTTATTTAACCTTAGACAGATGAGCAGACCTGACCAAATCCTGGTTACTTGGATTACAGTAGCAACTCTTCCAACACTACTCCCCCCGAGTTCCTCCGCTGCTACCCTGTCACTAATTTATTACTCCTTCCACTGTGCTTACTTATTGCTCCCCCCTCCCCCCACCACCCTACTACCTATATAATCGCCCTGAGCCTCCACTATACAGCTCATGTGTAGGTTTTAGGTAAACGGATTGGACGTGTATTCTATCCTGACAGTCCCGTCCCCTTCAACGTTACAAAAGATTGCAGATGTTGGAATAAGACCTGTATATGTGGTACCTCTCGCAAGGGAGCTATCTAGCTCTCAAAGGCACCCGACGCAACTGGCATGACCTGGTATATTTCATGCCCTACCTGTCGTGCCACTTAAAACAAATACAGCGAGTCTAGTGGACTTGAGCAGCCCGGGGATTTGCTTGCATTCGGTTTTCATTTCGACTTGACTGCAACGATCCTCATTATTATATGCACTCTACCCTAAAGTTTCGCTACAGCTTCGCGCAGCAAAGGAGCCACCTGCTTTCTACTAGCCGTAGTCTTCTTCTGGGTCCAAAGTCTCCTAAAGAAGACCCGATCCCCATCCAACGCAGCCCTAATCTGCGCATCAGGAATATTCACATCCTCACCATCAGCCACCTTCCAATCCTCAAGTTGCAGCTGCTCCGCTGCGGTCCTCATAAACGCCTGGATCCCATCAACCGCAGCCCCCTTCTCCCCCATCGCAGCAACAAACAGCTCCCTCTCAAACGCTCCACTCTCCGCCGTAAACGACGTCATGACAACCACAAGATCCAGGCCCTTGTCCTCCCTCTCCGCAAACCGCCGCACCCCATCGACAAATTCCTTTGTACCACCCGCCTTCTGCACAAGCCATCGCACAGGCTTGACTGACGAGCAAAATCCCATCTTCACAGCCCGCCCATCAGCCGTCGTCTCGCTCCAATCCTTAAAATCTCGATCCAGAACCTCATCCAGCGTCAGCATATTAAGGCTGTTCTGCTTGGCCTCCAGAACCTGCGCATACAGCCCCTCCGAATCCCACTCCGGCGCCCCGGTCTTTGCGATCAAGCCACGCAGGGATGAGACAGCCCGCTTGTCTACCTCTGTAACTTTCCCTTCGGCAGTGAGATTCGACGTATCGATTAGAATGGCCGCGAGCAGGAGCTTCGCGACTTGCGCATCTGAGGCAGCGGCGTCGGGACCGAGCAGCTCGTGTGCCGTCAAGAAGTCCGCGACGAGCGAGGAGCAGGAGCCTGGGCCGACGGTTATGATTACGGGGGAGATCTTCATAGGTGCGTCCATCGCGGGGAACAAAGTGTTCGTCGACGTGGTGGTCTATGCAGGCAACTGTGCGGAAAAGTACGTGTGGTAGGGATGGGCCGAGGGAGCCGGTTCCTGGGGGTGGGGAGGGTGGGGATTGCTCGGGGAGGGCGTTCCAGTCCACGAGGGTGATGTCGGCATGGATGTCTGAGCTGGACGAGGAATTCAGGGCGTTGGCGAAGTCGGCGATCGTGACAAGGTGGTTCTGGAGGAGTGGGGAGGCGGAGGCGGGGGTGTTTGAGAAAGCTTCATCTTTGGCCAAAGGGGGGGAAATTTGTGGAGAGATGAAGGGCGGTGACAAATTCTGGGCGCAGGCGAAAAAGATCGGAGCCTGAGGGGACAGTTGGTAGATTGAGGAGTGGGACGTGTGGTCTTGGTTTGGTCTTCGGAAGACAGTTGTTGGCACAGTACGAGTAGATGATGGCGGACACAATCGAGTCGAGGTCTGCGGAGGGGTTCCCCAGAACGTAAATAGGAGCTTCAGGCAGTTTTCCGGCCAGAAACTGGAGGTGTGTTTGTCGGGCTTGCCGCAGGAACTGTAGGAGCGTCATTCTGTAAATTATAGTGTCGAGTTGGAGATGCTTCTTTCGTCGATGAGAGCAGATACGTCACGGGGAAACGGACCCACCATGAAAACAAGTATCCTTTTGGCATTGGCAATATGCTCTCCTAGATAAGTCTCCAATACCTTCAGGAAACGTTTGCCAGGATTTAGGAAACGGAGGATGGCGCTCGAAGAGCAAGATATATAAGAACTGCATTTGAATAGTATTACATGGCAGACAACTAGAAAGCTGCATCGATCATCAAAACATAGCCATTCGAGGCCTAGGAAGTAAAACAGAGGGGGAAGAATAGAAGAAGAGAAAACCAAAACCCCTGAAATCAACTCCGGGCTACCTTCACCCTAATCCTTTGTAGTACACCCATGTCAGAGCACTTCATATCCGCGAGGCAGAGGTGATGACGAAACAAGAACAAAATATGAGAACCCAGAGAAACGAAAAATTTTTAGAGCTTTCGAAACGAAGATCTTGAAAAACAGAATGAGGCAAATTAAAGCTCTTCCTCAATGGTGACATTCGCGTCTGGGGCAGACGAGCCCCCGCGAGCCTCTTTCGGAGAGCCATTACGGGGACCGAGCAACTGGAGAGACGTTAGCATGGTGTGCTCATGGAAATTATCAAATGATCAATCAAACGTGGACGAAACGTACCGGATAGTCATTCAATCCCTGATGGGTGGGGTCAAGACTGGCCTCCTTAGCCTGGTGTGCGGTCACAGGCCCCACGATTGAAGCGTCGCCGGTCTGTACGGGCTCTTCATGGACCGATGCGGCGCGGCTGCTGCCATTGCTAGCATTGAGAGCCTCGAGAGCTTCGTTGGCATGGGTGTTGTCCATTTGTTCAGATTCGGGATCGTTGTCCTGATTGGTCAAGTCGGCGAATACGTCATCGAGGTTCTGCCGAGGACTGCTACTGACGAACTGAGGCTCACGATCGAAGCGAGGGGGGCTGAAGAGAGAGGTTTCCATGCCCTGCTGCGGCGTAGGAGATCGAGCAAGGAAAGATGGCGATTTGTTTGCCGCGACATCCGGCATAAACGTGGAGGACGTCGGGGCAAACGCCGGGGTTGAGTCACTCGCAGGCAAGGAGTAGTTAGCAGAGAATGGGTAGGACACATTGTGGGAATCCGGCATAGGTGTCAAGGTAGGCCCCGTGGTTGGCGGCTGAGTGCTACTGGGGGTGGCAGAAGATGGCTGCAGGGATTGAAGCCGAGGAGCTGTGGGGGTTGACGTTGCTGTATCGACCGACTTTCGCTTGGCCATATGCTTTGCCCGAAGATGCTCTGGGAGGTCTTCGGGTCTCTCAACGCCTAATTGAGCCATGATCTTTTGTTGCTTTGTAGGCCGAGGCTTGCGAGTCGACAATGAATGTTCCAAGATTGGTGGTGCCTCGGGTGCAACAGGCGCCCATTTGTGGATCTCTTGTCGGAAGAAGTTGGTCTCGTAAGCTAACAGGACTTCGGCGCCCTCGATCTTGCGCAGGTAGAAGATCAACGTGGGCACTTCCTCGGTGGTGGTACAAGCGGCATTGGTAAATCCATGGAGAAAATCACGAAACGCAGTCGCTTTGCTGACAATACTGTCTAGCACCTCTTCCTCGTCTGGCTGGAAGGGAAGACCCGCGATCTCAGCTTGCCAATCCTGGAGATCTTCCAGCTTCGGGCGGGCGGCATCACGAGGGATTTTCTGACGCCAGTCGCAAAACAGGACAGGTGTACTTGTCAAACTCCTTGACCTTGCCTCGCGCAATTTTCAGGCACTTTCCATGATACCTATAAGAGATCAGTCAGACGTCAAAATTCAGAGGCAGAAGGGCAAGATTCATGCTTACCATTCGTGACAAACTTCACATTCAATCATCATCCCGGCCTCCGGTCGCCGACAAATACAGAAAACGTCGCGTTTGTGAGACTTCGGTCCCCACACAGTCGGCTGGGGGTTCTCGAGTAGACCATCGGGGGTATTATCACGCGAAGAAGGCTCCACAGGAGGCCGGTAGCTATCTTCTAGGTCGAAACAAAACGAATTGCGATTGTCGACATATTCCATGTGGGATTTCAAAATGTGCAGGGGGGGCATTGGCTTTACCGAAAAGCTTCTTTCCCTTGCGCATCCAGTCCTCGTGGCGCTTTTGTTCACGCTCCAAGTCGATAGCTCCAATTGGCCGGCTGTTCAATTGTTCCAGAGACTCAGTGAGCTCTCGAACATCCTTGTACTTAGGTCGGTTCCTGACATCAGGGTCTCTGCTGCTCTCGACTAGAGTTTGAATTCGTTTCTGGGCCTCTCGCTGCTTGGTCAATATAGCATCAACGGCAGCAAGGGTCGTGGGAGAAACAGGGAGACGGGATGCTTGAGCAGAGAGGGCCTCCAACTGCTGGTAATGGACCGCCTCGACGGATATCAGTTCCTTAGCCTTGGTTTCCCAGGATTCACCCTGCCGGGCCAGTTCCTTAAAATGGGACAGGTGCTCGTTGCTGTCCGACAAGCCAAGTTGTTCTCCGGTGGTTACTAATTCCTGGCAATCTTGGAGGTTCAGGTATTGGTCGCGTCTGCGGGCGGCATCTTCGGTCCATTTAATCTGTCGCATTTTCTGTTCCAGGCTTTCCACTTCGGGAATTTCCACGTTGAAATTTCGGCCGGATTCAATAAGTTCCTCAAGTTCCTGGGTCGATCGGACATGGGGATTCATCAGGGCGCTGTTAACATCCTGGCGGAATTTTTCGATCTCGCGGGTCTTCTCTTCCAGAGCCGCCATCTGTGGACAGTCGAAGGAAAGTTTATCAGCCTCTGCCAGAAGCGCGTAGATATGCTCCACTCTGCGAACTTCGCGATCACGATCGTCCAGCTGCGCCGCCTTGGGACCGGCCTTGCGCCATGCTTTCTCATTTTTTCTGCGGTTTTGCTGCTTTCGGGTAATGTAGTTGTTCGCCTCCTCAACCCATTTATCGCAACGCTGGACGAAGGCCGCAAGATCTTGGAGGCCAGGTAGGTGGTATGGGATTTTCTCACCTTCACTGAGCAAAGTATGGAGAGCTTTCAGCTGCGGCTTGGGCTCATCCTCCAAGGTCTTGTCGAGCTTCTCCCCCCAGATCTGTGGGATCCTGGCTCGTTCCTCGACCTTCTGCAAGATAGCTCTCAGCTCGTCGTCACTCATACGGTATCGTAGTGTATGTCCTGGACCTAGAAGCTTTTGTGGGAAGGTTTCACCGCAGCAGTCGTAAGCTTCCACATGCAGCAGACAAACAGTCTTTCCCGACTGATGACAACGGAACTGGGTAAGGTAAGTATACGCCTTGCAGTGGCTACATTGGTAGTCGTCCTCGGGAAGATCCTCCTCTTCAACTATGAACTTCAGCTGGCAATCGCCAGCAGGAGGTTCGGTGCCAATAGCACACTTGTGCGCCATGATATCTCGGTGTCGAGCGAGGAAATTAGCACGATCACCAAGCTCCCGGGTGGTAGTTCGTTCCAGAGCAGGAGCCAGCCATTTAGCAGTCGTGATGGATGTATCTCGAGCAGCTGCGGTAAAGAGTAACTCATCATGAGAGAAACAGGGGTGGCGGCGGAAGGTCTGAAGACGCTCCACCCCCATGGCTCCCCATGGCTCCCAATCAGCAGGAGCAAAGTTGACAGCTTCATTAAAGTTGAAGCCATGATTGAATCCTGCATGGTATGCTTGAGGGAAGGTGAGAACGAACTGGCCTGCGCGCTGATCCACGGCGTAGCATTTCACACCGGCACTGCGCAATTTGTCCGGTGGCATTAGGGTGACAAGTTGAAACAACAGATCAGGCTGTCCTTCAAAAAGCTCTGGGACCGCCTCGCGCATTGCATTTTCAAAAGCTTCTGCATCGGCTCCAGGAATCCCGTACCAAGTTTTGGTAGCGCCAAAATGCTGATAGTTGGCCGAATATGCGTAGTGGTCTTCGTTGTGCCAACAGAAAGTTGAAAAGCACATACCCACATAGACCCAAGGAACAGTCATGCCGGATATATCAGACTTGATGTGTCGGAAAAGAGAGTCACCGTAAAAAGGAAGAACGTTCAAGTTCCAGGGGTCAGATGAGTAGGGGTCCAATGGATTGCGCTCGATGGTGGGGAACCCACTGCCATGGGTAGTCGAATGAATATCAGCACCGTACTCAACCTCGACAGTCTCATGAAGATCAACAACCAGTTTCCAGAACTCTGCCTCGACATCATCCTCGGTCTCACGACGATGGGTATTGAGCACCGGATCAAAAGGCATCTTAGCAGCAAAGTAGCGTTTCTTGAAGTCGTTGGCTTTCTCTTGGAACTGCTTCAATGAGTAGACGCCACCGTCTTCGAACCCGAACTCGCCCGTGCCAACTAAACATTTTGGACAATGCCAATCGTGCCCCGAAGGAGCAGTAGTGGATGGGTCTAGACAAGCAGTATGATAGCCGAGCTCGCAACTATCGCATACCAAGATGGTAGATGGATTATCAGTTTTCCGGCACGTTTCGCATTTCTGACTCATCTTAGTATCCTTAAGCGTTGCTTCGCTGCTACAAAACGATGAGCTTACCTCGCCAGTCCTCTGCGCACCATCTTTGCGTGCTTTAGGAGGGACCGGGCGGAGAAGAGACATGTGTGAGCCAGCCACAGTTGGGACATCTGCATAGAAGTCATGGGTTAGAGCGAAGAATCTAGCATATTTAGACGGACTAGCATGGAAAATGTAACAATACCTTTTCTCAAACGCTTGCTGCGCCGCCCATTAGCTTCCTCGTCATCTATGTCTCCGTTTTCATGATGCCCACTCTCGTGGCTGATGGCGCGTTTCACCTGTTGGCCAGAGTGGCCATTCGGGACGGGGGTAGAATGGGCAGAATGCTCGGTGACTGCCCTAGGCGTAGACGATCCGTTCTCCCCTTCGTGCTTGATCGCCGGACTATTGACAGCAGCAAAGCCAGGGGAAGGGTTCACGGGTGTGAACCCGGCTGATTGGTTCACGGGAGTAAAACCAGTGGGGGCGGGGCGTGTATTGGGCTCGACTGATGGGGTGGGTCGATCAGCGGGTTTTGCCACGGGGGTGCTTGTCATCGGAGGCATACGTATGGATGGAGTCTCGTCTCGGGGCCTCGAAGGGGTGCCGTTTTCCTCCATGAAGGGCTTCTTGGTCATCGGGGATTGACGGGGCGATGGAGTATATGGGCCTCCATGTTCCAGCTCCAGCTGCTGTTGCACGCCAGGCTTGGCTTTCGCAAGATACTCCTCGTACGGTTGGAGGTAACGTTGGTAGGAATTTTTCAGGGAGGTCGATAAAGAGGACATGATCTTGCCGCTGTAACCGAGATCGCGCCCGATTTCTGCCCACTTCTTTGTCTTGCATACCTGCTCGAATCCACCCCGGACCTCGACAGCCTTCTTCAGCTTGTAAAGGTCGAGGGGCCGCTTGTCGACGCTGGGCAGTCGGCTGTAGTTTGTACCGTGTTGCTTGTGGAACATGGCAAGGCCATCGACGTAGTTCATGTTGGCGCGGTTTCCTGCGTCAGACTCTAGGTTAGAACCGCGCTGCGGAGTGGCTCCACCGGCAGCAAAACTCGCTGAACGCGGGGCCATACCTCCTTCAACCGAGTTCAACTCTTGTCGGCGGGTCTTAAAATGGAATCGCTACATCGCATATTCTCGTTAACAATGGGTCCATTTCTCGCTTGGTGTGATCTTTGTGCCTACCTCTGTATCAATTGCGAACGGCGGCTGCCAATTTTCCGGTGGAATGACTCGACAAATGCCATACTTTTTTCCTTCCGGTGCAATCTTCTGCATGTATGCCACGGGATCCTTGAATTCCTCCTCTGTCGGGCGAAAGGTCGGGGCTTCGGGTAAACCATGAGGTCGAACGCGTGTAGACGGCTCGCGCGGGGCATTGGGCTGGCCGCGGCGCTCGACGGTGGAAAGGTCGAGAGGAGCCGACCTGCGGGCACTCAAGGGAACATTGTGAGAATGCGACGGGTGAGTACTGGAAGACCGGGCAGGTTGGTGACCCATCGACTGCGCAGCCATGGGAGCTGGACCGGTAGAGGCCGGAGCCACCATATTTTCCCGGGGGAACTTGGGAGTCAGGAGGGTGACGGGATACCAGCCGGATGCCTTGTCAAAACCGAATGTCAAGTCTACAGGCCACGCGCCAGGCGCATTGGAAGGGCGACGGAGAAGCGCTGAACAAGGGCAACTGGAGATTTGGCAGCGAGTAAGCTTGACAAGGTCAGACTGAGGGGTTAAGCAAATGAGCGAAGATTCAAAAGATGATGAAAAGAGAGGATTGATGGAAAAATCCGAAGTACAATCGAGGAAGTGATAGAAGGAAGGAGCATGGATTTGATAGTGGAGAGGGAATGATTATGTGCAGGAGCGCGGGTATTGGACAGGTCACTCTGGGCGGGCGGCACCTACAAAAGGAACTTCCGGAAGACTTTGATTGGGGGAGGGAATGGAGTTGGAAATTTACTTAGAGTTGGAAGGGGAAATGGTAGCGATTGCGTTACTCAATACCGTCATTTACGGTCTTACCGGGGGTCTTTGCAAGTGGGTCTGCGGCTGGATTCGGCGTTGATTATGGAATTTGTACTGCAGACCTGCTAAGACGGTGCCTGGGGCCCTGTTTCCGATACATCCCTCGTATATCTCGGTTATTGATAGGGAGGATGCTGGTAATTATACCGTCAGCGCCCGCAAACGGATCGTACGTTTCCTTCGAGAAGTTTTACCGAGAACATTTGGATGTTTTATCTTGGAGGTTCTCTGCTTTGCACCCCCAAGCGTCTTGTGATACATCCGCACTTCGACTGTCCTGATCGCCGATAGCAGAACACCCAACTCTTGTGTAGAGTATGTCAGATTTTTCCATAGACCCTTCAATCCAAGCGGTGCTGCATAGTGCCCAATCATCTTGCGAGCGTTCCAGCTCCCAGAAATTAACACTGGCTACTATACCCTCGGTCCAATGGATCCGACCCAAAGGCCACTTTTTCGTAGAAAGGGACATTGACCACATTTACGGGTAATCAAGGGAGTGACTCTAATGAGTAGGATGGTTCGTTGGCCTCGGAAGTGATTGCACGAACAACAAGTTGCTCTATTATGCAGCACAACTTCCGTCGACGTCCCATCAAGCTCGATCGACCCGATCGGCCGAGCATTGGGGCCAGACCGGGTCGGGCGCACTCCAACGTCCCATAAAGATAAGGCCAGATGTGCAAGCTAAATGCCTCTTTTGTCGTGTGATGGGACCATCCGCTCTTTAAGGAGCCCGCCTATTTTCTTTCCTTGCGCGCTTTCCTCCGTTTACTGCGTACTTGATAACCTATCAGCTGGGCTTTAGCGTCATGTGATGCCGTGTTTACGCCACAGACCCACGTCAAAACAGCATCCCTTCCAATATATCAGTAAAGCCAGAATCACAACAAGGCCCTTGCCCCATGAACGCTCCAGGCGAACCGAAGCCTATCCCGGCTTACTACGCCTGTTATCTCCTGCGGTCGACCGTACGACACGCCTCGCTCTATATTGGATCCACGCCAAACCCAATCAGACGACTTGCGCAGCACAATGGAGACGCCAAAGGTGGGGCCAAACGCACATCCCGCGACAAATTGCGACCTTGGGAAATGGTTCTTGTCGTCGAGGGTTTCATGAGCCGAGTGGGGGCTCTCCAATTTGAGTACGTGAAACCGGTCTTGCAATTGGAAAAGTGAGAGAGACACAGTTCCTAACTCTCTCTTGGTTAGATGGGCTTGGCAGCACTCTGACAGATCGAGGCATACCAACCCTGGCAATGACGCGAATGGTGATGATGACTCGGGCCTCGCCAAACCTGGAATTAAATCGCGCTCTTCACGTGCCAGGAGATCTTTGACAGCCCATCTAGAGGATTTACATACGCTCCTACGGTCAACCTACTTTTCCAATTGGCAACTGCGGATACGATTCTTCTGCGCAGATGTATACCGTGTCTGGAAGATCTGGAATGAGCGCGTAGATGCGCGTCTCCCTGATAGCACGATTATTCTGGATGGAGATTGTCCCGTACAGCAAGGAGACTGTCGGAGGGTAGGTAATATCCAAAGCTTGTCAACGGACTATACACCCCTCGAAAGCTACCTCGAGAAGTCAATGTTTCTTCTACAAGACGCTGAAGACCTACGATGCCAAATATGCAAGTCGGCAGTGACACCTGATGTAGAGCAAATAGTCGTATGTCCAAAGCCATCTTGCCGCAGCGCAAATCATCTATTGTGCCTATCTGCGCAATTCCTTACCGACCTCGATGATCCCCAAGCCTTAATTCCAACGCATGGCACCTGTCCGACATGCAAAGAAGCCGTCCAATGGCCTACCATGATGCAGGAACTCAGCCTGCGCAACAGGGCTGAGAAAGAAGCTCGAACAATACTGCATCGGAAAGAGAAGCGTGAGCGAAAAGAAGCAGCGCAACCTCCGCCTGCAGAAAGCAGGAAGAAAACAAGCGCCCGAGAACCATCTATCGAACCCGCGTCCATACTGATCGGCAGCGACCCTGCATTGGAGGACGACTGGTGCGATCGGGAGGATTTGCAATCGGATACGGAACATGGCGTTCAACGAACTAAAGCGTCGGAGCCATGCTCGAAAATGGAAATAGTCATCGAAGACAGCGATTGGGACGATGCCGAACTTATCGAATGATGCGATGAGGATATTCCAGACATAACCTACGACCGGTCAACGTTAGTTGGCAAGCCCTTCCATCGCCCTTAACGGACCAATTGCGTCCAGCCGATCGAAGCAAGCTGTCACCGCAGCCTGCATATCTCGGGATACCTCCTCCAGTGATCTCCCGGCGTCAATAACCTCAACATCTTCTTGGCGGTCGAACAGTGAGCGGAAAAGATCGCGCACGCGAGTCTGCATTGCTTCATTTTCATATCGCTCCGCACCGAAGCCCCCCCGCTTGGCAGTTTCCTCGGCCGAGATGCTAAGGAAGAGACAGATATCTGGACGAGGAAGCCCGATCTCTGGCTGCCATGCCCACTCGAGGGAAAGCGTGGGGTTGGCCTTGGCGGCAGAGTACACAGCCCCGGAATAAGAGTAGCGGTCCACTATGACAGTGATGCCGCTCGCGATATCCACTTCAATGCTCTTCGCGATCTCCCAGCGATTGGCTGAGAACAGGAGGTGGATGGAGTGGTCGTCTTGGTTGGCCGAGCCGCGTAAATAGCTATCTATGAGCTTTCCGATAGGCGTTGACCTGTCTGGACGAGTATTAGAAGCATGGCAAAGAACTTTCATAGGATGCTCTCATACCTGGGAAACGAATGTACTTCACAGCTCTTCCATGTTCTCTAAGAAAGCTTTGTAGGAGCTCACACTGGCTCGACTTGCCCGCGCGGTCGAGTCCCTCCACGACAATGAGTGCGCCGCGTCGCGTCAACGAGTGTGTTGGCTGGCTGGCCATGCTGAGCTGGTTGTAAAAGGAAGTCTGGCAATCTCCAATTCCAAGCTAATCACTAAACCAATACCAATGGTGTGTGGCCTTTCGAACTCCAATGATTTCTGTCCCGTGGCTAGTTAATCCTTGGTGGTTTGAGGTTGCTCTTATGTGCAGCTCCAACGCCCCACCGAAAACACGCTAACCCGATAAGGAAATTTCCATTCTTCTCCATGTCCAGCATGTAATAAGCTGAGGTGGAATCGGCCTTGCGGCTTTTTCTTTCTAGGTTCTTTACTCTTTTTTGTATTCCATATATTTATGAACCTTGAGCTTAAGGCGTTCATGTGTAGTACGTTGGCCGCCAATGAGATGACAATTTTGGAACATGCTAAGAAAGTACAACATGCAGTATCTCAATTCAAGATTGGTTGCAAATCATGCTATTACCTACAGATCAACAACCTAACGTTGTATTTGAACTAAATTTGGAGTCCTCTTCATAAGCCACTGGCATGAAAGGGAAATCAATTTGATCTCGTTAGACATTTCCTTTGGATGAGATGATACCCTTCCAAATTCTGTGCCTATATTGAAAAAGCTCCAATCTGCTCTCTTGCTTGCGCCATGAAAGATACACTGCTAGAGTGAACATCACAGGAGCGCAGACTCGGACTATTAGTCCCACAGTAACTGAGTTTCCGACCAAGGATTGCGGAGCATATGTCCTGTTTTATGTTATGAGAAGAATCCGAGCGTTGAATGCATCCTTATTTCTTATACCAGCGGACTATAATTATATATAATAATACTAAGGACCACTCGTGGACAGAGGGGGTCAGCTTACACAATTGAATTTTTAGAACCAAGGATAATTGTTCACTCTAAGCTATCATGCGCACAAGCTTCATTGACCATAATCTATAAGGAATCGTGAGAGGTCGACAATTGATTGAATAATAGTATGGCTTACCAGAGTCACTAACCTTGACCCTTGGGCGAATGTGTCAGAGATAAGTCAGTGGATCCTTCGGTTCCTCGATCGTTTTGACTTACCCACTAAGGTAGTCAGAACTTCATTTCAACCCGAACGGAATCTCGTCCAAGGCTTCTAGCTACATAGCTGCAAAGCAACAAACCAATACCAAAGAATGGGCGATAGGGTTTCTCTGTTAAACGCGTCGCTGGCCCAGCCGTAGAGAAAGGCTGCGAACAATAGTGATCGGCATTTATGACAGCAGAGTAGGCAGTTATCTCAGATATCGTATACCTTCATCTTCCAGTATCTCGTGTGTCAATAAATAAGAAGGGTAGATACTTATTAAGACTTTTGAACCATAGATTCATTTACTATTCGACATTCTCGCTGCATATGGAGAACCTTTGATCTGATATACGCAGTCAATTCATATGTTCAAGAAGAGGACTCATGTATAGTACTCAGAATACACCCAGAAGTGCCGCACTCGTTTGATATCCTTGATTGTAACTAGTTCTCCCAGATCTCAGCCGCTACTCTCCATGCACTTCAGGCCTAGAGTTGATGTTTTTGTAGTAGCTCGCGCAGTAAATTCTTAGAGATGCCGTAAATAGAGAGCATTGAAAGGTGACTCTGAGAAGGGATCTTGAGCTCTGCAATTCGAGTAGCATTGTAGTCTCTTTTATAGACAACGGTCGCCTGTTTGGCAGAATCCATCGATCTACTTAGATCGAGGAGACGCTAAGCTGGTCCAGGCCCTCGGCAGGCGGGCGCTAAACTCAACACAGGCGGTTCCCAAAAAAATGCGGCACTCTGGTAAATACGAATTGTCTCACGCGGCGATAATACCGGGGAAACTCAACTCGCTCCATTGAACATGCAATGACCACCATGGACCCCGCGACATCCAATGCCCCGGAGATGACCTTCACTGTGCTGGGGTCCTCAGCACCCGTACTAGCTCCTCGGGTAGGCAGACTGGCAATCAGCGGTCGCAAAGCGTTCTCGACGCCGCATTACATTCCAGCAACGTCGCGGGCGCCGTGCCACACATCGCGCACGATGTAGTGCGAAAACACACTGCGATCAACGGGCTATATATTGGCTTGGAAGACTGTATGTGCTAACAACAAGGATCTTCGCCGGAATGCCTTCCTTTCGTTCCTTAGCGCAGTATCGTGACGCTGAATGCTGACACGCGACTTGTCATTTTTGCTTTATAGTCATCGAGAAAAAAACACCCTGCCCCGGTCTATAAAATCCCAGTCGCGCCTGGAGAATCGCCTCTAAGGAAATTTATATGTGCTCCTTCAGATATGCCTCTCATTCTTGGCCCGCGGCGAGTCCCTCCCATCGCGTGCCCGGCCGCGAATACCGAGACTTCGATTGCTATCCTGACCTCCGTTGGATTCGGCCAGTTGACAGGAACGCATTATATTGAGGCAGCCCGGGCGCTCAAGCCCGATATCGTAATCGGCCTAGCAGACCTGATAATCGGCCGACCGCCAGGTGTCAAGAGGCGGTCGAAAATGGTAGACCGCACGCATGCGTATACACAGGATACCTTGGAACGGCTATACGGCGATTCGCTGGCGGAGTCAGAGAAAGCGAGTGCGTTGTTCTTTGCACCTATCCTTCCACTGGATAATACCCAGCAGAGCCTGTACTTGGAAGACTTAGAGGGCGAATTCCGGCATCGACTGTTCGGCCTTGCGCTCTACGAATCAGCCTCCTTGAGCTTAGTCCCGGAGGGTCTGGGCAGCTTACCGCGTCTGCTCCTAAGTGAACCTTCTAGTCCCCAGGACCTGCTGCGCGAGATATCCCTCGGCGCCGATCTGCTAGCTGCTCCGTTTGTGGACGCCGCCTCGGATTCTGGCATTGCGCTTGATTTCTCTTTCCCCGCGCCCAGCTCGGCACAGCACAATGCAGCGCAGCCGCTTCATCTTGGATTTGATTTATGGTCTTCTGTGCATACCATAGATACATCGCCGCTGCGCGAGGGCTGTGCATGCTATGCGTGCAAGCACCACCACCGCGCATACTTCCACCATCTTTTGTCTGCTAAGGAGATGTCTGCGTGGGCCCTTCTCCAAATCCATAATCACCATATCATCGACTTGTTCTTCGCTGGCGTAAGAGATAGTATCCAGCGCGGCTCTTTCGAGGAGGATGTTGAGATTTTCAACCGTGCCTACGCCTCCAAGATCCCTGATCGGACTGGCCAGGGCCCTAGGTATGTCATTCTTAAACGCAAATCTTAGAAGAGGCTACAAAGGGTTTTAAGCATGAGATCGCTAACAATATGGCAGGCTGCGTGGCTACCAGCTCCCTGCGTCAGCAGCTCACCAGCCTCCGCGCAACCCAAAGGCATACGGTCGTCTTGACGATGTTGTTCAAAAGCTCGCGGAATCTGAATCCTCTGTTGCGACGCCCGACACCGATTCAGAAGGGCTTGAGAAGCATGGTTTCGCCGAAAAGGCATGATTCGATCTATTTCCACACGACGATACAAAACGACAGATCTGCCACTAGCCTGAGAATCTAGAGAGCCGGCGTCATATTTGCTTTTTTTGGAGCATATAGATATGAGAATACGAAGAATGAACCACTTCACCCAATTGGGCTAATACGAAAATGAATCATACGGAAATGAAGGGAAATTGCTATCCCGCGAAGTAAATACGGTCGTATATATACAGGATGCCGATCACGCATCGATCCTTTGTTTTTTGATATCCGAAGCCATGCTCGTTGTCGTTACGGTGGGGATGAAAAAGATAAAGAGCAATGACGAAAGAAAAGCTTCGTTCAGGGTATCGACCTATTGCGGCAGGTGAATGATCTACTCCGTCTCTCCCGCAAGCACACGCCACATCCACTTGACCTCGTCCTCCTCTTCTTTGGAGCCAGGCTCGGTCCCAGCTCCGAACTGCTGACCGACAACACAAACAAGCCACGAGTCCTTCTTGGCAGACTCCAGGAAGGTCGAGGTTGCCGACCCGCGGGGGTAAATGCGGCACCATTCTTCCCAAATACGGAATGCCTCCTCGCCCCAGGCGCGGAAGCTGACCTCCTCAATGATCGTGGGGGTGACGATTTCCTTCCCGCGGAAGACACCCCAGGTCACAGCATTAGCACTTTCGGGGTTGGCGACAAGTTCGTCGGTTCCAGCATTCGCAGCGGCGGCGGGAGAAGAGGACTGGTAATCTCCCTTCTCATTTGTAGCGAACCAAGTCAGCTTCTCGTGGCCGTGTTTAGCGAAGACTGGCTTCAAAATAGTCTCAAAGTCCTTGCTTGGGCAAAGGAATTCCACGAATGGCTTTTGGAACACAAATCCTTGACGAGGGGACCCCAGCCGAAGATCTTGTCGTCGCTACGCACGCCATTGACAGCCGGTTGCGAGGCCAGAGTCCACCAGCCACGGCCATCGATAAGTTTCAACAGCTCGGGGCGAATGACTTCAGTTTCCGGGTTCAAACCACCGCCTTCTTCAGCACCGCCCTCGGACCAGGGGACCATGTAGAGTTCTCCGGATACATGGCGTCTAAAAATTGTGTTGACGTCTTTGTGTTCGACTGGGTGGCCCCACAGCCGGCGTGCAACTGCTGATGTGACATGCAATGAGGGGCCGTAACCATCAATTTCACCGAAGGCCGGAGAGCGCGCATCACCCCAACGTCCGTTAGGGAAGTCATCCCATGTAGCCTCTCGACCAAGCGAGCCTAAACCTTCGGAGATGAGAAGGGTTTGGCTTCGGTTGGGTTGCGAGGCAGGCAGACCCGCATTTTCTGCGAGAGCTTCATGTGTAGAGCTCTGTGAGGATCCTGGTGCTGGCGCGAAGAGCTTGTCCACGATGACTCTGTTGTGAGGCTGTGAAGCAAGGGAGGAGCGGCGTTGTTGGGTCCGCGAGGGAACGTCATCCAGGGAAACCGTTGCATCAACCTCGTCAACTGCAGAATCATCCTCTCCAATGGAGGGAATCAATTTACAACGCTCAAGAATGAATGAGACGGTCTTCTCCAAGTTCAGGGTGTAGAAGTGGAAACCTCTGGGGCCTGGAGCCTTGAGCTCCTTGATTCCGCTCACGATATCACTCACGACATCCACACCGGCCTTCTTGATAGCGTCGTCATCGTTCTTTAACTGCTCCATGCGCTTGGCGATGGGATCGGGAATCTTCACATGACTGAGCTTGGTGACTCGGGTGAGAATCTTGTAGCTGTGAATCGGCATCAAGCCAGGAATAATAGGAATGGTCTTGAACGCGCCAGACTCGTGGTTGCGCAGTAGGGTCTCAAACTTTCTGTATGCCTCCAGGTCGTACGTAAGCTGTGTCATAATGAAGTCGGCCCCAGCAACTGTCTTCTCAACCAAGTATGGTATATCTCGGAGAGGATCCTGAGTATCCTGGAAAGCGTCGGCAGGGTGACCCTCGGGATATGCCGCCACACCAATACAGAAGTAATCGCCATGCTGCTTGCGAATGTACTTGACTAGGTCCACAGCAAATGTGAAATCCTTGTTGCTATCATCGTCACCGTGCATGTTGTATTCCTCGCTGCGAGGTGGGTCGCCACGGAGGGCCAGAATATTCCGGATGCCCAAGACTTTAGCCTCCTCGAGGGCCATGTCGACCAAAGCTCGGCTCATATTAGTGCATGTCAAATGCAGTACCGTTGTCAACTGCAGTTGTCGCTGACAGACCTCAGCGAGCTCGAGAGAACGAGCCGCAGTGCTCCCGCCTGCACCCCAAGTGACCGTGACGAAGAGCGGGCGCAGTGCCTGAGCCATACGCTCTAGACGCGCAGACAGGTTCGCAAAACCCTACACAAAGAGGCTTGTCAGTATATACAACCCCTTCAGCCAAGTCGTCTGCGGGGTCACCCCACCATCCGGGTCTTTGGAGGAAAGAACTCCAGGGAGAGTAATTGGCATCAGGCGGCAAAGCCGCGATCTTCTCGGTGATCTTCTTCGCCATCTCGACGTGCTTGTACCAGGCAATGGGAGGTGGCAAGGGAAAGGAAAGATGCGGAATTCCTGGAAGTGGACATGGATTTGATTTCATATTTCTGCCGCACGCGGATGATTCGTCATTGCTCCCCGACTCCGCGGGGCCGATCTACAAAGGGTTCGGGTACCACAATACAATCCACCTCCTATTGACGCTCCAGCTCCTCCGCTTGGACCCATTTACAACAGAGTAAGCTTGGAATCACAGCGGTCGCCCGCATTGGGGCCACTTGATCAGCCTGGACCGGATGACTCAGCCGCATATGCTGCCCGTCGAGACCCGCCTGAGTCGAAATTCGTCGGCGCGGAGTTGGTGATGCGGTTCCCTTTGCCCAAGCTGGTCATCTATTCCTCATCATTGCTCCGCATCAGCCCCGGGTTATCCCCGTGATTTCTACTTCCCATACTTTGCAGCATGGCATTCCCGCGGCCAACGGCAACAAGTTTGCTTGGCCGACTCCGAGTCCAGCTCGACCAGAAGCTCCCGTCGCGAAGGGCACTGTCAACGCGATCGCGCCCCTCGCCAGTGCCAACCCCTAAGGACACACGATCCCAATTCCGCCGGCTCAATGATCGACTTCCTCGATTCCTCCAGAAATATACTACCCCATTGCTGGGCGCCCCAGTGGCTCACATCACTTCATTTTTGATTCTTCACGAGGTCACTGCCATACTGCCGCTCTTTGGACTTGTCGCCGCTTTTCACTATGGCAATTGGATGCCGGATCTCTCATCTGGGACTGGGGAGGAGAATGTTTTTTGACGAAGGAGCTGCACGGATGGGGCGATGGCTGAGGCGGAAGGGCTGGGTTGAAGCAGCTGATGTCGACATGGTTGCTGACCATGAACTCACCGCCAAAGACCAGCCTGGGAAAGAGCGAGCTGGGGTGCGCTTGGTTCTAGAGTTTGCGACGGCATATGCGATTACGAAGGCACTACTGCCGCTCCGTGTAGCTGCAAGCGTGTGGGCCACGCCATGGTTTGCCAGGGCCATCGTCGTCCCAATAAGCAGGACAGCTAGACGACTGGTTGGCAAAGACTGATCGAGCAGTACGATATCAAAGTATACATCTAGTTCATACTGTGGGCAGCCATAAAGGTATGACTTTGTATGTAGTGTTTGAATTTTCCCCAGGCTGTTCAAAGCCAGCCTCAACTATCGCATTTAACAGCTACCAGCTATGGGGCCGGCCTTGTCTAGCCGAGGTATCTAAGTCATTCGAGTGAGCGAGTAATTTACTCGTAGACCCAAGCGGCCTGGGCGGAGGTCCACTTGAGGATCTCGGAAGGAGTGAACCAGAGAGCAATCTCCTTCTTGGCGCTCTCGACGCTGTCGGAGCCGTGGCAGACGTTGCGGCCGACATCGATGGCGAAGTCACCGCGGATGGTGCCAGGAGCGGAGGCCAGGGGGGTTGGTAGCACCGAGGATGGTACGGCCAGTCTTGACGACGTCCTTACCCTCCCAGACCATGGCGCAGATGGGGCCACTCAGCATGTCTTTGAAAAATTGGTTAGCTGAATGGAATCAAGAGCTAAGGAAAGGCCCGGTTACATACAGGAGACAAGACCCTTGAAGAAGGGCTTGCTGGAGAGGTCGGAGTAGTGGGTCTCCAGGTGCTCCTTGCTAGGGGAGGTGAGCTTCATGGCAACGAGCTTGAAGCCACGGTTCTCGAAGCGGGAGATGATAGGGCCAATGAGTCCACGCTGGCAGTCGTTGTTAGCTACTCAAGCTCAATCGACCGCAGGATAGAGGATTGATATTCGAATCAACCTCGGAAAGAGCATTTGCATACCTGGACGCCATCGGGCTTGATGGCAATGAAACTGAAAATTGTTAGCTTCACCGCCAGATCAAGAGGTAGCCCAGGAGCGTAAGAGGGTTTGGGGAGAGCCCCGTCGCATTGAGAATAGCCAAGGAAATATAAGGGCAGCGGTAACTTACGTCTGCTCGTCGGCCATTTTTGGTGGTAGGATTGGGATTGGAGGATCAGCAAGGGATGAGAAGCAAGATGGAGAAAAAAGGAAGGGGGAGAATAAATACCCTGTGAGCCTTTTTCTGCCCGCGATTGGTGGGGCACAGAGGGGTTTCAGACACCGGCATGCCTCGCACTGTGGCCTCGCGGCCTTATCCGCCATCTTTCTGCCTTGCTGCCTTGGGATCGTCCGATCCACCGGGGAGTGAGATGTGCATTCTGCCAATCCGTTGTTACTCAAAGGCAACCTCATGCCTTGTAGATCTCACTTTCACAGATAGAACCTGAGTACTCAATATTTCTGCATCCTAATTGTGTAGCTGGCTCCTATACTAGAGTGTTACCCCGTGTAAGAGTGATCTTATCTGATGTCTGTGCAGCTGTCACCGCCTTGGAGGTGTCAAAGCAAGTTGATTATCAGTGCCTCAGGTGTCGTACCCCAGCTCTCCACCGACAGGCCAGGTTGGAGCTTCCCGTAACCCTGATCACCAAGTACCTGCGGATGCAGCTCTCCATCCGCCCCAACCAGTATCTTTGCACAGAGGTTCAGGGTCTCAGATTGCATTGGGATCTTAAACAGGCCTCATGATGGCCTCGATTCGGCCTGCGTCCCGTTGGACGCTATTGTTGTCTTTGGTGGTCCTTATCAGTTGCATTGTTGTTCCCGGATGTGAGGTCAACACCCCAATGACAATGTACGCCCGATTCTAACTCCCCGCCAACTTCCAGTGACTGTCAAACACGAAAATTTCAAGACATGTTCCCAATCAGGATTCTGTACCCGTAACAGAGCTCTTGCAGACGACGCCTCCGCCAAGGGCGCATCTTGGACCTCGCCTTATGAAGTCGATCCAACGACTGTCAAGTTCGACAACGGCCAATTGGTCGCGAATTTGATAAAAACAACGAATAATGGAGAGAAGGTCCAATTACCGGTTACTGTTTCGTTTCTCGACTCGGGCGCCGCTCGCATTGTTGTGAACGAAGAAAGACGTCTGAACGGAGAAATCGAAATCCGCCACGGAAGCAAAGCGAACAAGAAGCGCTATGATGAAACTGAAAAATGGGTTATTTCAGGTGGCTTGGATGTGAGCAAGTCGGCTGCAATCAACCCTGAAACTGAGACCGGATTCACAAAAGTGCTTTACGGGCCCAACCACCAATTCCAGGCCATTATTCGACATGCACCATTCGAGGTCGAATTCCAAAGAGATGGACAAACACACATTCAACTCAACCATCAAGGTCTTCTGAACGTGGAACACTGGCGCCCCAAGGCTGAAGAAGGTACAGGTGAAGACGAGGGCACCTGGTGGGAGGAAAGCTTCGGTGGAAACACTGATAGCAAGCCCCGTGGCCCTGAGAGTGTCGGCCTCGATATCACATTCCCAGGTTATAAACACGTTTTTGGTATTCCTGAGCACGCGGATTCGCTTTCGCTGCGAGAAACTCGTGGCGGCGAGGGTAATCATAATGAGCCGTACCGTTTGTACAACGCGGATGTCTTCGAGTATGAGCTTGATAGCCCTATGACTTTGTATGGCTCCATTCCGTTCATGCAGGCCCACCGAAAGAACTCTAGCGTTGGAGTATTCTGGCTCAACGCTGCAGAGACCTGGGTGGATATTGTCAAGAAGTCTGCTTCTTCGAACCCGCTCTCCTTGAGTGCCAACTCAAAAATCAATACCCAAACTCATTGGTTCTCTGAATCCGGTCAGCTGGACCTCTTCGTCTTCCTTGGACCCACTCCTCAAGACCTGAGCAAGACTTACGGCCAACTTACGGGGTTTACCCAGCTGCCCCAGCATTTTGCCATCGCTTATCACCAGTGCCGCTGGAACTACGTCACTGATGAGGATGTGAAGGATGTCGATTCCAAATTTGACAAGTACCAGATTCCCTACGATACAATCTGGCTTGACTTGGAATACACTGATGATCGCAAATATTTTACCTGGGATCCGCTGACCTTCCCAAACCCTAAGGGAATGCAGGAGAAGCTTGACGAGTCCGAGCGTAAGTTGGCTGTCCTTATCGATCCTCACATCAAGAACAAGGATGGATTCTATGTGTCTGAAGAGCTCAGGAGCAAAAACCTGGCTGTTCTCGACAAGGACGGCGATATGTATGATGGTTGGTGCTGGCCTGGCTCATCAAATTGGGTGGATTGCTTTAATCCCGCCGCATTGCCATGGTGGAAGAGCTTGCACACGTATGACAGATTCCAGGGCTCTATGCACAACCTCTTCCTTTGGAATGACATGAGCGAACCTTCTGTTTTCAATGGCCCAGAAACTACCATGCCGAAGGATAATCTGCACTACGGCAACTGGGAGCATCGCGATGTGCACAATATCAACGGCCTCACCCTATTGCACGCTAGCTACGAGGCACTCCTGGAGCGCAAAAAGGGTGAAATCCGCCGGCCGTTCATCCTGACCCGCTCCTACTATGCCGGAGCTCAGCGTTTTGCTGCTACTTGGACTGGTGACAACCAAGCGACTTGGGAGCACTTGGGCATTTCCATTCCCATGGTCTTGACTAACGGCATTGCCGGTTACCCGTTCATTGGCGCCGATGTTGGTGGCTTCTTCCATAACCCCGACAAGGAACTTCTGTCCAGATGGTACCAGGCTGGTATCTGGTATCCCTTCTTCCGCGCCCATGCTCACATCGACACTCGTCGCCGTGAGCCTTATCTCATCAGCGAGCCCCATCGCACGATTATCGCGCAAGCTATTCGTCTAAGATACCAGCTCCTCCCAGCTTGGTATACCGCTTTCCACGAGTCCTCCAAAACCGGACTTCCGGTTGTGCGCCCTCAATACTATGCTTTCCCCGACGATGAGCAAGGCTTCACGATTGACGACCAGCTGTATCTGGGTGACACAGGTCTCCTCGCTAAGCCTGTCGTGACCAAAGACACCTTCTCCACCGAGATCTATCTTGCCGATGATGAGAAGTACTATGACTACTTCGATTTCACCATTTACCAGGGCGCTGGCAAGAGGCATACTGTCCCAGCCCCTGAAGATAAGGTGCCGCTTTTGGCTCGCGCCGGTCACATTGTTCCTCGTCGAGACCGCCCTCGCCGTAGCAGTGCTCTGATGCGATGGGACCCCTACACTCTCCTCATCACTCTCAACAAGAATGGCGAGGCAGATGGCTCTTTGTACTTTGATGACGGCGAGACCTTTGACTATGAGAAGGGAGCCTACATCCATCGCCGGTTCCAGTTCCGCGGTGGGGTCCTTACGTCGGAAGACCTTGGAGTCAAGGGACCCAAGACGGCCGAGTACCTAAAGACACTAGCCGATGTTACCGTTGAACGAGTGATCATCGTGGACCCTCCCAAGGAATGGAAGAATAAGAAGACCGTGACGGTGATCGAGGACGGAGCGAAGACTGGATCTACAGTCGCGTTGGATTACTTTGAGCAGCAGGACGGCAAGGCCGACTATGCTGTTGTGAAGAAACCGAACGTGGGCATTGGAAAGTCCTGGCGGATAGAGTTCTAAGGCGTGACATGTCGCTCTTTAAATATGACATACATGTAGAAAATCCCATTTTGATGTAGTGCCAACCAATTCATCGATTTTCGCAAGCATCTTCTCTTCACTCACGGGAATCCCACGGTAAACCTCGCAGCTTGTGGTAAGCATACGACACGTAGTGCCCATCCATGGCTCGTACGGCATTCGTCGCGGGGTATAATGGTATTGGAAACGCCGATATGCCGGGCGCTTGCTCTCTCTCTCTCTCTCTTCACACTCTCCATTCTCCTAGCTAACCAGTCCTATTTCTCTCGTCAAAAGGGGGCCCTGCGACCAGGCCAATCACCGAAGGTATCGGAGATATCGCGAAAGTGCGCACACTTGCGGGTCAAGTCCAGAATGACGCGGAACAGGACACCCTCAACTTCGTGTTTGTCATAAGCCGGTCCACGGGGTATAGAATTATTCGTCTTGTTGAATATCGTGGACAGCCACGCATTCCTCCTCCCCGTCCCCGCCGTGCGCGGTCAAGGTCAAGAGCCCGCGGGAGTCGATGCCCCATTCCACGCCATTGTTGTGTATTAATTCGTCCTCCGGAGTGCCCGTCTCGTAGAATTTATCTTGGCGGTCGACTTGACCGAAGAAGTCGGAGCACTGCTTCTTGAAAAACTCCAAGGCCGCAGCATTCGCCTCGGCCAATGTGTCGTAGTTGCCAATAATCTTGCGCTCTTCCGGAGTATCGTGGATGCTATTGAACGAATTGTAAAGCGCAACGAATTTGTATTGGCACGGTAGTTCGTCTGCGGGCGGGCTGTGCACCGCCGCCGCCACTCGATCCAGCATTGGTTGCGGGTATTTCGCGTCCGGCATTGTGTAGTGAGGATGAAGAGTCAAGACGCTTGGGGAGGATCAAGTGGTCCGAGGGCTAGGAGACGTGGAGGAGGCGGTTCAGGGGGTGGGAGGTTTAATATGGGGGAGAAGGGAGAAAAAATAATTTAATCAAACGTGACGGGGGGAAATTGATCTACTTCATCAGGCACTAATTATAGGAGATTTATACCCCCACCTACCCTTTTCGTTCAACAACTTCTCGAAGCAACAGGGTTCACTTATCATTCTATGCGCGGCGGGATTTACTGGCATGGCTCAGAAGTGCTCTGATTCGCAGGGCGTGATTTGAAGGCTGAATACGAGCGCGGCGTGAGCACGGCACGAGCCTTGCGCTCGATGTGCGCTTCTACCATCTACAGTCGATTTCTTACCTTGTTTACAACAGCCAAACAAACCGCTTCAGGATTAATTGAAAGCATTACGGGTGTTCGAATCTGACAGCATCAGACAGACGAGATATAGGGCTTGGAATGAGCTTGCCTACCCTCCAGCACTGCGCCCGCACGATAAGCCCCTGAAACGACCGAATTCGCCATAAAAACAGAAACAGCATGGCTTGTGGCTGATTGACGCGCAATGCGATCTCTTTCACGTGTACATACAATTTACTATTCGGTTTACAAGCAGCCACGAGAGCCCTGCATGTCGCTGGATTTGCTTATCTCCATTCTTGGCATTGCTTTTGCCTTTGATGTCTCAGCCTGTAACCTCGATCCAGATCACGATCACGATATGATCACTGGGAATGCAGGCATCTATTTGCCATTTGATCTGGTTCTACTCAAGCTGGCATACCACAAAACGTGCTAGTGATCTCATATCAGCATCGCACAGTGTCCACGAGTCGTTATGCGGCTGATCGGACCAAGGTGGCGGGTCGGGGCCTGGCCCCTTGACTATCGGGATTAATCGTACGGGGCATGAAGGTTTGCGTACGCCGATCAGTCTTACTTGGCGTCTTTGCCACTGGACACTTCGGGCTAAAGGCTGCATTATGACCCTCGGGTTGGCCAATCCCGTTTCTTTACGAGGCGTTGAAAGTATTGCGATTCGCTGCCGGGCTAACTAGCAGCGTCTGGAGGCCAAATGTCGTTGGAGCTACAGGAGGAGAGGTCTGTAATGTACCATATGGAGAGGGAAAATATGTATCTCTGATTGTTCTAAAATGACAGGCACTGACTAGTTATTCATACAGTGGGTTCCTTATAACTATAAGAAAAGTGATGACTATTTACCGAGAAGTGAAGGATTGGTAATACAGTGGTAATAGCATTGCATGTTCTGACCCCCACCCAAAGGCTGTGTGGTTCGATAGGTTGAACTAGCAGGTCCGAAGTATAATCTATATTTAACAGGTCACATAACCTTATCAATTTAGGATTAAACCATGCTTGCTTTGTACGGCTCTATGAGATACTAAATTTTGTCACGGGTTCCAGCTAGAGGGTGCACTATATAAGGCGTGCGTCCATACCCGCACTTCATGTGTGGATATGGTGGTCTTTTGGTTGATGGAACATCAGCCCAGGGATGATACTTCACGCATACCTGAGATGCCCACATCTCAAGCAATTTAAAATCGTCCAATGTAATACTGATCGGACTTTCAAGTTGTAAGCCACCAACAGTCGGAGTGATGTATCAGGCTTACCTTGATAGAGCGGGGTACTCGCATGTTATATGTAAAAGAAGCATCTTTATGATCCAAACTCTTTCATTGACGTGACACTCCAGAGTCAGGGTTTCCACTGCATAGTCGATTCTATAGCAGGCCATATCTTCTCGAAGCATCGGCCTTCTGTGCACGTTGATCGACGGCGTCATAAATCCCATTCCTTGTTCAGGGTCCCCGAGCCTTCGTCTCATGTCTTAGGTAAGCCCAATCACAGGAACCTTGGAACCTTGGGACATTCTTTTATCTGCAGGCTGTACTCACTGAAAGTATCTATAGAACTATAACGAGGGCGGGGTGGCTTGCGTTATCCGAGATGGGTGACCGGTCTTCATCCCAACAAGACCGCAATAGAGGAGGCGGTGTATGGAGTCAAAGGGGATGTCAAAACTCTTCAACAAATCAGCTCCTCGGGACAAGCTGCCCGAAAGAAGAGACAGGAAAATCACACAGAGAGAAATAATGGGCGCCTTAGGTGAGGCAATCCAGGCGCAGTTTTCAACTGAAGGAGCGAAGAGGATTCTAGAAAGAAATAGCCTTCATTGAACATAGCGGGCTTAGTCTGAGTCTTCGAAAGCTTGTCGAAGATTCGAATCGTACTCCTCTCTATCCGCCAATTTGCGACCTGCGATTTTCCCACGTTCTTCTCAAAGAAAAATGGCATAACCACGCCAAACTCCTCGTCGTAGTCCCTGCAAAACAAGGGCTTCATGTGATTGCTGAAAATAGTGAACAAACCGGAAGGACTTGAAAGAGCCATTGCATACCAGAATGCCCCTGTTTCCCATGTTCGGTTCATCACATCTGAGAGACACAACAGCGCAGATCCATCGTGACTATTGCTCAATATATTGCAGCCAAACTCTTTCTCCTCGGCGGCCAGGAGTTCGATAAATTGCCGGCGAATAGCATCGTATTCTGCTGGAACCAACTCATCCACGCCCTTGTCTGTAAGCCAGGATGGAGGCCTTGCCATCTCAATTGGTTGAGTGCAGGCCCATTCCAGATCCACGAGGCATGTTATATGCCATTCTGAGTCAACAAAAATGTTGCTCTGATGGAGATCGGTGAATACAAATACAAACGGACCTCTGCGGAAACTCCGAGTGAAAATCGACTGAAAAATTGTTCGCATCACAGTCAACACGGACAGTTGGTAAGCACAATCTCCAAGGTTATTGACTGCATTCGGTTGATACCGAAAACGGTTGTCATGCATGCCCAGTATATCGACTATGTAGGAGTCAACGGTTGAATAGGTATAGTCACGAGGAGTTTCAGTTGGGATTTTCTCATTCTCCAACTGTTGTATGTCAACCGAAAAGGGCCGGTTCGCCAGATGCAAAAACCCGTCATTGTTGATGATAAATGACCCAATCCTCGGTAAGGGAATTCGACAAAGACTCAAAAAGATTCGGGACAGATCACGCAAAAGATTTGTCCGCAGCTTGACATCATGTTGTCCTTCTTTCCATGTGTTAGAAAGCATTGCTCCTCGTGTGCTGTCAATGAACTCCACCAAAATGTAGCCGGCACCAACCACTCCATCGTCGGAAACCTGGCTTGTATTCTGATAGGGGCAATACTTTGAAGGAACTGGCTTCCCCAGCCACGATAGGATTTGACGGCGTATAAGCTGGAAGAAGCGAGGGAAGAAAGGCAAACATTCTATTTGAGTGTACTAGAGTTAGTTAGTAGGATGCTACAGACGCCAGGTAGACATAGTTTCATACGCTTTCGCCAGAGGAGAAAGCAAAGCCATACAATTGTGGGATTGGCACATCTGCACAGTTCTCTTGGAGCCATGCGTAGGTCCCTGCTTCACATCGAATCTTCTCATCGCCATTTCCAGGCCTGTAGGCCTCACCAACACGGTATGGCAATGGAAATCGAAGAAGAACCCGCTTTCCATTCCAGGTGTCAATGGCTATCGGAACACAGACATTAAAGCTACCATGAAGCCAATCGTCAATGCCCGCAACATGACATTCGGTGGAGGATAGGTTGAGGTGGTGAGCAACAACCTTCTCCATCCAGCCACGTTTGTCAAGGAGGTGAGCAAAGAAACGGCTTTGCTCAGCATGATACCCAAGCTGATGGAGAACATTGAACTCCTCATCCTTGACATCAGAGTAAGTGACCTCCTTCCGAAGAAGGGACCTTTTTTTGACCATGTTGGCTGAAGCGCTGAGTTGGATGCTTATTCCATTGATTAGGGGGAGTACATGGATTGGATCACGTGGGAATGACCTCCGAATTTAATCGATTCCAAGCGATTTTGGCATCCTACCTCGATTTTGGGCGACTTCGACTCATTTGACAAGATGCCTCGCGTGTCTCAACAGGTCTCTGCCCGTTCAAAATCGCTCACTGTTCACGATGCTATAGTTAAACTCCTGGATGTCTCAAACCCTCATTGAACAAAGAGGGGAATTCAAAGCCGTGGAAGGGAACGTGTCACTTTCGAGTATCTCGACAGCTCCACGACTAGAAATTCACGTCAAGTTTCATGGAGATATTATTGGGAGCAGACACTTGACTAGACGGCTCCTTCTCTCATCAATGGATCCTCCGGAGACACGGAACATAATTAGGCGCCAAATTGTCTCAAGTTAATGCCCTGTGGCAGGATCGACGGCCAATGTCGACCTTTATAGGCTAGCAGCTGTGCTTGAGTACCGGGTGCAAGCCGCATCACCAGGGCGGAGGACCAATATTGATTTGCCTCTAGACTCAGACAACGTGTGTGAGGGGAGTCTAGTTAAATAACTAACTAGTTAGAAGGCGCACGGCTAATTATTAATGGAACCAAAAGAAGCGGACCTCTTCCCCTATGGCACTTTCGGCTACAAAGCGATAGTTATGCTCTCCTGTGATTTCCGAGCATCAAAGCAAGTCCTGGGCGACGACAATTACGTGGACCAAATTATTAACTTTCAAGGACAACTCTAGACAGGTGCGTCATTGTGCATAGGTTTTGGAATTCATTTCTTCGTTCGCATTTGATTTGATTTGCTCCGGTTGGACTCTGAGAAACAGAGGGAATTGTGCCCTTAAAAGTTACTTTGATCCACCTTTTTTTGTCGTGTAGATGGTAGATCAGAGCCTGGGAGCGACTATTTAGCCCAGGCTTCCCCTTCGGCTCAAAGTCACTATCCTCAGAGTACGACTTGAACTCAAGGTTGGTCCTAATGAGAGAAGCAGGGGTTTCCGTGGCTGGCATTTTATCTTGTCGCGGACGGTTGATAAGTTTTTCAACATCAAGGATATACGGGAGAGGGGAAGCCTGTTCAGGCCTCAAGGGAAACATAGTGTAGGCCAAACTTTCCATCCCAACCATGTAACTGGAACTTGCGAACACAGTCAAACCTTGTGCTAGCGACCCTATCGACCAGGACGATGTGTAGATTCCAAGAAACCAATTGGTATTCACGATGCGTGGAGCAGATGTAGACTGCTCAAGACGTCATCGTTTTTGGCTTGGAAACGAGACATCTGTGCGGACCTTTGAAATGAAAGAACGCCTTATGGAGGAGTTAGAACAGGGCGCACATAGGCAACATAAATGGCCCTGTAGACAATTTCGGGCGAGGAGGGAAATGTTCAGACGGGCGAAGACATGCAGCCAGTCATGCCATACCATCGCACCATCCAGGAAAGATCAGCGACTATTTAGTTGACTAGTTAGCTATTTGCCAAGAAATGAAGGATTGGTAATACGGTGGTAACGGCATCGCGTGTTCCGACAATGTCCGATGCCGCTGACGCTACAAAGTATCCAGAGGCCCCTTCCACTATGCAGGTTTCTTTTTCTTGCTAGAGGTCATTGATCGGATCCTCGACAGGAATTTGTCATTAATTCAGTAGACAGCAACAGCTACGGTACAGGGAAACATACTTCTTATACAGCTACTACTTGATTTGCTGCTGGGGTAACAGTCGTCCATCTGAGAACGGCTGAGAGTCTCCGAGCTGACTGCACAAGGCTCATAACTAGGATAGAGGGGACTGCAAGCTATCCAGATCGGATGTCTTTGCGCATCCAAACTACCCTTTTAGACCAATTGCAGATAATAACTGCTAATTCATGCAAGACGCATTATTGATGTCAGTGTTGGCTTCCCATTGGATTCTCAAAATTTCTCCAGTACTTTTTATAGGCTTGGCTCAGGCACGTCACAAAGTACGAGCTACTAGGACACCAATTAGGACCCACGCGGATACCCTGCTAGACTTGCTCAGTCGTTTACCATGTCAACATTGCCACGTCGGCTCAGTTTCATACCACAATATATTATCCGAATGTGGAACACTCAAACACACAGAATTCTTGGGCGTGTAAATATTACGCGCAAGCTTAGCTGGCTATGAAAAGATCGGACCTGGAGCACGAGTGGGTCACTGCGGCTTTCAATTTGGCCATGAGTTAAGCATCAAATCACAGGCGGGATAACATTGTAGCAATGGCAGGTATCCAACAGATACGCGCAAGTGGGAGCCTGTCAATCGCCAAGCTCATTTCTTGGGCCCAAATCCTGTTCTATTTTGATGCTTGAAAGGCTTAATTCTCTATTACGGGCTTGGCCCCCACATCTGCAGGAGAGGAGCCCACAGTGGATCCCGAGCCATCGCATCCTCATCTTTCATGCTATACTCGAGGCCTCATTTATCTCCTAGTATCCATTGTCTGCTTGCCAAATTGCTGAGGATCTCACTGATCTTGACTCAAATCTCTGGTTCACTTCCATGACAGAGCACGGGAGATTCCACATCATCGCCGCTTGTTGCAGAACCTTGTGCCAGATAACATGAGAGCATATACTAACGTCCTTGGAATTTCTTCCAGGTGGATGAATTGACTCGATATGGAGTGACCATCAGCTTCAGTGTCACCTGCTTCTCGCCAATGATGTGTACATCTATCCAGAATCATATTTCCCTTGCGAATATTCCGGCTGCTACTGCACCGGCCTCGGCGCCTAGAAGCATTCATGGACGTTTAACTACGTTTGTGAACCCAAGTCGCCTCATCCACCATACTAGCCAAGTCCTCTGTTGCTTTCCAACTGTTTCTGCGGATGTGACATTTAGGATCTGTGTACACGATGAATTAAAGACCTCGGTTGAAGTGGGACTATGCAATGTAGAAGCAATGAACCTGCCACGGCCACGTGTATGCAGTATATCGGCAACACGAGGGCCTGCAAGAGTCGAGCGTTGTACATTTGAGCATACGAGCAGACAGGAAAACGTTTACTGGCATTCATTTGCAATATTCCCTGGAGTGACACGTCCTTTTCCACTTACTTCCCACAACTTTCACTAAGGGTCATGATGGGCCCCGGGGGTTCCACTTGCGATGACATAATCAGACACGGAAAGGCCGCGGGCGAAGAAAAAGTCCGGTTGCATCGTGGCCCGCGTGGGTTCCGGTTCCTGTCCATCCCCTGATTCTCTCTTCCTGTTGCTGGAAGTCGCCAAGTATTGGAGTCACCACGCTCCCTGGTTCTCATTGCCCGGTATATTGCTTTGGCCTAAAGGACACGGTTCCGTTTGCTCGAACTGTATCTACCCTGACCACCCGGGTGGCTTCAACATGTCTATTCTTCAGACTGCCCTTGAATATGGCGCCCCATTCTTGTATGCTTCGTTCCTGCGCGCCACAGCATAAAATAGTTTCTTGACTCTGATCCCGGGCTCTCCTAGTCTCATATCATCGCCCCTCACGTCCTATGCCGACCAGATCGTTAGCATCCACCGCTCTAGGAGCTCCGCCGGTTTCTCGCTGGATATCCCATTGATCATGCTTCTGGCGTCAATTCTGAAGTGAGATCCTGCTCCGCAAACCTCCGCGATTGCGCGCACATATTGACCGAACTAAACAGGGTATTCTTCTGGTTCGGAGAGTATTACTCGAAAGCTCTTCTCGCACAGGCTGTAGTGATGATCGCGACTCAACTGGCGTTATTAAAAGTCGCCTTAGACAACCGGCCTTCGAGCGGCTTAAGGAACGGGATTGAGCACACGCCCTTCAGCGGCGTGACTTCTGGGAGCTCCACGCGGCCATACGAGTTCTGGCAGTGGACGAACACCAAGCCGTAAGTCTCGAAACAGTCGGGACAAGTGTCGCCAGGAACGCGCTAATACCGGAGTGTCTATTAGTTACTGGATGTTCTTGACCTACTTTGTTGCGGCCCTAACGGTGTTACACCTTACCCCGATCTCCGAATCCGAGGGCTATATCAACTTGCTCGGCTCCACTGGCCTCGCCATCGAGGCTACTCTGCCCATTCCCCAGATCTTGGTCAACCACCGCTCCGGCTCTTGCAAGGGTTTGCGTCTGTCTGTCCTCGCCGCATGGTTGATCGGCGACACCATGAAAATGAGTTACTTCTTCTGCAGCGAGGAGGCCATTCCATGGGCGTTCAAGATCTGCGGTATCTTCCAATGCGTGTGTGACTTCTACCTGGGATTCCAGTACTTGATGTTTACCCGCAATGCCAAGAAAGCTGCTGGCAGCTCTCATGATCACGAATTGGAAGAGGACGGTGGGACGCCGGTGAAAAGGACATTCGCATGACCTAGGGGCGCGCTATATCGCGTTGAATATATAATGGTTGTAGATAGAAGGAATTGCTAGATAGCATAGCGATGATAGACTTGTAATACTGAATGAAATGACACAAATAAGCATAACCCTTCCATCCAGAGTCCATAATGTGTTGCTGGTTTGGGCAGTTGGGGAAACCCGCAAGCCCCGCGGTTGATCGCGTCTTTTTCCCGCTTCATCCGAAAGCTTCGCTTTCTTTCCTTTTTTCCCCCCTTTGTTCTAACGGCTCGTTCAAGACTGAACTCACCAATTCTTGATTTCGAGAATGGCTGACCAACAGACCCTCCGCATTGGCTACGTGCCAGGTAAGCTCTGACCATCTCATGGCAAGCTGCATTAAGATCCTCCTACTGATCCCCTCGACCATAGAGCATTACTTGACCCCTCTTCACCTGGCCTTGCGATCCACCGCAGCAACAGGCAACCTCCCATTCAAAATCAGCCTGACGCCGTTCCCCTCCGGCACCGGTCACATGATCACATCCCTGCGCAGCAACGAGATCGACATCGCAATCGGCTTAACCGAAGGCTGGGTCGCCGGTCTAGCGGGCAAGCAGCAAGTCGCGAATGGCGGAGACGGAGGCTACCGCATCGTCGGCCACTGGGTCGACAACCCGCTGCGCTGGGCGATCGTCACCGGCCGCGAGCGCCACGAGATCAATGGCGTCGCCGACCTGAAAGATCAGCGCGTCGGCATAAGTCGGCCGGGAAGGTAAGCATTCTGCAGCGTTCGAGCTGCTTGCGCGATTAAAACGCCCGGGGCACTCTCCTTTGGCTAACGTGGGAAATTGCATAAAAGCGGGTCCCATATTATGTCCTACGTTCTCGCTCAGCAGCAGGGGTGGAAGCCGGACTCCCTCACTTCCGTACCCCTTGGCCCCTTCGGTGCCCTGAGGAATGGGGTCACGGGCCTAGACGAGACGAAGCCGGGTCAGGCGCCTAGTCCGACAGCGGAGTTCTTTATGTGGGAGGAGTTTACCACGAAGCCGTACTTCCATGTTACTGCGGAAAAGCCAAGTCCGCCGCTGAAGAAGATCGGGGAGATTTATACCCCGTGGCCGTCGTGGATGATTGTTGCGTCGACGGCCGTGTTCCCGTTCCCAGGGTCTGAGAATGATGCTCGGCTCGAGGCCCTTTTCAAGGCACTTGATCAGGGTATTCAGGAATTCGAGGCCGATACCGCTAAGGCTGTCAAGCTCCTGGGAACGGGCGAGCTCGGCTGCACTTATAACCAAGAAGATGCTACTGACTGGCTGAAGGATGTCAAGTTTACCAGCAAAACTCGTGGCGTAGACAGTGGAGTTATTACTGGTGTTGTGGATGTCCTCAAGGTCGCCGGTGTCATTGATCCGGCGTTGAGCAACGACGAGGCCATCCAACGAGTGATTGGAATCCACCGGTAAAAAGGCCGTATACATGAGGAGTGTGAGATGACCGCTGATCACAAAGTACAAACGAACTGATAAAACTGCAAGCCAATTTCGAGTTGATCCTTAACTGATCTGAGTTCTTTTCAGGTTCCTATTCTTAAAAGGAATTCATAGTATTACCGTGACTGTACTAGTAGCTAAGACTTACTAGTAGATTTAAGCTGCGCAGAGGTTTGGACCCTGCGCTGAACTGTCCAAAACGAGGTTTCTCTCGCACTCTGCGATTGGAATGGGAAATTGTTGAGGGACTCAATAAGCTCTTTCCAGGAAGCTCCCACTGTCAATTTTGAAGTAGCTCCTTCAAGACACTACTTCGAAACAACCAGAAACCCAATTTTTGTCAGCGAACTGCACAGAATGAAGCCCCACTTTTGTCTTTATGAAATATGGTCAGATTATGGTGTACGTACTCTGGGATGTGCAATATGTCTTGATCGGCAGGCAATCTATGTCGTCTTTGTTCATCTGCACCCCTGTCATGCCGACTGCGCACGCTACAATGATTGCTTTCTCATACTTTATGCTATTCTACTGGTTCTAGTAAGCTTCCCTTGTAGATCGTGGGTACCATCGAAGGAATTCACGTTTGGTTGGGCATGACATGCCCCTGTGATTGTGACAATGACGGGACGGTCTTCCGTGGAAAATATAGATTGGAGTTTCAAGATGCTCGGCTGCGATGGTCTTGAGGCCCACTCGAATCGATTAGACTTGATTGTACTGTTTACTAGTACTACTTTAAGTTGGACGTTAAATGTTCGCGGTCACGGTCGTTGGCGGAAGCGGCTTCAGATCAACATTATATTTTTGGCGGCGGGGACAAATTTAGGGCTACTACGCTCCCCACTGACCAACTCGAAGCAAAAGAGGTGTGAGATCTACTGACCCAGGCTCGAAGCTACCATTATTTAATCAACTGGGCCATTCCAATTGCAGCCGAAGCTCATCCATAGATATATTACCCAACTCCTAACTAGGCCGCACGGGCTTCGGCACGGTTCAAAAGGGGAGCCGGATCATGTATATACTACCATTAGCAGCACCATTATTGTCAACCCCCGGTTTAGCTATAACGTTAGGCTTTAGGAAATTAAAGAAAGAACTGATGAACAGGGGTCCCGGCATCTAGATAATGTTCATAATGTAGTGGATATTCCCTTGAAGATCGTGGAGCACGAAGTTGCATGGGCCCTGGAGAACGGCTGATTCCTGGAAGAAATTCTCACCGCGAATACCTCAAAACTTGATTTGCAGACCGGCTCATGAAGGAAATGCTATAATCCAGAGAAACCGACGGCCTGGAACGCGGTTGATGGTCCATATGGGCTGGCTTCCGCGGCACATTCCAAGATCACCTTGGCGGTCCCCGGACAACGACCCCTGGGAATGTCCACCAACCCTTCTAATCCAAGAATGGAGACCAATTAGCGGTGCGTGCCTGAATACTCCGGTAAATGTCTCATGCACGCGGCCTTATCAGGGGGCACCTTGCTCTGTTCTTCAAGATATGGTTGGTCTTGGCTGGCGGGCCATGCGCTTAGGACTTCGATGAGGCACGGATGGGAGATATTGTTTTCCTCTCATGGTATGCGCACTAGCAGGCAAAATAAAACACCCAGACGCTACTTAAGGCTGACCAGTGACCGAGCCGTAGGCTGCGGTGTTTTCCCCCGGTCTTTTATTCATTCCTTGGGTTGGCATCCCCCTCATATAATTTGCCGCTTAATTCACGACTTAATATATAATTTTCTTCACGCTCCTTAACCGGTAAAGACTGCTTCAGATTATATTTCCAGTATGCGTGGCTTCGAGAACTATTTACATTGGTCCTTTTTGCTGGCCTCGTTGGGGGGAGTCCAGGCAAAGCTCGACCTCAACTCGACGAAAAACATTGCCGTTTACTGGGGTAGGGCTCGAAGAAATGCGTGAATGACCTGCACCAAGAGACTAACCGCATCTCTGCAGGTCAGAACTCTTACGAAGCTAGCGGCGGCAAGGGCCAGGGACAACAGTCCCTCGGCTACTACTGTGATAGTAAGTGGAATCCATAGCGTCCCCTAGAATGGCGCCAAATCTAACACGAACAAACCTACTAGATGATGACATCGATGTACGAGAAGTAAAAATGAATATTGCGGAACGTACCATGAACTAATCCTCAAAAAGGTCATCCCAATGGCATTTGACATGATGATCAACGGGCCAGGGGGGGGTACCTGAAGTCGACTTTTCCTCGACAAGTGCCGACTGCGACGTGTTCGAGGGCACGCAACTGAAGAACTGCCCAAAGATCGGGTAAGCCATAGCTATGACGACTGGATTCGCCAGACTAACAGAGAACAGCGAGGACATCAAGACGTGTCAACAGAAAGGAAAGACGATCCTGCTCTCGATCGGCGGTGCAACCTACAGCGAAGGTGGATTCAAGTCCGAAGACGATGCCAAAGCCGGGGCGCAGCTCATCTGGGACACCTTTGGGCCAGCGCAGGATGGGAGTAAGGTATTGCGGCCCTTCGGGGATGCGGTCCTGGATGGCTTCGATTTTGATTTCGAAGCGAATGTCCAACATATGGCCCCGTTCGCCAACGAACTGCGGGCTCTGATGGACAAGGAAACCAGCAAGACGTACTTCCTGACTGCTGCTCCGCAATGCCCGTACCCCGATGCGTCGGACAAGGAGATTCTGAACGGACCCGTTTCCATCGACGCTGTATGGGTGCAATTCTACAACAACTACTGCGGCGTGAACAACTTCGACACCAACGAGAAGAACTCCAAGTACAACTTCGAAGAATGGGACAACTGGGCCAAGACGGTGTCCCAGAACCCCAATGTCAAAGTGCTGATGGGAGTCCCCGCCGACACCACGGCGGCCAGTACCGGCTATGTCCCAGCATCCAAGCTCGCCGACGTGATCGCGTACTCGAAGAAGTTCGAGAGCTTCGGTGGCGTGATGATGTGGGACATGACCCAGGCATACGCCAACCAAGGGTTCCTAGAAGACGTGCGCCAGGCGTTGAGTGGTCCTGATTCCGGTTCGTCGTCGTCATCGTCCAGCAACGAGGCGTCGACCCCGACGTCTGCACCTTCGTCCACTAACACTCCGGAGACATCTCTATCCTCCAATGCACCCGGATCCTCGTCCTCCTCTTCCTCCTCCTCTGCATCTGGCTCCTCTTCCGCTACTCCTGAGGACGCCGAAACCGCCATCCAAACACTACCCATCCAGGCCCCGGCCACCACGACTAAGGCGCCGGCGCCGAAGCCCACCGAGCCCACCGAGCCCACCAAGCCCACCAAGCCCCCGACCACCGCTGCGCCCCCCCGAGCCAACTACCCCTAGTAACCCCCCTGCCAACGACGGAAAGCCCACCAAACCCGCGAAGCCCGAGCCCACTAAGCCTACCAAGCCCCACACTGAGTCTCCTCCGGATGTTGATGACGTGCCTGATGTCGATGACGACCTACCTGATGTTGACGACCTGAAGAACAAGGGAGGCAAGGATGCCGCTGCCCCTGCTCTTCTGGGCACGGATCTGATGGGCCTTCTGAATGGTCTGAAAAATGCCAACCAGGCTGTCCATGGACTCACACATGGTCTCCTTTCAAGGAACTTGCGTCGGGTCCATCGGATTGAAAACTAGGTCCCTGGTTCATTTTTCATGACTTTGTGTTCCAAGTTGGCGGCTGATTTCACGGATTAGCTTTGAGAGCCTGTCGCCGGGAATCATGAGGGGGAAAGAGGAAATCATGTCGGGAAGCATTTTGACGGATGACCATGTTCATGACCGTGGCCCGCATACATACATTTATTTAATCTGGCGTGTGTACGAACCTCTCCTTGATACCCTAATTCACAATATTCTACGTTTCAGGCTGTTCCAGAACATGTAAACATTAGGGCTACGGCTTGGCTTATCCAAACTCTTCCCGGCCATGGGACAAAACACGATTCCATGCGGGGGGGAGGGAATGGAAGGCAGTTATGAGAATATTGACAGTTACACAGGTTCAAGTGTAACTTGATAAGCGAGTGTGACTGAGCAGTGAGAAGCACGTTTATAAGCACTCATTTCTTCCACTCAGTGCCCTACGTCTCTCTACCCATGACTGTGCAATCAATTTGATCCTTCAAATGTTAGGATTCGCAGCAAAGACCGAGGTACTATCTGATTGCGCATAAAAAGGGCTTCACGTGTAGAAAGTACATCATGATTAGGCCGAATTAGCTGTTATGGTGTGCGCGGAGTATCGTAAGCGCTGGTGGAAGAGCATGAAACCTCGAAAAAACAATCGGTAAAATCATTGAAGGACGAAACATATTCTCTGCAATCCGGTTTGAAAAGATCTAGAAAGCGCCAACCATAGAATAAAATATCGTTCGAACACATCTCGGCCCTTGAGACTGCTGAAGAGGGGGCCTTGCATGAGCCAGACGCGCGACCCGTTGCCTCCCATCGACGACAGACTACTCCATTTCCTCATCCTCCTTGCTCGTCGAAATCATGTAATGGCCAATCACCTTGCCAGGTGCTTCCTCGTACTGGATGGTCAGTCGAGACAGGTGACCGAGAATGTTTTCGATTTGCTTGTCGCCCTTGGTGTGTCGTTTACGACCGAGGTCATCCAGCCAGGCGAGGCGGTTGAGCGTGAAATAAACAAGCGCGATGACGATGGAGACACCGAGTGAGTAGCCCCAGATGCGAACAACCGTGACGATGTCGGTATTGCCGTTTGTAGTTTCCTTGTATTTATCTGCGGGAGTACTCTTCATGTCTTGATTGGTAAACCAACCGAACAAACAGAAGATTGTCGCCAGGGCGTCCACACCCAGAATAGCCCCAACAAGTTGAAGTGACGGGAGGGTATCAATACCGCGAGTGACAAAAATAAGCCAGTTCTCCGTGAGCGCTACTTCCAAAAAGAGGACTTCTTGAATGGAACCCCAATTCTGAATGATTCCTCCGTGAGGGAGGAACATAGAGCCTCGAACCACCCAAGTACCCATTGCAAGGAGAATACCCAGAAGCACCGAGATGACCCAGATTTTCGGAAGCTGCCACTGCACAGGGCGCAGCTCGTAGGATGCACGGTCGTAAGCCACAGCAACTGTTGCAAGATCGGCGAATAAGGCGAGGAAGACGATCAATTCCACACGAATGCTTTCGTTGAGAATAATCATCGACGTAACCAGATAGATCTCAAGATGCAGACAGAGAGCTATACGGTATTGGATGTACGCTTTCATGCGATGAAAGATCTGGCGAGCAACCTTAATGGAGTCGATGATTGTCGACAGGCCAGGATCCAAAAACACAATATCAGATGCAGTCTGTGCGGCTTCCGATGCTCCCTCGACAGCGATGCCGCAGTCTGCTTTTTTCAGAGATGGTGCGTCATTCACTCCATCTCCCGTCATTGCAGTCAGATGGCCGCGCTCTTGAAGAAGCTCCACAACTTGGTATTTGTGCTCTGGGAAAACCTCAGCAAAACCGTCGGCTTTTTCAACCAGATCATTTGCCATAGAGCCACTTAGGCCTCCATGGATGATTTTTTCCGACGTGTAGACTTTTGTTCCAAGCGCGAGCATCTTACAGGTTTCCTTCGCGATAGCAATAGCATCACCAGTAAGCATCTTGACACTAATACCAAGGTTTTGTGCTTCACGAATAGTCTGCGCGGTATCTTCACGAGGGGGGTCAAATAGCGGCAGCATACCCAGAAGCTGCCAGTCTTCGCCTTCCTTTTGAACAGCTACTCCGAGTGAGCGGAAACCGCGGTGAGCAAACTCCGTGGCCTTGTTCTTATACACATCAGCTAGCTCTTTGGAGCAATTTGTGAGCCCAAGAACCGCTTTTGGGGCACCTTTCGTGCAAGTGTATCGAACCCCATCGCACCTAGCCACTGTGACAATGCGCTTAGAAACCGGATCAAACGGGGTGTATTTCTCAGTGACCCAGCCACGACGCAGGATTTCCCTTGCTTTCGGAAACTGCCGAAGAGAAAGAATGGTCACTTTGTCAATAGCGTCGAGAGAATCGATGTTATGAGAGGAAGCGAGGACCGCAACGGCAAACATCCAATCCACGTCAACCCCTTCGGAAACGAAGGGTGTTTGAATGCTGAGCTTGTTTGCAGTAAGAGTTCCAGTCTTGTCGGAGCAAAGGATATCAACACCCTACCCTTCTGTTAGTGTTTCCCAAGAAAGTAATAAATGAAGAAACACGGAATAAAAATATTGACGACAGGAAGGGCACGAAACTCACAGCTAGGGACTCGATAGCAGTAAGCTTCTGGACGATAGCCTTTTTCTTAGCCAGATATGCTGCTCCAACAGCCATTGTAGTCGTGGTAACAACTGGCAGGCCGACAGGAACTCCAACGATCAACAAAGACAAAGTGTAGTGAAGTAGTGTTTGCTGTCCAGGAGAAGCGATAGGTCGACCACGGAAGAAAGCACCGATCCACGCAGCAAGGATCCATGCCATGACCAAGATCAGCAAGTAAGTTCCGATCTTACTCATGACCTGTTCGAAATGGCCGGCTCCTTTAGCCGCTTGAACCATACTAGCAGTACGGCCGACGAAAGAAGTCTTCGCGCCCGTCTGAACTACAGCGTAGGCCTTGCCGCGCTTGCAACCAGTGGTGTAGAAAATCATATCGCCCATGTAGCGGTCCACGGCGAGTGACTCTCCAGTAATGGCAGAGTGATCGCATGCAAGAATGGGGTATCCACGCCGACGGGGCTTTGTTGCTGAGGCTTGGGGCTTGGGTGTTTCACTTGCACCTTCGTTGGAACCACCACCAGCCTGGGAGGATTCGTCTTTTTTGTGATTCGTTCTTGTGTGATTCGTCTTTCTGTGGCTCTTCTTCTTCATCAGAATCAGATTCACCACCCAGCATACCCTGTTCCTGCAACTGGATGAACTCCTCCCAGCCATGAGGATCATTAACGTCGCAAATGACCTTCGCATCCGCCGGCACGACTTGACCATCTCCGACGATGATCTAACATTTGGGTTATTGGGGGAAACTTTTCTGTCTGTTCAAGAATTGACATACCACATCACCCGGGACCAGTTCACGCGCTAGTATTTCGTGTTCGGCGCCGTCGCGAATCACGATGGCTCGCATGGCAATGTCGCCCTTGAGACTGGCGACGACGTCTGCAGCCTGCTTTTCCTGATACCAGCCCACAGCAGCATTAAGACACAAGATACCGAGGATCACACCAAAATCCACCCAGTCGTCCAGCCCAGCCGCGAGCAAAGCAGCGAGCTCCATTACTGCAAGAAATGTTAGAGTTACTCGGATGAATCATCGATGGACCGTGTGTTCACCATAGAGAATCGGGCCTTGGAAGTAGGATAAGACTTTGGCGATCGGGTTTTCTTTCTCAGAAACAAGCTCATTCCACCCAGCGCGTTGACGACGGTGAGGTACTTCAGACGACGGAAGACCCTCGTGGATGTTGGTGGTAAGCCAGTCTTCTGGGAACTTGCCGGCTTCGTGTTCGACCTTTCGAATACGGATTCGATGTTTCTTCCATGGAGCATACCAGATGCGTTTTTCTACGAACTCGCTGTCCTCGAGAGCATTTTGGTCAGCCCCTTGAAATGTAGAAACATACTTCACAAGCTTTCCATATTCGTCGAGCTGGTTGTAGTCCTCCTTCAGGGAAGCCCGTGAGATGCGAGAACTGCGACGGAAATCGCGTGAGCCTTGAGTGCCACCCTGCTCGGTATCGCCCGAAGCTGATGCCATTGGTGATATGCAATGCGTATCCAGATAGACAAGATTGCTTGACGATGCAGTTGGGATGTGGAGGGCTGGGTGAGGCAAGAACGAAGGGAGATGAGAAACCCAGAGAGCCCGGGGAAGGGAAGAGATAGAAAGAGGGAACAAAATAGGAAACGAGAAAGTTAGAAACCAAGGCACTCCAGAGCAAACAGTTCTGCTACACCAGATAGGCGGTATTGGCGTAGAGGCAATTTGCCCACGGCAAAGAGTTTTAATTTCCTCCTACTCAGTCTATCATACTGACGTCGAACAAGACACGCCAAATGGAACGGCCGACACTCGGCGGGGTGTTTTAGAAAAACCCAGTAGGGCGGTTGACGTATGCGAGAATTGAGCAGCAGGCACAGTTGCAGAGACAGACCGCCGTTTAACCAAGGTTGCTTGTCAAGATCAGTGTCACAAGCCAATTATCAGCTGGCGTCTTTTATGTTGACCACGGGAGGATGGAGGGTGACATCAGAAAGGCCCTGTGGAACTACCCAAGAAGGACATTGTACGGGACTCTGATCTAGTCTTGATGGCCTGTGGATTGTATGCGCTGCAAGGCATGGCTTGTCAAAGAGCGTTAAGATTTAAGCCTTGAGCCTGTTCGCCTTTATTGATCCTTCGTTCCTAGCAGCAGAGCCGCTGATATGGTGTACCCGGCCAATTATTTCTATGCGCAATAAGCGTTTGATTGGCTGGGAAAGACCTGTACCTCGACTAGTGCGGTCCCAGAACATGAGGCCCGAAATGACGCTGCCCACGGAACCTCATGCTTCTCCTATGTATGTTTTTTGTGATAGAGTTCAGCCATACTTGGTTCTCTTGTCCATTTCAGTACTCAAGCTCTCGCCGCTTTCACTCTTAGAAACATGGCCATGCTCCTGACCTGATCTAGCCAGGATTTAGACAAATTCAATTCTCTCATTTTGTTTGGACCTGATATGTTTTCTCTGTACAATCGCAAGATTCGCTCTTTATTTTTAGCGCATACCTAAGTACCGGTTTCCTGCCAGCAAACCAGATGCTAGACTTGCGATGTCGACTCACTTGTAAGGGATCTTCCGAATAGTTTCGTTTGCAAATGCTGCAATGCATTTAATGCTTTGATAGACCTGAAATCTTTAAGATATTGGATTAATTAAGAAAGAATCTGTCGACATCGTGTACTTAATGGGTGTTGTAAAACTGGCTTGGACCCAGTCAACCTTTAGAACCAACCACTCGACAGACTGTTCAAAAGCACAAGCAAATCTTTTTGGCCCCAAGTTTGGATGCATACTGATACTCCATCCCATGCACGAGTCCGCCTTTCCCAATACGATCGGAGGAAGTGCTAAGCATAATATTCCTAATAAGATGAATTCATCATATGCGCTGAAATGCTAGACTTTTATGTTCGCAATTATTACGATTAGATGGATTTACTTTGGTCTAGATCTTGCCTGAGAAGATGAGATATGGAAAGACCATATCCCGGAAGCTGATGATTTCAGAGGACAACGATAGATAGAGCGGACGACCCTCTTCCTGCTGCTCCATACAAATATTCTAAGTTGTTGAGAGATTGGTCAAACAAGGCTATCTTGAATCTCAATCTCCGCTATCTTTGAGATTGCAATGGAAGCCCCTCACGAAGCCCTCCTACTGCGTCACAGTCATGGCGCTCTGTTGACCAAATTATCTGGCATACCTTCAAGTTATACTAGTAGACAACACAGCCTAAGGATCATGACATGTACGCATAATCCTCATCTTCAAGTTATTATTGCTTTAGAAGCAAATTAGGAGCATACTAAATTTCTGAAATGGAACCTCCAGTGCCTCTAGAAAGCGACCGGCCAGGTTGTACGGCATTCGGATATGTATTCTTTGGATAGGAGGTCCTTAAGGTCATATTCTTATCATCAAATTTTTTTTTGCGAAATTAACTCTGACATCGTCCCATTATTTCTTCGTCAGCGCTCGCACAGTCAATTTAGCGCCCACCAAGGCCCTTGCCGGTCGGGATGTTGAAGAGCACAGCAGGAACACCGGCAGCGGCCGCTTGATCTACGCGGTAGAAGCCCTTTCGGTCAAACTGGATGATATCTCCGACCTTCAGCTCGGCCACATTGGCATCGGCAAGGGCGCTATCGCGGAACTCAGTGTTGTAGTTGAGGAAATCCTCCAACTTGTCGTCCTCCTCAAGAGAGTCCTTCTTGAGAAGGTAGTCAAAGTCGACTAGCTCTACAGGAACAAGCTGAGGGCCCTCCTTAGCGTCAGACAGCCAGGTGACCTTCTTCTCGGTCTTCTTGACATCACCAGCCAAGTGCAGCTCAAGCTCAAGGCCAGTCACATTACCCTCGGCGTCAGTGGAAATCTTACGGACGATAGCATTACCCCAGTTCATAAGGGTGATCTCCTCATCCTGCTTGAAAAGCTTAGCATCCTCCTGCTCCAGGATGATGGAAGAGCTGAAAGCAACAGTCTTCATGCCAACAGCCTCGTTCTTGGCGTGCTTCGCGCGCTGCTCGGTGTAAGGGGTCTCTGGTCCACCAAGAACATTCGCCTTGACGACGTTCTTCGTGACAATAGCAGTATGACGAGGAGCCACCGGGTCGATGTACTTCTTGTTGGTGGCCCAGATAGTAGCCCAATCGAACAAAGTCACGGCCTTGGAAGGTCCCTGCTTGAGGATGAACTCTCGGAGGGCAGGAATGGTCATACCGCGACGACGAATTCCACGGATAGTGGGGAATCGAGGGTCGTCCCATCCCCACACAACGCCGCTCTCCACAAGCTTTGTCAGCTTACGCTTAGAGAGCAGAGTGCGGACGAAGTTCATGCGGGCGAAGTCCCAAACCTGTACGTAGCGCAGGTTGAGGGCATTCAGCATCCACTCGTATTGTGGGTTGCGGTCACGGTACTCGATGGTGCGAAGAGCGTGGGTCACTCCTCCATGCTATCGACAACAGGGCATGCAAAGTCGTAGGTAGGTAGATCTTCCACTCGGTGCCGGTGCGGTGGTGGGGAGACGGATTGCAGCGGTAGATGACGGGATCACGCATGGCCTTGTTCTTGTCATCGGCGGAGATCTTAGCACGAATGCACCACCGGAGACCCTCGGGGGTGCCCTTCTTCATATCCTCCAAGTGAGCTAGTGACTCCTCAGGTGTAAGTTCGCGACGCGCGCTAGGAATACCATCCCAGCGCTGAGCAGCCATGGTCTCCTTATCGGTATCGTCGGCGTAAGCCTTGCCGGTCTTAATCATGGTGACGCAGTAGTCATAAAGCTCAGCAAAGTAGTCACTGGTGTAAGAGACCTTGTTAGGCTTGATTCCCATTAGAGCAAGATCCTCCACAATAGCATCCTGGAACTCTTGCTTCTCGTTCGAAGGGTTGGTGTCATCGAATCGGAGCAAAAGAGTGCCACTGTACTTCTCATGGGCAAAGTAATCGTTCAGAAGGGCCGCTTTTGCGTGACCGATGTGAAGATATCCAGAGGGCTCTCGGGGGGAAACGAGTGACCACACCATTTTCAGTGTTCTTCAGCGCGATGTCGTAACTAGCACCGGCACTAGACTTGGCCGATTTCTTCTCCCGAGCAGCAGCAGTCAGGTTGTTGACAGCTGAAGCCGTCCAGGGGCACAGCTCATTTAGAAAATTATACCAACGGGTCAGGTTGACAAGGGTACCACGCTTCAGGGCTGCAGCAGCAACTCGGTTTCCGCGGATGGCACCCCAGACCGCGATATCAGCGGTAGAGAGGGCGTAACCAGCAACGAACGACCGCAGGATGAGGTGGGTGTCAAGGCGCTGGAGAACAGGCTCAAGGGCCTTGAAGTCCAGCGGGGTGAAAGAGTCGAGCTGAGAAATCCATTCATCCTCCTGTTGGGAAAGAAATCACGCGTGAGATTTTGCATAGATGACTCAGACAATGGGGAATAAAATAACGTACCACCTTGGAGTCCCTGCCAGCCAGGAAAGGGAAATGAGCATAAAGTTCTTTGATGGCATTGCCAGTGCCGAAGAACGACTTGGAGACAGAAACCAACTGCAGGACTGCCTTGTCGCCATCGGGGATTAGGGCAGTATCTTCATAGTTGATCTCGATCACAGGGCTAGGGCGAGCCTCATTGATGGACGTGGCAATCAGAACAACTGGCAGCAGCTCAGCCAAATTGGCGCGAGTCGCCACATTTAACTTGAATTGAGACATTTTGAATTGACTCAAAAAAAAACAAAAAAAAAAGAGACGCAGATGAGGGACGGGAATTTTGGAGGAGGGGCAGCCATTATCTTGATCGGCAACCGGCAATACCTTTATCCGAGCCCGACAGCTTTCCGCAGAAAACAATTACAGCCCAGACCTTTAGCAAGTCACTCACAGCCATGGCATCTTACGGTGCTGCATTGCCCACTGTGGCTCGCAGCATTCTTGCACCATGTCGCCTACCTTTTAGGCAGATGCCAATGATGCCTATGGTGCCTGCTTTTACCGGTTTCCAGCAGTCACGAGGCATGAAGAACAAGGCAAAGGATAAGGGCAAGGGCAAGGGGAAGGCCACCAAGGCCGATCGCCGAGGAGCAAAGGATTTTCAGCAGAAGGATTTGAAGGACATGCAGCAGTTTGCCCTGTGCGATGCTATGCGGTAAGTTTGAACATGGAGCAAAGTCTCATCCCATTGGTCATCTGCAGAAGGTATTCTGACATTAGCCTCGTCGCAGGTATATTCGCGCAGTCGAGGTTGGCCGTGAACCTGCAAGCACCAAATACGAAGTCCACATTCGCCTGAAGTCAAGAAAGGATGGCCCCGTCATCCGAAACATGATCCGATTCCCTCATGCCGTCCAAACCGAATCTCGCATCTGCGTCATCTGCGCCCCCGGATCAAAGCAAGCGAAGGATGCCCTGGCCGCAGGAGCGGTTCTTGTGGGGAGGACGATGTCTTTAAACAAATTCTGGCGGGCAATATCGAATTCGATCAATGTCTCGCACATCCCGACAGCTTACCCGCAATGAACAAGGCTGGACTGGGTCGGATTCTGGGGCCTCGTGGTCTGATGCCAAACACGAAGAACGGTACCGTCACCGAAGATGTCGCAAACCGTGTTCAAATGCTTCGCGGAGGTACCATCTACCGTGAGCGTGACGCCGTCATTCGTCTTCCCATCGGACAATTAGGATTTTCTCCAGAACAGCTCCGGGACAACTTGCGCACTACGATTGAGCAGGTCAAGAAGGATGCCGCAGGCTTGAATGACCAGATCAACAAGCAGATCTATGAGATTGTGAGTTACTTGCCGCTTTTCATACTGTGACGTCCCTGCTAATCTTTTGTAGGTCTTGAGCTCAACGCACGGTCCCGGTTTCAGCCTGAATGGCGAGTTCAAAAGCGAAAACTCTCCCCGACTCCTCTGCCTTGACTGGCGTGTAAAATACCACTGTTTCTTCTAGTCGATTGGCGTGTACAAATTTCATGTTTGAATAGGAAAGCATAGGGTGTATCATGGTATCAATTTTGTTTAATACTAGAATTAAATTGGGCCTTCCAAGCACCATGCCAAACGCCACGCTATGCAACTGTAGAACACAACTCGTCCCCCACAGCTCTATATCTTGAGGTTCTTCAAGGCAGCGATTGCGCTCACATCCTCGCCCATAATGTCATATAGCCGTAAGACACTCATAGTTCGCGCATCACGTTTATCACCAATTTGATTGGCCTGTTCCAAAGCTGTCCTCAAGTCCAACAGTACAGTTGATTTGATCTTCGAGACACGAGCTCGTTGCGATAGGATGAATGGATGATTTTCGCCGATTCGTTGGGCAATCGATACCAAGAAAACATATTTGTGACAGTGGCGCTCCAGTCGTTTTAGCGAAACGAGGGTCGCTCCGTCAGCTAGTTCTTCGTCTTCGCTGCTATCTTCGCCTTCGCTGCCATATATATCAGAGTCGGTGTCAGACTCATCCGCAGTGGAGTCTGCAGAGGATTTGTCTTTGATCATTAAGCGGTATTCAAGCTCCTCCATGCGGTCCGCATAGTCCAACAGGTCCTTACCGACGTCCGCGTCCGACCGCAGACGTCGCTTCTCATTTAACAGGTCATCCACTTCCTTGCGCCGGGTTTCGACCTTATCACGAATGGCTTTGACATCTCGCTGAAATGACAGCAAGCCGACCTTGACTCCTTCTACCTTCTCCTCGCCGCCGCGAAGCGCAGTCCCGAGGGACAGGAAGTCTTGGTAGTTCTCATTGACCAGATCCAATAGCTCTCGATTCAAAGCTTGCTCGAGGCTCCGCAATTCTTGCCGGAGATCCTCCAGGCTCTGGTGGCGATTGGTCAAGGAGGAGAGAAACGTGGCTGGATCAAAGTCGGGGGCCAGGAACGAGGTGCGGGATAAGGGTTCGGGGAAGGGCAAGCCTGAGGGATCCTCGTCAAAGTCAGATCCAGACTCGTCCGAGTCGCCGAACTAGTGATCTCAGTTAAATTCTCCTATCAGGAACGGCGGATGGTGCAGAACGGTACCTTGAAGCGATCCATGGTCGTCGGGGAAAGAGCAAAGCACAAGCCGTGAATGGTTGAACATGAAGATTGAGGCCCAACGTCCCGGGGGCTTGGCGTTTGTTTGGGTCTTGATCGACCATTCCATCTTTCCCATGCGTTCCCACCTTCTTTCTTCCTTCAAGGATGAGTATTGCCTCCTGGAATCCTCTCAGGATCCTATGAGTTTCTTTGCCAGCGCATCAGCGGATGCACTGTCCCTGCGACTCGAATGCACCTATCCCTTACGAGTGCGTTGTCGACGTGTACTTCCCCCCACTAAGCATTGCCGAGCGGGGTCGCTCGCTGCGTTGTCGTGCATTGATTTGAACAGGTTGTCTTGGTGACATTGGGCCATGGACTCCGACCCTTTGTCTCCACGCTGGGACAGTAGGTCTTCCTTCCCTCGACAAGGACGGTCCCGACTGTCTCCGTCATATGCTCCTCCGGGCGTTGCAGGCCCCTCCCATTTCCCAAACTGGCCCTTCGACACCACCACCGGGGAATTCGATCAACTGCAGACAACGTCCCTGCATTCTCGCGAATTTCAGTCCAGACGAGAATCCCCTGCTTCCACCCCCAGTCAACACCCTCCCAAGATTGCTGCCCCTGCGACTCCTGGTCCTTCTTCTACTGCACATACCCAACCGGTGCTGGTCAGAGCATATTCCGGCAATGCGGACAGCACGACCGCAAAACCACCAACCATGTCCTCTACTCGCCGGCTGTTCCCGTTCAAGGGTTCGAAGAGCTCGGCTCCCACCCGCCCAGCGGGGCCGCCACTGCCGTCGGATAAAGAGTTCAGTATTGAAAGTATCTTGCAGGCCATTGAGCCCGATATCCAAGGCACCCTTGATTCGATTGCCGAAATCTGCGGGCGCAGCAAACTAAGCCTTGCGAATGAGTATGACAGCCATATCGCTCCCCTGGGTGAGATACGAGCACCGCCGGGCGGCTTAGTTCCGGTGGAGGAAGCGACCGACAATGACGAACGGCGAGCAGATGAGGGAGTGGTGGTCTTCGATGAGGACACGAGTATCATGAATGCTGGACGAGGAATCCATCCAGTTTCGTTCTACCGTTATTTGGAAAATCTTCGCCAGGCTTCTTCGGCATTGGAACGCAGTGGTGCAGGACGACCGCCTACGACACCACCAACTAATAGAAACGAAGCAAATAGCCTGGTCTCGGACGCGGGTTCCATTGCGCAGCCCAAGACTCGGGATTTCATTGCTAGTTCAAAAAGCTCCGGCCGCAATCTTTTGGCAAAGCAGGTTGCCATCCAACAAGATCCATCGCAAGATATAGCCACCCCCACCGATCCTCTCTGAAGTCCACCTGGATGCACAACCCGACAAGAAGGGGAATCTTGCAAATATTAATATGCCAAGCACCAGGAGCTCTCAAGTTCCTGACGCCATCTCAGAATCTTGGCAGGCTCCGGAGCTTATTCGCTCTCTTCTTGGTTGGATCAAGTGGACGGCTCGTATGGCCGGGCCAGACTCTCAGCCAGCCCTACAGTCTGCGGAGGATCGTTTGCGAGCCATGCTAGAGCATAATGCGAACAGTAAACCTTGATTGGCCACCACAAGCCACCAAGCACATCATGGCACGACGATGATGATAATGATAATGACTAACGCACTTAATGACCTCACGCTCTCACGATTTTTTTTTATTGCTTTGGGATGATGATGATTGAATCCACACTTTTATATGCACTTCTAACTTGCGAGCTCTCATGAACCTGGTCTGTCTTGTTATAAGCGGAAAATGTAAATGAAAAAACGCCCTCCTAATGCAATGCGATGCCTCGAAATCTAAATAACCTATTAGGCAGGAGTAGTGGCCTGTATACCACTGATGATGGTGGCTGCAAATCCTTCAAAGCGAGGATAAGACCAACCCTCCTTATACTTCTCAACCAACGGCCTCTGATCCGGCTCAGCAAGAACGTCCTGCTGCTGCGCGCCTTCGCTGTTTCCATCGCCCTCGTCCTCATCACTTTCCGCCTCCGGCTTCCCTTCCACCAACTCCCCGAATTTCACATCAACAGGCACCTTACCAAGGAAGGGAATCCCCAGCTGCTGCGCCATAACCTCGCCCCCGCCGCTGGAAAAAAGATTACTCACTTCTCCACAACACGGACACGCATAACCTGACATATTCTCCACAACCCCGAGCACGGGAATACTAGTCTTAACACAGAAATTCGCCTCCTTCCGCACATCGGACGTAGCAACCGCCTGCGGCGTCGTAACCAGCACCGCACCCGCCAGGCGCGGCAACGAGCTCTGCGCCGCAATCACAGGATCCGTAGAGAATAGCGTGAGAAGCTGTTCAGCAAGCGCAATATGCTCGTCACTGGTTCCTGGTGGGGTATCAATGAGGAGGTAATCTGTTGCGCCCCAGGAGACGTCAGACAGGAACTGGCGGATCATGGCGGTTTTCTTAGGTCCACGCCAGATAACCGCATCGCCGCGATCGCGCAGCAAGAAGCCCAAGGACATGCAGCGGAGGGAGCCGCGAGGGGGCGCGGAGGCGGAGGAAGTGGATTCTTCTGCGGTTATGGGCTCATGGACGGAGACGGGGAGCCAGCCTTGGGGGGATTGAGTGATTTTCGCATCTTCGAGGCCGACGAGGCGCGGGATTGAGGGGCCGGTGAGGTCGATGTCGAGGATGCCGACAGATTTGCCTTGGAGAGAGAGGGCGAGGGCGAGTTGGAGGGTTACTGATGATTTGCCCACGCCACCTTTGCCAGATAATACCTAAGATAAAGGTTAGCGCGATGAGCTGGGTAACGGAACTCCGCCTGTGGTTGCCAGCCGTGATTGCCAGGGCCTTCTGCTGGTAATAGTAGCAGTCGGCGCATGCAATGTTATCGATAAGATATTTTTTTTTGCGGCGATATAACCAGACTGTACTGGCTTCCCTGGATGTGCCTGGGATTGCACATGGTAGCAGATGGGAACTTACAAGAACGATATTCTTGACGCCGTCAAGAGGCATATTGATGCAGGGCTCTGTGGCAATGAAGATGGGAGTAAGAGCGACTTTTAGACTGGAGAAGGTGGGGGAAGCCGATATTCGGCTTGGATGCTTATCAATCTGCCTCTGACTAAAACGCCGCATACTGTAACTATGAGTGCACTCGGGCTTCTTGAGGTTGGTATCGTCGTTAGTACTTGAACTAACCAGTAAGGGAACACCAATGTAGCTTTACTATAAGATCACTTCCTTTCCTTGTACCGCCCCAGGGATCTGTACTGGCTCTAGGTAATCAGCTATGGCTTCTGAAGAGCCAAGGAGCGTCGAAATTCATGGTCATTTTGTTCATTCATACATGGTCTCGAGGGACCTATTAAGCTGCCTATCGGATCATAGCAACACAAGCTGCGAGGCCAATAATATAAAGCCTTGGAAATCAATTCTCGAACCTGGGCGTGAACCCATTACCCGCGGATATTGAATCTATGGTACCATAGATGCTTTTTTATTTCCACTTCTGAACGACAACACCTCCACGCTTGAAGTCCGGAAGGTCGCCAAGTGTCACGTCCCGGTCATTAAGTTCCTGACTAGGAATGTAGTCATCAAGACCCATTCCCGACTCCGGCTGTCAGGTGAAGCCGCCCCAACGAATCCGTACACATCGCCAATCGTGGCAGTGGTATTGAAGCGAGAAGTCAGACGAGTCCCATCACAAAGCCGGATCTGGAGTGTGACGGTTGGTTGCGACTCGTCAATAGGAGGCTGCGGTGGTGCAGCAGACTCAGACGAGTTAGCAGGGGTGGTAGATGAAGGCGTGGAGGCTTGGCTTGGAACCCCAGGAGTGGGGCTTCCAAGCCGTTGACCAACACCTGAAAAAGGCTTGTATTTGGGCTTTGGCTTGACATATTTCTCTTCATGCTGCTTGAGTTCCACGTCAACTTCTTGCCCTGCTTGAACATTCATGATCGCAAGAGGCGCACGGCCTTGGCGAATGCCCTCTAGAATCTCCGCATTCCGTGGATCGTCTGATCGGTAAAGCTCTCCGTCATCCACTGAGAATCCATCGCTCCAGAAATGGAGAGTGCGCTGCACGCGCTGCGGTCGCTGAGGAGCTGGCCCGGAGGGATCTTCGATAACACGGCTGGGGGCCTCATCACCGCCAAGGGTACGCGCCGTTCCGGTGAAGTGTGACGGACGGGGCTGGGATTCTTCTGCCGGAGGGGGTTGAGCTCTGTCAAAAATTAGAACTGATATCCACGCGTTTCTCGTTTCTCGTTGCGAAGCATATCAGGACTCACCTTCGAGCCTTTTCGAGAATCTTTTTCTTCAAGTCATCCGGGTTCTGTACGGCCAATCCAGACTTCTCGCCACCGGCGAAGAAATCTTGGTCCACTGAGCCATCCTCCTCCGAAGAATCATCCGCGCCTTGTGATGCGAAGTCGCCCAGTGTTGCAAATCTCTTTTTTGGGGCCGCTCGCTTCGAGGTGGATGCTGATCCGGAACCGGTAGATGCAGGCATACCGCTACCACCAAGGGTTCGTCCGGCTGCAGCTCCAGCAGATGATTCTTCAGTTCCAAGGCGTTGTCCACCACCAGGGTTAGCATCCTGCAAGGCTTCGTCCTGCTCGGCAAAGAATTCGGTCACGGCGGCTTCAATATCGCCATGATTCGCAGAAAGGTATTCGATTGCCTGCAGTAGACGTTCAAAGATAAGTAAATAAGCAAGCCTACACACAATCACGGAAAACTTGCCTGTGAGGGCTGAACTCCCGTCATAGCGCAAAACTGAGAGACGATCTCATCTTGCTCTGCGGGGTAGTTATCCATATTGGAGCTAAACACCGAGGCTGTGATGGAGGGGAATGTAGCGTAATGGAGGTAAAGCTTGGGCACGTATGAAAAAGAGCTGTTTTCACGGCGAAGAAGGTCTGGTAATGCGTTGACTGAAAGGACAGGCAAGCTGAGTTGGAATCACCAACCAAACACCTGCGGGCAGGTACGTCACTGCAATTGGTCAGCCGGGCCCGGATGATGGATCTTCCGCTACACTAGACCTTAGGCTTCAGGCAATCAACCTGATGTTTTGGGAATCGGGAAATCAATTTCAACAGTTGCAACTGGGCAAACGAGGCCGACTTGCTCCTTATATTCGAAGCTAGCGGATAGGTTTGTGAGCTGGATAATATAGAGGCCTGATCATGGAAAGTTCCTCCAGTATGAATTATGCAGCAGTACATATAAGCGCAAGACCCGAAGTGGCGCTGGCTACCATATCTAAAGGCACAATATCTATTTACAGAACTTGACACCAGGGTTGGATAATATTCACCTGGTCAGACTTTTTTCTCCAGATACTAGCAATACTTTTAATTTTCGTTAGTTACCTTTCTCAACCCTCCAGCTTGAACTTTCCAGCGTAGTGAAGCCATCCCAAAGCTGGTATCATGTATCCACATCTCATCCTCCAGACTGGTATACGGGCTCTTGATCTAGGAATGAATCCTGATTCTGTAATGTTCACCTTGAGACCATATTTAGAGGATTTGGCACGCGGCATCAATAAGAGTAGGACGTTGATGAAATGCTCCCTGCCCACTTAGTGATCTGATTACTGAGCCTGAGTCTACGTGCTCTCCCAACAACCCCAGAAAAGCGGCTAGATCCTTGAAACCTGCCTTGGTAGGTGCGGATAAAAAAGTCCAGCTGAATAGTGTCCTGTATAATACCATTTTCCAACTCCTTGATTCGAAGCTACACGGCCTGTCTATCCCAGTTCATGTACCGTGCCTGAGCGTCTGCCAGTTCGGCATTTCAACCCTGTAGGGGTAGACCCCATTAAGGATTCCCGACGACTGCGCGGTCACGTGTGCATCCCGCGGACTGAAGGTGTTTATCGGCATCGCGGCTGTTCTCTTCCCCACACTTTCGTTCTCTCCAGTCTCCTTCCCATCGCTTCTCAAAATGCCTCGCACTGGTCATCACCCTCCTGATCTGCCACGGGTGAGGGCTCTAGCTCTTCCGAGTTCGAGCTTCCTTCTAACGTGGGGACCTGGTCCGATTATGCCGAGGAGTCTTCGCCCGCGGAGTCTCCAGATGCTGAGGCTCCAGGTGTCTCCTCTACTTCCTCGTCTGCTGAAAGCTCACCATTGATCCTCTACCGGCCTCTTGGTATCTGGCATGTTGTTCGTGGGGCCGCTATCAACTTGGTGCTGCCATTCATGAACGGTCTCATGCTCGGCTTCGGTGAGCTCTTCGCCCATGAAGTAGCTTATCGATTGGGCTGGTCTAACACGCGGGTATGTATCTAATCTTGTAAAAAACAAAAGAAAAAGGCGTTTCTATGCTTGTATAGTTTCTGATCATTCAATCCTGCAATAGGTGCTCCCAACCTGGCGCCGAGCTCGTCCTATGGGCCCTGGAGTCGAGGTCCAGGGAGGCTCGCGCCGAACCTGGGCTGCTGGCCTTTAAATCACCACCCATGTGCTCTTTATATGTATGAAATGCTGTATGAAGAGCGGTTGGGCCTGCTAGGACTCCTGGGGTCACGAGAATACTTGCGACGAGATGATCAAATTACCACCAAAAACATCCCCCCGACAAAAAAGCGCAACTACCACACAACATCTGACGGAATGGATAATACAAAATAGAGCTTTCAGCGAAATCAGGCGCATGGCTCATCACCTGCCGAAACTTCCTCCGAGCACGAAGAGCAAGTATGGGGTTCCAAACAATGCTAGTTCATGGGATGCGAAGCAGGGGAATTGCATGTACATAGAATCATTATCGGCGTCTGGCGAACGGCTCTCCGTATTGCGTTAAGCAAATGAATACCCCCAGTGTTTTCACTCGCACTTTTAGTACTTTCCTTTTTTTGTGTACTCGAGATGTAATTGTACTACAAGTCGCATGTCGGTGTTTCACCGCCTGGCAGAAAATGACCGACAATTTTCACGCAGCCCGTCTTCTCTGAGCCGATCCAAACAACCAGATTCACTCCTTTTGCAGTATGGTTGGTGTTGCTGGCCTTCGGGCACCTCAAATGGCTGCTTCGGTCACTCGGCAACGTCTAGCCACTCCATTCCGGTCATCAAGATCCGTATGTGCCTATGTGTCCCGAAATCAACTTCCGCGCGCAATCGGAGATCGACTGACCCATACAGATATCTTCATTTCGCCTCTCTGGCATTCGGCTGCCCGGCTCGCAAGGTCAATTAGGCTCCGGACTCACTAAGACAGCAACATGGCGCCCAGCTCCAGCAATCACAGCCCTCGGGGCCGTGCGATTCAATTCCACCACCTCAACTGCCCCCTCCGCCGCCGCAGACGCGAACGCGAGCACTCCAGCCCCCGCCGTCAATGATCTCTCCTCAATCGACATTACCTCTATTCCCGAGCATATCGGGTACCTGAAAGAACTTGGTCTGGACTATGGCTGGGGTTTTACTGCGACTATGGAGTGGCTTACGGAACACATCCACCTTTCGCTCGGGTTTTCCTGGGTCAGCAGCATCGTCATCATGGGTATTCTGACCCGCGCAGTGCTCCTGAGGCCCTTCTTTCAGGCCTCGGATAACGGGGCCAAACTAGCGGCAATCAAACACATCGAGGAGCCCATCCGATCCGACTACATACGACTCCAAAAAGAAGGGAAGACGCTCGACGCTCAGAGAAAGGTTGCGGAATTAAGAGACTTGCGAAAGGCTCATGGTATCTCTGCTATGAAGTCCCTTGTCCCCATGCTTCAGATTCCCCTTGGTTTCGGCATGTATCGACTCGTGAATGGCATGGCATCGCTTCCTGTGCCAGCACTTGCCGACGAGAGTTTCTTGTGGATCACTGATCTGACTGTCAGGGATCCCACCAATATGCTTCCTATTATTAGTGCCCTAGCCGTGGGGTTCAGTCTTGCTGTCAGTGAACTTCATATGCTCGATGTGAGAAAAGGTTAATTGTACTAACATGTTCGCTACAGAGAGGAGCCTCGAGTGGCTCTATGGGAATGCTGAATGGCCCAGTCGGGAAGGGACTCCCGTATATCCTCCCTGGTATAACACTTCTCTTCATGATGTTCCAGCCCGCTGCCCTTCAGCTGTACTTTGCTTCCACAGGTGTCTGGGCTGCTGTCCAGTCGGCGATAGTCAACAGCCCTAGGTGGCGCCGGCGCTTGGGCTTGGCGCAATTTCCCACTATGCTCAACGCATCTGCCCCCAACAAAACCAATTTGGAGCGACTGTTGGACCGTGCCCACGCCGATATGAAGACCGGGAACGGCGCTTCGAGCACCGGCAAGGAAAGTGTCATTGATCAGGTTCTGAAGTATTTCTCAACCGTCAGCGAGGAGGTCCGCAAATTGGCCAATAACGCCTCAGGCAGCCAGACCAAACTCCGCGATGGATCGCTTGCCCCCTCCACCCCGGAAGACAGAGAAGGAATTGCGCGCACTGCTCAAGTCCGAGGAAGCGAAATTTGCTGAAGCTACCGAGGACCGCTTACGACGAAATGAAGAGCGGATTCGGGCCCACCAGAAGCATCTTTTAGCTAAGAAGGCTGCTAAGCAAGACTCTCATTAGAGGGGCAATTGGGAAAAAGGCAGATTTGGGAAAGCCAATTCTGTGACGGAGATGGACAGCGGATTGCTCTTCTCCAAGACGGAATATTCTATGCATTTGTATAAACTGTAAAATATCGCTCTGTACTCGGCACTTTGGCATTTCACGTTCTACGGTGTATTTCAGATTCAATTACACTTACTCATATAATCTCCTACTTTTTACTCAATTTGGTATAAAAGATCTTTCTTGTATCTTCCAAATGAATCTCATCATGTACGCGAACTTGAACTCATGACATCTTTCTGCCTCAAATCTTTTGGATAAGTAGGGTTCGAGCTCGCCTTCAATTGTCAATGAGCTACAGGAGCTCCCCTTTGAACTTAAATGGGTCTAAATTATGTCATTGTAATATTCACATAATCTGTATGAAAACCCTCCTCCCCTGCCCTCATCTCGCTGAGGTTCTCGGAGAGAAGAAAGGGACAAAATAACAGAGGAAGGCCGGAGACCCCGACAAATCTCATTCCTCAACGGACTTGAGTCACTTGAAGCCCTGGAGGTCTCCTTTCAGCCCATGTGAACCATTGCGTAACATGGTGGAAAATGCGCTCCCCTTCGAGAAATCTTTCACAAATTCCTTGGCGTATGTGCGGACTGAAACATCCCCGTTGGCAGGGACAGAAGGCGGGTTAGGAGAGCTCTCTCCAGCGGTCGTAGAAGCGGCCGTAGGATCGGTCACAGGAGTAGTCTCATCCGTGTTGTCGTCTTCATGATTTTGGCCCGTTAGTATTCAGTGCGATCCAAAACCAGAACTCCCGTTAGACGCCACCATTCCAGAATCCCAACCCCATATAAACAAGCATATTCAAACTCAATCCTACCCAGCTCAAGCAGTCTGCATCGGAATCGAAACAGCAGGTAAAGGCAACGCCTCCTTATCATCCTCGAACACCGCCTTCTCCAATTTCGCCGTCATCGCGGCACAGAACGGATCGACATAAGTCGTCCAAGCCGCCGCACAAACGTAAACCAGCACAATCCATACTGGAATACTCAGCCCCACAACCCACGGAGGCCGCAAGGGCAGCCACTCTCGCTCCTCGTCCGTCCCCGCCTCCCCACCCTCCCACGGCTGCCCACTGATGCCGTAGAGCATCCAGCAAAGCACCACGCGCAGCATGGTCCCGTGGATCAGGTAGACAGCGAAGCTCTGCTTCCCGAGCCAGAGAAGGAGTCTGTTGGAGAGGAAGTCCTTAGTGGCAGGAGAGAAGAAGATCGAGAGGATGATCATGTCTACTCCGACAGCCGTGTAGCGCTTGCCGATGTTCACGTCGGGTGGGAAGAGATACTGCGCTGCGTCGAGCATGCGCCTGGACCAGGAGGCCCATTCAGGATGGTCACCTGGGTAGGAGGCAATGAACAGCCCCAGAATTGCGAGCGGGGCAGAGATCGCCCGGCGGAGATATGGGTGGTTGGTTGTCCAGGTCTTCAGGGTTGCGTTGTATGAGAGGTCGCTGAGGAGCATGCCGTAGATGGCTTGCATTTGGAATGTTTCTGGGGCTCTGTTAGTGGCTTCTCTGGGGCTTCATTTGATTGACCTGATATGGAGAAGAGTTGGGCACTTACCAGTGTTCTTGGCGGCGTCTTGATGGAAATACAAGATCAAGCCCACGTAGACCAACATCCGATACCGAAACCGCACATACATGGTCGCCACCAGAACGAGGTAGACCAGCATGGAGGCGAGCAGAAGCGGCAGCAAAGTCCATTGGTGATCATCGTAGGCCATGTACCCCGTCGTCCAAGTGGTTAGGAAATTCCCGCCAAGTCGTACAATCTCTTTCCAGATCGAGTCCTCTACTTCAGGTGCTGCATATCGGCACCACCAGCAATCTGAGCGGTTGGCTACGACAAATGCGCCGAATTGAGCCAGTGTCCATGATATGATCAGTGCAATAGTTGCGGGGAGTATCAAGCGAGGAGGTCGACGGAATGCGCTTTGAGCGACGGTTGTGAAGGATCCTAATTTATCGCCGTTGCGGGATAGTTTAAGAGGTTTAAGGGCGCAAACATATCCGGTCAGAAAGGCGAAGATAGTGACGCCTATCCGACCCTGCCAGGGGATTCGTAAGATAGGCCATTGTAGAATTTGGGGGGTAGCATTTTCGTTATCGCGTGGTGAGAAGAGGTCGTAGTCCCATGCTCGAGCGAGGTGAGTGAGTACTACCAGGAAAGATGCGATGCCACGTAGGCCCTGTTGAATAGAAGTTAGTAGCTGTTCATCATACTGTCATAGCTGGTCTCGGAAGTATGAGGTTCATACATCAATCCATTTGACACTCTTTCGAGGATCGCCTTTCATAGCCGGGTCGCCTTGATTCCACGGCATCACTGCGGGAATCGACTCCCTCAACCGGGAATAAATATGCGTCGATTGGAAGATAGGCATGATTCAAGGTTAGAGCAAAGGCAAGATGAGGTATTCAATTCATAAAAGGCAGAAACGCCCAATATCCAGAGAGCGCCGACCCAGAGTCTCAGACAGCCAAGATGGCCAGGGACGAGGCCACGAAGGACTGTATAGATACCAACGGTGCTTACTCAAAGAACATTGTAAATGAAGGAAGTCAAGAATGGAAAACCACGGCGTCACTGCCAGTCAAGAGAAACTGATTGCAAACCAGACGATAGGGGATGCGTGAAACCCGCCAAGAAGGAAGGGGTTCCAATAGGAGGACTGCTTTAGTTTTCACAGGCTAAAATCATTTACAGGGACGGGTGCATAGTAATGACTGTGTTTGCAAGGTGGATTGTGCGATCAAAGGCATTTGAGCTGCGCGTATGTGGGGAGGCTGAAAGGGCTGGAATTACCTCCTGTATGGGCTGGGGGGCGCGCATTGCTGATCGAAACACACGGGTGTATGTATGAATTATGCAAAGGCATAGATATGTGCAATTTGTGAACCGCTGGATCTGAGCCTTGAGCCCCTGCGCGCAGAATAGCACGGAAATGGTGGGTGGATGGCCCTTGCAGCGGGATTGTGATATAGGGCTAGATTTGGTATAGATCGTTGACTCTATCGGAACGCCAAAACATACTCGTACATGGTTCTCACTGCATATGGTCTTTTGCAAATAGATTGGTCAGAACTTGCTTTTGGTTGTGTACCAGGGAGGGAATTTTAATATGGACTTGTGAACTCACTGCTGCGCTTGTGGGAGCACAAATGAATCATGATCCGGGCAGCTCGATATCGCCGCTGAGACAGGGCTTGTGCTTACATTCCTCATGGATTCTAATCGCATCACCTACGTGTTTTCCATCAATTTCCAGGACATCTACCTCAATTAGGATATAGGGAATGACGTGGAATGTCTTAATTGTGCTAAGCACCCCCGCCCTTAGTGGTTCGATTGCGTCGAGATCAGCGCCCCCAGATCGAGACATAGTCCGGTCTAGGCATGAAAATTTCCCGACTACTGCCACTGGCCGCGAAGGTGATGATGATGAGAGTAATCTCGGAAGCTCAAAGAATGACAATGGCCAGAACTTTCGCTATGCGTTAAGCTCTGGTCAAAACTCACAATCTGAATTACAACGCGAGTCTTTCAATATCCAATTTAAGAGGTCCCATGGAGAGATGAAATCAGCTTCTGACAAGGAACTGAGCGATAAGAAAGGCTGAAGAACCAACTGGTCTCTGTCTTCTCAGCTATTTCCAAGGCCTGAGACTGTATCTGGGACTTCGGCTTCCGGTCAAATAGTCTTCAACACCACAGCCAAGCAGATCCCCGTCGACTTATACATGGATCCCAATAACCAATCCAGCATCATCCAAGAATACCTCCACCCAATATTTCCCTGCAAACTGGTATTCCACCCACAGCCAGTTACTTCTCACTCGGCATCTCAATTGAAAATCACTCAGTGATACGAGGTCTTCAAGAAAGATGATCTGAATGCACCTTCATGCTCCGATGGAGAAATAGTGCATTCTGAACGATACCGGCCTTACAGAGTTAGGACAAGTTGATTATCCGCGCGCCAGAAGTCACTGAGGTCAAGCAGCATAACATTCAGGGAGATGATGCCCAGAGATGTAACATACGCTACCCAACAAGTATACAGTGGTGACGAAGATTACGGCAGAAATGAAGCTCGGAGAGGTATTCTCAGCCAGCGTGTCGCAGCCAGTATCTCCCACACCAGATCATCGACCAACAGCGATTCATTGATCCCTGTTCCCAGAGGGAAAAGATATCCACTCACGGCCCTCAAGACCGACCTTCAAAAGACAGTGGACGCCCGAGGTGTTCAATACGTCACAGTATCAGCATTTCTCCTCTCATAGGAGAAAGACAATACCGGTGCAGCTAGCGATATCAGGTCTATGCCAGCTCTACTTTAAGATGAATTTGATATCACCTCTAAAGTGTGTCTGGTATCAGAATCAGACCGGACGCCAGGTTGGACGCTCAGGGCCGAACTTTCAAATGCCACCGGGAAACTTATTCCCACCTCTGGAGATAAAAAATCTCTGTTTATCTTCTAATACGTCGGACATGGATATGTGGATAGGACTAGTGGCCTCTACTCATCAGGAGCAGGAACCTCGAAAATTTTTCCTGACGTTCATGCAGCTGCAGGACATCAGGCCATCAGCAACGGACCGTTTCAAGACTGATGAGGAGAGGGCACATCGAGAAACAAGAGAAACCGGCGAAAAAGACGAAGGGACGCCTTGGGGGCCAGGGTGAGGAGAGTGGTACCTCTCAGAACTATATCCCCGCAAGTTGAGCCTGTTGCCTGTCCTTACGAAGGGAACTCGAGATGTATATCAGTTTTGAGGCCACTGTAGCAGGGTAGATAGGTAGAGTATGCATTGCAACTCAATCTTCGATTCAGATATTATTAGATCAGCGAGGTAAATAGAATCCAGCTTAGATCAGCGCTGTTACGAGCCTTGCAATGGTCGACTCCGTAGATGTCAAATTCATGGTATCAAATTACTGGTTCGGCGTATGTACTACGGTCATATCAAGATCTAAACCACCACTAATATGTATGGAGCGAGCATTCCTCAAACTAGAAACGCCTCCAGCCATTAGCCGAAAGAAACAGATGAAAGCGAATAAGAGATATCCCACCAATACCCGTGAACGCCAATGCAATGAAGTCCGCCATTGCTTTGCACTTTTAACGAAAGAGTCTGCGTCCGCCAACTGTGCCCGAGTTCCATGTGAACGCACCCTTGACTTGCAAGTTGTCCATACTCAGGCCGGAGAAACCAACACCCCCGCTCTCACCATCACGCTTGAAACGACGCAGTGCTTCGCGTATGTGCGACGGTAATAGCTGCCCACGGTGTGGGTTCGGTGGCAGACGGAACTCCCGGCGTGGACGTAGAGGTGTCGACGATGGAGAGGGAGCGACACTATTGGGAGCAGGAGAGGCGGAGCTGACGTTGTTCGGAATACTGGAGGCGACCCCGGGGCGGTTGGGATCGGGCGACTCTCTCTTGATCCCATTGCTTTGGGACACGGGAGTACCAGCGGGTGTCGGAGTGGCAGTCTTAGCTTCCGTAGACGTAGCCAGTTTAGCCTGAGCAGCTCGCTCTGCAGCCTCTTCTTCAGCCTCGAACGCGGCCCGCGCGGCCTGATCGTGCGCCTCTGCCCACTCAGCCTGGACGGTGCGCGCCTTTTCGATCATTTCACCGGCGAAGACCTTCGTAAAACCGTTGACAGTAGTCACCACGTTAGCCGGCACAGACTGTGACAGGGCATGGTTGACAATACGTCGAAGCGACTCTTTCCGGAGCTTTGCACGCTTGAACAGATCATATCGCTCAGACTGCTGAGGATTAAACGCTTCGACAAGAATCCTGCATCACCAAAAAAGGTTAGCACATAGACCCATTTATCAAGATAACTTCTTGCAGTACGTACGCAAGGTTCTTCTTCTCAGCCTCCACGTCCGTCGACCCCTCATCCCGGCCCAGCAGATCGCCCTCGTCATCATCGTCCTCCTCGTCGGCCTCGTCCGCGCCGCCGCCTCCACCCATCCCTCCGCGCACCGAGCTCTCACCGTCCGCAGATCCAAGACGTCCAGCATCTCCAGTCCGGGTACTCATAGCATCCTCCCTTTCACGCTCTTTCTCCGCCTTGCTCTTGCGGCCGCGCTTCTTACCGCGCGCTGCAGAGAAGACGCCATCTGCGCTCGCCCCACCTAAGCTGCCAGTGAAACTGCCCGTGACGCTACCTGCATCACTGGTCGCAGCAAAGCTGCGTTCTGGGTCGAGAGAGGCGGGGAAGGAGGTCTGTCGGAGGGGATGCATGCGTGCTTTCTTGCCGATGGGCTGGGAGGCGGATGAGGAGATGGAAGGCCGCTTGAGCGGATTTGAGGGCGGTGGTGAGGACATTTTTGATAGAGCTATCGTGGAAGGGTCGTGGAAAAGAAAGAATGAGGTGGCCACGGAAAAGTGGTGAAGATGAGAGCTGAGACTCTGTCGCTGGGTTCAAAGCTTGATGTTCTGCTTTTGACGAGTCGTGCCAGTGCCGTTGGGCCAGGCTTGGACGGGGCAATGCGCCCGGGCTAAGAAGAATTATGATCTTCGATGCACAGACAGTTCAAGGTGTCGCGTATCGAAGAAAGGTCCTATTCAGCCGACGTCAAGAACGGGCATCCGATAAGGGAATGGCTTGAACGAGGCGCGGCATCGCGATCTACTACGGATAAGATTGGCAGACATCTAAGGACTGACCGCCTTCCACTTTCATTCTACGCAGTATTAGCGAATTGCCCAGCAATGACAGTCGGCCTACATCCAAGTCCACTCTCGAGTAACCTCTACATGGTCGATTTTACAAGGGAGTGTAGGCTTTTCGCGAGGACAATATTACTGGTAAGAAAGAATCTGACTAAATAACATGAACAGGAACGAAGACAGAATGTACGAGAGAAATGAAAGCACAAGGTATGCAACGCTGCGTACAATGTTGAAAAAAAAAAAACGAATTCAAAAATCCTCGCACAATAACCGAGGGAGAAAACAGAGAAAGCACAAAGCAAAGAAGGAGCACTACAAAGCAGCAGACGGACTAAAGGAAACGGAAGTGAGAAGTAGAAGCGAACTAAAACTTCTCACCAATCCGGGGTGCCCCCCCTTTCCAGTCGTTGCGCTCGTAGTAGCGGAATACTAGGTCGTATCCATTCAGATCGTGAACGATCCGATCAACCCGACGGTAGCCCTTGACCAGCTCATTCTTGGGGTTACGGCGAAGAGCCTGCACTTCGTGGAAGCTGGCGCTATCGGTATCAACATCGTGGACGGTGGCCTTGGTCTCAAACACCGTGATACTGAAACGGCCAGGCTTGAAAATGTCCACAACCTGCTGAACAATGTCGGCGGTGGTCTTGCCATTCTGCGAGTGCGGTACGTTGGTCTCGAAAGACGCGTACGAGCAGTGTGGCTCCGGAGTGACATGCACGGTGAAGTAATGAGTCGGGGCCTTGCCGTTGGGGGCAGGGACAACACCGTTGGCGGAGAAGCCACAGGGAGTGAAGAGGTACGCGTCAATGCGAGCATCGGGGAACTTGCTCTTCGGGTACACGTCGGACAGACCGCACGACTCAGAAACAACAGTGCCGAGCGCGTGACCCTCGGTAGTCAGCTCCGGCGGGAGCACACGGCCTCCATCGATAATGTCTTCATCACCATTGCCAAAGACATCGAGGTGCTCTGTGCCCTCCTCCTTGTCGAAGTTCCGATAGGTCTTCTCGGCAGTGGCGGTGGCATTGTCTAGATAGAACTGCTTCGCGTTCTCCTCATCCAGGTCGGTCATGAGGATCTCCAAGGTTTCATCATGCTCATCACTGTTGGGGATTGCGCGAGCCTCAGGGAAGCTGAGGACCTTGGTCTCAGTCTCTTGGAAGCAGGCATCCTCCTGGGGACTCGCCGGGGGAGTGAGCATGGTGTAAGGCTCGGTCAGATACAGGTACCAATGTTCGCCATTCATCTTGCCGATCATATAGGCGCTTCCATTGGCGAACAGCTTGTCCATGTTGCGGACCTCGTCACGCCAGCTTCGGTGCGGGCCTCGCTGGCGATCGGGGAACAAGTAGTTCTTGCGGCTGTAGAACACTCGGTATGGGGCTGCGGCAACCGTGATCCCTCGAGAGGGAGGTGCCGTGGCGCGCGGGAAACCCGCAAACAGAGTGGCAATCTCAAGGATGCGTGGGAGACCGGATAGCAAAGTAGTAGTGCCGCAGGTCTTGAGGATAAGCTTGTGAGGCCAGACGAACATGCTGGACTCAGACAACAGGTAGGCATCAACGTCATCGGAAGAGACGACGGAGAGGACCTGGCAGTTGACGAGATCCAGCATGTCTTTCCAGATCTCACCAGACACCTTCTTCAAACCATCGGGACCTGCCACGCCGAGCTCATCAGCGGATGGGGCAAACCACACCTCTAGCAGCTTCTCAGGGCCTGGTTGGAGAATGTTAGCAGACAGTTCGTGGGAACACAATTGCAATATAGTTACACACCTTCAAAGGCACTGGAAGAGTCGAGATCCTGCGTAGCCTCATGATTGATGGTCAATGAGGGAGTCCCCACAAAAGAAGAGGGGGACTGGGTGTAGTTCTGGGGAATGTTGATGTGGACCATTGCTGATGATTTTTGTAGCCGAGGCTGCTGGTATGGCCTATTGAACGGGTTGCTGGAATGGATGGGTGACGTAGGACCGCCCAAGAAATTTGGTGGAGACAAAAAGGCTATAGAAGCACTGTCTACTTACCCAGACGAACAGGGGCAATGCCCGTCTGAGAAGAGAAGGCCCTTGGACGGAAATAAAACTGGACAGGCCAGGCAGAGGGTGAGCTTAACAGGCCAGGAGGGCTGCTAAGGAGGTAGAAAGGCGAAGGAGAGGTAGAAAATGGAACAAGGAATTGTGACTGTCAGTCCAGTACCCTCGTCCTGGCAGATGCCGATACCCGTAAAAGTATGGGTCTAGCAGACGAGAGTATCTGCTTTATTAAAAAAAGGGTGGTATAAAGTGGCGTGTGGGTGTGAGTCGTGTTATCGAGGCCTTTTGCAGTTCACAAGTCAGCGAAGTCGCACAGAGAATTGGTGATAAGAGGTAATAGAGTTGGTAAGAGGGAAAGAAAAGAAAAGATGCAGGGGCGTGGATTAAAACATAATATGATCAACATCCTGGAAATTCCACGTGTGGACAAAAAGCAAAGAAGACGAAAGTTTTCATATGCTGGGATTGGCCACAGCCATGGAGGGGCAATATCACATCGGACTAGCACTTACTTGGCAGGCTTAGAGAGAAATCGCAGAAGATCCTTTGGGCTCATGAAAGGCAGGGAAAGGTCTTCAGTTTAGAATTGCACGAGGTCGCGCGTTGCCACAAACGTAAACATCGGCAGGACAAGGAGAATTCGAGGCGAGGTCAGAGTTTGCAGCCAAAAGCCCAATTCGTGCCCGATAAGACAGTTATCGAAGTAACTGGAGGGGGCAAAAAGGGGAAATTGGCAGGGTCTCCGAAACTGAGGGCTGATGCAAGGTCCTTTTTATAGGTGCAAGGTGCAAACCTGAGGAGATGTGAAAAGCAAAAGCGAGCTGTCGGACAGCAGATGCGGGCTGGCAATGAGTGATTTTGTCGGTGGGCCTGGGGTGGTCTGTGGGGCTACGAACAAATTTTGTCTGACATCAGGGAAATGCGATCCGTTAGCGTCCTCTCCTCGGCGCTAAACAGGGATCCAGAGCCCGCAACAAGTTACACAGGGAATCCCAACTCACATAGATCTGCACAGGCACACGCTGCAGTGGCTGAGGTGATTGGATGTCCTCGAAGCAGCAGCAGCAACTAACCAAGCCGATCTGGACTGGAAATTCAGCTGTGACCACGCGAGCGGTGTGGACAGGCAGAAGCGACGACTTGCCCGAAATCGAAAGGATCTCATTCGACGGAGTTGGGAAGGCGCGACTGGATCATTTAGCTAAGGGAGCTCCCGCGATCCTCCCCGCCATGACGATGTTACACTACATCCTGGGGTAATCGAGCAGAGCAGTACCCATGCTCCCAGAGCCTCATGCCTAATTCCTCTGGAGAGCTCCAGGGTTCAGCTGCGTTCTCACATTGCTGAGATGCGGGGCTAGACTCGGTTTCTCTGTGGGCCGAGCTGCAGATGTTCTAGTTTATTCCGCGTAATACAGTAAACTAGCCTACAGATACACCAGAAACCAGTGGGGGCGTGACGTCTTGCGTCCCAATAATTAGACAAACAACCCATTCGGACTTGAGGTGAGGCTTTTCGTCGCCCCTCGCTCTTGTACAATTATATCATAAACTTCAATGCGGTTGACTGTGTAGTCAGGATGAACTCCCCCAAGTCCCACAGAGTGGATAGGTCACATCCCTCCGGGGAGCTCTAGTACGACAGGCATACAGCTAGTGACCTGGACTGAGGAAAAAGCAAAGATTCATTTGCTAGGCCTAGCACCTCCAAAAACGCCATTTCAGAACGCCACTGCCTATGGATGCAACCTCCCCTCAAGTGAGTACATCGAAACCGAGATAAGGGGAAACATAAAACAGAGATACAATTTTCCTTAGGCCTCGAGCAAAAATGGGCCAGCTGCACTTCATTCGCGTCGGCAATCCGCCCCGCGATTAACTCGCCGATCTTCTCCGAGAGGCGCGAGCGAAGGTCGTCGTTGACGGCAGCTGGGTGGCCATTGGTGAGCGAACCCTGCGCTTTCTGGAGAGAAGCCAAGACGGCGGTAATAGCGTTCAGAACGCGCTCAGCGGCAGGCCGACGGACGGAATCCTCAATTCCATCGCTGAGCAGCTTGGAGTATTCGCTCAGGTTGGGAATCAGTAACACGCGCACCACTTCGGGACCTCCGACGGTCTGCATTCCAATGACAGCACCATAGTGAGCCCCGAATGGCTTCGAAGGGTCCAGGAAAGTCTTCAAACACGACCGGACAAGGCGTGGTTTGAGCATATGGGAGGAGTGCGAGTACTTCTTGGCGACAAGGCCAAGGAGGGAGGCAGCCAGGTCACGAAGAGCGAATTGCTCCGCCAAATCAGGTGCTCCACCCAATTGACGGCCAATAAGGCAGGTTAGGATAGAGGGCACGAGAGACGCAATCTAGAGTGTCTGTCAGTGTTATGGGTCATATCACAGCAGACCTGGGATGTCACTCACGTATGGGTCGATATAGAGCGAGCGGTTTTGCACGAGAGCTTCAGCCATGTGCATCACTTGAGTAAGCACAAAAACATCTTTGAGACTGTGGGTAACCTTCTCCGAGATGAATTGCACAAAATAAGGGACAAGTTGGTGAAGCCCAGGGTCCTCCCGCAAGCTAGCATACGCAGATGTTCGGTAGTCCTCACTGGTCTCGTCCAGAAACGCGCTGCAGACCTTCTCAAAATACAGCTGCAGTTCCTTGGACAGCACATGTTTAACCAGCGGCTTTACTGATGGGTCGCCAGTCCCGCTCATAGCAGCTAATGTAGAATTGGTATTCGGGCCCTTCGAGGCCAGCTCAAGGTTGCGGGAGTCGGCTGCGGTTGGGTTTTGGGGGATGGATGGTTGGACGCCTTCCACGGCAAGCCAATGGCCTATAATCTGTCAGAAGGCTTCGACTTCTCCCCCTAAGGGTTTTCTCCATATGATAACTCACCAGTAAATGAGACCTCGCGCGGGACCTTGGGCAGTGGGGCGTTGATCAACTTCTCGAAATCCACCTCCTCATCTTCGACATAGAATAATGGCTGGCCGGGGCCCAGCGAAGCTTCTCCGAAACGAAGGGGCCGCAAAGATTCGTAGCCGTACAGGGGCTCTACATCCAGTGTCCGAAGGGCGAGGGAGATATCGGAGGTGGTAAGAACGGTTCGCTTTGCGTGGCGCATTGACTTGAGCGCCTCCTCTAAGACCTGCGCAACGCGGTATTCGACGTCGCGAGCGAGGTTTTCGGTCACGTCATGGCTGAGATTGGTGATTCCGACCGATTCGGCGACGTCGCGAATGTTGTCCGGGTTCCAGATGGACATGTTGGCGGGTTGCGAAGAGAGGGACGACGCGACCGAAAGGAGTGATATGTGGGGTAATGATTGCAGAACTTAGCAGGCAGAAAATCGCATCATGCTAAGATCAAGCACCCTCGGAATCGTAGATTGTCGTGAACTCACGAGCGAAGGCTGGCCAGCGTGGAGATTCACAGCTTGTCGATAAGAAAGTCAAGATCTGCGTGGTTGGTCCCCGTGACTTCCCGTACGAGCTTAACTATATAGCGCGACCGTGCTTGAAAGGGGAACATCGAACATTTGAACTAATAGTATGCTGCATATCTGGAGCACCTTTTCTGAGCTGGAATTCACTGGCTTTTAGGAATGAAAGATCAGAACTACGCGGGTTTCTAACGAATTAAACAGAAATTGGGAGTGGGGAGTATCAGCCACTGCTCCTTCGGGTATCACAACATAGTCCTCAAAACCATCACGGAGCATCTTACTTGGACTCTTCCTTCGCTTCCTCCTTAGCCTCTCCCTTCGGCTCCTCCTTGGAAGCATCCTCTGTCACAGGCTCCTCCTGAGTAGGCTTCCCTTTGGCGACCTCCTCAACAGCAGACTCCTTGGCAGGTGCCTCTGCCTTAGCAACAGGTTCCTCGGCAGGCTTGTCCTCCTTAACACCATCCTCAACCAGCTGAACGGTACGGCCATTCTCATCCAACGCGGGGCCCTTTCCACCGTAGACCGCGGGGATTTGCTCCGAGACAGAAGCCGGGAATTCCCGAGCCAGGTTGGCACCATTGGTAATAGGGTGGAACTTGCGAGTAGTGTTGCGGCTCAGGATAAGCTTCATCGCAGAGAACATCCATCCCATGATGCCGGGGACGTTGACGAAGAACTTCTCGCGCAGCAGCTCGGGATAGGCGGTCGAGAAGACATCAATGGTCTTCTTGGTGGCAGTGCGCACAGTAGGGTCCACACGGAAGAACTTGACGTTCAAGTAGTCGTGGACTTGAATCATTTGGTAGGGGTCCTTCTCACCATCATAGTCGATGACTTCGGTAGCATCCTTCAACTTGAGATCTTGAACAGCGAGCTCCATGAGCGCGGCACGCCACTTGACGAATCTAGGGTGTATTAGTATAAGTAGTCATTTCAGGGAAAGGAGGGGTGTGTTACTTACTCGTCGGAATCACCAAATGTGTTCGCAATGTCTTTCACCGCGCCGTAGATGTTCCAGGTGAAAATCAGTGGGCGTCCGTCCTTCTCGTAAGCAGTCAAATAACCCAGGCCTTTGTACTTGGAAGCGCTGAATTTGCCAGACTCCACCAGCTCAAGAGGCTTGACCTCCTTGCGCCATTCAAGTGCCTTACGAAGTTGGGTCTCAGCACCTGGAAGGTTACCCTCGTTGGCGCGCAGAAACTTGATCAATACGTTGACGGTAGGAATATCGGCGGTGTCCTTGAGCTCGACGCCCCACATCTCAGTGTAACCAGTGTCGCTGAGGATCTTGGGGAGCTTCTCAAAAAACTGAGCTAGAGAAGGGATCTTGGTGATGTAGGCGGGAAGCTCAGGCTTCTTTTCCTCGGGCTTCTCGTCGGCCTTAAGCGCTTCTGGCTCAGCACCAGCAGGCGCATCCTTGGGGGGTTCAGCAGCTGGCTCGTCGGCCTTGGGGGCTTCTTCAGTCGCAGGCTCACCAGCAGATGTTTCTGCGGGCTTGTTGGCCTCGACGGCCTCGACGGCCTTCTCGGGCTCAGCGGCAGGGACCTGTGCGACGGGCGTGATCTCGGACATGGTGATTAACGCGACTGTGGAATCGAGGTTGGAAAGCGGGAAGATGCAGCGCTCAGGGGGGAAGAGGCAGAACTTAATAAGAAGCCACAGGCGCCACCGTAAACAATCCGCACCACTTATCGATCTCAGGCGTACGCGTGTCCCCCACACCTGTCATCCCAAACGGTCCTGCATATTTTAACGTTCTATAGAGAAATTATATTACTCGAAAGTTCCTGACATCCTAGCAGCTCTTCATGTATCTACAATTACTGCGAACTCTTAGCAACTAATTCTGCCCCTTGTATTACTGAGAAGAATGTTGCACAAGGTCGCTCTTTCCCTGCCAGTGTTTACCAAAGGTCGATGGAAGGTCCAGACCCGCTGACCGCCATACCCGACATATCAACAGCCCCAACAGTCCCAAATTTGGGTCTAAGGATTTGACCTGTTCTCCAATCTCTCTGCCCAAATCTCACTTTGTTTGAGGATCGGCCAATCCCGCCCTCAGTAATTAAGTTCGTTTCAGCCTCGCTTCGCCTCTGCCAATGATCTACTGATTTCGGGCCGTCGGCAGATAAACATCGGTGCACATCCCTTGTATGTACCCAACACATAAAATGGCTCAGGTGACTAGGGTCTCCGGGGCTACCACAGCTGTAGATACTACCTAAGTATTCTCCAAGAGGGGCGCTCAAAACACGCGTTGAGCTGCCTGATCTCGTCTGTGCTTAAATCTCCTCGCCCAATGACCAGATCTGCTGTCGCGGGATCGTGCCAGGGGTTGAAGAAAGTGATTTTGTAGATTATCGTCAAGCCTATTACCAGGATCAGGCCCGTCATCCAAGAGAAGAAATTGTAGGCTGTGCATTCGCCTTCCCCATCCAAGTCGGCATAAAAATGAACATATCGTCTGTCATTGGGAGAGCGTACTACATTGAGAAGTCGAAGCCTCGGGCGTATCAGAGGCCCCAATTTGTCCGGCCTAAATGTGCACTCTGTCAAGCCTCGCAGCTAAAGATATATATATTGGGCAGCATGCTGTACTTTAGGTGATCTGGTGCATTTCTGAAGTCCAAGCTGACGAATGAACCCTTCTATATCTCGAAGATAATGGATTTTGCTTTTCATGCGGCCATCAACAACCTGGATGGAACAAGCTTTAAGAGTGCCATGAGTATATGTTGGTGATTTTCTTTTTTTTGACCTCCGAGTAGGTCTTGCAGACAACATTTCAATCCGCTAGTGGCCTTTCCACGGGACAGCTCGCAAGTGAGCACCGATCTCCCTTGGCAGACTTATCGCTTCCAGTCTGACGACTATGGAGATAGAAGGTACTTATCGCGAATGGGCCAAGCTTAAGGGGTACCTTTGCAATGCCACCGTCTCCATAGGAGCCCAATTTCACCTTGGGGTTTCAAGACACTAGGAATGTACAAAGTCTCCCATGGCAATTTGGATCTTACTCGTGCAGGTGAAGAGAAGGGCATCATGGTATATCGATGATGATCCGGTAGTCACTTAGTGAAAGGTAAGTTCAAGTCCACCATCTCGAACGGGATATCTCGTGTTGGCTAGGCAGTAAGGCTCATGAGGCACCTATATTGAGCACCACCAGTGGCGTTGTATGATCAGAATCAAAAGGCTCGGTCAACGACTGAGAGCTTTCAAGGCTCGAGAGATCGAGTGCCTGCACGAGTCGAGCAGGGATATCTTCAAGGTCAATTATTCCAGGAATCCATGATCTCTTTCCCTCAAGAATCTAACCCGTATGTTACTCAATGGTTGTCAAATTGCTCCCGTATTCGAGACTTGACGTGCTTGAATGCATCGGGAAGGGCCCGCTAGCGATATCTCGACGATGCCGGATTCTATTCTTTGTTCGAGCTCTTCTGGCATGGGTGAAATGCGACCATCGGCAGCTGTACTCAGCAGATCCCTCGAGTTATAAGTTAGAGTATTGCCTTGAAGGATAGTTAGCAGAGAAGAGCCGCGCATATCCTATACTGATACACCCTAGAACAAGGATGTTGCCGCGCACGAATGTCTTCTCCCTCGGAGTGCGCTAGCTGTGTGCGAGGCCGAGGCCGCAACTAAGGCAATCGAAGACGGTAGCTTGGCACCACGCAAGCTAGCTTGCACTTCTTGCATGGGTACGTTGCGGCAAGACTCCGTCACAGCGCACTATCCCGGCAGAACAACCAAGGCAGGTACTTCCACTTCGGGCTGGTGATGCCATGATGCGGTAATAACCTCAGCAGAAGCGGGGAAAACTCCATGATGTACGCCGCTGCAGGAGTGATAGACTGGCCTATATTGATTGGCCATCCCGGGACTAATCCGCTATCTTACGGGGGATTCTATATCAGAATGCGGAGTAGCTGGTGGGCCATTCGCGGCGGCTCCACATACCAAAACGGCCAAGCTGGGAAAGAACATATCCAATGAATGGGTACAAGTAAAAGTGTGGTTTGTATTGACGGGTCTCCATACCTCCTGTATCTCAGGATGGAATCCTCTGATTTCAAGTGAAGGTGGTCTGCTAGTGGGGCTTTCTATAATGGCTAACAGTTCGCACTGGCACTCATGTATATAGCACGTCCTGACTACTCGATATAGTGTATGTTCTATTAGGATGCGGAGACTCGCCGTTCTTGGCACCGGATCCGCATGCCCGAACAAAAATCACCCAAAGTAGACGCTGATAGAGCAGTAGATAAGAAGCGCAGAGTGGCTGCCAGACATAAATCAGAAGACTGTTTCATAGTGAACCGCCAAGTAAAGCAAGTAAGATGGCTATCAAGCAACCACAAATCCAACGAATCGACCGCGCCCACCAAGAGGCCATCATCCAAGCCATCATACAAGATGGCTGCTGTATTATACAGAACTTCACGGACGTGGAAACAGTCCAAAAAGTCAATGCGGAGGCAAAACCATACCTTGACGCAGACAAACCTTGGAAAGCAAGTTCCAGGCACGACCAGTGCGCAGCTGAAGCAATACTAACAAGGAACAGGGAGAGCTATTCCCTCCTGAAACACGCCGTTGCGCCAACCTCGCCGGCCGAAGCCAAACAGCCCGCGAAAACTGGCTCGTCGACCCACTCGTCCGCGCCTTGACGGCCAAATTCGTCGATAAGACCACATCGAACTTCTACGGAGAAACCAAACATACGTATACAAGTGAAGCCGTGTGCACCATCGCAATGACCTTTGACATCGGCCCAGGGGCCAAAGCCCAGCGACTCCATCGCGACGACAAGAACTACCACGTCGACCACGAAGATCAAACTGCGACCGGGTATCGCGTGGGGTCAGATGTTGAAATGGCCTTCATGGTCCCCGGAGTAAAGACCACCGTGGACAACGGCGCCACACTGGCGATCCCAGGCAGTCATTTGTGGGGAGGCGACCGTGCACCGCTACTGCATGAAGCTAGACCGGCAACGATGGAGGTGACAGATTGCTGGGTGATGCTCGGGGGATTGTACCATGCGGGAGGAGCGAATGTCACAGAAGCTGAGCGGAGGATTGTCCATGGGATGTTCTTCACGCGTGGGTTCTATCGGCAGGAGGAGAACGCTTATTTGGCTAATCGTCCGGAGGAGGTCCTTAAGTGGTCGCCTGCAGCGCAGAAGGTCATGGGGTTCGAGCTGTCGAGTCCGAATATTGGATTTGTGGAATTCCAGACTCCGTTGCAGTACTTACGGGGCGAAGAAGCTCACGAATTTGGGGATTTTGATCCTTCCCAAGAGAAGGATTAGTCCCGAAACATACTACTGGGAATATAGAATATCGATCAATGAATGGGTTTCTGGGAGTCCATCCAATAGTTCGGATGGTAAAGCAAATTAGTACTCTGAGATTCGGACAAGCTCGTAAGCTCATAAATATCAGAGGCCCTGTTCATTGGATAAATTTGATCCGTGGATGGAGCCCTGAACACCCTTTTGGGCTTCGGTCTACAACAGCTTCCAACCCAGTAGGCCAATGTCAATCTCAAGGCCCAACTATTGAACTCGATCAGGTGGGAGGAAAAGGTTGGCAGTGCGAGGTATTCGCAAACAGAAAACATGGCTATGACATGAAAGCTTACCAACTACGTCTTTAGACTGAAAGGAATTCTCAAATATTGAATGCAATTCGTCTGCACAGGCAGTGACGTCTAGGCCTCAATTCAATAGAACGCCAATGAATGAACCCCTGAAACACGGCGTTGCGGAGACACATCTCAAGTTCTCGAGACGGTGCGCAAACCCGGGTGCAACTGGTCTGCAGAAAGGCTGTCTCGTTGATTCCACCGGGTCTAGAGACCTAATAGGCCCGACAGAATCGTCGAGCAATGAATGGTAGAAGTAGAACAAAATGGAGAAACAACAGTCGCTGGGGAATATACAGACGGTGGGACCCGTGGAAAAAGAGAAATGAACAAAAAAAATGAACAAAGAAACGGGTTCAATCGTGACTATGTCTGCTCCATCATGGAACAGTGATCAGCTGAGAAGGGAGGCAACGCTAAGTATCTGTAGGCCTATTCGGCGGCGTCACGGAAACGATCGGGAAGTTCGGGCATGGCCGGTGGTTCAGTAGGCTCTGTTTCATCCTCATCTTCCTCCATCTCATCTAGGTTTTCGGGGTGACTAGAGTAGAAAAAAGAAAGGGGTCAGCATACCTCTCGCGGAAATGACCAGGGGAAGACATACGCAAGAAGTTCCTTGATATTCCTCATCTCGTAGTGGCGCTTCCGCTGAGCCTCAAACTGGGCATGCTTCTCGGTCCCTTGGCTCTCGCCCGGTACGGCATCACCATTCGTCTCCCCAACCTGCACATGTTTCTCGCTCTTGTGCGAGTCTGTACTCAAGCTGCGATCGCGATAAATTCGCGGATCTGACCCATCCTCGGCATCATCCCGCAGCGACTCTTCAGGCTCTCCGAGTTCCAAATCTGGGATTTCGTCCTCCGACACGCCCCTCTTAGGGTGCGCAGGTTTGGTAGAGCGATCCAGTTCGTCGACTACCACCCCCTTCGCATCGATCAGGCTATCCGCAGCCTCTTCCAACTGCATTTCCTCCTCGTCCTGGGCGGGGTCGTAGTGCGGGGCGTAGGGCGTCTTTGGCTCGTCGATCTTCATTTTCGCTGTGCGGTCTTGCTCAGTCAGGTAAAGATTCACTTCGTCCCATTTGAGGCGAGCAGCGTTGTCATCGTCGTGTATACTGGCGGAGGACTGACGGCGCGAGGCAGAACCGGGCTGTGTAGTCGAGGAAGAACGTCGACGACCGGCGTTTTGGAGAGTGTTTTGCAGGGTCAGCTCCTTTGTGTCGGCAGGTTCGGGGATCGGGGGGACGGCGACTTGAACATGAGCTGTCGCCGGCACTGGGGTAGACATAGTTCCCTGGAAAGAGCGCGAATTTTTGAGGATTCCTGAATGCGCGGGCAATGTTAGTTGGGGGGATTCCCTTTTGACCGGGGTCTGGAGACTGAGCAGTCCTTGCGTGATTTACCCTTTTGGGCGCGGGTGCACATCATCTACGCTGTGCACCTTGGGAGGTAGATGAGGTGCGGTTGTCATGATGAATGGTGGTAAGAAGAGAAAGTCTGTTTGGGATTCGGATTCAAAGAAAGGATTTTGGCGGGGTAGGTAGCAGGGTATCAGATGATATATGGTTGTAGGTGACTGGCGCAGTCACGCTGAATGAGGCGATCAAGCGGGGCTGTGTAAGGAGCTCTGACTGAGGTCCGTGACAGAAACGAGAATCCGAGGGCTCGTGAGATTATCACGAGAGGTTGGGCAAAGGGTCAACGTGGGGCTCCGATGACGTCGGCCTGAGGCCTGAGGTGTTTGGCATCAACGCCCAATGCGGTATGTCCCTCGAAATACCTCACTTCTCGAGCGTTCCCTGATATACTTTATTGTGTAACATATGCTGATTTTGCATGGAATAGTAAGCCCATGCTTGTTTAATGTAAAGAAAACACGTCTATTGATCAAGCACCGCGAAACAGCCTGCGAGCAGATTCCAGATCTGCAATAGAACAACAGGTAACGCCTACTTGCATGAACTAAGATCGGATCCCCTTTAGACACTATTTCCCGCCCAAGACATAGTCCCCCCCCACCAAAAATACGTCGGTCTATTGGAAGCATTGTAAGCTTATTTCTTACTTTAAGCTAGTTACCTTTGTTCCTCTCGATATAAATCAGAAGGACTGATAGGTGTTTCTTGAGCATATTGTAACTTTTATACGGCAAATGCCACTCCGTTTTCATATGGTTTGCTTTGCTAATGAGCTTCTATGAGACATGTACAGGGCGTAATACGAGCTGATGGAATAAATTGCTCAATTTCTGCGAAGAAACAGATCAATCATGTCTGTGAAAAGAAAATTCCTATATTGATCTTTAATTTAAAACAACCATATCTTTTCCAACTACGCGTCATTTTATGTTCTGGTTGTCTGAATCATTCCTCTGGGAGACTCGGTATATCTTTGTCTGGAGGGTGTATCTTGGCGCCGATATGTATTGCTTTCTTTTCTCTTACTTCTTTCTCTCGGATTTTTTTTTCTCTAATTTAGTAGCTCTAAAAGATTGTATCCACCACAATTTGAGATATTATGCTATTGTCGCTTGATTTTATGCTCATTACTTCCTGAGTACGATATCGTCCGAATTATAGGAAGTTGGGATAGTTGCTTGCCAGAAAGAAGTTCGGTTATCGCTGTAATTCCTCTTCCTCTTCTTTTCCCTCTCCTATCACTAGTTCTACTAGCTCGAATACAAACGACGTTACCGCTCCACTCAGTCAAAGAATGGCCTTTATTGACATACTAGAACTGAGGAAAGGAAGAGAAAAAGAAAGAACAAATAATAGAAGAAGCAGGCTTCCCCCGAACTTACGAACAACAGATGACCTTACGAATGAAAGGATCTGTCAGCTGTTAGCTGATTCTGCCTCCCTACACCGCCTGAATAGAAGCATCGTCCGACATACTGTCGTCTGAACATGGACGAGAAGGGAAGGAGGGGGGTGGTAGAAGTTGGGTATTAGATCCGCCGCTGTGGCTTCTCATTTCTCTCCTTCTCCTCTTCCCTCCTTAGCTTTAGTATTCCAAATTGAAAAGCCGTTGCTGCGCCGCTCCCAACAGTGATTAGGTTTCCCATTGACAGTATCGAGCTAAGTTATCTAAATTGCATTTTTCATTGCCGATAGCATTCACCTGTCATATATTGACATCGTAATACTACTACCCCTGGTTAGATACATGTCTTGAATTATTTCAAGTTAAATGTACTGTTATATAAAATAAATCAGAACAGATCTAGCTGAAAGTTCTATAGTTTGGAGACGTGACAATATAAGATAGCTCCTCTCGTTTAACTACTAGTATTACCAGAAGTATTTTGGGCCAAACATTGTAAGCTTCCGTACAGGAGTTGCACAAGATCAATATCTTCTCTCTTGGTATACAAAATCAAGGAAAGAGCTCAGCACCTTTCTCAACAAGATACCTCACAACTGCCCCACGGCCATACCGTGAAGCAATATCAAGAGGGGACACTCCATGTTTGTCACAGAGGTTAATATCGGCACCTTGCTTGACAAGGTATCTCACAACTATCTCATAACCACCCTATGAAGCATAATAAAGAGGAGACACTCCATATTTATCAAAAAGGTTAATCTCGGCACCTTCCTCAACAAGATACCTCACAATTGCCTCATGGCCATATCGTGAAGCAATATCAAGAGGGGACATTCCATCAATGGAAGAGAGGTTGATATCGGCACCTTGCTTGACAAGGTATCTCACAACTGTCTCATAACCACCCTGTGAAGCATAATGAAGAGGAGACATTCCATCAATAGAAGAGGGGTTGATATCGGCACCTTTCTCAACAAGGTATCTCACAACTGTCTCATAACCACCCTGTGAAGTATAATAAAGAGGGGACATTCCATCAATGGAAGAGGGGTTGATATCGGCACCTTGCTTGACAAGGTATCTCACAACTGTCTCATAACCACCCTGTGAAGCATAATGAAGAGGAGACATTCCATCAATAGAAGAGGGGTTGATATCGGCACCTTTCTCAACAAGGTATCTCACAACTGTCTCATAACCACCCTGTGAAGTATAATAAAGAGGGGACATTCCATCAATGGAAGAGGGGTTGATATCGGCACCTTGCTTGACAAGATATCTCACAACTGTCTCATAACCACCCTGTAAAGCATAATGAAGAGGGGACATTCCATCAATGGAAGAGGGGTTGATATCGGCACCTTGCTTGACAAGGTATCTCACAACTGTCTCATAACCACCCTGTGAAGCATAATGAAGAGGGGACATTCCATCAATGGAAGAGGAGTTGATATCAGCACCTTTCTCAACGAGATACCTCACAACTGCCTCATGGCCGATCCTTGAAGCAGAGTGAAGTGGAGATACTCCATATATGCCAGGGAGGTTGATATCAGCACCTTTCTCAACGAGATACCTCACAATTGTCTCATGGCCATTCTCTGAAGCATAGTGAAGTGCAGTTAGTTCTTCTTTATCCTTCTGATCAACCTTCAGTCCATCTTGCAGCAACCTCTTTAAAATACCAAGACGACCTTCGTTCGCCGCCCAGGTCACTGGAGTGCTGTATTTATAATTCAAAAGATCCTTTCTCGAATTTAAGCCTTCAGTCATATCGCTCCCCTCTTCATGAATGGACCGCAGGCCGAGGAGGGCAGCCACGGCATCCTTATGACCACCAGCCAAAGCTGCAAATATCGGGTACCTATATCTTTGATCACCTTCTACATGGACATCTGGGTCTGTTTGCATTTTAGACCGGATGAGGCTAGAATGCCCCTGGTCTGCCAAGATGTAGAAAAGGGTTGCTGCTAAACCGTATTTGCGACTTTCGAATTTCTCGTAGAGATTGTTCAATCGAATCCATTTCGGTAATTTGAGATCTGACAAGAAATCGTTTTGCGAGATTGATTCTGCAGCTGCATTCGCATGGCGGAATATATGCTTAGTGGCGTACTCCAGGAACGGATAGCTTTCAGAGAGCTGAACCTTCCTTTCTGCCTTGAACTTGTTCTCAACCAATCGAGCCTGATGCCTAGATCCAATATGACTAGTGGGGAAATAAACATCAATGGACCGGTGATTCAGATATAAATCACAACATTGACGCAAAACCACGTGACTTGAAGCTTCCCAGTCTTCTTCCATCTCCGGCCATAGCTCATGTAACCCATGATCTTTGATTAGAAAGTCTCGTACAGATTCATGGATGAACTGAACTGTTGGTGGCTGGGAGGACGTGACCTCAGCAAGTCCCTTAGAAGAGCTGGTCACAAAAACGGCAACGTGGGTGCTTAGCTGCGGATTGATAATTGGAATATGATCGTCGACGAGATTCTGTGATACCAAACCAGACCAGAGAGCATGATAAAACTCGTTCGGATGCAAGGGGCGCTCTGCAAAAAGAATCCAGCGGATACACAAACGAAGGTGCTCCATATTCTCCGTGTCCCGCCTCAATATGTCTTTGAAGAGATCGCTCAAGTCACTTGGTATCTCTGCAAGTCTCTTTCGCAGGGCTAATCCACCTCTGTGCCATTCTTTGTTCAGGATATCCACAACAAGAATAACCCACATAAAGACCCCTTTAGCTTTTTCGAGAAGCTGAGTTTTGAGCTCTTCTGAAAGCATAGGATTCTTTATTCGGAGACGATTCTCAACATAAGATTCCAAGTCTTTTGTGTGGCCTGTTTCGTCTTCGAGCGTCATTCTCATTCCTCTTTGAATTGAGATGTGGGGATAATGTCGACTGGAGAAGCAAACTCGGAACGGAATGCATTTATCCATACATTGTTCTGCTAGATCTTCAAAGTAGTCGATCATATCCCTGATCTGTTGCTCGTCACATTCATCTAGAGCATCAATGAAGCAGACAAAATGACGTTGACCAAGAGCAGCAACTGCATCGTAGAATACGTCTTTAAGCACATTCAATGAAGGACAGACTTGGCCCCTAGGAACGTTGTCGGGTTCGTCAAGGATTGTTTGTAGGTCGGGATATTTGTTCAGCAGTTGATGCAAGAGGGATCGATACATTCCTATGACCGACTTCTCCAGGTACTCGCCTCGCGCGTTGAAAAAGAAAGATGCAGTGGCAACCTTATTCTTCATCTTTGAGTAAGCAAATTTCATGATTGTTGACTTTCCTGCTCCGGGTTTGCCACTCAGCCATAGGAAACCGTGACATTGGGCGAAGCGGGCAGGATCAAGCCACGCCTTGTACTCTGGGTGATTCAGTAACCATTGACATGTTTTCGAATAATTTTTCTTGATGTTCAATTTGCGAAAATTCATTTGATTGAAATGCAATGAATTCAAGAACTGTTGTCGGTGATCGTGGGCCGTAGGTTGCTCTATACATCAAGGTGTTATTACCGTAGATATATCATATTGCCAGGAACAGGTAACTTACCCAAGTTGACGACAGGAACCTCTTCTCTTCCTTGCATTGATGGCAGCTCTTGAACCAGCTCTCTAGCATAGGCTGCTGCAGTTGCGGCAGCGTATCGCTGCCATTCCTTGGTTTTATGGGAATCGGAGTAATCACAGATGCCCCGAATAGGAAGACACGGCAGGGTGTCCATCAGACCAGCCGCTTCCATCTCAAAGCAAATTACGTCAAGTTCTCGAGCAATATTGTCTCTGGTGGTTCCATGCTTCATTACCTGGTTCCCGGAAGCAATTGCGCCATAATGAATCTTCGAGACACTGGACTCACGCCTGGCTCGCTTGACTAACTTCGAGGGGTCGCACTCATCACAATTTGAAGACCTATGCTCATATGTTGCATCAAAAAGACGATCAGGAGCATTAGGCCGGCGGTATTCGGGAAGGTCTTTCATCCTTTGCTCCAGGATCATCGGAACTTGACTGGGACCTAATTCATGCTTCGCGCGGAGGCTCGTGATCGCCGTTCCAAGCAGAGGACCATTCGTACGAGGGAGGGCAGTTCGTTCGAATTTTCCGTCTGCCATAATCTTTCCAAGGTCATATTGCATGACTCTTGTTCCAACGACGATGTCCCCAAGGCGAATGTCCTCTTTACTCGGCACGCCCCCGCCGATCCCAACCATCAAGGCGGTGGATATCGCAGAAAAGGTTCGAGTCATGTTCGCCACTACTGTTGCAGCATTGATTAACCCGTAATACTTCTCCGGTAGGCAGGCAATGACGATATTGTGTCCGCTGATGCCGCCCAGCACATAGCTGTTGGTATCGTTGGTGGCTCGCGGAGGAACGGCGTGGATCTCATCAAGCATCGCCCGCGCTGCTGCCATTTCGATATGGAGCGCACAGATCCAGGCAATGGTGTAAGACTCATTCTGCTGAACCGGCAGGCACTCTTGGTGAATGACCTTCTGTCGTTTGACTGGCCTTGGCTCCTCTTGAAAATGGTCACCTTCCATGACTCATTCTCCTCCCGGATGCAAGTTGATGGTGGGTATTATCAGAGACTCGGACTCAAATCCGACGACAAGATGGAGAGAAATGGGGGGAGAGAAATGAGGGCGAGAACGGAACAAGAAGATTAGGGGGCCGCGGAGGCTCTTCGCCGAATCGTTTCACTGCCACAGGTCGAAGGCTGTGCCGCAAAAGAAAACATACGCATGACCGTGGCCCAATCATTGTGCAGTTCCAACGCCCAGGCTGATCAGCTCCTGTGCCATCTCATGAAATCCATGCATACTAAAATAGCGTCATTTTCAGAGACTGAGAAGATTTGTTCAGTCTGCCCAGCAAACGTGAGAGCCTTCATTAGTGGCATCTCAACACTAGCACAGACTCGAAGATGCCTTTACTTTGGAGTACGTCCACAAAAATTCCCAAGCAGAATTAAGAATGCAAACCAATCCGTGTGTATATACGGACAAGTAAAAATAGTATATTGGGAATGAGATTCAATGGTATTAGGCCGTCCCGTCTTCCAATGCATACACGAACGCCGTGTTACGCCCCTCGAGAAAATGAGACTCCTGACGGTCGGCATAAAAAGTGAATCTCCTCTGAACACCAGATCAATTGCCCAGGAAAGGGGTATCTGTATATGCAAGTAACCAAGGCCTGCCTCGCATCAATAATATATGAAGTAATCAAGGAAAAGAAATAAGAATCGAGGAAAGACTAATATCAAAAATAAGCCAGAAAAGGCCTGCACAAGATGAAGAAAAGAAAATGAAAGAGGTTTATTATGCAATAGAATCAAACTCCTCGCGTTCGCGGAGTCGGTTGCGCGCGAGCACATCGCCGCCGTTGGCGGAGAGCTGCATCCAGTGCAGCGCCAGGCACATGCTTTGCGGGTCGGATTTGGAGTCTTTGCCGCGCAGATACATCATCTCTGCCTTGAACGTGTCACGCGGGCGTGTGAGAGGTAGAGTTACCCGGGGAAGGAGCTCGGGGTGTGTTAAGTAGAGAATGGCGAGCTCGCGCTGTGCGACGGGGTTACCTTCCTTCGCGGTGATAATCCACATGGAGGCTGCCATTTCAACTGCATGGCCTGATTGCGGGAAGAATTCTGAACCTGGAGGTGGGTGTCGGCGCATGAGCTCTTGCGATACGATACGATCTGCGATCTCGACCATGCTGTGGCAGACTTCGTCCTTAAGACTGAGAGCGGCAAGGCCGAAGTGGAGGAAGGCAGTCCCGCGGTCAGTTCGGTTTAGTTGGTCGGCGGGAACGAACGCTGAGATGAACTGAAGGTCCCGGAAGAGAGTTTTCGGCTTGACTTCCAAGATGAGTTCCCGGAGTTTGGATATGATTTGGTCATCTGATGGCGTCAAGTAATCGGAACGCTGTGAGCCATAGGTGACCGACTCTGCGGGAGATGACATGGGGAGGCTTGTCTCCATTGGCGTCATAGCTGTCATTCGAGGCTCTGAAAAGCTGCGACGCGTCGATCTTCGACGATGTTGAGGAGTGCTTGGTGTTGGTGTTTCAATGCTACTACCTCGGGCGCCCGCAGGATGGGTCTCATGTGCAGAATTGAGCGAAAAAACAATCAGCGACCTGAGATCCCTCAGGGCATTAAGTTTAACGTATGGATTCCCGTGTCGAGAGAACACCTCGATAAGCCTGTGGAAGACAGCCTTGTAGGAGAAGTCTGGCTGGTCATCTTCCTGGGTTGACTCCTCGCCGGTATCCGACTTGTCTTTAGCATCAGCATTACCCCGGGATTGTGTGACCGGGGGGGTCGAGAGACCTGCTCCGCTGACCCCCAGATGACCGGCGACGTTCGCGAAGATGCTTTGATCGCTGATCGTAGTCATCATAGAACTTCTGGATTGTTGCCCTCTTTTGCATCTGCATTCGAATGTGCGGTTTGTCGAGTGCGTTCGTGAACCAAGCATCCGTTTCGCTGCCACAACTCCAAACTGGAGAACCAAGATCGGTTAAGAGAAGACTGGCAAGAGTTTGTTTCAAATTGTCCATGAATGCGGTCTTCCTCTGGGTCCTCCCTTGGCGCTTGCTTTGGGCTCGTTCCTTAGATTGCCCCTGGGGCGCTCGGTCAGAGTGTCCGGCAGGACGAGCCAAGGTTTCGCTGTACATGGACGGCGGCCTGGAGTAAACGCTTGAGACACTCTCAGCATAAGCGGGGTGGTGCTGGTGGCCTGACCAAAACGTGCTATAGGTATCACCAGTCGAAGTCGATGCTGCACGGCCCGGCGATCCTGCGACTGAGCTAAAGTCGACAGATGGTGGCCCGCGGCTAGTCCGCCATTTCTCAGCGCCAAAGCGAGGCATAGATTGTTTCTCGCTCATCGCTGATGGCAGATCGTGGGGCAAGGGAGAGAGCGGACTCGGGGTGGGCAAATTAAATCCCAGTGATAAGGGTGTGCCTAACTCTTCACTTGTGGCTGTAGAGGGACGAAGGTTTGTGGGAATAGACAGTCCCGGGAAAGGTCGAGAGCCAGAGCCTTCGTACTGAGCTCGCTCCCGCTGGAATAATTCACTGGCCCATAGAACCGGTGTCTCTGACATGGTCTCGCCTACCAGGCGACTGATGCTCATGCGCACCTCATAGCAGAAACGATGGATTCTCTCCTCGCCTTTGCAGAAATTCTCAATTCCATTCAGAGACAGCCACTTGCGTGTCAACTCCACTTGCTCGTCAGAAAGTTTCTTTGGGCCACCCTGACTGCTCGGAGCTTTCATCATGTTCATGACCTGTATCTCAGGCTTTTGGAACAAAGAACCCCCGAGCGACCGTGCTGCGGTACGTGCTCGTGACTCTTCTGGGAGATCAAACGGTCGCGAGATCATGGTCTTCAGAGCCATGGCCACGTGTCGAGCCTCTTCGTATTTCATCGAATTCTTGACATCCGTCATGTACCACATTTTAGTGCGAATCTTATCGATAGTTGACATGAGCGTCTTCAGCTGCCCTTGCAGTCGATGTAAGCTATGGTCGAGCGACACAAAGTCACTCTCACAGCGTTCCACCACTGCTCGAGATTTCTTCAATGAGTTGATACATGATTTGTGCATTGGTCCTAAAATCCAGGAATCGCCGGGAGATGACGCGGAAAGGTGTTCCTGTCGAAGTTGTCGAGACGCATTCCACCAGTAATGTGCGCCGGTGAAATCCGACACGTTATGAGCTGCGGCCATAGCCATGTTGAAACGTTGCCTTAGGGATGAAGGAGGTGCCGATGTTCGGAGTGGGTGCTCGAAATCGCTCGCATTGTGCAGATCACTGTCTTCTACAAGACGTATGACTGCCGTCTGCGTAGCTTCATGGTTCTCCTCCTGGCCAAGATTTGTGGTGTGAGGGTCATCATCATTTTCCAAGGTCAGGGTTTTCGAAGACCCGGTTCCAAAGTCAGGGAGTAAGCTCCAAGTCAAATCGTGGCCATCCTTCGATATTGAGAATATAGTCCAATTTTCTTCCGATGGGTGCTCCAGATTCGGGCGATGTATAGGCTCGTCTAGATCTGTTAACTCAAAGCGTATTCGAGCAGCAGTCTGTGATAGGCTACTATCGGGCACGGAAATAAACGAGGACTCCATGGAGAATATGGATCCATTCTGGGAAGGAGGCCGCGGGCTTTGGTTATTTGTCGATCGGTAGAAGCCAGGCTCGGCAAGAGGTTCAGAACGCATGCTATAGGATGTTGAAATACCAGACCAGGATGGCATTCCAGCCGTTGATGGCGATGTATGCAGAGAAGAAGGTGACTGCGGGAATAGGCCATTCAGAAGGCTGAGTACATCCGCAGCTGATAGAAGCAGAAAAGTTGAGGCTGGATTCTGGCGGCTGGGATCGGCTGAAGAAAGCTCAGGAGGTCCATCGTCAAGAAACGGACTTTGGAATCGCGAAATCATGTAATCAACCCGTTGCTTGACTGCTGGGCGCAGTGAGAAATGATGCCTATCAGTATATTGTCAGCAAAACAACATCTCTGGAGAGACTTCGATCCGAGATTCGAAGACTAAATTAGACCAATTGTGACCCACATTGACCGCAAAACGGCAAAGACCTGTGAATATGCTCGGAGGCCAACCTGATTAAGCAGCTTGTCGCGAGCCTCTTTCCTAATGTGGAAGTCCAGAGCAGTCCATGCGTCTAAAGAAAAGATCAGCCAAAAGCGGTTGAACAGATATGCCAGTCACATACTTCCGGATAAGTCAAAGCACTATAGAGGAACTTCGGAAAAAACCACTGCAAGAAAAGGTACTCAAGAAAACGGCTGCGCATGTCAGGACTGGGTAATTTCCGCAGAACGGCCCTGGCAAACTGAAGCACGGCGCGAGGGAAACCGGCATCAGGATCCTCGAGCACGCGGAAGAGATCATCAACCGCAGAAGCAAAGAACTCTTCAGCAACCTCCGTGCGCAGGGGATCCATGGTGTCAGCGGCAAAGTCCAGTCCGGCAGTATCGGTATGCTCCAGTAGAAAGGCTCCCGTTTGTAAGATATCCATGAGGTAGAGTTCAAATTTGGGACGGGCTATCCAGTTACTTCCCGTAACACAGGAGGATAGGATCTGATTGACCAAAGGGAAAAATTTACTACTGCCATGGGACATTAGTTGGGCGCAGACAGAAGACCAGACATCCAGGCGAAGATGGGCCTCCGGTGTATCGGGCTCTAGCGGGGCGGCAAAAACGTTACAAAACAAAATAGAGAGCGGATCGGTCCTTTCAAAGGAATAAGCATGGTCCTTGAACGGGGCAGACTGGGCCAGGTTTCGATTAAAAGAATAGTGAGATCGAGAGCGGGACGATGAAGAGAAAGCAGCATCGCCGGCGTCCAAAGCGGTAGAAGAGGCCGTAAAGGCAGCCAGCTGAGCCGAGCTAAAGCCCCGAATACGATCGACGAGAGAACTGCGGGTCAGAGCGCACCAGTCGCAAGATTTCCAACAGATCCGTCCGGGACTGAGGACTCAGTTGGTGGAAGAAGTCGGCCGAATGATCCAGTTCGGCGTCCGAGCCTCGGTCGTCCAGCGAATCCTGGGTGTCCTGGTGGGCAGAGACACACGAATCCTGGAGATCATGAAGAAAATGGTATAACGTAATAAAACTGGCCTTGTCATCATGTTTGAGCCCTTCCACGAGGCCGCGCTGGACAGTAGTTCCGATGCGGATCATGCGCGCAGACACGCCGATGGATACTTTAGTTGCGCGCAGACGCTGTTCCAGTCGCTTCCTCTGGGCCTTCTTCCTTTGGCTCTGACGATACCTTGTTGCAAAATCCTCGAATGAAACAGATTCTTCCACTGGCGCGGGAGCTTCAAGTGCCGGGGATTCAATTCCAGGGGATTTGGCCTTCAACTCCGGGATGGGACTGGAACGGGCCGAGCCACCCAACTCACCTGGCCCCATGGTTGACTCTGGCGATAGCGACGGGGTTGTCGGCGACGCTGGAGGAGAAGGTGGCAAAGGCACTGATGCGGGGTCCACGTGCGACAGATCACATGGTGGACATGGGATCTCCAGGGCTGAAAATGTGATAAGATTAGAATATGAAGTCGGGCATCGCTGAAGGGCCCAGAGAATCGAAACTAGTGGGTTCGCGGCCCAACGCACGGGGAACTTACTAGCTGGGATCACCGTCAGTTCCTCCTGTTGATCCATGGTTCCTGTCGCGCCAAAGGGCGAAGTGCGTTGTCGCTCGATGCCCCTGGCTGGAAAATGCTTATCGCATGGTTCTATCGTGGGCGAAAACGAGTGCTGAGAACCGCGCACCCGGTCGCTGGAGAGAGAGCAACCAGAAATTCGGTCCAGGATGGATAGAGGAAAAAAGAGGGAAGAGAGGAAAAGGCGGGGGGAAAGAGAGGTTGAAGAAGGGAGGGGTAGATTCAGGAAGCTAAGAGATGGAACAAGACTACGAAGGTTATAGCATATCAGGATTAGACAGAGAGAAAAAAAAAAGCCCCGTATAAAGAACTCGAAGCGGCCAGTTGCAGGCAAACTCCAGGAAGTATACTGGCCAGAACACGCTGAAGTACACAGAAGTACACGCTGGAGCAGAGCAGTAGCAGCGAGTGCGCCCACAGCGGCAAGGGACTCCAGTTGTTACGAAGACATTGGCCGCGAGTACCGAGTACACGGGGCGACGATGCGTTGGCACTGCATGCAGGACTGAGGTGGACAGCCCCAGCCCAATCCTCCTGATTCGCCCGCCGACCCCCCTGCGCCTCTGCGGAGTCAGCTACTGTTGTCCGGCCTTGGATCGTCAATGGGCCAATCGCGCTCCTGCTGGGCCATGAACATGCTTGACGGCGCTAGTCATCTGCTGGGGTTTCGGGACGAATCTGTACGCAGTACATGAGGGCCCCACTTGATCCAGGGCGTTGTTGCCAAATGTCCACGTCGTTTTGTCTGCCGAGTGTGCCACGATTAGGTTTGCCGTTCACCCACTTTCACTGGTTGCTCGCTCGCGCGATTTTCCGTTCGAGAAGCCAACAGAACGCGGTGAAGCCGTTATGCAGAAAATCCCCGCGTTGTCCCGGAGGGGAACAGGTGCTACAGAGTTGAGGTATCGAGGGCTGCATGTCCTTGAGTCTAGTCCTATGCAAGAGGGCATGCGACCAGACGTGCAGCAACGATGACTGCACTGCGCATAAAACGGCGCCGGGAAAACTAAATCCTCTGGTAAAGGGTCAAATAGTACTTCCATATACATGTGGGAATATACATGGGCCTGAAACAAGAAATGGGATAAACAAATAGTGATGAACACGAAATGTGATATTGATTCAAGTGGAAGCCGTTCAAGCCTGCTCTCATGATAATCCATAGCAAATGCCTGGGAAACCCGTCATATTAACCTTTCAACGCCAACCATAACACATGCAAATGCCCTTATTGACACATGATCCACATCGAGGCCCAGGCGGGTTTTGGAGGGGTCGGAGACGTTACGGGTTACAGACCCATCTCTTCTCCGTCTGCTTCTCACCCACACGTTTTGCAACCTGTTCGAGGGTGACCTTCAACGTGTCCTTCGGTATTTTTGGGAAGCTACATGCGTTCGCGTCAGTATGTGTTCGAAATGCATCGGGAACAAAGCTTACCGTTTCTTCAGATGTTCCATCAACCCGATCTTAGTCAAATCGCTGCCCTCGACAGCCTGCTTGAACTCTGCCAGCTGTTCAGGGGGAATGGCTTCTTGGCCTTTGAACCAGCCGGCAGCGCACCCCCAGCGGGGGCGCATCACCGCTTGTAGACCGGAACTTATCCAACGGGCCAGCCGCCGGCTTCTGAAATACTGCCGCTTTGGCCTGGGCTGGGTCTGCACTTGGCTTGGGGGTTTCCCAATATGATGTAGACCACGGGTCGATAGGGAATCGAACGGTCTCGGAGATTGTTTCGATCTGGTAGACCTTCATGTCCTCGTCCACGCCATCTGCGGCCCAGCGGATTCCACTACAGACGGGTTCGAGATCGCCCACGATTTGACGCCGCTTGCCGCCTGCCAGTGCATCGTCTTCGTCGTCCAGGAAATCATCCATCTCTTCGTCTCCATCCTCACTGCCTTCCTCTTCTTCCTCTGAGTCCAGGTCCTCACCTTCTTCGGGCTCCTCCCATTCAGCTTCGGAGTCGTATTCGTAGTTTGTCTCAGGTAGGCCCTTGTGATAAGGGTTACGAGACATCTTCTTGGCCTCGGCTGGTGGGACTGCACGAGTATAGGTCCCTTGATATGGTGGTCTGACATCTTCGCAAAATTTAAGTGACTTCATTTGTACCTCGAGCAGCATCTTTTGCGGGGATTTCTTGGTCTGGCGGTCTGCCTGAGCACCCGTGTGCTCCTGCTCATTCTGTTCCTGCATGGTTCGCATAATTTCTCGGGCGGAGTAACCTTGCCGGCCCTGTCGACGGCGATATGGGATAAGGTTAAACACCTCAGAGGGACGAAAAGGTGTATGCTTAAAGGGTTTCGCGCTTGGGTCGAGGCTGGCGTCCAGTGTTTGGCGGACGTGCTTGAGAGCCAATTCGTCGCGCTGGAACCGGTGGGGAGGAGCAACAGTAGTATGTGATTGAACGAAAAACTCGGGAAATTCTTTAGAATAGTCGGATTCGGAAGACTTGACGGGAGTGGGAACGGGATCAACGTTCGGTTGAGGCTTTGAAGGCGAGTTGGCGCTTTTAGCAGGAGATGTAGGGGGCGGAGGTTTTGCGAAGAATGAGTTGAGCTTTGGTTGCGCCTGCAGAGTGTATGTAAATAAGAGCTCCAGCGTCTGGTAGCTGAAGAGTGAATATCAGGCCAAATACATACCCGCTCTTTCTTCTGCTTCTCCTCCTCCTTACGACGCTTCTCGTCCTCCTTGGCGGCTTCTTTTGCTGCCTTTTCTTCTTCTTTAGCCCTGCGTCTCTCTTCTCGTTCTGCTTCCCGTCGCTTTTTTTCTTCTTCTTTCAAGCGCTTCTCTTCCTCGCGCTCGGCGTCGCGTTTCTTCTTTTCTTCCTCCTTCACGCGTTTCTCTTCTTCCCGCTCGGCGTCGCGCTTCTTCTTTTCATCCGCCCTTAGTCTCTTCTCCTCGTCTTTTTTGGCCTTCTCCTCTAAGCGTTGACGTTCCTTGGCCTCCTTTTCTTGTTGTTTGACATCTTTACTAGCAGGAGACACCTTTTGCCTTTTGCTGGCAGGGCCGCCAGTCTCTTCGGCATTCGCCGGCGTCATAGTGACAGTATCTGTGACAGGTGGGGAAAGATCAAACAGGGCACTCGCTGAAGCAGGTAATACAACAGCAAATTGAGTCTGGTGGGTGGCTGTTTCTTTGTTGGGGGTTGTTGATTGATCTTCAATGGCTGATGCTGTTGATGGATCTTGATTTTCCTGATTCTCGCCAGTGCAAGACGTATTTGGACGTTTGTGACCAACAGATGAGATTACTGCATCGTCCACTTCGTTGATGGACCTTTTTCGAGGGCTTGAAGGCGACGCGGAAATCGAGGCAGGGGGCGGTAACGGCGACAGTGTCATGTTTGACTCCATGAGGGGTGATCGTGATGCTGTCATTTAGAGGTTTTCCGTTATAGATTCAACACCATTAGTCAAACAGGCAATGGCAATACCCAAGGCGAATGAACATCGGAATTAGCCCGTTGGGGCGTGGTGTGGTGGTGTTACTTGTTAATCTCCGACTTGAAAGGGCAATGTGGGTTGAACGACGCGTTAATAGGGATTCGCGTTGTCGCGTTCCGATAAGGCACGTGTCTGCTTACTTAACTCGATTCAGAGTCCCCCCCGGCAGTAAATTAACTATGGCAAATTGGAATAACTTCAATTATTGACAGCATTAGCACATGAAACCGTATTTTCAGGTTTTTCGCGTGTGAGTTGTAAGAAATTGAGGTTGTCGTTCCCCTTCTTGGGTATATGCAACATGATTACTAGAGCGAGTACATGGCATCAAGTACGTCTATATACAAAATGAACATTCGGAACGTTGGGTCTTAGGATTAATATCACTGATCAGATTGCGAGCTATGAAGAACCATGAGCCGGAGTTTTCCGGATGCAGAAACCAAGCGCAAAAGTAGAAATGACCCATCCACAATACCAGAGATAGACCAGATTTCCCGAAACAGATGAAGAGCCAGCGTGGGAACAAAAAGACTGAGATATTGAAATCAAATGTTACCATCCCAGTTGGACCATCAAGGCCAAGATAACTGGGGAAGGTGCTTCCAGAAAGATATTATGTGCAGCGGTAATATGCTGAGGCAGTTAAAGAAAAAGTAGCTTTCAAGGTCGTGAAAGAATTAGAATGGTGGGCAATGACCGGAACAAGTACGGGGAGTATGTTCAAAGGTCTTAAGGCTGCGTGATGTAGAATGAGCGACTGAGTCGGGAGGGTAGCCTCAGTCGCTTAGGTCGTCGGGGTTAGCGACGAATAAACGAACGTTGCCCAAAGACATCGTCCGCTCATCAACACTGCCTCGCCGCCGTAACTCGTCTGCTTTCTTGGCCTTCTCCGATGCTGCAATCGCGGCACTAGGCGCCTGCATGTCGCCCACCATATCTTCCTGCTCACTGCTGTGCGTAGTCCCCGCGTCATCCTTCGTCAGGGATGACACCCGACTCTTCTCCTCTTCCCGAACCTCCGCAGGAGGGTTCTCGGTTACCTCGGGAAGGTCGGTCTTCTCGCTGGGAGGCGTGCTATTGCTGCCCATTGTACCCGAGGGTCGCTGATAGCCGCTAGGATACCGGCTGCTGCCCACAGAGCTGCGACCGCTGCCCGTCCGTCGGTGAATGACCCCTTCATTGCTGAGGGCGTCATCTTCTGCGTCGCCGATCTCGTTCGCACTCAGACGCACCGGTACCTTGGCGCTCACTAGGTTCGAGGGTGAGAAATCCAGCCCACCCTTGCCGCCGTGACGGTTCTTGCTACTAGGGTGCCCAGAGCGGCCACCACCATGTACCTCGAGGTACGCCCTCCGTTTATCGCGAAGAGCCTGCTCGCGCATGCGAGGGTCTTCGGGTTGCGCCCGGTCGCACCAGACGGTGCCCTTTTGTCGCCGCATCAGGGCTACATAGCCGAGTTGTGAGTTCGCGGAGCGATTGGAGGCGCTGCGGCGGATGTCGACATCTGCGTGGGCCATTTGGTTGCCGGTCGAGTTGGTCGAGGTGGTGGTGTTGGAGAGGCGTCGAGCGGGAGGGAAGGGGGCGGGAAGAGCGCTCTTGTTCGGGGAGATGGGCCCTTGTCCTAGACCGGCTTGGTAATGCGGGGAGTGAGAGCTCGAGCCGTATGGCAGCACGTTTGAGGAGGTGGTGCGAGTTCGGCTGTGGACGGTTTGGGCGGCCGGCTGAGGGGCAAGGTTTCGAGGAGAGTCGTAGCCCTGATAGCTGCTGTAGCCATGTTGGACCATACCGACTGGTTTCCTTCCAGGCGGGCCCTGGTGCATCGGCATTCGGAAATCGGTCATGTTGGGCGGGTAATGGACACTAGCCACGCAATTCTTTTCTTCTAGAGTGGCGAGGGAGAATATGATGGCCCCGTCACAGGTCGGCGCAGTAGGAGAAATAATTTTTCCTGTGAGAAATGTAGGTCTTCAAAAGAATAGCCTGTGGATTCCAAATCCGGCTTTCTCTCAATGTGATGCGCGCGCGGTCCTTGTAGATGGGGTCAGACGATCGGCAGTTTTATCGGCGGTTTTCGTTTCAGCGTACACTCCGCCAGCCACCACTTGACTGAAGGATTCGCAGCAGGGGATTCGATTGGGAATCGTTTCGAATGTGACGTGCCAAGGTTCTCTTTGAAAGGCCAACGGCGGAACAATGGAAATTGCCAGGGGAATGGAATTGGCGGGCTCGGGTACAAGCGCACAGGATTTTCTCCCAGATACGCGGACGCCCAACTGAAGAGAGATGGCGTCACTGAAGAGACTTTCAGATTGAAATCGTCCACGAGGTCAAGGGTAAAAGATAGGAGAGAAGCAGGGGGGGAGGATGAACAAAGAGACTTTGGCGGTTCAACCCTCCTTAGTGCTATGATTGGCCAATACACCGGACCACGACGGACCTGAAGTAGAAGTTGGCGGGTGGAGATAGACCTCAGCCACAGAGATCGAAATCTGGTTTCTGAAAATTACAATCCCGCAGGGCTGATGGCCTCAAACGTCCCGCCTAAATGCAACTGCTACTCTGGCATGGCTGATATCTACACAGCACAGATGGCTGTCTAATATTCTGACACAGCCGAATCAGGTAAGACATGCCACGGGCTAAAGTTTCCTGCTGATTATCCTCGTGTCGACTGCGATCACTGCGGAATGCCCGTGAGATTCCAACTAGACCCAATGTACACTAGCGGGGCTTCGTACCTGTCCATCCGTAAGATGACCCCCTCCCTGGACAAACAGCCGGGGTCACATCCGGTTTTCTCATTGGCAGTCAGGCCATGCTTCACTGGGCGCTTAAGCTTGTCCTGGGATTCATGTCTTGCCTTGATACCATTGCAACCGGCTATGGGGCGTGTTCAGCTAAGACCTACGAATTCGTCTCCTGCGGAAGAACGCAGACAGAGAAAAGCGACATGGCCATACTCGCGAAGCCCCTGATTATGCTCTTGCAGGACAATTGCGCGTCGCCGAAGGTGCTTCGTACGGTGATACGAGTCGTGCACGGCAACAACTTTCCCAGCCCACATGAACCACATAGGTCAAATGATCCTCCACGGGTTTCACCATCCCTCCAACCCGTAAACCAAGACACCCAGATACCGCGGAGACAATGGTTTGTCCACTAGGTGTCTTTTCCTCTGCAATCTGCATCGGGGACTTAAGTACGCAGTAGATGGCAGTTCCGGGGGCGCTGCCCAGTCTTCTGGGATTGGCGGACAACTCGGCAATCATGGCGTGACGCACGGTTCGCGCTGTGGCGCTAGCAGCCCGACTGCAACCAAGCTTTGGATCACCTGCTTGCCAGCCCGGTGAAGCAAGAATGCATAGTGCTGGTGCAAATCCTTGCTAGCTGGTTACTTCTCGTATCTTCTCTGCTTGTCTAGTGGCCTCCTGATGTGCAGATGGATTTCGTCCTGAGATTTCCACGTGTCAGCTCCAGTACACCCGCCAAAGTTCATCCCGTTTATCTATGGCTCCTAGCATCTGCGACCAGGTTTAGCCTTCTGGCGTGGAAAGGGTCATTGATTTCGGTGTCCTTGATTGGGAGGGAACATTTGTGTGTGAAGTGCGGGGCAGGCCGTTCTGATAAATCCTTGATGCTTATTTGCACCACAGACTCGACCGGCGCTCGATCCTTCACGAAGACATGTCTGCTATGGGAAAGATAAGTTCGCGAGTAACCGAGGGCCGATTTTCGTGGGCTGTTCTTATGTATCTCGCCTTCAGGAATGCGGGGTACGGCATAGACAACGAGGCAAATGCGGAGTTCACCTAGTGCACAGTTCAATAACTTAAGAAGAGGCTCAATGTAAGTTTTCCGCGGGCGTACATCATGTACCCTACTAAGATTTCCGTGTCTGGAAGACCTGATCTGCCAGTGCTCTTGTCCATATAATAGTACCTGCACCGACACCCTTTGATAGAAAACAGGACTCTCTTCGCACCAGGGCTTACTTGAATGTGCTCGCCTCGAAGAGCAACCTCCTAGAAGTTTTAACTCAATATCCACTAACTGATAGAAACCATACTTCGCAGGGTTTAGTCCCAGAATGCCAAGCAATGAGACGCGTGTGGCTAGTGAGACTGCACAGCCTTTGATGAACTCTTGCCTGATTCCGATGATCAGGCCCCAATCTGAATACTCGCTGGCGCTGGCTCCACCACCTAGAACTCCCAAGAAGTAAAGAGAAATATTTAACATTCCCCCGCTTTGCCGACAGCACCATGGCCCTGAACGGACGCAATAAGGACGGTCCCAGACATCGACCGGGAGCTTCTGAGGTGTCGCCAGAGAGAGGATGAGAGCCCGTACGCCTTCCATTCGAGGCTTTTTCGCCTTGAGAATATCCTCCTGAGAAATTATCCGATCGGATGAGTGCGCTTCGATTCTATGTGCACTTGGCTCTCTCTCTCTCCAATTGTACATCCAACGGCAGCAGAAGCCCGCCGCGAAGCGGTAGCGCAGGCCCAACGTTACTGGTCCCTATCCCGGGCTTACAGACCCGGAAGAACGCCCGACCTACGACGGCGACCACCTAAACCCTTATAGACGAGGAGGGGACGACGCCAACCTGCGGTCGCAATATCAGCAGAGCAGGAAGCCTCCTTTCCGGCCTCACCGGCCTCGCCGACAAGGAAAGCGAACGGGTCGCAGAACAACCCGGGTCCTCGAGCGTTTCCTTAGCGGTCACATAAGCAAACCAGGAACCACCTGGCAACAGCAGGATGCCATCCAAGCTTCAAGGCTTACGTGGGAGCGCTGCATAGTAGTTAGGGCTCAGTACTGTAATTTACAGAGAAAAACGAAAGAAAAATTTGTGCTGCGCCACACTTCGCGTGGGAACGTAGCACTCGGTGGAGCAGGAACGGGGAATATGTAGTCATGACGTCAGTATGTTTCAGCGTGCCCATTGGTTCAGCATGAGTGATTTATCAAATGAATAAGAGTCAGGAACACTGGCTGCGTTCGGATCTGAATCCACGGGAGTATTCTTTTTTTCCTTGGAACGGGACGGAGAGCTCATTATGGGCGGACTCGAGTTGACTGTCGAACGCCACAGTTTAATTTACACGCGATCGATTTAAACTTAACGTGAAATGGGACTAAGCTCGAAAGATCTGCCATGTCTCACAGATCTTTCCGTCTGCGGATAGGTGTAACGTTCTTCTGCTAAATACTTCGGCCGAAGTGGTGTTTCTCTCCGCCCGTACCCCATCCCGGTAGGCCATCGACAAGAATGAAAGTGCATCTCCATTTGCGAAGCAGTGAAGAGGGGAAACTGTTACCCGGGACGAGGATACAGGCTGTCCTGTTTTCGGCTCACGAATTCTATATTTCTGAACTAATAGGTGCTTTGAAAAACCGATTGATCCCACATTGTAGTAGATAGTACGTTCAGAATATTTCCATATGCCCAGCGACCTCAGCCTCTCGTAGTTCGTGGGCTTCGAGAATTAGCGGCAAGGGACTATTAGTAGATGTGCGCGTCGAACACATCGGCGGCGAAGTAAGAACTAGTGGAGTAGACATGGGAAGCGACCTAAATGTCATGTTACTGCAAGTGTACCGGTGTTTAAAGATGTACGCTAGCCACATTAAGTGGCTCGCTATTTAGTTTTGTGCCATAAAGGGGGAATTTTGAACGACTTGAGCACCGCGCCAATGGTAGAGGTCAAAGCCCAGACAACATGATTCACAGTCGATATGGATGAAGTTGAATATAGTACATGAATTAGAGACATAGTGTAGACCCGGAAGCTTAGTTAAATTCGTTCCTTCTTAATTGTCGGGCCACTTCCTCTATATCAGCGAAGGTTATGTGTCACCAATGGATAAATGGTGAAATCAGCAAGGTTGGATTCTTAATTACTTCATTATGAGTTACAGCCATGAGGATCCGGCAGAATTACCCTGTCCGGACATAGGAGTAAACAAGCTTTCCTTACTCGCCATGCAGCTGTGATAATCATTGTGAAGATGGCCCACTGGCACTCATCTAGGTCAGGACAGCCTCCTTCATAGCCGTTATTACATGACTGGGCCGTTAGCAAGCCCACCTGGGAGATAACCAGAGGTGTCAACCGCCTGACTGATTTCCCTTGTGAAAGAACTGCAACAATCAGTTGGTAGATTATGCAGATGGATGGAAAAGCGAGCTATGCTCTAGTATTCTATGAGGTGAAGCAAGGGATCCTACAATAAGTTCGGGATTAATTTCGGAGCAAGTTCAAGTATGATTGAACCTTGCCAGTGCAATTATTCATGTGTAACATAGCAGTGAATTACCCACTCGCGAAAGTTCTGGTGTGCCTATCTGTACGACTCGAAGCTGTGCACCCAGAATATATAGGAAGACTCGAGATTTTCCAAACCTTAAAGGTTACTAGTAAGTGCACTGATTGCTGTAAGACACGGAGAGCCACTTGCGACGATTTAGCGGCAGTGCAAAGAATTCATGGCCATGGCTGGACAGAGAGAGTTAGATATGGCTAACAAAAATATTGATTTCAGAGAGAAATTAAAGATACCAATGAGCGCACTACTATTCAGTGTTTCGGAGTAAGAATCAGCTAGGTAAGCTTCACCTGCTTCCATTGCAAGTTTCCACTTTCCCTTCCTGGCTTCGGTGAGAACGGTTGCATTGATGTATGGTAGTAAAGCCGCAGTTGTAGGATAATTAGCAAAGAACAGAATTCGCGAAGACAAGTCTTCAGTTTAGCTAGACATGCAGAAAAAATGGGGAGGTCGAAAAAACTTTCGAATGTATATGATATCTGGGTGGCCATGTAGCCTCCATGCTAGAGGGAGCTACAGACTACAACGAATATAAGTAGAATGTTCTGAAAGTACTGAGATTGGTAGCTGCCTTATCGCTGCAGATAGTAGATTATGCAGGATTGTAGGTGTAAAGAGTATGCGCCAATAAAGTGAAGCCGACGAAAATCAGAGCCGACGCAAAACAAAGAAGCACCCCATTGAAATTATTATGTTGAGCAATCAGATAAACATGGCTGTCTCGAGAATGATGGGGGCAGAAACGCAATCCTAGACGAGCAGGGCAAGGAGTCCTAGACGAGTAGGGCAAGCAGCATGATGATGCTAGTACTGAAGATGTTAGAAACACCAGAGAGCGAGGAACCAGCATTGTAGGAAGGAGGGCTGCTAGCCACAACACCCGAGGTGCTGAAGGGCTTGCTTGTGACAGTTGGTTTGGCTGAAGCTTGGCCAGTGCCCAAGGTGATTGTGTTCCAGCAGTTACTGGTGCAAGGAGTCACATTGGTGACTGTGCGTGGAGTCGCGGCCGGAATAAATGTGGTAGTCTTCGAGCAATCCTTGGTGCAAGGAATGAGAATTGTAGTCAGAGGTGCTGAAGAAGCACCAGAGGTGGGGGATTGCGTGATTGTGTGGAAGCAGTTCTCAGTGCAAGTCACAACAGTAGTGACAGGGGTGGGCACAGGAGTAGTTATCTCAGTCATGGTCTTGGAGCAAGACTCAGTACAAGTAACCACAGTAATCACAGGAGTTGCGGTAGCTGGAGAGGTTGCACAAGGGACAGTCAAAGTCACTGTGGTAGGAGTTGGAGCACAAACTGTGCACACAGTAACAGTGGTAGTCCAGCCACTAGGGATTGGTGGGATGGTTGGGGCACAGGGAGATCCACCGGTCCCCGTGATAGCGGCGGTAGCCTTGGGGCAGACAGCGGCAGTGAACGTAGTCGAACGGACAGTGAACCCAGTTGGACAAACCTCAGTGTAAGAGGTAGTGACAATAGTGGTCACAGTCTCAACGATCGAAGTGCCGTTCACAAAGGGGGCAGTTGGAGCCAAAGAAGTGCGGACGATGTTTCCAGTGTTCGAAGACGAAATGGTGACTGTGGAGACGCCAGTCTGAGAGACAGAGGCATTGGCAGAAGTTGGAACCGGGGAACCAGAGATAATGGGATCGGTGATCATAGTGGCAGTAGTAACAACAACTGAAGTCTGAGATGAAGCCAAAGAGTGGTCAGTCAGTAACTGGCTGGCAACGCGTGTTTCGGACGTGGAGAGGCTCCAAGAGTGGCCCCAACAAAAGGGACCCCAAAAGGGGCTCCGAGCGCAGGTCCAGCATAACGCGAGAAGGGAAATGGCATTTACCGTCATGGTCGAAGTAACGACCGTAGAGACAGTGGAATTAGCGGCACCGCAGTCAAGGCAGAGCCCCTTGGCTGGGGCACCAAGCGCACCCGAGATCAGGATCGCCATCGTAGCGACGACGACCCACAGGGGGAAGAGCTTAGACCCAAACATTGCGAATGTGAAGATCTAAGCGAATGGCTTGAAGTAATACGACGTAGAGCAAGTTTGAGGATGAGAGCAGACAAGCAAGGATGTGTGGGAAGCAACTATGAGAGCAGCTGAGGAAAGGAAAGAGGAAAGAAGAAAGTTGGAAGGAGGCAGAGGATGTTTTTATTCGTGTTCCAGGAATAACACAAACGCCGATGGAGTTGAGACGGTTACATAGTATACAAAATTGGGCATGTGATCTTGTGCACCTCCAGAAATATTAAAAGTATCCGGTGACAATGTTACAGCACTCTGATCAGAAGCTCTATAATGGGAACATGGCTTACGGGACACGTAGACCCCTGTTCCCCATAGCCAGTTATTTGTCAGGTCTATCAAAGTCCCTGAAATTAATATAGACTCTTGATATCGCTCATCTTCGCATAAGTTTCGAGATGGGTAGCTACAGCCGCATCTGACTGGGGAGGATTCTGACCGTGTATCCTGGCCCACAAGCTACAAAAGGTACACCCATCTGTCACTGATGACAAGCCAAATTTGATAGTGGCTAGGGAGAATTTGAGTACAGAAATGCATAAGGGCTTTGATGAGGCTACTAAGATGGACTTGGATATGTAGATTTAGGTGGAACCGCTAATCCAGGAACGCCAATGGCCGCCACGGGATCTGCACTGTCGGCCCGAGGCGGCTTGGCGCTCGGACTCTCGCAAAAATCTTCAAAAAGTCTTTGATAATTCATATCATCTAGTTGAGCCAAAACTGCCTGCAGCACAGAGGAAATTTGTTATTCTAGTGCTTCGTCCCAGCAGACTCGACCAATGTGTGTCAGGTGATTTTACCTCGTACTAGCCCGGACGCCTGTGGGTGCGCCCGGTACAGAACCCAAATTCAGGAACATGTGACAAAGGGAATGCTGATTGCGAATGGACTCTCTGGCTTGCTTTTTGACTGTGACTATCCTAGAAGGAACGTGGAAATATTAGATGCGAAGGCAGAAACATACGCGAGGGCAGAGGTAAACAAAGTCTTACCTGAAAGAGAGAAATCACATAGGAGCATTCAAAATGTGACGAGGCTAACAAGCCGGCCCTAGTGGATGCCATCACCACACCAGGGCATAGGCCAGTCAGCAACCATGCTGGTAAGCCATGAGGGCCTCCAATAGAAGTGTGACCTGGACTCCTGATGGGGGGAGGGGAGATTGAGAAGAGGTGGGAGAACTGGGCCCTGGCCCGTGACAACTACCAATAAGTTTAAGAGGTGGTCCCTGTTGTCAATGGAACCAAATAATAACAGATCAGGGCGGCAACAGCGCTTCTTTTCGATATTGGAATTGAAGAGAGAAGAAAAAGCGGAAGAAGAGAAACTACAGCGACAACCTAACTCCCTTGCAACGATCCTTCATCCCAACTTCCTATAGTTCGGACAATCCTCTCAATACTGAGGCGGTGATAGGCAGCAGGATAGCTAGTGGCACCTATGCCGTAAACAGCTATTAGTGTATATTCAGCATTCAGTCGACGCTCTATATCCAAAGGAGCGCTTTGGCCCTCAATCCTGTATATTTTCCGACCCAATTTTTTATAAACCTCAATTCTCACGTCCTCCAAAGCCTATATTACTGAGACCCCAAGTGCTCGATAAAGCACTATTGCTGTGAGGCAGGAAACTTCAACCCGATGATGGCAAGGAGAACTATCCGAAATTCTCTCCACAGATGCACATTCGCTTCTGGTATAAAGAGTCGAAGCATCTATGAGAGTAGACGAAACAGCTAAACTATTTTTGAAAGATTCCTTAACCTCTTTATTTATCCTGAATACAGTCAGAACTGGATGAACACAACAATGGATTCGACTTCCAAGGTTAATGTTGTCACTTGATTATTCCAGTATTATTTGATCTTCAATTTGTTATATTAAGTATATCGTATTCCAGTATATATACACACTCACTCATACGGTTAGTTATCTCTTCCTCCATGATCCTTACAGCTACTGATACTTCATCTTTTACGCTTGTTACAGTCAGATTATGTTCATGTTTACATGTTCCGCAAACCATATATACTGCTATGCAATCAGTAAAGGTCTTCAGCACAGTGTTCGTTTCCTGTGAATTGGATCCAGCCAGTACTGTTCATTCAGATCTGAGTTGAGCTTATCTTCTCTTTTATGCCCAACATCCATGCTATTTTTATCTGCCTGTCTCCGCTGAGTTTCATACTTGATCCACCGTCATTAAGAAACTCTATAAGTGCCGAGTGCCCATAGGCTCTCGGCGCTTCGCTCTGAAGTGACCTGTCAAACTCAGTGCTGGGACATCCTCTATGAGCTCCAATGCAAAGAAGTATTCCGGGTCCAGTGCCACTACTAAGGCGAAGAGCATTGGATTGGGATATATCAGGAGGACTATACCATCCGCATCCGCACAAACAGCACTCATAAACATACCGTGGTAGGCCGTTTCCAAGATTCGAAGTAATTGCGTCGAGGAAACTGATCATCGATGCTGACATTAGACCTTTTCTATTAGGCACGCAGGATCTAGTAATTATAAAGTATATAGCCCACTTGTATGAGCTTATCAATAAGCTCTAGAGCTGTACGGACTATGCCTCATCGGACTAGATTTCCAGCCAAAATCGATTGCTCGCCACTTCCATGGGACTTACGTACGTGGGATGGGTTTCCCCATGAGAGTGAAGTAACAAATTAAGAAATTGCATAGAATATACACAGGCCCATTAAGGTACTCGCAACCGTACCTCAATAAGACACGTGGAGTTTATGGTCCTCCATACTCCACACATTTCGCTTACCCCGCACGGTTCGGCGGACACAATTGAAAGTGAATCCCACCAGGAAAAACCGGGCACCGATTCAGACACGCATAGATTGAGACCCAATATGGAACTTCCTATTGAAAGCCTTTCGACAGGACCGCCCTTTTATCTTACTCCGAAGGGGCGAATGACTCTTGGCGAAGGACCCATCTATCGCGCCAGTGACTCCACATTGCATTGGTTTGACTGCCTCTCATCCCCAAGCGAGCTCTATATCCTCCCTGTTGATCCAGAAACGGGGGTTCCTACAGGAGCTGCCCGTGTCCAGGCACTCAAAGACAGTATCAGCGTGGCCGCATTTCGCAAGGACCAACCCGGAAGCTACATCGGAGCTTACCATCAGGGCATTTGCCTCTTGGACGAGGCCACAGGCGAGCTTGAGGTCATACGTGAGATTATCCCTTCATCAGAAAGGGAGCACCGCCGTTTCAACGATGGTGGTGTTGATGCTGCAGGGCGCTTTTGGCTAGCAGAGATCGACTTTGCGGCTATGAAATTCCCTCCCGGAGAGATACCTTCAGGGTATGGAGCTCCGAAGGGGCGACTTTGGAGATATGATCCGGATGGTAGCCTGCATCTGATGCTTCCAGAGGGTCTTATATGTGGGAACGGGGTGAAATGGAGCCCAGATAATAGCAAAAGTAAGCATCTCAAGCCCTTCAAGTTATTCAAATGCACCCGCTGATAATGGCCTTTCTCTGCCCCCAGTGTATCTCAATGACTCTTCTGGAAAGAAAATTTATGTTTTTGACTTTGATCTTCTTTCTGGAAATATCTCAAACCAACGTACTCTGGTCGATTTCCAAGGTCTTGATGGCGAGCCAGATGGCATGGTTGTGGAGTAGGTAGTCCCGGCAGGCGCTTGTACTGAATCGTTGCTAACGAATTACGATTTCGAGTAGCACTAAGGGAAATCTCTGGGTTGCCATATACGCCATGGGCTCAGTCATAGTCTTTAGTCCGGCAGGAGGTCGGCTGAAAGAAATCAAGCTGCCAGCACGTTACCCAACCTGCCCCACATGGGGAGGAAAGAATCATGATATTCTTTATATCACAACTGCGAAAGATCGCACGGATAAGCCAGATCCGAACGATCATGGTGGGCATATGTATATGCTCCATGCGGCTGGAGTCCGCGGACACGCCAAGTACGAATTTGACGGCTAAGCCCAAGTAGATTCACCTGGGCACGCGAGTACCAGCATTCGAACGAAGCATTGAACGTCAATCCGCAGGGCCATCATATTGATTGCGTTGTACGGGAATTAACATATCGATGGTTTTAGATCAATTGTGGGCCGTCGAATTGAGCGGCTGGCCATGAGATAGAGAATAACAGAGTATAGTGTGCCAGATGAACGGAACTGTCAACCATAAAGCATGTGCTTACATGTATCACCAACTGAAGGTGTTGACTTGATTCCCAGCCCATATATTAAGTTTTCATGTTTTGATCGTGACGAATATCAACACTACAAGAGCATTTCATCAACTTCAAATTCTCCATCGGAATTTCCATTAGATTTTATCAGCAGTCCATAGAGCCATGATTAATATCTGCCTCGAGAGAAAGGAATCTGGGTCCGCGCATGAGGCCCGATCGAGAAAATGACCCCCCCTGGTTTGGGATTCAAGTGTTATATTTTTCAGTGAGGTACAGGTCGCAGCACTCCGCCGTTGATTCATGTCTTCTCATAAGGAGGGCCGATGTTTTCGCCGGCAGCTCTGGCGAGTGGGCACTTGACTGTACTACCGAACTAGCCATCTCAGATCTTAAATTGCTTGCTCACTTTTGATAGCAGGGGTAACCCATTTGGGGCGGATCGAGCACATGATGGGAGGGCGTACGTGGCTAAACTGTCGGGTTGGCAAACCCTATCGCTGGTACTGCCGAAGAGAAGGGAGAACTCGATGTCTTTCGAAACATACGCAGACCACATTCTACATCGCCCTGATCGCTTGGTCGACTCCAGGGAGGCAGGCCCAGTACTGTTAGCCAGTAATTTGAAGAGAGAAATTACCAAGCCAGGTAATCACTTGGTCTCGAGGGAGTGTACTGCCAAAGAAATGCCCAAAGTGTACCTAATGCATTGAAGAAGAACGCATTCCATGTTCAAGACACTCATTAAGCCAATGTGCGAGCCGAGGTGGTGAAGTATGAGTCCCCTGGATGCTTACGGGCATCCCTCGCGATAGGAAGGAGGAGCCCCTCATTGCAAACAATAACCTACTCACTTTTAAAAGATAGAAACCGGACAATTTATGACTGCGCGTACTAAATGCAAACAAGATTATTATAATACTTCTATCACGTTCGCTGACTTCGAATTATCATGCAATCGGATGGGCAGATCGCGGGCAATAGACCCACGTCATCGAGGGATGGTGCATCACCCTAACCCTTCACCTCCCTGAACTGCCCGCTGGGACAGCCCTGTCTGAATGAAGTGGCCATCCGAAGGACTAAATACTTGGAATAATCCAATGTTTCCATTCCGGGGGGGGTTGAAACGACTTGACGTCGAATTGCGGATCTGCTACCTACAGGGTGACCTCCCAGAGGACAGTGCTGTTCTGGCAGCTTGAAACCCCCTCCCTAGCACTGCCCGGGTCCCCATAGGATTCGACGAAGTGACATTCTTGCGGGTCAGCAGTAATTTCTCGGAGATTTTCATGACAGAATCCCCCCAATGCAGCCGTGGTCGCGCCTAGGATGCTTTCCATGCCGGGCCCCTCGGGAGGCACATTCCACCCCTCCACGCTTGAACGCGTCGACGCGCGCCTGGTCAGCCTACTACTTCATAATTCTCCTTTGGTCCTAACGTATCTCTGCTATTTCAACTTATCCGCTACTCGAAGTCGATGCTGTTGGTTTAGTCGGGCCCAGGCTGCACGGCTCTTCCATTGGGTGCTGAATACAAAAGCCTGTGATCTAGGGTATCTGCCTGTTGCAATACTACGATCGGTCATTCGAGGGCTTCTTACCAAACACCGCTGTTGAGCAGCTGGCTTCACCAATTCACACAAGATGGCGACTGGCTTCTCTCCTGCGCCGCGGAAAGAAGGCACATGGACGAAGCTGGTGATATTCATTGCGATCTACTGCTTGATTTTTTGCTCGCTGTTGCAGCTGGTCCTGGTCTTCATCCTATATGGCAATCACCAGGTCGATTCAAAGATGACGCCCAGTCTGGTGTTATCTTTAGTCTCGGTATGTTTGCCGTGGTGGTGTCTCCTATCATTGCTTGATGTGCTCTGCTGACCTTTCATAGTCCGTTCTATCGATTCCGTTAATCTCGCTACAGAGCCTGGTTGCATGGCAATACAATAAGATCGGAGGCTTTGGGCAAAAGAAAACCGTTCTTCATAACTGCTGCACATATGTCTTGCGCATAGATCTTATGATGTGGCTGGCGGCAAGTGTATCCGGCCTGATCGTCGCTGCACAGCAAGTCTACTGCCTGCCTTCGGGGACCCATGAACCCTTCTGGAGGGTGGGTGTAAGCTGTGCATTTCATCGCTCCACCGTCATCGTATCAGTCGTCTCACTGTACGTACCGGTCACTGATTCCACGGTGCATTACTTGTCTCTAACGTGTTCCAGGGTTGTTGTTTGTACAATGTACTGCGCAAGAGAAATGTGCGACCGACCATATGACGTTTCAATCATCGGAATCTATCGACGTCCACAGGCACTCAGGAACGGCAGCATCCTCTCTGGCAACAGCTGGGATAGCGATGAAACACTCAAGAACGAGATCTTAAACCTCTGCCGACAACATGACGGCAAAGCCAATGGAGAGCCATGGTTTGTAGACCCATTGATTAACAAAGTCAACTGCCATCCGAGTATTCGACGTCCAGCTCCCGTTCGAGTACGCCCACAGCTCCGAGTAAACACCGATCCTGGGTCTGAATGTGGCGAGATCAGGTCAGGCGTTTCGCTATCTCCGGATGAACATCCTTATGTCTCTCCTGGGGCGCAAACCCTGATGCGACTTCTTCCCTATCTCTCGGACATCAACCGTGGTGACGTCTGGAACTAGCTCCGATTCACGGGCAATCCTCGCAGACCTCCCAGTGCCAAAGGTGCCAGCGATTCCCGAGCAGTTCACAGCCCACAAACGCCAGAAATCCTCCCTTTCTTCCTTGAAGCGGTTTTTACCCAAATCCCTGGCCTCAATCCCTCTGTCCTCGGATCCGCAAATTCGAGCTCTCGCAGACCCGGACGCTGCTTCTGATCCTGAGAAGCAAGTAGCTCCCTTGTCTGTCCAGAAGGGCCCTCTTGAGAACACCGAAGCTCCGGCCCACGAAACCTCTCCCTCGCCAGACACCGCGTCAGCAAAGGATAGCAACGACAAGACTGCTACAAAGCAAGAAGGTCATGCCAGAACCATGACCATGAACTCTGCCGACGCACCAGAAGTTGTCACAGCGCCGGAGCCTGCCAAAGTGCGCCGTTCCCAGACCGCAGACCCAGTCCCTGCTGCCCGTTCGATGCACCACCCACACCACCCAAACTATACGCCTGGCGCACCAACTCCACGCACATACTCCTTCGCCTGCCGCCAGAACACCGTCCTGCACACCGATCCCTCTCGCCGAACCACCACACCTCGTCAACCGAACGCCATGCCCTATCCGGTCCGCAGTACAACCTACCAGTTCGAACAACCCAAGCCACGGCACACCCAGAGCCAGTATCACTCGCAGTACTATCTACCTCCCCCACGCTGGGCAAGTCTTCACACCTTCGACCCCAAATACGGTGGTGCCGCTGCAGCGGCTGCCCGCCGAAGCGACGTGGAGGTCATCTACCCCAGCACGCGTCGCGCAAGGAGCAGCACGCACGGTGGCCTTAGTGGCCCGCTGAGCTGTATCATGGAATCGTCGACGCCTCGCGCCTCGGTGGACGAGACTCAACTAGCTGCCATCACTGCGCATAGCTCCACACCTAATATCATCGATTCGTCGACCTACCGTGGTGCCAATCGCACCAGTTTGGGCTTCTATTAGGAGCTGTTCCGATCTGGAGGTCTGCTGGTCGGGCTTTCCTTTGCTTTTGCTCGGTGTCTAGTTTTGAATGTTATATGATTGTGTTGGGAAACAAGGACGATGACTGTACTGATGAATGGAGGGTATAAGCGGTTGTAGCTGGGAGAAGGGAGCGTTGTATACGATGCGTTTGTTAGTCTAGCTCCATATTCTCGATACCAGATCTGAAGTTAATCCTGTTCTCGGCTCCGATTAACTACATACAGAGAAAATTATTAGATCCCAGAGTTGTTCATGAGAATCAAATTAGGTTCTTATGTCAGTAAATTCCATATCACCTGGGCAAAGAAGCTTCAAGAGCCTAGATACAAGAAACACCCTCCTGACAACGCCAGTCGCTCCGATACCCGCCCTCAATGCAAGCTAAAGCACAATTTGAACGCAAAAGGGGAAAAAGAAAAAAAGGTCAACGCGCAAGATTCATTCTCCACTCACTGATCCTGGCTTCGTTCCTTACTCTTCGACCTGTTCCTCTGCACGTACTTGTACCGGTACGCCTGGGACTTCCGTATCGCCTTCTCCCCATCCTTCTTCTCTCCATCTGGCCGGCGGTTCTCCTTGTCTCCCGTAACAGCGTCAGGTCCACTCCCCAGCTCCTTCTCACCCCAGTACATCATCAAAGCCTTGCTCATGGTTTCACGCTCTTTGAGAAGTACGTCCACGCGGTGTTGCCATTCGCGTTCTTTCTTCTGGACGGACAGTGCGATGCGGCGGTCAAGCTCAATAGCTGCTTCTTCCTTGGCGGCGATGATGGACTCTAATCGTTGGATCTCTGCATTCATGGACTTGATACTCTTGCGGAGCTGAGATTCCTGCGTCGAGGATGACGTGCGCACATTTTTCAGTTCAGCGCGGGTATCTGCCTCGCGCTGCTCTGCTGCAATGAGCTTGTCGCGGAATTTGCGCATGGACTCGGCGTGGGATGATCGTAGAGTGGAGATGGCTGTGAGGTGGGCTGTCTGAAGACTCTTGATCTGGGCCTGGTGCACTTCTTCCATTTCAGCAGTCGCGCGCTGCTGTTCCTCTTTGGCGGGGCTGTGGGCTTTGGGGGGTGACGGAGGCGGGCTTGGAGGCTGGCCTAGGGCTTCCTCTTGCAAGCGAGCAATAGTCTCGAGAGACTCGGCATGGTCCTCTTGAGTCTGAGCTAACTCGCGCTGGGTCTTTGCAAGGGATGCCGTCAATTCGTCGATGCGTTTAGTAAGTCGCGAGTTCTCTGCTGATGTATTCTGCATGAGTGTCTGAGATTCAGCAGCCTGGTCACGGAATCGAGTCGCTTCTGCGTCGGCGGCTTTGCGGTTGGCGGTCGCTTCTTGGAGTTCTTGTCGTAGCTTGAGGACTTCGTCGCCGAGCGAATGAATGTCTTGTTGAGCAAAAGTTCTAGTTTCAACGGGAGAACCAGGCTCAGATGGTGTACCAGGGGGGCTCCAAATCTTTGATCAGGTCGAGGATCTCGCTGTAGGTACTGCGATTGCCTCGAGGAAGGTCCGCAACGACGGCTTTCAAGGCATTTTCTTGAGCTTCAACTTGGGATTGGGCACGGGTCAAGTCGGCCTCCAGGGTCTGGTTTCTCGCTTCAAGAGGCTGGTTCTTCGTCTCAAGTCCGGTCAGACGATCCTCCAATTCTTGATACGCAGTCTTAACGCGATCTATCTCCGTCTCTAGTTTTTCGGTTTGGAGAGCCTGGTCATCGATCTCCGCCTTGAGACGGTCGATATCGCTGTTCTTCTCCTGAAGCTGTACCTCCTTTGCGCGGGTGACTTCTTTCAGTTTTGCCATCGTCTCTTCCAGTGCCTCATCACGCTTATGGAGTTGGTCACGGGCGAGGCTGAGCTGTTGTTGCAAGTGAGCAATGGTCTCCAACCGCTCGGCGTCCACGGAGGCTTGAGAGTCTCGATCTTGAAGCCTTTCTCGCATGTCCAGCAATTGTTTTTTAAGGGCATTCATATCAGACTGATTTGCGTTCGATTGCTGGAGCGCTCTTTCCTGGTCTTGGTTTTCTTTTTTCAAGGCTTCGATTTTGTCATGAAGCTCCTCGTCACCAGCGTCCTTAGCTTGAAGATCTTGGATGTATTCGATTTTGTGTTGGAGTTCCGTTTTTAGGTGTTGGATCTGGTTGTTGGCAGACTCCGCCTCCAAAACCCGCTCGCGATTGTGTCGAATTTGATCATCCCGGTCTCGAACCTCCTCTTCCAAGTGTACAATACGACGATGAAGCCACTCTTCACGGTCTTCAGGCGTCATCTCCGAGCCATTTGATACTTTTCTAAGAGAAGGTGAAGCCGAAAGCTGAGAATTGTCGGCCGGGTCCTCTTGAATGTCCTCCAATTGGGTTGAATCTTTCACGAACCCACTGTGTCGGTTCAACATGTGCGATGGGGTAGACATGTCCACCGGAGGGCCGAATTCACTGTAGTCTCCTGCTGAGGCATCTTCTTCAACAGCGGGCTGTCGGGACCGTATTGAAGAACGACGCTGCCCAGTATTCTGCGCCGACTTTCCTTCATCTTCACGAGCATCCGGTTCATCTTCGCCCATCAGATACTTTTCCATATTTGCTGTGAAGTCCTGCGGTCCTCCCACATCCGAAAGCTTGTCCTCCTCGTCGTTGAACTCGGGAAGAGGTACGTCGTCTAAGTGGCCGCTGGGGAACTGGCTAAAGTCGAGAGTGTACTCAGCCAGACGTGCATCGAGATCGGCTCCAGTCGGGCTTCGGGGCCCAGAAAACCCATTGCGCTGCATCTTGTTTACTTGCTGGCGATCATCTTGACCATGTGGCTGGAATCGCTCTGAGACCGGACTATCAGCGGGGAGAGGCGATTCGGGGAGGGGCGATTCGGGGGGCGATGGACTGGCTGGATGGTGTGGAGGGGAGGATGGCATGAACAGAGGTGTGACCAGTGTCGACTGTCCAATAGTATCGTGGGAGGTAGGGAACGGCGAGGTGTAGCCCGTGTTCGCCATGGTGGTTGACGCGTCGTGAGGTTGTTATGGTGGAACGCACGCACACCCAGCAACCAACAATGGAAAACCCCCTCAATGAGATCGCAGGATGCTACTAGCTCAGCTGCACTGCATGCGACAAAGGGGCTGGGGTGGGATAACAATAACGACTGGGGTGGAGAGAGCAGACGTGAAGCTTGGGTTGGACAAACAACAATGCGGAAAATCGCTGTCGCCTGAGGCACATATTTACTTCCTTCCGGATTGAGCTTTGAGGCTGTCTCATCTAGATGAGCTGCTTATCTATTGGACGGTCCTTCGATACTTATCAGCGAATTGAATCAGTGGGATTGGTCCCTACAGATTGATAAGGAGCAGAACTGCAATTGTAATAAGCACCTATGGCGCATATCCTGTCAACATGTAAGGAGCCTCAACTGGGGACGGTGTGCCTCGTTATCCTTATCGATTTCCCCGCGCCCACAGGCGCTTGTAATCTACAACCCAGAACGCGCGATCATCATTATATAATTTCAGCCAGTCACCCTCGAACCGTGAACCAGGATGCCACCAATCCCGAATGTGCCTGATTATCGACGGGTCATCTTGTACCACCAAACACTCATTCCCGGCGATGGCCCTTACGTGTCCATGCTGCCGCTGCTGGAAAAGAAAACTGGCGTGACACACGTCATTCTAGCAGCCTTCCATCTCAATGATGACCCAAACCACATTACACTGAACGATGACCCACCTGGTAACCCTAAATACGATCCGCTATGGGCAGAAGTGCCTATCATGAAGCAGGGAGGGGTAAAGATCATGGGCATGCTTGGCGGAGCCGCGCCAGGTTCTTTCTCACGGCTGGACGGCGATATAGACCAATTTGAGCGATACTACAGACCCCTTCTCAGTATCGTCCAGCGACACAACCTTGATGGTCTGGATCTGGATGTGGAAGAGCCCATGTCTTTGGCCGGTATCATTCGCTTAATTGATCGCCTGAAGGCTGATCTAGGTGACACCTTCATTGTGACATTGGCGCCGGTCGCCGCTGCGCTGCTCGGGCTTGGAAACCTCTCGGGCTTTGACTATCGGGAGCTTGAGCAGGCACGTTCCTCCAAGATTAGCTGGTACAATGCGCAGTTCTATAATGGGTGGGGCCCTGCTGAGGATCCCAGGATGTACGCTGCTATGGTCGCCCAGGGCTGGTCCCCGCGCCGTGTTGTATATGGGTTGCTGGCAAACCCCGGCAACGGAACGCAGGGGTATGTTTCTGGGGAAAAGATAGGGCCTATCTTGGCAACGCTGGTGGAACAATTTCCGAATTTCGGCGGGGTGATGGGGTGGGAGTACTTCAATGCCTTGCCTGGTGGGGCAGCTGAGCCATGGCGATGGGCAGCTGAAATGACCTTGAACATGGGAATGAAGGATCTGGTTACAGCAGCTCGCCAAGTTCTTGCAGCCGGACCCATGGCCAGCAGCTTGAACAATTTACTGCAAGATATGATGAATCAAAGGCGTTGATTAAAGGAGAATATCCCTGGTATCGAGAACCTACTCAGTCAATGGATGCGTCTAGACATTAATACAAGATTTCAGTCACATCAATTGATACCTGGGTCTATTTTGATACTAGTATACAAGTTTAATTATTCACGAAAGCGCATTCAAGATGTATAGGGATACTAATCAAGAGCCCGCAACTCCGCAAACTCCGCAATTCCGCACATACGGAGTTTATCGATGACGGTGAATGGCTGAGGCACACTTGACGTCCAGAGGCTGCAATTTGGCATTTATTTTCATTGGTCAGATAGCCTTTGAGTCATAAAAAGGTTTGACTCATATATTAGGAATCCTATAGGAAGCGCGGCGATAAATTCGGAGTCTCTGCACATTTTACACTGAAATGGTGATGTCGCATACCCGGGTTTAACAACGAGGAACAAGACCAAACCTAAAGAAAATGTCGCCCAAGATTCTAGTTCTTCTCACATCGAATGGTCCAGACGATGTTGAAGACGGGTGCCCATACGGATGGTACTTGGTGAGCATAACATGAAAGCAAACATATTGTCTATGGCCAGCTACTAAATTTGAAAAGCCCGAACTTGCCCACCCATACAAGATCTTCAAAGAGGCTGGCGTAGATATGACTTTTGTGTCCCCCAGGGAAGGCAAGACATATGTAGCCCCTCAATCAATCGAGGCCCATGCTGACGATGATATCTCTGTTGAGTTTCTCAACCATCATGCTAGACATGGGAACAGACTGCGAAAGTGGCAGACTTCTTAGGAAAGTCCGTCGACTTCGATGCAATCTTTGTCCCTGGAGGAGTGGGCCCTATGCATGATTTGGTCGATCATCAGCCCTCCCAAGCGCTCATTTTAGAGTTCAGTCAGAAAAATAAAGCCATTTCAGCCGTATGCCACGGCCAGGCGGCATTTTTGAACATCCGCGCGGACAACGGCGATCCTTTGTTGCTCAACAAGCATGTGACAGCTTTCCCAGAAAGCGACGAGATCCTCATGGGCGCTGTGAATGTGATGCCATTCATTCTGGAAACCAGGCTGAGGGATGAGTGCAAAGTCCGATTTTCTAAAGCTGATGTCCCGTTTGGTGAGAAGATCGTGGTGGACGGCAACATTCTGACAGGGCAGAATCCAGCAAGCGCTGGGAAGCTGGCGGAAGCTCTAGTGGATCATATTAGCGGGAACAATACAGCATAGATGAAGCTTCAAATTCATTCATTGGAAAGATTGGCAGCCAAACACATCAATATTGTTTCGCGGAGTAATCCCTTAATCCTATAGGCACATAACGTCATAGTCCCTGCAAACGCCAATAAAAGCGCCCCAAACAGCATGACCGCCTTGAACTCACCAACTCACCACCTGCGCGTTCAAAAAGTTCGCGTCGACTTTGGAAAATCTGTGGAGCTGCACTCACCTACAAAGCCTCTACTATGTTTTCTCATCGAGTCTCTGCGGTTTTTAGCTCCGCTGTGATCCGGGTAATGGCTTTCCAGTTCCTGAGATGGGTCTGTATCCAAAATGATCAGCCTCCAAGCCATAACTAACAACATATGTTAGATCCCGGGGTATCCTGCGCTGAATATCCTCTTCACATCGTTGGCAATTTATCTGTCCTCCCTGTACTTTCTACTTCATGATGGAAACCTTTCTCAAGGGGGTGCCAAGAATAAGCATAACATCACCCCTAGTACGTCGCACGATTGCTTGCCATTGAATTCTTTACTGGTCTGACGAATAAATGTCAGAAGGTCATGATCAAGTTAAAGACCCATCTGAGCCTAGTGATTCGGCCCTGAAGTCACTGCTGACAGGTCTTCCCTCCAAAACTTCGCCCGTGTGGACCTGGATTACCGCGCTCATCAATATCGCCGTGTCCTTGTTGGCCCTCGATTTCTTGATGAGAGGCATAGTATTCTATCCGAGTAATGATCTTTCTTTTGCTCGGATTGGCCATGTATCTCCAACAACCGCCAAACTGGTACTCCGTGAGCCCGACACTGCACAATTGCCGGTGGTCGTTTCCTACCAGGATACATCACTAGCCTCCCCAAACTGGATCCAAGAAGGCACAGTCTACAAACTCGACAACACTACTGATTTCACCACGACTATTACATTCAAGGACTTGCAGCCGGAAACACCTTATCGGTACTCTTTGTCGAACAACAAAACAGGTACTTTCGTGACCTCCGCGCGTCCAGGATCACCAGCAGCCAGTCGACTATCGTTTATCACATCAAGTTGCATAAAGCCAAATTTCCCATACAACATGATGTCGCACCCGCTCCGGGTTCCAGGGATCGAGAAAATGACCGAAGCAATTGCCAAACTGCCATCTCTGCTCCGTCCCGCATTCATGCTCTTCCTGGGAGATTTCATCTACATAGATGTTCCGTACCGCTTCGGCTCCTCAATGGAACACTACCGCAGCGAGTACCGCCGCATCTACTCATCCCCCTCATGGGACTTCTCCTCCGGAGACACACGCGCTCTCGATCTACCGTGGATCCATACCCTCGACGACCACGAGATCGCAAACGACTGGAAGGGCAACAAAACCGCACCATACCCGGCCGCCGCAGATCCCTTCATTCATTACCATGTCAGCGGGAACCCGCCAGTCCCGGCAAAGCCTTTCGCCGACCCAGACAACGTTACCTATTTCTCCTTTGTGAACGGCCCAGCTTCATTCTTCATGCTAGACACCCGGACCTACCGCTCCCAGCCATCTCAGCCCGACTCCTCTATTCTAGGCTCCGCACAGCTGCAGTCACTGCTCGAATATCTCGCCTCCCCCGAGCCCGCAGGCGTGTACTGGAAGTTTGTCGCATCCAGCGTCCCATTCACCAAGAACTGGCGCGTCGGCAACACCGATACCTGGGGAGGTTTCTTGAACGAGCGGCGCACTGTCTTCGAGGCAATGTGGCGTGCTGAGCGAGAGCTCGGTGTCCGGGTGGTCCTACTCAGCGGGGACCGGCACGAGTTCGGCGCAATACGGTTCCCTGATCCTGCGCTTGGACTACCCATAAACGAACTCCAGCCTCGTACTGCGGGTGTCGGGTTGCATGAGTTCAGCGTTGGTCCGCTCAGCATGTTCTATCTTCCCATCCGCACTTTCGCACAGAGGGACGATGAGGATGTGGCCGTGAAGTATGCTCCGGACGGGAACAGTAAGTTTGGGATGATCGATATTGCTGAGGGCGATAGTGGCGAGGACTCGGTGCTCACGTATTCGCTCTATGTGGACGGTGAGGCGGTGTGGAAATACCAGCTTAGCGTTCCTCTCAAGAGTGATGCGAGGAAGCTGCCGCTTTCACCTGGACGCGTACTCGAGGACAAGATCGGCGAGGGATGGGATGTGCCAATCAATAAGGCGCTTGGGAGTTTCAAAGGCGTTGGAGGCAATTTTGTGCGGACAGTTACCAAGCTGTACCATTGCGTGGTTTGATGACTAGGGCTGAAGCAGACCAAAGACCATTCAAGTTTATGATTATTCGAGTTTATGATTAGTTTTACGGGATAGGAATTCATCCTTTGCGCAGTATCAGCCCGGATATGCGTACTTCTGTAGACTCGTGCAATACAAGTTAGCGTTGCTAACCAACACTAGAAACCACCGAGTCGAAACTACACCGTGACTGGCGAGGAACAAGAGCGGGAAAAAAAGAGCAAATGGCCGCCGATGGTCAATTGGATAGACCATCCTACTAGTGTACTGACAGGAAGCCGGCTAAATGATGGGATGCACCTACCTAGTAGCAGATACCTTGTATATATCTGGGTATAAGTGCAGCCTCTTTCTGACCTCTCATCAACGACCTGTGTCTCGTGGTGGCAAGTTTGAAGAGTTCAGAATGACCAGCTGCTGAAGGTCTGACCCGTGCCCGGATTTTCGAAAACACACCAATATCCACAGGGCAGCCACAAGTCAATAGATTCACTAGGGTTGCCCCAGATTACTCTTTCATGGATATTAGAATCATATTCATATTCTTCAATGGGACGTAGTAGGATAATCAACGATAGAATCAGACTCCAAACGCCAGCCCAAATGCTATGAACACCACCACTGGTGGCTGATACATGATGAAGGCGAGCAGTCGGTGCCTACCGGCCCCGACCACGTCCACCGCCCATTCCGCCCATCAGCCCGCTCATCTGGCTCATCATGCTCTGCAAGTCCATGTTTCCGAGATCTGGCATACCAGGCATCCCACCACCACCCCCTCCTCCTCCACCCATCATCTGCATCATCTTCTGGATATCACCCATTCCGGGCATACCACCCATGCCACCCATTCCAGGCATGCCACCGGCACCTCCCATGGCCTGCATCCGCTTTTGCATGGCAGCCATCTGCTGATTCTTGTTTCCGCCCTTCATCATGTTCTGCGCACGCTCCATTTGCTTCTTCTGGCCACCGACCCGTTTGGCCATACCGGCCATCATGCGATGCTGGGAAAGCAAGTCCTCAACCTCGCGCACAGTAGTACCGCTTCCGTGCGCGATACGGACCATACGGCTGGGCTGCTCAACAAAAACTTTGCCGTCACTGTCCAATTCGGCAACTGTCATGCTGTCGAAGATGTATATCATCCGGCGGAGCTTCATTGATCCGTCCTCGTCATCGAGTCCCTGCGTCAGATTTGAAAGACCTGGGATCATGCCGGACAGTTTGGACAAAGGCCCCATCTTCATGATAGACGTGATGTTTTCACGGAAATCCCGAATGGTATAGATGCCTTCCGCAATGTGCTTGTAGGTTTCCTTGGCCGAAGCAGACTCCTGGGTGACGGCTTGCACGTGCTCAAATAACCCAGCTACATCACCCATGCCCAGAAGCTTCTGGACAAAAGCGCGAGGTTCGAAACGTTCAAGATCCATCATGTGCTCACCGGTTCCCAGGAAGATAATGGGAGTGTGTGTTGCCGCGACGGCCGAAATAGCACCACCTCCTGCTGCATGGCCATCGGTCTTGGTGATAATGATAGCACCGAAGTTGGCAGATGCCTTGAAAGCAGAGGACTGGGCCTCGGCAGCCTGACCAATGGTGCTGTCGAGGACGAGGATGGTCTGATCCGGGGTCACAGCCTCTTGAATCTGGATCATCTCATTGAACAATTCCTCCTCTTGACGGTGACGACCACTGGTATCCACAATAATGATATCAAAGCGCTCTTTCTTGAACTTGGCCACACCCTCCGCAGCCACGACGGCAGGATCTGTCTGAGTCAAGCTACCGTAGTACGGAATCTTGGCCTTAGTTGCGTTCTGCTTCAGCTGGTCGAAAGCACCGGCACGGAAGGTGTCAGCGCAAACCAAAGCCGTCTTGAAGCCGCGCATCTGGTAGTGACGGGCTAGTTTGGTACAGGTGGTAGTTTTACCAGCACCCTGAAGACCAACGAACATGATAACATTGGGCCGGCCCTTCTTTGGACGGAAAGAGTCCGAGTGGGGATCAACCAAGGCTACCAGCTCATCGAAAACAGTCTTCTGGATCAATCGCTTCTTGTTGACGGCGGGAGGGAGGTTGGCGAAGTTGACGCTACTTTTGATCGACTTGCGAAGGGTCTGCACGAGTTTGACGTTTACATCGGCGGCGAGGAGAGCAGCGCAGATCTCCTTGAGCATGTCATCGAATGCCTGGATAAGTCAGTAAAGAGCCGTCAACAGCGGCGAACGCGATGCCACACCTTTTCATCAAGGTTGTCAGACCGCGCCAAGTCATTAACGGCGGAGTGAATGCGCCGTCCTAAATCTTGGAGGACCATGATGGATTGATGTGGGATCCAAGTATATGAAAATTGACCGGTCCCTTTAGAAGCCGGAGGACTATGTGTTAAAGTGCGGAGGGGCGAGGCGGAGGAGCACAGAACAAGCTGTCCAATCGGAGCGTGAATATCTTCACCGCCCGCGGGAGCAAAAAAAAGTTAGTTACCAGTTCGAGGTGCTATGCCAAACAATTTAGATCTGTCCATCTTTCTTTCACTTGAATTGGGCTCGATCACTCGCAAAAATGGTCGGCTCCTACTCCAAGAAACGCAAAGTAACGGATGGCATGCGCGGCAAAACTGCCCGCCCGAAGAAATTCCGCAAACAGCTTGACTACCACAGCAGCTCCGAAGACGAGGACGACGGCAGCAACTTCAAGGCTGTCAATCTTGCCGACTCCGACTCTGAAGATGATGGCGGTGTCTCTGTGACCAAGAAGCCTCTTCCCAAGGCGAAACTCACCAAGTCGATCTCGGTATCAAAGCCAAAATCTAAAAAGCAAGACGATGCTAGCGACGAAGACCAGGAGAACGAGGATGAGGATAACGAGGATGCTTCTGGTTCCGAAGACGATGAGGAACAGTCTGATTCGTCTGCCTCAGATGCTGGCACAAATCAAAAGAAACGCGCTGTGTCCAAGCGTAACGATCCTACCGCCTTCTCTACTTCCATCTCAAAAATTCTTTCCACCAAGCTCTCATCATCTGCTCGTGCGGATCCAGTCTTGTCACGAAGCCGAGTTGCTGCAGATGCCAGCTCTGAATTTGCCAACGAAAAGCTCGACAAGCAGGCCCGCGCCAAGCTTCGTGCTGAGAAGAAAGAGGAGCTCGACCGTGGCCGTGTCCGCGATGTATTGGGCGTGGAAAGAGGACTTGCCGGCGCCGTAGCGGAGGACGAAAAGCGATTGCGCAAAATGGCTCAACGTGGTGTTGTGAAGCTGTTTAATGCCGTTCGGGCTGCCCAAGTTCGGGGTGAAGAAGCTCTGAAGGAAGAGCGCAAGAAGGGTACTATTGGTATGGGAGAACGGGAGAAGGCTGTCAACGAAGTCAGCAAGCAAGGATTCCTCGACCTGATCAACGGCAAGAAGGGAAAGCCGCTGAACATTGAGGAGGCGTGAAGAAAACAAAAGTCTTATGATTCCCCATGGCATATCTCAGGCGTTGGGCGATTTGTATTTTAGTGTTCGTGCTTCTACTCGTGGCATATACCATGCTCAGTCCATATATACTACAGGAGATGTTCATTCAGATCTAATGGCTCAACACAAGGTAATTGCGCGTAATAAAGTACAAGGTCCCTATCCATCATGGACCGTTTTGTGTTTTTTTTATCCCATGGTGATTTGGTTTGGAAAATCGAGGCTGCTAGACTGCTCCCAGACAACAAGTAATGCTAGTCCTATTTGGAGCCGAAGTCGCTGGCTTGTAAGTTCCGGGTCATCGATGGCAGACGCACCACCAGTCCGTCGAGATCTTTGTTCATCACTACCTGACATCCCAAACGAGAGGTCTCCGTCAGGCCAAATGCCAAGTCCAGCATATCGTTCTCGTCGTCCGAGGGCTCCTCCATCTTATCAAACATGTCGGGGTCTTCCACAATCACATGGCAAGTTGAGCAAGCGCAAGAACCACCGCAGGCACCTATGGTGAGAATCAGAAATTCGATCAGGCGAAAACAAACTAGTTGCTTTGAAGAGTTGCATATGCCACACACCTTCCATTTCCAGGTCGTTTGCCTGTGCAATATCCAATAGGTTGTCTCCTTCAGCCACCTGAAGATCGATCTTCGTCCCATCCTTGTCGATAAATGTGATATTGATCCTGTAAAGGAATAAGCCCGTTATCGTTGGTGGGGAAATACGAAATGGGGGGGGGAAACTCACTCTTCACCGGGCTTCGGAGGCGTAACATGGCCATGTGCGGCTTGCGCTGTCGCGGAGAAAGAGCGCCAAGATGAGTTCCATGTCGGTGACGGGGCTCCCATGCCCTTCTGTAAGCGATAAACCCCTTGTCTCGACTGTGTAGCACCTCGGATCCGTTGTGGTGTGGCCAAGTGACTGATGCATCGTCGCGACGGAGCAACGCATCGTTCCCCGGCCTTGGGAACCGCCCTGCGCAATTGCTGGCTGAGACCTTGCCAAACACTCATCATATCAGATGCGCGACGGGCTTTTAGGAGAGGTGAGAAAATCAGAAGCAACCAAGCCCGACGACGGCAGCAGTTCTGGGGCGCTGGATGGGAAGTGAGTAACGCTCGTCCAATGGCCGCGGAGAGAAAAAATGACAAAGCTTGAAAAGGCGGCCCGCAGCTCGGATCTCGCGCTGGGCTCGTCATCTCCGAGTTTCCTTTTTTTTATCCCCGACGACATCCGCTGCTCCTCACCCACTCTAACCATGGCGTCTCGTGAAGGGGTCAATCCCTTGCGGCCTTATTATTTCCCACAGACAGGACTGTCTCCAGCTCTCAACAACACCCCAGAGGCGCCGGCGCCATCGTCCGCTCAGGTCTTCAGTAACTCGGCGCGCGACCTCATTCCAGACATCGATTATTCGGATTATCTCGACTCGTCGCCTTCGGTTAGCGACTGGGTTCGCGATGCTATCAATAAATGCATTGTGCGCTATTCTCACGTGCTGATTGGGCAGCCCTTCGATGTCGCCAAAACTATCCTGCAGGTGTACGTCGTGCCGGATCTTACAGCAGAGCAACCCGATAGAAGGCCAATTACTGGAGGGAGAAGTAGCTCCTATGAATCTGTATGAAACTATCAAAAGTATCGTTAATAGACGGAGCTGACCTATATCTCTTCAGGAATCTGAATCCGATGATGAAAGTACCTACTTTACATCAGCGGCCCCATCGACTCCAACTCCAAGCACCCCGCGATCAAGGACAGATCGTCATCGCATTACCGACCGCAGCGGGTATATTCGAGGGGACACCGCATCTCCAGCACCTAAGCATGCGTTGAATCTCAAGAATCCCAACTCACTCACCGAGGTCCTATCTCAACTCTGGTCCAACAATGGCCCTACCTCGCCATGGAAGGCTTCAAATGCAACGTTCATCTACTCGTTGCTGTACCCGACATTAACCACCTTCATTCGCAGTCTCCTATCTGCGATTGTAGGACTTCCAGAGGAGGATATTGCTTCATCTCTAGCAGCTGATATCTTGACCGCACCATCTCCCGTTGTCACGCTGATCCTATCGTTCATTTCGTCATCCCTATCCGCCATACTCCTTTCTCCAATTGATACAGCTCGTACCTTCTTAATGCTCACGCCTGCGACTCATGGACCTCGATCTCTTATCCGCGCCATCCGACAACTCCCCACTCCAAACAGCACAATCCCCCCACATCTGATTCCAATCACGATTCTCCACTCAAGCTTGCCTAATTTCATCACAAGCTCTGCCCCCCCTATTCCTCAGGAACTATCTCTCGATCGACCCTCTTCTTAATCCCTCACTGTGGAACCTGTTCAGCTTCCTCAGCTCTGGCCTCGAGCTTGCCGTGCGCTTCCCTCTCGAGACCGTCCTCCGCCGCGCCCAAGTGGCCTCCTACACATCCCTCAGTCTGCGCCAAAAGTCTTCCGGCGGAAGTATCTCCTCCGCGTCTATCGACGCCTCGGACGTGGAAACCATTGTTCCTACCCCGCGCACATACCGGGGTATTATCGGCACCATGTGGCACATCGTCCACGAAGAGGGCGTCTCCGGCACCTCCGATACCGAGCGAGCTCACCAGATCCTCGGAAGAGCGCCTCCGGAGCGACGGCAGGCGAAGCGGCGCCAAGGCCAGGGTGTACAGGGTCTATACCGTGGTTGGCGCATGGGCATGTGGGGTATCGCCGGAATTTGGGGTGCCAGTCTACTCGGTGGTATCTCGGGCGGTGCGGAAGACGAAGTTGTGGCGCGGGACAGCTATGGCCGATCCAGCGGGGGCCGATTCTGATCGTGAAAGAATCTTCAACTTATTACACGTGCCTCAAATCTTGCGACTTCAGGTCCTGAAAGCCTGTCATGGTCAGGATGTGACCAACCATCGGGCGGCCCCAGCGTATAGGACTGTTATACTCGGGGCAAACGTATCTTACTTACGCTGATTATGTTCTGTGTTTTTCTTCTCCTCTCCCATCCGTTCGCTCTGTATACCCCCCCCTAAGTTCGATCCAGGAGGCCGGTGAGCGGTGCCTTCGAGTTATTCTAGCCATGTATAAAACCCCCATTTACATACTCATTCAAATAATCCATGTCCTCTCAATGCTTTTCCCTTTCGATGACCCTAATCGTTTCTTGCAATGACCATTGTGGTATTACCATGCACTTGATCACGTAGCCCTAAAATACTCAATTCACAAGGTCTGAGATCATTTCATTCATAAAAACTAGGCATGTACATCACAAAATCGGCAAAACGCCATATCGACCTAAACCTTCTAAGTTAACGGGCCAACAAGAGGACCCGCAGGATCCCATGATCTGGCGAATCAAACAAAACATCGAATGGGCATGTCTGCTTTTCCAGCGAGATACGTGTGCACCGTACAAAATCAAAATCAGTGTGCTTTTAGAAAGTGGGAAAGCCGTCAAACAAGGGGGAAATATGAAGGTGGACCGTATGATGGTACAGAAAGTAAACAGGGCTTGGGTATCAAGTGGTCTCATCAAGAGACGTAAGGTGAGCCCTGATGCAGAAAGATAAGAAGAGGAGGGTTGTAACAGAATGAATGAGAAACAAGTTCCTTCAGCCCCCTCATTTCTCAGCAAAACGGCGGTCGAAGTAGCGAAGCACGCCCATAACACTAGCGGCCTCAACCTCCATCGGCCCAGGCTTCTCAGCGAGCCCCAGCTCCTTCGGATTCGGCAAGGTGTGCAGCTTTGGCAGCCAGGTCGAAATCTCGTCGCTAGCTCGCGAGAAGTTTGGGTGCCGCGACAAAGTAGTGAAGGTGTCCGCGCAGCTTAGGGTGAGCGCATTGGGCGTAGAGGGCTTGGGTGCGGTAGGTTGCGCAGACAGGGAGGGGTTCTCACGCGCGGACGGGGTGGCGGGGGCATTTCTTGACATGCAGCAGCCGCCGCTGGCTCCCTTGCCGCCGCAGCAGCCTCCTCCCGATGAGGTCCCACTCGCTGACCGGGAGGCTGCCAGCGTCTTGCAAAAAAGAAAGCTTCGTGGGTCAGCCAGACACTGGGCGCAGGTGCCGGGGCCATTGGCGCAAGAACTGGTGGCTTGGCCGATTGGTGGCAGAGTCACTTCTGAGCGGGCGTCGCTCTCGGATGGCGGGGGGGTGAACTGGGAGATGGACTGGATGGGGGCGAGGCGGTTGTTCTCGAAGGAGCCGCGGCCGCGCTCCTGTTCCTGGGCGGCCATTTCCGCGCAGATGCAGGGTGTGCCGTCCTGGCAGAATCCACATGGGTCGACGGGGGTGGAGGCAGCGCTGTCGGTGGCGTTGTTGGCACTGGACTGCGCTGGCACGGCGGCGAATCGGGCCGTGAAATCAATCTCCATCTCTTCAGGATCAGGCTTGATCTCCGGCTCGGAGGGGCCGCGGTGAGGGCTGCCTACGCCGTGAGGAGGATATTTCCCCGGGTGGATTCGTGCGTGTCCATCTGTGTTCCAAATGCGTCCTCAATGCACTGGCAGTGTTCGTTAGAGCATTCCCCGCAGCCCAGAGGGATGTTCTCTTCGGTGTCCTCTTGGGTAACCCCTTCCATGTGAGAGCTTCGGGTGGACGGCCGAGTTCGAGGTGGTAGAGGGACTGAATCTGGCATGATAGAGTTGCCAGAGGCGGAGATGGATGATCGGAATTCCTTGACCAGGGCTTCTTTCGCGCTACGCTCGATAGAAACTTCCTTCTCCAAAGAATGGCATCGGTCCCGCCACCAGTTCATTTCCTCACGAGATTGTTCGAGTTCCTGGGAAAGCGTCCCAATCCGCTCGTTGAGAGCAGCGACCTGAACATCATGGCTGTCCTCGACTTCCTTCATCTGTTCTTCCAATTCTTGCACTCGAGCGGCTCGACGCTCACGGAAGGCTCTTTGGGCGGCCCTGTTCTGTGCCTTACGCTTGGTTGGGGGCGTGTCGGTTGCGGGCTTGCGCCCAGGCTTTGGACGGGGAGGAATGACCCATTCCTTCGAGGTGACAGAGCCTGGAGTACTGGGTCCCGGCGAGGGAGCTACTGAGGGTCGAGCAGCCAATGGAGCTATAGGAGCTATGGGAGCTATCGACGGAGCAGGCGTGAGTGACACGCCTGTCGTGGCCATAATGGTGGTGTGGTTCAGCTCAAAGACAGGTTGTAAAATGGCTGAGGGGATGATGGTGAGCCGGGCGGGCTCGGGACGCTCGGAGCTCGGAAGAACGGAAGAGGGTGCAGTTGCAGGTTGCTACCCCCCAGCACCAGAAAAACAGAGATAATGGAAGGGGACGAAAGGAGTTCAAGGGTGCAAGAGTCAAAAAGGTAGATAATTTCGAGTTAAAAGCACAAAGTGGAAATCGCACAGAGAAAAGGACGATCAGATTAGATTGTGCTCACATGATGCCGGTCTCGGATGTACCAAGTCGTTGTTCAGAGATTATCAGATCCGACAGGCAGGCCACTTCGACCGAGTGGGCTGATGCCCATTTGTCAAGGGCCGACTCTACTTCCCCTCTCGCCAATCGCGTCTATGATCCACGGTCTGACTTGAGTCGAGCCCCCGAAATCTGGTTTCCAGCACCCTTTCTACCTCATTGCGAGCTACAGTAGAGACACATAGAGGCATAGCGATTGGGCCCGAGGTTCAAGAGCCCTCCTGATTTCGAGATTTTGCTTCACAGGCAATTACTTAGCAATGATGGCGACTTGACCAAATGCCGAACTTGATCCATACCCACAAGGTGTGCCAATTGGTTTATCCAGTCCATGGAATGGGCCCTTCGAGCTGGAGCATTACCTAGCAGAATGGGTGACGGAGCCAATCACCGTGCAGGCGTGAGAGAATTTAGCCAGCAGCGGTGAAGGCGGGAATGGATCGACGGGTGAGGAACGGGTGGTGTTTGAGGGCTTCAGCGAGACCAAAGTCCTCGGCATGATCTTATCAGATGGCGCTACCTGTTTTGGGCAATCCGGCCCTTCAATCCACGTTTAACTGCGGATCGATGATGCGTTCCCAGGAATAGTCGCCATCCATGCACTCCCGGATTGCCAATGAACTGGGACAGCCGAAGCCCGCCTTCCAAAGCAGAATGTCTCATTGGCCATTAGCCCATGCCTTAGGGCTTTCATGGGCGGGCCCTTCTCCACCAATGTCCTTATCAATCAGTAGCTCCAGCGACACGGACCAACGCCGAAAAACGGACTCCTTCGTCGAAATGCCCCGATTTGGAAGCTTCGTCCTCAAGCTGGGATCTCGAGGTAATGATCGCCTCAACATGGAGACTTTGCGAGGAATACTTCTTGCATGAACCATGGGCCACTGCCTATCCATCTCATCCACTCCGTCCTCGCTTTTGAAGCGCACTCCGTAGCTCGGCTATGTGGCAACATTGGTGGAAGGGATGGCAAAGCATTCCAACCACCAACTATGCCGTAACGCTATTCAATAATACTAAAAGTACTCAGACTTCAAGTAAACCCCGACGAAGGACTATCGTTACGTACTTCAGTGACCCTAGTCCACGAAAACACTACTAACTCCTATCCAATTGCACATCCTTAGGTTAGGCTCGGATACAATCTTGCATGTATCTATAGAGCATTATATTTCTCATGCAAAAGGGAAATGGCCGCCTACCTCAGTCGCTTCGACCCTCTAGTGGTAAAAGTATTGGTACACCAAGTGGCGGTATACTGTGTGACCTTTCGTCTGTTCCGAGTCTTCCTCGGCATATATTCCCGGTGATCCTTAGAGTCAATGATCTACGAGCAAAGGTAAGGCCGCGGTTTCCCAAATATTAAGGTGCTCTGTGAGGTGTGAGACCTTGTGGGTTTAAATTCCTAAGGAGTTGGGAGCCAAGAAAAATTTTATAAATAATTTTGCAAATTAGGGCTCGTGGGACACCGGCATTGTTGTAAAATGGGTGGGAAAAAAAGGCTGCAAGAGGCCCATCTCGGATTCAAGCCAGAGGCTTCGAAGATTCAAAGGTCAACACCTCAATTGTTGGTAGCATTTTCATTCCTAATCGTCCTGGGCTCTTCTTGAAATCCTTTCTCGCGTCTATCCCGGCACGACAATTTCTCCTTGACGCATATCTCAAGGCATCTATTGTCTTTTTGTACCTAGGATTCTTCTGAACAACACCGCGACACACCGAGGCACCTTTCAAAGCCATCTTCATACAGCTGCTTTTTTTATTTGGCGTGTACCCAATAACCTCTGCCACATCATCAAATTCATCTCGTTCATCTCCATAAATACTAAAGCGTTCCCAGGTCTTCAGAACGGTATCAATTTACAATACCGACCTCGTAATATCATTGAGATTTTTTAGTTCCAGCCACTATCATGCCTACCCTACTTTCTGATGTCTTTCCAAATTTCCCGGTAAATCCTCTTCAATTATACCGAACGCCCGATCTGGACGGATAAGGCTTACTCAGAGGATCAATAGAGGAAGAGCCAGTTGAAAGCCCTCTTCATCCAGGGTTAATCGTATCACCCCTCTATAGTTCCTATTATCGCAAGCTTTCATGAGTTTGTCTCTCTTACCCAGGCACTTTGGATGCTAATTGTCCTCTGGGCAGTGCTTCAGTAGAATCTGAATGAACTAAGAGTGCCGGCGTGTGTAGAGATAAGATACACTATAGTAGTTATTAGGAGAATGGATGGCTTCGTAGGATTGACACGATCCCGAAGATGCTTCTGGCCGGAGCCACCACTCTGGATAGACCAGGGAGTGGAGACCAGAGAGACCAGGACGTGTCGCGACCCGCCCTAGTGCTATGCTGGAGCGTTGTTCTGTTGTCGCTGGTTACGGGTCACGGATATCCGACTTGGACCAATAATATTCCAGTGCCGAGAATTTGGGATTAAGTAGCGGCTACACAGGTTTCAAGGGGTTTATTTGTCCAGGTTTGCAGCTTATGCCTTCTTACCCGTTGACTGGTCTCCAACCAATTTGTCATGTTCGCTTATCGCTGGGAACTAAAATGGCTTCCTTTCTTGTCCTTAACATCCACGATCAACCGGGCTACTCCGTTGCGTCGCGTGGCGAGAACCATGTCATCACTTCATCCCTTACCTTCGCGTCGATTCCCGACATCGGGCTTTGTGAAGTTAGATTTGTCCCAGAAGATTGAAGAAGAGAAGCTCCCTGGTTACGTTGCGGAAGACTATTTCCCTGTCTATATTGGTGAAGTGTTTGCATCAAGATACCAGGTTGTTTCCAAGCTCGGGTACGGCATGTCTTCGACTGCCTGGCTTTGCCGCGACCTTCGGTCGGTATTCGCCCTGTCTTCCATGATATGTACCTAATCTTAGTTAGATCATGGTTTCCGCACACTGAAAATATGTGTTCGAGGAAAGCCGCCTGCGCATGAGATGGCCATTTCAGATCACTTAAAGGCCTCCGACGACCATTCTGGGAAAAAGCTAGTTCGTCTAGTTCTCGATTCGTTTGAAGTCATTGGCCCTCATGGAAAACACACATGCTTGGTTTATCAACCTCTTGGAATGAGCTTCACTGAGTTTCAGGACCTGTGTCCCGATGAAAAGTTGCCAAAGGATCTCATCCAGAGAAGTCTTCAACTTATCTTGATTTCCTTGGCATTCATGCATAACAACAATGTTGTGCATACTGGTTAGTATACTTATTAACATGCGAGGTGAGATACACTAACATCATCCTAGATATCTCGTCGAATAACATCCTCCAAGGAGTTGATGATAGTTCTATTCTCTCTCAGATTGAAGAAGATGAAATGAAGCGACCAATTGCGAGAAAGGTATTAGCTGATCGTCATATATACTATTCTCGGCCGATGCCGGTCAGTACAGGTCTACCAGTTCTTTCCGACCTTGGTGAGGCTAGAGCCGGGAACCACAAGCATAGAGGTGACATTATGCCAGGCATTTATCGGGCACCAGAAGTGGTTTTGAACATGGATTGGGATTGTAAGGTTGATATCTGGTCGATTGGTGTTATGGTAAGCTTGGATTTCATTTCCCATATGGTATCGAAGCTGATGCGACTAGGCTTGGGATTTGGCGCAAGGTCACCATCTCTTTTTTGCGAAGAAAGACCGGGTCCTCGACGACGAACAACACCTGGCGGAAATGGTGTCACTTATGGGACCTCCTCCTCCCGAGTACCTTGCCAAAAGTGACAAGGCTGCCCAGTACTGGGATGACCAAGGTACTTTTCTTTTCTTGCCCTATTGCGTTCTACTCTGACATTTGTCTTATAGGAAACTGGAATGGTTCTATACCTGTACCAACGCAATCACTGGAAAAAAGAGAGCAGCAATTCTTAGGTGAAGACAAAGAACTCTTCCTGAATTTCTTGCGGAGAATTCTGCGCTGGTTGCCTGAGGAGCGGCCGACCGCGGAGGAGCTTGCCTATGACGACTTTCTGATGCAGCCAGTGTTGCAAGCGAGGGCTTCTACTTGAAACATTCTTTGAAAAGATTGTAGGCCACGCTAAGATAAAACCGTAGACGTAGGGATCATGAGTAGGTACCAAGGGAATCGGGATATATCCTGCTCATATACGATTTGCTAATCAATGCGATCAACTTGAAGATGAGGGTCCCCGATGCCATTGCTCCTCCTGCTGCGCCTGCTAGTAAGCAAATTTGCACTTATCGTGGAGAACTTCTTGAATCGCCGAGCATACTACTAGGATCAGCAGACTTCAACATGATAAGAGCCTCGCAATCAGGCTAGTGGCAGATATCTATGGTAATAGAAGTAGTAATCTTCGCCGTCCAGTTTTTTTTTTTTGTAAAAGTACGAGTTCGAACCAGTCAAATTATTGCCGGTTTAGCCGTAAATAAAGGGGCCATTTGGCCTGTTTATCCGGAAGCCTCATTCCAGAAATCTTGGTAATTTCCGGTCCTGGATTCTCATGGGGTTTGTTGTGCATACTTGGGGCGTTGACGGGCGGACGCGAAATTAGCTTGGGGAATCTACTTAACGCGTCAAGCTCCCCACCGGCACGCGTCCTCCCTTCCACACACTCCCCAAGCACAGCAGTCATGGCTCTCCAATGGCCAACGCAATTAGACGATTCTCGTTTTGAGGACGTCTTCGACCTCGCTCAAACATTCGAATTATACTGCGCCAAGGTCTACGACCATGCCACTCTTCACCCGGACGATGTTGCTCCCGCCGACTATATGATGCAGTTCGTGTCGCAAGCTTATCGCGCCGTTCACAGCTTGCACATGCACAAGAAGGCCTCAGAATATCTGGATCTGGATATAGCCACTGCGGATCTCCAGAGGGACGCCGCGAAGTATCGCGAAGCATGCAATTTGGAATCTACTGCCGAGCCGAGGCCGACTGAGATTGCCAACCTTCCCGCGCCCGAGAACGAGGATGAGAATGAAGAAACGTCCCCACGAAGCGCACTTGCAGACCTTCTCAATGGCAACTTTGAAGATGAAGATGAGGAGGACTCGGACTGGGAAGAGTCGGAGGAAGAAACAGACGACGAATACTACGAATATTGCGAGGGATCAGATGTGGAATCTGAACTTGGCGAGATGCGGGTAGTTACCGGGCCAGAAGGGGATGAACCCCCTTCAGAAAATCAACACACGCTATATGAACTACCTGACAAAGTGTCGATCAGCGAAAAAGAGCAAAGCAATAGCGCGCCCTTACCACCCGCGCCTACTCCTCCTACAGCCTCAATCTTGCAAGACCAAGCGATGCGCGACAGAATCACCGCTGCACTCGAGAACATGTCTTTCGCAAGTGGGGAACCAGAGCCGACCCCGTCTGAACAAACTCGGACTCAGTCTGCACATTCCACAGTTCCCAGCACCACATCTTCGTCACAGGACACTCAGAGCGACGCCACTGCTGTGCAAACCAACTCAAACCAAGACGCGCCGCCCTTGGTACCCTCGGTGACAGCACCGCCTGAAAAGATGACTCGTAAATCGAGCCTTGATGCCTTCGGAATTCACCGCAAACTATCTAAGAGCTCCTCACCAAATGGCATCCCTCAGCGACTGCGGACCGTGTGCTATAAATACGTGCGACGAGCTATGGTCCCTGTCCGAGGAAAGGTACAATAAAATTTGACTGGATCTGGGGCCATCTGCTGGATCATATGAAGTTTGAATGCTTAATCATACCTAAGTTTAGCCAATATAATTGCATACTGCCCAATGAGCGAATACCCCATGGGCCTCGATTTGATTATCATATCATTTTCAGAAAATAAATAGGTATGAACGCCACTCAATGTAGCTATTGCTGCCTCCTAAATTCGCGCTGTTTCTTTTCCCATCAAAGAGCCTCACTCGAGGAAGCCAACCAAGATATGGAAAATGTCCAGAAGCCTATGCCCAATGGGCAGCTTCTCTTTATCTATAGGGCCTTCCTGAAGAGCAAACTATACCAATGTTTCCATGCCCGCACCAGGGCACAGGATAATATCGTGTTGATGCCCTGGTGCCAGGGATGATCTACCACATTCTAAAACCTAGAGCTCGTCAAGGATAGTACATGAGCATACCAATATATGGTAGGTGAATAATACTGTGACTGCATGACACGATCAACTGGCCCAATCATGTACAGTGTTGTACTGTTATTGTTTAGTTGCAGGGCTACCAAAACGGCACGGAGGCTTAGAGAACTGAATATGAATAACTATGCAGTTATCCGGAGAGTAATTTCAAGTACTGGTGATCGAATTGTACCTAGGCGTCCAGCTCCTGTCTATATCGTCCTGACACGATATTCCACGTTGATCCGCTCCCAACATAAGGCAATAGGAGGCTCCAAGCCCTATAACTGCCCAACAGTAAGACGGCGCAGGGACCACTGGGGCTGATCCCAAATGACCTAATCTTGCGTTGAGAGTTTTCCAGTCTTTGGGCCCAGAAGTGTTTCAAGACTCCGCTTGGGTTTCGACAGCCTATTAGGCCGCCTGCTTCAGGCGACGCGTTAGGGCGACCCAACCGCCAGAACTACAAAGCACAGCCGCTCCCCTGCGACCGCGCATCTTACTCCCTATCGACAATACAAGATGGCAACCAAGACCTCAACCCCAGCACCGCGCGTCGTTACTGTCAAGCCAAAGCAGCCTGTCGATATCGACAGGCCGGTATGGCAGGTGGCTGACAAGGCGAAGGCCGCCTTGAGATCTTTAGAAGGCGGCGAGCTACTGCAGCTGGTAAGGGTCCATACAATCTATCATGGCCTTAACATACACAAGACGAAATAATGATCCTGATCGCCAACAGATCCTGCGTTATGAGGAGGAAGAGATCCAATTCCTCGGGTCGCACAAGGTCAACCCGGACTCGCTGCCCACCTACTTCGAGTCGCCCTCTCCTCAAGTCTATTCATTCTACCAACACCCACGCACCAACAATGTGCTATTTATATGGACTCGACATGGCGGGCACAATGCGACGAAACGTCTTGCCGCGCAGGATGGCGTTCGGCTGGATCTACTCAGGATCGCCAAGGAGCAGGGCATCATCATCAAGAAAGAGGTATGTAGCGCCATCTCCAAGCTAACTAATATTTGGCTATGTGTCACTAAATCGGCGCTCTAGATCACCCAGAAAGAGGGCGAGGTCAGTGGCGATCAGCTCAAGACCGATGTGGCTTCTTCGGGCCGCCAGTGAACGAGACTCCAGACTCCAGAGTCGGATCAGGTTCACGAGAATCCTGATATCTCCGTTTCTTTCATTTGTCCCATTATACTTTTTGTATTTAACCATCATGTACTTGGAGGCCTCCCCCTTCAGTTCTCTAGCGAACTTAGCCACAGCACGCATTATTGACTTACGATAAATCAGACGGATGACTTCGTCCCTCGGCAGCGCAGTAGGCAGCGCAGTAGGCAGCGCAGTAGGCAGCGGAGTAAGAAGATCACTGCCCAGGTGGCGTTGGTGCTCGTCAGTTACATGAGACTAACCTCGGAACCTTGGAATTCCCAGTAGACATTGTCCAAGTGACCGCGACTTGCTCGGGTGATCGCTGTGCATTTCCCAAAGCGGCTCGGTTCCTGGTACCTGATTGCAGCCCCGATAAGAATCACAGCTCCCCCAGCCTCTCCGCTCTTCCCCTCACAACTCTACCGTACTCTCCACTACCACTTTTCTCTGTCAATTCTCTTGAGACACCCTAGACACCCTGACACGATGACCCGGAAACACACTTCCGGCTTTGAATCGCCCTGGATCGCCCATATGGCTTCTCAGCTGCCCAATCCTCAGCCAGCCGCTGCGCCTCCAGCTCCTACCCCAACTGCCCCAGCTACCCACAATGCCACCGTCAATCCGGAGGACTACGCAAAGCCATACTTGGAATTCATGACCTCCCACCCTACCGTCTTCCATGCTGTAAAGGGTTTCTCGCAGGAACTCGAGCAGCACGGCTATAAGCAGCTGAGTGAGCGGTCGGCTTGGAACTCGGAGCTCCAGCGAGGTGGCAAGTTCTACGTTACCCGGAATGGGAGCTCGATAATCTCGTTTAATATCGGCAAGGACTATCAGAGTGGAAACGGCTTGGCTATTGTCGCCGGCCATGTGGACCAATGTACCACCAAGCTGAAGCCTGTGTCAAAGGTACCCAACAAGGCTGGATATGAGCAGCTAGGCGTGGCGCCGTACGCCGGCGGCCTGGGGCCAACATGGTGGGATCGAGATCTTCATGTCGGAGGCCGGGTTCTCGTCCGTGATCCAGCTTCGGGCAAGGTCGAGACGAAGCTGGTCAAGCTTGACTGGCCGATTGCCCGGGTTCCCACCTTGGCTCCTCATTTCGGGGCTCCGGCAAATGGACCATTCAATCCAGAGACTCAAATGGTGCCCATCATTGGCGTGGATAACTCCGATCTCTACGGCCAGCCATCCGGCGGCGAGTCGATCAACATCAAGGCCGGAACTTTCGCCGCGACCCAGCCCCCCAAGCTGGTCAAGGCGATCTCTCAAGAGATCGGTGTGGAAGATTACAGCAACATCGTCGACTGGGAACTAGAGCTCTACGATGGCCAGCCTGCCCAATTCGGAGGGTTGGAGAAGGACCTGATTTTCGCCGGTCGCATTGACGATAAGCTTTGCTGCTATGCTGCCCACCAGGCCCTCCTGGCTTCTTCTGACGAAACATCCCCGGGGCTCGTGAAGATGGTCGGTATGTTCGACGATGAGGAGATCGGCAGTCTGCTTCGCCAAGGAGCCAAATCCAACTTCATGAGCAGCGTCATCGAACGTATCGTGGAGGCCTTTGGCCCGGACGCCTACGGTCCCAATCTCCTCTCCCAGACAGTCGCTAACAGCTTCCTCGTCTCCTCGGATGTCATCCACGCCGTGAACCCCAATTTCCTGAACGTTTACCTCGAGAACCACTCGCCCCGGCTGAATGTCGGAGTCGCCGTGTCTGCTGACCCCAACGGCCACATGACTACGGACAGTGTCAGCAATGCCATTCTCAAGGAGATCGCGGAGCGAACTGGTTCCACATTGCAAGTGTTCCAGATCCGCAATGACTCTCGCAGTGGTGGGACTATCGGACCCATGACCAGTGCCCAGATTGGCATGCGAGCTATCGACTGCGGTATTGTGCAACTCAGCATGCATAGTATCCGTGCGACCACCGGTCGTCTAGACCCTGGTCTGGGAGTCAAGCTCTTCAAGGGTTTCTTCGATCACTTTGAAGAGGTTGATAAGCATTTCACCGATTTCTAGACCATTTACTACGAATCATTTTCGGGCTTTTTTTTTTTTCTTATTTCCTGCATTAGACAGAGCATAACCATAACTATTCGAACGATCCAATATACTAAGCTATGCCAAATGCATTCTCATTCCCGTAGCCAATTATATCCGTCTAATACTAGTATATTTTTGAAAGAAAAGAAAAGTATGTTATAAAAACTCTAGAAAGGGTACAATGAAAATCAGCCAAAAGAATGGATCCCCGCAGGGCAAAGAAGAAAAAAAGAAAAAAGAAAACCCCCACTGGACCAGAATATTAGAAGACCTAGATAGTAGCCATGCAGCCATGTAAGATCCAGATAACGCTCACTGAAAGGCCGTCTCGTCGTCACTGTGATAATACCCAAGCCCCTCACAGATGCCCTCGCCGCTCCTGCTCCGTCAATTCAGTAATCTGAGGCGCACCAGTCCCCGAAGTCTTATCGATCTTCGACCAGCGCTTCGCCCCCCAACGGAACCCACTCGGGCTCAGAGACAGAACACGCTCTGGATCCCCAGCGCCATACTCAGGCTCCTCGCCCGGAGCCCCGCCCATCGACTCATCGTTCCAGGTGTGCAGCGTGTTCGCCATTGGCGCACTGTGCTGGCGCTGGCTCCCATCGAGCGTCGACAGTAAGCCAGGCATAATCCTCGACACCAGAGGCTTCAGCGTCGGCAGACAGGCACAGATAATCCCAGTATTGCACTCGATCGCCGACCACGACGCCGCCCCGACATTGTCGTAGGTCGGGTCCGTCGAGTCGGCGATTCGCTTGAGACTGACGAGCCGGATGATACTCGTGACGCAGACACTGCACGACGGTTAGTCTCGCGGTGCGCGTGGGGGGAAACACTGAAGAGAAAGAAAAACTTACAATCCGCCCAGCGCAAACACGCCGATCAAGGCAGCCTTGTGCCTCCGCGGGATCTCGATGGATATCAGGGCCGGGATGGGGATGATGAGGATGAACAGGTCTGTTGCGATGTGCATGCTGGCGTTCGAGAACCAGAGCCCCGGCTTGCTGAGGCAGAAGCCGTCGATGGAGGGGTCCCAGAATTTGGCGACGGGGATGCAGTTCAGGAATGCGCTTAGCACGGCCCAGGTGCCGTAGATGGCGAGGACGGTGATCATGAACCAGCAGACGACGCGCATGCGCTGCGTGGGGAACACGCGGAAGTATTGCAGCAGGATGGAGGCTTTGGCGCAGAGCACGGCAGCGTTGTAGAAGGGGACTGTGAGCCAGAAGGCCTGGAGGGCGTTTTAGAGTAATCTAATTGGAGAGGAAGTGGTGGGGATATCTCACCTTCATTTGTCTTTCGAGGATGTCCGGGGGAATGTCTTTCATATGCATCCCCATGCCACTGGTCGCTTCGGTGATGTCTAGGCCCATGAAAATGAATGAGTTCACCTTTTTGATAGGGTTAGGAGATGGTTGGTTAGGTTAGGGCTGTGTCATCTCGATTTACTTACCAATGCGACCACCACCATCCAGTCATTGGATTCTATTTTGCGCATGATATGGATTCGAGTAAATAGACGCAAACCCACAAACCCGGCTGCTAGAAGCGTGAAGATGACGCTAACCGCCAGGCCTTGGGCACCGCGGTCGGAGAGATAGACGCCGCCATGGTCCCGCTTCGCAAGACTCTCTCCGACTTGTAGCAAACCCATCTTCGACGGGGAGATAAACCTCAACTGTGTCGTCAAACCAGTCGATGAGATATATACCTTGCCTGCCAAGGCCGTTCAATGTATAGCTACTGGTGGGAACGAGCGATACCAGCCACTAATGACATTAAATTCGGGGTAGAACAGGAGCAAGTCCGCATAAAGATATTATTTCTTCCCCAGACGGGGAGCAGGAAGGGGAGAGAGCACAGAAATATAACCTTATTGCACTCTCCATGTTGCAGTGTGCCTACTAAACCGCGGCCCCATCAAGAATACAGCCAGGCCCAGCAGGTGGGAACAGTCGAAGCCAAAATCTACTAGTCTCATCACCAAGAGAGATGAAAGTACCAAACAGGTAACCCTGTCACGCATCTTCTCCTGGCTCCCCCCGGAGCGATGGTTGGTGATTGGCGGGCTGCGTTCAAGGCACCAACCCTCGACCCCGGTTGCTGGATAGGCGATACTGCAGCTTCGTGCGCAAGGGATGCATCCATCGAATCGGATGACACCTTTCACCCAAGCGACCGAATGGGGCCCTTCTTCTTGAACTCTATGTTCAAGAAGAATATATGTAATCAGCTGATGTTGACGGATGAGAGCTGGGCTATGTGAAAAAAAAAATACTCTTTAGCCTTTGGAGGTCTTGAAGTCAGGCAGCAATGCCCCCTGGAATTGGAATGTAAAATTTCTTTGATGATAAACGCAAGAATATGCTACTCTCTTACTCAAGGAACTACAAGTGTCTAGTTTCCGTTGCCATGGCGTGTACTTTCAACTTGTTCAATGCGTAGTAGCACACCGTGCTGTGGGTTTGTCGTAAACCTGGATTTCACAAATATATGACTAAAGGCCGTGGCGGATATTCTATGTCTGAAGCAGGGATTGGAATCCCGTCACTCGATTTCTGTCACCTTGCATTCATAGGCAAGAAACGAACAATCGGCCTGCGGTTGGTGTGGCAATCTTGAGGCCACGGCAACACCAACGCTCCTCGAGCACTATTGGTGGTTCCACTATTACTGACTTCGTATGTCAATCTATGGGCTAATTCTCCAGTTCAGTGAAGATAGCAGGATTCTTACATCATTCTGCCTTGGCCATGTATACAAGTCGACTCGCTCCGCCCCGTTGACCGCATACCTAAATCCACGCAAGAAAAAGAACCCCACTGACGGTGTGAATGAACGAGCATGCGGGAATTCGCACTCGGCGTTAGCTCGGTAGCATTATGAATCGCTTTGCGTCATGCAGCCGCCCCGGCCAGGATCGAGCGGATCTAGCGAATAGCAAAGAAGCGGGTAGACCGGCTTGAAATCTTCGCATGCAGCAGTCAAGCTAGTACGGAGTAGATCTATCAAAATTGCAGATCCTTCGTGTGGGCGGGGTGATCGGCGCGGATTCAGCTTGCCCCATTCTAACTTGTCATGGTAGCATTCTAAGCCTCGGAATACCAAGGCATACCATGTCCGTTATACAAACCATCCAAAGAGTTCATAATATTGCTACAGGTTCAGATAAGGGGGGCGTAGCTAGGGTATCGGAAAAAAAGTTTCAGCAAGGCGTCTTTAAGCTCATTGCTCTGAGCAAGGGCGGGCCAGGGGTACAGTCCCTAGCTGAAGCGGGTGGAAAAATTTCCACGCGAGATCTGATCTCAGGTTTCTTTTGAGTGACTGAGAGTTCCAATCTCGAGTGTATGGCAGGGACCGGTCTCGGGTCCGAGCAGATAGGATCTCTATTCGAGTTGACCCATCATAGTGGATTTGCTAAACTGGAGCAAGGACCTGATTACGAATGATCTCAGGTCGGAAGGATTTCGGGGCCACTGAGCTCACATCCTGCAATTCGGGGGTCATCGAGAATCGGAGCCACATGGCATCTCCGTGGCGACGTAACACGACCACAAAGCCGGGCGCAGATAGAATTGCCAACGTCCCTGTCATACGACGGTATAGCGCCTGTTTGGACAAAGACCCCAAAGCCATACTGGCTGAGTGTGGCCGATTAAACCAATTTCCTGTCGCACCACATAGAATTCGGTAGATCTGTCATATGTGGTTTGGGGCCTTCGTAAAACAAACAAGCGCTGCACGGAGCCGTTTGCCAGTTGGCCTCTTTAATTTCGCTAAATATGGATCGTAAGTATGTCAGTCGATAGGAAAAGTCTGGTTGGCATGGACATTGGACCTTTCGGCCTAGAGGAATAGTGGCCTGTTACCAGAGGCTTCTATGTGACATGCCCACCCCTATCTTATTTGTCTGTACATGTGGTTGATGTTGTTTGCCAAAGCACCTGCAATCTCTGGCTTTATTTAAAAAGTGTTTGTTGCACTTCTAATGACTGACAAAAGGCCGGACCTAAAAACTCGAAACTATCGGGGGGGGAAATGGGTTTAAAAATCTGGGTTGGATATGCGCAATGATTGGTCTAAGCAAAAAGACAAATGTCGAAAAAAATGACGCTCCAAGCGGGGCTCGAACCCGCGACCTTGGGATTTCATAGTAAAAGTCCCACGCTCTACCAACTAAGCTACCAGAGCTGTATTACTTTACCGCCTTTCTTTCGCTATGATATTCTCCATTCCGTGGGCGTCCAGGATGACTCGCCTCTCAGTCTGATCGTAGCTCGCGGAATCACCCACCTTGCAATCAATAGTATCATCCATGCAAATTCCAACGTCTCCTGTTCCTATTGCCTACTTACCCAAGTCTCAATGCACCCATTCTCGACTGCAGCCTCGATACGGAAAGCAAAAGACCTACTCGCATTCACTCATATTTTGAGAGCTTGCTCAGAACTAGGAGGCTTGAAAATTGACTAGGGGGTATCCCCTCAAACTCATGTTGGACTGTATTGCTATAACTGTGTGTGTGTGTGGTGGCTGGTTTAGAGCTCCAGAGGGTGCAGCACCCCTGGGGACTTGTCTACTCGTCGTATGCTTGCGCACCCTTGGTAGCTCCAAATGATGAACTTGTCTAGCCAAGTCACAGGCCTCGCGCGGAAATCCGTTTGTGTCATGGGTGCTTTTCCTTTTCCGCGAATTTATTGAGGCTATCGGCAATGTCCGCTTCAGGCGTTGCGATCCTTACTTCACCGCGATGGACATATCCCCATGGCACAGTCTGTGGAGGTCTCAGGCTTGAGGATATATAATGGTAGACTAGTACAGAGTCCTCTAATCTGCCATACTAGTATTTGTATGACGTGGAACGGGTTGGAATAAGACGTCGAACCGTGATTTCTCCAATGATAACACCGTGGATGGAAGATTTTGCCTTGTCATTCCACTCGCGCTTCAATCTTATAGGCACCGGGCGGAATGATTGACGGAATATTGACGAAGTACTAGTCCATACCTGGTACTATTCCACACTGGCGTTAGCCGAGTACTTCATAGTACTTAATACCGTCAAGAAATCGTGGCTATACCCATACCTAGGTAGGACAGCAGGCATACATGGGGACAGAGGGGCCTATTACAGAAACATGCCCTCGTACCGATGCCCTTGCAGTTGCATATCAGACTTTGAAACACCTGAAGGTTCAACTTGAAACTTATGATGGCGAATCATCATGGGCTTATTTGAGTCCGGATATTCGCCGGTGGATATATATATATCTCTATAGCATCGCCAGTGGCAACTAAAAAGGATAAATAATAATTCAAGGCAGCTTGTATATGTGATATACGGCCCCTAGTAGATGGAACTGGAGAAAATTTCTATAAAGATAAAATTAACAAAGTAGATGTTGATGAAGGATGTTAAATAGGCCATGGAGCGGGCCGCAAACGCATCCATGGATTTATTGCGTCATCCCACTTTTTCCCCAAACTACAAACGAGCTGAGCCACTTGAAACGCCAAATGCTCACCAGATTCGCTCTCCGACCAGCCACCTACGAAGCCCGCTCCAGCTACATCCAGTTCCTCCCAGCAAAACTCGCGAGACAAAATCTTCAAACCTTCCTGCCCAGCAAGCTGTACACACGACCCTCCGCATATCCTAGATCACTACTCACCTCTCAAACCTCGTCGTTTTCTACCTCCTCCCAAATCATGGCCTCCGACGACGCCTACGCATCCTTCTTGGACAAAGCCAACGCGGATCTAGACGCCGGCCGCGCCCCGCAGCAAGGGGCGTCAAGCTCCCATGCCCAGACAAAGATCGTGGACAGCTCGCTGAAGCTCCCCAGTTCCCTGCAGTCGATCGAGGAATACTACGTGTCAGACACAGACGAGCCATTCGAGCCTGTCGCCCTGCGCTGGGAGGGTGCTAAGCAGGGCAAGTGGCCTAGTGCAGGTACGTGCCGGGGCTGAAGCTGCCCTTCCGATCTCATTTTTCGTGCGCGCCCCGTCCCTCCTACGGCGGGATCGAGGAGGCGGAGAAGCTCCCCTGGATAACTGGAGGCGTGCCTACATGCATACAAAGGTTATGGGAAAAAACTTGAAAAAAAACTTAATGAGTTAACCCCTCTCCGCATTTTCTAGATGATTTGTCCTCTTTGATTGCCCCCGGTTCCGGCCTGTCGGGCTCCATCTCCACCCTTTCCGCTGCGGAATTCGACCCCAAGAAGTCCTACTCTGCGGTCTTGTCTGCTGTTCGTGCGGCTGTGGCGGAGAGCTCGAAGGCGGATCCGGAGTCTGTAGACATCAAGGTCTATCGGGTGGAGTTGACCAGCACGAAGCTTGAGTACTTTGTGCTGGCGCTGGATAGTGAAGAGAGGAGGACGTATTGTTGGCCTGCGGGCCAAGGCTGTCGAATCATAGATTTGACGTAGCTGGACTCGCTCGGCATAATTACAGTCTCCTAGCTTAATGAACTGAATGATACTCTCATGTTTGGATGAAAGCCTCCCTCGGACTATCGCCAACAGCTTGCTGGAGGAGATTAGGAGGGTCGCTTTTTGACGCCCAAGATATTGGTAACTCTGTACAGAGTGTAGATAATGTACCTGCATGAAGGGGAATGTGCTGCCGCTTAAACAGGTTTCTCACAAAGAGCGTCCACGGGGGGCTGTTTTGTCGCATTCCTAGGCTTCCAATTCGTGGCCCGAGACGCGGAACGCGTATTCGGGAATGGCCGACTACCTGCTGCCATAGGAGTAGAATGGGTTCGAATAGGAGATACTCAGAAAGGTAGTATATGCCGTTTACTGGCCGGGACAAAGATTCACAATTCAGAATAATGAAAACGGTCATCCTGAACTAGTTCCGAACTTGTGCTGGCATGACCGAGCTTCTAAGGTGGGATGATGAAGTTAGGGTGGGTAACTGGAACCCCGTCCGTCTTGGTAGGTTGACCGTTGGCCACATCTCTAGGAGCATGAACAAGGACAGCGCTGAACAGGCTGAATGTTGATCTTCGTATTTCCCTTAGCATTCATGCTGTTCATTCCCGCTACCCGAGGGGAACCTGCTCAGGAATGCGGATGAGCCGGTGCTCCTGCAATGGCTTCACCTATCGAAATATCCAAGCCGGGGAGAGCAGCTTTGTCAAGCCTTTGAGGTAATCATTGGTACTCACTGGACAATAGCTTAAGCAGTAACTCGGTATGACCGGTCTCTGGCGAGAAAGCAGTGCCGAAACTGTTGGTTTGAAACCCACCTACGAGGTATACGCATAACTCGGGTTGCCCCCCTTGGAGCGCTACCATTCCACTCCCTGGCCCTCGTGCCGCCAAACAATCCGCGGATAATCCCTCGGTGCAATCTAGGCTTGTCTTTTCTTCTGATGTCTTTTCTCTTTCTCAGACCTCTACGCTTGTCTACCGGTTTAGCACGGCTTGGGAACGGCTTGGGACATTGGATGAGCTCCAATTAGTCCTGTCCACTCTTTCGTATCTAGAGGCTCGGGATAGCTCTAAGGTACATCGGCGCCACGAAAGTTGAGAGAAATTGTCTGGAGGGAACGAATTTGTCGACGCCGGTCCGGAAAAGTGGATTACAGTTTGAAGCATCGAGATGTCCCGGCATGGCTCAGTCTCCTCGAGTGGATCGAGGCCTCATGTGAGAGTGAACTCCGGAGAACACGATCAATTGGAGATTCCCAATGGAAACTATGCCCCGATGACAAGCCAGACTATGCCCCGGCCCTTGACACCCGCCATGACCGATCTAGAGAACGTCGAGCTTCACACGGACCTGCACGCCAACGACTTACCAGCACCGATTGGAGTGCAAGGGATTTCGCCTTATGGGAGATCAAATATAGGCGAATCAGCAGAGTACCTCCTGCCTCCAAGACTTCGCCCTTCTGCGCGTGCGGAGTCTGAAAGGTCGGGGTCGCCAGACCGTTGGTCCGCCGCTCCCTCGAGTATTAGTTCCCTCAGCCGCGACAGTCGCTTTGGCGATCAATACGAGTCAAGAGGTCCGTCACGGGCTGGCAGTGATGAGTATGATGTCAACACACAAACCGTGTCAGAGAAATTCAACATTACCCCGTCGGATGGACTGCTGCTGTTCCCAGAAGACGTCGAGAAAGACGATTACTTGCACAACCCAGACCCAATGGACAGAGATGGCGACTGCGACCTATGCAATCGACGGGGCTTACTGAATGTGGGAGGATTGGCGCTTTTGACGTTGGGAATACTATGCTCTTTTCATTGGATATCCAGTCATGTAAGTGCTGCGGCGAGTGGAATACGCGCAAGGGAATCAGAACTGACGGGGACCTGCTTTTTCACAGTACATGGGTAGAAGGCATGCTAAAGCCTGGTTCTACTTGCCCAGGTGGCGAAGGGCAGTGTTTGGATGTTGGCCCAAGGCCGCTTCTCAATAACATCCGAAAGGGCCTGATTGACCCGGATACCCCGAAGGATGCTTATTTGAAGAAGAATGCGAATGGAGAAGAGTGGAAGCTAGTGGTGAGTATTCACTGCGCTCCACCCAATCCTCAGGATACTCATCAAGCGACAGTTCTCTGATGAATTCAATACCCCTGGACGAACGTTCTACGACCAAGATGATCCTTTCTTTCAAGCGGTGGATCTATGGTATGGTGTGACCATGGACAAGGAGGTTCGTATCATCCCGCGATCAACTAGCAGACCCATGTTAACGCACCGCAGTGGTATGATCCGGACGCAGTGACAACCAACGGCGGAGTCTTGGAGATTCGATTCGACGACTTTAAGAACCACGGCCTTCAATACCGATCAGGCATGCTTCAAAGCTGGAATAAGCTTTGCTTCAAGGGTGGCCGCTTAGAGGCAAGCCTGTCCCTTCCCGGCGATGGGCACATCGAGGGTTTCTGGCCTGGTTTCTGGGCCATGGGAAACCTTGGTCGGCCTGGCCATGCCGCTACCACGGACGGCATGTGGCCATACAGCTATCATGATGGCTGTGATGCTGGCATCACTCCTAACCAGAGTACCCCCGACGGAATTAACTATTTGCCGGGCATGCGCTTGCCAGGCTGCACTTGCCCCGGATCCGACCACCCTTCCCCGGGACATGCTCGTAGTGCTCCGGAGATCGATGTGATCGAAGGGAGCACCCAAGCCCTGTACGGTGACTCCGGGCCTTTCGTTGGCAGTGCCTCCCAGAGTTTACAAGCAGCACCTTTTGATATTTGGTATATGCCTGACTATGGTAAGCTTCCGACCTTCTGCTGCTGCCCTGTCTCAAAACTCTTCTCATTGACCTCCTTAGATTTCACCGCCGTATATGATCCTCGCATCACCCAAATCAACTCCTACCGTGGCGGTGTCTACCAACAAGCCATGTCGGGCCTCACAAACCTCAACTCCCGCTGGTATAACGGCACCGAGTACCAAGTCTACGCCTTTGAATACGAGCCGGGCGATAAAGGCCAAGTTACCTGGTTCGTCGGAGCCGACAAAACATGGACCCTGGACGCCCGAGCCATTGGCCCTAACGGCAACATCGGCCAGCGGCTGATCCCCGTCGAGCCCATGTCGATGGTCATGAACTTGGGCATGGCCGACAACTTCGCCCCCCAAAACAAGAGTATCCGCGAGTACATGCCCGCCTACCTTCGTTTCGATTATGTCCGTATCTACCAAAGCCCCGACGAGGAGAGCATCACCTGCGACCCGCCGGGCTACGAAACCACCGAATACATCGAGGCGCACAAAAACGCGTACGCCAACCACAACCTGACCACTTGGGAGGATGCCGGGTATCATTGGCCGAAGAACAGCTACATGCATACATGCTGAAGAAGTGTTTGGCTTTGTCCTATGGCGTTTCATTTTTTTTTTTAGCGGCATTCTGTTTTTCTTTTTATTTTTGGCGTTGGCGGTTCATAGGCTTGACTCAATACCGACAGGGTTACAATACAACTTACGGCCTCTTATTCTCTTTTCAACCCACCAAATGTATTTATCTATAATATCGTGCCTTCGAGGTTCTTTGTCTAAAACAGTGACCGAATTGAATCTCCGCAGAACCTTGTTCCGGATCACTCCGGTCAAACGCAAGAAAATGCTCCGCCAACGCCTCACCGTGTACCATGTTCAAGAGGATTTCGAAACTGCAAAGCCCTCCAGTTCTCAAAAATGCGGAAGAGAATCTTCCTACTCAACGCCGATGGGAGTCAACATTCTCCCATCCGTCATCGGGTTTGGCCCACACCACCCGTAGAGATCACAACGACACTGCTCCTCCGACAGACAACTGCGAAACAAATTAGCTTGCAATCAACCATGAACCTCTCGCAGCATGATTGAAACTCACTGAACAGCCGGCATCCCGAAAATGTAATGCCATAATTTCTCAACCATCCACCCAATCCCATAATTATCTGTCATATCAGTCGTTGCGATCCAGTTCAGAATCCGAATGTAATCGCTCCGTGGCCGCTGCAGAATCCTCTCCCTGCTCAGCGCAAACTGCGCACAGCATTGATGCCCGAAATCCTCGGGGACATCCTCCAGGGCCGTCCCCAGCATCTCGTTCAGGACCCGCGGCAGCTGGTCGATCAGATACACGTAGTCGTAGTCCAGAGTCACCGGGTGGGCCTGGAACAGAGTGCTCGGGCAACCGGGTCGATTCGTGCACCGCAGGTTCACGTAGCCATTGAGCGCGACGGCCTCGACGCGGAGGTTGGGGAGTATGTTCCTCGTGTGTGGGCCGGCGATGTCGTTGTGCCACTGGTCGGAGCGGCCGTGGATGAAGATGGTGTAGGGGGCGAGGTTGTCGTAGTGGTCGATGATGTAGGTGAGGTAGGCGCTGGCTTCGTGGCCTTTGCGGGAGTAGGTGGTGTAGTAGTGATCCATCCACGGGTATTCATCCAGAGAATAGATCAGAGGGGTACATTGGCTGTTCTTGGTGAGTGGATGTGCGTGGTTGGGGATGGGGGGGTGGTTTGTTGTTTGCCTTGAACACTTACAATTCGTCGCAGAACTCCTCGATCCAGGATGTGTCTTCGGGCCCGGCGGTTGCTGCGACCACAGTCACGTCCTCGGGGCCATTGTGTGGGTGGATGTAGATCTCGCCTGAGTTTTGCGTGACTCTGTCGTACTGGGACTCCTCTACCTCCGTCCACCCATTCGCTGCCATCTCGGCTTTGGGTTTCTTCTCGGTCGATTGCTCGGCGAGTTTTTCTGTCTGAAATTAGTTTCACTGTTCAAATTGCTTGCGGAGAAAACACTTCGTACCTTCTTCCATGAGCTCCTCTAGTCGACTTTTCTCTGGCACCGGAGGTACAGGCTGCGCAAGCTGCGCGGGCTCCGCAGGCTTAGGGTTGGCCTCCCATTGCAATTGCACATTTGGCTGCGCGCTGGCAGGGGTACGGTCTAACATACGAAACCGAATGGCCAAAATCAAGAACGGAGTTAGAAGCAATAATAATGCCTTCTTGTTCACTGGCCTACGGAGTAGCGAGGCCCCAAAGGGTCTCGATGAATTGGCCCGATGCATGGTCAAGGGCGTAGACCTGAGCGATGGTCATCTAGAACTCATGGAGAGCCGTGAAGGGCGAGCTTCTTCGTAATAAACAGATGGGAAAATATATCCAGACTCGAGTTCGAAAGAAGACGTTTTGGGTCTTCCGTCGCGCAATCGTCCACATGGGCTGGCTTTTTGTACTTGTGGTCCCGATTGGGACGTTTTGGGTGCTGGTGATGCTGAATGCGGCAGTGCCGTACATACCAGGCGCTCTAGAACACCATGTCGATACGGACGGAACCACAGGGAAAGAAGCTATGGCCTTTTCTTCGCTTGATTGGGTCAGATAAAATTAGATCAGCTCGCACGTTTTGGAAATAAATCCGGACGGATTATCCAGGGTTACTCGCAATAGCAGAGGTCGTACATCTTTAGATACTCATCTTAGGCGCCGTGATGTGGATTTCTTTGTATTTTCCACGGCTCTCCCAATCGAGCGAAGATCTCTTGATGACAATTATTATCGAACCTCGATCCGAGAAATGATAAGGGCATTTCGACAGTTTCCTCTTCCGACGGCTGCGAAGCTTCGCAGCCCGTCCATCCAGTCGAGCCGTTTCCGGCCGAGAGTAGGAGCTTCCGGGAACAATGAGATCGTCTGAATTACGTTCATCCATGGTTGGGCGCTTGAAGCCTATAGATAACCTGATAAGAGAAATCTTAATTCTTCTAAAGCTTATGATATAATATAGCTAGTGTAACTGCTAGAACTAATCTTCGATGTAACCGGGAGCCCCGTCCTGCCAACTTGTTCAAACCCCCATCAATTTTGCGCCGTATTTTGCTCTTTTCATTGAAAAGGGGAAAAATCAGAAATGAAAATAATCAAGAAATAATCGGTGGAAAATTACTCAAAACTTGAATGCGTATATTGAGGGTTGTTTTAGTATGCATGCTAATTGGCTTCAACTCTTGGAAATTATTTGGGGACGTGCACATTAGAAGTGCCCCCACTATGATCGCTGTCCCTCGACATTGGCTTCATATATCGCGTTGCCGAGGTATAGTTGGAAAAAGACCCTTGAGCTTGGGGAAGAAAGTGAGGCTATTCCCAATAGGAAGGACTGGCGATTCAGGGCCAAAGACTGCGTCAAAGTCAAGATTAACAAAACAGTCTCTCAAATAGGCCCAAGATGGACACTCACCCGGAGAGGAGGCCTCTAACCCAATCATAAACGCTCAATCTGCCATGACCGGATGTATGGAATCTCGATCTGCGGATTCGTGCATGTATTGGGCGTCAGGGTCCGGTTGGGGCCCTCACAGTGTTCGTAGAGGAAGCCGCGGACTTCCATCTCTCCCTCGGGAAAGCCAGCCGCGTAGGAGTAGGCTTTCTGATTGTTTTCGAAGTTGACGCACAGCTTTTCACCGGTTCCTTCTGTGGTGGAGAAGATCACGCCGTTTTGGGGCGCATCACCACAACTCAAGCCATCCCAGGCGTCGAACCACCACTGCTCGGCCGATGCCGAAGCGCACAAAGCGATAAAGACCCCAAGGTACCGCATCTTCGAGGGGGTTGATGGCGACTGAAGACGTTTCCTGCATGTGGGCTGTTTCTATACTTTATAGGCGCTGGCAAGGGGTCCCTGCTTGTGACTTCCGCATTAGGAAATGCAGCCAGGCCGGGGCATCCGATCGTGGTTAGCGTGGAAGTCTTGACATCACGGTAGCATGGAGTGATGTGAAGGAGTCGGGGATGGTGTATGGGCTTTGATTGGTCCCTTTGATCCATGTTAGCAATTGTACCCGTGAGAAGGGCCAAGATCAAGATAGCATAGGCGACCCACTTGGGATTCCTCACTCTGAAGATGCGAGATCATCCAACCCGGCGACCAAACAATTATCTTCTCAAAAGTAGAGCGCAATTTGTACATGATAAGACTGGGCTGACTGTGACAAGCCCCTTGGTAGACTCAAAGTCTGCTATTCTTCCATCGTTGGCTCTTGAGGACCATGTATCAGATCACTCTAGCTAGGACAATCCTTCAAGGCTCGTTAGCTAGTGAAATATCAAAACTGATAAGATATCCCAAGCGGCTAGCCTGCCCATGCTATCACAAGAGAAGCGAGCTCGCATCTGGGAGGAGAGACCGGTTTGTTCGTTGGAAGTATACCTTAAAGCTGTCAGACTAATCTAGATGCGGAATAGCGTGATTCCCAGGTAGTCCCCACCTCGATCGCGATATTCGAACCCGACCTTTGCTCTCCACGAAAGCTGGTAAGTCCCCTTCTTTCTGAACTGGCACGAAATTAATGAATCATATAGAAAACATACTAAAGGAGATACCTCAAGCTTCAAACTTCCACTAGAGTTTTGGGCGGTGACAGCTTCGCTCGTCATATTATGATCATCGCCCCGGCCTTGATGGTGTCTGATATTCTCCAACAGCTTTAAGCTGTCATCACTTCCTTGCAACTGAACTGCATAGAGCCAGGTGACGCCATTCCGCTGTCTCTGAGCCATCATCTAGACCGCTAGAAGAAAACCCCCAACGCCACAATGTCCAACCGCCTAAACCCCAACGACATCCCAGCACACGCCATCCTGCTCGACCTCGCAGAACACGCCATGAACGACTCAGGCTCCGAGTTCTACTCCGACTCCGAGGACGGCGGCATGCAGCTTGACCCCCCGGAGCCTACACTGGGCCACTACAGCATGGCCCACGACCCCCTTCGCCTACAGCCCGCATAGTCCTCAAGCGCCCCGCGACGGTACAACCCCGGTCCTCAAAAAGCGCCTGCCCTAAGCCAGCCTCGCACTAACAGAGACGCAGAATCCCAATTCACCACCCACGCCCCGCACCCAGAAAGCTACCCCCCAACAGCAAGCACCCACCCTGCAGACCCCGCCTTTTCCCACCCCGCCGCCGCAAAGCCCCTCCCGCCACGCCCGCGCATGAGCGAAGAAGAATACGCCGCGCTGGCAGTTCTAAACGACGAAGAGTTGCTAACCATCTACGCTCTGAAATCTGGACAGGTAAGACTGCGATCAAATTTTGCTTCAACCAGCCCCTCCCCTCTCTTTTTCCCATCCCATCTCAGACCACTTCTAACAAGCCAGACTATCCCTCAAACCCGCCGCCGGTTCCAGGCCAAACTGCTCTCCGGTGGCGATCCGCACGTCGAAGAGGAGATGTTTGCTGCGCGGTTCGCGGTCCCGGCCGCCAAGGCGCATCTCGTGCCGGGGCTGAATAGGGTAGGTGCGGGGACGCCGGAGACGGCGCTGGATTTGAATAATGCGCAGGCGTTTCTGGTGCCGGGAGCGTGGAAGGAGGTAGTTGATCATGATGAGAGTGGGTGGTGGGCCCCGGGGCAGAGGAAGCGAGGGGATGGGAAGAGGAGGGGTGAATCGAGGGGGTCGGGGGAGAATTCGGGGATGGCGTCCAGGTCTGTTTCTAGGAGTTAGGAACTAGGATATCAAGTATGTATAGGCTGGTCCCTGGGGGCCCCGGGTTTTGCTCGAAGAAACCATTCCTTATGGCTATCTCGAATTTTGATCTCGGTAGAGTGATGTACGATGAGGGTTTTGTTATCAACTATCCATTTTTTTGGTTTAGAATATTTACTTCGCTAAGGAAAAATGAACACACAGGTTACTGTACAGAGAACCAATTCACTTTCTGACCATCACCACAGAAAGGACGGGGACGCCATGCGGCAAATGATCGAAAAACGAGGAGAATGATGGAGGGAGGGGGGGAGGGAGGGGGTCAGGGTATCTTGTGAGATGCAAGCCAAGCGAAGCTCTTGCTAGCGTGGCTATTTTATAGGCGTTGGGAATCTCCTTCGATTCAACAAGGGGCAGGTCAGAAAGGGAACCCGCGTCTGAAACGTGTGCTTCAGCTCGTTCTTCATGCTTTCACCTGCAGTCCAATGGACCGCAGGACACGAAGCGGTAAGCAGAAAACATCCGCTGGAGATAGAGAAACAAACATGAAGGCGAAAAAAGAACCAAGTTATTAAACCAGGTCTTGTTTTACATTTCCTCTTCCTCTTTCCGCCGCGGCTCCGTGTGGACGAGGCTTTCTGCGTCTCCGACCTGCTTGCGCATCGAGACCTCTCGGCCGCGCATGCGCGAGTGGTGCGCCTGGACATTCATGAGCGTCAGTCCTCGAGATGGTGCGGGTTGGTTATCCGGTTCACCGTACGGATGCAGGCGATGCGAGGTCGTGATCCGGACCCGGCCGTCTCTCATGACGGGTGATTGTCATTGCAGGGGCTCCGAGCTTGACGAGAGACGATTGAGATGCAGGTATACGTCAGTTCCGTAACTGGTAAGGTTAGTGGGACATTTGGATATGGCGAGCAGGGAAGAAAAAAAAAAGGAACTAGGATGACTCACCCCTCCATACTGATCAGCTTCAGATCACCACCAAAGTAGCGTGCATACAGCCGACTGATTGGAAGGCCGTAACCAAAGCCAGCCATTGGGGCCTTGAAATCACTCTTGTCGAAGTCTGGGTCGAGGTTGGGGGGTTTGCTCCACCGTCGTGTACATGTAAGTCCACACGAGGGGGATGGACGACCGGGGGATACCACCGCCCTCATCTGAGACCTTGATTGTGATGTCTTCCTTGCCCTCAGCGACAATGACCTTGGTGACGGGGAAATCCTCCCGGTCGGCGCCGTGCTGTTCGACGACTGCACGGAGCGAGTTCTTGAGAGTCTCAAACAGCATATGTGCTAAGTGTCCGGGCACATACATGAAGTTCAAATCATCGCGGCAAACAAGCTGGACCTTGGGAGCTTCGAAGAGACCGTAGTAGTCCTCACAGACGAAACGAGCGTTGTCGATAGCCTCGAGGGCAATATCACGCACATTGGTCTTGGTGCAGATAATACCCACATAATTCGGATGTTTGACGTAGGTTTGTTCCGTGAGCGCGATATGTTGACCGATCAACATTCGTATGCCTATCCGCGACATGTAAAAGCGATCTAAGAAGGACTGGATCGTAGAGTCGATTTGCATGCGTTGGCGGACCCGTTTCCATTCCAGAATACCCTGGGCGACGGTGGTCACGACACTATCGTGGCGGCGTTTGATGTGCTGCAAAGTCTTGGCAAAGCGTTGGTTGTAATCGTTTAATTCAGGCGGCCATTCGCCGTGGTCGTCTGCAGGAACGAAGTACCGACGTCCCGCAGCGGCGCTCGCGGCTTTTCCGTTGCCGTTGCCGTTGGAGAAGGGCGAAGACCGGTATTGACCCTCGCGAACGCTGGGGTTTTGGGTGACCTCGGAGAGTATTTTCGAAGGGCGGCCATTCATGCGGCCGGGTCTGAGCAGACGGGTTTTGACTTCCTGAGTCAGAGAGGGACGAGGGAGGTTGATGATTTCCTGGGGGGGGAAATCCGTGAGTCATGCCACTCTCATACGACATCTCGGAGGCAGGGGCCACGGCGAACAGAGGCGAACCGTGAACAAGCTGGGGGGAATGACCAGGGGGGCTGCGTACCTCGAATGACTGTGCATACCAGTCTTGGACTTTCTTTATCGAGGGCATTTCGCTCAGTCCATCAGGCAACTCGCCCAGATCCTGCACGCGGTGCGCAAGGCGGATGGGGAGCTCCTCGGAGAGGAATTGCGATGCGCGGAAAAGAGTGCCTGGAGGTGATTAGCTAGATTATCGAGCCAAAGTGTGCTGATGAGCCACTGCATCACAATCTCACGCACCAGTTGAAGGGCGATCCCCAAACTGGACCATCTGCCTCAGCGAGACACCGGTTGCGGGGAAGTTGGCATAGTGCCTGATGGTTTCCATCAAGCGCTCCGACGGCTTCCACATGGCGTAGTCGGGCCAGAAGGCCTGGAGAGATCTGAAAAAGGAGTGGTGTCGTCGCTCTCTGTCCGGGGAAGTGTGGAGGAGAAAGTCGCGATGCAGGAGAATAACGGAGCCGAGGTTGAGCCCGCCCGTTCCGACGCCGGAGGAATCTAAATGCGCCGACTCCCCTCATATGACCTAACTTGCCGGGATCTGCATTAAAAAAGAACGGAGAGGCGGAAAGGCAGAGAGGCAAATTGGGGGGGCTTGAAATTATTTTTATTCTGCTCTTCCTATCCCGATCTACCTCGGATTCTGTCCCGAGGGAATTGGATATTACCGCTCGAGCTACCTTTTTTAGGGTGTGGGGGAAGAACGGCACAACCGATTGAGATGTGACCAGCGCTTCCCACGGTTATTCCAGGCCAAGACATGTGCCTCTTTTACGGACGCGCCAGGCACGAGATTCGTATTCCTCAATCATCAATTGGTGAGTTGATCGTCAATTCGAGCCGAAAGAAACACAGTCCAGGACTAGTCCTGGGCAAGTCCCGCAAATCGGCTCTAATACGCATAATGAGAGGCAACCTGGAACAGCCCCCGACTTCCCCCCAGCATTTCCCCTTTCGTCCGAGCAGTGGGGAAAGCTGGACGCTGGCAGGTCTTAGACCCCTGGTGTACTCCGTACTCCGTAGTTAGACCAAAGTCCAGACTAAACCCGTTGGCGATCCCTGAGCTGCCTGAGGTATCCGACCGGTCATTTTCTAGGGCTTTGAGTAAGTCGTACTTTTGTTCCTTTCCCACCCCACTGTCAGGAGATGTGGAGGGACTGTGTTGTCCCTCCCACAAGTCCGCAGCATTAGGGTCGACTAGTATATCAATGCGGATTTGACAGGCCCCGCTGTTGGGCATCGTGAGATTGCTACTCATCTTCGTGCCATTTGCTCTATTGGACTTTTTGCCAACCGTGACCAGTTCAGCGGATCCGCCGGAGGGACTCACGATTCCCCTTTGGAGCTCTTTGCTTGATGGTGGAACCGTTGCCCTCGCTTGTGTGCACAATTCTCGCGTCCGAGGGACGTTCGAAACTCGAAGAATCTTTGGGCAGGCAATTCGGCCTCTGCCAATTCTAGGATCTTCAACATCTACACTTTCCCAGACTTCTCCTAAATCCGGGGCGCTTTATCAACGCGATTGGGGGTTCATCCCTAAACCTAAATTCTATCTTGGACGAAAGGCCCCAAGCGCGCGCGAAACGGAGCCAGCCCGCCCCATTTCCCCTCCACTTTCTGGGTCCCCTAAGAGGCAAAGAGAAAAAAAAAAAAACCAAGAAAAACATAAAGAGGCATTAATTAATCCTTCTGATGACTCTTATGTTCTTCTGAAACGGCCTCGCACATCTTGCCCAAGCCCTTCCACCTTCCTCCTTCACCATGTCCCGTCGTCGCACCTCCCACAGCGAACCCATGAACGAGGCTCAGGCGTACCCGTTCACCAACGGCCCTCGCCGCGGGCCCATCGAAGGCCCTAATGGCCGCCGCCTGATCCGGCGCGTCACCTGGCGCTCCTCCACCTATAAACTGATGGCCTCGTTATGGGTGTTCGGCGTGCTCTACATCCTGTGGCTGATCCGCGATCTGTTCTATACTCCCGCCAGCGCGTCTCCCGAATGACGTTCATATTGGGGAATTGGGTGTATACTTGTTTTTTCTATTGATCTATTATGAGGCGATGGGGTTGGATTGGCTTTTGGATTGTGGCTTTTGGACCCCGTCAGTTGCGACTGGAATGGATTCCTGTTTTGGCAGAGTTGCCTCTCCCCATTGCGGCTGTGTGATGAGAACTTGAACACGAGACGCACCGAGAACCTGTCGGGGAGGGTTGGGACGAGATGGCCGGGCCTCCTGTTGGAGCTTTCTAGATTTCTATGGGATTTTGTTTTTGCATGCCGCAGCATTTGTTTGCATCTAGCGTTCTGTGAGGAGATTCTTTCTTTTCTGCATACCCCCGTGATCTTTGCATACAGAGCGCGGAGTCCTTCCTTCGATTCCTGGTCCAAAAATTTCCTTTATTATTTTTATTATTATCTTTTTTTTCTTTTCTTTTTTCCTTCTTCTTTTTTTGCTTGTTTGGAAAAGTGTTGTTTTTCTCTTATTTCGTTTTCTTTACCAAAATTAAAATTTATACTTAGATTGCGAGAAGAGATGGTCCGGACCATTATGGCGACAAGAGGACAGATTGAGACAAATTATAGAAATTCAAGGTATCGATTTTATTTCATATCACATAGAACTATTCATATAACGCCGGTCTATGCAGCTTGCACCGACCCTTTTTTTACGTTGCTTGCATCCATACACTTTTGCCCTACTTCCACATTTGGAGGAAAGTGCTTAAACGTAAAGCGTCGAGGTCTCGGCCTTGGCTATGTGCGAGGCGTATGGCTCAAGAGCCTTGGCCACCTCGGTCTTGGTGAACTTCTCCACTTGCTGAGGAGCGCGGCCGACGAAAGTCCGGGCGTCGAGAAGGTTGTCTAGCTCGGGAGGATGGGACTGAAGAATTCGGTGCGGCGGATGCGCTCGAGGAGGTCGTTGTTTTTGCCGTGCTTCTTGACATTGTCGGCGGCTTGATGAGAGAGCACACCTGAACCGCGGTTAGAGCCTGCTATATCTATGCTAGAGAAGGTACATACGGATTTCTTCGTGGGCATCTTGACGGGAGAGACCCTTCTTCACACAGGCCATGATGATCTATGGAAGAATATTAGCGAATAGAGAGGCGCGAATTCGGATGAAAAGTGAAGCTTACGTTCTCACTGTAAGATGTTAGCGCAATCCTCCCGGGAAAGAATATAATGAACTTACGTGGCCATGAAGGGAAGTTCATCATTCACACGACGCTTGATGACCTCGGGGTAGACAACGAAGCCAGAGGTGACGTTGTCTGGATATGTTAGCATGAATCCTCCACGAAGAGACACAGAATACTCACTCAGCAGAATGAGACAAGCGTCGGCCGAGAGGTAAAGCTCCGGAATGCTAATACGGCGGATGGCACTGTCATCCTGTTTCAGGTCAGCCACTGACTTTTGACGGTCTACCAGTTCCCCATACCAGCGAGCGCTCAAACCATTGAGCCGAGTAGGTGTCCAAAGCATCCTTGGGAAGGTTCTGCAGGTGGCGACCAAGAGAGCAAAGACGCTCGGAACGCATGGGGTTACGCTTGTAAGCCTGTAATGTAATTAGCATTCGACTTTACTCAACCCCTGGGAACAATTATACCTACCATAGCACTGCTACCAATCTGGTCCTTCTCAAAGGGCTCCTCAACCTCCTTGAGCATAGCAAGGTGGCGGATATCAATTCCAATACGTTCGCAAGTAGAGCCGAAAGAGCCGAGTGCGTTGCCGACATCCACATCGATCTTCCGAGAGTAGGTCTGACTGGAAATAATGAACGCAGAGTCGAAGCCGGCCTTCTCAGTGACCAGCTCATCGAGCTTCTCGACCTTGTCGTGGTCACCCTCGAAGATCTGAAGGAAGGAAGCCTGTGTACCAGTAGTACCCTTGACACCACGGAAGCGTAGATCATTGCGCGCCCGCTCAAGGTTACGCAGGTCCATGAGCAGATCCTGAATCCATAGACAAGCACGCTTTCCCACAGTAACCAACTGGGCGGGCTGGCCATGAGTGAAGCCCAAGCAGGGCAAATCCTTGTACTGCTGGGCGAATTGGGACAACTTATCGATGACGACGGCAAGCTTGGGAATGAGAATATCGAGCCCGTCACGCAGGAGAATCAGATCCGCGTTATCGGTACAGTAGCAGGAGGTAGCGCCCCAGTGAATAATGCCGGCGGCGGCAGGGGCAACGAGGCCAAAGGCGTGGACGTGGGCCATGACATCGTGTCTCCGACGCTTTTCCTCCTCGGCGGCAACCTTGAATTCGGAGTCCTGAATGACAGCGTGGGACTTCATCTGCTCAATGGCTTCGTCGGTGATGGGGAGTCCAAGCTCTATGTTCAGTGCGGCCCAGTCAATTGAGATTGTTCTTGTCCTATTTCACCCAGTCCTATTCGCCGACGTAGTTCGTACCTTTCTGGGACTCGGCCAGCCAAATCCACAGGTTGCGCCATGTTGAGAACCTCATGCGAGGGGAGAAGAGGTATTTCATCTCATCGCCTATTCAGATCGGTCAGTTGAATGTTATTGGGGATCCGATCTCGGGGTGCGCTGATTGAGCGGGGATGGGAGCCGAGAGGAAACTGACTGGAATAGCGAGAGTTAAGGGGTGTCTGGTAGACATCGTTATTGGCGGCCATTGTGCCGATGTTCGTCCTAGACACTTGAGAAACGAATTGCGTATCAAAGACAACAGGGAGACCGGAATCGGACAATGTGGGAGCAGGCAAATTTTGTTCTTGGGGCGGGTCGCGGGGCTTTTTCTTATCACGTTATCAGTTCGAGGTATAGAAGATTGAGTGGGGTATCACGTGCTTAGTATATACGAAAGATCAAGATTCCAAGATTCCGCCATCTGCAATTATGTCATGATCAGATGTCATTATATGGAAAAGGGATCTGCAGACCCATGGACGTATGGATATCTAGACTATGGTATGACTACGAGAGCTGCGCTAGCTGCACGGCCAAGTTGTTCTTGTCATACTTGATGTACTTGCCTCGGCCCTTGTCGATCTCCACATAGCGATCGTAGAACCGCGCATAGAGCGGCTCCAAAACCGCTTGGAGTTCCCGGCTCAAGACGGACCGCACTTCCCGCTCCATGTGCAGGGTTTTGTGCTGGGAGACCATGGCATCGAAGCTGGCGTTGAATGATTTGAACTTCTCCTTGATTGCATCGCGATCTTTCGAGGACAAACTCTTCACGATAGCGCTGGAATCCACTGCCCCGCCTGAGTTTGGCCGGGCCCCAGTACGAGATGTATATTGCACATCCAGAAGGTACTGCGATGTCTCCTTCCATGCGTCGAGATATGTTGAGCTCGCACGCTTACGGAAGGTATCAATGCGCGCGATACTGTCTGGAGCGCCAAGGTATTGGGCAAGCTCCGAGTGCTGACGAATAGATCGATCCACAATGAAGAAGACGTTCGATAAGAATACTCCAAGAGTGGCTTTTGAACGATGGCTTGCCCGACCATGAGCCTCCAGCCCGGTCATAAGAGCCTCGATCATATCAAGAATGAAATGGGATAGAAGAGTACCACTGTCCGGGCCGACGTCCAAGGGTGCAGTGCCCGCCGTGCTTGATTTCGATCGCCAGTTTCCATCTCCAAGGGACGTTAAGATCGATGCCAGAGGGCCAGAGTAGCCCGTCAACGTAGCCAAGGAACTCATGACCTCCTCAACTAGTGGTACGGATCCACCATCTGGGGGCAGAGGCACAACGGCCGTTTTTCGTTTCGTTTCCTCGAGCAATTCCGAAAGCGAAGATTTGGCGGTTTCACGAACAGGGCGCAAAGCCTCTATTAACAGAGTCTTCAATTCAGCAGCCTTCGTGTCAATGCGATAAGACATGTCTGTAACTATCTCGATGATCTCAAAGGCTAAAAAGCAATCCGTCATCAGATTCTGGCGAATATACGTATTGAGTTCTCGGAGGGTCTTGGAGTACTCGGCCATGGGCGAAAGGAATGTGGCCTGTAGAGCGAGCCCTTGCTGGTCGCCAGTGAATAGCTGAACAATAATATCGTGCTCGGTTGTAATGAATGCTTCCAAGGCATTGGAATAAGTCCCAATCCCGTTAGTTCCTTGTTTATACGGTCCGTCGGTAGGCCTTCTCTTCATAGTGCTCAGGGAGGCCAACGCCAAGCTTTGCAAGCATGCAGTTATGTATGGCCCACGGCACTCTGCGTATATTCTCAATGCTGGATTCTCCCTGCTGCGTTGGGGGCTGTGAGCCCATGCCGAGGTAATAGCGGAGCAAACTGGCGCAAGTTCTGCAATCTTTTCGTCGGGGATGGTAGGGAAAGGGATGTCTAGAGAAATGGACAAATGTCAGCCATGTTCATTACTCCGGAAAATGTTGTCGAAGCTTACCTTTGGTCAGGTAGTACAAAGGTTCTATCTTGTTGACATGTTGCATCAATTCAGACCGGAATAGTTCTTGCAGCTTGCTGCTACCTAAACCAAGCAGGCTATTGAAGTCGGCAATCGCTCTCTGATTCGACTTGAGATTCGTGGTGTTGAGGTCGACCAGCGCCTTCTCAACACGTTTCATCGCCGCGATATACTGCGAAAGACCGGCATTCTGAGGACTATTGAAAGGAAATGGTAAGAAAATATGGCTAGTAATGCAGAGGGAGCATGACCGTGACAACGTACTCTGCGCGGAGAATATCTTCCTCCCTGTTCTTCGCATCGAGGGGTTGGCGGAGACGATCAATGGCCTCGTTCACTTTATCAATATTGGTGTTCGTAATTTGCAATGACTGGGTATTGCTATAGATCGGCCCAATGGCCTCTTTGACCACCTGTCCGCTCGTTTCCAGACGGACAAGAGAGCCTTGGATCTTCTTGGTAAGGCGGTTGAGCTTTTCGAGGTTCGCGTAGAGCACCTCGACCTCGGCACTCTCCTCCGCATAAGCGGTATTCCTGGGAGCCACCATGGCGGCAACTCGACTTGCCCAAAACGATCAAGAGCCACCGAATTTGGAAACGATCATGTCCCCTGGAGGTGTGGGGTCCGGGAGGTCTCTTGCGCGATAAGCTTCTCTCCCCCGAGCTCTGGCTGCACTAGCCGCTAACGGCAATCATATGACCCGGAGCATGTGACATTGATTTACGTCATTGGCTGTCGGTTGCCCTCCAATTGCTGCTCTTACTTTACTGGTAGCTTTCCCGCGGATGCTGTATGCAGGTCTCGGCTTTCTCTTCTTGCTCTCGCGTCTCAATGGGTGCAACGAGAATGTTGCGCCTGCGCTGGACAGTGCCCCCCGCGGTTCTCGCGATCTACTCGGTGGGGCACTGGGCTCAGGTCAACAGACAATCGCAAAAAGCCTACTTCTCTAGCACTGCTGAGCGCGAGACCAATTCCAAATCACGAGCCTCGTCTGCCGGCGGGAAAGACTCCTCAGGGTCTGAAGATCAGGATTCTATCTGGTTCAACATTGTGCAAAAGTTCGATGAAGCCAAACAGACCGTCGGAGTGAAGGATTGGAGTGATCTAGGAGGTAGCATTACGAACTTTATCACTCCTGACTGGGCCCGTTTTCTACCAGCGACAGCCCAGAAACTTCAGCGCGAGTTATCTCTCGCTCCAGGCTCTTTAGCAGATGAGATTTGGAGGGAGTCGCATGACCCTGAACTCAACCCTGAAATTCTCAGAGATGCCAATGTTCGTGTAAGTGAGGACCTTTGCGAAGAAGAAAAGGCATTCCGCAAGAAGCGACAGCAGCACGCGGTAAAGGCATTGTCCTCATATCTGGATATACCTGAAGGGGATATCCATCCGGACGATGTACCTGTCATCGCTGTGTGTGGATCCGGTGGCGGATTGCGAGCCCTGGTTGCGGGCACCGGGTCATACCTGGCTGCTCAAGAATCGGGGCTATGGGATTGTGTCACCTACACCGCTGGTGTGAGTGGTAGCTGCTGGCTACAGACTCTATACCACTCTTCCATCACCGGTCGAGACTTCAGGAAACTTGTTGATCATTTGAAAAGCCGATTGGGTGTTCACATCGCCTTCCCGCCAGCAGCTCTCAATCTACTGACCACTGCTCCCACCAACAAGTACCTCCTCAGTGGCCTTGTAGAAAAGCTTAAGGGGGACCCTGGGGCTGATTTTGGCCTGGTGGATATCTACGGATTACTGTTGGCCGCCAGACTCATGGTCCCACGCGGAGAGCTTGGCGTGTTCCATGAAGACCTGAAGCTGTCTAACCAGAAGGAAAACATTCTGAACGGCGCGCATCCACTACCAATTTATACCGCAGTACGTCACGAAATCCCAGTTATCGAGGAGGAGAAAATTCAAGCCAAACATCCAAAAGCCGAAGATGTGATAAATGAAGCAAAACGCGAGTCGTGGTTTCAATGGTTTGAGTTTACGCCATACGAGTTCTTCTGCGAGGAGCTCAATGCTGGTATTCCCACATGGGCTTTGGGACGTCACTTCAATGAAGGGCGGAGCCAGTCCTCCCCTGCAACTTTCCTATTCCCGAGATGCGAGTTCCAAGTCTGATGGGAATCTGGGGCAGTGCCTTTTGCGCCACGCTTTCCCATTACTACAAGGAAATTCGACCCTTGGTGAAAGGCCTCGCCGGCTTTGGAGGGATCGACACTCTCATCCAGGGCAAGAACCAAGATTTGGTTCGAGTGCATCCAATTGACCCGGCTGCCATTCCAAATTACGTCTTGGGAATGAAAGACAAGCTGCCCGATTCTTGCCCGGAGACTATTTTCCAAAGCAGTCATTTGCGTCTTATGGATGCTGGCATGAGCAATAACCTTCCAATTTATCCACTCCTTCGGCCTGGGCGCGACGTTGATGTCATCGTTGCTTTCGATGCCTCCGCAGATATCAAGCAGGAAAATTGGCTCTCTGTTGTGGATGGTTACGCGCGCCAACGAGGAATAAAGGGCTGGCCGGTCGGTGCAGGATGGCCCAAACAAGAGGAGGGCCTTGGAGACGCCGAGAAGGCTCTGCGTGAACCTCAGAATATCACAGATGAGAAGGCGAATCAGAAACTCTCCGACGCACAGCAGTCAATGAACAAATCGAAGGACTCTGGATCGACCGATCTTGGATACTGCAATGTCTGGGTTGGTACAACGGAGGAGCGCGTCTCAAACGATGAGCCCCCACCATCTAAGCGCCTGTTCCATCCCGAGTCAGCCCAAGACCACAAGGATTCAGAGTTCCACCTCATGCGGCCCGAGGCCGGTATTGCAGTTGTCTACTTCCCGCTCATTCCAAACCCTTCGGCTCCAGGCCTACCTCCACCATCCAAAACTCGCCCTCTTGCAGCTGCTCAGGCGATTCAGCAGGCCCAGTCGGAGGCACAGGAATCTACCAAGCCATCCCCCAGTCCCAATTCGATCAATCCAGATGTCGACGACTTTCTGTCCACCTGGAACTTTGTCTATACACCTGAGCAGATTGATTCCGTCGTTGGCCTGGCAAAGGCTAATTTCGCAGAGGGGAATGATCAAGTTCGCCACGTTGTTCGCGCCGTCTACGAACGCAAAAAGTCCGATCGGCTCCGCCGAGAAGAAGAAGAAGACCGAAAGCGTCTTGAAGGGTTCGTGCCTCTGTAAAGTATATGGAGTGGATGGATAGATGTCGCGTATATCTGTTTAACCATCTGTATTAGTGTCCCCCTGCCGGGAATAATGTAAATAGATCTAGAAAATGTACCTTCCCACGTCATAGGATCTCCTTGTGTGTTCAATGTATTCCGAGTCTGCCATGTACTAGTATCACTCTTTCCGTGTATTATAGACAAGATACTATCTTCCAGTCCCTAGTAATGACCCACTGTTATTATACAATCCTCAAGCCGATTTTCCTGGGTCTCCCGCAGGACCTCCATCTTGAAAATGGGACTTCACACCCTCGAGCCCACTGGTATCACTTGCGTATCCTTTTTCTTTCTGCCCTGCCCTTCTTCATCTGTTGTATACCGCGCTTCATCGTCGGTACCAGCCAGACTGACATCTTTACTTGCATCAGTCTGTGCGCGCAGACCTAGCTGCCGCTCAACAGTAACCACAGTGTCTGCAATAGCTGGGACAATACCACCAGCAGACGCAGAGATAGATTGCGTTGTATCAGACCCGGCTCCTTTCGAAGGATGTCTATTTTCGTTCCCACGCTCATGGCCCGAAGCCTCGCTCTGGGAATCACCGGCCTTAGTGTCCTGTCCACGCCAATCTGCAGGCTGACTCTCCTGAACCGGCTCTCCAGGCTGAGGCTCACTAACAGGCCGATCCCGGCCCTGAGGAGTCTCAGGCTGCGGCGGGTATCGCCACACGACCTTCAGTTTCTCCAAAGCTCGGATCCCCTTCTTGTAACTTCCCTTCACACCATCCATCGCATCCCAATTGATCTCGAAGACACCGGATTCGTGCAGATGGCCGCCCTCAAAATAGGCGTTAAACCATACATGTGCAAGTGAGGTCACGAGCGCCAATCCGGTATAGGATACTTTGCTACGGCGCTCGAAGTCAATGTTCACATCCGACCCTGGCACGATGATTGGTTTGTGGGGCCTATATATGACCGCGGAGAGAGTACGGTCGGTAGTCTGCGCAGGCGACGTTCCGGAGACATCAGACTGTGGAGTAGAATCGTCCGCTGAATCCGAGGCAGACGGGGCGGCAGACTTGGCAGCAGACTTCTTGCTCGATTTCTTCGAAGAATCAGGCGACTCCCCCGCATGAACGACTACCCGCTCGTGTCGACGGAAAGAATGGACATTCTTGATCTTCTTCCCCTCATCTTCGAATCCCTGCACGACAACCTTGACCCCATCTTTCAACCCCCAGATATGCAGCTCGAGGATCTCGACCGGCCGCTCAATATACTGCTTCTGCAGCTCGTTCGTCCATCGATCCACATACCCTACCCACCGCAGCTGACTGGGGATACTGACGCCAGCCCCGAATCCCTGCCGCATGCGGCGCTCCGTAAACCGCTTTAGCGCATCCTCTTTCTTCCACCCTTCCTGGCTGATCAAATATGCGCATGCAATTGTGCCGCTGCGCCCTTTGCCTGCTTTACAGTGCACGACGATGATGCGCTCGCCTTCTCCTGTGTCCGGGGCGTCTTTGTCGTCCTGTCGATTCACCCAGTTCCGCATGCCGCCCACGATGTTGGGGATCAGGGCGAAGGGCGGCGGGTGGTGATCTGGCCAGGGAAAATGGTGGATGCGGTTATAGACCTCCGAGTCTGGATACCCGGTTCCCTCAGCGCGGAATTCCCATATTGCCCAATTGGACCCATGCTTGCTGTCGAGCCACTTGACGAGGGCGTCGGTGGGATTGCGGTATGCGCGCTGGGGATACGCGGACGAGGGGCCGGACGTGGCGACGACTGGGTGGAGATTGGTTAGCTTGAGATTGCGAGATTGCGAGCTTGCGGCGAATAGGGAAGCCAGGATTTAGGGGGGGAGGGGGGTTGGTTCTGCGAATAGGAGCGTCATACTGTTGTCTGTCACATAGCAGAGATCTAACCCCGCTTCAGGGTGTTGTATTCTGGGGCCAGCGACGATCTGGCGTAGGAGTGAAACCTGGGGAATAAGAGTCACTGCTCTGCTTCGCCACTGGGTTATGAGGGAGGGGGGAAGCTTTACCATAGTGTGCGAGTGAAAACTCAGCTCGCGGGTTGCGGAGATAGCGATGACATGGAGGGTCTGTCTTGGGACTTGGAGAAGATCGATAGGAGTCCTTTGGGCCGTTCAGGAGGCTTCGGTGCCATTAGCGGATTGATGACACGCGAGAGTGAGGCGCAGCTGATGACATCATAGCATTCTCCGTAGTTAACTGAGTTACCTGCTGATTACTTGATTTGGTATAAATGATAAGATTCCGAGTCCAATCAATTTTGGTTGGTCCTAATGTACATTGGGCAAACAAACAAGGACAAAAAAAATAGACTAGTATGTACACTTTCAGGCGCAGGTTCGGCGCGTCATATAAGATTAAGGAGAGGAAAATGTCCGCACAAGCCCTAAAACGCCGGTCATGAAGGAGGGACAATATGTCATGGCATCCCAGAACGCTCATTAATAACCCTTTGGAGGCTGTAATCGGGGTAAACATAAAAAAAGAAAAGGACGGGCTTGAGCGGCGTTTTAAGCGACGCCGTAAAAACCAGTTGGGTTGATGTCGAATTTCCCTGTCTCGGAGAATTGAGACGCGTTGACGGCTCCGTATTGCCAGAAGGTCTGTTCGGTCTGGTTCTTGGGGTATTTGTGCCATTCGTGCTGGACCCAGATCTGCCAGTCCGGGTAGTCGACTTCAGTGACCTTGGCAGCGACGCTCTTGTCGGCGCAGGCAGTAGCGTTACCCGGTACACCCTTGCATTCAGTCTTGAAGCCGGGGGGCATTGGGAGAGGCGGCGGCAGAAATGTTGAAGCCATAAACGGAACCGCCAGGAGATCCAACGATCTGCCAGTCAGTGACCTTCCACACGGAAGGCTTGCCTAGCACGGCCGCATTGGCGACGCCCATGGAGAGGAGGGCAGTAGCAATAGTAGTGAATTGCATGGTCGGATTGTATGAGGGATCTGGGAGAAGAATTCCAAGGGTGTGTTTACTTGAAAGGCGAATTGGGAAATTGGAGGGAAGGGTTGTTATATAGAGAGCAGTGATCAACAGGAGAAAGGTATGTGCCCTTATAAAAGGTTGACGACACCGATCTTGGCAAGTCCACATGGTTCTCCAAGCCCCAGCCCTTGTGCTCCGTACAAACCCAAATGCTATTTTTCGTGCCGACTCCACTTTCGCGCCATGGCCCACTTAGAGGCGACGATCGGGGGGGGGCTCAGGGGTGCCACCTCAACTTGCATCAAATAGATCACACCCAACCTCCTCGACCTTGTGCAGTAAGACATTTATCGGGTGGGCGTATCCAGGTCTCATTGTCCGACAGTTCTTCCGAGATCGCCACCCGAATTACCCCTAGGAGGCTGGTGTTTCAAAACGAGTCAACCCATAAATAGTGAGTGGGGACACAGATCCTAGTACCCAGCCTTGGCAGTGAAGGAGGGGTTGGCTGGGGATGACATTTCCTGAAGGCCTAGCAGAGAAACTAGCTGATAGCGTGAAACGCCCAAAGGGCATCTCCAAAACTCTTGTTTGCATGTATTGCTCATTGATTTGAATACAAGGGGGGGTATTATTCTACTGCGTATGCTGTGCCGTTTTCCTGTTCTCGGCTGTAACAACCTAATATCCATCTTGGTAGTCGATCTGCATTCCAACGCGGCCAAGGTTGCACCAACTCCTACCAAGAGATTGTTAGACTGCTGCCCTATATGCAGCTGCCCACAGATTAGACCTTGAGCTCGGTCGGCAATGATTCATACGGCTGCCCACCATTTGGTGGACTTGCTGTGCGTCCGGGCAATGTGGCTTGGAACAAGCCGAGAAAGTAGGATTCCGAGAACCTCATTAATGGGGTTTACCTTGATCCTGGTTGATTTTGACCCTCTGCCCGGCTTGCTTCTTCTCGGTGTAATGCCCTGGCGGCGTAGGTAACTTACAGGGTATCATTTGTTTTATTCGCAGACGAGTCGTCTTCGCCACCGGCTTGTTCGCGGTGAATGAACGGTCTCCAAGGAACCGTCGAATCTACGTCAGGTTCCTTGGCGGCGGGCTCCACAGGTGTTTCCGATTGATCATCCTTGATCGCAGGATGATACTGTAGCTTCATAGCAAACTCGTGCACCGACTTCGCGCATATCTGACGGATTTGCATCTGTGTATCTGGGCTGAGAGGCTCATTTCTCTTCAAGAAATCGACAAAATACATGTAGGCTGATCGGTATTGTCGAGCATCAAGGCACATCAGGATGAGTGTTTCGAAAGTCTTTCGGTCCGGTACAACTCCATGGTTGGTCATCTCTTTGAGAATCGTCATGCCGGAATCGTGCCTCTTGGCGTTTCGACAAACCCGCAAAAATGCGTTAAAAACCTCAACGTCGGCTCCATCAGGACACACCGATTCTAGATCCCTGTAAAACCCAAGGGCGTCATCCACAACGGAGGGGTCCCTCGAGGCAATGTGCTCGCACAGCTCAATGACGATCTGAATACTCTCCAGCGGAATTTTGAGACCATCGTTTTTCAGATGTTTGAGGGTCTGCCATTCCTCTCGGGGGTCCGCGTTTGTTTGGATCAAATTGTCGAGGACAGGGGTTGTGAAACCAACGTTGATGGGAAGCCCAGCCTGATGTACCACGCTTAGTGCTTTGAATGTATCAGGGTCAGCACCTAGCGCCAGATGTTTCTGCAAAAACTCCTGATATTCAGGGAGCGGGATGTCGCGTCTTGTGCAGAAGCGCGCCACAGACACCACTAGTGGGAAATCCACCTTTTCTGCAGCCAGGGCGAAGGCTTTTCGGCATACGTCCGCGGACGGGAAAAGATATTCGAGATCAACCAGGCGCTGCCACATATACCGGGTCAGGTCAAGGCGGGAGCCCTTGATTGCGGCCCGCAAAACATGAGCCCAGAGCTTGTCTGTCGTCTCGTATCCAAGATCCAAGCGCGATTTCACCAGTCGATAGACCTCATCAAACTCCTCCAGTTCACATAGGTTGTAAACCATTGTTTTGTACAGCCAAGTCTCAATTGGTACTTTTTTCCGCTCCATTTCAGACATATGATCCAATGCCAGTTCAAATTGATTCTCCCGGATGAGACCGCAAACTACGAAGTGCCAGCCTTCAGGACTAAGGACCATCCACCGCTCTCGGAGTTTGCGCAGGATGTTCTGGCGTAACACATAATCTGGATGCACTGCGAGCGCCTATTGAAAGAAAAAAAAAAAGAGTAGCTGTTAGCATTGGTTCCTTCATTCGCGGTCACTGGGTCCTGGGAGCTCCTTACCCGTAGAGCAGCATGAAGCGTCGCCGAGTCAGCAACTATCCCGATAATCCTCCATCTCATTCAATAAGTTCCGCACCGTAGCGGGTGATCCCCGCTCCAAATCTGCATTGGCATTTATCAGTGCCGTATAATGGCGAGCGCCTGGCTGGACTTGGCGATCGTGAAGCAGAATTCGTAGGATGCGAATTGTCTTGCGGATGTCGGGTTGTTCGACTGGGTCCGTTCGCAAAGCGAATTCTAGATCGGAGGTGGTTTCATTGGAAAGCTCGTCCTGTATTTTCCTGAATTCTCTCGAGCTCGAAGCCTTCATACGATAATAATCCGCCTTGGAATCTCTTGCCTTTTTCCTTCTCATGTTGGACCCCTGCTCCCCATTGCCCGTTCGATCTGAATGTGCGGGTCGGTTTTGAGCATCGTCGGGCTCATTCATGCTTTCGCTGAAGCATCGGCGTAGCGCGTGAGTGGCCGGTCGCAGGCATGATTGCGTTCGGTCGTACTGGTATGATTGACATAAAGAGTGACAGGCACTATTTATAAGAGTAGATCGGCTCAGTGGACGCCATAAATCATTGGGTATCAGCCCCCTAAAGGACATTTCGAGTTCGTTGTTCTACTGAACCTCCGCGGCCTGGAGATAAAATAGTTTGTGTCACGTGATATAACCCGCATCAAATAGCGTCTACACTTGCGATATGACAGGACCAAATGGGGAATGCGGATAAATTTGTGGCTTTTGGCATTGAATTTTTAAGGTTTCCAAGTCATGAAATAGCCCATTCACCATTGAAAAAAAAAGGGGGAAAAAACAGAGCCAGATACGCCACGGCCATGCTCCACCAAACCCGTCAATCCGGACCCCCGAGCCACAGAACTTGCAACGTCTCCTCCAGGGTATCTTGATTGTTCGCCTCCAGCAAGGAAGGCATTCGACATGAATTGGCTATACACCGGGTGCACCGCTGCCACCGCCACCACCCCGTCCACGGCCCCGTCCCCGACCTCCACCACGACCACGACCACGACCCCGGTCACCGTCTCGTCCGTGACCACCACGTCCACGCTGTGGCTGATGAGCCTGCTGCTCCTTCACAAGCTCGACAATCTCATCTGGAACGCGAAGGTACTTGATCTGCCGATGCGGTTAGTTCGCGCATTAGGTATGGGACCTAAACTCCATCTCCAAGTGTATACACACATTGTTGCCCCGGATGTAGACTTCGGGCAGGCGGAAAAACCGGTCGCCTTCTGGGCTGGTCTGGACGACCTCGCGCAGGATCAGATTCATCCAATTATCGCAGGTGACGAGGTGGCCGTTTAGTGTCTCGCCGTTTTTCAGCTCCACCAGCATCGGGTGGCCCTGGGCGGCACTCAGAAGGCCGAGAGGAAGCTAGGGCGATGCGAGTCAGCTTATACTTTCCCTTTACTGGGCTTTGAGGGAATTAGCTACCATGATGATGTGAAAGGTAGGTGTTTGTGGAAGTGGGATGGTCGGTTAACCGTCTTCTGAGGGCGCAACAAGGCCGGCGCGCGCTTTTCTCGGCCTGTTGTAAACAATATAGGAACTAGCTGAATCGATTGAGCTACTCCGGTGGTCGATTCGTGCGTGTGGTGCGAGTGGCTAATTGTCTAATATCGAAATCGCGATGGGAGGGCAAGTCCGAATCCGGAAAAAGGATGTACCGAAAATTGTGAGCGCCTCCAGCTATCGCAAGTTAGCATATAAGCTAGCCGCCTTACATTTAAGTACAGTACGTAAGTAGTTCAATAACATAGCCCATGCACTAAAGGTGTTACACACAATTGGGGAAAGCTTCAAGCTACTGTTGCTTTTCCTTGTCATGATCGAAGCTCTGTTTAGCTAAGAACCGCCTTCGGGGTTGAGTAACCGCTGTTCGAAGCCGCATCTATGCATTTATGGGCAGAAGCATCTTGCCTACCGTTTATTTCCGCTCCCAAGGTTCTTTGGACCTCCATGACAGGGCCATCAAGCTGACACTGGCGACAAATTGAAGTGCAAACCTTAAGACAGTACTCAAGCTTTTGGAGCTGGAGTCGGTAGTAAGATGAGCCGCTGCGTCTATTTTATGCAAGTAGCAAATTTTACTTGCTACTACTTTGTCGAAAGACCTCTTCAACGGGACATGTTTCATATCTCTCAATTAGCATGAAAAGACTAGATTAGCCTCATTCTCTGGAGGAAAGCATCACTTAATCATATTATACACAGGATAAGAAAAGGGCCCTGACCCGTATCCTAAACTTTTGGTCGCTTGGCGAGTGGCGTGCCGGTCGACTCTTCTTCCTCGTCCTCGTCGTCCTCGTCCTCAACCGTCAGCTTACGCTTCTCACGTCTACCGCTCGAAGCTGTTCCAGAGTCATCTTCCGCCTCTGGAAGACGGCCCTCTAGTGCATCCAAAGTGATTTCGTAGCCTTCCTCCACATTGCGCACTGTGTCGTCCAGCTTCTCCACGCGGTCAATTAGCTCCAATTCGGCCAACAGCTCCCGGTGCTTTTTGTAGAGTCGTTGCTTGGTGAGCATGCGCCACCAGTAGTAGCGTCGGTCGTCTTCGTTATCGGCCTTGTGCTTTTTGATCAGGAGTCGGGCGAGGTTCGTACCGCCCGCCAGGCGATGGCTCTTCGGGATCCGGCCCAGGAGGTACATCTCCACGATATGCGCGAACTGCGTAGCCTCAATTTTGAAATTAGTGCGGATGCTATTTAGATCTTCGGTTGGGATCAGAGCTCCAGTAGGAACAGTGCGAGGGCGTTGCTTCTTGGAGTAGGCGCCGTGGGGATCGGGGTTGATATTCACGTTGCGCTTGAGGAACTCCGGGCGCAATAGACAGTAGTCTGCTGAGTCGCGTAGTGCGTCGAAGTTTTCGTTCGGATCTTCGACCGTCAGCTCCACGATGGTTGGATCGGCAATGCATGAGGCGTGGATTGTTGTGTAGAGGTGTGTCCCATGGCCGGAACGATGGTGTGATGGAAGGATGAGGAACTGGGCAATGCGAAGTCGAGCAGGGAGTTCAGAGATCTTGATCTCTGGCGGGGAAATGGATCATTCTTCACGGACGGAGCCTCGGTGCGGTCGCGCTGGTAAAGCCAGTACCGATAGGCTGTGGCGTACCCGACAATGGAGTATGAGGATGCCGCCGGCGTGGGGGGGTTTGATTTTTTCGTAACTGAATCCGTTAGCACCGGTTTACTATGCAAGATACTGGAGTGTATACCTACACGAAGAAAACAGTCCAGCGCTCGAGTGTCCATTCGGGGTCGTTCGTTTCGAGAGGCGTGCCAGCTTCGATGAACAAGGAGACCAGTACTTGAACGCGATCTAAAAGACGGCGCACAGCCGGGTCGGCTAGAGAGCCAGCCCATATCTCGTATTTGCGTTCATTGGCCTCGTAACCGTAAACAAGCTTGCCTGGAGGCGTGAAGTCCTTTGCTTCTGGGTCTTCTTGGACAGCCTTTTCGTAGTCGGCAAGGTTTATCAATGCCTCTTATAACATGATTCGCGTCAGCATTAGGCAATCGATGAATATCAGCGTAGACGGACCTTCTGGTATAAACGGCTTCAGTGCCCCCAGGAGATCAGTCGCGCTGGTCTCCCCAACGGCCTTGAAACGTTCATCGTACGAAATATGGACGTGAGGGCGGAGGTCATGAGCGGCAAAGCGTAGACGAATTATTAGGCCTTTGTAACCAAATATCTGCTCCTCGTCGCCGAAAATGGGATATGTGAACTGCGGGTGGAAGGTAGAGACAGTCCTTGGCTTCGTTTCGCCAGGTTGCACGACCGTGATATGGAGCGCATCATTGGCGTCGCACGACCCTACGAGAATCTTTTAGTCCATTTTTCGCAGAGAGATAGTGGTTAGAGGTAAAGCATACAGTCGCCGTCCGCCATCTTGGATGAAAGGTGAAGAATCTGGTGTTGATAAAGTAGTTTAATAATTAAATGAGGGAGAAAAGGCGCGTCACACCGCGTCGGAGCTCAGTATTACCAATTCCGGACTAGCCGCCGTGGGCTACAATCCACTCATGCCAAGAAAGTGTCTTGCCCTTAAAGCTATACATTTGCCCGAAGGCATCATTCCTGGAGACTCACACGGTAAAGCTATTAGCGCGACATCCGAAGCCCTTTGTCTGGCCATTGAATTCGCCTGGTCTATTGAGTACAGTCAGTACAACATTATCCATGAAACATTCCTGCTAGCGGAATAACTCAGCGTCAACCCAGGAGCCCTCTGGAGGCCTTATTAACATCCTTGATTGTGAGGTTTAAAGAAGCTACCCTCGCCTGACATAGGAACACTCTTGGCAGAAGCTCACAAGCTCAGTTTCCCTTCCTAAGTATTCATATTTGGTCAAGTACACAATTGAAAGCTTTTTATAGGTTCGCCTTGATTCATGTATCAACGATATTCTCTCGCTCCACGAAAGCAGCCTACGTCAACAACCAAATGCAGTGGGCCATCTCGAGGATGGTTTCTATCAGATACCGGTATTAATGGTACTGAGGAGTATTTGGTCTTGCTACTTCCGACGATGCTTTCTTCGCGGTCCGTCCTTTTTAAGCCTCACTGATATCCATCCAAGCAACATATTTGTTGACGATGAGTGGAACATCAAATACTTCATCGATTTGGAATGGGCCTGCTCTCGGCCCGTGGAGCTGATTCACCCTCCATATTGGTTAAATAATCAAGGCGTCGACTCCATCAGCCTGGGGGACTACAAGACCCTTCATGCGGAATTCACGGAGGCGTTGGCAGAGGAAGAATTGAAGCGTTCAACAACGTCATTGCCGTTATTGTATCCTATTTTGCAACAGGGCTGGGAAACAGGAACGTTTTGGTGGTCCCTCGCTCTGAATAGACCTACAGTGCTGTTCAGGATTTTCTCTGACCATATCCAGCCAAGGTTTTCGAAAGCCCATACTAACGGCCAATTATTTTGGGTCTACACTATGCCTTACTGGACGTTCAATGCGTTTGATTTTATTCAGTGAAAAGTGGAAGACAAAGAACAATAGTATAATCTATCCTTGCGTGAGGCATTTCAAAGCTGAATATTCAGTAATCTTAGCTGATCACTTTGTTTGTTCCTTTTCACTTCTTTTTTTGCTCTTCATGCTTGCGATTATTACCACTGCCTTCTTTTTCCTTATCTATGAAACTCTGTACAGCATTTCCTAGGCTTAAAAAGGCATCCTTTTTGAGGAAACGCTATAGCTATAGTTGGGATGGATATGAACGTACAAAACATATAGAGAAGCTAGAAATAGGACAGTTTTGGATAAAATCACTCATCTATGTATTTCCATGGTGCTATTGCCATGGAGCGCTTCTCCTCGGATTCTTCTCCCCCCCCGGCCCCCCCTCTTATCCATTGCTCTCAAATATATATCTTCCTGCTATGCCACTATCTCTTCGCCTTCTACTCTTAGTATTTCCTTTCCCACCGACTGAACCCTGAATAAGGTGCTGATTTGACGACCGATTTAGAAATTGTATGAATAATGGTACTATGAAGAAGTATTAGCAAAGTCAACTATGTCAGTAGGATTTAGCATACCTGAGTGTTCCAGTAGGCTTCTTGCCAAGCCCAGAAGTATTCGTAGGACTGATGGTAGAGGCGCAAATTCTCATTGTGGGCCTGCCAGAGCTCTACTGCAAGCCCCTGTCTTTCGCGTTTGAGAATCTCGAATCTGCAATTTGGATCGAAGCGCACTGTAGCAGCAAGGTCCCTAGGTTAAATGTCTCCACCAGGAAATGGTGCTCTGGCTGAGCATAGCACATACAATGATCTTGGCGTCCGCAATCCCAACATCGCCGGGGCCTCTGTTTCTTAGGTTTCATTTGAGTGGGCAGCCTAGGAGGTGCTGAGTTAGCCTTAGGGCTCATTATGATAAGAGGAAGAATAGTAGATTGTTGTCAAGGCTGTGGAGATGAGATTGAGAATGATTGAGAAAAGTAAACCGAAATTTGGAGAAGATTCAGGGTGAAGAATTCCGAGTGAGGAAAGCTTTTTTGAGTCCAAGGATTGAATTGAATATGAAATATTTCTTGATCGAAGCTCTAGGAATAAACAATCAGGCAGAAGAGCGCCTCCAAAACGCTATGGCAAGAATATAGTATCCTTATTTTCCAAGTGACAGTACAGATTGCTAGTACCTTTCTACACCTTATAGGGTATTGTGGACCAAGGCTAATCCCAAAGAGCCATGATCGGGTTGAATGAAGAGTATGATTCATGATACCACCTGAAGTCCACTTACGATTCTGAAAATCAACCCGAAATAAGTTTAGAGTGTGGATCTGAGAATGCTTCCACCTTTCCTTTTGTAATCGTACATATGGATCTTATATGCATCCAGTGGTGGTAGCCTTCTGGACGATTCTTCATTCTTGTCAATTGCGTGCCTGCCGTTGAGGAGTGTCGTGCCACTTTTCTTTCCTTTCTGAACTATACACCACTATCAAGAAAATAAAGTGCTAGATCCTGAAGCAAACTTTGAACAAATACCGCCCCAGAACAATTAATTGACACCGTTCCTGAAACCGCAAGCTGTTTAAATAGTGCATTCTCGCCAGGTTCTTTTCGGGTATTCATTTGACAAAGCATCGGCTCGAAAGGGCCAGATTTGGACCTTGTATTAGCACTAGCGCACCATATGTATTTAAATGCCCAGGGCATGGTATGAGCAGATACGATAGGGTTATATCGAGCTTGAAGACAGGTGATGAAAACTTTTTAGCATCACCAACTGTATCTCCCCAGGGACCGTAGCCAGCTTAATAGCTTGCGAGGCCCTTGGGAAGCATATTACTACGACAAGGGCGGTCTTACAATCTGGTCGGCAGTGAAAATGTCAGCATCGACGTCGGCGGTAAGTTATTTGATTATCTAGAAAAGAGCATCGTGGTGGCAATCGATGGGGCGAGCGGGTATAGGAAATTTGCACCATCATACGATCAGTATCCTGGGCATGGCTGTCGTTAATATTGGCGATCTTGCCATTGAATGCCTGGATGAAGCAGAGTGGAACTTCTCGTGGGCTTCAATCGATGCCTGATATGCTCTGTAGGACAGTGGGTAGTGTCTACGACTTGATATATTTAGTATTACTGGTATGTACTAGAATCCTGTAGGTGAGTACTGTTATTATAATCGGGGTTTAAAAGCTATTGATATACAGTTTTCTGCCGCAAAGGTCCTTGGTTGATTTCTGTTAATATGTCTTATCGGTGGGTGCTTATCACGTGATCCTTATCTTGAAGTTTGATGCCGTTTTTTTTTCTGAAGCTGGAACCCGCATCGATTCTCGGTGAAACTGCTTGCCTATTTTGTATAGGCATAGCCTTATCGGTAAAATTTCTCCTCCTTATGTTCTCGAACATTGTCACTGCTGCCAAGGGTCTCTTTTCGCGGAGCGAGTCCGAGGACAATCTCGCAGATCCTGCTAGTGCCCACGCCCCAACAACTCCGGACATGGCGACAACACAGCATGGTACGATCGCGCCGGATGACATTGTCGATACCTCCGTTTCCAATGGTTCTGCAAAGAAAAGCAAGCGCAAGGCAGTCTCGGGTAATACAGAAAAGGCCGGCGATCAACATACAAAACGACGCAAGAGGAGTAGCTTAGAAGCCCCCGAGACAGCAGAGGACGAGAGCATGGATTCAACGAACGGCCATGACGCAGATGAGAATTCGAATCAAAATGCGTCTAAGAAGCATTTTCGATTTGGCAGCGAGGAGCCCGCGGCGCCCGTGGCGAATATCGAACAAACTCCTCAGCAGAATCAGGACGAGGACGAGGATAGTGATGACGACGCGCCCGAGACAATTGATAACTCAGCGCAGCTTATGAAGATGAAGGAGCAGGCTAAGAAGCAAGAAAAGGCGAAACAATTGTAGGTTTATGCCATTGTTCCTTCAACTGCCCATTTTACTCACAGTGTCTACAGAGAAGAACAACTGAAGCGCGAGAAACGGAGGAAACTCGACGAACGCCGCAAAATCCAAGCAAAGTCCTCATCCAAGGTTTCTAGGGATGTGCCGTCTTTCAACGACGATTTACTTTCCGAAAGCACAACCACATTGGTAGGATCTGTTACCCAAGATGCGCCACGCCTCGAGATTCCGGCTCTCCTGCCGGATGATATCTTAAATGCCGAACCAGTCTTTCGCCCACCAACGCCCCCAGCTGAGGATACATTTGCAGCTCCCAAGAAGTCGGCCAAGTTACGCTTCTTAGACAAGACAGAGAAGCCCCCCAAGGATTTGCATGATGGTGACGTGACTATTCGGGTCCTTGATGCGCCTTCCACCAAACAAAATGCATCAAAACCTGTCCTCGCCCCTAAGGCGTCGAAGAGTGGAAAAAACGTGAAGGGTAATTGGCTCAAAAGACCACGAAGTACTGGAAATGCCAATGGAATGCGGAGGACCGCGGGAGCGCCCTCGAGCTTTGTACGGCGCTAAATTTGCATTACTGTCGGGTCCTGGGTCTGTTGTCCTACTAAACATGTAAATAGCGATACCTGATTTTTCAAATTGCCAATGGCCATACAATCGGAATTTACTAGGCTTTTGTGAAACTGTAGACTCGCAAGGTCGCATCAAACCGGATCTGGTCCAGGCAGTAGCGATTAATAAGGTGGGGAATGCGGATGAACCGTGTGGAGCACCTGAGCGAGAGCTTCACCTTGATTTTTTCGCCTCAGCTCCCTATATCCTCATCGCGAGCGCAGCGTCGCCTACCTCAGTCATGGGGTCGACTGCAGAGAATACCCCTTTACTGGGTGGCCAGGAGGATTCCTCCGCGCGAGCGAAAGGGACCTCTCGGTCGGTCAAATTTAACCCGTTAACGACCATCAGCACCTACGGTGGTGCCTCCTCCGACCCAATGTTCCGCCCATTGCATACCGGATCGCCCCCCGTCAATTCACAGCCGGGGCCCTCTCGTGGTGGTCCACCTATGCTGTCCGCATTGAACAATAAATTCCGTCGAAGCAGCAGTTATGGTGCTCCCCTGAGCGCACCGCCGAATACAACACCGGCTTCAAAGATTGGACCACAACGAACTACCAAGAAGGCTCAGAAGCTGAAGCTGCTGCCCGACCCTGTTACCGCCGAAGAGGACAACGAGGGCGACTTTCCACGAGATGTCTACTCGCAAATCACTCGTATTAAAGATCCAGCTGCACGCAGCCACGCGGCCAGGTTAGGGAAGGCCGATCGTGACCGAATCCCTCGTGTCACAGCATATTGTACCGCCAATTCCTACCGTCTCGATGGCGTGATCAAGTTTCTCAAATCGCGTGCTAAGACTCGTGGAGCGAACCCGAAACTATTCGATGAGTGTGTCTACTCTCCATTTGACTACGAATTTGAAGAGAAGCAGCTCGGGAATCGGTCGTTCTCAACCCACAGCGGCAATGGGCACCACAGCCAACGGACAAGTGAACGAAGGTATTCTGACAGCGCTGTCGAAGTCGAAGAGAACTCGAAATCCCGGAGAGATGATCTCCTCGAGTTCCGGGACGAAGCCGGCCACGCCACTGATGACAACAACCAGCATGCGTTATCCGCCCAACAGGATGCGCTGTCCGAAATCGATACCAAAATCCACAAACCAGAGGTCTTCCTATTCGACTACGGTACTGTTGTCATCTGGGGCATGACTCCAGCGCAAGAATCCCGCTTCTTGTCCGACGTCTCCAAATTCGCCTCGTCAATTCTGAGTCCCGACGACACTCAGATCGAGAATTTCAACTTCTACTATGCACGCGAGTATCAAGCCCGGATATACAATGACTTCATCTCCCTCCGCGATCCACGCAACTACATGGTCAAGCTCGCTATCTCGCACGCCCTCGCCCAATCAGTCAAGACCTCGCTTTTCGAAGACCTGGTTTCCGAGACCATCTCCGACACTGCCCCTTTGCCAGCGCAGATTGCGCAGACCGGGAGTGTGAATCTCACCCGTAAACAGATCAATATGCAGATTGGCGAGCTCTTCATCCTCCGGATCAACATCCACCTACAAGGCTCTGTCCTGGATAGCCCCGAACTCTTCTGGGCAGAGCCCCAACTCGAGCCGGTCTACCAAGCTGTTCGAAGCTACCTGGAGATGGACCAGCGCGTGAGCCTGCTGACGGAACGACTTGACGTCATCGCCGATCTGCTTGCTGTGCTCAAAGATCAATTAACACATCGCCACGATGAATATTTGGAATGGATTGGTGAGTAGTTCAACGAGAATCCAGGGTGGACGTGAACTAATTTGGTTACAGTCATCGTATTGATTGGTGCAGAGATTCTTGTTGCGGCTATCAATATTCTTGTTGATCTTTACGCGGGAGTGGACTAAAGGATACCCTCCGTATGCTCGAGCACTTAGGCTAGACCTGGTTACCGGGTTTTCCGTGGTGCTTTCCCCCCCAAGAGGAGTGACAATGGCATCGTGATCCTAAAAGTCCTTTCTCCGCATGTGTTATGTTCGTGTGCTCCGTCCCACTGTACAGAAGCAACTTGGTTTTACCGATACAACTATGTCTTGTATCTCACACTATTCTTGTATTTTATGGCGCAGATGGACTCTCGGTTTCGGATCTAGGAACGGTGTTATGGCGACAATTAAAGGGATTGTGCTATACACGATATATCATCCTATTCATATGAATTAGCCAGTTGTAACGAACGCCTACATCATCTCTAGCAGGAGCATACTACTAGGGTCCTAGAGAGGGGGAGTAAGGTCAAATAACAAAACACCATGGGCGGCAGCTCTAGAGGAAGCCTTATTAAAATTGGAATGACATGTGTGTATTTGGGGGTATGAATCCCTATCCAGCGAACTCCAGCTCCCACTCGAAATGTCCCAAATCACGGATGAGCAGCTGCCGACAAACGTCGAGCAAAAGCCATTATTTATACCTGACGATAAGAATAAACACAACGTGGGGCAAATAAGAAGACAATAGACCCAATTAGTAAAGCCATCGATATCCGGTAGATAAGACCACTTATCCTTGCAAAAGGAGAGAAGAGAAGAAAACAGACCAGAGAACCCAAGAACCCACCCCATGGAGACAAAAGAAGGAAATAGAAAAAAAAAGGGAAAAAATGCAGAGGAGCACAGAGGACCATTGGCCTTTTGACTTAGGCCCCCTCAACCTTCGGCTCCTTGGCATCCATATCCATAGGCGTAGTGCCCGAGTCAGCAGCATGCTCAGGCTGACCCTCGCGCTGGTCCTGGCTGTGTGGCGTGCGGTCGCCCTCATGGGACCCAGTACCTACCCGGAAAGATGCGCTCAGCTCATGTTGACTTGGAGCAGGAGCAAGACGGGGGAGAGACGAAGAGCCGGCATCGTGCTCAGCCGGCTCCGCAGCATTGTCGTACGCGGGGCCATCTTCTTCGGCGCCATCGATGTTTAGGTTAGACTTACGGGAACGCTTGACGCGAAGAGGGCGGTCTTCGGGCTTTGAAGGAATGAAAAAAGAAAAGTTAGCCACAATCGGGCAAAGTCTTACGGGCATCGGAAACCATATGTTTTCCTCGTACCAGGAAGGATTCATATTCCAGGGTCACTTACAGTGGGAGGCTGTTCTTCAGAGCTACCCTCAGTTTCATCTTCGAGGTACCCGGCACCAGCAGTGCCGCCGGTGCCATTTGCGAGGGAAGAGTTTTGTGCCAGGGCAAGGGCGCGGGCGCGAAGTTCGGGGCCGATGTTGCCTGCCTGGGCTTCATCCACCATCGCAGTGACGGCGGCTAGGCGTTCGAGGAGAATGCAGGATTCCAGGCGCATCTTTTTGATATATTGCCAGCCGCGACGGTTGCGAGTGCGCATAATCTCATTTTCGGCCTCGACCTCGGTGAGACGTCTCTTCAAGGAGATACATTTGCGCTTATAGGCGATCTCCACGCTGGGAGGATTGGCGGAGGGAGGAGCAGGATTGGGGGGTTGGGCTTCCATTTTTGCGACGAGCACGTTGATATATGGGTGGGTAGTTGGAGTAGGCTTTCTGCGATGCAGGTTTCTATGGGATCTGAAGAGTCAATGGATGAGTTGACTCGGGCTTGGTTCCGGAATCGAGGGAAACTGGAGGTGGATGGATAGGTGTGGAAGGTAGAGGAGGGATGATGGAGGAGGGACGGTGGAGAAGGAAATAGTTGGGGCGTCGAGTTACAACCGCAGCTCTCAGTGAGTGATCCCCTTAGCTAAAGAGATAGCCAGATGTCTCGACTCATGAATGTTAATTTAAGATGGAGTTGCTTCTGGGCTCCACCCATACGTTTCTGCCATATTATCTGGAGGCGGTGAAAATGTTTACTATGAGCTTGAACTATTCAACATGGAAATATACCCCTATTGCTCCATCACTTGTTATCTCGCTAATGTCCACCAGTCGTTGGCAGTCCCAAGGCCACCTTGAACGAGTCATAGCTGTGATATTATTAGTCAAAAACCCTTACACCCAAATCATCATCCATGTCGGTACTCACATCAGCCACTGGAAGCCAGTCAATGTGCCCAGCATGACAATACGGACACCCAACCCGTTCCAAAGTCCGGAGAATCCAATTTTACCATAGATTCGACTGACCGCAGCACCAGCGCTCTCGCCAGCTACAGAAGTTTCATTAGCTTCGGTATAGCCTTGCCGGGGACAAAACAACTTACCCTGACGATCACTATTCAACTTGCTGACCATCACATCAGCAGGGTGGCTGACAATGGCACAGAAAATACCGGCAATGTAACCACCCGCAAAGCTGACCCCAGTCTGCGAAAGCTGGCTGTAGCTATCCTTTGGCTTCCCAAGGTACTTGTAGATCTGGTTGACGGTCTCCTCAAATGTCGCGAACTTGGTCATGGTATACGGGATCTGGCGAGCCCACAAGGGACCCAGGCCCTTGTACAGGCCACCGAAGCCCTCCTTCGCGACAATCTTGCTCCAGCCTTCGCGCACGCTGCCCGCGAACGGAGGCAGGGTAGTCTGCATCCGGACCTTGATTGCTTCCATGGGACAGAGCGCAATGTCCGCAAAGAACTCGGCGGAGGCACTGGCGCCCAGATTGATGAGGGTGCGGTTTCCTCCGGTGAACATCTGGTCACCGTACAGATACTTGAAGTACTCGTACAGACCGTACTTGCCGGCTCCTTGGAACGAGTAGCCGAGGAAGGTGGGCGACCAACCGAAGAAGACGCCGCTGAGGCCTTCCTTAGCGAAGATGGTGCGCCATGCTTGGACGTTAGACTTGTAGATACTCGGGTCGACCTGGCGACGGCACTTGACGAGATCTAGAGGGGTAATCGCAGTGTGCGTTGGGCCTAAAGAAGGATCATTGTCAATTGGGATCCCAATGGCTGCTTTTCTATCCGTTACATACCACAAGCTGAGGGGGAAAGTCCATCATGTTAGCGGGAGATCATCTCAAGCGGGGGGAAAGATAAGACATACCGACGATTCCGCCCAGAGCGCAGCTATAGAAGTACTTGGCGGAGTTGGGCTCGATCTTCCCAAAGGGAAGCTTGCGTTCTTGGGCCATGCTGGAGGGGAGAGTGTCTTGGGGGGGGGTAAGGTTTCAAGAGGGCAAGGGGAATGGGTTCTTAAAGGAAAGCAAGCTTGGGGAAGGCATGGCGTCAGTCCAATGCAGCTCAAACACGGCGCGGTTGTGACGGAAACGGCTAGACCGGCAGCTTATCGCCCGACTCTCCGTACCATCCGTCCACTTCGTCGATCGCGGTTCTTGGGGAGATTCCCTGGATCTCAGGGTCTACTGACTTCATGTCTAACTACGTCCTAGAAAATATCCGTCTTCTACAGCAATAAATACATGCATCTTGGGATCCAGGGACCAGCATCAGGAACACCATCAGGTCCAGCCTCATGACGTCATGGTCTGGCTAGACCCAGCTCCACTGTACATTCATTAATACAGTTTTGTACTCAAACATGTGCAATACCCAAAAAAAAACCCGGTTATGAACTCCCAAGCGCCAGACCAATCAAAAGGTCTCCATGCATTCTCCTCCGGAGGTCCTCAATTCCTATACTCCGTAGCCAGGGAAACTGCGCAGTTCGTTTATACCCCCCCCGCATACCCTCGACTTTCCGAGCAAGGACCAGAGCTAAATGAATTCCTTGGCTATGCCCAACATGATGAAGCACGGAGATAATCTGCTCCGCCTGCGTCGGACTGGGCATGCCATTGGTCAGGATATACCAAAGTGGCCAGACCAGGCCGAAGCACTGGGCCGCGCGGATGTTCTTTCTGTGATGATTGGGGCCGAGGGGGCGGCCGAGGTAATCAACCTGCGATAAACAGAAGGGTATACTGCGACAGGCATCCGCCGTCATCTCTTTGATAATCCCTTCCAGACTGCTCTCGTCGACCTGGAGACTGCTCCAAGGAGGATCATCTGGTGGACTGTGCTGGCTCTTCTGTGCAAGGACCGAGAGGAGTGTCCTGTTGAGCCCGATAATCTGTCGTTGTAGCAAAATACGTAGCGCTCGGTAGTATAGCCAGGTGACGCCGTGCACGCCATGATGGTAAGTTAATAGTTGTTCGCCTTGGGCGGAGTAGACGACGAGGGGCAGCCAGCGGTCAGGGAGGCTCATTCCCCAAGCGCATATTTCCTGGTCGATGTCCCGGGCACTATGGATCCATCCTTCGATGGCCGCTTGGTCGGGGGGGATTCGGCGCTGATTGCATAGACACGTACAGATGTCGCATTTTGGATGTTGTTAGCATTAACCGCTCTGTCGGATCGTCGCTATTGGACAGGCCCTCGAGGACCGAGTCTAAATTATCGCGAGGTTTGTCGCCCAGGGCCAGGATTCCCACATGCTATATATGATCATCAGCACACTAAAAAAAAAGTTTGCCTTTGAACAAGAAACAACGCGCTCACCATCTGAACATATGCAAAATTGAACATGTCACGACCACGCTGATGTTCCAATTGCCCCTGGCCCCGAAGTTTCATCAAGTATTCAAACCCAGCGGTATGAGAGCTATGGAGACCATTGCGTTCGCCGCTGATATCTTCATACAGTGACAAGATCAGCATAGCAGCGAATGTCTCATCCTTGGCGGCCTGAGTCGGCGAAATCAGTGCCTCGCGGAGACTACGCAGCGCCTTTCCGAACCGCTGACGCGCCTGGTGCATGAGCGGAGGTGCACTCAACCCTTGCGCATAAGCCATGAGCGCCGTCGCATCAACTGCCCACTGAAGACAGTTCCCCGACGGTTCCCGAGTCCGAGGATCAAGCTGCGCATACAGCGGCGGCAGGTAGTCCATGTGGCCTATCCCCTCGCAATCGGGACTGATGGTGAATTGGTCAAAGAAATAACATATTGCACGCTGTAGCCAGGTTGCATCGGGGATGCTGATTAGATCGAGTGACGAGCTAGAGCTGGATGCACTGCTCATGCGCGATGATGCATCTGATAGGGATCCAGTATCTGATGGGGTCTGGCCATTGTTGGCGGGGATGTATCTTTTCTGCCCAGCTGTTGCACTTTCGGGGTTTCATTGCGAAAAACCACCTCTGGGCGATAGCCTGGACATGGCCGTCCGTAGACGGCGCAGTTGCGGCACCCGGGGCGGCCTTCGTCACACTGTTCTACTATTAGGGCATTGGCTTATTGCATAGGGTACGAGGTATGTTAAGGGTAATGCAGGGTTCGGAGTGGATGCGCCGATAGCATGTGCTTACCTTGATCTTCCGCTTGCGACAAAGGTGACACCCGGTGCTAGGCTTGCCTCCATACACCATTGTTCATGCCTGGCGCTCTGATCTAGACTTCCTCTGCTCTCGATCAAGGCTAATATTACGTCTCTTCCGCGCTTTTCAGGAGAATATTAGTCAGCGTTCCTAGTGGAACCTCGGGCAACCTGACGGGGAAATGGTTCGATATCAAAATGGACGGAGTTCATACTTGTGGAAGGGGGATCTTGGAGATTCTCAATGGGCTGATATGATTGTGTTCCGGGAAACTATTGACTATATTCATACCATGAGCAGTACAGAATACAGAACATATCGACGAGGATCTAAGCAGGTGGGAGCGGGAGCATGATTCTGGGAAGATGAAATTTCACTAGAAAACCCCCAGGTATCACCGAATACGGCACAATACTCCGAAATAAAGAAGTCAAAACAGCCGCTAGATCATCGCCAACCTCCCACAATAGGTCGCAAACTCCGCGAGATGAGGGATATAACAAATTCTTCGGCCGCCCAAGGCCGCAATAACCAAGAGAAAACAAAAAGAGTCGAAGGGATCTCGAAAATAAAAGGACAATGAATGAACGAAATGAGCTGATACCAGGAGGGCAGCTCTGGATGCCATGACAAGCCGTTATTGGACTGACTATGGCTTCCGTAGCCGTAGATTACGCCACAGGCTCATTCCTAGGATGACGAGTGCTGATGGATGATAGATGATAGATGATGGAAATGCTCAAGTGGGGCAAAGCCCACGCCGCTGGGATAACGCAAAAACCAGATGATATCGGACTTCGTTAGATGGTAGGCTATAAGGAACGGAGGCAAGTAGTCGTCAAAAGAGTCCAGAGGGAGGATCACGCATCAGGCATCGGCTGGTCTGCATCGCTGCCTGAAGGGAGAGTAGGTGGTGGGTCGGAGTAAAGGGCTCTAGATCGGCATGACGCCTTCAAAGCGTCGTCATGGGTTGAGCCAATTCCTGGCGTGCTTGAAGTGCTTTCGATGGCAAAATACTCTTCATCATCGTCGGGAGGCGGCGAGAATGACCAAACCTAGTATATATGAGCAAAGGAATCTCAAGAGACTTGGATTGAGGGTGTTAAAACGTACCTCCATGACTGTTCGGCCAGATCGACTAGCCATGATGACCGCCTTTTCCTCTTCAAAGGCAACCCTCCACACCGCTTCGGCCGGTGTAGAAAGTTCCCGTAGAAGCTGGCCCGTCTGTAAGCTCCACACCTTCACCCGACCGTCACTTCCACCACTGACAATGCGAGTATTGTCAAATTGGAGGCTGGTCACGCTATTGTCGTGGGCTGCTAAGCGATGGATGGGCGCCATCTTAGTTAGTGACCAGACCCGGACGGAGCCGTCAGAACCACCGGTCACTAGAGTGTCTCCACGCATCTGAAGCTGACCCACTAGAGATGTATGACCTTGAAGGATAGCGTGACATTGGCCGGATTGTGGATCCCAAATTCGCACACTGGTATCCAGGCTGCCTGTAGCTATCCGCCGGCCGTCAAAAGCGATCGCGTAAATTTGACTGAAGTGACCAGAGAGAGTCCGAAGGCAGCGGCCCTGGGGTATGCTCCATATCCGGGCAGTGGTGTCGTAGCTTCCCGAAACAACTAGATCGCCGTGAATCGCAAGGCATCGCACGCTAGCTTGGTGCCCAACCAGAACATTACGGCATGTACCTGAGGCGAGATCCCATATTCGCAGAGTGGTGTCCCTGGATCCAGAAATGGCTGTGTGCCGATCGGACATTTTCAAACACCGAACGGTCGATGTGTGCCCCCCGAAGTAAATGTATTCCAGCACTGGCTTTGGTTAACTTCGCCCACCATATATGAATATTGCAGCGAAAAATAACTTACCCTGTCGCCATGTTCCATACTCGTACTTCTCGGTCGCATCCTCCGCTGACCAAAATATCGTCCCACGGAACCATGGCCCACACGCCCATAACATGGCCCTGTAGGGTTTTTTGATTATCTCCATTGGTGTCATACACATGGATCTTCGCATTATCCAATGCAACCACAATGTACTTAGGAGTCAAGTGTAAACTGGTGACCACGCCCTGGTCAGGCGTGATATGGCGCTGCGTGCATCGCCCGCCCTTATTCCAAGCCGATTCAACCATGTACCTCTGCTTAAATTGAGAACGGTACGACACCGGCCTGGTTCGACGCCTGCGAGAGGAGGAGCTGATCGAGGGAAGCCACTCTCCAGAAAAGGTGCGGGGAAGTCTGGGGGCGCTTTCGACAGCAGCCTCATTGGATGCTACTAAGCGACTTTCAGAGTCACTAGGAACGCTTGGTTCTGGAACAGACTCTACAGAGCGAGGGGTACTCGGCTCCATGGCATCTTCTTCTGGAATGCGGCGTATTGAGTAAGCGTGCTTCTCGCAAAGGTTCTTCCATGTAATATCATCGTTCAAGAGTTCACGCCACCGCCTCGATACTTGTGAGGACCGTGCGAGGCTCTTGGGGTCGTCGATAAAAGATAGTACCTAGAATCGAGAGAAGTCCCCGGATTAGTTCGTGCTGTTTCATTTTCATTTGTACGAGAGTCAAATCCCGGTTCCAAGCATTCATACCCTGAGACATAGTTCGTTGGGAAAGACCGAAAATGGATCCTTGCGCAAGCGCGGGCCAACGTAGCTCGAAACAAAACTCAGCTGTGGGCTGTCGCAGACGTCCAGGATGCCCTCGAGAAGTTTCTGTTTCTGAGAGTTGGAGAGTGTGCTGAAATGGATGCGAAGGTTGAGGAGGAAATTGCTCTCTTCGTCATCGGACGAGTGCCAGTTCGGAGGGCGCTGATGGGGGGGTTGGACTCGGGGCGGGCGTGGGAGGTGATGCGGGTGCCGAGGGTAGGAGGTTTGCGGGAATCGAGGTGACATTTTTCTTAGCGCTAAGCGAGCGGCCTGAATTACTGGCGAAGCTGGAGATAGAGTCACGATTCGAGGGTGGTGAATGCGATTCCAGTTGGTCGGACATTGTTGACGACTCATCGGCCATATCAAAGCCCTGGGCATCCATCGCGGTGACCCGATCCGATCCTTCTCTTCCTGGTATCCCCCTGGAATCTGCCGTGTTCCTTTTTCTATTTTGTTTGTTTCCCCCTATTCACGAGTATTGGAGGAAGCGGGCATAAGAAGTGGAGATCGAAAGCCGATATGGGATGAGGGGGGTTAAGGGCAGGCGATGAGTGCGGATGACCGAGCAGAAGAAGGAGATCCCTAAACGGGACGGGCGGTTGGAGATGGGGGGTTGGGAGGGGTTATGGCGATAGGCTGCAGTCCTCCCGAATTAAAAATGCTTCCTTTAATCAGAACTCCAGGAATTAAATAGTCCACGTTTTTTTCTTCTTTTTTTTTTCGCCCCTAAAAGAAAGGATCTGGAAAAGGGACATTCCAAGAAGAATGTCGTGACCTCGAGATTCTGACAAAGCTAAGCTCCCCCGTGTTCTCCACTCTCCGATTACAGGTTGAAACACTCGACGTTTTCTGCTTGCAGCATCCTTGTCTCGGGATTCGAAGAGGGGAAAAGGCAAGTTAGGCAAGTCAGGCAACCCCAGCAAAAGTCAGGCAAATACCAGAGAGAGACGCCCCTGCAGCCACCAGCGCGTGGACCCGTGAGGCGTTTGGGAACCGTCCGTCCCCCTTTCCCCAGAGCGGACAAATATCGGCCAATCTTGCTCGGCAACCCAACCAGGATCAACGGGTGCGATTCGGGGAAGATGTCGATGCCGAACTATAGATGCTCCAATACCTTGGGTTAGGCGGTTCGGCCACTCGTCCAGGACCATGGATCCAGCATGAGGCCAGTGATGATTCAGACTGACGAGACTGACGACACGCGCCATCACTCGTGATTCACATATGAGCGTGACCTGCGCATATGAGGGGCACTTGTCGTTTATATAGAGAGCTACTAGTACGAACGTCACGCTACGTCGATGTGATCATCGTGGAAAGTAAATGCAATGATGACCTGCCCTGGAATACAAATCGTACATAATGATATTCCTCCCATGGTTTTACTCGGCTCTCCAAAACATAATCGTAATTTGCGAACAGATGCCAAAAAGAAGGGGTATATGCTCCGATATTTAACCCATGGCGTAAGGGAAAGAAATGAGAGCGGACAGGGAGCTCGAAATTAACCCAAGGGCACAACATCGCAACATCTCGCCGCCATATCAAGGCGGATTTGTCTAAGTGCCAGCAAGGGTAAGCAAGGAAAAACAAAAATGAAATGAAATGATCCTCATCAGACGAATCAGTGGGCATGACCAATCTGCAAAAACAGCGGCAAAATCATGCCGACAACGGAAGCAATCAAGTCTCTCATGGATTTGTCCGATCCATCTTGGGACTCCCCGGGAGTCCCCATACCCATTCACATGGGTATCGTGTGCGGACGAGCCAGGCTCATTTTCTTGCATGGTGTGCATAGCAACGTACCTAGACATATAAATTAGCAAATCGTAGGCCCAAGGATAAAGTTGATAGACGAGACTCAAAAGTGACACTTACAAAAATGTCCCGCCAGAGAAGAGCAGCAACATTCCAGTGCGCCACAGCGCACTCGACCCGTCGCCGCCTGAAGAGCCCACCATATTCACGAAGAGAAAGGTCACCAAGGCACCCACAGGCGCTGCCAGACTAAAAATCAGTAGATGGGCCCTGGCAGTTCGGCTCGACAGTCCTTGCTTGAGAAGGATCGAGGTTAGCCCGAAGGATGCAGGCGCCTTATGCACCATAATTGCCAAGAAAATGATGAAGCTCAGCCCGGTATCCGAACTCGAGGCACCCAGCGCAATTCCATCTGCCGCCGCATGGATTACCAAGCCCGTCGTCGTGGCAAAACTGTGACCGCGCCGCGAGCTGGAGTGACCACCATTCAGCAATCCTCCGTCTCGGATGGGTGAAGAGCCTCGTCGCAAACCGGAGCCAAGGTTGTCGAGGGAGATATGGTAGGGGATGCGCTCGGCCTTTGTCGGGGATGCGAACTCAGGTAATTTATCAATAAGGTACATCATAATGAAGCCGCTGACAAGGGCGATGCCGACCCATGCGTGCGGCGAACTTTCCTCTTCCTCCTTCTTCTCCTCCTCTTTCTCTTCTTTGCTAGCATTGCCGCTGGTAGACTCCTCTTTGCGGGTTTGCAGAGTTACTGGTTCAGGCGATTGATTGCTTTCGAGGGACAGCAATGAAACAGGGATTTCTGTTGGCGGTATTGGATCTTCGTGGTCGAAGACTGGGGCGCTAATTGGCCCCCCCTTGCGGTTGCCATTCAATGGCGGCGCTTCGTGTACTGATGCTCTTTCGGCTGGCAGGGTTTGCGCTGTAAAGGGTCTCAATGCCCTCGGGTATAATGACAATCAACGACGTTCCCACCAGAACCCCCATGCCAATGGATGATATTAATCGGAGTTGGGAGGGAGATAGGGTAAATGCGAGAGGTAAAGAGCCGACGACAAATGATCTATGGAGAGCAAAGCGCCACGTTAGCATGCTCCGTTGACAAAGAGGAAACCCACAGCTCTTCGGGGTTTATTGTAACTCACGTCACGGCCATTACAATACTCAGCGCGAGCAGAGTAAACAGTCCCTCCATGATGGCCTTGTGTTGCGGAACGTCGCAACTTCGCACTTGAGCCGGGACTTCGGGGCTTTTACAGACTGTCAATCATGGTGCCCCGAACGGGTAAAGGAATAGAAGGGCCCTTTCTAAATGAAGGGGTGCAGGATGGGAAGATAAGGGGAGATGAAGGTGCCAAGAGCGAAAGGTGGTAAGTGGCAGCAAATCGACTTTCGGACCCACGTCTCAGGTACCGCCCGCTCCATTTGGACAACAGGGCCGTCCCTGGCCAGAATTCGGCCTTTGAAGGGGTTCTCTTGAGCATTCAAGCTTGTGCCTGGATGTAATGGTTCTGCCAATATTGGAAAATACGCCTTCTTGGTTGCTATATGCTATATTTTTAAAGGGGCATGCAATTCCCGCACTGGATGATTGCTTCTCGCAGCCGTTGTCCTACCACGGACAAATGATCCATGCTGCAGGACGAGTATACCGCCGATCACTCCGCATGTATGATGAAGACGGAGATAGGAGCAAGATACTGACTCTCTGCCAGTCATTTTCACGTAGCCTAATTGGTTATTCAAAAAAGGGAGATATAAACAGAAAAATAGAGGGTTTCATCGATTGGTAGCAACGGTAACAAAAGAGATGCTAGTAGTTGAAGAGATGTAGAGTTTACTAATTGGCTTACATACTTTACATCATTAATTATTCAGAAACTCGGGATCTCAGGTCTTCAAGCGAAATAAGGGCGCCAGCCCAATGATTGATTTCTAATATCTATACAGATAACTCAGGTATATTAAGCATGGGCTGTATCGGGTAACGCATACCATGGTACATGAATCGCCTGCAAGATATGCATTTCCTTCCCAAATTTATTCAGCAGATTACTGAGAAGGTGTGCGATCATGCCCTCCATTCCAAGGGTATGAGGGCCACCCCTTAGCTCAACCATTTTCACAGCTCCTCGAACATGGTTCTCGAGCATTGTAGAATCATTGACATAAAGCTATAAATTGTTAGCAAACCTCGACCTCCCACTTGCATGGTTTGACCCAAAATTCATCTCACCTCATCATAAGATAGCATGATAGCCTTGGTTATGGCCGAGTCACTAAATTTGGGTGCCTGAAGTGCAATATCATCTCTCAAGGAGGCCAACACCTTGAGCTTATATTGGAAAGCCAGCCGGTTGAAAGAACTATGATGTTCCTCTGAATGCGTATAGGAAACAGCTAGTTGACGACATGACGCAAGACATATAGCGTGCATGAGGCTCTCCTCTGCAAGTGCATGTGGAATCCACAGCGTCTTCATGCGATTGGAAAAGGTTGCGTCAGCTTCAGCGCAACGCATGAGCGGAATAATGGTGTTCACATCTGTTCGAAAGATATTAGACTACCCAAGTAAGATATTTTATGGGGCAGCAGTTACAATGGTCAAACAGCCAATGCTCCAATGGGCTTAAGAGTAATGCAAAGCTCATGAACGGGTCCTTCCGGCCTGCAGAGAGAGCGCGGCAGATTCGTAGGTCGATAGTATCTTTTTGCGGATCTGTCCCACCCTTCACTCCTTCCAGATTCTGAGATGTGTCTCTCTTCTGAGCCTGGTGGTGTATGGTCCTCGACCGTCTCGCCTTAGCGTGTCGTATGCGAGCTGCATGCGAATGGGCCGCTCTCCGTTGCGCGTCCGTAATACCCACTGTGCCTCCGGGATGGGGTACACTAAGAACGAACTGGATCGACGCCATTCTGGAGACTACCAGCAGTCAATTTTATTCGTAAGGAATAATACAGGAGAGAAGTAAACTGCGTGATAACTCGTAAATAACTACCTCGCGACAAGGCGCCCCATGACTAATCTATCGGCGAGCCGCCCACGGGCGTTTGAAGGCGAGAAATAGTGGGTGGAGATCAATATAAGAGTACATTATTGGCCTCATCCTGTATGCCAAGACTTACGCCTCCTAGAAGCGGTAAAGCGCCGGATTAAGTTCAGTCCATCAGGCCGAGAAATTTATCTTATATTCATTGTTTGTTAAGTGTTCATGGCGGTTTCCACTGAGCGATTATGAGAGAAATCTCAATGGTCCTTCAAGGTGTCTTCGGACCTATATTGTTGCCAGGCAGGGAACCACTCGTAATTAATCATTGTGGGCCACAACCCAGTTTGGGAAGCTGCACGTGTACTCCTCCCTGTTTAAGAGCAGCGATGGTATCTACTTGTAAACCTTCCAGATCTAGAAGGAGTACTAATACTAATGTATCCCAATTTCCGGAGCCTAGGAGTCTGATAAGCAGATTCCAAAGCAGGTTGGTAAATGTGGGTGATCATTCTGCTTTGTAAATATAAATACGGATCCCATTGACGCTTGGAGTTCTTCTCCCATGTTCATCAGAATTCAAACTGGAAATTGAGCGACTCCGATCCTGTGGTGATAAGCTTTGAGCGTATTTCAATGGGTGGATCAGTCGTCATCACAGGAGCCAATGGCTCTCTAGCACTGGGATTTGTAGAGGCATTCCTCAAGTCATATCCCCAGTATACTCTCATTGCCGCGGTACGAAACACATCCACGAAAGAGGACGCCAACACAGCGAAACTCGCCAGCTTGATCGCCAGGTATCCCAAGGCCAAAGCTCACATTGAGAGCATTGACCTGGGTAGTTTGGTGAGCACACGGTCATTCGCAGACAACATCGCAGCACGAATTGCTTCCAAAGAGCTTCCACCCATAGTAGCGATCATATGCAACGCGTTCACCTGGTCGTTGGAATCCGGCCAAAAGTTCACGGTGGACGACATGGAGGCCACGTTCCAGGTTGGCCATCTGTCTCACTACCTGTTAGTTCTTAAACTGCTCGGCAGTATGGATGTCAAATCGGGACGCGTCGTTCTGCTTGGATCAATTGTTCACTTTGACCTTCCGAATCCGATCTCGTCTCTCGTGGCTGGGTTTCCGGAGGACTTTGACAAGCTTGTTACACCGGACGCAGACCCATCGGATCTGATCCACGACAGAGGATTTCAGCGATATGCAAACGCTAAGCTTGCCAATATCACTTTCCTCTATGATTTGAACAAAAGACTTGAGAAGGTAAAGCATCCTGGAGTGGTTATAGTGACTGAGAAGAGCCATTAGTAACTAAATACTCTCACAGGATCCCAAGCTATCCAATATCACAGTGACAGCAATGGACCCAGGCGGCCTTCCGGATTCCCGTTCGCAGGCCGGACAGAAGAGAGCTGTGAGGGGCTTTTTTGCGCTCATTAATGTGCTAATGCCTGCTCTGAAGTATTTTACCTCACAGTTTCGGACAACTCGGGATGCTGGTCGGGATCTCGCTACATTGAGTCTCGATCCAAGCTTCAAAGGCAAAAGAGGTTACTATATTGGCACGAGGGAAGGCACTCCTTCGAAGGTAGCGATGGCAGAGGAAGTACAGAAGAAGCTCTGGGATGGGTGCTGGAAATGGGCTAATCTCACCCCAGAAGAAACTGTCCTTCAGAACTCAGCCTCAAATCCTTAAGCGACCAAAAGAAGGGACAACGCTTACATATCGTGAGGTCGCAGTGGAGACGGTTAGATTACTTTGTGATATGCCAGTAGTGTATTGGAGATGTTAATAATGTAGGAAATAATCGGTACAAGAGGAGCTGACTGTACGAGCGCGGAAATTCGAATCATGAGCTGAGTTTTTGCAAAACTGGCAGCTTTCGAGGACATTCCAAGCTCATCACTTCGGATAACATAGTGGGAGAGAAAGCCCCAAAGCTAACTCCTATGATGCGATAAATAAACGAAGAAAGCCTGGATACAGAGTAACGGAATTCAAGAAACTTTACCAAATATAATGACACCTTAAGTCTCCTTGGCGCGTTTGGGGAGGACGAAGCCTAGGTAGGGCAGGTAACGTCCCGGGTGCCAGTAGATGAAGAGAGCCACACAAGGATAGATCACCAGTGCGTCAAAGACATATTGGACCCATTCGTGGTCATTGATATATCCAGTGTTCCCTTTGGTAAAGTCGATCAGACGATAGACAGAGCGGACCTAGTTGTGATTGGTAAATGATAGCCTGGGCTTCTTGCCTAGCAAATAGACTCACCAGGATAAGAACGGTAGACAAGTTCACGACGCGCAGCAATGCAGGCCAATTTTTGTCCTTGAGGACGTCCCCCATGGCATACTTTCTTTCTCCGATGGTCTCGTAGCGTTCCTCTAAGCTCTTCGTAAACCTCTTCGAGGTAAAATTAAAACGGACGGCAGCGATGGCAAAGAAACCAAATGCCACCAATTGAATGATGACACCGACCATCGCGATAGACTTTCCGTGGTCTAATTTATCCTGTCCGGATGTATCGCCCGGGTCCACGCTAGTAATCATGAGCGCACCCACCAGCTGAAGGAGCAAAGCCACAATATCAAATCCAACGAAGATGGATGTGAGGAACCGTGGGGGCACCCAGCATAACTTGAACGTTCTCGATTGGAGGGGAACGACGAGGAAGAGGATGCGGCTGAACACTACGTAGCAGCAAGCTGCCATCAAGACTGGTGCTAAAATGATCAGGGCAAACTGAAGAACATAGGTCGATTTTGTTGTCACGTTCTGGGTTGAGAAGCAGCGAGCAATGTATCCGACAGCTTCCACTGTATGTCCCCACTGAGTTAGAAATATAAAAGATCAATTTGGACAAGCAAACATACTTCCAGAGGCAACGACCATGACAACCCACACCCAAGCTTTATACCGAATCCATTGAATCACGGTTAAGATAAATGCAATACCATAAAGAGCAGCGGCGATGACAGCGACGGCGAGGGAGGGATCATAGCGGTAGAAAGAAGTACCGGCCTTGTGGGCTCGTGTTGACAAGCCCATGATAACCTGAACAGCTTTCTCAATTCCCTTTTCCCCCGTGATTTGATGATCGACAGAAGGTATGAACAATATAATAGAAGAGTATAGCTTTGCTATCGAGAAGGTTATAGAAGTACCAGTAATAATAGAACTAGTAGATGTGCTTGCAAAGTTGGCGAATGACCCAGACATTCGGGATGAGGCAAGCAATTATATAGATACTCGTGGAGGAAAATACATAACAATCAGATTTCATCATGGGGGCGCACGGGTTGGGAGCCCATGTGGAGCTCGCATGGTATCACCTAAAAAGGAAGCAGTTTCGTGGACGGCATTTCGACAATTGAAACCACTGGGGGTCGGTCCTACACGCATGGGTATCCGAATTTGGATCCTTCAGGAGCTGCGAAGAGCCCGAAGCCGCTGACATCTTCAATAAAGTCTTTTCTGTTCCAGTCGGGAATTTTGGCAACAGCTTTACACAGCCTCATTTACTTCAGCTTTTCGCGCGGGTGGAGGATGGATCAGCACAAGTCGTCGACACTAAACGGCGAAATAGGGACTCCATAGGGAATAGCGCATAACCCCCCTTGGCGCTAACTGGCCTCAAACCAATGAACGTCGGCAGCTGCGGTTCAGCTCCATCGAACTTCACGCTAAAACCCCCACTGATATATGCCTGCGCGTTGGCCTCCATTCAAGCAGACCTGAAAGATGACAAACCTTCCAGGCTAAGCAAGTTTTCACGGTTCTTTTACCTCTTTGGAAACCTCCTACGTCCGCTACGACAAGGGGTCATGGCCCATTACAATGCCTTTTTACGGACGTCCGAGTAAGAATTGCGAGAGTTGTCGCGAGAGGCGAATTAAGGCAAGTCCACAACGGGCCCATCATCTTGCTTGATCTAACTACTCTAAAGTGCGATCGCCGCCAACCGGTATGCTCCCAATGCAGGAGGGCGGGGAAAGAATGTGGCGGGTATCGGGATGTGCTGGCTCTGCTCTTCCGAGACGAAACTGATAGAGCAGCTCGGCGATCCGCCACAGCGAAATCTCGCGCGGGAGAGCGTCAGAAGGTTGGGACCGACCTGTGCAAAGACAAAATCTTGCCTAACTCTTGGCCTTCTATCACCTGGCCAAATCCTCCAATCTCAGAGGCTGCCGAGCGGAAGCTCATAACCCGGGAACCTCCTGCCCTCCCCGCCGTGGTTTCCTCGTCCGCAGATGAGCAAGGGCTCAGGTTCTTTTTCGATCGATTTACCCACCGATACAATGGAGTAAATAGTGCCAACCTGACTGAGGTCTCAGAGCTGCCACCTCTATTGCAAATCGTTTTTGATGAGCTGTCTATACGGGATGCAGTGGTGGCAGTTGGACTCGCCGCGCTAGCGAACATCAAGCATGACCGTGCGCTGAGGCTAGCCTCGCAGGAGAAGTATGTGGTGGCTCTCAGGTATACGCGACAGGCAGTGGAGAACCCTGATGGTGCCCATCCGTCTCATACATTTATACTTATTATGATGCTCACGCTATACGAGGTATGTGTCTCAGTGGCTATTCTCTGCCTGCGTTTTGATTGCCCCAGTACTATGGCCATCTAGGCCCTGTGATTCGTCTTCATCGCATCTTAAATTCACCTGTGGCTAACCTTTGCCCTACTTTCCCAGATGACTTGTTGCAGCAACGGCAATATTGATGCGTGGGCAACGCATGTCGAAGGTGCTGCAGCTCTAATGCAGTCCAATGCATTCAGATCGGCCTTTCGATCTTCGCACTCACGTCCAAATATCCAATTCTTTTTTATTTCCATCATCAAATATTTTCTCGACCAGGGATCAATATCAGCGGAGCTACGAGACTATACCCACGACACGATCATTTCCCCTGCCGTTGATGAACTCCCGGCCGTTCACCTCGTCGATATTCTGGTCCGGTTTGTCAAACTTCATCAATACTTACGAGATAACCTGAATTGCGACCCTGATACTGCCGTCCAATTGATTCAGGGCGTTGACTCCGAATTTGAAGAATGGAAGATAAAGCTCCCCCAAAAATGGGCTTTTGTCCTTGACAAGACCGATGATATGGGGAGTTCTTTATATGGGGAAAAGAATGGGCTACAATTTCTCCTGGTCAGCCTCTGATATCATTCATTATTTTTGGGGGCGCCTCAAGGCCAATGAAATGATCCTAAGCTACTGTGCACGACTGGAGTCCCCAACATCAATGCATCTTCAGCAACAACAGCGTGCATACCATATCTGTGAGCAGATGATCGCAATGATATGTGCGAGTGTATCAACGCAAATGTATTCTTGGACTGACGCGGAGCCAATGAAACGGACAACGGTTCGGTCGCCTCCTTTAAATGGCGTCTTCACGTTGTTGTTTCCAATGGCTATGGCAGGCAGCTCTGCTGCTACGTCTGATGAAACACATGATTGGATTATACAGAAACTGGAGTATATTGGTCAGTCGATGGGAATACAAAGAGCTGCCGCACTAGTGCCTAAGCTAAAAAGTGCCCGTGCCTGGAACCAAGAAAAGTTGAGGTCAAAACAGCCCAACCCCCCCTGCGCTTGTAAACAATCGCAGGCACGCTCTGAATTCATAAGAGCTCTCTACTATATTTCAATATGTGTTCCTATATGTATAGAGTATGCTTTGTTCATTTCCTTACGCATACTGGTATATACCTTAATATTCGCGCTCAAATGAATCCTCGGGCTTCTGGTGCCAGTGCATATGCAACAGACGTTAGCTTTTACTAGTAGTACCAGGATAAATTTTCATTCGGGTGTGAAAGTTACTCCTAGTAGTAACACAGACTTATGTGTGCGTCAAGACACAGGCTGATGCCTAGTTACGATAAAAATTTTCCCAATGAAAGCTGTCGATTAAAGAGCTACATGAGTCGGTTCCAAGGATTCATGGGACAGTATGGTCTTCGAGGTGGGATTCGAGTAACTTGAAGGAAGGTCTATTATGCAAATGGTATCTCGGCTAATCTCGTTCCAAAACGCCAAAAACAACCGTAAGAATCATGAATGACCTGCCGTGAATATGCAAATGAGCGCCCGAAACGATGCTGAAACACACACAAAAAAAAGAAAAAAATGACAAGATTCCGAGGAGGATAGTGAACAGTAGCCACCCAGACCACCGCCTCTTTTTACTGTGTACGACCTAGGTGGGGATAGCCGTCCGGCGATTTTCAGCTTCCTCTTGAGCATTGGAATAGTCATCCTCCCCAATATCGCTGACCCCGTCCTGTTCATTCTGAGCCTCTTCGACATAGTCACCAGTCACGGCCCACATACTTTCCCTCAACCGCTTATTCCGCTCCCGGTCCTCTTCAATGCGCTGTTCGATCTGTCGCTTGTCAAGACGCATGCCAGAAGCCTTGGGATTTCGGGGAGTGCCGTTTTTTGACTGGGGGTTCTCATCAGACCCATTCTCTTGTTCCAGATCATGAGTAATCTCCGACTCGCGGTCTTTCAGGGCAGCTTCAAGCTCGGTCATGGTGGCAACTGAGAGGACGGATCTTGCTGCCATATTGCTGAGGACCCGTCGGACGTGCCTCAAGTTTGCAACACCGGACCCGTCGGCCGGGACTACAGCATCGACGATTCGGACGATATCGCGCTGGATCATTCGCACGTAGGGAAGGTGGTCTTCTCTGGTAGCCATTTCGCAGAAGTGTTCGATGAAGGACATGATGTTTGCTCGGTTGTTCATGTTATTCTGGGGTGGTCTGTCAGTCATTTGCGAATGCATTGAAGGGTTGTCTTGCACCATACTCGTTCGAGCTGTTCCAGAATGCAGGAATGGAGGTCTTCATCTAGATCGCGGTATTTGAGAGCGTAGGGGCCGCTTTCTGTGATGAAGTGACCGAAGCACTCAGGTGCTGCAGCTGCGTGGTAAAGCGCATGCGCACTTCAAAAGGGTCGACCATCATATTGCCGGTATTTCGAGCAGTATGTGCACATCGCGAAGAGGCCATCGGCGAATTTGCGATTATAAGCTATCGCGTCAGAGGCGGTAGACTCTGGCAGAATACGGTGAAATTTGGTATGGTGGGGTATGGGGAGTGTGCTATTAGAGACAAAATTAATCGGTTTGTAAGGGTAATTGATAATCCAATAAACATGGCGTATACTATGTTCCATTTCGTGCTGACGATTCGGATTGGCTCAGGAATATGTCCGTGGCTACGATAGATCACTAATTCCAGCTGAGGATATCATTTAGTTAGAGCCTCCTTGTAATAGGAAATGTCAATGTACATAGCAGCAAAATCAAATAGCCATTCAAAGAGAATCACGCGGCACCGAGTTCCCAAAACTGCTTCGATCATCGCCTTCTAATAAGCCAACTTCTTCAGCATTCTGAGGGCCCTGAAAATCCTCCCCTCGAAGAGCTTCTTGCCACCGAAACTCAACGCCGTTAAGCACAGCCCACACGTCCTTCTTCGTCAACAGGCCTTGTAATATTCCCTTGTTCGCGAAAATGACGTAGCGGAGACCAAGACGCTGGAACATTCGCATCACAACTAAGAAGCTGATGTTGCTGTTTAGTGTGATCGGGGTCTGATCCATCCATGGTCGAAGATCAAGAGTGTCAAGGGGGTCGGCAAAAGGTTGATGTACAAAATACACTGGAGTAACATCTGAATGATTCCGGTTGCTTGGAGAACTCGGTGACGTAAGAGCGAATGACAGCTCTTTGCAGGTGATATAACCCAGAAGGATGGGAGACGAAGTCTCGGTGATGACTGGGAATCCGCGGTAACTGGTGTTGCTAAGCATGGCTCGGAGAGAGCCAACCGTGTGACCGGTAGCGGTGATCACGGATAAGTCATCAACGGTCGTCATCACTCGACTAGCAGAAACATCTGGTGGGTTCGTATCATCACGGTGGTCGAGGAATGGGTATTCTTTCAGTTGGATCCATGATTCATAGATACCACGCTTCCCGAAAATATCACCACACCACTTTGAAAGCATTACCGCTATCATGATTGGAATCACGTATGTGAGAGCACCTGTCAGCTCGAACATGATAACCACGATGGATAGAGTCATTCGAGTGGCGCCGCCAAGCGCCGAGGCCGCGCCGATGATTGCGTAAAGTCCAGGAGTTACGCACGGGATATCAGGCTCACACCTCGCAAATATCAGAGCGTTGGGATAAGTCTCCTGCCACAGCCGAACTACCATTCCCAAAGCACGGCCATACAGAGCACCAATGGCCATAGACGGGAGGATAATACCAGCTGGAATATCAAGACCGAATGTCAAAGAGGCAAGAAAAAAAAGCCAAAACGGCCCCGAGAAGTAGAAGGGTTGCTACACCAAATGAGGCTCTACCGCTAGTGCAGAGTCCAAATTGATCGAATGTGTCGTTGCTGCATTCGGCAAATAGGGCCTGCACAAGCTCCGAGTTTTGTCCCCTCATGAAATGGTTCGGGAAGTTGATCAAGGCCGATAGGAGGGCAATTGCTGCCACCTCAAGGAGAGGCTTCGAATACGATCGAGATTGTCTCCATCGAGAAATCTTGATGTTGACACGGATCAGAAAAGCGCCGAACAGGCCCCCAACTATACCGAGGATAATAAAAGGAATGATCTCGAACCGATGCCATCCTCGAGTGTAGGTAACTTGATAGAGTACGATTTTCCCGGTGCGGAATGGGTTCAAAGCTTGTAATGTAACCGCAGCAACCATAGCACAGACAAAGCTCTGCCACATTGTTTTGTCGGGAAAGTAATACGACAATTGCTAGAAAACATCAGTATAAAAGAAGGACATCGCGATTGATTTTCTATACCTCGAGACTGAAGAGAACACCCCCTATAGGTGCACCGAATGCCACAGATATGCCTGCGGCTGCGGCTGCGGAGAGAACCTCACGTTTGCGTGCTGTGAACTCGAATGTTAGTCTATATTAAGGGAAAGGGGATATATAATTGCGCACCCTCATTACTATACAGGCTATCAAACGGCTTCATCATGATATTAGCACAACAGCAAGCCACATGAACAAGCGGTCCTCTTTCCCGAGCCAAAGGCCGGATGCAACTGCGAGACACTGATTCGGTCAGTAAATTGGCGCTAAAAGCGGTGCGAGGTAAGACTCACTAGGCCAAGTGACTTTATGGTGAGGGTCCAGGGGCCCATGAAATGCCGAATCACAGTTCCGCCAAGGATTGTCTTTATTTCAGGAATACCACTATGCCTAGCATATATGGCAAACTTCCGAACCAAGAGACAAGCAGCTGATGCGAATAGTACCTTTAGAAGTTAGAAAGGTAAAGACGAAGGCGAAGGGGGAAAAAAAAGGCACATACTGAAAACACGATATAGAACATGAACTCAATGGTATATCGCCCTCCCTTGGAAGAAACACCTAGAGCACTGCCCCATGGAGTCCAGTCTTGACATTTCGTCTGATCTGGGGGGCGTTCTATTAGTATGAATGAAACTTCATTTGCAGTATGACTTAAGCATACCATCGAGTCCCCAACAGCAAAAACTTTTGTTCAAGTAGAATCTTCCTCCCCCATTGCCATTTTTGCAGTACCCCATCTTGAGATCCCCGAGCCAGTCGGTTGCAATGTCGATTGAGGCAGCAATGATTCCAACTGCGACGCCAGTTGCGATTAAAATGAACCAGATATTGCTGGCTTCCAATAGAAGACGCCCGTGTCCCAGAAGCCCACCGGAATAAAGCAAGCGTTTCCGCTGCCTCTCCTTCGTATACTCGTAAATCCAATCGATTGCAGTGAAGTCGTCATAGCCTACACGGCGACCTGGGCCTTCCACGTACCAATCCATGGGCAATCCATCTTTCGAGGACTGGACGTTTCCATTGAATCCTGGCGGAGGGAAAGCATCTAGGGGGGAAGCATCGCCATTTGCTCCATCGGGGGCGGTGGAAATCCCAAGTCCTGCATTCGAACCGCTGGCGGTACTTGTGAAAAGGGTTGAGATACTGAAGCGGGATTGACGCTGTCGCTTCGGCTTGAAAGAAATACTGCAGCAATGTACACAAGCATTTAGTGCTTGGTGAATGGAAAAGGAAATCGAATGGACTCACGGTTCATCGAATCCCTCGCTGTTGTGGAGTGCCTGGGGTTGAGATAGATCTGACTCTTGCGGGTGATCAGGAGCGGCGCGCGACTGACCCTCGCTCTCTGTGGCCGGACCCAAATATGACATCGTGGACCATTAGAAAATGTGATATTAGCGTCTTTCGACGCGTTGGAATAGAAAGAGCGACCTGTCGTGCTTTCCTATTTGGATCGGAGCTGCGCAGACTCGCTTAGTCACTCTGAGCTGTATGGCGGTGAGGAGATATCGGTGGGGCTCGATTATCCAGACTGCGGCAGAAAAAAAAAAGTATCGGGGATTTTCATTCTTAAATCTCATTCTTTTAAACAACCAAGGAGCATCCTCTGCGCGGTCGGGTCTCATGATGGATGTCAGACCCTTCTACGAGAGGACTCTGACCGAGTCTGAGCTGCTAGAGCAGTTACCGAATGAGCTCACTAGTCTCATTCAGTCTGCTTCAGGAACTCAGCAGCTCCACGCGCTTGCGCAGGGCGCATTAAACACACGACTGACGGAGACTGTATTCCGCACTTACGAGCCTATAGCTGTGGATTTAGCGGCTAGATGGATCCGAAAAGATTTTCAAGCCGATCCGATTCAAATTTTGGCTGCATTCGCCCGTATTCTCCCTCTTGCGCCATACCTCCGACCTTTCGCTGGACAGTATGCTTTGTCCAAGATCGGTCCTCTTTCAGCGCTCGCGGGATCGAAGGAACTTACATTACGACAACTAGATCAAGAGAGTATTCGGACATTGTTACTTGCTCTATTTCGACTCCTGTCATTCGATCTCGAAACATTCTCAAAAGCCGTATCGCCAATCCAACTTCAATCTCTATTCCCACACGAAGATCCAATAACGAGGTATCTTGCCATTCGATGCTTTGCCATTTACATGCATGCGGCAGATGCTGCCACTCAAAGCATGCTGCGCATAAACACCGGCGTTGATCCTATCGAGGGGGAATGGGAGGGAACCACAATTGACTATCGCCTACTGGGCCTTTGGGAGGAGCGCAGATGGGAAGCCCTCGACGAAGTCATGCGAAGTCAAAGACTCTCACAGTCAGATCAAGATGAGGCGGCAATCGTTGAGCGATTGCGGGGTTCTTTCACCGGCCAATCTGCTGATGTATGCGGCATTTTGATCCCACGATTGAAAGAGGTATCACCGGCTTCGTCGTCCATAGTGAAAACTCCTATCGCGACTGCCAATTTGCGCCGAGTCGCTAAGTCACTTCTAGGGTATAAGCCTATTTTGTTAATTGGCTTACCCAACTCTGGTAAAACGTCTTTGATCAATGATATCGCGGCTACCATGGGTCAAGCGGAGTCGATGGTCACACTACACCTCAACGAGCAAACGGATGCCAAAAGCCTTCTTGGGATGTACTCCACGTCTTCTAGCACAGGCTCATTTTCGTGGCAGCCAGGTGTGTTGACGAAGGCAGCGAGGGAAGGCCGTTGGGTTTTGATTGAAGATCTTAACCGTGCGCCTTCTGAAGTTCTCGGTCTTATTCTTCCGATCATCGAGCGAGGAGAATTGACTATCCCAAGCCGGCGAGAAAGAATTAAATGTGCTGAAGGTTTCAAGATTATCGCGACCATGAAATCTTCATACAACATTGCTGGTGAAGAGATTGCTCCGAATTCATCAATGCTTGGTAGCCGCTTATGGGAAAGAGTTCAGATATCACCTCTTTCTGTTCAGGAGATGCAGGATGTCATACTCCAAAAATTCCCGTTGTTAGAATCCCGCGTACCGACCATTATGGATGTATATGAGAGAGTTTGCGCTGCATTCCATGGAAGCTTGGCTATCAAAGGCTCTCAGGGTCGTACTCCAGGCTTCCGTGATCTAATTAAGCTCTGCAGTCGTCTTCACCGGAGGCTGCAACGCATGGGTGCTAAAACTGGCTACGAAGCTACACCAGAAGGAGCCGACGATGAAATTTTTTTGGATGTTGTGGATATTTTCTTGAAGTATCTCCCAGAAAAGTCCATGCAAGATGCCCTGGCGGCGGTTGTAGCAGAGGCTCTCCAGATTTCTCCTCAGCGAGCGCAGTTCTGTCTACATGAGAGAGCTCCTTCTTACACAGACAAGACTAACAGTTTAGTTCTTGGCCGTGAAGTTTGCCAGAAAATCAAAGTGCCAAGTAGCTCGGCCTTGAAGCTCGCTGCAGCCGCTTCGAAATTCGCTTCCACAAGATCTGCCCTATCTCTCATGGAACAGGTTGCTGCCTCCGTGCAGATGGCAGAGCCGGTCCTTCTTGTGGGTGAGACTGGTATCGGAAAGACAACCGTCATTCAGCATCCTTGCTACTCTGATGCGTCAAAAGCTCACCGTGGTCAACTTGTCGCAACAGAGTGAAAGCACTGATTTATTGGGAGGATTCAAACCTGTCAGCATTCGCACAATGGCTGTGCCTATGCTGGATGAGTTCACTCAATTGTTCGAGTTAACGTTCTCGGCGAAGAAAAACCAGAAGTTCTTATCTTCAATTTCAAGGAGCGCGGCTTCTGGAAACTGGCCACGCTTGGTCAATCTCTGGCATGAGGCTGTTAGACTGGCTAACGGCGTTTTCAACCCTCCACGTGATAGCCCGAAGGAAAGCGAGATTGGGGATGAGCAGCCTTCTAAGAAACGCAAACTTGATTCGCCCAAATATCAGCACCTACGCCAACGATGGGATGGTTTTCACACCCAACTTGCCGAGTTTGAAGCTCAAGTATCTCAAGGTGATGCCAAATTTGCGTTTGCTTTCGTTCAAGGAAAGATTGTCCGAGCACTGAGGAATGGCGAGTGGGTTCTGTTGGATGAAGTCAATTTGGCTTCTCCTGATACCCTTGAGAACATTGCTAGTTTGTTGCATCACGGAAGTGAGGGCTCACCATCGGTTCTACTGTCTGAGGCTGGTGATGTGGAACGAGTTTTTGGTCACTCAGATTTCAGAATCTTTGGTGCCATGAACCCGGCTACTGATGCTGGCAAGAGAGACCTTCCGCCTGGTTTACGGTCCCGTTTCACTGAGTTTTATGTTCACTCTCCTGATAGTGATTTGAACGATTTATTGGCTTTGATTCAGAAATATCTGGGAGACTTGAATATTCGGGATCCTCGAGCTGCCCCAGACCTTGCACAACTCTACATGGAAACCAAGAAACTCAGCATCGATAACAAGCTCACTGATGGCGCCGGCCAACGACCACATTTTAGCATCCGTACACTTGTTCGTGCCCTTATCTATGTCATCGACCACACTCATGTATATGGACTACGTCGTGCTATTTTCGAAGGATTTAGCATGAGCTTCTTGACGGTTTTGAGCCTGGAATCCGAGAGGTCCCTGATCCCGCTCCTTGAAGCACACATCTTCAGCAGCGCCAAAAATGCGAAGTCTCTGCTGGGCCAAACCCCTCAACCTCCTGTCGACGGCCACGAATATATCCAATTCAAGCACTATTGGATGCGACGTGGACCTCTGACTCCCGAAGAACAACCTCACTACATCATTACACCATTCATCGAAAAGAACCTGAAGAATCTGGTCAGGGCCAGCTCGACTCGGCGTTTCCCAGTCTTGCTGCAAGGCCCGACATCAGCTGGAAAGACGAGTATGATTGAATATCTGGCGAAGGTATCTGGCAACAAGTTTGTTCGAATCAACAACCATGAGCACACCGATCTCCAGGAGTACCTTGGTTCCTATGTTTCCACCGATGATGGAACATTGAAATATCAAGAGGGTGTTTTAGTTGAAGCCTTGAGAAGTGGTTACTGGATCGTTCTTGATGAGCTAAACCTTGCACCTTCCGATGTTCTCGAGGCACTAAACCGACTTTTGGATGATAATCGCGAGCTATTCATCCCAGAAACTCAAGAAGTCGTCCATCCTCATCCGAACTTCATGCTATTCGCTACGCAAAACCCTGCAGGTCTTTATGGTGGCCGAAAGGTTCTGTCTCGCGCTTTCCGGAATCGTTTCCTCGAATTACATTTCGATGATATTCCGGAGAGTGAACTGGAGTACATCTTGAAGGAGCGCTCCCAAATTGCGCCTTCATTCTGCACACGAATTGTCGCAGTTTATCGCAAGTTGTCCTTGCTGCGCCAGTCTAATCGGCTTTTTGAGCAGAAGAACAGCTTTGCCACTCTTCGTGACTTGTTCCGATGGGCTCTTCGCGAAGCAGATGACCGTGAACAATTAGCAATTAATGGATTCATGCTTCTTGCTGAACGTGTGCGCAACCCTCAGGAGAAAAGCCGCCGTAAAAGGCGTGATTGAGGAAGTGATGAAGGTTCGCCTGGATGAGGATGTGCTGTACAGCACTAAACAGTTGGAAAAGAATATTCCAAGCATGGGGGAGCTACCTACGGGAATTGTCTGGACTAAGGCTATGCGACGTCTCTTCATTCTGGTCTCTGAAGCAATTCGAAATAATGAGCCTGTCCTTCTCGTGGGAGAGACGGGATGTGGTAAAACCCAGCTTTGCCAGGCGGTTGCGGAGGCTTTCCAAAGAGACCTATTCATCGTCAATGCCCATGTCAACCTGGAGACCGGGGATCTTATTGGTGCCCAAAGGCCAATCCGCAAGAGAGCAGCCATTGAGAAACAGCTGACCGATGATCTTCGATTGCTCATCAATGGTGACCAGGGATCACTTGCCCCTCTTGAACAGCTGAAGGAAGAATTCCTCGCTCTCAGTCTGGAGGAGAGGCAAGCAAAAGACCAAGATGTTGTGCGCAGGGTTGAGAGGAATATAGTGCGGGTTAACGCGCTGTTTGAGTGGTCTGATGGAAGCCTTATCACTGCTATGAAGACGGGGCATTTCTTCCTTCTTGACGAAATTTCTCTAGCCGATGACTCTGTGTTAGAAAGACTCAACAGTGTTTTGGAACCTCATCGGACCATTTTGCTGGCTGAGAAAGGACCTATTGACAGTATGGTTGTTGCCGATGGAGGCTTCCAATTTCTATCAACAATGAACCCTGGTGGTGACTATGGTAAAAGAGAACTTTCCGCCGCTCTCCGAAATCGAATGACGGAAATTTGGGCTCCTCAGCTCTCAGATGACGAGGACATCTTGCCAATTCTCCAAGTGAGGCTGGACCTCAAAGACGAAAAAATCGCGAGGGCAATGCTCCAATTTGCCAAATGGTTCAAATCTGTTTTCCAGAATACCTCGACCACTTCCTTGTCTCTCCGCGATCTTCTTGCTTGGGTTGACTTTGTCAATACATGCCAGAGTGCTGATATTCTCTTCGCAATCATTCAAGGCGCGGCCATGGTATTTGTAGATACCCTGGGAGCTAACCCAGCGGCTATGCTTGCCGTTTCTCTCAATGATCTTGATGGAAATAGGCAAAAATGCTTGGACAAATTGAGCGAACTTTTTGCTGTGAATGCTTCTGACATATACTGGAAGGCGTCCAGTGTCAGTGTTGACTCTGGTTTTCTACGGGTGGGGCCTTTCTCTTTGCCTATAGTTGGGGAGACCGAGCCTGACTCGCAATTCACAATGGACGCTCCGACAACTATTGCAAACTCTGTCCGAATTGCACGTGGACTGCAATCGTCAAAGCCAATTCTGATGGAAGGTAGCCCTGGTGTTGGTAAAACTACTCTTGTCACAGCTCTCGCCAAGGCTCTCGGAAAACCTCTCACCAGAATCAATCTTTCGGAGCAAACGGACCTTACGGACTTATTTGGGTCTGATGTCCCAGTTGAAGGAGGCGATGTTGGCCAATTCACATGGAGGGATGCTCCATTCCTTCGAGCAATGCAGCGTGGCGACTGGGTGTTGTTGGATGAAATGAACCTTGCTTCACAGTCTGTTCTTGAGGGTCTTAATTCGTGTCTAGATCATCGACAGCAAGTCTATATTGCCGAATTGGATCAGACGTTCAAAAGACACCCAAATTTTGTTCTGTTTGCTGCACAGAATCCTCATCACCAAGGCGGTGGGAGAAAGGGACTTCCAGCCTCTTTCGTGAACCGATTCACGGTCGTCTATGCTGATAGCTTGACTGATGGTGATTTGAAGAAAATCTGCGCAAAGCTTTTCCCAGGCAGTCCTTCCATCCAAACAGAGAGAGTGGTCGATTTTATCTCTATGCTCAATATCGCTATTGCAACAGAGCGTCGGTTAGGAGCTGTTGGTGGTCCGTGGGAAGTAAACTTGAGAGACATTCAGCGATGGCTTCAACTGGCCGACCGAGGAGAGTTGCAAATCCCAACTAAGCACTTTCTGGATGTTGTCATCAGCCATCGCTTCAGAAGTGAAGAAGACCGCCTTCTGGTCTCCCAGATGTACGATCGCGTCTTTACAGGCTCGGAAAGTGGTCGGAAGAGCTACTACCACAATCTTACCCCCGACTATTTCCAAGTTGGCCTTGGCATCTTAAAGCGAGACCGTCTTCTTCAGCGCTCGGTCAATCCCTCAATGAAGATTCTCCCTCGTGATTTGCATATCCTTGAGTCACTGATTTTTTGCATCGACAATTCCTGGCCTAGCATCTTGGTGGGGATGGCAGGGTGTGGCAAAACTACACTGATTCGGAAGCTTGCAGCTCTTAATGGCGCAACTCTGGAAGAGCTCGCCCTTAGCGCCGATACAGATACCATGGATCTGATTGGCGGCTTCGAGCAAATTGATCACAGAAGAGAAGTCTCGTCTTTCATTCATGATGTCCATCTCTTTCTTCAAGAGCAAATTATCAATTCTTTTGCATTGGGCGAAGTATCTGATGCTGTTGGCTCAGCTCTTCAAATATGCCAGCACTTGAAGAGCACCAATTGTTCTCTGGAAACAGTGATTTCATCCCTCTCTGAGCTTTGCGAATCCTACTCAGAAGCAACTCTACGGGGGTTTCTCGAGCGGGGGCGAAGTCTTTGGAAGACTATAAAAGAGTCTGACAAGATGAAAGTTGGCTTCGAATGGACGGAAGGCGTGTTGACCCGTGCTGTTCAAAATGGCCACTGGGTGGTTCTTGACAACGCGAACCTCTGCAACCCATCTGTTCTCGACCGATTGAATTCCCTTACAGAGCCGAATGGCACTCTCATTTTGAACGAACAACGAACTGAAGATGGATCAGCTCGAATAATCACTCCTCACCCCAACTTTCGCATTTTCCTTACAATGGATCCTCGCCATGGCGAGCTGTCTCGGGCTATGCGGAACAGATGTGTAGAGATATGTTTCATGGCAAATGAGTTTCAGCAAATTCCAGCAACCCTTGGTCCTTCTTATACATCTGAATCGGCTTTGTATCGATTGCGCCATCTTCGCAATGTTATTCCTACTGCGGAATCAAATGTGTGCCAGGAGTCATTTGACGTTTGCTTGGACCACCTTTCGCCCTCCGATCTGTCGTATCTACAGAAGTCTTCTAGCGTGTATCTTGCCAATGCTATTGATGCAGAGACAAAACAGATTGCCATTAGTGCTTTGGAGAGCTTCTCATCCGTTCTCCACGAAAAAGCCAGTTGGAAAGCTCTGAAGGTCATTGCGCAAGATATACCCATGGCAGGAGTGTATCTGAATACCCAGGGTTCTTTCCAAGCCCTTCATCCGCTAGTGAACGAGCCTTTGGTATCTATCGCAGGTACGCCTGATTATCAGTCAAAATTTGTGGTTCTAGCATACTTGGAAGAGTTCAAGCTTGCAATCCATCGACTTCGCCAACGATTGAACCTGGCAAATGAGTCTGGGAAATTGCTCAAGCCTAGTCAGATGTCGCGGCTTGAAAGATCATTGGCGTCTTCCCGCATCCAGTCGCTCATGAAAGACTCTACGCAGCCTGTTGGTCACTTCTTATCTGAATGTGGTCAAGCTCTCTATGACTACATCCAAAATCTTGATGAGCAGAGCCTTCAAGCTCCCGAAATCGTTGCAGCGCTGCGTATTGTCATTAACTTATGCTGGGACATGTATCGGGTGACGAATGTCAGCCAAATTGACGAGGGAGAGTTCCAGGTCTACTTGCAAATCGGAAAGAATGTTTGCGCATCCCTGCTCGGTAATTCACATGCGTTGCAGCCATTAGAGACTGCTCTTTCTCGTGCTCTTGCTCGTTTCCAGGCCGGTTGGGCTTTGACAAATGGATTGAGCATGCAAAGAATGTGGGATCTGTGGCGACATGTTACACCTTCTTCACGAGATCAGTTGTCCTCGTTAATTGAATTGGAGAAGACTACATCTCAATTCACTTCCCTCGCGCTACAGACCCGCGTCAATCTCACCGAACTCAGTGGCGTGTGGGAGTCTTTGATGAATGCACAGCGCTTCATTCTTCTGGATGGTGCCAATGGAGATACGCTTGTCCAAGGACTAAAGCAGACAGTTGCTGAGCTTGGCCAGGCCGTCCGACGCTCCGAAACTGAGCTTTCTCCCTACTTCTCCGAGGAATTTGAGGCTCTTTGTCAATATGGCGATATATCTTTCCCCGATAATGGACAAGCAAGCCAAACTGTTGTATCTTTACTTGCGGGCCGCCCAGCCCGTCCTCTTGATTCATCGGCTTCCAAGAACCCCGTTCCAGAGATTCTTCATAGGATCTCACTGTTTTCTGGAGCTGGTGACATTTCCGGTTCTCCTTTGGCCATCAGTGGCGTTTTCTCTCTATCCATGCTGGATAAATTAACGTCTGTCAGCAACACAACGCTGGCCCAAATGGACATGCTGCAAGCAGAGAAACAGGCTATGTCCAAGGCAATCTCGCTGAACAGTCGACAAATTGCAGAAGACCAGGCAAACAAGCTCAGAGGGGTCCTTATCGCTTTGACAGCAGAATTGATCTCTTGTCACCAAGAGTTCTTTGCTTCCGGATCTCTCGATCAACTGCTTGTGATATTGCAGAAATCTAATGCTGATCAGAGCGTGCCTGATATCGAAGTCCGCCTGGATTCTCGGTCGGGGATGGCCACTTCTTCAAGGAGATTGGAACTCAGGCAATCCCGGCTCTGATTCGTTCATTGACAAATTCACTGTCAAATGTTGAACAAAAAATTCGTGGCACTGGAGTTGCAGCAGTTGAATTAGCCATAATCCTTCTCAGACTATTTGTACCTGATAAGGCCTTTGACCCTTCCCTGGATCTTGTGGTCCAACGTAATAGGCATTTCCAACGCCTTGACGAAATCAATGCCAAGTCAAATGCTCTTCTTTCTTTCGAATCTTCCTTTACTGGTCAGCCATCCAATTTACGACACGCTCTCCTACAGAAGCAAATTCAAGAACTCGGCTCTGCTCCTCCTCCATCCTCTGTCACACGACCAGAGAGTTCTGAGCTGAACTTGCTGCAGGGCGAATTTTCGAATGTGATCAATTCTGTTATCCACCGCAACCCTGAACAAATGATCAGCTCTCCCGAGAATGCAGCTAAATCCGAGGAGACGATTCGACTGATGCGTGACAATATCAGGCAGCTGACCAGTCGTCTTACTGCCCATTACAAGTCCTACCATGACATAACCGTGCCTATCGTTCGATTTCTTCAACTTCTTGACATTGGTCTCTTTTTGGGATCAAGAGGGAACGATACCAAGGAGGAACTCAAGGATATTCAGCTATTAAGCCAAAATACTCCTTTCTTGGGTGGATCTACCCACCCTGTGTCTGAAAGCCAGTCCTTCCGAAGCTTGAGCTCGAACAACGCCATTGAACTCCGTCTCCACGAACTCAGTGCACTCTGGACAGCGAAGAATGCGGACCCGAAGATACTCAACATCAAATCTGGCCGTCATACCATTCGCCGGATCTTTGCAGATTTCCATCATCTTTGGAAAACCAAGTTACAAGAAGACCAGCAAAAACAAGCCGAAAAATCAGAGTTGTACCGTTACAAAGGCTCATGGGAAGACGAGGAAGAAGTCAATGAAGCCGAGCTTCACGAGCTATTTCCGACTTATGATGAAGGGAGCCTCCCTAACCCAGAAGACGTTGGACGAGTTGATCCAAGAATCATTGCTGTCCGCCTGGCCTCCCTTCATGCCAAGATCGTGAGAAGGGAGTCTGACGGCGAAGCATTGTCGAACTTGGTTAAGCAGTCCAGTCGTCTGCTTGGTTCCATGTGGTCGAGAAGCAAGGATGATTACTCCCCCGTCGCGCCCCAAGATCTCCTGCCTGGCGCTTTCCTGCTCCTTGATGACGTTAATAGAGAGGGGTCATTGCAACAACCGAAGAACTACAATTTCTACACCGATTCTAATTTAGGAGAGGCAAGGAAATTGGTCAATCTCGCCCTTTCCGTCCAGGCTCGCTTTGTTCAGATTCAAATTGCTTGGCCAGAACATGCTGTGTTGGCAGATGTTATTAACTGCTGCTCCGAAATTCTACAATTTAAGCATACCGAGCCAGTCGCCAAATTCTTGACCAAGGTGGAAAAGCTGCATTCTTTCATCCACGAATGGCAACTCGTTGCAAGCAGAGAATATTCGGCGGTCGCTCTGTTCGATGAAATCACAAGCATGCTCATTGGATGGCGACGTCTTGAGTTGTCAACATGGGCCAAGCTTTTGGATCTTGAAAAGGACCGATGCGAGGAAGATGTTAGTGCATGGTGGTTCGTCGCTTACGAGGCCCTTTTTGCCGTTCCCCTTCAGATGGCTGAAGATGGTGAAAAGGATATGAGGGAGCATATTGAAGGAGTCATCGCAACCTTGGAGCAGTTCTTCATCTCTACAACGATGGGTCAATTTGCTCGTCGTCTTGAGCTTGTGACGGATTTCCAGTCACTTCTTTCTATCTTCGTGGAAGATTTCACTATCCTGAAGCCTCTCATTTCTGCCCTCCAGAATTTCGTCTCTCATTATCGACCTTTCGAGCCACTTGTCAACAAGGCCCTGCAAGACAAGCGATCTGCGCTCGAAAAGGACATTAAAGAGCAGATTCAATTGGCCAGTTGGAAGGACACGAGCATTGTCGCGTTGAAGGAGAGTGCTAGGCGATCTCATGTCAAACTGTTCAAGCTTGTACGGAAGTACCGCGCTGTCCTCTCTCAGCCGGTTCAGCCTGTGCTTGAACAGGGACTCTCTGAAGTCTCTTGTGAACAAGTGACTGCCAATGAAGAGAACCAGGCTTTACCCATCACCGTGATTCCCGAGGCATTAGAGCTCTGCCAGAAGAGTACGAAAATATGGACCTCAAGAGCACTCAGATTCCAAAAATCAGATGGGACGGCCCAAAACATGATGAAAATGTATTCATCTATGCCATCTGAGTTCGACATTGCCGAGGAACTCGGGGCTTTTACTACTTCTGTCATTGAAGGCATCAATGAATTCAAGTCTTCAACTCCCAAGACACTGACAGAAGAGAACAAGGATGATGTTCAACATCTCAAGGTCCAAAAGCGTCGCCTCTACGCGGATACTCTGAAACAACTTTTTGAAATGGGTGTCAAGCGGAATGCTGGAACTCATCTTATTGAGACCCAGGCTTCCGTTGCTCAAGTTCTTGCTACAAGTGCTGCTTTCGAAAGCGACCGAGAAACTTCAGCTTCACTTCGCAGTGCAGACTCGTACTTCCATCGTCTACTGGATCTTTTACCTCGCGCTCGTTTAGCTTCACGAAACTACTCCGAAGAGTTGAGCAATGTTGAGGTCTCGCGAAGCATGGGCTCCATTGAGCATTTCTTATACATGATTCGACGACAGAGAGGTGTGCTTGCGCCTTCTTTACTTGGAATTGACAAGTTACATACTGTTCTTGAGAAGATGCAGAATCTCTGGACAGTCAGTGCTCGCTCTCTCGCTAAGACGAACACCGGTCATGTAGAGGATTTAGCAGCTCTCTCTCGCACCGTCGCTTGGCTAGTACCTGTTATTGAACTAGGTGCTAGAATAGTGGAGATTCATTCGAAGTTCTCAGGCCTAAACTCGTCTGAGATCCTCGCAGATCTTAGCGCGAGGAGGGCAGCTTTCGGTGAACTTCACATCTCGCTTCAGTCCCTTCCCCTCTCTCCCCACTGGTGTCACTTCTCAGATGGAGCAGAAATTGTTAGAGAAGACGAAGTCATCACTTGACCAATTCAAGGATTCTTTGGTCCAATGGACTCAGCAGCGTCCAGACTTGTCCTTTGCCTTGAATCAGATCTCACCATGGATCCGAACTTATGGATCCTCCCAGACAGAACTCTCTAAGGGATCCAGTATCTCACTCCAAGATTTCGATAGCAAGCTTTTGGCCTCTATAACAAAGATGCTGGTAGGATTTCAACAACTCAAGGACGTACCTTCCTCAATCGACTTCTCTGGCCTGCTTTCGCGAAGCGATGAATTTTTCTCTCGGGCATCCAAATCTCTCCATGTCGAAGAGATTACCTTGTCTCTTAACTCAGTCCTTGACCAGTTGAAGAACATTCATGACAAGTCATCAGATGCACTTCCATCTGCGGCTGCTTTAGTCGCCAGTGTTCTGCCTATTGCCAACCAATATCACCGTATCTGCAAGGATCTATCCGCGCGTTTTGTCACTGTGCATCGTGAGGTCTGCAAGACCTCTTATGTCTTGACTAAGTCATTTACTCAGATTGCCGCTGAAGGTCTTTGCAGCCCGGCTGAAGCTTCCCAGGAAGAGGGCAAAGAAGGCAAAATGGAAAGTGGCACTGGCCTTGGCGATGGCGAAGGTGCAGAAGACATTAGCAAAGATGTCGGGGACGACGAAGATCTCTCAGAACTCGCTCAGCAGCAACAGGAGAAAGAAGGTAATGCTGATGACATGGATGACTCTGCTGATGCTGTTAATATGGATCAAGAAGATTTGATGGGCGAGACTAGCGAGCATAAGGAAGACGAGGGCGAGGAGGAAGACAAAGATGAGAATGAGGAAGACAATGACGACATTGATGAAGAAACAGGCAGTGTTGATGGCCTGGATGAAGGCGCAGTCGACGAAAAGCTCTGGGATGGCGCCAACGATGAACAGCAGAAAGAGACCGAGAACGAGGAAGGAAAGGGTCAAAACGAAGCTGATGAACAGACAGCGGGCCAAGAGCAGCAGAAAAAGGAGTCCGACGAAGGCCAAAAAGGAGAAGAAGAGGATAATGAAGAGGATGAAGAAGAGGAGGAAGATCCAGATGAGGAGGGCGAGGCAATTGGTCGAGAAGATATGGATGTGACTGATCCTCAAGCAAAAGAAGAAGAAACATTGGATCTCCCTGAGGAAATGCAACTAGACGGCGACGACAAGGAAGGAGGAGACGATGAAGGCGACGATGATGACATGGATGATATGTCTGACATGGGGCCCCTCCCCGAAGAGGAAAAGGGCGACGAGCAGAATGACCAACCTGGTGAAGATGATCCTGATATGGCCCCAGATGAACAAGCCCCTGGTGAGGGCGAAGAAATGGGCGATGAAGACGTCAATGAGGCTCAAGCTGAAGAGGAAGAGAACGAGGCTGGCGGAGAAGACTCTGAGGAGCCCGCGCAAGACGAGTTCCTTCCTCAACGTGACGAGAATGAACCTGCTGGCGACGATGTTGCTCCAAGTGAAGCAGTCACCGGAGGACTAGGAGCCGAACAAGACCAGAACGAAGACAAAGGAGCTTCCGGGGATGCTCAACAGGAGAGCGGGTCGAATGATCCGACCGCCAGCGCCGAGGATCAAACAGGAGTAGCCAAGGATAGTGAAGAAAGCAAGCGCAGTCGCGACGCTGGTGGTGCTGAAGACACCGCTCCCAATGATCCGCAGATTCAAGCATTCAAAAAGCTTGGTGACATCCTTGAGCAATGGCACCGTCGTCAAAAAGAAGTGCTCAATCCCTCTCAAGAAGAAGACGGAGACTCGAATCCTCTGCCTCAGGACACCGATATGGCAGATGCTGATTTCGAGCATCTTAAGGATGACGATGACCAAGCCGATACGCAGGCTCTCGGACAAGCCAATGAAGATCAAACCCAGGCCCTCGATCAGAATAAGGGTGTCGACTCCGACATCAAGCCTGGAGAAAACGATGTGCTCCCTGATGCATCGGAAGAACAAGATGCCGTCGACGACCAACTTCACGACGAGATGCAAATTGACCGCGAGAGAGTTCCTAATGAGGGTCAGTCATCTGGAGCTTTCATCCCCGGCGACCGAACTTCTCGAGACCCTGTGGATAGCGCACCAGGTGCAGAAGAAGCGAATGAGGAGCTAGACGAAGTCGACACTCAGCTCGCAGCGATCCACCTGTCTTCTTCGCTTCCACCCTTGACTCCGGAGACGGAAGCACGCCGCCTCTGGTCACACTACGAATCGACTACCAACGACCTCTCGCTCTCTCTCACCGAGCAACTACGTCTGATTCTCGCACCAACCCTTGCAACCAAACTTCGTGGTGATTTCCGGACAGGAAAGCGGCTCAATATTAAGCGTATCATCCCTTATATTGCATCCCAGTATAAGCGTGACAAGATTTGGATGCGTCGTTCCATTCCATCAAAGCGAAACTACCAAATCATGCTCGCCGTTGACGACAGCAAATCTATGCTTGAGAGCGGAAGTGGCCAGCTTGCATTCGAGACCCTTGCCTTGGTAGCGAAGAGTTTGAGCATGCTTGAAGTAGGTGATCTCTGTGTGCTCGGATTTGGAGACGAAGACCATGTCCGCGTTGCACATGAGTTTGGCAAGCCTTTCTCCTCCGAGGCAGGTATGCAGGTTTTCCAGCACTTCAGCTACAAGCAAACTGGCACAAATGTGCGAAAACTTATCGCGGACTCCATCGCCTTATTCCGAGAGGCACGTTGGAAGAAATCACCTGGTTCTGGCTCCGCGGATCTTTGGCAGCTTGAGCTGATCATCTCTGATGGTATTTGCGAAGATCATGAGGCCATTCGTCGTCTGGTGCGCCAGGCTCTCGAGGAACGCATCATGATTGTCTTCATCATTGTCGATGCAGTCAAGGGAAGCTCTATTTTGGACTTATCGCAGGCTAGCTTCGAAGCGGACCCCGATTCTGGTGGTGAGATGAAGTTGCGGATGAAGCGATATCTCGAGGGTTTCCCCTTCCCCTACTATTTGGTTGTTCGAGATGTCCGCGAGTTGCCTGCGGTATTGGCCACAGCTCTCAAACAGTGGTTTGCTGAGGTTGTGGATGTATCTTCATAACCCATGGATAATCACAAGATGCAAAAAAGGCGTTCTGGCGGTATTTTACCTTATGTTTATGTTGTCATTTTGCGGCGTTTTGAAAGAAAGAAAAGAGTTGTACATACTAGAGGCTGCAGTCATATCTAACCCAGCTTACGAATTATATCACTATTCTTTAGACTGACCCGACGCCAGCGTAGCTACACGTTACTAGTAGTACTAGAAGTTAGCGCTCGGATAATGCTGAAAGTGAGGTTGAATCGTCCAATTTTGGGGCTCATTCGCTCCTACGCAGGGCAAGGGTGACATAATGGTATCTGAATGATCAAGAACGCCCAATGCATGCTTACACTACCAACCATATCTCGATCCAGCCTCTTTCTTGTTTCGTCGGCCCGCGGCAAAGCTTTCTTCCAGTGCCTCCTTTTGGCTGCTCGCCGCAGTGACCAGCTGCTTAAGAGAAGTCTTGCCCCCATGAGCTACAGCGCGCACGGGATTGTGCTGAATGCCAGCCAGCTCTGATTGTGCAAGCGCTTGGTTTGAAGCATATTCTTGATCGGTATTGAAAGTTCGGATTTGTGAGTTGGCAGATGGAGCATTGCGGCCAAACAGCTGTCGTCGCTCAGATTTCGAAAGATTCAGGTCATTGGCGATGTTGTCGAGAGAAGATGTAACCGAGTGCGTGGTTGGATACGCATTTTTCGCAGGCATGTTTGCGTAGGACGCATTTAGGTCAGTGGATGCGGCGTCTGTTTCGGCTTCGGTTTCGGCTTCGGTTGTGTACATCATGGGCTCGTATGTGCTTGATGATGTCGCGGTCGCGGTAGCTGAACGAGCGTCCGAGTCCTCCGAAGAAAACGAGAATAGGCTCACTTTGGGTTTTGGAGGAGCCGGCGCAGGAATTGAAGGAGGCACGTCCGCAGAGGCTTTCTGCCCAGAGGATGCTTGGCTATCCACCGCGTTCGTAGCTGCGGAAGCTGAAGAAACGGGTTTAGCAGCGTTAGGCTTCTTCTTCTTCTGGCGGCCGACCGAAAGAGGCCTAAACATCATCGGGTTGCCCTGTAATTTGCTTCCCCGATGGCCTTTGGTGCTGGAGCTGGGTCTGATCCAGCGTCTGCTTGTGCTAGGCTACCAGCCTTGGGTATTGTAATATCCTCCTCATCCTGATCCTCGGTTGCGTTGCTATAGTCATTAAGAGCCTGCTCTTGTCTCAGTTCTGCGTCCGATTCTCGACTAAATCCCGGTGTGGCGCCAGTCTTGAGGCTAAACACTTTACGTGTGCTTGCCACCGGCGCATTCTTCTCGGCCTGGCGCTTTGGGGCTGGTAGAAACGAGTTGAACCCCGAAAGCGCCCCAGACCCTCCTAGCCGAAGCCTCTTACGCGCGGGCCCATCTCCGGCCTCTTCGTCCGCAGGATTCTCGGGCTTGATCTCCGGCAAGGCAACGCGAATCTTGCGGGATTGCTGCGGTCCACCTTGAAACTTGCGGCGTCGGGCTTCTTTTGTTTTTCTGCCGGGACGGGGATAGGATCAGACTCGCCGTCAGAGCCCTCGGAGTCGGAGTAGTCGACCAAATTCATAGTTGATAGAAGGCTTCGATGATGCTACCAGTCATCACCGGGGACAGATTTGGGCCGAGACTCTGATATCGGCGCCTGGTCTTTCAGGCAAAGATTGATGTACCGGTGACATAATCCAACCCTGCTTCCATTTGGGGAAAATGCAAATCTACGAGTACAGTGGACGTACACACTGGGATCTCTAGTAGATGTGCAAGCTGGGATTACTGGGATACTGGATATGGCACAAAGCAAGCTTCCCCCTCTTGCCGCCCATAGCGCATGCCATCGCTATTGAAGCTTATCTTGTCCTGGGTCGATATACCGCGCTAGTGTGTCGTAACGTCATCAGCGTCATCCGGTTCCTCCGACCTCCCACTTTCATCCGACTTGGCAGGGGTCCCTCACTAGCGGGCTTCTGATAGAGGGCTGAAAGAGGAGAAAGGCCGGTTTTGGACGACTAATGTAATGCGGTCATGCAGAATCACAGGCAGATCGAGTCGATCCCAGTCCGACACGTTGCGTAGACGGGAAGAATGGGGGCGAGCCCCGCGAGCGACGGGAGGACGCAGCTCGATATCTGAGTTTCGTGGGGAGGATCCAGGAACTTAGATTCAGACAGATAGAGAATGCTCCGAGTAAAGAAAGACCCATCAGGTACTCCGTAGAGCGTAGCGGTCATCCACACAGTCCCCATGTAGAGTATGCAGAACCATCGAGCCACACAAAGATCAATGCGTCATCCCCGGTGCCCCTCCCCACCTTGAGACTCTCCTCTCCTCGCCATTCCCCTCCTCCCCTCATTAATCATCCTCCATGCCGAGTTTAGGAGGCCTGTTGAAGAAGCGGCGCACAAAGGACTCGCAGACCTTGTCCAAGGAGCTGTCCGCCGTCGACCGTCCCGACCAACCTGCTTCTAGCCCCCCCCAATCCCCCCAATCCCGATTCTAACTCTACCCCCAAATCCTCCCAACAAAGCGCCTCCATGCAACCTGCCGCTTCAAGTGCGTCCCATGCTCAGCCTGCCAACAATGCCGCCAGCATCAATCACATCATAAACAACCCCTCCAATGCTGCCCAACACCCGCAGCCGCAGTCGTCGCAGTCGCAGTCGCAGTCGCAGCCGCAGCAGCAGCAGCAGCAACAACAGCAACAGCGCGAGCGAACTACTAGAGGAAAGTATTCGCAGGAAGACTTCCAGCTGCAGCGGACACTCGGCACCGGGAGTTTTGGTCGCGTGCATTTAGTTCAGTCCAAGCACAACCATCGCTTCTACGCAATGAAGGTTCTGAAGAAGGCCCAGGTGGTGAAGATGAAGCAGATTGAGCACACCAATGATGAGCGTCGCATGCTCAATCGCGTCCGGCATCCATTCCTGGTGACACTGTGGGGAACTTGGCAGGACTCACGGAATCTGTACATGGTAATGGACTTTGTAGAGGGTGGAGAGCTGTTCAGCCTTCTCCGGAAATCACAAGTGAGTTGTTGATAGAGACTGTCGAGGCTCTCGTCCCTCGATTGTTACCCTATCACTGCATCCCTGTTCCTATGCTAATCCAAGCTCCACTCAGCGATTTCCCAACCCAGTGGCCAAGTTTTATGCCGCCGAGGTGACGCTGGCGCTAGAGTATCTACATTACCATCAGATCATCTATCGGGATCTCAAACCGGAGAACCTTCTGCTTGATCGCCACGGTCATCTTAAGATTACAGATTTTGGATTTGCGAAAGAAGTGCCAGATATTACGTGGACGTTGTGTGGTACGCCCGATTACTTGGCCCCGGAGGTCGTCTCCTCCAAGGGATATAATAAATCCGTGGACTGGTAGGTCTTTTTCAGTTCGATCATAGCTTCCAGATTCCTTGGAACAACTCTTCTCTCTGACTCTTTTCCAGGTGGTCCCTGGGAATCCTTATTTTCGAAATGCTATGCGGCTTCACGCCTTTCTGGGACAGCGGATCGCCCGTCAAAATATACGAGAACATCCTTCGTGGAAAGGTCAAGTATCCACCATACTTGCATGAAGATGCTGTCGACCTGCTATCGCAGTTGATCACAGCCGACCTCACCAAGCGTCTGGGTAACCTACATGGCGGGCCGGACGATGTGAAGAACCACGCCTGGTTCGCGGAGGTGACTTGGGATCGCCTCGAACGCAAGGATATCGATGCACCATACATCCCGCCGATTCGGGGAGGCCAGGGTGATGCCAGCCAGTACGACAAATACCCTGAAGAGACAGAACACTATGGCGTCGATGGCGAGGACACGTGCGTTTCGTCCCATCAACGAGACTCTAGACTCGAAGCTAACCCGTTTATAGATACGGCCACCTATTCCCCGAATTCCAGTCGTGCTTGTATGATTTATGACGAGATGAATAGCCCGGGATTCACCAGGCTTGGATCCAGCCCGCGGGCGCGCTGGCTGTGATTATTTCTAGATGAGATCATGCTGGCAATGCCGCCCCAGAAAAACCGGAGTGCTTCTATTTAGGGCCAAATGTGCCTGCTTGGAAATGGATTGGATACATTTTAGCAATTGGAATTGAATTGGATTTTCTTCTATTTTTCTTCTTATTTTATTTCATTTTTTTTTTCGCCATCTCGAGTTTCCTCTTTAGTGATTGATTTGGATGTACATGAGACAAGAAACCCCTAATAACCTTCTATTCTCGGGAAGTACTAGTACTAGCATATTTCCTCACTCAAAAGACCGTAAAATCCGGCTCGATAATTTACAACTGGCTACCATACCAATTCTATTCATACACGTCCCTGCTGGTGTCATTGATCCATGCTCGGCAAGCCTTTTTCACACGGCTGTTGTTGACACCGAGAGATAATTCTGTCCCTCCATTGGTGGACTTACAAGCCCGAGCCACTGCCGGCGAGAGCGGCGTTGGTCTTTTGCTCATTGCTCATGCGCTTCACGTAGGTGCGGTGGGTGGTGTTCCACATGCTGATGTACTTGTTCATGCAGTTGGACAGGCAAGTGTTTTCCGCGGAGGAAGTGGAGGAGCCGGGGGTCTGGATGCAGGCCTCGAAGCAGTTCTCATTGATTCTCTGTCGTCATTAGGTCAGAAAAGGGAATTCAGACTTGCATGAATCATAGCTAGGGTAGGGAGATAAATCGAGTGCAAATTAGTGACGTACATCAACCAGAGCGCGGGCATTGGTGATAGCCTGCTCCTGCTGTAACTGCTGGATGATAGCAGCCTTGACCTCCGCAGAGGAAGAGGGGGTCGAAGATGAAGATCCGAAGAAGGACATTGTGGTGGGTAGATGGGTGGAAGTAGGAAAGGTTGGACAATCCAAAGAATCAAAGCTTCAAGTCCGCTGTGGCTGAGATCGGCAAAACTGCGCCACAGCGCCGTGTGGACACCTTACACTGTAGACATCTAAGGACCGATCACAATCCTATACAAGAACCTCGCCCTTTGATTCATTCCTCCGGCTTTTGCCCTTTCCGCTCGCTGTCTCTTTTTGCTGTTCTCCACCTCTCTCAGCAAGTCTGTTTTCGGGTCCTGGCGACACCGTAACTCGTCACATCCCACCTCCGGTCTCTCCTTGAGCTGTGCCCCCCCCCCCCGGTCGGGCTCTATTTACCACCATGCGTCTTCCCACCCTTTCCTCTCCCTGTGCTTGGCCGGTCTCGTCTCGGTGCCCGTCAATGCCTATGATGACCCTAATGTGAAAAGCATTCCTGTAAGTGTTTGTGGACAATTCTTATACTGCTGTCAAGGTACTAATGTTATCTCGATAGCTCCGAACACACAGCTTGACCTCGGTATGAACCTCCAGATCTGCATTTTATGCGAATAATCTTGACTAGTGCCCTCGGGTTTCCGTGTCTCATATTAGACAGCCTCGTTGACGTTTACGACAGCCATACCTTGATTCGGATTTCCAAAGCCGCTGGTTCGACTTCGGAGGAGACACAGTGGTTCGAGCGGATAAGTGAGCTTGAAATCGTCTTCCGATTCAACATGGATATACGAGCCTAACTGTTGTCTCAGGTACATTCGTCTCACAGCCGATCGCCCTTCGCAGCAAGGCTGGCTCTTTTCTCGCGTGCCTCTGACGGCGACCAACTGGCAGGTAAGTGCCGAAATATTTCGGACGAGATTCATTGAACCCTAGAAGTCACGTATAATAACATCCACTTTTCGTAGATTGAGCTGGAATTCCAAATTCACGGCAATGGCAACTTACACGGTGATGGCTTCGCTCTGTGGCTCACCAAGCAGCGAGCTACAATGGGCCCTGTCTTTGGATCTACGGACCGATTTGAGGGCCTGGGTATCTTCTTTGATACATACAAAAACAACCGCCCAGGTGTTTCATTCCCCTACGTTATGGCCATGATGGGCGATGGCCAGACCACATACGACCAGGCGCATGACGGTAAAGCCAACGAGATTGCTGGATGCTCTGTAAGTTCCCCAAAACCAACAAGATACAACGCCAAAGGAGATCATCTGGTCAGAACGATAAACTCATCCATGTGTTTTAAAAATTATAGGCGCGTGGTCTTCGCAACGCGAACATCCCTACCAAAGCCCGCCTTACCTACTTCCAGGATAAATCGCTCTCTCTCGAGCTGCAATATAAGACCGAAGATACATGGACCGAGTGCTTTACCCTGAGCTCCGAGGATGCTAATATTGCCATTCCTTCTGTTGCGTACCTGGGTCTCTCCGCGGAGACCGGTGAGCTGAGCGACAACCACGACATCATTTCACTAAAGGCCGAGAACCTCTACTCTGTCAACAACAAGAACAACGCCGGTGGTAGCCGCGGAGACAGCTCGCGTGGTCGGGGTCGCTCATCCAGGGGCCAGAAAAAGTCCGGTAGCTGGAGCTGGTTCCTGTTCAAGTGGGTGCTATTCTTCGGTGCGATTGCCGGTGGTTACTTCGGCTGGACTATCTACCGAACCAAGAATCGCTCATCGCGTTTCTGAGCTCTCCAGAGGGCATTATGAGATCACATCCTTGGTAAAGATCGAAAAAGAAATCCTCCCCTGGCATCTAGCATACTTCCATTATCTATTATCATGCGTTCTCTCTCCCTTTTTGTCCTTTCAGTATGGTTTTGCTGGTGGTTTGGGCTGTCGAACGAATTGAACTTGCATAGCCTGTTTTCCTTGTACCGTATGATCTGCTCTGATGCTGGTACTTTTCTGCTATTTTGGAATGAACCCAGTTATGATTAGCCGTTGGTCTCTAATGTATACTCCCACCTTGAGCAAATTCAAGTTGCATGCTCTTTCAGCGATCATCTTGACCTGAAGTTTAGTAGTCGTAATTAATCATTCATAAATCGGATATCCTGGGTATCATCTAAAGCCATAACGCCGATACGTGGCAGCCATGATTTTGGTGCCATAAAATAATCCTTATAACCTCAAGCCCTCTCTCACTTGGCCTTCTCACTTGGCCTTCTCACGCTCCTCGTTCCACATCCGATCCACGATCTGGAAAACCTCCGTCACACTCCGCAGGACCACCTCATCAATCCCCAGCACATGGAACCGATGCTGGATCTTATCAGGATGCCATTTAATTCGCTCCGCCTTAAGCGTCGCCAACAAATCTTCCCCCGGGGCAGCCTTCATAAACTTCTGCACAGCATCCGGCTGCACATCCCTCCTCTTCCCTGAATCCACCGGCCAAAACAGCAAGTTGCGAAGCGGCTGGCCTCCCCTCTCCCCCTTCGCCGCTGCCTCCGCTGCCCTCTCAACCTCCTTCCACCTCTTCACGTAGGTATCCCACATCTCCTCTTGTTTCTTCTTCATCCTCCTCTTCTCCCCGCGCTGCAGACTCCCGCTGAAGACCCTCTCAAACGCCTCGCGGTCAGCCTGCCCGCGCTGCCGCTTCGTCCCCCTCAGTTCCTCCTGGCGCATCCGCATCCGCTCCTGCTCTCGCGCCCGCGCAGCTCGGACCCGCTCCTGCTCCTCGAGCATGCCCTCGCGCGTGCGCTTCCACATCTCGGCGCGCACGTAGGCGGTGTACTCCTCGTCGTCCATCTGCTCCAGATGTCCGTCAGGGCCCTTGGGCACTTCAGGCACGGCATATGTGTGGATGGGTTGGCCGGAGACAGAAGCCCAGTAGTCGGCGCCTTCATCGTCGCCTAGGGCGTCGAAGAGGGATTCGCGGAAGGCGGTCTCGGGGCTTACTTCGCGGCTGTCCTGGAATTGGGGTTGAGTGTGGCTGGACCGGGAGGAGCGGTGGCGGTGCCTGGAGCGCGAGTGGTGGTGAGAGTCGTGCTTGCGTTCGGTGCTTGGGGAGCGGCGGTGGTGTTTGGAGCGTGAGCTATTCTTGAAGCGCAGTTTGCTCTTGCGGGGCTTGGTGTGGTCGTTTGGAGGGGAGAGGTAGGGTTCTCCTTGGAAGGAGAAGAGTTCCTCTCTCTGCCCTCCATTCTCCGGTGTGAGGGCCTTGTTGCCGAATGAGTTGGGAGACAGTGAGGACTTGGAGTTTTAAAAGGAACAGCTACGGTGGATTCCCGGGTCGGGTAATGTCATGAATTGGTGGCTTATCGATTAATCCGGGCTTATCGATACGCAGATAGTGCTTATCGTATTGTTTGTTCAAGCCTACGGGTGATCCACTGGCACGTGGGCGGAAGAGATCATTGACAAAATGCTCACATTGTTATCACAGACATGAAATGCTAATCCGTACTTTCCTGGATATTCCTCCCAATTTTGGATCTTGCCATGTATAAGGGACCGCGAGAGGCATGAAACAGAGACATGAAACTAGCAGGTAAATCAAATGCGATAATGAGCCATGTTTTTCTTGATCTCATCCACGATCTCAACGGCTTCGAGAGCATTGCGAGCTTCAAAGTCATATCTCTTCTGCTCTGTGGCATCATTGCCTCGCAGGACAACTACTCGGAAACTTTTGGGGTGGCGCCGGCTGACCTTACAACCCACCACGTCGTTGAAATTGATAGAGCGACTCTTGGTGTCCGAAGCAGCCTTGCCACTCTCTCCGGGTACAATATGCATGTAGTCGTTATCGAAGGTGAGGATCCTGTGGTTTGCGGCAGTAAAAGACATGGGTTGCTTGCGATAAACGTGATAGCGGCGGTAATAGCCACCAATGAGATCCTGTTTCTGAGACGAAGAAGGCAGCGCACTGTTGCCTTTTTTGCCCTTCTTTACAGGCGCCTGCTCGCCGTTGTTCACCATCAAGGGTGCATTGGGTGATGAGCTGCCAGGAGATCCACCGAGGGCGAGTGGGCCCGTTCCGAAGCGCCGACGGACAAGATCTAGCTCGACAATGTTTCCGAGTGCTTCGACTGTTCGGTCTAGCGGGGCAACTGTACTAGATCCCATCACTTTAAGAAGGTAGTTTCCCTTGTCCAAGCCCCAGCGTTTGCAGACCGTGTCTAAGATCTCCGCAATGTAACTATCGGTTGAAGTGTTGAGAGTCATAATATGAGCTGAGCCTTCAAGGTTCATGAAACGGATCTTCAGAGTCTTGCTCACACCAAGGCGAGGTGTTGCATGAGACACAGGGACAACAGGTCGGTCCGCAGGTGTTAGAGTATTGTCATTCAGCGCAGATGAGAACGGTTGGCCAAGAATTGGGTTCGGACGTGCAGTGGGAGCTTTGATAGACGGGGAAGGTTGAGCCGCCGGCAATGGGAGACTGGCAGGCTGGTCACTTTCTTCGGAGCCGAGGTTGTGGCTGTATTGCGGATGAAGACGCTCGTTCTCTTCGAATTCGGCCTCCGAGGCCTCCACCAGGGCAAACTCATCGTATGGTTTCCCACGTGAGCGCCCGCGCGCCTTTGCAGCTTGGTTGTTGTTGGATGTGAAGTCCGCCATGGGGAGTGTCCGACCCAATGCCGGGAAGTCGTAGTCAACTTCTCCATCATCGACCATACGCAACGTCCACCGGTTGACCGTCAACTTTTTTCGATCCAAGGGAGGGTCTCGGGAATCTTCTGAGTATTTCCACAGCGCAAGTCCAATCGTCTCGGTGACTGTAACTGGGGCAGGTTGTTCTGAAAGCTTAGACTCGCGCACAACGGGCAAATCCAGTGGTTCCTCTGGGTCGGATGAGAAGGGGACGTAGATCTTCAAGTACAACGGATCAGCTTGGCCGGATCCCGATAAGACCATGAACTTCTCCACTGGGTTACTTGGTGCGCGCTTGCGCGAGTTCAATTGCTTCGTTAGCAAGCTAACAGGTTGCAGGGTACTGATAGGTCGTGGAGGAGGTAGGTCCTGCAGCTCGGGCGTAGGTGTCGTCTTGGATTTATGGTGGGGCGCATTCTCTGGTCCGGTCCCAGCGGGCAGCTTATGCATCAGCATCATAGGTGAAGAAGAGTCCAAGCTGCCGTTGATACCCACTCCAGCCAGCAGGAGTGAGCCAGATCCCGCAGTAGCATCGAACTCGGAAGACAGAGCGGAGCCCACAGACTCTGCACCAGAGTCTTCGTCCTGCTCCTGCAGATCTTCAAGGGCAATGCTATCTGCGCCCCGGCTACCAGTCCGTACACGTCGATTTCGAGGACGGTCCAGGATTTGGTCCTGGTTAGTGAATTGTACTTGACCAGGCCGGGGATTCTGGGAGTCTAATTCGTTATCAGTCGATAATTCACTGCTTGTGGTCGTGTCTCGTCGTGGTCGTCGGGTTCTTCCAGAAGGAGGCGTCTCCAGCGATCCCGTGCGTTGATGAGCTGCGAGGTTCTGGGTGGACGGCGCGGTGATCATCACTTCTGGTCGTTCTTGCGGCTCTGTGGACCGCCTTGGCGATGAGTCTGCTCTATCTCGTCGAATAGGCATTTTGGAGAAATTGATACGATCGATCGGTCTACCTTGTTGTCAGAGGAATTTGCAATTTTCCGCATTCATTTGGTTTCAATTACCGACCTTGGCCCTTCTTCAATCTCGTCGTCACTCTCATCAGATAGATCGCTGCTATCGTCGTCCTCCGCGTCTGCTTGCCGTTGAGCTTCCTGGTGACGGTCACGACGAGCTTTCTTCTTCCCACTCCGCGCGAGAGCTCGTCGTGAGGTGAGGTCGAGGTTGCTTTTCCCGGTGACCATCCCACCCTCTTCATCCTCGCCATCTTCAAGGCCTAATCCCTGGAGTTCTTCCCGTGCCGCATTTGCGTCACGTACAGCTAATCGATAGTATTCGGAGGAGACTGCGGCGGTGGTGGGGATCGGCGGGGAGTAGGAACGCTTAGGGTGTGCGACATTGTTGGTACCGTTGGGCGGAACGGCAGACCAGCCTGCAGCACGGAAACCAGGAGTGTTGAGTACGGCATTGTTGACATTGATCAGGCGATCGCCAATGCCGTCTTTGATTGCGGAGAGGTAGGATGAGCGTAGCTGCCAGATGGTGAAGCTGGGATTGTTAGCATGGAAGCCCGAGAAGAGGAGTCGTGCCGCTATATTCAACTTACTCTTCATTGTGGAGGAGAGACATCTTCCTGTCTCATTCAAGAGTTGGAGCTCCTGATAAGCTGTCAACGCAGGGCGATCATCCAACGTTGGTGGCGATAAGATCGAGCGGACACGGCCAGAGGGCACGTGCTAAACCTGAAAAGACATGCGCCGAGGAGCGAAAGGTGTTAAGATCAGGGCCAGCCTGAAGGAGAAACAAGCGACACAGTACCGGGGCGCAGGGCCTTGGGGACGAAGGGCAAGTCAAGATGAACGGTGGCGGTTCTGTGCCGATCATTTCCCCGCCCAGTGTCAAGCACGCTAGGACGGGGGCCCTCGCGGGACTTAGTAGACGAGCCACGAGGCCATGCAAATTGTGTGAATACCCTCAACGGTTTCATTTGATTTGAGGCCAATCTCTTGCCTAGAATATCTGCACTTCATATTGAATGAGTATCTCCACAATTGTCGAAATCCTTGGATACTATTGACAGTACACCACGCTAGATATCCTGGCTGAACATACAATAGCGGGGCTTGAAAAGTCTTCGATCTTGACGTGTATAATTATCGCGCTCCTTCGATATTCCTGTGAATTAAGGCATCTCTCTGCTTCCTACAAGATAGCAGTTGATTTCCTAACTATCATATTTCAAGGTAGCGGCCAGTGTTTTTGCCAGTCCAAGCCCTAAATACGGGGGCCAATGGGCTCCACCAACCAGTATGAGTTTTGTACGGAAATGCTTGGCCGGAGAAAACCTTGAGAAAATGAATTGAATTCTGTCTTACGGCGTTTGTTTTCTATCGAGAACACGCCAGCATGACCTAACTTACCATAGCCGGTGCGGCCTGTTTCGTCTCTAAATTTCACGACGCGTCTGATGCTAAGAAAGTGGGTTTGATGAGATATCTCACTAGCATAGCCCTTGCTATCGGAAATCATAATCTGAGAGAAACGTGTTGCGTCTAAGGTTATTCAATAGAGTAACTTGAAGCTGTGGCTACCAGGTAGGTTTGATTCCAGGTCTTGCTGCTTATATGGACTCTTGCTTCGTAAAAAAATTGTGGACAAACAAACGCAGAATTACCAGGTGCCGACAAATAGTAGATTAGGTTAAGCTGAAAGATTTCGAGCGTGGCCTCGTCTACAGCCCAGGTCCCGCTTATCGATGGCAGATACCGTAGAACCAGCAGGCGGTCAACATTTACCGATCTATTCGTACCAGAGGATCACGCTTAAACGCCGGATATCATTGACTCTGCTCCCTGCATCTTACCGTCCTTTGTATCCCCCGTATGTCATTCGCTAATCCCAAGTGATCAAGGTCAGCATTTCCAGCATATCACTGAGGGCCTGGCGCTGAGCCGGTTCCATGGAGCGTCCACGGTATGCGGTCTCACGGCAAAGGTCTTGCCAGGAATGCTCAATCACCAAGGCTAAATGTGACCGGCAGCCGGGAGGCTGTACGAGGTGCTGGGAACGGAACATCCGTTGTGTGTACCCAAAGGCAACAATCGTCAAGAATGAAAGGACAGCACCTGCCAATAGTGGTGGAACCGAATCTCCGACCTCAGCATCGACCATGCTGAAGCCTTCAAACATGCGCACCGTGTTGCCCTCAAGACATTCATCCTCGAGCTCTCCAGTCTCCTTTCACTCTCAGCAGACTGCTTCTCTTTGCCCACCTCTACTTCTACCAAGCACTGCCAAAATGGATACAAATTTCTCGGCTCTGAAGCTGTCCTGCCCCATTAATGCGGATGATATCACCGCTCGCTGGATGAATCCTTACATTCCAGTGCCAGGCCAAGCCGTCAAGTCATATCCGCCTGCTGTCACGGCACTGATATCGCGAAACCTCGAGTCATACGCGGCCATTTCAGTCCGTGGCCGCCATTTGGTGCCATTCATTCACCCTGCGCAACTCTCTGGTCTGCACGTGCACGGCGACTCGCCCCTCGTCGTATGCTTGGGTCTGCTCCAGAGTTGGGGCGTGCCGGGTAGTGAGAATGCGCTCAGCAGGGTGATCTGGGACGAGATGCGGACTATCTGTGATAAACGCAATGAATATGAGGCGATCGATCTGCTGGGTGCGTTTCAAGCCTTCCTACTCTACATGCTTGTTCTATTCTTCCGTCTGGGCCAAACACCCGATAACCAGCTGCGCCAAGCAATGATGGATTTGCAGGCCCTCGCAACTCTGGCGGCCAAGAAGGGTCTCACGTGCATTGCAGATAACGATCATTCCTCCCCGCTGTGGGAAGAGTGGATTGTTACTGAGGCAAAGCGTCGCACCCTTTACGTCATGTACCTTTTCGACAGTGTTCTCTCTTCCCAAGAGAACTTGCCTACCTTCCTTGGTACGGAACTACAGGGTCTCCCTGCTCCAGCGGGTAAATACCTCTGGCAAGCTGGAACACGGGCCGAATGGAAGCATCTGTATAATGTTCATTTGGTGGAATGGCCGGAGCGCTTGACGATCGACGAGCTATGGCCCATTCCTGCTGATATGGATGCCGCAGAGGAGATGGAAAGGCGCAAAAGAGTCAATCATTGGCTCGAGGATGTGGATGAATACGGAGCCATGCTTTATGCAGTCACGAGCATTACCCACGGCGTCTAAGCCTACAAAGTAGAATTGACCGGCTTAAATAGAATCGACGAAGATACGAGATCAGGCAACGATGAAATCTAACGAGTCTTTGCTAATTCTAACGCCCAAAGAGCTTCGTCGAGAGAGATGGCCTTGAGATTCATTTTCGGAAGTAGCATCTCGCATATGACTTTCGAAAATCCGGCTGTCTGCCCTACAGGCAGCTCTATCACGTTATCCGTGATCACAAAAACTCGGAAGTCCAGGTCAAACAGTCGATAGACTGTACTCATGACCACCCCAGAAAGACTCAACCCAGACTAGACATGCAAGGTTAGTACCGACACCGGGCAGCTAAGAAATCACATACAATAATCACGGTATCAATCTTGTTCGCTCTCAAGATCTGCTCTAGCGAGTTTCCCATTGTCGCAGACCATCGTGTCTTGCAAACTATGACATCTTTCTTATCCACAGCAAACCGAGAATCGATCTGCACCTCTGGTGATCCCATCTCAAATGTCCCCAGGGGGGCAATGAGGTCAGAAAAGGGTTTGTGGGCCTCAAGTTCAGGTTGGCCGATGCTCAACGCGAGTGTGGAAAATATGGTCAAAGGGCGAGGATCCATTTCATGTATAGAGTTGTTCCAACGAGTCAGATTCGCAATGAAAGATTTGCCTTCTGTGGTGTCTTGGACCGCATTGATCAATATCGACATCCAATCCAAATTCAGGATGGCAAAATGCTGCCCGAAGTCGGGGGGGAGTTGGAGAAGACATATGGGATTTTTTTTGAAGCAGAATCTCCAAGCAACTTTTCCAATCCTATCTTATGGTTCTCCTTCCAGAGGACTAGGTGATGGAGCAAGGTAGGGTTGGAATGGTCCTCTTTCTGATCAGCAAAGGTTCATTTATTGAAGGATGTGAAATAGAAAAATAAATACCCACGGAACTCAAAAGGGTTGGATTCGAGTCAAGGATCTCGTTTTGTCAGGAAATAAATACTAGCAAGTTTTATTAGTACATCACCCATTGCGTATAGATCGTCCGGGGGGGGGGCATTCTAGAGGCGCTCAACTCCGCTCCACTGAACTCCGTTCCTCTCAACTCCGCTCAACTCCGGTGGCACAGATAGTTCGCCTCAACATTGCTCAGTCCCAGAAACATTTAAAACCCCGGCGCAAATGTCCTCCTTCGATGCTTTCCATTCATACACATCTTGATTGAAGGCCCCCTACCATGCGCATCAAAGACGGAGACGAAGAGCAATCAGAAACAAACGTTACAGCCGTAACGCCAGCACCGGCGCCTTCCTCTCCCGAGCCCCCATTTACGATATTCGACCGGAGGCAGCAGTGGCTGATAATCGCCATTGTCTCTACAGCTGCGACTTGTACGTTGCGCCGCCTCCCTTCAGCGAAATGCCTCCCAGCTAATGCCTCCCAGTCTCTGGATTCGCATCCAACATTTACTTTCCTGCTCTTCCGACCATTGCAGACAACTTGAACGTCTCGTTGGAATTGATCAATTTGACCGTGACTTCCTACCTTATCTTCCAAGGAATCGCACCCAGCTTCTGGGGGCCTGTATCGGACGTCAGAGGACGCCGGATTGCCTACGCTTTCACATTCGTTGTATTCCTGGGAGCCTGCATTGGGCTTGCGGAAGCCAAAAATTATGCCACTTTGATTGTTCTTCGATGCCTTCAAAGTACAGGGAGTGCGAGCACAATTGCGATTGGCTCTGGGGTAGTCGGTGACATTACAACCCGTGCAGATCGAGGAGGGTTCATGGGCATCTTCCAGGCCGGGCTCCTGGTTCCAGTCGCGGTAGGGCCCGTTATTGGAGGCGCCTTAGCAGGGACGCTCGGATGGAGATCTATCTTCTGGTTCCTGGCCATCTACAGTGGCTCCTTCCTCATCGTGCTGCTTATATTCCTGCCCGAGACTTTGAGGTCTGTGGTTGGAAACGGAAGTCGTGTGCCATCGAACTTCGTGGCGAAATTTCCCTTGAGTACGTACGCGAAGCTCACGCAGGTCGAGTGGGATCCGGAGACGTCACCGTCTGATCTTGCGCCTCGAAAGAGGATTGATGTGACTGGCCCCTTCCGCATTCTGGTCAGCAAGCAGGCCGCACCCATCGTCGTCTTTCTCGCTGTCTATTACGCTGTGTGGCAGATGAGCATTACTGCCATGTCCTCTCTGTTCAAGGACAAGTATGGGTTAAGCGAGATCCACATCGGTCTCACCTTTATTGCGAACGGAGTGGGCTCAATGGTGGGAACCCTGATTGCAGGAAGAATCATGAACCTCGATTACCGCAACATCAAGCGCAAACTCGACCTTCGGGCAGCCGCAACCCTGGAGTCCGGACAAGGGAACTCAGCTCGAACAGAGGAGACTGAATTTCCTCTGGAGAAAGCCCGCTTCCGCCTGGTTCCTATCTACTCCTGCCTTCAATGCTTATCGATTATCCTGTTCGGCTGGACCATCAACTTCACGGTTCACATCGCGGTGCCTATCATATCAACCTTTATCACCGGGTGGACCGTTATTTCGATGCAAACCATCATATCGACCTACCTTGTTGACATCTTCCCGAGCGAAGTGCCGCAGCTAGTGCCAGTGTCAACCTCGCCAGATGTTTGTTCGCTGCGGGCGGAACAAGCTTTGTGATGCCGTTGATTAACTCCGTAGGGGCTGGCGCGACCTTCACCATCTGCGCTGGAGTACAATTGCTCGCATTGATCGGTCCTCTCACGCAATGGAAATACGGTGCGACGTGGCGGAAAGAGATGGAAAATCAGAAGTCGCAAGCTGCCTCCAGCGCCTAGAGAGAACTCGGAGCTATTTCAGGTCTTCCGAGGCTTGAACCTTGGGGCTTTGTATGTAGCTCAGCCACAATTCTAGAATAGGTATCGTGTTAGACTAAGATCGTAAGCTTCCTGCAGGTCCATCCCAGATACAGTACCCCGTCTAACTATTCTTTTAAAAAAAAAAATTAATATCAATAAATAAATAAATACAAAACACAAGTAATCGCAAACATTCAAATCCAATTGATGACCTAGTGCCCGACTTTATGCTCAAACTTCTCATTAAGCTTGTTCTTTCCCTATTAAGAATAGAAACGAAGGAAGAGTTGACTACTTCGGCGGCAGTCAGTCTAGGGTTTAGATATACTTTTGAAGCATCCTTAGCCAAGTTGGGATTTCGCACAACGGGACTGAGGGGTCCCCCTATCTCTAGAAAGCTCCGGGCCTCTCTTGCACTCCGCCCATTGTTCGAAACTGGATAAAGCCGGTGCAGGGCCGGGGCCGGGGCCGGTGGGGCTCCGATTCGGCAGGCGCCGCTTCGCATTGGGGCAAAACAGGCTGCAGATTGGATGGGGACCAACTGAGAAGAGGGGAATGGGGACATTTCGACAGAATCCTCCTTGTGCCTAATGCCGATATCTCCGTCCAAATTGGTGAAAACTCTTTACTAATGCATACGCGCATACACTCTCCGTTCGGGTGCGTAGAGGCCATTAGTCTTGAATGCAATCTTGTAATTTCCTCTTAAGTATAGATTGAACTCTTGCACCGTCTTTGCCGAGCGCTTAATGACCCACTTGAAGCATGGACAAGCATTCTTCGCCCCCGCCTCACTCAGACCGTGGTGGTTCCTCTCCTGCTGAAGCAGCGCCCTCGGTCAAAGTAAATATTGCCGAGCAGCACAGCGAGCCTGGCCAGCTCGAGGCACAATCGCCTCCCGCTGAGCCAGTGAACGAGAGAACTCAATTACAAGATCAAACGAACCTTCTGCCGTTCAAGCAAGTACTGGTTGTTTTCGTCGGTTTGAGCTGTGCCCTATTTTGTAAGTTCTACGGGGGCCGTCCGAGAGATCGGGAAAACTAGTACTAACCCAGCAAATGTAGGTGCCCTACTAGATCAAACCATGTAAGAGAAGTGCGATTGGAAAGAAAAGCTATCTGCGAGGTCGAAGTGTCATGCTCACCATTGCATTCCAGTGTCTCGACCGCTCTTCCGACGCTGGGGCGTGTCTTCAACGATGCCTCTATCGAGTCATGGGTCGGAACAGCGTACCTGCTCACTTCCACGGCCTGCCAGCCTCTTTATGGGCGCCTCTCGGACATTTTTGGTCGCAAAGTCATTCTGCTGACAAGTATGAGCATCTTCCTGTTCGGCTCCATCCTATGTGCTGTCTCGACTAGCATGATCATGCTTATCGTTTTCCGTAAGTCTGCCTCGTGCGCCCTCGAGTCTGGGGAAGGGGGAAAGCTAAACCTTGAACGAACAGGCGCTATCTCAGGAATCGGAGGTGGCGGCATTCTGACAGCTGTCATGATTGCTGTCTCTGATGTTGTCTCTCTTGAAAAGCGTGGAACGTACCAAGGCGTGATTGGAGTCGTCGTAGCGATGTCAAATTCCATCGGTCCTCTGGTCGGTGGTGTTTTCACGGAGAAGGTATCCTGGAGATGGTGCTTCGTAAGTTCCCTTGCTGGCCGCCGGTTTTGACAGGCCAATTAATCAACGCCAGTATATCAATATCCCTATAACGGCTGTGTCGATTCTCGTGGTTATCTTCTTTCTTCCCCTCAAGCGCGTGAAGGGTAATCGCAAGCTAAGATTCAAGCAAATTGACTACCTTGGATGTGTGACGATGTTCATTGCATCCGTCCTTATCCTCCTGCCTATCTCTTGGTAAGCGGGACACGCTCGAGGCCCATAGTATTGAGGAATGGAGCTTACTTTACATGTAGGGGAGGTACCCAATACGCCTGGAATTCAGCGGGCGTCATCGCCCCTCTGGTGATTGGCGTCGTCTTTATAGGCGTCTTCATCGTGGTGGAACTGAAATATGCCGCTCTTCCTCTTATTCCCAGTATGTCTCAACCCCAAAAAGATAAGGGCGCGGAGCTGATCATTTTGGCTACAGTGCACATTTTCAAGAACGGCACCGTCTCCGGTGCTTTGGCAGGATCATTCTTCACAGGGTTCATGTTCTACACCAACCTATACTATGTGCGTCTTGGGAGTTAAGATTGATGGTCTAAGGAACTTGAAGTGCTGACTGATTGCAGTTTCCCCAATTCTTCCAAGTTGTCTACTCTGCATCCCCGGTGAGATCAGGCGTCCTTCTCCTCCCGCTCATTCTCGTCCAAAGTTTCGTTTCATTTGTATCTGGCTTCATCGTCTCGAAAACAGGGAACTACACGGTTTGTCTGTGGGCCGGCTTTGCCATCTGGGCTATTGCGTGCGGGCTGCTCTCCACTATATCGTCAACTACCTCTACCGCCAAGCTGGTGGGTTATCAGATCTTGAGTGCTGTCGGCTCTGGCCAGACGCTCCAGACAAACCTGATAGCGCTGCAAGCTAGCGTGGAGAGAAAAGAGATGGCCGTTGTCACTGCAACGCGGAACTTCGTCCGGGTGCTGGGTGGCACAATCGCGCTGGCTGCTTGCAGCGCCATATTGAATAATACAGCCCGGTAAGAGCTGATCCACATGGTCCTCTTCTTCTCTCCGCAACGACCCTCTAACTTGCTACACCAAGGACTCAGTTGATGGGCGTTGTGCCTGGCGATGTCTTAACATCTATCATCTCGGATCCGACCAATATTAATTCGCCATCCTTGAATTTGACTCCCGCACAAGCTTCTGCTGCCATTCAGGCATATAGTGAGTACCCCAACGGTGACGTTGATTATCCGGTGCATTCCATGCTAATTAGCCGACAGCCAATGGGATTCACAACATCTATTATTTCATGGTGGCCTGTTGTTGCAGCTCGTTTTTCATCACTGTGTTTTTCGTTCGCAGCTACAGTCTGAAGCGCGATGATGATGCACGGCTTCAAGAGGAAGGAAAGAAGTGGGCAGAGAAGCATCGTGGCATTCACGTGCTGGGTCGAAAGAAGAACGCAGAAACAGTGACTGGAGAGTCCAGATAAGAATCAAAACCTTGGCGAAACACGAGTACCGCAAGGATAGGGGCCAAGAAGAACATATAGATAGGAAGGGTATTTATAAATGCGCGAAGAAACGGGAATTGAACCCTTGGAAGGGCGAACACGACATCACGGCGACCAGGATATATAGATTCAATGGCATGACTACCACTACCACTAGGTAGAGACACGACCCAGATCTGGGAAAATCAACTTAATCAATGGCTTTCTTGTATTGGGCCTAATGCCAAATGTACGGGCAAAGAACTTGGAAGCAGGAAAATGTATCGTACAGTTATGTGGCCTCAAGCCTTGGCCTTGCCTTTACGTCCCTTCTTCGGCTTCTCCTCACTATCATCAATGAAATCATCCTCCACTGCCTTCTTTCCCTTCTTCGCAGCCTTGCCCTTCGCTGCGGGCTTCTTCTTCGGCTGGCTCACGTACTTATCCTTCTTCAAGTCAAGCTCCTCATCTTCATCGTCCTTGGCCTCCTCGACGACTTCCCCTTCATCCGATTCATCAATAGCATCTTCGATGTCCGGCTTCTCCTTCGCTCCCTTCTTTGGCGCAGTCACATTACTGGCCTTCATGAAAGGCAGTGGGTGAGAGCGCTGGTTGTACACACGTGTGAAGGTGGCTTTTGTCTGTGACTCGAGCTTCACGTTGCTCTCATCCATTGGCCCAAGTCCCAGTTCCAGCATCGCGTCGAAGTCGTCACGGGTCAGGAAGTAAGAGTCCATGAAATCAATGACGGACTCAACACTGTCCTTGCCTTCTTCCTGCAGCCGGCGGACAGACTTGTCCCAAAGCAATGGCATGTATTGCTGTCGAATCTCGTCACGGTTTCCAGAAGTGCGGAGACGCATGTGGCCTTGGATTTCCTTGACGAATCGCGAAAGTTTGGCTAAGGTTCACATTGGTTAGGCAGCTACCAAAAATATAGAAGGGACCGTCACGTACTCTGTTTACTGTTTTGACCCAGCCAAGAGGCAAACGTCGGGCGCTGGCTCATGTTCCCATACTGGAAACTGGCAGGTCGAACAAAGCTGAAACAAGCATGGGTTGGCATCAAACTCCACTGTTGCTGAGTTCCGTGGATCATGCGATCAACAAGATCGCCATCGCTGATGCTCGCGGCCGCTTGCTCTGCAAGTTCTAGCTCTTTCAGTTTCTGTTCCTTGCCCTGGAATTGTCCTGCGATAGCAGGCCGGGTCTTGAGGTAGTTTTCTTGCAGCATGAGATAGCTGAACTCATGGTCGTTGAAGTAAAGCTCAATCTTGTCATTTAATGACGATTTTGAAGTGCGACCGAACATCTGAGCACTGAGGATCTTGCTAACAATATCCCATGGCTTCAGAATGACATGCTTCTCCCAAGCCTTTGACATTTCCTTGCCCGTATCATAGTCCAGGCTCTTTTGATCTAACTTCGCGGCAGACAGCATGTTAATTACTTGCCGGATATCGGCATGCGTCCCTTCAATCAGGGCTTCAAGAGCTGGAGCTGGCATTTTGATGCCCTCGCGGAAGCAGATTGTTGAAAGTCGGCCACGGATTTGGTCGACAGTAGGACGTTTGAAGGGAAGATCATATGTAATGAAGTCGAATGGCTTCATCTTGGGCAGTCTTCGGTCGTTGCAAATTAAGATGATGGGGATGCTGGTCTTCTTTACAATTGCAGCGACTGCCCCCACACCACCACGGTCACCGGCTGACATGCCATCCACTTCATCCATGATCAAAACGACATTCTTTTTGCTTCTCTCGACCTGCTGGCCGTCCGCAGCGAAATATCCTTGCAAGGAGGTGGTATCGAGAACGCCAAGAGTACCAGATTCAACAAGCTTCTTACTTCTTGTGTCACTGGCATTGGTTTCAATGATATCAAAGCCCTCCAACTTTGCAATTAAGTGCGCTGCTGTTGTCTTCCCAATGCCGGGTGGGCCATGAATCATGACCGCCCTGAAAGTACCACTACCATCTTTGCCAGCAACCTTGAAATTGTTCTTCGCATTTTGGTGCCAATTACGCAGCCAGTTTTGGAGTTTCTCCACGAGGCCCTTGTTGCCACAGATCATGCTGGTAGCAGTCGGTGCGTATTTGGTTGTCCATAACTCGTCACTGGCAGGCTTGGGCTGTGTAGATTGGGAGGCACCCTTAGCAGGACTGGTGTGCTTTGCAGCGGCAAGCTTTGCGGCCTGCTGCTTCTTCTCCTCTGCATCGATTTGGGCTGCCTCGGCGCGCATCTTTTCCTCCTCGGCTTTCTGCTTGGCTTCATAACTTTTTGCGGCAGTTCCAGAGCCTCCATTGGCAGGCATTTGTCGGATAAGTTCAAAAAGACCATCTTCGTCAATTGTCCTGAGATTATTTTGAGCTATCGTCTTGAGCTTCGATGGTCCAGCATCGCCGCCAAGCACGACAAAGCTGGTCTTTTTGCTAGGTGCTCCTGTACACTTGCCACCATATTTTTTTCACTAATGCCTGGCCCTCTTCGCGGCCGAGAGTTTCGAGGACACCGGTAAAAACGAATGTTAAGCCAGCAAGACAATTTTCTGCGCCACGAGGGATCTCCTTATTGCCACCGGGAGGTGGGGTTCGGGATTGCTGAGCTCCAAATGTCCATTTCTTCTTTTCGCTTTCGGGGGGCGGGGATGGGGGGCTTGATGAGTGGGATACGGTCGAAAATGGCTTTGATTTCTGGGTTCTCGGGCTCCTCCTCCTTTTCTTCTTTGGGCTGGCCTTTGCCTTTTTCGCGGCGGGGGCCGCGGTAGTCTTGGTAGCCTTGGCCCGTGAAGCTGGCTTCTTTGCCTTTGAATCATCTTCGTCTTCATCCTCATCCAGCAGAGCCTCGGACTTGCGCTTGCGACCGGGCCTTGTAGTCTTAGGGATTGACTGCGGTAGGTCATCCATCACAACGTCATCGTCTTCGTCTGTGACAGTTTGCTTCTTCTGAGACCTCTTGGATGCTGCAGTGGCTGGCTTGACTTCGAGAACCTCGAAGTCATCATCATCGTCGTCACTATCGCCTGCGACGTAGTCATCCTCGCCTTTGCCAGGCTTCGCATATTCTGTAGCGTAAATATCATCTCCACCAAGGTCTTCCTCGTCAATGATCTTGGATACTTTCTTGGATGCTGCTCTTGAGGTCTTCGCGGGGATGTGGTTGTCTTGCTTTTTGAACCCTTTGCTGGTGATTCTGCAGTTTTCGAGGGCTTCGCTTGCTTTCCAGGTTTCTTACTAGAGGCAAAGTAGTCCGAGGTTGATGTGGCCTCTCCTTTTGGCTCTTCGGGCTTCCTACGCAATGAAGTCAGATGCGGGTCAAGGTTTGATAATGGGCCGTAGAGGGACGGACAATTGAGCTTTAGCTTTGGGCTTTGGGGTCGGAGCTTTAGCGGGTGCTTCCTCATCCTCGTCACTATCGTCGACCACTTTGCGGCTCCCTGGGAAACTATTAGACGGGCATGGGATTATGAAATCAAGTAGCCATACTTCTTTTCCGAGCAGCCGGTGGATCCTAAAAAATGGAGGTTAACTTTTGGCCTCAAAGACAAAGAATTGGTAGTCGCAGTGAAATTAGACTCCAATCTCAGCATGAGAATCAAGTTGCGGGTGGAAGGGCCTACCTCTTTCTTCGGAGGATTTGGTGATGAGCCAGACGGTTTGCCACCAAAGAAGTTTCGGATATCAGACGGCATTTCTGGCAGGCAAGGCTATCTCAAGCCTACAGTATTCCGAGAGAAAAAAGCAGTCCGGAATTGGAGATGGATGAACGAGCGAAGTTCATGCCAGTGCAGGCAGCCGGGCCACTTTCGTTCAGTGACGCGCGACGGGAACAAGAGACGTGACTGCCTGCTGACTCAGACACACGATTTTCACGTGACTCTAATTGATCCTCATCGAGACTAGCGCCCCTGCGGACATGGAAATGTTGGTCGGAAAGATCGCAGCAAGCAACCCGTTGCCTCTACGCACCGTCGCCGTTCACCGCAATGGGCACTCAGATCAAGATGTTTGCCGGTCCCCTATCGGCTTGCACTCGACCAACATGTATGACACCCCTGAATCTCCGATATCTCACCTTTACCACCAAACTGATTCCGATTGCAGGCTTGCCATCGAGTTCACTGGCGACCTTCTCTTTGGCACGATGCTTCTCCACCACTTCGCCTGCCTTCGATTGGCTTACTCCTAAATTTGCCGAGAAGTCGAAGTCCCCCAAGGGTCGGCCACATGTCGCAACCGGTGGATCAACCCGAGGAACAACTGTGGTGTGGGGAGATTTCGGGCTGCGCATGAAGGACCACGACCGTCGTATGCCCGCTTCGGCATTGAAGATCGCCGAGGAGACTATCAAGCGACGTTTGAGGGGAATGAACTACAAGCTCTACAAGCGAGTCAGCGCCAACATTGGTGTATACACCAAAGGCAATGAACAGCGTATGGGTAAGGGTAAGGGTAAATTCGACTACTGGACAGCCCGTTTGCCCGTCAGCCGTGTTGTGTTCGAGTTGAAGGGAGATCTGCACGAGAAGATCGCGCGAGAGGCATTCAGATTGGCTGGCCACAAGCTGCCCGGTACGTTTTCCGTCTCTGGTCACGATTTGTCTGTAATTCATTTCAGTATACGGGTGCTAATTCATATCCTAGGCCTATGGGAATTTGTCAAGAAGGACGACCCTCCTGTTGTCGGAATTACAAAGCTCGGCAATGGCGTTACTCTTGAATCTCTGAAGCGAGCACGCAGGAGCCCGCCTCTTGGAAACGACAAGCTTGAAAAACCCCCGCAGAGCACCTCTTCCGAACCATCCTCCTCTCAATAAATGATCTGCTCACTACGTACATTGACCGAGATGATCTCTTTCTTCATCGCCAAATCCCTTTGTTGAATTATGCGCCGACCCCAGAGCCGGGTCCATACCCTTGCTGTTTTCTGGTCTTCGCGGCCTCTGCATCACCCGAGGCTTCGAACTTCAGTTCCCCTGTATATTATAGTCAGCGCTGTGAAACCCTGAATGAATGGCCGATAGCCCAATGGCACAATTTTGCCTTGATACTAGGAGTTAAACCAAGGATAATTTATATGAGTTCTTCTTACCTTCACTAGGCTGCTTTGCACCCAATCCTAATTTCTGTGCCAACTCATTTTCTTCATTTTGGGCCTTCGAGTCATCTGGAGGGCTTATATCCGTATTCATAAGGCTCTCCGTATGCGTGGCATTGCCTGAGACACGGTCAATAATCTAGAGGCGCGGATAGTCAATATGAACATGAACGTACCACCAAGCTGTCCAGTTTGTTTGGCAGGAGGTATGGTGAACTCGCGAATTGATTCGTATCTTTTATGAGGTCAGCTAAAGTCACATCTGTAAGTGCGGGAGGGGGGTCTCCTACTGAGTATTCTCTCCACCAGGTTCCATATCAACAAGTTTTGGGTCAGACATCCTGTGTATGATGAGCTTGAGAATCTATTGCGGCAATGGCTCCAGGGACTAGCAAGGTGTTGATTGTAATTCGTGGACAGTTAATGTTAGAAGACTTGCATGGTGAGCTGTAGAATCTGGTTCAGTGAACCGTCTACGATGACGTAGTGCGTTTCATCGGAGGCAACGCTTTGACATTTTACTTGCTGTTCTCATTGAAAAACAATTTATGGATAAGAGCTTTTTTTTTTCTCCCACGCGTGCATCTATAGCATATAGTAGTTTGTCTTGATGAAGGTAATTTCATTTGGCTGAGTATTTAATGAGCCCAGCTTTCCCTGCCGTTCAATATGCGATACTGCCCACAATCGCAACGAGGAACGCCTAACAGACCGCAGAACCACCTGAATGCGCCGCGAAGATAAGGGTGGAATTACTAGTTGAGATGTTTCTCATTTTTCCAGAGACCACGAGCAAGGAATAAGGTTTCCGCCGAGTGTCTCCATTGTGAACCGCGATTGTTTTGATAATATACAATCGTCATTCATCGTTTGAAGCTTGTTCCTGGAAAGGATTTCAGAAATCAAAGCCCATACCCATCAAATAACTATGGTTATGTTAATACTAATCACATAAAGTAGCCATGTCGCAAGAGACCAACCTTTCAAAGATACGCATGAACTTGGCCACAAAGGCCTCGAGATGGAAGATTACTTTCTGCATGCGAGTCAGTTTGGTTCCGTTTTAGAACACAAATTGTAACGATGACTCACGCTTCCTTGCTTGATTCGGTGCTCGTAGAACGCAGACCACTTGATGACTTCCGGTTTAAGTGCGTCATCGACCTTTTCAACGAGTTTGAAAGTCAAGACCTGATATATCGGTTAATACATTGCTGTGAAGTATTCAGAAAGTGAACCTGCCTTCAGGACTGTGGTTGGAGGAATGCAGTGAGTCAAAAGATCGTATAACCGCGAACGGACTTGAAGTAACCGAGCAGGCGAGCGATCCTCCAAGATCTCATTTGCAACTACAGCAATAAGAGCCTCCCAGTCTGGGGGCGGGATTGGAGTCTTATCGGTTACTTTCTCACTAGATAACCATCCGAGTCAGAAATTAAGAGCAGAACAATCCGATCAGTGAAACTAACTTTTGCGCATAGATAGCCTCGAGCATCAGCAGCGCACGGCGCAAGTTCCGCCCACTCTCCTTGGCAATCCTCTGGTTCAGTCCCTCGGCCTCAGTCCACCCCTCTCTCTTCGCAGCCGTCCGCAGGACGGAACAGATTTCATTCTCAGTGGGAGCAGCGACTCTGACCAGCAAAGTTCGCGAACGAATGGGGGCAATAATGTTGGAGGTGCTGTTCGCCAGGAGAATTAAGCGGAGGTTGGGACTGTATTTCTCCATCGTACGACGCAAGGCTGCCTGTGCATCGCGAGTGAGGTAGTCGGCTTCGTTGATCACGACGACCTTGAATCGCTGCTTCGCGGCGAGATCGACCTGTTGTGTCTGGGCGACCTCCTTTAACAACTCCTGAACCACGACCCGGTCGTAGTTTCCGACATCTGCGGGGGTGATCTCGAGGTGGTAGACGGAGGACACAATGTTGAATTCGAGCTTGCGGTTGCTGGTGGTCTGGAAGACGCGGGCGTCGATCTTGATCTTTTCTACACCTGGGCCGTATAGTTCCTTAAGGGTTGCGATGATGCGGGTCTTCTTGCCAGCGCCTGATGGGCCGTAGACTAGTAAATGTGGGAAATCGCCGCTTTGAGCCTATGTTCGGTGTGAGCTTTTTGGTATCTGGTGTTGACGGTAAGTGTCACTAACCAGCGAGCGAAGTCGATCTGAGAGTTCCGGATGGTATGAGAGTGATTCAAGCGACCGAGGGCGCAATTTGTCGACAAGAAGAGCCATCTTAAGCTTAATGGAGTGGTTGTCTTTGGTTGGGCGTGGAGGACTGGAAAGGCGAGCGTGAAAACGCGTCCAAAACGCGCGCCCACTTAATTGATGGCCCGTGCACTCAGGAAGGCTGCTGGCACAACTTCCATAGTAGACGGGACCTGAATATTGATAACATTGGAATTGACGACACAACTGCTTATGGCTCAGTTTAGGGTTCTACTAATTATTGATATCAGAGCGCCATCACCAATTATTTAGAGGTCTAAATCCCTCGCTTGGAATTCCAATTTCATCTCGAAAGGCTTATGATACATATGGGGTGTTGATGAGTTATATGAGCTTTTTCTGTAGATTTACATGCAACCAATTTGGCCGCCAGCTTCAGCTGTTTATTGATCACCAATTGGGGCTTTCTGGCTATGCAAGTACCCCCAGGAATAGCTGGTAGGGCATCAAGATGCAATGGGCTTCAAGATTCCATTGTCATCATATTTTGCTTCTATTATGCGTCAGATCTGCCACTGTAATGTCATACCAAATTGATGCACTTACTAAAGAACGTGTAAGAAAGTGTAATTGTGTCAATACCCTTCATGTTTGGGTCCGTAGCAAAGTCAGGGTCGATGTAGAAAAACACAGGCATATCAACCGACTCCCCAGCGTTCAGCTTCTGCTCTTCAAAACAGAAGCATTGGATCTTGCTAAAATATGGAGCGACCTGGCCAGGTGTCACACTGTAGGTCGCAACGCCAATAATGTCATTTGGGCCCTTGTTCGTCGCTGTGTAAAATGCCAGTGCGGTCTCACCCGGTAGCACCCGGACCTCTCGTTGTTGCGGGGTAAACTTCCAGGGAAGAACGTCTGATACGGAGCCGTTGAATGTGATGCGTAAACGCCGGGAGTCAGTCACTGGTGTCACTCGGGACGCCGTGTCTTCGTTGCCGCCTCGGTGGGTGAGAATCGGCTGGCCTCCCCAACCAGTTTGTTGACAGATCTGAGACGAGGGGAATGAGTCAACAATACTTCTCGCTCATAACGAAGCTTCTCAAGAGAGGAGTTGAATGCGCACCATTTTGTACAGAGGAACGGAGCCGTAAGCGAGTGCGACAGTACCCAGGACCATGCTGACAGTATAATACCTAAGCAGAAGCAGGGCAGAAGCAGATCAGAAGCAGATCAAAAATATTATAGCATAAGATAGTGATCTCACATTGTTGAGGCATTGCGTTGGCGAGATTGTGGTGAATTGAATGGGGCGGAAGATGTGTACTGCTTCTGATGCAAGAAGGAATTTCTTGAGAAATACCTTTTCTCTGCTTCCAAAGCGCCTTTGCAGAGGGATATCGGGCGGGCTGCAGTCCCTCGAGTGAGAGCACACCGGCCCAACGAGGGTAATAGGCTGGGGAACATGATTGGGAGGTCAAGGATCTTGATCTCGGCGAGCTCGATGGCACGCATTAGACAGTATCAACACGTGACTCTTTATCGCACGATCAGTGTTATCGGTCCACAACGTTTATCATGATGGGACGTCAACGGGAGAATTTCAAACGTTTGAGATGGAAGCAGTATGAATACGGTGGTAAATGATGGTAGCAAAGGAGCTATTACGATCGCGATCGTCAAATTAATGATAATACTAATTAACTCTATGCAGCAAGGCCCGCATGAAGACTGAAGGTCGAAAGGCCGTTAAACATTATAATAATACAAACCATCGAAAGCACCTACCGCGTAGGCCACACTGGAAGGCAAAAGCTAGTTGAGCACATTCGGTGCGATGCGGCCGAAAACTCCACGGACCATGCTGGGGTTTTCCCGGATGCAAGTGAGAAGGATAGCAGCGCTGATAGAAAAGGCGAATCGTTCGCGGTATTGATACTGGGGGAAAAAAATTCGTTAGCATCCCATGATACTAAAAAGATTGGCAATAGGCTGTACATCGAGTGGATGCATGCAAGATAGGATATGGCTGGTGGGTGTAACCATCTGTATTCGGGCAATGCGAAGCTTGGGACATACTTTCTTATCATACAACCGTGGCAACACCGTGGCCGCAGCTCGAGGTGCCACAAATAGCGCCAACTCCTGTCTCTTCCGTGCTTTCTCCACCAGAATGCTCCATCCACACATGAGGCATCCTGAGCCGACGCAAAGGCCAGCGTCCCACATTTGCGGGGTGACGGACTTCTGGTCAAAGATCTTGGGGCCTAACCGGGTTCGAGCAAGGCAGACAGAATAATAAAACAGGGCCACGAAGGAGGCAAGGAATGCAGATGACTGGGCGGCATCCGATATGGCGCGGCCCAATGCAGCAGAAGACTTTATTCCCCGCAGGCGCAGAACCACCTGCAGAGGGATGTAGGTTGCACAGGCGAACTTGAAAGTTCGAGCAAAACGAGACACCGCGTGCTTTTCGCAATTAGGGCCGCAGCCCATGTGTACCATCTCGCACGGGATAGGTATGGTTTTTGATGGGTCTCCCCATTTCTCAGGCCAACCAAAGTCTCTGCACATAGATTCCAGAAGATGTCCTTGGTTTGTATCCTTGCCGTAGATGAAGACACCACGACGGACACGGCGGAGGGCTTCGATCAAGCGTGAGTCTACCTGGGCGACCTCCCCAATCCAATTTTCATATGTTCGGGGCAATCTTTCGGGAGCATAGAACCACGCCCACATAATGATTGCAGAACTCATGGCAAAAATTCCAGCGTCAGCCACTCTGGGAGCTAGGCGTTCGACCACTGTCCAGTGATTTTGAGCTTTGCGGCGACGGGACCAACGATCCCAAGCGATGCAAGCAATTACATCAATTGCTCTACAGACCGTGAACAGAGTGAGATCCATTGTCCTACCAACTAGCTCCGGCCGTTGAAACGGCGCATGATTGGCTTGTAGGTCATGGCAGGTATCTTCACTGCTTGTCAAGGCCAGATCGGCTCTGGTTTCCCGCCGGGGCGATGAGCGCTTTTGGTTGAGCAGCTGGAAACTAAACCATGCTGACAGGAAGGTGGCAACAAATTGAGTCAACCGTTGAGCAGACTTAGTTATCCGGATGTTACGGTTGAAAAAAATGACAGCGATCAATGCGCATATCCGATACCACAAGACCGGCAGCAAAGTTGATCCCCCCGTCAAGGCACCACAGAAGGTTGGGAAGCTATGAATGCGTAAAGGCCCAGCTAGAATGCGTGCGAGCTATTTAGATTCCTGTGTCAGTATGTACTGTCCCGGGGGATTCACAAACCATATGCCCCTCTGTGGGAGAAGGGGGCAAGGAAGGGGGCAAGGACAAGAAATACACATGAAGGTAACATTTGACATACCTTTTGCAACTTTTGTTTCGTCGACTCATTGGGGTCTCCAAGGCGCCGGAGACAAGAGATTAATCTCGGCGTGACTGACGATAGATAGCCCAAGGCATAAGCACGGAGGATGCTGCCAAGATCGTTAGAAGACCGATGGAGATCTCGGTTGTACCAGGATAAGAGATCTGAGTAACTTACGGCTTGAGGATCTGGACTCTGGGATGGCTATTGCGGAGACTCAAGCGGCCAACAGGTTCCATAGTGCCAGGAACTTTCATGACATGATCCGCGGGACAGAATAAGCATCGCAAGGGGGAATTGTCCGGTTCAGGTCACTTGAATTCAAGTCACTTGAGGGGTAACCGAACGGTCGCCAATCAGAGCCACGACGACCTTAACGGTAGGTTTTCGGAGGCAGGGGTTGTTGCTGGAGGGGAACCAGCTAAAACTTGCCGCCGAAAAATTGGGTAGTATTGAACGCCGGCCTGCACAATCGCTTGTTCCCTATGATCAATCGTGGATCTGTGCTACCGGAATTCAATTTAGGTAGGGGGGGCTGCGTCAGGCCCCAGAACGGTTCGACCTCGGTTCCTGAAAGGGTAGAAACCCCGCGGTCTACCAGGCCCGAGATTCAGGCACACGGGGAATGGTAACAAGATGGGACGATCATCCGTGAGATTTAGAATGTTGCGGGGACGCGCCCGACCCACGGAATCAAGGAATCTCGAAGCTGGATTGGGGGAGAAGACCGTATTGTACGCAGTACACGGCGCCCGCTCAGCCTTGAAGCCGAGCCGACCGGTATAGACGGAGGAGAAAAAGAGGCTTAGGGATTTGGGGGGCCTGCCACGTTCGGAGGAACGTGGAGCAAAGATTCCCTACTTCCAGTGTACCCCTCTGTCTTGGAAAGCCCTGCAGCAAAGTAGCACTGGACTTATGCAGGCGTGCGACAAAGGGCTGAAGTGTAAAGAGCCTCGGGCGTGTCAATGGGGAGTGGAGACCAGCAGCTCGAAGTCGGAAATCCAAGTCTAGAGCAGGTCATGTACCACGGAGGTACAGGATACAGCGCTCGACTCCCACGTGGAGGCCCGTACGAGAGCGTATTTTTGGTATCCATATTACGTCACGCGACCGGGAAAAATTCACATGTGATTTTGACGACGAGAAGCAAATGCGATCACCGCAATTACTCGACGAACACTCCACTTTCCATTTCCCCAGCTTCCACTCTTTGATCTTTCTTCCTGGATACCCTCGCTTTCTTCTTGCATGTTGTGGTGGTTCTCTTCATATCTCATCTTCATGTTCTGGTGCCGCGTTCTACTCTCCCGGGTTCCTTTGATAACTATATCTGCGCACGGAAGCCACTGAATGCCCTCTGTGTTTAAAGCCAAGGCATGTTCCTCTTTTCCTGGTCAGCTCTGCTTCTGAGTATCAGAGCACACTCCCGTTGAGCGAGAGAAGCCCACCCAAACCCCCCACTCCATTCTGCAGCTTGGTCTCTTACTTGCGCAAGATGGATGGTCCTGGTCCTGAGGTCCAGAATGGGCGCAACTCTCCGCCATCGGCAGGTCCCTTTGGCTGTGAGTGGGCAGTCGAGCTCGACTGGTCCAACATCGACTCTAACTCTTATCCAGATTCATTCCTCGGCCCCATGGATACTCCCTATGAGCAAGCTCCCGCTTTACCCCCGGGGCCATCTCTCCTTGATGATAACGAATCCAACATGCTTGATAACTTCTTCACGACCATGAATACAAACAACTTCAACAATGACTTTTGGCTACGCTCTCAGCAACAAAAATCTTCTTCTCTCTCATTTGACTGGGCAGATGAGCTGCCTCCAACCTTCCAAGGATCCACGACCTCACTCCCACAGCCCTCTTTCCAGCCCCATAGCTTGGACAAATCTGGCATACTTGCAGGAAATGCGGCCAATCATGATATCTATGCTGCCGCATCCATGCTTTATCCAGATGGGATCCATGGCCCTGATCTTGGATCCGCACTGGCTCAGCAGACCTTCGCTAGGCAGCCTTTACCAATCAATAACCATCCCCGCCGCAGCTCACAGCCGGCACCAGTCACACAGACCCACAATTCCTCTCCGGTTCGCCCGCAAATTCCAACTGGGTTTCATACCGAGCAAATGCTCTTCGATGTGCGAGACCCCATCCCGGCAGATCAACACCCGTCCCGCAAGATCCGCGGCCTTCATTGGGGCTCCGATGTTAGCTTCATGGACCAAGGCTACGTCGCGCCGCCCGATCAACCCGATATCAAGGCTGTCACCCGAGATCTACTGGATCATCTAGATTGTTTCGAACCCCAGACCAGCGCCGGAAACACTCGGGGCTCCCACCCCCGTTCATGAAGTGGCAGGATCTACCCCCGGTCTCTCTACCGGGAAGCTGACATGGACGAGGGCTTCCAAGCTCGGAAAAGACAACGAGTAATTAAAGAAGACTCCGTGTCAGAGGAGGAAAGTGCGAAATATCGGAGGTCTAGAGCACCAAGCAACGCAAAAGTCCGCCGTACATCCACCGCGGACGCTTCGAAGAAGGCTCGCATCCAAGTGAACAGCAAAGCGCCTCGAGAAAACCTATCCGAAGAGCAAAAACGAACAAACCATATTCTTTCCGAGCAAAAACGACGCAATCTCATTCGACAGGGCTTTGATGACCTTTGCTCTCTTGTACCTGGTCTCCGTGGCGGGGGGTTCAGCAAGAGTGCCATGCTTACCCAAGCTGCCGACTGGCTTGAAGATATCATGCATGGCAATGAAATCCTTCGAAATCAACTGGCGGATATGAAGGGCATCAATGGCCTTGTGATGCCACGATGATCTATTACAGATGCTGATAGCGACACGACATTTCCGTTTGTTAATTCCTCATATTCAAAGCGATTTAGCGTTTAAAGGGGCTACGATCCTGGAGAGAGGCGAGTGGGCGTTCTCATTACGACAAGATACCATATTCGAGGGCAAGCATTTTCGATTGATTTATGATTTTCTTTTTCCGCCGATTATTTTGATGACACTGGTGTAGCCTTGCCATCCCGAAACCTCGCATTTTCGAAGTTTCGCAGTTGATGAAAACAGGAATCAAGCTAGTGTGACTGTTCCATATTCTTAACATCGCCCTAAACTGCATACCGTATTCTTCCATTGTAGTTTATACCTGGTAGAAGCTGTTTGATATGATGCGCTAACTAGGAACTGGTGGAAAATATCGCAATCAAGAAATTATGTGCTTGAAGGTGTTCTAGTATCAGGTCTGTTCATTCAAATGTTACATTCTCATTTGCTTCAGCGTTGTGTTGGCCTCCAAGGCATGTGGGGCTTCAAGCGCTCTGATTAAGCCTGGGGTTGCCGATCTGCCTCCGCCTGTTTTTGATGTTTAGGTCCCGACGCGTCTTCTCTTTTCCATCTCCCCACCACAACATATAACCATGCCTCCCAAGCGAAAGCGCTCCGACCAGAATGACGAGGAGGGCGACTCCAAAAAAGCACTATGCCTATCTCAAGCCCTCGGTCCGTCGTGTCCCGGAAAAGACGATCAAATCCAAGTGGGCAACTCTGCCAGAGCCTGTCCAGGACAAGGTTCGGGGCTTGTTTCACGCCATTGAACGCCCTGTAATCATGCGCCATTCAAATGAGAAAAAACGAATCGAGGCACAAGCTGCAGTTCACGCTGTGGTGCGGAAGTATGTTGGCATCGAAAGTACGCGCTTGAGCTGTCGCTAACTTGGAGCAGTCTAGGGAAACGTCTGCCACGAATGCCATTTCCTCCGATTACCAAAGATGCCCACTTTGACTATGAGTCTGCATTGGATGAACATGTATGGTAGAACCAATTCGTCGCTTTTTAGCGGAATACTGACCGATCTACAGCGGCTCCTAGCGGCAAATATCGCAACAATGAGAGACAGCACGGCTCTCCTGAAAGCCGAGATTGCGAGGGAAGAAGCGCTCCTCGCCGAGGAGAAGAAAGCACTGCAAGAAATGGACAAAAACGCCAAAAGGGCCGAGGCTGAGAGGAAGAGGTTGACCAAAAATGTATGGGACATGACGTCTAAGCTTTTCGTATCTTGGCTAACATGAACGACAGGAACACCCCGTTCTTCGACAACTGGATGAGTTCGTATCATCCCATGACGCAACAGATGTTTTCGCCCTGGCTGATGGCAAGACTCCGCGCCCTGCATTAGGCGAGGTATGTGTTTCCAATCCAAGGCGTCTTGCTTAACGCACATATTCTAAATGATCTTCTCTCTTGAACTAGCTCGACGCGGATCCTGAAATTCAAGGACTGATGAAACAACTCCATGGCCATCTACAATCGATGCAGACGAATATTGCTCCACTTGCTGGTCTGAGTGACGCTGTGACTCGGTCGCAAGCTGCTTTGGATCTCTATTCCTCCTTGAATGATTGATTCTTGGACAGTCATTCAGAACCTCGACAGAATATCGACCTGTTAAAGTTCTATAAAACGGGCCCGAGATCTGCGGCACATGGAACGCAACAATCCTCGGTATTGTCGCGTCGCGTGCGTCTCGCGCGCATGTGATTCAATTAAGATATAATAGCAACATACCGAGCAGAAGGGCTGGCTCGTTCGAGGGGTCTAACACTAAGGATCGGATTCAAAAACGAAGAACATTGCAGAGATCCTCCGCGAATGACCGGCTTATAGCGACGGAACGAGGGAATTTCATCTGCGACATGTGAAGCGCGAACCAAGCGCAGGGAGGCTGTTCCTGTCAAAATTCGCTCTGACCGGAATGGTTTAATTTCCAGTTGATCCTGAGTTGATTGTCCGATCTAACGAATGGCATTGCTCATAGATCTGCGCCATACCCAGGGACTACCCCACTTCAGAGAAGGGGCGCTGGTCGCCCGATGCCATGTACTAGAGACAATAATAGACTGGACCGAACCTGAACTGACAGGGATTGAGCTATCGTAGATTCATTGACTAGAAACCAAACACTAGTACGACGGTAAATTAGAACCTCGGCCCTCGCAGTGCTCCTGACGTTGCGGAAAAAGCTCGGGGATCCCCACACGCGGAGCAGAACGGGAGGGGCTTCCACGTCTTTGGTCTCCGCTTTTCGCAACTCGACTTGGATGTTTCAACGCTTCACCAACTTTCTTCCTTCTGCGATGACTGCAGGCAGCCATTCTGCGTGAAGCAAATCCTACAACCACCATGACAGAAAAGGGCGCAAGCTCCGACAGACCTGCGTCTGCCAAGTCTAAGTCTGCGGACGCGGCCAAGGATGTGCGCGCAAAGGACTCGCCCTCGTCTGCAGTCAAGTCCGAAACCACCGGCACGCATTCTAGCCCAAAGAAGCGCCGCAAGGTGAATCACGGTGAGTGCCCTTTATACGCCCGTAGCATGCGACAGGGATCCACAACCGCAATCCGGCTCTGGTCCGCTTGGCGATGAGAAGCTTGAGCTAATGTGATTCTTCCCTGCAGCATGCGTCTATTGTCGCCGCTCGGTGAGACAACCCCCGGAATAGCTTAAGCAATTCCCTCCACACTCCCGTCTGCTCGCCCCCATTGCGCAGACTTGAGCGCAGCAAGTCGCACTTCCGAGCCTTGCGCTGGGAAGACCACCCCCAAATCTCTAGAGAAACAGTTAGGCTAACAGAAGGATCTTGGTTACGTTGGACAGCATATGACTTGCGATTCGGTACGACTCCCCTTCTCGATCGTATCTATTTAAATTCATCCGCAACCCGTGCGACCGGTTGTCGGCCGAAAATTGTGAAGCCAAGTCCCCACTGACCAGTTTCGCGCACCTAGGAACGGCCTTGCACCCGATGTATAAAGCGCAATATTGGGCATCTGTGCCACGACGAACCCAGGGAGCCCACAAAGCGGCGTGGCGACCAGGAGAATTCCGCTGCAGATGAGGAGGGATCGTCCAATAATGACCTAATGCCTGTCTCCGGTCTCCATCGCGGTGTCGATGTACCCGATGCTCCCCGTCAGCAACTTCTCTCCGATGGTACGATTGGAATCGCGCCTTCGACGGTCCAGCCCGCCAGCATTTCCACGCCGACCCAGGCCCTGGATGGGCAGCAGAGTAAGCTTGTGACAGGATTTGGATATTTAATTCAACCCCAACTGACCTGGGGTCCTAGTGATGCCATACAATGACTGGATGAGTGGTGGACAAAATCAATTTCAGGACATGCACTCCCTTCATCCGTCCTACATGTTCAATGCACCCGAGGTGACCAACGAGTACAATTTGCTAGGAGATTTTCTCAGCAACAGTCTCCTCGATGATGGAGCTATTTTTCCAAGTAATGAGCTTCCGGGCACTTACTCCGACTCTACCCTGATGAACTCAATGAGTGGCTTGGGCATGCCGAGCGGCCTGTCAGGCCCTTCGCAACTCGCACCCCCGTCACATACCGCGCAAGGAGAGCCGATTCAGCGACCAGTCTCTACCGTGGGGAATGACAAGGCGCGCGAAACCTATTACATGACCGCCGCAGACCCGTCAGGATCAGACCCGCCCGAGGAGCGCATGAACAAACTGCTGAAGGCCAAGTATGATGCCGGACTGCTGAAGCCTTTCAATTATGTCAAAGGGTATGCTCGACTCAATCAATACATGGAAAAGAATATGCAGCAGATATCGCGGCAGAAGATTCTTCGGCAGCTGGACAAATTCCGGCCCAAGTTCCGCGAGAGAATGCAGAGCCTCACGGATATCGAGCTGATCCTCGTCGAGATGTGGTTTGAGCGCAGTCTCATGGAGTATGACCGAGTCTTCGCCAGTATGGCTATTCCGGCTTGCTGTTGGCGGCGAACGGGCGAGATCTTCCGTGGGAACAACGAGATGGCGCAGCTGATTGATGTGCCGATTGAAAGTCTTCGCGATGTGAGTAATATGCGCGCGCTTCCTTATTTGGTTTCCTTGCCGCTGACACAGATTTGCAGGGAAAACTTGCCATCCATGAGATTATTGTCGAAGACCAGCTGGTCAGCTATTGGGAGAAATTTGGCGCTATCGCCTTTGACAATACTCAGAAAGCTATGCTGACCAGCTGCACGCTCAAGAATCCTGATGGGTCGGGCGAAGGCATTCAATGCTGCTTCTCGTTCACCATTCGCCGTGATAACCATAACATGTACGTTCTCTTAACACTGTCCATTTTGCCGCTCCACCGCTGACGTTCGCAGCCCATCTTTGATCATTGGAAATTTCCTTCCCACTCAACGGATACATAAGTAGTTCGAGTCGCAATTGGATCAGGTGTCTCTTCTTTTCTCAGCTGCTTGGGTAATCTCTGGGAGTTTGGTACGGCTTTCATACCTGGTTTTCGTCTTGTCATTCTTTGATTCCCTAAGGTCGCATGCCTCTTTCCGAAATCCATAGTTGGCAGCTTTTTTGTATACTACACTCGGGTCTACTCGAAAAAAAAAAAGGTCGGTTTTTGCTATGTTACCTTCTTGGTTTTTTCTGCTTTGCAATCCCATACATAGGTTGGTGTGCTCTGCCGCTTTGAAATACACGTCTTATTCCCAAGTAGACAACCTTGGAAGAGTCCTAAGAGAAATGTTCGGATGAAGAGCGTCTAGTATTCAGGTGTGCTACCTAAAGCAATATGGGTATCATAAATACTGTAAAAATAGGAATGATCAGAAGAGAAAGAAGAGAAGGGGCCAGTATCATCCATAGATGTGCGTACATGAGCCAAGGGAATCAATCAGCGTAGGGGTTTAAATCCCAATAAGAAGAGAGGGGACAAGAGAAAGTACCAAGAAGAACGAAAGTTGAAGAGAGACAACTTCCATCGAAGAAGAATCAGAGCGCCGGTAATAATGCATTGGAACAGATAGGAGGCAGGTCCCAGCCTATGTCCCTAGTACGCGGTCAAATCGAAGTTCAAATCAAATAGGCAGGACGCAAAAGCAATGCATCGTAATTTCATTTCCCGGTGGCCGCATCGTACGACTGGCTTCGGGAAACCTTTTCTAGGCCCTTTTGCCGCAGCACAGGTGTAGAGGGAGCGTGTCGAGGCGTGTGAGGTACATGCTGAGGCCGATGTTTGGACGACTGACGCCTTGGCTGGCGAGGGGATAGCGAGGAGACGGATGAGTAGCTTGGTCGGCGGTCAATTTCTTTCCCGCTGTCTGTTTCTGTTTCGCCGCTCTCATCGCTGTTTATGGCACGGGCATTGACAGCACGGAGTGTAAGGCTAAGCTCACGTTCCAGTTCTTTATGTGCTTGGATTTTTTGGGATGAGCCGTTGAGCTTTCTGCGGTAGGTCTTGAGGGTTCGGCACAATTGCTCTGTAGACATTTCTAGACTGCCGAACTCGCCTCGACCAGAAACCTTGCGATTTCGAAAGTCTAGTGAAGTTCGCCGATTGTGGTTCTTGGCGCTGGTGGGTTTTCGGGATGAAGGTGGTTTGGATCTCGGGCTCACTGGCGACGGGGATCGCCGAGATCGCTCGGACGGATTGGTTGGAGACAGGCGGTTCGGAGGAGAGGGTGTCTCCGCAACGGATTGGTTTTTGAGGTTGGATGGGGTCAAAGAGAGCTTGGATAGCTTCCTTCTTAGGGTTGGAGAAAGGTCTCGGACGGGCGTCGGAGTGCCAATGGGGTAAGGGTTTGTATTTTCTGGTCGGAAACCCGCCATTTCGCTACGAGAAAGGACTTTGCGGAGAGGAGGCCTAGCTGCCGTCGTCTCTTTCGCCGGTTCTTCTTCCTCTCGTCCATTTAATGAAGCCTCGAGGGATGCCTGGGGCTGAACACATAAGCCCCATATCATAAGGATACCGTCGATGCCGGCAGAAATCAAGCTTCGCTGCGTCTGTGGCTTATCGGGATCGTCATTTCCGTCCAGCAAAAGAACATCGCTGACGCCCTCGGTATGACCAAACTCTCCAGCGATCAAGGTGTCCTTTTCGAGGTCGTATACCCGAATGGATTTATCCGTGCTAGAAAGCCCAATGAGAAGCTTAGGGCTTTGGCCAGGCACCTCAGATTTGACCGTGAGAGAGCACATGATAACAGCGTCATTCCCATCGGAGTCGGCTGCACGAAAAGAATGGAGCTGCCTTGCCGAAGGTACATCGAACTTCGAGATATTCCGATCCATGGTCGATAGATAAAGGGCGTTCGAATCGTCGGGGCATAGTGTCATCGAGACCGGTGAGGCCTTGAGAGTGACGACTTTCGATATGAGATAAGCTACTAAAGTTGAGCCTTCTTCCTCGCGCGTCGCTCGTTCTCGAATGAGAATGGTTCTATCAGCAGAGCTAGATAAGAGTTTCTCGCCGTCATTCATGAACATGATCTGCCCTACTGAACCGACATGCTCGTCCATTGTCTGGACCAACTCTAACGAGTCGTCCTTCTTCTCGAACAATTGGACCATACGGTCTCGTCCCGAAGTGGCCACTAGTGTAGACTCAGCAGAGGAATGAAGAGCAATATCAGTGATTTCGCCACCATGAGCCCGAACCTCGGCCGTGCAAACCCAAGGGGAAGAGCCCGCAAGGAGCTTCAGGATGCCAAGCTTATCTCCAGAAACAAACCATTTACCCTGTTCCCCGGCCCGAACCACTTTCAATTCGTTGGACATCTCATCCTCGGTTGCGTAATTTTGCTCGAGCGGAACAAGTCGTGAGTTCAAGCACTTCCCCCGAGAATCCCAGAAATTAACACTACCATTTCGCGACCACGAGAAGAAATCTGCTTTGAGTTCATTTGGCTTCCCAAGGGACCGAACCCCATAGACAGGATCTCGATGAGCAGGCATGGAGGTTTCCCCTAGCTCTTGCTCACCCTCTTCCCGTAGCGCATCAATTGGGTAAATGTGGATCTCGCGGGTAGACTCGACCGTGACCATGTGAGAGAAAAGTGAACCCATACAAGTGATGGCTGGGATTTTGCTTCTCTTCTCTAGGACTCCCTTTTCAGACCGTGCAGGTGACATAGGAGCTGGATTAGGCGGCGATCGGACTGCATCAAAGGATAATCGCTGCATCTTCCTTCCGCGGCCGCCAACCCAAATCGTCTCACGGTCAAAATCGACTGCCAAAGAGGCAATGCAGAAACCGACTTGAGTGATGACGGTTAATTTCTGAGAGCTTTCGCGATCATCAATGAGGCATACAGCACCGGATTCTGTACCCACTACAGCTTCCTGGTCTGATATGCTGGATACACAACTGAACGTAGTGTCTCCGAGAGCACCAAGGAGACAGTTTCGTCCACTCAGAGCCTTAGGTGCTGGGCTTGGCGAGGGACCAGCGCTGTCAGAAGCTAGTCGCGTTTTGGTGGGCGAGATAGGCCGTGGAGTGGGCAGTCGCCAGACTTTGACGTGGCGGACACCAACTGTCACCAGCGATTGGCCAATCCAGCAGATGTCTCGGACAAAAGAAGTGCACCTGTTTGTTGAATGCAGCTTAGCGGACCCATTTTTGAGATTGATGGTCCAAATGAAGAGGAATCCGTCATTCATGCTGCCCAGGGTCGCTAGATATTGTGAATCGGGACTGAAAGCTAGGCAGCGCACTCCAAAGGTGTGCTCGCTCAAAATCGAGAGAGGGACGTCGGGCGAGGCGTCTTTCGCGGTCGAGAAGATCATGACTCGAGGATTGTAACCGGTCTAAAAAGAAACAACTTAGTATTTGTTGCAAAGTCAGTGTGCCAATGCGATTCAGTTTCGCTCACAACATACCTCGCCAACCGCCAGGAATCGACCATTGGGGCTGATTGATACACTTGTCACAGCCTTAATGCGTTCTCTGGATGATAACGTGCGTGGGCTGCCATTTTCTGGTAAATCGCTCGAAGGGGTTGCTACGTTAGGGAGGTTAAGGTGAGGATTGGACCGAATTTGCTGAATTGACCGTGATCGGGTATCGGGGGTGGTGGGAGGAGTAGATTGGTTGTAGAAGGAAGTGGTTGGGTTCATGCTGGTCGCGGAGGGACGCGCTCGAAAGAATCGTTGGGTAACATTAGCGTCGTCATCGAGCTCAGCAAGAACGGCAGCGGAGCCCGCATACAGAGCAAAGCTCTTGCTTTGATCGTGGCTGGAGAAGCCATTTGGAGTTGTTGTTGTGGTGCCCAGGACAGTTTGGAGAGAGAGAGACGATTGGTGAGAAGACCTGCTGAGAGATCGAGATCCTGGGCGCAGGATGGGCGAGTTGGACGGAGTGATTTTTAAAGAGGCAGGCCCCGGAAGTTTGCTTCTGTTCGTGTTTGCGGTCGCCATCGCATCGGCAGGGGACGAGGTGTTCACTGTCCCTGATTGCGCGGTGGTTGGGCATTTCACTGTGTTTTCATAGAGAAATCGGCTGGCGGTCAAAGATTAAAGAGATCGTGGGCAAAAAAAGAGGGTGGCGGGGGAGATCAAATAGGAGGCGGGGAAGGTTGACTCGATAAAGGAACGAACGAGATCAACCTGAGATTGCGAAGGAGAGTGAAGGAACACACGAACGTAGAGCTTCCCCATTCCAAAAGTTCCCAGCGTTTCCCAAAGTCCCACGCTAAACTTAAGTTGATCATTCCAGTCGATCAGGAATCCCACGAACCTTGGGACGGGGTGGAGTGGAGCCCCTGACTATCCCTAGGCGGAAGAAGGAAGAATTGGCAAGAGTCAACACTTGGTTCTGGTCTTCCACGATTTCTATATTGCAGCGTCTACTTGAATGATCCTCCTGTTGGCATCTTTGGCTGCTTCCCTCAATTCTGGCGTGCATTCCCGGGCGACAACATGATCGAACTGGTGGGTCGCGGTCCAAGCACCAGATCATCCAATCGGAGCATTCGACGTCTGCTGTCGCCTCGAAATTAAAAGACCATTAAGGTTATCGGGCCAAAGCTCGTTTCAAGCAATCAGGCGTGATCTCAATGTGTCCTGGCGGCTATCTATAGTCGACGTTCTATGGTTGGTCCGGCCCTCCAGGGTACTATGATGCAAACATGGAACAAGCTCTGTGTGCCAGCCCGAAAACAACTATAAATATTCCTAGTAGGAGCATCAGAATCCCACGCTTTGAGCATATTCATCAAACTATCGCTAAGGCTTCCAATCGTTTCAAATGCCATGAGCTTTTCCCGGTATCCTACACTGCCCCATCCCCGCTCAAAATGCTGCTCGAAGTTCTCCCAGTCCATCCGTTCGAATGCTTTGTCTCGTGCTCAGGCTTCTGGGCCCTCTGGTAGATGAATATTGTCTTTGATTCTCGGCAGCTCCTTGCACATAAATTGTGACTTTCTGTGACTGGTTTGTATCTTTTCAGAAGATCTGGTATCCTCGAAATTAACAGATTACTCTTGGACAGCAGGGCCATCCTCAACTGCTATCGCAGCACCTTAGGCTTAATATAGTAAAGTTGGTAGGGTTGGGTAGCAAGCATCTCCAAGCACAGCAGTTGAGCCCTTATCAAGTCGTCAGCTTCTGCCCTTAGTCCTCCTAATTCAGCAATCATTGGTACCAAATGAGCAATGCGGTCGAGCTCATTATATAGATGCAATCACACTGCTATACGATAAATAATATAGAAGTAGATAAAAGCTGAGTTTTCTGTATTGATGTTCTTTAGACAACTGTTCTTATCATAAGCATAGACTCGGAGCTATCTAGGCTTTACATTTGCCTGTAAAGCAGTATCCACAGTCTTCACGGCCCTGGCCTCTGTTAATATCCAGACCACCACTCCCATCTTTGTCCTTTGAACAACATTTTCCATCTCTATTTTTACTAGGACAGAGAAAGTCAATACTTGCCAAGACATGAAAAAACAATATCTTACCAGTAGCGAAATGAATCCTGGGGACCTAGTCGTCGACCAGAGCATTTATCGGCATTCCCTCTTCTTCCTGTGCAACTGCGTGCTACAGATGACAGTGAATCAGGAGCCAAGGTATCCTGGGTCGCTGCCTCCGCGTCGGACATCGCGAGAACAGTGGCACAAAGCATAAGGAGAGCGGTGTACGGGATCTTCATCCTTTGACTCTTTGGCAATGTCGTGATTGAAGAGAAAGGAGAAAGCAAGCGGATTGACGATTCTCTCAAGCAATTTCGAATCGCTTTATAATCCCTCGCACAGCAAGGGGCCAGTACAGGTAAATATACTTATTTTTACTGAATTTCTGACTATACAATTATTGCATTGGCTCCTTCAATTGGAAGCCGTAAGGGGGTGATGGTTCTCCCAGTTAGCAGGCATTGATCACTCATCATGTCTGTAAAGACCTGTATTACTGCAATTCCAGTCCAATTGGCTGCCTAGGAAATTGCCGGCAATGGGGAATCAGCAAGGTCTGAAAAAGTGAACATTCTGTTGAATTGAAACACGCAATTACGCTGGTGCCTCGTCCAAGTAATGATCCAACGGAACTGCTTCTGACGGAAGAAAATGAGGACTCCGGAATTGGTTTACCTATACACGCTTATTGGGATTGCGCAGACCATGGTGAAATTAATCTGGGTTACTAGCTCAGGCAGAAGCCCATGCACTCGAGATTTTCGTCACTACTGAAATGGAGCGCACGGGGCAGCCGTACGTAGCTGCAAAAGTGCACGTTATGTGCGGCGACCAGAAGATACCCATACTGCTCCTCTTGGTAATGAGGAACTGCATCACTGGGAAGGTCATATCTTTAGTTTGAAAACCTGGATGTTTGATCTATGTACACTATCTTAATAGCTCAACGATGATTGATGTCTTCTCATGGCTGTTAGGTCAGCATTTGAAGCCCTTGTTTATATGGAGGAGGCCCACTGATTCTACATACATAATATACTACCGAATGTAATACAAAAGTGCACCTATAAGAAGCTTCGTGGCGTGGTTGTCACCCGAGATGTACGCGATTTGCGGGTTCAATTTTGCCTGGATATCCAGGCAGACATATAATCTTATCGCCACTGTTTCATCGCGATTTTTGCTGCCAACTCCTCCTGATCATCACCGCGCCAGTCTTTACGATGGCATCCCACTGTACATCTTCGGCTAAGATGGCACTGTCGAATGTACTACGCAGTCTATTTCACTCAGAATTTCCCACTGTGATCCGACATGGCCCTTTCCACCGACCCGCTCGTCCTCTACGTACAGCCCAGTACCCACGATTGTTTAGCTCTACTGTTCCAACCTCCAGCATCAAACTCATTGACAATGCACAAGACATAACAACTGAGCCTCAGGGGTCAGTACCCTCCGACAAACCTGCAGAGGCGATCGACTTCAGCCCCGAATCGTCCATACCGTTCGAAGAGCTCATGTGCTCAGCCGATTCAGCGAAAAAATCCAAAGACGCGAAGAAGAAGCAAAAGCCTAACAAGGGCCCTGAGAATGACAAATCTTCGGGGCGAATAAAAATGCGACCAAGGCTTACAAAGCCCCGAAGGATAATAAGAAGCGCGAGCTGTGGAAGATTCAAAAGGAGGCCCTCAAGGAAAAGTTTCCTACGGGCTGGAATCCTCCCAAGAGGCTTTCACCTGACGCCCTCGATGGAATCCGACACTTGCACCAAACCGATCCCGCTCGATTCACAACCGCCGTCCTAGCTGAGGAGTTCAAAACCTCACCAGAGGCGATTAGGCGTATCCTGAAAAGCAAGTGGACGCCCTCTGGTGCTGAGGTCGAGAATCGGCGAAAGCGATGGGAAAGGCGCCACGATCGTATCTGGAGCCACAAGGCTGAGTTGGGCCTGCGCCCTTTTGTCAAACGCGCTGCGCCGTTCTCGGACTCCCAAAAGCTATATAAAGATGAATAGAGATTGGGGATTCGACTGTTTGGCCATCTCTATTTTATCGTGTATCATATCTCTCCTGTACATTAATTCACTCGGAAAATGGTTGATTTTTACCCATCTGGCTATTGCAAAGATATTTATGCAACTCGGACTACGCCTCCCCTCCTTCCCCAAGCACTGTACTAGTAGATCGACAATCGCGCGAGCCTCGGGCGAACCGGTGCACGTCCATCATTATGAATGGGATAAGCTTGGTTCACATACTAGAATGAAGATGCACTGAATTCCCTTGAAAGTAAAGGAAGCTATTAGTACTAGGAGAGCTTGGAACCCCCTTTGAGCTTAGGAAGCTCGGCGCGAACTCTACGTAAAGTGGGCACGGAACTCGCAACTGTGGAGGCGCCGCCACAACTCCTTTGCAACTCCGCCTCGGCGAACACATGGGACTTTGCTTCGACTCCGCGTCCCCAATGGCTCATTCGACGTGACATTATGCGGATATCAGCACAATTCTGATGATCCGCATCATCTGCCTTTGAATTCTCATCACCAATCCCGCGTTCTTCCAGTGAGCTACTTAAAGAGTAGACCGGCAGCCCACATGCTGACGTCGTGCCCGCCATGCCGTCCAACATCCAGGTCTTCGTGAAATGGAAGGATCAAACAATATTTGCGGGAGAGGATGTGGAATGCACAATTACCTTCAAAAATGTGGCCGAGACAGGCCCTGATGCCATCCATGGAGCTGAGGGAGGACACCAGCGGAAGATGTCTCGAGTCGCGAATCACAGCAACAATTCGGAGTCGTTCTTCTCACTCAAGTCCCCCCCAGAGTCTCTTTTCGAGCCGGCGATCAGTTTCCATCAGCTCCCAGAAAAAAGCCGCCCATCAACGTGCCGCCTCGTCCCTGAGTTCCCCTCTCGGAGGTTCCCATAGCTTTCCGCCGGCCAGCAGCCCCTCCACACCTCGAAGCTGGCAGCCTGGCCACAGTCACAAACGATCCGTATCGATCCTGTCTATTGATAGTGAAGGCCAAACTGAGAAACAGCCTTCGCCGCTCAATTTGAGTAGCAGTCGCAACAGGCCTACCAGGGGCCATGGGCGCTCGGCTAGTCTTCAAGTTGGTCCCAGAAGGAACGACAGCTACGATGATTCATATAAAAGAGGTATGCGTTCATATGTAGCCAGTGAAAACAATGTCTTTGAAACTAATGATGTCCAAGCTGTGAGGCCAGCCCCAATGCGTGGGTTTTCGCTGCAGGAATCCCCGAACGAATACACGGCCAACAGCCTGCAAGTCGATACCACCTCCCTTAGCGCTCACGGTCGCACTGTTTCTACAACCAATAGCCCTATCGTTCCAACACAACCAATTCGCTCCTCTGTACGAAGACCGCAGCCCCCAGCCATCGATTTCAAGTTTCCGGCTGCCCCCCCCACCAAACGATCAAACCAGCCGTCCTAACCTCACCCCGTCACCTAAATCCGATAGACTCCCCTCACCATCAAAGAGCTCCACCAAGGATTCAGTGGCTTCAGGCGCTCCATCTCATCAGCAGCTTGCTCGAGTCATTTCTGCTACTAGCGTAAATGGCAGTGCGCGGAGCAGCGGCGAGTTCTTTTCTGTTAGCGATCAATCCACGGAAACCTTGGCATCAGAGTATACAAACTATTCCACTCAAGCTGCACGTGCACCGCCTCCTGCTAGACATGCACGACATTTTTCTAGCGTTACAGCGCCTCCCAAGGCTGTTGATGCTCAGGCCCTGCTTATGGGTTATGCCCAAATCAGCGCATCATTTACCGTCGACGGCTCTCTTGTGAACCAGTCGGTCTTTGATGAAGTCAAACGTAAAGGAGTCGTGGGAGGCCAAGCCGGTACAGGCGGTCTCCCAGGGCGGCCAAACTCGAGTGGTCAATCACGCAAAGGAGGCGGATTCTGGGGAGGATTAGGAGGATTCAGGTGGAATGCTATTGAAGAATCCATCAATGGCCTCCTTTCAAACAATGATCTTGATGGCCTTCGAGAAATGCGTGGTGTCTCCTCGTCCCGGTCGATCCCCTTGCTATCCACCCCACAGTCACTGCTCTTCGTTGACCTTCGGCTGGCACCGGGTGAGGAACAGTCATACTCATTTACCTTCACTCTACCCAAGGGACTACCGGCCAGTCACAAAGGGAAAGCTATCAAGATATCTTACAATCTGGTCATTGGTACTCAGCGACCTAGCGCGCCTAATGAAGCGCAACGCGTTAATCGCATCAATATCCCATTTCGCGTCTACAGCGGGGTCAACGGTAAGTCACTCTCTTTAGGCGTTATTCTTTTTATTCATCTAATGCTTCTATAGAAAAGGGTGATATCCTTGGCCATGATCTCATGGTCCCATATGTTCTGCTGCGCGACGAAGCAAAGGTACAAAAAATTGGGCCTAACACCCCCATCGGTCCCAAGAACCAAAGCGTGAGCGGTGGATCATGGCACTCAGCTAGCGAATTCCTAACATATGTGGATGATATATTGGAGCAAAGAGCGCGCTCCAATTCCCTATTTCCCCCAGGTGCCATCCCAGAGCGGCGACCGAGCCACGACGGGCTCCCACAGATGCTATCTTGTAAAGACATTATAGACATGGCAATCCTTCGCAGTAACCAAAGTGCACAATCTCGACGCAGTCCGAACCGATTCGAGATCGCTCGCGATGGACAGCGCATCGCAGTGGTTGTTCTCAATCGCCCAGTCCACCGACTTGGTGAGACCATCATAGCCACAGTGGACTTCGGTGACGCTTCTATCCCATGTTATGCAGTTCGTGCTTCTCTGGAAACATCTGAAAAAGTTGTGCCCACCCTAGCCGTCAGGTCAAATGCGAGCATCCATCGGACAACTCGCAAAATCCACGCATCCTTGTTCGAGAACACGCTGCATGCCACTCGGGTGGTCTTCAGCCCTGCTATCCCCATCACTGCCACCCCCACCATCATCACTAGCGGTGTCACTCTGGATTGGGACCTGCGGTTTGAGTTTGTAACACCAAACAACCTCGGTGAACATGACCGAAGTGTGTCTGGTATCAAGCTACTCGAGACTATTTCATCTGATGATCGAGGCCATGTGCTTTCCGCGATGGAGCATTTAGGTTGCGAATCATTTGAGATATCCATTCCCCTCACAGTCTTTGGTGAAACAGTTCGGGAGCTACTTCCAGAGGAGAATGAGGGATACACTATCTGATGTGACCCCCGTTTTATTGTATGCTCCGGTCTGGAAGACTTTTCTTGTTTATTCGGTTTAGATATCCACTTTCCCGCTTGTCGACGCAGCTTAGCGCCTTTTCTGTACTTTGGTGAGCCCTGTCTCCTGGCATAGCGCATCTCATTCCTACTTTTTGGGTGTTTATTCATTTACCTTTCGAGGGCGAGCCTATTTCGTCGGCTCTCACTGATCATACAATGCAATATAATGCACTTTGATATCAAACCATTGATCGCACTACCTTTGGGTCACTTGTGTTGCAAATAGATGTAAACTTAACAAGCTTGAAGTCGAGCTGCCCTAGCGTCTTTCTCCAATGACGAGCCCGTCCATACTTTTTCGCTGCCGAGAGGATTTATAGTGCAATCTGGCCTGAACCCTCATCGAAAGGAAATTCAGCAAATTCCATCAGCTGCCTTCATCTTGAGCATGGATACTATACCATTTATCATTGCTGTCTGAGCTGCCATGGGCCACGAAAGCCGCTCCTCGTCTGTGTGGGCTGTCCGGTGGATGCTCGTATTCTCGGTCTAGAGTTTCATGTCTCGGGCACCCCGCCATATATGGAATCAAGCGTTATCCAATATCTGCAAAGGAACCTTGAACAAATCCTTCTCTGGAACTGGCAGTCTTGCCGGTTCAGTCCATTCCAAACTAGCGCTACCAATATTCAAGTTCTACAGAAAAAAAAAAAGGGGGGGGGGGGGAAATAAAATTTGAGTTAGTAATTATCTATCTTGTCATGGCGAGTGCTTCGTGGGTATATCTCCCGATCTTAAATTCGACCCCCACAAGTAATTATACTACGAGGGCCATTAAGTTCGCCGACCAATATTTGGTGATGTATACGTCGACAGGTTACTTAAGTGGCTCAAGTGAGTTTGCCTGGGCTGGTCAAGAGCATATCACGGAGTGGATTTGGGAGAACGTCTGGACGCGGCCCGGTCTCACACGCCACAACCGCAGCTTGCTGGACAACGGCATGCTGATTGCGGCTGAATCGGGGGCCTGAACTGGCGCTCCAGATCTGGGGCTCGTAGTCATGGCCTCAGGGAGCTTGAGATACGTGATGCTATAATCCATGCAACTGCTTACGGCGGTGCTCCAACGGGTACGGCTGTTACGAAGATTGCTGAAAGTACGTTGAATGAGATGGCTGAGAGTGGTTAGATGACACAGAGGATGGGACCTAAAAGCCAGAAAAGCATTACATAGTCAGAATGTACGTGGCAAAAGGTTGGGATCTGCATCTGACTGCGATAGAAGTTTCACGTTTTCCGGGGCTAAGCGGCAGCAAGAGTACTACCAACGTATCCATGTTGAATATGGAAATTGGGGTCTGCTCCTCTCAGACACAACAGCCTCGGCGGATCCGGTTCGGAGTAACAAAAGGCGGTTGGAAGTGGTTGTCATATATCCCAGTTTCAAGTGACATGTTGACATCGGTCCTTTTCCAATCAGAGATCCCAGCAGTTCTATATCTCTGACTTTAAGCAATAGCCTTGCACAAGGAATAGTACTGCGGCCGGCAGAAGCAGCGAAATTACTATTGACAATAGCGCTCTGATATCGACTTTTCTGATCAAATATATGGCCTCAATGAGTGGTCGAACCAAATATTCATTCCTTTTTGCCGCAGCGCGAACAAGTGCCATTCCTTGTGGAATATTCTTGGGACACACTGGGCTTAGTGCCGTGCTCGCAGTTGAAGACTGCGTAGCTCTGGTGTAATGGGCCGGCTACAATGGATCATAATAAAGGTTCCTCCAGAAAGGCCCCCAAAGGGTCTGTGGCATATGTTTCTTGCTTGCTATAGATTAGTGGAACTGACAGGAATACAAGAATACAATGGACACTGCCCTTTTATATCATTTTATCGCTTCGTTCCAAGCCCCAGGGCGCTCGATTCTCCCTATAGCAGCTCAATTCTTCCCTCTATTATATTACGGATGGCGAGTAACTCTCAAAACCCAGAGGATTTCGCGTAAAGCCCGAAGTGGTTTAGAGCATGAATGAACGGATTAGGGGCCAACCCTCAGCCTCAAGTATATTGTGTGGGGTTATAGGGACTATAGCCTAAGATTGGTATGCCTGTTGGACGTGATGCTGCAGAGAATATCTCTAATCAGAGGATCTTCAAGACCGGCTAGGCAAAGCCATAGAGGAAAGCTCAAGAGAATAAGTTATTAGGTTGCTGGCTAAGATTCATACAGGCCAAATGAAGCTATACAGGTGCCTCCAAATGTCTAGTATTCAGGTCCCAAGTAACCTGCTTCACGAGATCCACGCTTCCAAATTAAGGCTGAAAGTACCGTTTTGCGTCTTTCCATTCGTCCGCTACTTCAGAGACCGCGAATGCCTGAATAGTTCCATAATTTTGGTTTTATGCCTCCCTTTCTCAATGGAACTATGACTAGTAGTTCATTTATCTAGCTTAAACTACATAGGTATAATAGTCGTGTCGATGCAAGGGAGTTTCCCTCTTGGAGGATTTCTCTGATGTGAATTGGGACGACTAACCAACCTTTGGTTGACGAGAACTTAAGCACCTGGTAGGCATAATTTAATATTGTAGGGTGAGATGAGGTGTAATTCTGAGTTCCTAAGTAACTAATATCAGGTGGCCCCAAGCGGAGAGGAGAGCTGACGTACCATGGGAAGAGAGCAGGTAACTGGGGCAACGGGGGGCCTTTATCACCTGTGGAGCTGAAACCCGATAACCTCCACCTCCCTACGCTGGACACGCATTGCCGATCGCATTCAACTTCTTCTGCCTCTGCTATCGAACGAAAACCCAGGGTATGGAATGCCAGACATTATTTATCTGAGACAAAATCACGCGGTAGCCCTTTCTGACACTGGAATGCAGACACTTGCGATCAGCACCCCCGCCGCAAATAACAACCCACGAGATTCTTGCTGAGTGAGAATGGCTTCGCTCATCACCACCATGTCTGTCCCCGAACCCCCTCCCCCTGTTCATTCTTCCCCTAGCCCAGGTCCTGCAGCCGAGGTGGCCACATCGCGATCCCCTACCCTGAGCCTCAGCCCGTTGGGCCTATACCAGACCACCCGCACTTCGCATATCCCTTCACTCGAGCCTCCCTCCTATCTTTCACCCGCCGTGCGCGCGCTGAAACAAGGATTTCTTGGACTAACACCTCCCAGCAATGCCCGGACGCGAGCCCCCTTCAAGCCCCGCTCCGCTGCGAAAGGCACCAACAGTTACCAGCTGAGACAATTTGCAGAGGCTACTCTGGGGAGTGGCAGCTTGCGCAAGGCCGTGAAGCTTCCCGAAGGCGAGGATCTGAATGAATGGCTTGCAGTGAACGGTACGCAATTCGATAACGCGTCTGTGATGGTCGCGCCATGCTGACACGACTCTGATCGATGATAGTCGTCGATTTCTACAACCAGATAAACCTCCTCTATGGCTCTATCACCGAGTTCTGCTCCCCGCAGACATGTCCCGAAATGAAGGCAACCGATGAGTACGTTCAAAAATAATATAATTTCTGACGACCTGCAAGTGTCGGCATCTCGAACCAGGCTGACATCGGACAAATAGATTCGAGTACCTTTGGCAAGACTCCGAAAACTACAAGCGCCCGACGAAGATGTCTGCCCCGGAATATATTGAGCACCTTATGACCTGGGTACAGAGTAATATCGACAACGAACAGATGTTCCCAAGCCGAATTGGTACGTACTTAGAAACCCGCCTCCCATTACTTGTGGCAAGTACTTACGTGTTTTTTTCCTAGGCGTTCCTTTCCCAAAGTCATTCCCCAGTCTTCTTCGTCAGATCTTCAAGCGACTATACCGTGTTTATGCCCACGTCTACTGCCATCACTACCCTGTCGTGGTACATCTCGGCCTCGAACCGCATCTGAACACTAGCTTCAAGCACTATGTGCTATTTATCAATGAGCACAACCTTGCCAGTGGTAAAGACTACTGGGGCCCGTTGGGTGACTTAGTAGATAGCATGCTGCGAAGCGACTGAGCGGTGATGACCGTTAACCTTATGGCTAGGCGCGCACGGGCAAATTGATTGCATGAGGACCTTATCTTGGATCCTGGACGTATGAAGGATAGATCTGGCGGGGGCTGGGTTCTCATGGCGTTTATAACGAGGGTTATGCATTATTGTAATTTTCTATCTGCTCTTCCTGAGCGTCTCACCGGCGTCCATGGCGGTAAAATCTCAGATTGAGGAGTTCATTCGAGAGACTTTCTCCCATTATCGTCGTGAAAACGTACGACAGCAATCATTGTAATACTATGATTTTCGAGTAGGTGTACAGTAGAAACTGTTTATGGAGTCGCTCGCACTGTATTAGCTTCCCTTGGCGCCGAGCAAAAATATTGCCTTACTCATCTTCACGTGACCAACGGCTGGAAGAATCCGGGTCGTTCAACTTCAACGCATCCCGACGCCGCTCAACACCTCACCCATCTCCAACCCCCTTGGTCACCCCCTCCCCTCCGAGGCTCTCCTCCACTCGAACTCATGATGATGTCCGCTCGTGTCGCCCGCTCTGGCCTGCGTGCCGCCCAGCAATTCTCCGCGCCCCGTGTGGCTTTCAACGGTCTTCGCAGCTATGCTACCCCGGCCCAGGAAACCCGCCCTCCAGTCGCCCTCTTCGGTGTTGACGGTACCTACGCCTCCGCTCTGGTATGAAAAGATTCACCTGAGATTCTTGGTCCCAGAGATACCAAGATTTCTCCACGCCCCGAGCCCACCGACCCCTCCCCCATTCACCCCTCGGTATTCGGTACCGGAAGTCGCAATTCGCACATTATAGCTCAATTGTTTCCGATTGACCTCTGACACTCTTATTTCCTTATAGTTCACTGCTTCTGCCAAGTCCTCCGCTCTTGAGCAGACCGCTAAGGCCATTGCCGCTCTCGGCCAGACCCTCAAGGCCGACAAGAAGCTGACCACCATCCTTGACGCTCCCTCTCTCTCCAACGCCGATAAGCAGCAGATCATCCAGGAGCTCCAGAAGGTTGCTGGTGCCGACAAGGGCGACATCATTAAGAACTTCCTCCAGACTCTCGCTGAGAACAACCGTCTCGGCGCCCTCGAGGGTGTCACTGAGAAGTTCGCGACTCTCATGTCTGCTCAGCGCGGTGAGATTGAGCTGAACATCACCAGTGCCCAGGTGCGTCTACCATGGAATTCCCCCCCCCCCGGAATTTACACTTGAACAATTGCGTGATGTTAACTTTTCTCATATTTGCAGGAGCTCGATGCCAAGACCATCTCCCGCCTCGAGAAGGCCGTCTCCAAGTCCGAGTACAGCCAGGGCAAGAAGCTCAAGGTTGTCACCAAGGTGCGTGATAAGCCCTCGTAATTCCACTTTTGCAAGCCCAACTGAATTTTGCCTTTTCTAGGTCAACCCTGACCTTGTCGGTGGACTCGTTGTCGAGATCGGTGACCGCACCGTTGACCTGAGCGTCTCCTCCAAGATCGCCAAGATGAACAAGGCTCTTACTGATGCCCTGTAAATGTAAAATAACCTTTCGAGAGTTGTGGAGGGATGCGTCGTTATAAAGCATTCCGCCCCGCATGAACGGTAGCGTTTGGTGAAAGCGGCAAAGGGGACCGTCGATTCTCTCCTTTTGTACTTTCAATCTCATTTGTTTCCATTATATGTGAATTGCACAATACACTTTTCAGCACTTTTCTATGAATTCGGCTCTGTCGGGTGGCTTAACCTGTAGTCTCCGAGGTCTGACCGAAGTTGACTAGCAAGCTCGTATCCATGGGGTTTCCAACTTGATTGACCTACGGCCTGATTCTTCCTGATGGCAAGACGCAAACCCGTCACAAATACCCCTGGGAAGATTCAAAGAGTAGCCTGTCTCAATACATGTAGGAGTGATCTTCCTATGCCTCGTCAAGACATACCTACTCGAGCCAACGCTTCGATTTTATTCAATTGACACGGGCCCCTGTTAGCATTTGATATGTCTAGTCACAGTTACAGGTCATATTCAGACAGTACGTTCACCTCGTGGATACTCAAGATGCTGTAATTTTTGGAATTGAACTGATGCATGGCTTATTACCAAGCAAGCAAGATCCCTATGCCGCAAAATACGGCGGCACTCATGCTCCCAGATGCCGGAATCAGATACTGGACTGCACATAGTGCAATTCCAACTACTTCATGCGTCCAACTGATCTTGCCAACAGAAGACATGCAACTCAAGGAAACTCAATTTACGCCATAGCAGTGCCGAACGAGGGAGCCCAGACCCGTTCGGGCCAGATACATACAAAAGGGGGTTTCTTCCAGACCAAAAAAAAAAGAGAGAGAGAGAGAAAAGAAAATTATGCAGAGAAAAGCCAAACGCAGCAAAAAGGACAGGGGTGGGGGGGCAATAAATACCGGAACACAACCCATCGCATACCCCGTGGTCGCTAAAGTAATCCACACGTGGGTCGAGTGCTGGCGCCCCCTGATCCGAAGCTGCGGGTCCAAGATGGAGAGGTATCAAAAGTTCGCAAAACAACAAAAGCGGAGTGTCGAAATTCGTATCAAATCGACCAGAGAGTGCGGGGGTATTCGCGTCGCACAATCCGGCAACCAAATCACGCTTCATTCTCTGGTCTCTCTTGCACTTCCGACAGCTGCTCCCGGTGCTGTGCGCGGTCTGACGAGTGGGGAGCTATTATGTTCGCATCAGCGATTTCCGCCGGCCTCAATAAATAGTATATGCAAAGTTTGAACAGAAATAAACATGCCCGGCAGCTTGAATGCAAGTCTCACAATGGCAGGGGATGATCACGCAGAGTCATCCTTACCGGCTGAGTGGTCTCCGCCTCCGTTCGTCGCGCGCCCGTTCTGCTCTCTCTGCAGACGTTCTTCGGCCTCGCGGATTCGCCGCTGTAGAACCTCGAGCTCTCGGGTTTGGATCATCATCTGTTGCTTCCTGGGGTGGGCAGTAATATTAGTAACTTTTTAATTAGGAGTGCGAGGGGAGCGCGTGTATGCGTCGCTGTTTACTCGCACTCACTTTTGATCAATGGTTTGCGCCAGGTGGTCGACTTCGCTGTCTAGCGCAAAGGCGCTATCGAGAGCGCTAGAGAAAGCTTGCGCCATAGTCCTGTATATCGGTCAATTTCATTTCATGTGCGGGGAGGTGCAGGGGACATACGACTGAGGTCGAATCTTGGTGGGCTTCCACTCTTGCTCGGTTTCGGACATCTTGGAGCGGGCGAACGAGAAGTCCTATAGATCACCAGGACCTGGTAAGAAGGATTGGTTTTTTGCCTGATGGGAATTTTCGGCCGGGTATGTTGTCGTGAGGTAATGTGCGCCTATGTCGGGCGGGGCACCACCACACGGGACGAGCTGAGATACCTTTAAGGGGGGTGTTGTATATACGTGCGATCGAGGATCAGAGACCAGGACGAGGACCAGCCGAATACCCTGGGAGAAATTGGGGGAGGGTAAATATAATTAGAGGATCGCCCCGAATTGCGCTGAGCTGCAGAGGGGGGCGGTCGTCAGTGGATGTGTATACTTCGGCAGCATGATAAGCAGCTCCCAGGGAACGGGAGGGGGCGATTGTCAGGGGGACAGTTGGGACGTACCGAAGAACTATCACGACGCACGGATTGGACTCGGAGCAGGAGATCTAAGAGAGGCTTGGACAGAAACTTTGGGGAATAGGGAGGGGGAAGAGGAAAGAAGAAGTCCGAGGAAAAGGACGATCTTAACCTACAGCGCATTGCGGAGGAAGAATCATTGCACGGTTACCATGACATGGGTATAACACTTGTAACACCAGTTAACCTCGAACCCTGCTGAGTCTGCCCTATGCCAGTACTAAAGATCCACCGCAAGGGGAGCGTCACGGTATTACAAGGGGGGGCTCTTTCACGTCATTATTTTCATTATTGGGAGCTCTGGGAGAGACGATCGGGGGCTGCGGTCACATTTCGTCCAATGGGTACGATTCCTCAGGGGCTCTAGTGAGTTTTGAGCTTGGCTCTAGGCCAATTTAATCCATGATGGGGCCTTCGGGTTTCCTTTGGAAATTAAGCCTGCCCTATATTCGTAAATTAGTAGAAAGTTCAATGTTCAGGGGCTGCGAAAAAAGGGGGCAAGACTGAGACTAGCATGAGGGGAGCTAGAGTAGTCTGCGACGCTTCAGAACGAGGCCACCAGCCAGACATCCCCATTGCCCTCTCTGTTGCTTGCCAACCTTCTCTGGCGGTGAGATAGCCTATGGAATACCCTGTTACTTATAACGATGCGTTCTGATGCGGAAGTAAATAAGATACTGCATCCGTGACCACGCGCTGACTAATTTTTTCTTTGTAACTTTGCCCGTATTGGAGAACGTCGTAACCATTTGAGGAAAACCTTCGACCCTCATCCCTTCCATCCACGCGCGTCCATCTAGGCTCATCTCGCCACCCCGAGTCCCTTCCCATCCTGAGGTCGCGATCCCACGCGTCCAACTCGTTTCTTCCCCGACCACCACCGTGGCCCCAATCCCCAAGAGTCTCCTCCCCGACAGCCGACCGGGCGGGCAATGGGGGATGCCTCCTCTGTCGGCATACACGCCCTTTGAATCATTGCTCTTCTTTCAGTCGCTCGCCGCGTCCGATGTGCGCCCGTCAAACTTTTCGTCAATATCCACCTCGCTACGTAATAACCCTTTAATTCGAGACAATGTCGCATTCAGTGCCGACCGATTGACCCCGGAGGCACTGGAGGACCTTTACACGACTCTTTTGCGGGATGGCCTTGATCGCGAGGCTGCAGCAGGTCCAAATGGACGGCCACATGATGTGTCCAGCCCCAGTAATGCGAAGAAGCGCAAGATATCGAGCCCCAAGCCCGAAGGTTTACCCGAGGATATAACCCACGCGATTCGAATCCCAGAGCTGGTATCGCACCTTTATTCACGCTTTCGAGAGACTCTGATCAAAGAGGTTCGCCAGGAGGAGAGGAAATATAATGAGATTAAGAAAGAGTTGGACCGCTTAGAGAAGGACGAAAGCAAGGCCACCAGTGAAGCCTTGAAGAGGCCTGATGATGCTTTCGTTGGCGAGCCGATGGAAGTAGATGTCAAGCAGGAAACTCGACCAGAACGTCCAGCTGCATTGGCTTCTGAGGAACCCCAGAAACCAGCAGACGAGACATTTAGAAAGGAAACCACATCTTTCCAGGCTCCGAAGGACGCCCCGCAGCCGCCTACCAAACCAGCTGAACAGCCCGCGGAACCTTCGCAAGCGCAACCACCAATTCAGCATGAGCCGCCATCAAAAGCAGCGGCCCAACCTGCAGCGCCGGCGCATCCACCCCTTGCCCCTCGAACCCAACCGCCAGCTCCAGCGACCCCCATTGCAGCTCGTCCTCCACGCACCCCCCACCCATCTCAGCTCGCACCGCGCCCAATTGCTGCATCTACACCCATTGGACAACCCGGCGCTCCTACTGTCGGACCCACCCCCTTCTCAAGCGACCCCGGCTCAATCAAGCTTCCAACAATGGCAGCTTGATGCAGCTCCTCATTCACCCTACTCCGCGATCTCCCCTAATACTGCCGCTCCGCCAGCTGGTTCCGCAGCTGCAAAGCAAGCTTTACCACCAGTCCAGGCCGCGGCGCAAAAACCCTCTGCTCCATCAACGGTTCCTAGCACCCCTAGCGCCGTCTCCTCTTCAGCTCAAACCGGTGTTCCAATTGGACCGCCACAGACTGGATCACGGACGCCAAGTGTTGTGATCCCACCCTATTCCGAGTCGCGATCTTCTCGCCCACGACTTGATACACCAGGATCTTCGACGCCATGGAGGAAGCTTCCTCGTTTGAGCATCCCGCAATCACCGCCTTCACCAGCTCGCCCTCAAGCTGTCAGCCCTATCAGTGACAGGGAAACCTCTCCCGGGGCCATGGACATTTCGCCTCCACGTGAAAGGAAAAGTCGACGTGGACAAAATGTTTCGGATAGCAAGTCTGGCCCAGCTATCAAAACAGAGAAGAGTGACAAGCCCGAGAAGATAGAGAAAGCTCCCGCAGCCCGGCGAAAGCGTGCTTTCAGCTCTGTGTCTTCTCACAGCCACGCTCAATCCGTGCAATCTCATGACACATCTCCTGCGCCTCCCGATGACACCGATCGGGACCTACGCACTTCGGGTCGCCGAAATCGAGCTGCAACCGGTACGGATGAAAAGGCACGCTCAAAGCGGAAGCGCGGCGCAAGCGAATCCACCGAACACGAACCTGTGCATCTGGAGCCAAAGTTCGATACAACAAAGTTTGTGCTCTGTGCTCGTGGATTCCACCGGACTGCTGCACCTATTCTGAATGATGTGACCACCCATAAGCTGGCTTCGATCTTCGCCAAGCCTCTGAGCGAACGTGACGCCCCAGGCTACCACGATCTCATTTACAGGCCGCAAGATCTAAAATCAATCAAGGCTGCCGTCCACGCCGGTAGTAAAGCGGTCATCGCAGCAACGGAGGCCGTGAGTACGCCGGCTGGCGACGGCGAGTCGCCAGTTCCTACGGGGACACCATCGTCAAAACATAATTTACTCATGTTGCCCAAGACGGAAGACCTTGTGCCACCTAAAGGGATTGTCAATTCCGCGCAACTGGAGAAGGAATTTACCCGCATGTTTGCCAATGCTATCATGTTCAACCCTGTCCCAGAGCGCGGCCTGGGCCCTGCCTTTGCCATGGTCAATGACCGAGGCTCGCGGGAAAGCACGCAGTCTGGTGATGATGGCGAAGAGGGTGGTATCATACAAGATGCTCGTGAGATGTTTGAAGATGTGGAACAGGCTGTCACTCGATGGCGTGCGGCCGAACGGACGACTGACGAGCTTGCCATCAAGAGCGTGTTCTCTCTTCGACGGGGGAGTGCCAGTGATTTTAATACCGATAGCGCTGATGATGGGAAGGGTTAGCGTATTCTTGCGATGTATTATCTACGATTTTGATATTTTTTTTCCCCCTTCGAAGTGTTTCAGTAGGATTATCTTTTGAGACGAAATACGAACGAGATCACTGAACCCTCTCGGCGGAACAGTGACAACCAATTCAATTCTCCCACGACTTGATCCCACATCGTGTAAAATGCAGCATAAGTTTACAACCTAGGTGATATACCGATCGCTGTCCATTTGCTGGTATTACGCGCTTTGGCCCTAAGTCGGCTCAATCAAATTTTCTACGTCCTCCCAAGGTCTCTTCAAAACGTTCCTCGCCGCATACTCCATCGCACCCTCGCACCCTAAAACCCTCAACCTAATAATACAAGCCGCCGCCTTACCCGAAAAATAGGTGTGATGCCGGAACGTCTCGCGCGTATAAATACTGGAAATATGCACCTCCCAAGCATCGCGTCCCGGATCGCAACACTGGTGTGCGTGAACGCGCCGGGGTTAATAATAACCACGTCTCTGTACCATTTACCAACGTTCTATAAGATTGCGTACCTAGTCTGCAAGACATCGAGGGGGAAAGCCACCCACTAACCTGACGAAGCAGCCGCACGTGGCACACGCTGCATGAATGATGTTGCTCAGGGTGCATGGAGCATCCATTCGTCTGGAGAAACGAGCATAAAAGCGCTTCGTCGTGTTTGAATTAGCTCAAAATTGACATTGGGTATCGCAGGCTACTCGTAAAATAGTATCGTACATAAACATCAGTGCCGTGAGATTATACAAGCGGCACAAGATGCTCGTTGGAAAACGGTCCTCCTTCCAGATCCGCGGTCGATGTCCAGAATACGTCACTGGCGACCGAGGCATTCCCGTCCGCGAAATAAGTCTCTGGTTTACTCTCGGCGGTCACGACGACAGTTAATTGACGAAGGGTAAATTGGCCCCGACTCCAAGTAGTCAACGATCCCTCTTGGCGAGCTGTGCTAAGCTGGGACATCAGGGTAGGATAGACTTCGTCAAATGGGGACTTGACGTCCAGAATCAGCACAAAAGGATTGCTCGAGTCACCCTGACGCGTCGCGCCCAAGCGATCCGTTACTGACGGATGACTCGCTGGAGGCTGCAACTGCGTGCTTAGCGATTTGAGGCGCAATTGAAGATCGTTTTCCTTCTGCGGCTGAGAGAGGATCGGGCCCAGATAGAGTCCACCCTCGATCGAGCGAACCTCGGTGCGGAACCCATTGCATCCGGCAGCAGCGGATTGCGTAAGAGCACTTGGGCGAGGATCCAGGCGGGGAAACGTGCACTTCACGTACCAGGGGCGACCGTTGGCGGGGTGCACGGGGCGAGGAGGGCACTCTGGACCAGCGATGGGATCGCCTGAGATAAATGGAAAAGGGCACTAGGAAGACTGTCAAGTTAGTAGCCATCTTGCTGTTTTGTAGGTTGCTCTACTACGTACAAGCATGCGGCGATCAAAAGCACGGAGCGGACCAAGTACCACTTGGTGTGTTTCTTCAAGTCCACCTGGAACTCGGCCAGAGCAGCGCCCAGCCCCGGGACACCCTGGGTGGGATGCGATCGAAGAGGATGGTCCTCGAGCAACCAGGAGGCGGATTCGTAGTTTTCAGTATATGCCTCGAGGTCTGCCTCGAGCTTCGGTGGGAGATCCATCTGGCTGCGCATCTCGCAGGGAACCAGGTGAAGTTGCTGGGCAAGCGAGCACCCTATTTCAGACTGGTGACAAGAGGACCTAGAGATCGGAATCTCTGGGCTGGTTCCGGGAGGCACAGAAAAAGGGTCCCATGTGCAGGAATAGCTTAGACTTTAAAAGGCTCAGGAGTAAAGAGCTCATGGTTAGTGGGGAATCCGTCTTGCGCCATCGTGCCTGGCGTGCTCGCTGCACGCCATCATGCGTTACTACTGATCGACGCGAACGAAGTCCAGCCCAGATCATTCAGCAGGGTCGGAGGTCGCGCCATGATAGCCTTCCACTCCTCATGACCCAAGATGTATATACCCTTGTCAGGCTCAAAGGCAAGGTAGTTGGTATGGCAATCCTGCTGGGATGTGTCGATCCCGGGGGAGCGTGGGGAACCAAGTGGAGACCAAAGCACGCACGCCATCAATTATCACAGTGACGCCTTTGCTCACCGCTAAGCCATAACAGCCCGCAGCTCTTATCTTTGCTTCTATGATCGCCCATTTTGGATTGTTATCATAGGTCACGTTTGTATAACGCTAAAATGGAGAAGCAAGCTCAGTCTTCAACCTGCCTCGAAGTGACATTTTCTAGATCCTTTAGGAGCATAGTAAGAAATGGGATAACGTGGAGGCGCCAGAAAGGCCCTCAGTACGCCACTCTACATGCCCGCTCACAGCCTGCTTGCGCTGCTAGTCACCTGTGGAGTATTGCCGAGGATATTACTATTGCGACTCTCGATCCTCTGTTGAGAAGTCTGGAATAAGCGTGGCAGACCGGTATCTTCAAATCCCACCCCCGAAACAATCATCTTCGCAATTGCTTCCGCCGAAAGGAAGATTTGCGGCATTCCATGTCCAGTGAAGCCGGCCACGATGTATTGGCCCTCTTGACCCGGTACTCGACCGACATGGGGCAGACCATCCGATGAGTACCCCATGACTACAGCCTTGTTTTAGTATGGTGCTGTGCAGGGTGTCTTTGACCAAGGGCGAATAGGAAACATCACTTACTCCCAGTCCATACGCGATCGGTATAGGCGTAGCTATTTTCCCAACCCACAAAATTCCGCTGCATGTAGTTATCAAAGTACCGAATAGCAGGCTCCAGGACACGGCTATCATCGCTGACATTGTGCCAGTTATCGTCTCTCTCGTAGAACGATGACCGGGCTCCGCCAACGACGATGCTTCCGTCGGCACGGGGGATCAGGTAGTCATAGTCCCAGTTGTTAAATCGTAGCGTGTAGGTGTTCGTCAACCGGGGAGCTGTTGATCCAGGCGGGACAGCAATACGGCAACATGTGCCTCGCACAGGCACAATTTTACCTTTATATTGCGGGGCAAGAGCCGAAGTGTAGGCATTAGTCGCCAGCACAATCGACTTCGCCGCGACCGATCCTCGTGCCGTCTGCACGATCCAGCGATAAGGCGAGGATGGGTCGGACGAGGGCGAGATTTTGGACACCGGGGTATGAGTTTGTAGATTGACACCTTGTGCGACCACTTTGTTGATGAGATGGAGCACGAACTTGTAGGCCCAAATGTGACCCGCATCGTAGGTGAAGCAGCCAACAGCCCCTTTCACTCCTGAGAACTGCAGAACAGGGCTCGTTAGAATTCGATATGGGGAATCCAGCTGGGCATCTTACCGCTTCCGCATCTTTAGGTCCAATAATGCGAGCCGTCGCGGTTACCTTTGCGCCCCCCGCCACTAAGCGTTGATGGCCATTCTTGAGCTTGTGAAAGTGGGACTCGTCCAACTGCGCATCCACGGCTTTGGTAACAGTGTAGTCGCAGTCAATCCTTTCCTTCTCAATGAACTCTTTGAGGGCGTGGACATGTTTCGCTTCGAACTCGGCAACTTCCGCAGCAGCTTCGACGCCGTAGTCCTTGGCGAGAGTGGCGATGAAGTTATATATGTCGGGCTTCATGTGGCCTCCTGAACAGTGGTTGATAGTTAGCAATGGATAGTCGAGATATGGCAAGCCGGGTTCTTAATAGCGCATACCATTGCGTGCTGTTGCTCCGGAGCAGGCATTTCGGGCTTCCAAGATGGTAATGGATGGAGGGTTGGAGCTGGATTTCGTCTGATTGAGGATGTGGTACGCAACAGAAGAGCCCGCATACCCAGCTCCGATAATGACTATATCGCTTTCCTGGGGGAGCTTCTCGCTAGAGCGGTAGTTGTCGAGAGGGTCGGGGTCTGTCCGCCAGTAGGGCAGAGTGCTATTGGTGACGGGGAAAGGACCAGACATGTTGGGATAAAATGGGCTATCAGGTTCTATGCTGGCTCTGAAGCTTTCGATCGTCACTTTCTATCTTTTTATCGCGATTAGCTTGGCCAAGCTGCCCTGGGATTCCCCACCGGGTCTGTTCCCGCCGGCACCGGGACCGGCAAGGAGTTTCTAGACTTGGTGGTGCAGCCGGCGCCACATCAGGGGCCAAATGCCTTCTGAGCTGATATCTGAGGACCGTGGGAGTTGCACCCTACTATCTCGAATTGTGCATACAAGAACACCCATTGCTCACTTAGCGTGGGGTTTATGCGTTGGGGAGCTTTTGTTTACAATGTGAATAATATTGGAGAGGGAATCTTACGTGGTCAAGTTTCAACTAGAGTACAGGACTAGGAAGCCCGAGAAATGCATTTTCCATAACTAGTAGATCGGCGTGAGCTATTCTACAAGTCCCTTGATTATTGAGTCGACGCTTGATGAGCAATAATCTTATCAGCCATACCCGGCAGAGTATCATCAATCACATCCATATCGCCGAATAGTTCCGTTAAAGGCTCCTTCTCCAGCACGGTGCAATAAGCCCCCTTGAATCTGGAAAGGAAAAAAACAAGGAAGGTTAGATAAGATCCACCACAGCAATGGATATCTACTTACCCGGCGCAGCGCGCAGAAGAAACATCCCACATATGAGCCGCCGCAAACCAAGGAATCTTGCCCTCATGCTCCGCGGTCAACCGCTCGAGCACCGGCGTATAAGCAGCCAAGTCGGGCTTCCCAACTCCCGCCGTATCACACGAAAGGAGGTTCTCGGCAGGAAGCTCCACGCCGGCCTTCTGGAAATAACCACTCACGCGGCCGATATCTGCGGCCGTAAACGCCCAGACGGTGAAGCCGGCATCGCGGAGCTTCTGCACGCACTCCGCCGCACCGGGTCGCAGGGTGAGTGATTGGTACTCTTCCATAATGTACGCCAAGTCCTCTGGCGTCGCGAATGAGCGAGGGTTCTCAATGCCCCCGAAGGTGAGAACGCGATAGAACAGCGCCTCAAAGACTACCGCATAGGGGCGGTATCGTCCCGAGAGGCTGAGATTGGTGTACTCGCGCTCAGCAGCTTCCATCCAGGCACAGCCCAGAAGCCATGGCTTGATGCCCTCGGCCCGTAGCTTGTCGCCGAGACGGCGATCAATTGCATTGTACAGATGGTCGTAAGAGACTAGCGTCCCGACAATATCAAAGACAACGTTCTTGGAGGAGGCCATGGTTGCGGAGTAACAGCTTGTTGCAAGGTTCAGATCGGATAAGCTCTTATCGAATGCTCAAGAATGTGCTTGGATTTGGATATTTCTAGGGCTTGATCGATATGAGTCAAGCGATAGGGACTTTCTGGTGTTAAAAAGAGATAAGCATCATCCATTGAAGCGTCCATGATTTCTCCACACCGATAAACCCCGCATGCTGATTCCACCGGGAAGAATGCGTTTACCCGGCGGGTGCTGCAGGGCAGATACGAAGTATGCGATAAGGTTGGGAATCGAGAAAGGGATATGTATGTTGCACATCTGGCAGGGAGAGGTGTTCGATTTGCTCCACTACACTCCGATCTACACTTCAAGCGACAAGTGATAGTTATGGCTGCAAGTCTGGACTCGCCGAGCGATATCTCGAAACACACTACCGTGATAGGCCTCAAGGCTGATCCCAATGCTCAGCTCGATATCGAGAAGACCGCGACGCAAGGAACTGAACGAAATGGCAGCAGCACTGAAATCCCTGGACAGAACAATGCTGGGTTCCATCGTTCTCTGACCCGGCGGAAAGTCATGATGATGACCTTTGGCGCTGGCATTGGGACTGGTTTGTGGGTAGGAACGGGACAGGCCTTGTACTATGGTAAGTGGTGATGGAGTGCCCATTTGCGTGTTCAGTCTAACAAGTCTATAGCGGGGCCTGGTGGGATCGCCGTTACCTATACGATTATCGCGTAAGTTCCTACCTGCTCCTACCCCCCCAAAATCACACCAGCAGCCAGCTAATAGAGCAATAGATTCGTGGTTTACGTGCAGTTCTGCTCAATTGGTGAAATGACAACATACAAACCAGTCCACGGTGGGTTTATCCGCCAGTGTGCCGAATACGTCGATCCGGCGTATGGGTTTGCCATTGGAATTAACTTCTGGTTCTCGGTAAGTTCCATATGGGGAGCACATGCGGTATCAAACACCTAAGCTGACCTGGGAACTGGACTGAAGTGGGTGATGATTATACCAGCAGAGATCACAGCCGCTATCTCAGTGCTCAAATTCTGGCCAGAGACGGACGTCATACCCCTCGCAGCGTATATCACGATATTCCTCGTCGTTATCGCGATTGGTAATGTCTTTCATGTGAAGGTATACGGCTACATCGAATACTTCATGTCATTCTTCAAGATCATGGCCATTATCTTGATGATCTTCTTCATGATCATCATGACATCTGGGGGAATCCCCGCTACCAACGGGCCCATCGAGTTCCGATACTGGAAGCACCCCGGCGCATTCAAGAACGGCATGAAAGGAATCGCCAAGGCATTTATCCAAGCCGCTTTCAGCTTTGGTGGAGGTACGTCCCCCTCCCCATATTCGAGCCAACCCTCTTCTGTAAGCGACTAACGAACAGAATAGGTGAACACATCGCCGTCATCGCCGGCGAAGTCGCCGACCCTAGACGAACCATTAAGAAAACCGTCCGCCCGGTCTTCTGGCGAATGTTCACATTCTTCGTCGTCAACATTTGGCTAGTGGGGATGTGCGTGCCATCCGATGATACCAACCTCGCAACAGCCAGCGGAACACTCGGGAGTCCATTCGTGATTGCCATCCAGCGCGCTGGTGTTCCTGGCTTGGCACATGCGATCAATGGCTTCATCTTCCTGAGCGTCATCAGCTGTGGGATCACGAGCACTTATGTGGCGAGCCGCAGTTTGACGGCCCTCTCGGATATCAATCTCATTCATTCTTTCTTCGGATGGAAGGATCGCCAGGGTCGGCCGTGGGTTGCTATGGCTATCAGTCTGGGGCTGGGAGGTGGACTGTGCTATCTGAACGTGGATAGTGTCGGGACGGTCGTCTATGGCTGGTTTTCATCTTTGGTGAGTTGTCATGTCATCAACCATTGCCCTGGCATTTCACTTTTGGGGCTAGGCATTAACGTGCACTAGGTTGCTATTTCGACCCTGTTCGAGTGGTCCGGCGTCTACATCGCCCACCTTCGCTTCCGACAGGGATTGAAGGCGCAAGGCATGGACCTTCGTAATTTACCTTTCAAAGGATTCCTGACTCCATGGACGCAGTGGTTCGGTCTACTGATCGTGCTGTTCTTTTTTGGCTGCGAGTTCTATCTCTCCTGTTTCCCATTCGGAGAGAAGGGATCGGCAAAGACATTCTTCTCCAGCTATCTCGCTGCTCCCTTGTTTGTCCTGGATTATTTTAGCTACAAGGTATGGAACTATCAGCCTGGCCGGACGTGCGATTCCTAACACGAATATAGTGGTATTTCAAGACAAAGATCGTGAAGCCCATCGATATGGATTTTTCCGAAGCGCACTACTTCGACGAAGAAGATCGTTTGCATGCGATCGCAGCTGAAGAGAAGAAAGCACAGATGGGTGAAAAGGTCACATGGATTAAGAGGGCTCGCTATTTGGTATTTGGATAAGTTTATGTCAGACCTATGTCGTTGAATCCAAGAAGAGTTCCGGTGCTAGCCCCAGCTCATTAGCTGGCCAGTCATGCTCAAATATATCTGCTAAGTCGGGAAAGGTATTGTCCGTCCTGGCCGTTAAATGCGATACTGGGCTGAAAGATGATAGCTCTGTGGTGTGCATAGCATTCTTGTCCTTTTTCATCGATTGGGTCCAGTCCTTGAACTTCGCGTAGGCAGTAGCAGACGAGCAGGACTCTGCGCTAGACTCGGCCGAGGCAGGATTCTCGTTCGAAGACAGCTCGCGAATAGCGGCTTCGATAGACTCGATGTATGAGATCTCCGACTCGGAAGCCGTTCCTCCTATCATCTGGCGAATCAGGACCATTCCCCGATCTAAGCCCCCTTGAAGCTCTGGGGAGTTTCCCGAATTCAGACACTCGGCTAGGATCACGAGAATTGCCGCCCGGCAGGAACTGAACTCCGTATATGACGCTCGACATAATCCAACGTGATTTGAAAGTGACTGCAGCAGGTCCAGGGTGCCCAGCGCGCTCTTCACGCAGTCTTGAACAAGTTCTGAGCGATGTTCTTTTCCAGCATTTTGGCCTTCGCCGGAATGGGTCGCTTGGTTATTTTCTTTGAAAATGAATGGACGGCCCATGTAAATGTATATGCTGAGGTAGCATAGTTTCAAATGGACCTTCTGCCGGAAAAGGGGTTGGTCAGGCTTCTTCTCGAGATCCTCCAGGTCGATGGGAACCGAGTTCCACCAAGACTGGATATTTGACTTGAGCTGCAAGAGGCGTTCCGAATATTCCAGAAGGAGCCTCTTCGGGCACTTCTTGAATTGGTTTCTGGGCGCAATGGGTCAGATTTTGAACATGCGGCACGAATCAGCATCTCCTCTTACAAAGTTTCAGCTACCTCCCCAGTCCACATCACCAATTCGATGAATGCGATCGCGTTAGCAAAGTTTGGCGACTCGAACGTAGGACAGTCGGTCGGCAAGTCGGCATTGATCTCCGACCGCGAGAGAGAAGTAGGACGCCCATGCATGATACTGATTCGTCTGTTCAGGGATTAGTGCGATTCGGATGAACCGTCTTTTTTTTTTTTTGAACACACCGTTCAAGCGAATAAACCGTCCAGAAGAGACGATTCCTAAGTTCCACAGTCCTCGGGTCGCAATCCGTCCCCGCGTATTTCCGATGCATGCCATTCTGGATTGCCATCTTCATCGCAAGCCCAAAATACGTGTACGAGAGACCCCCTGTAGAAACAGGCAGACCGTAGATTGCAAGCAAGAGGAAAGCCTGAACGCTTTCATACGAGGCGGCAAGAATCACGTCTGGGACCAGCCGGGAGGCCATGCGATAGAAATCCAACCCGACTGAGTCTTCCGAGCAGACAGTGATTTCTTCCGAGGCCGGTGAAGTAGGATCGGGTCTCGCTTGGCTTTCCTCCATATGAGCCACCTGTGTCCCGATCGCTAAGACGGCGAAAAAGGAGCACACCCAGGGGATGTCGCTTGCGGTGAATTCCGTGGCAGGGTTATAGCAGAGGCGGAGTTTATTTTCGATCCACCGGCGCTCCAGGTAGAAGGTATTCACTTCGACATACTTAAAAAACACGTGGATCAGGAACTCGGCGATTGGTCGCGGGGAAGATGGGCCATTGCCTCGGTGACGATTTGGACGGGGGATTGGAGATGGGTCGCTCGCCAGTATTGTTTCACCTGCACACAATGATTAGAGAGGCGGTCCAAGTTGCCAATCAAAGAGTTGAGTGAGAACGAACAGTTCGGCCCATTGCGGTTCGATCGCAACGCATACTCCGTCGCAACTTCTCCGAGAAATTCCAATGCGAGAACTCTCCCGAATAAACTGTAGCCCCAATTAGTATATCGATCTGCCCAGCGGCATACACACGTACATGCGACATTCCCGGAGATGAACTGGACGTCGAATGATTCGTTCACGTCCAGCGAGGCCTCTAGCTCATCATCCTCGACTCTACACTTCGCAGCGATGCGACCAACACTCTCCTCGTCCAGAGGTATATCGCCTAAGAAATGCCGTACAATGCGCTCCAAGTTCTGTACACGCTGGTCACTGTCGCCTGATGGGATCATCGCAAGGTCTTTCGGCGTCGAATGTATGAATTTCCGATTCGCTGGAGCCGCTTCTTGAAAATGACATGGCCGGCCTAATCTCTGACAGCGCCAGCACGGAGGGCCACCTTCGCACTTCTCCTTTTGTCTACGGCAGGTATCGCACCTTTCCAACCGATACGTTAACATGGACAAGTTGGATGTAGAGATAAGGGAGATCGCTTCGGCTTACGCAAGTGATGCCCGTCTGCGAGCCTGGCCCTCGCGCTTGCGCTTTGTTCCGCGCAACTCGTCTGGAAGCTCCATCGACATGCTGAGTCCTATTCCAAGTGCTCAGGTAGCAATAGGCGCTGTCGCGCTACTTAAAGCGTCGGCGTTATTCCGTCTTATCATGCTTATCATCGCAGGCGTTAGAATGCGGGGTTGAAACGGCGCCAGGACCAATGATAGAACGAAGTAAGAAAAGTGTATTGATAGCCGTAGAACCAGGAGTCATCCCCCCCAAAAAAAGCTAAATTAAATCAACCCCCATCTAGAGCCTTCTATCTCTTGCGCTTTTCCGTATCAAAGCAATCTCAACTTTATCGAAATGCCACGAAATGTAACCAAACATCGCTTCCAATGGTATCTTTGTTTTGTTGTGTTTTTAGAATCACGGAATTTCTCCGAATGTGACTTAGTCAACGTACTTCGGGAGCGTCTTCATGACGCCGTCCCGAGCAATGTCCTCCATGGCTTTGGTGATCTCACGGATAAATCGCTCGTCGTTGCGCAAATCGTCACCAAACAGGTTCTTGATGCTGAGCAGTTCGTGCGGGGTGGTACCGCCGGCGATAGCCTTGGCCATCAGCTCCTCCCGCATGGGGTCATCGATGGGAATTTGAGCTCCAGTGTCGTCAAAGCCCTGGAGGTAGCGGAACCAAGCCGCCGCAGTGAAGACTAAACGACGGAAGGGGCCGGTAACCCAGATCTGCTCGGCAATTGAGGGCATAATGAACTGGGGAATCTTGCCCGATGAGTTCACGCAGATGCGAGGAAGCTGATCCATGATGGTAGGGTTGGAGAAACGTTCCATGAGAGTTTCGCAGTACTTATCAATGTCGACCCCGGGAATATCAGGCAACAAGGGCTTGACTTCTTCCTGCATCATTTGCCACACAAACTTGCGGTACTCGGGGTGCTCCAAAACCTCGTGGACGTATTTAAAGCCGGCCATTGAACCGGCATAACCAATGGCGGAGTGACTGCCGTTGAGCAGGCGCAGCTTGTGCTTCTCGAACTGCTCAACATCGTGGACATTTTTAACAACCTGGACGCCGACCTTCTCGAATGGGGGACGGCCATCGGAGAAATGATCTTCAACCACCCATTGCATGAAGGGCTCGGTAACGACTGGCCAGGCGTCCTCGATTCCGAAATCTTCAGCAAGCGCCACCTTATCGGCGGCTCCGGTAGAGGGAGTGATCCGGTCGACCATGGCGTTGGGGAAGTGCGTTTTCTTTGCAATGTACTCGGTAACCTCAGGGTTTTTCTTCAACTGGGCAAAAGACTGAAGCATATGGCGGGTGATGGCACCGTTCTTCTGCATGTTATCACACGAAAGGACCGTGAACGGGTTGAGACCTTGCTGGTGGCGACGGGCGAGGGCGGCATAGAGGAAACCGAAGATGGTGGCGGGAGCCTTCTCGTTGGCGGGATCAAGGTCGTGCTGGATTTCGGGGCGCTCGCTTTGCAGTTCGTGGGTGTTTTCGTTGTAGAAGTAACCGCTCTCGGTGATGGTGAGCGAGACGATGTGGGTATCCGGGTGGGCCATCTTCGCAATGACAGCTTCGCGGTTGTCCGGAGCATACAGGAAGGAATTGATACTGCCCACCACGTTCGCGGAGCTGCCCTTGGCGGAGCGCTCGATCACGGTGTACAGGTGGTCCTGGGAACCGAGGGCGTCACGCATGGCAGTGTCGAATGGCTGCAGACCCACCCCGGCGATGGCCCAGTCGGTGACACCATGCTTCTGCATTAACTCATGAACGTAGACAGCCAAATGGGCTCTGTGGAAACCGCCCACGCCAACGTGGACGATGCCCTCCTTGACAGCCGCACCGCGCTTGTAGGTAGGGACCTGGATGGCCTTCGCTGCCGACGCAATCTGCGACAGATTCTTGGTACAAAGCTTGAGGGGAGCCATTGTGAAGGGAATGTACAATGGACAGATAGGAGAGGTTAGGAGAAAAAGAGGGAAAACAAGCTACACGAAAGGGACGAGGGCCTTAGCTTATCAAGGTTCACCGCCGAGCTATGCGCTGAATCCATTTGGAAAAGAAAAAAAACGCGAAAAAGAAAAGCTCCAGGAATTACATCATGCGGGTGGATACAGGGGCGAAAGCGAAGGCAATTGGAGCCCGAGAGACTGTTGGCATCAGATACATCCTGGAAGGAGGGTACAAAAATTATGGATCGCGAATAGATCGATAGCATCCATGGAAACCAGCATGGGCCAGCATGGGGGGGAATGATGTCGGGGTGGAGTTTCTGTTTTCGTCATCTTTTCATCATGTGGAGGCGGCCGAGGGGGGGCCTGGGAGCCTGGGATCTCGGGCATTTGCTTATTCTTCTGTTTTCATCTGGCCTTTTTCATCTGGGATTGCTTTTTTTTGTCATGTCCGCATGACCATGCTTGGTGGGGCATTCCTTATCCAGGCTTGTAGTTCTTCCCCCCCTTTTTTTTCTATACTCGTATAGTCGAAGTACGCAGTAGACGGAGGACCGCGGATAAGAATCATGTCAGCTCCATATAGGCTTCCTTCCCCCCCGATTGACCCGTTCAGGGGCAGCTGCAGTTGCAACCTGTTGGCTAAACGGCTGATCTATTGCGAAATTGGATGAATTAGATGAATTGGATACTTGCCGTATTCTAAAACATTGTCTGGACCCTCAGCTCTATGTTGAAACGGGGCTTGTTACCCCTGCGGGTGGGCGTTCGACCTCTCGGACAGTCGTGCCTGCTGGATTGCTCAAGCCGAGTTGGAAGCCTCCACGGCTATTTCAGCTCGCCTTATCGATTGGCCTCGAATTTGCTAGTCCATGAAGTTGATTCGAGACCCTGTCGACCTTTTTTGCATTCTTGCCGCTGCAGCCCCCGGCCCCCACAATCCGGACGCCACCAATCGGCAGGTTGAAGAATGCTGTCAATTGGGGCGGGTCTGGTACTAATCCCATAGAGTGATCGGCAGCGGCGGTCGAATATTCAAAATTGGAAGCGCAGGTGACTTGATGGCTCTGCCGACTAATATAAGCCTCAAAAATTGGCGCCTCGCTTGGACGTTGCCGGCTAGACCATAACGAGCTGTAATCACCCCTTATCGATCGTTCTTGATCACTCGAACGTGCATGTATAGGCCCATCAACTATGCGGAATATCAGATGAACCAATCTGGAACCAGTCGTCTGAGTGTAGACAGCTATCTTCATGAATCTATCTGATATCTCGCATGGTTAGGAGGGGGATATACCCACGTGTGAGTAATAAACAGCCACCCTATAGAAATCAAAGGGTATCGTGCCGTCCGATGATTTTCCAGGTTTGCACCCTTACCTCGTGTTTCTCAATGCAAGTTCTAGCCGCTTACAAGTGTTTGGACTGTTGGCGAGAACAGCTCACATGGCTTCAGTGATCATCGGAGATATCCTATTACTAGTACAGTTGATGGTCTCAGACATGTTCCGTCCGGCCCCTGGCTGCCAAGTCTAATAATTTGAGAAAGCGACGGTACCTTGCTTGCCACCCTGGCAGTATTAGGCGATCACCTAATACGAGCAAGTTTTCCAAGGTTATGTTTGTTATCAATACCGACAATGCTCTCTCCCAGGTGGGCCACAAATGTCAATCCCATGGTCCCGCAATATGATCTCAAAATACTCACTCGAACAACCCCGGCATTTCTCTCTCCGAGCCCTAATCTCCTTGGCTGGCCTTTGCGAGCGCTGATTCTGCACATGGATGGAAATAGACTCTCCATCAGCTAGTTTTGAGTCAGTGCTCGTATCTACTGCCATGGCCAATGTGGTGATTGCTATGTCAGTATCATCCATCCCAGGATTATCTCACCAGACATTCAAAAACCAGGGGACGTTTTCGCCGTTAGGGATGTCCTTTTACGAACGGACATCTTCAGCGTTGTTGGCCTTCTTCGGATATCGCGAGTTCCCTGGATCAAACTTCGGCACATGACTCAAAAGATCCAAGATGGTGAAACGCGATGATGCTGGAACATTATTTTTGCTTCAAACCATATGACAGGAAAGCGGCCTGCCCATTCAAGCCGGTATTGGCGCCTGGCGGAGCCCGCCTGGCTCATGGGAGCACCTGTAATTTGTGCTGGGATTATCAACTGTCTACAAGCTAATATCCCAGATCAGCCAGTCTTCATACCAACCTCCACTACTCTTATCTTCATAGGATGTGAAGACAACTTCGACTTCAGAGTCTACCAAAAGCTCTACGGTTTCATATCCAAGCTCTCAAGGACTCCATTTTACAGGCCCAACTCCAGCCCAGAGTGACCCGATCGGAGTCCGGGAAATTGCAGTAGTACATGTCGGCGTGCCGTTCACAACAGCCCGGACAGACAAAACCCTCCCACGGGCATTATCCTATCCCGGCACCGGAATCGGCGATGCAGTCTGCCTCGCCTTCCGATCCTCAACATCTTTCTGTGAGCTTCAGCAAAGGGCTCCACATAACCGCCAGCTTTCCTCTTTACTCATTGATACCCCAGGGACCATCGATCCCCTGGCCAATCACCCACAGCCAGGCCGAATTCGTCAGCTCTGCATCTGCGGGCTTTCTGCAGACCGCGCTGATACATTGGCGTGTAACGCGGATGTGTAAATTCGCCACGAATGCCCTAGGTGCTGCGCTTCAATCGGCTGCATACTGTACTCCAGTTTCCCCCATGTCGTATGCACGCATGCACGGTTATTTACAGGCTAAGTCGTCGAATTTCTTTCCGATATCTAACGGGACGAAAGCACACGCTACATCAGGCATGCGGCTGGCCAGATGAGGAGACATCAATACGCTACTTCTGACGACATTTGTCTCCGCCGTTGCTGTGTTGGCGTTCTGGTTGCCTTCGTCTCTGCGTCAGCGCGTGCGATGGGGATCTCGCTGTTTATTGATTTCAACGAGTGCTATGGCATATGCGTCGCTTTGCCCGACAAGCGTGGTCGAGCTCTTCGGCGTCCGGAACTTTACCAATGCCAATGGGGTCTTGTCTATAATTCAAAGGTTTACGACTCTGTTGGGGACTCCTCTTGCTCGGTTGTTGCTTCGGAGGAGCCCGCATTCAGAGGTGGGTCCGAGGAGCTACGATAACACCCGTATGTTGGTTGGCGTGCTGCTCATTACTGCTACTTTTGCAGTGCTGTGGACCAAGATTGAAGCCCGCTGACGCTGGAAGCAGATCATGAAAGCAGTAGGGAATTGTTGATGTGAGATTGCCAAACGATCGTCGGCTCTTACCTGGCATCACTGTTCTGCAGAAACCGAATGACTATGGCCCATGGGGACCAGACCGTAGATCCGACTTGCGACATTTGAGATCAATCTCCACCCCAGAACTTGGGAAGTATGGAATATGCGAGCTGATATCATCTGTTTACATCGATATGATGCAAACGAACAGGAGTCGCCACCTGCCAGCTGGATTGGAAGGGCTTACTTATGTCGTCATGCCTTGAGGCTCCGCTTTCCCCGGGACAACTCCGAGTACACACGTCCCCACCTGCACGGGCGCAATCTAATCGAAGCAATGATTCTTATGATAATCAATTTCCATGTGGTCGACGTAAGATGCGAATCTATGGTGCCGGTAACGGCTCTAAATCCAAGTAGTTCTACCGTGGCCTATCGTAAGTCATGACCCTAGGGAAGAGTGCTTCTGTCGCAATCTTCAAGGGCCTGGTGTCTGTGCTCTTTCTCCCATTCCCCCCATCAACCCACCAGCAACGCCATTCATGCGTCGATCAAGCAGATCTTCTTCACTTCCGAGAGAGGTGATACTTCGTCCACGCGGACGAAGAGAATCCGGACTCTCCGGGGCGCTGTGGAGCTCATCCTGATGGAATGTATCCTGGTATTGCGCTTGCGACTCCATAAGTAGATCAGTTCCCTTTGCAGACTCATCCTCAACCGTAGTGAACCCGCCTAGGCGAGATGACGAGAACGGCGACCGGCGCTTCTTTGGACGCCCTGTTAACCTCTCGGAAGGATTCAGCTTGGTCATGCTCATCTCCAATGGCCTGTCTTCGTCACCAGAAGATTCTCCAGTGAAGCTTCGATGGTGGTTTCGTAGCCCCTTGGCGTATTCAAGATGCCGGAGCAGTGTTCTCTGTCTCTCTTCCTTCTTAGATGCGTGAGATGCTCGGAGACGTTTGAACTCCGCGTCATCGCCCTCAGTTGTCTGGAACAAGGTATCTATCCACTGCGCACTGCGGTTGATGTACTTCCACGCCTCCGGGAAGAACCCAGCCATTTGAATGAAGCCATGCGAAACCCCTGGAATCAAGGAAACTTCCACGTAGTCTTTCTCCCGGAACTGGCGCTTCTGCTTCTCGAGCCCCAGCTCTTGACGTTCGTAGAATTGGTGTAGTTTTGCCTGGCGTAGTCGGCCTGCGAATATAACAGTATCGTCCACAAGAGGATCTCGCTCACCGGCCATTATGAACGTCTTGGGGAATGCAGCAAGTAGCGCATCCGGCGCCAACACAGGCGAGAGAAAGAAATCGGTATTGAAATCGGGCCGCTGGTGGGGTCCAATATAAAGGATAATCATAGCACGCATCATCTCGGGCGTGATGATCCGATCATGCACGTAAGAAATCATCGACGAGACCGCGAGCTGAGTCTTGAGGGGCTGGACCTGGTCCCCGGTACGGTCCTCGACATCGCCATTCAACGCTTTATTCTTCTTCAGTTTGTCTTCAAGTGCCTTTGCAGCCTCGGAAGCAATATCGGGGGAGTCTACAGTAGGTTCAGGCGATGCTAGTTTAGTCAAGTCTTCAACAGAGTGACCAGGGGACGTGAAGGGAGTCAGCTTCCTGTACTGATCCTTCTTCCGCTGCAAGATTCCCTGGTTGGTCTGGCGGGAGCTTTTATCCTGGATCAAGGACATTTGCTCATCTGTCATCCAGCTCTCGACTCTCATATTGAGTGTTGGGTAGGCCAGGACCAGTCCAATAGGCCGCGGTAAGACTTCTTCGCTCTTCCAACCTTGGATAAGACCGGACTGGATGACCATGAGTGTAGTGCCCACGGCCAAATTGCCACCGGCGCTCTCGCCAGTCACCACAATCCGGGGACAAGTCGCGCCGCTCATGCCTAAGCAACGCCCTTGGTCGCAATGATAGTGTGATAAACATCATAACACTCATGAAGAGCATAAGGATATGCGTACTCTGGAGCTTTCTTGTAGTCAACGCTTAGAATTGGAACCTTCAGTTGCCCAGCCCAACTGAGCAGCTTGTCTTCGGAGCACCGTGGACCCATGGCGACAAAGCCTCCGCCCGGTATATCCAGCACCATAGCTTTCTGATCCTTCAAGGCACTTAAGGGCCCATCAAAGTATAGCCATGCATCGACCGGCTCTTTGTGAACTGACTGCGCAGGACGGGGAATTCGAATGGCTCGAGGGCCATATTTGGTTAATCGAGGTCGCATCAAGCTGGCCAATGTCCAGAGGTAAGACGTTGTTGCTTTATTCCAAGATACCCTTAAATGCTCCAACGTCAGAGTTGCGCGAACCCGCCGCACCTTTTCGTCGGCTTGTTCGGCGGCGATTAAATAGTAAACTGTGAATACCAGCGAAGCGATGTCCCGCAACCACTTGGGCTTGACGGTCATGGCGGTCCAGTAACCGGCATCTAGACCGGTGGTGATCCATGTTGCCCGGAAGAAAGACCGAGAGTACAAGTTGGCTAATGGCTCCGGGCACTCCAGACCGACGATTTTGGCGAAGTTGCGGCAGACATACAGCCATAGAAAGATGATGACGGTTGTTTGCCAGGTTGTTAATCTGCTACTGAGACGGGACGAGATGGATCGAATGAACGGGGGGCCGTGTTTGTCTGCTCTGTTTATTCAATCTATTAGTCGAAAGTCGCTTGCATTTGATCGTTGGGGCTCCACGCAATTACTTTAGCAGATAAACCGACCAGAACGAGACCACCGCAAACACCTGGAACTTGCGGAACCGGGTCGAAGGTCGCCCAAGAACATGATCTGTTTTCTTGCTTTTAGTAAACGGACAATGGGTGTACTTGAATTCTTCCCACCTATCATCTCCACCTAAGAACCTCGAAATGCAAAGCCTAGCAGATAGGCAAAATGACGAAAATAAGCTTAAGAAAAAGCCTCCTGCGTTCTTTTATCTGAACATGAACCTAGAGGATCCAAATACATTCCCACGTGAAGTGAAAGAGTGCTGGCACTCGATCACATGTAAATAGGCCCCCCGAATCACATGTTAGTGACGACACCAGCTGACTCGTTTTATATTACGAGCCTTACGCTTTGCTCCACTTACTGTACAGATTATGCGCCCAGGCTACAAAGTACCGACCTTGTAGTGACTTCTATGCAGGATCCCCTATCGTGCTTCATCTGCTGTATGGGCTGTGCGGGGAAGATTGGCGGGCTTTCTACACGGAATTGCGGAGCTTCTGACCACGAGTGATGAGCAGGCGACAGGGCAAAAAAAAGAAAAGAAGAAGAAAAACCAGCCCACAGGTTATTCAGTTAATATTCTTCAGAAACTTTAAACAAATCGAGTTGTTCGCTATTTGATCCAACCATTTCTATGTTCTAGCAACTTGGAGGTCTACGTCTGGCGGCAATATTCTCTCCCATGTGCCACCTGGTACCTGCAAAGCAAGACTTCCCACGGCATACTGAGGAATCCAGCGATGCAGATCCCCGCCGAATCACTCACTGTCGTTGCGCCTAAAGAGAATTCTCGCTCCTCCTCCGGCACGCGCTCTCCAATCTCCGCAAATGTATTGACGTACACCGCCCCGCCCAGCAGGCCCTCCCAGAATATGATCGCAAACACAATGTATACACTGGGGATGAAGTTGAACATAGCGTGTAAGGTTAGCACTGCCAAGTTAACTGCCTGCAGCAGGGAAGGGACATAGAGCCAATGGATCCGGAAGAAGGGCGTGGAAGAGCGCGAGATAAATACCCCGGCTTGGTAGATGGCATTATAGGTTGGGTAGAAGGAGCGGAAATTCTCGAATGGCGTCGAAGGCAAAGGGAAGAGCAGTGTCGGGGCCACGCCCTGATTAATAACGTACTCGGCGATAAAAACGACAAGCAAAGGAAGCATACTGCGATCACAGTTAGCATCATTTCCAGGGAAGGATACCTGGGAACACTCACAATGGAAAGAACAGCTTCTTCAATCGACTCAGATTCTTCTTCGCCCGCTCCCACCCATGAAGATCCGCGTTGCCGCCAACCAACTTTTGCGCTTGATTCGAATGACCCAACAGGCCTGTCTCTTCCCCCGGTCAGGCTCCAGACCTTCCTCCTCTTCCTCATCTTCTTGAGCCTCATAACGCTCACCTCTCTCAACTCCAACATACCTATCTGCCTTCGGCTTCCGCAGCGGATCCCTAGGCAAGACAGCGAAGAAGCTCATGGCCATCGCAACAGGCAAACAAGCCGATGCAAAAAGTGTGCCACGAACCGAGATCCCCATCGCAGACGTCGCCAACGCATACGCCCCCGCGCCCACCAAGCCCGCGGCCCCCGTCCCACTCCCCCACGCCGCCAGACTGAACGGCCCGTAGAAGTGGGTGAGGCCCACGAAGCTGAGCTCGCCACCACCCGCCGATAAACTCGCGAGGACAATCCCAACGACCTTCGGCGCAAAGGAGCCGCCTTCCTCGTAGCTCGGACTCACGGCCACGACTACCATGCCCAGGATCGAGAGGGCGACGAAGACGAGGACGCGGGTGGAGTAGGGCACGGCGTGGATGAAGTACGGGGCGATCAGCTTAGTCGTGAAGGACGGGATGATGTCGGCGAGAAGGACAATGCCTTTGGGTAGATTAGGGCCCACGAGGTCGAGCGCTGCAGAGAGGAGGATCACGTAGAGGACATTATTGATCAGGCCTGAAGGTGGGTGCGTTAGGTTAAGTGACTTCTTTGCCCGGGACACTGGTTCGTTTGAAGGGAGGGGCGTGAGGTAGCATATACATACCGAAAAGCCAGAAAGCGATGCAGACTCCGGGGTCGGCACCGCTGAAGACACCTTGTAGCCAGCTGTAGAATCGATTCCATTGTGAGTTTGAGGCTTCCGGGCCTGCTGCGTGGGCGTTTCCGCCAGATGCGGTCGACATCTGGGAGGGCTTTGGTGCGTTGGGTAGAGGGTTATATGCTACAGACCGAAATATACTAGACGAAAACCATGATGCTTCTAGGCGCAAAGGGGTCGGGTTTCTGGAGAGGACGGTCGATGACGAGGCACGCGACAACGGGGTTGCAAACGGGGGGGGTTTATCAGGGCGAACCATACAATAGCGCGGGTACGTTAGGCCCACCGGGCCCACCTACGTCTCATCGAGACCTCCCCTGAAGTGAAGCCAGTCTAAACTATGAAGCACTGAAGCACTTTTTTTTTGTTCTAGTCTATCGCTAGATATATAGCAGATGCATCATGAACAAAATATGGAATATGCACTCGTTTCCTGCGAGGCTATCCAGCAAACAAATGGTATATCAAACAGGGGAACACATTACGGGCAGCGTGGAAATCAGACATGATCTATTCGAGACCTTCATGATTGGGCCGCAACGGAATCTAAGGCCTGCTCTAGGATATTCAGAGCGGTCTTGATCTGGCTCTCAGTGATGGTGAGGGCGGGGACAAATCGAAGACAACCTTCTCCAGCAGTGATAATCAGCATGCCACGTTCGCGCGCGGCCGTGATAATATCACCTGCCTTAGGAGCGATCTCAGAGGATAGCTGAAGACCCAAGATAAGGCCTCGGCCGCGAACCTCAGAAATGAGGTTAGGATACTTCTCCTTGAGAGCCTTGAAACCGGCCAAGAACTGATCCGACTTCTCCTGCACAGCACTCTGGAGCTCAGGATCGGCAAGACGCTCCACAATGTGGTGGGCAACACGGCAGGCAAGCGGGTTTCCACCGAAGGTAGTGCCGTGGTCACCAGTTTTGATGTGCTCACCAACAGTCTTGCCGGAGACAATGGTAGCGCCAATGGGGATACCGTTGCCGAGGGCCTTTGCGGAAGTCAGAATATCAGGGTGTGCAGCCTGGCCCTCGGCCGGGACAAGGGAAGGGTGAGCGTGCGCCCACAGACTTCCGGTACGAGACAGACCGCACTGAATCTCATCGAAGATCAGGATTGCGCCAACTTCGTCACAGCGCTTGCGGAGTGCGACCAGGAACTCTGGGGTAGCAACGTTCACACCACCCTCGCCCTGGATGGGTTCCACAATCACACCACAAGTGTTCTCAGTAACCAAGGTCTGCAGCTGCTCAATGTCATTGTAGTTGCCGTACTTGAAACCAGGGATCATGGGAGAGAAAGGTGTTTGGTACTTGGGGTTGGGAGTAGCAGACAGAGCACCCATCGTCCGGCCGTGGAAAGAGTTGTGGAACGAGACGAACTCGTGCTTGGCGCCAGATGGATCGAGAGAACGGCCAACCTTGCGAGCGAATTTGATGGCAGCCTCGTTGGCCTCGGTACCAGAGTTGGAAATGAAAACCTGGGAGGCATCACGCATCGCACCAGATTTCTTGGTCAATTCAATTAGCAATTGACTCAAAGCACCGGTCCAAGGGTTGTGGTAGAGGTTCGAGGCATGGACGAGAGTTTCAGCCTATGCATTGTATACACATCAGCGCTTGGTCTTGTGACAAGTCTCCATGGTGTGTTTGTATACCTGCTCGGAGATAATCTGAGCGATTTCCGGATCGCAGTGACCAAGAGAGTTAACAGCAATTCCGGCAGTCAGATCTAAGTATCGTCGGTTCTCCATGTCCCATAGGTAGCATCCTTGGCCCTTCATCATCATCGGGCCTGGGCGAACGTAGGTCGGCACCATGAACGGAGCTCGCTCTTTAATGAAAGACGCGGTGAGTGAGTCTGGTGCTGGGTCCGGGTTCGGCACAGATGCCTCTTTCTACGAGCCAATAATTAGCGATAGGATCCGGAGTAGCTTAATTGTGAAAGCAATTGTTGTACCTGGACCTGTTCCTTCACATCCTGGGGGACATTCGAGGTCGTCGCAAGTCGGCGCTGGACCGATGACTCAATCGAAGGGACCAGCCTGCCAGCACGAGGCAGGCGGCGCGAAGCTAAACGAAGGAAAGACATGGTAGAACGAAAACAATCCCAGCAACCCAAAGGAAAAAAAAAGCTCGAGAGGAAGGAGGAATCGAGAGGGAAACCTGAGTCACTCTGAACTGGAGATAAAAAAAAGCCGCGGATACATATGCGATATCGGGATCCGCACTGCGGCCTTAGTCACCCAATCGGCGCCACCGCGCCAGATGAGGCGTACGCCCTTCTGGCTTTACTCGTCTGAATTCCCCAAATCACTCTTCAACGATGGCATTTTTTCTCGCTTTGCGAAGTGCACACCTACCTTCAGCAGCGCGAAATTGCGCTGCTTTGCGTTCCCTCTCAACAACTGCAGTTCGCTGCAACAGCCCCAACGATCGAAAGCCAACCTTTCCGTTCGCAACTGGCCCTGCTCCTCCGCGTCTCGATAAGGAGGAACAAGAAATATTTGAGAAGCTTCAGCAAAGCTCGGCGGGTGCTTTCAGCACACCCAAAGTCAACCAAGTCGACCAGGCAGAGATCAAAGTCAATGGGGATGGCGAGGAGCTACATCCCGATGCGCCGAAGGGCTTGAAGCCGGAATTTGATGGCGAGAAGAACCCCAAGACTGGCGAGATTGGGGGACCCAAGAACGAGCCACTTCGATGGGGATCTTCAGGCGACTGGAGCTACGGTGGACGAGTGACCGACTTCTAAACGAGATTATCCCCTCGGTCCGGTGATTGCATAGTGCTGGAGTCTAAAATGATTCAAGGTTATTCGTGTATTTTATTGGTCTGCGCTGTATAAATGAGAAATCTACCATCTATGGATCATGAAATAGCAGTCCTCAAATTTCTTATCCTCTTTGAGGTTTGATGAAATATGGCGTAAGCTCTAGTATAGGCCCTTTTTGCCACCAATGCGTGGCGTGTTATGCCAGTTTTGCTTTCTCGCGCTCATGAGCTGCAACTGCATCTTCAATCACCCCCCTCGGAGCCGAACGAGCTGTCCAGAGCTCAAATTGGTCATAGGCCTGTGCAAGCAATACCTCTACTCCGGTGACCGTGTTCCAGCCCTGCTGTCTCTGTGCCGCTGTAAGAAGTGGAGTTTGCCTGGGTTGATAGGCCATATCAATGCAAAGGCCCTGAGATCCAAAGATGGAAGAAAACTGTTCTTCCGAAGTGACATCGGCAGGAATGGTCCCGATGATAACGTCGGGTAATTGTGGGAGCTCCTTGAGGCTAGCGAGTCCGGGAAGTACTTCGATATCGAATACCGACTCGAAGTCCGCTCTGACCTTATCTGCTGTCTTGGAGGTTCGGTTTACTAGAAAGATCTTTGGTATACCCACTCGGTGCATGGCATACAGTGCCGCTCTGGATGCACCGCCGGCTCCAATGACCAACCCTGCCTTGGGCTGACGACTTCCTTTCGTTGTGTAGGAGGTGATGATGTTATATAGTCCAGACCAGTCTGTGTTGTCACCAGTAATGATACGCTCGTTCCCTTCCCCTCGGACCACCAGGGTATTGATGGCTCCGATTGTGCGAGCGGTAACGGTCTGGTTTGTGCAATACTTGTCGACTTGAAGCTTGTGTGGCATGGTAACGCTGCCACCACCGAACTTGCTATCTCCGATCAAATGTGCAACGTCATGAATACTCGGTGACTCGCGAATTTCGTATGTGTAGGGGAGGTTATAGTGTTGGAATCCTGCGTTGTGGATGGTTGGGGAAATGCTGAAAGAAATCCCACTGCCAAAGATATAGAAACTCTTTGGCGAAAGTGTATTATCCATGGACATAAGCTCTGTCATATGTAAAGGAGCCAGAGGTTATTGAATTCTGCCAAAGAGCTCAAGGCCGAGGTCCTTGAAATGCCCTGACGGGGAATGGGTGCTAATTATCTTGACTGTGGCGGGTATGTATTTATCCATCCCACTGTGGGCCACCTATTGGAAGTACAACCCCAGATGAATATCACTCAAAGTCAAGTTGGTTCTATGAAACAGGGAGCAGAGTATTCAGGTATTTCCCGAGTACCGAGGGCCTCAACCAAGCCTTTTGCAGACAGTAATGAGCTGAATCATGTCTACTATCAGTTGTAATCTCGCCATTCCTACTAATAAGAGTTATTGGACTCAGTACACCATCACCCAGGCGATGATAGTACTAGATAGAGCTTCTGAGACCCTGGTCCCTCACGGTCTAGCACTTCTACTCGTAGCTAGTTATTTATCCTCGGGGCTCTCGATTGTTTCCCTTTTCGCACAGTGCATCTTAGAAGATTAGAGAAAAAGCTGCGGTTCAACTTCGGCTAGAATAAAACCCCTTTGCAGCTCCAGAACCGTTCCCCATCAAGTTGAGAGGATGATGCACTGAGCTTTCCTTCTGCTGTTTCTATAACCCACTCACAAGTAGCAGCATCAACGTCCGACTTGAAGATTGTCATGAAACTTCTTCAGTTCTGACTTGATCATATATTTGCTACTCCCGCTCGTTCGCCTTCTCATCTTCTACGCCTTCAATTAGTCCCATTTTCAAGCCATCCGCGAGAACGGGGAAATTATTTGTCACTTTCACCATCTTTCTTCTCCTGCTTTACATCAACAACCATCAGAATGAATGCTAGTGGCAATCTCGCTGACCTAGAACCTGGCCCCCCGCCGGTTGAGGTGAAAGAAGAAATGAAGATAGGTTTCTATTTGAGAGCATTGATAAGTATGTTCGTCATTCTCAAATTATTCTGCCACCTCAAGGGAGATTGATATGAACTCTGAGGGCACTAACAATAATACAGACTTGAACCGCTCGGTTCTCAAAGATCAGCCCACGACCAAGAGTCCGGAAGCTTCCAAGGACCGATCTATCAAGTCTGAAACATCCACGCCTATAAAATCCGAGCCGGAATCTCCCAAGGAAACAAGCTCTGCTAAGGCTGTTCTCATCGAGCAGACTCCCGAGCAGAAGGAGGAGCACTACAAACGTCGTGATGAGCTGATCGCTATGATAGACCACGCTATTACCATCCAACTCGAGTCTGTTGGGCAGGCTCAGCATTCAGTGGACTTCATGTTGAAGACTTTGCCTTCTGAGCTCAAAGGCATCTTGGATGCAACTCATATCAAAGAGTCTGCAGAAGACAATCTCCAGGACATAAGCTTGATGACCGCTTCCGTTGCTGAGACGTATTCCAAATGCTGCGAGATCCTGCGACACACTCCTGGGGTAAAGGAACAGCTCACCATGGCCAAATGGGACTCTGATGGCGACATTACTCCATACATTGCAGTGATCCAGAAAACTGGTCAGCTGTCAACCGACGCATACGCTCTGTTTCGTGACCTTGCCAAGGTACTTGATTTCTTGAGACCTGCGAAGGAGACCTTGCTTGCGCTTGTCCCCGCGGAGAAGCGAGAATTTGTTCCTGATCGTCTTTAAGATGTGCTTCGAGACTGAGCCCGTCCGCTTTCTAGGGAAAGTTTGACTACGCGAAATCTTGCTTCGTTCGATAGCTTTTTACCGCGTTTTTTTTTTTACGTAACCGCCCTTAGATGAGCTATGCGCTCCCCTGTTTCCGAGGATACGGGCTCTTGATTTTGACGTTGGAGTTATTGGACCCTGATGCTTTTTGTGTTTTCGCGTAGCCTTTTTAACAGCTTTTTTTTTTTCCGACGGAGATCTTGATCCCCTGATACCAATATCAATATCTACCTGAGGTTTATATGCCAACTGATTAGGGCATTCAGTTCTCTCTTTCGTCGTCAACTCGTATGTTCTTACGGAATTTCCAAGATGTGATGTTTTGCAAACAAACCGTGAGGGCCCGTCGGTTAAATTCTATCCGAATAATCCCCTAGTATTATCGGTAAGACATTTTGCATTTGACAATGATACGAGCATTTTTTTAAGTGCCTCTGAATCTCCAACAGAGCTTGGTTGAACCCGCATTCATAAAGAAATCTGAGATAGTAAGTGAGCATAATATATCTCCCAAGCAAATCTATTGCTGCTTTGACATGGGTCGTCAAACCGGAAGGCATGGTCTTCACGAATGGATTTTCCATCTCGTTAAATATAGAAAACAGAGAGTATCAAAACTTCAAAAACCTCGCCCCCTCACATAGAACGTACACTTTGCACGAGCAGTCGGCTAGATGCTCGTGGGACACGCAAGGTTTCGATGGATCGACGGAGAGATCGCCCGTTTGCTGATATGATTGGCTAGGTCACGTATCAGGTCCCGTCTAGCATGTGCGCTTAAGCCTCGCCCCGCCCCTGAGTGTTTAAAGTGCTGGAGTGGCCTCAATGTCATTGTTCTGAGGTTGAGAGAATACTTGAGAGCTTTCTCCTACCATGGCCGACACAACACCTAAAAAGAAGCGCATGTCGCTTTTGAACAGGATCCGATCCACTAGAAGGTCAAAAGGCCGGGGCGACACCGACTCCATTGCTAGTGGTCCGAGTACCCCTGAAAGAGCAGCGCGTTCTAAATTGTCCTTCGAGTCTCATCCTGACTCTTCTATCGTTGACCTGTCGCCGTCTCTGGCAAACAGCTATGATGTGATCTCTGTCCCTAAGGTCTCGGCGATTAATATCCACCCGGAGAAACTATGGGATCATGCGTACGATCGGCTTAGATCTGATCAATTTGAGCTGGTTGATCTCTACGAGAAGCTACTCTCGGTTCGGTTGGACATCTCTCATGATGCGAGTGACTACAGCGGCAGAAACATCATTAGCCAGGACCGGGGGCAAAGACAGCCCCAGATGGAGCGCCTCCTGCAGGATTCTTTGAACAGATTGGCGGATCATTCTACCACGCAGGGAAATACGCTTAATGCTATTGATATTGTTCTTTCGCTCAAATCTGCTATTGATTCCGAATTGAAGCCTGTTCCCATCCCTGCTGTGGCTACGACTGGATTATGCGTGGCCCTGCAGGTAAGCTTAATAACAAACATAACCATGACCTCTTTTTCCCCATTCGCTGACCACGTATCAACAGCTTGTCTTGGATTCTACAGACGGGTCTGCTTTGAACCAAGATGGTATCACGATCGTGATCTCCAAATTGAAGAGGTATTCCGTCCTCTCAGCCTATGTTCAACCACAGGATACCAAAAGCGATGAACAGGCGAAGCTCCGAAGTGAACTAGCAGAAAGCATTCTAGACCTCTACCAAGCCGTTCTGGAATACGCCATCAAAACAGTCTGCTCTAAGGGGCACAGCCTAGTTCTGGTTGAATCAAAGGGTCTTGTTAACTTGGACAACTGGATCGCAAGCTTAGACCAGATAGAGCAGTTCGAGGCCGCAGTACAGAAGGCTCTCGAAGAAATTGGCGAGGGTAAAGAAATCTCAAACTCGGGAACATTCGGTGATTTGAAGGTTTCTACAAAGGAGCGTGAATTCTTAAACGCGTTTTACGTGAGAGACATGGCGAAGGAGATGGCCTCTATTCAGCAGAGAGATCCGTTGCTTCCTGAATCATCCAGATGGGCTTTGAATACAAAAGAATATGCTGCGTATGTTAACTGGCACCCCAACAACAACAAGGGACTTCTCTGGGTCAGAGGAGATGCCGGGAAAGGGAAGACCATGGTGACCATGGGCATTGTGCAAGATCTTACGAAACAGCTACAGACCCACTTCGACGAGCCTGGTCTTTCTTATTTCTTTTCTCGCACCGCCGATAGTGAGAAAAACTCATCCACTTCGGTCCTCAGAAGCTTAATATGGATGCTTCTGCGGCAGAAGGGTGACCTCCTAAGAAAACTGTCGGCAAAGTTTGATGAGATCGGCCATGAATCACTCAATGAGCCAAGTGCATTTGATAAGCTGAAGGAGATCTTCCTTGCGATTCTCAAGGAGAAAGAATTCGGGAGAATCTATTTGGTGATCGATGCGCTCAACGAATGCAGCTTGGGATTATCACAACTCCTTCAGCTTGTTGCGGAAACATCAATCAATCCAAAAGTGAAGTGGATTCTCTCGAGTCGAAACGAGGAGTCTATTGAAGAAGGGCTTAGTGACGTTCAGACTGGTCTGGAGTTACCACTTGAGTCACATGCTCAACATGTCTCCCAGGCCATTGGCTCCTACATCGACAAAAAGATCTCGGATCTAAATGACCAGTACAAGAAAGAGTTCGAAAAGGCTGGGAAATCTCCCCAAGAAGTGGAGCAGCTCCAAGAAGCCTTTTCGATGGCCCGCAATGAGATTCATCGCAGAGCGGATGGGACTTTTCTCTTCGCAGCTCAAGCTTCCAAGGAAATTCAAGGCTGCGAAGCAAACGAGATCATTGGAAGGTTGCAGGCTTTATCGGTCCCCAATCCACCCGAAGGCAAGACGAATGATTCCGATAAGAGACCGCAGGCAGTCTTTCAGCGGAAAAACTCTGCAATAGCCGCTTCGGTTTCGAAGATCTTCTTAGTCTTGGGAATCATCCTGTTTCTCGTTGAATATCGCTCAGTTTTTACCTCTGTTTTCCATTTCTGATGACCCCCTATCCCCCGCATGATACCTGACAGTTATGTTGAATGATTTTACGGCACTTGATTGTTAAGGGCTGATAGCAATAGACAAATAAACGAAATATTGTCTAATTTAACTAAGCTGCAGCTTCCGCTGAAATGTTTTCCAAGCTGCTATGCCTCGTGCCGCGTGTTCCTCCGGTACATGCGGACCTGGCTCCGACATTGTCCGGGAGAACAGCTCCATGGAGACGTAGCCTTTGTAGCCCAATCCTTCGATAATAGCCCTGGCCACATCCTCGGCTGGCAAATAGGCACCCCGGCTCTCCTCATACATGAACAGCCTCGCATTCCGTGACCAACTCATCCGCGCAGGCTGTCCGTCCACGTGGAACGCATGCCCAGAGACCAAGGGCGACTGCATACGTTCTGCGTCCACAACTTGGATGTAGAACACTTTCGACACATCGATTTCTCTAACCAATCTTTCGAGGGATTGCTTGAGGTCCAGATCGGCGTTTGGCGTCTTTCCTGTTGGCGAGGCCGGATCCGCCCATACTCGGCCAGCAATGTTGAACGTGTCGAGACATACTCCGAAATTAGGCCGGTCTACTCGCTTGACGACATCCCAGAGCTTCTCCCACGTATCCACATATGTGCTCCAGCATAAATTCTCGTACGCAAATTTAATTGGAGGATCTTCTGCGGCCCCCATGTCGGCTAGTTCGCGGAGGTCCCTGGCGATCATATCGAAGTCGTCTGTCAATTCTTCTGCTGGCAGGAAGTTTGCAGGGATCTGGATGGTGGTTGTTTTAAGAGCCTTGGCAATCTTGAACCATAGCTTCATTTTCTCGACCAATCTTACGTGCTGATCGCGGTCTTTGAGTCCATCGTAGAAAAGAAAGGGCTGGAGGCCGATGATTTCGAGGCCTTGCACCTGGCATACAGCATAGACATGCTCTGCGGCCTTGAGGATGACATCGGAATCCGGATTGTCCTTTCCGGCGATCTTCCGAGCTGCATAATCCAAGTCTTCGTAGAAGATCTCGATTCCTTGAAATCCGGCCTTTGATGCTTGTTCAAGCTTGTAGTCGAGGTTATGCATCCAGGCACGTCCCAGGGACGCGCTCATGATAGCCGGTCGGTAATTCATTTTAATAGCGGGAGTCTGAGAGCACAGAATCCGAATCTCAAACAACAGTCGTGTGCATTACTAGTAGGATTCAGATATTTCTTGAGAGGGACATAGAAGACGTTCAAGTCCCCGCATATCGTCATCGGTTGGCAGCGGGTAAAGCTTTAGCCTGGTTCCAGGACCTCTAGAACATCGTATCTATAGCAGCAAAATTACCACTGCCATTGGGCCATCGAGGCATGCTTATAGTAGTTTCATGCACATTTATCCAAAAGGCGGCCCTTCACAATTTCTCGCACCGTCCATTTGTAGATAGAGTACTAGTACAAACGCAAACGCAAAAGCAGAAGGGCAGGAAGACTATTCCTCATGGAAATCAAGTTACTCTCCAATATCATCGTCTCCAGAATTTTCTGGGGAAAAAAAATATCCCAGTCGAGTTCTATAAAAGCCCGAGAAGCCCATAAAGTGGGAAACCTGGTCGGCTATGACTATTACCGGTCACATGACTAGACATTCACACTGGCAGTACTAGACAGCCCTGGCAAGATATACAAGACCGGAAAAGGCTGGCGTGGTCATGCCCACGGATATGGCCGGAGCCTTGAGATTGTCCTAGGTCTGATAGTTCAGAAGCTTCCGGGACTTTAAGCTACAACAACGGCATATTGTGGGAGTCCAGAAGTAAAATCGAGCTCTTGAGAAGCAAGTTAGCAAATCGTTTACTTAGCGCCTGACGGAAATCTAAGCTCTCGCGGTGTATGCAGATACTCTCAGCCGATCCTAGTGACTACCAGGATGATACAGAGTGGGGGGACCTCTGTCTTACGACTGTAGGTCAAATACTTGACCTACTGGAATATTTTCTTGAAATTATCTTGTTATACTTGACAATCTTCACTACTGTCATAACAGCGGAGTAAAGGATATCCTCGCAGCAGATCTTTCCTCGATACACGGAACAAACTATATATTCAGATACTATATTTATTGTGACAAGGCAAAGACACCTGTGATGTATAGTTGTCATGGAAGCAGGTTTCTCAGCATCATTTTCCAAATGAAACTCTGATGCTCGATTCTGACTTTCCGGTTCAAATGACGATGTCCAAGTGGTCGTCGCAATAAAAATCGGTGGACCGGAAGGAAGAATTTCTGCAAGTCGTTACGGTCGACAAAGGGGACAATAATCAGGCCTACGTCCAGGGCCAGCCCCTTATCATCAGCTTCGAAAAGCTGTTCCTTCAATCAATGGGCCTTGAAGACTCGTCAAGGCTTTTGGATCCGCTATTTATAAAGCAGAGAATACGAGGTTGAACGGATCCTCGCAAAGAGAAGTCACCAAGCCTCGCGGGCGCCCCCGCACAGACGGTACCACGAAGCCTCCCATCACCAAGTACCTAGTTCGGTAGAGAGGACAATTCGTGGGAGAGGAGTGATGGCCGAGAATATCGCCGCAGACGAGCTCATCGCCGAGTTCGAAGCTGTGAAGGATCCCTGGGCTAATGTTCTGCCGACTGAGCCAAAAAAAAAAAAACCACCGTATCCGCACATGTCCGCACATGATATGCCCAGGCACGCCTTATATAGTACACCCTCTAGCTGGAATCCGTGACAAGAAGCCTCCCGTCAGCTCGTTCTCTCCGACGCAACGGCCGGACCTAGCCCTTGGTCTTTTTAATGCACCTTTAGCCCTTCACATCTTTCCCCAGAAGGTCTTCCCCTCAATAACTTTCCCTTAACCTTCCTTTTATACCTACACATATCCTTCCCCTTACTTTACTGCCCGTATTATTACAGAACCTATACGGTGATAACACCACCACGCTTCTGATCGAACACTTACCTCTGCTACCATACAATGGTACACTTTTCGACCTTAACTTTACCTCACTGCCTTGCATAACTCACCTCACTTCATCACATCTCACCTCAACATCGCCACCGCGCCTACCACAATGGCTAGCACCAAAAACCCCGCCACTGATAGCGACGCTCAGGCTAAGATTCTACGGCAAGAACCCGCGACCAAGACACCCATGAGAAAACAGAGAAGATATAGAAGCCCAGGAAGAACCGACGGGGAAGCGCCACTGCAAGAAGAACGCCGTCCCATGCAACAGCGAAATGATTGACGAGCTCTGCATAAACACAAAAAAGGAGGAATCCGAGGCCAGGGAATGGATACTCTTCACTAAGGCGAATAAGCAGGCCTTCAGTCATGACATCCTAAATCGGGATGATCGCTTCCTTCAGCGCTGCAGGACTTCTTATGATTCTTCCCACCAACTCCTTCTGATCAAAATGACGGCTGCACCGGCTCACAAGGTTGCTGTACGAGAATTTGAATGGCAATTCTGGACACGTCTCCAGCTAATGAGACTTGAGAAGTGTATCATGGCTGAAGGTTCCGCAAAACAACCTGATTGCCAATTCTTCCCAATTAGACTTCCTCGAGGAAGATCTCGTTATTGGCCCACAGTTGTGGTGGAAGCGGAATTCTCAGAATCCCCCTGAGGATCCCCTTCTAAAATGGTTTCAGATACTCGGTTTTGGCTCGAAGTATCAAAGGATGTCTAAATGGTTATCGCAATAAAAGCCAGTCAGGACTCACCTCAAGTCGTGCTAGAGAGATCGGAGTTGGTAGACCAGAGAAAGAAACGTTTCCAAGTTGTTACAGTCAACAAAGGAGGAAACGGCCAGCTCTATATCCAAGACCAGCCTCTCATAATCAGCTTCGAAAAGCTGTTCCTTCGCCCGTCAAGCATCCCCAAAGAGGTGGACCTCAGCCTCGACAAGGAAAGTTTGAAGGAAATTGCTGAGGACATCGGGGAAACGCAGGACTTTTGATGATTACTATCACATACCCTCCGTGCTATGAATTGATCTCTTTCAGAGACAGGAACGAAGTCACTACTGTAGCAACATGGGAATGCATCATATCCTAGCCTTTATCTAATCAAAATTAATTATTTTGAATTTATAGAGGGCCTTTATTATACATAGCTCCTCTATACGCATAGATCTTAAAGTGTATATACCAGCAGTCAGGGATACCAATAATATATTAAGATTTGAATAATATAGTAGGTGAATGGTAATGATACAGTGATAGTATATGTGGTAGGTGCACAATGGCGTGGAGTGTTGGTGAATAGTACAATGGTATTTATGTTAGGCTCCCATTCAAGGGAAAGGCTCGTAAGATGATATTATGTCTTCTATTGCAGGAACGCCATCTCCTGGGGCCATGTCTGCTTTGGTTTCCGTGGCCGCTCCTGATTTTTTGCAGACTAGGTCTTAATAGTGGGACCTGCGGGCCTAGGAGCGGGGCTTAGCTTATTAGGCAAGGGGTTTCAGAATAGGCAGAAGATATACTCCGTAGGGAGCGGCCGACTATAAAGACTCGGGTGCTATAGTCGTACAGATTACAGCCGATGGGGCTTGCATGCGCACATCAGCTGGGGCCCCGAGCTAGTTCATCACAGACACTGGAATATTGTAGCTGCTCCCACTATAGTCGTAGCTTCCCCAAGGACTTCCCCCTTGGTGGCTCTGGATAGCCCAAGGTAGAAGAACCTGCGCCGAAGATCCGCGGCAGGGGAACCTTGGGAAGTTTGGAGCCTGTCCATAGCCGCTCAGCCCAGCGAGTTCCCGCTCACGCGCACGAGCAAACCAGTATGATCCGATCTCCACATGCAAGATACAGTCTTGGCCCCATCACGCTAATGCTGCATCACTCACCGTTTTTTATTATTTTTGCTCTTGTGCGCCCACAACGTCATTGGATCTTTTGGATCTTTTCCTGAAGATTCATCTTTCTCCTTCCTGCGAGACTTGAGAGAAACACACCTCCTGGCCCATTTCTTGGTTCGTGGCTTCTTCTCCGCACCCCCTCACACGATCCGGGCGCAGAATCTCCGAGGGGACATGGAGTAAACGGGATCAACCGCTGATCCTCCTCTCCGTCTGGGCCTTCCGGACTTTTTCCACCGCTCTTCTTTCAGCTTCTCTCCTCCCATCCTATCCCGACACCTCGAGGATGGACTTCTTCCGGCGGCTACAGAATTCCTATCCTCCTCGCCCGTCTCCTCTCGGGAGCCAAGAGTCGAAGGAGGAACGACCTCGTTCCTATCCAGCAAACGACCGTCGCGAAGACAACCCACGACCGTCCACGCGCTATGAGTATCAATCGCCAAGCTCTTCCGCTCATGTTCTCACGGGCGCATCACGATCATCACATCCTTTACGCGAAAGCTTGAGCGCTCACACTTCTCCTACGCGCAATGCCAACCCCCATCCACACCGACGCCATGCCAGCTTAGAAAATCGGGATCACCCTCATATACATCGGCGGAATACGTCACAGCCACAGTCTAGAAATGGACGAGAAGGTAGGCAAGATACTACTTTCTATACTTTGAAGTTCCTTACGTTTTGGGGAAATTTATTGTTGCGTGCCCATTTGTGCCCAAGGGGGGCGTTCCCCTTGCATATGTGTTTACTCCCCGGATCCAGGATGGGGCTCGGAGTTGTACCGTGGTTTAGTCCTCCAGGTTTCCCCATCCTGAGGCGCTCTCTGGGCACTTAGGAAGAACCACGGGGGCGAAATGCTCCCTAAGGTTATGAGGCCATTGAACAGTGATGATTCGTCCTGTACGACGCCAGCCTCCCACTGCGTCAAATCTCCCCCCTGATGCCATTTTTTCCCCAGTGGCGCGGATCCTCCTCCGCTCGGGAACGCTAGGCTGGATAAGGGTGATCCGCGCTAGTCTCTAACGGGACTAGTGCTGTCAAGCTGCCCGGACTGGGAGTCACGGGTTAAACTGGGTCCTGGACTTCGGGAATTCGGCCATCCCCTTTGCTTCTGGCGCGAGAAACCACCACCCTGTGCACTCCAGAAGTAGCGGTAGCCCTGTCCAGCCCGGTAAGACTCGAGAATCTTGGGATCGACGCGAGCCCCGATGATTCATGCAGAAACATGTGCCTTATCTCGTGACGTTCTTATCCGCTTTGTTACCCTTCCGAGACAAACCCAACTAAATTCTCATCTTTCAATCTAGGGCAACAAGAACCTTCGGCATCTCCCACGGTCGGCACTCGTCAAATGCCTCCTCCATCTCCCCCTCACCCCTATGGCTCGCGATCCCAGTCGGTAAACGCGCCTCCATCCCTTCTCGCTCGCGATGCGCCTAGCAACCAGCCACACCGTCCGGGCAGCAGCATGTCAATTTCCGCCATGCTAGGCTCTGATCCCGAGCGCCCGGCGCGGGACGCTGGATCTTCGCTGTTCTCACGCCCCTCTACATCGTCCATTTTTGGCACCGCGCCAACATCAAGCGCTGCGGCTATGTCGCCGCCCACGGCCCCAGCGCGCCCGTCGCCGCTAGATCAATCGCTATTCCGTCGATCGCAGACCCCAGAGAAGACTTTCTCGAAGCCCCCAGTGGCCCGACCTTACCGATCTGGCTCGGGCGGAGGATCAAGCCTTCTGGGCGCAGAACAGTCTAAATTCGGGGGCCTTACACGTGTTCCGCCGTCCCAATACCCCGAGAAACCTCACTCGACGCATCCTTCGCCTCAAGTTTCGCCCGCGGACCTCCCTTACGAGCCCCGTCGAATGAGCTTCAGTGGGCCAATCGCTCGGCCCAATAGCCAACCTCCCAATGCTGAGGCGCCCACGCGTCCCCCAGGTACAGCCCCCTCTCGAGACCTGGCGGCCTGACAGATCGGTTCGACTCGGGCCCGCGGGCTTCATCTGCATCTTATGGAGGTACCGAGGCCCATGCGCGCGAACCCCATAATCGATACAGTGGGCTTTTCGGTGATCGGCGCTCTGAAGAAGCCGCCCGTGATCGGGAGCGGGACCGAGCGTCGCATACCTCGGACTCGAAGGCCAGCCTCGGCGGACCGACTCGATTCGGCTCCATTTACGGCGAACGTGATATGCTAGAGCGACACTCTAGTGCATCCACATGGGACCAAGGCCGGTCGCACCCATCGTCTCCAGAGGCCAAGCGGTTTCCACCGCCAGAATCAAGCTCAGGTTTTGGCTTCGGAGCCATTCAAAGCTATACCAAGTCTTTGGGCTCCCAGCCCGGTGGGAGTAGACAGCCACCGTCAATTCAAACCGGGCATGGACAGCCTCCCCTGTCTCCCCGTGGATCCCCCTACCTTGGCAAAACGCAGACCCAGCCACAGCGCGTGAGTTCAACTCCGACCTCTGCTGCTTCCACTGGGTCTGCGTTGCTTGGTCTGGCGAGCGCTGGCGAGGAGGGCCGCCGGAAGGGCAGTGATGAGCTCCTGCAGCATCGTAACCTGCTCAACGTAGGCTTTAACGGAAAGCGCGGTGGCCGAGCTTCTCCGCTGCCGCAGGCTGTGCAGGGTGCGCAGGCTCCTTTCATCAACCCATCTGGCGAGCCTGGGATCAAGAATGAACTAGGCAGAGTATTTTCTGGAATTGGCAGCGGTGTCGGCGGCGTTGGGGGTATGGCAACTGGATCCACTGGTAGCGGTCCTTCTACTCCTATGATATCTAGTCCATTTAAGCGTGATAGCGGCACCGGCCGCTCTGTTAATGGAGAGATTGATGATACCAAGATCTCAAGGCCGCCATCTGCGAATGGCGCCCGACGATCCCGGAAGTCTCGCGATGAGGACCAGATGGAGCTTGAAGCAGCTGGTCTTTCTGGACGAGGCCGCCGACCCCGGCATGCCCACCAGCATCATAGCCATCATCATCACCAGTATGTGCCCGGAGCGGAGAGAGCATCTTCTGCGATTTCCACTAACCCCTCTAGCCATCATCACCATCGTCACAAGGCTGAGGAAGAGGTAGCCGCCTTGGGCGGTCTGCATCGGCCCATGTCAACTAATCATTACTATGGCCGAACATCTACCCCTGCTGATCCTGCCGGACACCACCATCACCACCACCATCACCATCACCACGCACCTCGACCAGCTACCATCCAACCGGCGTCCCCTGTGCGGGAACCTCGCACTGTAGTCAATATCGAGCCGCTAGTCTCTAGCGTAGCTCACCTTCCACGGCACCACCTTGGATCAACATTGTATAATCCTCGTGTGAACCCCCCCTCTGCAAAGGCTTCGCCGGAGAGTGCCAAATTCGGTTATACAACTACGCCGCTTCCTCTCCCACGCCTTGAACAACGCGAGAACTGCACCTTCACAGTGCGTGTTCCCCGTTTCCGCATTGACCACAGCCACCGCGAAGAGATCTGCGCCCGCCGCGCATTGTGGGGAACGGGCGTGTATACGGACGACTCTGACCCAGTCGCTGCGGCCATCCACTCGGGCTTTATCCGAGGCGCCTGGGGCGAAGATGTTGACGAATCCATGCTTGATCTGGAGATCAAAGATGACTACCAGCATGCACCCCGCCCCAAGGCAGCCGCTCAGAACGGTACAGATAAAGAAGAGTCAGAGAGTGGTCCTCGTTTACCCCCTGTGCCTCCAGGAGACAAGGATCTCCATATCACGTTGTTGGTCCTACCACGACTCGAGCAATACGACTCAACTGTCTTATTTGGTATCAAATCGCGCAAATGGGACGGCCGCCATGACGGCATGAGCTTCAAGGTGCATGCCGTTGACTGGGTGGACGATGGAGTTGGACGCGGCGAGGAACGAAATGGCGAGGCCCGGCGGAAGCGCCTGCGCACGCTGATGCAGACGGGCCGTATCTGCACGGGACCCGCCATGGCGAAGATCGATGAACTTCGTCGGCGCGGCGTGCAGGTTACCCGGACCATTGACGGGCAAGAACAGCCCACGCATGTTCAACCTGTATCTTGATTCCATTTGCTTGGCGTCTAGCTTTGGTGTTTCGGCCCTGTGTTCTACAGAGACTGGTCCTAGTTACTTCCGGTCTTCCTCTGGATAGGTCCATGTCTTGTTTAGGGTGTATTCTTTGCGTTGTGGTCGGGATGTTCTTGTCTTTCCAGCTGTTGATACCTGTGACTAGCGCTTGTTTTTGGATTTGTGAAATGATGTCTGTTACTCTTTTTTTTTTCTGTCTTATCTGTTCTGCATTCGGTCTGCCTGTTGAGCATCTGATTTGGGTCGGATGAATGGATATGTCAGTGCGAGAAAACATATGCATGATATCCTTTTTCTGACAGCTGCAGGTACTTTGTATACATAATTCCACTTGTCCTCGGGGACATCTACCTGACCGCGATCCCTTTTGCCAATCGATAACCAGTATTTCCGGGGGCCACGGTTCCCCGGCACTAGACGGCAGCTCTCCCCCGCAGTTGGACTTGACCGGAGAAAAGGACAAAACTTAAACCCTGTACGCCCATACCTTACGGTCACGGTTTCTGTACGTACTAGGATATGTACATAACGTAGTCTTCTTGGACTAAGCTTCCTATTGCTTGCCTGTAATAGAGCGTTGGCCACGGTATACCGACTCGACCCCATCCTGTGATCACCAACAATGGAGAGCCACAATAGAAACAGCCGAGGCCCAAGGGTTACCAGATTGGTACACTGTGATGAGGCTTGGCTGGCGACTAGTGTAATATAAAATTCGTCTTATTGGTTCCTTTCGAGCGGTCAATACCCCATGTTCCCATTTTCGTATTGCAGCGTCTCACCGGTCCCCGGTCCGCACCGCCTTCGGTCCTCCCCATACAACCGAGGCTCATTCCTAACGTCCCGAGATATTTGATCTGCGGAGACAGGCTCAGTTCTGCTTCTTTCTTCCGTCTCACTTACTTGATTCCCCTCTCCAGCTTCATTTCCATATCATAGTGAGGGATGTTCGCTGCCTCTGCGCGAAGCCGTCTCTCTACCCTGTCAAGGCCCCGGCTCCCTCCGACACAACTACTTTCACGCTCGGTAAGAACGGCTACCTCCGGCATACGGAGGAGAAATCTCGAGAAAAATTGTTAATTCTGGACACAATTGACTAACTGTACTCCAGGCACCCACTATGGCTCCCCGAAGAAAGGCTTCGTCTGTCCCTGAGGGTTAGTACTACATGTTTTCGTACGTGGTGGGGGGGCATGCCGTCACGGAAGCTCGCGCTGCGCAAGTCTACAACCTTGGGAGAAATAGCGCTAACAGAAGTGTGCAGGCTACGTGGAGGATCTCTCGAAGGGAAAGATGCTTCGTTTCGAAGACTCTTTGCCCGTCTCCCCGTTCCTGACCTGAAGGAGACCGGCGCCCGCTACTTGAAGTCCGTCCACGCCGTTGTTTCGGAGAGCGAGTACCAAAACACCAAGACGGCTGTCGAGGACTTCGTTCGCCCCGGTGGTCCCGGCGAGATCCTGCAGAAGAGACTGCAGGAGCGCGCTGCCAACCCCAAGATCAAGAACTGGATTTCCGAATGGTGGAACAGGGATGCCTACCTCGCCTACCGTGACCCTGTCATCCCTTACGTCTCCTATTTCTACTCTTACAAGGATGACCGTGAGCGCCGTAACCCCGCGAAGCGTGCCGCTGCTATCACCACCGCCGCGCTCGAGTTCAAGAAGCAGGTTGATGAGGGCTCTCTGGAGCCAGAGTACATGCGTGGCCTGCCCATGGCCATGAGCTCCTACCAGTACATGTTCAACTGCTGCCGTATCCCCGCCGACGGTGAGGACTTCCCCCGCAAGTACGCTGCCGCAGAGAACCAGCACATTGTCGTTGTGCGCAAGAACCAATTCTTCAAGGTTCCTCTGGTCGTCAAGGGCAAGGCGCTCAACGTGTCCGAGCTCGAGCAGCAGTTCCAGCGCATCTACGATATTGCCCAGCCCGCCCCGCCGGTCGGTGTGCTGACTGTGGCTGACCGTGACCACTGGACGGCCGCCCGCAAGAAGCTCATTGCCGCCGACTCCGCCAACGAGCAGGCGCTCACTGATATCGAGTCTGCCGGCTTTGTGGTCTGCCTCGACGACGCCAAGCCCGTCACTCTGGAAGAGCGCGCTCACCAGTACTGGCACGGTGATGGCTCCAACCGATGGTTTGACAAGCCCTTGCAGTTTATCATCAATGACAACGGCACTGCCGGATTCATGGGCGAGCACAGCATGATGGACGGAACTCCCACCCACCGTCTCAACGACCATGTCAACAACCTGATTTTCAACAAAAAGATCGACCTCTCCGCACAAGCTGTGCGTTCCGAGCTCGCAGACCCCAAGCCCATCACCTTCCACCTGAATGACGAGACCAACGAGGCCATCGACATCGCCGCCCAGTTCCACCGCAAGCAGATCGCCTCGCACGAGCTGGTCGTGCAAGCCTACCAGGGCTACGGCAAGGGTCTGATCAAGAAGTTCAAGTGCAGCCCGGACGCTTACGTCCAAATGGTCATTCAGCTCGCCTACTACAAGATGTACGGCAAGAACCGTCCCACCTACGAGTCCGCGACCACCCGTAAATTCCAAGAGGGCCGTACTGAGACCACCCGTTCCGTCTCCGACGAGAGCGTCGCTTTCACCAAGGCCTTCCACGATCCCAGCGTCTCCCGCGAGGAGGTCGTGAAGCTTTTCCGTGCTGCTCTGGCCCAGCACACCAAGTACACTCTCGATGCTAGTGATGCCCGTGGTGTTGACCGCCACCTCTACGGTCTGAAGAAGCTCATCCAGCCTGGCGAGAAGCTGCCCGCTCTCTACGAGGACCCTGCGTACGCTTACCTCTAGTTCGTGGTACCTATCCACCTCGCAACTGAGCTCGGAGTACTTCAACGGCTACGGATGGAGTCAAGTCATCGACGATGGATTCGGTGTTGCCTACATGATTAACGAAAACAGGTCAGTTCCCCCGCTATAAACGAAATCATCTCCTACGTCCATTTTGAACCACACGCTGATTCTCTCTCTTTTAGTCTCAACTTCAACATCGTTTGCAAGCGCCTGGGCGCCCACCGCTTCAGCTACTTCCTGAACGAGGCCGCCTCTGAGCTGCGTGACGTGCTTATGCCCGATCTGCTCGCCCAGGCCGAGAAGGCCAAGCTGTAGAGAGTCTTTGTTTTGGAAACTTGGGTCATTCTATACCACTTCTTTTCCGGTGACCTTGGTTTTCTAGCGGCTGCGATAGATGAGTAATCTTTCTGGATAGTGACTTTTGTATACAATATAAAATTCTTCTGTATCGGCCTCTGCTCTGGCATGTGCAATAGTATTGACCATAGATCGCCGAACTGGAAGTGATGATATACTAAAAGTAGCGCATATGACGGACGTCTTAACTATCTCAGACTATGATAGGTCTCTCATTCCTGCAGACTAGGGATCGTCTCCTCGCTCCTTTCTTCCTGTGAGCTAACAGAACCCCCTGGGCCAACAACATAGATTGTCAAATGCTCCCTTCCCCCCACAACCGCCGACTTCAAATTCCGCTCATCCAGACCGCTCTCATGCGGCTCATCCAAAAGATAAAACTTCTCATCCTTTAAGAAAACCCTCCCAAGCACCTTATCAGTATAAACCCCGAGCACAGCCCCAAACCTCTCCAAAAAGTTTGAATCCGCCAAAAGACTCCCAATAGCAGCAATACTCGTCGGACTCTTCGGCAGCACCCGATCTGTATTCAACGCAAACGACCCCACAGCCCCCAACACAACAATCACCCCAAGCAACACATCCAGCACCCTCGTCGACGCCATATTCTGCACGACCCGCAGCCGAGTCGGCAGCGTCACCGTGCCGCGAACCGGTGCGCCATCCAGCGTTCCGTTCGCGTCCACCCGGGTGTAGTTGTTGAGTTCCTGCGCTTGGACAATAGCCAGTTGTCTCTGAATAGCCGCGGCAGTCGCCTCGTCGCCCGATGCATCCCGCAGTGTCTCGAGCGGGAGTCCGAACCGGCCCAGCACGAGTGCGGTGAAGAACCCGTCTAGATCGCGGTAGGCAGGGAGGGTCGCGATGTACAGCGCTGGATCGTTGAGTGATGTGATCCACGGCTCGCTGGAGAGGGGGATTCCGGGGGCGCGGCGCGCGGTCGAGGCGTCGGGGACTGGGGGGTGGGCGTCTGTTATGTTGAAGCCCGGGAGGTCGAAGCGGATGTCTGTTTCGACGATCTCGGGGGTGTTCGTGCATGTCATGGCTGTGATGTGGGCGAGGGAGCTGGCGTCGGGCCCGAAGAAGCCCCAGGCGAAGAGGGAGACGGTGGCGTTGCCGGATTGTTCCTCGGAGGTGAGTAATTGGGGGGAGGTGGCGATGCCGAAGTAGGAGCTTTGGACATCTGTCACGGAGAGGAAGTTCCCTGCGGCGATGATGGTGGTTTTGTTGGGGCCGTAGGGGTCTAGGGTGAAGGGTGGCCAGTTGAGGGATATGGTGTAGTCTTTTGAGCTTTCCTGCCGGGTTACTGAGGCGTTGAGTTCAGCACCTGTTTTTGTGATGCAGGAATGGTTGGCTCTTAGGGCTGAGATGCGCGTTTCCATGTATACTCCTTCGCCGGTGCTCCAGTTGGGGGAGGGGCTTGTGATGGAGAGCTCGGGAAAGACGAGGCCGTCGTAGGTCCATTGAGGGTAAGTCAGGTTGTCTTGGATGATGTATTCTGCGATAACTTCGCCGTAGGTGGATCCAAGAAGTTGGTAAGCTGTGTCTGCTTGGTAGGCTCCGATTGTACCGAAGACTGTTTTCTGGGTGGCATTTACTTCGATTGTGCGAGGGACTGCAATTGCTGAGAAAAGACCACTGGTTACGATGTTAAGGAAGAAGGTGCCTGATGCAGCGAGCGTGCCCGCGAGAACAGCCCAATGGTTTGTTCGAATAGAGCGGACTAGGTTGGTTAGATCGAGGGCATCGAGGAAATTCAGCCCCAGAGATTGCTCGAACTTTGCACCAGATTTCTGTTGAAGCTGTGCATATGGAGCAACAGTGCGGATATTAGCAGTCAGACTTCCGATGAAAAGGCCAATGAGGGTCATCACAATCGCAGGGATGGTAGTCCACAGATAGTGCTTATATGTCACATCGGTGACATCTCCAAGGCCATCGTTGACGTCGGAGAAGTGGAGGAGAACCTCGAGAACCACAATGATAAGAAGAATCACGATAAACCCGATCATCCGAGAAATGAAGTTGGGGAATGGTGTCCACGCCTCATTCTTCTCTTTGGCCTCATCATGCGAGGGCGGGGAGCGAGATCTAGTTGCCCGTCATTGGTAACCTCGATGGATATACCGGCCTCTGTTTGGCGAGCGACATACTTCGACCCGGCAAGATACGTATCCAAGGTTTTCTGAGAGATACCACCTGTCCCCGCAAGAAGTTGTCGCACGCGTGGGCTCGCCAAAAGGATAGCCCCAATAGTAGAAACACGGTTGGGATCGTACGGTGGAACCCCGCGACGTGGATCGAGTATGATGATCGCAATCACCTGCAATATAACTAGAGCTAAGCAGACCTCGATCACACGGAGTGACACATTTGTCATCACCACGCGGTTCTCTCCAACTATGGCAGAGCCAGTGGTCAGCGATGTGTGTTGCTTTGCCAAAGCTTCATGCAGCAGCTGGGCGCCCACCGCTTTGTAGTAACTGGAGGCTATGTTTTGCAAAGCTCCGGGTTCAAAGAGTTGTGTGATGTCGCCACTGACGCCCGCGATGTAAGCGCCGATTTGGAGGGGGTCGTTGAGATTTGTCTGGTTTCCATACGGTCCATTTTTGGCGTAAAATGCGTTGTAGTCTTGTACAACTCGATAGTCGCTGTCCTGCAAGCTGTGGTCCATGTACTGGTCGATCCACAGTGAGATGTCCGTTGCCGATACTTCAGGGAAGGTTGAGCTTTCAGACCCAATTCTTTCGAGTCTGGCTGTAGAATTCCCGGCAGCACTACCATGTGCCAGCATATCGATCCGAGAATAATTCCCATGGCAGATCAGCTGAGAGGAACGATCCAAGACCATATCGGAAGATCCATCTTCGTTCTCTGGCGTCTTTTCATGAAATTCGACCAAGTAAACCAGGTAGCGGCTTTCATTGGAGTAGTCACATGTAGTATTGACAAATTCCCCAACGTACGGAATGTTCTCGTACGGCTGAGCACTAACCTGCGTGGTGGCAATAGAGTAGTTGGAGATGGTGCACGAAGAAGAACGGAACTCGTTGACCACTTGTGGTTCCACAGATTGGTAAGAGTTGAAATTAGCAAATGACTGCGAAACTCTTTGCCAAGTCGTGATCGATAGCTCTGCTTCTTCGCACACCAGATCTGTCTGCATCCCATTAACAGGAACGGTGATGTTAGAGTCAGATGGTAGATTTGGTGCCGAGAATGTCTGATAGGTGGCACTAGCTGTGGTGCCTTCTGGATACGACAGATTCTCAAAAAGAATGGCACTGAGCAGATTGACTGGCTGCATGCCAGGTCCATTGAAAGTTGCGTTATTCCCTTCGAAATAGTCATTCAATTGGACGGACACATTACTTTGGCTCACGGCCATCTCTTTCAAAGTAAACAAACTGGTCGAAAATATGATCGCAAGCCGTAGGAGGAGGGTGCACCCCACTCCTGCTGCTACGATAAAGTCCTTGTGCTTGAGCGCTCTCCATAATGCAACGGGTTGCATAACTGAGACGTAGTCAGAAGCATGCTCCGCTCGGCGCGCTGGGCTTGCTCTTGCATCGATCTCCATGGCGCACACTGTTTTGCTTGGAACTCAGCGCGTGTCCAAATAGTAGTGATAGAGAGGAAAATCGCCGCGGGTGCATATGTCCAGCTATAGTGAAGGCTTTGTTTCGACGAGGCAAGGCCAGACCGCGACTGCGAGACATGACTCAATACTTCGAGGGCTATGATCAGTCCGCAGAAGAATGCAATGAAGAGACAGAGGACGCTCCGTCGCAGGTAAAGCGGCCGCCATGTCACTGGATGAACTTCATTCGATGTCTCCGGCTTCACTTCTCGTTGGGGCTCGCGATTTTGGTGTTTCCAGGGGAATTTCAGTCCCGCTAAAAGTTTCTCTTTCGAAAAGGCCATTAGGGATTTCTCGATGTCTTCTGGACGGCCCCGAGGCATATCAAAAGGCGCAATCTTAAACGTGTCCCGCTCGCATAGCTCCACCAGGCCTTCAATAGCGATTCGACCCAGGCGAGATGCCAAAATAAAAACATATCAGGGTTCGCGTGAGCCAGTTCTTCGGGGCCAGCCTGGGATCCCCTCCCTTGGAGCCGCCATGGGGGCCGAGAAGAGGCTTAATGCACGCATGTGGGACAGCAGCTAGGCGAACCGCCCATCAGATCCAATGATAGAAGCCGCTTTGCACTCGGGCGGCTGATCGCAGCTGAGAAAAGTTAAGTTCGATGCAGCCTTTGCCCGCAAATGATACGAGGGTCCCGCCGCTAAGAAGGCGCGTATCCACTTCAATATGCGCCTGAACACATGAGCCCTTCCAGAATTGAAGACATGAAAACGTCCCAGTGGTCGATGACGATGATTGAAGTCTGTAGGATAGTATGTACATGAAATCTAGCTTCCGACGATCTAGTCGGTTCTCCACAGCCTTTCACCTTGTAAGGTATGCAGAGTATATATAGTACGAGCAACCCGGTACTTCTAAACAACTCCATGCTCAACTTGGATTACAATATCTAATTCTGATAACAGTATTAGCGTTATTATCAAAATGGAGGCTTATCTTGATCCAAGTCTAGGTCCTAATGACCAAGTTCAAGTTCTTGGCTGCCTATATCCTGTCCTGCATACTACTAAGACAAGGGCATCCCAGCGTGTAAACTACTACTAGCAGTAAGAAGCGATGCAATGATATTGACTTGCTCAGTTGGTATACTCTCTCCAGAAAGATGCTCAATCTTGAAACTTGAACTTGAATGTGTATTGAACGCATCCACTGCAACCCCACCGCTTGTACGCAACTCGCTATCGGTATTACTACTAGTATACCTGCTAGAAGGCTCTATGTCTGTATGATTAGAGCAAAGAAGTGATTTGGAAGGCCCATTTCGGTACGGACAAGTAGTCTATTGAGCCATAGAAATCAAGCATGAGACATCCTAGAAGAGCTTTAAGATGAACGACAGGACCTGTGCAAGGTGCTCCTCCCAACTAGGATCGTCTCTTTGAACCCGATTCTCATCGCAACTTTGCACTTGGCTTCGGAACGATGCCCAAGAAGTAGTGATCTCCACGACACGGAAGCGATCAGACCCCTATTGAATGCGATGCAATCAGGGGGAAGGTCAAGGAGAAAAGCCTTTCCCAGAATCGAGGGGACGAATAGTACTTCGCATCATGAAGACTTGATCTACAAAATCCTTCGAGAGTGTCCACAGGTCCACGGGTCATGAGATGGGTGCTACGTGAGCAAAATCAATTAAAAAGAACCCACGGGATAGCGTTCTCGATCTCTGTGAGAGTATTCGAAGCATACGCCACGCACACGTTGGTGACTATCATACCCCAGAGCAATTTGATTTTGGCCCTTGGTAAGATGATGACGGGCTTAATGAAGGCTCAGTCCTTTCCGTCTGCCGATCGAAGTGGCTGTGGATCTACCGTTTCGGCCCCTTCTCGTGCATGGCTAGATGCAGCCACTGGGGGAGAAGGAGCGGGGCGTGGAGAGGTGGTCAGATCAGCAATCTGGCGTTCTGTGTCACGGGTCAGCGAAGCACTTATTGCCTGATGGGGGATTTAGGGTCAAAAAAAGGGCTGAAAGGACTTGTCTCCTTTTCGCCCTGGATCCCCACACATAAGCGGATCTCTCTGCTGGGTGGCCAGAGGATCGAAGAGACCAATGCCACTAGTGCTTACCTAGTTCTCGTACGCGCTGACGCAACATCTGATTCTCTCGGCTTAACATGGCTGCCTCGGCCTGGTAGTAGGCGCCTTCGTCGCGACTACCTCGACGCGACGTACTATCGCGTAGTACGGGGAACGACTCAGTGCCTTCCGACTGGCGAGATGCATCCTGCGGCCGCAGGTTCGGCGATGCAGCCTGGCTGGAAGGACGCGAGGATCGGCGATTGGAAAGAGATGAAATTGACAGTCGGCTGCCGTGGGGTACAGGTGGAGGCATTGGAAGGGAAAATGATGGCGACCGTTCGGCAGGAGCATTGTCGTCGACTACGGCTGTGTTTGTAGCCGACTGTTGCTGGTTCTGTTGAAGCTGGTTCAATTGGGCCTGTTGACTGCGAATCATCTGCAACAGGCGATTCTAAAAGTAAAAGCCAAGCATACGTCAGTTCAGCCCATTAGGCTTCATTTCTAGGAAAGATGGAAAATGGTTTGGACCCACCACTTGTGCTTCCTGCTCCTGCTCCAACTCTTGATGAATTTCCCCCAAGGAGGGCGCCCGTTGGTGATGCGGGTCTGCGGTCGCAAAGATCGGGCTGCTGGCGTGGCTGGTGGGACTGGCCGTGCGATATGCTTGGCCGATGGAAGAGCGATGATCAGACCAGGGACTCTCGCCTTGGTTTCCCGCGCCGCTACCAGCTGCCTCGTTTTGGTTGAGATTCATGCTAGTAATGGAGCGACGCCGTTCAGATACTGATCCTTGGCCGGTGCTAGATACGCGAGAACGTCGATGGGAGGTGGAAGGATTGCCGGGTGCGGGGGCGGTCCCTGGGGAGAGGGCCGGGAGGTTACGATGAGGCAGGGACGAAGACGAGGAGGAGGAGCGAGATGGTGGAAGCGAATTAATATCAGGTGGCATGATGGAGCCGGATGGATGGCAGGAGATGTGTTTCGCTTGGATTTCGCGATGGGAGCTCTAATGCTCCAGTGGGGTACCGCACATGACGAGTGGGCTGATGAGTGGATCAGTCATCATGCCCGCGGGCGTTCCGCGGGGGCTGACGTAATATTTTGCCTGGGGCATCAAGGTCCAATATTCAACCTTGGAAGCGCAGACAGAGATCCAGTTAGTCATTCCTCCATAGTTTTGAAAACAGCAACTCCACCCCGGCTGGTGCCCAGGGGCGAACTAGAAACGTCCAACTTAAAATTCTCTACGGAGTACGGAGTGCTCAGTCAATCAAAAAAACAAAAAAAATAGAAAAGAAAAAAATTTCCTCCCATTATTGGATAGCCCAGAGAGAAACCCCAGGATCTGGGGTATCTGCCATGTTACCAGCAGGCACTCTGCAGCCCCGTTGTCCCAGGGGTTCCCCGGCTAGTATCGTATCTCCGATTTCCCAGTCCTGGTGGAATTTTCAGAATCCTTCTCGCGTACCCAAAGGCCAACGGCTGGACCATCCAGCAGTACCAATTGTACCAAGTATTGCTATCTGCAGCACCGAATAAATGAGGACATCCCTGGGTATATAGCGCGCAATGAGATTAATGAACCGAATCTGGTGTCAAATCCCAGATGAACGATGTCGCCGAGCGGGACCTTGTGGTCCTCGAAACGGGTGGGCCTACGGCACGCGCATGGGCTGAAAGTTTGTTTGAGCATAGGACAAGACCTCAAAGCCCTGTTCAACGTGCTCTGTATAGGAAGACCGTTATCGAGAGATTTGCGAGGTCGGTCAGCTACATCTCAACGCATCTGTGCTCCGGAACCGTTCTAGTATGATCGCCAAGATGCCGCAATTACCGGAAAGCGTAATTTGTGATTAATCTCCTGTATTCCCACTGAGCATGAGATTGTTTTCGGATCTATGCCGTATCCAATTTTGGCGCAGTGTGGTTCTTGAATGCACCCCCCCTTGATTCCAAAAACGACTATCTCGTACGTTGAGCCAGTGCAAACAGTGTAAATTTTCTCCACAGGGGAGAAGGAAATGGGGGGGAAATTTCCGCCCCTTGCAATCTGCAGACGCGTGGCTGACATGGCCGCTTTGGCCTCGGATCGTCAAGTTCTGGAAAACTCCAGATGCGTAAATGCGCGCTGATCCCAGGATTCGGCGTATTTCGCATACATATTGCAATATTTGCAAGTTCAGGGGCTCCACATCGAGCCATCAATCTGCGACTCACTATAGAATCATTCTAATCATTCATATCAAGATTTCTCTAGGAAATAATCCACGTGAGGTCGATGGTCCCATATTCAGCCGCTCAGCCGATACACGGTTCAAACAAGAGTTTCCGGCCCCTGTTCGGGATGACGATCATGGCGCCGCCACGCCTGCGACCAAGCGTCTTCTTTGGCGCAAAGTGTGTGGCTGCTCCCGGTTACTATTACCGGGCAGCGGTGATAGGTGTCCCGGCCATATGACGTCACCAGCTTCCAAAGGGCGCCCGGTTTGGGCGATCCTCGAACTGGTGGAAGCCCTCTGGCACAAGGATGACAGGATGTCAATTCGGTTCCGCCGGCATGACTCGCTAGAGGCCCGTAAGATGGGGTTTTCATTACCATTAGAAAAAGTTAGTTTCGGCTTTTTTTTTTTCCTTGCCTTGCAATACGTCCATGATTGCGCTATTTTTTCTTTCTTGGTTCGACGGATCCCGTGGGGAACCACGCGGCACAGACACCTGAAGTCAGGACCCCAGCTTCCTTGTAATCGTGGGGCGATTTCGGTATTCTCTTACGAGCGAGGTTCTGGGTCATCTCGACGGAAATTTTTGGAGATTGCATGCAGTGCACTCCGTAGAAACATCCCGATTGCGGACATTCTTCCCCGACATGACCGAATCGGGATGTATTCGGGATGAAGCGAAACAGGGACAGACGCCCAGCGGTCGGTCCTGGGTTTGGTGGAGCCAAATGTCCAATCGTGATGGATTTGGCAGGGAGGGTCTTCCCTTTCCGGATGCAGTCGGGGATGTGCCCCATCCTATCACACATGGCGCCTTTCTGGTGCCATGGGGTATGATGGGGGCCTGAAGAACCCCGAATTCCCTTTTACCCAAGGTATACCAACCCTAACCCAAGATAAACTTAGGCGCGCCCGGTCAACTTGGAGAAAATAGGAGAATTGGGGGCCTCTCTGGGGAATACTGGGGCGTAAACGAAAAAAAAAAAGGAAAAAAAAACGAAGGAAAAAGCGGAGACGTTTTCACCCACGGGGAAACGATCCGTCGGCATCCCGCCTACTTCGGCGCTTCAGCCATAGGGAAACTGGAAAGCGAAACAAATCTGGAGAGAAAGTGGGGACTGGAGGATGTCTCTAGAATTTTTATACCTGAAAGGGTCTAGTACTACTGTGCTTCTAGGCCCAAAGTTAACCAAAAAAAAAAAAACGAACAAGAAAAACCTGGGGGCTTAATCCCAGAAGGTGACCTCAACCAGGGAAATTCCTGGCCGCATCAGAACTGCCCGCGCTACAATCACTCCAGTCGCTCTTTCCGGCCCCGGTATTTATGTATCCCTCCTCCCCCGTTTTCACATCTAGTATTCCTTTCTTGATCTCCACCTATTCCCTCCCCACACATCTTCTCTCCCATACTTCCTCTCGGATCTTGCTACCGAGCTCTTCGTTCGTCATCGCCACGAGAAGGGTAAGTCAAAAGACATCAAACATCAAAAGGCATGTGGTTACTTAAGGGTCCGTTCTAACCTCGCTATAGTTCCAATCATGGCAAGCACCCCGGAGAAGGTGCCTGCGAGGCAAGATGCAGTTCATACATCCGAGGCTTCCAGCACAACACAAGGCGATGCGACCGCCAATGCCAACCTTACCGAGAAGACAGAGACGGATCCACACTTGGAGGATGCCGGGCCCGATGGTCGGGTCATTTTGACGGAGGATATGTGCTACGACAAGCTTGGTTACTCTTGGAGCGAAGGCAAGAAGTGGAGGATCATCGCTGTGATTTTCTTGGTCCAGGTGTCCATGAACTTCAACACTTCTCTCTACTCCAATGGTTTGGCGGGTATCTCCAAGGAATTTGATGTCTCGTTGCAGGCTGCCCGGTGTGGTGCCATGATCTTCCTGATTCTCTATGCCTTCGGTTGTGAGCTGTGGGCTCCATGGTCTGAGGAACTGGGTCGTAAATACGTACTCCAGTGCTCCCTTTTCTTTGTCAACGTTTTCCAGCTTCCGGTGGCTCTTGCTCCCAACTTCGCTTCCATCATGGTCGGCCGTGCTTTGGGTGGTCTGGCTTCCGCCGGTGGCTCCGTGACTTTGGGTATGGTTGCCGATCTGTGGGAAGCCGACACTCAACAGTATGCGGTCGCAGCGGTCGTTTTCTCTTCCGTCGGTGGTTCCGTTCTGGGCCCCGTCGTTGGTGGCTTCGTCCAGCAGTACCTTCACTGGCGCTGGGCCATGTGGATCCAGTTGATCTTCGGTGGTTTCGTCCAGATCTGCCACTTCTTCCTGGTGCCTGAGACGCGTACCACTGTTCTCATGGACCGCATTGCGAAGGAAATGCGTGAGAGCGGCGAGAACCCCAATGTGTGGGGTCCTACTGAGGGTCTCTCTCTCCGTGAACGCTTCCCTCCTCGCGAGATCATTGCGACCTGGATCCGGCCATTCCGCATGTTCCTCACCGAGCCCATCGTGTTGACCTTGTCCCTGCTCAGCGGTTTCAGTGACGCTCTGATTTTCATGTTTATCCAGTCGCTGTCCCTTGTATACGGCCAATGGGGTTTCAACGACTGGCAGGTCGGTCTCGCCTTCATTCCTTTGATCATCGGTTATTTCATCGCTTGGTTTTCGTGGTTCCCCATCATCAAGCGCAACATGGCTGAACGCGCCGCCAACCCTGATAGCGAACGGGCCCAGTACGAATCGCGACTGTGGTGGTTACTCTATACTGCCCCTTGCCTGCCTATTGGCTTGATCGGTTTCGCTTGGACCAGTTTGCCGCAGTGCCACTGGATTGGATCCATGATTTTCGCTGCCATCATCGGTATCGCCAACTACGCTATTTACATGGCCACCATCGACTACATGATCTGCGCTTACGGTCCCTACTCTGCCTCCGCCACCGGCGGCAACGGATGGTCTCGTGACTTCCTGGCTGGTGTGCTGACCATCCCCGCAACTCCTTTCTTCGAGAGTGAGTCTTACAAAAACAGAATACGTCCTTCTGTTGAATCAAAAGCTAACACCCTTCACAGACATTGGTGGAAAGCACCACTTGGAGTACGCCTCCACCATCCTCTTTTGTATCTCGTTTTTGCTGGTGACCGCTGTCTACATCATTTATTGGAAGGGCCCTGTTCTGCGCAAGCGTTCTCCCTTCGCCCAGCAGCTTTCCGAGGCTCGTCACGATCTGGCCGTCCAGGTCGAGCGCCGCCAATCCAAGGTCCCTGAGCACTCGCGCGCCAACTCGTACGCTCGATCCCAGCAAGACCTTCGTCTGCGCTCTACCCTCGGCAACAGCAGCCGTCCCGGCTCTCGCGTCGCTTCGCGTGCGAACTCCCGTGCCAACTCTCGTGCCAATTCGCGCCGCAATAGTTTGGTATCTGAAGAGGAGTAAGCTCTCTTATGTCTAATCGCCATCCACCCTAATCTCCGTGGATGATCGATCAGATTGACGACGGAAAGAGGTCTAGCTGAAGGATCTACGAGGATTTTTGCATTTTCCGTTCTCTGTGCATGACTTCAACCGCAAGGACCTTGCGCTGTGCGTAATGGATCCATGCTTTACGTTGCATTATTGTATCCAGGATTTGGCGCATCACCGTCTCACATGGCTGTCTTGAGTCTGGTGCTCGGTCGTGAGATTCTTGGTTTGGGACCCGCCACAAGGTGTACCCAGATTGTGTTTTAAATAATATGTATTTCATTTCGCTCTCCTTTTTTTTTTTACGGCACCCAAAAGTCGCACTGGGATATATGGCCTGGTGTTGTATGTATGTTTTGGCTTTTTTGCAAGTGATACCTTTATGAGCCTCATACACTAGCTTTATTTTTTTTTTACCCTTTTTTTGTCCTCGAACTTGCTGAGTTGTCTGGTAGTATTAGTCTTGGCCGATATCGAATAGAGCTATGACTATCTGTAGTGCTTTCATAATTGATCGTTGGAAACAAGAGCACAAGTCCTTAAGCCCCCGCAGGGAGCAGATCTGCAGGTGGGCCACTGATGCTACTATAGTAGGCATACCTAACATTCAGTCCCCCTCTGAACACCAGACTTGGAGGCAGTGCCAGTCAGAAGCACTTCAATCAATCCGTCTTCCCCACGGAGCATGAGCAATGCCATTTCCTCGAAACTTGGTCCAACTGAGAACTCGAAATGCATTACTGAGTCGGACAAAACCCGATAAGATAACCACCCGGGCCGTGCGCCTCTCCCCAAACCCCGATTCACTGTGTGGCCTCATGTCAACCTGCAGCCATGAGCTTCGCCGCCCTTCGTCCCGTGCGGGTTTCTCTTCGAAGCCCCGCCGCTTCAAACAGAGTATACCCAATTTCAAGGGCCCCATTGAATCAACTCCGCATGGCCTCTAGCACGCCCACGCCGCGCTTCGCCGAGGGCGAAGACCAGGCCAAGGTCGGCTCGGACATCGAGGCCCTGCAGCAACAGGGCTGGGTACTAGACCCGGAAGGCTCAGGCGTGAGGAAGACCTTCTACTTTAAAAGCTACTTTAAAGCTATTGTAAGATTTCCTACTCGTGCGCTCGGACTCTTATTCCTTGTCTTTTCCCCAACGGGTACAGTGACGGGAGCATAACGGCTAACGGCTCCAGTCTTTCGTTAGCATGATCGGCGCCGAGAGCGCGGTCAAGAAACACCATCCTACGATGACGGTGGTAAGTCCCACGGCCGATGAGTGAAACAAGGGCTAATTTTACCAGCGCTTCGGGTCTGTTGATGTCCACTGGACTACGCATCAGCCTCGCGGCCTCACCCACAAGGACGTTTCGATGGCGCAGCATTGTGATAAGGGAGCCAATGTTATTGGAGCGGTGGAAGCTGGACAGGGACAGAAATGTAGTTGATACTCTCTGTGCGTCTATGCCTGAATATTTGCTAATGCGTTCGGACCACTGGATGGTCTTTGGGTTTGGGCGAGGCAACTCTATGCTGCTGTATGATATGTACGCATGTTCTGGGAAAAAACTACGAGTAGTATTCTCAGTGGATAATTGATCTCGACTTCAGGACAACTGGAACCCTTTCATCGTAGAAGGTATCAAGTTCATTACTGTTCGAGTTCTGACGGAACGTGGGAGATATTTACCAGGGAGTATCCTCAGGGTCCATTTCCAGCCACGGATGGCCTTTGACAGTTTACTCAGAGTGGACCTAGACAGCCTTCGTCTGCTATTAATATCAATTCCCGGGGGAGGATTTGCGTCTCTTCCCATAGGGTTGGAGGTTCCAAGGATCGGAGTCTACACGACTCCACCGAGATCATAGAAACGAGGCGACTTGGACTATTTCCGGGTAGCAGAATGAGGATGATCTCCACCGCACTAGCTACTTGCCGCGCCGGGGCAGGTTTAGCCCAATTCTAAGTTGACTATTGAACCCGGGAGACAGGTTGACTATTTTCTCCATGGGGAATTGAATGTATACTGGGTTGAGTTTCTTTGTTGCGAAAGGACCAGAAGGGATCAATTGATCCCATGAACCCTTGACCACTAGGGCTTAACCTTTAACAGTCTAAATAGGTATGATTGGAGGGCAGACTCCATCCACTCAATTTTCATGCATCTCGCATCACCCTCGGGTCCTTCTCCAGTCGAGCAGGCTGAGGGGCTTTCTTGGTCTGGAGCTTCCAGACCGGCGCAATCACCCCGTCGATCGGACTAAGAACCCCTGCTAGATCCCCCCCACTTCCACGGCCCAATTTCCTGGGCCATTTTTTCTTGTCTCCCTCCTCCTTTTTTTTGTACTTCGTCTATATCAACTCGTCGTGGAACGTGGAAGAGCTGGATCGTGGTGCAGCGACACCTTCTGTTCCGATGATCATTGCCCTCTTAGTCTAAAACCTCCTTTTTCCCTTCGAATCCATTGATCAGGCGATGTATGGATTGGGGTGACATGACGGTCGCAATGTCTGAATCCGATATACCAGAGGCAATTCCCTCCTTTGGAGAGCGCCGGGGTCACCGTCTTGCTCCTTTACAAACCAACTTCAGCCGCCCGGCGCCGCCAGTGCCATTCCGACGTCAACAGCCGGAGCCAGCGCCAGCGCCTGTACCCAAATCGCAGGCTTCCAAATTACAACGACCCCGACCCAACGAATCTCCAAGCCTCAATGGCGAGGAAGCCTCACCCTTGAACCCAGTCAAGCACCAATCGTCGAAGGGCAGTTTAAGAAGCTTGTTCAGCCGCGAGAAACCCCCTCGGCCGACCCCTTCGTCGGATGGCAAGTTGGCAGAGATAGACGAGGGCCAACTGGCGCAGGGAGCTGAGCCCGGACCAGATGAAACACCACTTTCTCCCTCGATCGCCAGTCCCCGCACCGCACGCTCCACTCCTTCCCTCGCCTCGCCGACGACGCCCCGCCCCCGGACCACCCTGAAAACTGCTCGACCGAGACCGGCAAATACAAAGCCTGCTCCTCCATCTCAGTATGGCTGGAAACCGCCTGCTCTGTTCCAGGCATACCCGCAATCGACCAAGTCAGAATGTCTCCCCGCACCCTCGATCTCGGCAGACTCGATCCTGCGACTCCATGCCGGAAAGAATGGCAATGACCCCCATACTCAATTGGGAGAGGAGGATGCGAAGAAGAGAGAGCAAAGAGAGCAGGAGCACTTGCGAACTCTCTCGGATACTATCAACAAGGTTGAGTGGACCAAGAAGATCTATGTGCTTGCGACAGCGGGCTACATCCTGCAGTATGCAGGGGATGGGAAGCACGATCGGCACCCGGAAAAAATGCTCCAATTGGGTCCACAATCAGTGGCATTTGCTAGTGATGCTATTCCGGGTAAGCATTGGGTCGTTCAAGTGTCTCAAAACCCCTCGGCCGCCGCAAATACTGCTCCAGAGCCCCCAAAGTCTCGTTTGGGCGGCTTGGCTTCCACCGCCCGAACGCGCGCAGGCTGGCGGGCAACTTTCTTTTAGTCCTGGAAGACCCGGACTCGATGATCTCCTGGCTCACTGCGATTCGGGCTGAGATCGAAATTCGAGGAGGACCCCATGTTCCAACGGAGAAGTTCTTCGACGATGGCCTCGGCACTTTCGGGCCCAAGCCAGGTGTTAGGCAGGTGGTGAAGAAGGACCCGCATCGGATCTCAAGCTTATTTCTTCAGCCTCAGGCCCAGAATCTTCGCATCCCGGATGATGAAGAGGATGGTCGTTCTGTGGGTGGTACGAGCATGACATGGCAGTCGCGGCGAAGCTCGTTCGTTTCGGATAGTCATCGCTCCGCGGTGGAATCACGAGCAGACTCCGTCTCGACGGCTTGGGGGGAGTCCAGCGGTGTAGCCAGTGGATCTGAAGCTCTAAATTCATCTTTCGCTTCCTCAATGACTTCGCCGACCTCGCCTCCTATCCCGAATGGCACGTCCAGCAATGGTATGCCTATTGTGACACCAAAGGCCGATGCCTTCCCCTCCAATATTGATGGGGAATATCCTCAAATTACACCTGCCAATAGCCCGCCTGTCGGTCGAGGGAAACGTCAATCTTTGTACGAGGCTAGCCCTCCCCCGACTATTCCTCTTCCAGCACGCCCAGACGGTACACAGGGTACCGTACCACAACCCAACATACCAGAAGCCTTTTCCCGAAGTACTTCGCCTACGACAAACAACTATAGCGTGCCATCATTCAGCAGAAAATTTATTCCGCGTCAGGGCCTTGTTCCTGTGTCTTATCCTGCAACATCTGGAGGCGAAATTGACGGGTTCAGCTTCACTTCCCCCCCCTCAGTCTCCCACACCCAGCGTGAGCTCGCGCCAAACGGATGCCTCAGAGGCAACTTATTTCTCCCGAGATAGCACAACTCGCCGTGTCCTGCGACCATCGAACTCCGAGGATGTGCTGTCAAGAACCATTCGCTCAACGCAGAACATGCAGTATGCCTCACGGACTCCGCGGGCAAAGATCTCTCATGAGGTCAGTCCTCCGCCATCTCGTCCACTGAGTTTGGTGGGTCGATCTGGCTTGGGTATCCAGACAGGTAATGGCATGCCACCTCAGAGTCCTCCGTCGGAGGTAGTCCCAGTACCGGCTCCGGTCCCTCGTCCCCGAGTCTCGACAGCGCACGATGTACAAAAGGTGATGCACCGGAAGAGCATGCCTGGTCTGAACTTGGGACCTCCGATCGCACCGCCCCCTAATATCCCGCTACCCAAGATCCCCATGGCCTCCACCCCCTCCTCACCCGCCAATACCCTGGCCCCGTCTCAGCCCAAGGGGCCTGCTAGTGGTGTAGACCGATTCTACCAATCTGCAAACATCCGGGACCATGTCATTGATCGCCGGAAAAGCGGCTCGCTGCCAAAATCCAAATGAGATCTGATTGTTTTCGAACGAAAGTAGTCGACACTTCTCAACCTCATTCTGTCGTATATACTCCTACCCATTCACGACTTGCACATCGAAAATTCCTTTGCGATTCACCTTTTCCGCGCTTGCGCGTCTGCATAAAATACCCAAAATACCCTCCGCATACTTTGGCATCCTTACGTCTTGGTCTCGATCTCGCTTTCAAATTCTTCACTTGCGAATGGCTGGCTCAATACATAGTATCATCATCAGGATCTTTTCATTCTTGTCTTACAATATACCCTTTTTCCATGTGATCTTATCTTTTAGCTGGCATGGCTGAATATCTATTACATTCTTGGTCTTGATTACTGGCCTGGCTGGCAAAAAGTAAAATCTAATGCCAATAACTCATATCGATGCACCTGCCAGTCCCGTCACTAGGTATGATATACATATACGTTGGGATGGCATGACTCAATAGTGGGTTGAGATGAGCCTATGAAAGCATGTCAAAAATGAAATTTCCCATTTTTACGAAAATAACCAAAGCTGCCAATACGATGGAGTATCAAGACGCCGGGATGAGCTGGTTTCTTCTAGTGTAAGATCCCAACATAAATAAATGGTAACGCAGCGGTTGATTCCCAGATATAACCGATCTGGAAATCATGAAATTTAGGGTGGGCGACATCGGGGAATAAAGCTGGTGTAAGAAAACGACGAACTACTCCTCTGCCTCCTCAACGCGGGCAGTCAGATCGCGCTTGACAGGAGCCGAGCTTGAAGGAGCTGGCTCGGCAGATGTCGTAGTTGCCGACGGAGCCTCCTTTTCAGCAGCAGCGGGAGCAGCCGCTGCTGCCTTCTTGCTGCTCTTCTTCTTTTTCTTATTCTGCAAAGCCAATCAGCTAAACCCGACGACGAATGAAAAAGGAAAGAACCAAGACTTACCTCCTGCCATCCCCACAACGGCTTAAAACTATCGAAGAAGCCCACATCCTCGAACAAATTCGGGAACAGCCACAGACCCGGCGGCACCGCAAAGACAGTAATGCAGAACAAAATCAGTCGGAAAATAGACATCGCGAAGAACAGCCCCAGTAGCCCCATCATACCAACACTCAGGTACCACACGCCCTGGCGCAGCATAATTGGCCACAGTGGAAACAGCACCACCGCAAAGATACCGGCCACCACGGCCGCCGCCATTGCCTTCTGCTTCCACTGCGGGCCCTCCCACAGCCACACGTAATGCATCATGGGGTCGGTCTCCTGGTGCTGCTCGATCTTCACGGTCCACAGGCCCTTGGTGCGGTTCTTTGGCTTGGCGTGGTTATGGCCAGCATGCGGGTCGACTTTGCTGACACGCAGGGCGAGAAGGGAGAGGGGAGCAGCTTGAAGACGTTCTCGGCGGAGGCGCGGTCTGTTACGGGGGGAGAAGTGAGTTCTTCTTTGCGGCGGCTTTGGCGTAGGCGGGGGATTCGATGGCGCGGATGGCTCTCTTGACTGTTGTTGTATGTTAGTTATGGGGTTTCAGGTGCTTTTCTTTTTTCTTTTTGGTTAAACCCTCTTGCCGTCCTTTCAGAGGAGTTCATGCAAGATGGGGTTCTCGGTTCTGGATGCATTTCCACGTACCTTTAAACATATCTTTGCGCTGCCCGTCCAGGATGCAAGTCCGCGGCTTCAAGTTCTGCGAGCGCAGGAACTTAGCCACGGCCAGCGCCTTGGGGTCCGCGGGTGCATTCGGGTTGACGGGTACTTGGTGCGTTTGTTGCTGTGGCTGTTGCTGTTGCTGGGCCGGCTGGCCAGCTTGCTGTGGTTGACCAGGCTGTGGAGCGCCCTGGCCCTGACGCTGGGCCTCCATTTGTTGCTGGTGCTGCTGCATGGCACGCGCGCGGAGCTGCTGGACGTATTGTTCGGGGAAAGGCCGAGTTTAGCGGCGTCAGCTGTCAATTGCTCGCGTTGCTTCTGGGCGAATTCTTGGGGGGTGAGACCGCGTTTGGCGGCTTCGGCGGCGAACTGTTGTTGCATGGCCGCAATTTGTTGCGGGCTGGGCTGGCCTGGTTGGGCCATGGCGGAATCTGCTGCTGACTGTCTTTGTTTCCGGGTGTTGCTAGGTTGTCGACAACAAAGAAATGGGATGAAAGGGGGTGCTCCGTGGGGGTTGCGGGTTGAAGTTCCATACGTTGAAGTGGCCAGATCGACTCAGGTGATCGGCGGCCGCCCTGCAGTTCCCAGGCGGGATCCCTAACGAAACTACTTTTTTTTAATCTCGGACCCCATAGCGTCTGGGAGGCCTACTTGCGAACGATCCCCGTTAGGCGGGAATGCCATGGTTTATGCGACGAATCAATGTCCGTCTCCTATGATTCCGGGGCTACTCTTGACGATGCGACTTCGGTGGCTGTCTTGCTGGTTGGTTTTGACCCCTCGGCGCGTCATCCGATTAAGATCTAATCCTTTTGCAGAGCGAGCGCGATGTCGCAGGCCAAATTCCGATCAATTTTGTCACAAACCCTGCGGTTTCGCTATCCGCGGCCTGCTTCGGAAATGGGTTGTTTGATCGACTGGACACCGCGAAATGCATCTCCAACCTCCTCTCCGTCGGCTACCGGCGGCTCACGCTGGACATATATTGGTCGACTAAGCGCAGAGAATGGAGTTTTTGCCCTGTCGAAGTACCTGAGACAGCCGATGTGACTGTTTCAGCGTACACCTCAACGTCTACCAGCTCCTCTCGCATTTCGACGATGACCGCGGATGAGGTCTCTACAACAACAGGCGCAGCGGCACCAGATATTACAGGTTATGCAGACTCGCAAGGAGAGACAGTCTATGAGCTAGGGCCATATAGGTGTACTGACGGATTAAGCGTGGATCTAATGTCAGATGTGCTATCCGGGTTCTTTTCAAGCTCGACAGACAGCTCGCTGAAAGTTTATACGACTTACCTGGTTCTGAATCTCCACGCAGCAGGTAGTGTCACAGCACCTGGGGATCCAGCCTCAGCTGTCACAGGCGCTGATCTCCCGAATTCCGCATCAGAACGACCCGGGGATTCTTTGCAGAACGCCTTAGCCAGCTACTTGTATACGCCTGCGCAACTGGCCAAGGACAGAAGTGATCTGAACGAGTCCTGGTATAAGGTCGAATCGAGCTACCTACCAGCTACAGAATACTTCACTGTCCACGTGAATGAATCTGGCAAGCACAGTACCCCAGACGGATGGCCTTCTTCGAAATACATCCAGCTTGCCAAATCGGACAGGGTTCTAATTGAATATGGCTCTGTAGATCCGCAGCTTGCTGATTTGGATCTGTCTGAAGAGGAGGATATGATTTTCTCACCTGGCTACATGACATCGGGTATTAGGATTTCAGACGATTCCAACGGTACCCTTACTTCAGGCTGTCTGTATTCTCCTAAGGCCACAGATGTTGCGCAGGCCAACTCATCGTGGGCAATATCAAGCAGACTCCCTATCCCAAACAATCTTCCAGCGGACGAAGCTATGGGCGCGCTCTCGAGAGAGATATCCAGTATTGCAGAATGCGGCTTGTCCCCTATGCTGAATAGCTCTCTCTTCGGCGAAACGGCTGATGTCAACATAGCCAACTACCGAAACGTGTCTCTTTCCGCAAGCTGGGCCTGGGCTGTAGGAGAAACCCCATGGCGCAGGATCCGGCGGCGGCACCAACGGGGTACCAGCCTTCGATCGCTGTGCTGTGATGGATCTCTCACTTGACGGCCGCTGGCGAGCAACTAATTGCTCCGAAATCCGGCGCGGTGCATGCCGTGTTGACGGTGGCGCGTTTACCTGGACCGTGTCTGATGCAGTGGATAATTTCTACCATATCGCACATGTCTGTCCTCCAGGCTCTGCGTTGGCAGTGCCCAGAACGGGCTTGGAAAATACATACCTGTACAACCACCTCCTTGCACAACCATCGGATATCCTCGACCCGGCGGCTACGGACCCGGCTTTGCGCGAGGTCTTCCTTGGCTTCAATTCGATCGATGTAACTTCGTGCTGGGTGCAGGGCGGACCGCAGGCAACATGTCCTTACGAATCGAATCCTCAGCAGCTGGAGCGAAGAGCGGTGCTCGTGGCTGCGATTGCGAGTATCGTGATCTGTATCATTGCTGCTTTGACTATCTTCGTCAAGTGCAATGCTAATCGGCGAAACTCGCGACGTCAGAAACGTGTTATCGAAGGCTGGGAGTACGAAGGTGTTCCCTCGTAGTCACGTCGGTTTGGACCGAAAGCCCTTGTACATGATCAATTTTTTGTTCCTATCTCTCGAGATATTTGTGATACCCCCCTGCACTCTTCTAATTCTACTGTATTTACTTTGAGAAACGGTCAACGCCGGATTGTTCTATTCACTACATTGTGTAACACCTATACAAATCTGTCAAATTGCCCAGTCGCCCATTGACAGCCTAACCGAAATCAAAATATCGCTACATGCCATTCATATCAAGCAAAAAGAGAAGAAGAAAAAGAGAACGCCGTGCCCATACACAAAATCCCACATCCTGTAGACTCAAAGCCCTGCAAAACGAGCCCAGCCAGCAGCCCGGATAGGCGAAGCATTCTTGGCTGAAGTAGGCATAGGCCGTACCTCTACGCTTTTGCCTCCACGACCCTCCTCCGCTACCTTCCCACTAACATCGCGACGTCGACCAACGCCCAGTCCGGCAATATAGCTACCGTACGATGACAGCGAAGCGCCAACACCACCGATGATTCCAGGCGGGCAGTGTCGGCGCCCGAGTTGCTGACCACGCGGCCCTTGCGGTCCCCCTCCTTAGAAACAGGTGCATTGGCAGCTCGGCCGCCAACGCCATCCTCATCGTCGCTGTCGTCCTTCTTCAGAGATTCATAGGCAGACATCTTGCTGCGCTTTTTGGAGATTTTGGTCAACTTGCGCTTGGGCATTTGCTGACCGCTAGGATCGCGGAGCTGGCCCAGGACTACCTTCCCTTCTTCCTCCAGGTCGCCATAGAACCTACCCTTTGATGGAGATGGTGGAGAGCCAACAAAGCCCTCAGCTGGAATAACGACCTGGGGTTGCTGATTCTGCGAGTTGGGGTTATCGCTGGGTGCGTAGCGGCGGACAGGGTCTGTGTTTTCGGCCATTTCGGTGAGAACGGGCTGTGGGGTTGGGGGGTTCAACATGAGAGGGTTGAATGGGATGTTTCCACGGTCATCCTCCTTGTCAGTATCATGCTCCTCTGGGTCGGGGAAGATGTTGAAGCGACGGTCGCCAAGGTCCTGCTCATCCTTGCCGTCCTCTTGACCGTAGTACTCATGCATTGCCAATGAAGCATATTCACCCCGCGCATCTTCCGGAATTGCACTACCAATACTAGGCGCAGGCTTCGTACCATATGCAAACCAATCTCGGATACCGCTACCGACGGATGTAGTTGACTTGTCAGTTCGACGGCTATACACGGAGGACGACTGGCGGAGTGTTCCGTTGTTTTGAGCGAGCTGGTTCTGCTCATCGGCCAAGGGAGAAACGGCGCGTTCGGAGTGAGCAACCCAGTTGTCAGAAACAGGGCTGACGGACTCTGATCGGTCTGCGGTTCGGGATTCCAAGTGACGAGTGTGGAGACTGGCGTCTCCGAAAACAGGCGAGTGGGAAGCCACTTTGCGGTACTCCGGGGCTAAAGTGTCTCCAAGTCGACCGAATGGAGGGCCATCAGAGTTGAAAAGCGTATCTGCCGGGCTGGAGGGCTCGATCTCAGGGAGCTGGGGAGCCTTTGCGGAGATTTGAGACATGCGCTTCTCACTCATCAATTCGGGCGATCCGTGGATTGTTTGGCCTCCTAGAGATTGTTCACGAGTGTGCGTGAAAGGAATGGTGCGAGGGGCATCCATGAGCGGATCCTGGGCATTGTCATTCAGCGTGGACGAACTCCAATGTTTTTCGTTCGGCTCCATGCGCTTGCGATTCTTACGAGGGCGTGCCGTCAGGTTGTCCTCGAGGGGGTTCATATCGGGAGGCATGGAGGAAATCTTGCGGAAGATGATGGCGATGGCAATGGAGAGGCCAAATGAGACGGCATGCAGTCCTGCATTAGCACAAGCACAGATGAAAGTCGCATTGGCAATGTCAATGGTAGCTTGGTCATCCTGGAACAGAGTGCCCCAATGGTAGTCATTCGTGGTAAGATTGTCATAGGACACAAATGCGGTAAACACATAGAAGGGAATCAGACCGGCGTCAAGGATAGCAGAGAAAACGCCATAACTAGCTTGCGATGCTGGCGGGCGAGAAACTGGAGAGCGACAGAGATGATAGACGCCGTAAACAGTGTGGAGAACTGCAACTATGGGCTGTGAAGGCAGTCAGTGAATGCTCCTTGGGGTGTTTAAGAGAATACCTACGCCAGCCCGCATAATCCAGATGGTCGATGTCGCAGCATTCTTGATGACAATTGCGCAGAACAGCGACGCCAGCGCCCCAAGCAGGGTGATGATTCGGAGACCCAACTGAGATCCACGCAAACCTTTCACCCAAGTCTTTGTCTTTGGGCTCATGGGCTTGTAGTGCTGTCTCTTCTGGTCGAGGCTTCCCCACTACGGTATTATTAGTATCCATAAGAACTTGATAGAATATATCACGATCATGCGCACGTACCGTATCTGGATGTCTATTGAATGTAATCATCGGGCCTTCGGGTCGAGGTTTGGTAGGCGACGCTGGCGCCCAGCTCGCTTGCGTGACGGCCTTTGGATTGAAGCCGCGGTCGATTGGGCCATCAAAGTTGTAGGTTGAGGGACGATCGTAAATGAATGGCGGCTCCGTTCTCCCCATGGTAGCGACTGTATGGCTCCCGTGGCTGCCACGCGAGATCAAGAGAATGAATGTAGGCCGGGAATGAGAAGAACCGTGGAATGCGATCTGACAGATTCCCAGGAAGCGGCTGAACTAGTGCGGAGTAACCGTCAACAGTGATTGTTGTCCTGGCAACGGCTGCTCCGGCCTTGGAACCAGCGGGCGCGATAAGATCGGATCAGTGTCACATGACCCTGATCTGATTAGGGAAGCTGCGACCTGCAATTACTCATTCTGATGTGGCCGATCTTCCCTGCCAGTCATGCTGGATCGTGCGTTTGTATGTGCTCGCTGCACAGTGCAAGGGGGTCGCCCAGTCCTCTCTACGAAGTCATTGAGGGCATTTGTAGCCCCTCGTCGGTTTAACAGCCATGTCGCTGTGGGAGAGAGGCCCTTTCGGGTCGCTATTGTGGGCTCTGGCCCCGCTGGATTCTATGCAGCTGCACGCCTGCTCAGCAAGCAGAATGATGCGGTAGTCGATATGTATGAGAAACTCCCGGTGCCGTTCGGGTTAGCAAGATACGGAGTCGCTCCAGATCATCCCGAAGTTAAGGTATGCTTGGTTATATATTCTGTGGTCCCAATCCGAGTCACCAATGATTCATACCACCACTTCATAGATGATAAGCTGACGGAATTGCTTCTTGAATAGAATTGCGAAGAGAAGTTTGAAGAAGTCGCAACGTCCTCGCGCTTTAATTTTGTGGGCAATATCGACATTGGCAACGATCTTCCACTCTCTTCACTAAAACCTCATTACGATGCCATACTCTTTGCTTACGGGGCTTCCGAAGACAAAGAACTTGGAATACCAGGCGAGAAGGCTCTCCGTAGCGTATACTCCGCGCGGTCCTTCGTCGGGTGGTACAATGGCTTGCCCGAGCATCGAGATCTAGACCCTGATCTGAGTAGCGGCGAGGATGCAGTGATTGTCGGGCAAGGAAACGTGGCGCTGGACGTTGCAAGAATCCTCCTTACGGACGTGGATATTCTGCGCAAGACTGATATTGCTAGCCATGCCGTGGAAGCTTTGGCCAAGAGTAAGATCAAGCGCGTGCGGGTTGTAGGCCGGCGAGGGCCCTTGCAGGTAAGTCCAGGGGACTTCTCATTGAACGATATGATGCTTATATATCCATCTCCAGGCCGCGTTCACAATCAAAGAAGCCCGTGAGCTACTACAATTGCCCTCCGTCTCATTTGAGCTCATCCGCAAGGAGGTCTTCCCTCCCGACGAAGTCATCAATGGCCTACCGCGAGCCCAGAAAAGATTAATGCAGTTGTTGGCCAAGGGCTCCGCTACGGATCCCCAGACGGCCACAAAGTCATGGGCCCTCGACTTCCTCCTTTCTCCCAAATGTCTCAACTGGGATCCGATCCATCCATATCATCTGACTCATGCTCACTTCTGCCGCAACGAACTCGATCCCTCGGATCCCTTTAACCCTAGCGCAAAAGTAACACCCAAACATCTATCCAGCGGTCTGCGTGCAGAAGTCAAGCTACCTTGCAGCGTCTTCTTTCGTAGTGTTGGTTACAAATCCCTGCCTCTGCCCGGTCTAGAAGATCTAGGAATTCAATTCGACGAGCAGCGTGGTATCATCCCGAACGACGGTTTTGGCCGCGTCAAGAGTCCGTTAGAGTCGGGTGAAACCCAGAAGCTGCCCGATGGATCCCTGATCTCCCATTTGCCCGGCCTCTACTGCGCCGGGTGGGTCAAGCGAGGCCCGACTGGCGTAATTGCCTCAACAATGACTGATGCTTTCACCACAGTGGATACCATACTCCAGGATTTGGCTAGTCATCAGGGCTCCGGATCAATGCTTCATGCGCCTGGACACAGCACTGGTCTTGGCTGGGACGGTGTAAAAGCTGAAGCGGATCGTCGGGGCCTGCGGGCTACATCTTGGCAAGACTGGCGGCGAATCGATGCTGTTGAGCGCGAGAAGGGCCAAGAAAAGGGTAAAGTGCGAGAAAAGATTACTCGTGTACAAGATATGTTGGATGTAGTTGGTTGACAAAGAAATTTTTATCTGTATATTAGACTTCCATTTATCTCCAGCATTAACTCACTATCCTTCTCTCCTCTCGACATAAAAACCGCGTGACATATGCAATCACTAAACACCGTTACTAGTATCCGACATCGTCGTTCTTCCAAATCTAAGGCTGTTTGCAGAAGCTGCCGTCAACCTCGGTGTAGGTACCCTCAACTCGACCAAGATTCAAGTCACCTGTCAAGGCGGTGAAAGCATCGGGGTTGAGGTTGAAGCCAGTAGAATAGTCAATGGCGAGGATATAGACGGATTTTCCGTTATAGTCCACTTCGTAGCACTTGCCGCAGTTGGTGTCGGTGCCAGAGATGGTGGGGGCCCCTCCAACGTAGGGGAAGTTCGGCAGGTCGCCAACCGTGGCATACTTCACTCCATTGATTCCGTTGGAACATTTAACTTGGTCCATGGACAGAGAGGCGGAGTATACTGGATCGTAGGAGATGGAGACTGAGGTGCCGGCGGCAGCTCCCTTAGCTGAGTCTGAAGACTCGGTGGTGCTCGTAGGTCGGACGCTTGATACCAGAGTGCTGGGAGCAGCAGCGGCCACCTGGAGAGCGGCCAGGACAGTGCAGGAGATGGCAGTGAAGGACTTCATGGTTGTAATTGAGAGGGGTTGAAGTTTATACCTAGGTATAGAAGATTCTGGAAAGTCTGGCTTGGGGAGTGTTTGAATGCTTGAGGGCTTAACAGATCTCTTCGCGGCATCCTCTTCAGGGATTTATATAGTCACGGTCTGGGTCGCCTAAGCCTCGAACGAACATCGTCATGGTGATACTATTTTCAGATGCATAGACGAATCAACTGCATCCGGCACAGGTCTCAGATATTTCTAAGGCGCCCCTATAGGAGGTATTCTCACCGCCGTACCAACTGACTAGTACTGACCAAGCCCTTGGCCGACGTCGAGTCTTAATGCGGGGCGGGACTGCTGTGGGGTGAAAGTGAGACATTCAGCGATTCTGGCCTTGTGCCTAAAGAAGGTAAATGCCGCGCCTGAGGAGGTCATATGAGGGGCCTAATGCAGCTTTGTGAAGCTCGAGTTGCATGATTTGTGTTTATTTGGCATGTCACCAGGTACCGGCTGCGGGAGAGTAGCCCGAGGGTGTCGAAGGTAGTATTCCCAATCCCCAACTGGACGGAACGGGACACCCACGCACATGGCCGCATTGAGGTCGATTCAGGCTGCCACGAGTCAGCTTTGCCAGTACATCTGCAGGTCTCAGACCCGTATTTATGAATCCTTGTTTTTGGTGGCCTGATCCTGGCGGAGGGCAAAGGCTCACTGGAAGAGGGCCGATGCCAGAAGGGTCAGCCACGCAGGAATTGTTGCATTCAGGTACAGAGCTGCATGGCAAAAGACAGAGGGACAATGAGAGAAAATCAAAAGTGACAACAGTAATAGATAGCTGAATTCGAAAGACCAGAAGAGTTTAAAGGACAAGAGGGTGAAAAAAAAAAGTTAAAACACAGTGAAAAATAAACGTCCCCGGGAAGGCTCGAACTTCCAACCTCCTGATTAACAGTCAGACGCGCTAGCCGATTGCGCCACAGAGACTTGTTCATGCAGTGGCAACAAATATTATCCTTCTTAACCTAGCGAAAGCTCGCTCTACTTGAATCCCCTTCACGCCCTTCATCGACCCAGGGACCGCTTGATCCCCTCTCGCCAAACCATGCCCAACCAGGGCGACAATTCCCCAGTCAATAATTAGCCTTTTTCTAGTCGTGCTTGGAAAAAGAACGGCGGGACCCTTGAACCGCGCTGGAATCATGATCTTCTTTCTGATCTTCTGATCTTCCAATACTTGCCTAACTACGAATACATGATGATTTACCAATTCGATATCGGTCGACTACTTTCTTACGATTGAATCGCAAGGGTGGAATGGCCGAACAGAAATTTCCAGCCCTCATGACGGCTCGTGGCCGACTGTCGATCACCCCTTAAAGTTGAGAGGCGCACGCTACGCCCCTCGATTGACCCTCTTCGATCGGCCCTCTTCGATCGACCCTCTAGTGGCCTCGGCTAGCTAGCAGTAGTCAGTGCTTCCATATGTTGATCGCTCGATCAGCAGCAGTTCCAAGCAAGTGCCCCGCGGGGAACCCCTTGAGTCTATCCACAGTCTATCCACATGCGTTCGTGCGGCATATCTAGTTAGACCGTCTTTTTAGTTCCGACCTCATGAGGAACATGGGGTTGAGCATGCTTCAAATAAAATTTCATCCTTGACAGGCGAAATGGCCGAGCTGCTCACATGCACGAGCCCCTTGTCCCTCATTGGAGAGTGGATCGACTGGGTCTCTAATACGAGGCGGTCCATGCTCGCCTACTTTGGCCACAAGGATAGGGTTGGCTCTAACCACGTTCATAGCTAATTCCGACAAGGAGCCATCTAGGGCAACGAGGACGGGCAGAAAAGACAGCCCATGGCTTCCTCGTAAGAACCTAAGCAGACTTTTTTGGTTGAGGTGATTGGTGTCTGGATTTTGACTCCTTGTGAAGTGGCTGCTCCATGCACGGGAATTGTGGAGAGGATTCCAGCACGCAGCCCGCCTCACTGACCATAGAGAGATCAATAATTTGACCTGAATCGGAATTCCTATGTCAGCCTCTGGAGAATCCTGGAGAAAAAAAAAGGGACAAAAGAAAAACTTTAAAAGTTTCTGGCCACACCCTTTTCCGGCCGACTATTCCCGCGAATCATAAGATTTGATCGACCCCTATTGGATTGAAAGAGGCGGTCCCTTTTTTTGATCTTCGGAGATGCTTAGCCAAAAAGCATGGCACCAGAGAGCCACCCTGCACGAACCCTGCTTTTAAACATAGCTGGCTGCCATCCTGCGGACTGCTGGATTTCTCCTAGATTTCGAGATTCCAGAGGCCGTGGAAGATGCCTTTACTCACCCATGCCTTGCGTTCTCTATACGCAGCCGGGGAGGGAGGTGCCTCTCCGCTCGCCCGTCGCTGGGAGTTCCGTGAAGAGTCTCCCCTGGTTGGCAGTGACCATTCGTTATTCATTGCCATGGGTGTCATTGCTCTCTGTTCATTGTGTTCCACGATAGGCCTCTTGTCATTCCTTACTTATCGATTTATCAACTGGAGGCAGTACTACAAGCAACCACTTGCAAAGAACCAATACGTCGTTCTCATTTACAATCTTTTACTTATCGACATGCAACAGGCCATTGGCTTCACCATGAGTCTATATTGGGCAACGCGCCGGAGTGTGCACTTTGGCGAAGCAGCGTGCTACCTGCAAGGATGGTGGATTCAAACTGGTGATGCTGGCAGTGGTCTCTTCGTCCTGGCTATTGCACTCCATACCGGAGCTATTGTTCTCCGTGGACGCCAGCTTGACTTCAAGACCTTTGTATGCGGTGTAATTGGATTATGGGTCTTTATTCTGATCCTGGGATTCATTCCAGTGGGACTCTACGGACACGAGTCCTTTGTCATCTCAGAGGCCAATTGGGTATGTATGATCCTGATATCAGAAAGTGGCGCGTGATAGCTAATTACTTTCACAGTGCTGGCTTAGTCCTCGAAATGAGGACGAACGCCTCTGGGGTCACTATCTGTGGATTTTTATCTCCGAATTCGGAACTGTGGTGTTATATGCCGCCATGTTCTTCTACCTCCGCCGTCGTATGCAGCAGGCTCAGATGCTGCGCACCAGCCAACAAGAAAGTCTGCGCCGATTGAACCGTGTCGTCTTCTATATGGTTGTCTACCCGCTCCTCTACCTGATTCTTTCCTTGCCACTCGCAGCTGGCCGTATGTCCACAGCCCGTGGCGATCCACCCAGCAAGACCTACTTCGGTGTTGCTGGCTGCCTAATGGCCCTGTCTGGATTTATGGATGTTATGGTCTACACTCTCACTCGTCGCCACCTTATTATCGACACCGAGCACACGGACAGCGACCGTGTGTACTACAATGGCACCGACTCGCAATGGCAGACCAACATTACCACCAATGCTAGCTACTCTCGCAAGGGATTCCGCATGGGTTCTTCTCGAATTGGCTCGAAGGTGCGCCCTGCTGGGCACAAGGAAAAGGACCGCCTCAGCCCCTTCGAGGGCTCGACGGAGAACATCGTCCCCAAGGATGATGTGGAGTTGTCGAATTTCTATGGTGTGTACCAACAGACTACGATTGAGATCTCGCACGAGCCTGCACCGGCCGTGGAGGTGGATAACCGTGAACACAGCGCCCGCCGGGACAGCTAGGGTCTTTTTTCTCAGCTGAACGACTTACTGGCAGGTGCCTCTTGACGGTCTATGTTGTGAATTCTTTGTACAGGTAGACGAAGATATTATAACTAATGAACCGCTCGTAAATAACGATCTAGAGAAAAGATTCCATAGCTACTACCCATGATATGTTCGGATTGTGTTTAGTATAGATTGTAGCTACAGTACCCTCTAAATTCAGGTTGAGCTTTCATCCCTATCTCCATTCTTTGGCTGCTACTACCACCATTATAAAGTTTGTTTGGCTCGTTCAAGGTCCAGGTGGCGGAAGCATGGGTTGACACGATATGCCGTTCTCTTCGCATGTGAACCAAACCCGCTTCCAACTTGCAGGTTTTGCTACCGTTCCCGAAGTAGGCCGTATGCAGATAGGATTTGACTATTCCCCACAAGGCCGCGTGGAAATATTGGCAGATCTTCGCTCGGACTAATCGACCCACATTCCTTATCTCGGATAGAGCAATGATCAAGGTCTTCGGTTGTATTCTCTGTATGTTGAATGAAGAAGCTGATCGAAGTCCTTACAGTGTACTAGCCGAAATTTTGAGATAATGTGAGCGGAGTTGTGTTGAATTGAAAAGACTAGATCCGGACATATTTCTAGAACAGTCTAGCTGTTAACCCTAAGCATCTTTCTCAACACCAGAGCCTCTCCGGTCGTCCTCTTTCGACATCTTTCGACGGCCGATATCTTCCTTTTCTCGTCTTTCACTTTCCTTTTTGACATTGCGCCACTCCATACCCAAGGATGGAAGGATTATCGCGCAAGATAACGCGACCGGTAAGATGAATGACCTGCGCAAAGCTTCATTGTAAACAACCAGGACGGGCCTCAGCTTATCCGCCGGTACAATCTTAGAGATTCCAGTCGCACCAGCTCGGAGAATTGAACTTGTGTCAATGCCCGAGATGCTTGGCAGCGTGCTGGTCAGATAATTGGTATACAGACTCTGGCTGACAGCAACCCAGATCGCACCGCCGAGCGATTGGAACAGGAAAATCACCGCAATACCAATTGGAACATCGACATTCGCAAGCACTGTCTGCGTGGCGATGTTGGGAACTTGCATCCCCAGGCCAAGTCCAAACCCGAAGAGAGCCTGATAGCCGATCCACTCTGGATGGCCTGAGTCCACTCTCAGAGTCGTGAGGAGGCCGGCGCCAATGGCCATCAGGGTTCCTGACAAATAGGCAAATGGCATATAATGGCCTGTATTCGTGATGACCCCGCCCGAGACAATTACGAAGAGCACCATTGCCAGCACCATTGGGATGTTGTCGATACCAGACTGCACGGCACTCGTCCCCTTGACTCCTTGGAACCACAAAGGAAGCGTGTAGAGCATGGAGATCATGGCGCCGGCGGAGAAGAACATCATTACAGCGCCCAGTGCCACATTGCGGTCTTTGACGATCCGTGGCGGAAGAGTGGCGTCTTCCTGCCGCCACACTTGAACAATGCCAAACGCGATGGCCAAGACACCTGCTACAACGAACAGAGCTATTATGCGACCGTTGTTCCAGCTGTATACCGCCCCACCCCATTGGAGAGCCAAGAGAAAACATACCACGGCCGGCAGAAACAGAAATGTGCCGAGGGGATCGAGCCGGATTATCTGGCGCCTCAGCGACGTGCTATCCTTCAGGAAGGTGCGTGAAGGAGGATGGTCGAAATGACCAACACAACCCCTCCAATGGGGAGACTAGAACAAGGGTTCAGCGTGAGTATGAGAAATCATGAACGGGTGGTCCTTGAAGCGAGACCTTCGACGTACTTGATATAAAAGCACCAGCGCCAGGTCACCCGATCGGTAAAAGCACCACCCATCAAAGGAGCCACAACAGAAGAGATTCCAAATGTCGAGCCCATCAACCCGACAAAGATGGGCCGTTTGTGCAGAGGCATGACCTTAGTAATGATCACCGTGGTGCCATTGAAGATACCCGCCGAGCCTATCCCAGCAATCGCGCGACCAATGATGAAAGCCGTCGAGCTGGGAGCGGCACCGCATACAGCTGAGCCCACTTCGAAGATCACGACGGCGGAGAGGAATATGGCCTTGGTCGAGTAGAAGGTGTAGATGCGGCCCCAGAGCAGCTGGGTGGCGCTACTGGTCACAAGGTATGCGCTGGCATACCAGCTAATGTCCTCTATTGCGTGGAACTGGTCGGAGATCTTGGGTGTGGCCGTTGCAATGATTGTTCGATCCTGAGGGTGACTTTATGTTAGTTGCTGGCGGTTCCTTTGGGCGAACGGGGATCTACCAATGCAACCAGAAACATGGCGCTGACCAAAGCGATCAGAACCAAAACAAGAGGGAGACCTGTAAGGATCTTTTCTTCTGCTTGCGACTTTGCTTGAATGTCATTGTTTGTGGCGTTCAAGTCTAAGACTTCGTTGGCTGCGTTTTGCGTCCCACGTGGGAACGAATTTGCTTGTGTGTCTGCCATGGTCAGCTCAAAGTAGTCTAGAGATCGTCGCTTCTTTCATCGAATTTTGCTTGATTCGCACAAGCTTCACATAATATAGAGGAACTCTTTCCTATTGATTCTTATATTTGCTGCCTCGGGGGCTGAAAGCGCTTCGGCGCCGAACCATACACACCTCTCGGCGCCGAAGCAAAGTCCTCAGCTTTCGTAATTTGAGTTTCTATTCGAGCAACTGACTTGAGTTTTCGTACTAATAGTTCCCGGTTTCCTCTAGAGCACAAGAACTTGTCATACTAATCTAATATCGTTTGGCTCCGATACTGTTGTCTGTTTATCATGATAACTTTTGAGTTGACTTGTACTGGGACTTGTTCTGCGTTATGCCTAGAAGATGATATGGCCTACTAGCTATTACAGAGTGTATTGATATATGACGGAGCTGTGTAGGTTCCGTAAGGATCTATGTCGCGACTATTAAGATAATCTCTTGAGAATCAAAAGGATCTTCTGGCTGGTCGGCCGCCATCGGACATTAGTCCGGTCCATTTCTATGCCGAGCGGGGTATTTTCTCCGTTCAAGTACTATCATCCATCTCGACGTTCACTGCTTGAAACATTCAGAATGGAAGGGAAAAAGTCTGTTGCTATTATAGGCGGTCGGTAGCACACCCTGGATAACCGGTTCAAGTTTTAGAGCACTGACGCATGGCAGCGGGGATTTTCGGCCTCTCTCTGGCGGTTGCTCTTCGAGACCGACGTATGTACTACTTTCTCCTTGGATATGGTACGCTTGCTAATATACATGAATGAACTGGGCAGAACACAATGTCACCGTATTTGAAAGAAGCCGATATGATCAGAATGAATATTCGCCCGAGGATAAAGATGTCCAAGCCGCTTCGGCAGATCTTAATAAGATTGTAAGTCGTATTTTAGGGAAGGGAGAAGACACTTCTGATAAGGAGGCTAGTTTCGAGCCTCGTATGGAAACGAAATCCACTACCAGCGCTTGGCTATGGAAAGTCGAAAAGCCTGGGTCTCGGAAGATGAGAAGCGAGGATTTCCTGAGCGGGCATCGAGCGAGCAGAGACTTTTCGTGAACAGCGGAATGCTACGGGTTCAGCCTTCAAGTACGCTCAGTGCCTTGGAAAAAGAGACCCTAGAAAATATGGAGCGTGATGGTCTACGGGACACCCAGTTCGTGAAAAGTAGCCCAGATGATCGCCAGCGTGCTCAAAGCTTAGGATGGCAAGCCAAGTTGCTGGACTTTGACATCCCCAATGCTTCTCCCAAAGTATCGTATGAGTCTGTTCTGGACTCAACTGCTGGCTTTGTGAGATGCAGCAAGGCCTGTGCACATTATCAAAAAGTCGCAGCAGAAAAAGGGGTGAAATTCTACTTTGGCCCCGAGGTGGGGACAGTGAAGGAACTGAGGAAGGAGCAGAGCGACACGGCCGGGAAGCCCAAAGTAACAGGCCTAGTCACGAAGAATGGAACTGTTCATGATGCTGACATTGTTGTGGTGGCCGGTAAGAAGAGACGTGGGAATCTTGCTTTTGCAACTCTGCTAATTGCCACAGCGGGGTCTTTTTCTACCCAAATCCTCCCAGACCTGAGCTATCATCTGGAGTCATCTGGAGGTAGCATTGCCACATTCAAGATTGACCCGAATGATACCCAACTATGGGAGAAATACTCACCAGAGCGCTTCCCTGTGATTACCTGGAAGACGCAGCCGCGACCAGACTCCGGGAAAGACACTGGGAGCATCTACGTGCTCCCTCGTACGCCCGAGGGCCTTGTGAAAATCGGATATCGAGGGACTAAGGTAGCTTTCCCCCGAGCGAATTGCCTGCAGATCACATCACTGATGATCTCCTATCAAGTATACAAACTTCCAGGACGCGCCCGACAACACACCATTCACACAGGATGGCCAATGGTCCATTCCGCTGTCCCCAGAAGAGTCACTGAAGCTCCCAGAGAAGTCCGTATACTCTATCAAGCAGTTTGTGTCCATATTCCTCCCGGAATTTGACGGGGTTCCATTTCACTCAACCAAGCTTTGCTGGTATACGGATTCGCTAGATAACTCGTTCGTGGTAAGAAAGACCATCGCTATTGTGGTGAATTCCACTGTATCCAGACTGAAATCGGATGGCTATAGATCGACTACGTCCCTGAATACGCGGGAAAATCTGTTTTCGTTTGTACAGGAGGCAGTGGCCACGGTGCCAAATTTTTGCCCATCCTAGGGCGGGTGAGCTTTCCATTATTTGATTCTCGCAGGTCAAGACTAACATCGCCGATAAAGCACGCGGCGGATATACTAGAGCGGCACGAAGAAAGTTCGTCGTTCATGCGCCCGTTTTGGCGATGGAGACCTGATGTAGCTCGGAAGAACGGCCTGGAAGAAGGGCCAACAGGATCACGGAATATCGGGAATCCCCACGCGTCTTGAACGGAGGATGTGGTCGTTCATCGAAGATTGAACCCCTGAAGCTTTGATATAGAGATCGAGCGCTTGATTTATTGGTTCGAGAAGATGATCTTTATAGAATAGAAAATCAATGATCCAAGGATGATCTCTACCACCGATAGACGACTTGATGCAGTGCCGCAAACGTCTCTTATCCTTGTAGCAGCTTATGGTCATTAAAGTCCAGCTCTCGGTATTTGACAAGCTCCATCGTAGACCGCATGTCCTAGGAACGTGGTAAGGGGAGTGAGTCAATCTGACGAGGAGAAACCTTTCCAAGTGATCATGAGTAACCTGTCTTTGAAACAATTGGATCCCCTGGAGTTTCCTAAAGCAATAAACATTCAAGAGCTTTATGCATCAACAGACCGAACTTGGGTGCCCAGCCATGGCTCCTGCAGATCTCGAGTCACAGCCAGTCGGAAAGCAGATCTCCGACCAAGATGCGTTCAAAATGCAATTTGAGACAAATCACCCGAAAATCCCAAGGATCTTCGAGTCATCTACAAAGTGCGCTTATTTTCCTAGTGAGATTGCTTACTATATGTGGTGCCCTGGGTTTGTCCATTATTTCGCCGGGGTGGCAGGAGATTGCACATTATACTGGAGTGAGCTTAGAGGTGACCTGCTAACTGTCGCCCTGTTCATCCTAGGTGTGTTGTTGAGGATGGAACTTTGTTTTCTTTGGGGATTTTGCAGCTGACTGTAATTTGGACGGGCGTTTGGGCCTATGATCGGGTCCGGTATCAGCGAGGTCTGGGACCGCCGGAGGAGTATACTGCCAGCAATTTTTATGCTTGGGATTTTCAGCATAGGCACGTCTAGGTGTGGCATATTTGCATCTCCCCCATCAGCAATGTCCCTGCTGCGCTTAGAGATATCTTCCCGCCGGTGACTCGCCAGAATGCGATGGTATTTGCTAGATGGTGCTTTACAGGGAACCCGCAATGGTTCCTTTTATTGGGCAGCTTTCTCAGTGAGCCTGCATTTGGGATGGCGCTGTACGTTACTTTTTCCAGGCGCTTGGAGTAACTCGTAGTGGACTGCATTCACTAACATTATGTCCTAGAATGGGAATACCTCGAAGCTACACTGGTATCCCTCATTTTCGTACTTTGTGGACTATGTCTACTTGAGACATACGCACCCGTAATCCTCAAATGAGGGGCTCAAAAACTGCAAAAAAGCGCCGGCGATGAGCGATGTCGGCATCCACATCAGACACAGGATCGACTTGCGCACGATAGCCGCGAAGCACTTTGTGCGCCCAGTCAAGTCAGTTTGTTCAACCAAATCTAAGTGAAAGAATTCCTTTTCTGACTTAGTATACCTAGAATGCTCTTTACCAAGCCCATGATACTACTCATGGAGACTTATGCATCCTTCACTTAAAGTCTGATATATTTGACACTTGAGGTCTTTCCAATTATATTCAACGAAGGTCGAGGCTGGAGCTTAGTTGTCTCAACGCTTCCATTTTTGTCATTTCTAGTTGTAGTCGTCTGTGCCGTGTTTATCAACTTTGCCAATCAACCAAGATATCGCCAAGCCGTAAAAGAAACAACGGCGAAGCAGTCTGTGAAGCTCAGTCGTCCCTCATATGGATTGGGCCTCCTTCTCTCTGAAGGGGCTTTTTTTTTGATTTGGCTAGGCCGCAGCACCGACATACTCGTGGCGCTCCTCCGTCGTTGCAGCAGGTAACACTCCTGAAACAAGATCCGAGTTACACATAAACCTTGGCTGACGGGTTCATGCCAGGTTTTATCACCGCTGGATTTAATATTGTGTGTTTTAACGATGCCTGAACTTTTTAGTTCTACAAGTACCATGTCTGCAAACATAATCCTTCGATCGGTGCTGGCATGTGCTGTACCCGTGGCAGCGCGACCCAAGTTCGGAAACTTAGGCCTAAGACCCGCGGCGAGTCTCCTGGGCGGGATATGCTGTCTTGCGCTCCCTCGGCCTTTACTTCTCATGAGATACCAGATCACTCAAACAAACGCCAGGAATAAGAAAATTCCACCTGGTCCATGATTAACCCGCAGTCTATTTTCTATTCTGGTGCTGTTGGCACCATGACTGAGGAAATTCCACCTGGTCCATGATTAACCCGTGGTCTATTTTGTAATCTGGTGCCCAGTTGGAACCCCTGGTGGTATTGACACCATGATTGAGGAAATTCCACTTGTCCCATAAGTAGACCGCAGCCTCTGTTATAACTTGGTGCTTTATATAATCCGGTGATATTATTAACCAGACCGCTCAAATGAACACCAGGAAAGAGAAAATTCCACCTGGACCATTATTAAACCGCGATCTTATCCTCTGAACCGGTGGTATTAATACCATGATTGAGGAAATCCCACCTGGTTCACAATTAACTGCACTCTATTTTTAATCTAGTATTTTTCAATCTGGTGCCTAGTTTAAAACCCTGGTATGATTGACACCGCCAGTGAGGAAATTCCATCTGGTTCATGATTAATCCCCGGTCTATCTTCTAACCTGGTGCTGTTAGCACCACCACCGAGGGAATTCTGTCTGTTCCATCAGTAGGCCGCAGCCTCTGTCCACGGGTTGTAACCGGGTGCTTATTCATATAATTAGATAACTATATCTTACCTAGGAAGAGTTATATGGTACTGTCAACCGAATCATTCAAGTTAACACTATAATTTAGATATAATAACCTGGGGCGAGGCTGCAACGACAGTCTCATTTCATTGCTGAAGACTAGACTTGCGCTCCCGTTCTCGTATTCGGTGGATTCTAGAACGGGAAAGTGACTGCGCCACCTTGGCGCCGTGTATGATTGATATTAGGAGTCGAGATTTAGGTTTATTCTGTAACGAGGCGTAGTTGCCTAGATATGGAGCTCTACCCCAATGATGATCTTCGAGGTTCTAGACTTTTCTGTTTCCTTTTGCCGTGGCCACGCGGGTTGCCTGCATAGCCACACTCAGATTGTGACAGCTGCGGGGATTTAGAGTATAAAGTTCCACAGCGCTTACCTGCTTACCGGAGAAAGGAAAATATAAAGGCCTAACCAATAGGCCCTGATCCATGGCTGTAGCCCTTTTGTAGTAAGAGTCTCCAAGAGCCGAGCGCATGGGCCATCGTCCCCAATCCAGCTTCATGGATTACCACCGATCAAGGCGCAGCAAGAGCTTCCAAGCCCACGTGAATTGCGTATAGATTTCCATATTGCCGATCTCAATCCTTGATTTTAAATCCCGTGTGCTCCATTCGGTATTTCTCACCTTCCACATCCAGAATGTGGTTACGTAGATCGGCGCTAGCGTCGGTTGGAACAATGCCAATCCACGAAAAGAGAACGAGAACAAGGGAAAGGCTCGAGTCTCGGAGGATACAGCTTATTTTCAGTTGATACGGGAACAGATTGGACTGCCGCCATGGACGATTCCGTGTAACAATCTCCGGAGCTGGAGATCAACCCCGCGGACTCAGTTATTTATTGCTGGAGGGTGCCCCTCTCGACCAGATAGTTGCTTCTAAAAGCCATCCAGCCGATACGAAATCATGCAAGCTCATTCTTTCTTTCTGTTCTTCTGGGCGGTTGCGACTATGGCTCAGTTCGCAGTCTTCTCCCCTGCTGAGAATAAGGGACTTACCTTTAGTGTTCACGTCCCAGATTCCACTGCGAACAACCAGTCGGGACCCATCTATATCCAATTGAATTCAACAAAAGCACATGTAGAATGGTTTGCCCTGGGACAAGGCAGCAAGATGGCCGGCTCCAACATCTTTGTTGTTTATCGATCGGGAAATAATGTTACTGTTTCCCCACGGACCGGAGTAGGACACGTTGAGCCTTTGTACAACCAAGGTGCCAATGTTACCGTCATGGATGGCAGCGGGGCGCCCGCTGGGATGATAACGGCCAACATTAGGTGTGACAATTGTCTATCATGGAGCGGGGGCAAACTCGACTTGACCAGTGCATCGAGTTCGTGGATCTGGGCCATCAAATACGGAAAACCGTTGTTTTCCACCAAGGAAACCGCCACTATCAAGGAGCATGACCAAATGGGTGTGATGCAGGTCGACCTGAAGCCAGCTATTGGCAAGACTTCCTCGCTTGACGACCCATTTGCCGATGTACCTGCAGTAGGAGTTGTCAGCGGCCCTACATTCGACGAGGCAAAGTTTCGGCGAGAGAAGATTGCCCACGGAGTGATCATGACTGTCGCATTTGTTGGCTTGTTCCCTTTCTCTGCACTGCTCCTTCATTTGTCCTCGGCGTCCAGTACGGTCGCCACTCATGGTGCTCTCCAATTGTTCAACCTTGGTCTAGCTATTGCTGGACTAGCATTGGGGATCATCATGGCGCGGGATATCGGCCAGTTGACCCATCATCACCCTATCATCGGCTTCGTGGTGGTGTGCGGGCTGGCACTGTTCCAGCCTATCATGGGATTCTTGCAGCACCGGTTCTACCGAAAGACTGGCGGCAAGGGCCCATTTGCCTACTTGCATCGCTGGCTTGGACGGGTCTTGATTCTACTGGGGGTGGTGAATGTCTTCCTTGGATTTGTGTTCGTTGGCGTCGGAGATGTTGATGCCCCGCGGGGGGCAGTGATTGCAGTCGGCGTGGTCAGTGCGGTCCTTCTTGTGTTCTATTTCCTCACGGTGGGCGCAAACGAGAAGAAGCGACGCCGTCGAGTAGTATGAGGTTGTATAGCCAGGTACTATCCCGGTAGTGCCCATAGATAAGCAACATCATGATGCATGGATGCATTGCTTGAATCCCTTCATACTCCACATGATCCACATCTCATGCCTCGTGTATCTCCATTGACATCATCTGCCGGTCGGTCCGCCGTTCGAGGCAGTTGATTTGCTCGATCGGCTCCTGCCCCGCTTTTATTGGTTCGTTGCATCGCAAGTCGCCCTTTTCCGGCCACTGAGAATCTGGCGATCTTTTGGGTGGCTTAGGCTCTTTGCTTTCTCCTGAAAATGACGTTGACCTCGGCTCGGGTCTCCCGGGTCTGCGATCAATCGAGATTGAACTCCTACTTCTTCAAACAATTCATGGCACCAAGATGCCATTGCATACTGTTGCGTTGGGCGCGGCTTTGACGCCCACCGTCATTCGTACTCTGATTGATCATGTAGGTCTCTCGACAAGCTCTCTCTATAGGAAACTAACGTCGCAAAGTATATCCATCGCAAGGCTCACCACACATTGCCCACCGTGCACATTACCTACGATGAGGGACTCCACATCATCCGAGCGTTTATTTACTATGCATCCAAACACCCCGTGGAGGATATGCAGGCCTTTACCAGGCAAACGGTCCCGAGCCCGCACTGGGTACGAACCGAGTCGGTGACGATCCCAGAAGAATGCCTGTCTCTTGCCGCGGATGCTCTATGCAAGCAATTGGGGCCCAAGGGGCTCCTGCGCGTGGGAGGAGAAAAGTGGTGGCAGTGGAGAGGACCCCCAGAGGACCTCAAGGCGGAGTGGATTGAGATGCGGAGCCACTACAATCAAATCAAGAAGGAGAATGGTCACTGCAACCGGATCATGCTCTACATTCATGGGGGGGCATATTTCTTCGGAAGTCTCGAAACCCACCGATATATGATGCAACGGCATGCGCGCAAGCTGAAGGGTCGGGTCTTTGCGCCAGCATATCGTCTTGCCCCGCAGTATCCCTTCCCGTGTGGATTGCAGGATTGTATCGCCTCCTACTTGTGGCTCTTGAAATCGTATGATCCGAAGGAGATTATCCTCGCAGGCGATTCGGCAGGCGGAGGAATGGTGCTTTCCATGCTGGTTACCATGCGAGACCAGGATATCCCACTCCCAGCAGGCGGTATTCTCATTTCGCCCTGGGTGGATTTGACGCATTCGTTCCCTAGTCTTGTCGAAGACCACCCGGGAGACTACATCCCTCCTTACGGTTTCAGGTACAAGCCCTCTGCGGCTTGGCCTCCACCAAATTCGGACGACCTCCTGAAGATCAAAAAACTATCCCGCGAAAAAGCAGTCTCCCCCCAAGAAGTGCATGATGCATTACCTGCTCCAGACAGTGCTGCGGAAGAGACGGCTGTTCGTGGTTACACACTTCACGAGGACACGGCGCCCCCGAGTACCCCTGCCTACCCTGGCCAGCAACAAACCCCGGACCCGAAATCTGTCGCAGGACAGCCAGACAATATTCGTGTATTTTTGGACGGCAAGACCGTCGAGCTTAAAGACCAGATCCAGCTATATACTACTAATCAGCTAATTTCTCATCCTCTCGTGTCCCCGGTTCTGCAGCCCTCGCTAGGCGGTCTTCCGCCCTGCAGATCTTGAGTGGTGGAGGCGAGCTTCTTCGCGACGAGCAGTTCTACATCGCACACAAAGCAGCCAATCCCACCGCCTATCCACCGAGCGACGTGTATCTCGACGAACATGATCCCACCCGAGAAACCTTGAACAAGTACGAACCAACGTACGTCCACTTGCAAGTGTGGGACAACCTGTGTCATGTAGCTCCCACCCTGAGCTTCACACGGCCTGCGAAATACATGTTCAGGGCAATCTCCCAATTCGGATCATGGGCCCTCGCACGGGCGCAGAATGCTGGCGTTGAGATCATTGACGACGCTGTTGTCTCGCCAATTTCGTCCAGCGGAACAGATACTGAAGCTGGCACTACAGGCAAGGATTCTAACGCAAACGGGCATTCCAGGGCCTTCACCGGTCTCTCGTCTGTTGGCAAAGCCGGCGATCCTTTGCCTGCTTTCCATGAGCATATGATTCGTGAGCGAGTGGATAAACGTGGACGCGTATATCCGCTCGACCCTCCCTCATCATATCCAGTGCTTCAATTTCCACGGGAGAAAATCGGCTCGGTGAACCCCGAACTGATCCGGAAATGGCTGGTCGCAAAGAACGAGTGGGACCAAAGATTCGCCAAGGAAAAGCTACGTGTCCAACGCCATCGCATCAAGGAGATGGCCCATGGCTTCCAAGACTTTGGCGATGAAGTTCCAGCTCCTAGCTCTTTGGCGGCACGTCGTGCTGCCCCAGGCGTGATGCCCAAGCATACAAGTAAGAAGAACTACGGAATGATGCTCTGGAGCGGCTGGGGAAGCAAACATGACGAACACACCATCGAGCGCGAAAAAAAGGCACAAAAAGCCGGGCGCCCATCTACTCGCCAGAGTGTTGATGCTGGCCAAGCGGGTGCTTGGTCCAGTCAGCCTACGAAGAAGTCTGAAAAAGAACAACCCGCAAAAGACCACCAGTCTTCTGCTACGAACGGTGCTCCCAGCGGCGCCGGGGCTGTCACCTGGGACGCATCTAGCGAAAAGAAACCCACAAGCGGGCCTGATATACCTGCTGATCAGGAACTCGAGTCTCGCCCACTATCTCAGAAGAGCAATGGCCCTATTCTCGTCTTGCCAGATGTCGATAACCGTAAAATGACAGACGAAACGGCCAGTACCAGAGCACTTTTTCATGCTCCTGGAACTCTAGGTATGCGATCGGATGCCTCGCTAGCCTTCCACCGAAGCCGACCATCGTCGCCCGCCGGCGACGATAGCAGTACGATAGGCGGCGAACGGGATTCTCTTGCAATGTCCGCTGCCCAAGCCGATGCTGTCAGCACACGTGCAGTTCTTAGCGCCAGGGGCGTGTCCAAAGCGATGAACGCCGATGAAAACGGTCGACCCTCGGTGGATACAGCCTCAACACGTCACAAAGCTACCAATAGTGATGCAAGCCAAGGGCCCTCCTCGTCCCAAAGACCTAACATGCCTGACAGAGGAGGAGTTTAAGACTGCGAAAGAAGCCTTATAGCAGCTCTGATCCTCTCTTACTCAGTTCTCTTTCCCTATGATTCCTTATGTTTCTTGTCCGGATCTCACATGACATATATACGTCTGTCTGTAAGCCCTCCACCACTCTCAAAGATTTCCTAAATCTTGCATCCGCGCCATACATTCAATCTTTCAATTTGTTTCTTTACACATGTGTATGTATATGCTGTATATACCCAGTTCTTGTTACTGCGTCTTTCTGGCCGTTACATTTTGCGTAGTCTTGGGACTTTCGCATGATCATCCGTGCCAGTGATCAGACATCCTTTGTCATCTCTAATCGTCTTTTGTGAATAACAGTGATAAAATGTATCCAATCCTTTGCGCTGGAATTTGAATTACTATAAAGTTTGAATACCAGCAATAATTAACCACAGGTTAGGTAGTATTAACAAAAACTTAGGTTTATGAACTTTGGTAATTGTGCATCGATTCTTGATCTTCGCAGATTGAGTAAAGAAACTCCTGGGTATGAGAAAGAAAGTACTATACAATCCGAAACCACAACATGATACAAGAGTGAAGAGACAATCAGCATCCCGACTCAGCGCCACTCCAGCCCAATCTTCTTGGCAACCTGCTCCGCAATATCTAGAAAAGCCTGACGCCGTGCACTGCGATCCTCCGACTCCTCGGCAACAACAGTCGGCATCCCTCGATCCGCGTCCTCGCAGACTCGCGCATCAAGCGGGATATCGCCTAGGAAATCAACCCCAAGTCGCTTAGCTTCCGCAACAACCCCCCGGTCCTCATTCTGACAACCATGGCTCTCGCCATGCGAGAAAATACGAGTTTGGTGCCCGCAGTTAGGGCATGCGAAAAAGGCCATGTTGCGCACCATCCCGAGGACAGGGACATCCATACGCTGGAACATTCCGATTCCACGAACCGCATCCCGGAGCGCGATGTCTTGGGGTGTTGTTACGATTACTGAGCCGTCAATTATCACTTCCTGATTGATTGTGAGTTGCACATCGCCGGTTCCAGGTGGGAGGTCGAGGACGAGCACGTCTAGTGGTCCCCATGAGACGGAGTGGAGGAGTTGGTGCATGGCTTTTGTCACCATGAGGCCGCGCCAGGAGATAGGCGTTGAGTCCATTGGGACTTCACCGGTGGTGGAGTCGGATTGGGTTTGGGGCAGGAGGTAGCCCATGGACATGGATTTCAGGCCATAGTTTGTGAGGGGGAGAAGGCAGTTATCTATACATGATAGGTTAGTGTTGGGGCTGCGGATTGAGATTGGTTGGTGAAGGGATATCTTACTATCATCTAGACGAGGCTCACCGGAGAGATTGAGGAGAGTTGGGATGGATGGGCCAAAGATATCTGTGTCAAGAATCCCTGTGCGGATTCCTCGACGGGCAAATGAAAGTGCAAGATTGACTGTAGTTGCAAAGGTTTTGTTAGGAAGGTTCTGTACATTGAGTATATTGCTGGAAGCTCGCTTGTCCATTGGGATAATTTGAACATCGGAGGAACGCATGAATTGAGCAAGATCAGATAACTAACCAGCAACTGTAGATTTCCCCACGCCTCCCTTTGCCGAAGAGACAGCAATGACCTTTTTAACATCACGAATCTTGCGCTTTTCAGGGAGTCCCTTTCGACTCCGGAATGTTGGTGGCGTGCCCGAACGTGGAAGGCCCTGGCTAGAGTTAGCAGCTATCCAAAGGAGATTGATTCCGATACATGTAGGGGATTGACGCCAAAGAGACAAATAGATTCCAGGTTTAGCAGGTCAAGATCAGATTACTCACAAGAGGATTGTCATGGCTCAGGACCGTCCCAGTGCTGGAGAACATCCTGCAGTGGGTTTTCGCACACCTGGAGGGTAAAACAAGCATATTAGCGAATGCCATGGCAAAGACATGCAATACTCAAAAAAACATGAAGCTCAACAAGCAGCAAGTGGCAGGTCAACTATTGTGCCAGCAGAAAGCCCACCGCCCTCAAATACCGCCATATGTCCCGCCTGTCAACGCATACTAGGCTCGGGGTGGATAGTTTCTCCGGATAACGGAAAAACAAAAAAAAAGTCGCGAGCGACTCTGATTCTTCAGACTTCAATCCGCGCAATGGCACCACCCAAAGGTCGCTCGCTCGCTGATCAGCTTGCTGATCTGGAAGATCCAACACCAAAAGGTATGGGCTATCAAGTGTCTCATTTTCTGCAGCTACAATTCACAGACCAATACTTACAAAGACTGTAGACTTCGATCCCGAAGATCTTGACGACGGGGCTGGATCATCCGACGACGAGGGCAAAAAAAGATTCGAATCTGAGTGGGGGCCGAGAGCATTATGAGGCGGTTGGGTGAGAAGGAGCACTCACTTTTGAAACTAGGAGTTGAGGGCTAATGAGGTGAAACAGAAAGGGCAAGCTGCGCAAGCCCGAACCCGTTAATCTGGGAAAGCAATACGCCGGAACGCAAGTTAGTCGAGATACTCTAGACGCGGAAAGTGATGAGGATCCATTTGGGGCACGTACCGACGAAGACGAAGACGAGGACGAGGACTCGCCAGAAGAGCTCGAATCTGGCTCTGAGGATGGCGGCGCGCTCCACAACCGCGAAGAGGCCAGCCTCGACCGGTCCCCCAGAGGCGGACGAGCTCTCGAGCGAGGATGCGTCCGATGACGGTGGCAGTGATGCGTTCTCGGACGACGATTCGGAGGAAGTCGACGAAGATGAAGAGTCCGACGACGACGAAGAGGACGAGGTCGCCCCAGTCCGCCATTCTGGAGCTGGGCGTAAATCAGCTCCGGCCACGGAGGATCGGGAGGAGTTACGCAGGTTGATGGCTACTGATCAGAAAACAATTGCCGCTACAATTTCGCAGGCAGCGAAAGCTGATGCCGCGAAAGGAAAGGCTGTGAAGGAGCAACGTAAGACCTTTGATGCCCTTCTGAACACGCGAATCAAGCTGCAAAAGGGACTGGGAGTCATCAATGAACTTGGTGGGAAGAAAGAAACGGGCGAGGAGGGTGAAGAAATCTCAGATGAGGATTCGAGTGTTGAGGCCATCAAATCAGCAGAATCAGCAGCCCTCGCGCTTTGGTCTACTTTGGAACAACTACGCAGCGCCCTCGCCAATGCCCAAACTAAGGATGAATCCAAAAAGCGCAAAAGGCCATCTCCTGTCGAAGCTACGATTCAATCTTCTCAGCTTTGGGAGAGAATGGTCGATCTCGAGTCTGACGCACTTGTCTCTCGTCGCGCTACTCTGGATAAATGGTCCTCAAAAGTGAGGGGAACGTCTTCATCTGCCCCTCAAGCACGAGGAAAGCTACTTGGTTCTTCGGCTGGTCAACAAACCATCACTGCAGTCCTCGACGCCAACGTTGCCACCGAGTTGGGTGACCGCCCCTCGAAGCGTTCTCGCCAGAATGGTTTATCAAACGGCACTGGTCCCGAACCTGTCTATGACGACACTGTGTTCTACCAATCTCTCCTGCGTGACCTCGTTGAGCAGCGTATGTCTTCATCCGATGCCATGACCGGTGGTCTCGACAGCCTCCAACAACTTCCATCCCGCCTCCCCTTCACCATGTCACCGGCATGCGCAACGATAAAAACAGAAGAGAAAACGTCGACACACGTGCCTCAAAGGGTCGCAAGATGCGATTTAATGTCCACGAGAAGCTCCAGAATTTCATGGCCCCGGAGGACCGCGGTTCTTGGACAAGTAAGGCTCGAGAGGAGTTCTTTGCTTCCCTACTTGGCAAAACTGCTAGCGGACTACTGGGTGAAGGTGATGATAGTGGAAGTGACGAGGAGAGTGATGAAGACCGCGAGGAAGGTGGCCTGAAGCTGTTCCGGAACTAAGTCTATCTTTCTGTAACATATGTATAGCAGCCTACTAGGCTGGACATTACTGAGCGTCTTCAAAAAGTTCAATGATCATGTCTCACTGAGATTTTGGGCTTTTCAGATGTCGTACACATAAGCTGCTTCCCGTCGTGGCGGTCACCAATAAGAGTGCTGTCTGAAAATGGACCCTGCTCCAGGTCCGTTATCAAGTTTTCCCAGTACCTTGAAGCCCAGTAAAGCGACAGTTGGCTTCGATTCTGCTTATTAAACATCTATTTGAGATACACACCGTATTTCTCGTGTGTTAGTAGCCGTAATATGCGAGTTGTGCTGGAAGCAATGAAGCGCGGAGGAGACTATTTACTTGATACGCAGTAGTGAAGGGAATGTGGGGAATCTGCAACTCCGATGACGATAAACCTTGGGATGATCGGCGTGGAAGCTACGCGGCCCTCTCCTCGATACTCCCTCGGTTCATCTTCCGTAAGATCCCCTGTAAGAAACCTCCTTAAGGCTAAAACTTACGATTGACGCGCCTGGTGCGCCGCAATCGGCTTCACATATAAAGCAACTTCGAACGACATTCCAGTTACTTGCCTGGACCCCAACTTGGGGGCGGAAGCATCATGCGATTTCTACACAACTCATTAGGACTGAGCTCTCTGTGCTCTCATTTCTTGTCATTCCTTTGTACCAGCACTAGCAAGCCATATCAAGTCATCCACCACCCAGCCCTGCCACCATCTTACCCGCTCGCGGTCCGCAACCCATACTTGTCGGCATGGATGCCTAGCAACCGCGTTCAGCAGCTGCCCTATGCCGATTCCCAATTCTGGGCTGGCCAGGAGTTAGGGTGGGCGGTTATTGTGCGAGTCGAAGGCCAAGCATACAGCCTTATGGGTGTATCTGATCTGAACTCGAGCGACATTCTCCCTGCTGAGGTTCGTCGCGCGGAATTCACCGCGACGCATTCGCTTTTCGATCTGAAAGCTGGTGGCATCGCGATAAGACTGGACTTTTTCTCTCCCGTTTCTCCCTCTAATTATTTGCGACAATCGCTCCCCTTCAGTGAGGCCCCCGTTGATTGCCATACCGCTCGATCGGTTCTAATCCAAAACCCTAGGTTATTTGACAGTCACGGTGACAGAGTGCTGGGGCGAGGAAGTCCAGATATATTCCGACATTGACGGGAGATGGACTGGTCGTGGCAATGAAATTATGCACGAATTCGAAGAATACGACGGGCTCGTATTCCATGAACTCTCGGTCCAAGATGCAGTGACATACGCGGAAGAGGACGACATGGCTCTATGGGGTAAAGCGATCCTGGCTTCTCGGCCAAATGACTTTAGTACTGTCTCGGCAAGTGCTGGCCACCAAAAGACTGTGCGAAATCGATTCGCCGAGGTGGGCGCTTTATCGGGCCCAGTGTGCAACTGGTCAGGGGAGGCGTGGTCGCCTTGGCTCACGATTTTGGATATGTTATTGGAAGGGCCTCAGTGACTTTTGCTGTGGGATATGAAAGGAAAGAGGCCATCAATTACCTTGGTGATGCATACACAGGTTACTACCGCGCGCGATATCCCACTACCCACGAAGCATTGTCTTTCTTCCTTGACGACTATGGCGAGGCTCTTTCAGAATCTGTTGACTTTGACAATGAGATGACGTCTTTTTCCACTGCTGCAGCAGGTCAGAAATATGCTGACATTCTCGCTTTGTCTACTCGCCAAGCTTATGGTGGTATTGACTTGACCATCCCCGGTGATTCACTCGATACTGATAACGTTCTGGCGTTCATCAAGGAGCTCTCCAGCGATGGAAACGCAAACACTATCGACGTGATTATGCCCGCATTCCCTGTATATTGGGTTCTGGATCCCAACTGGATCCGGCTTTTGCTTGAGCCTCTCATGCAGTACCTCGCTGCAGATCGCTGGACTCTGCCATACGCGATTCATGACATTGGTTCTCACTACCCCAATGCAACTGGGCATGATGACCAGAAGGCCGAGCCGATGCCGATCGAAGAATCGGGAAACCTGCTTATTTTGGCTCTAGCCTATGTGCAAGCTACTGGGGATAGACATTGGGCCACTGAATATCTGCATATCTTCCAAAAGTACGCGGACTATCTGGTCGAAAATGGCATTGACATTGCCAATCAGCTCTCGTCCAATGATGCTGCTGGTCCCCTCCCCAATGAAACAAACCTAGCAATCAAGGCTGCTATTGGTATTAAAGCGTTTGGAGTACTTAGCGACCTTGACGAATACTCAAACATTGCTGATGATCATGGCGAGCTATTTTTCAACCAAGGCCTCGGGACCGATGATGGTAAGACACACTTTGTCTTAGAGTACCCCCGATCTCCCAAGCACGTGGAAGATACCGTATAACATATTTCCTGATTTACTCCTGGGCTTGGGAACATTCCCTGCCGCAGCACACAAGATGAGCAATGACTTCTTCTCCAGCGTCCGTGGGGAGTACGGTGTTCCTTTGGATCATAGACAGGACTGGGCCAAGTCGGATTGGAACATGTGGTTGGCTGCAACTTTCGACCCTGCCACTCGTGATGAGTTCATAGACGACCTGTGGGCATTTATGACCAACGGTAAGCATACATGGCCATTTTCTGATCGCTACGTTGCTTCATCTGCGTATGGAAATGAGCCTGGGATACCTATACTCTGTCGGGCACGCCCAACCGTCGGCGGCCATTTTGCTCTGCTGGCCCTGAAGGGACCGGCTTCCTTCCAAGCATTCTCTAGCAATGTTTCACAAAGTGATCAGACGCTTCGGAGTAAAGGCGTTGAGCTGTGACCCGAATGCTCTTTCTAGAAACGATATTCATATATATTGAGTACAAAAATAAAGGGCTTGGGATTTAGCCGTCTTGCGTCGGCATCGCCGTAGTCTGTAAAGCATGTCCGCTGGCTCCTAGCGTCTATTTATCGTCTGAATCGCGCTCTGGCTAGTCGTATGCACGTCTCTGGTACTTCATACTGTATTACCTGTTAGTAGAAGTCTGGACACCCGAGGTAGATCGCGCTCTTCTATGTTGTGTGCCAATTCCATTTAAAGTGCAAAATTCGATTTCTTTTCCTTCATGTTCGATCCAATAAAGGATGTGCGACAAACGTCGTCTGGTACCAGATATGAATAGTTGCGGTGAGCCCGACGAGCAGATTTTGGGGAAACGGACACCAGGGAAAGCAGTTAGGCTTATTTCTCTTCAAATACAAGAATAATGCTCGAGGCACTTCATTACTACTCATTTCAATAGTAAATTATCACCATTTATCCGTTGGGTAGTTCGTGATATAGTACAGCTCCCTTACCTGATTGAGTGATGTTTTCACCCCGGCGCGCCAGGGGTGCTTACCTAATTACCATGTCACGGCTTCAATCGATGCGCTGTGATTCTTCTCTCTTGCCCTTTGACTGTATCCAACCCCTCCCCTTCTTTCCTTTTTAATATTCCTCCTTCCTCCTCTCTTTCCCCCAGTCCACTACGTTTCCCGACCCGCGATTTCTCCTTCCTCATGGCTTCGGTAAGTTACTGTTGATGGTGCCTCCCCTCTCCGCGGCGGACTTGCCATCTTCTTTTAAGGAACCCCCCCATACCCTGACCTAAGTCAATGTTTCAAGGAACTCTTTCATGGATACTGACGCGAAATGTTTTTCCAGCCTCGCCCTCACAACTTCGCAAACCAAGGCTACCCACTGGCGAACGGTGCTGCGCCGCAAGCAACCCCGGCCCCGGGAGCCACACCACTTTTGCCAAACAATGGCCGGGTCATCCAAAATGGGCCTACGCGAATCCTGTGCATCGCGGATGTGAGAGGTACGACTGAAGAACTTTCCGTGCTGCCGAACTTGAATTAATTGCGGGGGTGTGTTGCAGGAAACCTCAAGTCTCTCAACGAGCTTGCAAAGCAGGCTCGTGCGGACCACATCATTCACACGGGTGACTTTGGTTTTTATGATGATACTTCGTTGGAGCGCATTGCAGACAAGTGAGTATTACGCAAGACCCCTTCAAAGCTTCAATCTTCTTCCCCTGCCTTCCCTCCCTTTTCTTTTCCTTTTTCTTTTTCTTTCCTTGCTGCCCGACGCGAAGCAAACACGTCTCGCGTCAACCAGGCATCGAAACTTGATATTTCGCAGACTCCAAGCTAATCTTATCGCTTGCGTGCAGGACCCTAAAACATGTAGCCCAATATTCTCCTCTCTTGCCCGAGAACGTAAAGCGCACCATCGCACAGGTCCCGCCCCAGCAGTCTATCAAGCAACGTTTCACCCCGGACCAGTTACCCCTCTCCGAGCTTCCGATGCTCCTCGACAAGCGCATTACTCTCGACGTCCCGGTTTATACTGTGTGGGGTGCCTGTGAGGATGTTCGTGTTTTGGAGAAGTTCCGGTCTGGTGAGTACAAGGTTGATAAGCTGCACATCATCGACGAGGCCAACTCTAGGCTACTCGATATTGGTGGCGTCAAGCTTCGCCTGCTCGGACTCGGAGGTGCTGTGGTGATGCACAAGCTTTTCGACAATGGCGAGGGCAAGACAACCATTGCTGGTGGCCAGGGAACTATGTGGACTACCTTGCTGCAGATGGGCGAATTAATCGATACCGCTAACCGTGTCTACGACCCATCTGAGACCCGGGTCTTCGTCACCCACGCCTCGCCAGCCCGGGAGGGTATGTTGAACCAGCTTTCAGTCACCTTGAAGGCCGACTTCTCAATCTCTGCCGGTCTCCATTTCCGTTACGGCTCTTCCTACAACGAGTTTTCCGTCAACCCATCTCTCGACCATTACCGTGGCAAACTCGCAGCTTCCAAGGCTTCCTTCACTGATGTCTGGGAGACCGTGCGTGGTGAGGTGGAGTCTGCAATTTCATCTAACGATGCCCAGAAGACTCTCCTGGACAATGCGCTGGAAGTCGTGAACAAAATGCCATCTATTGCCAATGGTGGAAACCCATTTGGTGGTCCCGTCAGTGCTGGCAGTGCTGCTGGCCACGTTGACGAGAGTGCCTTCAAGAACATGTGGAACTTCAACCTCGCTGATGCGGCGTTCGGCTATCTTGTCCTGGAGATTGAGGGTGGACGTATCGCTACTGAGATGCGCGCCCAGGGTTTCAACTTTGCCCACCGCAGCGGCAAGCCTGTCCCTGGAGGACCCCAGCCTGTTGCTGGTCTCCCTGCTACCACCGCTTCTCCCGCTCCTACTGGTGCAGCTGGACGCCCTGCTACCGTGACACCTCAGTTTGTACAGGCCCCTCCCGCTCGGGGCCCCGGCCAGCACGGCTCGCCTGTGCCCGTCATCCCCGCTAAGGCACACAGCCCCGTTCCCCCCTCAACCTCGTCCGCTCAGCCTGCTGGAGAGGAAAAGACCACCGCTGACACCAATGGTGCTACCCCTACCGAGAAGACTGGCGATTCCCCTGCTTCTCGCGGCGAGAAAAAGCCAAGCAACGCTCTCTTCGTTTCTTACGTCGATAATGAGGAGGCCGTCCGCAACCTCCTCCCCGAGGAGGATCAAGCTAAGGTGATCAAGATCGAAAAATGGGGCAAATACAACAACTATGTTGCCTCATTCCCAACCGTTGAGGATGCTAAGGCTGCTCTCGACCGCCAGCCTATCGAACACAAACGACCTAGCCCCGCCGGTCCGCTTCGCAAACCCAACTTCAAGTATTTTGAGGAGCGTCCTCGTGGTCAAGGCAATGCCGGAACCTGGCAGGGGAGCAACCGCGGGGGTAATCAAGGCCCACGCGGCTACCAGAGTGCCAGCGACAGCGAAGGAGCCCGTCGGGGTGGTGGCTTTGCCCGGGGTCGTGGACGCGGTGGCGAGCGTGGTCGTGGAGGACGTGGCGGTGGCCGTGGTGGCTTCAAGGGGGTGCTGGCTCTAACGAGTCCACCCCCACCACTGACAAGCCCCCTGCCGCCGGTGATGCTTAATTGCTGAACTCTGATGTCCATACCTGCTTCCATGTTTCCTCAATTGGGCCGTCGAGCCTCGATAATCCTGTTTTCTCTCCACGCTTCTCACGTCAATTTCACGCCGCCTTAACCTCCCCCGCCGTTGATTCCTTTCTCAAATGTCTCTCTTCCTATCTCGTGGAACAGCTTCAAATATCCCTGTCTCTGTTTTTTCTTTTCTATCAATACTCTAGTGGGTGAGATGCTGCTATCTTGTCTTCCTGCCAGATAGGTCGTCTCAGCCGAATCTGCACTGTATTTTCGGAGCAAATGCTTTAAGGGAGGGGAGGACGTTGGATGTTTGGTGACCCATTGACTTGAGACACGTGAAAAATCCCGAAAACAAATCAAAAAAGAGAAAAAAAAAAGTCATCAGTGTTCTCCGGTTGCCGAGTGAATTTTTTTCTTTTTTTTTAGTTTTTTTAACTACCCTGAAGAGACCAATATCGATACCCTTGCCAGCTCTGAGTTTTTGGCTTACGATTTAACTAAAGTAGACCGTAGTGTGCTGGGGAATACTAACGCTAATAAGAAATATCCCTAGCGTACCGTGTGGACTGGAAAGCATTCACATTGTACGATATGTACCCTGGAAGTAGAAAGTAGGGACTTGTACTAGGGTGCGTAAGGCCAATACATCACGAACAGGCAAAGCAAGTCAGTCTCAGAACAAACACCGACCAACTCTCAATTCCAAGTAGCCGGATACAAGAGCCTAATACCGGCTGCACAATCTGGTTCCCCTAGGCTGTCTATAAAGGGGTCCATTCTAAACCCCGATACCATAAGTGTGCCCCTCTACCCGGATCAGCAGGCGTACGAGGGAACCATCTCTTCCCCAGTGCTTATAGAGAGGCCTGGGACTATCTCGACAGTGGTGACCCTGATAAGCTCATTCAAGAGTCATTCGTCGGGTGTATGCCCATGTCCTGTATACGCATATGCGCTGAAAGCTTCAGAACACCAAGACATGGAAAGCATGAGACGCTCTTGCAGGTAATGTCTCGCGTTGCAAGCAATCTGTTGCCATCACTGGACTGCATCACAGATGGGCACAGTAGCTGGACGCTTTTCTTTTTCCAGCTTTTACGGCCCACGCTCTGTTTCTGCAAGTCTTCTTCTACTGGGTTGCCAGAATCCTCGACTTGGGGAGGACTAGCGAGGAGGGTCATTGGTGACTGCTCATCAAAGACATTCGGAGTGTCCCTCGTCCGGCTTGGACAACTCATTATGAAGCCTAACAATTTTGTCGCTGGAGCGGAAAACTCGGCAGACCTGGGTACAACACTGTAGTGGGTGCCTTTAATGGTGTCACTGGGATTGGACGCTACTTCAAGAGATGAAGTACTAAGGGAGTGGAAGAAGACCTTACAGATAGAATCTAATCTACAGGGCCGTACTTGGTAACAGAACCGACATTGTTACAAGGTCAAATATTAATTAACAAGAGTGCAAGCCGTCCCATATCCCGTTCGCCAGATCCCCAGCGTAAGTTCCCAAGGCCGAACGCCTGGAGTGAGTGAAGGAAGATAGAGGGAAGATAGAGATAAAAGATAAAGCTCGAACATAACGAATCTCCATGTCTCCATTCGCCGTGTTGATGAGACATATGGTCAAATAGTCGAATAATTCAGATGTAGAAGGCCAGATCATAAATGGTAAAGACGTAGAATGGAATGGAGGTATGGTGAGATTGCAAAGGATTGAGCCTCCAGAAAATAGGAAAAGATAAATAGCCGTGGCCATCAAGGGTAAACGCAAGGAAACAGCAAAGGACACAATAATCAAAACTTCAGATTCGCCAATATCTCCTCTGGTTTTCTCCAAATTGCTTTCATGACGCCGTATGTCTTCAGATGACACTAAAATGATGGGTATGAGTAGAAAAACGTAGTACAGTTTTAGCGTGAGTCGTGAATTGTGGGGCTTGGAAGGATGCGAAATTCCATGAGACCTCTCAGTCAGTAGTGAGAGGTTCTTTTTGCGTTTTTATTTCACGCGGCCCATGATGGCGTCGACATCATCCTGATTTACCACGACACCGCCCTCAGAGCAGCGAGCCTTGGTGCGCAACTCAGAGCAAAGGTTGTCAACGTCAATCTCTCCGTTGCGGAATTTTTCCATGGATTGCAAGCGGTCCCTGCGGGAAAAAGCGTTAGAAGCGAGTAAAGGTAGGATGAGGGAGCCGTCAAAACATACCAGATTTTTGTACAGGAGAGCATCTGCGTCTTGTCCTCTCCGGGAACAACCTCTTCATCAACATCAACCTGCTCATCCAATGGACCGAGCGGGCTTGGCTTCTTCGGTTGCTGCTGCTGAGTAGATGCCTCAGAGAGGTTGTGGGAGGGACTGCCAAGGTCTGGCAAGGGAAAAGCGTCATTGAAAAATGAGCCAAAGTCTTGAGACAGAACTGCATCTTGTGGCTCGCGCCAATCGCCGAAGAGGACCGGGTCGAACTGGCCACCATTCTGTTGGGACAACCAGTCAAAGCCGAAGGAATCCTCCACCGGAGGTTTGGGGTTGCTCGGCTCGTTGGCAGGCTTATTTTTAACGGCTGGGATGGGGTTATTGACGTTGCCGCAGGCCATGCCAAGCTTGGCGCAGAAAGATTCCTCACCGTTGATTGAGCCACCGCAGGACGCGTCGTGCTGCTTTCCATCTGGCGGAGAGTTCAAGCTGGGTTCAGGTGAAGTTCCACTAGAGGATAGTAGCTGACTCTGGTGAGAATCAGATGAAGAGGAGGGAGAATCCGAAGTGGTGGTTTCATGGGCTGAAGTAGACTTGGAATTCTTGTGCGGTGCCTTGGATGAAGTAGTGGATGAAGGGGTGTTGCCGAAAGTCCGAAGGACAGGGGGGGGTGCCACTAGAGTGGCTAGAGGGGACAGCCGGTGCACCGATGAGACCATTCAGGTTATCACGGCTCAGAACGCTCGTTGAGCGAACTGTCTCATTGCTGTTCTTGGCCTTGGACTGGTCGACCTTGTTTTGACCATTAAAGATATGCGAGCCGGGCAAGTCGCCAAACTTAGGGAAGTCAAACAAGAAGTCGGTGTTTTGGAGGCCATAAGATCCATGAGACTGAGCGGCAGGCCAGTGCTCATCGCAGAGAGCCCATTTCCGCGACTTGACATCCACGAGAGACGCTTGCGATATTCACGCAGCTCCACCTGCAATCGTTCCACCTGGGCCCGGAGTAGCCCGTTTTCCTGAGAAGTCGAGTCAGAAGTCCTCTGCAACTCCTCGACTTTGGTTTCCAAATCCTTCAAGTGCTTCTCTTTGCGCTCTCGGAAGGCCCGCTGGGCAGCACGATTCTGTGCCTTGCGTTTCTGTACGCGGTGTCAGTGGCTGTTCATGGTCAAATGATGATCCCTAGGAAGAGCGGTGTGCCTACCGTAGTGGGCTCTGAGGTCAGCGGCTTCCGGCCCGGCTTCTTGGCTTCGCTCTCTCTCCGCTTCTTGCCTGTCTCTTCAGGATCTATATCCGGCTTCCCGTCCATAGATTTACGCTTCCCACCCAGCTCATGGTCGGGAGACGGATCGCCCGGGAGGTCGCCGATCAAGTTGGCTGAATCGGGGAATTCAAAGTCGACCTCGGGATTGAAATCGAGGAAAGGGCTCTCGTCATCCGGGAAACTAAAGCCGTTCAATTGAGAATTATCAAATCCACCAGATGGAGGCGCACTCTGGCCATTGGAAGAAGTATGACCGGGGCTGTGCTCAGGCTTGGCGGGTGTCTCGTAAGATTGCTTGTGAGAAGGGTTGTTGGAGGAAAGAGCGGCGAGGAGAAGATCTTGCTGATCAGGGGAGAGATTGTAAAGCCCCTGCTGGTATAGATGGTTGTAGTCGCTCATTTTGGCGGTAAACCCGAATGTCTGTTTTGGGTGGCGTTACACGGGAGAGGGGTTGCTTGGTGACGTTCAGAAGAGCTCGAAGAGATTCGAGGCTAACAACTGGGCCTCTCGCCCGCAGGGATCGATATTGCTGGGATTGTAAGTTCTGGTGAGACCAGAATGAAGGACTGCCCCCTAGAGAAACGAAAGGGGAGTCCTGATTGGAACAAAAGGTATCTTAGAGCCTCTTGAGAGCGGGGGCAAATATCAGGAATAGTTGCAGGGGAAAAAAGACGACCGGTCGATTGGAGGGGTTGCAGGAGGGGGCCTGAGGCTCCAAAGTACCCGCTTTCCTGGATCGAGCAGCTTCGACAACAACTAGACCGGATTGTGAAGGAGATTGAGGGAGGAGGAGATGATGAAAGAGGAGGCGATCGCTTTGCGGTGGGCAAGAGCGACTTGTAACTGGTTCGGGGCTTTCTATTGGCCCGAGCCAGAGCCTAATGCTTGGTGTCCAATCACGGCAGGGAATGCGGGGGGGACAGTTGCTTAGAAATCCGCTTCGATCTTCTTCCGTGGCGTTTTTTTTTTTGGCGAGTTTGCACCGTTGGGAATGGAAGTTGATCTGCCTGGACTGTTGCAAGTCCTTTTCTGATCCGGTTTATTGCTTCACTCCGTTTCGATCGTGCTGCTTCACTACGTTGCACCCTGTCATGCTGCGCCCCATTCGCTCACCAACCTATTCGTTTCAGCTATCCGCTAAATCCGTCCCCATGAGGAACCTTAATCCTGAAGCAGACACTGGGGCCAAAATTTCGAATCCCGAGCTCAAGAGTGACTCAGGCTGGGCCTGATATTCCTGTTCTCCCCAGGGTCCGGCCCCACTTGATCCGACAGGATGATCAGCCCATTCTGCTACTTCTGATCCGCGTGGCAAAGCCCCGGCCAGCCCGCTCACCCCGGATCCTCCCTGCACTCTTTGAGCTCCTCAACGTACCCTGCAACATAGGCTCCGAGGTACTGACAGTGGAGGCATGTCTGTATAAGGTGCGAGGTACTAGAATTCAGTCTTGACTTTTGATCCTGACCACCAGATGAACTGTACTCATTAACTCCGCTGCTGATCACGAAGCGGGTCTTATCGCCGCTATCGGAACTCCCAGTCGATGCGGTAATAATACCCGCCGATACCTAGGGATGGGCGCCTGGAGCCAGCCGAGGCAAATCATGCAAACAAGCCAGCAAAACGATACAAGAGGTGCAAACGTATCAAATGGCATTTCTACTGATGAATCTGTCACAGGTAAAATGTCTAACGTAGCGCAGGACAAGATTAATTAAGGGTAGGAATCATGGTATTCTAGCAGGCACAATATTTCCTCTCTAAGTGTAGGCCTTTTCATGTAAGATATTCCTTGGCAGTCAGATCAAACCCTTTTTACGCTGTCTCTCTGATGGGATGCATTTAGTATCTAGCTTTACTCTTAGGACCACTGATTGCAACACAACTCTACTGACGGCCTAGAGGTTGTGAAGCACAAGACACTGGAACGGCCGGTACTGTTGAAGCTGACGTTGATTAGAATGACTAGTTATTGAGAGTCAATGTGGAAGCCTGCTCAACTACCAGTAATGTTCCACTACTGTATCATGGTCTACCGAGATGGCAAATTGCTACTTTGGCCTGTATATATGAAACATGACAGGCTGAGAATGCGTTATCTACTTCCTGCTGTTTTGAGAACCGTTGAATACCGCTGGTAACTAATATGACAACTGTACCCTCGTTTGCAGCACTTGGTAAAATTTCTTGACTAAATGCACAGTGGGTTCCGTATCTATCCAACCCGGAGACTCACGAGTTCTAAAATGTGGAGCTTCTGAGGCTGCACAATAATTGACTGAGGCACCACCTGGGCAAGAAACCGCAATGAACAATCTAAGGGCGATATCAATCAGACTTCCGCATTGCTACAATACAAGGGACGCTTTCAATTCTTCTCACGGGACCTCTGCCGTGGCCCTTTCGCATTGCATTTACTCTCACGGATCTCCACCCAAATAGTATCTTGGTTGACGATGGATGGTATATCACTTCGTTGGTTGACCTTCGATAGGCACGCTCTCGCCCTATCCAAATGATGCGCATGCTTACCTGGCTTACTAGAAAAGCCGTTGAGGAGGTCGCCGAGGAACCTACCGAGTATAATGCTTCTAGATCTAAATTCATTGAAACCATGGCAAGAGAGGCGAAGTCATTCAGCCTTGTTTCAGGAGACAAAGCCAGATAGCAGTAAACAATTCAACCACGCTCTATGGAGCAGTGCCCAAACCATAATGCCTTCCATGAAACTATGCTGTCGTATTGGTCCCAGGACTTCCTGAAGGTTGGAGCCTCTAAGCAGCGGGATAGCGTTGGTTATGGTGTCCACATAAATGCAGCCTTTGGGATTCTTGACAAGGTGAATTGGTAGTAGCTGGATACGAAGTACCTAAAGCCTAAATGCCTACTGAACTGGTCAACCTCGTTGCTTTTTCATTCGCATTGTATTGACTTGTAGCCATAATCTCAAAATCTTCTACTAATGTCCACTCAGTTATTTCACATTTTAAAATCATTACTGTGGTTTCTTTACCAGTACCGGCCGAGGGACTAGCTTGCTGTAATGTTCCACGTTGGATTTGGGGCCGAGCGTTTCCTGTTCGCCATTTGAAGCGTCTAGGGGTTCTGGTATTTTATTAGTAGCCCTAAAATCGTTCCAAAATCATCTTGCATTGCTAAGTGAAATCAAATAATGGCCTTCATCCTTTCAGTAGCCAATCATACTTTAGATCTGAAGAGTTCAGAAAGTCTAACGGGCTTGACACAACGGTACTTGAGGTAGGAAAGACTGGGTAATTACTAATGTACATCATGGCAATATGGTCAACTACCCCCAGAGCCCTATCTTTGATGGGAGTCGGTTTCAACTGAACTTGATATTGCTTGCTCAAGCATGCATGATGTAACGAAATAGTAAGGCCCTCGCTTGTTAACTTACGTCATAGATCCCTTCGCTTCCAAATTAAGAGCTAAGGCTGAAAGGCGGTGAGAACGAAAAAAAGATATCTTTGGCAATTCATCTTCACCGCCGGGATCTTATCGATAATAAAATATTGAAGGCCCCAAGGCGGTGAAAGTTTACACCACTCTTTCTTATCGCCTCGGTAGAACGAACTTACTTGACCTGCGTCTTTGCATCTCTGAACATCTCAACATCAACCGTCGCAGTTTAACGGAGTCCAACACTCACAGAACTGTCAGCTATTCAGCCCCAACGTGCAGATAAAGTCTCAAGCCCTTTCGCTGTTCGGCGCAATTGTGAAAATGTCCGACATGGCGGAACTTGAGAAGGAGCTGAAAGAGTTCAAAGAACAGGTACGCTCCCTTCCTCGCTCTCCTTTTGGTTTTTATAGCCGCTCTTTGGATGCGGGCTTAACAATTTTGAAATACAGCTTGAAGAGGTCGAGCGCATGTTGCAGGACACCCCGGACGACCCCGAATTGCTAGCCTTCAAACCTGAACTCCAAAGCGAAATCAAAACTCGTGAAGACGCCATTGCCGCCGCAAAGAATGCCACCGAGTCGGCTGTTTCCGCTAAGCACGCGCCACCCAATGCGCCATCTCCACGCGACTCCGCCACGCCAACCCCGGTGGCGGCTCAACGCGATGAGCCTGCCCAACCCCGCGTATCATACTCAGTCAACGACAATGTGCTGGCTCGCTGGGTCTCCGGTAACGGCGGCTTTTTCCCTGCTCGCATCACCTCAATCACCGGCTCTGTCGCCAATCCCATGTATCTGGTTTCTTTTAAGGGTTATAACACGATGGATAACGTGACCCTGAAGGATCTTAAGCCCCTTGGCCATGAATCTCGCAAGCGTAAGGCTGATTCTACCCCAGGTGGCTCCGCGTCTGCTTCGCCCGCTCCCTCGCCTGTCAGTTCCGGCAACGTCATCACCGCCCCAGCCGAAATCAACCCCGCTTTAGCTACCAAAGCCCGGGACGATGCGAAGAACGCTGGGGACTCTGCGGGCCGTCCATCCAAAGCCTCTCGTAAGGGGAAAGCCTCCCGCGAACTGGAAGCTGGCAAGACCAAGTGGCAGGAGTTCTCTGCTAAGAGCAAGGGCAAGTTCGGCAAGAAGGAGAGCATGTTCCGGACTGGCGAGGGTGTGAACGCCCGAGGTTGGCATATCCCTGACTCTGATTGCGTATTTACGTCTAACTAACCTTGGATCATAGTTGGGGTCACGGGCTCCGGCCAGCAAATGCGCCGGGATCCCACTCGCTCACGCAACACCTACGCCAAACAGGAGGAGGACGATGACTGGTAAGATGGAATTAATCTCGGATCTGATTACGAAGATGGGTGCATTCGGGAAGGAATTGGTGGATACGTGATACCTTCATATCGGCTGGCCTGAGATTAGAGGCCTTTTTCTTCACCCGTTTAAGGGCATATTATCTTTACCTATTGCTTTAGCGACTTTATCTTTATCCTTGGCCTTACCCTATGGCTATTTCTATCCATAATACAGATGAGCTACGCCAACTCCTGCACACCCACATTATGCTGATGGCTAACTATTCGAGGCCCTCCCGGTTGATTGCTACAAGACTGCCCAACTGCTGCTGTATACATGCAGCAATTGCATAGTCAAACCCTTGTGGAGCCGCCCTAGCATGCCAGGGAATCGATAAACATTGTAGAAGAGCTTTAGAATCTAAATCCTGCACAAAGTTGGATAATAGTATGTATAAAAATCGATGGATGCGATGAACGAGCCCGGGCTGGTTATTCTGAGGTGGATCAAGTATTACCCAAAATCCAAAATTGGCGATCCTTGACTCGCTACTATGAGGCCGCCACTCTCTTAAAGGCTTGCGTAGCTTTGAAATAACTATCAAATTGACCTGGTTACGTGCTTGCATCCTCTACCGGGCTCTGAGTGACTGTCGCAAAGAAATGAGGTGGGTCCACCCCGCCATGCGGCTAAACACCGTTTTCCACATGAGGTTTAGCGTTGCTATAACCTTGTTGGAATCCACTCCTCTACATATCGTGGTTTGGATGCCCATGGGCCGAGACAGATCGCTTCGCATCTTAGCGTGAATTTTCGCGAGCCGGTAGATTCTTGCAGGCTAGCGTGTGGTGGCTCCCAGGGCTATAAATGCGGGCTAAGTCTCATCTCCAAGTCCATACATTCATTCATTCAATCATCCTCTCTTCTTTTCTTCCCATGGCTCAAGATACCCTTTCCCTCGCAGGCAAAGTCGCCATCGTGACTGGCTCCGGCCGTGAAAGTGGTATAGGGGCCGCTATTGCATTCATCTTTGCGCGCAATGGGGCCCGTGTGACCATCAACCATGTTTCAGACGCAAGTGCTCCCCGCGCTACGAACGTCGCCAAGGTGATCCAGGCCCAAGGCGGAGCGGCAACGGTTATTCAGGCAGACATATCGACTCAAGAGGGTGCGGCAAAGCTTGTCCAGGGCACATTGGCTGCGTTTGGCGTGGATCATGTCGACATTCTTGGTAAGTTCCAGGTCCCCGGTCTGCCAGCAGATTCACGGGTTACCATATTCAGGGTAATTAAGCTGACTTCTGATAAGTAAATAATGCTGCCGGCGGTGCGCCAAAGAGCGCTCTCCAGTCGGACCGAGAGGCTCTTGACACGATCTTTCAATCCATCGTTTATGGGCCCATATTCACTATCCAGGCTACTCTTCCCCATATGCCCCGTGGCGGTCGCATAGTCAATATAGGCTCCATTGCCTCAAAGTTGGGTATGTCCCCTTCTGCGGTTTATGGCGCTGCCAAAGCTGCGCAGGACTCTCTCACGTATGCACTGGCCATGGAATTGGGTCGTGGCCATGGTGTCACGATAAACACCGTCGCACCGGGTCCTGTGGATACCGAAGCTTTGCCAAAGATGGTTGCGGAGAAGATACACGAGACGCTTATTCCAATGACGAGAGCTGAAGAGCGGGCAGGAACCCAGGAAGACATTGCAGATGCAGTGCTGTTGCTGGTGTCGGAGAAGAGTCGGTGGATCACGGGGCAGATCATCTCCGTCAGTGGTGGTATAACTGGAGGCTCAATGTAAACCAGCGCTCTAGCCTTTTAAGCCCATTTAATCATCCCTCAATATGTGAGATCTATCAATTTCAAATATCATGTCCTCAATGGAGGACGGGTCAGCTAGCCGTTCAATCCATAAGATTTCGCGAGCATTATCCAATACAGCGTCTCCGTTCTGAAATCCATTGGCGGGCATCCGGCGAGAGATTTCCCCTGTATATACACTAGTATTCCTTTGACACTCTGGTGGTTGGAGCAAACATGCTGTTGCAATTGCCCAACTCTGAAGCCCAGGAAGAATGTAGTGGTGACCGTAGCCTTGAATGCTACTCTCTTTAATGAGATGGAGCAGTTTATCTTGCAGAAAAATCATCTCAGGCGCGGCCAATCCATAGGCATTTTTCAAGCCCGCTAGTAAAATAAGCAAAGCTAGTCGCACCACTTCATGAAGAAATGGAAAAGAATTTGTGTCATATGACAAGAATCGAGGAAGAGAAAGCAGGAGATGAGTGGGAGACCCCAGCATCGTCAAAGGGCTGAGGTCTTTCTCTTGTCGCCAGAACCCAGACCGGAGAGCATGGGAGTTGACGAAGTTGCAGACGAGCGCCACTTGTTCTAGGGCAAGACACAACTCACTCGACATAGTAACTTGAGTGTGCAGGTACTCAAGGATCTTGCAGAATGATGGGGTTTTCGGTACTGGCCTCAAGTCAGTAGCAGGGAAACAAGAATCTTCGACCAACAGAGGCGGAGTGTCCTTGACCACTGATCCCACCACATCAAACCAAGAAGCGAAAAGTTGGAGGTTACCATTTAGGCCGCAGAATCCATTTCTGAGCTGGATAATATGTTTCAAGCCTTGTATATGATAAGCCCAGCGATCTAGGGTCCCAACGTATAACTAAAACGATTAGCCAGCTGCTCATTGAAAGGAAAAACCACAGACTACGAACATCATGGCATATGAGGCCCAGCACAGCAGTCATCAGGCCCTCACTTGCGCGATCAATTGGGTCAGCCAATCGCCTTGTCACTTGCCTCACACTTTCGCCGTAGTAAGCGAGAGCCTCCGCACTGCGTTCGTACTTGAATGTTGTAGGATGATGGGCTTCATCCAGAAACATCGCCGCGTTGGCCATTGACAATTTGAAAGCGCTACCATCTCTTAAGGCCATCTCAAACCAGATGCCCCTGAACGGGCGATATCTGTAGTCGGCCTCCGATTGCACTATGGGGATCAATGAGATGGCGCCAGTTTGTCGTGGCCAGGGCGGATCTTACTGAAATGGGCTAACTGCCGGGCCCTGTTATCAAGGTCTATAGGTAACGGGCTTGATTCCAAGGCGGGACATAAGAAATCCTTCTGATTATGGTCTATTTGATGTGGCTGTCCAATGAAGGTGACGGCAGGTTGGCTTTTGGGCTTTCGCCGCGATCGGCCAATATCGCGCATTACTCGCCTTCGAATGGCACGCTGGGTATCTTTGTTTTTCACTTCATCGGGATTTGCCACAGTAATAAAGAGAAGCCCGTTGGTGGACTCCATTCTTGTTGGGTGCGGCTCAAATCGATGAAGCCATCTGGCTCAGAAGACCTCAAGTGTCAATGACATGCCCGCCGCTAATCTCAAACCGGATTAGTCTGCTCTGGTCGAGTCGCCACTGTAGCTTGAAACACGATGCTCTAAGTTCAATCCTACATGTGCAGCCTGAAGGGCAAGGGGTGCAGCCTGAAGGGCAAGGGGTGCAGCCTGAAGGGCAAGGGGTTTCTCGTGCATGATAAGATGTAATCCAAGTGGTACTGATTACTGGACCCCGAGTACCATGTAGGCCTCCATTATTTCGACCCTTAAAATTTGCATACCTTATCCGATTCAACTCTGTCGCTTGACTGTTCGTCTTCAGGAATGTGGAGAACAGAATATAGCAGTCGAGAGAAGGAAAAAAAAAGCTACATTCAGTATTTTATAGACGCGTTAATCCTGGGTCAGTGTGCTGGTTTGCCTGACTGGTTGTAGCAGGGCTAGGAATCGAGGGATTGGAGCCAGCGCATGATAGAGGTCTTCATGAAAGGCCCGATTTCTCCAGGCCACGCCAGCTGCCAAGTCATCAGTGGAAATGAGCAATTAATTCGTGTACCTGACGTTTAGGCCTAAAGAGCGACCTGGACCGTCCAAGCTTTGGGGCGGCAGTCATGCGGGGGCCGCGTGGTAGCCCGGTTCTCGTTTCTCCGGCACGTCATGGTTCTGGACCTCTAACTCCTTCCTTCCTCCTCCCACTCTTGCATGCATACCACCATCATCCTCTCAACGACGCTTAAAAATTTTACGATAAGCTGCTGTGTGTCAAGCAAATACATATCATTCCAGCCACTTTCCTGGACCTGGCGCTGAGCTGACCTCGGCATCATATCCGGGCGCATCAGCAGCTGCATGGCGAGGTAGGCCGATCGCGGTCATCATATCGACCCCAACCACAACAATCAAAACCGAATCCGCCGCAAACCAGACAGCTTCCCGATCCAATCGTATCCAATCCTCACGATGCGCCCGCTCGGGGTGGCTCTAATCGCTGGGATGGGCTCCCTAGCCTTCCAGCCGACGCTCGTAGGTGCTCAAGAGCAGCCTACGATTCATGAAAATGGGCGGTGTGCGCTTCGAGGACAGTGCGGAAAGCAATCATTCTTTGGCGGCGAGCTTCCTTGTTATGATAACGAACTAGCGCGACAGCCTGATGATCCGGTGCGCCAGAAGCTGGTCAAGCTGTGTGGTCCTAAGTGGCAGGAAGGGCCAATCTGTTGCGAGAGTGAGCAGGTAAGGAGCGCCGCTGTCAGAAGTCGTCACATCTCTTGATCTCAGGACTAAATGCTGTCATTTGATAGATCGATACTCTCTCGAGCAACTTGAAGCTAGCCGAAAACATCATATCGTCCTGTCCCGCCTGCAAGGAGAACTTCTTTGATATCTTTTGCACCTTTACCTGCTCACCGGATCAATCGCTGTTCGTGAATGTCACCGCAACCGAGGACAACGGGTCAGGGAAACAGCGAGTCACTGAGGTGGATAACCTTTGGTCTGAGGAATACCAGAGCGGTTTCTACGATAGCTGCAAGAATGTCAAGAACGGCGCCTCTGGTGGGAAAGCGATCGACTTCATCGGTGGTGGTGCGACGGACTATCATCAGTTTTTGAAGTTCTTGGGTGATAAGAAGTTTTTGGGAAGCCCATTTCAAATCAACTATGTGACCGAACCGACCGGGCCTGACCCTCAGGGCATGCATGCCTTGGCCATGAAACCTAAGGCCTGCAACGACCCTGACAAGAACTTCCGCTGCTCCTGTGTCGACTGTCCTGATGTCTGCCCGGAGTTACCCGCAGTAGCGACACACGATTACTGCCATGTAGGGCTTCTTCCCTGTCTTTCCTTCGCCGTGATCATCATCTACTCTGCCTTCTTGTTATTGGTGATCGGCCTCGCCAGCTATGTCACCTACAAGGAACGTCGTTTCCGCAAACCTGAACGAGTTCGTCTACTCCAAGACCCTTCCCCTAGCGAAGATGAGGATGAGGGAGAAGTCGTTCATCGTGGAGGGTATCTTGAGCAGCCACAGGGCATCTACAAGCCCAACTCTTTGTTATCAGCACTTTTTTACCGAATTGGTCTGCTCTGTGCCCAACTTCCAGGTCTCACTATCTTGGCCAGTACACTCGTCGTGGTACTGTTGAGTCTAGGATGGCTCAGATTCGCCGTGGAGACGGATCCTGTTCGTCTGTGGGTCAGTCCATCATCGGCGGCTGCACAGGAGAAGGCCTTCTTCGATGAAAGTTTCGGGCCATTCTACCGGGCCGAGCAAGCCTTTTTGGTGAACGACACCGGTCCAGTCCTGAATTACGAGACATTGGTTTGGTGGTTCGACATCGAATCTCGGGTGCGCCGTATCATCTCATTAGAGCGAGGCTTGAACCTCGAGGATGTTTGTTTCAAGCCCACTGGCGATGCTTGTGTAGTCCAGTCACTTACTGGTTACTTCGGCGGCTCGGTCGCCAATCTTGACCCTGATACGTGGGAAGACAGACTTCTCCATTGCACTGAGTCTCCAGGAGACCCCGGCTGTCTTCCAGACTTTTCACAACCCTTGAAACCAGAGCTTATCCTTGGTGGATATGACAGTGCCACCGAGAACGCTCTTCAAGCTCGGGCTTTGGTTGCCACATGGGTAGTGAACAATTATGAACAGGGGACAGAAGGAGAAGAACGTGCCATTGATTGGGAGAACAGTATCCGCCGAGTATTCGACGTTGCTCGCGAAGAAGCCGTCGAGCGAGGACTCCGTATCTCCTTCAATGCCGAAATCAGCTTGGAGCAAGAGCTCAACAAGTCTACCAATACGGATGTAAAAATCGTGGTTATCAGCTACGTGGTCATGTTCATTTATGCGTCCCTGGCTTTGGGCTCGGCTACTGTCACGTTGAAGTCACTCTTGACGAATCCTGCCAATGCCCTCGTGCAGTCTAAATTCACCTTAGGCGTTGCTGGAATCGTCATTGTACTCATGTCTGTCTCTGCCTCGGTTGGTCTGTTCTCAGCTGCAGGTGTGAAAGTGACCCTGATCATAGCAGAGGTCATTCCGTTCCTAGTCCTAGCAGTCGGTGTCGATAACATCTTCTTGATTGTCCATGAGTTTGAGCGAGTCAACTTCAGTCATCCCGATGAGGAAGTCGAGGAAAGAGTCGCTCGTGCTCTTGGACGAATCGGCCCAAGTGTGTTCCTGTCTGCTCTGACCGAGACAGTTGCTTTTGCTCTCGGAATCTTTGTCGGGATGCCCGCTGTGAAGAACTTTGCTGCCTATGCTGCCGGCGCTGTGTTTATCAACGCCATTCTGCAAGCAACCATGTTCGTTGCCGTGCTTGCTCTGAACCAGCGACGTGTGCAAGGTCTTCGGGCCGATTGTCTTCCATGCCTCACTGTCCGGAAAGCCACTTCCTTTGGATTACCCGAGGAGCAGTTATACGATGATCAAGAGGCGGAAAGCTCCCTGCAGACTTTTATCCGCCGCATATATGCCCCTTTCATTCTCGATCGGCGCGTGAAAGCGGTAGTTGTGATTACTTTCCTCGGTCTTCTCACCGCGGGACTGGCCTTGATTCCTGAAGTCGCTCTTGGCTTGGATCAGCGAATCGCCCTTCCAAGTGATTCATACTTGATACCCTACTTCAACGATCTTAACACTTACTTCCGCACTGGACCTCCCGTATATTTTGTCACCCGGGATGTCAATATTACCGAACGTCAGCACCAGCAGCAGCTCTGTGGACGATTCACCACCTGCGAAGAGTTTTCCTTGCCATTCGTGCTAGAGCAAGAATCTAAACGACCGAACGTTTCCTATCTGTCCGGCTCAGCTGCTAGCTGGATCGATGATTTCTTTTATTGGCTCAATCCTCAGCAGGAGTGCTGCAAAGAAGATGGCAAGGGGTGCTTCGAAAACCGCGACTCGGCATGGAATATCTCCTTGTCTGGGATGCCCATAGGCTCAGAGTTCATCCATTATGCCGAAAAATGGATCGATGCACCCACTGACGCTTCTTGCCCTCTCGGTGGTAAGGCAGCCTACAGTTCTGCCGTGGTCATCGATGAGAATCGGAACACAATCAACGCTAGTCACTTCCGGACCATGCACACCCCATTGCGAAGCCAAGATGATTTCATCCAAGCCTACATTGCCGCTCGTCGTATTTCTGACCAGCTGTCTGAGGAACACCACATCGATATATTCCCCTACTCCAAGTTCTACATCTTCTTCGATCAATATGTGTCGATCGTGCAATTGACAGGCACCCTTTTGGGTTCAGCGGTCGCTATCATTTTCGTTTTGACTTCAGCCATTCTGGGCTCTATCGCGACTGGCGCAGTCATCACGACTACGGTGGTAATGACTGTCGTCGATATCATCGGAACAATGGCTATCGCTGGTGTCTCCTTGAACGCCGTCTCTTTGGTCAACCTGATCATCTGCGTCGGTATTGCTGTCGAGTTCTGCGCTCATATCGCGCGGGCATTCATGTTCCCATCGCGCATACTGATGGAGAAAGCTCCGCCCAAGTTCCGTGGCAAGGATGCCCGCGCGTGGGCGGCCATGGTCAACGTGGGAGGTAGCGTGTTCAGTGGCATAACCATCACTAAGCTATTGGGTGTCTGTGTACTCGCATTCACTCGAAGCAAGATCTTCGAGATCTACTATTTCCGGGTCTGGTTGGCGCTCGTTATTTTCGCTGCCATTCATGCTCTAATCTTCCTTCCGGTGGCTCTCAGCTATTTCGGTGGTGGAGGTTTGTCTACTCCCATCCCCATACATTTTCGCCGTGGTTAACACAAATACAGGATATTTCGACCCTGCGTCCGACGGTGGCTTCGAAGCGAACCTTGCCTCCCGCGGCTACCGGTCATTGCTGGTCGATGGCGATTACGACTCTGATGAATATTAGGCGCTTTTGGCCGGGCTGTTTCGCTCTTTTAGTCTTCCTGTGTCAAGTTAGACTTACACGGCACGTTTCGTGGCCATAAAGGACTCAGAACTAGCCTGTCTGGATAAGAAGTGGTTGAGGAGTCTAGGGAATGGATTTCGGTTACGATTTGTTTGTTTACTTCCCAAGCATATTTGACTTTCTGGAGGCATATCGTGATCGTGAACACGCAATTCTATATGCTCACTGGCCCTTCCAAGGTTTCTCCGTAGTGAAAGTTTATCCTCATGAAGGCAATAATGCAATTCCTAGTATAAATCTTGAACGAATAATGAAATAGTATTGTTCTCTCGGTTTTCGTTCTAGAAGGATCTCAAGGGGAATCTTCACTCTACTCATTAGCTAGGATAATCGGTACCGGGAAATAAGAAGAAAAATTCAATTCTAAACACATACTAAGACCCCGAGTATAGCTGGCCTTATACCACTAAGTAGTAGATTATCCATGGAAATAGCGGCGCATCAAACAGTATACCACGAAGATCAGAACCACGGGGTAAGACCAAATTTCCAAATCCCAGAGATGATAAACTTGAAGCTCAGTACCTACCAGAGCGTGTCTCGATTCTAGGCTGTTCCAACACCCTCAATATAGTGGTTATCTCTGGTATGCCAGACCTCTTGAGAGAGTCAAGCCATTCACGATACTCGCGGAAGTTGGAGATATTGTTTACAACGCCATCTGCCTCAATACGCAGAAGGTTCCCTATGATTTCTATCAGCATGCCAACAGCAATGTCTGCGATCATTTTGCGCCGTCGGGCCTTGGTTCTCGGCGTCAAAGTTGCGTCTGCGCTTATGGCCGAGCGCTGTCTCGACATATTCAGTATAATCTGCTCTAGCATATCAGTGATTCGATATGCCAATCTGGCCTTTACTAGATCGGTCATTCGGAAAAATCGCAAGGTGAGAGGCTGACTCGCTGCTCGCACCCACTGACGGAGAAAATGAAGATTGTCAGCCGTTATGCTCAGCGTTGCTGCATACCCGATAAACTTCGTGTTCGGAGCCGGGGTGTAGATTGTGGGCGCAGGAGCAGTCGCGGCTACAGCACCGCGGATTATATGTGTCGAATCAGACAATACCAAAGGGTTGGCATGACGCGAAAACCACAGGGCAGCAGGCCGGTCTCCAAATTTGATAGCTGTTGCCCATGGATGCCATGTGCCCCCATCCCAGCCAGCTTCACTGGTTTGATTCACGCCTAGTCCGGCCGGTACTGCGACATCCTCATGCATCAGTTTAAATAAAGCGATTCGTTGCGGATTGCGGGTTATGATAAGCTCATGCCATATCCACGAATCCCGGCTTCCACCCCGGGACACAACTTCATGGGCATGGACAAGATGTACCCCTCGCGCTAATTGATAGGTTAGTTCAGAGTAACACTTGCACAAGCAAAAGCCATCCTAGCACTTTCTCGAGCTGGGAACGTCATTGACTCACCATTCAGCCTCCTTGCCATATTCAGACCGATCCACGGAGCCATCCTCAGCAATTGGCGGTTCGTGATTAGATTGCTCCAGTTATTAACCCGACCGATAAAAGTTTCACCTCGTCGAACAAAAGCCTCAACGAGCTGTCGGTTATCTGCAACGGTCCCGAGTATATAATGCATCCCTTCGATTTCCATATCAGTAAATATTGCGCCTCAGAGCTGGGAACGGAAGGGGTTGCTTGCAAATACACACCATCTTGATCCATGCCGATATCAGTAAACAATGCCGATAGAGGGAACTGTCTGATCATGTAGTCTTGAAGAGCAACATTTCCGTTGATATTCGCCTGCCGAAAATAACTGCCTGCTCGATCGTAAAAGCCTGTTACACTTATAATCCCATATGATTCAAGAAAGCGAAAACAGTCCAGACAATTTGCTGTGCCGTGATTGAAATACGGGTCTACCGCAGACATAGGTCTGATAGGGGCATTTTGAACGACTGCCATGGTCCTAACTGCGACGACGTTCGGGAAATGCGCGTACACGCTGCTGAATTGGGCTTGCATTGCTTGTGTCATGGCAGCCCGAATATGCAGCCTTGCGTCCCTTCCAAACGCCCCCGTTCGCTCCGCAAGTACAATCATGTGGAGGACATTCTCATCTGTCATGGCAAGCTCCACCGCATTTGCCCACACCAAGTATGGGAGGGTTTGCGCCATGTTGTCGATAACCCAGTAGTCTGTCTATGATTTGTGTTAGGGCTTTCACTGAGAATTAGCTTTGTCTATCATGAACACTGGTGCTTCGCCCGTAAACTTGAAACCTCGGTTGCTGGTAAACTGTGCTTCTATATCGATCAGGAGGTGGGGTATTGGTACAAATTCCAGACTGCTTTTGCTGTAGTTGATCTTCGCTTCGCTGTCTCTTAGTATCTGGAAAATAGAGGAATCCTTACGATCAGGGTGCTCTCTTATATAATAGGAAAAGCTTAGGTGTGCTTCGATTCCGAGTTCATTGTCTTCGTCTGAAGAATTATTTCAAGACGAGTTTCTTTGGCATGAAACCCAACTCGAAACGACTCTATGAAAGCCCGGCCACGGAAATAGCAAAAGAAAAGAATACATGACACCTGTATGCGTGCTGTCGCATATTAAGTTTCATCCTTGTGCGAGATTGCGGCTAACCAAGAATGGTTGTTAGAGTAAAATGAGATTATTAGGATTAGATGATCGATTCCATAGTGTGGGGGACTGTTTGTCACAGTACTAGTACTAACTATATCTGGGAATTTGTCCCGTAATATTCTAAAGCTGTCACATTCCTCGCAGTTCGAACAAATTTTCGTTACTTATTCTCTTTGAAAACCAGCCAACCTTCAAAGAATAAAGCCAAGCCACTGCGTATTGTACATAGCATAACACTACTCTCCTTCTTATCCTCAACCCGAGGAGGCAATACAGTGTGTTGACCACTTCTCCCTTTTAGCATTGCACAAAGGCCTGCCGCATTGTCTCCCTACCATTGTCAGTTTCGTAGCTGATTTTAACCTTTCTCTGTATATCTCCTGTGGCTGATTGACGAGACGAGGGGCCGCTATCGAAAGGTTCTTCGAGAAAAACGATTATCGGCGAACTGCTTTCAGACCTCCCACCTAGAGAGCGCCATTTTATCCAATATTGAAATTCCGACGTACCCTATAGAACGACTGCTGGCAATGTGGCAGTCAAACAGCCCCGAGCGGGTAAACAAAGCATGCCAAGCAAAGAGGCCCCATATGAATAGCCGTAGTCGTTCTCTTGATAAACATATTTGAAACCCTTTCTTTGATTTCTACTTGAACGGAGTGCTCAATGAGCTCGAGAACGGTCGGGAAAGGCATTGGCTAGTTCGTACTCCGGGTATGAGATCGAGGTTTCGACAGTGGTTATCGAGAGAATTGCTGTCAGCATGCCGAAAGTGATCATTAGGTGCACTGGTAGTTCTGAGGGCTCCGATCTCAAGTGTTCATATTGATATAGATCCGCGTCGCCTTTGCCTCTCTCGTCTCCATTCAAATTATTATGAATTGGATACGTATGTTGCATATTATACCGGGAACCCAGGTGGGCCCAGGTCAGCCTGTATGGGGCCCCCACCCCAGTGTGTTATACCTTGATTCATGGAATCTGGACCGAGGCTGACCACACCGACATTACACTGGACACAAATACCGTGCTTTGAGTATTTGATCCGAGAACGGATCTGTGACTCGAAAGCTTGAAAGCTCGGAAGCTCGGCAATATGTCGAAGGGCAGGCAATGCTCAATCTGTAGGGACCCCGACCGGAAGCGACTTTGAGATCCTCAGTTGGCACACTTCCCCCCCCCCACTCTTTGCCTCTGGAATACTCGGTCGCTGAAATTGTTCTATTTGCTTCCTGTTTTTGCCGACAGCTCTACATCACGGAGCGCATCGCCCATCTCTCCGCGCCCGGGAAACCAAGAGAACCTTGTGAAACCTGATTTTATGAGGGAAGTTGTCCCGGCTGGGCCAAAGAAAAACGCCCTTGATGTATGCAGTGGGCCACAGGGCTTAGCGTAGCCGGTATTGAAGAGGAAAGAGCAAGAATGATTGGTCTCCGGTCGAGATAAATGGCTGCCTACGGTTCTCCACAAAATGGAACATTTCACTTCAAAGAGGGCGTCGGATTGCAATTTTCGCAAATTCCCCTTCATCCTCAGAAATAAGGCATCCTAGCCCTGGCCTTCTTCATCTCGAGGTGAGACCTACATTGATTTGCGAGAAGATCTCCGAGGAGATAGGAGATATCTGGATCTGACGTGCAGTGGAGTAGGTCGGATCTCGAGCGTATCGACTCAGCAGCAAGCCATGATCGCCGCCAATTCCTCCCCGGCCAATTTCACCCTCCCTTCGAGCTCGGCCAGCTCGGTCACAAAGCCTCTCAAGCCCGTCTCAAAGCCCTGCTTTGGATGTGACTGCGGTGATGAAGACTGCGACTGCTGCATTTGTACCGTGATGTGATATGTTAGCACCGCCCCTTCAGCCCTATTTCCAGAGGGCTGGGAGCCCCGGCTAGTCGCAGGGGACCCGGACGGGGATCCTCCCAGGGCAAATCGGTATCTTCAACTGGAACCTTTCGAGTGGCGTGCTCTCTCTTGCGGACTATGGCGAAGTGGGGCCATATACATTGTGTGGGCGATGCCCGTTTACTTTAGTTTAGCATACTTAGCGACCTCTTTATTCCCTTCCGCTATGGCGTCATCTAGCTTAATTTCTCCATTGCCATCCAACTCTTCCTCTCTTTCTTTCTTGTCCATGCATTGACAAACCTTCAACGCAAAACTTCCTCGATGGCCTTGCAAATTTCAAGTGGGCAGCATCCGCTGACTCAGCGCTTTGTTCTTTCTCCCGGGATTCCGATTCACTTAATCGAGCATCTAGATCGTGCAAGACCCCAATGAACCCATCAGAGGAGCCCCGGAAACGCACTGCGCGGGCGTGTGATTCTTGCTATAAACGCAAGGTAATAGACCTCTCAAGCGCCCCCCCGGAGCCGTCACGTCCCTTGCTGATGCGCTCCAGATCAAATGTGACGCAGCTGAGCCACAGTGCAACTGGTGTAGCCACCACAATCTGCCTTGCACTTTCGATCGGGTAGTGCAACGTAAAAGGAAGCCCGATGAAGAGGAAAGCAGGTACGACGGAGGAGTCTCTCGGCATGTCCCTATTCTTCACGCGCTAAATGCCACTCGTGGACTCTATAGCCGCCCCAAAGCCTCGCGGCTGGCCGAACGGATCAGTCGGATCGAGCAGCTGTTAGCGGAGAATCTAATGCGAGATCCTACATCCGGTATGTCTCATTCTGGATGATCTTGTTTGGCTCTCGGCTCACGTCGCCGAAAGAGGGCGCAATGGAAGTCCCGCCTCTATCAGATCTTGCCACCAATGCAAGCAACTCACCCACGAGTAGCAACACCAGCATCAGTCAACCGATTATTTCCTCAACGGTTGGTGTGCATTTTGCTGGTCGCGAACTAGGAGTTATGAGCCTAATGACAGGCATTCCATTTCTTCTCCCAGAGGGTCAGCAATGGATTCAAGCTCGCACGGGACAGACCATCTCAAGTGATAAACTGAGTCCGGCCCGAGCACCATGGGAAAAGGAACGAGGGCAGATTTCTAACAGCATTCTCATGGATCTACGCAGCCAGGACTTGTTTTCTTTGCCTGACCAGCGAAGTGTCATGCTATACTTCAACGCCTACAGAAACTCACCCGTCATGCGCCGGGTTTTCCCATTGGTGGACGCCGATCTATTTGCTGAAACCATCCAAGAGGTCTACCAGCAACCACAGTCCAGCTTTCAGTTCGGACAGGCCAGTAGCAGAGCATGTGTGATCGCCTTTCTAGCGTTCGTTGCCCGTCTTCCCCCGGTCAAAAATAAAACTCTCGACAGTCCTTTTTCATATGTCGACCATGAGTCTCTTGCTGTGAAATCCCAGTTTCTTCTTTCCCAGGTTATGCAGGAGCCGGCTAGTTTAGAAGGCGCGCAAGCAGTGAGTCTGATGACTCTATACGAGATATCTTCGGGTAACATGCGGGCCTGCAACTACTTCGGTGCGCTTGCTGCGCGTCTCGTTTTTATGCTTGGAGGCAATTTACTTCATAGCCGGACATACCTTCCATCTGATCGAGGAAAGAAGAAGCGACAACAATTGCGAAACCTTTTCTGGGTCTGCTATACAATGGACAAAGACATTGCCCTCCGAACCGGCCAGCCACCCACCATCGCCGACGAAAACTGTGATCTGACCCTCCCGGCAGGGTACCTGGAGGCAGCTTACGATACCCCTGAAGATGAAAGAATATCCTTTTCACAGCCGGTATTCCCCTTCGACCTGCGTCTCAGCATCATCAAATCCCGAACCCACAGCGCGCTTTACTCGATAAGCGCCCTGCAAAAATCAGATGCCGATCTCCTGAAATCGATCCGCGAGCTAGATGACGAGTTAGAAGCATGGCGGTTGTCAGTCCCTTCACCATACCGCCCTACGATGTCTTTTACACCCGAGGCCGTAGATCCGAACGTGAGCATGCATTCGGTCATGTTGCGCCTCAATTACTACCTTTGCATGTCCCTCATCCACTCGGCGAGCAGTCGCTGCAAGGCCTGGGGACAGGGAAACCACGGCATGATGGACGGGGTGAACTCGAGTCTCGCCCTATCAGTTGAAGCCAGCCGATCTACCCTTTGCTATTTGGAGGCGGCGGAGCACGTACTTGTTGACGGTGTTTTCTGGTATGTCTTGAACTATCCTAAGTCCCGCATGGTGCGTTGTAGCCCCCCTCAATCCTAACATGAACCCGTCCAGGACCCTTGTCTTCTACCCAATGTCTGCCCTACTTGCTATATTCTGCAGTATTCTTTCAAACCCCCTCGACCCACGCTCGCGCGATGACTTGGACCGGCTGCGGCTAGCGACACAGATGATCCAGCGTATCTTCGAGCGAAAATTGCCCGAGAACGAGATGGAGCAGCTCAAAATGGTAGGAGAATTTGTCTCTGAGCTGAAGCGGTTGGCCGAATGCTCCATTGACAAGGCTTGGAGCGAGCAGAGCGCGACCTTGATGTCGCGCTAGTATCCCCGACGGAGGCTAAAAATTCTAATCCCTTTACGGAGTAGCTTATTCATATTTCACTTTGCAGAGGACGGGTGCTTTGTCTGTGCGGATATTCCTCAAATGGGACACAATGGAGGTGTCCCCGGTATATAATAGACTTATAGAACTACCACGAATTACGATGCAATGGCTTTTTCATTTTGAAAATATCGCAGGGGACCTTTGTTCGAAACCAGTACCCTTTACGACGATACGGGAGGAATAGAAAGGATCGAATATCTTTTTGAAAATAAAATGCTTCGTTCAATCTAGCTAAATAGCTTCTATCGCAAGTGGCTGTGGTGGCCCGGGTAGTGTCCTATTAGTTCTTTTGCAACGAGGTCAGTCCATGATACCGCAGAAACAAGAATGACACAAAAACGCAAAAATAGCCTATCATAGCTGCAAAGCCCGGGTCCCAGGTTTTGGAAGCAGCAATTTTCAGAGTTGAGGTAAGAGATGCAAAGTGGAATCAATGAGCACATAGTGCGTTCATATGGGGTTGAAACAATAAAAAAGCATCGATCATCCTGGTAGATAGAGACAAAACAAGACAAGAAACAGGTTCACTTACAGCTAGCTCGAAATCTGGCTCCAATGACTTAGCAGAGATCTACAAGGGGGAAAGGTGAAAATAGCAAATTTTGAGGTTTTTATATGGTGGATCACGGGATCGGGATGATAGACGGACCGGCAGTAAATTAGGAAAGAAAAACGACCGTTGAGGATCAATGCGCCTGGGGTTGGCTTTAGTCTGCTTTGGAATAACCTCGCCTGTCCGAGACAGGGTTTTTCAAGTTTGAGTATGAAGATTTCCGATTTCATTAACAGCGAGAAATTTTTGTGGAGTACGAAACATGGAGCTCAAAAAGGTCTCCGATTTCTATCCCAAGGAGGTTTACTCCGTCTCTTGGCGCGAAGGCAACCAACTTGATTGCAGCAGAACACATCCTCGCCCAGTTCATGGCATTTTGGCTAGCCGATACTGCGTGGTAGATAATGCCACCGTGTTGGAGGCCCGCATGACGCTAAATTGTGCGGAACAGTGACCGTTCAAGCAGCGATGACGCTCGCCGCTTGCTAATAGTAGCGTCTCCCAGCCATCCCATAGGTAGGTTTCTAGGTGAATGATTCTAGTCTCGGCTACCTGGTGGGCTCTGCACGGCATAGAGACCTAAACATAGAGTTCTTCGGGTATTGCCTCGGCCAGCGAGGTAGTATGTGAAGTTCAAACTCGATCGTACTTTCCCCTTATACTTCTGCGTCCAGCAGATCCCAGAGCAGCCGCGAGTCCTTAATTCGGGCTGCTTGAGCGTCCGCTGCTGGGTCGGCGGAGGCCTCCTTGGATTGTTCAGCCAATTTGGCCTGGCCTCCCTCCGCCACAAGCTCACTCAGCATCCCCTCGATGTCTCCCTTCAACTTGTCCATTTCTTTGATCTCTTCTTTGGTCTTTTCCAATTGCTGTTCCATCATCGTGATTAAGCTTTCGCGGGACTGGTGAGGCCGATAGAGGTTGAGAAGGTGGTGCGCATTGATGAACAAGTTGCGCATGTCTTCCACTTTCGATTCGTATTGTTCTGGCGATACTGAGAGGATCCCGACAAATTCGAGGAAGTTCAGCAGGAGCGATTTGCTGATCTTGAGCAGGTAATATGCATGGTTGAGGGGCTGCGACGGTTGTGAGGAGCCATCGGCACTGTCTGGGGTGGGATCAGGGTATAGTTGGTTGATTCCTTGGTCCTTGAGTGACGGAAGGGTGGTTGAAAGCTATGCGGGCTGGTCAGTATGTGATTGTGCAACAAAATGCGGGCAAGGACCTACGGGTTGTATTTCACCAAAAACCGAATATTCGCTTGTAGGGGGGTTCAGGCGGTATCAGGAAACGCAGTTCTGCTGGAACCTCAAGTCCTCGCAGCTCCGCTGGTGTCCATTTTTTGTTGTGAATTGGCTGCCCATTCTGGTCTTTGGCTGCTTCGGCCTTGATCTTATCGAATTTCTCAAGATTCTCGGTCGTGAAGTGCTTCCACAAGGGCGGAGGCGGCGCAAAGGCCACTGGGACTGCGCGTTGTTGGCCGGAATCCTCCATTACGAAGAGCGCGGGAATGTGTTCAAGAGCAGACGGTGGACGAGCGAGCACAGAAGTGGGAAGCTGGTGTTGTTGGAGGTGCAGAGTGGGTCTGTGCATTCTGTTCCGCCCCGGGTTCCTCAAGGCGTCCGCCGCTTCAAGCTTGACTTGTCCTGGAGCAAACTTGAGGATGCCTCGCAGTCTAGGAGACTCGACTCCGCTTCTTCATCGCTCGGGAATCGCGGGTGCTCTTGCTCGCTTTTCCCAGCGCACTTATGCTGCGGACTATATCGCATTGGGGTTTCTGGTCGCAGGATGGACGTTGGTACGGAGAGTTGCCATGAAATCCTGCGCACCCTTGCTAATCAGATGCGCTACATATTTAGATCCAATTATTCGTTGACCCTTTCCACCGCATGTTTTCCCTCGATAATAAATCCATCCAGTATCCATTTGCGACTCATGAGCGCGTCCCTGTGTTATGGTCCATCATACTCTCCGGCGTCATTCCCTTTCTCATCATACTTGCGTGGTCCGCGGCTATGCACCCGGGTGTGCAGAAGACTCAAGTGACAGTGCTCGGGCTTCTGGTTTCTCTAATGCTCACAACCTTTGTGACGGATATCATCAAAAACGCCGTAGGCCGACCGCGCCCCGATTTGCTGTCGCGGTGCAAGCCTGCCCGCGGCACACCTAATGATCAATTGGTTTCATGGACTGTCTGCACGGAGACTAGACTACATATCCTACAGGAAGGCTGGCGTAGCTTTCCCAGTGGACATAGCAGCTTTTCTTTCGGCGGAATGGGGTACTTATGCTTGTGAGTCGCCTCCGAGGGCTGTTTAGTGTCGTATATGCTAACTTCCCACCGTTCCAGCTTCCTTTGTGGTCAAATGCATGTTTTCAGACCTCGGACTGATCTCGGAAGATGTCTCTTGGCATTTTGCCCCCTGATGTGCGCATCATTGGTCGCCATCTCTCGCTTAGATGATTATCGGCATGATGTTTGGGATGTCACTTGCGGCGCGACTCTAGGCTTGGCAGTTGCGTGGTTCTCGTATCGACGCTACTATCCCCAGCTACGATCTGTTAACTGTGATGTGCCTTATGATAAGGCTGACTTTGCTAGAGAAGGATTTGACAGATTAGGTGACGAGGAACAAGCCCTGGCGCACTCTTTATACCAGCGCAACGAGCCTGTCTCTGACGAAATCTTTCAGTTAGAAGAGAATGAGCTGTCCAGGTCATAAATATCTGTGAATGTCTAATATGAAGCAATGAAACAAGCACAAGAACCCGCAATCCCGTTCGAATCAGAATATCGCATGGTACTATCTAGGCGTCGATTCTGAAAAACGTGCCCCACTAGTAATTAAACTATAAATTTGGCTTCATAGAACCTGAAATCCCTGAATACTCTCCCCTCGCCACCAAGACTTTATACGAAACCAGGCTTTTGGGACAAGCAAAATTGCATAAAACCTGATTGGCAAGACCATCCCAAACTTCTCTTTTTCTTTTCCTTTTTGACGTTTCTATGTCAAACTCACCCCTGCCACATTCATTTCTAATACGGAGTGTAGGAGGTGGTCTCCCCGTGACCACTGGCATTTAGTTGCTGCTGTGGCAAAGACTCGGCGGGCGGTCAAGTGGGTTTGGCTCCGGAAACCCTGGTTCTCGTTCTCCTTCTCGTTTTATTTGGAACTCTTCCATCTTCATTTATGTGAACATAATTTGAAATCTTCCATTTACATCCTATGGCATTCTGTCAGGAAGCATAGCTGTGTGCTCGACCGTACAGCTAGCTTGCCGCTCATGGGTCCTTGAAACGCTATCGGAAGAGGTCGATGGGATCGCAGCATATTGAATGCCACGGAGAAAAGCAGCCGACCGTTCGGGGCCGGTAAAGACCCGATCTCGCGATGGCTGCAGGAATGTCGAAACAGCCGGGTGAGGTGTGATACTGAAAAGCCTCGATGTACGCGGTGTCGCGAGAAAGGGCTGCCCTGCTCGACTAATATCGTCCTCAAGTGGAAATCTGAGTTTGCTAGCCGAGGCTTAGCATTTGGGCGCGCGGGAGTCTGGAACAAGACGCGCCTGGGTGAGAAGAAGTCCCAGGGCTCTCTCCTTGGTTCGCCTGCTTCTTCTGCTTCTTCTGCAGATGATCTTCAGCAGTGGATGTCATTTCCTGTAGTACAGGCATGGGGGTTTATAAACAGTGGCATAGGCACATTTGCCACCCCCGAGATGGTCGATATTGCACTCAACGACCACTTCGAGCTTGCTCGTCCCAATTTTATCTACAGTGGGGTTTCGCCATCGCCGTTGCTATTCCCTCAGATGTCACACCTTGGACATGCAGAGTTGTTCGAATACTATATACACCAGCTATGCCCACGCACAACAGCCAGCTCAAAAGGAATTTCTCCTTTCTCCTCGCTCATTCTCCCATTCAGCATATCCGCCTCGCCGATCTTATTTAAGGCCATTCAAGCGTTAGGCGCTTGTCATTTATCTCGAGGCAGCTCATCTTATGCTGCTCTAGCACTTCGTCTAAAGTCAGAGACCTTGAGAGACCTCCGTGCACGTTTATCTTCTGAAGGGGTATCGACATGCTCCGCCGATCCCGAAATACTGATAGTCATTATGATGCTGTGTCTCTACGAGATTGCAGATAAATGTGACCATAATTGGACTACACATCTCAAGGGAGCCAAGGACCTCATTCGGATTCGAAGACAGAACGCTCTGGTTCTTTCAAAGCCAGTCGAAGCTCTGGATCCCGTGTCTGACTTTGCAGAACACTTCTTTGCTTTTCAAGATGTTATGGGCAGAACAGCTTGCGGTGAGGAGGTCTTGTTCGGTAGTGATTATTGGCAGGCTACCGATCAGCGTATTGATCTTTGGATGGGTTGCAGTCCAGAACTCGTCTCTATTCTTGCTAGCATCACCGAGATGAGCCGTGTGAGAAGACTCCTCGATTCCAACGCTGCCCGCGAATCATTCGCCAGCCGTGCAGCCTTACTGGAACATCGCTTGGATAACCTCGTGCAAGAAATCGACGGCGATGAGGATGACGAAACACTTCTATCTGCGGCAGAGGCAAAGCGACTTGCAGCTGTCATCTATTTGCACTGCGCACTCTTCGAAGCTAGCCCTACAACACCTTTGGTGGTGGAGTACGTGCGTAAGATTCTACAGATCGTTTCTCGTCTGCTAGAGCAAGGGGCTTTGGCCAGTGTGACATGGCCGGTCTTTGTGGCTGCAGTTGAATTAGATCCAGGAAATGATGTGGTTCCCTCCGACTCGGGGTCAGGCCGGTCGATTGTACTTAGAGCGCTGGACATGATGACCCACTCGGCTACTTCAAACATCACTAGAACACGAGCTGTCATTGTCCAAGTCTGGCAGGCGCGTGACCAATCTCTGCTTAAGGCTCCCCAGATGCCATGCAATGACTGGGAGTGGTATGTTGCGCCTATAAGCACTGCTATGACTTTGGCGTGATATGAGCACCCATTTTCTCCCTGACCCGCTAAACGATCATACTACCTCGTCCAATCTTCAACTTTTTTATAGCCCTGAATCATGATTGTATACTCATTCTCTGGCCTGTGGGACATGTTATTGCAAAGGGGTCTCTAAGCGAGTATGACAAGCCCTAAGCTTGTGCCCGGCCTTACACCGCATCACCTAGCGCCGTATATAGTTAACACCCGGCTCTAGTGTCAAAATCACTTAGTATTCGCCAGAGCAGCGACAGCTCATAGATGTTCGGGGAGGAGAAAAAGAGAACGTGATAGCCATAATTGAAACGGACAATATACTTCACTTCGAAGCTGAAAACATCTTTCTCAATGAGATATAAGAGCAATTACCTTCATAGCAACTCCTGGCCGACCGATTGCCACTGCGGGGCGACTCCGGTTTAGGACTAGCGTGGTTGACGAGCGCGACAAGTGATAACCGCTTAACCCAAGATTGTACGCGCCTGCAGACCTTCTCTTCTTCTCAATGTTGGAAAATGTGTGCTAGCGGCTCTTGGATACGCTGATGACCGCCATACCTTCACAATGGCCCAAATACGACCTCCTGCGCCTATGCGAAGTGCTTCTTCCCACCCGTTCGAGAGCAAGTTGAGCCAACAACTCCAGCCAGAAGCCTCTCCTGAACCGTTGGAACCTGTATCGCGCTCGCCCAAGTCACGATCCTTATCAGATGCCTCCAAGCCGACCACTTCATCGCAGCCAGCAACGGGTGACCTAAATCGGCCCCCGAGTAAGGACGACAGCGTCCTACCTACACCCGCTACCCCAAGCCGCTCGAGCATTCACCACCCAAATCTGGCTTTGAACCTCCCGTCAAAGACGGCCCCTTCGCCTGCCTTAACCCGTGCTCCCCTTTCTCCTAAACTCGATTCATCCCAAATCTATGGTTCACCAGGCTCGGTTCTCCCACGGCGCTCCCGTGGCTTGGACTTCTCCCGCGCTTGTACAAACCTCCACCACTCGACACTCGCGGAATCCTCCCCCGACTCATCCCCCACGATTGGAGGTCGTGGGATGAACATCCCCCAGCGACGCGGATCCCTCGGCTCTACCTCTGTTCCTCCTTTCTCTACGTCAGGGCCCGCCGATCGGGCCACCATTTCCAGCTCTGTCTCCAGTGTGAACATGATGGAGTCGGACACGAGCAGCAGCGAAGAAGATGATGATGATGACCAAATGATGGGTGACGCTACTGATGCCGTGCTCAGTACTCCCCAGGCAAGTCGGATGGGCGGCTCAAATCCATTCGCACCGGCTAACGTCCAAAGCCCCGGTAACGACTGGATGGGTGGATACTCCCAAGCAGCCGCCAATCTCATGAGCTTCCAGCGTGCGCGTTTCCGGAAAGGACGAAGCCGCCACAGCTCCAGCAGTGGGAACAGCTCCAAGCCAAGCCCCGGTCCTCAATCACCTCCCGTAATGAAGAGCGTCGAGCATCCCTCGGCCGGGTACTTTGGACAAAAACCGAATGCCAATGCCCATTCTCGACGTGAGAGTCTGAGCCTTGGTACCCGTGACCTACGGCTATCTGACCTAAGTGATGATGGGGAAGGTCGGGGAGTCCGAAGTGGTAGCCCCACTGCTGGTGTCCATCCAGAAGGTGGACCGTTGGGGGTCATTCGCCGTGCTGTTACTCGTCGAAGCAGCCTTTTGGTAAGTCTTACAATGACGTACATTATTTCCAAGCACGTAATCTAATATGTAGTAGCCCAAGACGAAGACCTTTGCTCGCATTCGGGCTGCTTTAATGGAGGAGGGCGCGCCGGCGGACGACGATATCAAGAAAGAGGCAGAAGTCATACGGCAGGTCCGTGACACTGAGCCCGAGCCGACATCTCCCACCTTGAGCTCTATTCCCACTTTGAAGGCGTCTCAACAGTCGGAACCCATGGATGGAGAACAAAGCCCAACAAAGTCGACCTCCAACAGCTTCAGCAAGCAAGCTAGCCGTAACTCTGCAGGAGTGGAGTTCTGGAACTCCTTCGACGAGCGATATCGAACCCCGCCGCCGGCACGCCAGGCTCCTTTCACCCATATGGAAGACGATATGGCGATAGACATGACCCCGTCCACTACGGTTGAGTCCAAACCACGTTCTCGGTCGTCCACGCCTCACGCACCAGGGTCAGCTGTTGGAGAACTCCGTCGCAAGCGACGCCGAGAAGATGACTTTGATCCGAATCTGTTCAAACGACGGGCTGTGTCTCCGAGTGTGAGCGCTCACAGTAGCCCAGTACTGACCCATTCGTCTATGGTTGACAATGGTCCTAGTATCTGGGGTCCGCCTTCGAAACTTGGTCCCCCTTTCAACCCAGACAATGGCAATCGCACTACACCACATTCAGGTACTCCTAAGCGTGTTGGCCTACAAGGTATGACGGAGGCTAGCGATGGCTTTATGAACATGAGTATCGATCATTAAAGAAAGAGGGTATCGGCGTTGATATTTTATTATATGTTTTGTTCTCAATTATCGCTTACGTGGATTTTTCCATTCTGGTCTCAATTTTGCATGGTGTTGGGAGAGCTGGTCACGTTTGGGTCTTTCACAATCATTTTCTTATTCCTTCATTTTTATGATACCTTATCTCGATCTGCTTAATGGAACTGTTTTCCACCCTTGAGCTTGTCTGTATGTTGATCTAGAAGCTACCCGCAACCCCATCACCGTAGGCGGAAACACGTGCGGGTCCCCCGCTCCGAACTCAACTTGGCCTCCGCAAACCACAGCTTCCCCCCTCGTCTACCACTTCTGTTGCTGTTTCATTGGTTACATTCAGCATGACTTCGACAATTGAGCTCGCATCCTCTTTCATTGAGGGTGCTCCTCCAGGCGAGGTGAGCCACCGTCCAGGCCTTGACAGCCTTTCAACCCCCCCACTCCATGTTTATTGAGAACTTGCTGACCTCGGACCTGGCTCCCGTAGCTCGCTGATGTTGTCGCCGGTAATTACACCCATTCCTGCAATTGAGCCCGGTAGCACCGGTGCCACAACAATTCTCGTTCCACAACCTCCTGCATGTGCTGACTCTGGACCGCTTCCCCGCCATAGATATTCAGACCCTGACGGAAGGCGACGATGTGATCTCTTCGCTTACCCCTGCATTCGAGCGATACAACGAGAGTCAGTTGACCACTGTGAAATTACCGGGCTCCAGCCAAGAGGTAGGCGTCTGGATTGGACTACAATTGGGCTAGCAGCATGCTGACCATCGGGAAGGTTATTGTCAGCGAATTCAACAAGCTCGAGGGCAACCGCTACTTTGACACTGAAAGCCAAACCTCGTTTGAGTTTGACCATGTCACACAAGTTAGTTTCCCTTTGCTGATATTCGGGCCGATTTCACCGGGCTAACCCCCTGGCTTCTAGACTGCCTCAGGAGCACAATCATCGCCCTTAGAGTCCCAAAATGCGGACTTGATGTAAGAGCCAATAACATCCAATAAGACTGTTTGAATGCTTACAAGGTTATAGCAAATCTCTGCAGAAGGCCCTCGCTATCCACGCTCAAGAACACTATCCCAGCTCCTCCCACGGCGTCTACCCCATTGAAAACGATACCGCTATCGCCATTCTTCTTGTCGCAAACCGCTATTCCCCTAACAACTTCTGGTAAGAATCGGCTCGGATAGGAATATATGACTTGTCAAGTAATTAATCGCGTCATATCAATAGGAATGGCCGATTCCGCGCCATCTACCAAGTTCCCGTCTCCTCCCCAGCCCTCACCGGCAAGATCCACATTGACGTCCACTACTACGAGGACGGCAACGTTGCCCTAAACACTTCCAAGCCTGTTGATTTGTCTGTTTCCTCCCTGTCCGCCGAGGCGATTGTCTCGCGCATCGCGGCCGCCGAGCGCGACTATCAGGAGGAGCTGAACCGGGCGTTTGTCGCTTTGTCCGAGGGCGCTTTCAAGGGGCTGCGCAGACAGCTGCCCATCACTCGGCAGAAGGTCGAGTGGGAGAAGGTCGGTGGTTATCGGCTGGGACAGGATATTTCGGGCGGCAAGGCCCGGTAGACATGTTGTTCAGGGCGGTTCGATTAGCGTGAATATTTTCATTTCATGAATATCAATTCAAGCCATTTTTGTGTCTCTTTTTAGTTCAGCCACTGCTCACTGCCCGCCATGTAAAGTGGTTGCCTCGTGATACCCGTAAATTGCTTCAAGAGGGCCTCTCATGTCATGCACCTCCCATTATCAATGGATTACTAAATCAGCCACAGTTCTTGAAGCAGAATTATCAAGCCTCGGAAATAACTCCGATCTCACGCTACTTTTCAACAATCAGCCCTCCAGGGCTCCCTCGTACAGGCTGAATAAGCGAGGGAAAACAGCATACCGTGGCGCGTGGGGGCGCGAAGCCCCAGCAAAACTAGCGGGATAGCCCAGCCTCACCGTTGGACATTGGGGCTACCTTGTCCAATTTCCCTTGTATAGGACCGGGAAATCTCTTCGTCCAAATGGCAATGAAACTCACCCGCTTCTTCAACGATATGGCCGGCCTGGAGAAGACCCTGCGTCTGATCCAGGCCGTGGCCCAGATCGCCGCCGTCTTTACCGTGGGCAGCACCGCTGTGCGCCTGACGACCGCCAAATTGCAATTGGCTCTCAGTAAGTGGTCCACATCAGAACCGATACACGTCTTGTCTATGTTTGACTTGATACGACAGAGCTGACGAGGCATGCTTCCAGCCCGGCGATTCTTTCGCTTCTTTAGCTTTGTAGGCGCCTTCGAGCGCGTCTTTACCCTCCTGATTCATGGCGGCTTGAGCTCGACGGCCGGAACGATCGATATGGCTAAGTGGACCGCTTTTGGATTTTACTTCATTTTGGAGGATACTACTATTGTATGTCCCCGTGTAGGAAGATGCTATTCTATGGCGCTTCTCCCCTCGCGCCTTGCTCCTCTGGGCTTGCCTGTATACTTCCTTGCTGACTATATCTCACAGCTTCATGCCCTGGGCGTGTGGCAGGTGCCCTGGGAAGAACGGATGATGCGTGAGGCTAACTCGTGCTGGTTCTATGCTTTGGCATTTTCCTCTCGTGGGAGGGCTGCATGCTCTCTATACCGCGAGCCAGGAGGGTCCAGCTGAGCCTAACCGGGAGAAAGAGAAGACTGAAGGAAAGCTGGATGAGAAGGAGGGAGAGCAGACTCAGGAGGCTCCCGCTCCCAAGGTTAATACCTCGGCTGTATGGCAGCAGGTTGTGGGTGAAAGCTGCGACATTCTCCTTCCTCTCGAGCTGTTGAACTGGATGCCCACGGGTGATCTGGTCATCGGGGTGACCATGGTGGTGAGCACGCTTTTGAGTATTCGGAGTGTCTGGGCTCGCGTTTGAGGGGCTTGGGTGAATTTGCGGTAGAATAGAACTTGTTTGGATGTTCAGGCTCTTGAAACGGTGATTAATTAAGACTATACAGTGTCTTTAGACATGCTTCATATCAGGGGCAAATGCAAATACTGTCCGTAAATGTATCATTATTCTACTATAAGGTCGGATTCTTCATGTTTCTGCCATATTGGTAACATCTGCGCTCTCCTGTTGAAGGCAAGATTGATCATGTTACGCTTCCTTTACCATATTATATATGGGATACGTTTCTCCCCCAAACTCAGATAGGTCGATCGTAAGCTTTTCAAGATCTTTCCATCCCAGCTTCAAGTACAGATTATGACCCGACGGAGATGCTTGGATGAAGATTCTTGAAGACGTGGCTCTCGCTTGCTCAATCGCCCATGAGAGCAGTGCTGAGCCATAGCCCCGGCCTTGATGACTTGGAAGGGTATACAGCGCACCGATGTCTATTCGTAAGCGCCATCCATGTCAGCGCAGATTCCAGCCTTATTGTCGTCAGCTCTATGTCCAAATAGCTTACAGGAGTCGGCTTGCTTGTTGTAGTATTTGTCACTTGCTTTCAAAAGTGACCTGAACTTGTTCTGAAGTGGGACATTGAATCCTTCTGGATACGCCGGCAGGTTTTCCGCGGCCGACCCCTCAAGCGGTAACTCTACGGGGACGGTTAATTTGATAAATGCGAGCATCATTCCAGTTGTTGTGTCAAAGATGGCTGCGGTTTTGGTTGTTTTCATTTTCATAATTGTAATTTCGCGGGTCGTCATCCAGCTTTTGGTCCCAGCAGGGTCCGTGTAGATAGGATACATGCGAGAAAACAGCGTATCGTATTGATAGGTAGAGAATCTCAGCTCCGCGATTTCCGCTCCATATTTTGGGTCGTCGATCTCTCGGATCTCCAGGCCTTCTGGGAGGGTGTTGGCGACCGACATCCCAGGGTTGATCAACAGCGTGTTCAAAGGGTTGCAGGGATTGTCTCTATGTGTCACGATGGTACTTGAGGTGTTCCAAAGTTCTCTATTGTAGAAATATGCTCTTTCTTTTCGACGCAGAGATCTTTTAAATGTGACTGATCATTCAGCATGACTCATTGGATTGGCTTACACCGATGCCGCCGCTATATAAGAAAGCCGGGGGCCCACGATTGCGAACATTCAAAAATCTAAACTCACGGTCTCAAACAAACGCCTTACGACAGTCGATAAAACGCATGAATCCCATTAGACACTGTTCCTTCCTTGGCTTGAAAAATTCAGAGGGGGAAAAATTAGAAAAGACAAGAAAAGAGCGCGCTTGTCTTTTTCAGTTTCCCAAAAAGACAAAAAAGATGTGGACTCGCGGGGAATCGAACCCCGGACCACTCCCATGCTAAGGGAGTATTATACCACTAAACCACAAGCCCTGGTTGTTGGAGAAACGCTCATTTTGTGCGCTATGAACCAGGATATGAAGTTTCCTAGTCATCACACACGTACCGCACTATCAACACCGTTGCTGGCGTTCGAAGAAACGGGCCCGACGAAGCGATCTTTCTGGGCGGCGGGGCGACGCGCTTTGCCGCAAAGATTTCTGGCATATGCCTTGTTTTCCTGTACTAGCTGTGTACCCTGGGCGATGCAGGCAGATTGTGTCTATTGTCAGAATGATGCAGCCCACTTCATTCAAATAAACGGACTGGTAATGCTAATCTCAGATTTGTACCGCAATGTTCTGTTTGAGACACCAAGCTTGTTCCCTCGTAATCCATATTTTGAGAACATTTGGTTCTTATTGGTCGATTGAATCTCTCTTACGATTACCTACTACAAAACACAAGTCTAGAGCCGGTTGAATGATCGGGCAAATTGAGGTTCCCTTCGTGCAAAACCAAGGAGTGCGGCGATATATATCCACCGATTATCCCAATCGGCAACACCGATGCACTTTCAAGCACTTTGCATGATCTCCGACACGGCTGGTTCTTAGCTTACGACGCATTACCCAGTTGTCCCTCGTTCTCTGGAGTCCATCCGCTTAACGTCCCATAACACGCCATAGGATTAAAAATTGGACAATGGAGCGAGCGTGCTTTATGCGACCTCTTCTATCCAATCTCGACGATGAGAATCGTGTTCACGCTCGGCCGCAGATATGGCAATACCAAGAGAAAGGACGGAGATGAGGGATGTTAATTGGACAGGGATCGTCATTTGAAGTCTTCAATCAATAATGGAGTATAAGTTTCTTCTTGCCTGGCTTTCGATAGAATCTGCTCCTATGACAACAAATTCCAGCCGGAAGAGGCCAGTTGGGCCATCTCTAATATAGCCTTCATTTGGAGATGCGAGAAAACATTTGATCATAGAGGACCATCTACTATCCGAATTTCCAGCGTGGAAGAAGCCAATTTCCTAAAATCTCCTGCCTCGACAACTAGATGCATGATTCTTGTCAAGCCAAACGATAGCTTCATGGCGTTCGCTGGAGGCCACCGCTACAAACAAGGTTGTCGGTCAAAAATTGGCCAATATCTTATAAGCATCAGGAATTCTAAGATACTGAAGGCGGAATTTCCTAGTCGGTGAAGAATAATGAGGACGATTATGTGTGATACAAAGTAATTCAAGTTGCAATTGGAAATTAAATCTGAGCTCTTGCCTAGTTCATCTTTCTTGCTCTTATCCACCTTCGTGCCTTCCTGCTCTTCGCCATTCCTGTCATGATCAAGCTTCAGTCCCTGTTCTTCTCCTACTCCAAGAAGCACGAAAGAATCGTTTTTTCTGCATTCAAGATGAGGCCTCACAAACGCAACAAGCCGCGAGTTCTGTTGGCTCTTTACGCCCAGCCCGATCAACCAGAGTACCCGCACTACGCGCTGCTCATCACGCCCAAGTTCAAGCCCTCGCTGCATCAGAACCTTGGTGACAAAGAACAAGCCCCAATCCCCGCGACCAAGTACCATGTCCAGAAGTCGCGCCAAAATCTCCAAGGTGAACTGTTCCGGCCCTGGCAGTTCGAGAAGACGGATATTGCAGATATCGACCGTGACCCCGGCATCCTGGTCTGCACCATGATCGGCAAGGTGCTCGACCTCAAGCGATTGAAATACGTGCTCCCCACAACGCCCGTCTACCAGCTGAACCACCCAGATCAGGTACGAGCCTTGAATTTCGACGATCATACGTGGGCCCGGGACGGTTACCAGGAGCTGAAGGATCACCACATCATTGCTGGTATAGATTGGACCGCGGCTGAAGAAGGTGCCAACGCTTTCATGCGACAGAAACACAACAACGACCCATGGGCTGCTGGCTGTAGCGAGGGACGCAACCAGCCCCTCGTCCCGATCGTGGACCTGACTTCCGGGTGTATGTTGCGGACATAAGGCGCAGCGGATGGAACAGGGCTGTCAGTGGCCTTGCGGGGACTCGAGAGGTTTGGCATTTCCAACGTGAACACGAGACTTTTCCTTCTGCTGTCAAGAATCAACATAGTCACAGAAGTCCAGTGCCCTGATCACCCAAGAAGACGGTTCTTGTATTCGAGGAGAATGGCGCATGACGATAACACCAGGCAAGAACACCCAGTTGAAGTATTCAGAAAGTCGCTTTCCTCATTGAAATTAACATCATAAGATTAAAAAAGTGCAATCAGTAGGTCCATTACAGCTACTAATACTCAACTAGATGCAAAGGAGGCCGGGGCTCAAGTATTCCTGGTCTCTAGTGGTACCAGTAGTCTCCCCAATGACCCTTCATATCTCCACTCCTCTCATATTTTGAATGTTGAAGCCGAGGGCACCGGTGCCTTTTAACTTCCCTTGCTCAATCTCAAATCCGAAATGTCAATTAATGGCTTCGATGGCAGCGCAGCTTACGTCTCAAGTCGGGACAAGCGCTGGTCTGGAAACAGCGTTCTCTCAGCCCCCAACCTTGACGATTTGATTCGCACAGAATAGTTTATTGGCCCAAACCAAGATTCTGTCCGCCAATTTCTGCAGAGATCAATTGTTATTCCCGTAGAAGTGAAATGAAGAGCAAGTGGGCATCGCGGTTAATTTGTTTCACTATGCCATCTGGATCGTAACGGGTAACCTGTTTAGGTAGACCTTTGGCTGGTGGCGAGGTCTAGGTTATCAAGGATTCAGCCTTAAATCAGGTCTTGACCCTAGTTATACCAGTAGAAATAAAGCGCAGCTCTTTAGCCCTATTTTGTGGTCACTGAATAGCTTCAACTTCCGATTAAAGGGATTCAGTATTATAGCAATAGTGTTTCAACGTCGGGTCGGTGGCGTTTTGTTATCAAATCCCTTTTATTCCTTGACTATCGAGGCTGATTGATAGAAGGCCAAATGAGCATAGCTTAAGACCTAACTGGCCCAGTATGGTAAGCTGAGTGCACCGAGGTTATAAAATCTCTATCAGGAGTCTCTAATAGTGTTGGGATGCGGGGTCCGGAGGGCCGTCCGCGGAAAGCTAGTCCCTCTACGCAGCCAAAGCAGGTGAAATCTCCTACTTGTTCCTTATGTGGAGCAAAAGATCAACGATGTAAGAAATGCACTTGTAAGGAATAAGTTCAATATTTCACGTACTTTAGGTGGTAAAACTTCTTGTAAAAGGTATGACTGGATATGGCCTTTTTCGCGCGCTTAGGTTTGCCGCTCGGGTAGGATTATCGTTAACTATCAATAAACCCGGATATTGATTATACCGGCCCCGGAGCTCGAACCCCGCAGATGGTCGAGATCATATGTCGCACAACTGGGCTGTCTCGAGGAACACTCATTTCTCCTTTAATTTGGTCCGCACTATTTCACTGTTTATACATTCATTTGTCGTCTATTTATATTGTACTCCGCAGTTGGCCCCTATTACGGAGGTCGCTTTCAAAAAGATCTAGGTTTTGCTTTTTTTCTGGATTGCCATATTAAGTAACATCAAAATCACAAAAATCTTGACATTGAATAGAATGTACTTACAATAAATGCCCTCCAGGGGCTTAAAACGACGATCAACGATGGTGTGGATGCTGAATTTGCGGAAAAGACGATGCCAGGACCCGAACCGAGCTTGGCCAAGAGACTAGCAGAGATGGGAGCCACATGTTCGAATTTGGAAATTGATTTACAAGATCTACAGAGTTCTCTTAACAGAGTATGTTATGTATTATATTCGTCATTCTAGACCGCGATTACCGACTGTAAAGAAAAGCCTTCACACTACCTGAAATTAGGCACGGAGTACTGGGTACATCACATGGTACATAACTGGAGACACGGGATGGTCGCAAATTTGGTATGTACTTTTGCTACCTCGTGCAAGGATTATATCAAGGAAGCGATGCGCTACGCGAGTCATGCACCTAATTTAATTGGTGAGATTAGTCTGGTGGGGCCGGGTACAAATTGGATGTACATGCACTAGTGTAATATACTAGTAATGGCCAAAAAACAGCTCAGCTCGCATCCGTCATGGGTAAAATATATTGCTCATCTAAATTCGCGCTGTAGACGGCGCGTTTCTGTGTCGATATTAGCCCAATAAGAGGGCGGGGAGGGGAGTGTGTATAACCATTTTTCAGCCAACTACTCCATAATATGTACATAATCAATTCATAAATAAATATATAGACTGAATTATACGTAGCTATAGAGAATCTTGTCCGAGATTAGTATATAGAAGGGGCGGTAATAATAATTAGACCACATGGAAGAGATAACATTCGCAAGATTCGCCAAAAGTAAAAAAAAAAGAAAGCCGCTATCATTCCAACCACTTTTCAGCCAAGTGTTTCACTGTCTGGGTGTGTCGTGCTGTTGTTCGTAAAGCTCCGCAAGTCCAGTAGTAGGCGTACTCGACGAAAGTTCCCTCATGCCAATGTCGTTTGAATAGTAGCCGCCATACGACCCTTTTTGAGACTGGGAGGTATCCTGGAATGAAGGGACAGTTTGAGGGGTTATAGCCTGCGATGAAAACCGCTTTCTCTTTCTCCTTTCTATAAAACCCCAAGCCAAAGCCAATATAAGCAGCACACCCAGTGGTACACCAACACCAGCACCGATCGCTGCATCTTTCGAATCACTGTGCTGCCCAGAACTAGCGGAGCCAGTTGGAGAGCTGGTAGAAGAGCCGCTGGTAGAGTTCTGAACAAAGGGAGAGGTGTCTCCATTTGAAGATAGGGTGCTCAAGGCAGCAAAGCCTGGGATAATTGCCCCGGTCTTCCAGAGTTGCCATGGAGATGGCGGTGAGAGAACTGTATTGTTTGGCTTGCTGCAAACCGGCACGTCATGATCGGAAACAACAGAGTTGCAACAGTACGTAGAATGTGTGTCGTTATTACTGAATGGAATAATAGCCGCTCCACCAGATCGTTCGCTGTCAGTCTCAGCTAAGAGCAATATTAATCCACTGTCAATTCTTATTTTGTAGTATCTGTAAAAACTCACTGCAATAGTCCGGACAAGGAAAGTTATCTTCAGGTGTACCATATCCACTCTTAGCGGTACAGCTACCCCGTGAAAGCTGGTACGGTTGAACGAGGTTCAAGCATAATCCGTTATCAAGACAGGCCGATTTAGGTGAGCAACACCATGTGGTGTCTGTGCCAGATTGACATGGCACATCGTTGCTTGGTGATCCATCTGGATAATAGCACTGGGTCGCAGAAGTCATCGAGACCAAGGCTCCTAGGAAGATGACGCGGATTGCAAATTCCTTCAGGGGCCCCGCCTTAGCCATACCCGTCATGCAGGTCGTGAATGCACAGAGACTGTGGGAAAGAGTAAAGGAGGCTCTGCGTTCTGGAGATGGGCCGTTATTTCTGCTGTGGTCTGACGTGAAAGAGAGTTGGATATACAGAGAAGAGACTAAGTCCTGCTGATGAGGTACTTATTGAAGGCTGGTCGCAGGGTTAATTTAGTCTCTTCCTGTTCGTTTAATTTCGTTTTCTGTCCTTTCGGCCGTATCTTTGTATCCTATCTATATGTATCCGTGAAGGGCGGGCCAGGGGTTTGTCGCGTATTTTAGTGGAACTCGAATCTATACACTAGTACAGTCAATACGTGGGACAATGTACAGTACGGCAGTGTATTGTAAGCGCCCCAAGCCTGGTCAGACCGGAGCTGTACTAGAGAAAACAATACTAGTGCAAATCCATAGAAAAGTGTGTCATTGGGCTAAGAGCTAGTGTCCGAAGATCCCGGGATAATAAGGGATAAATATCCTAACACCGTCCGCCTCTAGCACTGTTGCTGTCCCGTAAAAGGCGTTTTCTGCCGGCATCACAGCAAGCCTGGGATAAGTTCCGCAAAATCATCGTGTTTAATATGAGCGGCTATTCTATGTATAGAATTCTCGATTAGGTCAAAACAGGCCGCGACAATAGGCCCAAAGCAATTGGCTGTCTATTTACGCCCGTATTGGTGTAAGATAAGGTGGAGACCCTTGCGACGCACACTTCTGGTGGAGCGGCGGTTAACTTGCGGTCTAGTCGACCAATAAAGCTTCCTCTACGAGTGCCACACCGGCTCCCCCGACAACCGATGTGGGGGCGAAGGCATTTGGTTCGATGAGCTGATGGAGATCGGTGTGATAAGTTTTAGATTCGCCCAATAATCTAAGGCCACCTTCCGTTTCATCTGTACACGTACCTTGTAGGAAATAAGTACATGAAATTTAGTTGTGTCATCTATTTCTGCCTACCGCTCAAGATTCCGGTTCACTTCTGTGTCCACAAACAAAAGCAATGCTATGACCGTGCAGATCCACCCAATGTTCTCCCTATTCTGGTTGACAAGATTTCATCAAATTCATTCTTTAGATATCACTAGCATCCCAGGCCTTGGAGCGATTCAGCCTAAGTCGCCACGAAATGTTTTTCTGAAACTGTTTGCTCTCCTGATTTAAGTTCAACTGCGGCTGTTTCCCTACCCACCATCGCGTCATCTTTTGCATCCTTTACCAGGCCCGCTTGAGAACTCTAGCAGCCCAGGCGAGGCACAAAACGCAGAGGATGTCTTCTAAATATTTCCCTCCAACAGGTGGTGGTACGTGTACTCAACTTCCAGTCAATTTCTCTCGCCGTTATGCACGTGTGTATTATTATGTCCCGGTGGGCATGTTCCTATTCCTTTTCGGCCTTTTCATCTCTCGGCACAAGTGAGTTCGAACCCCTCTAGTCTAGAGTGCCAACTAAAGCGCACATAATTAGATCATCGATAGTTCTCCGACCAGGAGAAACAGTCGGTACTGGCCGTGAGGTCCGCCCAGCCGATGACAAATCACCATTTGCTCATGAGCCTAAGGGACTCGGAACGCTACGCGATGTCAGGTTTGTAGCGACCTTATTGATAAAGTGGATCATGCTGATTATAGTTGTTGTCCGTTGCAGGGAGGAGCGTTTTTACTTGGGTGGGGTGCTGACATTGGGGGAAGAGCAGCCAAGGTCTTTCGTTTATGACCCATATCCAGATTACAACGGACCAGAATGGCGCAACGAGTTTATGGGCAACTTTCAATCTTGCCAAGGACCTAGAGGAAACATCCTCGACCGTAGAAGCCCCAAAGACATGGTTTCCGTCTATCCTGGTGTGCCAAAAGGTATTCCTTAACGCAAAAGCCCCCCTTATACCTTAATCGTCACTCACGTTTGAATAGAATTTCCCCCCTCATTGGTCGGCTCATACGCAGCTACTGACCTTGATGGGTATGTTTGCGTTGACCGGCATTCTCGGTTGGGTGCGTACGGATACGGTGACCAGTATCACATAGCATCCCAGTCTCGGATCGCAGGGACTGTACAATGGGATAGGGTGAATTGGGGCGATCTCCAGACACAATGCGTTCAGAAAAATAAAGAGAGATTCGAGGTATCCCAAACCAATCAAGCCCATGTCTTGCACGCTTTGCCGCAAAAGCCCCCAGCTTCGGCGAGTGCTTCTCAAGAGAAGCCTCCTTCATCGAATCCGCTCGGTCAGCAAGTTAAAAAGAGGTCTGCGATTATTCTGCGAGCTTGGCATGATATGGATTGGAATGAGAATATGAAGCAGCATGTTCGATCCCTTATCATGGAGCTGTCTCTTCATTCCGGCGGAGAGTACGAGGTCTTCATCTTGTCCCATGTCAAAGACAAGGCCATTCGTCTTTCCCTCAAGATGACGAATATTTTCTCAAGTTGAAAGCAAAGTTCATCCCTCCTGAGTTCCATGACATTACCGTGCTTTTTAATGATCAGACGCTTGAGTCGTGGTACCCGAATATCGAAGAGCATAGGTGAGTATGATCTTTATTGGCTATTTCTGAGCCGAAAACACTGACAAAGTCAGTCCAATGTTTCAATACTGGCAACCTGTACAGGCATTTGCACAGTCTCATGCTGACTTTGACTACTACTGGCAAATTGAAATGGATTCGAGATTCACTGGCCATTCTTATCATTATCTTGAAAAGGCTGTGAAGTTCGCCAAAGAACAACCCCGCAAATACCTTTGGGAACGTAATGCATATTTCTACATTCCAGGTTCCCATGGGACGTGGGAGCAATTTGCGGACATGGTGGCCTCTTCAATGAGAGGCTACGAGAGTGTCTGGGGGCCAGTCGTTGGCACCGAAGGTGCACCAGCAAATCCCCTCGGACCCCGACCGCCCGTGAACTCCCCCGACGACGATGATTTTGAATGGGGAATTGGCGAAGAAGCAGATTTCATTTCGTTCTTGCCAATATTTGACCCTATAAATACCGAATGGCCCTTCTCCGACAAAATATGGGGGCTGCCCGAGAATATTCCTCGCAGAGCGTCGCCAGTTGCGATGGGTCGTGTTTCTAAAGTGATACTTCAGGGACTGCACGACATGCAAGTTGAGAAAAAAATCCGGGCTGGTATCTGAGATGACTGTTCCGACCTTTGCCCTTTGGCATGGTTTAAAGGCTGTCCACTTTCCTCACCCAATCTATCTCGACGGAAAATGGACAGCTAAGGAACTCGGACGGATTTTAAACCCTGGCCCACCTGACAGAATCAATGGCGATATGGCAAGTATTTGGAACTTCAATCACATGTGGGACCATATTCTTTACAGATTCAGTTATATGTTCACAGCGCAAACCGCCGAAGACTTTTATCGAAGATGGTTGGGTTACAAAATCGATCCGAACCAATATACGGATGGCACAATTGTAAGTTCGCATCTATTGAGTACTGGAACGAATGACTTATGTTCTTCAAAAACTAGCATCAGGATCCGCAGGGTCGTAATTGGTTTGATGGCGGCCACCTTGTAAGTCGTGTAGCTCGTCGGTTTACGTCTAATCAAGCTAACACCACGGGCTTCTTCTAGAGGGAAGACCTTTATGGCCCTTTATGTCTACCCCCCTATGCTTCTCCATCCGATCAAAAACACCGACCTGAAAAAGGGCCCTGGCATGGCAGTTCCGGTCTGAGAAACCACGCAATAAATGTATGTTCATATCCAACATATCTTCATTTTCATGTATTATATTTTGAATACAACAGACTTGAGTATTTCTACATATTCAGCGTGAAGACTTTGTTAGCGCTGAAATCTTTGGGCTGTCAGTGTTAGTCGAATCTGCCGCTCGTTACCAGCACCGTCCGAACTACCGCTAAAGTTGGCCGAGATAGGGTGGGGCTTACGCTCAGCTCTTTGAACTATTCTCCTTCTGTCTGTACTTTCTAAATCCAAATGCAGCTACACGGCGTCATTAGAGCTTATAATCTCCGAGTGCAATCGAATGCTTCGTGTCAAGGCAGGTACCATGAGCTGACTATACTTCTACGACAGGATATATCTAGGCATAATATCAAGCCCCCGGTTTCATTCCGGGCGCCCTTATGGTACTAAGGACTTGTCGTGATGGATCAGTATGCACTACAGATGCTTGAGGGTTGCTTACCCTACACAAGCCCCATAAACCTAGCTATCAGTCTAGCATCCACGAGGTCTCATGCGCGGCAAGTAACTTCTCGTGCTCGGCCTTGAGCTCCTGGGGATCATTCTCCTCGAACCAGAAAGCCCAGGTACTTTGCGTGTTAATACCAAGATTACCCCGACTGCTCTTCAATCCCACATGCTGTATCTGCTGGGGCGCATACGCATATCTCGTCAAGTGAGAGTTACTCGCATACTCTTCGATCAAACTATCAGTCTGACCGGCCTTCCGATCCTGAAGAAAGGCGATCAAGTCTGGGACCTGTTCGCGGGGGTAAACTAGGCCCTGTGTGCAGCAGCCAAATATGTTCATCTCAATGACGCCTTTCAAGGGGCATAACGAGTACTTTCCAACCATGTATACCAATGCTGTGAAGGTGGGTATTATGATGAAGCACACGGCTGCAAGGGTCCAATTGTCAAGCCAGCGTCTAGAAGCTGGCAATCGTCGACGAACGGCCAGAAGAAGCGTGAGTCCAAATACCATCACCAGGAAAAAGGCCAGGGGCATATTTCGGTACCAGTAGTCGGTTGATTGCCAGGAGAGCGAGGTCTCGGTAAAGAAAAGCCGGAGGTAGAGCCATGCTGTGCTGCGGTCGGCTTGTCCTTGCGAGAGTTCGGTAAGCCCATTCAGGGTCTTGATCATCCAGCCATCCGCCAAAATCACGTCGTCTTCCAGAATGAAAATATAGGGTGCGCCGGTCTCCAGGCAGGTGTTCAGGAGGTAGACATAGTCACTAGAAAAGGGGGAGCGGTAAGGTTAGAAATACCATCGGCACTCGTTCAGCTAGGATGTCCGTTGAAACGACTTACTATACCCCCTTCTCGTAGTAGTCACGCTTCTCCTCCAGCTCCCGCAGATGCGCCAATTCCGCGTCGGAAACATTATACGAACTCACAGAGTCACTCAGCCGCTCCACCCACTTCTGACCCCAGCTTGGATGCTGCGTCGGATCTGTATTCGCGAAAAGAATCGACAAATGCAAGGCACGTCGTTCCCGTGCGTCCAGATCGCTCAGCAGCGACCCAATTGAGGCCTCGAAGTAATCTGCATTGTCGCGCCTGACTGTCGCAAGCGCCGCGCACATCAACGGACGATCCCGGCCCTTGACGGCATCGAGTGCCGAATCGAAGGGTACATTGTAAGTGGAGGTAAGATTGAGCGCCTGCTGTTCCCGCGCCAGGCTGTATTTCCACTTGAACACGTCGCGGATGTCGAAGAAGGCGGAGTGCGGGTCCCGCCAGAAGCGGAGGGAGCAGTACTCGAATATGAGAAGATAGACGAGCCCAGCTGTCAGCAGCACTTTGACTGCAGGCTGCTGGAGCAGGCGCAAGACCGGACCAGACCTCATCGAAACGGAGGCAGTGAGGACGGGGGTAGTCGCATCGTGGACGATGTGGGTTTGTGACTCTTCGGATCTAGTTTGCAGGGTTCCGCTGGCTTAGCCACGTGCATTCTTGTTGATCCAATCCGCTGATTTCTCCGGCCAATCCTTAGAATGGCATTTACCCCCACAGTCGGGGACCCTATTCGGCAATTGCTGAAAGCTCAGGACCTCCACCACATCCCTTGTGGAGTATACCGATGATAAGCTGAGGATCATCAGACAATTGACCGCATTCAGCAATGTATTGGAATGTGAATAGTATGTGGAATAACGCTATCTCACGATACCTAGGTAGCAATTGTAGAGCTTGAACGGCAGTTCCATCGATATATCTCGGACTGAACACGCTCCCATTCTAATAATATACTGGTACGCTGACGAAAATCAACCCCACAACTCGAGGGATCCAAATCCAGAGTTACATCGCGAAGATACGCATCATTGGATTTCGGCATAAGCAAATGAAAGCTTTGAATGAGTCAAGCCCAAACCCCAATGAGTCAATAGTGCTTTATTAGAATCACCCCCCCGCCACTAAAACATTGAATCCCCATCCGCACTTCCCCGTATGAGAATCCGGACACGAATCCTATTTCATTCTTTTCCCCAAAACCGCAATCCACCAGCTTTACCGAAGCCCGCCATGGCCTACTCCGTCGAGTACGTGACGGAGCCCGACGCGCCCGCTCTAGGCGAAATCAACAACATCGCCTTCAGCAACCGCCTTGTTTTGCCGCTAATGTTCCCTGAGGCAAGCGAGGCCAGCCTGAACGCCTACAAGGCCAAGCACGTCATGAAGCACCTCGCCAACCCCGAGGTACACGTGCTCAAGGCATCCGACGCAACGGGAAAGATCCTAGCCTACGGTCGCTGGCATATCCCCGCGAAATTGGGCGTTGCGCCCGTCGTGCCGCCGCTTTCTGAGCAGGCGCAGGCTTATGCCAGTGACCCGGTGCGGTTCGCCCCACAGCCGATGAGAGAGGATGTGTTTACGGCTTTTAAGGCGTTGCTGGAAGGGGCGCGAAAGCGTCATACCACAGAGAGGGACATAAGTATGTATTCCATGGTTTGGGTGTTTCGGGTATGGAACCCCGATTGCTGATTATGCGACAGCTCTCGATATGTTGGCTACTTTACCTGCGTATCAAGGTCGCGGGGTGGGGTCTGCGGTCCTTCGCTGGGGCATGGCGCAGGCTGATGCGCTTAAGGCGAGGATTTACCTAGAAGCTACTGCCGAAGGCTTTCCCTTGTACGAGAAGAACGGATGGAAGCCAGTGGAGGAGCTCACTATGGACTTTAAGCCACTCGGGCTGGAAGGTGAGGACAAGTTTTGGGTTATGATTCGGGATCCAGTCCCTACTTAGGTTGGAGGGTCCAATTTCCAATACCATATACAGTATATATCTTAGCGGCGTCTAATGCATATGACCGTGGGGAATGGGACATCGAACTGGACAATGTAACGGAGAATAACTGAAACTTGAAGCCGTCGGCTGGAGTTTTCTCTATAGACCTCCATGACCATGCTGTACGACTGTATTTAAAATCAAAAAGAGAAAAGGCTAACTTTCATATGAAAACCCGAGTGTCGTTTGAGAATCATCCGATGGCACCATCGAGTCACACATTAAAGATTCACCCGGCTGCAGCGGATAAGGTCTTACGCAGCACGAATTTCATGCGGGGCCCAGCGGGCGAGACCTACCATTTATCCCAAGCCAAAGCCCATATAACTTACAATTTCCTCCAAACACCCTTTTAACTAGAAATTGTAAAATACGTCAGATCAAACAAGATGGCCAAGCCCAAGTTCGCCATCCTAGATGACTACCAGGGCATTGCGCCCGCCCACTTCGCCCACCTCGAGTCCCGGATCGAGATCACCAGCTTCCCGGAAACCCTGGACCCCCGCGATCCCGCCCAGCAAGAGGCGCTCATCCACCGATTACAGCCCTACGATGTCGTCCTCGCCATGCGGGAGCGCACCCCCTTCGCTGCAAGCACCATCTCCGCTCTCCCGAACCTAAAGCTGCTCTTGACGACGGGCATGCGGAACGCCGCGCTCGATCTGCAGGCCTTCACCAATGCGGGGGTCTCCGTCGCGGGGACGGAGGGCCGCCCGCCCGGCGTCAACAGCACGGTGCAGCATACCTGGGCGCTGATCCTGGGGTCGGCGCGGCACATCGCGCGCGACGACGCGGCGGTGAAACGCGGCGAGTGGCAGGGGTCACTGGGCATCAACCTGTCGCGGCGGCGGCTGGGCTTGCTGGGGTTGGGGAATCTGGGGGCGCAGGTGGGCAAGATTGCGATTCAGGCGTTTGGCATGACGGTCAGCGCGTGGTCTACGAATCTTACGCAGGAGAAGGCGGATGAACAGGCGCGGGCGCAGGGGCTCGCGGCGGGCAGTTTCGTGGTGGCGGGGTCGAAGCGGGAGCTCTTTGCGGAGGCGGATGTCGTCAGCATCCATTACGTGCTCTCCGAACGGAGTCGGGGGATTGTGGGTGCAGAGGAGCTAGGGGCGATGAAGACTAGTGCGATCATTGTCAATACGTCCCGTGGGCCGTTGATTGACGAGGAGGCCTTGTTGGAGGTGTTGAATGCGGGGCGGATTCGGGGTGCTGCGCTCGATGTTTTTGATCCGGAGCCTTTGCCGAAAGACAGCCCATGGCGGACGACGGCTTGGGGTCAGGATGGGCGCAGTGAGGTTCTGCTCTCGCCGCATATGGGGTATGGAGAGGAAGACCTATTGCGTGGGTGGTATAGAGAGACCGCGGACAATCTGGAGCGGTGGCTGAACGGCGAGGAGCTGCTGCGCAAGATGAACTAGAAACCGCCATTATAGAATCAAGCCAAAGAATAATCAGGCATTGGGGGCATTACCCCTCCACCACAGTCCCACCCTCACATGCAAAAGCGAGCAGAACCGGTCTTATCCACGAGATGCAGTTTCACCGAAATTACCCAGGCTGATCGGCCGCTAGAATAAGTTCCTGTCGATCTCCACGCTCGCGCCTAATCCACTTAGTCGCGGAGAACCACCGGTTGGGACTCGCTCCCGGCATGGGCGTCATTGGAAGAAAGGAACCTCGGTCTAGTCCGAAAAGAAAAGCCGGAACGCCTAGCAAGCTAGCATTCTTGGCTCCTCGGTTAAAGGGAAAGTGACATTCTATACTGGGAGGGATACCGGAAGCCCTCAACAATGCGGGCTGTATAAAGCCCACACCCTTGCGCTCCATTACTGGGTCCCTTCGCTACTCTTCTCTTTTCCTCCTAACAACCGTCGTCATGGCTCCCTCCGCAGACCCGCTCCCTCCCACGCCAATCCCTAACAAAGAAACCGTTCCTCCGACTCATCCCGACCGCTTAAGGGTCGAACGCAGCACCAAGGCCTTCGGCAGCGGGGCATACTCTCTGATTGACTTACCAGCGGGCGCTCTCTTTGCCAAGATCACCACTGCCACGCCAGGCAAGAAGGCCTACACCAGCGTCCAGACCGGAGCAGACACCCACATTGAGCTCAACTCCGACCTCGTGTTCTGCAACCACTCCTGTGCGCCCTCACTGGTTTTCGACATGTCCCGCATGGAGGTGCGTGTGATTGACGAGCGGCCCTTGAAAGCCGGGGACGCCTTGACCTTCTTCTACCCGAGCACCGAGTGGGACATGGACCAGCCATTCCATTGCACCTGTGGAGCCGAGGAGTGCAGAGGATGGATTTCCGGAGCGAAGGACATGCCTCGGGATGTTCTGAAGCAATACTGGCTAAACCCTCACATTGCTGCGTTGCTGAATGAGCAACAGTAGGCTTCTACGACTGCTTTTATACCGTGACGACTGATGGGCCAGACTTCTGCATTGTTGGGGGGACGTTTATATTAAGATACCAAGCCTTCAAAAATCATACAAAGAGTAGAGACTCATGAATACAGGTCAATTGGGAAGTCAATGTAACTTGAATGGCGTGCTATGCAATGAGACCGGATTCTAGGGTAATATGCGCGTGGGCCGAACAAAAGCACATACAAGAAAAGGGAAAGAAAAGGGAAAGCAAAGGCTCATGATCCCGCGCCGCCGATAGCCGCTACCTGTATCGTATGGCGTCGGTCAACTTCTCTCTACAGCAGGATTAGACATGTTGCCACGGCTACGGCCTGGTCGAGCTGGAAGCTCTCCTCCATTGTGTGCAGCCCATCTACGTGTGCCGGGAGTTCGTTTGTCCGAGCTGCGCGCTAGTTGAGCAAGGCGTCGATTTCCTAATGACCTGACTCGAGATTTCAGTTTTCATGCAGAAAATTTAAATGCAGGTTCTCACAATCTGCTCCCTTTTCTCACTCATGGACCAGTGATATTCTGCTCAGTCGATATGTATTACGCGTGTCTTGGTATTATGATTCGAGCAACAGTTGAAGGGTGTAAGTGGTGACACCAATTTTGGGACTTGCAGTAGAAACTTCTATCCTATACATCGAGAACGTATCGCAGAATCGAGTAAAGTATCAGAATATGTATATATCACAGACATCGGAATAAGTTACGGCAGAACAAACATCTAGCGCACAGTGACCATATAGGAAAACTCGACTTCGATTTGCCGCACCACCACATCGTACAACTATGAAATCTCCAGGGACAGTAGAACAGGGGTCTGGGACCCCAAATCATCGGACAGAATCTCTATATCTTTCCCGGTACGTGTGTTATAAGACGTTTAAGCTGGGCATTTCTGGTGTCTTTTGCGGAGCAGATTAAATAATCCTATTGTCACGGATTCCAGCTAGAGGGTGTACTATATAAGGCGTGCCTGGGCATATCCGCACATAGTTGCGGATATGGTGGTCTTTTGGATCAGCTATTGGAACATTAGCCCAGGGATGATCCTTCATATCGGGGGCCCATTTAGGACCCATGCGTGGGCTTTGAGCCCGTTGATAAAGCCCAAAGCCCGACGTGGGCCCTGAAGATGTCTAGCTAATACCCAACTCTAACTACCCCTCCATAGACAAAACCAGGAGCTGATTCTCCGTTCACTGATTTCTCGTTGATCCCTCTTATCTACTTCCTAAGTAATGATCATGCAAATAAACGGGCCAGCAGGTATCTGAACTCTGCTTCATCTTCTGAAGGCTTAATTTGACTCTACAAGATATATCAGTGCGTCTGAACAAAGCTTGAAATGGTGGATTGACCGAGGCTCAAAGCCCTGACCCGCGTAGATGGTTCAAAATAACGGAGAAGCTACGTGATACTTGATCGGCGCATATTTGTCTTTTCAATTAGCACCATGGCATCATCGTAAACCTGTAAGGCTATTCGATCGGGTCTATATTATTCCGGTTATATTACTTGCTACCTAATCGGCTGTTTCCCCTTATTTCTTGGTACCTGGACAACTTTGTTACCTTACCAGATATTCATCTCAAATTTGTATATTCATCTATACTTTGCATATTTTTAGGCATTCCGAATTCATCCCGTCAGTCTCTTAAGATGAAACGACGTCTGTCCTTTGACGACGTTGCCTGGGAAATAAGCGATAACATCGAAGACTACTGGCTAAGATTGCTTTACGACGGTGACATCTACAATAAAATTGGAGTTTTTCTTGCTGAGAAATGTTCCCTCGTCATTGGGCCGGCTTCAACTTATTCAAGGCTGGCGGGTTCAATGCTAGCTTCCTCATGACTTTCGCCGACGATAGCGGCGCTATTTTAAGATTTCCCCTACCTGGTGTCCACATGTTTCCTGATGAGAAAGTTCGTAATGAAGCCTCTATCATGCAATTCACCACAGAGGAAACTTCACAGATAATGCTGATCACAGTTCCAACACTCTTGCACTGGGGAGGGAAAAACAAAAGTCCTTCAAATTGCCAAAATTGCCCAGGGCCCCTTTTATGATCATGGGTTATATTGACCACGAGAGAAGCATGTCCGATCTTCTTGAGACGCCGGGACGCCAATTGAAACAGCGTCCAGAACTCAATCCTGATATTAGCGCAATAAAGCTCACATTACTCTATCGGCAGCTAGCCAATATTGTCTCTTCTCTATCTACATTATCTGCGAGCCGAATTGGATCTCTGAGGCAATCTGGTAAATCAGCGTGGGAAGTGGCATATCGACCACTATCTATGTCTATGAACCAAGTTGTGCGCCTAGGGACACTGCCTCGGTCCGAACTTCCTACTACGACCTATGATAAAGCGCCTTTATATTTTGAAGCCCTGGCGGAGCTACACCTTTCACATCTTAAACATCAAAGGAACAATGCTATAGACTCGGCTGACGACTGCCGACGTAAGTTTATTGCTAGATTTCTGTTTCGGAAATTTGTTCGAAATCGTAATCTTAGGGATAAATGGATGTCTCATGAGAACGGTCCATTTCCAGTCTGGTGTGATGACTTTTGACCGCAGAATGTTTTGGTCGATAAAGACGAAAGAGTCGCTGGGGTAATAGACTGGGAGTTTACCTATACCGCGCCAGCCGAGTTTACTTATGCTCCACCCTGGTGGCTTCTTCTAGAAACGCCAGAATATTGGAGTAAGGGTCTAGATGACTGGTGTACAAAATATGAGAAATGGCTTCCGATGTTTCTTCAGGCAATAGTGGAGTGCGAAGAGAAAGCGTGCCAGAATCAGAACGGACGACTCCAAGAAAGCCAGCGACTCTCGAGTCAGATGCGACGTAGTTGGGAGAGCGGAGGCTTTGGGATCAAGTGTGCTGCAAAAAACAATTTTGCCTTTGATGCCACCTATTGGAACAAGATCGATCAGCGGTTCTTCGGCTTCAATAAATCTGACGACAATATATGTGATATATGGAAGAAAAGACGTGATCTCTTGGAACCTGAAGAAACGGAAATCATGGAAAAGTACGTGAATTTGAAGCTTCAGAAGAATGAGACAAGGGTTCTCTCTTGGGACCCAGATGAATACACCATAGGATACATGGCCAAGATGAAAACTTGAATGCTCTTGTCAGATGATTTGGGAGCTATCCTATGAGAGTAAGTTACTCGATTAGCGGGTAGCCTATCATCTTTCATGCAGTTAAGTTTGGTTAGAAGCCAACCAGAAAACGAGCATTAATTTTTCTTCTCTATTTATTCATAAAGCTCTTTTACACAGACCAAAAAACTAGGAAACAGGTATCCTGCGTACGTCCGTGGGGTATTAGTAGGCCTTCCCTCTCCAACCCTACACTGGACTTGTCATGATCGCTGTCAAGACCCACTCGGCTCAGAGTTTGCTTTGTAGAACAAGGTGATCAAGGTTCGACCTATCTCAAACCTCCGAAACCGCCATTCTAATACATGACTAGACTATAGCCAAGTTAGTTCATGTTGGGTTTACCGTTCGTCCCACACAGCCTGCTTACTATCAATGCGGATCCGCTTTATGTGATATAGTAAGTCAGCATTGCCCAGGACGTTGTTGATCGTGCACGGTACGCCTTGCTCCGCCCTATGAGCCTCACTCCTCTGCTCGCTGCTGATAAGACTTAGCTGTGCCCCTCTCAAACTAGTAAGATCCTACCATGGAATGGAATAAATGTAAACTCCCCCTCGAAATTCTCCTCTGTATAGCCGAGTTCCTCTGTATAGCCGACCTCGCGCAATTTATCCACGCAATTCCCGTCGTCGGCCAGCAGCTTCCTACCAAACAGCTCCGGCAACAAGGCGGCAATGGCGACACCGTCCTGCACTTCCTAGCCTCAAGAGGGCACAGCGATACCATAGCCCTCTTCGCAGAACCCTTTAGAATCCTGCATACCCCCAACATTGATGGCATGACCCCACTGCACATCGCCGCCGTCCACAGTCACTATCTCACCGTCGCTCTCCTCCTCAACATCGGCGCAAGCATCTCCGCCCTCGACAACCACAATGACAGCCCCCTGCACCTCGCGATCCGCGCCCACGCCTACACCTACACGCGCACCTCCGAGCCCGTCACCCAGCTCCTCCTAAGCCACCACGCAGACCCCTCCCTCCCGAACATCGACGGCTTCACCCCGCTCCACGAGGCCGTCATGTCGCACCAAAGCCCCGACGCCGTGCAGCGGCTCCTCGACGCAGGCGCGGACGTCAACGCGCCCGCCGGCCGAAGGCGATGGACCCCGCTCTTCTACGCCGTACTCTTCAGCCACCAGTCGCCCGGCGAGATCCTCTCGAGCGCCGGCGCGGATATCCACGCTGCGCCGCGGGATACGCAGCAGCATCTGTTTTCGCGGGAGCGCGGGATGGCGATCGTGGCTGTTTTGCTGCGGGCGGGCCCGGATCTGGAGGTGCTGGATAAGGAGGGGCGGACGGTGCTGATGGAGACGGCGAGGTTGGGCGCGGACGATGCGATGAGCTTGTTGCTGAAGGCGGGCGCGAGCGTGCATGCTCGGGATGATCAGCGGAGGACGGCGCTGGGGCATGCTGTGATGCGGGGGAATAGGTCGACGGCGAAGAGGTTGCTGGAGGCGGGCACTGATTTGTGGACGAGGGACGAGTCCGGGCGGGATGTGGTGGAGCTGGCGTTGTGGTATGGGCATGATGACATGGCGAAGGTTATGCAGAGGGCGCAGCGGTTGAGGCCTTGGGGGTATTGGCGTGATAGGGCGGGGTGAGGTCCAAGTTGAGTTGAAAGACATTGCGAATGAGAACTTGGGGTTTCGGTGATGCTGCGTTCTCCAGGGCTGTTGATGATATACGAATACGCATATACATACTAGGATGATAAAATGTGCCATACCAATACTTGATGGATTTTTGGATTTTGTGTTCTATCATTAAATATGGGAGATCAATGGACTCCCGTTCTGTACAATTTTTGTTTTGTTTTTTTGAGACAATGGTGGCCCCCCGTTCAGTGGGCTCTTACAGGTTGGCGAACTTGTGGCCGGCCTTCTGTGCAGTGAAGGTAGCAATCAGGTCCATCAGAACGGGGGAGAGGGTATCGTAGGTCTCGAGACCGTTGGCCTTGAACTTGCCACGCACGGCATCGATTTCCTTGGGGTTGAAGCCCTGCTCGATGATGGAGGAGACAAAGGCAGCAAATTGGGGCTCTTGCCAGCCCTTCTGCTCGGAGAGTTCGACGTGGACAAAGTCGAGGCCGTGGAAAGGGTGCTCTACCTCGATGCGGCCGAAGAGGTGAACGCCGCACTCCTTGCAGGCGTTACGCTGGATGGCAGCGGAGGGGTCAATACTACAGAATTCATATTAGAAGAACGTCTCGGGACTGGGTCAACGGAGGTATACATACATGTGCAGCTTGTCGGCGTTGGACTGGACCTCCACCTTGTCACGGGGCAGGACCCCGACGAGGGAAAAGAGAGAACCGGCGGGCTTCCAGCACTTGGAGCAGCCACAGAAGTGATTGTGCGCGACGTTACTCTTCAGGGCGACCGTGACCTTGTTGGAGGGGCACTTGCAGCTGATGGTACCACCAGAGAAGTTGGGATCGCCCTTGGTGATGCCATTGTCGATGAAGGGGTGAATTGAAGGAGCCATTGCGTCTGATTGAGGGTCGATTGCACGGTTATCGAGATGTGACTTTGATTTGAACGTTCAAGTTGATGGGTATCAAACGATTTGAGCGACGATATCATTGCAACTGGAGGTATATATAATTTGACAGAAGCGACAGGGATGCTGGCCGTGCCGCACATGTTGCCTCCAACTTTCTCCTCGTCTCCTCGTCTCGTCCAGATGTCTCCTCATGCGGGGTGAAGGTCTTATCGTCGATTCAGTCCTTCGGGTCGACCGCCCGGGCTCCACGCGGCCAAGCGTCCACTCATATTACCTACCGGCCATGGCGCGATCGCGCTTTAGTCACTTTTGCGGAAAAGTAACCCTGAACAGTCGAGCTTATCCGATTGATGCGGGGCCCCTAGGCGTGATTCTCGGTCGCCCACGGGCCGTCAGCCGAGATCCCCTCGCGCGCGAATTTCGAGAGTGTTCTCTTGAGTAAGGTGGTTGCTTTATTGGGGTCATTGGTCTTTAGCTGCCTCTTTCCTCAACCCAGCAAAGCTTGGGATCAAGTTGATACTGTCAAGCGGTCTGAATAGTAGTCCCGGAGTTTGCGGAGATCAGCCAGTTGGTTCCAAGATTGGCTCGCCATGACGGAATTGGGGGCTCCTTTCTTCTTTGGCAAAAAATCCATCACGAGGGAAAGAAAGCTAGCGGTCGACTTGGCCTGCATACCGGCGATCGCGCCCCTTTATACTCGCTAGTGCTGGACTAACAAGGTCCCCTACCTTGTGGGCGCAAGTGGTGTTCAGGCAACAAGGCAGACCTCGTCAACCCCGGTAGCGGTTCCGATCACAAGTGCAATTAATGTAAAACGCAGCTTGGGTTGATGCCGATTCTCACGGATATACTGAACTTCCAGCCGTGAAACAGCTATGAGCATGACACGGTAAGTAGGGGATTGCTCTGACTCTTATGAAAGGGATTCAAAGCCCAAATTGGGAACGAATTACTCGAAAAAAATTGCACCGTAAACTTCGACCGGCAGTACGAGTACAACTGGAACTTGGCATTGTAATGAAAGACTCGACAAAGTCAATCAGGGAACTTGAAGAATTAGCCTGTTGGAAATAACCCCTCACATCATATCTTCTTGTTTTCCAACGGAAAAGAACTTCATTAGCCATGTTTCAACCTCCCACGGCGGCGGTTGTCACAAACTCTTCTCTAACGCGTTCGCGCTCGCCCACGCCTTCACACGTTCTATATCGCGGCAATTCCCGATAAAACCCCCAGCCAGTCGTGAAGAGATCACCGCCGCTCGCCAGCTCATTCACCACGGGCTCCAAGTTCGTGTCTGCTGCACACATCACACTCTGGCGTAGGTAGTCCAGGCAGTGGCGAACATGCTCCGCGTCTTTCTCATGATGATGGTGCCCTCCATCCCGCTGTGCAAGTGTCCCGTTCACGGCGGCATAGTACACCTCACGCAGTGCATCCAGACAGTGAAGATTGTGGTATACGACTAGAGCACGCGGCTCCCGAAATTGCTTACTGTATATGAAACCTTGGCTGACTGGAAATAGTGAATTCCATGCAGCATCAGATTCAGGGGAGGGAGGCAGGCCGAAGGGTATCGTTGGGTGCCATCCACGTCGTGACAGTTCCTGCCGGGGCTGAAGAGACAATGTCAGTGGATGCGGCAGAGAGAGGTTTGATCTGAAATACAATGCATACGTAGTAAGCCGTGGGGGTTGAATGGACGATGATTGCCTGCTAAAACGCCCAATCCAAACATTGCCATGCTTACGACAATCGCGACCGCGAGTATCCAGCATGAAGGTAGTTCCAAGGGGATTTGAAGAGACTTATGCCCAGCTGGTTTCCGGACACAATCGTCGTCGTCGCTCATCAAAGGCTCTTCTGACGTGGGAATAGGTTGGAAAGACATATCAGGCCTGCCAGCAAGAGCTAGATTGTGATTTTAATGAGATTTTGCGGCCAAAGGGGTATATTGGGATAATTGCTCCCGAGATGTACATTTCGCCACGAAGAGTTGCTACCGGCCGTGCGACTTTATGTTCTGCTTGGTCCCAAGACTGTACCCTATTGGGATCTGTTTTAGGAAGTCGAGTTCGTCCATCCGATCGTTTGACCGGGGTAGTCCTCGAGCCGGCGCATCCATGGAGCAATGGACGCCTGGTTCTTTGTTTAATTCTCTTTGGCAAGGGCGCGTGGCGGCCTCGCGGCTGGTCCGTCCAAAGTTAAAGTGTCAAGTCCGTCGGATTTTCAGAATCGAGTCCCTCGCCTCAAATAGCTCCAAAAGTCGCATTGATGAGCAATGAATTCTCACGGATCGACGTTTTGCGGATGGCCCGGGTTCCTTCTAAACGCCTATTTCCGGGATCGGTCGCCCGAGATCGACAACCCAAGATCCCAGAGGTTCATGATCACGAAAAAGCCGAGTCGTACAATGCTCAACGCGCTGAGATTTATGCTACTTTTGATTAGTGGAAGCAGAGAAAACCCCCGCGCAACTCAGCAGATCGAAGAATCACGGGAATACGGGAATACGAGCCCGGCATCAATCTCACGGTAACGTCGGCAGCGTCCGAAACAATCTCATGAATCCGCTACTGATCCAGGAGAAATACATGATGTGAGATCATAGGTAGTATTTTCTACGGGTCTCCATCTGTAGGAAGTGGAGAACATATTCCTCCCCGGTTTGGCTCCCGGCAAATTGAAAGCTGCTATCTTATCCAGGGCGTTTGTTCTAGAGTGTCGATCACTGCGCGGCATGAACGGCCATGGCCGCTCTGGAGCAAAAAACGGTATTTGATCGGCAGAGTCGACGATTAACTCGGTCTGCCGGTTGACATAATTATGGATCTCGAAGCACTGCAGTGCCAGCGACAACGGTACGTCATTGGCGGAATCTGCAGCAAAAATCATGATATCGGAGAAGAGGCGACTCCTGTGGGGTCACCCAGTGAATCGCACCACACCATTGGCGGATGCCTTTCCATCACGAACCCGGATTATAGCTTTGAGAATTTTTGGAGAATAGCATCATGTCAGGTGTCAGGGCTCTCGCAGAGGTGTCAGTGACCCTCTATTTGCCCCCCTGGAGTTTTAGTCTGGTCCAAGTTCCAGAGTATGACAGGGTATAATAAGGGCCATCTCGCAATTGGTATCGTTTTACCCACCGAGTACTTTATTCTTCTCCATTGCCACGGCAGATAGCCTCCACTATGGGTGATAAGGACCCAGAGAAGAATACAAGTCATCCACCAGAGACGCCTTTGACGCCTCTACAGCCAATTCAGGAACAAGAGAGCAGCACCGAAGAGTCGGGATCTTCATCCACCGCAGTTTCAGGCGATTCATCTAGCCCACCACATGATAAAACCCAGAGATCACCCCCATCTCGTCCGCATCTGAGTCTCCATAACCAACCGCCGTTCAGTCCACGCTCTCCACGAAATGGCCAATTACCACCGACTCCCGCACGGGATCAGCCCCAAACCCCCTTAGAAAGAGCTGCGATGAGCAGGCATCCGACCGAATCCGCCAGTACCTATGATAGACCACCGAACCCACAACGTATCAGCCGCGGTCCGCCTAACTCCCTCGCCGGCAGAAACCCATACGATCCGACACCGCGCCAGGGAGAGGTTTATATGGACCCTGAATACCAGCAGCTCAATCCACGCTATGGTAACCAGAACGAAACCCCGGTGTGGGGTCTCGCAAAACCGCTCCCCCGCGTGGTCCGACCGGGAATGCGCCGTGGCCGCAGCAGCCAGCAGGAGGCATACCAAGCCGAGCCTCCAGGTGACAGTCAACCTGCTCCTGCGCTGGATAACACTCCCGGTCTATCAAACAGGCAATCGAACACGAGCCAGCGAGCTGCCCCAGCCAGCTATTCGTCTGCGGCGCAGCAGGATGTACCCAAAGAGCATGCCATCTATGCGCCGCAACCAGATGGCCTGCTTCGACCGATGGAGTCTGAACCTAGCCAGGGTGATTTAGGCCAGAGACCTGAAATGCCTGCCAATGAGGCCGATATGCAGCATGAACAGAAGGAAGAATTTCTCAACCAATGGGTGAAGATCCGGCACTATATGAAAGAGCCTTTTGCGGAATGCCTTGCTGTGAGTATCACCTGCCTGAAAAAACAGGAAAAAAATGGGATCGGTAGCTAACAGAATCCAGACCGCCGTGGCTGTCTTCATAGGCCTGACGGGTACGCTGGCCGTAACGACCGCGGGCGAGAAGGCAGGAAGTAAGTTATCCGAGAACTGGTCGTGGGGCCTGGGCTTCATGATCGGGATTTACCTCGCGGGTGGTGTGTCTGGTGCACATCTCAACCCTGGGATCTCGATTGCGCTCTGGATCTTCCGTGGCTTCCCCGGCCGAAGATGCTGCTACTATATCGCCGCCCAATTTGTTGGGAGCCTCATCGCAGCTGGCCTCGCTTATTGCATCTACCGCGACGCGATCCTGCATCTGGCACCCACACTACCAGCAGATGCCTCGGGGCTTGGGTTTTATACCGGCCCAATGAACTATGTCAGCTCCGTGACGGCCTTCTTTACGGAATTTGTCGGCGATGCGATTCTCCTATGTGTGATCTTCGCCCTGGGTGATGATGGGAATGCACCGCCCGGAGCAGGTATGCACTCGTTCGTGATCGGATTAGTGATTTATGTGCTGTGTATATCACTCGGCTACAATGATGGAGGGTGAGTAGTCTGGCTTTATCATCAACCGCGGCACAGGGAGCTTACAAATATCATTTCCAGGTGCTTCAACCCGGCCCGCGACATCGGACCGCGGCTAGTCGCTCTGATGGCAGGGTACGGGAGAACAACTTTCGTCGACCGTGGGGGATGGTGGTTCTGGGGCGGCTGGGTTGCGACGATCAGCGGATCTCTTGCAGGAGCTGCATTATATGACATTTTCATATTCATTGGTGGCGAATCGCCGATTAACTACGCACCCCGGCGGAGGAGAAGAGCGAGGTTGAAGAAGGAGAACAAATGGAGGAAGAGATTGGGTATTGGAAAGGAGAAGGTGCCGTCGCTGGAGGAGGGCATCAAAAAGCTGGAACATGAACAATAATTGAAGTGTTGATTGGACATTGCTCGTCCTAGTAGATGCCAGTCTCTCAATTGGTCGAAAGGCTAGAGCGGATGCTCGTATTGCGCCCCGATAATCGATGTAAATAGGCTAGTAACGGAGGGGTGGCTGTAGGGGCCTGATAATTCCGACACCCTCACAGACATATTGATGTAAGACTAGTCTTCTTTGGGCTTTGGGCGTCGCCCTTGATCCCAAGTATAGTAGAACTCTGGCTTCCACCACCAGACAACGAACAATGAGATCCCGTGCAGGCCACATAAGACACAGGGTAGAGCATAAACCCGGGCGGGATTAGAAAGACCGATGGTGTCAGCAAAAGCGGCGGGAACCAAAATGCTGAACACCGCTGGCAGCGGTGCGTTCACGACCCAGTATGTGATCGATAGCCAGTTCTTTCTATCGCTCCGGAAGATTGTGAAAAGTTGGAGGGATACAAACATCCAGAAAGGCACTAAGAGTGTGGGTAGTATGAGTGGTCCAATACCCATAAGTAAAGGAAGCGCGATGAAATAACTAAAGACAGAGCATTAGCGATTTCAGCGCCTATGGTCATCGGAAGTAAGGTATCCCACCCGATAATGAGAGCAGCAAAGGGAACACGCCACCAGGTTCTCCCTGGGCAATTCCCTTCAAAAGTACTCGAATAATGCTTCCGATAATAAGCGGCAGAAGTATCGTTCCAACCATCAGCGGTATTGAAATCTCGAAAAAGTTCGCTAGAGACCACGATTGATTGAGGCTGGAATCCACAATTGTCATGTTTGAACTGATTTTCATTTCCGACCTGGATCCATTCATGCTCGTCACGTTACGGTGAAATGGCTGAGGAGATGATATTTGGTTGATATTCATTCCCAAAAAACTCTTCTCAATTAGCGGGGCATTGAGGGTCGTATGGGCGATAACTTACCGTCACAAAGGAGAGGGGCAAGTATAGGGCAGCGAGAATCCCCAGGACCCCAGTGCGATGGGTCTGGAGCAGGTCAAGACTCTCGCGTAGTTCGCGACGTAGGACTAGAATCCTTTGTAGAGAAGACTCGACTTCATTGTGCAAGTACTCGATATCGTCCATCACCCGCCTTAGATGGGTGAGCTGGCTCGCCTCCTCACGCGTTCGGGGTCCTTGGATGGAATCGATTTGGTCCACTAATCGCTGCAGAGTGTGCTTGTTGGCCCTGCAGCAGTCTTTCATCACACAGCAGCAATCCTCCAGATGCCTGAGATATTGCAATTTACTCCCGGAGGGTCGAAGCCTTCCTTCATAGACCTGAATCAGTTAGCTCATGTCATCCACTCTCGGTATGCTTTCATAATTACCATATAATTTATCTCTTCCCACGCCTGTGCCGTGGAAGCAGTTAATTGGGCCAAAACCTCCGAACTAGCAGCCTCAAAGAGGCTTAAGGTATAAGAAAGGGGACAATGCGTGTGGTCTAAAGGCCGTGCGTAGAAATTACCGCTCCGTAACCTGGTTAAGGTATCAAAAGAGTTCACAATGGTAATCGCTCGTCGATTTTGTTCATATGCATCCGATGGAAAGATGAAATCTAATCTTTCAATTTGTGGATGATTCCCGTAGGGCCGGAAAACATAGACTGAAAGATCGTTCGCGTAGTGCGGAGCCTGGATCCACCTAAACTCGAATTTCAACGGCTTAGAAGGAATGGCATCCATGGGTGTATCAACTTCTTTGAGGTTTGATTAGCAGGTGCTTGAGGTGTTAGGTAGATCGGACACTGTACCATGAGATGGCCACTTGGGTTCCCACGGCGCGAGAGACAGCGGCTTTACATACAAGCTTTGCATGACCTCGCCCATTACCTCATCGCTCAGCGCCCACTGAGTCTGTAACATCCGTGCGGCTATCTCGCTCAAGGAAGAATAAGCCTGTTGGCGGCGCTCATAGCTCACCATGAATAGTTTGTCGATGAAAGAGAAAGCACCGTCGAGAGTGGTGGTATCAGTCGAAATAACGCAGATTTCGAACGCATCTGCCTCGTTCGTTTCTTCCAAAGTAAGAATCCGCTCGAAACACTGAGACCAGGTATCTTGTTTTGCACACATTAGTTCTGCTGCATGAGTCGCTTGGTACATGAAGACGCGTCTCGCCGTGTGGCGGTTGTGCCGTCGGGCGATTTTGCGATAGGTTTTCTCCAGGGACTCGTGGCCGGAAAGGGTGTCGGAAACCAGGTCGGGACTTATACTCCTATTGTGCCGTAACTTTACGGTTTTAAGATCATTGTCGACCGGTAGTGTCAGAGGGAACCCACCTTTATTCTAAGGTTTTCTGCAATCCATATCCCGAGTCTTTGGTGGATTTGTTGTTGGGGGCGCCGTTTACCTTCGTCATCAGAATGGCTACTTTGTGGAGGAAGGTCTTCCAAGTCAATAGTATCCACAAGAATGGGTGTTTCTTGCCCAGAATACGCTAGGTATGCCATGGTTGTGGTATTAACAGTGTTTTGGGGTAGCCAAACAAACTGGGGGTCGGAAGAGCACTGGTTGAACCGTAGATAGATGAGATGAAGGAAACATAAAAGCTGGAAAAGCCGGACATTCAAGGTCTGACGATTCAATAGTTTCACCAGCAGAGTTTGATGAGGCTCCGGCGCCTTGATTCTCAGAGATATCAGCCACCAATTATAGCCCGGGATTATCACCACACCTGCAACTTACCTCCCGCGTGCTAGCCTGTGATAAATCACGCATACACCGTGGGGCGAGAGGGGCCTGAGCTCCTCGTATCTGCGAGAAACCTCGTAAAGGGCACCTTCGCTGTACCCCATGGGGCCAAGAAAAGTTGAAAGTTAACACTAGACCAAAGCAGACTGCATTCTTTCGCAATATATCCTGTCAGTGAAGAAACGAAGTCTATAACTCTGCCCAATACTGTTTCCTCCGAGCCGGATCTCAGGAAAAATCGACCGACTGCAGCTTTGAGCATGAAATGGGTGCTCAGTGCGGAAAGATTCTCAGCCAGAATCAAGCCCCTGCTCAGCTTCGTATCGAGGGTCCAGTCAGCCGCAAGTTTCTAGTGATCATCCTTCTAGCCCTAAAATTCGGGCTGCTATTAATAATTGTATTGGGCAGAGATTCAAATACACCAGACACCCGCGTCGTGCTAAAGGCTTATTTCGTCTCATATTATCAGGGGTAGGAGGACTAACCCTTCCCGGATTCTACGGTTCCTCGATGTCTCTGCCTACGTGTCACGACACACTTGTTATAGTGATCAGGGGTGCCTCCCTAGTCTGAGAAGAAACTCCGAGGACGCTCGGACGCTGGTTATAATGATTCTCGCATCACCTACTGTATGTATATATCGATCCCACGGGAGCGCTAAATTCTCCCCGGGTCCTCTCCGGGTCCTCCCCGGGGCCCACACTAAATGGCTGACCGCAGAGGGAGCCAGGGGCGGGCTCCTTAGCAAATAGTGGCTGCACCACTAGCATTGAATTACTGTATAGCCAATTCACAGTCGTATTGGCCTTGGTCATATCCGCCTCGATCGTATCCAATCAGATAACGAACCCATAGTGATATAGGCTTCGCAATTATGTCGGCCCCCGTGGCTGTGCAGATTCGCAATCAATAGTAAGTGGCTAACTATAAACTCTCCGATACTTGAATAAGCCGTATCATGCTTTCATCTGTGAAATCGAGTTGAATCGCTATTAGTACTTGTGGGGATATATTGTGGAGATCTACCTGAAGCTCAACGCTACCAAACTTAACGCTTATCGGCTTATCGGATTCTCTTATCGCATCTTTATCGATGCGGGGAATGACCTGGAAAAGGCTCTTGATCTCAATGAATGCAAGTCTACGTCTTCCGCCGCAGCCGTCATGCTCAACCCAGGCTCCAGTATTCAGACGAAAGAGCTTTTCTACTCCTACTAAGCCCCTTATGCCAGTACAGACAACAACCTCATGCTCGGAGTCGAGCCCTACCACCGAGAAGATGGGGCCTTCTGTGAATGACGTCACGGATGACCCAGAGTACGCAGCGCGAACGATTCAGGTACAGTCAACAACAAACAATTCTGGTCTTCTTGAGGGATGGCACTCTGAAACAAGTTTCATAGAGGGTATTTCGCGGCTATCGAACCCGGCGAGAGCTCCGCGGGCTGAACCTCGCTGCATCTGCTCGACGGTCCATCGAGAGTGAAAGAGCTCATGACGATGACAAAGAAACAAGTGCCGCTCAAAAGAACTGGCAGCGCGCTGTTAGCGTTGCCATCCAGGCGGGCCGGAATGATGAGGATGCAGCCTCCGAGACGGTACCCAAGACAAACTGCCAGCCGTCCGCTCATCAAGCAAACCGCAAACCGACAGCAGCGAAAATGATGGATTTGCAGTATTTCCTAGAAATGGTCGACACCAAACACCGCCATGGAAGCAATCTTCGTGCATATCACAGCATTTGGAAGAGATCGCCTTCAAACCAGAACTTCTTCTATTGGTTGGACTATGGCGACGGGGTGAATGCTGAAGCGCCAAACTGTTCACGGGAACAACTTGAGAAAGACCAAGTCCGATACTTATCACCCGAGGAACGTCTTAACTACATGGTCACAGTGGATGAGAAGGGACTCTTCCGCTGGGTTAAGAATGGCGAGTTGGTCGAGACGAACAACAAAAAGTACAGAGATAGTCTTCAAGGGGTCGTGCATATCGATGATAGTGCCCCCCGATTCCAAGGGAATTCGATATCCATAGACACGACAACGGAAGGCGCAACTCTCGGGCAGACGCTGTCCTCATCTTCCTCGATGTCTTCGGACTCCTCTTCATCCTCAAGTGCACAGTCTCTGGCGCCGTCACAAACCATGCAAAGTCAGAAAAGTGATACCGGAAGCGGCAAGAACATATCCACGCAGGAAGACTACGAGCTCAACAAAGCAGTCGACAAGTTCGCTCGTATCCGGCCTGCAGCCCTCTATGATCACTTCGCCGCAAAACTCTCAAAGAAAGAAGACATGTGGATATTCGTAAGTGAGAGTGTTTAGCTTGTACCTTATCCACCTTCTAATCAAATTCATGCCTAGGTCGCCGATACGCAGTTTCGCATCTACATCGGGATCAAGGAGCCGGGTGGCTTTCAACATTCCTCCTTTCTGAGGGGAGGTAGAATCGCGGCCGCTGGAATGCTCAAAATTCGCCACGGCCAGTTACGAAGTCTAGCGCCTCTAAGGTATGGAATCTTGCATCAACGTTGACAAGGCATTCGGCTCACTGTATTTAGTGGTCATTACCGTCCTCATGTGGCCAATTTCCGTGCCTTCCACCGATCCCTCAAAGAACGAGGTGTCGACCTGTCCCGCGTCTCAATGAGCAAGTCTTATGCCACCCTCGCTGGTATCGAGGGTTACGTCGCCGCAAAACGGAAGGTTCGTAGTGTACAAGAGAAGATTGATGACGCAAAACAAAAATTGCAGCCAGGAGCTCAACAGGACAAATCATAAACCCAGATACATTGCTGATACCCCGGTACATTTAAAAAAAAATTTATATTCAAATATGTCTGAACCCAAGCCTATCCTCCATGTAAGCATGGATTTGGATGAATATTTTCTACCATTACCGGTGAAGTAACTCGACGTAGTGGTACAGAAACTTTGAATGCTGATCTGAAATTGGACTAGACGTCTTGTTGATAATAAAATAACCAGGGCCTTCGTAGATTGCACCGTTAAATCCGAGCCCGGAGTTTCGTCACAGTGTCTTCGAGAGGATAATCATGGCGCTTAGTCTTGCTCCGGACCCGCTCGCCATCTTCTGGTGTGATGTAGCGGGCTTCCACCGCCGGGTTATATCCTATGCTGGAAGCTTTTTTCACTTCCTCGTCTGTCAACTGGCGATTGGTCTTGCCGTCCGCTCTCTTATAAATCGTGACGACAACTGCTCCTCCCAAGCCCAGATTATGCTGCAGCGCAACACCGGTGTTTTGAACAAGCCGATTATTTGCCCATCCGCGAAGCTGCCAGGTTAGCTCAGCACACTGAGCGAGCCCCGTTGCACCAAGAGGATGGCCCTTGGAGATCAACCCCCCGGAAGGGTTGACAATAGGACCGCGCCCGCCGTAGGTAATGTCGCCCCGTCGAACCATTTCATGAGCCTTCCCTGGCTGCGCGAAGCCCAAGGCATCGAGTAAGAGGAGCTCGTTAGTGGAAAAGCAGTCATGCACTTCGCATACTTTGATATCCTCGATCTTCGCCCCAGCCTCCTTGAGGGCCTCTGCAGCTGCTTGGCGGGACATGTGAAAACCGACGAGGTCAATGGCGCTCTTTGAATAGACCTCGGGGCCATCGGTTAGGAGCGCCTGGCCCGCCATCAAGATGGCATTCGCTTTCAGATGAGGACGGGCATCGAGGAAACGCTGTGATACAATGACAGCAGCTCCTGCGCCGTCGCTTGTCGGGGAGCATTGGAGCTTGGTGAGAGGCCCATAGACCGGGGTAGACTTGAGGATCTCGTCCAACGAGTACTCCGTCTGGAACTGGGCATAGGGGTTCCTTTGCGAATGCTCGTGGGAGATTCGTGCGATCTCGGCGAAGTCCTCCGCCTTCGCTCCGTATCTAGAATCGCTGATTAGCTTAGTAGGGGTGGTTGGAGTCCGTCAGTTCTTTACCGCTCAATGTACTCTTGGCCCGCATTTCCAAAGTATTGGGCATTTCGCGGCGAGTCGTGCTTCCCATAGGTATCCTCCATCATGGTCGTCGAAGGGCCCAGAGGACTGGGCCTGTCATCCCAGACGCTCTTGATGGAGCCCGGGCGCATTTGTTCAAACCCGACGACGAGGACGCAGTCCGCCAGGCCGCCTTTGACCATGCGGCGTGCTAAATGGAGGCCTGTAGAGCCGGTGGCGCACGCGTTGTTTACATTATAGATCGGGATTCCTTGTTTTAACGGGTCAGCCTAGAACTCGGGCGAGATTGACCCCGTACACACCAGTCATCCCGAGTTGATAGAGAACTCTCTGCGTCGATGTCGTATCGCCGTAGGCATAGCACCCGATTCCTGTTTGGACTTCATCATAAGTGACTTGCGCGTCGGTAAGCGCCTTGACACACGCTTCGTACCCCAACTCAGGGTATTCGCGGGTCCGGCGAGGTTTGAGGAACTTCGTCAAGCCCACGCCGAGCACATATGCGTCGCTCGATGTATGAGCCATTTTGAGTCTTATTAGTCTTGTTATGTGTTTCCTTCCAAGAAACGGCCGACAAGATCGAGACAATTGGGAGTAGATAACATGGGGGTTTTGCCGAGGCGTCCGAGGTCAAGTCCTCTTTCCCCTCACTTCCCATGGTCGAGTTCATGCAGCCGATTCACCAGCCCCACAGAACCCCAGATGTGCGTACGCCGTAAATCACGGGCATTTGATACGGGAGCTTGGCGCGCGGCCCCGGATATCTCGTTGCGGGCACCGAGTTGCTCAAAAAACCCGCGTCAGACCAACTCCTTTCCTGCAACACGTTCGGCAGCTCTTAAACGATGGCCGCCTCACTGCAAACCAGACCCCCCCCCAACCAGCTTCTTCAAGCTGTCGTATCCCAAGCCAGGGATCCTCTTGGTCACAATCGACCGAGCAGAACAGCGGAACTCGCTCCCCTTCCGAAGCCCACTGGGAAGGCCACAACATCTTCAGCTGGTTCGATGAAGAGCCCACGCTCCTGGTCGCAATCGTGACCGGAGCCGGCGAAAAAGCCTTTTGCGCCGGTCAGGATCTCGTGGAACAAGCCAGCTCGCGCGGCAAACCCAAGACTGGCGCCGAGGCTGCGGTAATGAGCCACCCCCGTCAGGATTCAGCGGTCTCAGCCAGCGCCGAGGCAAGAAGCCTGTGCTGGCCGCTGTCAATGGATTTGCGTTGGGCGGAGGATTCGAAATATGTTTGAACTGGTACGTCGCTACAGATATGATACGTAACTTTTTTTTTACAGAAATAAGCTCTGACCTCCTGAGCCAGTGATATGATTGTCGCCTCCCCTAAAGCTCAGTTTGGACTGCCTGAGGTCGCGGTCGGGCTCTACGCCGCGGCGGGTGGATTGCCGCGCCTCGTCCGAATAGTCGGGCTGCCTCTGGCGTCCGAGTTCGCGATGACCGGTCGCAAATTGTCGGCGAAGGAAGCGCTGGACCTTGGGTTGATCAACCGCATCTCGCAGTCCGCTGGCACGGTCGTGGAGGAGACGATAGCCCTGGCGCAGGAAATCACGAAGAACTCGCCAGACGGCGTGATTGTGACGCGGCAGGGAATCCGCGAGGCGTGGGGGCAACGCTAGCGTGGAAGATGCCACATCTCGCACTCGCGACGAATATATGAGCAAGCTGGCCGCAGGGGAGAACTTCAAAATCGGTGTTGGTGCCTTTGCGGCGAAGAAGCAGCCCCAAGTGGGTTCCACCGAAGCTATAGTTGGGTTCTTATTGCATTTCCTGTATCTATTCCCCAGAGAGCCCTAGAGTACCCAGCGAACGATTATGAACCTTTCCTACAAACTTGCGCTTTAGAGCATCCAGCCGTGAAATAGAACTGGTACCCGCAGGTACAGTGTAAACTGCACAAAAGCAGTAACGAGTGCGGTCGCATATGATCGACAGGTTTCCCCAGGGACAGCTCTCGGACCGAGGAATCACACCCCACCTCCCAGAAACTCCGCAATCAAGTTGGACGAGCTTCCTGTCGCTTTCTTCTCAGGCAACCCCTGCTCTGCGACTGAAGTCCCCCGCATATATCCACACAGAAGATGATCCCAGTTATTGTGGGCGTCGCGGACGTCAAGAACAGGTCAACCGCAGTCGAAGATGCAAAGGAACCAGCCCAGCTCATGTTAGAGGCGATCCGCCGCGCCATCCAAGATGCGAGCCGGTCGCAGAGCACATCAGATAAGCTCCAGGCAAGCGTCGACAGTATTGATGTCGTGCGGACGTGGACCTGGCCGTATGCGGACCTGCCCGCCCTGCTAGCGGAGAAGCTTGGCGTCAGCACGAAACATCGCCATTATAGCGAGCATGGAGGGAATCAGCCCGCCAAGCTGCTAGACGAAGCCGCGCTGAGAGTTGCCAAGGGCGATAGCAAAGCTGCTGTGATTACAGGGGCTGAGGCTCTGGCTTCGTTGACGTCGTGCTTCAAGAACGGTGCCATTCCGCCCCCGGGCTGGACAGAGCCCTCGGAGCCCATAGAGGATGTGTTCTCACCCACACACAGAGATCTGAGCAAAGGTCAGCTTGGATGGGGTTGTGAGCGAGGCTGTTGTGCTGACTCGCTTTAGATATCGGGGGGCGCCACTCGGTGGGTGCGCCTATTCAAGTCTATCCGCTGTACGAGAATGGGTTCCGGGCACGCCGTGGCCAATCCATTGCGCAAAACCACGAAGAGTCTTCCGTGCTCTATGGGAATTTTAGCCAGGTGGCGCAGAATAATCCATATGCTTGGAACTCGGGCTCGAAGGAGACTGCTTCGTCTATTGGGACTGTATCAAAAAAGAATCGTATGATCTGTTTCCCATGTGAGTACCACTGTGTTTGAGAAAGAAATACGTGTCTTGAAGGCCTGACCGGGAGACAGATCCTCTATTGATGAACGCGTTCAATACCGTCAACCTCGGTGCAGCATGCATCATAACATCCACCGAGTTCGCCAAGCAGCTCCAGATCCCCGAGGATAAATGGATCTACCCCCCTGGGTGGAGCAGGCTTCAAAGAGAAAGATAACTGTAAGTACTTTGCAAAGGGCATCATGAAGAGCTCCCCCTGACAGGAAACAGTCTGGGAGAGACCGAACTTCTACCACAGCTCGGCGATCTCAGAGTCTATCGACCAATGTCTCAGCTCGAGCAATCTTTCTCCAGACGAGATCGACATTTACGACTTTTATTCCTGCTTCCCGATTGTCCCAAAGCTCGCTTGCTACCACTTGGACCTATCAATAACAAACCCACGGAAGCCTATAACAGTCCTTGGGGGCCTTACTTCCTTCGGGGAGCCGGGAATAATTATTCCATGCATGTAAGGAGATTCGCTTGACAGTTTAATAGGATAAAACTGACAACCAAAGGCCATCACTGAGGTCACACGGCAGCTGCGGAAGGGAAAGGGGCGAAACGCTCTCATACTCGCGAATGGCGGTGTCTTGTCATATCAGCACGCAATTAGTCTGTCAAGAGCAGCACCGAAGAAGGGAGGACCGTACCCAGATAGCAGTACTCTGCGAAGCAGAGCTGCTGAAATATACCCCACTATCGCTGAGGAAGCGAACGGTCCTGCTGTGCTTGAGGTATGATAGGGCGTGAAGCGCAGTATTCTCTTCTTCCTCGGAGACTGACTGGTTGCCAGACATATACTGTTGAGTTCAAACGAGACGGAAAGCCCAAAATGGCCTATATTGTAGGCCGACTGCGTTCAAATGGCCATCGGTTCCTTGCGAACCACGGTGACGAGAACACGCTCACTCGGCTTGTATCTGGAAATGAGGATCCTATTGGGAAGAGCGGTGTGGTATCGACCACCCAGGACGGGCCACGGAACCTGTTCTACCTTGATAACAGCTCGAAGCTATGAAAAGAATTATGTAGACGTGACGGATTTTATTTCGTGAAACCTCAGCTATCTAGGACGACCTTGCTGGTCTTATGAAGAGAAGTTGTCACCCAGAATCAAAATAGCGCCTTTGTAGATGACCCTCGCCCTGCAGCCAGTATTTCATCCGCCTAGTACCCACCCGGTCATTTTTTGCAGCTTTGGAGCCTCACCTTTACGAGTGGATACCAACCATGACATTGAAGTTGTGTCTTTCCAGTTGTCTGATGCAATCCCAACTGGTCTTCGTGTTGCGAGTTAATTAGGGAAATATTCGACGGAGAAGGCTTGCCCAAGCTAGTTTGATGTGAAAGAAAGTGGCTTCTTTGCTTGAGATGAGGAGGTTTTCCTAAGGAATTTGTAGCACTGCAGGTATCTCTGCAAGATGGGATGTGCCATGTGACTTATGCGCAGGACCCCGAGCCTGGAGGATCTCAATCAATAGTTGTACAAATGATTGGCCGGCATTGTTGCATGAAGGTGGTAGTAGATGGTTGAACTTTCAGTTTTCTGGATCGACGTCAAAGGCATTGGATACCCGTTCAAGATATGTAACGACGATCGGTTGGGCGCTTGACAAAGCCACCTCGTGGCGTTGGACCGGTGGTCCAGCTTGCCCGGCGCTTGGCGTTGGTTGTTGAATTTGCCAGTGTGCACTGAATGGACTTTCTGCCAGTATGGAGTTGAACTTGACTTTTAGAATCCAAAGTGGGGATTGATAGAATCAATTATATGCCAGGGTGGACGTGTGGTATTGATGAAGGAAACTGAGTCACAACCATTTAGGGTAGAAACGGCAAGCCGACCAAGAAGATTGGTGGCTCGAGCGAGATGTCGACAGTTTGGCTGGATGAGTTGTTATAGAGGTTCGGCTGAGCTAAGAAAACGCTAACAGGGCGAGTGGCAGCGGAGGCTGGAAGTGACAATTGTAGGCGAGAATCCTTCAAGGCTCCCGGTCATCCTGGCGCAAGATCAATCTGGATTTGTCCTGACATATGCCTCACTTAGAGGACATATGATGCCTGTCCAGAGAGATCATTGAACTAGACCGAGCCGAGAGAGAGGTCACAGAGTGACAGCGAGTGAAGGTCGAGCGGGTGATGATGGCAGACACGAACAAGAAGTAACCAGAAGAAGACGAGGCGCGGCGATGATAACTGCTCTCAGCCTGTATTGGCCGTCCTGGCACAAGACCAATCTGGATTTGTCCTGACCTATGTCCTGATAAGGATCATAGGATGCCTTTCCAGAAAGGCCATTGCACTAGGCCGAGGCAAGGGAGAGCTAATGAAATGAGGTTCACCGAAAGTTGAAGGAGCCATGATGGTACAAGTGAACAAGGAGGAATAAGGCTGAGATGAAGCGCGATAATGGTAACTGCTCTCCGCCTTTATTGGCCGTCCTGGCACAAGACCAATCTGGATTTGTCCTGACCTATGTCCATCAGTAGGACATAGGATGCCTGTCCAGAAAGATCATTGCACTAGGCCGAGGCAAGAGAGGGTTGATAGAACGACATGTGGTAGATTGCTAAAACGGATGGAGTGGGAGGCCGCGACGCGTTCGATCGCGTGTGGATGATGGAGGAAGCTGTAAAGAGATGTTGCAGGTCAGAAAGCTGCGGCTACATGCCAACAGGAAACGCAACATGGAGGAGAGGGGCATCAGGGAAACACGAACTTGATATCACAGTAGGCAGCGTGCTTGCTTAAGCCTATTCGTATATGGATGTGTTGGATGGCGTAAGATGGGACTCGTGGTTGATGAAGGAGCACGAGATGGTCCAAGCCTTTAGGAGGATGAAGAAGGAAAGAACATGGGGGTCGTTTTAAAAACAAACGACTGAATATATACCTGCAGAGGGACAAACAAAAATCACGTGTCAGCATGGAATTGATGGCATGAGCCGCAGAATATTTACGATGGTCTGAATTCCTGCCTGCTAAATGGTGTTGTGACAGAGCTGGTTACTGCGTCTATGCGAAATACTTGATACAGCAAGTACTGGTCCTGGCTAGGCAATCCGCGCAGGTGTTCTCTTATCCCGCCCTCTATCGTGATTCAATCAATTAGGTTCTTCTACTATGGCTGAGACTAGTCATCCAGTGGTAGGCTTGCAAGAATGTTGCCGGAAGCTTCCCTGAAGGAGGTCCTCATATAGTAACACCACGAATCTGATAATATCAGCTGCTATCGCTATCGCATAATCTGGATGTAATCATCTTTAATGATAATGGTAGCAAAAGTGGTGTGAACTATATTAGGTCTTACAAGGTTACCATACAACATTCAAGTCCACTTTCAATATCCATATTCTCATGCTGAAATAATATAAACTTCAACTTGTTGTATTCACAAGACATCCCCAGCGACTAGCAGAATTCACGTTCCATGAATTGACTGTCCTCATGTAGTACTGTACCCTTGGTGCTGTAGAATATCTTCGAATTCCAGTGCTGGGGCATATGAACAGGTCAATCGAATCGTCAATCATTGACTGCCAAGTACGTCCGCGACAGCTCGGGTAACATTCACAAGCTCCTCGTCTTGCATATTCCTTGTCACCACCTGCACACAGCATGGAGCACCTTCAATCTCATCTGGTTTGTCTATACCAACAGTTAAAAAAACCAAGCTATAAACATTCAATAGCTCTGCAGTTGAAACTTACAAGGTGGCTTGTAGTACACATCACGGACAAAAGGAGCATCGGCAGCCTTGTCCGCTTTTCCAAACGGAACGATGGAGGCAGGGTACTACGCAAATTAGCAAAAGTTCGGCACTATTCCTTGGTATACTCACATCCATCACATTCCATAAAACTGTGTATGGAACGAAACCGAAAACGTCATGTGGCTGGGCGGTGCCTTGGTACCCTGGCATGACAATCGCATCCACTTGTGCTTCCGTGATGAGCGCCCGGAACTTCTCTTTGAACTGGATTCGCTGGGCCCCCAGCTCGTATAGAGAGTCAATAGTCGGGGCAAATGCTCTTCCTCAAGATATTCATGCGGTAGCGCCGTGGAAGCCAAGGCCGGAATGGTAGGCTCTCCACTGGCAGCGATGTGCTTGAAAGCTGTTTCCTCTGGGTCCATAGCGAACATCCTGAATGCCAAAACCAACGCATCCCGAATAGAAGGTGGATTTAGGGCCACGATTTCATGCCCAGCTGCTTCAAGCTTCTTGACTGCTTCGTTCAAGGTGCGCTGCACAGGCGGGTGGATCGGGAAGTGGGAATCTTCCACAATCAAGCCAAGGCGGAACGTTGACTTGGGCTTCACTTCTCTCCACGGAGAGGAGATCACTGATGAGTCCAGTCGCCACGGGTCTGAATTGGTTACCAGCTTCATGAAAAGCTCTAGGTCGCGCGCGGAAACTGCAAGCGGCCCCGCACATGCCCTAATACCCGGCAGGCCCGCTCGACCAGAACCAGTCTGGCCACCTAAGGGGACTCGATCGGCGGTGGGTTTAAATGAGAAAGTACCATCGCATATTCCTGGGATCCGAATGGAGCCAGCGATGTCAGTTCCAACCCCTAGCACTGAGCCTCGCATGGCAATCAATGCTCCTTCTCCGCCCCGACGAACCGCCAGCGCATAGATTCAGGCGATGGGGGTTCAACGTTCGCCCAAAGACGTAGTTGTGAGAATCGGCCGCCTTCTGAATGTTAGCTCTTGAGATGACATATTCGTTTTGATGGGTCCGATACCATCATCGTTTGCGGAATATTAGTCTTGACATAAGGGATGGCGCCGAGGTTAACAAGGACCTCCACAATGGCGAGTCATGGTCAACCGGACCATGCTTAATGAAGGAAGTGAAGCCAATCGTTGATGGAATTCCCTTAATATTGAAACAATCCTATATTTGTGTTAGAAGAGGAATTCGTGGTACTCATAAGCCAAGTGCGTCTTGCCTTGAAGCTAATTGGCAGACCGTGGAGTGGCCCAACAACCTGCCCTGTTTTCGTCAAATGGTCGTCCAGCTCTTTCGCTCGGTTCAAAGCTCGGTCAAACAGAGTCTCTGTGAGACAGCATGTCTGTAGACGGTTACACATCATCGATCACCATCGGCCAAGGAACCCTTGACTTACCAGCTGCTGTGCAATCGCGGCGCGAATGCAGAACGCCTCGGTAACTTCGTACGCAGAGAGTTCTTGCTTGCGTATTTTCTCAAGAAGTGACGTGGCATCGTTGGTCTCCGTAATTTCAAGCTGCTTCTCAGACAAAAGACCGGAGCGCCGCGGTATATCGAGCACATTAAGGCTGGATGTCTCCGAAACATCCACGGTGTATTCGGAGGGCAAACGCCAGGCAGAGGGGATTTTATCCGCAGCCTCTGCTTGCTTTTTCGCGACCAGAGTCTCCCATGTTTCAACCATGTTGATATCTTCTTTGCTTCACGTTCTCCGTAGATATGCCGAGGTAAAAGAAGGGAGGTCTGGTTTAGTTGCTGGAGACGGGGAAGACAGCCTATTTATGCACAACAGTCAACCCCCAAGGTTTACCGTGATATCGACGGCACGCAATCTCTACTTCTACTAATCAAGCAGGTACAACCTAGATCATCTGTCATTTCATTGATAACTCGCAGCGACGTGATGCGCCCTATAACACAAGGCTCGTCCAATCATGGATAATTGCGCCGTCTCACGCCCCCTCAGCTGCCCCACTCGGCAAATCAGCCATTTTCTCCAGACTCCGTCAACTTATCTTTTCCACTCGATGTTGGCCATGAGACCCCTCCTCGGATCATTTAATCCATAGTAATTACTGCTCGGAATCGAACCGTTCCATTCACCATGGCATCTAAGAATTCGTTAGCTATTGGGCATCCCCCCGGGACCGAGGTCTATCAGTAGAGGGTCTGGCTTACCCCATGCCTCATTTGCCTTATCCAACGGGAAAGTCTGCACTTGACATTTGATACCTTGCAATCGGGTGAACGCGATGGCTTGTTCAGAGTCGAGCGCGTGGCCACTTGGCCATCCGTGAACGGAGAGACCTCGGGTAGTCTGCGCAAGGGGTACTTATGTTAGGGACCTTGGGAGAATCGGACAGGGTTGGAAACGATGGGAACGAAGAGAGGTACCCACCATAGGCCACATGTTTATCGGAACTTCATCAGAAGGCACTTTACACTATTAGTCCCATCCTACACCATAAATGATGTATCCACTTACGAGCCACGATAAGCAACTTGCCGAACACATCCAAGCCATTTAACAATGGCGCGATCGCCGCGGCATGGGGTGCTGTGGAGACGATCATGGTCGCGCCGCCCATCTTCTGCAATTCAGCTACGGGGTCTTGCGAGCTGGAATCGATGAAATGGTGCGCCCCCAGTTCCCGCACCGGCTTCTCCTTGTCGGCACCCCGCGAAATGGCAACCACTCGGAAGCCAAACTTGTTCGCATACTGGATCGCGAGATGGCCCAAGCCACCGAGACCTTGGACGGCCACGAGGGAGCCGGGCCGAACGTTCATTTGGCGCATGGAGTTGAAGACGGTGACTCCGGCGCACAAGATCGGGGCATACTCTGCTGCGTTCACATCCTCTGGGATGGGCACGCCAGCCTCAGCCCGAAGACTGCAATATTCAGCATCTGGTGCGAGTTTAGCGGACAGCTATCTTTCATAGCATGGACGAAGAAAGCGGGCTTACAGCCTCCGGACTTGGTAATGCCGTTGATCTGCTCGTTGGAGCAAGTTTGGAAGGCGCCTTTGCGACATTGCAAGCAAGTACCTATCGCAAATTAACAACCGTAAATATATCCCTTCGTTGCAGCGGGCACTCTTACCATCCTCACCGCCGTGCCACCCGCCGCCAATGCGATCGCCAACTTTCCAGCGGGAAACTCCATCGCCCACAGCGACTACTCGGCCAATAATCTCGTGGCCGGGAACGCCCGGGCTAATCTATGTTAACTGTAGCCTGGCAATCTGGCTGCGCCGGGATCCTTACAATTTTCCGCCAACACCGTTCGCCTGGGCGTGAGTATCGGAAAAGCAGACACCGCAAGCCTCTACCTTAACGAGAACTTCCCCGGCGGGGAGGGGAGAGCTCGAGCTTCGTAATCGTCAACGGGGCCCCAGCTTTGGCGAATTGAGCGGCCTTGTAGTGTGTTGGCAAAGACATTGCGGAAATGATGTTCAAGTATGAGTTCCAGGTGTTAGAGGGAGTGAAGATGATTGCGAAGAGTTGATAGCAGGAATCCTACCTCGTTAAATACTTTTCATGGGCTACTCACTTTTCTGGGTGCTCCCTGCTCGGTTTGTCATTCTTGCATCCGTCGCAGCTAAAGTGGGGTCGCCTGGTACTCGTCGCCATTCATTACTGGCTCCTCTTGATACGGTGACCTATGGTATGGTTGGACAAGTTGCTCCTCGTCAAACAGTCCAAACAGTATAGCGTGCAGATGGCATGTTTACCCGTCAGCGGCGGAGATAGAAAGAAGTCCGACCGCAGGACAACTCCCCACAAACACCGTCCGGCCATGTGTAACGGGCATGTACTATTATCTCCGCCCCCGCGCTATCAAGCTTGATTGGTTTGCCTTATTTTCTAGCGGATTTACTTGGTGGATTACTTGACCTCAGAATCACCTAGTTACGGCCATTCTACATGGCGGAGACCGAGCTGCCACGGGTTTGGATATATGACATAATTATGGGGTTGTGGTGATGTCACTGATAAGTATATCTGTGCAAGTGCACATATCACATTCGTCGACGAAGGCGGGGAGGCTCACCTATTCCGGTTGCCGCCACTCGAGGATCAGGCTAAGGCTCTCTGGGGAGATGCGCGGTCTCTAGACTTTGAGCATTGAATCAGTTGATATGAGCTGGCAACTTCTGCTCGTCGCCGTACGAGCAATAACCGTCGGAGGTCTTGTCGGAACCCTGCAAACCCCTTAGCGCGCTACATGAGCAGGGTAAAAACCTAGCGTATTACAGAATAGAATTGAATGCACGTGCATTGGGTTTTGTAATATTCGGTATAGATTACGCTTCTAAGCTTTCCATCTTCCTATAACTATAGCACATCAGGCCAGGGCACCAAAAGCGTGACCGAAGAACAGCCTCACCACAGCAGGATCTATGGACCAGAAGGGCGGACCAAGGGGGGGGTCAATCTCCGCCAGTTCGGTCCATTGCTGCTCCAATTCTCGTTTTATCCACGCCGTCTGCCATCCGATCACTTTCTCCATATGCGCCAGAAATTTCAATGAACCTTGTTTTTCCATCGAATTGCGAATGCAATACCCGACTACGAACCATTAGCTTGATCCCGAGACGGAGAAAATGGAGACAAACATCGTTGGAGTAGATGACAGGGCATGAAATATGCATTTTGGACACTCTCGTTCGATAGGGAAAGTCCGATAACATTCGCAATATGGGTAGCAATGGTTCGCTGCAATAAGTTATTAGCGTGTGATTCAAGAAATAGTGCTCCCGGGCACCTGGCCACCTGGCAGGGTGTATGTGAATCACCTCAGCCATGCGCCTAGTTCGGGCGTTTTCGAAATCATTCCCAGATTGCGAATTAGGACCACAGAGTGTTAAGAATATACAGGCCGTATGATAGTACTGCATTCCGACAACTGTACATCTGTCAGCCTACGATCACCATGGCGGCTATATGCTTAGCAATTCCGTACCAGCAGAGGCAGACATCATCCATACTTCAGGAAATGGGCGGTCGGCCGCCACGTCAGGCGGTTGGTATCGCAGGGGCTGCCAAGTATTGGGCCTTGCTTTATACCAGCTCTCCAGAGTCTTGGACATCTCCTGCCAGCCGGTTTGATTAACAGGGAGCGTCGGCCAATCTCGGCAGACTTGAATGATATGCGCGCAGTGAAAGACTGCCATGTTGGCATACGCCGCGTCGTCTTGTCGCTGAAATACGGAAGAAAATCTATAGTTCTCCAAATCCAGCTGCATTGGCTGATATTGAACCACAGATGAGTATATGGCCTGTCGCATAAATTGCCAGCTGACAGCTTCTGCCAATCCCCCGGATGGCACCGACCGGGACATCATATTGATGAGTCGGTTGGAGCCGAGTAAGTGGAACTTTCCGTCTTGGGTATTGTCGAGTTCTTCGTACATTCGAAGGATCACCACAGCGACTAGCATGTTGTCATCATAGGTGGGCTCGGGGAGGCTAAGCGCGTCAATGAGCAGCTCGAGACATTCCCCGTGGTATGCAGAGGCCTCCCAGTGGCCCTTCTCATTCATGATTGCATCGTGTCGCGCTGCGAGTGCCAGAACTGCTTTCAGGACTAAAGGGACTTGAAGGGCCCTCTGGGGGACAACGGTAGCAAAGTGGCACTGGGGATCACAGATATCCACCTGTAGCCTGTTAGAGAGGATCAATTTCGAAAGTCCGGATGGACCTACCCAGCATGATATTGTTTGGATGAACAATCGCATTAAATACGCTTCTCGGTAGGACAAGATCTGCATGCCATCGCCAGAGAGCAGGCGAGAGCTGTCACTTATTGAAATCTGCTGCGGGGTCGACTCGTGGTGCACGAACGACCGGTTTGCCGATGGTGTTTCATTATGAAGATGCCCCGATCGCTCTCCCACAGCGGGAGATTTGCGAGCTGGGGGGCTCTACTGCCTGCGCTGCGTTCTCTGCGGGCTCAATGGGCCGAAAAACAGAATCGCGCTCGTTTTCAGGGCTATCGGCGAGCTCGAGAACGAATTTCACTTTGCGGAGTTAGCAGCCGTCACGTCTCATACAGTACGCTCAGCCTACCCGGTTTCGACACATCTACCCAGGTCTGATCCTCATCCCAGACCAGATCGAACCGGGCAGCAGTGCCCTGGGTTTTCTGATAGACATGCTGAACTTCCTTGAACTGGAAGCGCGGATCGAGATGACATGCGCGACCGAGGCGGGCACAAGGCGTACACGCCGACGCGCCCTCAGGAACCACGCAGCGGATATGGCGATGTCGACACCGTCCACAGCCTTTGCCCACTCTCATGGGGGTCTCATTGGGGATCGTGGTTTTCCATCGTTTAGAATCGAGCTTTCCCTTTGGGGGTCGTCTTTCCCCTTCCCCCGCATCCCTGAGTCATCCAGGCCAATGACCAACCCGGAAATGCGGGGGGGATTCAAAGGCCAAGGCTAATCTTGCTACAGTGAGCAATTCAAGCCGTCTCGTTCTTTAGATTGAGAACGTGCCTCCAGGAGACACCGAGGTTGTATTTTGGGGCCCACTGAACATGGGTCGTTGCGACCAGAATTCCAAAAATAACATCCGTCTATTGGAGCTGAAAAGGGTCCTCTGCAGAAAACTGACCCATGCCTGGATCAACAATCATAGCTCACGATGGATTCGAGATCGGCAACCAGAAACATATTTGCCTACTGATGCTCTGTGGTGCCATCGTCAAATGGTGTTGCCTTCCGGGTAAAGACCCCACGCAAAAGGGGCAAAAATAGAACACCTGCATGCCGATCATGCAGAACGGCGCATAGCGGCCTTATGTCAAGGCACAATTCAGGCGGCAGCTTTGAATGGAAGATCTTATGTATCGCGCTTGGCATGGTTGTCGAGGTCGCTGCCCATACGAACTCTTGCCGACCCTGTTGAACAGGTCTCCTACTGGGTTACAGGCTCTAGTCCCTGAACATAGATCACACGATCAATATTTGATTTGTTGAAAATTGAAACCGAAGCCAGGTGCATCGAGCTGATAGCGGAAGCGCCAACTTATCGTACTGTTATCAACTATGGGGCAACCTTGGAAGGTTCCAAGGATCCGCGTGTGGACCCGAATCGATTCCACTGGAAAATAGGCTACCGTTAAGATAAACGAGCCGAAAAGGGTACTGGATACTGAGCTAACGAGCTAGTACATGTGCTTGTCCTCTCGCAATCTCCCCTAAGGCCATGCAGCTAGAAGCGAGTACGAGCGGGGCCACAGTGGCAGTGCTCCCTGAGAAGCTAGAGAGTCGTTCCGTCCCAATCTCGGCCTTCAAGCATGATGGCCAATGATAAACCCAGTTCCTGCCAGCAATCAACCCACAGAAGTTCTAGCGCAATGAAATCATAGAATCTAGTTGGCTGCGCCTCGTCCCAATCGCTGCTACGTGATTTAAATGGGTGCTTTCCTTGAACCGAGGAGTGAGGCCATCTGCGACACTATAAAGTAGGACTAGCATCGCAGCAGGGTTATACCTGCAACTACAGACGTGCCAATGCATTTCCTTGCTGCGCTCTGGGCTCTAGCCTTGATCTGGAGCCGAGTGTGTGCCGTGCCACACGATGACGATGATAGCTCTTGTATGTATATTCAATGGATTCATTCCATTTTCTTTTCACTCAAGCTGAGACCCATGGATCAGGTTCGAACAGCATCACCATATCAAGCCAAAGCGACGCGGATAGACTGGGCAACTGCGATACTTTCAATGGAAACGTTACGATATCTTCGTCAGCGAGCGGGGTCATCCATCTGAACGATGTGAATGAGATCAGGGGGTCGTTGACATCGACGCAAGGGTCCAATCTCACGCAGCTGATCGCACCCGACCTTGATACTATACACGGATTATTGAAGCTGGAGCAGATGGACTCCCTCGTAAATATCACCCTGGACTCTTTGCAACAAGTCTCCGGTGGGATCACAGTCACGGGGAATCCGAATTTGCAATATCTCACATTCCAAGACTTGAAAGATGTTTACGGGGCGCTAGAGCTCACTGGGCCGTTTGTGAGGTAGGTCTAGACGAATGGCCTCTGCGCGAACGTCGCTGATAAAGCAAAGCATTTCTTTGCCCTCCTTAGATGAGGTCGATGGCCCTACCAACATCCGTGGTGGTGGGAAAATGTCCTGCGGCCCATTAGACACGCTGCAGTCCCAAGGCGTATATCGAGGTGGATATCATTGCTCGTCGGGTGGAAGCTCCGGGCTCAGCCCTGGGGCCAAAGGCGGGATTGCCGCAGGCGCTGTTGTCGCAGTCTTACTGATCATGTTCCTCATATGGTGGGTTCTTCGACGGCGGCAGCAGCGCCTGAAGCATCAGCAGGGACACGATCATCCCAATGGCCCCGCACCGTTCGCCGTTCCAAGGGTAGCGGATCAGGAGAAATCAACGCGCTATCAGACCGTTCCAACAGAAGAGCACCGATCTTTATCCCCAGAGGAGCCGCCCTCCCTGAACAAGCTGTCTCACTGCATGAACTGTTCCTGCCTTCCCATCAAGCCCGTATAGTAGATGCGCCCGCGACAGATGCACATCCGGCATCGTTACTTCCCGGTCAGCCTATTCCTAATCTTGAACGCCGACTTTCGCTCCCCCATGATCGCCCAGGCCCGATATACAACCACCGCCTTTCCCTCCCACCTTATCCTGTTCCAGTTCATGAACGCCAGTCATCTGTGGCACGTAAACCGTTGAGCCCGCCACCAGCCCAGCTCGATGGTAACTCGATATATGAAGCCGCGAATCCTGCCAGTCCAGCAGCAGAATACCATGAGCTAGACGGAGGGCCTGTTTCCGGTAGACACCAACAGCCCATCCATGCTGAAACGTGATTGCGGATTGAAAGCAGAATATGAAAGATACCCAGGCAGCCAGGCTAGTTTCCTTCGCTGATGATAGGTTTGGAGCGATAGGGATTGCTTCTATTGAACCCATAATGTACGAATATAATGAATCATGAGCTCCTTTCCGGCCTCCAGACCTGATCTTGCCTCGACTACTCACGAGCGGGGGCGTGGGCCAGGACCAAAGAAGTCCCGGTCCAACCCAGAAGGGAACGGTGTGTACAATCCGTTGTTTTTGGACTCGTTCAAGTATTGGTGCTCCCTATGATCAACGGACAAAATATACCTACTTGCCGCTATCATCCTCAAAGTTCGGGTAGTTCCATCTCTTCCACCCTGGTTCATGCATCAGTTCTACCAATCCTCAAGAAATCATTCGACGCGCTAAATCCACAATGCCCAACCATTTTGGACGGAAGCTACCTCGGCAGGGCACAAGGTACCCGAGGGTCCGAACAATACCCCCCCCTCACAGGCACGGCAAACCGACCCCAAAGAAGAAAAAAGCCCGATCCTGTCCGTTCTTTAAGAATCCCCTCCCCCTCGCCCTTGAAAACAGATCCCCAATAACGAGCTCAACTGCAAGCAAAAAAGAAAACAGAAACCAGAAACCACAATGGCAGCCCCCACAACAACCCGCCAATGGATCCTGCGCTCCAAACCAACCGCCCTCCCAACCTACACCGGCGCAAACCCCACCTTCGAGCTCCAAACCGCCTCGCTCCCCCAGCTGGGCGAGAACCAAGTCCTCGTCAAAACACTCTACCTCTCCAATGACCCCGCCCAGCGCGGCGCCATCTCTGCCAACGCGGACCCGAAGCGCATGTACGCGCCACCCGTCCCCGAGGGGGCCCCCATGCGCTCCTATGGCATTGCGGAGGTCGTCCAGTCAAACGCCGCCTCGCATCCCGTCGGGACGCTGTGCATCACGACGACGAACTGGATGGAGTACTCGGTGCAGGAGGCGGCGCAATGCAGGGTGCTGCAGGTGCCGGAGGGGCTGAAGGTGACGCATCTGCTTGGGGCATTTGGGATGACGGGGCTCACCGCTTATTATGGGCTGGTGGAGGTGGCGAAGGCTGGGCCGGAGGATACGGTGGTTGTGAGTGGGGCGGCGGGAGCGACGGGGAACATGGTGGTGCAGATTGCGAAGAAAATCGTTGGGTGTAAACGGGTATGTTTTGCGTTTCGATTTGGAATCGGACTTCAATGGGGTTGAGGGTGGATGGTATTGACCGTTACTGTCTTTTAGGTTATTGGCATTGCGGGGTCAGAGGAGAAATGTCGCTGGGTGGAGGGGCTGGGGGCTGATGTCTGCTTGAATTACAAGGCCGCGTCCTTCAATAAGGATCTGGAGCGGGAGACGGAGGGGTTTGTCGAGGTTTACTTCGGTGAGTACAGCTGGACTTGGTTCCGGCGGGGAGACTGTTGCTGATGAGGGTTAGATAATGTGGGAGGAGACATCCTGGATACTATGTTCACTCGCATGAAGGTGCATGGTCGCATTGCGTTTTGGTGAGTTCGGGGTCTTGAGAGGATGCCAGGTTGAGACTGACTGGTTATAGCGGCGCCATCTCAGCATATAACACCACGAACGAGGGCGACCCGGATTGAAAAATTACACTGTGAGTATACAAAGGTCCACCGCTTATCCCCGGCAGCTCCGCTCTAACTTCAGACCAGGAGATCATCACGAACCGATTACACGTTCACGGCTTACTCGTATTGGACTACCTCCATAAAGCAGCAGAGGTGCAAGGAAAACTTCTGCAAGCCTGGAAAGATGGCAAGATCAAGGTGGATGACAGCACCGAGACGGTGGTCGACACCAAATTCGAAGATATCCCACGAACCTGGCTTAAACTATTCGATGGGTCGAACACTGGGAAATTGACCACTCGGTTGGTTTGAAGAAGAATGGACATTATGATCATATGTTCATATTAGACTAGTGAATCACCGCTGGTGGCATCGCAATTTCATAATCTCAAGATTAAGTATATCGTACCATGGTATAGGAGGGTCCGAACTTCAGCATCGTTCCGACGGCTTGCCCTACTGCATGAAGACCTTGAGCAGCTCGGGGAAATTAGGAGTCCCCAGGCCAGTGACAGGGTCCCAGCCCTCGGCGGCAGGGAAACCATCGGTCTTGCAACCGGGGTTGCTGCCCTGGGTGACATCGAAGAAGGCACCAGGGTTGGCATAAAGGGTAGGGTTTACAAACCCGACAGTCGACTTGCCAGCGGCAAGGCGCTCCTCGTTGATACGGGTGAGGATGGCAGCGAAGACCGGCGCAGAGGCCGAAGTGCCACCAATAGTAACAGGCAGACCCTTGTTGAAGATAACAACGTTGTCACCGATCGCAGAGACATCGGGGTAGCCACGGCCGGCACGGTTGTAGATACCGCCATTAGCGCCGATGGTCTTGTTGTCCACGGTCTCGTAGTATGGGTAGGAGACGTTGGCTGTGGAGAAGTACTCCTTGATCGCCTTGGTCTGGTAGTCGGGCTGGGCGTAGATGTTACTAAAGCCCCCGCCCGATGGGAAGCTAGTTACGGCCTGCTCCTGGTGAGCTCCGGCCTGAGCACCGGCAGGCAGATGGGTCGCTCCGACGGCGGTCAGGTAGGGGCACGACGCAGGGAAGTCAGGGGCGAAGATCTGGCCCTGGTCACCGAGGCAGTTGCTGGGGGTAGGGTCACCGCCGCGTCCCGCGACACCAGAGTCACCAGAGGCAACGATGGTCGAGACACCTTGGAGTCCGAGCTTCATGAACTCGTTGCACTGGCGGCGCTGGTAGCTGATGGGGAGATCAGCCTCGGCCTCGCCATAGGAGACGGAGATCACATTGGGTGGGTTGTAGACGCCGCACTGCAGCTTGCCCTTGTAGCCCCCATCGGCAGGTCGGGGTAGGATGGGTCCAATGGAGAGATGTAGTCACAGTAGGATCCATCAATAGCGTCGAGGAAGGTGTTCAAGAAGCCTTTGAAGGTATAGTTCTCTTCGTAAACCATGTCGTCGGTCTGGAAGAGAATCGAGTTCTGAGGCCAGATGATAGGGTAAGAGATCTGGAAATCGAGATCAGATTCAGGGCCAGCATTGGCTACACTGGTAGGCGCCTCAGCACCATCAACCGCGGACAAATGGGGGTGCGTGCCAATGGGAATTTCGCTGGCCAAGGATCCGAAGAAAAGATCGAGATCGGTCTGGGAGTAGACATCCCCGGTATCCTCGAAGATACCGAGCTCGTTGCCCTTGGTTGAGGATGTACCCTTGGTGATGTTGTACATCTCCTTGATACACTGGGGGGTAATGGCCAGGGAGCAGAAATCAAGCAGGCCATGCAAGAGGTTCTCGAGCGAGACGGCGATCGGCTGCAGAATAGGAGGCAAGCCATTCAAGTTGCGCTTGTCGACATTAGTGACAGATTTCTTGACATTGTTCACGCCACGCAGGGCAATGCCGGGAGTGATATAATCGATGTGCTCGCGGACGGAGTGTGGCACATGGTACTCGCGAGTCGCAATATGGGACTTTCCAGAGTCAGCATGCGAATAGATATAGTATTCGGTGCGGAGCAGGTCCTCGAGCTCCTTGGCGTCGGCATCGAATTGAATCCATTGCTTGTTCACCGACTGGGAGATGCGGTGCGCGGCAATACCAGCAGATTCTAACCAGGCCCGGACCTCATCCACACTCTGTTGGCTTGGAGCGAACATATCATGGACCTCGGCCTGACTCAAATGCTTTCCATAGCGGTCGGAGGTGGGGTCCGACCTAGCACACTATATTAGCAATCATGCACGATGTATGGGGCAGAAATGTACACGAACACAGCCATGAGAAGATCATGACCTTTGTCCAAGTTGGACTGGGTCAGACCAATCCGTACAGGGAGCGAGGTAGACCCGTCCAATCTCTTCCCCTCAACCCAGGAGTTGGGGATGTACTCTCGTCGTTCGTGCACCGCATAAGAGTGAGAAGTAGGTGCAGCGAGGGCAACCGCAGCCGCCCCCAACACGAGAATTGATGTCTTCATGTTGAGATTGTGTGGGTAGACCTATCGCGCCAAATCTAACACTCCATACACAATGAAGCTCCAGAGTCTCAAGAGGGGAGCTGGAGAACTCTTTATACGGCTTCCCAGCATCCCCGCGTTGTTCACGGGTCAAGAGACCCATCGTTCCCTAGTCGGGTCCTCCTCGGGCCCAACTCATCAGGGACCCAATAAGGATCATGACTAACGGACGTCTTAGCTTCAGTGGAAAATGTTGACCAAGTTTCTCCGTATATTTGGCCCATAGGCGGGACTCAGATCATCGCGGAGAGCGGGTCTCCGACGGGATATTGACTCCGCGTGCAGCTAGCTCGGTGGGTTGGCACAGCACCTCAGCAAGTTAAAGCGCAGAGCCGATCTTGCTTTATAGGCTTAGACCTTAAAATGAGGAGAAGGGGGAATTAGGCTCTAGCCAAGCAGGAAGGGCAAAAAAACAAAAAAAAAAACAAAAAACAAAAAGTACATTGTAATAGCAACCTAAACCACCTTCCCTGACAGGATCTACCTTAGTTGTCGAACTGCCCAAAGAAGCAAAAACCTCGTCGTTCACATTGGCTTTGACCATCTCAGATCTGATGTCTCCGAGCAGCTATAGTGCTGCCATGTGAAGGCTGCCGGGGTAGGAGTCGTTCTGCTGCTCCGATGGCACCCTTCGGCGACTTTGGACAGGCCCATTGATATTACTCGCCCGATAGATAATGGTCTGCATGAAACCACGAATAAGGGCATTCTGTGCCTCTTAACGTCTTTTCTTTCCTTATCGCTATCACGGCCCACTCGATGGACATGGAGCCATGCCGGGCTCCGTTTTAGCTCGTTGCCTAATTCTTCTCACCAGGTTGCAGAGCCGTTCTTCCGCGGTGGTTTCTTTTTCTTTTTTGCACAGCGGCATCATATGGAGCCTCGGGAGACCACGACGGCCTAGCCTGCAAAGCCGTGTAAACCAAGGGGCTACAACCTGAATGCCAGAAGCAGAAAATCAACCACGAAACCTAGGTCTCCTCGAGCCTCGCTTGGGTGGGCCCTAGAGATGAGGAGAGTCCGTCGCCAGTCAGCATAGGGGAACAGGGCCCCGGGGGTCCACTCTTGGCACAATGTGGATCTTGATTATGCCCCATTGGGAAACAAATGCTGCTTAGCTCAATCTTAAGTGTCGGTGGTCTAGCGAGGCTAGTCCAATGATATCATCAATGGGTGCCGATCTCCAACTTCCCCCCGAACAGAGAAAATTGGTTCGGAACCCTTCACACGGCGAATAAACAGTCATGGGTAAAGCGGATGGATCCTCATCATTGGTTGCCCAAAAGATACCGGAGGAATAAGAGAAGGCCTTGCATTGGGCAGGTTGAGCTCTCACCCGGTTGGGGGAGGGGGTGGGGAGGGCACAATAGACGATGTGGACCCTTTACGACTCTCTGTGCAGGGTCTCGAGTCACGAGCGCTTTCAAGGCGGGAGGAGAAGCCCCCGCACAAGCACTGGCAGCTTCCTGCTATCAAGCTGTCTCCAGATCCGTGTATCCTCATGCGACGATCAAGAATACGTACTGATTAGGACGTGAAGGAGAGAATAAGCAGTAGTCATCTAGTCTGATCCAGCATGGCAGGATTGCCCCTGTTTACATAGGACTAAAGGTTGCTCCCGAAGCGATACGGAGACAAGGAAAATCGAAAAAGCTTTTGGTCTAGGCGCACTGTAGGTCCATGGTCCCAAATATGGGATCACCTAGGCATTTGTCATTCAAGGTTTATTACCGAACGAACATGGCCTCTCTTATCACCCGTGTGATTAAGAAGGTATTAGCTATTCCGGGAAAAAGTGGGCACCTGCTGTCAGGCGGGTAAGAGAAGAGGGGGTTTGCTGATCGCCAGAGGCCGCGGGTTCCTGGGACACGCGGATACGACCAGGGGCAGGGGAGGGCCCTGGATATGACAAGAAATAGCCATCGCATCAACGTGGACGCCATAGAGAGTCTCGCAGAAACGACGTAGAAAGTAACGTCGACGCGACCAAGCGAAATTTCTCCCTTTTCAGAGACTATTGCAATCTTTTGAATTGGTCGGGCGGATGAGTGTATAACCAATGGATGCTGGCCAAGCTGAACCAGCAAGCAAAAGATTGAAATAAAGAGTCGGAAAAGGGGGCCCTGTGTTGCAACCCTTGGCGCGTGCACGACGGTTTCCCCAAGAGCACGCGTTTTGCCTGCAGGTGGCTGGGCCTGGGTCCTCGGGCAACCCCAGACATTTGGGTGCGCCCGGATCTTTAATTGCGATCGCGGGTCGCCCAAGGCTCAGGACCCGCACCATTTCCAAAGTAAGTCTACCAGCTGTTGTCGGTAAAGAGGTTTCGCGATATAGTCGTTCATCCCTTTAGCCAAGTATGTTCTCCGCATCGCCCTTCAGAGCATTGCCGGTCAGGGCAATGATCGGGACATTGAGATTCATCGCTCGTATATGTTCCGTCGCGGTAATCCCATTCATCACGGGCATATTGATATCCATCAGAATGACATGGTACGCCAGGGGCTTCTGCTTCACCATGCGGACGGCTTCAGCGCCATCCCACGCAGCATCTACTCGCTGGAAACCCAAACTGGCCAGCAGCTTGAGCATGATGGTTTGGTTCACTTTGTTGTCCTCGACAAGAAGAACTTGTTTCTGCGGGGCAAGCTTCTTAAGAAGGTCAGTCGCATCGAATGGTGGTGTGGGTGCCGCCGGTATCGAGATACGTCTCGCCTGCGGCGCTATCGCGGAGTCAAGGCGTCGCATCTTGGTTGACATCCAGAATACGCTACCGGGTCCGTCAGGGTTCGCATGAAAGCCGATAGTGCCGTTCATAAGCTCTGCGAGGCTTTTGCAAATAGATACGCCGAGACCCGTTCCCTGGTATCGCCTTGTCGCAGAATCGGCAAATCGACTAAAAGGGTTGAACAGTGTGGCAGCTGCATCCTCTGGCACACCAATCCCCGAGTCGATGACCTCGATTGTAACAGTGTATGACTGAGGATTGGTATTCTCTTCCCGATAGGATGCCCATCAGGCAACGCCTGCCACCCGTGACACTCACCTATACCACGCTGCTCGCGCTGCGTGATGGCCGCCGCGAGGAAAGCTACGCAGCAGGAGATATAAGCCAGGAAGATGTACCGCGCCCGCGTATACTTCATCAGCCCCGAGCCAAGGAATCTGCCCACGGCGAACGCGCCCTGTGCGCCAGCGAGCAGCTTCGCGCCCTTCGCGCTGTCGGTACCGGGCCAGGTATCGACGGCATAGTTGATGAAGTAGCCCGCGATAGCCACTGCCCACACCTGTATCAGCATGATATTGAAAAGAAGAAGAAGAAGAAGATGATGATGAAGGGAGAGTGAGAGCAGAGGGTGCTAGGAGACACACGCACCCTGGGCCCCGGTATACGTAAACTGAGCCAGCGTGGCATGGAAAAGCTTGTACTGTTTCCAGAACGGGCGATCCTGCTCCTCGACATGCGTTGTCGAGACCTGGAAGGCCATATCCTCGTCTGTGACCTCGGGGATATTCGAGACGAAGAACACGGCCGCGAGACAGAAGACGAAGACGCCGATGGCGAGGTAGACCCACTGGACACGCTGGAGGGCGGAGACATCGTCTGCTGTCTCAGTGAAGAAGGCGTAGGAACCAAGCACGGGCCCGACAACCGTGCCGATGGCGTTGAAGGCTTGGGCGAAGTTGATTCGGATCTCGGAGTAGCGGGGTGGGCCGCAGACTAGGGGGGATTCATGTTCCCTAAGCCCTTATCTACTTTGTGAAAGGTTGGATTGGAGATCGATGCTGCCAGCGCGTACCGGTTAAGTATGGATTCGCGGCTGTCTCAAGAGAGCCCAGCCCAGATCCGATCACAAATGTTGCGCCGCAGAAGCCGCCAAAGGACTGGTTCAGGCCAGCGGGCCACATGCAAAGTGCACCGATGCCATACAGGGCCAGGCCGAAGATGAAGACAGTCTTGTAGCCGTAGTGACGCAGGATCCAGTTGGCGTAGCCCAGGGAGGCGAGCGGGTAGGCCCTGTTACCATTAGAAACTTGTGTTTTACTACGCCAGAGGCTTGCTCTAGTCAGGGAATTGATTTTACCCAAAGTAGGCTGCCTGGAGCCCAGCCGAGCGTCCTCGATCAATATGCAATGTGTTCTGGAAATGCTTGTTGAGCGTATCGAGAAGGCCGTAGGCGAAGCCCTAACCCGTCACTGTTTAGTCTTGACCCGCGCCACAGAATCTGATTCGGAATCATACCCATAGAAAGAACAGGATCGTCACCAAGCTCAGCGGCCATAAACTCTGGCGCAAAGTTAGCGTTGCAGCTGAGGTAGTCTTGCGATTATCCACGCGAAGACCGGAGCGGTTCTTAAGAAAGTCCTTGAACCCCATGTTTGAAAGGCTGTTCGAATGTTTCTAAATCACAACGAAGCGGGAAACGAAGCATAAAGAAGGGAAATGAAAGACTTGGAGGATTCCCCTTGCGTATTAAGACGAGCCACAACATGCCACGGCCCTCAACCTGCAGGGTCGCACCATAGTGCGACTTTGTCTCCGCACTGTGGAATCTGGGGTAGCCTGTCGATCGGACCCCATGGGGAAAAGTCCAATGCGTATTATAGGCCAATTATTTCACGGCCTGCCATGGGACGGCTGGGGTTTGGCCCAATGGGCGCTGCTGAATACGACGGACGGGCCCCATTAAAGTTGCAGACTGGGTTATATTAGCCTAAAGCTCAGGGGTGGGGGAAAGTGATGGGTGAAGGAAGTAGCCATGTCAGTTTATTCTTGGGACGTTTTAGAGAAAGAGCAATGCTTGCTGGGAATGGTTAGAATGATCAGCGAAATTTATTTTTTTTTTTTCTGATTTATTGGCAATTTCTCTATGAAGTTCATAAGATATGGGCCATGGAGATGTGCCGGGTGCAGAAGGCCCCGATCCAACGCCCAGATCAGCATCTAATCTCTATGCAATACGTGACCCCTTTGTATATGCCAAATCATTCCCATCACCTCATCATCCAGCGCTGGCTTACGCTCGCTTGGGCTTGTCAGCGCTACCATTCAGGGCCTTTGAAGGGCGAGACACAGTGGTGTTGTACAGGCGGCGCTCCACAAACTTGAGAACTTCATCCAAGAAGCTACTAATCGTTAGTTGGGGCCAAAAGTATCCAGGTAGGATCCTACTCACATGACGGGAGCGCTGATGACCAACACGGCCTGCCATTCATTCCAGTTCATAGGCAGAATAGAGAAAAGACCCTGCAGGAAGGGAATGTAAAGAATGGCAAAGTGGAGGGCCATGGAGAGAGCAATGGCGTAGATCAACATGGGATTGTTCTGCAGGAAGAAAGTGAACAGCGACTCGCTGGACGACAGGGCGTTCATGGCGTTCAGCATCTCAATCACAACAAGGATGGAAAGAGACACGGTAGATGCGGACTTGGCCATGTCGTTGCTGAACATATCACACCCGATCTCGGGGAACTGGGCAGAACACTTGTGGAAGTGAGACTGGAGGACGAGTTAGCGGGAGTCAAACACATCAACATGACCGATCACCGGGGGGAGCAGGCATACCAGTTGCCAGAACGAGATTTGGGGGCCCTCGAAGTTATACAAGAACCACCAGACGTAACCAAATACGGTAGCAGCACCAACATAGGTTCCAATGACCATGTAGCGGAACAACAACCACCCACCGACAAGCGGCTCATCACGGCTACGAGGAGGACGGCGCATTACATCGTGGTCAGGAGGGTTGAAAGAGAGAGCAGTAGCGGGCAGACCATCGGTGACAAGGTTGACCCAAAGGAGCTGAACGGGAATCAGAGCCTCTGGCATACCCAAAGCCGCAGTGAGGAAGATGGACACAACCTCACCAATGTTGGATGAAATCAGGTACCGGATGAATTGCTGGGTGTTGCTGTAGATGGAGCGGCCCTCCTCGACAGCAACAGTGATGGTAGCAAAGTTATCGTCGGCCAAAACCATGTCGGCGGCGAGCTTGGACACGTCGGTGCCAGTACCCATAGCAACACCAATGTCAGACTTCTTCAGGGCGGGAGCGTCGTTGACACCATCACCGGTCATGGCGACAACGTGGTTCAGGGACTGCAAAAGATCGACCAGCTTGGACTTGTGGCTCGGCTCGGTTCTGGAGAACAGGGAAGCGGTTTGGACAGCCTGAAGCTTCTCGTTGTCACTCAGTTGATCAAACTCACGGCCGGTGAAGCTCTTGCCCTCGAGGTTCTCGTTCTCGCCAAAGACGCCGATCTGGCGGCAGATAGACTCCGCGGTATTATGATTATCACCGGTGATGACAATAACACGAATACCAGCAGCCTGGCACTTCTGGATCGAATCAGCGACTTCGGGACGAGGAGGGTCAAGCATGGCAACAAGGCCGATCAAGGTCATGTTCTGCTCTAGTTTGAGGTAGTCCTGGGAGGTCGAGGCAGATTTCAACAGCTTGTTCCCGGCCACGTCGCCCACGCTGGCAAGCGCCATGACTCGGAGACCCCGGTTACCGTATTCGACAACCTCGTCAGAAAGCAACTTGAGATGGTTCTTGGTAATTGAGACCTTGGATCCTTCAGAGCCTTGGAGGACGTAGGAGCAGCGCTCGAGTATCGTTTCGGGGGCACCCTTGACCAGGAGTTTCTGATCGGCACCAGTTCCAACGAGGACGGACATACTCTTACGGTCACGAGAGAATTCGTAAGTAGCTTGAGGGGGATGCTGCTGCTCATAGACAGCACTTGCGCGGTGCAACCGCTCAGAGGCAGGCAGGCTGAAGAGTTTCTTGTTCTCGGCGACGTCACTGGTTCCGATCTTTTCAACCAAAGCACGCAGAGCAGCCTCGGTAGGCTCGCCAACGTTGGAGAAAGCACCGGACTTGGCATCGTAAGAGAGGGTGGCGGCATTACATATGGCGCTAACCTCGGCCACTTGCCTCACGGTAGGGGAGGTGACAGCTAAGTTCTCGACAACCTTGCCGTTTTTGCTCAAATTGCCCTCGGGGGCAAAAGTCGTGCCTTCGATATCAATTTCCTCAAGGTTGTCACCTAGGCTGTTCAGATAAACAATCTTTTGGACGCTCATCTGGTTGGTGGTCAAGGTCCCAGTCTTGTCAGAGCAAATGACGCTGCAGCTTCCCAGGGTTTCCACAGATGGCAAGGAGCGGACGACCGCATTCTTCTGAGCCATCTTACGGGTCCCAAGGGCCAGACAGGTGGTGATGACAACGGCCAGGCCCTCTGGAATAGCAGCAACACCAAGGGAGACAGCAATCTTCAGGTAGTAAATGGCACCCTTGGTCCATCCACCGAAAGACGGGTCGTTGAAGTGCTCAATGTTGATCAACCAGACAAGGACACAGATGACCGTGATGACCTTGGCCAACATGTCACCGAAATCGTTCAACTTCTGCTTCAGTGGGGTGGGTTCAGAGATCTGGGATGTGATGCTTTCATGGATGTCGCCGATAGCAGTAGAGCCACCAGTCAATACAACCACAGCAGTGGCATGGCCATTGACAACGGTGGTACCGGAGAAGAGCATGTTGATCTGGTCCTGCTTAACGGCCTGGCTATCCTTCACTGCGCGGGTATCCTTTCCGACACTCTCACTCTCACCAGTCAAGATAGCTTGATCAACACGGAAGCTGTTGCTATGAATGGCCAACAAACGACAATCGGCGGGTACACGGTCACCCACGGCAATATGGATCACATCGCCGGGAACCAAGTCCTCTGCCTTGACCTTTTGTGTCTTTCCATCGCGAACAACCTTGGCCTCGTTGGCCGAATATTCCTGAAGGGCTGCGATAGCCTTTTCCGCACTGCTTTCCTGGGTCACGCCCACCACGGCATTGAGAATGAGAATTGTCAAGATCTGGTAAAGGACCGAACAGGTCAGCTAGAGAGCAATCAACCAGAGATCCGACGAGACTTACCACCGCGGGGTCCACAAACGCGGTCCAATCGTCGCCATCCTCGAAAAGAGCCAAAACAAAGGACACAGCCGCGGAACCGAGTAAGATCAGGACGAGCTGGTCCTTGAACTGCTCCAGAATCAATTCCCACAGAGGGGTAGGGGGTTCTTCCTCCAAGGCTATGGGCGGTGTCAGTTCAGTCGACAATGGAGCAGATGGGGCAGATGGGATGGGTAGCGCGTACCATTTGGACCATATTTCTGTCGAGATTGCAGGACGGCACTCTGCGACAGACCTTTCTCCTCGGAGACATTGAAGTGCTTCAGCACGTCGGCTGGGTCATACAGGAAAGAATTCTCCATGGTCGTCGCGCCGGGTAAATAGGCGGAGATGCGGAGAGTTCGGGTAAGAAGAAAGGAACAGGCAGGATATTTAGATACGAGACATGGGGGGGAAGACGCCAAGAGATTGGGGGAACCGGGAGGATTAACGATGCAAGGGAGGATAAGTTTTAGGGACTTTGTCCTTCTTGTTCTTTCTCTTTCTATGGGATCCTATACGTCCAAGTTCCGGCCGTGGAGAGCGGATCAACAACGTGTTCTCATCCCGTTTCGATTCCATTCCCGATTAGATGATGACTCAGCCACAGGGCTGACGGGTCATCGTTGTTCCCTCCGGCATCGGCTCCATTGCCTCGAGCGATTTCCGCAATTGCTGCCTTTTGGAGGCTTAATATTGCATTGGGAGCTGTCTCAATTGAAAGGTGATATTTTGTCCTATATGTGCACCCTCAGAGATTGTGTGGAATGACTCTACACTGTGCTGTGAACGGTGTTTCTGCTGCAAGATACTTCTTGCATTAGGTCCCCGGTTTCCTGCCGAGAGCTGTGGAATATGGGGCTTTCTAGGCTGCATCATTTTGAGCCCTATTAGACTTGATGAGTGGACTCTTGATGAATCATGGCCACCAATAATCCTAGAGCCAAGGGTCCAATCGAGGACTGAGTGGGTCAGGCGCAACCTCATTATGCGCGCGTCTTTAGCGCACTATTCGATGGTCATATCACAGACCCAAGGAGAGAATAGCGTTACAGATCTCTTTATGTGATGTTTACCGATGCAGAGTATTTTAGGCATCTTGGCCATTGCGACTGCCATGGCCGAGTCAGTTGCTAGGACTGGGCACTCGACAACGATGGTTAACCACGGGGCTGCTGATCCTAATACGCAGTAAGGCGGTGGCGTCCCTTGAAGCCCACTATTCGTTTCCTGACAGTAGGGCTGAACACTAATTTGTCGGCACTTGCATCATGCTTTGCAATTCTGGTCATTAAACATCTTGGCCCCCCAGCTTTCCCCTCCACCACTCGGCTTCGAGTTTTCTGGCCACAGTGCGACCATCGATAGCACCCAAACCAGCTGCTTGGTTTACGACTCGTGCATATGACTTGCGCCTTTTCTTAGGCCCTTGGGTTGCTCAACCTAAATTCCAAGGTTGTGCTCATGCCCAAATTTTGAAGCTGGAGCGCGATTCAAGTCTCGACAGGGCCCTAGAGGCCTCCACAGCTCTTGGGACAACAGCATAAAGCTAGTATAAAATCTCGAAAATTAAAGCTGACAGTAGACTTCCAAGCTTTGCCCTAGAGACATATATATAAAATAAAAGAGAAAAATAAAATCATTTCCAGCATTCGTAACTTGTCAGTACACATTCCGGCCCCAGTAAGAGCTGAACGAGACTCGGAGAGCAACACAGTTTGACCCCGACAAATTTGAAGTATATCCAAGCATAGAATCCAGGCATGATGGGCCCCGTTGAGGGGTAATTTGAGTCTTGGCATATGGCATTATATCCTTGAAGCAACGTCAAGTTACGCCGCCATGATCTCTGCAAGCTTCCAATAGTAGGGGCTCTACAGTGTGCTGACACAGCTAACTAGTTAGTTACTGGTACAGTGGTTCAACAGAGGTCAGGTGACGCAAATCCCCTAGCCTGAATATTTGTCCTTATCTCTGTGGCGATAAAACTCGAAGGTCCATAAGGTAAGTTAAGGGACTTATCTTGGCATGGTCCCGTGATCCCTTGGAGCTGTATAGTTGGCCGTATGAGGACGAGGGCACTGCCTAGAGGGTTCGCAACCAACACTCAGTAGCGAGGTTGGTATTCGTCCCTTTCAGACCGACTCCGCGACCCCAAACAAACCGGAACGATGATTGGAAAACTGACTAGTCTAAATGTTGACGGATTTAGAGGGGGCCGAATCCCATGGAAACTCTTCACGAGACTCGCGTTTTAGCTTAGCTCCGCTCCTCTTTAGGTCCTCCTGCCAAATGGCAGCCGCTAAGTATGCTGTCTGGGACCAGAAGGGACAGCCTTGGCATCTATTGACAACCGGTATCTGTACACGTGGGCGCCGTGATCGAGAGGCTTGCTCACTAGGCAGAAGAGACGACCGCGATAGGAAGTAAACAAAGAAAAGTGCGGTCAGATGGGCCAAGCGCGGATGATCATGATCATCGTGACCATACACTAAAAGTCCCTGGTACGTGCAGATTACGGGAAAATAGCGGGTGATGTAAAGTATCCAGTACTTCGGCCAGGCAGGCTGCACGAGACCCGAAAACCGCCTCGCAGAGCCGCAGGTAGCGCTGATGCGAAAAAGGCCAGCGATGAGGCTGACAACCAGGCTGGGACTCCAGAAAATGACCGGCCCATGAAATTCGCCTTCAGCCCACGAGAAGCACTTGGCGGGGGGTCCCGCGGAAGACGAGGTACCCGATACACCGTAATGGCGTATTGTTATGATTTTCCCCCCCAACTCTCCTCCCTCTTCCTCTTCCAACACCCCCACTTGATCCTCTTCTTCTTCTTGCATCCCCGCCCTTGATCGCCTTCCCTGTGCTCCCCCTTTCCCAGTATTATTTCCATCCGTCTTCAAAATGGGTTCTGAGGTATGTTGCCCCTCCTTCCGTCGGCCCCTCCATCGGGCGCGCTGAATGGTCACCGCCATCGCAATCCCACGCCCAACTTCCTTGTGTCGCTTCCTTTTTTTTTAACCCCCTGCAAGAGTTCTTGGCTAACTTGACTGTTCTCCACTATGCAGCGTGAGAAGTAAGATACTATTGTGTCCCTGGATCGCCTGTCACTCAAGTTTCCAATCGTTAACCTCCTCATTAGCAAGACGTTCCTCGCGCGGCTCTGCGAGCAGGCCGAGCGCTACGATGGTAAGCCAAGATCGATCGATCGCGTGGGTGAAGGTTCGGCTAACCTAGAATGTGTGTTCTTTTTAAACAGAGATGGTTACCTACATGAAGGTCAGTCATTGCCCGATATTGGTTATGGAGAGAAACATAGCGCTAACGCCCCTAACAGGAAGTCGCTGCCGTATGAATACCCCTGTTCTTATCGCAGAAAATTGAAGTGAAATTTACAACGCATTACAGATCGGCGGCGAGCTTACTGTCGATGAACGTAACTTGCTCTCTGTCGCTTACAAGAACGTTGTTGGAACTCGCCGCGCCTCTTGGCGCATCATCTCCTCCATCGAGCAGAAGGAGGAGTCCAAGGGTTCCGAGGAGCATGTCAACATCATCCACGAGTACCGTCAGAAGATCGAGACCGAGCTTGAGAAGGTCTGCCAAGATGTCCTTGACGTCCTGGACGAATCCCTGATCCCTAAGGCCGAGACTGGCGAGTCCAAGGTCTTCTACTACAAGATGTACGCTGCAGCCGACCTGGGCGTTGTCCATAATGTATACCAGCGACTAACTGTTCGTTTAGGAAGGGTGACTACCACCGTTACCTGGCGGAGTTCGCCTCTGGCAACAAGCGCAAGCTTGCTGCTACCGCCGCTCACGATGCTTACAAGGTATGTTTGTTCCCGAAGGAGTGGTACTGAATCGACGAACGTGCTGACCAAGAGTTTTTCGAATAGAATGCCACCGACGTTGCTCAGACCGACCTTACCCCTACCCACCCCATTCGCCTCGGCCTCGCTCTGAACTTCTCCGTCTTCTACTATGAGATTCTCAACTCTCCCGATCGTGCCTGCCATCTCGCCAAGCAGGCTTTCGATGATGCTATTGCCGAGTTGGACTCACTGTCCGAGGAGAGCTACCGCGACAGCACCCTCATCATGCAGCTTCTGCGTGACAACCTTACCCTCTGGACCTCATCTGAGGGCGCTGATGGCGAGGGCGCTGCCCCCAAGGAGGAGAAGGCTGAGGACGAAGCCGCTCCTCCTGCTGAGGAGAAGGCCGAGGAGCCCAAGGCCGAAGAACCCCAGGAGTAAATCTAGATCTGCCGAGCCATCAGCCGGTTTTATGACGGGGGCGTTCGCATTTACTTCCTGAGACGTGGTTACGCAAGTCGCTTGATTGTTTTCACACAGCGTGGCTGGGTTGGGACCGGCACCTACCACCCCTGGCACTTACTCGGGATCTGTGTAGGTCGGCCGGTGGAGTTTGATATTCGGTTGACGCGAGCGAAGAAAAGGGGCGGAGTGGAATTTCTCTCTTTATTTTCTCTATTCCCACTCCAGCACGTTTCACAATTGTGTTTATTTCTCTTCTGAATTTCCACCATGGCTCTCCCCCAATGGCTTTTGTGTAGCTTGCATAGTCTCGCCTGTATATCCCGTAGATGGAGGCTCAAATTCTTTGGTTCTTTGTGATCGAAAAAGCTAGCTCCATGGCTGAAGTTCTTTTCCACAAAGTAAACTAGAGTACTAAATCCCTCTAGAAGTGCGGAAATGCGCCAAACCGCGCGGGAAGCGTATATGAAGAATTTACATCGCGAATGTTGTATTCTTTTGCCCGCTGTTTCATGATACTGTGAGCCCTGCCTGCCATATTCCTGCATCGGTCGACGATCCCTATCAGAACGCTAGGTATATCTCATTATAAAGAGTAGCATACAACGTCCCACCTTGCAATCTGAAATTTTACTCTCCCTGCGACCCGGTGATCATTCGATACATCCTCTCCCACACCTCCGTCCTCATATAGATATCTGCATGTGTAGAACCAGGCACATCAACAAGATCAACGCTCGCCTTCCCCATCTCCTTCTTCACAGCACCCACGGTCTCAGGGCCAAAGAACACATCGCCATGCGTAGTGTACCAAGTTGTATCTACTGTACAATCCCGATACAAGCGCATCAGCACCTCAACCGGAACCCCGGCCAGCCGGTTATATCCCAAATCATAATCCAACTGGAGTCGCTCCGCACTCGCCTTACTGCCTACCTTCTCTAACGCAATCGAATCAAACACCGCCTCCCGCTCCGTACGCGAACACACAAACTTAGACCCCTCGTCCTCCTTCTCTGTCCCCGAAAGCATCCGGTCCATCGTCTTCCCAACCCACGTACTCCCGATCGACGAATCGGCCTTCGTGAGCGCCCGAAACAAGAACCCCGGCATCGTGCACATGGCATTCATCACCCGGGACTTAAATACGGAGCCGGGGTATGCGTCGAGATAGGGAAGACGTGCTGCGTGCGCCCTGGAGCTTCCTCGGCTAGATCGAGCATTTGGTACACGCCGGCTGAGTGGGCCGCGATGCTGAAGGTGTTGACTTTGAGGCTGTCGAGGAGCTCTAGGGTGGTGGAGCTGAGCTCCGAGAGTAACGCGGGGCCGGAGCGCGCAGCGTCTGGGCCTTGGGTCCAGCGGTCGATGCAGAGGAGGGATAGGTCGGGATGGATTTTGGAGAATGGGATATAGAGGCCCATTATCAGGCTGCTGGCGGCGGCGCCGTAGCAGAATATCAAGGTGTGAGGTGCGCTGGGGTTGAGGCGGGCGTAGGTTATTGAGTGGGCTGGGTGGGAAGAGGATGTGAAATGGTGGATTTGGAGAGGCATGGTGGTTAATACGCCGAGATGCTTTTGCAAAGAATACACGATTGGAAAAACTATGCTTTCTACCTGAGTTTACGGGGTTGCAACCTTGTTGGATGTTGATGTTCAGCTCGGTAGGACCGGCCTATTAATAGCCCACGTGGGGCTCTTGATATCGAGAGCAAAAGGTTAGCGCGAGATAAGGGAAGCCAAGCGATACAGCTGGGATGAATGATTTACGTTCGTAAAGTGTGGATCATCTGGCGGTAGTCACTGAGCCACGCAGGTAAGATATCACGCAACGCATAAGGGACTATGTGCCGTTGAATGAGATAACCAAGAGCATTGCACTTGGACCAGTAATCTGTTGGAAATAAACAGTCTTTCAGGCTGATCGAGCTAGTATGCCGATGAGGACATTGAAGTGTTCACATGGAAGCTTTGGATACCATACTACTTATTACACGCCGATGTGGAATATTTAGAGAAATCGACAGCAGAATGTAAGCAAGCTACACTGATAGTGTAGGGAACCCCCAGAAAGGCCACCAGGCCATCACCCCACTGGCAATTCCGGCAGCTGGAACCCCAGGGGGCCATTACTATCTCGGTCCGTAAAGGAATCAGTGTACATTTATCATTGATATACGCCAAGATATACTTCCAGAGCGCCAATCACCCAACGAGAATTAGAACCGAGGAAATGGAACCTGCGAAGCAAAGCCTGGCATCCATGTCGAACCCCACCCGCAGCATCCAAACAGAACAGAGCAAATCAGACAGCACTGAACATATGCATGTAGCCCACATTAAAACTCCCAGAAAACTTGTGGCTCTGATCCTGATTGCCTTGCGTCAAAGGAGTATGCCAGCTGTCAGCGCCACCGAGCATAGCATCGATTAAAGGGGGCTGACAGTTGTCGTCCTGGGTCTCTATAACGCGTAATAAGCCTGTCAGATCCTAGGTTGGACATCAGGGTGCTGGAGGCCTGGCAAGAAAGGTCGAAGAGTCTCATCAAATTTTCCCGTAGCGGCGGTTTTCGTAATTTAACGTAGGAAACTATATACAGATAACCTAGGAGCCTTTTGAATATTCTCAGAACACCGTGGAAGAGATAGTACTAGTACATTAGCTAGTCAACTGGTACGTGATCACGCAAGTTTGGCATGATCCAGCCAGGAAATCGAGATGGTGCATAATCGAACTCTTAACTCTATCGTTATCAGTTCCTGAGAGATAGACTTTAATCCCGTAGGATGATAAAGCAGAGTCGACATTTTAGGCACAGCTAATTGCGTCCTGCCGCGCTAGCGATAGTGTGCCCAATACGAGCAGCGCAAAACGATTGGGCCGATACACATCCCTGGGAGATTCCAATCCCGGCCGAGGAGAAGAAAGACGGAAGCACGACACGCGACCAGTTGTCAGATTGCAGCAGTCGAAGATCTGCAGGAAAAGCCCCTATAATTGCCAGACCCGTGTCTTTCGGCTTGCCTCGTCCGAAGCGCCCGACACCATGTCTTCGAACATAAAACAGCATGAAGATAATGTCTCAGCTTCTCGGCATCGATGACACAAAAATCAGTGCCAATTCATTAATCCTTTACACCTGTCAATAAGTAATAGTCTGCAACCCCACCCCTGAATGCCCAGCATCCCGTCATGACAGACCTGTTGACCTTCGAGCCGAACGTCCTCTACCTCCTCCTTCTCGACCGCAGTCAAACAGAAACTTTCCACTGGGAGCTCTATCTCGCCAGCAGCGCCACACACGGCACAGCATACCACATAACTAATGACAATGCACCCACCGTCTGGGAATACAAACGCGAAGTAACCAGCGCACCGCAGTTGCAGCTTTACTGCATTACCGATTTCAGTAAATTTGGCGGAATCGCAGAGGATCGCCCTTTATATTTAACGGGAAATTTGGTGCCACGGTCTTCTCTAATGCAACGCCGCTCTTCAATGAATGTCGACAGTTTCGCGTGACCGCATTGATCACGGAGGGTACATCAAGAACGTCCGTGGTGAGGGAAAAGGATCCAGACGATAGTTTCGAGTAGTCCAGCACGTCGTTAATAACCTGTAATAGAATCGAAGTCGAGTCTTCCAGGATAGACGCATATTCTTTTTGATCGGCGGTGAGGCCAGTTCCCATCAGCATGGTCAAGGCCAAGGACATTCCGTTCATGGGCGTGCGTAGCTCGTGCGACATGTTAGCCAGGAAGTCGGTCTTGATTTTCGAGGATTCCTCAAATGCGTCAATCAGACGCTGTTCGGCTGCTTTGCGCTCCGTCAGGTCGCGAGTTACTTTAACGAATCCAACATGCCGGCCAAGCTGGTGAATAGCCGTTATCATGACATTTGCCCAGAACCGGGTGCCATCCTTGCGGTAGCGCCAACCCTCATCTTCAACCTTGCCCTCTTGGACGCAGACCGTTAGTTCCCGCCCCGGTTTATCTGTCTCGCGATCCTCACGTCCGTAGAACACTGAGAAATGTTTGCCAATGATCTCTTGCGCGGTGTAACCCTTTAGAATTGCGGCACCGGAATTCCATGTAGCTATGTGGCCCCTGCAGTCGAGCATGAAAATGGCATAGTCCTTCACAGTGTCAACCAGAATTTTGTACGTCGCGTTCAGGTATGCTTGGTCGCTAAGCGCAGAGTTTTTCTGTTCTTCGACCTCCGCCCGAGGATGCACCTGCGCCTCGAGAGTAAGATAGATTAGTGCATCGTCTTCGAAAATCGGCGTCGCTCGTAAACTGCAACTGCGGTCGGAATCGACGATACGAACGAAGTCCAGCGTTTGGACTTCGCGTGTTGAAATTGCTGTTCCCAACATACCGCTCAGCGCTGGCGTGTCCGGCGCGGGGATCAGTCGGGGTGGTATTTCATAAATGCTGGCGCCCAGTAGTATCTCGCGGGGATGACGGAATAGAGCTTGGTGACTATCCGAAGTCTGCACAACCCGCAGAGAGCCATCGAGGAGAATCGTAGGTGTAGGAGTCCGGCGGTATAGACGTGTCAGACTGCTGTCAATAGGAGGCATCGTCGGCGCTGTACCGGGTGACTTCGACGGCGCGCCCAGGGTGTTGAATTCATCCTCAGCGGGAGGGGTGATTTGCTGCGCAACGTCACCTCGCTGGCGATCCTCAAGCTTGAGGTGAAGCATCTGGTCGTCCAAGGGCATAACGGCCACGGAGATTCAAGAAGGGGCGGGAAGAGAGCCTCATTCACGGATGCGAGGGCGCATTCGGGTCCTGCATTGAAGGCAGCACAATGCGCGACAGGGTGTAGATGACGAAATGACCAGATGGGTGGAGGAGTGAAAGGATTTGCAGGCGTGGCGTAGCCTTAAACCGATTGCCGGGATTTGGGCTAGGCAAACAAACCCACTACAAATCCCTACAAAACCTGGCAGAAATTGAAATAGTCAAAGGACAAGGCCAAGTCAGCCGAACCGCCTCGACGGTTTCACTGGACGGCAGACACGGCCGGCGGGGATCAGAGCCGCTAATCCGGTTCCAGAACCACGCAAGGACAGTGCTGCGCTACGCTTTACCAATGATCTTCATCCAACGGGCCTGAGCCAGGTCTAGTGGCAAAAGCCTCATCTGGGGTTGGGATACCCGACGTGTATCCAGGGAGTTCCAAGATCCTTCGGAGCGATCGAGATGGCACCTGTGGTGGCCAGAAAACACCAATATATGTCACAACTTTAAAAACCTTATTGTCGAACAATCAGCAATGAGTGGACCTCCAGGGCTAGACTGGATGTGACGTAATCGTGCCCCTCGCGCAAAGTCCGCAGTCGGAGTGGCTATTTTTGCATTCCAGACTTATAATCAATCCAGGCCCAAATTATCAGTAGCGTGACCCACACCTCGGTAGTCCTGGTGAGAAGCGGGCACCTTTCAAGCTGGAACGAGGCGGAAGAGAGTGTGTGTTTCAAAGTCCCCGATCCCTTCTCGATCGAGAGAGCTAATCGGCGTATCCTATTGTAATCATGCTGCTTGAAACGCTGAACGAAATATGTACTATGCGTAGGAACAAAATGTGGTGAAAAAAAAAAACTAAGAAAGTATTAAACCGGTAGGCAGAAGAGAGCGCAAATAGGAAAGCAGAACACGCCATCACCAACCTGGTTCGCTATTCCCCGAAGCTACTCTTCAACAATGACATGCTCGCGCTCTGCTCGCTCCACCAGTTTCTGTATCGCATCGGCCACGCCGTATGAAAATGCGTAGCCGCCGCCGCCGAATCCATAGGCAGACAGCAGTGTTCGGTGGCCCTGCTTCTCCGAGTCGAGGCGGAAGCCGCCCTTCCGCGAGGACCGGATGCCAATGATATGGCTGATGTTCTCGGCTGATGGCTTCTCTGGGACGACATCCGGGGCCAAACGGTGCGCACGTTCGAGCTCGTCTCGTGCAATCTCCGGATCCACCTCGGGAGAGCTGGGCAGCGCTGATTAGTTGATGTTCGGAAGGAATGGATCAGCCATCCACTTACAGAGATCCTTGCTGTTTGACGCCGCCTAACACAACCCCTTGCGAGGACGGTCGAGGAATGACATAAGTGTACTCTTGACCATTCCGGAAGTAGAAGGTGTGGCACGCATCTGTTCGTAGAAATACATTCTGACCTCGCTCGGGGTAGACATTGTCGTCCTGAACATCTGTGAGGGTCTTGCTGCCAATTCCACTCGCATTGATGAAGAGCGTGGATTCGGGGAACATGGAGTATAACTCTTCCAAAGAGTTGACTCGCTGGCGGACGAACCGACCGCCGAGTTTGGTAATTTGCTGTCCCAACCAAGGCATGTGCCGGGTTGGGTCAGTCACTAAGGTATCATATGCCCACGCAGAATGGAAGTTGGCGGGATACTCCCCTTGGTTCAGTTCTCGGAACTGCAGGATCTGTGTTAGCCCAGGCGAACCAGCAAGGTGCGATGATTCAGGTCTTCGTACCTTAGAAACCACCGTTCTTCCCCAAATAGCAGAGTTTGGAGCGGGCTCCTTCTCCAGATATTCACGTCCATCCACGACGTGGACGCCCGACTCTGGGTCCTGGGCCATCCTCAACAGGACTCGATGTGAGATGACCTGGTAGTATCGCTGGTCAGGCGTGATGCCGCCTGCAGCATGCCATGCGGCACCAGCCCAGGCCGATGCGTAGTTGATATCTTGGTCGCCTGGCAAGAATTCGGCCACCACCACAACGGAAAACCCGGCCCTTAACAACTGGCGCGCAGCAGCACAGCCAATTATACCAGCCCCAAGGATAACAATTGGCCGTTGCGAGAAAGGCAGCAACGAGCCGTTCACGGAATTGCTGCCACCCATGGCGAAAATGTCGAGATAGGCGAATGTGCGATATCTGGGACGAGTGGGAGAATGATGCGCCGGAGATAGAATGGATCAGACGCGCCGGTCGAGTAGATTTATATCGATCAGATCCTCATTTCTCCGAAGTATCGCAGTGGGCTGGGCCGGAGGTTTCTCCAATTGGTATTCCTTGATTCGCCGTTCGTGGTTGCGGGAGGCGGTTGACAGCGCTCGATCGATACCCACGCACGGGGAACCCCCCTTCTTGAGGAAGTTCCTCGGGAGGTCACTGCCAGAGATAGTTCTGTTGAGCGATCTCCAATGTCTGGAGGCGCTAGAATACCTTCCTGATTCGTTCTGGTGCTTCACCAAAAGCGCTCCGAACCGCCGAGTGGGGGATTGTGCACATGGAGCAGCAGGTGCGTCGGGATGGCCCGCCCGCCCCCTCAACGGCAAGATACGAAGAATCGTCGTCAGGTTGGCCAGTGGGCTGGTCTTGGGCTTCCAATGCTTCCAGAACCTAGTGGATTACGGAGGAGTCCTCGGATTAGAGTCCTTGGGTACGCGAATCGATTGGCGTACCAGCCTGGGCTCTCGGCGGAGTCGTGCGGGGGAAGGCTGGTCATGGCTATGACTATGGGGTATGATGCGATTTTGCCTCGATTAGAGGATGATGATACAATCTATCGGGGTACCAGAGGGCAGGAACATGGTACATGCAAATGCAACAAGTGCAACAAGATGCACGAGTACCCCTATTCCACGGTGGTTACGGAGTCCGGCAAGTCCTATGTAGTATTGGGAAAGGGCGGGCTTGCCCGACACTGTAGAGTTCGCTAATGGCGATTGGACGCGCGCAAGAATGTCCGACCAAAATTCTCCTTTTCGCATATCTTCCTTATTCCTGCCAACGTGATCGGTCGGATTGTTTCCTTTTCTTCTCAGATGTTAGGCCCGTCACACAGCATTCCTCTTTCCAGACCTCTCTGTGCGGAAGACGGGGCTCTGGCTCTCCTGTAGACGATCTCGCCGATTCCCCCTGGCCAGTCGGAAGTCTTGGCAGGATCGACCGTGTTGGGCCCCACGCAAGGATGGAGAAGTCAAGGATGGAGAAGGCCAAAGGAGAGGAGACTTACAGGGGACAGAATTGGTACAAAGTACGTTTCTCGTGATATCCTGGCGTCTGCGATTCGTTAGGCGCTGATGGCTGGCCTGACCCCCCATCGGCTCGGAGCGCCACTTGGCGCCCATTTCAAATCCCCAAAGATCTAGAGCCCCAGAGCTGCAAAGCAGTCGTGGGGGGAGTACATCGGCAATCATAATCGGAAACCCATGGATTGGACGTTAACTCGTCACAGGAACCCTCTTCAGATAATGTCGCCGACGACCCCGACGAGACCCCGGTCCTGCGCGACCACGATGCCGAACAAATTCTCCCCTATGAGGCCGATGATTCGCCGTATCCCGAGGTGCGCGCCGTCATCGACCCCATCGACGATCATAAATTGCCTATCAACACCGTTCGAATGTGGACTATTGGGCTGATATTTACTATCGTGAGTCCGAATGAGCCGAGATGCAGTGAAATAGGCCGCTAATCACGCATCACTCGCGACAGGTCGGTAGTGGACTGAACCAGTTTTTCAGTTTAAGAAACCCTAGTGTTACGATTAGTGCGTTGGTCGCGCAGTTGTTAGCGTTCCCTGTTGGTTGTGCTTGGGCCAAATGGATGCCAATCGGTATACTCAATCCGGATCGTCACTTCAACATCAAAGAACATGGCCTGGTCACTATCATGGCGAATGTCTCTTTCGGGTCGGCGGCTGCTACCCAGGTCATCGAAGCCGTCGTGAAATTTTACGGCATGAAGTCTGATGGAGGGTTTGAAGTCCTGCTGTGTATCACGACCCAACTTTTTGGATTTGGACTGGCCGGCATGGCCTCGCGATGGTTGGTGACGCCGGCGTCGATGCTGTGGCCGTCCACGCTATCCAACGCAGCTCTTTTAAAGACACTTCATTCTCGGGAGAACCCCGTGGCCGATGGCTGGAAGATCACTCGATTACGATTCTTCCTTTTCGTCTTCTTTGGTGGAGCCATATGGTACTTCGCACCCGGCTACCTATTTACCGGACTCAGTACCTTCAGCTTCATCTGCTGGATTGTGCCAAGGAATGTTGTGGTCAACCAGTTGTTTGGACAGGTCACTGGACTCGGAATGTCCGTGTTGACCTTTGACTGGGCCCAGGTGGTCTTTGCTAACCAGAGTCCACTGCTAGTCCCTTTCTGGGCCGGCCTCAACGTAATGGGCTCCTTTGCCCTCTTCTTCTGGGTCGTCGTGCCCATCGTCTATTATACGAATACCTGGTATTCGGCTTACCTGCCTATGCTTAACTCTAATACCTTTGACAATACCGGCAAGTCTTATAATACTAGCCGGATCTTGAGGCCCGATGGAACTGTGAACTGGAAATCTTACGAAAACTATTCCCCGATGTTCCTTCCCACTGGATATGCCATCACATTTGGTGTAGCATTTGCCAATCTGACCGGCATCTTCGTCCATATTGCACTTTATCATGGCCAGGATTTGTGGCACCAAATGAAGGGTACAGGAAAAGAAGACGTCCACGCGAGGCTCATGGCCAAGTACCGCAAGGTTCCTTGGTGGTGGTTCGCTACGGTTACCATCATCATGTTTGTCCTGAGTATCGTCACCAATGAGGTGTGGCATACCGGTCTTCCAGTTTGGGCTGTGGTGGTGGCGTTTATGTTGCCCATTGTTTACTTTATCCCGGTGGGGATTATCAAGGCAGTAACAAATATCAGCAGCAACCAACTTAATCTTATCACCGAGTTCATTGGAGGGTATGCATTCCTGGGAACCCCTATCGCGAATATGGTGTTCAAGTTCTACGGCTACGTTGCCCTGCAGCAGGGGCTTGAGTTTGTTGCTGATATGAAGCTGGCCCATTATCTCCACGTCCCCCCTCGCACCCTTTTCGCCGCCCAAGGTCTGGCTACCTTGGTTGGTGCCATTGTTCAGTGCGGGGTGACGGTTTTCATGATTACTCGGTTTAATGGAGTCTGTACTTCTGATGCGGCCGGTAATTTCACATGTCCCCACGGACAGGTGACCTATTCCTCTTCCCTGATCTGGGGTAAGTTTTAACCATGTTGGCCTTCCGTTGAGTAACTTACATTTTTCTAGGTGCTATCGGCCCTGGTCGCCTTTTCTCCCCCGGCCAGATCTACGGTCATATCCTTTGGTTTTTCCTCGTCGGACCGGTAGCTGTTGTGATTACATGGCTGCTCGGTCGCCGTTGGAAGGCCTGGAACTACATCTCCTGGCCGGTTGCATTTGGTGCGATGAGTCTTGTGCCCCCGGCCACCGGAGTCAGCTTCTCATCTTGGTGGGTAATTAATGTGATATTTAACTTCTTCTTGCGCCGTCGCAAGCCCGCGTGGTGGTCCAAGTACAGTATGTGATACCAACCCCTTAACCCCCTCTTCCCCATCATTTATGCAATGCGTACTCACATCCACTAGACTATGTTCTCTCCGCCGCGCTTGATTGCGGTGTGGCTGTCGCCACCGTCATCATCTTCTTTTGCATTACTCTGCCAGCTGGTTCTTTGAGCTGGTGGGGAAACAATGTATACAAGACTACAGCCGATGGCATGGGCACGCCCTATAAGAGCCTTCCCGACCGCGGCTACTTTGGGCCTGCGAAGGGAACTTGGCACTGATTTTGAACATCGCTGCATTGCTGTACATTTGGCCAGGCCATTATCCCAGCACCCCCCTTTACGCGCATATATGCATGGTAGGAACCCTGTGACATATTCCTCATTTCTTCTAAATTTTCTTTTGCGTCGGAGGCGGATACTCATTTCGAACTGTTGATAATTTGAGCCCTGGATATACCTTTAGCGCATTGTTGTTGTTAGTTTCTACTAGTATATACGTATGCAATTCCTTTCTTAAAGCTCGAGACGCGTCGGTGTCTTCTAGTAGTCCTTCGATCAGTCCAATGATGAGCTGGGCTCACTGTCAAAGTACCTGGCGCTGAGATGTGAATTGCGGCGTCATTGATTATCTATACTGGCTTATGCCTTCACTGAACGCCCACGGATGTACACTTTCGCAATGTTTCGATCATCCCCAGTCATGACCCACTTTTCGAAGATCACAGATAGAGAATCTTCCTCTTCTACAGGTGTCATTGTACCCGGATTCTCCTCATTTATGGCATGCACCTCAAGAGCGTCGAACTCTTTGCCCACTGCAAAGCTTCCCACTTTATGGTCCAGCCCGCAGACCTGGGCGCCTCCCAGCGTGGCGAGAAAAAACCCTTCCACCAAGGATAAAGCTTCGTCTTTCCCCTCAGTACTTGTCTGCCGCGCAATTGAGACCACGAACGCTTGCCTCATGCACTCCAGCATGGATATAGAATGCCCTCCTCCGCAATCAGTTCCGAGTCCCACCTTGATACCCCGTCTCAGATACTCTCGTATTGGAGCAACCATGAAGACGTCCATCGTCGTATTCGAAATCGGACAGTGCGCAACTCCACAACGACGCTGTTCTAGTGTCTGGATCTCCTCTTCGGCCAAGTAGATGCAATGCGCCAGAATAGACCTTTCATTCAAAAGCCCAAAATGACCGTACAGCTCCGTCTCCGTCCTAAACTCCGGAAACAGCGAGCGAGTGAACTCAATTTCACCCTGCGCTTCGTTAAAATGCGTCTGGATCGGCAGGTCTGGATACTCCTTCGCGATCTCCCCTATCCCCATCAGCAGATCAGGCTCGCAGGAGACCGCAAACCGAGGCGTAAGAACCGCCTGCACGAGCTTATTATCCGGGTCGATCTTCTGAATATGCCGAATGACTTCCCGCGTCTGCTCCAGCGACTCGTTGACCGACAAATCGCGATACCAGTCGGGCGCGTGCCGGTTCATATTGCATTTTCCTACCAGCGCTCGCTGCCCCTTCTCCAGACACACGTCTGCAAGGATGCGGGTAGCTTCCCCGTGAGCGAGCCGTAATACGACGCTGTTGTGATCCCCTGCCGCAGGAGCCCCGATACGCACGACGAGTATGTCTGCCGGGCGTAGGCCGTGTCGGCGAATTTGGCTTCGTGGGCGAAGGTGATGTCGTTGAGCCATTCGAGGAGGGTTTTCCCGCGGCCGATCCCGCGCTGCGTCCACTGCGGGGCGTGGTTGTGGGTGTCTATGAAACCAGGGCAAAGGAATTGGCCGCGAGGGAGATACTTGATGGGAAACACATCGGGGGCGTAGCCTAGTTCTGTGATGATGGAGTTGATCTGCCCCGGCTCCACTCCGGTTTGGAGCGCCTGGATCTTGCCGTTATTGTCGACGATTATGAGGCTGTTTTCTAGGATTTCGAGAGTGGTGAGATTTGGAGTGTGGATTAATATGCCGTAGAAGCCGATGGGGAGGCCGCTTGTTGGGGCTGGAGAGGTGACGAGGTCGTCCATGGCGGTATGATGAGCTGTTGCGGAGGTGAAGCAGCTATGACGCTGCGAGGTGTTTATCGGCGAGGGGTTCAGCCAAGCAGGCGCGATAAGACGTAAGACAGTTTATCCGAAACCGCGACAAGTTTCGAAATCCTATTTGGTAGCACTGTGCTTATATGGGGCACCCAGCTCAGCGGACCCCAAAAATTTCTCAACGGACCCCAAACGGCTTATATGGCCTACGAAATTTGCGAGCTGTCACTAGGGGGGGAGTCGATAATCGAGACATATGAAGTTAGGTGTATAATGATATATCATAGATTCTGTGCACCAAAAGGCATGACATGGCTAGATTCCGCGTAACAACCTCCGGCCGAGGCAAAGGCTGGACTAGGGAAGGAACAACGCCGACGATGGGAGATTATGTTTTTTTGACCTTGTTCTTCCTGGAATATGGCAAAACCCGGAAGAGATAGTACAGGGAAATGGCGGCAAGAATGTTGAAGGCAAAATACGCCCAAAGAAGGCCGTAGTCGCGCCATCTCAAGTCCCAGAAGATGTCGCGACTTGCCAGATATTGATCGGCAGATCGAAGGGGGCAGTATTGGCATTCCGATGTGGAGTTCCAATTAAGGAGTCGTCCGGGCGCAAATTCAAGGTATTCCCTGAGATATTCACCGCACGTCTGTCCCGCGGGGGCATCGAAGGATACTACCTCGCGATCGGTACAATGAATGGGCCGACCATGTAATGCAGTAGCACTGATGCCACCGACGTAATAAGTTAACGGAGAGACTCGGTGCATATAGCTCCAGAAAGGAGGCAAGTTGCTCGGTGCTTGCATGACGCCGTTAGACAGTAACGAAAGAACAAACATAAAGAGAGCGAGCATGCTGCCCAAAATAGGGTTTGGTATCGCAGCAGCTATTAAATGGGCAAAGCTAGATGCGAAAAGAAAGAATTGTAGAACGAAAAGGAAAACTAGACATTGACGCTCGGAGTCCTGGTTGCCGCCGTAGACGGAAAAGTAGAAGGAAGCCCATGTGCAGATGCCGAGGAGAGCTTGCCAGGGAAGCTCGACTAAAATTTGCGAAAAGATGAATACCTGCCATGAATATGTTCGGGAAGGCCGTTCACGTAGCTCATATAGGGCTCGTCTGCCGATAAACTTTGGGAGAATTCTGTCAACGGTGAGCGTCTCATGTTCTATGGGAGGGCTGGGATAAACTCACTGGTTGACCATCGTCGAAAAGATAGTGCATAAGAGAAACAAACTAAACATTGTGTTTTGGAAACCTTGATTGGACTCATCGGACATCCAAAATGAGAACCCAATGAAGAGACCGGAAACAATGCCCAAGGAGAGTTTAGCCATGATATACTCTGGTTGGCGGTAGTATTGCTGAAAATCGCGCTTGAGGACATGATGGATCTGGCTACCGACAGGCATTGCAAATTCGAGTTCCTTGGGTGTATCCGTGGTTGGAGTTTGAGATGGAGTTGAAGCCATCCGATCCAACTCATCGATAACTGCTTGATTCTGAGCACTTTTCTTCCATATGTCCACCCAATCAAGAGCCTGTGAGTTTTCCTGGGGGCCCTGATTCACCACATCAAGCATGTATTCTGCGGGCTATACAGAGAAACTGTGAGTTTCAATCATGACGTTCAACGATGTGACGAGGACTTACATTTTCGGTTGGTCCACACGGACGCGCTCCATTGCTTTCCAGATAATCCAAAAGCGTGCGAGAATGGCTTCCAATATCCCCGAAGTAGACAGGCCTACCACCCTGAGCCAGCAGAAGTAGGCGATCGAATTGTTCAAACATCACAGCACCTGGTTGATGGATGGTCGCGAGGACAGCTTGGCCATGATCGGCAAGTTTCCTCATAAAAGCACAAATAGCCCAGGAGCTTTGAGAATCCAATCCACTGGTTGGCTCATCCAAGAAGGTTAAAAGTTCTGGTTTTGCGGCGAGCTCAACACCAATAGTTAGGAGCTTTCTCTGCTCAATGTTCAATCCGTGGCCAGGGATTCCGATGATGGCATCGGAAAAATCCCCCATTCCCAACAGATGAATAACATCTTCTACAAATTCATATTTTTCATCGATGGGCGTGGATCGCGGCTGCCGCAAAGCAGCACTGAACCGAAGAGCTTCGCGAATGGTGGAAGATTCGAGATGAAGGTCGTGTTGCTCGACATACCCAGTGTTTCGGCGAAAACTGGCGTTGAGATTGTTGCCATCAACTAGCATCTCTCCAGTGACAACACCCACGGTCATTCTCTGGGCCAAAACATCCAAGAGAGTAGTCTTGCCTGCACCAGAGAGGCCCTAACGTGATATCAGTATTAACCCCCCTGCTTGAAATAAGCCAGAAGTACGTGGATGAGAGACATACCATAAGAGCCGTTAGAGTCCCTGGCTTAGCCCATCCATTCACATCGTCAAGTAGTCGTTTTGTTCCTCCCTTGACCGGAATGTCATAGGAAAGTCCCTTCCAACTGAAAACGCGCCTTTGCTGCGGCACAGACAGGCACAAGTGACTTCTTGAAGATTGAACTTCTCTCAAAGCCCCGGATTGTTTGCGAGACTCAAGATCATCAGCTCCGGGGTTGTCTGGGGAGTTCCTAGAAAGGAAACACAAAGTGTTGCCACTCGAGGCTGTGCCTGGCACCAGCTCGGTGAGAATCAGGTAGGCAGCATGAAAGAAAACCAAAAATGCAACAATAATGCCAAAGTTTCGCCATAGATGACTATGAGAGTACTGATAATTCTTTTCGATGAATACATCCCCAGAGACATACAGCTGTCCTGCCGTGGAACCGACTACCGAACAGGTGAAAGATGACCCGAGAACATGGGGATAATCGGGCACAAAATTGACACAGATAGCTTTCAAACCATGGAATTCATTGGATATGACTCCCTCGAAGGCATAAAAGATTGGATTGATCCACCGGATCCAGCCAAGCCACGGTCGCATGTCGGGTTGAGGTACAGTGTAGCCGGTATAGACAGCGATGCAGATAATGATAATTCCACCAAGGGCCATGGCTTGACCAAGAGTTTTCGTCATTGTAGCTAGACAGCGGAATAGACCCGACATGGTGACGACCGAGGTGAGCTGAAAGAGAATGTAAATGAAGAAGTGACCAGCCTCCCTCCGAAGATTGGCCATGAAGTAGATGACTATACTCGCAAGGAGACAACGAAGGAGCTTGACTGGAAGGTCGATGATGACACTGGCGAAAGCTTCAGTGAAAGGGCGAACAAATGCGTAGTTGGCGTGTTTCTCGACAATTGCTCTCTGACTATACAACACATTAATCTCCAGTAAAGAGATAAGGTTATTCGTAAGAACGGCCAAAAAGATGACAGACGCGCGCTGCGAAAGTCCCGAAGAATCATTGGGGATGTTGTAGAAAAGAGATCCGATCAGAACCGCAAGGACAATCTGAACGATCGCGGTGGAGATGATACCTGCGAGATCATTGAGGTTCCGTCGATACGCTCTGACAAGGCACAGACGTAGCTGCATCGGCACTGAAATGAGGTAGGGGCTAGAGTATCGGATGTGGTTGGCTTGCTGGCTGTGTTTGGCATCGCTCAACCAACGTTCTTGTTGTCCACCGAGGGAAAGGCTTCCGCGTGCCTGTTCATCTTCACTCTCAGGCTTGCATACTCGGGGCTCTGCTTCCAACGGGCTTCGAACTCCTCTGGGGTCCGTGGAACGCTACTTTCCATGCCCTTCCGCGGCTCACGCTCACTGGGGTTGGTGATCGCAGTGAGGAAATCCGCGCTCACTTGCCGAGGATGGCGTTTCCAACCCATCTCCTCGAAGTATGGAACAGCATTGCGACACGGACCGAAGTATATCTGGTGACCCTCGTAGAGGAGGATCACGTTGTCGAATGTGTTGTAAATGGCATCCGAGGCCTGATATACTGCCGCAGCGTGGCATGTTTTTGATACATCGGCCGATAGGCGAAGGGCTTGCGCGAAGTCAAGGGCGCTGTTAGCATCCAGACCTCGAGTACTGTTGTCCCAAGCACCGATGGGAGCTCTTGCTAATGTCATTTCTGCTATGCTATGCAAAAAGTTAGTATAATCACTACCTCAAGAATTACTGAAAAGAGACTCACCTCACTCTCTTCCTTTCGCCACCACTGACTCCACGGATATACTCGTTGCCGACGTGCGTATCCTTTGTATGCGACAGACCATAGAGATCCATGACTGCCTGCACAGCAGCCTTGACATATTCCCCACGGCTCACATTGACTGCTCGGGTGTGAGGTGCACGCGAGGACGCAGCGAACTCAAGAGTTTCACCAACTGTCAAATGAGGGAAATGATAGTCCTCTTCGGCATTATAAACAACTTCACCCCGGTATTCCTTCAACAATATCTCTAAAGAGATGCTTTGGTACTGAATTTTGCTGGCTGGGTCGAGACTAAGGCCATCCAGGTAGCCACATACCGCCTTCAAGAAGGTAGAGCACCCGCTTCCTGGGCGCCCGAGCACCAGGAGTAGCTCTCCGGGACACAAAAGTCCATCAAGCCCGTAAAGGATTTGACTTGAAGTTTGCCGACTATGTCTGCCCCCCAGTAGTTTTGCAAGTCGCTTTATTGGGCTCACCAAAGCCGAGACAACAGTTGGCTGAGTAGAGGTAGATGAAGCAGAGCCGTGAACAGAAAGATTCTCAAACAGCACCCCGATTTGTCGACCTTCACCTGTGTGTGAATCGAGAGTATGTTTTTTCTCTTTGCTGAGCTCGTTTCGGTCGATAGATGAATTGGAAAGGAGGGCATCTGTTGGCTTTTCACAGATCTGGGTTTCCTTGTCTTGGTCGGGTTGCTTCAAGTGGGCTTCCGAATACGTCCCAGACTCATTAATGGCTGGCGAGGGGTTCGCGATATCAGCTTGTGGCTGTTTAAGTTGGCTCGTCTGGGTTTTCTCAGCACTGTCTCGCGCCATAATGAAGTTCCAGACCTCTGTTGCTTCTCTCTGGAAGGAAGTTCCAAAGACTTGAACAATGCTGATTCGGATTCTCATGAATGTTTTTGATCATCCCTTAGTCCGACCAATAGAAATACCCACTGAACAGTATCAATGCATTATGCATAGGATCAATGAGGATTCAGCCCCTGGCAGCATTCCGCTAATTAGCCCCCTCATCCGTGTCCCGATGTATTCAGGCATCGAAGGAATTTTAGTGCAGATCGCTGGAGCAGCGATCGGAGCCAGTGTGCGCTGTGTAAATCGTAACGTGGTTTTGGACTGCGAACTGACCTGCAATGGTGTTCAAGAACTGCTGAACCCTGCGAAGGGAATATCGAATGATGTTACCAAATCTAATCTGCCCGAAGACAGATGGGTGAACTAGGCGATGTTTAAGCAGACTCTATGAGGAAAACAGGGGTGAGGCTGGACCAAACTTGCTCGTCCCGTCCCAAACTATGCGACCTCTATGAGACAATGTTTTAAAGAGTGGATGGGGGGAATAAGCATCTCGGCCATCAAGGGTATATGCTCAGAGCTTCGACGGATTTCGCTGAATTTGGAATTACTGGTTGGAGGTACAAATTTGGAGAGTATTTTTCAACCTCCAGCCAGTTTGCTAAATAAGGGCAGGAACAGGAGACGGTTAATCCGTGGTCTGTGCTGCCAGCGGTTCGCCACAAAACATAACGAAAAAGTAGACGAAGAGCCCAGGGGCTCTATGCTCGGATACTTTATCCAGGCCCAAACCGGAATATTTGATACTAAGCGAAGTTGGCCTTTCCAGGACAATGGCGATGGTGCATCAAGAGCCCCACTAGTTGTCACGAGCGAAGCATTCGATTCCAAAGCCAAGGACCCAGAAAATACTAGCGAGGAAGCACGAGGATTTTGCGCTAGACTCCACCCCGGCTGCTTTACCAACTTGGGTGGATTTGAGCAGGTTTCCAAAGCCAAAGAAATGGCCACCAACGGACACAATAAAGAACGGGAGGCCGAGCCCAGTGAGTAGCCCAGCAGACGCAAAGAATGCAGTCGAGAGGTAGAAAAGAAAGTACGCGAGTGGATACATGGAGTCCCGGAATCGCACCGCCATGTTTTTCACTCCGACTTTCAAGTCTTCTTCGGTGTCTTGACGCGAATAAACTACATCCACCATGATGATGACGGTTGCAATGAAAAGGAACATACAAATGGTTGGCACAAGGTGATCAAGAGGGCTGATACCCAGACTGTGCATGGACATTGGAATTGCCCACCCGATGTTTCCCAACGTCAGCTGGGGATAGTCAGTGACTCTTTTGCCAAATGGATAAAGTAGCGCAGCGAAGACGACTATGCCCGCCTCCAGCTTGCATTCGGAGGGTAGGAACAATAAGACGGAGCTGCCGCATGCAAAAAGGGCTGCAGTGAAAAGCACAGCGCCTGCTGGAGAAACTGCTCCTCGAGGTAACGGCCGAGATCTTGTGCGCGAGATTTGGCGATCGAGATCCAAGTCGATTAAATCATTCCATACGCACCCAGCACACCGGAGGAAAAAAGACCAAATGGTCAAAAGCGCTGTGCGGTGGGCGAGCATGGCTAACGGAATCTGCTCTGAGGAAAGTGATGCACTGTATGCTACTCCAACAAAATAGGGAGATGTATTGAGGTAAAATCCCAATAGTCGATGGATTCGAGTCAATTCCGCGTACGGCGCTATAGAAGGTGGAAGGGATCCAAGAATACGACCTGGTGGCTCTGGGGAAGCTTTCTTGCCCACTTTGGATTTGGGCATTCTGATACCAGATGAATCAACTTCTGAGAGCTGAAAGAAAAGAAAAAGACCCTTAAAGTGGCCGCGTTGGGGAAGACTATGAAGTCAATATGAGGCAGTATATGGTTAGAGGAAGGGTAGGAATTCAGCACTGGTAGGACGTAAAGTGGTGTAAATGATGGGTAACCTGGAAAGATTTAACGACCGACAGGCAATAGAAGAATGACGAATGACCTCCAGGGTTCTGCAAAAATATCACATGCATCGCTCCCGCTGAACATTGCAAAAGGTTTCCATGTACAAAGGTGCGATGGCTCCTTGCATGATCGACTTCATTCCACAGAACCTGGCATACAACATGAGACGGACCGAAGGAGAAAGTAAGCACTAGTGATCGAACCGCTGCGACTTTGCATCAATACCACGTACTAAAAGGGCCGATGCCTCCTGATTGACCCATAATTACTTTTACAGTCTGCGTGATTAGATTGGTGGATCCTTGCAGGGCGGATCGACTGGTCTGAACGAATGAAACCGGTCAATAGACCATTCATGGGAGAGCCCTAAGTACGTTATGGAGCTGAAACTCTTAGTTCGGATCCGGAAATTGAGTTCTTGCCAGGGGCTCAATACGAGAGATTAAAGCGATACTGCCCTTCTGATGGACTTGGAAATACCTAACCTGTGGTATCGCCTAACGATATGTTGTCTCTGATAACTAATAGTCCTGACAAAACCGCTAGTGCCACTAAAATTTCCAAACTTGCATGTATATAAGCATATAAAGAGTTCAACATACCACGAAGATATGATCACGATATCGTCCCAATCTAAGGAACTTAATTAAAGTTTCAAAAAGGGCATCCACTGCGGGCACGTAAAAAGCATACCGAGAAAGCAAAGCATGCGTACTCGGACATATGTCTAATCAAAAAAAGAGATTCGGCTCAGGAGGAACCAAGAATTTGAAGTAGATCCAGCAAAGAACCAACGAAGATCCCCAGAGAAAGTACCACCGAAGCCAAGATTCTTTCTTTGCCTTGGAGGAGTTTGAAGTCCATCCAGACCCAGTACGTCCAGGGAGAGGAGGAAATCAACCGTGTCACCTGTGGCGAGTACCTTTGAAGTCGCTCTTTCAATTAAAGGGCCTATATATGGGAATATATAACGCCCTGCAGACCTTTTTACCCAATCATCACGAGTATGGAACCGAGCGCCGAACCGGGATCGCTGATATGTACTCATAGCGCGCCCATATCTTAGCGATTGATACTCCTGTAGCATGCTTTCGATAGCTTTGGTCGATTTGCTATGCGAAATATCTCCTTGGGAAAGGCCATGAATGAGGGATGCGAGGACAGCTGCGTCTTCGATGGCAGTATTCGCTCCTTGTCCAATATTGGGTGTCATCTGAGGTGTGGCTTCAGTTAGATCATCACATGTCTCACGGATTATATCGTACCTTGTGAGCACTGTCTCCCATGAGAGCTATGCGATTGAAATGCCATGTCTTGAATATGCCCTCCTCTAGTACTGTCATCGAAGCAACCACGCGGTTATTCCAGAGATCCCTGACGCAGATATCGCCCAGAAGACGCACATCCGCCAACTTATCACAGAGCTCGGTAGCTTTGGAGGTGGTAAAGCGAGGGGCATTAGGGTAAACGTATTTTTGATCAAGTTTCTCGATAATAAACCAAAATATCCGGTCGCCTCTTCCATGGAATGTGATGATGGAGAACCTGTCTCCGTATCTGTTGATATGCTCTCCGGCCTTGAGGCCAGGAACTGCGGAAGATATTCCGAACACGCAGACATACTCAACAGCAAGACCTAGCGAAGAACGAAAGCCGCGGGTTAGAAAGTGCAAGAAAAATCAACCGGGCCTGGTTTTCAAGAAAGAGTGCTGACGAACTGTTCTTCTCACTGGACGGAATTGAATCGGGCTCCATCTCTTCCGCCAGCCGCCACATCTCCGATCGAACACGACTATGAACACCATCTGCACCCACAACAAGATCTGCAGGGTACACTTCCCCGCTGTCCGTGAACACGATCGCCTTATTTGGCTGGAGTGATATTTTTGACACTCGTTGATCCGTGAGTATCTTGGACTTCGTCGGGTAGCCTCGATACAATATTTCAAGGACTTTCTGTCTATCCAAAGAAACAATCGGGTAAAAGAGTCTAAACAAACAGATTAGTATAATGCAAAGCGCGATAAACAAGAAACGGACTTTTCATGAATTTTCTTGGGCAGTAAGCTGCTAAAAGAATATCCATCAGGGAAACAGATGTGCATTCGACTGATAGGCGCAGTGAGTTTCTCAAGACTGGTCCAAAGCCCGAGTTGATGTAGGACTTGAGCTCCATTTGGCCATATTCCAATAAATGCCCCCTCCTGTGGAGCTATTTCTGACCTCTTCTCAAGAACGACATGGTCAATATTTGCTTTGGCCAGAGAATGGGCTAAGGTCAATCCGGCAATAGACCCCCCCAACAATGACAACCTTGAAATCAGATTTCTCCATGTTTGTTGGGATTAGGTGAAAAGAAAAGAGAGTTAGCCAGTCGAGAAAATACCTGCAAAGGGATATGGAAAGTCTAGATTCAGTCCCAGACCATCCTTCACAGGCAAGTTGTTGGAATTGGCGCAATGCGGCTTGATGAACTCTCGGCTCCGCCCCTTGCTGCGGCTGCCGTTACTACTTTGATCTTAGTAAATCTTGAAGGAATATGCCTGGAAAACCCCTAGATATGCATCGGGCCGATGGATACATCGCATTTACTGACCGATCGTACCAATCGGTACTTTGTTTTGATCCGTACGCAGACTGCCCTAGTTGGTATAACGGACAGCTGGTTCTCGCCGGCATCAATCTTCAGAATACTGACACGGAAAAAGCACACACCAATTTGACCGATGTGGTCTCAACTGAAATTTTGTCATGGAGAATACGATGGACAGTGGCCCACATGCATACATGCGTCTATTTCGATAATCAGTTTTCATCTTTTTCATCCTTCTTTTCCATCCAAAACATTTTCTATTGTTCTAACGGAACACACAAAAGCAGATTGAGGGTGCTTCGCCTTTAGTTTCTCTTTTTTGGGGCTGCAGCACTGGCTAACTCCTGGCGCCGAACAGCCGAATATAAGAATGGATAAGAAACATCAAGCACAAGAGTCAGGATAATATAGAATTTGCACATAGGACTCTCGAACCAGGGCCCTGCAGGGATATCGCAGATGTAGTAAATGGACAATTTAATGAATCCTCCCACTGTTGCAGTGGCTCGTAGTCCCCTATCGCCACGTTAGCATCAACAAAACTCTGGCAGAACTGTAAATTCCCATCTTAATCAGTGACTTACCACGTCAACAAGGAGCTTCCGCGAGTACTGTTCCGTGCCAGAAGCTGGCAGATCGGCCCCAGGCTTGCTAAGGTCTGGCATAGAACACCGCCATAGAAAAACCCTAAATCAGGACCGACCTCTTCCGCGAAAGACCATTGCGCCCCAAGGAAGCCAAGAGTGACTGCCCCATAAATGAAACGTATATTTCTTTTCACGATCGGAGTATCATCCCATTCGTTGGGTGCAAATTTCAGAATGTATGTAACCACGGCGCAATGGACCAAGAACCATACTTTGACACCACCCTGCCAGTGGGCACTCGCGGTTGGGTGTATGAATGCGTACACAAACTCCCATGCAATATCACAGCAGAGAGGGAAGACTCCGGTGTTGGGAATCTTTTCGCGCCCTGAAACATACATCATGCTGAAGTAGTTCAGTGTCCAGCATATGCCAGCCAGAATTCGTAGAAATTCGGCTACCGACTCTAGCTGGGCGCGGTACTCTAGAGCCGCTGAGAGTAGGGTAGCACCTCCCATGATTGGCAATTGGCAACTGGTAAAGAGAAACAGGAGAACTTCGCAATAGGATTGAACTTTGACCGCGAGGAGGAAATATACAAAAGCAACGTTCATAGACTTCTTAAGCATGTCCGCGGAGTATAACCTATCTTGAGGCCTTGCTGCCCACGGCGTCAATCCGTAATATGCAAGGACTAACGATCATGGAACACGATGCTGCAAGTACTTTCCTGATTGTCGGGTCAAAATGCATCGACCCTGCAGGGAGAATGAAGGGCGGGGTGGCTGGCTGAACAGACCTGTACACGAATTCCAGTGGGGCATCTACTGTACACACGGCAACAGCAACTGAGCTTGAAGATGATTGGATTCAGTTCTAACGTAAAGCACCGTGTGGGGCAACCTACCGGTATGGTAATATCTCAATACGAACCGTGTGTCTGGGCGGGCGGATCGTACCGTGTGGATACCCTTAAATGACCCACTCGCGGTGGCGTAAATGTATTATCAGTACATGTAATTTGGCAAAAACAGGAAATACACGGACCGTATGCCGGACAATCCGCAGGACTTAGCAATTCCTTACGTGCTATACTTCTTTTCGAATGATCTGTTGTGCAACCTTTGCTTCTTATCCTACGAGGTTCTTTGCTTTGACGTTACACGCTGTGTACCTTTTTCAAGAGTTGACCGTGGATCTGCGATATCGTGTCTCCGAGCGACCTACGTTTGCGGGAAGTTGACAGAAGCATATTCATCATAGATCAGTATTTTTTTTGGGAACTACGAGGGCTGGAAGTTGCAATTATGCGTGTTTTAGAGTGTACCAAGTATGCGGTACCACCTGACGCATGCCAAATGAAGAGCGGAGGTCGTTTTCTGTAAGGTACACTTATATTGTCTCTATGAATCATTAAAAAAAATCAACCTCAAAAGGCTTTAAGAGATCATGAACCCTGACTGTGAAGCGGACCATCCAAAATCTGCGACCTGGTTTCTCTGGGTCTTCTGAGAACATGTCGCTTAAGAATTTGGCTCTTCTGTTGGCCGTTGGTCTTGCCCGTGCTGAGGGTCAAGATTCAACGACCGCTGCCGCTCCTTTCAACCCTTACACCAACGATGCTAGTTCTTTCAACCAATCACCGCCTCTTGGACAGCGTATTAAGCGTCGCAAGTGGAGTGCTCAGTGCGACAGCAGCGATGGTCCGCATCAATGCGAAAATGCCATCGACCCTGAATCGAACGACTACTGGCAATCCGGATCTGGGGCTCAGCACGAAATCGTGGTTGACCTCGGCGAGACGAGAAGCGTCAATGCTATCGAGGTCGCTCCGGCAGGCCAGGACGGATGGATTGAAGGACATCAAGTCTATGTGTCCACCGACAAGGCCAACTGGGGCCCGCCCGTTTCTTTCGGAACGTGGAACTCGGATGGAAGCATCAAAGTCTCCATTTTCAACCCCAAGAGCGCTCAGTATGTCCGCCTCATGAGTGATAAGTCGACGACGAGTATTGCCGACTTGAACATCTGGGAATATACCATCCAGGGCAATGTCGACGCCGAAGGTGGTGTCTGGGGCCCTACCGTTGATTTGCCCATCATTGCTGTTGCGGGCGCGGTCGTCCCCGAGACGGGAGAAGTCATGGTCTGGTCTGCGTACACCAGCGACAACTATGCAAATTCTCCAAGTGGTTACAGCTTGCTTGCTGTCTGGGACCCCACCACCAATTCTGTCACTCAGCGGAACGTGACCGAAACCCACCATGACATGTTCTGTCCGGGCATTTCATGGGATGGCAGTGGAAAACTTGTGATTAGCGGTGGCAGCGATGCCAGCCGTACCAGCTTTTTGTACCCCAACCAGAGCTGGGTTGCCGGCCCTTCACTACACATTGCCCGTGGATATCAGTCCTCTGCTACACTGTCAACCGGAGAAGTGTTCGTGGTTGGTGGCGCTTGGAACGGCGGTGCGACTGATAAGTATGGCGAGGTCTACAGTCCGATTACCAACAAGTGGTCTGACCGGAAGGGTTGCGACGTCATTCCTATGTTGACAGATGATAAGCAAGGCATCTACCGTGCTGATAACCATGGCTGGTTTTTTGGCTGGAAGAATGAGACTGTATTCCAAGCCGGTCCTTCGAAACAAATGAACTGGTACCATACCCAAGGCAATGGAAATGTGTCCCCTGCTGGAACACGTGCTAATGCCGACGATGCTATGTCTGGAAATGCCGTTATGTATGATGCTGTCGCAGGAAAGATCATCACCTTTGGCGGCTCCCCTCAGCTACGAAGACACCGATGGTACCAAGGATGCCTTCCTCATCGAGCTCGATGATATCGACGTTGACCCTGTCGTGACCACTGCCAATGATGAACAAGGAGAACCTGGAATGAACTTTGCTCGTGTATTCCATACATCTGTTGTCCTCCTGACGGGAATGTGTTCCTGACCGGTGGTCAAAAACACGGTATTCCGTTCAACGAAGATGGTGCTCTTCTCACTCCCGAACTGTACCTCGCACCCTTCAATTTGTTCCAGACTCAAACACCCAACAGTGTTATCCGTGTTTACCACAGCATCTCTCTGCTGCTCACTGACGGCCGTGTCTTCAACGGTGGTGGTGGTCTCTGTGGCAACTGCACGGCCAACCATTTGGATGCTCAGATCTACACCCCTCGTTATCTGCTGAACGGTGATGGAAGTCTTGCAACTCGCCCCGAGATCACCAGTGTTGCCAACACAGAAGTTAAACCTGGTGACAAGCTTAGTTTCCAGACCGGAGGCTCCATCAACTCTGCCTCTCTCGTGCGCTATGGAACCGCTAGTCACACTGTGAACACCGACCAGCGCCGTGTTCCCCTGGATATTGGAAACGGAGAAGGAACAAATCATGAAGCCACTCTCCCTAGTGATGCTTCTATCCTCCTCCCTGGATGGTGGATGCTCTTTGTCATGAATGACGAGGGCACGCCCAGTATCTCCAAGACCATCAAAGTCAACCCTCTTTAGTTTCGCGACGTCTCCCTGTGTTACAAATTCTTGTCTCCTTCAAATGCCTGTTTTGCTACATTTTTCTTTCGTTTCAACAAGCTTCTTGATCTTTGATCATGAAGTTTGACCCTCCTGGACCATCATCGACCAATATTGGGGGTTTACCTCTCTGTCAATCTTAGTTTATTTTCGCTAATCAAAACACTTTGGGCCAATGGGCTACTGCAGCTTCCTCTAATTACAAATAGCTTACCATTTAATGTTGAAAACCATGATACTTTATTGCACTGTTACGAATCTGTGCTTGGGCAGCCGTACATTGGCGAAAGAAGAGCAACTCGAAGTATACCAATCCCACACCGCTCTCTCCTGCTCACCGCACCCTAGACATCTAGACTACTCAGCCTACGGATTAAATGCAGGTGCCTTGTAGAAAAACAAAACTCTTGCCGTAGTGCCACATATAACTACTAGACTATAGGCCATGGGCGGGAAACCCCTAAACCAGTCTGCGTTTGCTTTCAGGTTAGGAGGCTGTTCACGGGTCTGCATATTTGGACGTATAATTGGGCCTTCCACGTTACAAGAGTACTACGGTAGCGTTCTGTAGCTTTGGGGAATGAGTAAAAAAAGCCTCGATTGTTACTGGCCCCAAAAGTGGGGAAACTGAAGGTGTTTGTTCCATATGACCTATCTCTCTCGCGTAAGTAGTACAGACCCATTCTTTCTGCAGTCATGGCATGTAGGCAAGAGTAGAAGCGGGAAATACGTAAGCCCTGCCACTAAAGTAGCCAATGTACATTGATCATAGATGGCCTACGCGTCGATCCCAATGGCAGGCCTTCTCATATCTTGAGATTATTCGCCCTCGCAGTGTCGCTAACGTCGACCACCACCAAGCAAGGAATCTGGCGACTTTTGACTGCATCTGCGCGTGTTCGAGAGATGCAAAGCCAGCATCGTGCGCCCAATGTCTTATAAGAGATTAGAAATGTAAACGTCATAGAAGCTCAGATCCCTAGGTTTAAAAGCCCCTCGTTCTTTGCATTCCTCTATCACCCTACTCTTCTTTCACCCTCAATAGCTGTTTTCCTCGTTGAAATATTGAAGAAAACCCTCCAGAATGCCTGACCTAAGTAACATTCAAGGCGATGTTTGGTAAGCATATATTTTTCTGTCCACAGGACCACGCGCCTTGCCACGTTATTACAACTACGATTAACTGTTCTTGACCTTTACAGGCCTCGTCTGCCTAAGAAAGCGGAAGGTTTCTACTTTTTTAATATCACGAACCCTGCTGAATTCAAGAAGCATCTGAAAAGACTTGCTCCGCAGATTACAACTGGCGAAGAGGCTAAAGAGACCCGTTCCGAACTCTATTCGCGAAAGAAGGCGGGCAAGACGGGTCTTGTCCAACTCTCCTCGATCAATATTTCCTTTTCCTATTCTGGATTGGAAAAGGTAAGAAAGTCCTCACCGTAAAGACTCATCCTGGAAAAAAGAAACAACCTCACACCCCTCTTAGTTGGGCAAAACCGACCTCGGTGATGAGATCTTCAGAAATGGCCAGTACAAGGACATGGTCACGGATGGCTTGGATAAGCCCGAGGATTGGGACAAATTCTATCAAGGCTACAACGGGAAAATTGATGGTGTCATCCTTGTCACTGGAAACACTTTGAAGGTTGTCGAGTCTACCTTCCTGAAGTCAGTTCAGCCTTGTTTCAGTAGCGGTGGGCCCACAACTTCCATGCGTGTTGTTCACACTGAAGAAGGAACCGTTCAGCAACACGATAAGGAACAGTAAGATCACCCGGGAAATTGAATATTTCGTTTGACAGGCTAACACAATTTGCAGCTTTGGTTGGGTTGATGGTATCTCGGAGCCTTTGGTCAAAGGTCTGGAGTCATCCAACAATCCGAAGGATCTCCCGCCGGTTCGCGATGGGTACGATTAGCTTTCCTAATCCAAACGGGCTTCTGCTAACCATTCCAGCACATTCTTCGTTGGTGGTGAGGGAGATTTTTTCAAGTCCCCCGCATGGGCGAAGGACGGTTCCTTCATGGTCTTCCGTCGCCTCCGTCAATTGGTGCCCGAATTTACTAGGTAAGCTCAATACTTATAACGGGAGAATACGTCTAACATGTCTCAGCTGGTGTGGCAAGAACTGCGAAGATCCTACTAACATGGATGTCATTCGTTTGTTCTCCTCTCGCGTAGTGGGAAGATGGCCTGATGGTGCTCCTCTCGAGCATCACCCAACCCACGCGTACAGGGACGGGCACCCCGAGGACCCCGAAAATAAGCGGAACGATTTCGATTTTGGCCCTGATAACCATCTGCAAACCCGATGCCCATTCGCTGCGCATATCCGAAAGGTCCGCCCTCGAGCAGATTTCGCCAACGACTCACAAGCCATGATCCGACGTGGTATCCCATACGGTGACTGGACTGAGGTTGAGGAGAAGCGTGGCGGGCACACGCTAAAGCACCGCGGACTGCTGTTCGTATCGTACCAAGCGAATCTTCGGAACGGGTTCCGTTTCGTAATGAAGGGTAATTTACAACCATCACTATCTGAAAACATGCGCTCTTCGCTGACCAAACGCAGAATGGGCCAACAAGGATGGCTTCCCCGATGGCAAGTTCGAGGCCTGTGGAGGTAAACCGCCTGGGATCGATCCCATCATTGGCCAAGTCGACAAATACCCCGGTAGATGCAACATCCCCAGCGCTAAAAACCTCCAGCCTGCGCCTCCTGTTTCTGACCGCGAGGTTGAGGTCGAGCGCTTTGTTATCCCCGAGGGTGGCGAGTACTTCTTCACTCCCTCCATAAACGCCTTGATGACCGATCTCACCAAGTAAATCGAACATTGGATGCTCTGCCTTGGTATGACGATATATCTATATTTCGGAATTTAAATGCCATTTTCCAGTTGGTTTCTTCTAGGGATTTGCCAATAGGTACGAACCAGTAATTTGTAATACGTCATGGTTATGCTAGGTAAATTTCACACTCTACTCGATAAAATATATCTACCCGTGAAAGCATGGAGAAACATTCAAATGTCCTCCGCTGCTCCAAGTAAATGACCACTTGAATACGACGCTATGAGGACGTTCTATCTCCTTTTTGGGGTCCAAGGGGTTGAGAGTTAATCTTCGAGTTTCAATCCGTCGTAGACTCTAAATTGGGTGTCTCCTGCACTTGAAATCCTTCTCGTGCGCCCGGAAGGAGTGCTTGGACGATGAAGCGACCAACAGATTGAACAAGGAATCGGAATTATTAGACATATTTCTCCCAACCGAATCGTGACATATATTGCGCTCAATAGTTTTGAGTTGCCGACACTAGTACCCATAGCCTACTGGTAACTTCGGTGGCGATACTACGATCTGCTACTACTACTACTAATAGTAGGTTGCAACAGAAAGAACTTAATAAATTCGATGTTGCATTGAAATAAAATCATGAAAATGACGAGAGAAAGTCCCCTTGCCTCAAACCATATTGACCAACGTCTTTGGAGGCTCACAGTGTGATCTCCTCTCTACGGCGTCTAATAGAAACACTGGCGGTGGGATCGGCAGCCAGTCTCATTCCGAATTTCCTGACCTTAGGCTCACATCCCGCCGCCAACTTGATGTCATATTTTAGGAGAATATGGCATAGCGCAATCTTAATCTCATTCGCCACAAAGAACCGGCCGGGGCAGGCGTGTTGCCCGAACCCAAAGCCCATGTGATCCGGAGATGGCGAAACAAGCTGGGCAGCGGCTTCGTTCTTGGGATCCTCGATGTTACGCATCCTTGCAAAACGATATGGATCGAAAGTCAAGGGATCAGGGTATATGTCCTCATTCCACATCCGGTCGCATGAAACGAGGATTCGGTCTCCCTTAGGAATGACCTTTCCGTCATGTAAGACGACGTCCCGCCGGGCAACTCGCGCCATGATCGCTGAAAGTAGGATTAGCACTAGAGATTTGAAGACTACAAATGACCAGTTTTGACTCACCAATAGCCATGGGCTTCAAACGTTGACATTCCTTGATGACACTGTCCATCAACTTGAGTTTATAAAGAGTTGTCTTTTTCCATCCTTCCGCCTTAACAACAGTAATTATTTCTTCACGGAGATCACGAATGAGATCATCGCGACCACAGATGTCGAGAAGTGTCTGAGTGAACAAATCCGTTGTAGTGTGGATAGCGGCAGCGGAGAGAGCAAGCTGTGCAGCAGCTGGGTCATACTTGCGACCCTTGGCGGTGTCCTCAAGCCACTGGATAGCGTCAATATATTCAGGATTATCGCCTACACGCTGAGCAGCACGTCTCTCTTTCAGAACAACAGCGATAAGCTTCCGTGCTTCCTTGAGTTGCCTTTGAGTCTTCCGACTGGTTGGCAGGTATCGGACAGCGAAAGGACGCAAGAATTCGGGCAGAAGGCGAAGCTCTTGTGCTGCTGTGAATGCATTGACGGTATAATTGATTGAAATGTCCAGCCATTTTGGATCGCGGCAGAGTCTGTCACCAAGAAAAATTCGAGAAGAGAGCTGAGCAACCATTTTCAAGATCGCCGGCTTCAGCTGCATGTCGTGCCATTCCGTCGCATCTGTCCACTGGGTTTGAAGAACGTAGGTAGCTTCTCGGGAAAGAGGGTCCATCGCGCTAGCTATAGAGAGGCATGATTAGTTGACAAATCCACTGCTAATTTGGTCCGATACTCACCCAAGTTCTGTGTGATCTTTGTCCGGACTGTATCCTGGATGAGATTCTCTCTGGCTGTAACTCGGAATGGCTCGAATCCCGGAAGGTTTACATGCAGCTCTGTTGTCAGGTTGTCGGTCAAACTGAGATCAGGGTTGCTGCGAATTTCATTTGCATATTTGGGAGAGAGCATTGTTCTGACTCCGACGTCGGTAATGATACGGAACAGGCCGCCCTGGTCAACCCAATCTGTTAGCGAAGCTTATGATTTCCATGGAGAAATGAAGTACCTGATCCAAGCCGCTCTTGATCAGAGCAGCAGCATTCGTCATGTATCGCCGCTGTGCGCAGGATGTACCAATCTCCCATGTCCTTCGCGCATTGATGAACGGGAGGTCCGATTTTGGAGTCCAGGTAAGCACATAGTACAGCCCGATGACAAGTAGAATGGGCACAAGGGCCAATAAGGAGAGTTTAGGGATTTCCTCCGGTGACATTATTCACAAGGGACCTTTGGACCGAACAGATTTTGACGAAATTAAGATGGACCAAGGACTTCACGCGCAGTAGATACACTGGGAGGGGGCTTTATACCCGAGATATGGACCTGAAGTGGTCATGCTCCAGCACACAGTCCGACTTATGCACGGTTATGTACGAGTAAGTAAAAGATCTACAGCTTGAAAGGCACTGACTTGGCCAAGAACTAACTGCAGCAAGTCCTCAGTGAGCCCTTTTTGTGGTAACTCATTTAGCCGATCTTTTAAATGTAATAACCTAGCTAGGCTCGCTTTGTAATGTGCTACTTCTCCGAGGAAGATGAAAGTGAAACTGTAACCAGCGCCATGACGCATGATCACAGAAACGCAGGGGGTTGGAGGCTTTAGACCTATGATCCAGCCGACATAATCCAATTATTGCAAGGGGGGTTGATGGAATGCGACACGGAACCTGTAGCAGTGGGTATTTCCATTAATTTTTCACCTCAGTGGCGTTGCTGAAGATTTTCCCGATGGATCGACGAGTTTGGCACGATCTCCAACCCCAGGTTATTTTGAATCTCCAGCATAAAAGGAAGAAAGCAAAATCGAAGGTACCTATTTAAATTTCCATATCATTTTATTCCAGTATAGAAAAAGAAAAAGAAGTATGCACCCCTTATACAGAAATTAAATAGTAGACCAAGCATTGTCAACAGGGATCACAGCGCCACTGATTCGTCGACTCGAGGAGGAGATCAGGAATAGAAGCGAATTGGCAACGTCATCTGGAGTTATAGCATATCCTTTCTCCCGATCAGACGAATGTGCCGCATGGATAGGGGACATTGCCGCCAGAGCATCCTTGTCAAACGCACTGACATCCAGATCCTTCAAGATGCCTGTATCATTGCTCACGCCTAAGTCCAAGTGAGTGACGGTTTTTCGTTGTCATGGGGAACTTCTTACCTCCGGGACATATGGCATTACAGCGAATACCTTCATGCTTGAACCTCCAAGCTATATTCTTCGTGGCTCCGATGAGACCATGCTTGCCTACAGTTGTCCAGTCAGTACAATACCGCCTGCTCTGGGCAGAATAGGCTCCAGGCCGTCACAGGTAGACTCACTTGAAGTATAAGCCACACCTGAGACCGCTCCGCTCAGCGCAGCCTTGCTGGCCACATTCACAATACTGCCGCTCTTTTGCTCCCTCATAATGGGGAGCAACTCGCGTATCAGCTTGACGGGTGCAGTAAGGTTGATAGCAATACAGCGATCCCACAGGCTATCTAAGACCGAGTCGGCGCTTCCGTTATGATCCATGACACCGGCGATATTCAATAGTGAATCAATCCTCGGGCCATGCGCCGCGATACATGCTGCCACCACTTTCTTTGGCGTTGCAGGATCAACCAAGTCAGCTTGACAGAATGCAAAGTTTGGGTGTCCATCGAGAGACTCCGGAGGTGCAGAGATGTCTACACCGAGAACCTTTGCACCTTCGTTGAGGGCGGCATTCACTGTAGCGAGGGCGATTCCGGACGAGGCCCCGGTGATGATGACGACCTGAAGTTTACCACAAGTCAGCGACACTGCATGAAAGACTATTTACTCTCTCTTGACGTACTTGACCTTGGAGGAAGCCCATATTTATGCCCGTTCAACGAATAAATATGGTTGAATGTTAGCGAATCTTGGTACCTGGACTGATTGTCCGAATTCAACTTGAGGAACTGAACCTAGACAGAAAATAACCGGGATTTACTAATTCACCTCTCTTCGTCAAAACATTGGCAAATGCATAATCCAATACGTGGCGAAATTGCCTCGCAGGCAGCGACTGATGAGGACTTCGAGAGCCCACTAGATCGAGCAGCTCATCGTATTCATCACGATGTAGTACTTTTGCAAGAGGCAAGGGGTTTAATTTTTTTTGTCAACCAACTCGACGAAAATTGCTTGCCCAGGAACCATTTTGAAATGACGTGAATTGGAATCCTTTCTCAGCTCGAAAATTTGGATTCAAACTAGACGTGGCTGACGGCGGCCACCAAGACGGGAAGCGATCGCGGTCCGACGCAAGGAGGGACTCTGTTGCGAGATGTCACCAAATGAACTTGGTTTTTATCTATCCAACGCACTTGACTGACCCAAAAGGGATGTCCACGGAGGTCCGTGTCTTCCTTAGTGGGTTCTATCATTGTACTGGCCAGCTTCAGATTTATTCACCGCCCCTTGAGCACTGCTTGTCATTGATCTCATAACCCGGTATTCACCGATCTATTGCATGCATACAATCAACTGCAAGATCTCCCATTGGTTGGGAACTCAAGAAAGCGGCCCGGGCGGGATTATTTTTTTCTGTGCTGCATAATGCACTGAGGTAACTACGGGGATTACAGGAATGCCTGCGGCGGCGATGGGTCTTGAGAATTTCGCACCTCCGATTCTCTCTATTGTCATCGAGCCATCTCCGAGAACAGCCCATAATCGAGATGACAAAACCTCAGTATGCTTTTCCTCCCGGATCTACGGTTCTTGTCACTGGCGCAAATTCTTACATTGGCTCGCATGTAATCAATATCCTTCTTGGTCTGGGATACCGTGTTCGCGGCACAGTTCGCACACCTCGGCCTTGGCTTCAGGGGCTTTTTGATGCCTCGCATGGCCCGCATACATTTGATACTGCCATAGTATCAGACTTCCAGGATAAAAATGCCATTGAAAATGCCATTGAGGGAGTCTCGGGTGTAGTTCACTTAGTAGGTCGCTCCAATTTCTTGCTAAGGGGAGAAAGTTACTAATGAGACTAATTGACATATATAGGCGCAGGCTATGCCATGGGATCCTGCAAATAAGGACCCCGTCGGATATACCGTTGACGGAACTTTGAACATCCTCAAAGCCGCATCAACTCAGACATCCGTGAAGCGCGTTGTCCTAGCTTCTTCCATTGTGGCTGCTGGCTACCCACAAGGGGACAGGCCGTTCAAGTTTGATACCGGTCGGTGTGAAGTTGATTGAATTATGTCGACTGCCAGATAGTAATGCTCTCTAGATACGTGGGACATCTCCACCCCAGAAACCGCTATCTCGATCTACACTGTCTGTAAGACCGAGGGCGAGCGACAGTCATGGAAATGGGTGGAGGAAAACAAGCCCCACTTCATTCTCAATACCGTCCTTCCCTGGATGAATGTGAGTTGGCTTGTGATATCGAGACATCTGGCAAAGCTGACTGGTCATGGTCACATCTAGTTCGGTCGGACTCTGCACCCTGAAATCGGTAGCTCAGGCCACAAATTCATTCGAGACCTTCTCAAGGGTGACACCTTTCCTTTCAAAGTACTGCCATTGCGTGAGTTTCCTTGGAGTACTTCAGTTCAATAAGATCACATATAGCTAATTTGCTGCGAGAAGCATGGTATATCGACGTGGAAGATTCCGCGCGGTTGCATGTCATTGCCTTGTTGAGTAGTGAAGTCAAGTCAGAGCGGCTTTTTGGCGCGGCAGCCCCTATGACATGGGCGGATGTCATACCGATAATCAGGAAAACCGAGCCTACGAACAAGCTTATACCAGACCCTCCTGAAAGCGAGAACCCGAGTTTGGGCGAAGTTGTTCCCGCTGCTCGTGCGGAAGGCCTCATCCGATCCTTTTTTGATCGTCCCGGTTGGACCACACTTGACCAGAGTATCACGGCAACAGTCAAGACTGCTTGACCGTTGTCCTGACTTGACTTCAAGAGAGATTGCCCCCAGGAAAACGGAAGTTCATCCTGAACTATTTGTCAATACTGGTAGAAATTCTTTATGGGATTAGAAAATCAAACTTGCCTGCAACCCGAACGAACTCTTCCACGAGGTTAACTCGTAAACAAAGTTCCTTCCAGCTAAAAATTTGGTTCCATTCGTGATGTAAAGCTATAGTTAGAGTCACTAAAGAAGGGGAAAATTCAGAAATAGAATTATCTTATTCGATACAGCTACTCTTAGCCATACTAGCCTATATTAACCCGTATGAGACCTGAAATAATGAGACCTCTCTAGGTCAAAAAATAATCATTCCTAATCGTGAATTTAATAACTATGGGCCTCTTAGAATTGCAGCTATATTCCAAAAGAAGGTCCAATTTCCATTCCAGTCTAGATTTACCTAGGTTCGCAGGCGTGTTGACAGTGTACACAAATAACATAATCAATGCGAATACTCGTCTCAAAACAGTCTAGGCCTTTCATCCAATACAATTAAGCCATGCAAGGGAGGTCCTGCACGGCAGCCTCATCCTCCCGTCGGCGGATGATGAGCTTCGCCACCGGATCAGCAGTACGAGAGGTGCCGTGGCGACGGACCTCGGGCAGGCGCTCAGGGTCAAGCTTGAAGTCATACTTCAACAGGATTTGACAAAGTGCTATCTTCAACTCATTCACAGCGAAGAACCGACCTGGGCAGGCATGCTGGCCAAACCCCCAGCCTAAATGGTGTGGTGAAGGCGAGACCAGTTGGGCAGCGGTCTGCATCTGGCGGTTGGGAAGGTTGCGCATCTTCATCCAGCGGTAGGGATCGAAATCTTCGGGGTTAGGGTAGAATTCAGGGTCCCACATAGCGTCGGCTGGGAAGAGGATGGTAGTGTTCTTGGGGATAAACATTCCGTCAGATAGCAGGACATCCTTGGTCGCAAGGCGACGCATGGGTGCTGGAATTGACATCAGTAAAACTTATTAATATGGAAGACCGGTCATTGGAGAGACATACTAATAGCAATGGGCTTAAGTCTTTGGCTTTCCTTGATGGTGCTGTCCATCAAGTTCAACTTGTAAAGCGAGATCTTGCTCCACCCTTGCTCGCGAACAACAGTCATGATCTCTTCGCGCAGGGCACTGATCAGATCCTCTCTTCCAGCAATATCAAACAAGACCTGAGTCAACATGTCGGCTGATGTGTGGATAGCTGCCATGGACAGCAAAAGCTGGGAGATAGCTGGGTTGTACTCGCGTCCCTTAGCAGTGTCCTCCATCCAGTCGATCGCATCAGGGTATGACACAGGGGTCTTTCCGGCGGCTCGCGCCGCCGCCTTCTCAGCTTGGCGCTCTTTGATAATTGGAAGAATCATGCCCAGGGCATCGCGCATGTCCTGGCGGAGCCTTCGGCAAGTAGGGAGAAACCAATGGACAACGTAACGAAGCGCGTGAGGCCATTGGCGAAGTTGTTCGGTAGCTTGTATGACGTGCACTGCGTAGTTGATTGTGATGTGCAACCAGTTGGGATCTCTGCAAAGCTTCTCCCCAAGGAAAACCCGCGAGGAGGTTTGAGCAACAATTTGCGTAATGCTGGATCGTAGTGAAATAGCGTGCCATTCTTTTCCAGGTTAGTCTGGCCCTTTGATGCGAAATTCGTCCAGGTCTTGCACTCACCGTGGTCATTTGTCCAATGAGTCTCGAAGCTCAAAGCAGTCTCGTGCGACAGATGTTCGGTCACCTTTCCTGTTCCGAAAAATAAGTAAAAACTCAAATGAGCGACGCGATCGGGGAAACCGACCGAGTGTTCGAGTCAACTTTGTCAGCACTGCATCATGAAGAATACGCTCGTCTTTGGAACCTTCTCTGAAAACTTCAAACCCCGGGAGATGGGACATGAGTTCTCTAGCGGAAGCCTTATCACGACTTAGGTCTGGGTGTTGACGAATTTCCTCGAGATACTTCGGGGAGATAACGATTTGACATCCATTGTCAGTGATTATGCGGAATCCTTTGGTTGACTTTATTCGGATAGAAATTAGCTAGCGAAGTGGTAGCAAAAATGAGTCAGCAAACCTTTTGAAAGCCTTCCTTCAGAAGATTTGCCGCACCAGCAACGTAACTCTTCTTGGATTCGCCCCCCAAATGGAAGAACCCATGGCTATTGATCAGTGGTAGCTGAGAGCTTGGGCACAGGACATAGCTCAGTAGCCAGGTGACGGCCAGAACCACCCCGGCAGCTAAGAGAGCCTGACGTGGCTCCTGATGAAGTAGCAAGTCAATAATCATCTTGATAGTGTTCAGGAATAAGCCCCTTCTTACGTCGAGGGGATTCTGAAGGCCCGTATAAAGGGGACGGTTCTCCAGCGTCGATAACAAGTCAAATGTAACAATTCACAATCAACTCCATGGACCAACGATCCTCCCGTGCCAGAGTCAAGTACGCATACCCCTATGCAGCCCTCACGTACTTCTGCAGAAAACCCATAGCACGGCTCATGCAATGTCTCGTTTCCTGGAGCCGGCATAAACGGTGATCAAAGCAATCCCTTGCTTCGCGCATTATGCCCATGCGCCAAGGCCCCACTCTCTATGCTGTGTAACTCCACACATTCCACACACGGGTGGCATGTGGCATAGAATTGAGTGCAGCTGCAAGATCTGCAAAATCTGCGAGATAGCCGAGATCTGAGCGCTTTCGTGAAACAGAGTCTTGGGTCCAGCCGCTTCGTGGACCTCCTGCGTCACGACCGATCTTGATCAGACGTAAATGCTACAGAGTTAATAAACGTCATCGAATAGAACTACCTTCTCTTCAGCATGAGGCTTTTCCTTCGATTTAACGAAGAATACCGTATTGAACAGAGCATAAACGGCGTCTGAAGTTGCATTTGAGTTTCATCGCTTACCACTCCTGCGGGGTGGGCACGGGCCGGCCCTCTGGGACGGGACGGGAGCGTAGCTTTAGCGCATAAATTACGTACACCTTATACGTATACATTACATACACTGTATCCCGGTAACTTTACTGTAATACATTCGTAACGTAAATGGCTCGTTTCAAACCGTCAACGGAGACAGCAAGGAACAAGCCATACAAAGCGACTAAGATGAAGGAAACTAACCTTGACTCGAATGTGACACCGCTACTAATTTGGTATCCTAAGCTACGAAATTACACTCTTCGCTTTCAAGGGAGGGGGTGCACTGGGCCAGCATTTTGCCTGCAATATATCCTGAGACTACGTATGCCACAATATGCATGCCCGAGACCCCTGCATGTAGCACAGCTACCGTCAAATACATATCGTCAAACCAGAACTGAAGTGCACACTGCGAGAGAGTTCCCACCCTTCTTAATGACGGATTAGGGTCAAATACCGGTCCTAAAACTTTAGCGGTAGTAGATCATCGCGTAGATGAACTCGGGTTTGAAGCGTGGGGGGTTATGAGGCGGCTCACTGGCAGGCAGAAGGATTAGCAATTTTACCGGTACTCGTAGTGGGGTCTAAGTGGTCCCAAGGCTGGCAGTGTTCTGTCCAAGTGTCGTCAACAGTGCTACTAGGTCTATTACGCTAGGATCCTCTCATGCCGCAACCAGTATGATCAGCTCTCGCATGTGCCCCTGCGTGCAGAGACTCAATGTTTACAAGACCCTTGCAACTTGAGGTATTTGGAACCATTCCGACGAACTTTTGGCTGGGCCTCGCACAAGAATCAGGTCTCTTCTCACCGACTGCAGCCGTAGCATTGTTGAGTCAATAGCAGTAGTGCCTTGCAGGATTGTCCGCTTCTACGACCCCATTACCACTAGACACATTGGCGTCGGCATTGGCATGGCTGGTCATGAGCATGGCCATGATGGCATGTACTCACTCCATTTTCAAAAATACACATCCATGTAACCGACTCGGAGAACAAGGTAGCTATCAGTACTATCAGTGAAAGGATATTTGCAAGCTGGACAGAAGAATGCTATTACGTACTTCAAAAACTGGCCTGTAATGAAGAATATGGATCCAAGTGACTTTCTGCATTGCTATTCATGGTTTTATAAGAATGGAATTCTAACTGGAAGATATGCTATACTAGAGACAGTCGAGGAAGATCAAGTTCAAAGACCAAGCTTTTCGAATGCTCAGTACGTATTTCGAGCCAATTGCGAAAGAAAAACAGCTAATTAGGATTGTCGTGGATAGTAACAGAATTTATAGTATGAACAAGCTGCAGGCTTTAGAGAAGACTTCAACGAAATGATATTATATAAGATCCTAGAAATGATGACACTCTTTTGGCATAATAAGGAAGAAAGGGGAACAGAATGAAGCCAGTAAGCCAGTAACCGGCTATCTCCTCATTGGACATGGTCCGACAAGAACTTGTAACCGTCCACAACAGATTGCAGTTCATCATTAGTTTGTTTGTTCTCAGGGTAGATGTCGAACAGGTGTAATGCGTCAATGACCCGGAAATCAGAGTCAACATCCTGAACAGAGAGAGCAGAGGTTGTCCTCTGCGTTTGGGAAATGGGAATCAGGTCGTCACGCATCCCATGAACTATAAATGTGGGAGTGTGATAGTTCTTTGCTCGAATCTGAGCAAGAGGGCTGATAGCTTGAATTTCCTCTGGCGATGGAAAATTTAATTCGACCGAACCTGACTTGTTGGGGCGTTTCTTGCTCATCAAGATAGGCAGCGTCTGCCCCTTCCAATTCATATGCAACGCGATCAGACTTCGAGGATCATGAGGGGACATCCACCCAGCCTTAGCCGCCGAGGGATTGTAGGAAGTAATCGGAGTATCCGATATTGCCTCCCATGGATTATATGATGCCTCTGGAGGAGCAGGTTGATCGAATGGAAGGTTAGACTTGGTCCAAAAATCATCTTCGTAATCAGTTGGACTGTAGAACGAGAGGATTGCTTCTGGTGAACGGACACCGATCTCAGACGGTGTCCAACCAAGGGTCATGGCAAGGTGCCCACCAGTTGACCACCCAACAGCGACGACCTGATCACCGTCTGGTTTAACATCGTTGCGCAGAAGGCGTAACTGGGGAAGCTCGGAACGAGCCCAGTGGAGAGCATCACGACAATCTTGCATAGGCCCCTCAAGGAGAGACTTCTGGACAAAGACGATAGTCAATGCTCACCGGTAGGAAGCCAGCATCTAGCAACATCTTGGTCTGCTTTGAGCGAACGTCCTTGCGGGGAAAGCATAACATGGCCGCCACCATGGATCATCAGAGCTAAATGAGAATAAGTGAATGCCCGCGAAAAGCTTAGACAAATCATATTTGGCGCACTCACCGATAGGCCGAGGCTTCAATCTTGTATCCACTTCAGCAGGGTAGTAAATGTCTGCTTGAAGCTTAACACCATCCTTCTCGGCAAAAGTAACCGTCTCCTCAGTGACAAGGGTCTCCCGATCGAAGCTCATGTTGGCTGGCGAAGCGACAATTAGCCGTAGTATTTCTGACTCTTTGGAGTGGTTGTCACTCCAGTCTACCCAATTATACCCAGCCTGACGAAGAGCCTTGTCCCAGTTGTGCTCAGTTGACAGAGCATGCTCTCGCCCATCATCAAACTTCCACCAGCCCTCAAGCAGACCAAAGACGAGATCAAACCAGAAGAGGTTACGGGTCAGCTCAATGAGACATAGAATCCCGTCTGGCTTGAGCAGCTTGCGGATGTTCTCGGTCGATCTGCTGATATTGGGGGTGGCATGCACGCAGTTCGATGATAAAATGATATCATACTGCCCAAGCATATTCTGAGGAGGATCCCTATCAATATCCAGAGTGGTGTAGTGAATAAAGTTATAAGCCTTAAACTTCTTGCGGGCCAATGTAATCAGAGAGGATGAGAGGTCGGTAAACGTATACTGGAACTTGAGTTCAGAGATATCCGCAAGTTGAGATAAGAGAAATCCAGTCGTGCCACCGGTGCCGGCACCGATTTCCAAAATCTTGATCTGCCTTGAAGGGTCGCAATTGCTGAGGACGGAGCGGAGGAACTGGGTCAGATGCATGGTCGCAGAGAAGAACATCGGTGCGTGTGTGTAAACATCTCCAATCAGTTCGCGTGCTTTTTTGTCCTGGAAGAGAATAGCCAAAGGATCGGTATCCCCTGTCAAGCAAGCAGCTAGCTTGGATCCTGTGGTACGAAGAAGCTGGTGTTCTGGAACGTGACGGGGAAACATTTGAATGATTTTTTCATGCAGAACTGATGATGGGGTTGCAGGGATAGGCTCGTCGGTTCGCAAATAAAGATCGCCCCGTTTGCGCACCAACCTCGAGTATTCCAAGATAGAATATAGTTGGCCTTTTACCTGTTGATGTTGAGGCAACACGGGTAGTTCGGGGATGAAATCGCCGGATTTGAGAGTTTCCAGAGGAATTCCCAAGGCCTGGAAAGCCTCAATCACATAAGCTGTCACAAGAGTCATCTGTTGCGGGTGGACAGTCTCACAGAATCCAGTCCACTGTGTCTTGTCGCTGTGAGCTGTAGTGTGCCTGATGTCTCTAAAGATACTCCGAGATAGCTCTGCCAGCTCACGAGACTCCTCGACTGTTGTGACCTGATGGGACTCCCCATTTGGAGTGATATTTTCCTCTGAGGATGGCTCTATTGCCATTTGTGATACGGAGGGGCCAGTTGGAGTATTGGGAGACATGTCTGGGAATATCATCTGCACCAGGCTTTGGATGTCGGGGACCTCCATTAAAGCCGCTGAAGAGAGATCAACGCCGAATCGTTGTTTAATCTCAGATAGCACTTCAGTTCGCATAAGTGAGTCCACGCCAATGTCCTCGAGACCAGATGATGGAAGAAGTTCCTCGAGCGGAATACCCAACAAAGTATTGAACATCTCTTGGATAGCTCGAAGATGGCCGCAACCGGATGGCTCGGATTGTACAGTTTGTAAATTGTCGCTGGACTCCATATGTGGCTTCTGTTGCGAAAGAGATCCCTTTGGCTCCGTATCTGCATCGTTCACGTTCTTATTCAAACGCTTCAGGGCACGGGTCAGAGTGACCATGGAAAGGCTGGTGAACGTGGCGGACATGATAGCAACCAACAATTTTCCGGTCTCCGTGTCAAAGGCAAAGATGTCACACATGGCTTGCTTTGGAGATGGCCGGTCATAGCTGGTATAAACTGTGCTAGAATTGGCCGGCTTGCCATCCTGACCGATGAAAGAGTCGCTGAAGAAAATGTCTCCGATGCCACTGCATACGAACACCTCATCATTCCGAGCTTGAGACAGACAGTTGACATGCAATCCAGCCACTTGAAGGTAGTTGTCCACAAGAATGGGATCGCAAATCCCGTCAGAAGTTTGAGACTCCAGCAAAATGGAACCTGTTGCTTCATGGCCGCTTGCAAAGACTTTGCGCACTCCGTGATAGTAATCAGCGTATTTGACGACTCGATCAAAGGTAGAATACACAGTGGACCCCATCAGTCCAGAGCATCTGGGGGAATTAGTGATGTCATGGGATCGAGAAGAAGTGATAAGGCGACCAAGCGATCTGAAACGGGCCACAAATTGTGACGGTCCATCGACCTTGTGCAGTCCAATCTCGCCAGTCGCATGAGTTTCTGTCGCTGGGGGCTTCTGGCGAGTGAAGAGATTGAATGACCAATTCTTTTGAATATGATTCTGTGACAGCCGAAGGAAAACATCACCCTCACTTTCCAAAATCAATGGAGCACAGATGCTGAGATTTTGAAGTTGTGGCATCATTCCGGACAGATCTCCCTTGCTAAGCTTGCTCACTGCTTTCAGCAGAATTTCAACATAAAGGGAGGCAGGGCATAAATGCTGGCCAACTACAGCATGGCCAGTAGCACACAGGTGATACACCGGGTGAGATGTGTTCACAGAGAAGAGCGCTTCATCTGTTTTCTGCTCGATAATATTGACAAGCTCGTCATCTCGTTCGGGCGATAGCACTGGCGGCTGCTGTGGGGCAAAAGCGCCAGGGTCAAATTCAATCCAATGCTTGGCCTTCTCAAATTGGTAAGGTGGCAAGTTCAGTGACTTGTAAGAGGAACTCTGGTAATCATGGAAAGCCCAGAACTGTACCCTCACGCCCTTGAGCCAGAGATTCGATGTAGCGTTCGCAAGGTTATGCTGTGCCTGTGGCCCCTCCAGGTTCATTGCTTGGAAGAAGTGGCCGTCGGATCCCTTCCAACGTTGGATTATTCTTCGAATCATTGGGATGACTGGGGAGGCAGAACCCGCCTCCAACCACACAGCAGACCCTTTGGCTGCCTGTGCAGCTCGTTCTACAGCAGCCTTGAAGCAAACGGCATTGCGACTATGGTTAGCAATCTTATCTGCGTCAACAAAAGACCAATCGTCTGACTCAGAGCAAGCCTCAATCGGAATTTTTGGCTTATGATAGGTCAATGATTGCGCGACTTTTTTCAACCCTGGGATGATCGCATCCACCAATCTGGAGTGAAAACCATGGGTACTTCCAAGACGCTTCGCGCGAATTGGAAGCGATTGGGCAGCAATGGACTTTTCAATATGGTCAATAGAGGCTTCGTTGCCGGCGAGCACGATATCTCGTGACCCATTGACACAAGCAATGTCCACTGTATCCTTCGTAGAATCCAGAAGCGATTTAATATCATCAACTGAGCCTTCCATAGAAAGCATCTTCCCTTTCTCCGGTCCCCAGCTACTCTGGATAAGAGTGGCCCGAGATGATATAAGCAGCATGGTGTCAGCTAGACTGAGGCTGCCAGCGACACAAAGGGCTGTGAGTTGGCCAAAGCTATGTCCTACTAATCGCTCTACCTTCAGACCAGAATCTAGCCAGGATTTCGCCGATGCATACTGAATAGAAAAGAGCATGCAGTGGAGGGAAGCCAAGTCTAATTTTGGGGCTTGCTCAAAAATCACCGGGAAAAGACTTGGTAGGCCCAATGACTCGCATGTGCGCTCACATTCCATCTAAAGCAAAAGGGAAGAATTAGCAACAAAACTTTGAAAGGGCTCAGCCTAGTCGTACCAGATGGAACTTGAGAAGTTCATTGGATTCAACCAAGTCTTTCGAGATGCTAGTTGTGGCTCCGGTTTGTCCACCAAAGCAGAGGATGACGGGATTTGAGCGCGCTGGGTTCTTTTGAATGATTGCAGAGTTCGAAATCACCGAGTTCAGCTGCGAAAGGAGGCTAGGTGCATTCCGAGAATCTGCACAAAGTGAGACCATGTAGTCCAGATTTCGGTTTTGCTTCTTCGCCAAGTTGTACGCTACGTCCTGTACAATATATCCCAGCGATTCCGGTGCACGTCCATTGATAAACTGTTGAACCGCAACGCAGTAAGACTTCAAAGACTCGGGAGTCTTGGCCGAAAGGAAGATCGGGACTTCAGATAATTTCTGATACGCGTGGGTTGCATTGTCGCGTCGCGGCTCGTACTCTTGAACAAGTAATGCTGCGTTGCTTCCCGCAGCGCCATAATTCGTGACCATGGCGACACGACGGTGCCCATTCCAGTTGACAGACTGCTGTGGAATAATCATATTATCATGTTGGAAAGCGGGGATCTTAGGATTCAGCTGGGTAAAATTAGCCTGTTTTGGAATCCGAGAATTCTGAATCATTAAAACTGTCTTTAACAAGGCGGCGACTCCTGACGATGTTTCTGTATGGCCGATGTTGTCCTTGATAGAGCCAACGTATAGCTTTTCCGATCGACTGGGACCACCAAAGACTTGCCGGATACTATCGAACTCGATCGGGTCTCCCACTTGGGTGCCTGTGTGAAGTCAGTGAAAGAAACAAAAGACAGCAAACAGCTTGACGTACCAGTGCCGTGTGCCTCCACGTAGCTCACTTTGTGAGGCGAGATTCCCGCAGCCTTGAGAGCCTTGCGATACAAAGTTTGTTGGGAGTTTGATACTGGAACCGTGATAGGCGAACAATTAGATCCTTGGTTCACGGCTGATCCAGCAATGACAGCGAGAATGGTGTCTTTGTTTCGGATGGCATCCTCTAATGGTCGGAGGAGAACTAGTCCGGCACCCTCTCCCCGGCAATATCCATCGGCGCTAGCATCAAACGCCTTCGAGGCACCCGTGGGAGAAAGAAAAGATGCCGCCGCGAGATTCTGAGTGACCTTCGGACTCGTCATGACATTCACACCACCAGCCATAGCGATAGAACAGTCCTTGGCTTGTAGTGCCTTGCATGCCAGATGGAGCGCTACGGCTGCTGACGAGCAAGCTGTGTCGATGGTTAATGAGGGCCCGCTCCATCCGAAAAAGTGACTGATACGGCCGCTATTGAATGCTTGGAGAGTTCCAGTTGCTGAAAAGGCATTTGAATCTCGTGATCCGACATTGTCTGTGTAGTCGTCAGAGCCGACGCCGACATAACAACCGATGTCCGATGTAATCGAGGAAGACTCAAGTCCACAATACCCGGCGGACTCCATCGCATTATATGCCACCTGCAAGAGCAGACGCTGCTGAGGATCCATGGATTCCGCTTCTCTCGCCGAAATTCCAAAGAAGCGATGATCAAAGGTATCTGGTTCCTCTAGGAAGTTCCCAAAAAAAGGCCCGTCGGGTTTCCGCCCGAACTCATTCATCTTGAATCGCTCGTTGGGCAGTTCACTAACCGCACATCGGCCAAGCTCGAGCATCTCCCACAGCTTCTCCACCGAGTCAGCCTGTGGATACCGACAAGCCATTCCCACGATTGCAATTGGCATTCCTGTTGGCTCATCATGACCTTGCGTGGTCATTCCATTGACTTGGGCATCATTTTCCACTTCCAACGGGGCGATGCCGTTGGTAAGACCATTTGAGACATGGTTTACATGCTGATCGATGCTGTTGGTAACGGGTTGATCTGCGAGCTGGTTCCTGATGCTTCGTGGGATAAGAGAATTCGGCCCAATGATGACGAACCGAGGTTGATCATCATGTTGACGCATGGAGTCCAGAGTCCCTGCAGCAGTGGCTAACCATTTGCACTGCGCCACCAATATCGATTCCAGTGCAACCGCGCATATGTTCCCTCCCCGAATTGCTTCACCGTCCACATTTGACCGAAGGCCCAATCCCGGCATGCGCGAGCTGGGAACCGAAAAACGCTCATCGTTCGAGAAATATTCGATAAGTCGGTCAACAGCAGGTCTGTGTGTATCATTGTGGAATCTTCCTTTTAATCCGATGACTTTGACAGTCAAATTCGAAGCTGTGAGATCATGGATTATATTGGCACTTTTCTCTTCGGGGGCAGTTATTGTGACACTGTCCGTGTCCACAACACATGATGTGTACGCCTATACAATGCCACAGTCAGCGATATTCTCAGTCTAACAGGAAATAATGCCTTACCCCTGGATAATATGATAGAATCTTTTGGTACGCCTTGCGCCCTAACAGGTTCTTCCAGCGTACAACAATAGATCGCGATCGACCATTTGTCAACTCATCGAGGTCCACCAATGCACCAATTGATACTGCTAAATGCAGTGCACTTCTCGTGAGTGACTTCAAGTCCTCCTTATTTTCCGAACAAGCGACCACGACAGCCGCCAGGAATCCCACGCAAAACCCTTGGGTGTTGATGATCTGGTTTCCCATTTCTTCTTTAATCTTTGTGAACTTCAATATGTGCTCCAAGACAGTGAGTGGTGTCAGGAGCACATTCGTAGGATCAACTGGAGCATCGGACGTGGAGGTAGTTAAGCATTTTGTGAGCACATGGAGTTGCCTTTCGCCAGGGATCTCAGAAAGCGGCGCCCAAGCTTCGATTATTCCCGACCATGCGGATGGAAGATCTTCCAAGGCTTCAACAATGAAGTTGACAGAGTCATCTACTGCGAGACGTGTTCGAATCTCTGAAGCGGCTTTCTTGACGTCTTCACACTGTGGTCCGAATAGAATTGACACCGGCCGGTCGGTATTCGTCATCGAAGGTTGCATTGTACAGAAAGCCAAAGATGATAACACAGAGCAAATGCGAACGGACGTCGAATTAATAGTGGTAGGCCTAACAAGGTAACAGCGAGGTCAAGAGAAGACCTTATTGTCAATGATTGAGCCCTTTGAAAAACAAAAACACATGCCTAATTACTGATCGATCTATGATACTGCAGATCGCGGGAAGCTCGCAGTAAGCTATTCCCAATGGACGCGGGTATAATGCACCTCAATCTAACTGCCGCCATTGCCAATCTTGATTTGGCTATCCCCTGCAGCTGGTTGCGTTGCATTTCGCAGCACTGGGCAACTGTATCTTGATGTTACGATTTACTGCTATTTGGGGAATTGTGGGTCTGTATTAGATCTGTCTGTATTCATCAGCTGGTCCTTCTTTTTTTTTAGGAAAAAAACAATATTGTTCTTCCAAATACGACAAAAAAACAATCGACAAAGGGCATCAAAATAAGACGCTGGTTCGGTAACCACTTGAACTGAGGGGGTATTTTGATGTTTTTGCTGTATTTTAGCTTTCGGGCATCCGTAGGCAACGTGTCCCAGGAGCATGCCGCGTCCGCTGATACCCCAGCCCCTTGATCGGCGTAGCAAGTGAGTCCGCCAAGTGCGTCCGATGGTTGGCAAGAATGACTTTGGGTTGTGAGATTCACAGAATGTGGCGTCGCTCGTCCAGCTCAGTCGCAAGCCCCTCGCATCTCCGATGTCGATGGCTGGCTAATCCTCCGTTTGGCGCCTTGGTCTATACCGGACCCAGTTGCGAGAGAGAGCCATGGGAGATTGCGCCTTGACACACCGCAATTTACCTAGTCAGTATCATCTGCAACTAACAAAACTAGCCTGGAAGACAGATTTCGACCCGGTGCTATTATATTCCTTGTTTTGCCATTATTGAATTTGACATAAGTTCCGTCAAGCTCACTCATCTTCCAAAGCACAGAAACCCAACTTGATATTCTTTTCTTACATTCCGTCCTACTCGATCAAGCATGCATCCCGACTCTCAATTAAAGAAAGCTCTCGCGAAAGGATTCGATCCCAAGTCTCTATACGATCCTAACTTGGATCATGTGGACGAGCCAGTTCGTTCAATCTTGCAGGATTACAGCAAAATCCCAGCGGATAGGATTCTGCAACATGTGCAAGAGTTGGTTCGTATCCTCTAACTAATCAACTGGACCATATTGCTGACTCGAATCAGAGAGACCGGGCATTTGCCATTGTGAGTCTGATATCTCGATTGAATAGACTCGCTCCACTGACCTGATCGAGTTCCCCTACGCATGCGTTGGGAAATTTTCCTTCCTTCAACTAAGCATTGCGTCTTCCCCATGCTACCCTGAGATGCTCGACCGTGTGAAGAATGGAGATAAGCTGCTCGATCTAGGGTGTGCCTTTGGTCAAGAGCTACGGCAACTGGTAAGCAATTCCCACCGACAATATCGGGCAAATGGCCTAACTTCACTCTCAGATCTACGATGGGGCCCCATGCAGCAACCTATACGGATCTGACCTACGCCCCGAGTTTTTGGAGCTGGGCTACGACCTCTTCCTTGACCATGACAAAATGGGAGACCAGATGATCAGCTCCGACATTTTGGACCGCAACTCCAATTTGATGGTTCAATTAAGTGGTCAGCTGAACATCGTGTACGTCTCCCTGTTCCTCCACGTCTTTGACTGGGAAACGCAGGTAGCAGTGGCCAGAAATATTTTTGACCTGCTCGCCGCTAAGCCTGGATCTCTTCTTGTATGTCGGATTGTGGCTTGCCGGGATCAAGACCTAGTGAATGCCACTCAGGCACGGATGCCCTACTATTATCACGATGTGGCAAGTTGGGATCGTCTATGGACCAAGGTTCAGGGGGATACTGGTATCTCACTTGAGGTGACAAACTGGGAGCAGCCTGATGAGCTGGCAGCAAAGCACCCTATCGAGGGAATCTACATCTTGGGATCTTCAATCCGGCGCCTATAGTCATATCGCCGAAGGTGTACACCATGATCGTAAAGTCTAAAACTTTCTGTCGGGGTACTAAGCCAATGTCACTACACTCCCTTTATTCTTCCAAAATTTTTGTAGGTAGTGGATATGGAATCTAGAAGCCATTCGCGACACGTCTGCATAGAAATGAACGCGGGTTGTCTCCAGGGCTGAAATCTAACGGATAACGTAGTACGGGTAATATATATTCCCTCCACGGCGCTCTTCAGGCCCGTAGATCCAACAGAGCTCATTGATAGGAACCAAAATGACGGTTTTCCTCACTTTGGAACAAGAACTTCAATCGTGGATATTGAGTGGGGATGAGGGGAGGCGGTGGACTTCTGTGGGTTGGTCCATGCCGAAACCAAACCCAGGGTCTGTAGGTCTGCACTGGAAAATCCCAGCAGAAATGCATGGAAGATGCAAGCTGAACGCGAGAATGGGTCGCTGACCATGTTATGTCACACAGAAATACCTCTCAAATAGCCCGATGACGATCTACTCCTCGAGGCACAAAATTCGTAACTAATCGTCCGAAAATGCTCGATGAAAGGGATCTAGACCATACGAAGCGGCTATTGTCATGGCACTCCTTTTTGCTTCATTCTTTCGTCATTTCTGGCTTTTGCAGTACGGTCCTTTGGCTCGTTCTATTCTGTTCTGCTACTCTCAATACAGACGGGAAGCAAGGGCGCTTATTCTTGTGCACAGCCCGATATTACGTTGCGCTGGGTGGAAGGAGACAACGTAATTTCTCGGCATAATCATCAGCAAGAGCACAATGATTGTTGGCTTGAGGCACATTTGATTCGTGCTGCAGAGGGTATTGTTTACAAGCAAGCTTGGCCAAATCCACATAATGCGATGCTGGCGGCCCTCAGCTAGGGCGGCGGCGCTACCTTCTGTTCCCCCGTTTCCGAGCCCAGTCACCTGGCAACCTCTACCAGACCTGAAAAGATGAATTTCTTCCGCTCGAAACCAACTCAGCCAGCGAAAGTTGTTTCAGACCATGTTATACCACTTCGTGCGTGGGACACGGCTTTGGCCATGAAGGGGACCGTTTTGGATGCCACGTTGGTCTTCCAAGACATCCTGGACGTGTCAACCCTTCGTGAAGGTTTGGTGAAGCTGTATTCAACGGGCAACTGGAGACAACTTGGCGCTCGACTTCGTTCAGACGTAAGTGTTCCACAGTATATAGAAAAGAGGCATCTTCCAAGATATTTTCACATGTGATTAACTCCCAAGTTCGAATCAACAGGAGTCCGGAGCATTGGAGTATCATATTCCACAGTCCTATGATGATGTTCGGCCCGCTTTTATTTTTACAAATGCTCAACATGAAGTCCCAGTTGAGTCTTGTCCATCGGCAGCTGCTTTCCTGAAGACCCCGAACAACCCGACAATATTGCCTTCTCCAGCCACCTTGAATGGTCTCTCCCGCGGCGAAAATGCCCCGACGAAACTGGAGGATTGGATATACGCTGATCATCCACAACTATTTATTCACACAGCCACATTTCTTGACGCGACAATCGTGACAGTAACGTTTCCACACACCCTAACAGACGTCATGGGAATCGGGATTTTCATGAAAGCTTGGTCGGCAATGGTTCAGGGGAATCTTGGTGCTGTGCCAGCTCTAGAAAGCTTTGAGTCTGACCCCTTGACGCAGCTTGGGCAAAAGACACCGGCCAAAAAGTATCGATATTATGACAAAGTTCTCAACAAATCCCAACTTCTAATGTTCGTCGGTCGACGGCTCATCGACTCATTCTGGTACCGGCAGGAGGAAAGGCGCACCATCTTCCTCTCCGCTGACAGCGTGAGAAAGCTGCGTGAGCAGGCCCTTCAGGAATTATCGGATTCTGGTCAGCACGGATGCGCCGAATTCAAGAGGTTCGTCAGTGAGAGTGACGTTCTTCTGGCGTGGTGGGGGCGTATGCTATACACTGTTCTCAGCTTACCTCCAAGTCAACGTATCATGATCCATAATGCGTTGAACCTACGTACTTCCTTGCACGACTCTTTTAGTGCGCCTGAAAATGTCTATTTAGGCAACTGCGTCTGCATGTCCCCAATATTTGTGGATGGGCAGCAGCTCGAAACCGAGTCTTTAGGAAGCATTGCTTGGCGGAATCGGCAATCAGTCGCCGAGCAACAAACACCCGAGCAGGTGGAGGCAATTACAGCGCTCTTGAAAGAGACGATGGAGAAATCAGGGTACCTTGCCCTGGTTGGAGAGCCTGGAATGGCCATGTTTTCGTCTTCAAATTGGCATCGAGCGGGGCTGTATGGGGTAGACTTTTCTTCCGCTGTAACTCGGCAGGGAAGAGCCCGTCCGACCGGATGAGCAGCATTGGGAAACCGACATACGTCAACGGAGTCCTTCATTCACATCTTTCGTTCAGGAACACCTTTGCAGTGACAGGTAGAGATGCTGGGGGAAACTGGTGGCTCAATGGGGTTCTGCGGACTGATGCGTGGGAGGGTGTTGAGCGTGCACTCAAGTCACTTGGTTAAACATCGAGATTCTTTGGGTTGAAAGATTTGCCCAGATGGCTACTCGGTTACCGATACACTTGGATCATCACAATTGCGCTGCAGTTATCACTAAAAATTCAACTGATTATAATATGCTTCTAATATTTGCCTTCTCAGATCAAGCTTCTCGAGTTCGAGTTTGTGCTACAATCTCAGTTAAAGCTAAAGCCTTATATATTTCGCCGCACTAGTCGTAGTAACAGGTAGTCATTTTAGGACAAAGTTTCCAAGCCAATAATTGATGGACATGTAATACTCTAGACTTATCTTTTCGGTCCATCTTTTCACAATGTCAGCTGAAATGAAAGCACGGAAATGCATAGTACTAGTATGCGGACGTCATTGCAGGGTCAAATTGAGACTTCTTCAAGCTCAACTCAAGGCCCCGCCGGACCCTCCTTCTGCCGCTTTTGCAAACGTAGATCTGTGGTATGCGTACACGACTAACTAATTTTGCACCAAATCAGGTTGCAGCATCGCATCCAGTAATATTATGCAGAGTAAAAACTCTCTGTCTATCTCGGCAGCTGCGGTGCAAGCCGGGACCGAGAAACTGCTTCTCCGAGCAGCCTTGGGACAGCTTCACTCTGCGGCGAGTCATCGAATGGACTTGGCCCGCGGGCTTATTGGAGAAGGTGAAAGAACCCATTGAATGTCTCTATTTGGAATTACACGCTGGTAAGCTTGCATTTTCTGAAATGGGTTATGATCTGATCCATCGGTTTCTGTACGACACTACAACCCCACTTGGATTTCTTACCACATATGATCGATTGTAGATCCCTTACGAGAAAGACACACAGATTCGGAAATTACCTATGCTCTTCCAAATGACCTGGATGACGTATCTGAGGCATGGGACTGCAATGCTGGAACTCGGTAGCGGGTGGACCTTGCCGTTGGCAACCCCCTTCACCAAGAGCAGAGCCAAAAAATTACCACTGCAACCTGGGTGTAACACAGAACAGTAAGGTATATTACACATCCAGGAAGAAGCTTGCTCTAAGGATCTTATAAGTAGTAATGGGCTTCTCCCCCGGGGAGCCTCAGCCTAACTTTGCATTTTGCCATCAAAAGTCCCCACAAAAATGAAGCTTTCTACATTGCTTGCTCTCCTGCCCTTGGCCCTTACAGCCTATGCTACCGCTGGTGTTGAGGGCGATGGCGAGGACGACGTACGATACTGCCTTCGTAAGAAGGCGCCCGCACAATTCGAATGTGTCGGAGGTCTCACGGTAAGATGTCCTGTGGCAGGCTTATGAAGAGTGCATTGCTAACATTCCAGCAGATGTCCGCCTGGAAGAGCGTATGTTACACTTGAGAGGATGATCAATGTCGATAGCTAACCTTGTTCTAGAACGTTGGATGGACATGCTGTGATGCTTCAACCCTCTAATTTGGCTGGAAATCACGCATTGAGGAGTGGGTTTGCAGACTTCCTCTTCCCATAACGGCCTACTAGAGTTACTAGATTCGGGCTAAGGATAGCTTGCATTTTGCCAGCTGGAATGATGGTTCTTTGCTTGTCACATATGCTGTATCAGGCCTCATTCTGCCCCTCTAAGAAATTCAACTTGGCATGTGTAATCTAAAGATACTTCATGACCGCTCAAGCGCTTTTTCCACACACCTAAATTTCAAAGAAGATTACCGATTACTCTTTGAAGGTCGAGAGAAGTTGTCTCAGTACGAGTCGAATTCCTTTGTTCAGGTGGTATCATCAGTGTGCCGCCGGTACTGGATATAGAAATTATATGAGTCACCTGTTCTAGAATGCGCACATCACTATTTCGTTCCATTGGTACACATACTCTGCTAAATGAAGCCCAGGAGTTACATACTCATGAAAGATGTTCCACCCGATGGGTGGCTAGAAACAATCTTATTTGTAATCCTAGATTACCATGGCGTATCTGAATATGAATCATAAGACGTTGCCGAGCTTTGGATGCTTTCGGTACTGCAAGTGGGCGAGGTCTAAAGTTCTACCCGTCCAATGTCGGTCTCCAGGCTAGTCGCTAGGTTCCTATTTGTTGTCTCGTTTTGGACAACTCATAACACTGCTAGTGATGAATCATGCTGCCACCACATGGGATCCACCATTCCTACATTAGCGAAGGTAGCAAAGGGACTGACCGCAGGTATTTGGCTGGCTGAGCTCAAACATCCGGGGCGGGCCCCTACGGCCAAGAGAGCTAGTGTTTCCACTACAAGTGGGGACATCGTCAATACGGAGGCGTATCTTTCGGTAAATAACATCGGTACCGTCACGGTCACGGTCACGGTGTAATAAATACTAAGAACATGGAACTTACCCTTGCGTTCTCGATCTGGGATATCGAGTGGCTTACTGCAAAAGCGAGCTGGCGGTCTCGATCTCCCTATGCAGACGTTGTGCAACATGTTCGTATGACCTCACTTAGCGCATTGCTTAGAATCCACAGCTCCGCTGACGTTCGTGCTGTGTGACCTTGGAATTTTCAGGCGTGCATCTCGTGAAATGGCATCATATATGACACATCATTATTAGCTCAGAAGCGTCGCATACCTGATTGCTGGCTTTAAATAAGACACACTATATATCGGGCTAGGTCCTATATGGTAAACAGCTTCAAGACCAGTATTCCTTCTCGGATATTAAAATCAAATTTAACCGTGATCACTGAAGAATTATCGTGTCTCACACAATGGAAAATCTTCACGTTTTTGCCAAAGATGGCACATTAGATCGTGCCAAGATCCAGAAATATCTCATTCGTCAGCCCATTGACGACGAAGATGACTACGGCGAGACTCCGCTCCAGCTGGCCATCAAAGGTGGCCATGTGAGCGCTGTAAAGCTTCTCTTGCAGAACGGCGCCGATGCCAATTTGAAAGCCCCAGATGGAAGGTCTCCTCTATACTTAGCCGCCCAAGCACCAGCCAATAACGCTCGCATTGCTGAGCTTCTGCTGAACCACAAAGCTCGTGTTGATGATCGAGTTTCCCAGCTGGGTAATGACACCCCCATCATGGAGGCGATCAGACGGGGCACAAGTCCTGAGCTCATTAAACTTCTCGTTGAGCATGGGGCGTCTCTGAAAAATCCCAACCTGAAGGGAGAGACTGGACGCAGTCTTGCGGACAAGTCAACCAACACTGCTGTCCACAAGGCTTTGCGTCCGAAGGATGAAACACCAACATGGAAACCCGAGTTGGAGAACCTCCTTGTCAGCTCTGGCCTCTTTGCACTCGCCTACTTTAACAATTTCAAGGACGTTGGAGTAAATGCCTTCAATCGCCTGGCTGCTCTCAATGCTGATTCGCAAACGGTATGACCCCAAATTCAAATTATGCTCATGTGCATGGAATTCGTCTCGTAACATCCAGACAGGCCAAGGAGGATTACCCTCAGACGGAGGAAGAATTCAAAAAGGCGATTGAAGGATTCGTCTCGCGAAATGGACTGGAGGACTTCTATCCCCAAAACAACGAATACGTTAAGGGGGTCTCAGAGAAGGCCGCCGAACTGCTTCGCGAAGGCCCCTCCACGGCGGACGAGTCGAAGAAGATCTTGATCATGTCTCACCTTGCACTGTATCAACCTATTCTTTACGCTGGTGAGAAGAATATTCCCCGTGTTTGAACTGCAGATACTGATACCAAGGCTTTGCAGATGACAGTGGCTCAATGCAAGACACGGATGGAAAAGACGACACTCGGATGGTTCGCCAGGCCCTTATAGTGGAGCGGATTGCCGAGCAGACAGTTCGATCAACCCCGCTGGAAAACGGAGGTCGGTGCACCTCAGATTCATCAACAAGAATGACGGAGGTGGCAATGACCTGCACCCTGATGATCTGCCCCCCAGAATGAATTTCACTCCTAGTGGAAGTACCAAGCTTGGTACGAACCTCAAAGGCAAGATCCTGGATGAGTTCCTCTATAAGAAGCTTGATGCGGGTGAAGACTTGGAGAAGCCTCTTCTCATCTTGACTGTTACCGACGGTGCTCCTAATGAAGAAGACAAAGATGAATTCCGCAAACAGATTGAAGCATCTTTTACTTACGTCGCATCCAAGGGATATGGCCCAGATGGTAAGCACTCCAGGCGGTTATGGTTAAAGGTGTCTTATCATATGCCTAACTTTACCATAGCTCTGAAGTACAGCCTGAATCAGATCGGCAATGCCCCAGAAGCAACCGACTTTTTGTCAAGCTGGGAAGGAAACCCTCTTTTAGCCACTGAACAGGTCAGGGTGAATACCGGTAAGCCCTAAGTTCAAATCATCATCAATTTCTAAACCAGTGAGCTTACCAAAGCAAATATTTTAGAGCAACTTGATGCGAGATTTGATGAGTTCTATAACAACGATGACTTCGATGGATGGGTATGTTATGGGTACTCATAAACCGATCTATTTCATCAATACTAACGATCCTGAACAGTTGCTCAAAGTTCTCAACCCGGACGATAAGGTTCAGTATTAATCAAACAGCATCAGACTTGATTGAAGAGCCACGGTGGTATCGAATGTGATGTCGGAAACCTTAGTTTTTCATGAGGGACATATGTAGTATTTATTTGGTTGGCATACTGGCAAGATATCTTCAGTTATTCTCACCGGGATCTCAGATCTCAATGTTTCCTTCCCCGATGAACTAGTATGCAATGAATTATTAGTTTGTTGGTGATTCATCTTGAACAATATACATTTCGGTAGACAAGACAATTCAACCACTTGTTACGCTGCGACCAATAGATAAGTTTGAAACTCTTTCAGAATATCCTCGCTCTTCACATCATAGTCTATTTACAAATCCTCTGATCATATCTTAGGAAAGTTCAATTTTCCGTTGCAAAGGAAGGACAAGATCATAAAGTCAGTCTTCTCCTTTCGCCGTCCCTTTTCAGCTTCGTGATTTCTACAACAGTAGTCATATTGAAATTAAGTTTCTGGAGTTGCAAATAATGGATGACAGAAGACCTCTATTACGACATATGTGCTGCATTCCTGGAATTTCTCATTGACCTTTTGCTTCCCATCGTACTCTCCTTTCGGTGGCAATTTTCTTCTCTTCTCTACCTATTTTGTTTTCAGCTTGATCCACCTCGCGCCTTTCTTTTTTGTGTAACAATGAAGTATCGATAGTTTCAGCTTGGGCCCATCTGTACCATGGCAGCTCACCGATCCACCGTAACCGTAAGGGATCTGCCCTTGGTACAATACATATGCAACTATACTCCACTAGATGTGTGTATGTAGGCACGCTTTTGTCTCAGTTAGATCTTATTATTGAGACCCTGCATATAGATCCGCTATGCTACATACCTAAGCTCTGGATCTTAGCGCCTAATCCCAGGATCGGCCCGTCACTTGGCCCCACACATCACGAGTGGATTCCAAGGACCGGCATGTCGGGCTCAGCTGAGAGGCTGAATGACTCGCTTATAGGCATCCTCAAGCGAGCAGGACGGGATCGTGCATATGCTACCGTCATATCTGTAATTGTGCAGGGGGGAGTCTGGAATCAAGGGACATGACGAAAGCCTACATACCAGCTAGACCGCATCGATGGATCCGCCGTTCGAAGTGCCTCTCGATTTGGTTCTTTGTTCCGAATTTCTTGGGATTCGTCTGATTGTAACGAAGGACAGTATCGTATAATTTACTATACATAATACCGTAAAGCGAAATACCATGATCCTCTTCAAAACGAATGCAGCTGGGCACTCAATCAGGTCCTGACGTAATGATCCCTCGCCATCCCCGTATCCCCATACCATGCATCTGCAGTTCGTGCAGTATTTACGTCGTACGAGCTGTAAGGCATCTACCGCATTTGTCGGGGATATTCAGATCGACCATGGGTCTATTATGCAACAGTTTCACCCTGGCCCGGGAGTAGTTGTACTACAAGCTAACTAGCTTGATGCGGATCTATCAAGCCTGTGCATCATAGCCAGGCGCATTCCTCATATATAAGGGAACGTGGTCGATAGGTCGTTTCCATTACAGTCAATTGGTCTCATTGTCGACTTTAGTTGCTCACTATGTCTTCTGTTCGTACCGGGTTGGTTATCTCCAGCCTAGCATGGCTAGCCAAGGCCAACACGCCTGTTGTCCACACTGAGGTTTCCTGTACTACTCAGGTCACAACCTCTTACCTGCCGGGCCCCAGCTTCGTGCCAGCCAACCCCCCAGTTCCTGGGTCTGGTGGCCAGTATTGGTGTCCTGCCTTCGCTGGAGATGACCTAGCGGGGGGCGGTGACAGCACCAAAACTCCATGCACAGAGGAGCTGCAGAGTCCAGTTGATTTCACTCTGTATTGGAATGACCTCATGAACCCGAAGAGCGGTGCTGATGGCAAAGCTAAACCACCACAGCCCGTTGATCTTCTAACGGACTATGAGTTTGAGACTTTCCTCATCCTCCACGATGAACACGACGTTGGCATCTCGGTTACTTTCTTGGATGATAAGCCAGATAATGGCGTCCCTGGTGTTCTAACCACCACTGACCCTAAGGGCTACCGAGTCCCTGCTGGTAAGCGCTATCACCGCGTCGAATGGCGTCCCTGGTCTAACTATTTTCCACAGGCGAGCACACCATCCGACTTGAATGGAAGAATCCTAGCGAGAAACAGGCTCTGGCTGAAAGCCTGGAGAGTGTCCAAGGCCAATTCCAATTTGACAAGGTCGTCGCCTGTAGCTCAGGTGGTAGCAATGGAAAGAAACCCGACGACAACGGTCAGAACGGCGGTAGCAAACCCGAGCCCAAGGACCCTAACTCTGGTAAGCTATAGCACTACCCGCCTCGCTCTGACAACTTGCTCATATTTCGTACAGGTATCACCTCCGATGGCACCCCTTGGAAACTTACCGAAAATGCATGTACGTAGAATTCCTCCCAAAATCAAGGGCGTTGCTAACCCTAGCCCAGTGAACAAGGGTCTTCTTGGCAAGCCCATCTTGAGGGGCAAGAAGTTCAACGATCCCGCTGAGTGTGCAGAGGCTTGTGCGCAGTCCAAGGACCAAGGATGCAAGTGGGCATCTTGGATTCGTGCTGACCAAACTTGCTGGACCTACAAATCCGATGTGAGGGGCCCACCATTCACCGAACTAAAGGGCAATGATCTTATTATCTTGTCCTAAAGTATGGCAAGGGTCCATGGAAGCGCACCTTGGTGGCCATTGATGTGAAGGGAGTTCCTCATGTAATCATCCGGCAAGGCAAAAGGCTGCACGAGGAATCATTCTTCGATGGGTGCGATGAAAGCTTGGGGAACGTGATCTGGAAAAGTATACTTTCACTCAGTAGTCTTTGGGGTATCTGTACAATATCAATGCAGCTCCATTCATGCAACTCTTGTAATATCAGTGATGTAGTATACCTCAATGAAACCATCATAACTTCTGTGTAACCGCAGTATTTCCAATAGTCGATCTACACCGTTGACTCGTTCTCATAGTTTTGGTTTGTCTGGCTTTCATTGTCTTATACCTGGTTTGGTTTGCCTGATCTGCAACCTTGGTATCTGGTCTCCTTCATATCAATACGGTCGCATTTTTAGTTATATGACCGCACTATAGGAACCATGAATAACCAGAAAGGTATAGTAAACTTTGGCCGAAGAGCATTAGTCTCCGGTATCAAAGGTGATTGATAAGTGGCTCACTGTGGAAATCTTTTAACTCTAGAAAGCACTTAGAGACCTTGGGAATGCAAAAGACAGTTACTAGCACCAGCAGTCAAGCTTACATTGGGTGATTAACCCAGGTATATCGTGATCATGACCGGAGCCTTCTACCGGGATATCTATGACACTAGCCACTAATTCCTTCAAGTCTGTAAAAGTTCCCAGCCTGAGATGGAGCACTCTATAAGCTTTAGTGTGTCCTGCATATATGCTTTGTCCCAAACACTTACCCTGGCTTAGGCGGCCTGCACCTGACTCGGAGTTCATATGTATACATCGATTGATCGGCTCACGAGGCTCAAGTTCGCAGCTACATATACCATAACTACTCGTGATCCTACGTTCAAGCTCAGCCTTTGAAGAATCTCAAATTATTACTTTGAGTGCTGCTTCTGAAAAATGGAACTTCAAGTGAGCATGGTGTTTTCATATATGCACGCTCGGCGAGGAAGAAAGAAGAAAAATGTACTCATTGGTTCATATAGCACGAGTTGAACCTTTATTGGGTAATCGACCGGCAACAAAGGTTACTTGTACAAGTTTAACCCTTTGCAAAGGTAACTAACTCATCCTCGGTGCCATTCCAGATATCAGAATCACCACCATAGGTGTAGCTATCTGCGTTCTGCCAGAAGTCCTGGAAGGACCAGCCACCCGGGACCGTGCTGATCGAGCTAGCATACTGAGCCAGCACTAGAGGATAGTCAGAGCTGAAAGCGGTGCTGTCCCCAGTACAAGACTTCCACCAGTCAGCAGTGGTGTAGATCATGGGAGGACGACCAGTCTTGCTCTTATACGTATCGCCGAAATCCTTGATCCAGGAAACCATTTCGGATGCACTCAGGCCATAGCAGGTAGAGCCAGATGGATTGTACTCGAGGTCGACCATACCCGGGAGAGTTTGGCCATCGTTGGTCCAACCACCGCCGTGAGCAAGGAAGTACTCGGCCTGGGTAGCACCGGAGCTGGAGTCGGGGTGGGCGAAGTGGTAGCCGCCACGGATCAATTTGGCGCTGGTGGCCCCGTCATAGTGGCTTGAAAAGGACGAGTCGATGTAGTCAGTGCCCTCGGTCGCCTGGTTAGTATGTTAGATTGGATCTGAGGAAAGCGTACGACTCGCCAGGTTGGTTCCGATTCGTACCTTGATGATGACGAATCGGGCACCAGACTTGTAAGCTCCAGCAAAGTCGACGGTGCCTTGATAGCTGGAGATATCAAATCCTTGAACGCCGGAAGCACGAGCTGCGCCGGCCGCGATGGCAACAGCGAAACCTATGGCGGTCTTCATGATGAGGGCAGATTATAGACTTTATTGACAGAGTAGAATGGAGATGCATGGGGAGGTGGGCGGTTTTATGGTCGCTATTTATCACATACTTTCCGTATATGTCGGGACAAGGAGATCGTCATATCTTTCTACTGAATGCACCCAGTCGTATGCCAAAATAACAAGATCGCGATCAGATGGGGGCGTGAAACGGATACGAGGTTGTGGATCCGTGGATTTAACACGATCGGGGCCGATCATTTCCCTCAGAAAGACTTAATCGTGGCGGAATAGGGGCTGCTAGCAAATGAAAAGCACGAAGAGTCGCACCAGGGGCCCTGTGGCGTTATTGAAGAAGCGACCGCCGTTGAGTCGTTGGCTTGGACGATGTCACCTTTGAACCCCTATGGAAAGCTTTGCAGAGAACTGTGCCTAGGTTGCCTGACACGAAGTACAATCATGTTGAGAACCATCTCGATTCTACATAGAGTCTGCAAACCCAAGGCTTCATCAGACCGGACATCCACTCGAGAATATCATACGGCGGATTACCGTAGACGAACCTTATGCCGAGAAGCTACCGAGGTGGTACCTTGCAGATCTGCTCGTATTCTGGGGCGTCGTCCGAGTATCAGGTAGGTACTGGGACTGCGCTTGAACAATTTGGAGTATCATTCTACGAGGTGGGGGGGTTCTGGCCAAGCAAATACAGACGAGATGTAACTGCACGAGGCCGCGATGCAGCCAGGCAATGGCTCCACCTCGGTCGCACCGAATCAGGATCGAGTGAGGTCGGAGAAGCAGTCGGGGTCATCCGACGTTCAGCCTTTAAGAGGGGGCACATACCACACTAGACCCGTAAATACTAGACCCGTAAACTAAAGCTCCGATCAGGGCCAATCTATAGAACCAAGCGCACTGGATAGAGTCAAGTTTCACGTATGATAACGCCAGAGCAGGCAGCTGCAACGAATGGCGCTCGAATGTGCCAAAAAGAAAGAGAAAAATTGAGTTTCTCCACCGCAGCCATGATTCGCCCCCTCGCCCTCTTTCCCCTCTCTCCTCCCCCTTGCCCCAGGCTTTTTCCTCCGTGGCTGGACAATGCGGTTCGACCCGCCGTGAGCAATGAACAGCGCGGGTAATAAGGACTTTCGCGACCAGCTGGGCAAGTTCCGTCTGGAGACGAACGCGCCAGCTCCAGTTTCTTGGCCTCAGTCTACCTCCCTACCATCCATTGCCGATGCCCCCCGAGCCCCCCATTCCTAACAATGCCTCCACCGCCGCTGCTCTCGCGGCCTCACGGAGCAAGCGCGTCTCCACGGCCTGCGACTTTTGTCGCAAGCGCAAGAAAAAGTGCGACTTCCGCTACCCAAACTGCTCCGCCTGCAGCCGCGCTGGTGTTCGCTGCACCATTCCTCCTCCCGGCCCGCAGGTAGCCAACTCCTCCGTCCCCCGAGACCAACTTGAGAACCTCCAGAAGCGCGTCAAATGGCTCGAAGAAATCGTCCGCCGGAAGACCGGCATCACCGTCACCGACATGGCTACCGGCACGCCGGTCGACGGTGAAGGAGATCCAGACTGGTGGTACCAGGTGCCGTCGATCATTGCGACCGGTAGTCGTTCCGCGGCGACTTCGATGCCTAGCCCCGCTGGAAGTGGAGGCTCGTCCGTGACCGCTGCTGGGACGTCCGAGGCTTCGCCCGGTGTTGGGGCTGAGTTGCCAAATGTTGGAGAGATTTTTCGCGATCAGCTCGAGCATCGTCGGCCGTCGGTAGCGCGGCCCTCCACGAGTCCACGGGTGCTGCGGCTAGGATCGTTGGAGGAAGCCGAGCAGGTCTCGGGGAAGTATTTCGATAGTATGGACTTTCAATATCCGTTTCTCTCTCGAACGGAGTTCATGGGGCATCTTCGGTATATCTATGCCGGGGGTGTTCCGACCCCCGAGGTGCATAACATGTACCACATCGTGGTCGCGATCGCCCTTCTCATGGGATCAGCGGATCCCAATAAAGCGGCCGACTTCTACCACGCTAGCCAAGAAACAATGTCGGCGGCACTGCAAAATGAGGACCTGCCAGCCGTGCGCGCACTGCTGTGCTTGGCTTTGTACACCATGTTTGCGACCTCTGGTCCGAGTATCTGGCATGTCCTGGGTTCAACCTTGCGGCTCGCAGTCAGCATGGGCCTTCACAAACCGAAGATTTATTCAAGTCCGACCGAGGAGGAAATGGCCAAGCGGGCATTTTGGAGTCTCTATAATCTGGATCGCTTAATCTCAAGTACATTGGGACGGCCTCTAGGAATTGCAGATGAGGATATCAGCGTAGACCTGCCTCGAGAAATCAACGAAGATGGCACTGAAGCGCCTGGTGCAAGCGCCATGACGATTCCTTTGCAGGTAATGCGACTGCGTCGAATCTTCTCGCGCATCTATCGATACTGTAAGTCATCCTAATTTCGGCTTCTTCCTGAAGATATCATAATAATCCGATGGCTGTTCAGTGTACAGCAATCTGCCCCGGCCATCGCCACAAGAAGTGGCAGTCACCCTCAGCCAGTTTCGTCGCGAGCTGGATGAATGGCGGATGAACGCCCCGGTAATACCGGGGGCCATCCTCTATTCCACCTCTTATTTCGATTATCTATATTACACAACGATCCTCCTCATGTATCGCCCTAGTGAGCGCAATCCGACCCCCGATACAACCAGCATCATCAGCTGTGGTGATTCAAGTATACAAGTGATTCGATCCTATTGGGACAACTACTCGGTGGGCAAGTTGAAGTGGATTTGGTTGACGTTAAGTCAACTTTACTTTGCTGGAATCACAATCCTATGGTGTTTGGAGCAAAACGCGCGCGCCTGGCGTGAACATCTCACGCCACCATGGCAGCCAGACGAGGAAATGATGCGTCGAGCAATCCAGGCTGTCGTGGTACTTCTGGAAGAGTTTGGTAAACGGCGACCAGGCGTGGATCGTTTAGCCGAGACATTCCGTCACCAGAGCACAATGATCTTCAGCCAAATGGCGTACCACCAGCAGCAATTGAAACTCCAACCGCAGCAGCTCCCACAGCATCCACACCTACATCAGCACCAGCAGCACCAGCAGCTCCAGCAACAGCAGGCACAGTTGCAGATGCAGCAGCCTCTGATGCCCCCTCAGCCGTTTTCAATGCCGACCATGGGCACACCCCAGGCATCGACCGTCCCGTTAGCGCCCGTGCTTGACGATGTCTTGCTGGTAGATTCAAACGCAACTATGCCCATGATCGATCCCCAAATGGCGGAGCAACTCTTTTACTCATATAACTGGTTCCAGGAGGAGATGGCCAGTTATTATACCCTTTGAACAAACACCTATGTCATGTCTATAGAATTTCAGTCTCCACCTTGCAGGCCTAGATGGAGTTCTGGAACGAGTTCGGCTTATATTTTAGGGATATCTTCGAGTCCCGATGACTTTAATACCGTATGCCGATTGGGAATGATACCTTCACCATCAACTGGTTTGATTTTCACGTAGTTGGATCCCTAAGTCGTTACTGTTTTATATCTTGTCAGTCAACAATGCAAATAATTTTACCAGCTTTCAGTTCAACGTGAGTCGCTTATAAGCCTGCAAAATGTCCGACCGCGAAAGCATATTATTCACAACTGCATTAGCCCTGGAAATGAAGCCGTGATCATGCCTTTGATTGGGTGGCTGAACGGGCGCCGTGGACACCTGGCTCGATGCACTACTATACTCTGCCTGTTGTCACGAATCACATAGCAGAGTGCCTTCGCAAAGCCACAGCGATACGTATTCTCAGCCAGCGCAGTGCAGGTTTCAAAAACCTTAGGCTAAGTGTCTGTTTGCTAACTCAATCTGTATCCATTCGACTTACTCTCGACGGGAGATAGCGAAGCCGAATACCCCACACCACGTAGCCTTTTCGCGATAAAGCGAGCTTCCCCGCATTTAGAAGATCTGATATACTATCTCCATGTTCCTATAACATAAGAGAATACATGGGTGTGAGATGAAGTGGAGAAACCGGCCCGGGACCATCCTGGTCGTTCGATTTCGTTATTGGCTACGGACGGCGCATCTATACGCGTTTCGATGCCCTACCGCAGATCGACCACGAAATTGAGCCCGCGATGCGATCCACTGAGGGATTTCATTATTACTATCTCTATCCGATGGGCGTCTCTATAAATATTGATCTCCATTGATAAATGCTTGTGGGAAGTCCAAACAGCACCGCTAACAGCGCTTCAAACTTGCAATTGCGGATCATTGGTCTGGGCCTTGTCAGACTGTGACTGGCGGAATCGGCTTTTCAATTGACTTTCTGAGCGCTTCTCCCCATCCACATGTTTAGGACTCAATTGGACATATATGAAGTCAGATCCACTTAGTTCATCGCTTGAAGATACTCTTCCGGTACTCAGTGGATCCAAGAGGGTCTGCACCGGCCCGGTGGTGCGGAGTCATTCCTGGGGCCCCATGAAATTGTGCTTCCCCAGAAAATGACATACATGGTACGCATGGCCTGTAGATAAGTTGGTTCGTGTGTCTTGTTCCTGCGAATTCCCTTATACACACGACCAGTTCGTCCTACAACGTCTCAATTCAATTGGTGAAAATGCCGAATGATGCTGCTAGTCAACATGCCGACATCCAAGCAGCAAATGATGCAGAGACCATGTCCAAAACGACGAAAGATAAAGCCCACGATGAGAATGAGATCGCATTAGAAGAGAAGCATGGAGCGGGCCAAGTAGATGAATTGCCAGAGCTGCAACGGAGACTAAAGAGCAGACACTTGACGATGATAGCCATCGGTGAGTCAATGCTGAACTGATCGGCAACTACGCTGCTCGACTCTGTCCTCACACACTATTAGGTGGAACAATTGGAACAGGTCTGTTTATTAGCAGTGGGACGGCTATCGCCTATGCAGGCCCCGTCGGCGCCCTGATCGCATACATATTTGTTGGATCCATCGTCTTCTCTGTGATGACAGCTCTGGGAGAGATTGCCACCTTTTTGCCAATCCCCGGTGCATTTGCATCATATGCTGCGCGGCTCGTTGACCCAAGTCTGGGATTTGCAATGGGCTGGATTTATTGGTTCTCATGGGCCTCGACCTTTGCCCTCGAACTCACCGCAACCGGCCTGATAATAGAGTATTGGGAGAAAACGGTGCCGATTGCCATATTCATCGCGATCTTCTGGGTCATCATCATCGCTCTCAATATACTACCCGTGAGTTTCTATGGTGAAACGGAATTTTGGCTTTCCAGTATCAAAGTCCTCACCGTCATCGGCTTCATGATCTTTGCGATATGCATGAATGCAGGTGTTGGTCAAGAGGGCTACATCGGCTTTAGGTACTGGGTCGACCCAGGGCCTTTCCAAAGATATTTACTGACGGGCGACGACCAAGTGGCGCTGTCGAAGTTTCTTGGTTTCTGGGCAGTTCTGATCAAAGCTGGCTTTTCTTACCAAGGCACCGAACTCGTCGGAATTGCAGCAGGCGAGACGCAAAACCCGCAGAAGACAATCCCCTCTGCTATTCGAAAGACCTTCTTCCGGATCATATTTTTCTTTATATCCACAATCTTCTTCATTGGCATTGTAGTTCCCTCGAATGATGATCGTCTTACCACAAGTGAAGGCAGCGGGGCCAGTGCAAGCAACGCCAACTCGTCGCCCTTTGTCATCGCAGCAAATCGAGCAGGCATAAGTGTCCTGCCGTCACTAATCAACGCCGTTCTCCTAACGGTCGTTCTGTCGGCGGCCAACTCAAATGTCTACAGCGGCAGCAGAATCTTGGTCGGCCTAGCCCATGAAGGACTGGCACCGCACTTTTTCACCAAGACGACCAAGTGGGGAGTGCCCTACTACAGCGTAGGCTTCACGGCTCTCTTCGGTCTTTTGGGATTCCTGAACACCTCGAATGCCGGGAGCACGGTCTTTAATTGGCTGCTTCAGATTGCAGGCCTGGCGGGCTTCATTACCTGGACCTCGCTCATTATTTGCCACCTTGCTTTCATGAAGGCGCTCAGCGCACGCAGCATATCGCGCGAAATCCTCCCATATAAAGCCGCCTGTCAGCCCTATCTATCTTGGTACGGGCTGTTTTTCACTACGCTCATCATAATCACCCAGGGCTTCACTTCCTTCATTCCTAATTTCAGCGTGGAACAGTTCTTCATCAATTACCTGAGCTTGATTCTTTTTGCTGTGCTCTATATAGGGCATAAATGCGTCACCCGTGTGCCATTCGTACATCCGCTGGAAGCAGATATTATCACTGGCCGGCTTGAGATGGAGGGACTTGACCAATGAACGCTTCAAGAACTCGATTTTAGAGACCCGGGTTCCAAGTTTCACTTCATGTTATGAGCGCCGGGTTTTACAGCAAGAATTGAATATTTCATCATGAAACAATATATCAATTCTTGACCAGCTTAAAGTCTCATCATGGCTCATGGAGGCATTCACATACTGTCTCATAATTATGTTATATACATTTCGTAATCAACTCGACAAGTCTCTATTCATGAACTCAACCGTAGATGGGAATATACAAACCCATTTAGCCATCAAGACCAGGACAGTTCTCGCTATCTTTGGAAGTGATGTCGTCGTAAGGAGAGGGATCAGTCCAGATAATGTCGAAGCTAGAGTGAAAGTTAGCCCCCACCCACTTGCAAGTTTTGCATGCGGTACTTACTCATCGCCGTCGTAATGAGGCGCGTTATCATCACCCAGCTTCTTGGCGATGTCATGGAGAGCATCATGCTCCCAGCAGATGAGAATGTTGCCGGAACCGGTGTATCCAGTGACCACGTCTTTAACGCATCCAGGGTCGTCACGGTCACAAGAAGTGTCGACAGTGAGGCCAAGGGATTCGGCAAGGGGCTGCACAGTATCCAAAGGACGCTGGCGGCTGCCATCTAATAAAGAGCTTCAGTTAGGCATAGGCCAGATAATACATCAAACAACCTATCTTCCATCTGACTATACGCCTAAACATCCGAGGAAGATGACGCACCACTCTGGGGAGTCTGGGCCATGATGTGGCCAATGTCGTAGCCGGAGCTGGAGCCAAAGACATTGGAAAGACACTGAGCGCGCTGCTCACCCTGCGCGCTCAAGCCATTTCCATCATCAGGCTTCTCGCCGTGGCGGATTAGATAGACGGTTGGATCAGCAATTGCTAGGGTAGCAGCAGCCAGCAAGGTGAAGGAAGTAGCTTTGACCATGATTGCTTTCGAGTATCCTTGAGTGAAGTGGAGCTTTGATCTATTCACCACTGAATCGGCTCCTTACTTACAGTTCAATGTCGAGCTTTTTCCCTGTATACCCATGGAAACATGCTATATAAATGAATAACTTTCTTCTCCGCACTGAACCGCTTACTCTTGCTTCGATGGTCGATTGCTTGAGGATAGCTAGATCTCCCAGGGTCGCAAACTACACATGGGCAAGGTCGCCACCATGATTCGTTCGACGATCAATACGCTTAGCTTTTTTAGAAACAGCATCGATTGCGCCCGACCTCCCCCCGCCTCGCATTTGGTGGCGCCGGCTTCTTGGCATCGTCGGGGCGATTCCTTGGCAGCGCGGTCCAAATGTCGAGCACTTTAGACTAGATAATGCATAAAACGTATTGGGGAAGCCTCCAAATGACCGCAAATCATCAGTGGACATAGGGTAGACTGGATATCGAAATAAGTCATTACTCCTGTAGTGTATAGGCGCGATGTTAGCTGCTTGGAAAGAGTTTCTGTGGAGCAGACGCACATACCTTCCTTCCGATGAAACCCAACAACGGGATTGCTCCACAGTGGACTATCCAACTGCTATTACTCATTGCAGAGCATTATACGAACTGGTTCTGCTGCCAGGACTTCCAGTTCTTCGGTTAGCAGTACAAAGGCAGTAAGGGTATTTCGGAACTTTCAGTGACAACACGAACGGCCTTCAAAAAGAAAAGAAAAGAAGTAGCATTATTATCTTTTTAACCGAGACGCACCCTCCTCCACAATCTCATACTCTCAAGCATGTCCGAGCCCAGAGTGCTCTCGGTGGCATTGGCCTGCTGAACCACGGCGACTAGGATAGACGCATAGCAGAACGAGAGTTTGTTCTTCACCAGGAGGTCCAGCTGTACTTTTTGCATTCCACCAAACTGGGACCATAGCATCCATCGCTCCAGAATATCTGCTATGCTTTTCGCTTGGCTCTCATCGAGCATTATCAAGTAAAGGATAGCCCGCGCCAATGTCTCGACAGAATAATCCTCCGGAACAATTCCCTCCTTCGTGAGATACGCCAACGAAGCTTCAGCGATAACCTTGTTATCAAGGCGTGGTGATTGGATAGCTTCCACTAGTCGCCTTTCCTCGTATTCCCGCATTGCCGTATTTCTCTTTAGATGCCCGTAGTGAAAGCGCGACGCTTCTCTCTGGCTGCGAATCCGCCGCGCTTCAGCAGCCTGATGTGGTGGCATTATGTCTTCCATCTGGCGAGCCAGTCTGTCCTCCTCGTTGCGCTGAAATATTTCATTTGCGGTTTCAACCAAGGGGGTGGTGGAGATTCCCACGGGGGCACATCTTTGCTTTCAAGAAGGTCCAGAACCACCATCACACCACAAGGAATTGACTTGCGTCTTACAAATGCCAAGGTATTAGCTGGAATGCTGATGTTGTATAGCCCTGCGCCTTCGTATTCCCCAAGGGCAGAGGCGACGCAAACGAACCAATGTCGAAACGTCTCTCCATGAGTAGAGAGATCGCGTCGTTCACCCGTCATAATTCCTGATTCCTCAAAGAAGACAGTCGTAACACGATCTCCCTCGGCTCGGAAGCGAATACTATCACTGCCGTGCACTTTCAAAAGGGTTTTCATTCCCTGGATGGTAGTCAAGAGCGAGGGCTTTCTCGCAGGGACTTCTGTAGATTCGGTTCCGCTTCCCGCCTCAGGCTTCTCTTCATCCTGCAGGGTGGACGTGCCATCGGTTTCCCCTTCACCTGTGGGCATGCGGGGCTGCTCCAACCTCATCCAAAAGGGGGGCAGGCTGGCCTGGCTCCTCTCCTGCCATTCGGGCCTCCATTGCACCTGCAAGCTCAGAACGCCATCGGAGTCCTCCGCGGGTGCAACTGTCAGAACAGCACCAGGAGCACCAGAAGGGGGTCGTAGCAAGGCCGTGCCGGGGGGGTGTCCAAAGACCAGCCGTCTTCAGCATCCGCCACCCCAGGTTATCTGGGACAGCGCCGCGATCGAGAAGAAACGCGATCAGCTCCTCGAAGCCGATATCCGCCTGAGGGATCTTCAATTCATCCTTGTATTGGCAGCGATATAGCACTTTGCCTGTGATCAGGCGATTCCAGTGGAAAATCGACCAACTCCCACCCTTCAGGGGCACGTGAGAGGTATTCAGCTTCCAGTATCCATCGTCAAGCTCCCGGTCGAGTGGAGTGATTGTACATCGGGGCAACTCGACCTCTACCAGTCCGCCGATGAGGCTCACGCGCGTCAGGGCGGAGTCAAGGAGGTCATGCCGCTTGAGAATGGACCGGATCGACCGCTGGGTCAGGATCGCTCGCACAGACGTATAGATTATCGGAAGGACGCCGAGCACCGCAAGGGGGACACCAATGTAGGTGATGATGTCCGTTGGAGACCTGCCATTATCCATGGTTGTCTTATTCTGGGAGCCGCAAATCCTCAAGATCTACTTTCTAACTCTTGCGCCATGGTTCGGGAAAACATCAACAGCGCGCCAGATCTCGTATTCCATCTGAGATCAAAGCTTACGTTAAAATACGGTAAGCGAAAGAAAACTCGATACCAGCGCCGAGGTCAAGTGTACGGCAAGCGGCGCACGCGTTCGCCAATGAAGTCTGGTGGTGGCGTTTTTTTACTAGTGCGTTTCACACATCGAGCTTGGATGCTTGTGTTCTCCAGGCCAGCGGCTTTGATCTGATCATGCGGAATACATGGGTGATAGAGACCTATCGAGCGCACTAGTCAATCCGACAGTTTCTCCCCGCGGTCAATCCCACATGCGTCTTGCCACCAACGGAGCCGGACAAAATTCTGTTCTTAGACATTCGGCGGTTTGGGGGCCACAACCGCCTTGGATGGACGGAGTTCAGGTTCTTCCGGGCCGAACAGATCACCACTGAATGCAGTTTAGCATCAACACTTCGCCGATAAGCTTGTATCTGTGGTTTTGGGCAGACCTGGCATTTGCTGGTCGTTGGATCGGATATGTCACCGCGATGTCGTGCCGGTCCCCAGTCCGATCTAGGGCTGATCAAATGAGCTCTTTGAAGTCAAAGCTCGGATGCAAAACCTGCAAGTATGCGCTGATGTCGATTCCCACCTGGACATTCCATCCCACTAATGGCTGGTTAGAATCCGGAAAGTGAAGTGTGGCGAGGAAAGACCTAGCTGTGTCAAATGTACTAGCACGGGTCGCAAATGCGAGTATGAGCACTCGCCTCAGCATACTCTGGCCAGACCTAGTGGCCCAGCATATCCCCTGGTATCATCCCCAGGCACAGTTTGGCGAGAGCGTCGTGCCTTTGCGTATTACTTTGAAAATGTCGCCCTGTGCATCGGGGGCGGCTTAGATGTTGAGTTTTGGCGGACTATCGTCCCTCAGGTCTGTGGCAGTGAACCGGCGGTCTGGGATGCCATCATCTCTGTCAGCGCACTGTTCGAAAACCCAGATCCTTACCCGAAGCTGGGAGTTTTCCGCCAAGGAGGTTTCCATGGACTGGATCAGCCTCACCAAGATGCTTTGAATTGGTATTCCCGCTCGGTGTCTGCTGTGCGTCAGCGAATTGAACGCGGCGGCGTCGATGTTTTTGTCGGACTGGTCACATGTACCCTGTTTCTGTGTATTGAGACTCTACAGGCCGGGGTTGAGGAAGCCAAACAACTCTACAAGCAAGGGTGTGATCTCATTGCCTCGCTCCGTACGCAGGTAGCTCGTGGGATTCTTCCGCCTGAGAAGGTTTCCCTCCTAGAGAACACAGTCATTCCACTCTTCGTCCGACTAGGTACAATGGGAGTCGCCATGTCGACTCCCCCAATGGAGGCCTTTTTACACCATTCTGACTATGCAGAAGCGCAGTACTTCACGTCGTTGAAGACGGCACGGGATGCCATGATACTCATATCATTAGAGGCCCAGGTGCTCGAGCAACAACATGGGCAGTTTGTGTTAAATGCACCCGACTCTCCTTTACCGAGAGAGTTCTTTGATCGGGAGTCAAGCTTGTCCGCCCGTTTAAAAAGATGGAACACAGCCTTCACAGAGCTAATGGAGGCTCTCAACATGCGTGGCCTGTCGCAGCAGGAAATCGCGGTCGCATCGATTGTAATGGCATATCACGAGACTGTGCTGATAATCCTAGCCGTCTGCAACACTCCTTCCCATACCTCGATAGATGCGTATCTTCCCCATTTTCAGAATATTGTTGACAACTGCACCGTTGGCCTGCAGGCTTCCCTAAAACCGGACGGTTCGCAAGCGCCGTTCACGTTTGAAATTGGAATTGCATTTCCGCTCTGGTTCACAGGCCTCAGATGTCGTGATCCTACCATCCGCCGGTCCGCACTCGCTCTTGCTCAGCATGGGCCTCAGGTCCAAGGCTTTTACCGATCTACCGAGATGGCAGCCTTTGGAGAGTTGATCATGATGATGGAAGAAAACTACGGAAGGACAATAAATGCCGCCCGTGGACAGCGTATGCCCGAAATATCGGAGGGCGCCAATGATAAAGACCAGTTCAAGCAACCCAAAGTCCTTCTCGACACCAATCGGTCCTTGACGAAGGCCAAAGTTGCATTCTCTCCAAGCCCGTTCCCCGTCACGACCAGTATGACGGCAGAGCTACCTTCTACAGCTCTCATTCCCGAACAAGCTCGAGTTCAGCCGATCGGAATGTTCCGTGCTCAGGATGGATTCCCACCTGGAACCCCGGAACAGGATATTGTCAAATGGGCTCATCGTCCCGAGCAACCCTTTTTTGCAATTTGTGCAGCCTGAGTTGGATTCTGCCAGCGGTCATTGGCAACCAGTTCACAAGTACATCCCAATTGACGTGGAGATATGAATAGTTTCCAAAATTACCAACGTCGGCGTCACTTCTGGCCTGGATTATTATCATTCATCTTGCACCCCGGATTTTATACCCACGTACCACCTGCTCTACGACATAACCCCTGGAGAGAAAAGATAACATAAGAAGGCATCATGATTCCACGCTAGGAGGCTCAAGGTTACTCCTCCCGCCCCCCTACTTTATGCCCGCTCCGGAAATTTCGAACGGTACGGTTCCACGAGTCGATCGAGATTGCAGGCGATCCTAGAAATAAGTATGTATATACATAAATCAATTTGAATGATGATGAGTAGCAATTGATTCACGCCACTGCAGTTGGAAGTGCCGTGCTTTACTCCGAGTCTTTTGCGAGAATGACTGTGCCAGCACCGTTGCAGCCGTACTTTGGTCCACAAGACTCTATCTGGCATTCAAGTTCCTGCCTCATTGGAGTAAAGGTCGATAGACATGTGCCAGTGCCACTTTACCTGGACTTTGACTTCGAAGCCAAGCGATGAACTAGTCATCCCATTGATGGATGTATTTAGCTTATGCGCGGGTGCTCTAGAATTAGAGTTGTGCTAGCCAAGACCTCGTAATGTGACGCGTTCTCGAAAGCTCCACGAGCAGTGACTTTTGTTTTCCAGGCCCCGGGGCCATGAACAGGGGGCCGTTAGACAACCACATTTTCCCCCCCTCCTGATCAAATCCAGTCCTCCCGGATCGTCACCCTTGACTGCCCGTCGCACGATTCCCGGACTCAATCTACCGGAAATGCCTCCAATCATCAAGTTCTGGCTCTGCACCCTCAAGAACGACGAATCGATTCAATCGCCCGAGTTTCGTCGGCTACTTGCGGACGTTCTCACCCAAAACGCATCCTTTACAAACCCGTGGCCCAGATCGCCCCCAATGCACGCGATGTACCAAGATACCCGCAATCCCTCGCGTCTCCTGATGATCACCGGGTACCCATCACAAGAACTCAACAACGAAGCCGATAAGCTCTATGCCCAGAATTATCTCGCGAGAATGCTCGAACACGTACAGCATGTGTGGCTTCGGCAGCTTGAACTTGATATCTCAAAGGTTCCTCTGGAAGACTATGTCCTGGTTACTGTTGGACAGGACCCGGCGGTCTGGGTCGGCGAATCTGGGGTTGGTGGGTGGGATGTGTGGCCGCAGACACAACAGGGCCAGAATTTACCTGAACTGCAGAAGCAGGACAATGGTGTCTGGGTTCATGTCTCGGATTGGAATGGGCTGAATAGTGTCGCGGCTGATACGTCGCGGCTGGAGAAGTTATATCTGAAGAAGATTGACAGTCGATGAATATTGCGGCTGAGCTTCTGAGATGGCATTGGGCCGATTAGTGGACGCACATTAGCCCGGGCTTGATCCATCTTATCTCAGCAAGCAGTGGTGAACAAGCACTGGGTGTTGAGAGGCAAGATCTCAAGTTCAGATAATCAATTAGTCATTCTGGTTCAAGAATTCTGGGTCGATATAGAAAACAAATTGAATGTAGACACTGAGGACTATTCCTCTGTTCCCACCTGCTGAATGTCCTCTACTGTAAACCCATCACTGCCCATCACTGCCCATCACTGCCCATCACTCCCCACCCTGTGCCCGGGTTTTCAGATGGTTCAGCGACAACGTGCTCTTCCAATGCGGACACGGCCCTTCGCTTCTTCTAGCCTCTCTCCTATCCTGGCTAGTCATGTCATTCCAGCTACCAGTAGTGAGTCATGACTCGGCGTGTTGTACAGCGGGTAATGAGCCCACGACCGTAGCCACACTCCAGAGATGGCATTCGGTTGACCGAGTCCTCATCTGATTGAGGGAAGAAACTACGCAAAAGCTTCATTCGTCATATAGTCGTTCCCTCTCATTCGTGGAATCCAGCTCGGGTCTCTAGATCTGTGATACTCACGAATGCATCTCCTCATCTTGGGCGCCACCTGACGAGGTGGCGTATACGGATATGGCTATGCGCTAGAGCAAGGTACAATATCCCCCACATGAAAATCGGACTAAGGAACCTCAAGACCCTATCGCTTAGAGCTGTCCAGAATACTCAGTTGCATTTTTCTCGTCCGCCGGGCTCCTCTGCCAAGCCTCGTGATCAGCCCACGATGGCCGAAGGCTTGTTCCTGTCAAAAACACGAAGCCGGCTTTCGAAGCTTCTGGTATTCCTTTAGATGACCTTTTTTTAGGTCTTGACGCACAGCGGGTTGACCAAAAGCTTTGGGGAAGTTTATCTGACCGACAGGTCTCATTAGCAGACTCAACCAGACTGGAAGCGCAAGCCCTGCGCACACGCAATCAGGATTTGAAATGGCATAGCCCTCGTTTTGGCCGCCATGAGTGCCCTAAGAGTAAAGGTGTCTAGGTATGCTGTCCCGCGTTGGCGTTATCCGATCCGTAATGGCATACCCTGTGTCTCATTCGTACGTGGATCACAATGTGGTGAATGATGAAATGGAGGGGAATTGCGGTGACCAGGTCACATGGGTCACATGGACCGTTCCATGAGTTAAGACTAGGTCTCAGAGTGGTCAGAAGACTGTCAAAATACCTGCACAATCCATGTACAACACTCGCGAAAGCTGTGCTCGTTGGGTGGTGTAGCAGCCGGCAAGAAGGATGACACGTTTAATGACCAGGGGGGTCTTTTACCGAATTAAATTCAGTTAAAACTCATCATCACCCTCCCGATGTTTTAATTCTGGTCCTCCCAGACGGGGGGGGGGTTCAGGATACAAGAGCATGACGTACTATTCATTGATGCGATCCCCCCCTTGCAAGCGCCACGATGCTTCGAGCAGTTCTGGCTGTGCCTTTGACCGATATGGCTTTGCGAGACAGCCTACATCATAAAAATCAAACATTAACCAATCAAAAGATCGGAAGAGCTTTTGCCACTCATCATGCGCAAAACTTACTGTACCTTGCCCAATCGAAGTCACCGCTAGTTTACTCGAGCCACATCACAGCGCCACAAGTCTCCACGTGTCACCAAAGATATGGAAGCCTGCTCCTCCTATCTGTCACTACGAGGAAGTAACCCAAGATTTCAGGTCAAAACAGAAATGAATCGACCCTCGTGGTGGTCATCACCAGCGGTATCCTTCATCGTCATGGATGGTGGACAAGTGATCCGGGCCAGAGGGGAGCCTGTTCAATGTCAGCGCATCAACTGGGTCATCTTCTCCTGCAGAAGAATAAAAATGAGGTTGAACTCAAAAGAATACTAAGCTTCAATATTCCCAAACACAGTAGACCTGGTGGGCCGCTCGGGCCGCTCCACATGCAGATCCTGGGGATTTAATCTATTTCTTTGACGTCACTGCAGCGGTGTTGTTATACAAGGGCGAATCAGCGCCACTGGGATACTAGCATCCCTGCGCTCAACGTTTTGACGTCAAGAAGTACGTCAGTAGGCCAAACTCGACTTAGTTTAAGGGCCATGCTGGTATCTATTTATTACCCGGGCCAAGGGGCTCCATCTTCACATGAAATATCACGATTTACTTGACCGAAGAACCAGTTCACGAGCCACATCCATAAACGGAGCACATAAAGATTTCACCCCACCTAACTCAGGATGCCTATCTTCCATCGCGATTCCGCGGCCAGTTCCTCCTCGGGGTCGCGCCGTAGTGCGGAAGCCCCAAATCATCGCCCCAGCTCCAACATATTCAGCAGCCGGTCTTCTCAGTCCTCTGCCACATCTTCTGGGGGTTCTCGTCACCGCCGAAGTAGTATCTCACGCCATACCCCCGAAGACCCGAGCATCAAAGCCGCCCAAGAGCGGGTTTTCCGCGCTGAGGCAGCCGAGCGCGAAGCCGACAGGGCTCTGATAGCATCGAAACGGGCCGTCCAGGAAGCCAGAGATCATGTCAAATATTTGGAACGGGAAGCAGCAGAAGAGTGAGCAACTTTTTCTCTTTAAAAACCCATGTTATGGCATATCTAATGGGGAATTCATCTAGGGCCCGTCTGGCGAAGATCAAGCAAAACCAGGCGAAATCCATTTCTAAACGCGCGAAGCCACTGGGTCGTAAGTGCTCCTTGACCCTCCTGCAGCCAAGCACAGTCTAACACTCAGAGTAGGCCATATTTGAGTAACGGTTTCCATGCCGGCCGACACGAAGATCATGTAATATTTATTTCCACCGTTATGGTTTGGCGATTGCGAGGGTGTTGAGGTTTCATGTATATTAGGAATAGGGTATATCTGAAATTATATCATTCTATCATTACTGTAAAGAAAATTTGGAGACGACTGCTAAGCCTGGAATTAGGCCTGGATTATTCTTTCCATTATTCAAGTCGAAGTAGTCTTTCTGAGGATGTCGAAGGCAAAGTAGAACCCCCGTTGATGACCATATCCGACTCCTCTGATGCAGCTTGCACCAATTTCCAGGAAGCATAGGATAAGCCTAGTTTTTATGAGCAAAGAGGACGCTAACCAACTTCCAAATTCCATGATCCTCTGTGACCGAGAGCAGTGGACCAATGATGTCGAGCTTTATGCGCCGGGTTACTTGGCTCTCGAGGCGGAAGGGCTTGGAGGAGAGTACCCCTTCACCAGTCTCGCTGCACCAGAGTCTGTTGGGTCAATTAAGAAGCAGGTTATGACCAAGGTGCTGGACCCAAGTTTCACACACCCCAACTTCTCATTCATCACTCCGAGTCGGTTTCCATGAACCTAGGAGTTTAAGTTAGGAGATTCTTTATCAGGCCTTCCAAGGTCAGGATTACACGGTCGTCGATTCGTCCTCTCTTACATTAGAAGATACACTATCGCAAGCAGTTTGGCGGGTGCGTAGGTGCTCTATCGATACCGATTCTCAGATGGTCGGGGCAAAGCTTTAGAATTGTAAGAGAATTACTAAATTTGGGTAGCACTAGTTGACCAGGCAAGATGATAATATTCGATACGATTCTACAATAAGGCTCCGGTTAAATAGAGACTAAAGTTTACTCTTCCTATCTAAAGGAACGCCCCTTTTTATAAGGGGTTTCGTCAGGGGTTTAGCCCCGACTCGGGTTTCAGCCCTAATCTAACCAATGGGATGTAAGAGAATCCTAGGACTTACTTCCCAGACCTTGAATGGTGCAACTTAGCTCAAAGAATCTCGATATATCTCCAAGGGCGCCTCCATTGTTGATTCGATGGCGTTTCACCACCGAATCCTCATTGTTCCTTGACACTTGGGAGGCGGGGCAAGACCTTGAGGATGTTCCAGATGATGACCTTCCAGAGTAACGTGTACCGTTGGACGCCATAAATTATATTTTATATCCTATTATATTATGCTTAGAATACGCCTCGGAAAGTAGACTGAACATACAAAACCCTCTTCAAGAAGCCGGCTGTCGAAGGTTGACCATTTCGTTGAGATATCTACCTGCAGTAACTACCCAGGACATGTAGTTATATCCATATTATAAACGAATTCCAATTTTCCGGTACATCTGCAAACTATCCTTCTTAGCCCGACATTGGTTGCTTCTCTTCCGCTCCTTGTTGTTCGAACCGAGCATACATGACTCCGGTGGACCTGACCGCACCAAGACCCCAGCTTGGGGGGTTAGCCAACTCATCCATTATTTCGCCAGGTCTAAATGAGATACAAGCGGATAGTTCTCATTCAGCAGATAGCCTTTCCAACACTTGCTGACCCTTTTCATCCAAGTTCGGGAACTTTCGTAACTGACGAAGATCCATCCAGAAGTCCTTCGCGTCACGATATCCGTCACCATGTGCCTCCATACGCTGTTGTAGCAACTTTTTCCACTCAGCATCATCCTCAGTCCATCCCCAAGACGCCGAGACGTATTCATACCATACAGGGTAGTAAGCAGCAAATTCCCAATCGAGTATTCCGACCAGTGCCCCGTCTCTGACGATAAGGTTGCCCAAATTAAGATCACAGTGGGTGAGAACATAAGGTTCACACGCGGGCAAACGCTTCTTCAAATCCTCCAACGCTCGCTGAGGAAAAGAATTTTCCGGCGAACGACGGAGCGTAATAGTAATCGCATTCCAAAGTTCGAGGTCAGAGTGAAAAGGTCCGTGAGGCGCCCGGTCAGGCAAGAGTAGCGCTGGATAACATGGGCCTTGACCAACCGTCTGTATGGAATCCGACGTGACGGACCGTAGCTTCTTGCGAATTTGGACAACTTGGTCTGCGATAGCTGTCTTCTGGGACTCTGGTAGTGTAGGCCACGCCTCTTCGAGTGTTTGCCCCTTTATGCGTGCTTGGAGCACAAAATATCGCCCGTCGTCATCAACCCAGTCACGTATAAGCTTCGGAGCAGGGATATCAGAGTACTTCGAAAGGTGATTCAACACTTTCACTTCGTTTTTTGGCCCCTCATCAGGGCGCTCTTTCAGGATAACATCTGACCCGATTGACCAGACTCCGCGTCGACTCGCGCCATAGAAGAGTTTGATATGGCTTGAATAAAAGCATTGCTCCTGCTGTTCCAATGTCCAACCACAGGCAACACAGCCTTGGCCGGTTCCTCCATAATGAAAATGCATGGAGAGCATGAAATCGCTGTCTGTAAAGCATGCAGTAGACCAGGGCCATTACAACGAAGGTTAAAACGGGAGAAATTGGTCACGAGATAGAACGCACAGGCAGGCCACCAGCCAATTGTGTATGCGGATAGGATAGCCCACCGTCTTAGAGAGATCTGTCGGCAAATCGGGTGACAGATACCTGACAGAACCGAGAATGAAATATCAATCAATCAATCAATCAATCAATCAATCAATCAAAGCCTTTGTTCTACTGGATGTAGTATCCAGTGAATTGAGGTCCCGAAGTCGCGTAGTCGGTAAAGATACCGCATCCCCGACGTCCTATGGTTGATCTGCCAGTGTATTGGGCGGTGTGGTGTTAATTGGAGGCGCAGGATGTTCACATGGTTTCTTATTTAGCTTAGAATGTCCCTATGCCCCAAGAGAGGGCTGGATCCGGCGGCGAGCACGGCCGGGTCCTGGGGACGTTAAATACAACTCGTAGTACTACTAAGGATTCACGATTCATTATGGCATTTTCAATCCAACAGCCACTGCTATTCTCGAAACATGGCCTGAGGGCTATTCGATCACAGTAGACTATAAGAGTTTTTATTAGACGGAAAGCTTTTGCCTTCGTGGTTTTCGTGAATATTAGAGATTAGTGTACTTCGAGCGCATACGGAAGTATGTCAGCTCACAACTAGCATGACCTCCGTGCCCTTACCAAGCCTTGAACTACAGAGCGGCAGCGGCCACCGCCATGGCAATACCACCGAGCGCAAGACCAGCGTTCCCGGTCATTTGAGGCATTCCACCGGTGCTAGTGCTTGAGGCAGGAGTCGAGGAAGCAGTCGAGGAAGCAGTCGAGGAAGCAGTCTGGGACTCGCCGCTAGCGGTGGACGTGGCCGAAGCTTCGGTCGATTTAACGGTAGTGGTCGATGCAGAGGCTTCCTTGGGGCCTGCTGTGATAGTGACTGGCAAGAAGCTGATATCAGTCTTTTCCAGGGTAAGTGTTGTAATGCCATCGGTGAGATCGCTGCCAGTTAACGACTGATTGCACCAGGCGGATGTGGTGCCGCTCATTGTGCAGTCAATGGTACCAGAGCTAGAGAGTTCCATTGTCAGATTGGTGGCTTCTCGCGTTGAGGTTGAAGAGTTGTGCTGGCACTTACACCACCGGCGGCATGTTGATCTCGTAGATCGTGTGGGTGGGAGCCGCAGTCACGGTGTAGCCATTCCCGAAGCCACACTCGTCGCTCGGCTCGCCCTTAGGACATCCGACAAGATAAGTGGTTGTTCCCGCTTTCTATAGGTTTTGTTAGCAAATGGCCTTAGCAAAACTTGTGAGGGAGTTACCTCTCCAATAATAGATCCGACGGCGGGTTGTGGGTCAGTGTTGTCGAACATAAACAGCGAGACAACCGATGTCTGGGCGGCTGCAAGGCCGAGGGTAGCCAAGAGGGTGAAGCTTCGCAAGCCCATATTGTGAGTCTTCGAGTCGGATTGGAAAATTCGACACACTTTCAGAGTAGCTTTGGGGAAAGGGGAAGTATTTAAGGTCGCCGTGAGAATCCCGGTGCCACCAGAAATGAGTTAAATCCCGGCCTGGCTAACCCCGAAGTGGATTTTGCCAATAGAATGGCTAGACCCGATCACACTAGTAAGGTACCGCCTGAAAAGCCTAACAGCTGTTTCAGCCACGGGCATGTCTCTGACAAAGAGAAGCAGCAGGAGATGGCCGATCAGAAACGCTGGAGAATTTACTATATTGGGACAGATGGCCTGGAAGATAAGGAGAAGATTTACGAGACCTTGGAATTGATAGACCGCCGGAGAGGGTTCTGCAAAGCTAGCGCTTGCTGGGACCCTTAGATCTCCTTGGCGTTCCTGATTCCAAGGTTGCTAAAATGAACATGGTCAGCACTAAGCCACATTGGGGGGCGCCCTGGCGGCATGAGGGCATTCTAGGCGAGATGCCAAGTCTGTTTCGCCACTCCGCAAAATCCTCCCGCCCGATTGTTGTTGCATCCTTCACCTTGCAAACGTACTTGGCGAGAGTCTTTGAAGGAGGTCTCAGTCGAAACTGAATTCTTCGTACAGCTGATGAATGATGAATGCCTCAGTGTAAATCCAGATTTCAGACAATATGGACTTGGAACTAACATACCTTAGTCGAAGAGGGAGACTCCGATCTTGGCCGGACGGGTCCCACACGCCAAAAATATATCAGCCGCATCCCAGTCTTAGCCTAAATCTTTCCCAGGTCCAATGTGAATTACGCTACGAGAAGCTGCCTAGAGTACTCGAATAAGATCTGCGATAAAAAGGTAATTTCGCATTCAACTTGCTGCGGTTACTTGTCGGCCTCAAAAACAATCTTTTGCGATCGCATATTATTAAAATCGTCATACCTAGTTTCTATTAGCTTGCGGTCTCCAGTTGGTCTGGAAGAACTTACGCCTGAATAGCTTGTGAGAGCGGGCGAATATCCTCCGCCATGAAGCTGGAACATGTTAGTTTCGACCTCAGCATTCATGATCGAGGAAACGGTGCCCATGCGAAACTTACTTCAATGTGTCTTGCTTCTTCGCGAGCAAATCCATAGCCTCCTCGAAAATACCTAACAGAGTCAATAATCACTCTTTCCATGCCTGTCCCGTCGCAAAACTTACTGCGAACAGGGCACCGCCCCATCTGGATACGCAGATTCTTCCCGTACGCTTCATTGCCCGTCCAAGGAATCTCCCCATTATGGACTCCAATACTGGAGATAGTTCCCCACGGACGCAAAAGCTCAAATCCCATCCGCAAAGCACTGCTATGCCCCACGACCTCGATCACCACATCGGCACCCCGACCGTCGGTTAATTCCTTCACTCTCTCCCGGAGCCCAGCTTCGTTCTCCATGAAATTCCACGGCTCGGCGCCCAGACTTCCAGCCAGCTTCAACCGCGACGGCACGCTGTCGATCGCAATGAGATTCTTCGGCCGATGCTCCAAAGCGCTGACAAGCGCACAGATCCCCACGGGTCCGCATCCGAAGAGGAGCACTGTGCTGTCACTAACGGCCGCCTTGTCCAGCGAGCTGAACGCATTCTTCGCGGCGAAGAACCCGGTGGGGAAGATATCCGCCATGAGAATGAGCTTTTTCTCGTCAATCGTCGAGGGTGCATGGCAGAGAGTTGCATCTGCGAGCGGCACGCGCACGAATTCCGCTTGGCCGCCGTCCAACCCGGCCGTGCCGAACAAGAGACCCCGTGTGCATCGTGAGGAGAAGCCCTTGGAGCAGTAGAAGCATTCGCCACAGCTGACTGTGAATGGGGAGACGACTCGGTCGCCCTTTGCAAAGATCTTGACGTTTTCGCCGACTTCGACTACTTCGCCGGTGAATTCATGGCCCATGATGAAGCCCGTGGGTGAGGGCTGGTGGCCGCGGAAGACATGGAGCTCGCTTGAAGGCATGTTAATAGGGCGGGGCTGTAGCATGACAGGGTAAACCATAGGCTTTGCTTACCTGCCACACAGTGCGCTGTATCGAACTTTCAGAATCACGTCTGTGGAGTCTTTGATCTGTGGCCGCGGGCGCTGCTCGAGAGCGACTTCGAGAGGACCCTTGAATACTACTGATTGCATGGTGGCGGGTTATTTGTTTGGGCGTCGGATTGTTGACTGTAGCTGCTGAGTTGCGAAGACAGGTTCAGTTGATACTTGCTCGTATTCGAAGAGGGGTTGAGCTGCAAGTGTGGTACCTCGGTTGCGGTCGGCACGAAGTCCGTTTGGGCGGGGATGGCGTCCGGCTTGTCGGATGGGAGGCTGAGAATCTGCGAGCGGCTGATATTTATGTTACGGCTGTTTCTGTTCTTGGAGAAAGCTGACAGGCAAAACGATCTGGAAAAGGTGACTGGATTGTCTATATGATAAGTTCCCCGGTGGGCTTAATGCTAGAGTGAGGCATGCGCCTGATGGCATATGAAGGTTGTATTAAGAGTGCATGAACTCGTAGCTGAAGTTTGAATTACCCATTCAGCCAAATCTTTATGATTTCAGAACTTGTTTCGGGGTGTAGAAACGACAGTGACATGCATGTAGTAACACTGTGGCGAGCTTACACCATATTCGTTCACATGCCATCCAGTTTCGAGAATTAGCACCAGCATCGGGTAAAATCAACCTAGTCTGACTTTTTCCCCAGATACTAGCAAGTCTCGCTCCTGACAACTTCCCTACTTCCACGGTAGTTTCCCAACCCCGCAATACACCCCACGCCGTCTATGGATGAAGCGGGGCCAGACACGTCTTTTGCGAACGGATAACCGAGATTCGGCTTTTCCGAAATTCAATTCACAAGAATCTCGGCGCTTGATCGAACTGCTGCGCGATTGTAGTCTTTGGCGCCTCGCATTAAGGTTATTAGCCGCAAGAGCCTCAGTACCTGGATAGCTGCACAAGGTACCCAGGTACCCCCACCTGGCTACCCGGTCTTTATCAGTGCCAGGAAGATTCAACTAAAGATATCACTTTGCAACATTTCTAACAGGTCATCCCTCAGACCCGACCCAAGTAAGCCCAGTGGTAGATACTACAAGCTCTGTTTGACCCTTCCAAACGACGGTGAGCCCAGGCATCGAGATGCTCTTGCTCCCAGCGCAGCGGGCCGTGTTTTCCCAGCGTCTACGATATCAATCTGGTGCGTTCAAGCCTGGCACTAGTAAGCCACCAGTAAGCCACCCGTGGCCTGATTTATTTCGGACAATGCAGGGTTGGCCAGGTGGCGTAAATCTTAAAATCCTTCTTCGCAGCCAGAGGCGTTTTCTGTACCATGGCCCGTGACGTTCCCTTCTGCACTGTGCTTCTAGCAGACTAGTCGATCGGGAGTGGAATGGCTGATCTCGAGGTGGCGTCGGTGTGTTTCACATCGTAAGTTTGGCAGGATGAACCACGCGAGGAAGAAAGGGAGTGGGAACCGCTTCAAGCTGGGAATGGTTCCGAGCTTCTCCTTCTACCAGTACTTCGGCGGTGGCCACTGTGCACGACCACTTTCATTGGGTATGCTCTACTATTGGAAGGTCGGCGATGGCGAACTTGCTCCGAGCCCTTTCTCTGATCTCATTCGTCATTGAATTGTTTATCTATTTTTCGCGTCAGTGCTGGAGCGGAAGGTACCAAATTTTCATCACTAGTCCTAGTACGGAACAACGTCTGGGGTTCTCAGGCCCCCCGAACTATCCAATCGTAGCCAATGGTCCGTTCATATTCGGCCCAGTCCCCACCCGCGGCTGATTTGGGCTTGGTAACCTGAAAGGGAGGAAGGGAGTGGTATGAGTAATCGAATCTGATGAGTCTAGGGGGGTAAAGGTAGTTGGCTAGATCCCCGTGCTCGTCAGTTCAAAAGGCGGAATGTAAGTTAGCACACGACGCGCATGTCCATAGTATCCGAAGAACCACGGCCCCCAACGTTGTGTCTCGCAATTCAGATGGAAACGGCAGGGATCGACAGGATTCAATCTCGAACTGGACGCATCGACCGCTGACGGGGCCGGGACTAGAATCGAAATGGAAACTTCCGCCTTCTCGATGCAACCAAGGCCGCAGACCGGGAGGACCGAGAAATCTCGTTCTGGGGTTCGGCTTCCCCACAGCCCCGACTTGCTCTCCGGAATTTCTGGGCCCCAGCAACTCCTGGGACTTCACCGGCCATCTGAATGCGGCCATTATGATTGCATCGATCCAGTGTCGTGGCCTTGAAGATGGCCGAGACCCGACTGGCGATGCAAGGGTCTCTTATGCGGAGGCGGGGTTCTCCGCAAACCTGAGTCAGCTGTAGCGTACACTCTGTCCCCCGACCAATAGATCCTGTAACTAGTTTGCGCTGGCTTTTAATTCGATGACCCGCTCCGCCTGTCTCGTCCTCAAGCATTTTACGGGCCTTGGAAACTCCAATATGGGCTGATTACCGGGGCCGTGGCCGACATTCAGAGTCCCCAAGCCGTGCTCATGCCATTTTTCCCACGGAGCCGTGCAGCCGGCTTGGGTAGAACTGATGCTAAATCCAACCGATACAAAGGCCCATGTCGATCGATTCCAAGGTCGTACCCGAGCAGCCACCGCTTATGCGCATTGGATGCCGAGTCCACGCTAAGACAGAGCCACGTCCTTCACTTGACAGTCGGTGCCAAGGGTCGAGAAGGGACACGGCTGGGTCAGGTTGGTCTCTATTGGCTCGCTGAGCTTGGGCCGCTTCACGTGGCTACCCATGAGGCCTGCCATGATTAGCTCCTCCTCGGCCGCTTTGAAGCGAAAGCGACAGCCGACGCCACAAACTGTGACCAAGCTTTGCCATGGCTCCCTCAGACGTCATTTCAAGCCGTCGCCTGGGCTTCGGCTTGATTTCGGTCCGGATATGGGATTTGCGGGATGTACGGGATGGCGTTCGGCTTGGAGTTTCATAGACCTTCCAACGTTGATTCGAGTCTACTGTGCCAGTGACAGATCAAGACACCGACTGAATCTGGGTAGCATGCGGGGACAGAAGGGGCCAATTGGCATTACCCGACAGAAAAAAAAAATATCAAGGAAAAGAAATGGAAAACCAACCAGAATCAGAACACAATGTCGGGCGTGGGTCCGCCTCGTCCCCGAACATTTCCCCATGGGGGGCAACCGGCCGGCTTCTCGCGAGATTACAGGACGAGGATTGGCCAGCCCGCACCCCATTCCGGGTCACATTTGGTCAGGTCAGGATGTGACATCGCATGAAGCTAAACCGAATATCGCGCATCCTGGTGGGAGGGGAACCCCTCGACACATGGTTTGATGGGTCTCTTTTCCCCGTTTTTTTTTTTTTTTTTTTTTTTCGTTCTTTTGCCCCTAAAAGGCGTGTAGGGGAAGCATGCAATCTGCCAGAGGGATCTTGTGTATATAATCGCCCCTTTCCCCGCTGAGACGCGCTTTTCTCTTTTATTCGTACGCTGGTTTGCTCCTCCCTGTTTCCCCCGAGAAGTAAATCTGTTGTTCATCATGCCCATCGGCAATATCTATGTGATTGCCTCCGTCGCCGTCGTCGGCGGTGGCCTATTCGGCTTCGATATCTCGTCGATGTCCGCTCAGCTCACGGAGAATTCTTACAAGTGTTACTTTAACCAGGGGCCTAAGGGCCCGCCTTTCAACGATGACTTAGAATGTAGTGGTCCTACTTCTTTGAACCAAGGTGGTATCACTGCTGCCATGGCGGCTGGTTCCTGGCTTGGCGCCCTGCTTTCCGGCCCTATTTCGGATCGTATGGGCCGAAAATGGTCTATCATGCTGGGGTGTTTGATTTGGTAAGAGCTCTCCGAATTTTGTCGGCTCGTGATAAACGCTCACAATCTAAATCAAGGATTGTCGGATCCGTCCTCATCTGTGCCGCTCAGGACATTGCTATGCTGTGTGTTGGTCGCGTCATCAATGGTCTCTCCATCGGTATCGAGTCGGCGCAGGTCCCTGTCTACATTTCCGAGCTGTCGCCTCCTTCGAAGCGTGGCCGTTTCGTCGGTCTGCAGCAGTGGGCCATTACGTGGGGCATCTTGATCATGTACTAGTATGTGTTCTCCCTACCCGTGGCTGTTGGACAAACTGGTTCTTTGAACGATGCTAACATATCACCCTAGCATTTCTTATGGAACCTCCTTCATTGGAGAGCAGAATTCGCAACACTACAACCCAGCTTCCTGGCGTGTCCCCTGGGGTCTTCAGATGATCCCCGCCATCTTCCTGTTCTGCGCCATGTTCTTCCTGCCCGAGTCGCCCCGTTGGCTTGCGCGCGCTGACCGCTGGGAGGAAGCCCACGATGTTCTCGCTCTTGTGCACGGCAAGGGAGACCGCGACCACCCCTTCGTTGCCCTCGAACTGCAGGACATCCGCGACATGTGCGAGCTGGAGCGCCAGCACGCGAGTGTTACATACCTGGATCTCTTCAAGCCCAAGATGCTCAACCGCACTATGATCGGGTTGTTCTGCCAGATCTGGTCCCAGCTGACCGGTATGAACGTTATGAGTAAGTTTCCGAACCTCTGCCTACTTTCGAAGCAGGCCCTAACAGGACACGACTAGTGTACTACATTGGCTACGTCTTTGGAATGGCCGGCTACAAAGGAAATGCGAACCTCCTCGCCTCGTCCATTCAGTACATCATCAACGTCGTCATGACCCTTCCGGCCCTGCTTTGGCAAGACAAGTGGGGGCGTCGCCCTACCATGCTGGTCGGCGCCTTCCTCATGATGGCCTTCATGTTCGCCAATGCCGGTATCCTCGGCGGCGCCGGAACCATCATCCCCAAGTCCGAGCGGGACAGCCCTGAGCAGTCGATGAGCGTCACCGGCTCCGCCGCTAAGGGCCTGATCGCCTGTACCTACCTCTTCGTCGCCTCGTACGCCCCCACTTGGGGTCCCGCCTCCTGGACCTACCCGCCCGAGCTCTTCCCGCTCCGCCTGCGTGGTAAGGGTGTGGCCTTGGCTACCTCCGGTAACTGGGCCTTCAACACGGCACTGGGTCTGTTCACCCCGTCGGCCTTCACCAACATTGCCTGGAAGACCTACATCCTCTTCGGTGTCTTCAACTTGGCCATGTTCGTGCACGTCTTCTTCATGTTCCCCGAGACCGCTGGCAAGACCCTTGAGGAGACGGAGGCGATGTTCGAGGATCCCAATGGCATTCCCTACGTCGGCACCCCTGCCTGGAAGACCCGTGTTGCGACTAAGCAGACGGTCGCTCTGGAGCACGGCGACCTTGAGTCGGCGAAGGCCCACGAGGCCCGCACGACAACCATTGAGACTACCGAGCACACTCAGTAAACGGGTTGTGTGGGGACAGTAGGCGGGGGAAGGGGTAATGCCTTATGTATCGCAGAAATTATAATTTTCATGTATTGGCTATATATTGGCCATGACGTCTATTACGAGTTAATGGAACAAATTGTGGATGTGGAACAACTTGCAATGTAAAGAGACGTTGGTTATACTCCTCGGTCACTTGTTGACACTCGTTTAGTGCAGGTGATTGACAGAATTGCGAGACATATTTAGAGCTCTTTTCTAGGTCTGATACTTATGCATTGGACAGGGATTTTTCGATCGTCCCCCGTTCAGAGATTTCATCTCCTGCCTATCCAATATGCCTAGCAGCCAATCGCTCGGAGAAGACCCAGGAAATACACCACATACCGCGGTCCCTCCACCTGAAGATGACGACGAATGTGGCATTCAGCATGACGCTGGCCCAAGATTGGCTTGTCAATTCCCTTCAAGTGGAACTCCCACTGCTTTTCACTCGTCTACACTGGGCCAAGAAGAGAGACCGTCACCATGCATCTCGATCGCCACCTTGGCGGACCTGCCTCTGTCCACAGCAAATACAACCAATGCAACCCATTCTCATTCCGATAGCAAGGTGCAGTTGAAGGATCGTGGGGATCCCATTGACGTCTCGGATAGCGAGAGGCAAGAGAGCGATGACCCTGATGATGATGAATGGTCTAGTACAAGGGCTATATTAGAAACGCATGTACTGCTTCTTATTCCAAGAAGCGTGAAACAAAAGGTTGACAGGATTGAGCCACCTGAAATTTAAATTTCTTTCCTAGTTGGCCACGTCTTAGTAGTTATATAGTCTTGTGTACGAAGCTGACACATTACAATATTGATATGACTACCATTGTAATAAGAGAATTGTCATAAGACAGCAAATCTGATGAGACAGCATAGAGCATGAGACCGTATGGGAGTTCAGACTGAATAGTCGTTAAGACTGTATAGTGTACAAAACGGTATAGGGTATGAGAATAGGGCAAAATAGATTTTTATGAACCCCATGGGTTACCTGATCCAACAAGTTAGATAGTTCGATAGCTTTCTCTCTCTCTTCTTCCTTGCTCTCCCCAGACTACCAAATTCAGGATTTCACGTCATGCCTTTCAATAGTTAGTCTACCCCTGAGCTCACACTTAACTTTCAGATAATTACAAAAGGGTTCATGAGATTCAGTGTTTAATTCGATGGTAATCCAAGTACTGATAATATTCATAATCGAGCGCACTTCCTCTTAAGCTTTTATTCTACCGTTGTGCCTTTTCGCGGCTTCCTGCTGTGCCTTGTCGCGAGCTTTCTTTTTCGCTTTCTATTAATTCTTGAGCTTCTTTGCGGCCGTCTGCCGTGCCTTCTCGAGGGCTTTCTTTACATCCTTGAGTTTCTTTGTAGCATCTTGCTCGGCCTTTATTCGGGCCTGCCTTTTTGCTTTGACATCTTGATAGGTCCCTCCTCGCCTTGAAGCTGTAGTGACCTGTTCAGCGTTGACATTTTCAGCTGAAACCATGATTGAAGTAGCCTCTCCCGCTTTAAGTTTCGCCTCCTTTGTTGCATTATTCTGATTCCACGTTTTGTCAAAAAAAGAGTATAATAAACTGATCTAATTGATATTCCTGGGCATCTTGATACAGCTGTCGAAGAATATGCTATCTGGCATCAGTCACGGGTGAGCAGTGAGGCCTTCAGGGAGAATATCCAGAAAGCCCGCGACGTGGCTCTCGAGAATTGTCTCGACCTCAAGCAGATTCACGAGGATCAAGATCCGGAATTTTTTGTTAAACATGGGGTGAAAGCAGGGGCCGCACGGCGGTTCGTTAGTGACATTGCCCAATGGGTGATGCGACAAGGCAACGCAAATGGCCGTGAAGAGTAGTCTTAATTTGTTCAAGCGTTATACAGATAGACCTCGCGGGTAAAATCGCTGTTCAAGTCCGTACACGTAGCAAGAACCGGTTATTGCTGCTTTTACTGATGCTCACTAATCCCTCCCTTTGTAGATAATTGCAAATGCCAGAGAGCTGAGGCGTCCAGCGCTCTCTATTGGCCTTGTTGTTGCTACTCTTGCAGCAAGCACAGAATGTGCAATGCGCGGTTGGTCCGCGATCTCCGTTCCAAAGGCCTCAACAAGCCATGTGCTAATCGTCATCGGTTTCAGTCGGAGATAAGGTGAATCGCAAAAATGATTGGTAGTTCCGAATGCCGTTGTGAAGGAAGAATATACCAGGAGAAGTACCGGGAGTACTGCCAGGCAATAATTCATTTGTGGCAGATTACAAGGATAATTGACCCGTGGCACCTGGAATAGCCTTGTACAGCACGCTGGCCACTGAGGTCGGGGTAATTACGCCAACCAATGCACCTCTCCATGTGATTTGCTTAGCGACCAGTAGAAGGGATGAAAAGGATGTTTATCTTCGTAGTCCGTTTAAGGCAATGGCTGTCTTGGTAGCGCGTTTGATGGCCTGCTGGACGTGTTCCTTCCAGCGGAGCCCGTGCTCGAACACCACTCCCAACAACTTGGCCGTCGGCGATGGCTTGATGTCGGTTTCATTGAAGGTGATCTTTCCCACTGAGTGCTCTCCCTTTCTCCTGGTCAGGTGGATGAGCTCGGCTTTCTCTGCTGCAAAGCAGGATCCGGTTCGTCGTGCCCATTCCTCGATGCGGGGAAGATCCTCGGACTGGATTCTAGTTAGGTTTTCCTCAGCTGAATACCCCACTCGCCATCGGAAGTAGTCGTCTATGAAGGCCGATGTACCTCCATGGGGATCGACGGGCTGGTCGACCAGGTCGGCGTTGCAAAAGGCGAACAAGATGGGGGAGAGTGGTGATCCCTGCGGCAGGCCTGCGTTCGCCAGGGGCTCTGTCTCGGTTCGGAAGTCGTCAAATCCAATGTTGGCGTGCCGATCACTCATGAAGCTGGTAATCCATTTCCTTGCTGCCATTGGGATCCCTCTCGCCTGTAGCGAGGCATCAAAGCTTACCCAGTTCACCCCGTTGAAGGCGCCTTTGAGGTCGAATGAGATCAGTGTCACCACGTTGTGTCTGTACCATGCTTTGTCGATCGCATTAGATAGCACCAGTAAGGAGATCCTACAGCAAGATGCGAAATCAGTTTACCCCGTACACTCTCACAAATACGTTCTGGATTGCGATGGCGGCGCTGGTCCTTGCACTCGTGTTTGGTCTCATTCAGTCAATCACCGGGATTCTCCAAGTCCTCCAACGTTGAGAGCATTATGATTGGTATTATTTAATCAAGTTTATTGTCAGTATCGACCCCAATAGCTATGACAGGCCATTTTCCATGGCCCGAGAACGTTAGCAGATCCTGGCCTGCTTCAGACATTTGGCCCCTACTAGTCCCTGGAGACAGTCTCCCATCTTTGGACATTCCGAACCTATTCCTCGCCCCAAACCGCCCAGGCCTCGAGATGGGATCGGGGGGTTCGAATTTATTGAACCACGAAACGCACTCGTAGACCCGCAACATCCCATTTCAGAACCGCACCGCCACGCAGCTCTGTGCCCTTTTTACACGTCTACTCAGTGATCCCGAGCCTGAGCGCCCTCATTCCTGTGTATAGGCGCATACTAGCACTAAGAGTGCTACAAAGGAGAAAGTAGGTGAGAACTCAACTGGTGCAAAATCTCCGGTTTAGACACGTTACTCCTTACAGGTATGTATCCTCTAGTGCTAAGGCATCTGTCGGTGACCATGCTAGTGCGTCTTTCAATCCGGTCGCGTTCCTGTATAACTTGTCCAGCAGCAAATTGAGAGAACAATGGTCATATCTGCAGCGACTGTGGCGCGAAGAATTGGAGGAAACTGTGGCATAGTTGGTATAGGTCTTGGGTCCAATAAGAACATCAAGGTAATTGTAGGATTAGCCCAAGTAGATATGAGAATAATCTGAACTCACCACAATGCATTCAAGTGAATCTGTTTATGGTCTGAAACGAATGGCTAGAAAGCGTGTCCTCGGGAAGGAGGAAGAAACGGTCAAATATATACTCTGCTGTAGGTGGCGTTACTCTCTCTGGTAGATGGGAGACGGGCGACGGGCTCGAGTCCCTAGGAATTCAACTAACTTCCTAGCCCGAAGTGGATTTTGATGTACAGTGAATGACTGACTCATGTTTTGTTTCAACTAAGTTCAACCACCAATTTGTTCCAGGCAAAGCTCCCGCAGGGCCACATTTAGATGAGGCATGTCTACCAATTGTCGCCATGTCCGATTTAGGGTTCGGGAAACAATTAGTGAGAGAGTGTTGGGTAAACTGATTTCGAACCTTGCAGTACCTACCTTTTCACTTTTCCTGGCGTTCCCTTTCTGGAATTGTCAAATATGCATTGCTACATACTGTACAAATTCACGTATCTCAAGACGTTTCCGACCCTCGACCTCGCGCATCACATGTCAAGTTTTTGCAGAATTTTTTATTTCCCTTCCATCTCAGGTTTCAAAGTACTCCAGCTTTCTTCAAGAGCTGGTTGGCCCCAGTCTTTCATCCATTCTGAGCACAAAACCTGTTGTGCTGTCGCTCTTTCATTTGGCCGGAAGGCCAGCATCGACAGAAGCATCGCCTTGAACGCCCTCCTCTCTCTCCGCCACGGTTTCTAGGCCCGCCTCCGCCCCGAGGCTCCTGTATGCAGTAGTCAAATCTCTGGTCCCAGGTCATGCGCACGCCATCATGACCTCTAGACGTTTTCTTCAAATCCAGCTCGCCCTCTTCGTTGAACCATTTCCGTCTTCCACTCCACTTTCCCCACCACTCAGGAGGTAAGACGCCGAGGGTTTCTACTTGCTCCGCAATCACACGGTCCGGAGTGGCGAAAAGGCCTCAAACAAAGGCCGCTGGCCAAAAACCTCCCAGATGGTACAGGCAAGGGTCCAAATGTCCGAGGCAAAGGAGAGCGATTTGTCAGAAAATCTGGCCTCGGGTGGCTGCAGGAGGGGAAGGGTCTTCGAGGAGAACCTGACCGTTTTGTGTGGGTTGAAAGATTCTCCAAAGTCGCTAAGGGTGATCTTCTCTTCTCCAAGAAAAATATCATCGCTGCGAACGCCGAACCAGCCCGGAACGAACATGCGTGCGGGTACACCATTCGACAATGGCTTGCCATCAAGACGAATAACAGCTTCGGAATGTGGCTCACCGAATTTCTTGTATAGCTCTGGGGTAGAAAAGCTATCGATCACTTTAGGAAACTGAACTAGGATGTTGCCTAGATGAAGATCTTAGAGAGTCGGTGTTAGCTAACCAATCTAGCTATACTCATTTATAGGTATCATATACCACCATGTATAATGTCTCGGCTGTGAAGGAATACAACCCCACGAATAAGCTGGGCAATAATTGACCGCGCAACGTTGGGCCGAAAAAGACCAAAAGTCGATGCCTCTTTAGCATCGAACAAGCTCATACGTGCTGGTGGAGTGACGATACATCTATGCTTCCCATTGGGCCCAGCAATCCAGAATTCGTCCAAGAGTCGTGGAAGGATCTCACTTCCCGGTCCAGGTGGCGAGTTCCCAAGAGAACATAAAAGACTAGCCTCAGGAGTGTAGGTGCTAGCATCACCGGTAATGGCCTTCACTGCCACATACCTGGCCGTCCGTAGGTCACGGGCTAGCCATATAGTCGAGTATCCCCCATACCCGAGTTTGTCAACCAGTCGGTATCGGCCCTCGTCCAGGTCGTCTCCAATCTCTAGAGGATGATATCCTCCGGGGCAGTATCTGTGCAAGTCTTCAACGTCTTCAACAAGCCTGTACTGAGGCTTGCCAGGCCTTATCATGGTCGATGTTCGAGAGTCGTTGGATGCGTCTGTATCCCGACTCATCTTATCTGACTTCGGGGGAGTGAAGGTGGACATCAACGAGGTCTTTCGGACATAAGGCTGGTTTGAGACAAAACTCCGTATCTGCTTATGGGATCGTCGGACATTGACGTAAACGCGAGTACGTGTGAACATCTGCAGGCGCGGGCACAACGACCGCGACGACGTTTCAAACCACTTCACCTTGCTCCTCCATAACGCCGCTGTCAGATCCCCTATGGTTTCTCTGTATCGGCTCGTTGGAGGTCGGATGCATTGGAAGCTGACAAAATCGTTGTACGGCCGATCTCGCCAAGAAACACGGAAACCTGGAAATCCCCCGATCCCGGGCCAATGATCGTGGCTGAGTCCGCGGGTGCGAATGTTGGGTACAGGTTCAGGGGTTGATTCCGCAGAACACAACACATCTGTATTCCCCTGGATTCGAGAGGGGGAGGAATTTACCTAGAAGAAAAGGGATTCACCCAATAGTGTGAAATCGGGGGTCCTAGACGTCGAACTGCGTACTATATCCCCCACACTGCTAAAAAGCGGGCCAAATTGACAGCGACAAAAACGACGCCAGTGGTTGATCACCGCCCCACGCGACCGCGCGGCCGCTCTGGCTTCTTCCTCCTCGCTTTCCCTTCCTCTCCGTACGTCATGCCAGCGCCCGCTTGGCCTGCAGAATCTTCTTGGCTATTCCAACTCCCCGCCTGACTCCCTCTCGCTATGCTACATCCTTCATGACCCTGGATCGGCAATGCTTCTCGATTCCCACCAGTCCGCTTGCCTGGACCCCGTCCACCCAGTATGCCCGTTGACGGAGACAAGTCACGGCGGATCTGGGCACCATGGATTGGTGAGTGTGCCTCCCCTTGAATGTCCATTTAACGGTTCTCCGGCTTCTTTCAAGCGCTGCCCATGGTCCCTCGCCTCTTCCCGGGAACCTAAAAAAAAATAACGTACCATCCAAATCATGCTGACCGTTCTCCAGCGTTCACAGCTCCATTACGAGGCGGCGTCTTCAAGCGCCCCAGCCGGGGCTGGCGCCCGCTGGCCCTGCGTCCGCCATACCTCGCCGCTCTCTTCTTCCTGATGCTGACAATGTTCATGGTGGTGGAAGCACTACGGCAATATAGCGTGATCAAGGGTGGTCTCTACTTTTTCGATGATACCGACGATGTCTCCGCCCTCCTTTCGTTCTTATATGGATATCTGCCCATTATCATCTCCTTACTGCTGTTTATTGTCTGGATAATCACGGACTTCGATGTCCTCCGCTTGGAACCGTACTACCAATTGTCTCGACCCGAAGGAGCCCCTGCGACCGTCTTGTTTATCAATTATAATTTCGGCCAAACGATCCTGACTCCTATCAATGCCGCTCGTCGCCGCCATTGGATAGTCCTCTGGGTTTCAATGATGACCCTCGTGATGCGGATGATCCTACCAGCCCTGCAGAGTACGCTTTTTGAGCTGAGAGAGGTGGATGTGATCGACCATGTGCACATGCGAAGTTGGCCTAATTTGGTGGATCTGGACACCCAGGCAAAGTGGATGTCAACGCAGGCGAATAATACAGTGGATGATGTGCTTTCGTCGGATGACTATGTCCATCGAACAAGGTCGAAAGACTACGCTCTTGCTCCGGTAGAGATACCCGACGATGGCAGTGCGGATACTCTTTGGAACATAGACCAGACCTTGTACTGGGCACAACTGTCCTGCGAGAACGTATATGTCAATCGAGATTTGACAGTGACGATACAGAACGGCGCAGGCAGCGAGAAACGGATCTCCTGGAGCGCATTCGGTACTGACCCCAATGACGATGTCAATGCGTCGAGTGCATGTCAACTCGACTTCAATTACACCAGCATCTTCTTTCCGGAGACCGATTTCCTCCAAGTCCGGTATTGGGAGCCTGCTATCTCCCAGTTGCTCAAGGCCGAGTACCCAAACCAGACCCATGCCTTCACTGCGACCGGTTGCGACCCATACGATCTCTACGGGATGATGATCGCTGTCAATGCGACCAACCAAGACCCCAATAACTCCCAATATACCGCCTCTGGGACAGCTTTCGCCTGCGACATAGAGTATCAGAAGGCCAATGCGGATGTTCAGATGCATTCTAACAGTTCCATCACCAATATCAAAATTCGCCAGTCTACCACTCAAACTTTGACTTCCCACGAGTTCAACATTGCCCAATTCCATGCCCTACTCTCCCAGCATTCTCCTTATACCAGCGATATGCTTTTCATCCGCGAAAATACTACCACAGACAGTCGCATTGTCACAGAGCTGCCAGTCATCAGCCAGGAACTAGGCGAACTCGAGCCACTCTTGATTCTCGATACCGCCACCGTCATGACCCAGGCTCAGTTCGAGAGCCGTATCCGCCGCGATGTCAAACAAACATTCGTCTTGACACTAGGCCGTCTCTTCGACCCGGACCGTGGGGCAACGATCATCCCAGCAACTAGCACCACTGCGCAAGTTGCATTGGCGATTGTGAACTTTGCTGCTATCTCCACCGAGCTCATATTGGCCTTGGCTTGTCTGACTGCCCTATATCTTATCTTCCTCTACCAATCCCGAGAATCATTTCTGCAAAGCGATCCTGGCTCCATTGGTGCCATGTGCAGCATCGCCGCGGACGTTTTCCATCCGTTCAACTTGCTAGCAAATCCCCATGCCGAATTTCACCAATTCTCCACGCGGCAACTGAACCGAATGCTCCGACACGCTCGATGCTATTGGCGCATGGGCCCATACGGGAATCGGCTCGAGATATTGGCTGAGGACGGATCCCCAGTTCTGTTGGAGGAAAACCAAGGAACACGCGTTGATCCGATGCCCCACTTTCTTCTTGTGCCCTTTTTCATCATCGAGTTCCTTGCTTTGGCAGCAATCATCATTCTGATGGCTTTGGTCGTCTCTTCCCTCGAACGTGATGGTCGATTCCGGCACCTTACGCAATCTGATTCGAGCGCGCTCCAAGTCGTTCTCTCCGTCCTTCCCTCCATCGTTGCATCGTCCGTGGGATCGCTCTGTACCTCTATATACCGCAATCTTGCAGTCCTTGAACCATGGGTTCACCTTCAGCGAGGAATGGCGGCTGCTGCATCGTCGCTTTCTCTCAACTATGCGTCCCAAAGCCCCCTGATGGTTTTCATTAAGTGCGTTCGGAACAAGAATGTACTGCTTGGTCTCGTTTCCATGGCGTGTGTCGTGAACATGGCCCTCACAGTTGTTGTCGGTGGTCTATTCAGCCAGGAATTGCAAACTTCGTCATTACCAACCGACGACTTGACATTCAATTATAGTCGATCCACGTTTTGGCGCAACGACTTTGCGGCGGAGTTCACTGAATATGATTTGATCCAGACTAGTATCACCAGTGGCGTTCCAATGCTGTCGTGGACTAGTTCCAACCAATCATTTATTCCGGTGATGGTCAGGGATGGGGACCCCAGTGTTCTATACGGAGCAAACACGTTAGGCATCAGTGCGTCTCTTGAGTGCGCGCCCCTTACCCCTGAAGATGGTCTCAAGTACAACAAAACGAGTGGGGAGAGCTACTGGCAGTATTCTCTCTTCGCGGATGACTCGGTCGAGTGCATTGCGCCGATGCCACCCCTCGGTAAAGACGAGGGCATTGCACTGGCAGTCCATTTCCTGTCCCCGTTCGACAAGAGAACAACCGGACGGAATCAAACCGATGCTTGCCAAACAGCTACAGTGTTAGTGGTAGGCCAGTGGGACTACATGGCTGACACGTCAGTCACCGATAACAACTCGGTTGCGTTGCACTGTGAACCAAAGATCCAAATGCAAGACTTTGCGATCACTTTCGACAGCAGGGGCCAAATCAACTCCCATTATTCCGTTCCGAACACTTCAATCACCGATGGGATCATGTACGAGAATGCGACTGTCAGCCTCGGTCAATTCAATAAAGTGTTCGCGGCGATCCCCGATAGCTACGTTGGCAATACCACGGCTATCAACGGGACATACAACGTTTCCTCATACGACTGGGCAGGCTTCCTCGTCGCCCGCCTCTATGAACGAGCGGATCCTGATTTCGACGCTTTGGACATCGACATTATGACGGATCTTACTCGCGTGGTTTACCAATGGGTGTACAGCACCTACTTCTCCATCTGGCGTCACATCTACCTTGAACCCCTCGAACACCCCATACATGCTACAAACAGCACCATCATCCAAAGTACCTGGTGCATGGTCCCCTCCGTCCCCTCCCTCGCCATCGCCCTCATCATCATCGCCTTCGACACGCTCGTGGTCCTCCTCGTGTTCGGCACCCGAAGAGGCCGCTTCCGCGGCCCTCGTATGCCACGCTCCATCGGCGCCGTGATCCCTTGGATCGCCCACAGCCAAATGCTGCGAGACTTCAGCAACACGCACCACTGGACGAACACAGAACGGCGTGCTCATCTTTCGTCCCTGAACAAACGCTATACTTTCCGCATGTTTCTAGGTCCTGATAGCCGGTGGCGCTTTGCGGTTGACGAGGAGCCGCCTGGACCGCCGCCTGGACCGCCTCCTCCGCCGCCGCCACCGCCTGATGAGCCCCCTGATCAGCCGCCCCCGCAGCCGAATGGTAGCAAGTCTACTTCGATCCAGCTGAAGGAACTTATTGGCTTTCATAGATCTCGGGAGTGATTGTTTTATTTTTATTTTTTTGACATGTAGTGATGACCCTATTTTATGGATATCATGATTCTTGTATACAAAATGTTTAGGAGATATCCGGCGTGGGATGGTAGACAGTTTACTCTTTGATATACACATCAAAAAGGCTGACAGGCTGTGCCTGTCTAGCTTGGTTGTTTGGGTGCCGTATTGGTCTGGCGTCATGGGTCTGTACTGGCGTTGTATCTTTTGGGGAGGGAAACATTTCTGATTTTGGCCTCGGTTCATAATATATCCTAGCATGCTCAAATTTGACCTGAAGTTTTACTATAAATAATATGCATGTCCAACGACCAAGATGATATTCAGAGAGATCCCTTTATCAGAACGAGGTCCCCACCTACGCAACCTCGACATGGCTCGCCTCAACTTCCGTCTTGCGATCAACCTCTTGTGTCAGCGTCACGCTGTGTCCCTGGCGAATCAACTTCCAAAGCTCATCCGCTTTCTTTACTGGAGGGGTATTCGGGTCCATGAACGTAAGGTCGACTGCTTCAAGACTGAACCCTGCAGTCTCGGGGTACAGAAAATAAATCATCGGGACAAAGGCGAGGTTAAACGCCGCAAAGATGATGTAAGTGCGCCACCCAATATTTGCAATGGCAATGGGCACAATCTCAATGACAATGAATGTTGACAGCCAAAGGAACGCCGTAGCAAGACCGACGCCTTTGGTGCGGTGGGCGAGGGGAAGAATTTCAGGCCCGTAGCACTGTGCCGGTTAGTTAACGAGCCCTGCGGAAGCAATATACGGCATCACATACCCAGATACCGCCCATAAAGCCCCAGGTAAAGAAAGCCTGGTAGGCAAAAAGCATCACCGCAGCGATAATGCCCGACGTCTGGGTGTTGATGGCCAACATGGCCGCCATAACGACCATAACAGCCGACATCCCAAGGGTCGAACCAATAAATGAGCGGCGCCGTCCAAACTTCTCAATACTATACCAGGTTCCGAATGAAGCGACCAAGAACCAGATCTGCAGGAAGCCGGACATGAGAAGCGCAAAGTGGTGGCTGAATCCTACCGAGTCTTCAAAGATGACTGTCGTGTAGTAACTGATCGGAGTACTACCGCTCCAAGCCTGGCATGCGTTCAGCAGACACGCGAGGGCTACTCGACGGCGGGACCCAACGTGATCCTCCTTGAGCAGATCCGCCCACCCCTTCTGCTCGCTTTCCAGGGCGAGGGCATCGTTAATCTCGGCAATCTCGACCAGCAACGCCGGTTCATCCAGAACGCCCTTCGATGTCCGCAGAAGCCGCAGGACCTCGGTTGCTTCCTGGTGGCGACCATGCTGGAACAGCCATCTCGGGGCTAGCCCCACAACCGTCAGTATGTATCTCGTGTCGCAATCGCCTTACTGGGGCCATCACCGTTCGATACTCACATTCCGGCAGAAACGCAATCATCGTACTTAGCGCAATCCCCTAAGAAAGCCTGGAAGGCCATAGGAAACCGCCACGCAACGCTGCTTGCATACTGCGCCATCGCATAATCAATCCAATACGCCAGCACCTGGCCCAGAATCAAGAACGTGAGTGCGATCGCGACGAGCGTGCCGCGGATCTGACGGGTCGCCGTCTCCGACTGCCACACGGGGATGTTACTTGTGATCAGGCCGAGCCCGAACCCGGCGACGATTCTGCCCACGATCAGTTGCGCGACGCTGTAGCTTGAAGCCTGGATTATGGCGCCGAGACTCAGGGATGCGGCGCCGATGTGGGCCATGGCCAGACGGCCCCAGTGGCCGCCGCTGAGGCTGGTGCAGAGACAGCCGACGAGACAGCCGATGACGAATAGGGCTGTGACGGTACCTTGCATGGAGGAGCTGAGGTGGAAGATGTCTTCGAATTGGGCAGCTGTAAGGAGGCCGCCGATTACGCCGTCGTCGTAGCCTATGCCGGAGGTTTAGCATAATCCCCCTGTCCCCAATTATATCCAGCGCTGATATCGGAAAATTTGAAATACCACGGTAAAGTCTTACCGAAAATGACGAAGCCCATGCCTGACGAGCAGGTTATGGCAGTCAAGAGACCTCGTCCCTTGAGCCCTAAGTATGGCATGGTGAAGCGGACTCTATGCAACTAAAGGATAACGGATCGAGAATGGTCCCAGCCAGCTGAGAATCGGATGGACTGCTAGTGGGAGGAAGGCCATTATATGGGATATACCGTCGTCCCCGTACCCCAGGGCACCTCATCCCCATGGGGTTTATCCGAGTCGTCAAGCTTTCCCCTGGTGGATCCTGGGGTCCATATGGGGTAGACCTGGTTGGCAGGAGGATTCAAAATCCGGGGGGTTAGGGGTTAAACTGTTAAACGCTTTAATCGGCCGGTCCTGGGGCGTGGGGGTTAGACGTGGGGGAAGTCATCTGAAGGAATAGTTCCTGAGCGGAGACCCAATGAGGTCTATATGCTGGCTTATTCCTTCCTAGTCCTCGGGCTGTTATTTGTGGAAAAACTGGTTTTGCATTTTGGTGTTCTTCAGCGATCGACTGATCTAACTCTGCCCGGCAAACATGGCAACTGACCAAACACCCGTCTAGCCCTAGCCCACTCACCCCCATTCTCCAAGTTACAGCGCTGCACGCAACCGCCCGTCGATGGCGCGTAAAATGACATACAGCGTCTCCAGATACGGCGCCGACACGCCATGCTCCCTGGCCTTGCGCACGGGGAAGCCCAGGATGACGTCGATCTCTATAGGGCGGCCGTTCTTAGCGTCTGTCTGCATGCTGCTGCCGATGCCGGGCATGGCGTTAATCTTGCGCATAAGCTCGTTGGGTAGATTATCGGAGAGCTGCACGCCTGTGGCGCGGGCGATGTCGATAACTTCCTGCATCAGTCGGCGGGTGAAGGGCTCTGCGTCCTCGGAGGAATGCAGCCAGGTCTGCGTGTCGACCATTGTCAGGGTGGTTAGCGAGTTCCAGGCTACGTTCCAGACGACTTTCTCCCATCGCTGGGGCTGCATATCGTCCAGGACTTGGAAGACTGTTTTACCGGCGTCGAGGAGGGAGACGAATGTCTTGAGGCGCTGCTGCTCGGTTGTGCTTTCTAAGGCTGGGTTGGGGAATAGGCCGATTTGCATGTCTTCGGATTTGGTATGGTGGACCACGCCGGGGCTTACTTGGATGGCGCCGACCCAGGTCTTGGGGGTGGTTTAGTTCCTCGCGTGTCTGAAGGAGTGCAAAATACTACTTACCACACAGGTGATGATGGAGGCTTTAGGGTATAAGTTCCGGAAAGCCTCTTCGTTGCCGACGCCATTCTGGATAATCACGAACGTGGTGTTCTCACCCACGACGGGCTTCAGTTTTGCTGCCACTTCTGCCTGGTCGAGGGCTTTATGGGCGCATACGACGTAGTCTTGGGGGGCTGCTTCCGAGGGAGATTTGACCACTATGACTGGGTTAGTTTCCAAAATCTAACTGTGTCGCATGGTTCATAGTAACTCACCATTGTCTGGGCGGAAAGTATGTTCGCCATGGTTCGCACTCTTGATTGTGATTCCCTAATGGCAGTGGTTAGAATGCGAAGGAGCGCGCTAGTGTCGCAATTATTCTTACATTAGCTTTCACAGCATCGTAATTCGAGCGCGCGACGACCGTCAAGCGCACACGATTGGAACGGCTGAGAATGAAAGCGTAGAAGGAGCCGATGCTGGTAGTGTCATTAGCAGAGCGTCCGACTCCGGGGGTTGTATTGACAATGCTCACGCCCCGAGGCCATAAAGCAAGACGTCGATTTTATCAGTCATTGCGAGGAAGAAAAAGATCCTGAAGCTTTGAGGCAGGCAAAAAGGGATCAGAGCTGTAGCTCTACCCCGACTTTTGTTCCCCTCCCCGCTTCAAGTTCGGGACTCCGCCGCTTTAGCGTGGGGGTTCTGCATACAATGTGAATTTCCCCTCCGGGATATGCGCCGGTCATGTGTTGTGTCGACATGAATAACGTACCATAATATTGGTGTCTACGAGAATTTCGCTTTTCATTCGAAGCTCGATCCTGTCAAGGATAGAATTCTGGTTCAAGTTCGATTGTATCATGTGGCAGACCGAGACTTGTTCCGGTCGAGTATATAATGCTAATGTTCAAGGATAAGTCTCATCAATACGCCATTACAGTTTAACACTTCCGATCATATCGCGCTCCAGTCGCGCAGTATTCAACATCTCAGGCCGGAGCTCAGATATCTTAGTAGCGCCCAAAAAGATCATATTAGACTCGATCTCGTGCCTGAGAATTTCCAATACACGCCGAGCGCCATTTTCACCGTAGCCCGCCGAGAGACTGAACAGGAACGGCCGGGCCATCCCCACGGCCGTAGCGCCCAACGCAAGTGCCTTGAGTACGTCCGTACCTCGTCGAATGCCGCCATCGATGAAAATCTGCATCTTACCATCCAAGAGGTGCGGCGCAAACTTGCGGATCTCCAGCAGTGTCAAGAGCGGTGCTTGGGCCCTGCTCAAGTCAGTCATGGTCGTTTAAGGCGAGCTACGCTCGTTACGGCTGGTACTTACGTGTCTTGTGAGCGGCCACCGTGGTTGGATAGTACAATGCCTTGTACGCCATGCTCATAGGCAAGGACCGCGTCCTCCACACATTGAATTCCCTTGATCACTACAGGGAGATCTGTCATTTGCCGAATCCACTTGAGAATACTCCAGTCAATCCACGGGGATATGGAGCTAGCTATGATCTTCGCCATGCCTTGCCCTACCGCGTCGCTGTCGAGGGCGGTGACGTCCAGGTTCAATCGCTCATCCATCTCTCTTTTCCCCACCACGGGCGAGTCAACAGTGATCCATATCCCCTTCACACCGGCCTTAATGGCACGTTTTACCAGGGCAATGGATAGTTTGATATCTTTGTTGACATAAAGTTGCATGAAGAGTGGCTGGCTTGGATTGGTCTTAGCGTTAGTCACCTGCTCGACAGACATGCTGGACGAGTTGGCTAGGACTTGGGCTATTCCTTCCCGTCCGGCCGCCGCAGCGAGCGCGCATTCGCCGTCCGGGTGTGCTAGCTTAGCCAAGCCCGAGGCTGACATGTAGACGGGTAAAGAGACTTTCTGGCCGAGGATAGAGGTTGATGTATCCACGCTCGGAATGTTGCGGAGGATGCGAGGCCGGAGTGCAACTTTCTGGTATGCTTTAGCGGCATTGCGTTTCGCGATCTCGTCATCGGCACCTGAGGAGTAGTATGCCCATGCCGTAGCTGGCAGAAACTTCTGGGCAACCTTCTCAAAGTCGTGCAGGTTGATTAGGGTGGCCAGAGGAGGAGGTCCGTCATCTGCCGCCTTTGATTTTTCATTCATTGCTGAGCTGGGATTGTTCTCCTGGACCTGCAATTCGGCTGGATCGTACTCTCCGAGCAACGCGGTTTTGGGGAGGGCCTCTGTTAGCACCTCTGGCGAGTGGACGGAATCGAAATCGGCGGTGGCATCTTTGCCTGCGCAACGGAGAATCACTTTTGCGCCGCCGGGATGGGAGCCTAGAAAGTCTATTGCCATTATCAGCTTACGAAGTCCATTTGGGGACTTGGGGGACAAGCTACCCGTCACGTCGTAGACACAGCCGTGGATTGCGACCCAGCATGACTGCCGGGTTGTATGCTGGTCAATGTCTGCTTTCGTGATCATCATTGTGAGTCTGGGGCTACCACCAGCTGAAACAGGACTGAACTGAAAAAGAAAGCTGGGGTTGAGCATGAGGAACCCCACGCCTGGAATCCAACCCAGATGCGTGGGGTCCAACCCCACAAATTTCCCCCCAAATCCGGGGACCCCCACGCTCCCCCGGCGCCGGCCGGCATTCCGGTGCCTGTCCGGTCTTCTGCAACCTTTTGATCCCATTGGGCTGTATAAGGCAGTGGCGGATCATCAGACAAGAGATGGGAGCTATTGTGCGTCAATAGGGAAGGGGCGATAATGAGGTCGGGTGCTCTAAAACTCAAAAGTCTCTAGTCAAATATCTATTGCTATCATGAATATCTTACGCGTTCGATTCGTCTAATCTGGACACCGGTAGTACTTAGCACTATTCAAGAGGCTAGAGATTTCCAATATATACTAGCATATTTAGCACCTCGAAGGAATGACAAGCCACTCACCTCGATTTCCTAGGCCTAAACTTTAAGTTCGTAATCCAGCTATAAGAATGATGCAAGATTGTAGTTCCGATTTGACCCTTGTAGATCTGCTTAAAAATACTCGAGCACACAATACCAGATCTTCGAAGTTCTGGAATACCTTATTTTAGATCAACTTAAGCCGAATTATGTATATAAATATATAAATAGATGCTCATGTCAACCTCAACGGGTTTCCGAGTTGTCTGCCAGGACTCGAACCTTCGGAACACTATGCCGTTGAAGATAAACATGCTGAGTTCTCTCATAGACTAGTTGTCACCAAAGCCAACAGTGCAATGCATATGCCTACAGTCTAGATGCCTGTATGCTATGCCCTGCCCTACCGGAATTGTTCCACCAATCGTTGCCACCCCGGGCCAACGTGGGGTGGAGAATCTCCACCCCCGGACTTCCACCGACAAGACTCCCGAGGGCGTGGGATGACGAGTTTACAGGCGCGCATTGGAGCTCTTTAAAAGTTACCCCGCTCCTCCATTACGGTCGGCTTTGGTTTTATCTTTCCGTATAATTGACCCCTGCTAAGGCTATTTCCTCGAGGTGATCATGGTCAAAGTCAAGTCTATCGAGTTTTTCCGAGTAAAGCCCCGCTGGCTGTTTGTCAAAGTCACCGATGAGGAGGGCCAGTTCGGTTGGGGCGAGGGTACCTTGGAGGGCCACTCCCTGGCGGTTGAAGGCGCATTGAGTGAGATCATTCCCCGAATCGTGGGACAGGAAGCTGAGTACGTTGTACGCACGCTGTCTGAAACACTGGGCTAACCTATAGCTAGCAATATTGAGCACATTTGGCAATTAATATGGCGCTTGGGCTTCTATCGTGGGGGGCCGGTTTTCATGTCGGCCATGTCTGGAGTCGACATTGCCTGTGGGATTTGAAAGGGAAGCGATTGGGGGTTCCTGTGTACCAGCTGCTGGGTGGCCAAGTGCGCAACAAGGTCCAGGTCTACTGCTGGATTGGCGGCGATCGGCCGAGTGACGTGGAGGCTGCAGCGTAAGTTCATTCTCCTCTCCGGAGATAAAGCCCGATTCGTGGAGATTGATAGATTCTTGGAAATATAGCAAGGCGCGCATTGCTCAGGGCCTCAAGTGCATCAAGATGAACGCAACCGAAGATATCAACTGGGTCGACTCCCCTCCGTCCTCGATTCGACCGTCGAGCGCCTGAAGCAAGTCAAGGCCCTCGGCCTCGACGCCGGTCTCGATTTCCACGGCCGTCTACACCGGCCAATGGCAAAGCAGCTGGCCCGGGCTCTAGAGCCCTATAAGCCCCTTTTCATCGAAGAGCCTCTACTCTGCGAGCACCCTGAAGCTATCAAGCAGCTCTCTCAAACCACCACAATCCCGATTGCCTTTGGCGAGCGTCTGTTCACCCGATGGGATGTAAAGCGATTCCTCGAGGACTCATCTGTCGACATTCTGCAGCCGGATATTGCCCATGCTGGTGGGATTTCTGAGACTCGCCGAATTGCCAACCTGGCAGAGGCGTACGATGTTGGCATTGCTCCTCATTGTCCACTCGGTCCTATCGCTTTCGCCGCCTCCCTCCAGGTGGCAATCTGTACCCCCAACTTCGTCATCCAGGAGATGTCCCTGGGTATGCACTATAATGTGGAGGCTGGAGATATCGATCTGAACAGCTACTTGGTCGACAAGTCTGTGTTTGAGATCCAAGAGGGCTACGTGCCTGCTCCGACAAAGCCTGGTCTTGGTATCGATATTGATGAAGAGCTTGTTCGTAAGATTGCAAAGGAGACCGATCCATGGCAGTGCAAGGAGTTTTATGGCCCTGATGGTTCGATCCGTGAGTGGTGATTCCAGTCCGATGCTTTAGATACCAGTCTTTCCATATAAATAAAACATACTATGAACGAAACTAAGCCTTAGCGTCATCTCATGACTTCTCATAATATGGTAATGTATTGGCTCTGAAGACACACTAAAGCAATAGGCCAAAGTGTGCTGAGACTATGCTCAGCCTGAGCAGATGGCCGCCATCAGCGCCAGGAATGTTGCCGAAAAGGCTTCCTCCCCCACGCCAATGCGGGGAGAACGTGGGGGGCCCACGAGGGCGTATATAGCGCGTTATTCACCCCGCATATCTGTCCGGACCCTAAATCAGACAAAAGTTAAAATGACAGACCTCTTCACTCTTCATGATAGGACAGCCCTCGTAACGGGAGGCACCCGTGGCATCGGCCAGGCCATGGCTATTGCGCTGGCTGAAGCTGGAGCAGACATTGTTCTGGTGCAGGTAAACTTTAGGATTGCGGAGATCAGCAAAAATTATAGTACTGACAGTGGTTTACAGCGAGATACTAGTAATCAGGAAACAAAGCAAGCAGTGGAGAAGCTGGGCCGCAAGGCCGCAATCTACACAGCGGATCTCGCTGTTCAAGACTCCGTTGCGGCGCTGGTCGCCACCGTCGTCAAGGACCACGATATCAGTATTCTGATCAACAGTGCCGGTATCCAGCGTCGACACCCGAGTCACATCTTCCCTTCAAGCGATTGGGACGAGGTATGCTTTCCTGCGGAATTGTGTAGCCCCATGATCTCGTCACTGATCAATCCGATTCGTTCCAAAAGGTCCTCCAGGTTAATTTAACGACTGTTTTCACTCTTTGTCGGGACGTCGGCGCCTATATGCTCAACCGGCCTCCCAATGCCTGGGGACAGCGCGGCAGCATTATCAATGTGGCCTCGCTGACTTCGTTCCAGGGCGGGCTGACGGTACCCGCTTATGCGGCCGCCAAGGGTGGTATTGCGCAGCTCACCAAGGCTCTTTCCAATGAGTGGAGCTCGAAGGGAGTAAATGTCAACGCAATCGCACCGGGATATGTAGCGACGGACATGAACACGGCGCTCATTGAGGACAAGGAGCGTGCTGCCAGTATTCTTGCGAGAATCCCTGCTGGTCGGTGGGGAAACCCGGATGACTTCAAGGGCCCAGCTGTCTATTTAGCTTCCAGGGCGAGCGCGTACGTCAGTGGTGAGGTGCATACTGTGGATGGTGGCTGGATGGGTCGGTAGTTTGGCCTCGTGGAGGGCTCGAAAGTAACTGCTTGCCCGAGTAGTAAAGCCTTTGAGACAGTGTGAATACCATGTATTCTTAAACAGCATTCTGCAATGGACTTTAATTATCCCGCTTCTCCATTTCCATGGTTTTAACCGACTGAAAGCTGTTCTACTTTGACCACTGGCAGGCGCGGCGGGAGGTATTTTCCGGAAACCTGAGACGCAGTGCAAAGCAGTCCACGTTTGAAGCTTTTGAATGTTCGAGCCAGGGGCATCCCCAACATTTCCTAGTGGATACTATCTGCCGACGTGCAAATAAGGCGATATACCTCTTTTGCTCACTACGGAGTGGTATATGTGGTTGTTTCTCTGGCCATGGCAAGGGATGGAGCTGTGGCTTAGAGCTCGGCGTTCTATGCGTACAATTAATGTGGATCGAAAGTTATCCACCTCAGGGTCTCTTGTTCATTGTGATTAGTACAGACCCATCGCTTTGCCGCTCAAGTCGGATGTCGGCACTTCCAGGGCTTCCAGGGCTATCTTATGTTACACATCACCTGCTGAACCTTGGAACTTTTTCCATGCACCCCGCTTGGTGCGCCCCGAAGCCTCGAGGATCAACATGGGGAATCAGAGCTCTTAACCTTGATTCGAACACGAGATGATCTCACTGTGCAGTCCCTTGTGCGCGCAATTCGCGGGTCCCATTGGGTGATCGAGAAAAAGAGCTCGCACGGGACCCACTGCGGGATTATCTCCATGTCGATTGGCAGGATGCCTGCCATTAAATCCTTGACAATCACACCATTTGCCTAAGCAAAGGCATCAGTCGCCAAGATATTTGCGCAGAGATATTTGACGGCATGCGACTCGGCCGCAACGGGACTTCTTTACGGAATCTTTCGCTCTGGAGAAAATCCTGGAGAGAATGCGAGCTTTCAGCTGCAGCCACACGCCGATCGACGGGGATCTGCCAAGGCCATAGAACCCAATCGTGCATATCGAGCTGCCTGGACCCATCGTTCGTGGTTTTGCGTTCGCCAGTTGATCTTGGGGACTCAAATCAACCCGTAAGCTAGTGGACAAGGGGCCTTTATAATAATTACTATCATTGGTTTTGCAATTGAGCTTAATTCTTCCAGGGACGCCAAGGGTCTCCTAGGGGGGGCGATGTTGACATGCTTGTACACCTCCGTCATGGCGTACGACTCTAAACAACTTCTTCCGTGTCCCACAACTGCCAAGCATCTAGCAGGTTCCACTAGAGATTTCCGCTCCATCCGAGAGCTCTCAGTCCAACTATGTTCTGTGAGCTGTGCTAGGAGGCGTCGATCGCGATGATCCCTTCCGCACTCTGGACTCGTGGGCTGAAGAAATCCGCTCAACTCCCCACATGATGTGTTATAGTCTTGCTGCGGGCATTGATGGGCCCGTCCATCACTGCTCCAGCAAAAGGGGTCTGGAACTTTCCTTCGTAGATATAAAAGGGAATAAAAGCCCCATGCTCTGGTCCCCATTGCCAGGCCTACTCAGTCAAGATCGTCACAATGGTAAGACTCGGATCTCTTCTTCCCGCCGTCCTGTTGGCTTGTGGACTCGTTGCTGCCGAGCCTATCCCAAAGACTGACTACGACGTCATCATTGTTGGCGGAGGCCCTGCTGGCTTGAGCGCCTTGAGTGGTGTCTCTCGCGTGCGTCGCAAGGCTTTGCTGTTCGATAACCACCACTACCGCAATGCCGTTACTCGGGAGATGCACGATGTCATTGGAAACGATGGTATGAGGTTATGATCCAGGCCGCACAATAACATGTTTATTGACACAATGGCCAGGCACCGTCCCTTCCGTTTTCCGCGCCGAGGCGCGCAAGCAGATTGAGCGTTACCCTACAGCTCACTTCTCTAACTCAACGGTGACGAACATTACCTCCGTTGGAGACGAGGACTTCACCATCTTCAATGTCACCGACCACACCGGCAAGCACTACTCTGCTCGCAAGATCGTTCTCGCCACCGGTCTGCGCGATGTGCTGCCCAGCACTCCCGGTATCGCTGCTGCTTGGGGCAAGGGACTCTTCTGGTGCCCCTGGTGCGACGGTTACGAGTAAGCTCCTTCTAGAAACAGCCCTACAACATACAAGAGTCGGAGCTAATCATCAACGCACAGGCACCGTGACCAGCCTTTCGGCATCATCTCCAACATTGCCGACGTCCTCGGCAGCGTGCTGGAGACCAACACCCAATTCTCCGACATCATCGCGTTCGTGAATGGCACCTACACTCCCGCCGGCGAAGCCGCCGCCCAGAGTCAGCACGATAAGTGGCTGGAGCAGCTGAACGCCTGGAACGTGACGATTGAGAATCGCACCATTAGCTCTCTCGAGCGCATTCAGGACGGTGGTGTGCACCGCAACAAGACCATCGATGAGCAGTACGACAAGTTCCTCGTGCACTTCACCGAGGGCGAGCCTATTGAGCGCAACGCATTCATCATCAACGCTCCTACTGTGCAGTACTCCCAACTCCCCGCTCAGATGGGCCTGAATATCACCAACAACAAGATCGATGTTGTCACCAGCAGCATGCGGACTAGCCAGGCTGGCGTGTGGGCCATCGGCGATGCGAACAGCGACGGCTCGACCAATGTTCCTCACGCTATGTTCAGCGGCAAGAAGGCTTCTGTGTACTTGCACGTCGAGCTTTCGCGAGAGGACCCCGCGTCGAAGATTTCCAAGCGTTCTGGCCTGTCGGAAGAGGAGCTTGTTGAGGAGGCTAGCAATGCTATTGGGTCTGGCTTAGACCGCCACTATAAGAAGATCATGGGCCGCCATTAAGGCACTTTGATGCATTATGAGTCATGGTGACGGTATACTGTATTCCTGCGTACGATACTGTTCATATTCCTATTATACACCTAATACATTGCCTGGCGGTTATTCCTAACTTTCTGTCTGCATTATAGTACAAGTAGTGAATATCGATATGTAAGGGAAGTACAGTGTGGTTTGGACAACTCGAAGAGTATCGGCCCATTCAGCGACAAATTCTTTCCCTCTCCAAGTTCAGTTTCATATTTGGAGGATTGAAATAACCTATATGATCGAGGGGCGAGCGGATTCCTCGATACACGGAGAGGCATTAGTATGAGTACGAATTACTTCCACCATAGTAGGGCCAGCAGAAGCATCGCTTCCGATGCAGCAACTTTTTGGGCCACGTGTGTTCAGTACAAGCACGAGGCCGAGATTCTGAACGGAGCGCGCTAATCCGGATTCGGAACAGTGTCGCCTCTTATCATGAAAGTGAAGACCCTTTTTGAGCTCCCGTTGAGCCTCAAAGGCGATGGCGTCTGCGGTTACAGGGGGGGCAGTAAAGGGTACTACTTCCCGCAAAGCAGGACACTTTACTAGAAAGCGGACCTGGAGTCGATTTGGCCAGTCCGCCCCCAAATACCCCCCACCGTCAAGCCCGATTGTCGACGGTGGTTGGCGCCGCTTTGGGGCGACCGCTGCCACTAACACCGCCCAAATTCCCAGGACAGTTAGCCGCAAAAAAAACCTAACTCAGCCTCCCAGGACGTCTTGGCATCTCGCCAGCTCAAAACCTTGGTTCCTTTTACCCTGGTGAGCTCGAGTAATCCCCAATGACCGGATCCCACTATGCTCTTCCGCCGACCTCACATCGCGGGGACCCCGAGGGCGACTGACTAGGCGGCTCGTAAAGACCTTTCTCCTCACCCTCAGTATCGTTTTCTTGTTGGTCGTCTACTTCGACAGGTCGGACACCACACCAACCAAGCACGAGACTTGGCATCCCAAAAACCACGATCGACCGCGATACCTCCATCACTCCTCCTTCCGGGAAAATCCCGATGTCGAGTATGAAAGGCAGCTTACGAAAGCGCTCAAGGCAATTGAAGAGCGCGACCAACATGGGCCCCCGCCGCACCATGTCGACACAATCTGGCAGGTCCTGTTGAAGGACCCGGAGCGACCCCAGGATGCGATCGAAATGGAGGCAGCGAATCCGGAATGGGAGTACAAGGTATGAACCTTATGTCCCCGTGGCCCCTCCCTATGGAGCATGACAAATGCTGACTTCCTCCTTTTTCAGCTCGCGACGGGTCCCTGGGCCGAAGAATTCGTTACGAAAACCCTAGCCTCTGTCCCGGTCTCGCCGACCTTTATCACGCATACCCGCGCTTCGTCCAACGCGGCGATCTGATTCGCTACTTAATTCTGTGGTACTACGGTGGCTACTACGCGGATGTAGACGTGTTCCCCAAGCGATCCATCAAATCCTGTCCCTCAGCCCCACAGTCGCTCTTTAGCGAGGAAAACGATGTCTCGCTGGTCCTTGGAATTGAGATCGATGAGCCTTACGCCTCCGAGGAGGAAATGAAGCACTGGCACTGGGTGCGCCGCTACGGTTTCCTGCAGTATACCATCCATGCGCCGCGCCGGTTCAGCCCCTTGCTCCGCGAAGTGATCGTCCGCGTCCTGTCACACACCAAAAAGCACCTCGCGACAGGCGGGATCTTTTTTGGCCCCAAGTGGACTGAGCTGGCGATTCTGGAGGTCACCGGACCGGGTGTGTTCACGGATGCGATTATGGATGTTCTCTCGCACACCCTGCCTTCGTCGCACCCGCTTGTGGAGCAGTCTGTCGAGGCGGATGCTGGACTGGGCGATCTCGTCCCACCGGGCCAGAGTTTCCCTCTCCAGCGGGTGACCTGGGCTCCGTTCTACCGCCTCCAGGAAACGCTATGCGTGAACGCGTCGGAGGCAAAGATAGGGAAGGAGCGGGATTTTGGAGGCCTTTGCGTGTTGCCGATCAATGCATGGGGCAATGGACAGCGCCATAGCCAGTCAGAGGACTACGATAGCGAGCAAGCTTGCATTAACCATCGCTTCGGTGGCTCGTGGAAGCCGTGGAAAGTCCGAAGGAAATGGGGAGACGTGATTCTGGGCGTGAAGCCACAACCTGAAAAAGTTCTCAAAGTGTAATAAAACAGGGTTCCAAGGGCTAAGCGAACTTATGCACACCATAGCGCGATTTATTTGCCTGCGCATAGAGCTTTGTGACCTGCTGTGTCGACCATTGGGTCTCGGCGGAGTCTCGGAGCCTTTACTCTTCGGCGGGGCGAACCAAACATTCGCTCGGATTTTATTGTCAAATCCGGCGATTTCGACTGCTCCATCATCAGGGGTTTTCCGGCAATCTCGACTGCTCTATAAACAGGGGATTCTCAGTCGGTGGTCCTCTCTCTAATCCCCTGACCCGGTCAATGGTCCGCCCTCGTCCCGGTGTTCTCCTCGGAGGTGGTGTACTGTACATGATAATGCTGTAAATACCCCCGAAAATTTACTTTCATGCATTTACTGGTACTAAGCAGGGTCAACCCGTAGACCTTTCAGGCAGTTCCCGTGGGAGCAAAGATCTCGAAATTGAGGCTGCTAGATCAGCTATCATTGGAGGAAGTTCTGGACCAAGTTCTGTGGAGTTCCGGCAGTAGAGGGAATAAGCTTGGATTCTTATCTCGATTCTAGAGCCAAATGGGACCTCCTCTGTCTCCACCAGCAACGGCGCCAACGAATCCTTGATTTCGGTCCTAGACTCGGCCGGACTGAGAGGATCTAGAACGAGACACCTTGTGGACGCGATCACCACGTGTGGGCCCCTGAACGGCCATGTGGACTCGCTGATTGGATTCGCAAGAACCGGGAATCTCATCTCGGGGATCTACCGATCTATAGGATCTACGCCTTGGTCCTGCGTCACGACAGGGCCGAGAAAAGTTACATAAATACCTCTCTCTATTCGGCATAAATACCCTCTACTCGTCACTGGAAGAGGGTCCTATCCAATCCCTCTCTTTTTTTCCCTTGGAGTCTTTTTTCTTTCTCTTCATTCGATCTCTTTTTTTTGTTGCCCCGAAATGAAGACTTCTGTCGCTACCGTGGCTTTGTGCCTGGCTGGGTCTGCCCTCGCATTCCCCCACTTCAGATACTCGAATGCCACGTCCTCGGGGCGCGCTCATCCTGACCTCAGGTACACCTACCGCGATCCCCAGGAACACCTCTCTCCCTTGCGCCTTCCCAGGTGGCACCGGGGCCAAGTACAACGGGTCGTGCGTCCCCATGACTGGCACTCTGGCCATTCCTACTGATCTGCCTGTTCCTACTGATCTGCCCGGTGTCATCTCGGAGGTGGAGTCTATTAGCTCTGCCCTCGTATCTATCGGTATCCTCGAGCCTGGCCAGAATCTGGCCTTCCCTACCGATCTGCCCGGTGTCATCTCGGAAGTAGAGTCTATTGGCTATGCCATTATATCCGATCTTGTTCCCAAGACTGTCGATCTGGCCATTCCTACTGATCTGCCTATCCCTACTGATCTGCCTGGTATCATCTCGGAGGTAGAGTCTATTGGCTCTGCCCTTATATCCGGCAAATACCCCAAGACTGCTGATGTGGCTATCCCTACTGATCTGCCCAGGATCGTCGTGGAGGTGGAGTATATTGGCTCTGTCCTTATATCCAGCACCATCCTTGAGACTGGCGATAATCAAGCCGCCCCCACAGTTGTCCCCGCCCCCGTCTCGGAGGATCCTACGGGCACTACGACGGTGTCTGGCAGTGTCCCCAATGGCAATCACGCCGTCCCTACCGATCTGCCCGGCGTCATCGCGGAGGTAGAGTACATTAGCTCTGCCCTCGTATCTGTCGGTATCCTCGAGCCTGGCGCTCTGGCCACCCCTACCGACCTGCCCGGTGTCATCTCGGAGGTGGAATCCATCACCTATGTCCTCGTATCTATCACTATCATCGAGCCTGACGAGAATCGTCCCACTCCTACCGATCTGCCCGGTGTCATCGTGGAGGTGGAGTACATTAGCTCTGTCCTCATATCTGTCGGTATCCTCGAGCCTGGCCAGAATATGGCCATCCCTACCGCTCTGCCAGCTGTCATCTCGGAGGTGGAGTCCATTGGCTCTGCCCTTATATCTGACAGTCACCCCATGACTGGCAATATGGCCATCCCTACCAATCTGCCTGGTCTCATCTCAGAGGTGGAGTCCATTGGCTCTGCCCTTATATCCGACAGTTTCCCCCGGAGTAGCAATCTGGCCATCCCTACCGATCTACCTGGTATCATCTCAGAGATCGAGTCCATTGGCTCTGCCCTTATAACCCAGACTGGCACTGTGGCTATCCCTACCGATCTGCCCGGTATCATCTCGGAAGTAGAGTCCATTAGCTCCGAGCTCGCTAGCTATACCATGGAGCACGGCTCCTCAACTACGACGAGCTCTGCTGCTGGCTCTTCCACTGCTACCAGCTCTACTGCTGGCTCTTCTACTGCTACCAGCTCTACTGCTACCAGCTCTGCTGCTACCGGCTCTGCTGCTGGCTCCTCTACTGCTACTCCTACTGCTTCCAGTAGCACCCCGTTGGCACGTTCTTCTTCTACTTCTGCGTCTGTCTCGACCCGTGCTTCTAGCACGCCCTTGACTGTCTCTAGCGCTAGCTCGAGCACCCCCCTGTCCGCGTCGTCTAGCACTCCGCTGTCCGTCTCTACCCGTGCTTCTAGCACTCCCTTGTCTGTCTCTAGCGCTAGCTCGAGCACCCCCCTGTCCGTGTCGTCTAGCACTCCGCTGTCTGTCTCTACCCGTGCTTCTAGCACTCCTTTGTCTGTCTCTACTGCTATCTCTAGCACTCCGCTGTCTGTCTCGACTCGTGCTTCTAGCACGCCCTTGGCTGTCTCTACCCGTGCCTCGAGCACCCCCCCTGTCCGTCTCCTCGAGCACTCCGCTGTCTGTCTCGACCCGTGCTTCTAGCACGCCCTTGGCTGTCTCTACTGCTAGCTCGAGCACCCCCCTGTCCGCGTCGTCTAGCACTCCGCTGTCCGTCTCTACCCGTGCTTCTAGCACGCCCTTGGCTGTCTCTAGTGCTAGCTCGAGCACTCCCCTGTCCGTCTCCTCTAGCACTCCCCTGTCTGTCTCTACTGCTATCTCTAGCACGCCCTTGGCTGTCTCTACCCGTGCCTCGAGCACCCCCCTGTCCGTCTCCTCGAGCACTCCGCTGTCTGTCTCGACCCGTGCTTCTAGCACGCCCTTGGCTGTCTCTACTGCTAGCTCGAGCACCCCCCTGTCCGTCTCCTCGAGCACTCCGCTGTCTGTCTCGACCCGTGCTTCTAGCACTCCCCTGTCTGTCTCTAGTGCTACTTCTAGCACTCCCTTATCTATCTCGACTCCTGCTTCTAGCACTCCCCTGTCTGTCTCTAGTGCTACTTCTAGCACTCCCTTATCTATCTCGACTCCTGCTTCTAGCACTCCCCTGTCTGTCTCTAGTGCTACTTCTAGCACTCCCTTGTCTGTCTCGACTCCTGCTTCTAGCACTCCCCTGTCTGTCTCTAGTGCTACTTCTAGCACTCCCTTGTCTGTCTCGACTCCTGCTTCTAGCACTCCCCTGTCCGTCTCTAGTGCTACTTCCAGCACTCCCTTGTCTTTCTCCACTGCTACTTCTAGCACTCCCCCGTCTGTCTCTACTACTACCTCGAGCCCTGTGCTGTCTGCCTCTCCTCCTGCCTCTAGCAGTCTCCTGCCTAGGGCTCGGCGCGCCAGGCGTGTTGTGCTGCCTTAAGTGGCGATGGTGTAAGATGCTATTACGAGTTAGCTTTAGGCTGGACTCATACATTCTTGACTGTTTTACTAGTAAGGTTGATTTGGTGCCCGGTGGGAGGATTTAGCTCGGAGTTCGGTTGGTCTCGGGAGCGATCGGAGTTGGATGGATGGTGGATATTGGTTTGCGTTCTGAACATAACTTAAAAAAATTTAAATTGTCACTCGTTTCGGCCTGTGAGCTTCAAAAGGATACGTTCGTAAGTATAATCCAAAATTCCTCTCTAGCGCGCTCTTCTGTAGGATTGTCGAAGAAGACAAGGTTGGAGAGGACCCTCGTTCCGAGTCGACTCCTGGGGAAGAGGATCTAGAACTCCACCCTTGCGCCGCTGAAGAACCTCGCGTTAATCATTTCCTAATCTGTACTGGGCAGAATCGAATATGGTATGAAGAGGTGTAATGGGTATCGTGGTCTGTTGAAAGCAAAAGTGGAATAGTAAATATCTGAGTATGAACGAGGACCTGAGACGCTTTCCTCGAGTCCTCCTTCGAGTGCTATCTTCTCAAGTATCGAAATGGACTGTTTGTCGGGCTTGTTGAGCATTCCGGGAAACCCGGACGGCTAGCTTTTGCCCTGGAGAAGATCAGATAGAAGACCTCGGAGATTAGATCAAATACCTAGGCCTTTGGTTGAAATCGAGAATGCTCCCACGAAGTTGGATACAGCTGAATCTCGTGGTTTATTCGAGGCCATTGGAATTTTTGTTGACTTCTATTAGCCACCAACCCTTCCACCCTCCTCTACCCTCATGAGTTGCAGGCGTGCGCAAGTCAATTGTGTCGACAATGCTATTCAAGCTGGATGGGAATGCCGAATATCGAGCACTCACTGGAATAGTTACTCGTCTGGCCTGATCTCACTTTTCTATTCCTAACAAGCATATTGCTGAGAGAGTGAGAGCATGACGGCGAAAACACCAAGACGGGGAAAGAGCCCTCGTGACGGGAGCTCCATCAGCCGCCCTCCCGCTCTTCCTCTTGCTCTCAACCCCAGCTTCCTCTCAGCAGCAACAATGGGTTTGATCAGTCGCACGCTGAAAGTGACGGCCTTCGGCTCCGTCGCCACAATCGGTCTGTTCTTCGGCAGCACGCGCAATGACGAGTTCGTGCCAATGGCCGCGACCGACCCCATCTTCCAGTCGCCGTTCTACAAGAAGTTCAACCCCAACAACAACCCCACCACCCACGACCTCTGCGTCCGTCGCATCCCGCTCGATAAAATCCGCCCCGAGCTCCTCGAGAAGAAGGGCAAGCTGGTCGAGGCCTTTTGCGCCGGGATTTGGGGAGGATTAGGTATGTCCGCACGCTGAGATGTCATGTGCCGCGAGCTAATGAGCGCCTTTTTTTTTCCCCTTTCTTCCCGCAGGCTACATCCCCCCAGCGCGCGTTCCTCGAGCGAAAATATCGTGCTGAAACCCCCGATCAGCTCTGGGACCGCAAGGATCTTCTCAAGAACGAGTACAATGTCGGCACCCTGATCACCGACCACTTCGAGGTTCTTGAGAAGACCGATGACCTCATTACCATCCGCTGCGGTGATACCCCCCGCCATCGCGACGTGCGGCCCGCCGACGGCCTTTTCCAGATCGGCGCTGTTGTCAAGCCGGAGCAGGGCATTGCTGAATTCACTCTGAAGAGCTGCTTCTTCCAGGGCGAGGGCAAGGCTGATGCGGTCCCGATGGGTCCGTGGATGGACTGGGCTCACAAGCAGTACACGAAGCTCTGGCTGGAGAGTGGGGTGCTCAAGAACGTTGTTCGCTAAGGTACCTGATACCAGAGTCTGGCATATTCCCCTGCTGCGGACTGCCCTGTACATAATGTAGTTTCTTCCTGGGAGAACTATTCTCCAAATCCACCCCCAACGATTCACTTAGATTCGTTTATAGGGGTACGCCGAGATGCCATGTGCACGAATTGCTCTATTTATTTATTCTTTCAGTCGCGTAATTCAGATCTTTAACTGCTGATGGCCAATCTTGGGGTCGAGGGGTGCTTTACATCAACCTCTGCGTTCTCCGCCTCGCTGGTGATAGTTACTGCTAGGACAATGGAATCGCACCAAGAAGATCAGCAGACACAAACCTCCGCCTGTGGCAAGCTGCGTCATAGCAGGCTTCTGCAGAGCATCGATACGCCACGCCGTAGTTCGCTCAACCCTCTGAAACGTTTGATACGCTTTGTGCGCATTGGTGGCTGGGGTCACATCCTTGGTGACGGCGATGGCGGCCATTCGATCGGCCTAGCAGCCGTAAGGCATACGCTGCAGAGTACAGACCTACGATGGCTGACAATTTGGCAAGGTAGCTTTGTTGAATCCAAACAAGGCGGTCCCCAAAAAACACTCGGCTCCGAGGATCCTGAGAGCCAAACGATTGACTTCCTTGCCGACTTCCTTTCAAATATCCAAGTTCCAGGGATCAGCTGCTCGAGCCCCGCGAATGGTAGGACTTTGTATGGGACTACCATGAAATGAGATTGCCATGAAAACCCTCAGGGAGCGGGTTCCAATGCTCGTGAAGAAAACATTGAGCGGGCTCGTGAATCCTCGATGCACTGGTAATTTTGCTCCAGGGACGACACCGCTCGTTTTGGCGGACGGATGAGGAATTCAAAAGATCCAGAAGAGCTACATAGTTAACTTGACGAGCAAGGCTTATCCTTACACGATATTGGGGTGCTCGATCAAGCTGCTGTAGATGGAGCCAATTTCGTGAATTCTCAAAGCAACTTGGAATAAATTTCTATGCTATGTATGATGGAAATAGAGTTAAACCCTTCACTGCAAGATCCCGTCCACGCAGAACCTGGGCCCAACTGGTAGTCTATACGCCTTCAAATGGATTCCCCTAGCTCCAGGTCACGGTGTCATACAATGCCCGTGAACTGGGACAGCCTCAATCACTGATTCCATGCCAGGACTCTGGCACCAAATTCCTGTGATTTGCAAACCAACGCTTTCCAGAAGCTCTCGCCACTGTCGCTCGGATCGTTCCACGCCCGCACCAATGCTCATCATTTGGATATCCAAGGATGCCTGGAGTAAGGGGGTCTCAATGTCGGGCAACACCATATCAACGATCAGAATGCGGGAGTAATCCGGCGCCATAGCGGCGACGGTGTTTCGGAGAATCTTTTGACAGATGTGATCCGGCCAGTCGTGGAAAATTGAGCGAAAGTAGTACGCTCGAGCGCCTCTGATGGGTTGTGGATCCAAAAAGTTGTATCCCATCACTTCGATCCCGGACGCCTCGCCTCCGGTCACTCCGGCCACGACCTTGGGCTGATCCTGCAGGATAACCTTGCCGGGGAGATGGCAGTATCTCTGCCTGAAGCGGCGCAGGTCATGTCCCTGATTACCTCCGATATCCACAAGAAAGATGGAATCCTCGTACGGCATTCCCTGTCCTAGGAGCCTCTCGACGGGGTAAATGTCGTACCACATCGGACGGCCTTCCCGTCGGCTTGCCATGTACGAATTGAAAAGGGCCTGTTGATCTGGGTGGTTTGCAAGCCACTCAAATTGACTCTGCCCGACTGCCCACTGCATGGGTGAGCTGGCGTACTCCTCGGGGTTGGCATAATCATGTTGCCGCAAATACTCAGGCAGCTTGCTCAGGGTCGGCACTGTGAGATCATAACTGTGCAAACAAATTACTATTTCGGTCCTGCAGGGCCCCCACCTACACTGTGGTTTGAACAATGGGCATTGAGAACATACATGCATGGCACTCCGTCTCTGCCAATTGGCTGCGTCAGTGCGACAGTCTTCTCATTTGCCCGGTATCCCTCCACACCTGATGGGCTGCACAGGCCGAGGGAAACGATCACACGCATCAAGCGGACTAGAGTTGGGAGGTTAGCCCATCACAGGATCTGGCTTATGCATGGGAATCGATAACCTTACCAATCAGCTCTCGATCTGCCCCACTACACTTGGCGAGGTATGATGCAGACACCCCACTTTCGCGATTTTGTGTCTCCATTAGTATGGGGAATATGCCCAAGTCCATCACCGCTCGAAGCGCGGCATTCTGTGGGGGCTTTGAATGACGTGTTAGTACGCACGTTCCCCAGTCATGTTTCCTCGTGCCGATTCCATGTTCGATGGAGGGTAAGATACCTGGTAAATGAGTCGCAAGACGGTCTCCGTGGGGGTTTCTACGGCCAATCGCAACTCATCAATCGCTCGCAGCAGCTCATAGTGAGATCCTGGCGACGGGTTTGTCTTTTCTTGCAAGATGAGTTCGCCGAGTCGACAGACCATCGCCTGTCGACTTGGAAAGGCCCTGATAGTCATTGTCGAGAGGTCCGAGATAGCAGTTGCTTCACTGTCGTAAGAGTCTGAATAGCGTATGGAACACGATACAATGAAATCAATGCAGTGCAGTCCAGTGCGATGCCTTTATACTTCTTGAGAACAGGCTGAGAGCTCCCTAGACCCATACGGCTCCGGCAGTATCCAGCTCCAGCATACTCGGAGGGTTTGCGTTTCCTGAAAGTTATTATGCGACTAGCCCGTTTCATTGCTATACTAACCACGACCTAGCACAGTCACCGAAAGCAGCGCCCGATCAGCTGGGCCAATATCTCCAGGCCTCCCCCCGGCCCATCGCCTCGGTGGGGCCAAGGACTTATCGGGAGCTGCATTAGGGTTCAAGTTGCAAATTCCATATCAGGCTGCAGCGGACCTGGTCCACTCAGGGGGCATCCGGCGACACCACCAGCTCGGAAGGCCCACTCACCATTTTAATGGGGCGTCGCTACGTTGCCCCGGCCGGGTGGGCACGTATCTTTCTGATGGCGATCAGATCTCACGGAGCAGTTCGTGCCTCTGCGCTCATCCAATTACTGGAAACCTTATCTGCCGAGGCTCCTTGCTCTCTTAGTGGGTTCCTATCTTAAGGTTTTGAATCGTGGCAATCAGGATTCGTGGTACGGAGATGCCCGTTCCGAAGATCTTTGGCGTTTATGGCTGATTGCGTCTGGAACTGGGCGGGTCAACCATGCCCCTAGTTTGAAGGGTGGCTGTTTGGGGTTTGAGAGGTGACATAGATTCGCTGAATCAGGTATGTGGGAGTACTTCTCCGAAGTCTGAGTTCGATTAGCCGTTCTCTCTGTACCACCTGGGCTTCTTTCTCAAGAGAGGAATGGGTTGCTCGTATTAGTGCCGATCTAATGCGGCATCTCCCTTCCCATCATGTTTTCCGTGGGTTGCTGAGCGGCGACGTCCCACGCAAAGCCCTTTCTAAAGGGGTGCACTGCCAGAACTTGCAGGGGGAGCTATGGACACTTGTTTTTCAGGCTCCTAGTACGATTTGGAGATTCCTAGATGGCTCTTTGGAATATTTTTCAATCTAGCTCATTTTCGATATCTATAAATGAACAATAAATGAAGCCACTTGCCACTCTAGAACACCTTTTTCTCCACTGATCCGCGACCGAGATCCCAGCAGCATATCCCTTCCAGCCGATCATGGGGATTCTAAGAAGATCAGCCAAGACCGTTGAAAGAGATCGATGTATCAAATTGCCCCCGCGAGCAGGTCGATCGCCCTGTAGCGGTCCGCTAGCCGTGGAATGCGTCCCACCCGGTCCAAGAATCCCATCGTCCGCCATCGATCGCAAAAGTCCCAAGCGACTAGCGATTAGCATGCCACGACCCGATACAGTGGTTAGTGTTCGTCGCGACATGTGGGGCGACTATGGACGGGTTCTCGAGGGAGATCCACAATGTATTGCTCCAGAGCCGTTTCCAGGAACGCTTTGCGAAGGGCGAGCATTCCGATTCCTTCGGGGATCTGACCCGATGTTCCGTCGGCTTGGCTTCGATGAGAAGAATGATTGAATCGCGGAAGAATGCATTTGTACTATTGATCGCGGACTCAGAGGGTGTTGGCGACGAGGATGCTGTCCGACGTCAACACCGTTGGAGTATCGGAAGATCTTCAATATTCGGACTGGTTTTCGAGAATATTTCCTCTTGAGCTTGCATGTGAATTTGAAATTGTCCACGTCATAGTCGTAACTGACCTCATAAGATCGCTGGAGGCCCTTATGCAAGATTGTGTCATCTTGAAGTCGAAGGGAACCACGAGTCGCTATTGGAGTAGTGGTAGCCATATCAAATCATGCTTTGACTAGTAGGTGTGGCTTTGCGTTCGTAGGCTCAGCTGGTGGCAACTCCGCAATGAATAACGGCTGGAGGTTTCAGCTGTAGGGATGCCGTTTACTAGTAAGCTTTCGAAAGATAATCATTGGTACCCACAATGCTCAATAATCTCCCCAAATTTAGACTATATGTGATGTGTAGAATGGAAAAGGGGGAAAGAATTAGCATAAGAAAGAAAAAAGCAAATAGGAAAATAGGAAAAACGAAAACGAAAGAAAAAAGAAAAAAAGAAAAACGAATCTGCCGATACCAAGGCTGTTCGCATCGCGGAGAAACCGTCACGGGCCCAACCATCCCCACGGGATTTAAACGCAGCCAAAGTGTAAATTCGGGCACTCATGCAGTGTAACCACCCCAAGCCACCTCAGGGTTAATACCTGTATTAGCTTCAGAACAAGGACAATGTATGGGATAATCAGGCAATTGTGATTCGTAAACAAGCCCTTCATGTGGATCGCTCAGGCTTCTAGTGTATTCGAGAGTGAAACAACACTTGCTTGGGAAGAGCCGATAAACGCATTATGCCATGGAATCTGGGTAAATTTACCGATTCGCTATCGATAGGCATAGCCACAGAACAGAGCGTTTGTAGTTGCCATTGGGCACTAGGAGTCCGACTTCCGGACCATTGGATCAAACAGCGGGTTCTTCTTCCCATTATTGGAGGAATAGATGTTTGTCTGACGGAAGCGAAGACACGATCTCGAGCCATTCGATATGCATTTTCGTCGTGGGAGGCACGCACTATCCCGGGCATCCCGAATGCGGTTGGCGCGACTCAAGCCGGCCAATCTATCAGCTTCTACAGCCGAGGAAGGGTGAGATAAATACTACCGTATTCTCCCCCGTCTTCGTTGCCGGTCATAAATGTGAACTGCGCTTTGCTCGCCCTGCCGAACACTAGCTGGCTATGGGTATCCAGCCTGGAGACCGGAATGGCACTGCGGCCTCCTCCCGCGCCGTGGACCCTCTTGTTGCAAAGTTTGGACAGTTGCATGTACTCGATGATGTGATTCGACTTCGAGCTGCGGACCATCTGCAGTGTCCATTGCTTGCATATCCCAAGTCTGAAGATGACCCTGCGTCGTACTGCTACTATACGGGGAGGCAACTGGATGCCATGATTGATCAAGCCGCCTCTGCGCTTATCAACGATGGATTTCAACCAGTAAGTCGAACAGACCGTGTTTGGGGTTGGACAGATCAAATAACATTGGCAAAGCAGCTTAGGAAGAATAGCCGCACAGTGGCCTTACTCACTTTGTCGGATTTGAGGATGGTCATCACCTTTTTCGCGCTCAGTCGACTCGGCTACACGGTCATGATGCTATCGCCTCGCCTGTCAGGAGAAGCGTGTGTCTCTCTTCTTGAGAAGGTCAGCTGCGATGTGATAATGTACGGGCAAACTCGCAACATCCGTATGAAGATAGGCGAAATTCTGCAGCGGATACCAGTGAGCTGCCATCCAATTGCCAAACTCTTCAAGAGAAATATGAAGCCCTCCGTTGCGCCGATTCTCCGCAAGTCGAGAAACGGAGCGTATAGAAAGAACGAGACTGCGCTGATTCTCCATTCATCGGGCTCCACTGGAAATCCCAAGCCGATGTTCCTCACTCACAAAGCCCTTATGACCCATCCACTGAGGGGACCGGGCTTGACATCTTTCAACCCACTCCCGTGGTACCATCTCCATGGACTGTCGACGGCACTACAAGCCATGTGGATGCGGAAGACGGCGTACTTGTGGAATGCGGCTCTCCCACTGACCGCATCCTCTGTCCTTACTGCCCTCGAAGAAGCGCGCCCCCCAGATGGTGGCAGCTGTGCCGTACATGCTTCAGCTCTTAGTGACACATCCTCGAGGAATCCATACTCTGAAGAAATGTAAATTGGTTACATATGGCGGGGCACCTTGCCCCGACGAGTTAGGGGACTGTCTTGTGAGAGAAGGCGTTAGGTTTGGAGGCTCATTCGGATGGTGAGTTTTGTCAACTGAGGAGTATACTACTTTGAGCTGACCTGGCTTGAAGCACTGAGGCGGGACTGGTTGCCGATTCAATTACCCGTCCTGCGGGAGATTCTTGCTGGAACTACCTGAAGTTCTTCGATAACCTTCTTCCCACCATTTGGATGAAACCGATTGGCCAATCTCTCTATGAGTGTGTCTATCTGGCCGGCCACCCAGCTTTGACGACGTCCAATGCCCAAGAGCCTCCCGGCTCGTTTCACTCCAAGGACGTGTTCATGCCTCACCCCACAATGCCCAACAGATGGAAATACGTTTCCAGGCTAGATGATAGAATCACTCTTATGAATGGAGAAAAGGTTCTTCCCTTGTCAATTGAGGGACACATTAAGCAGGACCCTCTGGTTCATGAAGCAGTGGTGGTTGGACTTGGCAGGGCAGCCCCTGGCTTGTTGATATTTCGACCTCCGGATGCCGACACTGAGGAACTTTCGGAGGACGAATACCTCCGCGCCGTCTGGCCGACGATTGAAGAAGCGAACTCTGAAGCTGAAGGATTTTCGCAGATCTCTCGCGACTTGGTTGCAATCTTGCCTTACGACTCGTCTTTCCCGCGAACGGATAAAGGGTCTATGATACGTGCCCAAGTATATTCGCGCTATGCAGAAAATATCGACGAGCTTTACGCCTCGGCAGAGACTTCTGGCGGGCATGTTCGACTGGATCTGGAGGGGACGATGTCGCTTTTGATGCGACTCTGCAGGGAAGATCTTAATGTTCCGATTGCGACCACATCTACAGACTTCTTCTCGGCTGGGGTAGACAGCTTGAAGGCCATGCACCTTCGGCGCTTGATTCTGCAAACCTTTGGCCTGGAAAATGGTGCATTCAGCCAAAATGCCGTTTATGAAACAGGGAGCATTGCACGACTCGCGGACTACATTTGTGCATCACAGAGCGGTAGCGGAACACTCGAGGCGGAGGATGATATTTCGCTTATGAAGAGTTTAATCCAGAAGTATTCTTCATTTGAGCAACATACGCCTCAGGCGAGTGCTTCAAATTCAAAGACCGTGGTAAGTACTCACCCTATCCTCCTCTTAACTCAGCACATCTGACAGGAGATAAAGCTTCTCACAGGGGCAACTGGCTCTATTGGCGCCCATACTCTTTACGAGCTTCTCAGGGATGACACTGTATCAGCAGTATATTGTCTCACGCGACGGTCATCTCCATTGGAAGGGGTTCACCGCAGCTTAGCAGACAGAAACCTAAAGCTAACATCAAATCAAGCCTCACGGATCATCGCCTTGAACAGCAGTCTTGACCAGCCGCATCTCGGCATAGACGAACGAACAATCCACGACATGCGCAACACAGTGACACACATCATCCATGCTGCATGGCCAGTCAATTTCAACATGCCTTTGGCTCATTTTGAACCCCACATCCATGGCCTGCAGAATCTTCTCCAGTTCTCCATGTCTGTGCGACGCCCTGAGCCCGCAACTCTGATGTTCTGTTCCTCAATCTCAACGGCACTTCATTCTCCCTTAACGGAGATTCCCGAAAGTCCAATGGATCTTCAGAATGCGTACATGGGGTACGGGCAGTCAAAGCTTGTCGGTGAACACATTGTCAACATCGCACGCCAGACAGGGGCGCAAGCTTACTCCCTCCGGATTGGCCAAGTCTCAGGTCACTCGAAGCAGGGCTTGTGGAACGACACAGAGGCCCTCCCCCTTATGATCCGATCGGCGCTGACTCTCAGGGCTTTACCCGAGTTGCGTGACACTTGTTCGTGGCTACCTGTTGACAGCCTCGCGGCCACCATTGTGGAATTGACAGACACGTGCTCTGCCAACTGTCGCGAGGGTGTGAATGGCTCTGGCTCGAGTGATCCCGAGGCACCCAATATCGATGAGTCAATCTACAATGTGTGCAACTCTCGACAGTTCTCGTGGTCGGAGCTACTAGCCTCATTGAAACGGAATGGTTTCCAATTCGAGACCATTCCCTTCGATAAGTGGTTAGAGTTGCTACGGGAGAGCGAAGCTCGGGGGGAAGAGCTGATCAACCCGGCTGTGAAACTCATCGAGCATTATGAGTGTATGCACGGGACAACTTCCGAACAGAGACGGAGTAAGTCGAAGGACTTTATTACAGATAAAGCGGAACGGGATAGTATAACTCTGCGCAATGGCAGATTAAGGATTATCGAAGACGGGATCTTGAACTGCTATATCCGGGATTGGCTAACCAGGTGGAGGACACCTAACTAGACTCCGCTGCTTTTATTCCAGCCCTAGCTCCTGTATATAGCCTTTTGCAGATAATTATCATTTTTTTTTTTCAATTCCAATCAACAACTCATACGCCAATCTATTTGAGCCTCCAAAACTTCATCTTCAGTTCAACGCAAGTAGCACCATTCTTGTATACGCGCTGCCTGTAGTCAAAGCTCCACAGGGGGAAACCTTCTGCCAGGCTCTGTGATGGTAACGCTACCTCAAAAGGATCATCTTTGATTCATGATCTCAAATCGGCTTTGTGGGGAGAGGCTGATATCCATTCGATATTCTAGATGCCTTCCGAGCTTGCATTTCTTCGGCCGCGAGCCAAAAATTAGCAGGAGGCGATCTCCCTAAAAGGGGATGAATCTACCCAGCTGTTCATATGCCTTGGTAAACGGGGCGATCTTAGGATCCTCCAGATCCAGTTCGAGGCACGGGTCGAGGAGCTTGTCCGACTCCAAGCTCTGCTTGTAATTGGTGCTCTCGATTCTCTCGTCTTTCACACCTCTCACTTTTTCAAGTTCCTCGGTCAGCTGTGGCATATTGTACACTGTACTGGGATACGAGCAGAGAAGTATCAGATCTTGATGGTACTAAAACAATAGGTCAGAACGGAATGTGGGAAGGGGTGAAGTTTGATTTCTATCGAGACCGAATTATACGTGTATGATGTATGTGGAGGAATGCCGGAAGTTACGCCCGACAGTTCCGGAGGGCGTCCTCAGTCATCAACCTTGGAATAGTTATAGGGTGGCACTGACAAATATCGATGAAAGCAAACTTCTGTAGTGTCTATGGAGGTTTCAGTAGGCAATTCTGTTTTGACCAGTACACCGAAATGTCAAGTCACGCTCTATCCAAAATCCTTTTCGCTGGTTCAAACCAATAAGATCGCGGGCTATTATGGATTTTGGACTACAAGGCATCCATTCAATGCAGATCTTGACAGTCTGTCGCATTGGATCCAGATAGAGGTGTGCCTACTTTGAGCGCATCGTTCTTTTCCGCTACCCAGACGGCTCATGCTGGATATCCTCGCTCGCAGGCCATTTCCTGAACAGATCCGTCGGATAATCCAGGGAACTGTGATCAACCACTATCGCAATCTGATATAGAGCCTGTGTTGGCACATGTGGATGGGCACGTGTAGGTACGCAGTATTTCGTGCGACCAAAAGACGTCGCCAGCCGGCCGCTCTCTTCCGCTGAATTGGTGTCTTCCAATTTAATCAAGTCCACCCATTTCTTCATGCTCGACATGCTTCTTTAAGGCTCCCATCAGCCCTGTTATAATGGGAAGGCCGGGTCCGACGCAGAGAGGTTCTGAACGCTAGCCAGTTGGTCCTTGATCTATGGACGCATCGGCGATGTGTGGGGAAGGCAAGCCACTCTCTCAGGGCCACTCACCGACTGGTGCTGACGACGATCTTCTGCAGTGTCTTCGTGCAGGTGCTTTGGCAGCACCGGGTAGCGCACTAGTTCCTCGCCCACATGACGGGCCAGTTCCCAGGTGAATATGTTCTGTCCTTCAGCTGAGCTTCCCGCGTGGACGATACGGTTGTAGTATGACTGCAGGTCCAGGTGATCGGCACGGATTGCATCCATGATACGATCCATCTTCACTTCGATGAAGATGATCCTGTCGTTTCATCGCATACGCCAAGGTCTTCATTTTTTTTAGTTTTTTCTTTTCACCGGATCTTCTGCGGGGTCCCTGCCACTGAAGTGAACATGACGTCCGAGCACCCTAGACGGCCAATTTCTAACCGCCAACACTGGGATTCAGCTCCGGAATAACCCTCGCCCAATCATCTTATAGAAAGGCAGTTGACACATCGCACGCTAGCCTCGTTGCATCACGAACACTTCACGCCACGAACACCTGGTGTTTTCGGATTCTTAGGCTGGGACTCGCGGCTGTCTTACACCCTAGCTTCCTTTCTCTCCGATGTTTGTCTTCCTTCATTCCTCGCTCTTCAACCCCCACTCCCTCAGACACAACTCAATGCAAACAATCTACGCACCATGGGGCTGAATGTCTCCCGGTAAGTGACCCCGTTCAGACAAGGTCCAAGGCCCACGGTCACTAATCCATCGTTCCTTTGCGCAGGCCGAAGGCTTCCCCTCACAATGGTACTCCCACTAAACCCCGGTCCCAAACCCAAGGGTGCTTCGGAGTAAGCGGGCGCCTTCGTCAATGGTTGTGGCCTGCGTGGTGGGGCCCCCAGTCCAAACAGCTCCAGGCCGGTCTATGTCAGCCCTACTTGAGTCAACCGGGCGACTGCAAGGCGTGTCGAGACTGGGGAGTCCACTGTGACCGCTCTCGGCCACAGTGTGGCCATTGCTACGACGAGCAGATTCTGTGTTTCTACGTGGGACAGCCTATAATTAAGCCCAAATCCCCGCGATCGGGACGCTCGGGCGCTAACCCTGTCCCCGCGATCCGCGAGCCTAGGCCGCGAAGGGCTTGATTTTTTTTCGCGCTATTTGTATACTTGGCGCTTTTGGTGGATAGTTCCATTGGCAACATACACGATCATCATCGCGTGTTTTTGGACATTCAATTCATTCCCAAGGGTTCTCATTTCGGGTTCTATGTTGGTTGTTTTGTTGTGTTGAAGCATGAGGAATGTCAGACGTGGCACGCTTGGATTGGCATTTGCATTACTACTACTGTAGTAGTAACCCTTTATAGGGAAGATTCCGCTTCTGTGATACCTAACCTTTTCAATTTTTGACCTCTTCTTTGTGGAAAACATCTGATCAAGTCAGTTGCGATTTCCAGGTTTTGTAGCAGTGGCTCTGGCTTACTCGGGATCTCCGGCATCCATGACGCTCGGCTCTTGCAGAAGAACTCCCCTTTAGGGGGCAAAGCTTCCGGGTCATCTAGAGAGCCTACGCAGATGTATCGGAAGTGCTCTTTGGCTTGTTCCTGAAACTGCAGTCAGCCACTGCCAAGCTTCCCTCTGTAAGGGCTGCCCATTGGAGACTGTACCCCATATTCCAAGATAAAACTTCCGCAGGTATCACAAAACTCGCGATAGATCGAGGTGCCCGAGCCGTTATCTGATACGTGCTCCTTTGGGGCTCCCGACTTGAGGCGGAAGGAGTCCTTGGGGACTTTCGCTGTGAGACCGTAGTTCGTCCCAAATGCTTTCTACTCAAACGGTCAACTCGATATTCCAATATTCACACAGATTTAGAGATGCCTACCTTGCAGTTGGCACAGTGGCAAAGAGAGGTCCGCGCATCATCAGGAGATGCCAGTTCCAGCTCATACAGAATTGCGCGACAGTAACATGATCCGGTGTATGTTGGCATATTGAATCGGGCGTGTTTAACTTCCAATTTAGGACCTAGAAAACTCAAAACTCAAAACCCAACTGGTATGTGTATCGAAAAATCGTATGTAGTCGTATTATGGAGGACCTTGGAGGTTGGGAAAATAAGCATACTCGGTACTCTCAAGATATATCCAAGCCTTTCGACGCGGAGTCGGCCAAGGCAAGATTGGAACGTAACGTAATTATGACGGCGCGTATCAGCAAAACAGGCTTGGGGTCACACAAATATACCCGGCACGATCTGTCTATAAGGGCTTATACAGTACATACTAATCCGAGTAACTAGGTAACTAGGTACCATTAGAAACTTGAATCCCCCAAGTCGACTAGGAGGTACACGAGCAGGAGCTTATCTTCTACTCCCCGATAAACGCTTATCGGCCCCTTATCAGCCTTATCATCCCCCCAATTCGTTATCTAATATGCGGGGGCGCAGAGTGACACAGCACTGCAACCTCGTCAATGCAGTCCACGTGAGAGGGGTAATCAAATAAATAGCACGAAGTCGAAAGCCCAATTGCAAAAAAAGCTCCTAGTATCTCGAAGCCTTTCGTTACCCCCCAGCCAGCCCGCAATACTATGGCGGATATCGAGTACCTGAAGAGCCTACAAGCCGTCCGCGAACGAGCTCGTCTGGTGCTCCACGCGGCGGAGCAGGACAAACTCACCCACTTCAGCTACCGGGAAGACTTGATGCCCGCAACAGCTGACTTCGTTGCTGGCATCATAACCGTACGCTCAGGTCTCTGCTAGCCGGCCAATCTTTCCTAACTAGTTGGTAGAGAGATTTCGGGCCGGACAAATTCGACCAGATCCCTCCCCACGGCCGATGGCAGCACTTTGAAGTTGGCGGGATTGCTCGGGTTGAGCAGCTTATCCGAGGATGGGAAGCGCAGGGACATGGCAAGGTCGAGGTTGCGCGACGACTCACAGATCTGTTCTTCGTGGCTGTCCTGCTGGATGCGGGTGCGGGCGATACCTGGAAGTTCACGGAGCCGAACACAAGCAATGCATACGGCCGTAGCGAGGGTATTGCCGTTGCGGCGTTGTACATGTTTCAAGCGGGTGCTTTTTCGAGTGATAAGGATAAGCCGGAAACTGTAGATGGTGGGTTCTGTCCGTGTTCCATCCAATGTGCCAGGCTAACGAATTGCGATCTAGGACGAGGATTGATGCAGCTTAGCCTTGACACATTTCTGCCGCATTTCCAAGTCTCTCCCACCAATCCGTTAGTCGGTGTCGAGTCGCGGGTCACGTTATTGCAGAATGTGGGCTCGTCGTTCCTGGCATTGCCAAAGATCTTTGGGGAAACCGGCCGTCCGGGGCATCTTGTTGGTAAGTGCCCGCCGTCACGCGTCTCGCTGAGTTCAGCTAACAGGACATGGCCAGATTATTTGCTTGAGAACCGCGGTAACTCGGAGCGTCTGGATTTCGAGAACCTATGGGGAGCCCTGCAAGAGACGCTTCTACCTGCCTGGCCTAAGAACCGCACTCATATCCGTGGCATTCCCATCGGCGATGCCTGGCCTCTTCAAGCTCTGGCCCGCCTCAATCCTGAATCAGGAGCTCAAAATGAGACGGCCCACATTCAGCCTTTCCACAAGCTAACTCAATGGCTAGCATACTCACTTTCTGTCCCTATGACGAGGATCTTGGGACTTGAGTGGGACAATGCGGAGAGCGGCACAGGACTAGCGGAATATAGGAACGGCGGCCTTTTCGTCGATATGGGGGTTCTTACGCTAAAAGACGACGTCTTGAAGGCAGGTCTTGAGCGGTCAAAGCAGAGTCTCCCGATATACGACACCACTGGAGATGTCATTGTCGAATGGCGGGCGATGACGGTCGCTTTGCTGGATAAGCTGCACGAGCTAGTCAGAGCTAAGTTCTCGGATCGAGGGGTCACTCTGAGTATGGCGCAGATGTTGGAGGCTGGCTCGTGGAAGGGAGGACGAGAGCTAGCGGCAAAATATAGACCTGAGACTCGCTCCAGCCCAATCTTGATCGAGGGCGATGGCACGCTCTTCTGAAGTGCTAGTCTGAGCCACGTTATGATCAGGAAATTTACCCTGAGTCAATGTGACAACGTAGTACCAGTGATAGTAATTGGCATGTTTCATGTTTCGAAGTACATGCTAGCACACAGGTACCCAATAGTTGACTATTAGTATCTCCTCACTTACAGCTTCTTCATGGAACCCCATATATAGAGAGTTACGTGTAGAGCGGTATCTAAATGGGAAATATTTAGCTAAGCGTCGCAAAGAATTAGCTGCGTGTAATAGAGCTTCCCCACGGTGATGCCAAGATGACGTTGCGCTACGCGTAAACGCGTCTCCGCATAAAACAAGGTGCAGACCAACCCCAGACTTTCGTAGGTTGCATTTCCGACAACTACAAAATGCCCACGAATCCAATTACTAGTCCACAGCAAAGTCCGGGCACCCGAGCAAGTGAAGTTCACTTGTTTATCTTCTCGGTCGTCGATGGAGAACCACGGGTGGCATTGTTCCGACGCAGTGAGAATGCGAGAACTTTAAAGTATGTCATGACAGACCCGATGTACCATAGTATCCTTTCTCTGCGACATCGATCATACCGACTTGGATGCGGAAGATACTAATCGCTATAAGAAACTGTCTAGCGCCAATATGCGGGGCAATCGAACCGAACGAACCCCCCACTGCCGCCGCATGGCGCGCCTTGAAACAACACGCCGGCCTGACATCGCACGCCGTGGAATTCAGTCGGAAAGGGAAACCATTTATTTCTGAGGACAACAATGCAGAGTTGATCATTTGTCCTTTCGCGTTCCGACTGAGGGCCCCCGGAGAAGGTTCTTTGAGCGAAAACGCCATTGCACTGGATGACGAACACACCGAATGGAGCTGGCACAACCCAGACATTGTGGTCCACAATGAGGCAGACCTGAGCATCATTCCCAATACTTCCCAGAGTCTGCGCCGAGTATGGTTCGAAGCAGACATGAACAAAGCGGCCGGAGAGGCCCTTCGATCGGGCCTGGAGCAACTCAAAACCGATCATAAAAGCGGCGCAAACGAACTGGCCTCGATTGCCCTGAAATCATTCCGAGATGTACTCATGCACCTCCACAACGACCCGAACTGGTGGGAGACAGCACGCAAAGCGGCATGGCATCTCTGGAAAAACGGCCGGGAGAGCATGGGAGCAGCGACCCTGAACGTACTGCTGCACACATTGGCCGAGCTGAGGAAAACGATCGGGAACAACCTCGAGGAAGAACGGAATTGGGACCGGAGCCTCGCTGCAGTGGACTACCAACTCGAAGAGCGGCGGAAAATCGACCTCCGCATAAAGGAGTCGTTCACTCTGTACCTCCAAGCGAATTTTCTCCCGCCCGCGAAGGCGAGGTCGTGCGATACCCTGAGCATCCTGACGCTGTCAGCCAGCTCCACGATCCGGGATAGTATCCTGGATGCCTTCGCGGCACTGCCGATTCCACGCCTGGATCTCCGCATCCTGGAGTCGCGGCCTCTCTTTGAAGGTGCCAGCATGGGATCTTCCATACTCACTGAATTCCAGCAGAAGTTCCCCCTTCCTCGGACCGCTCGTTGAACATGACCATCTACACTGATGCGTCGGCCGCGCTTGCGTCGGCCGACGTTGATTTTGCGCTTCTCGGCGCAGACCGGATATCGCACCTCGGGGATGTAAGCAATAAAACTGGGTCGTTACCTGCGGTGCTCAGTGCAAAGCATGTGCACCCCGAGGTCAAGGTATTGGTACTGAGTGGGTTGGACAAAATTGCAGAACCGGGAACTGAACACGAGGTTGAGAATAATGACCGGACGGAGATAATTAGTAGCTGGCTCGCCAATGGAGGGAAGGGAGTCAAAGTCATTGAGTCCGGCCTGAGCGCCACTCAGTCTCGTACAAACTGCATAGTGGAGGTGAAAAACATTTATTTCGAGTGGGTGCCCAGAGGTCTGATTGACGAGTACATCTGTGAAGAGGGCATATGGAACGAAAGCCGTATATACCACAGGGCGGTGGAGATTGAGTATATGATCCACGACTATTTTGGTTCAATTTGAACGGATTCCTACGGTTGAGATCGTGAGAGAGGAAAAGTAATCATAATGGAACCATTGCTGTCGCTGTGCATTGATTGAAGTGGCTGTGTATCAGTCCGAGTAAAATTGTAGACTGTGCCTTGCTTCCCCATTGGCAGCCCTGCGCTACATTTCCGACAGAAGAAATAAGAGAAAAGCGAAACACAAAAATAATAGAAATCAATCCAAACACCATGCTAGAGGACAGGAACGTTAAAGACCTCTGGCAGATAAGCCGGCGAATACAAACAAGGAAACTCGGACAATATATGCAAAATTGAAGGTATCGTGATGCTCAGCAGTCGCGGACACGCGCCTGGCGCTTAGCGGTGCCAATGTGGGTATTGTGAACTTTGGTGGCAAACTTCAAGCTTGTCAAAGTCTCCGACAGGTGAGCCTGTAACGGGCTGACCATGACAAACATGAGGGTCTTGGAGTTGCCACCAAGAGAGAATTGAAGGAGATATGTGAGCTGTGCGGTGGGTTAGCAAAAACAAAAAAAAAACAAAAAAAAAGAAAAACAAAAAAACTTTCAGGAAAATATCAAAAGCTCAAGATGGGAACATACCTTGCTGTTACGATAGGGGATGTGGCCCCCGTCCTTGCCTTGCCCAAGGGCGGCAATAACATCGCCCAAAGAGCTCAAGCTGCGGTTGATGTTTTGGGTCTCCTTGAGACGCTCGCCTGTGGCGCCGCTGTGGCTCAAACGCTCACTACCGGCAAGATCGACGAGGTTGAGAGTACCTTCGCTACGCTCGCCAGTGATGTGGTTTTCGCCTTTTAGCTTCAGAATGAAAACAGAGTGGGACCGAGAGGAACGCTCGTTGGCTTTGGTAGCAGCAACAGACCGGTTGGCAGCCGCACGCTCAAGGATCGACTCAACCATCTCGGGGGATTCAAGTTCGACGGTGTTGATATCGGTAATGATGGTCTTTCCTCGTTGCATGTCGTGGCGAATCTCGTGCTTCTTCTTGTCAAGTTCGTCGGGATTCCCAAGGAGATCGTTGAGGTTTTCGTTATAGACTTCAACAAAATTGCCTTCCATAGTGTAACGCCATCCCTTTTCTTCTAGACCCCGCGCAGTATCATAGATCTGGTGCACAGCACGTGGAATCATACCGTCGCCAGAGGACATGGTATGGGTTTTGCCGCTACCAGTCTGGCCATAACAAAAGATGCACACGTTGTAGCCATCCAGGGCGCTTTGAACAAGCTGACTGATTTCATCGAAAACTTCAGCATTCTGGGAAGAGGGACCGAAGACCCGGTCGAAAGAAAAGGTGTGGTTCTTGCGAGTGACGGCACCCAGGCTAGTCTTCTCCTCGGGACCCTGCACATTGATTTCTTTCGACTCCTCGGCATCATCCGGGTATTGCATTGGGGCAATCATGGTAGCTGGCTCGTTGTTGAGCGGCGGGCGAACTCGGCAGAAGACCCGGATGTTGCCCTTCAATTCCTGCACCTGGTTGTGAAGCTTACGGCGAAGAGTCTCTTCCTTGCGAAGCTTTTCCTTGGTAGCCTCAGTCTCTGCCAAAGCATCCATCATGCGTTGATTGCAGCTTTCGAATGCCTGAGATTGTTCCTCACGGCCACCCTCGAGGAACTCAATGCGTGCTTTCAGCGCCCTGATGGTGGACTCCAGGGTCACGCTGTTGCTGTTCGAGGTATCCAGATTGTGTCGAAGGTCATGCACAATCTTGCGCTCTCGATCCAAATCGGACTTCAAGTTTTCAAAATCAGTGCGCAAAGAGGCCAGCTCCCGCTCCTTGTTGTTTAACTCAATTTGCGATTTCTGGACGTCCATAGCTGACTGCGATGTTAACTGGCTGAGGTCCCGGACTCGCTTTGCCTTTTCGTCTTCAATTTCGCTGTCGAACTTGCGTTTGAGCTCGCGAAGCTGCTCTCGGTGATAGGCGGCCGTGGCGTCTTGCTCTTTCTTGTTTTCTTGTTTGATCGACTCCAATTCGGCACGCTGTCGTCGGTCTAAGTCGTCCAAAGCGATTTCTTGCTCTCGGCGGGCCTCTTTCATCGCGTTCTCTGCGGTGGTTAGTTGTTGCTTGAGATGCTCCATCTCTACCTTGAGAGAAAGGTTGGTCTCTGATAAACCGTCGCGGGCCTTTTCCAGCTCGGAAACTGTGACAGCATTAGCTTGGGTGGGTCAGTTCAAGAGAGGTTCTGTAAACTAACTCCGAGACTTATAGATTTCCACACTATCTTTCCAGCCGGAGGCTTCCTGTCCTTGTTGTGTCATGCGGGTCATGAACGTCATAAACATCTCGTCCATATTGCGTTCGCGGGACTCGTGGTTCCATTCGGTGTCTACATTGTTTTGAAAGATCTGGTTAGAGCTTGGGGTCGATGAATCCTTGGTAAGAAATAGAGGTGGTGGTGGCCTCTTGGGGCTCCTGGGGGTCCGGACGGGAGGCATAGGCACGGAATATGATTTGGAAGGGGTAGCATGGTTTTGGAAAGCCTCAGGCGGTTTGGGGGGTAAATTGCTTGGGTCCAATAAAGCCTTCAACGAGTCCTGATCCGGGTGGTTTACACCTTCCTTGGGGCCAGCCTCAAATGGAACAAGCAACTTCGCAGTTGATCCATAGCAAATTGATCCAGATCTATGAGAGTCCTCCGGGGCAACGGGGCAAGAAGAAGAACGATTAATGGAAGAAAATTGCGTACCCTTTCTTTTTTGGGGAAGGACACTCCCAGCTCCATCCTCGGCATGGGTATCCAGGGATGTCGCCGGCCGCTGAACTGATGAACCGAGGGGCTTTCGGAGACCAAGGGAGGAGTTAGAATGCGCAAGTGCAGAGGCTGGACGAGCGCCATGGCCGACGCTTGCTGTATAGGACCCCGGAGTTGGTCGAGCGGTGGTAGAACCGATGCGCGACATCGTGGAAGCGGCGTGGGAATTGTTGCGAGCGTGTGCCTTGGGAGCGGGGGTAGTTGAGCGCGTAACAGACGCCGACTTCTTTTGATCGTAGGGGCCTGCCGTCGTAGGTCGGGTCGCTTCAGATGGGTTAGCTGATACCTTGCTTGTCACCAGCCGCGGGGGAGCTATTGCGCTGAAGGCCATACGGGAGAGCGATTTGTTCGCGATGAATCCAGGTGGGAGGAGTCCGGATCGCGAGTTGGCAGTCGCAGAGTTCATTTCTCTCAGCGTCCCTTGAGGGATACGGGAGCGATTCTGGACGCGAGGCTGGTTCTGTCGATAGCAAGTAAGGATATGCGCCAGTGAGCCTGGAATGCGGGCAAGCTTATTTACCATGTTTTCGTCGTCCATGGTGGAATTGGAAGCGGGCTTGGTCGCGCGCCAGGTTACCGGTGAATAGAGAATCCGCGCAAGAAGAAGGAGTTGGGTTGCAGCCACAGTCTCTCAATGCCAAAGGGCGGGAGCGAAGAGGCGAAAGCGGGACATGTGTCGCTGAGGATTCACGATCTACTCGGTGCAGATGGTTTCTGGAGAGACCGAGAGTAAACAAACGATGAGTCAGCAGGTGCTCCCAATGCGCTTCTCCCGGTCGGGACTAGTGGAAACTCCTATTACCGTATGGTCACACACCGCCCCGGAACTACATAAGAAGTGGGACTGGTCTGCCATGAGTATCGGAAACTTTGGCATGCCAAAGTTGAATAGAACCTTCTTGTACCGGAAGGGGAAAGATTCTGGTTCGCGCAAGATTTTTGGACTGATAATTTTATATGACAATGTTCCATTTGACCCGTCACGGGCAAACTTTCACGATCATTCGTTAGGAACTCAACACTGATGCTCCAATAGAAGGTACCACCGTAAGGAAAGAGGCGTGGTCGCCAAATACAGCACGTGAGGTGATTCCATGAACGAGTCCTGGTACAACCACAGAACAGGCCGGTTCTGTTCTCAAGTAGGAACCAAATCTGTCAATTATTCCATCCGATCGTGCTGCATCCTGTGCAGCCCGCTGTCATCCGCTGCACTGAGAGAGATTGCGCCTCGATCTTGAAGCCAGTCCAAGGCCGGCGCAGTCTCCACCCGGCCCGCTGAAACCAAAAAGGGCCCCAGCTGCTGCATTCCCTGCTCCAGCGCAGCTCCTAGACCTCCTCTTTCTCCAACTTCTCCTTGGATTGTTTTTTCTATTCCCAATTCCTCAACGGCTGCTCGTTCCACCATGTCCGGGCGTTTTGTGCGTTCCTCTAAATACCGTGAGTCCTTGTTGATCTTCCCGATTCCCGTTCCCCGCTGACCGTTGCGGAAGGCCACGTCTTCGGGCGTTCGACGCGAAAGGTATCCCTTCGCCGCAAAACCCCTCGCTTCCTGCGACTCCGATCGAACGTACATATTAATCGCTAGTATAGGACCAATGCTATGACAACCTTCGTGTGTCGAGAAATGCCTGGGATACCAACCTGCTCAAGGTTCGCCGCGCCACCGCCCCCCCTGGACGCTCGCCGTGCCCCTCTTAATGCTAACGGTTGCCAAAAATAGGTCAACCCGAAAAACTTGGCAGTCAATTGGGAGTCCGGTGGTGGAGGAGCTTTCGCTGTGATTCCTCTGGAGGAGCGAGGCAAATTGCCTGACCGCATTCCTCTGTTCCGTGGACACACAGCCGTTGTACTCGATACCGACTGGTAGGATTCGTTTCGAGCCCCCGGAACCCGCGCGCAAGGCTAATCAGTGTAGGAACCCTTTCAATGACGATTTGATTGCTTCGGGCTCGGATGATGGAAAGGTAGAGAGCCTCGCTGATAAATTCGGTTTTGTGGAATTGCTACTTACTGAGCGTTAGGTCTTTCTCTGGCGGGTTCCGGAGGGCTTTACCGTGCGCCCAGACGTCGAGGCGGATGATATCCAAGACATTGCTCCTGTTGGCAAGCTGAGCGGCCACCCCAAGTAAGACACACCCCATGCAAGGTGCACTGCAAGCGTTCAATTCTAAATCACTCGCCGCAGGAAAGTTGGCCACGTGCTCTTCAACCCCGCGGCAGAAAACGTGCTGGCAACGGCCTCGGGAGACTACACTGTGAAGCTCTGGGATGTTGAGGCTGGCGCATCAAAGCTCAGCCTGGATGTTGGTGACATTGTGCAGTCCTTGTCATGGAGTGCCAATGGTTCCCTGTTGGTTACTACCTCCCGTGATAAGAAGCTCCGTATTTGGGACGTACGTCAGGAGCGCCCTGCGCATGAATCCCAAGGTCACTCTGGCGCCAAGAACAGTCGTGCTGTCTGGCTTGGAGAGCGCGACCGGGTCGCCACCACTGGTTTCTCTAAGATGAGTGACCGTCAGCTGGCACTGTGGGATATCCGCGCTGCTCGAGAGCCCATTAACGGCTTCAAAACGCTGGACTCGATCTCTGGTGTCTGCATGCCTTTCTGGGACGATGATACCAGCGTTTTGTATCTGGCTGGACGAGGGTATGGCGTTTCTCCCGTGCTCCGTATTCTATCTTCATAACGCTAATCTTTTCCACATAGTGACGGCAACATTCGATACTTCGAGCTGGAGAACGACAAATTCGAGTTCCTTTCGGAATACAAATCTGCTGACCCCCAGCGCGGTGTTGCATTCATGCCTAAGCGCGGTGTCAACATGCACGAGAATGAGTTGACCCGGGCTTTCAAGACTGTCAACGACAGCTATGTCGAGCCTATTTCCTTCATTGTACCTCGTCGCGCTGAGACCTTCCAGGACGACATCTATCCTCCTACTATTGGTGCGACCCCCGCCATGAACTCTTCCGAGTGGTTCTCGGGCAAGGAGGCTATTCCTGGCAAAATTTCCATGGCCAGCCTATACGATGGCCAGGGTCTGAAGGAAGTTACTGGTGCTGTTGACAAGCCAACCGGCTCCCTGGATACTCCCTCTCCCAAGCCCGCTGAGCCTGAGGTCAAGAAAGCCGAGCCTACTATTGTGAAGCCTACTCCACGTGAGCCCGTTTCGGAGCCCACACCTGCGGCTCGCCCTGCCCCGTCCATGAAGGACCAGGGGGGCTTCGATGGCCGCGATGGTGAACAAGTTCGCCGATGAGGAAGAAGAAGCTACGCCTGTGGATGATGACTCAAGCTTCGAGGAGGTTCCTAAGCCCATTGAGCGTGCGTCACGTACCGCCACGGAGTCATCTTCCCCCCGGGTCAGCAGCCCTCTGCGTCCAAAGGAAGAGCCTACCCCTGCTGCCGCCCCTACCCCTGCTTCTGCTCCTGCTCCTGCCCCTGCCCCTGTTGCTACTGTAAGTTCTCTTGTTACCTTCCTCATACTAGTGCCCTGTACTAATAATTATAGACCCCTCCCCGTTTCCGCCTCCACCGGCGGATCAAGCAACGTCTCTCGTGACATCGAGGAGATCAAGAACTTAATCGCTGCTCAGACAAAGACAATTGCCGACCAGGCACAGCAGATGCAGGCCTTGACTTCGGAGCTTGAGTCTCTGAGGAGCAAGCTGAACTAAGTCTTATTTGCATCATGATGAGGGTCAAGGGAGTATTGTAGATACCGTTCTGGAGTTCTCCGGGGCCACTTTTCTTCTCGGTGTGGCCGTTTCTGGTGTCTCGACGTAGATGATGTGCGATTCAATGTGGATATGTAGTCGGGTCTTTCTTGTCTAGCGATTCTGTCAATACATGCCTGTTAAAAGCTCAGATGAAATGCATTGCCGTTGTAGTTGTAAGTCTCAAATACCGGGGAATTTTCGAAAATTGGGTGATTACATTACTTATGGAGTGCTACATATTTAGCCAGGGGTCGGTAGCTTGAACTTAGTGTTCCTAGCAAGCATAGAGAACACTGGCGATCTGCCTATGATGCAAGTTCCTTATTGTACAGTCAATGACTTTCTTAAGCTGCTGCCGGCCTCAGTCCACGGCCTCCACTATGAGAAGTCCGTATCCATACGCCAGTACAGTATGTTAGATATTAGGGACTTGATCCATAGGGCCAACACCGTCAGATAGGATAGGTTAAAGTGATGCCCGGCCAATAATAACGGACTGAAGGCGACACAAGCGACGTGAAGCTCGGAATGAGAGCTAGCCTGCGTTTAGCAATGGTGGCTTCGCCTTTATATCGCGATTCGCACAGACAACCGGGACTATTACACTTAAACTTAGAGCTCCACAGGCACATTCAAGTGCAGAATTGAGCTGAGTGACTTTAAGTCCATCATAACGCTATCCAAATCCTGGAAACGCTAACTTGAAGCCTCCTACTAGTTAGTACTCGATTCCCGCGCTTACCTGAGTGATATTCTACTTAGGACAGGCGGAAAAGCCTCTAACTCTAGATTGAAACTGATTAAATTATGAACCATTAGGAAAGTTTCATTACCAACTTACAGGTATTAGAACTAGCAATGCTCGTATACTCATCGAATCATCAAATATAACAAAGTGCAAGCATGATACCCTATCCACCATTGTTGTGAATGAAAATGCCTATTCCCCACCCAACAAGCCCGTCGCACCACCAGACACGGTATTCTTGGCCGACTCACCCCCAGAAGCAAGCCCCGAGCCAACAGCCTCAGCGCCACTCTTGCCAGTATCCACGAAAGACGCAGCAGGCCCTCCGTAAGAACCGTTCTCCTCCTTCCCGTTGCGTTCAGCGCGGTTAATCCCCTCCTTGGAGACAGCCTGCCCGACAGGCGCGAGCAGTCCCTTATCACCGACCTGGTTGCCGGCCAAGTTTGAGACATCGTCTTGAGCCTGATCGACCTGGTCGACACCAGTCACCTTCGCCTTGGAGAGGGAGTCTGGTCACAAGAATCCTCGTCAGTAAATGACAACCTTCCTGAAGCTATACTAGTAGTTATAGAACTGTACGTACCTTTGGTGGCGTACGAAGCCTTGTTATCGCCTTTGCCAAACCAGCGAAGGTACTGGTCTTCGATCCATGGCATCCATTGCTCGTATTTGGCATTGTACGCGTCTTTGGCCCATTCGGAGTACGTCTGGGACTTCTTGTCCTGGGGCTCTGTGGCGCTGGGCAGCTGTTGCTTGGCGTTGTCGGCGAAACTCATTGTGCAAACGTTGTGGAACTTGGAACGCTTTGCTCAGGATAAAACAAAAAGAGAAATGTACGTTTTTGCTGCCATTTATAAACAAAATTCGGAATCGTGCTCGTATATTTGAGTTCGTTTAGATTAGATGCCCACTCCGGTGACGTCAACCCGCACCAGCCGCTGATGTATGGATTGATACAGGCTACGAGGGTGAGCACAAGAACCAGAATTTATGAGAGTAGCCTAATGCCAAATTTTATATGTAGTGCAGTCGAACTTTACGAGCTCGACATCCCATATATTTTATGGCGGTGTCTGGTCAGTGAGTGAAACAATACCCGCCATGAGTACTACCTAATAGGCGGTAATTGGGACCTTTAGTTTCGCATGAAGTACATTGGGGGGGGGTTTAGACCCAACGCGAATAGTAACAATGGACTACTGCAAGTGACCCATAATGCTCAGTTGCCGGGTGTCTTGCTGATGAGATGTGGCTATGCAGGATGAAACGTTGGCGTAGACATCAGGTGAGATCTGGTAGGGCAGGGGGCAATCTCGTCACGCTCAGGCCCAGGAATTCAACCTGGCAGCTACAGGGTATTCTTCATTGGGCAGATCTCGTGCATATACGGGACTCCTAGGCCAATGGAAACCAATTATGCATGGTATTGGTCTTAGCGAGGTGGACCCAAATGGCTTGAGGTCAAATAACTACAGAACATACAAGGCGCTAGAAAGTGCAAGAGCTTCTCTTCTCCGCTCCATTCTTTTCAGTTTCATGATTCTAAGGGCTCCTTTGGTAATAGGATCTTCTATCTGATCGTTGATTTCTGTCGATATGTACCAGAGGTTAAGCCTCAAATGGCAAGAATCTACCATGGAAGCAACAAGGGATTTCCGCGCCCGCCGATATATATGGGTATGGGGGATAAGAACATGGAGAACGCGTGAAGTTAAAAGCTCAAAGACCGGACACATACGACCAGAAACGCCAGCTAGTGCTACGGAGCTTTCGAGAGGCTTGATACGTTTCGCCCATAGTTCAAAGCTCGTCCTCATACTTGAAGTTGATGCGGCGGCCCGCCACCACACGATCTGGCCGACTGTCTCGTCGACTACCGGAATTCGCTTTCTCACGGCGCTGTTTTTCCCGCAGCATGCGTTCCCGGTCGCGCGCCTCGCGTTCGAGCGTATTAGGGTCCTTCTCAGCGGCGGCTTTGGTTGAATCGCGGTCGTGCGAGCGGTCGTCGTAACCATTACGCTTTACACGGCGTGATCTGGGATGTGAAGAGTGGTCGCTCACATCACCTGTTTCGGAACGGTCACGACGTCGCTTGCGTTCTTTCTCTCGCTCCCGCCCGGATTCACGGCCTCGATCGTGAGTTCTGTCGTGTTCCCGGTCGCGTCGGCGGTCTGAGTCTGATTTCCTGTCTCGATCGCGACGGTCCCGGTCCCGGTCCCGCTCACGCTCACGATCTCGGTCTCGGTCGCGGTCTCGGTCTCGGTCTCGGTCACGACGGTGACTATCACGAAGCCGGTCACGGGGCTGGTCATCCTCCCGCCGACTGGGTCGGTCTCGGGTTGAGCGGTGGTCACTGCTGATTCGTCCGGCGAGGCCACGAGTGTCTAGAAGATCCACGGGATTGTCACCTTCATTGAGGTTGGTTTTACTAGACCGGTCTGATCTTTTGGTATCCCTGTCTCTGTCGGGGTTGCGGCTGCCATCTCGGCTGCGGTGACGTCGTGAACGGTGAGATTGGTGGCCGGTTCGGCGATCTCGATCCTCGTCACGGTGACGTCTCGAAGAGTGATGTGAAGAGCTCTGCGATGGAGACCGAGCGTGACGATCTCTATTCCTTGAGCCACCTCCATAGCGGCTTTCCCGGTCATCATCGGCGCCATTGACTGTAGGTGAGCGACGTTGTGAAGCTCTATCTTGAGACGGCGAAGGAGATCGAGATCCAGGATGCGGGGTTTGCGAGTGTTCTTGAGAGGTCGTTGTCTGTGGTTCTTGCGGGGTTTCGGCGTTGTTGCTGTCATTCTGTAAGGAATACCTTCTTCGAAGTAGGCTGTAAGACTTACCTGGCTGGAACTCCAGAGGCCTTACTCCCAGATAGAGTGCGAGTGTGATTATGGAAGCCTCGCTGGCGCAAAAGACTGGTGTTAGGTCGGCCCTCTCGCATGGCACGAGGCGCAGCAGGGGCGCCTTCAACACCAGGGTTCCTTAGTTCTACATGAGGATGGGTGGATCCACTCATTGAGCCGCCGCCACGATGCGCCATATGTCCTCGCATGTAGCCTCCACGGCCATATCCAACATTAGGATGGTTGGAATAATTAGGATAACCATTCGGCATTGCCGTCGAGGATTCATCGAGACTGTCAATAGTAGGGATGCCCTGCAGCTGTTGGCTGTCACCATTCACTAGGTTCGATTCGCCGGAGAGAGGTTCTCCATCAGCGGGGTTAACTTCCACTTCGGATTCGGTCTTTTCCATAGCCTGGGAAGAGTCAGTGTTAGTTGGCGTTCCCGTAGAAGGGTCTGCAAATGAATTAGAGGTGGGTCTGCTCGGCAGCCCGCCATGCGGGCCATGGTTGAAGTTGTTCATGCTAGCGCCTCCATATGCACCGCGACTTTGATTATAGAAGCCTCGCCCACGACCTCGGAATCCACCTCGGCTATGGCTCGGCCCGTAGTAACCAGACTGGTGATCCGCGTTAGAATGGTAAGACATATTGGACCCGCCAAATGGTCCTCGTAAGGAGGGCCTGTGCCATTTGCGAAAGCATTTGGATTGAATTTATTTTCGCCGCCTTGCCACATGTTTTGTTGTGAGCCGTCCCAACCTAACGTGCCATACATGTTCTGTCCGTTGAAGTTCATTCCCATGTTCATGCCCATACCAGTCATGTTCATTCCGTAATCTCCGAACATCCCCTGATTTGCGGCCCTCGGATCCATATTCATCATAGACATCCCTTGAGCAAGATTAGCTAGCAATTTTGTGACAGCCGCGTCAGGTCTTAACCTACCCATTTGATTCGGGAAGTTGTACATGGAGCTGGCCATGAAAGGATTCATTCCATTCATTCGATTCATTGCGCCAAAATTGCCGTTGGAGTTCCATGGTATACCTGAAAATCCCCCTTGCCCGCCGCCAGCAAGATTTGAAATTTGACCCGGCAACAATGGCGCATCTTGGGCCGCGATACCATTTTTCACTGCGGGGTCGACTTGGGCATCGGCGGGGCTAGGGGGATTGGTAGCATCCGTGGGAGCATCGTCTGGCTGTTGTGTAGACTGTTTCGTGTGAGCACTTGTACTTCTGACGCGGGAAGAAAAGTGGGATACCTCATTTGATGGATTGGCAGGCTCTGGATGGTTCACGTTCGCTGCGCTCTCAGCAGGTTCTGTAGACGGTGAAGCCTCTACCGTATCGGCTTTCCCATTCGGTCCCTCTGCGGCCGCTACGCCTGAGGACTCAGGGACATCTGGGACTGTCTCGTTCTTCGCCTGATTCTCTTCACAACCCTGCGATTCAGTCTTCGCCGGTGGATTGGTAGTGGTTGGAGTTGGTGGAGCTGCAGCTTGGCGTTCTTTCTCGCGCTTCTTTTCTTCGGTGCGCAAATAAGCCTTTAGAGTGATGCGGAGCGCCTTGTTTGGTCTGCAGAGATCAGGAGATACGGGGGAGTGGGCGCAGACTGGACATGTGTCGGATAGAGAATTTTGACCTTGAAGTTGTTAGTGGTAAGAGGTGATAGGTTGTAATACGATCAACCTTACATGTCTCGCAGATTGACTGGTCGCAGCACGGCAAACGGAATGCGTTCGTCGCTAAGAGATTGCAAATGGCGCATCGCAGCTTCATGGGAATCTCTTCCTGGGGAAGGAGACTGGTCGTGTGATGAGAAACAAGCGTGCCTAAGCGGTTGATTCGAGACTTACCTGGCGATGACCATGAGGCCAGCCGGCGGATCGGCCGCAGCCATTGCTGCGCAGAGAGAACTACTGCGCACGAGGCAAGGAAGGGAGACTGACCGGGTAGGAGGGGGTAAAAACAGTGAAGCTCAAAAGTTGGAGGTCGCAAACGAACATGGAAATTGGCCGGAGAAACAGTTCCGCCGATCTAAATAATTTTGACGTGGAGCGACCGGCTAAAGGTTCAGTTAATTTGTTTGGATGCATGGCAGGAGAAGAATCCACATCTATAAACTACCTAGCTATATACGCAACCGTCGTCAGATTAGATCAAGTTATTTTTGGGTCCATCATCAATGGCGCTGCGATACTCTGCGGTCTCAGCAGCCCCCATACCTCCGGACTCAGTCATCATCATCAACGGCCCCGAACCAGGGTTTACACAAGAGCCCAACAAGAGACAGAAGGAGAGCAAAAAACAGCTCAAATGGGAAATATTAGACGAAAAGAAGATAAATCAAGAAAAACAGATCAATATTACCAGCGGTTCTACAAAACACTGAAAAGCAGCGCCTAAATCCCCTGGGGGTTAAAACAGGGAGGGAAAAAAGGAGAGTGGGAAAAAAAAAAATTAAATTTAAGGTGTGAAGGCTCCACGCGGAATTTAAAAAGGGCGCGACCGCCCGCGTCGGTGGTTTCTACTTCGGATCTTGTACACTTCTGGAGCTTGGGCCACCCATCCTACTTAATGACTTCATCTTTGTTCTTTGTTTCTGCCACAGCATGACCGAGGATAATTACAGACCAAGATCCCCTGACCTCTCTTCTCCGCTCCCCAATCCTCCTCCATCCTACACGCCCTTGAGCCCGTTGGCCCATCGCGCTTCCTACGACGCCTCACCTTTCTTCTCCACTTATCAACCCCCAACGAGCAGTCGCGTTCCCCAGCAATACGTTCCACCCTATCAATCAGGCTACAGCGACGACATGGCCCGCCGCTCTTCGCGTCTGCAAGCTGAGGACGCGCCTGTCGCCAACGCCATGGCTCAGGAAAACCCACCCTCGCCAACTGAAATCCAACAGCCTCCTGTTGGCGCGGGCGTGGAAGTCAAGACCAAATTCCCGGTCGCGCGTATCAAGCGTATCATGCAGGCTGATGAGGACGTCGGCAAAGTTGCGCAGGTGACCCCGATCGCAGTGTGTATGTTTACCCTCTAAAGACCCACTCTATACTTCATGGAGTTTGCTAACCCTGAATTGCTCTCATTAGCCAAGGCACTTGAACTGTTCATGATTTCTCTTGTTACCAAAGCTGCACAGGAGGCCAGAGACCGTAACTCAAAGCGCGTCACAGCTACCCATCTCAAGCACGCTGTCGCCAAGGATGAGGTGTTGGATTTCCTGCAAGACATCATTTCCAAGGTCCCGGATCAACCCGCCGGCCGTAAGCATGATGAAGATGGCAGTGACCAGAATGATGGCCGCAAGAAGCGTGGGGGTCGCCGTGTCAAGGAAGAGAGTGATTAAAGTCCGTGTCCGACACTATGATTTCATGAGGTCCTAGATGGGAAGGCAACTGGCGCATCATCAAATGGAGATAAGGAGATATGGTTTTTGATTTTCGGTGGCGTTGGTATGGCTGGGAGGTTCAAGGTAGCATTTTTATTTTTTCTTTTCCCTGTGAATAGTTCTGAGGCTCGTCAGTGCACACAGCCTGGCTCTCATGACAAATACGATCAATGAGATGATTCCGAGAGATATGGGAGCAATTCTCAGCAAGCTGCCTTAGGAAAGCCCATGGAGATATTATGTTTGGCTTTTAATCGATCCAAACTGATTACAACTAGGGTATGCGGGCCTGATGCAGTTGATGCGATGTAGGCCGTTTAGGCTATAGAAGACGCGACTAGTATACTTCTGCAATTGGGGTGGGTCACTAGCACAATAATCAGCAATCCAAAAACAAACCCGCCCCTTTTCTTGTTCGAGCCATCAGGACTTCCATACACAACCAGAAAGTCCTCATCCTAGTCCTGAGGGGGGCAGAGGCTGATTTCCAAGGTTTTGGACTTTTCTCTTACATAACTTTGCACAGGTTGAAGAGGTGAGAGTCTTGGTAGAGTTGAAGATTGGAGGCAATGTCTGCGATCATTTGATATTATTATTCATGGAAGATAGAATACCGTAGAAAGTATAAAGCAGTACAGCCTTGGTTAGTCTGCTGATATTCTCCGACCCATGTAGGCGGCGATCGTCGCGACCAGTTCCCACCGCGGCTCCACTCGACCTTCGATCCCCGACATCTTTCCCTCCCCTCCTCCAGCTTGTGGGACGATGCTGCGGCAAGATGGACTTTGTACGTGCGAGAAGAGGGATTATTGTTGGATCGTGAGCTAATGGTATGCAGTGGTCTCGTCTCATTGGTGGCTCCCGCTCCCTATCCAAGAGCTCCCGAGTCACGTCGCCCGCTGAACGCCTGACGGCCTTCAAGCGTGCCTGTAATGCCCTCCAGGTAGGTCTTCTGGTGATAATAAAGCGCATGGAGAATTGGCCCTGACTGATCAATTTCACAAACAGCAAATATGGCGATCCACTAACAGTCCCTCGGGCGAGCAACCGATCGCCCATTCCCGCGCCTACATCGACCGTTTGAACGCGATCCTGAGCGACGAATCTCGAGGCCCAGCACCACACCCCTGCGTGGCCTATGCTGCATCCTCCCAAATATTTGTGACGGTCACAAAACTGGCCCTTTCGTATTACGACGACGACATCCTGCGCTCCGCAACAGTGTTCTTCAATACTCTCATCGATGCGGAGGTGGACGGCGTGGTGGACAACCGACTGTTTGCACGCGCATTGGTTGACCTGGTTCGCCGCGCAAACAAATCTACCAGTGAGATTGAAGGAAGATTGGTGGAGCTACTCTTCGGAATTGCAAATAATATCCGGTTACAACCCTCAATTCTCCCTGCGTGGTTTGTTCCTCGTGTAACACCCGTGAACCAGGATGGGGAGTCGTCCGGCCCCAGTGGAGCGGAATTCGCCGGTGCGACACGCAAGGATGAGTTTCCTCTTTTCTACTTGCTTGTCGACTATGTACACAGTGATGGTCGTGCTGGTGACTTTGCTCGAACGGGTCTTCTGTACCTCATTGAAACGGCATCCCGTTCCAAGAATCTAGAGAAATGGCTCATTGAAAGTGACTTGGCGACTCTCATGGCTACCGGCCTCGGTGCACTGTACAGTCAGCTCGGAAGGTATGTCCACTGATTCTCTCCTCTTTTCACGTCGAATAGCGACAATTTGTTAACCGAGATTAGCTTGAACTTCCCCTCTGCCGAGGAGAATGTGCCTCGGATCGTTGCCCTTTCGGATCATGCGGCCGAAGACACGGCATTGCAGCCTGAACTAGGCGAGACTATGGACTCGTTCATGTCCTACCTGCTATTTTGGCAGGATACCATTGACCATTGCAAATCTGTGGAAGTGAATGATACCCTTTTAGACCACTTCCAAGTTCTGTTCCTCGAGCAACTTCTGTATGATTACCATTCATCTCTCCCCTTTTGTCTTTTCTCTTTGCTAATATCCGCAGATACCCATCTTTACTGGAATCTTCGGATGTAGCAGGCGGCTCAACTGCCGCCGTTCTGACCTATCTCTGCCGCATTCTAAGCTCGATCGAGCAAGGTGAACTTGTTCACCGGATATTGCATTTCCTACTGGCATCCACTCCAGCCCCTGGAACGCGAATAGATGTTTCAGCCAGTCGACGAAAATCACTCGACGTATTGGCTGCCTTATCCTCGGAGGCAGATCAACCTTCTCCATCTCTCTTCAACCTTCGAGATCTGGTCCTCTTAGGGATCCAGTCATCCAATCGCCAGACGGTCTTGGCTACGTTGCGTCTACTCAATGTAGTGCTCCAAAAGCATCACTCCTTCGCGCGATCTTTAATCCATACATTGCCGAGCCAGCCAGCCCAACAGCGGTCTATCGGGGCATTCAACATGGAGCTTGAGCAACTTCTGGGTCTGGGAACATCTCTTCTGGCCGACCCTAAGCTGGATGAAGCATACGATAATTATGTTTCGGATGCGACGTGGGTCCTTGAATCGCGCCTTTGCCTCCCGGCTGCCGAAGATGACAATTCCGACGATACTATCCCATTTCCACTGCAAATCCTGCAGGATGACCCCATCGTCCAAGGTCTGCTGAGATGCCTTGATAGCTTTTTCACTAATAGTGTAATTGTCAATCTCGCCCTTACGGGAGTGCTCATCAGCTTGGCTTCTTCCCACCTCTTCGCGCTGGATGGTTGGGTATTAGTCGACCCTTCTCTTTACGATCTTTCTTCGGAGGGCGCGCCAGATGATGACCTGGAAAAAGTTCAACGAGCGTATCAGACACCTACGTGGCCAGATACTGCAGTCCCGACCCTCACCTCTGCTCTTCAGCGACTAGTCAATCAAGTACGTCAATGGCAGCGAGAGCTGCCCGATTTTGACGTCTTGATTGCAGCCAGGCGTGATGTTCTCCAGCGGGATGAACGACCCGAAACTCCTGAGCAAAAGGAGAGCTCGGAAGCTCAAGCTCCAAGATCTGCAGACAGATCTCGCCCCTTGCATCCGGGGTCTCCGGAGCCCTCGATCTCTCGGGAGCGTTCGCCGCATCCGATATACCTCCCTCCGCCGCCCTCAAGTCGCGGAGAGTCATCGGTACAACCAAACGAGTCGCGTGGATCATCTCAAACTCGCGTGGCAACAGCAGAGGCGCTTCGTAAACGTTTGGCTACAGCGTTCCCCCCACCAGCGGCTCCGGCGGCCTCGGGGTCCACCACAGATTCTCCTGAAGCTAAAGGTGAAGAAGAGGCCGAACCCGAGGGGCCGCCGGCCGTGACCTTGGGCCACGTCTTGACTAATGTGGTGATACTCTACGAGTTCTTGCTTGAATTATCTGCGGTAGTCCAAGCACGCGGCAGTCTGTTTGAGGAGGCGGGATATAATTAACCCACGGTCTGAATCTGTAAATTTGATGTTATACCTGTGTAACATGACTAGAAAGACCTCCTGAATCTTAAGTCCCCTAATTCGATAACAATATAAGAAGACCTGGACTTCGTCGATACATATGATATTTTGACCTCCTGAAATCATCCTGAAATCACCAGATTAGCCTTATCGCTGGGCCGGCCAATCGCGCCGCCCGTAGCCCCTGAGGGCGGGAGTCGATCATCCCTGGGTGCCAAGCCAGCGTGATGAAACCGCTTGCAACGATTGGACGTCGGTCCGACCTGGTCTCTCTACTCCGTACACGTAAGCATAATGGGTCTGCCAGAGGCAACCATGGAGTTCTGATCTGTCCACTTTCCAGATCTTTTCACATATATCGGCATGCGAGGCCTCCATGGCCCCGGAACTCCAAATCGACCGCGAGGAGCGCGAGGATGCGCCATTCCTCGCTCCCGATGCGCCTTTCAACCTCAACGACCGCGCGGCTAGCCCGGAGCAATCTAGCTCACACGACAGGAATACCAATGCGAGCACGATCAACTCGCGCCTCAAGGTGATCTTGTTCGTCATGGTGCTTGCCGTGGAGATCGGTTTCTCGTTCTTGGAAGGTCCCATGGTCCGCATCATGGAGTCCATTGCTTGTCACCAGTACTTTTTATCGGCAGACCCCTCGAAGATCGACGCCAATGGGCAAGTACCGGAGGGTCTATGCAAAGGCGCGGAGGTACAGGCGGAGCTGGCGGCCGTCAAGGGATACCACATGTTCTTTGACGGGTTCCTATGTATGCTTCATCTTCTTTCTGCATTCTTCTTCCGGCGGTCCCGTGTATTGACCACTTGTCTCAATTAGGCGCCCTGTTGGCCTTCCCATACGGTCTGCTGGCAGATCGCCAAGGTCGCAAGCCTACTCTGCTCATTGGCATTCCGGGTCTTGCCGTCAATTCCCTCATCACGATCGGTGTGCTATGGTTCTCAAACATCTTCCCACTACGCGCGGTGTGGCTAGCTTCGCTGGGATGGTTCCTCGGCGGTGGGCCTGTGGTGGCGTTCGCTATCGTCTGGACTATGATGGCGGACGTCACCACTGAGGCTGAACGGTATGACTTTTTGATCCGATAACTAGTTCATGGTTAGTAGCTCACATTTCCTTCAGGGCGACCATGTTCTTCCAATTTGCCATTGTCTCTATGGCAGCTGAGCTTGGTTCAAGCGCGGTCAGCTCCTATCTCATGGTTCTGAATCCGTGGATCCCATTGCTAGTGGGCTATGCGATCGTGTTTTGCGGCATGTCTCTTACTCTGATCCTCCCGGAAACGATGCATGCGATCCCAGGAAAAGGCCCCAGTCCATCTAGTGTGGAGCTGGATGACCTAGAAGATGGAAACAAGCAGTACAGGCACAAGCCAGAGAACGGCTTGTATCACGACGATAGCGATGCCGAGGTCGGCCAGGCCCACGAAGCTCACATGTCATGGAGCTATCCTGCCCTGTCCGGCCATTCCGTCCGTGGCAAGATTGGTATTCTATGGAGCAGAGTCTGCTTCAATTGCAGGTTCTACGTCAAACCGTACCTGTTTATTCTGAATAGAAAGCCGGTCTTGTTACTGCTGACCGCGTTCTTGGTCTATCGACTCAGTCGTGGCTCATCTTGGTTTCTTACCCAGTACATTTCTAGCCGGTACTCGTGGAGTCTTGCGGCAGCCAACATGCTCGTTGGTTCTCGACCAGCCGTTTCCATTCCAGTCTTATTGTTTGGCCTCCCCTGGCTTAAGAAGAGGTATTTAGACTCGCGAAAATCTCCCACCGAAAAGGATCTCTCTCTGGCACGAGCCAGTATTGTGTGTCTTGCCGTGGGTACCCTAGGAATCGGCCTCTCGCCGGCTGTCAGCACCTTGATCCCCAGCTTGGTTGTCCAAACCTCTGGCTCAGGATTCGTTTTCCTAGCGCGCTCTATCATCACTACGCTGGTCGAGCGAGATGAAACCGCGCGCTTGTACACGGTCATCGAGATTCTGCAAGCTGTTGGAAACGTCTTTGCCAGCTTGTCCATTACAGCTGTTTTCCAGATGGGCCTTCGGATGGGCGGGTTCTGGGTTGGGCTCGCGTGGATGATGACAAGTTCCTTGTTTGCTTTGGTGGCCGTTGCCATTTGGATGTTTCGTCTTCCTCCCACACCGCGCAACCCAGATTTTGTTGTTGGTGGATTCGAAGATGAGACTGATTGATTTTTTATAGACTGTACAATATTTCATTATAAATTCGCGCCATTTCATCGGTGTTCCGGTGCTTTCTTCTTTTTGGATCAAGAATTATTTATTGCCATGGATGCGGAGAATAGCATATAACTTTTTGGGGGGGGGGCATACCGAAGGTAGATGAATTCCACTCCCAATTAGTTTATAGTTTTCGAGCTGTATCAAATGCCGAGGCCCCACCTGCACCTCATTGGCTGTTGAACGAGAATGATATCAGTACTTGTGGTGCTAGCAGACGGTGTGAACGAGTGACAGTTCGTACCCTCGAAAGCTAACAAGTCGAGTGATCCCACTCGCTCGGATTCGACCTGCGATCAACATTAATAATGGTTTATACACCATTGGTGCTTCAATAAAGAGAGCGAGATAGGGACAAAGAAAATAAAGCCAAAAATAAAAAAATAAAAAAAATTTAAAACTAGTAGCTTCTTTAATTGAGCGTGTCATTCTTAGAGCAGGCCCTGCCAAACTTCTCGACAGTTCTTTCACTTGCTGTATGATCGAGAAGGAGGGAACTTGAAGCAGAGTATTCATTATAGCCTCACTTTCTTTTGCTTTTGGAGGGGGTAGCTCTGCTGTCGCGGGGCAACATGCCAGTCACGGAGATAAACCGCGGCCAGTCACGTGGCTCTCACATGTAAAGCAGCGTCAACATTTGGAAAGTGCAACGACATCCCCCTCACGCGCCCGAGATGGAGAAATTCTCCCAATTCCGAGATCGAGGTATGTTCCAGATGCGGCCAGTTCTGCAGCGTGATTTACTTGCTGATCACTCTCATAAATATCTTAATAGGATCCGGAATCGCACCTTTTCTCCCCATTCCCTCGGAGCCCCTCGGCCTGCAGGCTCCCCTGCGCATCTTTCTTTTCTGCTTCCGCTTGCCTCTTTTCATCTTCGTCATCTTAGCCTATTTCCTGGTCCTCCAATGGCTTCCAATCGGGTCCCTGGGCAAGAAGGCAGCGCTATGGTGCATCCTTGGAGTGCCCAGTATTTGGTGGATCGACCTGCAAATTGATGGAGTCAAAAGAGGGTGAGACCTAGGTCACATCAAACCCAGCTAAGCTTACTGGAAGCTGACAAACTACATTCTGCAGCTCCCTCTCCAGACAACAGCAAGCGCGTCTCCCACAGCCAGGCTCAGTCATCGCATCTTCGTTTACCTCGCCCATTGACGCAGTCTATCTAGCCGCGATCTTTGACCCCGTCTTCACCGCCGCCTACCCGAACACGCGACAGGTCGAGCGCATTTCTCTCCTCCAGGCGGTGCTCCGCGCATTCGCCGCGCCCTGCCCAGAACCAGCGCCGGGGACCAAGCTCGTCGACGTTGGCGACTTGGTGAAGAAGCACCCGAACCGCCCAGTCGTCATTTTCCCCGAATGCACCACGACCAACAGCCGCGGCATTCTCCCCCTCAGCCACGCGCTGCTGAGCGTGCCGGCGAGAACTAAGATCTTCCCGGTCAGTCTACGGTATACGCCCGTGGACGTGGTAACCCCTCTCCCAGGAACTTACATCAGCTTCCTATGGACACTGCTGAGCAAGCCGACACACTGCATCCGAGTGCGGATTGCGGAGTGTATTAGCAGCAGTACGAACTCGATTGATGCGCCCCCGGCTCTCTCGACCCGCAAGTCTACCTATAACACTAACTACCTGGACACGCTCGATCAAGAGGGTGTAGATAGTGGTATCACTGCGAGCGAAAAGGCGCTGCTTGATCAGGTAGGCGAGTCGTTGGCTCGACTAGGCCGGGTCAAGCGCGTTGGTCTGGGGGTCAAAGAAAAGGAGGAGTTTGTGCGTGTGTGGACTAAGAACCGGAGGATTTGGTGATCTCTCGGGATAGTCTACCGTTTGTTGATTTCCTTGCCACGTAGAGAAGGCGTTTAGAAGGTCTACGGTATTGTCTTTTCTACTAAATGAGATAGCTGAAGCACCGTCGTACGACATTCATCTGCCACAGAAGTAGCAAAGTATATTCATTTATACTAGGAAAGTGACGTTAGACCTATATAGACTATTCAAGGTTACAATAACCTCCCCACATGGCTCAATACAAAACCGGCCTGGAAAGGATCCAAAATCATACAGCATCCTCCGTCGGCATTCGTAGCTGAAAGAGTGCCTATCGCCTGTCGTTAACGCGGTATAAATTGTATGCAGTTTCGCTATGTCGATCTCGTGGGCCTTCATACCCTCCCATTGACTCACATCATTAAGCTCGATATGAAAAGGCGCCAAACCCAGAGTTAACGAGTAACTGTGGAAGAATGGACCCTACCGCCTCAGTTCCTTGAAATATACCAGTCTGTGGATGATCAGTGCTCTCGATAATTCTTGTAATTCATCTTTGTCACCGCTGTCATAAAATGACTGCTGACACGCATGTTGTCAAGGGCGTCAATGGCCTGGAAGGTCTGAACGGACCAGACTTGGGGAAGCGGGTGGGAGCTGTTGAAGTGCGAAGCTTCAAGGAGGGACTGTATCTTGGAAAATTTGACGAAATTGGGATGTGTATAGTGCAATACCAACGTGAAAATGTCTCTCTGGCTCTACTGCCCAGCGTTGGAAGTATGGATTGGGCCCCTTTGGTTTGAGTCTTGTCGGCTGTACTAGTATGGGTATTATTTGAAAATAGTTCAAGTCTACCATTTGGCGGGTTGTTCTATAGTGGAGCATGGGCACATTTCAGGTTATACATCAGGTCTATGACCCAGCCCCTTTGGAAGGCAACGGTTAGTACTTCATGGCAAAGAATCATGCATCTGCGGCTGGAAAGGCCGATACCAAAGACGTTCTCTTGAGCCATCAGAGCGATGACAAAATGTCTCTGACAACGGGAGCTTTGCCTATCCGCTAATATTATCGATAGGCACTTTGCAACGTACGCAATAACATTCAAGTCGCCTACTACTCGGTGTTATAGGTAGGCAAAGTATGCATCGGAGGTACAGTCCCGTCGTGTGTAGGCGCAGTATCATAGTGCAAAAGGGTAACTAATGGATCGCATCTCACTCGACGGAACGATCTGCCTTGGCCTCACTTGAGCTCGCAGTTGATTGGGATCTATATCGAGCGTCAGCAACGGAATGTAAGTAACAAAGCTCGACATCTGTAGAGGCTCGGATTTTCAACAATCGGCACCCCCAGCCCAGCGTATTCCACAACCTGGTCTCCAGAAGGCTCGCCGAGCACTTTTCAATATAGTCTTCAATTCCTTGACCGTCCTTTGCCACTAGATCAGCACCATTGCTGTATAAAAATTTGCTTAAGCTCAGAAGAGTCAGGGACAGTCTTTCTATCCAGAAATAGCTAGTCAAGAGGCCGGTTCTGTACCGCCTGGCCTTCCCCGCTCCAACGACTGAACAGCCCCCGCAGCCGCCCCTCTTGTTCAAGCCAATAACCAAAAATGACCGCAAAGAAGATTATATGCGTCATCGGAGCGACTGGGAATCAGGGAGGCTCGGTGGCTCGCCGATTCCTGCAGGATCCACGGTTCAAAGTCCGCGGCGTCACCCGAGACAAGACTTCTGCCGCATCCCAAGAACTCGTTGCCCTTGGAGCAGAGATGGTCAATGCTGACCTGGACAACCTCGAGAGTCTCAAGGCTGCATTTAAAGGTGCAAATGTCATTTTCAGTGTGACTCAATACTGGGAGCCATTCATGCGACCAGATTGTCGTGAGCAGGCGAAGCAGCAAGGAATCAGCTGTCGCAAGTTCGCCTATAACGTGGAATACCAGCAAGGGAAAAATATCGCCGATGCGGCCGCAACCACAGTCGACACCCTAGATGAGAATGGGTTCTTGGTGTCCACTCTGAGTCACGCTCGCAAATGTAGCAACGGGGAATACACAGAACTGTACCACTTTGATGCGAAAGCGGACATCTTTCCGGATTATGTCGCGGCGAAGTATCCTCCGCTGGCAGCGAAGATGTCCTGCATCCAAACTGGCTATTTCATGACAAGCCATAAGATTCTTCCAAACTCATACTTCCAGAAGGTCTGTCCGGCTTTATTGCCCCGCCTCAGCCCCGTTTATGTTGTTGATCCTCTCATTCTGATGTCTTGCCCTGTTTTAGCTCGAAGATGGTAGTATACAAACCCGCTTCCCAACAAGCCCAGACAAGCCGGTCCCGCACTTCGCCGTGAATGAAGATATGGGGAACTTCACGTATGCCGTGTATCAAATGCCGCCAGGCAAGAACTACATGGCCTGCGGTTCGGAATGCAGCTGGCCCGACTTCAATGCCTTATGGGGAAAGATAACTGGGGCTATCGTGAGCTACAAGCAGGTCCCCTTCGACGAGATGGTAAGTGATACAGGGGACCGGGATCTAGGTATCGAAACAGCACAGATGTTCGCTTACTCGAGTTGCCCTGGATATGACGGTGGGATGGAATTGTTGAAGGCGGAGGACCTCAGAAAGGTATGTGTCCCACACTGATACGCTAATTTGGTTACTAATGAGCCTTGTGGCCATAGGCAGGAATCGAATGCCCCATGACCACTTTGGAATCGTATTTTAGGAGCCAAGACTGGTCTCATATTCTTTCAAAGTAGAAGAGTGGCGGTATGTGAGGACTTCGCTTATGCAGAATAGACCGGAGCCACGTCACGGGACTTCCAAAATATAGCGTCATAAGCGTTCAATAGTAAGCTCCTTAGTAGAAGGTTCCATTGGCAATCGGTCTAGGGCATGGTAACCTGTAGGAGAAATATCATATAGGCCGCGGGGGGCACTAGGGAAGGAGGTAAGAGTATTATGGGGTGCCTAGTGGTAGGAAAGAAGATGCAGTTACCTTGGAATGGCCTGAGTCAGCGTCTGACTGACAGGTAGTTTCTGAAGCTGGTCCAGATATCAGATTCCTCATAAGCGCATGGTTTCCAGGCTCGGACTAGGACCTTATTTCCATCAGAGGATACCTTGAAGACAACGATTTGGAGCATGGTACGTCTCCGCAATTCAATCAACGACTTTCAAGCCGCATCGTGATGGTAGAAAAATATATGTAGTAGACCATTTCCCCAAAGAAGACCTTGTGGATCGTAACCCCGATCCTACTGGCCAAGCATTGCGCCGCTCGCATCTATTTCCCAATATGGTCTGACCGTTCTATATTCGTCCAATGATGAGCTGTTATAGGCCTTCGCGGGTGGGCCCTTATCAGCACTGGTTTCAGAGGCCCACCTCGTAGACCCTGCATCGTTGGTCTGGATAAATCCGCGGCTTTAAGTTTATTTTCTCCGTCGCCGACCAGGAGCCCCGGACGGGGTTACGCTAGGTCCGCCCATTGCAGGCATTCACCTGCCAGGAGGTTTGATATAAGTTCGACAGCATCTATAGACCTTAACGGATATATATTCGGTTTTGATTCAGGGCGTCAGATGCTAAAATGTCTCTGTCGCCAATTATTTTGATCACCGGGGCCAATAGAGGTAAGTGAACATCTACCCTACGCGCGTATTAGAAATGTGAGGCAGTTCTGACCAGATAGCAATCCACCAGGCCTTGGCTTCGCCACTGTCCAAGCTCTCGCTACCAAAGCACCCGAGGCAATCATTTGCTTGGGCAGTAGGTCAATGAGCACTGGTAACGAAGCTGTGCAAGAGCTCCGCCAAGCAGGAGTTACATCCAACATTGAAGTGATCGCATTGGACGTGACCGAGGATCGCAGCATCCGATCCGCAGCTGAACTTCTCCGCCAGAAATACGGGAAACTTGACGGTGAGCTCCACCGGGCGAAATGGATCATTTCCTCGTGCTAATCTTCTCTGCCAAGTGTTAATAAACAACGCTGCCGTTGCTGGAAACCCAAAGCCCGATTTGAGTGACTTTCGCGATGTATACTCGACGGTCTTCAATACCAACATCACTTCAGTCGGCTGCGTCACTTCTTTCTTTATGCCGTTGCTGAGCGCCTCGTCGCACCCGCGCGTGATCAATGTATCCTCGGCTCGAGCTTCCGTAGCTCTGCAGACCTCGGGGAAACTGCCTCCAACTGCATCTATTCCATATTCTATCTCCAAGACTGGGCTGAACATTCTTACGTTGGAAATGGCGAAGCTTCATGAGAATGTCCGGTTCTATTGCGCCTCGCCTGGTCATTGCCGGACGGCTTTTAACAATTATAGGGGAAAGAAGGATCCCGCCGATGGTGTGAAAGTCATTGTTGAACTAGCAGTCAGTGAACATGGTCAATATGAACCCGGGTTTTGGGAGTTTGAAGGGGACGCTATGTCACAGGTTGCCTGGTAGTTGGCGTCTTGGGAGGTGAAGAATTCCTGAAATATGAGTTGCTGATTCTCAGCGCGGGTTTTATTACTTGGCCGGGTTTGATCCTGCATATTAGCATGTAGGATGTTGCAGAGAAACGCAGCATGTGATTTTCTTATTCTCCGTGTTATTTTAATATTTTGCTTTCACTATAATCCTTCTATATACTCAAATGTAAGTTAGTGCAACCCCTGAAAATAGGGCAGTCTAACTAATCTTTATGGGTTGAATGCAGGTCACATGATCTTAAGGTATTATCGGGTATAAATGTTTCCTAACTAGTATAAGGAGGGCACAGCTGAAGGAAGAGGGGTAGCTAAGGTGGTAGCTGAAGGAGGCAGCTGGAAAAGTAGCGAAAGGGTAGCGGAAGGGGGTGAAAAATCAGTCATGATCTTTTTGGGGCCCGTTAAACTGGGTGCCCCTTTTCAACTTTACGCCAGGAGCACTATGCTAGTATGTATAAGAATAGAACAGCTTTTTGTATTCTGACAGAACCGCTATGTACATGAAAAACAAAAGTCAACACAAAACAAAAACAAAACAAAAACTACCCCCAAGCCACCCATCATTCATCATTGAGCTTCCCGTCGTCGCCCACCTTGAGCTCAACGACGGGAAGCTCATCATCAGAGCCCTCGCTAAGGAGGGGCGGGACGTCCTCAAACGCCGCTTCGTTGTCCGAAGCGACGCCGGGGGTGGTCAGTCCCTCGAGACGCTCCCCTGCATCCGAGTTGCTGCCACCCCCGATGGCAATGTTGCTGTTCTCATCAGAGAACAGATCGCCGTCATCATCACCATTGATATCCCCAGGCAGCCGGCGACTGCTGCCCTCGTCGTCGTCATCTTCACGGCGACTGAAAGACCAGGATGGCGGCTGGTCCAAGATCGGCTGTGACGGGGCCGAGGAAGTCCCCACCACACGGTCGCCATTCTCAGACTCCTCCTCAGGGTCCTCCTGGAGGCCATTATAGATGTTCATGGCCTTCTCAAAACGAGGACCGCCGAGGGGGACATCTGACTGGCGGCGGTAGAACAGGAGGTAGTTCGACCCTGTGACAATTCGTTTTCGAATGTCCCCACGGATCGGAGAGGTGCTTGAGTCGTTGAACTCAAACCAGTCACCGGTCACCCAGTTCTTCGCGTACGCGTAGTAGTGGCCGAATTGGAGGGTCCCCGAGTGGCAGTCAATCGCGAACAAGTCGTACTTGGTCGACTTGCCAGTCTTCGGCCCCGAGATGTAGCTCGAGATATCGAGGTCCTCGAGCGGGAAATCGATCACCTGGTCGAATTTGGTGGGAGTCCTAAGCCCACCTTTGCCGGACGAGGCGATCGATGTGAACCTCTTCAAGTGCATCACTAAGATATCTGGAGCATACCAGATGTCCAACTTCTTCTTGGCTTGGCGGAACTCTTTGCAGTCAGGGCAATACCAAGCATCGTTCTCGGAGAGAATTTCCTCCGAGTTGAATTCCTTAAGACAATCATCCAGCGAAATGCCTCGAGCTTTCTTAGCCGCACGGGCAGCTCTTGATTGCTCGAGGCTTTGGTCGCGGACGTATGGAGGGTTCTGGTGTGTTGATTTTCCGTCTTCGGGGTCGAGGAATAGCGCCTCGCGGGCCTCTTTGTTCCAGCTGAGGATGAGCCCTTCTCTTTCGAAGATAAATGGCTTATCCTGTACAAGACCGGAAGAGACTGCGGGTTGGCCGCCATTCTCGGGCTGGGATCCTGTGCTCTCGTCGTCGGAGTCGCCAGAGCTGGCTGAAGAGGTCTTCGGTGGAGATCGCTTCAAGCGGGAGATGATTGGCTTCTGAGGCTTCTTCCATTCTCTGTAGCGTCCAGTGATGAGGTCCTGGCTGTAGGATGCAGGAATGTATTCAACATCGAACAACTCCAACAAATGAGGGGCGATGGTTCCCGCCAGGACGTGAGGAGGATTCGCAGGAGAAGGCTCGGTGTCTTCGGTAGAGTCACCGCCAGGTGTAGTCCCGTCTTGCACAGATACCTCAACTATGCTGTCTTCTCCTCGACTGAATCAGTCTTTATTCTGGAATCGGCTGATTTCGCATCATCCTCAGTCAGTTCCACTGTATCCGAATCCTCGGTTGAGCTGGTCGCTGCTTTGATTTGGGGAGCCGCATTGGAGAAAATATCTCGCGTAGTCAGTGTAGACACGTAGCGCAGGATCTTCCGGTAAATGGCAGCCAGATCATGCGTCTCCTCCTTGGTGAAGGAGAGGACCGATGGAGGTGGCCTTTCCGGGCTACTGCCACCAAACCCACGGTGGAAGATAGGAACAAGGAGACGATCTTCGTCAGCAGCAACATCCAGCTCAACGAATATGACGCGGTCAGCAGGTTTCAGGCCGAGATCATAGTAAGTTGACCTCTCATTCGTGAAGAATGACCAGACACCACCGTCATCATCGACATCCATGCCAATAAGCTTGTTTGGATCTGAGCCCATCCTCTCTGCGACTTTCTTGCGGAATTGGGGGATTGTATCACTCTTGCTAACCTCTACTGTGAATTTGATAGGAGGCGACGCAAGAGGTGCGTAGGTGACTTCGCGGTAAACAATGTGACTGTCATGTGGAATGGGCAAGGAAAGGCTAGTGTAAGGCTCAAACTTGATGCTGACTTTTGAGCAGTCCGGGCATTCGACCGTTGATTTGTACATGCCGGAAAACAAGTCAACAATGGGAGACTCGTTCCGGGCAGTGTAAATGCTCCAGTGTTTAGACGCGAACTCTTCAAGGAGCTTGCGGTCGTGCACCATCTCTGCCGTGGAGTCGGGCTTCTCGATGTAAGGCTTGTTCTCGATGGTGTTCAGATCTTCCGAGAGGCCATCCAAAACAAATGAGAGAAATTCCTGGCTGTCATGCTGCTCCCACGTGCTGTAAATAGGATTGAATCTACCAACTGCAGATCGAAAGTTGGAGGGCCGAAAGTGGTCTTTCGGTTCACGGTAGATGTTTTGGAGCAGTGAAGCATACACAGAAGCGAGTCTCCCATTGTAGCCAAGGGGGTTGGTGTAGTTCAAGTCGGCTTTGTGCGAGTTTGTAAGAAAGTAAATACTCAATTCTTGAACAGCTCGAAGGCATTGTGTAGCTGCGTTTTGATAGCAGGTGTTGCCCAGGTTGTCAAGGCCGGTACGGCCCAGCTTGGGGTCGGGACGGCGTTTTGTGCCTTTCGGCAGCTCAACTGCAGGGCTATCACGGCCGCTCGTTGGTGCAACGTCGGGCTTGCGAGCGGAAGGCGTCTCTTTCTCATTCTTGGCTTTCACTTTCTCGATAGGAATGCCCAGCTTTTTCAAGGTCGCAGCCGAAGCCTCAGAGATCCATTCGCCCTTACTTCCGACCTGTTGCTCAAGAACCACGGTATCTGTTTCCACCAAGCCCGCCATGATTAGCGACATCTTACCATTGTACTTTGGGTTGTCGGTTTGGTCTTTGATATCGATCACTTCGCGTTGATTTCCCTCATCGAGAGAAAGGAAAGAGTTGAGATCCACCAGCATGCTCTTTTGGGTGGAGGAGAGGAGTGCTGCTGGTGGGGCAGGCGAGGCAGCGCGAGAACCCGAAGGGGTATTAACATGCGACGCGTTGATACTGGGGAGCCCATCGCGAATCTTCCAGACACGGACCTTTGTAGACATAGGAATGCCAGTTTGCAGCTTGGCTTCTTTGAGCCATTTCTGGAAGCTCATCTGACGGCCAGCTATGGCCTTTGGGGGCGATTTCGACTTTTCTTTCAATGTTTGAGGAGTAACGCCCAAAGAGGGGTTTGCCAACTTGAATAAAGACACAAACGGAGGACGGAGTTCGTAGATTACGACAGATTCGCCCTCGGGGTTGGTTTCGTGGGCATAGCGGATAATAGGCGATCCCTCGGGCTTACCATACCACTTGACGATCAAGTGCCAGGCTTTCGCGGGCACAATTCGGTAATCTTGATCCAGTGTAACATCCGGGCGCATCGGTACAAAGACTTGTCCGGTCTCATCTTTCAGGTTCTCTTGGGGGCCAATGTCCAGGATCAGGTCGGAGTTGTCCACGGGACCCAGTTCCTTACCGAAGGAATCCTTGTCCGCCAAGTCTGTGTACTCTGTGCTTCGAGCAAAAACAAGCTTCAGCCATGACATAGAAACCGCATAGCCGCGTTGGCCATCCTTCAACGGTTTTTCCATCAAGGCCTGCACTTCGGCAATCTGTTTGTCAAACTGGTTGCGAGTGTCGGTGTCATTGGCACCGTCAAGGTCCATCGGAGTGGGCATACTGACACCCCCCTCCGAATCAGAGTCAGTGATATCTGATGCGGAGCGCTTCTCCCCAGGAGAGGGGACCGACCGTCGCCATTTGGAGGGGTGTCGTGAGTCTCGGAGGGCATGTCGGAGTGTTCGCTGTAGATGGTGAGGTAGGCGGTCGCGGTCGCGGGGGTTGGGGAGCGACCGTCAGAGAGAGAGCGGGTCCCTGTGGCTTGGGACTGAAGATGAGCCGGCACGTAGCGTCGAGGGGATGAGGATAAGGACTGGCTTCGCCGATTCGAAGTGTCCCCGGGTGGCAAGCGTGAACCGGTCGGAGGTGGGGATACGTGACGTCCTGCCCGTCCAGGGCTGCTGCTGGGTGCCTCGGGGGAAAGCTTGCGTCTCTTGATGGACGCCGTGATGACAGTGAGCTGCGACAAAAGTTCGCAGCTCTGGGCAATGTTGGGAACAGAAAAGGGTGTCTGAGACAAAAGGTCTGGCAGAAAATGGGGATCAGTAATTTTTTTTCCCGGGGCGGGATTAGCCCTACCGGCTGCACTTACTGGGGAAGCAAACTGAGTGCTGAGAAGTGCTGGAATGAGCAAAACAGAAAGCTAAAAGAAGAGCAAAATGAATGTAGAGAGAAACAGAAAATAATCACTGAAGGTGTGCCATCCCAGATATTTATGTCCAGGCTTTATTGTAAATTCTCCAGCGCAAGACTCCAGGACAAGCTAGGGTAGATGAGTGAATGGTCCCACATTCACACTAGCGGGTCTTCACAACAAGAGACCTAAAGTTTGCGAACACTATTCACCGTTCTGACGACCGCCTTCTGAAAATGGTCGTTCACAGAATCTATGCAGGTCATGTTCCCAGCATTCGACGCTGTTATACAAGCTCTGTAGGAAAGCCTATAGCATGTATAGAGATACACCCTGTATGGACTATCCAGGTTAATGCGTCCAGATTCACCTATCAATGTATATGCTGTTGGTCTTCATTAGTAGTAACAATGGCAATACTATAGGCGGAAGAGTGCGGTGTATAAGAGGGGGTCACAAACTTAAGACGCCTCTTATACTAAGTCGATCGAGTGAAAGTATAGTAAGGTAAGGAACCCTGCCTTAAAAATCAAATCTGATAGCAGTTGCATTTATTGCATTGCAAGTATTAAGGAGTGACACGATGTTTTTGTGAACACAGTTCAAGCGTCCAGCGAACTCGAAGCCAGTCTTAACAGTGAATACTTTAAGCTCCCGGCAAACCATCCATCTTCTTTATTTCAACCACTCTCCGATCTTAACTCACGTATCATCTTTCAGTCTTTTACGGGTATTTCATTAAGGTAGCTCATCTTGGTAGTACTCTACGATAGTTATAAAAACAGAGACATCGCCTACCCGACCGGGTAGAATGTTCAAATCACTCCTCGGAAGGCATTTTCCCCTAACACGCAATCAGGCAAACAGCACTGTACAATTATGAAAGCTATTTTGCTACAAAATTCAGCAGTTCAGATCTATGGATATTGAACTTTTTAGCCAACATCACCGCCCTCCAGCAGCTAGTCTGCAGGCTTGAAACATCATCCCAGAGTTATTGAATTGACAATATCACTGGCAGTATCAATGGCAGTAGAACTATGATTAGTTGCACAACAGTGAAGCGGTCTCCTTAGAGAGACTAGCTCGATATTTCTGGGCCACCGTGACGTCTTGTTAAACCTCTTTGTTGGCAGAGATGTCATACGCAGTGCTAGGCTTCAAAATGTAGACCTATGGCCGTCAGAGTAATAGAGAGTGGCATACTGTGATTCAGAGTCAGATCACCTTCATGGCCATGGCGGTGGATTTGACATCTCGACGCTTATTAGCTTTGTGCAGCCTGGGTGACTCCGAGTCCGAGGGGAGTCTCAACTCGAACTTGAACATTGAAAGTTCCAAGCCATGGGCTAAAGCCGCAAGTGCCGGTGCCGATCTATGGATCCCGGGCTGGAGATATATATCGTAAAATGGTCGACAGTTGTCCCAACTTCACAAAAGCACAACTATTAGTAGTTTTATAGCTTGATAGATAGGGCCCTACTGTACTAGATATAGATTTCATTCGCCCCCGGAACAGATCCAGATACATTAAAAAAAAAAACAGTGCGGAGACATTGTACACCCGCGGACAATTACATAGATAGAGAGCCCGGGCAGCTGCGCCAGTGGCTCTCCGCGCCCACCGCAGTAAGTGACGTCGAATGTCCCCCGCAGATCCACCAGGTACACAGCTTCCAACCCTCATCTCCGTCGGTGCCTGATTTGCAAGATGTGGAACGACGAGGACAATAACCCCTACGGGGCGTTTGACCAACATGAAGCTCATCTCTCCGACTCTCTCCATTCCGCCGCACTCTCTGGTCGTTAGTCTCCACCCCAGCTTGGACGCTCGTTGCCTCCAATGGTATTCTTACAATTTCAATAGCAATGTTTGAGGAGGATCAAACTCCTCCCTCAAGCAGGGACTCCGATCTGGACCCTCCAGACTACATTTCTCACCCAGATGATCTCAGCGAACCCGAAGAAGCCGACTATGGAGCCGCCAGTCAACAGTATCCGCGCAAGGGTGTTTATGACAGCCGTATCGAGCAGATCCTCTACGAGCACCCCGAAATGCCGATCCTGATCACCGACGCTGGCAAGAATCATGAAGGTGGTGGCGGCTTTATCGTTTATACCATTCGCACGGCAGTACGCGCAGTCCTCGCGAAGCTATTTGAATATTAACAGGCTGATACCATTTTTTCTTATAGGATCTGGAAGTTCGGCGGAGATATTCGGAATTCGCATCACTGCGACAGACTCTTGTGAACCTTCATCCTACCTTAATTGTTCCTCCTATTCCCGAAAAGCATAGCATGGCAGACTATGCCGCCAAGCCCACCAAAGCCAAAGAAGACACCTCCATAATTGATCTGCGGAAGCGTATGCTTGCTGTCTTTCTGAATCGCTGTCGCCGGATGAAGGAGATCAGGGAAGATGGTGTATGGTGGCGGTTCCTTGACCCGAATGTGAGCTGGGTAAGTATTTGGACCATTGGGAACCGTCGGCGCTCTCACTAAATCAATACAGAGCGAAGTTCTACACTCTCATCCAGCTTCCTCCGTCCCTAAAAATAACCTCAAAGCCCCTCCACTCGATCCCGCAAACCCAACCCAAGCCCACGGCTGGCTCCCAGTCCCATCCGCATCTGCAAAGCTCAAGGCGACAGGCGGTACAGTGACATCTCCTGGAGGCGGCTCGCCCACATCGCCTGGGGACCATACGGATGGTCCGTCGCCTCATATCCCTGGCCCGGAGGTACTTGGACGATTCCCACCCGATTCGCGGAAGCTGAGTGAGCAGGAGCTGGACCCCTACTTCATCAATTTTGAAGCCTCTACTCGGGAACTGGAGCTGCTTCTCCAGGGGAATATTGAGAGAGTCAACCGGCGAACACTATCCCACCTTTCATCTCTGTCCGCCGACCTGATGGAATTAGGGGCTAGATACAATGGATTTTCTCTCTCCGAACAATCACCCACCGTCGCCGCGGCAATTGAGCGTATTGGCCAAGCCGCCGATACATCCTACATTGAAACTGAGGAACTGTCTTCAGCGTTGAGCGCAAACTTCGCCGAGCCCATGCGGGAGAGTGCCCAATTTGCCAGTGTGGTGCGTGGCGTACTACGGTACAGAGTCCTTAAGCGCGTACAAGAGGAGATGACCCGGGACGAACTCGCGAAGAAAAAGACGTTACTGGATTCATTGGAGCGCAGTGAACTTGAAGCAAAACGATTAGAGCAATACATGAACCGCACTAGCCCACAATCCGGAGCCGCTAAGCAACGATCTCTATCCACGTCTTCTGCGGTTAGCAGCGAAGCAGGTACCGCAACTAACCCCTCCACCGACTCGGAGTTCCCACCCACCCACGGGGATCCGATCGAGTCTCCTAGCTCGCCTTATTCCAAGAAGGGAAACGCATCAACTTCTCCTCCAGCGCACCGGAAGTCCGCCAGCGGTAATTTTGTGACTAACAAGATCTTTGGTCGCATCAGCCATGCCATTCATGGGTTTGCCGATGTGGATCCTGAGAGAACCCGCCGAGACCAGATCGGAAAGACCAAAGAAAGTCTCATTCAGGTATGTAACCACTAGATGGAATTACCGACCCGAGGTCTCTAGAAGGTCTAATTGACGGATCTTTTTATAGCTGGAGCAAGCTTTGGAAGTGTCCGAAAAGGATGTAAAGGATGCTAGCGCCGGGGTTCTTCAAGATCTGCGACGGTTCCAGAAGGATAAAGAAGGCGATCTCCGGCGGTACATGGTATGCACGATTCCCGCTCGGGATTCCCCCTCTCCTGCAATAGCTACTAACTATGGGTCGGGTAATCTTCAGGTTGCATATGCCCGTTGCCATTTGGATTGGGCACGGAAGAACCTGGAAACGTGGACCGAGGCCAAGGATGAAGTGGATAAGATCGTTGCGCGGTAGAGCTCCTTCATTATCTCCTGGGAGGCTTTTCTCCAACGGGCGGCGTTTGGATTGCTTTGAGCCTATTATTCTGATTTCTGGACTAGCGATAACGTTAAACCTTCCCCAATTGATCCCCAGTGCATTGATAGCCTGTAATCCCCTGTAAAGTGCTACCTAAACTCAATATTCCCTTGACTCCTTCCGCAGTGACCTTCGCTGCCAAGGTTACGAAACCACTAGACAGCCGAACAAAGAGAACAAAAGCTATTGTCTTACCTGTACCCAGAGAGATACGCGGTCCTGGGGCCCTTTTCTTTCTGACAGCTGGAAACGCCCGATCGAGAGCCAGGGGCCGGCAGGGTATATGGACCCCTCATGGTATCTGAGTATGCGATACGTACGGGAATGAACAAGGGCACATTCTTGACGGAGATCGAGATCCTTGAAGAATTGGTTGGTTCGTGGTGGCGCCTTTCAAGGTTGGAAAGATCGACAGGAACCCACTCAGAACTGCAAGCGATCGGCAGCCTCAGACAACATCCCCGCCGAGGCCCCTGGGCCCTTGCTTGATGTCAAAAACCTCCGGGCCGTCTGTGAATATGCTCTGGTCCCCTGCGTGGTGATCTACGTCGGCCTTGACAGCATTGTAATTGCCGTAGTCGCAAGCCTGTACGAGTCCGAGTGGAATATCATCGTCCCCGCGTGTTCTCAAACATGACCCGAAGCCTTCCGCGTCCGGTGAATTGATATCGCCAATCGGCCATCAATCTGCAGATGCTCGCTTGAGCATCCTTCGAACATTCCGTGCCTTGCAGACATACTCCCCGGTGGAACCGCCCTCACCAAGGCCGTGTGGGTGTTGCATCCCTAACGACTCAACCCCTCTGGTTGTCTCCGCAATCTACGGAAACCCACCCTGTGGTGGCACGCCGTGCGTCGCTCCTGAAAACAATGAGTGCCTGGATCCATTATTGGCAAGATGATCATCAGGAGTGGCCACTTATCACGGTCGGCCATGCCACCTTTTGGCCACGATGTCGACAATTCACAACAGGAGTGGTCTCTGCGGTCCCTTTGGCATCTTTCAATTCCTCGACGCTGGGTTAAGATGCTCTCGATCCTAGGTATAGTATGCTTCTTTGGTGTCGCTCTCAGTCTGAGTCTGGCACCGCACAGCAATCTTGTCCGGGATCAGGATCAGAATCTTGGTACTGCTTCGCTGCAGGACGACGATGTTACCGCCTTTCCTCCTCCTCGCCAAACCAACCAACATACCCACGATCCGACCATTCTTCGTGTGGGAGATACATACTATCTTTACAATGTTGGACAGCGAATCTTCATTCACACAGCACCCAGCATGGCCGGCCCATGGACAAGGATTGGAAATGTATTAGATGGCAACAGTGTTATTCCCAAGGGTGATCGTGCTGCACCTTGGGCGCCAACCGTGATTGAATTCGATGGGACATACTATTGCTACTATAGTGTGAGCAAGGCAGGTTGTCGAGACAGTGCTATCGGCGTCGCAACGTCCAACTCTCCAGGTCCTGGTCACTGGTATGACCATGGCACGGTTATCCAGACCGGCACAGGCAATGGCTCCGATATTGAACCCTACACCGTGTCCAATGCCATCGATCCCAGCGCTCTTATCACACCAGATGGAAAAGCATACCTCACCTTCGGCAGCTACTGGACCGGTGTCTACCAAGTGCCCCTTGGAAGTGATTTGATCTCTCCGCAAAGCACCACCGAGCCTGATGCGCGTCATCTGGCTTATGAACCCAACACACTTGGCCCCGCCAATCGGTACGCTAGCTCACTCTGTGGTGACCCAAGTGGGCCACATGCGCTGGAGGGAGCATTCATCTCTTACAATAATGGATGGTACTATCTTTGGTTTAGCCATGGCCTGTGTTGCAATCTGGAGAAGGGCAAGCTGCCGGCAGCTGGAAATGAGTAAGCCATGAATAATTCGACCCTATTCGCGAATTGAGATTCTAACAAAGCATCAGATACAGTATCCGCGTTGGACGATCCCAAAGCCCTCGCGGTCCATTCGTTGACAAATCGGGCCAAGATCTCGTGAACGGTGGAGGAACCATCATCTACGGCTCCAACGGCGAGACCTATGCACCTGGAGGCCAAGGCGTCCTCCGCGACGGAGATACCGATATCCTCTATTATCATTATCGTGAGTTCTCGACCAGTGCTCTTAAGCGCACGCACCCTGCCACATAGCACGTGCTGACGGCCAACACAGAAAACAAGACAGTTGGTGTGGCATTCTCGGTAAGTCCGCTCAGCTGGCAGGCTTGTGGATCTGGTGGATCTGGTGGATCTCAATTGGATATCCGTTGCCACCGCCGATCTTCCTCCTGCATTCAGTCCCTCGACTAAATCATGAATTGAAAATATCATCTAACGTTTCGTTTTCTTAGGATGCTTTGCTTGGCTTCAACCCTTTGACTTACGTCAACGGATGGCCTGTCGCACAGCCATGATCGACTAAGATCACCGTCCTCGCCACTTCGAATCCTTGCACAGCTCTCGACATATTTGCCTGCCCAAAAGATTTTTCCATAATCTTAATCTGGAATGCGCCCTTCTTGGCTTATCTGCCTTTATCGGATTTCCGTTTTCGCCCCCTCGAGGGACTACTTAACTGATTGGGTTGAGAGCCCTTTTGCAAAGAAGCTCGCTGGTACTAGTGTCAGCGTTGTGTCGTTGAATTACGAGTGTTGCATGTATAACTAACTCGTTTCGCCCTTCAAGGGCCTCAATGTCTATAGGTCTGATTAGAAAAATCTGCATATAGAACTACATAAGTATTGCGAGAGCAATAAATCCTGACTTCGGGGGTCCTCTGTTACTCCTCTTACAATTGAGGATGACAGCAAAGGTATACTTCTCTTATTCTCTTCCCTTCCCTGTGTGTAGTTTAGTTTATTACTGATGGTAGTATTCTAGACGATACATGGCTGTATCCCTATACGGTCCTGTTCAGTCATACCAAGTAAATCTTCATATGTTTACCTTCTGACTTCATTCGGCCGATTCACAATACTAGTATCTAGACAGTACTGTGATCTACCGTGACTCTGACAGTGTTCAGCTTCAAGTTCGGTCTTACAGTGCCTGTGAGCACGCGGCATATACTTCCCCCATACTTGAAATATGACTGCTACTAGTGTTGGGGCTTCACAGGAAATTGTTGATGTTATTGAAATCATGTCATAAGACTGCGGCTTTTGAACATATGACGATTGATCTCAAAACCTTCGCCAGGTAAAAAGAGAAACAAATAGAAATAAGATATCTTGAAAACCTGGATGGCTTCTCAATCACCTGAACCCACTACCATGCGGCCTTGTCATCACCAGGTCCAACCCAGCTATTAACGCTAGCTCTAGCGTGCCTCTTCGAGTTTCCCTTGAAGCCAAATCCCAGAGATGGTGCAGGTGGAGGAGATACTGGGTTCTGAACGGAACTGGCGATCCATCCTGGCAAAATCCCCCCAAAATTCTGGGCACCGTTCTCACTCAGTTGAGCAAATGAGCCTCGACGGGTATGGGCATGCTGCGGCTTTGTGCATTCGCCCCTGCCAGGTAGGGAGCCTCGCTGATGGCCTCCACGCTCGCTTCGTCTCTCTGGCGAGCGATTGGCTGCGTTGCCGTCGTGATTCTTATTCGAGCCTCCCCAGCCAGCACTACTGTTCTTGGTAAAGCCGCCCCAGCCAGCTTTCCCTTTGCTATTATTGTTCGAGCCGCCCCAGCCAGCGTTCGCTTTGCTGTTATTGTTCGAGCCGCCCCAGCCAGCGTTCGCTTTGCTGTTATTGTTCGAGCCGCCCCAGCCAGCATTTCCTTTTGTTGATCCGCTGCCATTCTTTTGGCTGCTAGGGCTCTGGTGTTTATAGCCAGTGTCATTATCCTTATCACTCTGCTTGCAGCCATCATTGCCTTCTTTTTCATTGTCATCCATGAATTGCACATTCCACCATTATCTTGATCGTGCATCTTTCACTCACGAGGTTCGTTCGATTTTCTCAGCCTCTCCTCTTCCTGCTTCCATTTACGCCGTTGCTGCTTCCGTTCTTTCCTTGACATCTTGCGCCCCTGTTCGCCATTATGCCCGTTTCGATTGCCAGGGTAGTATTGTCGAGGTTGATTTCGAGACCAGAGGTGCTCCCCGCGAACATCTGGGAATCCTCCTCCTCGAAGCCCAGAAAGGTGGACGGGTTCGGGGGTTCGTCGCGGAAGCGCATGGCTATTGTTCCCATAGCCCCTCTTGGGACGTATCCAGCCTCGTCGGCTATAGCGAGGTAGGTCGTGGAGGTGGTTGAATTCGTTTAAGGCGCGTTCGAGATCTTGGGGGTCAGTTTCGTGCTGGAGTCGATCACGCATCATTCGTCGATTCAAGTTGCTCTTTGCCACTTCTCTGTTGACACGGCGGCGAAGCCAGCAATAGAAGATGCAAGCAGCTAAGATGGCACATATCAGGATGCTGAGACAGATCCCGATCACGATGTTCCCATACATGATGGGTGATGTGGGTGATAGAAGATTGAAAAGTGTGGAAAGAAAGCTGTCAGAGGGTGTGTTCTGGGATTCCGGGACTGTGAAGTGCAAAAAGGATATGTAGGGGATAGTGCACACTAGATACTTGATAAAGATAAGCGCAGAAGACTGACGATTGGGGTTGTCTTGAGCTGGCAGAGTCGAGTGAAGCAGAGTAATGTAAACAACTTGGGATGGTAAGTACAGGCAGAATGATGGTGACTTTTGGATTTGTGTGTTAAGTATGGTATCGCTCTAAAGACTGTAGACTATTTCGTCTCTTCTAAGCATGAATTGATCCTTGCAAGCCAAGCGTCATGCACCGAAGCTGATCTCCCAATTCGGCCAACTTTTTCAAGCTGAACCCGCAAAACATGAGGATCAATATCCATGAAATCCGAGCCGGAGAATTGTGGTGAGACCAACACAGAAGAAATCGTGATGACGCGAATGCCAAGGGTAAATGCTTCAGGTTTCGAAACCCAGCCCAAAAGGCCATCTTTACCGGAGTCTCTCGAAAACAGGCTGAATAGATATTCCAAACCTTCGGACACCCAGCCTGATATCTGCCGAACGAGCGTTTCGGGAAACGCCACCCTCTGAAGCTGCAAAAGAGCCTGAGACCAAACATCAACTTCTCTGACCTCGTCTATGAATAAGTTCTGCTTCTCTTCCACGAAGAGGACAGTGCTCTCTTGACGATACTCTGCAATCAATTCAGACACCGGAGTTAGCTGGCTTTGCCTATCGGATCCGCTAATTCTTGGCTCTTGCCCAGTCAGATAGCGGATAAGTCGGCGGGCAAAATGCATGGAATCAGAGTACTGAGTCATGATAAATCTAGCGAGGAGGGCGCTGGCATTCAAGGGCCCTAGAGCAACCGCGGCACCAGGAGATACAGTTGAATATGACAGGACGTACGATGCAGATGATGCAGCTAAATCGCGCAGTTCCTCGTCGTCATCGTTAAGCATGTCGTATAGTATCAAATATAGCTCCAGGAATAGAGGATCAGCTCGGGCTGAGGTACCTTCAGGGCGAAGGACGTAGATAAAGCTACCAACAGAGGCTACTGCCGCGTAGCGCGTAGTGAATTCCTGTGCGATGTCAGTCACCATCGTGAAACGATTTTCCATGTATACTTACTGTCTCTTCGCTAAGAGCCGAGCGGAGCTTAATAACCCAGCCCATAATATTCGCCTTGAAGTCAGGGTGAAGAATACTAGCACCATTCGAAGCTGCAGCGATGGCCAGGAGAGAACCTCGCAGTCGAAGCTCCCCGTCGGTGGTATGGCGATTCCATGTTTCGATATCTTTCTCAGGTTGGAAATTTTGCAGTAGGGACTCAAATGGCAAGTCAAGCTCTTTGATCAAGCTAACTTGGGCTGCAAGAAGGGCTTCGAGAAGGGATGCCAGACTGGCAACAGCGGTGGTCTTCACATCTGCCGGGTGATTACCCAGAATTATTGAAGTGTAAAGCTGAGCCAGTTGCTTATGAAATCGCTCTTTCTCCCCTAGTGTCTCACGGAGTTGTTCACAAACCCAACCTGCTGCATCCGGATCATGTTGCGAGACTCCAAGAAAGGTATCGTGCAGGTCATTCTCTTGCAAAATGACCTTCTTGAGGGCCAAGAACCAAGCAAAAGCTCTTCGCAAAAGTGAGGACGATCGTGCGACAGGTGTCAAATTCCATCCTTGTTCAGAAGAGTTGAAAACGTAAGACAAAGCGGCATGAAGTTCGTGTTCGTCGAAAATATCATTTATAGGTTTGATAACCTGTCTTTCAGCTGCTGCCTTAATGCTGCGGTCGATGGTGTCATTCAAAACCTCAATGAGTATAGTCACAACGAAAGGAGATTTGGCGAAGGCAAACACCGTATCGAACGCCAGGCGGATGGTTTCCAATATCCCATCGAGTTGTGCTTTTTTTATTAGTTGACGGAACCATAAGGGACAATTAGACACTCACAAATCCAAAATGCATCGCCAGTGGCTGCGAAGCGACGCAGAGAATACCGGAAACAGAGCGAAACTCCGTGAATCAGGTTCTCTGAACTTCCTGTCCCAAGGAGGCCGAGAAGTCTGCGAATATCCTGCAAAATATCTTGACGAGCCATGAGAGACGCATAGACCCGGGCAGCATGTTCTCGAATTCCCCAAACGGGACTACTGAAGTGTTCCACGACTAGGCCGCGCAATACTTTGTCACTGTTATCATCAGGGGTTGGGATTTTCTCTCCAATGAGTTCCAGAGCGGGAAAGATTCGCTCTGTCACGATATCTGAACCTTCATACACAGTATTCCCTACGCTAGGCGCAAGAAGACTAGAAAGCAGCTCGATGAGACCGGGGTATTTGAGAAACGAGATCTTAGCACCGGGCTCAGATCCAGAAGGGCCACCGAACCCGGCTTTAGTGCCCACGGTCAAACGACAGATACGGGTCAAAAGAGCCCGGAAAAGCATAAGACCCGAGTTGCGAAGTGCCCAGCTATGCGGTGTTAGCATATCTAATGCTCATCCAAGGATTGCACAGTTACGAGAACTCACATTGGAGAGCCCAATCGTTCTGCTGAAAGAGTGAGCGCAGACATAATGAATGGCTCGGTGAAAGGGCCGATCTTGGTGTTTGTGAAAACATCCTTCAAACAGTTGATAGCATGGACCTGTGGAAGTTCGAGATATTGTTCCTCCTTATCATAGTCAACAGAGAGACGTGAGATCTCGAAAAGTCCCTCCATGGCTAATTTAAAGAAAGGACTGTTAGGACTCGACGCTAATATTCCAGTAACCAGAGCTGGCAAACCAGCAGATCTTCGTGTGAGCTTTCCGGCGGACTCAAAGATGAGCGACTTCGCATCTTGATACCACAAATGAGGAAGTTCTTGGATAGAAGGATCCTTCGAGGCACTGCATCTCTGACAGCACGTTGCGAAGGTTTGTGATACAGTAGAGAATGCACCTCTATGACGGAGTTCCGCGAGTTGGGTGAAGCTTGAGGTACCCAGCTTTTCGAAGTCAGCACGCTTTAGCCCCTGGTCACTAGACGGACCATACGTCCTGTTGAAGATTGTGGCATGTAGCAAAAGACTGCGTCCATCAGTATTTCCTCATCAAAAGAAAGAAAGACAATAAAAGAGAGAGAGAAGATCATCGTTTGACGTACCTGGATTCCCTTAGAGCCCTCCACGAATAGGAGAAGGATATCTTTCGGTCCAACAGATATGTCCTCAAGGGGTTCATCTGTATGACCTTCGGGGAGAATCGACACACAAGACAGATCTAACTTCTTCCCAGATACGCTCACAAATTGAAACAATTCGTTCGTGGGTCTCACGCCATATGGCTATATTGCCAGATGAGGAAATCTGGGAGTAGAAATTAGGGGTGAGAATGATGTACCTGACAGAAGTGTTAGCAATCGGTTATACTAGTACCACTACTATGCTTTCAACCCGTCTACTGACCGAAGACCAGACATATATCCGTGGAGAGATGCCTCGCGCATGGCGCTATTGAATAGCCCATTGGAGGCACCCAGCCGTCCCTCCAACTTAAGCAGCAAGGAATTGACCACGGAGAACTTCGTAGCCCACCAAGGCTGCCCATCTCCAATGAAGTCTGTAGACTGGGCGGCAGAGAACAAAACGTGGTACAAACGAGCAACTGTATCAGCATGGTCTGCTCGACTGGTGTTGCTTGCAATATTCTCAGCTCGGCATAACGCTTCTGGGAGTAACATCACAACATCCGGTTTCTGACCCGCGCTCCGGAGGCCCCCGCTGAGTAATATTTGAGAAGGAAAGAGGTTTATAATGGCGAGAGATGTTTGACGAACTTCTTCAAACGGATCAAGAAGAAGGTCAAGTAGGAGCCGTAAAAGACAGGAGCCGTAAATCTCCATATTAACCTTCCAGTTTCCTTGGCCATCTCCTTTCGCAAGTGAAGGGTCGGTCAATGAGTCGAGACCAGATTCCAGCAGGAGCTTGAGTGCCTTTAAGGAGCTGATATGACGAGGATATGATGCAGTCACACAAAGGTCATCTTGGAGAAAGTTGACATACTCTCCTAAGAAAGCCAAAGTCATTTCATTACTCTTCAGCTGCTCCGAAGCACTATCTTTCTGCGCCGAGGCGGTTGATTCAAGGCAATCAATATCTTTGATCCCACTTTTCAACCGAACAATGAATTTTCGTGTGATACCCATAATCTCTGATCTACTGTGAGAATCAGAATCGGCATGAATTGACGGCAATCCGCGCAGAATCGCATTTGTTGCCATGCTTGTCATCGGCTTGGTCGTCGAAAACGCAGTAATCAGGAGAGACAAAGCAGCTACACGGATATTGGGCTCGCGGTGTAGTAAGAATTTGCCAATAACCTCACTTTTCAGAACAATATTCCAGGGGTTTGGCTTTTTGGATTTGTTTGTGAGTGATGGATCGTCTGTGACAATAATCAGTTAAGACTTCAAGAAATCAACATGGAAGCCTTACAGTCTTCGTGAACTAGGTTGATCTTCTTTCCTATCTGGAGGGCCACGAAAAGGAGTATAATCTCGGGTTCGTTGCTTGCAGCCATGTCACCCGTCAAAGCCGATTCCAATGGGAGGGTCTTGACGAATTGAACAAACCCCTCTGGGTCCCCCGTAAATATTGGTGGTAATACCTGGGTTGAAAGGACTTCGAAATCCTGCAGATCGTGTAAAGCCACATGACGGACCGGGGCAACCCAGAACTTCGAGGCTTTTTCATTCGGGGATTGCTTCCTAAATTTCTGGAGGAAATTTTCAAGAATCCCACTACAGGGACCAGCTAATGAACGAGTGCTTCCATGAGTAATAAGACCAAGGACAAAGACCCTGGCTGCTAACTCGCCAGTCAAATTAGTCAACGCGGCTTGGGTACTTGACTTATCCAGCAGAAGAGCCTCATGCTCTTTCTCGAAAGTCGGAGACCATTTAGACCAGTTATTCGTCAGCCAATTCTGAAGCAGAGAAATTAGCCTCGTCGGAGATATCGCGCCCTTGCGGATCAGCATCTCTAGAGCAACCACTGATCCTTTCAGGTGAGCTCTTGGTTCACCAAGAAGGATACTTGGGAGCGTTGCTTGCATAATAGCTTCCTCAATCTGCGCTTTTTTATCGGCCGGGAAGTTCTTTGCCAGAATTGTCACCAAAGAGCCCACGAGCTGCTTCAATGGCTTCGGACTAAAGTCCTCATAGCGGGCAAGGAACACTTCAAAGGTAGACAGCCATGTACCGGTCGACAGTGCAAGCTGCTTAGTACTTTCCGTAGAGGATTTGGCTGCGGCTTCAAGAAAAGCCGAAGCTGCATTGCAAGCCTCGCCGATGTGCTCATTGGAAAGTGATGGGGCAGACAATGTGATCTTCAGTGATTGCCATAGCCGATGCACCTTTCTATTTGAAATAATTAGCCAGGCAAGCATTTAAGTGAAGACAAAAGTATATTCTCACTCGCTATCGTCGCAATTCAGAGTAAAATGCGCCAGCGGGCCTTTGACGATCTCTTTCAATGTCTTTTCGGAGACGACTTGCGTATTGAGTACTAAGGACTCCATACTGGGCGACAAAGGGGCGGGTCCCGTTGCACGAGAAGTTGCCAATCTGAAATTACAGAAATCTCAACTAAGCATCTTTCGAGCGGACTTTTGTACTGCAAGCGTTTGCGACAGTATAAAACGGAATGCACAATAGAAATTCGACTCCCCGCGAATAAGTGGATGCCTGAGGCCGTTATAAATTTTTCCTGCGAAATTCCATTCGGGGCCTAGCGTCGGATAAACTCGCCGCCGGTAGCCCCCGGAGCCAAAGTCACGGGATCGAAGTTTTTGCCATGGTCAGTTGGTGGAGCTGCGCGATCAAGGGCCATCACCTTCTCTTTCTTTCGGTGTATTTTAATCCTAATCTTATCCCCCGGCTCACCCTCCCCCCTCGCCCATCACAATGGCTATCTGGGATTCCCTCGGCGGCCGTAAGCAGGAGCAACCATCTCCTTACGAGACCGCTCCCCAGGACGCCAGTTCCTTCCTCTCCGAAGTCGCCATTCCCGATCCCTCTCAGCTGCATCCCCCTAGCTGGTCTCAACCAAGATACCCTCGACTATCTGTCGCTCGAGGACACTGCCCTCGATGAACTCCCTGGGTCCCGGTCTGTTCTTCCCTCGCGCGGCTGGTCCGATGATCTTTGTTACGGTGCCGGTACCACCTACCTCGCTGGTCTGACAATCGGAGGCGCCTGGGGTCTCGCCGAAGGATTGAACAAAACACCAGTGACCGCACCGCCGAAGATCCGATTAAACGGAGTTCTTAATTCCATTACTCGTCGCGGTCCTTTCCTTGGTAACTCCGCTGGTGTCATCGCTATGGTTTACAACGGATTTAACTCAGCTATTGGATACGCACGCGGCAAGCACGATGCGACAAATAGCATTGTTGCCGGTGCGCTTAGCGGAATGATTTTCAAGAGTACACGTGGAATCAAGCCAATGATGATCTCCGGTGGTATTGTGGCTTCCGTCGCGGGTGCTTGGGCCGTAAGTCGTCATATCCTCTTATCTGGCCAAGTCAACCGTATTAACCCTGTACTTCTTTAGGTGACGAGAAAGGCCTTATTCTAAAAAGTGCTGGCATAGCCAATTTATCCACCTTCCTCCCTTAAGGGACAGCGATTTCAATACCCCCTTCGACCTCCAACGAAACCGACAGGTTATACGCCTGTTACACTCTGTTTTTTCACCTACGATGTATTACAACGGCTCTTATATCTTTCCACTGCGGAACTCTCTTCACTCCGGCGCTTGAAGCATCCATTTTTCGCATTTCTGCGTGGGTTAGGACGGGGTGTGCAAATGGATTTGTACTTTTTCTTGTTTCTGTACTTGTACATAGAAATGCCTCTGCATACCATGGGATCGGTGGCCACGCATGAATTCCATGTCTTTGTCAAACGTCCCGTTTAAATATTGCAAGAGACACCCAATAGAGACTATCCTGCATTCTGATCTGTTTCGGGCTTGTGCTCTTTCCCAGACCATCTGCTTATGCTGGGACGGTGTGGCCAGAATTCAATATTTGTTTCATTTGGCTTGTCTGGTTTCTTGAAGTGCACAAAGGTTGTTGGGCTCCACTTTAGGCACCCCTTCTAGGTTGTCAAGATACATAGATCTTGTGTGAGGCGGCTGATTCTAATTGCAACCTCTAGACGTCGCCATGCTAGTTGCGCCTAACTCAAAACAACACTGAGGAAGTTCTTCATCTAAATTAGCAAATATGATGCACAGTTCCCCCCCTTTCTGCATTGCGAAGCGCCACTGGCAAGCCTTTATAGGATGTTTTCCCATGTGGGGACATCGAATTAAACGTGTCTGGCCACCGGCGTTTATGCCCCAATATCAATACCTTGAACAATCCATGGGAATACCAGATAAGGTATTTCCAGGAATTGCCCCAAATCTCGCATTAAGATCTTCACTGGCTGCTGGACATGCTGGACTCGCGCAGTCAATTGTTTGAGGGGCCGGGGACCGGAACAGAAGGTCTTCATTTATGGTCTTGTGCCCCACACTTATCCTGTCACATTTCGGCTACTATTATAGCGTTCTTGGCTAAGTCGGATAAATACGATGGTAATAGTGCGGAGCAGCGATGGCCTGTCATGCAGTCTCCGCTTTAAACCCCCCAAAAAACCGACGCAGGATCTCAGTATAACCTTTACCAAGGGGGGCCTACAAAGCGGCCAGGGATATGCGTGAATCGACTCTGCCAAAAGCTGTACAGCACCAGTTCAAGGTCGAAGAAGGTTCTTTGACCCCAGCTCCAACCTTGTCATGATCTACCCTCTCCATTGATGGCTCATCTAGCCTTGCCACGGTCATAATATGAGCTGATCCGTCATTGGAATGTGCTTCTAAGCGGCAGACATGCTGCTTTTGAACCACAATGATAATTTTAAACGTACGATCTTCCTCGAGGGAGCTGGTGCTCCCATGGAATGGCCTTACGTCCACTATTCAATAGGCCTCATCAACGACCAATGCTGCACCGCACATGCAGATGCTTATTGGAGCGGAGAGGAATAGCAATGTGCCAGGGATATTTTCACTTTAACAGGCTCACCAACTGGATTGATCTCAAACTGAGGGGTTGTTGTTCCAGATTCGATCCGTTCTGCGATGATAAGCTTATCGACGAAGCCGCAGGGCTATGTTAAACTTCGACAGCTTAGGTTCACGGCAGCTTCGTCAGGGGCTTGACCCGAAATCTCTGTGTCTTTAAATTCGGAAAGCAATGGCACGGCTCCTCACAAGTGCTTTTAAAACTAGAAACATAAACTTCAATCAAGTAGAAATACCGTAGTAGATCTTTAGGGTAACAGACATGGCTACCTCCAAAGCCAATAGATTCAGTGTTCGAAGTCTAAATTTCTCCTCGTCTTCAGCAAAAGGATCCCATCAAACCCTTTAGGCATTTTCCTGCCAAGAGCAGATCATTCAAATCAGGCAAATCGACGGCAAAAGGTGCAGGTCGTTAAAAGTGAGTCCTAGTAATAGTTTACTTAAAATTTCAATCCACTCTCCTAATATAGCCTCCCTAAAGCTCCGAAGGTACTTCCACAAAGAACATAGGATTGGCCGACTAGGCTCGTTATTTGGTTCCTAAAGCGTCGTGGATCTTCATCCGAAGTTGGCCTAGGACGTGCAGCTCGCGCTTGGGACAGTGGGAGATGCGGTCGGAAAACAAATTGATTTGTACAACCAAACGGCCATAAACATCACATGTCAGGTTTCTCAGTCTTCTGAGCATGTCACACACGGATTGCGGATGAAGAATTCCGGTTCCCTGAGGCCTACAGATCGAAGATTGCCATCTCGGGCTGGTAATCTGTCTAATCGGTAACAACCTTGATAGGTACAAATGAGGTTACTACTATTATCGCATCCAACACAGAATACCTTCGGAGTATGACCATACACGGTCTTCAAAGAAACTGAGCCTGTACTAGAGCAGATAGCTCAAGTGACGAAGTCCCTTGCACGATGTCGTGACCACTGGATGGCCATGTCGTTAATATCTATCATTTCGGCGCTCGGAAGCGAGAGACAGATACGGGTTGAGCAACAAGAACATATATGCAAGGCAGCGGATAAGTCGCCTCCCACACCGAGCACTTCTCTGCGATATCCATTCACCTGACATTTCGCATCGGTGTTGAGATTCTCATCGTCGACGGCCGCTTGGCACCTCAATACTCCTACCTGACTCCTCTCAACCTTCGAGTACAGGGCGGGAACAGCGTTTCTGACTTGAAGACCATGATCAATGCCAATGTTCGTATTAAGGCATAGCAGACCGAATATCATCGTACTCACAGTCTAATTCCTCCTGAAATGGCATCCATTCTCGGCCGAGTAAGACAGTGGAAGCTGGGATAATTGAGAACCTTGGCCTAATTGCCGGCGCCGCACAGGGCATCAGATTTGCGACAGCTTCTTTTTCTAGCCCATAATGGCACCAGAATGGTGCTAGGCAAAATCAATGAGATGAGCTCTAGAAGATTTAATGGTTAAATAAAGCCAGCAAGCACTCTGCGTTGGTGTGTTAAGCCTTTTTCGAAGTACAGCGCTGATCGACAAAGTGGTTCAGGCTGGCACCTCCGTCTCATGCGTCACGGCATGGTTAAAACTCATCTCAATGGTAGGCGGCTTCCAGGTTCTGAAGTTTCCTGGTTGATGAAGAGTTCCTAGGAGGGTGCTGGTGGACGATCCTTGCTGGCGTAGCCGCGATGAATTGAATGCAAAAGGGATTCCATTCAAGGGTCAAGACATCGCTGAAGTGGGAGGGACTTCATCGGGGCATGACTGGACGCCTTATTGACCCTGGTAATCGTGTTCGAACTTTGGAAAAAATTTCCTGGTTACATATGTGGGACTTCTCGAATTGTTCATTCTGTTTGTCTGAAAGTGGCTAACCGTCCGGCCGCATCCGAGGTATACGATGTGTTAGTTCGGAGATATGCCGGCGACACAAAGCCACTAGTATAGTAGCCTTGTTCGCATGGTTTAATTAGCTTTTCTCGTCCAATGAAAATGAAAATCATCAATGGGAACACGAATGAATGCTTGGAACCATCTAGGCCAAAACTGCTAAAATTCTTATCCCTGCGATGCCCTTGAATGAGCCTACTCCCTCTGCGAATCGAACTTCAAGACAGGCCAATTTCACAAGACAAAGGTCTCAATACGACTAAGACTGAGCTTGAAACCTTCTTAGACCCTGTGATTCGTATAGCAAATCCCGATTGACCAGAAGTTCAATCTGACCATGTGGAGTCCATCTATGGATCGATATCAGGCTGCAGCTACCCGATGCCAAGATCAGGATGCGTAGAGATTCATTCCGAGGCTGCCGGATCCTTACCGAAAGCTTGTGTACTCCAAGCTGTAAACATTGCCTTCTGCTGCCTAGAAATTTCAATTCGTAGTTGGAATTGCCGCAGAGGCAAAACAATGGTGGCGTATGGGGCGGCCGGCCCCCTGCATGGACGTGTGGAACCGCCTTTCTCCACCACTCAAACTAAACCTCGTTTCCTTTTCCTTGTTTGCGCAACATCGTGCAGAAGATGCTCCTTCGAATTTGCCTCTTTAGGCAGCCAGGCGCCTAGGAAACGTGTTGCTGTGGCTGGTCGCCTTCCTATTTTTGAGCAAATTATAATCGCTTCAATTTTCTTCTTCTATTTTGTCGCTTTCCATAATGACGACGCGTCATCCAAGCTATGTTGAGAGCTAAAGCGTTTGGGCTCTGAAAACTTTAAGAGGACTATATCCGACGTGACGGCGATTAGGTGAATTATTGGCTCTGGAAAATCCCCAACATAAGTAGTCCATGCGCTGTTCATCCTGGAGAAGTGCTCGTCTGTTTTTATCAACAGGAGTTTCCAAATAAACAACAAGAAGTCGTCCTCTTCCGGATGCGGGGTGCGTTCGTCGTCAGCTGACTTGGCCCCCGAATTTTCTCGTGATCGACAGCGTCATCTAAATCTCGGTTTTTTTTTTTTAGTTCCTTTCCTTTCTCTTCGAACCTCTAGGGATCTGTCTGCTTATTACCCGTCCCTGCCCTCGAGGTAGGAAGACGTAAAACTATTGGCCGGGCCTGGTACGCTAAGGCTCATTTGGGATTGGAGGCTGAGACACCGCGCACCTTATCTTTGCGGCGACTCCCCTCGTTCTCTCTCCGGTTGCGACTTCCTCGATGCTCCCCTCCGAATCCGGGCCGACCGAACGGTCTGGCCTTGCTCTGAAGTTGCAGGATGGCGAACTCAACCCCGATAATCAACAGAGCGAAGTGATCCGCGAATCCGACGATCGAGTAGATGCTGCGCTGCCCGTATTGAGACCTGTATCGCCATTGCCCGCCCTCCAGATTCGTACTGATTTCGCCAGTAATCGCCCATCTAGCTCGAATCGTGATTCCGATCCTCTACTTTCCCTCAGTGTGTCCTCCGGCAGTTACCCACGGCGCACCCCAAGTCTTCGCGCCTTGATTGCCCCAGCTGCCTCTAGCGCTGGCTCTTTGTCACCGGGTTCGCCATTCATTTCCTCTCCTCAACTGAACGCCATGGGTGACATCACGCCGTTGCCATCGCCGATCGGTGGTGCGCAACCTTGGCGGCGGGGCGATTTTCCTTCTCTGTCTCGTACTTCCTCGATAGCGTCCCGCAGCGGGTCAAGTTTACGGCTGAGTGACTCTACTCAATTGCTGGGGCCTCCCGCATTTCGTCCGCGAGGCAAAACCTATACTGGACTGAACGATCCGACAGAAGACCCACCAAACCAGCCTCGTATCCATCATGAGACCTCGAGCAAGCATGCCCGCAATCGGAGTCTGAGCGACTACGCCCCGCCGGGGCGCATGTCTATGCCTCGCCCTATAGCCGTCTCTGGCAACGGTCCCAACATCGCCCCATCGTCCAGCACGGACTCGAAGTCATCAGGCCTACACCGCGAACAATACTTGGCTGTCCATCGGGGTATCGCTTTGTCCACCGTACGGCCTCCCAGCCCGCCCCGCAGCAGTGGCAGTGGCTGTGGCGACAGTGATTCAGAGGGCATCCTTAAACATCGAGTGCCCCTCTCAGCGTCGGATGAGATCTACGCTGTTCGGTCTGTTCGAACCCAGCAAAGCCGACTATATCGCAAACTGCGTGTCCTAGGACAGGGTACGTTCAGTCAGGTCTGCCTCGCCGCGAGAGTTGAACAGATTGTCGACCCCACCCCTCTATCGCCTCCTAACGATGGCACGATGGACGTTGCATCATCTGTCATGACTCAGAAGCTGGTGGCGGTCAAGATCATTGAGCACGGGCCTGCGGGAGGTGCAGACCAAGAGCGACTCGAGGTCTCCCTCAAGCGCGAGGTTGATATCTTGAAAACCGTCAATCACCCCTCGCTTGTTCAACTCAAGGCCTTCGGCAGTGATGAAAAGCGTGCGCTTCTAGTTCTGGATTATTGCCCCGGAGGCGATCTCTTCGAGTTCGCGACGTCCGGAGCCCGGTCCATGTCTCCCAGTTTGATTCGCCGTATATTTGCGGAATTGGTTAGCGCCGTTCGTTACCTTCATGCTAATTATATTGTTCACCGTGACATCAAACTTGAGAGTGAGTATTTACTCTGTTCCAATTACGTGAGCCTCTTGTCTAATTCATCAACAGATGTTCTCCTGACTATGCCGATCCATGCCATGGAGGATGTGATGGACTGGCGTACGCATGACCGGGCGGTCGTCACTCTGAGTGACCTGGGATTATCGCGACGTATTCCAGAGCCCCCTGAGAGCCCCCTCTTGCACACGCGTTGCGGTAGTGAGGACTACGCAGCCCCAGAAATTTTAATGGGCCAACCGTATGACGGTCGCTCCACCGATGCTTGGGCCCTTGGAGTCCTTCTTTATGCCATCATGGAGAACCGCCTGCCTTTCGATGTTCTTCCGGGCACCCGTGGAGATCCCGCCAAGCTCAGAGCTCGGACGCCACACCGAATTGCTCGCTGCGAGTGGAGTTGGTACCGTTACGCCGATGCTGACGAGGAATGGGATCCCGAAAAGGGACGCGATCTCGAAGGAGCTCGTGAATGTGTCGAGGGACTTCTCAAACGCAACACCAAGCGCAAGTCCCTTGATGAGATCGCTGCCATTCCTTGGGTTCAGGACGCTTTCGCTTTTAGCGTGCCCGACGGCCTGAAGCGAGGCGACAAAGAAGTGCCATAGAGCTGGTCTCGCACTTTTACTATCATTTCTACTTTTTAACCATTTTGCACTCTTCCCGGTTCTCACTTCGTTTCTTGTTGTCCTTTCACTTTTACCATATTAGCCTTCCGTCTACTGTCTTTCTCTTCTCTTCTCCCTCTTTTTTTCTGATACATACGATTTCTCATACCTTCGTTAACTTTTATTGTCTGGTGAGGTATGACTATGCGGTCATAATTCCTCGTTTCTCCCTTTCTCTCTTATCTTTCTGTGGCTAGACCATCTGCTATACCCCCTTCATATATCCAATGCTGCTGGGGCTTACCCCGACGGCGAAATAAACAAGAATTACGCGGCACGCACAAAGCTTCAATCTGGATTATAGATGTCAATATCTACCGTACCAATTCCAATCTAGTTCGGATGGATCAACTATTGTATAGGTGAGTTTCGATTTCCGAAAAAAAGAAGACTGGAGTTGACTCGAGCATCGCCTTCAACCCCTCGACAACTAGGCTCAGGATGTTGTGGTGAACAGATGTGGCGACAGAATTGCATGTGAGCGCATTGTGAGCGAAGCTACTCCTACTATGGATCATTATTGCGCTTATTTCAAGCTCTAGTTCCATATAACTATCCCCCAGTATACGCATAGTTGAAGCCAATCTGCTGGCTCTTCATACTTTCTCTGCGAATATCCAAATAAATAGCTCCATATGCAGTCGATCAATGATGTACCGAACCTTATTTATCGGCCAGGCTTATTTTGCGTATTTTCAACCCAGCTCAGCCTTGTGAATCGAGTCATCAGAGGCGATGACAATTGAGCGCCCCAGATTGGATGATGCAGACAAGTGGAGCCGGGGAGCGGCGCACCAACTCCGACTTCGCTGAGCTTCTGCGTTTTCTTATTTCTGGCGACCCCGGCATTCCACCCCTCACCTTTTCTCTTCTCATCTAGACATCCTGGTGGTTCTAGAGCCCTCTCCACTCCAATCTCTCTCACAATGCTGTCCCAAACACGGGCGCGGCTCCCCGCTGCCCTCCGGTGTCTCTCCCGGCCTTCTGCCCCAGCGTAAGCTAAAGCCCACCCGTGCGATTGGCATGCAGTCATTAATCGATTCCCCTCCCTACAGTCGCGCGCTTTCCACTACCCTCCCTCGCTTTCACAAAGACAATGATGTTGTTCTCAATAAGGTCTCTAGCACCATTACTCAGCCCATCTCCCAAGGTGCGTCGCAGGCCATGCTGTACGCCGTGGGTCTCAAGGAGGAGGACATGAACAAGGCCCAGGTCGGAATTTCGTCGGTCTGGTTCAATGGCAACCCTTGCAATATGCACTTGATGGATTTGAACCACAAGGTCCGTGAGGGTGTGCAGGATCAAGGTTTGATCGGTTTCCAGTTCAACACTGTCGGTGTCAGTGACGCTATCAGTATGGGTACCAGCGGTATGCGCTACTCTCTGCAGAGCCGTGACCTGATTGCCGACTCTATCGAGACTGTCATGGGTGGACAGTGGTACGATGCCAACATCTCCATCCCTGGTTGCGACAAGAACATGCCAGGCGTCGTGATGGCTATGGGCCGTGTCAACCGCCCCAGTCTGATGGTCTATGGTGGTTCCATTAAGCCCGGTTGCGCTGTGACCCAGAACAATGCCGAAATCGACATTGTGTCTGCTTTCCAGGCCTACGGCCAGTTCCTCGCCAAGGAGATCACTGAACCCCAGCGATTCGACGTCATCCGCCACGCTTGCCCTGGTGAGGGTGCTTGTGGTGGTATGTACACTGCTAACACCATGGCCACTGCCATTGAGACCATGGGTATGACTCTTCCCGGCTCTTCATCCAACCCTGCCAATTCCCAGGCCAAGTATCTCGAGTGTCTGGCCGCCGGTGGCGCCATCAAGCGCCTGCTCGCTGAGGATATCCGCCCTCGCGACATCATGACTCGCCAGGCCTTCGAGAATGCCATGGTTGTCGTCAACATCACCGGAGGCTCCACCAACGCCGTCCTCCACCTGATTGCCATCGCCGACTCCGTCGGCGTCAAGCTCACCATCGACGACTTCCAGGCCGTCTCCGACCGCATCCCCTTCCTGGCCGACCTAAAGCCCTCGGGCAAGTACGTCATGGCCGACGTGCACGAGATCGGCGGAACCCCCGCCCTTCTGAAGCTGCTCCTCCGCGAGGGCCTGATCGACGGCTCTGGAATGACTGTCACCGGTGAGACCCTCGCCAAGAACTTGGAGAAGCTCCCCGACTTCGACGCCGACCAGAAGGTCATCCGGCCCTTCTCGGACCCCATTAAGAGCACGGGCCACATCCAGATCCTGCGCGGCTCTCTCGCCCCCGGTGGCAGTGTGGGCAAGATCACCGGAAAGGAGGGCACCGTGTTCACTGGTAATGCCCGCGTGTTCGATACCGAGGACGACTTCGTCGCTGCGCTGGAACGCAACGAGATCAAGAAGGAGGACAAGACAGTCGTTGTGATCCGCTACTGCGGTCCCAAGGGTGGTCCTGGTATGCCGGAGATGCTGAAGCCCTCGTCTGCCCTGATGGGAGCCGGTCTCGGTAACTCTGTTGCCCTGATCACCGACGGCCGTTTCTCGGGTGGTTCGCACGGTTTCCTGATCGGCCACATCGTGCCCGAGGCTGCTGTCGGCGGTCCTATCGGTCTTGTTGAGGACGGTGATGTGATTACCATCGATGCTGACAAGCTTCTCCTGGACCTTGATGTTCCCGAGGCCGAGCTTGAGCAGCGTAGAAAGGACTGGGAGGCCCGTAAGGAAGCTGGTCAGCTGCCCGAGACTGGTTTGACGATGCGTGGTACTCTGGGCAAGTATGCTCGTAACGTCAAGGATGCTAGCCATGGCTGTATCACTGATGCCTTGGATTAAATTTTTATTTTTCCGTCTGTTTGGTCTGCGGGTTGACGCCTGAGCATAAAAGCGATGTATTTGTTCGGATCTTGTGCTATATAATATCATCTTTATATTCCTCGATACCCCCTATCGCTCCTAGTATCTTATAGTACGAAGCCGTTACCACTGCAGCACCCTTCTCTTAGAGATTCGAGGGCCCGATACCATCTACAAGGCCCCACGCATTCTAGAAGACCCAGGGCTAAGGAAATAAAGGTGCTGGAGACTCGCGGTCCCATCCAAGTTGACGAAAATGGCTAATGTCGACGTACTGAAAACAAGGTCGACAGGAAGAAGCTTAGCAACTCTACGCGCAGTCGATGAATATGAGCACTGACATTCACAGATAACCAATTTAGCTTATACTCACAGGCCATCTGTTCAAGAGACAGACGCTTTGCTGCTCATGACCGAATGTCTTGCAATGCTTGGCCATGGGGTCGGATCTTGCCGTGCGGATCCAGCAAGCCATCTGTCTGAGTATAGCTGCCAACCTGTTACTTAACTAGTTATAAGGCTGGATCTTGGGGCCTGGTCAGGTGATGGAGTTGAGCGAGCCCCAAAATCAGTCATGATCTTTTTGGGGACCGTTGAGCTTTTGTTGGGCCCTGCTCAACTAGAACCTGAGTGAAAAGTAGATCCTCTGCGTAGAACTATAAATCCTGGGGCCTGTCGAACAACCATTGGATAGCCCTGACACCTGATATCAATCCCAGGATCCCCTCCTAGTCTATCGATAACAATATAACGTTATCTGGACTGCTGTAAAATAAGCTTCCCTGCATAGGTAGATGACGAGAGTGAGATGCAGTAGTCACCATCTCTCTTCTACCTCTATATCAGCTCACTCAGAATAAAAGATCATAGCAAGTAATCAACAATATAGACTTCAAGCCCTCTAGAATTATAATGGATGTTGGTGTATCTGGGCATACCAAAGAACTCCGTTAGTGTAGGTAGCATAATAACCTCGAGGCCCTTCTTGCTTTTTGATCTGCCTCGTCGCTCCCACTTTTCTTGACTTCTGCCCTCGCGCTTTCAGACCCAACCCCTCACGGTTCCCAGTGTCTAATCTCTTGCCTTGTCACTCCAACCTTTTAAGACTCTTGCCCTCGCGCTTTCGGACTACTGATCTCGCGTTTTCAGTCTCCTGCATTGTCGCTCCCAGATTTCCAGACTCTTAACGCGTGTTTTCCAGTCTCCTGCACTCGCGTCCCCAAGCCTGACCATCCACAATGCCTCCAAAGAAGCGCCGTACTACCTCCGGCAGTTCATCTTCTCGCCAAAAGGGCAAGAAGAGAGCCTCTGGCTACCGTCGAGGCTCTCCTCTGCCTGACGGCCCTCGTCGATCGGCGCGGCTCTCAGAGAAGGCAGTGACAGCCACTCGCACTGTCGCCGACGACCCCGAGACCTCCCAGACGTCAGATGTCCACCCCGCCTCCAATGACGAGGGCCCCCCCGCGAAGCATGGTCACCACCAGATCCCCACGAGCTAAACAAGCTCAAGACAACCCTGCCGACGCTGGAGGAGGTGAGTCCCCAAAGAAGCGACGTACTACCTCCAGCAGTTCATCTTCTCGCCAAAAGGGCAAGAAGAGAGCCTCTGGCTATCGCCGAGGCTCTTCTCTGCCTGACGGCCCTCGTCGATCGGCGCGGCTCTCAGAGAAGGCAGTGACAGCCACTCGCACTGTCGCCGACGACCCCGAGACCTCCCAGACGTCAGATGTCCACCCCGCCTCCAATGACGAGGGCCCCCCGCGAAGCATGGTCACCACCAGATCCCCACAAGCTAAACAAGCTCAAGACAACCCTGCCGACGCTGGAGGAGGTGAGTCCCCAGCGAAGCGGCGCAAAGTCACGCGAACTCGCGCCATGCGTGCTGCGTCTTCCCCGAAAGCAATCCCCGGGGGAAAAGCAGCCAGCAGAAGGGCCTGCCCGCGGCAATCCAACTGGACTCACGAAGAGTCCAGCTCATGCGGAGCAGGTCATGCCTATCTCACAGCGAGGAAGCTCCCCAGACTCGCAGCCCGCGAGGTCCAGTATACACACTGGTTCCCGCGCGGTTGTGGCCGAAGGCATTCCTGTTGGGTCCCGTGGTACGGCATGCCCGATAATAACCCCCCCTACGGATTGAGCCTAGGATAGGATATGCTGACAACATGCAGGCCGGGTATCCAGGAGTTCGAGTCGTGGGCGGTACTAGACCTGGCCCTCACGATCACTCTCAGCGATCTCCATGGCCTAACATTCGAAGTGGAGTTGTGAGTGAGGGTGATATGGGGGGGTATGGGCCCAGACTCCGGTAGTGGTACCATTGAGCAGCAGGGTGAGGGGCCCCTGCTGAGCGACGCCAGCAACGGTACTGCTGCTGAACCCACGGGTCCTTTGGAAAGCGGGGATCCTGAAGCTAGCGCTTCTGTTGCCAGCGAGAGTCTCGATTGGTCGGGGCTCGACGAGGATGACTTCGCTGGCGTCGGCCCAGATTGGAGGCTTGAGGGGTACCCGCCCCGCCTGCCCTTCTCTCTGGACGAGCAAGAGAACGAGGCTGCTGGTGGTTCGCCTGCCGAGTAAACAGAGTTGGTGGCCCAGTGGTGTACATACCTAGGTAAAGGGTCAATGTAAGAGTAACGAATTGATGTTGTTTTTTCCAAAAGATTGAAGTTGTAGCCAATAGTTCTCCGCCTGGGGACGGGTATAAGTAAACCCGAATCTTGGCATACCATGGTATTTGCATAAATTGGAGCTTAGTTAGATCAACCCGGGGTTGTGCAATCAATTGCCATTTCCTAAAATCCATTTGGATCAAAGTGCCGTGCACCCGTTCAATATGTACTACCTTGTTTAGCCGCTATCCCGCATTCATCCTAGTGTCAGGCATAGAAATGCGTGATATAATTATTTGTTCATTCATAGACAAAATCAATAAAATGCTTTCTAAATGAGCTCATTAAGTGCTTGAGGAACTTTGCGGCAACCAGAAAAACTGAAGGTACCATACTATGAAGGGCTAAAGCAAGAATTGAGTTAATCTGTACTAGGCCACGAACTGTGTTCGATAAACTTAAGGAAAGGAGTTTAATGCGCCAGTTCCCCGTTACTAGTATGCCAAGGTCAGGTGCCCTGCGTGATCAACACCGGGCCCTGGCCCGTGACACATACCATGAGATTTATTACGTGTATCTGTGATTTAGTATAAACTTGGTTTTCAACTGTCTGTACATCAATCTTATATATTTCTTAAGCATGTTAGAGGTCATAATATGTGGGACGGATTGTAGCCGTAGCTAGGGTAAAGTAAGCGTGTTCTATTGATATTGTCCTAATGACTATCTACTGCGTTAGAGGGTCTTGCCACGTGACCTACTGGCTTGGCAGGGTGACACGGATCTTAGTATATTTCCTGGATTCCCCTTATAGTAACGCGCACTTGTGAGAGTAAATAATTTCACATTCTATTCGAAAGTAAGAAATTGGGTTGAATAATCTGAAGGGAAAGTAAGGTGGAATAAATTCATCAATATATTGCCTTTATAGTAGCGGATCTATTAGGGGTGAGGGCTACTTGCATCACAAGCAGAGGCACATATACATTTACACCTACATGGAATAGAAGGAGATTACCACTTTACTGACTCTACATCCTACAGCTTCAAACTATTATGACGACCAAGAGGCTTTTTTGAAACTAAATACAAAACAGAAAAACAAAAGTAGAAAACAAAAAAGACAGGAAAGCAAAGCGCAAATGAAACAAAACAAAAAGAAAAAGAAACAAACTAACCTTCCCTCACTATATCTACCTCCCCAACAGGGTCAGTAGACATAGGAGGGTCGGTTTCGGGTCCGCAAGTTGTAACCCGTCGGACTGGCCCAGTCGTCCGTCGCCGCCCAGTATACATCCCACGCATCTGGGCCATCGTCCTCGTTCTCCTCAGTTTCCTCACCCTCCCCATTGGCAGAGGATGAGGCTTGGTTGGTCTGAGGAGACTCAGACGACTGGGCAGCCGCGCCGCTGGGCTGCGAGCTGCGCGTGGATGCCTGGCGGCGACGCTTCCGGGCACGGCTCGATCGATTTGGGCGGCTTGCGGACCGCTTCCGCTTGGGCTTCTCCTCCTCGGGGACGTAGTCCTCATCGTGGTCATTGTCAATCCACGTGCTGGTGGTGTTCTCGCGCTGCTGGGCGCCGCGCTTGCGCAGCTCGTAGACGGGGCCCAGCACGGCCTCGGCGTCCTTGGCCGTGAACACCTTGCGGTGTGGATGAGGGAAGGCCGCCTTGGCTCGGTTCAGGGTTTCCAGCGAGTAAGGCATTTTGAGAGGTGTCACTATATACAGGGTATTAGTCAGGTAGTCTGGGGAAGGGGAGACTTGGTATGTTTGCCTACCGAGGAGGAAAGGAGATGGGAGGAAGTGAGATGTGATCCTGGGACCTTTGGTTTCCTGATGCTTGAACCCGCTTTAGGGTTTTTATCAAGTCAGGCGCAATCGGTCAAGGCCGTGGTCGGAAAGAATAAGGTCGATGTTCCCCACAAGAAGGGATCAGTAGCAGGCTGAATCACTTGTGAAGTGATCCAGGAGACAGACGGTAGAACTCTGTCGCTGGGCATGGATGTTAGCATTCAGGTGTCATTTTATGGCCAGTTGGGGGGCTACTTAACTGGAAGAGGTGTGGTGATCGAGGGTAGAGGGCGCTGTGACAAGCGTCGAGATAATGGAGGGCTATCGATCGAAGAAGATAAAGAAAGTTGGGGCTGCACTAGGCAAGAGCAATATCTCTCCAACGCAGGCGACGGTGGTGAAAGTATGGCAGTTATCAGATGCGTATCAGACTATCGAGTGTAGCCAGAACTGGAAGGTCAACCAGGTCTGAGATAAGATACGGCAAGGTAAGAATGGTGGGAAAGGAAGCAGATGAAGTGGGATAGCAGCAGTATTTGAAGAAGAGAACTGGGAAGAAGAAGAGGGGAGGGAATTAAGGAAAGGGAGCGCCTGTTGGCGAAGTGAATGACTGAGCATCAGTGAATGTGGACGAGTCAGGTGGCCCTTATCTTGTTGTTCTTCACCAGAATATTCTATTCACTGCCCTCTCTTCTACGCAGTACCCTTCTGGTTTTCAAGATAATAACTGACCCGAATACAGCCCCACTAGGTCTTCGCAATCCACTGCGAATTCCTAGACCCGCCTTTCCTACTTCTATTGCGCATCTTTGTTTGGCAAAAGCTGCCCTAAAGATGGTTGTGTAGGAAATATTTTAAGAACAAATACTCCAGAAGTTAGCCCCGACTTTCGACCCTCTATATCCTACTACACAGAGTTTGCTCTCGGAATTTCGTGCTTTTCTGCGTTATAGGGACCCAGAGAGCTCTGGCCATCATAGTCTCTTCACACAGTCTTTGTCCTATTTCCATGCAGCATCAGAATACAACCTAGGACGCAACACCGACAAGAGCTTTCGCCCTCCGTGGAGCCCAAGTTGCATATTTGCGAACCCCAAGCTCATGATTCGCATGAGAAGTTAATCATCATAACTTTCAAGCCGGTGGGCATACGGTTAAATCCCATGCCAGTCCTCCATAATGCCCATGCGCATATTTTGGTCAGGGGTTGGACCTTTGGTTTGAGGATAATGTTAGCTCTGTTCCCTTCATATTACCTTCAATCGTGAGACGTAGGTCTGGCTAATGAGGTCGCCTTGATAAATTCTTGTTTGTTTAGCTAGGGAGGAGCTCGCATGCCTCGCTTATTCAGACCTACTCAGTGACCAGGACTAGGTGAACGTCATAATTTGCCCACCTTATCGGATGTGAAGATCATCGGCGGTTCTTTGACGAGTCTTCGTCAGCAACACTCGGAGCTAAAGCACACTTTGACTTGGAGTTTAACCTCCGAAAGGCAACCTCGAACTTGGGATTCAGCACTGTATCGCATTATATCTGACATGGGAGTCATGTGCGAGTCTTCTCTTCTACCCATTATATCATAGCATCAATGGAGTGAACATGTTGCGTGGCCCCATTATAGTCTAAGGTGACTTGGAGAGTTTTAGGGCATCTGTCAGGCTGCATAGACAGTAGCTGGCTCACCTTGAATGTAATCATATAAATAAGCAGCGACCCATTAATGTACCTTAAGTCGAGCACTCGAATGTTGAAGCACCCTGGCACTATACTACTCGTGGTTAACTATCATCAGTTTCTTACTAGTAGGAAAAGGAAAGTTGAAGAAATTGATATATTTTTATTCATTATACGGGTTTTTGCCGCCACCATAAAGACGAACTGAGTTTAGCGCCTTGACATCCCATTCCAAGCTGAGACCGAAACTGAAAAGCTATTTCCAACTATGTTCCCTCTGAATTGTACAATGCGATAATGAAAATTTGAATGCGCCTGGGTATCATTGGATTCGGTATGCCGAAGGTGTGCGGATGCACATGTGAAAAGATCGATAACTGCGCCTGGGGGACGAAGGGCAGGAGAGGTAGCTGGCAAAAGCCAGGTGCGATGAAAGAGGTCATGAGGCTCGGAAATCGTACATGCGGACCTGGTAGTCATCACCGCCAGTAATGAAACGACTGTCGCTCAGGCCAATGCAGTTAACAGCTGCGGAATGGCCTTCATAAGTGTCCTGGCAAGTGGGGATACGAGGATCCCAAATCTTGACCATGCGGTCCAGTCCGCCGGAGGCAATCCGGAGGGTATCTGCGGAAAGAGCCCAGATGCCTTCCAAGTGACCAAAGAAGGTACGGAGGCATCTGCCAGTGTTGGTCTCCCAGAGTCGAATGGTGGCGTCAACGCCGCTAGTGATGATGAATCGGGGAGGCTCCATGCGGTCGGCATCTTGATCGAAAGAAGCATTAAATGAGGGGGGTTTGCGAGGAGAGTGGCTTGTACTGTAGGACTGGAGAAATGATATTTGGTGGAACATCCCCATTCTGAGAGGAAGTGCTGTTGTGGTCATTTTCACACTCCTCGAAGTGGTTTTCGAGTTCGATTTCGCGGGGGAGCGGAATGGCTTGCTGGACAGCGCCAATGTGGTTGTGGAATACTTGGATGCAGGTCTTAGTGTCAAGATCCCATAGACGAGCCGCTCCATCGTCACACGCGGTTAAGGCAGTGCGAGATGAGATATCAATTTTCACACTGTTTACGCCTCCTGGGTGAGGAAGCACAAAAGTGGACTTGTCCTTGAAATTCCAAATTTTCACGGTCCGGTCCACCGAAGCGGATGCCAGGAGAGTGGAATCGAAATGGAGCGCGATGACAGCCTCAGAATGTCCGTTGTATCTAGAGATACACTCTCCAGTCCGCCAATTCCAAACTCTAACGCTGCGATCCAGGCTACCAGTGATCAATTTCGTATCGTCGAATTGGAGACAGCGCACACCAGCACTATGGCCTTTCAGAGTACGTAGCTCCTCGCCAGTTTCCATGTCCCAGATCTTGACAGTCGCGTCGTATGAACCGGTCATCAAGATGTTATCTTCGAATTGAAGGCACATCACGCTATCGGTGTGGCCACGGAAGATTTTTTGTGTGCAACGGCGATGCTTCCAGTTCAAACCAACGATGAATCGATCGCGATAGACGTCTTTCCATGGGCGATAGCGTGTCTTGTAGTAGTCTTCGTCGGTCTCGGGTCGCTCCGATCGGTAGGCCGGAGATTTACAGTGTCGCTTGATCATATCGCAACTCTCATCTTGTTCTTGAAGAGATATCTTGCGCTTATGACCAGGGGTCGGGAGCTCAACAACAGAACATGTCCCATTCGGGGCCCCATCGGCAGGCTCTGCCGGCGCATGATTTCCCCAGTTGGATGCACGTAGCTCGATCTCCCGCTTGGCTTCTCGGAGACGCTTTCGGGTCTAACAGGGGAAGACCCCAACCACACTTGTTACACTTGCGACGGATGTGCTGCTCGCACATACGATGCCACACCACGTCGTCATCGGCCAGAGCCCTCCAGCGAGGGGAGACCTGTGCAGCGCGGCACAAAGAAGCCGTGTCGAGATAGCGTAAAATTTTGAAGGAGAGTTCGGGGGGGGAGGGCGCTGAGGAAGTCGATCCGGATAAGTTCGCGCACGCTAGCTGAGATGAACGAAAGCTGGGGGAAGCAGCATTGAGCTAGCACCCCTTGCAGCATTAGTTTGCGTTGCTTCGCTGGAGCAGCCGAAAAGAGAGACCACACATGGGAAATGCCCTGTTGGTCATCCTGGGGAAGGGTCTCCAGTTGTTGTTGTAATTGGCGCATGGACTGTTCATCGGCTTGTCGTGAGCATTTCGAGTCGGGTTTGTGGCGATAACAGTATCCGGAGTTGACAGAGCGCGGAATAGTCAATGTTCCATCGTCCGATGTCAGCGGAGCATACTGCCGTGGCTGATGTTTTATGAGAAAAGGGGCGACCTTTTTCTTCGCCATTTCGGCTAGATTTTCTGAAGTATCGGTCTGGTGAGGAGTCGAGGGGTCTGACGCGGGTTCACCGACAGGGTTTGCTTCCTTCGGTGTGGGATTGACCAGCTCATGGACAGCCGACATTTTGGAGTCTGCTTCCAGTGCAAAGCCCGTTGACTGAGTAGAGAGGCTTAATAAAGGGAAAAGTGCGGTCCACCAAGGTCCCGAGGTGGGGGCCTGGGCTATTCACAGTCACGAGTCCCCTTGTACCGTCTCAAAGTTCAGGATAGGGATGGGTGGCAAGTAAGGGTGAGAAGACAGAACAGAGCCCAGTCCTATATAAACGACTGGAATAAGATAGGGGGGAAACTGTAGGATGGCACAATCGGAGGCGTCGACTCGATCCGTAGTCTCTCAAATGAGAACGAAATGTCGACAATCACGCAAGCCACTCCATGGCGGGCGGTGAGAGATTGCATAATGAGAATTGCGATAACGCTAGTCCTCTTGTGGCGATGGCGTGCCGTAGCGGACCCACGTGATGGCGCCATCTCCACTCTTGATGGCATCAACTTTCTGCTATCTTTGCCCATTTGGCTACTCGGGTGATGTGATCTGTTGAAGGTCCAGCAGACCGCCACTCTCAATTCCTCTCGGCCGGGCTCTCTTCTCAATGTAGCCAGGGCCCTCCTTTTTCCCTTGTGAGCCTGTGCACTGCTTCGGCCGCTCATTTCACCATCAACCATCCCGACGCGCCATTTCGCCTCCGCGAACACGGGCTGCTTCCGGCTCTCATACCTAACTCAACCCGCGGACACGGAGTTATTGATCAGGTAAGCAGGCTCTTTTCTGCAGTCATCGGGCTCCACTCCTTTCCAACCCGAAGCTCCACTTGGGCGTTGACCTTTGGGATTTGATGAGGGCCTGGTGATTTAGTTCGGATCGACGTTGCATGCCCCTCCCGCTGTTAGAATCCACCTCGGGTAGCACATCTGGGGAGAGAACAAAGTACCGTGGACTGCTTCTAACGTTCGCAAATATGCACAGAATATACCCACTGCACCATTCCGTTCAGCTGTTGTCAAACACAGCAACAAGTGATAGTCACAATACTCGGGCAGAGCTAAGGAGGAAGGTCGGGTGTGCGCATAGTGTGTTTCCGTTGGCGTAGTGACGGCTTAGTCGCCGACATGCAATCCTCTCACTCATCGGCGGGCGCGACAAGCCAGCCCCAGTCCCCTCGCCCTTCTGATTCCGAACCGATGCCCTCGCTTGAAGTTTTAATTTCCCATCTTCTGGCGGCTAAGCGGTCGCTTTCCTCCATTAACCATGTTTGGCAGGCCAACGAGATCGTCACAGCTGCTGGGAAAAAGGTCCTCGAGTGCGCTGCCCTGAAATCGAGGATTGCCTTTGCGCGACGCACCCTCCAAGACCAGCTCGAGCTTCTTCGCAAGACCCGTGCCTGGTCTGAAGAAATTGTACGCGCTGGCCGCGAAGCGTTCTCCGATGCCCTTAACAATCTGGATGCGGCCGATGACCGGCTTAGCCAGGCCTTAGACGCTCTTCGCGATACCACAGTTCACTCTGCTTTCCGGCCAGATGACGAAGATCCGAAGACGCTCCACGATTTCGTGGATGAAATGGGCCTGGAGGGACTGCACACCTCCTTGAAGAGCTCTATCGACCGTGTAACCGCCATTCAAGCTGAATTAGATGCCTCTAATGGTGTGTTCGATGCCGACATTGGTTCCATTCACCATAAACTGCGCCATTGGATGTCGTCCATCCAGCAAACATCATCCTCTCCCGAACTTGAAACTTCGTCTGATGAAGATCCGGAGCCGGAACTGGCAGTCGCCAAACCTGTGGTGGCAATGTTCCGCTCCCTTGAATCCCATGCGAAAGACATGGCAGAACTATTGTCTTCGCTCGTGCATCATTTTGACCGCTGTGTAAAGGCTGTGAAGCACACTGAGGGTGGCGGCGAGGCTGCTCGTTCTATTACCGGGGACATGCCCGAGGTCCCAGCCGGCGAAGGCATGTCTAACATTGGCCAGGAGATCAATGCCAATCTGAATGCTCCATTACAGCCAATGTCAAACGAGGAATACCGTGAAATGGTCCTTGTACTAATCAAGGATGCCTTTGAAGCTGAAGATGTAGTTGTGGAGATCCAGGACCGGATCACCGAGATGGAACAGATCGCTCAAAATATGGATCTGCAGCATGATATGCTCAAGTCACTCTGGAAGCATGCTGGTCAAATCAAAGCGGACATGATAGGAGTCAACGACCGCCTTCCTCAATATGGGCTCCAGTCCCTCAAATTCATTGCCACGTGGAGAGAAGAAATTAGCAATCTCAACTCTGGACTGGCCCAGCTCACTGACCTTCACGTCATGTACGAAGAGTTTCTCAATTCTTATGACAACATGATCCTCGAGGCCGCCCGCCGGGCCCAGACTCGTAAGAAGATGGAGAAAGTCCTCCGCGACGCAAAGCACAAGCTGGACCACCTCTATGACGAAGACGTTGTTGCCCGAGAATCGTTCCGCGTAGAGTATGGTGACTTCCTCCCCTCCGACCTTTGGCCTTCTATCAGCCGCGCTCCCATGCGTGTTCGCTTCAAGCGTCTTTCCGGCGGCACCCTTCCCGACACTCAACAGCAAGGAGATGCTCAGCCAATTGGTGCTGTGGCCGAAGACACCCTCGGGGCTGATGAAGGTGCCGAACCTGAAACTATCCCTGATCTACCTCATGATCTCATTCGCGACGCATATGAGCGGATCGTCGCCCGAGGCTAACGTTGTAAATGACCACTCCATACGAACCCACAATGACTCCAATGCTGTTACGAACTCCCAATTGCGTCATTGGCTTTTTAGCTCCGCCAATCTTATTTTCATTTTTTTTTCCTTTTCCTCTTTCTTCTTTCCTCTTTATCAATTTCCGCGTCAGACCTATCCGCGTTTGCCTGATGATGAAAGCCAAATCTTTCCGACCTCCCGTCCGGCCTTGGAGCCTCAGCCATTGAAACGGACTGCTGTCTGATGCACACTGCTTGGTGTCTGCCAGGGATGTGAGCACATTCGCTATTCTCGGGTTGAAAGCGACGTGAAGGGATGATTTTCAAAGAGAGCTCTGAAGGCTACGGAGAATTTTCTATACGACATTGTTTTCTAGCCGGAACCTTTTATGCCGAGCTCTTCATAATCAATTGTAGCCGAATACCCCCCAAATGCGATGCGTCATATTTTCGCGAAATAACTTTTGTGACCGGTTCCTTAGAGTCTATGTCCAGGTATCAAAAATATCCAAATGCTCCAACTATATGCATCTATCATCAAATCATGGTAAAGCCCGTTCCTAAGAATGGAAGCGAGAGAACATAAGAGCATGCGGTCAAGCCTGCATAAGCAGAACTCTGAAACGAAAGGAATACGCTTATTTCTTCTTCTTGGAGGACGAAGAGACAAGCTTTTTCTTCAGATGCTTTGGCATCTTGTTCGCACGCTGCTCGCGCTTCTCCTCCTTGACCTTCTGCTTGTGATCACGCTTAGCGTCCTTGTCCTCGAAGCGCTTGCCGCGAGGCTGCTTCGGGGCAAAAGGATCCTTTTCCTCTTCGCCGCCTGATTCTTCACCAGACACCGATACGCCGCCGCTGGCATCAGATCCTGACTCCTCATCGTCGTGGGCGGTTTTCGCCTTGGTATCGGCCAGCAGATCACTGTAAACAAGACTATCGCCTGTGCCATCACGGATCCGCTCAGCATCTCGCTCAACGTCGTACACTTGCTCTAGTGTCTGAGGAATATATTGCTGTCGGAAGACTGCTGTATCAACATCTCCGGCCTCCTCAGCGTCACCTTCTTCGCGAGCGACGAGTAGTCTTTCAATAGCTTCAGCCATCTCCTTGCTTTGCCCCTCGATGTCCGAGGGTCCTTCTGGCGACGTAATGAAACGGAACACAGTTTGTTCAGATAGAGTCACCACGCCCTTGCGGCGGAAGAAGTCACTCACATTCTTGATGTCCATACGAAGGAACTCCAAACTGCGAGGGTGGTCGTGCTCAACACTTTGACTGACATCAATAATGTACAGACGTTCCTTGTGATATAGAATATTGTATTCACTCAGATCCGCGTGCACAAGGCGACAGACCTGATACATTACGCGCATGTAGCCCAGCAACTCAATATAGAGAGACCGGTAGCGCAGCTCGGGATCAGCTATATCAAACTCAACATCCTTCAATCGTGGCGCCGGGAGTCCTTTCGAGCTCCCCAGGAAGCCCATCACGAGAACGTGCAAACGAAGGTAGATTGGTTCGGGGCAGGGGATACCAGCAGAGTGGATTCGGCGCAAATTACGCATTTCTTTCTCGGCCCAGAGTTTCACCATTGCGCGGTTGTTACTCTTGCTGTATCCTTGGCGAAAACGAAATTCACCGGTCACGTACTTATCTCGGTCCTTGAACACCAAAATGCTGGTCTTGTAGACCTTGATGGCTCGGTGCTGGGCAGCAGCGGCCTCGTCATCTTCCGGGAATGAGATCGCATGGTACACATTGGCTTCCTTACCCGTTGATAGACAGCCGTGGATCTCAGAGACGAGGCCTCGGTTGATCATCTGCAGGAGAAGCATTCGGGTGCGAGGATCAAGTACTTGTTCCGATGTTGCACGGTCTGCACGATCTCCTCCGCCTCCACCCTTGACAGATAGACCAGACTGTTGGTCATCGAGCTTGATTTTGTTTGCATGGCGGGTCAGAGACTTCACCTGGTCGTCGATCGAGGCGTGGGTGTTGATGGAGGGTTTCTGGGTATTCGTCTTCGGGTAGGTCCATTTGGGAATATTCGAATCGGAGGCGAGGTCATTCAACTTGCGTTGGCGGTTGTATGCCTTGGTGAGATCGGCCGGGTTTGAAGAAAGAATATCCTCTTGATCCAATTCCTCTTCGAAAATATCGTCGTAGTCTTCATCTTCCCCATCTTCTTCCTCGGTGGGTTCTTGCCCCGCGGTGGAATCCGGCTTATCAGGATTGGCATAACCCTCGTTGGGGATGTAGGTATGGGTTGGCGCTAAGCCATCAGCGAGACCAGGCTGGCCAGAGGGTTCAGCGGAGCTCATTTTCTCTTCTTGCTCACAAAGCTAGAGCAGAAAATAATGTCAAAATTCAAAGGACCTTGTTGGAAGACCAATACTTTTTTTTTTCTGTGGAAGCCGAGTTCACCGCCCGGCAAAACCCCGCGCCCAAACACGCGCGGTTTTCGCTCGTCGCGTTAAGTTTCCTGCCCATCGCGAACCCTCCGGCCTAAGCTTTGACTCGGGATTTCGACGTGCAAACTCAACGGTGTCACTCCCACAAGTCTGCCTGGACTGACTATCTCTTTCCATTTACCTCTGGGCGCGTAATGCGTGATTTCGACTAAGTACCGCGTCACGCGTTACCCAAGATGTATGTCAAGCAGATCATCATCCAGGGCTTCAAGAGGTATGGGCTGATATTTCCTTTGTCGCAATTTCCGGATAATATAATGAAGCTGATTAATTGGATTGCAGCTACAAGGACCAGACGGTCATTGAGCCATTCTCCCCTAAACACAATGTTATTGTTGGCCGCAATGGTTCTGGCAAAAGTAACTTCTTCGCCGCTATCCGTTTCGTCCTGAGCGATGCGTACACCCATCTTGGCCGTGAGGAGCGGCAGGCCCTTCTCCATGTATGCCATACTGACATGGATGATGCTCGCCAAAGCTAACAGCTTGCAGGAAGGATCAGGTTCCGCTGTAATGTCGGCCTACGTGGAAATTATCTTCGACAATTCGGACGATAGATTCCCTACTGGAAAGCCTGAAGTGGTTCTCCGTCGTACCATTGGTACAAAGAAAGACGAGTATACTCTGGACCGGAAGAATGCTACCAAGAACGATGTTATGAACCTCCTCGAGTCCGCTGGCTTTTCCCGCTCGAACCCATACTACATTGTCCCCCAAGGTCGTGTCACTGCATTGACAAACATGAAGGACTCGGAACGGCTGGTCCTTCTCAAAGAAGTCGCCGGTACTCAGGTGTACGAGGCCCGTCGTTCGGAGTCACTGAAAATCATGAATGAGACGAACAGCAAGCGCACTAAGATCGACGAACTGCTCGACTACATCAACGAGCGACTGGCTGAACTGGAAGAGGAGAAGGATGAGCTTCGCAATTATCAAGAGAAGGATAAGGAACGTCGATGCCTCGAGTACACAATTTACTCTCGCGAGCAGCACGAGATCTCAAACGTATTGGAGAATCTAGAAGAGCAACGTCAAAATGGGGTGGAGGATGCGGACAGCAACCGAGAGCAATTCATCGAAGGCGAAAAGGCAATGGCTCAGATCGATGCTGAGATCTCCGACTGCCGTCAGGAGATTGAATTTCTCAAAGTTGACAAGGCTCAGATGGAAGAAGAGCGCCGCGAGGCCTCCAAGGCTCTCGCCCAGATCGAACTCCAGGCTAAATCTCTTGCTGATAACCAGGCTGCGGCACAGGCTCTCAAGTTGCGCCACGATAATGATCTTAACGCCGTAAAGTCGGCTATCGCGGAGCGGGAGGCTGAACTTCAAGAGCTCCTTCCTTCATTCAATGCTTCTAAAGACCAAGAAGATGGCATTAAGGCCAAGCTCACTGAGGCAGAAACCTCTCGTCAACGACTATATGCCAAACAGGGCCGTAACTCACGCTTCAAGAACAAGTCGGAGCGAGACAAGTGGTTGCAGATGGAAATCCAAGAAACCAATCGATCGCTGGAGACTGTCCAAGGCGTCGTTGCGCAAACCAATGAAGACATCAAGGAGCTGGAGTCCGATATTGCTGAGCTTGAACCCGAAATAGAAAGGTTACGAAAACAGATCGATGGTCGGGGAGACACGATTCAATCGGTTGAGCAAGAAGTCCAGGCCGCGAAAGATGAGCGAGAGCGACTAATGGATCAACGTAAAGAGCTCTGGAGAGAAGAAGCAAAGCTGGACTCTGTTCTTTTCACTGCATCGCAGGAGATGGACCGCGCTGAGCGCAGTCTGTCACATATGATGGATCACAACACCAGCCGAGGTATTGCTGCTGTTCGCCGGATCAAGCGCCAGCACAATCTGGAAGGTGTCTACGGTACTCTAGCAGAGCTTTTCGATGTCAGCGACAGATATCGAACCGCCGTGGAGGTCACCGCAGGCCAAAGTCTGTTTCATTACGTCGTTGATACCGATGAGACTGCGACTACCGTTTTGGAAATTCTGCAGAAGGAGAAAGCAGGCCGCGTGACTTTCATGCCTCTGAACCGCCTACGCTCAAAGCCTGCAAACCTTCCTCGTGCCAGTGACACCATTCCCATGATTGACAAGCTCCAGTATGACCCTGCATATGAACGAGCATTTCAACATGTGTTTGGAAAAACAATCATCTGCCCCAATTTACAGGTGGCATCACAATACGCCCGCAGCCACGGCGTGAACGCCATTACACCAGAGGGAGATCGATCCGACAAGCGTGGTGCGCTCACTGGTGGTTTCCACGACACCCGTCAATCCCGCCTCGATGCTGTCAAGGTCGTCGGCAAGTGGAGGGATGAATACGAAATGAAGCGTAACCGTGGTATAGAGATCCGGAAGGAACTTGAGAAGCTTGATCAGCTTATTACGAAAGCCGTTGGTGAACTGCAGAAGATCGAACAGCAACGACACCAAGTGCAGAATAGCAGCGGGCCTCTTCGGCAAGAACTCCGAAACAAGCGTGAACTCTTGCAAAATAAGACTGACAACCTCGATGCCAAACGGCGGGCTCTCCGTAATGTCCAAGCTAACCTTGCCGCCCTCGAGGATCAAGTAAACGCTTTCCAAGGTGAATTGTCATCTCCATTCCAAAAGGCGCTCACAAATGAGGAAGAAGCCACTCTCGAGACACTTAGCGGCACCGTCCAAGACTTGCGACGACAGTACCAAGAAATCTCAACTCAGCGCAGCGAGTTGGAAGCCAGGAAGTCGGTGCTGGAAGTCGAACTGCGGGAGAACCTCAACCCACGCTTGGACCAGCTTCTCAACAGAGATGTGGACATGGCCGAGGAAGAGGTGCAGGGCAGCCTGAAGGAGACTCAACGCGAGCAGAATCGCTTGAGTAAAGCCCTTGAGAAACTCAACGGCCGCCTCAAGCAGGTCGACACCTCAATTGAAGAAGCAAATGCTCGCGTCATCGAGCTTCAGCAGCGGAATGCCGAGACTCGCCGTGAACTCGAGGAGCTCGCCCGTTCCATCGAGAAATACCAGCGACGAATGGAAAAGAGCATGCAGAAGAAGGCAGCTCTGTCAAAGCAGGCAGCTGAGTGTGCTTCCAACATCCGTGACCTCGGTGTCCTCCCAGATGAAGCGTTCACCAAATACAAGAACACGGATTCGAATACTGTGGTCAAGAAGCTTCATAAGACCAATGAGGCTCTGAAGAAATACTCCCATGTCAATAAGAAGGCATTTGAGCAGTATAACAGCTTCACCAAGCAACGCGAGACCTTGACTACCCGCCGGGAGGAACTTGATGCCTCCCAAAAATCCATCGATGACCTGATCTCTGTCCTTGATCAGCGCAAGGACGAAGCTATCGAGCGGACTTTCAAGCAGGTCTCCCGGGAATTTGCGAATGTTTTCGAGAAGTTGGTGCCTGCTGGCCGCGGCCGTCTCATTATCCAGCGCAAGACGGATCGTGCAACTCGCGGCGATGACGAACTAGATTCCGAGGACGAAGAGGCGCGTCAGAGTGTCGAGAACTACGTGGGTGTCGGTATCAGCGTGAGCTTCAATAGCAAGCATGACGACCAGCAACGTATTCAGCAATTGAGTGGTGGGCAGAAGAGTAAGTCACCCCGATCAGTGATAATACCTCGGGCTATAATGCTAATTCTTCCCAGGTTTGTGTGCCCTGGCTCTCGTCTTCGCCATCCAAGCCTGTGACCCTGCTCCTTTTTACCTGTTCGACGAGATCGACGCCAATCTCGACGCCCAGTACCGTACTGCGGTGGCCCAAATGCTGCAGTCCATTTCCGACTCAACTAATGGGCAGTTTATTTGCACTACCTTCCGGCCGGAGATGCTGCACGTTGCTGAGAAATGTTACGGTGTGAGCTTTCGCCAGAAGGCTAGTACGATTGATGTGGTGTCGCGGGAGGAAGCTCTGAAGTTTGTGGATGAACAGAAGAGCTAGATGGTCTAACGCGTAGCTCTAATAATTGTACATTTGGCCCGTTTTCGTGTGTTTTACGGCTTGTGGTGGATTTGGCGCATTAAGATACCGGATGATTTACTCCTATTCAAGATCTATTCCTACCCCGAGCTTAGCGATCCTTCCGAGTAACTACGGCAATTGATGCCTTGAGCTCATCACGGTCAAATTCCTCGGTCTTCTCCGACCCGAAATGATCGAGACGCTCTGTTCCTTCTGATGATGTTCCATTGCCTGCTTGAGATAGCCAGCAGAGCACGATTGAATAGACCTATCATATGCGAGGCGCTATCCGATTCATAAAACATCACAGAAGCCTCTACTCTGCCATGCGGGACGTCGCCGAGTGGGTAAAGTTTGTATCCTTTCCATCGAGAAGGACACTTTTCTAAGAACCGTGATTACATCCGTAAATAATACACGAAGGCAGGGATCTCTGCAGTCTTCGGTGGTCAGCAGGAATTTCTTCACATTTTTGCAAGGGATCGCACCTGGGATGATTAGACCAAAGGACTATTAAGGTGCAGGTATGACAAGGCACGCCTTATATAGTACAGCCCCAGCTGGAGTCCGCGACAACTCCGTAAGAATGCACAGAGCTACAAGGAGAGAATGTTTGGAACGATAAAGCATAATCCATACAGTAATTGAAGCAATAAGCTCAAACCTAACCACAGGACTAGCCATCAGACGGACGTCCCAGCAGAAGACTACAACGAAAGATAGACTGCATCTCGTAGGTGGGGATTACCGAATTGCTTTCAATCACCACGGCACTCTCGGAAATCAAGCAAAGTCAATACACCACTCTCTCTGCCGTAAAGGACGTTGTGCATTCTTGCATCGTATAGGCGCACATTGACTGCTCGAAGTGCCTGAATGCCAGTGAGACAGTCAGCCTGGATGTGGGCTCGTTCAATCCCAGGTAAAGTATTCCATAGCTGGTGATGCTGCACCCCTTCCCTGTGCTCTAACACAAGCACGTATCTGGGAGGCAATATGCTTGAGCAAAGGATTTCTCCTCTCAGTATCCACTTCGCAAAACTGGGTCGCAAAGAGTTCGAACAAACCTACCAGGCACACCAAGTTATTCCGACTGTGTATAGCGCAGTTTCATCATGAACTGGAACTTGGTGGTTGATCCTTGCTTCTCGAGAAAGCTGGAAGTCATCTCTCGTGAATAAATGCCATTCAGACATGAAAGCGAGGGTAAGAGGGTTAGAGTGTATTGATGAATTTGGAGTCCCAAAATGATAGACCTCGCTCTCCTAGACAAGGAACTGGGTCTAGAGACAATATGACGCCTAGCCTACAAGGCAAGGGAAATTGACGATCTTGGATGAATGGAGAGTGATTTCTCGCTGAACTCTCCGACGGATTGCTGGACTGAGAACTGTTCTCAAATAGTCACCTCGCGAGGCCACTCCACAGAGATGGACAACTGAACACACGCTCGAGTGACTCTCTCTCGAGACAAGAGAACCTGACCAGGCTCGAACAGTTGCTCTCCCTCCTTGCCCCAACAAGAGGAGCAACTCCCGCACTGCCGGTGAGACTGCAGGTTTGGAAGTGAGCACTCACTTCCTCTCACTTCCCAGATGACATGAGTCCACAGACGGAACCCCTGCGTCGGTCACCAGAATGTGGTGCTCACGTCCGGATTCCGGTGTGATTCGTCCGATGAAATCCATCCCATACATGTCCATGAGCTGCAACACAGCGATCGATGATGACAGTTCCTTCCGAACATTTGGGCCTATGATTTGACACTCTGGGCACGACTTGCAGTATGCGCTGAAATCCGTATACCGCGTTGGCTAGTAGTACCTGCCAACTGCTCTTCCTAGGCTGATCCTTATTACGAAGTGTCCATGCATATCATGGATGTCACATAATACTTGCAGAACCTCTTCACTGGTAATGCACTTTGAGATATTCCCCCGGGTTTCATAATAGGTCAATAACCCTTTTTCGATGAAGACTAGGACGTAGAACTTCCTGTCTCTGACTATTGACCCGTTGTTCAGCAACCTTTCGACTGTCTCGCGGTACCATTCCTTCTAAAGACATCTCATAAACAAGGGCCTCATGAACGAATACCGCTGCCCCAACGGCAATGTTGGTCGTGTGTCTCGTTCTTGGTCTGCTGGTGGTCTCGATTTGAAGCACAAAGGTAGAACAACTCGAGCTAGCTGAGTCTGTGCTGGCTCTATATTTGGGAGGATAATGCAGGCTGTTGTCCACGGGAATGATAACAAATATATGAGAAGACTTGACGAAGGTAGAGGTAAAGGGTAGAGGTAGAGGTAGAGGTAAAGGTAAAGGTAAAGGTAGAGGTAAAGGTAAAGGTAAAGGTAGAGGTAAAGGTAAAGGTAAAGGTGATGGTGATGATGATGGAGTATAGTGATGATGATCGGTCCTGCCTTCCGAATGATTCGGCCCAAACTAAGCTACTCGTGGACTAGATCTAAAGCTCAGCCCCACATAAATATTGAAAGTCACACACAGAAAAAGTCCTACAGTTGTGCCAGAGTAATACCAATTGAATCTGCACTTCAACTTGAAAGCAAACCGCTCGTTATATTCAACTCTGTACGAGTTCCAGTGGACGTGGGTTTCCCGATTGCCTGAAATGTATCATGTATATTCTTCAAGTTGTATATCGAGGCTACATGCGGACCCGCTTGCCGATCTCTATGTTTATGACTCTTCTTGGACAATGGTCCTCTCGTGCGTCCATTCTGTAATAATATCATCAGGGACATCGCGCAGGAGAATATGGACATGCTCCAGAGCCCGCACACTCTGCAGCCCGACCCAATTCTTAAACCAGAGCACCTGCGACTTGGCATCCGGGAAACGGCCCGCCTTATCCTGGGCCAATCGATCCACAAACTGAGACTGCACAAACCCTTCAATAAGCGCCCTAGACTCATCCGTTAAATGGCCTTCCTCCGACTTCACGGCGATGGGAGTCTTTAGCCACACTACTAGATGCGAGATGCCTGGGGCTAGCCCATAGGGCCAGTCGTTCCGCAAGATACGATAGTCCTCGGGGTCAGCAAAGGGGCGGGGGTTCTTGAAGGAAGGCCCAGTGCCGTTACCCTGAGCATCTGGCAACGGCCAACGCAGGCGGCGTTGGCATATATAATTCATGATGGAGCCATACTCCGCCTTGGTCTGGGCGGACCAAGCCAGATAGCGGCGCAAATCGGAGGGTTTCCGCTTCAGCGCCGCGAGATCATTCCGTCCTGAGCCGGAAGTGTCAGTGGGGAGGGGGTGGAATCGGAAAGACAGTTGGAGACTCACTTATGATGTCCCGCAGCTCCGCCCAGTCGTGAGGGACGTACTCCTCGTCGGTCATGGAGAGGAGCTGGTGGTCCAGCGCGGTGAGATGAAATGGGGTGGCCTCGGGCATGATGGATTTGGAGGGGGAAATCGAAATATCTCTTTTTCTGCCCTAAAAGTGAAACCTGCCCCGATATGTATGGGGGGTTTCTTATCAGATTGTTTCTGTTTACAGTAGGAGTTACAAGAAGCTCAGGCACGCCCAAACGGGAGACAAATTCCGGCGGGCGGAAACCCCAACATTTGGAATTTTGGGACTCTTTTCTCTGGGACCCTTTTCTTCTCCACTCCTCCCCCTCAATTTCTCTCTTCACCTTCCGGTCTTGTCAAAATGAGGTATGTTTCTAAGCTTTCCGAAGCCTTCTTGTCTCTCATCGCCATGTCTAATAATCCCAGCGTCTCTGCCGCTTCCTTGGCGCTGGTGCCCTCCGCCCTCATCGTCGCCGGTACTTGGGCTTACGACCCTAACCTCCTCGTCTACGGTGTCGCGGCCGCTGGTGTCCTTGTTGCCGGCGCCTTCTTCGCTGGTGGTGGTAGCAGCGGTAAGATGCCCATTGGCCGCGCAATTGGCGCATTCCAGTTCAAAAGCAGAGCAAGAAAATCCTAATGAGTCCCCTATATAGCACCACGCAAGGTCCTGAAACCCAGCGAGTTCCAGAACTTCGTACTCAAGGAGAAGACCGAGGTCTCGCACAATGTCGCCATCTACCGCTTCGCTCTCCCCCGTCCCACCGACATCCTGGGACTCCCCATCGGCCAGCACATCTCTCTCGCCGCCACCATCGAGGGCCAGCCCAAGGAAGTTGTGCGATCCTACACCCCCATCTCCTCCGACAATGAGGCCGGCTACTTCGACCTGCTCGTGAAAGCCTATGACCAGGGTAACATCTCCAAGTACCTGACCACCCTGAAGATCGGCGACACCCTGAAGGTACGCGGTCCCAAGGGCGCTATGGTCTACACCCCCAACATGAACCGCCACATTGGCATGATCGCTGGTGGCACCGGTATCACCCCCATGCTGCAGGTGATCGAGGCTATTATCCGTGGACGCCCCCGCAACGGCGGTACCGACAGGACCAAGGTCGATCTCATCTTCGCCAACGTCAACGAGGAAGATATTCTGCTCCGCGAGAAGCTTGACAAGCTCGCCGCGGAGGACGAGGACTTTAATGTCTACTATGTTCTCAACAACCCTCCCGAGGGCTGGACTGGAGGTGTTGGCTTCGTTACTGCTGATATGATCAAGGTAGGATCCTCCTGGAGCCCTACGGATTCAATTATGGCTAACTCTTGGATTCTAGGAGCGCTTCCCTGGCCCAGCGCCCGAGAACAAGGTCCTGCTCTGCGGTCCTCCCCCTATGATTAGCGCTATGAAGAAGGCTACCGAGTCCCTTGGCTACGCCAAGGCTCGTCCGGTCAGCAAGCTGGAGGATCAGGTCTTCGCGTTCTAAGCGCATTTGGAATCGAATGTTACTAACCTAATTTACACTCAGCATGTGAAAACAAAGTCCCTCGGTGAAGGCGGGGGGGGGCATGTGGGGCCGGTAGATATGAAGCTTAGGTCTGAAGAGCCTCGGGGGATCCAGGTCATGTGAATATTTATGAGTTCTGTTAGCTCGCGAACGGACATGGCACGACTGGTTCTGTTAGAACTAAAAGTGGGCGTCGATTAGATACTGCGATTATTCAAGGTTGAAGTTTCTTGTGAAGAAGCGGATGCGTTGCGTTCATGCCGAGTGGCCTACTACCACTAGCAATAATGTTCAAGTACTAAAATCCGTATCACTATAATCAAAACTCAATTCAAGAATGTATTCTAAGTGATAAATGTTTAACAGTGCGGGCTCCGGGATTAGCCTTTTCTTATACCCTGGGTAGCACGAAAACCCTGCAAGGCTGTGAGCCTAGTTACGGCCGAAAACCGGGGACTGGAGCGAGTAGAGCCAGAATGGTCGATCATCACATTTGACATCGCACACTAGGAAATAGCCAGCGGATACAACCACTTTCTCCTGGTCAATGCAGATTGTGAGGCTCATTCAAAGAAGAACCCCGAGCTTCTTTTTGGCAATACGAATGCTCATCCAACGGGCGCTGACTGGTGGAGCTCTTGTGTCCAATGACCGACGCGGTTCGGAGTTGTATAAATGTCCCAGTTCGAACTTCGAGTAAGCTTCGAGTGATGCGGGACACTACGAGCCCTGCACACGGCGCGGCTGCAGCATGTAGGAACTATCGCATTCTCTGGGCCCGGGGGGCATTAAGAGACCTTTGGGAATACTAATATAAGGCCCTAGTTTTACAAATCGGTATGTCACTGCCTAGAGCATTTGGAACAGGATGAAAGCCCCGAATTTGATCGCTTATAATCAGTCAATACTGGATGAAGTAATTGAGAACATCTCCGCTTGCATTAATCCATAGCTCGCGATAAGCCACTGCGATGGGAAAAATTATGAACCCAATGCTGCAAACAGACTCAAGGAGACAAGACCTGTAACATAGACGTCAGCGACTAGACGAGATAGCCCTGGAATCGAAGCGGTCAAAAACTTGCACTTGAACCTGGAAATACCGGCACCGTAGGAAAGGTCACGTTCGAGATTTAGGCAAGCGATGGCCTCCTTTACTCTGCTTCCTCTGCACAACACTAGCAGTACTTTTCTTCTCCACGGCCTCCACATCAAACCGCAGGCTCGGGGTCGCAGTATCAAAGTATTCCCACGCAGCAATTTTGGAAATCCGCCGCGTCCCCGGCTCGAACGCCCCCAGGACAAGACTCGCAGCGATCTTGCCAATCTCGGTACCCATAACGGCGTGATACTCGTCCGTGTCGTGCTCCCACTCGCACTCCTTGGGTTTAGTAGCCGGCCAACCTTTCCAGATCTGCTCCTGGATCAGGCCCACGGTGTCCCCATTGACGATGATCATGAAGAAAATGTGCTTCAGGGTCTCGACCGCGTGGTACTTTGTGTAGATCCCTTGAGTGACTTCGGACGCGTGGGGGCCGTTATCTCGATGGCAGTCTTCGATGAAGATGGCGCTGGGGGTAATGACGCCTTCCCAGACATTCCTGGTAGGAGGGGCCGTGGGGTGGAAGGTTATCTTGAAGGTGTTGTTTTTCTTGAGCAGATCAAACGGTTTGGCTGCGTCGATGATGTCGTTGGGGAGGTCCGCGATTTGGTTGTGGAGATCTTCTCGAAACGGGATCTCGTCGTATTTGAGGGTGCAGGGACAGACTTTGCATGTCTCGAGATTTTTGCCTGCGAGCCATTGCTGGAACTTCTTACCTTTGGCTTGGTGCTCTCCGTACTTGAGCTTGCTGAGTGCGGATGAAGGCGCCATGCTGGTGAGGATGTGGGGTTGTGGTTGTTGATGCTTGGGTGATAGGCAGTTAAGTCGTTGATGAGCAAGACGAGAAGTTGGTGGAATAAGAACTTTTTATGCAGCAAAACTATGGCATCACTGCCTGTGACTGAAAGACGCCAGAGAAAAAGCTATTGTTGCTTGAGTGTAGACGGATCAAAGAGAGAGTAAACGGCATTGAGCGAGAACTGCCATTATGTACAGAGAGTGTTTGACCTCGACTCATTGTAAGATAAAGTACTGGTAAGAAACAAGGTCTAGTTGCTCCTACATGAGAACCTTAGAATAAATAATTGAGCGTCTTTGGGTGTAAAACTAAGGGTTACCACCCTATAATGTGACAACCAAATGCCCATGCCGCTTATGGAAGAACGTATCGAATCCCCTAGGTGAGCACGATAATATAGCTTCATATAACCATGATCGCTTTGGCTCGTGAAACATAGTGTATTCTTTGGTACTTAGTCGATGGTTTTTCTTTCTATATATGAACAAAGATGGTCTCAACTAAGGTTTGTAACCATATCAGAACTTCACCACTGGCTGGCGACTCTGTCTACCACGAAACTCCATCATAGTACCGAAATACACTAGTCCTCACATGGACAGCCGCCATAACTACCTCTGGCCCTCAGAGGACCAGGGAAGCAAGATATGGAAGCATCCATATGTCTCGTAATCCCAACTTACACCCGGGTCAAAGATGAATCGCCCGTTTGAACCTACCCTAACCAGTTCGTGACATCGAGTCTAGTAAGTCCTGGAGTCTATCAGTATCTACCAGTGGTATTAAGCCATCTGAATCCTAATGAACCTATCTAAAATCATGCTAGTATGTGGGAACCATGAAGGCGTATTTACTAATAGTTAGTCAGAGATACCATCATCACTGAGTTAGGAATAAGCTCCGGCACACCGCCGTTGATCCAAGTTCGACCATTGCCGGGCTTTCCAAGGCTCTGGTACTAGTTATATTAGAATCTACTAGAGCCTACTAATTTTTCATAGCCAAGACAATGATCTTCTCAAACACACGGGAATACTAATGACCCGCTAATGAGCCATGTGCTGACCAAGTGGGTAAATCATGCATGCCTAATGATCTGATAGGATAGGCATTCGGGAAGAGACCGTGGGCTATGCCGAAAGGGCGAACAGACACGGGTTGGTGCAAGCTTTGACAGTACACTAGGTTGATTTTAGGTGATCATCATGCAGGGCTAGGGGGGAAAAGTGGGGAAATGAGGGATTTGTATAGGATTTGGATATCATCATTCATGACCATTAAAGAGGGTAAGAGGATAACTTAAGAGGATCCAGACGAAATAAATAAGAGAAACTTTTTGGAAAGTAAATTATTGCGGGCGCGGGTGATGCACAGGGCTCATTTCAACCCAGCCACCCTGTGCACTGGTGTTTGGTAGGATTTGGCGAGGCTCACGCTCATCCGAGCTTCGTGTGCTAGCTTCTGATGGCATAATGGTATTCTGAGCCTCCTTGGCCGAAGAAACAGAGATGGTAGTGGTGATAAGGGGTGGCGGGAAGGAGGGGGACAAGGGGGAATTGACACCTGTTATGCTGCCAGTCCGCTTGTAGTTGTAGCCGTAGGCGTAAGCGGGTGGTTGGCCTCGAGAGCTGGTAGATTTGATGAATTTGCTGGTAAAAGGGCGAAAGAGGGGCCAGACAGGGGGAATGGACATGGTGATGAGAACAAGCCATTCCTCGACTTCACCCCAGAGAAATAGGGTACCAACACCATCTGACAGAAGAGTTAGCCTCGTCCATAGTAAGGGCAGGTGTAGCTCTGCTTACAAGAAGAATCCGCGTCGAGGATAAACTTTGCCGCCCAGGTACGGATGATGGCAGCGACGCCCGCAAAAACGCCACAGCCCATCAGGAAACTCAGACCCCATTTAAGCTTACGGTCGATGCGCAAGGGGATGAGCATGTGAATGGGTACTATGGCAAGGTAAAAGTCGGAGAGAGCAGCTACCGCGCCAACAACGTAGGTATAGTAGACGCTTATCCTGTGATCACACATGTCTTGGCGCTGGGGGTCCCAGATAGCATCAACAGGAGTGCATTGAAACCAAACGAGAAGGGCCTGTGGGATGTTTAGGACGATGTTCACAACGGCGACGGCAATGAGGCTGCGACGAATTTTAGGGTCTGATGATGGATATATTAGTACATTGATCTCAGGATGATTCGATAGGGTCTGGAAAATCTCACTGCTAGGTCCATTCATCTCGATCAAGAACGCAGCCACGGCCACTTTTCCGGTAGGAATGGCCAAGTTGAAAAAGAATACAGTAATCCAGGTGAAAAGAAGGAAGTTGTGCAACTCGCCCACTTGAGCGATAATAGTGATATGGTTGCCAAGGCCATGCAGTACCGAAATAATTCCCAAGGTTTGAGTAATGGCAGTGAGCAGCTATTCTTCCTTAGTTTTGACTCCACGTGGTGTAGTGGCAGACACATACCCATGCTAATAGAGAGAGTAATAGGGCCGTTGTACCAAATTTGTTCACCTTGATCCGTACATATACACGCATGATCATGAAAATAGTGGCAATGACCGCTAGGGAAATCCCTAGACGGAGATCCTTGGGCCCATGGCCACCATAGGCCGGATATTTGTCCTGCAAAGACATGATAAAGCGAGCGACTAGGAACAACCAGAATGGAGGATCATTCTTTAGAGGGGTTCACAAAACGGAATCCGGGTGCCTGGGCCTGGGACCTTTTTAACGCGAGTGGCTACGCTTCCTCGGGATCAAGCCTTCACCTGCGGCTGTTCCTCGGCGGGGACACCAGGAGGAAACCATGATTTTCGAGTGGAGTGACGGGTCTCCGGCAGGAACAACAAGGCTTAGCTGGGTGTTATTGGACGATCGAGTGGAGTTCCTGACGGGGCTCGGTGGGTGTAGGAGGCCGCCATACTGCAACCCTCAAATTTTCCTGGTACTCGTCGGACGCCTCCGCCTGGCATATGTCAATCGCTCGCAGTCCTCATTGATTGGACTTCATTAATCTGACCCACCCGCAGTTCACCTAGGAAGGCCCTCTCTATTGATCCACTCGGTCTCGATAAATCGATAAATCCGCTGTGGCGATCGATAGGCCCAAGGAGGCTAGGTTTCATAATTCACATTATACGGGTCTAGACTTGAATAATCGTGCCACTGCCTTAAGTGGAGCCTCCCGCCATAGAGACTGTGAGCAGGGATCGGAGATTGCTGGATGGGGAAGGCCACGCACTTTTCTGGCCTCGTTCCCCGGTTCGGTGGGGCTTCGAGCATTGGGAAATTCTCCCACAAGCCTTTTACCCGGTACGCAGTACGGAGGATGCGTCTCCCTTAGGGCCCAGTCCACGTACAAATGAATGACCGGGCTCGTCAAAGTTCAATAAACCGCCGTGAATACGAGGTGGCTAAAGTTATACTTGTGCTATGGCTCCTCTATTGCCATCTCTGGTGGGGACGGAACCGCTGGTGTCGACCTCGGTCGTTTAGGAACCAACCAATCTTCTCAAGCCTGTCAGGGACGGAGGACAACCTGGGGCAGTCTGTGCTAGACCCGGAGCTAAGCCCAGCGCTAAAGCCTCGGGGGCTCCGCAACTGAGACACCTCCAAGTATACTAGGCCATTGATTTTCGCTTGCAGTCTTTCCCTTTGTTCATCAGATCGGCACGGGATTCGCTCTCTAACCCCGTGTTGCGACGCTTCCCTCCACATTTCCCCTAAATGATCGCCCCAAGCCCACTTGGGGATTACCCACCGATTGTCATTCGGCTCTTCAGACATGCCCTGATAAGGCTATTGATCTGGCCTAGTGGTTTTGTCGCAAGACAGATCATCGTGTTCTGCACGCTACCCTGAAGGAGATCCTTGGCGCCGTCCAAGCCGGGGAAAGCCACTCACCCTACGACTCTTGCGCCAAGCACTGACGCATCTTGGCTGGCCAGTGTCTGTTTAGATCACGCCTCCTTCCTGGTCGCGTAGAATTGCCATGCCATGGGGAACCACTCAGCTCTCTTGTCGTTGAGGTTATTTGGATGGGACTTGCTAGGGTTCATGCGAAAACCTGTGGCCCTGATTTAGAAAAGCATAATACCTTGTGTTTACTATCAGCTGGACTCCGAGCCTGTCCAGAGACCGCTCATCCTCGAGTGGCAGGGGTTTAAAGGCACTGCGTAGATGGTCCAGACCCTCGTGTGCCAATCTATTGGAAATAGACAAAGCCTATGTGGGCAAACCGGGGCCCCGGAAAGCGTCAATTAGGGGCCACCCATGTCTGACCGTGGATTTACCCCGTTCTGCGCCGGAGGATCTAATGAAGCCCAGAGGGAGAGAGTATTTGTAAAATAGGTTCCATTCAAGAGGGTCACCATTCTCCCGATCGATATGCCAAGGTCGGGCACGAGGTCGGAAGATTTATGCTGCTCTGCATATCGGCACAGTTGTGCCTTTTGAGTACGGAGTTGACGTGTCATATGTGACGAGCCGCAGCTACCAAAACCACAGGTCTTGACCGACTTTGGCAGAAGGTTCGGAGCTGATTTTGGATTCATCTATACTGTTGGCTGGTCTCTCTCAAGTTGATGCGTCTCTTCTCGAATCTCAAGCCAGACGCTGCAAGAAGGCGCATGCATGTTTCGGGCCCCTTCGGCGCCGGCTCTGTCCGTTGGTTCTGGGTGGCTGGTTTGGCCTGCTCGGGCACTCTAGCTTGCTTACTAGCATGGAAATGAAGCAATCAATACTACCTCGCTGAGACCAGCATAAGCCATGCTGGGGAGCATTTTTGGTCTGGATACGTGTTGAAAAGCACATAAATAGCCAGCGTTGTAAGTCGTCCACTTACTGTAGTAGTCAAAAACAAAGAAAAAGAAAAAAATCACGGGACTCGACCGTCCAATATTTATCATGGCAGTGTCAAGCATTCAAGCTCTGGTGGGCCTTTTGTCCCTGGCCCACAGCGTCACTTCCATGACTCTTCGCCCTCGTTCCATTACTCCACCAGCAGGCTGCCCCATCCCAACATGGACAGTGGACAATTTCAAATTGTTCAATGGATCCCATAGCCTAGACTGCGTTCACAACCAAGCGGACATCGACACTAAAGGCTGCTTATGCACTGGAGCAGGCCACTGGTGTCCACCAGTCGAAGCAACGTGTAATGGCTCGTGGGTCAACGTGTGCTGGACAGGCATGCCAAATTATGCTCCATGGGGCTATGGCCCACCTGAAACTCTCGATATCGACTTCGCGGACGGCCTTCAGTGCCACGATCAATACATTGGATATCGCGTCCACGATATTGGCAATGGAGCTAGTAACTGCGGCTATGCGGATCGTGGCCAGGGACGGATCGTTTCTTTCTACGGGTCTTCCCACCAGGCTCAGTCAGTCGGACACATGGATTATATCCTTGGATCTGGGCATGCTCTCAAGTGCGACAATGGAAGCTTGATCACCTATTCGGGTAGCGTTGACTTTCCGCTGACTTGCACCTACGATGCGTATCGTAATGCTACCTGTACGGCGCCGGTGTTTGACATTCCTGTTTTGGATTATCAGTGGGTCTCTTCATGAAACACACGACAGAACGGAGATTTCTCCGATCAACAAACGTCATAGGGGGGGCTTTTTATGAATGAATAGATGGTATAAAGCTTTCAACATGCAACGTTATGCGTACATAGTGGATTACGCGAGTGGTATCGGAATAAAAATAGCAAGATCCGTACAACAAAAAGCCTCGGAAAAAGGGACGCTAATCCACCACAATCATGCCCTTAACCATCGAAAGAAAATTTTGCCGATATTCATCTGCAGTAGTCGTTATGGACATAGGCCCTTTGCGCCCGATGACGTTGAATGTCTGCACCACACCAGACATGGCTTGGGCATGGAGCTTATGACGGGCCCAGAAAAAGTCCAGCACCACAGCGTGGTATTTCCACTTGCCGTCAGCGGATGGGAGACCAGCATGCCAAGCGCTCTGCCTGCCTAGGGCCACAGGACTGGAAGACGCCGGAATTCGAACCAAGAAGAGTGAATAATCGACGGCATTGGTGTCCTTCAGAAACTGAGTGTCTGTTTGTATCGCCTTCCAGAATTTATCATGATCCTCGCGCGTGAGATGCAACTTATCATTGAAACTGTCGGCCAACTTGCTGATCGTCTCTTCGCTGACAAGGCTCTCTGGAAAGAGATCACGCTCTGGGTAGAAATAGTCGATTGGCTTGAGATCGTACGTTTCCCACTCATCTCTGCGCGGGTCATCCTCTCGACCACGAAGAATGTTTTCCATGACAATGTGGTGCCCTGGAGTGAGACCAAAAAGCGTCCCCATGGTCACATAAGGAGACAGGATATAATCCGTAATCCAAACAAGCACCGAATCTGGATGCTCGCACATATGCTTCTGATAGGGCTCCAGAAAATCTGCTTCGAAGAACGAATATTCAAATCGCCGAGGAAGACTCTTGACAACGAATGATCCGTCCTGCGTACTGAAAAAGGTCTAAACAAACATGAGCATATTTGAATAAGGAAAGTCGGACGAGGTACCTTACCGAGCCGGAGTAACCCAGATCCCCCATCGCTTTCAACGGCGGCTGGCCGTTGGTAGGGCGGAAACTGGCTTGATAGTCATCTTCATTGAGCTCCCATGCCTCATGGCGGAGGGTATTGAATAATTTCGGCTCATATCGAATGAGCTTTATCCCGTTGATCGTGAAAAAAGCCACAAGCTGGCCCCAGCATGTCTTTTTAAAGCGGTCGGGATCACGACTCACGCCTTTTGAAATAGACTTGACCAGAGACGACTGTCGACGACTTTGTCCCATATTTTGAAAAGCGGCCCGTATTTATTGAATAAGTTGATCGGGCGAAGATTTTCCCCCTGGATTCAACCCCGGTACTCTTTCAAGTTGTCGCTCAGCTCCTTCCTTTGAGTTAGTGACGTCACACAATAACATGACTCGATCGTGCCGAAGTAGGCACATGTGACCACTTTGCCAACAAAAGCGGTGCCATATTGCATATTCAACTGAAGTGATTCGTGGATCCAGCTGCGTCAAAGGCAACCTTATATAGGTAGACATTATTAGGTGCTCTTAGGTTCTGGCTGACGGCGCTGCTCTTTGTGTATACTTCACACGTGACCAGCATAGGACGGTGAGAGATAGCGGCAAGTAGTTATCAGCAGGCTATACAGGGGAGAGGCTGGTAATATAAAACTCGGTGGCGCCATTGCGTGTGATGTCTTTTCAATAGTACTGCGCACTATGAACCCATGTATATCTCCTATCATGATAATACATATCCAATCTGATCTACCTAATGCTGTATGCTCGACGCCACTATCGGCACCTATAGCCTCCGCTCACCGCCCGCCTGTTAAATCTGAGTCACAGCAGAAAAAAAAAAAAGAATTGCCCCCCAGTAAGAAAATCCCCCTCTTTATGGGTCGCAGTTTGTTAAGCGGGGCTCGGCGATTCTCAAGCCTCTTTTTTCTCTCTGGGAATTTTTGCTCGGGATATACACCACACCCCTCATCTGCCTTACTACACCCCGCTCACCGCGCAACCTTCCTCCCTCCTGCGCGTCTTCGATCATTGGCAACAATGGCGTCCGAACTCCCCGCCGCTGTTGAGGCACTCACGCTCCAGTCTACTACACAGACATCGAAATACCCAGGATGCTTCCCCACTTTGAACCCCATGGACATCTATCGTGAGCACATTGCCGACAAGCTGAGCGAGGCCACTGGCATCGATGCCGAGAAGATTTATACCCGCCTCGCGTGGACAAATACTTTGGACAAAGGCGACCTTGCGCTGCCGGTACGTGAACTATAGACCGGACCAAAATCACACAATGCGATCGATTGGACTTTGGTTCCCCGATTGAGAATCCGTTGACTGACACTTGTGCGCTTCCAGGTTGCCGCCCTCCAAATCAAGAAGAAGCCCCAGGAGCTTGCCGAAGAGCTTGCCTCCAAATTCCCCGAGTCCGACCTGATCTTCCCTCCCAAGGCCAACGGCCCCCATGTCCAATTCTTCTGCAAGCCCGAGCCTCTTACCAAGACTGTCATCAGCCGCATTCTGTCCGAGAAGCAAGCGTTTGGTACAAACGGCAACCTGGGACTGAAGGACCCCTCCGACCCGTCGAAGGGTCGCAAGCGCATTATTCTCGAATTTTCCTCTCCCAACATTGCTAAGCCTTTCCACGCTGGCCACTTGCGCAGTACCATCATTGGCGGTTTCCTCGCCAACATCTACACTATCGTTGGATGGGATGTCATTAAGATGAACTACCTGGGAGACTGGGGCAAACAATACGGTCTCCTGGCTAATGGCTTCAAATACTTTGGCGACGAGGAGGCTTTAACCAAGGACCCTATCAACCACCTCTTCAACGTCTACGTCAAAGTCAATGAGATCGTCCGCGAACAGGAAGGTCCTATCAAGGAGCTCAAGGATGAGATCAAGACCAAGAAGGAGAAGGGCGAGGATGTCTCCGCCCAGGAAGCCAAGCTCGCTGAGCTAGTGGACGCTAGTGAGGATGAGAAAGCCCGCCGATACTTCAAGAGCATGGAAGACGGTGACCCAGATGCCCTTGCCCTCTGGCGCCGCTTCCGTGAGCTCAGTATTGCCAAGTACAAGCAAACATACGCTCGCCTGAACATTGACTTCGATGTGTACTCTGGCGAGTCGCAGGTCAAGAAGGAGAGCATGGAGAATGCATACAAGGCCATGGAGAAGGCCGGCGTGGCCGAATCTTCCGAGGGAGCTGTGATTGCCGACTTCACCAAGTTTGGTGCCAAGAAGCTTGGGAAGGCCATCATCATCCGTAAGGATGGAACCCCGCTCTACCTCACCCGAGATATTGGTGCTATCATCGAGCGTGACGATGAGTACCACTTCGATAAAATGATCTACGTTGTCGCTTCTCAGCAAGATCTTCACCTGGCTCAGCTCTTCAAGATTACTGAGCTGTCTGGCCGCAAGGACCTCTCAGACCGCTGCCAACACATCAACTTCGGCATGGTGAAGGGTATGAGTACCCGAAAAGGAACCGTCAAATTCCTGGACGATGTGTTGCAAGATGTCGGCGAGAAGATGCACGAGGTCATGAAGAAGAACGAGGCCAAGTACGAGCAGGTTGAGAACCCCGAGAAGACTGCCGATATCCTGGGAATCACTGCCGTTATGGTTCAAGACATGACTGGCAAGCGGTAAGCCCAACCTCTCTTAGAATGTCCAGTTTGAGGAATCGTAGGCTAACGGGAACTAGGATCAACGGATATGACTTCAACCTCGATGCCATGACCTCCTTCGAAGGTGACACCGGCCCCTACCTCCAATACGCCCACGCTCGTCTCCGTTCGATTACCCGCAAGGCCGGTATCGACGAGAGCGAGCTGATCTCCGCCATCCTCGACCTCCTCACCGAGAAGCACGCTGTTGACCTGGTCCGCCTCTTGGCCACCTGGCCCGACGTTGTTCTCAACACCTACAAGACTCTTGAGCCCATCACTGTCCTGAGTTACCTTTTCCGTATGACCCACATGCTTAGCTCGAGCTACGATGTCCTGAAGGTCATTGGCAGCGAGCCAGAGACCATGAAGGCCCGTCTGGCTCTGTATACCGCCGCGCGCCAGGTTTTGTTCAACGGCATGCGCGTCCTGGGTCTTACTCCCGTCGAGCGGTTCGTCTCCCAATCCCTCACTGGTATCGGTTGAAACTCATATTGACTTTCTCATAGGATGTAATTGCTGGTTCATCTCTTTAAGAAAAAAAAAAAAAAATTTCATCCCATTACCTAGGTGGAACATTATATCCCTTTTACCATCTTAGAGCATCCCTAGGTCAATCCAAAACTTTTGCTACTTGTCTTACATTCTCGGCGTCTCATGAGCCCCTTAGATTCTAACGAGACCGTTGGTAGAAACAAATCCGCCACACGAACGGCGACCGCCTCGGGCTCCACTTTGGGCTCCACTTTTACCCCTACCCCGGATCTCTCATGAACGTTAGATCTGATCGACGTCTTGGATCAAAATCAGCCAACCCCAGCACAGAGACCGTCAAGGTCGGCGACCAGGTGGAGTAAGGCATGCGACAAACATCCAACCTTTCCAAGGCTGAACCTCCCAGCCAACGAGATGATATGATAAGGCTCTACAGCTGATCGCAAAATCACATCGACCTACCTCTGGCACTGATTCTCCAAAGGTTGTCACAAATCTTCGTCGGGCGGCTACAAAAAGCATTTCGTCAGGAGATCAGAGCCGGCAAGCGTGACATTTTCACGCATTTTCCGTGTTCGCTAAGTGGCGATGAAGGGGCAGCTCGGGGACCAGTCAGGGAAGATCTACGGAGTCTAGACATCTCCTCCAGTTCTGATACTTTTGAGATTCCGTAATGAGATCAGAGAGTTCAGGTTTTGAGTTCGGAACAAAATATGCACATCTCAGTATATCCCCGAGTATATATTTAGCCGTGCAACGTTTGGAATGCCGAGACTTAAGAGACGGAACCCAGAACGGAACCCAGAACGGAACCCAGAACGGCGACCGTATCGGGATCCACTTCCCTTGAATTATCTTGACCTAAATTCCAAGCCTCGATCTGAGTCATTAGACGGGATCCGATCGACGACCAATAGAGCCCGCGGAGGACGGCGACCACCTGGGCGGATCGGCCTCCGCTTATCTTAGCCCAGGCGTGTGGGGGTGGCGGCTCGGCGAGGTCACGATGAGGAAGCGAAAGTACAGCATTCCTCGGCGACCGCAGGCGGAGGCTCAGATGGTCAGCTCTATTGGCTTAGATTGAAGATCACATAAAACATGTTTTTCGGGGTTTCTTCAAGGCGGCTTTTAAATGGTTTTATTTTCATATCAAAGCTCTGCATTCCCAGTCCATTTTCTGCACGCGGCCATTATTGTCCTACTTCAATCTATTTCTTCCGTCTTTTGTTGTCACCTTCTATTTTCCGATCTCGCGTCTCGCTAGTTTGTCCTACTTCCGCGCCAAAATGGCAGACCCCGATGGTGCGGTTGAGCGCAGCACAGACTGGCTGGTTAATTCGTCCGTCGATACGTTCTCATGGAGTGGTGTGACAGTGACGGTGAAGGATCGGAAGACGAAGGCGCCGTTGAATCTAGTCTCGGATATTTGCGGTCATGTGCAGAAAGGTTCGCAACCAGATTTCAAGTCGACATGAATGTCTGAGTAGCCGGGTGCTAATTCGGACATAGGAGAACTCGTTGCCCTGATGGGCCCCTCTGGATGCGGCAAAACAACCCTGCTCAATGCTTTGGCGCGCCGTACAGTGGCCCCAGGGGCCAGGGTTGCTGGGACTTGTGTCGTCAACGGAAAAGAGGTTGATAAAGCTGCTTTTCGCCGCATGACCTCCTATGTAGAGCAGGAAGACGCTCTTATCGGCTCGGTCACGGTGGAGGAAACTCTCAAATTTGCCGCGGACCTCTCTCTTCCAAGGTATTTATCGGTGTTTGCCTTGTGTTGTATAGAACCAATGAACTAACTTGGTCTTCATAGTTCGATTTCCAGCCGCGAGCGTGCAGATCGTGTGGGTCTTTCCATGGCTTCTTTCGGGCTCCTGCAGCAATCCAAAACCCTCGTCGGTACTCCAATTCGCAAGGGCCTCAGCGGTGGTCAGAAACGACGATTGAGTATTGCTAGCCAACTCATCACCTGCCCACGCATACTCTTCCTGGACGAGCCAACGAGCGGCCTAGACTCGAAGGCAAGTTTTGAAGTCATGTCGTACATCAAAAAGGTTGCCGAGAAGAACAAAATCATTGTTATTGCGAGTATTCACCAGCCCTCGACCAGGACTTTTGAGGTATTCGACAAACTTCTGCTTCTGTCTGGTGGCAAGACCTGCTTCTTTGGTCCCACCGCAAACTTGTACGGCTACATCGAAGGAGCGACAGGGAGCCGGATTCCAGAATATGTCAATCCTGCTGAGTACCTTCTTGATATTGTCAGCTCGGACTTTGCGGTCGCCGACGAAGATGCGGTTTCGCGGGTCCAAGGCATCCAGGATACATGGGCCCAATCCCCCGATGCTAAAGCATTGACGAGTGAAATAATTACCACCGAAGAACGGGGAGAGAAGGCAACGGCGGAGAACCTCGACTCTGCCGGTCGTCCAAACATGGCGCAAATCACACTCACTCTCCTCCACCGGTCGCTTATCAAGAGCTTTCGTGATGTTGTGGCGTACGGGATCCGAATTGTGATGTATCTTGGTAAGCATTTATCTTATGGACACAGACGCCATCTACGGCAACGATGGTTTCCTTAGCAGAGTGGTGCAAGCATTACTTGCAGTTTCTTCGAATGGTACTAATGGGTCCTAGGTCTTGCTATCATGATGGGCACAGTATGGCTACGTCTCAGCACAACTCAAGAATCGATCCAACCCTTTACCAACGCAATTGTGAGTGCCTTCGACTCTAGTAGCCCCTGAATCTGGACGCTGATGTTTGCAGTTCTTCGGCTCCGCCTTTATGTCGTTTATGGCCGTGGCCTACGTGCCAGCCTTTCTGGAGGACCGGCAGACATTTTCCAAAGAACGAGCGAATGGCCTCTATGGAGCGACCCCTTTCATAGTCTCCAACTTTCTAATCGGGCTTCCTTTTCTCTGTATGTCTTCCTCGCCTTATTGACCGTTATCATCCCTCCTAACCGCTTCTCTCTAGTCTTGATATCTGTCTTATTCTCCATCATTTCATATTGGCTATCCAACTTCGACCCCAGCGCCGACGCCTTCTTCACATGGGTGATGTGGCTCTTCCTGGACCTCGTCGCCGCAGAATCGCTCGTCGTGCTTGTGTCGTCCATATTCCCGAATTTCGTGATTGCCCTCGCACTCGTCGCGTTCGCAAACGGCCTGTGGATGAGCGTGGGCGGGTTTCTGGTATCGCCGACGATTCTGAACCCATTCTGGCGCTATGTGTTCCACTACATCGACTATCAGGTATGCAAGATCCCTCGTGATGACCTTTTTGTTGTGAGTCTAACTGTGTCCAGGCCTATGTGTTCCAGGGAATGATGGTCAACGAGTTTTCACGACGAAACTATTCCTGCGGCCACGGATGCCATTGCATGTACGTCACGGACTTGGCCTCTCAATGCCAGATCCGAGGCACGGGGGTCTTGGAGTCCTATGGGTATGCGACTGGCAGGACTGGGAAATGGGTTGGTATCCTGATAGGCATTATTGCTGTTTATCGGCTTTTCGGGTGGATAGCTCTTTCTTTGCGCAAGACCTGATTGTTGCCTGTTGCCACTCGGCATTTGCTGGGCGCTTATCCAATGGGAGGGATCCGGAGCGAGGGGAGGAGGGAATCGCGGATAGAGAGACGGATAGAGGGAATTATTTGCTCTTCTTATGTACCTGGGTCTACCCGGTTGTAATAGTAGTAATAGAAGTTTAGGTCCAGCTACAGCCCTGGAGGGTTGGCAGAAACTGAATCATTTTTACTTTCTTAACCTTGGAGCCTCGGAAGTTTCAATTATCATTTCCCCAGAGCATATTAGTATACACCCAGGGGCCATCGAGCTAACAAGGCATGGCAAGATCCTCATGGGTGACTCGTATACTTCATAGGGCTAACAGATTATGCGTGATCTGACAAAGGCTACATTTAAGTCGCTTCCACGGAGTTTGATTTCTACGGAATAGATTAAAGCAGCTCCATGCTTCAAGGCCTCAGAATACGGGCACTTCTGGTCGCTCTGTAGCGACGACCCGATTCTCTCAGTATTCCTATCGGGGAATTGGGACCGAACAGGACGCGTCGACACCGGAATCCGTAGTAGCATCCATGCCAAGTCAAGCCCTAGGAGAATAAGCCCAACCCATCTGAGTTGCAACATTAAAAATGTGCATCACCCTTCAAAAGACCCATCGTAGCACAAGATCTATTGGCGGCTTATCGGCCCACGCCCTTCGCCAAAACTACTGTCTCGTACAACCCCGTCCGCACTGGCCACCACAGCTCACTCTCATCGCGCACCGGAAACGTGGACCCTCGCCCCTTCACTGCCACCCTCCCTCTCAGAACCCCCTCATCAAGGTCATTGGACCGAGGCCCCAGGAGACCAGGGATCGAAACGTCTAGCCATCACCAGTAGTCAGGAAAAATCGTCCGACCACAATCACTACCGCAGCCCCCCGAAATTTCCCCCTCTCGCTATCGCAGCCCGGAAAGAAGCGGTGAAGGCATTGACCACCAGCTGATGCCCTCCTGCAGACCACGAAGCAAGGGGGTGAAGGTCGCATGAGGGACGACTTATCTTTCCGAAACAGTGGCCATAGAGAAGCACTTCAAGGATCCCGGGAAAGAGAGTCCATGCGATGCGAGTCAATCCCGTTTAGGTTCAGCGCAGGGTTAATTGTCCGGACGCGCTGATCGGCTCGCGATCGTGGCTGGCAAGGAGCTTACAGTACTGCAGATCGGAGTCCCCCCACATGGAAGGGCTTCTATGGCAGGAGGCAGAGGCGAAGAAAACGAAAAGGAAGGGCATGGCGGGGAGGGAAAGTATGTGTGTGACGGGGCGTGAAGGGAGTGTCGGATCTTTACGGATTCAGGGACGGGGATTGAGCCGCATGGGAAGAAGGTCTAGGTATACAAGACTGTGACTTGGAAACTTGGAACTAGTACAATCTCGAAGCCTTGTGGATAGGGTTCCCACTTCCCGTGGAATGACAGACTTTCATGCCCCCCCCCCCTTTCTGTCCCCGCTCCCTTCCTAGACAATTGTAGACTGCCATACCGAATAAAGTCCGGAGGCGACAGCATTGACCTTCAATGGCGTTTCTTATCGTGCAGAGATCGTGCTCTCCCGCACGTGCGGGAAGGAATACAATTACGACGCAAGGAGGCGAAGAGGGAGAGTCGGGCTAGGAAGTATTAGCCCGTCCGTGCTGCAAGTCATGGCAACCTGGAAGAAGTTCCCCGGTTCGAGGAAATCCGAGTTATAGTGACAAGAAGGTACAGAAGTCAGCGAGTACGAAGTCGGCGAGGACAGAGCCAGGGTACATGACGTGGGAAGGGGCAGTATATGAGTCCACAGAAAGGCGAAGGGCAGGTTACTGGGCTAGAGCAGAGGGAAGAGGGGGACAGAGATGACTCATGCAGGAAATCCTTCGAGGGTAGCGCGACAACCATTGACAGACAGCCACATGTAGCCGCTTGCCCGGGTGGAAATGACCAGCGTTGTGCAGGCAAGTTATTTTGGGTCAGAGAGAAGTAGCTTCGGCTTCTAGCGCCCGTCCTGGACTCCACTGGGCAGTGGCGATTCCACTGAGGACTTCCCCCACCGACTTTTTCCTCGGTACCAGGTACAATTGGCATTGTATACCCCAGTTTGGCGAACCCTATTTGCGTGGGTACATGGATACGGTTCAAGCCCCTGCTATTATCATTGTGTATATCGTGGAAGGGGTCGGATTCCTCTGACTAGATCCAGATTCATAACTTCATAACTTCATAGATTCATAGATCCATAGATTCGTTGATTTCGCAGTGGAGGCGAGAGTCGGGCCGCAATGACTAACGCAGTTGGGCCAGAATCAGCATAGTTGCAGGCCCCCAATACACAGAGAAGTGAAGAATAGGGCAATATGGCACTGGCACTGGTAACAGTGACTGTTGATCAGAAGGACAGGAGAAAGTCCCTCAGCAGAAAGTCCCTCAGCAGAAAAAAAAAACGTAAAAGGGAAAAAAGAAAACAAGACGATCCATGGATCTCGCGAGCGGGTCCGCGAGTTTAACTTGGGCGCCTCCATTTAATTGATGACGGATTCCCCCACTTTGCGCTTTTTCTCTTTTCCTCTTGTTGGGTACCGATGGCCCCGAGAGCCTCCTTCGTACAACCATTTCTCCCTTTTGGTTTGGCCTTATTGCCTCTCTGACTCTCTATCTCTCTTCTTCCTCCGGTTCTTTTCCTTCCTTTGTGTTCTTGTTCCTCTGTTCTTGTTCGGGGGCCCTCTTATCTCATTATCAACCCCTCTCTCTGCCCAGCTCCACCAAACACCATCCCCACATCTGGGTACCCGTCAGGCAGAGAAAAAAAAAAGTCCATCTCGAGATTTCAACAGCCCAAAGCAGGCCATCTGCAGCGTGCAGCCTCTTCCCGGCCACTCATCTGCCCTTTTGGTGACCCACGACACCCAACGCTGCCATCTGCGCCCGATCCGTTCCCCGTCTCCTGTCCGCCCAATTTCGATGGAGACACTGCGATCCGAGAAGTACCTCTTTGCTCTCTCGACTCGCTGACCCTTCTCCCTTGCAACGTCTTCCTATTCGATCGGCAGGTCCCCATCTGGTTCTCGGTCTCCCCCTTTGTGGGTTGGCCCAATAGTACTTTCTTCTCTTTTTTTTTTTCGGGTCTGGACAGAAAAAAAAAAATTCCCACACTGTGCGATCCCGAGGCAGGAACTCCCGTGGCCAAAGCCGCTTGGGACCTGGGAACCCCTCGAAGGAAAGGGAAAGAAGAATCACCCCTCCCCTGACTCATTCCATTTGGCGAGTGTCGGTGGCTTGATGTAAGTGAAACCAGGTAGATCCTTACCCGTGTCCCGCCCTAGTCCCCGCTGCAGTCTGTCGTCGCTGGCCGGCTGCAAACCCACGTATCGCTTGGGGACCTGCTTCCTGCTTTGGGCCCTTTCTCCCTTAATTCATGACTGACAAAAGAACCGTGCTAGTTCCCACCTCCTCCGCCCCTGCAGTCAGCCATGGCTGGGAAAGTTCCTCGCCCAGCCTTCGTTGAAGACTGGGACGACACCACGCACGAACCAATACCCGAATCTCAGCGGGAAGCGAACATTGGTGCCAAAGTAGCATCGAACAGGTTGGATCCACGATTCCACGAGCCTATCGACGGCGCAAGTGACTCAGGTTATTCTAGTCGCACCGCTGCCACCTTTAACAGCACCCAATCCGGGCCGTCAGGCGGAAAGAGCCCCCCGGGCCCTCTTAAACAGTTAGACGGGCCCAATAGAGACATCGTCCGCAAACCCTCCAGTCGCAAAGAACGCAAAGAAAAGGAGCGCCGGCCCGCCCGCGAGGAGAGGATGATGGGGTACCACCACCATGCTCCCGTGGTGCAGAACAAGCCTCGTCGTCGGGACTCGCTCCGACACTCCTACCAGCCCGAGATCTATTACGAAGGTGCCTACCAATACCCCCTCGACTCCCGTCGAACCCCGAACCATGGACCTGCCATATGCCTACAGCTTTCGCCCGCCTATGCCGGACGGCATCCCTATGCCACACCAACCTAGCCGCTACGAAGCTGACGTGCAATACCACTCAAGTCGATCCAATCGTCCTGTTCGAACACAGTCGTACCACTACCACCCGGAAAGACCGTCCAGTTGGGCAATGGCTCCATCTCATGGTTACGCCCTCATCCCCGGTGCACTCACAGTTCGAGCGTGGACCGCCACCATCAGCGTGGCCTAACCCCCATGGCTATGGATCGTCCCCCCTACGGCGGCTCTTTCTATGCCCCTTCGGAATATGGACCAGACTATGCTTTAGAGAGTCGCGAGAGATCCGAGTCTAGGAGGCCTCCGTCTCGTTCTCGCCGTGCATCGATGTATGGCCAGCCACAGCCACCACCACCACCGATGGACGATGTGTTCCCAGGATGGGATGATGAATCATTGGAGGATTATTACGCTCAACCATCCCGCCTGAGAGACCTCGTGGCCGTGGATCCATGAAACCAAGCCGGGAGCCTCGAGGATATGATGACGAGGACGATGCTGTGTTGATGCCACCACCCCCTCCGCCTGTCCAGCGACGGAAGCCTGCCCCGCAAATCCACCAGGAGCCCAAACGCCCAGAGCCCCGCAAGAGTGTCACTACTAGTGTAGTACCATCTGCCAGGCGCCGGCAGTCTCAAGCAGTTGAGCCGGAGTTTGATGACGTCCTGCCTTCGGAGTATGCCAACCGTCGTCTGTCAAGAGACATTCCCCTGGATCGGAGTCAGAGCATGCGTGCAAGCAAGCGGTCTACTTCTTATCACGAAAGCAACCGCGGTGTCGCTCGCGTGGCTGTGAACAACTCACAGTCGCTCCGCCGACGTCCAGAGCAAGTCTACTACCACCCGGATAGCACGGTCAGCCTGGAGGAAGCCGAGTCGGAGATTGAGCAGTATATCGCCAGACAATCTGGTCGGGCTTTGGCCAACGAGCTGCCTGCGTCTGAAGAGACCTTGGGTGCGAAGAGAGCTGCCGGGCCAGCCAGCGATGGTAGCCAGAACAGCCGCTCGAATAGCAGTCGAGGTAGCGGGGGAGCATCCAAGCTGGCTAGTGACACGAGCCAGATGATTCTCTCCATGAACGGAATGACTATTGGCTTTGACAAGGATGGTCTCGCAGGCAAATCCATCAACATCCGCACTGGAGATGAAGGTGCCGCCTCGCTGAACATCACTAACGGAACTCAAAAGCCACGACCGAAGAAGTACATCACGGGAGTTGGCTCTTCTTACTCGGATCATACGACTGCTGGTAACCGCCGTCTGGAAGACAGGCAGGATCGGCGCGCACGCGAAGAAAGACGAACAGAACGGGCTCACCGGTCCAGCCGGTCGAGCTACCGTGTCTGAGTAGTCTAGTATTTGCCTGTGTCCTGAACTGAGTCTTATGCGACAGCTGCTTCTTGCTACGTTTCTGAGTGAGAGAAGGGCCTTCCCATGTTGTTAATTTGGTCGTCTTTTTTGGGCATTTGTTGGTATAGCCGACAGTGGCTACTTGAAAAAAAAAAAGCCTACATCATTCTTATTCGCATTGTTATTTTCTTTGGGTGGATATTTGATTAGATTGGAATCCCGCAAAAAAAAGTTCTGGTGTTGGAACCACAAAAAAGCGCCTGGGTTGGGTACTTTACAGCGTTGGCGGCTCTCGCGGGCCTCGCTATCGCGTTGATTCAAAAGCAACCCATCTCATCGAACTGGGAGGATTCTCTGGTTTTCATCGTCATTGTGATTTTTCTTTATTAATTACAATTGCTATCTCTTGCGATTGGAAGAGCGAGTCGAGCAAAAGTTCCCTCCAGGTTGGAAGATTTGCACGCCACGGGCTCCCCGTTACGGTGATATGATTGTACGATTCTGATGACCTACGACGACAAGCTCACTGTGTTATGCCATATGCTATTTCTGTCTCTAGCGTCACTATTTCTTTTCCACGGCTATGTAGCTATTCCATGATGCTACCTTTCCCCGCTTATGCCTTGATGCACTCATGCCAGCGTTGTACATCTGACTACTTTGGAGGATTGGTTGCCCGTTGGTTGAAGTGGCCTCCTGTCTTATGGGATTGTGTCTCTTTCTCCTGCTACTGGTTTCTTTGCGCGACTCCGAATTGGAGAAGAGATATTATACCCATTTCTGTTGATGAGCGGATGCTTTCTTTCCCCCCCCTTTATAATGGTGGTGCTTATTCTGTATTCTTTTGCAGCTGTGCTGTGTAGACAGGGTACTTGCTATATTCTTTGTAACCAGCGCGAGCTAATACATCACTGTCCAGCTTGGGCTTTACATTAGAACGCCGTGGCCAGTCTCTAAACTGGTAACCTGATTCTTCTCGCTTCTTTTCGAGTTGCGATCTGTGCGCCATGTGTCGCAACTGAAGGCAGGGCGACCGGTGAGTGCGGACCTGAATGTCAGAAGGAAATGATCCAGAGCTTGTAGAATTTCAGCTTCTTTAGCCGCCCCTCCGTCTTGTACGACTGGAATAGCAGTAGATCCATCACCCGAAATGTCTAGCATACAAGTTTCCAGCAATCGTCAGTCAGCTCGTTTGCTTTCTTCAGATCGACCCCCGCCTGATAGCAGTTTTGTAATCTTCTGTTTCTTAGTTTTCCATGTTACTATATTTTGCTCCTCTTGCTATTCTTGATCGATGGTACTTCGTGTTCTGAATAGCGGAACCTTTCTCACTACCCTTCTCATCTTCTATGTTGTTTTCTTGGTTCACTAGAACCCCCTCCACACGTTTATGACTTCTTGTTCCTTCAACTTCTATTCCCGTCGATTCTTCCTTGGCCTATTTCACTTCCCGTTCAAGAGACTATTCAAGTTCCCCCTTCGTCTCCTGATGGTTCGTCATTACTCATAATCCTCTTCCCTATCCCACAGGTGAGCCGCCTTGAGCTCACGTTTGTACTAAAGAGCATATCAACACTTGATCAACACTCGAATCATGATGGTGGGTTTTTTACTCTTGGAATTCTCTTATTTCTACCACCCCATAACCTTTTCAGCTTGAGGATCTTGAAAGCTGACCATTAACCAGAAAAAATGGTCTACGAAATCAACTTGGCACTACACCACACACCTAGTTGTGAAGTCTCGAGATCCTCCTACTGCGATATGTGCTTTTTATGATTTTCCCGTCACGAAGAGTCAATCGCTATCAAAAACGAAAATCTCTCCAACTTTCGAAAGAACCAGAGACTTCGAAGACTCCACTGAAATCAGTTCGGTTACAGCGAATTATCTGGGGGCAGAGAATGGGCTGCTGTCAAACCAGAAACCTATGGGCATTCAAAAATGCCTTCTTGGTCAATTTTATAAAACTATATACTTTGGAGAAAAAGAAACACCAGCATACCCAGAGGTAAAATCAGCAAGGACACTCATACATCAATTGGATGTATGAAATTCCCGAACAACGGGCAAAACGCTGACGCAGACCCATGCAACAGGCCATCGACCGGCTTAATGGCGGGCTGAAGGTTTATGAGAAACATGATTGGAGAGATAACCTCCATCTATTTACCCATTATGACTCGCTATTTCACCCAAAACACTTATCGTGCTCCATCTACTCCCCGGAAACTTTGGGCAGCCGGAATTATCTTCGCTTTCCGCCCTAATACCATTAGCTGTACAGCAGATCTCCCTGACATTCTCTGTACTATATGTATATCATCTGCGGATCGCAAAGGACACTGGCGACCCATCCCCATCCCCACGCACCACTTTTTTTTGCTGGCAGAGCCCATCTCCGGGGCGGCCGATATATCAGGCTGAGAAAATCTATCCAACTTCATCCGATAGAAACACGAAGCAACAACACATGTCGGACTGACACTTCTCAAGCGATGCTATTACTATGTCAACAAAATCTTTGCTTTTTCAGAGGATATAACTGTCTTCAGGGGCTTGTACTAGATACAAGGACATTTACTGACTGGTTGCTTCTTCCTTCTTTCGAGCTCCTGTCTTGAAGTTGGAGACCTATAGCAAGAATGTTCTTGGGCCTTTACCTGGGCTGTTTGCCATTTCCACTGGCAATTATCCAAGAGATTCAAAGCCCCCTCGAACTCTACCCCTGCCTGCCCTGCCAAGTCAAATACTACGCCTTCTGGCATTTCGATCGAGGTGGGCGCATATTGACCTATGGGCGTACGTTGATCTCGTATCATCCCTAAGCAATCGAAATGCAAGTGAATGGGTCGAGAGTGAAAGATCAGTAACAGTGTGCGGAATCAGTATCCTTCTATCATACGGGTTTTCGGGAATTCCTTGTGGCGACATACTTGCTTCGTTGACCCGGAAGCAATATGTTTACCGGTATACCTACAATTCACTTGATAAGCAACAAAGCAGTTCAAAGCAGTGATTAAATTGTGACATGAATGCCATGAACGCCATTTGGATGTCCGAAAGAGGGAAATTTCTCGTGACAGCGGATTTGCTGGAGCAATTTCCCCCATTTGATGAAGGTGGCCTGTGTAAGTTACCATTGCTGAATTTTCTATGAGTCTTGCTAAAATTACTAGTTCAGTATCTGCAGCGGTGTTCGCTAGAGCTGATGGCAACAATTCATGGTCTCTTTAGAAGGGAATTGAAAAGAAAACGCCAATATCTACCAGCCGACTTGCACTAGACGGTGGCTACAAGATCGAGTTCAATTATACAAAGCGATGGCTGCCTTAATACCGAAAGTCAGGGCACTCACTTGATTTGTTCCTGTTTTGTGGTATATATGGCTGGTTGAGAAGTTACGAAGGTCAAAATATTGCCCTGTTGTACAGTTTCGAATTATGCTGGAACCTCTCGAAGGAGAATTTCGAAAGGAAGAAATTGGCCGTGATCTGAGCAAAGACTGTCTCGGACGGTCTTTCCGAATCTACTCTAGAGAACAAGCCCCTTGGCAACAGCACCTACTTAACATATAACGAAGGGCAGCAACATTGCCAGGGCACTGGAGCCACTTGGACCCTCGGAGTTGTTCAGTTTGCTGAACGAAATCCCTGCTCGAGGGACTCGGGATGCCCTTTGTTGATTGCGCTCATATTCCTGACATGGTGTTGCCGTCTTGCCGCCCTTTATGAGGACATGCATCAATGGCCGCTGGCTATCCCCGCAATCCAGATGGCTTTAAACTCCTCTCTGAAAACGCCAACCGGTATGACACCTCATCAGCAGCTTTACGGGATGGAACTCCGCCAACCTTGGGACCTGCTTAGACAAGCGGCCCAACCGGATAAGACCTTTTCCGCTCGAGTCGACGCTGAGACAGCAATCAAGTTCGCAGCAATGGCAATGAAGAAACGTTACGACGCTCAGCATGCACCTATCCATTTTACTGAAGGGCAATTAGTCTACTTGAGGCTTAGGACAGCCTACGATATTCCTGCCAATGTTGGACTCCCTCGAAAGCTTGCACAAAAATATGCAGGACCCTTCAAGGTTCTCCGCAGAGTGGGCAAACCGGCGTACCACCTTGAGCTCCCAGCAGACGATGCACGCTGGCGCCGGATTCACCCAGTGATTAGTGTGGCCTACCTGGAACCAGCACCGCAGGGGGATGACCCCTGGAAACGCTCACCAGAAGAAGGAGAGCACCGACCTACTACCGACGACCGTTTTCCACAGGATACCGTCTACGAAGTCGAGGAGTTACTGAATAAGAGAGTACGCCATGCCCGCGGGCGTCAGCGAAAGGACGGAACGCGCAGACTTATTACTGAATACCTCGTCCGCTGGACGAACCGTCCGGAAACAGAGGATGAGTGGGTTAATGTCGAAGATCTTATCGGCTGCGCGGAGCTGATCCGCGAGTATGACGAACGCCACGCCTAATCCTTTTGTTTAATCCCTGTTTAATCTTTATTGTTATTCATGCAGGTTATCATGTTTCTCGAGGACGAGACGCCTTTTGTTGTGTCGGGCACCTGTTGCCGTCTTGCCGCCCTTTACCGCCCTGTATGCCTAGCCTAGATAGCCCGCTCCCTCGGGAGCTCCTAATAAGATCAAGATCTCCCCCAAGAAGCCCATCTTGTAGCTTGGCAGCTGCCAACACATGGGCTGTTTCACATATGAATCTTGAAACAATATAAGTCAAACAGAAGGTGGCCATCCTGTCATGATTATGAAGCTCCTGAAAGGAACTTGCGCCCAAAAAGTGTTCAGCAACGAAATGGTGTTTATCCAGGGACAATACCAATTGCCTCCGGCAGGACATAAATTATCAGACGAGCATGTCTACATGGTGACCAAAACAATTTCGGCCAAGGCACGACGCGCACGCAAGTGGACCGAGGACTTCAACACAGCGGGCGATATCAAAGCCGAGCTGGTGCCACTCGATCCAAGTCTTCTATGTCTTCGGCGTGCCATGTGTGGCACTGTACCGCGGCTACTATATTCTAACCAGCCTTGACGCCCTTAGATCCCACGGAACGCTAGCCAACGTCAAGAACAATGCAACGATCAAAACCGCACAGAAGGACTGGCTAATAGATCCGGTTCTGGCATCAAGGGACTTTATCAACGCCCACCGAAATCTAACAAGGATATACCATGACGAGACAGACAGAAAGGTTATTACCAAGATCTAGGTATATGGCATAATCACAGCAACCGAAGCACTACTCCTAAATAAACAGAGTAGCCAAACATACAAAACGCATTTTCGACCGAAGCATAAAAAATATATTCGATCTCAGTCTCATACATGGCAATAATAGCAAACCCTCTTTTACACATATTATTAATCACCCAGCTTTTGCCAAAACAACACCTCCGACTAGCCAAGCCATACCTCCCACCAACCATCAATCCCAGAAGCTCGCTATAGAACTACGACAAAAAACAAACCCTACCCTAAAAAGCCTAACCAACACACTCCAAGCTACTACAGCCGCTATCTCAACAACAAATTATAAAGCCCGTTCCCAGCACTCACAAAGAGCCTAGACATCGCAGCAAATATCCAGAAAGATATACAGATTATCGAGAAACGTTACAAGAAAGCCTTAGCGACTTAGAACGGAATAAAAGTCAAGACCACGACAGCGCAACCTGGGCCAAAAGCAATGGCCATCCTGTCCACCGTCGCTAAGCCAATACACAATGATCTTATTATGTTAGCGAACCTCAAGGCTATGGCACACCAGCAGACATGGAAGCAAGCCTCTACAAGCCAGGCTATTTTGACGAGAAAGCCGACAAGCCAGGCACAACACCAACCGAAAGCGTGGGTGCCTTAAAATACGTCTGCTACCCTGGCGAGGACGACAAACTTTTCAAGGCCACAACCAGCGCAAAGAAACGCAAACAGTCGACCAATCCCTGAACCTTTGCATGCCAGTGAATCTCCATTATCAGGCTTTTCCTCGTTTTTTCCTCTTCCTTTTGCCTTTCTTTCTTAGCGCATCGGGACGATGCTTTTCGTCCAGGGGCATATTGTCACCCGCCAAGCCGGCACCATCACGTGACACCCCCATTATAGCTAGCTCCAGATAGACTCAATAGTCAAGAAACACACTTACATCGCCCCAGCTTCGGCTACAGCAACCAAGTATTATCGAATTCCTATTGGCCTCACCATCTTCTGATTGTTCTCCCTATCTCCCGAGGAGTGTCTTCATTTACTGCTGGCGATTATATTGGAACGCAGTCATACGACTGCTCAATGCCTCGCAGATAGCTAGCTGCCGGAATTGATTGGTCTTTCAGCGCACAAAACATATATCGGTACGCGCTAGAGTCAATTATACCGTCAGTGCCTATTCCCCACCACAATTTCCTTGAATAAATTCTTAGTGTAGAAGAAAAAAGGCATAAGAGTAGGAATAATATTCTCTTTATTTCTTTTTTTTTTTTGTGCGTTTTCGGCGTTACGCCTTGTATGTGTTCTGTGATCTGCTCCAATGTGATTGGTGCCCGTGCGGCTGAAACACGTTGTCGGGCCAACCCGGACAGTAAACACGTCCCCAGCCTCTTCCAACCTCCTCAATTCCAGGCCTCTCTGGCTTTTGCGGAGATCTCTGGTATTTCCCCTCTTTCCATCTTTCACTACTGACACCTGCCCAGATCATTCAATTTGTTGCCATTTCTTTGCTTGCGTTCGTTCGATTCAGCACCGCGAGCTGGTTCTGGCGATCACCCGATAAGGTGAGGCTGCTTGGTCTGCGTGGAATGTTTCAAGGCACTAACATTCTTGCGCAGCCTGTCTTGAGCCTCGTGCTCTTGACCGTACAGTCGCAATCATGGCACCCGTTCCGTTCGAGAACATCCCCGACATTCTTGTGGATATCCGTCAAGTGGAGCAAGATACTCCCACGATCCCTGATAAATCCCTCGATCTCTCCTCGCCCGCCACGTTTGCTCAACTCGCACCCCGATCCGATTCTTCCTCCTCAGCCAAGCCTCATTATGGCGCAGGCTCAGTCGACCCGAACCACATTAAGATGCAGGGCCTCTTCGCCTTGTTTGCGATCATTGGAGCCGCATTCGTCATAGCTGCAATTTGGTTCTTCTTCTGGGCCAAGAATGGCGGTTTCGTCTGGCGCAAGGGCGACTGGGAGGACTACAAGTCGACCGTTCTCCGCCGCAAAGGACCTGACGGAAGAACCCTGAGTAACGCAACGAAGAGTACCAAGCTTGGCGGAGGAAGCATTTTCAACCGAGGCTACACCGATGATGGATATACCTACACGGACGAGACGCAGACACAAACCGCATCCAGCTTCACCGATGAGAAGCCGAAGAAGAAGCGACTCAATTTCAAGGACAAGATCCTCCGTCGGCGTAAGGAGGAGCTCTGGGAGGGCGAAGGCGACGAGGATGTGCGCTTGTATCGCGAAGAGAAACCTGCTCGCGTCGGTGGCATGAACCGTGAAGCCGATGGTACCTACCACGGGAGTGACTACGACTCCTCCGCGCCCCGACACACTACAATCAAAGCGAGATGAGCGATGTGCGTGACTACGCCTACGAGCAGCCCCGCCGTTCCAAGCGCCGCGACCCCTCTGGATTCTCCTTCACTGCTGGCAGCGAAGATGTCCTCAGCCAAGCAACCGAAGAACGCCACCCGCGCGATCCGTCTAGCCGCCGTGATCCCCGTCGTGAGCAACGCCGTCACGAGCGCAAGAGTGCTGTGCCCTCTGCGCCGTCGTCTCGTACTAGCAGCCCTCGCAAAGAGGGTCCTTACATGACCGGTGGCGCTGGCTACACTGAGCCTCTTGATTTCTCTTCCCGCGGAGCTCGCTCGAACTACCAGTACTCCAACGTTGATACGGAAGAGTCGTCTGGTACTAAGAGCTACCACCACCCTATTCCTGGATTGAACAAGGGGTATCGTCGAGATGATCGCCGAGATGGACGACGGAGCCGCCGCCGCGATAGTCTAAGTGACAGTGACGGAGATGATACGCGTTACTCTTAGGGTTTTCTTCACCAGTCTGCTATTTCTCATTCGCATTCGAACCCCTATTTCTCGTTTTACTACGTCTCTTATGACTCTACGTACTCTTGAATTTCGCATGACTTTTGCGTTTTGCCATGGAAGGAACGACTTATCGACTAGCGAGGGAAATACAATTTGTATCATTTAAGCCATGAATGAAATTGGGCATGTACATAATTTATCGGATTGAGCGATCCTCTAAATCGACTCGGGGTCATCTTGCTCCCTCATTTTCTATTGGTGCTTGATTATATCGACCCGAGATGGATGACCTAGTTCATCTTACCTTGGCAATTTTTTATGACCTTGAGGCTTCGAGTTGGGACTCTGAGAAGCGTTTTGCCAACTAGTACGAGTATAACCTATTCGGTGGGGCGTTCCGAAGAGACCGTTATTTAGTAGGGCCATTCTCTTCTACTCTCTTGAACCATAATTCTGTTATGAAACCTTCAGGTTGTCATTGCTCATCCTCCATCCGACAACTCATCCCCGCATGCCGAATTGCACCTTTGGACCCTTTGTCTGCCTAACAGAACTGGGAGCTTTTATCCAGACTCCAGTCATCAATAACGTCAGCAAGCGTCTACACCTAGTTCCCTACGTCGCCGGCTGCGGCCCTTTCGGCTTCATCAAGGTAACAAAGGTAAGAGCCGCGGCGAAGAACGCGGCGTAATGACATAAATAAACAAACGGGCATGGTTTATGGTGAAACACACTCTGTATTCCGAACCACCGAACGAAGGCCGCGACGCTTAACCCAGGAGCCAGTGCAATACGGATTTGAATAGTACGATCTAGAAATATCCATCTAGAGATGAAACCTATCTCTCTCTGTTCGTTGAGGGATTCGAAGCCGCATGTCGATTGACTTCTCTACGAATTCAAAATCAGAGGCAATTATCGTCCTCGTCTTACTCGACCGAGAAACTTCATGATCTCACGGTAATGGGGGCCGTAGGCTACCCACAGAGGCACGCTCGTTGTCATGTTCAATGCGCATAAGGGCGGTGGTTGCCATCTAACACCCGTGAATACCATAGGACTCATAATTCGCTCTGCAGGTCCCTCATAGTAACTCGAAATATTACTCCATCAAGTGGGCGCTACTGCAAGGACCCTAGTCGCGGGGGCTGTGCACCGGAGTCATGTGAATTCTGGGGCTAACATCGGGGCTGAATTTGAACCACTCTGCTCACATTGTCAAGCTTTGCATGGCACTATTCAACCATGAACCCTCCGCCCAAGACTGACGCTCCTGTCTTGGAGTTCGCGCTGTCTCTCTGTCGAGACCAGTCTTGGGGCTTGCCGGAGAAAGGGCCCGGGCGCAAGAGTGCCCCAATGGTCGTTCTAGATCAGACCGGTAGGACCTCGTTACACCCGTCAAATCCTCGGTCTACCAGTGGGATCACTGATGGACGGTAGAAAACCCGCGATGTTGAGCAATGCATGCGAACTAATTCGCAAACTGGGGATCTGCCCGTACTCTCCCCTCTCCACATCGTGTAAGCCTCCAATCTCTGCATGAAGCATGGCGGGCGAGTTTTAACACGTGATAGAATTCTAAATACAGAGACAGGGCATTTACCCGGTGATCAGAAAGAGTTTCATCACTTATTAGAGCACAACTGGGGCATCTCTCTGGAAGAGATAAGGCACTGGGCCTCGCCACTCTTTCCAGGCTATCGGAGCCGCATGTCCCAGACAAACGGAGGACCGTATTTTGGTTGGTGTTGCAGACTCGCCTAGAATGCGAGGTCTTAAGGCTAATCTTGTACGAAGAAATATGCTTCAATGTCAGCGAGACCTTGTCATATTTTGACAACAATGCGGATCCCTCGGACAGCACCCCAAGTGTGATTAGTTCGCGGGTCCCGGTACAAATGGCACTTCACCACCAATACGAAACTGTCTATTTCCGCTACGACTTGACCACCGGCCAATCACTCTATATCTTGCAAGACCCTATCGGCGACCTCCGTAATTTACTTCACAAACTAGAAGATGGCTTACACGGCTCAGCGGAGTCGTATTGCGTTGACAGCCAATGCAGAGTCCAAGGTCTGGCGCAGCTACATCCATTTACAATGCAATTCGTGATCATGTTCCACGCACTCTCCACCCAAACAGCCGAAATGGAGGCTATCATCAAGTCTTTACTTTGGATTGAAACCCAACTTCACCAAGGGTCGCTGTTCGAAATTGCCGAGTCCGATCGGTTCTCGCGATATATACAACGCTTGCACGAGATGTCCCGCAAGCTCATTACCCTCGAACACAGCAACTTGCGCGATGCCTCGCACATCAAGCATTTCATTCAGGACCATCAACGGCTTGGCAAGCTATCAAGAAGATATCAATCCCCATCTAAAATTGACCGATATGCTCACGAGCGTGTGAAAGATGACCTGCTTTCGCTTAGAGATTTCTGCGACGATCGCCATCGGCTTATCGTCAACCTGCGCCAGCGGACAAATAACTTCATCACTCTTCTTTATAATCTGATTACAGGCCATGATAGTAGCATCAATCTTCATATAGCTACCCAGAATGCTACTATTGCTAGCGAAGCACGAAAAGACAGCTCCTCGATGAGGATTATTGCTGCCGTAACGCTGCTTTATCTTCCCCCGACCTTTGTGTGCAGTTTGTTTGGGACTAATTTAATTGCCTTGGATACATCGAAAGGGACGAATCTGGGCGGGTTTACAATATCGACCTCTTGGTGGATCTATTTTGCGTTCGCGGTTCCGTTGACGGCTGCTACTGTATGTGGGTTTCTCTGGTGGCGGCGGACTCGGGAGCAGTCCAATATTGGGTCTAAGAGTGTCAGAAACTCGGAATTATTTCATGGAACTAGTCGTCAGGATGGTGTCTACGGTGGATATGTATAGCTTGAAAGAGAGTTGTGGTCTTGAAGCAAGTCAGGAGAATAATAGCATTATATACAATAGGTTTAAGATCTACTATTAATACCTGCGCTTTGGTCTGACTGTCTTCACCACCAACATATGATAATGTCATGATTGACGTTTAACTTCGATTTCAAGTTTTAGTGGGCTACCGACTACCCCCGACACTCAGTAAGAATTTAGTAGGCGTTGGATCGTGATGCTTCTTGGTGGCGCTAAGACTAGAACTTGAACATGCATGATAACGGCAGATGGCGGAATCACGACCACGGTTTCACAGGATATCGTAACCAGCTCTCCCTATTAATAATCTGTCCAGCATTGCGGAGTCCGCAGTGCTTCTTTTAGCTTTTGGTCACGGAGTCCCTATCATTTGCCGATGGTCTGGTCACGCAACCAGCAAGGCAAACACCTCACATTCAGCCGGGATTGCGTGCCAGAAAATGATGTTGGATTTCAAAGCATCATCTACCACTTAATCGATCTTATAATCTCATCCCATTGATGTCTCTTATATGTTCATGAAATGATAGAAGTTGTTTTTGGTCATATTTCTCTAATTTCCAGCGTTAATATACCTTCAGCTCCGGACCTGCCATGCCACCGGTCAATGAAGGGGGTGTACCCAGCCATGAAAGGCAGCCACTTTTAGAGCCTCGGAGTAACCCAACCGACCGCCAGGTTTCCTCTCCCACGAGAATCGCCCCGGACTACAATGGGATCCTCCCGGGTGGGGATACGAGCAAGAACCTTAGTTGGACAAGCGCGTATATCTTGGTCATGTCACGCGTAATCGGGAGCGGCATCTTCGCAACACCTGGATCGATTGTGAAATCTGCAGGCAGTGTGGGCTTGACGTTGCTAGTTTGGCTAGCTGGTACAATCCTGGCAGCATGCGGTTTAGCTGTATCGCTAGAACTAGGGTGTCTATTGCCTAAGTCTGGTGGAGATAAGGTATTGGTGTCTCCCGGCCTGGGATACTCGATCCATGGATAGTAATTGACTAACATGTCATGTTTGTCAGGTCTACTTAGAGCATGCATACCCTCGCCCAAAATACTTGGCGTCGACTCTGATCGCCGTTCATGCAGTGGTCTTGGGGTTTACCGCGAGGTCGGCTTTGTCTCCTGTCCCAGGGCTCCCCAACGCCAAGCTGACCTGTCTGCTTCTATCTTAGCAATTGCATTGTCTTTGCGAAATACTTCACATTCGCATTCAGCATAGAGGCGAACGATTTCCAGCAGAAGCTCCTGGCTGTCTCCCTTCTGACGGTGATTACCATTCTGCACGGCTTCTTTCTGCGACCAGGCATCTGGATCCAGAACGTGCTGGGTTGGCTCAAACTATTCATTGTTGGTATCGTCTCCGTCACGGGAGCTGGTATCGTTGTTCTGCGGTTATTTGAATCTAACGTCGAGGCTACCCCGGTGTCGGAGCCCAGAGGAATTGTGTCATGGGACACTCTGTGGGAGGGGTCAAATTGGAGCTGGAGTCTTCTATCGACAGCTTTGTTCAAGGTGTTCTATTCCTATGCCGGTCTTACCAATGTCAACAATGTAATGAGCGAAGTCAAAAACCCCGTTCGGACCCTGAAGACGGTATGTCCAACTGCTTTATTGACGTCCGGGGCTTTATACTTCTTGGCAAATCTCTCCTATCTACTGGTTATCCCATTAGATGAGATCAAGAATGGAGGAGAGCTAGTAGGAGCTCTCTTATTTGAGAGGGTATTCGGACAGCATTTTGGAAAAACCCTGTTCCCTCTTGCGATCGCGATTTGCGCGGGGGAACGTGATGGTGGTCACATTTGCCTATGTAAGTCAAGATGCCCTTCCTTTCTGAATCACCTCTCTTATACTTTGCGACAGGCACGGATCAACCAAGAAATTGCGAAGCAAGGTTTTTTGCCATGGCAGAGCTGGGTATCCTCCTCACGTCCTTTTGGAACGCCGCTTGGGGGGGCTGATCGTGCATTATGTCCCATCGTTTCTTGTGATAACCCTTCCGCCACAGAAGGATGTCTATAATTTCATTCTAGACGTGGAAGCATACCCAGGACAGATACTAGCGCTCGGTGTGACAGTCGGACTATTAGTTTTGCGATATAGGGAGCCTACCCGCTTTCGTCCCTTCAAAGCATGGCTCCCAGCTGTCTGGCTGCGAGTGGTCATGTGCATTGTTTTACTAGTGACTCCTTGGATTCCACCCCCAAACTGGCAAGGGGATGTCGATTTCTTTTATGCGACTTATGCGATTGTCGGTATTGGAGTGTAAGTCTTCTATGGGGCCCGGTTGGAAGTAACTACTAAAGAAGGCACAGGCTTCTCTTCGCTGTCTTTTACTGGTATATATGGACAGTATACCTCCCTCGTCGGGGTGGATATAGATTGGAGGAACAGGAGGAAATACTTAAAGATGGTACAAGCGTAACACGGCTTCTTCGTGTGAACGCTTCCATCTGATAAGCTATATCATTCTGACATATTCAGAGTGTATGAGCACAGAATTGAACTTGACGGTAGCAGCTCAGACCCTATGAATTTATTTCCTACATCTGACTCCCTAATATAATATTCAAGCAGTTGAAATCCCGACTTATTTGCGACCAAGCGCAACTCAATAGGCCATAGTTTTTCGCGTCGGGAAATTTAGGTCTGGAGACGATGTTCAGCTGGGCCAAATATACACGTACACCCAGAGAGAATGCACAGTCGGAGTTGGCGTTTATCTGGCCCCTTCTTAGCAGAAGCTGCTGCACAAGTCGATGGATCAAGAGTAATAGCTTGGATTGTATGATACAGCGGCATTTTCTAGAAAACATGCGGTGGTATGTATGATTGAGAGGAAGGAAAACAGAGCGCAGGCATGGGAAAACGTCGCAATTTTATAGCCTAGAAGATACGGTTCTCGACCTGTAGAAAGTCAGTAAGCATAAGACACACCCACTCGGCTTATGCGGTCCATATCATACCTTCCATGGCTTGCTGACTTCGAATCCCTTTGGTGCCTGGGGGGTTATTGATTTGTCCACGGAGCGAGCCAGTCAAGCGCAGGTCACGCTCCATCACTATTTGCGATTGAATGTTAGCCCAGATGCGATGAGACAGTCCCACGCCGTATTTCGGAAGGAAACGAATATTCATTGATCGGCCGAGCTTACTTTGCTGTAAAACAGTTAGCCAGCATATTCCCTGATGATTCCGGTCGCTCTAACCAACTGGGTGCAGAATAGGACTATAAACTTACTCTATCCCAAAGGTCATTGTTCCAGCGAGGCTTCTTGCCCTCGTTCGTGAAGTGCTTGGTGTATGAGATACCAGTGGCAGCGACAGTGAACATCTGCCTTGGTGGTCAGTATTAGCTCGGAGGCGAACGGACGAATGATACGCACGCCAATGACAATCCCGTAGGGAATAAGAGCCTCAAAAGGAACACCCATGGTCGCGAGTAGAATGAAGGTGATTGGGGGGAGTATCTTAATCAATTGCACACGCTGCGAGGAGATCCGACCTGGAAGTAATCGGTGTGCCAGCCAATTCGTCGAGATACAGGGAGGGGATCGGATGTGGAGGAGGTGACCTTGAGCGAGGTCTGCGCGGCCCGATACGGTTTAGCGTGTCCTGACTCAGCCCGCCTGCGACGACAACTTGGGAACCCCCAAGGGTCAAAGGGGGCATCGCATTAAGGTTGAGGATCAGCTTCCCAGAGCTTGGATTGCTTATCGACGCGTCTCTATTCTCCCTGACTCAACAGTCCTACGGGCTGTTCCTTCCAAGTGAGTCGTCCCGGGCTTCTCGACACGTGTTTGCGACCTCACTTCTTACCAACACCTCCACCTGATAGCTATTCAAGCGCTGCCGATCGGTCGGATTATACAGCGACGTGCGGATTCCATGCTTCAGGCGCAAGTTCTACGAGACCGACGCTTTTTCCGATCTATTTAGGCTCCAGATGCGCCCCCGGATCACCTCCGACGTGAGCGGGGTGGCTCTGTAGCGCAAATCGCTTGAGACCTTTTTTTCAATCAACACCCCTTACACAGCGTAGACGCCGCTATCGACAATTCCTTGAACAACCTGGAGGCTGTTGTAACATTCACTATGGCGGCGAAGGGGCCGCCTGACAACGAAGACCCGGGCCAACTCGACCCGCCCATCGACCAAATCGGCAGTGACCTGGACGCGGAGGGAGAAGAGGAAACAGATATCTATCAAATGGACCAGCAACTTCAAGATGCTGTACACCGATCATATTCTGGGGAAGATAAAGAAGATGGGGAAGATGATGACTATCCGGACGCTGAGGCTCGCGACGAATACAACGGTGGCGAGGTGCGCAGTAACAGCGCAGAAAACGAGGAGACCGCGCCCGTTGGGGCTGTCAAGCTCCCTGAGAGCGAGAACTCATCATCAGAGGATGAGGATGCCGACGGGGACCCAGCATTTGAGGAGAATGAGCGCCAAGCGTCGGAACACAGCGAATCCGAATCAGAGGCCGAAGAAGAATGGGAGGCTGAAAGCAATGGGCCTGAAGATGATGATGCGGAGGCAGATATCCGCAGCCGCACAAACTGCATGTATGTCAGACATGGCTCGGCCCATCACATCCCCGGTATAAGAGAAATTTTGCTCACGATTATGCAGATATTGCGGTCAGGATGAGGAGCATGATCCTGGTGAAGATTTCGAGTTGTGGCTCACTTGCACCGTATGCGGCGATCATTGTAAGTACAGGTTTTGCGGGGGAGGGGACTCTTCCCCCAAAACATTCTTCCACTTCGAGACGATTGCTAATCCCGCCCGACAGCTCATCGACAATGTGGCCGTGAACAGGATGCATTTCATGACAGTGAAGGTTCGTTCAGATTTCAAGATTGCAACTTGCGGAAGGGCCCCCACGCTAACGTCCGAGCTTGTAGATCCATGGAAGTGTCCCACTTGCGTCCAGAACAAGTTGGAGCCGGATCCCGTGGAAATTACGAAGACTGAGCAAAAACCAGGGGTACCTCATTTACCCAAAGAACTTCTTCCTGCCCATGCCGGAAAGCACGGAGCAGACTTTCATTCTATTTTTGATACCAACCTTAGTGAAGATCTCTTGAACAGCTCGCGGTCGCTAAGGAAGCGAAAAGCGTCATCAATCGACGTAGAGGAGCACACGCCCGTCCTCCGAAAGCGATCGCGGCGAACAGACAATTCTGAACCCAATGGAAAAGAGTCATCCGCGGTCATTGCAGATCTCCCAGCTGAGGACGAGGTTTCTCATTCTCGTCCAACTCGAAGTCGACGACCTCGCGGTGCTGATCGCGAACATGCCCGTATCGTTACGAGACAACCCCACAAGCTTATCGTCAGTTTCCGACTCGACGAAGGCAGGGTTTCTCGCATCCTTAGCACCCAAAGCCGACCACAGCGAAAGAAAAGAAAGCACCTAAACCTCCCGCTGTTCAACCTGAACCACAAGCACATTTTGCTCCTATTCCTCCTGCGCCTTACAACAGCTTCACTCCCTTCCATGATCGCGAAGGTGATGATTCTAAATCGAAACCTTACGGGGGCATTCTGAGTGAAGCAGATGCCGATACCTCGAGAACACTGCCATTGCAAGCCGACCGTGATAGATTCGAGGCTGCTCGCTTAAGGGCTGAAGAGGAATGGCAGCGTCGAGTCAGGGAAGCTGAGGCTAATGGAGAAGGGAGCACGGCCGTGTCGCAGAAAGTGTCCGGTCCACCTTCGAAGATCAAATACATCAACTTTGGTGGCTATGAAATCGAGACCTGGTATGCGGCTCCCTATCCGGAAGAATACAGTCGCAACCGAGTTTTGTACATTTGTGAATTCTGCCTCAAATACATGAATTCCGATTACGTGGCATGGCGGCATAAGCTGAAGTGCCCTGCAAAACATCCTCCTGGTGATGAGATCTATCGCGACGGCTCAATCTCAATCTTCGAAGTGGACGGGCGCAAGAATCCCGTCTACTGCCAAAACCTCTGCCTCCTCGCTAAGCTTTTCCTGGGATCCAAGACCCTCTATTACGATGTCGAGCCGTTCTTGTTCTATGTTATGACCGAGTATGACGACCTGGGGTGCCATTTCGTGGGCTACTTCAGCAAAGAGAAGCGACCGAGCTCCGCGAACAATGTCTCATGTATTCTCACCCTTCCGATCCACCAAAGAAAAGGCTACGGCAACCTCCTCATTGATTTCTCCTACCTCCTTACCCGCATCGAGGGTAAAAATGGATCTCCGGAAAAGCCTCTTTCCGATATGGGTCTCGTCTCCTATCGCAATTACTGGCGCCTCATACTATCATATCAACTCCGGGACTTGAAAACACCTCTCAGCATTGCAGACCTCTCCGATCGGACAGGGATGACTGCCGATGATATTGTATCCGCACTGGAAGGCCTCCGTGCGCTGGTGCGAGACCCAGTAACCAAAACCTACGCGTTCCGTCTCGATACCAAATATTTCGAAGAAGTCATCGCTAAATGGGAGAACAAGGGCTACGTCACCCTCAATCCTGACGCGCTCCTTTGGACGCCATACATAATGGGTCGCAGCAACCAGTCACAATTCGACCGCGCTCCTTTGCACGCTGTCGCCCCTCGAGATGACGATGAAGAGGATGAGGAGGAGGCGAAGGCGGACGATGAAGCGGACGGTGTTCCCACTCTGAACGGGGGCCATGCCGACGGCCTTGGTGAGCCTGCTGGCCCTCCATCAACAAACGGGCTTCAACCTAACGGCGTCCATGCGTCTGAGGGCTCTGGTCGCACCCCTTCTCCTCCCCTGCTGCCGGTATTCCGCCCTCTCGATTCGAGCTTTGGCCTCCTGTTCACATCCCTGTGAGTCATAAACGCAAGACTGCTCGCCCAGCAGCTGGCAAGGCGGGCCAGACACCGACAACTGTTCGTACGAGTGGGCGGAACACTCCCCGCAGGCCATCCGGTCTACCAGCAGGTACCCCTTTGGCTAGTACGCCGAGCGTTCGTCGCGGTCGGAGCGCCAAATCGGCTGGTTCCCCAATGGCAGATGGAAGCCCCGCTAAAGCAAATGGTGTCGAGGATCTCGAACAAGAGGAAGCGTTAGTAGATGACGAGGAAGCGGTTGCCGACCAAACTCTAGAAGAGATGGCACTCGTGGCCGGCGGACCGTCCGAGGCCGCAGACTCACCAAAAAAGACCAATGGCGAAGATGACCCGCAAGAACATGCTGAAACAAACGGCATCATCCACGACGACGCCTTCATTGACAAAGAACCCTCCACACCTCGGAAGAAATCCAAATCAAGTTCTCGATCTCCGGGTGATGCCTCCTCCCATCGGTCCAAGGGGAAACAATCCGACACCCAGCCGAAAACTCCCCAGTCTGTCAGCCGCAAAGCTCTGGTCGAAAAAATCCAAGTGGTGATCCCTGCTGATCCTGCCTCAGAATCACGACACAGCTCCAAGAAAAGGGTCGCCGACACAAATGGCCACGACGAAGACGCCGATGCTGAAGGCGAGGATGACCCGGATGTGGACGCTGAGTACGAAGTGGATGGGGATGTAGTAATGGAGACCTAATCCCATACTACGAAGATTTTACGGCTGCCGACGATATCATCAGTCAGCATGCGAAGATCATAACGCATAAGGGATCAGGCGTTCTTGTTTTTGCTTTTCGTTTGCCCTCAACTTTTCTTTCTATGCCACCGGCTATCTGTGGAAACGGCCGCGGACTCTGGCTTTAGGGAATGCGCAGGTGCCAGCTGCCATCTTTCTTTCGCAAGGGCTATTTTCTTGCTTCGTTGCCAGCACGGCGTGGGTCCAGGAGCTTGGAGTTGGACGGGGCGTTTTGTTTTCGGTTCTAATTGGTTTCGAGGTCTACTAGTTATGAGCATGCAGTTGGCATGAAACGTAGTTTAGCATATCAATGCAAAGTCCCATAGTCAAGGCGAATGGGATCTGAACTTCTAAGTAATTGCGAGGTCGAGTCAGTGCAACCACTGGAACCAGTACTATATCGTAGAACTAGCATGTGGGGCCGGGCATTGTAATACAAGATTCAGATGTTCTTCGAACATGCAAGGTTCCTGGAAACCCGAGATATCAACACAGAGAATGGCAAGGCTGGTTCGACTTCCAAAATAGCGTAGAAACACTCATGGTATCCTGTGATTTGCACCGTGACTTGTTCTACTGGTGGGCTATTGAACAGGAAATGTGGACTTTGATCTCCATGCTTTGGAGGATTCATTAATATTATGTAAAGAAAAGAGTCTAAAATCAGTGCCCAGGTTGCTAGAAGGCATTCAGGTCTACTACTAGCAGCTGTAGAAGTCGTAGCAAGGGTGTATATTTAAAGTTGCCCTCCACATCGGAAGCGTACGCGCGGTGCGCCAAACAAAGAACATGAAGAAATTAGCAATCTCACCCAAATAATGGGACCACTGCGCTACGTGACAAATTGGGCAAGATAAGACATGAACTACCAAGTCCTGGCACCCAACTGATGCATCAGACTTGAATATTGGACATCAGATCCACTGGCTCATGTGAGGTGTCACACCCGGAAGATATTTCCACCCAACGCATGGGGGTGTTCGGCAGTCAGAAGGAGATCTTCAGCTACAAAAAATTGGAGAACTGGAGAAAGCTTAACGGTAAAGCCATGCTACTGATCCACAAGAGCAATGACCCTGTATTCTCTAGTAGAGTCGCAAAGATCCGAGAACTGTGAAGGGAGGCGATCGGCAGGATCGGCGGGATAAGCCCAGAGGGGCGCTGTCAGGGGATTCAACAACCGTGGATCGAGCCAATTTGGCAATTAAGCATAACCGCGTAGCGCTCGCAGGTGCCATGGTTCCTGACCGGGGCGGCTGGTAGATCATGCTATGTATCATCTCTAGGATCTGGGGAGATTGGATGAACACTGGCAGTTTTGACGGGGCACAGGCAAAAGCCACGCCCCATTTATTTTCCGGGCCACTTCATCGTGCGTCACGCCGCATGGTTGAGTTGTCCATGACCCCACGTAGGCATCTTTAGTCTCCTGATTTTCAGGGTTTGGGAGGATCGAGCTGCTTTTGTGCGTCTTATGTTACCCGGGAAATTTTTTTTTTTTTTTTTGAGTTATTTTTCTTGGGATTTTTGCTTTTTCTTTCCTGCACTCTCTGGATTACTCGTCACAACTGCGCAGCATGTTCACGACCCTACCGCCTGTCACAGCCCTCACAGCCCCTTTGTGGCTCAAAAGCTGTGGCTTCGACACGACGAGACCCCCCCAGTATCTGGAACCCGCTGTGGTTGCAGATACCACCCTGCTCTTAGGGGTCTTCGGGAGCAGGGAGGGCCGGAGGGTTCATGGACTGCAGCGCGCTGAGGCCGAAGCCCTGTTTTGTGTTTGTTTTTTTTCCCCTTCAACGCCCCACTGCTGACAGCACTGCCCAACATGAAGCGGGGCTGCTGTTCAATGGCGAGCTGAGCCTTTATCCATTGGCAAATAGCGTGCTGCGATCACAGATCGTCGAAGTTCGCACCCTTGCATGATCCCCCCGACCCTTGTGGAGATGTATCGAGTTCTGAGAGAAACTTCGATATCATATTCACAAGCACCACGTCCGAGCGCACAATCGGACATCCACGTCTTCTAAACGGTCGAGGGCAAACGGTTTGAGTCTCCAACCCCGCCCATCCGAGGCAGTCCGCCCTCCCGAGAATGATCCGTTTCGTCCATGAAAAACCTCACCCTTGGAAACATACCAATTAACCACCAAAAGAGACCTTTCATATTCCGCCGCCGCAGGACCGAGGTCTCTAGTAGTTTGAGTAATTCGATCTGCAACCAGCATCCACCCGCCCGAGTGGTCTTCTGGTGATTCGCAGGATGCAGAATTGCCCCCGACCGCGCAAAAGCACCAGGCGAGCAGGGACCGCAGCATCGGGCCTTTTAGTGCCTCTAGTGCGATGGAGAGATTCTGGACCTCAACTTCTCAAGCCAACCAGCATGCTGCACGACCCCGCCGGGGGATTGTGCCGTGCCCCATATAGAAGAGTGCAGGGAGAAAGTCCTGCATGACATACGGTGTGACCCGTCAAATCGTACTTCAATTCTCACAGCATGTTTTCTTTCCTCTCCTTATCAATCCCGCAACGGATTGCGCCCTCTGCGCTTTCTCCTCCTTTCCTTTTTTCTTCTCGAGTTCTGGGGCATCGACGACCGGTATGGTTCCTGGCGACCTTCCACTTCAGCCTAATACGCTCTATCGCGTCCAAGTGACAGCGCGCGACTCCCTGCTCAGATCTGCTAGCGGAAACATCGACGTTTCAGAGGATTAACGTGGTAGCGTTAGCTGAAGCTACTTGAGAGATCCCGACAAGAATTCGAGCGTTGAGCTGCCGGCCGCAATCATCGTGATTGACAAGATACCGCAAACGGCAGTATCACAGAACCGTTAACGCGTGGAATCGGAGCGACCAATCAGAACATCGTCAAGACTTGGGCCACTCGGAGAGGAACCAGGTAAGATTGCTTTTCCTTTGAAGTCGCGAGGAGAGAGAACTACTGCGAAGACTATGGCCCTTGGGGGGTTCTCCAAGTCGCCCTAGGGGGCTCTCCCGCCCGGAATCCAGGTGGCTGACGTAAGAGTCCAAGCGGGCACCTGGGCAGCGCCGCGTGATTTGAATGTCATGCGGTCTATCTGATAATGGGGAAATGAACGCTGGCTGACGCTCTACAGAGTGGGGAGATCGAGGCGCATTCGGCCGTGCACGCACTAAAACTCAAACCCCCCTCTCGCCGGGCCCCAGATCCCTTGAGGCTGCTCATGCGGCTTGTATCGTGCATATCCGGGAATCCACTCTGACTGGAATGCTTAAACGCCGGACCAGGGACCGAGTCCACTTTTTGGCTGTTTACACGAAATTCCGCTGGTCCACGTCACAAATCGCGGCAAGCACCTGCATAGCCGGCGCCATCCAACCGTTGAAATCTTGGGGATTCACAACAGACCCAATAACACGACCAAGACGGCCAACTACCGTTTCGGCAGCCGAACCTTCCTTCGGAGGGCGGGGGAAATTTCAGCCACTCTGGTGAAGAGACCCAGGCAACAGCCAGTCAGAAAGCAGCGCCACCCTCCTCCGTTGGACCGTTCAAGGTTGCGAAGGCGAAAAAAACTAGTTGACTTAGTGTCGGGCCACCACAGATCCCTCGGTCGAATGTGCGCATCATTGTGCCTGTCCGATCGTCGCGCAGCCCATTAGTCCTAAGCGCGGTCGAGCCCAGCTGAAAGCCTCCACTTGGTCAGGCCCGACTTAACCGTCTACGGCTTAACTCGGTCGTAACGGTCAAAGAAAAAAAAAAAGATCGGGCTCCAGTTTAACTCCACTCTTCAGCTACAGTATCACGTTGCGGTGGCCAAACAGGATAGAAAGGGTGTGTTCTTGACTTTTTGCCCCTCAGAATTTCTAACAGCCTCCGACTCCTCATTGGGCACTCGGGGGGGGTTCTCTTCGGGAAGCTCAGACATTCATTCCTCGAATTTTCTGTAGAAGGTTTTTGCCCCCTCCCCCCTTTCGCAGTGCGTTCAAGCCGCGAAAAGCAGGTCCCGTGGCCGTCCGAGCCTGTGATTTGCTATCCTGAGGATTTCTTCATCCAATCGAATTCTGTCTGGCCCTTCCGATCGGACCTGGACCTTGCACCCCCGGACTTGTCTAATCTTTTTTTTTCTTTTTCTATTTTTTTCTTCTTCTCCTGCACCTATCCTGTCGGTGGATCACTTGCATGAGACCGGGTGGGATCTGCTAAACCCGGTGGTCGAAAGTTACGACCCTTCTTAGCTATAGGGCTATCAGTTAGCCATCAGGGCGAAGACCCCATTTTAAGGTTTTATTCTGGAACGGGCAAACGGTCACTTTGAAGACCCAAAGAGGAAAAGAGAACAAGAAATTTATCTACCAGGGCCAAAAGGCGGACGGAATAGTCGAGGAAGGAGCCTCCTAGGGCTGAAGGAAAAGAGCGTTCACGAACCAAAGAAAGAACCCCTTTGATTCGCGTCGAAGGACAAGGGAGGGGAAAATAAAGGGCAGACAAGAAAGCCGCGGGCGACCTCGAACAGAGAGGGACCCAACGACCCAGAAGACCCCCAAAGCCCCAAAAAGACTCAAAAGACCCAGGAAACCCTGTCGTCACCACCGGCCGGTTTCGTCGAGGTGATTCCTACTTCTCCCCCCTCCACTTCACCTACCCAATCCTTCAATTCCTGACAATTCCGCCAAACTTCCTAAAGCATCCGCTGGGATCCATGGGAATCGTCGCTCCTACCGTGAATCCCGCACCGGTCAAATCCAACCCACGACCCCACCATCAGTACCACCGACAGCTCCAACACCGGCAACGACATCGTGACTCGTCCTGTCTTTGCAATTTTGCAATTTCTACCGGGCAGACCCATTCTTTTTCTCTTCTTCTCCCCTTCCCTCCCACTCCTTCTCAACCCTTGTCTTTGCCTGAATCCATCCTCGGATCCATAGCTACCTTCCCGTCTTCCCGGACGTGGTTCGCAAGTGCGTGTGTGCGCGCCACTATCAATTCCCTTCTGGGTCGGTCCCACCACTCTTGTCTTGATGAGTGCACCTACGTTCGACGCCTCTCTCTCCCGCGAAGCTCTGAGGTTCGTACTCTTTGGTTTCCTTTAAAGAAAAATCTCATCCCCACCCCCCCCCCCTTCCAGTTTGTGGTCGCAACTCTTACTCGGTCGTTCCAGGGTTTCCCACTGACTATGTTGACAACAACCAGTTCTGACTTTGACCTGACCATTCGCCAGCAGCCCGACCGGGCGCGCGTGGCCGGGGGCAAGGAGAAGGAGCGTAAACCTATCGACCCTCCTCCCATCGTACAGCTACGAGTGCGAGAGGAGGGGACATATCTCGCTCAGTAAGTCGATTCCCTGGTGATTCTGCCCCAGCGCCGTTTCCCTCCAGTTCCTTGGGGCTTTTCCCTTGGGTTTTAGCCTTCCCCCGCCTTCAAACTGGATCTGCGTTACGGGGGGGAGCTTTGTCCAACGCGGGTGCTGATCGTCCCGGCACTTGGCCGATAACAGACATTATTTGCAAAGTCCCTATTATTTTATGTGCTGCAGCTTGTATGAGGCCAATGAGGATCAGCAAGTTTCGGTGCCGCCGTCACAGGCGCTAGCCGGAACCCTGGTTTCGTCCTGCACCGCTTAAAAGATGTGGACAACACTGGTAAGTGCTGACCCACCCACACGCGGGGAACCCTCTTTAACCCTTTCCACCCCTTTCTTTCCATCTCATGCCTATTGCGAAGACCCTATCTAACGATGACTAGATGGCGGTTTCTTTGTGTTTGGGGACTTGTCCGTCAAGATTGACGGCGAGTTCCGCTTGAAGTTCACCTTGTTCGAAATGCGACGGTAAGTCGTGGTCGCGGCGATTGCTGCGAGGCAAAGGCTAACGCTGGAATCTAGGGATATGGTTGTCTATCTCAAAACCATCCTGTCAGAGCGCTTCACTGGTACGTTCTCTATTGAGAAAGATGATAGCGGATTGAAAGAAGGTGGCCAGGCTGACACCCTTCCCTGCAGTGTACCCTCCGAAGAGCTTTCCAGGCATGATGGAGTCTACTTTCCTGTCTCGATCATTTGCGGATCAAGGAGTGAAGTTGCGTATCCGCAAGGAGCCCCGCACAGGAATGGCAATGTATGTACAATGTTTCCACTGCAATGGCGGCGTGGCCTGCCAAATGCTTACTTGTACTCCTCTCAGGAAACGAGCGGCTCCACCGCCGGACTACTCTCATGGGCTCCCTCCGCGATCTCCAGATCGGCAGCCAGTCCAGATTCCTCCTGCGTCAGCAGGATTCAGATACCCTGCGAGTACTCAAGATTACGGGTACGCTGCCTATGGGGCACCTACTAAGCGCCATCGTACTTCCATCGATTATGGACGACAGAGCATGTATCCTGACCCGGAACGAATGGCTCGCCCCATGGATACCTATGGCCAGCCAATATACCAGCAGCATCCCAATGCTTATCAGACGCCTGCCATGCAGTACTCGACGGGTCAGGTCGTGCCAGACTACGGGGTTCGTTCTATCCCCCAAGAGACGCTATGGAGTCAGCAAAAGCCGTACTTGTATTCCTGACTAACAAATCCTGTGAGTAGATGTCCTATGGCCTCCCACCGTCAGCTTCCATCCCCCAAATGTCCGATCCCACTCGAAGCAGCCAGCAAGCTGCAGTGGGTCAGTTGATGGCAATGAACCAACCTGGCACACCTGTACGACACCCCTCAGCGAACCAGTGAGCTTTGACTTTTTTCTGGAGGACTGTGCTAAGTACTTCTTTTCTTTTTTTCCGCCCTCAGACCTCGGACTCGAAAGGCGCAATGATGGCTCAAGATTATTCTCGGGCTGGCTACCCGGCCAACTCCACCGTCCTCCCTCCGTTGCAGGCAGGCTATCCCCAGGGCACGAATGGCGGCTCGCGCAACTACTTTGAGCAACCCTCGCCCGCGGTGACCCCGGTTCTCCCTTCACAGATGGTTGGCGGCGATCGATTTGGCTCCGCGCCCACGGACTTTGACATTCGACCCCCCGGATCTGCTAATGGAACTCCACGATGATAGGGGCTTCCACTATTTCATTTCTCTACGGTTTTCGCTCGTTCGCTTTCTCTGGGATTGCGAGGATGATCGACCTCGATGGTTCTTCCTGGCTCTAAATTACTGCTTCCTACTTCTCTTTTTTCTCCTTTTTTTTGTTTTTTTTTTCCCCTTTTTTTCCTTGTCTGTCTGGATAGACTGGGGTGTTAGATATTACGTTTATGGGTCTATGTTCACACTATGGGTGGCTCTGGGTTCTTGTTCTAGGCGCTGGAAGGTAGAAAATCGGGGGGAGGGAGGCTATTTTGTGTGTTTTTGTGTCGTTGTTGTTTTCAAAAGTGGTTATCTTTATTTCATGTACATATGGATCCACTGACTGTCAACGCTGCTACTCTTTAATCTACGAGCTTCTGGCTTAACCGCTCCTTCCTATTTGGGTTGTTAGTACTACCCACGCTCGCCTTCACTACATTCACACCATCTTCTTTCGCCTCAGCTCTCTCTCTTTCTCTCTCGTCACCCAACCGCGTCAACATGAACACGCAAGAGAGCCCGTTTCGCGATCTCGATCTATTTTGTGACTGGACGGGAGAACTTGCGGATCCCGTGCTGGTGCGACTGTGCCTCGAGGTAAGGGCGGCGCATGGACTTCCTCAGCACGCGTTAAATGCCTTGAATGGATTGCTGATTTGGCAAAAACATTATGACCAGGCTGAATGCGGGCCTTTGTTCGAATCCGTCGTCCTCGACGCGCGATCTTCTCACTTCGTTGGCATCGACGACTTCAGTATCGAACCTAGCAAACCAACATTGGGGAGCGTTCTGATTGACGACACTTTGGTACCGCTCGATGATCACTCTCTTCATGAAAATGCGTCGATAGTCGATCCTTGCTCGTTCACGCCGGAAGCCACTCATCGGACTATCGACGGTATTCAGTCCCCGAAGCACAGCGTATCAGAATTCAATGATAATGGGTCAGAGAAACCGGCTGTCACCGACATAGTGCTCCGGCACCTGTTTGGAGATAGTGTCCCGTCAGAGAACATATCCGATCTCACATTACCTGATTCTCCTAACTCGCGCAAACGGTCTGCAAGAGCTGCATCTCTCCCAGACTCTGTAACGGACTCGGAAAGATACAGCAACAGCTTCAGTCGAGGTATCAGACAGCACAAGTCTGTGTATTCTGCCTCTGGTTGTCCCACGCCACCCCAGGCCAGGGTAACTCCAAGCCGGATTCCGCGTCCTGTCAGTGTTCATCTACCTACCAATGTCCTGCCCGATCTCATCAAAACCCCTTCGTCGGATAAGGAGAATGTCCAGCCACCTAAGCTATCTATGATTCTATCGAAGCGCCAGGCGACTTGGATGCGAGAAGCCGTCAAGAAAGATCCCTCTGATAGAATTGACATCGCTTCTGTCACCGCATCTCGTGGCAATTCATGGGAGGATGGAAATAGTCGATGCCCGTCAAGCAATTCCGGAGACAGGATTTTTTGTGAGCCACAATTGACGCCTCCATACCGCGAAATTCCCTCTGTGGCCCCGGTGGACAAACCCTTCCTCTATATGCACGACAGCGTTTTCCACATTCGATGCTCCGCTGGGGTCCCATCTGGCAAATATAAGGTCACCATCTCCTTCTATCTGAGACTAGCAAACGGATCAACTAGAGGTTGGCGCGAGCTCGTCGTTCCAGGTCTACCTCGTCTGCACAATGACGACTGTGGGTATCTCTATTTCTGGACACCTCCTTCCCAGGGCATGGAGTTCCGTACAAGCCAGCTGAAGAGATACACCGTCAGTGAAAGCTGTCTCATGGGTCAATTTGATATTACCCCCACCATTGCTATTCCTTTGCGACCTTGCGATGGGAAATTCTATGGCTGGCTGAAGGACTTCCAGGTCAAGCAGAGTATTCGGTCAGATATTATCATCATTGATCCTGAGACCGGAACGGATCTTGTCAAATACTACGCAATCTGCTCAATCAATCTGGTCCAGCGTGACTTCTGGGCAGAAGAGTGTGGCCTTACCCTTTTCATTGACGGGGGACCTGAAGGGGCATTTTCTGGTCACCTCGGCGAACCCTTGGACAAGTTCCAGTTGATCAATCTCGAAGCACCTAACCCTCGGGTTGGTGTCTCTGAGCTGCAACTTACATGCTGCCCTTCAAACCTGGGCATGTTTGTCGTCAGCTGGGAGATCAGAATGCCGCATAAGAGGTTCTCGAGTTGGGTACCTCGTATTAGCGGGACAAGAGATCCTGATGTCCTGCTGCAGGAGCTCCAGGATGACTTCGTTGACGCCGAGGAAAGAGAGTCGTTACAGATTGTACAGCTCATGCCCTCGATATCGCACTTTGGGCGCCGGGAGTCAGTCCAGATGAAGCAATCGCCAACGCTACTGCAAATGGCGTGGAATTTTCGGCACCTGCTTTTGCTATGTCCCTTTCTGACGGTCATTACTGCGGGTCTCTATCTTGCTTCCCAGAGTATTTCTTGCGCCTGCACATTCAGCCTTACCGGAAGCGGATTTGAAGCGACATTGCCAGCCATTGATCCGCCCGAGATAGTAGAGGAATACTCAGCGCCTGCGGTCGAAGGAGGAGTTGTGCTTGTTACTTCTGCTGTTTCTGCCCATTTGCCGCTTCGCGATCGGTTTGACTATCTTTTAGGGTGGAGGGGTCCTATTCATCAAGAATGAGTTCGTTGTTTTGATCCATGGTCACGCAAGGGGCAACCTCCGATGTACGAATAACTTTATCAATCGCCTGGTGTAGAGGGGGATACGCTATTTGTGCCGTGTGACCCGGCCCCAAGTGCAATTATTTCCTTAGCTAGTACCTCTATTTCTGTAAATGCCATTATTCCGAGCCTCCACTCTCTATAAAACTCAATATCTCCCCAACCGCCCACTTCAAAACAACCTCCATCCCACCCTTCCCCTTCCCAGGCGCAACCTTCACCCCAGCATCCTCTCTAACATCCAATCCCTCCCCGACCCTCGTCACCAGATCTCCCTCCCCACTCGTCACAAGCAACCACTTATGATCCTCCACATACCGCGGCCAAACAACATCGTCCACATATCCCGGCGGATCAACCCAGAAGTTCTGCGGCGGCCGATCATCCTCCGCCTCAAGATCCACCTGCCCCCTTTCCACTCCCTCCCCCCTCCTCACCCCTTTCCCTCTCCTCCTGCTGCGGCACCCCCGGCGCCGGCCCAATAGTCACATACCCACTTCTTCCCTCCCTTCGCGCCTTCACAGCCGAATACCCCGCGGGCAAAAACAGCGGGAGCTGAATCTGCGCCTGCACAGGCCGCAGGGGGCTGTCCGCCCCCGGCGCACAGTACAGCAAAAACCCTTCCAGAAACGCAATCGTCGGGATGGGCGTGCCTGAGACCCGCCAGAGCGCGCGAGACGTGCTCCCGGAGATCCGCGACCACGGCATCCGGGACGCCCGAGTCTGTCGCATCATTCTGGTCCTCTTTGCTCTGCAGGCGTGGCGGGAGGGTTCCGTGCTGCCGTACGTAGGCTAGGGCTTGCGCGAGGAAGGCTGTGTCGATTGCGGCGGCGGTGTCCCAGTCTTGGACTGTTTGGCCGGAGGGGGTTGTTGTGTATGGGATTCTGGGGTCATAGCTTAGAGATCTTGTTTATTTTTTTTTCTAGGGGAGAGTCGCTGGGTTCTTACTGGTCATCTGGGTAGTAGAAGTCGTCTTCGTGGATGATGAAGGTATGCAGGGTGGCGGAGCTGAGGGGCACGCCGGAGAAAATGCGCTGGAGGAGGCGGGCGAGGGTGGTCTTACCGCTGGAGGAGGGGCCTGAGATGCCGATTATTACGGCTTTCGAGGTATCGGGGGTGTTTTGCGAGGCCATTTTGGGTAAGCTTGAGCTTGGGGAAGCTTGGAAGCTTGAGACAGTTGTTGATGGGGCTCGGAGGAGGGGCTTATCGTGGCTTATCGGGGCTATCGATGATCTGGATCTGCGTTATCGTGCAGGTGCCGCTAACGGGACTTGGTCAAGTGCTGTTATTGGGTTTGGCAGTTGGATTATATCGTTTTCTTCATAGACCCGCCAGGTTTGGTTGTGGAGTGATCTTTTGAATATGCCCGAATGCCGGATGACCATAGACATCTTTCTCGTTCCCTCGCAACTGTTACAGGCCCGACTGATTGACAGTATTCAGCTCTTGCTCATGGGGTTTCCGTGTACAACCTTGGAAGTATGGATGCTTATTACTTATCTGCTATTATACCAGTCAATCTGCTGCTCTTTGTTTCTCAGGCTGAGATACTATGTAACCGGAGAATATTTCAAGAGGCCATATTCTTGCCTCCCGTTCTATCTTGCCCCTACATCGCATTCTATCGCCCGTGCTATTATCGTACATCATCGTCTCTCTGAACTTTTGGACTTCAGAAAAGATTCTTGGAGATAAAACTGAGACTAATGAAAGCTGAGCCCGAACAGTTTCATGGCCAGTGGTGGAGAGCATACTATGATGTTCAGTAACGGACTAATTGTTTTGACGACTGTTCTCGGTGTGTCGATCTGCGTGATCGTCGGTGTCATCGCATTCCGTTATATCACAGTTGACCTGGGCATCTTGACGGTGAAGAGCTCGCAGGTTGTTGCTTTAGGAGTTGGGAGCCCTCTAGCCGGTTCATCACTGGTGTACCGGTTAAGTAACAGAGTAGGATAGAGTTCCGAGCTCAGTATATCTTGATGTAGTTTGCTGCTGGGCTTTTTGCCACGGGCGTTCGAACTGTATGTACCAACGCTGCTGTGGATAGTGAAAAGGTCACAGCTCAACGAGAACCGGAGGAGCTGGTCGATGCTGACCTTCCGAAGAGTAGGTGGGGTATTTGCGTGGTCATTTGGAGCTCGCTTTATTTGTAACTAAACTTTCGATTCCTTCTCTCAACCCTGGGACATTTTTCTTCCATTTATCATCTTCACTTGAATGTGTATTCAGGGATCTTGAACTGTGAGGAGCTCCATGTCACACCGCCATCCTTTGATTTGAGGTCACCAGTAACACCTTGGCTTTTGACCAGCGTAGAGCCGTAGGCGGGATCTGCGTCGCTAAGAGTGATCTTTGTATCGATCCACTCTGGAGAATATCCATTAGCAGAGAAGCTAGGTAACCTGCGGTATAGACTTACGGTGTGAAGGAACAGTGCCGCAAGTGCCCTGGTCCTGGCATGTCACAAAGCTCCCCCAGCTTTTGGCTTCAGCCTCACCGGCTGTCCGATTTGAGACATCATTGCCGTTCAAGATGATATATTGAGTATATTTCTGACTAGATTCATCGTAGACATCTGCACTGGTAGTTAGTCATGCTTCCACGGTCTTCGGATCACCTGCTCCTTACAGTGCATTGTAACATGATCACCTGGCGAAGCAGCGGTATTTGGCACAGGGATTGGAGCCCGAGTGTTCGCTATCGGCAAAGAACTTCGGTTAGCGAATTCTAACTACAGACCCGGACTAATCAAATGTACCTGGGGTCTGTATGAGGGTGTAAGCAAGCACATCCCATGTACTATCCGAGTTCGTTGCTTCGAATCGAATTATGTCTTCACCGGCGGCGGTATCCATGCCGGCCGAGAGCAAGAGAGTCCCCGTGGACCCGCGTGGGCTATCTGGGAGAATCAGGGTGGAGATAGCCTCAAGGATGTAAATCCCCGAAGACACATGGCCGGTATTGAATGTAGGGCCGGTGGCATCGGCCTTGGCGTAACCGAGCACCGCGATCAGCGCATATACGCTCGTTGCAGAGATCTTGACATGCATATTGGCAAGTGTTCAGTACTCTAACCCTGCTGATAGGAGATGGGCAGATGAAGAAGCTGAAGGAGTCCCTTTTTGAGGTGCGAATTATGCAAGATTACAAAATTCTCATGCTCCAAGCAAGGGATCTTTCCCCTGATCTCGGTAAGCGCTCTGGTCACCCATGGAATACTCTCAACCCCACACAACGATTTGTGTAACAGATGTCTCACTCCAGCTCATGGGATAGAAGCGCAGGAGGCCTACCCCCGCGAAGCTTCTCTAGGGATGAAGCTCAGAAATACTTGTGTGGGTCAGGAATGTAGCTGGTATGCCCGCATCGGCCGATCTACGAGATCGACCGGTGCGGGAGCCGCCGTCGTTTCATAATTCAAGGGCCTATGGCGAACACGCCGTCGAACATAGAATCGAAATTGAAGCTTTGTCTGCCTGTCGCATATTTTCGAACGGACCCGATGAACGGATGTTCGAGAGGTGGTCGAGTCCAATTTGTTTGTCACTTTCCAGCCGCATCGACTAATGATGCTGTGTCACCTAGCTGTGTCACCTGCAAAAGTCCGACTAGGCACAGCCCTAGTAGTTATTTGGGGTAAGATTTCTTTCCATGCTAGTGTTTTTTCCCCTTCTGGTATAGACGGCTTGAATTGACCTCTACTGTCCGGGGACAATAGAAGAGGGACCGCGTTTGGACCCCCAACGGGACTGCTACTACCTCGACTGCTGATTCGGAACCTACGCTGTGCCACACAGATTCAAGGGAAGGGGTAACAAAAAAGTTACCAAAAAACATACAACAGTCAGGATTCCCATGTGGTCACCCACCATAGTACTAACTGACCGGCGTGTGGCTTAAGTACGGCTGAGCGGACGGGAAGCCCTGTTCTCCACACCCTATGGTCGTATGTGCTTGCTAGCAGATTGAAGGAGACCATATCCTCCGATGGTCTTGAATGGAATGTATACCGTTGCTTTAGCGTCGCGCGACTCGAGGTGAATAGGGTGAATGCGTAATAGACGGGTGAGAAGCTGGGTGAGAGCGGGTGATTCTCACCCTCCGTCGCGCGCCCCCGCACTGGCCCTCTCAGCTGGGCTTAGACGCAGCGTTATTGGCTTGCCACGATCTGGCTGAACCAGTGGTCTCTTGGCACTTGTAGATACCGTCGAATTTCCAATCAAGGATTGGATGTTACAAGGCCAAGTGTGCTTCCTATCCAGAAGGACGAGTAAAGGAAAACGGGTAGTAGCCCTTGCATCTGCTAGATACCCCATTATCGGTCGAACTTGTATGTGAGAATGACAAAGTTAACACGATCGTTCGATTGTGAAGGGTCGAGCACTAGACGAACGCATCTCCCATCCTCCTTGACAACCTCGGCTTTAATTCAACCCTTATTTCACATCCATTTTCGACCTCGACTTGCATTCTATGTACTGACTCGGAACTGCATGCATAAAAACAATTGACATGAAGTCCCACATCCACCTTGCCAACTTGTTACGCGCCTTCTGAGCCGTGTTTCAACAGGTGATCCCCTTCACTCGCCCATCAAGCTTCTAGATCGGACGATCCTCCACGTATATTTGAGCCCTATTCTGGTTGGCAACCTTGATGGCAATCACAGTTCCCTGGCCAGGGAGATTCCGATTTCCAGGCACATGATATGTTCTGATGACTGGATTGAGTCCCAGTTGTCGAAGAGATGAAGTCATTATCTCCATCTGATCAGGCAAAGCCACAGCTCCTTGGAACCAAGCACAAACGACGGCCGTGTCCGCTGAAGGAAAGTACCCTCTGTTTTGTTGATATAGAGCAGCCACGCGACTCATCATATAACGAGCGTTGTTATCACCGGCGAACGGGTCGGGCGATGGTTGCAAGGGTTGGGGAGGGATATGAGCAAGAATGGCACCATGTGCGGATGTTATGATAACGACAGAGCATGAGCCAAGGTCCCTGGTACCAATGGCCGCCATTTGTTGGAAAGAAAGAAACTGGACGTCGCCCATTGGGACCACAAGAACGGCACGAGACGCCTGCCATTGAGCGAGAATACCTGATCCAGACATTTTGGGGAATCGTATTGAAGATAGCAGTATATATGTTTGCTCAGAAGACTTAAAACGTTCTGTCTATCAAGAGTGATTGCCTGCTACTTATAGCCTCCAAAGAAACTGCTGTACAGAACGCTATAACAATGACTTTCACGTACTGGGCTGTTCTGTCAATCCTAACCAATGGACTGCACCTTTTTTCCAAAGCCAGCCGCCCATCCTAAAACTCATAGTAAGTTCAAGTCTCCAATTAGGAGCCTTACTAGCCCCACTCAGATGCGACTCAGGCGCTACCAGGGAGGAGTGGGACTAACAGAACCCGGGTAGGTGTCAAGAAAAGTGGAGCCCTTACTTTCGGGACCAATTGATTGGTCCGGTACTGGAATTCTGGATTATTTGGGGACTCAAGTTATTATTAGGAGTATTGCAACCTGTCCTTGGTCGCACGGATCATTCTGCCTTTTTTTTCTCAGTCAATCAATTCTTTTCACGAAGCCAGCTCCGTCTCTCATCTAATTCGCTGCCATGTATACTGGCCAATACTGTATCAGCTGGCTCCCACACTAGGCTTTTCCCTCCCTGGTGTGGTACTAACAGTAAGACAGCGTTTTTGCTGCAAAACACACCGCCTATTGTTCACAGCTTCTAATTGGTTAACACAGCTTAAGGGATTACACATGCGGCGTCTGCTGACTTCGAAATAACTTAAATACCTCTCCCTCGCCGCCGACTGCTAAGTACATTACCTCCCGCTTCATTGAAGGCCAAAGTAAGCGTGACATCAAGTTTCTCATCCAGCCCGCCATGGACGTCCTGGCCCCCCCCAGACTACTTCCCGGTCCAGCCGAGCGAATATCCTCAAATTCCAACTCGAACGCCGGCAGCGACTCTTGAGAAATTGCAAGCTTCTTGCGTCAGTGGTGATATCTGGAAATTTCGCGAGATTCTTGACTCGCAAAGTTCTTCATCGGAGGACTTTGATATATGCGACTTCTATGCGATAATGATCGAAGCTATCAGACTAGACGATGTACAGTTCATCAAAGAGCTTCTTGATCGCGGCTTGCCTATGGATCCACTCTATGCATTGGAAGCCGTCAAAGTGAAGGGAAAAAAGGCTCTAGAAGTTTTTCTTCAAAATGGATGGAATATCAATGAGCCTATAAGCGAGCTCAAACCTCCCGTACTAGGGTAAGACGCGTCCCAATATCTAATCCATGTCCTCAGAGATACCGTTATAACATTTCTTTAGCAATGCTATTTCAGATGAGGAGATGGCAGCTTGGCTCCTTGATCATGGAGCTGATCCCAATCGACAATGTGTTATTGATCTCACCCCACTTTCCCTTGCTGTCGAGAGCGCCCCAATATCAGTCATCCAGCTCATGCTCAGTCGTGGCGGAGATACCCGAAAAGGCCAGCTTCTTCATCACGCAATTGAACGGCATTCGGATAACATTGCGGTCTTAAGTCTTGTCGTCGAAAAGGGGGCAGCTATCAATTCAACTATGTACGAGGGCCATTATCCTTCTCGAGCACTATTCTCTTTTATGAATCTTGGAACGCCTCTGCACAAGGCTGTTGAACTCGGAAAGGTGGATGTGGTCCGCTACTTGGTCAGCAAAGGAGCGAACCCCAGTATTCAAGATGCAAAAGGTCGCACAGCTCTGGAGTATGCACGAATGTTAAATCAATCGGAGGTTATTCAGGCACTCGGGGACGGCAAGTAGTTTGTCATTCTCTTTTCCAGGATACGCTCCGTTGTATATCTGTCGGATGGTCTGCTCCACAAATTCAAGTTACCGTTTCCCCACATTCGAAATTGGAGTTATCTTAAGCGCGCTTTAATGTAGTCTCTTGCAAGTAGCACAATCATCTTTCTTTAAGGCCTCCAAAACAACAACCAACAAGAGCTTGACTATGCTGATATTGCAATCGAACCTCGGATAGCAAGTACATCTGCATTCGCGCCTTACTGCAACGCCCGTTTCTCAGCTACGCGCCGAGCCGGGTATGTCTGGCTGCAGAGGCCTTTATGGCAGGAGACTTAGGCACATATGCCCACCCAGGGGGTGGGTAATGAAACCTCCGGATGAAGACACAATCTTCCTCAGCTGTTCCACATATTCAGCTTTAACGCAGCTCACCTTTTCGACGTCCTCGTTTACTTTTCCTTTTCCTCTCAACTGACCCTTCATCTTCCGAGCTTGGCTGTTCCGGAGGAGTTTGAGGCCGGCGACGCTTTCCAGCTCCCGGGCGTAGTCTATTGATAGAGCCCTGTAGTAGCATCTGCCTTCGCTGTTCTTCTTCTCTGAAGACACAAAGATCTCCCTCCCAGTCCAGCTCCGTCTTTTCGGTACTGTTACCAATGCCCGCTTTCTCGCCAGGAAAGTCACAGTCATCCAGTGCAACCGCTGCTGGAAATGGCACAACCCCCGGTCGTGTGCACGACCCCCAAAATGCCGTCTCTGCGGCTCGTCTGAACACACGGAAGAAGGGCATACCAACAACTGCTCTACCCCAGGCCTTCATTGCTGCCCTCCAAGATGTTTCCACTGCCACGGACCCCATCCAGCGGACTTCCCTGAGTGCCTACTTCGCCCTAGAGCGGGTATCACTCGCACTAAGGCACGAGTAGAAATTCGAAAGACGAGCGTAATCAATCTAGCAAAGGCTCGAACAGACCAAGGCTGCTCCTCAGAGCGCCCTACGGACACACAAGAGCAAACTATGGCCATAGACACACCCCACACGCAAATCCAGGTCGTCTCCCCTTTTCGACCGACCACTCCTCCACCTCAGGAGCCACCAAAAGAACCCCCGGCCACAGCCGGCACAGTGCGGTTTGCAACCCCTAAACCACAAAACCGGTTCAACTCACTTCTCGAAGAACAACTATGATCTTTTGGAATTCCACCCGCAAAGAACTTCTCACGCTACTTCAGCTAAACGTCGGACGGGGCGCTGACTCACACGTAATCGCCCTCACACTGGCCTTCACCAACAACATCGACGTTGTACTTATACAGGAACCGTATATATTCTCTAACCTCAGCCGGCAAATCACAAAGAGACATCCATCATATGAATGTTTCTCCGGAAATGGACCTACAAAATAATCATTCAGAGAACATACGTGGGATTATCATATTTTCTATGCTCTCTTTTTGGAATAGTGGTATGTAAAATCATTGAAAGCATAGCTTATCACTTTCTAAAAAGAACTGTCCACATTACAGAGCAAAGAACAGGATAAGGAGGAAAAGGCAAGACAGAAAAAAAGGCTCGAAGTGAGTTATACAGTGTGAAGGAGCATCCGTGGGCTGATGTCCCGCGCATGAACCAAAAGAGCACTATATCCGCACTTCATGTGCGGATATGCCCAGGCACGCCTTATATAGTACAACAAAGTGTCAACAGAAGAAAATATGTGCAGGGAACCTAAATGAAAAAGCCCGTGAAAGCGAATGCGATAGTCAAAAGATATCCTGCCGATAATTTCGAGCCACTGTTGGAATAGAAGGATGTTCCAGAGGGCGTGACCGCCGGGGGAAACGGCTGTAGCAGGGTGCGTAGGGAGCGAGGTTTCGCAGTCACAAGGAACGACTGTTGTAATGGTTTTGAATTTAGAGCAGTGGCTCGTTGTCGCCAGAGAAGTAGCTGATGCTGCTGGGGCAGTGGATGATGTTGGAATTACCAGTACAACCGATGTCGTGCTGCCAGCAGGTACGGTGCTAAATCCAACCTTTGGGACTGTTACAGTGTGAGATGCCCATGTGACGGTCGTGCAAGGAGTTTCCATAAGGGGACTAGTCGGGGCAGTGGCCGGGGCAGTGATCGAGGCCCACGACGGGGGGGGCACTTGCTGCAGAGTTGGTGGGCCGAGGCTGAGGCTGAGAAATCTGACTTGAAGCCACGCTAGTAGTTGGAACAAGGCCAATAATATCGGGATTCTTTGGGATGTATGGTGCACAAATGCCTGCGAAGTAGGATAACGCGGAGTCCTTTTCCTTCTCAGATTCGCCCCAGGCGTGAATGCAAGCCTCCACCTTCTCTGTGAACTCAGAAGAGGGACAGAAGCAAGCAGCATCGCTGTTGGAGTGACATTTCGGGATTGTGAGCCACGTATTCATGCATTTCGGTAGCAAGTTAGGGCAAGAAACGGGGACAACAGGTGCACCAGGGGTACCAGGGCTTGTGGTGATTGCCGGTGGCCTGGAATTAATTACCGGTGGGATAGAACTGGTTGATACCGCCGGCAATGAAGAGGGACACACGGTGGTTGACGTAGTATAAGTGGATATAACAGTGGAATGTGCAGGACAATCGGTCACTGTTGGGGGGCAGTTGGTCACGGTAACCTCCATCGTTTTCCACACAGTGGAAGCTTCGGCGTGGAAGATGGTTTATTCCATGCTTTCGAAGTGATACTTGGTTCGATCCATGCACCCGAAGTGATATCTGGTTCAGTCCATGCATCCGAAGTGATACTTGGCTTGTTCTCAGGAACAACCGAAGGTACTTCTTGGGCGCTACTCGGGCTTGGAGAAGGTGGAGGTGGTAGATGACCAGGCGGCTTCGTTCCCTTGGAACAGTCAAAGTCCATCTGATGGATACTGAGATCACATTCCCCGAATTTGCTATCCTCAGGAAGAGTGAATTCAACCGAGACAGCACCGCCACATTGTTGATTGACAACATCGACCCCCTCGGGGGAGCTGGAAGCCAATTGATGACAGTAAGATCCATCTGCCATCTCATAGTTCAGCATCAAAAGAGTGTCACGGGATGTGGAAAGATGGAACTTCTGAACTGAAAACGGGGCTTGAGTTGCCTCCACTTTCACCGCATAGCTGTCGTCCTGAGAAAGCTTCGCCGCAATGCATTTCCCCTGGGTCCAAGATCAATAAATATCTTCCGCCACTAGAGTGATCTGAACATACCCCGGAAGCACCACACACATCTCTAGCAGAGAACCCGTCAAATTTGAAGCCTTCGAAGCTCCAGTTGTCACCATTGGCAAGTTGGGACCAGTCAAACCCAGATTGCTGAGGCCCCAGACAAGAGTTATCGGTATTTTCAGGACTTGGGTAGCATGTGTCGGTGCCCCACCACTTCAAGATTTTCAGTCAGCTTACTGGTCGTCATCTGTAGGCGGACCAATACTTACAAGACCCGAAGGATGAGCAAGGACACCGATGTTCAAAAGGGATAGTAAAGCGAATGTCCTCATCATGAAATCCTTTGCTTCAGTAATCGAATCGACTATGAATTGTGAAATCCAAGGCACAGTCAGAGAGTGCCACCTGCTGGTTAGTAAAGAAGGTGAAAGAAAGAAGAACGGAGATGGCGAAAATTGTCGACGATAGGCGCGTTGTAGAACGCAATGCGGCGTCAAAGATATCTTTTTATATTACCACATCTGGGAATTTGACAATGCTGTTGATGCGCTACTCCTTCCTCTATCCATGAAAAACAAAAACACTCCGAGATAAGCTCATAAGGCTCGTAACCAGGGAGACTGAGCATAGGGAATTAACGCCACTAGTACTAATGTCTTCGTGGAATTTTCCATCTAAAAGCCTTGGACGATATGACAAAAGAGGAAACAGGCTTGCCAGAAAATGATACATTCCATGTTCCTTGATGTGGAAAAGCTTTCCGCTAAATCAACCCAATCTTTCTTTAGACACATTCATTTCCACTTAAACCTCCGATCTGTGCAGGGGACCCCCTTGTTTCAGTCCAAATCGGGCATTTTCGCTTTCCCCAATCTTCAGATCGAGACCCGTGGATATGTAGCTCATATGTGGGCTGCTGATCACTATCAACTGAGACCCTGCATTCCCCGATTCCAATTATAGATATAGGAAGGACTGATTGATTTCTGGCTATAGGAGCCGACATCCAAGATTCTGGCCTAGAAGAGAGTTTAAAGTCGGAATGGCATTTTTGTTCGAATTCTTCGCTTCCTTGATTCAGAGGCTTCTTAGTGCTGACAAGTTATCATATCCTCAGTGCTAACCTCATTACTAGTAACTATTCAGCACTAAACCATGACGTAGCTACAAAAACTGGCTGTCTTTACAAAGTGTACTCAGAATATTGCACAATCAACTCTAGTCCAATCTTGCCGATCCATATACCTCGACTCGAGTGTTCAACATCGCACAGTGGAGTCTTATTTCAGGCTCACATCTGAACTCGCTTCATCGCCAGATCTCAACTTTGGCCTAACATAAGGCTGTGTATGGAGTAGTTGGCTATCCTCGGGGTCCGTGTGAGGCGCGTTAAGCAACTAAGAGCTGGCCCTGTTCTCTAATATGGGACCGGTTTGGGGTCAAGAAAATGCCGATGGATCAAAGATAGAGCTGCCACTAAGGAGACAACAGGGACACTCCCCGCCGCAATACCAGGCGGCATGTTCCTCGCTGATGCTCCAATAACGGTCGCAGGTTCCACCAATCTGCTCTAGTAACTCCATAGCCTAGATATGGTGCATTCCATCAATGCTGAAAGAATCACCTTGATTAGGGTAATGACGCTGTTTACCTAGCCTGCAGACGGCCATCAACGGATGTACCAAGCTCGCCTCTCGTGTGAAGATCTACCCTGCAAGTGTTTTGGGCACCTGGAATTGTTTCGCAGGTAGGTGCCGTTGCACAGCCAAGGGCCCTTGCATTACTTTTCATCAAACCTATCGTTCCCCCTTCCCTCTCTCCATCTTTCCTTCGCGTTCCTCAAACATCGTTCCGCGCCTCACGCATATCTCACCATCGATATTCAAAGCCAGTACGACATGGAACACTGGGTTTTCAGATAGCTGTGGGATCAAGTCGTTGATTGAGCACCTACAGAATCTTTTGAGCGCTATTATCACTCGAGAATACCCAAAGGTTAGTAAGCCATGTTGACCAATTTTCATTCTTCCGTGATACCTAGACCAGGATACTCTCACTTTTCTTTCTGAATAATTTGAATTTGAAATTACAAAGGCACTCAAAGAGGCTAAAAAAAACCCTACAGGCTCTGGAAAAAGAGAGGGATACCCCGTTTCAACAGCGAGGCCTTGTTCTAGACGTTATCACAGAGTTCCAGGCCATTACTGGCTATGCACTCACGGCGCAGTATGGAATGTCCGATATTCTGAAACAAGTCCGGACGACACGATTGGTGACCATTGTCTCAAATCGTACTACAAGCTTTTCCGATGATGTAGCGACACTGGGTCATCGTTACCAGTTTCACACCAGCTCATCAGGTTTGGACACCGAGAATTCTGGACCTTCATTCTCCCATGAAATCCCGTGGAATATAAAGGCATAATTGAAGAAGTTGAAGGGTCAGGCTACAAACACCGCGGTTAGGGAGAAGTTGGAGGATGTTGACGATTCCTCGTCAAACCGTGGGCCAAGGTTGTTAGTAGACCCGGCCAACGAATCTTCCGCCAAATCCAACAGCTCAAAGCTTGCCGATATTCAGGCAATCTTCCCTGAAAAGTTAGGCGGGGAGTCATCTCTTCGGTATCCCGAGGTTTACTCTCGCATTGTGATCAAGAGACCGCAAATTAGAGACTTCAGGGGGAGCAGTTCCACAAAGAGGTATAAATATATCGAGTTCCTGCACAAACTTGGCCACCGGCGGGATTTGTCGCTGCACACCGAACGATCACATGAATCTATCACGACGAGACAGCAAAAAAGATCACTACCAAGCTGCAGCTACAGGGGATAACCATCCCAACAGAAGGATTGGTTTTGAGCGAACAGGACAACCAGGCCGTAGAGCACAGTTCGACAGGATTACAACAAGAATATTCGATCTCAGCCTAGCGGACGACAAAGACAAACCTTCCATCGTACGACTTATAGATCACCCAGACTTTTCTCCAAAGGCCCCAGCGGTCAATCCAGCAGTTAATCCTTCTATAACACTCGAACCCCAGATGACTCAACGCCAATCCCAAGAATCCCAAGATCTTGCTATAGAGCTACTCAGGGAAACGAACCCAGCGCCAAGGGGCCTAATCGGTGAACTCCAAACTACATATACAGCTGTCTCGACAATAGACTATCAGGCAAAATTCCCGACTCTTGCAAGAAATCTCGATCTCGCAGCAGATATCCAAAAGAACATACAAGCTGTTAACAAACGTTACGAGAACGCCCTGACAACACGGAAAAAAATAGAGAATAAACACAGGACAGCACAACTTAGACCGACAGTGAGAACCGTCCTGGCGACTCTCACCAGGCCAATCCGAAACAATCTCGCCATGCTCGCAAATATTAAAGCCCGGTATAGCAGTCCGATGGAAGTTGAAGCAACGCTCTCTACTAGCCAGATCATTTTGACAGCAAAGCCGACGAGGAAGGCCCGGCCCCAACTGCAACCTCAGCCCCAACCGACCTGCACCCCCAACCATGCCCTCACGCGTCATAGATTATGTGTGCCACCCCAGCGAGCAAGCCGACCTCTTCAGGCCCACAAGGACGAATAGGGTCACAAAGGCCCGGAAGAGACGAAATTAATACCCACTAAGCGGACCTCCTCGAGGCAGCAAGTGAAACTCGTGACTGTCTATCGTGGACTGTACTCCCCTTTCATATAATGGCGACTTCCTCGAGTCCATGAGAAGTATGGCCCCTATTGACAGCAAGCGGGCTTGACTGTTAATTGAGTAGATATTGTGACGGCTGGGGGACAGACTACTTTCTGCCGGCAGAAAATGCCCGTTATAGGTCAGCCACAGTCAGGCCTGAAAGGCGGAAGGACCCTGGATACTGTGATGGTGTGGCGGCAAGGGCGGGAAAGCACTTTTTCTGCCGGCAATTTCTCCGTCTACGGAGCAGCCAGATTCAGGTTCGAAGGGCGGTGGAGCCGTCATCATCTGGTCATTATTATCCCCAAGAAGGGGGCTACCCTTAGCTTTTAGAAATACACACCTTCTTAGGAGTTTGAAGTCTCGGTCTCATTTTGTGATTTCACGGTCCTTGTTTATACAGCTTGGGCCGGTATATGCTACACCGTCTACGGGCAGCCAGGGTCAGGTTCGGAGGGTAATGGGGCCGTCATCATTCCCTCATTCCTATCTCAAAAGGGACCCGAAACTTAGCTTCAGTAATACAACACAGTCATAGTGTAGTTTTCCCAGTATATGGCTCTAGTTCATATGGGCTGGGAGCGTATATGCTACAATATTTTCTTCATATGATCCCGGGATCCCCCCCCCCCCCCGGAGACTAGCTTTATCCAATATCACTCTTTTCATAAGAATTCGCACTAGGACCGTTACCATTTAGTACGGCCCCAGTTTGATCAGGTCGGAGTCGCCTACGCTACAATATGTCGCTGTTTACCAGACCCCAGGAAAATCACATTCAAGCCAAGGAAAATATAATGGTTACAAAAGTCGAAAATTTGGAACAGCCGCCCCCCGAAAAGAATGGATGAACGATCTTACTCAGACTTTCGCTTTCTTGGAATCACTCAACCCTACAGAAAATCTTACTTACCCGCGACGACTAGCTAAAGCTATCGGCTGCGGCTGAATTGAATTTACGAGGCTTGTATAGCTCCATATGGCAGAATACTTCAAAAGTCATGCGCCGGATCATGGTTAATGTGGAAGTCGTGGTTTCTCAAGCACTTGAACAAAGCAGTTTGCGTTCCACTGAACCTGCATTGGCGCTACACGGTAGGTAAAGAGCTGGCACTCGAGCTATTTCGAAGGTAGTTTCACCCGACTTAAAGTGCGTGTCAAGGTAGTGGACTTATAATATGCAGGGTAAAACCCGCCATCCTCCCAGTCGATGATTCCGGTTATTGCATACTGGCCGATGTTTGTAGCTTGCTCGACCATAGTATTAGCAGTCCTCACATCGCCATGGGTGAAGATAGGCCCAAGCAGTGAGGAATCATCATTTCTTAGCAATGAGCAGAGAAACTCCACATTTGTTTTGCAGCCACGATGACGGGCCGAAAATTGTAAATCGCTATACTCCTGAGGAGTTCTGGCACCTTTGAAGAGAGTGATTTCATTGATACGAGGCTCCTTAGCTCCCTCGCCAGATACGCCACCAATAATTTTGCTGATCTGCGGAAGAGATCGTAGCCGAACAAATATATGTTCTAGCTGCTGTTGGATCGATACCTTCCTCTCATGAGAGAGAGTGGGCCATGCTTCGGCTAGCGTTATCCCTGGAATATAAGACATGGAAATGACGCTGAATGGACCTAGAAGGACCAAGCCATGAGCACTTGGGGGCAGGAATATCAGGTGCTTGTTCAGAAAGAAATTGCATGGTTATATGCTCCGTGGTATCTCGAGTTCACATATTCCCATAATAAGTTCGGCGACAACAGATTTACTGCATTGGACTACCATGCCTCGAACAGGATTCTCCCATATCTCCGGTGAGTCCAGAGAAGCTGCTTAAGAGAAGTGGCAAGTGCCTTCTCTTCGTCCTTGGGAGATTCTTTTGAGTACTTTGCGACCAATGAGCCACCATACCAGATAATGGGAAGACGATTTGAGCAGTCTGAGCGATTTCGAGACGGGTACGGAATCTCGGGCCTTGATTTGGGACATCTTGCACAATTTAAGGGTAAGACTTTCGGCCCCGTCACCATGCCGATCCTGCGATTGTAATTTTTCGGAAAGGCAGATAGCAGATTTATCTCCACCTTATCACGGAGTATGTCGTGGAGTGCATGCAGAGTCCGGAGATTGATTTTGGCGGCATAAGAGAGCTGACGAGATTGCGAAAGTGATGTTCGTGACGATATGGCTCAGGAACATGGGCATAAGGTTGGCTTTAGGGTTCTTTGCCAGCGCAGCCTGGAATTCCTACATAAGGGTTCGGTTCCACTGCGCAGCGTCAACATGGGAGAGAGATTGTGGGATCGAGCTACAGCTTAGCATGGTGATCCAGATCAGCGACTTAGTATATTGCATAAACACGGAGGGAACGGAAAGCGAGTCAGACAGCAAAACGGATAAACTACCCGAAAGAGGAATTTTCAGCGGGACACACAACGGGTGAGCAAAAACACATACAACAGTCAGGATTCGCATGTGGTCACCCACCATACTACTAACTGACCGGCGTGTGGCTTAAGTACGGCTGAGCGGACGGGAAGCCCTGTTTTCCACACCCTGTGGTCGTATGTGATAGGAATTGTAATTAGCGAAGTTCTGTCTTATTGAAAAGTATATGCTACGCAGTTGCCTCCAGGTGCCAACAGGTGCCAACAGGAACAGATATGCTTTCTGTTCAGTACTACAGCCAATTGCACTGGAAGGTTTTGATTAGGATCTGATATGCCTTCAAGCTTGATTGTATGGCATATAGGAAATGCGACCACTCAATGGCAGAAATTGTCGCATCAGATATACAGGCCAGTTAGTCGAGAGAATCCATGGAGTTCTAATGTCGTCCCCGTTGGGATATAGCGGAAGGAAAACATACCAAAAGAATGAAACCCCGAGACTCCATAGGACCCGTGGACTGGTTAGTTCTAACAGCTTATCAATCAGCAGGGCAGATCTATCCGTGGGCTGGAAGACGTGGCATGATATCGAGCAGGCCAAATCCCGACCTCCGAATCATACTCGTCTTGCGAATCTTCTCCAAATAGTTTTGGATTATGCTCCCCAGATAAAAGGTTTCACGTCGGGATTTGCGTAACGGGCGGGGTGACCGGGATTTGTTCGTGGCGTGACCGTGAATAAACTCCCATAATAGAACATGCAGGTCCTCGGGATTCCCCAGACTCCACTTGCCTTCTTATGATGAATTTTGGCACAGCAGATGCCGACCCTGCTTCAAGATACAGGGCATCCAATGACTAGAGTTCTGCAGATAAGCAGCTGGAACTCATTCACCGAATCCAGATCCCGGATCGGCTGACGCGGAACTTGGAGTTACAGTATGGAGGGAAAACATGAAGACCGCAGGACTTCAGGGGATATCACAGCTGTCTGGTAAGGTATAAATAGAGCCAGCAGGAGCTTGTTTGTTCAGAAACCCATCATTCAATCGATACTCATCACCTCTCTGGCTTTTGATAACTAGTATTGAACTTTCATTTTCGTCATGGCACCTATTCTCAAGAAGTATAAGGCGGCAACAGTCAATGCCGAGCCAGGCTGGTTCGACTTGGAGGAATCAGTTCGTCGCACCATCCACTGGATCGACGAAGCTGGAAAGGCCGGCTGCAAGCTGGTTGCGTTCCCAGAACTGTGTAAGTTAAGCCCCTGGAAATCCTAGGAGAAGAGCTGACGAGAGCCTTCAGGGATTCCGGGCTATCCGTACTGGGCTTGGAAGGTAAACTATCAGGAGAGCCTTCCTCTCCTGAAGAAGTACCGTGAGAACAGCCTTCCTTCACACTCGGAGGAAATGCGGCGCATTCGTGAAGCCGCACGCGCCAACAAGATCTATGTATCTCTTGGCTACTCCGAGGTTGATCTCGCCAGCTTGTACACCACTCAGGTGATGATCAACCCGGCCGGAGAAGTCATCAACCACCGCCGCAAGATTCGCGCTACCCATGTCGAGCGGCTTGTGTTTGGCGATGGCACCGGTGATACCACAGAGTCGGTGATGGACACTGAGATCGGCCGCATCGGACACTTGAACTGCTGGGAGAACATGAACCCCTTCATGAAGGCCTACGCCGCCTCTCTTGGCGAACAAGTCCATATCGCGGCCTGGCCATTGTACCCGGGAAAGGAGACGCTCAAGTACCCCGACCCATACACCAACATTGCCGAAGCCAACTCGGATGTAAGAATCCCTTGTAGACTGTGCGATACGAAGTGTTGATCTGATGACTGACATAAGACCGCCCAGCTCGTCACACCTGCGTACGCAATCGAGACTGGCGCTTTCACCCTCGCTCCCTGGCAGACTATCACTGCTGAAGGCATCAAGGTGAACACTCCGCCCGGGAAGGAACTTGAGGATCCCAACATCTACAACGGAAACGGGCGCATCTTTGGCCCTGATGGACAGAACCTCGTTCCTCACCCATCAAAGGACTTCCAAGGTCTTCTTTACGTTGACGTAAGTTCATTATTCCGAAAATCAATTGCTGGTGCTTGCCATATTGACATTGAGCCCTAGATCGATCTCGACGAAATTCACTTGACCAAGTCTCTGGCCGATTTTGTAAGTTCTATAGTGTATCTTAAAATATTTTGGTCAAATCTAACAAGTACTGGTAAAGGGTGGCCACTACATGCGACCAGACTTGATTCGCCTTCTTGTCGACACAAAGCGCAAGAACTTGGTGGTGGAGGAAGACCGAGAGAATGGTGGTGTAGTCTATACCCAGACAATTGATCGTGTGGGACTGTCTACTCCACTGGACGCGGCCAGCAATGAGCCAGGCAGTGCATGAACGAAGGACGTTACATGGAAACATATTCAGCTTGAGAGGGGTTATCCAGATTACCAGGCTCTGTGAATATTTTCAGCAATTTCTGATGCAATGACCGAATATCACTACTCTTTGAACATATTGACTCAGCTGAAACAAAGCAGGCCTGCTTAGTGGGAGATTACCCATTCCGGAGGATCTATGAGCAGTTTCTCGAGTCCTAAGCGTAGTCGGGCCTCCGACGCTGACGACATATCGATACTAGCTATCATAATTCTACCCTGACATTGGCCATATCGGTAAGACTGCTTGGAGTTCATCTTGGGCTTAAGATTAGATTGCTTTTCCAGCTATAAAGACATCTGCTCCTTCACAATAGATATGTCTAGACCAAAAACTAAAGGTCCAAAGCTCCTAATAAGTTGCTTCCGCTTCTAAAGAATTCCATTAAGATTTGAATTGGCTAGTTGTGACAATGGCTTCTCCATCTTCTATCAGGCCATTTGCTCCCTCCGAGATTCCTATGTAAGAGGACCTCAAATGTATGAGACGTATCCCAGCCAAGCCACTGACAGTAACTGTGATCCTGGGTGTTTATATGGAAGCTTGATTTGGAACGATGAAAAAAAGTCCTCCAGCCATCTTCTGCTGTCTTTATGAAGACAACGATTAGAACTTGTTCTACCAAAGGGTCCTAGGTGTGAGAAACCCGCTTTGGAGAAGTCGAATTTGAAACGGTTTCGCACTTGCAGAGTCTTGGAGATCTCATCGAACCAAACAGTTGTTGTAATTCGGGTCTCTACTGAGGGGTGATTGCCAAAGGTACATTCATGGGCATATTGGATAAATGGTTCATCACAACCAATGTCAAGCTCAGCTTGTCTGAATCCTTGGCATTGGTGTTGATTTTGTTGCACAGCTCGACTGGTAAAAGCTGGATTTCGACATAGATATGAATACAGTTGATGTCTGTAAAATGATAACGTTGTACAGGGGCAAATGTCGACTTGTCCTGCGAAAGGAGGGCGATGCCAGATTTGATAACCTGAACGACAATCTTCATCTATGTGATTTGACTTGAGCGATGACTGAATCTTGCGCCACACAGAGTACCAATGGGGAATGGAACACTGGGTGCAGTACATCCAGCGTTTATTTTGAAGTCGAAGACATAGGTCTATTCTCTGAATAGCTGATTGGAGTCTCGGTGGGGAAATCAAGTGTTTCTGTCGTTCATATATGGCATGAATACCTTTACAGCTGAGTGCAAAGCAAATTTGATCCGAGCAAACAAGGAGTCGGAATATAGCTTCGACAATTTCCATTGGGACTTTCCGAAATTGGTTGGTCTTCAGTCCGGCAAAGCGAGAGTTGGCTCCCAAATGAGCACGGAAATTCAAAGATTCAGGCATCATAATAGATGCTACTGTCCTGTAAAATAAAAAGCGTGCATATCCTGGGGAATACTGTTAACTTAGCCCGAAATGCACAAAGAAATTATCTCCCGACACGCGCTCGCGTCATAGACTCCACTATCCGCAACCATTTTGGGATCGACAAGATAAATAATTCCTTTTACGTCCGCAGTTTCACACGTGCAGCGGGGCATTAAGATTGTGTAGAATAGATACAACAAGCGATATCCAAGGGCACGAGAACAAATCTTAACGTGTACAAAAGCGGCCTTTCGGCCCAGCTTCATATGCTCTACTACATCAGACTAACTCGAGTCTTATACTGATTAACTTGCCGAACTGATCCGTTTCTGAGATGGGTCAACTAATTTCAGTACTTCGCAACAAGAGGCACAATATACACATGTACATACCTTCAAGTACGGCGATTGAGTGATCTTGCGCTATGAAGATATCACCTCGTTGGGTGGTTCCACGTGGCTACCAGTGTTCATTTCGGTAGAGCTGGAGCTTACCTGTCGCAAATCACTCAAGAATTCTCGTAAATTAGCAATAGCATGAGGCGCTCCCACAGCAAACTTTACTAAATTTTTCGACCGCACGTTTTCAGGAAGCATACTTTTTACTATCACTTTCCGATCCGTCAGCTTCCAGTCATCTTGCGTATTACTGTAGAACAACAGAGGCCTCAGACGTCCCAATTTGAGGGTCACCCAAGACTGCTGGACAATTGAAGTCACAATACGCACCAGTCGCAACCAATGCACTTGTGGTTTGGACAATATATGGACCAAGTGCTGTGGTATCTGAATGCGAAAAGATGCGAGCAACTTATCCATCGCATTCAACTAGTGGGTAATATCAAGGTATGTTAGATACTGAAGGGGTATTGTTTTGGTGATGCTTCTTACAGAGTAGGCCAACCACGAATGGGATGAAGAAATGGGCATGTCACGGATTCCAGCTAGAGGGTGTACTATATAAGGCGTGCCTGGGTGTATCCGCGCATGAAGCGCGGATATGGTAGTCTTTTGGCTTAGTTGATCGAATATTAGCCCAGGGATGTTCCTTCACAGGGCACTACTTTTGACCAGCGAGATAAAATGCAAAATGGAAAGAATGAGAACCACTCCGGTAAAAATTGCTGCTGCTGGAATAGACGGTGTATAGCGGTAAAGCAGGTATTCATATCCGCCGCCAGTAGTAGACATGGCGGGGAAACGAGGAATGTGTCGTGGGAGTGAAGATGGGGGGAAATTAATTTATGGAATCATTTCAAGAACTGATTACATTATATAGTAAATTGCTCCTTGAAGGCGAACCGTGACGGAGTTTGGCCGTGGTCGGTCTCAGGCCATGAATTGCTCGGATTCTAGGATTTACTAGATTCTCGTATGGACTAAATACGAGAATCCGAGAATGCGAACATGCGAGGTCTAGAAGCCCCATACATTAATGAAGAGATTGTAGAGACGCATTCGGTTAAACACAAGAATAGAATTACTTTACCCGTTTGGATGACCCTTAAGAAATAATGTTATCCATTTCCTCCTCAATACGCGGACGTGGGAAAGCCCACAAAAATCGAAATAGACGATCCAAGAATCAAGGACTTGCTTGGCCTGGCGGGGAAGTTCTTTTGTGAGAGCTTCGAATAGTTGACTTTTTGTAGCGGGTTCGGGTTAAGCTACTTAGATGCCTGACGATTGGCGACTTGGCTTATGTTATTGCTAAATCAAATGCTTTGATTTAGAAGTTGGAGTCTAAGCGACCCTGGTTACGTTTAGTCACTATAATCTCAGTAGTTACAGTATGAACACAATGAAGGAGCTTCGACGGATGCGTCTTTTCATATGGCGCAATTCGATCTAAAGGATCCATGCATACTTTGATTAGATTAAAAGGCAGACACCGTGGGATAGTCTGTTGAACTACGGATTGCTGGACTGACTTAATACCTGCGAAATGCTTTATCTGGTCACGAATATCGTTAGTACCGAGAACGGCTTCTCTTTATGGGATATACTTGGAATACCCGTGAGTAAGATTACTTCATGAGATGCAGATCCATCTGACGTACACTGTACTTCATACCCCATTTATTGAATCCTCACTAAGCCATGGATCTTCAATAAGTTGCTTGGCGGTTTTCCTGTCATCTGGAAGCCATCGAAGCATCTTTTTGGCAAAGTTGAGGAACTCCTCTTTCTGCTCCCCTTGGACTGCTTCAACTGTATCTTCAATTCTGAGCCCGTGGGGTATCAAATCCTTGTGCAAAAATTCACCTGATCAAATAAGAGATTAGTCTAATGAAAAAGAGTACTGTGTATGTGTAGATTTCACCATTCTCGTCAAAAAACGGGCCCCCAAACCACTCTGATGCGGTGGTACAAAACTTTCCCGATGCGTTCTGGGCAGCCGGGGCCCATTTCCACTTTAGGCCTTCTCTTTCACGAATTATGAGTTCTTTTGGAGGTGGTCCAAGCAATGCAATCATTTCTGCGAGATGTGCTGCAGGATTATAGTTCCCTTGACTGTCGTGAGTCATGGAGAATAAATCCCGCCGTTCAAGTAGGTTCCACATCTAACAAAAGATAAGCACGCTTGCAAACATTGCTTTAAGATAGTTAGGCTTACCAGGACGCCTAAATTCCAGATATCAGCACTGTAAGTCCACCTGCGCCAACTATGACCTCGGGAGCCCTGTAGTCATCTGGCTGGATCGGATGCCTGTTCAAGACCGAGATATCTTCCTGCAGGTGTGCTAAGCCAAAATCTGTGATTTTTGGGAGGATGTAATACGATCTTAGGCTTCCAAAATCGTTTTTAGAAAGGTAAACACGATGCCCATCTCGGGTCTTTCGGGGCATTGGATTAGATGACTGGGCACGCGCAAAGTCTCGTAGAACAGAAGAATCCTCAAACCCGACCAGGATATTATCTACCTTGAGATCTGCAAAGATGATGAATATGAATATCACAAGACACGATCTTGCAGGCTCAACTTGCCTGTATGTATGATTTTGCATTCGCTGTGTAAGTAGTCCAAGCCTTTTAAAAGAAGCTTCAGATACCCTTTCAAAAGACCCAAGGGAAGCCTCTGGTTCCAACAGCGCCCTTGGAACAGCCACAATGGTTCTCGCATTGGCTCATACCCTAAGCATATATGCGTGCCATTCGGGCCCTTTTCTTCGAAATGTTCAACAAAGGTCCGGAGGTAATTACGGCCGTCGTGGTTGTGGCTTCCTTGCGCAATGAGACTTTCAATGCGAGCCTCATGTGAAGCTGCATTGGTGTCCTGGTAATCGCAATTACCAATCTTCAGTGTCAAGAAGCGTTCGGATTGGCAGCGCCATCTGTTGAGTTGTTCGTCTATTAGCGCAAGCCCATGGTAAGGAACCCCTTATGGCGTACCGTTGAACATCCCGGACAAGCCACACGGTGGAGCAACTGCCCCAGCCAAGCTTGGCTAGCGCTTCAAACCTTCCATTGAAAAGGTAGCCTGGTTCAACAGGAAAATAGGTTTTCGCATCATATTCAGGGGTTTTTCTTCTTCAATTGGGAAACCAAGAGGCAGTTCAGCGCCAGAGCCGTGGAAAACGGTGAGAGGCTTTCGAAAGAACGAAAGTCTCAGACTAGATCGTAGTAGTAACCGCATGAGTAAAATCTGGCTGCCTACTTATGTAAATGAGTGTGGGCGGCGACGGAAGGGATGCGGAAACGGGCCTTCGGCGGCAGATCTTCGCAGAAAGTGACAGCGGTCGATCTGGAACGGTCTGTGCGATGTACGGAGGCCCCACCCTGGTCAATGAGTGCTAGCTAGCTAGTCCTTCTCCCCTTGAAGGAAGCATTTTACATGCAAGGCCATTTTTGCAATGCCTTCTCCACAAGATTCAAACTCCTTGTTGCCATTCATTCTCCTGCTTCTATATCTGTTTTCACAGCCTGCCTTCTATATAGCTGTCGTCAACTTCTGCCAATAACACCCTGCAACTGTTCGCGAGAAACAAATACTGCTTGATGATTTTACACGAAGAAAAGATTTTTATCATTACGTTCCTCCACGCCCTTCATGTGAAGACGAGGAGGCCGGTACTGTGGCCGAAGCTTTTCCTGATCAACAGAACGAGGAAATATTTGGAAAGAGTCACTTGAGCTAGCATTAAAGTAGAACAAGCACTACACCTATTGCAGATCGCTTAAATGCACGAATATATCTCTCAATGGATAAGCAAAAAGTTCCTAACAGAGACAATAGAAGGTGACCGGTCTTACAGGGTTCTCACAGAACAGCCAAACTGATTGGGTGCTCTCGCAGATTTAGTCCGTGCTGTACGTCCTTGATTGTCTGATCACATGGGGCCAAAAAAGCGATCACGGACCTGCAAGCAAGCCACATATAAATCGCTCATTCCCCCGAGGAGACACATTTACGCTGCCCCGCATCCGTTCGTTGTCGAGGCATCGACTGGACTTCTCAAAACTGGAAAGAAAGCTCTGCATATATCTACCGGTGTGATCACGCTGGCAGTAACTTTCCCCTGATTCGTGGGTACTCTTCGTATTCCTGTGTCAGTCGGGATGCACGCGCATATAATCAACTTGAGCTCTCAGCGACCCACGTCCTGTTCCAAGCGGATCGTGTGACGCTAAAGGGGCCCATCTTCTCCTTTAGCCAAACCAAGGGCACCTACTTGAGTGCTCCTGTTACGGCAATCTAGACCCCGGTATAGTAGTCCCTTGTCCTGGTCATAATGAAGTAATTTGGAGTCTACCCCGGGATATTAGAAGACTGAAATGCCGAAACTCGATACCTTCAAGGAGCGTATCCAGCACTTCGAAGCCCAACCCGACAAAATTGAGTATTCGCTTTGCCGGCATATTCAGTCAGGATCAAAGATGTCCATACACCAGCCTGAACTACAAGGTTTTCAGCATCATGACAAATCTTTAGATGATATACCGTTACATATTCCCAGATATTTATACATTAACGATCAGCAATTTTGGGAGATATTCCAAAATGAGTCCACTCGATGGGAAAAACTCTGTTGCGCTTCAATACATCAATACCGTGGCCAAGAGAACACGTACAACCGGATGTATCATGCCATTTATCCTGAGTATCGAGACCGCCTTCAAGCACTCGAATGTCAATATGGATATACCTGCCTGCCTCTGACATGGGGTGCGGTTCAAGGCAACACTCAAAAGCGGTCGTTCCTACCTAGAAAGTATGTACATCAGGGCGCATGCAGACTCAGTCATTTGCCGCCAACCTCCAGCTTGCCAAATACAACATTCACTCACACGATCTCCTGCTGCCTAGCAGCCACGAAACAGACGAAGACCAACTCCAACTCCTTTCTTATAATCCTACCCCATACTTCCTCTTCTTCATCAACGCAACCCATTTCAAGGAGGAATTCTTCAACTTAGAAAGCCGAAAACGATTTCGCTTTTTCAATCAGAACACTTTGCTCATTATGGCACCACGGCTAGAGCACGCAGCCGCTGCAGCCAGCATCGGTATGGAAATCACTGGATGGATTATGGGGATGAATCTTCAATCTCAGGTTATCCCTTCGATCGGACATGGTGTTTCGGCTAGAGATGTTCCGAACGAGGAAAAAGTCCCCGACGGCGCATTCGGACCAGTGAGAACTCCCTCTGGTTTCCCAAAACGAAGACCTTCCATTACGATCGAAGTCGGCCTATCCCAAACCCTCCCACGTCTTGAGGATACTGCCAAATGGTGGCTTAATCCGACGAAAAGGGGACGCAGCAGCTTGCATAACCTGCAAAATCGATCGAACTAAGAAATTAGTGCTTGATGTTTGGGAGCGCTATCCACGGGATAGGCGAGAAGGTGAGATGGATTTGGAGGTGCGAGAGCGTGACCTGAGCGTGACAGGGCCAGCAAGTGATATGTTTGAAAATCGGAGGGTTCAGCATATCATCATCGCAAAGAACGAGAGCACCGGAAACATCACGGTCCGAGGGGGCCCAATGACTGTTAAATTCAGTCGTCTTATGAGAAGATCGCCAGATACACAATCACCCAGAGAACAGGATTTGGTGATTCAAGATGAGAGACTCAAAGAAATTGCAGCTGTGGTATGGGAAGCGCAAGCATAGATCGCAGATGAAGGTCGAACATAGCTTTTGTGAGTCCTCTTGTGACTTTTTGCCCTTCTGGTTCTATAGGATTTGAAGCACGAGTTAGCTGTCTCACATGCCCTGCTGTTTGTAGCAACTTTTAGGCCCAGCCAGCTAAGACCGTAAGTACATTCTTTCTTTTAACTAGACAGCAGAACAGAACATGCACTACTAAAAGCCAAATGGTTGACGAGAAGATGTCTTGGTCCTGACATCGAGGACTGATACCCTATGTGAACTATAAGTTTAGTTACCCGTCCCGTCTTCTGTTTTAATCTCAGCAATTTCTAGCATATATTCTACTGTTTTATATGTCCTAGCACATACGACCATAGGGTGTGGAGAACAGGGCTTCCCGTCCGCTCAGCCGTACTTAAGCCACACGCCGGTCAGTTAGTACTATGGTGGGTGACCACATGGGAATCCTGACTGTTGTATGTATTATTTTTTGTTTTTTGTTCTTTTAGTGGGATTCCACAAATGTGGATGTGTGGGTCTAATTTCGGGGCGGATTTTACACCGCTTCCACATCGTCTCAATTTTGGGGCCAGCTCGATATAATCACATGATTTATAACTAACTACCTCGATATTCCGCTACTCTAGTCTAGAGAATAGTCCTCCGGGAAAAGGCTTTAACTTATAGACGAGAATTGACAAATGAGGGTTAAAGGGGCCACGAGAGGGATTTTGTCATGACACGCTTTGTTTAAACTACGAGAGTGCCGCAGGGAGCCGCAGAGGAAGCTCGGAGAAGACTCGGCGTACATGTTGAATAGAATTAGACCCACTCGAAGGCTCGCTAAACAAACCGCACAATATATAAAGCCATCGCGAAAGGAACCGGAAGGTTTCCCAAGCGATTAGTTTAGTTATCTCACTACCATCGAGTTATCCCCCAACGAACTCGTAGTAATATTAGCCTCCTTGTCACAGACTCTAGCTAGAGGGTGTACTATATAAGGCGTGCCTGGGTATATCCGCGCACGAAGCGCGGATATGGTAGTCTTTTGGCTCAGTTGATCGAATATTAGCCCAGGGATGTTCCTTCACAGTGAGTGAAGCTGCTGGAGGAAGTCCATTGGCGTCCCCAGAATTGGGGCTCTGAGACTTTTTCTTCTTAGCATAATCTCAATATACCAGGGGTACTTCTAAGGACTGTTCAATACTCACTTTTCCCGAGGAGGTCTTGATGCCATAACCCGTCGTCGATTACCTGTGAACCAAACCATGTTAGCCTGCCTTCAAAGAGAAAGCAAAAAAAAAAAAGCGTAGAACAGGCTGACCTCTTCTATAACCAGGGCTCCTGCTTTGTCGAGAAAACACCTCGCCTGGGGCGTTATTAGCATCAAGCGCAGGGTCCAGCCTGGATACCCCAGACAATGGTCCTCCACGGAAGGGCTTCAACTCGTGGGCTGGAATTGACGACGGGGGGTTAAAGGGGCCACGAGAGGGATTTCCTCGGCCTCGTGTCCCCATCACACCACCTCCACGGCCAGTTGGAGCAAGAATCGGGTGATTACCCGTTCCTAGTCCTACTGCCGGCTTGGATGACACCTTTCCAGCCTTTACAACGCCGTAATGTTGACCTCCAGCCTCTGCAATAGTGGCGCTCAGATTAGCACGGTGGCTTTGACCTTGCATAATATCCGCAAGTTTTTCAAGTCCACCTGTATCGGCCACGGTCTTGTGAAGGTCTAGTAAAGAAGTATTTTTAAAAAAGAGTATTTTATAAGTAGAGAGATTAAGATAGAGAGAGAAGAGAAAAATTATCACCGCTCACTCGATTCTGCCTTCTACCACTGCCCTGATACTAGAAGAGGAACCGTCCGAACTACAAGGTAGGCATAGATGGGATAGAGGTTTGTGTAAGAGTAGATAGGTCGCTACAATAGCTCCTCCCTCTTTTCTTTCTCCTCTCCCCCTCTAGCTCTAATATCTCGAATATGAGCGCTATTACTAGATCTTCCTGTTCCCTAACGTAGGCTATCATTAACAGAATGGACCTAGAATTTGCCTAGAGAGTAGACCTTATCAAAAACATTTCGAGGGCCAGTATCTCCCGCCCTCCGCCTGGCCCTTGCGGGGCAGAGGACGGGTTCTTGCCTATCCTCGCCCGGCCCTCTGCCCTTAGAGGGCTGCTTGCGGACAGCCCTTATCTGTCCTTATTTACATAAAAAAAGTTGGCTATTCCTTATTTAGATATATAATTCTGCTGATTTATTCTATTTAATTACTATTTTTTAAGCCTGTTCTTGTTTATAGTTTATTCTCTATAGTATCACTATTTAAGTCTTATGAAATTATAAGAAATTTAGTTATATTATAATAAAGTATAGTAGGTAATGATTATATTACAGGTTTTGAATCTCTAAAAGTAAATGGTAGAGGATGAATAGAAAGGAGATGATTTTTGAATATATTAGTTTAATATGGTTGGGTTAGATATATATATTTATAATATTATATTAGTAGGAATAATAAGAATATTAAATATATCTTATAAATTCTTGATTCTTTATTAAATATTGTATAATTCTTCTTTATATATTTATTAGAAGATAAGTCCTCTAATAAAGTCTAATTATATTATATTTATTAATAAAAGAGCCTTTATAATAATCTATAAACTAAAAATATTATTAGATTTGAGAAGATATATAAGTTAGCAAAAAACTAAGGATAGATTAGTGATTTGAGGGTAGCCTGTATATTTTCGAGAGCTGTTTAAGGGCTATTTAAAGACTATTTAAGGACTGTTTGTATATTTTGAGGGCTAGTTAAGGGCTGTCTATATATTTCGAGGGCTGATTTAAGGGCTATCCTTAATTAGTCTTTAATAAATAACTAATTATAGGAAGATTAATAAGTTAAAATGGGTTAATAGTTGATATGTTTGATAATAGTTAAGCTATATTAGAAAGTTACTTAAGCTAGTTAATAATTCTATTTATTAGAGTCTATAGATTTTTTTTAGTAGATATCTTTTCTAGAAACTAGTTGTTTTTCTTTTTTTAAATTATGTTTTACTAGTAATTATCTAATTAATAATATCTTAAATATCCTAGTTTTTAGATATCTATTTTTTATTAATATATAATAGTAATCTAGTTGATACTTTTCTCTTTTTTTAAATGATTAATTCTTAATATCTGATATTTCTAGAAGTTAGTATATACTTGAATCTATATTAAATCCCGATTTTCTTACTCTAATTACTCTATTTTTGATTCTTTTTTTATTTTAATATATTAGTCCTAGTTAATTATTAATATTTATCTTATACTTTAAAATATTAAAGGATAATTTTATTACTTGATAGTTAGAGATTAAGTTTGGGAAGAAGAAAAGATTTAATTAGGATAATAACTATATAGTGATATACTAGGAATAATTTGATTAAGTTGTTAATATAAAAACTAGTAAATTAGGGATAAAATGTTATTAATGCTAGAAAGTCCTTGATTATCTAGTAAGTAGATAGTATAGAATAACTATCTTTAATTAGTATTTAGCTAGTCTAATCTGTTATAAATCTATTAGTTAGAAGACTAATATTAAGAGATTATTTATAAATATAGTATATATTATTTAGGATATATAGTCTAATATTTTATTAATTATTCTCTTTTATAATAGATATAGAATATATTAAATATAATAAAAGTTTTTATATAAAAAATATAAGAATAAAAGTTTCTATAATTAATTATCTTATTATATCTTTTCTTCTAATTTATTAAATATCTAGAATTCTATAATATTATTATCTTTATCTAACTTGTCTTTATATAATCCTATATCTTTTTAGCAAAAATAATATGATCTTAGCTATAAAAATATATCTAAAAATAATAATAATCTATCTTTTAAAAGCTTCTTCTAAATATAAAACTTTTACTAGTACTAGATTACTAGATATCTCTCTTTTAATAGGTTTTTATAACTATTATTAGCTATTTTCTAGATTAATACTAATAATATTAAGAGATATTTCTTAGATTTAAACTTTTATCTAGATCTTATTCTAGTATAAATCTAAATAATATAGTTTTAAAACTTCTCTAATAGTATAAAATTATAGATTGAGTATTTATTATAATAATTAATAATATATTAAATAATAATATATTAATATTAAGTATATAAAAGTTATTATAGTTATTTAAGCTAAATAATAATTTTATAATTATTTAAGTTTCTTATATTATCTATATAATTTAGTTTAGCTTAAATAATCTTCTTAGGAAGTTAAAGATAATTCTAAAGAATAAAAATGTAGAGATAGATTAGTCTAATAAATGATTCTATTCTTTTTATATAAGATAATAAAAAAAGAGAAATTGTTAATATACTTAATAAGATATATCTCTACTTTCTTATCTTATTAATAATACTAACTTTTTTATGATTATATAGGTCCGAAATCTTATTATCTATATTAATATAAGTCTATAATAGTATAAGTTATTCTATAATCTTTAAAAAGAAGAACTAAGGTTTATTCTTATCTAGGATATTTAAACTTGTTAGAATTTAATATTTTTGATATTCTAATATACTAAATAGTTTTAATCAACTTTTAATAATTTTTATTTATAATATAATTAGGATTATTTTATATTAAGTTAAGAAGAATAATAATAAATTAAATATCTTCT